ATCTTTTCGAACCACTTACCTTTTTGTTACGGACTCGTGATGACTCATACGTACATAGGCGCCCACAGCGTCTTAGATAATCTTACATACGCACGTGGCGACGGCGGCGCGACGCGACCGCCGTCGGGAATATACGACACCTTTCTATCTCGCAAACCCCATCAGCCCTTCTCGACGTCTAAGACGCATCGAGCAGGGGCCCGGAGGTTGCACGAAGGTCCACCGCTTAGAAGCGTAGCCGTGAATTCACGGCTACTTGGGAACAGCCCGCCTCGAATTCGAGGCGCACTGAGCTCCTTCTCAGCGGAGAACCACTTCGCGGCACGCCTCCCGCTCACGAGCATCCCCACGCGGTCGGCAGCCACCGCAAAGTGGACACTGTGGGATCTCGTGAGTGATCTCCGTCTACCTGGTCAAGCTGTATCCGTTCGCTACTAGGCATAGTCGACGCCTGCGCAGGGAGGAGGCCGAATTTACGGGATCGCCGATCGACGCTGGTTGCGTCGAACGCCGTTCAGTCTCAGCCCCGCTCGCCCGAAGCCGTATACCACGGCTGTCCCTCCAGTACCGACGTCACTCATCCTCGGACTCCCCTCTCACTCCGATCTCAGACGCCGCCTCCCTCAACCTTGAGACTTTCGCCGCTAACCAGACTCAAGAACACGTCTCTCCGTTCGACATCCAGCTTGACCTCAACATGCCGGACTCAACGCCCGGTTCAGCCGCTGAAGTGGAGCACGAAATGGAACGCAGTAGCCGCTCCCCCCGCGAACCTTCCCCCACTCGGAGCCAGCTTGGGCGTAGCCGTCTCGAGACAATACGGGTCATGTACGAAGACGAAATGTCCAACGCCGACGCTCTCCTACCCACCGAGCTCCGCTCCCTGAGGGGACGAGTTCACAAGTACGCCACCCGGCGTGAGTTGACGATCAGCAACATCGTGGACTGCGGCAGGGCCACGGGAACCGACGAACCCCGTTACGCCGTCAAGTACGATCTCACCAAGCCCGTTTTCGACACCGTCTCGAAGATGCAACTGGTGCTCACCTCCCTCACCGCGTACCTGCCCGAACGCACCCACACGTACCAGATCGACCCGAAGGACACCTTCAGCCGGGTCCTCTTGCACGCTGCCTCCCTTCAGGAACTGCAACTCGCTTGGGTAGGCCTAACAGGGCGACTAATGGGTGCCGAACGAGTGTACAAAAAGTATTTCGCAGAAGCGCTGAGGGCGAACGGCGTGAACGATGCGAAGCTACATTCGCAACTGACTACCACTCCGTCGACCGTCTACCGGAAGATAGAGGAGGAAGAGGATCCCTACCGACGGCTGCGGTTAGCTCTGGGAGGGCTGCCCAACGCCAGGGCTGCAACAGATGGGCCCCGCTCAGGGAGAGCGGTCGAGCAATTCCTGGACGCAGACGTCCAGGAAATGACTCGGGTACTGACCCCTATCGCGAGAGCCTTCCCTCCACGCAAGGCGGAGCCCAACCCCGCGCTCGTCTACTACGACGAGCTTGAGCGGAGAAGGGAGATACCCCCGAGAACAACGTACGAAAACCCGCTGGGGTATTCGCCCGTGGACTCGCCGCGAGGACGTACCGAATCGTGGAGGCGAGGCGTGGACCAAACCACTCCTCCACAACCACCGCCTTTGCCGCCTCGACCTCCAGCACCGCCGCCCCCGGCGCCACCCGTTGACAGAGGAGGCCGAAGCCCGCATTCGTCGTCGTCCTCCAGCACGACCAGCCACGAACCGTCAGACTCGTTGTCTTCCTCTTCGAGCTCGACGTCAGGCTTCTCGTCTAGTCCTTCCGAGCGCCACCACCGTCAACGGCGAGGCCGGCTTTCGACGTTCCAGGAAATGCACTTACAGCCGATCGAGGAGGAGGACCCTCCTCCGGACCCGTCGGACCACTCTTCAGACGCAGGGAAGCGGAGAAAGAAGAAGCGGTCCAAGGACAAGAAGAAGAAGAAGGGCGCGGAAGGAGGAGGAGGGGGCGATCCCCCCGGCAATGAGACTAACCTGGTCAACGCGTCGAAGGCGCCCATCCCGGGCATCAACCCCGTCATCAAGCCCAAGAGCCTACCTTCGTGGGATGGCAATCGCAACACGGCCATGGTGTACTTCTGGAACATCGTGGAGTTGGCGCGACAAGGGGGAAGGATGCCCCAAGCTTTGGGTGAGTGGTTGTGGGCGAGATTGGTTCCTAACTCCCCAGTTCAGCGTTGGTATATGACCTTGAGCAAAGCGCGCAAGGACTACATGAGGGAAGGGCACAGCAATTACATTTCGTCCATCCGTCGGCATTACCTAGGACCAGCTTGGATGAGTGCGCTCTCGTCTGACTTCCGCATGCAGCACTTCCGCGACCCGAAGAACCCTCGTGAATCGCCACAGGACTTTATCCACCGCCGGATCATGTACTGCAGGTTGCTGGGCTACGCGACCAAGGATTCGCGGCATGAAGCGAAGCTGATCATGGACGTCGCCCCTAAAGGATGGAAGCTGATGCTGAACTTTTTCACGAGCTAAAGAAGTGCAGGACGCGCAAGACCTCAGTCTTCCTGCTAGTGGAATAGCAACTGATATTCATACCTAAAGAAGCGCAGGACGCGCAAGACTAAAGTACAGTCAGTAAATAGTATGAGTATAGTAAGTGAGATAACATACCCTCAGTCTTCCTGCTAGTGGAATAGCGACTGAGGGAAAAGAGATGTACAGTAAGGATAAATACGGACGCCCCCGGAGCGGCGTGGGAAAGTTCTTCCCGAATAGGAAGGCGGACCAAAAGCGTGGACGCGAGGCAAACCGTCCGCCCATGGGAGGAGGCAGACTCGCCCTCTATACCCTACTTTTGACAAACTTCACCTCCGTCAAGAGCACCGACGAGTTGCAGGCACGAGTCATCGAGCACTCGGAGGACCTAGTGCTGGCTTACACGCGCGACAAGAGGCTCGAGACCACAGCCGAGAGACCACCGTCGCGTCCTTCCTGGCGCGCGTCCGCTGGGGCCGCCAAGGACGTCGCGCATGCTTACGACGTGGAGACGAGGGAGGAGGAAAGCGAGGAGCTCCCAGTATCGGGTGAAGGAGCGGAACCGGAAGGGCTGCAACGCGACTTGTTCGCCGTCGCGTACGCGGTCGCCGCCAAGAGGGCCACCGCGAATACCTCATATCCTTTCCCGGCAAGGGACGACGTCCTGTCCAAGGGCAAGAAACCGCCTCCCGGACCGTGTTTCACCTGCGGCAGCCTCAAGCATTGGAATAAGGACTGTCCGCATTGGAACGAGTTCGAGAAGCGGCGCAGGGAGACTGGCTTGCTGGTCGAGTCAGCTGCCGATCTGGCTTACGACACGGCGTATGTTCTGGCCGTGGAGCAGGGTTTTGACCGGGCATCCCGAACTCTCGCGGGCAGCGAGCAGGGAAGGAGTAAGACCCAGGAGGAGACCGAAGGCGGCGGCATTGGTGAAAGGGAGGAGGTGTTGCTGATGGGAGTCTCGCCGTTCGTGTCGAAAATAGAAGAAATTGCAGATGATTATTGGCATAGAGGGGAGTGTCTCCCGGTTGAGTCCGTGTACAACCTGGAATCTATATGGGAGGAGGACGATAGCGCTGGGGGGCTGGAAGGACGAGGAGTTAAAGAGGAGATCAACCTGGCTTATGCGGAGGAGCCGCCACCTCTGGACGAGGCAATGGCGGCCCTCAAGCCGTACGATCCGGGAAAAATCCGACTGGTCCCGCGAAGAGGAGCCCTGAGATTGCCGGACGGGAACACGTCCGTCCTGAGCGTGAGGGGAAGAGTTGGGTCTTCCCGCGACGTGGAAGTCGACCTAAGGATCGACTCGGGTGCGAGCGTCACCTTGGTCTCCCTCGGTCACTACCACAAGCTGATAAGCCCGCTGCCGATCAGAACGGAGGAGGGCTCACAGCTGATGCAGCTCACGAAGCGGGACGCCCCAGTGAAAGGGAAAGTACGACTGTCATTCCAGATTTTCTGCAATGACGGCACCACGCTGGAGATGGACTGCGAGGTGCAGATCGTCGAGGGAATGACCGTGCCCGTCCTCCTCGGGGAAGACTTCCAACAGGCGTACGAGTTGTCAGTGCGCCGTGCGCTGGAGCTGGATGGGACTAGTTCCACGACCATCGAATTCGGGGGCGCACCCAAACATCCCATTTCCGCCACTCCCGTACGACGAAGCCCTGACTATGACCGGGTCGCTAAGTCATTCCTGGGGGAGATGCCGGCCGAGAAGATAGCCCGGGGAAGCTTCGTGTCGAGGACTAAGCAGAAGCTGCGGGAAAGGAAAAGGAAAGCCAAGATCTTAGACTCCCTTATCCTCGCCGCCAAGGACACGCGACTGCCCCCTCACACTTGCGTTAAAGTGGAGGTGAACGGCCCATTCGAGTCCCCAGGGGAATGGGTGGTGGAGAAGATCCTACTCTCCTCCGATGACGACCGTTTCCTGGCGGTTCCAAACACCATCATCTCGTCGGCCACCCCTTTCGTACCTCTAGCCAACCCTTCGGACTCGCCCCGAATGATCAGGAAGGGCGAAGTACTGGGTCGAGTGACCCCCGCTCAGGAGTACTTTGACAAGCCCGGGTCACAGGAGAGGTTAGACAAGATGAGGAAGCACGCCAATCTGATAGAGGGATTATGCAGGGCGAGGATGGCGAGCCCGGAGAACCGAAAGAGGACAAAGACGCGAGCCCCAGACAAAGCGTGGAGGATGCCTCACCCGCAGAACTATGGAGCTTGGGCCGCCGGTCAAGAGCCCGCCAGGAGTCGCTTCCACATGCCCGACGAGCAGGCGTACAACGCTTGGGCTCAACCGCCTAAGAAGCCGCCCGACGAAGCTGAGGAAGAGGCAGAAGACGAGTACGGCCCAAAGACGGCTGCCCTGCCCGAATCCGAACCTATTCCCAGCGAGCAGTTCAGAAAAATTCTCGACGTAGGAGCGCTACCCGAAGAGCTGAAGGAGCGAGCGTGGAAGATGCTGGAAAAGCGAATCAAAGCCTTCGGACTGGATGGCAGACTGGGGAATTACCCGGCAAAGGCGACTATCCGGACCAGAGAGGGGACGACCCCCATCGCCAAGCCCATGCGAGGAGCGTCCCCGGCGAAGAAGGAGGTTATGGACCAACAAATAAACACCTGGTTCGCACAGGGCGTTATCGAGCCCTCCGCCAGCCCCTGGAGCGCTCCGGTGGTGATCGCGTACCGCAACGGTAAGGCGCGCTTTTGCGTGGACTATAGACGACTCAACGCGGTTACCATCCCGGATGAATTCCCCATTCCACGACAATCGGAGATCCTGGCCTCGCTCTCCGGCGCGCAAGTCTTATCCTCGCTGGACGCGCTATCGGGCTTCACGCAGCTGGAGTTGGACCCGAAAGACGTGGAGAAGACCGCCTTTCGAACACATCGCGGCCTATTCCAGTTTAGGCGCATGCCGTTCGGCCTGCGAAACGGACCGTCAATCTTCCAGCGCGTAATGCAGTCCGTACTAGCGCCATACTTGTGGTTATTCGCTCTGGTGTACATAGACGACATCGTCGTCTATTCCAAGTTGTTCGAGGAGCACCTGGAACACCTGGACAGAGTGTTAGAAGCCATAGAGAAAGCGGGCATCACGCTATCCCCCTCGAAATGCCACCTTTTCTATGATTCCATTATCCTACTCGGCCACTGCGTCTCCAGATTGGGACTGTCGACACATTTGGAAAAGGTGAAAGCGGTACTCGAGCTGGCGCGACCGACGAAGGTAGCAGAATTACGCGCCTTCCTGGGTATGACAGTCTACTTCAGCGTGTTCATCCCATACTACGCCGATATCTGCACCCCTCTCCACCGACTCCTGCGAAAGGACGTACCATGGGAATGGGGACCGGAAGAGGAGTACGCCTTCATACAAGCCAAGACCGCCCTACAGCGTGCGCCAGTCCTGGGACACCCGCAGGAAGGGCAGCCGTACCGACTGTACACGGATGCGTCGGATTACGCGCTGGGGTGCGCCCTACAGCAGGTGCAGGCTATCAAGATCAAGGACCTCGCGGGCACCAAGCTGTACAATAAACTGCGAGAAGCGCACCAAGCGGGACGGCCACCGCCACGGCTAGTCACAAAGCTGTCGGACAAATGCAACGACGCGCGAGTGGCGAAGGAGTGGGCCGCTGGGTTCGAAGAAACGGAGGTTTACGTCGAACGGGTGATAGCGTACTGGTCGCGCTCATTCAAGGGAGCGGAGGCGAGGTACAGCACCACGGAGAGGGAAGCTTTGGCAGCCAAAGAAGGGTTGGTGAAATTCCAGCCGTACATCGAAGGCGAGAAGATCCTCCTCATAATGGACCACAGCGCGCTTCAGTGGGCACGCACATATGAGAACAGCAATCGGCGGCTAGCGAACTGGGGGGCGATCTACTCCGCATACGCGCCCGGACTGGAAATCATACATCGCCCTGGTCGCGTCCACTCCAACGTCGACCCTCTGAGTCGCATCCCACGTGCCCCGCCGCCGCATACCTCGCCAGCGAGAACGGAAGGACCAGCTTTATCGACCGACAAGGCCGCAGCACAGCTGCGCGAAGAGGCAGCGCTGAGAGCGCCGGCCACGAGAGTTTTCGAAACAGCTCACCTAGCCGACTGTCTGCAGGACCTTCCGAGCGCATACGCAGCAACCACGCGAGCCGCCGCGCGTCGCCTTGCGCAGGGGGGCTGAGGAGGCAGAAAAGACAGTGGAACCGAAGCGGGAAGAGGAGCAGACCGAGAAGCGCGAGCAAGACGAGCCAGCGGAAGACGCGAGTAGCGAGGATTCCGACCAGGAGGAGTTCACCCCTGGCGACGGTTACGAAGGGGTATTCACAAGACAGCCGGCAATACTACTTCGCATGGAGCCCGAGGAAGCCAAGGAGTTCGTCGACGCGTACCTCCAGGAGCCGTACTGGGAGCGAAGATGGAAGGATGCCAACGACGAGTCGACTACATTCACGCCGGGCCGACGCTTCCACAAGACGGAGGACGGACTCTTGTTCTTTCTGGACGCTGACTTCTTACCTCGCCTATGCGTACCGGACAAGCTGGTCCCACAAATACTAAGGGCGGCGCACGAAGAACCGATGGAGTGTGCACACGGCGCGGCGGCGAAAGTATGGGCGAAGCTATACCCCAAATTCCACTGGCGACACATGCGCAGGACCATCGATGCGTTCTGCAAATCTTGCGACGTCTGCCAAAAGGTCAAGTTCGACAACTTTAGGAAGTTCGGCACTCTGATACCTAACCCGATACCACCACACCCGTACAACTCAGTGTTGATGGACTTCATCACGGGTCTACCGGAATCGCACGGGTTCACGGGCATATTCGTGATAGTGGATCGGTTCACGAAGCACGCCCAGTTCTTACCGATCCCCGCCAAGTTCGACGCTCAGGCAGCGGCGGAAGTATTCGTGAGGAACGTAGCGACGCGATACGGCCTCCCATCCAGCATTATAGCGGACAGGGATCCGCGATGGGTCTCCGACTTCTGGAAGGAGATGTCCAAGCTCCTGAGGACGCGGATGATGCTCTCCTCGGCACATCACCCCCAGCATGACGGACAGACAGAAGTCCTAAATTGAACGCTCGAGACGATGCTTCGAGCCTACGTGGCGAGCGACACCAGCCAGTGGGCATCGCTGCTACACCTCCTCGAGTTCGCCTATAACTCGGCCGAGCACAAGAGCACTGGGGAGGCCCCCTTTAGGCTGCTGCTCGGGCGCGTTCCTCGTTCACCCCTCGACGCGATATACGAAGGACGGCTGAACGCTACCGAACCTCCCACGGACAAAGACTTGGAGGAATACCTGGCGCAGCTGGACATCGCGCGGCAAGCAGCGAGGGACGCCATCGCGTTGGCGCAGGAAGAACAGGCGAAAGCGTACAACCGAGGGAGGAAACCAGCGCCAGTCTTTGCGGAAGGAGAGAGAGTGCTGGTCAACCCGCATTCGCTCGAGTGGGTGGAATCGAAAGGGAAGCCGAAGCTCAAGCAGCGATGGATAGGCCCCTTTGAGGTCGCGCAGAGGATCAGCCCCAACACCTACCGGCTGCACATGAACGACAAGTACCCTGGCTTCCCAGTCTTCAATATACAGCACCTCAAGCGCTATCGCGAGAACCCCTTGCCGAAGGACGAACCCAAAGCCACTTTACCGGAAACGCGAGGCGAGGAGAGGGCCAGCAAGGAATACGAGGTCGAGAAGATTGTGGAGCACAAGTGGGACAAGAGGAAGAGGAAGCAAGTATACAAAGTACGGTGGGTGGGGTACGGCCCCTTCTACGATACGTGGCAGACGCAGAAGGACCTGAAGAACGCGGACGAGGTCCTGAGGAAGTATAAAAGGCAACATAATCTACGATAGTATAGTCGAGCGAGACTCGGTTAATGCCGGTCGGGCCGGCAGGCAGCCGCGTGCCCGCACGTGCCGACCGCGCTGTAGCATACGCGATTTTTTCCGACTGCTTCTATGTTCTACTTCCACCACTCGAAAGGGGCGTAGTCAAATTTGGCTGCCCTCCCTAGACTCCCTAGAGTCCTGCTCTTCGTCGAATTCGGCGTCTAGCGGGTATATCATGACTTTCTACTTCTTCATCGCCCTGGGCGCGGACGCCCCTCCTCTTCAGGTCTACCATTTCGAGCACGGAGACACGTGGGTCGCCATTGGAGGCTGCTACGAAGATCTACTGCAGAGCCCTCGCGCAGAACGCCTGCTGCGCCCCGGGGATCGCAAGGACGGCCCAGGACCACGCTGGATTGTCATCCCTTTCCTCTGGCGCCCTTACAGACCCTCCACCGTCATCTCAAGCCACGACCCCGTGGCGCCCTTCCTCTGGAAACCCGACGTCCCCGACCTCCTAACGAACCGCGAGGGCAGCCGCATCTCAGCGGAAAGGGTCCAACGGATGTTGGACGCCACTCGCACCTTCGTGCAGATCGCCGAGCGATTGCGCGATTCGGCGCCTCCCGCCTTCTTCCTTCGCAATGGCGCGCGCATCAAGCCGACCGACGTAGACTTCCTGAGCATCCAGGGACGAGGCGAGGCCGACTGGATCCTCGAGTGCGTGCGCGAGTTCAACACGGCGGTGATGGACCACGTCTCCTTCACCGCATGGTTCACCCTCAATTTCCGCGGCTGGGAGGAAGCCCTGTCGCCCGAGCAGCTGAAGACAGTGCGCGACTGCCAGTTCAAGGATCGCCCCAAGAAGGGGTGTCTTCTTAACCTCCTCGTCGGCTATCCCCTCGTCAACTTCGAGCGTTGGATCAAGCACAAGGTGCCGGTATACTACATCTTCACGGAAGCCATGTATTACCTCGATCGCTTTGTACGCGTTCGCCCCGACATCATCCAGGACTATTGGGAGAGGAGGCTGTGCCAGAACACGGAGGAGGACCTCAAGGATTTCTACCGTCTGGTGGAGCTGGCGACGATCGAGTACAACGACTTCTTCCAACAGCGCCTGCAGCGGCGAACCTTAGTCGACACCCCGCACTTCCCTTACCGGCTGCAAGCCATGTACTCGGAGCAGATCTGCCAGGGGTACCGCCCATACATCGTCCACAACCCGGCTCTTGCCAAACTCCTTCTCGAGCGCTACGAAGCGATTAACAGGCCGGAGACGCCGGGCAGGATCAGGATGGCGCGCTGGGCCGCCCGCGAGCCATACCGAGGACCGGAGGACGAGAGAGAATTCACAATGGACCCGGGCACGTCCGGGCTACCCTCCGACCTTCCTTTCCCCGGCAAGTCGTTTGACCGCGAATCACAATGGGTCGAGAACAACTACCTGACCTTGCGGGAACTCTTCAAACTGTCATTCGCGCCGCAGCCCGGCGAAGCGTACGACCTCGAGGGAGGACGGTCGGCCTTCCCTCTGGAGGAGGGTGGCGGCTTGAAGGAGTTCGAGAAGGAGCTCGTCGCGCGAGCAGTGTACGAAGGGAAGAAGCGCCCCGAGGAGTACCTGGAGTTTCACGACTGGGAGATTGGATGGGGAGGTCAAGTTGAGTGGATGCTGTCCATAGCTCAGACGGCCTCAGCGGTTTCTGACGACACGGAGATGAGCGATCCGTGTTCGCTCAAAGAAGGGGAGCTGACCGATGACAGCCACGAGTCCAGCACCGGGTCGGACGAGTTCACGACCGCCCCCCTGAGCAGGCCCTCACTCGGGCAGCGCATCACGGATCCCACGACAGGCGAACCGGTATGGCAAGGAGGGCTCGCCGCGCAACTGTCATCCCCGAGCGAGGTCGATAGACGCCGAGGAAGGCGCGCGCGATGGGAGGACGAGAGTTCGGAAGGAGAGGGGACACCGGCCAGCAGCGTCGCTTCATCCGGGCGAGTCTGGCAGACGGAGAGACGGAGCGCGTCGCCCGTACAAGCGTCGCGCCTCGCAGACCCAGGACGAGCGTCCAGCAAGGTATACAGCGAAGGGCATACGCGCTGGAAGGAAGTCGAGGAGGGCTTCTGGAAGCAGTTGGACGAGCTGGCCAACCGCATGACCATGCCCCAGGGACCCTACGTGCGGGACGATGTGCGACGACCGAGGATCGAGTGGAGCGATGACTTCGTAGCGCGCGGACTCCTGCACGTGCATGGCTGGGAAGACCGCATTCGCCTGCTCCTCTACGCCATCTACCACCAGTCCCTCCGCACGCCGGTCCACGTGCTCGACTTCGTCGTGGAAAAAGGGATGAAGGTTTCCTTCCTCGTGCCTCGCGATCCGGTGCCGACGCTAGCACAGATTGGCTCGCGCAACCCTCCTTCGACAACGCTCTTTTCCCCGCTGTCGGGAAGAACGCCGAGAGAAGTATTCCGCATCTGGGAGAGCCAGCTACAGGGTCCAGCCTGGGCGAAGACGCACTTCGCCGCTTTCCTGGCCGAGGGAGGCACCATTGCGTATCTCGTGCGGCACTACGCAAAGGACTACCTCAACTACGCCGGGTCGGGGGTGAGCCCGGAGAGCCGTGCCTACACGCTCAATAGCTTCCCCCTCCCTGTCAGCTGCAAGCTCGGCGGCAACTACTTCGTGGTGCGAGACGTCGCCGGAGACACCGAGCTGGAGGCTATCGGGGGGCAGGTCGCCAACCCCCGCGACGAGATGAACCCTTACTACGTCGTCCCTCCGACGGCGACCTTCAACTCCCCGGAGTGGATCATCCACCTTTTGCAGTAAGGTGGATTTAAATCCACCCCGACAATTTACGTATCGTCGATTGTAATCTTTCGCGACGTCAAAACGGCCCGATTTCCGCGCCCGGGCAGCCAGCCGCAGGCGCCGGGACCTGCCCATATAGGGCTCCGGGGCCGTGATGCGCCCCGCGCGTGGCCGCCGCGGCGCGGGAACGTCACGCGCGCGCGCGCCCGGACGCGTCGGGGACGCGCCGCGTGTCGCCGCCGCCGCCGCTGCGCGTCGTAGCGAGCGTGAAAAGTTGTACAAGCTGTATATAAAAGTCCTATATACTGCGAATCGAGGGGGGAGGGGTAGAAAAAGCAGAAAAGGGGGAAAAGCGCGAGCGAAAATTTACGCTCGCGCGCGACGCGCTCCCGCCGCTTGTGTAGCGCGCGGGAGCGCAAGTGCATGGTAGGGAGGGGGAGGGGGATATCCCCCCAAGCTACGTGCACCCATTCGCGTCAAAAGACGCGTCCGCGGTGGCCACGTAGCAAAATGGGGGGAGGGAGGGGGTCGTAGTCAGGGTGGTGCTACGCGCTCCCGGCGCTCTCGAAGAGGGCAGGAGCACGCAAATAGCGCGGGGGCGAGGGCATCACCCGAAGGTGAGCACCCGTTGCAGCCACGCAGGCGCGCTACGACCGCGGGGAGGATGAACTCGCCCGCGATCTGCGCGACTGCGCCTCCTCGACTGCCCGCGCGTCGTCAAGGCGCGCACGCGGCGCGGAAGAGCGTAGCCCCAGTGCCCCATACCCTTCCATTGAAGGACGGGTCGGAGGGGTTGGGCAAGAGGGGCAGGGCGCGCGGCATGCGACATTTCGGCACGCCGCACGCGCCGGGTGCAGTCGGCTGCGTGTACGACGCACCGACGTGGTCGCCTAGATGCGCGAGATGTGTCTCCCGCAATGCGGAAGATCGCCGCGAAGGCGATTCTCCGCAATTGCAGGAGAGGGGGAGGGGGAGGGGGAGGGGTGAGCGGCGCTACCCACCCGCGCTAGTCGCGATTGACGAGCGCGAGGGCAGCGCGACAGCCATATGGCTGTTGAGGGCTCGCTCACGACGCGTAAAGCGTCATAGGCGATGCCCTCGCGCCCTCAGACCGCGTCTGAGGGCGAATATGAGGGGAAAACGGGGCGATCTTCGCCCCGCTTCTCCACCTCGGCCTGCTCGCGCTCCTCCCCCCTCTCCGCCCTCCGCGTCCCAAACGAGTAGTAGTTAGTAATAGAATAAAGTGGTGGGCGCGTTCACGCACCCATAACCCCCTCCTCGTCCGGTTCAGTGGCCGTTGCCATTGCGGATTTTCGCGTCGTTTTGTGTGATGCGCTTGCGGGCAAGCGCCTCGGTGGCGGCTATTTCGAGGTGTTAAGAAAGCACGGGAATGTGGGAGGGATGCGGGAGGGGGACGGGTGAACGAGGGGGCGGCGTGGTGGTGGCTGAGGACGAGGAACGCGCGTCGTCGACGCGTCGGATGGCCGGACCGGGTTCCCGGCCCGTCTTCCCCGCGGTGGCGTCGTCGCCTTCGAGGGCCTCGGATTCAGGCCGAGAGGAAGATATGGATGTGATCTCTTGAGAATATATTACTAGTTTTATGTCGGATGTGATTCTGAAAGTTTCGTTGAATTTGAAGCATAGGAGGGTGTCAAGACCGAGCTCGACGTGGGGGATGCATCAAGCACTAACTGATCCCACTTCGAGGGCTGTCTTTAGGCGTCATTTTGCCTCCCCCACGCTCATTTTACCATCGATTCTCATGAAAAAAGCTGCGATGTGTAGGGGGTGAGTATTACTATCATTCTATGAACTAAAAGGTGGAATTTCATCCCTGGCTTGAGTCTAAAACCTGTTAAAGCGCTATAAAGTGCTCGAAATGTGAGTACTTGCAGGATTTCGAGTACTTCCCGGTATACAGGGCTTTTCAAAATTCATGCATATATTAAGCAGGACTGCTTCTATTCATCCCAAAGCTTTAGAGGGTCTGTTGTTCCCCTCGGCATCTTTCCGAGGCTATTCAAGACGGTGAGGAGGAGCCTCGGAGGCTCGGTCCGGTCTCCGCACGGTCCCGAAGGACAGCATTTGCGGTCCCGAGGAACAGCACATCTCGCGATCGCGCTGGCTGCCTCTGCCTTCGACGACCACCACGCGCCTCGCCCCGCTCTCGCGCGCTATTCCTCTTCCCTGCCCCCTTCCCCCTCATTGTCGTGCTCACACCCTCAAATCAACGTAAACCCGGGAAATTCGCCCCAACCACGCCACGCGGCAAGCGCGCAGAGGCAAACGACGCCGCCGTATTGCGGCACACAAGGAGGGGGATAATGGTGCGTGAACGCGCCCGAATTTACATTCTGTTTCTAATATCTTCTAGGGGCAGCGGGTGCTGCGAGGGCACAACACATGCATTTGTTGCTCTCCTCCCCTCCCTCTCCTCTCCTCCCTCCCTCCCCTCCTCTATCTCTCTTACCTCCCTCGGGTACCGTCCCTGGGGGGATGGGCTCCTCTTACGACACCTGAGCGCTATAAGCAGGCCCTACGCGTCTAGCAGGCGATCCCACCACCGGGCAATGCGTGCCCACGCGACCCGCAGGGAATACTCTCCTCCCCTTCCCCCTTCGGTCGCACTATCCCCCTGACCGTCTCGCGCACGGTCAGGGATGCTTCAGGCTTGGATTAGGTGCGCTTTGGCGATCTCGGCACGCGCTGCTCGCAAGGGCAGACGCGTGCATAGCCAATCTCTTCCTCTCCCCCACTTGCTACGTGGCCACCGCGGACGCGTCATTCGATGCCGATGGGTGCACGTAGCTGGGGGGGATATAATCCTCAGCCTCCCCACCATTCTCTTGCGCTCCTGCGCGCCGCACAGGCGGCGGGAGCGCGTCGCGCGCGAGCGAAAATTTTCGCTCGCGCTTTTTCTCGCTTTTTTCTCTCTTTCAGTCTTCCTCTTTGCGATATATAGTGTATGGATTCTATTTACATATCTCACATACATTTTCACGCTCGCTACGACGCGCAGCGGCGGCGGCGGCGACACGCGGCGCGTCCCCGACGCGTCCAGGCGCGCGCGCGCGTGATGTTCCCGCGCCGCGGCGGCCACGCGTGGGGCGCATCACGGCCCCGGAGCCCTATATGGGCAGGTCCCGGCGCCTGCGGCTGGCTGCCCGGGCGCGGAAATCGGGCCGTTCTGACGTCGCGAAAGATTACAATCGACGATACGTAAATTGTCGGGGTGGATTTAAATCTACCTTACAGCATCAGCTGGATCATCGGCACGGGCGAGTGGGGCGAGGCGGAAGAGGCGTACCTCAACGAGGTCCTGCACCGTTGGAAGACCAGGAAGGAGATGAACCTGAGGACCGCGACGCAATGGGCGAAGCACGCCGGCGTCTGGGTGCACGCCTACAAGCAGCGTCGGCCGGAGGAGGCTAAGCGCGAGCGCGTTCCAAGCGGTAGCGAATGCGAGGAATGGTGCAAGAAGCTGGAAGAGGCCTTCGGCGTGTCTCTCGAGTTCCGCAAGATCGCTGACTTGGTCAAGCCGCTCAAGGCCAAGAACCTGCGACAGTTCCGCTGAGACCTGCGTCACGCGTGGAGAGTGGGGGGCTTTGTGAGGGGCCGGGACAACGAGGACTCTCCCCCCGCGACTTGGAGTAGGGGACTATTATCTTTTCGAACCACTTACCTTTTTGTTACGGACTCGTGATGACTCATACGTACATAGGCGCCCACAGCGTCTTAGATAATCTTACATACGCACGTGGCGACGGCGGCGCGACGCGACCGCCGTCGGGAATATACGACACCTTTCTATCTCGCAAACCCCATCAGCCCTTCTCGACGTCTAAGACGCATCGAGCAGGGGCCCGGAGGTTGCACGAAGGTCCACCGCTTAGAAGCGTAGCCGTGAATTCATGGCTACTTGGGAACAGCCCGCCTCGAATTCGAGGCGCACTGAGCTCCTTCTCAGCGGAGAACCACTTCGCGGCACGCCTCCCGCTCACGAGCATCCCCACGCGGTCGGCAGCCACTGCACCTGGGCAATTGCTAACCTCTGCGCGGCCAAGCTTCCCCGGAAGTACTGGATGTACGCAATGGAGTACGCCACCGACATGATCAACCTGTCGCCCGCTAGCTGCCAGAAGGGAGAACTGCCCATCAACCGCATGCGCAAAGTCAAGCACCCTATTGACGTACACACCCTGCACCCTTTTGGTTGCCCCGCCTACCCGCTCATCCCAAAGAAGAAGCGGAAGGGCAAGTTTGCCGACCGCACCCGCCGGTGCATCCTCATAGGCTACGCTTGGTCTGAAGGCACAAAGGCGTACAAGCTCCTCGAGATTGCCACTCGGAAGGTCATCATCTCCCGGCATGTCAAGTTCGACGACGCCTCCCCCTCTCCTGACGAGATGCGTGCGGGCAAAGACAATGTGTCTGCCAAGCAGTGGGAGGACTTTGGAAAGTACTTCTGCCTGCCACCCAAGGACACTCCTGCTCCAGATGCAGGCAGTGACAGCGAGGACAATGACGATGACGATGCGCCGGCCCAATCACCTGCAGCCGGGTCAGTGGGAGCACCTCGTCCACCCACGCCAGAGCCAGTGGGAGATAATCGTCCGCCCTCACCTGACTCAGATGAGCCACCGCCTCCTCTGTGTCCACCAAAGACGCGCATACCGCGCCGGTCTCTGCCACCAGCCATGCCACCGCCGGCTCCTGCCCCCGCCGCTGGTCCATCACGCCGCCCTGGCCTTCGCAAACCAGAAGAGCGAACAGCGAACCAGCACAAGGACCAGGGCTACATTAATGCCCGGGAGCGGCAGGAAAACCACTGGAAGGTGTCCGCTCAGCAGCGGAAGCAGCGCGAAGCGAACATCCGCGCGCGCGAGCAGCAACTCGAGGAAAATTGCCGACGTCGAGAGCAGCCACCTCAGGGGGAAGCTCCTCCTCCACCTCCGGCACCAGCTCCCGAACCAGAACCTGCACCAGCGCCTACCCAGGGGGGTGGGGATCCCCCGGGTCAACCCAATGAAGAGGGCGAGTCAGTGAACTTTGCTTTTCTCAATGACAAACTCTTTGCGGGCGCGGCATCTGGTGGTCGGTCGAGCAGTGGCGCGCGGAAGATTCCCACCACCTGGAAGCAGGTCATGGCGAGTCCAGAGCGGGACAAGTGGTTGGAGGCGCAGTCGGAGGAGTTGAACAGCTTCAAGCTGAACGACGTCTACGAGGAGGTACCCATCCCAGAGGGCGTCAAGCCGATCACCTCCAAGCATGTCTTCTCCTTGAAGGAGGATGCTCAAGGGAACATCGAGCGGTACAAGGTGCGCATTGTGGCACGCGGCTTCACTCAGCAGGAAGGAGTTGACTACCAGGACACCTTTGCGCCCGTCGCAAGCCTGGAGTCCATCCGCATCATCCTTGCCCTCGCCGTCCGCCTCGGCCTCTACACTGACCAGATGGACGTGAACACCGCCTACCTCAATGGTGAGCTGCTACAAACGCTCTACATGCTTCCCCCAACTGGTGTGGACATCCGGGAGGGCTACTGCTGGTGACTCAAGAAGTCGGTCTACGGCCTCAAGCAGGCCGGTCGCGCGTGGAATCAGACGCTCCACAACAAGCTCAACAAGCTTGGGTTTGTGCGCCTCAACTCGGAGACTTGCCTCTACGTCTTCCGGGACGGCAAGCAGGTCTGCTTCCTAGTTGTCTATGTTGACGACCTCCTCCTCGCCACTACCTCGCGTCCTTTCATGGACAGCATCAAGAAGAAGCTCACCGCCTCCTTCAAGATGCGCGACTTGGGTCCCGCCAAGTACCTCCTGGGCATCGAGATCATCCAGCACCCGGGCAGGCGCACGATCTCCCTCTCCCAGAGGAAGTACATCGACACCGTGCTTGAGCGCTATGGCATGTCGGATTGCACAGGCGTCAGCACCCCCATGTCCACAAGCACTCGCATCTCCGCCAATGACCCGAACGACAACGAGGTGCGCACTCACATGGCCTTGGTCCCCGGAGGTCCCGTCATCTCCTACCAGAGCGTCGTGGGCTCGCTCATGTACGGGATGATGGGTACCCGACCGGATACCGCCTACGTGGTGGGAGTTCTTGGCCGCTATAGCGCCGCCCCCAAGGCTTGCCATTGGGAACTGGCCAAGCGTGTCCTCCGGTACCTCAAGACGACACGCGACTGGTGTCTGGTCTACAACGGCGCTGATGCTGGCATGGACCTCAACTTCCATGGCTACACCGACGCTGACTGGGGCGGATGCAACGACACGTCCAAGTCCACCTCTGGCTTTGTGTTCATCTCAAGTCGGGGTGCCATTGGTTGGTCAAGCAAGCGACAGTCCATGGTCTCTCTCTCGTCTACCGAGTTGGAGTACATTGGCCTAGCTAATGCAGGCCAGCACTTGGCGTGGCTCCACTCGTTCTTTGACGAGTTGGGACGTCCGCAGGCTGGTGCCACCAAGCTCAGGTGCAACAACCGTGCGGCCATTATCCTCAGCCAGGATGCTCAGTTCCGTGCTCGGACCAAGCACATCCAGCGGAAGTACCACCACATCTGCGATGGGCTGGTTGCCACCGGCGAGTGCATTGTCCTCTGGTACCCCACGGACGAGATGGTTGTGGACATCTTCACGAAGGCACTACCTCATGAGAAGCATCTCAAGTTCTGCCAAGGTATGGGCTTGCGGCCAGACTCGAGTGGGAGTGTCAAAAGTGGTGTTTAGTGGCGAGTCTACCTTCAGCCAGGTCATGTGACCTCAACCCTTGGAACTGCTTATGTAAGTTCCAAGAGTTGAGATCACATGACTTTTCCCCACGCTTTGCCCGGATGGCCCCGTACATACGCGTGTACCTACCTTTCCTTTTCCCTCAGTCGCTATCCTATACGCAGGAAGACTGAGGTCTTGCGCTCTCTGCGCTTATTTAGGTATGAATTCAGTTGCTATCCTATACGCAGGAAGACTGAGGTCTTGCGCTCTCTGCGCTTATTTAGCTCGTGAAAGACTTGGCTTCTCCTCAGTCAGGACATGGTCAATGCCCTGGAACTGGAGATAGGCCTTCATCTTCTTGCCAAAGGACTTGAAGTCCTTGCCGTAGAAGATAGGCATGGTGGAGGTGAGGGTGTTAGACATAGTGATCTGGTAAGATTGTCAGCATTGTTTTATATGTCATCATAGAGGCAGCATGTCAGTAAGGACTGCACCGATGAGCAAAAGAGCGATGCGCCCTGAAGGGCCAGCATCTCCGCTAGAGATGGGCACCTTGATCGAGCGTGATCAGCAGCAATCATGAAAGATCAGCAGTGATCAGTGCAATCTGGCATGGTTTTGCCAGCACATGAAGCAGCTAGTAGTGAACAGGCAAGCGAGCAAGGCACTGCTCATCATCGCAGCCAGCAAGGGCGCAGATAACATGAGTTGCAGCCACTGAGGCGCTACTCATTGTGCCGCTGCCACTGGGGCGCTGAACACAGCTCACCAGGGCTCATAACCTGTTGAGCATGCTGGGAAGCGTGCCTATACTGCTTACCTGGTGGTAAGGAGCTTGATATGAGGCAAGCACAGAGGTAGGTAAAGACCTGTTATTCCTGGGGGCAGAGAGGCCCTCCTTATATATGTATAGGATGGTAGGTAGCATGTGATAATGCAATGGACATGTAAACAATAAACATATGATGTCATTGTGTGTGTCCATGTGTGTCCATGTGTCCGTCATGTGATACGTGAGTCATAACATGTGCAAGGCTGATTGTCCAACATTCTCCACCACCAGAGTCGGGCTGCGACTTGGATGAATCTGATGTGCCTGCCTGCTCCTGCCCCCCTTTTGTGTCTGCCTCAGTCTTGCGCGCAGCATGTAGGGAACTTCATGAGCCTTAACTATCCACCTGCTACTGCCCTTCCTGTTGATGCCCAATGACCTGGCACATACACCCAACCACCCCAACTGCCCCCCTTGCAAAGAGATGTGTGTCGGTTAATCCGTCGGACAGTCAAAATGTGGTACAGGTTTCAGACTCGAGCCCATCTCCCCCACCACCAAACAACATGTATATACTTCTAAACTATTCTGATCAATCTATGGATAAATATCCATTCTTGTCCAGATAATCAACTCGCCGGTTATACTTGGGTCTCCATTGCAGGTCTCGTACATGCCAACAGGCCACTTACCTAGTGACAAAGGCTCTGGGAATCTCACTGTATTCTTGCCAGAACTAGAGTTCCACTACACCCAACCAGACTTCTAAGTATTCAATGATGCTTGTTTGGTCTAAGCAAGCACTCTATGGCTTGCCATCAACTAACTATATTAAACATTCATATACAGTCTAACTATTGAAGCGATCCCGGGCCTATCAACACGAGAACACAATCAGTACAAGTGACTGTACCAGCAAGACCCAACATACCGAATCCTGAACCATATGCAAATAGCCGCTGTAGCCCTCTGCATACTTTCCAACTTCGCGGCCCTTGCTGGCACCAAGGCCCGCGCCCGCTGTATATATGTTCGTGATGCTTCGAGGAGTGGTCAGCGCCCGGCTCTCATGTGAAAGCACAACCTGCAATACTCACATTGGATCGACACGGCCTTCCCCCTCCACACCCAAACCGGTCCCCTCCTGCCATCCCATCCTTTTGAGCAACTTGTTTCCAACGTTTGATTGATCTTGCCCCGGGTGCAACGCTGGTGGCGGCGGCGGAGGGGGCGGTGTCACACGCCTTGTCGAAGACGCGGCAGGTGCGACGCTTGTCGAACTTTCCGGCACGGGGAAGTCCGGTTGGTTAAACAGCGCCCGACGCTCCAATGCACGGTCGCGGTACTTTGGCTGCGCAGGTGCACCACCCTCAGTTGTTCCCGCATCCTTTGCCTTTCTGGCGGCAACCTTCTTCCGGGCAACCTCGCGTAACCTGCTATCCTGGGCGTTTTTCTATACGGATAGTTAACAAAGGGGCTCTTACGCCGTCCTTGAGGCGGATATCAGCAGGGTGGGTGGGCATACCTTGTGCAGCTCCGACTCGCGTATATGGCGCCCCAAAACGTCGATGGTCTTGAACTGACGTCCACATAGAAGGCACATCAGGGCATCGGTATCGGCGAACTCGAATTCGTCGGTGGAAGGAGCGACAGCGATAGCAGGGACGGGGGCGGCTTCCGACGACACTGACCGTGACGCAGGCAATGGCCCCGTTCGGATCTCAGCAGACTGCGCAGCCGAGGGCGAGGATACTTCCTACAGAAGCATGAGTACCACAGCTAAACGTTGCAATCGCCACTCAGCCAACCTGTCGTTTGTCAACAGGCGCAAACGAAGGCGTGGCACCGGTCGTGCCCGTCAGTTCCTCCTGGACTTGGTTCCACTTCGTGATGTTGTTTGCGATCTAGTTGAAAATCAGCTGAAGCCGGGAGTGCAGGTCACAGACAACGCGCCTTTCGACTGGCAGCGAGTGGAGCCACTTTGCGAGCAGCAGCGGCTGGAGCTACGGTAAACAAAGGTATCGACGGTAGGGAAGACACGCACTCTTGTCCGTATGTTGATTCAGAGGATCCTGCGATATCTCTTCCGCGGGTTCATCGTCCATAGAAAAGGCGAGTCCTTTGGGCTTGATTCCTGCGATATACCGATCAGAACAAGGCACCACTTAGCAAACGGCAGATACTCACCGGTCGGAGCCGCCTTCATAGACTTGAAGCTCAGAGTCACTGGTTTATCCGACACAGGGAGCGCGGAAGGCGCAGCCTGGATAGGCCGTATGGCGTCGACCTCTGCAGCCGTTCAATTATGCCCCCGCGCCAACGGTCACGAGCTACGCCTACGCACCTTTGGCTTTCTTCTTCTTCTCCTTCTCCTTCGTTGCAGCCGGCGCAGTTACAGGCTGCTCAACCTTGAACTCCAGGACTGCGACGGTGGCGTTCTCGTCCCAATACCGCACGAAAGTTCCCTCCAGGCCGCCCAAGCTCATCGACGACGTGATCGAGGCTTCGTCACGAAGCATGATGTCGGCGACAGGTTGGAATGAGTGAGGATGCGCGAATGAAGCGGCGACCGGCTTGTCGGAAATTCGGAAACCGTTTGGATGCAGCTGGGATGACATGGTGTTCGCCAGAACGGCAGCGGCGCTCTAGTGAATAGTGAGAAAGGGACAGTTGGTAAGTCATTGTAACGCACCGGGGTGTCGACGAACTCGACGAAGCCAAAACCAAAGCTTGCCATCGTAATTCTGTCCTTGATGAGGATGATGCGCTTCATGCCCTTTGCACCGTCCTTGCCGAATCCTGCAGAATTGCGCATCGCTTGATGAATAGCTTGCGGCCCGGAGAGCGGATCGAGGCCTCTGAACAGCAGGACCGGTGCTTGAGTGTTGCCAATATCCCGAGTACCGTCGTTCACGTTGCCTCGCTGAGCTCTACCCTTATCTTGGGGGCTGACGCTCTGCGAGTAGTCTATCTTGATGCGCCGCCCTCCATGCGGGGCTCCCGTCTCAAGGGCCTTGTAGTAGGCCGCCGCGGCCGTCGCACCATGAGACGCCGGCGGCGGCACCGAGATGAAGGGAAAGTGGGGATCGACGAACGCGCGGGCATGCTCTGTCGAAGGGAACTGGGCGAAGCCAAAGCCCTTCGAAGTACCTTGATAAATCGAGCGGGACGCTCCGTCAATGCATGCTCGTGGACGAATACGAAGGACAAGTGCCTGATGCGCGTTCCCTAATGATCGTGACCGACTCTACGGTGCAGCGGTTGGAGTGGAGGTAGGATTGAAGCTGGGCGGGGCGGCTTTAGTTCCAGGACGCGGGACTGTGAGGAATGCAACGTCAACGGACATCTGCCTCGTTGAAGTCTGGGTCGAGGCCGAGGAATATGACATGCGGGCTGGGCTCTGACGGGACGAGTCGCTTCTTGGCGGCTGGTCCCCCTGGGTGGCCATAATCTTGCGGTGCGGGGGACATTGACATCGAGTACGAAGACTCGTCATAGGCAGGAGTATTATCATAACCCTGGGACGGACAAGGACGGTAAGTACTCTGTGACTGACTGTCCTGAAGGAAAGAACATGCTCCGCCATTGAATTTCCTGCGCTTCGGGTCGCCGTAGTAGTCCTCCTCGCGCGGACGGACACCGGGGCGTGGTGCAGAGCCCCAGGCGTCCTTGCCTCTGTCCCATTCTCTGTTGTACGCCATGATTGCGGGAGAGGATGATGGTGGCAGGTAAGAAGAGGCGGATAAACAGCGATCAACAAGACCCCTCCTCTTCCTCTTCCGTCATGGCCGGCGTTCTCAAGGTGCGTCCGCCGCCGGTTCCCCCGACCTCTGCTCACACACGGACAGACTGACCCCGCCATCGAGCGCTTCAATCTCCTTGTGCGTCTCCTAGTCCAGCTCCTGACCGCATCTCATCCCCTTCTGCAGCGCGAGAACGTCCACACTCGCTTCCGCTGGACAAGGCACTCAATCAAGACTGCTATTGTCGGTGTCGTCGCGGTCCCAGTCGCCATCTGGCTCTCTGCGAGCTACGGCCTCGTGAGTCATCATCTTCCATCCCCAGCGCCCTAAACTGAGCCTCTTCAGGACAAGATCGAGACGCGGGTACCTCGCAAGGGCACGCCACTCGTAAAGTCTGCGTAGAGCGCTGTCTCCGTACTACCTAGCGATGCGTAGACGCCAATTACACATTGCGAAGCTTTGAACTGCTTGAGCCTATCTCATGTCAGCCACTGAGCGAACAGTATCTTCCGGCTCGACACTTGCCCTCATCCTCGCCGTATTCACCCACCTAGCCCTCGGGTTTGCTATACCCTTCCATCATACCCTCTAAGGTGCTCTGCATTGCACTTTACGGGAACATTCTTTGCGTATTAGCCAGCTAGCCTGCACGCTTCCTAATGCCTAATGTTTCCCTCATTCCTGTCTGCCATCGTACGCAAGGACCCTGATGTTCATGCAACTATCTCGTCCCTTTGCAACTTTCTGGGCTTGATGTTGCTCAGTGTTAAAACAGCGTCGTGATGGACGAGGCCTCGTCGAGCCAGCACATAAAGTCGCAGCCAAGTATCGCAAGGTGCTTCGTGGAGATGCAAGACTATTCTGTATATCCCATTCTCCGCTAGCACTTCAAGAAATGCACCATCATAATAGTAGAGTGTTCAGCAAGATATAATGTATCGATTCTTCCGTAAGTCCGCGCCTCCTAGCCTGCCACCAAGTTTCTCAGCCCTTCCTCAAAGCATCAAGACGAGCCTGCAGCGCGTCTTCGTCCGACATGCCTCCTCCTCCTCCACCGTCCCCTCCCGCGCCTGAGGAGCCTATATCGGCCGCCTCGCCTAGTGCGACTGGCTGCCGCGCAGCAACAGGCGCCGCAGACGCGATACCGGTGGGTGCATCCGTGAGCTAGAGGATGATGTTCTCAGCCAATGCAAGTAAGGACTCCCCTTGGGAGCACGCACCTGCTGGGATAGCCCGACCCCGATCTCGTCAAGCACCTCCTTTAGTATCTTGTCACCTTCTTCCTCCTCATCCTCCTCGTCCTCCATGACGTCGTCGACCGCGTCGGACATCATTTCCTCCTTCATGCCCATCATCTCGCTCTCCCGCTCGAATTCATTCATGATCTTCTGGATCTGAGGGAGGTTCATGCCGCGATTCATGGACGCCATAGCCTGAATGGATACACAGTGTTGTCAGGGAGTACCGACTAGGTATTGCGCATCGCAGACGCACCCTGCTCGCGCCACGCATGGCTTCCGCCATCTGCTGATTACTCCTGAGCGTCTGAATCCTCAGACTAACGGCCTGGAGCTGCGTCCGCATCTGGTAGAACTTCTGCACATATCGGCGCGTCCTGACCAGATCCTTCGCCATGACCTTGCACGCATTCTACCACCGTAACCCATCAGCGCCTAGCGTGCACGCCATGAGCTACCACACGCACCAGCTGCCCCGCCTTCGCGCTCTTCTTGATATCCGCAATGAGCTTCTTCTCGCTCTGCTCGAGCTTGGTCCGCTCGCGGTCCAGCTCGCGCTGCGCCTTCGTCAACGCGCGCTGGTGCTGGCGCAAGCGCTCCGCAGGCGTCACCGACCGGCCAAATAGCGTCTCCTGCATCGTACCTCAGCATTCCTGCACCCGCCACCACGCACGGCGCACTCACAATGATGTTCATGATGGCGGTCGACGACAAGCGGTGGCCCGGGGCCCGGGCCGGATCCGATGCCTCACAGCTCAATCACCGAGTACAACGGCTTGCCACCGACCATCACCTTCATCAGCGCAGCATGGATCTCAACCCCATCGGCGCCCACTGCACCTTGAGCAGCTGCCATGAGCTCGATCTGCTCCCAATCCTCTGTCCCCACTGCTCCCACCAATTCTGCCGCGCGCACTTCACGCCCGACAGCCATGCATGCGCCTCCGCCTCGCAGTCGCGCCCTCTGACGACCGCAGACAAGCTCGAGCGATGCGCAGTGGACAACTGCGACAAGACTGCGCTATCAATGACTACCGCGGTCGCGTCTGCTAGTACTGTATTGCCCACCTGCGCACAGTGCTCCGGCTTCTACTGCGCGGAGTAAGAGATCTTGCCACTTCCTGTCCTCAACCCGGTCAATCGAGCTTGCAGACACCGTCACCCTGACTCGCATCGATGCTCGAGATCTACTACGAAGACCTCGGCCCCTGCGACCAGCAAGCAAGACGCGGCAAAGGCATTGCTCGCCAAGAACTTTCCCTCAGCGAGCAAGCCTCCTGCGAAGTCCACGAGCAGGACCAAAAAGCTACCAACTGATCCTGTCAAGCTGGCTCAGTACCGCAAAGTCGAAGCCATGAAGATGCGCCATAAGGCTACACCCGGCGATCCGCGTGATACAAGTGCGCCTCTTGAAGAGCGTCTACATATATATGTAGGAGCTAGCGACCAGACGGAAATTAAGACACTTTGGGTCCGAAAAGTATGTCCGTCTCGCAGCGTAATTAATCCATGTCACGATCTTATAGACCATGTCCACTGGACGCGCTTTGGACTGTTTCGCTACGCTTTTCTCCCTGTCATCTGGGGTGAGCACAACCCTCTCCTCGAGCACTTTACTTGCTCACGTCAACAGCCCCATCAACTAATTCTCGAGGGCGAAGAATCGACCATTCTTCGCAACGACATACCAATTGGTGACCAAGTACAGGATGCATCGACTTTGCTTGTCTCGCCGCGCCCTTAAGCATGCAATCACGGCTCAGTAGAAAATCTTGGACCATTGTTGCTCAGCGCTCGGTCTTTGAGAAAATCATCCGTTCATTATGTACGACACCGTCCGTGATGCAAGCAGTAAAGGTCTATAGTACTTTCAGGTAGAACTATAGGACGGTCGGAATGCGACCAACAATATACGACGAACACCACGCCTCCGCGCAGCGATGACCGGCCCGCATCTGAAAGACGAATATAGTACGCATCGCATCCGTAAAGACAAACAAGAGACCAGGCGCAACGTGATAGCAGCGTATAAAACATAACAGCTCATAACTCTAAGTCCCCCCCCCTCATGATACCAAGGCAGCCAGCCGCCTCAGATGCGGCACATTGAGATACGCCGGCACGTACGTCTCCAACCCCGACACCTCGCGTGGCAGAGGCAGCTCGTACGGACCCACCTCCTCTGTCTCGGGAGAAAGAAGCAGGTGGTCATTCCGGTCATTCGCCTGGACGCGGGAGGCGACGACGCGCAAGATTTCGGGGGATATTGGGTTCTAAGAAAGCGTTAGAGGAAATAGGCAGATTGCGAGGAACATGTCGACGCACCTCGTAATCCGCGACGTAGTAGTTCGTACACATGCGCTGGATTTGCATCGGGCTGAGCATCCAGCAGACGTCGTAGATGATCTCGATATCAGCAGGGGTGGCCTAAAGACTGTTAGCAGATGTTGACTTGCAGTGAAAACAAACATGCTCACCTTCTTGAGCTGCAACAACTTCGTTGCCTGCATCAAGTGCTCCAGCTGCAGCGTACCCTCAGGCATGTCCTTCGACTTGCACCACTCCTCGATGCGAGTGATGTTGTACTGGATCTGCATCGCCCGCTTCCACGACGAGAAGTTTCTCCGCATCAACAAGTCGTTGAAGCTCGTCACGCCAATGAGCTTCAACAACTCGGTCACGACCTGCTGCACCACGCTCTCCTCCATGTAGTACGACTTCAAGCTCCGCCAGACCTTGTTCAGCAGGTTGAGGATGTCGTCCATACTGTATGCTGGCTGCGTGTTCGTGTTCAGCAGGCGGTTGAACAGGCGGCCGCCACCGTCACTTGACGTGAAGCCCGGCAAGCTCTGGCTCTCGATGAGCGCAGGGATGACCATCTTCGAAAGCTTCTTCTTGGTCTCGAGCATCCAGGTGTGGTAGATATTGTACTCGAGACTATCGAGGTCGTGCTTGACGACGGAGACGAGGCGCTCGTAGTCATTCCAGTCGAAGGGACGGACGGCGTTCTCCTCGCCCGGGCCGATGCCCTGGAGCATGTCGCTCTCTGCGACGCAGATGAACGAGAGCATCTCATGGACATTGGAGAGCCAGAAGATGCCCGGGATGATGGCATCCTCCCCGCTGAACGACTGCAAGTATGTCAACAACTGAAGTAATAGAGACGGCAGATGAAGGACTGACCATGACATGTGACTGAATCGTCTGCATAACATTCGCAAGGAAGCGCTCGCTCTCAGCGATGAGGCCGTACTTCCACATCTCGTTGGTGACGAGGCTGATCAAGTTCGCCGGGAACAAGATCTCCTTGACCGCTGCCGGATTGCTCTGGCTTGGTGCAGGGATGCGGAGCCCACGGATGAGCCCGTCGAGCACATCCTCGTCCAGCCGCTTGACGTCCTGCATGAGGCGAATCTTCTCCTCTGCCGGGTCCTCGTAGTCACCAGTCTCGTGCTGAAGACCGCGGTTCTTGAAGCGCAGGTAGCCATCTTCGCCGTTGTACGCGACGGAGACTGCACGCGGGTTGAGCACGTTATCCTTCCGCGCGTTCATGATCAACTCGTCCGTCGACGTCCGCGAATCGTACGGGTTGATCGCGTACACGCCCGCAGAGCTGTGGCGACGCTGGTGGCGTTGCGGCGGGTTGAGCTCCGCGGGAGCGCCATTGGGCTGGCCTGAGCGCAGGTTAGGTACGAACGTCGGTGACGGCGGCTCCATCCGAGTACCCTTTGTGAGCGAGTTGAGAGCATTCGCGCGGTTGAGCTGCTCGCGAAGGTTGCTGACTTCGTTCTTAAGGGTGGCGATGACGGAGGTGTCCTCCTGGCTGCGCGCCTGGGCGGCGGCGGCGCTCTGCTGCTGGACTTCCTCGAGGCGTGTGGCCTGGTGAATGAGGTCCTCTGTCAACTTCTGGATGGCAGCCTCCTTCTCTGCAGCCTTCGCCAACGTCTCCTCGAGACGCTTCTCGACATCTGCCTTCGCCTTCAGGAGCTCGTCACGCTTCGTCAACTCGGCCTCCGTCGCCGTCAGAGTCGCCTGCAAGGACTTGGCCTTGCCGTCAGCCTCTTCGTGCCTCGACTGCCAGACCTTCAGCTGCTGCTCTAGCTGAGTCAGGCGGCCCTGCAACTCCTTCTTCTCCTCCGTGCGCTTCTGCAGCGTCTGCGTAAGCTCGACGACCTTGTTCTCCAGCGTGTACGAGATCTCCTTGAACCTGTTAACGGAGCGAGCCTCAGCGCGAAGAGCTTTAAGCTCCCGCCGCGCGAGTCTGCGCCGGATGCAGGACTGGAGATAGACAACATGCTTGACCTCTGCACGGTGTCGCCGGCGAACAAAACTGGAGTTCATAGTAAGCATTGGCGGGTCGGTGGTATAGTCCCAGGACTCACGTTCCACGCAGGAGGCTTTGCAACAAGGATGCAGCTTCGTATGTCCTGGAGTTGCGGTATGTCTGCCGTGCCCGTGCACCACGAATCTCTGGGACACCATGTAAGCGATGGTAAAATCGAGATTGAACAGGTACTTACGGCTCTGGAGCTGCGTGACAAAGCGACTGGTCGCAAGGAAGCGCTGGCGCGCCAGGTGACGCCTAATACCCTTCTGCAACCGCAACACCGCCGTCTCGCGCCGGACGTGCTCGACGAGCCTCTTCGCCAGGATACCTCGCCACCAGGTCTGGATAGTGATCGTCGCCTTCCGCAGGCGCCGGTACTGGTTGACCGCCATCCTCCGGCGCATGTTCTTCTGCACGACGGTGACCATAGCGTTGAGGCGCTCCGAGCGCAGAGATTCCAGGGCGGCGAGCATACCAGCGCGGAAAAAGATCTTGGTCTTGCCGTTTTGGTACTTGTCCGGGTCATTAATTGTGCCTTCGAGGATCAGCGTGCACAGCTTGCGGAGGTCCATCGACTGTATCATGGGCTGCCATACTGAGGACGGGACAAGCATGTAGTACCTGCACAATATTCAGACACTTGCTGAACACGAGAGGACTTGGACGCACCGTTCAGCGAACTCCTCGTATGTCCAACGCGAAGGATAGCCGGCGCAACTGATACGGATTGTCTCGAGCACACCGCAAGCACGAAGTTGTCCAAGGACCTGCTGCGGCTGGAACTCCCAGGGCTTCTTCAGCTCGTTCGGCTTGATGCAACGAATATAGTGAACGTTCGTAACATGCAAAGTGTCCATGAGCGTGATCAGGGAGGCCTTGAAGATCGATCCTTGCGTCGGCTTCTTCGCAGCGAGACCACGCTTGGGAGCAGCGCTGGACGAAGACCCGCTGTTCGAGCCCACGAACGATTGGCGTCCAGGATCCGGAATGACTGACGAGCGCCGCGAGCTGCCGCTGCCAGAGTCGGAGCCAGCACTTGGCGCAGACCCGTCCGCCGACCTTGCCGAGTTGAGCGCCGCATCCAAGACCTCCTTCAGGAAGGGGTTCTTCGTAGCAGCCAGAAGCGCCATATGCTCGTCCGGAACCGTGTCCCTGTTCTTCTCCAGGAAGCCCTCCGCTTCATACGTGACATCGTGCGCGTAGTGAGCAATGGTGAACGCAGAATTGCCGAACCGGGGCTTCTTGAAGACGTTCTTGTTTTCGGGCTTCAAGAGCTGGGTGTTGAGCTTCTGGAGGAAAGACGCATCGCTACCGGAGGGTAACCGAGACTCCTCGTCAAGGAGCGCGAGGACACCGAGCTTGCCCTCAATGACGTCGATACAAGGCTGGTTGTCGGAGAAGTCGATGAAGGTCCAGTTGATCTCTTCCTTGACGTACTCTTCTTGCTCCAGCTTGAAGACGTGCGAATTGAACTACAAAAGGTACTTGTAAGCACCAGTGCAATCAACCCAGTAGCGGAGCTTACCTCCTGCTGCAGCTTCTCGTTGGCGTAGTTGATGCTGAACTGCTCGAAGGAGTTCTGACAAGATCATCAGTACCAGAACTTCGTCGAGGACTGCCGAACTCACCTTCTTGAAGTGCTCGAAACCGTAGATATCCAAGACACCAATGAACATCTCCGCGCGCTCAGCCGCGTCGCCATTCTCGCCCGCCAAACTCTCGTTGACAATCGCGACCAACCATTCGAACATGCACGCATACACGAACTTGGCCACACTGTCGCGGACCACGGTCGCCTGCGCCGCATTGAGCGAGGAGACAATCTTCTCCGAGCGCGTCGTGATCTGCTTCTTGACCGTCCACTTCTTGAACTCGGCGAGATCGACGCCCATGAAGCGCGTAGCAAGCAGCAGCGAGGTATCGTTCTCGTCAAGGGAGGCATCATTGCGCATCTGCGTGATCTTGACATTTCCGAGATGCAGGACGGCGGCGAGAAGACGGAACACGGCCCATTGCTTGTCGATACTGATGCCGACGGTGGACAAAGCCTGTTGCGTCGCGCGGAACTCTTCAGCATCATCAACGCCATTGATGGGAGTCGATGAGTGGCCGCCCTGCTTGAGGTACTGGAACTTCGACGTGTCCGTGTCAAGGCCAAGGTCCTTCCGCTCCTTCGACGGTGCGCCCGCGCACAGTTGGTAGAAGATGTGGTAGTTGCGCTCCGTGAGAGATTGATAGACGATGCGGGCACGCTCAAGAAGGTATGTCCGTATCCGGGCGCCGACAATTTCTTGTTGACCGTCGAATAGAATCTAATCGCAAGTCAGCCAGCGGAAGTGAGTTGAGCGACGAACGCACCTGGATGTACTTCCCGAAGCGGGACGAGTTGTCGTTACGTGTCGTTTTGGCGTTACCGAAAGACTCGAGGATAGGGTTGGTGGCCAGGATCTGCCGCTCAATTTCGCTAGAATCGTCCAAGGAGACCTTGAGGGACCGCTTGTTCGGGCTGTCTGGAGGGTTGACGGAAGCGAGGTAGCGCATGATGAACTTGGCCTGGGATGCGCAGTGAGGGGTTTCCGCGACGCGCTGTAGCATCGCAGCTTACCGATTCTGTCTTTCCTGCACCACTGTACAAGAGTTAGACGGGCATACAAGGCGAAGGACGCGTACGCACCTCTCTCCGGACACAATGATTGTCTGGCCTGTCCCATCCTTCCTCATCGCAGTATACGCGTCCTCTGCAATGGCAAACAAATGGGGCTCCAGCTCCCCCCTCTTGCGGCCAGTATACGCCTGGATGACCTCAGGGCCATAGAGGTTGACGCGCTGGAAGGGGTTGACGGCAATGAGGACGATACCACTATAGGTGTATATGCTATGCTGCGCGTAGCGATTTCGGATGGTATGGAGGACTTGCAGCAGTGTCAGCGCGTCTGGAGGCAGTATATCTCATCCAATAGCGCACCTGAAGGCTCGTTCAAATGTGAGAGGGTGGCGAGATCGTCCGCAGTCTCCAACAGAGGAGGGTTGCGCAGTGGCGGCAGTCCTTCTTTCCCGCTTTTGATGTCGTTCGCGGTCGTGTTAATCGTAATTTCCTGAACGCCGAGTGAGCAGAGCTAGCGGATGAAGGGCGCCGGACGCACCTTGCCGTGCTCGTTGAGGAATACGAGCTTAATGGCATCGTCGGCGCCCTTGGTTACTGAGGTGACCTCCGCGGATATCCAGGCGTGGTCCTTGTCCTCAAACCAGACGCGGGTTCCCTTCGAGTATATGTGTTCCGCCATGGCGACGTGTTGGGCGCTGGGAGAGGCGCCGGACGACGAGCAGACGTGAAGAGGTCGGGATCCCAAGTCTGCTCCCGGCGAGCGAGCGGGTTCGGAGTTTGCCGAGTGTATTTGCGCACATGGCGCGCGGGATGCAAGTTTGGCACGAACTTCAACGCGGTTCGACTTCCGGACCAAATGCGCCTCGCGCTTCTCTCGGCCCTCTGCTCCCGCCGACTACTCGCCCGCACGCTCTCTACCTTCATATGCTCAGTCCTAATCGTCATCCGCCCCTTTTCTCACCTAGGGGGGCAATGGGCTTTCCTCGCACTCACGATTAAGGAGCTGCACTTCTCGGCCCAGGATACTTTGGCACAACAACTCGAGGCGACTGTGCTACATGTCTGGGGCGGTCTCTGCGGCATCGGAATATCTGCGCTCGCGAAATACCTGACCTCTTTGGTATCTGACCCTGCAAACCAACGAGCTCTACCCGCAATCTTCCTAGTCATCATCAGCTTCTTCGGTGAGCCATCTCGTCGTACTAACTTCCCCAACTAACACTAGAGCAGCTGGGGGGCTCAAGAGTCGTCTTCCTCGCCTTACTGGGGCAGCCCGCATCGTCATGTTCATCTCGGTATGGCTGCTCATGCAAGACGTCGGCCAAACGCAGGTAAGCTTCCGCGTCAACCCGCATCCGGCGGCTCGATCTTGACCGGCCTTACAGATCATCCTTCCAGAGGCTGGCAACTTCCTCTGGGTGACCCTCACAGCTTCGGTGACGGCTCTGATTGCGAGCATGATCCTCCTCAGATGGTCGTCTGTCACTGTCGCTCGAGTAGCTACCGCTGCCCTGACGCGCGTGCACGACTGTCTCTCGAACAGCCTCGATAGTGTATTCTCCGAGGGCCCGGGGCGCGTCACCCTCGACCGTAGCCTGCTCAACGACCTGCTCAAGCTCACGATACACCTCAACACGGCCTATCACCAAACCGCATTCGAGCTCCGCCTTGGTCACGTTGGAGGTGGGTCTATCTTCCCATGAGATCATTTGTGGCAAACTCATTTTCTATAGTGAAACCCCTCAAGCCTCTCGTATTCGTGATTGAGCAGCTGAGGCGCGATCTATCTTGGGGCATGTCATTCCCTCGTGTCGCTCGAGAGACGCAGAGTTCGTCGGAGCTCGACATCTTGCAGTCATTCCGTGACCCAGCCCTGGAGCTCGGCGGGGCTCTGCTGGAATCCCTCGAAGCCGTCAAGCGCGTCATTGGCCTGTGCTATGACCATGCCCTCAAGCCCGTCACCTTAGACCAGGATAAGATTCAATTGCATGCTTGCAACGAACGCCTGAATGTCGCCATCGTCGCCGCCCGTAACAAACTCAAAGATATCTGTGATGAACTGGGTGTACAACGAACAGCTACCCTAGACGGGCATTTTGGCTTGTCCCAGGAAGTGTACGACCTTTGTCTGTTCATGATATCCCTACTCCAAGTACGAATTCCTATTCTGTTCACGTTATCGACAACTCATCCTCTACAAGATGGCCCACTCCATGCGCCACACCATCACCATCGTACAAGACCTCGTCGCCTCCTACGAAAACTCCCCCATCCGCCTCTACTACCCTCGCTTCACCGCCGCCTGGCTCGGAGTCGCCCCGGCGTCCATCATCCACGAAGAAGGCGAGCAGGTCACCGAGCAGTCCGACAACCCCGCGTACACCGACCCCAACGACACGCTTGAGAATCTCGTCTCCCAGACCAGCGATGATGGCGACGCGGACTCGGACTCCCTACGCGAGAAGGGCAAGAGCAAACGCCAGGTCATCCCCGGGCGTCCGCTGTCGTACGACTGGTGGTCCGCAGCGCTGCGTATGGCGTGGAATATGCGGACAACGCTGCGGTATCGGTTAATGCTCTCACGGTTCTTGAGGAGTCTGCTGCATTCGAGTCATCTGAAGCATGCCTTCAAGAATGCGATGGGTGTCGCATTGTTGAGTATACCTGCTTTTCTGCCGAATGGGTCGCCAGGTGTGTACGTTATTGCGAGGAGTGTCTCTGTTCTGACCTTTTTGCTAGGCAGACACTGGTTCGACGACTGGCACGGCCAATGGATGGTGATCAGCTTTATCTGGGTCCACGAGATAAACGTTGGCCAAACATGGCGCGTTGGATACCTACGCTTCGTAAGAGCCCACCTTGTCTTCTGGATCCCGCATATCTTGACTGCTGTCAAACCTAGTGGGGAACGGTTGGAGGCTCAATTTATGGCTTCGTGGTAAGTCCCTCTTGTCGATACATCCTAGCCATATCGTCTAACTTTGCCCAATCAGGCGACAGTAATAGCCCATCGTAATCCCTACTTAATCGTTTTCTTCCTCACCGTGAGTTGTTATCTGGCGCCGGTGCTTCGTTCTGCTCACCGTGATCCCAGTTGGCGGAATTACCGCTAAGCTACATCGTAATCAACACAACTGTCCCAAGTCTCGGTGTCGTAGGGTCAGTCACCTCTCATTCTTGACTACAAAGGCCGCTGAGCGTCTTTCTAGGTCGATTACCCTTCCGCCTCTAATCCTCTTGAAGTACATCGTACCCAACGTTGAGACGTCAGACATAAGTATGTGTCTGGTATCTCTTTGCCAATGAACGAGTCGTTGACAATCCTCCTAGTGCTGGCGGTTCAGCGGTGTATCACCATCGTCGCGGGTATTGTCGCGGCTCAAGCAATCAATAGCATATTTCCTCGACACTGCCGAGTAAGCAAGCTCGGCTTTAGGGGTTTGCCACTCATCTAAATGACCTATAGGTATTATTCCTAGACGGTACCAGTCGCACACTACAGCTCATGAGCGAGCTCTACATGGTCTTAAGCCGGTGAGTATATTTGTGCGCTTCTTGACCACACTCTAATCATTATCTCAGAGATTTGTTTAATTCGGGCCACCTCGCCTCGCCCCAGGAGAAGCGCAAGACGATCAAGCTGGAGCTCAGCATCAGGAATTCCCTGCATCGTCTGTCCCTCCTCATGGCCACTATGAACGACGAGCTCAGTCTCGTACCGGTAAGCAGGGTTCATCGCTTGCCCAAGATGACGCTGATGCTCTGCAGAAACCCATGCGTCGATATCGGCGTCTACTGGGGATCCTACAAAATCTACTGGACGTCCTGTCGGGCATCCGCAAGGCTCGCGAGAATATACCCAGACGAGAAACCGTCAACGCCGTAATTGCGCAGCGCCGGGAACTCGTTTCCTGCGTTTGTATATCCTTCTTCGCGTGCGAACAGGTATATCGCGGCCGACAACCACTGCCACAATACCTGCCCTCCTCTCGGCAGGCCGTTCGCACACTCGAGCGACACATAGAGGAGCATATCAAGGAGACGCGAGACAACGAGAGCATCGAGGCGCTTGGGCTGTCGCTGATCTATGCGTTCGCCGAGATAGATTTGCTCAGGGACCTCGCCGAGCGCTTAGAGGACTTGTTGGATGTCACGAAGCAGCTCTTTGGGTCCCATTCCTGGTTCATGCTGGATGAGAGTGGGGACATGACCATCAGGATGGCGACGCACGACCGTGTCGGATCGGACTAACACTACCTATGCAAGTATAATCACACGCTGTAATACTCTCTACCCAACCCCCTGTATGGTATGCTTTGCACCTGTGGGTCCACACCCGGGTAACAATGGCCGGGAGGTTACGAGGGACCCCGAGCCTGTCATCGGGGGTGACAATGGCGCTCCCGATGCGGTGTCAACGATGATGCCAAGCCGCGGCGGAGCGTCCCAACCTCGCTTACGTGCGCAGCGCCCCGCCCGCCTTCCTCCCCATCTTGTTCTGCACGCCCACCACACGCCGTGCTGCCACTCCTTCTTTCTGCCTCATTCTCTCGTTCAACATGGTCTACTTCACCGCCGTTACCGCCTCGCTCTTGTTGAGCACTCTCGTCTCCGCGCAGTCGGACGACAGCGCGCTCGGGATTGCGGCCATCAAGGCGCACTTCAGCAACGCCGGCCTCGTCCCCGCCCTCCTGGAGACGTTCGAGCCGCAGGGCACGCTCACGTTGAACTTCGATGGTAGGCGGGATGATTAAAATTCGATGAAAGGCACACTGATCGCCTCGCAGGCGTTGGCGACATCCAGCCCGGCCAGGCGCTGAGCAAGGATCGTGAGTACCCCGAATCCCGACGATTTACCCCAGAGCAAGTTGCTAAACCAACACAGAGGTCGCCAGCGCGCCCACCTTGACCGTCGCAACCTCCAACTCGTCCGCCACGTCCGGCAGCTTTACCGTGGCGATGGTCGACGCTGACATCGTCGGCGCGGACGACTCGCAGGTTACCCGCCACTGGCTCGTGAACAGCGACACCATCCAGGACAACAAGGTTGACCACTCGTCCGCCAACACGATCACCGACTACGCTGGCCCTGGTCCCGCGGAGGGCTCTGGCGCTCATCGGTAGGTTGTCGCTACATGGCACCAACCAGCGCTAATCTCGCTATTCTAGTTACGTGGTGCTTGTGTACTCGCAGCCCGAGGACTTCTCGCCCCCGCAGGAGCTTTCCCAGCCCGGTGCGGCCGTCGAGAAGTACGACTTCAAGTCGTACGTGTCTGACAGCAAGCTTGGTGACCTTCTCGCTGTAAGTGCTAGACCCAGGGGTATACCAGAAGTCAGCTCAATCATCTGCAGGCCAACTACTTCACGGTCGAGGCGGGCACCTCTACGGTTACCGTCTCCGAGACGTCTGCTGTCGAGTCGAGCACGCTTTCTGCTGCGTCGTCGACAGGCTCCGGCTCCGGCTCTGACTCTGCTTCGGCTACTTCCACTGGTGAGGATGCCGCGAGCACCGACTCGAACGGCGCTGCTTCGTTCGCGACTAGCGGCGGTCTAGTGTCCATGGCAGTTTCTGGCCTTGTTGCCCTCGCCATGGCGTAAATGAAAGATCTGGTAGAGCACGGACTCTCGTACCGCGTATACTTATTGTAGTGTGCCCGCATAATTCAGTACACTGGTTTCGGACTTGCTTGAGCGTTTGTGAGCGTGCATGTTGAGAGACGAACAAGGGTTCGTGCCAAGTGAGCGACGGTCCAAGCGACGGCATGTTTTGTTTACTATTGTCCCTGGCGACCTAGAAGTGAGAATTAGGACTTCCATTGTGCATCCATACCCGGCCACTGCGCCGCTCCCTCCATCCACGAACGCGTTCCCGTCACCGTCCCACACGGCGACCAACGCACCATGGACAGCTTATTCGGCCGCAAGAAGGGCAGACCCCGCCAAGGGTCTGTAACTGGCGATCTCTCCGAACGCTCTGTCCCATACGACCGCCTGCCCTCCTCGCCCCGTGCCCCCGTGCCTGTCGCCAACACCACCCAGGGTATACGCAGCCAGATATCGGCGCCCATCACAAACCCCACCCTCACCGCCAATGGCACAGAGCTCAACAAGTTCAGCATGCAGCGCAACAGGGCCGAGCGCGAAAGGCTCTACGACAATGCCGGTGTGACGCGCCCAGGCTCGCCCTCGACATCGATATCCACTTCCGACTCGCACACCCTCTACTCTGAATCCATGTCCCCATCCGCATCGACAAGCAAACTCCAGAAGGGCGGGCAGACCCGTCGGCTACGCAGCAGCGAAGCGTCTTCGACGAGTTCCCCGCGCAGCCAGGTCATGTCCGATTTCGGGCACTTCCCGCCCTCCACGCCCGGCCAGTCCAACGCGACGCCGCGCCCCATGTCAGGCGCGACGAGCCGGTCGGGCAACCGCGACTCCAAGTACGCGCCGTCAATGATCACGTCCGACTCCCACCAGTCCCACCTCTCCCACTTCTACCATCGTCATGGCGATCGCGACGAGGACTTCCAGTTCCCCCGGCCAGAAAACGATGAGGAGATCGAGGTCATGTTCGAGAACGTGCGGCAGGCGCGCGGCCTGGGCGAGCTCCCTGGCATGTCGATCGACCGCAAGTGGATCATGGTGTACAGCGACGCGCAGATGCGCTGGAAGGAGAGCAAGAAGGAGGAAGAGCAAGTGCGCAAGCAGGACAATAATGGGCAACAGGGCCAGCAGCTATTGCCAGAAACGCCGGAGTGGTTTATCAAGAAGTTCTTGGATAGGACTATCACGGCAGACCAAGCGAGCGGGCTCCTGGTCTGCCTGCGCAATAAAGAGATTAGGTGCGTATTTGATGTATCCTCTAGAACTCTTTCTTGTTCTGACAGATGCTCAGCTGGTTCGAGCACTTTATTGAGCTACAAGGGACGTCGGTGCTTGGCCAAACCCTTGCACATATCAGTCGGAAGGGCGGCTCGCGGCGCGAAGCCGACATTCAGCTGGAGTACAAGGTGGTCATGGGATTGAAGCAGATCCTCAATAACCCAGTAAGTGTATCTCCGCCTACGCGCGCCATTGATGTTAAACAATCTACTAGGCTGCGACCCATGAAGCCCTTACCCACGCCCAAATCATCATCCAAATCGCGTCTTCCCTTAATTCTCCGCACCTTCCAACCCGCAAACTCGCCCTTGACCTTCTTACTTTCCTTGTTTACTGGAGTGACGGCGAACCGTTAGAACAAGTGGTCACTGCTCTCGAGACCCTGAGTACCTCAAATAACGAGGGAAGCGGCTGCTATGATTTCTGGTTCAAGTCCATGGAGCATTCGCTCAGCGGACGCGGCAAGATGGGCTCCCTTGTCGGCGCTAGCGAGGAGGTCCGGCGGACGAATGGTGTTGACAGCTCTTTGAACGACTACGCTGTAAGTAAAGTCCTGCAGCCGTTGCACACGAAACTGAATAGCTCCTCAGCTTTCCAATCTAGTGCTCGTCAATGGCATCATGCGCCAGACGGACGACCTCGATCTGCGGCTGCACCATCGGTCGCAGATGGAGTCTGCTGGTCTGCAGCGCATCCTCGAGCTTTGTCAGGACTTCGGCGTTCCTACCATCGAGAAGCAGATCCGCATCCTGAAGAACTGCATTGACGAGGATGAGGCAAAGCTGCGCGAACGTCTCGACCAGGAGATCCTCCGCGACCTCAACAACCCGAACGATGTCTTCAACGCCATCTTCAGCAAGACGCAGTCGAGCAAGGCTGGGCACTACTTCCTCTCCATCATGCAGCACTTGTTGCTCATCCGAGAGGAGGGTCCGCCCATGGTACATTATTACCAGCTCATCGACTCCGTCGTCACGGACGTAGTGCTCAACAAGAAGCTGGCTGGCGCGGAGCAGCGTCTGGGACATTCCGTCGACCGTATCATCTCGCAGTTCAACGAGGCCGACCGGTACCAGGTTATCGAGGAGGAGGCCGCAAGGGCACGCATGGATGCGACCCGCCTCCGCCTTGAGCGCGATACCCTCGCCGAGGAGATTGCGCAGGGCCAGGATGGCATGGTCGGTCGCCTGAAGGAGGCGCTCTCGCACATGGAGAACAAGCTCAACATGTCGCGCGAGACGACGGCGCGTCTTCAGGTGCAGAATGAGAACCAGCGCATCGCGTACGAGGAGCGCATCGCGCAGCTCGAGGCGCAGATTATGGAGCTGTTCCGTATGCTGAAGGAGGTCGGGAAGGACGTCGAGACGATCATCAACGATGCCGGACTCGTCAGCACTACCGGCGGCATGGATCGCAAGGCGCTCGTCGAGCAGCTCGAGCGTAACTGGCAGCGGACCAAGACCATCGGCATCCTGGAAGGCAGGGATAGCTTGCCTCCCAAACGCCGGAGGCGACCCGGCCAGCATGGCGACGACGACGAAAGCGACGAGGACGCGGACGCGACGCCAGGCAAGACAGGGTCGAAGAGAGGGAAGGGACGCAAGAAGGGCAAACGCGTCATGGAAACCCTGGATGAGAATGGCCGTGTCTCGCAGTTCATGGATGCGGACGATGACGATGCGGAGGAGCAAATTCAGCAGCAGCTTGCTGTTGGGGCCAAGATGGTGAGCCTGATTCCTTCATTTTAACCGCTTCAAACTGACACGGTACCTACAGTACTCTCCCTCGCTCTCGAACTCTCGAAGTATCCGTGGCTCTCCAAGGCGAACCGAAAGGCCGCCTCTCGGTCCTGGTCCCAACAGTCCGTTCAGTACAAACCAAAGACTGGGTCCAGATGGCGTGCCCAATGGGCAAAGGTCCTCTCCTCTCGCAGTACATGGCGACGAAGGTAGTGACGTGGATAGTTCGAACCGTTATACCGGGTCTACTACCGTTACAGACGATACCCAGCCAACGTCAGTTGGCTCTCAAGAGGATGGACAGGGGATCAAGGCATCTGCCCCTGGGTCGTTCGCGGACGAGTTGGCGAAGCGCATGCTGGCCAAGGGGCAAGCACCTCCAATCGACGATCCGAACTCGCCCTTCTCTTCTCAGAACGGGTCTGCTACTGGTGGACCTCCGCCCCCACCGCCTCCGCCGCCTCCACCGCCGCCTCCGCCCCCGCCCCCACCAGGACCAGGTGGGCGCATCAATGGGGTTGGTGGAGGTCCCGGTAGTCCGCCACCTCCCCCTCCGCCACCACCTCCTCCACCGCCTGGCTACAAAGCACCCATCCCTTCTGGCGGTCACGGTTCCAGCTTCCCCTCCCAAAGCAACATTTCCTCCGCTTCCGCTTCTGCGTACAGCTCGCCGCGCGCGTCCATGTACGGGCACCACCTCAACCCTTGGATGGCGCGGAAGGACATGCCAATTACGCCCAGCACGAAGATGAAGCAGTTGCAGTGGGACAAGCTGCCCCAGACGCAAGTCGGGAGCACGGTGTGGAATGCGGAGACGGCGGAGAAGGAGAACGAGATGTTAAAGAAGCTGCAATTGGACGGTGTGTGGATGCAGATGGAGGAGGATTTCAAGGCGAAGCAGCTTGTGATCAACTTGATGGGTATGTCTTGTGTGTATCATCCGATGCACCTCGTCTAACATCACTCTAGCCCGTCAGAAGCGTGCGGAACTCAAGAGTGTGCTCGATCCTCAGACCAAGAAGCGCGTCGGTACGTGTTGTCTACATACCATGCTTGCGCAGTCGCTAATATTGGTCGCAGAAATCCTCATCCAGCGTGTCAAGAAACTTGCCCCCGAAGAGATTGCACGCAAGATTCAGCAGTTCGACCAAGAAATGTGCACGCAACTCTTCCTCAGCGAGCTCAAGCCCGTCCTACCTTCACCCGAGCAAGTCGGCAAGCTCAACGTCTACCGCAACGCCGAGCCAGAAGAGCTTGCCGGTCTGCACCTCGCAGATCGTCTCATGGTCAAGCTCATTCAGATCGACCGCCTCGGTCCGCGTATCGAGGGCATGCTGTACAAGTGCACGTTCGACGAGAGTTGGGGACTGTTGCATGACGTACGTCGAAAGCGATTGAATGCCGAGACCTGGTTGACACTACTATAGGGCGCTCGGAAACTGCACGAAGCTGGAGAGGCTCTGCTCAATGCCCAGGCTTTCAAAGAGCTGCTCAGTGTAGGTCCAAACTTTGAAGGTCGCGCATCTCGCTGACACTTCACCAGCTCATCCTGCTCATCGGTAACTACATGAACGGGACAGGCAACAAGGGTGGTGCCTTCGGCTTCAGGGTCAGCAGTATCAACAAGGCAAGCCGGTCTTTTCCAGGCATGAGTTTACCCTGACCATGATTTCAGCTCGTCGACACCAAGTCCGTCAACAACACCACTCTTCTCCACTTCTTGGAGCGCACGGTCAACAAGCATTTCCCCGACATGGAGTCGTTCTTGGACGAGCTCGTGAAGCCTGCCGAGGCCTACCGCGTGAACCTGCAGGACATCCGCCGTGGTCTTTCTGAGCTCCGTGACGGCCTGAAGAGGATACGGCAGGAACTCAGCGACCACTTCACAGACCTCGAGCCGACTGAGCTGTACGGGCGGCAGATGTGGAGCTTCGTTGGCAAGGCCACAGACCAAGTTGCGGACCTTACGGACGAGGTTAACCTAGCCGACGCAACCTTCAATGAGGTTGTGAAGTTCTACGGTGAAGAGGACAAGAACATGTCTTCATCCGAGTTCTTCGGTGTCTTCAAGACCTTCGTTACGTCGTACAAGGTATGCATCTCGTCTTTAAGATGCGCATTCTGCTTACACAAATATGTAGAAATGCAAGGCGGACAATCAGACCATCGCCGAAGAGCGCGCCGCTGTGGAGAAGCGCCGGCAAGCAGTGGAGGAGTCCAAGGCGAACCGTGCCAAGGCGGCAGAGGCTGCTGGCGACAACGACGTGCTGGACACGTTGTTGGAGAAGCTGCGCAACGGCGACACCGTAGGACGGCGGTCACGACGCACGCGGCCGAGCGCCAGTACTCGGGCTGCACCACCACTTCCCCTCGACCTTACAGACCTCGACGAGTCCAGTGATGCAGCCAACATTGCTCGCGACATGTTGGCACAACTGGCGTCAGACGGCTTCCAGGCAGCAATACCTGCCTCGCCTACCGTTGCAGCTGTCGAGCGACGGCGAAGGCGACGTGCCGAGCGATCTGCAGCACGCAACGAGAGCGAGCCAATGTCGCCGACGAGCGAACTCGAGAATCTCCCGGAGGGATCTGAGTATCCTCTATCGGATGGGCCCGAGCACTCAAGATCACCTACAGAAGAGGTTCCCCCTGAATCATAGTCTCTCCTTTACCTCTTTTTCTTTCCTTCATGCTCCCTAATGACCACCCACCGATACCAGGATCACGATATATCAGTTATTATGTATCCGTATTTTCGCACTGCTCTCGGACCACGCACAGTTGCTCTACCTCAACGCCTAGCTGACCGTTCGCTATCTTCTGTGCCATGGAGTAATTCTAGCTGTAGATAGGTAGTTACAGCGTGCTGGAGATGAATATTATGTATTCCGCAGGGATGGCGTCACAGCCAGACGCGTCGGAAATTTACTTGCCCTCTTCGTTCATGACCATGTCCCCGGCGGCGACGGTGGCGGCAACCATCTCGACACTCTATCGTGTCCTGTGCTATGCGTTCCTCAGAGTGATCCCCTCGCCGGTGCTCTTCTACCTCATCAGCGTATTCTATCCACTCCACTTAGCAACATGGGTCCTCCTCTCCCCCCAGCAGGTGCGTTCCCCCACGCGTTCCCCCTCCCCCCTCCCTCTAACGTCCCCCAGCTCGCAAAGCCGCACGACCACAATGCCTTCAAGTCGGTTGCTCTGTCCATCCCGACGCGTTTACGACCTTCACGCATCATCAACCTCACGATTAATGCCTTGCTGCTGCTGTGTGTCGGCGACATGGTTGCCTCGCCTGTGATCGACCCCGCTACGGAGGTTGCCTTTGCACGCACGGGAGCCGTGTATGAAGATGGCGCGAACATCGCCGTTCGCTACCCCCAGGAGAACGCGACGGAGGGCGCGGTACGCGTGCTCTGGCGCAAGACCGACGACGAGCAGTCCCCTGCCTGGATCAAGGGTCCCCTCGTGCACGTCACTGCAGAGTCCGACTGGGTAGGCCACGCAAGTATCTTTGGCTTGCAGGAATCGACCCAGTATGAGTGTACGTCGTCTACTGGTTCATTCCGCTCATGACATTGACTTAGCTCCAGACATCCTGTCGACTCCTGAGACGGAAGTCCTTCCTGTCCCCGAGCGTCCCATCACCTTCCGCACCTTCCCCAACCCGCGCACTAAGGGCTCCAACTTCCGCTTCATCTCGACGTCATGTCATTTGCCCAACTTCCCCTACGTCCCCGGCGAGAGGAATACGTTGAGGGGATGGGACTACCTGGCGGACTACCTTAGTAACCAGGTCAAGGAAGCAGCGACACCTCTTGTGGAGTTTGCACTCTTCCTTGGCGACTTCATCTACGCAGACGTCCCGCACTACTGGGGTGACGACAAGGAAGCGTACCGCCGCCTGTATCGCCGCGTCTACAAGAGCAAGAGTTTCCGGAGGGTATACGAGCAATTGCGTGCGTATCTGTTGCAACAATCCGTACTTCCGTTCTGACCATCCTTTAGCCATATTCCACACTTACGACGATCACGAAGTGGGTGTGACTTGCACGTCCGATTGACCCATGCAGCTCACTTCAGTGCAGATTAAGAACAACTTTGCTGGCCTCGACGACCCTACGACTGCTCCGTACCCCAATGCATCGAGTGCTTTCGACATTTACAATGCTCAGGCCAACTACCCTGCGCGAGCCACCGGCCAATACTACTACACCTTCAACTACGACGATGCAGCCTTCTTCGTACTCGACACTCGTCGCTACCGTGACGGACTCGACGTGCCTCTCGAGGAGCGTACCATGCTTGGCGCAAAGCAGCTTGCTGCCCTTAGGTCATGGATACAGAGTGTAAGCTCACGCGTGCCCTCCCTAATCATCCTCCACTGACGACATATTATAGACCAAATCCACCGCCACCTTCAAGTTCATCGTTTCATCCGTCCCCTTCACCTCCCTCTGGGGCCACGACGCCCAGACAGACTGCTGGCCCGGCTTCCCCACCGAGCGTGCCGCCCTCTTCGAGCTCTTCCACTCCGTCCCCAATGTCGTCATCCTCTCCGGCGACCGCCACGAGTTCGCGCACATCGAGTACACCGGCGGTCAAGGGCAGCATACCTTCCACGAAGTCTCAGCAAGCCCTATGAACATGTTCTACATTCCGCTGTACCATACCCTTAAGTCACAGAGCGAGGAGACGGTGGCTGTCTCTGTGGTTCGGGACGGCGTGAATGGAACGGATATCGTTGATGAGGTGGTGCCGAAGGAGCGGGTGTTGAAGTACATCCCGGAAGGGAACCAGAAATGGTGTGCATTTTTTGCGGATCTCTCTCCTAGGCCTTTACTGACAGGCACCACAGGGCGACGTTCGAGGTTGACACTCGGGACCCACATTATCCAACAGTGCAGATCGAGGCCTTCATTGGCGGTGTTCCCTCCTACCAGTCCGTCTCCTCCATTGCAGTCCCATACCTCATCTGACGACTAACAGCTATCAACTCAATGGCACCGCCGTCAACCTACGTCGTGGCTTCAGCGCCATCGGCGAGCAGTTTGACATCTCCAAGTTCTTCTCGAACCTGTTCAAGGCGCGCTAAAGCGGTGGAATACCCTCGTAGAAAAAGACGTTTCTGTACGATGACTGTGTTTGGTGCGTCGGACGGTCGAGCATCTAGGATATACCAAGAATGTATAGCATACATGTAGGACTCGTTGGCTTAGCGAACCGCACGCTGTAAGTAGATGCTTTGCTAGCCTGCGGGTAATGTACGAGACCGTGTAGTCAATGCTTGCGTATTGTTGCGTGTTGTAGTCAGTGATTTTGTTTGGTACACGGTCTACTACTTATGTAGAGGTACGAAGCCTTGCGATACCTATGAGTCCACTTGCGAGAATCGTTTCTGGACCTCGCGATAGTGTTCCATCTCGGCCTGGCTGACACTGGGAACGAGGTTCCTGAGGGCGACCTCGAAGTCCTCGGAGCGCACGAGCACTTCGATCTCCTTCGGTGAAGCCAGTTCCGCGAGGTAGTACTGCGGCGTCAGCGGGTAGGGGTGGTCGGGTAGCGGTCCCTTCTGGTTGAGCGATGCTGAAGCAGGGGTAAGACGACTACAATAAAATAGACAGCAAGCTTCATACCTATGACTTCCTCTAACTCTTCCGCTTTTCGCGACATAGCATTGAGCATCGCATCCGAGCATAGAGCGTAGAAGTCCGCGCCCGTGTAGTTGAATGGACACTTCTCTGCGATAGCACGCAAATCTAGCGTCGAGTCCAGCTTGAACTTGCGCGTGAGGGCTTCCAGTATACGCAGCTGCGCCTCGTGCGTATCGCTCACGCCAAGGTACAACATCCGGTCGAACCTACACTCAGTTAGCTAACACTCTTATCTAACGACCCACCACTCACCTCCCAGGCCTCAACAAAGCGGGATCCAACAGATCAGGCCGATTCGTCGCCCCAATCACGAACACATCCGCCCCTCCACCCGCCATCCCATCCAGCTCCGCCAACAGCTGGCTCACAATCCTATCCATCACACCGCCCGAGTCGCCATGGTTGCCCCTCTTCGGCGCAATGGAGTCCAGCTCGTCAAAGAACACCACGCACGGCCGCGCGTCGCGTGCGCGCTGGAAGACGCGGCGGACATTGGCCTCTGACTCGCCGATGTACATGTTGAGCAGCTCGGGGCCTTTGACAGAGAAGAAGTTGAGGGAGCAGGAGGTGGCGACGGCTTTGGCGAGGAGTGTTTTGCCTGTGCCGGGTGGGCCGTAGAGGAGGATACCTGAGATATGTTAACCTTATGTCCCTATGAATATAGGAAAAGTCACACCAGACCGCTGCTTCATCCCACTCGCAAACAACTCCGGGTGGTCCAGCGGAAGCTGGATGGTGTCCAAAATATCCGCCTTCACATCCGCCAATCCCCCAACGTCGTCCCATGTCACATTCGGGATCTTCGGTGCGCCGACCTTCGTCGAGTACGACGCACGCACTTTGTTCAGTGCAAGGTCGAAGTCCTGAGCCGTCAAGGAAATGCCAGAAGCTATGAGGCTGGGAGCATCCGCTCCGCTGTTGCAAATGTCAGGCTACGGGTTCATTGCAAAGCAGAAAGACTCACGTTGCCCCCATTGTCCTACCAACAGCGGCAGCCTTCGCATGCCTAACAAGATCCACCAAATTTGCGGCTACCAATGCAGCCGTCTGCTGTGCCAGATGGGCAATCGACACATCTGGAGAGATGGGGAGGTCACTGGTTAGGACCTCCAGCATAGCGAGGCGGGTAGCTTCGTCTGGAGCCTGAGCGATGACTTTGTCAGATGAATAGTCGATGCTTCAAGGGAATGACGACTCTACCTCAAAAGCAATCTCATGCTTGAAACAAGACAGCACGCCCATTGGCACCTGCCCGGCCTCGCTCGTCGTCCCTACCACCACGACCGGATACTCCGTCACGCGCCACGCCTGGTGCGCCTCTGCCATGCACTCGCGCAGGACGTTCACGATGGCAGGCTCTGCAGACTCTCATAAGCATTGAGCAAGGTTAATACCCTTCACGCGTGCACCTTTCCCACTCTCCTGCACCTGCGCATTCTGCGCCAGTGCATCCACATGCCTCAGCAGCAGCACGCACGGCGAGCACTCCGCCGCTTGCGCGAATCTGGCCCTCATTATCCCCTGCGTCTGCGCGTCGTTGTCACCGAGGAGGTCGTAGCAATTGACCTGGAAAAATATAATATCAGCAATGTGCTTCATGTTACCGTGTATACAACAGAACGATCGTAAGGCCTACTCACCTCCATCAAATGCATACCCATCCTCTGCGCAATCCAGCTGACCGTCGTTTGCTTGCCGCAGCCTCTCGAGCCTTTCAGCAAGATCGAAAGGTTCAGGTCCAGGTCGACAGCCCGCCTCGAATGTATGACCGAGACCACGTCGAGCAGCTGCCCATAAGGACTTGCAGGCGAAGTCAGCGGAGAATCCCCTCCCTCGACGGAGCGCGGAAGGGCTGGGCGCTGACCAGACTCTGCATTCGAATGTTGAACACCCATGCTGAAGCACCAGACCCACACCCACTCACCACTCAACACATAGCCCTCCACCGCCGGCACATACGCATGATCCACCCCCGACTGCACCATCCTCGTCACTCCAGGGTCAATCCAGCAGCCCAGCTCTCCATACGTTGCCGCCGCATATACGTCCTGCGCCCCTGCGCCCGACTGCACCGCGCCCGGCACCGCATCGTGCTCCACGTTCGTGATCACAAAGAATACGATGGCATTGCCGGAGTTCGCTATCCTACATACAGAAGTTGGCCATAAATACGACATCCGCATATGCAACGATGAGCGGACCGACCTCTCATCTGCGACACCCTCGAGCTCTTCCTCGCTGTCCTGTTGCGTGCGCGCCGCGTTCGTATCGATCGCCAACGCAATCATGTCTCCCTTCTTCACCAGCCGCTTGCGTTCTTCGAAGTACTGCTTCAGCTTGCCAAGGTACTGCGACTGGTACTGCTTGTTGATGGAGATCGGGGAGCCCACGCGCGAGATTGTCACCGAGCGCGCTGTCGGGATGGGTGGGTGGGATGGACCGAATGGCGACGAAAGGAGAGTTAGCTGAGAGTCAGAGGTCCGTACACCGGCATTGTGAAGTAGAACAGGTGATGCGTGGGCTTCACTGCTATGCAAAGGTTTGTTAGCGTATTCCAGCAGTGTTTGCCCATTGAAAAGACGCACCCGTTCGGAGACATCGCTTCATGACTGGTAATCTTGACTAGCCGCTTCCCACCGGCTGCCTGAGTGATCCCCTGTCAGATGCGTAAGTACCTTCGAAGTCCAGCGAATCATATAGCTATACCCAGTCGCCATTGAGGACACCAACGCGTCCGAGGTCCGAAGTGCGAACGTATATCGTAACATCATCATCTTCTGAGGCAGGCGCGTCGAGAGGTACCGCAGTAAAGACCGAGTTGTGATGGAGAAAGCCGTTCGAATTTAAGGTAACGTCATTGACACCTGCAGACGCAGAGCTTTGTGAAGCCGAGATTGTGTTTCCCAAGAAAGCCTCGTCGATCTCGAAACCATCATCCTCGTCTTCGAAGTTTGCGCCGTGATTCGTCGGCTCATCCAAGTCTGCCTCATCTGGCTGCAGAACGACTAGACGTGTTTGCCCCTTGACAGCGCGTCCTTGGAGTACAGGCTCCATCATTTCTACACGATAGCGGAGAGGCGTAGGTGAGGACTCAGATGCATTTCCGTTCATCCCCAACGCTGCATGCGGGAAGGTCAGGACAGAACCTTGCCGCAGGATGATGTTCTCGCTGAAGATGGTGGAGTCCAGGAAAGCATCGGAGGAGGTTGCCAGATGTGCGTGTTCAGATAGAGGGGAGATGACGGCTTCCTTGAGGGTAATTGGCTGTCCTAAGGTCAAAGTGACATGAGAGGTGGCGCGGAAGAGATGGATGTGCGCTGGAGGTATGAGGACTCGGTCTGCCTGGAGTAGAAAGTCAGTGGCAGTTAATCAAGATGAGTCGTGCACATACTTCTTGATCTAATTGTGCCCTACATACGAGGCTGTTTGAAGAGTGGGAGCGTCGAGAAGGAGCTGCGACCACGAATCGCGAAGAGCTGTCGTCCTGAGGCCAGAGCGCAGACCAGATGTTGACGGGAGCAAGTACCACATCATCAACGCTGTCCGCAGCGACCTCAAAGGGCGCCTCAATCCCAGTACTCTCCCCGTCGAGCATGATGGACGAAAGCAAGAAGCAGGACGCGCTCAAGATGCGCGCGCTTCCCCGGACTCGGCAGTCGGCGCGAGTTGCCGGCGCGCGTGATTGTGATTGATCGGAAGGCGATACCAAACAGGGCACAACGCCGGCTTAGCCTCCGAGCCCGATTGCTTTTTTCGCCACTCCGCCAATAATCCATATTTCCCCATCATCAAAACATGTCCTTCAGAGGCGGACGCGGTGGCGGGCGAGGGGGCGGCGGCTTCCGCGGCGGAGGGCGCGGGGGCTTCCAACAGCGCGACTTTGGCCCCCCAGATCAAGTACTCGGTGCGTTCCCCTCTCCTCGATCGTGCATACCGTGCACCTTAAGCTAACAATTGCTCACAGAAATGGGCTCCTTCCTGCACGCCGTCGAAGACGAGATGCTATGCTCATCCCTCATGCCGGACAAGGTCCCCTACTTCAACGCCCCCATCTACCTCCAAAACAAGTCCGTCATCGGCAAGGTCGACGAGATCCTCGGCCCCATAAACGAGGTCTACTTCTCCGTCAAGATGGGCGAGGGCATGGTCGCCAGCAGCTTCAAGAAGGGGGACAAGGTCTACATCGGCGGCGACAAGCTGCTTCCCATCGACCGCTTCCTTCCTAAACCTAAAGCAGCAGGCGGTACGTGCACTTATCCTTCTTCACCCACAAGGATGCTAATTCTCTCGCGATCACTCCAGGCGTCAGTGCGTATACATCCATGACACCTCCAATCCACACATCTAATACCACACAGAAAAGCGCGGTGCAGGACGAGGTGGTCCAGGCGGCCGGGGCGGCGGACGTGGTGCACCCCGCGGTGGAGGATTCCAATCGCGCGGCCGGGGAGGCCCCCGCGGCGGTGGTCGCGGCGGCTTCGGTGGTGGAGGTGGATATGGTGGTGGCGGCGACCGTGGCTGGGGCGGAGGCGCATCAAGAGGGCGCGGTGGCGGGCGCGGAGCACCCCGCGGTCGGGGTGGATTCCGAGGGTCATAGTCTGCAGAGATGGAAAATGTTCCCGGTCCCGTCTTCGCTTCCCCTGTTGCCGAGCAGTGCGCGTCGGCAGCACACATGTACACCCGCACACCCTCTTGTACTCCCTGTACACTTGCGAACTCTTCTGTACACCAGCAGCATCCTCCCTATACACGCGCAGCGCGCACCTCACATCCTCCCCGCCTGCCGCATATCGGCTTCCACCATCACCTCGCGCGCGATGCGTTCTTGTTGTGTACTCAGCGACTGTTGTAGGGATGTCGCATCAGCCCGGTGTATAGAATGTTGTACGAAAGCAATGAACGCACCTGCACAACCTCCCGATTGAGTGCAGACGTCTCCGTAAAGACCTCCTCGATCTGCTCGAAGATGGCTTCAGCATCTGTGTAAAACCCATCAGCTCCTCTGCTTTCCCTCTCCCCTCACTCCCTCCCTTCAACCCATGTACCGTGCACTCACCCGCCATATCCTCCACCTCCATCTCCCCATCCTCCTCCACTCTCCCCGCCGGCGCCGCGTCCACCGCCAGCCGCTCCTGCACTAGCTCCCTCATCTTCTCCTCTATTTCTTGCGGCTGCGTCTTGCTCTGGTGCGCGAGCTGCTTGTGCCAGTCGAGGTTTGTCGCGTTGAGGGACCAGATCTTGCGGTCGAGGGCCTCGTCGAAGGGTTCGGTGTCTAGATGGGTTGACTTGTCAGTGTGCACTCGAGAGGCACCAGTCCGGTTAGGGCTATACAGGATGGGTGGGGAAAGGAGAGGAACAGGAATGATGGGCGGTGGCGCGTGCACTGACGTCGCGACGCGTCCCGTAGAGACGCGTCTATGTCAAAATGGTGGGGAACAGCAGCTTGAAAGAATACGGCATGTCGAGAAATTAAGGGCTCGTCGTTTTGTAAGGAGCGGGAATGTTGAAGCGGCAGCGACGCGTCGAGGACGTGGTGGCGCGCACAGGCATCAAACACGCACCAAGATCCTCCTCATTCACCGTGTCCATCTCCTGCCCATTGACGCGTACATTCGCCTTCATCGCTGTGATCATGCCCTCCACATACTGCAAAACGCGTTGAGCGAGATATTCCAGGGAAACACGGAACACGCACACTGTCCAACGCCTTCCGTGCCGCCTCTTGCTCCTTCTTCGTAGCGCGACTCCCCGCCACACTCGCCTCGAAGCACTTACTCATCGCCGCTCTCAAGTTCTCCTTGATCTGCCGCCACTCATGCACCGTGCTGATCGTGATGCGTTCCCCAGAGTCCATGGTGATGATAGCAAAAGGCAAGTAAAGTAGAGTACAAAGGCGATCATAAATTACAGCAACATCAAAGCGTCTAAACATCACATAGCTATTGTCCTATGCTGATGTCCGCTGCTTCTTCACCACCTTGATCCCCGCCAGCTTGTTCGTCTTCTTCTTCGCCCCCATCGCCGCCGTCGACGTCTTGATCAGCGTCTTCGCCGACTCCGGGAGCAAACTGTGCAAGTCCGGCTCGACGTCGTCCGCCGCCTTGCGCTTCACGGTCACCACCTTCGGCTCCTCCGCCCCTCCCGCCGCGCTCGACCCACTCCCCGACGGCCCCGGCCCCGCGCGCACCTTCGCAAACACCTCCTGCACAATCTTCTCGTCCTCCTCCTCCAACCGCTTGCGCTCCTGATCCTCCTCGTCTTCGATCTCCTCCATCTCAATCTTCGCGAGCAAGTCCACCGACTGCCCCATGCGCTCGTTCCGCGCATTCCGCGCGCGGATGTCCTGCAGCGCGTCGAGGATCTCCATCTCCCGCTTCGAGTCCACCGTGCGGTTCTCGAGCGCCTTCATCGGGTTGTTCTCCTCCTCTTCCAGTCTTGCCAGCCGATCCTCCTCCTCGACCTCCTTCTCCTCACGCCAGGGCTCGAAATTCCTCGACGCGCCGTGCTCCGCCGCATAGTCCGTGTTCTTTGGGTCTGTCTTGAACGTGATCTCCGCCGAACACAGCGTACTGTTCACCCGTTACTAATCCGGTCGCACAGAGGGGGAGCAGCAGGACGCACCATTTGATGTAGAACCTAAAGATCTTAATCCCATAATAGTCCTCCCCCTGCACTGTCTCCTTGCGCGCATTGAACTTCTTTCCCTTGTAGATATACTCGCCGCACGTATTGCAGCGCATAGAAAACGGGGCCATGAGACGGACGACCTGCTGCGAGTTCTTCGTCCCCTTGCGCCGCGGAATAAGATCCGGGTCGAAGTCGGGCGGGAAGTATTTGTTCAGGACTGAATGAGGCGTAAGTCGAGCGTGTAGGAACAAGGGGAGCACTGCACGCACCTTTGCGCTCGGACATGGTGGCGGTTGGCGGTCAAGGGAGCGCTGGTCGGTAAGACGGACCGAGGCGATCATTAGACGTCGTGCACGTGGCACGCCTTTTCTGGACCCACAACTTCTTGACCGCGGCTCTCACTTCGTTATCGTCTCGCGCTGTGAATGCGCTGTTCAAGAGATTGATTCACGACATTCAAGGAACAATGGGTACATTCTCGGCTACTTCCTTTCTAGTAAATATATCTACAGACCCCGCCATTTCAACCTCTCCTTCACCTCCACTTCCGTCTGCGATAACAAATCCTCCGAGCTAAACCCAACATGTACTCCATATTTCCCTGGCGTCACCACCCACGCATCCTCTCTTTCATCCCAATGCGCCACCGCGTATTTATCCAGCCTGATCTGCACAGCCTGCGTCTCACCTGGTTTGATGTCCTTCACCTTCGCAAAGCCCCGCAGTTGGTATTCCGGCTGCGCAATGCCAAGGTCAGGGTACGAGACGTAGACCTGCACGACCTGAGAGCCCGCGACGAGTCCGTCGTTCTTGACCTTGACGGATACCGTAGCCGCCGGGCCGTTCGCAACCTTGACGTCCAGATCTGACAAGGAGAAGGTCGTGTACGACAGCCCGAACCTGCAAGAAAAGTCCCTCGTCAGCACCATCCCCTCTCCGCGCCCATGGTTGTCACTCACCCGAACGGAAACAGCGGCTTCACCCCATGCGTCTGATAATGCTTGTATCCCACAAACACGTCCTCGCGGTAGTATATCTTCCCCCTCTCGCTTCCCAGGTGCGGATACGCCGGGATATCCTGCTTCTTCACCGGAAGAGTGATGGGGAGCTTGCCCGCTGGATTGATCTTGCCGGACAGGACGTCCGCGATGGCGTTCCCGACTTCGTTGCCCAGATACCAGGTCTGGAGGACGCCGGCGACGGAGTCAATCCAGGGCATAGAGACGGCGGAGCCCTGCGGTGATGTTGTCAATGAGTTCTTCTGCGGCACACTAGAAGAGCAGACTTACCGCCTGGATGCAAACAATCGTCTTCGGGTTTGCCTCTGCCAACCTCGCAATCGTCTCGTCTTGGCGGCCAGGCATCGACAACGTGGGCCTATCGAAGCCCTCGCTCTCCCATTCTGGCGTCAGTCCGCCCACGAAGATCACCACATCCGACTCCTTTGCCAGGGCAGCGGCGTCCTCGATAGCCTTGTCAGGGTCAATCTTCTCCGCACCGCCCAGTCTCTGTCGGCCATCAACGTTCACAGGCGGTTTCGCAGACCCCTGTGGCTACGACTCACCACTCCCCTCATCAACGCCGGCTGAGCATTCCTCCTCTCGTCATTTGAATCCTGGTCGGGCGGAGGCGTGTTCGTGTACTCGATATTGAGGCGCACAGGCTTGCCAGCTTCCAAGTCAACGACGGCCTTTTCTTCAATGGTTCCCTGTCCATAGAAGAAATCTCCTGGCGTCTGCTTCGTCCAGTTGTCGATCGTCAGCTTGCCGTCGATCCAGAGCTTCGCGCGTCCTTGGCATGAAGTCAGCAAGGAGCGAACGAAGAAAAAGCGAGGTTTATACCAGCGACAGTCAGCCCAAGCTCGAAAGGCCCCGAGCGCGGCACAGTAAGGTCGCCTTCGACCTTAATCGTCCACGTCGGCGTGATGCCCGGCAGGATAAAGTCATTCAACTTCAGACGAGTGTCCTTGAGAATGTAGGTCGCCAGTGGCTCCGTCGGATTGCCGTTCTCGTCGTGCTTGTAGAACGTAGCCTTCCAACCCGGCTCGCCCTCAGGCGTCTTCAGCTTGTCCTCCAGGGTCGGCAGATATTTGTGCGCTAGCAAATGCATAAGTTCAGTCTGATTTTTTCCACGACGGTGTGAGCGCAAACTCACCATAACACCCAACATGATACGAAATCTCGTACCCATCCCCAAGCGCCGCCTTCAGGCCCTCATATGGCGTCACCACATAACTCGGCGCCAACGCCGCCGACCCGCCCCCCGAAATCACCCTCCCATGCACATTCGGGCCCACCATCGCGATCTTCTTCACCTTGTTCGTCAACGGCAGCACCCCGCCCTCATTCTTCAACAGCACGATGCTTTCACCCGCCACCCGTCGCCCGAACGCGTGCATCTCGGGCGTGTCCCGCGTCCCCTCATTGCCGTCCCCGTACACAATCTCTGGGTTCCGCTTCGCCTGCCGCTGGATGAAGGTGAGCATGTTTGTAACGCGCTCGTCGAGTGTAGAGGCCAGCAGCTTCTGGCAGGACATAGTGTGCAGCATGAGTAGGAGCGTGCGCCAGCGGGGAGGACCAGGCATCTCGAGCTCGAGGCCGGCGTTGAGGGGTTGGTCGGTTCCGTATGTACCGTACCTGGAGAAGGTTGAGGTTGTCTGTGATCAGAGGATAGGAAACACACGGACCAGTCACTCATGACGATGCCGTCGAACCCCCAGTCGTCGCGTAGAATACCTTGCAGTAACTCGCGACTTTCCGAGCAATGCACTCCATTGATGCGCCCATAGCTGGAAAATATAGTATGGGGTGTTTTGTAGGTACCGAGAGGGCATTACTCACGATGTCATGTACGCCCATGGCTTAGCATGAATTTGGGCCAGCATGAAGCTACATAATGTTTAGTTGTCACGATTGACGAGCGAATTGTCAGGCGCTTACGGGTAAAGGTAGATCTCCCGCAGAGCACGATTGCTCATCACAGACTCAGCCGCAGTGCGCTCGTCCTCTTGGTCATTGCCAACGAAGTGCTTGATGGCTAATGTGCTCAAGTCAGCCTCGTATGACATCTAATGGGTCAACACACTCACTTGCAGCGACGCCTTTGGATTGAAGCCCATTCACATACGCAGCAGCTAGCGTTCCTGAGGGTCGCAGTATTAGGTCAATTCCAAGGCGAAGCTCGCTATCACGAACCCGACAGATGTGGATCCTCCGAAAAAGACTCGAACGAACGTCCGCCAAGGGGGTTGCGCTGGATGTTGCACGTCGGCGCAAGGAGGACTACAGAGGACTTGATCTTCGCTTCTTCCGCCAGAAACTCGCCAACCTCGTGAACGAGGTCCGGGTCAAAGGTGGCTGCAAGGGCCGTCGCGCACTACGGAGATTATAGAGATGTGCGCAGGTGGAACACGAGACGTACAGGTAGACATTGGGCAGGAGTAGCCAGGAAATGCGACGAACCGCGGACGCCCTGAAGTCGAGTTCAGCTAGAGGTACGAAAGCAAACCCAGAGGGATCACATTAGGACCATCGCTCATACGGATGGCAGGGATCTCCAGACGCTCGACAGCAGACGTATTCCACCAGTTCGGCCCAGCAAGCAGCGAGACTTTCTCATCGACCCTCAGTTTCTTCACCAGGTCAGAAATCGACGCATCGAGGAAAGAGCGAGAGACGGGCATCGTCGCAGGTCAACAGGACGCCCTCGACGGCTTTCAGTCGCCTTTATGGCCCGGGTAAACCTCGGGTACCCGGAAAGATAAGAAGTGATGTCCAAAACCGACGTTCAAAGCTCAGGCCGGCGCGCTCTGGTCGGAGGTCACAGGTAGGTTGCATTTGGTCTGCTGAGCTCAAAAGCACGAGATGGTGGTTAGGAACAAGCAGAAGGTGGCGTTTCACGCCCAGACTGGGTCGGAAGATGGTCGGAGGGCGGTGGAAGTTGGTGGAACTGTCCAAGTTCGACTAGACCGGCAAGTCCCGCGCCATCGAACCAAAAGATCCCACGCCTCAGCCTCCCCTCCTCCCTTCGCCACCCACTCACAACCATCTCACCTTTTCCACAATGGCTACAACAGAAGAAGAGCCACTCACGAACACCATCGCACCAAAGACCTCGGCTACCCTTACTGTCCGAGTAATCAAATCCTTTGAGTACCGGACCGAGAAGTCTCTCGTCCTGCACAATGTGAACCTCGAGACGACCACCGTCGGCCGTCTGAAGGAGATTGCGAGAGAAGGTAGCTCACCCTCACGTCACTGACCGTGCTCGTATGTCGACGTCGTTTAGCTGTTATGTCGCAGCCCGGATGGAAGCCCTACCGGAATGTCCATTATGGTCGGTACCTATTCAGTATTTTACAATACCCCGACGCTGATCCATGATGAAGACACTCTGAAGCTATATACCAAGGCCCATGGATCGAAGGTATAAGGGACATTGTATAGAAGACCGTCGGCTCAATACATGTATTATAGACGTCGAATCTCATCATCAACCTCGACCATGATGAATGGATCTTGTCCGACGACAGTGCGATCCTCGCAGATCTTGGCTTCGGTATGCAATTTCTCCTACCGTGCTCGTAATATACCGATACCCTTACAGAGAACGAGACGGAGGTCAGCTTCTTTAACCGCGAGTTGTACGAAGAATACAAGAAGCATCCGGAGGTTAGCCCATTTCGTTGCCTCAAACCTCCACAACCCATCGCTAACACACACCAGACAAAGTGGGACTGATTGTACAAATAATATTAGGACGTTTGCATGCACGACAATGTACTAACAACTCCTCTATACACTACACAAGACCGAGCAAGTCCAAAGCAATGGATCGATAGCAAAAGTGGCACAGACTACTGGTTGGCGCACTGCACGCGGGGCTCGCCCTCGTCCTCGTCCATCGCATCCGGATCGCGCATGTGCGATCGCCGTGCGTCAGGCGTGCTGAGCTCGACCTCCTCCAGGTGGATGTTCTTGTCCAGCTTGGGTATCGGGTCGCGCGGCGGCAAGGCCTGCTCGAGGAAGTGGATCTTGTCGACGTCGATGTGGTCGGGGAAGCGGACGGTGAACTTGACGAAGAGGTCTCCAGGCTCGTGCACGCGCCGTTGGGGCATGCCCTGGCCCGGGATAACCTTCAAGTCGTCTGAGAACGTTCAGTATGTGGCACCGCAGAAGAAGTCACCCAGGACGTACCGTTCTTGATCACCTCGCCAGGTTCCAGCTTGACCACCAATGCCCGATCATCGAGGTGCCGGATGATGAACTGACCGCCGGCAAGTGCTGACAAGAGGTCGAGCTCGTGCTCGTAGATGAGATCGTCGTCCTGGCGCTTGAAGCGCTCGTGCGGCTTCTCCTCGACAACGATGATGACGTCTCCGGGTTCTGCTGTCGGCGATTGATCGCTCTCGCCACGGAAGGTGATCGTGTCGCCGCCCTTCATGCCCTTGTCGATGTGCACCTCGAGCATCTTCTTGTCCGGTACGACCTTCTTGCCCTTGCATTGCGAGCAACGGTCCTTCGGGTTGATGTTTTCGCCTGCGCCGCCACAGTCGTCGCACGGGGACTGGATTTGCTGGATCATCGGGCCCATCTGGCGCATGGTGACCTTGATACCGCGGCCGCGGCAGGTCGTGCATTGTTGTACGGCGCCCTCCTTGCCGCCTTTGCCCTTGCACTTGCTGCAGATGACGCTGCGGGTGAGCGCGAGCTTCGTGGTCTTGCCGCGGTAGAGTTCCTCGAGGCTGACGTGCACGCGGTGTACGAGGTCCTTTGTCCGGCGCGGGCCTTGTGAGCGCGAGCCGCCGCCACCGAAGAAGCCACCGCCAAAGCCACCGCCGCCACCGAAGAGTTGGCTGAACAGATCCTATGGTCGTTCGTCAACAGTGGGATCGCGTGCTAGACGCGCGTTACGCACCTGTGCGTCCATACCTCCCATGCCGCCAGCGTCGTTCAGGCCCGCCTCACCGCGCGCATCGTACATCGACCGCTTGTCGGGGTCGGATAGTACTTGGTATCTATGGCACGGCAATTAGCATACACACCTTTGTAATTGGTGGCCAATGATCACTCACGCATGGGTAACCTCCTTGAAGAGCTCGGGGTCTCCGCCCTTGTCTGGGTGCAATCGCAATGCTCTGGAAATGCGATCAGAGGCGATCCAACGTCGGTCACTATCCACCGTACTTCTTGCGGTACGCCTTCTTCAAGTCGGCCTCAGATGCGTCGGGCGATACCTCGAGAAGATCGTAGTATTTGCTGTAGACGTGTCGGTCGTCAGCTGCGCCCTGCAGGCGGTGGGGGGAGCGCTCACGTTTCCTTCACCATCGTTCTGAAGGGCTTGGGGTCGTGAACAATGAGGAATCGAGAGGAACAAAAGGTGTGAGCGCTTGTCCGCCATGTTGCCGGCGCGTTTTTGAGGCTCCTACACCGATCCTTCTACGACCATCCACGACATTCCATCCGCTTCCTTTTTGGGACGACCCCAGAATGCCCCCCGCCCTTTATGGTAACCGCACAGTTGAAGTTTTCGGCCCTTGGCGCGCGTCTCCAGCCACTGACGCCCGCTTGTCTGCTTCTTCCGAGTAACAAAGACAGACGTAGGTTCGAGAAACTGCAGTGAACATGCCAGGCAAAGCCCAGGGCGACCCACTTCCCAGAAGCCCGAGAAAAAGGGGCCTCTTAGGATAGGCGCCGAGCGGCGGGTCCTTCACATCATCGCTGGCACAAATCAGCAGCAATCAGCGCAGCGAGGTCCTTGTCAGCCTCCGAACAGACAGGTGAGTCAGCATCTTCAGGCGACGCCACAAATCCATCAAGCCGCCGGTAAACACGCGACATGCGACGCGTCACTGTCAGACGCGCGTCTACTGCAAGTCGCGACTAAGGCATCCTACACCTCGTATACCTCTAATTTCTTTTCTGCACCGCGCCCAACGCGCGCCCCAGCTTCCAAGATGCCGCTCGAAGCTACGATGATGGTCATCGATAACTCTGAATTCATGCGGAACGGCGACTACGCCCCCACCCGCTTCGACGCGCAGGCAGACGCGGTCAACATCGTCTTCCAGACCAAGATCGACTCCAACCCCGAGAACACCGTCGGCGTGATGAGCATGGCGGGGAAGGGGTGCGCCTGCCTTTGATTCGCGCAATGTACATCCATCTAACAATCCACCAGCCCGGAAGTACTCGTCACACACTCCAAGGATCTTGGCCAGATCCTGCAAGCAATACACAAGACAAGAAGTAACATCGGCGGCGCCATTGACATCCCGACCGGCATCGCCATTGCCCAGCTCGCGCTCAAGCACCGAGAGAACAAGAACCTCCGGCAGCGCATCATCGTCTTCGTCGGCTCACCGCTCGAGGGCCCAGCCGCAGATGAGAAGGGCATGATCAAGCTCGCGAAGAAGCTGAAGAAGAACAACGTCGCCGTGGATGTTGTCTGCTTCGGCGATGGGATCGAGGAGCCGAATGCGGAGGGCAAGACCGTACTTGGCTCATTCGTGGACGCCGTCAGCAGTGGGGACAACTCGTGCGTTATCTCTCCGAGTGCGACTAGCAATCACTGAGGTGTACTCGCAGACATCTTGTGACTGTACCACCTGGCGCACACCTACTATCCGACGCCCTCATATCCTCACCCATCCTCTCCGCCGATCGCAGCGCTGGCATTCCAGAAGAGCTCGGTGGGTCTGGAGGTGGGGGCGGAGGTGATGCCGGAGCCGGTGGTGGAGACTTTGAGTTTGGTGTCGATCCCAGCATTGACCCCGAACTCGCCATGGTATGTGGCAAAGCATAACGGCTTCATTGTGTACTAAACAATACCCCCCCAGGCCTTGCGAATGTCGATGCAAGAAGAGGAAGCACGGCGAGCTGCAGAAGCCGCGAAAGCTTCAGCAGCAGGCGAACAACCTCAAGCCGGCGCATCCTCCTCCACAACAGTACCAGCAGCGCCCACCGACAACGAAGAGGATGCCATGCTCGCGAAAGCCCTTGCAATGTCGCAAGACGTCGACATGGACTCTGGTGCGAAGCCAAATGCGCCTGAAACGCACGACGCGGCGATGGACGAGGATGAGGACGAGGAGGCTGCGATCGCACGGGCCATTGAGATGAGCATGCAGGGCGAGGAGGGCAAGGATAAGGACAAGAAGTAGGTATATTCATTGTGTAGATTTCCCATTCACGAGCATCGTCTGGACCTGCGCGATTTGTGTGTTCGCCGTGAACCTTGCCACAAAGGCGTTGATTATTGGTGGATTGACCTTGTACGCGTTGTCCGTCCTTCAAGTCATTGCGGTGGAACTTTCGTAATGCCCACGTTGGTGATGGTGGAGACGAACAGGCGCCGTCGGCCGAGCGTGTCGTCAGTCGTGTATCACTCATGGGAACGCAACATGTGATCGCGTCTTCGTCACTTCCTCTTAACCACCATGGCGCCGACTACGACCAGCGCAAAGTACGAGTGTCAAACTCCAGCGGACCTTATGCTAAGACATGGCCCAGAGTGAACGAAATCCTAGAGAGCGTGCCCCCAGAGGCGCGCCAGCACTTCATCGAGAAATACCTCCTCTCCATGCTCGACCGTGCGCCCAAGGAGCAGTCCAAGAAAGGTGCGCACTACCAGCGGCTTCCCTCAGCCCCCCTTTGACCCTGCTTGGTCCACCCGCCTTCAGTCCTCTCCTCCGCCACGCGCATGAAGACGCGCTACGCAGGCATGCCCACCCTCGATCTCAAGGGCAAGCGGCGCGAGATGGCCAACGTCCTCGCCGAGCTCACGCGCGACTCCAAGCGCGCCTTCGTCCGCGAGCGCTCCAACCGCGACGAGCTTCTCGAGGAGGCCGTCGACACCATCGTCGGCTGGCTCTCCGACATCTGGCGCGCCGTGTACGAGTTCAAGGCCGGCTTCGCGCACGCGCACGCCTGCCTGCTGTGGTGCGCGGAGATGGTGTCCGAGATCCTCGACACGCCGGTGGCATCGGGGTGCGTGGCGTCCTCGAGTGGCGGCGTACCGTCGAGCTGATCTGCAGGCTACCCAGGTGCAAGTGCGCGGTACTCAATCTGCCCATCACTATCCCTATCAAGCGCTCGAACGGCAAGACGGTCAAGGTGTTCAACGTCATGGGCCTCCTGAGCGTCGACAATGCCATCCTGTGGGTCTGGAGGGAGCTCTTTGTCTCCATGTTTGCGGTCAGCAAGAAGCAAGCGCAGAAGATGGTGCCCGAGATGCTCGCCGAGATCGAGGAGAAGATGGGATGGACTGCACTGGAACGTATCTTGCTCGGCGGACAGACTCGTGCGTTGCTACACACCATCCCCGTCGATACGAACTTAACAGTCTTACAGCTCGCTCCACCGACATCGACGACATTGGATTTGGCAGTGATCTCTTCGCAGAATCCTGCTTAGACGACGAGAAATATGAGGAAAGCGAATGCCGCTGTGCCCTCCACGCCCCCCACTGGTCCGACAAGGTCGATCAGCAGCGCTTCGCACTTCGAGAAGCCGTCGAGACGTATTACATGCAGAAATTCCGCGTCGCACCCTCCGACGAGCTTTTCCACGCTATCATCGCCCTCAGCGACGACCCTGACAACACCGAGGACGATCTGCTCCTTATCCTCGACGAAGTGGCAGGCTCTTCTCCCGACACTCTCGTCGCCGCGCTCAACATCTACTCCGACATCGATGACCCTGACAATATCGTTGATCTCCTGGACGACTATGGGTTCCTCCTCCGCACGCGCGACTTCCCCCACCTGCAGGGCGCCGTAACCGCGCTCACCCGCCACCCCTCACACGTCCCACGCGCGCTCAAGATCATCGAAGACGAGCTGACCGACACCATGAACGCCGTGCGCGCGGCCGTGCTCAGCACCTTCATCCGCGCCGACGACCGCGTGCAGCGCGAAGAGCTCACCGCCATCCTCAAGCTCCGCACGGGCTCGCAAACGCGCAAGGATCGCGTCGAGCGCTGGGTCTCCGGCGTCACCGGGCCCAGCGGCACCCCGCATCCCGTCGCGCTTGCCGCGTTGCTCATGGGGCTGCCTTTCGGCCCCGGCCCGGACGAGGCGACGAATTTGGACACGATGGACTTTGTGGAGCTCGACCCGACGGAGGACGAGGAGCTGCGTCCGCGCCTGAAGGAGCGGTTCGATGGCTGGCAGACGCTAGCGTCGTCGACGAAGGGCGGTCAGACTCTGCTATTGCGTCTGTACACTAAGATCGTGGACATCATGCCGTTCTTCCGCGCTACAGACGTTGTCGATGAGATGATCAACCAGTGCGTATGACTTCTCTTGTCATTGACTACTCAACTGACCCCGTTCTGCAGCATCATGGACCGCCCATCCAAAGCCCACGTCTGTGACGCACTCGAGCAACTCTCGACCTTTTGCAAGATGCAGCGCAAGCGCATCAACCTCCGGCAGGAAAAGCGCAAGAAGGCCGACGCGGCCAAGGCCACATCTGCGTTCGCGACCGGTCCTCCCACACGTGCAGGCGGCCCCAGCAGCCAGCCCACGCCTTCCCCGGGGCCGTCTTTGCATCCAGGAGATCTTTTTGCCCAAGGCATGATTTCGTCTCCGCATACCTCGAGGTCGTCTTCGACTACCGCGGGTCCGTCTTCGCTCGCAGGAGGCCGCTCTACACACCTCGTCGAAGATGACGACGACGACATGCCGCCGCTGGAACCCGTCCCCATCGGCCATGTGGTGGGCAGTAACTCGAACCTGCCCAGCGCGAGCTCCTCTGCTGAACCTGCATCGTCATCGTTCGCCGGCCCGTCATCGTATTTCGCCGGATCGTCGTCACAATCCGCCGGCCCTTCGTCGTCCTCCGCCGGGCCCTCATCTCAACCAATGGCCGCTTGGTCTCCCGAAGCCGATGATGATGGGCCGCCGACCGCCCTGTCTTTGTTTGGTCCATTCACCTTCTCCATCCCTTTGATGTCTGCTGCTAGCCCATCTCCGCCTACGCCTCCCGCACATCATTGCGTGTCTGGAATGGAGGATGTCGACTAACTTCTACGAATAGTCTATCTCTACGAAAATGGAGCCGCTGATCGTTTCGTGCCACTTTTCGTTCTTCACTACCGGTACTCACCGTCACTACTAGTCACGTAATTATATGTTCCACGTACCGTCCAATAGTCGTCGCTCGCTTGCTGTCTTGCTACCTAGAATATCTGTCCTTGCTCTTGACATCTTTATCTTGCAATAGATCTCGGACCGAAGTAACAAATCTCTTCAGTCCCGGTTGGCCACGTGTGGATTGCCCTTAGAAATAGCCTATTCAGGCAACATCACTGTTCGACTCATCACTCGCAATCACCCTGTCACTGCTTAGCGCTAATCCACACCATGTCCATCCTAAGCAAGGCACCAGCTCTGAAGCCATTCACCCTCGCGCTGGTGCAGCTGGGCCAGATTGGCTCGAACAAGACCGAGAACCTGAAGCATGCGCGGGACATGGTCCTTAGAGCAGCCGCTGGCAAGGACGGCAAGAAGCCGAACCTCATCGTCCTCCCCGTATGCAACATCTTCCCGCAATGTAGCTAACTTAGCGCTGACTGACAACCCCCCCCCCCCCTTTCCCAGGAATGCTTCAACTCTCCCTACGGCGCGCAGCACTTCCCCATCTACGCCGAGAAGATAGGTTACGTGCCCGGGCAGGCCTACGATGTCTCCTCGTCCACCTCCGAAAGTGTCCAGATGCTCTCCTCCGTCGCAAAAGAGACAGGCAGCTGGCTCATCGGGGGCACCATCCCCGAGAAAGCAGACGACACGTTCTACAACACCTGCACGGTGTACAGCCCGAAGGGTAGGTGTGGCACGAGTGGAATGGTGTTCGCTGATGCATGGTGCAGCAGGGGAGCTGGTCGCGCTGTATCGGAAGGTCCACCTCTTTGATATAGACATACCGGGGAAGATCACGTTTAGGGTGAGTAAGGTCTGTGGAGTCTTCGGGCTCACACTGAATAGGGCTTGCTAGGAAAGTGATACCCTTACGGGAGGTAGCTCATTGGGCTACTTCGATACAGGTCAGTATGATCTTGCCACAAGGAATCTTACTCACTGACGAGATCCAGAGTTCGCACGTATCGGGTCCGTCCTCACATGAGGGACGGTATGCCTGTATTCTGACAGCCAAGCAGCCTCGGAATTTGCTATGACGTCCGATTCCCCGAACTGGCCATGATAAACGCGCGGAAGGGCAAGTCCACATACCTCTTGTATTCCAAAATCACTGAGCATTTTGCAGGCGCACAAGTCCTAATCTACCCCGGCGCCTTCAACCTCACGACGGGACCTCTGCATTGGGAACTCCTGCAGCGTGCACGGTGAGCTCATGACTATCTTTCGACAACTCCCGTGCTGTCGTGCGCCCGCTTGCTGACGCAAGTATGCAGCGCCGTTGACCAACAGGTGTTCTTCTCTATGTGTAGTCCCGCTCGCGACCTATCGGCCGGGTACCACGCATGGGGGCACTCGATGTTGGTGGACCCGATGTGAGTAACGAGCCTGTCGTGTGACCAAGGAGTTCCTCCTGACGCTCTACCAGGGCCCGTGTCGTAGCAGAAGCAGGCGAAGGAGAGGAAATTGTCTTTGTTGACATAGGTGAGCGCTGTGCCTCTTCGCTTTCTTCGCGCATCCAGGCTTAACCACCTTTCTCCAGACCCCAAAGTCTTCGACGAGTCGCGAGCTGGTATTCCGGTCAACACCCAGCGGCGCTTTGATGTGTACCCTGACGTAGCGGCCGGCCAATAGGCGGTGGAATGTAAGGCTACTGAGACGGTATACCTGTAAGTACACAGTTGTAAATGTAAGACTGCTTGTTGGTCGTGAATACAACCTCGGCAATGTGGTATGTCCTGGAAAGGCAATTTATGGATATTCGCCGGTGGTTGCGTCAGTGATGGATGTCCTGATGCACCGAGGGATGATTGCACATCATGACATACACTGAACGCGACCATGTCGAGCGGCCTGCGTCCAACCGCCGTCGCAGAATCACCACAGCCTACACTGACGCGCCCCCCTTATGCTGCTCTTGATCTACAACCCTGCTTGTGGTGACAGGACCGCGAAGGAATTCGTCGACGCGCACGTCCTCCCCACCCTCACAGATGCGGGCAGGACGCCCGACAAGGTCGTTGCCACTGATCTAACTGTCCCTGACCTGCACCCTGCTGCTATCGTCAAGGAAGCCCTCGAGAATGCGGGCGCGGAGGACGACGTCGACGTGATCCTCGCATCGGGCGATGGCACGCTCAACGACATCGTCTCTGAGCTGTCTGCCCACCCTGCCGCGGGCCCCAAGGCCGGCGAGCACTTCCGCCTCTGCCTCGCTCTCGTGCCCGTCGGTACAGGTTAGCCGATGCGCGCACACTCTTCTTTCTCTCCGAGCTAAGCATGGCCCAACAGCCAACGCCATGTACTCCTCCCTCTTCCCACCCACCAGCGAGGACGCGGCCAAAGACCCCGCCTACAAGCTCCAGTCCGTCAAATCCCTCCTCGCCAGCGGCCCCACCGTACCCCTCACGCTCGCCATCACCACCTTCTCCGCCGCGCCCTCCGCCCGGCGGCCCCCGCGCGCCTCCGTCTCCTGCGTCGTCACCTCCACGTCCCTGCACGCCGCCATCCTCGACACCTCCGAATCCCTGCGCACCACCCACCCCGGCATCGAGCGCTTCAAGCTCGCCGCGCAGCAGAACGCGGCCAAGTGGTACGTCGCGCAGGCCAAGATCCTCCCCGCCGCGGGCAGCAAGTACGTGAAAGTGTACGACCCCGCGAAGCGCGCGTTCGTGCGCCACCCGGAGTCGACCAAGATCGATCCCATTGTGGATCTCACCGGGCCGTTCATCTACTTTCTGTCTGCTATCAATGTGGATAGGCTGGAACCGATGTTCAGGATAGCGCCGCTGGCGGGGGCGAGGGGGCAGACGGTGCCTTCCCTAGATGTGGTCGTCATACGGCCCATGGTCAACCATACCATCACCTGGGACGCGCCGGAGACACGCGAGGCCTTTGTGGACAGTATATGGAAGATCCTGTCTGCCGCATACCAGGACGGCAAGCACATCGACTTGCGTTACGACGATGACGGGGAGATTGTGGAGGGAGGCAAAGGAGACCCTGTCGTGGAATACTGTGCGTATCTGCTCCTGTTAGCCCCCTTTCCTTTCTAACTGACAATGCACTCAATAGTTCGCTGCGGTGGCTGGGAATGGCTACCTGACGACATCGACCCCGACGCGCACATCGTCTGCACCGACGGCGCCATCTCGCGCGTAGAACCCGGCGGACGCGTCGTCTCCGTCGCCGCGCGCGCAACATCCGCGGGCGGCTTCTTGATCTATGCCTGAGATGCTTGCTTTTGCTTGAATGTACTGGAAAGCTATTGCTTTGCTCCGCCTCCCACGCGAGGGGTGTGCTACACTGTATTGCCTGGATACCTTGCATCCATCGCTATATATCCAACACTTGAATTCCTACCTAGACTGTTCCTCTATCCCAGATGCTCGCTGGTCATCAGTCCGCACAAGATCAGTGCATTACGCAGTGACCTCCGAGGTCGCAGGTGCGGTCTCTGTAGTCTCTGGTGTGGTCCCCGGCACAACAGGGGCAGCCTCCGTAGCAGTTGCAGCACCAGGCGCATTTGGCTTGAAGCCACCCGCAAAGACCTTCCTTGCGACCTCTGCTGCGCCCTTGTAAACCTCGTCTACGGGTGCGCTGGAGTCGACCTGCATCGAGTGTCGGCCAAAAGCCACTCAGGAGAGACAGTGAAAGTGACGTACCACAGCGACCTTGCCGAGCGACTTGTAATGGTCGATGACGGGCATAGTAGTTTCGTGGTAGGTACCTACGACCTGTGAGCAAAGGAGAGCGAAAGAAACGGACATGGAACGTACGGAAGCGCTTCTTGATACTCTCGACGTTGTCATCGTCCCTCCCGCTCGTCTTCCCGCGCTCCAACAAGCGCTCGAGCATGACCTCCTCCGTCGTGTCGAAGAACAGCACCAACGAGCACTCGCAGACCGACTCGTCAAACTTCAGCGCCTGGTCCATCTTCCGCGGGAACCCGTCAATGAGGAAGCGGCCCTTGCCGTCCTGCCACCCCTCGCCTTCGCGCGCCTCCTTCATTGCCGCGCCCATGGCGTTCTCGAGCAGCTTGATCGTAACCTCCATGGGCACGATCTTGCCCTCCTTGATGCAGGTCTTGATGAGCTCGCCGTACTGGGAGCCCTCACGGTTCTGCTCGGCGCGCAAGAGGTCACCGGCTACAAACGAGGTGTGAGATGATGGGTCGACGGAATGGGTTGTGGTGAACGTGTACGGTCGGGGAAAGGATTGCAAACAGTGTAGGGTCAGTAGACGTACCAGAGAGATGGCAGAAGCCAAACTCCTCGACGAGCTTTGCGCACTGGGTGCCCTTGCCTGAGGACGTGTAAGGAGAGATCTCTCAATCATTGAGCATGATAGACTCGCACCAGCTCCGGGCCCGCCCAGCACGAAAATGACGGTGACCTTGTTGCTGTCAAAGACAGGGCCAGCGGGTACATCCTTCGCGGCCTCAAGAGCTTCAGCCTTGGTCTCCGCAGGATGCGTCTCCTCAGCGGGCTTCGTCTCGTGTAGCTTCGCCTCCGTAGGGTCAGTCGCCTTGTCCGCCGGCGCAGGCGTCTCTGCCGGTTTGTCCTCCTTCGCCTCCTCCTTCTTGTCCTTCTTCTTATGCAGCGCCTGCGAGATCTTGTCGAAAATGGCGGGCATGGTCGCTACTTCTTCTGCTGAACTTGGTCTTCACGGTGACGGACGGGGATGAGGGGATTATCCGCGAGGCGCCTAGACTGAGATGCTGGGGCGGTGCCTTCGCGTTGCTTGACGACGTAGTAGAAGGTGGCGGCGGATGCGGCGGCGACGGCGATGAACGCGAAGGGGGACGGTGGCGGGTAGGAGGCAGGAGGCATGTCACTTGCCGCTCCGCAAACAACAAACAACGCGCGCTCAACGCGTCCGTCCAAGCGCAACGCCGCCCAACACGACCATCATGGACCTCACCCACGTCCTCGACTCCGAGATCTATGTCCTCTCCTGCTGCCAGGCCGACGACGGCGCGGACCTCGTCGCGCTCGGTGGCGAGCACTCGGTCCACATCGTGCAAATAGTGCGCGAAATAAATCACTCGCTTCGCGCCACATCTAATCGCGCGTACAGACAGAAAAGACGATCGTCCCCCTCGCCGTGTTCCACCTAGGCGCACGCGTAACAGCGCTAGGATGGTCAACAGGCTCCGTCTCGCCCTCCGTGTCCGATGAATGGCGCATAGAGTGAGTGAGTCTCGTCCGCACCACCGCGCGCCCAGCCCCGTCCTCACCATTACTAGCCTCGTCGCGGGCTCCGCCGACTTCGGCCTCTTCCACCTGTCCAAACTAGCAGGACGGGATGAATGCATCTACAACTTCGGTGCAGGTACAAACCCTTTCTTCCTACCCATCCTGCGCTTCTCGCTCATCCCTGCAAAGGTTCGACCGGCCACAACGGTGGCGTGAACTCTATTGCCTTCGTGGGCGGCTACCCCGCCGACAGCACCCGTTATGTCGCTACCTGCGGCGGTAAGCATCCCATCGAGCCTAATTCTCGGCACGGCTGACCGTGCCACAAAGGCGACAAGACGGTCCTCGTCTGGGATCTGTACCCCGAACGCATCGACGACGGGAGCGCGAACGCGCAGATGCCGGAAGCCAGCATGCCCCCCGAAGACCGCACGCCCCCGACCGCGTACGAGATCTCGTACGCGCACCCGCTGACCACCCTCTGCTCGCACCCCGCTACCAGCAAGGAGCTGCTCGTAGCCGACACTCACGGCACCATCTTCATGGTCGACTGGCGGTCAGACGACCCGGGCGAGCCACAGCCGGACAGGCGCACCGTCTTCGAGCTGGTCCAGCCGTACGCTATGGGGGATGCCCTCATCGGAAACGGGGACACGACATGGACAAGCGTCGCTTGGCGCAGGGACACCACAGACATGTCGGTGATAGACTCACCTAGCCTTCCTTCTCCCACTCACACCCTGTCCGCAGAATCGGTTCCGTCACCGGGAACAAGTACCACATATGGGACCTGACCAAACTGTATGGTGGCAAGCCGCTAAGAACTGGCCCTACATTCTCCCAAGGGGGCAAATTCCGGTGCGCGCGGCCCATTCTATCCGCTAACCGCTAATAACCTCCTTCCCTTTCCCTCTTTTCCCTCCCTGCCCCCATTCATCGCCGCATTCTGCCCTATCGCCCCCCGTCAGCTGGTGCAACACTCACCCCGAGTTCTTCGCCATATCGTCGTCCTCACCGGCAACCGGCGCGATCCTCCATGTCCACAACCTCGGCTACCTCTCCCAGCAGCCGACCCAGCTGGCCATCGCCGCAAAACCCCACTACGTACGCGACTTCGACTTCCTCGCCACACGCGGGGTCCCGCGCATAGCCGCTGCCGTAGGACGCTCCCTCGTGGTCATGCCTATCGGGTCTGCGGAGAAGTAGGCTCATACTCAGAGTTCGACTGTGGGGACGTCGGGCGAGCGAAGTCGCGTCTGCTAAGTAGCACCAGATTGATCTACACAAAGTATACATCGATTCAGAATATTCGTGCTAGGGAATTACAAGTCCTGACTTGCGATGCTAGAGCGCGTACAATAAATTAGACTACACAAGGATATTAAGGTAAGGGGCTGACGACGAGTAAGCGTACAAGATGCGATAGCGAACAAACAGACCAGACAGATCACAGAACAATTCTACTACTAGTTACAGTTCGGAAAGCAAACATGAGGAAGGATGATGACGAGGAATGCAGACAATGAGCAGCTCAACTGCTATTAGCGTCCGTACGGCGAGGCGGAGGGGTGGTACGAAGGGCCGAGGTGGGACATCATGGGGTGCGGTTGAAGGTGCTGAGGCAGACCTTGACGATGATGAGCGTGGGCAGTATGGCCGTGCGGAGAGTACGACGACATCGGTGGAGGCATCGACAGCGACTGCAGGTGTTGAGCCTGGTGCTGTTGCTGTTGCTGTTGTTGCTGCTGCTGTGGCTGCTCCATAAACGGCGGCGCATCGGTCGTAACATTAAAGCCGGTATCCCCAAACCCGATATCCATGAACATCTGCCGCCAGTACTGCCTGAAAAGAGGATTAACAAACCGCCCGGAGAAAGGAAGGAGCGCAGGCCGCACCGATCCATCTCTGAAGCGTGCTGTGGATACGTGGTGAAGGAGGACATAGCGTACCGGGAAGGATCGTCCATCGGCATGCCCCGCGCGTCGCCCATGTACTGCGCGTCCTGCAGCGTCGGCAGCACGGACGTTGCGTACCGCCCGTATGCGTCAGGCGGCTGCGCCGCCTGAGGCTGCGGCGCGTACATGGCGTCAGACAACGGCGGTGCAGAGGGCAGGCCAGCTAGAGCAGTCGGCGTCAGCTCGTCCCGACCCAGTTCTGTCAGAAATTCGATCTACCTTGGAATCGGGGGTCGATCGGGGGACTACGGTCGTAGCGGTCCCTTTCAGCCTGACGTGCCCTCATCATGTCGGCCTGAAGCAAACTCCGTAGAAAGCGTGCATGGTATTCGGTTCCTTCCGACGCGGAGGACGACCCAGAGGCGTCAGCGAAAGCGTCCGCTGTCCTCGAGATCAGCGCATGTATTTCCTGCGCATTGCCCTCTTGCAGTTGAGCCATCGTGTTCGGGTTTCGTAGCAGCTAAAAATCGTTGTTAGCCAGCACCGCGCGGGTGTTTGCCAGAATTCCTCACCTTCAGTAGGAACACGGCAGCGTAGGCCGTCATAACGGTGATAGAATCCTGGCCATAACGCTAGGCGGAACGCCCATTAGAACAGCTTATCGGAAGAACGTAAAGGGCTTACGAGCATCTTCGTCGCCGCGAAATCGTGAGATACAATTTTGAGGGAATCAAGACCGCTAGTGCAGCATGCCGATAATGTTTGAAGGCTAGGCGCAACGTGACTCCCCTGACAACCGTAAGTATATGCTATAGGCGCGGATGAGGATGACCTACCGGCATCATAGATTCTTGCAGCCCAAAGGAATTCAGGAAGAGGCGAACATAGAGACGGAAGAAGTTCAGGAAGGAGAAATGGAATGGGGCGCCGTTCGCTAAGACAGAGTCAGAAGGTTATGCGCTCGTAAGGCAACTAACTTACCGCGCTGCATCTCATGCTGCCAGTGCTCAGACCATTGCGTCAGCTTGCTGTTGCACCCGCGCAAGACCATGTCGTAGTTGACGTCCGCGTGCGCACCATGGGACCCGCCACCCTTGTTGTTGTACAACATTTCCGTCGTCTCGGACTGAACCCAATTAGCATTGACTGATGGGCGCGCAAAAGGAAGCCCTGACGTACCGCCAGGCGCCTTAACTGGACGAACGCGGATACGATCACGTCCGATGGTCGTAGCGCGCCAGCCCCCTCATCGTGCCACGTCGTCGAGTTGCGGATGAACTCATCGTCGGGAAGCATGTAATGCCTGCCCGTTTGCGTGCTCAGGCTCCGATCGTGGACGAAGAGCACGAGGTAGGTGCGCTCCCGGTTACGGCGCTCGAGCAGTTGCATGTCGCTTTCATGGGGTGGCCGATGACGAATGTAGCGGTTCAATCCGAGCTCTACGGCCATACGACACGCCTGTAAAACGTCGCCGGAAGAGGGCATATCAGATTCTGGTACGCTGAATAGCTCCTAGATGGACTCACGTAGCCGATGTAGGTCCATGTGCGCTGATAGAAGACGGGAATCAGCGCGCTCACTCTATGGCAGCAAGTCAGCGGGACGTACCGTATCGTCAGGTTCTTTCCAGTATGTGAGGCAGGCGAAGGCCTGAATGACCTCGACGCGCTTCCAACCCTCCGCAAACGCTTTCACGGCGAACTCGTGGGCCAGCTTCTGCACCTCCTTGTACTTCTCGGGCGCAAAGAACTTGCAGCCGGCCATCAACATGGTGGTGAACAGGAAAGGACACCGGCTGCGGACATAGTTGACAGTATGCAGTTCCGGGTCAAACAGGTTGATGAAGGGATTCAGACGCAGATAGAACATGTCAAAGAAATCGCTGGCTGTCTTCTCGTCCAAGATACCGGCGGCGACAGGATCGCGGAGAGCGTCGGGGCCAAGAGGCGGCAAACGGGGCGGAGAAGGAGGAAAACCCTCTGGCTGGGATGCAGGTGACCCTGCTTGGCTGGGTGCACTCTGGTCCGCCGGATTGAGAATAGTACTGAAGAAGGTTCGCTTGTTCTCCACGAGGTTGCGAGGAAATATGTTCGGCTTAGACGTATCGGCGTCGTCCTCGTCCGGCATGTGCCCGCCAGATTCGTACAGATGGCTCAGGGGCGGCAGCTGATTTCCAGGAAAGTGTGTACCGAAGGAGGGATCTCCTTGATGAGATGGGCTTCGCCCTTCCGAGCCACCCGCGAGGCCCTCCTGACTGTGGGACTTGAGCTTCGCGCTATTGAGGCCTTTCTCAAGCCGTCGGAGCATCTTGGACGCCTCAGATAGCCTGACTATGGTCAAAGTTCAGCGATCGGGGCTGGAGAGGGAATACACACTTGCTACCAGGCTTCCTCCCGCGGCGATGCTTCTCAAAAACGCATCTATTGATCGGTCAACAAAGACGCATCGCGGCAGGCGCCTGATACGCACTCGACATTTGCGCGCCTACATCGCTGGCACTTTCCCCCTTCCTCTCCTGCGCCCACGCACTTCATCTGTATTGCGGTGCTCAGGTTTGCTCGATCGGCGCGTGGAGGATGTATGTACCTTTGCACTCCGACATGTGTTGCACGCGCGGGCCCCACGAACGACGGGCACTTTTCTGCAAGAGCTGTTGGTACGGGCTGGGGTGATGGAGCTGAGATCAAGGACGTACCCCGCCTTTGAGTCGATGGGGCCAGGGACGGTTGGCGAAGGCTCCATTGGCGGTGAATGGATATTTGCAACTCCCGGTTTCCCAAAGTTCACGGAGGACGGTGATCAAAAGCACGGAGACTCGACAATGACCGGATGTGTGACGAAGATCGCGAGTGTGTTGGCGATGCGGAATGTGCGCGCGGACGGTGGGGCGAACGTGCGCGGCGAGGTGGACGACGAGGGGGCGGGCGGGCGGGGAGCGAGGAAGATGAAAGCGGGAGACAAGCAGCGCAAGAGGCGACCACCGGCAAATAACGAGGAATTGTTTGGCGCGTCACATCGGGCTTTCATTTGATTCGCCGGCGTCGTCCGGCGCCGGCATCCGCGTCATGTTCCTTTTTCCCATTCACTCCCGCTCTCGCTTCCCCCTCCCCGCCCCAGCCGACCCCCCACGTCCCGCGTACTAACGGCATTTCCTCCACCAGCAGGCAGCCACGGCATCCGTCCTTCATTCCAGCTCGCCTTGCTATCGCCTCATCACCCTGATTTCGCCTGGGCCTGGCCGTCCGATTACCATCCGACCGTTTCATTTTACCATTGGGTTCTTCGGTACACTACCGTAAGCCCCGCTGCGCTTCCAGAGCCAGCTGAACGCAGCCCATCCATCACCTCCTCTGATACGAGCCAGCGCGCCTGGTGCGGCGCGAACTTGCCCCTGCACTGGTCAACAGATGAAGTTGAACACAACTCGGGACTTCTCCGGCGATCAACTCGCTCAACTGCCAGACCGCCAAAATCGCCGGATTCTGAGAATTGAAACCATGTGCCTTGCACTCGGCCCGGGCATGCGCTGACAGTCCCCGACGTCCGCCTTCGATGGCTCGCCGAGTGTATGCGAAGTTCACTTCATTCCTCGCGCACAATCATGCCAATGGTTTGGCGTATGTTCCCGAGGATCCCCCTCGGCGGATGTTTTGCCTATTCCGAGGCGTTTCGCTCCCTTGGACGGACGCAGCTTGAATGAATGGTCGTGAACCGAAGACAGCCTAAATATCTGCAGATGGCAAGCAACAATTCTGGACTCGACATACTTCTTTGGGGAAGATACGATACGGACTTTCCAACGAAGCGAATCTCCCAACAAGCTTGCTACTCTCCAAGTCCACTCGTAAACGTTTGTCGGTCGCTCTCCTCTTCGCGTCGGGTAAGTGAATAGAAACAGCCGACATTGCCGGTTCGTAGCATGCCCGTTAACGCACTGTTGACGCGGATAGTTGATGAGGGAAGTTCTATCGAGATGAACCAACGTACGCACTCGGGAAGCCCTATTCAACCCTGGAATCCCTGCGGGGTGGTTACAGCACACCAAGGGGCCGTCGACTGAATGCCCGGCATCTCTCATAGGCGAGGAGATAGGAGTAGCGCTGGGGATGTCGGCAGACAGAGTAGGAGCTGAAGGCGTGGCCTACGAGATGACCGCAGCTCACGCAATCCTCCAAACCTGTGACCATATCAACATGGACAGACGATGCCCGCTCAACGCTCGATCATGAAGAGGTTGACGTCGCTGCACCGAAGAGGAAACATACTGGACATAGCAAGGTCGTGCGCCCTTTCAACGGCTGCGAGCGAGGCGCAAGAAATTAGCCCGAATGGAGTTCGCTCACGGAAAACGTACCTGTTCTCCGAGCCCATCGTAGCACTCCCCCGTCCACGCTGACGATCAAGCTAGAATACAGAGCAGATGCGTGCGCACCGCATGGAACGGACACAAGACCAGCGGAGGCTGTAGACATTTCTGCACGCCGCCAGCGCATGGGTCACCACAATTCAGTCGAGCAGACCTAGAAGAGAAGCCAGGCCACGAGAGGCAACATTTGCTCATCCACATCACCGTATGCTTACCTATTTGTGTCAATAGACGACGCATGCCCTAGGGTACAGCGAGAATGTGGAAGGGCGCCCTGGAGGGTACAGGCGAAGTGCATTCATGCATGCGTACCTTGCTGCGCGCGCTGGACGCAGAGCGAGCATAACAGAGCGACGGAGGCCGAGTCGTACGGACAGCCAGGCCGGAGGAAAGTACTCCGGGTTCATGGGCAGTTGGAGGTCGTTCTTGCGGTTATGTAGTGAAAGGTTGTTCTGACATGAAAGGTCGACGGGGTCGGTCAGGTAATTTCATGGCTAGCGCGCTCTTAGATCGACGGGCAGACGTTATGAAGTACGAAGTTGACTGCACAAGAGTGTAGTCTTAGTATGACCGTCCGAGCGCGTAGGGCAGCCTCACAATCACAGCGATGTAGGGTGAGGGACCGAGCAAAGCGGGAAGGACGCAGTTGAACTTGGGCGTACTTTCCCACGTGTCGCTTTGTTACTATTTGTCATCAGCTTCGACTGACTTCACCGTCAACTTGTCCTGAACGCCGACGACGATGGTGAGAATCATCATAAAGGGCGGTAAGTAACCTCATCTGCCCCCTCAAACTGCTTACTGACATGCTACATAGGTGTATGGAAGGTAAATGGAACGAAAGGGATTCCACAAGGCGCAAACTGACGCGTTTTGACAGAACACGGAGGATGAGGTGTTGAAGGCGGCCATTGCGAAGTATGGCAAGAATCAATGGTGCGTGGCTGGCAAATATACTGGGTAGGTTACTGAACTATTTGAAGGGCCCGAATCTCGTCTCTGCTGGTTCGGAAGACGCCCAAGCAGTGCAAGGCGCGTTGGTACGAATGGCTCGACCCCTCTATCAAGAAGACGGAGTGGTCGAAGGTGCGTTCCCTAGCGAATACCGGTGGCCTCAATGCTCACAATCACTCCAGACGGAAGACGAAAAGCTCCTCCACCTCGCCAAACTCATGCCTACCCAATGGCGCACCATAGCCCCGATCGTCGGTCGCACGGCCACGCAATGCCTCGAGCGCTACCAAAAGCTGCTCGACGAGGCCGAGGCGAAGGAGAACGAGGAGCTCGGTCTCGCTGGCCCGGGCGACGGCGGCGCCCCCTCCACCTCCGCCGACATCCGCCGCCTGCGCCCCGGCGAGATCGACCCCGACCCCGAGACGAAGCCCGCGCGGCCGGACCCGATCGACATGGACGAGGACGAGAAGGAGATGCTGTCCGAGGCCCGCGCGCGCCTCGCGAACACGCAGGGCAAGAAGGCGAAGCGCAAGGCGCGCGAGCGGCAGCTCGAGGAGGCGCGCCGCCTCGCCGTGCTGCAGAAAAAGCGCGAGCTGAAGGCGGCGGGCATCATCATGCGGTCGAAGACGAAGAAGAAGGGGATGGACTACAATGCGGATATCCCGTTCGAGAAGAAGCCTGCGGCTGGGTTCTATGACACGTCGGAGGAGCAGGCGCGTATAGCTGCGGCGCCTGTGGGTCAGTCGCTGCGTCGGCTTGAGAACAAGCGTAAGCCGGACGAGGAGGAAGCCGAGCGGAAAAAGCGCCAGCGCCGCGACAAGGACGGTCCCAAGGAGACCAAGTTTGTCGCTGCACGCGATGCGCAGATTCAGAAGCTCAAGGAGGCGGACTCTATCGGTCGGCGGCGCAAGCTCATGCTGCCGCCTGCTCAGGTCGGAGAGGCAGAGCTGGAGGATATCGTCAAGCTTGGTATGGCCAGCGAGAACGCGAAGGCTCTGGTCGAAGGCGGCACGGAAGCTAGCGGTCGCCTCCTTGGAGAGTACGATGGCTTGGAGAGCGCCAAGATGGCAAGAACACCTCGCACAGCAGCTCAGCGTATGTTCTCATTTACTTTACCCAACACTAAACTAACAATCTATACAGAGGATACCATCATGTCTGAAGCCAGAAATCTTCGCAATATGACCATGGCTCAGACCCCTCTTCTCGGCGACGAGAACACCCCCATGCACGAGCGTCCGGGAGGCGGTACTGGCTTCGAAGGTGCTACACCTCGCCACCAAGTTGCTGTGACCCCAAATCCTCTTGCGACTCCCCGCGAAGCCCAATTAACTGATGGCTCGGCCATCGGTGCGACTCCCCTTCGCACCCCACGGGACAACCTGTCCATCAACGTCGATGGCACCGTGGCGATTGCGCAAACCCCGCGCGACAAGCGACTTCGGGATACGTCCACGAAGCGGGCGCTTCGCGCTGGTTTCATGAGCCTGCCGAAGCCGGAGAATAACTTCGAGCTACTGGTGCCCGATGAGGAAGAGGAAGATGAGGGTGCAGAGGTGCCGATGTCGGAGGAGGATGCGGCAGAGCGCGATGCACGTCTCCAGCGGATTCGGGAAGAGGAGGAGCGCAAGGCGCTTGCGCGGCGGTCGCAGGCCGTCAAGCTCGGCCTCCCGCGGCCTGCGAATGTCGACCCCGCGGATCTCCTGGCGCGACTCAGTCTGGAGGAGGATGAGCAGGATGCGGAGACGGCTGCTGCGCAGCGCTTGGTGAATGCCGAGATGGCCGCGCTGCTAGCTCACGATGCTATTGCGCACCCTCTTCCGGGCACTTCGCATCCAGGATATACGCAATCCACATATGTGCCACCCGACGACGCAAGCATGGACGCGGCTCGCGCTGCCGTCCATGCCGAATTATCTTCCCTCGTCGGCTTCAACGGCGTCTCCCCGGAACAGCTACACGATGGCCTTCTAGCGCTCGTCAAGGCCGAACCGGTGGACGACAGTATATCTTGGGGTGTCGTCCGGCAATCCCTCGCCTACGACTCGGAGCGCCATATGTTCGTCGAGCCCTCTTCTCTCACCGAAGAGCAGCGCGCCTGGGGCTGGGCCGCGCTCCTCGCCGAAGCCCGGGACGCCATGACCAAGGGTGCACAGAAGGCGAGCAAGGCAGAGAAGAAGCTTGGGGTGCAGCTCGGCGGTTATCAGGCGCGATCTGGGGCATTGTCGAAGCGCGTCATGGACGCGTTCGACGGCTTGTTGCACCACAAGATCGAGCTGGAAAGCTTCTCTAAGCTTCTGGCGAACGAGAAGGTTGCGGGCCCTCGTCGCGTGGCGGCGCTCAAGGAGGAGACAGAGTACCTGGAAGGACGGGAGCGGAGACTGCAGGGCAGGTATGCGGAGCTGGACGCGGAGCGTCGCGAGGCAGAGGCGCGTGTGGCAGCCCTCGAGGAGAAGATTATGTTGGAGGCGGAGGCGCTGAACGAGGCTGCCCTTGCTGCGATGGAGGAGTGATCTTGTGTACTTATCATGCTGTTGCAGTGTGTAGCCTATATAGTGAACATGCAGCTCCCTGTACGCGTCTCGGTATACGGACTTGTGTGATGTGCATGCAGACAGCGCGCCCACACAAATATAGCCTGGGGATCCGCCGGTTGAGAGATTGCGCGCCTGGCGTCTGCCTCGAGGCAGGGGGCCAGGCGAGATGATCAGAGGCCCATTGAGTACAATTTGAGCAGTGCCTGCCTCTTGTCTCTTGATAACGACCCCCACGACCCCGCGATGCCTTACATCTCTGTGACGAACCCGACGTCTGTTTACGAGGTGCTTGCGCCACAGATCGTGACGACGACGATTTACCCGAGCTCGACGGCCTCCGCGACATCCACGCACCCGCACAGGCAGGTCGTCCCCATCGGCGCCATTGTAGGCGGCATCTGCGCGGGCGCCGCTGCCGCCTGCATCATCACGGCCGCCTGGATCCTCTGGGGGCGCTCGATCAAGCGCAAGCAGCTCAAGGAGCGCCAACAGGCGGTAAGCGCCCGCTCTTATACTTTAGTCACCCCCGCGCGCTAACCCCCACCAGGAGAAGGAGCAGCAGCTCTCCGAGAATACCAAGCGTAACGCTGGCCGATTCTCCACGCCCGGCCCAGCAGCGGGCTCATACCGCCCGCTCTTCGGCCTGCCTGAGTCGCGCAAGATCAAGTTCGCGCCCATAGATGAGAAGCCTCACTCCCCACATGCCGTTGCACGTCCCCCGACGCCCCCACCCTCGCCTCCCTCCAAGGATGACGCCCACGAGTCGCCGTTCGACGATGTTCATGAAGAGACCGACGTCAGCACCCCTTTGCCACCACCTCCTCCCCCTGCTCCGCGCCGGACCAGCACCCCACCTCCTCTGCGGTCCACCAAGGCTTCTCGCGACCTCGCCAGCGAAGCCAAGGAGGCTCCTCGCCATAGTCTTCGAAGCAAGGCCTCTGCCGCCAGCTCTGCGTCTATGTACTCGACAGCGAGTGGCGAGGCGCACCGCAACTCGAGGCTCTTCTCGCTGCCGGCCTGGGACCACACCTTCCTCCACCCGCGCTGGTCCGGATCATCGTTCGCAGCAAATATGCTGCCCAAGCGAGAGCGCACCGCGAGCAATCCTCCCCCACCGCTGCCCGAGCCAGTCCCGGATTACAAGAACATCGGGGTCGCGCGATAGACGTGCAACGAACTCTGTACTCTTTGACTTCTGAAGGACGTGTATGGACTTTTGTACGAAACTAACGGACCTAACCTTATTGCCTTATACTTACTGACCCTTATTGACCCTCTTGTGGTTTATGTCGACCCCATGGACTTTTGCGAACGGAATAGCCTTCTTCGGATACTGATTGATTCAGGGACGCTTCTCCGAATGGCCACTGTCGTAATGTCGGTCGCTCTGTTGAGTAATTATGTTGTGTTCTCGGTGCATTTCTTGCGAATGAACTCGCCAACTCAACTTCGAAGGTGCGTATTTATCACACCACTGCTACACGCTTCAATCGTGATATAGCGTCTCATGTGCCTCTTCGGGATGTCGACACTATCGCAAGCTGCTGTGATCTTGCCGTTTCTACACATTTCAGGAGACGCAGCGCTGTAGACCTTCGACTGGGGCTTCAACATCCTGGTGGTCACAGTAACGATAACGTGACCAGAAGTCAACTGTGACATAACACCAGAAGGTAATCCTAATTCGATTACGGACGCGTCGCGTCCGTGACTGTCTATTTCCGCGTCGAGACCGACAAAGAAACTTGAAGAAGGTCGACATATCCAACGTGACGCTGAACCTCTACACCTGGGCCGACTTCCGCTTCCCGACCAACTTTAAGGTGCTCCGCGCTGGCGCGTTGCATCTATTTTTCAAGGTGTATTCGCTCAAGGAAGATTAGGTTCGTGTCGCTATGTGTTCTCCTTGCTTTCGCTGTTGTCCTCTCGCCTGCGATCTCCCTGTCGTCCTTCATCCTCGTCGTCTTCCTTGCTGTCGTTCTCATTCTCCTTCTCGTCTCTTTGCTTTTAGTATCATCATCCTTCTTGCTCGCTGACTTTTTCTCTTCGTCAGAGTCGGGTGGGGGGAGGCGTGCGATTGATCCGAGGCGCAGTTGAGTTTGGTCTTCGTTCTTTGGTCCTGCAGTAGAGCTGACTTCATTCGAGCAAGCGAAGCGGACGAGCACAGCGAGGAGTCGGCATAGAGTTGACAAAGACATCATAAGGAGAGACTTGTAGCGGGAAGGAGGCGAGACGCGGCGCGGCATATAGTTTGGCGATAATCATTGCGAGAGATGCATCCTTTGCTCTATCTTCACCTCGTCTTTTGTATGCTACGCTTGTGCTGCCTTTACCCTTGCAAGGCACGATCAGTAGCCGCGAGATATCAAGTTATGGCTGGTAGTTGAAGGTACACATGAGAAAGCTCTCCTTTGCGTTATGCGTCGAGTTCCGCCTGGGGTGCATTAGGAATTGACCAAGGTGTATACGCACTGCATAGTTCAGAATGCTTGTCTCTTAAGAGCGAGCTGAGCGACAGCCACTTGACCAAAATCAGCTTCACAAAGCCAAAAATCGCGCCGAGAGTTGGTCGAGAGCAAGGTGGGGGACGGACCGGGGAGTCGGAACGGGAACAAGGACCGATCGAATTCACGTGATGTCATCACTTGTCCTCCCCGTCAACGTTCACCGCGTCCACACTCTCCGCCGCGATGGGTGCCGGCCAGTCCAGGGCAGAGCCGTCAGAGAAGATATTCAGAAATGAGACTCCCATCCAGGTCGGCCCCCTCGCCGTTCCTTCTCCCCGTCACTCACCTCCCGCAGTTCTCCGGCGACGTCGTCAACTCCCTCGCGGATCGTTCCGCCGCCACCGACCCGACGCCCGAGCGCCAGGCGACCATAGACGAGCACATCCGCGGGCGCATCAACTCGGAGCTCTCCCGCTTGCGTGCGGAGGAGGAGAATGTGCAGTCTGAGATCGCGCGCGCACTCGAGAAGGAGAACCTCGACCGCGAGCGCGGCATGGCCGGCGACGCGGAGGAGGCGGGTGGGGTGAAGAGCAGCGCGGCGTTGATGGGCGACTTGGAAGAGATCCGCTCGAAGGTAGACCGCTTCAAGGAGCGCCGCGGGCTGAAGGACTTCCCGACTGTGAAGGCTGGTGCGGAGGCTGTCGCGGAGTGCTATCGGTGCGTGTACTAGCTATTTTTTTCGGCCTCGTATCTGACGATAATCATAGGAAAAACCCAACAACGCCGCTGGATTGCTGGCGAGAGGTAGAGCACTTCAAGGGTGCAGTCTTGCAGGCGGAGCGGGTATGTTGCGAACACTCTACTTCCCATGCCGATGGCTAACCAAGAAAAATAGGAATTCTTCAATAGCTTACAGTACTAGACGGGCACTGAATGAATGTCTATCATTCTTTTGGTTCTGAGTACCCGGAGCAGGACGAGCGCCAACAGTCGCTGCACAACCCCCTCTTGCAATGGGTCGGCTCGATGCTCCCGGTAATTGTTTTGCAGGCAGCTTGAGAACGATAATGCACCCAGATTGTTACGAGGAGAAGGCACAGAAATAACGGTCTCATTCAATTCACAAGCCTTTTATCAAGCAATGTGAACATTGCGCAGCTATCCAGCAAGCGACCCCATTGTCTCCACTGGTTTTCCTGTCCGTTTATCCTGCTGTATGTGTCCATGCTCAAGCAACCTTGAGAGGCAATGAGGGGAAAGCGCTCGTGGTCAGCGTGAAGACTCACCAGTCCGGCTCAATCTCTGTCAATATCCGTATCCTGAAGCAGCTCGTCAGTTGATTATGCACGCAAGCGCTAGCGTTTGTCGCTCACTGGGTTTTCTTCGTCTCCTCCATTTCATGGAAGATCACCCATCCGGTCCGCGGTTTCCTTGTGAACAGCACCGATGTCGGATGCACATGTAACGTCTAAAACCATCCTTCAGCTCTCTTGGCCCCATCGACAGAAGTCGAGAACGTACCTGATTCCCTCTGACCGACCTGTACGTCCCATCTGGCATCCACCGCGCGGCATTCCTGTAGTATCCTGACACTAAGCACTTCCTCACCCGCACCGCATCCCCCTCGCAGCTCTTCAGCGGCAGCCCGAAGCGCTGCATGTACTTCTTGAGCTGCGAGCGGATCGACATTGCGCGGGACATAGCACGGAAGGACAGCGCATGCGAACGACACCAGCCCGCAGATTTCCCGTAGCGCACGAATGCGTTGTAGGCGTTCAGAAGGGTGATATGATCCTACACAGTCAGTGTTAGCATCTTGCTCACCCTCGCAAAACCACAAACTATCGCTCACCCCCTCCTCCGCCGTAAACTTTCTCCTCTCCAACTCCGCCAACGCCCCCGGCGCCCCATCCGGAATCACGAACGCATCCTGAATCGCCGTCATCGCCGCAATCGTCAAAATCTCCTCCCCACATCCATACTCCTTCGAGCTGAACAGCATCCGCGCCAGCCCGACCTCCACCGGACACTCCGCCACCCTCTCACCGGTGGGCGTCATCCGCCCGTCCTCGCCGATCATGCCCGTGGCCACCAGTCCTTCGAGCGCGCGCAGGACGCTCTCTGCTGGCGGCGCCGTCACCCACTCGAACTTCATTAGGTCGTCGATGCCGAGGGCCTTCAACTGGAGGATGTGCGTCGTCATGTCGGTCCGGGCGATTTCTGGAGGCGTGCTGAGGGGGAGGGTGGCAAAGGCGGCTTCAGTGTAGAGGCGGTAGCAGACACCGGCCGACGTGCGCCCGGCACGTCCGGCGCGTTGAGTGGCGGAGGCGACGGAGACGGGTACCGTGGCAAGGGAGGCGAGAGCTGTGGTGGGGTTATAGGTGCGGATCTAGGCATGCAAGTTAGATTCCAGGTTTCTTGCCGTAGGGGGGCATTACTTACCTTCACAAATCCACTGTCCACAACGTACTTGATGCCGTTTATCGTGACGCTCGCCTCCGCTATATTCGTCGAGACAACCACCTTTCGCGTTCCCGGAGCAGCCCGCTCGAAGACAGCCATTTGTTCCTCTGTCGAAAGACCTGCATGCAGCGCCAGCGGTACCAGCCTGTCCCTGCCTTTGGGCATGGTCGGCAGAAGCTCAGAAAGCTCCTCCAAACATCGCTCGATCTCCTCTCGCCCTGTCAAAAAGACCAAAATGTCTCCAGGACCGTGCTGGATACGGTTACAAGTCAGCTTTTCGCAACTCACAAGTGTGAACCACACACCGCACCTTCAGATGGATATCCCCCACCACCTCCGCCGCCTTCCTCACATAGTCCGGCACAGGCTCCTTCAGATAGGCCACCTCCACGGGGAACATCCTTCCCTCCAAACTCGCTATGGCAGCCTCATCGTCCCCGGCGGGCGTGTTCGCGCGGAAGTACTCCAGGAACGTCGTCGCGTCAACGGTTGCGGATGAGACAATGAGACGTAGCTCAGGACGTCTTCGTCGGATTCTATGAGGGGGATAGCATCAGGTTGGAAAGGGTCGCAGGGAGGACAGACGCACCCTACTTTTTGAGCACGCCGAGCAGGAGGTCGGTGTAGACGCTGCGCTCATGGACTTCGTCGATCTATAGATAAAGACAATATGATGAGTATGTGAGCGTATGTGCGGGCCTGTGTGGACGCAGAAGGGATGAATAAATGACGAGGAACTGACCATGATCACGCTATAGCGTGTGAGGAGCGGGTCGACGAGCGTTTCGCGGAAGAGCATGCCGTCCGTCATGTAGAGGATTCGCGTCCTCTCCTTGTCGCTGACATCCTCGAAACGGATGGTGTATCCCACCTAGCCTTTGTGGTCAGCCTGCATATACATATTCAACGAACCCAGCTACGTACCTCGTCCCCCAGCACCGATCCCACTTCGTTCGCTACCCTCCCTGCAACTGATGTCGCTGCCACGCGCCGCGGCTGCGTGCACGCAATGACTCGTCCATCCGCCGCCCATCCGGCTTCGTATAGATACTGTGGTAGCTCTGCGTACTGTCAATGTGCAAGTCCCCGATCGCCAGCATATACCCAGCTCACGCGTCGTCTTCCCACACCCCGTCTGCCCGACCACTATGGTCACCCCATGCTTCTCCACGCAGTACAGTAGCTTGTCCCCTACATACCCATTCGCATTGGCTTCACTCTACCCACCACAATGATCTTACACACTCACTATGCTTGTAGATCGGGAGATGTTCCCTCTGCGCCTGGATCGACAGCGACGCGTACGCAGGGGCAGATTGTATCACATTCCCTTCTGTTTCTGTCTCGCGGTCAAGGGAGCTGCCAGGTCCCGCAGTCCCTGGCTTCCAGAACTTGAGTCCGCCGCCGGACATGGTGATGAGCGCGCTTGACAGGATGTGCAGAAGGCTATCGGGGCACCGGTCCGAGGATCAGCTTCCACTTTGGACGCGACTGTCAGCCTCACCCGCAGAAGACTCAGAGAAATTGACTTGGAGCGACGGACAATGCTCAGCAGTGGAAGAGAGGTGCGCAATGGAGGACAGCACACGGTATCACCTCATCAAAGTGCTCCAAGTCCAAGTCGAAGACGCGTTGAGCCTGATTCCCGGTCCGGAGGGCGCGTGGCTGCACAGCCACAGACACGCGCCACTGCCAAACAAGCACCCACGCGTCGCGAAATTCAACAAACATTCAGTAAACAAACCCCTGTGGGCGCACTGCCACCTCCCTTTACTTCCGCCATGGGTATATAGTTCGGCGGCTCTCTCCCTTTCGAACCGTGGACTGTGTGGCAAGCTCCCCGTACGAGGCGTCCCTCGGGGCGTTCTTCATCGGAGTCGGGTATGTGGGGGCACGGGTTGGCGGTTATGGCCGGGCGGCTTGGGGGTTGGGGGCAACCTCAGTCCAGGTCGCCATGTCATCCGCCTGGCCCTGTTTCTCACTCCTGGCATGCGCGGCGGCCTGCAAGATCGGGGCCTTCGTGAGGAGTAGTGGAGGCGGCGTCTGGACTCGAGCTGGATGTGCGTTGAAGCGTTATAGTCATCGTTCCTGAACCCTTGACGCTTTCTGCGTTCCTCTTCAAGGTGGGTTTCTAGGTGTATCTCTCTGACTATCGCTGACACGCTCGCAGGCTTATGTGCTCACCGCGTTGGCCGACCATGTACTCATGGGCTGGCACTGTTCTCCTTCAAGTGATGCGGTTTCGCCCCTCACACCCCGCTCCTACTGACCCTGTGTGCCAGCTTCGATTTCGACGGCGGTACGAGAGTCCTCTGGATCATGGACGGTCTACCAATTTGTTGCCTCGTTATTTGCTATGCATGTCGTACCGCTCCCGCTCTCTGTCTGTCCGACGTGCTGCTGTCTGTTGTACTGACATCTCGTTTGTCCAATGAAATGCGTCCCCGCCGGCTTTCCTTCATCCTTCCTGTGTCCGCACCCGCAAGCTACCATCTCCTCCCCCCTTACATCCGTCGCAACCCTCCAACTCTTTCAACATCTCCGCGTCCTGTTCCCGACCTTCGTCGCAGACGACCTCCCTCTCTCCTCAAAACGGAGCGACCGAGGAGGGGATGTAGAGCATTGAGTCCTCCCTCCCTCCCTATCATCTCCTCTCCCTCTACACCTTCCCTGTACAAGAGGCTGAGCTAGCGAGACATCTGGAGCGCCATGATATACCGGGATGCTCAGAAATCTTGAGCAATCGTTTATAAAGATCCAGAATAAATTGAAGGGATGTAGATGAACACGAGTACTGAAATTCTTCAGAGGGTCTCTGACGGCAGGCTCACGCCAAGCACTATGTTAACCGAATATTCCATCCACGAAAGTCGACTGAAAGCTTTCCATATCGGGAACAAGGCCATCCCAATCCGCTCGAATAGTCACAAGCAGGGCATCCGAGGACACTCGTAGCACCCGACATTGCCGTTTCAAGGGGAGGAGAAACGAGAGTCGAGACTGCCAAGGGCAGTCACAAACCGTGGCAGTTCCTAAGGTCATTGGAGGAGCGAAGTAAGAGACCTAAGAGGCGAGACCTCCAAGGTCTCCGAAGATGGGCGAAGATCGAGCACACTTGGTGCCGGCGGAGTCCCTGCTTGAATACATATCTATACATACTCGGCGGACCTTGGCGAAGATCGGTATTCCTATTACAAGCGGTGAGCGTCGAGAGGGTACGTACTGACCTCGACGGGTCCCCATCCCATCCACAGCGGTTGAACTCGAAGCGACTTCCTCCACGACCTCAAGCAGCTGCGAAAGATGATGTTTCCACACAAGTACATTTTAGCTTCTCATTAGTACATCGTACAACATTGTGATTATCTTCCCGTCTATGCGTGCACCCAGCGTCTATGGTTGAATAAGAATAAGTGGGTCGCGCGCTCCCTCACAGCTTCGGTTGCTTCTCGCAGCTCAGTCACTGCTTCTCGGAGAGCTCGGCGACACCAGGGAGGGTCTTGCCCTCGAGCAGCTCGAGCGACGCACCGCCGCCGGTGGAGACGTGGCTCAGCTTGCTCTCCGCGCCGTACTTCGCAACCACCGTCGCCGTGTCACCGCCGCCGACGATGACGGTGGCGCCCTTCGCGGCAGCCTCAACGGTTGCCTCGAGCAGCGCCTTCGAGCCCTCGGCGAACGCGTCGAACTCGAAGACACCCGGGGGACCGTTCCAGAGGATGGTCTTCGCCTCGAGCACCGTCTTGCGGAACGCCTCGCGCGACTTGGGTCCCGCATCGAGACCCATCCAACCCTCGGGGATGCCCTCCTCCTGGGTGGCGTAGCCGACCTTGGCGTCCTTGTCGAACTTGTCGGCGGTGACGAAATCGGTGGGGAAGGTGATCTTGATGTTCTTGGCCTTGGCCTTCTCGATGAGGGCGGCGACCTTTTGGGAGCCGGCCTCGTCAAAGAGGGAGTTGCCGATCTGGAAGGGGAGGTGAGACGAAGTGGGCATGCTCAAGGGATTTTCCTTACGGAGACGTTCTCGAGGGTCTTCTTAAAGGTGAAGGCCATACCGCCGCCGATGATGAGAGAGTCGACCTTGTCGAGCATGTTCTCGATCAGCTGGATCTTGTCCGAGACCTTCGCGCCGCCGAGGATGGCGAGGAAGGGACGCTCGGGGTGCTCAAGCGCCTTGGCGAAGTACTCGAGCTCCTTCTTGACGAGGAAGCCAGAAGCACGCTGCGGCAGCTTGACACCGACCATCGACGAGTGCGCACGGTGTGCAGTGCCGAAGGCGTCGTTCACGTACACATCGCCGAGCTTGGTAAGGCCCTCGCGGAAAGCGGCGACCGCAGCGGGGTCAGCCTTGGTCTTCGTGCCGTCCTTGTTCTTGACGGAACCCTCCTCCTCGATGTGGAAGCGAAGGTTCTCGAGGAGGATGACGGAGCCAGTGGGTGCGTTGGCAACGGTCGCCTCAACCTCAGGGCCGACACAGTCCGAGGCGAAGATGACGGGTTTCGAGAGCTGCTTCTCGAGCTCGGCCGCGACGGGCTTGAGCGAGTACTTCTCGATCACCTTGCCATCGGGGCGGCCAAGGTGGGACATGAGGACGATCTTGGAAGCGCCTGATGGGTGCCGATGAGGGGGGCATTCTTGATGGGTAGGAGCGCAGACTTACCATTCTCGATGGCATACTTGATGGTGGGGAGGGCGGCGACGATGCGCGCGGGGTTGGTGATCTTGCCCTCCTGGATGGGGACGTTGAAGTCGACGCGGATGAGGACGCGCTTGCCCTTGAGGTCGAGGTCGGTGATGGCGAGCTTGTTGGAGAGCGACATGTTTGTTTTTCTGAGGATAGCGACGGAGCAGCTGGCGCGCCTCTTATACCGCCCCGGAGACGGACCGGCCCGCGGCCTGGGCCGGCCGATGGCGGGCGATTCGATGATGTGGTGCATTGGTCGTGCAGCTGCCCCGACCGCCGTCGACCGCGAAGACGAGTCTTGACCGTGCCTACCGCACGCTCGTATTCATCCAGTCCAGTCCATCCAGTCCCGCAATAGTCCCCCTGCCGCCATGGCAGAACCGCAGGACGCACCGAACTCGCTCGGCCTCGACTTCCAGCAGACACCCACATCGCCACCAGAATCCAAGGCGACGACGGAGGGTACCACAGATGGTGGCGTGGCTGAAGATGCAGGCAAGCAGCAAGCAAAGAAGGAGCGCGTCCAGCCATATGTGAACCCCGAACGCGTCAAGACGGGCGGCGCGCAGAGGGTGTGTGCGACGAACGCGACGCGACTTGCCCAGCTCACATCGCGTATAGGACAAGCCCAGCGACGAGGCGCTCGCGGAGAAGATGGCGCGCATGCGCGAGCAGAACGAGAAGATCAAGCAGCGTCGCGCGGTGAGGCGTGTCGCCCCCGCCGCTCGCTCGTAATCTCATCCCCCGCAGGACGTACAGGCCGACGAGGCCGCGTTCAAGAAGACGCAGGAGGCAGAGCAGCAGCAGCGCGCACGCATCAAGAAGGTCCAGGAGAATGTTGATCGTATGTGACGAATGCTGCTATGGTGGGGTATCCGCTCACGTACACGCCAGGTTCACGGGAAGCGAACGCGGCGCGCAAGATGGCCAAGGTGCAAAACCGCGAGTGGGATGCGGACAAGCGCGGGGGACCCAAGGCTCGAGGAGGTGGACCTCAGAAGGATGCGCCTGGCAGCCCAGCGGCCGAGGGTGCTTCCGCGACTCCAGCAGAGGACACTCCGGGTTCCCCGGAAAATGCTCCAAGTGAGGCGTCGGGTGCGGACTCGGACAGGTGGGCTCGCGGGCGCGGCGCGCCCGGGGGCCGTGCTCGTGGAGGTCGTGGTGGGCGTGGAAGGGGCGGGCGTGGTGGACGCGGTGGAGCCAATGGCCCAGCTTCACCTTCTTCTGAAGCCGCTCCGACACCGGCCACTGAATCATAGCGCTGGCAAGACCCAAGAGCTATACATGTACTGACCTCATTTGCTTGTTTTCTCGATACCTGCTCTGAACCACGGGTGGAATTGCTGTGTTTACCCTTATAATTCACGATTCTGCGATGACATTGGTGGATGCACCGAGACGGGTAACATCTCTCAGGTGAGTGGTGGATGAGCTCCGGGTGCTTGCTGGTCTCAAAATTTGACAGAACGCCGCGAATATTGCCCTACCGACCCTTAACGGGGTTTGCAACAAAATCGGTCAAAGCGGCCAAAGGTGCCGGGCAATGCAACACCCCAGCCCGAGCCCGCTCATCCTCCGTTCGCTTGGATATTTGGCATATGGGTAGAGCGCGCTGCGCTCATAGCATCTGCAAATCTTTATGTTAGACGGAGCTCGAAATGTCAAGATAGAAAATGAGAGGCGTTCTCGGCAAATACCGAAACTGTTGCATTGTGCATCGGCGACTGTTGCGCAACAATTTCCTAGGTTCCTCTACCCTGAAGGCCACCAAAGTTGGAGGATCCGTTCACGCTATGGTATTGGACAGCTCTACCAAGTCTCGTAAAATTCTAAGGCAAAACAGTCGAGAAAATGCCCAGATTCTGAAAGTGTTGCAAACCCCGTTAAGGGTCGGTATATACTGATTCGCGAGTGCATATGCTGCAGTAGGCTACGAGCGCTACTGCAGGATACGGTGTACTGTGTACTAGCTGCCCCCCTTCCAATAGTTATGTAACAGCAGAATGAAACATCTCTGCGCATATATATCTTGTTTTTAAGGTTGTCATCATGGTGAGCCTGCGCGCAACGCTTGGTTCGGCGGTGCGAAGTACTCAGTTTTATTCCTCAACGCATCCCCATAAGGAAGGCATTGTGGTCGCCGGATCACCGGGCCGAGTCTGAAACTTCTCCGCGCTTTTTCGTCGAAGGGGGGATCATCAACCTACACGACGATGGGTCGCGGAATCCTGCTGACGGCGAACCTGCCGCAGCTACAGAACCTCATTAAGCGCGACCCCGCAGCGTACAAGGAGGAATTCCTTCAGCAGTGGAACCACTACAACTCCGTACGCCAGATCTTCGACATCAACCCTGATGAGCACGCCCAGCACTTGCGCGAGCTCGTCAGCTTCATCGCGCAAGTAGCGACCTGTTACCCAAAGGAGACGGCAGAGTTCCCCCAGCAGATTGCGATGCTGCTACTTGAGAGCTATGGCTCTTTGGCGCCCGAGATCAGGAAGACGCTTGTGCAGAACCTAGTTATGCTCAGGAATAAGGGTGTCATCACGTCGATCGAGTGAGTACCTCATCCCCCTCAGTCTTACTGTGTGTACTGACAAGGATACAGGCTGCTGAAGACTCTCTTCCCCCTTCTCCCCCGCACGACCTCGTCGACGCTACGCGCGTTCATCCGCAAGACGATCCTGGCGGACATCCGATCGGCGAACCTGCGCTCGAAGAACCACAAGCTCAATCGCGCGGTCCAAGCTATGCTCTTCGGCATGGTCGAGCGCGGCATGGACGGCGAGGTGCTGGGCGATCGGGGAAAGCTGCGCGCCGCCGCGGGACCCACCGCTGAACGCTCTGCGCACAACGGGGACGAGGCCATGTGGGCTGTCGTGCTGACGAAGGAGCTCTGGAAGAAAGGCATCTGGTATGTGACTGTGCTTCAGGAAAAAGCAAGGAGGTAGCTAACATGCTATAGGAACGACACCAAGACCGTCTCCATCGTCGCCCTTGGCTGCTTCCACCCCGTCATGAAGGTCCAGAGCGCCTCTGTGCACTTCTTCCTCGGCAGCGACGACGAAGACGAGGACTCCGACGACGAGGACGCCATCCCCGACATCAAGTCCCTCCAGCACCAGCGCGAGATTAAAAAGAAGACGCGCAGCATCGACCGCAAGCTCGAAAAGCAGGCCAAAAAGGCGAAGAAAAAGCGGCAGCAGAAGAGTAACGCCACGTCGACGAACTTCCCTGCGCTGCAGCTGCTCAATGACCCGCAGAGCTTCGCGGAGAAGCTGTACGACAACTTGAACCGCTACGACAAACGCTTCTCGCTCGAGCACAAGCTGTTGCTTATGCAGTTGCTATCGAGGGTCGCGGGATACCACAAGCTCTGCGTGCTGGGCTTCTACACGTACATTGTGCGCTACCTCACCCACAAACAACTTCGCGTGCCCGCCATCCTCGTAGCGCTCGCACAGAGCGTGCACTCGTTGACGCCACCCGACGCACTGTTGCCGGTCGTACGCAAAATTGCGGACGAGTTCGTGCACCCGGGTGTCGCGAGCGAGGTCATCGCGGCGGGCTTGAACTCCATCAGGGAGGTGTGCAGGCGGCAGCCGTGGGCCATGGAGGAGGATCTGTTGGGCGACTTGGTGGAGTATAGGAAGAGCAGAGATAAGGCAGTTACTGCAGCAGCCAGAGGTGTGCTGCAGCTGTATCGGGAGGTGAATCCGAGTATGCTGCAGAGGCGAGAGAGGGTGAGTCCAATCAACTTATCCTGATTGCCTTTGCTAACATATATGTAGGGCAAAACTGCTGCCATGGGGCTTGCAGAAGGCTCGCAACCCTTGCCCTTCGGTCACACTGCTGACGCGGCGGTCGACATTGAGGGTCTTGCTGTACGTATTCTCTACCCTATTCAGGCATGTCACTCATGGCCCTATAGCTTCTTGAAGACCATCTACAAAAACTCCGGGATGAAGAGAACGGCGACGTCAACACAGAGGACGCCGACGCGAAAGCCTGGGAGCAGTGGGAGGTCGCGTCGGACTCTGACTCGGATTCGGACTCAGATTCGTCTGGCTGGATCAATGTGGACAGCGACAATGCTGAGGACATCGTCGTCAGCGACAGTGAGGATGAAGCAGAGGAGGCGGCTGCCAAGACCGCCGCTGCAGCCGAGTTGGAGGCAGCCGAGAACAGGATATCAACGCTGGCAACAACGAAGGTTCGTCTTTGGCTGGACATTGCTTGCATCTCCCTGACCATACATCAGATCCTCACCCCTGCCGACTTCGCCCTCCTCGCCGACCTCCGCGTCCAAGCCGCCACAAAAGCTGTCGAGGCCGGCGGCGGAACCAAGGCCAAACGCAAGCTCGCCGCCCTTGAAGCCGCGAAAAAGGCCGCCACCGAGGTCTCCACCGCCGAGGACACCTTCGTCTCCGAGAACGACATTCTCGGGCCGCGCAAGCGCGCGAAGCAGGACTACGCGGAGCGCATGGAGAGCATCCAGCGCGGGCGCGAGGGCCGCGAGAAGTACGGGTCGCTCAAGGGGAAGAAGAACAAGGAGGCGCCGAGCAGCTCGACGAACCGGGAGAAGGCGCGCAATAAGCCGATCATGATGATCATGAGCAGTGGCGCGGTGAGGGGGAAGAAGAAGGCGAGCTTGAGGCAGAAGCAGCAGAAGTTGAGGGCGCATATCGAGAGGGGGAAGAAGGCGTATCATTGAGGGACAGGTTGTGGAGTTGGTTGTGCATTGTGGGTGTATTGGTACTGTACATGTCTTGTTGTATGGTGCAGGGGTAGGGTATCTTGCCCGATTACTCTTCCTGCTTTCTCAAGCCGGACAAGTCCTTTGTGGCTCTGGACGTTTGGTCAGCAAGTCATCCTCCGAACGCAAACCTGGACTCACTCTACTGGTACACCGAAGACATCCACTGCATCGACCCTCGTTTCGTCCCCTCCTCCCTGGTTCGAAGCAATGAATATCTGCGGATGGGGTCAGTCACATTTAGCCTTCCTGCACATCCAACGCGCCACATACGTGCAAGCTGTTGACGGACTGGAATCGCACGAAGCGCAGCTGGATCGGCTTCCCCTGGCGCACGTCGTCCTCGCTCAACTCCAGCGTCTGCGCGACCTCCCCATCCGACGCGTCCTCCACGTCCTCAAAACCGATGTTGGGCCGGTTCACGAAGAGCTTGATCAGCTTCGGTCCCTGCGACGCGTTCGCGGTGTGAATCACGAGCGAGCGGATGCGCACGGCCTGGTTGAACTGGGGAACAGGGTGTATGAGCTGGCATGGCGCGCCACGAACGTGTGAGAGGGGTCAGCTTACGGTAATGTTCAGGACGAGCTGCTCGTCGGCGTCGCTCAGCAGGTACTTTGCACTGTCCTTTGAGCGCGTCTTGCCAGCGAGGATGGACTTTGCGGTGTGTTCTTGGGCTATGTGAGAGCTTGTCGCGTTCCGGACACGCTGAACACACCGTCGTTCTCATTCAAGCAATTCAACTGAGAAAGATCGAGAAGATCCAACAGCGAGACCTGCGCCAGTGTCAGCGTCGAGCACAGTGCGCGCTACACGGTCGCTGACATCGTGTGCGTCTTTGGACATGGTGGCAGACGGAGAAAGGCAAGTGAGTAAATAAAGTGATCCTACGCTAGTGTTCTCTACAGTGACAATGACGACAGACGCAATACGCAGATCGATTGCGATGATGATAACCACGTGCGGAGAGGTCGACGTATCTAGACGGGCGGCGAACTCGAACTTCAACAGCAACTAGCAGATCACACACTCGTCCTTGGCCTGCTGCCGTGTCGGGCGCGCCATCTGCGACCGCTTGTTCCCCATCCGCTTCAGCTCCGTCAGCCGGTTCATCGCGCGCTTATTCCCCTGGGCTGCAGAGGGATCAGCTTTGGGACTTCTAAACAGAGCATCGACGTACCTGCTGCCCGCATGTACCACCTCTTCGCAAGTTCTATATCTTGCTTCACGCCGATACCGACCTGTGGGATGGATCAGACGGACGCGCTAACCGGCTCTACCGATGAACATACCTCCGCGTAGTACCCGACAGCGTACTCGGCCTTGCTCAGGCCTTTGTTCGCTGCTCTCCTCGCCCAGAGGTACGCCTCGGAGTCGCTCTGCTTGAGCACACCCTCGCTGCCCGTCAGGTACCATCCACTGAGCGCCAGCTCCGCCTCCGCATCTCCCTTCTCCGCCGCCTTGGTGTACCACGCGATCGACCGCTTGGGATCCACAGGGCATGTCAAGTGGCCGTACTCATAGCACTGACCGAGCTTGTACTGCGACTGCGTATAGCCGAGGTGCGCTGCCTGCGTGAATAATGCTTTCGCATATGCTGGGTCGTACGGCACCAAGCCCGAGTTGGGCTGTTCGTATAGCAGGCCGAGCTCGTGCAGTGCGTGCGGGTTCTCCTCGTCCGCCTGTTCTGCCGCCCGCTTCAGCCACGCGATCGCTTCTCGTGGGTTGCGCTGTTCTCCGAGCATGCCGTGCAGCAAGATCATCCCGAGCTTGTACATGGCGGCTGTATCACCTAGCGATGCGGCCTTCCTGTAGAAGGCAGCGGCCCGGGGTGGTTCCCGGCGAGTTCCAGCGCCGATCTCGTTGCACACGGCAACGCGATAGCAAGCAGCTGGGTGATTTTGCTTCGCTGCTTGCAAGTAGAGATGATAGGCGCGTTCATGGTCAACCTGCAGACCGAGTGCACCAGTACCATGACAGTTCGCCATGAAGAATTGCGCCTCCGCGTACGCGTCGCCCTGCGTGGCAAGCCTACGAATGACCTTGAGAGCCTCCGTGATCAGCACCTCGGAGTACTTTTTGGCGGCGCGCTGGTCCTTTGCGGTCTGTCGTATCTTGCGGGCTGCATCGATGAGGTACTTAGCGTACTGGAAGTGCGCTTCTGGGTCGGGGTCTGCTTTTATGCGCTGGCGGTACTGGTCGATGTACTCCTTCGTGTACGGCGGCGCCGTGAGATCGACAGCCTTCGTCATTCGAGATGCAGGCATCACCGATTCACCACGATTAAGCGGAGGCCGGCCCTCAAACTCGGGGGTATCCTGGGGGTATATGGAGGATTGGGCGGATGAGCCGGCATACGAAGAGTTGGGGTCCGGTGACTGCTGCGAGACCGGCGAGCTGACGTTGTACGAGGAGTGGCTGGAAGCGACGGAGGGAGCGTACGTGCCAGGAGGGTAGTTGTTGGGAGGGTAACCGCCGCCGTTTGGTGGCGGGGGATAGTTGGCGCCGTTAGGCGGCGGTTGATACATCGGGCCAGGCGGAGGTGGGGGCGGGCCGCCGCCTGGGGGACCCATGCCTAGGACGTTAGATGCGGCCGCGTAGTAGGGATCGTACCCGCCCTGCGGGGGCGGCGGTCCCCACTGTTGCTGCGGTGGTGGGTACCCGCGGCCTGGGCCGGGTGGTGGGTAGCCACGGTCCATGGAGATCACGCTCTGCGCGTCGTCCATGTACGCGCTCGTAATATCGGGGTCGTATCCCTCGTATCCTCCCCCCGCAGGGTCCCCGCGGCTGTCGCGCGAGTGGATCGAGGCGCCGTCGTTGGGGGGTCCGCCCTGCGGCCACGCTGGCGGCGGGGGCGCGCCAGGCGGGAGGGTGAAGGATCGCGGGGAGGGATGTATCCGCTGCGCGGGGTGGGCTTGGAAGGTGTTGGAGCGCATCGACATGGCGGACGTCGTGCGGGGGACGGGATCCATGGGCGCGAGCCCGCGAGGCGCGGGATCGCTGAGACGCATGGCGGCGAAGCCATTGACGGCCTGGTCAACGGCGGAGGTCTGCTCGCCAGCGGCCGCGGCGTCATCGTACGAGGGCGGGCCGTCGGGATAGGGCGCCTGGCTCTGTGCGTCGGGTTGCGACCTCGGGCGGATATCAGTTCCGCTGGGGTTCGCGCTTGACATTGTCTGGGCATGTTCGTTCGTCGTCGGGAAGCATGATGGGCAGCGCACTCACTGTGAATACCGGCGAGGGCCCGGGGACGGAGGAGCGACGAGGAAAAGGTGCGGTCAAGGGCGTCTGATGCAATGAACGCAGGTGACGGAGACTGCCCCTGTGTTGATCTCGCGCGACGCGCCCACACGTGAAAATACAGACACACAAGGCGAGATCACAGATGGACTTGTAGTGTACAGGCGTGCAAGAATCGAATCAAGTATGCTACGTGCGCGGCCATGTCCATGCTTCGTATATTCGCTCGATGCGCTGGCGCTCCAACCCCGTCGCCGTTTTGCGTACCCGGCTCACCACGTCCTTCTTACTCTGCACCTGAGCCTCCTCCGACCCGTCTTCCTCCATCCCATCCGCCCAGCTGACCCATCGATCCATCCACGCCTCCTCGTCACCCGGCCGAGCCGCCTTGGCCTGTCTCGTCTCCACCACATTCTGCTCCTCCGCGACCTTGCTCCAAATCTTGGGCCTGAAATTCCTGAAGCGCGCGTGCTCGTCAGGTGTCTCCGACTTTATTCGTTTGCGCTTGAGGTGCGAGTGCCCATTTAGATGAGGTGTGGACGATCGCTCGTCGTCGCTGTCTTCGCCGGCGGCCAGTCGTAACCGCCAACGTAGTTCGCGCGCGAGAGCGGGTGCGTCCTTCACTCGATCACTTGGGATATCCTGTTGGACCTCCTTCTTCGCGGTCTCGCCTCCCCGCTCTAGCAACCGCGCTTGCACTACCAGAAAGTCGGCGAGATGTGAGATGGATGCTAACTCGCGTGCTGATGGTTGCGTAGCATTGGGCGTTTTCAGATCGCGGAGGTACTTCTCCCCAACGTACCAGCAAAGTCTAAAAATGACGGTCAAAGATATGAAACGACACCAAGAGAAGGCTACTCACCTGCTGAAGTACGGGAAAGTGAACTTCTTGGGGACGCGGGTCGCGATCTCAATGTCCCGTATACGGAGCTCTAGACGGTCATGAGTTCCAATCTGTAACGGGGAGCGCTTCCACATACGCATGGGCACGCTATAAGAGTGTAAGAAATTGCCTCCAAATACAATCGTGTCCACGGGAGTATGCTATCGCCGGTCAGTATCAACAGCGCCCTCGGTCAGAGAAAGAAGAACGCACTACGGCGTGTATCCATCCGCTAGGAATGATCATGGTGTTTCCAGCGGTTAGCGTGATCTTGACAACCTCGTCAACGAGGTCTCCGAGCCACGTTGAAGTTTGAAGTGCGCTGCCTGACCATTTCTCGTACGCGGCAAGGTTGTCGGGTGTGGGACGGATAAAGTAGAAGACCTTATCAGAAAACGTCAGTGACTGCCCTGGAACGAGGCCACAGGACGTACCTTGGCGCCACTTAGGACATGGTAGTATACCGAGGATCCGGCGAAGTCAATGTGCCAATCCTAGTGATTCTCAGCCACCATTTCCATGACTGTTCGTATTCACTCACTGTCCATGCATTCGCGACGCCCATGAGACAATATAATTGCACCTTGGGGTATGAATGCCCCTTCCCCTTCCGCGTCGCTGGCCAGAAGTTCTCCACCCAGTCCAGTTCGCGCACCAGCCGAGGGGGCACGATGCGCTCCCCCAGCTTCGTCTGCGAGATCTCAAGAGAGATGACGTTCCGGATCTTGTCCCGCTCCGAGGCTGGCTTATTGAAGTATTCCGCCCACTTCGCCATCGTCCATCCCGGCGAGCCAGACTGTGACGCCACATCTGCAACATACGCGCTCATTAGCATGCTTCCCGCGCTCATCACACCAAACCGCACCCATCACCTCCACCGGCGTCTCGTCCCCCACCAGCTGCGCGATATCGTCTACCGTGAAGTCGTCCGGCGGCATCTCCATCTCGAGTCCTTCGGGGTCCAGCACCGCGATCGGCTCCGTCATCGCGCTCTCGTCCCCCTCCACCCAGTCGAGGTTGACGTCCTTCCCCTTCATGCGCTTGAACCTATCCGGCTTGACAGGCTTGCCCTCGAACTTGCGCAGCCAGCGGCTGGCATCAGGGTTTGGGGAGCCGTCGATGCCAGCGTAGTCTGGGTGGTTGCGCCGGCGAGCGGACTTGCGCGCGGGGCCTTTGAAGGTGATCTGTCTGCGAGAGTCGGCGGTAATGCAGGGGGTGCAATACCTGTGGCGAGTAGGAGGGGATGGGTAAGCGAGTGGTTAGTGTGTGCCATGTACCAGGGGAAGTATGACGCCGCACCAGTGGTCGATGGTCTCAACATCCGCGCCGTTCCCCGCGCACGTCCAGTGGTACCACTGCTTGCACGCCTCGCACTTGATCCAGCTGACCTTGTCCCCGTCCGCATTTTCTGGCGTGCAGGCCGGGCACTTGTCCTCCGACTCCGAGTTCTTCTTCCCTTCGTCCTGCGCGTCCGAATCGGACTCGTGCATTGAATGTTCCCCATTCTGACGGGCTGAGCTGCGTCGGCGGCGCGCCATAATCCGATGATTGTGCTGGGGTGATGGAGGCAAGAAGTAGACCGGAAGTAGAGCAACGCTTGCTAGCGCTGACAGTCAACGCGGTCGAGGTCCAAGGCGGACCGGAAATTGCCGCGGGCAGAGGGACTTGTCGTCATCTTTCACTCGCAGATGTGGCGTTGCGCGCGCCTACGACCTGCCTTCGCGCGGAACACACGTACCCTCAGTCAACAACAAGCTAGAAACATCAGGATGTCGGACAAGGGACCAAAGATCCTCTCCGCGGAAGAGATGAACGTGTCCGAGGCGAAGTAGGTGTATCTTTGCGCGCCACAACGAAAGTGAGGTTCACGACACTCGGGCAGGTGGATCACGCTCAAGAAGCTGAACTGGATGGATGCGGAGGGTAAGAAGGTATGAGCCACTTAACTGTACGCGTAGATGTGCTCTTGATGGGTCTATCAGCGCGTCTGGGAATGCGCAGAGCGCAGAACGCGCAAGGGGTCTGGGATCGATGGTAGGTCCACTTAGGCCACGCATGTTGGGAATGATTGAGGTAATGTGTACTCGGAACAGCTGTGTCGATATTCGCACTGCTTCGCTCGAAGAAGAACGCCTTCCCTCTGTCTACTGTCATTATCGAACAGTACAGACCACCCATCGACAAGTTTATCATCGGTACGAACTTTGTATCAACCCCCGCATATGCAGCATCTCTCACCAAATCACTACAGAACTCCCAGCTGGTGAGCCCATTCCATCAAGCCCTACCGAAGTGCTATAGACTCGTTCCAGGTCTCATCGACGAGAACGAGACCGCTGAGCAGGCCGCCTTGCGTGAGCTCGAGGAAGAGACTGGCTACAAGGGCGACCATGTCACCCTGTCTTCACCCGTCATCGTTGCCGACCCAGGCATGACGAACGCGAACATGAAGCTCTGCGTCGTTTCCGTCGACGTAGAGGACGACACGGTTCCTGAGCCCAAGCTCGACCCCGGCGAGTTCATCGTCAAGCGGGTCGTCGAGTTATCGAAACTCATGGACGAGCTCGAGGGTACGTTCTCATCCTCTTTGAGAATGGTTGGCGACATCTGACTGGCGTTTGCACTCCTGTGCGCGCAGAGTATGACAAGAAGGTAGGCTCGTATAGTAATTTGTGGCACGGAAAATGTTCTGACAGGAATACAGGGCTTCGTAGTGGACGCTAGGCTATATCACTTCGCATCGGGATTGGTCATGGCACAGAAGATTAAGGACGGCCTTCTGTGAGCCAACTCACCCAAAGTCGAGGAGAGAACACAAAGGACAATGTACATTAGGAATTTGTGGCAAAGACTTCGCCTCTAGGAGCGGACAAGCTCCTGATGAATTGGGAAAAAATCGATTCGTCGCGAACACCCACCGCGTCCTTCACAGTGAGTATACTTGTTTTCAACGCGAATACCGCCAGTCGAATCGTGTTCAATCGCGACGCATGTCCGCATAATAGACTGTACAAAATCATCGCCCTCTCCGGATGTGGAGCGCTATGGAGCGCTATGAGGACACCGTTTTGCCGAGTACACCAATATCCTATATCACCAAGAACAAGCTTCGCGACCGGGAAAGGGCGAGTTGCAATAACAGGTATACATACAAGTCCCGAGGGTCGATCTTCCGCGAACTATCTGCGTCGTTTCCTATTTCTTTGCCTTGGCGGTGGCCGTGGTTTTGGTGCTTGAGAATTGTTTGGACTGATTCGGCATGCAGGGCAGTACCATGGCTCCTCTTCTGCCGGTTGCTCGGCGAGGCCCACGCACGCCAAGTGGAACTGCAGAGACGTCAGACGGGTGATCATAACTTGACCAAGACGAGCACTCACCCATTCTTTCGAGCAATCTGGGCTGTCGCAGGCGACCATCTGGACGAGATGATGAGCGACCAGAGAACGTCAGACAAGGGCTACTTACCGTCCCAGCAGAGATCCCTCTGCACACACAGTACACCGGCTCGTCGACCAACTCCGTCGATGCGGGCAACAGAGTAAGCTTCTTCGGCCTCGACGTTGTCTTGGGCGCCGTCACCGTCGCTGGCTCCTCCACTGGGATGGGCGCTGGCACAGGCTCCGCTTTCTTCTTCCTCTTCGGCATACTGAGTCTCGGGCGATGCCTGCGTGGCTTGGGCTTCTGTACGGTCCCGTCTTGTGGTTGTGCGCTGCCTTCCGCGTCCGCTTCGGTGTCCTGCTCTTGCTCATTTTCTGCAGGCTCAGCACCATCAAGCTCAAGGTCTTGGGCTAGCGGATCTTGAACGACGCCCGGGCTCATGGATTCACGGAAGGTAGGGCGAACAAGTTGAGGGGCGTCGGGTAGCAGCACAGGCGCAAGACGTGTGCCGGGACGAACGCCGAGGGTGATGGATTCTTCCTGCTCCTTGATAGCTTGGTCAATGAGCCGTATATGCCTGACAACCTAAGCCGAGTGAGCTTCACGACGATAGAGGGGATGGGGAAAGTATTGATGACCCACCGAGTCATACGCAGCCTGCGCGATGTGGACCTTCTCCTCAGACGCGTGCACGATCTCCTCGGACAACCATGCGAGGTGCGAGAGCATCTGTCGCGTGGTCTGCGGGGGCTTCGTGCGCTCTGGGGGGATGCCGAAGGGTGTAGGCGTGCGGGGGGTGGACAACCCTTCTAATGTGGGCCGCCTCAGTGGTGTGATGGGTATGCTTGAGGTGGACACGCCGTTGGTGAGGGGTGGGCGCGATATGGACCGTCGGAGAAGTTGGGACGGCTGCTCGCTCAGCCGCGAGGGTATTGCGCTCGGAGGGGAGTTTGTGGCCATCTCGACCGGGACGGGGGACGGGCTGGGAACGCCAGCTAGCTCGTGTCGCCGTGCGATATACTTGCGTAGCGTGGGGAGAAGGTCTTCCTCGTAGGCTGGGGGGATGGGTCAGCAAACTGCTGCAGCGGATATGGAGCGCAGCGTACAGTGAGCTTGCTGCTCCAGCTCCTTCATCAGGGTAAACTGGCGCTGTAGATGCAGAGGCATTTGCTCGATGGCTGCATAAGCCAGTGGTCAGCGCGCATGTGTGGCGAGGGGCCACGGAACGCACTCTCGAAGTACTCGTCCCTGAACGCTTCCCACAGCTGCTGCTCCCTCTCTGCGCGCTCCTCATCCGGGCTCTGCCCGTCCACATTCATCGGCGAGCCCTCCCTCGGCGTCGTCGCCTCCCCACTCCCCGTCGTCAACTCCGGCGTCTCTTCCCCCTGCACCTCGTCCCCATTCACCGTATCCTCCTCCATAGGCTCCCCCGCCTCAGATTCCGAGGCAGGGGCAGCGGCGCCACGCAGGGACTTGCGGCGGGTCATGATCGTCCGAGACGAGAAGTACTGAATAGGCGCCCTCCGCACGTGCGCGGCGGGCGCTTAGCGGTCTGCCTCCGTCCTCGTCCCCGCCAACGATCATCCCAGCCCATCGCGCCCCCCTGATGGCCTGGCGCGCAGCAGGAGGTGCGCTCACTGTCGCTGGCGACGTCGCCAGCGCGTTTGGGTGTCCCATACCTGCGCAGACGATTCAGAACATCGTGGAGGCTTGCGAAGCCACGGGTGTCAACCAGGTGCGTTTGGCCGTGTCGCGTCCCCCCCTTTTGTTACTGATGGTGAAGCACAGAGGAAGTGCAAACAGCTGGCTAATCGCTGCCGGAGGCTGCTACTTACAATTGAGGAACGTCAGCCCGAGTTACTGCGGAATGAGAAGCTCAGAGCAGAGGTGGACGACTTGACGAAGTGTGTTGCCAAGTTATCCTCGTTTGGACAAAGACTGACCGCCGTGGGTACAGTATCCTGTACTCCATACACGACAAGATCAAGAGCTGGCCTCAGTACAGTCGTATAACCCTAATCCGTACGTACAGAAGGCCCCCAGCCCATTTCCGTCCTCTCCGGCATTACCATTGACATGCTATAGTGAAGCGACGCGACATAGAGAAGAGTTTGGATAATTGGAATGACCAGCTTGACTTGGCGATACAGGCCCTTCAAGTGAGTGCGCTCTAATGATTGTCTGACTTGACGCTGAGCTGTAAACATATCTATCCAGCTGAAGTGCGTTCCTAACTCTCGCTTGCGCACAGCGCATCATTCACGTCCTTCAGTGCGAATATCCTCGCACAACACCATCAGCAGGAAGCGCACGAAGTCAACCAGAATGCCGCGAGCGAGATGTTGCAATTACTCAGCGCCTGCCTCTCGAACCAGCAGGACATGCACCAATTGTTACGGATGCAACAATCCGGCGAGAATGTCGCTGCGCAAATCATGGAGGCTGGCCAGCTAGTATGCCTTCCCATCCCCTGAAGCTTTGTACATACATCTAACCCGCCTGCTCCCCACACCAGACCCTCGCCGAAATCCGCGAACACCCCACCCGACGTGCCAGCCTCGAGTCCACAACCACCATCACCCCCCTCACACCGAACACCAGCCACCAAATACAAGACGTACAACACGGGCTTGTCAACCTACATAACCTCACGGGCATCCCACCTTACATCAAAATTCTCGACGGGGAAGTGCGCAAGGATGACGAGCAGGCCATCGGGGGCGGGTCGAGCACGGATATCTGGCGAGGGACGTGGATGGGAGAGCGTGCAGTAAGCTTGTCGTTCATCAGGCCTTTCTAGTACAAGGAGTTACTGAGCACAACCCATATGCCCAGATCGCCCTCAAATCCCTCCGCAACGTCAAGGCAGACGACGCGAAGGCACAGAAAGTGCATTCCATATTTTGATCGGGATTGCGGCCTTTCCTAACCACTCCCCATCCAGCGCTTCCGCACCCAGATCGAGCTCTGGTCACAATTGCAACACGATAACATCCTGCCCTTCTACGGGATCGTCACAAACATGGTACCGTGGATACATATAGTGACGCCGTTGCAGGAGAATCGGGATGTGTTGCAGTGAGTAGGACTTTGCTGACGTGGCTGAAGTTACGAGGGAATGGTGCTGACTTGGCCTCAGCTATGTGAAGATCAATCCGTCGGCTAGCAAACAGGATCTGCTTGTAGGCGCTGCACGCGGGGTGGCGTATCTGCATAGTCGAGAGGTGCCGATCGTGCACGGTAATTGTATGTTCTGTTCCACTGCTATGATTATTTTCTGCTGACGTCCTCGTGCAGTGAAATGTGTGAGCCTAACCTAATGTTCTGGCTGAGTATCGCCCTTACCCATTGCGTAGACAAATATCCTCGTTGACGATATGGTGAGCTTCCTGCGCCCCTCTTTTGTCATCTAATACCTGAATAATCTCATTAGGGCCACGCCCGCATCGCCGACTTCGGCATGGCAAAGATCGTCGCGAGCGTTACGGGCGAGAACGCATCGTACACGCTTTCTAAGGTGCGTTCAGAGAGGGAGGGTGTTCCCACTGCGACGTTATGCCAAGAACCCGTCACTAATAATCCTGCAGGGCCTCAATGGCCGCTGGATCGCGCCGGAGCTCATCCGCGGGCAAGAGGCGCGCGAAGCGAGCGACGTGTGGTCGTTCGGGATGGTTGTGCTCGAGTTGATGACGGGTGAGTGGGCCTTCGGGTGGCTCATTTACTTTCTATTCTCCTATCTATCTATCTATCTACTTACCCATCTACCTCTACCACTCATTGAATCGCCCCTTCTGACCATCTGACCGCAGAGAAACAACCCTACGCCGAACAGAAGAACGGTTTCGCGGTCATCGTGGACATCTCCACCGGCAAGCACCCGCGGCGGCCTGACGTCGTGTCTGACCCGATGTGGGCGATGGTACAGCGGTGCTGGGCGTTTGAGCCGCAGGACCGACCCGCGATGGGCGAGGTGGTGGGGTGGTTGGAGGGTGGGTAGGTATGCGGGGTACGGAAGAGAGGAAGAGGGAAGGGTGACGGCCGAAGTGTGGTTGGGTGGAGGGTGTGGTAGGTTGGAGAATTGGGAGTGGACGTTCGTCTACGACGATTCTTCACTCACGTTCTTCTCTTGTATCTCTACTGACATGCTTTCTTGCACTTATGTATTCTTCATGTTGTTGTGCTACGTATTCCGTATATACGGAACGCCAGAATGGACCTACTATGTCTGACGGAATGGACCTTTGTCTGACAGAATTGCGGTAGCGTGCGCCTGCTTGATAAACTCGACGTGTCTCAGCGCCCACGGTGGTGGGACGCATCCTGCCGACAGCGACGAGTTCTCCCGACGTCGAGCAAGACGTGCTACTGGCGGTGGAGAGTGTCTCGCCGTGGGCGTTGCGCTCTACCGACTAACAACGTTTCACGCGTCATTGTCAGCGTACAACGGGATGGTCGATCAGGCGCGGATGTGTACCAGGACAGCGCCCGCCGAGCATCAGTCCGTACGAGTAGGGGCGGAGGACTCAGGGAATGCAGACCGACGAGGTCAACGGCAGGGGGTAAGCAGCGAGCTTCGTACTGTCTGTTCGGTGGCTTCAAGGTGAGAAAGCTTGCGCCATCTTCTGTTTATTGCGGGCCTGAAGTCGTGCATGTCTTGCCTCGTTTTCTTTCGCGCGCTTTCTGATTCCCTCGGTAAGGCGCTTCTTGAGCTCTTCCTGTTCGAAGAACCTTTCGTTCGCTTCCTGCACTTCAGGGCACGCATCGGGGCCGAACACTGTAAGGGTATGTGAGCGACAAAGAAAAGCAAGGAGCTGGAGCACGCACAAGGGCCCAGACCAAACAGCCCAATGGCCACACCCAAATCCCGCAGCTCCATGCACCCGAAGACATATGGATCGGGAGGAGTCTTGTACGCTTTGATCGCCATCCTCGGATGGCACTTATGTTTTTCTCCTCGCGAGAAGTCGATGATGTAGGGTCGCTGGCGCTCGGTGTCGTACAGGAGATGGCGGAAGTCGGGTTCAACGAGGTCGGTGTGTTCGTAGCCGACGTCGTGTATGGCCTTCATCGCTTGCATGATGTCCAGACTATGCAGACTTATAAGCGTGATGCGAGCAATGAGGGCTTCCATAACCCACCGTTGCTTCTCTCCTTGCTCGCCTGGCCCAATAAACTCTTCCTTGAACGGTACGCCGCCCCACTCCAAGATCGCACAACCCATCGTTCCGCCCCAAGGGGTCGCGCACGTCCAAACCCCGTAGTGCTTCGGCACGGCCTTCCCTTGCAGATGCTTCAGACGCCTAGCATAGAATCGCGCCTCTATACAGAAGTTGCGCAGGTATTGGTGGCAAGGCGCGCCCTCTGCGACGTGGAACGCGACCTTGAGGGCAAACCGACGAGGTGGGACGGCCGGGTCAGATGGTTTCGTCTCCGCAGGAAAGAAGAGGCAGGAGCGCGAAAACCACTCTGTTCCGTATGTGCTGTACTGTTCGTATGTGAGGGCTTTGCCACGGATTCGGGGCCAGTCGGTGCACAGGAAATCTGAGGGCAGAATGTGGAAACTGTTCTCGTTGACGCCGTTGAGGTAGACGGGTCGAAGTATGCAGAGTCCTGTCGTGGCCGGCAGCGTGACTCCGACGCCAGTTTCACCATTGACGAGTGGCTGCTTAGACATGATGATGGTGGGGATCGAGAGGCGGTAGTGGTGGTTGATTTTCAGGTGGCGCATTGCGGAACTGCCATCAACACACTTGGTCCCACGTGATCGTGTCGCGAGGCCGGACTCATTCACAGTCACTTGCAGACTGAGAAAAGTTAGCAGGCCCGCGCCCGCACTTTTTGCTGCACGTAGGGCGCGTCGACCAATGCCGTCGCCAGCGCAGTCGTTTGGGTCGCGAGGATGCCTACGATTGGCCGTGGGCGCCTCGTGGCAGCGAAAACGCGACGCGCGGGCCTGCCAACTTTTCTGCAAGTGACTGTAGTCGAGCTGCATTGTTCTGACTCGGCGTGCATGAAGCACAGTCCCAATACTATATTCTGTCGTTCACCTACGGAAGAGTGTCATTAGACCATACGGTAGAGGCGAAGAAGCCTACGCGGAAGGGATTCATAGCCAAATACATGTCTAATGTGAGCACAGTGAAATGGGTTGGGGAGTGATGACTTACAGTGCCGGGTGGCCCATGCTATATATGCATGGGTGCAGCATGTCAGACTACACCACCATGAAGACAGGGTATCTCGGTCTGTACGGCTGTGGGTCGGTGATAGCGTAGGGGAGGCACCCGCCGTAGAAGGTTATCGAGAAGTCATTTACGGTCAGACCTCAAGGCCTCATTGCCAGGTTAGATCGTCGGTGTATTGAAGGTGAAAGGAACGGCAGATTGAAGGCGAACGGAGCGGCAGACCAACCAAGGATTCGTGAAAATTGGTCAGGCAAGGGGATCACGACGTTTGACCGGAATGGATGTAAGTGGATTGACCGACAGCACAGACTGAGAGTCGGACCGACCGTGACTAGCGAGCCCCTACACACAGGCTGACGGACAGTGACAAAGATGTTCATTCGTATTGACGAGTGCGCCATTCGATGCGACGAGAGCCCGATTCGAAGTGACGCGAGCCTCCTTGTAGTGATGCGAACCCCGTTTGCAGTGATAAAGCGCTGTATTTGTAACGCGAGAGGCGCTTCAGCCAATAGCGCTGAAGGTATTGCACATCAATAGCACAGCTGGCGTAGCGCTAGACTGCCATCCGGCACGGAAGAGAACCGCGAAGCCGCATAAGGATGGCTGACGTCCATAACCGTCGTACACTCGGTAGTTTGACGAGCGCTATGCGAGTCTATATTCTGTTAGGCAGACCAGAGTAATACCGATTGTAGGAATCAGTAAGATAACCGTTTCATGGACGCAAGATTGCGTACGTACTGTCATTGTCAAAGGTTAGAATGGTCGTTGGGCGCCAAAAAGCAGTGGATGGGCGCTTGTTGGAGCAATGGAGGCGTCCGCCAAGGTAACCTTCGTGTCATCTGGGGGGTCTTCGAGGAATCTTGGGGTTCTTTCGCTGACCAGAAAACAAAGGGAAGTCTAAGGCGTTCTCATCGGCCCGAGGAGACAGAATTAGGCAGGTGTATTCAAGTCTCAACAGCTGGAAGCGTCCCAGCCCCAACGAAGACAGATGCGAGATATGAAGCGCTTGAAGTGATGATCCACAAGTTCGAGATGAATGAGCCTAGGACGCGGCTTGCGTGAGTTATCATAGCCTTCGGGAGATGCGGAGAGTGCGCGCAGTAGACGGTAGCGAAAATAAGCGGGTTAGAGGACGCGCTGTGACGGCCCCGCGCTACGAAAAATGGACGAGCGATCGGTGACTGCGAGGCCGGCTATGTCTCAGAGGCTAAAGCGGGACGCGCGTCGCGAGGAGGCGGTCGTGAGTCACATGTGGCAGGAAGAAGAGCCGTGCCGGGCGAGGAGGGAAGGGCGCGAGCAGAACGCCGTGCCCGTCGACTGCGCGCGCTGGGCACTGTCAGCTGCACCGGCGGGGGTGGCCAGGCGACGGGCTCGAGCGAGGCCTGGGAGGGAGGTCCGTGCGCAGTGAGGTCATTGTTTGCGGGCGAGGCGCTGCATTGGTCGCCGGATGGGGATGGCGGCGAGCCGTAGCATCGTGTCGGCATGAGAAGAACATCACGCGGAGCCGCCCACGCCGAGCACACGCGCCCGGACGGGAGGAAAAATCGCGTCGGGGCCGGGGAGCTGCTGGTCGCCGGTAGCAGCGAGGAAACTCCCAGTAAATATTCTAGAGAGGATCTGAGTCGCCTCGGGCAGCCTCGAGGATACCCGGGGGGCGTTTGTGGACAGCAGCGAGGATAGAGTGGGCGTGCGAAACGTGTCTGCCTGGCGGAGCAGTGCCTGAGTGTTGGCATGAGTCAAGCGGTCCGGATGTGACGCTGACTCGTGTTGGCGCTGTCACATCCATTGTCACGCAGGGAGTCAGCGCGGTGGCCGGGTCTTTTATTCTGCTGCCCGCATTCTCCGTCGTCGTCCCTCCAGCTCGCCACAGCAACTCCCAAACACTTATCGCTCTCACCTCCCCAACTCTCAACCCACAAACCTAGCAGAGTCTCCGCTCGGAAGACACTGCAACTCGGACGAACCAGGTCGCAAAGGCTTGGTTGTCCGCCCTCCCACATCGGCCAAGATGTGCTTCGTCAAGAGATTCAGAATTGCCACACCGTCGCTCGCCTCGCCGCTCCTCGTATCCTCCTGCGCCACCCCATCCATTCTCGTCTCCACCTCTATCTACACCGTTCGCAAGGCCGATGGCTTCTACGCAATCTGAATGTTAAGCACACCCAGTAATAACATACCTGGATTCCCAAATCCCCCCTCACTGTATCGTCTTCTCTCCTATGCACTCCACTCTGCAATTACTCGCGCACCGGGCACCGCCCGCGACCCGCAAGGGCCGCTGGCAGCCATACGCGCACCATCAATCGACACCAAACGCACTCTCCGCTCTAGCTCGCTCCCCCTCTCAGTCTAGCTTCAATACCCCCGCCTCCTCTGTATCATCCACCTCATCGCCGCATACCACGCCACTCGAGACCACCAAACCCGCCCCCGCACGTTCAGCGTCCGCCCAATCATGCGGCGCCAAATTGACTCAGAAGGATCCGGCCAGAGCCAAACACGCTCTAAGCCTCATGGGTGCGTCCTCAATTTTGGAAGTAGAGCCACTCGCTGCTAATCCTGCTACTCAAAGAACAAACTGTCCGGACCCTCTGCGATATATGGCAGCCGCACGACATCCCCGCCATCTTTGCCTGTCCCATGACCGCCCAAACCGCGGCCAACAACAACGAATCCCCCCTCATCGCCTCCCTCCCGCCTCACATCAACTTCGCAAACAAGCAACTGCCCTCCCCCATTACCCCCAGCACCCTCCCGCTCAGCCCACCCACGGATCCCGCATGTCAGGCGCGCGTCAAGCCTGCCGACAGCGAGTCCGACGCCACCGGAAATCTCGTGCCCATCCGCGGATTCGTGACCGAGGTCCTCCGCCGCTCGCGCACGTCTGGCAACGTCCTCCAGACCGCGCTCTGCTACCTCGGCGCAGTGCGCGCGCACGTCGCCGAGCTCGCGCGCAAAGAACGCGACGGCGAGGGCGTCAGGGGCGAGCCGGGGTCGGATGAGCGCATCGTCCCCGGGTCGGAGGCCGAGGTCGCTGAGTCCATCGCCCTCGCGCTCTCCTCCGGCCTGTATGGCTACACCTCCTGCACCAGCAACACCGGCGCCACCGCCGGCGACCCGCCCAATATCCGCGTCGCCGACAGCGCCCCGCCGCCCATCGCCATCGAGCAGCACCCGATGAAGACCGCCGCGCGCACCGCGAGCGCGCCCGCCGACAGCGCCCCGCCGCCCATCGCCATCGAGCAGCACCCGATGAAGACCGCCGCGCGCACCGCGAGCGCGCCCGCCGAGCCGCTCTCGCCCGACCTCCCCTCCCCGCTCCTCTGCCCGCGCCGCACCTTCCTCGCCGCGCTCATCCTCGCAACCAAGTTCACGCTCGACAAGTGCTACTCGAACCGCGCGTGGGCGAAGATCTCGGGCCTGCACCCGCGCGAGATCGGCCGCTGCGAGCGCGCGCTCGGCGACGCGCTGCAGTGGCGCCTCTGGGTCGGGAAGGAGCCCGTGGCGGCGGTCGAGGCGGTGTCCGCGCCCGCGCCGGCCGCGCGCACGCTGGCGCGCTGCCAGAGCGAGACCGCGATCCTGGCGAGCCAGCCATTCCTCGTGGCGAGCGAGGCGCCCGCGAACGCGGCGCCGCTCAAGCGCTCAGGCGGCCTGCGCAAGGCGGCTACGCTGCCCGCGCAGGCTTTCGCAGCTGCGATGCCCGCGTCGGCGCCCCCGCCGCCGGTGCCCTCGACTGCGCCCCTGGGCGACCTGCCGTACTACCACCCTCTCGCCCGCGCACGTGCGCCCTGTGGGGAGAACGTATGGATGGAGCAGCCGGTAAATACCCCATCGACCCTTGTCTTCGTCCATTGAGCTTCATTGTAGCAGTTCGCTTGTGCACCGACCGACGTCGCTTCTCTGCCCAACGGCATCGTTTGTGGCAACGGCGATAATGCTTCTATCGGCCAGTCCCTGGGTGATCATGCTGCTTGCACGACCAACAGTACCAGCGGTCCCGCCCCGCCGCCATTTGGCAGCTTTGTCGACGCGAGCCCGACCCCGTCGACGCCGGCGCTCACGTACTCGCCCTCGATGTCCACTTCATCATACTCGCCGTCCATGTGCTCGTCGTCGTCGACTGGCGACAGGACTGTCCAGGTACCGATGATTGGGGAGTTCGAGGCGGCCGGCTGCGACGCGGTGCACGTTGGCGATGCGCTCAACGGCAGCAAGGTCTTCGCTGCGGTTGGCAACAAGGCCTTCGAGTCGATCGAGACCAGCGACGCGGCGAGGAACAGCCGCGGCCCCGCCAGATACACGAACTCGGCATCTTCTGCGAGGGCGTGGTCCTCCGGCACGGAGAACCACGACCTCGCCGGCGCTGGCCAAGTATCCGTGAGCGCAGATGCTACGCACGAGCACGCTGCCCAATTCCCAGGCGTCGCCAGCATGGGGAATTCCGCCAACATCGCCGCGCTATACCAGCACTCCGTTGCCGGGCTACAGGACCTCGCCGCCATCGGCGGGTTCACTCTGCCCGACGGACCCTTCGCTGTCTCCAATGGCGCGTTCGCGGTGCCACATGATACACTCGCTGTGTCCGACGGCGCGTACGCGGTCTCCGACGCCGGGTTCGGCCACGGCGACATGGACGTCCACATGCAGTTCCACGAGTACGCCGCGATAGAGAAGGAGGCGCCATCCCTGGGCTTCGTGCCGCGGTCGGGTTTCGACGTGGCCATGGGCGTCGGCGAAGGATAGCGCGCGGTGCGGGGGAGGCGGCGGGCGGCCGCCGTGCGCGATCGCCCTGCTTGCTGGACTGCTGCGTGGCGTGGCGGGCACCCCTGCTCTGCTTGCTGGACTCTTGCGTGCTGGCGGTCTCCCACCTGCGTCTGCGTCCGGTCTGTTGCGCGCTTGGTCTCTCGATCCTCGCCTTCATCCCGAACCCCGCCTTCATCCACATCCACGCCCTCATCCCCACCATCGTCATCTCCCTGTATTTGTACAGCAACGGATATTGTTCTCCGCTCGTCTCTGATGATTTTTTCCTCTTTTCTTTCCTCTTCTTACCTCTCATATCCCGATATATGTCTATGTTTCCTACGGTCTCCATCTCTTCTCTTCTACTGTATACGTGTAAACCGGCTGCAGCGCGTTGCTGCGCGCGCGGGGAGGATGTGTCGTGCTCGGATGTGCTGTCCTGCTGGGACGGAGGACGGAGGCCCGGCTCGCTGGGTGAGCAAGCTCACTCGGCGGGATCCACGGGGCCTCCCAGAGGATGCTACCCGAGCGCGCTGCCTCTCCGTGCTGCTGCGGTGGCGTTGCTCGGTTGGTGTGTTATTATGCCGCGTCTGTGCGCTTCGCCTATGCGTCTGTCTGCTCCGCTCATGCGACTGTGTGCTTCGTCTATGCGCCTCACCCTCGGGTCCAGCTTGTCCTGCTTGTCATGTACATGTACTTCACGCCTGCTTCCTTGCAATATATGTTGTAGCCGGATGGGTTGTGGCGCGGGAAGGTGCATTGCAAGTCATAATCCAAGGGAGGTCAAATTCAGCTGCAGCAAAGCTGCTTTGCTGCGTACTCTATGGTACTCGATACTGATAGTAACTCGGAAGTTAGACTTACACATCTCCTGCAAACTGTTGTCATACATGCTGCGCGAGCCTGTAAAAATCTGCCACCAGGTACAAGCTTCCCGCCAGGACTGTAATCCCTCCCTTCGCCCTCACCCATCTCAAAGCCTGTTGCAGTGCCTCTGGCTGCGACTCCGTCGACACGAACGTATCGGCCCCGGGCACTAGCTCCTTCACCACCTCCTGCATGACCTCCGGCGGCGTATGCACGACCCAAGGCATCCCCTCCGGCTGCGTAAAGGGCACCAGCGCCACATTCACGTCGACCTGCAGCCCGTCCGGCCCTCGAGGAGGTAGCAGCGCAGACAGCGTCTGCTTCGGCGTCTTCGGCGGCGAGTGCGAGAGACCGAGGATGTAGTTCACCGTGACCCGCTCCGCGCCTCGACAGCGGCCCAACAGCTCATCGGCGACGAACTGCGCGAGCGTCTCCGCGGACGCAGGATTATGCGCGCCGTCGACGAGGATGGTGAGTTTCTTGCCGTCGATGGCGATGCGGTGGAACGAGAGACGGCCGGGCCAGGAGACCGAGCGGACGCCGTCTGCGATGGCTTGCGCTGTAATACTCCATTCTGGCTTGCGTTCTCGCGCGGCGGACATGATCGCGGTGGCGAGGCCGAGGTTGTCCAGTTGGTGCGCACCATGCAGAGGGAACTGCAGGGGCACCCAGTCCCATGTGCCCATATCACACATGTAAACCTCAACAGGCCTCGGCGGCAGGCCCGCGAAGTCATCCGAAAGCGGCGAAGGCGTCGCATCCACCTCCCGGTTCCAACCCCCCTCTCTCGCAGACCTTGCCACTATCAGCGGAATGCCACCCGCCTCCGCGACCTCCTTCACCGCATCCAACACCTCCGGATGTTTCTGCCTCCCCAGTACAAGCGGCTTCCCTCTCCTCCCGATGCCCGCCTTCTCCCTCGCAATCGCCTCCACCGTGTTCCCCAGAAACGCCTGGTGGTCGAGGTCGACGGCGCACAATGCGCTCACTAGCACGCAGTCGTCCGAGATCACGTTCGTCGCGTCCAGCCGGCCACCCATGCCCACTTCGATAACGGCCACATCCACGGCGGCGTGCTCGAAGATGCGAAGGGCGGTGAGCGTCAAGAGCTCGAAGTTGCTGAGTCTGGTGCCGTGAGAGGCGTTCGCGGTCTCTACTTCCTGGCGGACGCGGTTGTAGGTTTCCGCATCGACAGGCTTCCCATTCAGAGCGATACAGTCGTAGATGGACACCAGATGCGGGCTATTGAAGCGCCCGACGGACAGCCGAGCAGCAGAAAGGATAGACGAGGTTATCGCGGAGACGCTTCCTTTGCCATTGGTGCCAGCGATATGTATCGTAGGTCGCGTATAAGGCAGATGTTCCGCCAGGAGACGGATGCGGTCGAGGCTGAGATCAATCGACATAGAAAGAGCAAAGAGTAACAACAGTTCAACCGTGGAAAACTAGGGTCGGGAGGTGCCGAAACGGGTCCACAAATAATAGATGAAGGCGGGAAATCACCCAGAATGGCCTGAGGCCTCGACAGCAGATCCTAGACGATACAACACATGCACCAGTACAAAGCAAAGATCGAAAGCGAAAGGGACCTATTGATACATAGAAGGAAGAAGAGCCTATGACACGTCCATCATGCCGAGCTTGTCCGCTAACATCTGACGGTAGACCTCTGCAACGAGTTAGAGGTATCCTCGCAGAGAAACAAGGGATCATACCGGTAGCATGGCGCAGTCGGAAGTACTCGCCAACTAGCTCAGTAATCTCCGCCTCGCTGGTCTTCAAGTGCTCGGCCATCTGCATATAATCGTCAGGACGCGATAGCCACAAACAGCACATCCGACATTCCTTTCGCTCGACCTCTTCCGTCTCAGCGGTCAAGTCCTTGACCACGCGATCATTGTCGCGCCGCTCTTCGCTCATGTGCACGTACTCCGCGTTCAGACGCTCCAGAGTCCGCGCATTGGTCGTGCGCTTGTCTTCAGCATGGCGCTGCGCGCGCTCGAGTTTATCCTGGGCATTAGCCACCTGTTTCTCCAGGCGCTGTATACGAGCGTCAGCAGGATACATGAAGTGTTCAGAGTGGGTCGCACCTCATGTCGCAAGATAAACTCCTCGTGCTCAATCTCTTTGTGCTTGAGATGCTCCTTCAAATCGGTCGACTCCTTGATCATGGCTTGCAGCGCTGCCGCCTCGCGCTCAATCACTCTCAAGCTTGCTACACATCTCCCCAGATCCTGTCCAGCCCGTCAGCCAAAAGAATATCTCCGACACCAGCCTTCCTACCTTCTCAATGCGAATCAACGCATCGGACTTGGCCTTCAAATCGCGGGCTTTCGCCTCCGTCTGCGCAATAAGACGCTTGTCCTCCGTAACGGTTGTCGACATCACGGAGATGGCGCGCTTCATGCGGTCCGGGGATTGTACGATGCGTGAGCGCGTCCGCGCCACCTCGCTGCGCTTCGAGTCGATCTCCGCCGTCATCGCTTGCTGCAAGCCATATTGAGCGTGATATACCGGGATTCAGTTGAGTGGCTCCGTACCATCCTTTGTAGAAGAACCTCCTTCTCCTCCTTCAGACGCTGCGTGTCCTGCGCGTGGACGGATTGAATCTCCTTGATACCCAACATCTCTGTATGTAGCTTCTTATTCTCCGCTCTAAGCTGCTCGCATCGAGGTTCGTCTTCAGCAATTTTGGCCCTGCACATCGAATAAGCCATTGTCCGAGATACCTATCTCAGTAGAAGTACGCACTTGATGACCTTGATCTCCTGGTTTATCCTCGACAGGTCGTCCTCCGCCGCTTTCCTTTCCTGCACAACCTTGTCGGCGCTATGCATGATCTTCGTGAAGGGCTCATGGCAGAATTGCTCGGTAAACTTGATGAAGTTGATGAAGGCGGACAGGAGGACGTTGGTGCGGTCAGGATCAGGGTTGGTGAGGTCTTTGGAGTTGAAGTCTTCTATTCGAGCGGCAGAGGCTAGTCGAGTTCTGCGCGGGGTTTAGCGAGAGAGTTTACAAGTCAACGCCCGGGTGAGCTCACAAGTGGTATAGTAGAATGTTGTCCGACAAAGCGGTGGCGTATAGATCCTTCGCATGCTAATCAGTGCCATGTCAAGGGAGGGATGCTGACCACACACCGTCTCGTCAATGCCCGTATCCATAAATGCGTCTGTCACTGCGCTTTGTATCGGTTCCTCGTTGATCGCAGTGATATGTTCCAAGCAGCTACGGTAGATGTTGCGCACAAAGTCTGGTGTCGGGCGTGTGAGCTGAATCTCATTCACGGACAGCTGCCACCCATTGAGGGCGCCTATAATGTCATCTTTCTCCATGCGTGGATAAGTCATGGTTGCGGAGGGCTCGTGATGGCGGCGGGGAGATGGTCGTCGAGAACAAGAGCGCGTCTACGCGCGTGGGTCACATGATTGTCAGACGCGACGCGCGATTCGAAATTCCGGATTTGGTTGGCATTAACCTTCATGGTCGCCGTCCGCGCGCGATAACCTTCTCACCCTCCACACTCATGTCCGGCAAACCAGCCAACAACCTGCACGAGGTGCTGGGAGACAGAGACCGCGCCGGCTCGCAGTCCTCCAAGACCGCGACTCCGACGCCGGCAGCAAGGGTACCATCTTCCTCGATACGCATTCCCCGGAGTCCTGATAATCAGTTGCAGCCCGTCAGCAAATTCAGGCCTGCTGGTACGGCCACGGCCAACAAGGCTGGTGGTGCATCTACTCCCGGTACGCGTCTAGACACGCTGAATCCTTCGGTGGCTCTGATCAATAATCGTACAGCGTCCTCTCGGAAACCCCCAGCTCTGCCGAGCTTCTCAACTCCCAACTTCGGGGTCAAGCCCCCAGCCCCCCTACGGGCAGACTCGACCTTTACTTCCCAAACAGGCCCAATCGATATCTCCAGCGGCTCATCCAATGCCTCCCCCGGCCTCAAGCGCACGTCTTCGGACTCATCTGCGCCCGACCCACCCACTACTAGCGCCCCGAAGCGTGTCAAGAAGGCTCCCCCGATCGACAAGGAGAATATCCTGCATCGTAGCGCTGTGAGAACGCCAGCCTCCAAGCCGCTGGACAAGGGGAAGGGGAAGGCCACCCTGCATCCCACACCTTTGTCCCCTACCAAGAAGAAGGACATGACCGACGCGGCCTTCCAAGCTAGACTTGCCAAGAAGAGGCAGGCGGCAGCTAGCGCCAATCCTTTCGACGATGTCGACCGTGGCTGCCCAGACGTGAAGACGGACCGTGTTGCGGTTGCCCTCGAGAAGTATCCGGACCTCAAGAAGGCAGGTCGTGCCCATACATACCTTTTTTTCCCACTTACATTTGCGACAGCTCTCCCTAGAGAAGCTGCGAAGCTTGCTCATGGACAACTTCAAGGAAGAGGAACGTATACGTACTATGGAGTTGGAGCACTACAGTGGTGAAGCTGCTCACGACACAATGCGTTTGACAACGTTCAGGTCGGCACCCGGAATCTCTTGCAATTCTTCCTACTAACATTGCCGCAGAAACTTCCTGTCCGAACGCATGAACGCCCTGAAGACCATCATTCAAGACATGGAGGCCACGTCTGAGCGGTCGCCCTGGGATGATTCCATGTCAACCTTGGCGAACACGTCCATCGAGACGACGCACATTTCAACCTCAACCACACACGTGACTATCCATGAAGAAACCGTGGTACACAACAGTAGTAACGCTCCAATACAGCCTGCCGACGAGCACAACAACGACGACGAGCCCGACGATGATCGTCATGACACCGTCCTGAATAGTGACGATGCTCTGTGGGGCCAAGTCGACCCTGACGATTCCAACCTATACCAAGAGATCGACATGGAGGAGCAGATGACCACAGTCACAGAGGAGAGGTCTCTGACACAAGCCACAACGTCCAGCAATGAGTCGGCCACAGACGACCCTGATCTCAAGAAGACGCCGTTCTACCCTGAGATCGTGCAGAAGCTGCACCGCTTCTTCCGTCTGCAGACGTTCCGGAAGAACCAGCTTCAGGCTATCACAGCAACAATGGAGGGCAAGGACGTCTTCGTGCTAATGCCGACCGGCGGAGGCAAGAGCCTGTGCTACCAGCTGCCGGCTATCTGCGAAGGCGGCTCGACGAAGGGCGTCACCATCATCGTCTCCCCGCTGCTCGCCCTCATGGAGGACCAGGTCGAGAACCTCACGCGTCGGGGTATTGAGGCCCTCCAGTGGACATCCGCCGACGCTAGAGACACACCCTCCTTGGACGTCAACCGCCGTATGTACTCCAACAACCGCCCCCGCCTCCTCTACGTCACCCCAGAGAAGATGCACAACAGCGGGCAGGCCAAGTCGCTGCTCTCTTACCTCCACGGCCGCGGCCTCATAGCCCGCTTCGTCATCGACGAGGCGCACTGCATCTCCTCATGGGGCCACGACTTCCGATCCGCGGTCCGTCTATCTCTTCTACCTTGCCCGCGGTGCACGTCTGAACCTCCTTGCAGTACCTCGCCCTCGGGCAGCTGCGCCAGACGTACCCGGGCGTGCCCATCATGGCGCTCACGGCGACCGCGACGCCGCGCGCGGCGGACGACATCGTGAAGAACCTGCGTATCGAGCGCTGCGTGCGACTCACGCAGTCCTTCAACCGCACCAACCTGCACTACTCGGTCGTGCCGAAGCAGAAGATGTCGACCATTGCGAAGTGGATCAATGAGACGCACCCTGGGGAGAGCGGTATCATCTACACGCTGAGCAAAAAGAATGCGGAGGTTGGTGCGGAGCAGTTGCGGAAGGAAGGCGTCTCGGCGGAGTACTATCACGCTGGGATGACGGATGAAGATAGGAAGACGGTCTACATGAACTGGAAGTCGAATCGTACCCAGGTTATGGTCGCGACGGTGCGCCAAAGCTCTTGACACTTGCGTGTTTTCGTGCTGATATCCGAGAATAGATCGCCTTTGGTATGGGCATTGACAAAGCTGACGGTAAGGCATTCTGAAGATGAACCGCAAGTGCTGTGCTGACGCTTTGAACAGTTCGCTTCGTCATTCATCATTCAATTCCGAAATCTCTGGATGGGTATGTGTACATGTAGCCAAGGAAAATGACCCTCTTGCTGACCCCCAGCAGCTACTACCAGGAAACCGGCCGTGCGGGCCGTGATGGCCAGCCGTCGGATTGCGTGCTGCGTCAGTCCAGCTGCCCTTTGTTCGTACGCATGGCTGACAACAAGACAGACTACCAGTACAAGGACGCGAACACCATCTTCAAGATGATCCGCGAACCCAAAGACCAGCCGCCCCTCCCACCTGCAGTCGTCCGGCGTCAAGAGGAGGCTCTCCGCGCTGTCATCCTCTACTGCAACGACATCTCGCAGTGTCGTCGCGTCCACATCCTCCGCTTCTTCGGCGAGACCTTCGAGCAGAAGACCTGCAAGAAAATGTGCGACAACTGCGCGAACCCGACGCCGCTCGAGGACCAGGACATGACCGCCGAGGCACGCCACTTCCTGACATTCGTGCAGGCCGTAACCCGCGACCGAGTGGACATCACGCAGGATATGGCACTTGCTGCTATGCGGGGCGCGAACACGAAGGCGCTGCAGGATAAGGGCTTGACGCAGTTTCCGGGATTCGCGGCTTGCATCGCGCAGCCGAAGGAGCTGGTGGAGTTGCTGCTCGCTCGTCTTCTGTGCGACCAGATGCTGGACGAGGTCAACATACAGAACAACTCCGGCTTTAGCAACGCGTACCTTCGCGTGAGTACGCCGACTGGGGTCATTGCTAATAAAACTGACAAACATACAGATCGGCAAGGCCGCGAAGGACTTCATGGACAACCCAGATTCCGAGATGATCGTCTCCTGGCGCCCCAAACCCGGGAAGGCAGGCGAAAAGGCACCTCGCAAGCGGAAGGCGCCCGCCTCGCGCACCAACAGCAAGAAGCGCAAGGAGGACCCTCCTCCCCGGGCGGCGACTCCGCCCCCCGCGGAGAGAACGCTGAGCATATGGGAGGACGAGGACGAGATCGACGACGACTACACCGAGGAGCCTGCGGGGACAAGCGATGTCATCGAGATTGACGACGATATCGACCCGCCGTCGCCTCCTGTTACGCGGTCCAAGCCCCGGTCTGCGAGGAAGGCTACGAGGCCGATTGAGGTCTACGATATCGAGGACGACGATGGGGACACCAACATGGACGCGAGCTCTTCGAGCGCCGACCCCGTTCAGCAGATCTACAAGCGCCTCGAAGCACAGCGGGAGAAGGTACGTGGACGAAAGATCAGTTTTTTTTTTGGATGACGTCTCACAGCTTTTTCAGTTGGCCAAGAAGCACGGTGTGCATCCCGATGAGATTGTTCCAGAGGACGCTTTGGGTCTGCTTGCTGCGCAGTTCCCTGAAGGTTCGTAGTGTGCACTTTCGACTGCTTGTATTCTGATCTCTCTTGCAGACTTCAAGGGCTTTGAGGCGATTGTGCTAGACGGCAAGGAGGCGGATGAGAACTACAAGGAGATCTATGAGAAGTACGAGTTGGACACCCTGGTGGACATCTGCGTTCGGTACAAGCCACAGCAACAACGGTAAGTGCGCATTACGCATCTGCAACCACTGTCTAATCACTCGTAGGCTCGAACTTCGTACCCCATCACGCACGAAGAAGTTTGATGTCTCTGCGTTCAAGTGCTCTCAGGCTCCGCCATCGTCGTCGCGGTCCAATAGCAGGCGATGAACGACCCCAGGATCGCACTGTACTGCTAATGCGTCTTGATTATGACACTGACCTAATTGAATGTTACTCTCATGATATGCACCGCTTTTCTTTTCTTTCATCATATAGTCCCTGCACTAGGACTTTCTTGGATCATGCAGCTATCGTCACTTGCTCGCATACTTATCTTGCCACTTCCTCACCTTGCTTCTTGACTTTGTCTGGATTACCTATGTACACTACCGCATATGCTCTTGCTCTAATGAGACATATTTACTGCCGAAGCGCGGAGAAAGTGAGCATGAGCATAGCAACCGTGACATTGATGTAAGTGCACGTGGGCGTCACCAGTTTCTGCGGGGACGCCGGACCGACGAAGTTGGTTCTGAACCTAATCAGGACTGCCGACGCAGAGACGCTCGCAAGAGCATTGACCACGGCCAGAGCGCCTTTTCGAGGGCCTTATCAGTACAGCGCCCTCATGTCGACCTCTAAGGCTGGGGCGTCCCGGAAACGCGGCGCTTCTGCGAGTGACGACGCGAGACCCGCTTCGGGCGAACCTTCGAAGAAGGTGCAGAAAGGTAAGCTATCTTATCGTTGAAAACTAACCAAGCTCAAATTTATTATGCAGTACACCCCTTCTTCGCTAAAGCATCAGAGAAGCCGCCTGGCGCCTTCCAATGGCTGAAGCCACTTGGCCCCAAAGGCAGCTGCTGGCATGCCACCAACCTTACGCCAACTGCGGCGCCGCGGGTTGCCGCGTTCGACCTTGATGGCACGGTCATCAAGTCGTCCTTTGGCAAGGGCGTGTCCAAAGCGAAGGCGAAGGGACCTGCTGCTTCAGCCAACTTCGAGTGGTGGAATCCTGTTGTGCCCAAGAAACTCGAGGAAGTGTATAACGAAGGGTATGTCCATCAGTTTAGATGACATTCATAGGGAGAAGTTAACCTCCCCTGACGTTCTGATAGCTATGCCATCCTGCTCATCACGAACCAGGCGTTGAAGCCGGGGCCATTGCGAACCTGGAAAGAGAAGATGAACGCGGTCGCGTTAGCTGTAGCTTTTGTCCCTCATCTTGCCACTCATTGAGAGCTCATGACGTGTGTAGTTGCCCAAAGTACCTTTCCGTCTCTTTGCCGCAACAGAGAAAGACAATTATCGCAAGCCCATGAGGGGTATGTGGACCGAGCTTGAACGCATATACGCGGTCGAAGGTGTTACCATTAGTAGGTTGGTCTTCATGATTGGCCGAATGGCGCTCACGTCAATTCCACCCTCCTTAGACAAGGACGAGTCCTTCTATGTTGGTGATGCCGCCGGACGGGTGTACGGCAAGGACAAACCAGCCGATTTTGCGGGGACCGATCGCAAGTGGGCAGATAATGTTGGGTTGACATTCTATACCCCGGAGGTCAGTCAAAGGTAACAAGAAAGAGCCACTACATACTCACACTCGACTTTGACCGCAGGAATATTTCCTCAAGTTGCCAAAGCACACGAACGTTGTTCTTGAGGGCTTCCGCGCATCGAGCGTGCCTGAACGTACGTACCCCAAACTCTTGGAGCACGAGCAAGCACCTGACCAATATGGTAGTGCCAGAAGTGACGCCCACGTCCACACCAATCGTCCCGGACCCGGCTAGGCAGGAAATTGTGATCTTCCATGGCTATCCTTGCCTAGGAAAATCTACATTTTATCACCGGCACTTTGAGCCTGCGGGCTACGTGCACATCAACCAAGATACTCTGGGCACTCGTCCGAAGTGCATTAAGGCCGTCCAGGAAGCTCTCAAGGAAGGCAAGAGCTGTGTCGTCGGTACGTGTTCAACCCTGGACTCCATGTTGTTTCGTCCCTGTATATCCTTCGGTTAATACGACATGCGCCAGACAACACGAACCGTAACGCCGCTACCCGAGCCCACTATATCGAGCTAGCCAAGAAGGCAAAAATCCCCTTGAGGTGAGAATTGCTGTCCGAGATTTCCGAGCGGGCGCCTGTATCGAGAGGCGGCGTCGCGGGAATGCATCTCGCCGGCGCCAATCGAGAGCGCAGGCTCCGCTGCCGCGAAAAACGCGCCGTCACGGTGTCTTGGAACCGCACGAGCGACGTCGCGGGATGATCCGCCACTCGCGCAGCCTCTTGCTTCGCCCTCGACCCACCTGTACCGTTCGTTGACTGATCAACTGACTCCACCGACCTTCAGGTGCTTCTGGTTTACCGGCTCCAAGGAACTGGCCTGGCACAATAACCTATATCGGGCGTACAACCTGCCACCATCGGTCGCTGCTAAAGAGGTGAGTTCAATTCCGTGGAGAGCGCGATGAAGAGCTCGCCAGCAGTATATGGGGGCTTTGAATCCCCAAAAGGGGGCGTCAATGGTCGGAGTTTGCTCTCGCGGTTGCCTTCGATCCTCTCGTCCATGGAACTCGGTTGATACCCTCGGCGATCCTTGCGACGGTCTCAATCATCCTGCCGCTCCTCTCGGGTAGAACCACTCTTATGAATTTTCCCTCGACCCCTGCCCCTCTCTTTCTGTCGTCCACGTCTTTAGCTCTGTCGGCGCCAACTAACATTCAATCCCAGCCCGCCCGTCCTATTGTCCCCTACATCGGCTTCGCGGGTTTCAAGTCGGAGAGCGAAGAGCCGACGCTGAACGAAGGGTTTGAGGAGATCAAGAAGGTGAACTGGGTGTTCCATGGGAGCGACGAGGAGCGGAAGTATTGGGAGATGTGGCTGCAGATCGACGGGAAGTAGTGGTCACCAGAAATCTGGTAGATGACTGAAATGCGACGTAGCCTGCCGATCTGTTGTCCGCTATGCGAAGCCACCTATCGCTCTTTAATCGACTTAGACCTGACGATAGTCATAGCGGGAGGACAACGCAAGCAATAACACGACGGCTACACTTCTACGTTGCTCATACATTAGATGATACCTTATTGCGACTGCGTTCTACTTGCTACATATCTGATTCATGATGACTTCGACTGCCGCCTTTATGGCGTATTATACTCTATCTCATTCCTCTAGACTTCGTCATGTCATCAGTCAACTATGCCGCCTTGGTGGCCTCGACCTCGTCAAGGTAGTGGACCTCAGAGCATGCGCGCAGGCGGGCGGCGGCTTGCTCCGGGGTGAGATCACGCTGAGCCTCGGCCATGAGCTCAAAGCTGAGGTAAATGTCAGTAAGGAATAGAACCACCTAACATGAAATTCGCTTACCCGACAAGGAACTTCCTGATGCTAGCGTTTCTCAGAAGGGGCGGCGCGAAGTGCAGGTGCAAGTGCGCTTCTTCGCCACTGCCATTCGACGCTGAAGGAGTAATTCTGCGTCAGGCTCCTGTATACGGATCTTCTGACGAGAGGCTTACCTTCTACTGGAAGCGGTCGTTGGTGAATACCCATCGAGTAGGCGAAGGAGCAGAAGAACAAGTTGTCGTAGCGCTTCGTCACTCGGCTGAGTGCGTCTGCGAAGCTTGTCTTCTCCTCAGTGGTGAGCTCTTGGAGGGATGGTATGTGCCGCTTGTAAGGCAGGACTGCGGAAGCGTGAGCGCCCGCATCAGTGAAAGACACAAAGCCAACGCACGCATAACCTCGAATGGCCAGGTTGCCCACCAAGGGACGACGGCTAGCCAGTGGTCGTTCTTGATGACGATACGGCTCTCTTCTAGAGGTACACCGGCCTCGAAGTGAGCGTACTCGCAGAGCAAGCAAGCGCAATCTCCAGCCTTGGGTGCTCCCTCAGAGGGCTTGTTCGACTCGCGGTACTTCCGTAAGGAGTCAAGCTCCTTCGCAGGGAGAGTCGGAATCGCTGACATGGCCCAAGTCTGCCCGTGGGGATGGGGGTTGGAGCAGCCCATCATAGCTCCCTTGTTCTGCGAGCGACATGAGAAAGATTCAAAGGAGCCTAGACGATTACTAACCTCGAATATCTGGACATACTTGATGCCCTCCTGGGTTCCACGCCTCTTGTAGATACCGATCCACTCCTGGATGATGCGCTCGATGTCTGGGATACCCAGGCGCGCGAGAGTGAGATCGTGGCGGGGATGGAAGATGAGGACATCGCAGCCGCCCTGAACCGGCTCAGAGGCCAGCAAGGGGTGCGGAGGCGTGGGGGCAGCGGGGATGGGAGGGGGAAGGATAGCCGCAAAGTCATTCTCGAAGATGAAGGTGTGCTTGTAGTCTTCGTTCTTCTGCCCACCCGATCGACTGTTCGCGGGGCAGAGATAGCACTCCGGATCGTACTGGGGAAGATTGGACGGCTGTGGGGGCTCAATCTGGCCCTTCCAGGGCCGCTTCATGCGATGGGGGGACACGAGCACATATTCGCCCGTCAAGGGGTTGTCTGCGGCGCATCAGCAGCGATCGGGGGAGGAGGATGGGATCGCGTACAGCGGCGATGGGGATTGAAGGTGGGGTCAAACTCTGCCATGGTGGTTCAGGAGAAGAGGCACGGCGTCCCCCCGCCGTCGTCATCTCCTCTTTTATATTCCAGACCCGGGGCGCATATGCATTCCGGGTCTTTCCCCGTGGTGGATGCGGGAGCAGATGGCGCCGCCGGCGCGCGGCCCCGACACCCGCAAGCTCCGGCCCGAACCACCGTCCGTCCCTCGTCCCTCGTCCCTTGCCTTCCGCGCTCATCATCATGCTCGACGAGTCCGCACCCAAGCGACGCCGTCTGCAGCGCTCCCCCACCCCAGAGGTCCCCGCAGAGGACGAGGACTATGTGCCCTACGTGCCCGTCGCACAGCGCAAGCAGGCCAAATTGGCAAAACTCACGACGTGGAGTGGAAATCGAGACGCATCCCGGAGCAAACGCGCCCTTGCCGAGGCCTTGGAGCGGGAGGAAGCCGAGAATGAAGAGGAAGAGAGACGCAAGGAAAAGGCCCGGATAGAACGCACCCTGCTGCTGGAGGCCCAGGAGGTGCATCTACGCAAGGCCGCAGAGGGTGCGTGTGGCGCATCACACCATTAATTCCCGTTCTTACACCTTCATCCAGATGCGAAGAAGTCGGAGCAGCAGCGGAAAGAAGAGGAAGATGCGCAATTGCTGGAAGCGATCAAGAGCAGGCGCAAGCTCGCGTCAGATATGGAATTGGCGAAGGGGATCCAGTACACTGAGCCGTTGAAGTCGAGGTACGCATGTATCGGTTCAAATGATGAATTGGCTAATGCGTGATCTCAGTTGGCGTCCCCCACACTATATTCGTGGCCGCACTGAAGAGGAGAATGAACGTGTGCGACAGAAGCATCACATCCTTGTTGAAGGAAAGGACATACCACCCCCGGTCGAACACTTCGAGGTATGAAGACTTTACGCAATGCTCTACACCCCTTCTGACCCTTTAACAGGACATGAAAATCCCGCGCGGTATCCTCGACTACCTCAAGTCGAAGCGCATAATCGACCCAACACCCATTCAGATCCAGGGCATACCCACTGCGTATGTGCGCTTGCTACTTCCCGTATTTGCTTGCTCATTCTTCAGTTTCTCAGGACGTGATATCATCGGCATTGCCTTCACCGGCTCTGGCAAGACACTTGCGTTCTGCCTGCCCCTCATCATGTTCGCCCTCGAGGAGGAAATGAAACTCCCCTTCGTGCGCGGCGAGGGTCCAGTCGGCGTCATCCTTTGTCCCTCGCGCGAGCTGGCGAACCAGACGTACGAAAACGTGCTGGCTTGGTGTGAAGCACTGGCGAAGGAGGGCCGCTATCCGCAGCTGAACACCTTGCTATGCATTGGCGGCATCTCGATGAACGACCAGGCTCACGTCATGAGCAAGGGTATTCATATCGTGATCGCCACGCCCGGACGGCTGATCGACATGCTGGAGAAGAAGCGCTTGACGTTCAACAATTGCAAGTACATGTGCATGGATGAGGCGGATCGTATGGTCGACCTTGGTTTCGAGGAGGATGTGCGGAATATCATGAGCTACTTTAAGGTTGGTCTTTCTTCCTTAAATTCGAGATTGCGTTTTACTCAGTAACGCTCGCCGCAGCGTCAACGCCAAACCCTCCTCTTCTCTGCTACGATGCCGCAGAAAATCCGGGACTTCGCACAACAGTCGCTCATCCAGCCCATCCTCATCAACGTCGGGCGCGCAGGTGCCGCAAATTTGGACGTCTTGCAAGTCGTCGAGTACGTCAAGCAGGAGGCGAAGATGGTCTATCTGCTCGAGTGCTTGCAAAAGACGCCCCCGCCCGTTATCATCTTCAGCGAGAACAAGAACGAGGTCGATGGTAAGTACACGATCTTCTTGCCCTCGGCCTTATCTTACCCTTTGCTCAGATATCCAGGAATACCTGCTACTAAAGGGCGTCGAAGCGGTCGCGATCCATGGGTCCAAATGTACGCTTCTTTACTCCTTTCGATGATACGCATGGTTAAGTCCTGTTCAGCCCAAGAAGAGCGTCAATACGCCATCAAGTCCTTCAAATCCGGTGCCAAAGACGTGATGGTCGCCTCCGGTGTCGCCTCGAAGGGCCTCGATTTCAATGAGATTCAGCACGTTATTATCTTCACGATGCCCAAGGAGATCGAGGACTATGTCCATCAGGTGAGCGGGATACCTTTGGTGTGGAACTTTGTCGGGGAATCGCGGACATTGCGGTTCTGCGGTTGCGCGGACGCTCTATGCGCTCCATGCATTGACGCGCCTGTCAACCACGAAAGGTTAACGCCTTTCTATATATACCACTCGTTAAATGCGATGTGGCTGTATACGATGTGACGGCTATGGAAGGTTACAGCCCTCGGACCACCCCGCTGCCTAGCAGATCTGGCTTCCCGCTCTGAATGGGAGTCCGGGACACTCCGATCCCGCTAGTCCACCATGTTGGCGACACCCGGGCCATTGCTGCCAACACCCGGACCAACGCTCCCGCCTCTCGGACCCTATTGCCCCTCCTTCGAACCCTCACCATCGTCATACGAACCTTCGCTAACCGTTGACGTCCACAGATCGGTCGCACGGGCCGCAGCGGGAAGACTGGTATCGCGACCACGTTCGTCAACATGAATACGCCCGAGCAGACGCTGCTCGATCTGAAGTACTTGCTTATGGAAGCCGGCCAGAAGTGCGTCTCCCTTCCTCCACCTTGCGTCGTTCCTTCATTTTCCCTTCCCCTGGCCCGCGAACCCCTTCGCGCTCTCACGGCGGTGGTTTTTGGCCTTGCATGCCTACACACTGTGTCCGTTGCGTGCTGGTGCCTTTGTGTCGGCGCGCTAGCGTCCATGGAGCGCCCTTCGCCCGCGGGCTTCTCTCACGTCTACAGTACGAATCTGATGTCTAACATGCATGTCAGGGTCCCGCCGTTCCTCGCGTCAATCGAGGATCCGCGCGCCGCGCAGGGCGGCGCTCTCAAAGGATGTGCCGTGTGTGGCGGCCTCGGACACGGGATCTCGAACTGTCCCAAGCTGGAGGAGACGCAGCGGAGGCAGATGCAGTCACACCGGATGGCCCAGGACGGTGGTGGGGGTTACTAGGCTGTCGATCGGGGTATTAGTGTTGCTGTTGTATGTTATTTGCTCGCTTGTCCGCTTTCCCCATTAGGAATGCATTGTGATGAATTCCTTTGAACCTTGTTTGGCAATTATTTGGCACACCATCACACTTTGAGAGGACCAAGAAAACACATTTATTGAGTACAACAGACAACAGAGATCAGTATATAGCACACAGAGTAAGTATCACTGTCCAAGATACATGTACAAGTGTGTCAAGTATGGGAAGCAAGTATGAGAAGTAGAGTACCCTAGCAGAATGCAATGATATGAAGGCTCACAACATGCCAGCAAGCAGCCTGTTGCCAGTATACATACCAGTACAGTAAGACAGGGAAATTGTTAGTAGTTCATGTGGGAAGGGACTGGACCTTGCATGTAACCATGCCCCTTGAAAGGGGCATGGTGGTTGTGGTGAGCTGGCTGGGAGTAGTACCCCCAAGCCTCCAGGCAGGGCACCACCTGTCCGAGGTTGACAGGGATGGGGCTCTCGATCTGGACGCGGCTGGGGGGCTCCTCGACCAGCTGCTCGGGGGACTGGGGGCGCGGCTGCGTGTACTGATCGTACTCGGGCGAGTACGATCCCGCCGGCGCGAATGGGGGAGTGGGGATGGGGGCCGTCGGCCTGGGCGGCGGGGGTTCCTGGCTCACTGGCTCCGGCGTCGCTGCCGGGCCCGTGTCGCAGGCTGAATCTATGACGGAACGGTCATGAGTAGATGCTTACGAGCGAGGGAATAGCGGACGCACTGTTTACATCACGCTTCCTGTAAGGACCTCGCCTCGCGCCCTTCTTCCGCTCCTTGCGCTGCGAGTCGACGCACAGCTCGGAGAGGCCGTAGCGCACGCAGCGCAGGCAGGGGCGGGCCTCGTCGCACTTCTTGCACGCCCTCTGGCAGTTGGTGCACGCGTTCTTGACCTGGCGGCGTTTAGCGCGCTTGGGCGGCGGCTCGGCGACCTCCACTTCGACCTCCGGCTCCGGCTCGGGCATCCAGTCGAGGGGGAACATGTGCAGCGCGAGAGGGTCAGTGATCGCCATGTTCCCATCGAGCGAGCCATCATTGACTTGGGACGTCATGGCGAATAGAGGACTGGCATTCGTTATGAGAGGCGCGAGTGCGGGGAAGTAGCGGCTTACACACCTGTTCGTGCGCGTACGAGGTGGGAGGCGGGGCGGCTGGCGTCAGGGTCTGCTGGACGCTTTTGAGAGAAGGGCGAAGTGCGGCAGAAGCGAGCATACCTCGAGGCGAAGATCGGATCTGAGCAGCCACAGAACGGGACGCTAGTGTGGCGGTTCGGTACGGCGCGTGCGAATGCAGCGCAGCGCGTCCTTGCCACTGGGTCTATATATGAGTGGCGAATGGCAGCCCGAAGGACGCGCGTACCGTGACCGAGTATGCCTCCTTTGAACAAGCGCTCTGGCCGTCAAGGTCAAGGCCGGACGCCGCCGCCTCATGGCCAGCGGACGGACACTTTGCATGGGCGGCCATTGAGCTTCGCAGACAGGGGTAAACTTGCCCCTCAGGGAACAAACACCGCGTGTGTCACGTCACGGTCACCCAGACGCGTGCAATTAGGCATGCTCGCCAGAGCTCGTCTTTGACCCTCTGCCGGCCCCCTCATCACTGCCCCGCGCCCCGCGCGCCACTCACATGGTTCTCAAAAAGCAGGTCGTTGAATCCTTTGAGACCCTGGGCCTCACAACCGAGGCAGAGTACTCTGTCGCGGCGCGAACCTATAAGCGCCTGGCCTTCGAGCACCATCCGGACCGGAACCACGACCGGGCGAGCGAGGCGACAGCCAAGTTTCAAGAGGTCCGTCGTTATCGACATGCTCGTGGCACTACTAACATGATCGCAGATTAGTGCAGCATGGGACATCTGCCAAAAGTACTACGACAACCCCGCCTGGGGCGAGGAAGATGCCTTTGGTGGCTTCGACGATGAGGACGACGACGGGTTCATGGCAGGGGACCCGGGCTTCGCCCAGTCATTCTTTAGGTGCGTGCCCGCGCTCCCCTAGTATCCTCATGCTAACTCGTCACCAGGTTCATGTTCGAGAGCATGATGAACGGCAAGTACAGTAGCCAGCGCGGTCAACGTATGTGGCAACCCCATCCCCCCACGTTCATCATTAACCCTCCCTGCCCAGAGTACCGCTCGCACTTCCGCCGTCGCCGTGGCCCCACTATCGTGGTAGTCAATGGCATCCCTATGATCATTCCTGAAGACGACGAATCGTCAGACGAGTATGACGACGAATCCGACGAATTTGACGACTATTATGACTACGGTCCCTCATCCTCTGCTAATGGGAGCTACGGTGGAGGCGGCTACAGTGGGGGCGGTGGCTACGGTGGTAATTACGGATACTCGTCGCGACCGCGCAGGAGCCATAGCCCATCAGCCGCGCGGAAGAAGGAACGGGAGGAATACGAGAAGCGGATGAAGGAGCTGGGTAAGCCAATTCGCTCGTTCTTTGGCTTAGCCACTGACTGTTTACAGAGAAGGAGATTGAGGAAGAGAAGCGGCAAGCCAATCTGAAAGCTCAAGAAAAGGCTCGCAAGGAAGAAGAGCAGTCCGCGTCCCGGTCCCGTGCTTTCAAGGCAGCGCGTGAAGGGAACGTCGAGCTCCTCAACTTCCTCCTCGAGGAGAACAACTTTGATGTGAACACTCCCGAGCGCCCCTCTAAGAACCCCAATTTCCCGAAGGTCAACTATGAGACGCTGCTTCACTCGGCTGCTAAGGGTCCAGACGATTTGGCTGTCAAGTACCTCCTCGAGCGGGGCGCTGACACCACGCTGCTCAACGCTGCCAAGCTGACGCCTTTCCAACAATCCGTACTCTCTGGCAACGTCGCTGCGGCGAAGTATTTCCTCTCTCGCCAGGGAAAGCTCTCTGAGGGCTGTCACCCCTCGAAGGCCGCTGCAGACGGCCGCACGCCCCTTCAGCTCGCCATCGCTAGCGGCAACCACGAGATGATCAAGCTGCTGCTCAAGGACGCCACCGTCCACGACGCGCAGAAGTGCTTCCAGCAGTCCTACGACGAGGACATTCGCAACATCCTCGCCAACAAGAAGGGCTTCGTCGACCCCGACGTCCAGGCCGCGGAGCAAGCCCAGCAGGCAGCAGCCAAGTCGAAGAAGAAGAAGGGCAAGGGCGGCGAGGACCCCGAGCAGCGCCGCCGCCGTCTCGCGGAGGAGGAAGCCCGCGCCGAAGCCAACCGCCGACGGAAGGAGGAGAACAAGCTCCGGCAGCAGCAACTCGAGCGCGAGAAGGTCGAGCGCGAGGAAGCGGAGCGCAAGCGACAGCAGGAGGAGGCCGCGCGTGCGAAGGCAGAGGCGAAGGAGCGCAAGGAGCGCGAGGCCGCCCGCCGGCAGCGCGAACTGGAGGAGCAGTCGCGGCTCGCCGAGGAGCACGCGCGCATCGAGCTCGAGCACAGGCGGTGGGCGGAGGCGGAGGCTGCGCGAGAGGAGGAGGCGCGCATCAAGGCCGCGATCGAGGCGGAGCGCCGCCTGAAGGAGGAGCGCATCGCGAAGCAGCGCGCAGCGGACGAAGAGCGGCGGGCGCGACATGAGGCGAAGCTGCGCGCTGCAGCTGAAGCCGAAGCAGCTCGACTCGCCGAGGAGAAGCGGCTGCGCGAGGAAGAGGAGGCGCGGTGGCAAGAGGCGGAGCGCCGGCGGCGGCGCGAGCAGGATGAAGCGCGCAAGCGGGATGAGGACGCGCGTTTGCGCACCGCGCAGGCCGAGGCGGCGGCCCGTCGGCACACGAACGACATCATGCTGAAGGCCGAGCTCATCCGCCTGAAGGCCGGTAGCACGTCGCCAGGCCTCGAGGGTAGTCCGCCACCGGGTCTCGAGGGGGAGCAGCAGCGGGAGGAGCAGAGGCAGCAGCGCGCGGAGCAGATCCAGCGGGTCGAGAAGGAGATTAGCCGTGGGGAAAAATGGGAGCGCAGGCAGGAGAAGTTCGCGAGGAAGAAGGCGGAGATGAAGGCGAAGAAGGCCGAGGAGAGGCAGCAGAGGCAGGCTGAGGCTCGAGAGCAGAAGCTAGCGGAGGCGCAGCAGACGGTGGACGTGCCCAAGCCAAAGCCAGCGAGGGCCAAGCTTGCTGAAGCCAAGGCGGAAGAGGTGCCTAAGACGGAGACGGCCGAGGTGACGCCCAAGCCAAAGCAGGCTGCCAAAAAGCCCAAGCCGGGCAAAAAGCCTGTACCGGAGCCTGACGAGACCTGGACGGAGGAGCAACGCGCGAAGTGGGAGAAAATGATGCAGCGCCGCAGGGAGCAAAGCGAGCGTGACAAGGCTCGCATCCGGGCTCAAAAAGAGGAGAAGGAGAAGGAGAAGGCGCGCCAGCGCGAGGTAAGCACCATTCCATTCGCTGCCTCATCCCCCTGACAAACATTTCAGACTCAGTCCGCACTCCCGCCTCTCCCGCCCGTGCAAGTCTTCGAGCCCATCGAGCCCGAGAGCTTCCAGACGATGAGCATGCCGGACGATCTTTTCTACGAAAAGCCAAGCCTCGCGGCGGGCGCCACTGTCGTCAAGACGCCTGCCGCCGACCACGTCGAGCCGCTATCCTCTCTGACCTCGACGGCGGTCAGCAGCAGCGCCGCTAGCCCTGAGCCACTTCACGGTTCTCAGACTCAACCGACGAGGGGCCGTGGCCGTGGCCGTGGTCGTCCGTTCCGCGGTCGTGGGCGTGGCGGCTATCGCGGCCGTCCGCGCGCTTTTGAGACGGAGTTGTAGAGGAGCTTCTTCACTGAATGCTTTTCTTGGTACTCGTAGACCACGACCTTGCCATGCTTGAATCTATGTCCGCTCGTGCTACTGCTTTCTTGACATTATCTCTCAGAATATACTTACTAATGGACTGTAGCATATATATAGTTCGCAATCCCCGCATTTCCTGGAACCCAACAATCCAAAGTCACCTTGCTTGCACGGCTCACAATGAATTCCTTTGCGTGATGAGAACAAACAGTAGACGGTGACCTTCACCTGTGTTCAGTAAAGCTGTTTTCGACGCTTCAGGGTACTTATCCTGGATGGTAACATATCGTCGGAGCTCATCTAAGCAACTGATTCATGTTTCCAAAACGTTGGGTATCTCTCAGTGCTCCAATAAAAAAGCCAACCAAAGGGAGAGGAAGTGCAGGCGATCGATTATCTCAACAGTACACGGCAAATTCCGACGTCGGTACCGACCAATCACCTGACGTGTTGAACTTCGGGTCGGCCACCACGTCTGTCCATGCCGTACTGTCGCACGCGGCCTCTTCTATCTTTTGTACATGACAGGTAGCATGACTGCTTGCCAACGCAGTTACGCAGGCATGGGCGAGCATCCCGTGCCAGACACATGTACAGCAATTGGGCTTGGGCCCAACAATGATCAAAACCTTGGGAGACAAAAAAAGCAAGGTGTTCTACATGCTCATCAAGATAGCGCTTGAGTAACATGGTAGGTATCAGCCGAAAAGCTGTATATGCGCCTTTTGTGAAGCCTGAGTAAGGGTCACCACTGATCATCGCGCACCTCCCCTTAAGCCTAACTTCAGCTCGAACTCGAGGCCCAAGCGCAGATAGATGGATGCTGAGATAACTTCAGAAAAGCAGGATCTCTCAAATGTATTCATATGCCTGCTGTTTGCCGCTCATCGCTGTCAACACGATAGAACCATCAATGGGCTTCTTTGCCGCGCATCTTCCCAAGACTTCCTCACGCATTCACTGGATGACTTCTCACCCCCAAGTTTCTTTCCTCATCCTGCATCATATGAGCTGCTTGAGCTCTCGGCACGACGCCCAGGCCAAGCAGATCCCATGCGGACATGCGCGACTCGGTGACCATCGAGCGGAAGAATATTGAGTTCAAAGAGAACCGGCATGCGCCTGCGACGATGCGGAAGCGTTCGTCTTGATGGGTTCTAGGTAAACAAAATTTTTGTGGTTCGGACGAGAGCGACACTTTGGGGGTCGATGAAGACGGACCAGATACGCCCGAAGCCGAATAAGGCAGAGAACTAGCAGGAAGTCTAGGGGACGAGATACATTATTCCCACACATTCGCAAAGAACTATTAGCCGACAAGGAAACAGACTATCTAGATCGTCGTGAAAGCTATTTCTTGGTTTGTCTGCCTTCGGTAGGGTCGCTCGTGGTCGACATTCTCGTCCATCGGTACTCCAGTAGCTTTTAAGTCCCAGAAAGGCCGGCAGCGGGCCCCCGCCGGAGCTTGTGAGTACTTCTTGCATTGTTCTCGAGCAGTAAACAAACGAAGCGTGGGCGTGGAAAAGATCAACAAGGCAAAGGGTGCGACGCCACATGAACGTTCTCGAGGGCGTTGACAAACATCGCGGTACAGGTCACGGTGCTCGTCCGTGCCGCATGCGTCGTGTCTGAACACCAAAGTCGACGCCCGTCGACGGCTCGGCCGTGCCCTTCTTGTCCTAATCTTCCACCACCCCGCGCCGACCGCCAAACGGCGTCAACTCAGAACCGCGTCCTTATTCCCTTCCTTTCTTTTTCTTCCGCTTCCAGTTATGGCTTCTCCCCACGCCCGGCCACTGGTTGAAGGCGCGGACAGCGCGGCGACGGGACGTGCTGAAGCGTTGGAGACGCCCGGGATCAGCATTCGTGATGTCTACGGCGACGAGGGCGGAATAAGCACAGGCGACGAACGCGACGATGGCTCGCACCCGCAGGTAAAGTCGCGCGCGCGTCCGTACCAAACACGAACCACCTGCTCACTCTCCTCCAGCCTAGCTTCCATATATCCCATGCCCAAGAGTGGACCCCGATTGAGCGTGATAACCCTGCCTCCCGGTCAACTTCGGCCAGCTCGTCGCTCGACCCATATTATTTTGGCGCCCAATCCGACTCACCGCTACCTCCGCTTCCGCCTCCGCCCATGCATCTCAGCGTAACGCCGGATCACATATTGGCTGAAAGTCCGGTGACGCCTGCGCGCGATCCAGCTTCCATCGACCGTCGCGGCCTTGTTGGCGTGGGCGAGTTGACGACGCCGCGGTGGAGCAAAACCAAACACGCCGACGACATTGTCACTCGCAAGGTCGAGCCTATGCCGACACAGGAGGAAGAAGAGAACGATCCCGACAGCCCATGGACCATCGAAGCAGTAGACGGTGAATCCTCTGGCAAGGAAGACCGGGTGCGTCGCGCTCTTGTTTTTGCTTTTCGTTTTCGCTGACCTATACTTCCAGCAGTCGATGGAGATACCTCACCCTCATCGCGGCCGAGTCTCTTTGACAGAGGAAAGCGGCGGCGAAGAGATCTTATACCCGCGGAAGCCCTTGTTGGAATCCGCCCCGGATCTGCCCACGGAGACGCCCACGACTCCTCGTGATCACCCAACGAGCGTTCCGTCACAGCCAGATCACTCGTCCGAGCCGGATGCGCCCACCTCTCCTCCAAGTGCTTTCTCTACGCCTGGCGGGCGGCGCGCAAAAAAGCGAACATCGGACGAGTTCGAGATGGATCAGGCCGGCACCCTCGTTTCCAAGCGGTCTTCTATGTCTGCCTCAAAGGAGAAGAGCAAGGAGATGGCTACAAGGCGGCATCGGAGTCTTAATATTAGTGCTTCTTCCCGTGAGAAGGGGAGGGAGCGGAGAAGGGAGAGTTCTGGCACGTCTCTCAGCGGCAGCAGGCCTCTGATCACTTCTGCGACGAGCCCGACCTTGTCATCTGCAGCGAAGTCTCCCGACAGGCACGTTAGGCAGACTTCTTTGACGTCCTCCGGTTCCGAGGGTCATCCACGCCGTAGGGTGCATACCACGGACTACTCCCATCTGCCTCCTTCGCCCTCAACAAACGCGATCCAGCACTTCTTGCAGCAGCCGCATACTTCTCCGCCTCTGACCCGGGAGCCGTCCCAGTCTCACTCGTCGCCCAACGTCGCGCACTCGCTTCTGCGCGGCACACAGGAAGGCTGGTCTGGCCTTGACGATGAGGCGACGGCTGAGGCGCTGAGAAAGTTGGACGGCATCTCGGGCAAGACGGCCCGTGCGCGGGCTAGTGTCGGCAGCTTCGGTCGCCCAGGGTCCAGCAGGCCGAGCACGCCGGGGAAGACCACGTCCCAATGGGAAGGAGTCAGCAGCTCGGGCGAAAGTGTCAAGCGACGGTCAGGTGCCAAGGAGAAGGAGTCGCCCCAGCGAGCTGCGGCGGGCTCTGAGTTTGGGGAGCTCATTGGAACCGCCACTAGCAGTGACGAGCACAATCATGCTACCTCGTCCTCCTCTGACCGGACGCCCAAGAAGGGCGCGCGTTCCAGCCTGTCGGCGAAGCGTGGGTCGACGTCCTCTACGAATTACACTGGCACACCTAGCTCGAGGGATTCGGCATCCATGTCTGCGACCACTAGCATGACATCCATGTCCGCGACCTCCAGCCGCCACTCGTTCGGAAAGCTACGTCGCAACAGCGCTGGAAGCGACACTTCAAACCACTCCAGCGACGCGGTGTCTATCAAGGATCGCGTCGCGGCCTTGGCTATCAACGGCGAGGCTGGAGATGACATCGAAGTGCCGCCTGTCCCTCCTTTGCCCAAGGACCTTTCGTCGTACAAGTCCCCACCGCCTTCCTCTGCTGGGCTGGTCTTCCCTTCGGTGCAGCACGACAGCGACAGCAGCCCTCGTCGCTCTAATGAGGACGCTTCGCACCGTCGGCGCGCGAGCCAGCAGGTTCACTCTGCCGGCGAGGCGAGCGGCAGTGATGTGCCTGCTGGGAAGACACCATCCAAGAAATGGAGCTTCTCTAGCGCACTCAACATCAAGCTGTCGAACTCGCCTTCCTCGCCGACTGCCAAGAGCCCTCGCACCATGTCTTTCGGGCAGCAGATCAGGAAGTCGACGTCAAAGGAGCAGAGCCTTTCCCCTTCCATGTCCAATGCTCCTTCTTGGTCCCCTGTCCAGAACGAGGCCATGACGTCTGCGTCTTCCCTTGCGTCCATGTCATCCCAGAGCTCCATTCGCACGCCTGGCGGTCCCTCCACTTCGAAGACTCCCGAGCGTGGAACAGTGCCCAGCCGCTCGGGAACAGAGTCCAGCACGAGCACGAATCATGCCCCTCTGAGCCCCAGCTCCTCCGTGCGCCGCCACCAGTCGAAGCGCCTCACGCCATCCTCGATCCCCTTCTTCAGGAGGTCCTCGTCTCAGTCGATGCAAATGCCACCGCCTCCGCTGCCTTCGTCGCCTACGTCCACGCAACATAAGGTGAGCAGCTCTCCACCTGAAGACTATAACCCGCCATCGACGTCGGCGCACAAGAAGAGCTCGATGCTGAGTCTCGGTCTTCCATCGTTGTTAAAGGGCTCGAGTTCGCGGAGGAGCTTACACAGTGATTCGAAGGAGTCGGGGTCGGGGTCAGGCAGAGAACCGAGTCGATCGAGGGACAGTGGCAAGGAAGCGAAGGCGGACAAGAAGAAGGACGATAAGGAAGGTCGGATCTCGGTGCTGATGGGCCGGAAGCGTGGCAAGGTAACGCGCCTGTTGCCCCTTTGTCTTCTTTTGCTCACCCAGCGTTGACCCAGACACTGTCGTCCACCGACCCGCGCAAGCCCAAGGAACCGATCGCGATGCCGCCCATGCAGGTCGCCGCTCTTGAGCCTGCTACGGCTCAGCGCGTTGCACGGCTCAAGGCCGGGGTGTCCTCGTCATCAACGTCGACAATCCAGTCCACGTCGACGTCGAGCACTTCCTCGTCGCGATCGGGCACGGGCGGCTCGCGTCTTACTTCTCAAACGGTTAGTTCGATGCAGAAGCAGTCGGACGGCTCGCTGAGAAGTCGGACCCAGCTCCCAACGATCGCCGGCTCGCCGTCCGTTGGCACCGCAAGCTCGCAGACCGTACGGGACGGCAAGGAGGGCCCGCCGATCTCCTCGTTCAACAACTCGATCTCGGGCCTGTCGAAGGAGACGCCGACCAAGATCCCGCGCATCTCGAGCAGGACGTCGGGCATCGGCGGCTCCCCCACGCTCAAGGGCACGGCTCGGAGGACCAGCGTCAACGTGTCGTCCAGCTTCAGCACGTCGGCGAACCCTTCACCGATTGGTAGCGGCATGAACGAATTCGGCGTCATCGAGGGCGACAGCGCGTCCAACAAGTCCACGATCACAGGGACGGCCAGGAAGGCGTCTCCGCCGACCACTTCATCGTCGTCGCGTGTGCCTCGCCAGTCCGTCAGCGGGTCGGCGTCTTCCAGCATCCTGCCGAGGAAGTCGAACCGGGAGTCCATGTCGTTCAGCGGTCTGCGGAAGTCGTCGACTTCGTCCGTGGCCTCGGCGTCCACATCTCAAGCGCCGACCGAGTCGTCATCGTCCTCTCACCATCGTTTCTCTGCTCTCTCGCCGTCGAAGGGTCTCAAGCTTCTCAGCCCCAAGATCTCGTTGCCACGTTCGTCGAGCTCGTCGGCGCCGAACATTCATCAAAGTCTCGGTACCCCTTCATCGAGTCGGCAATCGCTGTCGACACCCTCGCCGTCGCCGACATCCGTGGACGAAGAGGAGTTACTGGGTGACGAGGAGATGATGTTGTACATAAAGCGCCAGCAGGCCAAGAAGTCAGCGGCTGGCGCAACTGCGGCCGAGTTGGAGAGTATGCTGGCGTTCCCGGAACCTGTGCCGCCAGGCATACCTTCTCCCCCCTCAGGTAAGTCACCGTGTTCCACGAGTACCGCGCTTGGTCTAACAGCGCCGTTCAGCGATCCTCAAGGGCAGCCAAAGTCAACACCTCTCCGAGTACGAGAAGAAGGAAATCTTGGACTACCCTTCTGTCTACTATGTCGGCACTCGCGGCAAGAAGAAGATGGCGACCCCGGAGAACTCCACGAACAACTACAGTTACGACGACGACCGCGGTGACTACCAAGTCATCAATCACGACCATCTCGCCTACCGCTACGAGATCATAGACACGCTGGGCAAGGGATCATTTGGGCAGGTATTGCATTGTCGGGACCACTGCACTGGGGAATCCGTGGCCATCAAGATCATCCGGAACAAGAAGCGCTTCCACCACCAGGCTCTCGTGGAAATCAAGATCTTGGACAACCTGCGGAAATGGGTGTGTGCCGTCGTCCTTTGCTATGTACTCAAGAAGCTTACGCTTTCTAGGACTCGGACGAAAAGCACCACGTTATCAAGATGACTGAACACTTCTATTTCCGCAACCACCTTTGTATCGCCATGGAGCTGCTGAGCATCAATCTCTACGAGTTGATTAAGGCGAACGGCTTCGTGGGCTTCACGACTACCCTCATTCGCCGCTTCACGAGCCAGATGCTGCTGTCGCTGTCCCTCATGCGGCACCATCGCATCGTGCATTGCGACCTCAAGCCAGAGGTAAGCGTCGCAAAGCTGCCTACTTCACAATTGCTCACCAGCGTGTAGAACGTTCTGCTCAAGCACCCGGCGAAGAGCGCCATCAAGGTCATCGACTTTGGAAGTAGCTGCTTCGAACATGAGAAGAGTACGTGCGCACTCAATGACGACAACTCATTCAACTGATGCGTGTTCCCAGTCTACACGTACATCCAGAGTCGATTTTATCGCTCGCCCGAGGTCATCCTCGGAATGAACTACCATATGGCGATCGACATGTGGAGTCTCGGGTGCATCCTCGCCGAGCTTTACACCGGCTTCCCAATATTCCCCGGCGAGAATGAGCAAGAACAACTATCGTGCATCATGGAGGTCCTCGGCGTCCCTGACAAGGACTTCATCAACCGGAGTTCGCGAAAGAAGCTCTTCTTTGGTAGGTCTTCCGGCGATGTTCTGTAGCATCCTCGCTAATCAGCACTGCAGATCCCAGCGGTGCTCCGCGGCCCGTTGTCAACTCCAAGGGGCGCCGGAGACGTCCTGGCACGAAGAGCCTCCAGCAAGTACTCCGTTGCAACGACGAGGACTTCGTAGACTTCATCGCCAAGTGCTTGGTATGGGACCCCGAGCGGAGGATCAAGCCTCAGGCAGCTTTGAGGCATCCGTTCGTCACCGGTGGACGGCGTCCAAAGACGCCCCCTACGAGCAAGGCCAACGCGTCGTCGTCAAGCCTGAGCACCCGCAGCAAGATCGCGTCCACGCCCAAGAAGTCGCAGATCAGCGCGCCCACGCCCTTGACCGCACGGTCCTCGCGGACGAACGGGGGTGTCCCTACGACCCCGAGCAGCTCTTCGAACCATGCGTCCACTTTGGGGTCCTCTCGGTCGTACCGTACGCAGGCTCAGGTCTCGTCGTCTTATGGCTCCAGTCGCACGCTGAGCGGCTATGTTGTAAGTGCTCGTGCTCTGCTAGGTCTCCCCACGTCTCACTCCGATTCTCAGTCCAGCAAGTAGCATGACTAGTTTATCCATCTTCGTTGAATTTCGGGCTGGCAAATAGATTCACCTGGTACTAAAAGACGGGTCGTATACCCGTGGCCCGCTGTATATTCATGTTCTCCTCTTACCTTCCTTCGTACGTCCCCTGCTTTTCACGCTGTTGTCTAGTCCTACTGCACGCACCCATCAATATCGCATAGTTAACGCCTACTTTATATAATGCGCGCCCACCATTCGGATATGCTTTGATGGTCGATCCTACTATGAATCTTGGCCAGAAGCCCGAGGATCTGCGTGCTCGTGACCACTATCAAGGGCAATGTACTTGGATAAACAAGTCCGCGGGCAAATCAACATTGTTCGTACCTGCCTATACCCTCGCCTGCATGACACCCTAATTCCTCTCTTCACCAGGTATTTGATGAGATGACGATGCCTTAGCCTTCCATGATGTGCGCCTTTCTCGTCGTCGTGGCCATTGTGAAGGCCGCGTAGGCGGTACATAGGGACGAAACGTAAGTGAGGCCCGCGGACATTGTCACCTGCCTGGGGATCTGAGCGGGCTGGAGGTGCAGTGCGGCAGCGGGAGGCAACAAGACCAAGAGATGGGCTATGGATTCGCCGTCGTACGTCTCTTGCGGGGATTGAGGTGATGCCCGACTCAGCGCCGTATATATGGTACGCTCTGCTGAGATACAAGTCCCTCATATCGACCCTCTTCACCTCCACTTCCCTCCTGTCACTCACCATCCACCACCGTCTATCATGTTGTGGTACCAGATCTTCCGCGACGGTCCTGAGTACGAGAAGCGCATCGCGCAAGGTACCTTCACCCCACCCAACTTCACGTCAAAACAGCTCTACGACGCAATTCCGCCCCATCTCTTCCGCCGCTCGACAACGCGGAGCACGATCTACATCCTCCGCCACCTCGCCGTCACCGCGCTATTCTACTGTCTCGCGACCAGGATCGACCTGCTCGTCAACCTGCTGACGGCGAACGTGCATGCTGCACGAGTCTTGCGAGCGATTCTGTGGCTCGCCTACTGGGGGTGGCAAGGCCTCGCGTTCACGGGCATATGGGTGCTTGGTAGGTTCATCTATACACATAATTGCGCCTCATTGGCTGACCGCCCTTATCCAGGACATGAGGTCAGTCGACTTGCAGCTTGCCACCTCCGCTAAGGCTGACCATTGCGGATAGGCCGGCCATGACTCCTTCTCGTCCTATCCCTGGTTCAACACCGTTGTCGGCATGGTGCTCCACACGTTCGTGTTGACGCCCTTCCACGCTTGGCGGGCGACGCATCGGTCGCATCATGTACGTTGTTTGCCCATATTTTAGCCATATCCCATACCTTGGCCATATCTCTTCATATCCGCATGAACACCCGCTAACCACCGTCTCAGAAACATACCAACAGCATGGAGAACGACGAGACCTACCACCCACAAACGCGCGCTGATCTCAGGCTCCCCGACGGGCGCGTCGCTGTCAAGATGGACTACGCCGAAGTACTCGAAGACACGCCCGCCTTCACCCTCTTCAAGTTGTTTGTGCGCCAGTTCTTGTGAGTGGGCTTGATTTGTGGCACGCTCAAAGACCTCACTGACGCGCGCTCATACAGCGGCTTCCAATTATATCTCTTGCATAACCGCAAGGGAAACCCAAAATACCCTGCTGGCACTAGCGTACGTCCACAGCACCTTCCTTCATGTCCCAAGCACAAATCTCGCTCACTCTCCAAAGTTGCTCATATCCGCTGACGCTGATCCCAGCATTACCGCCCCTCCTCCCTCCTCTTCAAGTCCACCGACTGGACATCCATCGTGATCTCCAACGTCGCCATCGGCACCATGCTCTGCCTGATCGGCGCGTACGCCTACCTCTGTGGATGGAAGGCGTGCCTTACGCACTACTTTATGCCGTGGTTGTTTGCCCATAATTGGTATGAACCCTCTGACCTCGTCGGTCGTGATCACAACCTCATCTCAACCTTTGCAGGCTCGTCATGATCACGTATCTCCAGCACAGCGATCCGACGATTCCATATTATCGTAAGGTGAGTCTTGACAGCGCTTGGTACCAACTACCTCCGTCCATACTCCCTCAGGAATGCCCCATTCTCCCTCTCCAGCGGTCCATTCTCCCCCTCCAGCGTTCCACCTCCCGTCCTGACCCCGGCTCACTCACTCCCAGGATCAATGGACCTTCGTCCGCGGCGCGCTCGCCACCGTCGACCGCCCCATCTTCGGCTGGGCGGGGCGCTTCTTCCTGCATAACATTAGCAGCGACCACGTCGCGCACCACTTCTTTTCGAGTATTCCTTTTTGTGAGTGCTTCCGTTTCTTCTACCATGGTCGATTATGTTCGGTATAAACCATTCATACGTTCGGCATGAACCTTTCATATGTTCGACGCGACTCCCTCATTTGCCAGATGTGGTCCTCGCTGAGCGAGCTGACCACTCATCACAGACAACCTGCCCGCCGCGACGGAGGCCATCAAGCCCGTCCTTGGCGAGTATTATAATTATGACTCGACGGTAAGGGACTCTCCCTTTCATCCGGGTCTGCTCAGCCAACTAACAACCCTCTAGGGCGTCCTAAAGGCCCTCTGGCGTTCCTTCACCCAATGTGGCTTCGTCGAGGACGACGGCGCGGTGCTGTTCTTCAGAAACGCATATGGCGACGCTGTTCTGGATGCCGATACGACCGACATATAAAGCGCGACGACACCATCAGCATAGAGCTAACTATTTTGTCTTGACTTCGCTATAACGTCCTATGTCTGCCACTACTTCTTACGCTACGTAGCTATATAATCACCTAATGCTATCGACTTCGCAATTTTACCACTTCTCATTGAAAGGGCGAACTACAAGGGTCATGAGCAAAAAGGACGTCGGGAGGCGAACTTTTAACTCACGGTCAATCTCCCAGCTCCAGGCCGACTTGTCCTGACCGGCCAAAGACAGGTAGGCCTGCGGTTCCTATGAGTATCGGTGTTTGCCCGAAGTTCAATACCCTCACCTGCGCGATGGCATCTGGCTTCAGCCCCGTGGCCACGCTGCGTCCAGGGTAGTTATTGGTAAGGATGCCGCCGTCGATGATGGCCTGCAAAATATTGTCAGAGAACATTTGAGGCGCATATATGCACCTGCCACTCACATGGGCGACCTTCCAAGCAGATATATAGTCAGCATACGCCCTTCCCTGTCATGCCGTCCGGTACTCACATGGATCTCCTCCTTCCCAAACTCCTTCGCCAAGCTCTGCGACAGCGCGCGCACCCCATGCTTCGCCGACGCAAACGCGCTCGTCATCACATTGCCCCTCACCCCCGCCGTCGCGCCCGTGAATATCAGCGTCCCCCTCCCCGTCGTCTCCTCCGGCTCGTTCTTCTGCAACGTGCGGATGACCTGCTGCGCGAACGCGAACGCGCCGACGACGTTCGTCTGCAGCGTCGTCTCGAGTTCCTCGACCGTCGTGTCCAGGAAGCCCTTGAACACAGCGTGCCCAGCGTTCCAGAGCGCGGCGCGCACGGCGTACTCGGCGGAGGGGAATGCGGCGTCGATGTCGGCGAAGGCCTTGGTGAAGTCCGCGGCGCCGTAGCCGGTGACGGGGATGGGGGCGGCCTGGGTGGATGGTCAGTGCCACGAATTCGCAACTTCTCCATAGACCACCCACCGAGCCTCCAGACGCCTTGATCTCCTGCGCAAGACTCTTCAGCGAGTCCTCGCCCCGCGCAATGAGCGCGACGCTATAGCCGGCCTTCGCGAAGGCGCGCGCCGCGGCAGCACCCGTGCCCGAGCCGTTCCCACAGCCGGCAACGACAAAAAGAGGGCGGAGGACTTTGGCGGCGGACATGTTGGAGATTTCACTTGGGAGTTGGGAGACGGTGAAGGTTGCTAGCTCCCTGTCGTCCTTGGCATCTTTATAGGGCCTCTGGACGTCGTCGACGCGTCACCGACGTGAACTTCTTCGCCGACGATGACCAAGCTGGCTGCAAATCAGTCAGCCTGCTGGCGTTGCATGGCGGAAACATCGGCTAATTCCGCCAATGTGCATGATGAAGGAGAAACGACATGAGCGTAAGCAGGCGCAATGCCCATGTCCATGCTCAATCATGTTTTATGGCAATGTCGGACCAAGTGGATGAGGTCTACAGAGCAGAAAGACTGTTGCAAGCAAAAAGAAACCATCAAAAACGTATAGCCCACCGCGAGGGTCGAACTCGCAGCCTTCAGATGCCCTCCTAGACTTATAAGAGTCTGACGCTCTATCCGATTGAGCTAGGCGGGCGATATCGTATCGGCCGCAATGACCATTACAACTTCGGTCGCGCGGTGACTGCACATTTTGTATGTCGGTGTATGTCGGCAGCAGGACCATGCCTCACCGACGGGCAGAATCTGAATGGTGGAGCACGAAGGATTGTCCACAATTTGCAAGCAGCCTTTCTATATCGCAGCGTCCCCTGCCTCATCTAAGCACCGGAGCTTGACGAACACATCGCACCCTACGAAGCGTCAGTAGATGAAAGACAATGTGATGAGGAATTACAACATACCCCAGCCCTCCAAAGAGACGAGTTCTAAAGAGCCTCCAAAGTAACTGGGCACCAGTCTATCAGTATCCTCCTGCGTCTGGTTCATGCACACGTACTTCGCATACAGTCTCGTTAAAGGCAGACCGTATCCCAGCCCCGACAGCGTCCCTAGACCCGTCTGTACCCCCTTTCTCGTCACCTCGCCAAACAGGTCGCCTACGCCTTCCGCGCCCCCGCTCACATGCTGCGCCGCGTACGGGCCACCTTCCGTCTCATCAAACGCCTCACCGGGCTTCCTACCCACCGTCGTAAACGCGTACGAGAAAATGTGCTGCATGTTCGCGGGGGCGACCCCTCCGCCCTGGTCGCGGATGCGAATGGAGAAGTATTTGGGTGAGGGATGAGTAGGGTCGTAGCCGACTTGAGGGGGTGGGGAGAGGGTGATGGAAATAGGAGGGAGGTGTGCGTGGCGGTGTCGGTGGTGGTGATGCTCGACTGTGGCGCGGAAAGCATTCTTCAGGATCTCCGTGAGGACGTATTCCAGGTGCACCGGGATGTAGCTAGAAGAAACCCTGTTAGCATGGCTCGTCACTGCAGTATGATAGTCCTGTACGCACGCAAATGTGGCATCCTTGAACCCGTCTATATGCACGGTCGGACTCGAGCCCAGCGTCGCCTCGCACAACTCGGAGACATACGCCGCGCACATATGGATCATCCTCGCCGGCGAGCAGTGCATATCCACCACGCCCACATGCGACTTGTCCACGCTAGGATCGTCCAGCGCCTGCGAGATCGATATATGCTGCTCTGCTAGCAGCCGCACCGAGATCCTGCTCCTGAACGCGCCGTCCAAGAACTCCGCCATCTGCGCCGGCGACATGTACTTCGAGCTTTCCTGAAATCTGTCCCCCCATCCCGTCAGCCCCATCCCCTCCCCACCCACCCAAACACCACTCACCCCTTCGCCATCGCCGGAATATCATTCGCATGCCTCTCCACCAACTCCTCCAAATGCCGTGCAAACACCGCGTTCTCCTCCAGCGTCCGCACCGGCGGATGCGTCGCCAGCGACAGGAAGCTCTCCTTGTACGCTGCGAGCACGCCGCTCACGTACGGGTTCGTGCCCACGATGAACGGCAGGCCCTCGATCGTGCGCACGCGCGTCGCCAGGCGCCGCGGGATCTCCGCGAGCACGTACGAGACGGACTTGAGGACGCTCTCGGGGCGCAGCGGCCGGCCGAAGGAGAGCAGCTCGGAGAGGTTGATCGTGCGCGAGGGCGAGGACGCGTAGGCGGCGAGCAGCTGCGTGAGCTCGGCGGAGTCAGCGGCGGGCGCGCGGCGCTGCAGGGCGCGGTGGGGAACGCGATTTGGTGCGTGTCGCCGAGGGGCGCGACTCAGGACGGTGCGCCCGAGTCTGTTCATGTTGTAGACAGTGCAAGATCGAGCTGAGTGGTGCTTCGTCTGAGGAGCATGTCGTGACCGCACGAGTCAAGTCTAAGAACGGCGGGCATCAACGGAGACGTCGACAGGTGACCGTCTCGGCCTTCGCTTGCTAGTTCTCTCGGTCTTCACGGAGCGAGAAAGATGCATCCAACATGAGAGTATAAACGACGTCGACGATGCCAGTAAATTAATGCGTAGAATACAGCCAATCCAATGTAAACTAATTGTACACTTGGTAGAGAGGTCTGGATGGAGCTGTTAGTGTCGATGGACAGCCGCAAGAGTGGGGAAACGTACGTGCTGGAGAACTTCGTGCCTTGCCGCACGACCTTCTCTACGGCGTCCAGGAAGTCGCGTTCTGTGGCCACCTTTCTGCGTGCACGAATGGCGAACATGCCAGCTTCGGTCGCGACGGAACGCAGCTCAGCACCAGTCGTGTTCGGACACAACCGTGCAATGAGATCAAATCGGATATTCCTCTCGACACTCATACTGGACGATTATCAGCTTGTGCGTCACCATAGATCCACAAAGAACGTACCTCCGGGCATGAATCTTCAGGATGTGTGCGCGCCCATCGTTGTCTGGCAAGGAGAATTCGACCCGACGATCCAACCGACCTGGTCGCAACAGTGCAGGGTCAAGAGTGTCCGGTCTGGAATCTCAGTTAGCTCATGCAATACGAAGGTAGAGGTGACGGCTTACCGATTAGTGGCCATCAAGACCTTGATGTTTCCTCGAGGGTCAAAGCCGTCCAACTGGTTGATCAACTCCAGCATAGTACGTTGAACCTCGTTGTCCCCACCAGCACCGTCGTCGAAACGCGCGCCACCGATAGCGTCGACTTCATCGAAGAAGATGATGCATGCCTTCTTGCTCCGTGCCATCTCAAACAGCTCACGAACCATACGCGCACCCTCGCCGACGTACTTCTGTACGAGCTCGGAGCCAATGACACGGATGAATGTTGCGTCTGTCCGGTTCGCCACCGCTCGTGCGCAAAGGGTCTTACCAGTTCCCGGAGGACCAAACAGCAAGACACCCTTAGGCGGGTCGATACCGAGCTTGACGAAGCGTTCTGGCGAGAGGAGGGGAGTCTCGACGACCTCGCGGAGCTTCTCAATCTGCTCCTTGCAGCCACCGACGTCGGAGTAGGTCACATCGGGCTTCTCCTCGACTTGCATCATCGTGACTGACGCGTCAATCTTGGGTGGTAATGGAATCTGAATCTGGTACTTCGTGCGGTCGACACTGAAGGGAGTAGATCAGACGCGCCACGAATATTTGCAGAGTGTTACGCACCCAACACGCATGCCTTCCTCGATATCCGAAGACGCGACACGGTCGCCCAGGCCGACGACGAACTTCGCAATCTGCTTGATGTTGATGACATATTTGTCCTGCTCGTCCGCACCCTTCTGGCCCTGCAAGCCACCGAGTGCGTTGACAGCTTTCGCTGCCTCTGCTGCGGCTGCATCCATGGGGATGATCTTCGTGCACCGGGCGACCTGTAGTGGGTGCTCCTCTGACATGCGCTGTCGGTCCGCCGCGAGATCCCACAGGTTCGGCGATGCGAGACCTGTGTCGGACTCCTTCACACCTGGGGTATGGTAAGTGTGGGTTGTACTTGAGAAGGTCCAGTGTACGCACCGAGCTTCTCGTTGATACGTTTCTGAATCTCCTTGATATCATCATCGACAGCCTTCAGAGGTCCTGCGTACGGTCCTTGACCCTGCTCTGACTGTCAGATATCATCTCGGGGGAATAGCATGACACACACGTATGTCTTCAAGATCTGGATGTCGCTATCATCGAGCGCAACTATGGGCTTCTCGTCCTTCTCATCGGCCTTCTTCTCGTCTAAGCATCGGTCAGCGTGAGGCCAACGCACTCCCCATCGACGTACATTTCTCCCAATCACTGCAGATAAGTTAGCGCGCGTACATTCTCCATCGCAAGAACTCACGCTTTAGGCGGCATGGTGGTCGGTGTCAAGGTACAATACAGGTCGCGGTCGACTGACGCGTCGAGCAGTACGCTGGACGCGTCACCTCGGCAAGTTCCGCGACGCCACATATTGCTCACCTCGCGTGCCTCGGCGCGCGCGACGTCGCTGACGCTCTCATCAACGACGATAACGAACAATGGCCGGCGCGCTGCAGAACGCCAAGCGGGATCTCCCCAAGATCAGGGATGAGGAGCACGAGAGCAGGTTCGGCCAGGTCTTTGGCGTGTCCGGCCCCGTCGTCATTGCCGAAAACATGATTGGCGCTGCTATGTACGAGTTGGTGCGCGTTGGCCACGATGAGCTCGTAGGAGGTGGGTGAGAGAAATACGAAATGCTTTTGGTATCTGATTTACGTGCAGAGGTCATCCGTATTGAAGGGGACAAGGCGACAATCCAGGTCTACGAGGAGACATCCGGTGTCACCGTAGGCGACCCGGTGCTGAGAACAGGGAAGCCGCTCAGTGTCGAGCTTGGTCCTGGTATGAGATGGTATCCTATTTTGCCGACAACGACTTACGCTCTCCAGGTCTTATGGGGAACATCGTGGATGGAATTCAGCGTCCGTTACGAGTGAGCGAAAGCTGTATCAGGTCTGCAGCCCCATCCTGACTCCACTGCAGTCTATCCAAGAGCTGTCCAAATCCATCTATATTCCCCGTGGTATTAACACCGACGCACTCGACCGCTCGCTTTCCTGGGACTTCACCCCGACGACTTACAAGGTAGGTCATACCAATGTCATATATGGCCCCCTCTTATAAGCGCCAGGTTGGCGATCACATCACGGGAGGCGATATCTATGGTGGTGTATACGAGAACTCGCTCGTCAACAACCACAAGATCATGCTTCCGCCACGCGCACTCGGTACCATCACGCACATCGCGGAGAAGGGCAGCTACAAGGTCGATGTAAGCAGCTCCTAATATTTTGCCCGCGGCAGCGATGCTCACGTACTATATAGGACGTCGTTCTCGAGACTGAATTCGACGGCAAGACCACGAAGCACACGCTCATGCAGCTATGGCCCGTCCGCGCGCCGCGTCCTGTCGCGGAGAAGCAGACTGCCGATCATCCTTTGCTCACTGGCCAGCGTATCCTCGACGCTCTCTTCCCGTGCGTTGCAGAATTCTGTTCGCATCGCATGTACTCACGCGAAGCAGTTGCGTACAGGGCGGTACGACCGCCATTCCGGGCGCCTTTGGCTGTGGCAAGACAGTCATCTCGCAAGCTCTGTCCAAATTCTCGAACAGCGACATCATTGTCTACGTGGGATGTGGTGAGCGCGGTAACGAGGTGCGTGATTCGGGCCCAACATACGACGCAGCACTGACGGATCGTGTAGATGGCTGAAGTCTTGATGGAGTTCCCTGAGCTCACGATGGAGGTCGGCGACCGCCAGGAGCCCATCATGAAGCGCACTACCCTCGTCGCCAACACGTCCAACATGCCTGTCGCCGCGCGTGAAGCGTCCATCTACACTGGTATCACGCTGTCCGAGTACTTCCGTGATCAGGGTTCCAACGTCGCGATGATGGCCGACTCGACGTCTCGCTGGGCTGAGGCGCTGCGTGAAATTTCTGGTCGTCTTGCAGAGATGCCGGCCGACTCTGGCTACCCTGCTTACCTCGGTACGAAGCTCGCGAGTTTCTACGAGCGTGCAGGCAAAGTCACGACTTTGGGCAACCCCAGCCGCCAGGGTACGGTGTCGATTGTCGGCGCGTGAGTGATCTACCCATCAGTGAACGACTTTCTTGCTTACAGGAGACATAGTGTCTCCCCTCCTGGTGGTGATTTCTCCGATCCCGTCACTGCGTCCACCCTCGGTATCGTGCAGGTCTTCTGGGGTCTCGACAAGAAGCTCGCGCAGCGCAAGCACTTCCCCTCCGTCAACTGGTCCGTCTCGTACTCCAAGTACACCAAGGTCCTCGAGCCGTACTACGAGTCCACCGAGCCTGGCTTCGTCGAGCTCCGCACCAAGACGAAGGAGATCCTGCAGAAGGAGGAGGACCTCGCCGAGATCGTGCAGCTCGTCGGCAAGTCCGCGCTCGGCGAGGCCGATAAGATCACACTCGAGGTTGCGCGCATGTTGAAGGACGACTTCTTGCAGCAGAACGGCATGAGCGAGTACGATCGCTACTGCCCCTTCTACAAGACGAGCGCGATGTTGCGGAACTTCGTCGGGTTCCACGACGCGGCGGTGAAGGCGACGGCGCAGAACGACCTCACGTTCGCGAAGATCAAGGACAGCACGAGCGATGTGATGTTCAAGCTCTCGCAGATGAAGTTCGAGGTGAGCACATCCCCTCGCCCTTCTCTTTTGTGCCTCCGCTGACGCTTCTTCCAGTCCCCGTCACAGGGCAAGGAGCCCATCAAGCAGAAGCTCGATGCGCTGTACACCGAAATCCAGGACCGCTTCCGCCAGATCGTCGAGTAAATAATTCAAATGCGCGACCGCTTGCCAAAGCGCGGGGAAGGCTCTTCCCGCGAATGCGATGGATAATTCGCGCTCGCGGTTCGAGGATGCCCGCCGCGTATGTTATATCCTGGACGCTTTAGCAGTAGTCTTTCTTCCATCTGGCAGGTTTCTCTGTATCCTCAATATCGTTATGCGCTCATGCCTGGAATACCATGAATTTCATGAAACTTTGAAAGTCCCGTCCGAGCTCTGGCACCAATGCCGATGGGGATATCATTACCCGGACAATCGTCCAAAACGGAAGTCTTTGTCCCTCATGCTAACACGTGTTCTCTGATAGACTTGTCCACCTTGGCGTAGCGGACTTTTTGAACGCTCGTGAAGAGCAGCGTACATCCATGGTCTGTTGAATATTGTCCATGAATATGACTACTGCTCGTCATAGATAGGAATAAGTAAGGGGGTTCTAATGATTGAAAATACAGAGTGGTACTATAGGATACATAAAAAGTGACGGAAACCGAGCCAACAAATAGAGAGATGAACATTGCATGTACACGAGAGCAGATAAGTATTGAGCGCAGCGCGAGCGATACAGGTGCTAAACAATACATTATGGAACACGCTAAGACCAGGTAACGACCCATGTAGAACTGATTCCAAGACAGTAGCTAGCCACCCCACGACCCGTCGAACTGGGGCGGAGCCCAGGTGCTGATAGGCGGTAGGGCAGGGTACGAGCCGTACTGTGCATGCGAAGAGCCGACGGTAGATGCATGCTTGCTTTCTCCGCGAAACGCCGGCACCATCCCTTGAGTCATGGGCATCCACGGGTAAGGCGCGGACTCGTAATCCGGCGCGTACACCTGAGCAGGGCCCGGCTCGTACACCTGCACATGCCCCGTCTCGAACGTCGGCGCCACCGACGCCGGCGACGCAGACGACGCCTGAGACGCGGGCGAGGCGCTCAACCCGGGCGTCTCTGGGCTCGGAGCAGCTGGTCCGCTGAGGAAGGGCGCAGGGCCGCTTGGGAAGGGCGCGTGAGGATAGCAATCCACACTTGCCCTCGCACGAGGTCCCAGCATGGCTGCCGAATTGAGCGCAGATGCCGAGCAGAGCACGCCTGCCGAGCAGCCTGACTCTGACTCAAGCAGAGTCCGCTCTCGCCCCGCAGTCGCGGGCTCGCTCCCCGCACCCACCGCAGTGCCAGCAGTCACAGACCCCTTCCCAACCCACAGCCGCCAATCGAGCGCCTCGCCAAGCGCGCGCTCGCACCTCCCGACCTCGCGTGGCGGCAGCCCCGCAATCTTCGCCCACGCCCGGTTCGAATAGCATTTCTCCAAAATGAACTTGTGCGCGAGGACGAGCGCGGCGAGGAACGTGCGGCGCGGGCAGAGGAGGGGGGAGGGGGCGGCCGCGGCGGGGTCCTGCAGGTCGCCGATAGATGCAGCTTTGCGCAGCGAGTGCGTGGATTCTGCCGGTGCACTGCCTGGAATAGATGACGCGAGAGGGCGAGTTGGGGACGGGACATAGCAGCCAAGACTGAGAGAGCCCATGTCGAGTTGCGAGATGTTGGCGATGGTGAGCTGGGGCCGCAGGGGTTTAGCGGGACGAGCGCCCCGCGCGGTGCGCTCCGCCTCGAGCGCGGCGAGCCCCGGCAGTTTGCCGCGCACGCCCTCAATGTAGCACATCGCCGACTGCAGCACGCCCGAGGTCGTGCGCGACCGGCGCAATATGTGATACACGAAGTTGCGTATCGGCATGAGTGTGGCGTCGCCGCCAGTCTGGGGCTGCGCGGTCCGACAGGATCCCGTCGACGTCGGCGAGGAGGTGATGGGGCGAACCGTGTATGGTTCCCATATTTCGGTGAGGAGATGGACGACTTGTTCTGTAAGAGTACGTCAGCGTTAGTATCGTGCCATTGGTCAATAAGGAAGTACACGGCTTACCTATCATATTGCGGTCCTGAGAATGCGAGGATGAGCGTTGTGAGGTAGATCTGGCTTGGTCGAGAGCATGACAGGTGGTACGACCTCTGGGCGGTGTCGTGTTTGTGCCCGAGGCGGATGTCTGAGATGCCTGTTGTTCTGGAGATGGTGTAGAGCGCGCCGGGGAGTATGGCTGCCAGCGAGATGCAGCACGGGCGACCCGGGCAGGAGATGAGCGTAGAGTAGTTTGCATATTGTGTTGTCCTGGAGAAATAGCGAAACGGGAGACGGAGGAGGAGAAAAATAATTTAGTTGGTGAAGACATCGCCATCGGCGCCGCAAGAAATGATGATAGAATCCGATTCCTGAGAGTACAAGAGAGCAGAGGATGCAGAGCAAATCGAGGGCTGGGGGGATACGGCGAAGCTAGGACTATATGTAGTCATGTTTGCCGCAAAGAAGCGCTCCGTCGCTGTGCGAAAGCGATGGTGCAGGGGGCGCCACCATGGCCACCGAGCGCCGCCTTTATAGCTCCGGAGGTGGCGGTTCGAGTCAGGCCGGATCACAATCGGCCGAGTTGCCGATCAGGCTGTGACTCGGCAACGGCCGAGCTTGACTCAGGCGCCCACCTATCAATCGCCAGTGTACCTAGCCCTGCCGTGCGTATCGCGCCATGCAACTGGAGTGAGAATATCAGCCTGACTCCGATGCGCAGATGGAGGGACAATGGCGGGATGCGAGATGAGCAAGGATGGCGGACGCCGTCCAAGGAGGCGCGGTGGCAGTGGTGCGTTACGCGGCACCGACGAGATCCGGAAAATGAACCGGAACCGGTGAGACCGACGCGCGTACTGCTTACTGCTTGCTGACTATTGAGAGGATGAAGCTTGTAGCTTGAGGACAGGGTGAAGGGTGCACCTACTATGTGGCGGGACCCTACCATGATTTCTACAGTAAGCGCTAAGCGATGCCTATGAAGATGATCACTGACTCAGAGTGGTCTTCCACAACTTCTTCGGTGCGGCGTACTGAATGGCGGCAGTCCGATGTGTGTACGACGCGGATGGATCCTGTAGAAAGTTTGCATACAATCAGCCGCGTGCTATGGGGAGGCGTGGAGCCGTACTCACTTCGCTAAATAGACTCGGAGAGGATGGATCCGTAGAATGGCAGTGCTACCACCACCGAACAACGGAAAGCCGTGCTCGCCAAGACATGTGCGACGATGCGCTCGGACGACGGATATCGACCATTTTCGCTCGGAAGAGGCCTGATTTGTGTCACCTTGCGCAACTTGCGGTCAACCGTCACAGCCTGATGTCCTAGGGCTGCTAGATGAATACGCGTAGCATGCAAAATGGCGGCAAGGGCATGCGATAATCGCGAGGCAATTCTATTGCACTAGTACTGTATCACGCAGACACATCTGGCATGCAAGTTAGTCTCGACGCTAAACATGAGATGCCGCAAATCAAGCATTTAGACTCACGAGTGGAGGGTTATTGTGGCATGTCTGGCGCGGACAGACCGTGCCGCTGCAGTACCTCAGAGTCATTGTCTGCATCCTCTCGTTCCTCCACCGACGTCACGTTTGCATTGCCGAGATGCGCCGCCGCCTACACGCACGTCCCTTACTCATGGTGTGCATCGGCGTCCATGCAACCCGGTGCTCAATAACAGCAAGAGGGCGGCGCCGAAGAGACACGAGCTACAAGAGTATTCCCGGAGCAGTAAGACCGGTGAGCTTACCGCGTCAACGTCGCAGGTGCCCGCATGAACGCCGACTGACGAAGCCCGGCGCCGGAAAGTCGCCCTGTCGGGTACGGGCTAGGCGGTGATGGCTTGAACGAGACGGAAACGATGCGCGTCCGAGCATTTGCAGAATGAACTTGGGTCAGAAGCGTTCAGGAAGTCTCTCATGTCATGATCAGCGTGCCCATAGCCGACGATGATGGTGAGTACGAAGGAGATGTGTTGCTGTTGGCCACTGTTGACGATTGTGTATCTCGACCGGGATATCCCGGGCAGGCCCGAACTTCGGACCTCATCCCACCTCGAGAAGTAGACCTACACAGACGTTGTTCCTGCTCGTCTACCCATGTCAAGCTCAGGTTCTATATACACGTCTTGCCCTTGATCTCTCCCATCTATGTTCAATCACAAGAAACCATTCCAAACATCCTGCTCGTTCAAGACTTCAAGTGAACCAAGTCCAACCTGCCCTCGCCTGCTCTCCCTCTGAAATGACCTCTCGTACCTTCCGACATCGCGGGCGCAGCCCCGCTAGCCACCCGCGCAGCTCCCGCCATCACGCACATAATTGAGCAGCGTACGCTCGGCGTTGCGCAGCATACAGCGGACCTCGACGACTGCGGACAAAGGCACGCCTATATAGTGTGAAGCACCGTGACCAGGTCCCGTTCTCGCCCCTTGCTCGCTCCCTTCTCACCATGCGAGGACGCTACGTCCTCTCGATACTTTGTGCGGCGGCGGCGCTCGCTCGTGCGGCGCCCTCGCCTGACTTTATTGGCCGCGAGGAAGCGCCTCAAAGTCCTTCCCGTCGTGACGCGCAGATACCCTTCGACTTTGATCACGCAGGCGGCACAGAGGACTCGTTTGAGGTCACGGATGGCCCTCGTTATCCTCCTCACGAGAGCAGGACGATCTATCAGATCGTATCTGACAGCCTGGAGTATGTATACATCATTAGTGGCATGATGCTAATGACGATGACTGACGATCACTCAGATTCTCAAAGTTCGCGAAGGCGGTCGACTTCGTTGACGACGTTGTTGCTTATCTAAACGATTCCACCGCAGAGTGAGTGTCTAGTACTGAACTCGCTCAGCACCTATCATGACCATTGTCCTCAGTCTGACGTTCTTCGTGGCACCGGACTACGACCACGATCACCTTGCCACGCGGCACGAGTTCTACGGCATCGTCGCGGCCATCGAGGGCCTGACGAATCGTGTCGTCGCAGAGGATTCAGTACGCCGAGCTGTCGCGTCCCTACTCGAATACCACACGATACCCGAGCGCCTGAAAATCCACGATGCGCCTGCAACTGCATCATACCCGACACGGCTCGCCATGTCCAGCTCCGAAGACATGCGACAGCGCCTCAAAATCGAGCAGCGCAAGCACCGCCGCGTGGCCGTCAATGGTCGTAGAATCATACGGGAGCCCATCCGTGCATCGAATGGTCAGCGACTTTCCTATCTTTGTACATAAATTCAGCTAACGCCCGCCGCAGGAGTTATCTACGTACTCGATCTGCCTTTGAGCACTCCGGGCTCTGTATACCAAGCGCTTCTGGACAGCTCAGCTTCGACCATGGTTAGCCATCTTATGATAAGTCTCTATACAGACCCCTGACTCCCCGCTAGCTCTCCGCCATCAAGCACGCAGGACTATCCGAGCTATTCGAGTCAACCTCGTTGATGACCGTATTCGCTCCAGACGACCGCGCATTCGACCACCTCCCCGAAGACCTGCGCGCCTATCTCTTCTCGGAGGCTGGCAAACCCGCGCTGAAGAAGCTGCTGGAGTACCACGTCGCTCCTAACGTCCTCTTCTACACAGGTTTGTCGACGCATACCGCGCTACCTCGCCCTAATTACTGACACTCGGCCCCTAGACTACGTGCATGGCCTCGCCTTCGATGCCATGAGCCTTCGAAGGCCTGAGCATGATTTCGTCGAAACCGAGGATGACCTCGTCGACACCGAGGACATGGCTTCAGACCTCATCAATGACGAGTCGCGCGTAGAAGAGATATACATCATCATCCAGGTCGAGCAGGACTTTGCGCTGCAGGATGGGTTCCCCGCGGACCACCCCCATAGTCCAAGGGACACCCATCCCTATGGACATCATGATCACCACCCCGAGAATCGCCAGGAGAACGCTCGCTCGCCGCGCCGTGGTGGCAATCGCAAGCCTCGGGACCGTCGAGCGCCCGTTTTCCGCAAGGAGGAAGGTAGGGGCGAGAGGAAGGGTCGCGAGCCTCGCCCGCGTCATGAATGGGAAGGCGACCACCCGCCGCCGCCTCCACGCTTTGACGGACCGTGCCCTTTCCGCGGGGACCACCCACCGCCGCCGCCGCCGTTCCGTGGTGACAGCCCTCGGGAAGACCGTGATGACGGCTCTCGGGAAGACCGTGGCGATGGGCCTCGGGAAGACCATGAAGATCACTTCGACGAGTACCCACCGCGTCCGGAGCAATTGATGCGCGGTCCTCCTTCCGAGGATGACGCCCGCGTGCCACCTTCCGAGTACGGCGATCGCTTGCCACCACCTCCTCCGCCTCCGCGCCGCGGTCCTCACCCGCCGCCCCCACCGCCGGACTGCGACCGTCATCATCCCCGGCCTCCCTGCCGCGGCGACCATCCCCCTCCCCCTCCTCCCCCCTTCTATGGCGACCATCCGGGCCCGCATCACGACGAGGACAACCGCCGCCCGCCGCCTCCCTCGCACGGACCGCTACCGCCATTCTGCGGCCCACTACCGCCGCCGCCGCCGCCCCCACACCACCCCGATGAGCACCATCGTGCACACCACCGTCCTCCACCTCCACCGCCCCCACCGCGCGGTCCTCCCCACTTCCCCAAACCCTCGCCCGACGCCCTCATTTCCACCCTAGACGCCCAAGTGCCCACGCTAGCAGGCGCGCCTCTTTATGCCCGCGTCGAGCGCTTTGCTCTGCCTCATCCTCCCTTCCCTCGTGGCCCAGGGAGACAGGCGCACGACGAGCGGTACCCTGAGAGGAAGGCTTCTCGCGGCCCGTCGAGAAAGGCGCACGACAAGCCACCGCGCACCATCTCCCGTCTCACCGTCGACGGCGTCCACGTCCTCACATCCGACAGCGTCACCGCGAACGGCCCCATGCATGTTTTGTCGCGCGTGCTTTGTCCTCGACAGCGGGGTGCAGAGAACTTGGAGCAGACGATGGTGGATGAGCATGTGGATCCATGGGCGGATTGGGAGGACTGGCTGCCCCAGTGGGCGGAGGAGTCCTAGGCGCGTTGTTCTTAATACCAGTATCCATGTACCAGATAGCGTTGTAGAGTTCGAACGACCGGAATGTGTTCCACTATGTGATCTTGATGCGTGTCCGAGATATGAGCTCGAAGCTCTCGCCTGCTCTGTGCTCAAAGGACTAGTCAGGCCGTAAGAGCCTCAATTTCTAGGCCGGAAACTGGGACATGAACGGGTAATTCTGGTTACGCGTCGACCTCATCCTTCCCAACCTCCCCCTCACTGTCCGCCTCTCCCGACTTTACCTCTGCCGCTCCCGTCTTTTCCTCAGCCTTTCCCGCCTCTGACTCTACCTTTCCGGCCTCCCCCTCCCCCTCCCCCTCCTTCTCCGCCTTCGCCGCTGCCTTCAACCCCTTATAGTACGCGATCTTCTTCAACCTATCCTCCCTCCCAATCAACCGCTTATGCGACCGCGTCCGCACATGCACGTCCCACTCGCTCTCGTCAATCATGACCGGCTTGTCGGTGTCGATGGAGCAGACAGTGCATGTCCGCTTTCGGCGTGCTTCGAGGACGGCGGTAGGGCTGGAGGGTGGGAGTCAGGCAACGCGAGCGTGACAAAGAGGACAAGGAGGATAGGAAAGGCGGGGAGCGAGGAGCAAGGAGGAAAAACTCACCTGAGTGCCTTACGGCCTTTGGATAGAACACTCCGAGCTGTCTCTGATAACGAGACTGGGTCGCGCATGGGACGATTTTCAAGGAAGTCTGCGATGGCGTTAGCGAATGATGAATTGCCCAATACGCAGGACAGGGCGTACCATCCGTCACTTCCAGCCCTTTACTTCTTACTTCCTCATCCCAACGATGCAGATCTGGAGCGAACATTCCGTTAGCGGTCACTCCCTCCTCGTTCACTTGCCCGCTCGCCTGTCGCGTCCAGCAAATACAACTGTGCCTTATGCTCGCTCTGGTCCGACCCCTCCACCACCGGCCGCAGCTGGTTTCGTATCCACTGCACCTGGCGCTTCGCATACTGTCTCGTCGACGTCTTCATGTCGTCCACCGCCTTTGCGAAGTCCTCGGACGTAGCGTGCGGGTTGGTAAGGTAGGCATAAAATTCTCGGTATCCTGTCGTAGCAGTTAGGGGCATGTATGAGGGAATAGAAGGTGTACTCTTTCATGACACGGGGACATTCATAAGAACAGGAGGAGTAAACTCGCATACCGATCGACTGATATATTCCCTGCGTGAAGTCGACGTCCTCAGGTTGAGGCTTGCCAGCGTTGTCGTTGGATATATCTATGAGAGCGCGAACTTCGTCTAGCAGACCTTGCTTGAAACCAAGTTAGCCGCGAGTCGGGGCGGGTCGAGACATATGTACTTCTAGCATCGCATCCACTCTACTATCTAGCCGAGGCTTCAGAACCTCGGGGTCGGAATACAGCCAAAAGCATAGCGAGTCGTATCTGGATGAAGCTCAGCTCAACCCAAAGGACGTCGTCGAAGCAAGCTACCGTGGCTTCGGCACGACCTTCGACTGCTCGTCAAAAATATCGCTCGGGCGCTTCCCAGTGTCCTTGATGATGTTTAAACACCGGATGACCTTGCGAGTATCCTTCCAGTGCCACCGAGCCGCAACGACAGGGTCCAGCGCAGTCAATAGGTTGTGCATGTGAAGTCCAGCGCCAGCAGAATAGACTAGCGTCGCCTCTTGTGGTAAGTAGTTCCAGAGGTCTAGCAGATGTGGAGGTAGCGTGTCAAGAGCTTGCTGAACCTCAAGAGACATGCGAACAGCGGGCGGAGACGAAGAGACCTCTTCGCCAGCTAATCGGCCAGGGAAGAGCAGGTGCTGTATCCAGTATGAGGTACCGCCGACAACAATGGGTATCTCGCGTCGTTTATGCATATCATCGATCTATGGGACCTGCCTTTTCAGCCTAAAAGACGCTTGAATTTGTGGCACAAGGTACTGACGAGGTCCATGGCGGCCTGCACCCACTGGCCGACAATGTATTGTTCTCCTGGGCGCTTAAAGTCCATGAGGAGGTGTTCTACTCCCTCTCTCTCATGTAAGGGAACTTTATTCGTGAGAACGTCCAGACCAGCATAGACCTGCATCGAGTCTGCGTTGATGACTTTCGCGCTCTGCCATGGCGCCTGCCCCCGCGGATACTGCGAGAGCGCCCGCGCGAGTTCAATCGCCAATTTCGACTTCCCTACTCCAGTCGTGCCATAGATCGCGATGAGCGGGCGGAAGGACGACATGAACATGAACGAGGGGTGAAAGCAAGCGGCAACAAATTATCGTCACGCGTTGTTCATCCTTTTTCGGCAGGTGCACGTGTTTCGCCTTTTGCTTTCCTCCCCCTCAGCTCCCCGCCGCTGCTGCACTGCGTCGCCGTCGCGGACGACGACTCCCAATTTTTGATAAATACAAAGCAGGACGTAGGGTCCTCTGCGCAGCGAACAGATATCCAAGATGAAGCTCGTCAGGTGCGTTCCCCTGTGGTCTTGTACTGATCATGGATTGACCTCGCGCGTCTGCAGATTTCTTATGAAGCTCAACAATGAGACGGTGTCCATCGAGTTGAAGAACGGGAGTGTGGTGCACGGCACTATCACTGGTGCGTATATTGTTCTGCTGCATCCATCCCTCACTGATGAACGCGATCTTTGCACCCTCCCTCTGCGCGCCTCTATTTGCCCGCCGATCTTGTATTTTCCAGGCGTGGACATGCAAATGAACACCCACTTGAAGACAGTCAAGATGACCACCCGCAATCGTGACCCGACACACCTTGATTCGTTGAGCTTACGGGGGAACACGATCCGGTGCGTTCAGCTGCTGGTCTTGTTGGTCCTTATTGCCTAACGCGTCCGCAGATACTTCATACTTCCCGACGCACTCCCTCTCGATACTCTGCTTGTCGATGACGCGCCCAAGCCAAAAGGAAAGCGCAAGGAGGATGCCGCGCGTGGACGCGGACGTGGACGGGGACGTGGGATGGACAGAGGACGTGGTCGCGGCCGTGGCCGTGGACGAGGCTTCTAGTCGAAGCAACTCAATCACCGGGAAAAACGGCCAGGGAACATCACCGCCACTGGCCTTGGAGCGACCCCACGACCTGCAGAGAGCATGGGAATTGGCACCGTCATGCGAATGTGACGCGTCTTTCTGTTGTTGTTTCTCTCTTCTTCTTGATGTCATCAGTATCTTACACTTGTACAATTGCTATCGCATGAACGCACGCTTGCCCGTCTTGCCTCCCGCCGCCGCGCAGTGCCCCGCCAATTGCAGCCCCAGAGTCGGGCGTCGGCGACGACAGGACATAAAGTGAGACTATTCCAGCCCGTTCCACCAAATTCCGCAGTGCGGAGAAGAATTCTGTACATGTGGCAGTGCCCGTGCGCGTACAAAAAGTCAGCTGGGGACCGACGACGAGCCCTGCTATGCCAGATCTCCCCAACGCGCAGCTTACCCCATTTCACGGTGGAGGTGGAGACCACCGCGGCCAAAAATCAGCGTCTCCAGAGACCACCCGAGGATCGCAGAACCCATCCCCTACCCTCTCGGAGGAAATCTATGATCTTATCATCGGCTACCTCTTCGACGACCCAACGAGCCTGCGGGCATGCTCGCTCGTCTCGAGGGCGTTCGCAAAGACCTCACAAAAATTCCTCTTCCGAATGGTCACCCTCAAGCCGCTGGAAGTATCCAGCGTGCAGGCAGACTCGAACCGGATGAACCCCTGCCAGCTCTTCCACCGCCTACTCGAGGGGAGCCCGCACCTCGCCGCCTACGTGCAGGACCTGACCATAGAAGAAGGCCAGGATGACCCCGCGTCCGTCCGCGATATCCCCGACGACATGCTCCCCTTCATGGGAATCAAGGAGCTCGCCTGGGTGACGAAGGAGCGCACGCTTCCCCTCGTCCTCGGCGCGCTCAAGAACCTCAAGTCCCTCTCCTTCGGCCGCTTCATCGACTGGAACATCCTCTCCGTGTCCCTGCGGCGCGCGCTTCTCGTCGCGGCCCCCTCGCTCGAGTACCTCGAGCTGCGCAAGGTGCGCAATTGGGACCTCCGCCTCATGGCCGCCTTTCACTCGCTCAAGACGTGGAAGCTGTGGTTTACGTCCTTCGGCTCCATGGACGACAGCGACCCCGAGGGCCAGGACGAGCACATGGCCGCGCACCCGAACGACCCGCCCGAGTCGAATATATCGGGCACCTCAAGCGGCGCGCCGTCCGCGGACGGCGTCCCCGCAGGTCCGCGCCTCAACACGCTCCACTTCTACCTGCAGGCGGAGGAAGTGCTCAAGCTCGTCAGCTACCTCGTTGACGAAAACTGCCCCGTTAAGCTCAGCGAGCTTCGGGAGCTGCTCGCCAACAGCAACCACGAGCTAGATGAATACCGCACGGCGCAGCTCCTGCAGCTGTGCGTGAGCTCGCTCGAGCGCTTCAACATGACGCCGCCCTGGTTCTGTGAGTTGCCTCCTTACTTCGCCCCTATCTGCGAAATTGTAACTGACATGCCCCCCTAGCGCCCCACGACGGCTCGTATCCTATCGACCTCAGCCGCCACCCGCGCCTGCAGTCGCTCACGCTCGACCTCTCGATCAACCACACCGACACCGCGCGCAACCACGATCCCTTCGAGCAGTTACGCGGCCTCTTGCAGCCCCTGCACGTCTCTGAGACGCTCCAGGAGATCGCCTTTCAAACCACGATCGCGATCCGCGACTACAGCGATCTCGACGGCTTCCGCGCCGTCGACGGGTTGCTTGCGCGCATCGACCCCCTCCAGCAGGTCCGCCTCACCTTCCAGGTGATGGTCTGCCCGTCCGACCTCGAGGCGTTCAAGGAAGCCGTCATTGAGCGCATGCCTCTGCTGAGAGACAAGGGCATTCTGACCGTCGAAGCAGAGAGTGAGTGAACGTTCTTCAAGTCCACATCACATCGCTCATCATTATTTCAGTGTCAGGGTAAGAGAGCGAAGTCTCGATTTTGTGGCCACGTTCGCTTGCCTGTCGGGTTCGCAACGTGAGGGGACGCCTATCACAGGCTTTCCCCAACTCCAACCTTGAAGCAGGAAATGCCAGCGGCTCTGCGCGCCCCACTGCTCGCGCGCGCAAAGCATCCTCCTCGAACCGTCGACCGTCAACATACACGATGCACGCGCACGCGGCGTCTTCGGGGACCGCTTGGCCGGTCGGGAGACCAGTTATTCATCACTATCGCGGGACGGCAGGATATCCGTTCCCGCTCGAGCTAGATGTTCGATTCAACCAAACTCATCGCAAATGTAACGCCAAAAACACCCCATCCTACCTATCCTCGGACTCTGTAGAACATCCACATGTAGCTTACTATACACGCGAGCACAACCCGGGACTTCTGTCGATAGAGCTGTCTTGCAATGTCAAAACCTCCACTCGTTCAGACACTTTTTGGCCACGGTCATCGCATGGTCAGTGTAGACAACCTAGACACATACACGATCTAAAATGCATGGGCGATTACAAGTATCCTGCTGTGTGTACTCATACGCATAAATATGCTTGCAAGGAAAGCGTATAGCGCTATTGGAGGGAACATGTCCATCATGATCAGACCCATACTTATGCATAGACCCATCCGCCTCAACGGCTGGGCGCCTCGACGGCAGGCTGAGATACTGGCGGCGCAGTCACAATCGAAGCTGAAGCGTTCAGGCTCGTCAACCGCGGCAACCGAATCTTCAGCGACGGCGTCGGCGGGGCGGAGGGCGTCGCCTTCGCATCCGCCGACGCTGCGCCCGAGACCGGGCGCGAAGCCTTCTTCTCCTTCGCGCTCACAGGCCGCGCCTCCTTCGCCTTCTGGACGCCCGGGCTCGCCTTGGACCGCCACCCAATGTGAGCGCCGTCCTCATCCGTCCGCTCCTTCCGCTTTCGGGCACCCCGCGTCTTCTTCTCGTCCTGCGCACCCTGCGTCGGCGCGGGCGCGGTCGCCGATGGGGCGACCGCTCCATTGGAACCAGCGACGTGTCCGTTCACCTATTGACACAAGGTCTGTAAGCCAATCACGGGTGTTTATCTGTGGCGCGCCCTACCTGACGTGGTCCAGAGCCTGCCGGTGCAGGTACAGCGGCCTGGTAGAGCGTTCAATGCGATGGTCTAAACAGCGACCAAGGTTTCTTACCGGTTGGGCAGAGGCCTTCTGCCGGGCCGTGATCGCAGTGGCAGAGATAGACTCCACAGTGATGTCCGGCTTGCGGTCTTGGAGCTGCGCCATTCATGAGGATACCGTTATGGAGCCGTGAGGATGACCACGTACATCTTCCAAGGAGGACAGGCTCGACAGAGACGAGTCGGGGTCTTTCTCCTTCGCTGGAACCGACTTTCTGCGCAGCTCTCTCGTGCTCGGTGGTACAGATAAAGGTGTCGGTTTCTTGCGTTTGCGGACGCCGGTTGCATTCTGCACCTCCTTCACCTCGTTCGAGTAGCCTATGATGCGTGGTGCGGTGCCCTACAATAGATGTTAGACAGAAATCTCGACACATGCACAGAAACCGCACATTGGCTACTGCCACGGGTGCAGGCAAAGGTTGAGGATGGAAGACGATGTCCTGGTTTGCTTGAGGAACTACGGGTTTCGGCGCTTGTTGGCGCTGCTTCCCTTGACTCTTCGCGGAGCGTCCTCTGGCGCTTGACTCTTTTGGCACAGGCGCGGGAGGCGGGACGGGTGGGTAAGCAGCAGGCATAAGTGGCGGTATCAATGAAGGCCATGGCGTGAATGCAGGAGGTGAGGGGTTGGGGCCCCACGGAGTGAAAGACGGGTATGCCTGAGGCCCCTGTTGACCCGGCGGTTGAGCAGCAGGTGGTGGGGCGGGAGGGGGTGGCTGAGCAGACGACACGGACAACTGCGGCATGCTGGAAAGCAGCTACAGTAGGGTCAGAGATTCGTTCCAATCGACAGGTCCGTGCATCGTACCTGCGCAAATTGTTCCAGCTCGTCCCTTCTGCTAGGTTGTGGAGGCGGACTACAGGCGACTGAATGATCCTTAATCTCTTCACTGAGCGCAGAGCAAGATGTGAGAGGAGACGAGGAATCCAAGTGAGGATCATCTCTGCTAATGATCAGCGAAAAAACGTGAACAACATGCGTAACACGCACCTCGGAGGATTGGTCGCCACTTTGTTCCAAAAGTCGAGGACGATGACCTTTTCTGGCACTCGATATCTCCTGCCGTTGATCGTGAGCTCGTCTACGTCCATCTTGTTAGACTGTTGGCTCGTATTGCGCTCCATGGGCACGATCTCGATATTCCCGTTGTTGAACTGTCCTGTGTGCAGGATCTCCTCGTCTTTGGCGTCCTTGGGTATCCGGTTCTTAGGCCTCTGGACTTATATATTAGAGGCGAAGAAGCAGCATGACACATGGACGTACCACAATTCTATCTGCGTGGTTCGGGCACTTCCATTTCTTCGACAACGGTGGCATGGCCTCCGGCGGGTCAAGACAGTCTAAATGCCAGTGGGAGGAGCAGAAGTCGCACGATACGATGCTCTTCCATCGCGCCTGTTGCGAGACTGCAGAGGCAGAGGAAGGTTGCTCAGGCGCATCAGCGCGGTTGACGGTGCCGTCGGGCAATGCGGACAATCCACAAGCGTAGCAAAGAACAGGATTTCCGTTCCGATCGCGCAGTCGATATGGATCTCGTTCTTCCAGCTGGCCCTGCCGACTGCAATGGCTTAGAATGGGTGTTTTTCTGGGTGAAATGGAACGCACTTGGGACGATGTGGCTTGACCGACGTGGTCTCCAGATACATGCCTCTCGGGCCCGTCGTCACTGGATAGGGACTCTTGAGCGCTGGCATCGCAAGACATCTATCGAGCTCACCGTCTTTGAAGTAGGTTCGAATGCTCTCCGGGAGTTGAAACTCAGTGGCGTTGCTCGACTCGACAAGGTCGATAATCGATGACAGCATATGCGGGGGTGATTTACGTGGTGGGTTCTGGGAACGTGTCACGGCCTCGAAGACGAGCGGCGAGACGGCCACGCACCATCTTCGCCGTACAAGATACGCAGAACCAGCGCTCTTCGTCTATCGAGGATTTCGGCGGATCGAGACAGGATATGTGGAATGCGCGGGGACAGCCGTCGCAGTATACGAAGGAGGCCCCGCCCGAGGTTTGACCGGAATGGCACGAAGAGCAGTAGTCCTCGTTCCGATGCTACAGGCAGGCGTGAGTGAGGGTGGCGGACATGAGGGACTGTGACCGCACCGCGTGCACCGGAGGCTCGGGCGACACCGTTTTCGACTCCTCTTTCACAGCATGGCTCGTGTCCCGGTCCTTGCCCTTGCCCTTGGGCCGGCCCTTCGGGCGCGCGGGCGCGCTGGCAGAGGCGTCCGCGGCGGGCGCTTCGACGGAATGTGATCGTGACGGTTGCGAGGCGTCGGCCGCGATGGCTTCGAGCTCCGCAGGGGCGATCGGCTGGGTCATGGGCTCCTCCGGCGGATTTTCGTCAATGGGTCGGGGAGCGGCGGTGAGGTGACGAGCAGAGGCACGCTGGGCACGGGTAGAGGACCTGGAGACGTGACGGATGCGGCAGACACCGTAACGGGAGGGAGCAAGCCGCACACACGTAGGTGGACCGGTCGACGTAGTCGGAGGAATCAGGACGAGCAAACGGTCAGCAAGCTATCGAGTAGAACGTGCACTGGGTACTCACCCTGCCGCAGTCTTTGAGCGTTTACCGTTGGTCTCAACGGGCTCGTCGACTTCGTTAGCGAAGCCGAAGCCGGCGATGCCAGCATAACTCGTTCCAGGATCGGCTGCTGGCAGATACAAGTACTGCGCCTTTTTGCTATGGGGATCGCGCTTCAGCGCCGCCAGTCTAGCTGACTGGACAGAGGGCGGTCCCGGGAGAATCTCAGTGGCTAGAGAGTTATCGCCCTCGAGGTGCGCCGGTTGCGAGACGGGGACCTGAGCAAGCAGAGCTGGGGGCAAGCCTGGCGTAGTCACCATTGTCAAAGACCGCGCAGTTCAACGAGGCGTCTGAGAGCGGTCCTCAGAGTCGCGGGTATACCAAAAGATGATGGCCGTTGTGGAAGAGAGGAATGGCAGACCGGTCACAGTATGCCCCATTCGCTCATGCTATTCGATCTACTCCTACAGCACACAAAGTACCCTACGACGTATATGCTATACCTGTCCACGTTGAGGGCCCACCGGACTGCCCTTCAGACAAATTTTCATCGCGATAACGCAACACGCGGTTGACATCGGCGCTGCGACAAGCAATCAGCGCAAAATCTCTGACACCGGATAGGAGACTTACATTGCCAGCACCGTTGAAAAGAGCGTGATGGATGTTATGCCCGCCTTAAGCCAGGCGAGCGAGTGCAGTGGCGAGGGGTAATGGAACATACTAGGGAATCGTGACCAATGCGGCCTTCGCCTCTTCGCGCTTGCCGGGAGTATGAGCAGGCGGGGTAGAAAGCAGCTCGCTCAGCATGATCTTCCTCAGGGTGTGAAGGTTGACGATGAGGGAATGAAGGATGGAGAAACGGCCCAACCCGGCGAAGGATTTGACATTGTACGGCCCAAAGGGACAGTGTCGGCGTCAGTGATAAAGCCTTCGAAGTGCCCTGGGACCAGACAATCGGTTGATGAGCAGCAGAAGGGTAGTTCAAAGACTTGGAGTTGCGTTGCTACGATTGAAGGATGAGTATTTGGTAGCAGGCAAGTAGGGTTGCGTTGCGCACCTGAGTAGAGACAGACAGTCCGCCCCGACGGGCGGTACGGTGCCAAAGTGCGCGGCCCTTTACCAGTAAGAGAGAAGCATCGTAGCCAGCCATGCTCAGGACGCAGCAAGAGCCAGAAAGGATGTCGGGTGAAGATGCTCCTGGTCGACCATGCTCGATGCTCGTCAAGGGGTTGCACGCAGTGACGACAGGCACAAGGATCGCTGCTCTCAAGGAGAACAAGAAAGCAGCAATTGAGCTGGTGTCTTCAAAGCTCTTCAGACTATTGCGATCGAGGGTGAGGGAGAGAAGCAGGAGGATTCCAGGCGTCCGTCGCTGAATGTGCCGTACAGAAGCAACCGGCACGTGCGGGCCGGTCGTTGCACCTGTGACGTCAGTAGCGGCAATATCCGACGGGCGTTGGACTCCAACTTTCTGGAGTTTCTCGCGACGCGTCTTGAACGAAATGCAATGATTTTACGTGAATTCAATTCGGATCGAGGCCCGCTCACATATATAGGTACCCATGGCCTTTCCTTTCCCTCACCATCCATCTCAGCATCAGGATGCCTGCCAGGTCGCGTAGCAAATTCGCCAGGTACGTTCATCGTGCGAGCCAATGCTGCGACGAGTGCTCACCACCCTACAGCAAAGCTTACACCTTCACAATCGAGCTCAGCGGCTCCCACAAACCCCCTATTAAACGCACCGTCGACGTCCCCGCCTCCTACACCTTCCAAGAGCTGCACTTCGTTATCCAATACGCCTTCGGCTGGCAGCAAGCGCACGTCCACATGTTCGCCTTCTACCGCCAAAAGGCGAAGAAGAACACTCACTACTACTATCGCTTCGACCCGCGGAACGAGGTGCTGCACGTCCAGGCTGCGGGCGACAACTGGGACCACTTCGACTTCCTTCCTGCAGAGGATAAACCGAAGGTGATACACGAGGATAAGCTGAAGCTTCACGACATCTACGATGAGAGGGGGAAGTACCGACACCTCGTTGAGATGGAAGACGGGCTCTGTCCCTTGTTGTACACCTACGATCTGGGGGTGAGTCTGACACGTCTTTGTCCGAGTATTACCTTGTAAAGCTAAGGAACGCGTCACAGGACTGCTGGGAGCACCTCATCACCTTCGAAGGTGAGAAGGACCTATCCCTCGACCGCCCTATATTCACCGAAGTCAAAGGTGCGCCTGCTACTCTCTCGTAACACATCTGCCCCCACTCACCCTTATTCAATGACAGGCTATCCTCCCGCAGAAGATTGCGGCGGTATCTATGGCTGGGACGAGATCAGAGATGCATTCGCCGCCGAAACCCCCACTGAGGGCGACCTCAAGCTCCGTAAGTGGACAATCTGGCGCATGGGACTTGAGGGAAAGAACGACCCTATCGCCGTCGGCAACGTCCCGTACAGTCCTTTCAACAAGGTCGACAAGAATGTCATGAACAATCCGGAGAGATGGAAGGAGGCGTACGAGCGCTATAAGTCGTATGCATTGTAGCTCGACAGAACCAAGAATGGGAATCTTTGTCTTTTTCTGCGCTCGCACTGCCGTCCGCGGGTACTCGAGATTGAAGTTGAACCCGAGGTTCAAGTTGTGGGTGCACTTATGGCGCGGCGCGTGACCAGGCGCGGTGTAATGACGTCGATGCCGGCAGTGCCCGGTCGATTTCTGGATCGCGTCGCGACGCGTCTGCACTTTCCACAGATTACATTGACTTTACGTCCGGCTTGGAGATCGAATACAGATATTTAGCACTAGCGCTACTTCCCCTCCACATCCTACATCGGAACCCCCATCACAATGTCTACCTCAAAAACCCCGCAAGTCGCGCAGACCTCGCAAACCTCGCAGGCTTCCCAGTCCTCGTACGCGACCTGTAACCCCTGAACGATGCATGCTGACCCTCAGTGTAGTACCCCCATAAAAGCCTACACCTTCACCATCGAACTCATGACCGGCTTCAAGCCCCCCATCAAGCGCACCGTCGACGTCCCCGCCTCCTTCACCTTCCGCGACCTCCACTGCGTGGTCCAGTACGCCTTCGGCTGGGACTCCTCCCACGTCCACATGTTCTCCTTCTACAACCAGAAAGCCAAGAAGCGCGGCGGCCGGTACACATTCAACGACCAGAACGAGGTTTTGCACGTCAAGGCGGCGCGCAACGGCTTCAATCCCATGTTCAGCGCCGTCCCGGAGGACTGCATCGTGCGCGAGGATCAGGTGAAGCTGTCGGATGTCTTTGGCGATGATGGGAAATTCAGAGAGGTGGTGGACATGGAGGGCAAGCCCGCCTGTCCCATTGTCTACACATATGACTTGGGGGTGAGTCTTCCGTCCTGCGTCTGCTTCAACTTCTGACGTCCTGAGATAGGAAAACTGGGAGCACCTCATCACCTACGAAGGAGAGAAGACGATGACAGAAAACCGTCCTATCTTTACCCTAGTCCGAGGTTAGTCGATCGCTCCCTCAACAGTAGATTCCTTTCTGAATCACCTCAGGCACCCCACCCAAGGAGTACGCTGACCCTGACGAGGATTCGGACGAAGACGATGAGGAGGAGCCGGCACCGCCCCCAAAGAAGAAGACCAAGCGCGAGATTCTCGCCGAATTCAACGACCCAGAGAAGTGGGAGGAGAAACACAGTGCCGTCCTCAGATACGGCATCTGAGGTGGTAATCCCGGCCATCACTTCCAATGTATGCTTCAAACTTTCCGTTCCAAGCCGTCCTGCCTATACTCCTTCTGTAGTCTCTCAGCCATGTGCTTTCAGCGGATGATAACTTTTTAATCAGCTTGTACCACTCCCCGTTGAGTCTGACGAAACGTTGTTTTTCTAGCCTAATTCACCAATATATATGTATCGTCCTTATCTACTTACTGAAATATCAGCCAAAGTCCTCCTTCCTGCTTCAGTGTCTTATGTACGTCGAACTCTTCCGCGAAGAGTCGCGTCGACGTCGCCTTCCGGCCCTGAACGCGCTCAGATGGCCAAAAGCTTCCTTCGGCAATCTCCGAACACTCCTGAACGGAAACTGGACCTTGACCTCGACTTCCATCCCTACATCGCGCCCATCATGCCTCGCCCGTTGATTCCCGAATACCGCGAGAGGACCAAGTGCCGGGCGATGATGTGCAACAACGAGGGCACGATTGCTCTCGATGTCGCGACGCTGTCCCTCGTACGAAGTATTGCAGTCAGGCTTGTCAGAAGACAGTGAGCTCGAGGCGCTTCTGGCTAGCCACATGCGCACATCAAATCTTACCTACGTATTAGGACTGGGAATGGCACAAGAAGTACTGCGGAAAGTAAGTCACTGTTTTCTAACACATATTCCATGGACCGCTCGTTCCAGCGCACTGACCGACCACCATCGTCAGGAAAGTCTACACCTTCAAATTCAAACTCCTCCGCTCGAAGAACCCCGCCATAAAACGCACCGTCGACGTCCCTTCTTGATTCACCTTCGAACAGCTCCACTTCGTCCTCCAATACGCCTTCGGGCCCTGGCAGAACTGCCACCTCCACCAGTTCTCCTTCTACGACGTCGACCGCAAGGACCTCAAATCCGCCACCTTCTTCATCGATCCTAGCAAAGAGTGGCTGCGCGTCTTGGCGGAAGGGGAGGAACTGGACGAGTGGCCTGATATGCCGGGTATGCCGAAGCGACAAGGGCCCCGGGGCACTATGCAAGAGAAGGAGATGAAGTTGTCGGATATTTTCGATGAGGAGGGGCGGTATCGTGGCTTGGTGGAGAAAGACGGCGAGGTGATTCCTCTGATCTACCTTTACGACTTCGGGGTGGGCCTTATTCGTCTTGGACCTCTAATCTGTCTGATCCAGGGATCCAGGATAACTGGGAGCACCTCGTCACCTTCAAAGGAGAGAAGATGGCCAGCGCCGACCGTCCGCTCTTCTCCAAAGCCGTGGGTGAGCTACCGACCTGTCCTCCCCTTGCATCTGTCCTCTGCTTAGTATGCACGGCTGAATACCGAACTCCAGGCTACCCACCCGCCGAAGACGCAGGCGGCGTCTCTGGCTGGGAGGAAGTCAAAGGAGCCTTCGCCGCCGAAAGACCCACCCGGGCGCAGCGCGAGCGCCGCCAATGGGCCATCGAGCGCATGGGTTATGAGGACCGCAACGACCCGCTTGCAGTCGGTGACGCCGTGCCCTACAGCCCGTTCAACGAGGTCAACGTCGAGGTGATGAACTACGAAGGGCGATGGGAGAATCACTACCGCGGGTATAGTGGCAAGGAGTACTACGATTACAATTATGGTGATGAGCTAGGGCCTAGTGACTCGGACACTGATCTGAGCGATGTCGACGATTGACCGCGACCGTTCTAAACACATCTCCTTCATGCAAATCGGCCCTTCTCTATTAGCGGCATAAATATTACTGTAGCATAAGATAACACGGATGTATATGTAGCGTTGATTCTGGCTGTAAATTGTACTTCCAAGACGACGGCAAGGCCTTAACTCGTACCAATGGCGGTGAGGAATCGCATGATCACTGACTTGCCGCGCGCGAGGTTCGACAGGCGTATGCGCTCATTCGGTAGATGTGCATGATCCTAGCAACGAGGTCAATGGTGCTTCAGGCGAGGTATGGATTGCGAGGCTTACGGTGCTCTGACCCATCGGGAAATGCAGTGCGTGGCAGCCGAACTCCTTTTCAAGCCAAGGTACCGAAGGTATTGACTACAGAATTGGGTCATCAGCGTCACTGTCCCTCGCAAAACACACTAGATATCTTACCCCTCCCTCTCTAATCCGTAACGGCTCCGTGCCCCACTCCTCGCGCACCGCGTTCTCCAGCGCCTGGAAATACGGGTCCTCGAGGTTACCCAGCCACCAGTCGGCCGTATGCTCGATCTTGACCTGCAGCTTGTTCGGAGACTGCAGACTTGTGAACGCGTTCTCGAGATGGGTCTGGAGAGACTGGACGATATCCTCCATCTTCTGGTCGGGGACGATGCGCACGGAGATCTGCGCGCGGACGGTACTTGGGATGACGGTGGCGTCTGCGACGACGGTTCAGAATGGCAGGCGGCGGTGAAGAGCGTGCGAAGGGCTTACTTCCTGGGCCAGAAACCTCGATGTTGTGGATAGTGAGCGATGGGTCGCGCCAGCGCGCGCTCAGGGACGAGGCAGGTTGCTTCGTGATGGAAGACAAGAGACCATATAGTGCTTTCTCGTCATCTGTCACCGGGCGAACGCTATCGTCTACAAGCTGCGTGAGCGCCGGGCACGCCAACGAAGGGAGGAACGGCTTACAGAAGCCAGGTATCGCAACATGGCCATTCTCGACTAATGTAGAGAGCAGCTTGATCCTGTCGAAGGCAGTTCAGTAGGAGCGAGTATCCTAAAATTTGTCGGCTTACATGTCAAGCATTGGCTCCTTCACCCTGCCGCCCTCAACGCCGGAATGCACGTCGGGCATCGAGTTCGTAATCTACCATCATTAGCCTGGCCTCCGTCAGAGACACGATGAATCGTACCTCCACAGCGCAATGCACAACGCCTCGCAAGCCATATGTAATGCATGGCTCTTCTTCTCCTATCCAGGTCGAATTACTGCGAGGTATCAGTACGTGCTTTAGACCATTGTTGACGAACAGCTTACCTGACGAGTATAACATCGATCTTGCCGATCTGGGCCTACGAAGAGGGTCAAGTCATGTTCTTACTCTTGCTTCATGCTGACGTACCCGATACTTGCGCACAGCTTCGTCAAATCCGCCACTCCCGCTCTCTTCCTCGCCCTCAATAACGAAGACGATGTCCGCGTGCAATGATCGTCGAGAAAGGAGCTCAGCTGCCGCCGTTGCCACTATGAGGTCAAATGAGTTTTCGCCCCCCTCTAATGACGAGATGTAAGATGCGCACCTGCCAATATCGGACCCTTGTCGTCCGTCACGCCTCGCCCATACAAGTAGCCATTCTTTCCGGTCAGAACAAAAGGCGGCGATTCCCAGCCCTCCTTTGGCGCGGAGATTACATCGTAGTGCCTTCGGGCCAACGCCGGTCAAGCTGCTGACTGCGTATAATAGAGAAGACAGAGCGCACCCGTAAAAGAGGATGCGAGGTTTTGGCTTGTCGTTTTGCACGCCGCTGAAGGTAGCGAGCACGAGAGGATTTCTCCCTTCGCCGTTGGGTAACTGCACAATATATAAGCCCACGTCTCGGTAAGGATTCATGGATACAAACCAGGCTCGAGGTGGCGCCCAGCTGATTCAGGCATTTCTTGAGCCATATTGCCGCCTGCCTGCAGTCCTCGCGATGACTCGGCACGCTACTGATACTCGGGAACGCCACGAACTTAGACAGGGCATACTGCACCGTACCTAACAAAGAACTCAGCGTCGATTTGACTCTCAAACAAACCAAACCTACTCATGCAGGTCGACGATGTCGGTAGGCATTCGCCCGTAATCTTTGAACTTCCGTCGGTCGCTTCCGGCACTGGAATCTCCCAAACCTTGATAAAGTGATCGCTTCCGCCCGTGAGGAGTTGCGCCCACTGATTCCTCGCGCAGATAATGGACGACAGCACGATCCCATCGTGCGCATGCCATGACGCCGTGCAGTCAAACGATGCGGACCACCGCCGGACCTGCCCGTCGGCTGAGCACGTGTAAAGATCGGTGCCGACCATCGACATTGAGAGGATATCGACGCCCTTGAGGTTGACCTTGTCAATATAGAAGTTTGTTGCATCGATAAGGGGGTGGCATACCTCTTCGACTAGGAGACTCCGGACGGAGGTGTTGGTTTCGAGGTCGAGGACCTTGACATAACCGTCTTGACAGCCGGCAAATATGGTATCCCGTGTGGTGACGATAGCGTAGACGGCGCCATGTCCACAGTTGAACTCGCCGAGTAGATCAGGCGTATGGATGTCCTCCGCAACGTTCCAGACCTGAACTTGTTCGTTACTGTCCTCTGGTGGATGCAACAGAAAATCCTGCCCACCTTCACCGTCTCATCTCCAGCGCCAGTCACCAGTTTTATTCCAGACTCATGCTCGTCCTCGATAGCCGCCATAGAGTAGATGTACCCGTAGTGCGCAGAGTCGACAACATTGCTAGCCGGTATGTGCAGGTAGGCATATGGTGCCGGACTCCCTGGAGCGGGAGCTGACGGATCTGGCGTCCCTGGTAATTCTGCTGCAGAGTTGTGCGCGAAAATATCGGCTGGGCGTCGCTCGTGAAGCGGATAGCTATCAAAGAATTTATGCGCCTTGCGTTGGAGACTGCCCGGCGTCAAAGTGCCACTTCCCGGATTCAGCTCGTGAAGTGATGATGTCGAATTTGAGGCAATGGGAATGGAGGAGTTCAGCGAGCGAGACGTGAAGGTATACCACTGCAAAGACGTATTCTGGCAGCCGACGAATATCGTCTGCAATGTCGATGACCACGCAAGCGAGAATAGGTCGCCAGCGCCCGTCTCCAGGTATGGGCATATGACGTATACTGGCAGCAAAGTCGTTGTTGACCAGACCTACGACAATGGTAAGCCCCCACAAGCGGCAGGCCGAGTAGCACGGGGCGTACACGGATAGTACTGTCCCCCGACGCGGAGAAGAGCCAGTTCTTGTCCTCGGCGAGCTCGAGCGCAAGCACGCTCCCGGTATGCCCCTGTAAGGTGTGCTTCAGGGTGAAAGAAGCCTTATTCCACACCGCGATGTCGTGATTCTGACTACCGCAATAGATGTGATGATCATCGACGGCGAGGCTCAGCGCGGAGCTCTTGAGCTCGTAGAGGGAGTGCACGAGCGCAGGCGTCTGTCTCGACGCCTGGAGGTCGCGGCTGAGAGATGCTACGTGGCGCATTGAGTACTTGGTGTGGGCTTCGGATGAGAGTCAGAGAAGAAGTGCGACACGTACGATTGTCCACAGGTGAATGTGTTTGGGCTGGCATCTAAGGTAATCGGGACCGAGATGCGCTGGAGCTCGTAATGCAAGAGTGAGGCCGTTCGCTTGTACAACCGAACACGCTGTGTGACCTTGACGGTCCAGGACAAAGGACCCACGTGTGCCGTCAGCTCTTTGCCTCCCCGGCACGTGATGGCGCGCTGACCGGGAAATGCCGAATGTCAAGCTGGCCGGCACTGCAAGAACAGCGGGGAAAACTTACCTGTTCCAAAGAACCTGCTGAGGGTACGTAGGTAGCTCGACAGTGCTCAGTTATGCATGCACGCCTTACATTACCGCTGTGCAATACTACATTGCACTCTAATTCAACCGTCCTGAATGCGAATGCTGCACCGCCCGCCCTACTCCTCATCGCTCTCCGTCAGATACTCATCGTCATCCGCATTGCTCGCCCCATTCACCGGCGTCCCATTTCTCGATGCATCCAGCGACACCCGACTGCCAGCCGCCGACGCTTGGCCGCCAGCCAACGATGCCCGGCTCGTCTCCCCCGAGGCCCTGCCTGAGCGCTTCTCCGACACGCGTTCGACGACAATCTGCGCCCCTCCCGCCAGCTCACGCACATCGCCTAGCGCTACACCCGGCGCCCACGCAATCGGCGCGCGCGGGTACGCGACAGCCATGGTGAAACGGAAGTGCGTGGGATGCGTGGCGAGGTACGCGTCGAAGGCCTTTTCGGCCTCCTCGCGGGTCGAGGGTAACGGCAGCGAGGCAGCCGAAGCGCTGGAGGCCTGAGCACCGTCTTCTTCCAGAAGCTGGGCGTCAATGTAGGAGAAGAGGCCGGTGAGCGTGTCCTTCGCATCGAAGGTTTGCACGGCGCGCGCGCCTGAGGGTAGGCGGAACGCCACACGCAGCCCACCGCCTGGTGAGCGCGCTGCCACCTCCCGTCTTGACCATGCACGCCACGCAGCGCGTTCCGCGGTCTGTCTGCGCGCCTCCTCCTCGGCCGCTGCTGCTGCTGCCGCCTCCGCCTGCGCTCGCTCGGCAGCTTCGCGCTCGGCGTTCATCGCATTGACGATACGCTCGCGATCTCGTGCAGCGCTCGCTGCGAACGCAGCGTCCTGCTCTGCTCGGATCCGACGAGCGGCTGCAAGTTCTGCATGCGCCGCCGGCTGGCCAGCGGACGCAGGATTGGTGCGAAGCTGCTCGAGATACGTCGATACGCGGGGAATGAGGGTCGTGGTGAGGTATGTGGTAAGCGCGGTAGGAGTTGTCGCGGCAGCACCGGCATGTCGGGAGAGGATGCGCAGCGTGGGCGCGCCGCGAGCGGCCGGTTGTGGTGCGAGGAAGAGAACAGACGGGTATGTCGTTACATTCAGCTTCTGCGCTGCTATGACAGAAGTTGGTACGTTGGAACCTCAGAAGACAAGGCGACACGCACCTTGCCAGCCGTCCCGCATGCGCGCGTCACCTATCCAAGTCAATACATTATTGTCGTGCAACGCCTTCACAAAGGCAGGGTCCGTCAGAGTCGACCTATGCGTCGTTAGATACATCGAAGGCTGCTACTTAAGGGATCCACGCACCTGATGAACGCGGGCACATCGTCATGTTCGGACGAGATGAGAATGATGCACGCTACCCGGGCCTCCGTCAAAGCCTGCGCAAGCAGTGCATCGTACGGCACGGGCTGGAAGTCCGGCAGGACAGCGCCAGACGGCGGCTGAGAGCGCGCCCCGCGCCGTTGCGCTGTAGTAGGCCCAGGCCCTGCCTCCGCGCCCGTCGTCGTAGCGTTGTCGCCTCCACTAAGCCACCGCGAATAAGGTATGGCGCCCGTGTCTTCCTCCAGCTGTCGTAGAAGATCGCGCCGCGGCGTGGGAGGTCCAAAGAGTAGGTGCGACACACCGAGAAAGATCGCAGCCGGCGAGAGGCGAGCGAGAGTTGACGCAAGTGCAGCATACGCGGGTCGCGGGAGAAGTATGGCCGCTAACGCACGAAGCGGATAGAGGAGGATGCGAAAGGGGAACACCAGAGCGCGTGCTATGGCTGATGAAGGTGCGGGAGACGCTTTCTGCGTCGCATATGGGGGATCCTCGACCTCGAACTGCTGCATGGGAGCCGGACGACGAGGCGGAGGCGCGGCGCCGTCGAAGATGAGCTCGGCAGCGCGCTGGACATCCCAGTCGACGCTCTCAAGCATGTCGCGTGCGGCTTCATCCGTGCAGCTGCCTCCAGTGACCTCTGTCAGCTGGGCGATCGCTTCGGCTTGCCGAGAGGGGGAGGACATGGTTGCTCAGGTTCGAATAGCTCACGAATCGCTAGGCGCCCGTGACGTCGACCACGTCACACCACCTCTCACGCGACGGACACGGCCGGCGATTGCCGAACTCGCTTGTTTCCTTCCCTCATCTTCATCCAAGCCTTCACCAGTCAGGACCATGTTTGATATCCAGAACACCTTAGCTCTGTGCTCTCGGGATCTTGGAAAAGAGTCCAATGACGCAGTAAGCATTATGCGAGCTGAATCCAAATACTTGTAGCTGAATGCCAGTCAGTCAACCATTGAATTGGGTCCAACCGACGTTCATGCACACGTCAGCGACATTCCAGCAGAGATCCTGCAAAGTATACTCGACTTCACAGTCGCTCCAACTTTTCTGCTCACCCCGGGCCTTACCATACGCGAGGATGCTTGGCTGATCTACATGAAAATCAAGCGATCCCTGCCGCTTGTATGCCGCTCCTGGTACGCGTCTGCCAACCCGATGCTATATCGTGACATTGCCCTCCGAAGCGTTGGGCAGGTCGCAGCACTTCTCGAGACGCTGCAGAACGCACCGACGCTTGCCTCTCTCATCACTTCTCTCTCGTTCGCCTGCTACGTCGCGGAGCATCACGAAGAGGCATACGCAAACGACGCCACCCTTCTTTTGCAGCTGTGCCAGGCCGCGCGCAGCGTATCCTTCATTGCCATGAACGCGCCTCTATCCCTTCCTCAGCTCCTGCCTCTGCTGAACCCCGCTTGCCCTCCGCTCCCGCACCTCACTCGGCTGCACTTGAACGAAGGTTTTGACAGTGAGGCCTTACTATCAGATCAGTACAAACTGGTAGCAACACCGGGCGAGGAGGGCTGGTATATTCGAACGCAACCGCTACGCCCGCGTCGCTTTTTAGTGGGCGCGAGCCATCACCTAGTGGAGCTCAGTCTTCCCTTCGTCAGCGCCATGCAATCCGCCCCGGCGCTGACATTCCCCTCGCTTGTCAGCTTTGGTTGCTTGGTGAATTGTATAGGCAGCGACAGCTTCGGACGCATCACCTCAATTTGGGAGATGCCTCGCCTCCAAAGGTTTAGCATCTCCCTCTTGGGCCTTGGAAGCCCGTATCTCTTTCAATACATGGGAACGAGAGACTATCTTCCTCGCATCGGGTCTTTCGTCGCCCGGCACGGTGCTCAGCTACGCTACCTTCATATCCTCGACCATGCACATTACACCAATGACCATCGCGACCTCATGCTTGATATACAATCCGCACTCGACCACTGCCCACGTCTCGAGCATCTCGTGCTGCCGTCGAACGTGCGGCCCACCCCAGCGCTTCACCATCCCACCGTACGATGGATTGACATCTGGATGCCCCATAGAGGCGACGCTTCGCACTGTATCACCAGAAAGGGGATAGCGCCGTTCGGGCAAACTGCAGACTCACGTGCAGCACGCAGTGGTGATCAGAAATACATGTTCCCTCGCCTCCAAGGCGGTCGTGCCATCGACGCCGCGCTCTCGTTCTTCCGGGACCTGCCGTGGATCTTGCGCCCCGACACATGGGCAGGAGTGACCGCCGAGCTCAAGTACCCGGGCATTGACGTCAAGCACGACAAAATGAACATCTGGCGTGCAGACCTCCAACCAGAGTATACCGCCCCCCAAGGCGACGGGATGGACGAGGAGCGAATGCCATTCGGTGGCATACCACAGGAGAGCAGGGGATGGCCCCGCGATAGAATTCTCTTCGAGTACGGGACTTACGTGTGGACAGATGAAGAAGGGTCTGATGGAGACATGTCTTCTGTCCACAGCTCGGATAGCTCTTGGTTGGCTTCGGACGAGGAGACGAATGGCGTTGAGCCAATGCAGTGGACCCACGACGACATCCTTCGTGTCTTCAGGGATCCTGATAATCATTACGCGGACAGGCTAGAAGACAAAGCAACTCGCGCGTATGAGAGGTTGTAGAAAGAGCTGCTACTATCACTGCGCGGTAGTACAGGCTGTAGTGCTGGAACCTAGCAAATTGCGTCTGACAAGCGCTGAACATACGAGTGTCATTTGAATCTCGCGATACTTGGTGTGACTGCATACATTGCTGGTTTCACGTAGCTTTCGCGACATGATTTAACATGCTCATCTGGCTGTCTTGATCATGATGAGCGATGGCTGAGCAAGTTAGTAACAGTTACGCCGTGGTCACACTGCCGGCAATTGCCGTGCGTGCTTGTTTCCTACCCTCATCGACCATCGGCTGTGGGGGAATTCTCCTAGTCCTCGTCGTCAGTCATACCAGATGACAGACTCTCGACGGCTGCTGATTCCCGATGAACATCCTGGAGCCTCGCAAAGAGACCTGAAGGCAAGATATCCTCAGTCGGTTGCTTGATTGAAGCTGAAAAAGTACCAGAAAACCTTGGACCCCCTACAAAAAGAGAGAATTGCACTGGCTAACGAAGTACCAGTGGAGATTCTGCAACAGATCTTCGACTTGACCGTCGCGCCAACGTTCCTGCTTACTCCAGGCTTCGCCGTACGCGAGGATGCGTGGCTGATCTACATGAGGACGAAACGTTCCCTGCCTCTGGTCTGTCGCTCCTGGTATCCCGCTGCCAACGCGATGCTGTATCGCGACATCGGTTTGCGGAGCGTCGGCCAGATCGCTGCTCTCCTCGAAACTCTACAGGACACGCCAACGCTTGCCTCCTTGGTCATGTCGCTGTCGTTTGCCTGTCATGTCGCACAGCACCACGAGGAAGCGTACGCGCGCGATGCGACTCTGCTTCTGCAACTGTGCCATGTCATGAGCAGCGTGTCTTTCGTCGCGTCGAACCCAACGACGTTTACGGCCCAACTGCTGCCATTACTCAACCCCGATTGCCCACCACTCACTGGCGTTACCAAACTCCACGTGAACGAAGGCTTCGATAGTGAAGCCTTGTTCTCCGACCGCTACGACGAGATAGTGGCTACAAGGAATGCGGGCTGGTACATACGCACGAAGCCGCTCCGCTCGACCCCCTTCATATCCGCGGCGAGTGACCATCTGGTAGAACTCAGCTTGCCATTCAACGACGTAGTTCGCGACATCCCAGAGTTGACCTTCCCCTCGCTCATCAGCTTCAGCTGCTCAGTCGCCCGTAGGGCGAACGCCAGCTTTGCGCAACTCACCCTGCGCTGGGAACTACCACTACTCCAACGATTTACTATATCCATCTTGGTTGTTGGGCCATATCTCTCTCGAACTAGACCCCGGTTTGCCTACGAGCCGCTCCTCGGACCTTTCGCGAGCCGCCATGGCGCCCAGCTACGCTATATGCATATCCTAAATCGTGCGGAATACACCGACCAAAACCTAAGCCTCATGGAGGATATCCAATCTGCGCTAGATTCCTGCCCACGCCTCGAGCATCTTGTGCTTCCATCCAGCATAAAACCTACCCCCGCTCTCCGGCATCCCACCGTACAATGAGTGGACGTCTGGGAGCCCCAGAGAGTTTCATATTGGCTTAGCGACCCAGCGGATTGGAACAGATTCTCGCGGTACATCGTCAGTCCTGCAGGGCATTTCACTCGCGCAGTTTCCTGTCAGTGGCAGCAGGGTTTCCCCAGCTTTCAGAGAGGCCGTACCATCGATGTCGCTCTCTCGTTCTTGCGAGACTTGCCATGGGTCCTTCGACCCGACGTTTGGGCAGGCGTGACCGTGGCATTTGACTATCCTGCCATCGCCGTCAGACATAGCAAGTTCCGCATCAGGCGCGCAGACCTGGACCGGAGGTACATCTCTCCCCGAGGCGACGAGACTGAGGAAATCTCCTTGATTAGCGACATAGAAGACAGTGATGCATGGGAGACCACCGAAGCCGGGTCGGAGAATGATTGGGAGGAGCAGTCAGACGAAGCAGATTTCAAGGACAGATCCGAGTCGTACGAGCCAGTGAACGACAATGAAGGGTCGTCGATACACAGTTCGGATAGCTCTTGGGTGGCCTCAGATGAGGACGATGGCGAACTGGAATCTCAACAATGGACGCACGAAGACATCCTCCGCGTGTTCAGCAGTCAGGAGTACATTCATAAGACGGGGCGATTGGAGGAGAAAGCAGCACAATCGTATGCGAGGGTATAGTACAAGTTGCGGTATAACAATACAATGCAGATCGTGACAAAGCAGGGAAGATGCGCACAGCGAATACAACCATAAATTCCATCACCAATTACTCAACAGATACTGGGCACATTCCTGAGCATCGGAGTCAGACAGGCGCTCAATTACACATGAAAGAGGACAACATACCTTCAACCGCGGTAGGTTGTGAACGATGGCGACATTGACCGCCGTCCGCAGACGACGCCGTATATCCGCCTTGTTCATCGTATGCTGGTAGGCGCCCGAGCAGTGGCACGTCCGCGAGACGTTGTCCGACTGCACCTGTTGGCACCGCGAGCAACGAAGATCCTGCTGTGCAAACGCCCGCTCCATCCCCTGAACCATTCCCACCAGCCTGAACTCGATCGCCAGGCGGTCGTACTCGCCACCGCACGTCGCACATGCCCATCGCGGGGTTGCGCCGCCTTGCGCACCCGGGAGTAGGTCGGGGTCTCGGCAGAGGTCGAAGTCCCGCAACGCATCGCAGTGTCGACATGGAACCCCATGGAGGACGAGAGGTTCGCAAGGATTGCGGAATGCGGCTTCCGACGCAAACTCTCGTACGCCAATGAGCTCCAGCAGTAGGCGCTTCAACAAGCCAACCTCGACGGTATAGTCTTTGGCGAGCGTGAAGACTGCGCATGCGAATTTGACGAACTCGAGAGGAGGACTCTCAAGTGTGAGGTGCGATCCCGGCAGGACAGGGAAACGGAAGTCGTCCGCCTCATCAGAGTCTCCGAGTTGAGCAGCACGATATCGGTCCTGCACGCTATCGACCGCACGCAGCATCTTGCGCGTGAGCTTGCGCGAGATGAATTCCTGTATGAGGTCCGCCTCCTGGACTTTCGCCACATCCCTCGGCGTCGACTCGGGCGCACCATTCGCAAGAGGGCGAAGGGGTACCCGCGTTGCTGCATTGACTTTCTGCCTTGCCTTGAAGAGCTCGACGATGAAGTACTGCACGACAGCCTCGAAATCCGGGCGGATTGCTTTCGGCAAGAACTGGGCAATGTTCCATCGCATCTCCAGCGCGAGCTCGGTGGGAGGCTCAACCGCGAGTGGGTCCTCGCATACGACTCCACCCACGTTGGCTGGGTCCATGAAGAGCAGGAAGTCGTAGAAGCGGTCCGTCGTCAACTTCACGTGCTCGAACAGCTCGTGCGATGTCACTGCGCTAGTGAGGTACGTCGCATATGCGTATGCGGTGCCGGGCGGTTTCGATGTCGCGAGGAGCACGCGCCCGAAGTCTGCGCAGACGATCTGTGAGCCTAGCCGGCGGAACTCGGCAAGCATCTGGATGAATGTCTTGCGCATAAGGCCGTGCACAAAGCGATGGAGACTGGGGTCATACATCGTCGCGTTGCTCGAGCTGATCCATCGCCAGAAATGGTCGATACCCATGGACGCTGGTCCACCCGCCGTCTCGTCAACAATCCGGTCCAGCAGCCAGCCTTTCAGCATATTGCGGAGGATGGAGAACATATGCGGTGAGACATTGGATTCACCGAACGTCACGTCGCGCTGATTCTCACCCTTGCGGTACTCGTCGATGGTATGCGACACTGCGTCGAAAGCGGTGGCGCCACCGCTGCCCTCGAGTTCATTGACGAGTACCGAATGAAGGACGGAGTTCACCGCGAGGTTGCGAATGGTAATCTCCAAGCAGACATTAGGATACGCCCCTGGGGACATGAACTCTGTTCGCGGGAAGTCATCCGTTGGCCGCCTGTCACATTCAATGCCGCCCAAGTCCGGATTCTCTCCCGGTGACCACCACAGCACCATGTCTTGTTGCACAAGACGGCGCGCAAAGCTGATGTCGGACACGACCAATGGTTGGTCTCCATCGAGATGACCAATCGGCACGTCGAAGTATTGCGCTGTAGCAATGAGGCGATCAAGCCATGGTCCCATCGCAAGGTAACGGGCGTTCATCTTGTGCGCGACGTGCAACTGCCAAGGGAAGACATCCAAGGTGTGCGCTTGCCTAATCTTCGTCATAGACAAGATAGGGAACTTCGTGAGCTTCTGCACACTGCGGTCGAAGTATGACTGGTCTTTGCTTGACGAGATGACCACAGTGTACCCACGATTCTCAATGAGACCGAGCTCCCTGGACACCGCTTTGAGCGCAGTGGCGTCGTTGCCGTGGAAGGTGGTGGTGAAGTCGCAAGCCGCGGGGTAATCATATGCCTTGCAGCCGCTGAGGATGGATGCGCGCTTGTCTTTCAACTGGGCGTATGTCTCCGGCAGACGAGGTATGGGTTGACGGCGAGTTGCCGGGTCGACAACATGCATCTTGACGGCGCCGCCTGGGTAGAAGAGAGCGAAGACATGCAAAGCAGCCGTCGCGGAGCAGGCATGATACAGGAGGATGAACTTGCTGTTCTGGCCCTTGTTCAGGTAAGGGCGGCGAACGCCGGCGGCTGGACCGAGTGTCTCCAGTTGTTGTAGATTGAACCCTACGGTCTCCGCTTTATTGAGCGTCATGCTGGCGTTGGTAGCTCGGCACGCTTTCCCAAGCTTCAGCACCGCGCGCATTTCCAAAGGTATCTGTTGTAGAGCATTAGCACAAGACACACACACTGACCGTGCTTGCGTACCTGCTGTTCGAAGACACCGTCAACATTAGGATCGTTCATGAGATCAATGAAGTGCTCCTGGTTCCCGCGGAACACGTCCTCTCGCACAATGATGCGGTAGAGGTTTGTGGCAGGCAAACCTCTAGGCAAAGTGCGCGTAACCTTCTCCCACTGGTACAGGTCGTTGTCGAATATGGTCTCCCTTGGTGTGCGCAGGTTGATGTAGAACTGTCGCGGAACGCGAACGGCGACCGAGACAAGGTCGGCCTCCACCGACAACCAAAGCATGTACCGGCCCGGGACGTCGGTGGGGCGGATCTGAACGATATCCCATCTACGATCCGCGCGAGTCTTCGCATTGCGGAACATGGAAGGGACGTTGACGTCGGCGACGCCCTCCCGACGCATCTTCCACCGTGGTCGCATCGCGCGAAGCCAGGCGGAATAGTCCTCGTGCGGGTCCGGGAGTACTGCTGTGCTCAAATCTTCTTGCGGTTCTGGTGTAGGCTCTCGCTGGAGCTTTCGCTTCACAAGGGCGATGCGCTTGCGACCCGGGTACAGCGCTGATTGGCCCATGTCCTCCATGTCCGCCGTACCCTGGTCGACAGCTGCGGCTGCGGCCTTCTCCTCGGCAGTAGCCACCTTGAAGAAGTCAGTGACTTTGTTCTGCTTGAACTTGTCAACGGCATTGGCTACGCGACGGTGCAGCCAGTCCGGATGGCGAATGCGAGGGACGGGGTTGGGGATCTTCTGCATGCCGGCGGGGATGGTGATGAGCTTCTGGATGACAGAGCCGAGACGCTCGATGTAGTAATCCCAGTCCAGGATAGACCGAAGGTCGAAGTTGACCAGGCTGTTGTCCTTGAGCCATTTCCGCAGGTACGTTCGCTTCACGTCCTCCTCGGCGGAGAAGATGGCGATAGGTACGGCCCTCTCAGTGACGGGAGCGCCAATGGGGCGCTGCGAGATGATGAACTTGCAAGCCAGGCCCTTGTCCTTGACCATCTGATCGCCCAAGAACTCAGCCAGACGACGCGCCGTGCTGATGGACGTCGACTTCTGGCCAGCGTACTCCGCCAATGTCTTTGACATGCTACGGTTCTCGGCGATGAGTTCGACGAGCTCTTCGTCGGGCAGGCTGTCGGCATGACTGAATAGCACATCCAGCCACTGATCAGCGACTTCGGCGACAGCGGCGTAGCACTCCTGCGTCGTGGTGCCTAGCAAGAACTTCTCGAAGATCTGCGACTGAAAGATCTTGATGAGCTGCAGCTCTCCGCGGCGCTTGACCTCGAAGCCCTTCAGCTCGGCCAGGGATCCATCGTCGTTGAAGACCGCATACCGCTTCTTCAACAACTTGTCCTCCTCCTTTGACGCCGGCAGGATCATTGCCTTGTAAGGACCGTCGAGCTCGAAGAAGATAGAGTTCTCGCTCTGGATCTTGTACTCGCCGGTTTCGGGATCGAGGTCATGGTACTGGTGGTTCGTGTACTGGTCGTGGACGAGGTGGTTGAGCATGGTACAAGGATACGAGAAGCCGATGTTCTTCCCGTTGTCGAGCTTGAACTTGAAGTTCTCCGGGAAGACGCCAGGCAACATGCACCAGATACCATCCGTATCGAGTTCCAGCGGCCGACCGATCCTCTCGACCAGGGCGCGCGCCATCTGAATGATCTTCGCTCCGGTCAAGCAGGTGATGCCAGCCATCTCCATGGAATGCCACCGAGCGCCCTTCCGCATCACGTAGCCGTAGAAGGAGTTCAGGATGCACTTGTGCGCCAACTGCAAGGAGTCATACAGCACAATCATCTTCTTCGCCTCGTCGACCTCCGCCATGGAGCGCCCCTCCGATGTGACCTGGTCCAGGTTCTTCTTCCAGGTCTTATGCAGGCCCTTGTACTCGTAGCGTCGATCACGGAAGCGACGGACGGTGTCGACGTAGAAGGGGTTCTCGCGCTGGCATACAATGGACGTGCGCGTCTCGACCTTCGTGTCCTTGACCTTCTTGTACACCTTCCTGGAGTAGTCGCCAAGACGCTTGTGCAGCAGGGCCGTCTGCTCCGCCGGCGAGAGGTCGACGAACCTCCGCTCGGGATTGCCGGGACGCTTGGGCGGGAAATGCTCCTGATTAAGCGCGTGGCGAATCATGTTGTACTCGTCGCGATGAGCGGGGAAGAACTCTCCTCGCCATGCCCATTCGAGCCGGCGGTCGCAGGTCTTGCCCGGACGATTGTAGTCGCAGACCGCGCAAACCGACTCGTCGACCATGGAGTCGGGCTGAAGACGGTTGGACAACATGATGTTCGGGTACATGGCGGCGACATCCAGATGGTAGATGAGCGGCTTGTCCGTGCGCTTTGGGTCATCGCGCATGACCTCGAGCATGCGCTGAATCTCGCCCTTGACCTCCTCGTAGTTTGTGACCTTGTCCAAAGAGCACTTCGACTCCTCGACTATACAGAAGGTGAGTGCAGCGTCAAGCTGGTCTATGAGCTGGATGCGTGCATGAGCAAAATCGTTCATAACGGCATATACAAAGGATGTCATACCTCCTGGATAGCCGTGGGATCTATCTTGAAGTCGGTCGGAATATCACTTCGGAAGACTCCTGCCTCGAGCGCCTCAACATGTCCTCCGACGTAGGTCTCAGAAGCCAGAAGATGGCCCTCATACATGTTACCGTGCGCTTCCTCGTGACGGTTGGGCATGATGATATGGCCCCGGTATGCTTCAACCTGTGAAAAGATGAGTGAAATTCATGGAGCCCCATGACGAGGCGTACCATGAGGAGAGTTTCGCACAGCGTTCCTGTTCCCTTTCGCAAAACCTCATCCGGACAGAGCGGGATGATGTTGCAGAGCGAGAAGATGAACGGATGGACGTATTTCATGTACAGGTAGTACGTTGCCACGGCATCGGAGACGGAGTACTGGGCGAGCACCTGCGGCTGCTCTTGGGCGTATCTGAAAATGATGAGAATTGTTCATAGAGTCACAGCAAACAGGTACTTACGGGGTCATGAGCTCGGGGTCCAGTTCAATGGGGTTATAGCCCAGCTTCGCGGTCGTGACGGCCTTCAAGCCCTGACTGCCTTGAGGTAGATACGAGTCTCGCTTTACCCAGCGGAAGCAGTCCATGTGGACGCAGCACCGGCTCTTGTACTCGTCCTCATTGTCCTTGGTGAACCCGATCTCGAGGAACATGTCGATGCCATTCGCCTTCGCACGGGCGTCTAGGAAAGGGAAATCGAAAAAGTCGCCGTTGAATGTCGCCATAACTGTCGGCTTGATTTCCTGGATGTGCTGGAAGAAGCGAGATATTGTCGCTGCCTGTAAAGATTGTTAGCTGCCGTCTACTCAAGGAAAGAAGCTCAGCATACCTCATCTGCCTCGTTGAACACGATGAACGGCCCTTCGTAGCCCTCCTTGGGCGTGTACTCAAAGTCGCCAATATCCTCGCTCACAATCTCGCGGTTCGTGATGAGGTAGCCCTGCCCGTCGACCATGTAGGAAATCATCATGACCTGGTCGAGCGCCTGGTCAGGGAACTTCAGCGGCGCCTTCGTCGTCTCGATATCGTACGCCATAACGACTGGGTCCGCACGCTTGACGCGCTCGGCGAGATGGGTGAAGTGGGGTTGCCCCGCCTCGAAAGTAACCCCGTACCATAGGCCGACACGGATGTCGATGTCGATGGCAACACGAAGGTAATACGGCACGTCGTACTCGCGAATGTCGATGATGCTGTCTTGCGGGTCGCGGTCACGGTATCTGCTGCTCACGCCGTCCAGTTCGTTGTCGAGTTCAATGTCCATGGAAGCGCCTGCAGTCGCGCTCACGACTTCGGCGTAAGCGTCCACGGCATCCCGCTTAGCACCGTTGGCTAGAGCAATGGGCATGATGTCTCGTCTGACGGTAAGAAGGTCGGTAACATTGCGGAAGCAGAGCTGGATGTAGAGCCTCTGGTGCCCCATGAGATGGTTCGGCAGCTTGAGGTCTTCCTTGCGGTGGCGCACTATACGGCAAATGATGCCCTCGTATTTCTTGTTCAGCCATTCTTCGACTGTAGTCTCAGTGCCGGCCTGACGCGTGTTGTTAGTGGGGTCAACTTCGTCCACACAATGAACACGCACCTTGCAGGCGATGTAGAAATATGGCTCGTAGACGTGTGTCGCCTTGAACATGCCGCCATCATCTTGTATAAAGTAGTAGTCCACTGCAGCCTTTCCTGAAGGCCACTCCGGATCCTTCAGAGTCGTCTGTATAACGATTAGCAACGTAATAAATCGAGACGGTATGTGCGCGCACCGGATGCATATTGATCAGCCACCCCTCCCTGCGGTTCCCCTCCTCAATGCGTATGAATCCAAGTCTTTCATCCACCTCGTCGTTGGTCTTGATCATCTCGAAGCGCTCTGCCATAGCAGTGCCATCGTCTTCGCGTCTTGGTGCAGGCCCAGCGTCGGCCGCGCGAGCACCCCCTCGTCCACGCCCACGCCCTCCTCGCCATGAGCTGCCGCCTCTAAAGCGTGTAGTGGATGATCCCCTTCCACCGCCTCTGGCGGAGAGCCCGAACCCGCGTCCGCGAGCCATGTCAGCAAGGTGATGTTGCGGAGAGAGGAACTGAGCGTGACGACAACACGATCTGTCACGTTCTCAACGCGAACCGTCACGCCTCATTTATGGCCGACGCCACCGGCTTTGTGCAGGCATTCTAAGGACAAAAGTGACATAGCAACTTTGTTTTTCGTGGTATTTTCGACAATAAACAGGCAGTGTTCGTACAAATTACTCCCTCCAGGGGTCAAACAGGATTTTACCTGACTCGCCCTTGTCGAACTTCTGATAGCTCTCGACTGCTTCATTGAGGCCGACGATACTGTCCACCAGACTCGCCTCCTTTCCTACAGACCCAAAGATATCCTGTCGCTTGACTGTTGGAGTTGTCAGTATCACCCGAACCGACCGAAATCAAGATCACTCACCCAGAAGATCGAACGCCATTGGGATCATAGCGCGCGCCGGGCATCTGCCGAAGTCCATCGACAGGTTCTTGCTATATAAGTCGTCGCCGTTGAGGGGCAAAGTGGCCGTCGAGTGCACTCCGACGGAAGATATGACACCAAACGGTCGCACGAGGTCGTAAGCGAGCTTCAAAGCTGAGGTATTGCCGACGATCTAAGAGTCTGTTCAGCACTCGTGCTGATTGATGCAAGCACGACATAGGAAGCGTTCATTACCTCGAGAACAGCACTACATCCGGTCTCGGTCTCCTTCTGCACCAGATCCTTGGCGCCGTCGATGGACTCAACCACGACACGACCATTGCCCTTGCCATCTGGTCCGAGGGCAGCAAGGATGGCTTCCATCTTCTGCCTTCGCAAAGGGTTGGGATCGATAGCAACGACAAAGTATGGAACATCGCGCTGAACTAGCATGTCAAGCAGCGCAATGACGGCACAAACCTGCATCAAATAATGAGTTCTACGCTTCTTCGAAACGTCGTCTGGGAATGTACGCGCCCCGACCGGACCAAGCCCTATAACGGCGAAGCTCAGCGTCGTCTTCGTAAAATTCCTTTGCGCGGGCGCCGACGCCTCCAAACACGCAGGCCATGGCTTGCCGCTCAGATCTGCCTGCAACTTCGGGTGGTTTAAGGCCTGCGCAGCCGCAAACATCCCAGTCGGCAGGATATCGCCGAGGAGCATCAGCGAGCTGTCCGCAATAGACTTCTGCGCGTCCGTCAACCCTGCATCGCTCAAATTGAACAAGGTGCCGCCAGCGTGAGGAACGCGAATGTACTGGGCTTGCGCGCCCTGCAGTGCAGGCGACCCAAACAGGAGACTGTTCTTGCATCGGCAGGTGAAGCCGAGTCGGCAGACGCTGCAAAGGACGACGCTTAGCGCAGGGATGATCCTCGTTATTGCTCATACGTACGAGCACTCGCCACAATTGGTCGTGAACGGCGAGACCACCTTGTCCCCGATTTTGAGGCTTTCATATAGCTTCGGGCGCCCCTCGACGGTCTTGCCAAAACTATCGCCAAGAGCTACCACCTCGCCCACGAATTCGTGTCCGCAAATATGCCTGTGGATCCAGCAATGGCATAAGATTCCACACTGTACACAAGGATGAAGAATGCATACACCCTGTCCGCGACCTCCGTCCCTCGGTACGTATGTAGGTCGCTGCCTAAGTGACCGCTCAGCTCTGAGCTCGTGTTGTGAGCAGCGCTGCAAGCCTACCGCAAAGTCCAGCCAGCTGGTATGGCGCGGTGAGCCACCTTTTCGGATATGGACTATGCGTCAACACACCTTGATCTTTACGATCGCATCATCAGGATGTTCGATTCTGTACAGATCCGGTCAGTCACTCTTCCTAATATCACCACTGGCTGTCAGATACCTCGGAAGCGCCACCCTCTCGACCCGAACATCGTACTTCGGAGGGTGAAACTGCACGGCTTGCATGTCCTCGCTTTGTGTATAGGCAGCCATCACGATCGTTGGGAACGAAGTGAAGGGAAGTCGAGGACGAGGTAGAGGGGAAGTCGGGTAAGGTGAGGGTGATCAAGAAGGGAGGAGGGAAGAAAAAAGCAAGAAGCTTCGTCTACAAGAAAGGGGTTGGGTTCCTCCTGAGAGTCGTCTGCGATAGGACTTGGAGGCCGATCCCCTGCACGCCGGCGCCGAAGGGAGTCCCGCTCCCGCGCGTTCCGGCCCGCCGCGGAAGTATATCCAGGCACATGATCTATTGTTCCCGATTCGGAAGGCTTTATGGTCGACGAGACAGGCGCCGTTATTTGTCTTCGCAGGCGCTATCAGTCGACGGATAACGCGCTCGCAGAAGGAGGCAAGGTATGATCAAGATGAGGCATCACATGCGACTTGGTACATGGCAGCGACCAGAAGACCAGGAATGAGGAACGGTCAGGTGCAAAGCCAACTCATGAGCCGGATTTCTGGATTAGTCTATCGACCCATGACTGAAATAGAGGTGGAGGTTGTGTGTTGCTGGAGCTGAAGTCGTGATAGTTCACTTGTCTGGCGATCTGGCTGGACGGATTATGCGAGTGACGTTCCTTTAACAGAGACTGAACGTCGCGTAGGAATTGGGAAGGTTGTTCGATGACTCCAGCTGTCAGCGCGTCGGCCTTATGCTTAAAGCGCGGAGGTGCCGTGCTCGTGGAGCTTGAAGACAAAGAAGCAGAGGGACCAGCGACGGTGATTGTAGCAGAAGAAGGCGCGGGGTCAAGGTCTGGTGGAGGCGGTTCTTCGGAGCGCAAAGAGCAGGGAACGTCGCGATTAGACATATTTCCCGGAGTCATTGGCGCAGAGGTAGGCGACAGAGCGCAGGACGAGCCCTCCGCGTCAGAATCGTCGATTTCGATGCACTCAATCTGAGCCCGGTTCGTAGGGGCTGGCGGAGTTCGCTGTGTTGGCGGTGAATCATCATCGTCGTCGCTAATGTCGATATATTCAATGACTTTAGGGCTGACGATCTTGGGCTTCGTGGAGGGTGCACCGTTCTCACGATGAATGAGGTCGTCGACGGTGGTGCTGGCGTTCTTCGGAGGGACCTTTGGCCCTTTGGAGGCTGCACAAAAGACAATCATGAGTACACTCCCGTTGCTGGCACTGCGCACTCACCCCGCTTCCCTCCCCTTTGAAAGGCTCCCCTGTTCCCCACATCCCGTTCCAGAAACCGCGCTGCAGAACACACATCAGCGCCAACCTCCCTCACATACATGTAGAGACAGCACACCTGAAGGCCTCCGCTCCCTCCGAGACCGCTTCCCCTCTGGTTGTGCACCCGTCGAAGATGGCGTCGGTGGCGACCCCGCATCGGCACGTTTTCGCTTGCCCGCGCCTTCCATCCTAGTATTGCGGGCGCCTATCACGGATACTTCCTGGCACCCACAAATCAGTCCTGTGATATGAAGAGAAGACTAGCACAGCACTTACACTCTTGGGACCTATCTGGGCGACAATGTCAAAGGGTATAGACGCCGATCCCACCTGATGAAAGTCCTCAATGACCACGCTGATCTGGACGGAATTGAACGAACTGAGCAGCGAGGGCGTCAAGTATGCGCACTTAGGCAGGTGAAAAAGAGCCAAGACGTTGCTCAACGAGGCCTTGAGGGCGAGCTAGTGACCAGCGACCCTCACGATGGGCGGAAGCAAAACGGGTTATGGACCACGTGGATTCCATACTTCTCCACTTCTCCCCAAGGTCCTCTGGTCAAAAATGTCCTCCTCGGCGGGGAGTCGAACCCCGCTCTCCCGCGAAGACAAGTTCACTAACCGACGCTGCATGACAGGCGGGTGTACTAGCCGATATACTACCGAGGACTTGATGAAGGGAGGGGTTTGGTGACCCATAGGGCGAAAAGGTCGGCACGATATTAGCCTTCTTACTGAGTTCGCTCGCAATGATTCCATCGAGCAGCTCGAACTGACTCTACCTATGTCTCCTTTTTATCTCAATGACCATCTCACACGCACACATGAAGATGCTTCGAATTCAATGCAATTGGTGCGAGTTCAAGACTGACACGACTATGATACAATGCTGATAGATACTACCCTTACTCCGATAACAAGTCATGAAGGATGCAGTTGGGCCAGGAGCCTTACATCCTGTGCCGCAAGTTGACGTGAACGGCCTTGACATTCGTGTAGCTAGGCAGTATCGTCAGACGATGTCATGATCGACGAAGAGGGAGGAACTCACTTCTCGAGCGCATACTCGCCAAGCTCGCGGCCGATACCCGACTGCTTGAAGCCACCGAAGGGCACCTGCGCGTGCAGCTGGTTGTAGCAGTTGATCCACGCCGTGCCCGCCTGCAACTTGTGCGCGGTCTCGATCGCGCGGTTGATGTCCTGCGTGAACACCGCCGCTGCAAGACCGTACACCGTGTCGTTCGCCTGGCGGATGACATCCTCCTCGTCCGTGAACTTGATCACGACGCCGACGGGCCCGAAGATCTCCTCGCGCACGATCGTCATGTCCGGCTTGACGTCCGTGAAGATCGTCGGCTCGATGAAGTAGCCCTCGTCGCCGACGCGGTTGCCGCCGATGTGGCAGGTCGCGCCCTCCTGCTTGCCCGTGTCGATGTAGGACATGATCCGGTCGTACTGCTGCTGGGAGACCTGCGGGCCCTGGTCGACGTTGTCGCCGAAGGGGTCGCCGACCTTGATGCCGCGCGTGCGAGCAGTGAAGGCCTCGAGGAACTTGTCGTAGATGCCGGCCTGGACGAAGATACGGGAGCCGGCGCAGCATGCCTGACCGTGGTTCCAGCTGAGAAGCCGTCAGGATTTGATGAAGGCATGGAGGGATGCCACTTACAAGATGCCGTGAGCAGCCCAGTTGACGGCCTGCTCGAGGTCGGCGTCGTCGAAGATGATGTTCGGGGACTTGCCGCCGAGTTCAAGAGTGACCGTCTTCAAGTTCGACTTGGCCGCAGACTCCATGATCTTACGGCCGACGAGCGTGCTACCAGTGAAGGCGAGCTACAGTCGTAGTCAGCAAGAGCTCTCACCGTATGGGGCACTTGCGCGTACCTTGTGGATGTCCATGTGCGAGCTCATGGCCGCGCCGACGGTGTGGCCGTAGCCAACGATGAGGTTGACGACACCAGGCGGGAAGCCGGCCTCGTTGATGAGCGTGCAGGTGCGGAGGGCAGTGAGCGGGGTGAACTCGGAGGGCTTGAGCACGACAGTGTTCCCCGTCGCCAGCGCGGGGCCGATCTTCCAGGCAAACATGAGGAGAGGGAAGTTCCAGGGGATAATCTGGCCGACGACACCGATCGGCTCGTGGCGGGTATAGGTGAGCTTCGACTCGTCGGTCTGCAAGCGTCGATCAGCAGGCGCGCGAGAAGGGGGATACGGCGATGCGTACCTCAATGACCTTCCCGTGGATCTTGTCCGCCCAGCCGGCGAAGTACTTGATCGTCTGAATAGCGAATGCGACGTCGACGTTCTTGGCCCACCCGAAGGTCTTGCCGTTGTCGAGCGCCTCAAGCGCGCACAGCTCGTCCAGGTTCTGCTCCATGAGGAGCGCGAGCTTGTAGAGCAGCTCCGAGCGACGGGAGCCTGCGGCGTTCAAGCCCCAGGTCGTGTCGAAAGCCTTCTGGGCAGCGATGACGGCCTTGTCGACATCCGCGGCGGTAGCCTCGGCGACAGAGGTGATCAGCTTGCCCGTGGTAGGGTTGATGACGCTGGGGGAGCAGTTAGGGCCAATTGGCGATAGAGAGGAGGCGAAGATGGGAGTAGAGATCGCATTGGGGAGAGGGGACTCGGGAGGTCGGTGCGATGGGTGGGGGGCGATGCGTTGAGGATGGGAAGGTAGTACAGGGACACGTACTCGATCGTGGTCTTGCCCGAGCCCTCAGAGAACTTGCCGTCGATGAAGACGCCAGTGGGGAAGTTGACCTTGCCAGTGTAGGCGGGGGTCTTGAACTCGTAGGAGAAGGAGGTCATCGTGAGTGATGCAAGTGGTGGTTGGGCTTGGGCAGGAGTGAAGATCGACGAAGAGGAAACCCTTGGGAGGATGAGGTCAGGCTGGGGGGCCGTATATAAAGACGCCTCCCGCGACTCCGGCCCGCGCTATCTAACTCGGACACGCGCCTATCGATGACAGAGATGTGGGGGCAGCTGACCTTGATCTGCTGAGGCGTGCGAGAGTGGGACGCCGACGGGTCGTCCGTTCAAGGTCCGTCATCACATTGCCAATGTCCGTCAGGCGCCAAGTCAGCAGTCCGTGCAGCCCTCCTGCGCCTCCCATGCATCCGGGAAGTCGACACCACGCAGCGGGTCGTGCTATCGCCAGGATGGCGCGACATCCGCAAACTTGGCACCGGGAGAGGACGAATTGTGGGCGCCTTCGTGCAGTGCGGGAACCTCCCCCATCAATTGAGCGGTGGGATGACGTGTCGCGTGAGTACGGCTTCCCGAACGCACAGTGGCGTCCATCTTCCCTCCGTCCCGTGAGCACTACGCCCGAAATCCTCCATTCCCGCTCGTTCAGTCTCTGCGCGCCCTCCCTGTCAGCCCAAAATCCAAGACACCCGATCCATACCCCGCTTCCCCGCGCACAACACTCGTCTCACCCCGCGCGATCACCTACGTCCCCCTCGGCGCCCCGCACATTACAATTATCTCTCCCCGCGCAATCAGCCCCCGCCCTCCCGGCCTATCCATATCCCTCGACGGCACACTTCGGCTGGCAACGCGAAGAGGAGGTGCTGATGACCACCGTGGCGCAGGTCAGCGGAGGGAGGCGCAATGGACGCTGCGTCTAGCGTCCTCGCTTGAGCAGAGGGGAGCGGCCTGTGCTGCGGTCGCACCAATCGCGTACAATGGTGCTGAATTCAGGGACACGGCGTCCCGAAGGCGGACGGGAGGGCGTTGGAACCTGATTTCAATGTTCGAGGTTTGCACTAGCAGCAGACGCGTGACCGTGAGCAGGTCAGGCGCGGAACCGGAATTATCTGACGTACGCACCCTTGACTTCAACTTACCGGACTGGGTGCTCAGTCTCTCAGCCATAATCGATCCGTATTCAAAGCATTCGTGAGGAAGGATCGGACTCGGACAGGGGCTTACCGGACAACGGCTGTACAAGTCGAAGTTCCTTCGTGAGTGCCAAGGTCATCCCCCATTGTGGACGGACACGAGAATTGGCTTGGGACACCCCGGAAGAGTTCTCGAAGTGTGGCTGCGCTAGGGCTTTCACTTCGAAAAGCCAAGCTCAGCTAACGCGGTGCATCGCAGGTAACCCTCTTCCATGACGATGCCGTATCGTAGCCTAGCACCGTTGGCTACTCCTTAGCCTCCCCTAGCCTGGCAGTATCTCCGATATATGACGAGAATCCTGCAATAGAGCTAGTACTTGACAGGCTCCTCAGTACCTTGCACGTCCGTCAATAAGGGCCGGCTTGACTCTAGCGAAGGCATGACGAATGATTCTCTATCGAACGCAATACAGTGTATTTCTAGTTCAAAGCTTCGTAAAGGGGTCTCCTTGCTTCCCCTACGCCTCCCCCAAAGCCCGCTTCACTGCCGCATCCGTCTCGCGCACAATGCTATGCTTCCACCACACATATCCATCCTGCATCCCGTACCCAAGCTTCGCCAGCCTCTTCGCCTCCTCCGAATTGCCATTCACGCCATCCTTGCCCTCCTCGCCCCCCTCCGCGCTCTCGGTGTAGAAAGGCGACCCAGCCTCCACAAGCGACAGATCCGCCCCCTCCTCATTAAACTCGTAAAACAGACCCTGCAGCCGCGCGCGCTCGTGCACAAAGTTCGCGATGGGCGGGCGGAGGCGGTTGTACAGGTCCATCGTCTCGTCAGACAGCGCCTCGAGGGGGCCCTTCTTCTGCGCATAAGCGAGGATCTGGGCGAGGACGTAGCCGTCCTGGGTTGGATATTTGAGTACATGTCGGCGGACGGAAAATGGATGGGATAATTACCTCGATCGCCTCGCAGGCGCCGGCGCCGATGTGGGGGACCATGGCATGGGCCTGAAATGGGATTTTACTTCAGTCGCGGCGAATTGCGACGAAGAGACTAAACGTACAGCATCTCCGAGCAAGACGACGCCGTTGTGCGCCCATGTCTCGAAGGGCTTCAGCGTAAGGACAGCCCAATGGGAGGGCTTCGCCATGCACTGCGAACAGATAATTCAGTAAGCAAGTGGCTTTCGAAAACAGAAGGAAGATCACACATACCCCCAACAACGCCTGCACCTCCGGCTCCCACCCTTCGTACATCTTCAGGACCTCCTCAGTGGTCGCCTGGCCGATCTGCGACCCCGAGAAGGGCGTGTTCTCCTTCGACGGGTCGGTGTAAAAGGGGACGACGTTGACAAAGTGCTTGTCGCCCAGGTGGATGGGGTAGGTGATGATGTGCTTGTTCTTGCCGCAGTACTACCCGGATATCAGTATAAGCATCGCACAACAACAAGAAGTCACCCAACGCACAATATGCGGCTTCACCAGCGTTGGATGTCCGGGCCAGAGCTTCGCCAGATCCTCAGAGGGAACCAAATCCCGATACACCTTACTCCCACTGAACAGCGGCTGCGCGCTGGCATTCAGCTCCTCATTGCCTAGCTCCTTAGCGAGCTCGGGAAGCAGCTGCTTCCGGACGACCGAATGCACGCCGTCCGCGGCGATGAGCAGGTCACAGCGCGCCTCGTCGCCGCCTTTGAAATGCAGCTTGATGCGCTCATTGGGGGCGTCGGTGTAGGAGTAGGACTCGAGGCGGTGGGAGAGGTGGATTTCGACCTCGGGCGAGAGGTGCTTCATGAAGAGCTCCTGGACATCCGCGCGGTGGAGGAGGAGCATGCGGCCTGGGGATGATGTTAGCGCCGTGGCGTCGAAGTCACTGCAGCCCATATACTTACCTGCCTCCCCGAAAACAATCTCGGTAATCGGTACGCCTTCCTTCTCATCGCTCTTGCGGCAGACCCAGGCTGTCGTGCGATTGTCAGTCTGCTCTCTCCCTCAATCCTCGATAAAACAATCTCACTCACGAGTGTTCTCATTCTCCCGTAACAACCGCGCAATATCCTCCTTCAGTCCAATCTCGCCCAGCATCTCGCACACCCGCTCCCAGATATTGATGCCGGCGCCAATCTGGTTGATGTGCGTAGCGGCCTCGTAGATATGCACGTCCAGCTGGGACATGTCACAGAAGTGCTGGAGGGCGAGGACCTGGGCGAGGCCGCCGATGCCGCCGCCGCTGGGGGAAGAAGGGAGGTTTAGGTGGGTTATATTGAGGGAAGGGGGAAGAGACGTACATGACGGCGATGTTGATCTTGCGAGAGGGTTGGGCGGCCATGTTGTGTGGTGAGAGGACTAGCAATGTGAGTGTAGTCGGGTGTAGGAGGTCTACGATGAGGTGTAGCGACGCTGGCAAGCCTCTTATAGGGCGCCTTCGACAACGTAGGTCGCCACGGCGCTTCTCCGACAGTACGCAGATTGGGAGGGCACGACAAACGTCTTCACACGAATCTGCGGCCCCGAAGGTCGAAGCTCACGGATAGAACGACGCCCATCGTTGTTTTACGAATGCACGGTGAGTAGGCTCTCTCTAAGGCGGATAATTTCTGCCTAGCGATAGACGTCAACGACGTCCAGAGACATCAAGTGAATGGCTCATACGAGTTACTCTGACCCGCACCGAGCCCGTCGTACCCTATACCTGGCCGCCATCGTACAGACAAGCTACGCCGAAAGGCAGAATTAGGGACGAACGGGCTCTCTCGGACACCCACACTGAAAGCGCTGAGAACGTTTCGCTGCATCGAGCGAGAGTTCACCCAAAGAAAGCAGGGTTGGGCGCGTGTCGAAAGCCAGAGAACTTCGAAGTCTTCCGTTCGCGCGCGGATTGCGGCTTCATCTCAGCAAGTTTAGCTACCGACCTCCGGTGGACTTCGCTAGGTCGCCGTGTCCTTCTTGTTCCAGAAGGGGATGGCTGCGGCGATAGGCATGAGATGTGGGTCCAGATAGTAGTGGGTCACAGAAGGGTTGAGAACAAGAGCCATAAATTCAGGACGGATCAGAGAGTTCGGCAATATCCGAGCGATGCGCCCACACTAGTCAGTCAGCACCTGTAAGCGACTCCTGCATATCTTTCGAATATGCAAGAATGCATCAATATTCATCGCATAGCCAACGCGGATGCTGCCTTCCGAGATCCATTCAAGTGGATGCTGAAAAAGAGGCAAGCCAGTCAGACGTGCCCAAAAAGCTCCAACCAATCCTTTGCTTCTATCCTTTGTTGGGCTTTGATCTCAAAGGCATGAGTGTGCCCTGGAGACACTTTGATACTTCGACTCATAAAGACCGTAGTCCAAGGGCTGCAAAGGGGGCGGTAAAGGTCGAAGGAGGTCAAAGGTGGCGCGTGTGATAAACGCGTCACCGTCACGCGGAACGCCGCCCGGACCGGATCCCGGACCTTTCCTCCAGCGATCATCATCATTGCCACCGACGTGGGTTGTCCCGTACTTCCTTCGCACCCAGATATGTCCAGTGGCAACTTGAACAACATTACAGGCGCTACAGGAAACTCGGCCTCACACCAGCCTGCATCCCACCACGCCCATAATAGCACGGCAGCCATGCTCTCCATTCTCACCCCAGGCGCCCAGCGGCGCTTGTGGGACTTCCCCAACGAAATCTGGATCCAAATATTCGAGGCAGTGGGGAATTCCGCCGACCTTCTATCTGTATACCGCAGCTGCCGCCTCTTCCGCCAGCTCGCTCTAGAGCCGATGTTTGAAGATCTGCGCTTTACACGCACATATCGCGCTTTGGCTGTTGCACGCGTACTCGACGAGAACCCCAACTTGCGCCGCCGGGTGCGTACGTTGGAGTTCCGACTTACAAGGTCATTTGATCTGGAAAACCCTGGGTCGTCCTTTGTCTCGATGACGGAACCGTACGTCGCGCGTGCAAGTGACTTTGACGCGCTTCTAGGGCGCGCAATCGATCTACCCAATCTCTCGACAGTTCACTTGATACGCGCCACTGTCACACCAGCAGTATACAACGTTCTCTCTGCTCTTCCACGCCTGGAGACCCTCAAAGTCATTCAGTGCGCACTCGCACCGCTACGTGTACCTGCTGGCGCACCGTCAGAAGCGCACGTCCTTTCGTCGATACGAGTCAAGCGACTTGTCTACAGGCGCAATCGACTGACTCCAAGCGCTCATGAGGGGCTCGGGGAGCTATTGCACCCTGTGCTTCTGACACGCTTAGCGAGTTTAGAGGAGCTCAAAGCAGACTGGGACGACTCGCTATCTGTACCACCCTGGGCACCGATACAGCCGCAGCTGCGCGATGTGACCCTATATGTCCTCGACGCGCGCGCTGGCACGGAGCTGAGGAACCTACCCCTCTTCCTCGCCGCGCGTCCCAACATCGCCACACTCCGCGTCGAAGCGTCCGACCCAGCAATCCGCATGACAGCAGCCACCATACCGGGCCTGCGAAAATTCATAGGCGCACCCGGCATCGCCCGCGCCGTGTTGCCCGACAGCGGCACGCGCACCGTCGACACCACCGCTTACGCCGCACACGTCCCCAACACCATCGCCCTCCTCGAGTCCTGCCCCCGCGCGCTCGCCGATCTGCGCATCGCGCTCCGCATGTGGGACGAGGAGATCCTCTACGCCGTCGCGCAGCTCCTCCCGGACCTCGAGCGCCTGGAGGTGTGGTACCACGGCGGGTGCCCGAAGGACACGTTCGTGATGTCGCTGGGGACGCAGCTCATCCCGCGGATGCCGCGCCTGCGGGTGCTGAAGGTGTTCCCGCTACCGGGCGCGGGGGGCGCGGCGGATGCGACGGACGCTGCGCGCGCGGACGATATGCACAACGAGAATAGGTGGAAGCCAGTGCAGCGCGGCGTCTTCACGCGCGCGCAGGTGCGCGGCTTCCTGAGTGCGTGGACGCGGTACTGCCCCTCTTTGGAGGAGGTGAAGCTGGCGCCGTCGTCTTACTGGGTGCGGGATGCTACTGGGGTCGATTGGGAATGTATCGGCGAGTGAGCTTGACCGATAATAGTGACGCTTTAAGACACTTTTTGCTTGTAGTCTGGGTCATGCAGTCGCACTGTACAGTACCGATCGTCGAGATACGCAAGGGTCACGAACTGTAGTTATAGGTATACTATTCCGCTGTCTTGGTCGCACCGCTAGTTGATCATTTGGACGACAGGCCCGTACATGATAATGAATCTTGCTCCCTGGCTTCCTTTCGCCTGCGCGTAAGGATGCGCAACAATACTGCGAAGGTACCGGTTTTTTCTCGCCGTGGCCATAAAGGATCCTTTGATCACCTTGTGTGGCACGCCCTCGGTCCTGCCCTTTCGAATATCTCTGCCAGAAAAATACATTGCCCATTCCCCCTCTATACAACGCCTCCGACACTCAGCGGATCTCGCGCTATGTTTGAGGGGGAAATGCGCCATACAACGCCCTTTCGACCGTATTCCGCGGATACCTTCCGTGGCGTGGAAAAATTGAAGTAGGAGGAGGAGACCCGATGAGGCCCAGGTATATAAGGCGCACTTGTCGTCGTTCTTCATACCTAGCATTCAACAAAGCAGGAAATCACGCACCCACCAGCTAGTCTCATCAACATGTCTCGCATCGCCACTATCTTCGGTGCTTCGGGCGAGCAAGGTGGGTGGCAACTCACACTCGAACAATCCTCCCGCTCGTCCTACTAGCGCAATACACACCTCACCGGTGCTGTCTAGGCTCTTCCGTCCTCAACGCCGTCCTCAAAGACGGCACCTTCAAGCCCCGCGTTGTGACGCGCAACACCAACTCGGAGTCTTCCAAGAAATTCGTCGACTTGGGCGCCGAGGTCGTCCAGGCCGATTCCGGTGACAGGGAGTCGTTGAAGAAAGCTCTCGCAGGCTCTGAGGTCGTGTTCTTGGTGGGTTATATCCGGCGTTGGAGCCTCCATGGCGCAGACGACTTTGCAGGTCACGTTCCTCTTCGGGGCCACCAGCGAGTTCGACCAAGGCAAGAACGTCATTGACATCAGCAAGGAGGTCGGCGTGAAGTTCCTGGTCTTCAGGTGAGCTCAGGTTGTTGCTGGTCCACAATTACATGAACTAATCACTCGCCGTACAGCTCCCTGCCAAGCTTGACCGAGCTGTCAAAGGGGAAGTACACACAGGCCTTCCACTTCGACGGTGAGTTCGCTTGTCCGGCATCCTTCATACCCTCCTTACATCAACCCGCAGACAAGCAGAAGATCCAGAAATACCTCGACGCCTCCGGCCTCCCATACGCATCTATAAGCACCGGCTGGTTCCTTGAGAACTTCCTGAAAGTGTACGTCGCTTATTCTTCACCCTGCTCCTCACCATCTCCTCTTCCCCGTCTCCCCTCGCGTCAATCCTCACCGCTCGCCACAGCAACCGCAAAGGCCAGCCTACCTTCGAGAAGACCGACCACGGCTATGTCTACCACGCCTTCGGCTTTCCCGGCATGGCATACGCCGTCTCCTGGATACAGCACGACCTCGGACAGACCTTCGTCACCCTCGGGAAACAGTATAACACGCGCCCTGATGAGGTGCTGGGCCAAAACTTCGTAATTGGAATTGCGCGCCCAAAGGTGGAGGATATTGTGAAGGAGCTGAGCAAGGGTGAGTGCTGGCGTCTGAGTACCAAGAGAGGCGTGAACAAAAGCTGATAAGCGTGTAGGCCTCGGCGCTCCCGTTGAGCTGAAGTACGAAGGGAAGATCGGACTTGCGCCCTTCGACGAGATGTACGCGTCTGCGGCCGAGCTTGACTGGTACCCCGGTGTCGAGTTCCCCGACCCTCGCCTGGAGAAACTCGGCGTGAAGCTTGGCACCATCGAGGACTTCGCGCGTACCACCTTGAAGGCGCATGTAGGGGCGTAAGTGGTGATCTGAAAGAGAAGTAGCAAAGTGATTAATGTAGAGTCACGGACTGCGATGATCTACGTGCATGACCTGTCGATGGAATGGCTGCAACAATCCTCGCAAAGCACAGGCGAGTCGAGCAACCCGGGAGGTTCGAAAGAAATACACCGGAGACCACCGACATCGGCATCTCTGAGTTCATGGGTTTGTGCGCATCTTCGTAAATCATTACCTGACCCATCATCGCACCGGTCCCCCAACCGACGCACCCCGTCCGCGACGTGCTAAGTGCTTGATAGGCGGACTGCATAGACCAACAATCCTTGACGATCAGAGAGGTTCCTCGTGGCGGCTACATTCCGGGATCCTGGGCATGCCGTTCGGCGAGCAGTCCCAGCTCGCTCTTCCCAGAGGCCCGTCAGCCCATCGCCAGGCTGAAAATGAGTAGGCGTAAGCCATCGGCGAGCGCCTCGCTAGAATTGAGCCGCATATAAGACCGTCGTTCGAGCTTCATCTTCCGCAGCAAAGTCACCCTTCACCATGGCGCGTATCGCGACCGTCTTTGGCGCAACCGGAAAACAGGGTGAGCACTCCCACCTTCCACACTTGCGATGCAACTGATCATACTACACGCAGGGTCCTCCGTCGTGCGGGCCCTGCTTGCGGACGGCACCTTTACCCCTCGCGGTGTCACGCGAGACGTCAACTTTCCCGCCGCACGTAGGGTCGCCGAGCAGGGCTGCGAGGTCGTCCAGGTCGACATGTGGGACAAGGAGGCTGTCGAGAGAGCTGTTGCTGGTGCCGAGGCCGTGTTTGCGGTAGACCTCGAATTGTTTTCTTGTCAGATATGATACTGATTAGAGCGTTCACCTACCATTCCATTCACCGCCCTCTCCGAGCTTGACCAAGGCATCAGTAAAATCAATGCAAGCAAGGCGGCCGGTGTACGTTGCCTAGCCTTCAGGTGCGCTCCCTAATACCAGTCGTGCGTATACATCTGCAGTCTGACTCGTGCATCTGCAAGCACGTTACCGAGTCTGAAAGCGTTATCCGGCGGGAGATACCCGAATATAACACCCGCTGAAGGTACTGGATCGGCGTCACAAAGAGGGCCGGTACTTACTATGTGACCTGCAGAGAAAGCCGAAGTCCACAGATACCTCGAATCTTCCGGCCTTCCCTATGCGTGTATCGCCACGGGCAACTTCCTCGAGAACGTTCTTGCAAGGTAAGTCCGCGCGCCCCTCGACACTTCTGCACTCAAGGTGCTCACCCACCTTGCGTCCCAGCGACGTCGGTCTCCCGCCCTTCTCAAAGACGGAACATGGCTATGTGATGTATCTCCTAGGGAAGCCCGACATGGTCCTCCCCTGGACATGGATCGACCGCGACATGGGGCCCGCCGTGACGGCGCTCATGAAGCAGTACGACGCACGCTCGCCCGAGATCATTGGCCAGACCTTCGTGCTCGGTGTAGCCCGGGCTAGCGCCCAAGAAGTCGCGGCGGAGCTTGCCAAAGGAAAGCCATGGCGTGACTCAGCCATCGGAAGCTCTGCTTATCGCAGTTTAGGTCTGGAAAAACCCGTCGAAGTCAGATGCGTGGCCACTTGTGCCGTGCAGATGGTAAAAGACATGGTAACGTACCACTAAATCTGAGCGTGTTGCTCCAGCTTACGTCGCCCAGTACGCGTTTTCAAGCGAGTTCGAGTGGTACCCGGGTGTAGAAATTCCCGATCCCCGCCTCGCAAAACTCGGAGTCGAGGTCGGCTCAATCGAGGAGTTCGCGTGCACAACGCTGAAAGCTTATGTTCAGGCGTGAAATGTCTGCAATTTGTAGAAGCAAAACCCAAAAGAGTTCAGGCTGATAATTTTCGTCTGTAGAGTGAGATCAGCTTAGTTAGTGCACAATTAGGCAGAGTACTTATGGATCATACCTGGGAGGCTTGCTGGGCGAGGTGATCTATGTAGGAAGACAAGGCCGCGGTTCGAACGCGCAAGGACCCCCGCCGGGTCGCCATGCCAGGAAGCGTGCCGCATGTGGCCTAAGCCGAGCACGCACTTGCACAATCGAAGGCCGCTGCCCTCGAGAAAAATGGTGCCGAGCCTATGATTGTACGCGCGCATCTCGGCGCCCCACCTGCACGAATGCGGGCTGGTGGGGTCGGAGACGCAACCCGCGACAGTGAATCATGCTGTTGGAGAGCGGTTGCCGGTCTTAAAGACGACGTCCAGTAGCGCACGAGCCGAACAGGTGGTCCATTGTCGCCCCGGCGCTTATGCCGTCCATGCACCCACGGGCAGTGAGGTCGACACGCAACTCCGGTGGCTAGATGGGGCTGAACTCCGTGCATTTGCTTTTGGACATCGTTTGCGAAAGAAGGAAGGGGGGAAGGGATGATGGGGAATTGGAGGGCTTGGTCCTCAAATATATATACCCTTGGCCGGTGGCTGTATCGCATGTCTTTATAGCTGTGAAGGTCTAGGCTCATATACTTCTGGTTCGGTCCGATCGCGCTAAAGGATGCGCTGAGCGACCAAGCTATGGTGAACCACGTATTCCCGACGACGAGCACACACACCGAAGCCCTGTCACGCCTTCCCTCGAGATTCTCTGTCTTGGCAGACAGACATGCTTCTTTGTGCAGTATGCCAAGCTCGACACCAGTGACGAGAGTGTGCGGAGTGGTTACGAGACCGAAGGTCGGACGGGATGGACGTCGAGGACAAGATCACATTCCCGCTTTCCCAGGTTGCCGCATGCGGTCAGCGGAGATGCTCAACGTGGCGTCCATGCTTCAGGCGTGGGAGGATATGTCCCTGTCGGGGCAGATGGCGAGCACGCGGCAAAGGGCCAAACAAAGCCAAAGTCAATCGCGCAGCAGGCGCCCTGAACTTCGGATCGCTTGCCGATTCACCTCAGGCTGCAGATATTTTTCACAAACTATCTGTCGCACGCAGAACAACTGTAAGGTGCCACTATCCCTCGAATGCTGGGGAAAGAGGCCGCGGCATTCTTCCAAGTACATCATCATCTACACTTGAGTCTTGACTGCTTGTCCTAAACATGACGTTTATACATGCATCGGTCTGGCAACCGACGGTGATCTCTCCGTCCGAAATGGACAGAAAAACTCGGCCATGTGGGCACTTCGCGGCAAAGACATTCTTCTACGGCTACCTTCCGAAGTCTCACGACGATGCCGGCCGAAGTCCAGTCTCCAGCGGACCCTCAGCCACACTCGGGCCAATGTACGCGGGTACGCTCTACAATACTTTTCTGGGATATAGCAGTCCAGCGAGAGTATATAAAGGGGCCAATGCAGCACTTTCACTACCCAACAGACATCGCGTTTTCCGCTAACAACAACCAACAATGTCCCGCATCGCTACCGTCTTCGGTGCCACTGGAAAGCAGGGTAAGTGCTTGTTCCGCTGTCCCTACATGCCATTTACTGGCTGGCCTCGACGCCGTTCTTCCAGGCTCCTCCGTCGTCCGCGCCCTCCTCGCCGATGGCACCTTCAAGCCTCGCGCTGTTACGCGCGACCCCGACTCGCCTGCCGCGAAGAAACTGGCTGGGCAAGGCGCCGAGGTCGTCAAAGCCGATATGGCTGACAAGGAGGCCGTTAAGAAGGCCGTGACTGGCGCGGAGGTCGTCTTTCTGGTAACACCTCTTCATGGATTCGAAATCAGAAGGAGCTACAGGACCTTGGTCTTACAGGTCACAGCGCCGTTCACCTCTACGACAGAGGTTGTGCAGGGCACGAACATCATCGACGAGAGCAAGGCGGCTGGCGTGAAGTTTTTGGTGTTCAGGTACGTGCTTTGTACGTCTAGCGTTTATTAGCTTACTGATCTCTTTCTCCCCAGCACCTTACCGAGTATCAAGGGCCTTTCCAATGGGAAGTACCCGAACGTGTCTGTCGCTGAAGGTACTTCCTTGTCCGTCTCGTCCGAATTCCTCATTGACTCCCCGCCTTTATAGAGAAAGTTGAGATTCAGGCGTACCTGAAGGCCTCTGGCATTCCCTATGCCTGCATTGGAACCGGCAGTTTTCTTGAGAATTTATTGGTCAAGTAAGTGCTCCGTCTGTTGTTTATCATGAGATCCTACCAATTCATTGTTGTGCGTAGCCACCTCGGCCTCCCGCCCTTTGCCAAGACCGACACCGGCTATGTGATGCACTCCTATGGCAAGCCTGATATGACCTTCTCCTGGACGTGGATCGGCCACGACATGGGGCCTGCGGTCACCGCGCTCTTCAAGCAGTACGAGACGCGCAATACCGAGGTTCTTGGGCAGACCTTTGTCCTCGGCGTGGCGCGCGCGACAGTGAAGGAGATTGCGGCCGAGTTTGCGAAGGGTGCGAGGTCTCGTTGCTCTCGTTGACCACTGATCGACGGTGCGCGTAGGTTTGGGTAAACCCGTCGAAGTCAAATGCTTGGAGAAGTGTGAGATACCTATGGTCAACGACATGGTGAGCGATATCTCTGGTCCTTCTTACATTGTGCTGTCACTGACGTTCGCCAGTACGCCTTCACTATCGAGTACGAATGGTACCCCGGCGTGCCTGTCCCCGACACCCGCCTCGAGAAGCTCGGCGTGAAGATGGGCACCGCGGTGGACTTCGCGAAGACCGTCCTGAAGCCGCACCTGGGCGAGTAAATGCTGAGAACGATTGTATTTGTACAACAAGCAGAATATGTGTCGAAGGAATGGAATCATCACCGTTGATCTAAACGTGAATGAGCTGGACAAGTCGAGATCAAGACTCAGAGTGAAGGTGGGTATGCACCGGTTTCCACTCATTCATGTCCTCGGTAGTATATCGGCTAGTACACCCGCCTGTCAAGGGTCTCCGCGAATTGCGCGGGAGAGCGGGGTTCGACTCCCCGCCGAGGAGCGTCTTTTTGTGTCTTTCGAATGCTTCACACGTTCACAACCTGACCATGACTGTTTAGCCGAGCCCTTTTCTCTACTGGATGTTGATGTGTGGAGAAAGCGACAGCGCTTGGGCAGAACTCAGGATACTCGGTAAACACCGAGGTTCAACTGTGAAATTCGGCCCGGGAGCCGTACTGATTCGTGATCGGCGATCGAGCAAGCCATATTCTGCTCGTTGTCCGCGACGACGATGGAGGACTCCGAGCGCCCCCGCAAGCGATTCAGACACGAGACGTACGCACAGAGCGTGCAGGATGTGCACGCACCGCGACCCACGGCGTCGGATGCCACATTCCCCGACGCCCTCGACCACTGGCGGCAGCTGAACCTTGCCCCGTCCTTCCTCGCGTTCGCGAAGCGGGTCGCCCCCCTCGCGGCGTCGCTTCCCCTGCTTGTGCATAATGCGGACGAAGTGGTTGATGCGTGGCTGGAATATGTGAAAGAGACGGACGATGAGGGCCATCGGGTCCTTTTAGCGTGCGTGGTGTTCCCTCGTTATACGTCTTGTGTGCTGATGATTCTCCAGGCTGCTTCCCCCCCTCCTCACTGATTTGCGGACGACCGTCGCGGGGAAGTATGAACTCCTGCTGGATGCAACACTCGGACTTCTTCCACTTCGCCCATCTAAGGATACCCTCATCAATCTGCTCGCCGCGCTTACGAGCCTCTTCCGCATACTTCTTGCCCCCGAAGGGCTTCAAGCAACCCATGAGCGTGTTGTCGCTGCTGCGAAGGCAGCCCCGCCAGAACTGCAACGAGCACTCGGAGAAGCATGGGCCTCTGTGCTCAGAAGAAAAGACATGCAGGCTGCCCCGGCGCTGCTAGCCGCCGCAGAGGACGAGATTGATCTCTTCGCGGCATGGGCGCTTGTCAGCGCGTGCAAGGTGCGTCAACATCTCCTACTTTCGTCGCAGGGAGCTTATTACCATCATAGAACGTCGCTCAATCTCTACATACCGCAACCCCACGTCTACTCGCTGCAGTCGTGGACGTGCATGTTGCTGGATCAGGATGCCTCCGCCTCCTCCGCCGCACGTTCACTGCGCTTGCGCACCATGTCGCACGCGCAGATGCATACGCCGCCGTCGCTCACGTAGCAGCAGACACTGCGACGAAGGCGGTGAACGCATTCACTGCCAATGATACCTCGATCGACGCGCTTACCCTAGCCCGCGCGCTCGATCCCGCCTTCCTCGTCGCCGCAGTCCGCGGCGGCTCCCGCCTACCACCTACCGAGCGCGCATCCCTCGTCACCTCCGCAACAAAACTCATCGCGCACCTCTCTACGCACCCCACACCCGTGCTCGACACCACCATCCGTCGTATCGTCCCTGCGCTCCTCCTTTCTTCACCATCGGGCACGCTAGACGTAGCAGCTTCATCGCTGCTCGCTTCTACATGGTCCCTCCCGATCTCGCTCGCCGCGCAGATACACGCCGTCTTACATGCTCGGGCTCCGTCTGCGCAAGGCGTGTGGAAGGCCGCACTCCCTGGCGTGCTCAAGCGTGTGCCTCAGTTGCTCGGCTGCGAGGATGGTGTGCGCTTATTGGGCGCGATGGCACGAGGGAAGGCCGTTGGGACCGACTCCGAAGACACCAAGGACCAGGAGGAGGTAGATGATGACGAAGACGAGAACGCTGGAAGCTCAAGCAAGGTCCCCAAACTGCGTTCTGCGGCTCTCGATGTGGTTGCGGCCCGCGCAGTGGCCACTTGGGCGGAGGAGAAGGTTGTCGTGCTGCAAAGTCAAGATCGGGAAGAACTCACGCGCGCAGCCTTGCCCTGGCCCGACACCCTCGCCATCGCGCTCCTCTCACCCGACACGGCACCCATCAAAGCCCTCATCGACAGCGCCAGCAAGCTCCTCCTCGACGAAGCAACAGATACCAAGGACACGACCCGCATCACCATGCTAGGGGCCGCCCTACACGCCATCGCCGACCGGCTGGCTCGCGACGGGAAGGCAGACAACAAGAAAAAGGACGCCAGCAGCAAGTGGGCTTCCGACATCTCTCTTCGCCTTTGGGCGCGCGCGGCGCTCGCCAGGTGGTCGGAATGTGGTGCGGTGCTCAGTGGGGCCGCGAGGGTAGTCGAGGGCGTGGCGAAGCTGGGTTCGACGAAGGCTGCGAAGGCGGAGGACGGCGCAAAGGATGCTGCTCAGCTTACCGACGGCGTTCTGGACGCTTTGCGGAGTCCTTCGCGTGCACGACGTCTGGGTACCTTGAGGTTGTTGACCGTGCTTGTGGTGCGTCTTTTCTATCATCATATAAGCGAACAGTCACTGAACGCTACCTTTAGCCGCCTTCCACCCCATTCGCCGATGCCATCCAACTTTGCTTGACGGCCGAGCGCGTCGAGCCTGGCGTAGCAGGCGTTCGCGAACGTGTCCTGCGAACAGGCAAGCTAGGCGAGGGTGTAGAAGTGAACGAGGAGGTTGAGGACAATGAAGAGAAGTGGTCCCCAGCCAGGCTTGCGACTGCGTGGCTTATCGGTACGGCTTCCATCTCTTTTCACATCTGGACTACCTGCTGACATACATCACTTTTTAGGTCAGTTTGCTGTACCCCTTCGCCCGCTATGGAAGCCTGCAGGCAATGCGTTAGTTACTTTAGCCAGCAGAGCGGAAGTGGTAGCTGGAGACAGCGTCTGGCAAGCCATCGAAGCACACGTCTCCGCGGACGAGGTCGACAACACGCAAGTTAGCGATGAAGCTCAGGCATCCAGCTTCCCCATGATGGAGGCCGATGTCCCTGAGGAGCACCCCTCGGCCCTTGATGCTGAGAATGACTCCGAAGAGGAACGCACCTGGCGCGACCCCGCCGCTCATTGGCTGCGTGTTGCTGCGAGACGAGCGGCCGCGCATGATGAGCAGGGTCCTCCGACTACCGAGGACGACGACGTACGCCGCTTCGACCCACGCGCGCACGAGGAGCAGCTCCTCGGCGTACTTGCGCGTCTCCCAAGCACGATCTCGCCTCGCGGACGTGCCATTGTCAAAGCCTTCCTCTCGCGCGTAGGCCCCTCGGCCACGCCTCCTCCTCGCCCCGTACTCCTCGCGTGGCTTCGCCTGATCGCTGCATGTCCTGCACCGCGCTCATTACCCACGGCTGACGTTGTCTACGCTGCTCTCGCCGACGCACTCGCACGGCCGGATACAGCGCTTCAGGTCGCTGCACTAGACGCGTTAGCGGCGTTCTGGGGTGTCCGAGGCATCGACGAAGGCGCGGAGGACGACCGGTCGGGCAAGAAGGGAGGGAACAAAAAGGGGAAAGGGGAGCAGAAGACAGGAGCAGCAAGCGGAAAGAACAGGGGCAATGACGAATGCACGGCCTGGGTTGCTTCTCTTCGCGCGCTCTTGGACGATACGCGAGCGAGGGATGAGCTGGCGAGCTTGAGCTCTGGCGCTGATGAAGATGAGGACGACCCAAGTAGCGGACTCGAGGTCGACACATCCGTCGTCGCGCGTCTGCCGCCGAAGGATACACCGGGGCGTGTGGCGTTCACGCCGTTGCTTGTGCGCGTCCTCTTTGGCCGATTACGAGCAAAGGGGCGCCGGCCTGCCGCTCTTCTCGGTGCTCTGCCAGCGAGAGGGCGAGGTCTGCTGGTTGGGCTAATGGTGAAGGAGGTCGAGAGAGGATGGAGCGAGGGGTAAGTCTACCTCCGCTTACTCTCTCACGATATGCGCTCACTAGCTCTTACAGGGCCCCGACGGAGCCGATTGATAGCGACCGTGCTGCGCAGGACAAGCGCGCGGCGGGCTTCTTGACGTTGCTCGGCGATGTGCTGACCCAGCTGGGCGCGAGACTCGTACCTCACTGGCCTGCACTTCTGGACGTCGTGGTCAAGCTGGGTGGTGACGCGGAGCGGAGGCTGTTGAGCACGAAGGCTGAGGACGGTGAAGTAGATGCCGTCGAGGAGGAGGTCGAGGCCAAGGAAGGGGAAGAGGCCGAAGCAACTCTCGAAGAGGTAGTTCAGGACAGTGCTCCCAAGTCGAAGTCCACATCGAGCAGGAGCACTAAGCATGACGGCAAGACAGCTCGCGCTGCTGCCCGCAACGTTCGTGCGCTTTCGCTTCGCCGGCTCGCGCAATTCTTTCAAGTCGCAGCGGCCTTTGGTGATGGTACGTGTCCATCCATAGCCATCGCCGGTTTAGTTTGACTCGCTGCTGTTCGGCTGACCTTTTGCCACAGATCCCAGCACTCCCGATACCACACCCGCCCTATCGACTGCTGTGCGTGCGGCTTACCCGGTTCTACTCGGCTCGCGTATCTCGCGTCTACCATCAGAGGGCACGCAGGCTCCTGGCGCGCTCATCGACATTCTGGGCGCCTGGGCAGGCCGCAAAGAATGGGTTGGGTGGCTTGTCGGACGTGGCCTCCAGGACGTGCTTACTACCGAGGAGACACCACTCCGCCAACTTCTCGCTTTGCTCGTCGCGCCAGCAGTCAAGTTCTCCGTCGTCCTTCGTGTCTTCGACGTCATTGAGGGTCTGCTCAGTCTCGCCGAGAGCGACGAAGACGAGGCCGCCGAAGGTGCTTTGGTCGTCAAGCGCGATGTGCTCATGCCTTACATGCATCTTCTGTTGGAAAGCCTTGCTGGGATGGCGGACACAAGGAACGAGCCGAAGCAGGAGAAGAATAACACAACGCCGACGTCTAAGCCCATCAATGACAAGCACGCTGCCGACGCGCTCCTCGCACGCCGCATTCGCATCCTCGCTGCTGTCTCTCGTTATTGCGCACCAGGATCCCAGGCTGATGCCCTCGCTCGCCTCACATTCCCCCTACTTCGCATGCCAACGAAGCAGGTTCCGGAGCGCGTCAAGGCAGACTTGCTGCGGGTTGTGCGCGATGCTCTGGCAGTCGCAGGGGGCGATGGGGACATGGATGTCGATCAGGACGGGGAGAAAAGCAAGGAATCGGGAAGCTCGACACCCCTTCTGGATGCTGCCTTTTCTGCCTTGGCGCCGCTGTTCCAATCCCTTCGTTCTCGTGCTGCTCGTATCGCCCTTGTCGAAGCCTTTTCCACCCTCGCTGCGCGCGATACAAGCCTTGCCTCCATCAGCCAAGCACTCACGCAGTTGAACGCCTATTCCAAGCGTCGCGTTGACGAGCCTGACGTCGATGCTCGGCTGACCGCACTCGGTGCGCTTGGTGAGACTGGATGGAAGACGCTTAGTGCGCGGGAGTGGACGCCTGTCCTACATCATCTGTTCCAAGCGATACAGGATCCGGAGGAACTGGCGATGCGCACAAGTACCGCCCAAGTGCTCCAGCGATTCATCGACGCAACAGCAGCGGAGATCGTTAACGAGGAGTCCCCGACTGCTCCAGCATTCCAGACTATCTTCAAGAAGGTCTTCTATCCGGGCATCCGCAACGGCCTGCGCACCCGCTCTGATGCTGTGCGTGGCGAGCTGCTCGGCTTGCTCTCCTATGCAGTCGACCGCGCAGAAAGTGTTCCTGCCCTTGTCAAAGTCGTCCCTGCCCTCGGCGAGATGACGGGTTTGCGCGCAGGGGGCGATGCTGAGGCCAGCTTCTTCAACAACCTCTTGCACGTGCAAACACATCGACGCGCGCGCGCACTCCGACGCCTGGCAGACTACTGCGATGGCGGCGAGGACGGCGTCTGTCCTTTGCGCAGTGGTACGCTTGCCGAAATGTTCGTTCCCCTGGTGGCGCACTTCATCGTGCCTACTGGTCAGGGTGTGGATCACCATGTTGTGAACGACGCGATCTTGTGTACAGGGCGCATGGCTCGGCACTTAGCTTGGGGCGCGTACTATGGGCTCGTCCTGACCCATATGCGGCAAGCGCGCGCGACGGAGGGCAAAGACGCCGCAGACAAGGTTTACATCCGTGCTCTTGTCGCTGTGCTCGATGCATTCCATTTTCCCATGGACGAGGACGTCGAAGACGTTGAGGCGGCACCGGAGGGCGAAGATGAGGAGAAGGGTGATCCGGACGTGGCGACAGAAACCGAAGTCGCACGTCAAAAGCGGGCTCGTATCGCGGACATCGTCAATGCCAAGCTCCTCCCTGCTCTCATCGACCATCTTGAGAATCGGCATGCGACAACGGAAGACGGCGCTCGTTTGCCGATTGCGCCCGGCATCGCTGCCGTCGCTGCGCATCTACCTACCGAGAAACGCGACGCTCAGATATCGCGACTGCTCACCGTGCTCAGCCAGGTCTTCCGCAGCAAGTCGCAGGATACACGCGATGCCGCCCGGGATGCACTCATCAAGATCGTCACTCAGCTGGGCCCTCCAGGACTGCCGCTGGCCGTGCGCGAGCTTCGCGAGGCGCTCAGGCGAGGCCCGCAGCTTCACACGCTTGCATACGTTGTACATGCTCTGCTCGTTCATGTCTGCGCCCGAGCGGAGTTCACCAATGTGGACTCGGTGGCGGCAGACGTGGCGCACATCGCCGCGGAGGTCATCTTTGGGACGTCTGGGAAGGACGTCGAGTCCGATGGCTTCCGCACGAAGATGCGCGAGGTGAAAGGGTCGGCGAGCAAGGGCCTGGACGCTTTTGCCCTTCTCGCCCAGCATGTTTCTCCTGGCGCTGTTAGCACAGTCCTAGGGCCTGTGCGTAGCATCCTGCACGAAACTGCGAACGCACGGTCACTGCAGCAAGTGGACGACGTGTTGCGCCGGGTTGCTGTTGGCTTGAACGCAAACAAGCAGCTGACGCCACCAGAGCTACTTGTGCTCTGTCATACGCTCATCAGCCAGAATGCGAAGTTCTTGAAGGACGCTCCCACCAAGAAGTCCAGGAAAGCGATGGGTGATGCTATCGTCCAAGTTAAGCGCCAGATGGAGAAGGCCGAAGATCACTACGCCAGCAATTCTTTCAGGTTAGTCCGCTTGCGCTCCGTGCTTTGATGGCACAACTTACCGGGCTCGTCAGGTTTGTGGCCTTCGGTTTGGACCTTCTACAGACAGCACTTCGGCGCAACCGCTTTGATCTTCAGGACAAGGATACGGTCGCACGCCTGGACGCCATTATACCTGCCGTTGGCAATACCCTCTATTCTACCAGCGCCAACGTGCTTTTAGCCGGCATGAAGGCCGCTACGGGCCTCACCAAGTGCCCTCTTCCTTCCCTTCCCAAATCTCTCCCTGTCTACACTCGCCAAATGCTCGACATCCTGAAGAATCTCGGGACAACAGAATCCGATGTCGCCCAGACAGCCCTTCGCTCACTCAGCACCATCATGCGCGACAGCCCCGGTGCGACGATGCAGGAACAGGACCTCGCCTTCCTGCTCGAACTCATCGCTCCGGACCTGGAGGAACCAGAGCGCCAGGGCGCCGTATTCGCCATGCTACGCGCGGTTGTGGCAAGACGCTTCGTTGTTCCCGAACTATACGACCAGATGCAGCGCGTCAGCGAGGTTATGATCACATCTCAGGCGCCGCAGGTCCGGGAAGCCTGCCGTGGCGTAGTGCTGCAATTCTTGCTTGATTACCCCCAGGGCAAGGGTCGGTTGAAGAACACCATGGCCTTTCTCGCCAAGAATCTCAGCTACGTCCACGAGAGCGGTCGCCTGTCCGTACTCGAGCTACTCGGCGCGGTGGTGGCCAAGTTCCAACTGGGACTTGTGCGCGAATATGCGGAATTGCTCTTCGTCGCGCTTGTCATGGTCATCGCAAACGACGAGAGCGCGAAATGTCGGGAGGGAGCTGCGGGATTGGTCAAGGCATTACTTGGGAGACTGGACGAAGGAGGGCGCCAAACGATGATCACTCACGTTCACGCATGGGCTACACAACTGGAACGCCCCTCGCTTGTGCGCGTCGCAATGCAGGTCTATGGTCTAATGGTGGAGGTTCTGCATGCTGAAGCTCGCCCTCACTTGAAAACTATGCTTCAAGATGGCAACCAGGCTATGGAGCACAGTGCTAACCTACTGCAAGACGCAGACCAGGACTCGACGACCATCACCGCCGAGTGGCAGGTCCCGTACCATGCTATGACCCTCTTCTCCAAGCTGCTGCGCGAGTTCCCAGACCTGCTACAGGACGACGAAGGCGTCTCCTGGACGCCCGTCGTAGAACATCTCCTCTTTCCTCACTCGTGGGTTCGCATGGCCGCTTGCCGATTGCTTGGTATACTTTACGCCGCCGCGCCACCAGCCTCGCCTTCGCCGCTCGCAGATGGCCGGGTCACAACAGACGCTCCCCTATCCCTCGAAGGCATGCAGGAGGTCGCCCGCCTGCTTTGTCTGCAGCTCAAGAGCGGCAATCTGGATGATGCGCATGCCCTGCAGATCGTCAAGAACCTCCTGTACGCTGCAAAGTGCTTCAACCTTCTCTTGCGAGAGAATGGCTCTGGCTTGGAGCAGGGCGCGGGCGAAGATGACGGGGATGAGACAGATGAAGAGGAGGCGGAAGAAGCTGAAAAGGTGGAGCACGCGCCGCTGCCTTGGTTGTTTTCCAAGTTATCCTATCAAGCCCGATCTTCCTTGATTGCCCATAGCAGTGCTTCTGCGAGGACGGTGTGTCTTCTCCTTCCTTTCCATGAGACATGTACTGACGCCCATATAGAGCCATCCTAAGTGGTATCTCCAGTTGCAGTCAATTCTCCAGTGGTTCGCCGCCATGACCACGCACCTTGAACCGTCGCGTTTGGAGCGCTTCCTACCCCACATACTCAACCCCTTGTATCGCATTACACAAGACGAGGGCATCAGGGATCCGCAGATGGGTACGTTCTTCTTCCCGGCTCTGAGCGTCAGTCCAGGCTAACATCAATCAGACGAGCTGAAGACCCTTGCGACTGAGGTCCAGTCCCTCGTCCAGTCCAAGGTCGCTCCCACTGCTTTCACTGCCGTGTACTCGAAGATCCGGGAGAATGTGCGTGGCGTGCAGCAGGAGCGCAAGATCAAGCGCACCCTGCTTGCCGCGACAAATCCGGAGCAGGCTGCGAAGCGCAAGACGAAGAAGAACGAGTCAAAGAAGGAAAGTAGGAAGCGGAAGAATGCGGCATTTGCGTGAGTCTCGTCTAGATATTTTGCGCTCTTTCAATATTGACCCTTTCATAGGGATAATCGTGGGCGTATAAAGCGCGTGAGGGACGCTTGAGGTCACAATGGGCTGCGATGTTTTCCTGAGGATTTCGTTGATGGTTCTGATTTATATTCCACACTGTATCCATATCAATGTACTCTTCGATCCATACACCTGTCTCGCATTGCATCTATCAGCGTATATGCACCTGCAACTCAGCTCAGGAATGTAGATGGTTAGAACCTAGCACTGATCGAGCACGCACGCTTGCACCATCCTTCCAAGTCCTCGGTAGTATATCGGCTAGTACACCCGCCTGTCATTTGGTGGCAAACTACCGCGGGAGAGCGGGGTTCGACTCCCCGCCGAGGAGGACCATCTTTTTGACTCTCGATACCAGTGTCATCCAAACTCGACTCAAGGTGGTGCACGTATTTTTGTACTCTTCCCCGTGACGTACGACGCATCAATTCATTCGAGTGAGTACATAGAGACTATTTACATCGATTACCTACGCAAAACGAGGAAGGAGAACGCTGCGAGCGAACTCCTCTACCGTGCCCATCTTCACGCCGAACTTCTCGAGGCGACGATCAGGTACTTCGATACCTGGGTAGGTCTCAAACTCAACGCAGAATGCGAACTGGTGTCTACATCAGCGCTTTCCAAGACAGAATGAGAAGAATGCGCCTCACCATATTGTCTACCGCCTCCAGCCCGGTGCTGCCCACATAGTCGAATTGCACTGGCTGGCCGAGACCTGAACAGATGCGAAGCGAGGGTCAGTCAGCCACGGTCGTCTCCCAAGCTATAGCTCGTACCCTTGCTCAAGTGCTCCGCGAAGTCCTTTTGACTCGACAGCTCGGTCGCAACGACAAAGGTCTTGCCATTGATCTCATCCAAATGACTAGCGTAGTTGGCCATCAGCGCCGCAACGCTCGGGCCCATATCACGGCTGATCCACGACTGGACATAGGTGGCCTCGGGCTTTGCGAAGGAGTGCAGCACGAGGCCATCGTCGGTTTTCTCGAGGGGGTATCGTCCTGCGAGAGGGCCGAACGCCATCCTGCAAAATCAAGATCAATGAGAAGGGCGAAAGCGTGAAATCGGCGTCCGTACTTCTCGCTCAGGTTTTCGAGGAAGTGGCCAGTGCCGACACCTGCGTGGGCTAAGCCAGAAGCCATGAGGTGCTTCTGTATGATCGCCTTGTCTACCGAATATAAGCATACTATCTTGGTGTATTGCAATGGCTTACCGTCCCAATGAGAACCAGAATATTTGCCATGCGACAGATTTGACATATGAGGTAGCGTGCTACAGGTGAACAACAAGGTAAACACGCAATTACACAGGGTCGACGGCCTTCATACCTTAAGACAACGAATTGGACGCCTGCTTCCTTGCTTGCGTCGACGACGTTGGTGCCCTGTATGACCTCCGACACCGCCGTGAACGGGATGGTAACCTGAGAGAGACATCGCATCCTGTCTTGCGCAGGTCAAGCATGTAGCGGCCTACCAGAAAAACGCACTCAGCGCCAGTCACAGCCCTTTTCACGGCCTCCTTGTCAGCTAGCTCGGCCTCCGCAATCTCGCATCCCAGCGCTGCCTGCTTGCGCGCAGACTCAGAATTCGCATTGCGCGTCACTGCGCGTGGCTTGAAGATGCCGTCCTTGAGAAGGGCGTGCACCACGGAGGAGCCTGTCACGGGTTTACATCAGCCGTGGAGCGAGACCTTGAGCTTTGGTCCTCACCTGAGGTCCCAGTGGCACCGAATACAGTAGCGATGCGAACCATTGTAGAGCAGGGAGCGTGGGGCGTTGTGAAGGGTGGTCATACTGCTGTTGTTTTATACTGCTTGCTTGGTAAGGCGATGGACTCGATTAATCTCGTTTCACGTGCTCGAGCCTCGTAAGCTCTCGCGCTAGTCCTTCTCGCCGCGCTGCAGGGCGATTGGGGGTTGATGTGAGTGGGTGGGTGGGCCTGAGAGTCTGGCAGACGGACGAATGCAACCGGCACGTGTGAACCCCGGCAGGCGCCGAAAGTTGAACATCGGGAGCAGATGGCGAGCCCACCCTTGACATCTGCTTACCGAACAGGCCTTGAAGTTCGCATACGTATCCGAGTGCCCTCGAAAACAAGGAGAGGCACAAGGCACAGGTCGCATAGACTGCCGAGCCCTGTAAAATCAGCCTAAGAAAATTCACAACGTCCGGAAGTCATTCCGGCCGGAGCGATGCTACCAGACGCGCGTCTACTCAAACTCTTCAAGCAGGCGGTGTTCAGCAATCCCGCACTTTGATTTACACTACCAGCTTACATATAAGGCGTCTTCGTCTTCGTCCACTTTGTATTTCCTCACCCCAGGTGAGCCTTAAGAACCGTACGTGCAAACTCCTCGACTGTTCCCTGCTTCACCCCAAGCTTCCCGAGGCGAGGATCAGGGAGCACCGGAACGTCCGGGTACCACCTGTACTCAGCAGTGAAGTTAAACTATTGAAGGCGTCAGCCACTAGGTCAAGGAACTACTTGAGGACCCTACCATGTCGTCAACGGGAGGGACCCCTCTGGGCTCCTTGTATTTGACCTCGACCGGCTTTCCAAGACCTGCAATGTCATTCAGCACTACGCCGACTTCACCAAAGCCACGACCCACCTTTCGCCAGCTCCTTCGCGTACTCCTCCGCCGTCGACTGCCCGACTCCAAGTACAAATCGTTGGCCATTAATCTCCTCTGCGCGCGTCTTATACTGCTTGAAGAGCGCAAGGACGGCGGGCCCCATGTCGCGAGTGATCCACGTATGGATGCCGATCGCGTGGGGCTTCGCGAGCGTGTTTAGGATGTAGCCGGTGTCGGTCTTCTCAAAGGGCGTGCCGAGGAGCCTTTGCGTCGCAGGAGGTAAGCATGTTGATACGAAGGGAAGGATATTGAGGCACTCACGGTCTGACGGTGTTCTCAAGGAATCCACCCGTCCCGATGGATGCGTTGGCGAGTCCGGACGCTTCGAGGTATTTCTGAACTTGGGCCTTGTCTGGACAATGATTAGCGGAAAAGACATGCCAGTAGCAGTTTGAAAACCAACCGTTCATGTGAGCCGCATGGGGATACTTCCCGTTCGACATTTCCTTGGCGTCTGGCAGGGTGCTGCAGTCCTCGTCATTACTCAGATATGCGAATTTCAAGTCTCGCCCGACTGACCTGAACACGACGAACTGCACGCCAGCCTCCTTGCTTGCGTCTACAACATTCGTCCCCTGCACGAGCTCAGGTACGGTGGTGGAAAAGGGAAGGGTGACCTGGGTCGGTAATCAGACTACGGATTCTCACCCGCGAGTAACATCCCTAATTCACCACGAAAACGCATTCCGCGCCCTCCACAGCCTTCTTCACGGCGTCCTTGTCGCCCAAGTCGGCAGCGACGACCTCGGCGCCCTGCTCTACCAGCTTGCGGGCGGCCTCGGAGTCGACGTTGCGGGTGACAGCGCGGGGCTTGAAGGTGCCGTCCTGTAAGAGAGCCTGGACGACGGAGGAGCCTATGATACCGTCGAGGTTAATGACAGGACGAAAATCCGCTGCTTTGTCGACTCACCTTGGAGGCCAGTGGCGCCAAACACGGTAGCGATGCGAGACATAGTCAGCGCGAGTCGATTGACTGCAGTAGAAGTTGCTGTCGAAGAAATGAGACTTTGCGTCTCTATATACGTCGAGCGCAGTAGCAGGCTGATTAATCCAACGGACGCCATCCGTCGACTGCCTAACCGAAGTCAAAGACTTTGTACGCTTGCGCACTATTATCCGCTTTCAGTCTGGGTATTCGCCGCTCCATTTAGTGTGAAGGAGATCGATATGACGACCGGGCGCGGCCCGTGGCTGTACTTCAGAAGACTCGGAGCCTAGGTGGGTAGTACTGCTAGTGCGCGGTCGTCTCCTGCAGCTGAAAAATCAGTGGCCAGTCTTCCCTTAGCAAAGAATAGTTCGATAAGAGATGATTCAAGCGAGGCATACAGAGTTTATCAAGAGGGACGCGACGTTTACAGGGCCATACCTTGAGGGTTTGGGGAGGGGAATCCGGACGGCGGACCGATATTTACGCGTGATTCAGATCTCACGGTCACGTGGTGTGTTTAACTTCTTCGGCTGCTCAGGCATGCGATTGGAGGGTTGCATAGAGCACTGTACGAGTCAGAATGTGTTACATAAGCGAATAAGTGACTTGTCTACGCGAAATGAGACAGAAGAACGTCGCGCGCAAATTCCTCCACCGTGCCCATCTGCACACCAAACTTCTCGAGGCGGCGGTCAGGCACTTCGATGCCGGGATACGTCTCAAACTCGGTGCAAAATGCAAACTGAGATTGTTGTTAGCTTCGACCGGTTCAGAACTGTGGCGCCTTACCATATTGTCCACAGCGTCTATCCCAAATTTGCCTACAGGATCGACCGCCACTGGTTGGCCGAGGCCTATGCAAACGCGAAGAAGTAATTAGAGCCTATCCTTCGCAAGCAGTTCCTGACATACCCTTGCTCAGATGCGCCGCAAAGTCCTTGACGCTCGACCGTTCGACGGCCACCACGAATGTCTTCCCAATGATCTCCTCCGGGTGGCTGGAATAATGCTTCATCAACGCAGCAACCGTCGGGCCCATATCGCGCGTAATCCACGAGTGCACGTAGGTGGCATGAAGTTGTGCGAAGGTGTGGAGCTTGTAGCCGGTCTCGGTCTTCTCAAGCGGGAATTTGCCTTCGAGGGGACCGAAGGGCATCCTGTGAGATAACGATGAGTCAGTAGGTAGAGCAAGAGAGATCTAATGGTGCACACTTCGTATGCAGGTTTTCAAGGAAGTCTCCGGTGCCTACGGACGCGTTTGCCATGCCAGAAGCCTCAAGGTACTTCTGAATTGTTGCCTTGTCTGTGAAGAGTCGGAAATCTGCATGAGGTGTCGCAGCAAAATTCGAACTCACCATCCCAATGAGGACCGCTGTACTTGCCGCCCGAAAGCCCGGTCATGTTGGGAAGCGTGCTACGTGTACACCGTCAAGCAATACGGCAGCAATACCGCGACTTGAGATTGCGTACCTAAAGACGAAGAACTTGACGCCCGCCTCCTTGCTCGCGTCGACGACGTTAGTTCCCTGCACGACCTCCGAGAGTGGCGTGAAGGGCATGGTGACCTGAGAACATCGTCAGCACCTTAACCCAGTCAACCACGATGAAAGGTCGTACCAGGAAGACGCATTCAGCGCCCTGGACCGCCTTCTTTATGGCCTCCTTGTCCCCCAGGTCAGCCTCGGCGATCTCGCAGCCCAATTCCGCTAGCTTGCGCGCAGACTCGGAGTTGGCGTTGCGCGTCACCGCACGAGGCTTAAAGGTGCCGTCCTTCAGTAAGGCGTGCACGACGGAGGAGCCTGCGAAAATGGATCAGACCACAGTCGAACACTATACCAGACCTCGTAACTCACCCGTAACGCCAGTAGCCCCGAATACAGTAGCAATACGCGACATCGTGAAGCGAAGAATATTTCTGTAGAGTCCATGCTGCGAAGCGGGTCGCCTTTATACCCAAGTACCTGTGCAAACGTCGCGAGCGATGCTCAGCACCCTTGACAGCGACGTACCAGAGCTGCCTTGCCAGAGTCGCATACGAAACCGGGACAAATAGAGGCAAATATTCTGCTGGTCGCATAGCCTCCCGGATGGCGCTTGAAAGAACAGAGAATTAGGCAAGCCTAGAGTCGAGCATTCGGTTGCCTTTCCGGCCGGTGCGACGCGCGCGGGCGCCGCCCATCAGAGTTGTCCCCAAGTCCAAAATAAACATCACCTCGCGAGTCGCGGTATCGCGACGGGCAGCTCGCTCACAGAGTCGCGCTTGGTACACTATCGTCACCTTGTTGATAGGAAGAAACGCGCTCATTGCTGATGAGTATTGATTCTGGATAGGAACAGATCTTTGGCCCACGTCGCAAGCGCTTCCTTCGGGGTAGGGATACATCTGTGCGATAGGGAGACGAGTTAGCACGCTCCTCGCGAGCTCCGTTCCCTACGTTACTCCAAGCTCCAAAGACGAGTGATAGGGATCTTGAACTCGTCCTGGTACCGCTGATACTCGGTAGTGAAGTCGTACTGGGACCGCTCGTCAGTCTGAGAATAAAGCTAACGCGGGACGGCGCACCATATCATCCACGCGCTACAACAGATATCCCACTTTTGCTCTTGAATGTGATCTCGACGGGCTCTGCGAGGTCTAAAACACCCTTCCCCGAGAAGAGTCTAGACGAGAGAGGGATTTGTAAGGGCGACGAATGAGTGCGGTATGCGAGAGACGCATGCTTCACCGTCTCACCTTGCAGTAGTGCCGAATACCGTCGCAATGCAAGTCAGGATGCAAGGAGTTCAGAGGAGCCGTGGAGTGATGCACTGAAGCAGTATATCCAACGCTTCCATTTCTATACATTCAGCGAGGATAGGAAAGACCGCTGACAGGGATGGATAGGCCAGCAGACGACATCCGCAGTATGCTAAGGGGCACCTTCGATTCTTCGAGGTGCGAAAGAAAGATAGTCCGTCCAGAGTAGCAGTAAAGAGCGTAGGAGACGCAACAATCTCTTCTCGCAGCTATACTACGCTAGATAGTGGTCGACTGCGTTTCCTGCTCGAAGAACCTGTTCGTGGTGCTTCCTTGTGATCACGCCGTTCTTCAGCTGAAGGAAATTTGAGAGGTTGTGCAGATACAAGCCCATCGGATCCAGGGGGTGGATGGAGGTGGATGGAGGTTTGAAGCAAGTCGCGAGCGGAGCACGGCGAAATCCGAGATGAGGATTACTCACGGTCACATGTCTTGTTCGTTCATCAACAAGCCCAGGAAACCTCGTGAAAGCTGACGGGGAGATGACTTTGTCTCCTCGACAAGTATACATCGGGCCCCAACCGCGGAGGCGGGCAGACTCCGGCCTTCTATGCAATTGTAGAACGGACGGAATAAATTACCTACTCCGGTCCAATTGACAGCTCCGTTGGACAGACCCGGGTCCATGACGCCCTCAGAGACAAAAGATAGTCCTAAAATGGCTAGACAACCGCTCACTAAAGCAGGCATGTGGGGTGAACTCCTTCGGTCAGCAGCTTGTCCTCGAGATAAATTTCACACGCCACAGCATTTGTGGGTCCATCGCGCGGTCACATGACGGCCATAAAACAATGGCCCGCTGACAAATCGTCCAACACTGACCTGCCTCCGCCCTTGTTCGTGACAAAACCTTCCTCGGGAACTCAGCCAGCTCCGATGAATCGTCTCAAACAACGGCAGCTGCGAGAAGGCGAGCAAGCATTCGGAGGACCCTGCGCTTCGAATTCGCCTTTCGGGGATATGAGGCGCGTAGGCCAAAATGCAGGCACCGGTAACCGCGGACACGGCGCAAGTATGCGCACATAAGGCCCGAGACGCGTTACCCGTCCCCGCCACACCTTTCAATCGTGCCGTCCCCACTCTGGTCAGCTAACGTGTCACCTGATGGGACGCACCGTCGCCATGCGATCGTCATCCCAGAGGTCTTTAAAGGCGGACGGGCTGGGCTCTCTCTCTTCACAGCCCCATCTGTGTTCCGTTCGCACAAAAAACCTTCTTCGTCGCCTTCACCACTTCACACCGCCTCGCAAAGATGTCGCTCACCTACCTCGTCTCTGGCGCTAACCGTGGCATTGGTGCGTCTCATACTTCCTCGCCTTGACATGTTACTGACATACGTCCTCCGCAGGCCTTGGCCTCGTCACCGCTCTCGCTGGCCGCCCCAACACCACCGTCTTCGCTGGCGCGCGCAACCCCGCAGCTGCCACCGACCTCAACGCCTTGGCCGCGAAGCACCCCAACAACCTGCACGTCCTCAAGCTCGTCAGCGGTGACAAGCCCGGAAACCTCGCCGCTGTCGAGGAGATCCGCAAGAAGGCTGGCAAACTCGACGTCGTGATCGCGAACGCTGGCATCGGCGACTTCTTCGCGTCGACGTTGGAGATGAAGCCGGAGGAGATGACGAGGCATTTCGATGTGCGTTTTGCGGTGATCATGAAAAGGATGGGCACTGATCTGAATTTCTGCAGGTCAACGTCAACGGCACGCTGGTCCTCTTCCAGGCCACGTACCCTCTTCTCAAGGAGTCGCCCGTCCGCAAGTTTGTCCCCATCGGCAGCTTGGTCGGCAGCGTTAGCATCGGCTCGCAGTTCCCCGCCCGCATGCTCGCATACGGCGCGTCGAAGGCTGCGCTCCACTACCTCACCCGCAAGATCTACCAGGAGCACCCCGACCTGAGTGAGTACTGCTTTCGATGTTATTCTTCTACCCATTCTAACGCCCCACCCAGCTGTCTTCGCCGTCAACCCGGGCGACGGTGTCGCGACCGACATGGCCACGCGCACCTTCGAGGCCGAGCCTGGCATGAAGGGCATGACCCCCATCAGCGTCGAGGACTCCGTCAACGGGATGCTCAACATCATCGACGGCGCGACCCGCGAGTCTCTCGGCGGCGAGTTCGTTAACTTCGACGGCACGAAGTTCACGTGGTGAGCGCGTCGCGCGCGGGGAGGCGACCTTCGAGTCGGTACAGGGAGCCGCTCGTATCATCCATCATCTTGCATGTACTAGACCTGTAGTCATTTGGCGCGTCGCGGACTGGACTCGCCTAACTTATTCAATGCATTGTATCTTCCATGTAACCTCTGCGGTTGCCCAGCACGAGCCGGGAGGTCAATACTTCAGCGAACCTTCTGCCTGGCTTGCGATTTTGGAAACTTTGGGGAACCCATCGTATCATCAATGGATCGGCCGAAAGGACGTCGTTTTCGTATTTTGAGAAGTACACAGAAGCCCAATGCGCGCGTACTAAGAAGGCCATTCAGTGTCGGGGTCTTTCTGGCATTGAGGGTCCCCGGAGCAAGCGAGCGCACGCGTAAAGCGGAGATGAAGTACGCTGGCGTGTCAGCCGACAACGACGCGGAGTACAGGGATACTTGATATCCGAAAGGACCAAGGAGGAAGCAAGTTGTTGACAAATTCACGCGTGCACGGCAAGTCGGCAACTGCCGACGTCCATTGTTTTCCTAAATCGGTAATTTACAGACGGACCCATACATTTGACCTGCATAAAGGGACCTCCAAGGCTACATACGCACAGATATCCGCGCTATGGCATCCGACCATTAATCCCAGCCGTGAAGACTCCATACGGGAACTCCCCGTCTGTGGGGTCCAGGAAGCTGGTCCACGTGGGGAGCGACTGCCGTTCCAGGTCTTTCGCAGCCATCATCGCGTCGCCGCTGGCGATTTCACTTGGCTCATGCCGCCTTCTCACTGAAATGTTACTGACTACTATACTCATCTCCCTTCCCCTCACGTCTCTCGCCGCCGAGCCCAAGATCAAGCCATGCACCGCCTATGATCCCATAAACGACAACTTCTTCAACCTCGCTCCCCTCAAGGCCGCGCGCGACTACACCTTCCGCGACGAGGCTTCCGACTCAGGTCACTGCACGCGATGGGACGTCTACCATGAACCTTTCGCCTGACGCGCGCTACAGGCACTGAGTACCTTATCAACATCTGCCGCCCAGTCGAGACGGAGACTTGGCACGTCGCGGGCGCGGACGTGATCGACATCGGCGATGTGGGTGCGTTCGTGCGGCGCGATCGAGGGGACTTTAGTATGGGGTGCGTGGGAGGCGCTGCTGTAGGATGCGCTGGGATGCTGATCGCGCGCAGGCAGGCGAATAGCACGCTCGATATCTCACCGACTACTGGAGAGCCGCGATTGAGCTATCTGAATGGATCTCCTTGTCCCCTTGGTGCGTCTAGTGTACTCGCAAGTGCGAACTTATTCTGATTGTCTCCTCGTAGATGGCTCCGTCCGCTCGTCTACGATCATTGACTTCGTATGCTCGACATCCGACTTCGGCGCAGGCAAGCCCCGCTTGACCGCCACCCTCCCCACAGGCGCATCAGAAGGCGAACGGTACGCAACCCCCCCCCCCTCCTTTCGCCGACATCCCCGTTGATTTCTTCTCAAGCTGCGTCTTCTTCGTCGAATGGGCAACTCACCACGCCTGCCCCGCGCGCCAGCCCGCCAGCCTCTCCCTCGCCGCGCTCATCACCGGCCTCCTCGTCGCCCTCCTCCTCACCACCGCGTTCTACCTCGTCTGCGGCACCGCGTACAATCGCTGGGTTCTCGGTCTGAACGGCTTCGACCAGATTCCCAGCTTCTCGTGGGACGCGTTCGCATACCATGCCAACGCTGTGTATGCACATCTTCGCTCCGAGGGCTTTGGGCCGGTCTTGCGACATATCAAGGCCGCTGCTGCGCGCAAGTTCAGCAAGGTATGCGTGGATTGGCTAGACGAAAGGATTGGTTCTGACATCCGATCCCAGGACAACTTGCTAGACATGTTCGAGCGCTTCCGCGAAGCCACCACTAATCTCTACGAGGGCGGGCAAAGCGGGCGGCTCGCACTCGGTCACGGCCACGGCAACATGGGGCGATACGGCTACGAGCCCGCGAGCGATCGTCTCGAAGAAGGTCCACCAGGTTCAGTCAACCCCGTCTCTCATCAAGCATTCGTACGCCCGGAAATGGGGTCGCCAAGTCCTCGTACAAGTCCGAGTCCACGCCCCGGCACCAGTCCGCGCCCAGATACCAGTCCGCGCGTCAGCCCGGCACCCAGGAGCCGGACTGGGGACGAGGCGCGGCCGGCACCGGGGGGTGTGCCGTTTGAGCAGACGCCCTTCATGCTCGGGCAGGAAGATAACGAAGAGGAGGATATCGCGCGCACGCCGGTGAAGGTCCCCTCGACTCCAGCCCCTGCAGCAGAAAAGTGACGCGTATGGACATCCGCGTTTCCGACAACCTATGTACGAAGCGCCTAACCGTGACTGTAGGCGACCCTGGACAATTCTGAAGCTACTTCCCGATGGACAATCGTTGGAGTCTCGTATGCAGATGATCATATGTTTATCGCCTGCCTGTATAGCCTGCTTTTTAACCATGTACCCAAGTATCGTCGATGCAAATATTTCCGTGGATCAAACCAGTACCTCACGTCGCCAATATGAAGTGAAGGACCCCCTCATCGCGATCTGAAGGAAGCGATCATATTGAGTCCTTGATATCGCAGTCATCCTCGTCCTGGCAAACTGCCGTACGTCCGAGGTTCTTGCTGTTCGGACCTACGTATGCAAGTCAGAAGAAGTACGCCAAAGACTTGTACAACGGCCTACCAGTGGGACCGTCGACATAGTGGCACTCGATGTCGAAGATGCAGTTTTGGCGTGGGTCATCGTCAGGCAATTGTGCGTCGCCCCAGTGACCTCCCCAGTACAGCCAATCAACAACCTCATTCGCCTGCTCTGCGCCGCCAGCTCCAGCTCCGCCAGCGGCGGTGTACGTCCCCGAATTGTACCCTGCGAGAGGGGTCAGTGGGTTGTTTCTGCGAGCAAGCCCGTGATACGCACAATATCCACGATAATTCAGTGCCACATCCCAGAACGGACCTTGATCAGTATGGTCTTCGATGAGGCCTAGCAAGCAGCGCGTTAGCACCCTCTTCGACAAAATTCTGGATTCACCCACTCCCAGCGATCGTGTACTTCTGCGTCCCCGCCGTCGCATAGTTCGCGTGCGAGCCATCCGCGACGTATACGACAGGGCGCACGCCTCGCTTCTCGACCGCGTCATACGTATACGCGTACCCGCCGCTGTGCGCAGAGAGGTACACATGCGTCGGCGCGCCGTTCACGAAGCGCACCATCGAGTGCTCCCAGTCGCCGACGTGGTTCCCAAGGCGGGTCCCGAGGACGGTGATCCCTGCGACATCCGTCAGCTTTGGTCAGACCCAGACGAAAGAAAGCACTCACCATGGTTGTACGAGTAGAAGTAGAAGTAGAAGACGTCGACGAAGTCGCCCTTATCTGCAACGATGATCGTTGCGGGTGCCCTGGAGAGACCAGTTCCATCAGGCTTGTTGTCCGTCGAAGTCAGCCAGGCAGGATCGTCTTCAACATTGTCGTTTGACGTCAGGAATGCATCGGCCGTGATGCTGTTCAGAGTAGCGAGCGTGACGGAGTCGGCGACAGCGACAGAATCAACCTGGTCGATACGATAGAAGTCAAGGTTAAGGCCGGCAATTCTGACACAGATAGGGAGGGGGCTTGCCTTCGGAGTAACATGCGCGAGATGCGTCGTTATATCGGACGGCCACCAGCCCTCCCCCGAGTAGAGGATTGTGTACGGCGCATAGGTGAGAGCATAGTCTGGGATAGCCTCACACTTCAGAACTGTCGCTGGCGTTGCACAAACGACTCCGAGGGTAGCAAGGAAGATAGAGGCCCGCATGATCGCAACGGGGCTTCCGGGAATCATCTCGCCCTGTGCGCGCTCACTTATAACGAGAGACTAAAGGAAGGAGATGGGGGTGCGAGAGCACGTTCCGTCAGCACTCAGCAATCAGCACACGAGCCCCGGGAGGGGAAACGAGTAGAACGAAAGAAGAGAGGGCCTGCTGAACAGCAACGTTGTTGCGCGCGTGAAAGCTTCTAGCTATCATCGCGAGGAACGCCATCGCAACCATGCGGAGAGTGAGCAAACGTGGCATCCGCTCAGCATGGCGCGGTGTCCCATGATCGTCTTCGAGACCAGAATTTTCTGTGGAAGGCCTCAACATCGGTGGTCTGGGAAGAAAGGGGGAAAGAGATTGAAGACTCTCACGGTGATGTACGTGATTTGTGTTGTAAGTCCTTCGCCGAATCGAGTAGTGCTGTCCTCCGAAGGTCAAGATGAGTCCCAGTATCCCGGGCGTACGTAGCATACATCGATGCTCATAGACACAACGACTAAAGATAAGAGACACTCACTAGATTGGGCGCAAGCTGCAGCGGATGCTCGAACGGCTTTTGTGCTGACACAAGTTCAGTTTGCCTTGATGAACAAGCTACTTGCTGCTGGCAAGATCCAAGCCATACAACTCGAAGTCCGCGAGGATTATACGTGATATCAAGCTACTATCCATCTTCAAGATTGGTCCATCCCGTTGTCGTCCTGAGTATCTAACAAAGATGATGCAGGAGCACCCTGTGCACGTCATTGAACGTATCTTTGTAGCTCAAGAGTGAGACGCACTTCTAAATCTTGCTTTTTGATTTTCAACAAGACTTCCCATTCTGGAAGACCGAAAAGTGAAGGAAGTCGACCCAAACACCTGTAAGCCAGGTCTTATACTCTTGTAGCATTGCGGCGCCGCAGACGCTGCAAATGTCTTCTTCTTCGTGTCCTTCCGACTCCAGCCACTTCGAGTAATATGTCAATGGGATACACCAGAAGCCTTCGATATCCTCCTGACTGATGTGCTGTAGTCTGGCGAATAGACAAGCATGCCTCCTGCACCCAAGAGTGTGCGAAGTGAAGATCGAGACTGGTAGTTCTTTGCGGAGGCCTTCAAGCCCGTTCAGGCAAGTGAAGAAGTCATCCTGCGATAGCTTCCTTTCCCTACCAACCCAGCTACTGGCAGAGAAGAGTTCTCGAGCGCCGTCATCGCCGATCGACATTCCAGCATAGCAATAAGCCACAGGCAGAAGCCATGTGGCACGAACGTCTTGTGCTAGGGTCACGACAGCTTGAATTCCGCCAACTCCTCGCTCTCGTCGTCGCACAGATACGTTCGGTATGGATCGTGGCGCATGTCGGGTAAGTCCGTCACGAACGTGACACACAAGTGCTGCAGGGCGCAACGTCGGAGCATAGGAGCATCGTATTTGTGCGATAGCCGGAGGACCCCTTCAATGATCGCGAGGGTCGTCTTTGCGGGGGGAGGCAGAAAGTAACTGTTCGTGGTCACGGCTTGATGGATGTGCAACGTGGTAAAGCACATACTGGAATACATAGATCGCTTTGAAAAAGTGCACGGCATCGCGGGCATCATCGTCATGAAGAATGACAAGCGGCACTTCATCATACATGTCCTGCTCACTAGATTCTGGAAATTGGACCATATCGCGAAAGAAATTCGTGTGAGAGGCGAGGACGCCGCGATGCAGGCGGAAGAGGCGCGGGAAAACCTGGATAACGAGGTTGCCGTCTTTGAACCATAGGTCGGGCTCACGAGTGAGCGGCGTTGCCTCAGACATCAAGCTCACGTAGAGAGCAAATTGACTGGCGGTATGGGACGGGACGGTGGGGCGCAATCGCGTGTGGTGCTGACCAAAAGACAATGAAGAGGAAACCGGGCTTCGGAGATGGCCGCGCGGCATTTGCCGTCAGTCGTGACACGTGCAAGTTCAACTTTAGCATCCGGTGCCAAAGTCGGAAATGGGCCCATTCAGCGATGTTCAAGCACCGAATGTATAGAGGTTACATAAAGGTGAGGCGACACCCTTTTCTGCACCACCCACAGGATTTCATGGAACAACTGCTTGTCAGATGGATCGTACAAAGCGCCCGCGCGCTCACAGCAAGTAACCGACACCGTAAAGTCAGAGATGTGATGCCTTATTACACCAGTCCTATAACCTTACTCCCAGCATCAATCTTGGTTCATTTGGACACCATCTTTGTTGGTGGAAGAAGAGACGGGGACGAGCTGCAATGAGCATGAGTACTGGTCTGCGAGCGCGAAGCTTATGAATGAACCAACCCCCATATCCTGTCGCTTCAGTTCCAGCAGCTTATCCCAATCAGGTAGACCAAAAACTTTCGGCAACATAGCCCACGTATCGTCTAGCCACTGCGCGTATTTGGTCCCCATGTCATCTTGACAAGGCTGACAGAATGGTTTATCGGAATTGCGCACCATCCACTCTGTGAAGTATGTCAAGGGATATCGGTGATAGGTGACTACGTCGTCTTCATCAAAGCATCGCGTCTTGGCCAATAGGCAATGATCGGGCGGGCCCGCGACACAAGGAGATATGAATAGCGAGAACGGTATTTTCTTATGCAGGGCGTCACGTCCATGGAAACATTGGACGAGGTCGGCATGGGTGAAATATCGCCGACGCCCGCGCCATTCGCGCGAGGAACCGAGGGCGACGGCGTCGAATTGAAGGGTATCCAGGAAAACAGCGGGGAGGAGCCACTTCGCATGGACCTCATGTGCCAGCGACGCAACCGCCATCAATTCTGGCAATCGGTCGACCTCCAGATATGTATATGGGCGAAGAGGATGATTCTGGCACTTCGAAATTTCCCCCAAGTCAGTGGGGAACGACGTTGATAGATGCTTCAGGGCGCAACGACGCAGAGCAGGAACGTCGTACTTGTGCGCGAGCCTCAGCACCCCTTCAAGGGTTTCGAAAGTCGTCTTCGCAGGTGGCGCAGGAAAGTAGCTGAGACAACATAAATCAGAGATGCGAGAAAGACTATGTAGGATGCTGCTCACTATGGCATATAGAGCGCCTTCAGAAATTCAGCGGCGTCGCGTGGATCATCGTCATGGAGGGCAATGAGAGGTACATCCTCATAGGTGTCTTGTTCCTGTGTTTTGGGGAAGTTGATCATATCCCGAAAGTAGTTCGAGCTGAAGGCAAGCACGCCGCGATGCACCCGGAAAAGCCGCGATGTGACCTGGATGACAAGGTTTCCATCGTCGAACCAGAGATCGGGATCGCGAGTGCATCCGTCGGTGGTGATAGACATGCCTCTGCACAGGATCAGACACCAACGAAAGCAGCGCACGCCAGATGCCTACCTAAAGCCAGGTTCTCACGGACGAGGTCAAGCCTCAAGGTTGAAGGGATACTCATGAGAGCGTGACATCATGTGGACCCGTTACACACCTCACGTGGGCTTTCTCAACTTCAACGTCACGCTTCCCCCCGCTTTCCTTCGAACTCCATCTGACCGGCACAGATATCCCATTCGTTGATACTACACATCCACAGTATACGCAGCCTCCACTCAGCTTATTTTGCCCATGCCTTCCAAACTCATCGACGGCAGCACCCTCGAAGGCGGCGGTCAAATCCTCCGCAACAGCGTCGCTCTCGCCGCGCTCCTCTCCACGCCCCTCTCCATCCACAACATCCGCGCCAACCGCTCTCAGCCCGGTCTCAAATCCCAGCACGCCGCAGGCCTTCGGCTCGCTGCTGAGATCAGCAGCGCTCGACTTAGTGGCGCGTCCGGGGCGTCCAGGGCGTTGACATCTGAGTCTGACGTTTCCATCGGCTCGACCGAGGTCGACTTCATACCGGGTAGGATAAGAACTGGCATCGAATACACAGGAGACGCCATCACAGCCGGCTCGACGACTTTGCTCCTGCAAATCGCGCTCCCAATGCTCGTATTCAGCCACGAGCCCCAACCAACCAAACTCACCCTCCTCGGCGGCACGAACGCGACGCAGGCGCCCCAAGCAGACTATGCCCAGCACGTCCTCTTGCCTTTCTGCCGGCAGACATTTGGCCTCGACGCAGACCTGGCCATCCCGCGAAGGGGCTACTACCCCAAGGGCGGCGGTCGGCTGGAGGTTACAATTCGCCCAGTGACGGGCCCGCTGAGACCGGTGACACTCCTTAGACGCGGGAAGGTCCAGCGCGTCCGCGGCATCGCCCACGTTGCCGGCGTGCCGCGCTCCCTCGCCGAGCAAATGGCGCAGGGTGCGCGGAATGTGCTACGCACTCTTCCCGAGCTCGAGAATATCGACATCGACATCGAGTGCACGCGCGAGCGCAACGACAATACCGCGGGCGCCGGGAGCGGGATCGTGTTGTGGGCCGAGCTCGACGGCGGAGGTATCCTCGGCGGAAGCGCAGTGGGCAAAAAGGGCGCGAGTGCCGCTTCAAAGGGGGAAGAGGCCGCTGGAGAACTTCTCAAAGCCTTGGACAACGGCGGATGCGTGGACGAGTGGCTGCAGGATCAAGTGATCATCTTCATGGCTCTGGCTGGCGGCGAAAGCGCTCTCAACATCGGGAAGGACTTGACGTTGCATACAAAGTTAGCAGTAGCGTGATTTTTCGGCTTTCGTGCGCTGACTGACCTGTCGAAAATTTAGAACAGCAATATGGGTAGCAGAACAACTCACCGATGCCAAATTCACAGTCGAGGTGAACGAAGGAATGCATGTTATTCAATGTCAAGGCATCGGATACACCGCGCCCTCTGCGTGAGGTGAACTTGGGAAGAAACATGATGGACAAAGGATAGTGTGGCAGGAAACATCTGACAACCGTCCAGGAAATGCGCGAGACAGACCTACGTTCAAGCGCGAAGGCAGAATACATGGCAGGCATAAATATTAGCATCCTAATTACGAGTGTGCGATGTATTACAGGGTGGTCGTACGCGGCGGGGTAAGTCGCTGGCATGCTCAGAGGCGTCCGTGCTATACTGGAGTATACCGTGTAGCACAGCGAAAGCTCTATCGGTTCCAGGACAACAAAGACATGTCACCGAGGCGCCTGCCAGATGTGTCAGTAGATGGTTCCACGGCGAGCGTAAAGAGGTACACATACCTCGGCTTAATGAGATGTCGCGCAGTGCCCGCGATAGCGAGGAAGCAGAACAAGCCGGCGGCAGCCACGTATGCCCAACCAAGGAAATCATTCTTGCCGCCTATCCATGATACTGTAGTGATAACGATGGACTTGGTGCCCTTGTACGGCAGGACGGGGAAGTCTGCGCGGAGGGTCAGTATTGACGTTCTCATAACTAATCAGAGCAGCCACTCACTCAACCCGATGACCATCCTATACGTCCCCGCAACCATCTTATCATCATCGTTCCTTCCGTACAACTTCGAGAACGTCGGCAGCCCAGCCGTGCGCATCCAATTCTGGAAGTGCTCGTCGTTCTTGAGATCGGGCGGCGGGTTGTCGTCCGTGTAGCCGTCGGGATACTGGAGAATCCAGTTTGGCGGGGGCACGATGTCCGACGTGGACTCGTAGCCGTCGCCACCGATGGGCGATGTGACGTATTTCTTGGCTTCGCCAGGCCAGGCGATGCCCTTGGAGGTGAATTGGTACTGGGTGGAGGTGACATCCTCAGGGGGGTTCTGGAGGACGGGGGAGTTGATGGTGTCTGTGGGATGATCGTGATTAAAAGAAGAAGGCTACTGTCGAGCGCAAGCGAGCGCACCATTGAACACGGAGTTCGCGATCAAACCACACGGGTAGATGGGCTTGCCATCCCTTGAGCCCAAGGGGTCGCAGTCACCCTTATTCAACGCACTCGCACTCCGCTTCTTCCCCTGCAACTGATCCGCATCGAGACTGTTCACATAGCGGCGGTGATTCTGGTAGAAGTTGCTGAGACGGTAGTACAGCATGACCGACGGCCCAATCGTCGCTGGCACGTTGAACTCGAGGATGCACTGCTTCTTGTTGAATATGTCCTGCGAGTCGTCCTCAAGGTAGGCGTAACGCGGGCGCGACGACGGTTTCGCGTTCTTGGCATCCCCGCCGAGCGAGTACTTGTACTTGCCCGAAGGCAGGTCGGTGAACGTAAGCGAGTCGTTGTTCGAAGATGCGGTGAGCTTCTCGCAGTCGGAGTAGTCGAAGGTCATTTCTGAGACCTGAGACGAGCCCCAGATGAGCAGCCCACCGATGGGGGCGAATATGATGGCGATGATGAAGAGGGTGGGAAGGACAGTCTTGGGGGTGAGGATGGGCTGCCAGGCCTTGAGACGCTGCTGCTTGAACGCCGTGTCTGTTGGAAGGAGGGTTAATCGGCGTGCTGTGCAGCAGGGGAAGGTGGGCGGGACGCACTCGCCGGCCGTTTCCAGCCGGTCTTCTTCTCCTTGGGCTCGCCATTAGAGTCCTGGCTGTTGGACTTGCGGTTGAAGAGACCCATGAGGGGCGGAGGCGAGCACAGGCGTCGCGGTCTACACGGCCGTCGGGATAAAGTCAAGTCTTGCTCGGGGTTGCGACTGTCGTCGGAGATGTGTCAGCGCACGCGCGCCCCGGCCGGCCCGCTCACCCGCCACAAGCAGTTTCCGTTTTCGGACGACGCGTTTTGCTCCCAACCGCCATGGTCAGCTCCCTGCCTTCGGACGCCCTTCGCGACCCCCATCGCGTCCTTCAGGACTTCTTCGAAGAGTACAAAGACGAAGGGACCGACTTTCCTGAACGTGTCGCGTCCTACTTTGCCAACATCTACAAAGACGCGCTTAATGAGGTACGCGTCGCGTACTGAGACGCGTTCCGATCTAACAGCATCTTCAGATCCCAGTTGTAGACACGCATCGGCCGCCGGAGACATTCAAGGATGCGTCTCTTGTGACCTTCCGAGGGATGATCCAGGATACCCTACCACCGACCGAAATGTACCTCTCCAGGTTGTCATCGGGCGCGTGTGGCGGCTGGGGAATCACCGACGAGACCACGTCCGCCACCGAGTTCGACTACGCCAATCTGAAAGAGTGCAACGTCATGTGGGGCGTCTCAGTACCTGGTCGCAGCTCCTGGTCGAGCCTTGAAGCTGGCGAAGGTACGCAACTCGATCCACCACTCATTAAAACCATCTAACAAAGTTCAGCCAGTGCAGGCTCGTCCCATTCATCTCGTCCACATAAGTACCCCCTGCACGCAGAGCCACATGTAGGGCTGCAACTCAAAGTACGATCCACCCTTTGCAATATCCTCGCAATACTCTGATTCCCTTTGCAGATCTATGACACATCAAAAGCGGACGACCTGAAGTCTACGGTTGTCCATGACTTCGTGGGCATCTTAATGAGAGAGAGGTGTGTGGAGAACAGGTATATCGCTTAGCTGTGTCTTACCATCATTCCAGCTTGCAAGTTGCCGACATGGATCCGTCTGCCGAACCACCCGTCGTGCCTACCCTGCACGTTTTATATAGCACGCCTGTGTCAGCGACGGTCATCCCTCGCACATTTCCCTACTCGCCTGCCTCGTCTTCTCTCGAGGACACCAGGACGGAGTTGATCGCCTGGCTGGCGGACGAGTCTCTCGGCGGCGATCGCTTCGCCGCGGAGTACGTGCTATTGTGCGCCATCGCAAGAGTGTGAGTACCATAGACTCACATTCACGTCCGTGACTCACCCCTCGTCTAGTCAAAGCCGCCACCCGCCAATCCTTCCGCCTTCCATGACATTGTCCCGATTCCCCGCACCACCATCCAGCGCCTCCGCATCCTCGTCTACGCCCCCTCTACCCACCCTCCACCCCGCTCTCGCCCTCATCTTTCCCACTGTCACTTCCATTCCCCTCACCCTCCCCACTATCAACACCACCCCCTTCGTCCCCACCTCCAAAGACGAAGACCTCCTCGCCGGCTGGCTCCAGCTCCCCCGCCGCACCCTCTGCCTCCTCACCGAGTCCGGCCTCACCGCCGAGGGCGGCGTCACCGAGCGCGGCCTCCGCAACCTCCACGCCACGCAGAACATGATGAAGAATCAGATGCTCGACTACGAATTCCCGTTCAGCAGCTTTGGGTTCGAGACGGATGTGAGCTTTGTGGTGGTGGCGGAGGGAAGGAAGAGCACGTTCTTTGAGACGAGTGTGAACGTCCCGCTCGTGCCGAGGGATGGGGCGCAGGTGGGGGTGGAGGCGCTGTATAAGCCAGCGAGTGCGATCAAGCAGCCTGCGCCGGAGAAGTTGGAGGCGTTCCGCGCGCTGGTGGGCGGCTCGATGGTCGGAAATGCGAAGGTGGGCGAAGAGGCAGCGGAGGTGAGTGATGGAGTGTAGTAAGTAATCTCAAAGCAAGCGGCTGACGTCCTTCAAGTACATCGAGAACGACTTCGTCAAAGAACGTCAGGCGTCTACCATGACCGCCGACGACCTCATTCTGCGCATGCAGCTCGCGCGGCTGCTTGCCCTCTCGTATCACGAGCCCGAAGTCACCATCGACATCTGGAAGAAAACGCGGGCGCTAGAGTTGGAGAGAAAGGCGCGAGAGGCAGCAGCGGGCGTGAAGGCGTAGGGTAACCATGCAGACTCAGCGTAGTTGGCGGGTCGCGCGTTGATGACAATCTTGTATCGGTAGCCCTGCTTGTATACTTCTCTCTTCGTTGCTATCTCGCGCCTATTGTTACAACCCTCATCGTTCATCTTCAAGGCTGCAACAACCCAAACTGCTCCGCCTGCATCCAGTTCACCCGCAGATCCTCCACCACCCTCCCAAGCGTCTCGCTCACCGCAGCCCGGTCCGTCCCGCTGCCCTCCAGGTAGTACTTGATCTGAAGGGTAGATGTATCGTCAGCCACCCATATCTCTCTGCCGCCTGTGTTCCTCTCAACGCAGATGTGCCACACCCCACTCACCTTCGGCTCCGTCCCACTAGTCCTGAGAGTCAACGTGATCCTTACACCCTCGCCCGCCGCCCAAAACTGGATCATCTGCCCGGACGACCGAGGGAGACGCGGCGCGCCGTGGCGGCTGTCCCAGTAGACCGTCAAGTCAGAGACAGCCGTGACATTGAGCCCGCCGATGGTGTGCGGGTAGCGGCGGAGCAAGTCTTTGTCCTGCTTGAGGATGAGCGAGTGAGATGGATGCGAGTGGGCAAAATGATGTGAGTGGGCAAAACGATGTGAGTGGGCAAGAATGATACGTAGGTGATCAAGCAAACGGGAGAGCACTGACCGAGTTCGTATTCCTCAGACCGCTGAAGATCGTCGTGATGACCTTCGGGTCGCCGCAGATAAAGTAGCTGTTCCGGGTCTCAAAGTAGCCGTATCTGGGACGACCTGTGAGCGCCTAGACTTTCCCATCCTTCAATGAACACCCACTTCTCATACAACTCATCCAAATATCCCTTCACCGTCTTCCCCTGCTTGTACAGCGACAAGACGAGGTCCACGAACGAAATCTGCGAGACGAGTGCGTTAGTAGGCATACACACGTCGCGCGTAGATGGATCGCAGCACTGACCGTCGCCGCCACCCCATCCTTATCCTTCGTCTCCCCAAACATATACCCAATCGCCTCCTCGTACCCAAACGGCACCTCATATCCCTGCTTCGCCAGATCAAGCGCGGCATTCCCGATGAACTTAAAACCTGCGTAACACCGTCCCCGTCAGTCTCGATAACTTCCTACCGCGACAACATCTCGGGTCGTAGCACCATGCCCTACCCCAACACAACAACCCCAAACTTACCCGTCAACGTCTCCGTAAACCTAAACCCCTCCTTCGCCGCCATCGCCGCCACCATCTTCGAGCTCACCGTCGACGCGACCATCGCCAATTTGTCCAACGGCTTCCCAGCGGCCTTATACTTCTCGAAGACGGAGGCAGCAAAGATCGTGCCGAGCTGATCGCCTGTGAACGTCGTCCACCCGCCGCCGGGTTTGGCTTCGATGGCGGAGAAGCGATCGGAGTCGGGGTCCTGGGCGAGGATGATCTGCGCGCCCTGCTCAGCGGCGGTCTTCATGGCAAGGTCCTAGGTGAGGAGGGTGAGTTCGCGGTCTATGTGTAAATGTCTCGGCGAAAACAATGTGTTTTTGCAAGATGGGGAGACATTTGGCAACCCGGGAGGACAAGAAGAACACAAGACACTCACCAGCGCCCCCTTCTCCTCCGGATTCGGATACCTCACAGTCGGGAACTCCGGGTCCGGGTTCTGCTGCTCCGCGACCGGCGTGAACGGCGGGAAGTTCAAGATCTCGAACGCCCTCGTCACGAACGGATGGCTGACGCCGTGCATCGAGGTGTTGACGAACTTGACTGGTGGGGGGTCGATGGCGGGTCTGAGGGTGTTGGCGTCAGCGTATTGTACTGTACTCAGGGCAGAGCGAGTTGCGGTCAAAAAGATACTGACTGCACAATATTCAACAAACTCTCGAAGTACGCATCCTTCATCTCCTGCGTGACGTCGACGCAAAGCACAGAGCTCGCCAGGCCATCGACATTCCAGGTTGTCGGTTCCAGGTGTTGCTCGATGGAGGCAGAGATGCCAGTGTCGTGCGGTGCAATTATTTGTACGGCATTCTCCCAGTAGACCTACATATGTAAGTACGTTTGAGCGGGAGGGATGGGATGGTGTGCCTACCTTATATCCATTGTCTTGCTATACTTTCACCGTGAGTTTGGAAGTTGCATCGGTAGAGCAAGGGCCTACCTTCGGATTGTGGCTAGCTGTCAATAAATGCCGTTAGTACCCAAGCTACGCCCCAGCCCCCATCCTACAATACCCACCTGTAATCATAACCCCACACGCCGCTCCCCGGTTCTTCACAGTGAACGGCACTCTGGACATCCCATTAACTCCTTGTCGCCCGCATGTTCAATGCAGCGAGGTCACAACTCACAGCGGCGTATGCACCAACCCCCGATGCAAATACACCTTCACACCCTTCTCAACGAACGCCGCCGCCGTCAGCTTTGCCCACCGCTCCGAGTTGTGCCTATGGTCGTGCCCGACGACGACGCCGCGCTCGGCGGCGTTGGGCACGTTTTGGAGAACGTAGGCGCAGAGGCCCTGGTAGGAGTGGGGGTTAGTGTTTAGTGATGGGTGGAATTTGGTGTTTAGTGATGGGCGGGGGTTAGTGTTCAGTGACGGTGGAGGGTTTATGACAAGGGTAATGATTTTGGAGGACGAGGGAAGGGGGAACTGACCTGCGAAGCATGGATGACCGTTACGTCTGTACTTAGGAGGTCAGATCTTGGAGTGTGGAATAGACAGTGAAGGTACATACCATTCATGCGACTCCAGCCGGCTTCCATCCTTCCTCGCAAGCCTGGCGAGTAGATGAAGCTCTCCCCTCATCAGAATGATACCCCTACTTACCCGCCGTCCCGAACTCGATCCGAGACCTATCACACTTCCTCAGAATCGCCATCTGTAACTCAAGAAACCACCCACATACCCGAGCCTCGACTCCAGCTGCGCCAGATCCTTGCTCGCCCATAGCTGCTCGATCTCCTTCCGCGTGGCTTCGTTCTATACCTTGTTGAGCGACAATGATGGTGAGCGAGAGAGTAGGAGGTACTTTGTCAATCCTGAGCCACTCCTGAACAAGGGCTTCAAGGCGTTCGCTCGCCATGATCGATGATGGCAGTCGGTGAGATGCGCACAAGCGCCCAGTTCCAGAACCGCGTTTCCGGTCCGGTTAGCCGAGCGCTCCGAAAGCGCTGCCGGAGAACGTGAAAATCCTGAGGATTGACTGTCGCCTCAAGTAACAGAGTGGGAGAGGATGGAGATGTAGTAAGCTCTCATTTGCATACGTTCAGCGAATACCAGTTGCGGAGGATCATATGCAACACAAAGCGCGAAGGGTATCATGCAATAGGACCGACGCTGAAGCTCACGGTGAACCACAGCACTGCGGGAAGCGAGGACGATAGAAGCATATCGGGCGGGTTGCATGGTCACATACAGCACAAAGTCCACTCAGCAGTACACGCAGGCGGTAGGTCTAGGCGATTATGAGAGCAAAGACATACAGCATTAATTAGTGGTGAGAGCTGAGAGGAACAGAGTAGCCAACGAGGTGACGGCGACCGATGATCTCGCCAATCTACAAGGTCAAAGGTGAGCAACAAATTGAGCCCAAAGACGAGAGCGATCACGTACCTTGTAGATACCGTAGGCCTCGACGCCGTAGACGAAGATTTTGGCAATCTCCCCTGTCGCGATGGCATGGCGCCAGAACTGGCGGTCGGTCGCGCGGGCGTACAGGGTCTCGTACGCGGACCGGATCTGTGCCCAGGAGGAAGGCGGCTGGAGGTGCTCCGCGCGGTAGACCTGCTTGACCAGCTCACGCGCGACAGCCAAGTTGTACAGTGTGGGCTCTTTGTAGGCTGTGAATTATGACTGTCAGCTGCCGTTCAACATTCAAGAAGTATGCGCCACGCACTAGCAAAGAACTGCACGGTCTTCTGCCCTGCAGGACCCAGACGCTGCACCAACGGCCCGAGGCTCTCCCCTACGCGCTTCGCCACGGGGCCCGCCTGCTTCGCGGCCGTCTGCAGGTAGCCCTGGACGGGGCCGGAGTACGCCTTGGCCGTCTCCCATGCCTTCGCACCCTGCTTCTGCGCGGCGCTGAGGGCCTCCTTCGCCTTTTTCTGCGCCTCTTCTAGAGACTCATTGGTGGGCTTGGTGGAGTTGGAGCGCGCGGCGTGGAAAGGAGAGCTTCGGGGGCGAGCCGAATGACGAGCTGCAGAGTTCCGCAGAGCTCCTGCGGGCAGAGTTGGACGCATAGCGAAAGACGGACGGTTGGACGCGGTCACGCTTAGCGGACGAGGTGACAACCGCCCGGCCACTTCCGATCGCGAAACAAATAAACCAAAATAGTTGGATTTTCATGAAGCCCACGTTCATTGGTGCTCTGTTGACCTCACATGCAAACACACATCATGCTGGAGCTCTGAACGCTTGAAAGCTTCGATGCCTCCGGACGGTGTCGCAATATTTGGTGACTGCAGCCTCACGGGCACTTTCCGTCTCGCCGACGTCGGCAGCGCGCGGCTCAGCACGGCCGGCCATAATCAATGTTCTATTGGCGACATCTCACACTGCAATCCTTCGCCGATACTCAAGGAAGTTTGCCCGGGCTCCAGTGACGACAGAATCCGCGATGCCCTAACTCAAGCGTCCAGCTACACAAAAACCATCTAATGCACCGCGAGTCGGCCCTCACTCAGCACTACTCTGCCCCTCAGTCAGTCGCGCTCAACTTTTGACCATTTTAGGACCGCTGCTTTCAAGTCGAACAAAGGTCTATCGGAGATAGGATTTTACATCGGACTTAACGCTCGCGTGGCGCGCCTTTGGGTCCTCGTCGACCTCCCAACTTGCCTTCCGCCACAACCGCACTGACTAACCGTGAGGGAGCACACAATCATGCCAGGCCATCAGGAAAGAAGTATAAGAGCTCAGCCGACATTTTTGCCCGCCAGTGAACTCGACCCCGTCACTCCCCATTAAATGTCGTGGCGCAAAAGCCGCGAAGACGTCGACACGGAGACTCTGAACACAGTCGCCGCTCCACAGCCCATCTCCCGAGCACGAAAGCTCGGAAGCCTCATAGTCATCTGCGTCGCCCAGCTGCTCGACATCTTCAATGCCTCGTCCGCCATTATCCTCCTGCCGACTCTCGGCCAGGATCTTGGCTTCTCAGAGTCTGAGCTCCAGTGGGTTCTCTCGGCGTATGCCTTGACCTTCGGCTCCCTCATTCTCATCTCGGGGCGCATTGGCGACGTGTTCCACCCGAAGCCAGTCTTCTGCGCCGGATTCCTAGTAATGGGTCTATTCAGCATACCTGTCGCCGCCAGTGTGCACCCCATCATGACCATCGTCTTCCGCGCGATGCAGGGTTTGGGTACGCGCGTGCCCGACTTTCGCACGTTGATGCCGCGCTCACCGCCACCCCCAGGTGCTGCCCTCAACGTACCCACCGGTTTATCGATGATCGGGACACTGTTCACAGAACCTCGGGAGAAGAGCAAGGCGTTCGCGTTGTTTGCTGCCATCGGAGGCATTGGCAACGTCGTTGGCCTCATAATTGGCGGCTTCGTGACCGTGGGGGCTTCCTGGCGATGGGGTGCGCTTCCTCCCACACAATCTGCTTCTTTGCAGGCTAACCTTAGACCCAGTGTATTATATATCTGCGATAGCAATTGTGCCGACCTCTGTCGTGTCGTGGATAGTGCTTCCGGATGTTCAGAAGGACAAAGTCGGTCCGAAACGCAATCTTGACCTCCCAGGCGTGGCTGCCCTGACCTGCGCCCTCATCCTATTCGTGTACGCGCTATCCGAAGGTGGCGATGCAGGTAATCTCTCACCTTCAGTACCTTCTATGGCTTTCTGAAGCTCTTCCAGGCTGGCAATCTGCGCAGGTCATCGCCACCCTGGTCATATCTGTCGTTCTCTTCGTGGTCTTCTTCCTAATTGAAAGATTCCAATCCGACCCCGCTCTCCCGCCGCGTACATGGCGAACCAAGAACTTCACGCCTCTCTTCTTCTGCTGCTGGAGTCCCTACTGGTGGCTCTTCGTCTGCGCAGTCAACATCGTGCAGCTGCATGTGGTAGGCGTCCGTTTCATCTCGCACGAAGGACGCTCAGCTCACCTTCGCAGGACGTCTGGGGTGTCTCTCTATCTTCCACCGCCATCCGCTGCATCCCCATCGGAATCACTGGCGGCATATCGTCTGTGATCGTGGGGCAGCTCGCGCACAAAGTCCCCCGGCGCGCGCTTCTCACCGTCGGCCAAGTTTTGCAGGCAGCGGGCGCGGTTCTCTTCGCACTCGCTGATGCGCCGAGCAAGTACTGGTCGCGTATCTTTCCTGGGATCATCGTCGGGATGGTCGGGATGGCTTGCTCGTATGTGGGGTCGACGGTCTCAATGATGGAAAGCGCGCCGTCCGACCAGCAGGGCGTCGTGGGCGCAGTCATGTCGACCAGTTACCAGATCGGTGCCACAATTGGCTTAGCAGGCAAGTCTTCCTCGCCTTCACCACGCTTAACCCTCCACACTCTAATGTGCCTTGCAGTATCAACCACGGTGTCAGTCGAAATTAGCAAGAAGCCAGGGTCATCCCCACAGGACGGCTACACGGACGCGTTCTGGTCAGTCGCTGCAATGAGTGGCCTTCTTGGACTGGTCGCCATATGCTTTGTACGTAGTTGAGCCCATGGCCATAGAGTTTTTGACTGGTGGGTGCGCCTTTGCCTCCGGATTAGCCGTTGCTGACGGCTGCTTCTTCCCAGCATCTTATAGACATGGGAACCCTCGAGATCTCAACAGGCATGCCAATAGAGTTATTCAGGCCGTACCACTTGGCTACCCACCGTCATCGTCCTTTCCGCCGCCCCACCGCCGCGTATCGATGCGTCTGTTCTCTTGTCGACACCCGCGAAGGCGGGTGCGAGTGACGTCCTGCAAGCGAGCTTGAGCCTGTTCTTCGGCCGCGTCTTCGAGGCGGGAGTGTCTCGGCTGTCTGGAGGAAGCCGTATCGTTAGCCCGAATCGTCTGGCTTCTCGGATAATCGAAGAGGAAGGAGGGGCAATCGGAAGATGGCAAGACATGCTCGAGACAGTGACGGCTCAAAATAGGAGGGTACTATATAGCTGTGTTGCGCAACCCGCAGCGGTCCCCACTTCACCCCCCCTACTGCGTATGGTGGTATTTCAGTCCCTTGTACCTTGTATCCGTTCCTGTATCCTACCACCATAGACGATTGCCTCTCACTCCCCTCCACGACGCCCTACACTATCGTCAACATGCTCGCTGGCCCCCAGACCGCCACCAGTGCCCATCGTTCAGCTCCCTCTTCCTCCCGCCCCAAAATCGCCTTCGCCACCGGGACGAAGGTCACCTCTGGAAAAGCCCCCCGCGGCATCCCAACGCCAGACGCCGTGCAGCAACGGGCAACGCTGCCGCCCGAGGCGCAGCACAACAGCATCTACTGCATACGAGTGCGTAGCCACCCTGCATTCCAGGGCCCGAGAACACGGCATGCTTACGCACCCACAGTGCGCAGTGCCCCACTTCTACGTACCCAAGCCCATACCCATCATCATCACCAACCCCTATGACGCCGACGAGAACATGATCGAGCGGCTCGAGGGCGTTCCGTGTCTTCGGCGGCAGATCAACATACTCCACATCGCCCTGCCCTCCGACCTCAGGGACCAGATACCAGACGCCCTGCGCGCGGCCCGACGACTAGTAGAAGCGCGGGTCGGGCGGTACGAGGAGCAGAGGCTGCTGCCGAACCTGCGCAAAGTCGTCTACCACGGATCCTGGTCAGACGCCTACCGCGCTCCTGCTGCCATTCGCGCAGTCGAGCGGCTGTACGCGCGCGAGGAGGACGTACCTGACGACGGGTCGATACACAGCGAGGAGGCTCTGGAGCGTCCCTCGCACGCGTGCGTCGTGGAGATGCGTGGCCACTTCGTTCACCGGAATGGAGTCGGGTTCGAGTGCATAAAAACAGACATGCCATAGACTCATCGCGGCATAGCGACGGCATACTTAGACGACAACGGACTTTGCAGGGTGGAATGTGTGTATTTACTGTAATGGGTGGTTGTGTGTGCGGATTTGGTGTAGCTGTATCTCCAGTACTCACGGGCACGTGCCAAAAAAAGTTCAACTTGTAGAAAATAAATCAAAGCGTTTCCTGGTCTCTTGCTGCATCGCCCGCCGGTCGTTCTCGAGCAGAGGATAAGTGGAGAGCAGGTTCCGTGAGCAACAGTGGCAGCAATGATACACATTATGTACGTCAACTGGATCTAAGAATATCAGTTATAGAACACGCCACTTGTCCAATGCCAATCATCTTAGCGCAGCCTTGAACATTGACAGAAGATGTTGATACAATACAGTGTGTAAGAAATAACTAAGACATGAAGAGAACAGAAAACCCAATAGACAGAAGAGATACGTGCGAGATAGCGACAGCAATGACAACATCGACAGAGGCTTGGTTCTACTGAGGATAAATGTTGCGGGCGACCTACACATCATTCAGACGACATAGCGAAGCCGCTCAGCGATGCACTCACACTCTCCAGAAGCATGGAGACCTCCGGTGCAACGTTGATGAACTCCTTGCTCCAGAAGTTGTACTTCGGGTTCCGGAGCAGCTCAACGAAGGTCATCACAGCGCCCCATGGGTGAGGACGATGCACCATGAAGCGCTCGAGCAGCACGCGCGTCATGATCTCCTGGAACTTCTCGTCTTCGACCTCGGTGAAGAGGTGAAGGAGGAGAGAGCAGAACCAGTAAGTGTGGGCGTTAGGGTAGCGTAGATGAAGCGTCATGGACGTGATGAGGTGGAATTGCCCTACATCATTGTCGTCAGTTCAGGAACTGAATCGCGAGGAGGCATGCTTACCTTCGGCGTCAAGCGAGTTGGCGAGGTACTGCAGAGCGACGACTCCAGGGTCGCTGGGCGCGAACAGGGCGGTCCCGTTCCTGGCCTTAGCCTGTGCGACAGAGGAAACACCGATGTACATGACGAGGGCGTTCAGCAGCGACAGGTTGTACGTCTCCGTAAGCCCCTCCACCGGGCTGCTGATCCGCAACCGCTCCTTCAGGGACGGCAAGAAGGACGTCGAGCCCCGACCCAGGAGGTACTGGTCGAGGTACGCCTTCAGATCGCCGCCCTTCAGTCCTGCCGCAAAGTCCGAGAGGATCGGAGGGATGGGGCCCATCATCTCGACGATGACCTCAGGCTTCATGCCGCGGAGGTGAGGGTCAGGAAGGACCATGGTCTGCGGGAAACCGCTGAGAACGATGTTACGCAGCTGGATGCAGCGGTAGGGGATGACGTCGCAGAGGGAGAAGTAGTACTCGCTGAGGAAGTCGGGGAAGTCGTGCAAGAGGACGAGAAGGATGCGAAGGGCGCCGCGATACATGTCACGCGCTGGGACGCTCAGCTCGGAGTCCTTGAGGAAGGGAGCCAAGAACTTGAAGAGAGCGATGAGAAGCTTCTGCATGATCGCCCACCCCTATGGATAGGTTAGCGTCGTGTTCACTCGATGGACTGGCGCACATACCTCGCGGTTCTCTGAGAGCAGCAGCTTGGGCATCAGAAGGCGGTGCGAAATTAGACCCATCCAAGAGAAGGCAAAGCCAGGGAAGTATATCGGCTGCAAGCCACTCAAGGTCTCGCTACAGAGCGCGTGAATCAAGTGCTCGAAGGTGAAAGGGATGCTACATACCAGAACACGACCAAGAGCGGGAAGTAGACCGTCCCGAGCGACGCCTCCATGGAGTTGAGGTCGTTCAAGAGGCTCGAGAACAGGCGGAAGAAGGGCTTCTGCTGGAATGGCTCCTGCTCCTCGTGGAAGTACGCCAAGACAAGGATCAGGATGGACAGCACTTTCTTGAAGTAGTGCACCTTCGCCTGGTCGGCATTGACGCCGGTGGGGTCGCCGTGATACTTGATGATGAACACGACCAACTTCGACATCGCGTCGACGTAGGAGTACGCGGACGCGTAGTTCCCGACCGCCACGGCCTTCGCGTAGTGGTTGACGCTCGTCTCTGCGCAGACGCGGAAGAACAGTTGGGACGCCTCGTCGATGTTGAGCACGCCGCTCTTGAGGACCTGCGTGATGAAGCCGACGAAGCTCTTCTCCGGGTTTGGCGAGCGGTGGTAGATCTGCACCCAGCTCTGGAACCAGAAGCCTGCTTCGCGAAGCTGGTCGCTCTCGGGCTTTGTCGACGGCTGCCTGGCGATGATGTCGGGCGTAGCTGGCAGCGACGGACGCCGCACGCCACGCAGATCATCCATGAAGTGCACCACCCTGGATAGCGTATAAGCATGCGAACAAGGGATTGAGGTCGAAACACGCACTCATCAGTGGCCTTGTCCGACTGTGCGATCTGGCTGAGAACCTCAATGCAGTATGGGAACTGGCTCTGCGTCGCGATCGGCGGGTCAGCCGTCAAGCACTCGCGAATGAGGCCGATGACGAAGTTGATCAGACTCGGCCGAGGATCAGTGAACAAGAACTTCGCCAGCTGCTGCTCGTAGACGGCGAGGTCGAACAACCTGCTGCGCAACAAGGTGACAGTGACAGGGATGTTGTACTTGCGCTGCAAAGGAAGTCAATACTATGACAAGGGATGGACTGCATGTCTGCGTACCTCGTCCTCAGCATAGATCAACCAGTTGATGGCCTCCTTGCCGGTCTCCTCAAAGTGCCTGCAGAGTTGATCAAGCAGCGCGACATAAACCTCCCGCCCAAGCTGAGTGGGGGCCTTGTACAGCAGCTGAACAATCTTCTGCGACATCTGCAGCGGTGCCTGCCTGCGGTCCGACTCTTGCGCGTTCAGCATGATCTGGCGAACGAGATGGCGAACGTCGTGATTGGGCGGAAGGAGCGCCAAGCTCTGAATGGGGAGCTGAACCAGGACATTGTCCAGATCGCGGATGAGGACACCGAAGCGCTCCATGACGGCCTCGTTGCTCGGCGCTTGTGCCGTCAGACTGAGCGGCGCGGGCGTCGCAGGTCCGGGGTATGCGCCAGTAGCGTTGAAAGGCATGGTCGAACTCGGGCGGCTGGTTCTCCGCTTGTGGTCGGCAGCTGCAGGAGATGTTAGTGACGCCCGACAAGAGATGATCTGAGGACTCACTGAAGTCCTCGTAGACGTTGAGCTGCACAGGGAGAACACCGTTCTTGTGCAAACGAAGGATGTCAGGCAGATTGGTGGTAAGGCTATGAACAGGATTGGAGGAGTCCCAGAAGGGTCCGCTGCGAGTCTATGCCAAAGTCAGTGTCTCGTTGCAAAAGGTGAACGACTGGCCATACCTCGCGATGATGGATCCGCATCTCGTACGCAGGAGCAAAGCCCTCGTCGACGTCGGAGATGGCACGCTCCATGGCTGCCCTCTCGATGGCGCTACAAGCGTTGTCCAAGTTGTCAAGAGCAAGGTCCATGATATGGTTGTCGACCGCGGCAATCTGTCGAGACTTAGCATACAAGCCCATTGTCGGTCACAGACAACGTACGTCAGAGAAGCCATGCTCAGCCAAATACTGGCGCAGATGCTGGGCCAGGTTCGTCCGCAACGGCTCCTTGCAAGTGACCATCGCGAGGCTGCCGGCAAGTTTGGCTGCCATGCTGTGCGCCGCCTTCCTCATCTTCTCCTCATTGGCCTCCGTGGCAAAGTCCTTGGCGACAAGCTCGCGCGTGGAGATACCAGCAATCGTGACGGAGCGGTCAACGACCGGCAAGATGATCTGCAAACCATATGAGCATCTTCAACCACAACGTCAAAGATTGACATACCTCGCGAACTGCTCTGTCGACCGCAAGCTGCACCGCACGCTTGAACGCAGGGTTGCCAAGCATGAAGCTCAGCGTGCTGCTGATCTGCACATGCTGCGCCAGCGTCGTCAAGATCTGCTCAATCTGCGTGCCGACCTGGCGCATCTCTGTCAAGGGCATGACAGGCGGCTCGCCGAGCATAGCAGCGTCGTAACCGCCTATGGGCAGCGCGTCGATGTCGCCAGGATACTCCGGCATAGCAGGGCCAACGTCGCTCATCGGGCGGTTGCGCATGATAACTGCCGCCTCGACGGTGTCGAGGTCGATGTCAAGACTCTTGCACAGCACCTCGATCTCAAATTTGAGGTTTAGCTTGAGCTCTGCAAAGTGGTACAGCTCGGCAAGGAGGCTGATGACGGCCATGAGCCACGGGTTCGGAGGCCGGAAAACCTTCGACTGCGCTGCCGGCTCGAGCGTCTTGCAGACGAAGGGTATCGCCACAATGAGCCTGCCACTGTCGTAGCCCTCCATCAGCAAGTCCTTGAACGAGAGGTTCTTGTGCTTGATCGGTCGATCGCGCGCGAGCGTGATTGTCCCAAGCCACGACCCGACGTTCTTCAAGATGCTCCTCTCCGTACTCGACTGCACTGTCTTCTCCGAGTTCAGCAGCGCCGCCGCCTTGACGAAGGTCTCGTGAAGGATATACTTGTTCAGCGACGAGCGGTTGAGCGCGTCAAGGAAGCGCAGGTACAGCGAGTGATTGTTCGGCTCCGTGCTGATGCGCTGGTCGACCAAGTAGTTGGCGAACCACCGCGCGTACTCGTCGGAGAACGACTGCTTCATGTCGACCAGTTTTGTGTCGAAGTTGCTCGGCGCCAGGTTATTGACGATGAACAGGATCTTGTCGGATAGCTCCTCGGAAGGCGTCTCAATCTCCTCGTCGACCGCATCGGGCTGAATGGCCAGGAAGACGGGCGCTGGTTCAGCGTAACCGCCCATGCCAGGCGTGCGCAGCTCTGTCAGATCAGCGTCTGGCCCCATGGCCAGTGCACGCTGCAGAGTAATCGCCAAGTCAGGCCGAGCCTCGAGCAAGTGTTGGTTCTTGAGCAACTCGGCGCACAGCGGCTGCCATTCTGGTAGCCTCGACTCGAAGCGAGACAGCGCCTGCACACCGAACCTGAAAAGGTTCTTGTCCGGCGGGCAGTTCAGCGCGTCGATGACATAGCGAACTGCGATCCCTAGTGGCATGTAGTCGAGGAGGTCGTGCTGAATGATAGAGCCGAAGAGGTAGCCCGTCATAGCCAGCTCGCGGTCTGGGTAGAAGGACTGGAAGAAGCGATACTCGTCGAAGAGGAAGTGGATCATGCAAGAGAAGACCTCCTGGTCGCGCGGGTTGCTTGATGTCCGCAACTGCTGCAGCATAGTGATGACCTCGTCGATGGAGATATTCTCGTCGTACATCCGCTTGTAGATGAGGTCGACCTCGTTCTCAATGTCTTGCGGGTACTGGATGACGGCAAGACCCGATTCCACGTCCGCTCCGGGGGCAAGGTTCATCAGGCGCGGGTACACCTGGAAGCACATGTTCTGCACATCCAGCGCGTAGTCCACGTCCGCTTGCTCCATGAGGTGCGAGCTGCAAAGCGGGGTCAGACTGGCTGCAACACTAGCGAAAGTAGTAGACTTACCTGCCACGGATGACACGCAAGATAATAGCGACTGTGCTGGGATTGATCGGCATTGTCCGGCTCTCGACCGGAGGGTCGGTTATCCTGGTTAATTTCTCGCTCTCCATCTTTTCCTTGAGGAAATCGGCGATAGACCGAAGGAACTCCGTGCCATGAGCTGCAACCTTATCCCCGAGCCACTTGTCCAGGTTGAGGTACTCGCGACGTGAAGCCAGCGCAGCCACATCTAGCGCGAAGGTGAAAGGCCGCACTTCAAGCAGCGCCTCAAGTATCTGGCAGGGTTATGAGATCCGGTTATACAGGCTGACATCTAGCTTACCTTGAGGTCCTGCGCGACGTCCAAAATGCGAGTGATGTTCTGAGGGTTTTCCTCGTAGAAGTCGCGGAAGGCGTCGGTGAGGTAGGACGGCTGAATCTGCCATATGCGCATGAAGACTAGCTGATGGTTGGGGTGGCCGCCAAGGAACATCGCGAGCAGCTTCCTCGAGTACTCCAGACGGATCTCATTCCAGTTCGCGTTCTGCAGCGTGGTGAGCGCGTGTTGATGTTCACAATGTTCAGCACGTACCGGAACCTGCAACAACCCCATATGAACCAGCTCCGCACTGATCTTGATTGCCTTGTCTAACATGTCGCGGATGCAGCCTTTGATGTCCGGCGAGTCAGAATCCGCCAACCTGACCAGCACTTGGAAAAGGTCGAGCGAGTTCCACGTATGTCCCTGGACATTAGCTGCGAGCGACTTGATCGTCGGACTGGCGATTGACACATCGTCGACGGTCACGATGCGGTGGCCAGGCAAGGAGACGAAGTTGAAGGTATCCGCAGGGAGGGAGAGGAGGGCATCGAGGAGGCGGAGTTGATACAGCGAGTTGTTCCACACGGTCCAGAAACCCGTCACAGCATGCGGATGAGCGTCCCTCGGTGAGTTGAGCAGAACAGCTATCAGCAACTTGAGGGTTGCTGTGTCAACACCCAGCCGGTCCGGCCAGTCGAACGACCGTATGACCGCAGGCCAGTCGAGCTGCACAGGCTACGGACAGTCAGTACAGTCTTCGCGAGCCACTTGAGTGAAGTTGACTTACATAGCTACTGAGCGCTCTGACGACGGCCCCGACATCGCACATCGTGGACCCTTCTGCAGCCAAGCGACCCAACGTCTGAATCAACTCGACGACCTGGTTGTCGCTGGGAGGAGCGGCGTCCGTGATGCCGAAACGAGCGAAGATCGCCCGAACGACGTCAGGATCGTTGGTCACATCTGGTCCTAGCTGCATCAGCGTTTGCACCAAGGTGGCCCCGGGTGGCAGGCTACCAGATGTGTTAGCATAGTTTCCCAGAGGCAGATATCACCCAAGACGTACCTCAGTTGAGGAAGTATGTTGTAAAGGATGGGCGCAACAACCTCCCTGCCGTATTTTGACTGAGAGGCCACAATCAGTGCTTGCCGCTGCTGAAAATCGAGCACAGGAGAGTCGCGCGGAGGGTCGGAGAGGAGGTTACGCATGAGCTTCGCAATGCCGTTGGGGGTAAGATCGGCATGGTCGAACGAGGGAGTAGTGCACAGCGACATGACCGCATCTTCGAAATCCGTCGCAACAATCGTCGCCGCCTGGCTTGCCAGCTCCGGGCGCGTCTTTCCCGACAGAATCGACGCGGCGAGGACCAGCTTTTCGAGGGGGCGCAGGCCCACGCGATCCGTGAAGCGCACGAGATCGAAGGTGCGGAAGATCTCCCCCTCCCCCTTGTCCACTCCATCGCGGAAGCGGTCTGCGAGGTGCGGGTCGCGCGCCAGCCTCTGCGTCTCCTGCACGAGCAGGCGGAAGGTCAGCACCGACGAGTTATCGGGTGGGTTATTGGTGCCGGCTGGAGACAGCCTCTGCGCGGAGTGTACGATGAGACGGCGGATGAAGTGGAGATAGGTGTCGATGCCATGCTGCTCGGATAGCTGTGAACATCGAGAGGGGAAGGATCATACGCGTCAGTGGCCGCCCTGCTAAAAAGACGCGTAGACACGCACCGAGCGGATTTCGACCTGGTTGTGCTCAAAGTTTGCATCCGTCAAAGTCGATAGCAGGAAGACTATCTGGGCCTTGACGATGGTGTGTATATTGGTGGACGGATTGTCCATGTGGGACGACCTGGACGGCGTCGAACGTCGGGAAACGTTCCCACTGCTTCCAGGTCCCGTCGCCGTTTTGAGCTGATGTTTGGGGTATACGCCAGAAATGAGATGGGCGGCGCGTCGGCGCCTGATGAGTGCAAGACGAGAAAGATGCGCTCAGCACCAGCTACCGCGTTTGTCGACGTCCCGGCCAAACACGTCCAAACCCCGACATCAAAATTCAGACCCAGTGACGTGTGACGATCCGTTACTCCCATGCTCCAGCAGCTGCTTACTTGATGCACAAATCCATTATCAAGTGCCAGTACCAGTATTGCAACCGAAAGTATAGTACAATTGCTCCCCAACACCAACTCCACAACAACAACAAAAGGCCCGTCGTACTATACACCGGGAGGAAGAATGAGAGGGGGCCGAGGCAACTACTACCAAGGCCATGCAACGAAGATGAGAACGGCAGATAATAAGGTGGCATAAAGCCGCGAGACCACATTCACCGCGCCGTCGTTAGAGTCCTGCGACCTCGAATTGCCGGACAGATTCGAGTCTTGGCCGCAAAGGCCGGAACCAGAGAGCAGCTTCTCCGGAACCAGGATAACTGCAATGGTGTGAGGGAAATGTTCACTAATGCTAGCGCTCTACTGACCTGGTTTGCCGCCAGCGGTGTACTCGACGTCCAGCATGCCTTCGGAGGAGGTAACCCATTGCTGACACGTCAGCACGCTGGATATCATTAGCCATCTGTTTTGTGAAGCAAGCGATGCGCGCTCACTCAGTCATAGCATAGCTGGGGCCGTAGGGCGACTTGACCGCTATCTGCGTGCCATTCTGCGCGGGCGAGCCAATGTTCGTAAGGACGGTGATAACCTCGCCCTTGGTAAAGCCAATGCCATATTTGCTCGTCGTCAAGACAGTCATATCCTGGGTAGCCCAGTCGGTCGTGCTAACGAGATGGTTTCTGAACTACGGCGACTTCAGTATAAGACGATGACAGGAGTCGTGTAGCTCTTACCTTGTTCAACGTCGCCGTCAGGTTGTAGGCGATTGTCTTCTCGTAGTTTGACTGCCAGAGCGGCTCGCGGTTGTACTGCCTCGCGTCAGAAACAGGGCGTATGCTGATCGAAGCACGACTTACCGGGTCGCCGACACCGGAGAAGTACTGCTCCTGGCCATAGTACATGATGGGTATACCGCTCGACATGAACGTGTACGTCATGGCATTGCTGCGAAGTAATGAGCTCTGGCGAAAAGACGAGCGCCCTACTAGACTCACTAGAGCGATTGCGGATCCACAGACTGGTTATGCCAGCGCGGCAAGTCCTGGTTCTCGAGGAAGTTGCCGAGGACGGTTATGTCCTGCATTACGACAAGCATTTAGCGCGGTACCGTGACTTAGTGAATGGACGAACCTTGAACTTCTGCTTAGACTCATCGAGCGTGTTGGTGATCTTGGTAACATCCAAGTCCCCAGGAATCTTGAACGCCGACATGAGAGCAGTATACATGTTGAAGTTCAAGACGGAGTCGAGGGGACCCTGGTATTGTGCCAAGGCGCTGCAAGTCAGATGAGTGAATGGGCCGGGAAAACGATGGAAGCACCTACTCGACGTTGTCACCACCGAAAACTTCGCCAATGCAGAAGACGCCGGCCGCTTTGCAGAAGTCTGACCAGAAATCAATGTTGACGTGCTTAGCGGCTTCGGCAGGTTCAGTTGTCAAATCTACTGGGGCGACGAAAAGAACGCATACCGTCAATACGAAGACCGTCAATGTTGTACGTCTGCACGAGCTCCTTGACCCAGGAGTGGTACCCGCTAATTACGTCGGAATTCGTCGTGTCCAGATCCGGAAGGGGAACCTTCTCGTCACCAAGCCAGCAGTCCTGCTCGCTCGTGCTGTTGCCCCATTCGATACCACAGTACGGGTGGTATTGGTCCTGTCAACGATTGAGCGACGTCAGGCAGGGAAGAGGGCCTAACGTACCTTGTCCTTGAAGTAGTATTGTGAGAAGTCAGGGTCGGTAGAGGTAGCCATAACGTTGTTGACAACGACGTCGACCATCAAGTACATGTCGCGCTTGTGAAGCTCATCCGAGAGCGCTTTGAGATCGTCCGCCGTCCCAAAGCGATCGTTCAGCTTCGAAATATCCTTGATCCAATAGCCGTGGTATGCGTCGCCGTAGGCTGAGCGTTCGCCATCATAGTTCTGGTTCACTGGACTGATCCACACTGCGATACGGGTTAGCATACGGCGAGGGAAAAGCAGCGAGGTGGCTGACATGCGGTGAAGCCGGCGTCCTGAATATAGTCGAGGTTTTCGCGGATTCTAGCAGGGGACATGAGCATGCCAGCAAATAATGTGTAGAGGTGCGCGACGGACGTGTTCCATGTGCCACCGCACCAAGTCTGGTCCTCAACCTTGCACGCGCTGGTGTCTGCGCCTTCCGGCAGCGCGAAGCGGTCGGTGAGCACCCTGGGCGAGATGTTAGGCGGAGGTATATGGGGCAAAGGCGAGACGCACTGGTATATGCTGCGCCCGCGCCAATCGTCTGCAGTAGCTGCCAGTGCTACCTGGACGCAGCGCGGGGCAAGGAGCGCGGCAAGGGCGAGCAAAGAAATTGAGCGAGTCGCCATGGGTGAGTGGAAAGGACTGAGGGAGGAAAGAATGTGAGGGGGGCGCTATTAGTCCAGCGCGGGGTCTGGGATTGAGCGGGCAGGGTACGTAGCCCGCGCGACCTGAGGAAAAGGCAGTGGAAAGAGGGAAGGAAGGAGAGCGGGGAGAGAAGAGCAGGGCAACGGGATCGGGCGCGTGATCCAGCCTAGCAGCGCGGAACCTAGGTCCATGCGGCCATACACAGGGGATCAAACGGCACAACTGACGCCGTGTTCTGGGCGGTGTTTCCACGGTCCCTCGCCAGTCATCCGCCGTCGAGCAGGCGAGCTTTTGACGTCTATTGTGCTGCATAAGGACACACTTCACGCCCAAGTCCACCTTCCGTTATGCCGTGACCGACGCCAGATGGTGGTGGGGCGCAAGCATCACCGAGCGCAGCAGTCCTCGCATCCCCGGGGGGCTCGGGCTTTGCCGCTCCGTCGCCCCGCCTTCCGGCTTCTCGGCCAACGTTGATCCGCGAAGCAACTTGTTGATTCCGATCATGGCAACCTCCGCACGTGTTTCTATGTTCAAGTCGTATTTTTACACTCGCGTGGGCACGAGAAACCGCGAAGACGATGCCAGTGTGCCACTCGAGTGTCAGCCGACGGCTTGTAAAATTTCTGAGCTGTCTGTTGTGGCATATATCGGGTGCACGGGGTCGCTCTCGAGCCATGCAATTGGCATACAGCCTTGGCGTCGGCATGGCCAAAAGGTCACCAGGCTTGCGATGTCCTGAAGATCCCTCCTCACCGTGGATCATTCCCCAAAATACCATCAAACGAGCGTAGACGATGTCCGCCACCTATGCTTGTGAAGGTCTAGCTTATAGTATTTTTGTCCGTCGAGCGTCATCTGCCGTTCATGAAAGACCTATCGCGTCAATTTATGCATCTTCAGTCGAACGCGTAGAGCATTGGCAACGCATACAACGTCTATACCTGTCCCGCACTTGAATGCTGTCCGTACGCGCAATTTCCGTCGTCTCAAACGCAGGCCCTGGGAAGGAAGGGGAGGTCAAGGAGCACCGCAAGCGTCAGAATCGTGAATGGTCGTACGGGTCGTTACATGTGAGGGTATAGCAGTTATAAGGAATCGAGAATGTCACAATCATCCTCGTTCTGGCAAACCTTTGTACGCCCAAGGTTCTTCGCCAACGGTCCTGTCGCGTTTCAGTTAGCCGTCTCCTCACATCCAAGCAATAATTTCCTTTACCTGTTAGCCCGTTCACGTAGTGGCACGAGATGTCGAAGACACAGTATTGGCGGTCGTCATCTTCGGGGTACTCCTGGTCCCCCCACGCGCCTTCCCAGAGCAGCCAGTGTGCGCCCTCCGCGTCTTGTGCTGAGCCGCCTGTACCTGCGCCGCCGGCTATGGTGAAGGTGGTGGTGTCGTTGTCGAACCCTGCCGGCGGCCGTCAGACGTGCATTGACAAGCCAGTGCACGAGCACTCACAGTAGCCTCGGTAATTCAGCGCAACATCCCAGAACGGGCCTTCGTCGGTGTCATCCGTGATGAGGCCTGTTCGACGTTAGCTTCACGCCTGGACAGCTTACATTGGCATACTCACTTCCCGCGAACGTATACTCCTGCGTGCCCGTAATCGCATAATTCGCATGCGTCCCATCCGCAACGTACACCTTCGGCCGCTTCCCCTCCTTCGCAATCGCATCGTACGTGTACGCATACCCACTGCTGTGCGCGGACAGATACACATGCGTCGGCTCCCCATCCACAAAGCGCACCATCGAGTGCTCCCAGTCGCCGACGTGGTTGCCAAAGACGATGCCAAATAGATCGTTGCCGTAGTCGAAGGAGTAGAAGTAGAAGTAGAAGACGTCTACGAAGCCGTCCTTCTGCACGGCGATGATGGTTGCAGGGGCCCCCGAGAGGCCGTCGGCGTCGGGCTTGTTGTCGATGGAGGTAAGCCAGGAGGGATTGGTCTCGACGTCGTCATTTGAGGTGAGGTATGCGTCGGTGGTCAGGGAGTTTAGGTCGGCTAGGGTGGTAGCATCGGCGATGGCGGTATAATTGACCTGCGATGGGTAAGATCAGCTACCTGGCTTGGCGCTTTGATTAGCAGCTGTACGTACCTCTGGAGTCGTATGCTCAAGGTGGGTCACCACATCCGAAGGGAAATAATGCTCCTTGCTATAAAGGACGGTATACGGCGCGTAGGTGAGGGCGTAGTCCGGGATCGCAGTTACCCTGGCTTGAAAGCACTTTGAAGGGTACCCCGAGACAAGATTTGCCAGGCAAGAAAGAGTGGTAGAAATGAGTGACGTGCGACGCGCCATATTGACGAGGACCCGAGGCCAACGACGAACAACGAGGGAAGGGCGAGAGGCCTAGGTGGGCGTAGCGGGAAATGGCGTGCGCAACGAGCCCCTCCCACCACACGCCGATATATATGCGGCTCGCACCTGCTCACCTCACCACCCCGAACGTGTGATCAGGAAGCATCCCACCGCGAACCCATGATTGCGACAACCGTGAAACGGGCCAAGTGGCAGCCCGTTCGCACAGCGCATGTGAAGATAAGATCGCTTGTGGTGATGTGGACCAGCGTTAGCCTTCCTTTGGGGAGGCTTCCGCATTCGACCGCGGGGGACCGCAGGCAGCACTTGGGCGCGACCGCACGGTGGGAGACTGCGTATCAGCGATCACATGCCGGGACCGGGGGATCTGTTAGTGGAAGACGTGGGTACAATGGATGAGCAGAAATGAACGTGCACTTCTAACTCACCTAGTACGTTCAAGGAAGAAGGGAGGGGGTAGCGTAAGTGGGGGTACGTTGAGTTCGAGGCCTCTCAGGTTCAGCCGTGCTTGAGGTACAATTCCCATGGCGCAAGCGTTATATCGGGGAGAGCGATTTGCGCTCGTATAGAGCATTCGCATATCTCTTCATGGCCGTCCAGGAGAAGTCGCTCATGAAGGCACGTTCCCCGCCAGGATCGCCGACCATTGCGCGGGCTTGCCCAGAGAGGCCTCAGGCTCGATCGATCGACGGAGGCGCCGGCGCTTATTAACCACGTGGAGGGCACTGGTCCTGTAGTCTGCTTTCTCCCCCCACCCACACTAGTCAGCACCACTCGAGCATCATGTCGGGACGCCAGGGAGGCAAGCTTAAGCCGTTGAAGGTGGGCGCACTGTGATCGCGTGGTGGACATCGCTCATCGTCTCTCTAGGCCCCCAAGAAGAGCAAGGCCGACCTTGATGAGGACGACAAGGCGTTCCTCGAGAAGAAGAAGGCCGAGCAGGCAGCGTTGAAGGAGGCGCAGGCTAAAGGTTCGTCTGATCTGCATTTCTTGGCCGATCTCTTGCTCACAGCCCTCCTGCAGCTGCGAAGGGTACGTGCGTGTTTGCGAGGTTGGCGGAATCCTCATCATGGTCTTCTAGGCGGCGCTCCTGGAGGCGGTATCAAGAAGTGAGATTCGCCTTCTATCACTCAACGCATCTGCTGAATTTTTGTCCCCCTTTCAGGTCCGGCAAGAAGTAAACTTGACCGCAATTTCAGCGTTAGTGGGTCTTGGGTCATGTAGCGTGCTTGGTAGCGGCGGATTGAGGCTGTTTGATTGTCTTGTTTGCTTGCTCTGGAATCTTCCCAACCCTATGCCATGTATAATTGGAAAGCAGTCGAAAGACAGGTCTCGTGCAGAATGCGTAGCAAGAGGTGGCGGGGACTCCGAAAGAAAAGGAAAGGCGGCCTTATTTGCATTTGTTTGATTGCCATATGCAACTTCGTTGTCGTAGCGCTTGGTGCCAACCTCGTCCTCCTCGTCTCCCGCGTTCACCTCGAGCTCTTTTCCCCGGCCACAGTCGCCGAGACGCATAATCCCCATGTTAGGCCCTCCGCACGGCCTCCAGCAGCAAAACCCGAACGGCCTGCAGAACCAGCAAAATCAGCAGGGCCAGGCGCAAGACCGGCAAGGCCTCCCGCTCCCGCCACCCCAGAATGGCCAAGACTTTACCCTGAGCAGCGTGCTGCACTTCCTGCAAACGGAATGGCGCAGATACGAGCGCGACCGAAATGAGTGGGAGATCGAACGCGCGGAGATGCGGGTGCGCAACATTCGCGTCCTTTTTCGCGTCGGAAAGCTAATGTCGCGTAGGCGCGTATAGCCCTGCTCGAGGGAGAGCGGCGTTCGTTCGAGAATGTGAAGCTCGACCTCATGCGGCGTATCAAGATGCTTGAATACGCACTAAGGATGGAACGGCAAGGGACATTCCGCTGCGCGTTCTGGCTGTATTATTCACCCCACGTCGCCAGGTCGAAGCAGCTGACGCAGCCTGCATCCGTTCCCCCGACAAAGCTTGCGCAAATCCAGGCTCAGACGGTGGGCAAGCCGGGCGATACAGAGCACAAGGAGGAGAGCAGCGGGAGCTCACCACGAAGCGAAGGCACGTCATTGGTCGCAGTACCCCACAGAGCGTGCTGACCATGCATGGCAGATTCTCCATTGCCAGACGCTCGATTGCCGAACGGCAACGCGGGCGGGTCAAATGCGCGCCCTGGGTCTTGGGGAGGTGTCCTCAACCCGACATGGGGCCCTAGTACCGCCTCGCTGTCCATCCAACCCTCCATGAGCATTGCATCAGGCTTGGGCAAGCCTCCGCCCGGGCGGGACCCGAAGAGCCGCGCTCGCAGTCGAGACTATCTCAAGCAGTATGTGTGACACGTGTTCCTTCGTTCACCAACTCATCCGCCCCGCCCGACAGATGCTTGCAGGAAATCACCTACCTCACCTCGCCGCAGGCCATGAACCCTCTTCCTAACCGCCCCCTCGTCAGCACCTCACTCGCCATGAACAATGGCCCGCCGTCTGCCTTCCCCATCAATTCTGGCCTCAACTCTAATGGTCCCAATACCGGGTCTAACAGCCCAGCGCAACAGCATCAGATCCCCGGAACCCTCACTCTTCCTAACGTTCCCATGGATGCGTACAACGGGCGTCCTCGCAAGGTCATGCCCGACGTCGCGTCCGGAAAAGAATTCCCGACAATGATTAACGGTATGAACGCTGGTGGCACCATTACTCTCAACACGGCGAACCAAGCGCTCATGAGTGGCCCATCGAGCGCACCAGCTTCGAGCGGGCCCCTTGAGAGACGGGATCCCATGGCAGCCGCTGGCATGCAGCAGCAGGGACAGCAGCAGCCTTCTGGACAGCAACAACAACAGCAGGAGGAGAGCGAAGGCGCGCAACAGGTCGAGTCCCGCCAGATTACTGCCATCTTCCGGCCCGACGACGCGGGCTCATGGAAGGAGCAATTAAAACAGGCTCACGACCGTAGTGTCAACGGTGGTGGGTGGCAGCACGAGGGCGAGGAAGAGGGCCCTGACCAGGAGGACGAGGATGGTGTCACGAGCGAGAGCGAAAGCTCCAACAAGAAGTGGCATCCCAGGCGCACTTTGAGGAGGTGAGAAATTCTTGAACCGGCGCGATAAGGCGAGGCTGAAGCAACAATTTTACAGTCACCTTGACACGGTTCGCGCTGTAGCATTCCACCCCACGGAGCTATGCCTAGCAACCGGTGGCGACGATTGCACGGTCAAGATCTGGCGTATGGATGTCTCCAGTCTCGCGACGGCCGCGTAAGCGCCATCACTGTCTTGGTATAACTGCAAATGCTGATTGTTCATGCTAGCGGTCGTCCCGCGGTCGAGGTCGAGCCCCAGTTGACCTTGCGAGGGCACAGTGCAGGCATCACGCGTCTCATACACTCGCCGTCCAAGGGCTTGCTGTACTCCGCGTCTCTCGACTCCTCTATCCGGATATGGGCGCTCCCATCGCCGCACCATACCACCTACGCCCCGTACGATGAGACGAGAGCCCGCGGCGAACTCATCGGCCACACCGACGCTGTCTGGGACCTCGCACTCGTGCGCGACGAGAGTACCTTGATTAGCTGCGGCGCTGAGGGCAGGGTGAAGGTCTGGGACGTTTCCGGGCCAAGTGGTGGTGGCGAGCTCCGCATGAGCTGGGGCTACAATGGTATCACGGAGGAGGATGACCAGCACGACAAGGAGTTGCTGGAGGAAGATGGTACCTTCCCTGGTGCGACGTCTGTGGAGGCGTTGAAGACGGACCTCAAGCGGGTCGCGGTCGCATACCAGAATGCGGTCGTGAAGATCTTCGACATCGCTACTGGCAAGGAAGTAGCGCGTCTGGCGAGCGACATCAGCTATGGTATGTGGACTCGTGAAAGGGTCGATGGTGTCGCTTAATACACTTCGCAGACGGTACGCCCGCCACGCAAGTCAACAGGATTGTGTCGCATCCAACCTCGCCGTTGCTCGTCACCGCGCACGAGGACAAGTTCATCCGCATATTCGACCTCACTACAGGTGAGCTCTTTCCTTCACACCCCATCTCCTCCCCCCTAACCTCTGTCCCAGGTCAATGTACGCACTCCATGCTCGCGCACCTCGACGGCGTTACCGCCCTGTCCATCGACGCCGCCGGGCTCTCCCTCGTCTCCGGCAGCCACGACTGCTCGATCCGTTTCTGGGATCTCCTGGGCACGCGCGAGTGCACCCAGGAGCTCACCGCCGCGCGCGAAAAGGGCCGCGAGGGCGTCCTCGATCTCGAGTTCCACCCGACCATGCCGGTCCTCGCCAGCGCGGGCGCCGACGGCCTCGTCAAGCTCTTCGCGTCCTCTACGTCGCCGTCGTAGAGGGTGGTGCGGATGTAGAGGATGATGGATAGCTGGGCTGAAGAGCACCCATGGTGCGATGGGCGACGAGGAACTGTGGATGACTGTTATGCTACTTGTCCCCATGATAATTCACGTACGCACAAGGGATACTTCGGATTACGCTTTGATTCTGAATGTTTATCTGTCTGTCTGCAAGTTGTTCATGACACATACACCATGCCATGCGCGACGGTCTGGCTGGCAGGCGTGCTCGTAACTTATAGGTGGCTTGTGCGAGGTGTTTGTATTCATTCTGCGTACACCGTTTTAATTGTGCATGATGTAAAACATGCGTGTCGTGTTCGACATGACCAGCGTACAGGATAATGCGGTGCGTCGTAACATACGTGAGGCATAACGATATCGTGAGGGTGGAAAAGCAATGAGACGATAACGATGCTATGGCTACAACAATGGAGGATGGACAATGAGGGTGGAGAGATGACTATGATACAGTGTTGGTACGGAGATTGGGAAACTTCAATGATCAATGAGATGCAGGTAACAGGAGTCAGGGGATCAATGTCCTTATATTTCTGCAGGAATGTCAGCGCCACTTTCCATCCCAGCAACCCACCAAACACAACGCACCTATACGCATACCCTGCTCAGCGGCAATAATCTCCGCCCCAAGGCCCTCCTTCTTCACCAGCTGGCGAACCTGACTCGCGATGACCTCGTGTATCGGCCGGTCGTACGCGCCCTCCAGGTCCGCCTTGCAGTGCGTGATATACACGCGCAGGCCCTTAAGCGCGCCCAGCCGGTCCTCGCGCTCGATTGGGTTCGTCTTCTTCTTTTTGCGCAGGGGGCGGAGGCGGCTGATGCTAGATGTGCGGCTATGGCCGGAGGTACGGGACGTGTCGCTCAAGTTGGACGTGCTGCCCCCCTCTCGCCGGGCTTTCACGACCTCCGTGGCGAGTGCGACGAGCTCCTGCGTGAGGTGCTCAGGGCTGAGGTGCCCGAAGAGCATGTTGTTCGGTCGGCCGGATGGATACGAGCATTCGATGAAGATGGCGGAGAGCGTCTTGGCCCTTATTAAGGGAGCAGCATACCGCCAGACGTCGATCGTGCGCGGCGTTTTGGCGAGCGAGTCGGGCTCGACGTCGCCGAAGAATAGAAATTCACGGCCAGAGGGATCGTGCCGGATGGAGAAAGCAGACGACTCGTATGCGCCGGAGTCGTTGCTGCCGTGGTTGAGCCTGAAAGAGCGGACGGAGACGTCTTTGTGTATGGTCTTCCGTTGTGTGCTGGGATTGAGTCTGATGGGCTATGAGCAGGGTGGCAGAAGAAAGGGGGGTGGCAACGCACGGCGAATACAGGTACTTGTAGACATCGTCGTCCTCGTCCGCCGACGCCAAATTCGGCCACACTCTATCTGAGAATACAGTCTTCAGATCGCCCAGAGTCTCCTCCGCTGCATAAAGGCGCTTCCTCGGTCCCGTAAGCGAGCCGGCCGATAGCACGAGGCTGCTAACATGGTCTAAATGGCCATGCGAGATAAGGAAGCATCTGTCGCGTGCGCGCCTTGAGCACGGCGCCTACAACGATCGAGAGTGGGGGGAACGCACCGTACGTGGGAGTAGATCTCCGTGGCGGTGTAGCGCCTGCGCGCGTCGAAAAGCTTCGGGTTGCGCGTGAGGATCTGCTGCAGCGCGCCCATTCCCGAGCCTGGTGATAGGCGTCAGCAGTTGCGATGGCATCGCGGGTATAGGGTGCGCACCTCCTTCTATGCCGATGATCCCATCTGTCCAGGCAGCGGTGGCAGGCTTGATGAGGTAGCTATTGGCACCAATCAGACAGGTGAGGGACTCGGTGTGGACGGCGGCGCACCTGCTCAGGTTGGTCTCGTCGCATCCCCCGCCACTTCCGACGACGACCATGTCGAATGTATGCATGGGTGGGCGATTCGTTCGAGGGGTAGGGGCCGCAGGCTTGTCGGATAGCCCGAATATGCGCGGGACGGTGGCTAGCCAACTTGCCACCTTGGATGTCCAGGGGACACGCTTCTCGTCGCTCGTTGAGCAGAACAGTTTGGCGGTTGTGATGGCGTATGGAAACGAGGGATAAGAAAGTAAGAACTTGACGACTCCCGTTGGAGACGGTGGGAGTCAGGAGTAAGGTGCGGGCGACGGAGCCGGTCAGATTACTTATAAAATGCAGAGCGCGCTATGCACGGGGCCGCGGGTCATCGACCCGACAATTGCAAGTCCCGGTCAGAGTACGTACAAGGGCACATCCAAAACGAGACACAAAGACCAGGGGGCTGAGACGGTCTGTGCGCTCGCAAATGAACCGCCACCTTGTCGGCCGTATTCGCGGCGACCCCACCGCAGCGCCGATGCCCGAACCCTCCGTCTCAGCGGTGCGCGCCTCTCTGGGACACCCGCATATTTCTTTCACGGGTCCCAGCGCTGTACCCGTCTCCCCCTGCCACCCGAACCTATTTTCGCTCACGCAAGGGCGCAGGGGGACCGATTTCTTGCCTCAACCCCCCTGCAAAGTTCTCTCTCTCACCCCCACGAACGCTTTGGGATGCAAAGTATCGTTTGCGGCTTCTGGCCTGCTTCTTTCCATTCATTGCATTCATCGTTCTCAAAGAGGCAAGAAGGATCACTGAGCGGGGATACGATGTTATTGTTATCCGGCGTGGCCTATGGTGCGCAAGTAATTTCGGCTGGAAGCACCACGTAAAGCATTCCTGTCTTCTCATCGGATAAGAAGAATCGATGGGTGCTAGAGACAATAAGCAAGGTAGACGGCGAAAGGTGAGAGTAAACGAGGAGGAGGCGACGAAGTTCAACCAGATTTGTCCCCGATCTTTGATGTGCCCACGTGGGTGATTTGATTCCAGATAATCATATCGTGGGCTGCCACCTGCCAGAGTTCAACGTTCAACCGCTCTGGCGCATGGCTGCAGTGACTCGACCACCATCTGCGGGCTCTCTCGCGAGGTCCTTGGATCTGTCGCCACTCGACAGTCTATTATCATCAACCACTTACTCAGCCTCCCTTTGTCGTCCTACCTGGCTTACCAAGAAACCCAAGGTTTCCACATATATACGCAGGGCCACGCACTGGTTGCTGGTGCTTGCTTCCTTCTTGACTTGCGCCACTACAGTATCTGGATTGTCATATCCCTCTGTCGCCCTAGCGAATCAATCGCCGTTGATTATGGCTTCCGATAACGCTACGCCTCAACCTACCCTCTCCACGACTTGGGATGTTAGCTGCACCAATTTCTCTTCCAATGGAAGGCCTCTCAACATCTGCAGGTACTCGGACCTTTCCCGATACACGCCCGCGAGCAACATCTACTATCCCCCTCTTTCCCTCTTGACCGTGAGTATGGCCCTCCCTTGCATACAAGTTCTGTCTTCGATGTCACCAACACCAGTGAGGAATGAACCATGCGTGGATCCCGATGCGATTTACCCTTCCTCATACGCCGATAATGGCACTATTTCATGGTCAACTACAACCTTGTCAGCCGACGGCTCCCTCAAGGTCTCCTTCCCCAATATCAGGTATGATCTCTTAAGTGACTACCGCCTAAATGACCATTGATCACACGCATCGCAGATGGCAAGCTCTCCGCGCGACCGAAGGCTGGGCAGCCCTGCAGCACCACGCCCTCCTACACGGCACCCTTACAGTGCCTGAGGACGCGACGCACCATCGCCTGCTCGTGAGCCTCATCCAAGGTGCCTACTTCACTATTCTACCGCGCGGCAGATTGGGCCTCGAACCGCAGTGGTACGCGGGCAATATCTACGATCTTTCGGCGTCGCAGCCGCAGAGCGTGCCCATCGAGCCGGGCGAATACGATATCTGGGTTGCGGGGGATTACGAGGTCAGCTTTTTAGTCTCTTCTTTCTCCCTGAGAACCAAACCCTGATTGAACCCGCCACGACAGATCCGTCTATTCGGCGACCCAGGCGACGGCGTTCCGATCCAAAGCCTGCGCCTCACAGTCGAGCTCGAGTCCATCGCCGAGCCGTCCGTCCAGGCCGTGCCAACTCACCATGTCTACCCCGACTTCCTGGATGGGCTCGCTTTTGGAGAGGCCATCGGGTTTGGCGTGCGGAGCATCGCTGGTTGGTGGTCTGTCGCAGACGTCGCGCTCAAAACCTCTGTCTCGGTCAGTCGCCTTCATCAATATCGCTGCCTCTTCCGCCCACTGACTATCTATCTGATTTCGCAGGGTCTCTCCCTCACCCTCGTCCTCCCGAACGCGACCCTAGCCCCGTCGCAAACCCGCATCATCCCCATCCGCCTCTCGCAAACCGAGCCTCTACCCACAGACGTCCAGTCCCTTGACATCTCGCTCACTTTGCAGAAAGAAGAACCCATCGAGGGCCGCCACTTGCAGTCCGCCCACGATCGAGAGCTATATGGCCCTCTCACCGCAGAGACGGTGACCCTCTCATTCAGCATTCCAATCACGAAAACTGGAAAGTACATCAAGGGCACCTACCTCTACTCTGGCACGATGCCTACCGCGTTCTACGCCATTCCGCCTGCGTCAAGTGACCTGGCGTTGCAGGGGCCGGTATTGCTGGCTTTGCGTGCGTATGCTCTCGCTTCAGTACTTAATTGTGGTTTTGCTGACAATCTACCCTATCAGATGGCGCCGGCGTCGACATCTTCAGCACTACATTTTGGCAAGATGCGCTCCCGCGGGTCGAAAAGCACTGGACCGTCGTACCGAGCGGGCGCACGTCGTGGGTGCGTTTCCCTTGTTTGTTCCTTTTGTCCCCATTCAAATCTTTCTTTCTTCTTTCCTTCATATTCTTTGTACCCTCCTTTGACTCCGTTCGTTTTCTTCGCCTTTATCTGTGCTGACGCCTATAACCTCTTAGGGCCTCGACTGGCACGGCTCCTCCGCCCTCGATGCCTGGCGGTCCTTTGACGCGCTCGTCGATATCGTCAAGGCGCGCAATATTGCCGTGCGCACGAACCCTATTGCCGTGGATGCGAAGCCTAAGGCTCTACTGGTCGGACATTCCAACGGCGGGCAAGGCGCCTGGTACCTCGCCTCCCGATTCCCAGACCGCGTAATAGGTGTCGTCGCGGCGGCGGCGTATATCAAGAGCCAGGCGTACGTGAGTTTGGGGATGGGGAGGTGAGTGGGGGCTCGTCGTTTCTTTTGTGAGACACGGTTTTCGCCTGCCAGTGGTCACGACAATGTAGCACGGCATAAAAATACTGCACAGGGCAAAAGTGTTGGAACAAATTGCTGACCACCACCGCAGAGGCGCTCACTACGCGGACCCGGCTCTGAATGGCATTCTGGACGCGTCGTTCGCAGCGGACGACAACGACCTATTCCTCACCAATCTGGCCGATATACCGATTTATGCGATTCATGGGTGCGTAATGAGTCCCGCATAACCGCTATATCTTTCGCTAACTTTGCGATATGTAACCCGTCCAGCGGCGCAGACGAGAACGTCCCCGTCTGGCACACGCGCGAGCTCGTCAGCACGCTCAAGACGCTCAATCCGAAGGCGGATGTCACGTACGTGTGCTATACCTCTACTCCTGTCTCCCTCCCAATCCACGAGTGATCTAGTCGCTGATGTATTGACTATCCAGCTACCGCGAAGACCCCGGTCAGCCCCATTGGTACGATGGTATATTCGACGAGCGCGTCGACGCTTTCATCGATCGCGTCTTGTCCTCTCCAACTGCCTTGGCAGCACCTGCATCGCCTTACTCCAAGGCCATCGAGCGCTTCACCCTCACCGTCGCCAGCCCCACGGAGAGCGGCACGCTGCATGGGTGGGCGGTCGAGGAGCTCGCAGTGCCGGGACGCCTGGCGAAGCTGAGTGTGGCACGCACGATTCCTGGGCGGGTGGATGTGAAGACACAGAACGTTGCTGCTTTCACCGTGGATAAGGATGTGTTTGAGCACTTGCGCGAGGTCACGATCAATGGGAAGGAAGTCGAGCTCAGGGGACTTGCCAAGGGTACGATGCGAGCCAGGTTTTCGTTCAAAAACAAAGAATGGGTGGTAACGGTGAGCCGCGCTTCCTTGATCTGGTGTTGGTGTACCATACGTTTCTTACCATTCGTGCTCTCAGGACCAAGACGACGAACACCACCCTCGGCAGCCTCTCCGTGCCCAGTCCATCCTCTCCACCGCGCACGGCCCCATCAAGGTCTCCGTACCCTCTCTCGCTCCCGACAGCCCCGAACTCTCCCTCGCCCTCCGCATCGTGCATGACCTGGACACCTACCATAAACTGGATGCGGAAATTATCGAAGGCCGCCCGAACGACCGAAGCAGCCTCGTCGCCATCCAGGTCGGCAAACCGAGTGACGCCTACTGCAGGCTTCTTGAGGACGACAGTGCGGTTCTGTTGCCGAGGGCCGATGGGGTGTGCTTCCGCGGCAAGAAGGAGCATCGCGTACATAAACCGGGGACGGGCGTGATAGCCTTGGACCCGAACGTGGTCGACGGTCGGACGAAGATTTACCTCTACGCAGCGGATGTCGCTGGATTGGAGCGGCTGGGGCGTCTCTTTCCCATTCGTACCGGGGTGAAAGTCCCAGGGTGGATGGTTGTCGGGCCAGAGATGGATACGAAGAGCTCGGGTGGTATTCTGGGAGCTGGGTAAGAACACCGCGTCCTCTCTTCTACTTCTACTGAGGGCTTTGCAGATTCTTTGGAACAGGAGGAGAGTGGAATGTGGGCATGTCTTGGTTCTCCGAGTAGATATAGGTTGTAAAGTCGAACATTCACGTGTATGTCATGCCCGCAGTTGTGGGTCCAGCTGATGGGCGAAACGAGCGTCGATCGTAATGGGGTGTTACGTAGGGTGATTTAGTGCCGGGGCGCCTGTTGACTGGGCCGGCGTCGGGCGAGGGCCTGTAAGCGGTGCTCGTTGCTGGCTTGTTTCCGACGGTCGTGTCGCGCGCCATTGTTTTATTCTTCATTGTACTTTGCTCACTCTGCTATCACGACTGCATGACGACCAGTGTCCGACCTTACGCCTTCCTGCTTCTTCTGGTCTGCTCAGCACGCGCAGCCCCTCTTCTCAATAAGCGTGATGGCTCTACGCTTTCTGGCGGGCAGATAGCGGTGCGCCACTCCCAGCCCTTATCGCGTGCTCTTAAGCTCACTCTCTTCTGATAAAGGGCATCGCGGTGGGAGTAGCCTCCGCCGGCATCCTTACCATCGCCCTAATGGGTTGGCTCGTCTACTACAAGCGTTTCCGGGCGCGGACCCGCAGCACAAGTACTCGGCCTGCGGATGCGAATACGTCGACGTGGAGCCTCAGTGCTCTCCTTAGCACCCGCCCCCCAACGCACAACAGCTCGACGCCAGCTGTGCGGGAGCTGACTGCAGAGCAGCTCATGGGTACCCAGCCGACGACTACGAATTCAGGCCCACCACCAGCCGCAGCCAACAGGAGAAATCGCAGGCCTCGTCGTACACCGTCCCAAATGTCGACGACTTCATTGCCAGCGTACAACAAGGAGCCAGGCGAGGAGGAGGTCGTGGTCTATCGGTGGGTGGCGCCATCAATCGTCAGAGCTTTCTCAGCAAGCTGACATCTGCCAGTGGTACGGAGGACATGGAAGACAATTCTATCCCTCCCACGACTGTGGTCATTCCGCCCGTTAGTGAAGATGGAACGGAAGACTCGCGCGCAGGCCCCTCTGGGTCCTCGCACGACCACCACTATCCTCCCCACCCCGACTCGCCACACGACATGCCCCTCCTGCACGGTGACGAATCTAATGACGCACGACGTACTTCTCACGACAATAACACGCATACTGTCAATGCCTCCGATGGAGATCGCACTCAGGACACGGACCCCGACGCTGAACATGGCGACACGCAGACGAGCGCGCTCGCTAACTCGTCGCCGGCTCAGGATCCCCGTGGCGCGGCACCAGCGTACGAAGTGGCTGATCCCAGCACGGCAGCGAATGGCGCAACCATCTCCCCGTCAGACCCGGCCGCACCGCCCGCTGACACCCAGCAGACGACACGGAACCGGCGCTCGATCCGGGGTTTCCGCAACCTATTCCAGACGCGCCTCGGCGGGGGCACGCAGAATCCGAATGCGCCGCCAGTCCCGGAGGAGGCTTCAGGCCACAACCGCGGGCTCTCCGTCGCGTCCGCTGCCACCAGCCGCTCGTCGGCGAGCCACGCTCGCGGCCACCGCCCGAGCGGGTCGCTATTCTCCCTCAACGCCTTCCACCGCACGAATTCGCGGCTGTCGACGTCCGAGTCGTACAACCCCGAGCACGGGAATGCGTCGGTGATCTCGCTCAACTCTATCGGGCTCCCGCTCTCGCATACGGTCACGCGCACGTCGTTCGTGTACCCGCGGTCGGGTATGCCAACGCCCGAGCAGGTGAAGCTCATCTCGTCGCGCGAGAGCCTCGGCAGGTTTGGCGTGCCGTTCGGCGACGAGGCTGTGCGCTTTGCGAGCACGAGTCGCGTCGATCTGCTCGCGGAAGCCCCGCCAGACTTTGATGAGTCTGAACGTGCACACAGCAGGCAGCGTAGCCATAGTAGCGCAGGAATCGAGGAAGACATCGAGGAAGCGGACGAGTCGCAACATATCGATGGTGCACACTCTCGTCGTCCCTCTGCCGCCTATGACGGACTCCCGGCGGAGTCATCGTCCGCGCCGCCTGCTTTGTCTCCCCTTGCCACTATGGTGACCCAGGAACCTGCGACTGAGTCCCCAGTCGACATTGCGGTTGTGGCTCCAGCGCACAAGGGTACATCTGAGTCGGTACCCCTCTCCGCCGTCAAGGAGTCGAACGAAGTTCCATCGCCTACGAGGGAAGAAACGAGCGAAGAGATTCCGCCTCCAACACCTACGAAGGATGAGCCTATCCAGGCTGACACGGCCTCTGCTGCACCTCCTTCCGCCTCCACCAATACCACCGAACCCCGCCCCGCCTCCCCCCTCGCCAACACCGACTTCGGCCCCCCACCACCCCTGGGCCCGCCAAACTCCACCCGCGGCCGCAAAGGCCCACCCTCGGCCTTCCGCCCCGCCCTCCACGCCGACCCGCCCCGCGCCGAGTCGCGCGCGAGCACCATGACCGTGCAGACCTTCCAGACCGCGAACGACGGGGAGGACACGGACGTGTACTTCTCCGACTTTGGCGACGAGGAGTTTGGGGCGAGCAGGGGCGGGACGCCGACTGGCACCGGCATCGGTGGACGGGGCACGCCGACGGGGACCGGTACTGGCGGGCGCGCTACGTCGAACGGGCGGGGCACGCCTACGAATGGGCGCCACACGCCGACGGGCAAGCGCATGAGCGTCGCCAGCCATCGCTCGGGGCTGGGGCATGCGCTCGAGGGGACGGATGCGACGATTGTGCCCGGGCGCATATCGGCGGTCGGCGCGTAGGTTAGACTCTGACACGGACACCCTTCTCATTTTCCTCCCTTCATGGTCCAACGGCATCCATCATATATGGCTCTTCTTTTCACGACACGCACGTAGCTCTCGCTCATCGCCCCGGCGCTCGGACCCGTGGTCTCTACTCCTGGCTCAGCCTCCTTGACTTGGGCTAACAGGGGGTAGTCACGATCCATGCGCGGGCGTTGTGCGTGAGCTGCCTACGCTTCCCGCATCTCACGGGTGTACCACTACGCGCATACTGGGCTTCAGGCTACTCTCCGGAAAAGGACTCCATACTACACATCTACAGTAAATCTGTTCCGCGACTCTACTGACCATAGACTACCTTGCACAGCCGCTTGCTTACTGATGCTGATGGCTGAAATACAGTGATTAGACCCTATAAGCGAATGCCCGATCTCGTAGTCTCCGCTGAACAGCTTTTGAACAGACACAAAAAAGACTGCACCAAATACGAGCGTTTGTAGATTGCTCTTGTAGTCATAACGCATATCTGAACATTAGATGTGCTAAAACAAACACAGACAAACATTGACATGTAATCCTCTTCCATCCGAGTGAGATGAGCCTATGCATAATGTACACCGAACCGTGCAAAGCAGTCGTGGGTCGAAGCCTCTAGCTGACCATGGGACATCTCGAGTCCATCGAGTCGGAAGCCCTTTGTCGGGCGTTAGGCCCTCTATCGTACCATGGGCAACATCTGTGCCGCCTGCGAGTCGAAGAAATGCTGTTGGTGAGTTCGGCATCTTAGCGGGTGCGCGAGGACATACCCTGGTTCGTTGTTGGTTCAAGAAGCCGCTGAGCGGTGCTCGCGAAGACTGCCCGCCCAGGTGAGCGCGTACGATCTGCATTCCCAGTACGTGCTGGGCGCTGATCATGAGCTCCTGTTCTTTCCTGTAGGTAGTCTGGATGTTGAGAAGCTTGCGCTGTGGAGGCGTGAGTTGTTGTTCAGTGAACTGTTGTCTGGATACTACCTTGTGCTGCGCCACCTCGTCCTCGAGGACCTTGATCTGAGAACGGAAACTTGACTCTGCTTCCGGGGAGAAGCCCTTGGGGGACAGTCAGCACTTCAATGCGTAGATGAGGGAAGGTACATACGGATGAGGATGCTCCCTTCGCATGCTCCTCCTTGAAGAGCTTGTCTTGCGATTTGATGAACTAGGTACCAGGTCAATACTTGCCCAAGTTCCGAAAGGAGATCACATACAGCGCGAGCCTTGAGCAGCTTGTCCTGCGCAGTCTTGTACGAGTCCTTCAGGTTCGCGTTCTCCTCGTGCAAGGCAATCATCTGCTGCTTGACATCCTCTGGGAGATCCTTGCCCGAGATGACAGCGCGCATATCCCTGAAATGCTCGTCAGCGGAACCGCTCATACGACCCTTGATGAAAGCCACTCACGCAAAGTCCCTCTCGCGCTGCAGCATCTTCTCTCTCTGCGAGATGCCCTCGCCTTGCAAGCTGATCTTCTCCAACAAAAGCGCGTTGACCTGCTCGAGCTGCATGCGGTTCTTGTCTGCGAGCTCTTTGTTGTGATTCTTGAGCTTCTCGAGCTCGCCCTCCAGAGCTTGCTTGTCCTCGTTGACGGACTCGCGCAGCGTCGCAAGGATGTCGAGCTGGTCCTTGTTGACAAGGTTCACTGTGTGATGTCAGTTAGGTGGCATAGATGCAGGTGGGAAGAACGCACAATCAGACTTCGCGATGGTCAACTCCTTCGCTTGGGTGTCAAACTTGACTTCAAGCTCGGCGTGCTCCTTGCGCAGAGCCTCGAGCTGATCGACTACCTCGTTGAGACGTTGCCGCAAAGCGATCGCTGCCTCCGCGCTGCCACCGGATCAGCACCATGTTCAGGACAACAGAGCTGCAGCACTCACCCATCGCCCATGGACTTCCCACTGCGGATCTCCTCCAGGTCTCGCTGCAGCATCAGCTTCTCCCGGTGCGCTGCCAGGTAGTCTTGTTCGTAACGGCCCTTCATCCGGTTCGCGTCCTCTAGCAAGTTCTCCAGCACCAACACTCGACTGGCATCGCTCTCATTCTTCCGCACAGACTCGAGCTCGCGCTTCAGCTTCTTGACCTGCAGCTTCAGATCCGTCATGGTCGTGCCCGTGATGGCGTCGTCGAGCTCGCCACCGAGACCCTGGTCCACATCGTCCAGTTCCTCTTCCTCGTCAGCCCTCTCAAGGTGCGGCTGAAGCTCTTCAGAAACAGACGCCCCTGGCAGCGCGACGGCTGGCCCAGCTGCAGCGTCAGAGACTTTCCGCTTGGCAACAGGCCGGTGTGACTGCAGTTCGAGCTCCCGCACGCGCTCCTGGTACAGCTCAAGCGTTTCCGAATCCTTCGCGCGCTCCTCAGTCGCAATCTTCAACTTCGTCCGCGTCTGCTCGAGCTCAAACCGAAGGGATTCAATCTCTTGCGTGCGCTGCGACGCCTTCCCCTCCAGGTCCGCGATCTGGTTCTTGTACGACTCCATGAGCGGCTTGAAGCCCGCGACCTTGCGGTACTCCTCTTCTAGCGACGCGTTCTTGTCGACGAGGTCCGCGTTCTGCTTCTCGAGTGCCTTGACGTGCTGCCGGAGGTCGGCGCCCTCCTGCAGCTTCTTCTTGTACTTCTCCATGACGTTCTCCGTCTTCTGCAGCCGGTCTGCCGCATGGCGGTACCTAATGGTCCCTCAGTTCCCTTCATCTCTACCATACAAACAAAACACTCACTCATCAAGCTGATCCTTCAACTTCTCCGCCGCGTCGGCCTTCGCCTGCAGCTCCTCCACCTTGCGCGCGAGGTCGCCATTGACCTGCTGCTGCTTGTCCAATTCGTGCTCCGCTGCCGCATAGTTATCCTCACTCTTCTGCCTGCACGCTCCTTCATATAAGGTAGACCCACACGCACGGCAGACCGCAGACTTACAGTTCTGAACGCAGCCTGTCGAGCTCCGCACGCAGCATCACGTCCCCCTTGTCGTTCTTGCGGTACTCGGCTTCGCGGTCGGCCTGCCGGACGCGAGCGAGGGCGTCTGCCTTCTCCGCTTGGGCGTCGTCGAGCTGCGTCTGAAGCTCGCGCTGGTCTTCGAGGAGCTTTTGGTAGGCAGCTTGCAGGGAGTCCTTCTCAGCGAGGATCTGGCTCTTCTCGGATTGGATGCGATAGTAATGGTCGTCTCTGCGAGGGTGTCAGAGTTAAATAACTCCCACCATGGATCAGCACTCACTCTGTCATCTCCCCCGTTTCCTGCGGGTCCACGCCCTCGCCCAGCTTCTTGATGACCTACAATGCACGTATAAGTACTTCATCTCAAGTGAACGTCATTGACCACGCACACTCTCAATCGCGCGCATCAAGTTATGCTGGTCCGACTCGTTCAGCGCCTGGATCTTCGCAATGAATTCCTTATTCCGCTCGCACTGCACGCCAATCGCGATCGCCATACGACACAGAATCAGCGTATCCGTCGTGCTGTAGTCCTTCGCGACGCCCTGCAGATTCGGCGCCTCGAGGTTCTTCGTCGGCTTGTGCAGCACGTCCGTGAAGTACTGCGTCATGAGCTTGTACAGGCTCTTCAGCGCCGTGAAGCGCAGGACCCAGTTGTCCTGCGCCCCCGTTTGTGAGGTGCGCTTCTGGAAGTAGGTTTCATCGCTGTATGGTGGAGAGTAGGGTGAGTGAGGAGTATGTTAATCGCGACTCGCATACGCACACCGCGGAGAGCACCTCGAAGAGCACGGCGCCATCGGAGAGGTCGGAGATGCTGGTCACCGGCCTCGAGAGCTCAAAGCTGGCGAAGAAGTGGAAGAAGGCATCAATCTCCTTCTGCTCGTCGCGGGGAGCCATGAAGGCGGGATCCAAAACGCGACCTGAGAACGGCGACCGCAACGAGGACGAGCGCGTCGCGACCGCCCCGGTTACGTAAGCCCTTCCCCGGACCGAGAGTTTGGACTTCAAATCCGTGCAAGATCTGGTCACTTCTGACGATGTGCGGCTCTTTGTGGTCCTGCAGAAGTATGGTACATACAGATATCGTACATGGGACCTCCAAGAAGATCATGGTATCTACATCTCAACCTCATTGACCTCCGGCTCAGCAGCAGCGCTCCCTCCATCCTTCTTCTCCAAGTCCGCGGCCCAAAGTGCAGCGCCGACCGTGGTCGTGAACGAGAATGCCAGACCGACGACAGGAATTAAGTTGAGTGCGAGGGCGGCAGCACCGAAGCTAGAGACTGGCGTCAGATGGAATAAAGGACGATAAGCGGGATACTCACCCAGTGTAAGCAGCCCGATATCTCTCGATGAAAGCCGTGCGTGCAGTGGTGCTGAACTTCTTCAGCTGGAAGTAACGCGCGTGGAAGGCTGGTCCCGCTTTACGCCCTGTGGATGCGAATGAGCCAATGCTTTCGTATGTCACTTGATGGGCTCTTGCTTACCGTTGTAGAGAAGGAAGAGGACGGTGCCAACAACAGGAAGAGAGTTCAGTGGCAGGGAGACGATGTATCGCAACAAGCCCTCCTTGCTGAAGCGGTTCAACGGCTGAGTGACGACCTTTCCAAGCTTCTTGATTCCGCCGCTGCTCGTGCTGATCTCCCTCCCATTCGCGACCAGATGTTCGCGTCCCTTTTGTACAAGCACAGCATCAACTAGTCAAAGTCGTCAGAACAGCATCGTCTCTTAGCTCCGGAACGGTCACCCACACAACTTGTCCTGCGCCGTCCCCAGCAAGAACGTCTTCGTCACCGTCAAGATTATCGCATAGGACTCTCCCAGTACCATCACCGCCGCCGCAACAAAGGCCAACGGGCCAGAAAAGATCGCGCAGAACGCGACTTGCGGCAGGTACGTGAAGAAGAACATCCCCGCGGTAACGCCCGCAGAGGTCAACAGCGTCTTGTAGATGACAGGCGCAACAGAGCGGTAGAGGGAGGGATGGGTAGCGAAGTAGTAGATGCCGTGCAGGGGATAGAGGTAGCCGCCGCTGAGTGCGACATCCTTGGCGAGGGTGGACGCCTCCTTGAGCTCGGAGATCACGGCGGATTCTGCGTGTTGGAGGGTGGATTTGGCGTTTTCGGCGGTGGACATGGTGGCTGTCACGAGGGGGGTTGCAGAGCTACGAGTAGATGGTGGTGAGAAGGAGGAATGGCAGAGGGAGATACAGGGGAGGCCATGATGGCAGTGAGGACTTGAGTCGTGCGCGCTTGCATGACGCGCCCAAGTGACGCGCCTGACGTCACTTGCTGCTGCTGCACGGTATGCGGACCGGATAGTCGCGTTTGGTCGCGCTCGTCGGAGGGGGCGTGTCGGCGCGTCTTCTTCGCGTCGACGACAACGGGCCCTTGAATCGCAACACCCCTAGACTTTGCTGGCTCTATTCAGTAAGACCTCCAGGCGGAGCATCTTTAAGACGGAGCACTCATCATCTGTACCTCCAGCGATGTCGATCCCCTCTCTGCCGAACGAGATCTTGCTCATCATCTTCGACTACGCGACTCAGGTCGTGCCCGTGCACGAAGGGTCAATTCTGAGATGGGAGCGGAACTCGTACATAGACACCCTGGGCCTTGTCAGGGCCTCCAATGTATGTTCTCTCATCCGACCGACAACTAGATGCTCATCCACGCTGCAGTCCGTGAAGAAGACCATCATGCTAACCTGCAAACGATGGCACGACGTGGTGCACCCCTCCCTCCACGAATGGGTAGCTCTCAAGCAGAAACGCAGCCTCCTCAGCTTCGTCGCCCACATCCACCGACTGTCCACTCTGCCCCCCTCGTTCCCTTCCCCCCTCGCCCTCACACGACGCCTCGACCTCAACCTCGATCACCTGCCCGACAACTACGACACTTTGCTCGCCTTCATCATTCGATCCCTCCCACACCTCGTTGAGCTGAACTTCGCCATGAGCGCACTCTCCTACATCGACTACCCGCTTAACATCCCCATCTGCCAGGCGCTCAAGGGGCGGCCTTCGCTTCGCGTGCTGAACTGGTACACGGAGATCCTGCTTCCCATGCCCCGCGCCTGGCGAGACATTCTTGTCGCGCTTCCCCGCCTCGAGGTCACTACCTGCGTGCACTCCCTCCGCACCTGGCCGTACAACGACAATCCGCCGATGCCCGTGTTGCCGCATCTACATACCCTTCTGGTGTCCTCACACTGCAACGGCTGCCTGTCCACCGCGCCTTGCGTCTTGCCTGGTTTGCGCTCCCTCGCGTACTACGATCGCAGCCTCTCCTTCTCCCGCAGCCGCTTCCGCGCGGACCAGACGTGGCGCAACAGCAGTTACTTCGAGGAGCACGGCGCAAACATCCAGGACCTCTATCTCGATTCCGACGAAGACGAGCACTTCATGGACCACGTTGTCGCGCGCTGCTCCCGCGCGGACACCCTGCACGTCACTGTCCGCATACCGGGTCCCATATTGGCGCGACCCTTTCCAGAGTCCGTGAAGCGGTTGAGGATATGCAATCGGTTTGCGGAGGATGGGAAGGGCTCGGTGGCGAAGCCGCTGAACCAGATTCTGATGGTGCTGTTAGAGAGGCCGGGACAGCACGGGTTGAAGACGATACAGCTTGCGCATGTACGAATGGATGCGCAGCCGAACTTGCTACCGTGCGAGGTTTACAATACGCGATCTTCGTCGACGATGAGGAACGTAGAACTCGTAGACTCCGTTGGCAGGGTAATACTGTAGACCCCAGATAGTGGTTTGGACGGAGCATCGGATTCTTGTAGCATATGTCAGCCAGTAATTCAGCGCATATCTGTGTGCAACGGCGGAGTCGCACCAAGGTCATTGAGACAGGACAAAGGCAAAGGGCCAAAACGGTGAAGTTGTTGCTTGTCGGTGTTTGGCTCTGTCCAAATTCGCGACACGTATCACGTGCCGCACCGGCGCTTAGCGCTTAACCTCCACCACTTCGCTTCGGTAACGGCCGGCGCCTCCCTCTGGACCATCTCTCGTGCTGCCCCACGGCAACCATGTCGCAACAGCAACCCATACCACCTCAGACTCAGTCGCCACCTCAGCCACAGCAATTTCAGCCACAACAAACACAGATGCAACCTCCGTTCACGCAACCTCAGGTTCAACTTCAGCGCCCTTCTCTTACCCCTTCCGTCTCCGCATCCTCGCAAGGCTCAAGATCTGGGGACCCTCAGAGAATCAAGGAAGCGAATGCTCGACTTTTGCGTCGCCACCGCGAGGTCGTGTCCCGTACCAATGACTTCCTTGGCTTCATGGGCGTCATGAACAGCGCGCAGGGCAATCTGCGCAAGTGGCTCGACAACACAAAGGCGTATTACGCTGAAGCGAGACCTTTGGTAATGTCATCCTCACATCCGTCGCGCGTGTAATCGTTAACGATGACGACCACCCTACTCCTCCGAATCTAGATTCTGATGGTTTTACGCGTGAGTGTCATTGTACCTTCTGGTCCTGGATCCGTTGCCAGTGGCATGCTCGAACTTTGTCAACCATTCTTTAATGCTCCATTTCCACAGTGCGCACTGAAGACCCTCAAAACCCTCTGGGGCTTGGAGGAGACCGACTTCTTCCACGTCAGCATGGGCATCGACTTCGACCCCCGCGTCGGCGCCTTCAAGGAGGTGATGCAGGTCGTACAGAAATACACGGCCTACTTTGCAAGGGAAAACAACGAAGAATGTGAGCAGTCTTCTATGGCCGCCCGACCTGGACTGTTACACGATGAGCCTCATCGCTGATACGCTGGGAGCAGGGACGGTACGATATCTCTTGGAATCCATCAACCCGGAAATTCGATTGTGAGTACTTCGTACTCTCATAGAAGCGGCTTGGCGCGTCCTCATATGAATTTGTTCCTCAGCGCACCTCTTCCACCGGTGGCGCTGCGGGGGCTTCCGCCATCACAGCTGGTAAGACAATTATGATGAACTGTGGCCAATGACAGGCACCCTGTCCCCCATGTCGCAGTACTCTGGCAAGCGAGGATACTCAGAAGACAGCGTAGAAAGAATCTGTACTGACCAAAACCCAGCAGGCTATCGTCGCATCTTCCAGATCTGCAGAGGTAAGCGCTCCTCTCGTTCCGTTCTCATGAGATAGTTTCGGCTTAGCTTACTTCCTTCAGGCCCTCCACCCCACACCTGCACATCCTGCCATATCTGCGTCGACATCGAGCGCCGCTGCGAATAGTCCCACTGCCGCCTCCTTCCATCCGGCGGCAGCGGCATACAGCGGCAGCGCGCCAAACTCGACAGTCGGCCCTTCCGAGGTTATAGCCCCTCACCTCTACCTCGCAGCGCAGGATAGTATCAGTGCGCATGGACAGGTATGGAATTCCCTTACCACATTCACGTATGTCGTCCGGTCAGTGCTAACTCGATGTCAGCCCAAGATCTCTCCTCCTGTACCTCCTCAGGTACCCATGGCGAACCCGGCACCGATGGCGAACTCAGCAACCATAGCGAGTCCAGCAGCCATAGTGAACCCAGCGCCCGTATCGGCGCCGATGCCGGTGGCACCCCCTCAGGCGCCCATGCAGGCTCAGATTCCCACGGGGATCCAGCCGATTGCGCCACACATGAGCACGCTGCAGCCTGCGACGCCCACCAAGCCGCCCGTGGCTGCCTCGCCGCAGAATGCTGGTGCGGCGCCTATTGCTGCTTCTCCTTCGGCCGTTGCGCCTCCTCCGGTCGTCGCTCCCCCTGCGCCCGTCGCACCCGCTACTCAGGCGACCCAGCCGTCGGTCGTTGCATCGTCAACTTCCGCTACGATGCCTGCGCCGCCCATCCAAGCGTCTCCCCCTCCTGCTCAGCCATCTCCCGCTACACAACCCGTATCTGCCCCGTCTGCGTCATCCGCGCAACCCGCGCCATCCACCCAACCTGTCCTGCCCACCTCTGCCGCTACCCCCTCTGACACTCCCTCTGCATCCGCAGCCAGTGCACCCCCCGCAACCGCACCCAGTGCACCCTTCGCGCCTCCTTCATCCACTACTGTCATGCCCACCGTACCCTCCGCAACCGCCAACGCCCCTTCCGCATCTGGCAACACGCCTTCTACATCCACCCCACCCCCCAAACCCCGCCGCCCGCGAAAGATGGACGCGGAGGCGCGGAAGAGGATGCTGCAGGCGGAGGCGGCACGGCGCGAGCAGAAGACCGCGCAGAACCAGAGTCAGAGTCCGCAGCTTGGGGCGGCGCAGGTGGGGGGCGCGAAGGAAGGAGAGGCGGGGGGTTTGAAGACGGAGGGAACGCAGAGTGCGAAGTTAGAGTTGACGCAGAGTCCGCAACTGGGTACGCTGCAGAGCCCGCAAATGGCAAAGGCGCAGGGTCCGCAAGTCGAAGCGGCGAAGACCCCGAAGGTCGAGTCGGCGCAAAGTCCGCTTGCGAGGACAGTGCAGGAGCTTCCGAATAGGGCGACGCAGAGCTCAGTGCCCGGCGCGACGCAAAGTCTACAGTCCGCTCAGACGGCGAGTCCACAGTCCGCTCGAACGGCGAGCCCTCAAGCCAGTCCATCTCGTCAAACGACCCCCGCACAAGCTGCGAGACCGTCGACGTCTACCTCGCCTACCACGTTTCGGCCTTCAACTCTGCGTCAAAGCACGGCGCCGCTGGAGGGGAGTACTGTGGCATCCGAGCCCGAGGCCGTACCTCATGATGTCGCGCCAACCCAGGACGTGTCGATGGAGCCCGTTGCGCAAGAAGATGTGGAAATGACCGACAGGAATGAGATGAAGCTTGAAAATGTGAGTGCGAGGAAATTGTCATACGCTGGACCAAGTCTGACTTCTTGAAAAGCCGCAGGCGACGCGAGCGAGCGAGACAGGCGCTTTGCCGAAAGACGCAATTGAACTTGAGTCTACCGAGCCTGCAGCAAAATCCGACGATGTGCAGATGAACGCGCCGCTCGAAGAGGCTATGGATGTCGACCAAACCGACGACGAACCTGCGCCGCAACCTACAATCGCGGTAGAGGAAGCACCGGCGGAACAACCTCAAGTCGAGAAAGAGACTGCCATTGAGCCAGCAACCGAGAGTCTTCTACCTCCCGCAGCCTATGGTCTACATTCGCCTGTAGCCGAGGGCCCTCAACCACCTGCAGCTTATGCTCCTCGCCCTCCTGCAGATGTCTCCATGGCCGCGCCAGAGGACCCTGGCGCCGCACTCTCGCGCGCAACATCGTCATCCTTCGCCTCTCCAGCGCCGAAATCGCCCCCACAGCGCGCCTTGACGCCAGTCCCGCCCCCAGACGATAGTGCGTACAACTAACACTTCCGCTTCTGATCCTCCTTCGCGTCCATAAAACTGAATCCCCTTCGTGCCCATAAATTTGAAACCCATTCGTGCTCACAAATCTCGCGCAGTCGGCCTCCGCATCTGCGGATTCACATTCGCGGGAGAAAGCACTGTGGAAAAATGCACCTTGTACTGGCAAGTCAGGCCGACGCAAGTCCCGAGTGTGAAGGCGTGGAATACACGCACACAGTGCACCACGTATGTATTTCTGCTTCGCCTTTCCTCCTCGGCCTCATCCACATGATATTTACACTTGACATGTTACTTACTCTGCATGATAGCGACTTCTCGCGCGCATACAGGGACGCGTCCTGCATTACCTTAGCCTGCTACGCTGCCTCCGACCTCCCCGCGAGCATCAAGGACAACCGTTACCACATCACGTCCAAGCGTCCATCGTGGCCCACGCACACGAAGGTGCGGCTTACTGTGCAAGATGGAAACAAGGAGCGGGTGCTATCCTTGTCTCCGCCTTTCAAGGTGAGCCGATTCGTTCTTGTTGTTTCCATTCGTTCCCATCATCCTCAACAACCCACTTACTACGCCCACTCCCAGCTCACCCCCGACGGCCTCTTCGACCTCACGCCCTTCAGCGCCGAGGGTGCCAACCAAGTCACGCTCTACCTCTACCGCGCACCGGGCGACAACACCGACTACTGCTTCCACCTCTATGGGCACCGGCCGACGCCGGCGATGGTGGAGCAGGTCGTGCAGGCGCAGCGGAGAAAGGAGGAATGGAACGGTGTGCTGGCGTCGTTGGCGAAGCCGTTTGACTTCACTTTGCCGGGTGTAGGGGTTGGAGCGTGAGGCGTGTTGGTGTTGAAGCGCGAGAAGATGGCACAATAGGCAGTGGATGGGATGCTCTTTTTTCCTTGCTCATAATCTTCCGAAGCTTTCTTGGACTTTCTTGCATACAGCATACACATCTTCTCTGTCACGATGTATTTTCTTGTTTGTTCTATCCATAATGTTAGAGCTACCGCCAAATGACACAAATCCATTCCACCACGCATTCCTACCCCCGCACACGCCTATACTCCCTCCGCCTCAGATGCAACCGGACCAAAAACGTGATAATCCCGCCCCCCACAAACCCTCCAGCAGACGACAAAGTATACAGCAGCATCGACGACGAGCCCTTATTCGCCCGACTTTCCTGGATATGAAGCGTGGTGGGTGGCGAGACGTCCGCGCCGCGGACGTCGCGGAAGCGCTGGAGGGCGTCTTGCGGGTCGGTGACGTTCGTGAGCCCGATGAGGGGTGGGTGGGTCGAGTTGGCGCCGTGGTGGACGACGTAGACGTTCTGGGGGACGGTGAGCGTCGAGAGTTCTGACTTTGTCGATGAGTTGAATCAGAACGCACCCTCAAAAATATATCCCCCAACAGCCAATCGCCCGACACCACCCCATCATTCGCCTGAATCCCGCCCGTACACCACCCGTCCGCGCTCTGCTTCTGGTCCCAGTTCGTATCCTGCGGGTCGATCGGAAATTCGCGATCGTCGTCGCCCAGCACTAAGCCGACAAGCAAGCTCCTCTCGCAACGCACCTCCCACATGCCGCCTTGAGGACTCTTGCGCACGATGGCGGGCGAGCCGATGGAGTTCCAAAACGCGTCGACGTCGATGGTGGGGCCCAGCATGAGCGTCGTGCCCGTGTCCAGGACCGCGATGGGGCTGGCGGCACCCGGCACCAGCGAAGGCGACAGCGGGAACACCGTCCCATTGATCGTTAGGCGACGCAGTTCGAGCTTCCAGTAATCATACGCGCCATCGCTGTTCGCCACGACCGGATAGAAGGAGAGCGGTGCTGTGCTGTTCGTGATTTCCGTGTCAAGCTCGCCTATAGTGAAAGACGACGTCGGGTCGCTCAAACCGGTCTGCCTGCCGAGCCTGAAGGCGAAGAAGCGCTGGTCCTCGGGGAAGCTGGCGAAGAGGTTCTCGAGGAGGGTCTTGCCCGCGGTGGCGGGGATGCTCGCGGAGGAGGGGAAGCAGAGGCCGAGGACGCCCGAATTGCCGGTCGCGGAAAGGCCGAGGTCTTGGGTGTTGTTGGCGATTGCTGTAGAGGAGTGGGTGTTGGTTTGCGGAGCGCAAGAGAGAGGTAAGAGAGGTTACCAAAGGCTTGGGACGCTATCTCGTAGATCCCGAGAAAGACAGTTTCGTAGGCGACGTAGCCAGTGACGGAGCCGAGGAGGTAGGTTAGAACGAAGGGCGTCGTAGTCGGGATGAGAGATCGTGAGCTGTTGGTAGAGTACCGAGCAACAGCAGCGCAGTCAGGCGAAATGCAGTCCGTAGATACGATCCACTGAGTGCTTGTGAGTTGAGGGTCATCATAAGAGCTCCCGATAGACGGACAAAGTCCGAGGAGCCTGTGTCAAGGAGTGCAGAGAAGTCCTGGTCTCCTAGTCTTGACACAATAGTTCGCGGCGGTCAGAAGTGAATACTGCCAAGATGACTTGCTTACTGAATCTTGACCATGTACGCGCTGTATCGTATGTATAGCATCTGTTCCTTACCATCGAGTGGACTCACTATTCTTTCGTGTTCGCCAGTTTACTGTGAGCGCTGAGACCAGACAGAATTCCTCGGGACCGCGCCACACGGCTCATGGGGAGCTTGCAGCTCTGCAAGCCATTGACTCCGAGAACGTAGAGCGCGAGCGAGAGCAACAGTTGCGAGAGTTTCATGAGCACGAGGAGAACACGAGCAGGCACCGTCGAGTCAGGGAGCAAGAGGCGAACTCGAGGCGGACTCTAGGCGCGGGAAATCGCGATCACGTGGGAATGTGTGACAAATGGCGCTGGCCACGTTCCGAACATAACTTTCCTCCTGCACTCATCACCGTCGCCCTCAGCGCGCCGACACCCTCACCATGGTGCGTGGATTGCGCAGAAACGCTGGAGATGGACGCTGACTCTGCGTAGGTCGCCGATTCACCGGCGACGCTGCAGTACCAGATCGACTGTCTACGCGAAGCCCTGTGCCAACCAGAGACCGAAGATTCCTGGGACAAGATCCAACGCGCAATCGAAAGCCTCGGCAAAATATGCAGCGAGAACAGCGAAGATTACCATCAGGTCGTCACCTCTGCCGTCCGGTCGCTCTCGCGGCCGCTGACGAGCGCAATGATTTCCGAACGCACACGCCTCTCAGGATCAGCAGTCGACTTTGTTGGCGCGATCGCAACCAGTTTGGAGAGGAACTTCGAAACCCTGATACCCATCTTCATTCCAGGGCTGCTGACGTTGTGCAGTCGGACCAACAAGGTCTTCGGCACGCGCGCCAGGGCATGCATATCCATCATCATTGAGATGACCCAGCTGGCCTCGCTGCTGCCCTATTTCGTGCAGGCGGGCAAAGACAAGTCGGCACTCTTGCGACATGCAGCCGCAGAAGCCGGTCTCGCCTGCCTTAACTCCTGCAACCCGCAAGATCTCGAGAAGGAATCCCGGATTAGAGACATCGAAACCATGGTGCGCACAACGGCAAAAGACGCCAACGCGGACGTTCGGAAAGTTGGGAAGAAGATCTTCCAAGCATACCAGGCCTTGATGCCTGACAGGATAGCTGGGTGCGCGATACATCCTCCCTTACCACACACTCGCTAATCGTGCCACTTAGGTTCGCGGCTCCATTGTCGCCGACGCTACGGAAATACCTCGAACTACCTGCTGGTCCACAAGCGCTCCCGAAGAAGGAATCTCGCCCTAACTTGCGAACGCTCGTCAAGTCCAAGTCTCACGCCCACCTCTCATCTTCCGCCTCCTCCGTGCGATCAACCAGCCCCACCCTGTCATCCTCCGTAGGCGTGGGCCCGCGAGTTCCCGAACGACCAATGTCGTCAATGAGCCGCGCACCGCCCGCCCCAAGCCACGCGTACTCCAAGTTGAGGAACGAGATGGGCCCTCCACCACTCCCACATACCCGCTCCCAGCCAGCGCAACCGCCTCAACGACCGCAATCGACTCTATCGAGGTCCACATCGGCCATGGAACGACCCAGGTCGATGATGCTTCCATCCGTTGCTGCCCTGCGAACGGTTGCCCCTTCCTCGAGCTCCGAGTTAGGCGTTGCTGTGCCCCGCGCCCGAGTTACGGGTGCCGTAAGGGTGCGACCGGAGTCCATTCACGGCATGCCGTCCGCGGGGACGACAACGACAACGACAGCTGGGTCCACGGTCATGGCACGGCGCGTGCCTGCCCGCGAGCCCTCGCCAACGGATAAGGTCAAAGACGAAAAGAAGGACAAGGGTGGCCACCTCTTCATCCCCAAGCGGCCCATGTCCGCCGTGGACCCCGCCATGGCGTCGACGTCCAGTGCGCGGTCCGATAACGGCCACCGCATCAAGGCGCCGCCGCCACCGCCCGTTCTCGGTAAGGGCAAGGAGAAGGAGACGTCGAAGCCGCTGCCGAAGATCACGGCGAAGCTAACGACGTCGGCGCGGGCGGTATCCGTCACCGCCAAGGACCGCGTGGCCTCTCAGTCCAAGCCCTCCGTCTCGCGACAGGCCTCGGCGACGATGCAGCACGGCTCGCGCTTTGCGCCCTCGCGGTCGGCGTCTGGCACGCACCCCAAGCCGAGCCCCGCGGATGAGGAAGGCGCGCCGGCGTTCCCGGTCACGGAGCCCGAGGCCGCCCAGGCCGCCCCCACCGCGCGCCCGACGCACAAGGTGACCGCGTCGCTGACGATCAGCAAGGAGCGGCACGCGCCGCGGACGGGCGGGCTGTCGCAGCCGACGCAGGCCCAGCTCGCGCGGCAGCGACCGCCCGTTGAGCGCAAGGTTACTGCGCCGGCGCCGAGCAAGCCTGGCTGGGGCCGTACTGGCGCGGCCCCTCCGCCGCGGGCGCGCACGGTGTCGACGACGGCGATCTCGAAGGCTGCAGCGGATGCGGCGGCGAAGCCAGGCCCGCGACAGCGCGTGGTGAGCATGCGCCCGGGCGCGCCTGCGCTGGTGAAGAAGTCGTCCGTGTCGAGTCTGCGGGTGGATGCGGCGAAGGTGCCGCTGCCGCCATCGCCGATGCCGGCGGAGAAGAAGAAGCGGGCGACGCCGTCGCCGGCGCCTGTTGAAGAGGAGCCGGTGTCAGTTGAGGAGGAGCAAGCCCCTGCTGAGCAGCAGGAGCAGGAGCACCTCTCGCAGGTGTTGGAAGAGGAGGATGTGTTTGAGGAGAAGAAGGTGCTTGAGCAGGCGAAGCCGGCGCCTGAGCCCGAGCCTACCCCCGTCGCGCCGGAGCCCACGCCTGTTGCAGCGGAGGCCGTTCCCCTGCCTGAGGAGCAGGATGTTGAGGAGGCAGGGAGCTCAGCGGCCCAGGAAGCAGCCGAAAACCCCTTCCAAGACACCACCCCGCGCAAGTCCACCCCTCCCGCCGAGCCCAGCAACATCGCCTTCCACACCACCGCTGCTACGCCACCTACCAACGCGTCCCCCATGGTCCCCACCAACGCCGGGCCCGCCATCACCCTCGACTACGACCCGAACTCGCAATACGGCCCAAACTCTCACTACAACCCCACCACCCCCGCGCGCCTGACCTCCCACATCCACCCGGGCGATCTCGACAAGACGCCGATCTCGCAGCTGCTGATGAGCATCGAGCGCGGGTTCCACTGGACGCCGGAGCCGCCCGAGCCGCTGACGCCGGCGGAGGCGTACCGGGATATGCCCGTCATGAGCGGGGCGCTTGGGCAGCCGATTCCGATTCATCTGAAGAAGCAGCCGGAAGGCGGGTATGATGCGTAGGGGGATGGTGCGTAGGTTGGGTCTTCAGGTGTGATGCGTTGGTCTGCGAAGGACTGAAGCGCCTCGTGCCAAGTCTTGCACGCATTGTGCGAGTTCAGGTCGATCTCGGGAGGTTCGGTTGTGCGACTAGATGCCAGGGAGGATCACGCCTCATACCCCATTGTTATGCATTGCTTATCACGAACTTACTGTGTAGTGTATTCACCCGCGACTCCGATACCTCTCCCTTCGTTCCCCCGAGTCCGCTTTACTACCCATGCTGCTCTTATGGCCATGCATACACTAAATCCTTTGCGAGCGAAACATCGTATCCTCTCTGTGGCCGGCTACGCCCATTGACGGTATAAGTTTATAGTAAGTAGCCTATGTTACACCCAGATCTCAGCAATAGTATCCCACTCCTTCAGCGTCTTCGCCGTTTCGAGCGCCTGGTTCGGTAGGTCGCCTTCGTCGGAGGCGTCGTTGCTGACGGTGCGGTCCTCGACGACGAGGACGCGGAGGGCGCCCACGGTAGAGAACCCCCGCTTCGTGGGCACGAAGGTGAGGTCGAAGTCCTGTTCCGCGTAGGCTAGCCTCTCCCCCGGAACGCTCTCATTGTCGAGCTTCAGCACCATCGGCGCGAGGCACACCGCCGACGGCCCACAGTAGACGACGCTGGAGTCGCGGCGGGATTCCAAAGCGTAGGGTGGTGGCAACGCTACACCCTCCGTCGGCTCGCCCGCGTCGCCTGCTTGAGAGCCGGCCGGTGAGGCGACGAGCAGCTTCTGCCTCGCGAGCTCGTAGTTGAAGGTCTGCGTCGCCGTCGCGGCTGTCGGTGTCGATAGCCCCGACGACGCGATACGCGGGCTCGCCAATTCGCTGACCGACGCCATCGGCGCAATGGGTGGCACAGTAGCAGGCGGCGGCGCCTTCGGTGCTAACAGGTGCTGCACGACGACGCGGACACGCCGTTGAGACCACGAAGCATCCGCGGTCGCGGGCGCGTGCAGGGCGAGCGTCAGCGCGATCGTGAAGGGCTTCTCTACCTCGATGGTATCGCGCGGGATCTTGCGGACGATCAGACTAGGTTCGAGGTCGGGCGCGGTGGGGAAGGTGGCAGTAGGAAGAGGCGGAGGTGTTTGCGGTCGGGGTGAAGTGAGGGAGACGACCGAGTTGGTGCGGACGCGGGGTGCAGGCGATCCAGGCCTGCTGGGCGGGCCGGGTGAGGAGGGGCGGGAGGGTATGGAGCCTGTTGCGCCGCGCTTGAGGTACGGCGGGACGGCAGACACTGGCGGTGCGACCGGTGGCGGGGCAGGCGGCAAGGGTATACGACGAGAAAGCATGGACGTCAGCAGTCGCCCTGGCTCGCCGAAGGAGGACCGCCAGGCGATGTCGAGACGCCCTAGGGGTATAATACTCCCCGGACTGTGTACGACGGGTATTCTGGGCGGCGATTGGGACGACATGATGTAAATGTACTGGCGCATATCCTGCGGGCCCATAAGGGCGGTGGTGCCAGTGAATATGCCATCTTCTTCAGTGCTGCCTAGGTTCGTGTCTTCCACGTCCCAGCCATCAACGGGTTCGAGGAGCATACGCTCGAACCATAGCGGTTCTTGGGTAAGGTTCTGAATATGCACCTCGAGGAAGATCTTGTCTCGTTCCGACGTAGACAGCTGCGCTGATGGCGACTTGGGAGTGTGCACCTTGGTCTTGACCGACAGCGGGTTGGTGACCTGACGAGGTTCTTAGTCAAGCGCATTCAGGATAGAGCAGGGTGAACGTACAACAAACTTGTAGAACTTGCGGAAATGTTGCATCTGAGGATCATCGGGATCCTCTGCTGGCACAGGTGGGCGAGCATTGGGGGGAAGACGATATGATACGGTTGCAGACAGGACGTGCTGGCCGAGTTCTTTGACTTCATGGGTGACCAGACCTACAAGTGGATGTATGAGCGGGCGATCAGTGCCAATTGTGATAGCACACGCACACTCAAGAGTATCCCCTGCCGCCAGAGTATACTGAGGGCCGCCAAACTCCCCCAGCGTCACCTTGGTCGTAGCGGTCTGCATCTCGACCTTGACCGTGACGCTGTCGACGTCGACTTGCGTATCATTATTGGCGCACAGGCAGCTGCTGAACGTCTCCCCCAACTGGATCGACCCAAAGGACGCGGGGAGCATTAGCAGTTCGCCCGCATGGGTGAGATCTCTGAGGGTCTTCGGATGCGTCGCCAGCGGTGCTTTGCCTTGCAGCGATGTTATCAGGGCCGTAGAGCGCGCCTTGAGTCTCCATTGAGGATGAATGCAACTAATATTGGTCTGCTACGCGTACCGAGAATGAGGGGGAACTCGAGTAGAAGGGCTCCCATGCACTGGATAATGCGGGTCTCTACGATTCTCATTGCACGGTAAGCAAAGGAGACTACTAGTGATGTGCGCAACGCACTGAGACCCGCATAACCTTGAGGGAGAGCAGGTGGACTGGGGCATCTCCGCTTGCCATCGTGGTCGGGAATGAGGAAAGGTGCGCGCCTGATGCGCGCTCGCGTTCACTTGACGCGACGCCACATATTCAGGTTAGCCTTCGCCGCCACGGACGACTTCGACGTTTGAATGAGCGATCTGCCTATGTCCGCGTCTCTCTGGAAACGAACTCCCCAGGACCCACGCCAATCCGACGGGAGGTGGATCTAGTCATCGTCCGAAACGGCCTGTATAGCAGCATCGGAAGGCATCCGTTTTGCGAAGCCCTTTTCGTCTCTGCTGGTGCCCGGCATCCTTCGGCTGAAGACTTCGTTTCTGCGCGCTCACCGACCCCCCGCGGACTCTCTGCCCACTGCTCTCCGCATTGGCTTGCTGATTGGGAACTTACTGCCGCATTCGCTCCAAAACAGCGAGCGCCTGAACCCCTCGAACGCGTCGTTGTTCAGTACCCCTCCGGTTCTCGCGGGCGGATATGCCGTGGATATCTTCCGGTGTTGGTAGTCCTCAGAAATGATATAAAAGACGCGGTTCTTGCATGAGATTCCATACTCCCCAACCCTCCTTGATCCTCTTTGTCACCCTCATCGCATATCGTCATGTCGGCTTCCAAGGTTTGGCTGATCACTGGTGCCAACTCTGGCCTTGGTCTCGCCATTGCGAAGTATGTTAGCAGCCAAGGACAGCAGGTAGTGACTTCTCTCTTCCTACAACGCAGACGCTCATCACCGTCATAGGTCATTGCGTGCGCACGAGACACCTCTCGTATCCCGCAATCGCTGGCCTCGGCGACGACGACGTATCAGCTTGACCTCAACTGGCCCGCTGCCAAGATCAAGGCTGCCGTCGCTGACGCAGAAAAGCTGCACGGGCGTATCGACGTCTTGCTCAACAACGCCGGGTACTGCGTAACGGGCCCTGTCGAAGAACTTGAGTCAGTGGATTCATCCCCTCTGCTGCAGGATGTGGGTGCTGATACCTTTGCTTCCAGTCCAAACGATATTGAGGCACAATTCCGTACGAATGTCTTCGGCCAGATCTCTGCCATCCAGGGCGTCCTGCCTACCATGAAGCGTCAGAAGTCCGGGTACATCCTCAATATTTCGTCCATCGCCGGCTTTGCTGGTGGCCCGCCCTTCGCCGCTTATAATGCCTCCAAGGCGGCTCTCGATGGTCAGCTTCGCCATCCTCCGCTCTTCTCACTCCCGTTCATGCTGAATGTCCCCCCTAGCCTTCACCGAAGCGCTTGCGACCGAGGTCGCGAAGTTTGGCATCACGGCGATCACCGTCGCTCCGGGATACTTCCCCACCAACTTCTTGACCACAGCGAGTCTCACGGAGAAGCTCCCCGACAAGACGGAGTATCCAGAGTACGCAGGCGTCACCGCAAAGTATGCCGAGGTCCACCGGCGCGACAAGCAGGTGGGCGACGCATCGCTCGCTGCGGCGCGGTTGTTTGAGGTAAGTTGGCCTGTAGTCCTTGAGCTGAATATACGTGAGTCCAACATTGCAAACAGATCGTCAACGGTACCGGGTCCGTCGCCTGGAAGCCTGAATGGCGCCGGCTGCCTTTGGGCCCCGACTCTGGGAAGCGCACGCTCGCGAAGCTGGAACAGATCAAGCAGAATGTAGAAGGTCTCGAGCCCGTGTGGGGCTCGACGGACATGGCTCTTGACAAGATTGAGGCTTTCTACGAGGGGAAGGCCTGGCAGGAATAGATGGCCCCTACAAGCGCAGATGTGCAAGACGTTTTGAGAAGGATTTGTTCAATGTAGTATATTGGACTCCGAGCTGTATACAGTAGGGTGAACTCCCAAGAGATTGTCATCTACGGCTATAACAGAAATGATATGTTCGTGGCTGCAGGGGACTCCGGTGTGCTCGTCGTGGATAGTCGGGAGCGCATGGTGGGCGTCATTCATGCAGGACATTCATCAGGTCTTGCAGCGTATGCTACCCCGGCCTGATGGATTCTGCAGCACTTACTGAATCATTATCGCGGCGCTGAGTTCGACATCTAGCTTTTATCTTGTCTTTCGGCATTGTCCATATGTTGTTTCGCTGTAATTGTAGACTTGTTCCCCACCGCTGTACCAATGATATGACTGCCATCTAGCCGCGTCAACAGATAGCTTGGAAAAGTGCATTGCGGTCGGTGAGACTCTTGTATCATCCCTCGGAAGCCTCGCGACGCGCATCTTATTAAAGGCGTCTTTGGAGAAGGTTGACAAAGTAAGACGCGACAAGTCCAGGAAAGTCGATCCCTTTTCCTTTGGGCTGTTTAAAGAAGGCTTGGAGAACGCGATGAGGGCCGCGAGGGGTGTCTGAGGGTTGGTAGCCATGGCGGTTGGGAGCAAAACACGTCCGAAAACGGCAATTGCTTGAGGCGGGTCACCTGGCCGGCCGGGGCGCGCGTGCGCTGACGACTCTCTTGCTCTTGGCTTTGACTAGGCTTCTCTGGTCCTCTGGATCATCGCGCTACTGCTGTAGAGGGCTGTACCTTGCTTGTGTAATGCGCTCTGCGCTTGTCAGCCGAGGACAGGAGTGCGCAGACAATGCACCGACTTGCGTTTCTGATGCTATCGTTTGCGACGGCGTCCTTGAGAACGCTTTCCTGAGCTCGCATGACTATGATAGACCTTCAGCGCTACTGTAGGAATGTAGAGGAAACCAAGCCAATAGGTTGCTCTAGTTGGCTGGATAATCCTACCCGATTGCTTGCTAGCCGAATGTCTGACCTCGGGTGTCATAGCGCGCTCACGGGGCGAAAGAGACATGGCCATGCTGTGCAAGGGGCGCTTGCATATATAAGAGCCTCCCCGACAATGTGCGACTCACCCAACACCACCGAACTTCACTACCGCAAGCAAGGTAAGTGCACCTTCGTGGCCGTGCCCGAATAACGCATCGTTGATTGTGGCAACAGCCATTTCAAGACATCATCGTGGGGATATTCAAGTGCCACCATCGTCCCAAGAATACGAATCGCACTCGCAGTACGCCCCTTCGTTTATTTCTTGCTGCTCTGCCGTGCTCAAGCCTGCGCTAGTGATGAAGTTTACACCCGTCCTCGCCGCCTCCCTCGCCGCCGTCCCAGCCTTCTGCGCCCCCGACGGCCCCTACGACCCAGACATCCACGGATCCAGCTCGTCCTCGGGATACGCTGGATATGGCAGCATCCCTCAGCACGCCGGCGAAGACCTCGTAGGCGCCGCCGACACCATCCTCGAGGTGGCAAACGGTCTAGTCAACGACTCCGACTCCGACCACACGCCGGAGCTGGAACCCTCTTCCCCTGTGGACCGCTCAAGCACCTCCCGCTCCGACACCTCTTCCCCCTCGTATAACCTCTCATCCGACTCCGACACTGGCTCGACCAGGTCCAACCCCATCATCATCAAGGACACCGACGCCGCGCGCACTACCCCTGTGCCGCGAAAGAATAGCCTCTTCTTGCAGGACGTTCCCATTATTGTGATCAGTGCAGAGCAAGACGATGGGTCGGGATGCCTGAATCGGCCAGCGGGGTACCCATGCTATCCCTCGCCTGCGCATCTGAAGCCACCTAGGGTGTCCGAGGGCGGGACGTGGGTGCGGGAGTTTACCAGTATAGCCTAGTATGGACTCGATGAGGACCATTTTCTCTTATTCGTGCACTGTATCCCGTATCGTATCTCGCAATCTACGCAAATCTCCAGTACTAGGCTTCGAGAATTTATGGCCACTCACTGTTTGCTTATACTACCTTTGGCTGCGGAAAGTTGAACGCCCACCTCCCCTCCATCCCCGCCGCCTTCCACATCATGCTGATCGGCGAGAACGGCAAACAATGCGGCAGCGGCCTCCCACTGCTCAAAATCGGATTCGTCAACAGGGGGAGGCTTACATAAACCCACACCGCCACCCAAAGGCGACCCAGCGTCCTCGTCGTTGCCGTCTCTGGAATTCCCAACCTCTTGCCCAAGCCAATGACCGCATCCTCGAAGGTAATGGCCACCGCCTGCGCGATGAAGAACCAGCACGAGGCGCCAAAGCCGTTGCCGATGCTGATATCGCCCGTAGCGTGCGCGAGGGCAGAGACGAGGAAGCCGACGTAGAGCTGGATGTAGGTGGAGGCGGCGCTTCCTTGTGGTGCGTGGAGGAAACGGGCAGTGGCCTTGCCGATGGAGGAGATGAACTGGGTTTCGTAGAAGTGCGATTTCATATAAATCAGGATGAAGGACGTACCCGGCGCATGAAATGATGCCATGACCGGCTGGAAGGAGTTGGTTTAGGATTATCCCATGAAATCCGAACATAGCGAGCTTACCTCCATAGCCTCCTTACCGTCCACGCATCCCAAAAGCTCCCCCATAGCGGCGGGAACAGCCTCGGCTCCGACCACCCAAGTCCAACGATGAGTGCGCTAATCAAGGTGTATGGCAACTGCGAGTCCGCCCAAAAATTGCCCATATAAAGCAGGGAGGAAAGCACTTGGAAGAGCGGTCCTTGCGAGGACGCCTGTATCTTCTCCGCGGCGCGAGAGGAGGTAATGGGGTTGTGCGTGAGGTAGATGCCGGCAATGTCCTCGATGAAGACGTAGAGCGCTGCATCGCGTAGGCGGTGGATGACGAAAGAGCGGCGACTCTCGCTCGGTGGGACTGTGGGCGTGTTGGCAATCTAGCAAGTGATTTCGCTAGTTACCAAAGAAATCAGAGAGAAGGCGAAGCCCTACCGTGTTATTCCACCCCACCCCGCGCACGCACCCAACCAGGTATGTGGCCCACCACAGGCGCTTCGGTAGCGGCATCTCCCGAGCAGGCTGTGTCTCGCCTTCACGTTGCGTGCCATCGTTCAGCGGGTCGGCCAGGAAGTACCAGTGAATTGCAGTCAGCAACATCATGCCCAGCGAATCTGCCCCGACATAATCCTGGTATGGGTCGCCCATAGGAAAGCGGTTGCGCTTCATAGCCGAGTAGACAATCTGGCATTGGGCGCCGAGCACGAGTGCGCGAATAACCTTCGGGGGACGAGTAGCGATGACCACTGGAATGGGAGCGAAGGTCAAGAGTAAAGGGACGATGAGCGCGCTGGGTTGATCGCTAACGTAGCCCATGGCGGCAGTTGGTCGAGGCCAGGCAATGATCGTCGAGGACAGGGATATATATGCGACCAGTCGGTAAAAATTTGCAAAGGCGCGCCGTGGCGCTCCTCTCGCGAGGCTCTCAAACCAGGGTCTACGTTCCGAGCAAGAGATGCTCAAGCGACTGTGCCTTCCAACGCGAGACGAGCATTCCGCTGATGACTGCGGGTTTGACGCAATGATCAGCGCCCAAGGGAGTCGTGCCCAAAGAACTCGGAGAGCATTCCGCAAAGGCCTCCCGAACTTGCTGGCAAGGATGACGAAGTTGTCCGAGAGGCCATCGTAGTCGGAGACAAGAGAGTGCTGCCACTTGCCACCTCAACCAAGTTGAACGTTGTGGGTCCACAATGGCTTCCCCGATCACTTGATCGCACGCGGACCGTCGCGTCGCGTTCCTCCGCGCCTGCACCCCGTTCCGCTCGCACTCATGGCCCCCTCCGTCCTCATTCACGCCGCCGTCTTCGCTGCCGGCGCTGTCGTCGGCGGTGTCGGCGCCGCTGTCGCGTCGAAGCGCACCGCACCTGCACCTTCAGCAAGCACAACCGCCGCAGTCCCCGGGGGACCCGTTACCCCGCCTTCCGTGCCCCCGAAGCCGGTGGTGCAGATGAACGACAAAGGCGGGGCGAGGATCACAGATATTGAGCCTGTGGGCTCATTGGTGTCACCAGTGCTGAAGTACGGGAACCCAGGTGCGTGGAATGTGGGGTTGTGGAAGAGGGAGAGCTGCTAACCGGGAGGGTAGGCCCGATCGCGGACGCGCTTGTACGGAAGGCATATGTTGCGGCGTACGACCGGCGGCTGAGGCACCCAGCATGGGTGAGTGGCTCTCTATGTTTCCCCAAACTCTCTGACTGACAACTTCCGTGTCCCTTCCCCCTCTTCGGCTTGCATTCCCTGTGACCACCTTCGCTTTCCTTACGCTTGAGCATCCGCCATCCTAGACCGCAGAACACCTTACCCTCGCCTCCCTTGGCAAGTCTGCCCTCGTCGCCGGCCCTGAAGCATCCGAAGCAGGCGACCGCGGCAAGTCCACCTTCGTTGAGGACCCCAGTATTCCGGTCATGTTCCGCGCGAAGCTGAGCGACTACTTCCGAAGTGGCTATGACAGAGGGCATATGTACGTGCATACCTTCGCTCTTATTTGTACCTTGTCTGCTCTCCTGGATTTCTTCCGTACCTGCTATGCATGCTCAATTGCTAACATCACACACACAGGGTGCCCGCCGCAGACGCGAAGATCTCGCAAGCAGCGATGGATGAAACCTTCCTCCTCTCCAACATCGCCCCTCAAGTAGGCGATGGATTCAACAGGCATTGTACGTACCACGCATTCTGTCCCTCGGTTGCCACAGAATCCCCAACCTCGGTGCCACAAATGACCCGACCTTCAACCAATATCCATATGCCCACCTCCGACATGCTTACCTGCTCTCACAGATTGGGCCTATCTCGAAGACTGGTGTCGCAAATTGACAGGCGCCTTCGCCGACGTCTACGTCTTCACTGTACCCTTGTACCTCCCAAAGCAGGACCCCGATGGCAAGTGGCGTGTGGTGCGTATATTCTCGCTCTCCTTCCAAATCTACCCTGTTCTACCACAACAACCTATCTACCATTTACCCTAACACTTCCTTCCCAATTTCCCAATTTCGCATCAACTGACACACCCTCCCAGCACTACGAAGTCATCGGCAACCCGCCCAACGTCGGCGTCCCCACGCACTTCGCCAAGGTCGTCCTCGCCTCGCGCCCCACGTCGCCGGCCACGCCGGACGTGCACGAGCTCTCGATCGGCGCGTTCGCGCTCCCGAACGCGGTGATCCCGGACGAGGCGCCATTGGAAGGGTTCGTAGTGCCAGGTGAGTGGAATTGCAGTCTCTTTTCTGGATGCTCCTGCGTTCTACCGCGACATTCGTCTTCATCGACCGCCAAGATAACTGATACCCTCTCCCCCTTTCAGTCGACGCCGTCGAGCGCGCCGCGGGGCTCACCTTATTCTCCGACGAGGTCAAGAACGCGGCGAAGCATATCTGCAAGACGACGAAGTGCCAGGTTACCGTGCGCAGGTTCGACGATGCGCGGAAGAAGGCGATTGGGGCGCCGAGGAAGTAGGGCATCGTAGACTATGGTGCACGTCGCTTAGTCACCGCCACTTTTGTACAGCCGCCTGCCACGTCACGCCACGAGGTCGGATTTTCTATCCCTCTTGCCAAATGATAGGAAATAGCAAGGGGAGCATTCCTCCAAGACAGGTTGTTCTGAATCGCAAGGATAAGAGATTTCGACTTCGCCACGATGGCCACATTACTATATTTGGAAGGTAGTTCCCACGCCCTTCGCGGAGAGCGGGCATTATCACCTAGACTTCTCCCTCTTCCACGCTTCTAACGCATATCTGTAGCATCTCGAGGACGATACGAACCTTTCCCTGTCGATGCTTTGCCGAAAATAACTTGATTATATTTCCGACCTGGCGGCCGGCCAGGATGGCCACTGTCCGAAGTGGTGGTGACTAAGCGACGTGCACCATAGTTTGTGGGATTAGGTTGCCCACCTTCAAACTGCGCGAGCCATGCGAGTATGTCTTAGCTGAAGATACGCTGGCGTGATGAGCGAGGAGCGGAGGGTGTGTCAGGGATTAGCAGTCTACGGCGCAGACGTATGTAGGACATGGCTACATCAGAAATCCGACAACATATCCTTCACGCCCTCCCAGTACTCCGGCGCCACCCGCTCCTTGATCTCCTCCTTCGTGAGCCAGACGAAGTCGGTCGCGCCGTTCGCGGGGCGGATCTGCCCAGCGAGGATGTGCGCTTTGTAAAAGAAGGTGGAGATTTCGGGTGTGGTGGAGGTGGGCGTGGGCGTGCCTGGGGTAGAAGGAGAGGTGGAGGCGGTGTCGTTTACTTTTCGCTTGTAAAGGCCGATCGGGTTGCGAGAGACAATCCAGGTATCCATGTGCGCGCCACATTCGTGCTCGAGGTCGCGTTGGGCAGCCTAAGAGTAGTGTCAGCAGGGCAGCGCGAAATTGCTGGTGAAGACATACCTGATGCAACCACTCCCCCTTCTTGATGTCGCCCTCAGGGAATCGCCATTCGCCGTTCACGAACACCAGCGCGTATATATTGCGCTGGCCGGCGCGGTCCAAGCTGCGCAAATCTTTCGCCTTATCCGCCGGGTGCTCCCTATCCGGCAGATCCTCCCCTTCTCCCTCCTGCAACCTCAACTGCTCAAGCGCCGCCGCATCCGCCGCCGCTCGCTCCGCGCTCTTCTCCTCTTCCACACCGAAACCATTCCCATACGCCTCGCGCTCCCGCACATTCTCCTCCGCGCGGAACTTCGTCGCGAGCAGGGAGCCGGGCTTGAAGTAAAAGTCCTCCGGGAAGGGGTTGTGGAGGGCGCGGCGGATGCGCTGCTGGTAGGCGTAGAAGGCGCGCTCGAAGGGGGTTGGGTCGCGCGTGAGGAAGGGCGCGCGGTTGAGGATGACGGAGGTGTGGATGATGGGCTTGTTGGTGCGCGGGGGCTTGGGGGTCGGCGCGGGCGCGACGGGCGGCTGCCGCGGGACGGGGTGTGTCGCCTCCGTAGCGAGGGTGCGGAGGGAGCCTGCGATCGTGGTGAGTATTTGTATGGTAGGTAGGTAAATGTTACGCACCGAGAGCCCGCCGCCTACATGTCCGGGAAACGTTGAGCACCGACATGACCGCCTCTGATCTGTACTTCAGCGCGTCAAGTTCGCGGACGAGAAAAAGTAGATGCCACGTGCGGCCCGAATGCGGTCCGCCAAGTCCGGCGGTCAATTCCGGTTGCCCGGCCTCGTCCTCGCTATTGGGCTGATTTAAACGTCTTACGGCTGGTATAGAGCTAATGCAGAGATATTGCAGGCTGCTGCTGAGGACTCGATAGAGGCATAAGTTCTGTGAGCTTTGAACGAAGTTGAACCGTCCACGTGCTCTCCCCCACGTGAAGCGTGCGAAGCACCTACCGCATCGGCGTCATAATGGGCTTGCCGCTGCTTGACCGCGACGACAACAATGTCCGTCTCCCTCGTCTCCAACATATGGCTTGAAGAGAACTCGCTCAAGATAAGGACGAAGCCGGTGCCATGGGAGGTGCGTCCCCTTCACAACTCAGTCACGCATATCGACCCGCGTACTGAGGGAGTACGAATGTAGGGCTACCAGCGCGCGGACCTCGTCACCTCTGAGGAGCTCGCGTTGATCAAGAAGGTCGACCGCCAGTCGCGCGCCAAGATAGAGTCTATCTTGCTTTCCGATGGGCAGGCATACGCGCTTCTGTATCTTCGACTTCTCAAGAAGCTGCAGCGGGTCGATACTATGCAATGTCTGCTGGTGCTCATCGCGGATGCATTGACGGGTGCGTCGTGTGGAGCTATCAACATGACCGAACATCCACTCACCCCCGATCAGATCATGACGAGCGTATACCACTATTCCTCCGCACCCGCGAGTCCGATCCAGAGCTCCCATACGGCCCCCTCTTGCGGTATGTGCGACCTCGCAACACATGTCCTCATACTCATGACCCACACAGCACGATTGATACCCAGGACGAGTTCGTGCAACTCAAGGCTGCGCAGATCTTGACCGTCCTCCTCTGGTATGCGCCTGCACTCTCGCACCCCAATCTCATCTAACAGACGAGCGCCTAAAGCGCAGAACCCGCACCCCTCCCCACGAACCTCCTCCAGCCCTTCCTCAATACCCTCGCTACGCAGGTTACTGCAGGGTCTGTCAACCGTCGCGATGTCGCTGTCCAGTGCTTGGAGGCTTTGCTTGCGCGGCCAGAGGTTAGGCAGGCCGTGTGGTCGATACCCAAGATCATCACTGGGTATGTTTCATACGTCAATGAATCTGAACTCGAACTCATAAACACCATGCCAGGCTTGTCGACATCCTGAAGAATAAGCCTGGTCCGCAAATGAGCTACCAGGTTGCGTTCTGCTTCTGGTTGCTCACGTTCGAGCAGAATGTGGCAGAGGAAATCAACAAGTCAGTATATCTGCACTTCATATAGGGCTCGTCATTCAACTACTCGGCAGGAAGTACGATGTCATTCCCCTCCTCATCTCTGTCGCGCAAGAGGCCGTGAAGGAGAAAGTCATTCGCGTCATCGTCGCGACCTTCAAGGTATGCACATACTCTCATCTCCCCCTTCACCAGCGTACTCATCGCTTCCCCAGAACCTCGTCTCCCGTGCGCCGACCGCCAACCTCCCCGCGATGCTCGTCTCCCAGCTGCTCCCCTTCGCCAAGAACCTCGCCGCGCGTAAGTGGTCCGACGAGGACATCGTCGAGGACGTGCAGTACCTGCGCGATGAGCTCGCCGCGCGATTCCAGAGCCTGACAACGTGGGACGAGTACGCGAGCGAGCTGGCGTCGGGCCACCTGAGCTGGACGCCGGTGCACGAATCGGACGATTTCTGGAAGGAGAACGCAGCGAAGTTGAATGAGAAGGATGCGAAGGAGTTGAAGTGAGTGGTTATTGAGGTTTGAAGGTGGCAAGCTGATCAGTGAAATTTGCAGGACGCTGATCAAGCTGCTGAACGACTCGAGGGATGCCCTAGTGCTTGCGGTCGCGGTGCACGATATCGGGCAATATGTGAAGCACTATGAGCGGGGGAAGAAGTGCGTATATCCCATTTATTGTACCTTGTCTTTCTCCTCTGGATCGCCTCGTATCAGCGCGTGCTATCCTAGCCTTCACCGCTACCTGTCACGCTATCACTTACCCACAGTCACACTTCACTCCTGCACGTTTCCTCGCCGCCATTCCATCACTTCCGCATAGCCACAACACCAGCCTTGATCCTTCTGCGAGCTCACCGCTAACACTTACCTCGCAGGCTCATCAACGACCTCGGCGCGAAGACGCGCGTGATGGAGCTCATGACGCACCCAGATGCGGACGTGCGCTACCGCGCGCTGTTGTCAGTGCAAGCTTTGGTTAGCCAGCCGTGGATTACGGCGTAGGGAGAGGAGTACATGCACGTAGGATTTACGCATGTGTAAGGTCGTTTTGCGAAGACCCTCGAGCGCAGATGCGCCCTGGAGAGAAGGCGGACAGCGCGAGGAAACCATCGCAAGTAATATATTCTACCTTGTAGCTCGCAGCTTGCTACTCACCGGACGCTTTATGATGACCATGTTGCAGTATCCTATGGGCGGATAGTTGGGCGGCTAATCGCCCGCTTGCAGATGACCGGTCAAAGTTGTGACCGCCGCCAAGGCTGCTACGTACCTTATGGGCTTGCGAACAGCGAGGCATTCCTTCTCGAGGAGGAAGATCTTGGCAATCAGGTAGGTGTACCAAGGGAATTCCGAATTTGGCAAGAAGAGGCGATGGACCTACACCACACCACTAAAGTTGGTTCCGTTTCCGGCTTTTACCGAAGCCTTCGTGGTTCCGCCTACGACGAGTCTTTAGGTCCCTCTTGAGGACTTCTCTCGTGCCATTGGCCTTGAGGTCACGCTTGAAGAGGCGTGAATCGGCCAATCATCCGAGCTTTATACGTCTTGCCAAATGTTCCTCTACATCCACCATCAGCCTCCCTTTGCGACAACGCAGGAACACTTTGCGCAGTATAGACCGTACAGCTTCGAGACTTGACTTAAGCGCTTCTTGCTCCCAGACCTGGTTTCGATGCTCATAGCCTTGCACGCGTTCTAGCGAGGTCCTGCCCTCCGCCTTCACCGACCTGTTCGACCACCTCGCTGCAGCATCCTTTAAGTTGCCTGGGTAGGCGCCCTCCGAAGGTCAGTATTCCCGTTTCCCCTTTCTGTTCTCCGCTTCTCTTCTACTATGTGCAACGCCCACAACCCATCTGCACTCCTTGTACCCATAATATCCATCTTCCTCACCATCCCCGTCGTCGTTGCCACCCGTCCTCCAACAATTATCCGCGCTCTCATATTCGCGGGGCAGCTGCAGGTCGCATACACCACCATATCTCGACATCGCTTCCTGATAGGCGACCCGTATCATGACTATATCGGAGGGAGCAGCTTCGGGGTGTTTTTGCTTATTGCCTTCGACTGGTATTTTCTGCAACCAGACCCCTTGCGAGATGGGACGAGGCGAGAGGGGGACAAGCAACCTGCGAGAGACATGCCACTCTGGAGACGGATATGGTGGGCAACCAATCTCGTCGGCTGCCTTCGTGGGATTGGCTGGAGCAATACGGTAGGTCTCTTCCTCTTCCTACTGCTGCTGTTTGGTTGAGAGGCACACGCAGGTACCCCACGTCGTCAAAGTACCGGTAACAGAGACTCGTCATTCCTTCGTCATCCGCCGTCTATCCGACGCCGTGTTCTTCGTCTTCGTCATGGACGTTGCCGCCATCTACCTCAAGCACAACCCCATCACATCGTCTCTCGCCGCGGAACGTATACAGCCCTCAGCTCAGGGTCCCATCTTCCAAATTCTCTCCTCGCTCTTCTACATGGCCAACTTCTGGGCGGATTCGCAGCTTGCATACTGCTTGCTTAGCGCGGTCGTCGTAGGCTGCGGATTCTCGGCGCCTCAGTCGTGGCCGCCTCTGTGGGGGAGCTGGTGGGATGCCTTCACGGTCAGACGGCTTTGGGGGTAAGTGACGCGCTGCTAATGCCACAAATTCCTTCTGACATTAAACTCTACAGGAGGACGTGGCATCACTTCATGCGCCGGGTATGTCGTTCCTGCCAACGTGCCCTTCATCATCGTGCTGAACATGTACCTAGTTTATCTGCTCCATGGGAAAGACCACCTGCCGCATATTCGGCGCCCAGCCCGGCACCTCTGCATCCGCCTACATCCAACTCTACGTTGGCTTCTTCATCTCTGGCCTCGCGCATGCAGCAGGCGACGTCAACATCAACAAGCCCTTCGGCGCCACCTTCTGGTTCTTCATGTCGCAGGCCTTCGCAATCACCGTCGAGGACGATGTCATCGCGCTCGCGAGGAAAGCTGGAATCCGCGAGTCTGCACCTACACGCGCGCTTGGGAGGCTCTACGTCGCGGCTTGGCTGTACCTCAGCATGCCTATGATGACGAACCCAATTTTGAGCAGTGGGCGGCCGATTGTGTCGTGTCTGCCGTTCTCGCCAATTGCGATGGTGTGGCGAGCGGTCGGGATGGAGGGCAAATGGACGATGGAATGGCCTGTGCCACCGCTTCCGCAAGGGATCCCTAACTTATCTTTGGACTTCATGGACTTTACGAATGCCACACGATCCTTTCCTTGACCCATTTAGTACTATACATAACTTATAGCTCAGCACCCGGACTTTCATATAGCATACTTATTCGCTTTGCGGGCATGTACCATACGGGGAAAGATGGTACATCCGGGATCCACACTGCCGTTCCCACAAATTACCTTGCATGTTGCCGTCTACCAGCTTCACGTTCTCAATCGAGTTAAGAGTCCAATCCTCGATGGCCCATTTCATTCTGGTATTCAGTAATTGGAGAGAAAAGAGGAGAAAAAATAAGATAAGAACGAGCGTGCGGATCCCATCTCGAGATCAAGTGTCCGTCGAACTACACATATAGTAAGGCGTGAATAAGCAGATATCATAAGGAAGTAGAGGAGCACGTAGAAAGCGAACAGACGAACGAACGAGCGACGCGACCTTTGACGAGGTACCGTGTGTGCATTGCATATGTACCGAATGCGTGAATAGAAGGCGTAGTAGTAGTTCCATGTCATCGACGGTCCGAAGCGTATAGGTTTACTGGCCAAGCAAGCTGTTGAGTGCCCGTTGAACGTCGTACCCGTGTGCCTCCAGCGCGGCCACCGCTTGTGAGCGGCTGAAGCCCATCGACGTCAACTGCTTCACCGGCTCAACGTCGTCCTCGCTCCCTGGCGTCACGTTCCGTGGCTCCTCAAGAGCGGGCGACAGATGCGACGGCGCCGCTGGCATGGGCTCAGGAGGCGCCGTGTGCTTCTTTTTCTTCCCGAAGGGCAAGCGAATCTGGAAGGCCTAGTATTGGTCAGTCTGTCGGCGAGGAGGGTAAGAAAGAACATACGCTAAGCTTGGAATGCCTGGTCGGCGGTTGAGATTTGCCATCATGACCGTCCTTCGATGAGGACGACGTCGAAGGGCGGCCAGTAGCAGATCGCGGCGACCCAACACGAGGTGGCGGGGAGGTTGCACTTCGGCCGCGCGTGGACATCTCCGAACCCTTGGGTGAGGCAGGCTCGGTTGGGAACGTCTTGGGCGAGTTCGTGGTCTCAGCTGAACCCCTCGCAGGCGGCTCACCGGCATGATCGTCCAGCTTCAACGATGGGCCCGAGTCAAAGCCTCCGAAAGCCTCGTCAAAAGACGGCTGGCTCTTTGGAGCCTCACCCGTCCCGTTCGTTGCTTGCGGCGACGCGCTCGGGAAGAAGCTCGTCATTGGGCGCTGAGGGGAGCCATCCGACGGTGAGCCGCCATCCGGCATGAAGCTCGACGCTGGTCTCAACGCGCTCGCCTTGGGCGGGCGCGGGGTGACGACGGTTGAAGCTTCCCCAGCACCGAAGATGGCGTCGAAGTCGTTGCTAGTCTTTGGCGCCTCAACAGCAGGTGCTGGCGATGCTACACCAGGAAAGGTATCAGACCCGACGGCAGGGAAGGCACTAGGCTGAGCAGCAGGCGGCGTCGGCGTCGGGAACGGGTTATTGTCCGTCGCCTTGGCAGAAGCGAAGTCGAAGTTGTCGTCGAAAGCAGACTCGAAGGAGAACTGCGGGGCAGGGGACGAGCCAGATGTCGAGACCTTACCCATCGCCTCGTCAAAGGCGCTGACGCCGGACGTATCCTGAGAGATAGCAGACGGAGGGGCCGAGTTACCGAACAGGTTATCCGCAGGTGCCTCAAACGGACTCGCGGTCTGTTGGATGGGCATGCCGAAGGCGTCGACTGCCGCCGTGGCAGCCTTTGGCGCCTCAGCAGGCGCGGCCTCGCCACCGAAAATATCGTCAAAGGACGGCCCACTGGTCGACCCATTCGGGGCATGCCCATTGGGCGCAGGCGTCTTATCGAGACTAGCGCGCGCCTCATCCGCCTTCTTCGCCAAAGTCGCCAGTGGGACTTCGTCCTCATCGCTACTGTCCGACTCGTCGACGTCGATCTCCTTCACGCCAGCCGTCAGGTCAGACTCGCCCGACGGCTGCTCCGTGGCGTCGGGGAAAGCGCCCGGTACCGCAGCCTCTGTCTTCGTCTCTCCCGGGGTATGAGGAGGCTGAGGGGTCGTCGCTTCCGGGGAGGCTGCAGACTCAGCAGGCTGCTCCCTTGAAGGGGACGTTTCGGGGGTACGACGAGCAGTTGAGGGAGGGGTTGAGAAGAATTCGCTGTCCGTGGCGGTCGCGGGGGAAACTGCGTTGTCGACCGAAAGCCTAGCATGCGGAGGCACGACAATGTCAGCAGGCGCAGGCTTCGGTGTTGTCTGAGCGGCATCGTTCGCCGGTTCTGTCGTGACGATCTCCTGAGACTCAGGCGGCGCAGGCGTCTCGAAGGCAGCAGAGAAGCCAAATGGATCGCCAGCAGCCTCCGCGACAGGTTGCTCAGTGCCGGCAGCAGGCGCAGCCCCATCAAGCAAAGGGCTCGCAGACACGGCAGCCAAAGGCGGGCTCGCCACCGACGGGAGCGCGAACGGCGATTGCGACCTGGAGCCAGGAGACATCGCCAGCCTCTCGAACGGGTTGTTGCTCTTCACGCTCGGCGCCGGGCTGCCTGGGCTGGGCGTCACCGGCAAAGGCTGCGCCGCCGCAAACGTGATCGAGTCGTTTGACAACGCGCGCTCCGGCTCAGGCGGCGACAGTGGAGAGCCATTCGCCAGCGCCTCCCCGCCCGCAATCTGTGCCTCCGTCTCGTCCTTCTCGCGCGTGATGGCTGCAACCTCCGCCGCTGCCTCGTCGAGTTCCTTCTCCACTTTGCTCCGCTCCGTCTCCTTCGTGCCCAGCTGCTTCTTCGCGATGGCGAGGAGGCCCTTCTGCTGCTTCGCCTCCTTCTTCGCCTTCTCGATTTCGCCCTTGATGATCTCGATCTCGTGACCGACCTCGGTCATCTTGCGGTGTAGGCCGCGGGCCTCCTCCTTGTCGCGGAGGAAGGCACCCTCGATCTCGGACTTCTCGACCTTCAGCGCGCTGAGGTCGCTCTCAGCGCGGATGAGCTCCTCGCGCGCCTTCGAGATCTCGCTGGTCTGGTTGATATAGCGCTCCTTAAGCGTCGAAAGGAGCTTCTGCTCGGTGTCGTACGCAGCCTTAGCAGAAGAGAGCTGCGTCTGCAAAGCCGACAACTGAGCAGCCTGCTCGGCGAGGGTTTGCTCGAGGTTCGCGCGTTCGTTCTTGGAGTTATCCAGGGAGCGATTGGTAGACTCGACCTGGTTCTGTACGTTGCGAATTTCGACGGACTGGTTCTGAATTTGGCGCGCTTTCTCATCCTGAATCTCCTCATCGTCGTCAAGAAGGTTCTTGCTGGGCGCTTTAGGGTGTATGAGTATCAAGGTATGCCGGGAAGCAGGAACGACTTACAAGCAACGTTGGAAGCACCAAAGGGATCCTGAGCAGGGGCCGGCGACGTGAAAGCCGGAACAGGTGTAGTCGCTGGTTTGAAGGCCGACGCAGTACCCGTCGGTTGCGCAGACAACGTGTTCCCGCCCGTAGCCTGAGGGGCCAACGGCGGAGACATTGTCGCAGGAGGTTCATCATCGAAGTTGAACAAGTCCCTCATCGGTTCTTGCGGCGGTGGCGGTTGCGCCGGAGCCTGCATAAACGGCGACTGTGCAGGTGCAGTCTGGCCACGCATCGAGGGCGGGATGAGAGAAGGTGGAAGGGTCGCCGGGATCTCTTGACCCGCCAGCTTCTTCTGGATGAGGTGCATAGCGATAGCAAACCCATCCCTGTTCAGCCTTCCGTCGTTGTTGATATCTGCGAGATCCCTGTGTACCAGTGAGTTTGGGTCGCGTACTTTTTGGACTTGTACTTACCACACGCGGGCGAGATCATCCTCGGGCAAGTTGGACTGCAACATGAAGGGCACAGCAACATCACCCTCGATATAGCCGAGTTTCGCAGTGTCTAACCCGTCGAAGAATTTGTCTGAATTCGCTTTCTCTGTGGGGGTTACGTCCCAAGCGGGTTGTGCGGTGCCGAAGGCTTGACTGCCGAAAGCGGCAGCGGCAGGTCGTGCTGGAAGGCTTGGAGTAGAAACGACGCGGTTGCCCGTCATAGTGGGCTGCATCGGCCGCTGACCAGTATACTGCTGGTGCAGCGGAGAAGGTTGCGCAGGAAAGGCACCACCAGTCATGTGGGTAGCGACAGAGCCGGTGGCTTGAGGAGCGATGCCTCCAGCTTGTTGGTATAGGCCCGGTGGGAGGGAAGACGGTATGAAGGAGATGTGACCGGACATGACATGCTGGATAAAGTACATGCCGATGGCAAAATCGGTTGCGTCAAGGGCACCTCGGTCGTGCGTGTCGGCAAGGGTCCTGCGAGGGTGGTCAGTTCAGCCACCTGTGCACTTGCGCTACGACTGGTGTTCGATCATATCCGGCAACTGCTGCGTGCTGAGCAGCACGTTCCGGGAATGACTAGCATGAAGGCAGCAGGCCTGTTGAGATGGCTCACTGTAGCACAGTCGAACGAGACGAGTGCCGTTCATTAGGCCATCCCCAAGGTCTGGGTAGACCCGCCGTCTTCATCAATCATTCAAGCAGAAGAGCGGGGGACGCATGAGGCAAGCGCCGGAAATGATAGAACACCGGATCTGGGATTGGAAAGCGCGTTTGCGTACCATATTTGCATGAGCTTATCGGTGGGCAGCTTGGACTTGAGGAATATGTCGCGCGCTTTCTCTCCTGTCCGGAAATGAGTATGTTGGCAGGATGATTGCAAAGCTCGCGCACCGCTCAGGAGGCCATTGACCGGTCCCGACCGGTAGAACATGTTGTGGAATTTCGCCTTGTCCGCCGGCGTGAGTGGAGGGAATCCGGGCGCTGGTGACTTGGGCGAGGACATGGTGGACATGCCCGTATTGTGTTGCGTAATTGCGCTGACGCCTTCAATGACGGGCAAGGGGCCGGCTGGGAAGTAGCTCAGCGACCTGCTACGCGCGCGATGACTGCAGAGCACTCACGCTTGTTGAGCAGGGCCTTCGTCACCTTCTCACCCTTCTGAGCCCATCCCATCAGGCGTACAGCGACAGCGACACCCTTCTTCGACAGCCAGCCCTTGTTGTCTTCATCTGCGATATTCCAGACCTCCCCGAGCGTCGCGGGCGGTAACTTGGCGCCTCCGAATATGCGGACTGCGACCTCGCCGGTGAGGACGCCGAGTTTCTGGGGATCGCCCTGGGCGAATATCTGGTTGACGAGGGCAAGCTCTGCCGGCGTCGGAGAGAAGCTGGTGGACATGGTGGGCGCGTCCAGCGAGCGCGGGTCTAGGTTATGACCACGGTGAGAGCGGGGAAAGCAAGAGACGCGCGACTACGTAAACACGACTGCCGCCCGCTCGATGGGTGATTTTCGCACGCTCGCGAACGGCCCGACTCGTCCCGCCGAACGTTTCGCCTCTTGCAAGCAGCTCGCAACCAGGTCATACATATTCTGTCTACGGGGCCCGTCGCACAGCGGCGTAATATCAGTATTTAAGCAGTCAGTTAGATCAAAGAGACGAAATCGGAGGGATTACGATATGGGTAGGTGAGTATCATGCTAAGACTAATCCACGATGGACAAAAGACGAGCGGTTTATGCAAAAAAGAAGAGGAAGATGAAGTAGTAGTATAGAACTCGGGATGGCCAACAAGGATAGTGAATCAGAACGAGCGTACAGAACACGGACCCTATAGCTTTATCAGCACCAGAAGCGTTGTGGTAGGTGGTACAGCAAGGACGGAATGTTCTTCATTTCTAGGCAGATAAAGCAAGACAAGTCAACAGCTTGTGAAGTTCACTCCCCGCGCCCGTCGGAGCCCTGCAGGCTATCAGTGCGAGCTGAAGCCCAAGTACAACATCAGATCTCCAGTGGTTCATAGGTTTGTGCTTCGAGCCCACCTCTTGGTTGTCCTTCGCTGGCGGCGACACGGCTCTCGCGGCGTCCGAATCCACCAACGCCGGGCCCCCGAGGCTGCCGAACAACACCACCAGGGCTCTCGTGGCCGCTTCCGCCACCGCCATTAAGCGGACCGGAAGAGATAGACGAGGGCAAACTCGGGACAGGGGGCACACCACCGAACCCGCCGCCCCCGCCGCCGAAGAGGGTGCCGAACCCAGCCGACGCACGGCGAGCAGGGGAAGCGATCGTGGCATAGCCCTCGCGCAGGTTGCCATTCGAGGCGCGCGTGTTCAGACGAGGCGCCTGAGAGTGCAGAGTCTTCATGTCCGGCATAGACTTCTTGACGCGCAGGCTGCTCGCAGTCACCTGACCCGAAGGCGCAAGATAGGCCGACGGCGCCCGCGACAATGTGTGGGGTTGCTGACGCTGCGCCGAGTTAGACTGATCCTATCCAATGCGAAAATCGGACGACACACCCTGTTGGGGTCGATGCGAGTGACGACCGCGTAGCGCTCCTCCCCTTCGCCAACCGAGTAGTGGAAAACACCGAGCTTCTGAGCGATGAGATGCACAATCCTGCGCTGCTTAGCGGTCAGGTTGCGCGAGAACGCCAGTTCGTCGCGCATGTGGTCGTCCTTGAAGAGCAGAATTCTGGAGTAAATCTCCAGGGTAGCAGGATCGTTGAGATCCAACTCGTTCGACGAAGAGGACTTCTCGGAACTCGGGGTAACAGACGGCTGGGGAGGCGCCGGGGGAGACGACAGGCCCGGATTGAAGGACGGAATGGGCATGCCCGGCGGAGCCTGGTAGGAGTTCTGCTGGTAGGGAGAAGTCGCCCCGTATCCGCGCGGCTGGGTTGGGTACCCGAACTCGTCGTACATGCCAGCCGGAGGGGCCGTGGTCTCCTCCTTCTGCATCTGCATAGAGCGCATGCGACGGAGCGCCTTCTCACGCTCAATGCGCTCCTTCTCGCCGGCTTGGAGGACCTTTTTGTACTCGACGCGGAGCTTGCGGCCCTGCACATCAAAGCCATTCAGGGCAGCGACGACCGCGTCGGCGTCGGCAGCCTGGCGGAAGTTGGCGAACGCAAGCCCACGGAACGAGCCCTGCTGATCGAGATGGTAGTTGAAGGCGTACGGAGTAGGGATCGACAGTGACGCCTATGCAGTTGCCACAACCATTCAGCACATTTTCTGGCGCAAGGGGCATTTTGTGACGCACAATTATGTCAAGAAGCGTCTCGCGTTTGACGTTGAACGGTATGTTCTTTATAACTATAGCGGTGGGGATGATCTCGTCGTCGCCAATTTGGCCGGGCGAGGCGAGTCCAGGATTAACGTGACTCATAGGGGGAGGACTGCCGCCAGCGGAACTGAAGTCAGAGTTGTTTTGAGGGGACAGCGAGCGGCTGTCAGGGCTGTCCATCCATTGCTGCGCGGAGAAGGCGTCAGGAGGGGTCATCGATCGCACGATGCGCCATTAACTCACCGTGGGCAGCCCGCCGCGCGCGGGCTTGTTCTTCAAGGGCGACTGGCCGACACCCAGTCCCTGGTAGGCACTCTGTGCAGGTATACCCGTGGTAGTCGCAAAATGGTAGGGCTGCCTGCCAGCGGGACTGTTTCCTTCGTAATCGTAACTGTCGTGAAGCCGTTGCGGCGCGATATTGAGGGTTGACATATCGGGTGGACTGCCGGTCATTATGTCCTATAATGTCGTCGACGCCGCTCGTAAAAAGGGTAGTGCAAAGAAATGCGAGATGAGGGAGAGGAACAAGACTGAAGGAAACAGGCAAGGCCGGCCGTTTTGCAGTTTACGGTAGAAAGCAAGCAAGTCACAACAAAGAACCGCTTCCCGCTCCGGCCCATGGATTCCTCGCCATTGCCCCCAAAGACTCTCAAAGCGTCGAGCTTCCATGCACCAGTCACATATCAATTCCCGCTATCTATCTATTGACATAGGCAACTGGCTTGGGTACCGCTAGAATCGACTCCATGTCCAACGCGGTCGTCCCGATCTGCTGGGAAACCATTGACGCAAATTCGGCCCAGTCTGACTCCCGAGCTGCAGCTTGGGGACGGGGTCGGGGTCCTCGGCCCATTAGAGAAGGTGGGTGGAATGTCGGGCGGGGGACAGACGGCACCGCGAACTTGGCGAAGCTAGAATACATGTCAGTACGGAGAAGTATCCCGACAACGATTGGCACACCTCCGAGGAGGTGTCGGACCGCCTGACAGGCGCAGAGACGAGGGGGGAGGCCGTCGAGGCATTGTTCAAGACTGCAATGAGGTCTAGCGGTCAGAACTCGATCGCCAACGCTTCATGGCAACACCCTCACAGTGACCCGCACTAAATTCAAGGAATGCTGAGGAAAGGAGATTGCTCCTTAACCAGATAAAGAGCGTTGCGGGTCGTTTACAATAATGTTACACGCCAACGGCGATGGGGGGACAAGAGCATACTCTGGGTCAATCAAAGCTAGCATTCGAGGAATGCGGCAACAGTGCATTACATAAGCGGGGCTCTGGACTGCTGTCGCCGATGCGCATAGTACCGACTGAACTCGAGCGGATTGGCAGACTGGATGCAGTCGACAGCGAAAGCCCACTGTCAGATCCATAGGCATACGGTGCGCGCGAGGCAGCTCTTGCAAGGCATGGCGGACTAGATGCTGGAGGGCGCATCGGTGCATGAAGTGTCCAAGACTCCATATTGGCATACGATACGATACATGCTCTACAAACACCACCTACGGACGCCTCGAGCTGCCCGCGTCGGACTGACAGCCGCCACAAAACAGGCATTAGTTGGCCGCGTCGTCCTTGATGGGTCGGTAGTACTTCATAAGCTGGGCCTTGAAAGCTGGCAGCGACGTCAGTACAAGGTGGCAAAGTCACGGAGGAAGCGTACCTTCTGGCTTGTTCCACAGCTGGGCGGCATCGGGGTTCAAAGGAGATGCGTTGTTGGGCTCTGCAGCAGGCTCATTCAGACACCGCAAGCATATAGCTGCAATGACGCGCACCTCCGAAAAGAGACTGTAGCGACAGCAGGATTGTCTGCACGCTATACGCCGCGGACCACTTATCCTAGGCCAAATGTCAGTCTAGCCCAAGACATTGAGCGTAGTCCGAATTACCTGGAGGATATCGAGACAGATGGCACCGCTGTTGATATCGAAGTTGGGGTGGTAGCACGGCGTGTCAAACTTGATGTTTGGTGCGACGTATGGGTAGTTGGGAGGGAAGTTGATTGAGATGCGGAACTTGAGACCGGCGTACACCTGTGCAAAAGCCCGATTAGCAAGGCAATCATGGCACGCGACGCGACGCGACACGCACCGTAGCAGCCGGACCCTCGATCGTCCCAGCCCACTCAAACATGTTCCCGTCGTTCTTCGGGAATGCGGACTAGAGCGAGTTGAGTTGATATCATCACAGACGACAGTTGGTGGCCACGCACAATTCCCGGAGATGAAGACATCTGTGAACCAGGGCTATTAGGTGAGTTCTCAATAGCCAAAGCCACAGCAACGCACCATAAGCGTCATAAGTTCGTTACCAAGGCTGTTTAGCGCGAGAGTCAGCATAAGACGGGCGGTTCAGCTGCTCAGCGCCTGCGCACCGTTTGGCCGCTCCGCCAGCGCCAGTGGAGGCAGAGCCCGCGACACCCGACTTGGGGGCCGCGCGAGGAGGGGCGAGGGAAGAGGTGATCTGCTCCATGAGGGGTCGTGAAAAGGGAGATGGGCGGATGAAAGTGGCAAAACACGCGGAGGGAGAAACACGATGGTCAAGTTGAAGGCAAGCCGACGTGAGATCACCCAGCGCGCACGTGATGGTATCGCACCGTCACGAGCTGTGACAGACAAACGTGACGCAGCGCTGGCACTGGCCTTTGCCAGTCATGGACCCTCAGGTGCCAGAGACACAGACAAAGGGAGAGTGCGCAAACTTCATATCGTAGTGCTTCAGGGCTTTGCACAAGGGAACGCGCTAGAATCGAACAAAGAGGGCAAAGCACTTGAAATCCAAAGGCGTTCCTTACAACCTTCAAGTTCACACATCGATGCATCAACATTCGTCTGACTGGAGTGCGTGAATTATCGTTAAGTAAGTAGGCGACCCTATTATACAAATTATGCTACCATGTCCCATGTAACATGCTATAGTTTATACCTGAAGAACGGCGCGTGGTCACCCATGTCCTTGTACTCGGTCATGGTCTTCGCGTCCCAAACACGCCCTAGTCTCGCGTCCTCGGCGTCTCGCAGCGAGTTCTGCTTTTCCATGTATAGCCGCAAGATCGCGCAGCAGATGATTCCGACACAGCAGAGGCCGATCATGACACCGTAACCCTGGAGGGATAGTCAGGACCTGTTTGTTCATCCATCGAAATAAAACGCACCATGAAGAACCTTGGCGAGTCAGCCGCGGGGAATAGGTACGAGCACACCACACCGCCCATGTTGCCGAAGCAGATGGTCATGCCAATGCCAACAGTCCGCTTCGTCTTGCCACCCATGTTGTTGCCTGCCCACATCGACGAGATGGGCACAGTGGAGTAGATACCGGCGGCGGCGAGGAAGGTACCAATATACTGCGCGGCGACTTCGTTGGAGGTGATGAGGAAAATGAAGCCGACGATGGCAGTGGAGAAGAAGGCGACGAGGGGTGCAAAACGTGTGTTGAAGCGGTCGGAGTACCAGCCGCCAAGACAGCAGATCTGAAGAGAGGATTAACGACGCGGAATGTTGTAAGTAGGTAATGCGTACGATGCAGCCAAAGACGAATGGCGGGACGGTCAATAGGTTGGCAATGCCGGAGGTGTAGCCCATGTTTGCGATCTAGGCGAATGTAAGCATGCGGCAACATGGGACGACATACGTGGAACTCACAATGGTGGGCATAAACAAGGACAGTCCGTATGTGGGTGTCAGGACGCAGAAGAAGACGACTGGTCGTGGCAGTCGGTCAACAGTTCGACTAGACAACTTTGTGGCAACTCACTTGCTTGCAACCAAATCTTGATGTCCTTCGGGGCAGACCAGGCAAAGTGGCTCTTCCACTCAGACGAGAGGCCCTCATTGTCTTCGGCTAAGCGTTGGACGACACGCGCGCGCTCGTCGGCGGTCAGGACTATCAAGTACTGTCAGCATGGGATCCAGCACATGCTCGTATGTCAGCTCACATTTGGCAGTATCGGGGTAGTCCTCGAGGATGAAGAATGCAAGGACGGCAACAAGGACGGCGATGATGCCCTCCATGATCCAAATCCATTGCCAGCCAGCCATGCCACCAAGACCGTCTATCGCCGCATCAGCTCAATGCGCGAGGTAGGTAGATAGGCAGAGACATACCCATGAGTGAGAACAATCGCGCAAGAAGACCGGAGAAAGCACCAGCGACGGTTGCGGCGGAGAAGAAGACAGCGCCGCGGAAGCCGCACTCGCGCTTGGGGTACCAAAGCGTGATGTAGAGAGATACACCGGGGAACCTGAGGTCGGAGTCAGCGAAGGTGTAGGGAAACAGTCGTTGCTACTCACAAGCCGCCCTCAAGAGCGCCCAAGACGACACGCGCACCCCATAGCTCGTTGTAGGTCTTCACGAAGCACATGAATATTTGACAGATCCCCCAGCACTAATGAACCGTCAGAAAATTCTGTCGTCGCGGCCTGAACGAGTCGACTCACGAAACAGATGAGCGGCAGCCAGCATTTGGGTCTCCATCGTTTTAGTACAGTGTTACTGGGTATCTGGGAGGCGACGTATGGGTCTATATGCACGGGTCAGGCCATACGATCCTGGGAGGGTGACGTTGGTACACACAGTAGAAGGCAGCCAGAGCGTGGGGGTAGAGTTCGTTAGAGACGTGAAGGTCGGTGAGGAGGCCAAAGGTCTTCGCATTGCCGATGTTCGAGCGACACAAAAAGTTTACTGAGAAGAAGGTCAGTGCCCCGGACCCCACATCCCCGCAGAGGGTTACGTACCAAGGTAGAGCGCGGACAGAATGGGAACAAGCCGGCGGTCAATTTTACGCACAAGCGCCTTGTCAGAAGCCTGTTGCGCGACGAGCTCTTCCTCGCTCCTCGCAGACGGCGTAGGCGCGGGGAAACCGCTCTTCTCGAGGCTGTTATGGTCGGCGGCGGACATGCCTGTGGCTGTCGCACAAAAGCAGGGGTGGTAGATGTGGGGTAAGCAGACGGTGCTGGTAGATAACGCAGTCGGCAGGACTGGGTGTTATATACTGCCATCGCGCCGAATGCCTTCGCGGGCACCGAGTTGAGCCGCGTCGGCGCAAATAACCAATCGATTGCAAACGCATTCCCAAGGGCCTCGACGCGTACGCCCGCGTCGACCAGGCGCCCCCAGGCGTCGGGCACTGCTGGCAACGGCGGCCATACCCTCCTGCTCGTCGCGGAGAACAAGGTCTCGGTGCTAAGCACCGCGATCGGCGCGAATGAATGGATGCCCAGCGCCAAGTTCGCCGGTCACGGGGTCGGCTTCCCACACAATAGGAGTCTATACTTCCCCATATCGGGCACAATGGCCGCGCCTGTCTCCATGGCACAGAAAACAGCCCGCGCGAGTCTGGGGCATCGTGGGCTCATGACCCGCGCGCCGGGCGAGGGCGACGCCACATAGTGGCTGCCACCCTCTCAATTCAGCCGGGCCCTCCCTCGGGTCGAGACCCGAAAGTTTCATCCGGCTGAAGGCTTTCGTCGGTGTTCAAAACAGCCCCAGTGAGGACGCGCAGACCTACAGAATTTCCCGGACAAGGGGCGCGGGATGGCGTGGGGCGCATCAGTTCACTAAGATAGAACACAGGGCCGGAGACCCGGTCCAGTGGAGATGCCCTCCATGCTCTGGCAGTTGTCTCGACGCTGTTGGGCCGTTCGACATCGCGCACTGGGGAACGGCGTGCCTGTCGTCCCTGCATTAGCGAGGTGCAGCGTCGTAAGATACGGTTAGGTAGCGACATCACCAGTGCCTTGCCCGCGAATATACGCCGCATCCCGGAGCGGGCGACAGAGCACACGACGACAAGACCCGAAAGAGATGAGAAGCTAGACAGTGTTCATAGAGGTACAGCGTCCGATATACAGCGCAGTGAAGGAGATCTAGCCACCCTTCGCAAGCACCTTCTTCAGCTCGTCGTTCTTGCGTTCCAATTGCACGATCTTCCGCTGGGCCTTCATCATCTTGTCGTACAGGTAGTTCGCCCGCTCTGACGACGGCGTCCGACCAAGCCACCCGTTCTCCAGACCGATCTCCTTGAGTTTGAGCAGCTCGTCCTCGCAGTCCTTGACGATCGTCTCCGACGCGTCGATGATCTTCTTGTTGTACGCCGTGTCCATCATCGCCTCAAAGATCGAGTCTAGCGCAGCAGGGTCAGCCTTGTCGGAGTGCGCATTCCCCTCTCTTCCACTCACCCTTATATAACCTCTCAAACACCCATTTATACACCGGCTTCCCTGGCCTCACTGCAGACGGCCGTCCTAAAAACAAGACCATCAGCTTCCATCCGACCCTCTTCCCGTGCGACCCAAACCCAAAAGCCTACCATTATTAGTACCGACGGTGATCAGCTCCGCCTGCTCCATCGCCCGCAACGCATTCTCATCCCCCTTGAACGGGAAGTTCAGAAGCAGATCTTGGTACGGGATCTCCTCCTGCTTCGCGAGCTGCTTAAGCACGTGCCAGGCCTGCTCGCGCGACCAGGGGAGGTTCTTCGCGTCGTCTGCGTCGTCCCCGAAGGCGTTCTTGCGCAGCTCAGCGACGCCACGGGAGACAATGTCCTCGACGGCGTCTTCGACGGTCTGCCCGTTGCGGACTTTGTGCACGAGCTGTGGAGGAGGTGAGCGAGAACAAGCGTATATACAAGAGAAGAGAGACGCACGCTTTCGAGATCGCTAGCACGGCCGCCAAGGCGCTGGATGAGACCTATCTGCTCACTCGTGAAGCTCGAGTCCACGTCAGCGTCTTGTAGCTTCTGCTTCACGTAGGAGAGCGAAGTGTTGGGGTCGGCGTCCGATAGAGCAACCGTGTATAGCGGCTTCGTAGGCAGAGCTATCGCGCTGCGTCAGCTGCAATCGCCGCACAAAGACCGTTCGCTCACCCTTCGCGAGGCGCTTAGAATTCTCGCGGTTGTCCGAAAGGATGAGGACGTGCGCGATCTATATGGAGTCGAGCCATCGGACATTGCTCCAGCAGAGACCTCTACGCACCTTGTTCTCTACCAACGACGTGCCCCACTGCGCGAGGACTTCCAGCAGCTCCTCCTTGTTCGAGCCCGAACCAGCGTAATTGCGAATGACGACAGTGGGCAAAGACTGCAGCGCCTCCGCGTCCTGCGTCCCCTTGACCTTCCGCGCCATTTCGTCCTTCAGCTCATGGTTCGACTTCTCCTGCGCTGGCTTCTCGTGCTCTGGATAGTCATGTTGGTGCTCGTCCTTCGCAGAGTTGCCAGGTCCTGCAGGCTCGGTACTCCCTGAATTTCATGAGCTTTCCTGTCACCTCCCTCCGCCCACGAGAAACAGCTCACCACCGCCTACGAGTCCCGTCACCCGCGACCACAGAGCAGAGAAGCCCTTGGTTCTCGCTTGTCTAGCCTCCTGCCGCTTCGCCTCCTTAAGCATTTCATTCCTATGTGATTCGTTCGCGCGCTTCAAGGACACAGTGACCGTCGACAGAATATCGCGCAGCTGGTCGGGCGTGGAGGAGCCAAAGCCGGCTGGGGAAGACTGAGTTTTCTCACCGGCAGACGCACATCAACGCGGACGCACCCTTCTGCCCAATCATGCCCACGCTCGCCAGGTCGATGAGGTTGCTCATGGAGTTGAGGAACGTGAAGATGGGCCAGTAGCCCGTTTGCTTCGCCAGGGTTCCGATCATCTGCGCGTCGGAGGTTGACTTGACGAGCTCGCGACAGTCAATTTCGAGCGTAGGTCTGTTGAAGCAGATCAGTAAGTGTGGAAGCCGATACGATTTCAACACACCTGTCTAACGGTTCCAATACAGCTCGTGCCATGCGCGTCTTACCGCTGCCCTGCGGGCCGTGTATGAAAGCAACCGTACCTAAGGAAAAGGTCAGCCATCCGAAAGACATACCTCAGCAGCAAACACATACTGGGGAAGTCATTCAAGTATGCTCTGATAGCCGTAAATGCCTCCATCCGCTCCTTCCACGCATCTTCCGCAGGTGCTGCAGCAATCTTCGACTCGAATGTCAAAGGCAGGCGGTCGAGCGCGTTCTCGCGGAACCACTGCCAGAGCCTGTACTCCTTATAGTCGAACCAGTTGAGCAATTTCGCCTCGACCATAAGACTACGTATGGGGTCGAAGATCTGGATCATAAACCGTCAGACGGTTACTTGTGCGGCAGTAGGAAGTACGCACCGCGTATGTGAGGCTACCCAGCAGGAAGATCACGACCGGCAGCACAATCCTTGGATGCTTCGAGAGCCAGTCGCGCATCGCGTATGCGTGCATTACGGGCTGATACGTCGGTCTGACCCGGACTTTGGCGCCGGATGGTAGAGTCACTTCGTAGCCGTTCAGGACATTCCGCGCGATGGTCGCAGGGCGGTAGCGACGATACTCCACGACTATGGCGGGGTTTTTGCCTGCTACTTTGGGGGCCTCAATGTCCTCGATGCGACCGTAGGGCTGCCAGTGGTCAATAGGTACTCGGGCGGGGCGTGTTCGAAGAGGAAGCATACCCTGAACAGCTCAAAGACTTGCTCCTCAGGGAGTTCGCCGCCTAAGAATTCGACACGGAGACTCATAGACGCCCAGCGGTCCATGTCCTCAAGAATCATCAGTTCGATGCTACACATTTGATCCGGAACGCAGCATACCTCCAGCCAGGGCTGCTTCGCCTTCACCAGCCATACGTCCGCTCTTCTGAGGCCGATCCATGTTTGCAGGCCTCCGGACTTGCGTGTAGAGTCCTTCAGCGCCTGCTCAATGGTAGGGAGGGCCGCCTCATCCCCCGCATATTTGAATTTGATGAAAGCACCGCCGTCCTTCTGGTAGGGTACCACGGAGAGGATCTCAAAGTCGTGATCCTTGACGGTGCTCAGTGTCGTTCGGACATTATTCAAGATGTGTTCTTCTCTCAATCGCGCAATCAAGTGACGGGGGCTGTGGATGTTTAGGTAGGAATCTGGTAATGGGGGGAAGTACGCACTCGAGCTTGCCGACACGGACGGGGAAGAGGGAGTCGACGAAGAGCCAAGCTTCGTTCGTGCCGCTTGCGGTCGCATACGCGCGCACTGGTCTGCGCACGAGCATACGCGAGCATGACGGTCTTGACAACATGGTCGGAGGGAACAAGCTGCCTGCCAGATCGTATTCCGCTAAGCGCTCAATACGCGGCGCGTCCACCGACCGTTGACGTCAATGCGCTCGGGCCAGCGCGCCATGGCTCTCACGTGCGGACGGGTCACGATGTGACGCACAACTTTTTTGTTTCCTTTCGACTGTTGTCCCCGACGGCCGCCATGTCCGCCGCTAACCGCTCCCGGGAGCAACGCGAGCAGCGGCGTGAACTCTCGCGCTCCGGCTCGTTCTTTGGCGCTATCAAGAACGTCGTTACCGCTCCGCTCAGATGGCTCGGCAGCGCCAGCCAGGTCGACGAATTCGAGGACCAAAAAGACGAGGCCGGCAAGCGCAGGCGGCTCGCGGCGGAACCCACGGAGCAGGTTGTTGGCGAAGAGGGCGCACCGACCCCAGCGAAGCGCGCGCGACGGGATAGCCCCGAGAGGCCATCGAACGATCAACGGCGTACCAATCCCGGATACCTCGACCCGCCTCCGAGCGCGTTCCGGAAGCAATACCAGCCTCTGCCCCATCGCTATCAGCCAAAGCCCATAGACCGTGCCAGCTCCGTCAGCCTCCCCCTCTCGAACTCGCGGCAACTGCTACCAGCCGATGAAGTGCGCCGGACAGCCTCGCCTTTCGGCGCGCAGAGCATCGCGCGCACGATGTCCGTCGATCCCCCGCAGCGCATGTATCAGCCTCGCGCAGTCACAAGAGACGTGTCGATGCAGTATACGCCGACCCTTCCCCAACATGATCACTCCATGGACATCATCGACGAGCCCATGAGGCGTTCGCCATCGTTCCGCGGATCGCTGCCGCCGACCTCCTCGTTCCGTATGCGCATGTCTGCCACGCCCCAAGTCGAGCCCATCCGCGAATCGTCCATGCCGCCGAGCCTCACAGACCTCAATACGAATCCAGCCTTCGTACGTGCACCGTCGCAAGGCGTTGAAAGCCGTCAGCGCTTGACACCTAGTAACACGCTGGGCACGGTGGCCGAGCAAAGACACGTACGTCACCATCAAACATGAACGTGTAGTGACTCACAGATATATCAGCTCTTCTCTCCTACGAAGTCGCGCAGCTCATTGTCGTATGTCTTTTCTGCTCAGGAAACCGCGCCGCGTGAGTACCGCGCCCTGTCCTCGAGTTGATGATGTTGCTAATTTATCGATAGGCGCCGCTTCCGGAGAGGCCGCTCAAAAAGCGCTTCTCGAGCTTGACGCGTACAAAACACCCATCATTCCAAGCCGCCGTCGCAAGGACACATCCGATGCCTCTGCCCTCGCAAGCACGTCTCGCCCAACGACTGGGCCTGACCTCTTCAAGAAGAAGCGCAAATTCGTGCCCATGAACGAAGAAGAGCAACTCGCTTTGAACCTGACAGGTCAGGGCAAGAAGAAAAAGAAGAGCAAGGATAAGGAGGCCAGGGCGAATGACACGAAGCCATACTCAAAGCCGGATGGTCTGAAGAAATTGATGACCCGTCACAAAGCCGGAGAGGATCCCGACGCGTCTTTCGAGTCCGAGGGCGCCAATGAGCTCACGCGTAGCGATAGTCAGATGGACACGAGCACCGGCACGACTGAGAAGGAGAACAAGACGAATGAGCCCACTGTGCCGGACCTGCCGCCTCAGGACAACTTTGCGCCCCGGTCTGCCGACGCACCCGCTCAGGGCTCGTCATTGCGCATTGGACGCACGAAGACCAGCAGACAGCATCTCGCACGCCCAACCATCCAACGGCCTCTCAAGAAGAAGTTCTCGGCAGCCTTTGAAGATGATGATGTTGATGACGACATGGAAGAGCGCAATCAAGAAATAGAGAAGCTAAACGAGATTCAGGCGAAGGCCCCTCCGTTCAAGATTGACAGCAACTTCTTTGCGAAACCGCCTCAAGTAAGTACCTTCAACCGTGTGAACCACGATCTCCTTTCTGACTTTCAAACCGCAGGCCGCACCTACTTCGTCAGATGCATCCAAGGCCAAGGAGCCGCCCGTTACGTCCCTTCCGTTCTCGCTGGGCTCACCGGCACCGCCCGCCCCGAAGGCCCCAGAGCCGGTGAAGGAGGCTGTTCCAGCCCCAGCTCCGGAAAAGCCTGCCCCCACCCCCTTCTCTTTTAGTGCGCCGCCAAAGACCGACACGCCCTCAGCCTCGAATGGGGCAACGTCTACCTCTTCGTCGGGCGGCATCCCGAACTTCTTCTCATCATCGCCCGCCCTTGCGAAACCCCTCACACTCCCTACTCCCACCACGCCTCTCTTTGGCTCGCCCGCTGCCACTCCCAAGCTTGATGGCGCTGTGCCTCTGCCTGGTACGCCCAAGCCTGCGGCGCCGCCAGCGTTCTCATTCGGCACGCCCGCGCCTGCTGAGCCTGTTAAGGACCCGAATAGCCCATTCTGGGTGGGCTCCAAGACGGCTGCAGCACCAGCGAACGGGTCGGCGGCCTCCAACGGTCTGCCCTCGGGCTCGCTGTTCGGCGCGCCCAAGGTCGATGAACCACCAAAGTCCGCTCCTGCTACGACGTTCTCGTTCGAGAAGAAGGAAGAGGCGCCGAAGTCGGCCGCACCTACCGCTGCCCCATTCTCGTTCGGCAAGCCTGCTGAGCCCACCAAGCCGGCGGAGAGCACGAGTGGTTTGTTTGGGCAGCCTTCAACGTCGAGCTCGACAGCGGGCGGTCTGTTCGGTAGTACGCCTGCTGCGCCGCCTGCAACGACTGTAGGCTTCTCGTTTGGTGCGCCTGCGCCTGCGACGACGCCGAAGCCCGAGGAGGCACCTAAGCCCGCGCCATTCTCATTTGGTGCGCCCGCCCCTGCGGCCGAGGCTCCCAAGCCGTCCACTCCCTTCTCCTTCGGCCAGCCTGCAGCATCGTCGGATAGCGCGCCTAAGCCTCTGTTTGGTGCCCCCGCATCGATAACGGAGGCGCCGAAGCCAGCGTTCGGAGCTGCGCCATCCGTTCAGGCTCCGAAGCCACTCTTTGGCGCTGCACCGTCTGCCGACGCGCCCAAGCCGCTCTTCGGTTCCGCCCCATCGAGCCCTGCGCCGTTCTCGTTCGGTCAGCCCGCGAAGACGGATGCGCCAGCGGCGTCGCCATTCTCGTTCGGTGCTGCGCCCAGCACGCCGAAGCCCGAAGAGAAGAAGCCAGCGTTCAGCTTCGGTGCTCCGGCAGCGACGCCAGCTGCGCCTGCGCCGTTCAGCTTCGGATCCTCTACCGCTGCGCCTGCCACGACCGAGGCGCCCAAGCCCTTCTCGTTTGGTGCACCTGCTCCTGCCCGTCCGTCGACGCCGCCGAAGAACGATGACGATGGCATGCGAATGGAGGAGAGCCCGACGAGGGAGATCACCAAGGCCGAGCCGTCGAAGCTCACGCTGAACACGGGCGGCGCCAGCTTCTCGTTTGGCGGGAGCACCGGTGGCTTCGGGTCTGCGAGCTCGACCACCGCACCGTCGAACCCATTCGCCTTCGGTGCGCCTGCCGCAAGCAAGCCAGAGGAGAACAAGCCTGCGTTCGGTGGCTTCGGTCAGCCTGCACAGACTGGGTTCTCCTTTGGGCAGAGCAAGCCTGCGGAGGCCGCGGAGCCGCAGCGGCCTGCGACAACTGGATCTTTCGGCTTTGGCGCGAGTACACCTACTTCGTCGGCGTCGCCCTTCGCCTTCGGCACGCCATCGTCGTCGAACAATGCCAATCCCTTCGGTGGGGCGTCCTCGCAGTCAGGCTCAGCCCCGAACAGCCCGTCGACCTTTCATCAGCCTTCGCCGTTCAGCTTTGGTGCACCTGCGCCTATCCAGCAGACCAACTCGTTCTCGTTTGGCAGTCAGCCTGCATCGCCCGCTGTGCCTTCCGCCACGTTGCCGCAGCCGGGCACGCCCAGCGGTGCCTTCGGAGCCTCGAATGCCTTCAGCGTCGCGTCGCCGACATCGCCTTTCACTTCCGCACCTAACTCTGCTGGGACCGATGGTGGCGGTCTGTTCACCATGGGCTCGGCCAGCAGCAACGCCCCGCCCGCGCCTGGCCCTGGTGGAAGACCTGTCCGTCGTCTGCCCACGCGGCGCAAGCATTGAGCTTTTTCAACTTCACTCGAATGTACATATCTTTTCCTTCCTTTTTTCGTCATACCCCATCTCACCTTGCTTTCTTCCAGCTCCTCGCGCCGCATGCGTCCGCCGGCCCATCTGCGCTTCCTATCGTTGACACACCACCTCATCTCTGCAAATCACCTATTATTCGCTCGCACCGTTCTCTTCTTGCCTTCTAGTAGTTTGTTACTCCTTCCTTCCAATTCAACTTCTTTGCCTTTCAGTTGCACCTTGCACCCTCGCTGTACTTACTCATCGTCCCACTTGCTTGAAGTTGTTGTCATGGATATTTACCCTGTAGCACTCTAGGAGGTTTTTATGGGCAGGCTCAAGGCCTGTGTCGATTATCTCTGCTCCTGTTCTTCCTTTTTCTTCCCTGTCGCAAGCACGCACGCACGTATTTACTTGGCTGAAGGCCGCCTCATCCCATCCATCCATCCATCTCATCACGCACTTCTTTTCCTCGTGCATACAATCAATCATATATCGCGCTCCGAATCGTCCTACATTACCATCCAAGCATCGTTATCCATGCACCACGCCGTAGTAAGTATGCAATATAACCATGGTCTCCTCCCACATACGTCTCTGTCCTATTATAACAGGCGTGGAATCAACGTCGTCGAGAGCTGCGCCGAGGCGTCGCCGCAGGTGCGGGTGGTGGTGGCGGACCAGGCGCCAGCGGTACGTCCTCGAAGCCCCAATCGGCTGCCATGAGCGAAGGAAGGCCGGTCGACTTCTTCGACGCAGCTGGCTGCTTCCCGATGGGCGCTGGCTTCGGGAACGATGGTGCCGGTGCTGTCTTGCGAGCTGGGGTACGTGTGGTGCGTCTCGGTGCTGGCGCAGGTTCTGGCTCAGGTTCTGGCTCAGGCTCGGGTTCCTCCTCTTCTTCCTCCGACTCCGATTCTGGCTCAGACTCTGGTACAACCTGCTGCTCAGGTTCAGGCTCGGATTCGGATTCGGTTTCAGGTTCAGGTTCAGGCTCCGGCTCGGACTCGGACTCTGGCTCTCGTTCAGGCAGAGGCGCAGGCGACTCGGGCGGCGGCGTTGCTTGCTGAAAGGCCATGTTCTCCCTCGCCTGGATCATTGCACTGCAAATGGTCCGTCATCTGCAGTCTTCCTGGCCAATCGCACACGAGATACGCACTGTAACTCCTGACTCCTCTCACGCGCCCACATCTTGCAAGCCTCCTTGAATTGCGTGAGCATCTTCGAGAGTTCGTTGTAGAACTGGGAAATTGCGTGAGTTGAACGTGTTACAGTGTGCAAGAATTGGTAGGCGCCTCACATTCAACCCCTCTTCCAAGTTCCTCACGATCTCCCGGTACTTGTGGTACGCCAAGTCCAACGACTGCAGCGCTCGCTCGCGCTCCTTCGCCGCCGGATCTTCCTTCCTCGACTCCAGCAGCAACTGGTTGTGATGCTGTCGAATTCGCGACACATCAGCACTTTCCCCACCCACAACCCAACCCACCCCACTCACCTCAATCTCCTCCAACACCGCCCCCTGCCTCCCCGCCCCATCCTCCACCGCGCCCAAAAACTTGTCATACTTCGCCAGCTCGTCGTCCAGAATATCCTCAAACGCCACCGGCGCGACCTCCGCGAGCTGCGCGAAGCCCGCGGCCGCGCGCACGATGCGCGGTCGGACGTCGTCCGCGTCGGCGAGGTTTTGCGCGCGGCGGGCGTAGTCGGTGAGCTCGCGGTGGAGGTCGTCGAGGTGCTCGAGGCGGAGGCGGAGGGCGCGGCGGTGGATCTCGGTCTCGCGGGTTGAGCGCCCGGAGGGGGCGGTGGAGGAGGGGATGGCGCGTTCGAGGCGGATCTAAAGAGGTTGTCAGTCCCCATAGTCCATCTGCTAGAGGAACGCCAGGTAGCAGGCTACTCACCTCGTCCCACGTCAGCTCGCCAATGCTCTCCTCCCACTCGTCGTACTTCCGCCGCACGGACTCGTCGCTTTCGGCTGCCTGCGTCAACACACTATGATACCGCTCGTACTTGTGCATCAACTCTTGATTTGCTTCATGCGATGGCCGCCGCTGCGTCAACCCCTGCGCGCGGGCGTTCTCGTCCTCCTCCGCCTCGTCGTCGAGGATGGACATGGCCTGTAATGCAGGTCAGTAAATGAGGTCCACCCTGCCAGTCGCACGGAGCTGGATCCTCTTCCCCAACGACCAAGCCTACCCACCTCTTCCAACAACCTCCTCCCCAACCCCGCCACCCGTCCCACATCATCCATCAGCGCCTCGATCCTCTCCGGCCCCTTCTCCAGTCGCACTTCCTCCGCCTTCCGCAGCAGACTCGGCGGCAGACGTACGGTCTGGTCGAGGGCGTCGAGCGCGGCAGGGAGGTGGAGTTCTTGAAGTTTACTGCCATAGTGTGAGCATAGATTAAGGTCCACGTAGGAGAGAAGTAGTAGTAATCGTTGCGCGTAGAGCAGCACAAAGTCACGTACCTATTCGCCCGCTGCTTAATTTCCTCAATCTGGTCCACGACCTTCTCCTTGACGAGCTTCCGCTTGCGGTCGTCGTAGATGTCTAAGATATGCGTCAGCTTTCACGAATCAAGACAAATGGTGAACACTCACTGATCGCTTCATTCGCCCCCCACCCCAACAGTTCCTCGAACAACGGCGTCCCCTCCACCGACGCCGGGTTTTCTAGCTCTTTAGGAACGGTCGCTTTCGCTACATGCGTCGGCGTCACCACGGCTAGCGACGCGCCCGCGGGCACGTAGTCGTGGTAGATCAGGTCGTTGTCCCGCTCGGCGCGCGCGTGGTCCTTTTGGATGACGTCGAGGAAGGTCTGGGCGGGTGGGTGGGTGAGCAGGGGTGAGTTAGGTGAGTTGAGGCCAGCGTTGAGTGTGGGTGAGGGAGATAGGTGTGTTTGCCCCGTTATAGAGGAAGGAGGCTGACCTGCACGTCCCTGGCCACCGCTTGCACGACGCGGCCTTTTCGAGCAACATCGTATGCTTTCTTCTCCGCGGCGAGCGCCTCGGTCAGGTAGGAGAGTTCTTTGCCGTAGCTAGAGGTAGGTGATATGAGAGGCATACACTGAGGTCAAATTCGACCAGACCTACCGACTCGCCTCACCCTCGACCAGGCTCATCCTGTAGTGCGCTACGGCTTCAAAGTGGTATTGTTTGGTCTCGATGTATGCAAGCCAACTCTGCAAAAACATGATGAGTTTCTGGGGAAGAGAAGTGACATCTCGAACGGCTTACAGTAGGGAATAGATGTTTAATCGACGGTGTCGCGCCTCGGATGGCTTCGAGCGATGATTGATAATGCGAAGCAACCTTTTGACAGAAGATTCCGGTCAGCAGGGTTCTAACAGTCTGAAGAAGTGCCCTTCGGCAAATTCAGAACACTCACGGACGACGCCAACTTCGCGATGATCGTATTCTTCATGTTATCTGTATCGCATTGCCCAAGTGAGCCATCCCCTCCACACCCCAGGACCCCACATACCTACCCATCTTCGCCTTCTGCCAGAAGCACTCCTCGGCTTGTGCCATCATGGCGTGGTAGAGGCCCGTGACGAAGCCCGGTGTGAGGTCGAGGGGGTAGTCAGTGTAGGGGATGAGGGGAGAGGTCGGTGCGAGGGTATCGGGTGGTGGGGGCAGCTTGGGGAGGGCGGATGATTTGAGGTAGGCCAGGGTCCCTGCGGAGGCCTGGTTTTGTCAGTTTTCCGGAGGCATACTGTGGAGGAACGAAAGGTCCGTGAAGAGATGCGGTACATGGGACGTGTAGAGCTGATGATGGGGGATGCTTCGCATAAGATTTACTTACAGAGAAGTATGCCATGGCGCGCTTGATACCATCGAATGTAGATCGGTCCTCCGACGCGCCGAGCTGCGAGTATAGCGCGGCGAGGTTGAAGAGCAGAGCCGCGCGCTCGAAGTGCAGATCGTTCAGGGTGATGGGTAGCGCGTTCGCGTCAGCAAATGCAGGTACGTATGCTATGGGAAGGCCGATCTGAAGGCATGATGAGATGGGCAGATTCTGTGATTACTTGCGAGAACATGTACATCGGCTGGAAGTTTGCTCTGTATGCGGAGCAATTGCGCATGATATCTGCTCGGAGTCAGGCTGTATGCAGAGCTTGGTAGCAGTACAACGCACCTTGTGATGTCTCCTGCCCGATTCGCATGGACCGACATCCCAATCGCTGCCCTCCTGAGCTTCTCCCACTCCGCGATGTCATGCCTCAGCGCGTCCGGATGGCTGCCCGTATGATCGTGTATGTACAACCGCACTGCATCCTTGACGTTCGCTTCGTACGTCCTCTTGAACGGTATCGACACCAGATTCGACATCGCGCTCGCCAACGCGCTGCCAGAAGCAACTCCAGATGGAAGTACGGCAAGAAAGACGCCGACCGGGCGTCCGGTCCGGGGCCACAATGCACAGGTGTGACATCGACGCGGTGTTACGGCCGTGACCACCTCATCTCGACGCGACCGCGACGATGCCGCGCGAAATCATCGGCGTCCAGCTCGGACAATGCGGGAACCAAAGTGCGGCACTGAGCTCCCCGATGTGTGTACGATGCATCGAATCTGAAGTGTGATTTCTATCCAGTGGGCTCCGTGTACTGGCAGCGCCTCTGCGCAGAGCACGGCATCAACAATGAAGGCATACTTGAAGAGTGGGCCACAGAGGGTGGGGACCGAAAGGACGTGTTCTTCTACCAGGCAGACGACGAGCACTACATTCCGCGCGCTATTCTTGTTGATCTAGAACCTCGAGTGCGTTAAGCGCGTGCGAGACGCGTGAACGATGACTGACTTGCTCGCGATCTGTCTATGCAGGTCATCAACAATATCCTCACTTCCCCCTACGCCAATCTCTACAACCCCGAGAACATTTTCGTATCGAAAGACGGTGGTGGTGCAGGGAACAACTGGGCCCAGGGGTATGCGGCAGGCGAACGGATATACGAGGAGGTCATGGAGATGATCGACCGAGAAGCTGAGGGAAGCGATTCATTAGAGGTAAGCTGACTCCCCCTCTATCCCTTGCATTGTCCACCTGCCCTCCCCTGCTCACTGATACCTACCACAGGGCTTCATGGTTATGCACTCCATCGCCGGCGGCACCGGCTCCGGCCTCGGCTCCTTCCTCCTCGAGCGCCTCAACGACAAGTTCCCCAAGAAGCTCATCCAAACCTACAGCGTCTTCCCCAACTCCCAAGAGGGCGACGTTGTCGTGCAGCCCTACAACTCTATGCTCACCCTCAAGCGGCTTGTGAACCACGCGGACAGCGTGGTCGTGCTCGACAACAGCGCCCTCGCGCGAATATCGGTGGACCGGCTGCATGTGCAGACGCCGTCATTTGATCAGACGAATCAGTTGGTGAGTGGGGTGTGGGGGAGGAGAAGGGAAGAGGGCTTGCTGACGAGGTTGTTTAGGCGGCGACTGTTATGGCGGCAAGCACACAGACGCTACGATACCCAGGCTACATGAACAACGACCTTGTTGGCATCATCGCCTCCCTCATCCCTACACCCCGCTGTCACTTCCTCATGTCCTCCTACACGCCATTCACGAGCGACCAAATTGAGCAGGTAAGGCTGTCCTATCTTCACTGAAGTCAGAAACGATGCAAACGACCTCACTCCCGCAGGCTAAAGCCATCCGCCGCACCACCGTCCTCGACGTCATGCGCCGCCTCTTGCAACCCAAGAACCGGATGGTGTCGACCACACCGAGCAAGACGGCCTGCTACATTTCCATCCTCAACATCATCCAGGGCGATGTCGATCCGACGGACGTGAGTATCTAATCCCCAATTTACTCTCCTCAGCCATGTCGCTCTATCCTTTCCTCCCATCCTCTGTTCCTTTGCGTTCCCGTCTATCTCTACCGAGGTCCTATTACAAACCTGAACATGCTCACTAACCCCACCCCCAGGTCCACCAATCCCTCCTCCGCATCCGCGAGCGGCAGCTCGCCAACTTCATCCCTTGGGGCCCCGCCTCCATCCAGGTCGCGCTCTCGCGCCGCTCGCCCTACGTGCAGACGAACCACCGCGTGAGCGGGCTGATGCTGGCGAATCACACGAGTATTGCGTCGGTGAGTGCTGACTGATTTTGTGGTCTCCTGCCTTTGCCTTCAGCTTCGAGATTGTCGATTGCGCTTCGCTCTGCTTCACGGCCTTTTGCGTTTTGTCGATGCGATGGGGATTTGGCGCCTGACCACCCCTACCCAGCTTTTCAAGCGCATGCTCGACCAGTTCGACCGCCTGCGGAAGAAGAACGCGTTCATGGAGCAGTATAAGAAGGAGAAGATGTTCGAGAACGGGCTGGAGGAGTTTGATGATGCGAGGTACGCTTGAAGCTTGCGCGTTGTCCCTTATTCAGCTTCACGGTCTCCCTTCGCTTGGTTTTCCATCTCGGCAATCGACGGCTAACCATCTTATCGTAAGGGCCACCTGCGACGAGCTTCTCAAGGAGTACAAGGCTTGCGAAAGCCCCGACTACATCTCCTATGTGAGTGCCCCCCTCCTCTGGTACGAACGCTCGATTCTGACGCGAGGTCGAAGGGAAGCACCGAGGGTGACCAAGGGCCATGAAGGAGAGGGTAGACCTTGGTGTATATGACCATAACCTGGTCCCGTACGACGATTGACGTCTTCTTACTGTAGCTTACTGGCCTTGCGCTTGTGTATCATGTTGCTTTGATCTTGCTTTGTGCGTGTATCGCCCATCTGCCTGCACCCATGTCTCGTGAGGACGAGGTCATCAAGTTTCGAGCTCAAGAGCTGAATATACTCGGGCGCCTCGGGCGGCGATGACGGAAAATGCAATGGATCGCAAAACATCGACGTGGTCTATCGCAAAATTACAGTCAAAGAAATGACAGGGTGGGGTTGTAGTACATTGGATCGCGGAGCGGCATGGGACATCTAGTCGGACGCCCGGTCTTACTCGCACACCGCAGAGGAGCACTACGACGACTCGCTAGTGACTACGCTGCGATAGCGGGCTGGTGTGCCGCAAGCTGACGACGGGCAATCAGCTTACGACTTCTTTGGGCCGCCGAGCTTGGCTCCAATGTCCGATCCTGTAGAAACAAAGTCAGTATGCGTCATGGCGAGTCGGTCAACGGATGAGGGTTTGAGCAAGGACGCGAAGGGGAACCAGAAACGCACCCCTCAGCTTGACACCTAGCGCACGCTCAAGCTTGCCCAGAATCTGCGGGTTCGGCACCGCACGCCCAGACTCGTAGTCCTGGATCACAGAAGGCTTCTCGTTAACCTTCTGCGCGATGTCCTTCTGCGAGAGCTTCAAATCTTGGCGGGCAGTTTGCATGGCCTGCGAAAAGAGATGGGTACGTCAGCAAACGATATTCTGGAGTGATTATGGCGAAATAAAAACGCACGCGACCGACACTCGGCGCGACCTTGGGCGGTGGTGCGACCTCGTTTTCGCGGTCGAGCTTGGCGATGCGCTGGTGGTCAGTGCCTGTGGTCATCGTGAGCTGTCGCTCGTGTGCGCTGGCTCTGGCACTCACCAACATGCGCCTTGTTGCTTCCGGCAGTGATCTTCTTGTCCGTGCCCACAACGGCACCCGACCGCCTTGCCTAAACCTCCAGTTAGTCCTTCCCTCTTCATCAGGACGTCCCCACAGGTACTCACAGCTACAAATCTCATCAGCCTTCCCATTTTTACACTCGACAAACAAACGCACCGTTCAAGTCCGAGTCCTTCTTCGTGACCTTGGCGGTCTGGCGCTTGTAGCCGATGACGGTCGTGGCGTTCCAGTCGTCGCTCATGATGGGTAGAGTTAGCGGGTCGGTGGTAGATGGTTGACAGAAAACGCGATGGTGGGGAGGCGGTCGGGTGGTGGTGGTAAGCAGCAAGATGCGGTGCGTGCGGGAGGCGAGCGCTGACGTTTCCTGATCACCATGAGTCAGTGATTTCGGCCCGGAGTGCCGCAAATGGTCAAGCAGGGACCTACATGTTCGACTTTGTACGCTACCACTTCTTGTGCATCCCTCATTCAGTCTGCTAAGGCACAAGAAGCTAGCAGACGGGCTGTAATTCATATTTCCTCTTCTCAAGAGCCTGGATAGAGGTTGAATTGGCTCGAGAAGCAAGGGCTAAGGGCCGTCCCCTCGGTCACCCTGCATCGCATGCCACATCCGCCGTCATCTTGATTGCAGGGAACTCCAGTCTACGTAGGCGTGCTGCTTCGAATACTCTAATACCAAAGGCAACCGTGACAGTTACCTAAGTGGATCCATGGCCATAATAGGGCTCAGCGAGCTCACTAACCACGCATTTCGTTTCGCTGCATTGCATATTGCCGCTCTCTCCATTATGATGCGCCGTACAATTCACCATCCCTTCCTTTCTGAAAGGGCCTTCCTCCAATCTCAGGTACTGCATCCTACTCGTTTTCACCCTACCCAGTCGTCGCTCGCCCCGCCATTCGTTAGCAGCGCATCGGCGGCAGGTTCGAACCCATCAAGCGAGCTCCTTCTCGGCCTCTGCCGATGCTCATGGGTGTTTGTTTCCCTCATCCTGCGTGAAGCGGACCAGGGGTTGCACAAAGCCCCATGCAATAAACAATGAAGGGGGCCGTGATATGTCTCTCGAATGAGATCTAAAATACCGTATAGTCAGGCTTCAGCTCCAGCGGCTCTGAGCTACTTTGAACGAAGCCCCACGCGGTGTCTTTCTCGTGACTGTACTTGAACCCCGGCGCTGCAACTCTGCGCGGTCATAGAAGACGTCTAAGTCTATCCTATACGCGTCTATTCGTTGTCTCGTCAACGAAGAGTCCGCAGAGCTCGCGTGAACGGTCGTCACAACATCATTGATTCTCGAGGCGGTCCGACTGACCGGACAAAGGAATTTCAGTTTTCGGCGGACCGTGTCGAGGACGGCAGTCCTCGAGCACATCCGAGGACGGATGGTTTCAGATGCATGCAAAGCTCCGAGGGCGCAGCTCCGACTTGTGGCGAACGTTGCGCTCGAAGGAGTTTGTCGTTTCTTCCGGTTCAAGTTGGGCAATGTTGGACTGCTTTTGACGAGATCAGAGCCGAAATAGAGGGCCACTTTTATCGAACCAAAGGAGTGGAACGTCGTCAGGCAGTTGAACGAGGCCCGGGCCTGGACCTGGAGGGTCAGTTATAGGACAGGCCTGACGACGGCCCTATCAACGCCGCAGCTTCTCCACCATCCGCATCAGCTTATACGTCCGACCGCCCGACGGCGACAGCGCTCCCTCGCCCCTTCGTTTCTACCACCACCTCTCTTTTTGTTCTTCTCCCTTCTTTTTTGGTGGAGCCCCCTTCGCTTGAGCGAAGAAGTAGGCCGCCGTTTTCAACACCTTTCATCGCCTGGTGCACTCGGCCGTTTTCTTCTCTTCGAACTCTTCTCGGTCTCTCTGTGAGAGCAGCCCCGCCCGTTTGTTCCCGCTCGACTTGCAGTATTTCTCGAATCGCAAACCTCTAAACTTGTGAGTACCAGGGAGTCCGAAGGAGAGGGGACCAGGCGCTCATCCGTCGCGTCAGTCATCATGGTGTCCAAGAAGCTTATGGGTGTCTGGGCGTTCCTCGACGTTGCCCTCCTCGCTGGTGGCGCGTTCGCGCTTGCCATGTCCCTGATCTGGCGCGCCCCGGATATGCTCAGGCATCTGGTCCTGAGCGACTCTTACCTGAATGGTGCGTGGCCTACACTTGCGAGAAGAAAACAGTTCTGACAAGAGGGAATGCAGCTGGCCTCGCTGTCGGAATCTCGATGATCATCACGTTCTTTATATCCATCGGCGGCATAGTGCAGAAGAACCACGTCACGATCGGGCTGGTCATCCTCAACTACTGCCTGGTCGCTGAAGCTATCATCGTCCTTGTGATCGGTACCTTCCTCTGGTACTTCAGCTTGCAAGAGCGCGCCAACTTCCACGAGATTTGGGCCGCGCAGACGTCGGATACGCGCATCAAGCTGCAAGACACGGTGCGTGGTGGCGCATTTTCCCCCCCTTCCATTCCCTGATGTCCCTCCCAGCTGAACTGCTGTGGCTACTTCAACGGAACGGACCTCGCAGAGATCGGCGGAAGCCACTGTGCAAGCCAGTCCTTCGTCGACGGCTTGAACGTGACCGATGAGAGCAACTTCTGCGTCTCGAAGATGACCTCGTACGGCGACAACATCCTCCTGAACGTCTTCACGTACGTAGACGCAGTCAAATTTCCCCTCCCATGTGCTGACATGCACTACAGAACGATTTACGGCTTCATGGCTATCGTCTTGTGCCTGCTTCTGGCCACCATCTGTGTCATCAAGAAGGTAGATACTCTGATTCCCTTTCATCGCTTCTGTTGCTCAACCCTGTTTCTAGCGAGATGAAGACGAACGCTTCAAGAAGATTGACGCGAAGCGCGGAGGCAAGGGCTTCGTTTAAACAAGCTACGATACCCGCCACGACCCCGTCGAAGCCTGCCGCCCCGTCCTTGTCAGCATTCTTGTACTTTTACGGACCATTTGCTTGTTGTCCACTCATACCTGGGACTCTTCGTCACCATCACCGCCGTCTAGGACTCTTTTGGCAACGTCTTTCAGCACCCCGTTACCGTCTAGATGCGCTTCTTCGCCTTCGTCACCCTGTGGATATCGGTTTGCCATTGATCTTATACTGTACTTTCGAACGTCGAACGCTTGTGTATAATACCAGCGTGTCCACTCTTTTTACATTTACACAACACTTACTTACCGGGCTGGTTCTGTGTACCGCGCTAACCTCCGTACACACATCCAGAAGAATAGGAGAGGCAGTAGGGAGCTCAATAAAAGACTGGATGGTTGGGCCACAGAGGGACGGTGTGAGCGCTTGATTCAAAGCGTGATATGGTCCACTAGAGAGGCCCCGGCTCCGCCGGCTGCATACCTTGCTTGCATCACGCACGTGAGTCTGAATCCTGCTATCGTCGAGAGAGCTCGTCGTCGGGAGGCAAATAGGACTTGTGGACGACGGTGTCTGCGCATTGACTGATGTTGTCTTCGGAACGTGCTACGCACATGGTGTCATTTTTGATGGGGTCAATATGATAGGTGAAAGACCTTGCAAGCAAGGTGATTTACCCTCGTGCGAGGGTCGCCGACGGAAACGGCAGGCCTTCACGACCATTTTGAGGACAATGATCGCCGAGAATGGAAATCCAATTGTCTCTTGCTTCCGCCGATCACCCTCTCCCGACGGGCTTGATGACATGCCCAAGGCGCGCAAGAAGAAGGCGCCCATAACAGGCCCGGGCCCCTCTGAAGTGGCGTCCGGAAAGCCCGAGACGACGCGCACCGTTATCAGGCGCTTTCATGTTCTCCTGAAGCGGCAGACGCAGCTCGAGCAAGCTAGCACCATGGACGCAGCCACGACGCAGGAGCTGGCGAAGATTGCTGCTGAGATAGAGGCGCTTGGCGGGCTGGAGAAGTATCAGGAGATGTCTGCTATTGGACAGAGCAGTGATCGGGGTGGGGGAAGTGAGAAAGTGCTCATTGGGTGGCTGAAAGAGCTGCAAGTCAAGCCGGCGGAGGGCACTGCCAAACTTAGGTGCGTCCCGCCCCCTCAACCCTATTATGATGGATTGAAAGAAGCGAACGCATGCAGGCTGCTGGAAGTAGGTGCCCTGAAGCCCGACAACTATAAGTCATGCCAGTCGTATATCGACGCGACACCGATCGACCTTCACTCCCGCCACCCATCTATACAGGAGCAAGACTTTCTGAAGATGAACGAAGATGAACATAGGTCATCTTGGGATATCATCAGCTTAAGCCTCGTCGTGAACTTCGTACCGGACGCCAAGGACAGAGGTGGGTCTGTCTCGTTTTTGCTTCTCCCCTTTCCTCACGCACCGATGCAGGTCGTATGCTGCGCCTTGCCCATGCCATGCTGAGACCTGATGGGCTTCTCTTCCTTGCAGTAAGCTCCCATCATGATCCTCCAGCCCCCGTCCTAACGTGGTCCATCGCAGCTTCCCCTCCCTTGCATCCTAAACTCGCGCTACGTGACCCCGGAGTACATTCAGAGCTTCATGGAGGTCATTGGCTTTACTCAAGCACGCTCTCGCTGGCGCGAAGGGGGCAAGATGGCGTACTGGCTTTACCGGAAGCAAGACGGCAAGCCCGCCGCATCGACAGACTTCGACTTCCAGCGCAAGGTCGTCTTACGGACAGGTCACAGGAACAACTTCTGTATATTCTTGTAACATGTGCGCTTTTGTGCATTTTCCGTGTAAGCACATTTGCAGAGCTACATCAGGGCTCAATGCACGTGCCGATGTATTTATTTATGCCCTGTATTCTTGCTTTCCTGTCTGTTGCACTTCACACCTGTCAATCTCATCTTCGTTGGTGTGATATACAGGGTTGCCCCACTGTGAGTAGGCAAGAAGGTTAGTCTCTTGTTCTCGAATGGGAAAGCCCGAATTCGAACATGCGATACGATCACGTGCATTCAAAATACCTCCGCGGCCCCGCCGCGCGGCGGCTGTCCAGGCCTGTCTTCCGCAACCGCAAAGGTTTACCTCTTCCCTCGTCACCCCCTTCATTCATCTGCGTTTTCCTCTTCACAATGACTACCACTCTCCCCCTCCTCCACTTCAACGATGTGTATCGCGTCAACCCACAGAAGCTTGCGCCGGGCTCGAGTGATACCATCGACGTGACCCAGTTCGCCGCGATGTTGGACGATCTGCGGCAGGGATGGGACGCCAGACCTGACGGCGCTCGAGAGGGGCTTGTGCTTTTCTCTGGGGATGTGTTTGCGCCGTCTGTGGAGAGCTCTGTGACGAGAGGGAGCCATATGGTTAGTCGATGTGGCAAGCTTACCGACCACTCAGTGGTGGACCTGCGTACCGACGCTTCCTAGGTTCCCGTCATGAACGAGATCGCGCCTGACGTGTCTTTGACCGGTTAGCGACTGTCTGGCATGCTTGATGCTTCTTCTGACAACCCATAGGGAACCATGACTTTGATTTCGGTAAGTACGAACCTCCGTAGCGCATCGCACGAAAGACTATATTTACTCCTTCCAGGGTATCCACACCTTTCCAAGCTCATCGCAGGCACCAAATTTGTAAGTTTCTCTCAACTTTCGCTTTCTTGAGCAGACGTCTTACGAGCCTCCTCATAGCCGTGGGTCTTAAGCAATATCATCGACAGAAATACGGGTACAGTGCCGGACGTCTTGAAAGAGTTTTATGTGCTCGAACGATGCGGTCTTCGCATTGGTGTCATTGGGCTCGTCGAAAAGTAGGGGAATCCTTTTTCAGGCGGTCAAACACTTACCTGTTCGCCTGGAAGGGAGTGGATCGGCACTGTCGCCACTTGGCCAGCGAATTTCGAGCATAGGGATATGGCAGAAACAGGACTTGACCTTTCCCGCCGTCTCCGTGATCCGCAAGGAGAGCATCGATGCGACATCGTGCTTGCGTTGACTCATTCTCGGTACGTCCACTTTTCTTACCGGCTAGTATTTTGCCGCTGACCTCCTAGTTCATAGGATACCCAACGTAAATTCCATGTATTATTATCCAGCGGCTTCCCTCCTGACGGATTATACAGGATATCGCCCTCGCGAAAGCCCTATTCGCTCTGTCGCCTTCTGAGCAGGAGAAAAATCCTATCGCAGACCAACACGGCGTCGACCTCCTCCTTGGCGGTCATGACCATCTTTACTACATCAGCAAAGGCGTCAATGCGTGGGAGAACCACGAAGTCAACCAGGACGTCCTTGGTGCTGAGAGCGACAACGGCGACGTTCTGGTCGTGAAGAGCGGGACTGACTTCCGGGACCTCAGTGAGGTACTTTTAGAGCTATCGGATACGCCGGAGGGGAGCGTAAGGAGAAAGGTGATTAGCAAACTCACTGGTAAGCGGCATCCTGAGAGTCACCTTGACAAGGTCGCTGACCATGGACTTAGGAAAGCACCACGAGACGAAGCCAGGATCTCCAGGCTCGCAAGGATTGAAGGAGGTACTGAAGACGGTCTTGTCATCGATCACGGATACCTTGAAAGCGCCGCTATGCAAGACCACCACGGTCCTGGATTGCCGTTCGCAGCTCGTTCGCGTGGAGGAGGTAGATCACTTACTCTCTCTGCGTTCGGTAACATGGGCTCAGTATCCTAGTCTGCAGCTGGCAACTGGTTTGCTGACGTCGTCAGACACGCCTACGATGACAGCCTCTGCGTCAAGGGTAGTGGTGGAGCGGATCTGGTCCTCCTTTGCGGTGGAACGCTGCGCGGTGACTCGCAGTACGGTCCAGGTTCGCAACTCGCTTCAATTTACATTTGTTCTCTGCTGAATGACTGTAGGCGTAATTACCCTCGGCGATATCCTGGAGATCTTGCCGTTCGAGGACCCTATCATCGTGCTTGAGCTGGATGGCGAAGCAATCTGGGATGCGCTTGAAACTGGTTTCTCGACCTGGCCTGCTCAGGAGGGGTAAGTTGACTCGACCACTCGCACCATAGGCCGTCTAACATGAACACGATAGACGCTTCCCCATCGTTTCCGGCATCCGGGTATCCTGGGACTCGCGCCGTGAGCCGGGAAATCGAGTGTTGGGGATCTGGCTGCAGAATGAGATCGAGGATAGCAATGATGGCGGTTCAAATAGTGGTCGGTCTACACCTAGACTGGCGGACGGCGAGCCTATCAAGCGCGAGAAAGGCGGACGACTGTACAAGGTAATAGAGCCTGAGCGATTGAGCGAATTGAGCTCTCAACGAACGTCCTGACAGGTCGTGAGCCGTGAATACATGGCGCAAGGATATGACGGCTTCACATCGCTGCCCGGACATAGATACCTCATCGACGACGAGGAAGGCCAGCTCATGAGCACCATCGTGCGCAAGTACCTCCTCGGTAAGCCGCTCCTCTCTCTCACCTGGTCTCTCAAAACCTCACACCATCTCCAGGCTCCCAATTCGTCAACAAGATGTCCCACATCATTCACCGCCGCCCCTCCACCGACGGCATTATGCATCAGGCCACCCTCCATGCCATCGCACGCGAGCGGCACCACCGCGAGCGCCGCCAGCGCGACGCGCGCCCCGAGAACAAAGCCATCACGCAGTGGAAGCACGCGATGGACCTCGCGCTGAAGCACCGGCGCCCGAAGGCGCACTACCGGGAGCAGTTTAGCGTGAGCCAGACGGAGCATATGAGTGAGGTAGATGTGTACGATGGGAAGAGCGCGCGGGCGGGGAAGGGGGTGGAGGTGCCGAAGACGAAGGAGGTGGATCCGGATTTGCTGGTCATCTCGCCGGTGGTGGATGGGAGGATGAAGGACGAGGGGAGGAGCTAAACGCGTCTCAGCGCTATCGCGAGTCTTCTTTACCCACTGGACTTTTGGAACGGGCAAAATGATGCAAATGGATCGTTGGATTGGGATACCGAGTCGCGGGAAACTAGAGGCTATTCTACATGAAGTTCGTGAGTTCCAGAGCGTTGAGAGTCATGTACAGTCGTGGTAATGCAGTGATATATACGTGAGGGTCATTAATGCGCGATTAAGTATGGTGAGTTGGATGGGAAGGGGGGAGACGTTGGATGGAGTTACGCCACTGTAGGCGAATAAGAATAGCTACACGGGAATTGCACGATGTCGCGGTGGTGATTGCTATAAACAAAGGCGGCGATGATGAGCAGTGGGAACGAGAGACGAAAGCAAGAGGCAAAGCGCATGCAGAGGTGGACCTGAACGTCCGGGGTTCGGTTGGCGAAAGTCGCGTTAGTCGACATACGTCGGTTGCACGAAGAACTGCGCCTTCGGCTTGTACTTCTTCCCATTCTCCATCACCGCCTCCTGCCGCATGCGCACACTCCGGTGCACCTTGATCCCCTGAGCCTTCTGCTTCGGGATCGTCCGCCCTCGGGCGAGGTTGCACGTGTGCTTGTGCGTCCACTCCCCTTGCTCGTTCTGCTTGCGGATCTTGATCGGCAGCAGCTCGAGGAGGTACCACGCCTTGCAGATGCGCAGCTGGTCGTACTTGGGGGACAGCGCGTCCTTGAGCTCTTCCTCCTCCTCGTTGCCGTAGAGGAGCTCGCCATCGGGGCCGTGAAAGTCGTGGAGACCTTCCTGCCTGACGGGCTGCTTGTCGGCTTGGGCGACGTTGACGGGCGCGGGCTTCTTCGGGGAGAGGGAGTGCATGACGACTTTCCCTGCGCTCTTGAATTTGGCAAACATGCTGGGAGACTTAGGCATGCTCTCGATCTTGCGGTCACCGACAGAGCGTGCCGGAGGGCGCGGAGCGACAATGGGATAGAGGTCGGATGGATCGAGACCGATCTCCTTCAGACGCGCAGCCTCGAAGATGATACCGCTGTCCGTCTTGAAGCACTCGCGCACCATCCAGCGCAGCGAGATGCGCGCCAACGAATGCGGCACATTGTTCTTGACCGAGCCGCCGCCGACATCGCAGTGGCACCCAGCGAACCACACCTCCTGCACGTCCGTCGGTTGGTTCGAGCGCTCGCTGTACAGCCGCTCCATCGCGCTCAGCGCCGCTGCCGAGTCCTCGCTCGTCCGCTTCTTGCTCGTGGTCCTCCGACTATTGCTTAGCTTGAGGCCGCCCCTTCCAATCCCCAGCTTCTCCTTCGCCGTATCCTTCACTTCCTCCTCCCAGATCGTCAGATCCCCCGCAGGCATGCTGCGCGTCGTGCGGAAGCGGTTGGGGTCCTTCGCAGCCGTGCCCTTTAGCGTGGCCTTGCTGGGCTTCGCGCGCAGATCGCCGAGACTCTTGGACTTGTTCTCAGGCGTAGCGATATGGGACTCCTTCTTGGTTGGTTGATTCCAGACGTTAGGGAGGAACTTGGCGCGACGCTCATCGAGCGCGAGGGCGTGCCGGAAGGTGTGTACGATGGTATTGGACGTCGTGAAGGGCAGACGCTTGGGGACGATACCGACGGAGTCTACGGTGTCCCTGCAGCCCGGTAAGCAGTGCAATGGCAAGGGGAATGTGGAGACCTACCATACGCCCACGAATTGGATAGACACGTCGCGCGAGAAGGCCTTCTTGAAGGCGTTCGACTGCTTCCATCCGATCTCGTCGGCGCGCGTATACATCTTGTATGCAAATGGAACCTGCTGCCAATTGTCGGCAGGCAGCAGCCCAACTTTGTGGATCATGCCGGCCAGGCTGCGCATATCAGTAATAGTAAATGTCCTGCCAGATGCAGTACTCACCTCCTAGCCGTGTACGCGCCGCGGGAGAAACCAAAGAGGCATATCGAGTCACCCACGGTATCTGCGCTTCGGTGTGAGGAGAAGCAGTGGGGATATTAACAGGGCACATACAGTTCTGCATGAGGAACTCATAGGCATCTATCAAATGAATCAGTCTGACTGCCAGCACAGCAATACGCTACTACTCACGCATCACATGAGTATCGAGGTTCCATGCTGATAGACAACGATTAGCTTGACAAGACGAAGGGAAGTAGGATCGGGGAGCTAACCTATGGCTGCATCAAGCGCCTTCATAACGAAGTCAGAATAGGTGAAGTGCGCCAGGAATACGACAGACGCACCCTCATCACTTTGGCCGTGAGCGGCGTCATGATTTGCGGCGACGTGTACGTTCCAATGCCCGACTGCAGGCCGTCAGCATCGCATACAGGCTGCAAGAATATGTGGCGCGCACCTGGTAGTACACCATCTGCTTCTCCTTGTCGTCCTTCTTGAGCATCGAGAAGAACCGGACGATATTTGAGTTGTCCGCGTCAAACTGGTCGCCGGTACCATCGAGACAGACGACGAGCGTGCGGCGGGGGTGGTCGGGGGGAATGTATGTGGGCAGCCAGCGCGGGTCGACGGTTTGCTCCCGCGTCGGCACGGGCCGTATGTTGTCGATCGGGCTGGGGGAGTCGCGGTCACGGTCCTCATCCTCCTCGTCCAGAATGCGCTTGCTGTCCGAGCTCGACCGCTGGAAGCTCTCCGAGTCGCGATTCGTCGTCGATGCGTTCGTGGTCGACGCGGCGGACACCCGCCGCTTGTGATCTGAGTCCACCATCGTGGGCGTCAAGCTCACGAAGGTCTCGTCCTGCGCATGGGGCATCTGAGCGCGCGATTGTGGCGAAGATCCGGGCTCAGCTCTGAGATTCGCTAGTGCGCCCGAGGCGGGCGATTGGGGTATAGGCTCGAGAATCGCGGGTGGTCGCAGAAAGATCCAGGGCGCCCGGACTTATATATCCAGTACGCGTCGGAACGTAAAGCTTGGCTTCGGAACGGGCTTCGACATCACTGATGTCCGTCCCCCGCACCACAGCAATTGTATCGACTTTGCCGGCCCCGGGTGCTTCGCATTTTTCCACAAGCGCCTTGGGTGCACTCACGGCCGTCTAGGGATGCGTAAGGCACGAGTCATATGCACATTTAGGCGGTGTTGGAGGCGTTTGGTACAGGATGGGTGGCTCACGTCGTCAGCGGTCAGAACAAGCAGTGTCACGAGTTGTCAATTTACGGGTGGAATTGCCTGTTTGGGTACACAAAGGCATGGTGGCCCACAGTACAAAGGAAGCGCTGAGTGATACTTACTGGCTTCGACGTGTACTTGGTACGTATCGACGAGGGTACGAAGTCCGTTGCAGCCTCCCAGGCGTGTGGGAGTACAAGGGGGCTGCATGTGTCGCCGCGGGCAAACAGTCCTTCGAGGCGAGTCCGCGACAATAACGGGCATGGAAGTTCGTGCAGAAAATTCACTCTGACAGCGGAGGAGCAACTATTGGGGCCGGACGGTCGCCCACGGCATACTTCCCGTAGTGCGTTAACATTCCGAGGCCCGTGCCGATCCCACCGCCTCCCAATATTACTTTCTCAGGCGTCAGCGTTGCAGTTCCTTGTCAAACAGCTCGGTGACTCACGATTCACGACGCTCGCGCGCTTGAGGAAGATGGCTGTTGTCAACACGCCTCCAAGTACGCCACCGATGACTGCATGGTCCTCGAGCCGTAGACGGTTTGCCTGAGCAGTATGGGATGAGAGGGTGAAGGAGAGCGACATTGACAGGGCCGCGTACATCGTACATGATTTGCATCCGCCGTTTTTGGACGGCCTCTACAGTAGAGTTTGAATGCCTGGCATACGACAGTGCGCCACCACCAGCCGCTCCTATGAGGCTGTTAGCTATTATACTGTATGCAAGTAGAGGATAGTGATCACCTAGAGCCCCTCCAATCCACGTCGCACGCAGTAACCTGTTAACGTGCAACCCCGACCTCCCGCGCTTCGCAAGAACGTAGGCCGTGTAGGCCACAGGTGTCAAGAGGGAGGCGACCTCATAGCCCGTGGTCATCCCCTTCCTCACGAGGAATTGGATGTCCGCGACGGAAGAGAGTTCGATGGTTGGAGCCTCTGCCATGTCTTCCGTGTCCTCCGGGGCGTTGCAGGTTCTGTCCAAGTCGCAGACCGTCGGCGGCGCGGAGCGCGTCGTCGGTCGAGGCGATCGACATGACGTGCGTCGGTCGCTCGCGTGACCGGCACTTGCCGCAGCCCGGCGTCTTCACCGGCTTCCTTTTTCGCACATTTCGTAATCCTTTCTCTCGACCACGACGACCTCCCATCATGGCTACGGCGGCGATGGACAGCTTCGACGCGCCCATGGGCGACTTCGGCTCCGACAACGATATTCAGATGAACATCTCCGAGCCGTGGCTCGCGAACGACATGGCTATGGACGCGGACGAGGACGGCAGTATGAGCCAGGAAATCGAGATGTCCGACCATGTCGATCGTGAGGACCCGACGGAGTTCGAGATGCTCGATGGGGAGGGGAGGACGGAGGATGTGGAGCCGCGGGATGTCGAGTTCGAGGACGCGTCACATTCGATGGCAGCAGAGCCCTTCGCGCCGCAGCCCACAGAACTCGAAATGACAGCAGCATTTTCGCAACCTTCGCGGGCTGACGGGTCGCAGCCATTGTTCTCAACGGGAATCGAGACTTATATGCACCCCACCGTCCCTTCTCTGCTCCAAGAGGAGCATGCGCAGTCAAGCAGTGAAGCTGTAGCCCCTGCTCCCACCGAGTTCCAGCATCACCCAGACGTCTCCGACGAGAACGCCGAGCACCCAGCATCTGACTCGACTCAGCTTGCAGAGCGTTTCGCTAGCACCGATGGCGCCGAGCCTGCTCAGTCAGGCGTCCCACGTTTTGAGGAGTCTGCGCACTTCCAGCAGCATGATCCGTCCGCCATCGATGGCAGCACGAACCCTACCTCGACTGAGGGCACTAGCCAGCTGCATGAGCATGCGTCACAGCCTACCGACATTCACAACACCCCGTCGCAAGAGGACGTCGGTGAAGCTGGATTGGTCACCGATGCCTCCGAAAATGCGCTTGCCGATGGCGACTACCGCCCTACTGTACTTCTGTCCACCCCCGACCCCGACTGCCCCGAGGTTTACCTCTTCAACCCTCCGCCGGATGTAACGGACGTGCGCGTACTTCTTGGCACACGACCACCAACATGCTACTATGCGCCACTCAGCGACCTCTTCGTGGCGCTTCGCCAGCAAGAATTCGTGAAGAAACTGCCTGATATCGATATCGCGGAACTCACCGTGGAAGCGTATGATATCCGTCTGGTCATTTCGGAGGTGCGGCTACTTACTTTAGCCGCTGAGAGGTCACTGACGTACCTCTGCAGACCAACCCGGCCACCTCGTCTTGTAGCCTTCACGATTTTGACATGATTCACAGCAACGAAGGGCTCTCAGGATATTTACGCCTTCGACTGACGGCCCCGGTGCCTTTCATTGAGCGCTTCTCGCGGTTGAAGGCGAAGTTCGAGGCGAGTTTGGATCAGATGGACGGGAACGGTGAGCAGGTGGAAGAAAACTACAACGGTACGCATATATGCGCACATCATACGTGCTTCTGAACTGACGTCGTTGCAGAACAATCGCATGTGGAAGAACAAGCCGAGTACGAGCAAGAACAAGAAGCTGAACAGCAAGAGCAAGTGTTCCCTGACGTTGGCGCTCCCCAGAACGGGGATGCACCCGACACATCAGCACCCTTCGAGGATCCCTCCGCACCCACTGAGGTGCCTCAGACGACTGTTTCCGACCGTCTTGACGCCGATGAAGTCCATGAGGCCGCTGGCGAGACCCTCGTCTCTGCGGACCAGGACAATGCGGCTGCGCCAGACGTGTACGCCACGACCACCGAGTCCACCGATCAGGCGACCGAATATGCCGAGCACGCCGACCCCTACGAGGAAGGCGATGAGGGTGTTGAGCAGCAGTCGTACGACGAGTATGTCGAGCAAGCGGAAGGTGGACAGGAGGCTGTCGTGGACTTCAACGAACAGCAGCCAGGACAAGAGTATGCCGAGGAGCAACAAGAGGAGTACAATGAGGACGGCTACAAAGAAGGCACGTATGACGGGAAGGTTGACGAAAAGTTCTACGGCGACGAACATGTAGCCCAAGGGGCGTCTGATGTCGCTGGTGAGGGCGAGCATCCAGCAGGTAATGGTGAGTTGGTGTATGCGGCCCGCTCGAGATCTATGCTGACTGGGGTTCTAGATGAGCACGAGCGTACTGGACACGAAGAAGCGTCTGCGACTGATGATGCGCCTGGTGCTGTCGCCGAGGGTACGTGTATCGGCGCCCCGCATGTGTCGGTTTGGTCTAACAAACCTTTTGCAGAATATGATGGAGATTCCCGACCTACAGACCCCAACGCGGACCCGGGGCAGCTGCCGCCTTTGCCCGAGGATGACGGTGGTCAGTCCCATCCTCAGCTATACCGTCTGCCTGATGCTGACGATCACCCAGACGAAGATGACTCTGAGCTAACTACCGAGGGCACTACCTATCAAGACCCAATCGTTGTTCCTGAGCCCGAGGCGCAAGCGGAGGGCGAGGGCGAGGAAGACGCTGAGGAAGAGTACTACGAGGAGGGTGTAGAGGAGTACTATGAGGAGGGCGAGTACGAGGAAGAGTATGAGGAAGGGGCGGAGGTTGGAGAGGAGGTCCTCGCTGGTGAAGGCGAGGGCGCGCCTGTCGTTGAGGCTGAGGCTGAAGGTGCACCTCAGCAGGCGGCCGAGGACGTTGCTCCAGACGTGGGTGGCGACACCGGCGAAGTCGTCCAGGATGGTGAAGCACATGACGAGGCCGATGGTGAAGCACATGGCGAGGCCGACGGTGAAGCCCATGTTGAGGCCTCCGGTGTTGCGCGCGGCCAGGCCAACGATGAGGGCGGCGAAGCGCACACCGTCATTGAGGACGAGCATGTCGCCACCGACGACGCTGAAGCTGAAGCCGAGGACGACGAGGCGGACGCTGAGGGCGAAGACGACGTTGACGAAGACGGCAACGACACGTACGGATTCGCACAGTACGAGCCCGACACGACGGCGGACACGACGCTGGACCTTCACGAGGTCGCGACAGACGCTGGCGATCAGCGCGAAACGGATGCTGGCGAGCAGCTTGAGGTCGCATCGAACATAAGCTCGACGACGCTGTCGAGCACGTCGCCCATGCCGCCGCCAAAGGCGTCGTTCGCGGAGGCTGCCGAGATGCAGTCCTTGGACACCGCTTTCTCGAAGTCGTCGGATGCGTCGTTCTCGCAGCCGTTGCAGAGCTCGCTGTCCCGCTCGGCGAAGACCCCGCTCGCGAAGTCGTCTTCGAAGCGTAGCTTGCGGGAGGTGGAGGAGGATGACGAGGAGGGGGCGTCGAGTGGCCAGGAGATGTCGCCAGGTAAGCCAGCCGTTGCGCGACAGAAGTCAGTGACAATGACTAATGTCCTCTTCAGGTACTAAGCGTGCGCGTGTGGAGGCATGAGCTGCTGCAACGCAGACGGCGGAGGAGCCGCGTGTCGTGTGGCGAAGGCCGTTGGAGCGTTGTCGATGCTGGTGGTCACCGCCAATGCTCGCGCCCCTCCACGGCCAGCCGCGAAGCTTTCTCTTCTGCACCTCCTGGCCTCTCTTGCCTACGACGTGCATAGCACGCCCGGGCTCAATCCAAAATACGCTCGAGGAGACCGACGCCTCGACGATCACTTCAGGCTCATATGGCAGGTATACCTTCCGCTTTCATACTAACCTTCGCAGGTCTATCATGCTTCGCTCTTCGTCTTTCATCGCGCTCTCGCTTGGGCTAACTTTTACAGCACTCCCGCTATGCTCGACGGTTGCTTGAGATTGTTGAGGAGTATGAAGTTCGGTACATTATTCCCTTGTTCGTGTTATAAGTCTTATGGTCTATGTACTTACTACTCGATGTCGTATGTCCCAATATGCATCTTGATCATCTTTCCGTCGTTGGGCATGTGCGTGTGGGGTTGAAGGTAGGTCTACTGCTCACTCACGCAGGCTGCAGCAGCAGGCAGACAGTATATGGGGATAACTTTGGGAGAAGGTTCGTACTTCCTATGTGATAGGTTCAGCTCGCTGGCTCAACTCTACAGCTTTCGATTACAGGTAGCAGCGTTGTGTTCGCACTCCCGCGGAATGCATCCCAAGTGTGCGATAGGCTATTCACAAGAGCTTGCGTGAGTTTAACCCGACCTTTCTCTGCAAGCATGCTATCTGCAAAATGTGGATGGGTCGCCAGTCTCCTTGCGTGCCGTGCGCGTGAATAGTCGCGACTAATGCGGGACCATGGTGCCGGCATCGGCGTCTGCTAAATGTGTCATGGGCAGCTTCTTCCTGTATACCGTGGGCAAGGTCGATAGCATTCTATTGCACTGTGTCCGTCCGTGGCTTCCCGCTCTGACTCACATACCATCGCCTCCCCCCCAATCGACTTTCTTGCGTTCACGCTCTCGCCTCCCGCCATCTACTGTCCTTCATGGCGTTCACCAGGCAGCCTGAGAACAACTCTCAATCGAGGAGCGCTGGTTGGTGGGCTCTCCCAGGCAGTCAACGTGCGGGTTATACAATCTGTTCACTCGATCGCAACGGCTGACAGCCCCCAGTGTTGAGCCGTCTGTCTGAGCGAGCGAGGGGGCCATCCCTGGATGCCGATCTCGAAGCAAACCTTGCTAGCTCGACTGAGCGGCTTCCCGATCAGCAGCACGCAGACGGCGATAATCAAGTCAGCTCTGGCCGATTTTCCTTATTCTCATTGGCGCAGCAGCGACAAGCACGCAACGTTCAATGGGCACAGCACACCGCCACTCTCAACTCAGAGCATACAGGGTCATCGCAACCTCGACGCAGCGCGGGTTCTGACCAAACCGCCGTCGAACTGCAAGTTCTTTCGACAAACGATAGCTCCTCCGAACAACCAGCTGCGGCGATAAATATTCCGGAGAACGGACCCCCATCCGGCAATCCCTGTGCAAAGGACTGTGGCCTGACACCATTGTCTCTCGGAATCCCCGAGCCAAAGTTCTACCCGGTCAACACTCCTCCACCAGCTCCTGGGTTTTTTGCCCTCTTTGCATTGCCTGGAACGCCCTCGGAAGCTGGCTCGTCGTTGGCAAGCCCTTGCCTGGAGGCGGGCATCCCTCCTGATCACCAGTTTCGGTGGTATCAACCGAACCCAGACACGTTCGGTAATCGCCACGGCAGCATCAGGGATATCCTGACCTACAAGCTGTGGCTATTCATGTACCATACGCTCTTATTTCGCATGCCCGTCTTCTACTATGCAAGGGTCTCTCGTGTGTTGGAAGATGCCGACATGAGCATGGCGGAGGTCTACAAGCTGGCGAGGACGACGACTGCGGAGTGGGCGGCGAAGGGCTTCGAAGAGCGGAAAGAGGCGTTGGAACGCCTGCGACGCATCTCTAATTGAACTGTGGTACCGCAGCACGCGTCAAACTGGGTTACTCCGGCCATGGAGCGCTTCAAGGAGTCTTGGGAGTCGTTCATTAACTCCCTACTGCGCGAATGGAAGACGCAGAATATAATATCTGCGCTACTCATGTCGTGCGTACTAGCAACCCCTCGCTCTGAATGAGCAGCTAAAACGATGATATAGGGGACTTATGTCCATGCTACAGGTTATTGGGTTCTTGGCGCGGCCATCGCTCTCCTCTGATAGCCATAAATCCTAGATCGACGCGGCTTCATCGGATGTCGTAACGTGAACGCTCTGCCTGCTCGCGCTCATCGCTGCCCTCATGTCTCTCCTCTATGGCTGCCTGTATATCATTCGGTTCGGCACCATGAAACGTATGCACAAGGCCGCTGCGTGGGCGGATGTAAGTTTCTTCTTGCCTTTCGTTAAAGATGTATAGTAATGCCCAACAGGAAGCCCAAAAAAGACGTGACTCTATCCTTTGGAATGTATGGGTTCTCCTGGCAATGCCTACGGTATGGCTCATTTGGTATGCATCCCGTGCATCCCTACATACCCTGCTGAACTATTGCATAGGTCCATCACCCTGTTCATTTCCAGCATCATGTCATATGTCTGGAGAACGAGCCACGTCGCGGGCGACTACGATTCGACCGATGCTGATCATTCCGGTCGAGCTGCGCGCATCGTGATTTCCTGCATGCTTGGTCTGGGTATCATCATCTACCTTTGCGTTGTCATCAAGACATTCGCACGCTATGGCGATCGGATGGACAGGGCCTACAAGCAACGGGTGCAGGCCATGGTGCAACAGATACTTCCCAACGGAACGACATACAGCGATTACGGGGTGATAACCACCAACAAACAAGTTACCGAAAAATCACCGCAGACCAGCACGGCCGCTTCTCGGGACCGCTCGCCAACACCGGAGATACTGACCCGCCCGCGGGAGGAGGAAAGGCAAGAGGAAAGGGCGCACTCCATGTCGCCGTCTCCACGACACGAGGGACATCGATTCTCGCGATCCGATACACCTCTCAGTGGGAGTCGACTATCTCGATTCCTGCGTGACGATGCAGAGGTATACTCATCGGATGAAGACGGTGAAGGCCGTTGGTCTGATTCTGCATCGATGGAGCCCGAATTCCTTTCGGGACCGACACTTATCACGGACGAGTTCTCGAACTCGTCTGCCTATCGTACTCCTATTTTCTTAGGAACTGACGCGAATGCGCCTGTAACTACAACTGGACATGGCGATACTCCAGGTGGGTCTTGGCACCTGCTGTATCTTGCCGTTCTCCTACTCATGACTTATGGCCGTAGGACCATTCGTCAATATGTTTCTGCCGTATACTTCGCCTTCGTCGTCTGCAGAGTCACCTTCGCCTCTGCATGACGTTGCGCAGCTCCATTGGCCCTTGAGTCGAACTGAAGGACGCTTGGGCGATCCTTTGGGATCGAGGGACTACGGAGGACACCTCGAAGAACCCTCCCATATGCTGATGGGCCATGAGCAGCTGCGGACATGGCACGCAGCACGGGCAGGCAGTGATAGCCTGCTTGCATCCACACCGCCGCCAACGTGGATACCACCCTCGATGCTTGAGCTCGATGGTGTTACCACCGGGCCGTCGGAGACCATTGCACGCTTCCGTCGCTCGACCGCCAGCCCGCCGCAAACCGCCGATCATGGGATTGCGGAAGGACTCGCCAGCTTTTCCGATGTCATCGACGAATCGCCTGCCGCCGACGAGGCGTCGTCTGCGGCAAACGCGGGTCGAGACGGGTCCCTCGACAATCCTGTACATGGATGGTCATTTGACAGCCCTCGACGGCACCCCTCATTCAACCGTTTTCGTCCGCTGCGCGTATCGATGTCCTTGGACGCTATTTGGCGACCAGAGGAAGCGGACATCACACCGATGAATGCGGGAGGTCAACAAACGTCGGAGCGCTTGCCGACGTTGGAGGAAGTGGAGGAGACTTTGCTGTCGCGTCGTCCAGCTTCGGACCCCCGGGTCGGTTTCCGACGTTCCAGGTCGATGGAGTGGTAGGGGCCGATGTGCAGCGTGGAGACCTGGGATTGGGGCAGCATATCGTATCTCCAAGATGGGGAGATACAGATTGGTGTGTTGGGTATGCCACACGTTGAGGAGGACGCCTGTTGTTCGTGATTCGACTCATGTAACAGTACCTAGAAGACTCGTTTTCTTGTGTCCCACTCAGATCACGCCAAAGGGTGCTCGGTGTTCAGGAACTTCCTCTTCGACCTCACGTATCGCATGTCGGAGAAGGTGCCGATCCTAACTCCCTAATTGCCAGGGAGGACGAGCGCAAGGACACATTGACCAGCTTTGCCTCAGAAATCATCTCAGCCGGCGGGGCGGTACGCTGAATGGGTTGATGACAAAAAAATTGCCGTTATGTGAGGCCGCTTGACAGAATGTGGCTGATTGGCGGAAAACTTCAGATAGCCTCTCAACCCAAGCCGAACACACTCTTCGCGCTCCTGATGGTCCTCGCGCACTTGTAAACCACCGATCGTACCCACATATAAAAACCACCTCTTTTACTCCCCCTCGCACGATATTTAGACATCATGCATATTGGATTCCGCCGTGTTGAGAGCATTATTAACAATAGGTAGGATAAGTACGGTATAAACAAAAGAAGCGAGAAGTCGTCAACGGTACGGTCAATTGGGGAGGAAAGGAAACATTGGTAAGTAAACAAGGACATGGTGAGGAAAGAAGCTTTGATCGGGGCGGGGGCAAAACGTTTGTAGGCGGAGGAGTTGGGCATGCTGAGGATGTCGGATGGATAGGGGCATGCGTAGGTGAGGACGGAGGGGAGGTAGGCGAAGCAGATAACTGTAACAGCACATGACAACAGGTGCGATTAGGATTAAAACAACATGCCGAAGATGAAGGGAATGGGCGAGAGAGAATCAAGCATGTGAGAGGAGGAAGAGGGCGTACACAGATTCACGGCTGACATTCGGGGCGAATTTCCCGGCCAGCCGTACGCAGGCGTCACGCTGTCACGTGATGCCCATGTGCACGCATCACACGACCGCGCGTAGTTGCGCGCGCCTACAGAATCGGCCAGCTCCCCTCCTCCTTCCACTTATCCACCACCTCCCGAATCCCCTCATGGTCGAAGCTGGGTTTCTTCAGCTTATACCCGACCACGTCCTTGATCTTCTGGTTGCTGAACGCGCAGACGTGCTTCTCGAGCTGGTACGCGTCCATGTAGGCGGAGAGGGGCGTGTTCGGGACGGGCGGGTTCGACTTTTGGACCATCTCGGTCCAGCCGCCGACGTGGTGCTCGTTGATGTCCTCGACGACGTCGGCCATCTGGGAGGGGGTGGTTAGTGGGGGTGGGAGTGGGTGGGAGGGTTGGTGGGTGAGGGTGGACAGGCGAGGGTGGACAGGCGAGGGTGGACAGGCGAGGGTAGGGGAGGTAAACGAGGAGAGGTAAAAAGGGGAGTGGGAGAGGCGACGCGCACCTTCAATATCGTGTTCTCGAAAAAGTTGAAAAACTCGAACGTCGTGCCGAAGAGCTCCGTCACCGTCGACCCCGCGCTCGCAAACGTGCTATTCGAGTCGTCGACCTGTGGCCATTGTTAGTGCCACTATCCCGTCCGCCCTCGACCCACTCCCCTCCCCCTCTTCGCCACCCAAAAACCCCCACACGCCGCACTCACCAGATTGAACAACGGCAGCTTAACCTTCTGCCCCGGCGGGATCATGCCCTCCACCTCCGCGACCTTCGCCTTGTCGTTGTGGAATGGGATGTCCTCGCCCGCCTTCTCGTCCGCCGCCTTTCTCCCCAGGGCCGCCATCCACTCGGCGCACGCCCACATCGCGCCGGCGACGTCGTCGGTGTGCACGGTGTTGTTGCCGTGCTTGCCGGGGCCCCATCTGAGGGGGGGTGGATGAGTAGGGTGGTGGGAGGGGAGGAGAGGGGTAAGGGGGGCAGGAGGGGGAGGACAAGGAGAGGAGGGAAGGAGCAATGGGGAAAGTGAGGTGAGTGGGGCAGGAAGGGAGGAGCGATGCTTACAATGACTTCATGGGCTTCTTGAGGTAGCCGTAGACGGAGGCGACGGTGATGAGGGTCGGGACTGGGATCGGGTGAGTGGAGTGGGGGAGGGGAGAGGAGGGCGGACGCACTGATTCCGAAATTGACATATGGGCCGTATGCGTGGCCGATGCGTAATGCGACGACGTTGAGGCTGAGGGCTGTTAGCAGGGTTGCAGCGAAATGATTGGCCACTCACTTCTCCATCGCGCCCAACATGCGCAGCGTCTCGTGCCACCACGTCCCGATGCTGTCCTCCGGCTTCACGTCGTCCTTCTCCGTCGCGGGCGTTTTCGACGAGGTCTCGTAGAACGGCAGCTGCAGCCGCACGTACGCCTTGACATTCCGTTTTGCGGCCTCGGTCGCGATGAGGCGGGCGACGTTGAAGGTCCACTGGATGTGGATCTGCGCGCGAGTTAATCAACGAAGCGGGGGAGGGGAGGGCGAGGGTGTTCCTGCCTTTTCGAGCCGATCTGGGCGAATCTCGCCGGTAAAGTCAAAGACGTAGTCGTAGCCGGCGACGCCCTCTGGCGGGTCGAACATGGATGCTATGGTGGCTGGTGGGGGGTGAGTGGGCGATCTGGAGGGAGGGGAGGGTGCGCACATGCGACGGTGACATTTGCCTGGTGGTAGTCGACCTCGGGCTTGTCGAGGATCTTGGGGAATTCGGCGCCAATGTAGCTGGGGTGAAGGGTGAGATGACAAGCGAGGAAGGGGGAGTGTGCGCACGTTGTTGGCGGCTTCACTGAGTACTTGTCGACGATGCGAACGTGCTGGGAGAGTGTGAGCTGGGTGGTGAATCCTTAGCTGCACCACGCACAGATACTAATGGCTCCCCCTCAAGCGGTACGAGGTGCGCGGCGAGTGCGCGCGAGTAGGTGTTGAGTCCACCTGCAGATGTCGGTGAGCAACTCCGGCATCGATCGATGCGGAGGGCGCACCAAAGATGATGGCGGTGGGCTTGGTTGACGACATGAGCGCTGCGTCGGATGACTGCGTCGGGCAGGGGGGCTGAAGGGGCTCTGGGGGACGCGGGCGTCGGTGAGCACCGAGCGCGTTGGGGACGAGGAGGAAATTGAGAAATGGTTCCGCCGTTGCCTCCTCCCTTACATAAGCGCCAGCGCTACGCCGGATTCGGCAGTCGTCCGATCACGCCTCCCACGCGACGGGGCCCTGCGGCTACGAGCGGCACGCGTTTCTTCGTCCCAGGGTCCAGAGTGCCTGGGTTTATTGCGCGCCCACAGCCAGGACACCGAGCAGCACCTGCGCGCCACCTTTGAGCCCTCCGAGAGCTCCGTCATGTCGAAAAGAACCCGCTGATGCGCCGCTCTACCCTCTTTCCTCGACATTTGCTTCCGACTCGGGAGCCGGCTGGCCCGCCTCGACCTGCACCTCGATTACGGGCAGCCTCCCAGAAGCGATGTTTGCGCAGTCTCCCGATCTGGCGGTGGTGGAGCACGCGTCGGATAACCTCTTCTCGTGGACAGCACTGCTCTTCGCGTCAGCTTGTCCTCAGGGATGCCCCTTCTCATTGTACGCTGCCATCTGCCGCCCGCACGAGAGTATGCACAATACCTATGCCGCATCTCGACTCTTCATCTCTACCCTGCCGGCACTTCGCACCAGACTGGCGCCGCTGGCCTTCTGTGCCCCTCTCATTGGATTGGACGAACTGACGCGCTCATCCCCAGCATGACAGTGCAGCTTCCCTGTCAACCAGGCAGCGACGATATCTTACGCACTCAACAAGGATTGGTAGAGTACTCAACAGCGATTGGTAGAGCATTCACTCAGTACCCCTCGGGCATCTGCTCTCCCTCCCCCCGCATTCAATCAGAACCGCCGTTGACGTACTCGTGTCCGACCGTGGGTATCTACGCACTTCACCTGGACAAATGCGACTCGCGAAGTGGACAAACATGGCTTGCGAAGAGATGCGAAGATGGAGTTGCCCTCGCCCTGGGCTGTTCCTGCCCACTTTCAGTCCTTCGCCCTGCTTCTTTCAGGCGACTTCCACAGCTCTCGGGCGCCGCCTATCTGACCTCTTCGTCATCATGCTCTGACGTCTGTCCGGTCAACCCATTGCTTGGCCCGGCGCTCGTGCCTCTTGCTTGACTATTTTCTTGTGGTTCCCTAGTGCAATTCTTGCGATATGGTACACATGTTGTTGCGGCTCATCATCATCTTTCAACAGATCTCCTTCCTCTCCGCTTCATCCTTTCCCCTCCTCCCATCCTTACCCCTCGCTTCCCCATCTTCCCTCCCCTCCACGTTCCCCTCCTCTCCACGTTCCCCTCCCCTCCACGTTCCCCTCCCCTCCACGTTCCCCTCCCTCCTCATCCTCCTCCTCCCTCTCCCCTCCACGTTCCCCTCCCTCCTCATCCTCCTCCTCCCTCTCCCCTCCCTCCCCCCTCCCCTCCTCCCTCTCCCCACTTCACACCTTCTCCTTCCCCTCCTCCCTCAACCACTCATACACCGCCGAAAAATCCTTCCCCGCCAACTCGGGCTTCTCCGCCACGACCTTCGCGTATATCGCGCTCGCGGCCTCGCCCAGGGGGGTGGGTGTCGATGTCTGCTGCGCGACGGTGGTGGCGAGGCCCATGTCCTAGGGAGGAGGAAGGGGTTAGTCGATGGAGGCAAAACGGGTTAGTCGTTGGAGGCAAAGGGGGCGAGGTGGGGGCGAGGTGGAGGGTGAGCAAAAGCGGTCAACAGACATGGGGAAAAATGGGAAGAATGCGGAAGGTCGATGGTGGGAAGGGGCGGTGGGAATGATTGAAGGCCGATGGTGGGAAGGAAATGGAGATCAGCAAACGTGCGCATGCGGGTCGGGGTGAAAGCATGCAGCTCAATAGCGAGGTGGGCCAGCAATTGGCTGTACGCGAGACACTGTTGGGAAAGAGTGCAGGTCACCGCTGAGGAATAACGCAGGAATTCACAGCGTGGAATGCTGGATGGAAGACGTGGGGTAAGATGGAAGTCGAGAGAGAATGTAACGAGATCCTCGGCGGAGATAATGCTGGAAAGAGGGGCGAAGGGGCAGAGCAACGGATTTGAGGGCGGGGGAACGGATAGGGGAGAACAAGAAGAAGAGGCGGGAAAAAACAAGAGGCAGGAGAACAGAACGGAAGATCACGAAACACAACTACATCCCCAGCAATCCGAGTCCGAGTCGTCATCACCAAACCTACTCGCACGCACCTTCAACATCAACGCCGTCGCAAACCCGCCCTCGTACGCGCGCTCGCACGGCGGGGCCTTATCCGGGAGTGCGCCTATGACGTTGTACATGTCAGCGAGTGCACCCCCTCCTCGCCTATACCCCCTCCTTACTTGAAAACCTACCTGGCACCGGATTGTTCACATTCACGCTCCAGCAGCTCCCCGTCGAGGACCCGATCACCGCCGCCAGCACCGCGGGGTCGAGCCCGAGTTTCTGGCCCAGCAGCATGGCTTCGGCGGTGACGATCTGCTGCACGCCGAGGACGAGCTGGGGAGGGTGATTAGCTCGGCGTTCTCCTCGTATTCGCGCCCCTCTCCTCCCTCTCCCTCTCCCGCCTCCTCTCCTCCTCTCCTCCTCTCCCTCCTTCTCGCCCCTCTCCCTCCTACTCTCCTACTCTTCCCCTCCTCCCCCTCCCCTCCCCCTCCCTCCTTTTCACCCACTCATTATCCCCTTCCCACCCCCTCCCAATCACTCACATTATTACATATCTTCGCCGCCAGCCCCGCCCCCGCCGGGCCACAATGTATCACCCTCTTGCCCATAAGCTCCAATATTGGCTTCGCGCGCGCGAACGCGTCCGCCTCGCCGCCGACGAGGAAGCTCAGGGTGCCCGCTTTCGCGCCGGTGACGCCGCCCGAGACGGGAGCGTCGACCATCTGCGGGCCCTTCGTCGTACTCATCGAAGGGCCTTTCGTCGGACCGATCGAAGTGCCTTCCGTCGTATTAATCGAAGGGCGTGACGAGCTGGACGAGGGGAGCAGGTTGGAGACCTCGGACGAAATCTGTCTTGCCACCGCGACGTCGAGCGTGGTCGAGTCGATGCAGAAGGTTGCGGCGGCGGCCTCGCGGGGGAGGGTGCGGAGGGCGGGAAGGATGCCGGTGTGGTAGACGTCTAGGACTTGTGGGGAAGCGGGGAGCATGGTGATGATGGTCTGGGAGGCGAGGGTGGCTCTAGGAGGGGCGTGGGCGCAATAGGATGAGATACAAGATGGCGAACGGGGATTTATTATAAAGGGGCGCAAGGAGTAGTCGATCAGCATTTGCAGAGAAGTAGAGATAGACACCAAACGCACTCTCCCGGATCCCTCGCCACCTCCAACTGTGCGCCCGGGCACTGCTCCATGAACGCGTCCCGGAAGCGTGCCGCGCTACTGGGTACGGCATCGCAGACGACAAAGTGCGAGTCGCTTGCTAGTGCGTGCTGTTTGGAGAAGAGATTAAAGGCCATCTCGTAGCCCATGCGCTAGGTGATCGGGGAGGGTTAGTACGTTGAGTGAGGGAGGCAAGGACGCTGCACCACGGGTGTGATGTATATAACCAGACGTAGACTAACTGACTCCGAGACCAATGAAGCTGGTGGACTTGTGTCGCTGGGACGCGAGGCGCTCGAGGTTGAGCTGGAGGCAGCGGACGGTAGGACGCATGGTCGCAGATCGCGAGCCTTTGGATAGATGGGATGGGTACTGTGGCTTCCTGTCGTGACGAAGAGTACAACAGAGACGTCTAGACGCTCTCTCAACTTGCCAGTGACCTGACGAAGAGCAAGCAAGGAGACGTAGCACGCGTGAGACGACGAACGCAAGATCCGGGGCGAATGCGGGGAAGCGGGGCTATTTCGACGCGGGGGCGATTCAGGTGATCTCGGTGATCGCCGAGTCCATGTTCAACTTTGCGCCTTGTCCATTTCTGCCTTTCCTATGTCCGTCTTGACCTCCGTCTTTGATGACGCAGTGTACTCGTCCCTCCGCTTCGGGGGGGCTTCGGGTGCGTGAGTGTCCAAAAATTACATTGTCTTTGTAAGGATGAAGGTAGAGGAGGGAATAAGCAAGCGAAAGAGGATGCACGACTCCGCGCAAAGCATACACGACCAAGCGCAAAGCATACGCGACCATGCGCAGAGGCGACCATGCGCAGAACATACAAGACCAAGCGAGAACATACACGACGACCAAGGCCCAACGTACTCAGTACATCAGTAGGTAGCGAATTCAACAAGATAGAGATACACCCAATTATACTTTTGTTCGTTCCGCCTACTTCCCCGCCCAGAACTTGAGGAACTTGCCCTTGAACGTCGTCGTGTCGTACTCGACAAGCGCATCCCGCTTGACGCGCTCGTCGTGAATGACCTCGCCATCCGTCCCGACGTTGTGCACCGCGTTCTGCTGCTTCCCGAGGAAGTAGTTCGTCTGGAAGAGCGACGCGATGAGGGGGACGAACGAGATGCACAGCGCGGGCACGATGAGGTACCACAGCGTGCGCTCGTACGCGCGGATCGCCCCCTGGCGGATTTCGCTGTCGTAGTCGTACACCTTGATGAGCTTGATGTTGCTGAAGAACTTGAGCACCTGCGTGTCGTTCACGCTCGACGGGAGCTCCTCGCGCAGGTACACGGGCATGCGGTCCGCCCAGATGACGGCCGCGATTGCGGAGCCGACGGAGGAGCCGATCTTGGACCAGAGGGAGAGGAGCGCGATGACGGTCGCGGTGTCCTGGTGCGGGACGGAGGCTTGGGACGCGATGCGGGAGGCGACGACGGAGAAGGAGCCGCCGAGGCCGATGAGGATGGGCGAGGCGATGAGCGCGCCGAGCTTGATCGTCGCGCGGTGGCCGTCGAGGAGGATACCGATGCCGATGATCTTGATGCTGAGGCCGATGACTTGCCAGTACTTGTATCGGTGCGTGTAACGCATAACGAGGCCGATGAAAATGCCAAAGACGCACAGCGAGAGGGACATGGTGTTGTTGTAGTACGTCCAGTCGCGCACGCTCCAGTTCTGCGTGATGTACACGTAGGACGAGAGGTACAGCCCACGCAGGTTGCCAGCCACTGTGGGTACGGTCAGAAAATAGACGGAGACGCGTGAAACCCGGACACGTACTCATGTAGATGAAGTCGATGATGACAGCCATCATGAATGTCTTGTTCTTGAGGATGCGACTCGGGCTGCTGGGGCAAGATGCAACGAAGCGTTCGTACAGAGTGTACAGGATCAAGAAGACACCGCCGACGACCATCATGGCAATCATCGACGGGTTCTTCCAGTGCCCTTTCGCGTACGTCTTGAGCGAAAACGGAAGCAGAAGAAGGCACCATCCGAAAGCAAGGAGAATGAGACCGAAGGCGTCAACCTCAATGAGGCTGCGCCTCAGGAGCTGAGGCCAGGACTCCTTGACCCCCGGTGCAGCGGATGTCACGAGGCCACGGGGACCCTCCTTGCCCTCCGCAGCATCGCGCTCGCGCGCGAGGCGGCGCTCGAGGTTGCTGGACGCAATGTTCACGACGCCGAGCTTCTGCGCGCGATGGTCGAGGTAGATGAGTACCGCGATCGCAGGGCCGATGCAGACGGGCATGATGATGGCGAACATGCCGTAGCCCCAGCGCCAGCCCTCGTTATCGCTCAGCGCAGAGACGATCTCGCCGGCGTACCAGGTGTTGATGATGAACGGCGCGGACAGCAGAGAGCTGACGAAGGGCCGCCACTGGAGGCTGGTGAGATCGGAGACGATGAGGTCGTTCAGCAGATCAAGGCCGCTCTGACCGATGGCACCGAAGACGGCGCCGACGATGTAGGCAGAGAGCGTGGACGAGGCGGCGATGATGATGTAGCCCATTATGTAGAGCACGATGATGAGCAGGTAAGTGTACGGCCTGGACGTGATGTCGGAAATTTTCGCGATGAAGGGCTTCGCTACTGCTGCGATGATACTCGTCGCAATAGACAGTGTCGCGAGACCGCCGCTGTGGGAGTTGTAGTCGGAGGTGGCGAGCGGCTCGTAGCTGGCCGTCGTCGACTGGTCGAGAGAGTACGCCCAGGCACAGACGACGATGGAGATCGTAATCGCCCAGAGAGTCGCCCTGCCCTTCTTGCCTTGGGCAGTACGACTGACGGCCTCCATGCGCGTTACACCCCGAGACTGGATGTACGTCTCGGAGGCGCGCGCTTGACCGTAGGGGTTGAGGTACGGCGCCTCCTCCGACGGAGGGGGCTGCGATTCAGCGTTGACGATGGACTTCTCATCCTTTTCGTCTTCGGAGCGCGTAGACGTATGGATGGACTGTGCCATGGCTGGTTCTTTGCGGTGAGTGGCGGGTCGACTTGGCAGAAGCGCGATGCTCACCTGAGGCTCCGCGGCAATTGAGCAGGCAGTCGTGGGCGTAAGAGCAGAGTCCCCCTTAGCGCCATCAAGAGGGATATAAGGACTTCTGATGACAGGAGCATGCGCGCGCGGTTCAGGTCTCTGCACGAAACTTTATCAGATTACGGCGCTGCTATCGCAATCAGATATGTGCTGGCACGCTGATTGGCTGGCGTGTGACATCGGCCGAGGCTGGAGCGATGGGACGCAGGAACGGCGCAGCCGGGGACGCCCGAGTGTCCTGCCAAGCCTGGGCTCATGTGCGCGCGCTGGCGAACGGTTTCTGGAAATGGTTCGAGTGGAAGAAGTGCGATAAGATTAGACAAGAAAACGTTCCGGCCGAAGTGATAAGATGGCGATCGGACGATGTGGCGCCGGATTCCGCTTTGATCTGCCGGGTGCCCGACTTGTTCCACGCCACCACGGACGAACTGGTTTCCTTTCTCTGCGGACTCCAGGGCTGCGACCGGCCGTTTTCCTAGGTCTCGACCTCTTCCCCTACCCCCATCTTTCGCTTTTTTCGACTCGCCCTGCGCGACCATTCGGGTAGTTCGCTTTGCAGATCGAGTGCTCGGTTTGCCCACCCCAACGTCAGCGGCTCCATCATCGGCGTCGCCATCCCACCCCCTTCCACTTGTCGTTCCACGCCTTCCAGTTCCAGCCGAAGTCGGAGACAGGGTCTTAAGGTTACCCGCACGTGCGCAGACGTCAATATCAACCCCATACCGCCGTCGTGGGTCGGTGTTTCTCTCTTTCGTACGACCACCATTCCAAAATCATTGTCGCCAAAGATGGACGCGCTCGCCACCCCTGCCACTCATTCTAGCCCATCATCCACGAAGACGGTCGTCGTACTCGGCGCCGCCTACGCGGGTATGTGTCCTTACGTCCCAAGGGGCGGTCCCCACTTACATACCCTCCCCAGGTCATCGTGCGACCCAGCTTCTCATAGGGTCGCTGCCTTCGGGATGGCGGGTCGTCGTCATCGAACGGAATACGTACGTTCCCTCGCTTAAGTCTGAACGCACAGTAACTGACGGTCACTTTTCAGGCATTTTAATCGTACGTACATCCTCGCTTCCCCGTCAACATCCCACCCATCGTCGACACAGACCTTTACGCCTTTTCTCGCGTCTCTGTCCTTCCCGGACATGAGCACAAGCCTTGTACGTGGCACGCCCTATCAGTCGGTCTCCGTGCTAACGCATGCGCAGTTATTCCTTACACCAACCTTCTGCGCACCGAGCAGGATCTCGCGGAGCCGCGGTCGACCAAGTGCCGCAACTCCTGCCCACACCAGCTGCTCCACGCGAACATCATCAAGCTCGAGCCTCATCGCGTCCACTTCAAGTATTTAGGCGCAGACAACGCCGAGAAGGAGGCCGACTCCATCGAGTTCGATTACTGCGTCTACGCGCTCGGCTCCTCATTGCCGCCCCCTATCAACGTTTGGAGTACTTCGGAGGAATCCGTGCGTGCTCTATACCTGATCTATGTCCACCTATTGACCCTCTATACAGCGGAAGAAGCCCAAGCACTCTGGTATCTGGCATGGCACCAAGCCCGAGGGCCGCCAGTACCTACGCGATGAGCAGGACCGCATACGTGCAGCGAAGTCCATTGCCATCGTTGGCGGTGGTGCTCTTGGTATTCGTGCGTTTTCGGGCACTTTTCCGATTTGCCCCTATTCTGACCTTTACCATGCCACATCCCAGAATATGCCAGCGACATCGCCGACATCTACCCCAACAAGCAGGTGACCCTCGTCCATTCTCGTCACCAGCTTCTTCCCCAGTTTGACCACTGGATGCACGATGCAGGTGCGTTTAAGTGCCACGACAGGTCGGACTGAAGCTGACTTTCTCCGTAGCTGCGCGTGCGCTCACTGAGATGAATGTGCGTCTCGTCCTTGGCTCGCGCCTCAACCTCGACGACGTCGACCCCGACGTTATGGACGAGGGACGCGTGCTGAAGACTGCGTCTGGGGAGTCCATCCCCGCAGAGCTGATCGTGCGTATACCGCCGACTATCAGATTGCCCGCACGCGCTGACTCTCCGTCCTACCTATCTCAGTTGATCTGCACGGGCCAGAAGCCGAACACGCACTTCATTCGCGACATGGCGCCATCGACCATCAATCCGTCGAACAACCTGGTGTATGTCCGCCGGACGCTGCAGCTCGCCGACCCGCCCGAGTACGAGGACGAAGACCCGCTGGTGACCCACTACCCGCACATCTTCGTCGTCGGCGATGCGGCGGACGCGTTTGGGGCGCTGAAGGCTGGGCACACGGCTTGGCAGATGGCGGCGGTGGCCGCGTACAACATTGTCGCCTTGATCCGTGGCGAGGATGAACTGCAGGAGTACACGCCGCCGCCACCTGCGATCAAGGTGTCGCTGGGTTTGGTGAGTGAACAGCGCATACACTCACACGCCGTCTTGCTAACGCCTACAACTCCTTAGACCCAGGCAATATACCAGAGCCGTGGCGTCCACGGACACCAGGGCGCAGAGCAGTGCGATGAGGCGTTGAACACGCACGTCATGTGGACGCGCCGCGGGTTGTCCACCGAGGATATGACCATCTAGGCTGCTGGCATGCCGCATGTGTCTGTCGACCACCAACCGGTGCTCATGTCGACCACCGACTGGGGCGCATGTCGCGCCTGATCATGTTCTTTTGACATCGCGATTTCGCTGTTCGTGTGCATTGTTTGCTTCGTTGTCGTTGCTGTTAGGGAAGAAAGAGGTTACTTTAGAGGTTTCAACATAGTAACATACTAAGTATTGTACAACGGCAATGAATACTTGACTAAAGAACGCATATATGCTGCGCTGGGAGGACAATGCGACTTTCGATGGGCTGCAACTTTGAAGTCGAACGTGGGAAGTCCAGCAAGGCACCCACAACTCGGGGCGTACGGCCCGGACGCGTTCCAACGTGTCGTCGATCAGCGGCGGACAAGTGTACAGTGCTCCCGACGTCGACGACGATGTCGACGGCCCCATTAACCACATTCCCGCCGAGTGCGGTCCCCCACAAACATGTTCTTCTCTCCGAGATCCTCTCCGTCACGTCCGTCATGCGCAAGAACTCGCGCTGGGCGACATCCACTCACTTCTTCAACGCCCGCGACACGTCCCTCGGCACCACGCTCGGGCTCCGGATCGCGTCGCCCACGGCCGCGGCGCACTCTCCCGGGACGGGGACACGCGAGGCGGACCTGATGGCTGGCTTTCAGGAGGTGAAGCGCGCGGTGAGGGAGGTCGAGGGTGCGTTATTGGCGTGTAATGAGTGCGCATAGACGCTAACGAGGGATCGTTGCAGATATCTCAGGAATGTCACTGACGACGCTGCTGGCCCCTTTCTTCGCGATCATACGCTCGCCGCTGTCTACGGGGCCCATCACCTCCGCGGCGCTTTCGTCGCTGCACAACTTCTTCCTCTGCGGGCTCATCTCGCCCAATTCAGTGAACCTGGAGTCTGCGCTCGCGGAGCTCAGCAATACGGTGTCGCACTGCAAGTTCGAAGCTAGTGACTCGTCTGGAGATGAGGTCGTACTGCTCAAGATCATGACAGTGATCCAGGACTGTATGTGCAGTAGTATGGGCAATGTCCTTGGCGATGTGGAGGTATGTGAGATGCTGGAGACGGTCTTGACGACGTGTTGTCAAATGCGTCTGAGTGGTGCGTGATCAGAACTCGAACGCATGCTGGACTATCGACACTGACTTGGTTTGCAGAGGTCCTGCGACGATCCGCGGAGAACGCGATGCAACTCCTTGTTCGGACAGTGTTCTCGCGTCTGCATACACTCGATCCGGAGGAAGAGGAACGCAAGCTTGCTGAAGAAGAGTCCGATGCGCAAGACGGCGAAAACAAGTTATCTGTATCCGCGTCTAGTGGTCCAGCTGCTGCGCTCACACCGGCGAAATCACCGGTCGACTCTCCAGAGCCAGAGACGTCAGGGCAGGAAGTATCGCAGGACGCAATCCCACAACCATCAGAGAGTGTAACTGCTATGCAGGCGTCTACCTCAAGGTCACAATGTACGTTGGAATCATTTATACTTGGCAAGATGCATGGATTAATAAACCTCACAGATGGCTTACCGTCGATTATCGAGCTGCTGCGCGTCCTGGTGAACGTCCTCGACCCCAACGACCAATCGCACACCGACTCGACGCGTCTCATCGTTCTCAGCATCCTCAATGCGGCCATCGAAGCCGCTGGCCCCCGCATCATGCTATTCCCCTCCCTCGAAGCTCTCGTCCTCGACGGCGGCTGCAAGTACCTCTTCCTCCTCGCGCGCTCCGAGAACATGCACGTCCTCCACTCCGCCCTCCGCACTATCACCGCACTTTTCGTCACCATGAGCCCGCATCTCAAGCTGCAACAAGAGCTGTTCCTGACGTTTTCTATCGACCGGTTAGCGACGCCTATCCTTCCGAACAAGACGCAGCATTCACATCTGGCGGGTACACCGAGGATAGGCTCCCCGAGGCCGGGCACTCCGGCTATCGGCCCTCAAGAGCCTGCCGCGGATGCTGAAGGCGGGACTGCTACGCCTCCCAGGCCGATGGTACCGCCAGCTCGTGGCGAGACACGGGGGCTCATGCTGGAGACCCTCGGGCAGATATCAAGACACCCGAGTTTCATGGTCGATCTCTACACGAACTACGACTGCGACATCAACTGCGAGAATGTGTTCGAGCGACTGGTCGATTTCTTGACCAAGGTATGAGACTGAACCTCCGCGCTTCGTCGAGATTGTGTGCTTATGAGCGTGCAGGCTGTATACCCATCAAATCCCAATATACCTATCGACGTGCAGCACAGGAACACGCAATACCTCTGCCTGGACTTGCTGCTTGCGTTCGTCAACGACATGGCTACACGGGGGCAGGGTGTTTGTGGCTTCACTTCCCTTAGTTTCTGCGTGCTGACATTACCCATAGAAAGCTCAACCATGGCCTGAGGTACTAACACCTCTTCTATACTTAGATATATGCTAACCTTCCGCAGAACAACCCACCCATCGACTCCTTGCTGCAGACAAAGGCCGAGAAGAAGCTCATCCTCGCTGGCGCCGCCCAATTCAACCGCAAGCCCAAAGCCGGGATCGCGTTTTTGGAAGAGCACAAGCTCATCTACCAGGACCTTTCCGACACGGTCGACAAGAACAAGAGCTTGGCAATGTTCCTCAAGAGCTGCAACCGCATAGACAAGAAAGTCCTCGGAGAGTTCTTGGCGAAGCCAGAAAACTTGGATTTGTTGAAGACGTTCATGAGCTTGATCGACTTCAAGGGAGTGAGTCGCTGCTTTTCGTATGTGCTCTGTATGAATGGGGCTGATGCGCATGGCTATCCTCAGAAAGACATCACCGACGCTGTGCGAGAACTGCTTAACTCCTTCCGCCTGCCTGGCGAGTCGCAGCAAATTTCGCGGGTGACGGAGATATTCGCGGAGACGTATCTTGCGTCTGGGCCACCAGACTTCAAGAGCGCCGACCCCATCTTCGTGCTCACGTTCTCGATCATCATGCTGAACACAGATCTGCATAGCCCGCAGATTCGGGTGCGTAGTACCAGCTACATGTCGTAACTTTCTGCTGACGGGCGAGCAGAAACGTATGACCTTTGAGGACTACTCAAAAAACTTGCGGGGCGTCAACGATGGACAGGACTTCACTGAGGAGTATCTGGTAAGCGATGTCCCTATGTCCGTGAGCTTCTGACTAAAGTGCGACTCCAGCGCAGGATCTACGAGAACATTCGAAAGCAGGAGATCGTGATGAGCGAGGAGCATACCGGCCAGCTTGGGTTCGAGCACGCCTGGCAGGAGCTGTTGACACGGTCTCGTGTGGCAGGTATGTCTTCTTCGTCCCCCTGCCTACCCTTCTCTCACGCACCGCAGGCGAGTTCATGATCTGCAACACCAACGCCTTCGACCTCGAGATGTTCAAGACCGTCTGGCGGCCCGTCATCTCCACCATTGCCTATGCCTTCATCAGCTTCGACGACGACTATATCATTCAGCGTGCCATTGCAGGCTTCAGGCAATGCGCGACGCTGGCTGGGCAGTTCAATCTGCCAGACGTCTTCGACTACGTCGTGGTTTCGTTGTCGCAAGCGACGAGCTTGCTGCCTGATACCCTGCCTGCGCAGGTGCCAATTTACCCGGTGGTCGACTTCGATGGGCAGTCGGTGACTGTGTCAGGCTTGTCAGTCAACTTTGGGACAAACTTCAAGGGGCAGTTGGCAGCTGTCGTGCTGTTCAACATTGTCAATGGGAATGGCAACGCATTACGCGAAGGGTGGACGCAGGTCAGTCCACGTGTAGCGAGATGCACTCATGTCGAACTGACACGTCTTGCAGATCTTCGAGATGTTCCAGAACCTCTTCCTGCACTCCCTGCTGCCTACTCGCATGCTGCAAATGGAGGACTTCCTCGGCGGTGTCTCTATGATCCCCCTCCGCGGCGCCCAACCACCTCGACCTGCCGCTCGCGGCGACGGCGGTCTCCTTTCCGCACTCTCCTCCTATCTCATGACGCCCTACAGCGCCAGCAACGAAGCCCTCGTTCCCGACGCGACGGACTCCGACGTCGAGAACACGCTCTGCACAATCGACTGCATTGCGTCGTGCCGGCTCGATGAGCTCTACAGCCAGATCATGCAGCTCGACCTCGACGCGCTGATCGCGGCTGTGAGAGCATTGGAGGCGCTCGCGCATGAGCGGACTGTAGCGAGGCTGAAGCTGGCGCCAGAGGAGGTCACAGAGGATGGCAAACCCTTCACGCTGCCGTACGATCCAGCGTCGGTGTTCTTGCTGGAGACCATGGTCAGCATTGCGTGCCAGGCCCCGCAGTACATCGAAGAGACTTGGCCCATCGTATTCGGCCACTTGTCAGCCTTGCTATCATCCGCTTCGCAGTACAGCGCTTTACTTGTAGAACGGGCGGTCGTTGGCCTGTTGCGAATTTGTTTAATCCTGGCCGTGACGGTATGTCCTTTGGTACAATGTGATGCGGCATGCTGACGATCCCCTAGCCCTCTTTGCGCGACCAAATCTACGTCTCCTTTGACTTGCTCGCTGGTCTACCGCGCACTGTCACCAACTCCGTTGCAGAGCAAATCGTCGCCGGTGTTGTCCTCATCGTGCGCAAGCATGGTGAAATTATCCAGTATGGCATTCTTGTCATAGTCTGCAGTAGATTGCTGACTCTTGAACAGGTCGCAAACGGAATGGAGCCTTGTGTCTGCCTTGCTTCGCTCGACCATTTCGCACCCCGAAGCCGGTCGTGAATGCTTTGAGCTCGTTTCCAGTCTTTTGACGGACGGACCGTCGCAAGCCATCTCTGTGGACAGCTTTTCTAGCCTTGTCATGTTGCTCGACGAGTTTGCGACGTACGCCGGCCAGAAGGTTGACTTGCCACAACACCGTGGAAGGAGGGGAGAGCAAGTCAGCGCAGCAAGGTATATCAGCGATTCGTTACGGCGGACCTTGACGCTGACCGCAACCCAGCTCACCCGTGATTGACCGCGGCAAGAAGGCAGTCGACTTCATGGTCGAGTTGCAGAAACACATCTCTTCCGTCGCATCCGCTGCCAGCTTGTCACCCGAGCTGGGTATGTAGCATCCTACTACGACCTCACCCACCATACTGAACCAACGAACAGCTTGGAGGCAGCTAAGCTTGCCGCTCATCAGCGCGCTCAGCCGCCAATCCACCAACCCCTCGCGCGAGATCCGGCACAACGCCGTTGCCCATCTCCAACGCGTCCTTCTCGGTCCCCACGTCATCATCTCCGACACCCAAACCGAGGACGTCTTCAACCGCATTCTCTTCCCCCTCCTCGACGAGCTCCTCAAGCCCGAGGTCCTCCAGCGCGACCCGCGCGGCATGCAGGAGACCCGGCTGCGCGCCTCTGCGCTCCTCTGCAAGGCCTTCATGCACTTCGAAGTCCGCGACAGCCAGACGAGCGACCTGCGCATTCTGTGGATCGAGATCCTCGACCTGCTCGACCGGCTGATGAACGCGGATAAGGGCGAGCAGCTGTACGAGGCGGTGCCGGAGAGCCTGAAGAATGTGCTGTTGGTAATGCACGCGACGGGTATTCTGGTGCCGCCGCCGGCAGACGAGGGAGAGGAGGATAAGCGGACCGAGGGGCAGCAGACGTTATGGAATGCGACACAAGTCAGGATGGAGAGGTTCTTGCCTGGGTTCTTGAGGGAGGTGATTCCTGCGCCGGAGCCGGTTGCGAAACCATCATCGACGCCTCAAACACCGGTTGAGCCTACCACTTGAACCCGTGTCCGGACAGCGTAGTGCGTGGATGTGTTTTCCTATCGTAACTTATTGCCACTGCCCCGGATACAGTACTGCATATACAACGAATACACTGCGTCAGAATCCATTTTGGACGGTCTGAAGAAATAGTGAACAACATGGATAAGAATCCCACTGATAGGGTGAACAAACCTTGCACGTATAAATAAGGCGGTGATGAGGACTAGGGGAGCGAGAGAGTACGCTACTCAACGTCTTAGTGGCGCCGTACCCATGAGAGCAAGCAGCGGACGTACCGATGGCGCGAAGGATGGGCGAGACATTGCGCTTGCCCCATCCTGACCATTGTCCGCCCAGGTGGACGGTTGCCATCAGCAGAGTAAAGAGGATGTACCCTGATATCCTGCACGCCTTTCAGACAGTTTGCGGGCAAGTCAGGAAGAAAGCATACCGATGATACTTCCAAACCTTCTTGGCCTTCAGCCCCCCACCGAAGGCGCGTCCATCATACCAGACGCTGGCGCCGCCGATAGCAACTTGCACTAGTAGCCATATCGTGCATAGGATGCCGATTTTCTGAGCGTGGTTGCGTCAAACGCCTGCCATGTGCGATTGACTATTGAGAGTCCAACTTACGGCGTGCCAACTAGTGAAGTGATGCTTGTCCTTGACGTACTTGTTGTACATGACAGCAAGGACACCGAGGAGCGCAGAAGGAAGGCCGACCGAGAGAATTACGAGCTGATGCTTGGCGAGACCGGCAGCCTTCTCCTGGGCGGTAGAGGTCGGTTGTAGGAGCATGGCGCCGTAGATCATCGCCGCCACGCCAATAGATTCCAATGGAGGATGCCAGGCGAACCATCCAGCGGAGAAAGGCCCGCTGAAGAGTACTGCAAGGACCGTGATGCCAACGAGGCACTACAGGACGTGATAAGGCCGATACGCAAAAGACACGATTGACTTGCTTACAGGTCCCATAGCCTGCCGTTATTCGATGAGAAGCGATACTGAGTGACGCTTGCATTTGCACATACCAATGCAGCTAGTCTCGCGAAGTCATCTCCCTTCCTTGCCTCCCCTGGCTGGCTTGTGGGGGTCGGCGTCTGTCCGCTTGCGGCATTGCTGGGGTCAGAGGAGAGCAGTTCATAGCCATCGCCAGAGACGCTGCTGGTCATGGCTTTAGAGAAGTCCACAGTTCAATCAAGATGATGGTTCAGGGCAAGACGGGGACAAGTCGGTACGGCAGGCTATCTCCCCGCAGTTGCCGTCCAAAAGGGTCGCAACACGCTCGGTAACGCTAAGCCCACATCTGTTGGATCAGAGTAAAGGACAGGCCAGCGAATCGAAACAGAAAGGACAAAGATACATTGGGCAAAGAATATCGACAGCGGACATGAGCGGACGAAAGACCAAGCCAGATGAACGCCACCTTGCGCCACAAAAGGACGGCGGAGTTCAAATGACAGGAATTTGAAATTTCGCGTCTTAAGCGCGTCCAGGGCTTTGGCCTCGTATACCTTGTCCAGTGCTCCTGCCGTCTCGATGGCGAACAAAGCCACGCTCAACAAGGAGCTGTTCAACGCGCACTTGAAGCGTCTCCTTGATGCCTGGAAGGTGCGCGCCATGATCTTGGAACGACGCGTTCGGCTGATGAGACGCGCAGAACGCGACTCCCAACAACGATTTCAGCAGCATAGCAAATGCGGATGCTATAATCCTCCCGGCGGGCGATGGAGATGATGACTTTTTCTCGAAGGGGATGTCGCTCCAGGTATGTACTGTGGCAGGAAGACCCGACACCGATCGCTCAACCTTATGAAGCAATGGCTGCTCGTCTACGAATTCCCCTCCACCATAATCTTCTTCGAGAAGGAAAAGATCACTTTCCTATGCTCTGCTTCCAAGGGTGCGTTACAGAACACCTTGATGTTCAATGTCAATCTTACGCCACCCGCAGCCAGGATCCTCGGTCAGCTAGAGAAAACCCCAGTTCCCATCGAGATTTTGCCCGTACCTAAGCCAAAGGATCCCCCCAATGACTCTTTGGCCAAGTTTGTCAAGCTGTACACGTCGAAAGAACGCGTAGGGGCCCTGCTCAAGGAGCAGCCGAACGGCAGGCTCGTCAGCGAATTCAACAAGGCCGTCGACGCAGCCTCCTCCAAGCCGGAACTCGTGGACATTGCGCATGCAGTCTCTGCCCTACTCGCCGTGAAAGATGAGGAGGAAATGGTGCGTATTCTTCACGAGATGCCACGAACAGCGCGTCCTCACTTCACTCAGAAATTGGTTACGACTGCTGCGAATCTGACCTCCACCCTTCTTCGCCATCACGTCGCCACCAAGCTCGAGATGATCCTTGATAAGGAAGCGAAGATATCTCATGAGGCTTTCGCGGCGCAGATCGAGACACGGTTAGGCTCGGGCCCGGGCGACAATGCGAAGGCTCCGGATATGAGGGTCTGGAGCAAGGGCAAAGGGCTGCAAGATGTACGTGGCAAGCTACGTAGCAAACAGTGGATCACTGAACTCCATATCAGATTGACTTCAGTGTTGTCGACTTCTGTTACCCCCCGGTAGTCATTTCGAAGTCAAGTTCGACCGGCTACGACATTCGCTTCAGCGCCATCTCCACAGGCGACAACATCGCGCACAAAGGTGTTCTCCTCGCGGCCTTTGCCCTTCGATACAAGGGCTATGCAGCAAACGTTGGTCGGACATGGATCGTCGACCCTACACCCGTGCGTGCTGCTTGTACTCGGCGTGATCTGCTTGCTGATGATTGCTTTAGGAGCAAGAAGCGCAGTACAACCTGCTCTTGTCGCTGCAAAATGAGCTCTTGTCGAAAATTGGCGACGGCGTCGTTGCTAAGGATGTCTACCAGCACGCATTAGATTACGTGCGCGACAAGAGCCCCGATTTGGAGAAGCACTTCGTCAAGAACGTTGGGTTTTCGATGGGTATCGAGTTTCGTGACCCGACCTTCCTGTTGTCCGGCAAGAACAACCGGACCATACAGTCCAACATGGTCTTCAACCTTGCTTTGGGCTTCACCGACCTAGTCGATAAGAACGGGCAGAAGTGCGTCGTTGCTCATCCTTGCCTTCTTTCCATACTAATCAAAAAGCAGGTATGCCTTGCAGCTGGCCGACACCATCAAGGTCGATGGCAACAAGTCCGTCCTCCTCACCGAAGGCGCAAGATCAACCAAGGACACCCTCTTCTTCCTCACCCCCGCTGAAGATGAAAAGCCCAAGAAGAGCGAGCGCAAGCCGCCCGTACAGCCGAAGTCGAACGGTACGCCTCTGAAGAGTAAGACCGTCGCGGGAAAGGTGCTGCGAAATCAGCGCCGTGCGAAGCAGGAGGAGGACCAGTCCCACCTACAGCGATTCATCGAGCACCAGCGCGAGCTGCATCAGAAGGTGCAGAATGATGGCTTAGAGCGGTACAGCCACGGTAGCGGGGGCAAGGGCGGCGAGGACAAGACCTGGAAGAAGTTCCAGAGCTACAAGGGTGAGATGGCGTTGCCACCAGAGGTTGAGCGTCTGAGGGTGAGTCTCTGGACTCTTGGGTGCCAACTCGTCGCTCATGCCTTCATCAGGTCTTCGTCGATCGTAAGGCTCAGACAGTCATTCTGCCGATCAATGGGTTCGCGGTGCCGTTCCATGTGAACACTATTAAGAATGTCAGCAAGAACGACGAGGGGGAGTTCACATACCTCCGAATCAATTTCCAGACCCCCGGCCAGCTTGCAGGGAAGAAGGAGGACACGGTGCGTGCTGCTCAACCCGACCCATAATTGATGCTGATCTTCGCTCGTGCAGCCCTTCGAAAATCCCGATGCCACCTTCATTCGATCCGTCTCCTTCCGCTCGCCAGATGGCCAGCGCTTCGACAACCTCCAGAAGCAGATCACCGAGCTGAAGAAGGAGGCCAACAAGCGCGAGCAGCAACGGAAGCAGATGGCAGACGTCATCGACCAGGACAAACTCGTCGAGGTCAAGGGACGGAGACCAGTCCGTATGCCCGATATGTTCGTGCGACCTGCGTTGGACGGTAAGCGCTTGCCGGGTGATGTCGAGATTCACCAGAACGGTGTTCGCTTCGTGTCGCCGATCGGACAGAGGATAGGTATGTCGGCGTCGCACGCTGGTATGGCGCAGGATTGATTGCTTTCAGATATCCTGTTCAACAACGTCAAGCACCTCTTCTTCCAGCCCTGCGACCACGAACTACTCGTTATCATTCACTTCCACCTCAAAGCGCCCATCATGGTCGGCAAGAGGAAAGCGACGGTGCGTCCGGTATCAACCTCGTCTCGCGTGCACCATCTCATCGTCTTCAGGACATCCAATTTTTCCGCGAAGCGACCGACGTCCAGTTCGATGAGACAGGCAACCGGAAGCGCAAGCATCGATACGGCGATGAGGACGAGATCGAGCAGGAACAGCAGGAGCGCAAGCGCCGGCAACAACTCAACAAGGAGGTGAAGGGCTTCGCGGAGAAGATCGCGGACGCCGCTGCTACATCTGTTAGTGCTTTTTCCTTTCGCCTTGGACCGATTACAATGCTGACCGTCTGTACAGATTGAAGACACCTTTGAGCTGGATATTCCATTCCGTGAACTCTCGTTCGAGGGTGTGCCCTTCCGCTCTGCCGTACGACTGCAGCCAACAACGGAATGCCTGGTCCACCTGACGGACCCACCATTCCTCGTCGTCACCCTGTCCGAGATCGAGATTGCGTCCCTCGAGCGTGTACAGTACGGCTTGAAGCAGTTCGATCTCGTCTTCATCTTCCGGGACTACACTCGAACACCGTTGCACATCAACTCCATATCATCGTCGGCGATGGACGATGTGAAGAACTGGCTAGAGTAAGCATACATTCACGCTTTGACCGACCCCGTTGCTGACAAGTCCTCGTAGCTCTGTCGACATACCCATGAGCGAGGGCCCGGTCAACTTGAACTGGGGCCCCATCATGAAGCACATCAACGAGGACCCGCATGAGTTCTTCCTCCAGGGCGGCTGGGAGTTCCTCGGCGGCCCCGAGGGCGCGCAGAACGACGGCTCATCGGGCGAGTCCGACACGGAGTCCGAGTTTGAGGAGTCAGAAGCATTCGAGGAGAGCGAGAGTGCCAGCGAGAGCGACTTCAGCGACGACGCGAGCGCGAGCGACAGTGGATCGTATAGCGGGAGCGACATCAGCGACGAGGGCGATGACTGGGACGAGCTGGAGAGGAAGGCGGCAAAGTGTGAGTGTATAGCGTGCTTTGTGGAGGATGTTCACTGATTGCATTGACAGCGGACAAGAAGCGCGCAGAGAACGTGCCGGACTCGGACGACGACAGGCCAAAGAAAAAGGCGGTCAACGGTGGTGCAAAGAAGAAGGCACCTGTCAACGGCAAGGCCAACGGGAAGGGCAGACGTTGACGCGCAAGCACCCCCTCCGACCTCCCTTGCCCCTTATTCTCGCATTCTATTTGGCTGTGACATTGCTATCTGAACACCCTGTATCATATTTCTCTCTCAGGCATGTTATTGTAGATCCTGCTGTCCAAGTTGTGTGAGATTCGCTAGGCATTTGAGAACGACGTGCGTACACTGCTAGAACTCGAATCTCGGCTCGAGATCTATCGCGGGTTTTGTGGACGGCACGAGTGCATCCGAGTCGCCTTGAGGTTGCTCTGCGACTGCCAGCTTGTCCAGAGTAGGAGCGACGACTTGGGCCGGGTGCGTACGCGATTCGCGCCAGAGCAGCGTACCCGTGATAGCAGCTGCTGGACCCGCGAAAGGCGGCGCGAAGACATACCACCCGAGAAGCCCAAGCAACTGCTGCCAAGTGTCCGCGAACGAGAGCGTCGCAAGCACCGTCGAGCCCACCCCAACAATCCCCGTCCACTTGAGCGCATCCAGCGCCCGCTCCTCCAGCGTCACCCCGAAGGTCGGCAGCACCACGTCCGCAACCTTTCCCGGATCCCCCAGCACCTCCGCCGCCAGCGCGATGTGCGAGGACGACGAGAGCATGAACACTGCCAGTAGCGCACCCCTGACAAGCTCATACCCCGACTCCGTCGCCCTTCGCGCGAGGAGGTGCGCGTAGTGCGCGCCCGCGCTCACGAAGCCTGCGAACTGCCAGACGGCGGTTACGCCCGGGTCGTCGAGCGCGAGCATGGCGCCGGAGAGCACCGCGGGGCCGATGAGGAAGCCGAAGACGGCGGATTCGGCGTGGGCCTGCGCGAGCGGAGCTGGAGGAGAGGACCGGCTGCGCATGAGGAAGAGCAGGGCATGGAGAGGTATCGAGAGCGGGAGTAGGAGGACGTGGGAGAACAATAAGGCAACAACAGGGCGGGAGAGGTGCGCAGGGACGCCCGGCCGAGTAGACTCGAGGATGGGGAACAAAACGAGCGGGGCGGCGACAGAGGTGAAGAAATACGTGAGTGCAGGTCTTGGGATAGCGTTCACGAGGGATGTCGCTGCGCAAACTAGACGTTCTGCCTGTGCTATAAGGTGGATTTCCGAGGACCCATCGTTAGCTGTCGGGCACTCCTTCCACAGCGCCACGAAGAGGGCTTGCATCTGGGGCAAAGCAAGGCGCCCGACCCAGGAAAATGCTGCAGCGAGCAACGCCGCGAGCACAGGACCTGCATATCATCAGCATGTAGGACTTTAAAACGACGTGTCTTCTCCTCACCCTCGTATTCTATGATGGTCATGGTTGAGTTGATGAAACTGACGGCATTTCCCGAAGATGCGATGTGTCATGTGAGGGACCCAACCGTGACAATTCGTCGCAATCTTTAAAAAGTCTTTCCCAGATCATCGTCGCGAAGGCATCTAGGCAGGCAGTGTTTGGAAGAAGAAAAACTGTGAAACAGCCTTGATATGAAGGCCCTGCCAGGGATCGAACCTGGGTCACGGGAAGACCGACACAGGCCTATGGCTTTCATCAGAATCCCGGGTGATAACCACTACACTACAGAGCCGTTAGCGCGAAGTTGTTAAGGTCACTCATATTCGCTGGATTATTATACTCGCTAGCGCTCACAGTTTTCGTTCCTGCGATACACGAACACCCTTGTGAGCATAACAAAAGAATAATATTACAACACAGTTTACCTCCTACTTCTACCTCACCACCCATCTATTTCCCTACAAACACCGGCGCGCGCTTCTCCCTAAAAGCATCCAGCGCCTCCGTTCGATCCTGCGTCTTTAGCAGCGGTTCATAGCACGAGCGCTCGTAGTCCAAGGCATCGTCCAACGAAAACTCGAGTGAGCGCGAGATGGCGGCTTTGGCGGCGCGAAGTGCGAGTGGTGCGCTTTTGGCGATCTCGGCGGCGAGGAGGAGGGCGCGCTCGTATGCCGTTTGAGTGTGGTCGGCAACGTAGTCGACAAGACCTATATAGTCAGTGGCGGTCAGCTTACGACAGCTACGACAACCACGGCGTGAATGATAACGTACCAAGCTCCTGCGCATCTGCGGCGGTGAGCTCGCGTCCGGTGAAGATGAGCTCCTTGGCCTTCGTCAAGCCAATGAGGCGTGGCGCGCGCTGCGTGCCGCCGCCGCCTGGGATGATACCCAGCTACATAGGCGAGCAATCAGTATAGATGCAAAGCAGCACCAGCCGGAAGCCCTTACGCGAGTTTCTGGAAAGCTGATTTTTGTCACGTTGCGGGCTGTCCTTCGCATTAGCTCTAGTGACGAGACGAGAAAGACGCCGCACTGACCAGCAATGCGGAAATCGCACGTCAGCGCCAGCTCAAGCCCACCGCCGAGCGCCGGACCGTCGATGGCGCAGATAGAGGGGAACTCGAGGTGGTCGATGCGACTGAAGACGCGGCGCAGGTTGGCGAGGAAGCGATGCACATCCGCGTCAGACATCTGACGTCGCTCAATCAGGTCCGCGCCAGAGCAGAAGCAGCCCGGCGTCGAGGAATGGAAGATGAGGCATTGGACGCTGGGCGGGATGGGGTAAGGTAAAGAGCGATGCACAAGAGAAGCAAACAACGCACGAGGGCTCGGCTATCGCCTGCTCGATAGCACACTCGAGGTCCTATAGAGTGCTCGTCAGGCGTGCTCGGCGGGGAGAGGGCGGCGCGCCCACCTCGAGCAGCTGAACAGAGATAGCATTCTTCGACTTGGGTCGGTTGAGCGCGATCCCATACACGCCCTTGAGCTGGGCGACTTTGTGGAAGTACGCCTGCGCGGCGGGTTCGGGGTCTGGGGCCATCGGCGGGGGCGGGCGGGAGAGAGCGGACCCTATGGTGGGGACGGGGTGGGATGAAGAGGAAGGAGAAGGGGAAACAGTCGAGACAGGCATGTGCGTGAACTATAAAGGCGGGGCACGCATGCGCGCACGCCAATTGACTGACGGTGCAGAAGGAGCGCGAGATGGCTCAGAGCCCAAGCCGAGATCGCATGACAGATCGCCGATCGCGCCACCGCGATTCGGCTTGGTTCGCGCGCACAAGGGGCCCAACAGGGTTGCCGTCCATGCGCCCATCCCCCTCGAGCCACCGACGGCTCGGCCTGCGCCAACCAAGTGAGCCAGCCGGGATCAACGGAAGACGCAGCACGGCGACCCGCCCTGGCAGGATCTAATCGGAAGGTATCTTATCACGCGCAATCTAATCAGATTTGATAAACCGCAGCATGCTGTATAATCTGATAAGCGTGGGTTGTGCGGGATGCAGGGCACCACGACGAACCTGCAGGAACACCCATACACCCGGCACTTCGTAGCTGCGACCTGGCTCAGCTGTACAGCATTCCCATCGACACGACACGCACTAAAATACATCCAAGTCTCTCCGTGCCCAACCCTTCGAGCCTCTTAGACTCTACACGGGGATCTCCTCCGACCCCAGCACGCCGAGGTCCCGCAACAGAAACACGCACTCTTCCACGCGCATCTCAAGTACCGTCAGCTTTTCCTCCTTCCGCTCCCACTCGCCCAAGATCTCCCGGTCGAGCCGTGTCAGCAAATTCTCGTCCGCCCGCACGTCCGTCCGCTGCCGCTTCTCCAGGACCGCCCGCACCATCGGCTCCTCCCGTTCCGCCTGCCGGCGCACCCCAATGTTGTACAGCGTCTTGTACAGCTCGCCAAGGAGGACAGTGTACGCTTTCGTCTGATCGACGTGCCTATGAGCGTGTTAGTCGTCAGGAGTGGTCACGATGTTGCGAGTTATAGTGAACACACCAAAGGTAGAACGTCCTCGTCGGATTCCGATCCGCCGTCTTCGGTACCTCCTGCGTGCTCACTAGCGAGTCCGCCGCCAGCGCCGCGAGAACCGTCCGCACATCCTTCGCTGGCAGCATCACCCCATGCGCGACCTGCTTGTCGTCTTGCTTTCCGCTCCCAAGCAACAGTCTAACCACCCTCAGTCCGTTCGGCCCGTGCTTCTCTCTTGCCGAGGCCTCCAGAACATGTCGTCTCAGTCGTCTACCAATCAGCCCGAATTCTGCCTGGATCTTCGAGCCGTAGGAGAGGAAGGCGGAGGCGCGGCCGGTGGGGGTGGGGTTGTCGGCGCAGGCGAGGAGGTGGAGGTAGTGTTTTGTGCAGGTGGATTTGGAGGCTTTGGAGGCGGAGATGGCGAGGCCGGATGCGAGGTCAGCGTCTTCAGGGATGTTGAGGATGATGTTGCCGATGGACACGGCGTCTGCGAGGGTAAAGGTCAGATGAGATGAATGATACGCGGTAACTTGGCATCCCACCTGAACGCTCTTCCGTCAAACTGGTCTGTGTAGACTCGGTGGCCTTCAGGACAGCGCGCATAACAGCAGCAGCGCCTTCATTGAACCGTTCTCTTGCAGCTTTCTCTATCAACTGTATACTATGAGCAAACACAAGCGGTTCACACGCCATAATTCCGTACCTGATTGCGAATATGCGTGTTGAACTTGTCAAAGTTGACTCGGAAGTACACTTCGTCCTAAAGGCTGTCAGGTGCGAAAACAGCACCGAGCATACCGCACTTACATTGACCTCCATTTCCTCCTCGTCTTCTCGTTTCTACTCGCCATTAGCGCATGACCCTCCTGATGCACCGTGTACACCACTCACCCTAATCTTCGCCGGCCTATAACCCGGCTGATCCCTCGCTTTCCTTTTCTGCGACCCTGTATCGTCAGCCCTGCCCCCTTACAATCAAGCCTCGCAACCCACGCACCAGCCCACATGCCGCATCCTCATCCTCCTCCCTCCTCAATCTCGCGACCGCAGCCTCCTTCGCCTCCCTTAACTCCTTCGCGGTGGGGAAGCCCGCGATCTTCGCCTTCTCCTCGAGTTCGTATTTGATGGCCTTGTCGCGCGGGGACAGGTGCCGTTTGGGTGTGGAGGGCTTGAGATAGGCGAGGGTGACGAGCTTATGTAGGGTTTGGCGGTGAAGGGAGGTTTCTGGGATGGGGGAGGGCGTCAGTGAGTGAGATTGCGCGCCACCCGGCAATGGTAGAGGGCGCACGCACCCTTGGGGCTGGACAAAGATAGCTGTTCCACTATATGTGGTGGCCGGAGCTTCCCATGGTCAAGTACCAGTTGCACGATATCTGAGCCCTGCGGTTAGCGCGCGTCAGCCAAAGTCGCGCACTCATCAATGGTGTACGCACCGCCTGCCCGAACAGCTGCCCTGCCTGCCACACCGCGCGTCCAAACCTCAGGCGCAGCATGCACTCTTCGGGGCTGATCTCGAGGACTTCGCCGTCAATTGGATCGAGCGCGTACCACAGGACATTGTGCTGCAGGAGGACGAGGCAGGCGGCGCGTACGGTGCGCGGGCGCAGGCCAGTCGCGCGAACGATTTGGGGGACAGGTAGCCGGCCGCGGGTGAGGAGGGCATCGGCGACTTTCTGGATAGATGACGGAATAAGGTGATGGAGAGCAATGATGAGCAGGGGAACTCCAGCGCGAGGGGAAATAGGCGACTCACCGCGGTCAAAGGACCGAAGTGGGAGTTGATGATCTGTGCACAGAGGCGGGCCGTTTGCGCGTCTGCCATGACTTCGATGAGAGAGTCGCGCTTCTCGAATAAATAATGAGGAGAATGGGTCTGCAGGACGCGCGCGAGGGTCGATGAGCGCGAGCGTTCCGGAAAAGCGATCGGATGCGGCGTGATCGCTGATGAGTGCACGTGGGCGTCATCATGTTCGACTCAGACTTTAACCTATAGTGTACACTGTCATCATGTCTTCCATCCTCAAGGCGAAGCAGGACATCGAGAACTCAATGAGACGCTGTCGTTTGAAACGTCTATCTTTTGACCATTGTTTATTTACAGATAAAGTTATACAGACACCTTTTTTCTCTAGTATAGGATCGCTGCTTGGAAGAATCGTTCGCGGCGTAGGACGAAGTACACTGCCCTTTTGTGAGGCATCTCGAACTCCTGGAACAAGCAATCAGCAAACTGCATCTGCCAATGGTCAGGTAACGTACTCTGTTGAACTCTTGCGGGAGGTAAGCGATAAGACGCGGGATGATAGGCAGGTCGTAACGCGGCTCGCCGACGACGACTTCCGTACGAGGGTCGCGGAGGAAGCACATATGCTTCATGGCAGTCATAACCGCAGTGACTACAGAATGTCAGGAAGGGTATAACAGAGAGGGAGAGGGACATACAGCGATGACGCCCACGGAATTTCTCCTCTCCGATAAGCAGGTGAGTACCCTGGTCATAGTCGCCCAGCCCGCCCACGAACGAGTTCATGTGGTCCTCCTTCACCCACGACATCTCCCCGTACCCTGCATGCTCTCCATTCCACGACACCAAGAAGCCCATGATATGCGGATCCGCGAGCCTGTCCGCCAGGTACTTCCGGTGCTTCTCGTCCGGCCCCCGCTCGCGCCAGCCTACATTCACGCGGTCCGAGTTCTGCCACTTCTTGTACACCTCGAAGTGCTCCGGGTTGCTCGCGTCGATGTGCGTGAAGGTGAGCTGCTCGCCGAGGGAGAAGATCCAACGGGAGTAGATGAGCTTGCCCGGCGCGGGCTTGGGCGGGCGCAGCGGGTGTGTCGTGCACACGTTCTCCGCGCGCGTGAAGGAGGTAAAGCGCGGGAAGGGCGTCATGGAGAGGGAGGGGTGGGGGATGGGATCCCGGAGCCAGTGCCGCGAGACAGGAGCGCCGGCACCCTGCCAGAATGCAGCGCGGATGATGAGCAGGTCGCGCGGGCCCGTACGGTCGGGCGGGGAGAACGCGAGGCCAGTCTGCGTGAGGTAGAAGAGGAGATCGTCCACATTCTCGAGCGAGTCGTCGAGCGCGGCGGGGATCACGTCGTCCTCGTACCGACGGATGCACAGCGCATATAGCGCGGCCCAGAGATCGTCGCGCGCCACGGTGGCGCGCGCGGGGGCCTTGACGAGTAGGACAGGCGCGTGCTCGGCGCGATCGTCGTTCACGATCCCGTGGGGGCTAGTGCGAAGCGTGCGCTCCTGCTTTTCGAAGACGATCGTCGGTGAGGTTGCGCCAGCGAGCGAGATCGCGATGGAGGTTTCGTCCGCGACGACATGGACGGGCGTGTTGTCCGGGAGGAGGAAGTCCTGCTCAGGCGGCGCGACAAAAGTCTCTGGGCGGAAGCCAGCGTACTGGGACTGCGGTTGCGCGGACATGGTGGGCGTAGGAGGGAAGGAGAGGATGGACCAATCCTGATATGGCGTAAGGCGCTAGCTTCTGCCCTTCACTGTCGGTCCGCTGTCCGATGGGCCTGGGCAATCAGATAAGATATCGGCCGCATGGACTGAGCATTCAGCACGTCAGCCCGCATACCAACGAGCCAGCTCAAAGGTGGAAGAAGGGTCTGACCGCGAGCTCACAGGCAAAGAAGAAGGCCGGCGTGCTTGGCAAACCAGTCTGCTCATTGGAATGACGATCAGTACAAGTGAGGTGTACAAGCGCGACAGTCCATACAGTCCATGAAGTAACCAGCTCAGCTTCAATCCTTGAGATCCACGACAGTGACCCTCCCGTGCATTCGAGCAAGCGCCGCATTCACTGACACCATCCCCTTCTCGTCGATGCTCACGCCGCAAGACTCGTGAATGTGACCGAAGACATGCAAGCGGCATTGCTGCAGGTCAGGCAGTCTACGCGCTAGGACAGGACATCCTGCGTGTATGCCGTGTCTCGTCTTGTCATGTAAGCGGTAAGGAGGCGTGTGCGTGAGGAGAATTTCAGTGTCCACGGTTATTCGGGAGTAGATCACTGCGCGCGGAAGGTCAGCCCGGCGAGCAGTTGAGGGGAGGGATACGCACCCTCTGCCTCGGTCTTAGTTTCATACTGGAAGGCGCCGATAGAATATCGTGCTGCCGCCTATGTTCTCGTCAGCCTCGGAAATACAGAGAGGATGGGCATACGCACTGGTGAGCCGTAAACCTTCCAACGGCGACCGGTGGGAGAAGTGATCGTGAGCGACTCATGCTCAAGGTAGCGGATGCCTTTGCTGGTGACGTCTTGGCTGCGTATGCGTTCGCGTACCCTCTCCAGGGGTATGCCATCCTGCAGGCTCGTGAGTCGCCCTTCGATCGTTCCCTCGAAGCACTGCGTGCTCACCCTGTCCTCGAAGTATTCCTGGTCCGCGGGGTCAATCTCCGCATCTAGGCAGAGCTAGCTCGCTGCGTGAGTGAAGGTCTAGAGATCGCCTCTGGCCATGCCTACATCGTGGTTTCCTGCTATGATGCTGTTGTACACCGTCAGTCGCTACTCCTCTCGGCTTGACATTGCACGCACCACTTGACTGAATGCGGCAGCTCGCCTAACCATTCCAATGTTTTCTGCAGTCTATGCGGAAATCCCTGACTGCTCAAGTCGCCCGCATGCAGGAGCACGTCCCCCGGCGGGATATAGCTGTACTTCTTCGAGTGCGTATCCGAGATGCACACGAAGCGTGTCCAGCCGTCTTCCTTGGGCGGAAGGGAGTTAGGGTCGGTGCCATCGGCAGTGTAGAGGCGAGAAGTGGAGGAGGAAGCCATGGAGATCGTAGTAAGCGCCCGTCGGCGTCATGGTTCAAGTAGGGTGGCGTGGGAAAATGCGTGTGGGCTGTATTTTCTGACCGAAATCAACTTCGTTTGCATCTTTGCTAAGGAAATGTTTGCAGCTCGAAGTTGAGGCCTCGCGTGAGATGTTGCCGAGCTCTACACCCGCAGCTGTCTTCCAAGCGGTGAGAGATATGTATGTATGTGCCGTAGATGAAAAGTAGCAACAATGTTCCCTGGTTCCATCTCGAGAATACCTGCGTGAATCGACGTGAGGTATGGACAGAACCGTGAATTCAGTTATGTATATTAGAATTTTGAGAACCAAAGGAAAAATCGAAAGAGTCGAGGCCGGTAATCGATGGAACGCTGAGGATCAGTGCACTGAGGTGAAGTCGATGGACGGTTGCACGTTCGCCATGATGGACCAGCGGCGATGCACATATGCAAGATAGCATCTAGTTTTTGTACGGAGTCCTACCGCATTCATTACGATTATGTGAAGCTTGTTGAGGACATGCTGGACGGGCGAAGTCGAGGAAACAAAATGATCTCCTCCTCTTCGGCCTCCGCCCCTTCATTGTCCAACAACGGGAGCGAGACCCGATCTTGATCGTCGTCCCTATTTGCATCGCCGTCAGAAGGCATTGAAGAGGAAGCCTGAGGCGCGCGCGGAGTTTGCAACAGCTCGAGCTCGTAGGTGTGGATCGAGCTGGCGCCACCGCTAGTGTGCGCCGACGCCACCGAACGGAATGATTCGTCGTGACTAGAGAAGTCCCTGATGTCAATAACAGGCTGAAGGTCAAGAACCACATCCGTATGGATGATACAGGGCTCTCCCAGTGAAAGCGGTCGGCAACTGAGTAGGTGCATGACCAACCGCTCGCAATCCAATCCCAACGTCAACTCGCTCTGGGCGAACATCGCCTTCAATTGAGCTGGGTGCATCGAAAGGGCATCCGAGGAGTCAACAACGTAGACCGAGTATACGTCGTCAGCACGGAGCCGATTCTCGTAGGTGAGAACAGCTGACATGCCGTGTCGCCGAAATAGATGCATATTCCAGCGCTTCAGCTCCTCGTAAACCAGGTGCAGACATGGAACGTGGATGCGGTCGCGGTGTAACACCGCCGGAGGTAACGCCTGATTTTGTGGTGAAAGTGCCTCTGGCGGGGCACGGTGACGAAGCGCGATCTCATGCTGCATAAGGGTTAGATTTGCGGAATTATGGCGGTCGCGTACGGAAAGAGACGGACCAGGGAACGAATGAACCTCAAGAAGTCTGAGCGTTCTATGCCACGCTCTGGAAAAACGACATCGAATAATAAAGAGCTGTAGTCCATACACCACATAGGATTGCGCAGCAACTCGATGATGGGATGAGGGATGAATTTCGTGAGTCTCCTGGAGCGCCCCAGTAGTCGTGCGCCGGTATCTCCATTTCCGTCGAAATCCATCGCGTGGGCCACCTGCAGCAAATCTTGATCGCGTATCTGTCGCCCATCGCCAGACAATTCGGTTTCGCTGATTGTATGCTCTTGTTCAACAGCCGCATGCAGTCCGGATGGACCATGCGCAATCTCAGTTGCCGCTGGTCCTGGGGCGAGAGCTACAGGTGCCATGACGCTTGGTCCGGAGGAGAAGCGAGAGCGATGGGATTCAAAAGATGCAGCCGAACTTTGCGTTGTTTGACTCCCGGCACTTGTAAGGATGGCGTCCGAAGACGCGAACTCCACAACCGTGGCCGGATTCTTGAATCGTACCAAGCGAGGAAATGCACTCTCAAGCACCTGTGGCATCGAAGTTGGAACTGGCCCGTGCAAAAGAGCGCGATCGTTCGGCATATCTGTTCTTCTGCTCAGTAGAGTAGTTGAATAGTATGTCGTATAAGATTATTCACCTGGGCCAGATATATTGGTTTCCCAATGAAAGCGTGAAGACACCACTGGGGGTACTTCTGATAAGTTTGTCGACAGCTCACTATCTGACATTGACGAGGTCTCCACTACGATGAAGGGGCCGCCTTCGGGAAGCAGTCGGCCATATGGCGCAAAATCGTGCGATATAGTGGAAGAGGTTGATTCGGCGACGGAAGGGTCATCAACCCTCGGCAGCTGATATGGCATCGCAACATGCGAAGGAGGTCGAAATGCCGGATTCCCGGACGGATTCGGCTGCACCAGCTGCTCCTGGGGGTATGGCGATTGCCCAGGGAGGTCGATGACAGACTGCCTTAGTTGTGGTGGCGCAGCATACAAGGGACGCGGGTGAGCGAGAATGGTGGGAGGTGCTGTGGACTGCGTAATTTCCTGTACTAGTGACATGCCATCCATTTGAGAGGGGCGAGAGTGGCGGCCACTGTTAGGCCGTCCTTGAGAGCTGTATATCGAGTCTTCTGGTAGCAGCTGTTGAACCATAGATGTCAGTCGAGCTTTCCAGGCATTATCCATGCCCTCTCCGTAGCGTGTAAAAGTCACACTCATGGCAATCAGATAGGCCATGCCGAGGCCGAACATGCATGCCATCGAGATACGCGTCGCAGAGGTGGCAGAATCGCTTTTTGAGCGATCCGTGTCATGCGAACCCGTTCGCCAGGCATAGGACATGATGCTGAAGATGAACAGGATGAGTGACCTTTTGAATTTGAGTGCTTGAACTGGGAGCGCAACAGTCTTCCGACCCACCATGCGAGCCACACGACAGGCATAGCTAAAAGAACCCAAACGTTCCACCAGATGGCCTCGCGTTGCTTTTGTGCTTCCTAGCACTGACTCAGCACGACGGAGAGAACACGACACTCTACACGCTCACCTCGGCCCAAGCGGATGCCTTATGCATCCGCTTCATCGTTCCAAAGCGAATGATGTACAAGCAACCGTACAATAGGGACATCAGAGCAGCTGTGAGGGAGAGGAGACACGCTGTCCTCGTCACGATATCCGAAGCAGCATCGTCAATCTATAGTTCATGTTAATCAGTATCATGCGACCGCAGAGATCGGAGGATTGGAGACTATAGTACCTGTAGCATCGAGACTAGCGCACTGGAGTCAAAGGTCATTGATCCGTCGATTATGACAAATAAGCGACACGTACGACAGGAGGAGTGCGGAAATAATATTTTGGGTTTTCCACTCACGAAGAAGAGAGTCAATGAAAGTCTCCCAAGAATCCCGGAAGCGATGCATCGCAGGAGTCACCTGCGACGCATATTGAGGAGCAGTACTCCAGTTGGAGATGTGGTGTAACTGGGCCAAAGCTTCCTGTCGCTCCTTCCGACCCTTGTCCTTCCATCCAGAGGCAGTAGTTCTCGCTAATTTCTGAACCTCCGCCATGCTCAACTCGGCGTCTTCCAGCACGCGAGCGACCCTTCCGTGATAGAACACGGGCATACGGAATAGCAGCATGAGATAGAGAAATAGTGGCAACCTATAGGTCAACGTTGTGCATAAGTCGCTGAAGAAGCGATCGCCAAACTTCCCCGAAGTCGCCTGATATCTTTGAGTTTGGACCTCAAGAGGTGAAGGGGTAGAAACTTTGAGTGGTAGCCAGTATTGCCGCTGGGGGTATCGCGTGAACGGTAATGTGTCTTGAGCATGTGGTCCATGAGCGTAAGTCCCACCAGAAGAAGACCTCCTTGTCGGCGCGGCACTGGAGAACATGCTGGGGTGAGATTCGGCGACACGCGCAGGAGGTGAAGTCGGCAAAGACGCTGAAAATGGATCGCCGCGCGTATACACCATTCGTTCGGGTGCGACAGCCTGAGCTGACGGTCTGGAAGAAGGAGTACGAGCCATCGACGACTTTCTTGCGTCGCGCAGAATGCTCTCGGAACCGCCGGTAGCTGGAGGGCGCGACCTGCTCTCTGATGGAGCTGAAGATCGTGGTCTAGCGTTTCTGTCCTCTTGATCCCTTTCGGGCCTGGTGAAGGCAGAAGTGCTCCTCGCGGGCTCGTGCGTGGTACCGCTGTCGGCGAGAGGCGCTGTATTCGGATCGGAAATCCCACCATGACGATTACGGACACCGATGGTGGCCGGTGATTGACCATAAGCTTCCCTGGGGAAGCGCTGAAAAACTGGGAGTAGTCAGTCGGTTGTACACGCATGAGATGACAGAGAAAAACGCACAATGGTGGACTGAGGTCGTCCAACCCGACGGGGTGGGTCCAGAGTTCGAGTCCGTGGTCCTGCTGGACACAGAAGACATGAGAAACGGTGTTCTCTTGAATCACAGGCTGAGATGCTCGATATAAGACAGCGGCCGGGGCTTTTATAGACGCTGAAGCTGTTCAGCCCTGTTATGGTTCATCAAGGAAAACAGCACAGCATGTCACCCGCAACGGTGCCCACGGTCATCCGGGCACGATGCTGAGAACTTGACAGAAGCGGCCATAACGATGTTGTGGATCTAATCAGGAGCGCTGGTGTTCAAGTTGGGCTGTCGCGTTGTATGAAGTTGAAGCCCTTCATGAACATTTCTACGCATTTTATTGCTGAAATGCGAGAAGTCGCCGAAGGCAGAAATAATGTGGCATGTTGGTCACCGAAAGACCATATTCCACCGATCTCAGGGAGGCGGGAATCTCCGGCTTCGTGTGATTTTGTGACTTCAACTGTGACACTTCATTAGATATCAGCCGCGCCACTGGCAAGACGCCTTTCGATACGTATTGCCATCACTGCTATGTACCGGATGGGGATATACTTAGGCAGTCCTAGCAGTCCTAGCTCGATGTGAAGCGAGCAGACCACGTTACGCGAAGAGTGAGGGAAAATACTTCAGAGGTCATCGTAAGGCAGCATATCCTATTTTGTCACGTACATCAGTAGTCGTTATGGACATTAGGAAGTACAACATGACTTGTTTGCGACCATGAAGTACTCATGCTGTTCATTCTGAGCTTTCACCCCAGTACTTATTTCACCGCCGAACAACCGCATCGACGGGGCGCTCACGGGCGGTGTTCTGCACTCGTGCGCTGGCCCTTTCCCCGGCCGAATCAGACTATGGCGTAGATATGGCCGGGATCACCGAATCTGACTGTGCGGTATCGCGACGACCGCTCGAGCCCTCGTCTATGGTGGATAGTTGATGGGGTCTATAAGGAGACGTCCTGCGCGACGAGGCAGACGACGGATCCGACCGACCCGTCGGACTACGCGGTGGCGCCGAATCCGGGAGAGGCATCGGTGGAGAGGCAGGGATTGGCGAGGAAGTCCAGCGCTGTCGACTCGGGCTGCCCTGAAGGCGCTCGATGTCGATGACCACATCGGCCTGAATTCGCTCCCTGAACGCCGACGGAGGGCGGCTATCGTACAAGTAGATCACAACCCCCTCGGCATGGTGCATGGGGATGCTGTCGCTGAAGAGGGCCTTGATGGATTCCTCATCTGCTAGAAGTGTGTTCGGCATGTCGACGAGGTACACGGCGTACCCATCCTCTGCGTCATGACGCGTGATATAGGTGAGAACCGCGGACATCCCGCGCTGTCGAAAGAAGTGCTCGTTCCATCTCTGCAACTCGGCGAATACGGCGTCTGAGTCGGCTTGCGAGCGGGATCGTGGGCGTCCACGGTGTGAGGTCCCTGCGGAGCGTGACCGGGGAGAGCGACTGCGCCCCGCAGAAGCATACGCGCGCATCTATGGTGAGCATGTCAGAATGGCCCTGGTACCGCGCAGAAAGACGAGAGCTCACCACGCTCGAGGTAAAAACATCATGGTCATGATACTCAATGCACCGTTCATAGAAGATGGTATCAAAGAGCTCTCGATCACGATCGCTGTCCACAAGTCGCTCGTTGGTGATCAGATCGACTACCTGGCGAGGCCTGAAGCCAGTGAACGGCCCCCGGCGCGTAAGCTTGCGCGCGAAAGCCGCCTTCACAGGATTTTCGTGAAGGGCTTCAGTTTTCGACTCCCACTCGGAGGACACCAGAGGCTGACTGTGGATGATTGGCGGAGGCGGAGGCATCGCTGGCCGTTCACGATGGGACAAAGCAGACTGCGAGCGCGAGCGCGAACGGCGGTCTACGGGTGATATCTCGTATCCCGCCTCGGTCGAATGGCTATGCCGCGATGGGTACGGCACAACCGTCGGCGCCTGTGAAGGGGCCTGGAACACGATAGAGGGGCCTTGCTGAGGCCATTGCATCTGCTGTGGAGGTAATGGTACCGAGGGGATATACTGGCTGAAGCTGGGGCCTAGGTATGGGAGGGGAGGAGGCCAGTTGGTGGGCGTCATGGAATGCAGCGGACTGGGAGCCTGAGGTATGAACGGCTGCTGCTCTGGTATAGTCTGCGCTGGATACCCAAGGCGGACGTTAGGCCGGCGAGAGGACTTGACCTGCGGCTCAGAGAGTGTTTTGCTTGCTGTCGGGGTGGTCGGTTCGGGGGAAGCGGGCGGCAGACGTGGCGGGGGAATCACATCCTCGTCCGCTTCTGAGTAGGAAGAGTGCCGTCGCTGTCGCCGCCGAGTCGTCGTGGACGATCTTCCCGAGCGCACGGTGTCCGTGGAAGTTCTCGTCGTCGAGGGTGTGTACGATGTTGCTGGGCTGTACGTTGGATAGTGGCGTACGTCGGCCTCAGAGCCGTATGTATGACTCTCCCTACCATACGAGCCATGAAGAGGATACTGCACCGGCGTCGTAGGCGAATATGGCGGTATGGTCGGCGGTACAGAGTATGGCGTCTGCCAATTTGACGGGTACGCGACACTCGAAGCATACGGGGTCGTCGCTGGGATGATCGGATATTGCTGCGAGACCTGACTTGGGCGGAAAGGCTGACTGGCGCTCGGCTGGCCATACGCGTTGACCGCTGTGCCGTCAGGGAGGATTTGCGCGATCATGGAAGACATCTGCCGCTTCCACGCCTTGTCCATCTGGTCGCCGTACCGCGAGAAGGTCTTCGCCATGGCCGCGAGGTAAAGCACTCCAAGGCCTAGGATGCAAGTGATGCCGATGCGAGTGCCGAGGGCGGCCTCTTTGCTGGTCGTGCGAGCGTCGGGGTCGGAGACGGAGCCTGTGCGCCAGACGTAGGACATGATGCTAACAATGAACAAGATGATAGACCTGCAACGGCGTTAGAAGTATTTTGGGAAGCGATATGAAGTTCGTCACCAGGTGAGCCACACGACAGGCATGGCTAACAGCACCCACACGTTCCACAGAATGGCTTCGCGACGCTTTTGCGCTTCCTGAAATGTTATCAGTACTGTGGATGCGGGCGCGAGAAGGGAATGTGAGCTCACGTCGGCCCAGGCGGAGGCCTTGTGCATGCGCTTCATGGTACCAAAACGGATAATGTAGAGACACCCGTATAGCAGCGACATAAGTGCCGCGATCAGCGCCAGTATACAGACTGTGCGTGTAACGACGTCGTCTGCGGCTACGTCGATCTGGATATCAGGTCAGAGGCCAGGTGCACCTGTGATTTCGATCCTCACACCTGTAGCATCGTCAAAAGCGCACTGGGACCGTCCATGGTGTCAGGTCGGGTAAACACTAAAAATGGCGTCACGTACGAAAGCAAAAGGGCAGATATAACATTCTGAGTCTTCCACTCGCGTAGAAGGGAGTCGATGAAAGTCTCCCACGAGTCGCGGAAGCGCCGCATAGCAGGAGTCACTTGTGAAGCGTATTGGGGAGAAACATTCCAGCTGGTCATATAGTCAAGTCGACTCAGCATCTCCTCTTTGGAAGACTTTTTCTTCGTATCCTTCGCCTTCCATTCCGACGCCGTTGTCATCGCAAGTTTCCGCACGTCCGCGAGGCTCATCTCAGCGTCCTCGAGCACGCGGGACACCCTTCCGTAGTAGAAGACAGGCATCCGAAAGAGGAAGATCTGATAGACGAAGAGGGGCAGCCGGTAGGTTATAAATGTGTAGAGGACGCCGAGGACGTTGTCGCCGAATTTGGTGGACGTCGTCTGGAACTGCTGAACATCGTGACCTGGAGGGACGTACAGTCCACTGGGTGTCACTGTGTAGTGCTGCGAAGCCGGAGGCGGAGGCGGAGCATACTGTGCCGAAGGATACTGAGGCGTCGGAGCGGGCGCCTGCGGATACGAGTATGGAGGTATCACTGGAGGCAGGGGCGTAGCTATGGGCGACGGAGGAGACGACGCGGCTGAGAAGGGAGCACCAGTGCTGTACGCCACGCTCTCCGCGGTCTGATAGTGCGGTGATGGCACTGGCAGAGACGGTATAGGAGCTGGCGGTATAAAGACCGAAGGAGGCGGAGGTAGGTCGCCTGTAGAGCTTCCCCCCGTATACGCGCCGAATGTACCTGCATGTCTCGATGGACTTCGCGAGCGGCCACGAGATGCTGAAGCATAGGAGTCTTCGGTCTCGCGGCGCCGTGGGCGTGTGCGTCGGCGCGCGCGTTCAGCCCTTCGCATCCTTCTTGCGCTGGTATACGCTGATTCGGTCTCAGTTTCCGACGGTGAAGAAACGCCTCTCAGGGGACTTTCTGTATATACTAGCTTTGGGTAAGCGTGCGATTGCTTGGTGCAGAGAACGTGACTTACAACGTTCTGAAGGAGCGTCTCGGGCTGACGCCCTCTCGGAGAACGACATGTTGAATTTGTACGAAGACAAGCAAGAGGTAGGCTAGTGCGCCAGGAGGGAGTTCAGACAATCCCCAGGTCATCAGCCACTTATAAGCGCCCTCAGTGATAGATGGTCGAAAGGCACGCGGCCGAAATTTTCATCAACGTTGACAATGTTGATGGCATTCATGCGTGGTCCTTGATACAACATCCGATAAGTGCGGGTTTGACGCCGGCGCTGCTGCTGGGCGCTAAAGACGCTGCGCTGCAGCACCGAAATACACCATCGGCACATGAGTGTCGAGACTGAGTTCAGTCGGGCTCGGAAATGTCCGAATGAGCGCCGCAAATCCTCGGAGTCCGAGGGTAACCGATCACGTGGCGGATCCTGGGAAAACGCCCCTCTTGTTTCGAACCGCGAGCGTTCATGTCGGTTGCCCCTTGGCCAGACACATCGAACACGATATGAGTATGAAAAGAACAATTTCTGATAGACCTCAAGTTGGCGGGGATGGGCCGCCCAAGAAGAAGGCGCGCAAAGGCAAAGGACCGGCGCGCGAAGCCAATGAACGGGCCCAATGGCCCGAATACTTCGAATCGGTTTGTGTCAGTTTCCTTACAATTCATGGCATGACACTGAAGTCAAAATATAGCTCTTCAAGGTGAGCTAGCTCATGGTGATAAACCTTCCGACCCAACCATCGCTTCAGGTCTTCAAGGTTAGCCCATAGAAGTGCCTCAAATGGCTCGTTCTGAGTTCAACCGTACAGGCGCTCAATACCGTCCTCGCATTCGTCTCCTCCAGAAAACACCTGGCGACTACATTCCCTGTTGTCCGAAGCTCTGTCGAGGGACTACTCAAAATGTATGTGCTCCCAGCCCTCAATACCGACCGAAGACTAAATTACGCCGAAGGCCGCTGAAGCTTGAAGTGGTCGCTGAACTCAAGTGAGTGATGCGCACAGGCTCTCTAGCGTGGCGTGACGATCTCTGTCAGGGCGCTTCTGCCCGACTTGATCAAGTTCGCCTATATACCGAAGAACGAATTGCTCGTCAGCGACGGGCAAAATCAGCGAAGTAAATCCCCTGATTTTGGAAAGTACCTGAGTACATCCAGCGATGGCGCCGCAGTCCATGAACACGTCCTGATCCTGGAATTTGCGGACAACTCCAAAGGGAAGAAGTCTGCCGCGCAAGGGTATTGTTACAACGACTGCTTTATTTCAGGCGCACTGACTTTATCGAAGGCAGCTTATCACTATGCCACCCGCCATGACTCCTGCGGCTGTGAAGAAACTGGTCGAGAAACGAAATGAGAGATTCGTACAAGCCGTGGACGAGTACGATCTGTTGTATGTATCCTTGGTGTACACGCTCACGTCAATGCACAGCCTTCTCAAAGCAACTCAGCCTCCAGAAGACCCCGTGCAGCTATTACAGGCAGCAGGGCGCGACCACATACCCGTTCACCCCGGCGTCAGCCCCGAACAGGCGCCCGTCCGTGACCTACATATTCCCGACGCGGCGAGCCGGCCATCTATTGATGAGCTCTTGACCGAGATAGAGAAAGAGGAGTGGTACAAGAACCAAATGGTGGCAAATAAGGTGTTCGAGCCACGCAAAAGCAGGACAGGTATGCTACGCCGTGGGATACCTCTATGTGAGGTGACTAACGCGATACTCAAGCTCCGCTCGCGAATCCATTACCAGACGCCCTTGCGCATGCACTGTCTGCTTCCAGGGGGATCTCAGCCTTCTATATCCACCAAGCTGCCGCTATCGACGCACTGGATGCCGGTCGCAACGTCATCGTCTCGACTAGTACAGCCTCAGGGAAGAGCGTAATCTATCAGGCATTTACAGACCTTCACTGCTTCGGTGCAATGCAGCTGATAGATTGCAGGTTCCCACTCTGCGATGTTTACTTGAAGATTCCAGTTCGCGAGCAATCTTTGTGTATCCTACTAAGGTACGCAGTAGCTTCATTGGCTTAATGATGTCCGTTGACGTCTCGGAATTCCATAGGCCCTCGCTCAGGATCAGAAGGCGGCGTTACAGCAGCTCTTGGGTAGCTGCGCGGGTCTGGAACATATACAGGTGTGGTGCGTTCTTGGGCTCGTCGCTTTGACGAACTGACGCGTGTAGGTCGATACCTACGACGGCGATACTCCTCAAGAGCGCCGCAGACAGATTCGAGAGCGAGCGTCCATCATCTTCACGAACTTTGTGAGCGACATGCATGCCCCAAAGTTGGTTACTTACTAATGGCTTCAGGATACTTTGCATGCGTCCATACTACCACACGAGGAACTATGGCGACCGTAGGTCATCTAATACCCCTTCCCTGCTGATTAACTGACGGACTCTAGTTTTCTCCAGGACCTCAAGGTAAGTTCGACACACCTCCTGACTCTCGGTGCTCACCAAGTTCCAGATCTTCGCCATTGATGAGCTCCATTACTACACTGGGCTCTTCGGAAGGTGATTATCGTCTTGGCTGGCCTGGTTTCCCTGCTGTGTCACTGACAAGCGCTACAGTCATGTCGCGTACATCCTACGACGCTTCCGCAGATTATGTGCCGCCGTTGGCAGTGCGTACCCTATTACAACCCTTCATCCTTCCCAAAACCCATATTGACCTTCCCCCTTCAGACAACCATGTCAAGTTCGTCTCCTGCAGCGCCACGATCTCCAACCCCCGCCAGCACATGGAACGCATAACCGGCCTCCCCCCGTCCGACATCGACATCGTCACCGACGACGGCGCGCCGTGTGGCGAGAGGGAGTTCGTGGTCTGGAATCCGCCCCCGGTGGACGAGGATATGCCGATGGCGGGGAGGAAAAGTAGTATTGGGGAGGCGACGCTGTTGATGAGGTATTTGATGAAGCGTGGCGTGAGGGTTATCTTGTTTTGCAAGGTAAATAGTGGCTGCTGCCCATGCCCAATAGCCGTACTGACGCGCAGCAAAGATACGCAAGGCTTGCGAGTTGGTCCGTCGCCGTTCCAACCTCATCTGCAATCGCTGACGGCGACATAGGCTATGAAGACTCTACGAGCGCAACTCAGCGAGGAAGGTCGATACGATATCCTCGATCGTGTGCGGTCATACCGCGGAGGTGCGTATACTTGTTTAGACGTGACAATCAGCTTACCAGCCATTTCAGGGTACTCGCAGGAGGATCGGCGTGCAATTGAGCGCGATGCCTTCTCTGGTCATCTACTCGGCATCATTGCCACAAATGCCCTCGAACTCGGTGTCGATATAGGCGCGCTTGACGCCGTCATCATGCTCGGATTCCCCTTCAGCGTAGCGAGCTTCGTACGTGCCTCAATATCGGCGCACTATTATGAAGCTGACTGCCTACAGAGGCAACAAGCCGGCCGCGCTGGTCGTCGCTCCAGAGACTCGCTCGCGATTCTAGTTGGCTACGGTGATCCACTCGACCAACATTACATGGAGCATCCCGAAGAGTTATTCGATGGTCAAATCGAAGACCTTGTCATTGATCTCGAGAGCAAGGTTGTTCTGGAAGGTCAGCATTCTGCAAAAACCAGTGTAATACCGTGCTGAAGCCGCTCCCGTCCCAGCCCACCTACAATGCGCGGCCCACGAAATGCCGTTATCCGCCCGAGACGACGTTTACTTTGGCCCGCAAATGCTTGAGATCTGCGACAGCCGACTCTCAAAGGACGATGACGGATGGTGAAGTTCCCGTACATCGTACTTCGTCATGTTCACTGACCGGTCCCGACGCTCCAGGTACCACACTCACCCAAAGTTCCTCCCTTATCCCGCGCAATTTATCTCTATCCGTGGGATGCAAGAAGAGAAGTATCTCGCTGTGGACGTGACCAAGCCGGACGCGCCGAGGACGCTCGAAGAGATCGAGATTTCGCGGGCACTCTTCGAAATTTATGAAGGAGCAGTGGTAAGTCCCACAATCCAGGTAACGAGTACGGCGCGGACTGACAACTATTGCAGTTCATCCATCAGGGAATGACGTTCATGGTAAGCGCGTCGTATACATCTTCCGGCCTCTTCCTAACCTGCTGCAGGTCAACGAAATCAGCCACGACGACCGCATCGCACGCCTTGTCAAAGCGGACGTGAACTGGGTAACATCGCCTCGCGATTACACGTATGTTCTTCCGCTGTCCCAAGTTACCGGTCCTCTGATCGCCTTCCAGAGACGTCGATGCCAAACAAACATATCGCATTCGCGAAGTACAGGGCTCATACAGAGCATACTATGGCCGTATGTTCAGTGGCTTGTTCAATGGCAAGCACGAGCCTCACGCTTCTCGTTACAGGCGTGGAAGTCATGACGAAGGTTTTCGGATTCTTCAAGATCAGGAATAACTCTATCCTGGACACTGTCGACGTTGACAGCGAGCCGTGGCTACGAGACTCGACCGGCTTCTGGGTTGACTTGTCCCAGCGAGTTCTCGATGTGCTACGTGCCAAGAACATCATGGTCGCCGAGGTACGCTCTCAGTGCAGTTGCTTAAGCATTCTCATCATCGTGTCGCTCTAAGGCCATACATTCCGCTCAGCATGCCTTCCTCAACCGCTTTGCGCTGGCTCAAGAGGTTCGCACCGAGTGCAAGGCCCCAGAGAAGGAGTACATGTCGAGGGAAACGTCAAGGAAGAGGCCTGCGAGGTTAGTGAACCACATCCATACGAAGGACTGACACTGACTCAGCAACCCAGATTGATCTTCTACGACTTGCCTGGCAAGGGCGGAGGAGTGACGTCGAAAGCTTTCGACAATGGTGGGTGTCATGCAGCACGATTCACACCGCATCCTGATGGCTTGCTCCCAGTCCATGATATCTTCCAGAAGGCCGCCGACGCCATCGCATCTTGCAACTGCGAAGAAGGGTGTATCAAATGTACGCTTTCGATGTTCTTGTGCCGAAGTAGCGCAGTTGACGATCTCTCGAAAAGGCATCGCCAGCACCGCCTGCAAAGAGAAGAACGAAGTTCACTCCAAGATTGGCGCCCTCGTTATCATTCGCGACATCCTCGGGCAACTCACCGACATCAAACACATCCCTGACCAACAGCCCTCACGCGGTCACGTCGACTCCATCGTTGTCGCGCATCCCGTCAAAGCGGCTGAGGGGGTCACCGTTGAGCACACGCACACGCATGAGCACACGCACGCGATTGAGCACACGCATGCCTTCGAAGACACCGACATCGTCGAGCAGAAGCCCAACATAGCATCCATATCCTCGTAACAGGTAGTCCATTCCCGCCGTACCATAGATACAAGACAACATAATGATAGTAGGAAGCTCTATGCAAGTGGATCGAAATCGCCCCATGCGTCCTTGCCTGGTGGCTTTTGCGCGTTCCATGTCGGCTGCGCAGGTCGTGAGGGCGTGAGCATGCTACCCAGCCCTGGCGGTGGCGTCGCGCTCATGGGCTGAGCAAACAACGGTGGCGACGACGCGTTAAAGGCGGGCAATGATGGTGCTACAGGGGTACTCGGCTGCATTGGCGCCATCCCCGACGACGACGCGCCGAACGGTGCACTCGGCAACGATATATTGTAGTTCGGCCCGCCGTAGCTGGGTTGCGATGGCGCCTGGGGTTTCGCCGGTGTCATGGTATACGAGCTCGTCGATTGGACGGAGCCACCCGTCATCGTCGGCTGCAGCGGTGGCGTGGAAAAGGACATGGGAGCTGCGCCCGTGGCGGGCGGAGATGAAGGGTAGTTAAATGAGGTCCCGCTTATAGGTTTGGCGCCCAGCTTCGAGGGCCGATGTTGCATATCTGGTCTGTGCAAGGATAGAGACGCCGCGGCGTGGTGAGGTGGCCCGGACGAGAGTGCTGGTGAGTTCGGTATAGATGGTGTCGCCGAAGGTGTTTTAGAGGTCTGGAAAAAGGCATTAGCAAGGGGAATCACTGCACAAAGGTAAGCCACGCACAGTATCACCAAGAATGCTCCCCCAAACATCGTCGTCCCATGAAGAGGTGTTCTTGGACTCTGTTGTATTGCCACTCGTCGTCGCAAGGGGCGGAGCCACCGACGTGCCATTTGCCCGCCCAACAAGGCTCTCAAAGTCCATGTTGACCGCGGATGGAATAGCAGAGCCATTCGTCGTCTGCGTCGCCGACTTGTCCTCTATCCGCTGAGAGTCACGCAGGAACTGATTATGCTCCGCCTCGACGCGATCGCCGAGCTTGCGGATGACCGCCATGAAGCGCTGGAACTGCTCGACGTTGAGCACTGCAAATTCATGTCAGTGATGATTGTGAGAGAGCTTCAACGTGGACCTACAGGGCCCCATGGACATTGCCCACAGTTGAGGTAGCACCAGGGTAGCCACAGCCTCTCGGTCAACCTTCGAGCCCATGGCTTCTTGCACCGAGAGCGTTGCCATCTACACCTTGTCGTCAGCCTCTGTAGTAACCCCTCGACGGTAAGATGCTGACCATCACTGCAGGCTCCTTCGTCCTGATCTTGGATAGTAAGGGCACCAGCTTCTGCGTCAAACTCGTTTGGTCCAGTGTCTTCACCATCACCAAGAACGTGGCGAGCGTCGCGACCTTGACGCTCAAGACCCGAGTCTTCGTGAAGACGAGCTGGGCAAACATTAGCGACACGTCCTCGAAGGGTCAATGTAATACGTACCGCGACGCGAGGGAACATGACACCCTGAATCTCCGCGTAGTCGATCGTCTCGCAGAGATCGGGAACCACAGCAAGAGCTCGCTCTTGCACTACAGTATGCTCGGACTCAAGCGCATTGTACACCAACGGCAGGACCTCTGCGAGACAGGTCAGTACCTTACGCAACGGCCCTGACCGGCAAACGTACGTGTCCTGAAGACCTTCTTCTCCGTCTTCTCTTGCAACAGCTTCAAGTTATCCAAGAGCGTAAGCATGTTTTGCGGCGGCTCCTTGACCGCGAACAATGGCTTCAGGCTCGGTAGGACGAGGTTCGCGAACTGTTGCGGGCTCAGGGCATTCGAGATGGCGAAGACGTTGGGCAGGATATAAGGTAGGAGGTGGGTATCTTTCATCTGTTCGAATGATCAGTATGACAGCAGGCATAGCTAGGTGAACACGTACTTCTTCCAACAAAGACGGTAATATTTTGCGCGTGCGCAGGCCCTCGCTAAAGCGGTCCAAGACCGAGGTCAGGCCTTTCATGAAAGAGATCTTCTCTTCCCTCGTCTTCGTCGTGAAATTCGTCCGGTCGAGGAAGTTCAGCGTCGAGATCGGCAGTGAGTTGAAGAAGGGCAAAGTGGGGAGGGATGAGGGTGTCGGTCGTTCGGCAGCATGTCGTGTGATTAGCAACCGCAGAAGGGCTGCAGATCATAGTCCCGTGTCAATCATACAGCTTGGGTGAGCGACGGAGCGACGCACATTGTAGATCAGGATCAAGGCGCTCAAGGCTAGGTATGGGCTTGCCAGCATTATCGCGCAGTCCACTGAGACTACCCCGGGTCTTGAAAGGCGGGGAGCCTTTGCAGTGTACAGCATAGAGCAGGCATCCTAGCGAGTACATATCCGATGCTGTTAGCAGCTGCTCGTCCAGAGCGTATTCGGGCGCTAGGTTGCATGAATACAAGTTCGATCGTGCATGCCAAGCAGCTCACCCATGTAGTCGAACGACCGCTGGATGTAAGCTGGCACGCGACTGTCAAACGTAGGGAACTCCCAGCGAGTGGGCTGGCCGTCGCTATTGAGCAGAGGGATCGTCAATCCTAGGCCCGAGACTTTCCAGTCTCCCTGATAGCATTGCGAAGTCAGCGACTCGCATAGGGTGTTGCTGGGAGGTACACGCACTGCACTGTTGATCACGATGCTTTCAGGGTTGATGTTGGAGTGTATAAGCTTGGCGGAAGAATGCAGGAACGACAGGCCCTTGCATATTTGCAGGACACCCTTCTGGATCTACGGAGGGAACGACTGTCATTGAGTAAACAACAGCAGATACTAAGCTTGAATGGGGGAACGCACCTCGATCTCGTCTAATTCAACCAATGATGCGTGCCTGCCTGCTCCAGGGATAGCAGACTCGAGAGCGCAGATAATGGGTTCGGTCGCAAAGGTCAACTCGCTGCGCGTCTCCTCAAGCGGCTCGACCATTTCTTGAGGGTACATCTCAGCGTATGTGGGCGGTGAGTGTTTGATGGACTAACCGAGTATAGATGGGTGACGGAGCCTGGAGAGTGCAGAGGCCTGTAGAGCTGCTATGAGCATCTTCTCCATTCCTTCGACGCGACACGCACCTCTGCCTTGAGTATCTCCAGCGTCCTCTCCTTCGCCAAAGGCCCCAGACGCTCCATCTCGGCCCCCCGCTTATCAAAGCTCCATACTGACACGCGCTTATTGGTGACCTTATGTGACGCCGACTGCACCTTCCACAGGCCGATATTCACAGAAGGCGTGAAGGGGGTCGATGGTCCCGATCCTGGCGTCCCAGGCGCTGGGGAACCCGTCCGGCTGCCAGCCGTACTGCTCAGACCGCCGCCAATGTTGTAATTCTGCGAAACATTCGTGCGCGCGAAGAAGGACGTCGCTGCCGCGAGCATGACGACGAGGAGAAGATGTGCAAGGCACTGAGGTGCAGAGAACAAGTCGACAGAAGCGCGTCGCTGCGCGCGTGGCGCTGCTCGGTGGATTCCGAGAATGCCACGTGACCAAGTTGAACTTCGTCGAAACAATTCCCCCGGGGCCCCGAAAATTCACTTGGCACCCTTGCCGCTGGGATATCTCTTACAAGCTTCATACGCGCTCGGAGATTGTCGAAGGCAACACAGAATCACAACATTGTGGCATATGGTACACAGTAAGTAATGTTACAGCCAAGGTACAAGGAGAGGTTTACTAGATCGACAGCGTCAGCGTCTCGGGTTGTGTCGGCTAGTTTACGGCAAAGGCTCACCAGGACGTAGCGGAAGGACGGGTTCTTCCAGTCGGACAAATCCTCCTTGTCAAGCGCTTCTTTGTCGTACTTCAGCTTGCCTTCCGCGACAGCACGGTCTCGCCTGCGGTTGGCACGCCAAAAGATGAAGCGGAGGATGAGGATGATGATGATCTACGCAAATGATATGAGTCCATGATTATGGGCGACGCAGTCCATCGAACATACCTCGACACCGCGCGACGTCAAGCAAGCGATAATACCGCTGCGATACTCAGGCGCCTCCGAATCGAAGAACAAGAAGGGCCCAATGATGTTGCCCGCAGCGACACCCAAGAAGACCGCCGCGGATGCGAGCGCTTTCTTGGTCGTTCCGCCGACGTTACCTGAAACGAGTGAAAGGCCGACGACGAAGGTGGCGTTCGAGGCGCCCGTGATCCCTGTAGGGTCGTCTGAGGAATATGCAGGATGAGAGCGAAGGGAACGCACAGTATCCAAAGAGCCGCAACCCCTTGTTCTTGGTGAAGGCGATCAAGGCGAAGCCGATGACAGTAGGGACGTTAGTGAACACCATCATCCATGTACGCGAGCCCTCGGGAAGGCGCTCGTTCCCGAAGATAGCGAAGAGGATGCTAGAGAAAGTCAATTGTCGGGTCGTACTTAACGACTGAAGCAACGCACAAAAGGACGATGATAACACCGTAAGGAATTTGCATCAGCGTCGTATTGAGTGTGTTGAACCCAAAGCCCTTGACAATGAGCGTGCCAAAGTTCGACGTGCCGCCCTAAAAAACGCATCAGCATTCACCCTTTTCTCCGCTCCTCTCACATCTCACACTTATAACTCACATTGGGGATATTCGCCGTCAACCCGAACAAGAAGAACAAGTACGTCTTCGGGTCGATGAACGCCTCCAGCACCTGGCTTGCGTCCCACTGGCGGCGCTCCTTCCCCGCGTGGTCGTGCCGCTTGCGGCTGAGAATCGTGAGGCGCTCCTCGCGGGTGAACCACTTCGTGAGGTGCGGTGAGTCGGGGACGAAGAAGAACATGATGATTGCCCAGAGAGTGCAGAGAGCGCCGATGATGATGAACTCGTACTTCCAGGAGTGCTGGCCGCCGTTGATCTAGGGATGAGTGTTAGTATGTTGCTTGGTGAAAGCAAGCCAATTGAACTGACCTGGCCGATGCCATAGCCGAGAAGGCCACCGATGGCGATACCGATACCATTGGCGCTGTACCAGTAGCCAATGCGCCTCGGCTGCTGTGCGCGAGTGTACCACATCCCTTCGTAGCGTCAACAAATTTGCTATGCTGTCCAAGACGAAGCGCCGCTAACCTGTGATCATGACAAAGGCCGGATCAGCGGTCGCCTCAGCAGCACCAGAGATCGTCCGCAGGACCGCCATGTCGAGGAAGTTCCGGCTCGCCGCTTGCGCCATCAGGAAAACACCCCATAGGAAGATCTGGGGAGGGTGGTCAGGAAGATAGCAGACACGAAGTATCTACGTAGACTCACGTTGAACGCCAGGTACTTGTTGATGGGGAACTTCTGCATCAGCAAGTTCGTTGGGAGCGCCCACGCCAGCCATCCAACTGCGTGTACGGTCACACGGCATTGCTTCATGCGCGAAACCCCACTTACAGTAGAACAAACTGGAAAGCCAGCTCTTCACCCGAGGTCAGCCCGAGCGCAGCATGAACGAAGGAATGGACGACGTACGTATTCCTCGCCGTTGAGCTTGAGGTCTTCCTTGATACCAAATATAGCTGGGGAAGCGATGAGCACGAAGCGAAGGACGTCGAACACTGCACGGACCGGCATAAGAGAGGGTCGTCTTGTCACTGCACGAATGAATGGTCAGCAGGGCCCCGCGAGCAGAGCCTGTAAAGCGCACATGTAGTAGAACTGAGAAAGGTTGCATGAGCGAGCGAGTCAGCGCTGGTGGCTAATCAGGACGTACCGCATAGCAGATGGCCAGGCATGGCATGATGAGCAACTATCCGACTCGTGTCAGCTACGAGTATGCTGAACACAAGGTGGCAGGCCTACATCAATCCTGCGCTCAATCCGCTTGACGTCCTTCGCATTGAGCTCCGTCTTGTTCATCTCGACGACATCGTCCATGAACTGCTTGGACGGGTTCTGCTTGAAGACCTTGCCCCAGAACCCGGGATGCGCGTCCACGTCGAGCGCAGTGTCGCGGTCGTTCCAGTCGCGCGTCGTGGGTTCCGCCACTTCCACTTCCTCGATTGTAGGTTTCTCCGCGTCCTTGAACGAGGGAGGGCGCGAAGCATTGTGGATCGACGAAGGCATGGGTACGATGTCTTCCGGCGCGAGGTGGTGATGCATGATGAGGACGGAGGCAAGACTCGCCTACCTTACCCACCTCTCTTTGGCGCGTTATGTACTTGTGCGCAGAGCGCGTACGTCGCGTGCTCCCACGGCGGACCGCCGCGGGCCACTTGTCCCCATTGAGTCTTAGCTGCAGGTAGGGACAAGGGGGTGGATGTTCGACTACAATTGAGTGGCATGACAGGCGAGAAGGGACGGGTCATGGGAACGACACCCTGCGTGTTCCAGTTATAACTTCATGCTTTCGCGCGCGCCTCTGCGTCACCTGGGGAGGTGCGGGGCGAGTGTGGGGTACTTGGACATCACTGGGGAACAATGATTAGGTTGAGCGACCCGCAGGAGCGGTTTTGACGCCGCCCTCTGAGCAGGTCATGTGAGACTTTGCCTCAAATTCAAGTTAGCCGCACTTGAACAGTAAGAAAGGGAAAACAAAGGACGAACCCTTCGAAGGTGATGCTCATTCACACTACCCAGCTATATCCGGTAGGTCCGTGGACGCAGAGAAGGCGATTCTATAGCAAAGATACCCTCGCCGTATGCCCAACACTTCTTCATCTGCCAACGGCTTACCGGTACGCCCAAAATAGAGCGCCCGAGCTAAAAGTGTCACGCGCGGGTCTTGTGGCTGCACGTATCACGGCAGCGAGCGCCCTGGGGAGGAGCACAGTAGTACCCCCTCTTCCCATGAGACAAACGGGGCCAGGCGAATTCGCTCGGTTGTTCCTCCGCCACCCTTTTCATCCGTCTCGCGTGGAAGACGATGGCCCGCGGCGGCCCGGGCGAGGACGAAGAGTTGAGATATAGATGTCGCTACCCCGCAGCTTGTCGCGCATCTCTCCTCCGACCTTGACCATGGCCGCAATCCAGTACCACTGCCGCTCGCTGACCGAGCTTCTCGAGAAACGCGCGCGCGAGACGCCGGATCGCGTCGCGATATACACTGGCGAGGCCAACGATGATTCTACCAAGCTGCTTCAGCCATTGACGTAGGACTTATATATTTGTGCTGGACCCACAACTGATTTCCCCACGTGCAGATACGGCGATGTGGCGAAGGCAGTCGACCGCCTTGCCTGGCACTACTCTGCCATCCCAGGCTTCCTGCCCGAACCAGCGGCTGATGGACTTCCACCACCACGCATCGTCGCTGTGCTCGTCAGCAGTTCTATCGATGAGTCGTTCCTCGAGATGGCGCTTGCAAAGCTCGGCATGACCGCGCTGTTGCTATCCGTCAACAACTCTGTTCAGGCGGTCGCGCACTTGACGAAGCTGACGAAGGCATCTCACCTGATATACGGGCCGCGCTTCGCAGATGATGCTCTCGAGGCTCAGCATCTGCTGCACGAGCAGGGTATCAACGTCGAGATCATTCCTGACAAGCGCTTTCCGCTTTGGGGAGAGCAGGGCGCTGCAGTGGCGTCAGTGAAGCCTTATCAGGCTCGCCTCACCCCCGACCAGGAGCGCGACCGCCCTGGCGTACTTCTCCACTCGTCTGGATCGGTAAGTAACTCGTAGCCTGAGCGAGAATGCCTTCTGACGCACCACAGACCGGCTTCCCCAAGCCCGTCTACGTGACGCACTATGGCCTCGTCGCCAACATCGCGCTCAACCAGAACAAGCCAGCATTCAGCACCCTGCCCGTGTTCCACGGCTACGGGCACTTCGCTATCTTCCGCTGTTTCTACGCTTGCCAACCTATCACGCTGTTCCCGCCACACCTCCCACTGACGTCGGGGAACATCGTGAAGGTGCTCGCAGCCTCGCCTCCGGTGAAGCAATGCTTTGCCGTCCCCTATGTAATCAAGTTGATGGGCGAGACTGTCGAGGGCATCGATGCTTTGGCAAGCTTCGACGTCGTCAGCTATGCTGGGGCTGCGCTTCCCGTCAGTATTTATCTGCTTGATTAGCGATCCGACTGACTTACACATCACTTAGGACGACCTTGGTGACCGCCTGACGAAGGCGAACGTCAACCTCCTGAGCATCTACGGCACGACAGAGGTGGGTATCTCGACTTCTCAAGCTGACCAGAATCACTGACCTCTTTACTCAGACTGGCTCCCTCATGAACTCGCAACGCGACTTCATCACCGACAAGCTCTGGAACTGGGTCCGGCCCCTCCCATCGAGCAAGGACTTCCTCGTCTTCGAGCCCCGCGGCAACGACGCCTTCGAGCTCGTCGTCAAAGACGGCTACCCTCCCAAGATCGAGACTAACCGTCCCGACGGCTCCTATGCCACCAAGGATCTCTTCCTTCAACACCCCGAGCGCCCGGGCCTATACAAGTACGTCGGCCGCCTCGACGACACGCTGGTGCAGACGCTCGGTGAGAAGACGAACCCGGTGCCCATCGAGCTGGCGATTCGGGGGAACAGCCCACTGGTGCAGGAAGCCATTGTATTCGGAGCGGGAAGGCCGCAGACGGGATGTCTGATCCTGCCGAGCGATCTGGCGAAAGATATGTCGCGCGAGGAGTTGATGGACAAGATTTGGCCGGTCATCGAGATGGCGAACGAGGCGGCGCCTACGCATTCGCGCTTGCTGCCCGAGATGATTGAGTTCTTGCCGTGAGTGCATATCTTAACGCATTGTCCATGTCCACTAATGTGACTTGCACCAGATACGGCACCCAGATCCCCGTCGCGACGAAGATGAGCATCCTCCGCCCGGCCTGCTACGCCAAGTTCAAGGACATCATCGACAAAGTCTACGACCGCTTTGAGCAGGGCAACCAGGCGGAGAAGCTTCGCCTCTCTGGACCCGACCTCGAGCAGTTCGTCTTCGACACCATCGCGAAGACCGTCGGGACGACGAAGGCCAGCTTGCTGACGCGCGACATTGACCTCTTTGCGTTTGGTGTCGACTCGCTGCAGGGCACGCGAATTCGCAATACGCTGCAGAAGAGCCTTGATATCGGCGACCAAGTCCTAGGGCAGAATGGTACGCAAGCTGCGGGTGATGCTGCGTGGGGCCTCGCTGACGCTGCTTTCAGTCGTATACGAGCATCCAACGGTGACGAAGCTCGCCGAGCACATCGCCGAGCTGCAGTCGGGCTCCGGCGCTACGACGTCCGATGCGTCCCAGCACGACTTAATGCTGAAGATGGTCGACAAGTGGGCGGAGCAGTTGACGACCAAGAAGGCTACAGGAAACGCTGGAAAGGATTCGCAGGTCGTCGTAAGTCGCATATTCGGGTAACCGCGACGTGTGAAGCTGAGATCAACATCGCAGCTCCTAACCGGCGCTACTGGCTCCCTTGGTGCACACATTCTCGCGCAGTTGACAGCCTCTCCGGCCGTAAAGAAGATCGTTTGTCTGTCACGTGCCAAGTCGCACGAAGACTCCCTTGGGCGTGTCAAGGACTCGCTCGCTCAGCGCAAGCTCTCTTTGACCCCAGAGCAAGCCGCCAAGGTCGTCTCCTACGCCGCTAACCCAAATGCCGAGGATCTTGGGCTCTCTCAGCCTGAGCACGACGCCCTGTCCGCTGAGATCACGTCTGTTATCCATGTCAGTGCTTCTTCGACCGGAATCCTTATAGAGCTGACCTTCTTGACAGAACGCCTGGCCTGTCAACTTCAACCTCAGCCTCGCCTCATACGACGAGCACGTCGGAGGGGCGCTGCATCTCATCAACCTCGCGCTCGCTTCCGCTCAGGGCGCCGACTTCTTCTTCAGCTCCTCCATCTCCTGCCGTCAGGCAGGCCCCGAGGAGCGCGTGCCGGAGGACTTCTCCGACTCTCCCTCAACGGCGGTCGGAACGGGCTACGCGCGGAGCAAGTGGGTCGTCGAGAAACTTTGTCAACGCGCGGCAGAGAAGGGCGTGCGCGTCGGTGTCTTGCGCATTGGGCAGATGGTGGGCGATACTGAGAGGTGTGTAGCGGGTCTTGACTTTTGGGTGTATTACTGACCGCCGTCCAGCGGCGTGTGGAACGAGACCGAGGCGTGGCCGCTCATGTTTAAGGGCGCGCAGACCATGGGTGCGCTTCCCAAGACCGGCGAGCGCGTATACTGGCTGCCTGTCGACTACGCCGGCAGGTCGATCTCGGAGCTCGTGTACCGCGCGGACGCGCCGCAGAGTACCGTCTACCATATCGTCGACCCGCTGCCCACGAGTTGGGACGAGGACATCCTCGGCGGCTTGCGCGATGCTGGGCTCGTGTTCGACGCCGTCGACAAGGACGAGTACGTGCGCCGGCTGGAGGCAAGCGAGCAGGACCCAGTCAAGAACCCCATCATCAAGTTGTTGGTGAGTGCACATCATTTGGGTGAGCTGCCGGAGTCGCTGAAGCCATTCCACAGCCGTTCTTCCGCGCTCGATACCAGAATGCGTTGAAGCGGGCACCCATGGTCTTCGTTACGGAGAACACAGGGAAGGTGGCGCCGAGCATTGCCAACGCGCCACCGACGACCCAAGAACTCGTGGTCAAATGGTGCAAGCACTGGCGAGAGACGGGATTCCTGCAGTAAACATAAGTGTACAAGATATAGAATGTAGATTTAGCTCCTCACCCGACTGTGTTTTGATGCTGGAAGTACGAATGATGGAAATCAGGGTCCAATGGTACGCACCTAAGCGAGACCAGCCAGTTAGAGACGTCCTGATATTCACTTTATTATTCGATGTGTGAGGGGTAATATTAATGTATCGCTCCGTCCCAGTATAACCTACTCGTGTACTATGTCCTGAAGCTATGGGGTGGTCGACTTGGTCGATGGTGCATTTGCCGCTGCGCCGGACCCTAAGAAGTCTCCGAATAGTCTCTCGGCGCGCATCTTCACGCCCTCCCAGTTGTCGAGAGCAGGGCGTACATCGAGATAGAAGGACGGCGCATTATTGGCCTGACTTCTGCCGGTGTAGAAGTCGATCACGTAGCGCGTTCGTACACCACAGCGGTCGACAATCCAATCATGTCGATCGAAGGGGGCTGAGTAACTATCCGACAGCTTCAACGAGGAGGTCTAGCAAGGCAGTAATATGGACGCACCCAAGCAATGTCATGAACGTCGCCTTGGGCGTACGCTGCGTCGGCTTGCCCTGAAAGCTAACGAGGCGGCATCCACCGCAAGCCTCGCCACCCCTTCCGGCTTCCCACTTCTGTATCTCTGCCCATGCACGTTCGTTAACCGCGTTGTGTATAGGCACAATCGTCTTCATGTCGGTCGCATGAGGGTCATGATTCTTGCGAGCCATAGCGGCAAAGAACTGCGCCTCGGATGGGTAGACCCAGTTCCCTTCCTCAGCCCCGCGCGGGATCGAGGAGACCTCACGCTCGGTGGAAAGCGATGGTCCGGCGCCGGGGGTCGACGAGTTCCCGAAGAGGCGCGCCCAAGTCGAGGTCGAGGTCGAGTTCGGGGTGTGGTCGACTGGACATTTGTCGGCGGAAGACTGCCCATGGTCGACGGGGCAGCCCCCAGAGCTCTTTGGGGGCATGTTCGTATGGTCAACGGGGCAAGACATGGTGGCGGTCGGAAACAAGCGCTCGTCGTTCCGCTCGGCGGCGAACCTACGATCGGCGGGGACCACGTGCGAGAATGCCATCAATATTTTTCGAGGCCGACTTGCATCCCTTGAGCGTGAACATCATGGGTCGCCGCAGAAAGACCAGGACGCATCTGAAGGGGGCTGGAGCGCAAGCTGCGGGTGCCGCGGAGGGCGTACCGAAGTCCTTCGTGATCAAGCATGGCCAGGTTGGCACGGCGCTCACTACTCTCGTTCGCGATCTGCGCAAAGTTATGGAACCAAACACCGCCAGTCGCCTAAAGGTGCGCCCCCCTCTCATCGGGATCTTCAGCCCCTTGACGATCTACAGGAACGGAACAGGAATAAGCTGAAAGACTACTTCACCATCGCACCTGCACTCCATGTCACCCATCTCCTCGCATTCACCCTCACCCCCGTCGCCCCCTCCCTCCGCATCGTTCGCCTCCCCGCAGGACCTACCCTCAGCTTCAGGATTGAGAGATACAGCCTCATGAAGGATATCCTTGCTAGCTCGCGCCACGCTCGTAGCATCGGCATGGAGTACCTCTCTCCTCCTCTGGTACGCAGACCATGCCACGTACCCTTTCACCCCACTTACCATCGCCCAAGTAGCTTGTTCTTGCCTCTTTCCCAAAGCCAGGGCCAGACACGCCACCACACCTTCCCCTAATCATGAAGGCTTTTCAGTCACTTTTCCCTGGCCTGTCCCCAAAGTCCCTTCGACTTTCCTCCGCCCGCCGCGTTGTCCTCGTCGCCTACAATCCCGACAAGGGTACGCTCGACTTTCGGCACTACATCATCACTGTCAAGCCACAGGGTGTCTCGCGTCGCGTCCGCAAGATCCTTGAGGGCACTGCAGGCAAGACGCACTCATCTGAGTTCCTCGATCTCGGCAACGAGAAGGACATCGCCGACTTCTTGCTACGCAAACGCGGAGAGGCTGGCCCTGACGGCGGTTACGAGAGCGCGTCGTCCGCGCAAAGCGAAGCAGGCGAAGAAGCGGATGCGGTCGATCTCGCCGAAGACTACGTCGGGCGCAATAACAAGAAGGGTCAGAGGAGAGCCGTTCGCCTTGATGAGGTCGGCCCCCGTATGGAACTCCGCCTGGTGAAGATCACGGAGGGTCTTCCGGGCAAGGAAGGAGGCGTCATATATCACGAGTTTGGTACGTCCTTCATTTACATCATAGTCCTTTACCGTGTGCTAATGAAGCCACAGTCAAGAAGAGCAAGAAAGAGACCGCCGCGCAAAAGGCAGCCCATCTTGAGAAGGAGCGGATACGCAAAGAGCGTCGCGAAGCCCAGGAGCGAAACGTTGCGAAGAAAAAAGCAGAAGAGGCCGCCAAGAAGGGCAAGGGCAAGAAGGCAGCCGCTGCAGGGGAAGACGAAGACGAAGATATGGAGGCGGCCGAAGACGAAGAAGATGAGGTTGAGGAGGACGATGGGAGCGATGGTGAGGGCGTTTGGAAGGACGACGATGAAGATTGGGACGAAGAAGAGGAGATCAGTGAGGGCGAGGATAGCGAACTGGAAGAGGCTGAACAAAGCAGCGCTAGCGAGGACGAGCGTCCACCGCCGAAAAAGGCTAAGCTACGCAGTAAGCCGCAAGGGAAGCGCCAGCGATAGTCGATTTATTCTCCATTTCTTGTGTTGTACTGTTTTCATCGATTCATGCACGTACGCTGACGGCTGTCCTTTGTTTCTTGTTACCTTGCCTTGCAAAGTTCTTGAACGATACAGTACAGAGTGTTTGCCACCAGGATGCACAACAAAGCAATACATAGGTTAATCGACCAAGAGCCCAGGAACCGCCATTCCGCCCTCGATGTCGCAGCTGCGAGGAGCTAGGTTCAGAAAGATACTCGTATCGAAGGTACGGAGGCGTACCGTGCAGAAACATAGCAATCGCGGAGTCCATCGTTAGCCAGTGCGTCGAGCCTGTGGATCTGCGAGCATGTCAGCGATGGTGGTATATACTGGGGACTCGCCTTGCAAAGGCGTAGAGAAGGGCTTGGCAACAACTAAACGCTCCAACGACGCCCGACCCTGAGTCCGAACGCCGCCTTCACTCTCCGCACGCCGACCTCAGCTTGCAGGCCAACGCGCATCGGGAGCGACGAATAAAGCCGGGCGGCTACCGCACTGGAATGGGAGCCGAGACTGCTTTCCACCCCTTCCAGCAATTACGACCCCCATTCCAGACACGATATGTCCACCGACCCGCATCCCCGCTTACCACGAATCCGCCTTGGGAGCGCCCCGAAGGACGCCCTTAGGTGGGAAGCTCTGTCGCCAGTCCACGATTTGTAAGGAAGAGAGCCGCCAGGTTATATACCCATCGCGGAAGTAAAGCCTGGTGGCGGTGCGGGAGGAAAAGCAGCCTAGTGGCGGTGCGGAAAAGATGTTTGTTGACGAGAATCTCGCGTGTGTTTGTGATTGTTGATGCGCCCACATGTGTCACATGACCCTTCGCATGTTGCCGGTGGCGTCTTCGTTCTTTGCGGCGGCTTGCCTGGTGCTTTGCTCAGTGCTCACCATCTCGAGCTAGACCAGTGCTCTTGACTATGATCAAAGGTCATTACAGTACCTTGCCTTGCAACGTCCCTCTCGCCCTTGATTGACCCCATCATTGTGTACAGTGCTCTTAGACAACACCCGCACCACACGCACGCAACAGAAGAATCGTGCGCGAGATCAGCCTACGATCTCATACGCAAGGCAAGGCTATAGCCGGTGTGACCGGAGCTTTCCCTAGTTTGGAACAGCGGAAGTTGAACATGTCACGTGGCATCATACTCGGTATCTACCGAAACTCACATGACGAAGTTCAACCTTGAGAAGACACAAACTCCACCGCAATCTACCGCGCTCGCAGGGTCTGCTGCCCAAACCCACCACACATTCTCTGAATCTACCCGTCCCCGACGTTCCTCACCTGCCCGCCGGGCAAGTTGTCGTCTTCTATCTCATTATCTCCCTACCCTCTCCCTATCGGCGCTGTTGTATCGTCTATCTGCCTATCTAACTACCCATTCGCATACTCGCGTCCGTCACTCGTCGTCACCCCCTCTGCTCAACTGACACTTCTGACCTCCTTTATCGGCCCCCAATGTGACTCGAGTATGCTCGTGTCAGGTGAGCAGGTGCGATACGAGCGCAAGGATGAGCTCGGATGCGGACGTAAGTAATGCACCCCGAAGCAGAGATTTCTGGGCGACTACCCTCATCTCCCTCTCTCATTTCTGAGACCGCTATGCACGCTCTACTCCTGTACGGCGCGCCTGCAGCGCTTGCAGCGTTCATCGCATTGTTCATCGCGCTTCGTCGCAGACGTCCTTCCCTCCCCGATTACTTCGCACTCTCCGGTGTACCACCACCAAAACCCCTTCCCCACTTCAATGTCGATACCGCTAAGCCCCGCCCCTACCGCCCCTTCCGGTGGGCCTACTTCCAGCATATGGGTGCGCGCAAATTGCCTGCTGCTTGTATGGTACCCAGACTAAATCACCATCTCAGCTCTGAAGAAGATGGAGCCCGACTGGTGGCTCGAGCTCGAATCAACCTACCGCATGCGCATCGCGCAGCGACAAGCGCTTTACGCCACCCACGTTTCCTTGATCCTCGGCGCCCTCCCCGGCTCCGAGCTCGCATGCGCGGAGCTGCTTCAAATGGTCGCTCAATGGCTCTCCGTCCGCTATCCCAATTGCTTCTCCCTCGACCCGCACACCCTCCTCTTCCAGAATCACATCCTCGGGAAGGAGGTGTGCATTAAGGGCGTGGAGGGTGCGGACGCATTGCGTGTACTGCTCGACCACGTCCCGGAGGACTTCGCCTTGACACTGGAAAACGAGAAGACGGGGCTGTATCATATGTGTGCTGGGGTGGTTTGCTCGTCTGTGGGGTGGAACGCGGCAGGTAAGATGGGAAAGCCGCTGCACGAGATCCATGGTCCGGTGCCACATTACAAGGAGAGGATGCAAATGTCGATGGATAGGTGCGGTCGAGCAGTCCCAGTCATATAGACGCACCTACTTACGAACTCGGGACAGGTACTTCAAGAGAATGGAAACCGAGAAACCCATCCAGCGCGGCTCCTGGGGCCTCGAAGTCGGCGAACCGCTCTTCCTCCAGGAGTCCGACCCCAAATTCGCCGAGCGCACACATCAGGATCCCAACCTCACCATCGACAACGTCTTCCTCCGCGTCGACTGGCAGACCCTGCGCCGTCTCCCGCGTTCGCGCGCCATCGTCTTCAACTTCAAGGCCCTCTTCACCCCGCTCACCGACTTCCGGCACGAGCCATATATCCCGCACCTGGTGCGACGGATTCTGCGCGAGGGAGATGCGCAGATCATGAACTATAAGGGCACGGAGCACGTCCTGCACAAGGTGCTCCCGGAGCTGGATGTGTATGCGAGGGAGCAGGAGGAGAAGGGGTGGGTGCCGAGGGATTGGAAGGAACGTACCTTAGACGAGGACCCATTCTATCCAGGATGGGAGAAGCACATGACATACGCATATTAGACCTAGTCAGAATCGAGCAACCCATCTAACTCTGCCTCTTCTTCTGCGGTCATCTGGAACTCTGGCTTTGCCTTCGCCTTTGCGGAGGGTTTTGACGCGACAACCTTTGGCTTGGGTTGGAGCAGGTCTGGTGGAAAAGGTTGAGGACATGAGCGGAGCTAGTGCTAGCACACACACCACTCAGTCGCCACTTGCGAATCGTATTGTCCAAGCTGGCGCTCACAAGCCACGGCTCCACGCGAGTCTGGCCGTCCTCCCCTACAGTCCGCCGAATCCACAGCCTCAGTAGCGTCACGTTGTGCCAATGCGCGTCCACCTCGCCTATGAGCTCTGGCTCGTCGGGTGTCGATACATCGTATGTGCGGATGACATCCCCAGCCGCCGTGAAGAGGTATGGCTCTGCTAGATCTGTCAACGCCAGAGGCAGAATCGCCTTGACGCCGCCTGGATGGGTGATAGCCGGTGGTGGCTTGGTCTTCTTGTCATCTACTTCGGCGAGCGGCACAAGCTGCACGGTCTCATCCGTCGATGCTGAGGGAATTGTTCAGCACAAGACTTCAAAGAGATTCTATGGACGAACCTGTCCACATGTATTCGGGCGCGACGTGTAGATCGTTCACGCCTGTCCGATGGTGCGTGAACTCGCGCTTGAGGGTGCTGCGCCAGTATGCAGGTTCGGAGTCTTGCTTCGTGAGTTCCCATAGCCGTATTATACCCATAGTATCAGCCGTATACAAGGTAGCAGTCTTGTCCGACGTCGCGGTTGCGTGTAGACATTGGATGGGTCTCGTGTGCGAGTCGATGGTTCCGACGTTATGCAGAGGCTTGCCATCTGCAGCGGATGAAAGGTCCCTGAATACACCATGAGGGAACATAACAAAGGGAGCTGTAATGACACACCATAGGCGCACAATCTTGTCAGAGCCTCCGGATATAAGCAGGTTCAAGGAGGGAACGACGAAGAGGGTTTTCACGAAGTCTGAGTGCGCATCGGTGGTCGAGATCAGAGACTTGTCCTAACAAGGTGTGAGGAGGTGCGAGAACGGCGTGGGGGAAAGACTTACCTGGGTATTCCAGAGCCTGATGGTCTTGAATCATACGTCAGGTTGAGAGGTCGAAGAGAGCATGGCGGTCATACCTTGTCCCAGGAGCCTGAGATGAGGATTCCCTTCTCATCGGTCGGAGAGCCGTTCACGAACGCGATCGAGGTAACGGGGCCGCCATGCCCTGAATACAGCTGCAACGTATTTCCTGTCTTCCGTGACCATGAGCATCGTATGCACAAGTGTCCCTTCGGCAAATGCACCTCCAAATCCAGCTTGCGAATCTTGTGCGAGTTCTCAGCTATCCAGGCATCGTTCCCGACGATCTTGATGTCCAGGGGGACACCCTTTAGCTTGAGCGGGTCGCCGAGATCTTTGGTCTCTTCCGCCTTCCGCCTGCGAGCCTCGACTGAATTCGGTCGACGCGTCTTGAAACAAGCACGGCAGACGTACTTCGTCCTTGACTAGCTGAGCCTCCGAGACGAGGAATTTGGACGTGTCTGCACCGCTCATGGTGGGCGTGGGGAGTAAGAGGCGCGCAGGCGATCGTCCATCGCGCTTCTTGCTTCCCGCCATCACTGGCACGGCCCCCTTCGACTCTCGCCGACCTCGCCTACAGCCTACCGCCAGACTACTATCCACAAGACTACCCTAGACGACGACATCATGCCCCACGCGACTATGTTCCCTAGATTCGCTCACAAAAGGTCCCCCGGCACTGCTCTAGGAGGCTGGCAACTACAACCCTTCGAGACGAGCCAACCTGACGAACCTATGCCCACTGCTAAGCATGTTTCTGCCCCGCCGAAGGAGACTGGTCCTGCTCTCTCTTACGACGCGTCTATCGGTATCGCTATCGGCTGCATTGCTGGCGGATTCATTCTCCTCTACGTCGTTTGCTCGCTTTACCAACGTCGCGCTCGTCGTCGGGCCAGGCGTGAACGAAGGCTTAACGCGCCAGCCTACACTCCCACGAAGTCGAAGGTCGTATTCCCCTACAAGACGGTACCCCACATACCTCATCGCCGGCTCCTCCGCTGACGCGCATCCTCAGATTCCGGATTCCTCCTTCAACAGGCCTACTCCCGCCTTACAACGCCCTGCCTCTATTCTACCCTGGAAGGTCCACAGTCCCCAACCCAAGCTTGTTGACAAGCGCGTCTCCTTCGTTGGGCGGGCCGCGAACCGCTTCTCTACCATGATCACCTCCGCCCGCAAGTCGAAGCTCTGGGCTCCCGCTCCTGCCGCCACGACCTCCTCTCGCATCTCTGCGCTCTATCGTCCCTCTGCTCGTTACGGTCCCCCTATCTGCCCAAAGACTGCCGAATGCTGGAAGCTCGCCGACGACCTCGTCGGCGCCCACCCCGCTGCGATGCACCTCGAAGCCCGCCCCCGCGGCCAGCCGTTCGGTCACAACCAGCCCATCATGTTCCGCTGGGCGGAGAACCCTTTCGACGGCGCCATCGTCCCGAAGCTCAAGACCGACGCTATCGACGCTCTGGATCGCCTCGTCGTCGGCCCTGAACAGGAGGCGAAGTACCCTACCCTCGCGCGCTCTGGCAGCGGACCGAAGATCATGGTCACGCAGCCTAGCTCTGATCTCGTTAATGCTGTGTCTCGCGTTGGTCAACAGCCTCAACCTGAAGAACGCGTCTTCGTACAAACCCCGTCTCTTCAGTCGAACGTGCGCATGCCGGTAATCACTCGTCCTCCGCACGCGCAGGCTCTCCAGTCCCGGGACATCAACAGGCAAGCACCTTCGTCGTCGCACAACAAAGGCGGGTCGGGTGGAGGGCAGCGTGTTGTGTACCCCTTCGCTCAGAAGGAAAACGCAATGGGCAACTATCCTGTCGCCTATGTAGCGCAAGCCTTCTAAATCGGGAATCATAGAAGGTGGAGGCCAATGAACTCGAAGCAGGTCATGTATTTTATGCTGTACAACATGGGTATAACGGGGGATTATGGAGAGCTTGAAAGTCGAAAGGAATGGAAGTGTCTTTTGGTGCGCAGCTTTCATCCACCTCAGGCCTTGTGCGCGTCCCAGAACTCGGACAATGCGAACGCAGAACGCTTGTAGGTCCGCTCGAGCGTCGTGTAGTTCACGTGCTGGATGCCAAACTTGACGGCGAGGCCGCTCGCCCATTCGGCGTTGTCAATCATCGCTGTTGTGTGTCAGTCGTTGGGCAAGCACTCCAGCTTTAGTAAAGGCAGCTCACCCCAGGCGAAGATGCCTCCGATGGGCAGTCCGTCCTCGTGGATCGCCTGCAGGATCTCGCCGAGGTAGGTCATGTAGTAGTCTGGTGGAGGTCAGAACGATGAGCGAAGAGAAAGGTATTCAACTCACTCGTCCGCCCAACATCCTCCTTGATCTCTGCCAACGTCTTGCGCTCATCCTCAAGCGGCTCCGCAAAACCGAACTCGGAGACATACTACAAAACAAGTCAGTAACGTCGACCCATTCCCTAGTCTTGCGTCCAGACCACGAAGGAACCTCGACTCACAATCTTCGGACTCGGCCACCTCTTCTGCAACTCATTGAGAAGCCCGCGCACGCCCTGCGGCGTCGATGCCAGCCAGTCCGTGCGCGGGTCCGCGGCAGGTCCCTCCAACCAGCCCTCGTCACCATCGTACAAGACCGCCTCGTTACACTGCGGCCAGTTGGGATCGGAGGGGTTGTTCACGCATGCATCGAGCCCTCCCTCCGGGGCGCGAACATAGCTCGAGCGGTATGAGTCGATGGCGTAGAAGTCGGCAGAGCCTGGATGCGAGAATGGAATGGTCAATGGGTGAGTATCCTCAAACAGCAGGGTAGGGGGCAAAAGAAAGCTCACCAAGCAAATCCGCCTTCTCCTCCTCCGTGAACCGCGGGAGGTACTCCTCTGACAGCGTATCCTTCACAGTCTGCGGCCAGTCGCCCGTGGTGTAGATCGGGTCGGAATACAGGCCGATCTGGAAGGCCGCATGGCGCTCGACAGCCTCAATGTCTTCGGTGTTGTTGGCGCGCCAGGGGGTGCCGCTGCGTATAGTCAGTACCGTGACAGATTCGTCCTGAATGCTCTCGGGCGCGAATGATTGACGAATGCGAGGAACCTACATGAAATCGTCGTTTTTCAAGCCGATCTCGCCCGTGATGTTCATCCCCCGGAAGGCTGCAGCATCCGTAGTCAGCATCTCTCATATCCTGCGGAACAGGATAGGTGCGTACCTTTGACGGCGCCAGCATGCGCTTTGACTAGTTGTAGTCAAGACCCGTCAGCGTTCATGATAAGTCGCCAACAAACAAACCACCCACGCAAGTTGTAGGCGCAATGGTAAGGCGCGGTTGAGATGTTAACGCCGGGAGTGAATATGCCTTGGAAACGTTCGTGAGCAAGAGTAGTCCTTGTAGCGACGAAAATTTGCTCACTGAAAGCGGCAATCTGATTGCAGTACTCCAGAGGCTCATTGAAGGTGACCCTGAAGCTGGGTCAGAGACCATCCATGTGTATCGGAGCCATACACAAACCAGGTCTTGACGCGGTCACCGTAGGCTTGGAAGACGGTCTTGGCGTAACTAGTGGGAGACGTCAGTCATGGATGTTCGCCGGCGCAGATCATCTGACGCACTTCACGAAGTCATCCACAATCTTGGGCGAAGCAAACCCTCCATAGTAGAGTTGCAAAGCCAGTGGTAGGTCCCAGTGAACTGAACGCATAGTCAGTGCTGTACTTCAGCGGGAAACTGGAATAGCGCACACAATGTAATGACCGGTTCGACACCGTATTCCAGATGCGTGTCGATGACTGTAGGCGTTGAGAACCAACAGAGCGTCAGGCAGCTCAAATTTTACCATCGGAATAGTGATCCAGGCCTTCTTGGTTAACCTTCGAGTCCGCCGCTCCGAATGGGAAGATTCTCGCCCAAGAAAGCCTGCGCATTGTCAGCGATGCCTCCAAGGAGGAATCTTGAGATTCCTCACGAGAAGGAGTTCATATTGAGTCCGAGGGCGGCAACTCGCGCGACGTCCTCTTTGTACAGGTAGTAGTGCAAGTCGACGATATCACCTGCCGCTGGTCAGCTTTATGAAGTAGGACTGCATAAGTCCATACCATTCGTCCCGTCGGCGATCACAGACGGTACGTGTGAGATGAAATCCCACATCGTAGGCCCCTTGCCTTCCTTCTTCGTCGCGCCCTCGACCTGGTACGACGCGCTCGCGACGCCGAACTTGAAGCCACTGGGGAACTTGAGATCGGGCAGAATGTCCTTTGGCGCCGGTGCGTAGAAGGCCGGATAGAGCGGAGGCGGTGGCGAAGGGAGAGCGGTGGTTGTCGGCGTCGCTGTAGTCGTGAAGGGAGGCTCCTTGGGAGCACCGAGCTGCAAGGTAGTGTGTTTGGCGCGCGACAACGCGTTGAAAAACGCGTGCAAAGGGAAGTTGACGTACCACCAGACCCCACAGTAGTTCAAGCCCTATGTCAGAGAAATCTGGACTAATGGACCCGACAAGAGGCAGAGAAGCGTTCGAAGTCGTTGTCGCCGCTGGCGGGGCGTCGCTCACAGACGTCGTCGCGGTTGGGGTCAGGACCGATGTCGCCGAGAATGAGGCATTAGAAGAGCTGCTGGCAGCCGCTCGTGCACACGATGCGTAAAAAAGGACGCTGACTCCAATGCATTGCAAGGCGCGCATGGTGACGAGAACGCGCAGTGCGAGGGAGGGAAAGCCGCACTCGGAGACTACACCACCACCATGCTCTTATAGCCCACCCCTTACCAGTCGTCGGCTGATCGGGTACCATACGGTCCACGAGATCGAGCCCGTCCCATGGCGCGGGCTTGGGGCCGCCGGACGAGAAGTGTTCTGATCCGTTTCAATGCGACGACGCAGAAGCAGCCGTCGGAATTCATGCTGTAGCTCGCGTCATCTTCCCACACCGAGGCAAGGTTCACCTTCAGCGTGAGTGTGTATAACCGAAGAAGGCGGCTGAATTGCAACGTAAAGCGACGATGCCAACCAACTTTTGTTTGTGCATGCTTGACCGTGACAGAAATTGCCGTATATGGATCTTTGACAAGCAAGCACAAATATGGCCCCATTCTCATTCCTACCAGCCGACGGCGTGAATCAAACAAAGGAATGCTCCTTCACTCATCCTCGAGGTCCAGTGCGACTTAGGACATTATAATGTTCCTTCCCTCCCCGCATCGGTCATCCATTCTGCCCGATGCAGAAGCTAGTTGAGCCCACTTGGCTGCGGTGCCTTTCGAAGCCCGCCCTAGCATTGTAGCAAGCGGCCCGGCCGTACAGGTCCCGTGAAGCTAACTGTATTCGGCTGATCGGTCATTCGATGGCTCATTGGTGACCCTCACGCGATACAGAAGTCAGCGAACCCGGGTGAGTACTTAGAGAACGTGAACAGGTATTGCAGCAAAGATGATCATGGAGCAAATCGTATGCAGCTATAGTACATTTCAACGTTGGGACATAACGAGGCGTTACAGGTGAGATGACTGAGAATTGTCTGCGCGCTGGTCCATCATCTGCGGGACATTGCCTCAAGTCTTGTGCGCGTCCCAAAACTCGGAAAGCGCAATCGCCGAGCGCTTGTAAACCCTCTCCAGCGTTGTGTAGTTGACGTACTGAATGCCGAACTTCGCGCTAATGCCGCTCTGCCATTCAGTGTTGTCGACCATCGCTAGCGGATCGTCAGATTCAGCAATCCCCCTATAAAGCAGAGAGTGACTCACCCCAGGCAAAGACGCCCTCGATTGGCAGCCCATCCTCGTGGATCGCCTGCAGAATCTCGCCGAGGTAGGTCATGTAGTAGTCTGGAGAGGATTAGCTTGAAGGTGAGAAGAGAGGGAGGGGCCAAGCTATCCACTCACTCGTCCGCCCGACATCCTCCTTGATCTGAGACAAGGTTTTCCGTTCGTTCTCGAAGGGCTCAGTGAACCCGAACTCGGAGATATACTGCGGAATCAAGCCTTCAGCATCCTTCCCCACTCATTTACACGACTCCTACTCACAATCTTCGGACTCGGCCACCGCCTATGCAGCTCGTTCAGTAGCCCTCGCAGGCTCTGCGGCGTCGCGATCAACCAATCGGTGCGCAGATCCGCCTGGATGCCGACAGACCAGCCGTAGTCGGCGTCGTACGTGACTTGCTCGTTGCACTGCGGCCAATTGGGGTCGGAGGAGTCGTTGACACAGGCGGCGATCCCGTTCTCGGGCGCGCGGATGAAGAAGGAGCGGTAGGAGTCGATGGCGAAGAAGTCGGCGGAGCCTGGTAAGGGGGGGCTGGCGTCAGAGTTTGCGGGGGATGGGATGGAGAAGACGGAATACAGATGTCGGAACACACGACGGAGTACAGAGGACGGAGTGTCAATAATCGAAGAAAGAGCTCACCGAGCAAGTCCGCCTTCTCCTCCTCCGTAAAGCGGGGTAGGTACTCTTCAGGCAGAGTATCCTTCAAGATCTGCGGCCAATCGCCCGTAGTATACAACGGGTCGGAGAACATGCCGATCTGGAACGCCGCATGCCGTTCGACAGCATCTGCATCCTCGGTGTTGTTCGCGCGCCATGGGGTGCCGCTGAGAAACCGTCTCTAGCTCCAGAACAGTTTTCTCTCTCTCCGGGAAATAAGCCACTCACACAAAATCATCGTTCTTCAGCGCGATCTCGCCCGAGATGTTCATGGCACGGAAGGCTACAGCGAACAGGTCAGCGGTGTGCCAGTCTGCCAAGCGCAACAGCGTAAGTACGTACCTCTAACGGCCCCAGCATGCGCTTTGACTACAGGGAGATCGTTAGACTAGATCGGCGGGGTGCTGGCATGACCACTAACGCAAGTTGTACGCGCAATGATACAGCGCCGTCGAGGAGTTGACGCCGGGTCCAAGCGTTGCGTCTGCATAGATCAGCACACGTTGTTTGCATGTTCTGAAGCTACGCACTGAACGGGTACGAGGCAATTTGGTCACAGTACACATGAGGTTCGTTGAATGTGTACCTGCAGATTCATTACATGGATGATACCCCATCGGGGCGAGAAGAGGATGTACGCACCAGGTTTTCACTCGACCATTGTATGCTTGAAACAGAGTCTTGGCATAGCTGGCGACAACATTGAGTGATCGTGGCTTGGACATGTCGAAAGAATTATATGCACTTCACGAAGTCATCGACGATCTTCGGGGAAGTGAACCCGCCGTAGTAAGCCTGAAGTGCGAGCGGTGTGTCCCAGTGGACTAAGAGAAGTGTCGGCGCTTTGTTTACCGGGAGCAGGCAGAGCGACGTACATAGCGTGACGACGGGCTCGACGCCGTATGCCAAGTGAGTATCGATGACTGCAGGGAATGAGTATGAGACAACGATGCGCGATTGCCACCCTACCATCTGAGTAGTGGTCGATACCCTCTTGGTTCACAGGCGAGTCCGCAGTACCGAACGGAAAGATCCTCGCCCAGGATATACTATGCATCGTCAGCATCACGGTGAGAACTTAGAAGGATATATGTGAGGTGGCTGACGAGAAGGAATGCGTATTCAGTCCCAACGCAGCGATCCTCGCGACGTCTTCCTTGTAGAGATAGTAGTAAAGGTCGACGACGTCGCCTGTGAAGTGTCAGCATACTTTGATAGACGGCTCAAAAGCGCCGAGTCTCACCGGTCGTATTGTCGAGAACACCTCCTGGCTGACGCGAGGCCCAGTCCCACATAGTCGGCCCCTTGCCTTCGTTCTTGGTTGCACCCTCGACCTGATACGCCGCCGTAGCGACGCCGTATTTGAAGCCCTCGGGAAACTTCAAATCAGGAAGGACATCCTTAGGCTCTGGTGCATAGAATGCCGGGTAAAGGGACGGAGGAGGCGGAGGAAGCGCAATCGACGGCTGCGGTGTAGCGGTCGTCGTGAAGGGTGGCTCTTCCACCGGACCCACCTGAGCAAGCGATGTAAGTATGCTGAGTGTCAAGACGTCAATGTATGAGCGAAGGCAGACGTACCACATCCCACAGCTGCTCAAGCCCTTCGGCGGAGTACTGGGGAGTGATGGAGCCGACTGGGGGGAAAGAAGCGCCCGAGGTGACTGTCGCTGATGGTATGGAGTCGATTACGGTGACCGTCACCGCGGTTGGGGGCGGGGCAAAGGTCGCTGATGAAGAGGCATTGCGAGCTATGGTCCTCTCAGCTCGCGTGTACAACGCGTAGATAAGACCGGCTTGGACGTATGACGGCAAGGCCCGCATCCTCGCGAAGTACCCTCGTAGTGAAAGCCGGAGGCCGCACTGTAGATTGCTTGCGTTTATAAGAGCAGCCCTCACTCATCTGGTGACCGTGCAGCATATGTTCGACCGGGTCGCGCCAGTCCCATGACCAGGTAGGAAGAGTGCTCAATGCACACCGTGATTGCTAGATAGTATCGCGGGCCGGACGAGAGCTTTGTAAATTGTATGTCCGCGTCGATGCGGGGATCGGTGAGAGTATTGTGTGGTGGCGTCATACATCTGAGCGGAGGACAGGCCTCAGGCCCGCCTACAGCGCGAGCAGAGTCATAGGTATAGCCGGCAATGACTAACCGAGTTCATTTTTTTGGGCAGAAGCGTTCATTGTTCCTGCGTCGCGCTATGTTGCTCGTAATCTCAACAGTGCGCGCATGTGCCATGGACGACGGCCCTGGCTTGTGAGTATCAACGAACAAAGTTGCTTCGTCAAATGTCCTCGATTACATGTAGAGGGAATCATAGATGACCACGCCGCTACTGACGGTCAGAAAAGACTTGTTGCAAGTAGAAGACAAGCGTCAATTCTTCCGATTTGGGCATGTTTACCTCTTTCACGGCATTTGCCGATTGTCAATGGCAAGCAGGCACAAATACGGATAGCGACCGCGCTTGACCTACATACAACTTTGTCCTTCATAACCGAAGCACTCATTGCAGAGGTAGCGGGGTCCAAATGGGTAGGCAAGGTGAACTTGGTATCAACATCGATGTTATAGCTTAACAAGGACCTAACAGCTTCTCAAGCACAACTTGCCGTGGACGCAGCTGACATGGTTCTGCAAAGCTCAAAGCCATACACGAGTATCGGGCTATACCGCGAGGGCGTCATACCGGACGCATCTCAGGCCTTGCAGGCGCAGGGAATTGCTCGAGACCTAGGCTCTGAACTGGATAGCGTCGATGCGGCGATTCGCCGTTTGCATGCTCTGCGCGAGACACTCGAAGTCCGCCTACAGTTCACCCGCGCATATCTCGCGTCAGTGCGCCGGCTTCCGCTGGAGCTGCTATCCGACATATTCATCTACTCCGTGGTAGGCCAAGAAGATCCGACCATGATAGCCCTTACGACGCTCTCTCACGTCTGCTCGTCGTGGCGTACTGCCGTTTGGAGCACGCCTGAGCTTTGGACGCACATTAGCGCGCCGAAATCTGCACCGCTCGAGCTGATCTCCACGGAAGTCTCCCTTTCTGGCCAGCGCCCACTCTCCGTGGACAGCAGGCTGATCAGAAACTGCCAGTCTCTGAAGTCGGTCCTTGCCGAGCTCCTACCGCATGCAGCTCGGTGGAGGGAGACTTACCTCGAGGGAAATTGTCGCAATTACGCCCCCATATCACCCCCGGACTTTCGCATATTGTACTCGGCCTCCATATACCTGACGTCGCCGTTCTTTCAGAACGACAAGCCTCTGAAGTTCCTGGCTCGTGCATCGGAGCTACGAGAGTTGGCGTTAATCATCGCGCTCAAGGTCGGGGAGTCCTCTGCCCTCCCGGAAATCTTGGGACTGCCGCCACTTCATCTCACAAAGCTCTCGTTACGGCTAGGATACCGGTTCGATGGACCCATCGCAAGTCTCATTCCCGTCCTTGCGCTGTACGCTACAACGCTCGAGGAACTGCACATAGGTCTATTCTCTAACCATTCGATGAGCCGAGAAATCGGCGCACGCCTCTCCGCGAGCACACCTGCGCTGTGCATGCCATCCCTGCGCGAGATCACCCTCGAGTACCATACCCAGGATATCCTCGATGGCCTCGATCTTCCCGCACTTCAAAATCTGACGTTCAAGTACGTCGACGTAATCAACGACGGGGACCCCTTTCGCAGTCTCTACAGCCTTATCTTGCGGTCCAAGCCACCGTTGCGCGTCCTTGAATCAGATAGCAACGTCGTCCACACCGACTTCTTCCTATCCTCACTCGCAAAGCTTGATCACTTGGAAAGCCTGGTCATCATCGAGCCCTTTAGAGAAGGCCGTGGTGTCTACCTCTCGACCGACATGGTCATGAGTCGTTTGACCTCCCCGGCGATCGCCCCGCAGCTGAAGCGACTGGAGTTCAGGTTTCCATCCAACCATGATGCCTATCCCAGAGGCCTTCTCCCATCCTTGCGCGCTCTGCAGCAATCGAGAAAGGGCTGCCACATCCGCTTGTGCCGTGACACCGAAGATGGAGTTGTCGAGGTCGGAAGCTAGACAGAGGTTTGCTATTTGCGTCAAATTCCTGTTCGCGCGCTCACCTGTATCGCAGACATTGAGGTGGCGTAGCCAACAGTAAACCGCTAGACTCCTAGTCGTGTGATGTATTATCCATATCTTCTTTTTCCAAGCTTTGCGCTCTGGCAGCGCCGATGCTGTCTTGCAGGACCTTTGAAGCTGCACCGCTGTATGTGTCCATGGCTTCAAACTGCTCGACAAGTGTATCCCAGCGCCATGCAGTCCGTGGCCAACTTCATGAGTTTATTCTAGAATATTCTTTGGCATTCTCTCTTCCGCGCAGGACCGCTGTACGATGCTAGCTGGGTATAGAATCGTCTAGACAGGACCTCAAAAGGCGCAAACGTGTCATCCCACGTCATATGGCCTTTCCATCATTTCCAGAAATTACGGGTGAGCCGGGTGGCCACAAACGTATAAAAGGCGCCCAACACCAGCCGCATCTGCAGAACAAGTACAAGCATCTTCACTCGACTCGAGCAACAACTAACGCACCCCACTCTACTCGCCTATACTCTACTCGACAGCGATGTCTCTCTTCCGCTACGAGCCTTTCTACGACGTCGACCGCATCTTCAACGAGTTCTTTGGCGAGGCTCAACGCCGTCGCGGCGAAGGCACCTCTAGCGATGTCGTCCAGGCCTTGAAGCCCAGGTAAGTACTCATTCGTACTGTGCTCGTCGTCGAACACAACCGTGCTGACGCCCCTACCCAGGATGGACCTCCACGAAGACGCGGAGAAGAACCTCGTCACCGCGACGTTCGAGCTCCCCGGGCTGAAGAAGGAGGACGTGCAGGTGAACTTGCAGAACGGCCTGCTCACCGTGTCCGGCGAGACCAAGTCGGAGTCGGACAAGGAGGAGCAGGGCTACGCGGTGCGCGAGCGCCGGTACGGCAAGATCTCGCGCACGCTGCGCTTGCCGGAGGGCGTGAAGGTGAGTAGCTTGTGCGGTCGGTTATGGATCATGGATGAGAATGCTAACTCGAATTTCAGGAGGACGAGGTGAAGGCCGCGCTGGAGAACGGCGTCCTTACCGTCACCTTCCCCAAGACCGGCGCACAGAACACGCCGAAGAAGATCACGGTGGCATGAGTTGAATGAGCTTGATGATGGACTTGCCTTGTAATCACGGACTTGGATGGAAATAGCACTGTATCATAGCAAGCAAATGGATGGGATTTCTGTTGGCTACTTGGGTGTGAGACGTAGGTCGATTATGATTATGTGGGGCTAGGTTTTCTGGCCCTTCTGTAAGCCTGGTACTGTACAGGAGAGGTTGAGAGGTTGAGTTGATATCCTGCCAACAGAAGGATGCGCTGTAGCATGGGAAGCTGAGGATGCCCGAGCCAAGTGATGGCAGAAGCGAAATCACCGAAGCCCGGGGTGATGTCGATCAGCTGTGGGGCCTCTTCCAAGAAAGGAAGGTTCCAGGTTCAAGATGCTCTGTGCCGCCGTCTACCTACACTGACCCTCACGGCCCAGATAAAGACTGTTTCAACGCTACATAGTGCAACAGAACCATACAGTACGTCTCTAGCGCGCTTTTTGAGCAGCTCAAAAGGCGAAGTAGACATGAAAGGAAAGGACAGCATCTTGGCGGGGGCGTGGTTCGAACGCAAGACGTCCCAAAACGGCCACGTTGGCCGCGGTGGAAGTTCGCTGAGCTGGCGGACGGATGACGCGGCAAATGCAAGCGAAAATGCGGTGCGAAAAATCGGAAGTTCAGAAAGTTGGAAGGTTCGTCGTTGTTTTCCGCAGCCCGCCGTTGGTGCGCCGCCGCGATGTCGTCCGACATTGAGATGCTCTCCGAGGCCCCACGCCGCAGCGCCTCCCACCGCTCGACGCCTGTCTACTCGCTACCACCATCGCGCCAGCCGTCGATACCAGACGACCGCAGCTTTATCGAACCGGCGCCTCGCGACCCCACGCCCGTCGCCCCACCACCCGCTTCCGCCCCCGCCGCCTTCCTCCATCCACCAGAGTCGTCGAAACCGGTCAGCAAGGCCAAGGCGAAGCAACGAGCGCGCTCGCCGTCGGGATCGCCACCACCACCCGAGCGTCCGCCGCTGCAGACGATCCGACTCGACATCACCCTCGGCGGGCCCGACAACTATGAGGTCGATATCGCGGCGCTTGCTCGAGAGACCGGCCAGCGACCACCTACGCCCGTCGCAGTCAAGGTCCATCACGATAGTGGCGACAGCGAGGGCGAGGAGGGCGACGTCGAGCCCGACGAAGGCGGGAAGGCCCCGAAGCGGAAGAAGCGGGTACGCTCACATGCCTATTCCGGACTTGTATTGTACTTACCTCCTCCTCCTCCTCAGAAATACGGCGCAGACTACTACGATGTCTCCGACCCCTTCATCGACGACTCCGAGCTCGCCATCGACGAGCGCAAATTCTTTGCCCAGACCAAGCAACAGGGGTTCTACGTCTCGTCTGGCGAGGTGGCTCTCATGAAGGACAAGTGCGGCGTACTTCATCATTCCTTCTGCATCTTACTTATCGCTCGCTAGAAGCCCAGCGCGGAAGCCCAAGTCACGAAAGATGCCACTGACAGTCGGCAACGTCGTCGCGTCCGACGCAGGTCGATCACACGGCAGCGCAATCAACAGCGCCCTCCGCGCCATCCAGGACGGTTCCCGCGACGCTCCCATCCCCGTCTCCGACACCGATGAGCAAGATCGCAAGCATGCTGCCGCCGCCGCCGCCGACAACGACAGCGCCGTCACCGGCCAGAAGCGCAAGCGCTACATCACCGTCGTCGAGAACGGCAAGAAGCGCAAGCTCGTCGACATCAACTCCTTCCACCCGGACATCCAGCGCATGGTCGAGTCCCTCAAGTCCGCCATTGCGCACGAGAACTGGGAGGTCAAGGGCAAGTTCCCGCCGTCCATCAAGCCGTTGCTCACCGACCTCGCGCTGCTCGCGATCCGCCTGGACGAGTACGACGACGCGTTCTTCGCGCTCATGCCGCAGCTCTTTCCCTACAACAAGTTCACGATGACGAAGCTCATCAAGCGCACTGTCTTCCACGACCACATCGCCCTGCTCACCGAGCGCCAGGATGCGCTGCTCGCCCAGCTCAAGCAGCTCGCGGACGAGGGCTTCCCCAAGGCGGAGGAGGACTATAAGAAGAGTCTGGCTGCTTGGAACAACCGCCAAGAGAAGGCTGCGGCTGAGAACGGCGCACGCTCTGAGGACGACAGCAACCACTCTGCTGTGCCCACCCGACATCCTACGGAGGAGCGCGAGTTGCAGGATGCCATGGACGTCGACGGCGATGCCCCGCCGCCGGCGACTCAGCCTGAGAAGGACAAGGGGACAGCGAACCCGCCCACTAAGAAGTTCCGCATGAACGAGCAGATGAAGACCATCGTTTGGCAGCTCGTCCTGCTCAGCAATGAGGTCTGCCGCCTCGAAAACGAGAAGAAGTGCGTCTGCACGCTTTGCCGAACCTCATCATCTCTGACCCCTGTTTAGCCAACTCGAGGGTTCGGTCATCCAGATGAGCGAGCAGGGAATGCGGAAGGTGCTCTACCAGAAGATCATCGCCGCCTTTCCAGACGGCTGGGTGTCGTCCGGTCAGATTTCGCGTGATGGTAAGCAAAGCAACACCCGCATATACCCCCTTCTGATCCTCTTCTAGTGAGCGCGATCAAGAAGAGATTGGAGAGGGAACAGGCTGAAGATCAGCAATGAGCCTTCGCTGGCGCTGTGCGCATCTTCCTGCCCCTTCTCTGCTTCGTCTCACGGAACATCTCTTCGGGCGCTATGCTCGACACTTACTCTACCTTACTCGAACACCAGCGGCTGCTGGCTATGCTCATCGTCTCGCCTTAGTGTACGTCTCGCCCTACCTCCGTCCATGCGTACGTTACTGCTCGTACGTCTCTCGTATACGCCCCCGCGTTTACGTCCCATCCACCCTCTACCTACGCATCCGTCTCGTCCTCGCTCTGTGTACTCGTCAGCCTCGCCCACATTGTACATACGCACTGGACCCTGTCTGTCCGTTTCTTATTGTTAATAAAGCGACTCTGGGTTCTATCATCGTCATTTCGTGTCTTTAGCACACCACACGGGCGTCCTTTTGGCAAAGCGACCTCCAATTCTCCATTGCTGCAGGTTGTCGCTCGTTAACTTCAGTAGTGGGCGTCAATCGTCCAAGATTGTAGATTACGTGAGTAGAAGAGTATGATAGCTAGCAGTACAAGATGATTGCATAGATGTACTGTATCGTAAAGCAGTCCGACGCGCAAACTCCAAAAAGTAGGTCGCATAAAGTGTCCATCTGGACCAAAGTGTGTCGTGCTCATCCTCATCCTCGGTGACCTATAGCATCAGCAGATCCTCGTACTATACACCACTCGCCGCTGCATTTTCTCCGCCTCGGTCAACGGTGGCGTCAGCGGGAAGTACAGGATTTGATACGAGTCCTTCTTGTTCCTGCGAAAAGATGTCAGTACATCTTCATCCACAACGATAATCGTAATGAACGAAAGTGGTGCTGACACTCACAACTGCTTCCCGTCCTTCCTGAAGAACCGCATCGTCTGACCCCAGTCCAGATCCGGCTTCGGTGCAGAGGCACCCCCGCGTGGTGCCAGGGCGTTGGCGCGGGTCGATGTTGGGCCTTTGGGGGTTGCCGCATTGCCAGTAGGCGCCTTGTCCCCATTTACATGACCCGCATGCCTCTGCGTCGCCCTCTGGTTCGGCGGCGACTCGGGCGCGCGCCGTTTGCCGTGCTTTCGCAACGATCCGTGCTGAATGAAGTCTTTGATCTTGTGCGCGTGAGGGTGGCGATCTTGCGAGCCGGTAGGATCCGCCTCTGGACTGTGCGAAGGCCCATGCTGATTGCGTGGAGGTCCTTGTTGGCCACCTGGAGGACCTTGTGAGGTCTCCGCTTCCCTCTGACCACCCTGATCCCTCGAGGATAACGGCGATACTGCGGCGGACTGCGCGAAACCAGCATCCGCTAGCGCAGCTTGTCTGAGGTGCTTGGTGGGTGTGCTGTCAGACACAGCGTCAGCCCTTCTTCATACCCCATCGAGATCTCAACCAACTACTCACCGTCCAGGATCCAACGTCAACAAGTTCACCCTCCCATCTCTCATCTGCTCATACCCGACGATCGTCTGCGAATGCCCATTGTACTGCAAGATGATGGGCATCCTGTCTGTTGAGACGATGGGCGAAGAGTTCATCAATGCGGTGTTGACGTCGGTAGCTGCTGGTCTAGGGCTATTTGGCGGGTCGAAGTACTGCATGATCCACTGGATGACGGGGTCGGCTGGAATGTGAGTTAAGTGAGATGGATTGGTGTAGGATTTAATGGACCACAGTGATGAAGCTCACCATTGGGCTGATTCTTCAGGTCGAAGTCGACGAGCTCCGCTCTGCTGGAGATTGGCATCCACAAGTCGACTGCATGTAGTAAGAGGCTTACGGTATGCCTCTACATGCAAAAGCAACCCATAGGTCTGCGGTGCCAATCCATTTGCCGGTCCCAACGAGCTTCTTGAGTTGTTGTGCGCCTTCTCGGTCGAAGCCTGTGCGACTGCATAAGCGATGCACCTATGACCAGCCTTAGTCACGTACCCACTGCCCAGGCCTCCTCGATCCATCGCTGCAGATTGCGAACACTTGGAGGCACGAGAGGTCGTTGTAGCAGGTCCGCGTATGCTGGCTGCTTATTCTGAACCATAAGAATGGCGCATGCCATGAGAAAGTTGCGATAACTAGGGGAGGAGAATGGAATCAATGCATGACTTGTGATTATGTGTGGCGCACCCGCAGCCCCAGGTTCGGTCGAACATCTCGTTGGAGATGTGGATAGCGCGATGATGGCATATAACGGCGTGCTGTGTCTTCCCGCGATCAAATGAGCGACGCAGGGCACGCTTTAGGAGGGGGATAACGCCTGACGAAGGTTGTGTTAAGTACATCGGGACAAGGTAGTAGAGCGCGGCAAGATATGCACCTGGAGTGAAGCATGATGGGGGAGGTGTAGGGAGACCTGGATGCCAGAACCCCGAATCGCGAGTCTTCCAATTCATGGAATCAAGGGCACCTTTGCCCTTCCCCTTCCATGACGAGCTCGACGTTGTCCTGTTGCGCTTGAAGTTGTTCTTGGGTATCTGTGCAGCAGCTCCGGATGGTCCTTCGTCTTTGAAGTGATTGTCGTAGTGCTCCTCGCGCTGCTTGATAGTGAACTTGTCGAGATTGATGAAGCATAGTTGACATTGTAGCGCTTCGAGGCTGATGACAGAAGTCAGTAAAATATACTAGTGGCGAGCCTAAGCAACACACCCATTACCCCCGAGTCCCGCCTCCGATGCATCCAGTCGTCCACCGGCCAGAGTATATGACATGACGAGAAGTACAAGGTCAAGGAGCGGCGACGCGTCCGAAGCCTGCTAATGATGTAATCGGAAGCAAAACGCGCGTGACCAAATGTGACAGATCGTGTTGCCCAACTCGGCCTTTCCTTTTGTTCCTCACGTCCATTCATCGGTCTTCCTCACGCCCCAAATGAGCAGCCGATTGGCATCATTCAAGGGTCCCTCGACGCCAACTTCATCTCCCGCGCAGGCACAGAAGAGGGGAGGGGGAAACAGCGCGCCCAATTCACCGTCGCGCGCAGGATCGACAGAGAGCACGTACCATCGACAGGTGCGAGCTGCTATGCAAGAGCTGCAGTCGATCGCACAGACATGGGACGAGCTTGTACTGCATGACGGATTGAGGGCAGCGAAGATTCTTGTAGATAGCAGAACAGAGCTTGAGTGCGTTTAGTTCTTCACGTGCAGTGCTCGAGTCTCAACGCAAGCCAGGAATGCACTTGCGCTTGTCCCAGGACGAAAGCCAAAGACCCATCTCGTGAGCGAGAAGATTTTGGTTATGGAGAAGTGCATTGTCGATCTAGACGTAGTACTCAGCAAGCTGGTCAGTTCACGCTCTGAAGCCCCTTCGATCATGCATCTTACGCGATTTGCAGAGGAAACAATTCCAAAAGATGAACGCGATCATTGACAGTCTGGAAGCGGTCCTGCAGAACGCGCATAAGACCAAGGGCTGGCAATGGGTCAGTACCGAACCCTTATGGGTAACATGGCCGCTGGAGAAGTTCGGTGAGTGCTCTCGTGAGGAATGACCTTCACCATCTCATCCCTTTCAGTCACCGAAGTTCCGGACCTCCTCGTTCCCTATCACAGGTCCTTGGAAGAGCATACCGGGATGATACAAAGTCTTCGCAAGCATTCGCTCTCTTTTGAGGAGTCACGCTTGATTATCTCGGAGTGGGCAGCGCAGACCGACCTCGAAGACGAGGGCTGGGATGCGAGATGGAATGATCTGTGTGCCGCGGAGATCGATCGCTGGGGGCGACGATAAGCACGCAGACCACTCCAATGGTATTGGCGAAAGGCTGGCCAGCGGTATGCCGTGCGTCAGGCGCAAGACCTCACGCCGAATGAGGGTGATTTCTCAAGGGTCGCTGTCCGACACCAACACCACGATCGCGGTCGGTCTTTCGATGCTACACGGCTTGGCCCCCAAGGCTCTTCGTGTCACGATACCTACAAGAATACACGCCTACTCCTCATCGTCCGATATATGGATCTCCTCCGCATTCTCTACTGGCTTCGCCTCCGCCTCCTTCACCGGATTACTCGACGCACTCACAAACGCCGGCCCCTTCACTGCCGCCCTCTCCGCCGCCGCCATCGCGTCCTCCCCTGCCGCCGCCGCACCATCCTCCCCTTGCGCATTCGCACTGGCAGCACTCGCGGACACGGTCTGCGCCGCGAGGTAACTGGCCTCCGTGTTGAACTGCGCCTGCACCGCGCGCTTGAGGCGCAGCATCTCCCGGAACGTGTCCTCGCTCCCGGTCTCAATCTCGAAGCTGTTCCACTCAGCCCAGAACTTGGGGTTCGTGCGTGGGTCACAGAACTGGGAGGCGTGTGCGTAGATGGCGCGCGCGCGGTCGATTTCGCCAAGCTTGCGCTCGAGGGCGGCGTAGCGAAGGCACATTTCGGCGGTTTGGCGGTCGGGGAGGACTGGGAAAAATGTGCTTCAGAATGTGTATGGGAGAAGGAAGACGGGGAACATACCCTCCAAGGCGCGCTCGTATATAGGGCGGGTGGCAGGGAGGCCATAGTTCTCCGTCGCCTTTGCGATGTAGATCGTAAACATCTACATTCAACACGTCAGCATTTTCCCCCATGTACCAGAGCCAACACACCTCGAACTTATCCTCATCCGCCACCACCTGCGTCGCACGGTCCAAAATTGACATAGCGCGCTTCGCCAGGCCATGCTCCTCCTCAAGTTTCGCGTACATCAAGAACAGCGGCTTGCAGAACTTGGCCGGGCACTTCTCCAGCGCCTGCTCAAAGAGGTCGCGCGCGCGCTCGAGCTTGGAGCCGCCGTAGCGCTTGACGAACTTGGAGAGGTAGATGTTCCAGAGCTCGAAGGAGACAGGGAAGGTGAAGAGCTCGACACCGCGTTCGTAGACCTGTGGACGCGTTAGGAAAGGCTATGATAGGATGGTGAGGGATGAAGTCTTACCTTGAAGCTCTCTTCGTAGTACTTGTTCTCTTCCAAGAATGCGGCGTAGTTAACGATGATTTGTGCGTTGGCGATGCGTAGGTCCAGGATCTTGTCGTAAACCGCCTTTGCAGATTCGACCGTCCCAATGGACTCTTCCAAGTCGACATAGAATGACCAGAGCTTGAGCGACTTGAACAAACGAGTTTGAACTGATAGTGACTGAATAAAGCGTCAGGTCGGAATGCTGGCGCACGACAAAAATCATTTACCTGGTCATGATAATTAATGCGAGGGTTCTTCGGGATAGCCGCAGCTCGCTGCATGACCCGGATCGCCTCGTCGTAGTTCCTGGACGTCAGTTAGCATCATGCACCAACACTGAAGGAAACTGCGCACTCATGACGAAGCTCGAGCTCCGCCCACTCGCACCAAACCTCTGCTAGGTCATCAACATTCTTGAAGTGCACCTTCGTCGCCTTCTCCAGGATCTTCCTCGCAGCGTCCAAGTCGGGCTCCGCCTCCCTCGTCGTTCCACCTTCCTCATAGAACTTCGCAAAGTTCACGTACAGACGATGCAAGTTCGCCGTCGCCCTCCTCGGGTTGATCGTCTCCAGCGCCTTCGTATACGTCTCCGCTACCTTCGCATCGTCCTCTCCCCACAACGCCACCCGCTTCTCCCACTCCTGTACGTCATTCGGATTCCGCCTGAGCAGCACGTCGTTGTTCAGGAACGGCCGCCGATCCATCAGTGCCTCGAACTCCTGCATGTGCTTCTGCAGCTCCTCCTCGATCTCTTTCGTCGCCTCCTCGTCGTCTTCTTCCTCCAGCGTCTCCATGTACCCGCTGATCACGGACTCGTTGAACTCGGCGTACGCGTCGAAGATCTGGGTGAAGTCGCGCACGGTGACGACAGCCGCGAGCCCGGCTTCGAAGGTCTCCTTCGCGCGCTCGAGCTCAGCGCGGTTAATCCAGTAGGTCGCCAATCCGGTCCAAAGACGCCCCGCCTGGTCCTTGTACACCGAGAGGCCATCGTTGCGGATGATCTGCTCGATGTTCAGTTTGCGTGGGCTCTTAGGGTCCTCGTCCTCGTCATATGGCCGTGTCTTGCCATCCGCAGAGACAGTGACGGGGATCGCAGGACCTGCAACGCGCATAACCTGACCGGTGACGGATGCGGGCTCGACGACCGTTGATGCGCTGGCAGCGGCTTCCTCTTCCGCTTTTGCAGCATCGTTCGAGGTGTTGGTGTCGTCGACGTCGAGACCAACCTCCTCGGGGTACTTTTCGACGATTTCGAGCCAGTCGAGGAGTAGCTGATACGGACTCTTGCCCTCTGGGCTAGTGTACTCGCCGCGAGCAGCTTTGCGCGCGAGTGACAGGAGGTACTTCGCAGCCTCGAGAGGTCGAGGAGCGGAGTGTGGAGAGTTCAAGAGGAGGTGGGTGAACCGCTCAGTGATGCTGGGGTCGACAGCAAGGTATCGCCGGTAAACAGCGACCATAGTTGCGCCGCCTCGGGCTTCTGCCCAGAGAAGATAGCGCACCCATATGCGGTGGTGGAGGGATGGTGGCAGAGTGCGAAGGGCGCGGTCGTATGTGTGACGAGCGTGTGTGTTGACGAGAGTAGACGGGCAGAGGGGATGATTGAAGATGGAAAGGTACATCAACCATAATCGTGGCATCTGGGGGAACGTCTTTAGTAACACGAAAGTAATGAAGGTCAATCGACGCACCTTGGGCAACCACATGAGGGCGCGCTCGAAGGTCGCGACAAGCGCCTTCCACTCCTCCCAGCCCACTACGCCGTGCAAGCCCCCCTCCCACTGCTCGAGATCCTCCTTTTCCTCCTCCAGCGCGTCCTTCATGTCGGGGAACTTTTTCCTGCCGCCGGCCTTCTTCTTCATGACAAGCTTGCCAAGCACGAAGGACATGCGCATAGTCAAGTAGGACTTCCATAGCTTGTACGAGCCAGCGAACTGAGTAAGTGCTGCCTCATAAAGGTATGTCAGTCTTTGCAAAGACAGGCGCCCGAGCGGAGTTGCAAGAGGTCCCAAGAGCGCGGCGACTTCGGGAGGTACGTCGGCAGGAAGCTTCTCTATCTTCGACTGGGCGACATAGGCTTCCCTCGTAGCATGGATGGCAGTCCACCAAGCGCGAAAAGATGTGGGATTTCGCAGCAAGTCCTCTTCGCGTGCAATGTCATGAACCGTGATCAAGTCCGGCACGGATTTCGGGGTCGGGATGGGGAATGTGAGGGGGAATTGCGAAGTGAGGGAGTCAAGGGAGACAGACTTCTCCGCAACGGACGGCATTTTGTAGGAAGCGGAGGCGCGCCGACGAGCGTTCAGGACAAGGTGCACGCCGCGCGATCAACATTGCCAAACTCGGTTACTCCTTGTTCTCTGACGTCCATTGTCCCCGTCATTGTACTTCGTCGGAATCTCAGAATATGGTAGGACATTCGTCCGACACAGTCAGCGAGGCTACAATGCATCTTAGCATGGAGTCAAACGCGTCGTCTACACGCCAGAGGCGCTGGAGGCCAAGAAGAAGCGCGAGCAGGCGAGACTACAAGAGTACCTTGCCCTCTCTGAGGCCGTCTTGAGCAAGGTCAGCGAGGTTCTTGATCGACAGGACAGGGTCTCATCTGAGCAGAAACGGGCGCGCGAGATCTCTAAGGAGGCGTTCGATCTAACGACGAAGATGCTCGAGATTAACCCCGAATTCTATTCTGTGTGGAACTACCGGCGCGATATCATGACGAAGGGCCTCTTCCCCGAGACGTGCGTGACTCTCTTCCTCACTGATGCTGTACCCTTACGCTCTCGCAGCACTAAAGAGGGAATCAACGATCTTCTCTCGGCTGACCTGGCGCTTACTACCGCCGCCTTGCGAGCCCATCCTAAGGTCTACTGGATATGGAATCACCGCAGATGGTGTCTCGCGAACGTCCCTGATGGTCCCGGAACGTCCGAAGAAGGGGACGTCAATGGATGGCGGCAGGACTACTGGAACAAGGAGCTCTATATCGCCGAGCGGATGCTGGAGGTCGATGCACGCAATTGTAAGATCGTCCTTACCACCCATGCTCACCCTTGCTTTGGACGTCGCTGACTAACTCACAGTCCACGCATGGAACTACAGGCGATATGTCTCGGCCAATATGCCCGTTCCAAGACCCGCCATGAACGAGATCGACTACACGATGCAGAAGATCAAGTCCAACTTCTCCAACTTCAGCGCTTGGCATCATCGCTCGAAAGTCTTGCCAACCTTATGGCAAAGTGGCGCATTGAACCCGAAGGCCTCCCGTGAGACTGGTACGTCCATTGATTATCCAAAATGCGACTCGCACTGACTACGACGCAGAGTTTGACTTGGTGCGGAACGCGATGTACACAGATCCCAACGACCAAAGCGTCTGGATGTACCACCGATGGCTCGTCGGACCTGGTGACGACCGAGAGGTTCTCGAGCGCGAGATATCTGCAATACAAGAGTTGCTGGAAGCCATTCAAGATGAGCCAGACGAGGGGTCCAACGTAAAATGTGAGCACATTCTTACTTGAATCGCTGAATTATCACTGACTGGTCTGAAGGGTGCATGGACTCCCTTGTGCATTACAAGCGACTTCTCTTGCGAAAGAACTCGGGAGCGGTTGACACTGATGAGCTCAGAGGAGAATGCCTTCAGCTCCTCGAAGACCTGCAACAAAAGGACCCTGCGCGACGGCAACGATACCGAGATATAGGCGCTCATCTTGACCGTGCCGTTCCGTGCTAAGACCTAAACAGCATACTCGTCCTGTGGTCGCATACTACTATGCAATAAATGTCGTCTCACTCTCAATCGCGTATTCCTGGCGACCAAACTATATTCCCTTATGCATTATGATGGTACAGATTTACAAGAACGGGTGCCGTCCGGCACAGGTGCAGAGCTGGATTTACTTGCCGCACTTGCAGTCGTTGGCCTGGCACGAGCAGCTACAGACAGGTGTGAGCGAAGGTTGCAGGACAGGAGCAAACACCATACCTGCCGCTGCATTGGCAGTTGTTCTGGCCGCAGTGGGCGTCGACGGGGATCTGGGTGGTCTGCAAGATACAGGTCAGTACACTCTCGCCAACCGCGACGACGAGCAGCACTTACGGAGTACATGTTAGTCGTGTGTGCAGTTGTGAAGTGTTGTCTGTATCTCGGGTCTGGAGAGCACTGCGCCTCGTCGGACTGCCTTTATACTGTTCGAGGTGAGCAATTTGCATATGTTTGCGGGATTTAGTGAGGCGCCCTGGTCTCATACACCCCGTCATCCGCATGCACCTGCTGCCCACTAATTCGCGCAGGTGTACGGCCACGCCCGACACAGCGGGTCCAGTGGCCTACACACACGGCGGACACGCACTCGCGACACCGCCTACGCCCCAACTTTGATCAGAGGGTGTTGGACAATGGGAGTTTTGGCGCCCCCGACCTTTTGGCGTCGGCCATCGCCGCGGGTATCGAATACGCGGAGGTGAGAAGATGGGGCTGACGGTCGCACGTGAAGGGAGGCCCTTTGTTCGATGGAATTGGCTGGGTTGCCGCGCTCGGGATGCCATTCAGGCCGAAGAAGCAAGTATCGTACAACCAGGTCCCAAGACGACTGTGGCGTGGTGGTATGGGATAGGGATCGTACGTCCATTCATCCACGCTTGTCTACGAGCCTCATTCTACGCTAGTTCTGGCCAGAGTATCAGCACATGGACAACGTGGAAGTTGAACCGTGACGGCACACCGTGAGTGACAAGGCACCTCGCATTCAATGCGCGCTTTTCCAGGCAACCGTGCGAGTCAAGACAGGTCAGCGATGCTGCTTTATCACCGCAGAACGAAGTCAGGATGCCGCGGCCGGACTAGCAGAGCCGGCGCTCGCGTCCGAGATCCGCTTCAGGACCACAACCGTCTACTAGCTTCCCTCTCCAACAGCAACCAAGCGCCCAAATGCAGTTGCATTTGAAGAGGTCGACGTACTTCCCGGCTCCTGACTCAAACAGTCAAAATCGACGATAAGAGGGACACTGCTCCCAATGCCGCGGCTGCGGGAAAGGGAAGTGTGGTCATGAGGCGGAATTCCAGAGTTCGCCAGTTCGAGGTTAGAGCGTGAGTTTGCGGGCTGGCGTTGCGTGTGGTACGTTGACTGGCAGGGTTGTTACTGCTGGCGTATAAGAGCGAGCTCGAAGCGACGTACAACCTCAGGCTCAATCCACAGTACCTCTATTCTACTCGACCACCTTCGTCTCACCGCCAGCATGGTTTCCGTGCGTAGTCTCCTCTTCATTATAACTTTCGGGAGTGCTGACATCGACGTTCGCATACAGTCTACCCACGTCGTCGTCGATGCCCACTGCGGCAGCTCGTCCTGCCAGTGCACGACGACCTCGAAGTAAGCACTGATCTCGTGGTGTGTGGATGTAGATGCTGACATCGTCGCAGCTGCTCGTGCCAATCCGGCCAGTACAAGTGCTCGTGAACGGCCACACCGACTTTCCCTGGCTTATCACTAGGATAGCATGTCCTGTCACGAACCCCAGGCCCCTTCTATGCGCCAACTGTGTATCATAATGTTCTCCCTATGCACTGGCAATTGACTCTGACATGCCCTACCTGATACCTCATGAGTCTTCTCGACCTCAATGCGGGATGCGATGGTATCGAAACCATAGCCTTGAGGATATACCTGGTTGAATTGATAGGCAGCGGTGGTGACCTCTTGCCGTGGCCGTCGCATTGAATCTGAGTGAATATGTAGTCCGCGGACCGCTCGGGGGCACATCAAGTTCGACCGGCTTGCCGTCCCGGTGATCCAGTGATCTCTCAGGACTAGGAGCGGCATCGGCCGGGCCTCAATTCCTTTCCTTTTGCCCCGTCGCGGTGTGCTCTGCGTATAAGCGCCTGCTCCAGAGCTTTCGGTCTTAGTATCGCTCACTCGTCTAGCATTATGATTGTCAACAAGTTTCTGCTTTGCGAGCACGGGCACGAATTTTGCCATCATTGCCTATGCGACTACCGGAGCGTCAACGATGGCACGTTCGACGATATGGATCCAGCCGCCATGCTGGAATACGTTCAGCTTGTCTCCAAAAACAAAGGCAAAGATGTAGGTATCTTGGCACCCACATATGGCGCGTCTGACACGTCGCTTCACAGCTGAGGAAGCCTTTGTCTATCGCCGGGAAATTCATACCCACAAGCGAACAGAAGAACGGCGACACTGGAGCCCTTTGCCAGTCTCACAAGCTGAGAGACTGTCAAGAGTGCTTCGATTGGAAGAAGATGCTCACCGAACAAGGCTCGAAGAAGGGCAAGGCGAAGGCCAAGCCGCACAAGATCGAAGATCGCGAGCAGATTTTGGCTCTTCTGCAGTCGATGGCTGTAAATCTGCCGTCCGACACGAAGCTGCCCAAAGATGCTCTCGAGAAGCGCTTGACTGCGGCGCTGTCCATGTGCCAATCTGTGTCTTCGTTCTCGGATAAATTTCCATTGGACCCGTCTGTGTGCCCAGCTTGGAAGGTGTGACCGCCGATCTAGCCTGAGGCCACATTGTTTAATCGTGACCCATCGACAGGACAAAAGTGCGCTTGAGGGATTCCGCATGGGGACGCTCATGGAGGCCTATCAGGCTTTTCGAGCGGAAAGCGAAGGTCGTGTCCCCAACGTTCTGCCTTCATACGAGAACGCTTTTAACGATCTTCGACAGAAGGTCTGTTCCTTTTCTTCGTCAAAGAATCTTCCGTATTTGCTGAGCCTCCGTACCAGATCATGTATCTCGCCAAGATGTACGACGACGGACAACCTACGTGCGTCTTGCAGGACGAGGAAGGTCAGGAGGCTATATGCGTGCGGGTGAGTAGTTCGTGTTTCGACCTAAAGTTATTCCCGCCAATCAATAGCACTGAATGTACAAGGTCTTGGGCGTCCACGCTCTGAACGACAAGACGCCGGTCATGAGCGTCGTCTACTACACCGGTCGTGCGAACGAGCCGAAGAACGACACATACGTCTTCATCTACGAGCAGCTGAAGAAGGAGCGGATGCTGGAAGTGCGATGCACGGTGCAGGAGCAGGCGCTCCTGAGGAAGCTTCTACACCACAATTCTCAGGAGCTCTCCCAAAACTACAAGCCCAAGCTCGAGCCGCACGAGAAGAACTTCAAGATCAGCTTCTTGCTACCGGTGTCTCCGCTCAGCCAGTTTGACATCGGAAAACTGACGAGCAATACTGGGTGTGTGGTTTGTGGCAAGAGGACGACGAGCCGTTGCACGGGTTGCTTGGCGGTTGCGTACTGTGGTCCTGGTGAGTTGCATCTTCTTGACCGATCGCCATACACGCGTCTGATGCCGTATACAGAGTGTCAGCGAGCTCACTGGAAGGACCACAAGTCGTTCTGTCGCGCTATCCGCGGCGGCAAGTGGCGCACCGTCAAGTTCACGCAGCAGCTCGAGATCGGCGGCCAGCGCATGTTCGGTGCCTCGCTCAACTTCTCCTCCCTACGATCGACCAGCTTCCAGCAACCGGACGAACCAGCTTCGGCATCTGGCAATCAACACAACGACCATGCGTTTCTCGTCAAAATTCAGCGGCCTGCTAGCCTTACGAGAAACGATGATCTGTCTGGATTGCTGGTCTATGATCGGGGGAGGACCTTCCAGGGGTATATCACGATTAGGGAGAACCCGGTGGGATACAGGGAGGTTATGAACGAGATGGCGGACGGGCGGCTGAAGGTCTACCGATGGGCGAAACGCGTGGGCGACTCCGAGCTCAATTTATGTCTCGATAGGGAACCGTTGACGGTGCCGCAGTGGTAGAGCTCGCATCAACTTGTACTCAGAACTGACTTGTACCGCCTTCAAAACACCTTCAGATTATGGGCCAGACGAGGAGGGACAGCTGAGCATTTCCTCGGACGTCCGAGGATTATTGCCCGGAATACGTCCCGGCGATCCGAGTCAGATGAGCGCGGCGTTTCCCGATCACATCGACTTGTCCGACTCCTTCACTCTGCGCGCTGGGGCGACGATAGAGCATCGTCTCTGAGCACGACATCCTTGCCAAAATGGCCGCCGAAATCGTGGCGTCCTTTTTGTTGGCCAACAACTTCATGTTTTGTAAATATGGATACGAATACTGCAGCCATTGCGGCTGCGACCATGCCTACGTGAATGACAACTTCCTTACCATGGACTTGTCTGCCCTCGAAGGGCGCCTCTCTGAGTACGGAAACACTGCTGGGCTGTTGGTATGTATCGGTGATCTTTCCCTCGGTTGATTCTGATTCAACTTGTAACCGCAGCCCAGGGAGCCCCTGTCTATCGCTGGGCAATTCACGACCATCCACAAGGAGTCAGGGCCAAACGGAGCTGCCTGCAAAGCGCACAGTCGCGAAGACTGTCAAGACTGCTTCAATTGGGATAAGATCATACGCGAGCAGCTTTTGAAGAAGATCACTGGCAAGGTATCCAGGTCCGAGGCGTCGAATGCAAAACTCGACGACCGTGAGCGGATCATAGGCTTGTTGAGGTCGATGGGCGTCACCTTTCCCGAAAAGACGAAGCTTCCGACAAACACTCTCGAAAAGCGCCTTGATACGGCTCTGAATTGCGCTCAGTTCGCATCAAATTACTCTGGCAAGTTCCCCTTGAATTGTGCGAAATTGCCAGCTTGGAAGGTACGCCAGCCGTCTCGTCAGGATTATGCTATTTATTGAGCATGAAAAACAGGGGAGAAGCATATTTGATGGTGTTCGCAGAGGTAATGGTGTTGAAGCCTTGGAAGCCGATCGCCTCAGGAGCGAAGGACGTGGGCGCGAACCACCTGCCCTGTATGTCAATGCCTTCACGGACGTCAGACAAACGGTTTGTTCCTCTAGCTACGTAAACATATCGTTCTGTCTGATCTAGCTTTCCAGGTTCTCAACCTGGCGAAACACTGCGACGATGGTATCACCGTACACATTTTCGAGAATCACGAACAGACAGAATGCATCGCCATTAGGGTATGCCCACGTATAACAAACAACGCACCCAAGCTCTGACCATTATTGAATAGATCCTCGGCGTTCACGCTCTCGACGACAAGACGCCCGTCTTCAGCCTGATCTACGCTCTTGGCAGCTCGCAGTCTCCTTCGACCGACGTGATCGACTTTGTCTGCGCACGGATGCGCGGCAAGATCATGCGGACCTACTGTACCGCCGAGGAGCAAGCCTTGCTCAGGAAGATACTGTTCATGAACTCCGAGAGGGTTTCCTCGGACTTCAGACCCAAGCTCGAACCGTACGAGCGGAATTTCAAGATCAGCTTTTTGCTCCCCATTGGGCCCCTCAGCCAGATTGACATTGGCAAGCTGACGAGCGACACCGGATGCGCTATCTGTGGCAAGAAGACGACCAGCCGATGCACTGGTTGCTTGTCCGTCTCTTACTGCGGTCAAGGTGTGCTCCGTCGTAGCTTGAATTAGGGGAGTTCTGACTTGTCTTAAAGCGTGTCAGAAAGCGCACTGGAAGGAGCACAAGGAGTTCTGTCGAACCATTCGCGGTGGGCAATGGACCTCCGTTAAGTTCACGACGCAGCTGCAGACGCCCGAGGGTGAACCACTCTTCGTGACGTCTATCAATTTCTCATCCTCGACGCCGACTCCCATCTGTGGTCCGGGCATACCTGTCGTGACTCCGCCCAACGTACACGGCGACAATGCTTTCCTCGTGAAGATCCAGCGGCCCGGAAGTATCGTTGCGCGCGACGACGATACGGCGGCGATGATGGTCTACGACCGCAATAGGTCGTTCCAAGGCTATATCACGCCGAGGGAGAACCCAGGCGGGTACGCTCAGGTTCTGTCGCTTCTTGCAGGTGGAAGGGCGAAGGTCTACCGTTGGGCGAAGCGAACGGACGATTGGGTGCTCAATGTCTGCCTTGACCGTGCGCCTGCCACCAATCCACCGTGGTGAAGTGGTGGTCGGGTTTTCCTATGGGTCGGTGATATCCTTTTCGTTGTCGACATGTGTGTAGGATACTTGTACACTCTCATGTAGCCTTCCGACAGCCTTTTGTATGCTTATCTGTACGGCCCCAAAACATTGTATCTTACTTGGGCCCTATGCGTAGACATTCATGCATTGGGATTTCTGCCGCCGAGGGCCCGGCAAATGCCAGGCGTAGGCGGCGCGAGGCGCGATCACGTGGTACGATCTCTCGTGCGACCGGCGCGTCGCATGGACGTCTTTTTCTCTTCACCTATCGTCGACCCTCGCCCCTCCATCTCCCTCGCACTCCACGACGCGAAACAAGCTATGGCTGACGATCTTGAGCGTGAGATCGACGGGTTGATCATCGTCAATTCCTACATCTTCTGCACTCACGGCCATGAATACTGCAATCACTGCATCATGGACGCGCGCATCGCCAACGATTACAAGAGCGAGGGCCAGGACGTCGTCGGCGTGCTGTCGCAGGAGATGATTAGACGTGCACAGCTCGGGATGAATACAGAGGTGCGTGCCATTGTCTCCCTTCATGCTATGCCCTCACACTCACCCTTGATCGCAGGAATACCAGCGCAAACCCCTCTCCGTCGCCGGCCGCGTCGTCAAAACCTCCCAAAAGACCTCCGCCGGAACTCCCCTTTACCTCTGCAAAGACCACAACGAAGCCGACTGCACCAAATGCTTCGACTGGCCGAAGCTCATCCGTGCGCAGAACAAGAGTAATAACAAGAAAGAGAAGGGGAAGGTCAACGATCGCGAGCGCGTTTTAGGGCTGCTTCAGTCAATGGGCGTGGAGTTCCCGCCGGAGAGCAAGCTCAGCGATGAGGTGTTGGAGAGGAAATTGACAGCTGCGTTGAACTATGCGCAGGATCTGAATGAGTTTGTGAAGGTGATGCCTTGGAAGCCTGAGGACCATCCGCTATGGAAGGTGAGTGCTAGTGTTGGCCCACGGTCTGGTTGCGGGAATGCTCAAAGACCCGCTTGTTTCATAGGAGAGCCAGAAAACCCCAGTCTTCGACGGTGTGAAGCGCGTGAACCTAACGGAAGCGATGCAAAATGCCAAGTCCATGTACGAAGGCCGCGGACGCATGAGGCTTTCCCTGTACAAGAATGCTTTCACAGACCTTCGTCAAACCGTGAGTTGATACGGGGACATCCGATACGGCGAGGATCGTGACGAACAACTCCAGGTGATGCACTTGGCCAGGAACTACGACAATGGCCACCTCTCTTGCGTGCTACAGGACGAAGAAGATACGGAGGCCATCTGCATGCGCGTGAGTGACGTCTGCGCCTTTCACGAGGGTCCATTTACTGAACACGGTGTCCAGATCCTAGATGTCCGCGCGTTGGACGACAAAACGCCCGTCCTCAGTCTCATCTACGCAACTGGGACCTCAAATGCCCCCATCCAGGACACCCTCGGCTTCATTCAGGCCCATGCAGAGCAGGGGTATATCGTCCGCATCAAGTGTACCACGCAGGAGCAGGCCTTGCTCCGCAAGCTGCTCTTCAACAACTCTGAGAAGGTCTCGCCGGACTTCAAGCCGCAGCGCGAGGAGTACGAGAAGAATTTCCGGTCGAGCTTCCTACTACCTGTTCGCGTGCTCAGCCAGGTCGATATCGGGAAGTTGACGAGCGATACTGGGTGTGCTGTGTGTGGGAACAAGACGACGAGTCGGTGTACGGGATGTCTTTCAATTGCGTACTGTGGGCAAGGTGCGTATGACGTCGTTCAATGGCGGAGAAGTAGGGAAGCTCACGGCCTCCAGCTTGTCAGAAGGCGCATTGGAAGGAGCACAAGGGCTTCTGCAAGACGATACGAGGGGGTACGTGGCGCACCATGACGTTCGGCCAACACTTCCAGGTCGGAGGCCAGGTCATGTCCGCCGTGTCCATCAACCACTCCTCGGGTAAGGCGAATACACCTATCAACAAGAAGAACGAGCCGCCCGCAAATGTGCACGGCGACAAGCTGTTCCTCGTCAAGATTCAGCGGCCTCTCGTTCCAGACCTCACCCAGCAAGCGATGATGATGGTGTACGACCGCAATAGGACGTTCGAAGGGTATATCATCCGGCGGGACAACACCGGTGTCTACGAGGAGGCGATGGCGCAGATGCCGTACGGGACGCAGAAGCTCAAGATCTACCGCTGGGCGAAGCGCGTCGGCGACTGGCAGCTGAGTGTCTGCCTAGACCGCGAGCCCGAGCAGGTTCCCCAGTGGTGATCGATGCGCTCGTCCCCGAAGCTTACCGGATCTTGCTGTTCAACTGCTCCAGTGCGCGGCTTCTCCAAGGCGTGTCGCGCCACACCTTGCGCTAGACCGTGCTGGGTTGTGGGTACAAAGTGTATGTCGGGCGGGCGTCATCGTGACAGGTACAGATAGGAATGACAATAGTGGAAACTTGAAAGCAGAAGCGCGCTCTTCGAAGCGCCGCCATTCGCAGGCGATAGCACTGGACTCCCGCCTCGTGGTGATACACGCGTTGTGGTGTGTGTTGTAGACTGCCCAAGGGTCTTAGAGAGGTCGTTGTGAAAGCTGTTGGCTGCATTGTCCAACAAAAGCAGGGGGAGCATGAACAATGCGAACGCGCGTCCGCACGTGTTCGGGTGGCAAGCTTGGACAATCAAACACGCGGCTGGATGAGATCACTTGCGCCTCGTGGGTTGCGCGAGGACGAGATTTTCCTATCCCGTCTTCTGGCTTGTCTCCTGCCGCGACTGTCCGCATACCCCACCGCCTCGATATCTTACGTCTCTATCTGCACAAATATGGAGAGCATTCACGGGAACCCGCCCCAGCGCGATCTCTTCTCTAGGGGATCGTCCCCGCCCCAACAGGCGCCCGTCCCGTTCGCCGCTCATCCAAACGCAAGCAGCAGCCAGCTCGACTCCCTTCTCCAGAACCTCACCTCCCCGACCTCGGAGCAGCCGCCGTCGACAAATTTCCCGAATCCCTCATCCGCTAGCTTCGCCACACCTTCGACCCTTCCTCAGCCGTTCACCGGATCGGGTCCGGGTACGCCAGTAATGTCAATGGACGCGCACCGGGATTCCCCTGCATCGCACCACTCCGGGAGCATGACGACGGCGGAGAGGCAGAGCGCTCTCCTATCTCTTCTCAATCAGCCCATGTCCGGCGTCAATGTCCACCGCACGGGCGGGAGCACTGGCTCTCTGCCCCAGCAAGTCTCCACCCCACCAGAATCCTCGCAGAGATCGGGCGCATCACCGACTCACAACGAAGCGCAGGGCAAGATCTTGCTGGAGCAGTTGATGGCCGGGTGAGTGATTACTTCGCATTCACTGTCCGTATCTGTTACGTAGACCCGCAATACCTCCCTGTTGTCCTCTATTTTACTGCCCACTAGCCGTACGTGATGGCGTGCAGCATGGTGCACACGACCATCTACACGAGGATGGGGCATGTCCTTGGTGTTTGGGCCGCTTTTTTCTTTCCTTCTTCCTTTATCTCGCGATGCTCGCGCTGCCGTCTCGACTGCCATCTGCGATGGAAGGGCTGACCGAGTTTTTCTTCCCTTTCTACAGGCCGGCCTCAAGGTCGATCTATCCCGAGTCGCAGCCGGCTCCCCCTATGTCAGGGCCTCCCTCGGCGCCGTCGCCCACTTACGGCAATGGGCCCTCTCCACAGCAATGGGAGCAGAGCATGCAGCCTCAGGATTATCGCTCCAACCAAGATATGGACTATCATGCCCAATACGATCCGCAGCCTAGCTTCGTTGCGCCTCCTCAGCAGGTCTCACCTCCCCTTCCCCCTCAAACTCAGCAGGCTGCCGCGCAGCCACTGCCCCCCTCGCCGCCTAAATCTATGTTCGATTTTGTCTCCCCCTTCGATGCGCTCCAGTCCGCGACTGGGTCGATCAGGAAGAAGCCCGTGCCGACCTCGAGCGTCCCGTCGAGCGGGAACGAGGACTCGTCGTGGACGGCCATCTCGGACCCCAAGCGGCGGTCGGTCGAGAATCTGCTGGAGAACCTGACCCTGAATTCTCCTCCTCAGCCGCCGCCCGCCACGTTTGAGAGCTTTGGTAGCATGCCCCCGCAGCCAGACTATGGAGGCACGGATCCGCTCGACCTGGCTATGGGCAACCGATATGGCCCTCCGCCGCCGCTGCCGCAGAACTTGCAGCCGCCGCCCCAGCCGAAGCCGGTTCCTCAGCGCGTTGATTCGCCTAGAGCGAGTCCGCCTAAGAACCAGGCTCAGCGGGTGTCGCAGGCGATTCCTGCTAGTCAGCGGCGCGACAAGGAGGGTTCTCCTGGTCCTCGAGGCAGCGTCAGGGGAAAGAAGAACAAGAACCAGGCTAGCCCTAGGTGAGTACCTTATATTCTGTCGCGTAGATTATAGGATCTGATCATGGCGCAGTTCGCAGTCACAGAACATCGTGATCGACGTCTCGCAATCTCTTGAGGAGATTCAGACGACGCGCGACCTCGTCAAGTCCACTGCCATCGCCCTGGTCAAGCAGGATGCCGTCTTCCTGCCTGGAACGACCATCGGTGCGACGCACTGGGTGGCCTACGCCATGACGCGCGGTACGTTGGCTGTATATGCGCCCAGTATGCATACTCAATCCTCTCAGGTCGTGTTCGTGTTATCTCTCGGTCGAGCGGCGACCGGACTCTTCTCCAGCTTCCTCCTCTCTTCCCTCAAACCACGAGCGTCACCGACATGGCTGTCTACGGCAATCGACTTGCCGGCGTGACCTCGGACGGTGGCTTCGTCGTTTGGGAGCTGCCCGAGATGATTACGGACGATGTCCCGTAAGTCAATGATTTTCTGACATGCAGCACGTCTCTTACAATGCTTTAGGGGCCGACTCATTCTTTGCGTGGCGCCATCGCCCATGTCGGATGCCTTGCATTCCGTCAAGTGGCACCCGAAGGAGCCCGACGTCCTCGCCGTCGCGTCCGAGCGAACTGTCTTCCTCATCGACTTCAGTGTGCTTCCAGATCTGACTGGCAAAGTCTTGCCCATCACCGACCTCAACCACTATGCTCAGGGCTTCAACCCGCAGTCGGTGAGTCGTAGTCGCTCTCGAAGTCTCAAGCGTCAAAGTTTGCTAATGCGCCGGTCAGCCTGTCGTCGCTTTTGACTTCGATACCATTCACTACGGCATTGCGACGATCTCCGACGATTCGACTCTCACCATTTGGAACATCAACGACCGCGTCCCATACACGAACCACCCTGTGCGCGGCGAGGGTGTCCCGTCCTCTCTCCTCTTCGTCGACGGTGCCATCGTCGTCGGTCGCAAGAATGGGACCATCTTCCAGCTCCTGAATTTGACTACCAAGGCGATCCTATCGACCATCAAGTTCGTCAACGGGGACAACGAGGACCGCGAGATGTTCGGCCACGCCAGCTACGATACGCGCATCCAGACCCTTTGGATCGCCAACTGCCGCCGCGACAGCTTCTTCGGCTTCAAGATCAACTTCGAGCCGCGCGATGAGGCGACGAGCGGGTACTTCGAGCAGGTCGTCGAGTTCCCCGGACCCAAGCCGACTATCCACTTTGTGATCCTGACGGCAGACTCTGACCCGACTGGTGACGAGGCACATGCTGCATGCATCGCAGCCAAGGTCCCACCGGGCGAGCTGGCCCTCGTCGCCTTCTCTGTCCACTCCACGGGCGTCGACCAGGTTCTCATCCGCAAGGAGTGGTACGACACCGCGTTCGCGACCGTCCTCGCCAAGCTTCCCCAGTCCGCCCCGCCGCCGCAGTTCCAGCAGCAGATCAACGAGCCCAAGCAACGTCCCTTCCTCTCCGGCCCCCAGAACTCGAACGTGCGCACCCGCACGCCGCCCTCCGAAGAGGTCGACGCCGACGTCGCGCGCGAAGAGCCGCGGCAGGAGGGCGGCCGCAAGGGCCGGGGCAAGAACGTCAACTTCAAGGACAAGGACGAGAACGCGCCCGAAAAGGAGAAGCGTGGCAAGTCCGCGAACGCGAACAACACGGATAGCGGGAGCGAGACGGCGCTCAGCCAGATCCTGACCAAGGAGATCCGCAAGACGGAGGACAATCTGCACCAGCGCATCAGCAGGCTCATTGGGAAGGAGATGGACAAGCAGCGTATGTTCACAGGCATCGTTTGTCGTTCTCAGGGATGCTGACGCCACACTAGATGCCCGTCTCGAGGAGTCGCGCGCGCACGACCAGGCGGAGGAGATCACTCGCCAAGAGAAGATCCTGAAGCTTATCTCGCAGGAGCTGTCGCGCAACACCACTCGCGTCGTTGAGATCGCTGTCAAGAACGAGGTGCAGAATTCAGTGCTGCCGGCGCTGGAGAACATGACGAGGACCGAGGTCAAGGCCGCGCTCAACGAGCGCGTTGGCCGTGGCCTGGTTGACTTCATGAGCCAAGTGCGTACCCGTATCATACAGCGTGTTATAGCGACTGACTATCCGCTGCAGAGCCTGCCTGCTGAGATCGAGAAGATGATTCTTCGCCCTGATATGGCACAGCACTTCTCGAACATGTTGTCTTCTGCCCTCGTGCCCGCGATCGAGCGCCACGTCAAGGAGTCCATGAGCAAGTCGGTCATCCCGGCGTACCAGCAGCACAACGCGGCCCTGCATCAGGAACTGCTCAGGGAGCTGCGCGCTGAGTTGCATGGCGTCAAGTCCGAGATGTCTGCTTGGCAGAACGAGGCGTTCCGTAACCAGGAAGTGAGTTGCGCCACAGGGTGCTCACGACTGAGTTTACTGATGCTTGTCTAGTCCATCAAGCAGCTGGAGCACACCGTCCGCGCCCTTTCTGAGCAGATCAAGTTCAGCAACGCTGGTACCCCTACCTCCCAGCCGGGCTCGCACGGCCCTTCGCAGGTTACGCACTCCCTATCGCAGCCTGCGCCACAGAACCGGCCCAACCTCCCACCCGTGCCCAACTACCACTACGGGTCCGCACCCTACCCCCCTCAGGCGCAGGCGCCGCCCCCGCCCCCTCCGCAGATGCAGAACTGGTACACCGGCGGCATCGTCGCGCCGCAGGCGTCGCACCCGCTGGTGCCGCCGCCGCCGATCGCGCAGGAACGCATCGTGCCGCCGCCGGCGATGAAGTCCGAGCAGTGGGATGAGATCTACCTCAGCACGTTGCACACCCAGGATCTGAACAAGCTGCGCGACCTGCTCGCCAGGAGCGACGCGGATGTTGTTATGCCGCCTAACGGGCCAGTCCTCGTTTCGCAGGCTGTCATACTCACACTCATTCATCGCGTACGTTGAGCTTCCCTTCGTGACAGTAACCTATCTAACCTGTCCCCTTCAGCTTGCCGCCGCTCTCGGCGAAACGTCTCCTACGGACGATGCCTTCAAGTCGTCGCTGTGGTGGCTCCAGCGTGCTGTTGCCATCCTGCGTCCTGAGGTTCGTGCTCTCCCATCGACATCCTTCAGCTCTGTACTGACCAACTTCACAGGACAAGCTAATTTCTGACTTCATCCCCCGTGTTGTGCCCAACGTGCAGCAGTCTCTGAACACGACCAAGCAACGACTATCTATCCTCCCCGGCGGAGGCACTTACGAAGGCGCGCGGGCCATCTCGGAGGTGCAGGAAGCACTGCGCCGCAAGGTGGTCGCTTGAGCCTGATGACCTGACTTGACGTTTCTTGTTGTACGACTTCTTTCACGCTTTGTTCGAGGAATGCTTTATTATGGTTGCTTTCATGTCCATACACTGTAAAACTTCTGCATATATCCCATCTCTTTCTTGCCTTCTTCACCCGCCTGGAGGTGCTATACGCGGTCGACTTTCACCCGAAATTCTGGGTTGCAGGTGCGTTCTCAGGTCCCCTTCATTCCTTCATCGAGCAAGGTGCCAACGCGCCTCGGGAGGTTACGGCTGCGACAGAGCTGGGAACACTTTGACATAGGCGTGGCTCGTCCATCGTGACGATGCGGGCCGTCAAAGGGATCCAGAGGACGGAACGCAAGCGGAACGCGTTCGTGGGCGTGTGCATACGCCTTGATCGGATCACAAAGTGCTGTCACGTGACAAGTTCAACTTTGTCTTTGCCTCAAGTTCAAGTTGCCTCGTTCTCGATGCTTTTTGGCCTCATACATCTTTCTAGTGGGTCCAACATCTCACTTGGTAGTAGTCTCAGCTTATGTCTAATTATTGAGTATTGCTTTGGCCTGGATGCAGTAGACAGGAGATTTTGGTGAGTAACATGATCGTCACCGCTGACCGTTACGGCATGGTCACACTTCAATACAACTCTCTTTTCTTGCCATCAGCAACCCGTACGGCCATGAATGGGGCCATGCCTGGGCGGTCCCTGGCGCTAAGCCTGACGCTGAAGCCGTCTATTGGCCCTCCGAATGCTCGCCATGACCTTACCGAAGATCCCGCCTTGTAATCCATCGAAGTCTTGATGCGCACCCATCTGCCTTGCGGATCAGCAATACCGCACCTCCACAGACGGGATCGCCGCCTGCGCCCTCCAGGCTCCATCTCACCCTTCTCCGCCACCTTCTCTTCCTTCCACCGCAGAAAATGGGCCCTTGAGGGGAGGGAACTCTCCCGCGACTGCACATACCGATAGGCTTCGTACCGTCGGAGCGCGCCTCTGAATTCGCGCAGCTGCCCTGAGGGCCTGACTTCATTAAGCCCGGAGGCCTACCGCGCGCGACTAGAAATCTAGCGTGCGGCCCACTTACCGCACAGCCGGGCTCTTGCGCTTTCCTTCCTCCCCCCATGATGCTGCCGGCGCGCGCAGCGAGCTCTGCGTCCTCGTCCGCGGCGGAGAAGCAGGACGGGCGTGGCACGGAATCGCCGGCGACGGACGATATCAAGTCGCTGACGCCTGGTGAAGCTGACGAGAGTGTGGGATCTGAGCGAGCACTCGCAGTGGACACTGCATTCGCGGCGAGGGACTACACGAGCGACGACTTCAAGCGACTGGTTAGGAAACAAGACCGTTTCCTGCTTCCGCTGATGTGGGTGGCGTACGGTGTTCAGGTAGAGGAAGTCGATAATCCCAGCTGGGTCGCTGAACTCACAGCACGTAGCAAGCAGACAAGACGGGGATCTCGACGCAGGCAACGTTCGGTATGTTTTCACCTCGGCGCGGCATTCGGCTAAAATATTGATTTTCTTTCCTTCTCCTCAGGTATAATTACTGACACGAACATGCGCGGCCAACAGTACTCATGGCTGACCACGATTTTCGTACGTCTTCGGCGCTGCGCTGGATCCAGTACATCCGCGCTTCAGGCTAACATCCGACGCAGTACCTTGCTTACATGTGTTGCGAATTCGTGAGTAGAGACGACCTACCTCTCAGCCTCTCTCACTAAATTTACCCCAGCCTTCTAACTGGGTCATGCAACGTGTCAACATCGGGAAGACGCTCTCCTTCCTCATGTTCTTCTGGGGCGTCATCGTCCTCTGCACCGGCTTCGCCACCAACTGGGCCATCCTCATGGCCCTCCGCGCCTTACAAGGTGCCGCTGAATGCACCATATCGTGCGTGCCTTCTTCGCGCCCGATCGCCGGTCCCTTTGCCTCCCTAATCGTCTAACCCATCACCACCAGACCCTCCTTCATGCTCATCATCGGTGCCTTTTACAGGCGGCGGGAGGTGTGCTGCCGGTTCCCCATTCTATGATCTTGTTCGCACTAATCCGGAAACTCCCTTCAGCACACAATGCGGTCAGTTACCGCATCCGTCTTGTCCTCGCGCTTATCGAACTGACGCGTTTACAGATCAGTGATATGGGGTACTGCGAACTCCGGGCTCGGGATTATTGTCAGCCTTTGCATGTACGGCATTGGCAAGCATGCGCGAGAGCACGGAGGGCTCGCACCGTGGAAGGGGTGAGTATTTCCTCCTTGAGCCCTTGGTTGATGGACTCTTGCATGGACGATACATGGCATGAGAGCTGGCTAACATGGAACTCTCCTTAGAATTTCCTTCTTCCTTGGCGCTCTGACCATCACCCTATCCATATTATGTTTCTTCCTCCTAGGCACCCCGCGCGAAGTCAGCTGGCTGTCGGACGAGGAGAAGCGGATGGTCGCAGCGCGCGTGGCAAAGGACCAAACGGGGTCCGATCGACAGAAGCGAAGGTGGAAGAGCTATCAGGTTTGGAGTGCACTGAGGGATCCGCAGGTGAGTTGATTCGTCGACCTGAGGATATCTGTGTTTACTACCGGGAGCTCGCGCTAACGCAGCAGATAGACGTGGTTCTTTTTCTTCCTCACCTTGCTGCAAACCCTCCCTAATGGAGGCATGTCGAGTTTTGGAAATCTCGTTTACCTGTCGTTTGGCTTTACGCCGTTGCGGGTACGTGGCATTCATCCTTCAGCGGCTTTGAGACTGACGCATCCAACCTAGACACTGCTGGAAGGGACCATACCGCGAGACGCACTAGCAATTGTCTGGTTCCTCCTGGTTGGATATCTCACAACGCGATATAAGAATATCCGCCTCTACGTGACCATGGCAAGGTGTGCCTCTATCTTGCCCCAGATCTCCGAAATGGCTCACGCGCCGTCCCACCGCCTCCCAGCGCTTTCCCTGGCCTCGTCGGCATGCTTGGCACGGCACTCCTTCCCAGCGGACCAGAGTACAGCTGGGCGAAGTGGGGTACGTGGCAGGAATATACTTCCTCTCCTGTTTGCTTACCCGCTTGCAGGCTGCTTCTTCATGACCAACACGGCAGGTGTCTGTGGCCTATGTACGTATCTTCTCCTTGAAGCACTCCCATTGTCTAATAGACATTTTCCGCAGTAATCTGGACCTTCCTGCCCTCAAACGTTGCCGGCAGAACGAAGAAGACAGTGACTAGCGTGAGTCCCATTCTCAACGTGTCAATAGCCTCGCCTGACACATTCCCCTAGTCAATCATGTTCATCGCGTACTGCGCTGGTAATGCTGCAGGCGCGCAGATATTTCGCCAGGAAGACGCCCCGAGATATATACCCGCGATCATAACGAACGCAATCTTGTACGGCGCGCAAATAGTAGGACTGCTTTGTGAATACCGCCTTCCTTCATATACACCTCTTTCATTGACCATGCGACAGTATGGCGATGCTACTATGTCTGGCAGAACGGGAGGCGGGACGCAGCTGCTCGGGCGGCTGGCATCTCCGAAGACGAGCGTCGACGACTGGGGGCCTTGAATGGAGAGCAGGACATGACAGACACGGAGAATATCCAGTGCGTGGCTTCTTTGACTCGGCTGTCCACTACTGACTTCATCTGGGACAGCTTTCGCTACGAAGTTTGACGACATGCACAGACCTTCGGTTAGATTACAGGATGTACTGACCCATTGGGGTCTTGTAACAATAGACATTGTACCATACGGCCGAAACAAAGTTCTAACACTCATGAATGGCTTGAAAGGCCCTGCAAATCCTTTGTTGTCTTCATGAACAACCAAGTTGAACAACAGGTGACCGTGAGATACTCGACTTCATTACCGGAAAGCCCGGATCGCGGGCCAGCGGCGGCCGGGCACTGAGACCGCATCCGTCGCGGTCGTGGTCGTTGTTGGTGGCGGCGCCGGTGAACGCTTCTTGTCTCTCTCCGTCATCATCACCACTCCCGACACTTCACCTCCCTCCTCCCTTTGTCGCCTTTGACTCCTCGCCAGGCGCGTGTCTTCGAAACTCATTTCCGACCCGCAGCCGCTCGAGCAGCGCCATTATCGCTCAGATATGGACAACCTGGCGCCTCTCGTGGCAGGCATCGTGGTTGCTAGAGCCCTCTATCCACATCTCTCAATCTGCACCCGTGGCTCACTCCCCAATGAGCGTACTCGGGAAGGCGCCTGTGAAGGCGACGATAATGCAGGGAAGGACCAGTGGCGACCGAGAGCGTGGGCACAGCGGGTCGCAAAAGGCGCCGAGGAGTGCATCGTACTAGATGATCACACAGCTCCTGTTTGGGAGATTGCCTACAAAGCAACCTTGGTGCGTTTGTCCCTCCTATGCCTCTAAGCGCCCTTTGTTGACCAAGCGCCATATATCATGCAGTTGACATGGAGCGCCGGTCAGATGTACCTCCGCTTTACGGCCCCTGTGCTCGTCCCTCCAAACCAGTTCTACGACTTCGCCTTCACCAACATCTCCCGTGTCGCGTCCTCGGGCCTCCTTTGCTTCGTCAGCCTAGGCGCAGCTCTTGGTTGGATTGCGTGCTTGACCCGAAATCGGCACTGTGTTCGTTGCCACTCCATCATCTACATCTTCTTCATGGACATGCTCTTCTCGTACAGCATGCTGGCGAAATACGGTCCAGCGCGGCTATCCTGGCTGACCTCCCTCCTCTACGACTCCTACTCCGCAACTCTCATCAAGGAAAGCACCTTCAACACCGTCTCCCGCTTATCCTTCCTCCTCCTTCTCCCCCCTTTATTGACGCAAGCGTATCGCATCTGCGCTACCCCACCACACGCAGCCTCCGATGCTCATCTTGATGAACCTCTACAGCCGAAGACACCGGCGGAGGTTACTCGGCAGCACGTGCTCACAGCGCCAGCGCCGGAAGAAACCCAAACGGAGGAGCCCGCAGACACGCGGCCCCTCATCGACCTACCCTCGCATTGCGAAGAGCTTCTCGTACCTCCGAACGAGACTCCGCTCGACGAAACGTGCCTCGCCGAGCGATGTACGGAGGACCGCGATGTCGCAGTACGACCCGCGCAGCAGACGTCAGGTCTGTCAGCGTGCCCTCAAGAGATCATCAACGAAATATGCGAATTCCTCTCCACCAAGGATCTTCTTGCCATTACCACCACATGTGCTCGCTTCCACACTGCGAGCATCCACCCTCTTTACCGTTCCATTCACCTTTCCAATGCACTTCAAGCCATTAAGTTCTTCCGTACCATTAACAACAGGTCGGACGCCGCTGTTGCTGTCCGATATCTTATGCCGTGCGTACCCTCCCATTGCTCTTTTGCGAACAGGCATACTGATAAACTTGTTCTAGTGACCGCTGTGTATTCCTTAACATCAAGGGCTCCCGTTCATCGACCTTCTTCCGACTTGCAGCCTCCGCCATTAACCGTATGATTAACGTTCGTCAACTCGCTCTCCATCACGCTGTCCTTCTCCCAAGTCTCCTATCGCATACCCCCTTCCAAGACCTTCGCTCGTGCTACATCCACCTTACTGTCGACACCGCGGCCTTTCTCGCCAACCAGCGCCGCCTCGAGGTGCTCGTCATCACCGACTGCTGTGTCGACGAGATCGGTAGCGTGCCGCGGAACGAGCTCATCAAGCAGTTCTGGCGCCTGCCCGCCGCGTGCTTCGCGCGCCTCGAAGTGTACTCGGCGCCGAGCTTCCTTATCCTGCCCGTCCTTCCGCGCGCCTGCGTGAAGCACCTGCCAATCAAGTGGTCTCCACCGCTGGAGGCGCCGGACACGCATGTGCAGGATGTGTACCTGTGTCTGGCGGCATCGAAGACGCCACTGAAGATCTTGCATAACTTTTCGAGCTACGACGACTTCGAGCTGCAGTTGTCAGCGCTGGTCGCGCATCCGCCGCGCGTGGAGTATCTTCTGTGGTTCGAGTTCACCGGGCGTTTCCTACGACCATTGAATGTGAGTAGCTTCCTCGAGAGTGGTGAGTCAGTGCTAACATGTGGCTATCAGGATATCTACCAGAAGGTCGAAGACGTACTGTACGCTCTGCCTACCATTAAGGAGCTCCGTATTACCGGCGTCGGGCGCCCTCTCATCACGGAAGCCGTCGGTCTCGTCCTGCTCGACCTCGAGCATGACACTGTCGCAAGCTACAAGAAGCAGTGCCCCAAACTATCGTCCTGCATCTTAGCTAGTACGTCTCCTCCGCACCCTCATCTCCATACTCATCTGACCGCGCCTCCCTCAGGTGGCAATCGCTGGCGCTTCGTCGAGAAGACCACCGTCCTCCCCGTTTTCGTTGACAACACCAGCATGCTCTTCTCGCCTGACCGCGCACTGACGGCTCGCTGGATCGTGCGCAGCGTCGCGAGCGGGCGCATCTCGTACGAGTACACGCAGCTCATGATGGGGTACCCGGGCGTGCCGCTCAACGAGCTGATTGTCGGGATGGTTCAGAATGTACCGAGGAGGACGCCGAGGCAGCCCGCGCCGCCGCCCCCTCCAGTGGCGACGCTTACGGTCACGCAGGCGCCGGTGAACACGCCCTAGGCGTCTGCGCAAGCCCAAGCCGCGACCGGACCATAGGCATCTGCACCGCCGTGAGCCGCGCAGGCTCCGCCACCAGCACCGATACCAGGGCCAGTGCGGGCGGTGGGCCTGGCGCCGAACCCATATATCTATCTACCTTTCGGATGTCAATCTTAGCCCTAATTACATACCAAAATGTACATATGATTCGACGTGCAGGGCTGTTGTGAGGTCGGTGGACCACACCTCTTGCCTTCGCGCGAGACGCTGTTGAGAAAAGGTACGCTTCAGTGGGTTCCCTATATGAAGAGGGTGCATTATTCTCGAGTGTATAGAGGTGAGTGGTTATCAATTATACGTTTGACATCTGCTTATAGCTTCCGTAGGCTGTTCAAGCGTTCAAGCGCTCGAATCTAGCCAAGACGCAAGGCCCTTCAAGCCCGGCGATCGCCGTGACAAAGTTCGCCACTGCGTATCTTAGGCGGTGCTGGAAGCTGGAGCTTGACTGCGCTCAGGAAGCGGGAGCCTGGCCGCGCCCTGGCATCGATCCTTACTGAGACCGCGCGCCTGACTCTGCCTGACGGCCAACTGACGACAGTCGTAGCTCAGGGCAAGTACGATTCAAACTCGAGTGCGCAGGTGCATGTTCAAGATATTTCTCCCTTTGCTATTATGACATTATCCAGACAGCTTCATAGGACATCCATGATACAGAGAGTACAAGGAGTGCGTGTCGACGAAGACCGAAAGGTCCTGGTTGATTTACTTGCTGCAGCACTTGCAGTCGTTGGAGGCGCAGGAGCAGCTAAGATGACCGTCAGTAATTCGTCCAAGCCGTTTGCGGCGAACGACGTACTTGCACTTGCAGTCGCTCTGGTTGCAGTGGGCGTCGACGGGGACCTGGATGGACTGAAGGCCAGGTAAGTACGCGTTCTACGACCCCGAATCCTCAGACACTTACAGAGGCGTACATGTTGAGTGAGTTGCTGATCAGGTAGTTGCTTAGAACTGCGAGTCTGGAGTCCCTCGGCAACCCGGGCTGCCCTTTATACGAATCCAGGTGAGCAATTTACCTCTGTTTGCGGGATTTACGAAGCGCCTAGTCTCACATGGGGGGACTACGGCGGCGGCGCCGCGGCGCCGCCCACATGCTTTGGCTCCTCCAGAAACTCGCGCACCGCCAAACATGGCGCATATTTGGTCCGGAGCGTCAGTCGAACGAATGCGTAGCCGAGGGCCGAAGTGGCTTGCATTCAACGCCACGAAGTGTATCTCACGCAAGTTTCTTTGGGCGGCGTTATCAGCTGGACGCCAGGACAGGTCTTCCATTATTTCGGTTCGAGCCGGCGCAGCGTGCGCTTTTCGTGACTTGCGCGTGACTCGAAAAGCACGTTCGTCCGCTCCGAGAACCCGGTGGGAAACTCAACCTCGCCAGCTTCTGCTGTTCCGCTCTTTCATTCCTGCATATTCCCACCGGAAGCTACACTCTCACTTCAGCTGTAACCAGATAGACAACTGTGTGCTCGGACAGTGCCGCGTCATGCCCTTTGCTCTTCCATAACATGGCCTTCCATTAACGATGGAATGGAAGCATCCGGCGACACAATGGGCTTACCGTTCTTGGCGACAATAGATAACTGCGGTACTTATACACGCGCACTGCTCGGGATCCTGTCGAGCTGCCTACCTTCGTCCGTGAGCTGGGATCATGGACCTCCTTTCGACATCTCGCCGCGCGTTTCGCCGTGCTGCTCAGAAGCTTGAATGCATGATGCCACAGGAGGTGCGCGGCTTATACGCTGCGCTTGAGCTCACAGTACTGACGCTTGACTTGCTGCAGTTTCACGAAAATATCTTCGGGGGTGGAGACTCGAACCGTGTACGAAATCGTGGCGGCTCGAGCTGGCTCTCGGACCGCTCCTTCCACACATCTGACTCAATTTACGGATCCTCTACTTGGCGATCCGCCGCGGGTTCTTTGCTGTCGATGCTTCCATTGACCTCCCAATTACGAAAGAGACGCCATTCTCTCGCGAAGCCGGGCACTGTCAACGTGCCACCCATCAATCGCCTGCCCACCGAGGTGCTCTGCTTCATATTCATCATTTGTGCAGACAACGACCAGCTCCTCGCTCTAGATTCGACCTTCGTTCCGTTCAGGCTCACCCACGTTTGCGCGCTCTGGCGACAGATTGCCTTGGACCTGCCAGTGCTTTGGCATCGAATCGACTTGAATCTGAATTCCTGTTTGGGGACGGGACGCCATTCGAAGCTTGCTTCTATCTGCGTGGAACGTGCCAGAGGCCTCGGATTAGACATTTCCTACCATGAATTCACTCGCGACAATCTTCTGGACGGGACTTTGCCAGATGACCTTGAGCTTCACGAAGAAACCAAACTCTGCCACTGCCTCCTGAATTTCATCGTCAAGCATCTCGCCCAGATCAAGAGATTGGACATCACTGTCGGTGAAGAGTCGGCTCGTCGACTTGCCAGTCACCTCGGCGATCCACTCTTTGCTCTTGAGAAACTGAACATACAGTTTCATTGCAGTGTGCCGGACCCCCAAATCTTCGAACGTCTCTATTCGGGTCCCTCGTTGGCAGACCTGACCTGGCACGCCTACGACTGCACAAGCTACGTGGTAGAATGCCCAGTCAATGTGCCTTGGCAACAGCTTGTCGAACTGGATTTGCATGCTTGCCCAATCACACAGAACATGCTCATGTACATCCTGGACAAGGCGGTTTTGCTGCAAAGCGCAACTACGCGTCTATATTGCACAGATGTCGCGATGCCTCGTGCACGTCGTCCCATCCGTCACACTTCCTTGCAGTATATAAGCTTGGAAGGCGACGGACCACTCGACACCGTCTTCACCATCTGTTCGTTCCCAGCTTTGCGTTCTCTCGATCTTGTATCAGACACGGGCAGAGACGCCGATCCCAACGGGTGGCCCTTTCTGCAACCTGACCTGCTCACACGAATCGTGAAACAGGCAAAGGCTGGGCTGGAGTCGTTGTGTCTTGACTCCTGCGGCACTATCGACGAGTCGACCCTCGTATCCGTTTTTGGGCTGCCTTAGATGTCGAAACTCGTTGAGTTGGCGATCTTTCCATCTCAGTCGGTCATCACCGAGCGGTTCATCTCTTTGCTCCATCCTAGAAGATGCCCAAACTGGCAAACCTTGTCCTGGAGCGGTGCACGACTGCAGATGGGGTCATTGCAGATATGCTACTGGAAAGGAGGGCGAAGACGGATAGTCTTCGCTATGTGTTGATCGGCTACGCTCCTGAGAACAATGTGGGAAGGATCCGTCCGCGCCCTCGCGATCGGGCAGTGATCAAGCAGTTCAAGAGCCTGGAGCCAGAGGACCCCAGATTCTCGGCTATGGTAGATGACACTCTTGACTTAGCTTGCGACTCCGGTTATCGGGTCATTTACTGAGCGCTAGCAACTTCAGACTGTGTTTAGAACGTAGAGCACCAATGCATCATATAGCTACTGATTACTACTTTCCTTTGTATCTGTCCTCTGCCTTGTAAAGCCTTGCATCACGACGCGCAGACAAGGCTTACATACTATGTCCTCGAGTACCATACCATTCATCCCTTTCATATGTCACCTTGCAGTCGACCAACGGCACGGTATTGTTAGAATCGAAGATAGTCTTCCTCGACATCAACATTCCGAGCGCCGGCAGCTGCATCTCCTCGGTCTTGTACCCGTAGATCAGGCGCAACGTCGAAAGCTTGGGCAGTAGCCGATTCCGCGAGTCGCTTGTGTCCCAAGAGCGCGTCATCGCTTGTAAGAACTCCGGCGAGATGATGAGTTTATGTCCTTCCTTTTGGTACTCCGTTTCGCAGTATCCGCTCGTGTCGCGTATGCTGAGGCTGGTAAGCTGTGGAACGAGATTGAGGCAGTCTAGAACGACCTGCGGCTTGACCGGGTACAAGTTGAGAAGATCGAGGTGCTTGAGGGAGCACGCGCCATCCGAGCCCGCCGAACGGCGGAGGAGCTCATGCAAGGAGGTCAGCTCGGGCTTGTTCACCCCCGACATACCGTAGTTGTCCCGCTTGAGGATGATGCTCTCAATCTGCGGGGCGACGACGTAGCGGCACAAATGGCACGCGTCCAGCCAGAGCTTGAGCTTGCGGAGCTTGGGGAAGGTGATGGTGTGGTATGTCCCTACCACGTCGCCGACGTCGTGGGTGTACACCTCCAGGTACTCCAGGGTATCCGCGCATTGCGCGATGGTCTGCATGAGGTCGGCCAAGTACTGCTCCGCACTGGCCACCGGGTGCAGCTCGAGGTAGGTAAGTTTCCATGCCGCGGGGATCTTGATGGGGTTGTTGGGGTTCAGTTCTTCGCAGCACGATTCGAGCTTGGTCACGTTCGGAGCGATCTCGCCAAAGAACTCGACAGCCTCCGCAAGGTTGTTATTGACCTGCAGGTTCAGGTCCGTGAGCATGGGGAACGTCTCCGGCCAGTAGGGATCAAGCGCATTCATGATGCATTGGAGGTCGATATCCAGCTTGCGCCAGCGATACGACTCGGCGAATATCAGGCGCAGCGTTTCCTCGCTCCAGCTGCCGGGATTCTTGTCTGGATGTATGCGTCCGCTCTTGTCGTTGTAGAAGTACCAGTCCAGAATGCAGACGCTGAGCGGCTGGCCTGCCGTCCAGCCCAGACGATTGGCCAAAGCGTCCTCGTGGGTGCCCTGATGGACAGTGAAGGCCGTCCAGAGATGCGGGTAGCCAATTGCCACTTCGCGCCAGACGTGGCAGACGTTGACAAACTCGGGCACCAGCGAGGCGGCGGCGAACTCCCAGCGCTGCGGAAGCGCCATCTCGAAGATCACAATTAGCAGCTCGCGAGGGAGGCGGCGGATGGGGGCGAGGGCGGCGTGGCAGAGATATAATGCGTTCTTGATGCGCCTGCTCGCATCGCGGCCACGATATGTGGCAAGGGCCCTATCATGAAGTTCTTCAAGCTCGTCCTTGATATCTTCCAGCACCGCGATGGTTTGCGCGTTTGGTTGAACACCAGAGCGGAGATGTTCGATGGGTGCATGGTCCGAGACTTGTCGGAACAGATCTTCCATGATCTGGTCTGGCGAGAGGCCGCGGTGAGAGAACATAGCAGGAGGGGAGGTGGCAGGAAGGATGATGGGACGAAAGCAAGAAGGACGATGGGTCTGAGGCGATGTGAGAGAGTGATGGCAGGGTATAAATACTCAGGACCCGGTTTATGTCGTCGATGAACATAGCCACTGAAGGAAGCAAAAACCAAGGCAGTGACATAGACAAAGGCTATGACTAGGCATAGTCACCGGTACGACCTGGTTCTGCCACTTTGAATGGACCTGTCAGTCTTAGCGTTTGTTGGTTTATGATGCACTCACAGAGAAGCCTCCGCGGATCACAAATTCTTCTTGTCATATGTTGTACGACTCCAGATCACCCTCGCAGGTCGAGAGCCTCAGGTTTCATAGATAGTGCTTGTCATACGGCCTTGGACGAGCGATAAAGCATCTGCGGTGAGAACACCACAAAGGCGGGATACATGGTCCGCTTCCTTTTTTGGAACAATGGCCAGCGTCGCTTGGACCCACATCATTAATGCTGCATTGGCCTTACCGTGCATGCGCCGAGTACTCGTTACCGGTCTGTACCTACACCCAAGGTCAAGTCAACCACTCCATGCTGTCAATCGGGCCACGCACTTCAAGCTTCTGTACCGTCGACATAGAGCTGGCGGTCGGAGCATGTTCGCCTGTAAATATACTCCCCTGATCATAATTGGTGGCACAGAGGCGATCACGTCCTCGATGCGGCTATCCGTTAATTCACAGGTCACAACTGTGCTACCCTGAGCGTGCAACAACATTTCGTGAAAGTGATGTGATAATACAGGTTTGAACTACTGCCCTTGGTCTGCCACCCGCTGCGACATCGCCGCCTGGCCCGCAGAGCTCGCTGCCAATCTCGAGCGCTTGCGCTCCGCCTCTGCCAACTGCATTAGCATGTCGATCACATGTAACCGCTGGCTTGTACTCACCCGCCTCCTTCTCCCTCTCGATCTCAGCCACAATGCCCTCGATCTCAGCGAGTTCGAGCGTGGTGACCTTGCCGTAGCTTTCCATGACGCTGATCTCGATGTTCTTTGCGCCAGTCTGGACAACCTCAAGCAAGCTCTTGACAGTGAGCTTGATGCTCTCTTCGCGCGACATGTCGTCCTTGTGATTCTTCTCCAGGAACTCGCGCACGGTTTTCGAGGAGCGGCCGATGGCATTTGCCTGTGTGCAATTAGCGCCATGCATGAGTATGAAGAGGGGAAACGCACCTTCCATGCACTGTAGATACCGCTGGGTTCGGTTTGGTAAAGTCGTGGACGCGTGTCATGGGGGTCGAAGCCAACGATGAGGGTGGAGATACCGAAGGGGCGGACGCCTCCGGATTGGGTGTAGCGCTAGGAGTTCTGTGAGAAGAGATCGCAAAAGAGACGTGAGGAGGGCGTACTTGTTGGATGCCAGCGATGTGACGCGTAATGTATTCGATGGTGACGGGATCTTCGACGGTGAGGCGATGGCTCTGGCATTCTATCCGTGCCTTGTCAATCAAGATGCGACCGTCGGCAGTGAGACCTGCAGTATATAAGCATCGCGCAGAGGGGGTTTCGCTTGCGACGTACCAGCGAAGGCCAAGCATACGTGATCGTCCAACATGACGACCTTGCGAACGGTGCGGGGATCTTGGAGCTGCAAGACGGACTTCTTCTCGACGCCGAGAACGACGACGTCCTTCCCGCGCACGCCTACGGCGCACGTCCCCTTCCTCACTGCTTCCAAAGCGTACTCGACCTATCCCATCATCAGACGCGTACTATTCATGCCAGGAAAGTACGCACCTGGAAGAGATGGCCATCGGGGGAGAAGACGGTGAGGGCTGGATATCGATCAGCAGCCAGTCCAGTTCGCTTGCTCGTCGTGCGCACCGCGATCGTAGGACCTGGACATTGTGATGGGCAGCGACAAGAGACGCGTCTTGCGGACGCGTAATGGAGGCGCCCGATGTGGGTGTTTGCCATTTGCCTTGCCACGTGCGGCGTCGCGTGGCCGTCGTTCCAGACGCCGAGTGCGACTTGGTTTTGACAACCGCTGCTCGAGTTCCTCATTTCCACCGCGACCGCCTGCGCCACCGACGCCCGCCCCCTCACCCTTCCTTTTCCGCCGGTTGCTGCGTTCCATGCGTCTATAATCTCCACACTTTGTCTTGTATCCTACCACCGCCCTTATAATGTCCGGCGCGGCGACCAACACGCGCCCCTCCCTCGCGAACGCCGCTCCTCGCTTGGGCTCCATCTCGCTCCCTAGACGGGAATCTCAGGTCGTGCCTGACGCACCTATCACTCCGCCCCTTTCCCCCGGACACAGCGAGCTCAGCATCGACGACGTAGAGATGGTTGATCGCGTACTTCCATCCCCCGGACCGGCACACCACCAACTCCATCAGCCCACCCAGCATGATATGCAGGTCGACGAGGAGCGGCCTCAGCCCCCCCTCCGCCTGCTTGAAGACGAAAAGGTGCATCTGCAAAAAGTCGGCATCAAGCTCACGGACTTCGAGGTTCGGGGGACCCTTGGTGAGTCCTTCGATCGCACCGCCCCACGCATGCGCTCATCGCTTTGCAGGTACGGGCACGTTTGCCCGCGTTCTCATCGTCCGACATAGGGGGCGCGAGTCCAACAACTACTTCGCGATGAAGGTCCTCCGCAAGAGCGAGATCGTGCGCCTGCGCCAAGTGGAGCATGTGAACGCGGAGCGCTACATCCTCTCCCGCATCCAGCACCCCTTCATCGTCGACCTCTTCGCCACCTTCCAGGACAGCCTGAATGTCTACATGCTCATGTCCTACGTCCCCGGCGGTGAGCTCTTCACCCACCTCCGCCGCGCCCAGCGCTTCACCCCCGACGTCACGCGCTTCTACCTCGCCACCATCATCCTCGCCCTCCGCTACCTTCACTCCTTCAACATCATCTACCGCGACCTGAAGCCCGAGAACCTCCTCCTCGACTCGCGTGGCTACCTGCGCCTCACCGACTTCGGCTTCGCGAAAATCGTCGACGACCGCACGTGGACACTCTGTGGTACGCCAGAGTACCTCGCCCCGGAGATCATCCAGTCCGACGGTCACGGCAAGGCTGCAGATTGGTGGGCCGTCGGCGTGCTCTGCTACGAAATGCTTGTCGGTTATCCCCCTTTCTTCGATGAATCGCCGTACGGGATATACGAGAAGATCCTCGACGGACATATCCATTGGCCGCGTAGCATGGATCCGCTGTCGAGAAGCCTCATCCGCGCCTTTTTGAACCCCGACCGCACCAAGCGACTGGGTAACATGATTGGCGGGCCACAAGACGTCCTGGAGCACCCGTGGTTCCGAGGTGTAGATTGGGACGCTTTGGAGCGAAGAGAGATCATGGTGAGTGATTTGTGGGGAACGTCTGGATAGAGATCAATTTCGTCCGCAGGCGCCGATAATTCCACATACTTCCTCCGGCGACGATACTCGACATTTCCTACGCCTGCCGCTCCCGCCCGCAGAAGACATGCCAGGCCTCTTCCACGAGGAGCAACCGCCCGCGCTCGAACAGCGCTTCGATCCCACTGCATATCAGTTCCTCGAGTTCTGAAGCATCATGCGCTCACTCGAAATCCAATACGCATCGACCAACCCCTAGATTACACACCATTCACCCTCCTTTCCGCCTTCACCCTATAGCCTGCCTCGCCCTCTATAGTCTGTCTCCCTCCCTATATCTCGTCCTCCTTCGGCTTCGCTCTCCTGTCGTCCTCACAAAATCTGTATTCTTCCCGGACTATCTCACTTTCCTTTGTTTCTGCTCCTCCGATTTTTGGGCCTCCGTCTGAGTCTCCTTTTTTGGTCTGGCTTATTCTTCAGCCTGCTCACAGTGCGTCTGTCCCTCATACGTATGCTCTCTCGTGTCCCCCTACGTATATCTTGCACTGCTTCTTATTGGATTCGCGCCGCATCCCTGATCCTTACACTGTATCATTTCTTTCCTATTTATCCTGCCTCTACCCAGCCCTCGTGCTCGACGTGTATCCTTTGCTTCCTCTCTCTGGACTCGACTTCCTATCTGGTACCATGGTGCTTCGTGTTGCTTCTGTCGCTGATATTTAGGCGTACGTACCAGTACTCAGGTGTACGCATTGATATCCGGACGTGCGCGACTACTAAAAGGCGGTTAGCGCCTCGATATACTACGTTCCTCCATATACCCGTCGCGCTCTGCGCCTGCAAAATCCTCGGGACCTCGCCGCTGTCGTGGCTTGGATGCTCCCTCTGTACCAATGACTGTGCAAGGCGAATGGTTGCAATTAGTACGTGTGTGGTTGTCGTTATCGTCGTATACTGATCATCACAGTCAGGTATGCATATGCATGATCTGAGTGCCCATATTCCTTCCCCGATTCCCTTGTTGCAGCCGCACCATTCGCACGTTGCTTCAAAGGTGCGAGACGACCGCTAAGTGACGGGTAGGAATATCGACCGGGCTCTCTGAGCATTGGTTTTCTGGACCATGCAACGCTGGCTTAACGATCCTGAAATGGGAATGAATGTTGCGTGACCATTGATCCAGCAAAGGTAGGCTTCCTGCCGCCTTTTCGGGAACAATGAGCGCAAGCTACATAAGCTGGATCGATCCAGTCCGACCGTGACATCCATCATCCTATTTTCCCTCTGCCGCTTGGCTACCCTCGATGCAAGGTATGCACGGGTCTTGAAGGCATTCGCTTGCTCACTAGCGTCTTCGCTCTAGCTATGGAATACTCTCCGAAAGACATCGATATCGATGCCTTACTCAGCGAAACATCTGTCTACGCGCGCGTCGAGCATCTCCGCGCCGGTGTCACCCCCAGCGCTCACGCTACCGCGCGCCTCCTCTCCATCGCCGACAAGCTTCAATGCATTTTATACCAGCGTCAGCTCCTCTTCCACCGTGCTCCCCACATCATCATCGACGGCACACCGACGCGGCGCATCGAAAGAACTATGCACATCGAACACGCCTTGCGCATGTGCCGCGCCGTCGTCGCCCCCGTTCGCCGCCTCCCTCGCGAGCTGCTGATCATGATCTTTGAGTTGGCGCTTCCGTGGAAATGGGAGGAGGCGTATGCGACGCAGATACTTCACTTCGCTAGCGTCTGCCACTACTGGCGTGAGGTCGCGACTGGTTATGGGCGGTTTTGGTCAACTATTCGGATGCACCAGACCACCCCTGCTGGAGCGGTAGAAAACCGGATCCGATGGTCGAGCAATAGCTCCCTCGAAGTCTCGCTCATCCACCTTGACCCTCGTTCGCGGAATGGGGCCCCATGGAACGCGGCTGCCCTGCATGTCTTGTTCTCCCAATCGCATCGCATGCGCAGGTTAAGTCTGGCCCTAGGCATGTTCTACCCGGACGTCATCCAGGCCATTGGGCATTTCTGGCCCCGAGCGATGCCCCAGCTGGAGGAACTGGAACTGGAGGTCTTTGATAACCTGGCGGAGGCTGTTCGGGACTTCGCCAACCTCGCACCGAACCTCGTCGTTCTCCAGCTGGTCTGCGAGAAAGTCCCCGCGCCCATCAGGTTCCCGCCAACATGGAAGCTCACCAGCCTCAAATTGCACTTGGTCGAGCAGGGGCAGTACCTGCACGAGGTTATCGCAAATATCGCGGCGTGCGCGCCTACCTTGGAGTCCCTAGATGTGTACGTGCTTGACGTTGGCGAGATAGACGCGCAGTTCGCCACCATCGTATTCCCGAATTTGCGGACCTTGACGCTGCGGTTCGACGCTTGCTATCTGTGCCGCTATGCCGTCGCCCCTCAAATCGTCAACCTCAAGCTCGAACGCGAGGACCCGGGCATGTCGGGGCAGGACGAAAGCGAGATAGTGGCCTTGTTCATCTTTCTTCAGCGCTCGGTGGGTTCCACTGGCTTTTGTCCTGTCAAATCTCTCGAGCTCGTCGGCATGACCCCCGCTCACCCTCAGCTGGTGATTGACTGCCTTGATCTCGCTCCCAAGCTCGAGCATCTCGCAATCCAGGACTCGGATTTGTGCTTGGACCTAATCGGAGAGGGCGACGAGGAGAAGCTCATCATCTCGCCAGAGCTGCTACGCGCGATGACACGCTCCAGCGGATCAGATGACGCGTCGCAAAACAAGATGCTACCGAAGCTCTCGACTCTGGGTGTGCTCCTCCAATACGAAGATGAAGAAGTGGAGAAGCTCCTGGACGACATGATCGCTTCTAGGGTGGCTGTGTCTGACTGGGACGACATACGGCCTTTAGCAAGCTACATGTTCTTTCCGTACTACTATTACTGCAACACTAAGTGGTCTTAAGAGACGCCTCCCAGGAATTACATACGCTTGTGACGAAACGATATTTGATGTCGAACTTAAGCGTCAGTTATATGTAACTCCGGAGTGAAAGAGCTCGATCTTACATGCAAAACCTTCATGAAGCTAGTTCTATGGAAGCGCAGCAACACGGTTGGTGACACTCACAACGCAAGATCTGGAAACCAGTCGAAACAATACTTGAACTTCAGGCAACCCAATATCTTGCAACGCGACATGCACGTGATCGCGTATGGCGACTCAGAATCTTCATTCCCGATTCGAACAGCATGACTTAAAGCAATTGGCGTCCTACCGTCACCTACGCTCCTCGATACCGCATCAAATGGTACAAGGTGTACTCAAACGGCCGGCTATGACGACTCTGCCCTCCACTTTGCCAATCTAAAGCCTGACTGAAGAGTCAGTGGCATGTCTGTCACTCGGACCTTCGTCGAAGCCAGTAACGCCCGGGCGCTCTGATAGTCGATTCTCTGGTCCATGCAGCGCTGGCCATTGATCCTGAAAGGGGAATACGCGTTGCATGGACAGTGGACATCGATGGCAAACCTCCTGCCACCCTTTTAGGGAACAATGGGCGCCAGTCATATATGAATCGGGTCGACAGCGGTCTGACATCTCATCATCCTCTTCTACACTCCCACAGTGCTACATTCGCGTATCTTGGCTGTCTCTCACGCTCTTGTTTGGGACATAAATTACCTCGCCAGTAAGCAGGGCACGCACGGCTCTTGCGATCACCCAATAAGAACTAATCAGCTTCGTCGTCTCCAGCAATGGAATTCTCCCCGAAAGACATCGACGCCTTGCTGGACGAAGCCTCGGTCTACGCGCGGGTCGCGCATCTCCGCTCCGGCGTCACACCCAGTCCTCAAGCTACCGCACGCATTCACTCCGTCGCCGCCGAACTCCAGTGGATCTTGTGCCGGCGTAAACACCTTGCCAACGACTCCAGACCGACGAGGCGCATTGAGCACGCCTTGCGCATGTGCCGCGCGGCCGTTGCACCCGTTCGACGCCTCCCTCGCGAGCTGCTGATCATCATCTTCGAGCTGGCGTTGCCGACGAACTGGGAACAAGCGTACGTGACGGTGATGCCCAACTTCGCGAGCGTCTGCCACTACTGGCGCGAGGTCGCCATAGGCTACGGGCACTTCTGGGCCAACGTCGCCGTGCATCAGACCTGTCCTGCAGAAGCGGTGGCGACTCGAATTGACTGGTCAAGGAACGAGCTCCTCAATGTCTCCCTCCGCCATGGAGTCGGTTGCCCGCAAGGTGAGAATGCCCGGTGGAACTCCAGTGCCCTGCACGCTCTATTCTCCCAATCGCATCGCATGCGCAGGTTCTCCGTACATGCCGCCATCTACTACGAAGACATCATCCGGGCGATTGGACCCTGCTGGCCGACGGAGTTTCCTCAGCTGAAGGAGCTGGACTTGGCGGTCTTCGACAACCTGTCGGACATCGTCGAGGACTTCATTGGCATCGCGCCGAATGTTGTCAAGCTCGAACTTTTCTGTCACTACGTCCCTCGCTCTTTCGAAGTCATTCCGGCGTGGGACCTTACTCACCTCGAACTGAACCTGCTGGAAAATGGACAATGCCTAGAAGAACTCATCGGGGTCATCGCGGTCTACGCGCCTACCTTGCAGTCCCTGGAGGTGTACGTGCTCGACGTCGGCGAGATTGACGAGGAGTACGACACCATCATGTTCCCGCACCTTCGGACCCTCAAGCTGCACTACGACGCGTGCTATCTGTGCCGACATATCGTCGCTCCCCAGATCGCCAGCATCAGACTTGAACGGCCAAACCCGGGCATGTCAGGGGAGGACGGGAGCGAGCTGGCGGCTTTGCTCACCCTTCTCCAGCGTTCCGGGGGACCCGCCGGCGTCTGTCCTCTCGAGTCTCTTGAGCTCCTCGGCATGACTCCTGCAGAACCACAGCTCGTGCTAGACTGCTTCGGTCTCGCTCCCATGCTTACCTGCCTTGCAATTCAAGACGGGGACGAGTGCTTGAATCTCCTCGAGGACGGGGATCTGGAGAAGCTCATCATCTCGCCGCAGTTGCTGCTGGCGATGACGCGCTCGAGCGAGCCCGGCGACGCGCCGCAGAATAAGCTGCTGCCGAGGCTCTCGAGTTTGAGCTTGCACCTGGAGTACAAAGACAAAGAGGTACAGACGCTCCTGCACGACATGATTGCTTCCAGGCAGGCGATCTCCGACTCGGACGATGTCCTGCAGTTAGTTGACTGCACGATCGTCCCCCAGTTTGGAGATGAATGGTAGTGTATCTACGACAAATGTCTAGTCATTGTGAACAGAGCGACTGTTCCGCGCTTTCCTGTCTGTCATATCTTTGTTGTAGAAGAGGGAACTTGTGTTTTCCAACGTCTGGTATATGAGAGATCATGAAAGTGGCCGCGAATCGAACGCGCGAAGGGCCCCCAACGACCCGCCACCTCCTGACTGTGGGTCACTGTACGCGATTGCGTCGTCAGCAAGGTCGCGGGCCGTAGCTGGCTTCCAAGCCGTATCGAAGCGCCTCGCACCACCGAGGGTATGGGCCCCCGGCCGTGGAATACACCACTGGTAGCACTGGGAGCATAACTCGTATGGTCACCACCTGGGCCAGTCCCGGGCTCGCATACGTATCCTCCCCAGGCCGACCGACCAAGCAAACCATCAACCTTCCACGGAAGCGACTTCGCGCCATGTCCAGCACAGCGCGTAGCGTCCCTATCCGCACCGCTGAGGGAGGCGGCCCTCAGCTGTGGACTACACCACTTGGTGGTACGCCAGAGAGCACTGCACAGCGGGGGAAGCCCCACAGGCCCCTCGCTGACTTACCGGTGACGGCGGTCACCCACAACCCCGAGGGGAAGGGGAGACCTGGCTTCTGGAGAAAAATTGCTGGCCTCATACCTCTCCTATATATACCGCGACTTCTACAGCTCGCCAAGGCCACAGCATCGTGAGTGGAATCACGAGGCATGGAAGGAATTTGCCATAATGACGACCACAGAAGGGAAATAATCGGTGCTAATTTGTCAGTATCTGCGCTAGACCCATTGCAACTTCAGAACGCGCTAGCTCATGCGCGGTCCGCCCTCCACGTGGATGGCTTGTAGAAGTGCGCGACGCGACATGCACGTGATCGCGCAGGTTCTTGATTCCTGATCCAACATCGCAACAATGTCTCAGGCTCACTTGGTCCCTGCCTGTACGCCGCGTCAATAGTGCACGGTGAACCCCCAACAGCTCTTGCATTTTACCGACTCCGCCCGCTTTTTCGTCAAGTACAAGAATCGTTATTGCTAGTGGTACTTCTGCGCCATTCGGGCTTGTCGAGAAGGTGCGTTGTGCACTGATATGACAGTGGTAACCGGGCTGACCCTGCGGATTGAGTAGATATGTCTGCGGCGTCTACGATCGACCTCATACGCACGGCGCTTAACCACGCGAATGTCGCCCTCATACGCTCTGGCACCATCCCCAACGCTCAGGAGACCGCACAAATTACCTCCCTTGCCGATGCTCTACAGAAAGCTCGAGACCGACACCACTCTGCAGCTGAACCCTTCACGACCACGCATCCTGATGATCCCATACAACAAGAGCTCATCGAACACGCTCTGCTGATGTGCCGCGCCGCCGTAGCCCCCGTCCGCCGCCTGCCCCGCGAGCTCCTCTCGATCATCTTCGAGATGGCGCTCCCCGACAACTGGCTCATCTCCAGCGCACCAGAAACACTCAACTTTGCCAGCGTGTGCTTCTACTGGCGCGAGGTCGCCCTGGGCACGCCAAAGTTCTGGTCGCACATAGTGATGACTCTGTGCAGTCACGAAGGGCCTGTAATCAACCGCCTGCGCTTATCGGCAGACGAGCCGCTGGATGTGTTCATTGCGAGCGGCAGGCATCTTTATTTGGATGTGGAGGACGAGGGGGAGGGGCCTACGATCTCGAATGCAGAGGCAGTGCAGGCGATATGCTCGCAGGCGCGGCGATGGTCCTCGCTATGGGTACCCAGCATCGACGAATCGATGGACGCGCTGGCGCCCTACTGGCCGACAGAGTTTCCGGCGTTGAAAGCGCTGAAAATGAGCTGCGAAATGGACCCCGCGAAATACATCCGGTACTTCGACAATGCGCCCAACGTCGTCGGATTCTCCCTGAGCGCCAACGACTTAACGCCGGCGCCGATCATCCTCCCTGCGGCGTGGAAGCTAGTCAGTCTGGATATCAGCATCGTCGACGAAGAGCGGTACTTGGAGGACATTATGGAGCCCATCGCCGCGAGCGCGCCCTCCCTGATCCGGCTCATCGTCAAAATCAGCGGCGTCGACGAGATGGAGGGCTTTGACGAGCCCATCGTTTTCCCCAACCTCCTCGAGCTCAAGCTCACAGACGGCGCGTGTTTCCTCTGCAATCACATCGTCGCCCCGAGCGTCCTCGTCATCCGCCTGGAGGGCCCTGCGACGTGGAACGAGGGCGGCATCGAGATGGAAGCGCTGCTTCACCACCTGCAAAACACGACAGCCGCCTCAGCAAACCCTCTGCCTCTCAAAATCCTCGAGCTCGTCAGCCTGAACCCAGCTCCCCCACAAGTAGTCGTGGACTGCCTGGAACTCACCCCCAACGTCTTCCGCCTCCTGATCAACGAGAGGCGTCCTGACTGGCACGATCAGCCGGTGTTCGCTGACGAGCACGAGCCACTCGTCTCACCGGGCCTGCTGGCCGCCATGACGCGTTCCCCTGATCTTGCCTCATCCCGCGATCGGCTGCTGCCCACCCTTCTGGCGGTTGATCTCCGGCACGAAGATCAGCTTGTGGATGTAGAGGAGCTTATGCGGGCTATGCTACAGTCCAGATTGGAATACTACGATCGCGCGAACAGGATCTTTCCTCTAGACACTGTCTTGACGAAACCTCAGATAGAAATACAGATGCCGCGATGATGCGGCTGCCTTCTTCGATGTGAATGTACACATACGGACCAACGTCGATTGATTGACATCCGCACATATGGTGACATTCTGTCAACAGTTTGAGAACATTGGCGCGACGCGTGCGCTATATACACGTGACCGCGACGCGTTCAAGGAGATCGCCCTGGTTTCCGAGCAGCAGCATTTTCGACCTGCACGACGTGTACCCCGATTCCCCGAACCATCACTGACAGGGGAACTTGCGTGTTCTCTACCTGTATTGCTGAATATCTGGATCTGTTAGGGTGATATCTTGCAGTGCGTAGCCTTGACGATACCCATTCGTTACTTCTCTAAAGCACCAGTTAGCAATGATCACGCTGCCGGCCGACGTCGAAGGCCTCCTTCATGAAGCGTCCAAGCACGCGAACGAGGAGATGACACGCTCTGGTACCATTCCCAACCCCCAGAAGACGACACACATACTCTCGATCACCGATGCCCTGAGCAAAGCTGCCAGGGACTTGGAAGTCACTATGCCGGGCGCAAAAGACACTCACCAAGAGTCTGCGCACATCCCCCGCATAAATCGAGCGCTAGATGTCTGCCGTGCCGTGCTTGCGCCCGTGCGCCGCATCCCCCGCGAACTGCTTATCACTATCTTCACCCTCGCACTACCCGAGTGGTGGTACAGCCGGAATATCGAGGACCAGCTCAACTTCTCGCAAGTATGCTACTACTGGCGGGCAGTCGCGCTCGGATACTCCGAGTTCTGGACGCACCTCGCGATGACGATCTCCACGCGCACAGCGCCCGTGGCCTCCCGTCTCGAGCGAGCTGGGGAAGAGCCGCTGCATGTCTCCCTCTTCGGGCCTATGGAGTTTTTGCGAGACGAGGGCAAGCCGAAGCGAGACCCGAATCCGGAGGCAATTGCGCTTGTGTTCTCGCAGCACCATCGGTTCTTCAAGCTCGCACTCTACGACTTCGACAAGATGGAGGACCTCGTCGCTCCACACTGGCCGCAGGAGTTCCCCGCGCTGAAGATCGTGGAGCTCGACGTGGGTCGAGAGCACAGGAAGTGCCTGGAGTACTTCGAGAATGTCGCCCACAACGTCATCAGCTTCGAACTCAGAATGGAGCGCACCTTCAGACCCGTGGTCCTCCCCTCCAACTGGAACCTCGTCAGCCTCGAGCTGTACCACATCGACGACGAGACGACGCTGGACGTGCTGCTGGACGCCATCGCGGCATGCGCGCCCACGCTCTTCCGCCTCGTCGTCTCCGCCATGGAGCTCGGCGACGTGGACGACGAGCGCGCGGTCGTCGAGTTTCCCGTCCTCCACGACGTCACGCTCGAGAACGCCGCCTACTACATGCTGCAGTACACCACCGCGCCCCTCATCGGCGCGCTCAAGCTAGAGGGGGGCATGCACACCATGGACGGCTCCGACTACATCGACGTCCTTCTCGCCTTCCTCCAGCGCTCCGTGGTCCCACATCCGCGCCTCAAAGTGACGCGCCTGCGCACGCTCGAGCTGGAGGGCATGCCCGCCGCACCGGTCGAACAGCTCGTCGCCTGCCTCCAGCTGGCCCCCGCCCTCGCCCGCCTCGCGGTCGACGAGGCCGACTGGCGCGACGACGACGAGCGCTCGGTGACGCCCGAGCTGCTCGGCGCGCTCACCCGCTCGCCCTGGACCGACCTCGGAGCCCTCTCGCACTTCCTCCTCCCCGCGCTCACGCACCTCAAGATCAAGTGCCGCCGGGAGGCGGACGAGGCGCTCACCACGGCGATGCGCACGATGGTTCTGTCGCGGATGACGGACAACCCCATGGACTTCCCCGCGCGGCTGCGGGGGCTGGAGACGGACATACCGGTGGCGTACTGAGCGCCGTGGGAGCGTACTGAGCACCGCGGGAGCGTACTGGCCGCGCTGGTAGCGTACTAGGCGGGCTGTCAGATAGGCAGTGCGCGGTACGTATACAGGCATCGTGGGGTAATCTCTGCGCTGAATGGCAATGTCTGCACTGAATGCCATCATCTGCTCTGGTCGATTCAATGGGGCTGAGACAGTGCATCAAGGCGTGGCAACCAATTCCTCTCTAACGCCCTCGACATGCACATTGCATGCCCTACTTTTGCCCTAGCCCTGAATTCTGGTGCCCACACGGGGCACATTGTCAGACATATAGCGCAACTGACCCTGCCCTTATACCTCACAATTCACCCTGACTTTCCCCTCTTTCTCGTATTGACACGGTACGTGCTCCAGCGCGCTCTGTACCCCGATTTTGAGCCAAAACTCAGAAGCCAGTCATGTCTCTTCCCCCGCTCGACATCGAAGCCTGCCTGCAAGAGCTCCCGCAGTACGCAAGTATCGCGCTCCTCCGCGCCGGGGACATCCCCACTCCCCAAAAAGCTGCGCGCATCCTCCACCTCCTCAACGCGCTGTGCGGAACCCGAATCCACCCTCCAGTCAATCTTGCCGATCCCGTCGATCCCACCCAGTCACAGCGCGCCGAGAGGGCAATCTCCCTCTGCCGCGCCGCCCTCGCCCCCGTCAGGCGCCTCCCCCGCGAGCTGCTCATCGCCATCTTTAAGTTGGCTCTCCCCGACGCGTAGGGCGAGGCGGACGTCAGCGCGACGCTGAACTTCGCCGCCGTGTGCTTCTGCTGGCGCGAGGTCGCGCTCGCCATCCTGCAATTCTGGGCGAACATCTGCATGACGCTGGATAGTCGTGCGGGCCCAATCACAAACCGCCTCGAGAGGTCGGCGGGCAAGCTGCGCAGCGTGCAGATCGCTTCGGGCGTGCAGGTCGCTTCGGGCGTGCAGGCTCTTTTGGACGGGAATGGCGCGCCGAATGCAGAGGCGCTTCGCCTGGTAATGTCGTCCGCGTCGCAGTGGCCGAGGCTCGTGTTGCCTGACTTCGATCAAACGATGGGCGCTCTCGACGCCCACTGGCCCGGCTACTTCCCCCTCTTGATGGTGCTGGACCTCTACTGTGGCCACGAAGTAGCCAGGGCGGTCCGATACTTCGACAACGCGCCCATGCTGATGATGCTCAACCTTCATTTCCTCTCTATCGATGCACCTATCGAGTTCCCTGCATCCTCGCGCCTCATGAGTCTCGAGCTCGACTTCGTCGGTGCGGATGGCACCCTACAGGGAATCCTGCCATCCGTAGCGGCGTGAGCGCCTACCATCATGCGCCTTACCGTGCGCGTCGAGGAATCCGGCGGCCACGATCAGGATTACGACGGCCTGATGTGCCCCCATCTCTCCGACCTGTCTCTCGTGCATGGCGCGTGCTATTTGTCCGCCTATATCGTCGCGCCCATGCTGGTCAAACTTGCCATGAAGGGGCAAGGTCTTCGCGCCGGGCCTGAACTGTACCTTCGCTCCGCCATCATCCTCGTCACCCGTCCGCAGGGTGTGCGATACCTTCGCATCTTCGAGATTGAGGGGATGAATCCCCAGTCACCGGAGTGGATCGTCGACTGCTTGTCGAGCATGCCGAGCCTCTCCAGCCTCAAAATCAGGGACGAGTCTCGCCCCGACGGGACGCAGGTCGTCGTCACGCTGGAATTGCTCATAATGTTGACACGCACTCCCGATCCTTACAGGCTTGGCTTCCTGCCAATGCTTACTGGGCTGGAGCTGAAGTGCGGTGGCAATGCAGAGGTCATGTACAGAGACCTTGTCAGGATTCTCATCATAACGAGGCGGCAGTATGTCGACGCGAGTCTCGCACCCCTGTGTTATGTCGACACGGACCTTCCCCTGGGGGCCGCCTGGGTGAACAGCCCTTTGCCGTACTGATTCTGTTCTATATCGTACATTTTTGCGGAGAATTTTGCTGATTGCAATCATAGCACTCCCTTTGTACTAGGTACATCGTTACCGCCCGTCTTCTCTATGGCCTGCTTTATGGCCAGAGCGAGTGCCTTGAAGGCAGACTCAGCGCTGTGAAAGCCGTCAGAATCAATCTGTCGCCGCCTCTGATAATCCATGCTTACCGGTGGTGGTCATTCTCGCCTCTGAGAACGTCGATGTGCATCGTTGCGCCAGAGGCGATGGCGAACGAGTAGAAAATATGTGGCAACATCTCCGTCGAGAGGTCGCCCACCTTTTCGCGCTTCATGCCAAGGTCGGTGAAGCAGTATGGCCGCGCGCATATATCGATAACAGCGCGCGATAACGCCTGACTTCGGGGTGAGAACGGTTGAGTATGAAGGTATCAAATCGTATACCTCGTCCAGAGGGGCGAAGCCGGTACCGTAGCGACGTATGCCGCGTACCTCGCCGAGGGCTTGCTTGAACGCGGTTCCCAGTGCGATCGCGCAGTCCTGTGCTAGGAGGGTCAAGTAGTGCCACCAGCAGCAATGGACATGGGACTTATCTGCCGTATGATGATCGTCGATCCAAAGGTCCCCCTTACATTTCAATGTAAGGGACATACCGCTGTGCTTTGCCAAAGCGGTAAACATCTTGTTGGGGTCAGTGGATGAATTTATATGGTACATATATTTGAACCACGACTGACATGGTCCAGGAAGCCGATGCCTGTGGAGACTGATATTTCCTGCGCCTTGGCAGAACCCGGGGCACAGTCAAGGTCAATAGAGACCTCGATCTCTGTTTCGCTCGTTTTGCGGGATATGGTGGCCTGGCGCGACATGATAGGTTCGAGTCAAGGAGGGAAACTGCATACGGAGATAATTTCCTCAAGCGGCATTTGCCGAAAGTTCAACTTCTCACGTGTGATTGGCTCCTTGCGCGTTGCCTTGCCCAGCAACTGCATGCGGGAGTTTTGTGGTTTCCGTCCCTGTTTGCACATATTTGAAGGCAGTGAGTCTGTCCAAGCCATTGACGGGCGATACCGGACCGCAAAGGATGTCATTTCCGAATTCCGCACCCAATGGGTGCGTTCGCTGACTTTGCTTCCCTTCCCTGATACCCCGTCGAATCAGCAAGTTCATGAAGCAGATGAGAGGGGATGAATAGTGTTGGTAGCTACGGTCTGGGCTATCGAGTGAATCCCTACACCCTGGGTGCGAACACATCGAAGATACTGCTCTTCTCCTGGATCTCCCTTGTCTTACCCCGAATGCCCCAAATGCCATAATTCAACTTGATCATCACCCGCGGGTCGAAGTCCGCCACCTCCCACCGCAAGCTGGCAAACTCATTCGGCCCGGGCGTCAGGATCCAGTCGAAGTCGTTCGCGATCTCGCTCGTCGCAAGCGCGCGCACGTCGCGCTCGAGGTCCGCGGGGGAGAAGCCCGTGACGAAGATCGGGCACTTGGTCTCGAGGAGCGTAGGGAGGACGCCGCCCCACTCAGTGGGTGAGTTGATCTGCAGAACCTTGTCGGCTGCGGAGGGCGCGGTCGGGGAAGGGAAGCCAAGGCCGGGAGAGAAGAGGAAGAAGCAGTCGCTGTACGGGTCGAGAGTGTCCGCGAAGTGCTCGTTGTGCAAGTCGGACGTGTAGCTCGAACGAATGCCGGTCACGGTCAGGGCGTGCGTGTAAGGCGTCGTGTAGGAAGGCGCGCCGTACTTCTGAATTGCGTTGCGCGTGTACGGCTGCGCGGGGATGGGCTTCGGCGTCTTCGGCATATACACATTTGGCGAGTAGATGGGGCGCTCCTCCTCCAGCTCCTCGTCCGACTCTGTCACAGCGGTCGACTCGGAGGTCGCTTCGGTCTTCGGTACCTCGGGCTCTGGTGTCGGGCTGGACGCAGAAGATGAAGCAGAGGCAGTCGATGTAGACTTCGGCGACGGGTCGGAGGATGTCGCCTGTTTCGTCGTCTGTTTCTTCTTGCCGAACCCTTTCGGCAATGCCACCTGAGGTCCGATGAAGATGATATGCAGGTTGGACGAGGGGAAGAGCATAGTGAGTTGCTCCCAGACGTGCACAGGCAGTGACGACTCGCCGCGTGCGCCGAGTATAAATACGCGCACTTGCGGCTTTCCGGCTGCGTGCTCCGGTGTCTCTGGCGTCCCTGTCGGGACGTGCAGCGTCGACCGGATAGCCGCCATCGAGCGCGAGCCTTCCGGCGTCAAGCGCTGATTATTGAGCGTCAAGTTGCTGTACTGGTGTAGGACATTCCCAATAGTGATCGGGTAGGAGAGCACCTTGGACGCATGGCGCCGCGAGCGCTCACTGTCCATGGAGAAGAAGCCGCGCGTGTACCAGAAGGTGTCCCAGTTCGCGAACGAGATCGCATCCTCGTAGCCCTGCGGTCCTAATACGCGCTGTCAGCAGAACTTCCGAGTCGCGAGCGGCGAGCACCACGCACCTGGCATCTCGAATTCACGGAAGCGCCGCTGGCTCCGCAGGTCGTGCTCGTCCTCGTTGGCGTCCCTCAAGCGCGAGCAGTACTTGACGTGCTCCGTGTCCGCCTTCCAGTGCTCCTCCGAGCAGTGTGTCGGCCAGCCGCAATCCGGGCACTCGAACGCGACGGACTTAGGCTTCGCTGGCGCCTCCCCCTCCGCTGTCTCCGCGCTGTGCTCCCCATGGTTGTGCTCCTCCAGACATACTGGACACGGCGCAAGCTTCTGGATCACCTCCGCGCGGGCGCGCACCTCGGGGAACGGCGACTTGGAGAGCGGGTGGAAGAGGTCATCCGGAGCGAGGATGGGGACCGGCTCGGGCTTTTTTGCTGGTGGCTGCTTCTTGTTGAAGAGGCCGAAGATATTCCTGCGGGCGACGAGGGGACGGACTCGCGGAGCGTGCACCAGCGTACGCCGCGCACTCACCCTGATGAGCGACGAATGCATAGTGTGCCGTCGGCGCGAAGGGCGAGATCAATCTTGGTTTTTGCGCTTCGGCCCGGAGTTCGATGAGCAGGGTTGACAGGTTCGAACCTGGGTGGAACGACAACGGCTATCTGCGTTCAAGGCGAGACCAAGGTGCACAGATTTTCAAACACTGTTAGCATTTGGCATAGTCCTCCGAGGCTCAGAATATCGCAAGCAATTTCTTGACTACCCAACTTGAGGATAAGTCCCTCAGGCTTGGCGTGACAAACCGTCACTGCCCTAAGCGCGGCGTCACGCTGCGCGCTTTGTTTCCTCCAGTGCTGGCACAGGCTTGCCGTACCCCGCCTTCCCCTCCTCCCCACCACCCTCAACGGTTCCCCTCTCTCACCCTCGGTTGATCCCTTTTCTTGCATCTCAATCATGGCACCGAAAGGGTGGTTCAATCTCGAGACGGCTGGCAGTGCCATCCCGGAAACGCAGTTCTTCGAGGGCGACTCGGCGTTCAAGTTCCTCGGGCTCTCGCGCACGACGCGCTTGTATGGTTTTGCGGGGTGGTGAGTAGGCGGAGCTGATTGTGCAGCTGAGGAGAAAGCTGACGCGATGGCACCTCTAGCTTAATCGCGGGATTCGTGTTGAGTCTGATTGGGAGCATCTTGCTGTTCTTGCCGGGGCAGTTGGGGTCGTTTGCTGGTGCGTGAGGTCTCCGTGTCTGCTGCATAGTATACTAAGAGCCATGCAGCACTCTACGTTCTGGGAACGATCATCTCATTAGTTGGAACTGGTTTCTTGATCGGGGTAAGTGGGTACTGTGGTACGATGCGACTTACTGACCGCTCGCCGCCTATAGTTCTTGAAGCAGCTCAAGCTTGTATGTGGCACCGTTCATTGGCCGTCCTATCTACCCCTTCAACTCACATCGCCCTCCCAGATGTTCAAACCTGTACGCGTACTCGCCAGCATCGTCTTCCTCGCATCCATCGCCCTCGTCCTCATTGCCGCATTTGTCCTCAACAGCGATGTGCGTATATGCATCCGTTAGATCCTCATTCGTACTCATCTCCCCTTTCACAGATCCTAGCCATCAGTGCGTATCCTTCCTCCTTGCCCACCTCCTTGTCGCTTATTCCCCCGCCCAGTCTTTGTCATCGTCGAGTACCTCGCATACACCTGGTACACCCTGTCGTACATCCCGTACGCACGGAGTGCCATCTTGAAGGTGATTGGCATGGGTGGCTGATAAGCTCCTCTATGCGCGTTTGCTTGGGCATCTCTGGACTGGGTTACGACGACGACGAGACTCATACATATATTGCTTGTCTGGTAATAATAAGTACATTGTTGTGGCATTTACGCAATGACGACGCTTTACAGGGATCTGTGCGAGGGAGGTCAATGAGAGAATCAATGACAAGGGCCATCGCTCACCCTTTGAAAGTGTTCTTCCCATTCCGAAGCGCATCCATGACAGCAGTAGTCTCTCCGGATGCTGCGCCGGAAGCCTTCCTGCGAGGTGTGTCAGCTGACTGCGTCGAACGGCGAGGGGAGTACGCATACTTCACCACCTCGTCCCCCAAGCGCATGAACACATTCCACTCCTTCTCATCCCCAATCGTCGTCTGCCCCGTCGTGATCCTGTTCTCCTTCGCCAGTGCCACCAGCCGCTTCACGCCCGCGCCTTCTGGGTCGATGCTCCGCGCGAACGCGGCGTTCCCCGCGGTGTACTCGTGCCCGTTGTACACGACCGTCTCGTTGGGGAGAGTGGCGAGGTAGGAGAGGGCTTTGTGCATTTCGTCCGCGGTACCCTCGAAGAAGCGCCCGCAGCCGCCGATGAATAGGGTGTCGCCGGTGAAGACCCCGCCGGGGTGCGCACCGGTCTTGTCGGTGACGTGGTAGCAGATGGAGTCTTGGGTGTGGCAAGGGGTGGCGAGGCATCTGAGGGAGGCGTAAGGGAAAGTGAGGGAAGAAGAGGATGTAAGACGTACTTGATGTGCGTATTCTCACCGATGGTGAACTCGTCCTTGTCCTTGACAATGTTGGTTACTGCTTCCACCTGTTGGCTGCCGCCGTAGATGGGTGCACCAGGGAATGTCGAGGCCTACGCGTGGTCAATATTGGACCCGATTGAGGGTTTGAAAGACCTACAAATGTCTACCCTCCATCAGCCTTGCCCCTCTCCTCCAATATCCTCCCCGCTTACTCACCTTGTTTCCCCCAGCATGATCATAATGGTGGTGCGTCGTGATCCCTGCGACGATCTCCACGCCCATCCCCTCCGCTGCCGCGGACACGCGCGTCACATCGTAAGGGTCAACTGCTGCAGCCTTCTTCGAGGGCTCGTCGATGAGCAGATATGCGTAGTTGTCATCTCTGACGGGCACAGCGACGACCTTCATCTTGCGCGGTATAGAAGAGGCAAAGGTGCGGTATAGGGGAGGTAAAAGAGGTGTTCTGAAGCTGACTCTCGGTCTGAGGGAACTCGCAGTCGTCCTTTGGATCGCGGTGCGAAGCATGGAATGACGCGCGCCGCCAATCGCAATCATGACATACCGCCTCACCGGGCCGCATCCCGATATCTCCTGTGAGTCACGCCGGCCCCACGTGCGCCGTTGCCGTTCAACATGCACGGCGGCCTGGATGTTGCCACCTCGCCACAATGAACGTGACGGGTTGCCAGGGCGCGGCTGGTTTCCGGAACAACTTGTCACTCAACAAGGACACCCACGTCAGCCAGCGCGGACCTCATCGTGCCGGGCGTCTTCAGATCCACGCTAAATGTCCATCAGTCCAGGTCCACCGTTCGCGGAACTTTCTGTGTGTTGCCTGGATGATGAGCGCACGCATGACACTCCGAGCGCTTATGCTCTTTCCGTTTCCCTCTTTCTTTCCGTCTTTCACCACCACCTTCGTCACTCGTTTTGCGCCGTGCTGCCCTCCGCCAGGAGTGGGACTGGTCGTCGCCCTTCCGCTCGTTAACTGGCCGTGCATGCGCCCCTAAGTCCCGAGGAAGGCATCCATCCCCACTCCCCCTGAATAGGATAGACTTGCTTCTCTATCTCCTTCGCGGTATCTGGTAGCCCATGCGCTCTGTTCTTGCCCGCAGACGAGTGTTTGGTAGACACTCTGCTGGCGCTTATGGCTTGCCGGTGCGTCTTCAGCATGCCTTTCCCCTCCTGTGATTCTCATCTTTCCGCGCAGAACGCACGGAGTCCAATACCCGCAAACGTCCACAACGCGCACCATGCGCGCGACGCTGGCCTCGGCCTGCGATCCCGCGACGTGCCCGCGGGCGCAGCCAGTCCTTGTAACGGTGCGCATCCACCTTTACCTCGCAATTGTATTTGCTGATGCTAAATCCACACTCCGTATAGCAGACTGCCACACCGGAGTAACAACCACAGCCGCATCTGCCACAGATACCGCACCCGCAGCAGGTACCCAGACTACGGCGCAGACGCAGTCTGTTATCTTCACCTACGCGCCAGCGGGAGGCGGACAGGGCTCCTTCACCCGTGCTTCTGATTCTAGCACGTCCACCGAAGCTACAGAGTACACTTCTGAGAGTGCGGGAGTGGACTCTGGGACCTACTTCACTACCTCAGCTGCTACAGATGAAATTGTGTACACCGACGTCGAGGCGTCCACCACGTTCTCCGTCGCCCCAACCTCATTCCCCACGGCCGATTCCGACCCTGAACCTACCACTCGGTCAACGAAGTCATCGTCCGGTCAGAGCGAGAGAACCGCCTACACCCTAAGCAGCTCTCACACTTCCACCGCCCTTTCCCTCTCCGAACCTTCCTCTCTCACCTCTTCCTCCGCCGCTGCCGCCCAAACATCCTCCGCTGCCACCTCTCAGCCCACCACCTCCAACACCGCCGCTCTCGCCGGCGGCATCATTGGCGGTCTCGTCGGCCTCGGCCTCCTGATCCTCCTCGTCATGTTCATCAAGCGGCGTCAGCAACGGCCCCGCTCCCTCGAAATCGGGAAACTCGCACCCTCTCAGGCGTTCATGCGCGAAAACAGTGATGCGCGGAGTCGGTATGTCGCGAACGGGGCGAGCTTTGCGCGGATCGACTCGCGGGATGAGCAGGGCGATGGCACGGTGCGCGCGCCGACGCCTGCGTGGATGCATCCGAGGGCGAAGACGCCGGAGTCGACGAAGACATTCCTGAATCTTGATTAAACTTCGGCGGCTCTGTCTAAGGGGGTGGCTTTTTGTTCATCTGCCTCCCTGTTTCTTTTGGTGTGCATTACTTGTGTGCCTTTACGACGACACCTTGATGGCCCTCGTCCTGTTTCTTTGCCCGTGCATGTTCTAGCGTTGCCCATCCACTCCCCTCACGGACATCCTCTTGCACATTCTTGTCTCCCTGTTGTCTTTTAGGACCCCCGGGACTAGTCATTGACTTGTTACAGTATGCTGCCTCTCCACCTGACATATGCTGTACAGGGGAATACTCCTTTTTACTCGGACCTTAGCTATCGGTACTATGCTTACCAGCTTGAGTGATACTGTTTGAGGTATCTCACGGCATATATTGCGGGTGTGTACGACCTTCGGCACTCGCCACGTAAAGCACAAGTTGAACTTCACTAAATCACCTGACCGCGAGAAACGGAGCACGCGACCACAATAGCAGCTCCCGGCCCGATCGCCCCGCACCCGCCTAACACACGCGCCCACCACCACCACTATGTCCTCCCGCCAATGGATCAAGGGCACCACCGTCCGCAAGGGCGGCGCCGCGACGAGCTCGCACCCGTCCCGTCACTTGACGCCGACCGTACAAAGTACATCGTCCACCGTGTTTGGTGGCGGCGTGAAGGACCCGTCGGGGCGGACGAGCGAATATTCGGTGGGTGTTTGGGGTGTGGGCTGGCTGGGTGGAGGGGTTGGCTTACAATGGGAAATACAGTCAGAAAATGACCAGTGTCCGGTATGCAAGACGGACAGATATCTGAACCCAAAGTTGCGGCTGTTGGTCAGCTCGCAATGCTATGACAAGATGTAAGTGCTGACGCTCATATCTTGGCCAAATACTAACAACGAAGCAGGTGCGAGTCGTGCATTGACCGTTTGTTCACCCTGGGGCCTGCAGCCTGCCCTACTTGCGGCTTGACGACCCGAAAACTCCAGTTTATACCACAGACATTCGAAGACTTGGGAGTCGAAAAGGAGGTCGCTGTTCGCCGAAGAATAGCCAGAGAGTAGGAACGAGCCATCTGCTCATCGGTTTTGTGACTGACAAACATATAATCGAAGGTTCAACAAACGGCGGGAAGATTTCGTCGACTTGCGCGCCTACAACGACTACCTCGAAGAAGTTGAAGACATCGGTAAGCTCTTGCCACAAACTCCTTTCACACCACTCATACTCCGTCCAGCCTTCAACCTGATCCACGACATCGACCGCGAAGCGACCGAAGCGCGCATCAAAGCCTACCACGCCGAAAACCAAGCGCTCATCGAGCTCAACGAGCAGCGCGAAAAAGCCTACGCCGACGCCCTCAAAGAACAAGAAGAATTCGAGCGCCGCGACCGCGAGGCGCGCGCCTCCGAGCTCCGACGTGAGGAGGAAGAAGAGCGCCAGGAGCGCGAGCGCGACAAGCGCGCCCTCATCGACAAACTGGAGGCCTCGGACAAGGACGCCATCGAGCTCGTCGCGCGGCAGAAGCGCGAGGCGGCGAAGCGGCAGTCCGCGCGGACGGCGTCGAACAACACGATCACGATGCAGAGCATCAATGCAAGGTTGCTGAGGAATCGGGCGGCGCAGCATACGACAGTGAAGGAGATGAAGCATGTGCCGTTGTTGGATGATTGGTATGGGTATGAGGATATGTTTGCGCTGAAGAAAGGGGATTACGACGATGTTGTGAGCGAGGCGGTGAGGAGGGACAGGGAGGGCATCATGCGCGGGGGAGGCTACAGGATCGAGGAAGCTTGGGAGAGGGCTATCCGGACTGCGGTCGCCTCATTGGACCTTCCACCTCTGTCGGGTCTGGGCGAGGACAACAAGTCCGGCGACGTAGCTATGGCTGGCGCGTAAAGGCATACTCACCTCCAATATACCACTGAGGAACTCACAATTCGTCTGCCATCTTACAACAAACAACAGTGAATGACATTGAGGCTAAGTATGTACAGTAAAGTAGCAGGGCATTATATGCCTCCGTACGACTCTGGACCAGCGAACAGATGAGATAGATGAGAGAACACATTCGACGTAGAAAGCTGAACGGAGAAACTAGAAATACATGGGGGAAACCACCAGTCCGACCTTCCATAACGTCTATCAGGCCTCGAGCTGCAAGTTTCAAGCCTGGACAGGGATAGCCTTGGCGCTGAGCTGGCTGGGCGGGGGAACGAAGACGCGCGTCTTGATGCTGCCGGCGAGCGGGAGACGAGTGTTCTTCTCGAGGTACATGTCGACCTCGGCGGCGGCGCTGCGACCCTCGCTGGGATGATTGTCAGGATGTGCCAGGGTGGGGTAGATGAAAGGACGTACTTGATACCCCAGACGATGAGCGACTGGCCTCTCCTGCAGTCGCCCGCGGCGAAGACACCCTCGATGTTCGTGCTGTACTTCTTGGGAGCGGTCTGGATGTTCGAGCGCGCATCCTGCTTGATGCCGAGCGCCTTGATGACCTCGTTCTCGGGCCCGAGGAAGCCGAGCGCGAGGAAGACGAGCTGAGCCGGGAAGAACTTCTCCGACCCGGGAACCTCCTCCATCTTCCAGCGGCCACCGCTGTCCTTGGTCCACTCAACGCGCACTGCGAGACAGGTAAGCTGGTGAGATCAAAGGTAGTCAATGAGATATACACACCAGTGTTGAGACCAACAAGCTTGCCCTCATCGTCAACAACGAAGTCCTTGGTGGAGATGCAGTACTCCCTAGGGTCGCGGCCGAAGTGCGATGCGACCTCCGTGTGACCGTAGTCAGTACGGAAGATCCTAGGCCACTGCGGCCAAGGGTTGTCGCGGGCACGCTCCGCAGGCGGGCGAGGAAGGAGCTCGAAGTTGGTGACGCTCTTCGCGCCGTGGCGCATAGCGGTACCGATACAGTCATTGCCCGTGTCACCACCGCCGATGACGATGACATCCTTGCCCTTGGCGTTGATGTAGCTGCTGTTCTGGTGGCCGTCATCGAGGAGCGCCTTCGTGTTGAGCTGGAGGAACTCCATGGCGAAGTGGATGCCGTCGGCGTCACGGTGGGGGATCTTGAGGTCGCGAGGCCATGTCGCACCGGTGCAAGCGACAACGGCATCGTACTCCTGCCTGAGCTCCTCGGCATCGACGTTGACACCGACATGGGCATTCGGGACGAAGGTCTAGAGACATGTTAGCGTCAAAGCGGACCGAATGTAGATGATACACGTACAATGCCCTCAGCTGCCATCAGGTCAATGCGACGCTGTACAACACTCTTGTCAAGCTTCATGCTGAAAACAAGACATCAACATGGAGGCCGCAGACGGGAGGGGTAAGGGTACGCACTTCGGAATGCCGTACATGAGAAGACCACCCATGCGATCGTTACGGTCGTAGACGGTGACCAGGTGGCCAGCCTTGTTCAGCTGGTCGGCGCAAGCGAGACCCGCGGGACCAGCACCGATGATAGCCACGCGCTTGCCGGTTCGGACCGCTGGCGGCTTGGGCGCCATCCACCCCATCTCGAAGCCCTGTACCAGAGTCAGCAGAAGCGCGGGAGCAATGCGTAGATTAGCCTCACCTTGTCAATGATGGCACACTCAATGGACTTGATACCGACAGGCTGCTCATTGATTCCTAGAACACAGGCACCCTCGCAGGGAGCGGGGCAGACACGACCCGTGAACTCGGGGAAGTTGTTGGTCATGAGAAGGCGGTTGAGCGCGTCCTGCCACTGGCCCTTGAAGACGAGATCGTTCCACTTGGGGATGATGTTGGAGATCGGGCAGCCCGTGTCCGACTGGCAGAAGGGCACACCGCAGTCCATGCACCGAGCGGACTGGTACTTGAGCTCCGTCTCCGTCAGGCGCGTGGAAATCTCCTTCCAGTCCTTGACGCGCTTGCGCGGCGGACGGTAGGCCTCACCAAGGCGCTTGTACTTCATGAAGCCGCGGGTCTTGTCGAGCTTGTGCATGCGCTGCTTGGTGGTCGCATCGTCGACAAGCGAGTCCTCGAGATCCCCAACCGAAGGCTCGTGCTTGGGCTTAGGGCTCGGGGTGAGATGGAGCTTCGGCTGCAAGATATCCTCCAAGCCCTCGGAAGCGAGGTCGACCTGGCTGGCGGTACGCGAGGGAACGAGGTCAATGACGCTCTGCCGCGCCTTCTCCTCCTTCTCGCGGGCCGCCTGCTCCTCCAATACGCGCTTATAGTCGAGAGGCATGACGCGGACGAAGAGCGGGAGAAGGTGGTGGAAGTCCTTGAGGACGCGGTCCGCGACCTCGGATCCAGTGTAGTGGCGATGGTCCTCGATGAGCCCGCGGAGCGCAGCGATTTCCTTGGGGTCCGTGACCTTGCCAAGCTCGACCATCTCCATGTTCACCTTGGAGGCGAAGGTGTGGGCCATGTCGAGGACGTAGGCGATACCTCCGCTCATACCGGCAGCGAAATTACGTCCAGTGGTTCCGAGAACCACAACGCGGCCACCCGTCATGTACTCGCAGCCGTGGTCACCAGTGCCCTCAACTACGGCGTTCACACCCGAGTTGCGGACGGCGAAGCGCTCCGCAGCGACACCGCGAATGAACGCCTCGCCAGAGGTAGCACCGTACAAGCAGACATTGCCGATGATGATGTTCTCTTCAGCCTTGAAGGTCGACGTCTTGGGCGGGTAGACAATGAGGCGACCGCCCGACAGACCCTTGCCGACGTAGTCGTTGGCATCACCCTCGAGCTCGATAGTGATACCAGGAGCGAGGAAGGCACCCAACGACTGACCGGCGGAGCCCTTCATAGAGATGTGGATGGTGTCCTTTGGCAAGCCCTCCTCGCCGTACTGCTTCGAGACCTTGTACGACAATGAAGTACCGAGAGCGCGGTCGGTGTTCGTGACGTCGCACTCGATGTGAACGGGCAGACCCTTCGTGAGCGCCGGCTCCGACTCATCGATGAACTTGTTGTCGAGGCGGATGTAGAGCTTGTGGTCCTGCGAGCGGACGCGGTGCGTAGCCGCGCCAGGACGCATCTGCCAGGCGGGCTTGAGGACGGCGGACAGGTCGAGGTACGCGGTCTTCGGAGTACGGTATGCCTCGTTGACCTTGAGCATCTCTGTGCGCCCGACCATCTCGTTGATCGTGCGGAAGCCGAGCTTCGCCATGATCGCGCGGAGGTCCTCAGCGAGATAGTAGAAGAAGTTGATGACCTGCTCGGGCTGGCCAGCGAACTTCGCGCGCAGCTGAGGGTCCTGCGTAGCAATACCGACAGGGCAAGTGTTGACTGAGAAACGATCAGGACGATAGACGATGAGAGAGAACGAGGATACTCACGATGGCACTTCCTCATCATGATACAGCCCATGGCGATGAGCGGCGCCGTGGCGAAGCCCCATTCCTCCGCACCGAGCATGCAGGCAATGGCGATGTCGCGGCCCGTACGAAGCTGACCATCGGTCTGCACGGTGACACGACCACGAAGGTCGTTCAGAACAAGCGTCTGGTGCGTCTCGGCGAGACCGAGCTCCCACGGCAAACCCGCGCTCTTGATGCCCGTCCAGCGAGCCGCACCCGTACCACCATCGTGACCCGAAATGAGGATGTGATCCGCCTTCGCCTTCGCGACACCGCTCGCGACAATACCGACGCCGACCTCGGACACAAGCTTGACCGACACCCTTGCGCGCGGGTTCGCGCACTTCAGGTCGTAGATCAGCTGCTTCAGGTCCTCGATGGAGTAGATGTCGTGGTGCGGGGGAGGGGAAATGAGACCGACGCCTGCCGTCGAGTGGCGCGTACGCGCGATGGACTGCGAGACCTTGTGACCGGGCAGCTCACCGCCCTCGCCGGGCTTCGCGCCCTGCGCCATCTTGATCTGCAGCTCGTCCGCGTCGGCGAGGTAGTTCGAGGTGACACCGAAGCGACCGGAGGCGACCTGCTTGATGGCGGAGCGCATAGTGTCGCCAGTAGGCAGGACGTTCGAACGCTCGGCGTCCTCGCCACCTTCGCCCGTGTTCGACTTGCCGCCCAAACGGTTCATGGCGACAGCGAGCGTCGAGTGCGCCTCCATGGAGATAGAGCCGTACGACATCGCACCCGTGACGAAGCGGCGGACAATCTCGTTCCACGGCTCAACCTGCTCGATCGGGATGGGGGTCGCGTTCTCGAACTTGAACTCGAGAAGGCCACGAAGGTGCACGCGCTTCGTCTGCTCGTTCGCGTTGCGGATGTAGGCGTCGAACGCGCTCTGGTTCTTCTCGCGGACGGCATCCTGAAGGTTAGCGATGCCAGCGGGGTCATTGATGTGCGGCTCGCCTCCATCGCGCCAGTGGTACTCGCCGGACTCGGGCATGCCGGGAGGGATCTCGGTGTAGCGGCTCGGCCAGCCACGCTCGTGCAGCTCGAAGGCGTCAAGCGCGAGGAGGTCGAAGGTCGCACCCTGGACACGGCTCGCGGTACCGGTGAAGCAACGCTGAACGACCTGGCTGTGAAGGCCCATGATCTCGAAGATCTGAGCGCCCTTGTAGGATGCGAGCGTCGAGATACCCATCTTCGACATGACCTTGAGGATGCCATTGTCGAGCGAGTGGCGGTAGTTCTCCATAAGCTGTGGGACGGTCTTGTTGTCCTTGACCCTGAAGTAAAGTAAGCATCATATAAGGAGAAAGATGGACATGTTGACTTACAGTCCCTCGCGGCCAACCTTGTGGATGGTCTCCATCATGAGCCACGGGCAGATCGCGTCCGCGCCGTACCCAAGGAGGACACAGCAGTGGTGAACATCGCGCGCCTCGCCGGTCTCAATCATGAGCGCCACCTTCGCGCGCATCTTGTGCGCGACGAGATGGTGGTGGACACCACCGCACGCAATGATCGCAGACAGCGGAACGCGCTCCGGCCCCGTCGCCTTGTCACTGAGCACAATCACCTTCATCCCGTCCTCAATCGCCTCCATCGCCTCGCTGCACACGCGCTCCAGCGCGAGCTGGTACCCCGGCAGCCCATCGCCCTTCGGGAACGTGATGTCGATGGTGCGCGACGGCCACGTCCCGTACGCCAGCTTGAGGTTCTTCATCGCGTTCATCTCCTCGATGTCGAGGATGGGCGACGGGAGGAGGATGCGGTGGCACTGCTCGGGCTTCATCTCGAGCAAGTTGCCCTCCGGGCCGACGTACGTCTCGAGCGACATGACGATGCTCTCGCGGATGGGGTCGATCGGCGGGTTCGTGACCTGCGCGAAGAGCTGGCGGAAGTAGTCGTAGAGGCTCTTGGGCTGGGTCGCCATCGCGGCGAGCGGCGCGTCGTTACCCATGGAGCCGAGCGCCTCCTTGCCGTCGGTGACCATGGGGAGCATGAGAAGATTGAGCTGCTCGACGGTGAATCCAAACGCGAGGAGCTTAGGGTCGGTGCTCAAGGGGGAGTCGTCGAGGACGGGCTCGAGTGCGACACGGCTGCGACGGACGCGCTTCACGATCTGCGGCACATGGAGGATGTGCGTCTCAACCCAAGACGCAAAGTTCTTCGACCGCGCAGTTGTGAGCTTGAGCTCCCTGTCATCGACAATGCGACCCTCGACCGTGTCGACGAGCAACATGCGACCGGGCTTGAGACGGCCTTTCTGCACAACCTTCTCCGGGGAGATGTAGACAGCACCGACCTCGGAGGCGCAGACCATGATGTCGTCGTTCGTGACGATGTACCGACACGGACGAAGACCGTTACGGTCAAGGTTCGCGCCACAGTAGCGGCCGTCACTGAAAGTGAAGAGGGCGGGACCGTCCCACGGCTCCTGCAGGCACGCAGCCCAGTTGTAGAAGGCGCGCTTCTCCGGCTCCATGATCTCGTTCCCTTGCCATGCTTCGGGAATAAGCATCATAACAGCCTCCGGAAGCGTCAGAATGCCGTTGACGGTGAGCAGCTCGAGCACGTTGTCGAATGCCGCCGAGTCGGAACCACCGGTCTCAATGATAGGGTAGAGAAGGTCGAGCTCGTCACCGAAGCTCTGAGATGCGATGACTCCCTCGCGGGCGCGCATCCAGTTCTTGTTCCCGCGAACAGTGTTAATCTCACCTGGGAGCGGGTCAGAAGATGCTCCAGGTTCAGTATCAGGTCACGCACCATTGTGAGCCGCCCATCTCATCGGCTGCGCACGGTCCCAACTGGGGAAGGTGTTCGTGGAGAAGCGGGAGTGTACAAGCGCAAAGTGCGCGCTGTATAGTACATGATTGAGATCGTGGAAGTAGTTGTACACTTGAGGTGGGGAAAGCTGTCCCTTGTACACAATGTTCTTGGAGGACAACGAGCAGATGTAGAAGCCCTTCGCGAGAGTACTAGAATGACATGTGATGAGCGTTGGTCTTGGAGATAAGGAAAGGAGATAACTAACATAGTATGGGTAGCGTGCTTGCGAAGCACGTAGAGTTGACGCTCGAAGTGACGTTCATCGAACGTGCCTCCTTGGCTGACAGAGCCATCGCCGTAGTGCGCTTGCAAGACAACGAAGGGCTGAAGGATAGTCGGCTCCTTGCTGCTTGCAGCGGGGCCGAGGATCGTCCCATCAGTAGGGACCTCACGCCAGCCGAGGACACGCAGGCCAAGGTCGATGGCGATGCGGGAGAACGTCGCCTGCTGGCTCTGCAGCTGGACGGGGTCGTTCGCCTTGAAGAAGATGTTGCCCACGGCGTATTCGCCTGGGTTGGGGAGCTTGCAGCCGAGATCACGCTCCGCCTCCCGGACAAAGAACTCGTGAGGGATGCCAGTCATGACGCCCGCGCCATCACCATCGCGGCTGTCTGCGCCCGTGGCTCCGCGATGGGTCATCGCACAGAGGAGCTGGCGCGCATCGGATACGATTTTGTGGGTAGGCTGACCGCGGATGTGACAGATGAAGCCGACACCGCAGGAGTCCTTCTCATTGTCGTTGAGGTAGAGACCCTGATTCGCGGGGAGGGATCCGTCGAAGGAGTTCGGGTCGCGCTCTACAGCGTTGAAGCTGGCGACGTTTTCGGGAGAAGCATGGTCGGAGACGATGGGGAGGGATTCTGGGTTGTAAGAGGTGCTGGCCGGGACGGACGCTTCGACTATGGCCATAGAAGGACTGGCAGCGGATGTGGAGGCGGACGGCTGTTGCTGCTGGCTTTGGACGACGAGCTCGCGGGCGGGGGAGATGGTGGGCGGAAGCAAGCAGCGTGAGGAGTCGCTGCAAATTGCCGTATTCAAGCGACTCCGCCCAGCGCGATGACTAGCCCCTGTCCAACCCGTGATCTCTGATTTGATCGGACGAGCCAGATAACTGTGATTTCCATTGCGGCTTTTTGGAGAACAATACCCTTCGGCTTCCACCGAGTCCGCCCAGGGGCGCCCTCCAGCGCCTTTCTCTCTCTTAAAAAATCATCCTCGAGTCCAGAAGACGCATCCCTCGTCGCGCAGACACCTCCAGGCACAGCGAACACCCGTCCGGGGATTTCTCCACAACTTGCATAAAATACAGGATCTGTTTGGCTCGGCCTATCGGATCCGATCGTCAGCCGACGGACATCCATTTTCTTCCCGCCTCCATGCCGGCCTTGTCAAGCGCCCGCCCTCATTGGCCCATCCCGGTCTTCCCCTGGCCTACTTCCCGTCCTCGGCCGAGAGGATGTACGTTTACGCCCTGATATCGCCATTCTCATCTCGTCCATTCGCGACGCGTCGACGTCCCGCACGTCGCACTGAATGCCCGCATCCTCGACCGCGGTCACCGGCACAGTTGGACTCGACGAGCATGCTGGTGGACTGTACTTTTCGACCGCTTTATTACCCAGCCAATGGGAGCCAGCTTGCGTCAAACTGCGGACAGTACTGACTAGTCATGACGCACCACCTGTATACCCTTGTAGCGCCTACCGACATCTATCTGCCGTCTGTGCATTCTCTTGGATACGTCTCCTACTCGCAGAGCCTACGATGTAATGGAACACTTGCACAGCGTCAATAGACACGTTTTCAGACGACTCTCTGCGTCATCCCCTCTCCGAGACCCTTTCGTCTGAACCTACTGCAGCTGCTTTACTTCCCTTTTGCGTAATTCCGGTCCCAACGGGCTCGCCCAAGGCCAGCATTCTCACCTGGACATCTTGAGACTTGCGTCGACGTCGATGTGGGATACGTAGTCGTCGAAAAAGCGTTATCGATGCAAGTCGCGCCCCACAGAGGGGCCGCACTCAGCGGCATAGCACGAGATCCATCTCCTTGACGCTAGAAACAACCTGTCAACAGCTCGTCCAATAGATCTCGCTTCTCCTTGTCCATCGACTGCGCTACCAGCACGACCCGCGTAGAAAGTTGTAGTCGAGTAGAACACATGTCCTCTCGGACGATTTACGGCCTACCGCATGGGTATGCGCACGACGAAGGAAGGTGTGGCTGATATTCGGGGCACTGGAAGAACGAAGGTGAGCCATCTCGCGGATCTGCGACACCCGCATGCGTGCGCAGGACGTAGATGCAGCGTGCAAACTTCCAAACGCACCCCAGATGTCGCTCGGGTGTCCTAGCCAACGTTGAGGGCGTCCACGTATCCGCCGGCTCGCATCAGGGAGCGCCGACGCCCTCGACGCTGCGTGCGAACGATGACGATTCGCTAAACTGCGTCGCACGAGGCGCGCTAACTGCTGCTAGGTCTCAATAGTCAGCGTGGGGGTGCTCGACGCCGCCGCCGGTCTGGTTAGGTGTGAATCTGCGCGGGCCCGGGAAAGTTCTCTATGCCGAGGGTGAGCCCTGGTAATCCGTTTGTATAGCGCAAACGGGCGGTGGATGTAGTACAAGGGTATGAGGAAGAGATACTTTGACGCAGACAAGTTTCTTAGCTCGCTCCATCGTGTAAAGCGCAACAAACCGCCGCTAAAGGGTCCTGTCAGCTAAAGTTACCTATCAGAGTAAGATGAGACTCGCCTTTGTGGTGGCCATTGTACTGGCGTACGGTCTTTCCTGACGCCATTTCCCACAGACGCGCAGTATGATCAGAGGACGCTGTTTCGAAGGAGAGGTCGTCAACGTCATAGGGTGGTGAGGAGCGTGTCGGAGGCGCGCACCCGTCACCAGATATGCAGAGTCCGCGCTGAACGCACAATCCCACACCCAGCGTTGATGTCCTACGAGCACCTTCTCCTGTCGGAATTCGTAACTTGGTGAGATGGACCAGACCTTCACCGTCGTGTCGGCTGAGCACGTCGCGAGAAACCTGGCCACGTCCGAAGTCAGCGAAGGGGAAGACAGAAGACGAAGACCCGCGCACTTCGCATCTGGACTCAACAGGCACTTCGTGAGGTACTTGTTGTGCGCCACGAACTTCGTCACCGGCTGAAAGCGCGCCAGTCGTTGATCGTCGTTGACCTTCCAAACATAGCAGCGTCCCTACAAGCGCGTCGGTCAGTAACGCGGCAATATCCGAGAGAAAGAAGCGTGCCTTATTATTGCCGGCCACCAACAGCGATCCATCCGAGGCCAGGGTCACTGAACGGATCGGGATGTCGCCTGCCGGGGTCTGGGGCCGCCGATCTCGGTCAGACATGAGTACGGTGCGCACACCATTCCTTGCCTACCAATTCATGCGAGCACACTTGCTCGGCAAGATCCCACTGCTTGACGCTCCCTGCTTGATCGCAGAAGATGAGCTCGCCTTGGTTTGGATGCACGCAGACGTCGTTTACTGGGGATAGATGAGCTCATGCCTCCCATACACAGAACAAAGGCCACGGGTTTACCAGGAGCGCCGTTTACGTAGACCCGATGGACTTGGGAGGTTCTATGTGTGGGAAAGAGAAGCTGTGAGACCGGTGTCATGGCGTGTAGCGCGCTATGCAGACTGACCGTAGGTCCCATATTTTGATAGTGCCGTCCTCGCTGCCGGTGACGAGCCATCTTCCCTCGCTGTGGAAGCATAGCGACGTCACGTTCATAGAATGGCCTTCGAACGTAGCGCGCTATTGGAAGCAGTGTTAAGGGTGCTCATTTAGCGGTGATATGAGGGTCTATGACTCACCGGTTCGTTCGACGCGCTATTGATCTCGTAGATGTTTACTTTCTTATGAATGGCCGCCGCCAAAAGGCGCTTGCTAGAAGAATAAATGTGAGAACGCACAGCTTTATTGTGGCACTTACTCTGGTGAGATGGCTAGGCGATTCACTTGCTGAAGCCGCGATGAGAAAGCAGCGTCCACAGCATGACGATGGGCCTTACGCCGGTCTCCCCAGTGCGAGAAATCGTTCGCGAGCAAATCCCGCTCCAGGCTTCCCAGAATCGGATGTCATGGTCGTAGGAGCCTGTTACGAGGACGACAGACATGATGGAGGTCCAGGTTGGGCACTGTTTTGAACGCCGACGCCACAATATCGCCCTCGGCTCGGATATCAACCAGTCACGTGCGCTTTTAATTATGAGTACCGCCGGCTGCTCGCGCACACGCGTTTTACGCCCGCACACCCCTCGCACCCGACCTGACTGCAGCAGGGACTCGAGGCTTCTCTGATGCAAGACCCTGGAGCGGAAACACACCGACTGACGCACCCTTGCGCTCGCTTCGCTCGCCTTGAGCCCCATCAATCGTGAGGCTGCTGCGCCCATCAAAAACGCGCTGGTCTTCAACGACGCGTCTTGGTTGACCTTTTGCTTGCTCCGCGTGGCCTCGGCCCCAGTCCCTCACCTTACGTCCTCGTTTGCGCTCGATCCTTAGTGTTCTCCCACCCTCATTATTCAACTGCCCTCTTCTCTCCTGAACTCCCACGATCGAGCAAGAGATCTCGATACCATGTCTCGCTTTCCTGCCATGGGCATCGCGCGCACAGTACTTAACTCTGTCTAATAAATGTGTCATTCACCCACCGACGATCGGGCTATTCTTGCGAAATGCGTTCGGCAGTGAGGGCTGACCATTAAGGACTTCTCGATACCCTTCTACAGGTGCGTCTCCTGCGCTATCGCCGACCCACAGCCGTAGGGGTCAAGCTACCCTGTTTTCGTGGAGGCGTAGTCCGACATGCTGCACTCACGTATATAAGGACGGGCCCATCGTCGCTGTAGGTCATCATTCCCCAACCCATCTCACTGTACTTCGCAGTAGACGCGTATTTGGCTATGAATCCCTTCCGCGTATGCTCCTTCGCCTCGCCTACATGCTTTCCAGCTGACTCACGGTCTGCCACAGGTTAACGACAGAGTCTGGTACTGGGACGGCGCGTCACGCACCGTGTTCGGTACGGTCGTCGCCATAGAGCGTCTTGCAGATGTACGTGCCTTCCCCTTTGACGAAGACGAAGTACTCAACCTAAGTATTCAAAGGGCACCCAGCTCTTGGTTATCCAACGCGACTCCGGCGGCAGAGTCAGCTTGCCGTAAGTCCAATATCAGCTTACCGCGTCGCTCTTTATTCACGTGATTCGTGCAGGGCCGACACCGTCACGAAAGTCAACTGGTCTTGAGTCGTTCGCCGACCGAGTCCTTCACTCCCATTCATTCACGACCCACTATACCATCATCCTACACTGATACCGAACTTTTAATGTATCGTTACCCTCCCGACCGCTGTATCATCTCACTTCTTGGATCCCTTGGGACTTTGTACATAGGACATCACTCTTGGATTTTGTAGCGATACTGGAACACACACGTCGCATTCGGACTACATGTGCTACATCTCTTGCGCGTCAGGGACACGTACATACGAGTCTCGACCCATCTTGGTCGCATCTGTACCCTCTACTCTACGAATACGAGTGCCTTCAGACCGAGAAGCGCGTGTATACGAAGTGAAGAAGGGCACCGAATATTCCGGTCCCGCCAAACTCGCGGATGGTAGGTGCCTCTCGGGTTCGCCTTGACTTTGAGTAGAAGGAAGTGCTTCGTATGTTCATTTCGGAAGAATAACGACCGAGGGCCGCCCCTCGTCTTGTTGACAAAAGAAGGTCACTGGCGGGGCTGGCCGCGGCCGCTATATGCGCAGAGTACCCATGTCTGACGAAGCTGCGCCACAGAGCAACATCAGACGAATGGTTGTCGAGCGTGAGAGAGAACTGAAAAGAACAGGGTGAACGGATGTCGTCCTAGCGTCCCCAGATTGATGGGCGGAAGGGCGAACAGGCTCCTTTGCGATATCCGGAGAGGGGGAAGACAGATTACATGAAAACAAGGGAGTTCCTTCGGTCGTCCAGGGTCGCCGGCCAGAGGTTAATCCGAAATGGGAGGCCTGTCCTCAGGCTGTTCGGTGAGAGGAAGATGGAGGCGTTTGGATCGAGATGAAATTCCTGCCGTGCGGCTCGGAAGTCCGGAAAGAAAGACAGGGTGACGGGAGAAGCCCAGTAGATGCCGAGGACGAAAGACAACGAGGCGGTCGAGGCGGTGGAAGTTTGAAATGAGTCACGGGCAGACGCTTCATGGCGTTGCTTGCCTTTATTTGCTCTTGAGGGCGCCAAGGGGCGCCGGCGGTCCCGGAGCGGCTATTTCCAAAAACGCGCTCCTCCGGCGTCTGTGCCAACGATCTGCGCGTCTTCACAACTTGGCTCGAACTCATATGGCATGTCCACGGCCGCGCTCCCTCTGACCGGCAGAGCGGGCAGCAGCAACGACGACAACGATGACCCCGAGACCAAGGACACCTATGCAAGCTTGCAGGCGGCTCTGGCGCGCACAGCGACGAGGACATTCGCGCTGTATTTCTCGCGCCCCGTGCGCCTCTTCCGGCCATCGAAAGGTGAGTAGCCACACCTCATCTTCTCACTCCCCCACTGACTCGTAGCAAGTGAGCGGATGGCTATCCTTACGCTCTGTTGCCCGACAATCGGGCGCCACAGTCTCCCCCGAGTTCATACGCAGCCTCGTGAAGGATCATGGTGTATGTGCCCCCTGTTCATCCTTCATTAAACCCAAGTTACTGAACATCCCTCAAGTTCATGGTGATTCCCAAGCATTTCGTCCCCCCAATCATGGTCAATGCTCTTCTGGGGTCAGTTCTATGGACGGTTTACGCAGAGACATCCTCCTCCCTCGATCCATACATTGGCCACCATCCCACACTCACGGCAGCTATATCGGGCGCCGTTGCTGGCGGCGCGCAAGCACTGGTCGCTGCCCCGGCGGAGAATGTACGTATGGTACTCGAAGGTGGTAAGCTCGACGGTCACAGTTGGTCCTATGCATGGAAAGAAGTGTTCCGAAGCACACGGGCCGCGCCAGTCACATCTAAGGCGAGAGAGATCGAAGAAGCACGAGAAGTACGCACCTGGATGAGGGAAGTTGGAGAGATGGCTGGGCGAGGCTGGGACGGTTGGGGCTGGGGCTGCGCGAAGGACATATGCGGTAGGCGCCTCCCCGACTGCCTCATCTTGCTCCAGACCCTTGACGTTCTTTCCCAGGATACGGCGTCTTTTTCGCCATCTTCGAGATTACACGACGTGTATCTACATGGACTGCGGCTTGGGCGCCACGCGCCTACCGCGGGTACGCTAATGACGACGCGAAAACCAAGATCGAGCACAACCTGTCCCGCACCGTCCATGCTGTAAGTTATCTGCAGTGAAAGACATTTGCATATACTAAAGTCTACACTTAGGTGACGTTGGTTACTGGAGGGGTGAGTGGCCGAGTCCCCTCATATTTATTATAGATTAATGCTCAACGGTTCATTTTCCCGCGCTGAATCGCAGGTGATTGCTGGGCTTGCATACGAAATGGTTTCGCGACCCTTTGACGTCGCTCGACGCCTAGTACTCCGCGATCGCTTCGACAAGGGCTCCGACCATTCCCCCTCGCGCGTCATCCTACGGAAAGTCCGCAAGGAGGGCATCATCCATTTCTTCATGCGTCCGCCGTCTGTCGAACATACTCCCGCCCCTCGAGGCGTACAACGCTTACAGAGGGGTCTACGGGCGATCGGCCGCCTAGGGCCCTGGGGCGTCGGATTTCTCGTTTGGGAGATATACGGACCGGGCCTTGGCGCAACTTAGACGACCGCATCCAATACATAGTTAAGTTATGCTCTGTATACATTGCTATAGACCCTCTAATGTTTGTCACTGCCATGGTCTCCTCGCTGCCGATGAACCCGCGACGCTTGCCGCTCGCTGATGCTCGCCTACTGGCCCGATTTTGCCGACGAGCATCCGGATTTGTTCGGTATCTGATTACGTGGAAGATGCCCGGTCCCATCCTTCTCGTCATTCTTGCAGCTGCGTGGAACAGGTCCTTGGCTCTTGCGAAGCACTCGAGGCGCTCTCCCAGGTACGAGGCAGTCAGATGGGTACGTACGCGTGTATGCGAAGTCGTGTATCGGAAGCACATTGTCGAACATGCGCTGGCGCTAGATTCGCAAAAGGCGCCCATCTGCTCTCATCGCGCGCGCAAATTGCCTGCGAAGGCAGCGATTGGGCTCAGAAATTTCAACCTGGGAGGTAAGGCTGGCATCGCAGTCATACTGTCGAGCGAGCGCGGACGAAGATACCCTCGTTCCTAGTCCTCGCCTGCACGCAGCTGCGGACCAGGGCATCGGGTTGCGCATGCGACTGAGCAGGTCAGACAAGGAGAGCGAGTGGCGAGGATTCGGCTCTCGTCTCATGAGAAGTCGCGCACCCTTCCTGCGAGTCGATCGCACAGCCATACATCCCTTTCTCGAATTCGGAAATCATTCATTTTCACCCCCTTCCCGACCTGAAGTGGGTGTCCTTGCGGCCCAGGGATGCATCGCTACCAGCCAGCGATCGGGTCGCCTGACTTTCAAGCTCAAGATAATTTACTGGGCTACGATCGTCAATGCCCCAAGCCGAAGTAATGTACTAGCACCACCCTAAGGCGCAGCCTGAAGTATGAAGGTACGCGTTCAAGATCCGTATGGAAGTTACTCTCTGGGCTCATTTGTGGCATGCAGAGTCCCAAAGCTCGCTGGGTTTGCTGTACAGTCACTACCAGCGATGAACACCCTCGATCTCGTAGTCGAGTCGCTGGCGTGCATCGTCTACAATGACGACGGAGTCGGATTTTTGCAACCGTCGGCGCTTGCCTAAATTCGTGTCGCCGACCGAACTTCAACTTGTGGGCGCCAGACGGCGTAAGTGGGCGTGCACGCCACAAAAATGCTCATCACGGTGACGTAAGCGCCGAGCGCTTTCTACTAGATTCCATTGTACTTTTGCTGCCTTGATTGCCCTGCTCTTGTTCTTCCCCTCGACGATAACTCGCGAAGAAGAGCTGGAAAATGTCTCGGTGCACACGTAAAGGTTGTGGCAAGGAGCTCACGCAGGACGACAGTGGCCCATGCGTTTACCATCCGGGCGCACCGGTAGGCGACCAGCACGCGCCGATCGCGTCGATGCACGGTACTCAGCGCGCTCCAGGTCTTCCATGAAGGTCTCAAGTCGTGGTCTTGCTGCTCCGATGTGTACAAGCCCGTGCTCGACTTTGACGAATTCATGAAAATACCGGTACGTCCCTGTGCCCGACTATTACAGACGCGTATATTGAAGTCCGCGCCAGGGATGTACGCAGGTCGATCAGCACACGACAGAGGCGCAAGCACCTCCCGCGAAGGCACCAGACGCCACCGAAGAGGCCCCGCAGTCTACCCCACCTCCAGCAGCAGCGCCGGCTCCAGCCCCCACATCACTTCCCCCACCACCTGCACAAACAGCGGCACCTGCCAAGAAGCCCGCGCCTGCACCAGTCGTCGAGGAAGAAGACGATCTCAGCGCCCCCGTTCCTTCCGGGACAGTGTGCAGACATAAGGGCTGCAACACCGTCTTTGTGAGCGATGAAGTGAACCGGCAAGGCGACGGCGAGGGCACCATATGCACCTACCACCCTGGCGTCGTATGTCTGGCGCACTCTTGAGCATATGCGTTCATCGTCTGACACGTCTCACAGCCCATCTTCCATGAAGGCAGCAAGGTGTGTGTTGTGAACTCGAACCTGCCCCGTGCACGCGTCTGACGGCAGGCGCGTTCCAGGGCTACCTGTGCTGCAAACGCCGCGTCCTTGAGTTCGACGAATTTCTCAAGATAGAGGGATGCAAGAAGGGTCGACATGTCTTTGTTCCCAAAAAGGACCCGTCTGCAGTGAGTGCTTCTCGAGAACATGAAACGGGATTTGGGTCACTGAGGGTGCCTTCTAGCCCGTAGAAGAACAGACGGATTGCCGAGTCGACCATTACCAGACGGCCGACAAGGTCTACGTCTCCGTCTTCGGCAAGAAAGCAGACAAAGACAAAAGCAGCGTCAAGTTTGAGCCCGAGAAGGTGTGGCATGCCTTTGCTTCAAATGTTGCGATTTTTTACTTAACAAGGAATAGGTGCATATCGACTTGATCTTGCCAAATTCCAAGCGGTTCACTCGCACTCTGGACCTCTTTGGTCCCATAGCCGACGACAAGTCAACCATACAGTTCTTCGGGACGAAGGTCAGGATCTGTTGGCATGCACTTACCCGGCTATTGCGACACTCATCCTTCGCCAGGTCGAACTCTGCCTGCAGAAAGCGGATGGTCGAAGTTGGACACTCCTCGAAAAGACGGATCGCGACCTCGGCAACATCCAGTACACCTTCGGTGTCGGCGGTCGCACTGGCACCGTCGGCGCAAAGACCATAGTCACATAGAGAGAAGGACATGTCGATAATCTTGCGGGTGCTTTGGGCAGTGTCACTCTCGCCGGGCGGCGGTGAATCCGTCGAGTGGGGATACTGGTGTTGTTGTATCCTCCCATCTATTAATTAGCATACTTCGATGTCGTCCGTATACACAATCATATAAGTAGTGAGTAGTGGTGGTGGGTCTAGAGGATACCGGGCTTCTCGACGCGCTCAAACATCTGGATCATGTCGCCCTCGCGGAGGTCGTCGTAGCCGCTGATGTTGAGGCCGCACTCAATGCCCTTGCGGACCTCCATGACATCGCTCTTGTGGTGGCGCATGGTGTCGAGTGAACCTGCGAAGACAATCAGCCCCTTCGTGCTACACCAACGGCAGCGACATGTCAACGCACCCTCTTCGTAAACGGTCGACCCGTTCCGAATGACGCGCAGCAACTTGTCCTTCTGCAGGACTCCGTTCGAGACACGGCAGCCAGCAATCTTCTTGGTGACCTTGCCCTTCATGGAAATGTCAAAGAGCTGGACGACGTTCGCCTCGCCGATGACGCGGGTCTCGATGATCTTGGGTAGCAGGTCGATGACCCGACCGCGCACATCCTCCATCAAGCGGTAGATGATGGGCGAGGAGATGATGGGCACGCCCTCACGATCAGCCAGCATCTGGATGGGGCGCGGCGTCTTGACGTTGAACGCAACGACAGCGGCTAAGAAGAGGGTCAGGATTGTGTAGGCTCTCAAAAGAAGGTCTGCATACCACCAGAGATTTTGGCACGCGTCACGTCAGACTCGGACACCTCGCCTACCTCCGACGCGATGATCTTCGTCGCCGCCTTGTCGTTGCCGATGCCAACCAGCGCGCCGGCCACCGCCTCCGCACTCCCGCTGACGTCGGCCTTGATAATCAACCGCAGCGTCTTCTGCCCATCTTCCTCCCTCGCACGCTCGCGCTCAAGCGCACGAATAGCATCGTCATCCAGATCAGCCTCCACGGCTCGTCGCTCGCGCTCCGCGCGCCTGGCCGCGTTGATCACCTCGACGTCGGCGAGCGCGGACTCAATGTCGGCCTGTCGCTCGCGATTTGCGATGGCGCGCTTGATCTCGGACTCGGAGTTGGCCTGGACGACCTCCTCGCCAGCCGATGGCAGGGACTTCCAGCCAGTGACGACAACGGCGCTACCAGGTCCGGCGGATTTGACCGGTTTGCCAGCGTCGTCCTGCATGAGGCGGACCTTGGCCTGGTGAGTACCGCAAATCACGAGAGCACCAGGCTTGAGGCAGCCGCGTAGGACGAGGACGGTTGCCGTAGCTCTAGAAGTTCGGTCAGTACCATGCCGAATAACATGTGTGCACAGCACTAACCCAAGGCCTTTCTGCATGCGCGACTCAAGAACGTAGCCTTGGACGGGACCGTCATCCTCGGCACGGATGTCCTTGACCTCAGCGATAGCGGAGAGCGTGTCGACAAGATCAGGCAAGCCCTTGCCAGTGAGGCCTGACACTTCCACAGAAGGAATGTCGCCGCCCATGGACTCGAGCTGGATGCCGACCTCCATCAACTGTTTTTGGACCCTGTCCTGCATAACAGTAAGCACACTGGGTCAATGCTGAGAATTATGCGCAAAACTCACGACGTCAGCCTCAGGCTTGTCGCACTTGTTAATCGCGACGACGAGGTTGACATTGCTATCCCGCTTGACAAGGTCCAGAACTTCCCGCGTTTGCGGCATAATCCCATCGTCTGCAGCGACCACCAGGACAACAATATCCGTCACCTGCGCGCCACGAGCGCGCATCGCGCTGAAGGCAGCATGGCCAGGTGTATCGAGGAAGGTAATCGTCTTCGGGCCCGACTCCGAGTTGCGCATCGCGTGGGGAACGGGGACGGAAAAGGCACCGATATGCTGCGTGATACCACCCGCCTCCCCTTTGGCGACAGAGGAGGAGCGGAGGGTGTCCAGTAAGGTGGTCTTGCCGTGGTCGACGTGACCCATGATTGTGACCACAGGTGGGCGAGTCGGCAGAGTATGCGGCTCGGGATGAGGGGGGCTGGGAGTTCATGAATATATGAATCGCTTGAGCGAGTCGAGAATACTAACGGAGGATAGATGTCAAAGGCGGCCTCATCGTTGACAATCGGGTTCCGGCCGTATTCCTGAGCGATGAGAGCAGCGTACTCGGACGTGAGCACTATGCGAGGGATTAAACGAGGTCTCATTGCAAAAGTGCGTTGCATACCATGGTCATACTTGGCTTCCTCGGCCATGCCCGCTTCTCTCATTACGCGAACGAGGTCGTCTGCAATGTGCGTTAGCCTCACAGTCGAAAGACAATTAGTTGTCAACGCACCTAAACGAGCGTGTAGTAAGGTCGCCAGACGACCGACAGAGATGGAGCTGGGGATGTATACGTCCGGAGACACGCGCTTCTCGACTACGGCTTTGCGCATGGCACGCTTGAGCTCGAGTTTTTGCTGTTGCTGCTGCGAGCGTGTCCGGCCCGCTGGACGCTCATTCTCCTCGCGCTCAAGCTGTGCAAGGAGAGACCCACGGCCCTTGTGGCCTTTCCTGTGTCGGCTGTGCGTAGCGGAAAAGGCGTCTTCATCGACGTCGATAATGGGGATAGGTTCGGCGCTGGCGGGCGCGCTCCTTTGCTCGGCCTCAAGTTCAGCGACATCGACGTCGGATGTGGCGTCTGCGCTTTCCGACGGTAAGGTCGCGGAGGATTGTGTCCGCTGAGTTGCTTGCGCTGCCCTGGGAACGCTGCTCTCCGTCGTCGATTTGGCCTGTGTCGTATGCGGCGGTTCGTCCCGAGTCTGGTCTCTGCGGATTCTGGACCACCCCTCATCCCGAGGCATCTGCACTGGCTGATCTCTGGAGATGCGATCGTTCTGTGACTGTCTCGTAGACCATCCAGGAGCTGCCGCCCGGTCCTGGGATTGAGAGCGGGACGCCTCCTCATTGGAAGTTGAAGCACGAGGTTGACTGGCGGGTGTACGCTTGATCGTATTCCACCCTCCTGAAGTCTGGCGGGACCTTCCGTTCTGGTTTGGCTGCGATGTCCTGTGCATATCTGCCTGGGGCTTCTCCCATTTCCCCAGCTGAGCTTGCCCGGGACCTGCCGTTGGCCACCGCTGCGCCTGTCCCGCACCCTGTGTGGGAGCTGGTCGGCCCCATCCTGCACCCTGAGATGGTCGAGACCATCCCTGGGGGACTGCTGTGGACTGCGATGGCCGAGCCCATTTGCCAAGCTGCGACGACGGGTCTTCCTGTATATCGGTCTGCAATTGTCCTCGTAAAGTCGGATAATGCGCACCTTGAGCTTCGCCGCGGACGACGATGACCTCGTCGTGACAAGGCTCGGCCTGCGCTTTGCAAACGCGGGAATCTTGCGTTGCCTGTGCATTTTGGGGGTATTAGAGAGAGGTAGAATAGGCGCTCAGCATCCGTCGAGGCTGGGGACGGAAGAAGGGTGATCAAGCCGGCCCGACGCCGCCGCATTTTGTGGCGCCGGTGAAGGTTTGACGCCACACGGGTCGCTGGGACCAAGGAACGCGATCCTTGGGCGCCTAAAGCAACTCGACAAGGACGGCGATGTTGGATTTGTGCTCTATATTCCACAAGGGTGCGCGCACCCCTCTTTAAATAGCCCTTGGCACTGAACTATCTCAGGGGGGATTGTGCTTTGGTCTCGATCCTTTACCCCGGAGGCGTCAGCCCTAGCCACGTCCGCCGCTTCCCCCGTAAATTCACTTGTGCGCGACGCCCTCATTGAAGGAAGGACAGGCGAGGACAAATACGAGAAGGATGGCTACGCGGTCAAATGGACGCTCGTAAACGATCTTGAGCTCATTTTCGTCGTGCGTGTACAGCGTATTGCCCGAGTCATCCCCCTGATGTTCCCCAGGTTGCTTATCAGCGCATACTCCAACTGACCTACGTGGAAGACCTCCTCACGGCACTCAAGGCCATTTTTGTCAAGCTCTACGGCCCCTTCCTAACCACTTTCGTCGCATCCCTCCATGCCGTGAACCCCACAGAAGTACCGGCCTCATGGGACTTTGCCAGCGTCTTTGCAGGATGGGACCAAGTCTTTGACAAAGTGCTGCGCGAATTTGAGGATAAGGTATGCACTCTCGCCCTCCCCCCTTACATCCCTAACATTCCTGGTGTAGGACCGCAAGTCCAGACTGCGTGCCCCAGCACGAGCGGTCCCCCTCGAAGCCACCATCAGCGCCACGTCAGAGGACTCCAGCACCGAGCCTGCACACGAAATAGAGGTCGCCGAGGACGGCCAGGCAATCGCGCGAAATGTGCAAGCGCTCAAAAACCGCTTGCGCGGCAAAGGCGCGCGTCGGGGGAGCCACCGAGGAGGCGCTGGAGGACGCGAAAGCGCACCCAGCTCTGAGTGCGCATACATCATTTGCCTGGCTATGTTGTGCTGAAATACCATCAGTACGGAGGCTACCCCCAAGAAATCGAAAGCGAAGAAAACGCAGCGTAAATGGGGCGATCAGCCCGTCACCGAAGACGACATGGCGCAGCTGGACTACAGCGGCGCGGGGAAGGCTGCGGACGCCAGCTCCCTTGATATCAGCGCGCTCGTCGACTCCGCGTCGCTCGGCACGCGCACGCGCGATGGCATGTACGAGGTCAAGGACTGGGAATTCGCACGCGATGCGGATGCGGCGATCGCGAGCGCGCTGGGCAGCAAGGACGGCGACAAAGCAGGCGGGTCGCTGGGCGCGCTCGGATCACTATTCGCGCGCTTCACGGGCGGGAAGGTGCTGACGGCGGCGGACCTGCAGCCCGTTCTCGAGGCGATGAAGCAGCATTTGATGAAGAAGAATGTCGCGAGGGAGATCGCGGACAAGGTTTGCGAAGGCGTTGGCGAGAGCCTTGTTGGGAAGAAAGTTGGCGGGTTCCAGAGTCAGTTCAGTATCTGCGGGGCTTCTATCACGACTCAACAGGTTTGCAGCTACGAACGCTGCCGTCCGCTCTGCGCTCTCGTCGTCACTGACCCAGATCCTGACGCCGAAGACCTCCACCGACATGCTGCTTTCTATCCGCACAAAGCTGAGCGCACCAGCTCCAGCCCGCGCACCCTACACCATCGCTTTCGTCGGGGTCAACGGTGTCGGCAAGAGTACCAACCTTTCGAAGGTCTGCTTCTGGCTCATTCAGAACGGGCTGCGCGTCCTCATCGCAGCATGCGACACCTTCCGAAGCGGTGCTGTAGAGCAACTGCGCGTGCACGTCCGCAACCTCGGCATGCTGGGCGTCAATGGAGCCGCAGATAGCAAAGGACGCGTAGAGCTGTTCGAGCGTGGCTATGGGAAGGACGCGGCTGCTATCGGGAAGGAGGCGATCCAGTATGGTAGGCTGACTACATCGTACCTTACTCTCGCATCCTAAGCTCATATCACACTCCAGCCAAAGACAACGACTTCGACGTAGTCCTCATCGACACCGCAGGCCGCATGCAAGACAACGAGCCCCTCATGCGCGCCCTCGCTAAGCTCGTCGCCGTCAACAATCCAGACAAGATCGTCTTCGTCGGCGAGGCGCTCGTCGGCAACGAGGCCGTCGACCAGCTCACTAAGTTTGACCGCGCCCTGCGCGATTTCTCCTCCATGTCTGGCGTGGGGCGCGGGATCGACGGCATGTTGGTGACGAAGTGGGATACGGTGGACGATAAGGTGTGTTATCAATTCGCGGCACCCACGAGGTCGGAATGCTGCGCCGTCGACGAGACTAAAATGCCTTCGTGGACAGGTCGGCGCCGCATTATCGATGACCTATATCACGGGCCAGCCAATCCTGTTTGTTGGTTGTGGGCAGGTATGTTCCTTTCATCGACCCGGCTACTGCAATCCTTAACGATTCGTGGCAGACGTATACCGACCTACGACAATTGCGTGTGCAAAACGTCGTGCAGGCCATCCTTGGCGATTGAATGGATGGCTTACCTCGAGGACAGTCTTACTGTGTACCTTCGCGCGAACATATCTATCGTATAGTTTGTATAAATGAGGCATATGTACGCATGCTCTATCTTGTTGTGGGAAATGCATGTGGTGATTACAAGTGAGCGATATAGTAGGTTCGACGCGTAAATAGCAAATCCCTCAGCTCGTCCCGTGCTAAGTTTCATGGTAATCTATAGGAAACTGCCATTGGTTCACACTCTCATCATCTGTTGGAAGGTCAGAATGCGCTCTAGCATTCACTGCTTTCCACGCAACTTACTTACGTGTTCTGACAGTGATTTTAGGAAGATCCTCCCCACCTCCAAGGACGAAGTCTCCTCCACAGCGAGCTCCAGTTCCCCTGCCGCGCCTTCTGCCTCCTCATCGAGTCTGGTCTCGCCTCCGAGGGCGGCGTCACCGAGGACAGCCTCCGCAACCTGCGCGCGACGCAGACAATATGCAAGAGCGGGGCCCTGGGTGGTCTTCGATCAGGCTTGGGCAATGACAGTCATGTCATTGGTACATACAACGTCGGTGCTTGGGAACATGTCTACGAATACAGCGAGAAACAACATATGTACAAAGTCGAAAAACTATGACTCGGGAGTGAAGTCAGCACCGCTGTAGTGAGTCTGTAACTGCTGTACAATCCACCAGGCCGGGGTAGCGTACGTTATAAAACCAGACGGATGTCCTGCATGAATGACACCGACCATACGTCCCCGGCCATCTACGACGAGTGCACCGGAATCCCCTCCATCCGCGAATGGTTCCTTTTCGTCGTAGGCGTAGATGACAATCTCTTGGGATTCCACCGGCTGATCCAAGTAACTGATGTACCCTTCCACACCGCCGAGGCGCCCAATTGTGATGTCGGTCCCAGCGCCGTTCTTCAAGACGATGAAGCATCGCTGGTCATGGGTGTCCACCTCCTTGGGCACGGCTTCGAGCTCCTCGCGCGGGACATAGCCTCTGATCGTCATACAGCCGTCTGTAGGCCACGAGAACGACGGTGTCCCGGCCTCCGGAGCATGCGCGAAGAACTTGTCAAGCTGGTATCGTGTGAACTTGAAGCCTAAAGAAAGCACGCGTCAGGCGGGAGCAACGACAAGTACGGTCACAACTAACCCAAATCCAAGACATTGCCCCTGAAGTTCTTGATCTTCTCGGGTTCGAGGACGAAAGTAGCCAGATCAAGGGTGTACGCTGTACTGGCGTCAACGACGACGTCTGGGGCCCAGTCGACATGCCCGACGATGCGTTGCTGCGGGTCGCCCCAGTCGGCGCTTATCGATTTCTTCAGGTCGGCGAGAGCGGCGACTTTTGCCTGCGCGCCCTCACGCAGCAACTTCCACCTGTCGTACATCGGTGCGTGCCTTTGTACCTCCTCCGAAGTCCCGCGCCGCGCGTTCGATTTGGCAACCTCGAATTGAGCAGCCTCGTCTGCAAGTTCGTCCTGTGTCTGCACCATCTGGTCCGTCATGCGCTGGATATTCTCCTCGAACACGGTAGCACTGGCAACAATGACAGGCTGGGCTGACTCAAGGTCAACCCTACCCTTGCCCAGAACGTGACGGGCAGTGATTCCCAGAATCCTGCTGCTCGGGTTTCCCAGCCGATCCTGGCCTTCACGGAAGAAAAACCCTAGGGTTCCGTCGTATTGTTGACCATCCTTCGCTGTGTACCCGAGAGGCATGCCGATCAGGGGAGCAAGGAACCGAGTGAACCGACGAAGAAAAGGGAAGATGTGGGGTGCGGGGAGCGATAGACGGGTCAGAGAAACGACAGGGGATTCAAACCATTCGATGTCGACATCCTGAACACCATGCACCTCGAGAATGCGCTGCATACGTGGCGTGGCGTTACGTGCAGTCTTTTCGGTGGTGGTTCCAGGGTGTGTTGAGATCCAGAGCACTATGATCCCGTTGCTGTCGTCCCTGGTGACGAAACGGGCAGGCTGTATGGACGAGTACTTCACCCCTAAACTGTTCAGATAGTCTATGACTTCGGAGACAACGAGTCGCCAGACTGTGTTGAGATGGGTTCCGTGGACGCCTAGAAGTGTTTTGACTGGATAGGTAGCAAAGCGGTCGGATGAGGCGGCGAAAGGGACTTTGGTACGATTGGAGCGATAGAGCAAAGGCGGGGGAGGACGCGAGACGCCTTTGTAGTACCATCGGCGCTCCTCGGCAGATATGACGTGGCCATCGCTGCTCGCCGCGCTGGCAGTATTTGCGGAGAGATTGGTATTTGCAGAGGAGGCCGGTGAGATCGACGCTGAAAGACACGAAGAAATGGAGGATCAAAGATGTCAACCCAAGTGATGGCACCAATCGACGTACTGACGAGACGTACCAGAATAGACCTGCGCTCTTTCCATCCTCGGGGACTCAGGAGAAGCTTCGGTTGGCGTAGGCATACAGATGGCGAGATGAACGAAGGGGGTCAAGCGCGGATGGGTCACCGGTCACGTCGAGGCTCCGGATCGTCACATTCGTCACGGCTGGATAGAACGTTAGGCCCCGCTCAGCCACGCTTTATTTCAAGATCGGCGAGACGCTATGCTGGAGGCAGTAGGAATATACAATGGGCTTGTCGGTGCTTTCCATCCAGAAGTCGAGGCTAGTGATGTTCGGTGCAGTATCTTGGTTCTCTGTCCTTGACCTCTCTTGCGCAAAGATTGTTACGAGCAGCAACAGCAGTGGGTGCTCCTGTTTCTTCGCGCCAGTAGTGACAGACTTTCAGGAAGGGGTTGCACGGTCAATTAACCTGCCATTCCACAGCTCAACGGGTAGGGCTATGTCCAGTATTATGAGGAGGACCTGGCGAGGGACGCGGAGTATGGGCGCAATCATGGCCCGACAAAGGTTGATAGCAGCTTTTCTCTTTTCATTTACCAGAACCTTGTACAGCGCTTGGATCATCGATAAAATGTGCGCAGTTTCCTGAAATTTGGAAGCGTTCCCGAGCGGATGAGATCGACGTTCGCGTAGCTTGGGGCATCTCTCAAAAGTGCATCGACGATCCCTGGCGATAGAGGTATATCTTTCGTTGAGTCGGAGAGGGGATGAGGAAATCATGATATGCATACGTCGCCTGAGAATATGGGTGGTGACCGCGGAAGAGGACCAGCGTCGACTTGGACTGTTGAAGCGATGGATGTCGCAAAGACAGGCCAAGGCCGCCAAGCCGTACTCGTGACGATCACGCGAGCCGTTACAGTTACGCGGCGTGACATGTTGATGTTCGACTTGAAGGTCAACTTTACAGTCCAACGAGACGGCTGTCCAATGGATTAGACGAGCATACTGTCCCAGGATAGAAGCACGATCTAAGGATGACGATCGAAGGATGGACTACTTTAGTACTTATGTCCAAGTGCGCCATGGTTTCGAGCGTCATGGAGTCTGGGCGCCAACACACGAAACAGATCAAGAAAGAATTCCTCCTGCTATCTACCTCCACCTTCCTCTCTCCCACTCTCATGTATTCTACGCGTCGTCGTCCCGCTCGTTGAGGATGGAGAACGCGGGGAGGGCTGCATTTCCGGACCCGGGCCATGTGATTGCCGCGGGCCGGGCGATGATGCAAATCATGGGGGACGCATACCGGCAACAGAGCGGGGCGGACTCAAAACCCGGTCACCACCTTGCCTTTACCCGCCATCTCATTCGCCGGGGTCGACAACGCCATGGGTTTCCCGCAAGACATCGCCGCACCGTTCCCCGAGATTGGGAAGATGCCCCTCGACGCGCAGGCCGTGCCCATCCCGGGTACGAAGCGCGAGGGACAGACAGGTGCGCTGACAGGCGCGACAGGTCTGTACTGGCTGACTGACACGACACGACACGCGTCTAGCGCATTATAGGAACGGTCTCTGGGGCTATGTGGATGAGAACTCGCCGGGGGCCGTCAGGACACTTGACAAGCTATGGGAGCGCACCCTCCACCATCGCGCGGACCGCAACTTCTTGGGCCATCGTCCTCTCCTATCCAAGAACCCCCTCAAGTTTGACAACAAATATGTATGGCAAACCTACGCGGAGGTCGACGTTCGGCGGAAGAACATAGGTAGCGCGCTGGTCTCGCTCTTCCAGGATGGAACCATCGGTGGTGGCGAGCTGGACACGGTTGGTATTTGGGCTCCCAACCGGCCAGGTAAGTTATCTATCGAGTTCAAGGGAATGTCAGCTGACATGGGCTTTTCAGAGTGGTTCATCGTGGACCTTGCCGCGCAGGGGTACAAGAAGGTCCTGGTCAGCTTGTACGACACGCTGGGCCCCGACTCGGTTTGTGAGTGCATCCCCCTTTCATCCACACAGAATACTCAACTACATCTACCTAGCCTACATCATCAACCACTCCCATCTTACTGTCGTCTTCGCCCAGGCGGCGCACATCCCCTCCCTCCTGAGGCTTGCCCCTCAGGCAACCATGCTCCGCCTCATCGTCAGCCTCGACCCGCTCGAGGACGACGCGCGCCGCATCCTGACCGAGTGGGGTAATACCTGCAATATCAAGGTCTTGGACATCGCAGAGCTCGAAGCCCTTGGCGCGTCTAAACCCCACCCACCCATACCTGCCCAGCCCGATGACATTGTGTCTATCTGCTATACATCTGGCACCACAGGCAACCCTAAGGGTGCATTGCTATCCCACCAGAGCCTCGCGTTGGCCGTTCACTCCAATACGTTTGGTATGGAGCTGCCTGACGATGCAGCTACTCTCTCGTATCTGCCTTTGGCGCACATCTATGAGGTATGTATCTGCTGAAGGGAGGAACACGAATAGAGCTAACCTCAATTCAGCGACTGACTGAACTGTTAAGCATGTCGCTAGGCATGCGCATCGGCTACTTCAGCGGTGATAACCTCCGCTTGCTCGAGGACGCCCAAATCCTCAAGCCCGAATGCTTCCCCTCCGTCCCTCGCGTCCTCAACCGCATCTACCAAGCCGCCTCCCTCGCCGGCAAAGCCCCCGGCCTCAAGGGCGCGCTCTTCCGCAAAGCCGTCGCCGCCAAGCTCGAGAAATTCCGCGCGACGGGCGACAACACGCACCCCCTCTGGGACCGCCTCGTCTTTAAGAAGGTGCGCGCCGTGCTCGGTGGGAACGTCAAGCTCGTCATCTCGGGCTCCGCGCCAATTAGCAAGGAGGTCATCGAGTTCCTCAAGGTCGTCCTCGCGTGCGAGGTGGACGAAGGCTACGGGATGACGGAGACGTGCGCGACGACGACGAAGTCGTGGCCGTGGGACCCGACGGCGGCGGGGACGACGGGGCCGCCTGGGCCGTGCGTGCAGGTGAAGCTGGTGGATGTGCCGGCGATGAACTATACGGCGGAGGATAAGCCCAACCCCCGTGGTGAGCTTTGCGTTCGGGGTCCGATCATATTCAAGGGCTACTATAAGGGTGAGTGGGCTAGAGGTTCTTCAGAAGGCCGAATCTTACGCACGTAACAGACGAGAAGAACACCCGGGAAGCCATCGACGACGAAGGATGGTTGCACACCGGTGATGTCGCTGAGATTGATTCTGCGGGTCGTGTCAAGATCATCGACCGTGTTAAGGTAACTTTCTTCATCACACCTTCGCTTGCTTCTTCACTCAACCACGCCTTAGAACATCATGAAGCTCGCGCAAGGCGAATACGTCGCGCTCGAGAAGGTTGAGAACACCTACGGTTCTTGCCCTACCGTTCAGCAGATCTACGTCCACGGCGACTCCCTGCAGTCCTACCTCCTCGGCATCGTCGTCCCCGACCCCGTCCAGCTCGCCAGCATCGTGCGCAGCGTGACGGGCGAGGCGCTCTCGCCGGAGAACGTGCAGGCGCTGGAGAAATTCTGCCGCGATGAGCGTGTGGTGCGCAGGATACACGACATCCTGGTCCAGCAGGCGCGCAAGAACGGGCTGAAGGGGTAAGTAGTATGGTGACTGCCTGTATCAAGCAGGCTTGACTGACCTCGTCAACCAGCTTCGAGACGATCAAGCGGATACACGTTACCATGAGCCCCTTCTCAGTCGAGGAGGGCACGCTCACGCCGACGCTCAAGATCCGCCGGAGGGATGCGCAGAACAAGTTCAAGAAGGAGATCGAGGAGCTGTACGCGTTGGGTGAGCCAACGCCTGGCAACGGGGTGAAGCTGTAAATGCTGCCTCGTTTGAGGTGATGGACTTGATGAGTATCTTAAATGATGTATTTCATGTGCGCTTGCTTCAAAATATGCGTTGAATGAGTGTGCAGCCTCCAACTGAGCGAGTCGAAGGGTAGGAATGATGGATTGCCTATAATCACATCTCTCGCTCCTTTGTCTCTTGTTTTGTGTTTTACTCTCGCCTTCTCACCTAGATCCTATTGTTGATTTGCCCAGCGGCTATTCACACGAGGTGATAGTGAGGATAGACGCGCTAGATGCGACGCCTCTAAACTTGTGGGATCCCGCACTTGGTCCGCTAATTGTGATTCTAAGCGATGAAGCAGGATCTAACCGAGCTCGCTGGCAGTGTTCGACGCTTCGAACGAGGCTTGTCTAGCGGATGAGCTGTGTGCGATCTGGCATTGGGTTCGACGTTGGCTGCAGGGAGTCGGTGGTGGCCTTCCTCCGTAGCTGTTACGCGTCTAGATTCGGACAGAAGGGGACTTCCGTTTTCATGCATCACATCACCAGCTCATGCTGGTTCCTTTGAAGCACGAGGCTATCAACCACGGGCGTGCTTCTGCTTGCATTGTTACCAGGGCGGACCGGCGCCTTTGGCGTCGCAGCAACGGCCGCTCGCCTCCGTTGTCCGTTTTGATGTCAGGGCCAGGACGTATATAACAGGCAATGCCTTGGTTCCCGCCCAGTTCATAGCCCCCCTTGTCATGTCAACGCGCCGCTGAGCACAGCCATCCCCACTGCAGATAAAGGCCTCCCAGCTAGCGTACTGCCCCTCGCCCCTCCGAGCTCTCGCATCCGGCTTCGTGTGGCGCCCTCACGACGCGACGGGGTCTCTAGCCCGGCGATAAGTTGACACCGGCTGCATTCGTCCTGTCCTCCGTGCACCTCTCTCTTTACCACCACCATGGGCCTCTGGTCGCACCTCCTCCGCGTCCTCTCCACCGTCCACGGTCGGCTGGTCCCGGCGGCGACAAAGGGTGAGCACCGCGAACTGCCCAGGCACGCCCGCGCAGGTGATTAACGAACGCCCCGCGCCACAGAGGAGCCCAGTCATGTCATCGACACGTCCCCCCTCAAGCAAGTCCGCATCGTCGAGCACTATAACGAATACTACTCTCCTCGCGTAGGCGAGAAGACGCCGAGCCCGGCGAGCGCGATGGCCCCGCTGCCGCCGTCGCAGCAACCCGTCGCGTCGTCGTCCACCAATCCCGCAGCACATATGTCCATGCCCACGCACGAACATGTCACGACCGCCCAACCACTCCCCCCGCCCACGCATATCCCCTCCGGCAACGCTACCCGCCCTCGCAAACGCAAGCGCAGCAACTCTGCCACCGTCCACAGGCTGCTCGCGCCCGGCTCGCCTCTCCATTTCAACCTGCGGGCGCAACGCCCCTCCGTCACTACCTCCCGCTCGCACGGCGATATGTCGACAGACCTCCTCTACGAACCCGCCACCGCCCCCGCCCTTCCCACCCTCACCGTCGTCGTCCCCGGTACTCCCTGGGCACTGCCGATCACCGCCTCCAACGCCTCCTATGTGAACGTCATGGACGTGCTGAGCGCCCTGCACAGCGGCCTTCGCTACGGCGTCACGTCGGACGAGTACTACGGGCTGCCGACACGGGAGGAGCGCGACGCCGTCGCCGCCGCATATGCCGCGCGCTGCGACCGCGTCCCGGAGGCCGACAGGGACGAGGAGCGGAAGAAGGGCATCAAGCGCATCGACTTCCTGACGAGCCACTACCGCTTTCGCGGGCTGGACTACTCGCATCAGGGCGCGGGTGTCTTCACGTTGCATGTCCAGCAAGCGCGTTAGGGTTTCGACTTGGCGTTGGCATCGGCATGTATGCGCGGGAGGCATGGTTAGGGATTGTTCCTGTCGCGCTGGGTTTCATTGTTATCGCGCCACACGGGCGCATGTTTGGGTGCATAGACTGGACGGCTCGCTTGAGAAACAGAAAAGTGCTTGTACAGTAATGAGCGTAATGACTGGGTTACGATGGAGTAGTTGGAGAAGTAGACTTATACTTAAACTTATGTACAGTAACGATTCGAACGTTATGACGCGACCTGCATAGACTTTGGGCAGTGTTCGAAGACTTCGCCATGACAGCTTTTTGGACGTAGATGCCTCGTTGTGCAGCACCGACGTTGGGCCGTCCTTTGTGGCCAAATTTGGAAGGCCTTGTTGATGTGCAATGTGCATGATTCCGCTATCTCATCACGGTCAATCGCATTGATATGCCTAGTAAAGAAAGAGGTCATGAGGTTCATTAGTAGAGTAGCGATATAGAAGCGTAGAAATACAGGGAAAGAAATGCTAGATGGGAATACATAAATATTGGGTATTAAGGTGCATCATCAGGGGCAGCTGAGGACCATCTACGATCGAATTAGCTACCGAGAGCAGTAAGAGGGATGCATGATACTCACAGACATGAATTGCTCGTAGTTCAACTGTACCCAGCCATCGCGGTCTGTGTCGGCGCTATGAAAAGAATGAGCCGAGGACGCGCATGTGCTCGCGAGCTTACGTACCGTTGAAAGGCCTCTGTCAAAGTCTTCACCGCTGCAGTGCATGATTAGAGCAACCCTAAATAAGCGCTGGCTGGCCACTTACCTACACACGCCCTTACAAAGCGGTCGAAGGTGATCCCTGGCGGCGGTCCGTATCCTTCCGCAGGGGCGGAGACTGGCAAGAGGTAAGCTAAGCGCCCTTGGCAAGGAGTTACTGAGCGCCGTACCATATTTCTGCTCGATCAGTTGCAGTAGCGGCGGCGTTAGCCTGTAGCCGAAATTACTCAAGGCGTCGGCAAGCTCCTGGCCATCGATGGATCCCGAGCGATCGCGGTCGAAGTGGCGGAAGACGTTCTGCCAGTCGGTGATGTACTTCCAGAGGCCGGCGAACTCTGGGTGCGGAGTAAGTCGCGTGAGAGGGAGGGAATAGCAAGACGCACCCGTGAAGCTGATAGTGCCGCTGCGGTCGACATCGAAGATGTTCATGAGCATCTTGACGGTGTCAAGATCGAAGCCTATGGGGGGTGAGTTGATAACTGTGCCCTTGCAGATGGACCCGCTACACATACGAGTCCAATTGCCTAAGGGAATCAAGTCAATCAGCGCTCAGACAGGGTCTATAGCTCACGCACCGTTCAGGAGAGCAGATTGCAGCTCGTTCACGGAGATCGCTCCCGAGCGGTCAGTATCCACCGCAGTGAACCACTGCCAGAGCTGAGGGTCTGAGCCGGGAGGGGGGCCAGAGGGCGCTTGATACGAGTAACGCGAGGACACCGAGCTATGACGCCCTGGTGCGCCGTATTGTTGCTGCTGGTACGAGGAGCGGTAGGTCGAATGGCGCGAGGGGGCGCCGTAAGCTGGTGCTTGCGCGTACATGGTGGTGGTGGACGTCTCTGCCAAGATGGGAGACAGGGGACAAGGGACGCACGATGACGAAACGGGATCTCGGACGGCCCGGCGCTTAAAAGCCCGTCAGCGTGGCTGTGTTACTCTTCGTTCCGGGCTTTAGCATAAAGCAGCTCCAGAACGGCAGTGCTTTTGAGTCAACGGGTGGGTTTGCACCGCATCGTCGGACGCTCTCCGTGCTGCTCGTCGAGGGAGAAGCGACGGATCGCACGTACTCAGAAGAGGTGAGGTCAGCGCTTCATGTCGAACCTCGGCGATTGAGCCGGACCTCGGTCAGGTGCAAAGCGCGTGACACCAAGTCCAACTGTGCTCATCTCATCTCTCATGCGCTCGACAACTTCGAAAGGCAGCATCGCCAAAGAATCCCATTACAATGTACAGAAAACAAGCGAGAATACAAGCTGTATAGTACTCGAATACTCAGTCGCTACTAAGATAAGGGTAATTAGATCAGTGCAGCGTGCAAACAAGTCTATGAAACGAAGGGATGCCTTGACGAAGGCGGCGTGGGGGTGGAAGGAGTGTATCCCAACATCACTTTGTACATGAGGAGGCCGTCTGGATGTCATGAAGTATCTCTTTGGGCGGGGTCGTTCCGGGTATGACGATGGGCGCTGAGCTGGGAGGTCGCCAATCAAGGGATACGTCCCGCAGGCTCGGCCTCTTCTCCGTGCTAGGACGGATATGCACGGGTTCGAGAACACCGATATCGGAGTCGTGTTTGGGATCGTGGTTAACGAAGGTCGTCCTTGAGGAGTTTGACATGCGCTGGAGAGAAGAAATCAGCGTAGGCCGACCATGAGTAGCAGAAACACGCACATAGAGGCCGTCCATCTGCGGTAGGTACAACGAGTTCGCGTAGGTAGACTCGCACGTCATCTGCCTCTGGGTTTGTGGTACCTCTTCCGAAATCTGAGTCCCACTCTGCCGCCGGATGTCGATGACGGGGACAGGGGAAGGTGGAGGCGAAGGTGAAGGTGGAGGCGCAGAAGCAAATGCCGGCGTCAGCGGTGACGGGGTTCGCCGGTCTACCGACGGCAGTTGCCTCATGTGTCGTGAACTCCTTCGCTGGCGCGCTCGCTCCTGCGTGTGTAGGACTACATATAGGTCAGCGTCGAGTTTGAACGAAGCTGCGATGCAACTTACTGACGCGCGCGCTCATCATGCTCGTTATAGCTATGCCCATAGCGCAGAGCATAGTCTCGTGGTTGTTGCTGAATACAGCGTAGAAGACCATGTTGTTGATATTGACCACTGTGGTGACGCAGAAGTACACCGCAGACGAGTTCCAGAGGAACTCGAACAAGCTCGAACCCCGGATGACCGCCAGCGAGTGGTACGTGACGGTAATGACAGCAGCGTCGAAGAGCGTACCGGCCTTGGAGTTATATGAGTTATGTCCACAGATGCTGACTTAGGACAGCATCCGCACCAAGTAGTACATGTAGCTGATTTTGCTGCGCTCGTCGTACTTCAGGACGCAGTTCCCTGTCGGGCCAACGTCGAATTTATACGACCAAAGCATGGAGAAGAGCTCAACTCCGGCCACGACCACTGCAAGGAAGGTAAAGATGATCATGATAAGCCGCTCATTGTTGCATATTGCCACCGTCTATGACGTGTCAGCCGCTCCCATAGCTAGCTGGAGACTGGTAAGGAACGTACGCGGAAGACGAAGACTGCGTGACTAGCCCAGGCAGCGAGGCATTGCATGATTGGCATGACGCTGGCGAAATGGTGGCATGGGATGTCCGTGCCGTGGGGATCCTCGACGAAGAAGTGGGAGAAGAAGCCGACCAAGTTGGTGAGGAGGGCTATAAGTGCCAGATACTTTCTCGAACTGTGAGCACGAAGGGGGCAGACGAAGCGAGAGGGAGACGGACTCGAACGAGGACTAGCATGATGCAGGAGGTGCTCGGGCGCCACAAAGACTTCTGACGTCGATCTGTTATGGGATACCTGGTCAGTGACTTTTCTCACACACACTCTCTCTCTTTGCCATGAATCACGCACATAGATTCAACTCCATGGGCAGGGTGATTATCCAGTCGTAAATGAAGATGGACATAGCGGCCTGACATAGCAAGTTCAACAACCTGTACCTTGGTCTCAGAGTAGGTCTACGCACCACTCGCATGTATCCCGCAACCGCATCCAACTCGTCCATCTTGGGGGCAGAATTTCTAGGTCAAAGGAACGACCCGAAGCAAGCAAACAGAACCGGAACTGGGAAAGGACAGTGAAGGGCGGAGGCAAGAGCGAAGGCCGGCTGTATTGTCGACATACTAACATGTTGAGTGAGTTTCGGACACGTTGGACCGTTGTTGATGAGCAAGCCAAGAAAAGGCTGCGTAAAATCAGGGAAAAACTCCACCAAAAATGATACACGAGGGCGGAGTTGGTAGGAGACCTGGGTCCGAGCTCGGACAGACACTCAACGCGTCGAAGCCCGTATTTTCTGTCTGGAAAGGTGATTTAGGTGCAGCTATCATTCTCGGCAGGTAAAGAAGATGGGCGTTCGCGCTAAGTGCGGTCAGAGTTCAACGTCACGCCACAAACGCCGGGACGTGACAAGGTTCCCACGAGTCACGCCACCAAGATCTGAGATCTGATCAAGAAAGCAGTTGATTGCCGGTTATTACCGGTTTAGCCTTCCCCGCTCTCCTTCCCCACTGACCTTCACACCAACGGCCACCTTTCATCTTGTCCTCTACCAGCTCAGAGCGGCAATCTACACACCATACACAGTGCTACCAAACACCATTACATCCTTCTCAATATGGCATCACCGCAACTCAAAGCCGTAATCTTCGACGTGAGTCCTTGCAATAGCGCCCCGTCTGCCAACCAGTAAACGAGGTTGTATCGCACCCACCGGTTGCTATTGTCAATACCACAGTTTAGCTGACAGCCAGTGACTATTGGGCTCAAATGAGTTGTCCTGTATCACTCTACAATTGATCATCGAATTGACCATCGGGAATAGATTGGGGGCGTCGTGGCGCGCAGTCCCTTCGTTGCTATCGCTGCGTATGAGCGCAAGCACAAGATCCCCGAGAACTACCTCAACTGCTCTATGTACGTACTGGTACCCTCCTTTGCATTGTGTCCGTTCTGAACGGTGAGGATCTCTGTCAACAAACCACCCTGCCCTCGGTGAACCCGGCCATACACGTCTCGCAATGCATCGGATGCAATACATCGACGCCGCCCCCAAAGTGTCGCAAGGGGACCGCAAGGCGCCTGGCAGCGGTTCGAGCGCGGAGAGCTCCCGCTCCTTGAATTCTACAAGGCCTGGAGTGAAGACCTATCAGACACCGTGAACGGAAACAAGTGGTATACGGCATACTGCCGTCGAAAAGGCATTGGTTCGTCCGTCGCTGACAGTGCGAGGCGTCTTGGGGTTGACTAGCCCGTCCAGAAACGCCGCAATTGCCGACAGAGCTGAAGATAGATGCGCGAGAGGTCAGTACATACTCAGTCACGGCATCGCCAGGTTGGGCCAAAGATAAATTGGCGAGGGACTGACTAGGACGTTCCTGGTACTGCATAGCTGTTTGGCGAGATGATGCGCGAGTCCGCCGAGCTCGACCCTCACATAGTTAGAGCGATTCGGCGTATACGGGGTGCGTCGCTCTTGAGATCTACAACTGGGTTACCATCTGACACAACGCGACAGAAACTGGACGTTACAAGGTCATCGCACTCACCAACAATTATGCGTCAACGGTAACGCAAGACGTACCCTCCACGGAGCTTGCCTTCCTGGGATGGCAGAACGGGGCGATCTCGCAAGACCTTGTCGACCTTTTCGACGATTTCTGCGACAGCAGCAAGCTAGGCATGAGGTTTGTGACACCGTCTCTTGACAGACCGTGCTAAACCAAGCTACAAATTGCATGATTAGGAAACCTGAGCCCCAGTTCTACCTTCTGGCCTGCAAGCGGAACGGCATAAAGCCAGAAGAGGCCATCTTTCTGGACGACATAGGCATGTGAGTGACCTTTCATACCATGTCGGCATATTCTGGGCGTCGTAGCACTGGCTGATATCAACAGGAATTTGAAGGTTGCCAAACAGTTGGGGATGGAGACGATCCGTGAGCGTCTGCGTTCGCGTGACATGACTGGCTTGACATCTGAACCTTGCACCCGCAGACGTTCCCATAGGAGGCACTCTAGACGCTGTCAGGCAGCTAGAGCGTAGGTTGGGATTGGACCTCACGACACCCGAGGACAAGCGCGTGAAGTTGTAAGGGGGCAGGGTAAGGTCAACAGCGGGGTTTTGAGGTAGATCCGACGGTGAACATAGCAAAGTCACGCGAATGGCGATGTTTATAGGGAACGTGTATTCAAGGTCATGACTTCTACGGCTCTAGAAGGGCTTGTCGGAGGCAGGAGTCTTGTCCGTGAAGTAGTTGCCCAGCTAGGAGGGTGTCAGAAGTGATCCTCCTCTCAAAACGCGGCACGCACCAAGGGAGCCTTCGACAGAACGCGCTGCTGCAGCAGCGGAGTCGTTGAGAGCAGCTGAAATAATGTATCTCAGCGAGGATGAAAAGACGTATTGCTGGCAACTCACCAAGGTCGCCGCAGAGACGAAGCCGAAGCCCCAGGCGGCGCCAGTGAAAGTGAAGTGCCTCGAGTACTGCGCTGAGTTCAGCAAAAGTTTAACATTTATAGTAAGGTCTACTGACAGAGAGGATTGACTGGAGAGGAGACTGGGGCTTGATGATGAGCGCCATCGTGTAAAGGACAAGTTGCTGTTGGACGCTTTGGCTTGCGGGCTCACCGCGAGCAGTAGTCGCGGAATTCCCCGACCACTCCACGTGATGTCGATCATCAAATTTGTGGCGACTATTACGCCCCCGCTCTCGATCAGTGCATCCATCCTGATTGCTGTGGCTGCTTCCATTCCCCGACCCTCAGCGCTCTTGACCTGCATAAGGATTCTTAAGTCACGATAGACCCATCGTCTGTCAAACTCGCTATCTTCTCGTTCTCCACCGCTCGATAACCATGGCCAATCCCCGACAACGCCGAAAAGCGCGCTCCTCCTCGCACAAGACCGTATCCCATTCACGACATGCCAAAAGGAACCACTTTAACAAGTCGCCTGGTGCGTGTATGGCATCCCTGCACCTGGCTAGCGCCCCAGGGCGTGTCTGATACCCGTATACTAGCCATTCGAGGACCTAAAGCGCTGCAAGATGCCTGGGATTCACGCAAGACAGTCAAGCAAAAGTGAGTCCCCCCTGCTTTCAGGATCGTCCTATGCCAGCGGAGACAGCAAGAAATGCATGATCACGTATGGTTGTGCTGTTAGTCTGACGTCCGCGGGACGGGATAATTGCACGCGCATCAGGATCGCTGGTCTAGGCGACGTTCACAATATCGTCGCCGCAACTTCCGTCCCTTCTCTATTGCCTATATACAAAACGCTTGCTGACTGGTGTCGCCACCTCCAGCTACGCTGCGCTTGGACTCGCATACAGTTTGAATCCTATCGCCTCGGGTGGGACCGAAAATTCCACTCGCGCAGCCACCCAGCAGTCTACGCCAGAGTCTGTGGAGCAGCCCACAGCATCAACCTCGAAGACATCAGAAAAAAGCGCAATACCCAAAGGTCACGGTCGAATCATTCGTGACGAGGCCGGCAACATCATACGCGTAGAACTTGCGCCGGAAGATGAGGAGGAACAGGCGGCGAACCAAGAGCCCATGGATCTCGACATGGAGCAATTGGAGCCTAAGTTGGACCAGGGCGTTGCACGGCAATGGGTCCATGGCCTAGGACATAACGACGGCAGTGTTGGAAAGGGCAAGACGGTTGTCAAAGGTTAGTGTCAAGGTCTCCATCTCATCCTTCCTATTCCTTCCTAGCCATGAGCGGATATAACTCCGCAGCTCTTGCCTGGTCTAGCGGTGACATTGCGCTGTACGTCGGCGGGCCCGCCACATGCAATGTTTACCGTCCTCGACCTGGACGAGGGCGTCGGCGCCTAGGGCTCGGCACACATCAGTCGCTGCTTTAGATCGCCGGAACTTTCTGGCGCCACATCCGCCTCTTCTTCTACGCCACGCCAATCCCTTCGCGCACCCGAGTATCCCTCCCACCGTCCCGAGTTGCGCTCGTCCGCATTCCTTTGTTCTCGGCTTTCCATGGTGTGCGGTGGGATCGGCAAAAGACGCAAACCTGTGCATCTGCTAGAGACGCTGGGTGTCGAGCGCGTCTTCTGGATCGTGGCCCGCGTCTGCCGTGCCAAAATTCGGCTTCCCCGTACGTCAGACGTGGCCGGCGCGCTACTTCGCTGTCGAGCCTCTGGATGACGTTTCTTTTGACATCAAGTCTTCTCCGTCCCTCATGGAATTCGAGCTTACCTCCGCTTCTTTGCAGAATTAGAGCGGATCGCGACGAGTATCCACACCGACTCAACAACGGTTGCTGCGCCAATCTCAGGCGTTGGCCCACGGTCGACCTCTGAGCGGGAGAAGGTGTACCTCCAGCGACTCTTGGAGAAGCATGGCAAGGACGTCGACAGTATGGCGCGGGACAGGAAGCTGAACACGGACCAGCGTACGGCGGGTGAGTTACGCCGCGCGCTGAGGAGGGCTGGTATCGCGCTGGGGGATGTCTGATGACGATGCCGTGACTTGATCCCGCTCTATCGCAGACAGGAGATGACAGGGGTTTGCGTAATGACATGGACCTGCTACCCTCCGAGCCAGCGATGTCTGGTAGATGTTAGTGTGCTGGTGAGCCTCAGGTCGGCCTGCTTCCATGCAGTCCGACAGAGAAGCTGATATTACTGCCCAGTTTGTAGACGCTGTCCTCGTAATGTGGCTGTAGCAGTACCGCTGGGTCGTGCCCGGTCTTCATGATGACAAACTCGACGATCCACGCGATTGGTGTGCGCCTGCCACCTCAGAAGCTCAGGTCGATGTAAGAGGTCAGTGCGCCGCGATCGTCCGGTTATTGTTGCCGGCACTGGAATCGTCGGAGGCCCGGGGAGACCGTGTGGTTTGGGAACTCAAACTCTGGCTCGCTGTCAAACAAGGTATTCTCCGTGTAATTGGAGGCGTATGTCGCCGACCTCCGTATGTTTCCTTGCGACGGAGATGCTCATGCGCGCGCAGCCTTACAGCAGAATTTGATTCATCTTAGATCCCTCGGCCGCTGTCCCTTCCGGCTGCCCCGCCCGCCGACGCGCCTGGGTTGCGTGACTGTCTTAACCCCAGTGACAGGCGCGTTTACTAGCGCGAAACGGCGTTCGTCGAGCATCTGGTGACGCGCGGATACCTCAAATTGCAGTTCGATTTTCCGAGGCCGCCGACAGTAGCGGGAGACAAACAGGCGTTCTGCAAAGTCTAATAAAGTGAGTGACTCACCGTTCAAGTGTGCGCCATATGCCGTGGTCGATCTACTCTCTAGGCACCGTGGGTGCATCGACAATTTGTGGTGTCATGGGCGCCTTGCAGGCTTGGATCTCCGGAAATGAACAATTGCAACACACGGTTCGACATATATGGCAACCACGAGGAATGCAATCTACCTCCGTGCCGGGGGCAGATTTCCCACCGGTGTGTTGGGGTACGTCTCCGCACAGACCTGACCAGTGGCCTGGTGGAAGTGCTAAGATACCGAATAATTGCTAGTGGGTTCGCAGTGATGGGGGAGGAAGAGCTAAATTATTCTGCTGTCTACCGTCAGAGAATAGGCGCCATCGGCGTGGCGGACGCGCTTCCCCAATTGGATCGAGATCTCCACCTCCGTATTAATCGTTCCCATCACTGTGGCCGTTCCGTAAGCTCTTGCCTTATATAAACCTCGACAGCCGCCGCTTCTTTTTCCTAACTACCCGTCACCCCCTCGCGGTCGTCCACCCTCTCTTTCTTCCGTCCGTCATGTCGCCCAGGAGCTCGTCAACGTCGCCGGCCACGTCGCGGAGCGCGTCCGCCCCATACCCCGCACCCAGGCGCCCGTCGGGGCAGCCAAAGTCAAGCAGGCAGCAGGTACGCGTACCTTTTCCTCTCGATCTTTTTCTGACCCTGGCTTAGTTCAGCGCGTGCGGCGCTTGTCGCATGAGGAGGTACGGCATATCCTCTTAGGTGCCATAACATAGCTCATCGTGTGCCACAGAGTGCGCTGCGATTTGAAGGACCTGCCGTCCGTGAATGGATCGCCGCCTGCATGCTCAAATTGCAAGGAACGCGGTCTCAAATGCGTGTACGCATCGTGCCTCCGATCATGCATCATCCTACTGACCGCGCTCTAGTGACGAGTTCGCAGACGTCAAGGCCGTCAAATTACTTAGAAGGGGGCGGCGGTTGCAGCAAGTTGGTGCGTCGCGCCATGTTTCTGCATCGGCGGTCTTACTGACCTCATACCCAGAGGCTATCTACGGCAAAGTCGACAACAACGCAGGACCTGCGCTCGGTGCTAGTGCGCACCGGCAAGTGACGATACCGAGCCTCCAGCCAGAATTCTTTAGTTCGCAATTCTGGAAGCTATTCCACATGCAGCGTGCGTCTCTCGGATTTTTTTCTCGCATCATTCTCGATCTAAACGCCTCTCAGGTCCCGTCCTAGATCCTACAGAGCTTGCAGCTCGAGTGTCGGCGCACGTCAAAGGCAACAATAGCCTTGGCGCTCCCGGGGAGATCCTCACGCTGGTCCTGGTTGTCTGGGCGTCCTCTTTCGGTGTCGATGAACGCGGCGTATGCGAGCCTTCATCCGTCGACGAGGACCCCAATCGAGCCCGCACTCGCAGCGCCAGCACGACGACCAGCGCGCATGGCCACAAGGCCTGTGATGCGTCGACAAAGCGGCAAGGCCGGAAAGACCGCACGATCGCGATGTTGCGCGAGTTGCTCGAACTCGTCGATATGCACGGCCTTTTGCGTAAGCCATCATGGGACGGGTGTCGCGCGTTGCTGCTCATAACGCCGCTTCTTGAGGGTAATTTTCCCTCGCACTGGAAATTACCGGAAGGCTTACAACGTCTCAGATTTTATTCCTTTGGAACGTAACAACTTCACTGAGGTCGCGCTTATGCAAGCTCGCGCTCTGTGCTGCTCCCATGCTGCCTCATCGCCGCAGTCCCCCGATCAGACGATAACACGCCTACGCATCCTGTCATACGCCATCATCCAAGACGCCTTCACGAATGGCTTGTCGGGGAATAGGCTTGTTTTGTAAGGGATTTCAACTCACACTTTCTAGCGCCGCTGACGTCGTCTTCAGCGATGAGATTGACATCGACACCATCAATCGTCTGTCGATCGCCATCGGCCACTCGTACTCACCCTACTCGCCGTCGTTCCCCTCCTCCCCAATGGGCATGCACTCACCGACCTCCGGCCAAAGTGGCAATGGATACCTCTTCATGATGCCTTTGCACCTTGCTGCCGTATGCTGGAAGATCAACGCGGCCTTGACAAGCGTCTCTGCTCTGCGCCGCATCGAAGACGGTCAGGGCATCGATGCGCAGAGCATGCGCGAAATCTGGGAGGGGTTGGATCGCTGCTGGGAGGATTTTGACGGCATACGGTTGAGCGCAGCGGCCAGCGAGGAGAGTGTCTTTGACCTGCAGCGCTTCGTGGGTGCCTGGCAGGTACGTTCATTGCTCATGTGCTATGGCGCACGACTGACTCAATACATGTTGCAGGTGGCCATCTTCGAATGTCGTGAGTTTACTTGCAATCCTTTATCCTGACCCTTTGCTCAGAACCGTTAGATAACATCGTTCGGGAGTCCTTGAAGCAAGTGTTGAATGCGGGGGCGAACACACCTCACAAATCCGTTCCGCATATTGCATACCAGCTGCAGGATGTGGCGACGCGCAGGTGTCTCGAGCTGCTCCCGAAGACACTCTCGATCATCAAGATGCACGCCTCACATAGCGGTAACCACATGGACAGCTCAGGCCTCTTTCGCTGGGATACTGGCATCGTGCGGGACGGCTGCTTCTTCGCGGGCGTGCTCGCCGCCAGCGTGAAGAAGGACGGCGCCGACGACTTCAAGTTGGAGGCCTGTCGCCTGTCTCCGGCCGATCTGGAGGAGGGCGTCGCACTCACAATCTCTGCGCTCAGCGAGATGAACTGGGCGCTGTCCAAGAGCGACGACCGGGAGCAGACGATCCGCCTAATCTGGCAGACGAAGTCGTCGATGCAGTTTTCGACGGGCGACGGGCAGATGCACTACCGCGTCGAAGCACCTTTTTCGTCGTCGCCGGTCTTCGCGCCTGATGCGGAGTCCTCGCGGCCTGGGTCTCAGGGCATGCTGACCGTGCCGACTCATGTCCACGGTCGTCCTCAACCGCCACCGCTCACTCTGCCCGACGGGCCCATCCGTGGCATCGCTTCAGCGCCTACGACCGCCGTGAGCGCTGACGGTAGCGTCTGGTCTTCGTACAGCCCGCCTGGCACGGCTACATCTGGTACGAACAGCACTAGCACTACTGGCATGAGCGGAGGAGGCTCACCAATGTTCGCGAGTCCAGTGTCGACCATGCCAGTCTTCAAAAGCGACATGGAGGATCCGGGCGCATTCTTTCAGGGGTCGTCCGGTGACCTCGACGCCTTCGGGGTGATGTCTGTCGACAACAATCCCGCTTCCGGCGTCGTTGCTGCAGCACCCTTCGACCATCGCGGTTCCGGCTACATGGACACGGGCGTTGGCGTCTTCACGCCCGGGACTATGGGCCCCTCGCCAGGTCCGCCCGATGTCAACTCCTTCCAAGACGACCACGGTTTCTATCATCACTAATATCTTGCAATGTTGACCGCTGCTCAGAGATCTTGGACTCTTACCGTGTATGTATCTTACCCGTCAGTCTAGTCCGTGCTTTCAGCTACTTCCATTGCTCTCGCATCCCGCATGCTTTGCCCCGTGTCCCCCTCTAGATCATGCATCCTTCACACTGTTTTCTATACATCATTCCATCGCCTGCGCGGATATCTGCATTATGTCCATATCCTAGATCCCGTTGTTATCCTACGCTGAATTCCTAGTGCGCTATCCGACTGCGTAGCTGCATACTTACAAGCATCAAGAGCCCGTCCTACCGTAATCTGTGCGCCTGCATCTCCTTAGTTATCATCACTACATAATTACGCCCCGTACGTACATAGTCATTTCGTATAACGGTATGAGCTTTGTGCAGCATTACTCGAGGCGCCTGCGTGCAGGTGCAGCAATCGCATGCCCATGACCTCTTTGCGCGTGTGCTTTCGAGATGCGTGTCGGTGATGTCCACGTCGATCGCGCCATGACCATGGACTCAACGGCGGGTCATCTGGCCACATTTTAGGGCCACATTTTAGGGCACGCCATAGCGGCTCTGACCGCGCTGTCGTAAGGAGAGGCCGCGCGAGGGTGTTGTGCGGGACATAGTCTCTGGTAGTCTCCCGTCGGCCATGAAGTCTTCGCTCTCGCTGGGAGACGCCTATTCAGTAGGGCTCAGATATAGTGGAGAGGTGGACCGCGCCTGTCGCGCTATGCCTATTAGATGGCTGGACGCCGCGCGCGTATACGGCTTTGGCGCACAGACCGTGCTTCGAATGGCGGGGCACGCGCAGAATTACCGGCGGCACCTGACCGTTGTGCGGGGCAAGCGCTTCTGGCAGCCTGATTTGCACTAGGCGAGAAGGTGCGCGATGGGTGGACTCATTGCCAGTGCGTCGGTGATTCCGAAGTTGGCAGTCGGGCTATGGGAGATTATTAGGGTGACGGAGGAGATAGCTGTCGCCGTTTAGGCGCGAGGTGGTGACAGTGGTCATCATATCTTAGGCGCTTGTGGAAAGACGAAGATGGAAGGAAAACATGAGAACAGATCCATTCTCCGCCGGTAACGGGCTAGCTGGCCTCTTCCGCCTTGATTCGTGCCGCCTCTGCGTTGTCGGAAACTCCAGAAAAGAAATAATTCACCCCGCAGCGAGCGGGGCGATCAGATGAGCGGCGTAAGAGAGGAAGATCGCGTCCGCGGATCGAAGGCGTGCCACAAATTTCTGTCAGCCACTATGATCATCAGGAAGGCAGGGCGTAGGTAGACCGTCGAAAGGGCACTCATAGGTGTTCACGTACCTAATCTTGGGCGCGACTGGCGTACGCTGAGGCGGTTCAAGCTGACAAAGCCCGTGTGTGTTTCTCTCTCGACAGAGGCACGGGCGTGGCTAATGTGGGCGCAGATCGTGAGGTAGGTAGGTCCCCAAAGAGCCACGCCAGCAGTTTCCGCGTCAAGTCCGCTGCATGGCGTGGATGAAGGGCTTTTGTAAGTGTCGCTTCCGTTGCCGACAACGACGGACTCAGCCGGAAGCGCAAAGTCCCCTGTAATCTCTGAGAAGGGGCAGCTCTCGCGCGCTGCACTGTCAAGGGTCCTTGACAACGGGGTACAGTCCAATTAGTCACGAAATGGCTGGGCGTAGGTTGCGCGGAGGGCCTTATGTGCGACGGAAGTTCAACATGACTTTTGGGAGAAGGAGGTTTCGGTGTATGCCGAAAGCTGTGATGTCATCTGACCGGCAATCTTATCTTATCTTCCCCGCCTTCACTTGGCTGCGCTCGGCAGACGTCTAGGCGCCTGCTCTCTTCCTGAACTCTCACGTCCTCCAACTACTACACGTCTATCCTTCGCATCTATCATGTTCAGTGAGTCCTTCTCTCGTACCCCCCTTATGCTCTACTGACTTATCCCCTCCAGTCTGTCTACCCATCATCTGTAGGTCGCTGTGATCGAGGATCTCTACAGCTCCCTCTGACTGCTGCGCTCTACACCAGTTGGATTGTCTGACAAGGTCAAGCCTGAGAAGAACCAGCAGCCTCGCGTCTGCCCTCACTGCCGCAATGGCGAGTTCCACGTCTCGTCGGGGATTGGTGGCGGCTAACCAGCTCCACTCCACAGCGTCCGTCGTAAAGGCGAAGAGGACGAAATGGTTCGAGCTCTTCTGGATCCCCCTCATTCCCTTCCACTGGAAGCATATATGGGTCTGCGGGATCTGTCATTGGGCGCTGCCCATACCCAAGGAAGAAGGGTATGTATTCCCCTTCACATCATCTCTGGTCGCTCACCCTATTACAATAGCCAATGGGAGCCCCCTCTTGCCGGTGGACATCCAGGAAGTGGTCCAAATGGTCTACAGACGGGCGCACCGAAGGAACGCGACGGCTACCAGCCAGCCTATCTCAATCCGAAGGCTTGAGCATCTGACCTGGCCGTTCACTCGCCGACTTCCTGTCCTCATGCAGCCAGCATCCACGCCTGGTTACACGTGTAAGATGAGTGTCCTTACACTGCACTGTATCGGACTATATGCCTCCCTATCTGCTGTTTCTCCGCCTATACCGATGTACAATATAATGAGGCTGCGGCCCATGTCGAATCCATTGTACTTGGCGTCGTACGTGGCCAATTTCATGCAGCTGCCAAATCCTGTTTTATTTTGAAGGCTTCATGAGCTCTTCGACCTCGCAGGACATCGAGCGCAGGAATCGCTTTTCGAGAGTCTACTAGCCGTATCGGTTGAACTCAAGTTGAAGTTGGTGTTCGAGGCATTGAGCGGATCAAGAAAGGGCCGGTCACCGGCTTTGTCAGCAGTATATAAGGACCGGGTCTTTGCGCGCTTTGGCTCTTGCCCTTAGTCCTAAATCCGGCTATAATCAGCGTTCGCTCGGTCGTCTGCTCTTAATATCGCTATCCCTTGCTCTTACCTTGCTACTTGCACGTCTTTAACCAGTGAAACTGCCATGAATACCATCCTCGCCACCACGGAGATGTCCCCCGTCCTCGTCGCCCCGCGGCCCGTGCGCCTCGCCGGCGCGCAGACCAACTGGTTCGCAAAGTCCTCCCCATCCTCCCGTCTCCTCGCAGCGACGGATGGTACAGAGCGCACCAGAGCGGCGAGCTCCTCTGCAGACACGGAAAGCGAAATGCTGGATGCGTCATCGGATCGTGCTCCGTCCCGGGCGTCGCGGTACGTCTTGCGCCACCGTGGCCACTTCGACCTTCCTGATCCTTCCTTCGCAGATCCCCACTTCCCTCAGAGGCGATGGAGGAGTTCCTGTCTATCCTGAAGCCCCACTTCTTCAATCCGCCGTCCTCACCGGTGCGGACCTGGCGTCCGCAGGCGTTCCACGCGCGCTCGCCCTCGTTCGCGAAGAGCATCGAGCTCGTGCAGAGCGTCGCGCCGGAGGAGTCTGAGATGATGCGCGCTGTGCAGCGCAGCCGGGGTGCGTTCACGCCGTCGCCCGCGCACACGGACAGCGCCAGCCCTGACGAGCCACGTCGTTGGTACCCTAGCGTACTTTGTGAGTCCATCCCAAGTCCACCTTCACATGTTTAGTGCATCCGTAAGCTGACGCACCCGCGCTAGCGTCCCCGGTCTCGCGCCTGCAGACACGTAACCCGTTCTCGCGCCACTATGCGGACGTGTCTCCTTCGCCCAGCGCAGCTCTCTCACCCGCCGCCGTTCCCCTCCCTCCCATCACCCCCGAGGAAATGCTCGAGATTTAAGCCGCAATCTGCAGCGGTTTAACCTGCGCTATGTAGCGATCCATTTTGCTCCATCTACGTCAGACGGGTCCTGCCTCTGCAGCGCTACCTCATCGCGGTACCGCCTAGTACTGGCTTCCCCATTGTCTCCGCATCATGTCGCATCACCTATGTGTTGTATCCCTTCTGTCGGTTTCTTGATTCTGCTTTCGCTTGGTTGGTACTCTTATTCACGACCTTTGCTTCCCATATTCACGACCCTTGCATCCCACTTCGTGCGGTATACCCCATTCATTAACCATCCCCTTCCTTTGTTCGAATTTGGACTTATGTGACCTTACTTCATACATACCTGGAACCTATACATAGTGTATCGAACGGCCAGCTTTTGCTTGGAATAAATGTACCTAAATTATTGACTTGGCGACTGAGAGCGTGCACCGCAACGCGAAGGCAAGCGTGTTGTTAGAAATTGTGGCAATGGCCACAGCAGTCCTGATTTTCCCTTCTCGTGCTCGTCGGCTCGAACCTACGGTGACCACGGCGAGGTAGCCTGGCCGCCGACACCGGCGGTGAATAGCACGCCCTCTCCTGTCTCCCCGTCCACGTAGAAGCAATCTTCTAGGCGTACACCGACCTAAGTCGTGCATGAGAAGAGGCCCCAGCATATGACAACGGGCTCACCTTGCCCTCGATGTACACGCCCGGCTCATCAGAGAATGTATGCCCAGTCTTGATGACGAGGTCGTTTCCGCCTCTCAGGTATGGGTCTTCGTGGACTTCGAGACCGATGCCTACAGGTTTGTAAGCCCACCTATCCCACGACGGACGCGACACAGAACTACTCACCATGCCCCAGCCGGTGCGTAAAGTACGGCGCGTAACTCGTCGCCTCCAACGACTTCCTCGCCGCCTCGTCGACCTTACGCATCTCGGTTCCCGCTGTCGCGGTCTTGAGGGCAGCTGTCTGCGCGGCGTGGACGTGATCCCAGATCTGGCGATGGTCGGCAGGAACGTGGGCGGAGGGGAGGGCGACGGTCTTTAGAAATTATCAGATGCTGAGGGTCAATGAAGGCAAGGAGCGGTACACACGCGAGTGAGGTCGCTCTTGTAGCCGTGCAGGTCTGCGGTGCAGTCAAAGAGGGCATAGTCATTTATGCCGAGGACGCGGTCGGTGCCCGTGCCGTGAGGGAGGGCAGCGTTGTCTGAGAGTTAGGGTGAGGAAGAGGTCAAGGAAGTATGGAGATATGCTCACCTCCGAAGAGGGTCAAGCAGCCGCCATCCTTTAGACCGATGGCCGTCAGAGCGTCGGCCACAATAGCGCGAGCTTGCGACTCGCGTATGCCTGCGTATAGTCGCTTGTGAGTCGCACGTAGGGCAAGCAGGGTAGCCTGAGGACCGCAATCAGAACAATATGCAAACCTCCGGGAATTCTACCCACCTCATTCACGCACTTCATCAGCTCAAGCTCGGCAGCACTCTTGCGTTCCCTCAGCTGACGGACACTGTTCGGCGCGATGACGACCTTTGCATGCGGCAGCGCCTTCTGGAACCCATCCACGATAAAGTGCCGGATGCTCGGATCGACGTACACCTTCGTTGGCGCAGGAGCGAACGCCGACGCAGCAATTTCGTACGGGTTCGCCTCCTCCGCCCACGACACCCATGACAAGTTTGCACCAGCTGGTATAGGCAGCAGCTTCGCCCGCGTCGCCTCGAATTTTGGCGTCAGGACCGTGATGTCTGCGCGGATGTCGTCCCCAGTCCCGGTCGGCGCTACCATGAGCAGGAGAGGCCGCTCGGAGAGCTTCCAATCGCCATCGGAAAAGTTGCCGTAGTAGAGGGTGTTGGCGCCGGGTTCGGCTATGTAGATGGCGCCGTCTGCGTGGAGGGCGCGCGCGAGGGCGGTCTGCCGGGCGGTGAACTCGGAGGCGCCGATGGGTGTCTTGTCGGCGCAGTGAAGAGGTAGGTCGGGGAAGTCATCGAGGGGGAGTGGGAGGAAGAGTTTGTAGTAGATCTCGGATCGGAAGTTCAGAGTCAGGACTACACATATGGCGAAGGTGTAGATGAGGATGCGCTGTGGGAAGGATCGTGGTCAATGATGTGCGAGGATATTAGAGCTATTCGAGTCGCACCTTCCAACGCTGCCTATCCTCTTTGGGCCAGAAGCCTGGAGTGTATGAAGAGGTCTCGCTGATTCCTTTGGCGTCCATTGTTGCTAGACCTCTTCCGAGCCTTCGTGCGACGAGGTTGAGGACAAGCCGCTCGTTGCCGTTATCATCGAGTTCGACCGATATCTCACCTCGCGGACGCGTCTCCCCGTGATCGCGAGAGTTCCTGGTGTGTAAGCGTCATTGAGTAGGCCCTTGCTGGCGTCAAGGGCGCATCAGATGGCGAGGAGGACTTCGAGAGCAGAGGTCAGTGTGGGTGTCACAACTGGGTAGTGTAGTGTACCGCCATGTGGCGTGTGAGAAAGAACAATGAGCGCGTATGTTTTCCCACGGACGCGTTCGGTCTCGGACGCTCACGACGCTACACAGAGGTGTGCCCAGAAGAAAGCTTGCGCATCCAACTCAAAGCTTCTGGCACCATGGACTCCAATGACACAGATATCATGATTGCCATGGTTTCCAGCCTGCTCGATAACCCCCCTGACGGTGCGGCAATTCTTGACGCGCTCATTAGCTGCGATGGGGACGTCGAGGCTGCTGCGAACGCTCTCAAATCGAAGAATACTACACCTCCAAAGGTCACAGGCTCCAAACGCAAGCGCGACGTGAACCTAGAGGGTTGGTTACAAGCATCCCCTAAGCCAGGGTTATCTTCCAAGCCGGCGCCCCCTGCTTCCTCAAGTACTCCCTCTCGCAAGGATACGAAGGGTGAACCCTGCGCGAAGAAACCCAAATCGACCTCATCTTCCTCTTTACGCGTGAAACCCTCATCAACCTCCAAACCGCCAGTCGATCTCATGACCGTGCTCAAGCCTCCATCCTCCGACGCGAAGGCGAAGGGACCACCGCGGCTCCCTCCCTTGACTCTTTATACGCCGGAGAAGGTAGCAGAGCATACGCCATGTACCCTGCACTTCAACATTCTACCCCCGGAACTGGCCTGCCAGCTGTTCTACTCGATGATGGATTTGTCGAAAGACTGGAAGCCCAACAAGTGGTGGCTCTTCGATCGCGTTGTCGAGAGCCCGCATGTTACGTCGTTCTTCGCGCGCGAAGATGTGGAAGGCTCGTCTCAGCTCTACGCCGCCGCTGCGATGTCTTGGTAAGTCTGGCGCGACAACTATCACTACAATATACTGACTAGTTGCAGGTACAACGGCCGAAGGACAGATCCACCGCAGAAATTTCCGGCGCCTATGGAAGAGGCTTGTCGGATAATCGAGCAAATAGTGAATAACGAAATGAAGATACGCAAGCGATATCCCTTGGAATGGGGCGGCGACTCGGGGTGGAGGGCAAATGTCGCTGCGTCAAACCGGTATGCGGGTGGGCAGGAGAGCGTCGGCTGGCACTCGGACCAGCTGACGAATCTTGGTCCGTACCCAACCATCGCGTCCTTGAGTCTCGGTAAGCAAGTAGTCAACACCCTCAGCCGTCTACTGATGGAAAGTACAGGCGTTCGCCGCAACTTCAGCCTGCGCGAGGTGGTCCCTTCGGACGAGAAGGAGACTCGCCACCCGCGAACGTTCAACGTCTCTCTACCTCATAACTCAGTAAGTACTCCTGCCGTCCGGAATAACGTATATGATTGATAATCTGCAGTTGACAATTATGCACGCGTCTTGTCAGGAGCGCTTCAAACACTCCATTCCTCCACAATCGTCAATCGACATATATCGTCCGGCATTCCCTCCTGGTCCCGATCAAGATATCCAGGAATATAACTCGCGCATCAACATCACCTTCAGGTTCTATAGGTGTGCTTCCCCCCCTCACGTCGTCTTCCCTGGTCATGCTAATGCGGGGTACTCCCAGACCTGACTTCGCGTCCGACAAGAATCCCAAGTGCAAGTGCGGGATCCCCATGATCTTGCGGCCTGACATGAAGAACAGGTCGGGTGATGCGGTGAATAAATACTGGTGGACGTGCTATGCGGGTGCGCAGAATGACGGGAAGGGTTGCGATATGTGGCAGGTTATGGACATGAAGAAGGAAGGGAGGGGGCCTACAATTGGCGAAATGTAGTATATGCTATGCAACACCATATACCTTAGAATACCCTACGGAATCATTTCCTCAGTCCAGGAGCTTCATCAAGCCTACAAGCGGCGGTCACAGAGTTCAACTTCGCAATTGTTTCCACGGATGGTTCTTACCCCATGCGTCGCATCAGGGCCGCTTTGACGCGTTCGCCTTGCGCGCCTCCGTCGACGTCACGCTTCGATAACGGCGTTCATCTCGTCCATAGGTCGGCCTCGAGGAATCCGCCCGGAGCGAAGCGCAGTACTTCACATCCAACCGCCACCATGGCGGACGAGCAAGGTGGGTGATCCAGAGCTTGAGAGCCGCAGGCGTCGTCGCTGACACCGATATTCAGAGCGCACGCCGCTGCTGCGAGACCCTGAAGCCGAGGATGACTATAGCAGGCCGCAGACGGACGACGAGCCGCCTTCGTTCTTCGAGCGCGTAGGCGCTATAGCGTCCGAGCCGTTGACTGCCCTGAGCAAGGTCCTGCTCGTGCTCTGCCTCATCTTCCTGCTCCTGAGCTCGGTGCGTGGTCTCCTGCTTGCTTTGCATGGGCGCTTACGATGCTATGCAGGTCTTCATTGGACTGTTTGCGGGGACGCAGACGAAGCTGAACAAGGAGCGCGACCGCCATGACGGTCCTACTGTACCGACATCGACTGTGTCTACGACCCTCATCCCTGAGCCTTCTACCGTTATAACCACCACGACTGCTTCCCCTCCTGGCCCGACGAGCCCTCCAGAAGAGGTGCGTATATGCGCGTATGCTGCGCGAACCAGGGGAACTAACACAACACAGTCTCGCTGCCTTACGCCTGAGTGCATCATGCTCTCCGCTTCGATCCTCTCATCGCTGGACCGGTCCCAGGACCCTTGCGAGAACTTCTATGAGTTTGCGAGTACGTGTGCTTGATGTAGAGTCGTATTATGGGCTAACCGCACCACTAGACAACGGCTGGCTTGACGCCCACCCCCTTCCCGCTGACAAGGCCTCCTTCGGCACATTCGAGGAACTCTCACAGAAGAATCAGCATGTCATCCAGAAGATCCTTGAGTCAAACTCGACCACCCTGAACTCACAATCACCATCCTATGACGAGCAGATCCTGAAGAAGATTCGTGGCCTGTATACTTCGTGCATGGACGAGGACCACCTCGATGAAGTCGGCTTGAAGCCATTGTCGGAATTCGTCGCGAAGCTGAAGTATGTGTACAACAAAGGGTCGACGGACTCGCGTGTGCCGAACGAGAAGCTGGGGCTTACGGCTGCGCTGGCGTTGCTGCACTCGAGGGGTGAGTTGGATGATGACCGTGTAGCGTATATATTGACCGATACTGAAGGTGTGAGCGCGCTGTTCGACTTTGGCATAGATGGAGATGTCGGGGTAGACCCGAACCATATGGTCCTCTGGTTTAGTCAGTCTGGTCTCGGTTTGCCTTCCAAGGTTTGCTCATTGCCTTGCGACAACTTGAATCCCGCTCATCCTATGCAGGAATACTATGACGAAGAGTCGATCACGGACGCTTACCGCAGCACTGTCGAACAGCTGCTTCGCACTCTACTCGACGCTGAAGACAAGGAGCGCGAAGATCATGAGCCTTCCAAGGTCGCTGCAATGCCCGAGCCGACTCCTGGCCTCGTCATCAATGAAGACACCGAGGACAACGTCTGGCCGCCTTGGCCCTGGCCACCTTGGGGCGATGATGATGATGGCAAGGGTGACGACGACAAGGAGAAGCCCAAGAACTCGAAGGTCGCTCGCAAGCTCGCGAAGAAGGTGGTCAACTTCGAGCGCAAGCTCGCGAAGATCAGTTTGGATCTGGATCTCCGTCAGTGACATCCATTTGGGAACGATAGAGCGAACGGCTGACCAGGACCACAGTGTACGGTGATCCTATCGGCACCTACAACCCCGCACCGATTTCCAACCTGACCGAGGGCCTCCCCCAAATCAACTTCCTCGAGTACTTCGCCAGCTTTGCGCCCCGCAACTTCCCCGACCAGGTCATCATCACCTACCCCGCATACATCGAGTCGCTCTCCAACTTGCTCGAATCGACCCCTTCGGAGGTCATTGAGGCATATCTGGTGGTCCGCGCGGCGCACGAGCTGTCGCCCTATCTGGGTCGCGGGACCAAGGCGTGGCAGGCGCAGCGGGCGTTGCAGGAGACGCTGTCGGGCTTGAAGAAGGGCGCGGTGGGTGATCGGAAGGAGTATTGTGTACATCAGGTTGAGGAGACGCTTGGGTTTGCGGCTGGGCGGTACTTTGCGAACGAGGTTTTCGGCGGCGACTCGAGAGAGAAGGGGACGAAGGTCATTACGGGTGCGTCCATCCCAATGATGCGCACTGGGGGCTTGCTCACCCTCGTGCATAGACATCGTCGAGGCCTTCAAGGAGTCCTTAGGCAAGATCGACTGGATGGATGCGCCTTCTGCTATTGCTGCCGCTGAGAAGGTGACCTATACGCTTGGTTGTTTCGCAGCAAGAGCTAACCTCGCATCTGCAGGCCTCTGCCATCCGCATCAAAGTCGGCTATCCCCTTTCGCCCAACACGGAGGACCCTGCGTCCATTGCTGCCTGGTACCGCGCTGTGAAGATTGACGAGAATGACTTCTTCGGCAATGTCCTCAGTGCAAGGGCCAGCGACGAGATTCACCAGTGGCTACAGTTAGGGAAACAGCGCGACCTGGACGCATGGGAGATGTACCCGTCTATGGTGAGAATTTGGCATAGGCGTTCAACATGCGTCAGACTAAGCAGTGGTTCAGGTTAACGCCTACTTCAACCCTCCGGCGAATGAGGTACATAGGATATGTCGCTCTGTGGGCCGGTTCGCTGGCTAACATGATTCAGATCGTCTTCCCCGCGGGTATCCTGCAGCCTCCGTTCTTCTCGCAAGACTGGTATGTCGTGATATCTTCATTGAAGCACGTGACGAACTGATCTCTTCCATCAGGCCCGCGTACCTCGCCTACGGCGCATTTGGCCATGTCGCTGCTCATGAACTTACGGTACGTGATAGGCAGCAGTCCTCTTTGCGCAACGATGCCGTCCTCGTGGAGTAATGATGCTCATCTCCCCTTCTAGCACGCATTCGACTCTTCAGGCCGCCTGTACAACCAGGAGGGCAAGCTGGAGCAATGGTGGACCAACGAGACCAGCGAAGGGTTCGACAGGAAGCAGGAATGCATCGTCGAGCAATATTCTCGTAAGTTGGGATGGTCCGATGTAGTCGATGAGTTTGCTGACGGCAAGGCAGAGTATACGATTGACGACGGCAAGGGTGGAGAGGTTCATGTCAATGTGAGTGCTAGAAAGTGTCTTGAGGATGCGGGTGACTGACATGCCTCGCAGGGCAACTTGTAAGGCGACTTTAGCAGCATACTTCGCGTATCGTACTGACCCTTTGCAGAACATCGGGGGAGAACATCGGCGACACTGGTCTCATTCAGGCCTTCCGCGCTTGGAAGGCGCAGTACGCAGACTCTTTCCAGTCAGGCAACGAGTTCCTGTTGCCTGGGCTTGACTTCACTCGGTACGCGCGACGTCGTCGTTCTCGCGATTTCCGTCACTGACTTGGTCGTCAGCGAGCAACTGTTCTTCATCGCCTTCGCGAGAAGCTGGGCGAGGTCGATCACTCCAGCCGCTGCCGTGCAACGAATTAGGACAGACCCGCATAGCCCGAACGTCTGGCGCGTGCAGGGCACGGTGTTCAACATTCCTGAGTTTGCAGAGGCGTTCAAGTGTCCGAAGAATGCGACGGTAAGTTTCTCTTTGACTTGGTACAATATGATAGGATGCTGATCTCGTCCTCCAGCTGAACCCGCCGATGGAGAAGCGATGCATATTCTGGTCGTAGGCAGAGGCATGGATATTTGACCGTACTGATGACTGAAGTCTGTAAGAGTTGGATATCTATTGAAGACACGCGATGCTTTCTTGGTACTGAGTATGGTTTATGTGGAAAAAAGGTCCTGCGCGGGTACTTCCAAGCTGGACGAGAGTCAAGCGACGCTAATGTCCCACGGTCAGTGGTGTGCCACGTGCGTGCAGAAGTCCAACTTCAGGATCCTCGTTCCCTTCTGCGCGTCAGCCTTGACTCTTTCTGTTTGCTTTGGGTGACCCGAACCAGGTAATTTTTCTGTTCTGAGGAAATCCATGAGCCCTAACAAAAGCCTCGGTCCGCGGCTTGGTCGAATGTTCTGGATGACATCATCAGGCTGTGCTTCGCTTGGCCGTATCGCTGGCCTCGACGTTGCGGTACGACTCGGAAGCCTCCCCACGCGTTCTTGAACCTGTACTATCATGGACTTTGACTTCTTCTGTAGGTCTACCTCATGAAGAACCCCTTCCGCATGCTGACCGTGCTTCCCAGTTTGTATCCCCATCCTTTGTGAGTAATGGCACAAAAGGGGAAGCACCCTCACTAAGCACGCTCCGACAGTCGGCTGCAAGACCACTACGAGCCCAGAGGGCGACCAGCAGCCCCGAATATGCCCGCGCTGTCATAATGGTAGGCCAAGATTCAGCACGCAGTCGCAGCGAATGGACGCTAACATCCCCGAAAGCCGCTGTTATCAGCGCGAAGCAGCGGAACTGGTTCGACGTCTGCTGGGTTCCCCTCTTCCCTACTTCGACGAAGCACGTCTGGATGTGCAACATCTGCCAGTGGACGCTGAACAGGCAGAATGGGTGAGTATAGACGGATGTAAGGGCAGCCCCTCCGAGCGATGACGTTCTTGCAGCGGATGGGAGCCGCAGATAGCGGGGACGTATCCGCCTCAGATGCAGTGGCAGGGACCGCCACAACAGCAATGGCAGGGCCAGTGGGGCCCGCCGCCTGGGCCTCAGTACGGCGTTGGCTATCAGCAGGGATATGCCCCCAAGCCCCAGTAAACCGTATTCGTCCGTTGTCCGTCTGTATATTTCTCGTGGAATGTAATGTATTGTCCGGGTTCGCTGCCTTGCGTCTGAGTTCCTTGTCTGAGCGCCTGTCGCCATGAAACTGCGCAGGAACACTGACCGGGAGGAGGCCCGGGCGGTATTTGCGCGTGTTAGGATCACAGGGTCTCCTCGCCGCCGCGCGACCAGCAGCAGCGCCTTTTCGGCTTCCAACTCGTTGCACCGTCTCCTCGCCGCTCCGCCTGCTGCTTTACTCCGCCCACCATGCACACCGAGTACGACTACCTCTTCAAGCTGCTCCTCATTGGCGACTCGGGCGTAGGCAAGGTGCGCGGGCCTTATTGGTGACGCCGCGAGCGCTCTGGGCTGACGCAAGACATTGCCTGCAGTCCTGTCTGCTGCTCCGGTTTGCGGACGACACGTACACGGAGAGCTACATCAGCACGATTGGCGTCGACTTCAAGATTAGGACCATAGAGCTAGAGGGCAAGACCGTGAAGCTCCAGATTGTGAGTGGTGTACCGTCATCAGTGGCTATCAAGCAGGGTCGGCGCTCTGCCCGCGCCACAATGTCATCCTGCTGGAGGCTCGAGGATGGGGATGAGAGCGACAACTGGATGCCCCGCCTAAGGAAGAGAGAACGATTACTGACGGATTGCCCTTGCATTCTAGTGGGACACAGCAGGTGCGTAACCATCTTGTCCTCCTCGAACCTTCCCTAATCGAGCGCTGCAGGCCAGGAACGTTTCCGCACGATCACCTCGTCGTACTACCGTGGCGCACACGGTATCATCGTTGTGTACGACGTGACCGACAACGGTGCGCCCCGGATAACATCATTAGACCCATCCCGATCTAACGCGTGCGATAGACACTTTCACGAACGTCAAGCAATGGCTCCAGGAGATTGACAGATATGCGTCGGAGGGCGTCAACAAGTTGCTTGTTGGCAACAAGTCCGATTTGACGGGCAAGAAGGTCGTCGAGTACACTGTTGCCAAGGTATGGAAATTACATGCCTCGTGTCCAGTACATCGACTCATCCTTCAACTAGGAATTCGCGGACCAACTCGCCATCCCCTTCCTCGAGACGTCGGCGAAGAACGCCACCAACGTTGAACAGGCATTCTTGACAATGGCGAAGCAGATCAAGGACAGGTGCGCGATAGCCCTTGCACATGTGAACCCTACTGACGCCATACTTCAGGATGGGCTCGAGCTCGGCAGCACCGGGCGCCGGCAAGTCGTCGACCATCACGCCGGGACAGAGCGTCAACCAGCAGCAGGGCGGTGGATGCTGCTAAGTTGCTCGCCCACTTTCCCCGCGCCGTACGCCTTCCGATGATGCCGTTCCCCGGTGGAGCTGCTACGACCTCCGTCCTCCTGATCCTGACCGTTCCTCATGTGCACCGCTCTCGCTTCAGCGACTTTGGACACGCAATGCGATTCTTCCTTCGGCTGTCTGTCTTCTGCTTTCGTGCGTCATAGTACCCCGGAACGGCGTCTGTGTGTCACCCATATACACCATCTACTAGTCGTTAACAACGATGGACCGCTCTTTATCCGTGTATGTTTCCTCTGACTGGGGGTGATCTATCATATAGTGTTCACTTGTGCTTCGGTGTGATTCGAGCTCGGGTATCGTACGCTTTGGGACGTGGCTGGGATGCAGGCGCGTATTCTCGAGGATTCGACTGGGAAGCATTGACGATAGTGTATCGGTGCAGGTGATTGGGGTGGTCCCTCAACTCCTATGAATGTTCAGGATGTAGAGGTTGAACCTCGTACCCACTGCCCGGCATCCAGTCTGAACATGCATGTTGAAGTTGAAGGTCGTTGAAACCCTCGAATCCCAGAATCGACTGCAATGAACTTGCTAGGCAAAAGCTAACCCTTAGCAGATTCGGGGTTTGTTGAAGTCCTGTGGGAAAGGAACTTGGGCACTCGCTCTGGAACACTGGCAGGAGGGCCCAGGATGCCCGAAAGATTCGCCCAGGATGACCAAAAGATCCAGCCACGAAGTTCAACTTCGTGAGAGCCCGGCACACGTGTTGGGTTCAACCGGTCCCGTGATCTCGGAAGCGAGGGTTCCAAGTCAGCGGCGTTGGTGAGGCGCGTCTATCGATCACGGCGGCGCTCGGCCAACGTCCTATCCCGCCGCCATCTTGGGACAAAGTTCAACTTGTTCGACAGGCCGTGAGAGCCTGGGCTGGAGGATATAAGCCCCGCGCAGGACGGTGACTGTCTTCCTTATCACCCTCATCCTTTTCCCCTCCCACTGTCCGCCGACGGCGCGCCCCGTCTTGGATATCATTGACCTCGCTGTTACTCACCCCAAGCACTTCGTTACCCATCGTCGTGACTTCTGTGAACGATGTCGAAGCCTCAAGCTCAAGGACAAGGTCGACAGCACAGGGCCATTACGGTCGTCACGAACCACGTCGCCGTGAAGAAGTACGTTCGTCTCGCTCATCAGGCCTTTCCTCGACTGACATTCGCACAGACTCCCGACGAAGACGCACAGTCTGTACGATGGTGAGCTACTTGCAGAAGGAACGCGAGGCTCCCCACTCACCCGCATGTTTTGTTCTTCTCTGCTATCAGTTAGTAAGTAGCGCGGTCCCTATGCGCCTTAATGTAACTAAAGGGTTCGATTAGGAATTCTCTACATCAAGGACAATGAATGGAAAGACGAGCGGTTCAGCGAGAAGCGCATCCGCGTCATGGACAAGCTCCAAACAAAGATCGCGCCGGAAATCTTTCGCGGGGACGCCATCTTCGACGGCATGAAACTGTTGTTCGTCCCGGGCGTCCTGGCCTTGCCCAGTGGTGGGCAGAGCGAGACTGTGAGTGGTTCCTGTTCTTTGCTATGGGCGTATCGCTGATCAGAAGATGCACCAAGTTTGACTTCCACATGAGCGACAGCCCAAACCCCGGTCCTAACTCACTGGCCAAAGTGATCATCACCAGGACGGTGAACGAGGGAATCACCCCTGCGTGTGTGCATTTTGCGGACGCCCCTTTCTACACTGACCCCTTCTGCAGTGCCGTCAATGCGATCTTACAGCGCGCGACCGAAGCCGGTGCCCCTAGCCGTGAGGCTCTTCAGGCTATCAACCTGCTTCAGCTCATCATCCGCCAACACTCGAATAAGTGAGTCTGCAGTGACCATCAAGTATCGCTCCATCTCTATTTCTGATGTACTTTCTAGTATCATGAAGCCCGCCGTCAACGCGAAGGCATACTTCACGGAAACGCAAAAGAAAGCTCTCGGTGGGGGCGTCGAGCTACGCAGGGGATTTTTCCAGTGTGTTGGCCCATCTTCCATCCACGACGTATCCCCAGACCCTGTCACAGATCCGTCCGTCCCACCATCGGGCGACTGCTGATCAATATAGATACGACCGTGGCGCCGTTGTGAGTTCGCAAAATACTTACGCGAAGCTCTATGACCTTTTGTCAGTATCGTGGGCGGCGAACTTCTCCAGTTCATGATGGGCGTCCTCGGGACCAGCAACATTCGCAGCTTTGAACTACAACGCAACGAACCAAACTTCGTCAAGCTCGAGCGCGCCCTCAAGAAACTCCAGATCACGGTCAAGTTCAACAGAGCGACAACCAAGGTTATCCGCGGGCTCGAACCCAATGCGGGTCAATATAGGTTTTACAACGACCAGCAGGGCAGGGAGATGACGATTCAGGTGCGTGTGTATTCGCAGATCCGCATAGTTTACGTGCTTACGCAAAGCCGGTACAGGAGCACTACAAGACTGCGTACAGATGGGACTTGCGCCACCCGAGGATCGTCGGCATCCGCCTGACAGGACCGAATGCGCCGCGGCCAGTCATCGTACCGGCGGAGTTGTGCACGATCAAGCCGAGCCAGTTCTATAAGCGCAAGCTCAGCGAAGACATGGTCACCCAGGTCGTTAAGTTTGCCACTTTGAGGCCCGACGCACGGCGCGGTATGATTGAGCATGGGCTCGGCAACGATAGACATGATCAGTCGCCGGTGCGTGACATATCTCCGTGTCTGGAATTTCTCGCTGCTAACGTCGGATCAGATTGCGCACTACGAGAACTCGTCCAACATTAGAGCAGCAGGCATGGAGATTGGGAAGCAGTTGGAGATGGTTCAAGGACGGATGTTGACGCCCCCCGAGCTCACGTACGGCTCAGGGCGCTCTGAGGTAGGCTCGGCATACATAACCGATCCACACATATTCAATGCCGCTTTCAGGTTCCCAAGGGCGGTCAGTGGAACCTTGTCAAGAAGCTCCTCGCCGATGCGCGCGCTCTGGACAACTGGGCTGTGGTCAACTTCGCTTCGAATCTTAGTGACAATGAGGTCAACCGCTTTGTCGACAACCTTTCTCGGGCTTGTCGTACTCTGGGTACGTCCTTTCTGGTCGTGTCAGACGAGCACTCGACTCACGATCCTCAGGCATGCGTACGTGCGCTGGATATTGGCAGGCGAGTCTGATGCTGATTTTTCCCATTTATCAGGGGTCTCGAGACCAGCGGAAGATCGGCCCTTCCGTGCAAGTGGGCAGGCTGTCAGGGCCGGTTTGGCAAACGCTCTCAATTATCTGAGCGTTGACAGGCCGGCCCTCATCTTGGTTTTACTACCAGAGAGCGCAAAGGGTATCCGCCAAGAAGTCAAACATTTGGGCGATGTGGCCATTGGTGTGTTCGAGCAATCTTGGTATCGTGTTCTACAGCCCGAGCTGACAATGCCTAAGGTGTTATCACGCAATGCGTACGGCAGAACAAGGTGCAGAAGGCAAACGACCAATACTACAACAACGTAGCGATCAAGTCAGTCGGCCCTCTTTGTTTCTCTGTCTGTCCTGACAAAGACCCTATAGGATCAATGCGCGCCTGGGTGGCAGAGCTGCTCAAGTTCAGTCTGAGGTGATGGCCCGCATGCGCTCCGCGCCATACATGATCGTCGGTAGGTCTCATTCGTGTTGACGTCTCTCTGGCGAGCACCACCAAGCTAATCGACACAGGCGCCGACGTCAGCCACCCCGCCCCTGGCCAAGCGCGCCCTTCGATGATCAGCCTCGTATACTCGACCGACGCAGACGCGGTTCGCTATGGTGCGATCACCGACATCCAGGACGCGCGTACCGAGCGCATCGAGAACATGGAGCGCTACGCGTACGACGCAATTTTTGCCTTCGCAAAAAGGAACAACCCGGACGGGAATGTCAAGAACTTCCCCGCGCGTGTGGTTTTCTACCGCGACGGCATCAGCGAGGGCGAGTTTGCGGAGGTCGCGAGTCGGGAGGTGGCGGACTTCAAGGGTGAGCTATGAGGGGTGGATGGGCGAAGGACCCCGTCGATGGCTGACGGCAAGAACTACTACAGCTGGAGTCCAAAAGGCTGTGGACGAGCTGAAGGCGGCAGGGAGGGCGTTCTGGAGCGAGAAGCTTGAGGGTCCTCAGGTCACCTACATTGTCGTTGGCAAGCGGTATGTCATGCCCGCCTCAATGTATACTCCTCATCCTGACACGCCCATCCCAGCCACCACGTCGTCTTCTTTCCCAAGACTCCGCAAGACGGCGATAATAGGACCGGCAACCTCCCCAGCGGCTTCGTCACGGATCGCGGTCTTGACAGCCCCTTCGCGCCGGATTTCTTCTTGCAGTCTCACTCGGCCATCCAAGGGAGTACGTGGTTCTGTCTATTCCACTGCGTCGACTCTCACATGTTCCGCGCAGCGTCTCGCAGCTCACACTACGTGATACTGCACGATGAGATCTGGAATTTCGGGAATATCGACGCGTGAGTTCCGCGTACTCCCCGCTCCTGAGCACATCGTGACTCGCCACCAGGATCAAGCTGTTGTCGTTCCATTTGTGCCACACGTACGCAAAGGTGCGATTTAGAGTCATACAAATACAATCATGTTCTGACCTCTCTCCAGGCGACGCGCGCTGTGTCGATCCCCGCGCCCGTCTACTGTGAGTTGCTTGTTCGTCGTCGTTGTATCACCTGCTGACGTAGCTTTCTTCGCCGATTTAAGATGCCGACGTGAGTGTCCTAGGATACTTCCCCCTGCCTCAGTACTTCCTCCTACCTGATCACTTCTTCCTATCTGAGTACCCCTGCTGACGCCCTCCATTAGCTCGCCTGCGCCCGCGGCGCCTTCCACTTCGCCGGCACCCAGTTCGAGAACTCGGACTCGGGCGGGCCAACCATCAACATGGACGAGTGGCGCCAGAACTTCCACGAGACGCACGATAGGCTGAAGAGGATGATGTACTTCCTGTGAGCGGTCTCGTCGACGACGAGGAGGTGTACGTCTGTTAGGTGAGTGGCGTCCACAATGATTGTTGATCTTCCGCTGATGAGCCACCTCACTGACAGTGCTGACGCTGGGGTCGACCTGCTGTTGTATGATTTTCCTCGCCTCGGTTTTCAACTGTTGTATCATCATCCCTCTGTATCCGCGACGACTTCTTGATTCCCACTACGGACAAAGATTGTAAATTGTAATTGTACCTACGCATGATATCCCACTCTTTGTTCTTGATTTCCTTCTACGTGGCTTCCATCCGAACCATCCGTTTTGCGCATACGCCTGCGTACGCGATGCAGCACTCGACTCTTGATGCATGGGAACGCGTCGCGAACTCGCCTCAGGCGATCGGCAAGTGATCCCTGCGACATGGAGAAGACGGTACGCGGGGCTGCTACGCACGTCAGAATCAATGGAGTCGAGGCATTCAGGTATACAATCGGCTCGCTCGGGGCGCAGAGTTGGTGCACTCGGTGCAGCCGGGCCTTCACTCAACAATGGAAACACGTCAGGATATATTCAGCGAAGCCGCGCAGAATTGTGTACAATGAAACCCGCAGGGTCGCCTGAGCCTCGGGGAGCCGCGCGTTGCAGTCGATGAAGCCGTCCGTTGCAGCCGTCGGTGGGGTCTCGCCGGGGCACCTGCCGCGACATGCTTGGCTTTCTAGGCTACTGAGCGCGGCCGCCGTACGCAGGTTCGTCGAGTAACAACAAGACAAGTTCGTCTGAGAAGTATGAGAAGCGTTTTGTCGCTAGCGACAAGCAAGTCAAAGGTTCCCGTGGTAGATGACTGCAAGGATAGTTCGTACACGCCTGCAAGGGAAGTGAATGATTGAAGTAGCAGGTCAAGCAAGTGATGAGCAAGGAACGAGGCGCGTAATGGTGATCTTACGAACGATCTGATACACAGTATACGCCACGAAATGGCGCGAATGCCCTGGCGCTTTAGTATGGGGGTCTTTTGGTAAGGGCAGCGTAGCTCGCCGTGTATGAGGTCCATCGACAAGGGCGATGGCCGCAGGCTAAACGACCAGATGACGTCGCGAGATATAGAGATGTCGATGATGAATCGATGACAAGGAAAGGGCAGCAGAGAAGGAAGCGGATTCAGATATGTTCGGGCGTGGAGACAACGTAGGCACGGGCGCAGGATCGATGTCAATAACATGCGCGCCCTAGCTTTATCGTGCGCGCCACCACCGGCTCTTCGCGCAGTTTCCACAGAATACACGGCTGATCAGCCGGGGGAGATGGATCTGGAGCACGGCGACCGCAAGGATAGTGCGCGAGCTGTGAATGAGCAGAGTACGGCCTGTGATGCATGAGAATAGTCGGCCTCGGGTGAGGTGCGGCGGCAGGCGTATAACGTTACCACAGTAAGGCCGGCGATACACCAGAAGCAAGGGGCCAATATACCGCTACAACAGCAGCAGACCCTGATCCTGACTGATACTTTACCGCGCCGTCCGGAGAAAGACCCAGCGAGCTGTGGAAGGGGTGACAATAATTGCCTCGCTCGCACGGTATAGCTTCGTCACCGCAAGCGTGCTTCGTTCCCGAAGAACGCGACAATTCATTCTGTCCATCCGAAGCACGGGCTTCTGTTCTCCGTAATATCATAGAAAGAGCCGTCGTGCAGCTAGAGAAGCAGCCGATGTGCCACTGGATGAGCCGACAAAGGCCCTTGGCGGCACCACTGCAGAAAGGAAGGAAGATGATGCAGTGCTGCGCAGCGCGCTGGATGGACGAATGGCTGAAAGGAAAGAATGAAGAAGGGATCGACTCACGGTAGGATGAAGTGCATGAGGAGCACGATGAGCTTCCGATAGGTTGCGCGCGCGCCTAGCGAAGCCAGCCGACCGCGCAACTGTGCCACTAGAGGCGTGAAAGCAATAGCACGCAGTTGTATTAGGGACTCGCTATCCAGTGTGGATCCATTACGGAAAAAGCGTGTGCTGTGGTACTAGTCCCAGGCTCCGGTCGCAGGACGCCTGTCGCCGGTCGTCGGACTACCGTGTCCGCGGCGTTGTGCTGGCGTGCGGTGGGCGGTCTCCTGCTTCGGTCGTGTGCAGTAGCCGATAGCGTTCAACGAGCAGCCCGCTGGCGCGCGTACGAATTATGTACAAAGGTCCCTTGCACGCGTAGTACTGTACAGACGCAGGCGTCTGAGGCACCGACAGGAGTACAGTAGCCCAGTGACGCGTGCCGGGTTCGAGGTGCCTAACAAACGCGGTGTGAGTTGGAAACCGAGAATACCCGCGGAAGCAGATCGTACCTCGAAATGGCTTAGAGAAAACAACAGCTCGAGAGGCTGGGCGGACAGCTGTCAGGCACTGCACATCATTTATGGTGCTGTGGGTGCCACTGCCGGCGCCGGTTCGATGGAAGCGGTGGCGGGTAGTCGGGGACGACGACGCGCAGCTTCTGACGCTGCTGCGGGGGCTGGCAGTGGTCCGGCGACTCCGCGTCCGCGTCCTCGCGCTTGCGCTTGGAAGCGCGCTTCGTGTACGGCGGATGCGAGAGATCCTCATCGACATCTGGCAGCAGATCAAACTGCAGGAAGGTCGGCGAGTGGTACGGCAGCGGGCGCGGCGCGACGAGTGGCGCGTTGCAGATGACGAGCTGTGGCGGCGATGGGCGCGGGGACGGCGCCGAGAGGTCCGAGGTGGCGGAGCTGGACGTGTCGGTCGGAGATGGGGGGACTGGAGGTGCGATGTCAGCGAGATGGTCGGATGCGGAGTCACAGGGAAAGGACGTACGGTCTAGTTCTGGGAGCGCTGCCCATGGTGCGGACCAGTCGAAAAGCGGGCCCCACGGCTCAGGCATGGGACGGCGGTACTGGGGGGCCGTCCAAGCATGCGGCTGGCGACGTGAGACGGGCATGGGCTTCGCCCAGAACGAGGTGTGAAGCGGCCAGCGCTTAGTGGCGTACGTCGGACTGGCGTAAAAGTGCGGGCCGCCGACGACGTTGAAAGGGATGTCTGCGAGAGCGGGGTTCATGATGGTGGTGGAAGGGGAAGAGAGAGATGGATGGTGTGGTGGAGTGGGCCGGGGGCTATAAGTAGAGGCTGGCAACGGAGGAGCGTGTGGTGGGGAAGAAGCGGGCGGATGGCGAGCATGGTGTTGGATTTATATGTGTGGTGTGGGGCTGGGCGCGTGTGACAGATGATGTTCTTGGGATGATACGCCTCCCTCGGGCTTGTCGCGGTGAAGCCAAAGAGCTCGCCATGCCGAACACCCCTGGCCGCCGTTTGTGATCCAGATGGACACCAATCAATTGCCCCATTCAGCCGCCGATCGCCATTCTGTCCCCGCGTGTCACGCCTTTCTTCGAGCCTTCTTCTTTGTCTGCGCGCCGCCATGCTCCGCGCCATACGCTCCCTTTCCACCGCTGCCGCCGCCGTCACACACAGCGGCCAGCAGACCGTGCACCACCCCTTCTTTGTCCCGCGAAACTCCCGAGGCAGCCTGCCGGTCTACAGCGATGTCCGCAATGGCGGCGGTCGCTATCTCGTGAGTGCCTTTCTCCCCCTCTCATCAACCGACGCGTCAACTCGCCCAGGTCCTGATCCGCAACGTCGACGGCGACGCAAATGTGCGTACTCTACCCCCACTCACTCCCCGCCGCGTTTAATCTCGCCTAGGCCCTCGCCAACGCCCTGCGCGCGGACCTCTTCCCGAAGGAAACACCAGAGGCGGCGCGCCTGAACGTCGAGGTCAAACACGCTCGGCACCTCGTCATCACAGGGGGCCGCTGGAAGCAGGCCGTCACAGAGTGGCTCATATCGCGCGGTTTCTAGTTATACTTGCGGTTTCCACTTATTCTTACCTGTCATCATCCTCGGAATCCCACCTCGCTCCACCCGCGTCGGCCGTATCTTGCTGTCTGACTGGCCCGGGCGCCCTGCGGCCTCTGTTCGAGTCCTGACAGCCACTCCTTCTCGATCGTGGCGGGACGCGTGATCCTGCGTGCGCAGTACCAGCACTCCATCTGCTCTGTTGGCGCGAACATGATTCTGCGTTGGCAAGAATATGATTCTGCGCTGTCGGTAAGATGATCTCTCTCCTCGCATCCGACTTGCCGCCTAGTATCTCATCCTGCCGCCGCCCAAACCGCCATTCAGCCTGCCTCTGATGCCAGCTGTGTCGGTACGCAAGCTTGTCCCTTCGCATCATCTCTTCCCTCTCACCTATCGCTCCTTCGCATCTGTTGCCCCGCTGCACCTTCGCGCCTGCTCTGCCGGCAGATGTGGGCTGTCGGTATCAGGACGTTCCTGCGGCACGTAAGGTAAACTCGGCAGTGCCAGACCCGACACTGCTCACTCAGCCTGGCGCCTAGCTTGTCAATGCACCGGGTTCGCAAGCTGGGTGCCGGGTTACGTTCGACCGCAACCCATCTATTCACCCACACTGCTGATATTACCCCACGAAAATTCTGGGAAGGCCTTCTGGTCTGAACACTTCATACATCTCGGACGCGCATCAGCTGTTACTCTGAGTCCATAACGCCCGGACGCTGAGTCCATACCTTGGGACGCGGATATCCAGTTGGGGCCTGAGGCGAGTCTGAGGGGGCGTATTATCCATCGGAGCGTATTATCCATCGGGACGTAAGGTCCATAGAAAATGTAAGGCGGGTAGTGGGTGACAATACTGCGCTCATTGAGTCCCGCGACAGAGATCCAGAGCTATCTTGTGTTGGCGAGACACCCATCCATTCTGGAGATGCGCGGCCGCGGGCTGTCTTACCTGGACTGCCACGCCACCGTCAGGAGTGGGCGCATACCCGGGCGAATCAGGCGCGTTATTGCGCTCGGGATCGGAGGGGCGCTGACAATCAGCTGGGTAGTGAGCATAGGCGCGGGCACTGGGCACTAACCCCGGCATCCCATCCACGGGCCACGGACACCCCATCCACGATCGACCGCGCCGCGGCGGACGGGGCTCGATGCGATACCCATCGCGGGAGGGGAGGACAAGCTGTGAGGGACAGGTACCGGGCTCGGGAGCAGGAGGAGGCCTGAGGGGACTGACTCAGTACTCGAGACGTCACGGCAAGGGACAGTGCGCGCTCAGGCAACTGGACGACCTATCGATGCTATTCTCGAACCTCTCCAGCTATCCAGGGCCCTAACTTGCGCGTCATCTGCTCTTCTGGATGGATCTCAACCCTGGACATTGACCTGCTGTCCGACGATCTCCGAGCGTGTCAAAGTCGCAAGCGCCCAATATGGCGATTGAAAGGACGGACCCACTACGGCAAACATTGACAAACAGAAGAAGCTTGAGAAGCTCGCCACGCGAGCATGTATTGTCACCCGAATAGGCAAGCCCATGACATCACCGTTGATCGCGCGCCGAACCCCGCAAACGCGCCCCCGCACTCGTTCGCTTTTCTTCCTTCACCACCTCATACCCCCTTGACTCCCTATACTCCCGCTAGCTCTCCTCATTCTCGTGCCATGTCAGACGGGTATAACCAGGAGAAGGAAGCGCGCTCGATCGACGCGCTCAACAAATTCGTCGGCGTGCGTAGCTCCTGTGATACGCGATGGCTGACGCGCCGACACGGCTGGGTTGGTTTGTAGCAGGACCCGAATGCGATGTATACGTTTGACGCGCCGGCGGGTGTACCGAGGGCGGAGCTCTGTAGGGGGAAGAATTGTGTGACGGTGCGTGTCAGTCGAGGCGAGAGGGAGGGAGAGGGGTGACTGACGCGCTCGGCAGCTGGACTTGTATTCGACGAAGATGTTTGAGTGTATGCAGGTATGTGGCGGATTATTTTGATCAGCTATGAATACTCACAGGACCGCAGAAGCTCGGATTCTACTGCGCGCTCCCCATGGACCCAGGCCGAACGCACATGGAGTGCCGACCACTGCCAAAGTGACGGTCCTACCCAAACTCCATAATTTATTGTACTATGGACTAGGAACATCAACGCAACGACCTCTCAGGCACGAGTAGGAAGGAAATGTAACTGCAATGTACAAGGAATCCAACACCATGCATCCTCATGCGTCCCTCTTAAAGGCCATCCATGTCCTCACCTTTCCAGCTCATTTCTTAGAAATTTTTGAGTCCTCGGTCGCATATACTTATGGCTTCCCTTTCTCGATCACGGGCGCCTACAAGTCGAAGTTCGTGTGTGAGCGGCCAGGCTTCTAAATCCTAGTATCCTCGCAGCAATTGACTCAAACTTTGTCTTCTTCCCAGGATCTTCGCACCCTCTTCCCAGGATTTTCCGCACCGTAAGCGCGCGGCTATCGTGAGATGGGGTCTTCTATTCGGGCTTCAGTAACGCCGCCAGTCTATATAACTGGCAATGGCTGTGAGGCAACGCTTTCCTTCGCACCCCACACCACCACTTGTCGCGCTTCAACGATGGGTGAGTCGACGCCAGCGTCCTGAATAGTGGCGCTGAAATGTGCTGATTGTTCGTCCAGCAACCAAAGGAGGTTCAAACAATGGTCAGGCCGCCAACGGCCGCGTCTCCAGTGAGTATCCCGCCTCTTACCCGCCCAGAAGGTCTCAATAATTTCCCTCTTTTGCTCAGAATCCAAGGCCGAAATGAGAGCGGAGTCCAGGGCTGCGACCGAAGCGCGACTCGCCGCCCTCAGGGCCAGGTTGACCACGGATGCCGCGAGAATCCTCAAACCCGGAGTGGCGAAGGTGCTCATGCCCATCGTCCTCAGTGCCATCGAGGCGGCGATTCGGGCGAAGATGTGGGCGCAAGAGAGTGAGTGACAGTCGGTTCTGTGCATCGACATGCCAGGTGTATGCGCATATAATCGTTGCAACTTCTGATAAACGATACTCAGATCCTATCCTGGCCACCACCCTCGCTGGCACAGCGCTTAGCCTCATCCTCGCCCCCATTCTGGGTCCCGTCATCCTCGGCGCTCTAGGGTTCGGACCTGGTGGTGTCGTCGCTTGTATGCCTAGTTCCTCTCGTCAGCTCTGACGACGCGCTGACCTTCACTCTCCCAGTGAGCTGGGCAGCCATCATGCAAGCCAACATAGGAAACGTCGTCGCTGGTAGCCTTTTCGCGCTAGCGCAGTCCGCTGGTGCGACGGGAATAATACCCATCGCGTGGTGCCTAGCTGCAGGGGCAGCGGGCGGCGTGGTAGCATGTGGCGGGGCGGTGACCTACGACTTCGTAAGGGGCCGCGAACCTGGGAAGAATGTCAGAATTGCTGGCCAAGTAGCCAGTATCGTGGGCAAGCAGGCCTATGATAGCGCCCGTGAGGCAGTCCGCGACTTTGGCGGATCGGTGGCCCGGCGATGGCGCGGTATGTTCAACAAGCGGAAGCGCGAGTGAGGTGCGAGGGCAGATCCTGACTAGGATTTTGCGATGGTGAGTTACATGTCGAGTGAGGATGGTAGCAAATTTTGACGTATTCGGCAGCCTGATCTGCGGTCGGCGAAGATGTCTGCCAGTGCTTGCAGGTACACACGGAGTGCAGGCCGTTACCCACGGCGTAGTTCACCGACCTCCGTTGATCAATGTACTATGGACTTTGTCCAGCAACACGACCGCCCTCTATGTACAATCATAAGGAATTGTAATCCAACTTGCCATGAATCCGTCCACGAACTCCCACATATCCGCCTTCGTCCTGTCTCTCGTTCTCCTCACCTCTCCAGTCTGATACATCATGGTCTTTATCTACTTCACAACCGAGCATCTGGTTGTCTTGCCAGAGTTGTTTGGCCTCAACTTGACTTTCGAGGATCGGGTCATTTGTGGCGAGCAAGCTTCCAATTCCTAGTATCCTCGCCACTAGAGGAAGCCCCGGCTACGCCGGCTCTGGACCTTGCCTAGCAGCAGGGCAGACACTCGCTCATGGCTTTGCTGTCATCCGACGTGAGCTCGTCAACGCGTCAACAGTCAGTCACTGGAAGTCGTCAGTACACACCTCGTGCGACTTGCGCACGCATCTAAGACTTGTGCAGGTCCATCGAACGGAGCTCAAGCGCTTGTCCCCAAGGCCTTGAGATGCGCACGGCTCGCCTCAAGCTTAAGTTCACGACACAATGGTGGTAGGAGCAGCAGCAGTCGGCCCTCGGGCTCTGCGACCGGCGACGCACTCTTTCTTGAGATCCGGTTCTGGGTAGCTCCGGGTTCGAAGCCCGGATCGTTCAGTCATTAGTTGGGCACTGTTGAGTCTCTGATCGTGCCTGCGAAAAGTTGGGCTTCAATTAAGGGTGGCGAGAGACCTTGCTAGGCAAGGTAACAATTGAGTCAAGCTTCCTAGGACCTTCCGCACGGTAGGCGCGTGGCTAATGTGACATGGGGTCTCCTATTCGCCGCTCAATAACGCCGCTAGCCCATATGACAGTCAATAGCTGTGAGATGGGCCCCTTCCTTCTCACCCCAGCGTTCAGGTTTGCCTCGGGACACGATGCGTGTGTCGCCGTCGTCGCAAGTACAAAGGGAGTCGCTGATTGTCTCTTAGCAAACATCACGGGCTCAGGGGATAGCGATGGCTCAGCAGATGGATCGAAGCCAATGGACGGCCAAGTCGCTCACGACGGTGAGTCCTGCTCTTCCTGCCAATTCCATAGACTGACAGCTCCGTCCTTTTCAGATTCGCCCAACGTGATCATAACGGAGCCCAGAGCTGCCACCGAAGCACGACTCGCCTCTCTCAGGACCCAGCTCACCAATCAAGCCGGCAAGCTCCTCAACCCGCACCTGGCGAATGTGCTCGTGCGCGTCATATTCGAGGCCATCGCGGCAGCACTTAAGGCGACGCTGTGGGTGGGAAAGAGTGCGTGACCTTTGTGCCCGCCGTCGATCCCTATTCCCGTATATTTATTTTTCCTTTCCACAGACCCTACCGTGTGGATTGCCATCGGCGGCGGGGCGCTGACCGCCATCCTCATGCCCATCCTTGGGCCTGCGATGCTCGGTGTCATCGGCTTCGGTTCAGCGGGTATTGTCGCCGGTATGGCGTGCCACTCCCAAAACGTAGTCCCAAATGCTGACCGCTGCGTACCCTCCCCATCATGATCTCGTGAGCAGGCAGTTTGGCAGCACTCATCCAAGCCAGCATCGGCAACGTCGCGGCGGGCAGCGTCTTCGCAGCCTTGCAGGCGGCAGGAGCGACAGGGACGATACCTGCTGCTGGAGTTCACATCGCAGGGGTGGTTGGAACGGCCGCCACAGGTGGTGGAAAGATGGCCTACGATTTTGCGAAGGCGCACGAACTTGACAAGAAGGCTCAGGTTGCCGGGCTGGTTGCCTGCAACGTAGGCAAGAAGGCTTACGACATTGGTGCAGGGACGGCCTGCAACGTCGGCGCCTCGGTCGTTCAAGGCTGGTACGCCATGTGGAACAGGCCGAAGAATGAGTGAGGGGCGTGCGAGTGTAGATCAGACATCCGTTCTGTATGGATATGTCGCCTGTAAGCCATGCATGACAAGAATCTCACTTCGTATAAACACAAACATGGACATTACCACTCCTACTTCCCGTAGTCCACTCCCAAGCATCCCCGCTTCGCCAATTCCGTCTGCTCCTCCGCCATCGCGTGCCGCATCTGCGCATACCGCACCTCGTTCCCCGCCAGCTCATACTCCAGCAACAACCGCCCCGTCGCCGCCGCGCTCGCCGCGTACTCCGAATTCTTGCGCGCGACGGCGTGCTGGAAGGAGCGCAGCTGGGCGTAGAAGGATTGGCGCTCGTCGTAGAGGGCATCGAGGTCCGTGCGGGGTTCTTCGTAATTAGCAACTTTGAGCCGTTTGCGGGCGAGGGCTTGCTAAGAGGGGCATTAGATGGATATGGGAGGAAAGGTGAAAAGGGGAGAGGGAGGATGGAAGGAAGACTCACCCGTTCGTGATGTGGCACGTAGGCCCGGACTCTGAAGTGGTGCGGGTCCTCTGCTTCGGCCTTGACCTCTGCCGCATTGGCAGGTGCTTCTGGTGGAGCAGACGAAGCGGTAGACAACTCCCTCTTGATCCCACCCGGCGGAAGTATTGCGGGGCTGTCCGACGAGCCAGCAACGCCTAGCGATGGCGAGCCCATGACTCCAGTAGGCATAGGCGTAGCCAAAGTCGCAGCCACAGGCGTTGACGTCGCTGGCGTGGGTGGTAAGCTCACGGCTGGTGTTGCAGCCACCGCAGGCGAGTCGCGCGCCAGGGGCGATGCCGCGGCGGGCGATGGCAGGACGGGCGTCGGAGGCAGGGAGTCTGGTTTTGCAGGAAGCGACGAGGGTCCTGAGGTCGATGTGGACAACGATGCATTGCGGTTGAGGCGAGGGCCGGTGGGGATCGGGTGCGTCTGTCCTCTTGAATCGTTGGCGTGGCCCGCCATGCTGCGAGGCTCGGTGGGGAGGGTGAAGCCTCGGGGCTGCGACGGCGGCGCTCCGAGGCGACCTTTGCCCTTGATGTCTCTCGGTGGAGGGGCATGGGCAAGGTTGGGTGTAGCTGGGCTGGCCTGCGCAGGAGTGGGCTGACCGACATGGGAAGCTTGCGGCTCTGCTGGCGACTCAATCTTTAGCTCTGGCGACTTGATCTCGGGAATTGGTGAGGGCACATGCGGTGTCGGTCGCTTAGCGGGTACTTCGTCGACTTCCATGGGCTCATCTTTGGGTTCAGTCCTGGTGGGCGCAGCCGTAGGTGCGACAGGTGGTGGTGGTACGGGTGCCGGCTGAGATGCCATAGGAGCAGACTGCGATGCCGTTACAGCCGACTGCGATGTCGATGCAGCCGGAGTGGAAACAATGTGAACATTGGCGGGGACCATTGCTGCTTTCGCCCACGACGCCTTCTTCGGCGCGGGCATAGAAGGCGCAGACGCGGGAACAATCACGGGCGTGGGCATGTTCCCGTACGCTTGCTTGACGATGTCACCATGGTTGGCAGGTACGGGCGGTCCTGGTGCAGGAGCAGGTTCAGGCTGCACTTCTGCAGGGATAGCCTCGGGATATGATGGCTGCGGCTCTGCTGCGGAAGGTGGAGGTGCCATCTCTATGTCCTCCTCTTTTGGCTCTTCTGAGGGAGGCGGCGAAGGCGTCCGTGCTCGATCCGTAGGAATGGGCTGCCAGTTGCCACGGAAGCGGGGCTGAGTGGGTGGCGAAGCATCCCTGCGACGTCCAGGTCCAGGCGCGTCCCATCTGCGAGGCTGCCTGCGCCTACCCGGTAACCGACTGGGAGGCGGTGGAGGGGAACTGCGACGCGGGGAGCTAATGCGGTGGATGAGAGGCGGAGGCGGTGAGGGTGGCTCAGGCTCAGAGATCAGTTGGCCAGCTTCCAATTCGTCATTGTCGGTTGTGGGCCGGTCGTAGGACTCGCGTTGGAGTTTAGGTACGACGGGGCTTTCAGTGAAGCGGCTGCGAGAGGAGGAGCGCGAGCTTGGCCGTTCGTAGTCTGGCGGGTAGCGTCCTCGAGACATGGAAGGGCTCTCAGGAGGGTATGCACCACGTCGAGGGCTGGGAGTTCGACGTCGATAGTCTACCGAAGCTCGTTAGCCGAGATGGCAGGGGAGCTACACGCAGACGCACCTGGACGTCGGTCATATACATCCCGGCGTGGCGAGGTTTCCCTGTCATACCTTCCTCGAGGAGGTGGGAAGTCGCGAGACGTAGAGGGGTAAGGGTCTCTTCTATCATCGTATCCTCGCGCAGCGCCAGCATAGTAAGTATCCCTCTCAGGCTCGCGCCTAGGTGGTCTCGATTCGGGGTACGGTCGCCCATATCCTCTGTTCCTCGAGTTATCCTGCCATCCACGGTCTCCCCGCTCCGGATACTCATCCCGGAAGCTGTCATTCGCAGGATATGAGTCTCTGGCATAGCGCGGATTGTACGCTCTGTCACCGCCGCGTCCACGACCTCTACCGCGCGGCGGCCTGTCATCACGCCCGCGGAAGCGTCCACCAGTCTCTCGTCTGGGTCCAGGAGGGGGAGGCACAGCGCCGTCGGGGCGCGGAGGAAGGCCAGACATGCTGCGTCTTCGACGTTATGTCGTCGTCGTTCGGGAACAAGCGACGCGCGTGTCTAAGCGGACGCATTTCTGACCCGATCAAGACAACAAAGAACGCGTCCAGATTGGGGAACGGCAATTGTTCTTTGCTTTCGTCCTTCACCGTCATCATGGCAGCGAATTTGCAGCCGTTGGCGTCTCTGGCGAACATTGAGCGCACTCCATCGCGTGAAGATGGTATTCCGCAGGAACTCGAGGAAGACTTGCGCGCATATGGGTGTAAACTCATCCACCAGGCTGGGATCTTGTTGAAGCAGTGTGTATATGCTTTGCTCGACGTACAAGGAGAGCTGAGAGCATGGCAACAGGAAGCAGGTAGCCGTCGCATCTGCGCAAATACTCTTCCAGAGGTTCTGGTTTGTGTCCTCGATGAAGCAGTATGGGATTGGGGTACGTCTGTCGCTTGGTTGATATCTAGTTGCAGGGTTTGACGTTACGTTAGGACATGGGTATGGGGGCACTATTCCTCGGCTCCAAGCTCGAAGAATGCCCAATCCGCATGCGCGACATCATCAACGTCTACGACGTCCTTTTGCAACGAGAAGAGCACTCGATCAGTTCTAAGAGCCATACGCCCTTCAAGTATTCTCCCATGTCGTACTTTGGCAACACGTTTTACGAGCTCAAGGATGCACTTGTCGTTGCGGAAATGCAATTACTCCAGCGCTTGGGCTTCAACGTGCACGTCGTCCTGCCCTATGGTTCCCTCGTCAATTACCTCCGCGTTCTTGGCTTGACAAGTCGCGCGGACGCGGTCACGAAGGCTTGGGGATACCTCAATGACGCGTGAGTATTTTCCTTCCCCCATCCGTCTATATCCAAAACTGATGACCCTCGTCATGCAGTCACCAAACGGCCGTCTATGCCCTCTATCCCGTTCCCACTATCGTTTCCGCAGCCATCCTCCTCACCTCCCGCGACCTACATATCCCCCTGCCTTCCGAGCCACCCAACGCCTGGTGGGAGCTCTTTGACGCCGAATGGGTCGACATCTGGGCGGTTTGCGGGCATATTATACGCCTGTACCGTCAACGACCAGAGGGGGAGCGCGAACGACTGGCGGGCATGGTGACGAAGAAGGGCGTGCGGCAGTGGTTGCAGGATTACGCGGCGGATGGGACGGCGTGAGGTCGCGACGGTTTTCCAAGACGGCCCACACATTGACCATTGCTGGCAGAAGATGAAGTACAAGGAACAACCCGTGCCTCGAGTCTGGAAAACCGTCCCTCAAGGTAGCCCGGCTGCACTCCAGGGCTACCATCCCCTCATCCGCTCCCTAAAAGCCCCCAACCCGCTTTTTCGTCGGTTTCTTCTTCGCTGCAGGGCGTCCGCCGAACGGTCCTGGCAGCACTTGCGTACTCGGCATGAAGTCTATCCCTTGGCTCTGGCTCTGGCTGAATTCTGCGTTCGGCTGGCTCTGGCCAACGTCCATACGGTTCTGACCGAAGTCCATGTTGGGTTCGCTGCCTGCAGCCTGCAGAGGTCGACGCGCGAGTGGTTGGGTCGAAGGGAAGGCGGCTCGCATGGAAATAGCCGGAGCTCGCTGACTCGCCACCACCGGCGGCGGTTGACTCGCCATCACAGGCGGTGGCTGACTCGCAACAACGAACGGCGGCTGGCTTCGCTGCTGTAACTCCGCGCTCAGGATTCCCGCCGTCGATGTCGGTTTCGCCGCCTTCCTTCTCGCCACCGGCGGCGGGCGCTCGGCGGCATCCGCATCGTAGGCGTCGTGGAATTCGTACTCTGCGGGGTCTTCGCCGAGGGTCCATTCGCTGAGGAGGAGGCGGGGGCCTGGGGGGAGGGTGAGGGGTTGGTCAGTGGTGTCGGGGGTATCGGTGGTGTCGGGGGTATCGGTGCTATCGAGGGTGGTGTTTGCGGCGTCGGGGGCGGTGTTCGCGGTGGTGTCGGCTTGAGCAATCGCGCTCTCATTCGGGTGCACATTCGCATAGTGGTCCTTCCTCAAAGGCGTCAAGTAGCTGAAGTGCACAGGCGGCGGATCCGTTGCGAGGGAGAGAGCCGAAGTCATGGCCTCCAGGTCGTCGGATTCTTCTGGAGGTGAAAGGAAAGGACGAGCGGAGAATATATGTCGGGAGAGGGCTAGGTCGAGGGTCAATTGTTGGCGGGCTTCGTCCTCGCGGCGGAGCGAGGCGGCGGTGCGCGCGTCTTCTGGCGAGTCAATGTCGGCTTCATTGGTGCCCTCGCCATTCACCTGGCCCTCGTCACCCGCCAGATCCCACTGCCTCAATAGCTCCTCCATCTCCCCAACGTCTTTACTCTCAAAGTCACTATCCAGCCTCGCTAAACTGGATCCTATATCCCAATGCCACTTTGCCCCCTTCTTGATACTCTCGAGTTGTATGCGATCCTGCACGAGCGCGCGATACCCGCGGAGGGAGTTGATAGTGCTTTGTGTCAGGAAATCGGCCCGGGAGGGATTCTTGGGCTCGTCGCCGGAGCGGAAGAGGACGTCGTAGGTTGTCAACATGTGGTCGGGGTACTCGTCTGCTTGTTGCCAATAGTTAGGGACATTGTCGAGGAGGTCGTAGACGGAATCGGTGTCCTGCTCTTGAGCGACACGGCGCTCATCGTCGTGCTGGCGGAAGACCCCTGGTAACGTCAGTCAGTCAATCAAGGATTGTCAGGTAGAGAAAATCTTCACTATCGTACGCCGGCCGTAGATTCATCTCAACCTTGTCTTGCATGCCTAGAGGGCCAGAGTCCGGTTCCGCATTTTCTGCTGTGCTAGCCAGCTCTTTGACTTCGTCCGACCAATCGACGCTCGTCCGAAATGCTGCAGGATCTTCTCCCTCGTCCGCGAGGTATAGATCGTTGCAGGTTAACTCGCCCCGAGCGTCCAAGCGAATGCAGCTTAGAAAGTCGCTGTCGTTATTCGAGAAGGGATGTCCGAGAAGTGCCTGCCCCACGAACGGCTGTGCGGGAATGGAGGGCAGGGCATACGGTGGGGTGTGTGTATAGATGAGGTCGCCATCCGCGCGAGAAACGTCGTAGACGGTGACTAGGCCATTGTGAGGTGATGAGAGGAATGAGAGGGGGGCTGTGGGAGGTGTGGTCAGCGATTTGACGTTCGGATAGCATTTTTGGCAAAAGTACGCGGGATAATCGCAACACTCGGACTTACTATCGCGTATCCTGGCCGTATGAAGTTGTAGTGAAGGGTCGTACTGTCGACCGTGCACGTACGACAGTAGCGGGCGTGCAGAATATCGGGAGTCGAGCCAAAGAAGTTGCGAGGTCGTACATAGACGAATAATGTTCTCGGCCGGGTCCTCTTCGATTGCTGTGAGGCGTTCTGGTGGTTTCGCAAGAGAGAAGGTGGATGTTGGTGTTTCGCTTGTCTGAAGAGGTGTCAGAGATTTTGATGGCTACGCTGGCATGGATCGGCGCACTCGAGGATCTAGCCGACGAACGGCTGAGGAGGATGCGAGCAGAAAAGTTGGAGTCAATAGGTTCATTCCTAGTCTCCAAAATTGATCGTTCTGTGAAGTCGTATCGAGTGGCTGGACGACGGTCTTCCTGTAGATAGAATGAGAGCTAGCCAGGATGTGCTGAATATTCATGCGTACAGGGAGGACTGTCCCACGGTCAGGTCAGCGGAATAGACGCCACCCTGCTCATTTACGGCGACGAATGTCGGTCCAGACGGCTGGAAATCCATGTCCACGATATATTTGCTGCCCGTATGTGCGCGCCTGAGTGTCAGGCAGTCTTCGAGTTGCACGGCTGATGCACTCGCTTGCGCCTTCAGCTGCGAGATATGTGTGGCTCCGAGAGTGCGTATGGCGAGATAGGAAGCTAGGAAACTCATGAGACAGCGAAAGATGGAACGTATGGAGCAAAATACTTACACTGATTCCATATACCAGAGGCGGGACTATGCGCTACAATTTGTTGGATCGGTGTTGGAAATGTTCGTGCAGGACGTGCTTGCGGTATGAAAGTGGTCCCTTCGTCTGCGCTATGTGTATACGGCGAGATATCTACCATCAAAGAAATCTCATTATGATTCCTGCCTTCGCCGAAGGAAAACATACTCAAATCACTTCCAAGTTCGCCGGTAGGAAAAGCCAGGCATTTAGTTGCTTGTGTCGGAGTGTCGTGGTACACCACGGGCGCCAAAGTGTTCCCAGCGAGTGGATCGAATGTGACGGTATCGCGAGCTAGCTCCTCGTCATGGGTGATCTCCTCGCGGATGAGTTCGGCGGTCACGTCGACGTCAGGGAGGAAGGTGCGGAGGAAATTGGCCTATTGGGCTGTTGTGTGAGTAGGCAAAACATATAGCATGTAAAGGATGCAATGACGTGTGGTAAATGCAAATAAATTACTTACACCCTCTTCGGCTTTCTGCTGTATCGTCGTGTGCGGCAGAGGGAGCTCGGGCGTTCGCGTAGACGGAAACAGCGTGACAGAGTCCCTTGCAGAGATTCGCGAGCGCTTTCCTAAGCAAGGTAAGCACGACAGCGCATTAAAGTGGCATATCCTTACCTACTCTTATCCAGGGCGCCTGTTATTGTGCTCCATTCAAGGCGGCCATTGGAACGCTCCAGCAGCGTAGCAGAGCTTAGTAGACCAAGAACCAGGGTTGGATATCCTTCGGTAGGTTTCTCTCTTTGCTTCCTCTTGCCCTTCCTGTGCGAAGTAGAGCTCTCCGCTCGGTTGTCTGTTGGCCAGGCATTGGATGGGGGGCTCATAGTGTCAGTTTTTCCAGAAAGCAAGTATATCTCTCTTTTCCCTGATTAAAAGCTTCAAGCGCCAGCTGGCCGCGTAGTCTAGTGGAATCAAGCAGCAAGCGAGTGATGTTCACGTTCAAGTTGAACTTCCCTTTCCCGCGCCGGCATTGCGATCGGCGCGCGGCCTCGTCCGGACCGGTAAACCCAGCGCGAAAACTCCCATTCCTTCGGCCTCGACGTGCGCACCGGTGATCATGCTGCGAACGGGGCTTTGTGTAGTCGCGGAAGCGCCGGCGGCTCTGCGGGCGACACCAAAGACAATGGCGACGCTGCGCGCGACGACTCGGTCCGCGCGCTTGACCTCCGCGACACCGACCATACCCAGAATACGATGCGTGCACTCTTCTGCGGCTGCCAGGGCGGCTGCGGCGAAGGCAGAGGCCGCGCCTGAGTCGAGAGAGCCGCCCAAGTGGACGCCGCTGTCGGTGCGCACGGGCGTCATCGCGCGGAAGAAGGGAATGACGACCATCTTCAATGAGCATGGCGTGGCGTGTCCAGTGACGGTGCTGCAGGTGCGTAGGTTGTACCTTGAGGATAGAACGTACATGACTGACCCCCGTATTTTTTCCTCCCCCTTCGCCGACCCCCCTATCATAGCTCGAGAACTGCCAGGTGACGGCCAACATCCGGACTGTGAGGCGCGATCATACGGTGTACCACGCCGTGCAGGTCGCGGCGAGCGACAAGGCGGCGAAGAACACGTCGATTCAAATGCTGGGGCACTTTAATAAGGCAGGAGTTCCCCCGAAGCAGGTCGTGAAGGAGTTCCCTGTGACGCCGGATGCGGTGGTGCCAGTTGGTGCGTGCAGTATCTTCGTGAATTTGGGGACTTCAAAGCTGATCGAGCACGACAGGAACGACCCTTTCAGCATGTCATTTCGTACCAGGGCAGTATGTGGACGTGGTGGCGAACTCGTATGTGCTTCCGCCCTTGTAGAGGGAAGGGCCGGACTAACGCCGCACTTGCAGCATCGGAAAGGGCTTCCAGGGTGGTATGAAGCGATGGGGCTTCGGTGGTCTCGCAGCAAGTCACGGTGCTTCCATCTCTCACCGTTCCCTCGGTTCGACCGGCCAGAACACTGTACGTTCGATCACCTCACCCACAACACCTCAGTGCTTACTCTCCGCAGGACCCCGCTCGCGTTTGGCCCGGTCGCAAGATGGCCGGTCGACTCGGCAACGAGCGCACCACCACCCAGAACCTCCTCGTCGAGCGCATCGACAACGAGCTGAACATCGTCTACGTGCGCGGAGCGGTCCCGGGCGTGGACGACGCCTTCGTCCAGGTGCGCGACGCCAAGAAGAAGGCCGCGGTGGGCAAGCACGCCCAGGAGCGCGGCGCCACGGACAAGATCCTGCCCAAGGGCGTGCTCGACCTCCCCTTCCCGGCGGGTACGAAGGAGCTAGCGGAGACGCTGCCTCCCATCGTGCAGATGGCGCCGAACCGGAGGAATCCTTTCACGATGGCCGACTAGATGTAGTTGCCTGTCCTCTATACGTATATCGCTCTATATTACTTACCACTCATGCTACCACTGGGGATTGAACTTGAATCGACGCGAACGTGAGAACTTCAACTTCATCGCGGTGATTAGCGCGTGACGATACGCGCCCAGCACGCGTGACGCCGGCGCGTTTGTTGACCGTCTGTTCGTCGTCCCTACCATCGTCCTCGATGGTGTACTTGCCGCCGCCCCAATTCGCGTCCGCTGGAGAGCAGTCGTACGCAGAGGCATACCAGGACATTCTCAACTCCTTCCGCTCCGCGCCGCTCAATGCCGCCTCTTCTGTCATCATGCTCGTCGCGCCCGACGTTGACGCGCTTTGCGCCGCGCGCATGCTCTCCGACCTCTTCAAGCAAGACGACGTGATCTTCCGCATCATACCCGTCTCCGGCATCAGCGAGTTAGAGCGGATAAAGGAGGACCTGAGGGATTACACAGATGTGTGTGGCTGCACTCTTGGCCACTCTACCTTGCTGACCGTGTTATAGCTTCGTTCGCTCCTACTGATTAACATGGGTGCTATCTTGGACCTGCCCTCCGACGAGTGGTTTGGGTATTTCAACCTGCAGGTCAAGGTGCATGTCATCGACTCCCAGCGGCCGCAGAACTTGTCCAGTCTGTTCGGCGGTGGCGAGAATGGCGAGCGGATCGTGATATGGGGCGACGTCAAGTACGATTCGATGGAGCCCGAGCGAGAAGCGTGGGAGGGCTTGACGGTGCGTAAACTCGCCCTGAGGCTCGAAAGATGGAACTCATCACCGTACAGTACAACCCCGAGCCCGATTCAGACGAAGAAGACGAGGAGTCTGACTTCGAGGACGACCTGTACGCCCGGAGTGAGGACGAGGACGACGGCTACGAAGAGGAAGAGGGCCGGCCACGGAAACGCAGATCCCTAGGCGACGGCGATCGCAGAGGGAAGAGGAGACGAACGGATGATCAGGTGCGTACTCTGCGACTTCGCTGAACCTCAGACTAAGCAACGTGCTTCAGCCCTCTGGCGGATTGTCGCGCGAAAAGCGCGAAGAGTTCGCAATGCGCATAAACAAGCATTATACCGGCGGCACTTGGTACGGACAGAGTGCCTCCGGGACCATCTACATCCTCGCTACTGTCCTAGAACGCGTCGACCCCGAGCTATTGTGGTGCGTCTATATCCCTCACTCCCCTTTCTCAACCTCATCCCATCCCCTCAGGCTCGCCATTCTAGGACTCACATACCAATACACGACGTCCCGAATATCGCGCGACGTCTACGACACATACCAATCTGTATACTACGACGAGGTCTTCCGCCTACACCCTACCACGAACACCGCCGACACCAAGAACGCCCTCATCTCCCTCAACCCCGACGACCAGAGCATCCGCGTATCAGAAGAGCTGCGATTTATGCTCTTTCGACACTGGACTCTATACGACGCGATGTTCCACTCTAGCTATATTGCCAGTAAACTGGGTATATGGAAAGAGCGGGGGAGAAAGAAGCTTACGGGTCTGTTAGCGAAGATGGGGTAGGTTAATTTAACATTCCACGTGAGGATAGCGACACTGACGGCCTCTCGTAGTTTTTCCATCTTGGAGACACAACAGCCCTTCTACCACATGAACATGGAGCTCAAGCGCGACCTTGTCGACCGTCTCGAGGCTACCGCACCCGAGTATGGCTTGCTAGAATTGTCCTACCCTTCCTTCTTCCGCTGTTACGGCTACCGCCTACATCCATTATCCGCCGCCGACGCCGTCGAGGGCCTCGCTGCTCTCCTCGATGTCGCGGGAGGCGTGAAGATGGAGGTCGAGATTGAGGGCGCGCGTAATGGGGGCGAGTGGTTCGGCGCGGGACGCGTGTGGGAGCTGCATGACGAGGGGCGCGAGTATGGCAAGCGGCGACGAGAAGACGAGAGGGAAAACATACCTCCAGGTGGTCCGGATGCGGCAGCGAAGAAGGCCAATGGCGAGGAGGAGGATGGGGAGGATAAGGGCGTCCCGTGGTGGGTTCGAAATTTCTGGGCCGCGTTTGACGCGTTGGGCAAGTGAGTACTTGGGGGGTGGTTTTGCCGACTTCGTGCTGACATGATCTTCTAGCATTGACCGCCTGCACGAAGCGCTCAAGCTCACTATGTCTCTGCATCGCGCTATCATTCGACAAGGGACATCAATCATCGACAAGCAGGATATCCGGACTATGCGTTCCCATCATGTCGTTGTGCTCACGCAAGGCCCGGACCTTTCCCTGTTCGCGCATCCGGGCGTGCTTGCACGCCTCGCCCTGTGGCTCGTCGATGCAGTACGAGAGAAACTGCCTGCCGGCACTGGGCGTGGCAAACGGCGAAGTCTGCCCTTCGTGGTTGCGTGTCTCAACGAGACAGCGGGCACGTATATCGTTGTCGGCGTCACCGCAGCGTTGAGCTTCGGGGATGTGCGGAAGAAGTGAGTTAACCTCCTTTTTTCTCCTCTCTGTTTCTTTCATTCGTGTGCTGACGATATATCTTTCCCTAGTGAATTCGGCCTCCAATTTCTCGACGCCAAGGAGCGCTGCAACGCGCGGACACGGCATAGCACGTTCGACACGAGCGTCATCGAGATCAACAAGGCCGACTTGAACATCTTTTTGACGACGCTGTGCGAGGGACCTGATTTGTATTAGCATTGCATAGCTTCATTGAAGTGCATTATTTATGTATTTACAGCATGCGAAGGGATGTACACTATCCTTATTAGAGCACAGTGCGGTTGTTGAGGTCGAGGGTTGGACGATATGAGTATATGTCGTATAGACGCTGGTGTAGGTCTGCTGGTGCCATGAGTTTTTTCAGGCGCCAATCGTGAGCTTTCTCAAGACTTACAAGTGAGTGACCTGACATTGTTCAATGCCTTCCTAATGGGGATGTAAAGTCCATAAAGCGGCACGGCCGACTTTCCCATGATGCTCGCCTTGAGTTCGTCGGCCTCCGGCTTAGGTCTACCTCGAATCGGTAGCAGACAATGGTGCTCGACGCACTTCCAAAGCGACCGTCACGAAAATAAATTTTAGTTAGCAAAGCGTGGTATGCCCTACATCTACAAGGCGCCTACATCACAGATACAGCCCGCCCAATAAATACGACGTGTACGTGAGTGGTCGCCCAGCGCGATGGGATAGAAATACAATTAATAACTTATGCGTAAAGGGTTCTCGGGAACGGCGTCTACGCCTGAGTCCAGACGGACACGGTAGAAGCGAAGCCGTTCCGGTTGTCGGCCTGCTTGATCACCGGCTTGCCACCGACACTCAGCTGGTTCTCCGTCGAGACGGTGCTGAGCTGGAAGATGTACACGTTCTTGGAGGAGGCGGTGTCGATGTTTGTGATCTGCGGCTGGCAGTCGAATGTGTCGAGGCACTCCTGGGTGTAGTCGATGAAGAAGGAGTAGAGGCCGGCACCGAAGACGAGGATGTCCTCGGAGTTGGCGATGTTCAGGGCCCAGGCGGAGGTCTGGCCGTCAGGGAAGGACGGGTCCTTGAGGTCGTCGTTGAGGGAGAAGGGCTCCGGAACAGCGGGGGTAGGCTGGAAGTAGGGCTGGAAGACGAGTTAGTCGAAAGCACAGCAGAATGAAAGTCAAGGTAGTACGCACCGACTCAGTCTGGATGAGACCAAGGTAGTGGTTCTTCGCGCCGTTGAGGTTGTACTGGTAGAGAACGTGGTGCTCGGACGCAGTGCCGATCATCCAGACGGGGCCAGCGGACTCGGAGAGGATACCGCGACCGGAGTAGACGGTGATGCGGCCCTCCTCGGGATCGTCGAGGTCGTGGTCGGCGTTCCACACCCAGGTACCCTCGAGGTAGGCAGTTGACTTGGGAGTAAGGTGCAGAGCGAGGTACGCGGAGTAGCACTCCTCGTTCTGACTGCCAGACGGGCAGTTGTCGACCTGGAGACCGCTTCCCTTGGCTAGAGGAGAAATTAGCAAACGCCCAGCATGAATTATGAGCAGTGTACGTACCACCAGCGAGACGGACGTGGCAGTCCCACATACCCGCGGAGCCTTGCTCCTCCTCAGCAACGTTCCACTCAACGACGATAGCACCACCGGCCGGGCCGACAGTGGAGAACGCGATATCCTGGATCTCGATCGTGCCCTTGTCGCCCTCGTTGCCGACCTTGACGACGACCTGCGGGTTCGCCGGGTCCTTGAAGGCATCGCCAGAGCCTGCGAGGACGGAGAAGACCTCGCCGACGATCTTGGAGCCAACCGGAATCGTGAGCGTCTTGGTGATGATGTAGGTGCCGTGGTCGATGAAGACGAGGTTCTTGCCTGCGTTCTGCGTGGCGAGTCAGCGGATATGCTAGTAAACTGAATACGAGCACTCACGTCGTCGAAGAGCTTCTGCAGAGCGTCCGTGTCATCGGTCTTGCCGTCACCCTTCGCGCCAGCGGACTTCGCAGTCACGACCTGGTCCTTGGTGAAGTCGGTGTATTGCGGGCGCGGTTTCGAGAAGATCTTGCCGTTAGCGAGGAGTGAGTCTGCCTTGGTCGGCGCGGCAACCTTGTCCTGCGTAAACTTGCCCTCAGCGTTGTCGCCGCTGTAGACGTTGCCCTGGGCCCAGGACTCGATGGTGCTGCTGCCTCCCTCGAGGACAACGTTGCCATCAGCTGATTGGACAGCGGTCGGGACGTTCGTGAGCGCAATGTTGTTGAGCACGATAGAGCCCGCGAGCGACGTGCTGGCGTTCGAGGTCTGCAGGAAGATCGGCGTCTCGGCGACGGTGGCGTCGATAATGGCGAGGCCAGCAGTAGTCTGCGTGTCTTCCGTGATTCCGCCAGTCATCGCGTCGAAGCCAATGCCGCAGTTGTTGATCGTGACGCCCTGGAACGTCCAGCCCCAGTTCCACAGCGAGTAGATGGCTGTCTTCGCGTTGTTGATCGTGACGTTGCGGACGGTGAACTGCTGGTTGCCGACCCACATGCCGAAGTTGCCTCCGTTGAAGGTGAGGTCGCTCATGAAGCCACCCGAACCGTTCTCCATCCAGATACCCTGGTGCTTGGTGTCGTCACCGTCGGCCATCTCGAAGCGCACGTTAGCGAGCGACGTCGCCCTGGATCCCGAGGTCAGAGACAAGCACAGGAACTTGAACTGAGTATAACGCACTGTGCAACCTGCCAGTGAATACCAGTCGCAGCAGTCGCAGCAGGGACTTGGGTAGTATCGATGACGAAGTTGCGGACAGAACGGAAGCTAAGGTGGAAGTGAGCTTCAGATGAAGCGAGGAAGACGAGGACCATGTACTCACAAGTTGTTCTGGTTGACATACCAGCTTTCACCGTTCTCCGTCGGGTCAGCATCGATGATAGCCATGCCAGCAAAGTCGGCGGCAGCGAGAAGGGTCGGAGGGTTGGTCGCATCACCAATGAGCTGGGTGTAGTAGTAGGGAACGATGGGTGCAGAGATGACGTAGGAACTACGGGAAAGGTCAGCATCGCCGCTTCAGATAGCGAGAGGGGCACATACCCTTGAGGGAAGTAAACGAGGGCCGGGGTAGTGGTCGAAGAAACGCAGGTGGTGGCACCGCAACGGTTGCCGTCGGTGATGGCTTTGCTGCAAAACCGTAAGTGGAGGGAGACGCATTCAAGGAAGAGAGGTCGCACTTGATGACCTCCGTATCATCCGTCGTGCCATCACCCTTCGCACCGTAGTCCTTCACGTTGCGGAAGACCTTGTAGTCGGCCTCCCCAAATGCGGGGGCACCGGCATGGTCGATAGCTTCCAGCCAGAACGTGCTCGACTGGCGCTCCTGAAGCGGGAACGCCGCGGCAAGAAGAGACAGTAAAGGAAGGAGGAGGATGCCTGCCAACATGTTGACCAGCTACTCAAGGGCTGGTGAACGGGTAAGGAATGGAAGGGGGGCGCTGGGCCGAAAGAGAAGGATGAGGGGAAAGCGGACATAGCAGCTGCGCCTTTTATATAGACTGACGGGGCTCTGAGTAGCCTATCAACTGATCTTGAATCGCAGGCGAAGTCGAGCAGACCCGCGCGGCAGCCGCAGGCGCGCACACGAAAGCAGCGTGGGGGTGGTTACAGAGGGCTTGCGCGGGTCGCGGGCGCTTGCCCGAAGTGGGCGACAAGGCGCATATGCCACCGCCGTTGCGGGCGTTGATCCGTATGTCGCCCCCGAGCCGTCGACAAGGCAGTAAAACGCGCCGAGCCTTGAGCGGATTGCGATGGAAGGCGACGGGGTCAGCGATGTCGCGCTTTCCCTTGCCGTCTAAGTTTGGCGAATCCTTCAAGGGAGGTGAAGTTGTGAAGATGCTCCTGAGGGGCGACATGAAGGACACTCTCGTGAGCAAGTTTACCTTCTCAAAGTCTTCTCCGAGTAGAATTCTACTTGCTTCGACTTCCATAATCATGAGCAAGGTAGATCAGTAGAGGGCCGCAGCAAGCAGAGCCAAGTGGGCCATTCAGCGGCGCTCGTGAGCAGCTCCAGCAACGCGCTGTCCATTGTCACGGCCGCTATGGTTGCAATCTCTGCGGTCTCAGCTACCTATCACGCTGGTCTTTTTGTGGGCGAAAGTCTATGGCACAATCACGGGCCCCGCTGTCGACGTCGTCGCGTCGCAAGAGAGGAAGTGTGTGGGAGTGGGTAATCGAGGGCGGGAAAAGGCCGCGGAATTTGCCGAGTTCGACTTCGGTCCAGCATGCCTTGGCGACGTCCGCTCCGTAGCGTCTGCGTATCGGTAAAGGTCCCGCCCTGATCTGCGCTCCGTGAAGGTTACATTCGGGGTCGTCACCTTCAGTGACACATGAGGCGGACCTCAGGGAGGGGATCGCAGAACATAGGCATTTCGGTGTTCAGCCTGCGCTGATCGTCGATGAGATCGAGCGAGGGTAAAGTCTAGCGTCAATTCCATGTCAGCATCGTAGTCAGTCGTATAGTAGTAGGTAGATCCCGCCTGACGGCCTAGATAATAAAGATACGCAGCGAGCAAGCCCCCCAAAACTATCTCCTGCCGCCCTTCGACGCCGCCTGGATGAGGCCGTACAGCCCGTACATCCAGTTCCGTGCACCGTCGGCGTACAAGAAGCGTACAAGGCCAGAGGCAAATTCCCTGACGGAGGGTTAGCAGAAGGTTAGCGGGAGAAGCACAGAGCGCCCGTACCAACTCTGTAGCAAAGAGCGCAACGGGTAGTCCAAGACAGGCGGGATGCTGGTCTGGATGAGGTTTGGCCAGCGGTCGACCATGATCGCCTTCGGGTTCGTCAAGGCGCGCAGGCCTTCAGGACCACCTAGGCAATGTCAGCAAGAGAGGTAGAGCATACACGCCTCCGAGACGTACCGAAGCGACCGTATCCACTGGCTTTGCAGCCTCCGAATGGCAAGTCTTGGCTAGAAGGGGTAATCAGTACGCTTTCCGTATCGGTTCAGCACGCAAACATACTTCATCTGCACGAATAAGGTCAGTTTGAGCCACATTCATGCAAACCACCCACTCACATAGAAGACAGCAAAGTCGTTGATGGAGACCATCCCACACTCCAAACGTTTTGCGACCTCAAGGCACTTCCCTTGACTGGGACCGAAGACGCTGGCACCCAGACCATACCGCGTGCCGTTTGCAAGCTCGATAGCCTCCTCGACGGTTTCATATGGCATAAGCAGAGCGATAGGTGCGAACACTGAAGGAGTCGTCAGAATGAGTTCTCATCCGAGGGTTGAGAAAGACACGTACGCTCTTGCTGAGCAATCTCCATGCTGTTGTCCACAGGACCGACGACAGTCGGCTGGAAGTAGTACCCGTTCTCAAGGTAGACGTGGTTGTACTGTCGTCCGCCGATAACATTCGCGCCACCCTCTTCAGCGTCCTGGATGAGTGCCTCGAGCGCTTGGAACCGGTCGCCGTCAATCATAGCACCGCCGTCGACAGTGGCAACGTAGCCCTCTTGCGTGGGCGCGAGCACAGAACCGAGACGAATCTTTGAGGCGGTTTCCTTGAAGATGGCCTCGAGTTCATCGTATTGCGAAGAGTGCACGATGAGGCGCTCGATGCCGATGCAGTTCTGGCCCATGTTCTGGCTGCAGGAGGTCAGTCGAATTGCGCAGATGAGGAGGGAATAAGCCTTACAAGACACCACGCTTCCACAGAGGTGCCCAGCGCTCGATATCCGTACCAGGAAGGATGACGCATGGGTCCTTGCCACCCAGTTCTAAGGTGACCGGGATAAGGTTCTCCGTTGCGTCTTGGGCAATCTGAGCAGGGCTTAGGAACACTACTTGTATGTAAGCGAAGGCGAGAGACCACTCACGATTCTGCCGACGGTCTCCGAGCCGATGAAAGTGATGTGCTTGATGAGGGGAGACCTCGTCAGGGCGGGCGCCTTCTTCGGGTAGCAGCAGACAAGCTGGACGATGTCTTCCGGGTGGCCGAGGGTGCGCAGGCAGGTTGTGATCGCGTCGACGAACCATGTCGACGACCAAATGACCTTCTCAGAGCACTTGAGCACGACAGCGTTACCGGCAAAGATTGACGCGAGAATGGGACTCCATGCATTGTGGAGCGCTACGGGATGGCTGAGCATACGATTGAGTTGAAGGGGAGCTTGAACGCACGGTAATTCCACGAGACGATGGCAGCCACCACACCGAGGGGTTCGTAGTGAACTTCAGCGCGCTTGTAGGCCATCATGAAGTTTCCATGGCGCTTTTCGGGTCGGAGGTACCGCTCCCCATGCTTCAGGATCCACTCCATCTTCGTGCAGGTCGTCATGATCTCCCCGAGAGACGCGTCCAAAACTGAAAACACGCGTTCAGCCACCCAAACATCGACGAAGAGCGGGCCAACGCACGCGTTTTCCCCGTGTCACGGCACGCGACCTTCGCGCACATCTCCTGGTTGTCCACCAGCCACTTCAGCAGACTGCGCACGACGCGCCGCCGCTGCACGAAGGTCGTCTGTTTCCACCGACGCTGCGCCTTCGCAGCCTTGTTGATCTTGAACGCAATCACGTTCTCGTCGTCGGCGAGGTACGTGCCCAGGTGCAAGCTCGTCGCGGGGTCGAAGGCGGTGATGTACTCCTGCCCGGGAATGTCGATGGGGGGCAGGACGTCGGGGTGCTGCAGGTGCGACTGCAGGTTCGCGTTTTCGAGCGGCAATCCCTCCCATTGGGGATCTGCCTGCACCGGCGCGTGGTGCTCGAAGGGGACAGGACTATTGTGTGCCCTCTGGTATCGTTCGTACACGAGGTATATACCCCCGGCGAAACACAACACGATCGGCCAGAGAATCGTGTCAAAGTCGCTGGGTTCGTCGTCGGCGATGTACTTCTTAGTTGAACTTTTGGCCTCCGCCAGCGACGCCAGTAGGGCAACAGGAATGAGGGTGTCCAGCATCGTTAGCGGTAGAGGAGGAGGAGGGGGAGGAGGAGGAGGTCGAGGCGCGAACCAAGTTCGACCGCTTCCAAAAACGCGCGATGAACGATCACGTGGAAAACGCGAGGAAGTTGAACATTCGGTCGAGAGTCGAGACTTATGCACGACGAACTGGGATCAGAGGGAGCTGAGGGCTGCCCAGCACCTTCCACAGATCTCGTACTACCCAGGACGTACGGCCACCCCTGCTCCTCGGTACACACCCCGACGTGCAAGTCTTCCATAACCTCCATTACATTGCCAATCGTCCCCGGGGAAGCGACGCGTCGTACGATTCGTGCAGGTGATAGCGGAAAGCAGTTATACGAGGGCGCACTATGCAGGAACGGGTATAGAAAGAAAAAAAGAGCTTGCAAGCTACACACGTGAATTATCGACAGGCAGGATGATTTATCGACCGAAAAGCGAGAGGAAGGAAAGAGGGCTGACTGCGCGGACAATGAGCGAAGTGCGACTCGCGAGTGGCCGAGGCAGACATAGGATAGCGAAGCGATATGCACGGCGTCCTCGGGCGTGATAAGTATGGAACATTGGCTGTATGTCCTTTGGAGTCTATGCAGGAGGAGCGGGAAATGTTCGAACGTACGGATGGACAGACGAAGCGGAAGAGGGAATGAGATCAGGCGCGTTGTCATTCACCCGAACCTAGGATACGGGAGACGACGCGACGTCGTCCTGGGTCTTTACGCTCGAAACCGAGCCCTTCTTCCCTCGATTGCCCAGCTTCTTCAGGCTGGCCAGACTGCTTTTTGACTTCGACTTCTTGTGGCCCTTGGCGTCGGAAGGTTGAGCATCCGCAGCGGGGGCACCGTCAACGTCGGCAGCGACAGTATCGTCCTCTGGTTGCTGAACTTCTTCCTCGACCTCTTGCTCGTCTACAGTACCGGCCGCACCACCGCCCCCAACTAGCCTGATGGTCGTATCAGGCTCTGTCTCTTCCACCGGCTCGTCTATCGGGCTGGCCACCGGCGCGAGCACCTCCCCAGCGACAGACGTATCTGGAATAGTCTTGACTGGGGTGATAGTCGTGGGCGAGCTGTTGGAGATGGAAGGCGTGATAGGAGCGGTATCCAGCGTCGGTGCAGAATCATCGAGCAGGTCAATTTTGTCTGGCGGCGGGGAGGGCGACTGGGTGATTGGTATTGGTGCCGCCTGCCGCTGAGGAGCAAGTACCGTTGGCGTAGTAGCCGTTGCGGGCGTTGTTGGGGTCGGAGAACCCAAGGCAACGAGGGACTCATCCTCGCGGTCCCGCATGACAGTGGAACGGCCGAGTTCGAGGTCGTCCTCGTCGAACGAGGAGTGCGTAGAGTCGGGAGGTGATGGGAGGGCGATGATATCCCGAGGGGTAGGGAGGTCGACGGGGACGGGGGCGGGAGGCTTGGTGACGGATATCGTGGGGAGTTCGCGGGTCAATTTGACTTCCTTCGGAGATGACGTTCCCACATCAGCGAGTACGGGTATAGCGACCTCCGCTGCAGAGCCCTGGCCAACGAGGTCCGCGCCAACATCGGTCTCCTTTGCAGGTGCCTAGAGAAGGCAATGTAAGCATATGAAGACAGATAAATGCAGCGCACCTACTTTGCCTTTCTGCTCAGACCCTGGCATGGTGAAGTCGGTGACGAGGCCAGCTTCGTACCACTTCCGCAGACTACGATCTGCCCAAGCTTCCAAAACGCTCCATCCCCTGTATTCACCCGTCAACTTCAGGCCTCCGCCAACTCCGTTGTCCCCTCCTCCATCGCCCTGCCCGCGGCCATCGTTGTAGTAGCTCTCATAGCCAATGTCATCCTCATCGCCCGAGCTCTCGTCAGATACGTTGCCAATCTCGAAGCCCTCGCCAGCCTCAAGCTCGTCAACAAAGCTTGCCAGCCAGTTCGCCCAACCAGCCTGCCCCTCGCCTCGCCACAGAACGACCTTTGTGTCAAAGTCGCGGCCGAAGACGATGACCTGCCCAGGCTTGCCACCCTCGGCGGGATTGAGGTCAACGCCGACATAATTGCCCGCACGATCGGCGATGAGGGGTATCCAGCCGCGCTGCGAGTACTCCTTACGTATCCAGCCGGTAGGGATGCTCTGCATCATCTCGCGCAGGCGTGGATTCGCGCCCGTCGTAGGGTCGTCGTCGACCTCGCGCCAGAAACGCCATTCGTCGAGCACGTCCTCCATCGGGAGAAGTGAAAGCCCAAAGAAAAGACCCAGCGAACATCCGACCGATGATTCTGCCTCCTGCCCGTCGGTAATGAGGTAGGACTCGCGCACGACGGCAGGCAGGGCGAAGCCGAACTGCATCTCGATCTGCGCGAGGTCCTGCGGGAGGATGCCAAAGTTGAGGGTGTCGCCCAGCTCCGGGTACTCGCGCTGCAGCCAGAGCCGCAGTCGATTCCAGGTGGTGGCAAGCGGTGGGTATGGTGTTGTGGGAGGCATTTGCGAGTGCAGCGGGTCGTGATGAAGGGGCAGGAGTGACGATCGGCGCGATGCAGGGCCGCTGGAAGAAGGCAAGGTCACCCAGTGAAGGGCGTAAGAGCGGGAGGGGCACGTACGGAGTGGACACAAAGCCGTACCCGCCGCGGTCCTGAGGCGGGTAGGAGAACGCGGGACTGTTGAGGCCGCCCTCGGGGTCGGCGGTGTTGGCGTAGTTGGACTGGAATGCGTCCGACTGCGCGGCAAGGGTGGGTGAGGACGTCGGGAGAGAGAATGCGTCGTGGGTGGAGGACATCGCCTGGCCGCGGCGCATGTCGCGCGACCTGTCGTTCGAGAATATGGACGAGAGCCAGTTCATCGCGGGCGACAGCGGCGGCGGCGGCGGGACGGCGACGACGCGAAAAGAAAGCGCTCGTTTCGGCGACGATAGTCGTGCTCTCACGCTCCCATACCACCTGCTAAATACGGCGCTGACATAAGCTACGCGCCTACAAACCTACCCGACGTCATCAACAGCGAGGCCGAACCCATGGCAACGGTCAGGAAGTTCGACTTTCTGAACGTCTTTAACAGATTTTTCGCGTTCCCTGTCTTCGAGACCCTGCCCGGAGTCCGCTCCTGTGCACTTTCATTGAGCCCGCAAGTGCAGATCGCTCCCCAAGACGCAGCAGCGGCCTCGTAAGCCCGGGGAATCCATTTACACCTTGTACCGATTCGGGCGCCGCATTTTGCACCAGCCCCTGGCTGCCGCACGCAAGAGCCAAAAAGGGTCTTCTGAGTCCCCAAGTCTACAGAGCATAACAAGAATACACAAAGCAACGGACTACCACCTAATGGACAAGATACGGCAACAACGATAATTTAAACACGCACATAACTCATCGCCCATTCTCCCGCGTACCGTTCATGCGGTAGTTGTACGAGTACGCGCCAACCTGCGCGGACGTGTTGGGAGACTCCGACTGCGGAGGGCGCGGACGATAATAGCTGCTGCTGCTGATTGACGTTCGCTGCGGGTCCGGTGTAGCCGCAGTCGAGATAATTGGCGATGTCGTGGTCGACGCCACAGTTGGCATTGGCCAGGGCATCCCTCGTGAAGACGTTGCGGACACCGGAGTACTTGTCGGTGGAGGCTGCAGAGGTCGCTGGGGCCCCTGCTGCTGCGACTGCGACGGCGGTGCTTGCGACAGTTGTGCTGTCGGCTGGGGCTGGTGCTGGACCGCAGGAGAATCAGAAGGTGTCGACTGATTCGTCGGTGATCGCATTGTGGTCGAAGGCCCTGCAGACGCAGGCGGCGCAGTCGTCTCAGAGTGACCCGCTGGTTGATATTCGCCGTCACTGTTCCGACGCTGTCTCTTCGGGCCTTTGCCCGAGCTCTCCTTCAGACCAAGGGACGTGGCCTTGATGAGGATCTGATGTCTGGTGCAACGCTTCAGCACTAGCAATGCATTCCAAAAGACACCGTACCTTGTCCTCGTCGGGCCATACTGCTGTATCACCCAGTCCCATGTCTGGTCCTCCGTAAATTGATGCGCTTTACTCTCTTCGTGTAACCTTTTCAACTTTTGTACTTCTTCCTCCGACCAACCGCCCTGGTTAGCGCCTGTACTCGCTGCGGAGTGCGATGGAGGTGCCGGCGGGACGGGCGCAGATGGTGTCGTCGTAGGCGGATAGAAGGGCGGTATGCTGTAGGGGTATGTATACGGCCCAGAGGGGAGCGCGGTGTATTGTGAATAGGTTGCCGGCTGACTTCCCATCGGCACGACGAAGGACTGAGGGTTGTTGATCACCGCGGCAGGCGGAGCTGTAGGGGCGGAAGGGGTGCCTGTCGATTGCTGCGAGTAGAACATCGGCAAGGTAGGGTACATTGGAGGTGGTGGTTGCGTGAGCAGTCGTTGCGGGTTCTGAAGCTGCAAAGTTGTCAGCAGAAGCCGCCACAGCGAACTGAGTTGCATACCAGACTGTCGCAGATCCTCTTCGCCTCTCTCACCATGTTCATGGGATCGACAGGGTTCGCGGGCGGCATCTGGTAACATTGCGCGAGGACCAGTGGAGGGGTCGCTTTCTAGAGTGCAATGAGACAAGCATCGCAAAGCCGTCGATGATACTGACAAGCAACTCTTCCGCGGCTCCGTAGAACTCGGCACAGAGGTTGAGGACGCGCCATTGAAACTCGTAGTACTGCTGATTCTGCGCGTTGACTTCGGGTAACGGAGCTGGTGCTGGCGCAGGCGTCGGAGCAGGAGCAGATGCGCTCCCCTCAGCGGGCTGCGTCTTTTTCTTGGTCTTGGATCCGCGGGGACGCCCTGGTCTTCTCTTCACGGGCACCTCCGGCTGAGTAGCTTCTGGCGGCGCGTACGTCTGATGAGGTGCGGCTCTGCACGGCCCGATAAGTACGAGGGGACGCGGTGCTGACATTGCGCAACTCACGTCGTCGCAGGGGGAGGGGAAGACGGCCCGGATGCATGGTGCTCGATCTCTTTGTGCTGCAGATGATCCTCGACCATGCTTTCATCCTCCTCCTCTTCCTCGTCCCGACGGATGGGGCTCATCTGACGGTGGTACATGTTGGGGGGATATCCAGCGGAGGTGGCGCCCACGGGGTTCAGCGCGTGTGAGATCTCTTGGTAGTGAGTGTTCATCTCCGTCTGGCAGCCCGCACGAGGACGGGGGAACGGCGGCGGATCAGGTGTGTGGGGGAACTCGTTCTATTGCAGCCCTGCACGATGTCAGACACGACCCGCGTCGAGGTGCGTGCGCGCGTACCGATGCCCGAAAACAGAACGCCGATGGGAAACCACGGTCTGCGATCGTGTTGAACAATGGGATAATGCGAATAAAGGTGGGTCTGCAGAATATCTGAGTGGTGTGACGGGGAACGTAAGGGACATTATCCTGCCTGTTTGTTGTCGAATGGCGACGCCGGAGACCCCTTTGCTTGTGACTAAAAATGCTGATTTCAGAGTCACCACGAGGATGGCTGCTCGCTTCCACTCGGCGGTGGGCGTCCTAGAAGCCTGGATTCGGGCGGGACGCACGGCGGGGCGGCTGGAGGCGGCGGCGGGGAATGAGTTTATCGTGCTGTCCAGCGTTACGGCGTCACAGCTGGGACACGTGTGACAGCAACCGGAAACTGGCCGGGCCCCGGATCAGCAGGTTGAACTTTGATTGCCATCTCGTCGACATCATGCATGTGTTCTCGCGCCTCCTGCCCTCCCTCGCAAGCGCATACGCTCTCCAAGCTGGTAGCTGCCAGCCTCTCTCTCCATCGGTGTAGCTGACACCACATAGCGTTTGCGCTTTACTGTGTACCGACGCAGAACGACATCTTCTACGACCTTGCGGGCTCGCTGGGATTCCTGTCGACGACCTTTGTCTCACTGTACTACCCCCACCTGAAGGCCAAAATCAATGGACAACCCGGATCCCTTCCAAGTCTTCTATCTTTCGCGCCTCGTCAGCTTCTTCTCACCGGCGCTCTGAGCATTTGGACCGTTCGCCTCGGTCTTTTCTTTCTGTTTCCTGTGCGTTGGCCACAATTTGTGGCACCCCACATCAATTTACCTCTACCTCCAGCGCGCTCTCAAGAACGGAGGCGACAGCCGCTTCGACGAAATAAAGAAAGAGCCCCTCAAATTCACTCTCTTCTGGCTCGGCCAGGGTCTGCTTACGCGTCCTTCGGGTCTTGTTCGCTTCTGATGCCACTCTAGCCACCTGGGTCTTCCTTGTCGGTCTACCGGTTTACATGGCTAACACCCTTCCGGCCTCTCTTCACCCGCCGCTCGGTGCACGCGACTATCTCTCCTTCAGCCTTTTCGCTGGATCGCTGATGTTCGAGATGATCGCCGACAAGCAAAAAAGCAATTGGAGGGCGGCGAAGAACGCGAAACAGCATGACGAGAAGTTCATATCGTCTGGCTTGTGGAGCATTAGCCGCCACCCTAAGTAAGCACTCTCCGATGCTTGCTGACGGCTGAACGAATACTTGTCGCTAGTTATGTCGGCGAGGTTGGCATTCAGGCTGGTATATGGGCTCTCGCGACGGGCACTCTTCAAGCTGGCTACTTCCCTCCTGGATCAATCGCGCTGGCAGGATTGAGCCCCATCGTCACCTACCTTTTGCTGCGCAAGGTATCGGGCGTCCCTCCTCTCGAGGAAGCAGGCGACAAGAAGTTCGGCAACGATCTTGGCTGGGCACAGTACAAGAAGTGAGTGACGCACGTTATTATTCGTGAACCATCGCTCATCTGCCCGCGTCAGGACTGTGCCCATCTTTTGGCCTGGTGTGTCCCCGAAGTAGATAGATGAACACCTTTGCTCAGACCGACATCCAATTGTACAACAGCATATACACGGACTTTCTTGGAACTGTACTGCATAATGGTAGCATACACGCGTCTTGTACTTATACCAGCGTCAATGATTTGTGGCAAAATGGAAAGATCAGTAATCATGGACCTAACCCAAGACTAAGGAGACATCCTCCAGCAAGACGCCTTCGCTACCTATGGTCTGCGCGGGCGCCGCGAAGGACATGTTCGCTACGTGTAGAGAGTTGCCTGAAATACCCATGGTGGTCTGATATAGGTAGGATACGCCGCCGATTTCGGCCACGGTATACAAGCGAGTCGCTCGGATCTGCACAGTCGTCGGCTCGCCGAGCGGAAGAGTGTAGTCGATAGGATAGAACTGATTGGTGGCAATGTCCTGGAAGGCCAAAGACGAGACGAGGAGGGCGGTGTCCGTTCCTGCGAATATGGTCCCGTTATCGGCGTCGGGCGTAATGGTGAAGGTCAAGGTGTACGGCGGTCCGACAGACGGGTACGAGGTGTTCGTCGGCACATCGTCTAGCGCCGTGTAGTTAACCAGTGTCGAGCCCGGAGCAGCGCCCCGCACGGCGCGACTCAGATTCTGGCCCGGCGCCTTTGCCTCCAGGATCGGGTACACCTGCTCGAACTGCTCCTGCGTGAGCTCCGTATCCCGCACCCTAGACCCCGCCCACGCCTTCTCCGCGAACGTCGCAATACTCTTCGCCACTTGGAAGTACACATCCAACGGCGTCGACGCATTGTTCCCATAGTCATTCCACAGCGCCATGATCGAGCCTCGCAGCAGCGGATTATCCACCGACGTGTTGTTCGTCTGATCGTCCGCGCTGAAGATATTTGGCGCCCAGCCACCACCGTCGGGCGCGCTGCCCCAGAGGAGGTCCTGGTCGAGCTCGTAGGGGAAGTAGGGCGAGTACTTCCCGACCATGTAGAGGAACCGCTGCTCGGAGTTGATGACGGGATAGCCCTGGTCCATGAGCTGCACCGGAATCGAGTCCCCTGGGAAGTTCCAGTGCTGGATCGTCACGTCCTTCGAGACCGAGGACGTGTCGCTCGGCTCGTACGTGCCCCAGATGCGGGTGCCCTTCTTGCTTTGGTTAGCGATGTACGACGCCATGTCGTTGACGAAGGCGATGTAGTCGTCGGCGAGCGAGCTGTCGTACTCGTCCGCGCCGATGGAGACCTCGGAGGCGGTGAACCAGGGGAGAACTTCATCCCAGGCGGCTTTTACGATGGCGGTGGACTCGGGGAGGGAGAGGTTGAGGAAGTCGGGTGCGAGGGGGATGGCAAGCTCGGGCTTCCATTTGGTGAAGACGAGGGAGTGGCCTGGGGTGTCGATTTCGGGGATGAGGGTGACACCGTGTGCGGTGCAGGTGTCTTGGAGGGCGGTAAAGTCGTCATAAGACCACGTCTCGTTCTCCATCCCCACGACCAAGCCGGCGATGGGAGAGCCTTCCGACGGCTGCAGGCGGAATGCTGCATAGTCCTCCTTCCACGCGTCTCCCACGGTATGCAGGTGTGGATCGTTGTAGATGAAGTCGGAAACGTGCAGATGCAAGGTTTGCAGCTTGAAGAAGGACGCGTATACGCACATGTCGGCTACTCTCCTCAGCATAGAACGTCTAAGTAGCGCGAAGGCATACTTACCGACAAAGGAGGTCTCGAAGTAATGCCGAGCAACATCCAGCATGAAGCCGCGAACTTCCCAGCCGGGCGAATCAGATCCGCTGCCCGTGGGTATCAGCAGGGCATCCGAGTCGCCCGAGGCGCTGAGGACTGCCTGCTGCAGCAAAGTGCGCGTGCCCCACCACGTTCCAAGTGTACCTGAGCCCGAGATGGTGTACACCGTATCGGTGATCTCGAAGTCATAGCCCTCGAGAGTGCTGTCGCCATTATAGAGCGTGTGATTTGAGTCTCCGATGGTCAGAAAGACGACGGACTGATCTCCACCATCGGCGTTGGGCGCGACAGTGACGACAGGAAGGTCGGTGAAGTTGGTTATCCAGATGAGGTCTTCTCGAAAGGTAGCAGCATAGTCCGTGAGCTCGTCCGCGAAGTTCTCGTCGACAAGGATCTGGAGGTCTGATGTTATGGAGAAGGTACCTCCACTGTCTGACGCGGTGAACTCTGCGACTGAAGGAATTTGAGGGGATAGCTGCGCTCTCGCGACTCCGAGCAGCTGAGTGAACAAGACAACGACACAGACCAGAGTGCGCATAGTGACAACGCTGAAAAGGCAGAGAGAAGGGTCGCCAGCATTCGAAGCCACCTGATAAGAGGCTGCGTGGGACTCTAGAGTCAGAAGACAAGCCTTCGAAGCGGAGTAAGGTAGGACAATGCAGCCGCATGGCGCAGATAACCGGCATTAGGGAGGTTCACAGTGCGGTTGGGTAAAATGTTGGGTGAAAGTTGGATGAGGGGTAGGGCAGTTTACCCAACTTCGATCGTGCGGGCGCCCAACGCACTTCAAACTGACTTCGCCACAAAAACACACTGGCAATCGGCAAATTCCGCCCGTTGGTATTGCAACAGGGACTGGACAGCTCCGCGGCATCACGGCTGAGCTTTGCCGATAACAGCCCGCGTTGAAGCACCCCCGACTGCCTCTCGGGGACATCAGAGTCGTGATGGCGGGCCCTGATGCGCCCTCGGGGACGTCGACGTCGGCGACGGAGGAGGCATCGCACGCAATGAGAACATGATATGGACGAGATCAATGCCTGCCGGAATCCATACAGTTTTTCAGGCCTAAGCAGGAGTGCCAAAGCCACGAAGGTAGCCTTTGTCCCAATATTTGTGAAATGACTGCAGTATTTCAAAGAATTATTAGAGTGAGTCTGCCCAGGATTTTACAGCGCTTTTTCAAATTCATCATGTATTATATTTTGGTGAAAGTTCTTTCCGAACGCGCGAAATGTTTGAGAGGGTCGGCAGAAATTACTTCGGACGCGCGATGTACCCATGACGTCACGACCTTGCTCACCCTCTGGCACAGCGGCTGTCGCGCCTCCGCTCTCCCAAGCTTCACTACGAGGCAGGATCAGATCGCCTGGGTCTCACCCACCGCTTTCTCGGTGCCCAACGTCGGCCTTCGAGCAGGGACAGCTCATAAGGTGCTGGTATGGGCGTCAGAACTTTTCGCAAATATTCGAAGATTGTCGTGAAGTTCATTGTCTTTGTTACAGGAAATTCGTGAAAGAACATTGCTTTTCGGGTTGTGTTTCGTGTAAAATCCTAGGCAGACTCACTCTATTGCCAGCGTTGAACGTGGCGTTCAGCAGCTAGCCAGGTCCACGCAGCAGAAGACGGCTACTTCCATCTTCTCAAAATGCATGGTTCAGCTTGTATGACGTGTATAGTAGTGACTCTTTACTGTCCACCTACCAAGCTGGCACCAATAGATCATCGTCCCAAGTTGAACCTCGCGGAAAATGCCGAGCACGTAACGTGACCGCTGGCGAGCGCGACCCGGAAACCAGACGAAGTTCGTGCACCTGTGTTCTCTCCCTCACTGCGCTTTCCCTACGGCATCGCCGACAAGTGGGATCTTCGCGGCACTCCTACTCATCTCCGTTGGACGATACCTCAAGTATACCTCTCGTATAACTTTCGCAACATGACACTGCGCGCCAGAATAGCATGCGCCTGGGTCAGCTACCGTTTGTGCATGACATATGTAACAACTAGTGAGTGGCTAGTGACTGGAAAAGTTTTCCTCGTGCCCCATACAGCGTATAGTTTTACACTCCTCCCCCAATACTGCGTATCACGGTGAGCACTCAGTGCAGGGGTTAGGTTTACCATGCGTATGTAGTTCCTCAGCCGTTGTGAGTCCCCAGCGCGCTCCTCTGCTCTCCCCCCTCCCCACCCGTTTCTCATCCCTCACCCAGCATTGTCTCCATGTTTTACACACCTGCGCTCAGCACGTCACGATGCGCGTTGTCATTCAATGTAGATATACCTGTATATACATTTCTTCGAGATCTTACCATTGCGCGTCCATTCCACGGAAAACAGGCCAGACGAGTCGACGGGCCCGGCACGGGTCTTGTATCTATGCCCAAAGGGCCGCTTAGCAAGTGCGGGCGAAAGAGTACACGGCGGGGTCGGATTGCGCCTGGGATCGGACGCGCGCCGCACCAAACTCCCTATTGCCACTGGGTATTACAAAAGAAGCACAGCGAGGAAAGCGAGATTGAAGGGCCCGGTTACTGTGACTACTGATCTGGGGGTGACATTCCTATTTTCTGGCAAGTGAGGGGGTCTGCAGAAACAAGTTTGCAAGTCAGAATTTCCGTCTCCGCATGGATTCGGCAAAGGCCGAGCCCTGAACGCGGCCCGCACGGTCAAAGCGGTCCCTTGTCCTGAACTTCCATTTCCCCTCGCGCTTTGTTCTGGTGTCGCGTCGAATACCTCATAGACGCGTCTACACGCACTCAAGCATCCCCTCCCGCGTCCCAAATTGCGCACTAGTCTTAACGTTAATCCCCGCACTAAATCCCTACTCGCATGTCTCCGGACGTCGATACTCTCTTGCAGGAACGGCTTGATCAGCTAAAGCGAGTGGCTTGCAACATATTCGCTTCGGTGAGGCTAACGATGGCACACAGTGAGATAAGGACGCGAAGAAATGCTCAGCTGCGTGAGATGCACCGTTTATGGGTGCATAGGGATAACATCTGCGCTGTGAAGTATCCCAAGGCGGAAGAGGCGGACGTACAAGAGTTCCTGGAACAGTTCGACTTGGTCGAGCAGTGCGTGCCTGTGCTGTACGACAATGTCATGTACTTACCTCGTTCAGCCCGGATACTGGGACCATCGAGTACTTTATGGAGAACGAAGTCTTTCCATCCAATATCGGTGGCCTACTTCGCGCGCATGCCCCCTCGGTTCGTGCACATGCTAGCGGCAGTGGCATGGAGAGAGAAGGCAGCCCTAGTTCGTCCGATGATGTCCCACTCGTCCGTCAACAATCACGCTCGCACTTCAGCGAGCCAGATGTCACTATGTCGGACGTTGCGGACGGCGAGGGGAAGGCCCATGTTGATGCCTCGGCTGCCCCACCATCCCCCGCCTGTCAGGCAGACAGGTCACCATCGCCTCTGGTAGCCAAGTCAGAGCCCGAAGAGCCCTCTGCAGCCCTGTTTTCTACTCCCGCGGGCGAAGCAGAAGCGTCCAACATGGATGATGATCATCTTTCCACCCCTCCAGAAGAAACCGCCCAGCCCCTCGCCATATCGTCCGTACCGCCATCCGCATCATCGTCCCCACTGCCTCAGTCACAACCATGGGTACCTCAACAGCTACGGGAACGCTATCCGCCGGACACTCGTCCATCAGAAGGTGCCAATGAGATTCCCAAGGTCGAATCGGAGGATGTAGCAAATGCCGTATTCGACTTTACAGTCGAGTCGACACAGCCGACGACCACAATCGATGAACAACAAGCGGACGCTATGGACGTAGACGAAGCAGAGAAGATGGGCAGCGGCGCCGTCGAGGAGGGTGCCTCAGATGCCAAGATCGAGGCGGCGTCTCCTCAATACCAGCCCACTCTGTCACAAGCGCCACAGATGGCAGGTCCCTCTACAACACCACTTGCACCGCTTTCCATCGCACCTGCAGACCTGCACTACGGCGTACTACCTCCCACTGCATCCGAAGACCCCTTGACTCGTCGCTTGGGACGTATCGTCACCTTGCGCAACAAAGCGCGTTCCCCTTCGCCTCCGCCACAATACGACTTCAGTAACTTCCAGCCCGAAGTTAAACCTCCCGCCACACCGCCGGGTCCTCCTCCGCCTGTCTACGCTCCCGAACCCTACGATCCTGGGTATACGCTGCCAAGCCTGTCCGATCTGCCCGTCGACTTCAACAAGAAGGCGACCAGTCGCAAGCGCAAGCGCGACAAGCAGGAGATCAAGAGGAAGGAGCAGTGGCAGCCCATCGGCCTGAACGAGTGGGGTGCAGCTATCCGTGCCAATCCAGTTTGGAAGAAAGTTTCCAAGTCTACCAAGTGCTTGTCAACGAAGGAGTGGGGTGTTAGTGATATCTTGCGGTCGACTCGGTCAGTGACTGACATGATGCCCTACAGATCGCATACGCTGAGCTGAAGCTGATACGCACGCTCGACCGAATGGAGTTGATGAAGGACTATGGTCGCTGGAGCTTCCGGCAACCCAAGAAACAGCGGAATGTGGGCGTCATCGCGAAGACGCACTGGGATTATCTCATGGACGAGATGGTGAATATGATTTTGCCTCTTTGTTCACATATGCTAAGCGACTCGCAGCAATGGATGCGGACTGATTTCCGGGAGGAGAGACGATGGAAGTACGCCGTCGCCTTCAACATTGCAACAGCCGTGTTGGAATGGCATGCCGCGGGTGACCCTGAGACGCGGGTAGCGAAAGGCATCTGCGTCAAGTGGAAGAGACCACCACCTCCGGAGGACGTGGCTATGGGTGATGCGGACGCAGAGGTGGCCGACGATCAGGGTATGGAGGTCGATGACGGGACACGATCACCGTCTAGGGTGGATGGAGCCATCGTGGACTACGGCTCGGAAGAGGAGGATGACGACGAGCAGGAGAAGCTTGTTGCCGACGAGCTGCAGCAGCCTGAGTCCTTGTTCGATGATGCCCTTCAGACCGCCGAACGTGCGGCGCATGACCCTGGTATAGGCATGACAGAGGCCGATCTCAAGCACGAAGACATCGAGCCTACGTTCGATTCAAACGACAATGCCATGGCCGTCGACGGTGCTACCACCCATGTGCCATCTGGTGCGGTATCATCTCAGAAGGCCAGCGCAGCTGGTGCGACGCCAGTCGTCAGTGGGCTCAAGACTGATTCGACGGACCCTGCACTCCATACGACCTCGGACAAGGTGGCAACTCGCCCAGACGCACCTCCAGTCAAGCACCACAAGTCTAGTGCATTTGCCGGCCTGCGGGAGCGCATCGCGTACTCCGACTCCGACAAGCTCTTCCTCGAGTTGGATGACTTCGTCCTGCAGCATGATGGGCGGGATACCGTGTCCAATCTGGCCGACATCTTCGCCGACTTGCAACCCTACACCATATTCGATCCGCCTTCCTCCGCCCCCGCACCTCCCCTACCCGATAGCAAGGAGAAGGACAGGCGAAAGAGGAAGGAGGCGGATAAGTTCGACCCGCATCGCCGCGTGGACGAGACCATGGTCACGAAGCTCTACCCTGTCGGCAAGTTCATGCACACCAAGCCCACGCTTCTTGGCCCCCTCCAGCCCGCGCACAAATGGCAAGACGGGCACTGGGTCAACCTCGACGACAGCGCCGTCGCTCCAGAGGAGCCACAGCCCCGCGGTGGCAGCAACGAGCCCCACAATAATCTATGGCCCGCCAATCCCAACCATCCGCGCGTGGACTACGAGAAGAAGTATGGGCAGGGGGACCGACGCCGGATGGAGCCCTGGACGCCGGCCGAGGACGCGCAGCTCAAGGCGCTTGCAGACCGCTACAACCAGAACTTCGCGCTCGTTGCGGAGGCGTTCAACGCGGGCGTCACCATCGCGCGGCGCACGGAGCGCGAGTGCTTCGAGCGGTATGCGGACAAGTGGCCGAGGCCGGCGACGAGGTTAGACCAGGTGGCTATGGCTGCGCAGGGTGGCACTGAGGTGACTCCGCCACCGCCGACGCCGTCGACGAGTATGATGACGCGCGGGGTCAAGCGGGGGAGCATCTCGACGCCGACTGCGCCCATCATCACTGGCGTGGGAGGCAGCGAGCAGCGCAAGCGGAGGAGGCATACGGCAGTTACGGAAATTGTCCGTCGTGGGGCGAAGAAGCGTATAGAGAACCAACAGAAGCAGCTAGGTCAGTCGGACAAGGTATAATGGAAAGACACGTCGTGGGCTAACCTTGTCGTGCAGCCCAGCGAAAGCCGTCGGTCGTTCATGAGACGCATAACCAGTACAACAAATACCCGAGGCTGTCACCGGCTGAACTGAGCCGCATGAAGGCGGAGAGGGAGGCTCGCGTCGAGAACGACATGGCGATCGCGCGGCGTCGGCAAGAAGAGCTCGTGGCCAGGCAAGCCATGGCGGCGCGTCAGCAGCAACAACAGCAACAGCAAGTTACGCAGGCAGTGAGTTCAATGCATCGTGTAGTAGGGAATGCAATGCTAAACACGTTCTGCGTATAGGGCCAAAGTCAGGCGCAACCGGGGCAGCCGCATCCGCAGGCCGTTGCTCAAAACGCTGCTGGGCAATTGCCAACCGCGCAGAATGCCCAACAGCCAGTCGCGCAAATTCCGCCCGCTCAGCAAGCCCAACAGCATCCCCAGCAATTGCAGCAGATGCAGACCGCCAACGGCCAGCGCGCAGGCAGCGCCGGCGCCCTCGCCGTCCCGCAGACTACGCGCGCCGCCGTGCAGAACATCTCCGGGCAGCCGCGCGCAGGCTCCTCCGTGTCGGGCACCCCCCGCATCTCGCCTCAGCAGATCCTGCAAGCCCAGCAGGCCGCCGCGCGGCAGAACCAGATGCTCGCGCAGTCGCACGCGATGGCGGCGTCGCCCGCCCAGTCGCCGCCACTGTCAACTGGGACGCCTGTGAATGCGACGAACTCGCCACGTCCGCCGAGCGCGCAGGCTGGGGCGGGGCAGCGGGCGTCGTACTACATCCCGAACATGACCGCGGAGCAGATGATGCAGTTGTCGAGGCATCCTCAGTTGATGGTGAGTAGGCTTGGTGGGCAAGGTCATTGATGGACACTGACTGGTGACTAGTATGGACCGTATCATCAGGCTGCACAGTCTCAACAACAGCAGCAGCCCCAGCAGTCGCCACAACAGCAGCAGGCCATTCCTCAACCAGCTCAACAGCCTCCCCAGCAGCAATAAGATGTTTTCGGCATAAATTATCCTGATCTTGTCACGCTTCTCTCTGGTGTTTTTCCATTGTGTATGTCTTCGCAATATATCTGTGTTCTTACTGGAGGGTTTATCTGAAGTGTATCCAAATTTCGAGCTTACCGGGACTGAACCAAAGTCTAATGCTCAGTAAAAGGACGGTGCTGTGAATCATATTAATCATATGCTGAGGAACCGCTAAAGTGCTTGAAGGACACAAAAACCTTCGTGTGATCAGGCAGCACAATTGGAGTCTACAATGCGCGCCAAGCTTGAACTTGTTTGGTCGCTTTTGTTTGTTCGTTGTGCGGCGTTTAGCCCCAGGCGCCGCACGTCGTACGCTCATAATCGGGTCGATTCTGGTATCAAGCATATCGTGACCAAGGCCGGCGCAGAGAACCATTTTCGCCCACCTGACCAGAAGTGGACGGACTGCCGCGCTTGACGAGAATTGGCATGCGCACTAAGACGCGCCACGTCTTGATTCGGACCTGGCAGACGCAATCTTGGCGCTAAGTTCCAACACAATGGCACTCGGAAACCTTTGGACACGTACAAGTTGCATCGCTGGGTCCGGGTGCTCGTAGAGTGCGGGCACCAGCAGCCGCTCGACAGCGGTGCGGGGCATTGCATCGGCCGGCGGCACGGGGAGAGCCGCCCTTTCTGTCCTAAAAGGGAACCGGGCGCCGTTTGCCACGGCCCTCGATCAACCCCGCAAAGTCCTCGGCATCGAGGACGAAACACCGAGAAATTGAAAAGCGTGGGCTTGCGCCTTGTCCTTCGACGTCCATCACCCCCGCGCCCCATAGGTTTCGCAGCTGCTCGTCGTCCCCGGTGACGACGACGCCCTCGCTCCTTTTCTTCATCTTCATCTCCCCGCTTCTCCACAATCGCCGACGGCGCACAGCATCTTTGTGAGCTTGTCACGTCCTCGCGTGTGGCGGCAGCTGAAGGCGGCACCCAGGTCTTCAATTTAATCGCGCCGGTCTAGACGACCTCGTTCTGCCCCCCATGTCGTCCACCCCAGTGACGGCGACCACGCCCTATGATCCAGTACCCCGCCATGAAGCCGACTCGCCCGCGCCCGGCCAGCATGAGTCTTTCGCCAACCAGCAGGGCGCTGTCATGTCGGAGACGAACTCAATGGACATCCCTTCTGGCGCTGCTCAGCCTCGCTTCATCGGTACCGCCCTCTACGATGATCCATCTGGCCCCCACGTTCGCGACTCCTACATGTCCTCCGGCTCTCCCTCACTGCGCGACCAATCTGTGAACGATTCCGTATACGCGCTCAACGATGGCACCTTGGATTCTCGAAGGCCCCTCGCGGACACCCTCTACTCGGGCGGGTACAGAGACGATCCCGAACAGTTTGACGATCAACCTGGCGTGGCGATGTCACCCATGAACTCGGATCGAAGCCGGTATCTGGAAGAGAAGCGGGCGACATACGCCGCTCCGCGCGCAAAATCAAAGCGCATAATGATCATGGCCGCGGTCGCCGCCGTCATCCTCCTCATCCTTGCCATCGTCATCCCCGTCTACTTTGCTGTGGTCAAGCCGAAGAGTGACAAGAACAACCTTGCGAACAACGGAAGCGGCGACGACTCTTCCAGCGATTCCGATGGTACTTCTTCGAGCGGAGGTGGGAAAAACGCGATTGTCACCGGCGGCGACGGCAGTGAAATCACTATGGAAGGCGGCGACAAGTTCACCTACTCGAACAAGTTCGGGGGCACATGGTATTGGGACGACGAGGACCCGTTCAATAACAACGCTCAGGCGCAGACGTACACGCCTCCGCTCAACGAGTCGTTCAAGTACGGCGAGGACAAGATATTCGGGTATGTCTTTGCCAGTGTCGCGCAGGATTAGCGTCTAATCTATATGGACTAGTGTCAACATCGGCGGTTGGCTCGTCCCTGAGCCTGTATGTAGCTTGCCACGTCTTCTTGATGGTTGCTGATGGCGCTTCTAGTTCATCGCTCCGTCTCTATACGAGCCATATGTCAACAACACTACCCCCGCGGTCGACGAGTGGACGCTCTGCGAGAACATGCGGAATTCCGACGGCGGCATTGATCTTCTGGAAGAGCATTACAAGACCTTCATCGTAAGTGACTGACGCCACGCTACCGAACAGTGAACTCATGTTGCTTGCAGACCGAGAAGGACTTCGCTGAGATTGCAGGTGCCGGTCTGAACCATGTTCGTATCCCCATCGGTTACTACGCCATCGAGACTCGTGGGGATGAGCCCTTCCTTGCGAAAACGTCCTGGAAGTAAGCACTTCGCTATCGTGTTCCAGGACGCCACCTAACGCACCCCCCTCAGATACTTCCTCAAGGCAATCAACTGGGCAAGGAAGTACGGCTTGCGCATTAACTTGGACCTCCACGTATTGCCAGGGAGTCAGAATGGCTGGAATCATTCTGGCAGACTCGGAGACATCAACATGCTTCTCGGGCCTATGGGCTTGGCCAACGCCCAGCGTTCCCTCGACTACATCCGGATCATCGCCGAGTTTATTTCTCAGGACCAGTACAAGGACGTTATCACCATGTTCGGCGTCACGAACGAGCCGCGCGGTCCTATGATAGGCCAGGACCAGCTGGAATCCTAGTGCGTTGCCCCGCTAGCTTCTTTGCCACGTCAGGCACTGACGAGGGGTGTAGCTACTACCAGGCCTACCAGATCGTTCGCGAGGCTAGTGGCACTGGCGAAGGCAAGGGCCCGTACATCAGCTTGCACGACGGCTTCATGGGCCTCCCGCAATGGGAAGGCTTCATGGAAGGCGCCGACCGTGTCCAGCTTGACTGGCACCCGTACATCGCCTTCAACGACCAGTCGGACGCGCCGATGTCGAGCTATGCCGGCAGGCCCTGCGACACATGGGGCAAGCCTATCAACCAGTCGATGTCTGCATTCGGTATCACGGCCGCTGGCGAGTTCAGCAACGGTGTCACGGACTGCGGTTGGTGGCTCAATGGTGTGGAGGACGGTGTTCGGTATGAGGGCACGTACAAGGAGGGCAACTTCCCTCGTGTCGGGTCGTGCGACGACTGGATCAACTATGATACGTGGGATGATGACATGAAGGCGTCGGTGAAGCAGTTCGCGATGGAGAGTATGGATGCGATGCAGGTGTGTACATCATGCGTCATGTTTAGAGTAGACGCTGACTATCCGCAGAACTGGTTCTTCTGGACGTGGAAGATCGGCGAGTCGAAGACGCTCGGCAAGGTCGGCTCCCCAGCCTGGTCATACTCCCTCGGTCTCGATCAGGGTTGGATGCCCACGGACCCGCGAACGGCATACGGCTCCTGCGGTAACCCAGCTCCTTGGGACGGCGAGCTCAAGGCATGGCAAACAGGCGGCTCAGGCGCCGGCTCGCTCGCGTCCACGGTTGCCTGGCCGCCCTCGACGATCAGCCACGGCGGCGCACCAGACGAGCTGCCGACGTATACGCCGACGGGCTCGCTTGTGACGCTGCCGGGCCCGACATTTACCAGCGCGCCCTCGGTGAAGGTGGGCAGCGGGTGGAACAACAATGATGACCAGACTGGCATGATGACGGACGCCGCGGGCTGCTCGTATCTCGACCCGTGGGTAGGCACGACCGCCGCGCCGCCATCGCCCCTCTGCACATCATAGTCGACGCCACTGCCCCCCTCTGCTTGCCTTTGGGCGCTTGGGAAGGTCGTGCGCGTCAACCTCATCTCATGCGCCTTCCCTTCACCTCGCCTTCACCCCTCCCATCCTACCCACCCGCCTGTACTATACGCGGTTTGTACGATTGCTCCTACCTTACCTCTCCCGCCTACGTCGGCGGCCCTACGACGCCCACCTACCGGGCTTCCCTCAGGCCCACCTGGACTTGCTCTTGTGTCTCATACGTATACATATCGCTCTCGGTGTTTTGTAAGTACCGCACGGACAGACTGGCATATTTATCCATCCCCTTTGGTTATCTTACACGGTCCCCTTGGGCTAGTTACACGTCCTCATTGGTTGGGTTCTGTACGTTGGTATGCGCTCGCGTACAACCCATCCTATAGCCTCGGATAATGGAGATGTTGATATCCTGGCATGGGATTTCATTGGATTTCGTGTGCGTCCGATTCGGTGGCTATTCGTACAAAGGGTTGAGCAGACTTCCTTTCCCCTTCCTTATTCCCCTTTCCTTTCCCTATGACTTCGACAGCGCGAGCTTCAACCCTTAATGCTCCCCGCTTGTCGTAGCGTAACGATCCTCGAGATCCTCTTGCCCGCCGAAACCTCCTTCGAAGTCTCTCTCGGCGGGCTTACTACTGCTAGTCGTCGTCTTGGCGGAGGACTCCTTCTTGTCGAGCTCCGCACGGAGTGCCTTGAGCTGTTCCTGCTCCTGTAGCATTGTCAGTGTTACTGCTCAGTCTAAGGACTGACGATGTTTGAGGATGAGGTGAACAGGATCCAGGAACCCACCTTGGCGTGAATGAAGCGCGCCTCTTCCGCGTTCTCGCGCCCCTTCCAGTTGGGGTCCTGTGCCAGTCAGTAAGATGCCCATGACTTGAAATGGAACAAGGCTACGTTTGCAGTAGTTCCGGACATGGTGGTCAGAGTAGAGAGTCTCGATTCGGCAGAATGGACCAAGTTCAACTTATGGGTGTAGCCATGACGTCGTGCACCCATGGACCTACAGCCCCAAACAGGGTCAAATTTCTGTTGGCCGTAAGAAGCCCACGAGCATCTGCTCATTATATTGTCAGAGAAAGAATACGAAAGAAACTTTGTCATGGGCATAAGGAGTGACCATGAGCATTGAAGAGAGAAAGCGAAGGGTCAGCACGCGTTCTCCATGCGCGAAGTGAGCCCTGCCAAAGTGGCACTGACGACGCCCAGAAGAAGGGCTGCAAAGTGGAGTTCTGATTACACGATTAGAAAGTGCTGGACGTCCAATAGATCTACATATAGATGGTAGTATACGAGGGAAACAAACAATAAGGTGAAGCTCAAGCGGCTGCTGCGATGGGTTCGGGTGCAGTCTCAGACTGAGGCAGATAGCAGCCTCGCGTTGGTGAGGGCTTTTGCCGTGCATGTCGCATCAGAAGAACGATGGAGATGGGTGTGATGCCCTCCATTCGACGGGCGGCGCCCTGCAGATAGCATGAGTGAGCGGGACAGCAACGAAGACCGAGAAATGCAATGGTCGCAGTAGAGACGGCCAAGAGAAGACTACTCACAATCGTTGCCGGCCGCACCTTCGCCAACTTCTCCTTGACTTCACTACTTAGCCCGTCTACAGCGTCGTAGTCCATCTGCGGGTCGAGTGTGAAGGACTCGTCTTGCAGGAAGTCCTTCAAGTCTTCTTCCTGCCGAGAGATGTAGTGCGAGTAGCGACCTACGAGAGGTGAGTGAATTATCGAAAGAGAGGTGAGCGAATGATCGAAAGAGAGGTGAGCGAATAGTTGAAAGAGAGGTAGGCGAATGGTCGAAAGAAGTCTGCAAGATGTACACGCACCATCGATATCCACCCGCGCCAGCGTCTGCGGGTCGTAGTTTGCCAGCTGCGGGATAGCACCTACGAGGTCGGCCGTCGATACGTTGGGGTATCCAAGGAGGTCCCAGCCGCTACAAGAAATTATGTTGGCGCGAGCCCACACGCATCTCTACAAAAACCATACCTCCGATACACGCCGTCTCTCTGTACTGACATGCCATGCGATACCCAAGCCTGTCGCGAAGTCAGCATTCTTATTTCGATACCCCCGAATACCACTCTACGACTCACCTGCGGACTCAACCTCGTCTCCTTCAACACCCGCGTAACCTCCTCAACATCTCCACACGCCCTCTCATATGCCGCCCACCGCGCGTCGTCCACCACACCAACCTTCCGGCCGAGCGGCGTGAGGCGCATGTCTGCGTTATCACTCCGGATAGTCATGCGATATTCGGAGCGAGAGGTGAACATGCGGTCTAGGCGAGGGTGTCAGTAAGGCGATAGAGGTACAATGCGAAGAGGGAAGGAAGCTGCTTGAATGCAAAAAAGAGGGCATGGAAGGCAAACTCACATGGCTCTTCGGCACCCTTTACGATGAGGTCGTCAATCATCACGCCAATGAACCCATCGGCGCGGCTGATGATCATAGGTGGTTTGCCCAATGCCGCAAGACCCGCATTTATCCCCGCCACGATTCCTTGCGCAGCCGCCTCTTCGTACCCGGTCGTACCTGCAAGACCGCTACATTAGCAAACTCGACCTCCACAAACAAGTGCGTACTCAACATACCATTGATCTGCCCGGCCAAAAACAGCCCGCCAATCCTCTTCGTCTCCAACGACGCCCCCAGCTCCCTCGGGTCAATAAAGTCATACTCCACCCCATACGCCGGGCGCACGATCTTCGCGTTCTCTAAACCGGGAATCGTGCGCACGAACGCCTCCTGCACGTCCTCGGGCATGCTGTTGGAGATGCCGTTCGGGTAGATCAGGTCGGAGTCGTAGCCCTCGGGCTCGAGCCAGACGTTGTGGCTTGTCTTGCTGGCGAAGCGGAGGATTTTGGCTTCGAGGGAGGGGCAGTAGCGAGGACCTGAGTAGAGAGTGTTCAGTGAAGTAATGAGAGGAATGCTTGAGGGTTAGGCACCTTTGCGTGTCTCCTGAATATGTACGCTGCGGTGGAGGTTATCGCGGATGATTTGGTGGGTTTCTGATGTCGTGCGGGTCATGAAGCAGCTTATTCGATTGTCCTGGTGGAAGTGAGCATCACTTCACTGATGGAAGTCGATACCACGTACCGCATTATCCACAGCTTTATGCAAGAAGCTGAAGGGGGAAGGTGGGTCGTCTCCGAGCTGCTCAGGCATTTGCGAGAAGTCGATGCTGTCCTTTGCTAGTCGTGCGGGTGTTCCGGTTTGCAAGCGACCGAGTTTGAAGCCTGCTGCAGCCAAAGAGGCGGAGAGACCTATTGACGGCGCTTCGCCCATGCGTCCCGCAGGGAAACGCTTAAGGCCGATGTGGATCTCGCCACCCAGGAAGGTGCCCGTACATATCACCACCTGCGAGCACGGTATGATGTCGCCAGAGTCTGAAGGCATGAGCAAGATACAATGAAGACAATATAGGCGGCATACCTAGCTTGACGCCAACAATCTTGCTTGGGGAACCGTTCAAGGATGGTGGGACGTCGAAGACGAGGTCGAATACACTGCCCGCCCGTACGTCGAGGTTTGGATAGTTGTTGAGCGTTCCTTGCATATTCGTCCTATACAACACACGGTCCATTTGAGCTCGCGGGCTCTGAGCAGAGTTAGTCCCGTCTCGATCATCGTGAGTGTGCCGACACTCACTCACCCATAGGGCCATGCCTTTAGACCGGTTTAGTATGCGGAACTGTATTCCGGCCTTGTCTTGGGGGTGTCAGCTGGGTGTATGCGCATATATGCAGCTTACGCACCTGCGACGCGACCCATCAGGCCGCCTAGCGCGTCGACTTCGCGGACGAGAGTGCCCTTGCCTACACCACCGATCGAGGGGTTGCAGGACATTTCCCCAATAGTGGCAGGGTTTTGTGTGAGTAGTATCGTGCGTGCGCCAGTGCGCGCGGCGCCTGCAGCAGCCTCACAGCCAGCATGTCCGCCTCCAATGACACAGACTGGTGCTGAGTGAGCGACAAAAGACGCGGAGAGGGGCGTTGCCCACCGTCATAAGTGCCAGTAGACAGATATCGGTGCAGCGCAGGTCGCAAGCTACGGCAGGCACGCGCGCGGGACAGCAGCATGATGGTGGTCGGGGACAAGACGTCGAGAAGTAGATGCGCGAAAAGAAAGACTTCCTAATGCGGAAACCCGGGCGTCGGCCGAGCACATCCCGGCGATCGAAGCAGGCCCGACATCGTCGTCGCGTTTCTCTTCGCCGTCACGCTCTGTCGCGTCCTCCCCCTGCGCCGCTCACCGTCGTCCGCCGCCTTGCGCGGTGCGCGCGCGATCCATGGATGGAACCAGGTATGGCGGCGTCTACAGCCCTCGACGTAGCTCACACCGCCCAGCTCGGTCTTTCCCTTCTACGACTCGGCCAAGTTCAATGATGCCCTCAAGAGTGCGTGCGCGTTCATACCCACAACGTCCTCCCTAACCCCCCGCAGGAAACAAGCCCGTCGTAGCGGCCATATGCGCCAGCTACATCTCCACCTTCGCTGGCTACCCTGTCCGTCCTCGCCCGCCCCAATGCCACATACCCGCTCACACCCTCTCAGCTCGACTCGATGAAGTCTCGCCTGCAGACCACCCGCCATGCCGTCTCCATTCCTCAGCTTGCGATGCTTGTCTACCGCGACGAGGGCATCAAGGGCTTCTTCCGTGGCATATGGATCCCGCTCCTCACCATCTCCTTCGTCCGTGCGTCATTTCCGCACCCCCCTCTGACGCACCTCCAATCCATCCCCTAGGCGCCGCGAGCTTCACGATCTACAGCCGCACGAAGGAAAGCTTTGCAGAGCGCGGCGTGCTCGCGCGCGACAGCATCGTCGATGCTGCCCTCGCTGGAGGCGCCGGCGGCGCCATGTCAGGCGCGTTGATCTCGTTTGGCAGCGCTCGTACGTTAATTCCCCCTTCGTGTACAAGGGACCTGCTGACGCTCCCGCAGCATTCGAACTAGTCAAGGTAGACCGAACGTGATGCACCCTTCGCTTCCCCGTTCTCACCACGCACAGGTCCGCCGGCAGCTTGAATTCTCCATCGCTGAAAGCAAGGGCGTCCACCTTCAAAAACCGCCCGGCACCCTACACGCAGTCAAGGAGATCTATCAACGGAATGGTATACGGGGTCTCTACACCGGCCTGAGCCTGCATTGCCGTAGGTGTGCCTCCATTCCATCGCGCGACATGTCTCTGAACTTCGTTCTGCAGTTCGCGATACGTCAGGGACGATGCTATATTTCTTGGAGTACGACGCGATGCGCCACGCCCTGGGCCGAGATAGACGAGGCGAGCAGCACGAGACGCCGCCCTGGTTGCCTATTCCCCCGTCGCTTGTGCCCTTTGTCTGCGGGTCCCTCTCAGGCGTCACGAGTTGGGCGTTGATCTATCCCCTGGATGTGTTAGTATCGCGTTTCTCACTTCTTACACCTAATCGCCTTCTCATGCCCCTCACCTGACCCACGGCTAACATATCTCGTTCAGCGTGAAGACGAAGGTCCAACAACGTGCACTCGCGGGCGACAAGTATAGAGGACCCGTGGAGACCTTTACACGCCTTATAAGAGGTGTGTACCCTCCTTTCCTTATTGCATCCCACTTTCCTTTTCTTTTCCATATGATCCCGCTGACTCTGCATCCCTCTCCTGCGCAGGCCCCGACCCCGCCAACCCTAAACCCCTCGTTGCTGGCCTCGCGCGGATATATCGCGGGCTCGGCGTGAGCGCGCTGCGCAGCGTCACTACGCACGGCCTGCTATGGACCTTCTTCGACCTGGTGGCGAACTATATCGACGCGCTGCCGTGAGAGGGATGTAGGCGATGCAACATCGGCGCAGGAGATGTTATGAAAGCTGGGGCGAGGCGGCGTTGCGGGGATCGAGTGCACGAAGCGGCGCTGCGGGGATCGGGTGCGCGAAGCGACGCGGGGATACAAGCTTGCCGTGAGGAGGTACGGCGAAGCGGGGGCTCGAAGTGATGCTTGGAGCAAGGCGACCAGAAGACTGCTCATGGGACGCACCGCTGAAGAAGAAGGCCCTGTCGCCTGACGCTCGTTGCCGCCAGCATGACCAGAATCCCGCAGCCCGACCGCCTCTTGCCACTGACCGATACCTGCCACCAAACGCTCGCGGGAAGGGCTATCGCGCGTCTGCCGCCGCCGACCTATCGTAGGGGTGCTATCCCTCCAATTGTGGTGGTGCCATTGCTATCATGGGCTATCGCTAGCCTGCGATTGGCGGCACCGAGCCTGCGACTGACATGGTCATGCTGGGGCCACGCTTGTGTACATACGACGCTCATGTCTTGGAAAAATACCTCTACTGTCCAATATAATAGCCTACGCAGTGTACATGGTTGCAACAGAGAAAATAGGTTCTCACCGCTCGCACAAGGCGTTGAATGACCGCATCCCAGGGCGAAAGAAGTCATAAGGACGGAAGCTCCTCAACGAGGTTCAAGAACAGAGTACATTCACATCTGCGTGGGCATTCATAGGTTTGCGAGGCAATAAATATTGAGACCCGTAGGTCTACCACTCCGGAAAAGCGTGTCATCCTTGTGCAGGGGCCATGCTAATCTTCTCTGTATCGTTCCAAATTTTTCGTATGTCACCCCGAAGGGGACGATGGGCTAACAGAGACTCAGAAGGTCATTGCACCACACCTGGGTCTCAATATTCCCTGGCGCATACTGCAGGAATATCGTAAGCCAATTTTGAATAAGCGAAGCATAAAGGCGACGCGTGGATCGTGGTCTTACGGGTGGCATATTGATCGGTACGGCCTCCGATTGGCTGGGCCTCGATATGCCCTTTCAATCGACCCGCGGTCTTTATCGAAAGCTGATTCAGGATATTCCCTCGATAAACGTGCAGTAAGCGCGGGGGAATATTGAATTCCAGGTGTGGTGTTGGCAGAATTTTAGAGTTTGATTCAAGGCGGAGGGTGGAGTTGTGGGTCCAAGCACCGTGGCTTTGTGGGTCCGGCGAGTTGGCAGGCACGTGCGGACTTCAACTTGGCTGGAACTTTCATCGCCTGGATCCTGTGCGAGCTCTCCGTGCGTCTACCTACTTTCTGGAGTCAACCCACTTGTATTTGCTCCTGCTATCGACTCTGGAGACGACCAACAGTTTCTGAGCTTGGGCCCGGAGTCAGCGTGACTCGTACGGAAGTTCCCGAAGATTGGTGCCGACGCCGCTCATCCTCGTCAACCTCTTGTTCGAATCTCCCATCATGCAGCGAGAGGCGACTACGAGCGGAGATACACCTCCCGATGAACAGTCTAGAAAGAGGAAGATAGACCGAGCCTGCGACTTCTGTAGGAAGAGGAAGAGTAAGCAACGCAAGCACGCGCGCGCTATACATCTCATGTCTTCAGCATATTCATCGCCATTCTTTCAGGTCGTTGTAGGTCGCAATATTTTGATCTTCTGTCCCCTATACTTACATTGGCTAGGTGACGGGGACAAGATATCTCGGAGGCCCTGCTCGAACTGTACACTCAATAATGCGAGTTGTACTTACCAGGATACGATCAAGGCGCGTCGCAATAAGCGGGTGCTTGTACAATACGTGGTCTAACCGTAGTTCAGCGGCAAGTCTTCAGCAAAGCGTACGTATGGCCAGAGTGCCTAAGCCGCAGCTGTCTTTTGAGCCCAGTTTATTTGACAGCTACGTCGAAACTCTGGAACGGCGAATAGAAACTCTGGAGCGCCGAAATAAAGAGCTCGAGGACCTATTGGGCGTTGTAAGAGCTCACCTAATCCGACGCCTTCCCCCTTCCTGATACGTGCTACATAGCATCAGATTGCGGCAACAGGGAACGGCGAAGTGGACGACCGACCCAGCTCATCCACGACCAATGCGACCATCCAGCACACAATCAAGTCAATCGTCTCACAAGAACAACTGCGTAACATGGCTTGCGCTATGCTTCGCTTGGGCACCCAGGGCCACGAACCCGACTACGGAGTAACTGAGGGCACAGAGCAAGACGCTCTGGAATATAATCCTCAGGACGACGAGCTGTCCACGCGCATGCAGAATGTTCATATCACGCGCTCAGTATTCGACAGGTTTCTGGGCAATAAATTCCTCGGGAAAAGTAGCTCCGCAAGTCAGTCGACGACCCTTATATCAACGATGACCCCAGGATACTGACCATTATATAGATCTCCTATTGAAACTCATCAGTCTCAAGAGGATCGCCAATGAGCCCTATAGGATCCCGACGACCTTTCTCGAGGGCCGTCGCGCAGAGTACTGGACTGCGAGACCCTGGGAACTCGCTCTCTTCTCTACGGATCCTGCGCACTACACATTTCCAGATGACGACCTCATGAACTCGCTTATTGATCTCTATTTCGACAACGTACAACCCTTCTTCCCCCTCCTTCATCGTCCTACCTTTGAACAGGGACTGCGAGACTTGCAGCACCATAGCGACCACCACTTTGGGTCCGTCGCGTTACTGGTTTGTGCCCTAGGTGCGCAGTACTCGGACGATCCGCGTGTTCTCTCGGAAGAATATGGCCGGGACAAACTTTCGAGGGGATGGTGCGTTCTCGTTCACGCCGACGATTTCCGCTCAGGTCTCAACTGTATCCAGGAAATGGTTCTCCCAGGTGGAAAAGGCGCGTAAAACTGTCTTCGGTGGCCCAAACTTACTCGAGATCCAATCCTACTGCGTATGTGATGACCATCTGCATCTGCGTTTGGGTATTTTAAGTCAATTTCGCTTTCCCCAGCTTTCTATTCTGTTCATGATCCCCGCATCCAACTCAATGACCCAGCATATATGGACGCGGATTGGTGTCGCCATACGTTACATCCAGGACGTCGGTGCGCATCGGCGAATGAGACAGCGTAATCCGACTATCACGGACGAGCTGTGGATCCGTGCGGCTTGGTGAGCGCTTGTGCCGTGCCGAGATAGCAAGCAAGAGTTGACCAGGTATAGGATCATAGTCGTGCTTGACAGAAATGTTAGCTCCATGTTGGGCCGAAACTGCGCAATGCCGGATGAGGAGTCAGTCCCCTATTGAGCCCACTGCCAAAACGTCAGCTGACTTATCATAGTCTTGCTATCCGCTACCCAATGGATGTCGACGACGAATACTGGCATGACGCCAGCAATCCGGAGCGCTCCTGGAGGCAGCCCAAAGGGAAGCCTTCGAATGTGTCCTGCTTCATCGCACAGATGAAGCTCTCGCGGATAGTAGAGATGGCCGTGAGGACGCTTTACGGGACTAACAAGTATGGGTCGCTTGCAGAGGCCTGGGGCGAGCAAGGCTGGGATCGTGACATCGTGCAGGAACTCGACTCTGCGCTCAACAAATGGTTGGACGACATCCCGGAGTTCTGTACGTGTTTTTGCGTGTTCATCTCCGCCGACGTCCGTTCATCTTTCAACAAATAGTGCGCTGGAATCCGGAAGAGCCTGACCATCGGGTCCTGAAGCAAGCGGCATATCTGCACTGCTCGTATCGGCAGACCCAAATCCTGATCCATCGCCCGTTCATCACCGCTGCCAAGAAGTCGCCCCAACCTTCCCTGCCTTCCCTGACAATCTGCACAACGGCGGCGAAAGCGTGCGCGCACGTCTTGGACAGACAGAGGCAGGTCACCGGCTCAGGGTCGTTCTATATATCGGTACGCAGAACATCACATATCGCGGCCTGCAAGTTGTCTGACCTATTGTATGAACAAGTTCGCAGCAGCCATATCGGCCATCGTGCTGCTCGTGGGCATGTGGACCCGCGCGAAGCCACGGGCGAGCCGGGAGCAGCTCAGGGTGCGCGGTTCTGCAATAACATCTCGCATGGCCGGCTAATCTTTTCGGTGGACAGGAGCTGAGCGACATCCAACTTATATTGGACTACATGAAGAGTATGGAAGATCGCTCAGCGACGGCCGGGCGGACGTGGGATGTGCTCAACGAGCTTCGCTCGATCGGAGAGACGCCGGATTCGCTATTGGGCAAGCGTCCGCGCGATGGAGTGGATGGAATCTCGCTGGAAGACCCGTGGCCCTTGCCGGCGTCAAGGCAAGAAAGCTCGGGGCTCGCTCACACGAGCGCGTCGGATCCTCCGCCAATCTCGTCGATGGGAGGGACGGACGAAGCTCCCTCGACGCTAGCAAACGACGTGAATGCCAGCGGCATGTCTTCGTGGTTTTCGGCCACTGCGAGCGGACCCGGGGGTAGCGCGAATGACGCGACCTTTGACCCGCTTGCTTCGTGGTCATTCGAAAGCACTGGACCGTTGTCTGACCAGGACGTCGCTCCCTTATATGGCATGCCTACCGACGGTGCACCGCACGGGTTGGACCAGGACAGTATGGCAATCTGGTCGTCCTTGCCGCCTGCCTTCGAGTCGGTGGTTTCAGTCATGTTTACTGCATATGAGCTGACTACCCGTACAGTCCGAACGATTGGTTGACGTACCTCGCGGGGCTAGAAGAGGCGGCAAATGAACCATTTATGGGCGGGCCAACTCCATACGCAGACCCGGACGTGCCGCAGGGTAGTCAGTCGGGATACTCGATATAACATTCGCAACGTCCCACGCGAGCCAGTGCTGTTGACACACGCAGACTACCTCACCTCGCTAATCTCACTTTACCGCACCTCATCGCGATATGCCCACCTAGAGACCTGTTCCGAGTCATGACGATACTATCGTGTACACTAGCTAGAAATCAATGATATATCACTTCGTGCGAGATGGCGTCGTTCCGTTAACCTCTGCTCACCAGATGATCGATGAAGCATTGCTCCTGCGCTATAGCCTATAGCTCACGTTCAAAACGTGAAAAGGGCAATAGGTCATCGATAGGTGGGATCAGAGGTTCGCGCAGCAATAAATATTGAGACCCATAGGTCTACCACTCCGGAAAAGCGTGTCATCCTTGTGCAGGGGCCATGCTAATCTTCTCTGTATCGTTCCAAATTTTTCGTATGTCACCCCGAAGGGGACATGAAGGCTACGGGTACGCGCCAGGTCATTGACAGAATTTTGGACTTTGATTTGAGCCCGAGGGTTGTGGGTCCACGCCCCCTTGTGCACGTGCCGGTTCCCGCTTGTTACAAACACCCACCATCAAGTTGAACTTCTACTCGTTCTCGTCTCCGCTCATTCCTACAGCGTGCTGTTCGCATCTTCACCTTGAGCTACTTTCTGACCCGCGCACGGTCTATGCAAATTCAGTCTTGTTGCCGACAGAGCGCTTACAACGAATCGACATCGCGTACTCCCTCGTCTGCCCTGTCCCAATAGACCTGGTCCAATTTCGCGCGCGCTTCATATAGCACGGACTCTTCTCTTACGCATTGATTCTGAACACTCACGTTGGGCCTGATGCCACAAGAGGCCGATAACGAAGGCCCCAGTACGTCTGTCAACGAGCATTCCGACCTCAAGAAGAGGAGGGCAGACAAGGCCTGTGACTTCTGCAGAAGAAGAAAAAGTCAGTAATCAAACCTTTGCCCGTCGATAGCTTTCTTACTAACATCGGTTCCTAGGTCGCTGTGGGTAATCAGCTGCGTGAGCGGCTGGCACTTGGCCTTACAATTAAAAGGTGATGGCGACAAGCCGTCGCGGAAGACGTGTTCTAATTGTTCCATGAACGGCTTGCAATGCACTTACGGTGACACGACGAAGGTGCGCCGAGGGGCTATGACTTTGGAATGCACACTCTCAACAATGCGAAGAGGCCAGCCGCTAACAACAGGTGTGCAAAGATACAACACTTTTTGACAGTGCATCGACGCATTATGCAGCTACATACAAAGTCTGGAGAAGCACAATGAGGAACTGGAACAGCGCAACAAGGTCTTGGAAGAGCGCGTCAAGGAGCTGGAGGGAACCCTTGACCGTGTACGGCCCCTTTGTCGTCGCGCCCATTCTTGAAGCTCATGACCCATTTCAGCATAAACTCTTGTCGCCGAGTACCGTCGTTGACAACCCCGCACCCGCTTTCGCCAAAGACTCGTCAAGTCAGGCTCCTCTCAAGTTTTCTCAAGTGAACGTGACGAAGGAGCAGTTGCGCGAGATGGCTAGCGTCATGCTTCGTATAGGCACCCAAGGCCGCGAGCATGCGTTCTTCAAGGCGCAGGCGGCCGGTGCAGAGTCAGGCGAACTCGAACTTCAGGATGAAGATCTTTACGAGCGCATGCGCCTCGTCAAACTCAGCAGCTCAGCATTCGACCAATTCTTGGGCAACAAATTTCTGGGCAAGAGCAGCACTGCGCGTAAGCCATGTTTACGCATCACCTTCGTCCGCTAATGCCTTACGCATCGTACAGATCTCGTCCTGAAGCTCATCAACCTCAAGAAACCTCCGAACGAACCACACAAGATCCCCTCATTCTACTCAAACGGGCGCCGTACCCCATTTTGGACTGCGCAACCATGGGAGTGCGCCCTTCTCAAGAAGGAGCCGACGTCCCATGATTTCCCGGAGCAAGACCTGATGCACTCGCTCATCGACCTGTACTATCGTCATGTCCAGCCCTTCTTCCCTTTGCTTCATCGACCAACTTTCGAACAAGGCGTTGAGGCTTCCCAGTACTTTGGCGATCATGATTTTGGCGTCGTCGTGCTCCTTGTCTGCGCCCTCGGCGCACAGTACTCGGACGACCCTCGGACCCTTTCTGAGGAGTATGATATGGATACGCACTCGCGAGGGTGGTAAGCACGGGCTCTTATCCTGTCCGCCTCGCATCTGAGCCTCGTTTTCTCAGGAAGTGGTTCTCGCAAGCGGAGAAGGTCCACAAGCCTATAGTTGGCACGCCGACACTACTGGAAATACAGGCGTACTGTGTAAGCCAAGACTAGTACCGGTGGCTTTTAGTCACTCGATGCTCACATCACGCAGTTGTCTGCGTTGTTCATGCTGCCTGCATCCAACCTCATGACGGAGCACATCTGGGCGCGCATCGGTGTCGCCTTGCGGTATGTCCAAGACGTTGGTGCCCATCGACGGCCAAGGCAAAAGGTTCCGACTGTCGAGGATGAGCTCTGGCATCGTGCGACCTGGTAGGTCCTCACTGCTATACGCGAAGAAAGTCGTCCGATCGTTGATCTGTCTATGGAAGGAGCCTCGTAGTGTTGGACCGAAATATCAGCGCTCTACTGGGCCGGAATTGTGCCATGCAGGACGAAGAGTAGGCCTTTGCCCCCTTGGCGTCTGATGGTCTTACACAATCTACAGCCTCGACATTCGCTATCCCATGGACGTCGACGACGAGTACTGGCATGACGCAGACGACGCAGAACGGTCTTGGAAGCAGCCCGCGAATAAGCCGTCGAAGGTCTCCTGCTTCGTCGCGTGCATCAAGCTCTCACGCATCGTCGAGATCACTGCACGGCTCCTGTACGGTGGCAGCAAGTACGGCTGCCCAAGTCTTTTCTATGGCGAAGGCTGGTATCGCGATGTGGTTCAAGAACTTGACTCCGCGCTGAACAAGTGGCACGACGATCTACCGAAGCACTGTGCGTATCACTTCCTCGTCCTTACTCAGACTGATCAGTCGTTGACTCAGTGCGCTGGGACCCAGAGCAATTCGACCCGGGGCTCATGAACCAGGCAGCATTTCTGGATGCTTCTTACCGAGCGGCGCAGATCTTGATTCACCGGCCTTTCCTCACCGCTCAAGCTCAAGTGGTCAACTCGCCACTTCCGTCGCTCACTATATGCACGACGGCGGCGAAAACATGCGCGCACGTCTTGGATCAACAAAGACGGAAGACGGGTGCGGGGTTGCCTTACATTATGGTGCGCATCGTCTCCTCGTTGCATTCGATTCGGTTCTTAGCGCTCGCACAGTATACGGCCTCGGTGTCGGCCATAATATTGCTTGTCAGCATGTGGAGTCGTGCGAAGCCGCGTTCGAGCCGGGAACAGCTGAAGGTCTGTACGGGGTTTCACCACTCGACTTCGCGCACTCGACCATTGTACAGGAGCTGAACGACGTTCAATTGCTGATGGAATACATCAAGAGCATGGAGGATCGCTGGGTCACGGCCGGCCGCACGGCGGACGTGCTCAACGAGCTACGCTCAATCGGTGACGCGCCCAACTCGCAACTCGGCAAGCGCGCGCACGACGGGCCTACCGAAGAGCGGCCCGGTTACCCAAAGCCTCCGCCTGCAGACTGGCAAGCTGGACCATCGCTCCCTTCTGCTGCAATGCAGACGCACTTGAGGATGGAGTCCCATCTGCCCACCGCGAGTCCACACAACGGTATCAGCCCAAGTGGGTATCCTCCAGTTGACATTGCCGGAGATGGCTCGTGGGGTATGCCCGTATCGAGTTCGTCTGGGCAGACTTCGAGCACGAATACGGAGGACCTTTATTCGGCGTGGTCTTTCGGCGACTTAGCGACAGCGCACGACCAGGAGACAGGCGACTTAGGTGCAGGCACGACCGACCTTGCGCCAAATATGATGGATCAGGATAGCATGGCCATCTGGTCTTCTGTGCCACAAGCCTTTGAGTGAGTTGTCCACTGACTGACTATAGTAAGTGACCTTGAACTGACGATCTCCGCAGTCCAAACGATTGGCTATCTTATCTATCCAGCCTGTCAGATATGCCAGACGACCAGAATGATAGCCAAAGTGTACACGATATCAACCAGGCCTCCTCGCTGCCCTACGTCTTTCCGGAGGAAAGTGGTGTGTATTCGTACGACAGTGCCCAGGATTATCGCCTGTAATGTAGCGTACGAGGATGTATTGCATACAAAGGAACAATTTCTTATACTTCTGGAAACTGTCTGGAATTGGGCTCGAGTGCTCGTAGCAGCGCTCAGTGCTCAGCGCTTACATAGCGCTGGATTGTGAAGTTCAACATGGGCCCGTGGGAAAGTGCGCTCACGGGCGCACAGCTCCCGAACTTCAATTGAACAACTTGACCGCGACGGCGGCTGTCTTATGACCTAAGCCGACCTCAAGCCCTGGCGGCGAGGCGCCTATCCCTCACCGCGCCCTCTGTACCCTGACTGTGCTGGCTGCTCCTTGGATTGTGCTTGCTGCACCCTGAACGCGGTAACGAATCCAACGAACGCGTTCGCTGCACACCGAGCACCGGTCAACCAGTGCATTCCCCACGCGCTATACCAGCCTAGCAGCACTATTCTGCACCGCACCAGTCCGACCAGCGACTCTGCACGTCCTGGCATCCGCGCTCACTTCATCCACGACCGCTCCTACCTAAACCCAAGAAACCCAACATACGCTGCATGTTTGATAAGCACTGCACGCTGTACGAATAACCCCCATACTCCCGACGATTAGTCGAACCCTTCACGGATATTTCAACCCACGACGAACAGTCCGGCCTCTACGAACGACCTCCTTTCCCCGTCCCCTTTCGCCTCCTGTTGTACGAACTTCCCGGCCGCATATGGCGACGGTCACTCTCCTCGAGCCGCCCCGGACGGTGACCGCCTTCCCCGGTGTTCTCAACATCACAGGCGCTATCGAGCCCACCTCAGCGCCCGCCGCCAGCGCCCCACCACCACCCACCCAAGACAACCTCCCTCCCATCGAACATAGCCCAGCCCCTACCGACGAAAGCCCCGCACCCACCGAAGAGAGCGCCTCGCCGGAGGAGGATGTTGACCTCGACTCCGAGTCGGACAACGACTCAGTGCACAGCTGGTCCACCGCGCGCACCTCGCACCGACATCGAGAGCGGCGCGTGGAGTTCGATCCGGCGTGTACAGAGATCACGGAGACCGTGCGGACGACAACGGTGTGGCTGGACGAGCATGGGCACCGCAGACGGTCGAGAGAGCGCAAGCGGCATCGGCGGCGCTACTCGCAACACCACTGTCATGACCAGATTGGGTGGCCAATGTGTGAGTTGCCTACTTCCATTCGACGTCCATTGGGCTGATCCTTGAGCCCAGCAAGAGACATGCTCTGCCTCGTCACCCTCTGCTTCATCCTCGGCTGCCTTACCATTATCACCTTCCGCCCCTTCGCCCTCCAGTACTTGGATATCGACCGGGACCACGACCCAGATCAGTGACCAGACGTGCACCTGTTTCAGTGACTAGGTGCACGCTCGGTCGTGGACCTCTCTTACAGGTCGTGGCTCCCTTCTTGCGCGAGCGCGTTATTACCCTAAATTATCGGACTCGACTCCTCTTGGACCCTTGTATATCAGACTGGCGTAGGTATGACAGAACGATGCATTTGCGCTGGATGCGCAGACAAAACTATGATGTGCGAACATGAGCGTGAACAGACCTCTGACGAGGCCACGAAACAGGTGTGCACATGAATATCATCTTCCTCCGCCTACTCTTCGTAGATCCGGACCTTCCCTCCGCCCCATCTGCGCATGAGCGCAGCGCCGTCGCCCGTAGGCTGCGTGAACGCCACTTCGCCCTTCCGCGGGTCGAGGTGGCAGTTGTAAATGAACGTGCGGCACGCCGCATCGAGGAGGCGGCTCGCAATACCCATTCGGCGATGCGAAGAAGGGACGAACAACCGTGGGATGCCCATGGGTGTGGGCAGTGGTGTCGGGTGGCAGAACAGACCGGTGCTAGTGTCGACTGCGACCATGGTGGCCGTAGGGGGAGAGTTGGGAGAGGACTCGGGTGAGGAGGCAGCAACCTCTTCCGGAGTGGCGATGTCCATCGCGGTCTCGATGCGCTGCGCTATCACGCAGCCTGCGATCTTCTCGCGCCCGCCTGGAACAGCTGGCGCTTGCAGGAAAAGGTAGACTTTGGACGCCGCAAGGATCTCCTTCGTGAGTGGCGGCGAGGATAGCGCAAGGCTGATGGTGTCGAGAAGAGTAGCAAGCTATACACCAGGGTTAGTGGATGAGCCACAGGATCGTGAACCGGTACACACCTTGCTGCCAATCTTTCCCCCAACGTCCGCCTTGAAGTAGATAATCCTCCCACTCGTCTTCCCCCTGCTCGTCTTCCACGCCACATTCTCCACCTCCACCACCCCCGCCTTCTCCCTCTCGCGTTCTTCCTCTTTTCCCCACTCCATGCCCTTCCGCACCCTTGCGCAGTGCGCGCGATGCAGCGTCTCGTCCTCCGGCGCGGCCTTCGTGTACGACAGCCCGCACAGCCCGCACGTCCGCATCACCGTCGTATCGAGCACAAAGTGCAGCTGCGTGAGTGTCTTCTGAGATGTGGGCGCGGCCTTCTTCGTGCGCGACTTCGTGAGGGAGGAAGAGGACTTGCGCGAGAACAGGGAGGTCTTCTGAGTGGAGGGTGTCTTTGGTAGAGCGTCTGACGCCGATATAGACGGTGTATCCTTCAGAGAGGTCGAGGTCCGGGATCGCTTGGCGGACGGGCTCCCCAGTATGTTGTCCTCTGAGCTAGAGTGTGCTTGCAATGGGCGCTTGCGCCCCGCCATCGGCGGCGAGGACGCGAGATCTGACTGCGACGGCGAGGAAAACGTGAGAGGACGCGTCTTGTTACGCGACGCGTACGTGCGCTTGACCGCGGGAGGCATGTTGATGAGAGGTATCCGATGGGCAGGTATCCAGATGGCGGTCGGGACCAAGCTGATAAACAGGTCTCAGCGCGTCAACGACGCGATCGGTCGGCGCGTGCCCTGCAGGTGATGGGTCACGTGCTATTCAACGGATTGGACCCACACGGGGAAACAACGGTCAATGATTCTTGTCTTCGGGTTCTCAGCCATGCGAGCACTAGTTTGCAGCGTGTTTGTTCTTGTAAGTAGTTGGTATATACCCAAGATTATCTACAACATGACTACACCGATACCGCGCCCGGCTGGAGTGTCGCCAATAGCTTCCACGCCTGCTAACGGCGCGGTCCTCCAGTTGTACAGGTAGAAGTGCAGGAAGCCATCACCCTGACCGAACTGGAGACTGCGTCAGTAGGACAGAGGTCTCTCGAGCGATCATATTTACCTTCAGATCTTGCAGGAAAGTTGAGTTGTCCATGAGCGTTAGCGCATTGAAGACATCAAACTTGGCGTTATTCGCGATGGTGAGCGCGTCGCCAACGAGCGCTTGCAACCGGCTTTTCAGCGTCCCTGACGAGTCGGCCTCTGGATCCAGCCCGGCGCTCGACGCGTAGTAGAAGAGATACGCCGCGTGAAGGACGTCGTGCTTGGGATTGTTAATGACCGTCGACGGCAGGGAGTAGAATGAGAAGAAGTCGGTAATCTTATGGGTCTCCGGGTCCTGCATATTCGTCAGCAACCACATTCACCTCCTCAAAACTTTTTCAAGCTCACCTCGACCACGTAACTCCACGTCACCTGGTGCTCCCGTCGCCCATTCACCACCTCTCCATCCCCTCTTCCGCTCAGCAAGTGATGCCGCGTCTCCTCAACGGTCATCAACGGGACCATCTGGAAGCGCTTCATGTATTCGGCGAACAGCGCCGCGACCTGCTCGATGTCCCGGTCCTCCATCTCGCGAAGGCCGACCAGGGAGGTCTTCTCAGGGACCTTGTGCAGCCGCGTCATGCGCGCGATGGTCGAGTTGCGCGGGACGTAGGTGAACTTGATATCGACAAGCTTGGGGATGTTCATGGAGCGGTGGTAGTACCTGGGTGGCTGAATCGGTATGGCAAGCAAGAATACGAAAGTAAGAGCTCACCGGCAAGTGGATACGGGAGTGGGTATCACGACACCTCCGGTGTAGATAGCCTGGAAGGTGCCCAGAAGGTTGCATTGTCGGGTGACCTCCTTGATCAGGACAGGAGCTAGTCGCCTTGACCGCAACTTCTTGTGCACGCAAAGGTAATTGACTTCGCTAGCCTGAACCTCCCTGTGTACATCATCAGTTGCAAATAATAGAAGAGACTGTCCTGACCACGTACTTTTGGCGTACCCGCAGCCGTATTGGGACTGCAGAAATGAACGCGACCAGCTTCTTGTTCGACTTGACGCGTACACCAATGTGCCAGCTCTTGTGGAAGCCAGGAGGTGTGCATGCCCTATTCCGAATGAGCATCTAATTAAACAGGATGATGATCGAACTTACCATCGCAAGAACTCTGCGGTGTATTGGAAGCGGAATGACGCGTCCGAGTCCTCGACGTAGTTCGCCGACAGGAGGTCATACACTTCCTTATTCTGCACACCGATGAGCAAAAGACCGTACAACAAAAGCAGATTACATACCTCCTTATCGTCTTCCAAGTCTAGAGTAGCCCACTCGAAGTCGTTCGGGAGGGGGTAAGGCGTTTGCCGAACCTGGTCGGTGGGGACAGCAGGTTCGATCGGTCCATCCTCTTCGGGGGGCTGTTCGCCTGACGGTGGGTCAGCAGAGATTCAGTATTTCTGACAAGGCAGACATACCATACTTAGTCACTGGCTGAGTTTTCCAGAACTGCAGGCACGATCGTCAGTACCGTTCCCTCCACTTAACCTCCCTCACGCACCTTATGATCGCCCATATCCTTCTTCGTCGCATGCCCCAGGCCCACCTTCCCCTTCATGATATCCATAATCTTGATCTGCTCCAGCGCCATCCTCACGTTCTCCGCATTCGCATGCTCAGCACCCTCCCCGCCGCGCTCCTTCACCTTGTCCAGCACGACATCCACGACCCCCTCCGGCACCTCCTTCTTCCCCCTCAGCGCATTCAGCGCCGACTTGGCCTTGCTCTTCTTCTTTTTCTTGTTCTTCTTGCCCGTCGTGGCAGAAGGATCGGTCGACGTTGACGCGGTCGGTTGCGCGTCCTCGTCACCGGAGGAGCCATCGGAGCCGTGCTCGAGGTCCTCGACGGCGGAGGCAACGGCGTCGGGGTCCGTCACCTCCTGGATTTCGTGAGATTGAGCCCCGGACATCGTACGGTCGGGGAGTTAGCGCGTCGTGGTGAGGACAGACGTTAGGATCAGAGGATCTGTCCCTGGCGGGCGGATTGCAGGCGCTTCGGAACTTCGGCCCGGTCATTTGACCGCGCACGCAGCGGACCTACAACTTGCTCTTGACCGTCATGCATCGCTATCAGGGTGCTATTCCTGGCAAAGTCCTGGCATACTTAAGAGAAGAATACCTCTGGAAACACTACACGCTGTCTACTCTGACTAATCCCTCCGCACAGGCTTTTGCAGCATCGGAATGTTGCATGCGCCAGCTCCCGCTCTTCGCGAGTTTCTGCTGATTTAACGAGAACAATGATGGCCAAATCCATGGCATCTGTCGACTGCAATGTCGCCTTGATACCTTATGGCCGGCTATCAAGCCTCCCAGGACTGGTATGGGGAACCGGCCTGAAGCAGACTCCGAATCAGTGCATTCTTGACGTCTCCGCACTGCAGCGGTATAAACGAACGACAGTCATCTTGCTCTCACCGATCTCATCCTCCGGCGTCCACTATGCAAATCTCCAGGCCATACACTTCTCTCCAGAGCCTTTGTTAAGACCTCCCTCTCTGGCGAACTGGACCTTTCCCGACATACATCTGCCCGTCCGCCGACGACCAAGATAATTGCCGTCGAGGCTTTCAGTCAACTCTTCAGCAAATGCATAGCAAGATGTACACCTTTCAGGCGTAATCTAATCTCAAGGGCTAATGTCTGCATAGTAAAGGTTGTAGTAAAAACATCCTTCAGCGAGCTTCGCAGATTAACAGACCACCCAAGCGTCGGATCCTCGGTCATAGGATCTGGTCCTGGATTTGCCTCTGACCTCTGTGGAGGATACTGCACTCGCCCTATGCAAAACGTCAAACGAGATGGAGCGATGTGTCACTCGGGCCATGAAGGCCAGGTTGACCGCCATAACGGTGCAAGTCCAATTAGTGGCAGCATCTCGCGGAAATTTGATGCGCAAATGGTTCAACGAACGACCAACGGCTTGCTGTCACGATGGACGCACACGCGGAGGACACACTCGATATCCTCAGCCTCCCTTTGGGTGGCTTGTAGATCCATGGGACCTTCTTCTGTCATCTCCGTCGCTCTCGACCGTCTTCCTGTTGGTTCTTCCTCGTCACTGGACGTCGAACGCACTTCTGGACCCTAGTATGCTCCACAAACATCACCTTCACCCGTTCAAAAACCTTCATGACGCCCTCCAGTCATGTTATGATACAGGCGCTGGGCGCTTATCGCGCGGGATCCTCGCTTCCTCCTCGCTTCCCGTGGCATACAAATCAGGCGCGCCAGGCAGGCTCTACCACTACGCATACCCACCGAGTGCCCCCCCAGTTTCTGGACACTCAAACACTGTCACCGCGCGTCCACTCGCCGCTCGCACAACCTTCAATATGCGCTTCTCCATCCTCTTCGCCCCTCTGGCCCTCGCGGCCACCGTCGCTGGTGGCCCCATCGCCTACGGGATTTGCCAGACTGGTACGTGTTCACGCAAATCTTTGCAAGATGACCACAAGTTCACTCTCCCCCTCGTAGGCTGCAACACCGTCGCCGTCGCCTGCTACGCCGCCGCAGGCTTCACAATGGGCGTCGCGCTCCCCGCCGCACCACCCGCCATCCTGGCGTGCAACGCTGCCCTCGGGACGTGCAGCGCAGCCTGTGCTACCATTGGTCTCTTCGCACCGACGCCTTGAAGACCTGCTGAAGTTTGTTGGGCGGGACTCATAAGAGAAGTTCTCGATGTACAAGTTTTATGGGACCAGGTTCCTTGATGTATCAGTAGACCTCCAGTTTACTGGAGGATGGTTGACGAGACTAAGTAGACCCTCGCCTTGAGCGAAGCGTTCTTGACCACCATCACCTTGAGTTTTGGCGAGGATTCTCGCCGTCGTGACTTTCTGGCAAGATACCAGCAGCGTACCGCTCCCACAAGTTCGACAAGCAGCAGTTGTAGTCGAAAAAGCACTATGAATACAGCAAATATATTCCCTCACACTTCAACATCTATCGTGCTTGCACGTAGTCGTCGATCTTCAACAGCAAGCAGACTGTCTCGGTCGCCAGCTCCACTGCGCTTGTTGAGACGAGCAACGGCTGAACGACGTCCTCCTCGAGGATGTTTGATATCAAGCCCTGAGGGATGAGCGATCTTCTTAGCTTTGGAATGCATCGCCCATGAGAGCTGCTCACCTTCCGGACGTTGATGCCAGCGTTGCGCTCGCCCAAAGCATGCCTGTTGCGCAGCTCGGTGACGATCGCGATGGGGTTCAAGCCTGCGTTCTCGGCGAGCGTCGTCGGGATGACCTCCAAAGCGTCCGCGTAGGCCTGGAAGCAGTATGCCTCCATGCCCTTCAGCGTGTGCGAATATTGCGACAACAGCCGCGAGACATGGATCTCGGGGGATCCACCACCGCCGATCAAGGCGCTGGGAAGGTTCAGTGAAGGGGTCGAGGAAAAAATATGGCCAACTCACCGCTTCTTCACGAGACAACGGACAACACAGAGCGCGTCGTGCAGACTGCGCTCGCACTCCTCGAGGACGAGGCTGTTGCTGCCCATGGCGAGGATGCTGACTGTCCGCCCGCGGTTCTTGATACCGGTGATGCGGACGACTTTGGCGCCCGATTGCGAGGTCTCCTCGACGAGATCCGCATACCCGAGCTTATCCTCCGTAAACGCCTCTATATCCGCCACCGGCTTGCACCCCAAGCTCTTCGCCAAGAACTCGATCTCATCGCGCTCGACGTCCTTCACCGCCAGGATCCCCAGCCGCTTCAAGAAGTTGAGCGACGTGTCGTCGACCGCGTCGCGCAGGATCGACTTCTGGATGAGCAGGACGTTGCAGCCCGCCTTCTTGATCTTCTTGCACATGTTCAGGAGGTACTGGCGGCCCTCCTTGATGACCTTGTCCATCTGGCGGTAGTCGTTGATCACGACCGTGTTGTCCATGTCTGGCTTCGGGGGGCTGAGCTGGAACTGGATTATGGCGATCTTGGCTTTTTCGATGCGGCTGGGGCCGCCGGCGGAGGAGATGACGTTCTGGTTGAGGACGACGCCCTCGACGAGCTCAGTGTCCTCGATGGTGCCGCCGACCTTCTTAGCGATGCGGATATCGCGAAGGTCGACGTTGGAGGAAGTAGGTGTCACGAGGCGGGTTACGGCCTGGACAGCGATGGGCGCTAAAGTCGAGGAGTATTGCGAGACGATCTGCAGAGAAGAGTTGAAGCATGAAAATGGGTGGTGGGAAGAGGGAACACACCTTCGAGTTCAGAGATGTGCTCGCTGCGCGAAGGAGGCTCGACTTGTCGTTCAGGTCGACCGGAGTCGAAATCTCGGTGAGGTATTCGACGGCCTTCGCGGATGCCTTGATGAAGGACTCGGCGATGATCGTGGGGTGAATGCCCTTCTCGAGCATCTTCTCAGCGGCACCAAGGAAGCTACCAGCAAGGACGACAACGGAGGTCGTTCCATCGCCGGCCTCAACATCTTGCGCGGCAGAGAGATCGACGAGCTGATGGTCAAGTTAGGACAGGCGCTTTCGTTGTATGAAGCCGTCTTGCCATCTTCGCTGCGGGGTGAAGGGCCTGGATGCTCTTGAGGATGGTCGCACCATCGTTCGTGACGATCACCTCGCCTTTCGATGTTTGGATCTGAGCATGTCAGAAATGTGTACCCGATCTGTGCAGGACGCGTACTCACCATCTTATCCATTCCCCTCGGACCAAGAGACGTGCGTACAGCATCGGATATGGCTGTTATATCTTCAGCATCCTCCCCTTCTGGCATGAGTGAGCTACGCACCCTTCGCCGCAACCATATTCGACATGCGGAGTTCCATCGGTTTGCCCTGCTCGAAGTTAGCGAGAGATGTGGACCATTGGTGCAGTTACGCACTTTGTCGTTAAACGCAGCATTGGATCCCACTGTTTTCGTGACGCCCTGCTGGGCCGAGGTAGGTTGCGCGGTCGCCATGGCTGAGGAGAACAATGGGGAGAACGACTTGGATTTTTCGACGCGTCGGTGTCACGCGTGTGTGATGCGACGCCGATTTCCTAATTGGGGACGCGTGCGTCAGCGACGCGCGCCTTGTGCAGGTTGTATCCTACTCTCGCGCACACTGCCATGGATTTTGTGAGTGCACATTCGGAAGGCAGCTTCGTGCGACTGACAGAGCTCCAGTTGAATAATGGCCCTGGAAGTCTCTTCGCCCAACTTGCTGGGTAGGTCATACTCCCTGCTAGTGCTCCTGCGATGCTGAGACTGAGATTAGTGGCGGCGTCCTGCCGGGCATGCCCAGCAGCAGGCGTGCAAACCCGAGACAATTCGATGAATATCTGAAGGCATACAGCGTTGCGATGCTGCCTGGCAGACCTAGAGACAATGTTTCTTACGGTGGAAAGAGTGCGTGGCCTACTGCGATTCATCGTGGCGATGGGTACTGACTGACATACAGTCATCATGCCTCCATCTGCTCTGGCGAGGTTAACTCGCCTTGACCTACAAGACCCGTGGATGTTCCAGCTACGCAATCCAGCGAACCCGGCGGCGTCTACCCACGCTGGTGTACTGGAGTTCATCGCCGAGGAGGGTGTGGTTCACCTGCCATATTGGATGATGAAGACCCTGAGGCTAAACGAGGGCGATCCCATCCGCATCACTGGTACCGAGCTGCCGAAGGGCAAGTTCGTCAAGCTGCAAGCGCAGACCGTACACTTCCTCGAGATCTCGGATCCCAAGGCTGTGTGCGTATACCCTCCTTCCTCGGCGACTTCAGCTAATGCACCACTAGCCTCGAGCAAGCCCTCCGCAACTTCACTGCCCTTACGCAAGGCGACATCATCGAGATTTCCTACAATTCCATAGTTTTCGGCCTACTCGTCATGGAAGCCGTCCCGGGAGGCGAAGGTATCAGCGTCCTGGACACCGATCTCGAGGTCGACTTTGCGCCCCCAGTAGGCTATGTCGAGCCCGAGAGGCCGAAGGCGCCCCCTCCTCCGACGATGGCGTCCAAGCTCAAGATCGACCTAAACTCGGCCTCGCCTGGTTCGTCGCGTCCCGGATCATCCTTAAGCGGCGGCTTCGCGGGTACCTCGACTGGGCAGACAACCTTGAGCAAGGAGGGCGACCAGTGGGAGAGTTTCAAGGGCCGTGGCGAGACGTTGGGCGGTAGGAAGACGAAAGGCAAGGGCATCTCCCATCGCAAGGTCGAGGCGGTCCCTGAAGGGAGCAAGATCATCAAGACCGAGTATGTGGCTTCTTGCTTTCCTTGCAGGATACCTTTTGACACTTTCCCAGCAACCGCAAGATCGTCTCCAATGAAACTTTGGAATCCGGGACGCGCGTACCTGGTCCCCTCAACTTGCCTTTCGGCCAGCTCTTCTTCGGATTCAACGTGCCTCCCTATCAACCGCCTAACGCGCCTGCATCGCCTGGTTCTCCTGGTGCACCATCTGTGCGTATCTATCGCTCACCCTCATCTCGTACGACTTGGCTCGCTGCACCGTTCTATCCTTCAGTCGTGATTCATCGCTAATCCGAACAATCCCACAGGGTGTTCAATCCTTCTCCGGTTCCGGCGCTACACTCAGCGGGAGGCCTGCTCCCGGATCCTCTGCCTCAACCTCTGCGAAGGGCAAGGAAAAGGAAAAAGAGAACACGGAATCCACTGCGCACCAATGGGGAAGCTCGGGACACACGCTTGGTCGGAGTGTCCCGCGCGAGCTTCCGCGCGAATCTGGCCCCGTAGGCGCGGGCGGTGCTCGTGCACCTCGAGCCCCGGTGCGTAACCAGAGCGCGAAGCAGAAGCAGAAGGAGCGGAGCCCGACTCCAGACTGGGGTGTCGATGACGATGAGGATGTGATCATGTACGACAGCGACTAATCGTGCAGTCAGTCGGTATGGCCAGCGCTTTTGAAAGCTGCACAATCCGAATGCGCTCATCATACGGTACATCCTCGCATTGTACACAATACTTATCATGTAACATTACGGCCAAGAGACGTTTCTAGACATGAACGACTGGTTTGCTACAAGTACACTTTGTTTCGTTTCGACTGCAACAAGGATAAAAGGGAAGGTGATGCTACAAGGGACGCGATGGCCAATGCGGTTGGCGCGTCCAGATGAACGGGGTGTCTGTCACTGATGCAAGAGGTGCAAGACAAGTGCGACGATGGCAAGTCACAAGATTACAGGAAGTACATCGTCTGGCCGATGTGCTTCTGGGGCGGCTGGAAGTCAGAGCGCCAGAGCGCCATATCGATGGAGTTGCCGGAGTCGCTGTCGAAGTCGACGTGGGAGTTCGCATTGACGTGGAAGGCTCCGCGAGCGCAGGCGAGCTGCAGGGCACCGTCAGTACAAGATGCAAGACCAGCAGTGCGTGGCAGTGCTCACGTCGGCGTCTATAGGGAATGCACATCAGCTTCAGGCAAAGAAGATAAAGTGTCAAAGGCTTACAGTAGACCGGAGAAGGGATCGACACGGCGCGAGTGGCCTTGGCGTACGTATGGCAGAGATGAAACGACAGTTGCTTGAAGCTACACCTCGTACGTTGGTGAAGACCGAAGATCACTGTGCAAAAAACTCACAGCTCGACATCGAAATCCCGGATATCGTTGTGCAGGACGACGTAGTGCGAGCTACGCGATGCTAGCGTGCGCTCATGAGTACTGCTGAATTAGGCCAATGAACGATACTGACTTCCTTGGATGGCTGAATGACTTTGGAGGAAGAAGTCGCGCGCGAAGGGGCTTTCAAGCCCGCGGTCGGTGACGAAGCCGCTGGGTAGGTTTCCGGTCTTGCCGTCCTCGTCCCGCTTGTCGCTGGGGAAAAACACGACATGGTGTCTATCACAAAGTTATGGTATCGTGATGCAGCGGGTTGAGGATACGACTGACCGCTTGCCAACAACGATGTATGCCACTTCAGGACCGGGCGCGTCAGGCGGTGCTCGTCCAGCGCTTTTGTACTTGTTCAAAGCCTTGTCAACGCCCGCTAGCAGTCCAACAGTGGTCAGAGTCCAATCAAAAATATCAGAGTCCGATCCTACATTTGAAGTCCGCAACCTCTTGCGCGGCCACATTGTGGAACTCCCCTTCACTGATACCATCTCGATAGAACACGACACGTTGCGGGAAGAGCTTGATAGGCAGGTCCTCTCGGTTGTTCATCTTGACGAAGCCCTGGATAGCCCTATACGCGTAATCGCGCATGTTCTCGATGCGCTCCGTTCGCGCGTCTTGTATATCGCTGATTGCGTTGAACCGCGCCGCATCTCTGTCGTGCGAGTAGACGAGGCTGACCATCGAAGGACGCGTCTGCCCAGGGCCAGGATGACTGACGTCGGCTCCTGCAGAAAAGAACCGTGAACAGCCGAAAGGAACGCGATCGGGCAGTGACTTACCTACGATCATGGTCGTCTTCTTTTGCAGGAGGTCCATCACTGGAGACCGAACCTCCGCGCTCATACCACCAAGGCGAGCGTTGAGCCTGTAACAAAAATTTCGAGGCTGAACAAGCGACGACGAAACACATAGCCGACGTACTTGATGCCAACGTTATTGAAATACTGATCGTTCGCTCCCTTCACCTTCGACTCACGGACGCACTGTGTGATCACACCTTCCAAAGCGTAAGCCAAAAAAGATGAGCTGGACATAAACACGTACCGCGGACAATGTCGCCCCAGTGCTTGACGCGCTGGCGAATGCCCTTCGCATTTTGCGGCAGGAATATCAGGAGCAGCGGGGCCTTCTTACGATCCAGCCGGCAATACGCTTCGTCTAGATACTTCTCGGGGTTCATACCATCTCCATTGATTGGATGGCTTATGGCCGGCGGGTCGACGCCTATCGCCCAAGTTTAAGTGTGTCGGAGGCCAACAATAACAGGCTTACCCATGCCTGTCGTAAGGGATGAACGCTAAAACATCTGGCTTTCGAAGAAGCAGGCGACTCACCCAGCTTCTGGCAAGCGTCAGCCAGACGTTTGATGAAGTCGGCCGCGCGCCCGTCGGATATGGCAGGCGCGAAGTTGACTGAAGCCCAGTTGCTCAGGTGGCGTGGTTTAGCAACCCTCTTGCCGACCATGTTCCACGCGCCACCTCGAGGAACCTATCGGAAGGGATGTCAAGCCAGCTTTGCGGCTACGCGGGTGAGCTTACCTCGAAGGGCCGCTTGTGTGGCTGCTGGGCGTAAATCGCAGGTTGATCGTAAAGGAGTGTAGGCGGAGGGAGCATTCTTCCTTGTACTTGCTCTAGCTCTTGACCAATTACCATCCCGGCTGCCTGGATGTACGATGACTGCTGGTAGTGCTGAATCTTTCGAACAGATCAGTACGTCGCCGAACAACGTAGTAGGCAAAACATACAGGAGAGTCGACACCTCCTCCAAGGCCTTTCAAAATCTTGTCTTTCCGCTCTTTAGGCTTCAGGGTGGCGAATTTGACTGTCTGAGCCGTCATATTCTCGTCCAGTTTCCGCTTGTAGAATTGGAAGGGCTTGAGGGTGCAGAGCTCCGCAGGAACGATGACCGGGTTGGGCGCGCTCGGGCCCGTGAGGCGCAATCCGACAATGTCTAGGTAAGCCATCCTATATCCATGCGCGCGATGATAGTGCGACTAACAAACGTTGAGCAACAAGAGGACGCAAGACAGCGCCAGTACTAACCTGAACGGACATGCTTCGCCCTTTCTGGTCGTTATGGAATGTGAAGTGGCCAGCGCGCGGCTCCAGGCCACGAATGATCTTGGTGGGCGCCTTGTTGAATTTGACCGTGATCTGTAAGTTCTTGAGAGCACGGTTGAGCTTCTGGAAGTTCGGATGAGTCTCGGGAATGGCGAGATGCGCGACGTTGTTCGAGCCGATGATGTTCAGCATGAAGTCGATGACGCCGCCTGGGGCGATGCTGCGCGCGCGTCAGTGAACGAAAGGGCCTATCACAAACACGTACAATGGCGCGACAGTCGTGTCGATGTTGATAAGCAAGCGACCAATCGTAGGGCGGACAGACCTGTGGCCTAGTGAGGAAAAACTCCATGCACAGGAGGCGTACGAACTGAAAATATCCTCGCCAAAGCTCGACTGGCGTGCCCTGGAAAACATGCCTATCCTTGCTGGTAAAGTACGCCTTCGCATTGACGGCGGGTTTCATCAAACTGGGGAGCCCTTAGATCGACGAGGAATTGAGGCTACGGAAAGCTTACTTGTTCGAGTGTTGACGAATAATCAATTGCAAGAGGTTGATAACTTGAAAGGCTTGCACGCTTGGGGCGCCTCTATTCTTCTTGATCAGGTCCTCAACGTCCCTTGAAAGGATGATTAGCGATGGGCGCGGATTGACACTCGACAACGTACGCCGTCTTGATACCCGGATGTGCGGTCCTGGTGATGGTGACCCTGTACTCCGCGTTGGGAGACGGCGTGGGGCCGCTGCCCATGTTGACGGATAACTGGGAATGTATGGTCAGGAGAACCGAGGACATGCTGCGAAGCGCGGGCACCCTGCCACTATTCCCTCCGGGCAATGCCAATACATACGGCACGAACAGGAGGCTCATGCCGTCGAACACGCAGTTGACGAAGACCTGAGGGGCGACCTTCTCCTGCAGGCGGTCGATGACACGAATTCGCTTCTCGCTGTGCTTCTCTTCTCGCCATTCTCCTTGCTTGCCACGCGAAACGATCCCTGAGCAGTTTGAGAAACATCGCGCAGGTGGATGTCGAGCCAGCTCACCGACTACAGGTAAAGAGGCGCGAGAATGGTCAGATTTCATGAGCGGCAGTGGGAGAGCAGGAAGCGGGCACACCCGTGTATAGGTAGTACGTCGCGCGAGGAAGTCTAACCGAACTGTCAGTCATGTTAATGGGTGTGCGAGATCCCCAGCTCACTTCTTGATAGCTACATGGTTGGTAAGAACCGTGATTACCCTGACTGGCTTGTCGTCCGGCGCCATGGGAGGCTGTTGTGGCATTGGCGGGTGGTGTGATCCTCTCGACTCTCGGTGCGAAGGGCGGGACATCCTCTACTGATCAGTTTCGTTTATCACCAAAAGCGAGGCAGTCTCAACGAGGGAAAAGAAGGACAGAGCGTTGAAACTGAGTGGAGGGGGAAGTGAAGAAGGAAAGCGGTCGAGCTCGCGGCGTCGGGCTTTTTGGACCGTTGGAGTGATGTCCGCGGTCTGTCAAGCAGACTCAGTGACGACAACGACAGTATACCAGGGAACGTACCAGATGAAGGGAAGAAGGTTGACGGAAAGGGTTGGAAAACTTTTACTTTAATGGACTTGTGAAGTCATCCTTGTTCCTTGGACTTCTGACAGCAGAGGCAAACCAAAGGAGAATAACATGATGATCGTGTTTGGACGCTATGTCTATATTTACGCGGAGGAGTGATGTTGACGCTCAATCGTGAACTGTAGAACAACCTCAGCACCGGAACTATCTGACGCGTAGTTCATGACATACTGATTCTGGTCGGCCAGAAAAGTACCTCACTGGCGATTCTATACTGGCATGAGCTGTCTGCAAGAAGAGATGAGATGGAGAAAGACATGTAGCGCCAATAGCCGCCGGAAAGCATCGTGAGGAGATGGCGGTTGGGAAAGAAGAATATACACGTGTCGAGTTGCCGTTTGGGCCAGAACAAAGCCTTCCAGATGGGGATGGGGCGCATCAGGGCGCATCACCCACGAGCTTTCGGCTGCCATCTTTGTTCCTGTCCGCCATGGCGCCCCCTCAGCGGGTTCCCTCTTCCCCGCCGTCCTCAGCGGAACTGGTAAGGGCTCACATTGCCGTCAGCGCGCTAATGCTCACCCCGCAGCAGCGCTCGCTCGTCCTGGATTACCTCTGCCATAGCGGCTACGTCAACACCGCCCGCGCCCTTGCTCGCGGATGCTCCCCGCGCCTTGACGCAGATGGAGACGAGATTATGAGTGCTACGCTAGACTCGGCGCCCTTACCCGAGGACGCATTGCAGGAAGCGCGCAAACGCGAGGGTGCGTCTTACACAAGCAGTCGGACTTGCAGCGGAACGCTGATCATCGGCCTACAGAGATTCGTCGGCACCTTCTTCTGGGCGAGGTCGACGCGGCGACGGACCTGCTCGCGCGCGAGTTCCCCTCCGTGCTGAGTGGGGAGGGGGAGGCGCCGGCCCCTGCATCGTCACGGTCAACATACGTGCCCCGCACATCGGTCGACCCCGCACACCTCGTGCTCAACCTCCGCATTCAGGCCTTCATCGAGGCTTGCCGTACACGGCCTCCGCCTGGCTCGCCAGATGCAGAGGCGACAGCTTCGGACGCTCCCCAGCCCACCCCGCGGCTCTCCGAGGAAGAACTGATCGCGAAGGGCACGAAGCTGTATGCTCTCGCGAAGCGCCTGCCCAACGCGCGGGACCGGCGCACATACGAGGAAGAGCTCGGCCACGTCTCTGCCTTGCTGCTCTACCGACCGCCCGAGGACGAGCGCTCGCTTGCGAAGTACATGTCGCAGGCACGGCGGGCAGCCGTTGCTGAGCAGATCAACAGTGCGATACTTTGTGAGTCGTGCGAGCGGTATGAGCGTGTGGGATACTGACTGGGAGATGTAGATCGCATGGGCCGGCCGGTGATATCGCGGCTGGAGTACTATACGCGGTATACGTCCACGATATGGTCGTTCATGCACGACCTGCGCATCAAGGCGAAACCTGGTGCACCTGTCCCTCCTACCAAAGCCGCCGACGGAGGTGCTCCTCAACAGGGCAAGGCGACCGTTCCCGAAGAGGTACGCTTTTCTATTTTTCATGCTCACCTTCTCCTTAGCTCACGCCTCGCCTAGCAACCCGTACCTCAGTTCAGCATCCAAGACTTCCTCGACGCCAGGTCGTAGCAAGCTCATGCTCATTCTCGCTTACCCATGATCACAGCCTCCATACTGGGACACTTTCCACTCCTCTCGGATTCATACATCGCACTTCCATTGTACAGCTACATCCACCGCCGCTTCCCATCTTGTATATGAATAACGCTGCCCGAAGAGAGGCCTGTGATGACTATGATGACTTATGACTGTACAATCTCGACGTCGTCCCAGCGTGATTTGTTCACCTTCATGGGGAGCTCGTCGGGGATGTAGCAACCTATCAAGGCCAGTCGCCGGAGCTGTGTCCAGCGTGGCCATTCTATCCTGGTGAGGTCGGCTCGGCGTTCGGTCTTGCTCAGCCAGGTGTTGTGTGATAGGTCGAGATAAATCAATAGTGGACAGACGCCAGGCAGTCGATGCAATAAGATGGGTTCGGGAAGGTTGGTGAGTGCGAGATGGGTGATGGAGGGAGGGAGCTTGAGCAATGCGGTGGGTGTGAGTCGGGCTGACATGAGCACGAGCGTTTGCAGGGGAGGCGTCCCTGTGTCATCGTCGGCGTCCCAATCTTCTGATGTGGCCTGCGCGCGGGCGCTGTCTGCTAATCGGATGACGTGCTCTTCGCGAAGGCCTGCTGCTGGACCAACGACGACGAGTTCGCCCTCGATGTGTCCCTCTACCCCACCAAGCTCCAGCAGTTGCGCGGTAGAGAAAGGCGCATGCATCGCCGCGTCTCTTACGAGCAGCCGTCGGAGATGGCCAGGAAGCAGAGGAGCTACATCCTCGACGATCTCCTCAGGCGTATACAGCGCAAGCAGCGCGCGAAGGCATACGAGGGCCAATGTCGGGAAGCCTTTCGCATGCGAAGGCCCGGGCAGGTGCGCAAACACGTGCGGGAGGCACTTATAGCGCAAGCTCGGCGCACGGTCTGCATCTGAGTTAGTTGACGATCGCGTCCAGCTGCGCGGCGGGGGCGGACCAGACTGGCGCTTCGGCCCTGACCCCGGCGGCGGTGTGCTGGGCCCGGCGGTCGGCTGCGCTGCGGCGTAGTATTCGAGGAAGAAGGGGAGCGTGGGGGCGGCGCGGTTTATGGATGGAGGTGGGGCGCGGCGGACGCGCGAGACGTTCTGCGTGTGGCGGAAGTGTTCGCCGCTGGGAGAATGTGAGCTGGGGAAGGAGGGAAGAGAGGGCAGGAGACGCACCGCAATGCATCCAGCATCTCATTCACGTGTCTGTTTGCGGCATCTTTGGTCGTGTTCGTCGCTCGGAGGGACATGGCGGTTGGGAAAAGGCTTGACAGTTCGGACGAGTGATGATGAATCATGAATAAGGCCTTCCTAATCGGGAAGAAGTAGCTCCGCGCTGTTTGTTCGAATCCCGATCTGTTTGCTCGTTGAGCGCGGACGCAGAGGACTTGGTTGCGCACATCACCGACTGGGTCTATTGGCCAAGTTCATGCTTTGACAGCGCACGCATGTATCCGCCCAGGACCGCTATGACCCATCGCGTTCATCATGAGGTCGAAATTCGGCAGTTTGTCCGTCTCGCTCAATGTTGCACCGTACTCGCCCTCGTGCGACCCTTCGTCTCGACGTGGCGCGCCTATTCGCGCCTTCCGAGAAATGTGCAGCATGGCAGGCTCTATACAAACGATGTTCAGGTGCTGCAGAATCCGACAGATGAGGTAACAATCCCGGGGCACGTCTCTTTGCCCGATGCTATTCAAGGAGGCGGGACCGACGGACGGAACGCAGACCCTTATGAAGACATACAGTTTCTTTCACATGCACGACGAGGAACGCCCTCCCGGCATGCGCGTCGCTTAAAGCGTCCATAAAGGCGCGTCTCGTGAACGCGACGCGTGTTCCTTTCCCGCGGTACCCGCGTACGCAGCGCGATCACGACGCTTCTCTCCTTCCCCCGCCTGCAGAACGGACTCCACCGCAGTCGCTTCTTCATTCAGCGCAGATCTACCGGGCATTGACGCCTAGATTATCGCACCTTGCGCCGCCACATTCGCATCCGCATTCGAGTGCGACGGCCTCAGGAACTGCAGCGTTCACGGCCGCGTACGGACAGCAGCCAAGCGCCCAGCGTCCACAAGCCCGCCTCTGTCTGATTGGGGGCGATTGAGCTCTCGCTCGTTCCGTGCCGAGGTTGGTGCGATTGCACGCGTTCACGCCTTCGCGCGGGCCCGACGGGTGTGCCTGCGGCCAACTGCCCGGGCCTTGCGGGTGCACGCTGAGTCCCATCCTGTTCATGTTCTCTCGAGGACTGCCCTGCGGATCTTCCTTTCCAAGCCCGTTGCGAGCGCCCGCCGGGTCCCTATTCAGCCATGTCATGGCAACCTATATAAGAAGGGCCTGCTCATGCCAAAGTTTCCCCATCTACTTTGGCCTTTGCGCCCCCCGTCATTCCTTGTTTATTCACTTCTATAGCTCGTCGTCGCTGAACGACCGCTAAAAATGTTAGCAGGCATCCTCCTGTTCCCTTTGCTTTCTCTTCTTGCTATGGCCTTCCCGCTGGAGAAGCGCCAATCGGACTCGTTCTGGCTGGAGAGCATCACCCACCAGGGCAAGGCCGCGTTCAACGACGACGCTTCCTACACTGTTTTCCGCAACGTCAAGGACTACGGCGCGGTCGGCGATGGTGAGTAGCGTTGCCTATGCGATGGCGAAGTGCCCTAATACATGTTCAGGTGTGACCGATGATACGGCTGCTATCAAGTACTTCTTTTACCCTGAGAAGTGTTCTATCGTACTAATCTAACTTTCCAGCCGCGCCATCTCTGAGGGCAACCGTTGCGGCGCCTTCACTTGCGTTTCTTCTACTATCACTCCGGCCGTTGTTTACTTCCCCCAGGGGTAGGCGGGATCTGTATCGTAATTCTACATCGGAAACTCATCGGTCAACAGAACCTACCTCGTCACCTCCCCCATCCAGCCATACTACTACACCCAGCTGATCGGTGATGCGAAGAACCTTCCGACGCTCTTGGCGGCTTCCAACTTTGCCGGCATGGCCATCATCGACGCTGACCCCACCGAAGGCGGCAAGAGCTGGTATGTTAACCAGAACAACTTGTGAGTACATTTAGCCTCTCCGTTGCTTTCTAGTCCTGAAATTTACCTAGCTTCCGCTCGGTTCGCAACTTCGTTATCGATACGCGCCAGGTGCCGCCCGCCAACGGCGCGACGGGTGTGCACTGGCAGGTCGCGCAGGCTACCTCGCTGCAGAACATCCGCTTCGAGATGTCTACCGACGCCAGCACCATCCACCAGGGTATCTGGGCCGAGAATGGCTCCGGAGGCTTCATGAGCGACCTCATCTTCAACGGAGGCAAGTTCGGTATGTGGGTTGGCAACCAGCAGTAAGTCCTGAATCACTGTTCGCCTTCCATTCGAGAGTTCATTTCGCCTCCAGGTTCACGGTCAAGAACGTCACCATCAACAACGCGCAGACGGCCATCTACACCATTTGGAACTGGGGATGGACCTACCAGGGCGTCACTATCAACAACTGCGGCGTTGGCTTCGACCTCATGACCGGCGGTACCACTGAGGACACGCAGACCACCGGCGGTCTCGCTATCATCGATGCCACCGTCTCCGACACGCCCGTCTTCGTGCAGACTTCCACCGCCAGCTCTGGCTCCCTCGCCGGCTCCCTCGTCCTCAACAACGCCGTGCTCAACAACGTTCCGACCGCCGTCCAGGTCGCCGGTGGCGCCGTCGTTCTTCAGGGTGGCAGCCTCACCATCGACTCGTGGGCACAGGGCAACGTCTATAGCGGCGCCAACACCGCGCACAGCTTCACCCAGGGCGTCGTCCCCGCCCCCTCGAAGGACGCCTCCCTCCTCGACGGCTCCGGCAAGATCTTCTCGAAGCCGCGCCCGCAGTACACCGACTACACGGCCAGCCAGGTCGTCAGCGCCAAGTCCTCCGGCGCGAAGGGTGACGGCAGCACGGACGACACCGCTGCGCTCCAGGCGCTCTTCGACGCGAACGCGGGCAAGAACATCGTTTTCATCGACCACGGCACGTACGTCGTCACCTCGACGCTCACGATCCCCGTCGGCTCGCGCATCGTCGGCGAGGTGTTCTCCGTCATCGCGGGCAAGGGCGACAACTTCAAGGACCCGGCGAACCCGCAGGTCGTTGTCAAGGTTGGCAATGAGGGCGATGTTGGCACCGTTGAGATCCAGGACATCGCCTTCTCGACTATTGGGCCGGCTGGCGGCGCTATCGTCGTCGAGTGGAACGTCGCTGAGGATGCTCCGGGCTCTGCGGGCATGTGGGATTGCCACATTCGTCTTGGTGGCTGTAAGTCTTTTGCTGTTATGCACGACTTCATTTGCTTACTTTTTTCTCAGCCAAGGGCAGCAACCTCCAGGTCGGCAACTGCCCGGCAGGCAGTCACAACGAGGAGTGTTACTCCGCGTACCTCGCGCTGCACCTCACCCCCAAGTCGACCGCCTACCTCGAGGGTACCTGGGTGTGGAACGCTGACCACGACCTCGACGACCCCGCGGAGGGCCGTATCACCGTCTACTCTGGCCGTGGTATCCTTTCCGAGTCCGCTGGTCCCGTCTGGATGATTGGCACTGCGTCCGAGCACCATGTCATCTACCAGTACAACCTCCACGGCGCGAAGAACCACTACCTCGGTCTCATCCAGACTGAGTCGGTACGTCGCCCTTCTCTATTTCCGTATCGCATAACGCTGACTCTTTTGCAGCCTTACTTCCAGCCGAACCCCGCCGTCCCGGAGCCCTTCACCATCAACTCCGACCTCGGTGACCCCTCCTTCCCCGCCGACCTCACCTCCGCCTGGGCCCTCACCATCTCCCAATCCGAGAACATCTTCGTCTTCGGGGCCGGCCTGTACTCCTTCTTCGTCGACTACACGCAGGAGTGCCTCGACACCTGGAACTGCCAGTCCCAGATCGTCAACGTCGAGTCCGCGGGGAACACGAACATCGCGATCTTCCAGCTCAGCACCGTCGCGACGACGAACCAGCTGAGCGTCGACGGCGTCGGCGTGATCTCGCAGGCGGACAACCGCAACGGGTTCGCCTCGACCGCGACCGTGTGGACCCTATGAGCAGCGCCTAGGGCCCGCGCGATTTATACATAACTTATTCTGTTGTGCTTTCTAGCGGCTACCCACTCACGACCTCTCACGTACACGTATTTAAATAGGTTTTGGTGTACTGCTTAGCGTCTCTGTGCTGGTCTTTTGTTTCGGAATACAAGCGCGAATTCACTCTTTCAGAAAACAAGACCGATGACTGATTATCAATTTCATTGCTGTGGATCGTCTTCACCCTCTATCCCGTTTCTAAAAGAGGGCTGACTACTGAGGTTGGCTCAGCATGTCGTGCGAGCTGCCTGAGGAGGTCTCGGGAACACTCCACACACTCCCCTCAGTCGCTAGAAAGCCATTCGGCCTCGTCGCGCGCGTCGATTTGGTCGAATAACGAGCCCAAACTAAAACTAGGGATCCAGAGATCCTCTGCCCTAGGAGGCTGAGTGTGCGAGTATAGCAGTGACGAAACTCCGCGCGCGGATAGTACATGCGACTTCCGCAATTCGCTCGAGGCTGAAGAATGAGCGGTGAGATGCTGCGTAGGGGGAACGTCGACAGAAGTCACGCACTGAAGGTCCTCTTTGTCTGAGCAGTTCTGGCCACCGGATGAGCGTTGCCGGTTGTATCGCCACCGTCGGGTTCGACTTCGTCATTATCGAGATTGACTGGCGTCGCCTTCCCCTCTACCTCTTCCTCGTCGTCTTGGTCCATGTACGCAAACCTTCAGTAGAACTTAGCTTGAGATCCCGGGTGTTGAGAAATGATCACGAACACGTTCGACCAGCTCTTGCCGTCTAGGAAATCCTCCTGTTCTGCCTCGGGTGTCAAAGGCAGGAAGAAGTCCCAATAGAAACCATTGGGGCCACTCATGCCAGAGTCAATGAACTCGTCGTGCATCTCCCAAAGAGTGGGATCGTCCTCAATGTACAATCTCAAATTTTTCTCCGACTCGCCCAAGCTAAGGTAGGGGTGTTTCTCGACCTGCCCCCCCTGCTTGCGTGCATCGCTTGTGACGTGTTCGTCGGATGTGGAGGGCGAGTTTGGCTTCAAGTTCAAGACCTTGAGCAGGGCCTCCTCGGTCATTTCAGCCTCGACATTGTCAATGGCTCCGCCACCAAAGAATTCCAAGTCAAGAAGAAAAAGCTACGATTGGACGTGAGGAACATGCACATCGATTTCTGCCGGAGTACTCACTCGGAGTTGGCCTTTCAGATCCTTTAACGTTACGCCGTTGCCAACGCTGGCCGAGAGCTTGTAAACGACCTTCGGCTCTCGCGATTCTTTCCCGGGCTCGCCACTGTTGAGCAGGAGAGCGTCGAGGGGCCCGTCTTTCAGCCTGCGCTTGCAAGCAATTAGACTAGGAGGATAGAGAATCGGCATCGTCAATAAGGTCTTGGAGGGGTCTGCAAGAAAAGGAGACGAGGGTTGGTGGCGATTGAAGAACAGTGCTGCTGCTTTTATATCGCGGCGCTTCGCGTTTGTGATCATGACGTGGATCGAACGGCCCGCGTAGGGCTTTGTGTACAGGCAAGCGAACGCTGGAGGTCTGTGCATGTCGCTGCCACCTATTGCCAAAGGGGGAACAAAAAACTGCACCTCGTTGGCGCAACACTGTGTTGTTCGCAATGGAGAGTAGGTGGAGTCGTCGATGCATGTTTGCTGGACCGATATGAGGGTGGTTCACGGCGGTGTCGTGTCTTGCAGAAAATAGCGCTGCTCTGTTGAGCAACGCACCTGCGCATGCACGACGCTGCCAAAGCGCAAAGGCATGAAAATATCGTTGCGCCCCTGATAAAAGCAACACCGGGTCAGTACAATCACTCGAGACTGAAAGGACACCAACAGACCAAAGGAGATTATCGGAGGCTCTATGGCACAACAAATGCGTTGAAGTAAGGACAGAGGAAAGCATAACAAGGGACATTCATTTCACAGTACACGGATGTCCGGGAGTCTATTCAATAAATACACATGAAGTGTTCAAAGGGGTAGGGAGGTTACTCAGAAGCGACGAGCTTTCATACCAGGCTTGCTGTAATCCTTGATAAGGTCAGCAAGTTCGGCTGCTTCCGGATCTTCCTCCGCGACGCTGAACACAGACGCGGTCGAGAAATCACGCTGAAGCTTCTTCGGCGCGCGCGCAGAAACCTGGGTCTCATACAGATCGTTGTCCTCCTCGTCGGGGTAGTCGATATCGTCTAGAGTGGAACGGTAAGATAACAAGTAGACGGCGCAGTGGAAAGAGCCACGCACCCTCATTGTCCTCGTCCATGTTGTCTTCCTGGCCGAGGAATTCGTTGGCCTCTCCATGACCGTAGCCTTCGGGGATGGCGAAGTCAAACTCGTCGGTGTCCACCTCGCCGACACTGGTTTTTGAGTGAGCCAGAGAACACGGGCGGGGAGATCGAGGCACGTACACGGTCGCCCAGGACTTGCCATCGAGGAAGTTCTCCTGGCCAGCCTCCGCGATGTGGGGGACGAAGTAGTCCCAATGATCGCCGTCCTTGCAGTCCATGTCATCGGACTTATCCAGCGACTTGACTGAAAAGAGCGTCAGTGAAAGGTCAGGGTGCGGCGATGCCAAGCACATACTGTACTCGTCGGTCATGGTCAGATACTGGTATAGGGGGTCCTCGCCCTGCTTACCCGCCTCGTTGGCGGAATGCTCCTCGGGTGACAGAGGAGCAACCGTCAAGGCCTTCAGCAGGTCGCCGTCCGCCATGTCGACATCCTGAACACCACCAAACGTGTCCTTGTTGATTGAGGCAAGCTGCGAAGGATTGAGAACGGTAGACTCAGCAGCCACTAAGCCACTCACGCTAAGCCTCTCCTTCAACTCGGCCTCGGTCAGCTGGCCCTTCAAGCTGCCGGCGCGCTTGTAAACGCCTCCCTTGTTGTCGCGCGTCTTCTTCTCCTGCGTGCCACTCTCAAGCACAAGGGCATCGAGTGGGTCGTCCTCCCGTTTGCGCTTGCGCACGATGAAGCTGGGGGCTTTACCGAGGGGCTTCGGCATAGTGAAGTAGATGAACCTAGTGTGAGTGATGGGCAGGGAGGTGGATGGTTCGGTGGCAAGGGATGGAAAGCCCTGCAGCGACCTTTATAGACTCTATGCCTCGGGGGCCATGGCCACGGAGCGGAGCTGCCGGTCTGCGCACGGCTTTGTGACTGAATAGAACAATGGAAGCCTGCATATCGCTGCCATCGGTTGCCAAAAGGGGAAGAAATATGCAGACTCATGAGCGCGCCATGCACTCTCTCCCGTTGATGAAACACCATACAAGCCAATTCATATTGTCGTCGGAGCGTTTGCAGAAGCCGTGACTCGGTGTGCGCGGAGTTTTGCAGGTAGGTTTATGACCGGCGATGTAGGGAAAGTCAGATCAAAGGACGTCGAGGCTTGACAAAGAGCGTCCGCTCAGTGAAAGCAGGTATACGGCGAGCGCAATGTACGTGCTTGGCGTCGGCTCAGCACGAAGAGACTAAACAAACACGCTGCGACTGATTTACTGTACAGCGTGTCAGCTTCAGCTCGAAGTTAGCCATTGGAGGAAGCACCTTCGGTGGTCTGCGTCAGGTCTTGTACCGTCTGTTGACCATGACTTGCTATAAGGATAGATTGATGGCGAGAGGTGAACGGCGAATCCTTAGCGCCAGCAGAAGCCGGACGACGAAGTAGCTGTCTCACCTTGGAGGGCGTGCGGGCTATGGCAGTGGGAAGCAGCTTTGACATACCTTGAGTCGGTCTGCTGGCTCGCAGGCCACTTTGCGCAACGGTCATTTAAGAGGGGAAAACATGAAGGGGGAGAGCAAAGTAGCATTGACCAGAGCAAGACGACTGCAAGCATTCTACCACCGGTCGAGCTGGTTGAGCTTCTTCGCCGTCTTCGCGTTCGACTGGGTGTTCTGTCCGCGGACCGGCAGGTGCATCGCGTGCCGCAGACCGACGTACGAGCCGATCATACGCTGGTGCGCAATGTTCTCCCGAATCTCCCTCCTCAGCTCCGACTCGATGCGCAGGTTGTACAGCGGGTCCTTCTGCCGCGCGCCCTGAAGCTGGCGCACCTGCTGCCGCCTGCGGAGTTTCGCCTCTGCCTCGGCCATGTTGGTCTCCGGCGGCGGGGCCTTGTAGAAGGGGTCCGCGAGCGGGAGCTTCGGCGCGGGAGGCGAGGTCTGCGGTGAGGAGAGGAAGGAGGCCAGCTGGGTGATTTGCAGCGGCGTGAGGTTCTTGACGCGGCAGCGGTCGTGTATCTGCAAGCGCGCGCAGATACGGTGCGCGGTCTTGCGCCCGACGCCGTAGATGTTTGTTAGCGCGAACTGCAAGCTGGTCAGTTAGGTTTCCATTGCTTGTATTGTCCACGCACCCTCGCAAAATGATGGTCATTGAGGGGGATACCGAGGACGTGGACCATGGTCGGTGCGCGTCGGCGGCCTCGGTGGCGGCGGAAAGAGAGTGAGGGATCGCGGCAAAGTCCGATCGGCGCGCGGATGGCGCTCGCCCGTTTTGCACACCCGTCCTCCCCGCCATCACCATGTCCAGCAGCAAGGCCGAGGGCCGCCGCGAGGACGCGCTCGTCAAGCAGCGCGAGCGCATGCGCAGTGACTTCGAGCGCCAGAAGCAAAACCTTATCAACGAGACCGAGAAGGCGCGCCCCTCGGTGCAGCGCTTCGTCGGGCAGAATGACTCCATCGAGGAGGTGCTGAAGCACTCGACCGTCGGCCTCGTCCACCTCGAGGACTTTCAGCAGAAGAAGAAGGAGCTGCAGGAGGCGAAGGCGCGCGAGGCGGCGCGGTCGAGCGAGCTCAAGTATGCATCCAATTGTGCGCGTGCGGGGCCGTGACTTACATTGTGTGGAGAATATCTTTAGGGATGAGACGAAGAAGTCCAAGAAGCGAAAGAAGGCTACCAAATCGACGCTCTCATTTGCTATGGATGACGAGGAAGAGGGGGAGGGTGCAGACGCTCAAGTGAAGGATGGGTCCGAGGAGCCTGCCCCGAAGAAGGGAAAATTCCGCAAGAACCCCAACGTCGATACGTCCTTCCTACCCGACCGCGATCGCGAAGAGGAGGAACGCCGAGAGCGAGAGCGCCTCCGGAGAGAATGGCTGGAGAAGCAGGTGCAGCTGAAGCAGGAAGACATCGAGATCACCTACTCGTACTGGGACGGCAGTGGACATCGTAAGAGCGTCGTTGTAAGTACATCACTCTCATGCTACGGTTCCTTGCCTAATGCTCCCCGTAGTGCAAGAAGGGCGACTCTATCAGTACCTTCCTCGAGAAGTGCCGACAGCAGTTCCCCGAGTTGCGCGCTGTCAGCGTCGACAATCTCATGTATGTGAAGGTGAGCAGCCCCATCATTCGCCAGGTGCGAGCCCTACTAACTCTCTTATAGGAAGACCTGATTATACCTCATGTACGGCAACATTCATTGATACCGTCTCTCCCACTGACATTCCGTAGCATCACACTTTCTACGACTTCATCGTCAACAAGGCCCGCGGCAAGTCCGGCCCTCTGTTCAACTTTGACGTCCACGACGATGTACGGCTGCTCGCCGACGCCACGAAGGAGAAGGACGAGTCGCACGCGGGTAAGGTTGTCGAGCGTAGCTGGTATCAGCGCAACAAGCACATCTTTCCGGCGTCCAGGTGGGAGGTGAGTGTCGGCCTCGAAGCTGCATATGTCTTCAGCGCCTTGTTCACTTCTGTATTGGGACATTGGCTAACTCGTGCGCGCAGGTCTTCGACCCGGAGAAGAGCTACGGCAAGTACACGATATCTGGCGTGTAATTGGGAATCGCTGGCCAGATGTCTGCTACAGACTTTGGATACCGCTGTCGTTAGTCGCTCTGATCTAGCGCAATGAATTGCAATTCTTGGTATTCATTCTGCTTCGAAAAGTTTGCCGGCACCTTTAACGCTGCCTGGTATATTGAAGAGCGGATGCATAGTCATTAGGTCTCTTCCTTCGACTACAGCGCGCCCTCAATTTCCATAACCACCGGACAATGGTCCGACGCCCCATAAATCTCATCCCGAATCTCGCACATTTTCACTTTCTCCAGCAACCGCTCGCTCAACACGAACATGTCGAGCCGCCACCCGAGGTTCTTCTCCCTGCAGCGAAAGCGGTAGGAGAAGTAGGTGTAGTGTTGGGTGTCCGGGTGAAGGTGGCGCCAGACGTCGATGAACCGTGGTGAATCCTCTGGTGCGTTGGATGGGGGAGTGAGGATGTTTTTGAACGCCGTCGTCTCGGCCTCGGTGTAGCCGGGGGTCTTGTTCCAGTTCGTCTTCGGGTTGGCGAGGTCTGGACTCATGCATCAGCACCCTCGAGAGCGAAGTCGTGCAACAAGCATACCTATTGCGGTCGGCGCGACGTTCAGATCCCCCGTCCATATCACGGGCTTCTTCTTGTCCAAGTCTCGAATGTACGTCGTAAAGTGCTCATTCCACAAATTCTTCTCGTTCAGCGTCTTCAGGCCCGTCCCTGCATTGGGCACATAGGTGCCCACGACGTAGGTGTTCTCGAACTCGAGCGTGACGATGCGACCCTTGGTGTAATTTGGGTCGGGGTGTCCGGGGAGAGTGCGAGTAACGGAGAGGGCCTTGTGTTTGGAGAGGATGGCGGTGCCGGCTGGTGGGCTGTGAGTCAAAGGTGGGGGGAAGCACAGGATGGGGTACTCACAATAGGATTTCTTCTCAGCTATGGACCAGTATGAGTGGGGGAAGCGCTCCTTCAGCGCAGGGTCCACAGTCTCGTTGTTCACCTGGAGTAATTGTTGAGAGGGGCAGTGTGACAGAATCGCGGCTACGGACCTTCGTCTCTGACAGCACCAGGATATCGGGGTCCTCTGCCTCAACGTAGAACTTGAATCCCTATGAACGACTTAGTCATGCCGATACTCCCCTCGCAGTGCACGCACATACCTTCTTCTGCGACGTAGCGAGCCCGCAGACGTTCCAGGCCGCAATACGCATGCATCCGTCGTGCTTCTTGGGGAAGACAATATTCACGGGGAGAACCTTGTTCGTGGGCTGTCCGTTGCCCGGCCGCTCCTCCGCTTTTGTTGTCTTGGCCTTCTTCGAGGTCGACGCCTTGACCTCCTCGGCGTCGCTGTCGTCAGACTCGGCCTTGCGTTTTGTTGCAGCGCGCTTCGGGGGCATCCTTGCTGTGTTGCGGACGAAGGGATGCAGCGGGCGGACGTGGCGGAGGATAGCAAGACGCGCGATCATGTCGCGTGACGTCACGCGTTGCGGCCTCCGTCGCGTGATGTGATGTTGAAGGGCCGGACCGCATCAGCCGGCTCGTTTTCTTGGTTGAACTTGCACGGTAGTGGCTCCGTCGTGCAGAGGCACCGGCCCGTGCTCTTCTTTGCTTTGTTGCTGTGGTCTTCGTGTCTGTGCTGTGCTTTGGCCGCTCGTCGCTCTTGCTTTCTGCTCTTAAACTCCGACTCTCGTGTGCATCCAGCAGATTCCCCGGCTTCGATCATCTGCATACGCGACTACAGTTACTTCACAGTTACTTGCCACACTACACATCTGTCACAATGAAGCACAGGGGATTCGAAGCCTTCATCGTCTGCAACAACCATGTCGTGAATGAGTATGGGTTTACCCCCGTCAGCAACGACACGCTCGAGATCGCATGCTGGATACCCGCGACGCCCGGAGAGGTGCGTTCACCAACTACTTCCCCCCGCATCTCACTAAACCCCCCTTGCAGAAGTTCACCGTTGTCTGGCGAGATCTGGGATCAGGGCACAAGACCGCCGGGTACATATACCTCGATGGCGTGGTCGTCCCTGGCCGCTTCCTCGATGGACGTGGCGAAACCTACCGCACGGGCGTCCGATCAGGCAAAGGGTCCGAGCGCCCCTTCGTCTTCAGCATGACCACTAGGGACGGTGCGTGTGCTGTCGTTACAAGGGGAGGCTGTTACTGACCCACCATCGTCCCCAGACGAGGAGCAGAAGACGAAGGACGATCTCCGGAACGTGGGAACCATAAGACTGAGGATCAAGCGCTGCGAGTCCGACACCCCAGGACGCCCTGCGAACCCCGTCGGGCCGTATCCTGAACGGTTGGTGGGGAAGAGGAGAGCGGGGGAGACATGTATTGGGTGCGTGGTGTGCTCGGTGGCGTCTTGAATTGCTGCTGACTCCGGCGTTTTGCAGCTTTGGAAAATCCAAACCATACTACATGCAGGCGCAGTACACCTGGAAGGTCGTCGGCCCAGGAGGCTCCAAAAAAGCACCCACCGTCGTCTCCTTCGCCTTCAAGTACCGGCCCATGGGTGCGTCTGCTCCCTCCTGTCGTGCCACTGTCAGCCCCACTAACCCCACTCACCTCCCAGACTGGCTCATCGACCATGGCATCGTCCAAATCTCGGTCATTCACCCCATGCCTGGCGCACCCGTCGCCCCGGGCACGTCCGACGACGAAGACGAGTACGACCTCGAGCCGCAGAACATAAAGCCCGCCGACGTGCAGGTCATCCAGCTGCACCGCGCGCCGCCGCTGCCGGATCCGAGAGTGCAGTCGAATCTGAGCTTGCAGTCGAATTCCAGGGTGCAGTCAATTCCGATGGTGCAGTCAATCCCGATGGTGCAGTCGAATTCGCGTGTGCCATCGAATCCGCGGGTGCAGTTCTACACGCCGACGGTGGCGACCCCGACTCCCCAGGCCGAAGCGGCGGGCACGGTGCGTCGGGGGTGGTGAGGATGGGTGAGGGGGAATGTGTGTTGCTGACCGGGTGTGCTTCCAGACGTCGTCTGGCTTCTACGCCTGGAACCACGAGATGGCGTCCAATGCAGCGGGCGCGGCGACGCCAGGAAATCACCCGGGCGCACCGACGCCAGGGAGCTATCCCGGCACGCCAAATCCGCAATAGACGGGCGACACTGCAAGATATCTCAGCCCGTCAGACAAGCAAGCACACATCCGCACCTTAGCACTTTCGTCCTCTTCCCGCTCTCTATCGCTCTCCTATGGACCATGATCGCATCTTTCTCCTGTTTCTCCTTCTCGCGTTTCTTCCCTCGTCCCTTTGTCTACTTATCCCGTCGTACACTGCTCTCGCGATACCTGTACTTACCACCTGCATTGCTCTCGTCATCGCACGTATTTATCTAACCTCGATATATAACAACGACGTACCCTTTGTTCTGTTCTGCGCTACCCTTCCCGCAGTCTATGCGTTATCTGTCTATGCTTCCCAATCGTATGTTGACCGTATGTCTTTATCTTTGAGCTTTGAGCGTGTATGCTTGTCTGATACCGCCTGCGCGATGAAGCATTGAGGTTGTCAAAGGGAAGAGGGAATGAAGACCCCCAGGTCTCGCAGCAAAGAGAAGAGGGATTTCGTGTGAGTAGGGGGCTATAAGATGCCATGGAGGACGGTGGTGAAAGAGGAAGCCAAGAAGTGAACGCATTCGACGCGCCTTGGTTCGACTAGATCGCGCCCCTATCCCGTTCGGGGGAACAATGACGGTCGTATATTACGATCAGCGGAGGCATTGTACGTAGCGCTTCTTCGGCCCCGTTTGGTAAGTGACAAGTCCAGAGGGCGATCTGGCAATTGAGGCGCGCTACATAAGTATTCCTGGGGCTTGCACTGAGTGTCACACAGAGCATATTTGCATGCCTCGCAAAATGGGTCGATGCACAAGAGTAAAGATGGCAACCTATACATGCAAAACATCTACATCTCCATATCGTCCCCGAACAGATCCCCATCGTCCGCCTCCTCTTCCTCTTCCTCACCCCCTCCAGGCCCCCGCTGCTGCTCATTCGGGTTAATCCCCTCCTTCCTCATCCGCTGCTTCTCCGCCAGCTCCGCCCGCTGCGCCATCTTCATCTCCAGATCCGAGCTCAGCTTCTTCAGCGTCTCCTCGAACCGCCGCCTGATCAGCGGGTTCACCGAGCTCGCGACCTCGCTCGTCTTCTTCGCCACCGCCGCCTCGAGGTCGCGGATCTCCTCGTTCAGGAGCTTCTTGGCCTGCGAGTCTTCCTCGTCCTCGTCTTCATCGTCTTCTTCTTCGGATTCGTCGTCCTCGTCATCTTCGTCGTCGTCGGCCTCCGGCTGATCTTCGTCGCCCAAGGCGAGGTCAAGCTCGGCGGCGAGTTCTTCGTCGATGCCTTCGCCGGTGTCTTCGGCGTCGTCATCTTCAGGCTGCTCTTCGGGGTCCTCCATGGCCTCACCGCCTGGTGTAGGCGCGTCGAAGTCGGAGATGGCAGGTGTAGGTGCGTCAAGCGGTTCATCTTGCTCGATAAACTCGGAGTCGGATAGGTCAGGGTTGACGTTCTCGAGCACCTCTGTGTATGGTCAGCGATATGCGCCTCATGTCTACAAGGGCCATAATCACCGTATTTGGTCTCGGAGGCAAGCTCGTCTTCTTCCAAGAGCCGTTCTACCTCCTGCTCCACGCTTTCAATCGTCTACGCTTGGTCAGCAGTCTAGCAAGCGCTCCCATGGCAATGAACTGACCCGTCTATTGACGCGATGTCTGAAGCGACGCTTGCGAACGTGATGCAGTGGGGGTGTGATCCCGTGCGGGTAGATGAACTCCTCCATGTTGAAGGCTTTCTGGGAGCTAGACTCCTGGCCGTCTGGTTGGGGCCCTTCTACTAGCAGCATCTAGACCGGTCTCAGCAATGAAAGCATGGTCAGAATGTCTGCTTACGCACCTGGCATATATCCGCGACCTTGAACATCTGCTTGTTGTCGATCGTCTTCTGGGATTCGATGATACATGGCAGGTCAACGAGTTTGGCTGAGTATGTGGTGTTCCCTATGTGGAACTGTCCTCTTCTCGAGTCTACGGTCCCGTTGTTAGTTGATGCGTCCAAGCTAGCCACCTCTTCACGCACCTTTGAACTTGAACCACACATCATTGCCGATTTCTCTCGCCTGTACCATCTTCCTCAGCCTCTCCAGATCCTCCCCCGGCGGCATTCGCAGTATGAATTGCTCCTCAAACGCCAGCTCTTCATCATCCGAGTCCAGCTCCCGGTCATACGACCCAAATGGCGACGTCCCCGGCGCCTGCGACGCCGTCTTGTCGCCGAGCTTCAGCTTCAGCTTCGTCGGCTGCTGCTTGTTGCGCAGACCGGAGCGCGTGCGCGGCTGGTCGGTGTAGTCATCCTCGTTGAGGGAGTGACGAAGCTTGGAGGGTCCCAGATGCCCGGTGCGGCTGCGTGTGGTGTGCCCGTGTTCAGCGCTCGAGGATGCTTCCTGCTTGATTTGTGGGGACGCGTAGGAAGGGCCGGGCGTGGGCTGCTCGGGTACGTCGTCGACTACGATGATATCGTCGTCCATGCTGGTGAGTATGAGCGCGTGAGATGCAGAGTCGTGATGTCAGCGAAGGTCAAGAGCAAGAGGCGCGTAAGGGGGCATGACCCCAGAAAGAACAATGACCGCTCTGTTTACGTGTGATGCCCTCAGCTCGATCGTGCCGCGCGCCCGACCTCCCTTCAGGCACATACCACCATGGCGCCTACATTATACGTATGGCCAGGCGAATGGGGACTCCCGTCGATGGACCCGTCGTGTTTGGCGACAATCCTCTACCTGCAGCTCGCCATACCGGGCAAGTTCACCGTCAGCCATTGCATGAACCCGGACCTCTCCCCGACGGGTAGGTATGTGCACTTACGGCCCCGGTATCACGATATTGACTCATATACACAGGGCAACTTCCCTTCCTACGTGATGGTACCACGGAGGTCTCTACCCTACCCGCTATCCTCGATCATGTGTCGACCGAGCGCGACCTGAACGCGCTCGCAGGCCTGAGCCCTACCGAGCGCGCACAGCTAGTCGCTTGGTCCGCCCACGCGCAGCTGAACCTCGGAGACCTTGTCGTGGGTGTATTATTCCCTTCACGCTCGTACTCGATACTAACCTTGCCCAGTCTCATGTATTCTTTTCCGTGAACCAGAACTGGAACACGCTCACACATCCTGCCCTCGCCAAGCGCCTCCCCATACCCCAGCGCTACTACATGCCTGGGCGCATACGTGAATTGCACAGGCCGCGTTTAACTACGACTGGCCTATGGAACCCTGGTGCGGACGCCTCTGAGAGGAAACCCTTGAAGGAGGTCGTGAAGCCACGACCTTCTCAATCCGCGTCATACGCGCGCGCTTTTGAGCGGGAGAAGGCGAGCAAATGCGGAGTATTGCATAGGTAGACAAAGACTGACTGTACTTGCCAGGCTCTCGAGAAAGCCCGCTCCTCGCTCGACGTGTACGCGAGACGACTGGAAAACCACAAGCTCTTCTTCTCTAGGTCGGTCGCACTTCCCCTACATCTGCTCTATTCATCTGACATCCGCCTCAGCCTCACCACTCTAGACTTCATTGTCGCTGCGCACGTTCTCCTGCTCGTCGACCCGCCATTTCCCGAGAACATCCTCCGCGACCTCCTAAATAACTCATACCCGACGCTCGTGGCACACGCGCGACATGTCCTCGCACTTGCAACGCCGTTGTCTGTTCCGGTGGATGAGGCGCAGAGCTTCAGTGTTCCGTCCCTTCTACCGACGCTTCTGTTGGCGCCAGTGACTGCCTGAGCCACCCCTGTCTGCATCTGTGGAGTACGTAGAAATTCATGTTGCTGTCGGAATATGGAGTCGTTTGGAAGTTATGAATGGAACGCGTGAAATGCGGTATGGCGCAGCTCAATGCTCCGACTTGGTGGTGAGTGGTAAATATGTGGCATCTAATGCAAGTGATAATGTACTACTTCCCCTCCTCCTCGCTCCTGTCTACGAACAACTGATCACTATACTGCTCGCAGCATTGCACCGCATACCGAGCGTCGCATTGGATGAACAGGCCCTGTAACGACGCCATGCTCACCCGCCGGCCCTGGTCCCGCTGCTCAGCGACAATATTTTCCAGTTTCGTTGCCAACTCCTCGAGCTCGGCCTCCGAAAGTGGTGGTCCCACTGCAAGTAAACCAGGCTCGGACTCCGTCGGCGCCTGCTCGGAGCCTTCCGCTCCCTCCTTCGCACTCTCCCCGCTCCCTGCCTTCGCATCCAACTCATAGAACCGCGAAAACAGCGTCCTCGCCTGCTCGGGCGTCGCATCGTCAATCAGCTCGATCAAATCAATGCGCCCCGGCCTTATAAGCGCCGGATCCAACCTCTCCAGATGATTCGTCGTCATGAACACGATGCGCTCCTCGCCCGACGCGACACCGTCCAGCGCATTCAGGAAGCCAGAGAAGGTGACCGCGGACTGGTACCCGTCCTCCGAGGTCTGGACGCGCTTGTTGAAGGCGGCGTCGACGTCCTCGATGAGGATGAAGGAGCGCTCGGGCGCGTTGGTGAGGAGGTGCATGAGGCGGTCGTCGGTGAGGCCGCGCTCGGCGAGGTTGAGGAGGCAGATGTCGTAGTCCAGGGCGCCGGCGAGGGCTTGGATGAAGGAGCTCTTGCCAGAGCCTGGTGGTCCGTGGAGGAGGTAACCGCGGCGGTAGGGGATGCCTGAGCGAGCTCAGTACATTCCACACGCGGCGTTAGGTACTAGACTTACCTCTGTCAACATACCACTGCCTCCTCTTCAAGAATGTCCGTACATCGTTCTCAATTTTCTGCGCCACATTCGGCGCAAGCACGACACTCTGCAGGGGCCTCTTCCCCCGCGGCTGCCCGAACGGTTGCCATTGCGTTGACCAGGCGGTGTGTATGACGAGTTTGCCCTCCTGACTTTTGATAGCAAGATCTCGGGCCTCTGCGAGAAGCTTGGGAAAGAGGAAGCGGTCGCGGGAGAGGGTGGTGAGGACAATAGTTTCCCAGGGGCCGCCGGATTGCGCGCCGACGAGTTGCATGGCGCGGGTCTCGCGCTCGCGGCGAACCTGACAAAGTAGGTCAGTAGAAGCTTGGAATGGGGGTGGGATGCACACACCTGCATCCATGCGCCCTGGTACTTCAAGTAGTGAGTACCCGGACCAGCGACGAGGTTGAAGAAGACATTGGAGGAGCCGTTCTTGTGCTTCTCGATCACGGTCTCGACAGATATCTGGTGACTGGGGAGGAAGCGCCGCGTAGTTGCGTCCGTGTTCCGCGCCATCCAGCCGAGGAACCAGTCGTATGCGTGATCCCGGTTCGTCAGCTCCAGCTGGACCAGCATTCGCCGTTGCAGGGCGTTTAGTCCGAGGGTGGCGCCACGGCGCAGGAGCTGCGCTCCCATGCCAATCCCCTATAGCCAAAGTTAGATATTGAGAACGTTTGAAAGTGGCTCCACGCACCAGTAACCCGAAGCCGGCCTGGAAGTAGGGGCTGAACTTGGATGAATGAGCGCTCCTCCCCGCGCACAAGCTACCGCACGCACTTGTCGCCTACGAGGCTGCCAATCGCCGACATAGCGCCCCCATTTTGAGTTCCCTGGCTTGAGAGCGCGGCTGCGACTGCGTCTTTGTCCATTCAAGAGCTTTGTGCGAATGGCCAACCGCGGCAAAAGACGCGTCTATGACCGGAAGTCCGGCCCGGGAGCCGGATCGACGCGCTCATTGACCTTCGCGAATTTGATCTCGGTCTTCGCGTCTCTTGACTCTCATCATACTCCAACATGCGCGTAAAACACTCGACGGTGCTGGAGGCCTACCAGAAGCTCGGGCTGAATGAGGTGCGCGGCTTACAAGATAGTGATGGGCTCCCGCTAACGGTGGCGTTAGGGCGATTCGCTCGAGACGGTGAAGACGAAGTACAAGCAGGTACGCAGTGGCATGGCGCGTTCAAACGCGCCCTCCCGACTAACAACGCGTAGGTCGCACTCAGGACGCACCCTGACAAGAACCCCGACAATCCAGACGCGACTGCGCTCTTCCAGGAGGTCAGCGAAGCATACAGTGTCCTCCTCAAACACCTCGACACATCTGCACCCCAATCCCGCCACTACCACCCCTACGGGTACGACGACGATGACGGCGACGATGAATACGATAGCGAAGAGTACGACGAGTACGACTACTACTCTGATTACGATGATGACTACTATTCGGACGACGACGAGATGGAGTTCTTCATGTGCGTCGAATGGATGCACACCAAGACGACGATACTGACGCGCCCTCCAGGTACCTCTTTGAGGAGCTCATGCAGAACCGTGCGAGCCGATTTGCGCATGCGCGTACGTGATCATTCCCCGCAACATGCATGCCTGATTAACGCGTTACTGTATAGACTTCCACCATGCGAACATGTACAAGCCTCCAGCCGAGACACCCCAAGAATTCCAAGCGCGCATCAGCAAGCAGCGCGAGGAGCAGATTATTGCAGAGGAACGGCGCCAGAGAGAGGCTGCCGCTCGCAAGGCGCGCGCCGAACAAGAACGTGAAGCAGGTACGTTTGCGCCACAGTACTCAAGCTTTGCCCATCAGCCCGTGACCCTGCCTGTTAATTCGATACTCATGGTTCCTCTCGCAGAACGTGCCGCCGCTGAACAGCGGCAGAAGGCCAAGGTCCAATCGAAGAAGGCGCAGGCACAAGCACAACGCACCAAGGGCGAAAACGCCGCTCGTGTGCAGAAGCAGAAGGTGCAAGCCACGCGCTCCGCCGCCTTCGCCGCCGCAAGGAGCGGGGACGCGGAGGCGGTGAAGAAGGCCGTTTGGGAGGATAGCGTGGATCCTACGGGTGGCGAGGTTCAGTCCGGATGCGAGGAGTTCGTGGAGATCTTGCCAGCGGACGGGCAGGAGACACTGCTGCATATCGCGGTGAAGAGGGGCGACATGGAGCTGGTGAAGTGGTTGGACGAGCATAGTGAGTGCCTTTCTTGTCTTCGATGCGCGATCTTTCGTGCTAACTCTTTGCTTGCAGGCGCCGACGCGGAAGAACGCAATTCCTCTGGACACACTGCCTTCCATATCGCGCTTCAGCATGGCCACGTCTCCGTCGCCACTTACTTCCTTGACACCTACCCGCCCTCTGAGGAGGACCACGAAGGCGTGTACTCCGTCCCCGACGGCGCGCGCCGCCCGCTGTTGCTCGCCGTCGACGCCAACGAGCCCGAGCTGGCGTACTTGCTGCTGGAGAAAAAGTTAGCGAACGCAGACGACGCGCGCGAAGCATTGGCATACGCGCGGTCGGATGCGGGTCGCGCGGTCATTCTGGGCCTGCCTACCAAGTCTGGTGGTCACGGCAAGGCGAAGAGCAAGGGGCAAACAAATGCGACTGCTCAAGAGAAATACGGCGACATGTTGGAGCTCTTGGTTCGCTACGGCGGGGCGGCGAAGGCGCCTGACTTCGCAGAGGTCGACGAGGAGAAGGACGCAGGCGAAGACAGCGAGAGCGCCAGCGGCTCGAACTTGGGCTCGACACCCAGCGCAGCGAACGCCTCGCAGTCCAGTGGGCGGCCTTCGCCGCCAAATGCCCGCAATGGCCACTCCTCTCACTCAAACGGCCATTCCAACAAGCGCCCACCGCGCGCGCGGCCGAATGGATCTGCAAACAGCCAGTCATGGCGCTCGCCTGCCACTGACGACACCTCGCGCCCCTCGTCGCAGCAGTCTTCTTACCGTGGACGCGGAAACGGCAAGCCGCGCGGTCGTGGCCGTGGGCGGGGGCGGGCCACTGGCAGGGGTGGCAGGGGCCATGCCTACGTGTAGAAGCCGCTCTTCAGACATGCCGCATTCGACTCTGATGACACACTGCAATGACTTTCCTCCGATGCCGCCACTGATCGCTGTCCGATTTCTTGCTTTTACCTGACCTGTTTGTTGTTTGTACCGCCTGCTTCTTGACCCGATGATTCCCTTTCTTGTCCACTTTGTGCATTAGATCATACATAATCTGCCCGTCCACCACACCATCTACTTTATCCTGTCCTGTAAATTCTGTAGCCCTTTCTGCACGTACACACTCCGTAATAGATATGCTCGATGTTTTCCTCGTACATTCGGTGAAGCCTTACCACGTTGCGGCTCTCGGAGCTCAATACACACCTAGGCCAGCTGGATGTGCAGCTGTATCACAGCGCTTACGACTTCCAGCGCTTCCACGCCGATGAGGACTTCAGCACCCTCAGCTTACGCGGCCTGATCTTGGATAATCTCTTCCTTGTAAGTGAGGCATATTCGTGCCGCACAAGTACTAATCATGTCAGTCCTCAGTAAACCCGTTGTGGCCAGAAGCCTTACCTGAACGAGTCCCGGACGTCCGCTTATGGATCTTGCCTCTCAAGGACATCTTGTCACGGACACTTCGCGACCGCCTCACGGGTTCTCTCGGTAGTGGCGCGCTGATGCCGGGTTCAATTGGACGCGCCTCCATTGCATTCGCCATGTTTTCGCGGTCGCGACGCAGGAAATCTGCTTTGAGGCGCTGCACCCTGGCCTCGTAGTCTGCGCGTATTCTGCGGGGGTTGAGCATCAAGAATTGCTACAAGTGCCACAAACGCACCTCTTCATCGCGTCCAGCTCTTCCAAAAATCCGGCAGGCGACGGCGGGGCGTCGAGGGTCCCAATGTCGTACGAAATGGGTACGATGATTGGCGAAAGGTCCCCAAGGTCGGGACGATGCCTAAGGACATCAAGAGCCAAATCTTGTGCGTCTAATCCATCACTGGCAATTGCCTCTGACCGTTCAGCAGGCTTCACGCCGCCGTTGTCAACCACATCAGCATAGATGGTGTCAGAAGCGCTGCTGTCGAGACCTGAGTCGTTGCCGCTGGTTCGGCTGTAATCGCTGGAGGTCTCTTCGGAGGAAGTATCGTCGAAACCATGCAAATAGCGGTCCATCGCCTCGTTAGGCAAAGTCCAAGTTGACTGCCCTGCCCGGGCCGCCTTCTCAGCACGCATTTGCTGCCAGAAGGGCACGTCCGTTGATTTTCTGTCCGCATTCCTGATAGCAGCTTGCGTGAGGCTGCTAACACTAGCCGCAGGAGGTGCAGATCCAGTGGCCGCGCATGTGCATAGCTGGTATTGTCGCTCTTGATCGTCTTTCAAAGCCAGATGGAGCACCAAGCACTCCGAGGGGCTCAGTGAATGAGGCGGGTCGACGTCGCGAATGTCGGACTGGACCCGCACGTGTGTGCGATGCGCCGCGACGTGGTAGCAGTCGTCCCATGGCAGGGGATTGCAGCAACGAACAGGTCGACGATCATCTGGATGGTGCGCGTTGGGCCGTATGGGCACGCACATCCGAGACTCAAGGAATTGCTCGGGGTCGTCACTCGGGAGTCCTTGCTGGACCAGGTCGATGTATGCCACAGTATACGCAGGCGGTGGATGTGGAGCACCAATGGGCTGAATGTGCGTAATTCGTGAGCATTGTGAACCTGCCCGTGTAACCAACCCAGCTACGTACAATCGTCATGCAGGCCACATATTCATTGCAAGGAATACTGTGAGCTGCCCTCATTACATCCTCGTCGTGTATGATGTCCTGAAGGGAGGCTATCGGGTCGAGTCGAAAGATGGAGTATGAGCCGTTGTCGGGGAAGGACATGGTTACAGTGCTGAAAGCAAGAGAAAGAGTGGGTTTTTGGATGGTGAGAGTACAGAGGTGAGGCCTTCGTAACCCATCGCAACCGTGATTTTAGCGAGCAGCGACCCCATCACCCACGGACCGGAGAACAATTGAGCGGAGAAAGACAAGGGGATGGACAAAATGGTATCGACAAGGTATCGACGAATATCGGCAAGATCCGATCCGGGCTGGCCGCTCACTTTCCGGGCCGACCCATTGACCTCAAGTCTGTCACTGTCTGTACGACATAAGTGGTATCAGATCGACATATCGACGACGTAGAAAGTGCGTTACATGATCAACAATCTGGTCGGCATTAGCAGTAGACGGAGTAGATTATAGGGAGTGTGATAAGTAGATCAACCAGCTTCGGCCTGCGAAGCGTTGCGCGAGGTCTTCGTGAACAGCCGCAACACTGAGTCGCCAGCAAGTCAGGACCAGCAGCGCTTCCAGGCGGACGACAGCACCAACAGCTTCGGCTTTACGGGCTTCGAGTTTGACGGCGACTTGCTCGGCGACGCAGATCTATGGCGCAAGGACACTGTCGTGCGCGTCAGTAGAGGAAAAGGAAGCCAGCACGTCACACGCACCCAAGTGGGCCTTCAGCTTGTTCGTGAGTGGCACGAAACTTGCGACAGACAGCCATCTGGACTGTGCCGGAGCTGGAGAGGTGCTTTGCGCCTCCTCAGCGGTACGACGCGCCTCGATTCCGGCCATGTATTCATCGTCGCGGCGTCGAATCTCATCTTTCAACCGCCTCACACGTTCCTCGTATTCCGATCGGATCCTAATGAGCAATCAATAAACTACCTATCGCTCACAGAACCATTCTGCTCACCTGTTGATGGCTTTTAGCTCTTCCAGGAACCCAGCTGGAGAGGGAGGGGCATCCAAAGAACTTAGATCGTATGAGAGCGGTATAATGACCGGCGATACATCGCGCAGCTCCGACTGATAGTTGATGGCAGCAAGGATGTCGTCCTCGGCATCCGCAATGTCGTCGTCGGCTTGAGGCGCGTCCATCGCAGCGTCGCCCTGCGTATCAGTCCCGGAATGGGACTCGGACGAAGCAGAAAGAGCACTGTCGTGGCCCCCGCCGCCTGAGTGACAACTGGCGCCAGAGTAATCGCTCGCAGCATCGTCATTCTTGTGTGGTTCCTCGACAGGGTTTTCGTCAGGACGGTTCGCTTGACGCTCGGCCCTTTGAGCAGCCTTGATCTGCCAGTAAGGAACGTCGGAGACCTTTCTGTCGGCAAGTCTCATGGCGGTCAAGGCCATTTCCCCTAGAGAAGCGGGCGGCGGTGCAACTCCCTTCGCTGCACACTCGCGCAGGCAGTCTCGTCGCTGCTCGTCGTCCTCTATCAGAGTGCTGAGGACCACACACTCGGAAGCGCTCAGAGAGTGGGGAGGGTTGACGGGCCGCATTTCAGTTTTGATTCTAACACGCGTACGGTGCGACGCGACGTGATAGCATCCATTCCAAGGCAACGGGTGGCAGCAGCGAGCAGGTCTACGGCCCTCTGGATGATGCGTATTGGGTCGGATGGGGACACACATTCGTGATTCGAGAAATTCCTCCGGGCTGTCAACCGGTAGTCCTTGCTGAACGAGACTGATGTGCGCCGCTTCATATGCTGGCGGGGCCCGGGGGACGCCGAATGCCTGACAAGTCTGTTAGGGTTCTGGGACTCTGAGTCTGCAAGTAGGAAACCGCACCTCTAACGTGCACGCCACATATACTTGCGGTGATAGTGCCCGGGCGGCCTTGGCGACTTCCTCGTCCTCGATATCCTGCAGGGAAGCGATTGGGTCTAGGTGAAAAGTGTAGTACGAGCCGGTGTCGGGGAAGGACATGTCGAACGGCTGGAAGAAGTTGGGGGCAAGAAGAAAGCTGCTGTTGCGTTGACATCGAGGCGTATAAAAGAGCCATCAGATGATCACAAAAACACAATAGAACACCATGCATTCGCGCCAGACAAGGAACAAAGGCATGCATCGCCACCCGGAGCCCGGCATCGGCTCCGGGACCGGATAAGGCAACACCTTTATTCAAGTTCGGCGTCCTTCCCCACCATCATGCACGAACCACTCCGCCCTTGTTATTGCGCATGGACCCGGTGGTCTCTCAGACGACGTGCAATGGTTTCATCCTTGATATGGACCTACCAAGCGGTGGTTAAATACCAGGCTGGGCCCTGTATCATGCCATCTCCCTCGTACCGCGTCCCTTTCCCAAGGCATCACCGACAATGTCTCATAACGCCCCCATTCATCTTCCTTCAAACCTAGGGACACACTCTGACAAACCGTCATGCACGCCTGACTGTATTCTTGCTACGCACGATGATCATCGCGGGAGGACCGGCCGATACGTGACCGTGGGGGACATTCGTACCACGCAAACACCCCTCTTGGCTGCCTTCTACACTTTCCTCGATGGATACTCCCAGACACGCACGTCGACCCATATCTCGCAGTCGCTCGCGCTATCCTCGACCCATCGGCGCTCCATCCCGACGGCGTCTCGAGACTCCAGCACCTGTGGCAGCAGAACCAGGCCTTGTATCGTTACTGCAGTGACTCCTGGCGTTGCTCAAGTCTTCCTCATGGGTACTTTCGAAGGTGCCACCATAGACAAGCTCAACCCATACCTTCGAGAGTACGTTGCCGTCCTCTTCTCGCGCACGTCTCCCTTCAACAGCGACCTTCTGGAGGAGAGCAACACCGCGCATTTTCATAGCTCTCCGGAGTGGACACAGGAGAAGCAGTTCACCCAGTACATCATACCTCTCATACAAGATATCGACATAAATGCTGTCTGCGGGCGCTGGTGGATACGGCGGACGGCCGGTGGCGACTCATCATACTCAGGCGATACTACTCAGGGAGAGGGGTATCGCATGAACGCAGAGAACTTGTTCGAACTACGCACCCACTCCAACGACGCGTTGCGAGACCTGAAGCAGCGGTGCAACGATAGGAAGTACCGAGCCGAACTTCGTCATGCGCTCGACGATAGACCAAAGCCGGTGAGTCAGCCGTGGCCGCATAGTCTCGTTTAGCCAAGAACTCACATCCATTCAGGTCAGCGGCACAAAGTCGCGCACTCGCTCGACTCACAGCGTCTCGTCGGCGGCAAGGCGACCCTCGATCGCCTCGTCTACGCTCAGCGGTATCTCGGAATCGGACACTGCATCCTCAGTAACGGAGACCATCGCCTCGCGCGGCGAAAGGCCATCGGACTCTAAGTCCTGGCGCAGTGAACTGTCCAGTCCCGACTCATATCGGTCGCGCCAGCCCCCGACCAAATCCGATTCCCCTCAGGCGCCGAAGGCAGCAAGGCGGAACTCAAAGACGCCGTCTCTGCGTTCATTATTAGCACGTCCATTCCGACCTTCAGTAAGTCTTCTCGTTCGTCCACGCGCCTTTTATCGTGCTGACGCTATAATAGCCATTGACGAATTGCTCACAAGCATCCATTGCTTCACCTACAAGGTTTTCTGTCCTTCGCGAGGTCGCCATATGATTCGTCGCTGGCCGGGGCTCAACTGGATGAGATTGCGGGCAGTCTCATCACGATCAGGTCTTCGTTCTCGCGTGAGCGGGAGACGCAGGCGGGTCTTGCACACATCTCGAGTATCACTCTCTGTAACTTAGGTTCAACCTGCAGTCGCTAGTATGGTCCAAGCAAACGACCGCGGCACAGTATCGCGTATATTATCTTAGTGCATTAATAATCATGTCCTGAGCGCATCGATTCGTCCGGCAGCCTCCCTCCGCGCGCGTGCCTTGGCCCAACCGCTGAATGGAGGATCTCCATCTGGTCTTCATCTTCATTCACCGCGCGCTCCTTTGAAGCATCGGCAAGCTGGTCGAGTTTCGCGGTTGCGTCTCGCTTTCTGACTCGACTGGAAGGCATGGCGCACGGACGTCGTGACGTCGACAGCAGTGAGCTATTACTGATTTGGCACATATGGTACACGGGCGATAGCGTTAGACCGACAGCTCAGCCGGTTTTTTACGGCTCATAGGACTTCCGAGCAGACGAGAGCAGCTGCACACTCAACCTCCTCGTTTTCGCTTTTGACGATGGCTTGCTCGCCGAGGATGAGGATCTCTGGCGCAGAGACACTGACGTTCACGTCAGTCAGCAGCAACGAAGATGAGGAAGCCAAGGACACCTCTAACGCACCTAAGCGAGCTTTCAGCCTATCGGTGAGTCGCAAGAAGACCGCCGAGATTGGCCACTTGAGCATGCTCTCCGCGAGCGGGATACGCCTTGGTGATGTAGACGAATCCCGAGACTTAGCGGTGCTCGTGGCGGCTCGGCGCGCTTCAATACTGGCTATGTATTCGTCGTCGCAACGTCGCACCTCGTCCTTCCGGCGACGGACGCGCTCTTCATATGCTGATCGTATCCTAATGGTTCATCAGCTTGCTTCCTCTTTTGCGCCGGCCACCACACATACCTATTGATAGCCTCCAGCTCCTCCATAAATCCAGATGGTGAAGGGGGCGCATCCAAGGTGCTGAGGTCGTACGAGAGAGGTACGATGACCGGCGACACATCACGCAGGTCCGATTTGAAGTTGATGATAGCGAGAATGTCGCGCTCGATATCCGCAATATTGTCGACGGCTGGGATCGTGTGTACCGCCGAAGCATCGTCCTGACCCGGGTTCTGGGAATGCATCGAATGTAAGCCAGACCCTTCGTCGGTACCTGAGGGACCACAGGCGCCGTCGGAGTGACTGCTCAAAGCGTCCCCGAAGGCCATGTCACGCTCCCTGTCGTAGTCCTCATCAGGAGGGCCTCCTAGGTTCTGAGCTTTCTCGGCAGCCCGGATCTGCCAGTAAGGGACGTCTGAAAGTTCTTCGTCGGCAACTTCAATAGCGCAGAGAGCCATCTCGCCAAGAGCAGCAGGCAGCGGCGTAACTCCCTTTGCTGCACATTCGCGTAGGCACTGTCGTCGCTGCGCGTCTTCTTCGAGCATAGCGCTGACTGCCACGCATTCGCCGGGGCCCAGAGAATGAGGAGGGTCAATGGGACGGTCCTCAGTCCTGATCCGCACGCGCATATGATGCAGCGCGGTGTGATAACATCCAGCCCACGGCAGCGGGTGGCAGCAATGAGCAGATCGGCGGCCCTCTGGGTGTTCTGTGTTGGGTCGGATAGGAACACACATCCGAGACTCGAAAAACTCCTCCGGCTTGTCAGGTGGGAGACCTTGTTGAACGACAGCCATGTATGCCGTTCCGTACACCGGCGGGAGTTGAGGGGCGCCTACGCTCTAATGGTTTATCAGTCTACTGAAGCACGGGAGCGTGCAGGCGCCTACTTCAAGAGTGCAGCCCACATAGACCTTGGGCGATATTGTACGAGCAAACTCGACGACTTCTTCGTCCTCGATGTCCTGCAGGGATGCCACAGGGTCTAGGCGGAAGGTAAAATAGGAGCCGTCGTAGGGGAAAGACATATTCAATAGCTTCAATCCGCGCAGCGAAATGAGGGGAAGAAGTAAGCAGCTGAAAGAGATATCAGGCGATCATGAATCACAATAGAGCACGTTGAAATCATGGCGGACAAGAGCAAACTGGGAACAAAGGCGGCGGTCCGACCCGGGTGACCACCGGCCGTTTCAGAGATGGATCTGATCCCGTCGGAAGATCCCGAACTCGTGCCATTGTTCCCGATTAGGGGCCATTTATCTTCGAATTACGGCGATGTCGCTGCGAGGCGCACTTATGAGGCTGTCAGAGAGTTCCGCACATTCTCACATGCATTCCATCATTACAGACACGCCAGCGCCGCCTGCATCATGAGCGGAAGGTACACTACGCACACCACCGGGGCGAACCACACCGAATACACCTCCCAATCCCGGACCGCGCGCACGACCTCTTGTGGAAGGAAGAGCCAGCCGGTGGCAAGCAGAGTGTATGCGAGGGATGTAATGTATCTCAGAGATGCTGCTCGCGCTGTTGTTGAGGTTGCGGCACTCGATATTGATGGACTGGGGTCCTTCAAGTCGGGCGAGTTCTTCGCCGGTACGATGATCAGCGGTACGCCCAACACAATCGCGAACAGGGCCGCGAGAGAGAAGTTGAGCACGGCAGTGACGGAGATGACGGTCGAGGCGAAGCAGAGGTTGAGAGATTTGAGGACGAGCGGGAGGTTGCCGCGGAGGACACCCAGTTGGGAGAGGGCGAGAGGTACGGAGGCGACGAGGGCGATGAGGATGAAGCGGGTAGTCTGGAGGGCATGAGTGTCAGAGGACTCAGGTATGTGTATTGAAAGAAATAGAAGCACTCACAAGTGACTCGATGTTGGCAACGAACCATCGCCGGGTGACAATGTAGAATACCACACCGCCCAAGGCATGTGTGACGCCCATGAGCGCTAGTGCGGGCAAGACCGGGCGCGGTCGTCTGGTCCAGTTGACAGTAGGCTTATCCGCGACTTGTGTCTGCGCTGCTTTTCTCTCCTGCACATCCTTCATTTCCTCCTTCTCCTCCTTCAATCCATCCTTCACCTCCTTCGATCCCTCCTTCTCCTCCCTCAACCCTTGCTCCGCGACCTCCCCCACCCACCCCGCATCCACCCACCCCCTCAATCCCCAGAACATCAGCCCCACCGCAACGAGCACCGCACTCGGCAGGTAATTCCCAATCTGGAGGAACCTATCGGGCGCGACGAGGAGGAAGAAGAAGAACGAGGCGTGCAGGCGCTCGAGGAGGTTGTTGCAGGTGCGGAGGGTGGATTCGAGGATGCTAGGTTGCGTTTTGGTAGTCAGATCGGATACAGGGAGAATGTCAAAGAAGTGAACTTACCGGCCGATGGCGTGGAATCCGTGCGGGCCCATGGAAGGTACGGCAAAGAGGGTGACGGCGTCGATGCGGTATCTGAAGATAAGGTTGGTATACACGCGATCTCTAGACGCGACACCCAAGAACATAGTAGCAACACTCACTGATGCAACAGCCCATGCACCCCACTTGCCCTCCCCCTCGCCTGATACCCAAAGTGCCGCAATATATGCCTTGCCTTCGTCGCATACGCGCGCGCCGCGGGGTTCAATCTGATACTTTTCGGTACCCAGTTCTTCATCTCCCATTTACCGAACAATGAGTTCTCTGACCCGATTGTCCACTGCTCGAAGCGGAAGGTGTCCTTGTAGTCGTAGAGGATGACGGGGACGCCGACGGTGTTGCGCGCGATGCGGAAGATGGAGTTGAGGAGGTCTTGGTTGGGGAGGCGGCCGTTGAGGCCCTCTGCGAGGACGTGTCAGAGTTCGTTGGGCACGCAGGCGAGTAGGGGGGTGGGGACACGCACCGAAGTAAAGACCGAGGTGCGAGAAAGAGTGCCCAGGGTAGTCGACGTTGAGGGCGGTCCAGATTACGCCGGAGGAGAGCTCGAGGGGTTCGGCGACGAGGTCTGTGGCATATACGTGAGTAGTGATCCGGTGGTCAGAGTAGAAGATGCTTACTCGACTGTGGGACGCCATAGTAGGAGCTTAAGAACGCCTGCATGCCATCGAGGTGGTCATCACTGATGTTGAAGATGATGTCCTTCGCCCAGAGGGAGTAGTCTGGCAAGGTCGGTCAGCTAAACATGCCCTCGATGAAGGTGGAAGTGCCGCGTACTTTTCATAAACCTCGCGAGAGCGAGGACAGTAGAGACACCTCGAATGTTGATGGTCTGACTTCCCTCATCGATGAGGCTGATCCAGGAGGCGCTGACGACCATGGCTTCGGCGCCGGCTTGGCGAGGCGAGTACATGACTGCGTAGGCATTCTCGCCTGAGCTGGTCTGGAAAGAGTGAGATGTGAATGCTAGGGGTGAGCCGTGGGGTATGACTACTGACCCCGTTTGTGGTTTCGAACGTATACCGCTGCGAAGATGCATCGAGACCGAGCTTGGTGAACTCTTCGATGAAGTATTGGGCGCGACTGCAAGCATTCAGCACTAGACGTAAGTGACGAGCGTGTATGCTCACCTTTCGGAGGTAGCGTTCTGATCCCTGAGCTCCTCCAATTGCTCGAGGTAGTTGTCGGCGGCGTGAACGTCTCCCCAATTCCATTGAGTGTTCACCTGCCGATACGTTAGGTTATATTCACGCGTTTCGCGCGCCACGCACCTGCCCCGGCTGCAGCGCATTCTCATCGATGTAGGTCCCTCTGCCTCCCACATATGTCGACGGCAATAGTAGCATCCACGCATAGCCGACGATGAAGAGGAGTACACTGCGTGGCGTTCAGCGACGTTCACGAGATTGGGGATAACGCACGCCACGGCTCGACTCTTCGTGTACGCGAGCGACTTTATTCTGCTCCTGCGCTGCGCCCTGCTCTTCGTCGCGCTGTCCCCCCTGCCGAGGGCGCCCTTGAGTCTGACGAACAGCGCGTCCATGACAAGGTGATGCGCGCGGGCCGATCTCCGACTTCGCGGCGGTCACGTTCGCGTCTTCGATCCATTGTCACCGCCGCCCACGTTCCCCACGCCCCTCTTACCGCCATCGACCATGGCGCCCAAACGCAAGCGCCGCGACGAGCAGAAGGGTCTCGCGCCCGGTCAGGTCCTCAAGCGCGCCAAGCTCCTCGGCAACGCGTCCTCGCCCTGGGGCTGGGTCGGCACCGACGTCCTCGATGCGACGCATATCACTGATGAGCATAGGCTCGCGGCGTGTGGCTTCAATCAACCTCTGTGCGCAAACAAGTATGCGCCTGAGTACAGGCAGATGCAGAAGGAAAGGCAGAGGAGGGCGAAGGAGCGGAAGACGAGGGAGAAGCGCGACTCATCGCCCGCCGGCGGGGCGGACGAGGTGATCGTCATCTCGGACACGGAGGAGGCCCAGCCAGACTGCTCGAAGAAGCTCTGCAACAAATGCAATCCGAATTGCTTGAACTACTTGGGACAGGACCAGTGGGAGGATGAAGGTGCGCGATCTATGTGGCTGGGATCTCAGTATCATGCTGACGCATGTGTAGATGACGCTTGGGAGGCGTTTAGGAAGAGGGTCAAGCTAGGAGACAGTCCGCTTGACGATGCCAGAGATCCTGACCTTCCTGTTGGACTCTACGTACGCGACCCCCTATGTGCACACGACTCATAGTTGACTTGCGTACAGAACCTTGGCGCCACATGCTACGCCAATGCTTCCTTGCAGGTGCGCTGCTCGCTCCTATTGCCACCACCCAAATACTCATCTTGCGCAGGTCTGGTTCCGTGACCTTGCCTTCCGACGCGGTGTATACAATTGCCAACCCTGCGGAAACGAGTCCGAGGACAAGTTCAAGGTATGCCACATATGCACGGGGGCATCTTATTGTTGACGCAACGCCACCTTTGACAGCAATCTCCCCTCTTCCACCTCCAAGTTACCTTCACTGCGCTCCAGGAGAGCACACAGAGCGTGTTCAATCCCAACAAGCTTGTAGAGAGCTTGCAGCTGCGCACGTCAGAGCAGCAGGATGCGCAAGAGTGAGTGTCGATTCAAGCCATTATCAGTTTGTCACCATTCTTGTACTCGCGCGGCTAACGCGCCCTTCCAGGTTCTCCAAGCTCTTCATGACGCACCTCGCAAGCGAGTTCAATAAGCAGAGTATTCCGTCTGTGCGGTCGCTTGTTGCGGATCAGGTGAGCGATTTATCTTTCCACATTTCACGCCACAAACCCCGTGCATGCGTTCTAACGCATCTTTTACCCAGTTCGAAGGTGTTCAACTCTACGGCACGCGCTGCGACACATGCAAGACGCAGTCCGAGCGCGAGTCGACCTTCTTGGAGATTGAGGTCAACTTCGGGGTATGAGCCAAAATATAAGTTGAAGTAGATGCCACAATCTGACCGATTCCCCAGAACAACAGTCGCCTGGAGGACTGTGTCGCTTCTTCCCTTCAACCCGAGAAGTTGACGGGAGATAATAAGTGAGCCGCCTTGCCCTTGCCTCTGTCCCCACCCCCCACCCCCTCCCCTTATCCTAACACCCCACCCAGATATGCCTGCTCCGCCTGCAACGCCCTCCGCGACGCCACCCGGTACACCAAGCTGCGCAAGTTGCCCCCGGTACTGCACTTCTCGCTCATGCGCTTCGTGTACGATCTGAAGACGTACGAGCGGAAGAAGTCGAAGAGCGCGATCGTGTTCCCGACGGTTTTGGATATGGGAAGGTTTGTGGAGGGTGGGGGCGATGCTAGCGGCAGCAAGGCGCCGGCCGCTGCCAACAAAGAGTCGCCGACTGCAACTGGCAAAGAATCGCACATCTACGACCTCCGCGGCGTGCTGCTGCACAAGGGCTCGAGCGCGTACCATGGGCACTACGAGGCGCAGGTGTACGATACGGAGTATGTTGGCCCGTACTTACGTGAATGGATTGATGCTGATGAGATCCCAGACGCGCTTGCTGGTTCCAATTCAACGACGAGATCGTGACGAAGATCACGACCTTGCAGGAGAAGAACAGCAAGCCTATCGTCGTCGATGTGGAGGGGGAGGATGAGAAGTGCGTTGATATTCGCTTTTCTGCTATATCAAGCCCTCTCCCTATATTGATTTCATTCCTTACCCTTATTCCTCGCCTTCCATCCGTCGCACTTCAGCACAAAGAACGTGATGATGTCTTCCTCGACCGTACTAACATCTTCCCCTCACAAGACCCAAGAAGCGCCCAAACGTGCGCAAACGGCGACGCGTCGAGGATAGCGAGGACGAAGCTGACCTGCTCAGCCCTACCGCCACTTCGAAGGCTCAGCTCAGCGCGACTGCCGCTGCGAAGGCCCAGCTGAAGAGCACAGACATCACCTCGAAGGACGCGTACATGCTCATATACGCCCGTCGGGAGACGCCGGCAATTCTTCAGGCGAGTGGAGGCGCTGTGGTGCCTCAGGCGAATGGTGGCACCACTGTGACTCGAGCGAATGGATCCACGGCGGCTATGAACGGGCAGACGGCCGGTGCCGCTAATGGCGCTCAGGTGAACGGTACGGTGGGCTTTGCAGCGGGGGACGCGGCGACCAGTGCGAGTGCGTCTGTCGCGGTCGGTCCGAAGCCGACCATTGCGAACGGCAACAGAGCGCCAACGAACGGCGACGGCCTGTCTATGAACGGCAGCGCGGCTGATACCGCATCTTCCACCGCCCTCACCCCGCCGGCACGCGCCATGGAAGCTGTGGCTGCCCTGAATGCGAAGCACAGCGAGGAGTGCGAGAGGTATCTGGCGAAGTGAGTCTGACTGCTCAATCGCTCATTCATGTTATTCTGGTCATATCTCTTCTTCCTGTTTCCTCTATCCATCCATGCTATATCTGTCCGTCTATCTGCGTCGCCCGCGGTCTTCGAAGGTCCTGCTGACACACTGCTCATTTTTTTGCTCGTTATATCGCACTCTGCGCTTATGAACTCCACTGACGTGTCACCCTCAGAGAGTCCGAAGTTAAGTCGGCCTTTCGTGAGCTGCGGCGCAAGGTGATGGACATCTATCAGAGTTGGAGTGTGAGCAGGCAAGATGAGGTGTGTGGTCTCTTCTTGTTATCGACATACTATATCTTCGGGTCGAACATCTCTTCGTGATACTTACGGGAATCCTTGCAGCCATCCGTTGTGGTCAGCTCAGCCGCGCTTTCCGAGTGGTTGTCGACGTATAGCGCGACGGCCGAGGTCCGGAGGCTGAAGCCAATTGTGAAGGCGATGAAAGAGGAGAATCGTGCGGCGCAAAGAGCAGACTCAGTGAGCGGGAAAGTCAATGGAATGGATGGCGAGACGAAGGGTACACCCGCCAAGGCGAACGGCGGGGTGGTCAGCACGAGCGACACGAACGCCGACGCGAATGGCACGAAAGTCGGCACGAATGGCAACACCGGTATTGAGGACGACGGCGCAACCAGTTCGGATGCGATGGACGTAGACGCCAAACCGTCAGTCAATGGCGAGGCCGAGTCGAAACCATTGGACAAGGGCAAGCAGAAGGCCGTGGATGAGCCGTCCGACGACGGAGATCCCAACGAAATAATCCACATATCCATCGCGGACGACCTCCTTTGTGAGCATGGCGAGCTGCATCCATCGAACTCGACGTCGATGAAGCGTATACGGAAAGACGCCTATGACAAGATCGCTGCGCAGACGAGATGCGTCTTCGTGCCGCTCTTGACTCCGCAGGATGTATGTCGGCAGTGCGTTGAGGTGATCTTCAAAGGTGTGGAAATCGGTGATTATGGCCGAAGAATGCGGACTGACCTGATAGACCAGATCGCCTATATCAGGTGGAGCATCCACGCCTTGTCAGTCAATTCGATGATATCGCTGAGGTACCGGAAGGCCAACCGGGCTACTGGATATCGAAGCCTTGGGTGAAGGGTGCGCCCTCATCATTATCTGTACAGCATCATGGAGGCTGACGAATACACCGCAGACTGGCGATTAACAAAGCCGAAGATGCACCGACCAGACACTGGCGACCCGGCGCCTGACTCGGACGAGTTCAAAGATCATGTTCTTTGCGAGCACGGTCGATTGATTAACAATATCGCCAATCGTAGGCGAATATCGCTGGAGGTATGTTTATTCTTGTTCGTCTTACGCAGACGCTGACAAGCCTTAGGCAGGCAATTTACTCCAAGCCTTGTTTCCTGGGCTGCAGCTTCTCCCAGCGTCGGAAGAGCCCTGCGCGATCTGCGCCGTTGCCATACATTCATCGAAGGAAGGCCGATTGGAGGCGCGGAAGAAGGCAGAAGATGAAAAGGTATGCATATCCTTCACGCCGGCATATCATCGCCGACTGACGGTGCGAGACAAGGCTCGACTCAAGCACATGCTCGACCATGCCTTGAATGGAGATACCGCTTTGCTGGAAGATACGCCGCTCGCAATTGTGCCCTCCCAGTTCGTCCGCGCTTGGAAAATGTGGCTCGGCCGCCCAACGGAATACCCTCGACCACCGGGTATCGACAACTCGTCGTTCTTTTGCGAACACGATCAGCTCGCATTCGATCCGAACGTCCCCGCCGACATGGACTCGAAGTTAGCGGTGATCAAGCGGAGCGATTGGGAGGTGCTGCAGACATTGTATGTGCTTACATCGAACTTAATGGATACGGCTTGCTCACCATCGATCATAGATATCCCTGCGGACCTCTGATAGCTCTGGAGAAAGAGGCGAAGGAGAAGAGATATCGGCACGATATCCCAGTTTGTGTGGACTGTCGGCAAAGAAGGTAATCTTCCGCAGATTGGTACGAGAATTTGAGCTCAATACGCACCCAGGAAATCCGATTGGGAGTCGACGGATATCACTATCCGGGTTGGCGGCCCGGACAAGGCGAAGCCGACAACGACAAAGAAGACGTACGGCTCTCGCCAGTCGAAGCGCCTGCGCTCCGTGAAGGAACAGGGCGAGCGGCGAAAGATGTCAGTCACCAAGCAGACATCCATCATGGGGCTCAAGATCATGGTCTGCGAAATTTTAGCACGAATGCAGAAATCATCTAACCAGATACAGATCCAATCGGAATTGTCTATACCCACAATTTGCCAGCGACTCTTCTATCAGGGCAAGGAACTCGATGACAACAAGGCAACGATGGAGTCGCTGGGCATCTTTGCCAACGATACGATCGACTTGCGAGAGGAGCAGGAGAAGGATTCGTTCTCGGATACGGAGGATGGTGAACATGCCGCGAAGCGCCAACGCTCAGAGGAGCGGGGCTTTGGAGGGACTTTACTAGGTGCAGCTGTGCTACCCTCATCCGAACTTCCTACCCCACCACCAGATATGAAGTCCTGTCCACACTGTACGTTTTTCAATGCGCGTGAAGCCGAGGTCTGCGAGACCTGCGACGGCGCCCTCCTGTGATGCCACACTACACATACAACTGCTCGAAGTACTAGAACAACAGCGAAGTAGCACACAGCAGCGCGACGGCAGTCTATTTAAGTGGATGGCACTGTACATTGCATATATGTAAGGTCGCCAAAGTCCCGTGGTAGCAACATAAACCCAGAGAAAGCAAGAAGTACACACCGCACCCCGTAGATAGAGTTAATGGGAGCATAGCAGCAGCGGATCCAGTCCGGCACAGTCTAGTCATCGTTCTAGGTCATGGCAAGAGTCAGTTCGGTGCTGGGATACCTTGGCCGGAGAGAGAAGGGATAAAACGATATGCACCTGGCATGATTTGACGGCCCGCGCGGCCTCCTAGCATGCGTGCAAAACCGATGGCCTGCCGCACGATATCCATGAGGGAAGTGCTGGTGCCCACGCCGCGGTTGACTGACTCAGCGATGGCGCCCTCCGTCACGTTGGCCATCTTCGCGACGGTCACGCTGTGCACGACAGGCGTGTCCGGAGGCGGCGACAACCCGGTGGCCATGCTCTCCTCGACCAGCACGACGTGCGCACCCTGCACGACGAGGTCCTTCGCCTTCGCGGCGAGGTCGCTGCCTTCACCGCACAGCTGACGGTCCGTCATGTTCGTGAGCGCCTCGAGCACGCGCTTCTGGTCCGACAACGAGTTGATCTCGCTCTGCTTGGGGTCGGACGGCGAGAGGTGCATGACGGAGGTCACTGCCTGCAAGGCCTCCTTCTTCTCCGCAACGCTCTTCGTCGCCTCGACGAGTACCTGCTTGACTACGGACAGCTCGTCTACCGCAGCGACCGAGAAGGGCAGAGAAACCCTGTGACCGAGCGATCAGAGGAGGTGGAGCTCTGTGACACAGCTCGCGTACCTCTGTGAGGTGGGCAGTATGCTGTCGCTTTGTGTGCGGCGTGAGAACTCGGCAACAGGGCGCGCCGGCGAAGTGAATGCAGGGGACACAGTCGGCACGGCCGGCGCGATGTTGAGGTGGAAGGTATGGGAAAGAATACCCTCTTGTCCATCGAGCACAAACTGATGGGTTCGATTAGGCGAGTACTTCGGGAGGTAGGAAAGATATTGACCTTTGCATACGTCGTGATATCACAGCTCTCTGCGCCCTGTGGCGGGGTCCCGGACAGAATGTCATTTTTCCATGATAGCCAGGAGGGTAGGGATGGCGAGCTATAGTGGACAGGGATATTCTGCCAGGATGCCTGCGGGTCCCATATCCGTGGCGTCCACTCCCAATGCAGCCCGATGTAGGCGACACCTGGTGGCGAACCTGCAATCTTGCGGTGGAACGGCCGGAACTCCCACTTGCCATCGCCCGACTTCTTCGCCTCGACGTTCCAGATGTGGTTGCCCTTGGACTTCGCCTTCTTACCGTCCTCGTTAAAGCGGAGGATGTACTGCTGCCGCCAGAGGTAGTTCCGGACCTGGCGCGGGCAATGAGCACGGTACAGGGTGCGAAAGCATGCATACGAACCTTCTTCATGGGAATCTTCTCCTCGGGGAACCCTTGCCGCGCAAGCTAGAACCGCATGAGCTCCAACATGCAGATGTCACGGTAAACGGTGCTTACCTCCTCCAAAAAGGCATTCGTGAAGGCTTGTATGCGGAACTTGAATGGACGGAAGTCAGGGGACTCGTCTAACCGCGCCATCTTCTTCGCCATCAAAGTCTGGTGAATGGACTCCCCCTTTGCATCCGTGGCTTGCACTATAATACACGATCAGTCTATGTATATGCACGCGTGGCAACAACGCACAGTTGGAGCAGATCTTGTTCAAGAACTCAAAGAAGATGCGATCGACGTCCGCCCGATACTCTTGCGGAACATCAGACCCAGAGGCAGAGAGATACGCGCCGTCGAGGGCCGTCTAGTATAGGAAAGAACAATCCCATCAATGATGGTCGATCCCCCATTCAAAGATCTACGTACCGTGGAAGCAGACGTCCTAGGGCGCTCATTGTCCTCCCCATCATCGTCGTCCTCATCCTCCTCATCCACCGTCCCGCCAGGCAATGTCACACCGCCAAAGTTCGGCTGCCCACGCGTGTCTACCCAGTGCGACATGGTCGTCTGCGCTGACATGAACGCGGCGTGCTGCTCGGGGATGAGCGGCGGCGGCTTCACCATCGCTGATGAGTGCAGCGTCGACATCACGTTGTCGTGCGGCCGGAAGTCGAAGTTGCCACCATAGCTAGATGGAGGGTAAGCGCTGCCAAGGGAGCCGGAACGGTGCATGCGGGTCATCAACGGCTGTTGCGGTAGCGGCGGGTGGTCTGCCATAGCCATAGCAGGCGGGTAGTGCCCTAGATGTTGCATATGAGCCGATTCCATCGAGAGTGTCGGTGGCCCTGAAAGGGACAAACCAGGTAGGGTTGACCGAGAACCTGCAGACAAGGAATGCTGATGCCGAGTCGTCATCGTATGTGAGAGGTCAGACGTCGTGCGATTGAAAGCAGGCATTTTGTTGTTGAAGGATGGGTCGTGGTAGGGCATGAGTTGCGTGTGCGGGGGTGGAGGAAGGGTAGGTATATCCGGCACACCAGTACTCGAAGGGTGAGACGCGTACTGGGGTTCGAAGTACGAACCGCCCGACGAGGAGGACACTGGAGGCGAGTGTAGCGGCAGGCTGTTCGTCTGTACAGGAAGAGGCTGCTGAACGGGGATGGGATTGGGGAATATGGAGGATTTGTCGAGCGACTGGGAGGACACGAACGACATCGGTACGTCATCGGGCTGCTCATGCTTGAGCTGCTTCAGATGAGGCTCCTCCTCCAAGTTCGACAGCGCTGGGCGTTTCCGCGAGCCGGCGACGCCGTTGACTGCTTGGTGCATGGCGCTAGCCATGTCAGCCTGCGCTAATGACATCCCATTGCCCTGCATCAGCGGAGGGCTACTCTCCGGGCCTATATGTTGTGCGGGAGGGGAGTCCCGAAGAGAAAGACCCGTCATCGATTCCTGCACTCGCGAGACGAGGTTAGCCAGGACATCCACCCGCGTCTTGACCTCGTCGTCCACATGGTCACAGCGCGCAACAGCGTCCCTCGCAGAGGCGGCCTGATCGATGAGGCTAAGAAATGAAGTCAGTAAGATACGAAGCCGCGCAGCATCGTGGGAACTTACGTGCTCAAGCCAGAAAGGACCGCCGCCCGATCAGTCGCGCCAGAGGATGTGTCGCTGTTCTGAGGACTACTTCTGACGCTCTCAAGCTGTGAGACGGGCGCCATGCTGGCCATCGCAGCCGCGAGATGCGCAGATGCGGCCTCTTCCCTCTTGATGGACATGACGCTCGCGGAGTCGGGAGGGAACGCGGAGTGCAACGTTTCGGGCGTGTGCGGCACGCCCATAAAATTCGGATGGGCAGGAATGGTGGGCGTGGACTGAAGGGGGAGGGGGTCTGCATGGGTGAGGGGAGGCTCCATGCCGAGAGAGGTCGTGTTCGGAGTGCCGTAGGCCATCTGGGCGCCGAGTCCGTCTGACGCACCCATCGGTGGTGCTGATACTGGAGGGGACGAATGCGTAGAACCGGGACCGCCGTTCATGGCGTTCAGCACCGGATCGAATGCGCTCTGCATGCCGAAAGCTCCGTTGCTGAAACCTGCCATCATCGCCGCGTTGCTGGAAGTCCCATCCATCGGGGGAGAAAATGAGGGGGGAGTATGGCCGTGGCTACCGGGCAACGATGATGGGGCGGTCTCCGGATTTGCCGGATACTGAGATGTCATGTCGAAGGGGTTAAGGGTGGTGGGTGCGGATACGGCCTGCATGGCGGGAGGTGCAGACGCGTGGGTGTTCATGAAGTCAAGAGAGAAGTCGTGAGTGAGCTGGTTGTGCTGGAAGGAGAGGGGATCGTCGACCACGGAACTCTTGGAGTCCGGAGGATACGCTGACATTGCACAGTAAACCAGGCGAGCGCGGTGTCGCTTCGCTGCGCGGTAGGATGCCAGTTGTGTAAAGCCACAGCAGACAGGCGCGCTGTCGCGATGTCGGAGCGAATGTCTGAGTTACGCCGGCCGGTGACGTTCTGCAATCGAGCACAAGTCTGCGCGCAGATACGGGATCAGTCGAGGCTGGGGAGGGCTGCGCGCGGCGTACCGTGGGCTAAACGACAGCTACTGGGCGAGAGAAAGCGTCCGGATGGAGTGCAAAGGTCGTCCCGCGGGTCTCTCTTAAGTAGCGATGGGTAAGCGCAAAGGAAGGAAGCGGGACTGAAACGAGAGCGCGCGATCAAGGCTCAGAAGCTGGAAAGGGGCGTAAGGACGGCGCGGCGTCCGTCGTCGTCGTCGTCGTGCGCGATGAGGACGAGGGCAATTGCTGTTCCGGCTTTGTTCTGTCCAGCGGAGCTTCGAGCACTGGAAAAGTACAAATCCAAGCTTGCAACATCTATCCCACGCCCGATGTCACACCGGTCACACCCCGCTTATGGTAATGCAAATATCGCTTTTGCGCCCGTTCCCCCGCCCGCGGCCACTCAACCAGCCCATTGTCGTCCACCGCGGTCCTTCGCGGAAAGAGAGAACACCAGAGCTATGCACTCATTTCGCTAAGATACAACACAACGCCCGCGCGCTCTACCGTACAAAGCCATCTCGCCTTCCATTTTCATTCAAACGCAGAACGCAACGTTACCGCCTCACTCCCAACGCGATTCAAACCCAGCGCATCTCCTCCGTCTCGGCCACGCGCGTGAAGCGCAGCACACATGAAGCCCGCAGGCGGCCTCCACCGTAACCGGTCCGATCGATGCTTCCCACCGACCATCATCCCCGATTAGGACGGTCCTCCGCCCAGTCGCCGGCCTACAAGTCCTTTTAGAGCACGGCGGAGCACCTTCGCTCGGAACCCTATCACTCCTTACGCTTAGGTTCAGGTAAACCCTGCCCAGCCTCCGTCTGCTGACGCGGGACGATTGAACATTATACACTACGACTGCCCGCGACATTGAGTAATCATGAAAGGGGCTCGCGGTGAAGCAGGGCGGTGCGGCTCACCGAATATTATAGCTACAAGGCACAGAGAAACCATATGTACAGCTGCCTGCTGCTGCATATCTTAGTACCGCCTCCGCGGACTCCTGGACCGCTCGCGATCGCGTCGCCTATCACTGTAGTAGGCTGGTCAGTAATTATGCATACTGAATAGGGTCCTCCGTCTTACCTGTCATACCGAGATGAATGACGGTCGTAGCCGCGATCCCGGTCACGATACTCGTCCCGGCGGTAGTCCCGGTCGCCTCCTCGCGGAGGCCCGCCCCCGGGCGTTGCTGCTGGCGGTGCGCTCACCTTGCGCTTCTCGCGTTCCTCCTTGAACGTTTGCAGCATCTTGCGAAGCTCGTGATAACCCAAGTGCATCTGGGAAGAACATCAGAGGTCAGCGGTCACCTAGGAGGTTCGAAGCAAGACGCGCCTTGCCGCCGAAATGGTCTGCCAGGCGACGATCGGAGTCGAGCACGGAAAGGTACGCGCCGCACACGTCACACACACGGAGCTTCTGGTGGCCTGAGGCGCCAGACGTGTCCGTCAGCTGCTGCAATTCGCGCTGGGAGCAGTGTCAGGGTCGCATACATCCGAGGTGGCCTTTGTGAACGCACCTCCTTCTCCGACTTCTCGTTCTTCAAAGCCTCAACGGCTGCCATCTCCTGCATCGACTCGTCGACCTTGCCCTGCTCTCCAAGCGACTCGATCTTTTCTGTGCCACCCTGGATGGCAAGCTCGATTTCGGCAATCTCGCGCATCTAAGGGCAGACGTCAGTAAGCGGCGTGAGAGGGAAGCCAGCTTCGGTCGGCAGGCAGGCACAGTAGCGCGCTCTCAAGTATAGCGTACTGCGGTAGAAGCGGCTGCGCGTATAGGATAGTCCCCACGTACCAAATTGGTAGTCTTTGCATTCTCCTCGGGCGTCTTCTCCAGGCGGCGATGGGCCGCCCGAATACGACGATCACACTCGTCCACGAACGCAAAGATGTTAGACTCGTACTCCATTTGGAAGCGCTGGAATATCGGGTCGGAGGGGTCCTTGTTCCGGGCCTCGAGGAACTCGGTCTTGAGGCGCTCGGTGTGGGACTTGGGGCATGCGCCAAGGTCCATTTTCTGTTATGGTCGTTGTTAGACTGTGCATGATACGATAGTGTGACAAGTTCTAGCTCATGGTATGAAGAGGGGGGAAGGGGACCGCAGCGCTTGCGCATGTCGGGTGGGAGTGTGGCGTTCTGCGTGGGAGACGGAGGGGAGAATAGGAAAGTCAAAACGCACTGTGTTCGTGAACAAGGTGTGAGGGCAGGTCCCACAAAGGAAGTTGCGGCAGACTTTCTCGTCCTTCCAGGTGAGATTCGCGTTCGCGGTGCCCATGGCCTCAGGGCCCATCATTTGCTACGGTATGCATGTCAGTAAGGGTACGTCTGGTTAGCAAGAGTACGCACTTCAAGCAGCTTGCGCTGCATCTCGGCTAGACGTCCCATGGTGTCAAAAGTGCTTGCAGAGAGATAAGCGACAGTAGCGTTTTGAGTTCAAAGACAACGATAACGAGGGGGGACGCGGCGCCGTCCGTTTGTCGAGAGCGTGAAGTCAAGACGCGAACCCGCTTTCCGCGCCGCCGATTGCTGACTAATTGTGGCGCAAGGGCGCCCGATGGACCCACAATGGACCCATACTTCTCGTTCTGGCTCCCGTTTCTACAATTGCTCACGACCGCCCTTGCTTCCTCCCTTCATCTCGCCCCGGGTCGATCTTACAGCATCGCTGAACCTATAACGCAACTTAAGCTTGAATGCTTGCTGCACCTGAGACGGCCATGAGCAAGCTTTCCCATCCTCAAAGCCGCGATCGCTCTGTCCATCCGGAGCTATACAGACTCATAGGCGATCTCGAACGCGGAGTCGACGCGGAGGAGGAAGAGTTGGGCTTGGTTCTGCAGGCGCTTCATAGCGAGCTTGAGCTTCCTCGAGATGAAAGCTTTTCCCGTATGGGGTCTATGGGCGAGGAAGCTCTAGCTCCGGCGGCGGCGGTGCAGGCCCGAGTTGAGGTGGCATCGCCTGACGATGCTGGCGCGGTCCGACACGAACACCTCGCTGCAGACACGACGCACTCATTCTCTGGATCCCTGGTCAAAGCTACCTACCTGTCGACGCCCCTGCGCACGAAGTTCTTTCCCCGCGTCAGTCCAACAACTCTGCGTCTCCTGCTACAATCTCCGTCGACCAGCATCGAAAGCCCGAACTCCAGCATCTCGACAGACTCGAGTGACGTTGCGATAATACCTGTTCTTGGCGAGGCGCCGCACATCCAGGGATTCCAGACTGCGACGATCTCTGTCGCCGACCGCGCCGTCCTCCACGACATGCGTGTCGCAACCCCGCCCTTGATGTTTCCGAAGCCAGCCACGAAGTCACAATGTCCGACGACTGACATGCCTCTCACTCCGCCGCCCACTGGAGAGCTCCCTTCTGTCGCTCAGTTCCCATCGCCAGTCCAGCTTCCTCCTTCTCCAGAATCACCGAATGCCAGCGATCCAGAGTGCCCTTTTAATGCACAAGATATCACGCAAAATTTTTCTCCTCCGCCTACACCCCCTAGGGCTGCCACTCGTCTTCCTCGTCGCCGTCCTCTGACCATCAACGTGGCCGCTGCCAACGCCCTGAATGGGTCCACTCCCGCTGCTCCTCTTCGTCCCTTTTCCGAGGCCCAGCCCATCCCGCATGCTCCTCACTTGTCGCTCCTTTCGCCGACTGCCGTGCGGCGCTTCCGCCGAGTCATCGACGAGATGCGAGGCGTAGACGAGGCGGCCGATGCGGGGAAGGACGAAGATATCAAGGACGAACGCGAAGATATCGGATCACCCTGGCTGTCGGACGTCTTCACCTCGTCTTCCGCTGACTCTTCGCTGAGCTTTGCTGAAGACGAGGCTGGGCCTGCCTCGCCCACATCTACACACTCTGTCTCAACGCATGCGTCTCGTATCGCCGCCAAGTCACCTTCGCTCATCTTTGAGGGCCACTCGAAGGTTGACACGCGATTGAACGAACTCGCCGATCTCCTGGAGGAGCGCACGGCTAGGGATGAGGGCCAGGTCGAGATGTTGTATCGTCTGGCTGAGCGAATCAAGGCCATGGCTCACGCGCGGAGAGATGCGGTCCAACAGATCGATGCATTCAGGGAAAGGCCATAAATAGAGCATAATAATAAGATTAATGCGCAATAATGTACCGCAGTCGTTTGCGAGTTGAGTACGCTACAAAGAGACCTAAGCTACAGAGTGATGTCCATTCAAAGGATGCAGGTAGCCTGCCTGCGCTTGGGAAGAAGACGACGACCTGATGAGAATGCCCGCATTCCCCATCGGTCGTACAATGTATTCGCATCGAAGGGCGGCAAACCCTCAAGGCTGTCGTGAAGCAATTGAAGATTGTGATTGCTTCGCCAAAGGCTGATATAGCGTCAGTATGGTAAGTTGTGCGTGTACAGTTAAAGCGGCGCACCGAAGAGAAAAAAGGACGTGACATGAATGAGCGCGCAGAGCGCGTCGACGACGTCTCTGGATCAGGCTTTCCTGCCTTCGCCGTATTGCGCGAGTCGGATAAAGACGAGCGTTCATGGGACTTCAATATATCGGCACTAGACATTCCACTGCGCCACGAGCACGAGTCTGCTGCTCCTCGGCCTGCCGAAGCGATGGTCTCGGTTGTCGAGGAGAAAGTTCCCGACTCCGAAATCGCACTGAGCGTGGACGGACATGCCACCGATGAGACGCTGCGAGTTGAGCGATGGCGCGTTGGCTGCTGGCTGTCAACCTGGAAGAACGTCAGTTCGTACTTGACAGAACCCAGGCGCTTGAAGATGACTCACTGGCTTCCTGGCCGCTCGCCGAAGACGCTTCCTGTACTCCCGGCTGACACATCGCATCTTCAGATCTCCTCCCATCCTTTCAGAATGTCGGAGTAACAGGTTCATGTTGGTCATATCCATATGGTACCCCTCAGCATTGTTGTCGCGGGAAGGCATCCGGTCGGCCCATCGCTCTTCGACGGCATCCATACCGATCTCATGCACTATGGGCACGATATATTGGATGTTTCCATCCTCCTGGTACCACTCCGGGATGCTATGCGCGTGTCCATTCCTCCACTTCTCCAGCCAGTTGCCCTTCCACTTGCAGTTGCACGAGGACATGATGGCGAGGTAGGGTCGAAGCTCTTGGGGCAGGTCCTGTGTGCGACTGCCCCCAAAGGTACCCATGAGAAAGACCCGAGCGGAGCTACGCTGCATTTGGATGACGATACAGGGCCTTCTTTTTCCACCCTTGGAGGTGGAGGCGCAGGACGCCGACAGGAGCGTGGAACGCTGCGAGGCGCGGATCGAGGATGCGGTGGTAGATTGCGAGTCGGACGTTGATGCGTGTCGAAAACCTTTGTTCTCCTTCGACTCTAAGGATGCAATATCCATGGCTTTGTGGAAAGGAGCTACGAGGGAGGTGCGAGTAACATGGATGTCTCCGGGAGCGACGGATCGGCCAGACTTGCTGCGAAGATGAGGGTCCGGGACAAGTGCACAATGGGGGGTACAGGTCGGTCTAGCAAAGAATAGTCCAGGGATCGGTGAAGCGGGGATGCGAGTAGCGGGCGGCATTATCAGTAGCGATCACAAAATAAGGAAGTACGATGGGAATGAGGAGCAAATGATGGTGCGGCGGCCAACCTTGACGTGGTATTTAACCGCGGGGCACCATACCAAGAAAGGTCTGAGGACATTGTTCGTCGTATGGAGGATAGGTCCACGCATAGCAAACAAGGGCGGAACAGCCGTTCACGGTCGATGAGAGTGAAAAGAAAACACCGAAGTTGAACAATCAGATTTCCTCATACGGAACCGGAGACCGGGTGGCTGTGCTCCGGCGCGGTCCAGGTTACCGCTTTGGCGTATTCCATTGTTCCAAGTTGGTTCTTGTCCGACTTGAAATGTCTTGTGTTCTTTTGTATTTTGTGATGGTCTGATGGTTCCTTTATATACGTGCAACTGCTTTCTTCCAACCATCGCCATTGCTGCAACCAAGTTACATGTCCTTCCCCTACAACGGCGCATACTTCACTTTTCGCCTGGACCCAGAAGCATCCCTACAGGATCTGGAGGATGATGAGGTCACCCTAGCCGCTCGCAGAATCACGCCCAAAGTCTATGTGGCCTGCACGACGCAGGTGCGCGTCCTCATCTCCAGAGTATGCGTAGCCCGACTGACAGTTTGCAGACAATTGGTGTCCCTCAACTCCCACCATTTTACGAAACGGCGTACATGGCGCTCGTTCAACAGGGTCTCCCACCTGACAAGCCGGAGGAGTTCCTCGAGTCTCGGATGTGTGTTCCTATCCGTCCCAACACCCAACATCCAGATGGTCGAAGAGCTGCCCATTGCTGCCATCCGCTGCCTTGGGATGGGTGCTACCACGTCGCGCTGCATCATACGCGCGTGCGGATCAAGACAGAAATCCGGCCTGTCGACCCCCCTCATTCTCTGGGTCCCGGTGAATCTGTGGCGCTGAACGCTGTGCTCGAAGACGATGAACGGCGACGAGAGTGTCTGCGCGATTGTGCGGCGAGAGGAGTCGCGCCGCCGCCTGCTTCTCTTGGTGAAATGGCGCTCTCTGCTATCAAGCTTGCCAACAGCGAGGTTTCCGATATTCCTTATTGGCAAGTCAGGGCCGCCGAACTACTAGCTGAGGACCTAGCCGACCCTTCTGACGAGGACGATGACTGTTATATGATACTTGACGAAAACTGGAAACCTAGTAACCCATACTCCAGGGCCAGTAGCTACTCGGGCGATGGTAGCTACGCCGCGTCCGGTCCTGCATCGACTCATTCTGGGGATGGCGCGCAGGACGACGACGCGACCCCAGCCAGCGACGATGTTGCGGATGTCACAAACGACATACTCGCTGCCATCAACTACCAGTCGGACCTGCGCGACGTGTCCCCGGTCATCGTTCCTCTCTCATACGACTTGAGCACCTTGGACGCGCCTCCTTCGCCAACCGGATTCATGGAAGAGCTAGAAGCGATCCGCAGGTAAGCATGGGTGCAATCGAGCAAGGAAAGTGCTGATTGCTCAACAGGATACGATTAGAATACGAAGAACGTGTCCGTCGGCTGAAGGTCGAAGTGCGACGTCGTGATGACGAATACATGGCTGGCATCGAAGCACGTCGTACTGAGTCCGCGAGCGTTCAGGCCTTGTCTGTGCCTATAGCGCCTAGCATGCCGACCAGAGAGTCGAAGTGGTCAATCACCACGGGCTTCGTGCCCATTGCCAACAAGCTGAAGTCACGCTTGGGTGCGTCCGATGCGCGCTGACTTGTTTTTGTTGGTGGCTGACGCGGAAGACAGTGTCTCTGCGCCAAAAGTCCTCCTCGTTGTCAAGCGAATCACCATCAAAGGTCAAACCAAGGAAACTCAGGGCGTTGACGCTTTCGTCCGTTTGGAAGCGCAGGAAGCCCTAGGACCGTAACTGAGGTGGTCACTTGGGATGATTCCGCCGTTCGCTTCGCTGGCCGAAGTCTGCATTCGATTATATAGTATTCACCACGATCCTTTATATGATATGCTACGATCCCTGAAGGTTGCGCGCGCGGTGAAAAGATCGGGAGCCGCTGTGAGTCGCCGACAGACCAGATTTGAGGACAATTGTCTCCAAATCGGGAACAATAGAATCGCCGTCAGATTTCGTGACCAGCTGACGTGTTCTCTACGCCGTCTACGTCGAGGCTGGCGCGCGGGCCCTATGGGGAGTCAAGCCAGGGAAGACGAAGTGGAGGATGTTTCTTCCTCCGTGCGTCAGTGTAAGAAACTGTAGGGTCGTGGTGAAATCTACTGTCTTCCTGCTGTAAGGCTCAGTGGCTAACTTTGCAGGCTGGAGCTGAATAGATTGGCAAACCACGACCTCTCAACTCGTAAGCTCGCAATCGTCGTCTGTAGCCTACCGTATGAGATGTCGCTACTTACGTCCATGATCTAAGCCTTGTTGACGGGAGCTTGCGAGCTCATGTCAATCTCCTCCGCTAGGACATATCCCCAGAAGGAAGGTATTGTTTCCATTTGGCACCGCACGGGTCTAGAGTCCGGCCACGGCTTTCCTCTAACCGTCATCCTGACTGAAGGGCCCGCGGCGAGGCTTTTTTGGAGCTTGTACATCCCAACGAAGCAAGAAGCTCATCTCTACTACGAACCATGGCGACGTCTGGCATTGGCGTGTCGCAGGACCTCGCTGCGACGTTCTCTTCCGCGGTACAGGACAAGTCGACGCGTTTTCTGAAGGTTGTCATCCAGAATGGTGCGTCTATATACCTTTGAGCAGCGTGCACTCAATGATCACTCGCACGATTAGAGTCCTTGGTCCACGCTGCGTCGGTTCCGGTCGGCGGTCAGCTCGCGGACGATCTACCTAAGCTGCAGGAGCTACTCGAGGATGCTGAGCCTGCATACATCCTGGCAAAGCTCGATGCACCCTCCTCGGACTGGCTAGCCATTCACTACGTCCCAGATAATGCGAAAGTACGGGACAAGGTGCGCATCCCATTCCTCATGGCATCGACCGCAAGCTCACCGATCTCCTCATCTGCGGGCGTACTCAATGCCCTACACCGTCCTCTATCCTTCACAACAAATATGAATGCATACACTATCCCAGATGCTCTACGCCTCCACCCGCAACGCGCTAATGCGCGCCCTCGGCTCCGCCACCTTCACTGACAACATCTACGCGACGTCGAAAGACGATGTCACGCCCGAGGCGTACGCAGCGCACCTGCGACATCTGGCTGCGCCGAAGCCTCTGTCCGCACGCGAGAAGGAGATTGAGGACGTGAAGGCGGCGGAGCGGGAGGGTGGGATCAATCAGTATGAGGGTGCGAGGCGGAGGGTCACGGTGAGTGCGCCAGGATGGACGCGTACGGTGGTCGGACTCTGACAGTCATGATCGCCAGGATTTGGTGAACACGGGCGTGGGCTTCGAGTGGAACGATGATGCCGCGCAGGCGGTGAAGGAGCTCGGGGAGGCGGACGACTGCCGTGTCGTCGTCTTGGTGCGTCCATGTCGCTTGTCCATTACCAAACACTGATCAATGCGCAACAGACCGTAGAGATGCCTGCGGAGAAACTGGCTCTCCAATCGTCTCGGGAAACTACCATCCAGGACCTCGCATCGGTACTCCCCAAGACTGACCCTTGCTACGTCCTCTTCGCCTGGCCCCAATCGCACACCTCACCCCCTCGGCGAGAAATCAGTCAGCATATCCCTCTACCCCTTCATTGCCTTCAATCTGACACATAATCCAGTCTTCATCTACTCTTGCCCCTCCAGCTCGCCCATCAAGTACCGTATGCTCTGCGCATCAGGCGCTCTCATGATCCAGCGTGGCGCGCAGGCTATCCTCAACGACGCTGGCACGCAATCGCACATCGCGACCCGCAAGATCGAGACGTCGGATCCGAGCACCATCGACGAGGCGCTGCTGGTGTCCGAGCTGGATCTGGTGTCTACGAGGACTTCGAGCGACATTGTAGGCGCGACACCAAACCCGCCGCCCACTACGACGTTCGCGAAGCCGAGGGGGCCGCCGAGGCGTCCGAGGTGAGGGGAAGGAAGAAGAGGCACTCAACGGAGTATGATGAGCTTACGAACTGCAATATACACACCTATCGAGCCAAAGAAATGCGGATGGAAGTTCAGTATGGCCCAGGATGCCAAAAGTCCTCTGAATATATGACTGCTAGTAATACATACCCGATAATCGTGCTAATCGTCCCCAACCGGTACTTCCTCCTCCAAGTACTTGATGAGCCGTACCCTGATTTGCGTGTTCTCGTCGCCGCGCAGAACGTCCGAGACGAACTCTGCTGACACTTGCATCTGGACCTGGAAGGGGAATGCAGGTTGTGAGTGCGGCAGGAAGGCGAGGTATGCATCGGACGCACCATCTCCAACGCTCCTCGCAAGACACCACATAAAACGTTGCTGAACCATAGTCCCCCTTCTAGCGCATCGTCTGGTAGCTCGACGAACTCGGCCAGCGGGTTGTCGTCGAGGGTGAGAGTGAATGACGCGCCAGAGGTCGGTTGTGGTGTTCCTGTTGTGCTTGATGGCCTGCTGTTCGCTGCTGTCTGCCCCGGCACCGCATGCGCTATTGTAGGCGTGATATTCAAGAATGCCTTGAATCCGACCTGGGGACGCGCAGATGCATCAGCCGCAGCCCTCGACCAATTGCACCGATACACACCTTGGCCACCACCTCCCCCACATCGCGGAAGTCCGCACAGCGCCCAAGCCCGCTCTTCGCGAGAAAGTCCTCGATCAGGCGCGTCCCAATGTTGTACCCCATACGCTCCAACTGCTTGTTCACCTCCTGATAGTCCTCGTAGTCCTGCACCAGCTGCGCGACGAGCGCGCCGTAGGTCATCGCGAACAGCTCTGCATTCTCCGCGGGGCTTCAGCTTAGAGCACCATGAGGGGATGGGGGAGGGGAAGCGTACAATTTTCTCCGTGCGGGACTTCCAGAGGTCCTCGCCTATGGTCTTGTACTGCTTGCTGCTGGACATGGTGGTGGTGATGATGGTGGCGGGGGAGGAGAGGGGACGCGTCTGATCGGATGTGACGCGCCTTAGCTCGAGCGATCATGGCGCCCCCCGTCTTGCTCTCGAGGTGCGCGACATGTGTGGCTCACTGCGCCTCGTCTGACTCCTCGCTAGGTCACTGGACTGCGCACTGGGTGTCTTCACCGGTTTCTTCGCCTGGTATCTACACGAGACCCACCCGAGAACGGCGTTGCCCGAGGACCAGCGGCTGCTGAATCTCGTCAAGTGGAAGCTCGAGAAGAGTAGGCTTGCTCGTGAGGAGAGGAATAGGAAGTTGGAGCAGGAGATGGGGGACTTGTAGTAGGGTGCGTGTATGCTGCGCTTTCATCCGCTTGTCAACGCCCTTACCCTTCTGCAGCCAATGGGTGCCTACGTTTTTACACACCCTTCACTGTTGTTCGCATATGCGTTACAACTATATACGTCTTCATCTGATACGAAGGCTATGCTGCAGGCTTTACCGGCCAGCCCGCCGAGAACCTTTGCCCCGGCTCTGCCAAAGTATCACTCCGTGTACTGGACCTTCCATATGCATTGCAACGAAGAATACAACATTGCTTCCTTGTGTGCTAGCTCCACCCTTCCTTTCCGCTCCCTTAGATACTCCATCCTCCCCTCACTGCCCCCGCACCTTGAACTCGCACCCCGTCTTCGCCCGCACCTCATCCAGCGTCACCCCATCCTGAAGATCTACCAGCGTCAAGCCCCCATTCGCGCGGTCGACATCGAAGGCGCAGAGCTCGGTGATGATTTGGCTGACGGCGCGCGCGCCGGTGAGCGGCAGGGTGCACTCCTTGAGGATCTTGGGCGAGCCATCCTTCGCGGTGTGCTCGGTGAGGACGATGACCTGGGGGTAGCGTGAGCGGTGGGGTCAGCCATACGTCGGGCGCATCGAGATGTCCACGGAGTATACGCACCTTCGTCTTGTCAGGGTTCGAGACGAGGTCCATCGCGCCCCCGATGCCCTTGAGCATCTTGCCGGGGATCATGAAGTTGGCGATATCTCCCGCTGCGGATACTTGCAAAGCACCGAGGATGGAGACGTCGACGTGCCCGCCGCGAATCATGGCAAAGGATTCGCATGAGTCTATGCCTCACTCAGCCTCATCTTCACTTGCAGTTCCTCGTATGTACTCACCGAAGACCGAAGCACCAGGCAAGAGCGTCACCGTCTCCTTCCCTGCGTTGATTAGGTCTCTGCGTTGTCGTCAGCTTCGTCTTCCTATCTACCTTCACTCAAACCACTCACGGGTCCAACTCCTTCTCTGTCGGGTACGGCCCCATACCCAAAATCCCATTCTCGCTCTGCATCCACACCTTCACTCCCGGCTCCAGGTGCTCCGGCACCAGCGTCGGCATACCAATTCCCAGGTTGACGTAGAACCCGTCCTTGATCTCCTTCGCTGCGCGCTTCGCAATCTTATGTCGGTTGTCCAGCTTGAGGTCGATGGGTTTGGAAGAGGAGGAGGATGGGTCCTTCGCTAGAGTGACGTATTCGATTTCTTTGGGCGCGGTGGCACGAACAATGCGGTCGACGTAGATGCCAGGGAGATGTATGGCGTTGGGAGAGATGGCGCCAGCGGGGACGATGTTCTCGGCCTGGGGTAAGGGTTAGCGAGAGCTAGTGATGTCGTCTCAGCATGAGCTACCTCGACGATAGTCAGCTTTGCGTTCTTCGCCATGACGGAGCTGAAATTGTGTGCTGCATATCTGAACAGATCAACTCAGCCCCTTCCTCGCAGCAGTGTCGATGAACTTCACCTACCTGAACACACAGTTCCCAACCTCGTCCACCTTCCACGCACGCACGAACGCGACGTCGCCTGGAATGGCGGTCTCCAGGACGTATCGCCGGCCATTAATCTCGCGCGCCTCCTTCGGAATGCCCGGTATCTGCACGCCCTTCGACGCACCGCCAGGGTTGTAGCGCATGGGGATCATGCCGGTTTCGACTGCCGTGTTCGCACCCGTTGGCGTGTAGAAGGCGGGAATGCCGGCGGCGTGTGAGCGGATGCGCTCGGCCAGCGTGCCCTGTGGGACGAGCTCGAGCGATATCTCGCCCTTGAGGTACTTGGACTCGAAGGTCTTGTTGCTGCATGAGGGGGGGAAGTAGTTTCTTGTCAACTGGACGTCTCATGACAGGATGGAGGTGCGCACCCGCCGGGGTAGGAAGCGATGACCTTGCTCATCTGACCAGAGTCGAGGAGGAGACCTGGGGTAGTTGTAACACTGGTTTGGGGGATAGAACACGCGTCTGCGTACCCAGTCCGTGACCTGGCGCCCCAGCGTTGTTCGATACGCCGGTAACATCAGTAACCTCGCCACGCTTGACGAGCGCCTGCAGGAGGGTGTCTATACACTTGCTCAATGCCTGATCAGTGCAGAAGATAGCGTGTACACATACCTGGCAGACCAGCAAGCCCGAAGCCTTCGTGCGAGAGGATCGTAAGTATACGGCTTCGGGAGCGCTAATAATACGCACCGCCAACTAGCACGGTATCGCCCGACTTGACGTCCTTCACGGCGTCGTCTACCGAGTCCCAGGTCTTGCGCTTGTTGGGGACGGCCTCAACTCCTGCACTGTAGTGCCGTGCGAGCGCGTAGGACGTACGCCGAGCGACGCGAAGCGCGTAAGGTCGCCTGAGCGTGAGGGAGAGCATCGCAAGACCCAGAGAGCCGGCGAAGATGATAGTTCAGGACAAGATCGAGTCCCCTGTTAGTCTCCACCACGGTGAGTATGGGAGGAGAGGGCGGGAGACTTATATAAGAGGCTAAGAGGTGTATGGGATGAACGTCGATAACCTCGTGGGTCGCCACCGCGGGCGAGAGGACGCGCTCACGCGACTCGCGCGTGAGCGACGGCTCGGATCACAGTGGACCTACAACCGACGCCCGAGTAAATAGACCATGGTCGATGAGAAGATTGAAGACCTCAGGCCTCAGAGACGATGACGAGAGCAAGGACCGATGCATGTGTGGGGTATAGCTTGTACTGTCAGGTTTCTTGCTCTGCTTAGGTAGAGACAGCTGGGTCTTTGAGTTGAGTAGGCGGAGTTAGGAAATAACATCGGACATAAGCAGGCTTAGCCGCGCCGTCACTGTCGGCAGCACTGCTGCCGCGCCTGCCGTGTCTTTGCATGCTCACTCCCATGCGAGCATCGTCGCTGAGAAGACCACTCTGGCCATGATGAACGACGGGTGCTGCCCGCTGCACTTGCTACGTCGCTCGGAAGATCATGAAGCATCATGCAAATTCAGCAGTTTTTCCTGGCAATAAAGGGCGCGTCGTCCAGCTTGTGGTGTCCGACACTGCGCTCTACAGGACAAGACGTTTTCTGATATGTCTACCAAGACCACCATCCACATCAACGGCGTCACTGGTGAGCTTGCCATAGCCTTCGCCAGAACACGAAAGGACTCACAGAATTGCAAGGCTACATCGGTGGCACAGTCCTTGCTCGCCTCCTCGAGCATCCCAAGGCGACCTCGTTCCGCATCACCGCCCTGCTCCGCGACCCTGTCAAGGCAGAGAAGCTCAAGAGCTTTGGTGTTGAGCCCATTGTAGGCTCTCTCGACGACGTCGAAGTCATTGAGAAGGCAGCGAGTGATGCGGACATCGTGATCGCAACTGTGAGTTCTTGCTACAAAGCTTAGCTCGCGGCATTGACGAGAGCTTCCTAGGCCGACTGCGACCATCAGCCATCTTGCCACGCCATCCTGCGTGGTCTAAAGAAGCGCTTTGAGGCGACAGGCAAGCGCTCTGCCTTCATCAACACGGTCAGTGTAACAGCTTTGGGTTTCCCTCATCTAACGCACTTGATCTAGTCCGGCACCGGCGCCCTCTCCGACAACGCGCAGGGCATGTTCGCCAGCGACGTCATCTACGACGACGCCAACCCCACCCAGCTCGAAGCCCTCCCCCTCACCAACATGCACCGCGCCGTCGACACCGCCATCATCGCCGTCGACGCCGCCGGCTACATTTCCTCCTACCTCGTCCTCCCCTCCACGATCTGGGGATGGGCCGACCACGCGCTCGTCCGCGCGGGCATCGCGAACCACCGCTCGCTGCAGATGCCCATCGTGATCAGCGCGTCGCTGCTGAGGGGCCACCCGGGCGTGTGGGGCAAGGGCGCGTCGGTGTGGCCGTGCGTTGAGATTGGGGAGCTAGGGGAGCTGTATGTGCTGCTGCTGGATGCGGTGCTGGAGGACCCATCGAAGGTGCCTCATGGAAAGGAGGGTTACTTCTTTGGTGCGGCAGACGAGTTTACGTGGTATGAGGCGAGCCGGGTGGTGGGGGAGGCGATGGTGAAGCTGGGGAAGGCGAAGGATGCTGAGCCGACGTCTTTCACGAAGGAGGAAATAGAGAAGTACCTGAGCGTGAGTGTCTTTTTGTCTGGTGAAAGCCTGTGCATGCTCACGGCAACACGCAGGGCTACGACTTGAGCTCCAATGCCCGCTGCAAGGCGACGCACTCGTGTGCACTGGGCTGGCAACCCAAGAAGATGAAGGCGGACTTCTTGGCCAGTCTTCACCGGGAGGTGGAAGGGTGCATCGAGAAGCCGTTCCCGCTGAAGAGCCGAGTCCTCTAGAGTAGAGATGAAGTGAAGTGTGTCTTGCGAAAAATACATCGCTGATATCGGATGTATCACTCTTGTCCGCGAGTTGTAGGGTGGCCACGACACTGTGTTGAACTCCTTTCTCTGCTCCCTGCGCAATTCAACAACTTAATACCTCGGTCCCATGTAAAGTACTTGACTCACATTGATTCTTACAACGGTAGAATTCGATTCTCATCTAAAGACACAATGTCAGACGATCCCTTCTGCATTAGTAACCCATGGAGCGCAAGCGCGCATCCGATGGGTAACGGTCAGCTAGTGACAAGCGAGGTACTTACCTCCATCGATATAAGATGGGTCGTCGAACAGGAGCGCCTGCAAGTCCGCTAACCACCAGAAAACGGAAGAAAAGATGTCAGCGAAAACCACTATTCACATCAACGGCGTCACCGGTAGGTGAGCCATGATTGGCCACAATATCGGGGAGCTGACAATAGCCAGGCTACATCGGTGGCACGGTCCTCGCTCGCCTGCTCGAGCACCCCAAGCGGTCTACGTTCCGCATCACTGCCCTTCTTCGCGATGCCAAGAAGGCAGAAAAGCTGAGATCGGACTTCGGCGTCGAGCCCATCGTAGGCAGCCTCGATGATGTCGATCTCATCGAGAGGGCGGCGAGCGAGGCAGACATCATCATCCCAACCGTGTGTGTTTGTCCTACTTTTGCCTTGACCGGGAGATGACCAGGATTAACAGGCCGACTGCGATCATGAGCCGTCGTGCAATGCCATCCTGCGCGGCGCTAAAAAGCGGTTCGAGGCGACTGGCAAGCGTCCTGCTATCATAAACACAGTTAGTATCTGAACACAAAGGGCAAGCAAATCAGGAAACTTACAAGCCATTGCAGTCTGGCACCAGCGCCATCGCCGTCGACACCAACGGCCTCCAAGCCAGCGAAACCATCTACGACGACGCCAACGCCGAGCAAATGGCCTCCCTCCCCATCACTAACCTCCACCGCGTCGTCGACACCACCCTCATTGCCGCCGACGCCGAGGGCGGCTACACCTACACCTACATCCTCATGCCCGCGACGATCTGGGGCCACGCCGACCACGCCCTCACCCGCGCGGGCATCGCGAACTACCGCTCGATCCAGATGCCGAACGTCATCGCGGGCTCGCTCCTGAGGGGCCGCCCGGGCGTGTGGGGGAAGGGCGCGGGCATCTGGACGAGTGTGGAGATTGGGGAGCTGGGCGATTTGTACATGTTGCTGGTGGATGCGGTGCTCAGGGATCCGGCGGGGATTCCGCATGGAAGGGAGGGGTACTATTTTGGCGCGACGGAGGAGCATTCGTGGTATGAGGCGAGTCGGGCGATCGGGGAGGCGATGGTGGCGCTCGGGAAGACTGACAATCCCGAGCCGACGTCTTTTACGGACGAGGAGATCGCCAAGTGGTACAAGGTGAGTATCCGATCGTTGGTTTTGCGTGGATGGCTGCTGAATACTGCTCGCAGGGATACGACCTGTGCTCGAATGCACGTGCTAGGCCGACACATGCTACTGCTCTTGGGTGGAAGCCAAAGCAGAAGAAAGCTGAGTTCCTAGCGAGCCTGCGACGTGAAGTAGAGGGATGCATCGAGAAGCCGTTCCCTCTCAAGCCCATCAGACCGTAATTGAACACTTAACATGTAAAATGTAGCATTGATATGCGAATGTATCGCAGAATGTCTGGCACTGTGATCGCGTGGATGAGCCGCGCTTTTGACAGAGTGTCACGAACATGAGCGAAAGGAAAACAGCGACTCAGAATGTCGGCTTCCGTTTTCTGCCCGTAAACTTCGAGTCCCGGGGTACGCTCTCCTTCCCCCGTTTCCTGTAAAGCTATACGCAAGTCGTAAGCCACCTTGATTGCTGCAGCAGCGGAAGCACGCACCTCCTTCTTCCTCAGAATCCAGTCCTTATCCTTCACGCTTTTCCTCTTCCCCTTCGACTCAATGCGCCGCTTCTCGCGCTCTCTCCTTCGCTCAAACTGCACTCGAGCCTCGGCGTCCGCGCCCTCCTCGCCCGTCAGGCCTTGCGGCACTTGTTGTAGCCCATTCCCCCCAACGTAGAGCACGAGGAAGACCTTCTTCGCCTTATTTGAGTTCGGGTAGTCGACGACGATACCTCCCCCGAAACCGGCGCGCATCGCAATGGACGTGATCAGCTGGATCTGGTCGTCGGATGAGGGGTAGAACTGGAGGACGGCGCGAGAGGGATTGCGCAGGGCGGAGTGGAGGGTGGTAAAGAAGCGGGTGAGGCGGTGAGGAGGGGATGATGTGGGGTGGGAGGTCTCGGCGTTCAGGAGCCATTGGAGGACGGAGATGCTGGGGGCGATCGGTGAGCGCGGAAGACTGGATATTGGAAGGAGAGGACGTACCTGATAGCCCCGTCGAAGCTACCTGGCCTGAAGCCAAAGCCCTGACCAATGTCTTGCAAGAATAAGTCCCCTTCTACTTCTCGTTCGAGAGCGATCTCTGAGGGAACTGTGAGACGATGGAATTCTTCTCCACGGCGTACTACGCACCCAACATGCTCGGTGCGATGTCAACACCAGCCCATATGTGCCCCTCTTCGTCCAAAATCTCGCCAGATAGTCCAGATCCGCAGCCAATGTCGAGAAGGAAACAAGTTTCGCCGGGTGGTAGCTGCAGCAACTCCAGTGCACGATAGGTCATGTCGGCCTGAATTTGCTGATTGCGAGTGCTACATGGTCAGCAATTAGAATCTTGGGTATATATATATTGGAGAGAGCATCGAAACTAGAGTATTATGGATTGCGACGTGTCTTCAATGTGCTGCATCGCATTCGGGAAGGGGGGAAAGGGTGATCGCGCGGGGAGGTACGTACTTTCCGGTGTATTTTGACGCTTCAACATCTCCATAGTACTATATACTTCACATTAGCAAATAATAAGGTGGTCTCCTGCCGATGACATACGATTTCCGGGGGTGCTTGCAGCTCCGGGCGCGACATGGTGAGGGGGAGAAAACAAGAACAATGGTCCCGATCATGATTGAAGGGCACTTTGATCTTAAGTTATCTCGGTAAGCCCCTGTGGGTCCAGCCCGACTGAGGCTTGGCGCGTCGCGCTGCCATTCTGCTGCAGCCAGCAAGCGGCTGACCCTTGGTCTTACTACAGGCTTACTCTCCCAGTCCTTTGTCTGTCATACATCCAAAAGAACAGAAAGCAGTTTCCGAGAAACCTGGAGAACATATAATCTACCTACTCACAAGACATCTGCCGTACTACGATACCACAATCTACTGTACCTACACGCGCAGTGGCTATGGCTCGGAACACAGCAGGACGTACTAGGAAGTGACACAGACCATAAGCTCACCAGAGACAAAGTCCATCCGCCGTTGAGGGCAGTGAGGGGCAAGAGAAGACGAACTCGCCAACCGCGAGACGGCCCGTGAATAAAGACCGGGAATGCTCGCAGTGGTGGAGCGCGCCGGCCCACTAGATCAGGCCATAAGCGCGAGGGGCGAGCGCCATCTCTCGTTGCTCAGCGTACTGCCTGCGGACGAAGAGGATGGAGTCCTGCATTTTTATGAGTATATTTGCGGGAAAAGGAAGCACTATAGACGCACGACGACTCGGCCCCCCAACTCGTCAAGTTGACGGACATCGAGACCGACCATAGCAGCGTCAATCTCTGCGATCCGCGCCGCTAAGAAATTCGCTTGCTCGGCCAGGGACATCGACCGTTGACGCTCCGCCCGCGTCTCCGGGTAGGCAATGCAGGGAAAGGAGAGAGGGAAAGGGAATGAAAGGCCGAGACTCGCTAGGTATCTCGGGCTCGTAATCTGCGAAGTTGATCATCAGCGCCAACCATGGTTTAGCTCATCGGGTCGAGCTATGCATCAGGACACGCACAATGTCCATGATCGACACGTACTCGGTCTCGGAATCCTGCGGGGGATGTGATGGGCCTCCGGGAGCTCGTTAAGACGGACGAGGCACGCACGTTATCATAGTCATAGTCCTCCGCCTGGGCCGTCGGCTTGAAGGGGCGGCGGTACGGATGCGTGCGGTACCGTCCATATAGCGCATGCTTATACGAGGGGAGGCGGGCGGCCGAGACGATACGCGGTGTCTGTGCTCTGCCATGACGACCGCCTAGTGCAGGGAAATTACTAGCGGTCGTGACGGGCTGAGCTGGCAGAGCAAGTGGCCACGTAATCGACTCTGCCGCCTCGTCGTACGGTGGCGGATTTGGGAACGGTGAAGCGTCGTCCGGTTCGTCTTGCATGGCACGGTGCCGCGGGTGCCAGAGAGGAGAATCGGGGCGAAGGAAGAAGAAACCCGTTCGAGGGCATTAGAGGCAGCTTTGGCCCTTTAAAAAGCGCTGGGAACGTGGAAACCGAGCGTTGGGCGTGCTGCAGCGCAGGATCAGAGGGGAAGTTACACGCTCGGCCTGAGCTCGGCAGACTGCGAAGAGAGGAAGCCGAAATTGCACTAGTTCATTGATGGACCTAAACATACCTCCACCAATTACTTGCCACTCGAAAGCCTCTCCAGAGCCACCTTGCTTCTCAGCTGCACTCAGAAGGGATGCCAATCGAGCGATGAGATACATTGCGAAGGCTCCGAGGACGGATACTTGCATTGCATGTCTTTCGCGCAACGTCCAGGTCCCACGACCAGATGACGCTAGGTCATCTGAGGGTAGAAGAGACGGTGAGTATAGACAGCATCAGACGGTAGGAAATTTAGGCTCACCTCCTTGACATGGCAGGATGATCCTCCAGTCGACAAACGTGGCGAACACCAGACGGCGTCATCATAATCAGTGGGACAGCCACCAAAGCCATCCCTCATACCGCGCTCTCTACGCCTTAAACCTTCACCAGTACCTCCCCGAGACGTCCATGGCGACAACACCTCTTCGCTACGCGCTAGGATCAAGTTGACCCAGATACGCGACATGAAGCACGTGATCCGATGACCTGGCGCGTTGAAGCGGGACTCGATTGCTATCTTGAGGAGCCGTAATCAAGCTAGAACGCGCTGTAGCTTTCTTCGCCTTGAACTCGACATACATCTTCGTTCAGGACTCGAAGATTACAGAGCAAGAACCGACGACCTTCAAAGAACGATTCGGCAGGAGAGAATGGTGGTCGACGACTCAGGAGATGGATTTACGGCGATCAAAGTTGCAGATCAACGCCTCTACAAGGACGGGCAGATACTACGAGGAATAGAATCAGGACCAAAGTCAACGTGAAGAGAATATAACGGCACGCACCACCAATGGACGGAGCTCCCGATCTCGTGATGAGGTCGGCATCCAATCCTCTTCGCTTGTACCCTTGCAGTTGCTCATACCAGCTGTAGATGAGGCGAGTTTGAAGAGATCTTATGCACCATACGACGCGTCGACATGGGATCATGGGCCTACCAGAGGACTTCTGTCTGCAAGCAGCGCGTGTGCGCTGAACGTATTGCCGTTTTCTTCGCCCGTTCGGCAACTGCGTGGCAAGTCGGATGCGTGTTGCGACAATATAGAGACGAATGCTACACCAAGATTGAGCAGCGTATGGCTCCGGCGAAGCTGGTCAAAGTCGCCACTCAAGGGTCTTGCCTTCGGTCGTCCGCGGAGATCGGGGTTTCCGTCGGGAGGGCCAGCCAAGCCATTGGAGGTCAGCATACGCAAGCAAACAAGACGAGAGAGGTTCAAGTATGAAAGAACATGACGGACGAAAGCAAGCCTGGTGTATAGAATTGCATCCGCGGCCGGGGTCTGAGGCAAAGCCCCGATCCTTCGCCCGATTCGTTCGTTCTTGGAATTCCATCAGCATCATGGCATCCGGACACCCCGCTCGCTCGATCGTGCAGAAGCTTCTCCAGCTTCACCTTCACCGGGGCCTTTGGCTGAATTTATTTATTGGAGGAAGACGACCTAGCTGACTTCGACTTTTCCTCCGGACTCAAGGTCTTTCGCGACACCCAAGGCCGACTGTCACTGTTGTTCCGACGGCCGTTCAGCAAGCGATATAGTATCCTCGGTGCGCCGCCCGTGGCTCTAGATTGACCTGCACTTACTCACAAAGCATAACGATATTGTCGACGCCGCTCCAGAGGTTGGCGAAGCCCACTCGCGGTCCAACCTGCTCGACAAGTTGCTTCCGTCCATGGCCTTCCTTTTCCAGAACCGTCATGGTCAAAATTCGAAGCGAGGGCGTTCGCCGCCCGAGCCCCCCAAAACGCCCAACCCGTCCGCAGAGGACGTACCACACCTCATAACCAAGTCCCCAGCTACCAACAGGGTCGTCAAACGTGGCCGTGAACATGACACGCCGCGCATCACCGTTCCGACACGGTCCCCTAGCCCACCGGCCCCGCAGCCTCGGACACCGAGACTTCAAGCGACAACCTTCCAGCTACCCCCAGCGCACATAGCCCTCTCCGGAGCGTTGCCCCCAGTGGCTGCCCCGTCGAGAACACCCATGCCCACCAGCGAGACGATTGACGACGCCGAAAAGCTGCGTCGTCTCCTCGCCAAGGCGGCTTCCCTGGCGAAGACCGTCCCGCCGTCCTTCAACACGGCCACATATGTCAACCAACTCGCCAAATGGAGTGGGATCCCCCTGGAGGTCCCGACCATAGCACCAACGCCCGTCTCCGTCACGCACCCGCCCGTGGCGCCACCCACGCACACGCCGCCTGCTCCGGTCGCCCCGGACTCCCATGCTCCCGAGGAGCCCTCACGATCGTATGCAGCCACTGTACAGTCGCGAATGACGCGACCACCCCCGCCACCTCATCCGGTACGCCCCGAGAAACCTCGTGTTCACCCGAACGCCCCGCCCGCACGCACACTGGACACCCCTCGGCGCCGTCCCACCCGCCGCCTTCTTCTGATCCCTGACCAGCCACTACACCATCCCGATGTCACGAAGCGCCCCCACCCCCAGACCATCCTCGATGCCATCAACAAACCGGCCATTGTTGCTGCTGGTGATGCTCTCACTGCAGCCAGCTATACTCGGGGAGGTACACTCGCACTTCACACCCAGTCCCCCGCATCGGCGTCACGAATCCTCGCGAGGTACTCGATGAACATCATGCGGTCCCTCAGCAAGCTTTTCCACTTCGACCCCACAAAGTCGGAACTGCTGCTGGACACCAAATGGGAGAAGGTAGTCATTCAACAAGTGCCCCTTCCGCCGCAGAGCTACTGGCCGACGTACACCGAGGGTGACCCGAACGGGGAATTCTCTCGGGCCGTCTCGGGATGGTTGGAGGACATCACGAAGAAGGTAAACAAGGCGGGTTCCCGACAGGGACTGAGGCAGCTCATGCCTCTAGTCCGGGACCGCACCAACGGTGTGCTGCACGCGGCAGCAGACACGGCTCAGCATGGTTGTCTTAGGACCATCTCGTTCGTGGCTGCTTTCTCGGAGGAGGGCACAGCCAACTCTCTCCTTCGAAATGGCATATGTCTCGTAGGTGCTCATTGTCGTGTTGCTCAATACCGTCCCCGATATCCGTAGCGTAGCCAGCCCGTCACACCACCAAGTCACCCCCTATGTTACCTGCTACTCCACCATTCAGCTCAACCACAGTATCGCGACGGACGTCGGCACGGGCAGCAGTCCCCAGGCCTTGTTTACGTTACCCTTCTACTCTTAGTGGCGTGTTATGTATGGGTTCTCGTACGTTACTCGAACGCCACCGCGTCTTAGCTCTTACTTAGCTTGTTGCGGTATATAAATGCAGAGTTCAAAAAAAAAAAAAAAAAAAAAAAAAAAAGTTGCTTCCGTCTGCCTCCGCCTTGGGCCGTCGCACGACGTACAGTACCACGCAACCCTACGTTGTTGCTCCCATATTGTAGCCCGCGCTCAAGCCGCTGCATGGTCTATCCTCACTTCGTCTCGTCTGTAAAGCGCCGCACGTTTTCTTGCGGGCGAAAGGGCACCTCAAGCGCACGTCAACTATTCGCAGCATGGTCACCGAGGATTCTCAAGCTCCCTTCAACGACTCCGCTCCTATATACGAGTTATCCCTCTTCTACAACGGTATGCCCCATCCCCACATCGGACACGTAAACTTCCCCGCCAACCCCCTCATGCAATCTTCGACCTTCTTTGACACCCTATCATGAATCCCCGTCCTCATTCCTGCTCGTCGGACATCACTCGTTATCCAGGATCTATATTCCACACATCTATACATGTCCTATCTCATATCATTTGGCAAAGGGCCTGCACCTTTTGAAGCTCCTGAGCTATCATCCGCGTCAGCGGGGTGACTATACAAGCAAACCGACGGCGACCTACTCATGAGCGGACAATCCAACGCTATCAAGGCCATTACGGCGCACGCCTTCTTCAAGCATGCACTTACGTCCTCTTCCTCGCGGGGAGGGCCGCTGTGGGCGCTGCGAAGCTTCGACGAGAACGGCCGCACGCTCCGCGCTCGGTGGGATGCCGTTATGAGAGCGTCTGCAACAACGGACCACAAGCTCTGCAGCAAGCAGGTCAATAGAGACGCATAACTATCGGAATAGTCATATCAATACGCACCGCGAAGATGGGGTTGAAGTGTACGAGGTTCGCCATTGGCATGGAGACATACAGATTCACGACCGCCTCCGCGGACGCCACGTAGCGGGCCCAGGAAGTGGATTCGTGCTCGAGGAAGACTTCGTTCAGCTTGATGACCGCGACGTGCACGAGCGTGTGGATGAGCAAAAGTATCCGCGCTACCTGGGAGCCGTGCGGCGGGTATCCGGGAAGGGCCAGTATGCTCCTGAATGCTTCGAGTAGATTATTATGTGCCCTGAAGGCTGCGAAAAAGGCCTCGGAGTCGCGATTCGGCAAGCCTGTAATAGTTTGAGCACTCCAATAATGCAATATAATATCTTCGTCTACGTACCTGGGCGATATTGTCGTGCCAGAATAACGGACGTTTCGTATAGAAAGACCGCCTGGGCGCGAAGACCCCGAAGTGATGCAGTATTAGAGTGTGTTTTGGCAAGGACCGCGGACGGAAATTGCAGCAGAGTTTGGGGCTGAGAGATATGAGCAATTGGCGCGCCGACGGACGAAGAAGCTGACTCACTGCGTCTGGAATAGAAATTTGACCTGGCCATGGCGTCTCGATTTGCGAGATATTGTCCGCGCCGATGCAGGATGTGTACCCGAAATGCGAAGACCAGCAAGCGGTCAAACCGTACACCTCCCAGAAGGCATTGATGTGGTCGGCTATGTCTGCCGAGGGCGCGGTGGCAGCGCCGCCGCTCACCCGTGTCGCTTTGTGCAGTCGGGCGCCCATGGCCAGCGCGCCTGCCGCACCGGCATGAACCTGGCCCTCCAGCGGACGCCCCTTGCGAAAGAAGTAGGTGCTCAGCAGGACCTCCGTCTGTATGGTGTGGACAACGCAGAGAGGATGATCCTGACCCAAAGCAGTGGCGAGTTGCTGAAGAGTCTCTGCGAGGTAAGTCGCCTCATGGCACGCCAAATCGCCAGCGTCGCTCAGGTGCGCGCCCCATAGGCAAGCCGCTGCTATCAATGCACGGGAATATTGCACCACAGGCCCGTTTGAAGGATTGAAGGAACAACGGAAGAGCTCCTTGTTGAGAAAGAAGCCGAACTCTTCAGCCCATGGCAGGAACTCATCGACTCTGACAGATCCGTTAGTGGCGACGAGTACATGCAAAGAGCAAGGCGCGTACAGCTGAAGAAGAGTCGGAGGGAATGTTTCTTGCGCATGCGAACTTGGAGCGACGAGCAAGATGCCAGTGGTTGCCTGCGGTGCCTCCAACCCATCACGTTTCCGCGCGTCGGCGGGCATACCAGACGTCGGCTCCCCAGGAATGCTTGTGTCATACGGGGGGATGAGGTGAGACCAGCTTTCACTGGGCCTCAACCGTCGCTCGCACGATGGGCTCTGACCGTTGCATGCCTGGTACAATTTCAGGTGATGAGCTCCGACCACAAGATGTGAACATACCCTTTTGCTCTGTCTGATGTCATGGGAGTAAGTCAGCAGCCCAATACTCGGTAGGATGCATGTACGCACCTGCAAGCGTCGCAGACCTGGGATACATTAGAGCGCTGGCGCGAGGAAGACCCTCGGGACACGTCAAACCTGCTCATAGCCCAAGTTGCGCTGGGGATGGTGGCGAGCAGAAAGAGCGCCCAGGGCAATAGTCAAGTACGTATGTATGCAACATACTGGCCCAGGGTCGAGCAAGAACCGAGGTAATCACCGTGCATGGGTGCAATGAAGGGATCCGCAGAGCCAATCTGTCAGCGATCTGTACCACGTGTACTCTGCTTCCGCTGTAATCTGCGAGGGCATCTCCATTTGGAAAACAATTCCAAGTTCCCGAATCAGACGAAGGACGCTGACATGCTGTGAGCCACAAGCCAGGATCTTCCCTCAAAATCACCCGCCACAGCGCCTTCGATGTAATAGTGAGATGGTATTGGGAAAATATCCAGTGAAATGATATGATAATGGTTGCCAACTCAGCATTGCAGACTTCCGAGATGCGTCCTTCACCTATGCGCGTTGGCATTCGCCAGTATTCGCTCAATCTCCCCGCGTATCTCAGCCAAGTTCGCCTTCAGCGTCTTCACGTCCTCGAACTTCCGATGCGCCTTCGCCTCCTCGACGAAGGATTCGATGAGCGCCTCTTGCTCGAGAAGGGGCTGCAGGGCACGCGCGACGTCTGAGTCGGGATCAACCTTGGAAGGTGGTTCGGGTGGTGGGGAGGATGTCGCAGAAGACGAGGCCTTCTTGTGTTGCTTGGGTCGAGGGAGGGACTGCGGAGCGTTAGCGCTGACCGTCATGGTATACTTCACATTGTAACTCACCTGCAGAGGGAACATGTTCTTCTGCAAGAACGCACTCGCGCGATTCAGGATCGCAGCTTGCACTCGGTCCTGCGAACTGCCCGGCCCACCCGGACAAGGCAGCTTTCGTATTCGCTTGGCCAGAGCGTCGTACTGGGCGAACGCCTCTAGCAGCCGCTTGCGAGCTATGGATGCCTCCTTCGTCGGCTGATCGTCATGACTATATTCGAGGTCAGCGATGGATTGTGGCTGAAAGCAGTACAGGACGAACCTCAACGTGAGCAAGAGCTCCTGGAACTGAGGCAAATATTCCTCAATTTCGTGCTCTAATTGCAGGAACGCCTGCAGGGCAGCGTCAGCTAGTGCGCACACGTCTCGAGCCTGACGCACCTCATAGAGCTTGACGAAGGGAGGTACATCGTGCCTCTCTTGCTCATATTGTTGTCGCCTGCACATTGTCAGCGCCGGCACAATTGGGTCGTGGGAGGGTGCAACTCACAGCAGTATAGGCCGACAATCCCTACATATCCGCACGCCCTTCAGGAACTTCTCCTCGTCATCAGTAACCGGCGAACTCGCCCCATTCTTCGTCGGGGTAGTTGGCGCCATCGATACCCGTCGCTTCCGCACACCGTAGTCGACGCCCTCCTCGACCTCTTCGATATGTCGAGTGACGCGGTCCACGACGAAGAGGGAAGAGCATACGACGGGGCGCTGAGGGCGCTTGATGGGTAATCTGCAGATGATCTTGCCACATAGACGACAGTGATGTTTGCGGTTGGTGAGGGGATGGAAGGAGGCGCTATATTCGGGATTAGTGGATAGTGCATGATCTGCAAGTGGTACACGTACCCGCAGCATGGACATTTGGTGACGGAAGCATCGTCCTCCCATGGTGCTATACGTTGCTCGGCCGCTGCAATGAGAGGTCAATAACGGGAACGTCCATTGTTTCATGAGACGCACCTCGAATGTTATCTTTCTGGCTCTGTCTACTCTCCAGTACGCCGCGCAGCAGCTCCGAAGACGCATCACTGAAGCTCATAGACCGGAAGTCCATGTCAAACAACGATGAGCGTCTCCGCAGGTTCGCCGGTGCTTTCAAGGACGCCTTCTCGTCCTGAGCAGCACCTAGCGGAGGAAAATGCAACGCGATGAGCTTCTCCAGCCGTCGCTCCAGCTTCGTCCGCTCGATCCGTTTGTGCGATTCTTGACCGGGCACCGACGGATTGCCATCGTGCGCTATCTTGCGATGGGCCAGGAACTCGTCGGTGCGTGGTCGGTATACGCCTTTGGGCTGGAAACCTGGGCGATATGGCGCGGCGCGCGTTGGGGGAAGGGGCTTGTTGATCGACTGGGGGGTAGATGCGCGTGATGCTCCGGGGGATGCTAAGCGTGGAGAGGTCGGCACGGAGAGGGATAATGCCGGGTGTTGCGGGGACGTCGGCGCACGTAATGGGGTGGGGGACGACGCTGCGGATGTGGGTCGTGCCTCCTCGGGGAGCGTCGAGACCGAGAGGGATGGCGAAGTCGTGGGCAGCGCCGGCGTATGCGCCGATGCGGGGGACAACGTCGTCTTCCTCTTGTCTGCCGATGACTGCGCCAGGTGGAATGACGACGTGCGCGTCTGCGGCTCGGATATCGTGCCCGAGCTGGGCGAGCGCGCCCCGTTCTCCGACGCGATGCGCAAGCTATGGCGCGAGTTGGGATTGAGAGGCGACGGGCGCGCGGGCTTGAGGGGTATATGCCGGAAGGTGGACGCCGACTTCCGCTGCGGTCCCGTAGGGCGCGCAACGTCCGTTGCGTTAGGCGGCAGTGCGGACGTGCTCGCCGTCGGGCTGGTGATCGTGCCGTTGGTCGTTGGGGAGGTGGCCGAGCTTGTCGAGGCCTCGCCCGTCGAGGACACCGACTTCACGTCGTCATCGTGAGAGTGGGCGGAATCTGGCGGTGACGGCAGGCCGTTTGACGCTGGTGGAGGGGGATCGAGCTTGATGGTAGGCGCTGGGGATAGGGACTCTTCTCTCCTCTTTCCTCGAGCGACGTCCGTGTCGACATAGCTCACTGGAGACGTCGCCGAGGCTGGCGGCGTCGGTGTCCCTGATTGCGAGCCAAAGCTGTGATTTCGGGAGTGCCGTTTGGACTGGATATAGTTCAGGCTTTGTCAGATCCATGGTCACTTCGGGACTCGCCTTGTATGCCTGGTAAGGGACGTATGAAGCCGAGTCCATAGATGAAGGCTGCCGGCGACCGTGCTGCACAGTGAGCGCCAGTCGGAGACACGCCGAAGACGTATCCGCGCCTAACCGGTACTCGGCCCGACATCTCACGCGTTTCTCACGTGCTGAAGTGTGGGTCCGCGTTGGGCATGGTTGAACTTGCTCGTTCGCTCAGGCTTGCGGGTTTCTGATGCCTGAAGTACCTGGCTCAAGCAAAAGATGAGCTCACTTGTCCACCCAGCATATATGATGCGACCGTGTCGTCAGATGTAGGTCTGATAAGCGAGGAATAGCAACGTCCGAATACAAGCAAAGCGGAAGACGTAATTCCGCCGCACCCTCGAACGCAAAAAGCCAGCTACAAAGAGGTTTCAGGGTAGGGAAATTGAAGATGCATGACGACTGTAGGAAAAATAATCTCGAAGCACTGATACTACCGTGCCGTCTGCACAGTTACAGTACATATGTACCTGGCATAAAATGCTCTGTAAATCATACTCGCGGCATGGGATAAAGTGGCATTTTCTGTACGTTGAAGAAACAATCAGTGCGTAATAAGGAGCGTCTCGCCAGGGAAGAGGTTAAGGAAGTGCATTTGCCCTTTCGCGGCGGAGGTTTCATCGAGAGAGCAGGATAACGATGCTTAAGAAAGGATTCTTCACTACGACAGCGCAAATCTTGCTCGGAGAGGTTTGTCCTTCAGAAAGGCCACTGATTCATGAGTGGCAAATATGCACAAACGAAGATGCCATAGCGCGAAGACGTGTTCAAAAAGGGGATGAAAGGTGTTCGTGTTGATTTCGTGTCGAACCGGTGTAAGAAAATGCGGCGAGGTTTTACTCTTGTAAGAACCGAGAGGACCCAGAAGCTACGCCAGACGTAAGTCCGCGAGATGTTCGGCATGTTGGAGGGAGGTGTCGGCCGATAGAAAAATATGGTATGGGCGTGACGGCGAGAGGGATGAAGGTAGGGCCTGATTGGTAGATTTCGTTGATTCTCAACGGCGTCAGAGCGAAGACCGCCTTTGACCAGTAAAAGGAGGGTAATGACAAGGGCTGGTGCCTTTCGGCCACATCCATGAAGAAAGACTGCAATTTGAATGCCGTCAGACATCGATTTGAGTCAGCGAAGCATCATAAACGCGTATCACTGGAAAAGGGGACGATAGGCATGGGAAAAAAAGCTAGAGCGTAACAAACCTCGAGTAGTTTTGTATTCTCGGGCGCGGAAGTCAACGGAGACGTGAGGAATTTTGGACCCTCCGTTCATTGCAGAGAACGGCGCAAAAAGGGAGGCTAAATTGCGCTGACCCTTTGGCGAATAGCTCGGCCTTGATTTTAGTAGAAGGGCGAGTGAAGGTGAGATTGTGACCTCGACGCGACGTGTAGATCTTCGAGGGTTTGTTTATAAGAAGCCCCTAAGAACGGTTAGCAGTGATATGTAGGCAGTTAATTACCGTACCTGCTACCTACATTGGGATGCTCGTTTAACGCTCAGAAACCCAGATGGCAGGCGGGAATGTCGGCACCATCACTTCAAGTGGACAACGTAGTCGAATTGCTCATTGTCCCGGTGCACGGATTTCTTCGTACAGCGGCATCGCAGAGCATCCCAGCCCCGTGGGTCCTGGGAATTTTGAGCCCAGGACTGTCATTTTTCTGCCCTTATGCGAGGCGAGAGAGCGGCAGCATGATCCTACAAAACGGCGGATGTAAAAGACAGGAAAGGCAACTGATCAGATTACTGACCGGAGTCTGATTCCGAAGGCCGGACGAAATGTGGCGTGGCGACGCTTGACTTTGAGCACGCTCTCCCAAGGCCGTCCGGAGTTTTGAGGCCTTCGTCGCTATGAGACAGGAAAATAAGGTTGCGCAAGAGAAAATATCTGAGAGCACCAGGACGATGGTGCGAGACAGAGGCGACATAGGGGGGCACTGTGGGCGCCTCGGCAATCTGATCAAAAATGGTAATTTTGCGGGGTCTTGGGGGTTTCCGTTCGGCGGTCCCATGTGAGGTGGGGACCTCAATCAGCATCGAGACCCTTGACTCAAACCCTGAACCGCTCATCCACTCACCCACTTGCTCACTCACCTCCCTCAATGCTCGACGGTTGCTCAGTCGCGCGTACGCAGGATCGCACGAACTGCACGGTAGCCCGCCCGCTCATTCCTCGGCACGCTTGTCGTTCGACCTGGACGGATAACGTCTTGCGATACCCAGACCCAGCAAGGATGTGATCAGCGTCGCTCGCATTGAGTCCAAGTCATCCAGGCAGCTTATGCTCACCATGGATAGGAGGCCCGGGGTTCGCCAGCGCCAGGGACGTCGCTTAGGCGTCTTCGACCGCGCGACGATAGGAAGCTCGCCTTCGTATACCGACGCGAAAACTCGAGCAACCAGAGGCGACAATGCGCGCGAAGAGCTTCTCCCAGCAATTCGAAGTATGAAGGGGTGACAGAGGGAGTGGGAAGAGGAGATTCGCGCGAAGCGAACACGACGCCAGGTGCGTATCCATGCTCAACTCAGTCCCTTGAGCACTGCTTGCTGCCTGCTGCCTCGCGCTGTATCTCTTGCAGAGCTGCCGCGCCCAGTGAAGTCTTGAGGACATCTCGCATATGTCACTTTCCGCTCTTCATGTCTTCCATCTTCTATCCCGAGCTTGATCTCTCGGACGAGCACACTTCATCATGGCAAACATATCCCATTGCATGTCACCACTCGTATGCTGTTGTCCTCGCGGTGGCGGTCGGAGGTCGAGCGACGTTGTGGGCGCCGCTCGAGTCACCGACCTTCAAAAGTCGCGTTGTCACGTGCGTCGCGTCCGAGACGCGGTGCCGGCGACTACTGATCGCGAATGCCTGGGTGAAGATGTCAGCGGCAGGCAGCGCAAAGAGCAGCAAGGGAGGCTGGAGAGCGAGGGGAACACGAGCTGACTCACAGTACAGACGACCGCGGCGACCAGGGAACGTACCACGCGCGCAAGCACTGAACGAAGCCCCGCCCCTCTAAGTCGGCACCCGCGCGCCCTGCTTTCCGCGTCGTATGATGCGCGGGGAGCCTCATTGTCGCCTGGAAGCCCTGGGAACGCCGCCCGCCGCCGATGTGATCCCCCGCCCCAAGATCCAGGCCGCGGTATCCCTTCAATCGTTCCCCTCTGCCCAGGCTCTGCCGCGCAGGCTGTACACCTCCGCGCATAATGAATCGGAGCGCCACAACGCTCTCGTTATCGTACCGCCCTCAACACGTCACGGCCCTTGCTCTGCGTAGATCCTACTGCAAACCAGGGAGATTTGCGTTCAGCGGAGGCGCGGGGGCATCCGGCAATACGCGTCAAGCTTCTGGAAAAGCGGGGGAGCTCACGCATGGGGCCTGGGATGTCCGGAAGAGGAGTTGGAAGCCCAACAATGTACAAGGACCGCCGGAATTAGCGTTTTTGCCGCCCGAAATTCCGCTGGGACGGCCCGTATTCGTATTGCTGCCGGCAGACGAGGGACAGGAAGCGCAGAGGATGGACAGGAAGAGCAACCCGACTTTGATCGCCGCCGCGCCCTATACCCGCCCGTCGCCTGGGCGGAGTATAAAATACTCTACCTGTTCACGGGGAGCATATCGTCTCTTGGTCCCGCCCATATCGCCACCAGGCCAAGGACAAGCAGCGACTTCAGCGAATGGACGAAATGCAGGCCGATCGTGCGCAGTTTCTGGTCCCGCCGCCTCCGTACGAGGAATTCGCACCTTCACGGCCGCCCCCCACGACGAACGAGAGCGCGCCGCCCTACCAGACGTATGCCACTCGCCCCACGACCGCGCACGGCGCGTCGGACTCGGTTCAGACGCCAGACGACCCTTTCGCATGCTCGCCAGCATCACCGGGAGGCGTAAGGCTAATGTCCCTACCGGATGCACCAGACGCGGCCACTACCGCTCGCCTTCCAGCCTACAGACGCATTGGCTATGGCCGATACCGGACGCACCCCTACCGCCGACCGCTGGAATGGGCCCGCGATGAGGACGAAGACGCAGACATGGTACGTCTTTGCTCCTCCGACGGTCTTCGCTTGCCTACATTCGACCCTATTTCATCTTTTCCCACCAGATCTGCGAGCTGGAGAACATTACTATCTCGGATGTCGTACGTGTCTCCGTTGTGTTGATTCCCCACGTACTGGATTGAAACCTCGCCCAGATCTCCACCCCCGAATATATCGATGCTGCTTCCCATCCCGACGCTGCCTCCAACTTGTCCGCCGCCGCCTCCTCCTCGAGCCCCAACCACCTCCACCCCGTCCTTACCACCAATCCCATCGACTGGGACACGCTCACGTCCTCCCAGCGCGCCGCGCGGCTGTCACAGCGCATTGCGGACATCGATTATGCACTTTCCGGCTTAGATGTCGCTATGTTGAACGACTTGGAGAGGACGATCATTGTGAGTGGGCTCGGGCTGCTCGCCCACAGCAAGTACGGCAGCTGATCGTCACGCAGGATTTCGCCCTCTTCGTGCGCCAGAACCTCGCTCAACGCCGGGCGGTAGAGTTGTTCCCGGGAAACAATCTCTTCTGAACCTGAGTTCACTTTTCTGCGCACGCTTGGCGCTGTATGTCTTGATTTTCCACCTTCGTCTTCGTCTTCTTCGTCTCGCTCTGTTTGCTCGTTCCTGGTCCCGTGTTCACTCGTCCCTTGCCCTCTGCTCGCCTGCTTTCTTGAGTTTTTTGTCTCTGCTATCTCACACCGATATCTCGTACCCATATCTCGTATCCTATCTCGCTGTTCGCTAGTTACCTACACCATCCTATTCTCCTATCCTGTCCATCTGATGTGTTCCATAGTCCGGACATTAGTGCATACTAGATCCACATACAAAAGGCTCTTACGAGCCACGACGAGCTGGTCTCGAGGGTCGGAGGTCATGCTACTACTATACATGTGTCAGTTATTTCTTGGAATGCATGCGCGGGTGTCGCGTCGTTGCTTTATCGTATCTTGCTCGTTGTGGTAACCGTCTCAAACGTCCATAAAGTGTACAGAAGCGCCTCAGCAGATGACGCATTCGTAGTCGTCTGGCTTTGCCAGCTTCGCCTCCAGGTGCGCGACCAGTGTATCGTCTTCGTGGAGGTAGGGGGTGCCACTGCGGCGTTGAAGGTCAGACACCGGTTCCTCGTGTAATGGTCCCCAAGCGTCTCCTTTTGGGAGACCGACTACCAACGTACCTAAATTGCAACCCGCCCGCGCCCTCCTCAAGTTCGACCAGGATCTCGTCGTTCCGTCGGCGACCGCGGAAGCGTGTCATAGGGACGAGCTCTTCGTCGCTCTTGAGCGGGATGACGAGGTCGCGCTGCGGTCTACCAGTGCTGCTGGTGAGCCCGCCGGGCATGCGCCGGGGGCCTGCGTCTGATGCAGGACTCGCAGAAGAGGACGCCCGATTTGTGTCTGCAAGGGAGGGATTCTCGTCTCGCGAAGATTTCGTGTCGCCGACGGCTGACTTCAAGCGGGCATCTGCTGACTTTGCGGTCCTCCTGGCATCGGGCACGATGAGCCTGCCGTTGAAGAACGTCGGCGAGCTGTTGTCCATGAGGCTGAGCGACAGACACCACGAGCCGGGACGGTGTGGATGTCGTCGGCGGACGTTCTGGGGCGTGATGAGGAAAGCGAGGCAGAAGATGCGACCTGCAAGCATTCGTGAGCACCAAAGCTACCCTCCTCCCAGGGCATGAAACCATCGACCCACCTAACGCTACGAACTCCACCCCCACCGTCCCCGCCACCCGCATCCTCCTCTGGAACTTCGGGATCCGGATGTGAGCTACAAACGCGCCCTCCCCCTTCACGTCCTCCACCCGCACGCTATCCGGCACCATCGCCTCCCCGTTGAACAGGATCTGCTCAGCGGGGCTCAAGGACGAGAACTCCGGGGCCATGCGCAATCTCTGAAAGAGCGCATTGTCCGAAAATACGAGGCAGGCGGCGCGGATGTCGGCGATGGTATCGGCGGTCAAGGGCGCAGCGAGGGCGAGGAGGAGAAGCGTGGTGTCTGAGGGGTCGGAGGGGTCGGGGTTGGGTGAGGATGAAGAAGAGGAGGACGAGTGGTATTCTTCCGCGCGCTTGACGATGGCCCAGTACAACGGCGTATGCTCCTCCATGTACCGCTCCTGGAGTATGCTGTGCAAGGGGATATCGTACGCCTTGCACGACTCGGCGCACGATTGAAGGATGCCGCGGCAGGCCTCCGCGGGGGACTGTTGCACGATAATGTCCTGAATGAGCGCTTTCACGGTCGTGCGGACCTCGCGGGTGGACTTGGAGGGGAGCAGGCCGAATAAGGGGGAGGCGAAGCTGGCTTTGGACGAGGACGAGGACGTGGATGGTTTGGGGGAGTGGGTGGGGGTAAGGTAGGGTGAGGATGAGGTGCTGGCGTGGGGGAGGGAGGACTTTTCTGATGCAGGGGCCTTGCTGCTGCCCGCGACAAAAGACGTCGACGCCGCAGCGTCGTACGACGGCGGCGGCGCGTCTTCTTCTGACATGTCTGCGTCCGCTGCTGCGGGGGATGGAGGTGGCTTGTCGGTGACGATCATGGTCGGATGGCCTTATAAGGTGAGTGAGACTCGCAGCAGGGAGATACTTAGCGTGAGTGAGCGGGGCACTGCCGCGGAGCTTACGAACAGCCACGGCCGACAGTCCACGTCTACAGCAGTTCTGATTGCGGTGTTCCAAAGTGGATGGGAAATATAAGAGTAGTGTTATTTTGAGCAGGTATATATGCGCCGTACATACGCATGTGAAGAAAAGTTGAACTGCGATGAGGGTTGGAGAGAAGTGAAGGTAAGAAAGCGTGGGCAACGACGGGCCGCCCGTCTCCCCGGTCCGGGCCTGCCGAACGTTTATACGCTCGTCTATTCCCAATCCTCTCCATCACCCACTCAGTGGTATCTTGTGTTCAGGTCAGAACGCAGCATGTATAGCAAAAGCTCAGCACTCACCCCATCAGTCGTAAAGGTCTATGTCCTCTTCGATAGCTCCAGGACGACGAAGATCAGGCGGCTCCTGAGTATATACGCAGATCCCTTGTTCCCGAAGGCGCAATATCCTGTCGACCAGATCTTTCCTTTCTACTGCTCCCATGTTGATTTCCTTAAGCTTGCCCCCGCTGCCAGTGGACGCCCGCTGCTTGATGAAATCCTCCAATACTTGCTGATCATCTGGCGATGCGATGCACATAGTCGGAAAGTCAAGGCGAGTGAGGTGAGAGAGTAGCTCAGGATGAGCGACCAGTATCTCGAGGAGACTCAGACCTGCAGACTCAGTTCTGTCGGAAAAATCCACGATACATAGCCGGGAGACACCGGCATAGTGCGTGAACAGCTTTGTCCACTCGCGGTTGGCACAAATCGTCGTGACGAGGGACAAGGTGGTTAGGTTGTCACCGATGGTCGCGTCATTCAATGTTGTGAGATCCAGTAGTGCATTGTAGCCTGCATTCGGAGACATGGTGGTGTGCGGGTGAACGTGGCGTCCCGGGACATGTACAGTCTTGATTTCGCGGAGGTTGGGCACGATCAGCCATTTGAGCAGACCACCAGCCGAGCCATGGACCTCGAGATACTCGAGAGCGGGTAAGATAGCGATATTCCCTTGGCTTGCATGCAGCTCCCATTTTGGCACAAAGAGTGCGAGGCGACGCAAAAACTGGCAAGTTGACAGCAACTTCAAGAGATTGTCCATGAAAATATCGAATGGTTCGGCGATTTCTAGGTCGGTGATCTGGGCCCACGGTAGATTGTGGCGGAGAGGATCGACAGCCCCGCACAGGTAAACAGAGGAGAGAGCGGGGCAGTGCTTGAACAGACTGAACCTTCGGGTGTCTGAGTGAAGAAACAATGCTTCGAGCAGCGGGAGGTTCACTGGCTCGCTTGTTTCTCGTAAGGACTCGGTGGGTACCTCGATTTGGAATGTCCGCCAGCGATGCGCGCAAGACAGCAGCAGCTCTGCCCCCTCCGACAACGGATCCCAGATATAAAAATCGTCGTCGTCGACTCGAAGATGCATCGTGTCTTCGTTGGAGAGCAGGTAGAGATCGATCGGAAGTGTTCGGGAACGCTGCAAGTAGGCCTTCAGCATTTCTTCTTGATAGAAATAGTCGTATTTTGGATAGATTCTGATATGCGTCCACAGCTGTGGGGTGTCCAGCACGAGGTTGCGCCAGAAGCGGCAGACTTGCAAGACGGGATGGTTCAGGATACGGAAGGCGCCCGCTTTGCGGTCATAGGTGTCCGCGACCGACATCTTGAGGATGATGAGCATGATCTCGGTAGGAAGGCGGCGTATAGGAGCGATGAGCGCGCGCTTGCGCGTGAGATGGGTGATGAGAGTCTTTTTCTCCCGCAGGAGATCCTTCAGTATCTTGCGCGTGACGCGGATAGTCTGGGCGTAGGTGGCGACAGCAGCCTCTTCCAAGAGAATGTTCTGCTGGATGACGCCCGCGTTCTCCATCGTCGGGAAGTCTGGGTTTCGGATGGCTTCGATGGGAACGGAAAACGTGGCAGAGGTGATTGCATGCCCGCATTTGGTGCAAAGAGTCGTAACGTGGCGATGAGCTTGCAACTGGTCGGCGAGCATGGTTAGCGTTGGCTGCTGAGGTGTCAGAACTCGTCGATCAAGCAGTGGCTAGCTTCAACGCACTGTGGCTGTTGTGTTCAAGGGTGGAATAGGTTGGGCACTACGATTTTTGTGACGAGGGAGATGAGGGTTTAGAACAAGGGCGAATCGGACCTGGCCGAGCAGATGCAGTGACCTTCGGACCGGACATGCCGAACAATGCCGGCCATCTGAGCTGTGCGTGGCGCACCCCTTCGTCGCGTACACCATCTCCTCCCTCGATATCCCCTCTCTTGTCCTCACTCTGGAATCTTCGCCACAATAGATGCTGCTTTAATCTTGGATATCACCCTCCACTGCTTCTCTCTTTCGCCCCTGTGCGATGTCTGAACCCGCAGGACCGAACAGCGCTGGACGCGGGGGTGGGACACCGGCGCCTAATGACAATGGAACGGGGAATGCACAAACGCCAGAGGCAGTCCCCCGCACTACAATACTACCCTCCCCTGCATTTCCTGAAGATGAGTTTGGCGCTGGCGATCCGCGTCAAAGGTCGCCCATGAGGAGCTTTCTGTTCATAAGCGCCATGCTGTTCTTCCTGAATTCAGGTGCGTTGTATCGTTGCAGGTCCGATGTCAGATGGCGTTGACCTGACGCAACAAAGGCACTGCACCCGCAGAAGATTTTTGGACAGCTCGCGCTCGCTACCAAGGCGCACTCGCCGCGATGCGAGATCGCGCGGGGAACTACAGCTTATGGGTAGATCACATGAACACCTGTGCGTTTCCCCCGCCCCTCTGCGCCTATCTGGCTCACATATATACAGCTCATCCTGCTATCCCGCCCGAGAACGCCACCAACAACTCGTCGTTATTCTGGCTCGCCGAGCGCCCACCTGTCCTCGGCCAACTCCTCCAGACCTTGAACCTCGAAGAGGCGTACCAGCCTGCTCCTCCAGGGCGTCACCCCGACGGTGTCTACTACTCCAATCTGACTGCCCTCTTCCGCGGACCCATTGGCTTTTGGAATGTTACGCCTCCCTTATCCCCTGTTGTACAGTCCACCTCCCTGCCCGCGGAAGCGCTACTAGAACGACGCAGCGACTCATCACAAGACCTGCCATCTTGGTACCATCTTGCGCGTACATTCCTTGCCGATGTAGAACGACACCCTCTCATGAAGGAGCTTCCTCCGCCCCCTCCACCGAAGCTGTCGGTCAACCTTACCGCCCTATCCCTCTTCGGCATATTCCCCTCCACACGCACAGCGGAGGCATCAAGTACCGCATTGCCAGAGTCCTCTGCAGCAGCAAATCACTCAACAGAGACATCGGGGGACGCAGAGGACGCAGCAAATCCTTGGCCATGGCACAATACGCGCCGAATTACCCTAAGTGTAGATGACTACCCCATCCCAGGTTACCCCGTTCTTGAGAGCGATGCGTTCCTCGAAGGATGGACTGTGGATGCTGGCGCTGTCGAGACCGTCGCAGAAGGCGAAGAAGATAGTGAACATGTGCGCGACCGACGTGCGTTGGGTGGTGTGGCGCTGCTTTCTGTACGTTCAATCATTCTCTCAGCAGTTGCAATAAAGCTGACTCCCTACGCAGGGCTCCATCGACCTACGGACCAAGCCCGACCCGCTACCCATCGTCAACGCCACGAACGAGACCGCCTCTGACTTTGAAGAGCAATCCACCTCCCTCCCCTTCCTCGGCCTCCATCTCACACGGTCCGGCGCCGTCTACGGACTCGCCAGCTCCTCGCCGTCTTCCTCCACCTCGCCCGACCTCCGGCTCCTCCCTGCGCTCGTGCCTCCACTCATCCGAGGCGCAGTGGCCCGGCTGGTCAAGGAAGAACTGGAGAGGCGTGTGCGCAGGTTCGAGAAAGAGGGCTGGGAAGCGATCACGGAGGGCTCATACAGCGAGGAGCATCCGCCAGGAGAGGGAGGAGAAGGGAGTGGGTTCGACGACTGGGCTGGTGGATATTATCGGGGTGTGGTGGGTGAAGGGAAGGGCCAGGAGGCCAAGGAGGGCAACGGGACGACTACACGTTTGTACGATCCGAATACGGGCGAGCCGCGGTGCTCATTTGCGGTGTTTGGGCAGGTGGAGAATGTAAGTATCATCGCCTCGTCAGTCACCTCGTCGCTAGCGCGTCGATATTGACAATAAGCGTCAGGTCGGCGTCCCTCGCTCGCAGCTCGCCGAGCTCGAAGTTGCGCTTGTGCATCCGACGGGCGCGGATACCATTCCGCCGCCCCCTTTACTCCTGAAGGGCGCCATGATCAGCCCGGGGTGTGGCGTTATGGGCGTATTTGGGGAGCGTGGTAAGTTGGGACATACATTCTCAGTGCAAGTGATCGCTGATTTCTGGCGTAGGCGAACGCGAGTGGGGAATCAACTTACCTGCAGGGGCGGAAGGGCAGGACAAGGAGGACGCGCCAGCGTACACGGGAACCCTCGAGGGTGTCCTCGCAGCCATTGTCTCGCGCAGGATCAATACATGTCAGTCGCTGTCCCTCAAGTGCATTAGGTACTATACTGATCAGCCGCATATCCAGACGCTGCCCTCGCCTTCCTCGCCTACCTTTCGCACCTCATCCTTCTCCAGCGCCACGTCCGACGGCTGCGCGAGATCGGGGTGTCAGCGCTCTCGGCGCACTCTGCTTTCTCTATACTGCCTCAGTTGGCTGTAGACGCGGTCTCGTTTGTGGGGCATGTGACGGTAGCGCTGATCAGCCATGGTAAGAGGACGCCTTGCGTGATGGAAGAGAACACTTGGCTTACAACACATCTCGACGCACAGGTCGCTCGGGAATTGCGCTGCTGGGTGCTGCCGTGGTGTGCGCGAGTTTGGCTGTGCTGGAAGGAGTAGGTCTTTGCTCCCTGTTCCTCCGATCGAGTGAGCTTACCTCATGTGTAGCGTCTGACCGGCCTCATCTGGGAGATACAACGACCCGAACGTGAAGCCGCCGCAGCTATGGCTGCCGCCCGTCGCCGAGAGGCAGCTGCTCGGCGAGCTGCTGCTACTCAGCAAACCCAAGTGCATGTCACCACTTCGTCCGTGACTGTATCGGACAGCGGGTCACCCGTGGGTGCAGCTGGAGGCGGGTCGCCGGCGACTGGCGCGATGCATACACCAACGACAACACCGCCAACCCCTGCATTAGCAACACCAGCGCGCGAGTCTTTCATCAGCTTCTTCTGGCGCCATGTGCGGAACGACCCGGCGGCGAGAATATGGCTGGTGACCTTCGGTATGTTGGTATTGACGGCGAGGATTCTGGTGTCGCCTCAGGTCAGTCATCTTCTGCTGACTCCAACCTGCCTCATGCTGACACGGCGCATCATACAGGTCACTGCCGTCTTTGCCTTCTGCACGCATGGTTTCATGTGGCTGCCAGAGATCTACCGCGCCTTCCGTCGTGGTCGTCCCAGTGCGCTCGGTGGCCTCGACGTCGTGCGCACTACTGTGCCGGGAGACGGGGATATTGCATCCGGTCCTAGCCTTGGACGGCCTGCGGAGTACATCCTCGGTACCACCATCCTGCGGTCTGCGCATCTGCTGTACTTCTTGGCAAATGAGGACAATGTGTTCGAGATTGGGGAGAGAGGTGAGCCCGTTGTTGCAATGATAGTGCGAGTAGCTGACGGTGCATGTAGCATGGGCACGACCATTGGTGCTGTTCATGTTCTTGCAGGCAGGGTTCGTGATCCTACAGAGTTGGGTCGGACCAACGTTCTTCATGCCAGCGCGGGTAAGCCGCGCCTTGCACGTGGGACTGAAAAACTGTGGCTAACAATATTTGCGTAGCTCGCGACCCGTAATGACGTCTACGACTACCATCCACCCCTACCCACAGACCTTGAAGCTGCCCTTGGCGACTGCGCTATATGCATGGAAGCAATTGACATCGGGGGCGAAGGCGGGTCAGGGGAGAAGGAAACGTCGATAGCTCCGCTTCGTGGTGCGCGTAAGGAGTACAGTCTGGCGCCGTGCCACCATCTATTCGTAAGTCGCCGCTTTCGATCTCGCGTGATGAGCATGGATTGACTGTGACATTTTTCAGCATACGAAATGCCTGGAGAGGTGGCTTGCGATCAAGAATATATGTCCTCAGTGTCGGCGACCGTTACCACCGTTGTAACAGTCGGTAGAATTGGAATGTTCAGTGATGAGATCTATACTGATAAGCTCGATCCCGACTTCGACCTCGCAGCTTGCTTTTGTACGTGGACGCTGATGCCAAACCCGCAGTCCAGTTCGATCTGCAACGTTCCAAGACACGAGGGATGTGCGGGAGCATCACGTCTCTTCATTAGGTAACTTACATTATACGCCGAGTGCACGCGGTGCCGGTACACACCTTGACCAGAACCATCATCGACTTCAGCGACAACCCTCGTCTTGAACGCGACAATACCTTTCCAGGTTGCGAAAAACTGTAACTTGTGCGTCTGCCAGCCGTGCACTGTGTTCCGTTACTCAGCTAGCCTCAGGTTCTGTAACATGCGTTCCATGGATCACGTTTTGTCTTACGCCCGAACGATTGCCAGCATCCCCTTGCACCGCACTGCTTATGTGCCCAGTGAGGAAGAGGCGGCGAACATCAAGGAAATGGCGGACGAACTACGCAGCATAGACGTTCAGATCGGCGAACAGATATCCAGTCTCTCTGAACGACGGGCAGCCGTTCGGGAGCAGATTGCGCTCAATAACGCCCTTCTGTCACCATGTCGCCGCTTGCCTTCTGAAGCTCTCTCGATGATCTTCCTACTGGCCGTCCCGGATGACTGGGAGCAAGCGTACGCTGGACAACGCAGCCCCAACTTCGCGCGGGTGTGTCGTCTTTGGCGAAACGTCGCATTCGACACTCCCAGGCTATGGTCAAGACTCCGTCTCGAAGCGTGGATCCGTTGGCCATCAGTCGGAGAAGCAAGTCTGCTCGCACTCGAAGAGGATGTGGAAAGGACAGCGCAGGTGCCTCTGGACGTAGACGTACAGATGGGCTCCCTCGTGCACAGACATCCGATGCCCTATGCCTCGTGGGACAATTTCTGGGGGGAGAACGACGCTTGGCTACTGCTTCGTACACTTTCGCACCGATGGAAGCGGGCCAGTTTCTATAACTTGCCGCTTTCCGGTTACGCCAACCTTGCTACTTGCTCTTTTCCTGCATTGCAGACCCTGGCCATTCACTTTGCCAAGTACTCGCATGCGATTTGGCGCCTTGATGCGGACACCCGACAAACGATGATTCTCCCTAACTTCCAGAATGCGCCGAACGTGACCAACCTACATATTGACGTTGTTCCCCCGATGGTAACATTCGAATTGCCACGACAATGGTCCATCACTGACCTAACAATCAACTACGCCGGAGGACTTGATGTCGCTTTCGAATCTCTCCTTCGCGCGATGATGGCGTGTAGCGCCACCGTGCGCTCCTGCCACATCAGCGTCGAATACGATGTCAATCGGTCTATCAATCGTCCCGAACCCATACCGCAAGAGTCGACCATCTTTCCTTGCCTGGAAGATATCCACTTCGAAGACGACGCCATCCTGCTTTGCTACTTCATTGCAGCCCCCCACGCTATCAATTTACGGCTTTCCGGTTACTCCTACTACAATCAGTTCGATGCGTTGGAAACCATGCTCGATCGCTCGCAAGCATGCCAGTCCTTGAATACGCTTTCTTTAGCGCAGCTAAGACTCATCGACGAGGGCTCACTTCTCCGATGCCTTCGTCGTCTGCCGTCGCTGAGAGAAGTCGCTCTCGCACACGACGAATACGCGGAAAACATCTGCGATCCGTTGATCACCCTGGACCTGGTGCGCGCCTTAGATATATCTGACGTGCCCTATGCATCGGAGGTCCTCTTACCCAATCTCTCGCGATTGGTCTTGACTCTTGGCGGCTGGGTGCGATTGTGGGGAGATTGGCAGCAAGATGAGCGCTCATTTCAGGACGCTTTATTGTCTGCACTAAGGTCCAGGGCAGAGCCTTTGAAGTTAGACGGGATGCCCATTCAATCTTTACAGTCTTTCGTACTTGACGACTCTCCGTGCTGGCCGCCTTGTCGAGATACTATTGTTCGTACCTTTCAGCGTAGGAGGGCGATGGTGATCAAACAGGTGTCCACGGACTCAGAGACTGAATCTGATTGAAATTATACTCAACAATTATTATAACAATTCTATACCAGATGAACTTTGAATATATTCGTACGACAGTAGTAGACTTTCGCTGAGTACATGGTCGAAAATTAATCCAGTACAGTTGAGAATTGTTCCCGAAGTATTTGAGCTTGCTTCGCTTCTTCGTATCGCCAACTAGCGGAAGCCAGGTTACTAGGCATAGGTCAATCGTATTAGGTAGGCATTGCCGCAGTGCACGCCTCGTGCACGTGCCGACGCGCGTTCGACTTGCACCATCATCGTCACACGGAAGTCCAATACCAGCGCTCAATAAGGGTCCAGGCATCGACATCCCATATACCGGACTACAGATCAAAGGGTACTTGAGGCGCCGTGCGTGCTCTGGGTGTTGCAATTCTCATCAGATTGAATAGCATGTATCCTACTATGGATCAATCCGACGCTTTGTGTCGCGCCCAAGCCGTGGCCAACAACCCTCTTCATCGCTCAGCATACGTACCCAATGACAGCGAGGCCGTTGTGATCAAGAAAGCGGCGGACGAGCTACGCGGCATAGATGTCCAGATCGCCGAGCAGATCAACAGCCTCATCCAACAACAGGCGACCGTCCGAGGGCAAATCTCGGTGCATGATGCCCTCTTGTCACCATGCCGTCGCCTCCATCCCGAAATCATCTCGCTGATATTCCTCTTGGCCGTCCCGGACGACTGGGAGGAAGCGTACGTCGGACGACGCAGTCTCAACTTCGCGCGCGTGTGCCATCCGTGGCGCGAGATCGCGCTCACGACGTCTCGGTTGTGGTCGAAGCTTAGATTTGATGCTCTAACGAACTGGCAAACCTTCAGAGAGGAACCGTCCTTGCTTGCAGCAGAACTCGAAAGGACGGCCCAAGTATCTTTGGATATAGACCTCCAGATGCGCTACGGCTACGCCACCCTCTGGCCCGATCACCCCACAGCAGATGAACTCTGGGAGATCGACGATGCGTGGAGGATACTTTGTGCCCAATCTCACCGATGGGAAAGGGCGACACTCGATTGCTTGCCGGTGCACATTTACGAGAGCATGGGTCGCCGTCTATTTCCGGCCTTGAACAATCTCTCTTTTCGCGTAGATGAGCGCAGCAATACCGCCATACAACTGCCGCTCCACTCGTTCCGACATGCACCCAACGTGACTTGTCTCTGGATTGACTATAAGTCACCCGTCCCAACCTTCGAGATACCACGCATGTGGTCTATCGTCGACCTAACTATCATCTGCGTCGACTCCATCACAGTCAGCCCCGAACCGTCCCTCGACGCATTCATGGCATGCAGCGCTACCCTACGCTCTTGCCATTTCGCTGCCGACGAGAAGTTCAACGAGCGAGCCATTCCCTCGAGGCCAACACTCTTCCCTGCTTTGAAGGATATCCATTTCAACAACAATGCCGTCTTCCTCTGCTACCTCATATCGGCTCCCAATGTGGAGAAGCTGCACCTCTCTGGATATTCTTCCTATAACCAGTTCGAGGCCTTGCAGAGCATGCTGGACCGCTCGAGGGAGTGTAAACATCTGCGCATCTTCGCTCTGTCTCAATTGGACCCCCCAGCAGCGGAGCCGATAATCGAATGTCTGCGTCGTCTACCGTTGCTCACAGATGTCACGCTCACGGAAGACGCCCTGCAGGAGAATATCGAGTTCCCCCTTATCACAGTCGACCTGATTTCGGCCCTGGACCGCTCTAGCGGGGGGACTGGAGCTAAATTCCTCTTACCTAACCTATCACGCTTGGAGATGGACTTTGGAGGCCGTGAATGCAGCGCGGAACAGGAGGATTCACTTCGTGATGCCATATACGCTTCAATACTCTCTAGAGATGGTCCCTTGGAAGTGGATGGTGTGACATTGCAACCTCTGCAATCCTGCACGATTCACGGGGATGAGTGCTTGCCACCAAATCCATTCTCGGTACTAGAGGCCTTTCATCGAAAGCGGTCGAATGATTTCGCGTACGCCGATTTGGATTGGATAGTATAAAGGAATTGCTTGACTATCGATCAATTACACAGTGTTGCCGCGGTTATCTACAGACACAGACGAGCATTGTTCATTACTATGGTGACGGCGCCTCCTTTACGCATGCCCACGAACGACCTTTGGCTTATACCTACACGAGATCAGTGTCAGAAAGGAGCGTAGACATCGGAACACGTACGGCTCTTCCAGATACTTCGCCTCTTCGTCGGTCAGCTCGCCATCCACGATGCTCTCTGCGACGCGATTGACCGAGTTGATGCCGACGATGGGGCTTGTCACGCTCCGCTGCGCCCACGCAAGAGACACCTGAAAATGAGTCAATACCTATGTGAGCTAGCGGGAATACGGGAGCGTACCTGCGACATCTTCCAGCCACGCTTGTTCGCTATCTCCTCCACCCGCTTGACGATCTCATTGTCTGCTGAGCCGTCAAGTCCCCATCCGGCGGCGGCGGCCGTTTTGGAGCGCTCGGTCTCGCCGGCACTCAACGGACGTGCAAGACGGCCTGTCGCAAGAGGTCCCCACGGGATGACCCCGATGCCGTGGTACTTGCAGTACGCCAACATCTCCCGCTCCTTTCAGACCAGTCAGCGATGCTACGCAGTCGAACGATGGAAGACACCAACCTCCTCGCGATACAGCAACGAATACTCGTCCTGCATGCTCACAAACTTCGTCCACCCGTTCTTCTCCGCGACCGCGTTCAGCAGCGCAAACTCCCAAGTGCGCATCGAGCTCGCGCCGATGTAGCGCACCTTCCCGGCCTCGACGAGGTCGTGGAGCGCCTTCATCGTTTCCTCGGGCGGCGTCGCCGGGTCGAAGCGGTGGATCTGGTAGAGGTCGATGTATGACGTGTTCAGGCGCGCGAGCGAGCCCTCAATGGCGTTGAAGATGGCCGCGCGCGAGAGGCCCTTCTGGTTAACGTACTCCTTCCTGTGGTCGGCCATGTCGGGTATGGTCCAGGTTATGATGTCGATGTCGGCGCCCTTGGCGACGAGGCCGTAGCATTTGGTGGCGATGATGATCTCGTCGCGGGGGATCTTGTACTACAACGGGGTCAGCTACCGCCGCGCCTTCGAGAGCTTGACTGGTATTTACCTCTTCAATGAACTTGGCCAGAACGCGCTCGGAATCACCGTTGGAGTAGAGGTTTGCAGTATCAAAGGTGCTGCAGGCATGAGCGTGAGCACGAGTAGGGCGACAATGAAGACTGACACCTACTTGATACCACGGTCCCAAGCCGCTTTCAGGATAGGTAGAGCTTGCTCCGCATCCTTGACCCACGGTCCCGCTGATCCATCGGCCTAAGAGTAAGCGCGTCAGAGGGCTTCGGTGTGGGCTGAGCAAGCACTTACACCCCACTTTGGGTTGCCGTAGCTCATTGCCCCAAGCTGACCGAGCCTGCGTCAATAGGATGTCCGAAAAGGAGCGAAGCAACATACGATAGGAACAGAGATGCGCAGGCCGCTCTTGCCGAGATGGACATACTTGGCCGATGGAAAAGACATGAGAGCGCAGCAGAGAAAGCAGATAGACCGAGGCTGATTGTCTGTTGGAACAGCATAAGAGCCTGGTGTTATATATCGTCGAGAAGGTCGTAGCATCGCCGAGGTACCTTCCCTTTGTGACACGGTCGAGAAGACGCGATATACATTAGCAAGCAGCTCGGGCCCAGCCCTCTTCTCGCTTTGGATTAGTGAGGGGCTGCCAGTGCATGCACTCCCACGACGAAGGAAGGTGCGCAGGCATTATGAGCCAATCGCGGATCCAGTCCGTCCTTCCGAATAGAGTGCTTCAGGCGGATGTCGCCCGCAGGATGGACACTGGACGGTTCGTTCGTGTCCGAATCGGCACAGACCAGAATTGATGACCCTGTGTATCACAGGACGGGTGCACGGCAATTTGAATGACAATCTCTCCGCAAGAAGAGTTCAAGAAGGCGTCCGTGACCGTTCGTGACAAGTTGGAAAAGTGCTTCCGCTTTTGGCAATTCCCGTGGCCAATATCGCGTCACGTGCGTGAACGCGCTTGATTCCGACCGCATCCGCAATTTCTGGACTCGCGATTGCTCTTCTCGAGTGCGGAACTCGCTTTTGGTCAAAGTATCATGAATCTGTTCAAACAATTCAGGCGCTGGTCTCGTCGACTTGTGGCCAAGAAACGCCCCCAATCTGACCCTACAGGATATCGCCATCGTTCAACTCCAGCTGGTCAGCAACTCGCCAGAGATCGCCCAACGTCCCTTCCGATCCTTGCCTTTCAGAACTCGTCGTCTACTGAACCTTCGGTTTCACCTTCGTTTCTCCTGTCTCTACCCCCTCAGGCCTCTACTGCGCTGACGGCGAACAGCTCCACTTCTGGGCCTGTTGCGAGTCTCTTAGAACCGACGCTTTCAGTCCCTTCAGCCGATTCAGGCATATCCAAAGGTCCTGGTGGGCTGGTTGAGCCTGGGAACTCTACATCGCTGCACAAGCGTATGCCTAGACTCGAAAATTCCGCTCCGTCTGCACACTCTTCACTGGCGCCTCCGGTCACTCAGGACGCGTACAACGACCTACGCCGCCGCCTCACGTCCCTCGAAGCGGAGAACAAAGTACTCGAGAACAACCGCCAAGCATTCAGCAACGCCATCGAGAATCTAGAGCGCGCTAAGCTCGAGCAGACGGCTGAACAGCAACAGGAGTGCGCCGGGATCGACCTGCGCATCGACTTCGGCAGGCGACAAATCGAGATTTTCGAGAAGCGCGAAGCTGCCCTCCGTGCTCTGTGCGAACGCATGCTCCGTCTCACTGGCTACGACCCCATCCTCCTCAGCGCCTATGACACCGTTGACAACGTCAACCTCGACCCCGAAGTAGTACTGGCGACCCATATCCAGATCGCCATTCAGAACGGGCTCGACATGTGGCACAAGATCCTGCCTCCAGTCACTGGCGCGCGGCTCACCGACGACTTCCGCGCTGTCGACAGGCTCAAGCGGCAGTCTCTCACCGAGGCGGAGCAGGACTACAAGATGATGAAGCTCTGGCGCGAGATCGCGAAGGAAAGCGGCGACCGGTCTGTCACTCCGTCCGTTTCCAACGTCTCGTCGCTTGGCGCTATGCCACTCAGCGCCTCCCGCCAGTTCGCCGTCAACGACCTTCTCGACCGGTACCGCGATGGGAGTATGCCCCCTCGACGGTTCAGTGACCTGGATGCGTCCGCCGTTGTGGAGCTACATTCTCAGGGCATGAGCTCTTCTGAGTCGTCCGACACGATTCGGCCCGGAGAGATGGTTGCAGATCACCCCCCTCGTGACGATGACACCCATAGTGCGTCTCCAGATGACCTAACGACCGACTCGGTCAGTCCCTCAATTCGCTTATCAGCGTCTCATTCTTGCTCAATTTTCTCCAAGGCTGGTGATCCTGAGAGCGGCAATTCAGTTCCACCGGATGCAACAATATCGTCCTCCTTGAGCTCCCTTCCTTCCGACTCGCAGCTTTATCGGCCTGAAAGTTTCCTGACTACTCAATCTGTACGTCGACTAAGTTACATGTCCCGAACTGCCTATCAATGATTGAACGCATTCACAGACGCGTCGAGACACTGTCTACGAAGATGACGACCCTGCTGCGACGCCAAAGCCTCTCGCGTTCGACCCGATCACGGCTCTGGACTGGCCTATTTCCATCGACGCCATTCAGGGCATCCTCTCCTCAGAGGGTTCCCTGCCTTTCCTCGACATTATCGACGGCGCGACGAACGCTATTGTCGCGGCCCCCAGCCACGACGGCGACGCAGCGCCTACGACGTATCCTATCGCCATGAAGTCATCGTCATCTCGCCGTTCGTCAGCCTCCGCTTCCTCTACGAGGCGACGCCGCACCTCGGTCACCTTCGCCACCGATGCGGCATCGAGGCCAGCTCCTCAGATGCCTCCCAAGCGCCGGACTAGCAGACCGCGCGTCAGTGCGCCTATGCTGCCGCCCGATTACAGCGCTGTGCCTCCACCGCTTCCGGAAACGAAGGCGACAGCGACGCTCTCACGCCCTACGTCTATCCTTCGGATGCCGCACACGGTGGAAGGGAGTGCGTCCTTCGAGAGCAATATGGCAAGCCTTGGCTGAGACGCCGGGCCTACTGTGTACACGAACCCTGGTATACTTGCGCCCCTGTGCTAGACTCCTTCGTTCTGGATGGCGTCGCCTTTCTTGCGCATTGGACCACATGTATATCGGGAGCTCTTTGTTCGGTCCTGTCGCTTAAGGCATCATGTTGGCATCATGCATATCTCCGTGCGTCTCGGTATTTCCTACCTTGTGCAGGCAACATTGTCCGGTTACTCAATCTATCTCACATGGCAAAGACTGGGAATAGGAACACACCCGAAACAGGGAACGCTCGGGCAACATCAATCATCCTCAACCGGTCGCTCTTAGTGTCTCACGGGGTCATGCACGGCTGGGGCAGGCTAAAATAAATATAGCTCTTGTGTGGCCTGAATACCTCGATGTAACGGGACTCTTGATATCATCCGTACCTTCATAATTGCCGGTATCTCTCGCCACGCATCTTCGAAAACTAGGTACGCTGCAACGGCGAAAGCTTGTCGGCGTCCCGTCCTCTTGCAGCTGCAAAAGACTCATACGGGGCGATCCACCTTCGAATGGGTATTTCCCAGCAAGGTGAGAAATTCCCGTCGTTGCTTGTGAGCTTCGCTGACAGACGAGATGCACGCACAGGATCACACCCCGTATGAGCCTATGCAATCAAGCGCGGAAAGACCCGCGGGATCATTCAACGCAGCGAACCCACCGTTGATGTTTCCCTCGCAGGCTCGTGCTCACCTAATGGACCACCAGCAAGCGGGGAGAGGATGAATGCGTAACGCGTGTCTCGCATGAAGCCGCATCTGCCCGATGACCTGAACAAGCTCGGAGCGATGCCCTAATGCGTACTTGCCGTACAAAGCGTCCCGTGGGGTTTAAAGCTGGGCTTCAACGGTGAGCAGGTACGCTCTGTCTTTCCCTTCCCTGTCTCCTTCCCAGTGCATTATTTGTGACGACTACGCGCCTGTCATGACCTCCGCACGCCTCGCCGCTCTCCCTGAAGCCGAGTCGCTTAACCAGTCAACCTCATGTGGGCCTATTCGGCCTCTTCGCCACCACAAGACCGGCTCGCGGACGGCGGGCAGGTACCACCCATACCGAACCCGATACACCGAAGGCGACGACATGGACGCAGAGACGGCGGTACGCCCCCCATGCCCTTCGGGAGACAATTGTAGCTCACGACGCTCCAGCGCAAACTCCTCCATCTCATGGATGCTCACGCCATGAGACGCGTTCAGCCGGGCCTGACTATCGCCAGCGTCGTGAGTCATTCTGCTCCCTTTGCCTTTTGTTACATATGGGGCACCGAGATTGACGTCTTCGTCCCCTGCAGGTGGCGGAGATGGAGGGCCGCTCTAATCCCCCAACGGACGCCCAAGTAACGAAGATCACACCCGTACCAACGTCGGCGTCCGTTTGTCCCAGACTCCTGCCTTGCGGAGAGCGAGTCGGATATCCCAAGATAGTCTCGTCGCACGAGCTCGTTGTGCTGAGGGTATGCAGAGTGCTCATGTTGATGCCTGCACGGAGCTAACTGTTGTGCTACAGGAACTATATTTTCTGTTCGCTTGGGCATGCGTGGTCCAAGAGGCAGTCGTACGGCTGCACCGGTGCATGTAATTCGCCTTCAGCTCATCCCTTTCGGTCACCTCCCCGCTATCCATAGTTTATTGCCGCCTTGTCCTTTCTGACGCCCTTCGCCTGCCTCTGTATGCCTAGATCCTTCCATATGCTTCTGTCCACTCTGTATCGCTTACCTTGTTCCCGTTGGCTGTACTCTCGAATAAATGGCGCATATAGAGCCTCCTCCATTCGGGGTTTGAAGACAAAAGTTTAATCATGTTGCCGGAGTTGTGAGTCAGTCTGGTGAGGAGTCAGCAGCACATTCTGGTGTGCGCCTATCGAGTTCCAGTCCTTTGCGGTCAACTTCTATTGGCGTATGACTTGTAGTCAATCAGCAACACCGAAGGAAGAAGCTCTCCCCTCACACCGTGACGCCTCTGCGGTGAGCCGGTATTCAACGAAGGCTGGGGCTCCTGCGAAATGTACGCAGCCATGCGGCAACGCATCCGTCGCAGTCGGGCGTGGACCCTGCGTAGGTGCTTGTTGTCCGAAAGGAGACATTATGGCTGTGTCCTGGCTGTTAGACACCGAGCATGCCACCGGTGCCACAATTGTTAGAGACCGCAATCAGTGATAATGACAGCCCTAGCGCCATCGGGCAAGGAGCCGTAAGCTTGAGAACCGGCAAAATTGTACGTATACTTAATGGCGGGGATGGGGGGATGAATTCTATGCATACACGCGGGGTTGACGGGCACGCTGCAGTACGCATCTACAATATAAAGGAGCAGCAGCTGGGGCCGGCCCCCATCAATCCAGCACGTGGCGACAAGCGGCGCGCACATAAGTTGTGTCCGCCCGTCATGCCGGCCTGCTAGCGACGACTGTACGCCTCCGAACAGCCCAATACAGCGTTGCTCATACATCATCTGCCTACGAGTAAGGCTGATACGTAGCCAACATGCCGTTGCGCGCAACGCAGGTTTGAAGCATGAGGATAACGGCCTTCCGACTTGACGGCGCTGAGCGAGACGAAGGCGCTGACCTTACGACTTCCATGCTCTACTGGCGAGAATGATTACTTGGCGCACCACGGAGGCAAGCCTACAAAGCGGAACTGCCCCACAGTCGGAGATGCGTCCGCTGTCGCGCTGCCATTGACCCTAACGCGTACATCGGCCATTCCGCACGATGAAAGTATGTGAGGCTCATCTGCCATGGTAACTCAGCTAGCAGTAAGGCAGATTGCATTGACCTCTTCTTACTGCCTCGGACGACGTATGAGCACGAAGGTGACGGTAAGGTAATCATCTTGGAGTCCCTGAGTTGCAAAATCAAGGCTGTTGTGCTGGCCACTGGACGCCGCGTCCTCACAGTAAGGCTACTTTGCCAGTATACATCGATGAGAAGAAAGGCCGGTTGTTCGTATGATTCGCGTACGAAAAGGTGTGACAGCAAAGCTAACGGCAAGGAATATTGACAGACGGCCTGCAGATGAGGCTACGTGCGTGCAGTCCAGACTAACCAGTGAGGCCGAGATAATCCATGACCGTGGATAGAGGCATATTCAAGGAGAGTCTCTGCGATCAGTAAGGCTGCTATAGTCCATGGACCCGTGGCGAAGACACGGGCTCTCCCGCTTGTCGTATACAATAGACTGGCAAAGACCGACGCGCATGTGCTCGGGGCAAAGTGCTATACGCGCCGGAGATGAGTCCTAGCTCAAGCATCACCGAAGTTACTTTGGCTTGCACGGTACCCACGCAGACTCACAGGCACGGCACTCCGTGTCCCGCTGCTCACCGTCTACCTGAGGTCATGAAGGCGGAATATCTTCCGAGCCGTTCTCGACTGTATGTCAAGGAGGAGGTCAACTAGGGTACAGAAGGACGGAGGCGGAGTACGCAGGGCTATCCGCCATAGACGTGGCGTAAACGACACAAAGCGATTTAGTTCAAGCGATGTGACCGCGTGACATGTTCGACTTTTGGCATCACGTGGCCTTGCCTTGCCATTGTGGCGTAGTAACGAAGGAAATGTGCGTCGTCCCAGATCACGTCAACGAGCACGACCTCAAGCCTCAGGCTGTTCGAGTGCACACTACGCTTCAATCTGCAAAGTTTCCCTCAGCCCCAGGGCTTCGAACTTGGAGTTACCTTTGAAGTTATGGCACCGTCCTCCGTGAGAGACCGTACTTCATCTCGGTTGACTGATTGTCTGCTTTCTTCGCGTATGCTTCTCTTCAAGGTTCGCCCCCCGCAAAAGAATGCGCGGTATAAGTCTAAAAAGCAGTGGGGAAATGAAAGAGAGGGGCATTATCAGCATAGCTGCGCTTGAGCATCGGACGCACCGGAGGTCCGACAAGGAAGGCTAGAGTGCATGACCTCCATGACAGCGTTGGAAAATAGCAAGCTCAGAAGCGTCTGGGGCGCTTGAATGCCGAAGATCTGAAGCGCGAAGCTAGGCGGAAGTCACCGAATGGTGGGCACGTAGACCAAACGCATGCCCGGTACGTCTGCGCTTCTAAACCGTGAACACCAAGTTCATGAGCAATATCGGGCTATCAAGGCCTCGCAACAATAAGATACACATATGGTCAACGTACACCAACATGGCCTGTACAGTGAAGGAAGGACGTCTACGAGGCAGCAGCCACCGCTGGAGCTATGGGCGCGCCCGTCGCCGCGTCCTTCTTTGGCCTGCTCCTTCCCCACTTGACGGACGCGCGGGTGCCATCGTCGAAGTCAAGGCCATTGGACCAGGCAGCAGCGGCCGTTTCGGCAGCCTGACGGTCTTTGAAGTTGATGAAGGCACATCTGTGAGGGGGAAACAGAGTCAGCACGGACGTTCGAGTGAGGCGACGGAAAGGGTGCGAGATGGTACAAGGTATCGCAAAAAGCTCAAGAACATACCTTGACTTCTCGACATGGACGACGGATCGTATTCTTTCGGGTGAGATGGAGGGAAGGGTTTGAATGACGCGGTTGCGGACGCTGGCTTCCGTGGAGTTGGCCGGCAGGGAGGAGACGAAGAGGGATGTCTGTAGCGATAGAAGTCAATTGCTATGCCATGACCGCAGCAAGCACAACGCACGATGGTCTCATCATCTGGCGGCTTCAAGCCTTGCGCCTCTGCATGTTGCCTCATGATTTTCTTCGCCACCGGGTCGTTCACGCCGTGGTATCGGTCCTGCAGCTTCTGGTTTGACAGCTCGTTCTGCACGGGCATCTCGTGACGGTAGGGGCACTCCTTCCCGCGCTTGCACTCCCCCTTGACGAAGAAGGAGCAGATGTGGGGGCGGTTGCGCTTGTAGTAGGGATCGGTGCGCGCGAGCTGCTTGAGCATCTCCTTCCCGGCAGATGAGGTGCGGACAGTGTTTACGGCGGATTGGTTGTCGGCCATCTGGATGAAGATTAGTAAGGCCTCTTACACGATCAGATGGAACGCACCTTGGCCTCCATATTTTGGGCATAGTACTCGCGGTTGATGTCACTCGTAGGTGCATCGTTCACCACACCGAGCGCCGTGTCGCGGACCTGAGTGGGGAGCCCATACTCGAGATCGAGCAGACATGTCTGGCAAACGTTCTTGACCTTCGCGCACGTCTGGCAGATAACAGTGGTCTTGAAGCGCATGCCCGTGCCGGGGTTCCATCGGAAGACAGTGAAGGGCCGCGCGCACGTCCCACACGAGCGGCCGTACTCCTGCTTGCTCATGCGCACAAAAGGGTTGTCGCCCAGGCATGTCTCGCAGAGGATGGGGAACTCGGACTGCTCCCAGCCCGCCTTGTTCAGGTCAGCTTTCGGCATGATGATGAACGGGATGGACAAACGGGGACGCGCACGGGGATGACAAAGCGCGCCATCAATCAACTCGCCCACGTGCGCGCCATCAGATCAGCGCATCACGCCCCCGCACGACATCCACAACGCCAAACAGACCGCGCCGCGTCCTGCTTCCGCCCGTCACCCACTGCGCCATGGTCCAAGTACAGCCGCGAAACATGTCCGAGCGCCAGGAGAGCGAGCAGCCCTCCGCCCAGGGCGGCTCGCTGCTCATCGCGTGGCAGCTCAAGGACAAGAACGTGCTCATCGTCGGCGGCGGGGAAGTAGCCTCCCAGCGCATCGACTCCCTCCTCCCCACCGACGCCAACATCACCGTCCTCTCGCCCGCCAAGGGCGTCTGCGCGCGCACTCAACAACTTGTCGACGCCCACCCGCACCGCGTCACGCACTACGACCGCCGCTTCACCGGCCCCGCCGAGCTGCACCACATGGACATGGTCCTCACCGCAATCGACGACGTCAGCAAGAGCCGCGAGATCGTCGAGCTCTGCCGCAAGGCGCGCATCCCCGTGAACGCCGCGGACATCCCAGACCTCTGCGACTTCTACTTTGGCGCGCAGGTGCGCGACGGCCCGCTGCAGATCATGATCTCGACGAACGGGAACGGGCCGAAGCTCGCGGCGCTCATAAAGGAGCGCATCCGCGACTCGCTCACGGGGTGCGAGGGTGTAGCGATTGAGAAGGTCGGGCAATTGCGGGCGATGCTGCGCGAGCGCGCGCCGGGGGTAGGCGGCGGGCTTGGGCGGAGGCGCATGAAGTGGATCTCGAGCCTGTGCAGTCAGTGGCAGTTGGAGGACCTGATGCACTTGGATGAGACGACCATGACGCGCCTCCTCGATGAGGGCTGGGAGAAGAATGAGGTACCGACGCCCGCTCAGCTAGGCGTGAAGCGGACGCAGACCTACAAGAAGTCCGCCCCTAGTACTTCTTCTGCGCCGCCGATTTCCGGATCGCTACCCATCATCCCTTGCAGCCTCGCTTTCGTGGCAGGTATTGCATGCTCCGCCGCGGTCTTCCTGTTGCGTGCAAGGCGTTAGAGCCTGACTGAGCGATACCTGCTGGCGGAATAAACCTGCCTAAAAACCATCCTCCCCACTCCAAGTCGATACCAAGCACACACATATTTATACGTACTGTAATTCGCGTGGTGTATGTACCAGATACATGTATACTACATAAGGGCCTGTAGACTGGAATCAATGCAATGGAACAGAGTGTCGAGTCACAAAAAATGGGATGCAGGAGCAAGAAAGAGTGCAATCATGCCAGTGTCCTGTTCGCATTCACATAGCCAGTACCATAGCATGAGTACACCAACTGCTTGCACTCCGAGTCTTCAGGCTCCGCTGGTGCAATTTTAAATGACGTGCCAAAGAATTGGCGGACGTCGCGGAGAAATTGGATGCTGAGGGTATCGTCAGTACCGTACTTCCCACGCCAGTCCATTCCCAGCGACAAAACGCGTGTCACTCACGTCTGCACCGTCGGCTCCCCCATCCTACACCGCCCCACATCCTCGCTCCCCAGCACCATCATCGACAGCACCAAGCACTGATGCCGGCGGTCGACACATCCGCCGCTTTCGAGCTCGGAGAGGAGGACGCGGGTGGCTTTGAGGGCGATGTCTTCGGGGGCGACGCCGGGTTCGGAGATGGCCTCGGCGGAGTGGAGGGCGCCGGTGGTGGATTCGGCGAGGATGGAGAGGGCGTAGCCGGGGGATCTGGGGGTGGAGGGGTTAGTTATAGGGAGAAAGGGAGAGAGGGAGAGGGGAAGGATAGGGAGAGAGGGGAAGGAGGAGGAAGAGGGAAGGGGGGAGGAGGTAAGAACGCACTTTCCACTGTCGTCACCCTTGTATACGTCGGAGTAGATGTAGATGTCGGGAATGTAGCGGTTGAGAATGGATCGGGACGCCTCGATCATGCGGTTGGAGAACTGGGGGCTGACGCGGACGGCGTGACTGAGGGCAGGTCAGAGATAGATACATGAAGAGGAGGATGTAGGACGTACGCCACCCCTCGTATCCTCTTGATCTTCCCCGGGTCCACGAAGTTCAACGTCTTCACCTGCTTGACCACCGGGCATAGGAATTGTACTTCCCCTCCTCCCGCTGGCGGCGCTCCCCTCTTCTTTATCCTCAGCTCCACGCCATCGAATACACCGAAGAGCTGTAGATGCGGGAGAGTGACCGTGCGGAGGATGTCTACGGACAGATTCCGCCCATCAGTGGTGACGCCGCGAAGGGTAAGCTGCACAGGCTTCTTCGCGAAGGGCGCAAGCATGATGATGGGTTCGAGGAAGTATCCGACAGCCTGCGACAGGGGACAGTCATGTGTGAGCGGACCGCCGGCGATGATGCCTGGTTTGAGGAGGATGGCCGTGCCTATGCTTCGTGGGGCGCTGTGAGCGATGTGTAGGACGTACAGAGCGCTAACACACACCAGTCACGGAGATCTCAATGACGGTACCATTGGTGAGCTTCTCGAGCAGGCGGAGGAGGCTAATTTCGTAGTCTGCGAAGTCCCCCTCATCAGCCAGCCGGAAGGGGAACAATAGTTCGCACTGTACTGACCTCGTAGACCAGGATTCTTATCCTCCGGCCGTATCTTGTCGATTTTGACGGGCTTGCCGCTCAAAATCGACAGCACCAGGCGCTGTCGCAGGTACTGATGTCCGGAGAACTGCACGAGTGCACCGGCCGCCATTGTAGTGGATGCGGGGGAAGGCAAAATATGGGCGCTCACGTGAGAAACGCGATCGGCCTTTCGGGAGAACGGGCCGCGGCGCCGAGATGGCCTCGTCGCGCGCTGACACACAGCCGTCAACAACGTGCCTCTTGTCCTTCCCCTACCACCGTCTACTCATCCACAACATGTCTGTCGAGACCGCGACCGCTGCAGATTGGCCCGGACGCTACTACCATGTCGACCAGATCCTCGACAAGCCGGGGCCCAGGACGGATCCGGACTTTATGGCGGGCGAGGGGGTGAGCGGCGCCTAATCAAGCGCGCAAGTGATAGAGGGAGCTGATGAGTACGGACACAGGTGAAGGACTTTCTGCGGACGAAGGCGAAGATTTTGGTCATTGGCGCGGGAGGGCTGGGGTGCGAGATCCTCGCGAACCTCGCGCTCACGGGCTTCAAGGACATCCATGTCATTGACATGGACACGATCGATATATCGAACTTGAACAGGCAGTTCTTGTTTCGGTGTGTGAACCAGTTGTGGCTAGTATGCGTCCATCTGACACGACGCGCAGCCCGAAGGACGTAGGGAAGCCCAAAGCGACGGTCGCGGCTGAGTTTATCATGAAGCGCGTCCCGGGATGTGTGGTCACCCCGTGCGTCGCGTTTCTCCACCCCGTTTGCCCCACTCACACGCCCGCAGCTACTTTGGCAAAATCCAGGACAAGGACGACGACTACTACATGCAGTTCAACCTTGTCATCTGCGGCCTCGACTCCGTCGAAGCTCGCCGGTGGATCAATGCCACCCTTGTCAACCTCGTCGACCCAGAGAACCCGGAGAGCCTGAAGCCGCTAATTGACGGCGGAACTGAGGGTGCGTGATACTTCCTGCAATGTCAACAAAGCTCGTTAACGGTCTGTTCCGTGTAGGCTTCAAGGGCCAGGCGCGTGTGATCCTGCCCACGATCACCTCTTGCTACGAGTGCTCGCTCGATATGCTCAACCGGCCAACCGCCTTCCCCATCTGCACCATCGCGAACACGCCGCGTCTGCCCGAGCACTGCATAGAATGGGCTTCCGTACTCGAGTGGCCTCGCGTGCATGGGGGTGAGTGCGCCTGTGTCAGGCTCGGTGCGGCTTGACTGACGTGATACGCAGACAAGAAGCTCGACACGGACGATCCTGAGCACATTGGCTGGCTGTACTCCGTCGCTGCAGCGCGCGCGAAGGAGTTCAAGATCGAGGGTGTCACTTGGTCGCTCACACAGGGTGTCGTGAAGAACATCATCCCTGCCATCGCATCGACGAACGCTATCATCGCTGGTGAGCCCCGCTTCCCCTGCTATTTACTCCTCCTTTCCCTACTCCTTCCCTTTCATCTCCCTCTGCCATCATATACCGTACCCATCGCCCACCTATCGTTCACCAAGCCCCCCTCTAACCGACCTCCCCACAGCCGCCTGCTGCAACGAAGCCTTCAAGATCGCCACCAGCTCCGCCGCCTACCTCAACAATTACTTCATGCTCATCGGCACCGACGGCGTCTACTCCTACACCTTCGAGCATAACCGGCGACCTGAATGCCCCGTCTGCGGCGGCGAGTCCCTGGACATCAGCGTCAACAAGGACATGACTGTGGAGAAGCTGATCGAGATGTTGGTGGAGAGGCAGGATGTGTACGTATCAGCCCATCATTTTGCTCCAGCGCTATTGCTTACGATGCACCAACTCCTACAGCCAAATCAAGAAACCCTCGCTATCCACGGCCACGACGAAGATCTACCTTCAGGCGCCACCACAGCTGGAGGAGGCAACGAGGCCGAATCTGGAGAAGAAGCTGTCGGATTTGGTCCAGAATGGAGACCAGATCACCGTGACCGCGAGCTCGTTGCCGTTCGACTTGACGCTGAGGATTACCTATACATCATGAGGGATTACCTGCACTTCGTAGAATTCTTTTCCTCGTCATGTTCTTGCTATCGCTGTAACATCTTCATACTGACCGAATGCACAATGTATAATCATCCAATGGTAGATCGCCGGTGTGCCAGTGAAGAGGACAACGAGCGACAAGTGGAGTCCCTAATAGACCTGCGCATGCCATCGAGCCCTCCGATCGCTCTACCGATAAATCACACAAACCCTCCCAAAATCCCCATCCTCACCCGTACCCCCGCCCGCTACCGCGAGCCATTGCTGTAGCAGCGGCCAGCCTGCCTCGAAGCGCACACTCAGCTCGTCTGTGTGGTGCTCGCCGTCGAGGAGGGGGATGAGCTCGGGTGGGCAGTTTTTGGGGTCGCTGGTGGGTGCCCAGCGCGGGTCACCCGCGTTGGGCTGTCGATAGTCGCCTGTGGCTGCTTGTCGATGTCGGTGTGAAGCGGAGGTTGTCTTGATCTTGATATTGGGCGAAGGCGGCGGGAGACCTTGCGCCATGAGGGACTGTCTCCGCGATTCCAGGCCAGGTCCTCTTGCCCCGTGCTCTTGCCCCCTTCCCCCGTTTTCCTGCGCCCTCCCCGCCAGCGGCGGCAGCGACATCAGCGGCGACCCCGGCCGCCTTACCGACGCCGCCAGCGCGCTCCACCTCGTCTGCGCCGAGTCCTTGTTCCTTAGGTGCTCCAGCGCCCGCTCCGCCGCCGACGCCTGCCGCGCCCTATACATATCGAACGCATAGGTCAGCACGTCCGCGCTCGCCTCCGCCGGTACGGGGGACGCGACGGCAGGTACCGCAGGACTCGCCAGCGTCGGCGTCGTCGCGCCCGACAGCGTCGCGTGCGTCGGCGGGGTGCTGGTGCCCAGGTTCGGCGCGGGGTGGTAGGCGCCGCCGGCGAGGTTGCCCCGGAAGAGGAGCTGCGCCTGGTGCGCGGCGGGCGGGAGGGTGGGCGTGGCGTCGGGGGAGAAGACGGGGTACTGGCTGAGGGAGGAGAGGCTGGCGACGCGCTTGCGGGTGGTGGCGGTGGCGTCAAGGGGGGTTATGGGGGTTTCGGGCGTGTTGTGGTGGAGCGCTGGGGGCGGGAGGAGGACGGGCCAGCGGTGGACGCGGCGGAGGAAGCCCTGGATCGCTTAGTTAGTGCGGACCATCAAGCGTAGAGCGTTTTGCTCACCTTGATTACGCCGAAGCTTGTGAAACGGCGGGCGTCGATGCCGAGCTCATGCACATCGTAGGCCTCCATCCATTGCTGGACCGTCTTCCCGGATCGGAAGCGTGAATAGAGGTGCAGCAGCTTAGGCCAGTCAGGAATCCTCTGCCCAGGCCGCGTCACATAAGGACCGCACTCCTCCTTAACGTGCGGTTCCTCCGCGAGCCACTGGATGCTTCGCCGAAGTGTATACACGTTGGAGAACTGGAAGATGTCGATGGTCATGATGACTTGATAATACCTGCGCCGGAGATCAGAGGGACGACGCTGGCAATAGATTTGGTACCAACAAGAGGTGCGATATAGCTTCGCGAGTTAAAACAGGGTCGCAGTCAGCGAGATGCGCTATCCTGCTGACATGGTTCGTGCCATCGATGAATTTGCAGATCTGTAGATGACAGTCAGTGCGGCCTAAGACGAATTAAAAAAAGCGCTTACCTTTACCATGGTCAGATCCCAGTCGTCCTCAACCGCTTTCTTCAGATTGATCAGTGCGACGGGGACCATCCAGTCTGTTCGTTCGTGAGTTACGCCAGCGTATGAACACACTATCCCTACCATGTACCGGCGGAGGATTCGGATAGAAGGGAAAGATCTTCAGCTGGATCGAGTTGAAGTGGTCGATGGGAATCGCTGTCTCCGAATACGAATTGAGATCCTCGAAAAGCTGTTCCAGGATCGCTTGCATGGCGTCTGGTGTTGGCGGACAAGATATGTACTTTGACTCTTCCTAGAGGCATATTGTCAGACCAGTTTTAGAGTATCAATGGTGCGACTTACCTCACATGAAGTCAGAACCCGGTTGACCTTGCGGACGATAGGCTCGTAACAGCTGACATCGGCCGAGCGCTCGAAGACAAAGCACACATTGTAGTAAAGGTAGTTCCGCTCGTACTGCGCTCCCTCCAGCGCTACCGGATGCCCCACAATTCGATAGTGCTTCGTCGCGCAGGTCACCAGTCTCCCGCAAAGTGGACTTGGCGGGATCACATACTTCGATATGTCGTCAAAGTTGAACAATATCCGATTCGAAGAGCCCGAGCGTTGCTTGTGGGAGGGCGAATACAGATTCCGCGAGTTCGGCCGCTGGTAGTCGACGGGTGATACCAGAGATATGCTCGAGTTGCGTGACGCAGCACTAGGCGTTTGGGCAGAGGGTGGTGTCTCGATGGATGGCGTCGGAGGCGCAGAAGGGTATACAGCGCCTAGAGCAGGGTTAGAGGGACCACTTGTTGCGATAAGGCCCTCGGGGACTTGGTATACGATTTTTGGGCCCTTCTGAACGTCGAAGACAGCGTAGAAAACGGACTGGATCCGTGGAAGGAAGGAGTCTCCTTCGGAAGGCATATTTCGCCAAAAGTGCAGACAGACCACCGGAAGCTTGCAGTTGAGTATCACCGCTGACTTATAAAGGGAAGAAAGAGACGGCCAAAGGGTGGACTGGACCCTAGCTGGCGGTCGAGGTCAAGTTCGGTTTCGGCATTTTCCGACGTGCGCGTGCCGGCCCTAAATCAGGCCGACATTCACTTCCTACTCTTGTGTCTGACTTCGACACTACTGGTCAAGCTGAGGATCTGTATTCGATGCACAAGACTCTTCATTAATCTCAGATTCGCTTGCAATTGAAGCACAACAATTCAACACACTGTTCGCGTGCTGTTTTCCAATATGACGGTACACGATCAAACATGAGAAGCGGGCAGTGTTTATGGACCACCGGCACCACGAGAAGCAACCAAAATCTGCCTCATCGACTTCCTCACGCTCGGGCAAAAGGGACCGACAATGAGCGCGAAGGCGTCGAATCACTACGGCAATCTGGGACTACGCCCGGGCCTTGCGACAGGTGCGGCTGACACAAGGCTCTCGGAGCCCGGATTGGAGTGCGCTCCCCGACTTCGCTTCCTGCTCCGAGCCCGTACGCGTCGTCAGGATCGCCGCGAACTGACGACCCTTCTCTGCACGTTGCCTATAAAGCAGTGCGGGAACAAGCGCCTTCTATCGCCGCTTCCTTTCCCTCCCTCGTCACTCTTTTGCCCACGATGCGCTGTGTCACCAGTGCTTCGCTTGCTCTCTCGCTCTTCGCGTCGTCGGTCCTCGGTAGCATTTGGCCGCTGCCGCGCTCTCTAACAAACGGCACCTCTTTCCTCCAACTTGCGCCCGACTTCAAGTTCAACGTCGAGCTGGACGGCGCTCCTGATGATCTGTATATCGCTATTAACAGGACGACCCAAAGTATTCAAAGCTCTCTCATTGAGCGTCTTACCGTCGGACGTGGAACGCAAGACCAGCAAGCGATCAACGCAGCTCCGACCCTGTCTTCGGTGTCGCTCGTGCTTCAGGATGGTGCGACTGTTCTTCCCATCGCGGAGGAAGCTGTAAAGCCCTTGGGCAAACGCTCCGAGGGATACAGTTTGCATGTCCCTGAGGACGGCTCGGAGGCGATCATTTCCGCAAACAGCACGTTGGGGCTCCTGCGTGGCCTTACCTCGTTCGAGCAGCTTTGGTACACTCTGGAGAATGTCACGTATACCAACTTGGCCCCAATTACTATCGAGAACGATGCTCCTGCCTACGTATGTGTTTCTCAGTCTCCGTTGCCCAATCTTCGCTCACATCAATGTGTATATCTTCATAGCCTTACCGCGGCTTCATGCTGGACACGGGACGCAACTAGCAAGCACACGTTCTTTTATTCCTGTACGGGCAACTCAACAGAACCTTATAGCTTCCCGGTCGACGATATCAAGCGGACGCTTCTGGCCATGTCTTTCGTGAAGATGAGCATGTTCCATTGGCACATCGTGGACAGTCAGAGCTTCCCGCTCGTGGTCGACGCCTTCCCGGAACTTGCGCAGACCGGCGCGTACTCGTCCAAGAAAGTGTACACGCCACAGGACGTGCAAGACGTCGTTTCTTACGCTGCTCAGGTGAGTCCAGACAATCCAGAGGTGAATGACCCTCCTGACTTACGCGATCCGCAGCTCGGTATCGATGTTCTGATGGTACATGCTTTCCTCAGCACATCACGCTCTTCACTAACCTCACACAGGAAGTCGACATGCCCGGGCACACCGACATCATCAGCCTGGCGCACCCCGACTGGATCGCCTGCAACCAGGCCTCGCCGTGGTTGGACTTCGCAGCCGAACCACCCGCGGGCCAGCTGCGCTTTTCGTCGAAAGACGTTGTTGACTTCGCTTCCTCCCTCGTCAAGGCCGTCGCCGGCAATCTGTCTTCGTCGTACTTCAGCACCGGCGGCGACGAGATCAATGCCAAGTGCTACGAGGCCGACCAGCAGTTCCAACAGGGGCTCAACTCTACGGGAGCTACGTTCGATTCTGCCTTTGATTCTTTCATACAAGAGGTCCACGGTTCTTTGGCTGAAGTCAACAAGACGCCTGTGGTCTGGGAAGGTGCGTGCATATTCCTTGATGTCTTCATCATGACCTCGAAAGTACTGACACTTTCTCTGACAGAGATGGTCCTCGAGCAGAACGTCACGCTCTCGAACGATACGCTCGTCATCGTGTGGGTCTCGTCCGAAAACGCGGCGAAGGTCGCAGAGAAGAATTTCAAGATTGTGCACGGGCCGTCAGACTACTTTTACCTCGACTGTGGCATCAGCGAGTGGATTGGAAACACTCCCGATTCGTACGCGATCTTCACTCTCCTCCATATGGGTTGAGCTAACTCCCTCGCAGCAATAGCTGGTGCGACCCGTACAAGTCGTGGCAGCACGCATATACCTTCGATCCTCTCGCCAACCTCACCGACACGCAGGCGAGCCTGGTCATGGGTGGTGCGTATACCAGCGCTTTGTATTCTTTCTCTTTATTTAACCTCTCGATAGGCCAGCAACTGCTTTGGACCGAGCAAATCGGCCCGGAAAGCCTCGACTCGACCATCTGGCCGCGTGCAGCAACCTCAGCGGAGACCTTCTGGACTGCAACGCAACCCAACGGCAGCGCGCTCGATGTCAACACCGCGCTCCCTCGCCTGCACGAGCTGCGCTACCGACTACTGGAGAAGGGCGTGGGTGCGAGGGCTATTCAACCCGAGTGGTGTGCGCTTCGCCCCTTCGCTTGCAACATGGAGGCTTGAATGTCAACACCATCTGGCATACTTACGATTCTACAATATACCCGTTTTCCTCGTCCACGTCTTTGAGAGCCATCATCAAGCCACAGCATGCTGGCATAAATTCCAAGAAATAAGTAGCGCCTATACTAAGAATATCTACGAGACCAGCTCGCCATGGCCCTACGAACGGGAGCCTTTTGTATGTATGCAGTCTTCTTATACTGAGCAGTCGATGGGATAGGGTAGAGTGGGGTGGAGTATAGGTTAAAAAAATCAGCGACGCGGGATAGGATACAAAACCAAGCAAAGAGTCAGATCAAAGCACCCAAGAAAGCAGGAGAAACGAGGTCATTGTACGTAGCCAAGCAAGAAGAACGACGAGAGCGAGAGCAGCAGTAATGGCGTGATGAAGGATGTGGAATCAGAACAAATTATATCCTGTGAACAACTCCGCCTCGCGGCGTTCCGCAAGGTTGCGGCGCACGAAGAGGGCGAAGTCCTGTCGAGTCAACGCATACGGTGAGCTCAACAGCCTCACATACGGGGAAAGACATGTCTACGCACAATGACGCGGGTTTCCACCTCGTTTAGCCCATACACATTCACGTTGGCCATGATCGCGTCGATGTCCGCGATGCGCTCGGACAGCCGGGCAGCGCGCTGAGCGCGCGTGAGGGTCTCCCAGTCGCAGGGGTTACTAGTGAGCACAGGAAGGAGGCGGTCGGGGTAAGAGGCGGCGGCGAGGTATTCTGGGGTGGAGATCTGGAGGGAAGACTGAGGTCAAAACTCATAGAAAGGTGGCAGAGGCAGCGAAGCACGCACGACGTCCATGATGGTAATATTCTCGAGCTCTGAGATCTACTTGGGCAATAAGTTAGCGGCCGAGCGGGAAATGGGATGCAGGACGCACCATGTCATCCTCCTCATTGTCGACTTTTTGCCACTTGAGCGGTCGGCGGTAGGGGTGTGTCCTGTACCGACCGTAATTGACGCGTCTGTACGCGGGGAGACGCGCCGCGACGGTCGTATTCGGCGTCGATGGTGGGCTCAAAGCCGTTGCATTTTGCAGACTTGCGAGCGAGGAAGTATGGGTCTCTGACGTCGTCTGAGCCGTGTTCGACGCGTCGTGCACGACGGCGGGCCGAGGGAGACAGTTCTGGTACGGCGGCGCGCTCTCGCTAGCGGTGAACGACCTTGGAGGTGCTACTTCCTCGTACGGAGGCGGCGGGGCCATGAATTGCGCGTAGGTCATCTGCATTCCGTCCATTCCTTGAAGTCGTCGCTCGTCGAAGGTCCTAGAGCGATGCAGGCGGGAGCAAGAGACGGTGCGCCCCCTCCACTTTTCAGCGTATTTTATACCCCGCCCACTCGACGGGCGGGTTTGGGGCGCGACGGCGATCAAAAGTGTATTGCCCTTCTTGTCCATTCCCCTGCCCATCCTGTTCCCCCGCTGCCGTCAACAACACAGTCGCGGGCCGTACCCACGCGAATTCAGGCGGCGAAAGCGCTAATTCCGGTTGGGCCGTAAGATCCAGGGCCCCAGGTTCGATATTGGACTCCCAGCTCCCTTTCCGGATACCTCAGGCCCCACGCGCGTACTCCCAGCCTTTTTCCAGAAGCTCAGCGCCCTTTGCCGGACACCCAGTTCCCCTTCCGAACGTAGATCTCCTTGTTTCGCGGGCGATCTACGCTCAGGATGACCTGCGACGTTGCGAGGCAGAGACATAACGAAAGCGCTGTCGCGTCCCGCTTATCTATGCTCGGACGCGCATGATCTCGCGGGGCAGGGTTCGGGGAGGGCGCATGGGTGCAGGACAGCCGCGACCTGAATCTGGGAACGGAGGGATCGCATTGACGGCAGAAACGCCTCCCGGTGCTTCGTGGGGGCCATGGGACTTTCCCTTCATCGTACGACGGTGGGCGAAGGGTGCGTGGGTGCCGACTTAGATGGGGCAGCGCTTCTGTCAGTGCTTTGGCGCACGGTACCCTCCCCTGGTCGCGTTTGCCGTCTGTTTTGTGAGTCAGCAGATGCCCTCCCTCGTTCCCCAATCCCCTGCTGCTTCCTTCGCTGCCTGCTGCCACTAAATTCTCCCTCTAGCCCAGAAATACGGCGCGATCATCCGGCGGTACCGCGTCTCGGACGCGGTGCACGTGACACGCGACTTTTGACAGTCGGTGACTCGGGCTGCACCCACAACGTCGCTCGACCATCGACTACCACCACCACAACGACAATGGGATATGGATGGTGACACAGAATGGGATATATGCGCTTCCACCATGCGTGTCCGTCCGCTAGACTGAACCTCAAGGCGACACGAAGGCAGAGCATGTTCAAGAACAATGGCAACGTATGGGGGATAGTCCTCAAGACCTCTCTGCGCGCAATAGCTCTTCAGGGTGGGATGCAAAGCAACAAGCAAGCAAGCAAGCAGCAAGAGACTGAGAGCAGTGAGAAGACGCACCTGCGACTATAACATCCAATTCGCTCCACGCATTCCTCCTTTCCGAGATCCCCTGTCCTGAACATCCTATGCGTCCTACTTCATTCTAGTGCGATGCTCGGCGCGCACTGCAGACTGGGCCTCCTGCTTTATGCCGCTATGATCAACGCGTCGGCGAGCAACGACGCTGAGCAATTGGTTTGAAGACGATGACGAGCGCCTCGAAATTGTCTTTTGCAAGCGAATCGTGACCTTCCCTCGACGGTGAGCAACGCCTGGATGACCGAGATGCGAAGCTGGTGCAGATGACGCTGATCATATTTTCCTGAAGTTGCTGGTTACAACCAAGCCCTCGTTATAACCAGCGCGAGTCGAAAGTCGGCTGGCATTGTTACGGGCGGCCTGTGCGGGCGACCGAGCGACCAAGCGACAATGACCATGAAGGGAAGATGAGGGCGCGGAGGAAGAGACGGCTTGACGCGGTCACCAACCCCCCGAATCAACAAACCCCGCGAAATTCGATCGGAATTTCCGGGGGCGCCCACAGCACCCCTATCTGCTACCCGCTTCTGCCTCCTCAATCTGCACTTAGATGCCCTCAATTTTAGGTCCTCCAATCTGGCTTATATGGCGCCTACTTTCAGGCGAAATCGAGGACTGCGAAGCTGCGAACGGCGACCTCGCCACATTTCCTTCGGCTTTCGGGATTGGACCCCCGGTCAGTCATTTCACCTCCTGCCTTTACGGTCGAATGCTTCCGCCATTTGTAGGTTCACTTTGCCGCTCTCTTGTCCCTCTCTCTCCCGCGCGAGAGTACCAGAAAATCAATGACTTACAGCAGAAAAACCCCATACGTCGACGCCGCCAGGATTCTCGGGACTCTTGAAGAAATCTGTCGTTCGCTAGGATCAATCGTGGGTGATCAAGCGCCGTCTCTTTGGCAGGATTTTCTGGCTCCCGGCGATTCCCTTGCATTCATCCTGAAAGCGCGGTGACTACAAGATGACCAGCGCAAAGGCCCTCCAACCTCTTTCGTATGACTCGTATGTACGAGCCTTGCATCCAGACATTCGATCGAAGCTCAGCGCTCAGCGGCAAAGGACTCAATAAGCTATGGGCCCTCCTTGCCTGTTTGCTTCAAGCCAGCAATACGCGTCAAAAATGCCTACAACAGAATCTCGGCCATCTCTTCTGCCTTCGTTCGCCTCTTTTCGGTTTCAAGACCTTCCTTCGTCCCTGGGCTTTCCGGCGTCTCTCAATAACTTATAAGTAGTACGTGACTTGTTGCTTTCTGCTTCTATTCGAGGGATCACAAACCTCACTCGCCTCACTTGTTTTACTCAGAGTAGACCGCGAGCAACATACCGACGGCCCGATATCCCTCGACACGATCAAGACGCTCCCAAACACCAAGTCATAACTCCAACATCAGCGGCTTCGAGGCAATAACTCGCTCACAATGTGAAATGACCATCGGCGTCCGCCCTCGAGGATCGCGAATTATTCAGCATGGTAGCATTTGAAGAGCTCTCTTTCTCCTGGCTTGCAGTGCAACGAGCCAAGACTCCTCAAAGTCGCCTATATGCAATCTTCTGCTGACACCCTCAGTATTCGTGGCTTCCCAAGACGGCTCTAGGACATTTCCCCTTTGTGTCCCCTACCCTATTGTCGAGAATTCTGCCTTCGCAACCGATCCAACAGAAACCCACGAAGGACGCAGACGATCAGGGCGAAATCATGTCCATCGAGCGCCGTAGGTTTCGCCGAATTTGAAGTCGTTGAGCCATATATCAATTCAAGATTCGCTCTCGACACATCGCTCTCAGAACGCAGTCAATGAACAGATTCGTCTGTACATCTACGTGTATAGGGTACCATACATACAATATTATCATCATGATCTAGGTAATCCAGTGAACCGCGGTCGTACAAACGAAGGGATAGTGTACACATTCCAAAAGAGCAGTCATCATCCACGCAGCTCGACCGACGTCAAAGAGCTTCAGAACTTCCACCACTCACTCCTTTTTCTCCTCACTCCCATCCTCCCCCTCCCCCTCGTCCTTACTCGCACTAGTACCTCCCTCCGACTTCGACCTCTCCACCGGCCTCGGCCCCTGCTCACTATGCCGCCTCCTCGACTCGCTCCTCCGCCTCAACCCGCTTCCCATGCTCCGCCTCCTCTCGCTCTTCGACCTTCCACTTTCGTCCAACCGCCTCCGCTCGCCTCCTTCACTCCTCCGCCTCTCACTCTTGCTCCTCCCATGCTCACTCTTCGACCGCCTCACCTCGTCCAACCGCACCACCCCCGGCGCGTCCGGCGCTCCCGCCTCCCTCTGAGCCGCGCGCAACCGCCCATGATGATCACGCACGCCGACGATTTCGACGCTGTCGTCCGTGATGGGCGCGGGCTCGGAGTGTTCGCCGTGCAGCGACGGTCGCCCAGGTCTACCACGCTCGCCCGAAACCCTATCACGGTCATCGGAGAACCTGGCACGATGCTCGACAGCGGGTAGCGAGTACGACCGATCCATCCGCGAAGCGTGGGAGGTCACGGATGTCGGCGAAGGGATCTCCTCAGGCTCGCCAACGATCTCAATGCCGTCGACGATCTGGCCCGCCGCATTTCTCCCTTCAGCGGGCGCGGTTCTGCCCTCGACGCCCGAAGCGTGCTTTTCCTCCTCTGCCTTCTCCGCGTCCTTCTCGCTTGTTACAGCATGTGCTTGACTGGGGGCCAGTTTGAGGCCGGCGCGAGCGCGGGCGTCGGCCCAGAGGGCGCGCTCGCGGTCGACCCACCACGTGTGCTCGTTCTCCAGCTCGTGTTGCGCAAGCAGCCAGGAGCAGTACCTACGAGGGATGGAGGATCAGATGATGGTCTTATGAGGGACTGACAATGATGCATACCCGGCTATCAACGCCCACATGAAGAACATGCCGAGATTCCAGCCAAAGGCGAAGCGGAAGGACGAGCCCCACGTCGTTGCGGCTGTTATGCCGGCGTGGAAGATAGACGCGAAGACCTAGATCTATATGAGCAAAGTGATATGTGAGGTGGATGCAGCCCACGAACCCAGTACGCCGTTTGCCTGCGCATATGCTCGCGAAACGGCGGAGATGCGCGCCAACGCGCACGAAGGCGGCGACGCCAAGGTCGGCGGTAGCCAAAGTCGACAGCAACGATATCCTCTATTATGTAGAACATCGCCGGCTTGACGCGCGTATCGTCAGGATCCTCCTCAGAGGGCAGATAGGGTGTCGTATACGGAGCCGCGTGTTCTGCATCGACAGCCGTGTACGGCGCATGCCCCTGATTCGGGTCCTCATCGTCGTCGAAGGCTTCGTAGAAGTGCGTAGTCGGTGGCGGGCGGGGCTGCTCTATATGCGTCGCAGAAGTATTGTCGCTTGGCGCGGTAGTACCAGGAGTGACGGGCTGTACCCTGAGGCCAACGGGAGCCGCCTTGACGACTCCGTCACTTGTGATCTGTATGGGTACGGCGCGCCTGCGCCAATTCTCGAGGCGAGGGGACAGCGGGATGATGGTGAGGGCGAACATGACGCCAGCGGGGAGGATCAGCATGACCGTGGCCATGTTGAACATGTCGTATACGGGGACGGTGGGTGCGATGATGAGTGGGATGGCGAAGACGAGCATAGCGGTTGTGTAGAACCACATGGAGAAGTCTAGGTGGAACCACCGCGTCGAGTTGAGGGGGCCGAAGGAAGTACGGTGCTTAGTGACTGCTCGGGTCAGTAAAGTTCGGAGGAGAGTAGGATAAAGCACGCACGCTTCCACAATCGCATTGGCGCGTCGAAGCAGCTCGACAGACCGAGAGCCGAGCTGCTAATGCCCACCACATCTCGCAACTCGAGCGGCGTGAAATTGATGAGGGGGTAGAACAGCAGCACCGGGAGGATCACATTGCAAGAGACCAGGAAGAGGAAGTAAAGGAGCGGATTCCGCGGCTTGAACTTGAAGTGCAGCGCCGGCGGCTCTGGCCTAATCACATAGAACGTCTGCCCGGCCTTCCCCGTCATGGACGGCCGCGGGACCTCGTCCGCGCTGTCATGCTCATCGCCCGCCTTCTCGCGCAGTCGGCGCCGATCTCGGGGTCGGCGTGGACGTTGGAATGTTGCGAAGAAGGGGATGAAGCGGGGGAGGTATCGATGTGCAAAGCCGGTCGGCGGGGCCTGCGTCTCCGGGTCCTGCAGGCGCGGGGCCTTTTCTGAGGGCTCACTTGTGGGGGTCGGGGTCATCGTAGTCGTCGTGTCAACCGCCGCGTCCGCCGTGAGATGCGTCGGCGGCGCCGTCGAGCCCGCCATCGCGGGCGGCGTCGTGGTAGTCATCGCTGTTCAGAAGGTAGAGTGTGAAGAAGACATAGCCGGCATAAGACATGACGGGGCGAGCCACGGCTGGAGAATGACGTCAGCCACTGACATGGCTCATCACTTCAGCTTCTCGCCAACCGCGCAGGCGTCATTGCGCAGTGCTCGCCACCGTTCTTGGCTCTCGGCCTACGACAGAGCTCCTCCATCTCAAGTCCTGCCTTACCTTGCTTCGCATACCTCGGTGGTGCACGAGGAGAGAACCCATTCAAAGGGAGCATGTAAGGGGCAAGCTGTTGCGATACAGTAATACAAAGTTCGACTTCGGCTAACCTACACCCCCGCCGCCTCATCTTCGTCAATGGACGGATGTCAGCCTCGGAATACGGCCCCCTTCAGCTATCTTCATCATCGCTGCTCAACGCTGACGCTCGTGAATTCGCCTGATGGGCCCGAGATGCGCCAGACCTGGACCTCCCGGAACCTGCACCCGACGATGCCCGGCGGCACCCGCACAACGCGCAATGGCTTTGAGGACTTTAGCATGAGGGTTGCCAAGACCGCATGCGCGCGGCACTGCAATCGAGATGGAAGCATCGAGACGGGTCCACTGCCTACAGGACGCGCCTGCTGTTGCTGGCGGGCGGGGGCAATCTGCAGAATGTTGGGCACGAGTAGCCAGCAACAGCGTCGAGGCAGCAACAGCGTGCGCGATGGCCGGACCGTACGACAAGCAAGGAATGCGCGCAGATGTGGCGCAGAAGTCGTCGTACGGGCACATGCAACGATAGTAGATTGCGAGGCCTGGTGTGAGGCGAGCAACGCGTCTTGAAATTCAGCGCAAGTGCGCGAGACCAGCACTCGGTGCCATGTGCCAACGGGAGGGCATATGCAGGTCAGCGACGGTTGGCCATGTTTACGCTGCAGGGTTATATGTCGCCAACGACAGTTTCGGAGCTGTCGTCCATTCTGGCGAGTGGTTTGGGCGTCCGTGCGGTCTTCCCATCTGCGGTAGACCCAATATGCGGCAGGGAGGCTATATCCTTCTCTCCCTTCACGATCCCGACAAGTGCATCTTCCATCCACTCCTCGCCTTCCCTCCACTGGCCTGCCCGTCCCCACCCCCTGATGCGCTCGGCCGCTTCTTCGCTGCGCTGTTCCATTTCGGAGTCCTCGATATCGTGCCCCGCGGACATCTTCTCAAGCCCGAGCAGGTTATAGTAAACGAGCAGCTCGAGATCGGACTGCAGCTTGTACCGCTCGGGGCAGAACTTCCGGTACTTGAGCATCATGCGCAGGATTCCCGCATAGACGGCAGAGGGGCGCGGCACGTAGAGCGTGACCAGGGTGCCGTCCAGCGGCGTTGGCTCAAGTTCGTCTTCAGTGTAACCTGCTAGCGAGGCGGGCACGAGATGGATGCATTGCATGCCGTAGGAGTCTGTGGCGCGGGTAGCACGGTGGAGACGACCGCGTCGTAGAAAGTCGCCCTCGCTGCGTACGAGGTGGTTTGGAAGCGTGGTAACGGGGAGGTTCATTTGGGAGAGGATCGCTGACAGCGTCTCCAGCTTGTCGTCGGGCACGAGGAACGTGAAGTTCTAGCGGGGTTAGCGATATGCTAAGCCTTTTAGTAGTACTTTGCACACCTTTTGTATTCGCGGGAGGCCCATGCGCTGATCCAGGTGGGCGCCCCAGAGAATAAGATGTGTGTGCGCACTGAGCCTTCGTAGCGCTCTGCGGACAATCTCGTCGACCGGCAGTGAGAATATATCTTCAGTCGGTCCTTTCACATCCTTCAGTGGTGCAGCAGAGGTTAGCGTGTACGCCGGTGGTGATTCTGTTAGGTGTGCCATGGTCGTTGAGGTCAAGGTTAGGAAACGATTGGAAGATCGGTGGCGTCGGATGTCCGTCCCGATCACGAGCGCCAATTCGCACGGTTGGAATTCCCCCTATTCAAGTTCGAGCCTGGCATTGATCTTCCTTCGACCGCCATGTCCAACTCGATATCGGTCACCACAGTCCATGAACACCAAGCAGAAGCGGCGAGAGCCGTATCCATGAGGTGTTACTGGCCCAAATCTTGCTGACAACGCGTCTGAACTTGCCCAGGCTCGATGCCGAGGGCTTCAAGCACGTCTTCATTGGGGGCTTCGCTTGCGCCGTCCTCGGAAGTACGAGGCCTACAGAGATAGGTGGCTCTCATACTGCTCAAATTGCAATACGGCTGACGCACTTTGCACGATATTGATATCCTTATAGAGACCGAAGGCCGTAGCATCATAGAATTGCGCAACCGGATGGTGGACCTCGACGAAAGACTCGCGAGGTCCGGCATGAAGTTGTACTTTGTGCGGGTGCGTAAATCCATTTCCATTGCATATCCCGGCTTCAACCCGCTTCAGAAAATGCCTGCCTCGCCGCAATCATCGCAATCCACGCAAGACGGCGCGGCTGACGATATAGTCAAGAACAGCCGCGGCAATGTCTTGGTCGAGACGGTCGCCGCCGGGACCCTCGGTCTGCCCATCATTGCTGGCCCCGTCTACCAAGACGAGAATTACAGTGACTATCTCCTTTTCAACTCGTCTTTTCCCTCCATCTAACGCTAGACAGAACTCAAGATTCTTCATCCTTCGGTCTTGCCGCTCACCAAGCTCGGGCGCTGGACAAGAATGCGCGGTCGCACGCGCCCGAAGTCCCAGCTCAAATTCCGCACTGACGAACAGGATATCATGCTTCTGATTCACCTTCTCGCGGACCTCAACTTAAAGCTCGGAATCGCGGATTACGAAGGCAAAACGAGGGCAGAGATCTTGCGCCTCGTCTCCACCTTCCACGATAGCTTCAAGGAGGACGAAGACTTCTGCGCGGTGCTTCAGAAAGTCATGCATGCGGACGACTGGGAGGAGATGTTGACGACCCCTCCGTTCGAGGTAGAATCTGAGATTGCGCCTACCGATTAGGTGGCTCCTGGGTTGATGGGAATACCCTCGGCTTTGCAGCAAAAGTAATTTATCTGTAGTTATTGGTCTCTGTGTTACACCTGCTTTCATCTCTTCGTGCTATGAACTGCTTTCTTCGTTGGTGACACCCGCGTGGGAGGAGCCTTTGTCTCCGCTTTAGGAAGGTCTTGTCCCTGATGGGGCACACCTCCGCATGTCGAATTGCTGAGAACCTGCAATAATTACCCCGAAGACAATATGTTGCGGTCGGACAGCTCAATATACAAGAGGTATGTACTGCTGAGTGAAGGGGCCAAGCTCTTCACTAATTTGGGGAACCCGTGAACACGGCCGGTTCCGACGGTCCGGACCGTGCAAGATATTGCCGCCCTCGAGGCGCCTGTTCGCTATCTTTTCAACGACCACCATGAGCTCCAGCGACACCCAAGAGCGACGCTGCTGTGCGATCTGCTCCTATCCTGCGCCCAGCCAATGCTCTGGCTGCGGACAGGCGTTTTACTGCTCGAAAGGTACGTCGCGTCTCTAAGAACGCGTCGACTCGGAACGCGGGCTAATAGTGAGCAACAGAGCATCAGACACTGGTACGATTCCGGGTCACTGACGCGTCGCGATCAACACTAATGCTGATTCAGGCGTGGTCTAAACACAAGCGTCTATGCAAGATCTATCAGCGCCAGGCTCGAGGGGAGCCCGTCCCTTCCCCAGATTCCTACTGCGGTCTGTGCGGGAAGGAGAACGGGCCGCTCCGTCGGACAGAATGCTGCAACAGAACTATCTGCGACGACTACGGGAACTACGTGCGTGTACCGCACTTCCCACCTTCGTATACGGTTAACGTTATCATATCCTCCAGACGATGTTCTCGTTCAGCGCCAACAGCTGCTCCCGAAACCATGATCGATATACGCGCTGCTGCTACCATTTCAACGAAGGTCACCCCGGCAGCGACCCTCTGCAGTGCACTAAGTGCTCTACTAGCCACGACGTGCGTGTCCTGCCTTTCCGCACGTCCGGTTCGTGAACCTGACGCTGCCGACAGGCGGAGAAGGAAGCGTGGTACATGACGAACAATTACAACTTCCAGGAGGACATACTACGGGCCAATCCGGCATCCTTCGCACCAAAGCACTGCACCGGGTGCGGCAGGCAGGTCAAGCAGAATGCCGAAGCCGTTTCGTATGGGCCAAGTGGTCTGCAGTGTGGCCGATGCACGGAGAGGATGGCTCCTTCTGTGCTGCCTCAAGATACTTACCAGTTTGACTCTTGAAAGGTAGCGACGTACGCGCCAATGTAATACCCTGATCTATGTTTGTGACCAAGAGGTTCATATCATCAGAGTCGACGCAACGAAGTGCGCTCGTTGTAAGTAATCATTTCAAGAATGTTGCAGCGCATACTGTATATTCGCGAGCGCGGGAACAGGTAGAGTTCATGAAAATCCTATCTCAAGTACTGGAAACATGTACTACGGCGCTGGATCTCCTTGTCGTCATCACAGTCCGATGTACTTATGTGTGTAATGGGCCCTTTCCCTTCACCTAGATCAGATTCGTACCCGGAGCTTGTTGCATAATCTGCTGGGTCGAAGGTGAAGCCAGGAGATTCAGGGATATTGACGCCTTGAGCTCGCAGGTCGTCGAAGTATGTACCGAATTCGATAGAGTACGGATTGCCGATCTGAATCTCCTCCAACTTGGCCACGCCTATCGAGCGATTCGTTGTCCGCTCCCTCGCAAGCTTTTGTAGCATTCGCATGTCACCCATGTCCAGGACCGCGAAGTCCGGCAGAACCAGCTCTCTGAGGCTCGGTACTGCTTGCCCAGCACGGTCAGTCAGTGCGTCTGCGAGGGACGTAAATAAGGGCGCCGGCCCTTCGTCTTCCCAACGTTCGTTCGAATCGCGTATCCAGATGGGCGATGCTGGAGAAGGATCTGAAGAAAGCTTTCCAGTCACGTTCTGCCAACCCGCCGACGTAGAATGAGAGGTGAGAGACAGTAGTTTCTGCTTCGGGATTCCTTGTCCGGAAATCCAGCAGCACATCCATCCCCTGCGAGTCGCCGATGCTGATCTGGTGCAGCCGAGGTGCGCGCAGTGACTGCAGGACACCCCCTGCCCTTTTTTCGATGATGGTTTCCAACAGAGGCAGATGCACATCGCGTCGCTCGAGGTGCTCCTCTCGACAGTCGATGGTGAGGTGCCTCAGGTTGACGCACAGATGTAGCATATCCATGCACTGTCTATCGTGCTTGTAGCCTATGTTGATGATCTCGAGCGTTTCCAACCGATCCCAGGGGAGGATCAAGTGCCTTTGCTCCATTCCCTCCAGGCGTACGTCAGATAGCGCAGGACTATGCTCGAACAACCCTTTACTGAGGTCTGCATGATCGAGGATGAGGTTTGTGAGCAGAGGTAGCGAGATCCTCTTGTTGTCAAAGACGCTCAGCGGTAACTCTAGGTACTCCAGGTGTATACTTCTCCAACGACAAGCGCTTCTGAGGAGCGGACGAGCGACGGCAGCCCACTCGCTTTGGGGAACCTTTCTGCGCCCAGCGTCTTTCAGCCGCTGTCGATAATGCTCCCGTGAATAATCACTGCCGAAATATATGTCCAAGGGGCAGGAGCCCGAATATTGCAAGCATGCGCGCAGAGTCCTGTGCCAGAACGGATCGCTGAGAGGGAACAGTACGATGTTCGCCCATACAGGCGGGAAAGACTGTATGACCGCACGCCAGAGATGGCAGACACGCATTACAGAGTGGTGCATGACTGACCGCGTCGTGTTAGGCCTGCGGTTGAAGGAGTGCGATATCACAAGCCCGAGGATCGCGGTAATAATTTCGCGAGGGAGTCGTCGGATAGGGGCAAGTAAGGCGCGCTGCCGCGCCATGTTGAGGACGACGGTACTGTGCTGTGCGCGAAGATCGTCAAGGATCGCCTGAGCTCTCTCGATAGCACCTTCCAGGCTAGATGCAGCGTCCTCGTTAAGGTGGATCGCGTGCTGAACGTCGGTGATCTCGCCACCCTCTGGGACTACTTGCGATCGCAGAGTGCGCAGGGGCACAGATGCCGCTTGTACGGATATCGAGGAGCCGCATCTCTCGCAGAGAATAGTGCGTAACTCGAGCGGTTCGAGGCGCAGATTTTCTGAAAGCATGACCTGCCGGCGAGCGGTGAGCGATGGAACGCTCACTCTACAGCAGTGAGATGTGCGCGCTTGATTGTAAGGAGAGTGCGCTCAGTATGAGCAAGGGTACGACGATAGTAGAAGGTGCTCTTGGATGGTGGCGTGGACGCAGCAGACATGTGCAAGCCTCGCGCCTCGCGAGGTTCACTGTGACAGCCGTGACATGACCATAACGGCAGACCGGGCCGACGATTTGATTCCGTTACACTGACTGGCGGATTTCAGTCGCAGCGCAAGCGCATGGTGATGTCGTATGCACTGAACAAGACTTCAAGTCGAGGAAAGATTAGGGATCGAGATTATAACATATCATCGCCTAGCACTCATCCTTACTACATTTCCCGCCATCCTCCTCCTCCTCCTCCCTATCCTGCTCCTCCTCAGTCCTCCTACACCCTCCCCACACCCTAAATCAATAGATCATCTACCGTCTGCCCCCGCCCCGGCTGCCCAACCGGCCTCGGCTGGTCCACCATATACGTCCCGAACGCGCTGTCCAGGTTCGAGTACGGGTCGTTGTCGTTCACCGTCACCGCCGCCGCGGGTCTACCCGTATCTTCATCCTCATCGTCGTCATCTAGTTGCCCTCCCTGCGAGTCCATCGACGCGCGCGGCGTAGGTGGTGCGGGCTTGTTGGCGTTAGGAGAGAGCATGGTGGTCGATGGAAGGGTGTTGGAGGGAGAGAGCGTGTTGGAGGGCGACAAGGTGGACGATGGTGAGAGGGTCGATTGTGGCCCGCCGTCGGTAGGGTCGACGAGAGTGCCCTCCTGCGCGGCGGGCTGTGTCCCTGGCTCGATGGGGCCCGGACCGGCGACATTGACCATCGCGAGCGGGAGGGCTTTGCGCATGACGGGTACGAGCACGGCGCGGGAGTGCGGATTGAGCGCGGGGCTGTCGATGAGCTGCTTCCCGGCGGCGTTGCGGATGAAAGTCTGGGAAGGGGTGAATCAGTATCTTGTTCGTGTTTGTAAAGTGAGCATCGGCATACCTCAGGGTTCTTATGGTATATACTCCCCAATGTACCCGTATGCAAGAGCAGCTGGTCTAGCGCGCCCCGGTCCATGCGATCCGCATCCGTCGTGATGGGGGGCTTGTCGGCGAGGACGATCTCGCGCGCGACGGCGGGGTTGATGGCGAGCAGCCGCCAGTACATGAACCCGCGATCGCGCAAGTCCGGATTGTCAACCTCCTCCGTCGCCCACTTCAAGACCTTGTGCACGAGCTGCTTGGCCCCGTCCGACGTCGATTTATACACAAAGAGCTTGACGACCGCCGTCAACAGCGCGAGTTGGACCTGTGCAATTTAGTTAGCATCATCCACCCACTCCCAGCCAGTGAATTCAACCCACCTCCACACTTTCCTCCAAGAACGTATACGTCAAATCGTCCAACAGCTCATCCGCATTATCAATCAAATTCGCATACTGCCCCAATATCCACACCATCGCCGCCTTGCTCTCCGGCTCCTCCAGCAGATCCAGGTTCTCGCACAACTTGGGTATGATCCCCTCGTACTTGCCCGGGTAGCGCCGGAAGATGTCCTTGATGACGATGATCGCTTCTTGCACGACGTAGCTGACCTTGGCGTCGAGGAGCTCGAGGAGGGCGGCGATGCAGCTGTCTGCGGCGGCTTCGACTTTGATAGCGAGGCGACCGATGGAGCGGACGGCTTTGCGGGTGAAGTCGATGTCGACTTCGGAGGCATATCTGGGGGAAGGTGGTGGTGTGAGAGGGATATGTATGGGGTCAGGAGGGAGACGTACTCTTGAAGCTCGGCGAGCACCTCGCGCGCGTTCTCTTCTCGAGCCAGGCGGTACATGATCTCGAGTTTGGCGAGCTTGACGTACACGGGGTCGTTGTACTTGCAGAAGAAGACTTTGACGTCGTTCTTCAATACGGCTGGTCGTCGTTGGATGATGAGTAGGATATTCCGAAGGGCGACGTATTGTACTTCAGGTCCCGACGATAACAAGGCAACTGTGCAAAGTCAGCCTCAATCCCTAGAACCTAAGTGAGGAGAACAGACCGAGTGGCGGACCCATCTTCTTGCATATTTGCTCCATTAGTTTTCTGTTGTCCATGTAGTTCATGAGATAGAGTAGGATCTTGATGGTGGTGAGGACGACGGCGGAGTTGGCATGCGAGAGCTGGCTGATGATGCGTTCTGCGATATCTTCTGCGTCCGCATGTCGCTCGGGCACAAACCGGAGGAATGAGTCCAGGATGTAGACCTGCCCCCACCTGTGCTTCCTGTCAGCACCACACATACCCGATGCTAGCAACCTCCACTCACTCTGAGCACTCTGGCATCGCCGCCAACAACTTATGCACCGTCGCCAAATTAAGCTTGAAGATCACCCCATCCTGCCTGTCCCCAATCTCCGTTAGCGCGGCGACCGCGTTGGACACGACGGTCGCGTTCGGGTCGAGCATGAGGTCGCGCAGCATCTCGACAAAGCCGCCCTTCTCCGCCTTGCGCGGGTCACAGGCGTAGAGCTTCGCGACGCAGATGGCGGCCGTCTTGCGCACGTAGGGGTCGCGGTCTTTGAGGCAGTGGCGGAGGTTCTCGGTGAGGGCGTCGATCACGACAGGGAGGGGGATGTAGGACATGGTGCGGATGGCGAGAGCGCGGATGAGGGGGTTACGGTCATTGCAGTCCTGATACAGATGAGATGGAGTAGCAAGGATGTATATGGGATAGCTTGCCTGAAGGAAGTTCGGGATAACCAGATGGATTTGGTCTGGCTTTGACCGGCCATAGCTGACGAGGAAGAGGTAGACCACTACAGACTGTCAAAGATGGCTGAAGGCTGTCGCTATGTCACGCACTCTTCTTGATCTCCAGCAAAGGTGTCCCCAGACATTGCACGACGTCGGTGAAGAGCGGAGACACTCAAGGCATCTTAGCTTCTCTCAGCGTTCGAAGGGTGGAGGGGATGTATACCAACTGTCATTCCCCATCGTTATGTTCGCGACGATCTTCTTGAGCACCGTCCGCCGCTTCTGGAACTTCTTGTCCTTCGCCTCCGCGGCATGCAGCTCGGTGCGGAACTCCTGGACGACGATGAGCGCGATCGGGGGAGGGGATGCGCGAGGGGGCGCGCACCTCAATCTTTCCGCGCTGGAAGAACTTGGCATCCTGGCCAGGGGCCGCCATGGCAAATGCAGACGGGGAGGGAGGTCGGGGACGCGAACGGGGATGACCAACTCGAACGCCGGTCACGTCGCCACCTCGCGGGCATCCCGGCACGCGCGCCCGCCCAGGCGTAAATACACGCAAATACTCCTCCTCCTCGACTTCAGCTTCTTTCACGGCCATGAGCGCGGCTTTTCGACGCGAGCCGAACCCTCCGAAACCGGTGCTCTCCGTGCGGTCCCAGGTCGACAGGGACTTGCACCCCGCTGTCGACACTGCTCTGCGTGACCTGAAGAAATTCTCCCGTCGGCTGCACGCCACCTTCGACGCATTCTCCGAGGAGCTACAGGTCTTGGACCGTGTTTTCTACAAGGGGAAAAATCAGCATCGCTCAGCTCTCTTCTGGCGTCGAGTCGCAGACATACGCAAATTTAGCCAGCGCATAGCGGAATATAATGCGCCTCAAAATGTTGATTCCTGCCGCTGCTCCTTCTTTGGTCCTGATGTGCAGGCAAAGTCCGTAATCCTCGTTCTTGGTATCACTACATATGTCTGACTAGGACACGCCAGCTCGAAGGCTCTGAAAGGCGCCTGGTCCCACGTACCTGACAATAAGACTATGGCCTTCATTCTCGACCGGTTCGTTGCGGGGATCAATTTGTTGGACAAGGTATAGGGGATTCTTCCAACATATCATGCGTGCGCTGACTCGGCTACACTGGAAGGCTCACGAAAGACTGCTCAATGCATATCGGTAGGTTTAATCAACGCATAGCACCCTGTTTGTTCTGATCTAAACGAATCCACAGCGCCTTCATCCTCGAGATGCAGTCCGGCTTCTTCATACAGCTCATACTCACCCTCGCTGCTCTCGCCTCACGCCTCGATGTCCTTGTACAAGACCTGGCCGATGCGCTGCGCGGGTCGTGGGCGTCGATGTACAGGTTGTTTAGCGCCCTCAATGTAAGCCCAAATCTGATACTTTACTGTCATTATCTAAAGCTCGTTTTGGTGTAGCCATCCGAGGCGAAGAAGGTCCAGAAACCCCAGGCCGCTGGAGCGCTCGATAGCGACAAGCAGGATCTTCCTCCACATCCCCCTTCGTCCACACTCCCTGTCGTCGAGGAATTGCTAGGAGGCGGGGAGGATACTGGCGAGACGATCAAGCGTGTCGAGGCTAAGGTGCCCATCGAGCCGTCGACCGGGGGCTCTATGATCAACACGCCTCTGTTCGACACTGCGAAGGCCAATAGGCCAGACGAAGCGAAGCCCGCGTTCACAATTGTGGACGACGACGAGGACACGATCACCGTAGCCGACATCACCGCGATGCCCGGGCCTGCACGTAAGCCCTTCCTCGTTCCTCTCCCTTACAACCAGCTCACGACTCTTTTCCAATTAGAAATCATCGCCATACCGCCGACGGCCCCTCCAAGCAGAACCGCCCCAGCGACAGTGCATCCGTCCAAGCAACCGGGCGTCGCCGCGTCATCCACCAAGCAACCCAAGAAGCGCCCCGTCGAGGACGCGAAGGCGAAGGAGCAGGCACCCAAAAGGAAGAAAAAGAAGGACGCGATAGACGACATCTTCGGTTTCTGAGGGCTATTTGGCCATACGTAGCCAGGTCGTACCCTTGACCTCGCAATGTACAGGCTTCCTTTGCACCCTTCGACAGCAGTGACCAGCAGGAGAACAGAAGTCCTTTTGACGAAGTTCCCAGTTCACACTCGCACACAAACGTTTCTCGGGCCGCCAAGCCAATTTTATTGGATGACCGCAAGCAGCCAAGTTACACAGAAGTAAAAAGGGAGAAAAAAGTAAGCACAGCCGTGCGCAAGTGAGTACCACGGAATAAGTCAGGGATCTGCACAACAACGTCCGATGAGTCCGAAGAGTAATATGTCCATGGAAAAGGAGGTCAGGTCCGCTAGGGAGTACTGTAGTCCACTAGGCGGCAGTCCACGGAGGTAGTAGTAAACAAGGTCCTTCAAGAGTCCAATCTCAGTCCGATGTCGACGAAACACGGGTATACGACTCGTGCCGGCCTACAATAATGTGCGAGCGTCCAACGCGGGGCGAGAGGCAGCGGTAGGGGGCGGGTAGGGGAAAGTCCAAACGACAAGCGCGATGGCGTTGGTCTCGCGACTTGACAAGCGAAAGGGGGGTGTCCGAGGGCGTGAGCACGGCAGGTGAACATGAGGGGGCATGGAGCATCATTGACAGCGTCAAGTAGTGCGAATCCTAGAGAAGCGGAGCAAGCCTCTAGAGGAGGATGAACGCGCCGAAGGCGGCGGCTGCGACGGCGAGCATCCGCGGGGACGCGAGGTTCGACGCGCCGTTGTTGAGCGCCGACTCCGCGGAGGACGCGCCCGAAGCCGACGCACCAGCGGGCGCCGCCGACGACGCCGCCGAGCCGCCCGCCGCAAAGGTCGCCGAGGGGGCAGCCGCCGACGAGCTCGCCGCGCCGCTCACGACCGCGTCGAGGTTCTGCGGCCACATGAACGGCGTCTGGCCGCCCGCCGAAAGGTCGACCTTCCCGTCGTCGCTGAGCACCTCCTTGTTCATCGCGAGGAAGTTGCGCGTGTACATCAGGTTCTCCATCATGAGCGGCATCGACCAGTCGGGCATGCCCGCGAGGTCCATGTTGCCGCCCCAGGAGGTTGCGACGGCGGAGCGCACGGTCTGCTTGTCGGTGTACTTGGCGTACGCGGCGAGGTCGGGGTTCGAGGCGACCATGTTGGCCATCATGGAGTCCGCGGAGGTGTTCGAGCCGGAGAGCGAGGGCGGGTTGATGACACCGAACATGCCCTTCTGGCAGTGGTTGGGGACGGCGCAGTAGAAGAACGTCGGGTTGGTGTCGTTGACGATCTGATCGAAGGTGAAGGAGGCGTTCTGCATGCCGCTGGCGAAGGCGTCGGCGGTCTTGTTGCAGGGCGCGAGCGAGGAGGACTTGGTGACGGTGTGCGGGCCGGCCTTCCACTGCAACGGTGTCAGTACGGGTAGGGAAAAAAGAAATGCGAATCAACGAACCTCGAAGTGAATGGTGTCGCCGACGGACGCGTTCACGGCGAAGGGAACGTAGCGGAGGACACCCTGAGTAGGGGCAACGATGACGGTGTGCGTCGCGCCATTGCCGGAAGCGGCAGCGGCGGTGGAAGTCGCCGCCTCGGTCGCAGACGCCTGCCACGCGGACTCGGTGGTCGACGCCCACGACTCGCTCGACGACTGCCAGCCCTTCTCGGTCTGGTACGCCTGGGTCGTGTCGTGCGCCATGGTGGTCTCCCACGCATTCGCAGCTGAGGTGGTCTCCCAGGACTTGTCCGCCGAGGTGGTCTCCCATGACTGCTGCGACGAGCTCGACTCCCAGGACTTATCCGCAGAGGTGGTCTGCCACGACTCGGACGCGCTCGTCGTCTCGTGCGCCATCTCCGAGGACGTCGTGTGGTCCATCATCTTCGACTCGGTAGTGTGGTCCATCATCTTGGATTCGGTGGTGTGGTCCATCATCTTGGACTCCGTCGTGTGCTGCGCCATCTCGGAGGTCGTGGTCTGGTACGCCTGGGTGGTCTGATACTGGTACGCCGCGGACGACGTCTGGGACGCCATCGCCTGGGACTCGGTCGTCTGGTCCTTGCCCGAGTCGTGGCCCATGCCCATATCCTTCCCGGAGTCATGGCCCATGCCCATATCCTTTCCGGAATCATGGCCGCCAGACTGGTCCTTCCCGGAGTCGGAGCCCATGTCCTTGCTCGAGTCGTGGCCCATGCCGCCGGACTGGTCCTTGCCCATGTCGCCGGATTGGTCCTGACCCATGTTGCCGGACTGGTCCTGGTAAGACTTGTCCTTCCCCATGTCGCCGCTCATGTCCTTGCTGGAGCTGTCGTGGCCCATCTGGGCGTCCTTCGAGTCGCCGCCCATACCCATGTCGCCGCTGCCGAAGTTGAAACCGTCACCAAAGTCGCCGAAGGTGCGCCTAAGGAAGATCAGCAATCATTTAGGAAGATGTAAGCGAAGACTACTCACGACCCGAGCGGGGCAGCGGGCGCAGCAAAGCGCGCGAGCACCTGGCCGTCCCGGGTGATGGGGCGGGGGAGCGCGGTGGTCGAGTGCGCGAGGAGCGCGGCGAGGAGGACGAGCTTGGAAAGCATGGCAGAGTGCATCATCGTTGTAGGTAGATTAATCGGTTGAATAGAGCCGTAGGTGGTCGAGGATCCGTCGAGGGAAGGGGATGAGAAAGACTGAGAAAAGACTGGTGTTGTCGGAATGAAAGGCCCTGCCGGAGGTCAACGAACGTGCAGCTCTATCAAAGAGTGATCTGCGAGGAGGGGGTGGAGGTCAGCCATGGAAAGTACGATGGGGAGGCACACACGACGCACCCTGAAAGTAAGAGTTCCGTTAAGATACAACAAGCAACTAGCGCCGAGAATCGACTCGGGCGAAAGGTCGGCTGGCGAACGAAGAAAAAGGAGGGAGGGGAAGAAAAACGAAAGAAAGTCTGCCGGCGGCGGCCCTCGAGGAATGCGGGCGGGAAGAAGAAGGGATGAAGGAGCAGATGCGGCGCCGCTGCTTATAAGCGAGCCCGGCAGGGACATCAGACGGCTTGACTACGGCGTGGGGACCCATTGTTCGGGGGCGCCTGCCAGACAGCCAGCGACGGGGAGCTCGGGCGCGCCTTCGTGAACCGGAACAGTGGGTTGTTGCCGTTGTCATACGGGGGCCAATCACCGGCGATAGGGCTTCATAAGCCCCTACTTTCCTTTGTATTTTGGTCTGAAGAGCACTTTAGCGGGCTCATCGCAGGCGAGCACAGCGCAGAACAAGGCTTTCCATACTCAGAACAAGGGAGGAGGCAACTCGACTGCGCGAGCGACGACCTCGACCGTTCTCGGCAGCCGCCCATGTTCTCATGTTCAATTTACCGCCATCACATTCGATCACCACGACGATAAGCCGTCCGTCGCCTTCGTCCCCTGCGGTGCCTTGTCGCGAGAACTTCAACTTGTGATTCAGCAATGATTCAGCCTCGCGCGTACACAACAGCTACACATATTACCCGCACTACAACAAGGGACCCTCTACGTATCTACCATCGATAGTGAATTTTGTACATGCACACCCGGTTAGACTGTCAATAGAGATGGCCCGTTAGGTTGTCGAGATCAAGAGAATTGCCGTCGTGGTCGTCGTCATGAACGCCCTGCGTTCGTCGACGAGTTCATTTAGATGTGCTGAGGGCTTGGACGCAAAGGCAGGCCGCGCCGCATCGACATAGGCGCTCTCTGCGCAACACTGCGATCCGGGTACGCGAGCTGCTGCTTGACGGGAGCAGGCGGGGGCGACTCCACGCGCGGCGCCATCGCACCCCGACGCGCGTCGCGGATGGACCGCAGGCGCTCAGTAGCCCTCGTCGCCGGGGGCGCCTCTGGGCTACGTGCAGCCGAGGACGGCGAGGAGTAATCCGCGGCACCGGCAGCAAAGACACGGCGGCGGGGTGGCGCGGCTTGCGCAGGGACGGGCTTGCTTTCCGTGTGCGACTCAGTCTCGTCGCGGCTGTTGGTGCGCCGAGGCTTGCCACGCCGCTCGTGCTCTTCAAAGAGCCAGTCCGGCAGATCGGAGCGATCTTTGGCCTTCTGAAGGTGGTATGCCTTGAGCGCGCGCGTCAGGTGGGACTCTGAACCAGGAGGAGTCACTGAGATTGCGTTAGTACAATGTTGAGAAGAAGCGGGTGCTTCGCACACCTTCGCCTGACGCAGTGGCGACGCCACTCGCCCAAGCCATGCTGATGTTGACCGTAAGGGAGTTCGCAGCTCCCACGACGGTGTCCCAAAGGCGTTCCGAAGGGGGAGCCGTTGCGACTACTGTTGACGTTAGCCAAGACACGCGGCCTCACGACGAGGGGACTAACCTGGCTTCGGCGCATCGTTCTGGGCGAGGCGGCGATCCCTCAGCGACGCGCCACGCGCAGGTGGCTTGTACGATTGCTGTCCCGCGTCGTCCTCCAAGCTAGTACGCGACGACGTGTACCCTTTGCCACTGAAGGTCGAGGACGCCGCCGATGACGTCGAGTCCACCGACGTGCGCGAGGAGGGAGTGGTCGGGCGTCGCCACGCTGAGCGCGGTGCATGATCGGCGGGGATGGGTGGCGGAGGGGGTGGCGCACGCTCGTCCCGCGTAGGGCGCACATTCGCGATCGAGCGCTGACGCGCGAGGCGGGTAGACGGAACAGGTGGATAATCAGCCACCGGGGTTGGGCGGTGTTCGTATTCGCGCTCGGAGCGCCCGACCGAGCGGGCACGGGCGCGAGGGTTGCTTGGCAGACCAGCAGCGCGTGAAGCCATGAGCGTAGAAAAAGAGGGGGGGCGAAGAAACGAGCGTTGACCAGCCCAGCTGGCGCGGCGGAGAACGTGAAGATGATGGTGGCCGGAGAAGAGCACAATGGCAACGCGACGACAAAGACCGCCAGGCCCGGGCACCGGCCGGCACGATGCCCATAAAAGGGAAAAGCAACATATGGACATTGCCGGATCGGCGTGAGCGCGTTCGCGATCAAATACGCGCGAGCACGTCAGAATTCCTTCACAATTTCGGAATCCGTCGTTTTCGATCTTTCATAAACCGATGAGCTAGTATGTCGGAAATACTCCTTGTCTCCTCCCCTTGCCTCCTACCACCATGTTCGCTGCGGCACGCCCTGCACTCGCGTCCACCTCGCGCGCGGCCGTTCGCTTCGCCTCCTCGTCCTCGACCGACAAGTACAAGGTCGTGGTTGTCGGCGCAGGCAGCGGAGGATTGAGCGTCGCGAACCAGATCTACGACCGCTTCAAGGCAGCCGGAAAGCCCTTGAACGAGGGGGACATCGCGATCGTCGATGGCGCGGAATACCACTACTATCAGGTACGCCCCAATCTCAATCCCCTACACGCCGATCACACCCCTGACACACGTTCCCCTAGCCCGGATGGACTCTGGTCGGCGCTGGGTTGAAGAGGAAGCAGGACACGCGCAAGCCCCTCGCAAGCCTCATCCCTCGCCACCTCTCCCACATACCCGAGAACGTCCAGTCCTTCGCCCCCGAAAAGTCCTCCGTCACCACCTCCTCCGGCCGCACGCTCTCGTACGACACCCTCGTCGTCGCCACTGGCCTCCAGATCAACTGGGACGGCATCAACGGCTTGTCAGACGCCCTCGCTGATCCCAAGTCCGGCGTCTCCTCCATCTACTCTTACGACACCGCCGACAAGGTCTGGAGCGACATTGAGGCCTTCCGAGGTGGCAAGGCTGTATTCACGCAGCCCGCAGGCGTCGTGAAATGCGCCGGTGGTGAGTCCCTCCCACTTACCCACCACCCAACCCCCACCTCACCTCGCTCGCAGCGCCCCAAAAGATCATGTGGATGGCCTGGGACCGCTTCCGCAGGACGAACCGCCTCGACGGCGCGCAGATCGACTTTTACACGGGCATGCCGACGATGTTCTCCGTGCCAAAGTACTCGGAGCGGCTGAACGAGCTCCGCGTCCAGCGCGGCGTCGGCGGCCACTTTGGCCACAACCTCGTCTCCGTCGACGCCGCGAACCGGCGCGCGACGTTCAAGACCGCGGACAGCACGCTCGACGTCGACTACACCACGCTGCACGCCACGCCGCCCATGGGCCCGCCCGCCGTCATCAAGGGCTCCCCCCTCGCCGACGCTGCCGGCTGGGTCTCCGTCAACCAGGCCACCCTCCAACACACGAACCCCGCGTACAGCAACGTCTTTGCCATCGGCGACTGCTCCTCGCTGCCGACGTCGAAGACCGCCGCCGCCATCATCGCGCAGGCGCCCGTCCTCACTGAGAACCTCTTCTCGCTCGTCGACACGGGCAAGGTCGCCGGCGCCGCGTACGACGGGTATACGAGCTGCCCACTACTCACTGGGTATGGCGAGCTCCTGCTTGCGGAATTCAAGTACGGGCTCGAGCCGAAGGAGACGTTTGCGGGCGTGCCGGGCATCGGCGACCAGGCGACGCCGCGCCGGCTGTTCTACCACTTCAAGAAGGACCTCTTCCCGTATGCGTACTGGAAGTACATGGTGAGTGGTCAACATTCTTGTGGGATGCGGCGTTCCAATTCCTTCTGTAGGTCCGCGGCAAGTGGTATGGCACTACCGGCGTGTTCCGCCCGTCGTTCTCGAAGCAGAGCGCGACCCCCGCCCCCTCGGTCTGATCTCAATATAGAGGTCAGGATCCATGTATTCTACGACGCTATGTATAACGCAAAGCTCTTTATGGTTACGTAGACAATTACTCACCGTGTTTGCTTTTAGTCCGCTTACTGTAGAAGACGCTACACACTATAATTTATTCCTTCATGATCGAATGATTTCGACTCCGAATTTGGAGAACACTGTAGTCGCTTCGTCATGCAAACTCCTTTCTACAGCCGAGCGTGGAAACCGCACAGCAACAGCGTGTAAACCTCGATGCAGAAGTCTACTGCCGCAGATGTGCATTTTGTATCTTGGATGTCCGTCCACTGCGGGTGGTCGCCGGACGCAAGGTGCGAAGTGTTGTGGTGTGACAACGTCCTAGGAGTGGGACCAAATTCAACTGAGAAATCTGCACGAGTACGGCAGCGTATGCGGTCTTGAGAATGCGTTGGGGTGTTGGTGCCACAAACTCGTCTTCATTGCTGTCTCGCGGGTACGTTTGACTGCAAGGCAGGAGGACTAGTAATCTTTCAACGCGTTGATGTCGCGCTCGCTGTTCTCCAGATAGTCGTCGTACGAGTCGCGATAGGAGGCTGAAAAGGGGGTTAGGAAGGGCGCACGACGTCTAGCAAAGGCAGAGACAAGGGGAAGGTTGATAACAAGGACAAGAGGCCAGGAGGGAGTGGCGAAAGTCCGGCAGAGAGCGGAGCTTCTGCGGAGGCGAGAAAGATATATTCGGCGATGGTGGTAGGGTGCACGCTTCGGAGGCAGAAGGAGAGCGCATTCGGAATGCGAGACAAATTTGTCGTATGCGTAAAGTGATGTCAGGTCACGCAGGAGCGGTTTTACGGCACGTCGAGCGCGGAGAGACAAGGCGAGGTTGGAGAAATCTTCGAGTGGAATCACTCATGGGAGGGTAAAGGGTAGGGGAGAAGACCGGGCCCGAACGCAGGCAAGCAGAAACGAACTATGGGCCAATATTCAAGCGAAGGAAAGACGCGGAACAACGCCGCACGCGCACGAAGACGAAGGCCCCATACGAGTGAAGGTTGGGAAACTTGAAGAAGAACAGGCATTCCGAATGCTGACGTACCCGACCGATTTGCTCGCGCGCGAAGGCGGGCAACGACGGCGCGGTTATGTGTTACCGCGGCCATCTGGGCATGCTTTATGGTCCCTGTGAGAAGTGGTTAGGCTGCGTTGGTAAGAGGGGTAGAAAAAGTGAGAAAAAGTGAGAGGTCGGTCGGAAGGTGCAAGAGGACGGGACCGTAAATAGAAGTGATGATGTTGGGTGCGAGAAAGGTAGCGACTCTTACTCACCAGATACATGTACGACATGCGGGACGATACGTCGACCGTCGATTGCCGTGAGCAATGTCACAGCGCCCCATGCCGTATTGTGATATTCTCGACCGACTTTGAGTATACACATGTGTGTGGTGGGGGAGTAGTATTTCACTGGTTAGAGCAAGTTAGCAAGTAGGCAACTTCAAAAGGCATAGTGGATACGCGGAATGGCGAGCCAACACGTCCGCAATCGCACAGTACACAGAAATGGGCAACTCACCAGACAGGGAGACGCCTATGCCTCCCCACCCCGCGTCGCCAAAGTTATGTACCACGCTCTGCTTTACAGCAGCCCATATAGTCTTCTCTGATAATACCAGCGCGCCGTCGTCCACGGGCAGGAATTCTACAAGTAGCCAGCGGTTCTGCGCGGGGTTAGCGAGAAGGAACTTGCTCTGACGAAGAAGACACCAACCTTGATTCTGACCATCCTGAATACTTGTCCCTCGAAATTTCAGGACTGAAATCAGCGAGTAGAGCTGCCGCTACGCCGAATCGAGAACAAGGACATGAAGGGAGGTATCAACCCAGCGATCACGCCCACAACACATGGCACGCATCCATCATCACGATCGATACATTGACCACGCGATGTGCACGCAGCAGGCTCCTTGCGTCCGCCCCTCATCATGCCCGTATCTCAGTTCCTCCAGAACACCACCTTGAAGGCGATAATTTGCGAACACTGTGGCTCGGGAGTATCTTCCACCGTCCTCGACGCACCCATCGAAGCGGTGCGCTCCTGCGAGCTCCCTACCGAATGCGAGGCGGCCGAGTTGCAGAGCGGCTGCGCTGCAGACGAGCAGGGCATCGCCGCCTTCGATGTTGCTATCGCGCGAGCGCGGGCTATAGTAGATGATCTGCGAAAGCAGCGTCGCTTTTTGCGTAAGAGTTGGGGGCGCAAGCGTGCGCTACTTGCGTCCATTCGGCGCCTGCCGACGGAAATTCTTGCGCAGATAATCTCGCTAGCCATCATGCGCACATTCAGAAGACACCGCGATTCCACTGTCATAATCCGGCATCCTGTTCTCCAGGTCTGCCAGCGTTGGCGCAACCTCGCGATTCAGATGCCCGAGCTATGGACCGACTTTGTCGCCTACCCACACTGTACCTATGGCGGATGGACCAACGACATCAGCAACTGTCTGTCAAGGTCGAAAGACCTTCCCCTTCATCTGGAATTCTGCTATGGGCACTCGCCGTGGCATTCCTACTCTCCACCGCACGTCCGGCGGCGTTCTTCGTATTCGTGTGACACGATGCAGAAACGCGCAAAGAACGGTAATCTCGTTCAAATGCTGATAGACGCTTCTCCTCGATGGCGCAGCTTGTGCATCATGGATACTTTCATGCCAAACGAACTCTTTCTGGCCACGCCGCATCTTCCCCTTCTCCAGTCGCTCGTACTCAGTTACGATCCCGGAGAACTCGCGAATGCCGACACTCAGGCACCAATACCCTTGTTCTCAGACGCTCCCAGCCTTACCAGAGTTACGCTCCGGCTGCGGTCCTCATTCTTCACGCAACTTCAACTGCCGTGGGCCCGCCTGACACAGCTGGGACTGAAGCTATGGGGTTGCATCCCCTCGCAGACCACTATGCTCGACGTGTTGAATCAGTGCAAGGCACTCACTGCACTGCACTTCGCCATATCGAGCTTACAGCCCGATCATGACGAGAGGCTGCTCATTGAGTTACCGCACTTGCAGTCGCTTGAGCTCACCGACATGGGATTCCTACTCCTCCGCTTCCTGAAGGCCCCTCGGCTGCGGAAAATCGTTCATTTTGGCCCCAACGAGCGCGCGACTGCATATGGTTCTGCCGAGGAATACTTCCAGGACGCCACGCTACTTGTCGCATTCGCTACTCTGAACGGTGCAGTGGACGTTCCACTTGAATCACTATCGCTCGTAATATCCTATTGGGGATCCGGCGAAAGCGACTATGGAAACCTCTGGATAGATGGGCTTCGTCCGTACCCAGGCATCCGATATCTGTGCGTGTCGGATAGCCTTCACTTCCGCGACCCGGAGGCTCTGCGCGCGTTGCTTGTCGCTCTCACTCGCACGCCCGACCTCCTCCCCCACCTCGAGAGGCTCTCCCTACCTACTTTCATTGTCGGAAACCAGCAGGATTATGGGGATGAAGTGGAAACCGAGTTCGCGTCGGAGGAACTCATGGAGTTTATCGCCAGTCGAGGCGCTGCCCTGAAGGAATTGGAAGTGAAAGACGTGGAGTCGGACGGTTTGTTTGAGTGGGGTGAGCGGTATTCGGTTGACTTGCATACACGGGAATTTCGCTTGTCGCACGCGAACGAAGAGGATGCGGCAAGCTCCGATGAGGAGTATGATAGAGGGGTCAAAGGTGAGTGGGACGAAGTGTAGTAACGCCGTAAGTCTCGCTGTCCTTCCTGAGTGCGTTCAGTGACAATCTCATAGCATCTGTTCACCCATTACGCTACAGCTCTCGTGTGCGTCGGGCCGCCAAAACTCACCAGGGCTGAATGGTGGCTTTGTTGTACCTTATGTCGACAGAGCAGTAGGCCGCTGAATTTACTCAACGGATCAGTAAATTGTGACCACTGTCATACGTCTTTCGGCACGCGAGTGGGTGGGATTTAGGCTGCTATGACCGTCAGCGGTTTCCAAGCATGGGCGCGAGGCGGACAGGGCAAAAGCCCTCCTAGCTACATCCAAAACTAATTGTGGTACGATGAGTAACTCAATCAAACCGAGCGCGTACCAGCCCTAGCTTGACAGTCCGCGCGCGCCCTCAGGCTCCAACCGACTCATCGGGTGGCAAACCAATATAACCACTGTCAACCCCGCGTTTCTACCCAGCCAGCGCATGGCTGACCGCATGGACGCTCTATATCTACCAATATAACTTGGCAACGCGCACCCCGAACCGCGCGGGCTACGTCCTGCGCCACAATCTCTTCCCCGACCGGGTTTGGTCGCCCACCGTTAATCTTACGCTGACCGAGTTCCCAAAGATACAGAACGCCCGAGTCGGCAGGTCGGCCGCATAGGCATCTCGGAATTCGGCTGCAGCGCAGCCAGAGCGCAGTCTGAGTCATGAGCAGGCAAACCTCGGCGACGTCAGCCAAAGGGACGCCGACGCTCGTGCGCGCTAACGACGCCCATTCGCTTAGACGGCCACTGCCTCCCCCACAGCCGTTCGTGCCGCCCAAATTCTCGTCAAGAGACTCGCAAGACCTATACGCAGCTCAAGACCAGGCTCGCAACGCTAGGAAAAATCATGATGCTCGAATTCATTGGGTATTTCCAGACGCGATACACAAATACAAGGGAGATAGAGACGAGGAAACAGAGATGATAAGACAGAAAACACAGCCATCCAGGGAGTGTAGTGAAGTCGTATGTAGTCGTGATGCCTGCCGCGCGCCCTTCAGTACAACAAGATACGCACATGGGGGCAAAGGCGGTGGGGTAGAGCGTACAAGGATAAGAGCAGTGGATGGAATGATGGATCGGTGGGACAAGACGTTACGCTGATAGAGGCAGGCGGGCGGGATAGCGCGATGCAGGAGACGGAGAATAAGTGACGGGATATAATGTAGGAGTCAAGTCGTATATGTTGCGAGTAAATGAGTACTGATACAAGAGGCATTAGTCGTCGTCCGTCAGAGGTGTCCTTGAAAAGGATGGTGCGCGATGGATGGGGTGGGTGCGTGGGATGGTGGACAGCGGGGGATAGCAGTGCGAATGTCTATGGGGAGAACAAAGCGAGGCCAGGAGCAGCAGAACCAGGCTACGCGCCGAGCGCGTGCATCAGCGAGTTGCCCTCGAACTCCGACTTGACTCGGCGCAGGTCGAAGTGTGCCGGCTGCCTGCGGAGGGAGCCCGACTGGTGTGGCGACGCGTTCGACTGATGCGGCGACCCCATCGTCTGACTCGGCGACGCCGTCAACTGCGACGGCGACACCGTCAGCGGCTGCTGCTCCGGCGATGGGTACTGCGAGCTGTGTTGCTGCTGCTGGCTCTGCTGCTGCTGTTGCGCCTGCTGTTGCCGCATCTGCGATTGGCGCCCCGCCAGCTGATAGCCCCCCAGCTCGGCTGTAATCGATGCGCCCGACGGCGCCTTGGAGCCGACCTGGTAAACCACCATCAGCACGGGCCGCCGGTCCACGTAGATGTCCTGCGTAATCGTGTCCCCGCGCCGCAAATCGAGCCCCGCGAACGCCAGCGCGTCCGCGTGCACGACGCCCCGCTCGACGCCGCGCACGGTGAGCGCGGTGCTGCCGTCGTGGATGAGCTTTGGTTTGCCCGAACCACCCTCCGGCCGGTACACCTTCGTGAGGTAAGTGCCCCCGCTCGTCCAGAGCCCGTCGATCGTGAGCGCGGCCTGGAAGGCGTGCAGCAGCGCCACGTCCTCCACGTTCACCTGCACCTTGATGCACAGTGGCGTGCCGGGCAGGAGCGCGGTGGGTGCGAGCTGTGCGTGCAGCTCGCCCGCCGGCACGTGCAGCGCCTGCATGCCTGGAGCTGTGACGACAAATGAGGACACGAGGGGATAGGCCGCAGGTGGGGAGGCGGGCTGGGCGGCGGCACGAGGCTGATGCTGGGCGGAGGCGGCGGCATGAGGCTGGTGCTGGGCAGAGGGCGCAGACGCGGCGGGCGGATGAGGCTGTTGCGCGTAAGGCGAGCCGGTTTGCGACGGCGCGCGTCGCGGCTGGGACGGTTGTGCGTAATATGCGTGGGTGGATGGACCTACACAACTTGTCAACACCGGGAATACAAAAGGGGGAACACAATAGAGAAAACTTACCTTGGTTTTTATAGATATCGCCCGAATATGACGGAGCGAGCATCGGTGCGGGAAGGCCGCTGGGTAGCAGCACACCTCCCCCGTTCGGGGCGGAGGGCTCCATGTTGTACATCCCAAGAGCGCCGTATGTGGCGGAGGGATTGGCGCCGGGCGCTTCGTTGTAGGCGCCAAACGACTGGTAGTGGGCGTCGGACGATGTCGACGACATCAAGCTGTACCGCTGATAGTCGGACATGTTGCCGCTGAACCGCGCAGAGGACATTGAGGAGTCGCTGAGGTCGCTGACCAGCGAGGGCTGAGGCGAGAACTGCGACGAGGCATAGTTGTTGGGCGACGAGTACAGCCCGTTGTGCGAGTAGTCGATCGGGTGCCGCGAGGAGTAGGCGTCGCCGGGTTGGGATGGATACTTGAACTCGTACGAACACGTGCTGAGGCCCAAATCCGGTAGCCCCGTAGCAGCACCGCCTTCAATCGTGTTCATCGGAAGAACCGATAGACCGCCGTCCGCAGCGGGTAGGCCAGTGAACACATGGACGTTGTCGTACATGGAAACGTGTTCAGAGTCGTACACGGAGGCCGGGCCGCCCGTGTCCATGGCCAGGTCCTCCTCGACTTTAATGGGAGGGGAGCGCGATGCGCCACCGATAGGGGAGCCGTAGGGGGATTGCTGCTCGCGTTTCACGCTGCCCGGGCTGCCGATAGTCGATGGACTGCCCATGTCGTGGGCGCTGCCGGGGCTGTACCCCGACGGGCTATGTGGGAGGCCGCTGAGCGCCCCCGGGCTGCCCGAGTTCGCGGGGCTGCCGAAGGAACCCATGGCGGTGGGTATCGACATCGGCTGGCGGCTAGGGCTACCTACTCGGTGAAGCGACGAGCTGCGGCGGCCTCTAGAAGGGGAGATGCTTGATACGCGATGGCCTTCGCGATGGATGTGGTGGGGATGGGCCGCGGGCTGGATGTCATCGTCCGCGCCACCGGCGACGAGGTAGAACTCTAAAGTATGGTCAGCGGGATGGGAGGGAACAAGCCAGCGAGACATACGAGGTTCGCCCTTCCACATATTGCGGAGGACTTGGATGTGGGAAGCCACTTGCTTCTTCGTCCTGCGAAGCGCGATCAATAAGGCATGTAGCATAGGAAGGCGGGCACGTACCGTTCGATGCCATGGGCGCGGAGGTGGTCGACGAGGAACTGGTTCCTCCAGCGGCTGCGACCGCGCGAGTAGGTAGCGTAGTTAGACTTCAAGTATGCCTCGAGGCCTGGGATGACGCGTCAGAAGCGCCGATCGGAGCAGCGGGGGAGACGCACCAGTCACAAATATACGCTCGACGGCCTCGGGCCAGACCTCGCCGCCGGATCCATCCTTGAGGAGCTTACGGTGCTTGCGCTGGGGCGTGAGGGTCGTCAACATCGTGGCGGAGGGTGTCATGATGGGTGTTGTTGGAATGGGATGGGATGGGATGCGCGGGTGCGCGTCGCGTAGTGCTGGGGCTGCGCCGCGGTGGCGGGCGATCGAGGGTGGGTCAGATGGGGGAGCGCAGCGGGCTCGGTCGCGGCGGTCTCGGCGTTGTCGTCAGCAGCGAGGGCGTTGGCGGCGGCGGCAACGGCGGGCGGGGCGGGCGGGGGGTAAACGGGGATCGCATTTGTGAGCTGGGCGTTGTTTATATATTGGGCGGCAAGAGCAGAGACGGACCGAGGATCAGATCTGTGGGCCCTCGTAGTCCGTTTGGCAATTCGTCAACATCTGTCCGAAAGGGGAAGAACCAGCCCGGACCATGAGCCGACTCGCCCGGCCAGCTCGGCTCGTGCCTGGTCCGACCCAGTCACGGGCCCGTTTGCCCTTTTGTGATCCCCCTGCCGCGCGTGCCGGCCGCTGCGCCGTGCTCCCGGCGCATCTTGCCTGCTTCGGGCACGCTTTCCTTCAGCCTTCCTTTCCTGTCATCCCCGTACTCCCCCGGCAGACGCTGCCACTGCCCGCCACGAATCCCGCCGCGGTCGGCAGCGGACAGCCCGACGCCCCCGCCCTGCGCCAGTCATACGCCCTGCACCACCCCTACGCGCACAGCGCACCGCCTCAGCGCCTGTCCTCATCCGACAAATATCGCGTTCCCCCCAACAGTACGGTTCTTCCGCGGCACCTTTCTACTGCTCGTACCTACCTTAGCGTCATGGCCCGACCCAGCTGCTGGGTCCTATGCACGGGACTAAATCACGGACAATAGACTCGACACAAACAGTAGTCGTTGTTCTCCACCTTCCCTCTTGTGTATGCTCGTACTCCCGCCCACACAAGCGCCAGGTTCTGCTTTTGTTCTGGTTGTAGTAGGACCTGCTCCGGAGTCGCGGAACACAGCCCCCGCCGACGCTTCGTCGTCCTCTTTTTTTCGAACCTTCTGATTGTTCTCGAGCCTCGACGTGACGATCCCTCCTGCTCGCGTCTACACGCCCTCGCAGTGGAGCTGGACGCAGGACGGTCTGTCGCTCGGCCGTGCCTGGCCGCGGTGAAGCGGCTGCGCTGGTCGTCCTTCACGACGCGCACCACCGCACCACGCATGCCTACCGCGCAACCGGCGCCTCGCCTTCGCTTCCAAGCCCTCTGCTCGGCGGAAAGCACTGCGCGCCGCCCTCGCCACACACACGTGCTGCCCACCCGCCCCAAAGAAATGAAATAGCGCGAGCGGGAGCAACCGTCCCCAAGCTGAGCTGATACAGGATCTGGACTCGTCACTGCGGCCCCGGAGCGCCATGCACGGGTTGCGCTTTCTCCGAGGCCATTATTATGACCAGACTGCGATGAGGCTGTCAGCACAGACAAAGCACTGCCGGAAAGCGTGTTATGACCTGATCAGCACAACGCGAAGACAGCGTAATGATATTGCCTTGTTGACCGCCAAGCAGTCGCCCCAAATCCGGCGGACGACTCTCTCTTGCGCCCCTTCACCGCCGACAAGCAACCTGACCACCTTTGGACAAAACTGCATATCACCCGACCTACTCCGGATGCCGCCTCTCTACCTACGATGCCGCCTCCTTCCGCCGGCGTCCCTTCTACCGCGATGCTTGCCTCTCCTCCCTCGACGCCACACTGCGCCCCAAATTACCTGGCTCCTAAAGCAAGACAACGGAATCAAAACTCATCCCACGAGGGGAAGAAGCCCAGGCCCGCACTATGACGGAAGCAACTCGTCGCGGACACGATTTCGTGGTGCGGCGCGCCTGGATTGCGCGGGGGAGAGAGACAGACGCTGGGCCGTGGCTTGCTTGGGGCAAGCAGAGACAGGTGCGGGCTCAGCGTGGATAGTTTGTGCTGACGAGCCGACGGTTCGCGCTGAGCGGGACCAGGCGCGTGCTGAGCGTAGACAATGTGTGTTCACCGCCTGACCAATCGACTGGCTTCGGAGGCGGGGCCATGTTGATTTACGCAGTTTAGATTAGGAAGAGGCGACTTGTCTCTCCTCGTCTGCGAGAGCGGGTCTCTTCGCATTTGTAGAGCGCGCACTCCGAGGTGGCGTGGATGGCGGAAGGCGTCAACGCAAGGTGAGAGGGGCACGTCCAGATCCTGCGCTCGCAGCGAGTCGCCTCCTCGAACGACGCGAACCGCTTCTGCCATGCGACACTCGCCTCTGAATCGACGCTCGTCTCCTCATTTCGGCACTTCTGATTTTCCCATCCTGTCGAGCTGAATCGTCGTCTACTCCAACTAGCGTTTTTCCATGACGTGCCCAATATGCACACCGTCACGACGCCGCGCAGAATTTCCCATTCGCGGTCGCTCGCACCACGGTACGCCCTCGGTCACGGTCAGCCCTTACCAATCACGTCAAGTCCTCATATCACGGTACGCCTTCAATCACGTCAAGCCCTCTAATCACCATCCGCGGACGCTTTTTGTTCCTTCCCTCCACGCCGATATCCCTATACTTGTGCACTCTTCATTGTTTCCCCTTCGATGCGGGCTCCCTTTCCGTCCAGCGCGCCTTCCGCCCACCGCGCTTTCCTCCTAATCCTCTTGATCATTCCTCCTCATCCTCTTCATATCTCCTCCTAGCTGTCTACGTATTTTCTCCCGGCTCTCTTTTTATATCTTCGCCCTGCTCTCTACATACTGTACGATTGGCCAATAGTCCCGCTCTGACGGCCAATACATCCCAAGGATGTTCAGTACATCCATAGGATGGTCAATACATCCCAAGGATGGCAAGATACCCCCGCGCTCACGGCCAACACCCCAGATGCGTCGGCGGGTGCTGAGCGCCACCACTCCTCTCCTTCCGGATCGGAAGAGCGGTGAGCGCAAGTTCGCACTGGGTGGGGTTTTCCATCGCACGGGATAGGGCTTGAGCCGCATGTCGCAGGGCTTGTGTCGCCGGTGCAGACCCTGTTCTGTCGAGCGTTGTCTGCGTATGTACAGCTTTTTTGGTGGCTTCACCGTTCCCTGAGCGTCTTTACCCTCTTCGCCTGTCTTCATAGCGACAGAGGGCCCTCACTCCGACCCTCCACACACCTCGAAACCTTCGCGGACGCAACCGCAGCCCGTGGCGCGCGCTAATAGGCCTTCTTTCTCCCTATACAGTCGCTCTTCTCCTTCCCTATACGGTCCCTTCACCCTCCTCGTATGCTATAGCATCCGCTCAGCTCATTCAGTTGCCGTCCACTCCTGCTCAATTCTCACTCGTTCTTTTCGATCCGGCCCTCCTCATTCGACCATACCAAACTCTATTCGACCACTCCAGTGTGCGGCGGAACATCACTTGAATAGAGGAAGACATACACCCGGGAAGCGCCGCCGGAGTCCCGTCCCGAAAGTACAATCCGAATGCGAACACGGAGGTGCGAAGAGACCGAGCTTGATGAATAGAGGCTGATGCTGGTGAATAGAGGCGGTGGTTTGGTATATGATGGTCGAACAGGGTGCACCGAAGTCGTATCGAAGGCATGCTCCGGCCTCCCATTGAAGATGCGACCCGAGTGGCACAGACCGTATGCTGCAGAAGGATTCTCGCTCCCGAAACTGCGCACTTGTGCGCCCACGCAGGATTCGCGCCACACGCGCTAGGTCGCAAGGAGCTTCGGCGAGAAGCAGCGCGGAAAAGGCAGGTCTGCATACGCGTCCCGTTCGGGCGGGCTCTGCGGAGGTGCTACGCGGGTTCTAAGTGGGCCGACGCGTGCTGGTTCTCTGTCAGGATTTGGTCAGGATATGGGCCGCGCCTACGTCAGAGGCGCGCGCAGGCGCTACCGCCGCTACACCACACGTTTTCGGCGTAGGACGATAATACAATTGCAGGCAGGATTCCCTCTGGGAGGCGAGCTGATGCGCGTCCTTCCTCGGCGGCTCACCTTGCCCTCATCACGTACCGTCCCTTCTCGGCGGGATTTGGGGCAAGCATCAGCCAAGGTGTAGACGCGTGCCTGTCTTCCCGGGCTATTGTCCTGCGTGAGTGGGTGCTAGGCGCCCTCATACTGGGCGCCCTCGATAGGACTGTATGGCGCCCTCTAGCAATAGAACTCACGTCTAGAAGGAGGGCTCCGGCCTCGAGAAGGGAGGTGTGTCCCCAGATCTACTGCTTGCGCGGGAACGAGGGTCCGAAGGGCGAGCTTCGGGTGTGTGCGCGCCGAGGGTTTGGACGTGGGACGAGTATGCCCACTTCTGGTGTTCGCCATCTCCCGAGTTACTTCGTGTTGTATATTGGATGCTGATTGGCTTCGGATGTTGTACTTTCCTTCCCAGATGAGGCCTTCACACCCTTGGGACGAGTCCGCGGAATCCGGGGTACTAAACGCCAGGGGAACACGGGATTCGAGGCTTGTCAAGCATCTGACTTGGCTTTGACGGAGGCTGACTCGACCAAGCTGCTAGCAAGAGCCCTATACGAGATAGAAATATTACAAACTCCCCATGAAGGTCCTCCGGCTTGAAACCGACGGCGGCAAATCACCAGTTGAAGAGTTGAAGTTGATTTTGATTCCGCCTCGGGTGTTGCCGCAGATTCTCACGCCTCGACCACGTTTCCCAACATCAACGGCCGATCTGCCACCCGGCTCTCCTCCTGCCTGCAGATCCACTCTGCTCGACTATTCCGGCTCGGTTCGCGCGGACGAAAAACTTCGGGTTGTACGTGTACGATGGTATCTTGTGCTCCTCCGCACAGCATTCGGCGACAGACACACATGGGCGCATCCTCTCCAGGCCGACCCTCCGCCCAGATTGCCCAAATCCGCGACTGAGGAGACGCTATAACGTACGCTCTGCTTTCCGCCTGATTTTGTGGACTCTCGACTGTCGGTGCGGTCGGGATTCCGCTGTCGGATCTCGCCCAGGGCTGTGCGTCGCCTGGTGCGACAGCCCCATGACGCCCTTCAGCGTCTTGCGCCTCTACCCGTAGACGCCGAACTGAAGTCATCTCCCTCTCGCGCTTCGGACTACGCGCCCCGACGCGGCCTACTTCTCGAGACTAGCACCTTCAGCAGCTCTATACGCGCAGTAGGAAGCCACCCTGACTCGGCGCGAGGCACTTGCACGGTTCCCTTTAGGAAGGCTCAATATCGGCCGCATCGCACGTTCTTCACTCGTAGCCGCGAGGTTCTGCCCACATGACAGATTGTGCATCGATGCAGCAGATAGATGGATGCACCTGTACACTACCGACGCGACGGCCGGTAATAATGCCAGTAAGTAGACGTTTAATGAAAGGGGCAGGTGCACCGTATCGATAGCGCAACATTTGCTCCACAACTCCCTCCCACACCGCCCGCTCTGCCCTAAGGGAGAGGAGGAAGCCTGAGCGGCGGAGTCGCATAGCAATCCACCTGTACTTCTCGTTCATAACGGCTCCGCCACCTTCTTGAACATGCATGCGAGCGTGGTTTCCAGATGCGTTCATCGCACGCGGACGGGGTCAACCTCTGAACTTTATCAGGCCCGCACTCCCCGCGCATCCTTCTATGGCGCAACTCTTGGGACATACATGCGCAAGGCGGTATGTCATTAGCGAAGTACTGGACACTCGCTGGAAGGAACGCTAATCTGCCCGTCATACATGCCTCATTCGCATCTGGGCCAGCTCGCCATCATACACGAGGACCCCAGGAGGGTTCAGGACATGTTCAGGAGGAGTATCAGGCGCCCCATACCGCCTCGCGGTGATGGTCTCTACAGCGAGGCGTCGAGACGCTGGAGACGTAGGCGCGCGGCCGGAAGCACTTTTACCTCTGATTGTCCGCGGGACCTTTGCGGAACTACAGCGCAATGCGGGCCATCTTTCCTCGCCACCCGTACCTCCCCGAGCCCTCTACTATCCTGCCCCATCTCCGTCGCTTGGGACAGCGCATCGATTCATTTCCGACGCGCCGCGGCTCCTCGCCTGATAGCGCGCCGTCCACCTGCCTAGCTCCCCACGCAGGCCCGCCGCGCGGCATCTCCCCCTCCCCAGCGAGCCGCACCCAGCACCCTCGGGCGCAGTTGTTGCAGGGGCGGCGCGAGGGAAGTGCGCGCCACTGCCAATCGGCGCCGATTAGGGCGCCTGCGCAGCGAGATACGGGGTGCGCCTGCCCTCTTCGCGCGAGATCCAGGGCGCTTTCGCCTCTTTCGTACTCAAGGGCCTGCTGACCCATGCGGGCAGGCGTGACCCAGCGACTTATCGGCGACATTCAGCTGGCTATCGGCGTATCAGATGATGGGTCACCTTGGCCATTCTTGGTGCGGCACATCTAGACCCGCCCGCTGACCTGCTTATCCACCCGGAGGAGCCGTGTCGCCGGAAGAAGACTACAATAGAAGGCGTCAGCTTGTGCTGAATGTGGGCGTATGCGCGCCCGCTGTCCTGGGGCATGCTGTCCATGTCCGCTTTCAACAGCTGTCTTTCCCATGAACCGCCTGATGAACCAGCCGTCGAGTAGTTCGCCCATAACGCCATGAGAAAACACGGCGCTACTGCTCTACACGAAGTTGAACGCCGTCTAATTCTTCCATCTGGTGGGTCCCCGCATCCTTACATTCATTCCACAACACACGGCGCACACAATCGACAAGACAATCATCGCATCGTCTAGATCACCCAGGCGGTAGTACGGACGTAACACAGAATCGATATAGGGATCTACTTGTACAATAAGTCAACAGCAGATCTCGAAAGCAACACAAAGCTCATACCGGTCATGATATATACATGGACGCGACGGATAGTAGCGTATAGAAAACGTAGCCGACAGAACATACATAGTACGTCGAATAAGACCAGGAAACAAGGCGAGAAGGACATAGACTGCTTAATCATGAATCAAATATCGGATAGACGTGGCGCACGGCGTAACGAGCGGAGATGTATAGGGACCGCGAGGCGAAGCAAGAAGGGAAGGGAATAGCGCAACCTATTGGGCGACGAGGTCCTCGCCTTCGTCGTAGTCGGGGGCAAAGGGGTTGCTGTTCCTCCTCGGGCGCATCGGCGTCATGCCCACGCTCCCAACCCACTGCCAGACGCGCATCTCGTCTCCGCCGCCCTCCTCCGCCAGGTTCGCCCGCACATTCTCGTTCCCCTCTACGAGCTTCTCCACGCGCCTCCAGATCTTATTGCGATAGGAGTTGTTCCACTCCCTCTGCAAGAGCAGATCGCGCATGCGTGCGCTCCCTACGTAAGGCTCCGGCGCGCGCACGGGATCCGAGTAGTGCGTTATCACTTGGTTTTGAAGGGTCTCCAGAACCTCCATAGCAAGGTCGCGCGCGCGCTCTGTGTCGATCTTCTGTGCCCGCAACGAGTACAGCTTGTACCAGGCGAAGAGGGTTGAAGCAACGATCCCGAAGACGTAAAGGCGATAGTAAGCCCAAGTCTCCCGTATGTTGACCTTCGCCCAACATTTCCAGCCTAGCTGTACTTCCTTATGAGCGTAGTATCGCTGACCACTGCGAGGGAGAGCATTAACAACTAACGTATTCTTAGAATCGTGGCAACACACCTGGTATCCCTGCCTTCAAAGATCAACTCCAACTTCGACAGCTGTCGAAGGGCATCATTGAATGCGTACTCGACATCATCCTATCAGTCGTGAACAACGCTGTCATTTACCAGCCAACGAGGCGCGCACCTTGTTCGGTTTGTTACCCGTCATCTTGTCGAATATATTGTAGATCTCGTCGCGAGTGAGACCCCATTGGCGAGCCTCACCGCCATCCTCAACGCTGTAACGCTCGAATTGCCCTGAACAAAGCCGCTTCGAACGCAGCCCACGGAGCAAGGCCGACAACCGTTTCGCGGTACGCAATGTCCCTTCTGTCCACTTGCCGTCGTCGACGCAACGAGGAGGGAACGCGACAGGTCCAAGTCCGGGGAAGCCGTCCAAGAGTCGCCAGATATCTAGCCACCCTCCTTCAAGGTTAACGCGATTGTGAGGCGGGGCGAAGAAGAGAAGTCTGTTCGGCTTCAGTTCGTATTTGAGGTTGCAGTCGAGAGTGGTGCGAGTGCAGTTTGCGTGCGCCGGGCAGGGCGTGCAAGCGTCGGGTACAGGCAGAAGCGCCGCCTGCGCGCATACAGTGCTGTTCCCGAAGAACGGTGTACTGTTCGCGTCTGCTGTGCCATTCATCTGCTCCAGGTGCTTCTGTTGCTCGATATGGCACTGCTCCTCGATCTCCGCACGGTGTTGCCTCAGCTCGAGGAGAAACTCGTTCATCGGCTCGCCGTTGTGCTCGAACGTGCAGAAGCCAATCTTCGCACTCTCTTGCTTGTACGACCAAGTGAAGTAGCCCAAGGCGAGGAGGATGACGGTGAGGAACAGACGGCGGATAGGCGATGGCGGCGCGACTTCTTCAGCTTGCAGCTTCGGAGGTGAGAGCTTGCGGCGCGGTCCCTCGGAGATGCGTTGAGCGACGGCGTTGACTTTGTCATTGTCGTCATCTTCTTCGCCCTTGATCGGTACCTCGACATCCTCGTACTCTTCGCCTTGCTCGTACTCCGACTCGTCGTCACCATCCTCCGGGATAAGAGCCAGCTCTGGTATCTCGCTGACGCCCGTCGGACCTTCTTCCCATTCATTGTCACCATCATCACCGCTGTGCGCAGGAGCTGAAGGGCCCGGCGATGAAGACGCGAAAGTGAAGGGCCCTGAAGGCGCGCGCATAGGAATGGGCGATGGGGGAGACGGCGGGACGCGGACAGGCGAAGGAGAAAGCATCTTCGGAGGGGGACGCGGAGGTGATTCGGGTTGTGCTGACGCGGACAGCCTGGACTTGCGCGAGGTAGAGCTCTTGCGCGCCTTAGGCCGCGGAGGGGATGGGCGAGCAGGGGAAGACGACTCTGCACCCGACTGGAAGATATTGTTGTCTTCCCAGCCACTATCATCGTTCGTCGAGACACGGCGAGTGGAGCGTTTGGTGCCGTCGGCCTGCAGGAGGTTAGCACGCGTCGGCGCGACGCGACAAAGGCACGCACGTTCTTCTTGCGCCTACCAATCTTGCGCGGCGGGGCTTCTTCGACTTCGTCCTCGGGCTCGCTTTCTTCTATGAGGATAGGTTGTGGGGCAGCGCGCTTCGAGGGTGCGGCTGCAGGTTGTGCTGATCGACGGCGCTTCGGCTGAAAAGTGTCGGGTTAGAACGCGTTCGCAAACGCGTCAAAGAGCACGCACTGGATCCGGGAGCGCGACAAGTTGCTCAGACTCTTCCGAGGGCTGGCGGGAAAGACGGCGGGATGATCTACGCGGCTGGGGAGCAGCCTGTATCCGTGTTAGCGACCCATCCCCCCTCGTCCCGTATGCACTCACGCGTCCCCCATTCAACGGCTGGCCCGTCACGCCGTCCGTAATCCCATCATCGCTCGCAAACGAGTTATCTTTCTTCACGCGCTCCCTCTTAAACTTCTTCGCCTTCGCCTTGATCTCGTCATTGAAAAGCTTGACGAGCGTGGGCTTGTTGTAGGGGGTCGGGTACTGGATGTTGTGGTAACCAAAGACGCCGAGCAGCTGGGAGACGGTGAGCGAGGCGGGGTTGAAGTCGGGGTCGAGGTAGTGCCCCTGCGCAATCACTTGCGCTGTCGTCAGCCGCGACATCGTGGTGGCGCAAGTCAACAAGCTGGCGCCTCACACGTCACGCGTCAACAAACAAACGCGGATCGTGGGAATTCCTGACGCGGGACACGTGAGATGCAGCTTGTGGGTCCATGTCTGCGTAGTCATTTCTATTTGTACCGCTACTACAGCGGTTAGATCATACGGCAAACGTCGCCGAGACGCAGCCCAGGAACATCGCGTCTACTGCTCCTGCTGTTCGCTCGATGATGTACGCATCCAAGGCGTCGAACATCCGCAGCGGCAGAGGCGAATCTGCTCCTCCCTTGGCCTCGAACCGTGCTTTTCGTGCCGGCCAGATGCCATCCTCCTGGATGCCGACGTAGTCAATTATTATATCTCCTTCGTCGCGCACGACAAGTTCAACCTCCCATTTGTCGACACCGTGGAACGAGGCCTCCTTGATGTGGTGGCGAGTCCGCCCAGCGGGTGGGTCATTGTCTAGGTCCCATGATAAGACCTCGGCGTCGAATGCGATGACTGAGAAGGCTGTAAGCTCTTGTCATACGAGGGGTCACCACCACACTCACCACTCCAAATAAGCCCAGGATGGTACATCTCCAACGTCAAAGCCCTTGTCCCCGCCTCTTCATCGCGCTCATCCCGAACCGCCCTCGCATAGAACACCGGCGCATCCTCCTTCACCCACGGCGACACATACCCCTCCGCCACGTCCATAGTCACAGCGTACGGCGACAGGAAGGCAGAGACTGGATAAATCGAGTTCCAGTCGCTATTGTACGGCGTCATGTCAACGGCGCCGAACGTCTCTGACAGCAATCCGGGGAGGGGGAGCACATCGCCGACCAGGTCTTTTGCTTGGTTGTCTTCGGCGACGACCGCATCGCTAGCGACGGTTTCGGGCGCGGCGGCGGGGAGCGCGGTCGCGATATCCCTTGCGAGGATCTCAAGGTCGGGTGCGGGGTCGAATCCACCGATGTGCAGCTTGTGCTCCCCGCTGGTGACCTAGGTGTAGTATGAGCACCCTCTCACACACTTCCTGAACCAGCCATTCAACCCACATTCTCCATATGGATCATAAACACCCGCTTCTGATGCGTCGCATCAAACGGCGAGCGCGCCGCAAAGTACGCCACCGACACCACCGTCGCAAGCGCCGCAAATACCCTCGCGCGTCTTAAAAAGCCAGTAGAGCGCTTTGGACCCGCCGACTCCTCGAACCTATAGACGAAGGGTAGGACGAGAGCGGACGCGTAGGCCGTGAGCGTGCCGACAATGACTGCGATGACATTATCCGCAGGGGCGTCATGGCCCATGCGTCCGGTGAGCGGCACGAAGACCTCGAGGGTAGGCATGATGAGGAGCGTGCCGGTGTAGACGGTGAAGGCGGCGCCCCATGCGTAGGTGAGGAGCGAGATGTACTTGCCTAATAGTAGATTAATTGTGATTAGCCACAGCAGGCAAGCAAAAGAGAAGTTAATGATCATACGCACCAAACACCACCGCATTCGCCACATACCCCATCAACAACGGCAACCCTGTCAAAAAGAACAACGCGCCCGAGCCCACGCCCAAAAGCTGGATCCCCAACGCCGCCACGCCCTGCAGCAGCGCGACCGAGCCAAACAGCGTATGCTCGGCATCGGCACCTAAAGTAGGCACAAATTTCTGCGAGACCAAGGCGCCCAAGAAGGCGGCTGGCCCGTATAGGAGGATCGGCGAGTACTCGTTGGCGAACCAGCTGAGGCCGCGGTTCAGAACGAGCCGCATGGTGAAGGCGACGAGGGTCGGTCCGATGAGAGCGCCGAGCATGGCGGAAACGACGGCGAGGCAGCCGCGGGCTTGGAGGGCGAGGAAGGAGCGGGTCTGCGATGCTCTGGATGAGTTGGAGGTAAGTTAAGGGAAGTCGTCAGTTACATGCCTGGCTTCTGACAGCGAGAATCGTGACAAGCAGCAAGGTGGAGTACATGATCTGTAGGATGAGGTCAGTTACGGCGAGACCTCGTTTGACGCAAACATCGACCGACCTTCGCCGTCGTGAACGAGTACATCCAAAAGCGCCCCAGATGCGAGAAATACACCGTCGTCGGGCGCGGCGGGTGCTCCGGGAGGGTCGTGATAGGCGACTCGGAGGACGCAAGGTAGTGCAACAGAGCCAGCGCATTTTCGCCCATGTTCTGTGCCACGCCGGGTTGGATGTAGGCGATGAGATCCTACAATCATAGTGTAAGGCGACGTCGACGAGAATTGAAGATAGAACGCACGTTGCGCATATGGTAGAGGTAGCTGTTGCCGATGACGGCCATCTGAAGCGCGCAAGTCAGCTATCCGAAGTCGTGCCATCTCGATGACAGCCTCACATCCAGACCAGTGACTCCCAGATACTTCTCGAACTGGCCAAAGTCCGTGCTGTTGATTCGTTTCAGTACACGCTGTGGTCACAGCACGTCTGGCTTACTCCGAGAGAATGATGCCCGAGCTGAAGATGTCGTTCGCGAAGACCGTACCGAACGGCCTCGGGACGTGCGAGTAGGCCTCGATCATCTGCTCAGAGGTCGCTTGGAAAAGGATCTCGCGCCCGGTCGTTCCTGCAGCTTCGAGGTTGATGACTGCGCGAACACTGGACGGGCGATGAGAAGCGGTCAATCATGAAAGGGAGAGATGATGCTCACGTGTCGCGCGTCTCATGCTGCGTTGAATACAGATGTGAGCCATCTTGCAAGGACTCTTCTGCGTTGTTGAACACTGAAGGAGGCGGTTAGCGCGCGAACAGAAGCAGCACATAGCGACAGACCGCATTTCTCGCATCCATCCACTCACAGAAGATGATAGCATGCGCAGGCTCCCAGCCAGGGGTATGCAAAAGTACGCGCATGCACTCAAGCATCACGCCAACCGCGAGCGCATCATCCGCCGCACCCGGGCTAGGCAGCGTACTATCCAGATGAGAGTTGACGAGCACGGCATGTTCCTTGCTCGCGGCCGTGCCATTAGACACCCGGACAATGATGTTCGACAGCCCGCGGTACGTCTTGTACACTCGGTGGCCCATAATGTCGAACCTGACCATGAAGACGTACGATGAGTGAAACAGCGACCTCGGCGCCTACATCCCCGTACCTATGGCTGCCATCGCCGGTCTGGTGCCAGACCTCGCATTCGAGGGCGCGGCCCTGCGACTGGACCAGCGCGTCGCACTCTTCCTTGAAGGCGCGCGCCTGGTCGACCATCCAGGCGTCGCCCTGCGCATGCTCTTCCGTGCCGACGCTGCGGTAGCCGATGTCCTCCGAGAGCGTCCTCGCGACGTCGAGGATGCGCGCCTCCGATATTTGTGGGAGTCCGGTGTCGGGGTTCGTTCTACAGACATGAGCCTGAACCACCAAAAGGGTCATCGAGAACGCACAAGTTCGTTACAGGCTCAGGCAGAGCTGGGGAACACGGTTAGCGACGCGCAAAGAAGTACGATCGGTACGCGCACCTCCATGATGTGTCTTGGCCAGGAAGGCCGCGAGTATGACGACGGGTGCTATTGCTGCACACGAGCGCAGCAGCCCCCACGAGGAGGACGTCTTCATGGTGGTGGGAGACGAAGAGACGTTGGCTGGCGCGTCGGGACCCGAAGCAGCGACGCGCGACCGCATGACGTGAAGCCGGGCCGACGAGGGCTGCGTGTCGAGGTCAGTTTGCCTGCGTTCGTCTTGCTTGACTCGCGCGCTCTCCCCCAAGGATGGACGGCGTCAGGTCGATTGCTGTGCACGACGTCCCTAGCCAGCGCCGTGCAGCGCCCACTCTCCGAAGCAGCGTCGCGTCGATCGCCGGCACGACGTCATGGCAGGATCCGCGTCCGCGTTCGAATCCCCGCGTCACTTGTACTCTGCGCGCTCCGTCCAGGCGTCCGTTCGAGCTCTGGTCGCGCCGCTGCCCAGCCAAGGGTCCTCCGGCCTCCTTCCTGCGCGCTCCGCGTGACGTGACAAGAGTTGAACCGCAACGTTTCCTAATTGAGCGAAAGTGAAAAGGTTTGCAAGTATGACCTCCTCACACTCGTATCTCGCGATCCGCGCTAGCTGCGGCCTTCGGATAAGGTGCAGTGGGATCGTATCTCTTGAACTAAGAGGTTCCCACAGTCTCATCTCCCTGCTGCCACTCCTTCCTCTCTTATACCCTCCGAAGCTGGCTGGGAAGCGTGACATCTGGGCTTGAATAATTGTACAGACACGAATTCTTGCCCGTTCCTTCTCATTCAAAGGAAAAGTGGGAGCATGTGGTCAGGCCTACCTCTCTGCGAGAAAGCTAACCTGCTCTCCTCCTCCCTCCCCTCCCCCCAATTTTACTCCTCCAGTCACTCTCCTTTGCCACCAGCGCCCGTCATCACAGACCCTGCTCCAGCCATCACAGACCCCACTCCAGTTATCACAAATCGTCCGACAGTCACATAAATTATTCCGTGATCACACTCGGTGGCGTTCAATCACCGGAAAAGGCCCTTTCGAGGCCGTGCACGGCTCCGTTCCCTCGTACGACCTCCCACTCACCTTCTGCGGGCTGATCCGTGCTTGCTCGAGACTCGTCGGTGGTGGGGGGATATAAGGAAGGCTGCGAGATGGCTTCCCTTGTGCTCTAGAGCAAGCTACAGCTGCGAGAGCCAGCATTGCTACCTACAATTGTAAGAGCAAGCGCAGGGAGCTATGATTGGAGGTCAGCTATGAACTACGAGCTATGAGCTACAGGTAGGTGCGAGAGAAGGAATGAGGTGCGAGGGAACAGGAAAGCACCGAGCGAGTTTGAGGCCCTGACGGATGAGGAGCGCAAGTCGACGGGCGAGACGGACGCTGGAGTCAAGGATGGCGAGATGGTGAGAAGGTCGAGAGGGTTGGGGAGACCATCAGGAAGACGTTCGGGAGGTGATGGTGCTTGGGACTTGCTCGAGACCAATGGTCGGGTGTCGAGGCCTGACAACTTGCTGACAAGTCAAGTTTGACCTACAGTTGGGAGGTGGAGGAGGTGGAATTGCCCCAAGCGGTCCCATCAGGAACATATGGGGTGCCCGTACTACACAAAGTGTGCTAACAGTGTGCTACGGAGCCAAGTCAGATACGTTGCAGATGAGTTCGGGCAAGTATTGGGCAAGCTCGAGCGAGTCAAAGACGAGTTCAAGCAAATAGCAAGCGAGTTTGAGCAGGTCAAAAGCAAAGAAAACAAGAAGCAGTACATAACAGGACAGCAAGGATGGTGCAAAGGCCTCAACAAGGTCAGTCGAGTGACTTGACGAGACAAGAAAGCACCCAACGGAGCTGTGATGCGCTCACAAGCTTGTACAAGTAGTCAAGATGCTATAATGTATGTAAGGCCTCAGACGACAATCCAGAACGCTCGGTGGGCAGCGGTGGGACAGGGTCTTGCTCGGAGGACTTTAGGGATTGGTATGTTGTTGCGAATGTGCCGAGAAGCTCGAGGCAGGTGTCGGAGAGCTTGAGGGGAGCGCTAGAGAGCCCAAGACGACTGGAGATGGGAAGCGCGACCATACAGCGACGTAGGGAGTAGATGATGGAGGTTAAGGTGAAGGGTAACTCATGAAGGCACAGGACAACACTTGGGAGCATGAGCGAGGGTCTGGGCAAAGGATCAGTACTCAGCTCGGGAGTAGAAAGCGGCATGCGCACCACATTACCTCGCTTGCTGAACGCGTTCTGTCGCCTCAGCACCTGAAACGACAGCTGAGGGCCACCATCGAGTCGCGGGAGCTGATTGAGGTCGAGCCCGAGACTGAAGTAGAAGGGCTTTGTTGAGAGCAAGACCACCGTGTCGAGGGCAGTCGGCGGAGCGCGCAATCCGAGGAGAAAATAATTTCGCTGCGCTCGGGCTTGCAGTCGGGCTTGGGGACGCAGTAGGCAGTCGGCAGGGATCACGGGCTGGGGGTCGCGCGCGCCTTGGGAAGGTGAAAACGCAATGCCGAGGTCCGGAGCGCGGTCTGATGAACATGGAAGAAGCCTGGAGTGTTCTGCTGCTTGCATACACGTTGTTGAGAAGGATACGAGCGAGCAGGGTTGAGAGCGGTGGGTGCGAGATGTCGAGGGCGTAGGCATGTCGTAGGTGGAGTCAGGAAGACCTCGAAGGTGAGAGCGATATGTCGACGAGATGGGCAAGATCTCAACAAGGGCAACAGCACGAGAGAGCCGGCGGACAGCGTTACATGGCCTCATCATTAGCGCTGGGTTCTAGAGCATCATCAGCCGTCGGCTCATGCACAAGACACGCACAACGCACCACATTGACCCGCTCGACGGGCAAATTTTCCATTGCTTGAGGGCTGAACGTGTCTGACAGGCAATTTGGGAGACTTGGGAAGCGCAGGGCGCTCGATGATGACGCAAGCAACGTGCGTTGACGAGGTTGGATATGTCGACAGGCGCCGCAGGAGGAGACTAGGAGGTGGCGACGAGAAGATAACCCTGCTCGGCGGATGAGACCTCCAGCCATGTCCCGTCGGGGAATTCCACCGCATCCGCAAAAGTCTGGGCTACTTCTCAGCAGTAGACCAGATATCAAGCATCGCGGCACACACCGTAATACGCCGCTTGGCGGATGAGGATCCATTCCTTCAGCCACGGAGTCAGTTGGATTCGTGGCATGCGGCAATGAAGGTGAGTATAGGCGGCGGCTTTGGAGACTCTTGAGGACAACACTGGCGCTTTGGAGACAGTGGCGGGTTTTGCCAACATTGCGACGGTCTGAATCAGAGTAAGCGCGAAGGTTCCGGTGCGGAAGACGTAGAACGCACCGTCAATCTCCGCTGTCCGGACGAAATCTATATACTCATCACCCATGCTGGTTTGCGCGCAGTGGACGCTGGAGGTCGTCAATAAGGTCGGGCTTTGAGCCTCGTGGGGTGCGGCGATGAGGGGAGATGAGTGAGCAAGAGCGTCGCTGATATCGCGTGCAGCGCTGGCTACGTCGATGAACTGACATGAGAGGAAAGAGACGGCGGCACCCGGCGCCGCCTCCGATGAAAATTCCGGGCGAGGCATGCTCTCCACGGTCCGAGAGCACGAGAATCGCGGGCGAGAGCCTTCGATGGATCACTATCCGGCGTTCAGGGTTGTGGAAAGGTGAGAAATCATACCAAAGTCGGAAGGTTTTGACGAGAAGACCCCGGAGTCGACAAATCAACAATTCGCCCCGCACGGGGGACTTGTCTAGAGCGCCCCGCGCAAGTGCCTGAGTCGAGGCGAGCTTGTTCTTGCTAGTACACGTGTCCTGGGTAGCGCGCGAATCATGAGCAGGGCGTCGCTCGTAGACTCATCCCCCGCGTCCCCGGCGGAGTCGGCTTGCAATATCATGAGTGAACTGAATGTAATTTTGCGGGAGGCGTGCTAGTTTGAGTGCGTAGTGGTTCCCCGACGTCGCCATGATCACTAGCGATACAGTGAGGCGGTCGATGCGGCGGCGCGCAGACACGGGGAACGACGGTGACATTCAGAAACAAGACGCGCGAGTGCGGTAAGCGCCGGGCGCTTACCGGCTTCCGCCCCGCGCCGCCGGTCGTCGGCAACTGCCGACCGCACTTCCCCCGCCGCGTCGCTTGCGTTCTGCGTCCATCGCCATCGCCCCCCGCAGTTCCAACAACGGGGTCCTCGTCCTAGGGAGGACCTCTATACATCCGCCGCGACTTGAAAGAGCAGCACAAGAGGATCCCACGGAAACTCCTCACAGCGCATTCAGCACCTCACGACGCGATCTCAGGCTACGGTACCTATCCCCCATTACCCCCAGCACCCACGATGGGTTCAGACGTACAGTGGAGGCTCGGGTATGCCAAAGGGAAGAGACCAAGACGCGTTAATCCTTGGGGAACGCGTTCTTTCTTATCGTACTTGAAGACCGAAGCAGGATGTATGCATGCACGACCCGGTTACCCTTGGTACGTCGTCACTCGGGTGGGGACATCTGACATTTTGAGATGAACGGGGGATACGCGGGCGAGTCTGTATCTGTACTCACGCGCTGAGCTGACCACTGCGCGAGGTCAGTAGGACGTCGGAAAGGACGCTTTCAATATGTGGCGTCGTTTTCAGTGCGTTCGTATAGCTGCCGTTTGAGCTCGCGCTGACCGGATAAACACAGACACATACTCTACGAGTAGTATACATGCAGTTCAGAAAGTTTGGCTAGCCTCGGCGCAGTCTCCCACTCACAATGCACTACCCGCTCCTCCTTTACCCGCATGTTCCACGCCATCAACAAGACGGGTACAGGGGGCCCTGTTACATTGCCGTCATCTTAGATACACTACCCAACACGCTTGGATTATTGCGCCGCTCCCCGGGCTCGGCCCTTGCAGCCATTTCGGCATATACCTGTATGCTGCTACCCTTTTCCCCTTCGAATCTCTCCGCTTCACGGTACGTGAAGCCTCTCCAACGCGACGCTCTAGACACTCAACTATCGGATCATCGATTTAGATGTTTGATGCGCGCCGGCGGCGGCCTTGGCGCGTCCGCGCCTACTTCGCCATCCTCACATTGGCGAGAACGATGGACCATCCCCATTTTTCCCTCGCCGACGACCGCCAAACATCTGAGCAAGGTGACAGACACGTGTAGCGTTGCGATGGGAGCTTTGAGCAAGTTCGCGGGTGTGAGAGATGTGCGCCGCCTTTCGTGCAGCTCAAAGCCTGCTAAATGGAGATACTGCGTGATGGGGGCAAGTTCGACTTGCTCCTCCTCAATCTTGCGTTCCCCCGCGCCACGTCAGCACTGACACGTGTCACAAACACGCCTGCGTACTACTCGAGGCTTTACATCTGCTTTCACGCAGGCGTCGTGGTCACAGAGACGATGCACATTGTGCCATGAGTTGCGCGCCACCCCGCGGGACGAACGGAAAAGTGCCCGTACTTCTCCGACCGACGCCACGTGTGCGGCATCCCTTGGCCGGACGAGTAAGTCTCGACGCATTTTGCGCGCGCTCTGGCTGACATTCTCGCAGGGATACGGCGGAAGATTGAATGAGCGCTCTGCGCGCACTTCCCCCAATCTTCCGACTTGCCGCTGGGCGGGTCTCGGTCGCGGACCGCCGAGGTCTGATCCGGAAATATGCGACGCCGGTCTGGAAGTTTGGGCGGCGACTGGGCGCGGCGTTGGGCCGTTCGCGATGTATAAAGAGTGGGCTGTCTAACCCTTTGAATCAGCATTCCACCGCTTTCATCTTCTCTCCTACATTCCCTCGCGTCGTTCTCTGCTTCACTGATCGTGCTCAACATGTCGAATGGTGTGCGCTGCATCGTTTTCGCTGTATTCAGCTGTTCTAACACTCCCTCTATCCAGGTTTGAATCTCCCCTTCGACATTGACTCGTAAGTTTTGGCATCCTCATTCTGTACTCGAAATCCTACTAATCGCGCTACTACCAGGGATTGTTCCTGAGGTGCTTGGCTTGCTCTTGCATTTCTGTAAGCGCTCTGCTCATTTACTGATCACTTCCACAGGTTTCCTCCGCGCACCATCAATCGACACCAAACGCACTCTCTGTTCTCACTGTCTCACGAGTACGTCCTCCACCTCTCTACTCTTTCATTGTCCATACTGACTCGTCTTTCAGCGATAGGATCCCTCGGCGCCCTCTGGGCCTTGCACATCGGGTAATGACGGTCCTTTTTTTTCAACGCCACCTCACCCTGACTTACCTCGCTCTAGGCCATCACGTCGACTTCATGACTCGCGACCACCACTCTCATCTCACCACTGTCTACGTCGGCGCCGAGCTACAGTCGCGCAGCTTCACGCGCGCTCAGCTGGTATTCGACAGGCGAGCGAGTCAGTCCGCGACCGCACCCGACACTTCTCGCGGCTCCCGCCCCCGTGCATAACGAGCGACGCACTCTAGCGTTGTGATATACGGTGAGTACAACCTTTTATCTCATGCTTGATTTTCTTGACGGTCTTGAGGGAGATCGGTCGACCCAGCTCGGGTGAGAGCGGGGCGTGATACAACTTCGACGACGTTGACATCGCTCGACCGTGCTCGTCGCGCCCCTTGGAGACGACGAGGAATGTCATTGCATCACGTTCTGAGGTGCGTTTGCTCCCTCTATCATCGCCTGTCGCGCCCAACTCACGGAAATCACGCAGTCCGATGTCTTCCATAGCCCCGGCGCTCCCTCCTTCGTTCCCCCACACGACTACAAAGCACGAGCGCAGCGCTCGCGCCGCCAGCTCCCGCCTTTCTCCGACGTGCACATCGACGCATGGGCATGCCCCGACGCTTCCCTCCTTCCGCCGCTCTGTCCAGGCTCCCTGCCAATCCATCTCGACAGCATGCGGCGATGCGGGGGGACCTCTGCCGTCGCTTTATGTAGGAGAAGGGCATTCTATCCGGTCGTGATGCCGCTCGCGAGCTGCGTGGGTGCTGATTTAGGTGAGTGAGGACATGTGGCGACGCTTGAAAGGGGTTCCTATCGCACCCCAAACCTTGAATAGCCTTGTCAACCCACTTTCAGATGCATTTTCTCTGACTCCCCGAGCCGCCAGAGGCCACGCGGGCGCTCTCTTGTGTGGGAGAAGCGGCAGGGGTGGTGTACCGTCGGTCGAGGTGTACCCCGGTGAGTAACGCGCCACCCCCTTACGCATCGAAATCGCCCTGACCCCCCTTCCGAAGTCGATTATTGCCACGCTCCCGGTCGCCAGACGCATGCGCGAGCTTCCTCAGGCGGCGTATGTGATGGGGGAGGGGTATTCTGGGTTGGAGAGGGGGTGTCGCTGCGCATACGTGAGGCAAATTCATCACCCATCACCCCCTGACTCGCGGGAGGGGGATTTATTGGTGAGTCTCGCCCCTGCCCTGGTTTTTATCGGAGCGCACTAAACTCACTCCATCACCGCTAGGGAAAACCGCCGGAGGCATGCGCGCTCTCCCTAGGTGAGATTCTCGTGGAGGGTGGGGGACCCTCCCAGCCCCTTTTCGCCATCGAAGGGGGTTATTCTGACGCTGTACGGTGCAGCCTTTAGCGAGTTTGAGCCGCTGGAGGTGAGCGCGCGCTCCCGCGTTGAAATAAGCGACGGGGTGGGGGCCCCACCCCCCCTTACTCTTTTCTCCTAAGGTGTGCTGGAGGGTGCTTTGGCGCTTTCAGAGGCCATTTCTCGGCGAGATCGAGCCGCCGGAGGCGCGCGCGGGCTTCCTCGGCGAAGGATGTGACGAGGGTGGGTTACCCTCCACCCCTCCTCCTATGACACAAGTGTACTGACCCCCTTTCGCCCGACTCTGCTGCACCCCCCAACTTTCGGAGGCGCGCGTGTGCGATCCCCCCTAGATCAGGATTACGACCAGGTCAGTGCATCCACTGCTGGCCGTCCTTTGAACCGACTTTCCGGCGGGGACGAGCCGCCGGAGGCGTGCGTGAGCTTTGTCGGTGATGATTACGACAAGGGGGAGGGGGCCTTTCCCCTCCTCCCCAATTTGAACAGAGCTGGGGATGTCTCCAACCCTGAATAGGGCGACTTTCCGACAGCTTTTGACGAGGGGGTGCCGCCGGAGGCGCGCGCGTGTCCCTCGGCGAAGGGGGCGAAGGGGATAGGGATCCCCCCTCCCCACGCTGCGAGATGCGGGGGCGCTTCGACGCGTTTTAAACCCCTTTTCGGTGGGAGAGAGCCGGCGGAGAGATGCGCGAGTGCTGCAGGTGAGAATTCCGACGAGGGGAGGGGGCCTTCCCCTTCAATACGACTCAACGAAGGCTGGGCGGGGGCCTGCAACCCCTCGTGTAGTGAAATTCCGATGAGGGCGAGCCGCCGGAGGCGTGCGCGGGGTCGTCAGGGAAGGACGCGACGAGGTGAGCTTACCTTCCCTCACCCCTCCACGCGACAAGCGTGCTGACCCCCTTTCGCAGGCTTTTTTGCAAACCCCCCAACCGCCGGAGGCATGCGCGGGTTACCTAGGTGAGCGCTGCGAGGAGGGGGGAGCGCCCTCCTTCTCACTTCACCCTTCAAAAACAAGCTGACCCCCTTTGAGACAATTTCATTGGCGAGGGAGAATCGCCGGTGGCGCGCGTGGGGGGACCTCGGTGAAGGAAGCGAGGAGGGTGGGTATCCTCCCTCCCCCTCATGAAAAGGTACGCCCCCCTTTCACCTGTGCTCGACGTGCTGACCTTCTTAGTAGATTGACTTCTTTCGTGCCTTCGCCATCGAGGGCATGAAGGGTGGGAGAAGGGAGCGAAGAGGTGGGGGACCCTCCCTCTCCCCCATGCGAAGGTATGACCCCTTCTCCTTCTTCTCGACGACGTGCTGATCTTCTTACCAGACTTTATTCTTTGTGCCCCCGCTCTCGCAGTCTTTTGCGAGACGTGGTCGACGCCTTTGAGCTTCCCTTACCTTGGGTACGGGAGGGGGGAGGAGGTGGAGTACTCGGAGGAGCGCTTTCGAGCAGACCTTGGTGGGTCTGCCTATGTTTCCTCTCAAGGTGCGCGAGCAAACGAAGTAACTGACCCCTTTCCAACAGATTCTCTTTGCCTCTGACTGCAAGAGCTCGCCCTCCTTCGCCTCGGTGTAGGGGTCGATGGGGGGAAGGACTTTGCGGCTCTACTCAAGGCGTTTAGCGCGACGGTGCGCGTAAGAGGGTAATCCTTGCGCATCGCCGCACTCCACGCCACTCGAGACCACCAAGCCCAGGTTGGTATCGCACCGCATCCCTCCTTTGCGGCACAGCGTCCTCCTTCCGTCGCGGTACAGGTCCCTCCCTCCTTCGCGCGGCAAGGGCTATCTCGCGAGGTGAGTAAGACACTGACTTTCTCGCTTTTTCCAACACGAGCGCGCCGCGATTGGGCAGCTTTTCGAGGTGGGTGCTTCTTTGTGCGTGAGTATCGTATACTGAGCTCCCACTCGCGTCTAGGATCGCCGTTGATCCTTGCCGTTGCACGTCGAGGCGAGTTTCGGTGAGTTGGAGGAGTTGGGGCTCCCTCCCCGGGTTTCGTACGTGTCCACCCCACCCTCGTTGCATGTGAAGTCGTAGGTATCGAGATGTATACATGTAGGTAGCTGGAATAACGACGCTCTTGACCCCATCGTGCCCCCGCGCTTCGACCTAAAAGGAGAAGGGGTGGATGCGAGACTGCGAGTTTGTGGCAAAGGCCTTGCCATCGCCTTCTCCCCCGCGCGCGTACGCATGGTGAGCGAGCCGGGTCTTTCTGAGCACGCCAGAACGTAGATTCGACGCGCTTGCACCTCTTCATCCTGCTCGCGAAGCTCATCGATGTCTAAGAGTACTCGTGAGGGGATTCTTCGAGCGCTATGCCCCCACCCATGTCCCCCCTTCCCCTCGATTCGTGGCCTCCTTCTCCTCTGTTCGTGGACCCCTTTCGCTCCCTCACTCCAAACACGCCGTCGTGGTAAGTTCAAATATATTCTATTCAAGCTATCTACTACACGGCGGTGTACACGACCTGTCCTACCCATTCCCGCCGCTCCTGCGCATGCTCTCATCCTCTCGCGCCCTCCCCCGCGTCGCGCCCGCCTCCCCCGCGTCGCGTCCGCCTCCCCCGCGTCGCGGCGCCCACCTCCCCCGCATCGTCTCGCTTCCCCCCACATCTCTCGCCTCCTCCCCCGCATCTCTCGCCCCCTCCCGCGCGTCCTGCGCCTCTCACGGCAAGCCCGTCAAAAAGAACAACGCACCCGAGCCCATACATCCAAAAGCGTCCCAAATGCGAGAAATACACCGTCGTTGGACGCGGCGGGTGTTCTGGGAGGGTCGTGATAGGCGAGTCGGGTGAGGCAAGGTAGTGCAACAGGGCCAACGCATTCTCGCCCATGTTCTGTGCCACGCCGGGTTGGATGTAGGCGATGAGATCCTGGAAAATTCGTTAGGGAGTGTTCGCATGAAAGAGAAGGATGCGACGTACGTTACGCATGTGGTAGAGGTAGCTGTTGCCGATGACAGCCATCTGGAGCGCGCGGGTCAGCCATCTGGAATCGCGCCATTTCGATGACAAGCTCACGTCCAGACCGGTGACACCCAGGTACTTCTCGAACTGGCCAAAGTCCGTGCTGTAGATTCGTTTCAGCACGCGCTGTGGTCGCAGCACGTCTAGCTTACTCAGAGAGAATGATGCCCGAGCTGAAGATGTCGTTCGCGAAAACCGTACCGAACGGCCTTGGGACGTGCGAGTAGGCCTCAATCATCTGCTCAGAGGTAGCCTGAAAGAGAATTTCGCGCCCGGTCGTTCCTGCAGCCTCGAGGTTGATGACTGCGCGGACGCTAATAAACTTGTAAGAGGCGGTACGTTATGAAGTACAGAGAACAACTCACGTATCGCGGGTTTCATGCTGCGTCGAGTACAAATGCGAGCCATCTTGCAAGGATTCTTCTGCGTTGTTGAACACTGAAGGAAGTGGTTAGCGCGCGAACAGAAGCAACACATAGCGACAGACCGCATTCTTCGTATCCGTTCACTCACAGAAAATGATAGCGTGTGCAGGTTCCCATCCCGGCGTATGCAGAAGCACACGCATGCACTCAAGCATTACACCAACCGCGAGCGCATCATCCGCCGCACCCGGGCTAGGCAGCGTACTATCCAGATGAGAGTTGACCAGCACGGCATGTTCCTTGCTCGCCGCCGTGCCGTTGGACACACGGACGATGACATTCGACAGCCCGCGGTACGTCTTGTACACGCGATGGCCCATGATATCGAACCTGACCATAAACACGTACGATGAGCGAAATAGCAACCTCAGCGCCTAAACTCACGTACCTGTGGCTCCCGTCGCCGGTCTGGTGCCAGACCTCGCATTCGAGGGCGCGGCCCTGCGACTGGGCCAGCGCGTCGCACTCTTCCTTGAATGCGCGCGCCTGGTCAACCATCCAGGCGTCGCCCTGCGCATGCTCCTCCGTGCCGACGCTGCGGTAGCCGATGTCCTCCGAGAGCGTCTTTGCGACGTCGAGGATGCGCGCTTCGGATATTTGTGGGAGTCCGGTGTCGGGGTTCGTTCTACAGACATGAGATAGAGCCACTACAAGGACAATTGAGGACGCACAAATTCGTAACAGGCTCAGGCAGAGCTGGGGTACGCGGTTAGCGACGCGCGGGAAGTACGATCGGTGGACGTACCTCCATGATGCGTCTTCGCCAGTAAGGCCGCGAGTATCACCACAGGTGCTATTGCTGCACACGAGCGCAGCAGCCCCCACGAGGAGGAGGTCTTCATGGTGGTGAGAGACGAAGAGACGTTGGCTGGCGCGTCGGGACCCGAAGCGGCGAGCGACGCGCGACCGCGATCGGCGCATGACGTGAGTCCGGGCCGACGAGGGCTGCGTGTCGAGGTCAGTGGCAGCCTCTCTGCCTCCGTTCGTCTGGCTTGACTCGCGCGCTCTCCCCCAAGGATGGAGGTCGATTGCTGTGCACGACGTCCCTGGCCAGCGCCGTGCAGCGCCCACTCTCCGAAGCAGCGTCGCCTCGATCGCCGGCACGACGTCATGGCAGGATCCGCGTCCGCGTTCGATTCCCGGCGTCACTTGTACTCTGCGCGCTCCGTCCAGGCGTCCGTTCGAGCTCTGGTCGCGCCGCTGCCCAGCCAAGGGTCCTCCGGCCTCCTTCCTGCGCACTCCGCGTGACGTGACAAGAGTCGAACCGCAACGTTTCCTGATTGAGCGAAATGGAAAAGGTTTGCAAGTATGACCTCCTCACACTCGTATCTCGCGATCCGCGCTAGCTGCGGCCTTCGGATAAGGTGCAGTGGGATTGTATCTCTTGAACTAAGAGGTTCCCACAGTCTCATCTCCCTGCTGCCACTCCTTCCTCTCTTATTCCCTCCGAACTCATCCAACAAGCGTGTTTGTGGTCCGTTGTTCCGAATCCGGCCTCGTCCTTGTTTCCCGACTGAGCGGGCCTTGCTGAGTGCCTTCCGGGCGCATTTCGTATCTTCGACGCCAGCATCCATTGCCCACCTAAAGATGGCGATAGATCATTGCCCCGCAGGCTGGCTAAAGTACAGAAATACACGAATCGTCAATACACATAGGAATTTTCGTGAAGTACATCTCCTTCATCGGCCGCGGGTAGCTTTCCCCTCGCTAGCCATGTCATGCCTTCGTCTCCTTCACATCCACATCGTCCTCCATCCGATCTGCCGCGCCCTCGCCCGCCGTCTCGACAGCCTCCGCCATCGTCGCCTTCCCGCTCGCCACCTGCGCCTTCAGCTTCGCAAAGTGCTTCTCCTCGTTCCACGTCCACATGCTCTTCGACGCGAACAGCATGTCCATCTCCTCCAGCGTCCGGTTCGCGGTCTCGGGGTAGAGCGCGTAGACGACGGGGATGCAGAGGAAGTTGACGGCGCCGAAGATGTGGAGGGCGCTAGGGGGAGGGGGTTAGCTCCCGAGAGGGGATCGTTCAAGATGTGACAACTCACTTCTCGCCGATGGAGGACAGCATGACAGGCGTCAACATCATGAGCCAGCCGTTACCGATGGACCAGCCCATGACACCGAAGGCGTTACCCTTGGCGCGCACCTCGAGCGGGAAGATCTGCGAGAAGCGTGAGCGCCTTACAAATAGATGAAAGGGAGTAGAAGCTCACCTCGGTCGGGTACACCCAAGGAATCGTCAGCCACGTCGCGCCAAACACGGCGGTGTACATGAACACGAAGAAGGTCGTCGCCGCGCCGTACTCGGTGGCCTTGTCCGGGTTGTCCTTGAGGAGGCGCGCGAGAGCACCAGCAAGAATCAAGGCGATACCCTGGCCGACGCAGCCCCAGTACAGGCCCATCCGGCGACCGAAGCGGTCGATCGTCACCACAGCGAGCAACGTCGAAAACATGTAGGTGATCTACAACGACCCGTCAGCATACCACCTCACCTCACCACACTTCCACAACTCACATTGTTAACCCCCGAAATCCACTGCGTCTTCCGCGCATCATACCCCGCCTGCGCAAAGATCGTCGGCGCGTACACCGTGATCGCCGCAATCCCCGACCACTCCTGCAGAATCTGCAACCACACCGCCAAATTAATCCGGCGCGAGATATGCAGGTCGCCGTCGCCGATGGAGAAGAACATGTTCCAGTACGAGTTCATCTTGCTGTGCTTCTGCTCGAGCTGGACGACGTCGACGATGGCGGCGAGCTCCTGCTCGGCGCTGTGCAGCTCGGGGTCGGTCTCTTCGGAGCGGAGGTGCTCGAGGATAAGGCGCGCCTCGTCGACGCGGCCGACCTTGACGAGCCAGCGGGGGGACTCGGGCATCCACCAGAGGCAGATCTGGGGTCGGGTGGGTTAGTGAGAGGGGCAAAAAAAGCGTGAGCGAAGTACTTGCCATGAACATGACAAGCGGCACGATCTGGAATGCAATGGGGAACCTCCAGCGGACTTGGGTGTCACCGTCGCCGACAAAGCCTAGGGCGAACTCGAGCCAGTATGCCACCACGACACCAAAGATGTTCTGAAGAGCGTGATGAGCCAGTCTCGCATCCATACGAGACGGAGGGTTACCAGAGTGAATTCCATCGCGATGAAGGCTCCTCGTGACTTGTGATTCGCCACCTCCGCAGACCAGACAGGAACAATTGCATTCAGGTAGCCCGTGCCAATGCCGTTGATAACGCGAGCGCACAGCATCCTAAGAACCGCGTTAGCTTCAATGCTACGAGAAGTCGGAAAGGTATCGCTCACCATGCCAGATTCTGTGCGGAGCATTGCAAGGCGGCACCAAGAACGACCCAGGCGCAACCGTGAAGCATAGTCTTGATACGTCCGATACGGTCACCCAGGACACCGGCGATGATGCAGCCAATCAGCGTGCCCAAGTAGTAGACTAGCGGAACGTTAGTAACGACGGCGAGGAGGGAGGGGATGGACGCACTCGATACAATGCCTCCCTGTCTCGAAGAGTTCGTGACGGTGGCAACCCAGCCTTCAGACTTTCCCTCGTACGTCTTGTACCCGAGGCCCATAGTCTCGACATAGTGTGGGGAGGTGTTCACGCCTAGCGAAGGAAAGTTAGCAACGATGCCGAACATAGCATAAGCGCCTGCGCACCTCCCATCATCCCTTGGTCATATCCGAAGCTAGTGCAAAACCAGTCGGCTATTGTTCTCTCCCGATCACAAGAACAAGGTCTACGTACAAGAAGATCGCCAACCCGGCAACGAGGTTGATAATCCACACGAGCTTCTTGCCCTTCAAAGTCGTCCTCATCGTGCGGCCGTCCGATCGTGGAGGTAAATGTGGGGGGTGGGGTACAAACCGGGGAAGCGCTCGAAGTCGCTGAAGAAGCACCCGGGAAGGGGAAGGGGAAGGGGGACGGGGGTGAAGGACGGAGACTTCGCACCGGGACTCAGGATGCTCGCGCGGTTTTATAGCCAGGCGGCATTTTGAGCCGGCATATGCAGTAGCGGGATTGTGAGGGGGAGAATGCGGAGAGCGATCATATCTGATGGATGTACCCCGCGGGCGCGCGGGTTCCCTGAGGGGCAGAACAACGCGGGGTCGAAGACGTCACCCCGGGGCGCCCATTGTCGCGCTCTCCTGCGATAAGACCGGTGCTTCTGCTCTACGGCACTCGCAGGCGTCCTCACAGCAAAGGTTATCGATGACTGTATCGCTGTGGCGTCTTCCATCGAAGCGGTAGGGTCGTCGGGGCCACTCGGGGGACGTGAATGGGGAGAGCAGGCCGTGGGGGAGAGCGGGGTGCGCGTGACCAGCGGATTTGAGCGCGGACCGGTCGTCCGGCGCATACTTCCGCCCCGCCTCTTTGTTGCCACAGCGCCTGACACCTCTCTGCCGCCGGGATCGTCGGCATCTAGAACGCTTCAAAATAGACGCGTACGCCTCCTAGGGGACGCTGAGAATTAGCGAGGCAGGTAGAGAAGGGGGAGACAGTAGGAGACATTGCTCACCTCTTCAGCTGGCTTGCTCAACTCCACCGTCTGTTCACCATCCTGAAGAGCTCTAGCTGTTCCGTGCATTCATCGCACTTTACGGCGATAGCCTGAACAGATTCTCGTCTGCTGACTTCGGCACAAAAGACCTTGACAACGACTGACACCTCGGTAACCACCAGCCTCTCCCCGAGCCTCTGCAGCAGAGGTGGATCATGGCGCAAAGATGATTCCTACCTTTCAGGGGTATCTCCGATGGTGGCTGAAGGTCCTACAAATTCAGCAGTACACGGTCAAACACGCGTCAAGATTAAACAGACGGGGGACAAACTGGTGCAAATTCATGTATTGTTTGTAAGGACTCACCGCAGGACGGCCTTCCGCGAGGACCTGAAGTCATCAAATACAGTTTGAGTTGTTCCTCGGACGGCAGGAGCTTGGTAGGAAGAGTCGTAAAGATCGTGGCAATTTGAACATACAACAACAATTTCGACGTCGTATGGACAGTTCCGTTCTGCCGAGCAGTACAGAGTTTTGTGGCACCGTCGAAGATGCGTCTAATCGAGGGGGTGACATAGGTAGTCGTGGTGAAGGCACGTCTAGTCGTGATGTAGCCTTCGGGGCAGCAGAACAAACGCAGAGGCGGCACCACCAAGGGCAACAAAGCCAAGAATGATGTAGACAAGGTTGCCTCCCGCCAGCTGGCGCTCAAGCGATAGAGAGAAGAGCGACGTCGCGGCCCAAGGCGCGAACGTCCTGATGAGCGTCGCGGTGGTCTGCGCTAGGCCGTTGACGGCACCGAGGGCGTCGTTCGTCGGCGAGCTCTCGACGATGAACATGTGTATCGTACCTGCGACGCAGATTGAACGATATTGTAAAGCCCAGACGCAAAAACGACGTACCGTAGCTCACGTATATCAGTGACATAACCATCAAATGTACGACCAGCAATGCCTGCACCGACCCGCCGAAGCCCCCCGCCGCCCTCGCCAGCGCATTCTCCAACGGGAAGAGCACAAAAATCAACGGAATCGCCCCCTGCGTTATGACCTGCATCTTGAACGCGCCCAACCGATCCGTCAAGCGAGGGCTCGCAAAGAACTGGAAGAACACATTGTAGGCGCCCCACGCGGCGAGGACGACGCCGATCTGGTGCGAGGAGAGACCGAGGCCGCCGTCGGGGATGCGGGTGTAGAGGATGATGGGGAGGAGGGAAGCGAGGGCCATTTCGAAGAAGCAGAGGAAGGCGTAGACGATCAGCACGCGGCGGACGGCGGGCGTGCGGAGGAGGGTGCTGAGAGGGGGGACCTTTGCACGTTCCGGGGACGATGAGGTGGAAGGTTCGTCGGTGAAGGTGCCATAGCCGTCCGCGGAAGCCTCTCGTTCACGAGATGCTTGCTCCTCGAGTGAACAACGGATCTTCGCGGGGTGTGTCTAAGCAGGAAGTGTCAGCATCAATATAGCAGGCATTGCGAAGTGTGCATACCTCCTTCAAATCGAACAGAGCGAAGATGAAGACGAACAGCGACAGCGTTCCCGCAATCGCGCACGGAAGGAAGTACGGGAACTCTTCGAACAGTTTGATCCCGCCGAAGACGTTAGGATACTCGCTCGCGGGGTTGTTGAGCGCGCCAATAAGTGGTCTGGAGTGCAGCGAGTTGTCAGTCGGAGTTGCCATAAGACACACGAAGGGGCGTACGCCAAGGTGTCGGCGACAGACCACATCAAGGGCATCATCGCGAAAGCTCTCGCGCGGTTGGAGCTGTCGGTGAGCTACAAGCACTTCAGTACTTCCTCAGTCATGGAGGGCATCAAATATTCACCTCAGCCATGACGCTCTTCGAAACTCCTGCGACGAGTCAACATCCATCCAGTACCACAATGACCATGACCACGAACCTATATTGCCATTGAACGTGCCCTGGAGGAAGCGGAAGATGCAGAGCTGCCAGAACGTCTTCGACAGACCGAACCCATACATCGATAGCGCGAGCCCGAGCGGTCCGAACAACAGGACCGGTCGCCTCCCATAGTAATCCGACAGCCTCCCCCATTGCAGACAAGTCATGAACTCGGAGAAGAAAAACATGGATTCCTGTCACCAAGACTCGAACTCAGCACGACCCCGATCGCTAATTTTCACCACACGTACCACGATGCCTGTATTGAAGCTTCAGCAAGTACCAAGAACGAGGGAGACTAGCACACGCACCTGCATAGTACCCGATCGACTTCTCGTTCCCGTGCGTGATGCCTGTCTCGAAGACAAGCTGAGCGATGAAGGGGTAGATGACCATCCCCGTCAGCGGCTCGCTCGCCTGGATGAGGTACACGATCACCAGCTGCCGGATAGGCAGTGGCGTGCGCTTTTGCTCCTGCGTAGTCTCGACGTCGTCGTGCTCATGCCGGTGTTCGTCGTGCTCATGGTGGTGCTCGTCGTGCAGCAGCGGGCGCTCCTCGGCGGCGGACATCGTGGGGGTGCGGGACAAGACGGGACGTGCGCGTCAGCGCGCGCATGAGTCAGGCTGCTCGCAGGTCGGTGTGCTGGGTGGCCTCGAACTTGCGTCCGCCCAGATAACATGTAATTGCGGCAGATTGGTACTGGGCGTCTTGCTTCTGAGCTCCGGACTGCATTGAGTTGGGGAGGAGGTCGGGCGCCGGCGAGAAATGTGGGAGCAGGAGTCAGAGTCATTGCGCTCAGAGAACATTGGATGGGTTCAGATGACGCGAGTCATGATCGACAACCATAGTTGCGTTCACAAATATAGTGCGTGTGTGCGTCTTAGGGTGCATGCGTCTGAAAGAGGGCTATAGGTAGCAAAGGTGGGTGGGGGACAGGATCAAGGACAGAACAAGGCCTGCCATTTCGGGGCGTGCCATCAATAATGGGCGCCTAAAGACAACGGCATCGGTGAGCACCCCTCAAACGGCGTTGATGTCCGTGTTAGAGTAGTCAATAGTGGTTGAAGCCTGAAGCCTGACCACCTCTGAGTGTCCAGCATGAATCCTGCAAAAGTGCACTCCATTGTGGTAGAATACAGTGAATATATGTATCGTTCTATCGTCGATGTTCGAGACTACAACAATTGTGTGTGCTGTACTGTAGCTACTGCTATCAGCGTCTATACATATTCTAATGGGCGTTCCTCAATTTCTTCGGTAGCAAGGACGTCGCAGTCAAGCCTCCACACGCCACACAGATAACGAAGGCGTATATCAAGCGCCCTCCGAGGAGGTTCTTTTGCAACGAGAGGGACAACAACGAGGTAGAGATCCATGGCGCGAAGGTGCGGACAAGGGTCGCGGAGGCTTGGGCGAGGCCGTTGACTGAACCCATGGAGTTTTGCGTCGGTGCGCTATCGATGATAAACATGTGGATAGTACCTGTAGGAAGGTGTTAGTGGGCCGTTGCGATGACCAGCAAGGAGGATAGGACATACCATATCCGATGTACGTGAAAGACAAGCACAGGTACTGCAATGTCAGAAGCGCCATCACAATCCCATTGACCTCCCCGAATTGGCGCGCAATATAGTTCTCCGTCGGGACAAGCACCGCCATCAGCGCGACCGCGACGATGGCCGTCATCTGCATCGGGCGCGGGCCAAAGCGCTTGATGAGGTACGGCGCCGCGACGAGCTGGAAGATGATATTGTAGACGCCCCAAACGGCCATGATCGTGCCAATCGTCAACGGGTCGAAGCCCAAGCCGCCGTTCTGGATCTCCGAGTAGAGGATGATGGGTACGAGGGACGAGAGCGACATGTCGCAGAACCCGAAGATGACATAGGCAGAGAGGACCTTGACGATGTAGCGGTCGCGGAGGAGGGCCTTGACGGCAGGAGGGGGAGCGGGCTCGTCAGGTGAGGGCTGGAGCTCGTCCGCGCAGGTGCCGTAGTCGCGTTCGGCGTGGAAGTCTTCTTGCAGAGTGGATGAGCTTGACCCCGAGGAAGAAAGGCGCTTCTTGTTGCGCTTCTTAATGGCCGAAGGAAGCGTCTAATGAAGGCCACGTCAGTCGATGCATGGTGGTAGTGAGGCTGGGCTTACCTCCTCCAAGTAGAAGTAGGCGAACAGGAAGACACCCAGTGACCCCGTCGCGGAAACAGCGCATGGCAGCAGGTATGGGTACTGCTCGAAGAGGGGCACGTTGCCGAAGACGTTGGGGAAGTGCCTTGCAGGGTTGGAAAGGATACCGCCTATGAGAGGTCTGCGCTTGATCAGTCATCAGCTAAAGGTGGTCGTGGAGGATGCTCACGCCAATGTGGTCGCAACAGACCAGTTCAGTGGCATCATGGAGAATGCACGAGCACGATTACTTGCGTCTGTGATCTGGGATAAGGTCAGCAATCAGAATGGTCATTGGCGAGCCATCTAGGACGTACCTCGGCCAGCACGCTCTTCGACACGCCTGCACCAATCGCTTCAGTCAGGGCTCGGCATGAGGTATATCATGTACGCACCAACATTCCCGTTGAACACGCCCTGCATGAAACGGAAGATACACAGCAGCCAGAACGTCCTCGAGAACCCGAAGCCGTAGGTTGCGATCGCCAATCCGAGCGGTGCGATGAGCAGTATGGGTCGGCGACCGTGGTAGTCCGACAGTCGCCCCCATTGCATACACGTCAAGAACTCGGAGAAGAAGAAGAGGGATTCCTAAGTAGTCCGTCAGGCGAGGGGGAAATGGTGAACGCCGTTCGTTGCACATACCACAATGCCTATAGGACTGATCAGCTTCCGTCAGGCGTCTTCGATCGTTGACGACGCACCTGCATAAAACGCCGTAGCCTTGTCATTCCCTCCCGTGATCCCCGTCTCCTGCACGAGCTCAGCAATGAAAGGGTAGATGACCAACCCCGTCAACGGCTCGCAAAACTGGATCAAGTAGACGATCGCAAGCTGCCGCAACGGCAGCGGCGTCTCCTTTTTCGCCGCGCGCTCGGGGGACTGCTCAACGTCGCTCGCGAGCAGGGGGGTGGTCTCCTCCGAGGCAGTCATGGTGGGGGAAAAGCAAAGGTCCCTCGGGCATCGTCCTCAGCGACCGGTCGTTATATATGCTGGCTCGGGCATGATATGATACGCGCGCGCGACCATTCGTAATCGGTGTCTTTAGCCGGCGGCAGGGAGCATGCGGACAGTGACAGTGGGTGTTGACTTTACGTGAGTCACATTCCTGCCTGATTAGGAAGGCTTTGTTCGCGGGCTAACTGATGTGGACTAAGAGCTTGCTGAGTCTTAGCGCCGCCAAGTCGAGCAGGAATCAGGATGACTATCAGGACCGTGGACTAAATGAGAGTGCTTACGGCGCTCGGACGAGCGTGTAGTACAATTGCGAGCATGGGGCCTTCAGATGTTCACCCGGTCTGAAGGCTCCGTCCAGTGACCGCATCATTCTATTGTCCACCTAAGGGAAGGTCAATGATATCGCCACACCACAAGTATATTCGTCAGAGGGTATAGTATACTACTCTATAGAAAGCATACTACGCAGTGGGTCTAGAATTGTAGTGCTACTAGTGAGCATTCCGAAGCTGCTTCGGCAAGAAGGTGGTCATGTAGAAGTTCGCACACGCCACGCAAATGACGAACAGGTAGATGAAGCGTCCACCGAGTATATTCTTCTGCAGCGAAAGCGACAATAGCGACGTTGAGATCCACGGCGCGAACGTACGGACCAACGTCGATGAAGCCTGTGCAAGGCCATTTACAGCGCCCATCGAGTTCGACGTCGGGGCGCTGTCGACGACGAACATGTATATCGTGCCTGTAGGGGCCATGAGTCAACGGTATGCTCCGAAGAGCGGTAGGGAAAAGTACCGTATCCGACGAATGTGAACGACAAGCACAGATACTGGAGTGCGAGGAGGACCATCACGACGCCATTCACATATCCAATCTGGCGCGCTATATAATTCTCCGTGGGCAACAGCACGGCCATGAGCCCAGCAGCGACAGCAGCCGTCATCTGCATCACCCGCGGACCGAAGCGCTTGATGAAGTACGGCGCACCTACCAGCTGGAAGATCGTGTTGAAGACGCCCCAGATGCCCATGATGGTACCGATAGTTAAGGGGTCGAAGTTCAATCCGCCATTTTGAATGTCCGAGTAAAGAATGATGGGGACCAAGGACGAGAGCGACATGTCGCAGAAGCCGAAGATGGCGTACGTCGCGAGGACTTTGCTCACATAGGGATCGCGGAGGAGGGCTTTGACGGCAGGAGGCGGAGCGAGCTCAGTAGGGGATGGCTGCAGCTCATCCGCGATGGTGCCGTAGTCGCGCGCGGCGTTGGCCGCTTCACGTGCGTTAGAGGGCGCCTTTCTTTGTTGTTCGAGGGCGGAAGGAAGGGACTTACAGTGAAGTCTTGATCAGCTCGCGAACAGAGGTTGGACCGTGGACCTCACCTCCTTCAGATAGACAAGCGCAAATAAGAAGACACCCAAAGAAATCGTAGCAGAGACGGCGCACGGAAGAAGGTACGGAAATTTCTGCAGCAGCCACACATTTCCGAAGACGCCTGGAAAGTGCTTGACGGGGTGCGACAATGTACCACCGATGATAGGCCTATATAGAGTCAGCCGCCGTCCGGAAAGGTGATGGTGGGAAACTTACGCCAGGATGCCAGCGAACGACCAATTGAGCGGCAGCATAGAGAATGCCCGAGGTCGATTGGTAGCGTCTGTGAGCTTCACAGAGGCCGTTAGCTCGCGAGCTCGGTCTTCGCAATCTAAAGAATCATACCTCGGCCAATACACTTTTTGATACGCCTACGAAAGCGCGTAAGCCGACCACCACGCAGAGTCACTTCCAGACACACCAACGTTGCCATTGAACACGCCTTGCATGAAGCGGAAGACGCAGAGCAGCCAGAAGGTCTTCGAAAATCCGAAGCCGTATGTGGCGACCGCCAGCCCGAACGGTGCAATGAGTAGAATAGGTCGACGGCCATGATAGTCGGAAAGACGTCCCCAGAGCATGCAAGTCAAGAACTCGGAGAAGAAAAAGAGGGATTCCTATGCAACGCAAGCTTGTCAATCCTTGTCCACCAGCTCGTGCGCCATATCGCACGTACAACGATGCCTGCAAATCATCAGTCTCCTATGCTTGGCAGTACGGGCGCAACATCTACTTACCTGCGTAGAAAGCCGTCGCCTTGTCGTTCCCTCTAGTGATCCCCGTTTCTTGTACTAGCTCCGCAATGAAGGGATAGATCACAAGCCCCGTCAGCGGCTCACAGAACTGGATGAGGTAGACGATAGCGAGCTGTCGTAGCGGCAATGGGGTCTCCTTCGTCACATTCTCTTCATCGGGCACACGCTCGCCATCCTCGTTGAGGAGAGGCCGTGTCTCTTCTGAAGCGGTCATGATGGAGGGAAGCAAGGTCCTTCAGCCTTTCCATTGATCAACAATGCAACGTGACCTGTGTAGACACCTCGGCCACGTTGCGATACGCGCTAGAGGCCTGTCTATTGACGCCCATTAAGCAGTAACACCTGATGTGCTTCTCATATCCACGATAGTCGAGATTTTGCATTTCAACCGATAGATGCACGCGTTCTCTGCGGCCACATAAAATCGCATCCTACCAAGCGTAATGCTTGTTTAGGCCCTTGCTCTTCTCGCCGGCAGCGTTGATCAGCGAGACAACCTCCTCATGGAGAGGGCCAAGCGCGCTACAGCAGTGTCGTAAGTTCCCAGCTAAGCAAACACATAAAAGACGTACTGGAGCTTCAGATTCGTTTCCAACTGTTGAGGCGAGTTCGCCCCGACGAGAATCTTGTCGCCCCTCTTGGGGTCGAGCGTATATTAAAGGCAGTGGATGACGAACTAGACTTACCTGGAATATAATTTCACACTTACTTGGGGCACACGAAGATGGGGGAAGGAAACAAGATGGAATCGTTGGAGATTCGGGCTTTGGCCCTCAATATATACTACTGTTACATGAGTCAGGAGTCGACAGGAAAATACCATAACGTTCTATACTATTCGAGGTGAGACGACAACCTTCGGGGATGGGCACGATGCCCGGCGTGAATTCCAACAGCGTACTATGATGCTGAAGCCAACGGATGGATGCCTCCGTTAGCCCGAGGTCGCGCTTGTCCAGCTCCTCGACGAGCTCCCTGATGATAGGCAACAGTGGTGCTGCGCCTTCCCGCAGGAAGCCGGCGAATTGGGTAGTCTTCGGGTCCCACCTTACATACGGCGTCAGCGCAGGGTCGGTCGTGATGAATGACTATGTACCTAGTGCCAGGGCGATTCTCGAAGTCCTCCACGGACAAAATGTTCCCGCTGAGCAAGCCGCCTGCGAGAGGACCGTAGGCATAGAAGCGGATGCCAAACTTCCGCAGGCAGGGGAACAGTCTGTTTAGCGAAGGATTAGCATAATAGATGTGACGGATAGAAAGAACGATGCGCGCACTCAGTCTCGACCTCCCGCTGAATGGCGTTGTAGCGGCCCTCATAGACTGTTGGGAGCAGCCAGCCATTGGTCTTGCAGATGTAATAAACTTCCGCGACCTCCCACGAGTTGAAGTTGCTCAAGCCGAACTCCTTACTGCCGAAGGATCAAAGCACTGCACACTCGGAATACGGCAAGACCTACATAAGACCGTCTTTGTGCAGTTGGTCGATGGCTTTGCACGTCTCTTCGAAGGGGACAGACCGGTCGGGGGCGTGCAAGTAGTAAACGTTGATCTTATGGGACCCAAGATCGGCGATAGACTTGAGCGCTGCTGCGCGCAGGTTCTCCGCGCTGTGAGCTTTCGGTGTATAAGGCGAAGCCCTGCGGGTCTTGTCAGTGTCTCAACGAGAACCGGCCAGGAATAGCATACTTCGTGTCGACGACAGCGTCTCTGAGGTTCAGTTTACCGAGCCACTGAAGACACCGTCAGCAATTTCGTATCGGAACATGGTTAGGCTCACTAGCTCTGCAGTCCCTTTAGAGTAGCCGTTCGCCACGTCGAACTCCTTGACGCCGTGGTCAAGGGCGACATCGACGAACTTCTGGCATTCGGCTAGCTCGGTGATGCGCGCCTCTGTGTTGGGAGCACCAATGGTACAGCCCTGGAGGCACTTAGTTTCGAAACCGTACTCTGGTCGACCTCACCCACCGAGACTAATTCAATACGAGGACGAGGCATATTCGCAGTGGATTACGAGTCGTTGGGTAGGGAAGTCGGTGATGCTGTAGGCCGTCGCCATCGCAAGTCCTTTATATGCAGAGCGCATCGAAGGAGGATGGTAGAAGGGACGTCTGTAGCCAGGCTGCAGCCGACGTTAGCAAAGAACATGACCGCTTTCGGCTAGGGTTCGGTTAGCCACAACCGAATTATGTGGCGTGAGAACTTGATCACGGCGAGTCCTCGTGATTTACGCGTGATCATGGATGTTCAACGACCGAGTACGAGGATTCCGCCGCGGTGTGGTATTGCCCATGCAGTGGTCACTCTTCATTTAGGGACTTCAAGTGGATCGTAGTCAGGGGAGGGGAGCGCACCTCGATAGTCAAACCGCCGGGATGCTGCAAATTTCGAGCCGCGATTGGGACAATGCGTGCATTGCAATAATTCGAGACTGGGTCTAGTCAAAAATAAAGTTATACGAGGATCACAGGCGAATGCTCATTCTTCAGTTTCTGACACTCGGAAATCGACCTCTAGAAGCCATAGTGCTTGTTGAGCCCCATCGCCTTGATTCCAGCCGCGTTGATCACCTGCAACACCTCTTCCGGTAGGGGACCCAGCGCACTGTGACGTTGAGATATGATTCAGACTCCCAGTGGAAGGCAGGACTCACTGCGTCATCAAGTTCTTTTCCAATTGCTCCAACGAGCTGGAGCCGATGATGACCCTGTCGCCCTTCTCGGGGTCGAGCAGGCTGTGGTGCTGGATCCAGCGAGTGGCCACCTCCGGTAGCGGAATTTTGTATTTCGCAATTTCCTCTGCGAGCTCTTTGACGACCGGCAAGACAGGAGTCGCGAGGTCGCGCAGAACCGAAGCGTACGGACTTATCTTAGGGTCATATCTGTAAGTACGAGCATCAGCATCAAGTGAGCTCGAAAGAGAAGGCAAGCGTACCTAGAGCCAGTGCGCTTATCGAGATCGTCTGGTGACAATATGTTCCCGGTCAAGAGAGCGCCGGCAAGGGGGCTGTAGACGTAGAAACGGATGCCGAACTTGCGAAGGCAGGGGAACAGCCTGTCTGCGGATCAGCGACTGCATCGAGCTGAGCAGGTTCCAAGTGTGACGCAGGACTTACTCCGCCTCGACCTCACGTTGAACAGCGTTGTAGCGCCCCTGATAAACCGTCGGAAGGATCCACCCATTGGTTTTGCAAATGTAGTAGATCTCAGCGACCTCCCAGGAGCTATAGTTGCTCAATCCAAACTCCTTGCTAATGGGGACGTCAGTACTGTTGACCGGGTTCGCAATAAGAAAGCGAACATGAGACCGTGCCTGTACAACTTATTTATGGCCTCACAGCTCTCTTCGTACGGCACAGAATGGTCTGGCGCGTGCAGGTAATAGACGTTGATTTTGTGGGGCGCGAGCTTGGCGGCCGATCGCGAAGCGGCCTTGAGGAGATTTGCCGCGCTGTGCGCGCCGGGAGGGAAAGGTGACGCCCTACGGCGGTCCGTCAGAAAGATGGCAAGGAGCTCCGAAGATGAGATGTACTTAGTGTCGACAACGGCGTCCTTGAGGTCGAGCTTGCCGAGGAACTGAAAGCGCAGAGTCAGCACTATGATATGGTGCCAAAGGACGACCTTCTTGCCTCCTCATTGGTGCCTTTTGAGTAGACTTCGGCGCTGTCGAAGTTCTTGACGCCGTGTTCGAAGGCAAGGTCGATAAATTTTTGGCCGATAGCTAGATCGGTGATACGGGCGCCGGAGCCGGGTGCGCCGACGGGGACGCCCTAGTGCACACCGTTAGTGCGAGCTCGACCGTGGTAGGAGCCAGACGTACGGATACAAGGGGCACACGAGGTTGGGACATTTCTATTGCTTCGTCTGCCGAAAGAAGGCGTTGTCCTGCTTGTTTGGGGAGGAATGTGGCTGATCGTCGTCCCCATCGCTAGCAGGCTTTTATACTGCATTGCGAGAGTGCGCTGGAACTGCTCTCAGTAAGCAGCAGTCAGTGTTTGGCCACTTTGCTTTGAGTGGAAAGCCTCGGTTGAGGAGCAGCCGAGGAAATCCCTGCCGCGGCAGATGACGTGTTCGCGATCACGAGAAAAGCTGAGGCAGAGAAAATCCACCCATTCTTTGGCCCTGCGATGTAACAATGAGAATGCGTCGCGCGTCGCTTTTACCTTGCTTTAGGCCGTTGCTCAGAGTACTGAAGCTAAGAAGCGCACGAAGATATCCCTTGACCATTCATCATTTTGGTCAGAGGATGTAATACTTGAGCGCCGCGATCAGAAGGCGTAGTGTATGTTGCGCCCCACTGCCTTGCTTCCCGCGTCATCGACCACCTGCAACACTTCTACCGGCAAAGGGCCCAGCGTACTGCGTCGTTGAGATGGACGTTCGAGTTATGCACCATAGAAAAGGAACTCACTTCGTCTTCAAGTTCGTCTCCAATTGCTCCAACAAGCTCGCGCCAATGATGACCCTGTCGCCCTTCTCTGGGTCGAGCATGCTATGATGCTGCAGCCATCGAGTAGCCGCTTCCGGAAGCGGAGTATCGTACTTGGAAAGGTTCTCCGCGAGCTCCCTAATCACAGGTAAGACAGGCGCCGCGAGTCCACGCAGAAAATGGGCGTGTCCCGCCGTTTTCGGGTCAAACCTACGAGCGTCAGCAGCGCATAGGACCGAGGGAGGGTAGATGTACCTAGATCCCGGACGCTTGTCAAAATCCTCTTCCGTCAGAAAGTTTCCACTGAGGAGACCGCCTGCAAGGGGGCTATAGGCGTAAAACCGGATGCCAAACTTGCGGAGGCATGGGAACAGCCTGGCAGGTGTTGTCAGACGCACTACGGGTCCGGGATAGAGCAAGACTCACTCGGCCTCAACCTCGCGTTGGATGGCATTATAGCGCCCCTGATAGACAGTTGGGAGGAGCCAACCATTGGCCTTGCAGATATAGTAGATCTCGGCGACCTCCCACGAATGATAGTTGCTCAGACCGAATTCCTGACTGGGAAGGACGTCAATTCTGTTACAGGATCAGAGGTGGACGTGCGTACATTATGCCGTCCTTGTAAAGTTGGTTGATGGCCTCACAAGTCTCTTCGTACGGCACAGAACGGTCCGGCGTGTGTAAGTAGTAGACGTTGATCTTGTGAGGTGCGAGCTTAGCGACAGACTGCAAGGCAGCCTTCCTCAAATTTTCTGCGCTATGCGCCCCAGGCGCCTTTACCGATGCCCTGTAGCGCCGCATCAGAGACACGCGTGACAGATGAGCGTAGATGCGCAAACTTTGTGTCGATGAGAGCGCCCTTAAGGTCCAACTTGCCAACAAACTGACGAACAAACAGTGTCAGTGCTCACTCGGTGGTGGAGAAATTGCGCTACCTCCTCAGCAGTCCCCTTGGAGTAGCCGTTGGCAACATCGAAATCCATGACACCATGCCCAACGGCAATGTCGACGAATTTCTGGCCGGTAGCCAGATCGGTGATGCGGACGCCAGAACCAGGTGCGCCGACGGGGATGCCCTGGTGTATGTCATGAGCTCAAGCCACATTGTTGCGACAGCCGTACGTACGCAAACGAGAGGCACTCGAGGCTGGGACATATTGGTAGCTTCGCTTGTTGAGTTCTTGTTTCTCCTGAAGTGTTGCTGGGCGTTGCCCCCGCCGGACTCGCAAGTCTTATATACTACACCCCCAGGATGGACTAATTTTATCGACGGAGCCATTGCTGGCAAACCTCGCATTTAACGAAAAGCCCTGGTCGGATGCGATCCGCGGCGATTCCGCCGTGGTAGTGCACATGAGTATGCCTGGGAATAGGCGCGAAAACGCGGTTCCTGCATGGCAGCGCTTACATCAGGTAAGATACGCGCGTTGCGGATCGCGCTGCGTCTTGCTTCGGACGGTCATTCAAGGTCTTGCAGCCAAAAGATCATAGAAACTCGTCAATCGGCCCTTATAATAATTACATGTCTACAACAGTAAGATGATCAGCTCCAGTGTCACCAAAGTCAGAAAATCACGCACAGCAGTCGCGAGATATCGTGTACATTGCATTCCTTCCTACTCTTCTCTTCTCTACGCAGTCGCCCACAACTCCAGCACCTTCCGCGTCGCCTTGAGTAGCAACTCGTCCTTCCCCGCCGCACTGCGCACACTCTCCGCCACGCTCTCCAGCACCGGGCGCATCACCTCCTTCACCTTTCCCAGCTCCTCGCCCGCGCCCTTGCGCGATATCTGCAAGAGCAGCGAGCACACGTTCACGCGCACCTCGACGGGGTAGTTCGTCGGGTTATCGAGGTTGCGAAGCGCGGCGGCAAGGGTTTGGAGGGCGCTGCGCTGGGAGCTGCGTCCTCGGGGGCCAGTGGTCGATTGTGGGGTGACGATGGCGGAGCTAAGGTCGCTGCTGGTCGAGGGCGAGTTGCTGAGAGAGGGCTCAACAATACTCGGCAACGGCGGTGCGTCTACTGTTATCTGGGTGAGGAGGGATTCGAGCACGAGCGGAGCTGAGCACGCTGTCAGATTCACGATAGGCCGGGTGAGTTATCGAGACACTGACCGCCTTCCTTATGCATGGCCAGAAGACTGAGCGCGACGACGCCCTCGTTGATCAACAATGGAAACTTGGCTCCACGCGTGATCAGGTTGGCTAGCGCAGACGTGCAGTCCTTGTTCAATAGCGCCTTGATGGTCTCCTCCTTCTTCTGCTGCTTCTCGATGGCTGCCTCGTGATTCGACGCTGCCTGCGTAACTGGCGATGGCAGAACCGTGGTCGGACTTGTCGGTGGAGCGTTAGAGAACAGCGACTTGATGACGTTGACCAGGACGCGAGTACCCTCGCTGCGGATGGCGATGTTCTCTGTTCGCTTGACGAGACCCAGGATTTGTGAGAGCCCAGTCGGTCGCGAGGATGAGGCAGCAGGGTCGGGCAAGACAAGTGTGAAGGAGTTGTCGACTGCGCAAGCTTAGTAATTATCTGGTAAGAAAGAAGAGACGACCCACCGTTGGCATTGCACATATGCTTGACGACACCGATCGCGTTGAGTTGAACGACCTCCGTCATTTGGTCCCCCTTCTCCTCGAAGAGCCCACTGTCGACAATACATTGCACCAACCGTGCCTCCGCCAACGGAGTGTGAACGACAGGTGAAGGCGAGCTTTGTGCGAGGTGCTTCAGCAGACCGAGTACGCCATGCTTGAGCTTGAGATCGGTGGTAGGGGAGATGATGTGTCGAGAAGCCAATACGGGTGCAAGCGAATGGGGAGGGCTGAGCAGAGTGACGGCTTCAAGCTCTGTAGGTGCGGGTATGGTCAGCCGTACAACCACGGGACTGATGTCAGATAACCCACCTCGCCGAGCCAGGTTGCCTAAAGACAAAGTGGCACAAATCACTAGGTCATCCCGCGGTAACGAATCACTCGACGACGCCTCATCCGCACTCTTCACAAACGCCTTGATCCACCCGACCATGCGCTCGACGTAGGGCCCGCCCGAGCCTATTGACGCAAATAAGATCGGCTCATTCCGCTCCTCGCCCGACATCTCCACGATGGCCTTCACGATTGCGGACTTGCAAACGTCGAATGCCTTCTCCTTGGTACGCCGATCCCCGTCGTCAAATACGGTCCGCCAGACAGGGGGGTAGCCGCCATGTTCAACAAAGTCGAGCATATGTGAAAGGCAGGGGACGCCGAGGTGCTCGCCATCGGGATCATAGTAGCCGCGTGCGAGGGATAGCCTGACGTCCTCAACATCGAGGCACAGGGACTCCAGTACCTCGCAGCAGTCGTCGAGAATTTCGAAGTCAGCCTCTACGAGCTTGTCGAACATGTCAGAGCCTTGGGGGAAGGCGAGGTTGGGCGGGAGGTTGGCATAGGGTGCGAGGAAGCGCGTGAGGGTGGGTGTGATGAAGGGAAGTGCATCGCTGTCGAAGATCTGGATGGCTGGGGGATGCTTAGTCGCAGCATTGATTGCAAGGATGACAGTACGCACTATCTTCCCCCTGCTCCTTCAGCTCCGATACAGTCCTCCATGCCCAGTTTGAGAGACTGCTTCGAAGTTCCCAGGACTCCTCGAGCGCCTTGCCGCTCTCGCTCGCATCGTCCAGCCACGATCCAGGCGGATATATCGCTATGGCGAGCTTCACAAGCGTCATGTGCGCTTGCAGAGAGCGCAGGCGTGTCTGCACAGGTTCTATATGAAATGCTGTCAAGAAAATGGAAGCTTCACGGCGGTCTTTGGTGGCGCACCGTAGCCCAGGCTGGCATTCAGCAGCGCGCCGACGGCCGTGCGTATGACCTTGAGGTGAGGAATGGGGATCGCGTACGCCTTGGTATATGGGGGCTTTGGAAGGGATTCGGCGTAGCCTTCGAGGAGGGTGAGCACGGCTTGGAGGAGGCCGGCTTCGTAAATGTGGTTGCGATTCTCATCTGGACGCGATCAGTGGCAGTCAATAAAGAGGGGAGGTCGCGCACCGTGGTCCATGCATATGTTCGCTGTTACTCTGAGCAGTTCTACGATAGGTGTAATGCGATCCAGTTCGGGGGTAGCGGCGCCGCGAAGGGCGAGGTTGAGCAGCGAGGCCAGTGACCTTGGAAGTGCCGTCTTTCCCAGAGCCGTGTGGTAGTCTTGCATTCAAATGAGCCCTTCTGCGCGCCACAAACAAAACAGTGCCCATACCCGCAGAAGTACGCGTCCTCAAACCGTTCGCCACAACCTGCGCAGCCTTCTCCGCTTCTTGCCACTGTTCCGGCGAGTCATTCGCTCGGATGTCCTTCTCTAGCTCTGTCAATCTGTCGCCGAGGGCTAATATGTCCGGCTGGGAGGTCGTCGCGGCCATCATGGGGGTTAGTGACAAGCGTCGTGGGATGCGCAGGACAATGGGCCAATCTCGGCGGAGATACACCCAAATGCGGAAACCCACGGCAAACGCCGGGAATGATGATTAGCGCCGAACTCGTCATTGGGGCCGCTCCTCAAGACGCCTGCCAACAGTCATTCCTGACCAACCTTACAATGGCGAAGAAGACGAGGTCGAAGAAGAGCGCTTCGAGTACTCCCGATCCAGTTTCGACACTGTCCCCCCAGGACGACGAGGACCTCATGGACGATCTCCTGGCGCAGCTGGATTCGCGCGATCAGACGGTGCAGAGCGAGTCCGCGTCCGTGCTGAACGAGATGGAAGTCGTGAAACAGGCGCAGAGTCAGGATGAGGAGACTACGAGGAAGAAGGACCCCAAGCAGCGCTTCCTAGCCCGACAAGTGCGTCTATTCTTCCCGCCTCCCTGTTTACCCATCCATTGACATCATCAGGCTAGGAAAGCGCAGGCACTGCAGGAGAAGTTTACGGCTAGTGACCCTGATGCGGACGCTCGCCTGGAGAGAGAGGCGAAGGAAGAGGAGAAGACCATCAAGCGCTTATGCGACGAGCTCGGTGTCGAGATGTATGAGGTATACACTTCACCGATCCACGAGTCCCCTTCATATTCACGACTCCACAGATAAACCCGGACGGCCACTGTCTCTTCTCCGCGATCGCAGATCAACTCAGAGTGCTTGGGATCGTACCAGAGACCCACGCCACCTACGCCTTCGTGCGCGAAGCCGCCGCGAAGTACATGTTCAACCACCCCGACGACTTCATCCCCTTCCTCCCCTCGGCCATCGGCGAAGATGGTGACGGCGCGGGCGACGCAGGTCTCATGACTCCCAAGCAGTTCGAGCAGTATTGCGCGACTATCAGGGATACTGGAGTCTGGGGTGGCGAGCCGGAGATCATGGCCCTCAGCCGGTCGTTCAACATCCCTATACATGTCATTCAGTACGGTCAACCTCCGGTAGTCATCCACCACCCCAAGGGTGAAGGGACAGACGGGGATCAGCATGCCCAGGGGGTGGTTCGCATAAGCTATCACCGCCGAATGTACGGCTTGGGAGAGGTAAGTGTGCTGTTCTTACTATCATCTCACTGCTCATCGCCCCTAGCACTACAACTCGTTGCGGCCGAAGCGCTCGCTTTCCACCAAGATCCACGATATCATCTCATGAAACCACCGCACAAGATACGTATGACTGGTGAGCGGGGTCAGTAATTTGCGCAACCTTCCTCTGAACCTTCTATCAGGATGTAGCCTATATCTCTGTATCACTATTTTAACACAAACGAATGTATCGCGCCTACAAGCCGAACGTCTGGTACGACTCCCAAGTCTTTCGGCAACTTTTGTACGTCCTGCATGCCGTCAAGTCACCGTCGTTTGACGTCCTCGCCATCATCAGCTGCCGCCTCTGCCGCTCTTTCAGCTTGTAGCAGCCCTTCAGGGTGAGCTCCTGTCGGCGATTCGGCGTGGTATAGCTGCTGCGCGTACGTCCCTCTGCATGTGTTGCGGTACGTAGGAGGCTCGCAGGGACGGCACGCGCCATGGCTGGCCGGAAGGGAGATCGTCCGCCAGATCGTTCGGGTGATATCCAAATTACCCCCGGCTCGCGTGGCCCTAATGCCCTCTCCGTGCTCGAGCGTGAGTGTCGCAACGCCCAGTCATACTACCTGAGAACGTCTTCAGACTCATGCTCTCTGTCTCGAAGACAGAAAAGACGACTCTTGTAGGCAGAAACTTCGGGCAGCAGAGTCCGAGCGCGCTCGATATGACCAAAAAGAATCCATCATTGATGCCGGAGGCGAATCTCACCCCACCCCGATCAATCTGCCCGTCATGTCATATAAAAGCAGCATGCGTGCAGCCAGTCGTCCTCCGTGCGTTTCCCCCGAAACGCTCAGGTTACCCCCAGGCCAACCACCTCACCCACTCACGTTCACCTTTCAACGTCCCCACTGCTCTTTACCTAGTCATTCATTATGTTCGACATCAAGTTGTCCTCTGTCACTCTTGCCATTGCGATCGCTGCGGTGAACGCGCAGGCGCCTATGTACGCGGTAGTGATATGGATGGGGAACGTGTGCTAACAAAATCTATAGCTTCCAGGGCGAGCTCTTCGTCGAGCCCGGTCTGAGCTCCGCCGCCTGCTTGACCGCCGAGAACAACAGCGATGGCGCGGCCGTCTCGATCTCCTCCTGCGTCGCCGGCTCTGCCGCGCAGAAGTGGAAGTTTGAGGGCGGCTCCATGAAGGTCTTTGGCGACAAGTGTCTCGACGTCAAGGACGGTAGTGAGGCCGAGGGCGCTGCGCTCCAGATCTACAGCTGCTCGGAAGGCAGCGCGAACCAGCAGTTCTACTATAACGTCGTGCGTACCCCTCCTCTTTTCCGTCCTCTTCTTCGGCTCACGATACTCCTTGTAGTGGGACCATACCATCTCGTGGACCGACAAGGGCAAGTGCATTGACCTGACGGGTGGCAGCACCCAGGACGGCAACCGCGTACGCCCGCATCTCCTTCATATGTGTTTCGTCACCAACCCTCATTAATCCCTTCATAGCCCACGCTCTACTCCTGCGGCGGCAACGCGAACCAGGTCTGGAACACCGGCTACTCCGCCTCTGACCTCCCCCAAACCTCGGAGGAGGGTCAGAACGGTATCAACAACTGCAGCGGGGACTCCAGCGACAGTGCCATGTGCCAGACCGCCTGGATCAAGTGCGTCTGTCCGAGTCCATTTCAGGATGTAGTTGTATTGACTTGCTTCTGTGCAGCTCTGCATCCGACTTCTGCCTCTGGGCGCCGCCTGAGGTGGGCACCATCGGCGACACCGAGCGTGAGGAGGTCGCATGGTGCACGAAGAGCGGTCGCGGGACGCGTCTTATTCCCGACGGCACCCTCTCGGGCGTCCACTTCGTGAAGACCCCGGACTACGTCCAGATCACGGGCAAGGGTGACTTTACCAAGATCAACGTCCCGGCCGGCGACTATGGAGGCGAGCTCGACCCGCACGGCGCGGACGCCAAGGGCAACCCTAGTAAGCTTCACTCATACACCTCACTACTTCACCGAACTGACCCACCCTACAGTCGGCGGCCTCGTCTTCGGCAACTCCTTCGGCGACGCGATGCAGTACCACGAGTGGACCTCGTTCATCTCCGAGAACGAGTTCTGCTTCCGCGCCTGCGTCGGCCCCAACGCCGCCGAGAACTGCCAGCACATCTACGACGAGATGGGCTGCTACTGGAACATGCCCGCCAACTACGACGAGGGCGTCTTCGAGGACTGCGAGGGCGACGACACGGAGCCCATGGGCGTGTACGGCACCTCGACGTGGCACCAGGGCGTCTCTCCGACCCCGGAGCCGCACGACGTGCCGTCGTCATCGAACTGCCAGGCGCTGCCGACCGTCTCGGTCAGCCCTGCGCGCCGTCGCCGTGCGCTTGAGTACGTCAAGGCGTGAGCCGGATCTTCTGAATGGCTTTTTTTGATGACTTGATATCGGAAACTATCTAATTTATACGCACGTTAGCTCTCGTTACACTGTCTACGATTACGGTCGGGTAATACCTTAATGGAATGAATGTCGGCTCTGAAATTGTTCGAGGGATGCAGCTCAGCAAATAGATCCTGTACTGATGGCCAGAGTCGTTCAACAAAGCAAGACCTATCATCTATGGACATAGAATCCCCCTCAAGCGTACCCGACGCCCCTGCTCAGGATCCATTGCTCCTGCCTTCAACTGTCGCACGACTGGCGAACGCGTGCAAACGACTGATATTCCGTTAACGCAGGGTGAACTATAGTACAGCTATTATACACTACTGATGCATTTGCGTTTCCCCCATGACCAATTCCTTTGTGGCGTGAACAATCCCGTTCTTGGACATCCGCTTCACAGCCTACTAATCTCTTTCTGACGCTCAACGTACACCCTGCGTACAAGGCCGACCAGCGGGGATGGGAGCATGCGGGACAAGGGCGTGAGGGAGTTTAATCTTGAGGCCTACAGATCGAGATGGTCAGTAAAGCGGAAGACGCGGCGCACCGATAACAAGTGCATACCCAGTTCCTCAGCCAAGAGATCCGCGCCTTTCTCCCTGGAATCGCGAGTGAGCGGCAGGTACCAGGCTTTTTCGATAGGGGTACTTACCCGACAAGAAGCGCGGACGAGTAGGTGTTGGTGCCGAGGTTGTCCTGAGGCGAGGTCAGACGAAGAAGCGCGGAAGCTCACGGGAACACATACAGGACAGATACTGAGGTCGACGCATTTGAGACCTTGCGTGCCTGTGGTAGAAGGTCAGCGACGATGGAACAAGATCATGGAGACCAAGTGAACATACCGTAGACATTGAGGCGCCCATCCACAACACCACCCTCTTCGCGAGGCTTCATCGCTGCGAGAACGTCAGTCTCCCAATTCACTCAATTCATCATCCCCAAGCCACTGACCACAAGTCCCCAGACTATGCCACGTCGTCTCGACGTGGTCTGCGACCCAGTCGTCGATTGCCTTGTCGTCGTCCTCGCTGTACTCGATATCCTCATGCACCTTCGACGCATCGTACGCGTCGCCGGGCTTGTGCCAGGTGCCCATGTGGATGCCGACGGTGAAGCCGTTGGGCAGGAGCTGCTTCGCGGTCCCGATGTCGATGTCCTTGCACGCGGCAGGCGAGTCGGGGTGGAAGTGCGGGTGGTGGGAGGTGAGCTCGCCGCGGAAGGCTGATAGGAAAGTTCGTTGAGTAATTGGCAAGTCAAAAGGTGGCAAGGGCAGGGCTCACCATCCATGCGCCTAGCGATCTCGCGCGTCTTCTTGTAGCTCCACCGGATGGGGGCAAAGTCGGCCTTGTTGTTCATGAAGCCCGAGTCGAAGTCGGGCTCCTTGTATGGGTTCTGCGAGTTGATGTGGATCTGTACACGAACGTTGAGCCGACGTCGTCGCAAAGAGGTCCGGCGGGACTTACCCTACCGCGACTAGCGGGATATTCCTGAGAGCGATCAGTCTTGGAAACGCGACTAAATCATCGTCGGACTTACCAGGTACTGGAACCTGCGACGAGGATAAGCGCACGTCGACAATGAGAATGCATGAAGACTTACATAGTGATGTACTTGCCGGGAGGCAGCAAGCTGTGGTCGGCGTAGGCACCGGAGACGATGGAGCCGAACCTGCGCAACAGTGAGCATGTCGAACAAGCGCGTCAACCTCAACACCGTCGTACATGACCGGCTTATCAGGCTTGTCCTTGAAGTACTTGTCCCAAAGCTCGTTGAACTCGGGGCCCATCGTCTTGAGCTCCTCTTCGGTCGGCCGGATCTGTGGAGAGATCAGGGACCTTAGACAGGCGAATGCATCGTAGCGGCGAACCTTGAACCCGGCGTCAATTGCATTCGAGGAGAGGCGCGCTTTCTCGGGACTTGTCTCCCATTCGGCGAAGAGCTAGGGTTGCATTAGTGCCCGCGTATACATAGAACGATATAGGATCTACCTCCTTCTGCACCTCCTTGTCTCCGCGCAGGAAGTCGTCCAGCGTGAAGCTCTCATTCGACACACGATACACTGAAAAGGTGCCATAAGGGACAGCGCGCCCAGCAGATAAGCGAGCTCACGAGTAAGCGTCGTATAATGGTCCTGATATTGCTCTCTACCGAAGTTGGTTAGCCTCCGACAGACATCAACGGCGAGAACATCACTCACCCCACGCCGGGAAGGTCAGAGACGACCTTCAGGTCGAGCCTCCTCAGCCGACTGGCAGACCCAATGCCCGAGCGCTCCAGGATCTGCGGGGTGCCGAGCGTGCCGCTGCTGAGGACAACGTAGCGCCGGGCCTTGACGATCGTCTCCTGAACCTTGCCTTGGTGCGCGCGATTTCTGGCTGGGACGTACGCGACCCCGACAGCCTTGTTGCCTTCGAAGAGGACGCGAGAGACGCGGGCGTTGGTGCGGAGGAATAGGTTGTTCTGCTCGTCCATGACGCTGTGAACGTAGGCTGCATGGTCGACGTGACTCAGAACAGGTAGTCGAAAACTTGAAGGAAGGGCGTACCGGTAGCTGCATCGCTGCGTCTCCCCGTATGACGGTTGATATACTTCGCCCAGATCTCGGAGGCGTGCGCGGTCTGACAGTCTGCAACAATCTTCAGCAATGATGACGACGTCATTACGAGCGAATGAGGACCTTGGATGTCGTCTGCGAGCCGGTGAATTAGTAGAGTAATAAAGGCGTCGAAGGGGAGGAACATACCACTGAAAGGGATGCCTACTGCGTCAGCCGCACGGAGGAAGTCCTGCGCCAACGCAGTGATGCTCCCGCCGTTACTGATAGCGATAGGACCATCATAGCCGTGCGAGTCGTTGTTGCATGGCTTCTGATAGTTCTCGAGCTGCACGGGGTTCCCATTAACAAGAGTTCACGTATCGACTGAAGTGAAACTTACCCTCTTCATTAGCGGTTGAAGGTCTGATAGTAGCGTAAGCCCAGTTGTACAAGGGGATACTGCATCGGAGCTCACCCTTGTACGACCAACCCTCCGTCTTGAAGTCGTCTGGGAATTCGTTAGTGTCTTGTACGTACGCTGTGGAGATAGACGGACCCCAGTCGGACGCAGACGCCTAAGTAGGGAGTGTCAATTCAGCGAATTTCTAGGCGCGGAGATGAGCTCACCCTCGTATACATCTGGAAGTTGATGCTGAGGTTCTCGTTAGACGGAACCACGAGGTAATGGTACGGTCAACTCACCTGCTTCCGCCGCCGAGGATGTTCGCGCATGGCACGATGCTACGCCTCCCACGAAGGTGAGATGACTTCATGGTGTCTGTGTAGAAGGTGGCCTTGTCGTTGACGCCGTCGCGCTGCATGTTCTTGACGTAGATGCCCGGTCTAGGGAGTTCTGAGCTAGCTCTCCGATAGAGACCGTCGAACGCCTCACCTGTATACCCACGGGTCATCGCGGTTGTTCGCGCCGCCCTCGATAAGCATAACCTTGAGGTTGGGGTCGGCGTATGCCAGGCGCCCGGCGACGACGCAGCCTTGAATGATGTGTGAGGTCCATGTTGGGGGCAGAATAAGTAGGTAGCCTACCCGCGGGACCTCCACCACAGACGATAACGTCGACTTCCTCGGGGTGGCCCATAGTGGTTGCTGGCTAAGATTCGATGGTCACTGCAGGGTCAGCGACAAGGAATCCCCCATTATATATATCGCCACTGCGGCTATACCAGATATGCGATTGTCAAGCGGCGAGCGAATGAGCATGCTGCGGTGTGCTAAGCAGTCATCATCTGACGCTCGCAAGAGGAGGGAATGTGCCACTTGCCTTCGTCACGATACTTCCGGCGCCGTAGAAGCCTTGGTGTGTGTGTGTAAGTTTGTACAAGTCGGCGTCAACTGACAGGTCGGTGCATTCTCCATGACGAGGGATACTGCGGGTATCAGTCACACGTAGATGGGACAGCAGTTGGGTAGGGACGTAGTGGACCACCTGCCTTCGGGCCAAGTCCCACTGAATAGATTGGGCAGAGGTCAGTAGGTAAGCTGCCATTCGAAGAAGCACAAAAGCGTTATCAGGCGGCTGTAAAAAGCCTGCTCGTCATTGGACTCTCGCAAGGAGCTCGGTGAGAGTAAACTGGGGACGTTCAGCCCAGAGGTAACACCCAGAAGTTTGCCGTAAAGGCTACACCATGGCAGATACCTGTTCTGTCGTTGAAGCGCATATTGGGCACAAAACTAGTCTCGACAGCAGTCGACTAATGTCCAACGGCATACCGTTCCTCGAGTGCGTGGTTCCCGGGTCATACGCCGACACGGAACAATGACAGTGAGTGCTCGGAAGAAGGCATCTCTCGGCAATTCCCGGATTATCCGGCTCGGGCCGTGAAAGCTCACGCTCACGTGATGTGTTACAGTTGACGGGGCACTTGACCGTGCCACAAACGCTTGCGCGAGTCGCATTCGTCACTCAACCCAATAACAGAAAGCTCCTGGGTCCTGCGCGACTCATTTAATATATCAATGGCGTTATGAAAGTTATAGGACCGACATGACAGATAATAGACACCACGGAGTCGCCATGCTAACGCTCAATATTAGGTAGTGTGCCCAAGATTCCCAGTAGTAATCCTGTCATCGGAGAGGGAGACTTCACGGCATAACAAAGCTGATCCTCCTCAGCTCGCGGATGAAGTGATGAAGAAGGGGGCGTGCATGTCCTACAACCCCTTGTTAACGCCTGTTGAGCCCAAAGATGCGTACTTACCACTGGGTAGTACGTTCCGAACTGAGGCTTCTGCCTTTCTTTTCCGTTCAGCAGCATCTCAGATACCCGTTGACTGAGCGATGTGAGTGTGCCCGACAAAGAGCAGATATCAAACGAACACACCGCAAAGAGTGAAGCATCTCCTCGTAGCTCGAGTTTCTACCTTCCTCTAGACCACGATCAGCCAAATCCATGTCTATGCGCAAAGACCACATACTCATGGAGTTGATGAAAGCCTGGCGCTCGTCATTCACTATGCAGAGTTCAAGTATTGAACGTCGGCTTACCTTCGTCATGGTCTTGCTATCGGCGGCAACGTGGCTATCCTTGCACCCTGACCAAGATACCTGCGCGTCGAAACGGTGATTCAGTACAGAATTGCTCGGCCGCATCGAAGGGAGACTGACAACGTCTGGGCACGACAAGAGCATCTCGCGACGCGTGAACGCTTGGGGGCGGTGCTCAACCTTTTCCTTTCTATGAAGCCATTGACAGAGATGCGCGCGATACTTCGATACGATATGAGAGCCGTCAGCAGATTATTTGACGTGCTAGAAAGAGAAGCTCACCGCGAACGGCAAATCTAAAACCGTTCCCGACGTGCAAGACTGTATAGTTCTCTTTAGTGCGCGTCTCACATGCGTATCGACGTGGCCACGTACATCAACAACAGCCTGCGCATGACATACCAGCTGATCAGCGCCCATCTTATGTGGACGCAAGGGAAGAGCTCACCGTCAAACGGCATCCAGCAGGGAGGGGTACGACCAGCCGCTCATGGATCTCCTGCGGAAGTGATGGGGTCAAACAGCGGCGACGCACTTCGGAAAGTCATACGTACGTCGTCCGTTATAAGGTCGGAATCGTCCTGATATCCACACGGCACGAGGGCTATCCACATAGATCGTTGAGTAATCCACTTTCCACTGTCGGCATACTCACCCTCGTCCAGATGGTCTATCTCATCGCCATTCTCCTCGTCGTCGACTTGGGTGCCTTATTATGAACGTACGAGGTTACCAAAGAACAAGCAGACAGCCGGACGACTTGCCATGACCCGCAACTGCATGATCATCAATCAGCAGATAGAACCGGTAGGTTATTCGAATACGCACAATGAAAGAACAAAGTATCGTCCTGTTGCGCCCCTTCAAGAAGCCATCGCATCGCCGCCAAGATATTGTCCCTGGTTGGCTTCATATCCTCTGGCGCTGTCTTCTCATCCGTGAGTACGCGGATGTTGGCTTTTTCAAAGCCCTCGTAGACTGAGCAACGTTAGTAAAGCATCCGTGACTATGGTACTCGTGGACTACCCATGAGATAATTCTGCATATCCCGAGTATCTTGAATACATCTTCGCAGTATAAGTAATCTGAGTGCGTGGCAAATGATGAACATACCCGGTCAGCCTCGTGTATCCACGAGCGATAGCGTTCTCGGAGAGTTTATCGACGTAGTTGATGCCGATCTGCGATCCAAGCACAGGTCAGGCAAAGAGAGCGACCAAAGGTAGGAGCACGTACGCAGACCGCCTTCCTCCTTCCAGTGCACCGTGAGGGCACGAATTTGGCCTCGAATGTCGCCAGCGCAACACGGAGGGGAACGACAAACGCATCGCGCACTTGACTGAGGTTGTCGCTTAGCTGGCGCCTATGTAGCCCTCTAACCTCAGTGGCAGGGGCAAGCGAGCTCGAGGATGAAGACGCGGAGGACGTCGAGTATTGCTCGAGCCCAGAACTTGCATCGGAGTCGGACATCGCGGCGATCGACTTCTGATCGGGAACCGAGAAAGACTTCGGGGTAGCGTAAAGCGCGAAGTGACGTGAGGGACGTTGAAGAATAAGTAGATCTCCGCGCGACGGTCTAATTAGTTGGTGAGAGAGCAAGCTGAGAACTACCGCCAGCGAGCAGCTTTATGTGTCTGCGCGTCGTGTATCAAACTCGCGAGGATCCTAGGATTCGGCCATCAGCTGGCTTACTTTCCGACATGGAAGCCGCGCAGGTTCGGCGCCTGATGTCAGGCGAATGAGCAGAAGTGCAGCGCCCGTGATAGACGATACGGCGCCGAGCCGTCGGCCAGACTCGTGTCGACGAGTCCTTACTCAAAGTAGGCACTGTACACGCCTTCGCCATGAGTTGATGGGTCACAAGTACCACTCAAGGATGACCGGGACCCTAGTACGTCGCGTCTGTAAGTGCACCGACGGTGTTCTGCTTGACAAATTGAGGCAAGGGCCGGCTTTATTGACCGTACGGCTGCGGTGGCGGGCTTCCGCAATCAAGGGGCGCGCTGCACAATGGTTGCTGTCCGGCCGCGGGTGATTCAGACTTCGGCGGCGTGGAGGATAGCCAGCTAGCAAATCGCGTTGAAGACAACCAGCCGAATGCGCTACGGAATCTCATCTGCGTCTGTCACAATGTGACCAACTGTGACAACGTTCGATTCTCGAACCTCGACGACATATTTTGCCACTGGCAAGCGCTACTAATCACCGCCTTCATATAGCCCTATCGGGTTCACAGCTGCGAGTCGCATGTTCTATTTTCCCTGCGATCCATACGAGTTATGGTACCAATCAGAATAACTCTGTAGTATACGAGCGTGAAAGGAGAAAACAAGGCACAGGAGTGCTACAGATGCAAGCAGACGCAGCGTACACCGGGAGGACGCCGTACTCGTGCTAGAAACCAAGTAGAATTTCGGAAATTTGTCACCAGTAGACATGCCCTTCATCCGACCGACGTATACAAACATCGCCCAAATAGGCCAGCCAGGAAGCGCCAGTGCCTCACACTTTGGACGATGTGATGAAGAAAGGGGTTTTCATGTTCTGTAACGCAGACGGAATATCAGTCTGTATGCCCTCTCCTTCGGGGCCATGCAGCACTCATCGACTCACTATCGGGTAAGCAGATCCGAACTGGGGCTTCTGTCTTTCCTTACCGATGGGCTCGGCGTATACTTTGTCGCTATATGTCTTCAGAACCGCTCTCAGTTTAGAGCTTAGAAGACGCTCTTACCGCATAGACCGGAGGACTTGATCGTAGGTGATGGACTCGCCCTTGCGCTTGCTCGCCGCTGCATCTTCGTCAGCGCATCACCAGATGTATACGACTACACTAACTCATAGTCTCGATGAAGGCCTAAAGGGAGTCTGAGCAAGCGCGACTTGACGAGGCAAATGATACCTTACCATAGTCATTGTAGGCGTGTCAGCTGCTCGGTGACTATCCTTGCAACCAGACCAGTATACCTACGACATTGTAAGTCTCGGTGGTACACAATGAATGGTACCGGCTTTGCAACTTACGACGTCGGCGCAAGTCGAGAGTGGGAAACGGCGCGTGTAAGGCTGGTATTCGTGCACTACTTGTTCTTCGCTAGGTAGCCTCGGTAAGAGGGGCGCGCGATACTACAAGCAGATGACAGACAATCAGTAGAGTCGTACAGGAGCAGTACGCTGAGCCCACCGCGCATGGCAAGTCTGGTAGGCGGTTCGAATGTCAGTTGCTCAGATTGATCCATAGAAGGATTTACCAAAGGCCGTCCCAGACGTGCAGCACTTCAGATCCGGACTTTCAGTATTGGTTTCTTATAGTCATAAGCAGCTCGTACGTCAACCACGGCCTATCAGACGCGCATCAGATTGGTGGTGACATTTCGTAAGAATGACAGAACACTCACAGTAAGCCTGCAGCCCTTTGGAAGGAGCTCCACAAGTTTCTTATAAATATCCTACACAAAACGATTGAAAAGTAGCTCGCGCCGAAAGTCATAGACGTACATCATCCTTGATGAGGTCAGCATCCTCGTTATAGTCGCACGGTACAAGAGCTGCCACAAGTGAGCAGAGGGCTTATGAGACTCTCGAAGCAACTTACCTTCATCCAGGCGGTCAACCTCGTCTTCGTCCTGGTCTTCGACTTGGTCACCTACACATACAGTGTTGGATACATCGGCCAGAGCGAAGCGACAGCCGTACCATGACCGGAAACTACGGTATATTCCGTTAGCTGGCTCAGCGAACGATATGACAGTGTCAAATACGCACAATGGAAGAACAAAGTGTCGTTCTTCTTGGCACCTTCAGCCAGCCATTTCATAGCCGCTAAGATATTCTCTTTTGTGGGTTTCTGATCGTCTGGCGTCGCAGTCCTGTCCGTCATCAGGCGGATGTCGGCTTCATTGAACCCCTCGTGTTCTTGAAAAGAGAGAATGAGATATCAATGTTCCGAACGCCAATGAAGTGATTCACCGATCAGGTATTTCTGGATGTTGTGGGTATCTTTGATGCACCTGCAATATGTTGTAACGCTAGACAGGATTGGAAGGGATTCAGCGCACCCAAACAGTCTGCCATAGTGATCCTTCGCAGCCTGGCTCGAGTGCCTGTAGTTTATGCCAATCTGCGGTGAGCAGTCAGCATTAGATTGCAAAGTATGAAGCGGCAGGAACATACGCAGACCGCCTTCCTCGTTCCAGTGCACATCGACGGTTCGAACTCGGCTCTGGCTATGGCCAAGGAGACTCGAACCGGTACCATGAGCGCCTCCTTGATCGTCTTGAAGACACGTTCCGTACGCCTCCCTCTGATGTCGTTTGCTTGAGAGAGGGACGTCTCCGAGGAGGACGCTGAAGAGTTCGAATAACGCTCCACTTCGAAATTCGCGCCGGAGTCAGACATGGCGGCGGCGGCGTCCTTATCGACAGAGGAAACAGGAAAGTGAGAGCAGAGGATGTGTTTCTCGGAGCGAAGAAGGACGAAGCGCATGAGAGTACTCGAGTGCTGGCCTCCTCAGGCGGTAGTTGGGGCGCAGGAGGGAAAGAGCGAGAAAGCTTTTATACTGAGCGTACGCGCCGCGCGTCAATCTTGAGGATCCTTGGATTCTGCCATTTCCGGACTCCCGTGGAACGGCGCAGCCCACCAATACATGATGTGCATCGTATGCATAGAACTGCAGCGCCCGCCATACGACGATACGCGCCGAGCAGTCGGCTCGCGGCGACGCGTCTATACCCAAGACAGCTTTGTACACGCCTTATCCACGAGTCAGAAGGGTGCTGAGTATCATCGAAGGACGCCAAGAACCTAGTACGTCGCTTTTGTAAGAGCACCGACGGTCTTCTGCCCTATAGATTGAGGCAAGGAGGGCATGAAGTTGAGCCGTACTCATCAGTCGCAAGCCCCTGGTGGCGGGCTTCCCTAATGAGATGCGTGTACTGCGCACTTGCTGGCTGTATTGCGCGGGTGGTTAGGGCCTTCGGGGCGCGGGAGTAGCTAGGAAACAAACAAAGTTGCAGACAACCACTCGCGCGCGCCGCGGGATCTCGACATCTGCGCATGACAAAGTTCGAGTCTCGAAGCTCGACTCTCGATTTCAGACCCTCTATCAATCTCCGCCCCCATATAGTGCTATTGACTACGCCTACGCGACGGTCGAGCTCCGTGCCCAATGGCATTACATCGATTTCCTCCATCAATTATATTACAACTGCAAGAGATAGGCGTAAAGTAAGAGAACAATATGCAGGCAGTGCGCTACAAGCATACGGAGTCTTCATAAGCATGTGCTACATCAGATAGGTGCGAGCGAGCGGAAGTCATTAAGGTCGTAAACAGATGTCCAAGGTGGTACAATTAACAGCTCATCAGGCGGAGAGCGGTATGGATTAGATGATGAACTTCAGGTTCGTATCCTACCATGATCCGTCTCGTCAGCGCCGAGTAGAAGCAAGGAGGGCTCGGACTCACGATCGGATGCGAGCTACCCAGCTGCGGCTTCTGGCTATACTTCGGGTGCAGAATACGGCTGTAACTTGCGTGTGAGTGACGGACACGCAGGACGATAGATGCAATGCGCACCGCACGGAAGTCAGCAGCTCCTGGTAGCTCTGATTCTTATTGGCCTCTGCGCCGGGGTCAGCACTCGATGAACGGGAGAAGCACGGGCGTGGATGCGTACTCAGAGAGCTAATGAAAGCCTGTGTTCCGCTGTCAGCGCGTGCTCGCACGGTACGAGGGGAAGTTCTCACATGACTCATCGCCCCAACGGCGACGCCTCCCGAGAACGTATCGGCGGAAGTCTGCCTATCTTCACAGCCCGACCAGGAAATCTACGCGCCGTATCAGTCGGCGAAGGATGCGGTGTTCATGATGGAACTTACAACGTCTGCCGGCGTAGCCTTCCTCTTCCGCGCTCGGTTGCTGACGTGACTTCCTTTCAGTCTCCCGCTGGAGGAGTACTGCAGACGAAACTACATCAGAAAGTGTGGCATACGACAGGACGCAAGCTCACGATATAAGGCAGATCTGGGCAGGGAGCGTCAGTAAGCCTCAACGATTAATCGGACCCGGGACTTACCAAGCGCGGTTCCCGAATGACAACTCTGCAAGAAAATCAGCGGGAGCGAAGCTGAGGAATTCTCGTTCAGGACGTACGTCGAAGATGGCCTGAACTAAGTCAGATTATCATGCCTGTGACCCTAGTGTGAAGCTCACCGTAAGCCTGCACCCAGCCGGAAGCGGTTTAACCAGGATCGCATGCATTTGCTGCAACTCGAGCATGAGCGAGAGCGGGAGTAGCGAATATCAAGCCCTACATCGTCGACAATATGCCCCTGTGTCTCGTAGTCGAGAGGATATATTACTGTCGGAATGAGTCAAACGTTCGAGGTAGGTGGAGACTTGCACACCTTCGTCCCACCCGTCGACCTCGTCGCCGTCCTTGTCCTTCGTTTGACCACCTAGATCAGTTTAGATGAGTTCATCGCCCACGAAGGAAGATGCGTACCATGGCCGGAGTCTGGATGAAGTCAGATAGGGGGACAACGGCTGAAGGACGGACGTACAGTGGAAGAACAAGGAATCATCGGGTTGTGCATCTTGCACCAACCAGCGCATCGCGTCCAGCATATTCTGGCGCGTAGGTCGTGAGCGCGAGTGTGGGTTGTCGTCCGTGAGAACGACAATGTCCCGCGCCCTAAAGCCTTCGTACTCTGAAGGCTTCCGTCAGCGTCGCGCTCCGTATCGTGAGGCGTAGACTTACTAATGAGGAAGTTACGGACGGCATTGGCGTCGTTGATGCATCTAACGACGGTGAGCATCTCGAGTTGTATCACCACAAAATGGCTTACCCATAGAGTTCGTGGCGTGTCCCCTTGTAGTTGATGCCAATCTATCGCCGAATTAGACATGTCAACTCATTCGCTAGGACGGTAGAACAACTCACGCAAAGCGCCTTCTTTCGTCCACAACAGCGCGAGTACCTGAACTGAGGATGTATGGCTGGCTGGGGTATACTGACAGCCTGACCGCCTTGCGCAGGGCGGTAACTCCCATAGGACGAGTTCGAGTACCCCGGCGCGACAGGCCTCGGAGCCGGCGGATGCGATATTATCACTACACCAGGCGCGACCGTCTGCACCGTGGTGCTCTGCGTCTGGTACCGCGTCTGGCTATGACTGTGCCGCCGGTGACTGTGGCTCGAGTGGTGGTGGTGAGTATGCACATGGCTGGAACTGTGTCGCCTTCCTCGAGCTTCGCCCATTGGCATGGGCACCATGAGCGTGTCGGGTGCGGGCATAGAGCGGGAAAGAGCGAAGGGGTCGGGAGGGCTGGTCGTGTGGAGGTTAGCGGGGTTTATCCGGTCGACATTGAGCACAGAGACCGAAGAAGACGGGCCTCCGGTTAGTCGACTCATTGTAATGATGGCATGGGCTACTTACGAGCTGTAAGCTTGTGAGCAGCTGTTGGCCTGTCGGAGGAAGGAGAAAAGCTTACAGATATCCTGAGGGTGAAGGCATAGGGTACACATCGGAAGTCGGGAACGTTGGATCCAGGTTCGATTGCGCATGGTGGCTGAAGGAACGTTGTCAGCTTCAACAGACTCGAGGAAAAGAAACAAGCGTACTGCATTCTGTGAGAGCTAGAGTCTCCTTCAGTCAGCGTCGTGTTACGCGCCACTAAACTCACCGTCGCGATACGTGGTGTCCTTCTCCGTCCGTCCGACCACCGTCACCAAAATCCCACATCATCTTGACTAGTCGCTAAACGTGAGGAATGGGATAGTATATACTCGCGTCCAGATGGGCTGCGATGAAAGTTATGTGGCTCAGGACGCGCAAACTCGAGTGGCTAGCGAGATGGTAGTTTGGGAAGAGACGCGTCGGAGGGGAACATTGCCCCAGGCACCCTCTCGTGCGCTCCGTCCGGCGTTCCAGCCGCCCCGGCGCCGCTTACCGAATCCGGCATCTCGGCACCTCACAAAGAAATCGCCAAATGTGGCAGCCTTTGTCCACGCCCCGCGCTGGCAGGCCTCGAGGCAGTCCTCGGGACGGCAGAGGGCGGTCCGCGGTGACACTAGCATGGTCAGGGAGCGTAGAATAGCGCCTCTGGAGGCTTGCGAGCCTCTGCTTGCCGTATACGATTGGTCAGCAAGCGCCCCCAGCGCTTGTTGTGAACGTCATTTGACTCAACGGCCGCGGCTTGGCGGGTTCGTCAGAGGCGACGCACACCTGAAGCCCCGGGCCACGACAGCACAGATTGCTATTCCGAATATGTCAAGAGACACGGTGCATCGCAGTGGCCCATGCAAAATGTATCAGTTGGGATAGAATGCTACTATGGTACTGTTGGATCTATCAGTCAAGCAGGAAGACCAACGACAGTCAAGCACCTACCCTGACTATGCCGCCTCTCCCTGCCTACCCTCTACCGCCTCCTTCGCCCGTCGATAATTGTTGAGGTACACCCTCCAATCTGCCCTCCGCGTATCCGATCCCGCATTGTTATACGCATCCTCCGCGTCCGGATCCGTACCCGCCCACCGTACGGCGCGCTTATAGCAGTCCAGCGCCGAGCGCGGGTTCCCCGGCTCCGCACGCTCCTTCAACACGCCCGCCAAATTCCATGCCTCCGCCGCTGTCCTTCTTGCGTCGCGGAGCAGGTCCCGCGCCGGCCGCTGCATCGCGCGCGACTCGACGAACTTCGCCACGACGCCGTGCGTGCTGTTGGGCTGCTCGTCCGCTGCCTGGCCGGTGAGCAGGTTCGCGACACGCTCGGAGATTTTGGCGGATTGGAGGAGCCAGTGAAGAGGTGGGGCCGGATCTTTCTTCTTTTGGCGGGCGTATGTCACTTCGGCGAGGTGTAGCCCTAGGACTGCAGACGCGTTCATGAGGAAGAGGTAGTGAAGGGCCTCTGGAGGTGAGGCAAGATTAAGCGGCGGCGCTTTCATCGCGCGCAGCAGGTCAAGGCCGGTTATCTGTACGCGCTCAGCATCCGCGAGCTGTCCGGAAGAGGCCCGGGAAGACGACATTGACATCAACGTGGACATCATGGTCCGCTGCGCCAGAGGCAAGGCCGGTGGTGCTTTTGGTAGCGCGTCGGATGACCCAGTGGCAAGCTGGAGAGCCTTGTTCCACCAGGCGAGCGCTGTCTCTGGCTGAGACAACCGCGCCTGCACGTCACCTAGCTTCATCGCTATGCGAGCTGCTTCGGGTCCATCCTCGCCAGCAGCCCTCCACGCAGCAGCGTAAGCCTGAGCGGCATCCGACGGCGAACCAAGGCGCTCGAGCGCCTCTGCTCTCCGCGTATGCAGCTCGTAGAGCGTACGCGGATGCAGCCTTCGCCGCGTAGACTCTTCCTCAGCGAGAAGTATGGCACTTTGCAGCAGCGAGTCCACCCGGCGCGCGTACGCTGCAACCAGGGCGACGTTGTCCATCTCTGGTGTACGATTGAGCTCCAGCCAAGCGCTGCGCAAGCTAACGCGCGCCAGGGTTCCGAGGTTAGGGTCAGTGCCGCCAGCCAACCTATCCCCGTTCCAATGATCCGCTTCTGCGTCCCATTGCCAGCGTATGACTTCCGGGTCAGTCTCCGGCGCCAGTTCGTGAGTCTCAATCCAGTACTGTCCGGTTGCCCAGCCGACGCCAGATACGGTGAGCACCGTGCCGAATGTTATGAGTGCGATTCTGATGCCCCTCCGAGCATTGTCCAGTACAGAACCTGGCTGAATCCCACTGCTAGACGCTTTCGGGGCTGCCTTAGGCGCTGAATCCGTTTGTGTCGTGTCAGAGAGATGCCGAGCGGCAGATGACCGAGGAAGATAGGATGCACGTTGTCGTAGCAAGGCAGCGCGAGGCAGCGCACTCCGGCGCGCCAGCATGCTGGTGGTCTGAAGCAAAGCGTGGAAGTAAAGTCCACGTTGCCGGCCCGGAAGCAACCGCTGATCTTCCTCAGCCCCGGATAGGGAAAGTAAGGTTGGTCACAAATGGTCACGCGTTTCACTCAGACCGTCTCCCCGTCCCATACCGCCGGTGAGGGTCGTACGCAAAGAGGCCGGGTGGGCGTCAGTAGAGAATATCCTGTCTCAGAACCATTAGCTCGCTCTATGACTACAACAGTCTGCGTAGCGCAATATGGCAGGCAGTAAGCAATAAATACAAGGGGACGGCGTCCAACGCCGGGGGGAAGGCATATTTCCTACAGCTCCGCTGTCCATTTGCGACTATAGATACATGGTCGATGGTCGAAGAATTGCGAGGTCGTGAGGGGCGTTGAGGCGAAGAAGCGGGGGAGGGGTAGGTTGCGCATGGTGTTCGAGATGTATGAAGAAGGGTATCAGGGGGTGCAGGATATGCATTTTCCTTCGTTCTGTGCGACGAGCGTGAGATAGCGCAGCGAACAAGACCATCGACGACGCACCTCGCCCATCACCAGACGCTCGGGCTGGCCATAATATCGTCTACAGTTGCACCGTTGGCCGTGTGCGCCGCAATTCCTCGGATGCGCCGCGCTGAGAAAGCAGCTGCGCGAGTTGCAGTCGACGACACGTTCCCCAATCTTCGACAGATGGCCGCACTCGCGCGCGCGGACGAACTTGTACTGCCGGTGACACATCCTACATCGTCCACCCAGCGCTTCGCACGCTATTGTTACGAGTTGGGACACAGAGGCCTCGTCGGCGGAGGTAGCCCTAATCGCGAGAGCCCGTATTTGAGTTCGATCTGCAGGCATCACAATCAGAGATCTCCGTGGGCTGCTGTATCCAGAGTGCGCGCCCGATGTTACCTTTACTGGCGACGTCGCCTCGAGCGCATGCAGGCGCCGTCGAGGGGGACGGGGGGAGGTAGTGCGCTACAGTCAAAGCGACGAGAGGCTGACCGGGGCCAATGCCTTTTAAGGGGGATTTCAACTCTAGCTCGTGGGTTATCCAGCTATCCGAACTGGCGCTTTGCGCGATAAAAACTCATGGAAATGCTTGGAAAACCTAGAGGCCCCTCCGCTGATACTGGAGGCCCCTTGTCTGATACGCGTTAGCACGAGATTGGGCAGGATTGCTCCCTGGAGGGTGCTGAACCGGCCTGGTGCCGGAAGAGGAAGGGGATCTGGGATCTCGACATCACCGGGGAAATTGCCAATCTGGTCACGTTTTGAACTTTGATCATGATCAGGGTTCATCGCGATGCCTTGTGCTGAAGGCAGAAGGAAATGTTCAGCACGACGGGAGGAGGAAGACGGGTTGACAGCATCTTCTAGTAATGTAGAGCTATCATAAGATTATTGTAAATGAGGATGGGCCGCAAAACCATTCTCTTACCTCGAATGTGCACAAAGTTCGACGTTGTTCGTTCGGAGCTCTTCATGAAGATGGCATCGGGCACCCGAATTACCGGAGACAAGATATGACCAATAGCTGATGCCTTGGGCGCACCCCCGTTCTAATCCCATCCCTCACATGCTGCAAGCATGAGGCCCTACGACGCGAGAATGCCCCGGCGACGGGCAGGAAGTACGAGCGGACCATCTAGACGAGGTACGCCGCTGCCCAGATAGACGCGCGCAGAACACTAAGGACTATCTAAACAAAGCCGAGGAACAAGGACCTTACAGGAACTTTGCCCCGACGTCGAGTACGGACGACAGCAGAATAGCAGCCGACGTTTCGCGCTCTTGTCCAGCTGTTGTACAATCTTACCGTCTTTGTTACTGTATGTCAAGGGCCGCCTCGCCGACCCTCACCCGAATTTCAGAGGGTCTGCACGCAACGAGCGAAAAAGAATCAACTCGTACCTTGTCATCAAGTGTCGGAATTTCCCCCGGAAAATGAACTGTGGTTCTGCCATTGATGATGTCTATGTGCCCCGAGGGACACATCCCCCGTACTCCTACGAGGGTCACAAGTGTACGATGTACGACCAGAACAAGCGCTGCTCATACGCAGCCTATCCATCAGCTTGCGGAGCATGCGTGTCTGCGCCTAGCGTGCTAACGACCCGGTAGTGGTCTTGACCTGTCGGCTCTGGGAAGGGGGCATGAACATGGTCAGAATCAGGGGTTAAGAGGGAAAGGGGAAACGTACGATGCATCCGCCTCCTCCGCTTCGTGAATCTTCTCGTCGAGGACCTCGTTGAGGCCACGTATCGGCTCGCCCTTGATAACCTTCTTGACCTCGTCGCCGTCCAGTGTCTCGTACTCCACGAGCGACTCGGCCAACTGGGAGGTGTAAGCATCCACGCCAATCACCACCACTGTTGTAGCTTACCCGATGCAACTCCTCTAACCTGGTAGTGAGGACCTCCGTCGCGCGCGACTCGGACTCCTTGATGATCCTGCAGAACCCTCCCGTCAACATCCGTCCCCCCGTAAGCGCACGGAATCTCCCGTACCTTGTCACCTCCTCGTCGATCTCCTGCTGGATCCTTGGGCTCACGTCCTCCGAGTAATCAACGGGACCCAACTTCGAGAAGCCCAGTCGCTGCGCGCAATGTCCATGTCAGCAAGCGCTCTTCTCCCGAACCCGACATTAATGATACCAACCTTAACCATATCGCGCGCCAATCTCGACGCAGCGCCGATGTCCGAGCTCGCACCACCCGTGATGTTTTCCGGGCCGTAGACTGGTTGGTAGAATCATGATCAGACGCTGTATTCCCGAACAGAACTGAAGGTCAACGTACTGAGTCCTTCCGCGATCCGTCCGCCCATCGATACATCCAGACGCGCGAGCATCTCCTTGTACGTGACCGAGAACTTATCGTCCTGGGGCAGTTGCGAAGTCTAATAGAAGATTGGAAGGTGAGGTCAGCGCCATAATAGCCTGAGACGGAGAAGCGACGCACATAGCCAAGAGCGTGCCCACGAGGGATGCAAGTGACCTTGTGTAACGGCATAGCACCGTCCGTGTAGATACAGACGAGAGCATGACCGGCCTGCGGAGACATTGTCAGCACGTGCATTTCATATGGAAGTAGCGAAGTGCCGTACCTCATGATAGGCAGTCGCTAGCTTCTGCTTCGGTTCAATGAATGCGCTCTTGCGCTCCGCGCCCATGATAATCCGGTCCTAAGGGGTCGTTAGCTCGCCAAACTCTCCAAAGTCTGATGAGGGCGGATGACTTACGATAGCCCACTCAAAGTGCTGGAGGGTCACGTCCTTGGCGCGCTCCTTCGCGGCATGAATGGCGGCCAAACTAGGGCAAAGGTCAGTCTGATAGAAAAGCTGGAGTGGTCAACGCTTACTTGATCATGTTCGAAAGGTCCGCGCCAGAGAAGCCGATGGTGCCACGAGCGAGACGCTTAGGGTCGACACCTTCACCTATCTTCACGCCCTTCATATGGTGCTTGATGATCTGAACGCGACCACGGATGTCCGGGAGCGGGACCGCGATATGCCTATCAAAACGTCCTGGACGAGTAAGAGCACTGTTATGCATCAGCCTCAACCCCGTCAGGCAGGACCAGCTCTAGACTCACGAGTCCAAGCTCTGAGGGAAGTTCGTCGCCGCAATCACGATGATGCCCTCCGAGCCCTGGAAGCCGTCCATCTCGACGAGCAGTTGGTTCAGCGTCTGCTTCATGTACTGCTGGTCGCGATTGTTCCGCTTGCCACCGACGGCGTCCAACTCGTCGATGAAGATGATGGCCGGTTGCCGCTTGCGAGCTGCCGCGAAGAGCTCGCGAACACGCTTAGCGCCGACGCCGACGTACATCTCGTCGAACTCGGATCTGGAATGATGTTCGTAAGAAATCAACTTGATGGTTGATCGAGAGTAACACTTACCCAGATGCAGAGAAGAACGGAACGCCCGCTTCACCAGCGACAGCCTTTGCTAGCATGGTCTTACCAGTTCCGGGAGGCCTAGCGTGCGTTAGCATCTGTGATAGAGAATGATAAGAATTGACATACCCAGTAAGGAGCACACCCTTCGGAAGCTTGCCGCCGAGCGCGGTGAACGAAGAGGGATCCTTGAGGAATTGCACGATGTCTTGCAGTTCCTGCGAGTGTCATGAGTTATCAGTACATTGCACAAAACGCATAGACGTACATCCTTAGCCTCATCAACGCCATGGACGTCGCTGAACTTGACTGGCTTGTCGGGGTTAGGCTCGAAGACCGAGAAGGACGGTCCAGCTTTGATCAGACCCGAGTTCTCGAAGAAGACCGACAGAATGACAAGGAAGACTGAGGGCTTGTGAGTAGAGTGACGTGCGAAGTGTACTTCCTACTCACAGAAAGAAGAGGTCAATAACACCAAGGTGAAGCGGAAGAGTCTCGGTGCCCATGCGGCCCTCCCTGCAAAAGCGATCAGAGGCTGAGGATTTCCTATGACGTAATTCACTCACTTTCCACGACAACGACCTGAATAGGCGCCGACTCGTCACCAGTATTGCCGGACGAGTTCCAAAGCTTGGAGATGGTGCTCCGAGGGCTAGTGGCCGAGGACTTCGCGAGGACAGCTTGCGCAATGCTTTGACTTTCGGTGACCTTGTTAGCGGGCTTCTCAGCGGTGGGTGCGGGTTCCGAGGTAGCCTGTGCGTCCGTTGGTGCAGCGTCTTCCGACTTCTCAGTAGCGGGTGCAGAAGTCTCCGCAGGAGGCGGGGTGATGCCCTGAGCAGTGAGAAGAGCGTCGCGTCTTTCGACGGCAGGCTGGACCGCGGTAGTGTTGCCGGTGTTGACCAAAGAGTCGAGGTAGATCTGGAAGGCTTCGGACGACTGCAGGAGAGGGGATGTAGAGTCCTACAGGGACATTAGACAGAATTTCCCATTCATAGAAGAGCACGCACCACGTCGCACATCCGCTCCCACCGACTGATGATGATTTCGTACGAGGCCTTCATGTTCGTGTTTGCCAACTCGCGGAAGAGGTCCAGTTGCTTCGAGGCGTCATGGGGGTTAGCATTCGCCTCCGCCTCAAGCAGGGATATCCGCGCGACTACGTGTGGAGGTGGTGGCCGTTCGGGCTTGGTAAACAATGACTTGAGCGAGAAGGGCCGCACGGGTTGACTTGGTTGCCGGTAATGTGGTGCGGGGTGACGGTAAACGAGAGGTGCCGTGGGCCGTGCAAATATTAGATTACGAGTAGCTGAATGTACGGGATGCCGAGCAAAGCAGTTGGAGGAGGTCGAGAGCGATCGTAAGCCGACGGAGGCTAGGGACTTGAGAGTGAGTGCGCTGGCCGGACGCGCCGCGCCGCGCGACAGCGCGCAGTACACCTGTGAGCCGGTCAGCCAGAGTATTCTGTATGTCGCCACGAGCACGACGCGCCTGTGGACTGGCCAGCATTCAGCGTGAATGCAAGATGCAAGTAGAGTCGGACGTACGGCCGCGTATGAACTCCGGCAGCCCTCGGCAGACACGTGGCCCGAATTTTGAGATCACGGGCCGAGGTTCGTTCCGCTTGGACCGCCCATTGTTCTTTTCGTCGACCATCCAGCCTACTCCCATACCCATGGCAGCAAAGAAAGATGGTAAGGGCAAGGATATAGAGCTAAATCTACACATACTCATATGCTTTGATAAGCCATCGCAGCTGCCAAGCTCGCTATCGAAACCTGTTCTGCGACACAGCTCGCTCTGAAAAAGGATGACCTGTCCAGCACACACACTCTTGATGCACCGCTGGCGACTATCCATAATGACCTCAGGTCAATTCTGTCTATGCTTCACCACTCTACGACCAAACTTGCTCTCGCCATGTCGCAGCAGGAGCACTCTGCCACTCTGTCTCCGCTGAAGGACATCACCGTCCAGATCCCGACGCTCCTGCACTGTGTGTCCCTCTTCGACGCGAATGTAGTCGGGAGGACCCTTGCACAGGAAGTGAGGATTGTCGCTACCGACGTGACAGTTTCTACCGCCGCTCTTTTGCATTCCTTCGTCAAGGGCGAAGGCCCCGCCAGTGCGGGGTCGGACTCGAAGGAGTATCTCTTCCGGACGGGGTCCGTACATGAGATCATCGACGCTGCGCGGGGCGTGCAGGGAATATCTGTTGATAACATTGCCGCTGTAAAGAAGAAGTGGGTGGGAAATCAGGCGCCGTTAGAGGACGGCATCAAGGAACTGGCAGAGAGCATCGAGGATGCTAAATCAGGACCTGCCGAGGAGAAGGATGACGAAGATGACTTTGATGACGGTTGGGATGAACTTGGGATTTCGTCCAACGACAAGATGAGTCCTGAGGAACTCGCGCGCGCAGAGAAGGTCAGAATATCGCTCTCGTCTTTCCTCTCATCGCTAACGATACCCAGGGCCATATCCTCTTACGAATGTGTAGCATGCTGCACAAGCGGGTAGCGAAAGACTTACTCAAAACCTCTCACCCGCCGTCCGTCGACAACGCGCTCCTCGACTCCCTCCCCGGGCTATCCGCCTACCTCCTCTCCTCCGCCGACGACTTCATTATGTCTCTTGAAGCGCCGCAGGATATCAGCCAGGTCACGGAATGCCTCGACGGACTGGTCGAGCAGATCCACGACCTGCAGACTACCCTCGCACCCTTCTTCCCTGACGCGCCACCCTCGCCTAACACGCCACCGTCGTCTGAGTCAAAACCAGACAACGAGGCGCCCAAGGAGTCCAAACCGACCCCATCAAAATGGTTTGACACCTGCTTCGGCCAGATCGACAAGGGCGCCGCCGCTCTGCGCGCCCTCTTGCCGCAGGATAATTGACCTGGCGGCGTATGACCAGCTCCGTCAGCGTACACCCCTCCTCGCCGTCCGACTACCTCTGTCGACGCAACCCCCTACCACTGCCGACGCACCCACTACCAACGCCGTCCAAACCTGACGGCGTCCAGCGCACCCTGACGGCCTCTGACTACCACTGGGTGGGTCATCGACGAATTGCCACAAATGCCCCAACCCTAATATGGTAGTCCGAATGCGCGGGCGCGGTTAAGGAAATCGCGGTGCTTGGGATGCGTCTGAGGAGGCCGGGGTGCATCTAAGGAGGCTGGGGGTGCATCCGGGGAAGCGGCCGTCGATCAGAGGGACCCAAGGAGGCGGACGAATCGTCGGTCGCGCGCAGATCAACGAGGGCAGGTCTCGGATGGGTGCACGTAGGTGGACCCTGCGTCGGGGATCAGAGCGTAGATGACCGAATGTCGATGCGGGAGAGGGGTCGGGGTGGGTCACGCTTGCGCGATTAGTCTGCTTTGTGCTTCGCAGGGCAGGACTTACTTATGGAGTATTCAAAATATCACTGTACGGTCTCGAACGAGCTTGCAAAGTGATTCTTACACGCGAACCGTCGCTGTAGCCCCACGGCTGGCTCAATAGTCGGTGCTTACGCGCAGAACGTGTAAGGCGCGCTAGCGATGTCCCCTCCGTAAATCATATCAAAACGGGGTCGTCGTTGCCCGCCCACAGTCTTGGTACCATCAGCAGCATATGCCACAGCGCACTATCGATAGATGGGCCGTACGCGCTTAGGACATTCACCGGCCGAAAATCACCTCGAGGCTCGAGAGTGCACGTACAGAGCCCGACGATAGCTGTCCCAGTCGGCATCTCCCTCCATGATTTTCGCAATGGTTCAAACGCGTCAAACTCGAGGAACATACATTGGTGTTACATCCACGTAAAGAAAGCGTCCAGCGCGAAAGAGATACGTCCCGCAACAGACATGCACCCAGCAAGAGGCAGGTGCGACAAGCACTCTCACGCAGCCGCGGCAGTCGGCTGCGCGTCCTGCAAGTGCTGAGGTGTCTGCAGATCCTGCGAATAACGCGGCGTCTGAACATGCTGCGAGTGCTGGGGCGTCTGCATGATTTGGGTATACTGAGGCGTCTGCGCGTTCTGCATATGTTGGGGAGTCCGCGTATTATGCTGGGGCGTTCGCGAGGACTGTGGGTGCTGTGGCGTCCCGTTGGCAGTCGCCGTGGATTGCTGCTTCCCGCGCTCGTAGACGTCTCGCCACTTCGCGGCGAGGAATTTGGGGAATGCAACGCCGCTCTTTGCGCTTCTGAGACGTTCTTCGAAGCGGATGATCTTTTCGGTTTGCGCTTGGAGGTCGAAGGTGTTGCGCTGAGAATTCGGATGAGTTGCTTGATACTGGCGCATACAGTTCGGGGGACGCGATGTGCCTCTGGAAGGTCGCATATGGAGCACTTACCAGGGTTTCCATTCGCCTCGCGCGTTCTGCTTCTCGTTTCTTTTCTAGCTCCTTACGCCCGTCATCGTTCTTCACGCCTGCACGCGGAGGGCCTGTGCCACCCTAGAGAAGTATCAGCACCGAGGCCATCTCTTACTATGGCTCAGACGCACCTTGAATAACGACGCCCAATTGTCCTTGTTGTTCAGGTCGAGATCACTAGCCGGCTGAGTCGCAGCAGCCTTGCGCGAGCTCGTCTTCAAGCCGAGGTCCTTCTTCAAGTCCAGCGCCGCCGCTTTCGTCGTAGGTGCAGAGGGCTTGCCCGCCACCGCCGGCTTCGCTGCAGCGGGATTTGACGGTGTCCCAGGCGCGGTGCTCGCGCTCGAGTTGTTCTTCTTGATTCGAGGGAGTCCCTTCACCGATACCACGCTCGGTCCAGGCTCAGGCGCCACCGGGGCAGCTGCGTCCGCATCCGCCGGTCGCGCGCGCTTCGCAGGCGGTGGCTTCTGCTGTCGCTCGTCCTTCATCTTGATGTCCTTCGTGTCCTCCTTCTCCGCCGCGCGCGATCGACCCTTGCCACGAGCGCCGGTGGACTTGGCCTTCCCGCGCTTGGGCGCGTCGTCCACCACGAAGTCATCGTCCCCGTCGTCATACTCCTCGGGCGGGGGCTCGTCATCTTCGCCGCTGTCCACCGCGTCATTGAAGAAGTCGTCTTCCGAGCCAGCATCCGACCCAACGACGCGCTTGCGCTTCTTCGCGGGAGGGGCTTTGGTTGTGGATTTGGAGGGACGTTTGCTGGTGGAGGATTGCCGGCGAAGACGACTGGGGACCTCTGACGTTTCTACGTCGATCAACTCCTCCTCGCTCTCAAGTGGCTGCTCGTCAACCCTGGATCGCTTAACGGGGACAGTGCTTTCTCCCTCAGAATCGTCGTCCGACTGGACGCGCATAGCCTTACGCTGCCGATATTTGCATGAGAGACGGTTACTGTCGTGTGAGGGTCAACGCACCTTGATCATTCTGGCGTTCGAGGCTCTGCAATCCAGTTAAGCCTGCGACTAGATGATGGTGGTCGGGAACAACTTCAGCTGAATGGCGCGGCTGTCGGCCCGGAGGACGCGCTTGCGGAGAATCGCGGTCCGGGGCGATAACGCCCGAATAGCAGCGCTGAGCACACGTTGTAAGCAACCTTCACGTCTATGTCTATGGGAAACGGTGCGCTTGAAGTATCATTATCCGCGCTGCTAGTGATCGAGCATGTCTAGGCCAGCCTCCGACCTCGGAAGGGCAACAGCCTGCAACACCGGCTATGTCACGTCCAGTCGACGAAGTTCTACGCGACGCGCGCACCGTCGTCAACATCACCCATTTCCGCGATGGTCATATGCCTACCGACAGAGAGGTCGAGACGATATGGCAGAAGAGCATCGGCCTGCATATCCTCGAGTACAAACTGGTCGCACAGATTGCTACGCTGCAGAAGGATCTGGATGCAGTCCGAGAGCAGGTCGCTCTACACCGCGGTCTTGTATCTTGCTACCGTCGTGTCCCGCCAGAGATCCTCTCTGACATCTTCGTCCTTGCTCTGCCAAATGACTGGGACAAGAGGTGGAACATGTTAGGGACGCGACAAAGAGTCCTCAATTTCGCTAGTGTCTGCACATCCTGGCGGGCGGTCGCTCTCACTATGACGCCCAAGCTATGGACTACACTCAATCTTTGCGATGGGACCTTTCGTGCCATGCAGCGCCATCCATGGGCCTTGGAGATGGAGCTGGCGAAGACAGGTCAGGCGCAGCTGGACCTGCACATCTGCATCTCGCCCTTCCGGTCGCCGGGAGCGGAGAACTTGGATGACTTTTGGCACGACCGAAGTTGGGGACTACTCTGCGCGCAATCGCACCGATGGCGACAGCTGTCGCTCGATGGGGCTCCCATGTCCGCCTACAACGACCTGGTAGGGCGCGAGTTCCCCCTGTTGACGCGCCTATCCGCCGTATTCTCGAGCTATCAGTGGGCAGCCGATACCACAGTTCCTTTGCACGTCTTTGAGACTACGAATGCTATCGAGGATTTATCTGTCGAATACGACTGCACCATTCGGGACCTCGAGATACCGCGGACGTGGAAAATCACTTCGCTCGACATCCAGTGCACTACCGAATTCGGAGGCTCCATCCTGGAGCCATGTCTGGATGCGATCATAGCCTGCAGGGACACCCTCCAATCATGCACCCTTTCCAGCGAAACTGACTCTGCATTGGCTAATGCTCAGCTGCGGCCCACTCAGTTTCCTCACCTTCGCATCCTCACCCTCTATTATCATGCAATACTTCTATGCCCTTGCTTCGCTGTCCCAAATCTTGGCTCTCTCCACTTGTACAGGCGGATCTACGATGAAATCGATCCATACGAGGCGCTAACGTCTCTCCTTGATTGTTCAGAAAATTGCACATCGCTTCGATCCCTGTGGCTACATGGCTTACCGCCGTCGCCGAATCAGGACAGCATCACTGGGATCCTGCGACGCATCCCGTACCTGGAGGACCTCGAGCTCGCGAACATCGAAGACCCCCAAGATCTCGACGACGTCTTCGTCCGCCCAGAACTTCTTCACGCAATGACCCGCGATCCCGATACGCCAGACTCATTCTTCTTCCTACCCAAGCTCAAGCGACTCGTCGTGGTGACTCAGTTCCCAGACGTGGACTACGACGAGTACCCAGCATATCGCCAGGCTATGAGAGATCTGCTAGCTTCGAGGAGGTGCACATATCGGGTGCGTGGCGTGGCTTTGCCGCTTCTACAATATCTGCGTAGCGACGTTGGTATATATCATGGACTTGCATTGGGATGGACGACAGGCTTGCCCGTATAATATCATCTATAGGACCTCTGATAAATGTTGCTTGATATATACGACCATTAGGACTGGAATGTCGATTCCTGTGTGGAGTAATGAGTCCAACGTTTTGAGCTCTTGCAAGTGGCGTTGTCTGGCCATGTGTAAGTTAGCGGAACCCGGGCCGATGTGAGCGCGCACTCAGCTTGCTCCCAACCTTCATGATCAAGTCAAGGCCCTACGCCTAACTGCATACTTCAAAGGATAGGTGGGCGATAAGGTATCCTCCACCAACTTCCACTAAAACATCGTCAAGCAGTTGTCGGACCACCAGCCAGGCCGCCATGCCACGTTCCGTAACCGAGGCCATACGCGACGCGCGCACCGTAGCCAACATGGCCCATCTGCGCGATGGCTACATTCCGTCGGATCTGGAGGCGGCGGCTATCAGATTGAAGGCGGAGCAACTACACAAGATCGACCTCGAACTGGGAGAACAGATCGCAAGCTTGCAAGCCGACCGGAACGCCATCCGAAGGCAGATCGCCGTGCACCGAGCGCTCGTGTCGTCCTACCGTCGCATACCAGCAGAGATCCTTTCAGAGATCTTTACCCTTGCTCTGCCAGATGACTGGGGAAAAAGGAAAACTATGCTGGGGACACGACGGAGGGTCCTCGACTTCGCTGGCGTCTGTACGTCTTGGCGGACGGTCGCTCACACTATGATGCCACGGCTCTGGACGGAACTCAGAATCGACGATAGGACCTTTCGTGCCATGAAGCGTCATCCTTGGGCCATGGAGGTGGAGCTGGCGAAAACAGGACAGGCCCCGTTGGACTTGCACATCCGCATACCTTCGTCGTGGACGTTGGAGGGCGCAGACGACTTCTGGCACGACAAATCCTGGGAGTTACTCTGCGCGCAGTCGCATCGATGGCGGCGGATGTCAGTCGATGGAGTACCCTTGTCTGCTTACAGCAGCCTGGCTGGACGCGAGTTCCCATTGCTGACGCATCTGTATGTCAACTTCTATGGGGAGCAGAGCAGGCCTGCAGCCGCGTTGCCGTTGGGCGTATTCGAAAGTGCGACCCATGTCACAGATTTGCGCATCGACTACAACTTCACAATCCGGGTCCTCGAGCTACCGCCCGCATGGGCAATTACTTCACTGAATATTGACTGCTCAGGGGACAGGGGCTGCTCTCTGGAACCGTGCCTCGAAGCGGTCAAAGCGTGCAGCCAAAGTCTCGAGTCATGCATGCTTCTCAGTCGAGCATATCTTGAGCTGTCCCCCGCCCAGCGAGAACCCGAATCGTTTCCCCGCCTTCGCACCCTCTCCCTTTTCTACTTCGCAGTCCTCCTCTGTCCTTGCTTCGCGGCCCCGAACATCACTACCCTCGACTTACACACGCGTCTCTACGAGGATCTGCACCCGTACGAGGCACTGTTATCCCTTCTGAACCACTCAGAGGACTGTAGATCGCTCATATCCCTCAGCCTGGATGGCTTGCCGCCGCCTCCAGAGTTCGACAGCGTCACGAGGATCCTGCGGCGCCTGCCGCATCTGAAGGACCTCGAGCTGATGAACAACGAGTTCATCGAAGAATTTCGCGATGCCACTGTCAACCTGGAGCTCCTGCGCTTGTTGACCCGCGATCTCAGCAGGCCGGAGTCGATGTCTTTCCTGCCCGCGCTAACACGACTCTACGTGGCGACGTGCGCTGCATACGGCGGCGATGAGTACATGTCATATCACATTGCCCTCAGGAATCTGCTAGATTCGAGGAGTAACGCATTGCGTGTGGGCAGCGTCGACTTGGCGCCTCTGCGATACCTGTATAGCGACGCTCTTGTATCCCACGGGTTGCAATTGGGGTGGATCATGGGCCTGCCCGTGTAATGGCTCTACAGGACTAATGATCATGTAGAGCGCTGGGAAGGGGCGAGGCCAGATCCACTACATACAAGGGCATTCAAAGAAACATTGTGAATACAGAAGAACCAGAACCTGACATTTACCTCCACTATACGCTCGTCATGTAAGCAAGCGGGACTCGGACCGATAATTAGAGCGAGCACGGCGCAGCTTGTTTACGACCTTCATGACCGGGGCAAGTCCATACACCCAGAATTAGTAGATTACAAGGTGGGTGACAAGGTAACTTTCATTCACTCTCACTCAAACCCCGTCAAGCAGTTGTCGGGACCCATCTGTCAGCCCCGGCCTGTTGTCGCCATGCCACGTTCCGTAGTCGAGGCCATACGCGACGCACGCACCGTCGCCGACATTGCTCTTCTGCGCGACGGTCATATCCCCTCTAACTCGGAGGCGGTTGCTATTGAACGGAAGGCAGATGACCTGAAGAAAATCGGACTTGAGCTGGCGGAAAAAATCGCAGGTCTCCGAGCCGACCAGGAGGCCATCCGAAGGCAGGTCGCTGTGCACCGTGCCCTCGTGTCCTCCTACCGTCGCATCCCGCCAGAGATTCTCTCAGAAATATTTATTCTTGCTCTGCCGGACGACTGGCAAGAAAGGCCTGCCAGAATCGGGACGCGACCGAGGGTCCTTGCCTTCGCAGAGGTCTGCACCTCGTGGCGGGCGGTTGCTCTCACCATGACGCCGCAGTTTTGGTCTACCCTTAGCATCGACGACCGGGTCTTCAATGCCATGCAACGCCACCCATGGGCCTTTGAGATGGAGCTCGCGAAGGCAGGCCAAGCGCCCCTCGACCTGCGTATACGGATGCCTACATCATTGTTCTCAGAATCCGTCCAGCCTTTCTGGTCAAGCGAAGCCTGGAGCCGACTTCACGCGCAATCGCATCGGCTGCGGCGGTTGTCGCTCCACGGAGCGCCATTGTCTGCTTACAATGACCTCGCCGGGCGCGCCTTGCCGTTGCTAACGCGTTTCTCCTTCGATTTCCTCTGGCAATACTGGCAGGGATCCGATGTTGCGCTGCCGCTGCATCTCCTCGAGCACGCGACCCATGTCACGGACCTGCGTATCGAGTACAGCTGCACCCTCCGCAAGCTCGAGCTGCCGCGGACCTGGGTCATCACCTCTCTTGACCTTGACTGCAGAGAAGGGGACGATGCTACCCTCATTCCATGTCTCGAGGCGATCAGGGGATGCAGCGGAACTCTAGAGACGTGCGCTCTACACGCTGAAGTGGCCTTCGAGATGACCCTCGCTCAGTTGCATCCCACGCTGTTTCCTCAGCTTCGGACCCTCTCCCTCTTCTCCTACGCAATGCTTCTCTCCCCATGCTTCGCGGTTCCAAACCTTGATGCCCTGCATGTCCATGCGCGTCGCGATGATGTCCTCAATGAATGGGAAGCGATCTCGTCTCTTTTGGAGCGCTCAGAGGGGTGCAGATTGCTCCGGCTCCTTGAGCTCGACGGCTTGCCGCCCCTGCAAAGCATGCGCGGCATCGTCAGGCTCTTTGAGTCCCTCCCCCACTTGAAGGAGCTCGTGCTGAAGAACAACAACAACTCCTCGCTGCTCGACCTCGGGCGCGGGGCGTTTATCGACCCGCAGCTCTTGTGTATTCTGACCCGCGACGAGAATTGGCCAGACTATATGGTCCTCCTGCCCGTGCTGGCACGATTCTCCGTGCTGACTGGCGCGCAGACGGACAGCGATGATTACTCGGAATATCGCCTCGCCTTGCAGGAACTGCTACTGTCAAGGCAGGAAGACTTCCACCTTGTAGACGGCAGATGTTTCCTGGCTCTGCAGTACATGCACAGCGACGTTGGAGTATCTCTCGAATAATGATGACTCGCATCGGCCCGCTGTTGGCACTGTCTCCCGGGGCACGCTATGTGCCCATGGCAAGCCATAAATTTGCAGTTCAGGCGGAAGACTCGCACTTGAACCTGCCTCGTAAACCCCTCGCGACGGCGTATGGTGACCTAGATCTTATAGGTCAGGAAACTATAGGGGTGTTGATCTCTATGGGGTAGATTGCTTGTATGTTACATTGGACCTCCTACTGCTACAGATCTGCCTGGATATAGAGTACATGACGCTCATTGGCCCTCGGAGTTCTTGTAGAACTTCTTCAGATCCTCGACATCCTCTTTACTACCCAAGAAGACTGGGCAGCGGTCGTGGATGCCCTTCGGGATGATATCGAGGACGCGCTGGGTGCCGTCTGTGGCGACGCCGCCGGCCTATCAATTCTTCAGTCTCGAATTGGTGATAAGGAAAGATGGAAAGCGCACCTGTTCGGTCAAAAAGGACATCGGGAACGCCTCGTACAGTATCCGCAACTTGCCCGACTTGCTCTTCTTGTCGCCCGGGTAGCCGAAGATACCACCGTACAACAGCGTACGGTGCACATCGGCGACCATGGATCCAATGTACCGCGCGCTGTACGGCTTGCCGTTCGCAGGGTACTTGATCGAGTGGAGGTAGTCGACGACGGGCTTGTGGAAGTACATCGAGTTCCCCTCGTTGAACGAGTAGATCTTGCCGCGCGAGGGGACTTGGATCTGGAGGGAGAGGTCAGATGGGCGGCGATGTGAGACATTGTGGTGATCACGCACGTTGGGATGGGTGAGGATGAACTCGCCGACGCCGGCGTCGAGGGTGTAGCCGTTGACGCCGTCGCCGGTGGTGAGCACCAAGTTCGCGGAGGAACCGTACCTAAGAGGAGGGTGAGAATCAGTCTTTCGCAGCCCACCTCTGATAGTCGTGTGACGTACATGCAGTACCCCGCCGCGACCATCTCGCTCCCCGGTCGCAACACATCCGAGATCGCGCCCTTCGAGTCGTCCTTCACCCTGTACACGCCAAAGATCGTGCCGATGTTCACACCCGCATCGATGTTGCTCGAGCCGTCGAGCGGGTCGAAGACGACACAGTAGCGGCCCTTGTACTTGTCCTCGATGATGACCGCCTCCTCGTTCTCCTCCGAGACGAGCACGGCGGTCTTCCCAGACGCGCGCAGCGAGTTGATCATGATGTCGTTCGCGAGCACGTCCAGCTTCTTCTGCTCCTCGCCTTGCACGTTCGTCTCGCCCGCGAGGCCGACGCTGCGAAGATCGGCGCGATCAGTGGGGGTCAGTGTATACAATGCGGGGCGACGCACAGATTGATGAGGCGCGCTTTGCGCACATTGGTCGCGATGAACTTGCAGGTGGTCTGGATGGCGGTGAGGAGGAGGGTGAGGTCGCCCGTGGCCTTTGGCCCGAGGCGGATCTGATCGCTCAGGACATGGCTAGCGCGCGGGTCAGCGGGCGGTCAGGGCGCGTTCCTTTGTGCACCCACCGAGTGAGGGTGATGAGATCGGTGGAGGGGGGCTCTTCAGTGATGTTGGACATGGTGAGGAGGAGAGGGCGATGGTAAGTGGGAGGAAGAGAGAAAGCGGTGGAATATAAGAAGCGGACGGAGCCGGGCAGAAGGAGATCGCGCTCGGAGCAAGTGACCGCATATCCTGCTCGGATTCCCCAATGACATACCCCCATTTCACATGCGGGCCCACGGCCCGGCGGACAACCGCGCGGGGACTCCTCTCCCCGCGCCACCGGGAAGAAACGTGTTGCGTGCCCAGTCCAGAGCAGCAGATTAGGCACCGAGCACGGCGCGTGTACAATTGTGCGCTATGATACATCCGGCATACAGGTCCAATAATGCGGTGGCTGGCTTACAAAACAGTGGGCGTGATTAGTGAGTTTATCGGTCGGCGGTGCTGACTGTCGTTCTGCGGGTGCGTAGTGGTGTAGGAATAATCGCTCCAGCGTCCACGTCGTCCTCTTCGTCGTCCTCTCCATCACCGTCATCGTCAGGATTTGACGTAGCGGCGGGACGTCGTGCGCGCCGCCGTGCTCCCCTACTCTCCTTCTCCTTCGGGTTTGTATAAAGCGGAACCGGATCCTTGTCAGGCGGGGCTTGCTCGTGCTCGTCTTCAACCTCGTAGATCGTTGGCGGATGTGCTGGAACGCGTTGCGCTTCGGCTATAGCGGCAGCGAGCTCTGCACTGATACTAGTTATCCCCCTCTCATCGCCAGTGAGCAACTCTGACAGGGTCTTGACAGACTCCATGAGCTTGGTGTCTTCTTCGCCAGACTCGTCGTCCTCGTTTGCGGTGGAGTGCTTGCGTTTCCGCTTCCCACTTGCATCGTAGCGTCTGTGGGGTTGATTAGCGACCGAGGAAGCATGCATGAGAACGTAGATACGCACACGTCGGGTTCTGGCTCGTAATTGGGGTCGTGCGTTCGTAAGTGTGCGTTGAGGTTACCGCGGCGAGTAAACTCCTTGTCACAACCAGGTTCTTCGCACTTGAACGGTCTGTTGCCAGTATGTGTCCGTCGATGTCGCGCGAGACTACTAGAGTCGGCGAAGAGTTTGCCGCAATGTGGATATTCGCAGGTGTGAGGTTTCTCGCCAGTATGAACTCGAGCATGTACGCTGAGGGCAGAGCGCTGAAAGGCCAGTCAGTTTGGGGATCGAGAAGTGGGCAGCACCGAACTCACCTGAATGAAAGTCTTGCCACATCCAGGATGGGTGCAAACGTAGGGTCTTTCTCCAGAGTGGATGCGCATATGTCGTAGCATGTCGCTTCGCCGCTTGAACGACTTGTCGCAGTGCTCGTATTCGCAAACATGATATCCGTTCTCATCCTTCGGTTTCTTGACCCTCCTCGGAGGCTCGTCCATATCATGATCAGGCGCAGGCGGAGAGCTTGCCTCTTCATGCGCGCTCACAGGACCGGCTTCTTCGCTCGAAGGTAGAGGGCTTGACCTGGCCGGCGGACGCGAGCCATGTCTTGACGGATGCCGCTGAGGGCGCACGCTAGACACCACCGGCGAGTAGTCATCATCTTCCTCCGACAGCTCCGTCTGGAATCGCGGGTCGAACAGATCCATGCCCAGCAGCCCATCGTCCATATGCATCGTCGGCGTCGCCGAGGGCGCTGCGCCGTCACCCGCGCCCGGATACGCGAGCTGCAGCGCAAAGTCGTTCCACTCGTCCTCGTTGTCCGCGCCCGCGAGCGCGCCGTCCGAGGCGAAGTAGTCCGTCGATTCTGACGCGCTTTGCTCGCGGCGCTGCCGCTTGCGCGGTGGCGGGGACAGCGCGTCGTCGTACGCGTCCCCATCGGCGGCGAGGGGATCGTACGATCGGGAAGTGTGTGTGGTGGGGCCTGCGAGGGAGTGGAAGGAGGGCGCGCTCCGGGTGTTGGACTGCGCGGTGGGGTCGGGCGTCGGGGGCGTCTGCTGGGCTTGAGCTGTGTGAATCATAGCCGAGAAATCGGCCAGATTCATACCAGATTGCGTGGTTGAGGGGTGGCCTGAGGGCGCGCCGTCTTGCAATGGGGGTGGTGGTTGGGGTCCGAGGTCGGGGATCAGACCTGGTTGGGAGTCCTGGAGCGCGTCCTGGTTGAGGAGGGAGACGATTTCGTCTTCAAGTGCGTCAGGTTCGAAGAGGGCGACAGAGTCGCCGGTGAGTGGCGGGGGTGGATCAGAGGGATGTGAAGTCGCGCTTCCAGCATCCTGAGCAGTACTAGACGCCCGAGTGGTGAGATCCGTCTCTGCCTCTTCCATCCCTTCATCATGGACCACGTCGGCCAAGTCGAGGAGAGCGTCTGCCGCCAGCTCCATGGCGCGTAGGTCTTGCGAGACGATGAGCAGACACTGCTGCGAATATGTGCCGCCAAGAGACCCAAGAACCAGTCAACGATGGGGAATGCACGTCGGTGACAAGCCGTCTGCGCTCGAGTCTCGGCGAGCATTGTTCTCTTTCCCACGGCATCTGAATCCACTGCCGCCCACAGCGCACAGCCACCGATATAGCACTTGCATCTTCGCGTTCATGTCCGTCGGTGTCGCGAACGATGAGCACGTATATTCCGACGAAGGTTGACCTGACGCCGCGGCGCCACCACGGCTATGCAGTCCTTCTTTTCATCATGGGCACTCTTTTCCCTCCTCTTGGTGAGCTGCCTCTCCCCCGGCCATTCCCGCCGCCGATGCCGACGCTGACGCTCACCCCCTCCGCAGCGGTCGCCGCGCGCTTTGGCATCGGCAAGGACTTTTGGCTCAATCTCCTGTTGACGATCTGTGGCTACATTCCGGGTGTGTACTTCGCGTCGTAGCTTAGAGCTAGCGCTGATCTGCGACAGGCCACGGGCACAACTTCTACATCCAGGTGTGCATGCTGCGCGAATATCGCTGCGCATTGTAGCTTACCCCCATATCCTCCCCAGAACATCCGCAACAATAAGACGCACGCACGCACGCCCAAGTGGGCGCAGCGGTACGGCCTTATCGACACCAGCACCATCCGTCGCCATGAGCGCCGGTCCCAGTGGGCGAACCGCTACAAGGACCGCAACCCCACCTCCGCCCTCGAGGGCCAGCCGTACGAGGAGGGCCAACGCTCCACCCCCTCCCTCGCCTCCGACCCCTCCGACCGCCCGCGCCGCACCAACACCGGCGAGCTCTGGAGCCCCGAAGACGAGCAGTACTACAACGCCAACAACGCCTCGACCGCGAGCAGCGGCCGCTGGAAGTACCCCGCTAACTTCGACGACGCGGTCGCGGATGCGCCGAAGCGCGGGAAGAAGAAGGGCAAGGACAAGAAGGACCGCTGGGCGCGCACGGAGGACGCGTACTCGACGGCGGAGGAGCAGCACAGCAGGCGGAAGAAGTCGAAGAAGAGCAAGCGGTCGACGGGGGCGAGTATCGCTTCGTCGCAGACTGGCACGACGACCGAGTTCCCGGAGGATCCGGAGGGCGGGCTGTATGGCGAGCGCACTCCCTATGCTGGCGCTGGACGCGACCGGTCCCCGAGCCCTGTCGGCCGGTCGAGGACGACGGACGACGACCTAAACCACCAATTCTGAGCCGACCCAGTCATTATCTCGAGAGGAGAGCCCATGGGAAGGACGTGGTGAGCGGACGATACCATCTTCGAAGTGTATATCGTCGATCTGCATATTCCTACTTACCTACTTTCTATCTATCGCAATCGACTATTGTGAAACCCCGCTGTCGTTTCTGCTCTTTCTGATGCCCGAACTTGAACCTCTCCCTACCATCGATACCCATCCCATCGATGCAGCGTCCCTGTGTGGAATGTATAGTTTACGTGGGTAAATGGTGCGTGCTTGACTTGACACGTTGACTGCAACACGCTAAACATCGTTTCCAGAGGCAAGGATACGAGACTGATCGACAGGATAAGCCAGCCTACACTACCCTTTCTACCCTTTCTTCCTACTCTCCTCCCCCGCCTCCCACTTGCCCTCCCTCGTCCTGAACATCTCTACTCCCTCCCCAGTCGGCCCCACCTCCATCCCCGGTATCAGATTCTCACAGAATAGCTGCGACTTGATCTTCACGTCCTTGAGCTCCTTCAGGGTCCCCGCAGACACATGAACAAGGCCTTCCTTTTCGTCCAAGCCCTCCTTTCCGTTTGGGCCGTCCCGGCCTTCTTTTTCGTCGTGGTAGAACATGCTCGAGCCGCAGCTGCCGCAGAATTGGCGGATGACGCCGGGGCTGGAGGTATAGGACTTGAGGGCAGGCGGGGGATTGTGGTAGGGTATTTCGGTGGAGTCGACTAGGAAGAAGACGGCGGAGGCGGGGAAGCAGACGGCGGTGAGGCAGATGGAACCAGTCCAGAGACGACACCTGAGAGGGGAAGTGATCCACGCAGCAAGGAAAGTAGGATGGGCAGGAGGGACCGAAGAGTCATGAGATATCGGTGAGTTGTACTGAGTTGCGAAGGACATACATGTTGCAGTGACAGTGGGCGGCATGGATGTTATCGTTGATGTCTCTGTGGACGACGTACTGCACGGCGCCGCACAGGCAGCGTCCGGTACACGAGTCCGAACTCATGGTGGATCTAGAGGATTGGCTTTTCGTGGGGAGGAAGAGTCGGGGGGAAAGGTCGGTGAGAGCGCAGGAGATAACGAGGGTGGTGAGTCGTGCTCAGGGTGCATTCGTATCCCATGACGTTGAATGTTGACTCAATGTCAGTCAGCTGCGTGGACGTCCTCTTTCGTCGACGTGCAGTAGCCGCACCCTCATATCTTCGGCGGCGGTAAGATCGTTCTCTGCGTCGAGGATCAGGATGGATCGTAGATGGGGACGGTGGCGCGGCGCGTACCCGCCACGTAGTCACGTGAGAGGCGGACGTTCGCCGACTTCAGCCTCCTGCAAACCCACTTCAACGACGAGTGCGACTTACCGAGATAGCCCGCCACCGCCCCGACACTTTCACTGCATCGCTTTGAACGTCGAGCAGCTTGTGTCGCCCCTGCCGCCTGCCGCGGGCCGCCGGCGCGCCGTCATCTGCGTCTCGCGGGCGTGAATGGGCAGTTCTGAATTTAGGACAGAGTAAATTACTTCCGCTCGCGCTTTCTGCAGTATAAGATGGGCGAGGGCTTTATGGGCGAGGTATCAAAGACTTTCCTTTTCGACAACCTAGCATCGACGCCACAACTCTAGAATGCCTTCTCCAGCAGTCCTCATTGTACGTCTAATTCTTCGCTGCTTGACCACATGCATGTGCTCAAGGCTATCCTATAGGTTGGTGCTGGTCCAACGGGACTTACTCTTGCGCTCGCGTTGCTCAAGAATGGTGTCTCTGTACGCATCATTGACAAACTCAAGGAACCTCGCGTAGGCCAAAAGGGCACCGGTATAATGGCATGTCGCCCCTTCTTTTTAGTCTTATCACCCTCGAAGCTAATCCGGAAACTTCAGCCACGAACGCAAGAAGTACTGAACACTCTCGGTGTCCTCGACGACGTGTACAGAAACTCAATGTCAGTACACAGCAAGAGACGTCGCATCTACGAGATGCCTGGTGCCGTAAAGGTAGCAAAGGAGGTTCCTCTGGCGCCAGAGATGCCAGCAACGCCAGATAGGCCATGGGTAAGCCTTTTTCTTACCAAGTCTGAAAGTTGTCCTAATCAGGTTCATGAAGCCTATGGTCCGCGGCATGGGTCAGGACCGCTTCGAGGCCCTCCTCTCTCGCCATCTTGAAGCCCTAGGTTGCAAAGTCGAGCGCGGAACGGAACTGCGCTCTTTCACGCAAGACGCCAACCTTGTTCACGTCGAACTGGCCAAACCCGATGGCAGCAACGAATGCACTGGCTTCGAGTTCATGGTTGGTGCGGATGGGGGGCACAGCGCTGTGCGCAAGGGCTTGGGGCTGTCCTTCCTCGGGGAGACGCGCGAGGAGCAGGCTATGGTTGTGGGTGATATTGAGGTGAAGAAAGGGTTGAGTGATGTGAGTCTTTGATGTCTTCAAAGGGTTTGTTGGTTGCTGATAGATGCATCACATTGCAGGATTACTTCCACGTCTTCAATGCGACTGGAAAGGGAGCCGGGACTCTGCCGGACTCGAAGCCCCTCTGCGAGGGAGGTGGGATGTGAGTTTCGCCTCTTTGCATCGTCAATGGCTCACTCTCAATCCGCAACATACTAGGTTTGTCCTGCGAGGCACGGAAGTACCCGGCCTCTTCATTCTCATGGCGGGCAACAGCACGGCATCCGACAAACCTCTTGACACCCGCGAAGGCTTTATCGAGCACTTCTATAGGTCGACAGGCCGCACTGATATCGAATTCGGGGAATTGAAGTGCGCGTCATGGTGGAGACCGAACATTCGGATGGTAGACAAGTTCGGGGAAGGCAGGGTCTTCGTTGCTGGAGGTAAAGTCCATCCCAACAATGCCATATGCCTTCGCTCACAAGTTGTGCGTACAGATGCAGCCCACACGCACAGCCCCACCGGTGGCCAGGGCATGAACTCCAGCGTTCAGGACGGCTTCAACCTCGCCTGGAAGCTCGCCCTCGTCCACAAGAATCTCGCTCCACCTTCCCTCCTCGACACTTACTCCGCCGAGCGCCTTCCCGTCATTGCCGCTATGCTTCAGAAGACGACGGAACTGCTCAACAAGACCTTCCAGTCCTTCGGCAACGGCGCGAAGCAGTATGTCGGCTATGCGCAGGACGCGTGGAATCGCGACAGCGAACTGTACATGTTCGGGGTTAACTATCGGGGCAGCTCAATAGTTCTCGACGAACGGAGTCCGGCGCAGGATGCCATACCCAGCGCGTATGGTTCTGGTGAGGGCGGGCTAAGGGCGGGCGACCGCGCGCCGTCGGCGCCGGTGCGATGTGCAGCGCTGCTCGAGGTGCAGAAGCTCTTCGACGTCTTCAGCTGCGCGCGGCATACGATACTCATCTTCGCCGACGAGGAGCAGGCGGTGCAGAGTGTCGTCGAGACGACGAATGCTCTCCCGGCAGGCGTGGCGGAAACATTTGTGATTGCTTCTCAAGGAAGCAGCCTGGCATTGCCCGACGTCAAGGTGCTGGAGGACTTGGGCGGGCATGCGCACTCGGCGTACGAGGTCTCGCAGAAGCCGATCATCGTTATTGTTCGTCCGGACGGTGCCATTGGGGCGATAGTACTCGAAGCCGCTGGTGTTGGTAGATACTTCGGGAGGATCCTGGCCTGAGTTATATTCGCTATATATCATTTGACTCATTAGTAGGGATATTAGGGTACTCAATGGACAATTAGCGTCATCTCAAGCATCTTCTGCGCTCGTCTCGGAGAACGAGGAGAGTTCTCGACTTCATTTTCTCACCACATCTGCCTCAAGCTCAGTCAAGGCTCTATGGGGCGACCTGGGGGCTTCGGGCGCTCATCGCTAGGGATGAAAGAACTGAGCTTGTCATTCAACTGCATAGTGCGAAGGACGTCTCAGAAGCGAACAGAGTTTCGAAGTTCAACATGTCATGTGATTTGACGACTTTAGGCGCCCATTGCTTGAAAGACCCGAGCTTGCAGGCGTCTATCGATGCAGCTTTCTGTACCCCAAAACCCGAAAGCATCCTTTACACATAGTACAGCGCGTTTCTACAACTAAGAAAGGCATAGGATACATAGAAATTACAATAATGAGCGTCTGGATGGAGGTCATAGATCTTCATAAGAATCGTCGTCGTCGCCCTCCGAGTTCATATCGGACAGATCGTCTTCATATCTCTCGATGATAACCCGTATCCCGAGAGATCGAAAGACGTGGAGCTCCTCAGCTGCCAGTGAGAGGCAGTCCCGCAACGTAAGTGCCTGGACGAAGTTTGGCACTGGCGTGCCCTCTGCAGCTGCGACACGGCGCTTGTGCAGAACGGGGATGAGTGAAGAAGCATCCATGTGTCGACATTCAATGCGACGCAGCTTTGGGCACGGGCGAATCGCCTTGCTCCGCGTAGGGAGCTCAGTAGGCGCCAGAGCCGAAAATATGTCTGGCTGCATTTTGACGAGCCGCAGCTCCTCGAGCGCCAACAGGCCGGAAAACAACCGCGCAAAGGCCGCTTCACTGGCACGCACGGTCACGAGCTCGAGGACCGTGATTCGCGCGAGGTTGAGGGCTGCGCCCGGTGGCCGGGACGTGGCCCTTGGCGAACGCTGGGCGAGGGAAGCGATGAGAGGCGTGGAATCGCCCCGCGCGTCTCCCGGGCCGTGTAAGTAGTCCGCATCCTCGATTGTCAGGTGCTGCAGCTGGGGCATGGAGATGAGGCTGAGCAGCTTTCTCGCACTTTCGGCGTCGAGGTACCCGAGGGAGAAGGCTGTGAGCGAGGGAAAGACCAGCGTGTCCATGGTCGGCGCCGCACGACATGTATGGATCTCATCCAGGTCCGGCCCACACCCAACGAGCGCAAGCGACTGGAGGTGCGGTGATGCGCGTGCAACGTCGACGAAGCGCTCCCACGATGGCATCACGAACTCGGTTTGGAACCGGAGGTCGAGGTGCGCGAGACCTTGGAGGGCGGGAGATGCCCAGTCAACGTGCGCGCCGTGAAGGACAACTTCCTTGAGGGCGGGGAGCGGACCCGAGAAGAGCGGAAGGGAGTCGAGCTCATCCGGCTCTGGGTCCATGCCGAGCGCGGCGAAGAGGGGGTTCGGTCGCATGAGCGCTATGCGTGCTAGCTGTCGAGGACGAATATCTTTCGTCCTCTCTAGGAACGCGCGCATAACGGACAGCGTGTCGCATATGACGTCCAGGTTGCCCCAGCGCTGCGCGTGCGGGACGATGAGCTCAAGGCAGTCGAGCATCGCCTGCGGCTCGCCGGGCGGGACGTCGTTGTCGCCGTCGTAGTCCGGGTTTCGAACGTCGAGATTGATATCCAAGGGGACGGATCCCGAGCGTGCGAGGCTAAGAGCGACGAGAGCGCGCTTGCCGGTGGTGAACGGGAGACCGATCGTGATGTTCCTCCACAGCTGCGGTGCTGAGCAGGCGATCTGGCGCCACCTGCGACAGACTTGACTGACCGCCAATGCGACCCACATCGCTTCAAGGCGACGGTCCCATAGCGCAATTGCGTCCGGAAGGAGGGCAGCATTGAAGATCATGGATAGTATCTCGGTGGGAGCGCGATCCACCGCGCGGCGGTGTGTGGAGGCCGACGATTTCGTGTTGGGTGAAATAATGGTTGAAGGCATAGTGGTGAAGTAAGAAGAGGGGCGGGACGTGACGGGTCGTGTGTGGCGTGAAAGGGCGCGTTGGCGCCTAGTTGGCGCAGCCTAGGGCGGCTGACACGATCATGAGTGAGCGTCAGAGCGACAGACACGGAGAACATACGCGGCTATTGCGCCACGCTAGGACGCTAAAGGTGGTAGTGGGTGAAGGTCGAAAGCGAGAGCTTGATCTACTTAGGTCCCTGTCCTTTTATACGGACGTTGCCTCACGCTATACCGGGACCCCCCTGCCGCGCCCTTGCGGCGGCTATCGTCACGATGATCACCCCCATATTTCCGCAAGGACGTCCGCGACAGGGACGCGCTTCCTTTGGGCCAGCGTGTCATGTCGTTTGTGGGCGTACCGCATTATGACATGCCCGTTATGGAGAAGTTGCACCCAACATTCTCCGCCTCGTGGCAGTTCTATACTTCTTAGGCGCCCGCCGAAGGGGGCTCGGTTTGTTCATGTTGCTGTATGTGGGCGGCACCGCTCCCCATTCGAAGCGGCCACGCGCAGGAGGCTGTTCAGGCCGCCATTGTTCGACCTGTTAGGCGTGTGAGCGATGTTGGTGCGTTGGGGAAATTCTACGGCACCTCGCGGAGAGCGACTGGCTCCTCGACAGAACTGTACTTCTCTATTCTTCTCCGTCTGTATTTGGATGACTCGACCACCGTAGTTGGTTGACGACGGCTCCGAAATAGGGTATGCGCGACGCCCACTCGTACACGGAGAACAATGGCGTTCTCAGGCCCGGCTCATGCGCACGCCAGACCGTGGTTCTACCGGCGGGAACTCAGAAGGGACCACCCGAGAAAGCGTGCGCGAGGCATCCAACGGGTGCCATGCGGCGGAGATGGCCAGAGATGTCTTGAGCGATTCCAGGGGTTCACCCTGATGCTGGGAAGATACGCAGTCTTCGTGTTGTACTCTGGTGAATGAGTGCACCGCCACATCAGCTAGGGAAACGCCCGTCAGATGAATGACTGACCTCCTAGCGTGGCACGCCCCATCCTCATCCGGAGAGTTGGCGTGTCACCCTTTCCGGTGGTGATGATCTATTGGGCGCCGCTTCGTCCGTTCGCCTCGGATACTGCTCGGCATCTCAAGTTCGAGTGAAAGTGATGTGCAACCATGCTGTTTTGACTCCAGCAGTATCAGACTGCATTCTCGGTAAATTCGTACGCATCATTCCTCGTGCGTTGCGCGAATACGCCGTCTACTTTCGCGGACGGGTACATGCTCGTATGCGGTCTCGAATGGGCGGCAATCCCATGCTAACGGAAGCCTGACGAAGAGTGTACACGAGGCAGTGCCTCCGGCGGAGGTAAGAGGGGGTGCTGTGGCACCGGCATTGGCTGTCGTGTGCTTCTTTGAGGATAACCCCCTCACCGTGCGATGCGCTGGAACTGGGTTGTGAGTCAGAATCGCGGCGAACTGAGTTGTGAATGGAAGCCTACCTGGTAGAGCTGTGCTCAAGAGTTCAGTGAGATAAATTCGAGCTCTTCACATGCCTTCTGCGTGTCGCAGCCGTTGGATGCCATTGGCTCTCCGTTTGAGGCCATCAGCCGCTCTTTCGTGGCCGACTGCCGGGCTCCGGCATGACTGCATATCATCGAGATTCTGCCAAGGTCGCGCCATGCTGAGGCGCATGACGATGACACTGCATGAGTGAGTCCGAGTCGCGCAAGCCCTGCAAAAGGTGGAAACGGTGCAGAGGCAAGAAGAACAAAGGCAATGATGCCATCACCTGGTGTACGGCAAACCCCGATCGGAAGCAAATTATCACGTTTCTCGCCATCACTGACGCCCACAACAGGCAGCAAGAGCTGGTTTCGGTGTGGCAGATGAACGAACCGTGCAAAATAGGGAGCCAAGAAGTGTAGCCAGCGGTATATAGTGCTTTTTTGGAGGTAAAAGCTACAGTTTGCGCTCGAGGAAGCTCTCAATAACACCCGCCGGCGTCAGAGGGTATTCCTTCAACTCAACCTTGTCATTCACGACGAAGGTATTCGGTTGGACGAAGATCTTCCGCGGCTGCATAACATGATTAGCAAGCTCTACTTTGTTCGATTTGTGAATATGGGCCATACCTGCTTCTTCTTCAAGACCAAGTCACGGATCTCGCCTGCCCAAGCATCGCTCGGTTTCGTGAGCTCAGCGTAGAACTTGCGAGCGCCGGCGCCGTCCGCAGTGCTGATCCATCCGTCAGTAAATCCCTTCGGCTTGAGATCAATCCGTACGTACCTCTTGCGAACTTGGAGTTGCACCAGCAACTCTCCCGCCACGCGCTTGCCCTCCTTCAACACCTTCTCCCTATCCACACGCACATACACATTCTCCAACGCCCCATCCGACCCGCGCACTTCCTCCAGCGTCGCCAATCCGTTCTTGAAGAGGTGCTGCGTAATGCCGAGGCGCGCCTGCATGTGCGCTTGACCGTGCTTCCCGGCCTTCGGGTCGAAGAACTCGAGCCCGCGCAGGCCGGCGCGGGCCATGAGAAGGAACGTCGCGTGCTGGATGTCGTCGATGTCCTGGTCGGAGGTAATCTGGGTGATAGGAGGGTGTGTTAATAGGGCGGGATGACGGAAGGAGCATGTTGCTGCATACATCGAAGATCTTCAGGATGTCACGGTTGCCAACGACTAAGGAGGGCGATCAGTCAGATATACAATGAACAAGCAGATGGACTGACGGTAGAGCGCCACCGTCTCCGCGCGGCATTCTTCCATGGATGATGATACCTCGCCGAGCACTGAGTCGGGTGTTTGACCGGGCTTGTACCAGGAGTCACTGCGCCGCAATAATCAGTAACTTGAGCGCCGCTGTATCCTCCATCACGAGCGCCACTGCACTCAGAGTCTCGGGCGCCGCCAATGAGCTGGACAACGTCTCAACTCACATCTTCTTGCCCGTCAGCGGGTTGATGATCTGTCGAGGTGAGTATCAGCATTCAGTAGCGGCAACGCGGTGATGGGTTCAACAACAATATCAACTGCAGTCGTTCAATACCAGTCTATGGTGCAAACGACAGCGCCGAAAGCAGGGCTCCGCGCCCAGTGATAGCGCGACAGTGATCTCATCTCACCTTTTCCGGATCAAAGTTCAGCTTGCCGTCCGCCTCCTCCTGGAAGAGCTTCCCAGAGCCGTGTCCAAGGAGCTCGTGGTTCGCGACTTGCACCTCGAAGGCTTTGCTGTCCCACGCATTGTACAGCTCGAGGTCATCAGGGTGAATGAAGGTGACTTCCTCATCTGCGGAGGCGTACGTCAGTCAACAAGTCTTGAGTCACTGTACACTCCGATGCTCACTCGGCGACTTGGCAGCTAGGATGTTCTGTGGAGTTGAGCATAAGAGTCCTGCTGTCAGTGAGAGCGAAGAGCGCACCGCGAGTGACACGTTCTTGAAGCCAGTGTTCTCCCGGACTTCATAATAGTTCTACTGCCATTCAGCAAAGCCGCATCTTCTTCCCCTATGACGACCACGTACCGGGATCTGTATTTTGCGTCAGTCACGTATGCAGGATCCACAACCACTCCAACTCACATTGATGCCTGCAGGAATGCCGCCGGTCGCAAAGGACACGACCTCGAGCGCGGTGAAGTCCGGCTTGCGAAACACGTCGACCTCGAAGTCCTTGCCCCACGGCAGATCCTGGATCAGCGTGGGCGCCGAGTTGACGAGCTTCTCGAACTTGGCGCTGAGCTGCTTGTTCACGATCGCAGTGAAGCCCTCCCACTCCGCGCGCGCGCCGTAGGGGTCGACGTAGGTCTCGATGAACTGCAGAAACAGGTACCTTTCAGTCACGCTCATGGCGCCTCGCACCATGTCATACGCACCCCGATATACGTCTCCACCACCGGTCCCACGTCCTTCACCCACTCCGTAGACGCGTCTTTGTGCGCCTGGATGGACCCGGTCTCGAAGGACTTGATGTACCCGTCGATCATCCGCTCCTGCGTCGCGTTCGCCGCGTACTTCTTCGCCTCCGCGAGCGCGGCGTTGACTTTCGTCAGCGCGCTGGAGAAGTCGCCGTACTGCACGGTGACTTTTGCGGGCGTGTCGTTCACGGTCGCGTCGTAAGTGTTGCTGGCGAGGTCGGATTTCGCGGACGCGACGAGGAGCACGAATTCGGTGGGGGAGACTTTGCGGATACTAAGGAGGGGTCAGCATACTGTTGGACGGACCTGCCAATGCGGCCCACCGAGTGTTCAAAACATCCACGCCGTTCTTCTCGGCGGCCTGCTGGACGGCAGCAACCTCCTCGTCCGTGATAGCGAGTTCAGACGGGTAGTAGTTGCTGATGTTGCCATCCTTCGGCTTGCCGATGTAGAGGGACTCCTCTGGCGAGAGAGCGTAGATGTGATCCTTCAGCTTATTCCAGAGCGGCAAAGCCTTGGATGAGTTGGCGGACTTCGAGATGATTGCCTCGAATTTGTCCGCAGGGACGCGCGGGACGATCTTGGTGAAGCCAAAGGAGCGATAGTTGACGAGGTTGCTGATGACCTAAATACCGCAAGTTATGTGAGGCTTGTCCCTTTGAGCATAAAATTGAAGGATGTAAACCTGGATGGTGTATTGAATTGCCTGTTCCCAGTCGTCTGCTGTGACCCCAGCAGCTTGGCGAAGCTGGTCGAAGCCAGCCAAGTTCCCGGATGCGTCGCTCAAAGTCAACAAAAGCAGGTCATATAGGTCCACTGCCTGTGGCGTCCATTGCCCTACATATTCCTATCAGTGCTGCACCCACAAAGCCAACCCGGCCACACCCGACCTTGAATGATACGAGCGCCAGCCCAAGCCGCCTCGGCCATAAAATGCGCATACTTCTTTTCCTTGTCACTAGAGAACCGCACAGATCAGCGTTGTTGATCCAAGATCTACTTGCCTGTTCCGGTCACCTCAGCTGCTTGAACGCGTCGCCGATCTGCATGCCGCAGAGCGGGACGGTCTTGTCGGCGAGAAAACGCTCTTGGGCGAGGGTGTGCGCCATTCTGAGGCGGTAGATGGGTTTGAGAGGGAAAGAAGCGCGATGAGTTCTGAGATAGGAGCGTCCCGCGCGCCCAAGCGCCGCCCTCAACATGGACGCCGAGGATGGCGAGACGCGCGTGATCGGCCGGCATAAGTCGAGGCTGCATGTGACTCAGGGTTCGACTCGAGGCGTGTACCCTGCGAGAAAAACATCTGTCTTCGCTCTACATAGGCTGTACACCTTGAGTCGTCCGAAGAGCGCAGGGCTGTCTACTGTGAGGGAAAAGAGAAAATTACAGCGCCTCAAATGGCAAAGTCATCTAGAAGTTCAACATGTCACATCACGCGGCAAATGCCGATTCCCCGGCGAGCCGCCTCCGCAAGTGACGATGGTCTAAGCGCCGTGGGGGATCACTATCTTCGTCTCGACCACGACCTGCATTGCTCAATGTTCCTGACCTCCCTCTCCCGATGCCGAGTTGCCTCTATCAAAAGAGTAGCGCGCTATAGCACAGTCGCTTCTGAACATCCTTATGTATTCCACATCGGTGCGTACTGCTCACCACAACTTGTCGAACTTCGCTGACCGACGCGAATGTGTAGGCGCTGCATGGAATGCAAAGCCTAGCGATCCCTCGCATAAGCGTCCCCCACCACAAACAGTCCCATTTGCTCCAGATAGCCCGATAGGTGCGTCGGCGTACTTGACTACCGCCAAGTCGCGTCTGAAGTTGTATCGCAGGGAAATGGCGCGACGAGACCCTCAAATGGCCACGATTTGTGCGAACAACGCGGGACGCTGGCGAGGACTTCTTCTGTGTGCAGGCGGTGCGTGCTCTATTTTTTTGCTACCCGACCTCTTTGACTGATGTCCTGCAGATGAAATGCGACTCGGTAGGTACGCTATCTCAGTAATTGCACGAATACGAACTAGCCTGACGGTCCCTCTGAGGGAGTGGCTCTCGGAGTAGCGGGTGCGTCGGCATACTTCCCATCAACCCGCACACGATGCTCATGATCGACAGACGGCGTCGGCGGCTGGGCAGACAGCGGCGTTGACCCCGCGCTGTTCGCGCAGGCCATGATGTACCACACCGCGCGATATTCGCGAGCAGCATGGGCGGGCGAGCCCGAGATTGACCCCACATTGGACTATGAGGGTACGCCTGGCGTGTTTTACCGGACCGTCATCCTTAAACCTCACGTTAGAGCGAGAAGAGGTCGAGGGATGGGAGCTCACCCCATATGAGTGCATGGACCTTGCGTATGGGGGCGTCTTGCGTGAGCGAGGCGTCCTTGGTGGCGCAAGTACTGCCTGCCTCATTACGCTCAATGCTGCCTCGGGACTTTTGCGATCAGCGAAGTGCGTCCCTACTGCTGTACCGGAATATGCCTCAACTGACCTTTATAAAGTCTCGGCGACAGCGGGTACGCGGTAGTGCGCTCGAAGAACGTGATCTATCACCAAGAGCCACAAACGCACTACTTCAACTGCCCTTTGTACGCCGCCTCTCCCGTCCTAGCAATTCTGTCACTGACATCGCATGCGCAGGCAACTTACGAAGGTGCCAGTTGGCGACCGACATTTCTCTGGCGTCTGCGTCGACAGCCCGCGACACGCTGCCACCCACTCCATGAAGCTGCGCGATGGCGACCTCGTCGTGCTTTACGTGCGTACTCCGCCTGCCTCTATATGCTAATGCTGAGCAATGTTCTGCACTATCTAGACGGACGGCTTCGGCGACAACATCTTCCTCCGCGAAATGACCAGCATCCTCTCGCTGAGCCAGAAGCACGACCTGCCGGACGAGCTGATGCCCCAGTTCATGGCGGATCGACTCGTGGACCGGGCGCATCAGACGATGTACTCGGGGCGGGTGACGCCTTTCCAGAGTGAGTGCCATCTTCCCTTTTCCTTTTTCTTTCTTTCGCTTTCCTTGCCAGCGAAGAGTCCCGAGCGATTGCATTACTGACATCTCTTCGCAGAGGAGGCCGCGCGGTATGGGCAGAATTTACCCGGAGGGAAGATTGATGAGTACGTGCCTCCTCCATTGGCGTTTTCGCTTTCGACTGACCTGTCTTCAGCGTCACCGTCGTCGTTGCCCTCGTTCGGGAGACATCATGAGCTGTCGTAGCGCGAGTGTTATAGCTAGGTTGACAGCTCGTTAGGTATGGCTAGAGCCTCTCGGGGGTCAGTCTTAGCTGGAGTGTCGGGAGACACGCTCGCCGAGTTGGTCGGACTACATCTAAGTTATAGACGCACATATTGCTATTCGTACATACATTCCCTCGCCGTAGAGGCGCAAAATATTTACCACGCCGTATGCGCGAGTGATATCAGTGATATGACTTGAGCCTATGTGTCAGGGAAAAAATCCATGGTGTATGGAATAAATTGGAAACGTCAAGCTAAGAAAGCGCCAGAGCGTTGGTGAGAGACTGCAACACCTTCGACTTCGAACGCTCGTTCATCTGGCCCTTCTTTCGATGGCCCTTCTTTCGAATTCCATCGGAGACTGACATTCCAAGAGCTTCTCGCGCACAAGTTCCAAAAAATCACGAAGTGCATCCAGTAATAAATAGGATTAAATACTGGACGGGCATTCATCGTTTACTTCCACTTCCCAACACCCTGTTCCCATCGCCTACTTGGAGCAGATCTTGCGGCCGTAGCCGTCGAGGATGCAGTCTGTGGAACGCCGTGAGCTACAGGACTTGATCGAGTGTCTGGAATATAGGATACTCACGTCCAGAGACAACGACTTCGTCGAAGGCGACGGACTCCTTCCACTTGCACGAGTCGCCGACGTTGTAGTCGCAGTTGTTGGGGCAGCCGCAGGCCATGTCTGGGTAAGTGGTGAGCACAATGCCATCGACGCCGAAGATGGTAGAGAGGAAGAAGGAAACTGAGAACATACAAGGGTCAGCAGCGATGGCGGCAACCTGGGTGGCACCGAAGAGGAGAGCGACGGTGGCGAAGAGGGAGGCGACGGAGAACTGCATTATGGCTGATGGGTAACCGGGGTGGTCGAGAGAGTGGTCGTCGAACGAGGGCGCTGAAGAGTGAAAGGAGCGAGTGAAGGTGAGACTGGCTGATGAGGATGGGGATTTCTTGACTGGCCTTATATATGGGGGGCTGAGGCGACCCTTGACCTATTCGGAGAGGCGCCGGTCTGTGAGAGCGCACGACAGACCGCGCAGCATGTCATTGAGGCCGCGGGATCATGGTGATCACCGCAGAGAGTCAAGGTTGGCCGCAAGTGTGATACAGGTGGTTCAGTCGCTTGAAGAACTGCCGAACTTGGAAGGTTGTCGCATCGAGGTTTCAGGCAGCCGGGCGATGATGGACAGCGTTCTTGAAGGCGCTAGGATCCTTCAGCCCGGATTCTCTGCAGTTGAAAGCATCGTAGACACCGTAATTTTCAGTTCGATTGTGCGCCGAAGTTGTCAGAAGCGACTAAAGCAACCATATCTCAAGCATAGCGACATGGCAAACAAGAAGTTGCAAACAGCCGTGACCGGACGTGGCATCAAAACGAACTGCCCAGTCTCCCACGCCCCACCGCTCTTTCCGTCCCACGATGATCTGCGTTGCGGACACAAACACCAAGTCCGTGTGGGCATGCTACGGACATCGGGCCTTTGTGGGCGTGCTTTTGCTTCCGACCGTCTGCCTTGCCTGCCGCCCATCCATCGAACATGTCCGAGACTACGCTTTCGGCCTGCTCCTTGTCAACCTGCGCGGGCAACTCTGATGGATCGACGGTTGGCCCCTCCTCCTTATGCTCGTCGAGTCCGGAGGAGGCTCTCCGGACGTTTATCTGGAAGAAAAGAGTATCCTTTCCGGCTTGTCCAAGTTGCGGCCGTCTCCTTCACTCTGGCTGTATTCGACTGGACGAACAGCCGAAGTCCTTCACGGTTTGGTGAAAGTCGTATACGGGCCTGAGGCGCCACTGCTCTACATGTTTGTCCCTTGTAACCTCTGCATATACGCTGGCATGAATACCACGAAGCACTCTACGACTGTAGACTCTCCCATGGACGAGCGCAACCGCGTACACGCCCTTCATCGGGACTACCCACCGGACCCCGACTCCGAAGCAGGCGCGTATCATGTTCAGGTTGGCCGACGCCAACCTCAAGCGAAACCTGTCTTGTTCGCATATGGACGTCGCCTCGTCGCCCAAGGTCATGGTGCGCGCAGCAGTTGCCCGCAAAGAGTCCTGAGAGGGAATTTGCGGCCACAACGACGCCTCAGCCTCGCCACACAAGCGTCCAAGTCTGATTACACACAGAGGCGCCCCATCCTCTTCCGAAGAGGTATAAGAGCCACCCATCTTTGCCCTCCATCCTCATCAGCCAACCTCACCTTCATCCGTTCTTTCCACCCTCCAACGACCACCCTTCGTTTTTACGCCTGCTTCGGCCATCGTCGCTCAGTCTCACTACTTGCACTCTACCGCACAAACACACACCCGCCGGCATAATGCAGTTCTCCGTCGCATCCCTCTTCGCCACCGTCGCCCTCCTCTTCGGTGCCACTCAGGTCGCCGCTATCGCTGCTGACCCTTGTGTGTCTCTCCCAATGATAGGGTATTAGGTCAGATGTGCTCACTCCCACCCAGACATGGCCTGCGGCTGCCCCAACAACTGCGACTACAACGTCGGCGACTCGTGCAAGTGGAAGGAGTCCGTCGCCTTCGACGAGGTCGTCGTCTCTGGTCGTGAGTATCTTTACGGTTCTTTGACTTGGCACCATAGCTAACGACGCTTTGCAGACTGCATCCTCGACGGCTATGGCCGCAAGATCTGCTCCAAGTAGGCGACGGAACTTACTCTAAGTAGGCGATGAAACCAGGGCCTCGCTCATTCGTTTGGTGGAATCAACGATGAACGCCATGATCACCTCATGTCACTATTTATCTATTTAACAATGGATGCGCGCTGCATTCGCCGCGTTCATGACCCCGAAAGTCTGCTCCCTTCTGCTTCATCAAGACATCGTCGACCGCCTTGAACTCACGATCACTGCGACTCCACTCCGCACCGACGCTGACTGGGACTGAGTGAGAGCAAGGTCTGAATGTAGGCAAACATTGCGCTTTGTGCGTTCGTGAATAGGACTGTGTATGGTGCCGGAACCGTTGGTGTCATCTAGTTACTCGTCTTCTCTTCTTCCTCCGTGATTCCTCGATAGCCCAGTCCACCCTTTAAGCAACCATCTTCGACGGACTATATTAGAACACAATGAGTTTATACGCCAACGGCAGTCAAGAAAATCAACAACATACTCTCTGTTCTCCTTCCCCTGCGTACTCCACCGCTTCTTCTGACCCTGGCCCTTGCGTTCAACGTTCATGATGTTCTTCTACTCGTGATGAGTATAGTGCGGATCGACGATATCAACCACTTACCATGACGGAGTGTGGCTTGAAGACGGCGTCCGACAACATGGGCGAGTCCCGGTAGACCGACACGCTATGCCTCTGCGTCGTCGGAGACGGCGTAGCGACGGCCATGGTCGTGTTGCAGGATGACGGCGTGCCGTGATCGAACATAGGACTACCGAAGGACGCGTCGGCATAGTCAGGCTGCATCTGCGTGCTCAGTCTCTGGGGATAAGTCAATAAAAGTCGGGAAGAGCATCAACATGGCGTACCCGGAGCACCAGTTGCCTCAATCGTCGGTCAGGATGGTTCTCAGCAGCGGGCGGAGTAGACTGCGGAGCAGCGCGAGCGGGTGAGGAGAACCTGAGTTCGTGAACCTCTTCCGCCATGAGACGTTCGCGTACGCGAAGCTCCTCATTCTCCTTCTTGGCCCGATCCGCGCGAGCTTCCATTTCGAGCCTGAGATTGCGCTCAACGGCAAGCGCGGTCGAGGACGCGTCTACGCAAGTCGTCATATTCCTCTGCAGGGTCGACACCTGCTGCTCTGCCTCGGCCAGAGCAACACGCGTCGCAGCGAGTTGGTTGAGAGTCGCGACATGCTGAGCTTCCAGCAGATTGTGACGCTGGAGAGTGATAGCCACGGCGTCGCGCAAGTGTAGCGTGTTCTGTATCGAGAGCGCATAGAGAGAACCGTCCGAGTGGCGATTCTTGTCCGAAGTATGCTGAAGCTGAACGGCGAGACGTTGGCGATCGGCCCTTTCGGCGGCGAGCTCTCGCTCTAGCGCGACGCACTTGTCGTTCTGGAGAGCAAGATCGTCGGCGAGCATGTTATTCTGCGCACGTAGCTGCTTCATCGATTCCAAAAGGTCGTCACGGAGCTGACGTTCATATGTCAAGTTGGAGACGGTCGCGCTAGACGGGAACTCCAATCCAGAGTCGGTCGCCTCGCGGTCGGCACGTTCAGTCTCGAGGGCGTTGCGCGTAGCTTCAAGTTCGAAGGTGATACCGTTGTAGGAGGTCACGAGTTCGTCGATGTCTTGCTCGAGATTGCGGATGATCTGGATTGCAGCATCGGGTGCGATATCGTCCGAGACAGGCAGAGGCTCGCGTAGAGAGAGGAGGGGAGAATCATCGAGGGCGTCCTGTGCAGACATGAAGGGACCTTGCTTGATCTTGACGGGCGGCGGGCAGGCAAGGTCGTCAGAGACAAGGAAAGGCGACTGTATGCGTCAGAAAAAGCGGAAGTCGCAGCAGTTGAGCTCACAGAAAGGGCGAGTGGGCCAGAAGACGACGGCTGGGCAGACATGGCGGGCTAGAAGAATGGGCGATAGAATGAGCGGGGGCTAGAGATCGTCGTGGTACGAGGTCAAGAGGCGAACCGCCCACGCCTGACATCACACGGGAATATATGCTTCGCTGAGGAGGCCCCTGTCAGTCCAATAGCATTTGGCTAAAAAGGTACAACCATACACTAACAAGTACAAATGTCGTCGCTAACGGACAACTACTGGGGCCCGTTCAGCGTCTCCAATAGTCTCTCCATGAAGTCTGTTTCTGCCGGGTCTTGACTTGGGGGCTGGGAAGTGCTCGAGGAGGTTGTGGGTGCGCCAATGGCGGCACGCGCGACAAGCTGCGATGTCACCCACGCAACATAGCTGTCCCGATCCGCTTCCCATGGGCGATGCACAGGGGGCGCGGCCAGCGCAGGCGCAGGTTCGGTCTCCGGCAGCTCTGCAATGGCCTGTTGCAGCTCTACAACCTTCTCTGGGACGCGCTTGAGATCCTTCAGGTCGTCGCGATTGACGATCGAGACGCGCTGGAGGTCCTTCTCCGCCTCTCGCCTTTCAGCTGTTGTTATACGGATGGCGCGCTGGGCCAGTCGGCTGATCTTCTTCTCCTGCATAAAGGTGAGAACGGGCGGGTCGACACAGAATGACAACACACGTTGGCTAACTGCTCTCGAAGCGCGTTGATCTCGTCTAGCAACTCCTGCTCCTGCTCCGGCGTCGTCGTCAGATCGAGTCCCTCTTGGTGGGGGAGAACGTATGGAAGACCAGGAGGGACAGCGAAGATGTTGCGTAGACACCATGCCTCGAAAGAGTCGAAGGCAATATCCGTGTAGTGTTCCAGCAGCGTCTGGCACTGATGCAAGCCATGTTCGACTTCTTGCATGCGGTCCTCCAGCATCTCAGGATCGTCCCCCGCTTTCTCAGCCCATTCCGTCTTCAGAAACTGCTCGATACCGAGGAGACTTTGTCCGATACAGTCGTTGCCGACGTTGGTAATATCGTCGAGGATGAGTTGTGGCACAAAGCCAAGAGCCTCAGCGAGGAGCAGCGGCGAGACTTGGGGACGTCCGTTAGGCGTTGGCGCGTTCGCCATAACTGAAGCCGTTGCGTAGACGTAAAGCGGAGCAGGACAGATGATGGCTCAAGCTGGAAGGAACGACATTGACATCGGTCTGTGGGCCGCGGCGCGTCGCGTAACAGCACGTGAATCGTGTCACAGACTTCGCCTACCATCGAGTTGAACAGGATGCCACAATTTCACTGCATCCGAATCCTTTCAAGTGATAAAAAGTGAACGCTCCATAGATTAGAAGGGCCCGTGCTGGTACACACGAACCCATGGCCAAAGATACACTTGTCGTAGTATAATATCTTGCGAATACCGACCTCCACACCAGACAATACCAAGCTCAACGTCCACCAATCTTCGACTTCCACTCCCTTGCGCCCTCGAAGCCGTTGATGCCCATTTGGTCTGAGATGAATTTGGTGACAACTCAATCGAGGAGTGAAACCGCGATGCTTACAGTCAAGGAACGTCTTCTGAATCTCCTCACGCGAGGTCATGACGAACGGGCCGTACTGGACGACGGGCTGGTCGAGGGGTTCGCCGGCGACCTGGCGCGCGACAATCAGCACCTGAAAGAGACCGGGGAAGAGACGAATTACGCACAATGACGAACTCCGTGCCATCCTCGGCGCTCGTGATGGAGACGCCGGTCTCGCCGTCCTTCCCGCTGTCGAGCACGAGAGTGTGGTACTTCTCGCTGGGTGTTGTATCGTCGCCGACGGTCACAGCGCCCTTGAACACTGTTTGGAATCAGCATACTTGCTCTCGCAGGGCGCTCGACAGCACTTACGATAGATGAACGCCGTCCAGCCGGCAGCTTTGGTGACGATTAGCTCTGTATGGAGCTTACAAGTAGACGCATCACTCACGGATGTCCTGGAAGATCGACGAGCCCTTCTTGTTCATGATAACATGGAAGTACCAGCAGCCGCCGTAGGGCTTCACAGGTGATTCGACGCCGTAGCTCTTCCCGCTGATGACCTTGATCTGCGTTGGCCCGTCCTTGCCTTCGGGGTACGCTGTGGGGATCCTGGGGACGCCGCGTCGGGTGAACAGCCGAAAAAGGGAGTGAGGAAAGGCGCACGATTCGGGGTCTAGCTCTTGATAGTTGGGTTCCTGAAAGAGGGTGAGAGGGCAAGAAGAGGGGCAAGAAGGGTGGTAAGGCGCACCATCATCTTGTACTGCTTGGGCAGGTCGATCCAGAGTTGGAGGCCGTCGGGTTCGGGCTCGCCCTCTGCAACGCAGGTTAGAGTTCACGCCAAAGAGACTCCAGATAGAAGGACGCACTCTTGAGCACTGGCATCTCCGCGTGCATGATTCCACGACCGGCGGTCATCCACTGGACACCTCCTTGCCTCAACGTTCCTGCATGTCCTGCCGAGTCTTCGTGATTGCTAGTCCCCTGGAGCATGTAGGTGACCGTGGCCTGCCCGCGATGGGGGTGGTCGGGGAACTGGTAGTAGAGTATATGAGCTGAGTCGATCGTAGCTAAACTGGTAAGACGTACCCCTCCTTTGGAGATGTGGAAGTGGTCAAGCATGAGGAAGGGGGAGAGGTTGCGGAGGCTCATCGAGCCGATGCTGCGACGGACGAGCGCGCCTTCGCCCTGGGGCCGCAAGTCAGTATATAACTTTGTGTATAGAGCAAGTACACACCTCAGGCGTCTCCACCGCGTACACCTTCTTCACCACCGATCTTGACTTCTGCGCAGCGGCCATGTTTCTCGATAGACTCGTACTGAAGAATGACTTGTTCGATACAAGCGGGGTCTGGTATGCGAGCAGGAGTACGAGGAGCGAGAGACCGACGATCAGTGCCTTATATACGGCGGTGGGCATCGAGGCTGACGGACCTGCTTATGCGGGATGAGAAGTGGGCTGAGACTGCGAGTGAGAGTACGGAGCATAGATGGGAGGGGTCATTCGACGCTGCCTAAGCATTCTACCCCTCTGGCTCAGCCAGTCCATGATCGTTGCCATAAAGAGAAGAATAAGGACACGCCTGCCGCGCTGATGTCATCGCGATGACTTCTGAAGATCTCGCGTGGGAGTGTTCGACTTGGTGGCGACCAATCACAGCGAAGCCCTTATAGCCCAGCGCAGAGGATGGGCAGAGCTTGGGCAGATGGTGGTCTACTTACAGGCGAATGGTGGTGGAAGTACAGCTTCAGAGTTAGCCTAAATCCCCGCCACCATGTGTCAGGCTAATCCACAGCAGCTCGGCGAACGCCCCAACGTGAACTTGAATTTCGACGAACGATCCAGAATAAACTATACGCTCCTCCGCCCAAATCATAGCTTGTGTCGTAGTTCCTTCTTGGCAATCATCTCAAACCGCGCAGTGGGTGTCCCACTCGCAAATCGCTCTGCTTGAGCTAACACTCGACATCAGTCACAAGGCTCGCCACAAAACACTCCTACTCACCATAAGCCTCCCGCATGTTCGCTGCATCAAAGTTGTTCTTCTCGTTCTGGGCGTCCTTGAGCAAGCGCTTGACCCCAAGGAGTGCGGTGCGGTCCAGGCCGTCGAGCTCGAACTCGATCCTCTTGCGGACAGAAGCGTGGAATTCTTCGGTGCTTTGAGGGGGGAAGATCTCGCTGAAGAAGGTCAGTAAAGCGATAGACGGGGGTAAGGACGGCTCACTTGTAGAACCCGCACGTAAGCAGCTCGTCAGCGCCCTTCTTCCTGCCCCAGAGGAGCACCTCATTCGCCTTCGCGACGCCCACTGCAAAGAGTGAATGTCATGGTCGAATTTTTGGAGCGAACGACCTACTCCTGTTGGCAAACGTAATGCTCGAGCCAGCTTCGGCGATGATTCCTGATGGAGGGCGTCAGAATGCAAAAGCATATGCAGGATAAATCCACTCACCGAGGAAAGTGAATGGCACAGACAGCCACGCATTTGGAAGCGCGTAGATGAAGTCGAAGTGACCAAGCATGGCTGCCGCGATGCCTAATGCATGCGTTGAAGCCTCCTCGCTACATAATACATAGTCTAAGACCAACCCATAACCGGTCCGTTGACAGCCGCAACGAGTATCTTGCTATGCTTGTAGAGCTGGTACGAAAGCGGCACGTCAGCCACCCGAGATTTCATAGATGTCCTCCGACGTACGGCCTGCGAGCAGTCGAGCGTCGTGGCCGCTACTCCCTTCAGCAGATTCTGGCGAACGCTGTTTGGGGTGTCCGCGTAGACAGAGGCGTCCCATGGCCGCTCGCGTTTGAAGTTCGTCCCACTGAGGAGAATGGTGTTAGATGAGTACTCACGAGAGAACACCGTATGGATTGGCCTACGTGCAGAAGTAGTTGCCCGTAGCTGAGGACAAGAAGCAGGTCAAAGACAGCAACAAACCGCGAAAAGGGCATGCTAACCCTGCCACACCGTCACCAGCACATCCTCGCGCGCGTCGATCTCGCGCAAGCTGGTGGCGAAGAGATCGTAGTCTTTACGTGATTAGAGGTGTGAGCACTTCGGTTCTCCTACGAGGATGAAAAATGTCGCGATGCTTACCTTCAGGCTGAAGCGCATTGAGTGAGGCAGGCCGGTTCAGCGTGATGGTCGCGATAGGGCCGTGCACCTCGACACGAACGCCTTCAGGAGCAGAGGACATCGTACAGAACGAGCGTTGTCGCGAACAAGTTCGACTGGATCTGAAGGCTGCGTTGTGGGCGTGTCGTTCCGTCCTGCCGCCCAGAAAACGAGAGTTGGCAACAAAAGCAGGAGGCCGGATGCGCGGGTAGGAGTGGGATGCAGCAAAGAGGTTCAGCACCTATATATGCTCTCTGGTGACTGCACTAGCCAACGTAGAAGTGAGGAATTCACCCAGGGGACCATACCGGCTATGTCGGGTTCGAATTCGGCGCGATACAGCCGTTTGCAGAATAGAATGCAGTCCCGTGTCGCGAGATTTCGAGCACGCGGCCGTTGTAGACCAATCAAACGCATCTCTCGCGGGCCAGCGACGCTCTGGGCCTGCACGTATGGGTCCCTGGCGACGCGACGGGACCCACGTGCTCGAAATCTCGCGGCACGGGACTGCATTCTATTCTGCAAACGGCTGTATGGTGGGCGTGGATGGGAATGTGGCGGTCCGGGAAGGGGCGCGTGATGTCCATGCACACAGTCACGGGATAGGATGTTCGGCTTCGAGCTCAGATGCCTAGGGTTCTGAGTGGCCGCTCTTCCGTTTCGAGTGGAAGCATGATGACGGTACTACTCTGGAGAAAAGGGAAATTTTCTCGAGAAGGATGCCGGTACAAGCTGCACAGAGGCACAGAGTCTAAGGATACGTGCTTGCCAGTGTGTAGCGCCGACCAATCGAGGTCAGTCGACACCGAGTCGTACGGACCCATGTTACCAGAACTCCAACTTACAACAAAACCTATCTCGCTTTCAGGCATTCAGCAACGCTTCATCTATGCTGCTATCATGTTCGAAAATGCATCCGTTTCTTCCTCCCCGCGTAGTATGCAGGTTCCCGATGAAAACTCGCGCGCTGCGAGGCGGGCTGACAGCTGTCGCATTAAAATCTATAGGTTGAACGTAGGTTCACATATACACATATTTGGCTGGCTTATACATATGTACATAAGTGGCATAGGAGTAGGCACGGTCGTGGCGCCACGTTCCGAAGAAAGGCTGCCTTCAGACCGTGCTCCATACACCATGCGTAGAATGACTTATCTTACTGCATCAAGCAGTGCCATGTTCGGATTTCGCTTTCTCCATCGTCGCCATGACACGGTCCGAGCACCGCCCGACAGCACCAAAATGCATGACGATATCTCGACCACCGACAGCGATGACGGTCGTCAGCCAGTCATTCAGGCAGTCGGGGTACTTGATGTCAAGTTTCAAGTCCTTCCACGTCACTCGTTTACGATTGTTGTATCCGGTGTAGTCGACGGCGGCGAGGCGGGCGGAGCCCTTTTGGTCCAAGGTTCTTCGGGCGTCCTCCTGGGAGATATGCCGGATGAAATACCAGTCGGAGTGGCGGTCGAATACGTCGGTGGGCAAGGCAACTGACGGGCCGACGGGAGAGGGGTCGAATAGGCTAATGGCTGCGGGGCCCAGGACAACTAGGAGAGAGGACTTAGTATGGAGTGCATTGGAGAGGAAGGAAGGAGGGACGTACTAGGCTGACAGAACAATCTGTGTTCGTACCTATGCGCTCGTTGGCACGCTGTTGAGCAATAGAAGGCATCGCCGCAAGGGCAGCGCTTCAACTCTGTGTATTCCTGATCGCACTGAGCGGCGTCGTCAGCAGAATCCTGCGTCGAATCACGAACGAAAACGCACCTTTTTGTTGTGGCAGCAGTGCCTTTCTTCTAACGATTTTGTTACGCTAGTCAGCATGTCACTGCGTTCGCGAACGAGAGCTCCCATGACATTCCAGCTCTCGAACCCGCGAATGCCCGTGACATTCAAGTTTAGCTTGTCGCGTTCAGCGGTCTGCACGACTGCTTTGATGACCGAGGGGAATATCAACGCTGGTTTGACGAAATATTCTAACGCGTTTGCGATGTTCCCAGAGGCCGGGCCCCCTGGAAAGCGTATCAAGGTCCTGTACATGGCACGGAGGAGGGGCGACCTCATGAGCTTGACGATATCACGCTTGCCCTCAACGTTGACGCGCAGATAGTTGAAGACGGTGACACAGTGCCCAGTGAAGCGATCACGCATGTCGTAGCCGTCCATGCAGCGAAGCCGGAGGGAAGGTGTTGAAGCGTCAGGCAGGTCGATGGCGGTCATGGCCAGCGGCATCACGAAGAGCAAGGGGCGGAACAGAGGACGCACACCCTCGTGGTACGCGGACCACACGACGATTTGAATGAACATGGCGATCTCTTCGAACTTGTGCACGGACTGGGGCGCGTCGATCAGGTCCTGTAGGCGTCTTGCGAAGTGGCGACCGGTCGCGAGCCCCCTGGCGAGGACCTCTGCCTGAAAGTCGGGGCGCATATCTTCATGAGTGGAGACGATGGTACCGATCACGCTTTCGAGAGAGATAGAGAGCAGGATGTCGGGGTCGCAATTCTTGTATGTCGTTGTCGTCGAGATCCTCCACATGTCGTATATGATCTCCGCCCAGTCGCCCTGAGCTCTCATGGCGGCGCGACCCTCGGGAAAGGAGGATAACACGTACAGGAGGAGGTCGATGAACATGAGGACGCCTTCTTGCGAGCACCGGCCCAGATAGATATCCCATCCGTGGCGCTGTTTGGCGACGGTGACGAGGTCCCGATCGGCGCTGCGCGGTGTCTTCGTGTAGTCGAACAGAAAGCGCAGCCACGGCCAGACACGGGGAATCAGCTCGTTCGTGTACTTGGTGCGCACTTTCGGGTCGGTATTGTCACGGACGACGCGCATGAGGTCCGCCAACGAGCAAGCGGCGTCGATTCCCCTGAATATGCGATCCCACTCGTCGTTCGTGAAGGGGCCGTCGTGATCGGGGATCAAGGCTGGGTCGAGGTGGCGGAGGACTCTTGCGTATGTTCGCGATCTAGCAAATGCAGGGGTCAGAATGAAGTCCTCGCGAAACAGGCCAGTCTTCAGGTTGATCGCAAGGTCGAGTCCTGTGCGAGTAGCAATGGAGAAGGGGGAGAGACCGAAGAGCATGATGGAAATGGGAGGCAAAAGACGACTGGCGTGCCACCGCAGAGGACATCGCTGTTATATAGCTACACAGATATGAATCATACACTGGGCACGAGGCGGTCATGTGCATTAGAACCATGCATAAGCTGGCCAGCCACGGCACAGCGCAGGTGGTGCCCCATTTGACACACAACAACATGCAAATGGCTGTTGTCTGTCGTCATCAGCCAAGTTTCGAGGCCAGGAAGAGATGGTGGCACGGCAGAAGGCGAGTGGCCCTCCGAAGTCATGGTCGAGGACAAGTCGAACATATGGGAAACGACAAACACCAAGCCGGCCGGCAGACTCCGTGTGATCGGCGCGGCACGACAACCTCCGGTGGCGTGCCGCGCGCGTCCACCGTCGACAAAGCTGCGACCGTCTCTGTCATTCTGCAACAGTAAACGCAGGCATGCAACAGGTCTGTCCCATGTGTCCCAGCAATGTAACCTTTGCTCAATAGCTCTGGTCAGGCGGCTTAGAAGAGGTTCAGCACTCATTGCCTCCATCCGAATTATCCGCGCGTCGGCCGACGGACCCAACTTCAGTGCGTTTCCTGGCAGGAATGGCGGAAGAACTGCGCTCACTCGAGTCAAGTTTTGCAGGACTGGGGCGGTAAATTTGTCGGCCATAAAAGCAGGACAAACACGAGCAACCGCCCACGCCTTGTTCCCTTCCTTATCTCGCCGCTGCGCCCATCTTATCTCTCACCGGAGCGTCTAGTCAAACGCCGACAAACTGCGCCGATCATATGTCTCTCGGACAATGGCGGCCCTTTGTCCGCTCCCTCTCGACCTTTACGCGCAGGATGGCGACGGACGCGAGTGCAGCAAAGATTATTGACGGTACTGCCATCGCGAAGTGAGTGTCCGCGTACGATACGCGATCCCCCCTCTGAACGCGTCCAGGTCGGTGCGCGAGGATGTGGCGGGCAAGATCGCATCGATGCGCGCGCGCTTCCCCCGGTTTACGCCTCAGCTTGCCATCGTGCAGGCTGGTACGCGTCCGGACTCGGTCGTGTACGTGCGCATGAAGAGCAAGGCCGCCCAGGAGGTCGGCATCGCGTTCAAGCATGTCACACTACCCGAGGAGGCGACGACTGAGGAGGTTGTCGACGTCGTGCAGCGTCTGAACGCCGATGAAGGCGTCAGCGGTATTCTGGTCCAGCTCCCCCTTGGTCCCCATGTCGGTGCATCTGGTGAACGCACCGTGACGGAGGCGATCAGCCCAGAGAAAGACGTGGATGGGTATGTGATCTGTGCGTACTGCTCGGTCCATCTGACGACGAACAGGTTCCACGCATACAACATCGGTCACCTTTCCTCGCGCGATTCCAACCCCCTCTTTGCCCCGTGCACGCCCTCTGCTGTCATCCGCCTCCTTGAGAGCACGGGTGTCGAGATAGCCGGCACCAATGCGGTCGTACTAGGACGTAGCGATATTGTCGGCAGCCCAGTAGCCTCGATGCTCAGGAACAAGGACGCCACGGTCACGCAATGTCATAGTCGTACGAAGAACATCGAGTCGGTCGTACGTTACATGGTCAAGTCACGGAATACCTTCCTCATCCCTTCTGCAGGTCCGGAACGCCGACATCGTCGTCTCTGCGATCGGCAAGGCTGAATGGGTGAAGGGATCTTGGATCAAGCCAGGCGCCGTCGTCATCGATGTTGGCATCAACTACATTCCCGACGCCTCGAAGAAGTCCGGCCAGCGTATGGTCGGCGACGTTGAGTACGCCGAAGCAGCCAAGGTCGCTTCGTATATCACCCCCGTACCCGGAGGCGTAGGCCCGATGACCGTCGCTATGCTCATGGACAACACCTACCGTGCCGCTGAGCGCCTCTGGGAGAAGGCTCGCTCGCGCAAGCTCAAGCCACTCAAGTTGAATGTGCTGGAGAAGGTCCCTACTGACGTCGAGATCTCGATGGCGCAAACGCCGAAGCCGGTCACGCAGCTCGCGGAGGAGATTGGTCTTCTGCCGAGCGAGCTCGAGAGCTACGGGCAGTACAAGGCGAAGGTCGACCTCTCCGTCCTGGAGCGTCTTGCGCACCGCAAGAACGGGAAATACATTGTGATTGCAGGGTATGTCTTCGAAGTATTTCCTGTTGCGTCCTGTCATTGAGTATTGTTAATAGCATTACCCCGACGCCGTTGGGTGAGGGCAAGTCTACTACGACGATCGGTCTTGCGCAGGCTCTGGGAGCAGAGCTCGGCCGCCCTGCGTTCGCTTGCGTGCGCCAGCCCAGTCAGGGTCCTACATTCGGCATCAAGGGGGGTGCAGCTGGCGGCGGTTACAGCCAGGTCATTCCCATGGACGAGGTAAGGGTGCTGCCTGATGTAGTACGTGTTTGTGCTCATCCTTTGATAGTTCAACTTGCACTTGACGGGTGATATCCATGCTGTCACCGCGGCAAACAACTTGCTTGCTGCTGCGCTCGACGCTCGCATCTTCCACGAGGCCACTCAATCAGACAAGGCGCTCTACAGCCGCCTCGTGCCTGCGAAGAAGGGCAAGCGCGAGTTCGCGCCGCTGATGTTCAAGCGCTTGGAGAAATTGGGGATCAACAAGACGGACCCGAACGACCTGACGCCTGAGGAGATCACTCGCTTCGCGCGCCTCGATGTAGACAAGGACACGATCACCTGGAATCGCGTCCTCGACACCAATGACCGGTACTTGCGCAAGATTCAGATCGGTCTTGCTGCGACCGAGCAGGGCCACTCGCGCGAGGCGGCGTTCGACATTGCTGTCGCGTCCGAGTGCATGGCTGTCCTTGCCCTCACGACCGGTTTGCAGGACATGCGCGAGCGCCTCGGCAAGATGGTCGTCGCGACGAGCAAGCAGGGCGAGCCCGTCACCGCTGACGACATTGGAGTTTCCGGTGCTCTCGCTGTCCTGCTCAAGGACGCCATCAAGCCGAACTTGATGCAGACGCTCCAGGGTACGCCCGTCTTCGTGCACGCCGGCCCCTTCGCGAACATCGCGCACGGCAATTCGTCCATCCTCGCCGACCAGGTCGCGCTCAAGCTCGCCGGCACGGAGGAGGGGGATGAGGCGTCGCGCGTTGGCTACGTCCTGACCGAGGGCGGCTTCGGCGCGGACATGGGCATGGAGAAGTTCTGCAACATCAAGTGCAGGGTCAGCGGCCTCAAGCCGGACGCAACCGTCATCGTCGCCACCACCCGCGCGCTCAAGATGCACGGCGGCGGGCCCGACGTTTCCCCGGGCAAGCCGCTCGCGGACACCTACACCAAGGAGGATCTGGTCACGCTCAAGGAGGGCTGCAAGAACCTCGCGAAGCACATCGAGAACTCGCGCAAGTTCGGGATTAAGGTTATCGTTGCGATCAACCAGTTTGCGTCGGACACGCCGGCGGAGCTGGAGCTCGTGCGGGAGGAGGCGCTAAAGGCGGGCGCGGACGCGGCTGTAGTGAGCAACCACTGGGCGGAGGGCGGCAAGGGTGCGCGCGCGCTGGCGGAGGCGGTCATCGAGACGTGCGAGGGCGAGTCGCAGTTCAAGTTCCTCTACGATTTGGACCAGCCGATCGAGAAGAAGATTGAGACGATCTGCAAGGAGATCTATGGCGCGGATGGCATTGAGCTCAGCGAGCTTGCGCAGAAGCAGGTGGACACCTACTCGAGGCAGGGATACAGCGGACTTCCCAGTGAGTGGCGCAATTGCAGGAGTACAAGGAAGAAGTATTGACATACATTTCAGTTTGCATGGCGAAGACGCAGTACTCATTCTCGCACGACCCGAAGCTGAAGGGTGTGCCGACGGGCTTTACTGTGCCCATCCGGGCCGTGCGCTTGTCCGCTGGTGCTGGCTTCCTGTACCCGCTCCTCGGCGACATGCAGACCATGCCGGGCCTTGGAACGCGTCCAGGTAAGGTTGATCACTTGGCAGCTCTGACTTGAGACTGATCGTTTGCAGGCTTCTGGGAGGTTGGACTTGACCCGCAGACTGGCAAGGTTGTCGGTCTGTTCTAGATGAGCAATAGAACAGTAGAGGGTCTCAACGACCTGCTTTGATACGCCCGCCGTCTTCATCAGATGGCTCCCTGGACATGCGCCGGGAGAAGGGCGCTGTTCAACACAGGCTGCGCAGCGCGCCAGGTGCCTAGTTATTCGCTGCATCTCCTGCAGCTGGGATCGGCGCGACGAGGAGGGACGGGTAATGTGTACGGAGTTGCAGCGGCAGCGTGGTGCAGTAATAACATAATTCGAGTACGTACGGCGTGTATATCCTGGAACAAGGACTGCCAGAAGGAGATGGCTGCTGCGGGAAAGCATATTCTTTTGACGGCGCGTACGTACTTTTGCCGGAACGTGGTGAAGAAAATCGTCAGGCGAACGGCAAAGAGGCGCTCTGAGATGCACAACAAAGCTGGCCTATCTCGGGCAAAATATGATTTTTCTGTCCGAATTCTTGTGCCCAAGACGACCGAAGGTCGCCCGTGGTTGGCTGGCGCAACAGCAACGGCGGGAAAGTGACGCGCCACCTGTGACTGATGGTCACGGCAACGAGCGGTCACATCCGCTCCTTGTTCCCGTCCCTCAAGGCCGTTCTTTCGCTGGCGACCGACCCGGTGTTCGCGAGAACCTGTTGTTTCTGACGATCATCAGCCCTTTCTTCTCGTCGCTCTTTAGCTCTCCCTAGACCGTCTTTTACTCTACTCTTCGACGCACGCCATGTCCGGCCCAGGATATGGCAGGAATCCATTCGACAATCCCCCGCCCAACAGAGGTCCCTATGGCCAGCAGCCAGGTTTCCCGGGGCCCGGCCCTCGGCCTTACGACTCGGACGCGGACATGAGCCAGACCTATGGCAGCACAACCAGGCTCGCCGGCAGTGCCGGTTACAGCGACAGAAACGGTGCGCACGTCGCTACCGTACTTCCTCGATCGTCGATTCACATACCATGCAGGCAGCTTCGACGGCGACCGCTCCTACGCGCCCTCAATTGACTCGCGCGCCAGCGTGCCCAGCATATCGCCCTTCGCAGACCCGGGTATCGGCTCTAATGAGCCGTATCCCGCTTGGTCGGTCGAACGCCAGATTCCCATGTCCACGGAGGAGATTGAGGACATCTTCCTCGACCTCACCCAAAAGTTTGGCTTCCAGCGCGACTCCATGCGGAATACGGTGCGTGAATAAGCAGCCCACTCGACCGCGGGAACAGCACAATTGACCTGTCACCCAGTTCGACTTCATGATGCACCTCCTCGATTCCCGTGCCTCGCGCATGACGCCCAACCAAGCTCTGCTCACGCTTCACGCCGACTACATTGGTGGCCAGCATGCCAATTACCGGAAGTGGTATTTCGCCGCACAGCTCAACCTCGATGACGCGGTCGGGCAAACCAATAACCCCGGTATCCAGCGCTTGAAGACCATCAAGGGCGCTACGAAGACCAAGTCGCTCGACAGCGCACTCAACCGCTGGCGCAACGCGATGAACAACATGAGCCAGTACGATCGCCTCCGGCAAATTGCGCTCTACCTCCTCTGCTGGGGTGAAGCAGGCAACATCCGTCTGGCGCCCGAGTGCTTGTGCTTCATCTTCAAGTGCGCGGACGACTACTACAGAAGTCCCGAGTGTCAGAACCGGATGGACCCCGTGCCGGAAGGGCTGTACCTGCAGACGGTCATCAAGCCGCTCTATCGCTTCCTACGTGATCAGGCGTACGAAGTCGTTGATGGGAAGCAAGTGAAGCGCGAGAAGGACCACGACCAGATTATCGGTTATGACGACGTCAACCAGTTATTCTGGTATCCGGAAGGTTTGGCTAAGATCGTCATGTCGGACAACGTGCGTATGATCTTATCGGTTAAAATTCGTCCGCTCACATCTTTCCAGACACGACTTGTAGATGTACCTCCGGCGCAGCGGTTCATGAAGTTCGCCAAGATCGAGTGGAACCGCGTCTTCTTCAAGACGTACTTTGAGAAGCGCTCTACTGCCCATCTCCTGGTCAACTTCAACCGTATATGGATCCTCCACGTCTCGATGTACTTCTTCTACACGGCATTCAACTCTCCACGAGTCTACGCGCCGCACGGCAAACTCGACCCCTCCCCTGAGATGACCTGGTCCGCGACTGCCCTTGGAGGCGCTGTGTCCACCATGATCATGATCCTTGCCACTATCGCGGAGTACACCTACATCCCCACGACATGGAACAATGCGTCGCACCTCACCACGCGGCTCATTTTCCTCCTGGTCATCCTCGCGCTCACTGCTGGCCCAACATTCTATATCGCCATGATAGACGGACGCACGGACATCGGCCAAGTACCACTCATCGTGGCCATAGTGCAGTTCTTCATCTCCGTCGTCGCCACCCTCGCTTTCGCTACCATCCCTTCTGGTCGCATGTTCGGCGACCGTGTGGCTGGCAAGTCAAGAAAGCACATGGCATCGCAGACGTTCACAGCGTCGTACCCGTCCATGAAGCGGTCATCTCGCGTAGCGAGTATCATGCTGTGGCTTTTGGTCTTTGGCTGCAAATACGTCGAGTCTTACTTCTTCTTGACGTCCTCCTTCTCCAGCCCGATCGCGGTCATGGCGCGTACGAAGGTACAGGGCTGCAACGACCGTATCTTCGGCAGCCAGCTGTGCACGAATCAGGTCCCGTTCGCGCTGGCAATCATGTACGTGATGGACCTGGTACTGTTCTTCCTGGACACGTACCTGTGGTACATCATCTGGCTGGTGATCTTCTCGATGGTGCGCGCGTTCAAGCTTGGTATCTCGATCTGGACGCCCTGGAGCGAGATCTTCACCCGCATGCCGAAGCGTATTTACGCAAAGCTGCTGGCGACGGCCGAGATGGAGGTCAAGTATAAGCCCAAGGTATGCTGAATTCAATCTGGTCAGGTGAATTCACCCTCATATTGTGGTACAGGTGCTCGTCTCACAAATCTGGAACGCGGTCATCATCTCCATGTACCGGGAGCATCTCTTGTCCATCGAGCACGTCCAGCGCTTGCTTTACCACCAGGTTGATGGTCCCGATGGCCGCCGCACCCTCAGGGCACCGCCGTTCTTCACCAGCCAGCGAACTGCGAAGCCAGGCCTGTTCTTCCCTCCTGGTGGCGAGGCTGAGCGCCGCATCTCGTTCTTTGCCTCATCGCTGACGACCGCGCTCCCGGAGCCTCTGCCGATCGACGCCATGCCCACCTTCACCGTGCTCGTTCCCCATTACTCCGAGAAGATTCTGCTCAGTCTGCGCGAGATTATCCGCGAGGAGGACCAGAACACCCGCGTTACCTTACTGGAGTACCTCAAGCAGCTCCACCCTGTCGAATGGGACAATTTCGTCAAGGACACCAAGATCTTGGCGGAAGAGTCGGGAGACGTCCAGGACGAGAAGCGCGCGCGCACGGACGACTTGCCGTTCTATTGCATCGGGTTCAAGACCTCGTCACCAGAGTACACCCTGCGTACGCGTATCTGGGCCTCACTGCGCGCACAGACGCTGTACCGCACGGTCTCCGGTATGATGAACTACTCCAAGGCGATTAAGCTCCTCTATCGCGTCGAGAACCCGGATGTCGTTCATGCCTTCGGTGGGAACACGGAACGTCTTGAACGCGAGCTTGAGCGCATGTCTCGCCGCAAGTTCAAGTTCGTCATCTCGATGCAGCGGTACTCCAAGTTCAACAAGGAGGAGCAGGAGAACGCCGAGTTCCTTCTGCGCGCGTACCCGGATTTGCAGATCGCGTACCTCGATGAAGAGCCCGGTCCCAGCAAGAGCGACGAGGTTCGGTTGTTTTCGACACTCATCGACGGACACTCCGAGGTGGACGAGAAGACGGGCCGCCGCAAGCCCAAGTTCCGCATCGAGCTGCCCGGTAACCCCATCCTCGGTGACGGGAAGTCGGATAACCAGAACCACGCCATCGTCTTCTACCGCGGCGAGTACATTCAGGTCATTGACGCTAACCAGGACAATTACCTGGAAGAGTGTCTCAAGATCCGTAATGTCCTGGGCGAGTTTGAGGAATACTCCGTGTCGAGCCAGAGCCCGTACGCGCAGTGGGGCCACAAGGAGTTCAACAAGTGCCCCGTCGCTATCCTGGGTTCCCGCGAGTACATCTTCTCGGAGAACATCGGTATCCTCGGTGACATCGCTGCCGGCAAGGAACAGACGTTCGGTACCATTACGGCGCGTGCGCTTGCGTGGATCGGCGGCAAGCTGCATTACGGTCACCCGGATTTCCTCAATGCGACGTTCATGACGACGCGTGGTGGCGTGTCAAAAGCGCAGAAGGGCTTGCATCTTAACGAGGATATCTTCGCTGGTATGACCGCCGTGTCCCGCGGAGGGCGCATCAAGCACATGGAGTACTACCAGTGCGGCAAAGGTCGTGATCTCGGATTCGGCACGATCTTGAACTTCCAGACCAAGATCGGTACTGGTATGGGCGAGCAGCTGCTCTCGCGCGAGTACTACTATCTGGGCACGCAATTGCCTATCGACCGGTTCTTGACGTTCTACTACGCGCACGCTGGTTTCCATGTCAACAACATCCTGGTCATCTACTCCATCCAGGTCTTCATGGTCACCCGTAAGTGCAGGCCCTCATGACCGCCGAGCAAGCAGTCTAACGGATGTGCAGTGCTGTACCTGGGCACATTGAACAAGCAGCTGTTCATCTGCAAGGTCAACTCCAATGGCCAGGTTCTTAGTGGACAAGCTGGGTGCTACAACCTCATCCCGGTCTTCGAGTGGATTCGCCGGAGTATCATCTCCATCTTCTTGGTGTTCTTCATCGCCTTCTTGCCGTTGTTCTTGCAAGGTATGTTCACTTCTCATGTGCCATTTGTCAATCGCTCACTCGTACGACAGAGCTTTGCGAACGCGGAACAGGAAAGGCGTTGCTGCGTCTCGGGAAGCACTTCCTGTCACTGTCGCCCATCTTCGAAGTGTTCTCCACCCAAATCTACTCGCAGGCGCTCTTGAACAACATGAGTTTCGGTGGTGCGCGCTACATCGCTACAGGACGCGGTTTCGCGACGAGTCGGATACCCTTCAACATCCTCTACTCGCGTTTCGCGCCGCCGAGCATCTACATGGGCATGCGTAATCTGCTGCTCTTGCTGTACGCGACGATGGCCATTTGGATCCCACACCTGATCTACTTCTGGTTCTCCGTCCTCTCCCTCTGCATCGCGCCATTCATGTTCAATCCGCATCAATTCTCGTACGCTGACTTCATCATCGACTACCGGGAGTTCTTGCGCTGGATGTCGCGCGGTAACTCGCGGACGAAGGCGAGTAGCTGGTACGGATATTGCCGTCTGTCGCGTACCGCGATTACTGGGTACAAGAAGAAGAAACTGGGACACCCGTCGGAGAAGCTGTCGGGCGATGTGCCGCGTGCGCCGTGGAGGAACGTCATCTTCTCGGAGATCCTTTGGCCCATCGGCGCGTGCATCATCTTCATCGTCGCGTACATGTTCGTCAAATCGTTCCCTGACGAGCAGGGCAACGCGCCGCCGAGCCCGCTGGTCCGCATTCTGCTCATCGCGGTTGGCCCTACTGTGTGGAACGCGGCGGTGCTCATCACGCTGTTCTTCCTGTCGCTCTTCCTGGGCCCGATGATGGATGGCTGGGTCAAGTTCGGCTCAGTCATGGCGGCACTTGCGCATGGTCTAGCGCTCATAGGCATGCTCACGTTCTTCGAGTTCTTCGTACGTCCTTCGCGTTGTTGTGGTCGAGTGCTTTGCTAACACCGCCTTCAGTGGTTCCTCGAGCTCTGGGATGCCTCGCACGCCGTGCTCGGCGTCATCGCCATTATTGCCGTTCAGCGCGGGATCCAGAAGATCCTCATTGCCGTCTTCCTGACGCGTGAGTACAAGCACGACGAGACGAACCGCGCGTGGTGGACAGGTAAATGGTATGGACGCGGGCTGGGTACCTCGGCCATGTCCCAGCCGGCGCGCGAGTTCATCGTGAAGATCGTGGAGATGTCGCTGTGGACGTCGGACTTCCTGCTTGCGCACCTGTTGCTCATCATCTTGACGGTGCCGCTACTGCTGCCGTTCTTCAACTCGATCCATTCGACGATGCTTTGTGAGTGATTTGTAGTCGTTGGTCACGGATGATTGCTGACTCGCGTGCAGTCTGGTTGCGCCCTTCGAAGCAGATTAGGCAACCTCTGTTCTCCACTAAGCAGAAGCGGCAACGGCGATGGATTGTAAGTTCCTTTGATTGCTCTGGCTACCGACCTTCGCTCACCTGTCTCAGGTCATGAAGTATACCGTGGTATATCTCGTGGTGGTGGCTTTCCTCGTTGCGCTCATCGCTCTGCGTACGTTTTCTGTCGCGCTCACCCTCTATTTTCACTAACGTTTCCTCCAGCCGCGCTCTTCCGCGAGAGCATCCACTTCAACTGCGAGATCTGCCAGAGTATATAGTCATATAACGACGTCTATCGTATCGCCGGACGAGAGCCCCGTCGCCTACACACTGACATGGAATTGCTGTGTATACAATCGATCTTCTGACCGCGTCGGGGGCGTTGCCGTCTTTCTACTATCAACTTGCTTGTGTATCAACATTTCTTCTCTCCAAGCCTACATTGACATAGAGTAATAGCCCATGTTCATACAACAATCGCATAGCATTGCATATACCATAAGATCTAACGAGAGGTAGTGTTGGGCGCTCCAGCTTGAGTTGTGGGGCTCGACGTGCTTGTAACCCGCTTTGGGCTGAGGGGCATGATCGTGTTGGGCTCAGGCTCACCACATCTGGGATTCGGTACGAGCTCGAAGCGTGGTATAGTAGTACTACCCGGCGGAAGACAAGCCTGGGCAGCGTCGAGCATACCCCGTAGCGCTATGTGGTCAATGTGCACGTGGTCTCCCTTGCCTTAGTGGTATCTGACCCCTAGGCGATGCCTGATCAGTACTTCAGTCACCAGTCTGGCCCGGGCAATTTCCCTCTTGAGGTCGTGCAATCGTTCCTCTGCGTTGATGCTTAGCCACTTTTCGCGCTGGTCCTGGTTAGCAACGCACCTTAAGACTTCTCTTCTGCCTTCTGTGCTTGCTTCCTCGTCCATAGCGATTCAATTGGGATCCTTCCTGTTTCCTTTGTCAAGCCGGCTCGTCCGAGTAACTCGCGGATGCGCATGTCCCTTTTGACATCCTTCGAAAGCTGCGGGTGTTGGCCTACAGCGTCCAGGATCGTAGTGCCGTCTTTCGCGCGTATCTTCGGGTCGCTGCCCAGCTCGAGCAGGCGCGCTACGGCGCGCTCTTCGCCTCCGTAGGCCGCAAGGTATAAGGGGGTCCACCCGTCCTCGTCAACAGCCTCCAGCGCTGCGCCTCGACTGACGAGGAGGTCGATCACATCTACATGGCCACCGCGGGCAGCCCAGTGCAGAGGTGTGCGACCCACGTCGTTGAGAGCGTCGACGATGGCTCCTCCGTCGAGGAGAAGGCGGACGACGCCCACATGCCCTCGCAAGGCCGTGTCATGGAGGGCAGTATCGCCGTCGTTATCTCTGTCCTCGAGATCTCCATGACATGTACTCAGGAGCAGGCGAGTGATCTCTTCGTGTCCACTCCCAGAAGCCATCATCAGAGGGGTGCTTTTGTGGTTCGTCTGCGCAGTGCTGTTGGCACCTCGTTCGAGGAGCAGGCTGGCGACAGTGACATAGCCACCTTGAACTGCAAAATGGAGAGCGGTGAAGCCTTCGGCGTCGCTGTCGTCAAGAGGTGCGCCCCGGTCCAGGAGCAGGCGAACAACGTCCTCGTGCCCTTCCTGGGCTGCGAACATCAGCGGTGTGCCCTGCATGTCGGTTCGTGGCGCGATGGCGGCCCCTCTGTCGAGGAGCGATGCAACAATCCTGAGATGTCCGCCCCAAGCCGCCAGATGGAGTGCAGTCCAGTCGATGGTGTCGCAAGAATTCACATCCCCCGCGTAATCAAAGAGAAGCTCAGTCAGTCTATCATGCCCGGTCTCCGCCGCAGTACGAAGGGTAATATTCAGCGTATCCCGCACGCCAGCGTCTGCGCTGGCCTTGCTCAGGGTGGCGATGATGTCCGGCTCGAGGCTGGCGTAGAGAGCGTCGCCTGCCAGAGCAACATACTGGACCCAGGTCCAAATCAACTGTGACTGGGGGTTCAGACAGTACGCCCCGCTAGCGACAAAGGCGATATACGCAAGCCCAGTGCGCGCCATGAGACTATAGTCCGTGTCACAAGAGTAGAACGGCGAAGACGGTGCAAGGTTGCGGAGAAAGTCGCGAACAGAAGCGTGAGCGAGCCGTACGAAGTTCTGACTGACACAGATGAACATCGAGCCCACCATCTGAACGACGGCCTCGGGCTCGGGCCTCAGTGACAAATCGTAGACGGGCATGACCTCGGTGTAATCAAAGGACATCAGGTCTGCGAAGTCGTCCAGCGATAGAGGCCCCACTGAACGGACAAGCCATAGCAGCAAGCGCCGGACGTCCTCCCGGTCGGCGGGAGAGATGGAATCCAGGCATGCCTTGTACAGCGCTTCCAATGATTCGGGAAGAGACTTCAAGCGCTGGCGGACCTTTCCAGGCATCCCGGCGATGCTCCTGAGCTCCTGAATGACCAACACCGTCCAACGGAAACTGAGGACGCATGCAATCAATTGCTTGCGATGGAACGGTATAGAATGACTGACTTGCCCTCCGCGCCTGCCAGCAGTGTCTGCCGCACTCCATCACGGTCTTTGATTCTCTCCAACGCACCTCCAGCGGACATGGCAATGTCGAGTACTGTCCCGATATCGCCGTCCGTGTCGTTGTCATCGATGGAGATCACGACGTCGAATGTGCCGGCACCCGTTACGGTGCGGCGAGAGGCAAGCAATGAGACCGTGGGTATATCTCGCAGACGCTCGAGGAAGGGAAGCACATCGGCCTCGTCCGCTTCGTCCAATGCATCGATGACAATGAATGTACACTGCGAGAGGGAGCGGAGAAGTCCCATGAGCAGACGCTCTTTGTCGAATTTTGTCGTATATCCGCTCTCTGCAGCCTTCTGGCGCGACTCGGAGATCGTGGATGCGCATGTCGGGCTCTTGAGGGCGACTTGGTACAGCAGCGCGGAGAGGAGCGAGTGTAGATCCTGCGCGCTAGCGCCATTAGTCGCGTCGAACAGATGGATAATCACAAGCGACTCAGGGACGGAAGACGCGCAGTATGCTTGGAGGGCTTGGGCGGCAGCAGCGCTGGAACAGTGCGTGTTAAACAGGCAGAGGTGTGCGCGGTATGCATCAACGTACATCATTGTGCTCTTCCCACTACCAGCTGGCGTACGATGAGATGACATGCGCGAGAACAATGCTGAACTCACCCTTCCCGCTGAGTAGCACGGATCTGGCTTTGCCTTGCCGAAAATCGTTGAACACGTCGCCATCGAGGAACCACGAGCCGGTCCCCTCTGCGCGGTCATCCAGCAGCCTGCTCAGCTTGAACGAAGGGTCCGGGTACTTAAGCCACTGCGCGACCTTGTCGAACTCGGCGATTGCTGGAGGGAGGAGTTATGAGCATCATTTGGCGCACATGAACGGGTCTGCCCACCCTTGATCTCCCTGAGATCCTCTGCCTGCCGATAGAATAAAAGCTCTACGCGACGGAGGATGGCGCGATTGGCGGCTATTTCCTCGTTTGTCAAGGAGGTGTTGTCTGTTGTCTGATAGTCAGTATACAACCATAGGAACAACAGGTTTTGCAGCGTGCCTTGAACTTCGCGCGCGACTTGCAGCAGGTCAAGCAAGCGCTGGTTGACCCAATCTTGCGCGACCTTTCCCTCTATGTAGTATTTAGCTGGTGGCACCTGTTCGATGAAGGGGCCCACCCGCGATGCTCGACATCACTTGCGTCACCTTCTCGAACGTGACACCCACAATCGCTTCATGGTGACGGGTAGCGAGCCGGCCGAGGTCCTGGAGGGCAGAAGACAGTGGCCGCACGTCGACGAGGCTCTGCAGCCACAGTCCTGCGGTTCGCCGTCACCGATGAGCTGCGCAGGAATGAAGAGGAGACTCGGCGCTCACGGAGACGTCCCTCGCGCGTCACCTTCACGATCGCGGCCAGCACAGACACGATCTGTGCGAGCAGCTTCACGGAAGCGTCACGGAGCAGATCCCCGGGCTGCGAACCGACGACGGCCTCGACGACCCGCAGGTGCATCTTGATCTCGTCGAGCGCGGTCCCAACCTGCGCGAGTTCCTCGTGGGTTTTGACGCATGCATGTACCACTTGAACATATATCCAGTCGGATGCGTGAAAAGGGACACACGCTGAGGATCAAGCCCACCGCAGAGAAGATGATCTTGCTTGGGGGGAAGGCCTGTGATCGGACGCATCAGCACGCCGCCTCTGCTCGGCATCGCGCCAGTACTCGCCGTTGAGCCAAGTGTGTCGCCGATGGGGGCGCACAGCTTCTCGAGAACGCGGGCTAGCGGGACAATGCGGGCGCGCATCTTGTGCCAATGGTCCTTCTGGAGCGCGTCCTCCGCCTCCTCTCTGCGTTTGATGTAGGCGACAACTGCCTCTTGCGAACCGAAGCCGGATTGAAGGAGGTCGGCGCCTATCGTGTGTTGGCACTCGGCTACCGCCTCGGCCCAGATACTCGATAACGCGTCCTCGCGAGTCACATTCTGGGGGCGAGTCAGAGGCGGTGAGCTCCCTAAGGCCATGCCCATCGACGGCGTGGATGAACAGGCGTATGAGACGATAGGAAGGCGCGCGCTCTTGTTGTCCGCTGTCGACGCGAGCGAGACAACTGACGCAGAGGGGCAGGACACAGTTACGCCTTGGGAAGTTGAAGGGGTTGTGCGGTGCGATAGACGACGAAATACAGATGAGAACCCGAGCCGGCCGCGCAGACGTTGATGGTCCACAGCCTGAGACGTGGACGAGGTAGGGGAGTTGGACATCGTCGCTGAGAGATCACCAGCGATGGTCGCGAGCCAGGAGGGGGAGCAGCTGTGGGACTCGTGAGTAGCTACTAGTAAGTTGTGCGCTAACTATGAATTTCAGTGTACATCGCGATGATCAGTATGCAGTGGCAGGCAATGAGCTGTACAGCCGTTTGCAGAATAGAATGCAGTCTCGTGCTGCGAGAATTCGAGCACGCGGCCGTTGCAGATCAATCAGACGCGTCTCTCGCGGGCCAGCGACGCTCTGGGCTTGCACGTATGGGTCCCTGGCGACGCGACGGGACCCACGTGCTGGAAACCTCGCAGCACGGGACTGCAATCTATTCTGCAAACGGCGTATACTCGCTCACGGGCCTCGGGCGCGGCTTACGGTCGGCGGGAAGGACCAGGTTCGATTTCGGATTTTGCGTTGCGTGATCGCGATGCGTAAGGTCGGCGGTTCGAATCAGGGTTGATAGTAGGTATTTCTTCCTGGCCTCTTCTCGTTGTTCTAGAGCTACATTTCGACGTATAGTCAGTAGATGTAGCAGTCCATATATCCTCCCGTATTGGGAGTGTCTCAAAAGCCACGAATTCGGGGTCGGAGAAAATGCCGGCATTTGCCGAAGTCCGGCAGACGCCGGTGCGCGAGCTTGGCAGTTGCTTCTCACGGTTGTACTTGACTGTGCGCGGTCCATTCGGCCTGCGCCACGCTCTCTGGCAGCATCTTAAATGTGCGATGTCAAAAATGGAGCCTGTATAAGATGGTATCTGGACGCCTCGAGGGAATATGATCCCAGAAAACATCTTGAAAGACCCACAGTCGGGGTGGGAGATGAGAGCATCAAGCACCTTGTGATGGGACATAATCTGCCGGTATACCCCTTGGTGTCCTCAACTACAGATAACATTATAGTATTGGAGCTTTCTTGAAGGAACAAAAGATAGCAGCTTCGCCCACGACAAGGTCGAGCTCAATTGAGAGAAACGGAAAAGTAAGCAAAAAGCGAGCAGCTAAGCTGCTATAGAGTGTCAGCATACTCGCCAGGTAATATATAGGCAAGGCATATACTACAATGTAGAATGCAAGGCACCTATTTGGTCCCGGGCGAGACAAAGGGACAGAAGTTCAACCGTGAGAAGCAACTGCCAAGCTCGCGCACCGGCGTCTGCCGGACTTCGGCAAATGCCGGCATTTTCTCCGACCCCGAATTCGTGGCTTTTGAGACACTCCCAATACGGGAGGATATATGGACTGCTACATCTACTGACTATACGTCGAAATGTAGCTCTAGAACAACGAGAAGAGGCCAGGAAGAAATACCTACTATCAACCCTGATTCGAACCGCCGACCTTACGCATCGCGATCACGCAACGCAAAATCCGAAATCGAACCTGGTCCTTCCCGCCGACCGTACGCGGCTGCCATCAATGCGCACTGATGGACCTGAACTCAAACCGAGCCTGGAGTCAAGGCTATCGCGCTGGCGGCTGGCAGCGTCCTCAGAGGAAGGCTATCCTGCCACGGTATGTCGACGAGAAATTAAGGCCGGTCTTGCTTCGCGTATTATGATACACATTGATGTGACAAAGAAGGGCATGACAAGCAATGTCTAGACGGCTTGCAAAGACGTGCGTACGGTTCAGTGATAGTCAGACTATCGGCTTGAGCATCCAAGAGGCTGCGAATCCCCTAGCTTGTCTAGGGCTCTTGCGCCCTTTAATTGCCGTGAGAATCTTGTCCTGAGTAAACAAGGCCAAATTTACTGTGCCAAAGATCGTAGGTTCGAATCCGCCAGCTCGTGGCTTCCTTCCTTACCCCTACTCGGGTACACAACGTCCCGACCCAAGACTCGAGGGTGGGAGGGTTGGGGGAAAGAAATGTGATATGACGAGCGCAGGGCTGCGCGGAGATGGGTGTCGAGGACAAGAGAGACAGCGCTGATCGTCCGTCGACCCCGCTTAGTCAGCATTCGCTGTGCATCTCGCTCGCGTGCTCTCTCGACTCACAGCTGCCATTTCCCCCTTTCAAGCGCTCAGATACCCAAACGACGTATACACGCAAGCAGTATTTTCTGTGAGTGAATGGCTAATCATCACATTACTTCAGCATAGCACGCATTCAATAAAACAGTCCGACGCGCATTGTCGAGCGACCAAAATCAGCCGTCGCTCAACTTTCTTCGAAGGTCCCAAGGGTGATTGAGCGAGAATCGATGTCTGTCAGCACGTGTAATGAACGATGTACGAGGTCAGGAGCGCGCGAACTTCGCGCTCATCATCTGCTGGGGACCGACCGCAGAACAAATAAAGGTAAGCAAGTGCACTCAACGGCGTTGGCCCGATTCCTTGCGCTGGAACCCGGTCGACTTGAGAGCATGCGGTCACGGCTCTTGTCAGCTCAATACTACCCTGCGGCTTCTGATTCGTCTGCTGGAAACCATTGTGCTTCGTATGTTTTTGGCTAACATGGTTCGGCATTGACATGCTTCAAGGTCGTCGCTACGTTCAGTTAACTAGAACATTGAGTCATTAGCCAGCAAGCCAGCGCCGCTGCGGCGAGCTCCAGGCTCCTTCCTTTTGTCCCCAAGCTCGGCGAAATTTGGCTCACCATTTCAGCAACACAATACAGCACGCTCTCAGAGTCTCAACGGCAAACAGTCCAACGCATCAGCTTGGACAAGCCAGGGCGCTGCTGGCGCAGTCAGCGCTTATCGAGTAACCAGTAAGGCCACTAAGATTTGAAGAAAGATGCTTGTGTGAGCGCCAGTTGTGAGTTCAGTTTTGTCGCTGCTTGCGGCCCGCTTCGGGCCGAGGCGCATAACCCCATTGGGCTCAAGTACCCGGACCGATCAACGAGTCTGACGTTCAATAACCGACATATGATTCGCGGCTCTTGTACTGCTTGCTGCTGACCGTCATGCTCACTTTACGGCGCCTACCAAGGGCGCCGAGGACGTCATACCTGCGAGGTCGCGCTCGCTGTCTGCATTCGTCGCCAAGGGCCCTCAACGAGAAGTTCAACCCCGCCGAAGTCGAGCGTGCGGAGGACGAGGTCGATGTGTGCATTGTTGGTGGAGGGCCTGCAGGTCTGAGCGCAGCGATCAGGTTGAAGCAGTTGGAGAGGGAGAAGGGGAATGGGCGGGAGTTGCGAGTAGTTGTGTTGGAGAAGGGCAGCGAAGCTGGTGAGTAGCGTGAGTTGCATATACCCCTTGCATCGCGCGGTATTCCTCTTACCGTCCTAGCCCCCGCTTCGTACGAACGGGCTGCCACTCCCACACACTATCCAGCCGCCTGTTCTTTGCTCCTGCTTCCCCACATCCCCGGCTATGCTCCATGGTCCGGCTGTAGCTTTCACTTGATTCCGTCCACGCACTCCCCGAGACCCTCGCACTACCTTCGTCATCTGACACCCCTCCAGGCTCCCACATCCTCTCTGGCGCCGTAATCGAGCCCCGCGCCCTCGACGAGCTCCTCCCCGAATGGCGCAATGGCGACCACCCCCTCACCCAGCCCGCCACCCGCTCCCGCATGCTCTTCCTCACCGAAGGCTTCTCAATACCGCTCCCCCATCCACCACAAATGAACGTACGCGGGAACTATCCCGGTCACAAGGACAGCTTCATCACGAGCCTGAGCGGCTTCACAAGGTGGCTCGCTGGCGTCGCCGAGGAGCACGGCGTGGAGGTCTACCCTGGCTTCGCAGGCGCTCAACTCGCCTATGGGGAAGAGGACGCGAACAAGGTCGTCGGCGTTGTCACCAACGAGGTCGGTCTTGCGCGCGACTATACCATGAAGTCCTCCTTCGAGCCCGGTATGCGCTTCCGCGCGCGCGCCACCCTCCTAGCAGAGGGTGCACACGGCTCCTTGACGAAGGAGGCTTGCAGGAAGTACCGCCTGCGAGATAAACCCGCCGAAGGGTCGACCGAGCCTGTTGTCAACCCGGATCCCCAGGCTCAGACCTACGGCTTCGGGTTGAAGGAGGTGTGGCAGGTCCCCCAAGAAGTTCACCGACCAGGCGAGGTGGTGCACACATTGGGCTGGCCGCTCACGTACGACACGTATGGTGGAGGCTGGGTCTACCATATGGCGGATAACTTGGTCAGCGTGGGCTTGGTGGTGGGCTTGAACTACAAGAACCCGTATATGCAACCGTACCGCGAGTTCCAGGTAAGCATTGACGCATCTGCCAATATATCTTGTTCTAAATAACTGTTCCAGAGAATGAAGCACCACCCCTACATGCGCGCCCTCTTCGACGTGCCAGGCGCGCAAAGGTTAGCATACGGCGCGCGCACAATGACGTCCGGCGGCCTGCAGAGTCTCCCCGCACGCCTGCACTTCCCCGGCGGCTCCCTCATCGGCTGCGCCGCGGGCATGGTCAACGTTGGCAAGATCAAGGGCACGCATAACGCGATGAAGAGCGGTATGATTGCTGCGGAGGCTGCCTTTGACGCGATTATGGAGCAGGGCGAGGAAGGTTAGTATGGAGACCTCCATTGTACTTATTAACTTTGGGATGCTCCTCAACACTGATCTGACTACTTTCGCAGCTCCCGTTGCACCCGTTGACATGTCCGGGTACACGAAGGCGTTCCGGGATTCTTGGGTGTATGACGACCTGTACGAGGTTCGCAACCTCAAGCCGTCGTTCGGGACGTCGTTGGGGATCTTTGCGGGTGCGGCGTACTCAGGCGTGGATTCGTTGCTGCACGGCAAGGTACCTTGGACACTGCGTCATAGTAAGAGCTCGTTGGATGAGGTGCGTGCGATGTCTTCTACTGGCCCGTCATCCCTACACTAGCCCGTCATCCTTACCCAGCGACTAACTCTTGCATAGTCAACCAAGTACGACCGCTCGTACGACTCGACGAAGACGGAGTCCGCGTCGCGGCATAAGCCGATCGACTACCCGCCCTTCCAGCCGCCCTTGTCTACCGACCTGATGACCAGCGTCGCGCTCACGGGCACGAACCACGAGGAGGACGAGCCCGTGCACCTGAAGGTCGGCTTGAAGTCGTTGCGCGAGGCGAACGCCGAGAAGGAGGAGGCGAGCGTTGAGAAGGCGAAGCCCTTGACGCAGGACTGCAACTCCACGGCTGACGCCCGGAGGGAGCACGTGCGTGTCAACGTTGAGCAGTACGCGGGCTTGTTGCAGCGCGCGTGCCCTGCGGGCGTGTACGAGTATGTCGATGTCGAGAAGGGGCAGGAGAGCCCAGAGGCATACAACGGCAAGAAGCTGGTCATCAACTCACAGGTAAGCGCGGGTCATGTCCGCTTTCGAATACCGTTCAGTCCAGTCCAGTCCGTACTGACATGCCGCCACTAGAACTGCATCCACTGCAAGCTCTGCGACATCAAGGTGCCCACCCAGGACGTTACCTGGTCTGTCCCGCAAGGCGGTGGTGGGCCGAAGTACAGTAAGCCCTTTCCATGACTTGCCGCCTATCCGACGATGCTGATTTTCCACAGCTCTTACCTGATCCCGTCATTTCAACGTTCGTCGTACTGCTTTGTAGTCGCATGCTTTCGCAATACAGTGCATGTAAATCCTTCTCCGCGCCCGAGTGAATGCGATGAAGGTCTCCCGCAGGTACGACACCGCCTGGCGTGGCCGAGGGCGGGGCGTGACTGCCTAACGGTGGCGGCCGCAGGTACGAGCGCGCGCTCGTCGCCGGAGGCGACGATGACGAGGCTTGCAAGACCTGCCCAAGTCCTTTCGAGGGACCGAGGGCAGGTTCTCAAACAGGTCCCACTTGGTCCCGAACATGCTGTCCTGGCCATTTACGAGGGCTGTGTGCCCCCCTGAACAATCATTGCCTCAAAAAAGGGCGTTGGCAGGTCGTCGATCGCCTGACGCTGCCAACGTTTCACGGAAGTATCACTTCGCTGCGCGGCTCCTCATGGGTAAGGAGACGATCATCGACGGCGGGTACGAGGCTGAATTAGCTGCGGGGGAGGGGGGATAGGGTATAAAGGGCTTGAGGTCTCTGTGTGATGGTCACCTACAGTCCCTCCATCACCCCCTCATTTCCCGTTCTTTCCAGTCACTTGTCAATATCTAACTTCAAGCTAACTTATGCGGACCTCTGTTGCTTCTGGTCTCGCCCTCGCCGCTGCGGCGCGCGCGGTGGACTTGTTCCCCGTTAACGGGAATGTGGACTACCAGCTTGGCGATGCGTACACCCCGCCCTCGGGCACGCAGATCGTCAGCAGGGACCACACCGCGGATCCTGCGGATGGGATCTACAACATCTGCTACATCAATGCGTTCCAGACGCAGGCGGAGGATGCGGATTGGTGAGCACTGGGGGTGGTTTCTGCACGAAGAGCGAAGGGAGCTCATTGTTTATACTTAGGTGGAAGAGCAACCATGACGATGTCCTGCTCCGCGATGGAGGCGACTACTACGAGGACCCGGACTGGCCGGGCGAGCTGCTCTTGTGAGTGACTCTTGCTCTGATGAGACTCCCGCTAAAGCTATGCCTAACACAGGGACACCACCACTGCTGCGAAGCGCGACGAGATCGCAGGCGTGATGAAGGGCTACATCGACGACTGTGTGTCTAAGGTACGCCTTGTTGAACCCGCTTCACGAGGCGAAGGCTTCCGCTTCAAGATAGAAAGGCAGTGTGTGCTGACTACCATTGACCAGGGCTTCAACGCCGTCGAGGCGGACAATCTGGACACATTCACGCGCACGGATCTGCTGACGCAGGACGGCAACTTTGCGCTGGCGAAAACGCTTGCGGACTATGCACACTCGCATAACCTGGCGTTCGGCCAGAAGAATGCAGCGGAGTACAGCAAGGACGCGAAGGCGGCTGTTGGCTTCGATGTGGGTATCCAGCAGATTTGAATGTTTGGTGCAGAATTGCTAACGGTTCCTTAGTTCGCAGTCACGGAGGAGTGCCAGGAGTGGACCGAGTGCGACGACTACACCGACGTCTACGGGCAGTACGTCATCGAGGTACGTCCATTCAGAAGGGGTTTCGAACGGCACATTGACTTGTGCAAGATCGAGTACGAGAAGGCGCAATTCGACGACGCCTGCAGCGAGCGTGGCGACCAGCTCCCTATCGTCTACCGCGACAAGAACCTCGTGGGCCCTAGCAAGTCCGCCTACAAGTTCCAGGCGTGCTAAGCGCTAAGCGGTCGTGAATTGCTTGGTTCCGAAGCCTTCACATTCCGGCCAATTAGGCAGATTCAAGGTCGATGTCCAAATGAGGGTAAAGTCAGTACATCTGTACGGAGGTGGCATAGTACATACGGCCATTGTATGTCACTGTACTACCGCTATCTCATTGGGTTATTTATGTGGCAGAAGCGCACTGGCAATGGAAAGGAAAGAACTGCAAGAACAGTGGTGTCACTTTTCCCCTCCCAACTTCCTCGCGCCAGCGAAATCGAACCCCGCATCCCCTTGGACCGTCAATGCATCTGGCCGGACCTCTTTCCCAGCAAGACTACCGCCCTCTTCGTCGAAGATGATCTGGTTGCTCGCGACGTTGACACGGCGGGTGTACGTATTACCGGCGACGTCGCTGTAGCTGAAAGTGTTGTTCGTCGACGCGTTGCCGTAGTTGCCGGAGGACGAAGTTTGGAAGAACGAGTCTGGCATAGGTGGGTTAGCGAGATCAAGAGATAATTTACCGAGCCTGAGGGTGGCATAGGGTAGTCCGGTAGAGATCCAAGAGAGCAGAGTAAAAGATAAAGGGAAAGCTCACCAGACGACTGCTGCGACTCGATGGTGGTCTCAAGAATGAATGGATGGAGGGCACCTGCGCGATTGTAGCTGTGGTCGATGATGAAGGTCCCTGATCATCCATACGCATTTTAGGCGATGTCACTACCATGGCCAATAGTGGCAACTCACAGTTGTCGTAATTCGCAGACCCGTACGTGTAGTTGATGGCCAAGGGGTACGAGAACTCATCCGAGACCACAGTGTCTCCGTTATGCGTCGAGGTAATTGTGCCGGTTGTGCTCTGGTCGATGAGCTGCACAACAGTTAACAAGCCAACTTATTCCACTGGGAAGTCATACGCACCTGCACCAGGTAGTCCGCCGAGAAGGTCTGCTTGCTGGTGTAGCCCAAGTCCTGCGCCCACACCACGGTCGTCTCTTCCCCATCCCCATCCACTAACACACTCTCAATGTGCACACTCCGCTTCGCATCCACCTCCACCTCGAATGCACCTTCGGTGGTATTCCCACCCGTCGTATCCGTCTCCGCATACTCCCCCACCTCATACACCGTCATATTCCCCGTCGTCCTCCCCTCCGAGTTCCCTGTTACCACCTGCAACAGCCCCGACACATACCAATTCCCCAGAATTGCATGGTCCTCTTCCGCCGACGCTACGTCCAGCGTATAATTATGCGGTTCACCATCGGTCAGGAGCGGCACGAACGGCGTGACGTCGATGGCGTAGCGCGGGAGGTCGAGAGCGTTGATGGCGTTTATGGGGCGCCAGGCGGGTGGGCTGAAGCCACCGGTGAAGATGACGGGGAAGGGAAAGGCAACGCCGGCGACCCTACCATCGATGAGGAGGCGGACTTCGCGGAAGGGGCCTTGTCCGTAGGTGAGGCCGTCGGGGAGGGAGGAGAGGTAGGCATTGGGGATGTTGCCGTACTATGTAAGTGGATGAGCGAAGAAAGCAAAAGAGGCAGTTAAAAAAGTGTAGTCGTAGAGTACGTACCCAGAATTCCTCCTGGCCATTTCCAGAGGCAAAGATCTCGGCGAAGAGCTTGATGGTGTTAACGGGGATGGTTACGTTTGTCTGCAAGGATGTTAGCTGAGGAAGTCCTCGAAAAGTCATATCGCCCACAGAAAACCCAGGTGGTACAGATGCGTCGTTACCGGTATCGTTAGCGCCGGTGCTGATAGGTAGAATTGTATCGGCTTGCTTCGCGGTAGGGTACTCGCCCGTCGCGGCGTAGTAAGTGGCGGTCACTGTAGCTGAGAGCATGCAGCAACCCGAATGAGCATCAGGATATTTGCATATCCACGTCGACGTACTCGAGTAAACGCCGTCCAGGTTGTCCTGAATGATATTGTCCAGCTGCAAGATGAAGGTGCCAGGCTTGGCAAAGAGCGGAATATACTGGGTGACGTCCTTGATATAAGTCCAGATTATGCCGTCGCCGCGAGTAGGCTCGGGTGTCGAGGTGCGCCAAACTAGCATACGATAAGTTAGCGGCGTGTGGAGGCGACGAGGAAGATAGGAAAAGCGACAGAACACGTACTTTCGACATTCTGAAAGGTGAAAATACCAAGGCGATCGTACTGCGTACCGTTCGAGGTCACGGTGAGGTTCAAAGAGACCGCTGATAGGGCGATGTTAACTATGATAAGCATAGTAAATGTGCACCTTTGTCAACTCACCCGACCATGAACCTGGATCTCCGCATTCCGTTGGAGGCCTAAGTAGTTGCAAATTATGGGCAAGTAGGCCTCAGCGAGAGCTCTCAATAACTCACTCAAGTTGAACTACCTCCGCACTGCGGCCATTAGCACGCTGGACTTCATTCGTTCAGCAATCCACTTACTCGCCGTAGCTATTCGCAAAGTCTCGTCTGGTGCCCTCTTAGAATCGGTAGCACCTCGTCAGTCGACTGACTCACTGAAGGACAGTGATTGTGCACTCCTGGACGCCAACAGGGAGCGGAGGGGGCTCGGAGACCTGGAAATCAGCGAGAACGTCGGCGGAAACGGTCACCGCAGCGGCGAGCCCGAGCAGCGCCCAGACAACTCTCATGGTTCAGGGCAAGGTGCGATAGCAGGTGCTCTTACGAGCGCATGGGTATGAGATTCGAAGCGCCGCCATCCTGAATTCTGATGGCGTTCCATGCGCGCTTAGAGCTGTCGTCGGTGTTCATTCGGCGGGACATAATAACTGGCCAAGTGCATAGAGCAACTGCCAAAGGCTCAAGGTTAATGAAGGGATTCGGATAGCATTGAGATGGAAGTTCAGGACAAGGTCACCACAACGTTGAGCGCGGAATCTGCCGGGCCGGTGGCGCGATCGAGGCGCACGCCGCGCCCGACGCTTGTCCCCGACCGCGACGGCGCGATGCTCGCACGCGCATTCAGCTCTCCTCACGCATTGCGTACCTCCTCAAGACTCTCGCAAGGGTTACTGAGGCGGGAGACGTACCATGTCCGACTGAACATTCGCAGGGGACTGGCAACATCACTAAACCCCGCAGAAACGGTACAGCTGCAGGGGAAAGAGTACCCGCGCGATGACTGGACGAACGTCACGCCTTCCATCACTTCCAAGATCCCCCTTCGCCTTCACACCCGGCAGGGACATCCACTCTCTACTCTGCGCGCGCTCATAGAGGAGCACTACTCTGACTTCGCCCACCTCTCCTCCCTCTCCCCCCTCGTTTCCCCCTCCAAGAACTTCGATGAGCTTGGCTTCCCCCCAGACCACCCCGGCCGCTCGAAGACGGACAGCTACTACGTGAACCGCGACCTCATGCTCCGCACGCACACCTCCGCCCACGAAGTCGAGGTCTTCCGCGCCGGGCACGACCGCTGGCTGCTCACTGCGGACGTCTACCGTCGCGACGAGATCGACGGCTCGCACTACCCCGTATTCCACCAGGTCGAGGGCGCGCGCATATGGGAGGCCGGCGCGAACGGCATGCGCGAGGTCGCGGAGGATAATGCGCGCCTGAGGGCAGCGCTGGCGGCGGAGAACATCGTGATCGAGGACGTGCCGCATGTGTCGGGGACGAACCCCGCGCAGCCGGGGCATGATCCAGAGCACTCGGCTCTTGTAGCAGAGAATTTGAAGCTGTCGCTGAACTCGATGATCCTCAAGCTCTTTGGGCACGCGGCAGGCGCGACAAAGGCTGAGCCCTTGCGCGTGCGATGGATCGAAGCGTACTTCCCCTTCACATCTCCCAGCTTTGAGGTCGAAGTCTTCTTCCGCGGCAAGTGGCTGGAGATCCTTGGGTCTGGCGTCGTGCAGCAGAAGACTCTGGACGTCGCAGGTGCGCGCCTCCCCTTCCGTCTCCTCTTTTTAACACTCTCTGACCTCCTGCCCAGGCGTCCCCAACAAGATTGGCTGGGCCTTCGGCCTCGGGCTCGAGCGCATCGCCATGATTCTCTTCTCTATCCCCGACATCCGTTTGTTCTGGTCCGAGGACCCGCGTTTCCTGCGCCAATTCCAACAAGGCCAATTCACGACGTTCCAGCCCTATTCGAAGTACCCCGCCTGCACGAAGGACGTGAGCTTCTGGGTGCCCACAGGGGCGGACCTGCACGAGAACGACTTCTGCGACGTCGTACGGGATGTGGCTGGCGATATGGTGGAGGATGTGAAGAAGATCGACGAGTTCGTACATCCGAGGACGAACAGGAAAAGTCTTTGCTTCCGCGTGAACTACAGGTCGATGGATAGGTACGCAATGATCCTCTTGTATCTTCTACATCCAACTTGTTCATGCCTACTTACTCGCAACCAGGTCGTTGTCGAACGAAGAGGCCCTAGTACTTCACAGCCAGGTCGTGAACCGTCTCAAGGACCAATTCGCGGTCGAGATCCGGTGACAATATCATGTAGCATTGCAATGCACCGCTATCAGCCACCACTCTATACGAAATGCCAACGACATTGTAGCGTTTGTGCCCGGTCAGGTCCGACTGAGGGTCAGGCCGACGTCGAGCTATGGACGAAGGGAGATGATCAAAGGTTTCCGATCGGCTGGATCGGCCACCCTCGACACCTGCAGGGTCGTGTAAGCGTATGCTATCTGAGTACACGCTCATCGTTTCCTTGTGAGACGTGTGATATCTGTGTGAGTGAACTCATAAATGGTTCTTTTTATCGGCTTTGAAATTCCTGTCGGGGTACGTCGCTCATGCGCTGACCCCGAGACCTCTCGGGCCCGTCGCGTCTCCATCAAAGATGGCAGTAGAGAGCGGTGACCCGAACCTGAAGAATACACGAGTCCATAGACCACAGTATCACCAGTACCAGTTCTGATCCAAGCCCTGGCGCAGCACAAAGTCACAGTCACAGTTACAGTCACGGTTGAACATTTAGTCCCGTGTTGACTCAGTCACGCGTAACATACGCCTTTGTCTTCTTCCTTCTGACCTTCATCGTTGGCCTGTCCCTGTATAGCCCTTGCAGGAAGGATCAAAGAAAACCTTCGATGTGAATTCACCCCTTCACCAATCAACCAATCCAGACTGACTAATGCCAGTACAGCACACATAGGGAGAGCTGCTCTACATCAGTGTTCTTCAGCGATGTCGGCGAGTCGCGACCTTTGGCCAGTTTAACGCGTAAACCACTAACTATTTGAATGCAGCGCTATACGACAAGAAGAGTGAAAAAGATCAAATTCACGCTCCCTTGCCTTTTCCAAAATGGAGGCGACTCACGCACTTCTGATCCACTTCTTCCGAATCTACTGCAATCGAGGGAATATCGAGACGTCCTCTGTGCATTGGACAAGGGACTCATACCAACCGAAAAGCCATATACCGATCGAGACTGGTATAACGTCAGCCTCGCGCTCGGCAGCATCTCCGCGCTCAATGAGGTGCTCCTGTTCAAAGCTCTACCTGACGCCATACACAAGAGGGTAGCCAGCGACATGGTACCCCTTGTGTGGGACTGGATGCTCTTCTTTCATCCGCATGCGGGTAACTACGACGACACATGCCTTGGGTTCACACAAACTCTGGATTCTGGGCACTCGGAAACGAAATCTGCGACGGATCGTGTCAATTGCATTCTTGCCATATTCTTCTTCATCGTACCCCACGATAAATATGCGGCGCCGCTCGCTCAGGCCATACCGGACTTCACTGTGTATATGTACGATCTCTGGCAAGCGACCTCGCGCGGCGTGAAGGACACGGAGCGCGTGAGCGCCATGGTTCATACACTCGGACAAGCACTCGCAGACTTCTGCTATACGCCCGAGCTACGCAAGCGTATCGCCAGCGAGATACTTTCTCGAGGACCTGCGCGTATGCGGGCCCTTGTGAAGCGTCTGCGCGCCATCACTCGTATGGACGATCCGGACTTGGAGGAACTCTCACTCTACGTGGACCTCATCCATTCCATGGCACAGGTGCCCACCGCGCGCCCCTTCCTCCGCAACGCGCTCCATCTCATCGGCCCTGCTATGCGGCTGTATGAGATTCCAAAGAAGGATACATACTATAAAGCGGACATCACCGACTTGTACCTCAAGGTTCCTTCCTGCGCGTCGACCTTCCTCTATCACTGTTGCGGTCTGGCCTGCATGCTACGCGAGGATATACAAGGTTTCCGCGACGTACTGAAGTTCGTGCGAGCTGGTGCCCTGCGCGAGCTCTACAGTTATATACGGCGGGTTCCGATTGTCCGATTAGCAGGGATTCCCGAGGATGCAATGCACCCTGCGGCTCAAACCTTGAACTCCATCATCATCCCAGCAATGATCTGTCCTTCCATCTCCAAAGCGGTTGCCGTGGCCCTTGACAGGGACCAGCTACCGCCGCAATTTCCGACAGAATCGTCTCTGCAGGAATACACCATTGCGTTCTGGAAAATGTTGCACGATAGGCTTCAGGAAGTCAGGAACCTGAAGAAGCAAGTCAGGAATGAGGAGATGGACGCACACTGTTCTCGCGAAGGGGTGAGAAAAATGCCTTTTTGGATGCACTGGCCGGCCTAACGAGAGTTTGTCAGTGTCTCGGAGATGCAACGCTGCGACGCTGTTCGTGTGGATTCGCGCTCTACTGCTCAACAGATTGTCAATCTGTGGACTGGTCACGACATCGCGCGCATTGTCAACCTGGTACGTTTGCTCGGGTTTCTTATGTGTTACCTCTTCATCATACCCGCAGTCTACGCCTCGTCGAGCTCTCCCGCAAACTTCCATGTTCTCCGCCAATCAGATCTCCTCTTCATACGTCGATATGTGGCGATGAAGTGCGCGGAGGAAAAGAAATTGCCCTCTCAAGGGACCTATGACTGCCTCTTCTACGACATGACGGGTACGGGGAGTGCAGATTGGGAGGAGCAACAAGACAAGCGCGTCAAAATTCCAGCGAAACGCTTTGGACATGTTTGGGCGAAGGTTGGGGTAGGGGAAGTCACTACGGTGTTGGATTTAGGGAAGTTGTGACGACAGGGATTATGTCCGAAGTTGGATCGTATGGTAGGATATCATGAGATCAGTATTGTAGGATCAGAGGTATGTGCAGTAGGCGGTATACCTATTGGCGATGGACAGAGCACAGGGCCGTCAGTTCAGTCCGAGTCCTCTTCCGAGTCTTCAGTAGTAATGTTCGACGTTTCTTCGGAGCATGTTTCCTCCTCAGTGCCCGATTCGTCGTCAGTGTTCGATTCCTCTTCATCATCCGAGCTGTCGCTTGAAGGCGTAGCAGCGAAGAAGCCTGGTGATGGCGGTTCCATGTCGAAAACGAACGCAGGCTCGTTGTATTCGAAGAAATCCCGCTCCCTCTTCACCATCTTCCGAACGACCAGCCTCTGCAGCAGCCGATGCAGCTCGACCTCCGTCTCCGGTGCCAGCTCGCACCAGCCAAGGTAATCGAGGCCGACAGCCCGTAACGAGCCTCCACCTGAAGCACGCGCGCGAATGAGCTCTTCGAGTCGTTCGTGATCCTTCCTCTGGCTTTTGAATGGGCAATTGATGCCGCCGCTGATGTGAAGACGGGTGAGGCGAGGCAGGACGAGCGTCGATCCCGCTTGCGAGCTGGGCAAAGAAAGAGCGTCGAGGAGATGACGGATGCGTGACTGGTGTATATCTTTTGCCCGCTCCCACCAGATGAGAAAATTGATGCTGGGGGCGCTGGCGAGCACAGTGCGCAGGTCTGTGTCGATTGGCACATTCCGTAGCGCCAGCATCGACAGCGCGCCGCTCGCCTTGAGGAAGCCCGTCATCGCGAGGGTGAGGTTCCGCGTCCACACGTAGTCCGGAAGCTTTGCGGGAACGCCGATGTCGAGGGAGACAAGTCCGCTGGCGATAATAGAGGAGAAGAGTCTCTTCAGCACGTTCTCGAGGTCGGTGGGAGCGCATACAAGTGCAAGTTGTCGAAGCTGGGGGCATGTTACGGTCGTTGGAGAGGACGGAGTATCGTGCAGCGGGAGATGCACTCTGAAAGCTTCGACTTTGACGCAAACGCCGAGCAGGTCGATGGCTTGGCTGACCGTGACTTCACCATGAATGATGGAGACGTTTGTCAGCTGGTGCCATGGAAGGAAGGTCTCGGTGAGGGGCCCAGCGTACGAGCGCAGGCGTGGCGTGTCGATGAAGTTAACAGTGCCTTTGCCTGCGTGTATGACGAGGATTTCCAGAGCAGCATATCGTCGCGGCGTCGGTCCGAGGATGAAGGCGTTGCCGATTATGCACTTCCGCCAGCGATGGCAAGCGTCTATGAGTATGTCTATAGCGGCAAATCCGATGCCACCACTAGCGATCGATAGCGGCGCGGAGTCCGACTTGGACAAGTGGAACTCGACAGCGCTTCTGACTCTGTGGGTCATTACGTCGCTGGTACCAACGTGCTGGACTTTGATGGACGACCAGAGCGCAGGGTGCGAGAACGCAACGGCGCGCCAGTGACTGCAGATATGCGCCAAGCGTACGGTGGAAGAGCGATGGTCCTCTAGAGAATACTCCTGCGTATATCGAACGTAGGTGAATATCTCCAGCAAAACATCCGGAACGAGTCGTCGGACTGGGCTGCAGAGCCAGGCGGCGCGCGCGTAGCGATGTGCCAACTCCGCGCGCTGATTCTTGAGCGTCTGATGCAGGGCCATGAGGGCGTTCATCTGGTCGTCATAGCGTTCAACGGTCTGCGCTGCCAGGTCCAGAGTAGCACGCATGCCAGGGCTGGCGGTTTTCAAGGACGAGTTGAGTCCACTCAGCTTCTGTCGAAGCTCCCGCGAGTCCTGCTCGAGTTTCTGCAGATTCGTTTCGAGGCAGACATCATGTGTGATAATCGTAGCGCCAGGCATTAAGTTGCTGTTCAGATACTCCCGATTGCGTCAGATTTTTGAGCTTTCTCCGAGCCATTGGCGAAAAGACAAAGACTTACAGCAGCAATGATCGTAGGAAGGAACAAGGGGCGCGTTATTTGTTCGAGCGTGCCCAGGTGCTGCCGGCCGGCCGACGCCGCCGACGCGGACCGAACCGCGGCATATGCCGGATCTCTTGTGTTTTTGTTCTCTGCAGTCATGGTCCTATGTGCTTTGGATGAGCCTCGCATGTGCTATGTTTTGTTGTGATCAAGTTCCGCGGCTATGTGTATGTCTTTGTCATGCATAGCATCACAGCGGCGTCAAAATGCGGTATGGCCGGCTATCTTGAGCTATGACCTTCCATTGTTAGCATGACACGAGGCCATGGCCCTAACATATAAAGGGCCTTGCACACTGAGTGAGCGCGTCCTTTCTTCCCCACTTTCACTCATTCCTTCACATTATCTGACCATGATCCCCGACCCCCCGAAGTTCATCTTGCTCTCCGTCAAACGCACTCTTGAATTCGAGAGTTCGCAGCTCATTGTTGGACCAAACCCCCGTCGCTCGAAGCTATACAACGATATCCTCGTCAATCTCGACGTCGACGTCATTCCAACTGAAAGGCCGTTCGGAAGACCGCAGTGGCTCGCCATCGCCAACGCTCTGGAAAGCATTTCTGCCCTCGCCTTCTTGATCATGTATACCAAGGACGGATACAAAGCGCCACCAACAGCTCACCGACGCTTCATCCATGATACCCTGCCTCTTGTATGGAAATGGCTCGTCTTCCTACATCCGGATTCGGCCTACTTCGACGAAGACGAGCTGCGCGAGGCAACCATCCGCTATGGATGGACCCGCTACGCCGTTCGCGCGAAGGACTGGGTGCTTGTCATGATCGCGACGTACTACAACTTTATGACGCGCCCTACTGAAGGTGGACCGGCCATCCTGGCCATGCCCGACGCAGCCTCCCATATCTTCAACCTCTGGTACTCTCGCATGGTCCGCTTCCGCCCAGACGAGCCATCCGATCACCCGACAGCGGAGCTCCTGCAAGCGCTCACCAATTTGCTCTTCAAAAACATTCCTTTGGCAATCCGACTCAAGGAAGAAGTGATCTACAGCAAGGGCGAAGCGGCCATCCGCAAAATCATGCGGCGCCTGCGCGATAATCTGTGCATGGAGAACCCGGAATTCCTCGAACTGGGCAACCTCGTCGAACTTCTGCTAGGGATGGCGCATGCTGAGGACATCCGACCGCTTCTGCGTCCTATGCTCTGGCTTGCTGTCCCATTCATGGAGATGATGCATCACCCTGGCGCCGCGACGTTCCACATGAGCTACATAGTGGCAGGGGGCCTCACCGACGATTCATGCATTGCCTTCCTCACGAACGGCTTTTCCATGCTCGACCGCCTTTCGTCCCAGTTCCGCACCGTCGACGATAGCATCCGGATCATCCGCGCAGGGCTGTTGCGTCCGGTCTTTCATTACATGCAGAGGTATAACGTGCCCGACGAGAAGGTCTGCATTGCAACGCAAGCCTGCAACTATATCATCGGGCCTGCTCTCCATTTTCGATCGGGTTTGAAGGCGGTCTCGGAAGCTCTTGACTATGATCATCTCCCAAGGCAAGTGGAAGGAGGGTCCCCGGGACGAGACGCATGGAACACAATGTGCTTGCTCGTGGAAGAACGATTGAACTGGGTCGAGGACTTCGCCAGACAGACCCTGACGCTTCAACATTGTCACAATGCATCAGTACGTGCTTTATCTGCTGCCGCGCTTTCCTATCTGATCTCTCCCAAGTGCACAGGGGAACGGCAAGGACTCCGGCGATGCCCATGCGGTGGCGCGTATTATTGCTCGCAAACCTGCCAACGAGAAGATTGGCCACGGCACAAGGCCGACTGCGACTCCGGTGCGCCTCTATTTTCGACATTTTCTCCTCTGAAGTTTTTGCTGACCCTTCGACAGTAAAATTCGTTGCGTGGCATGGCTTCGATATCAGGCGCCAGTCCGACGTGTACTACTTGCGGTTCTGCGCCAATCGGGACGCGGCGCAGCGGCTGGAGTCGAAAGGAACCGAGGAAACCTTGGTCGTCGACTACACAGAGATGGTGCCGGAAGTCAAGATCTGCTCATGTCAAACCTGTCTGCAAGCCGACGGGCAGGGTTCATTTTGTGTGCGCCTCGGGACATGCTCGAGCGTTACTGCTTTACGATTCTCGCAAGACTCAAAACCTGCTCATATAGAATAGACGTATACTCATCACTAATTTACACTCAAGTATCCTAGTCCTACCTAATACCAGCTTTGCAGAGAGTGCCAAGCGTTAACATGTCTTTCTCGAAGTTGAACACGAGCGCACGAGGTCAGCGCGTGACACCGACGTCCCCCGACGTCACGTCACCGTGCGCGCCAAAATTTAGCACCTTGCTCACCGACCACCGCGACCGCTTCCCCAACCATGAACGCCTCCCTCTTCCGCTCCTGCACCGCTTCCCTCTCTGCGCGCGCCTTGACGCGGCCTGCTGCGCGCGCTGGCGCCAACATGCCCTGCCGTGCCGCCCTTGCCCGGCGGTACTACTCGGAAAAGGCGCCGGAGTCACCCGCCGCGGACGCTGCAAAGGAGGAGCCTGCTAAGGACGAGGGGAAGGCAGCTGAGGGTGCCTCTCCAGCGGAGAAGGAGTGTCTGGAAAAGCTCAAGACCAAGGAGGCGGAAGTTGTCGACTTGACGGTGCGCATACCTTGACTATTCCAGCATATCACTGCTAAACCTCCATGCAGAGTCGCTTGCGCTATCTCCAAGCCGACTTCCTCAACCTCCAGCGGAATGCGTCGCGCGAAAAGGAGCAAACGCGCGACTTCGCCATCACCAAGTTCGCGAAGGACCTCCTCGAGACCGTCGACGTCCTCTCCCTCGCGCTCAAGTCCATCCCCTCTCACCACGCCCGCCCCCAAGCCGACGCGCCCCCACCACCCCAGTCCGCGGACGGCAAGCCCGAGAAGGGCCCCGCGGAGTACCTGCACGAGCTGTACAACGGTGTCGAAATGACGCAGCGGCAACTGCAGTCCACGCTGTCAAAGTACAACGTCAAGCCGATCGAGCCGCTGGGCGACAAGTTCGACCCGAACATGCACGAGGCGCTCTACCAGGCGCCGATACCTGGTAAGGAGCCCGGCACGGTCATCGACGTGCAGAAGACGGGGTACATGATCAAGGACCGCGTGCTCCGTGCCGCGCAGGTCGGCGTCGCGCAGGAGACGTCATGAGCGGGATGGATGGACTATGCATAGTGATGAGGCGACACGAGTACGAGACGACTACACTACTACATGACGACGCTGTCCATAATTCACGTATCACAACTCCCCGACCACTCACTAGGTCCTTGCTGACCAACACGATGGGCATACCATCTCGAAAATATCCATGATCACTCTGCACTGTCGTTGAGCAGCTCGCATCGTTGCGTGCGCAGGTACATACTACGACCTACAGGGGTACGTGCTAGTAGTGGCTGTCTGCAGACTCCGTACAGACAGCGGAGGCGGAGAGGTTATAACGCCGGTATCACAGCGCCATAGCGCATCTCGACCTCTTTCCACACTGCAACCTCACGTACGACCACAAACCCGAGCCGCTCAAAGAGCCGGATGCTGGGAGTGTTCGTACTGGAGATGCGACAGAGCAGTGAAGTGGGCGGTATTGGGAGTGGTGACTTGTACTCCGCGGCTGGTGGCGCCACACTGGCCGTGTCAGGTGAAGGAATAGAGACATGTCGTGGTGCAGGCACTCCTTTCGCCAACGGAAAGGCACCGCCCGTAGCATAGTGAAGAAGCAGAGATATAGCTTCAAGAGCACGACCTTGACGGCGATACGCTGGTTCTGTGGAGCAGTGAGCGTCTGCAGATGAAGGGAGCAGCAAGTATGCAGGGAGAAGAGGAAGACTACGCGACCACGGAGAGTGATGCAGCATGCGCTTGTCATGGTGCAACCCTCGTCAAGAGGACAGACTACACCCGTTGGGTGAGTTGACGCGACGACTGACGAGAAGGTGCGTACCTGCAATCATGATTTCTGCCTCTGCGGTGAACTCGTCCTCTACTGTCTCGTCGTCGTCCTCTGATTTCGCTTTAGGTGGAACCTCGATTGTGCTTCGCAAGTCCGGAGGGACCCCTTGAAGAAAGAGGTTCACGTCTCCAATCATAGGCAGAGCGTCAATTGTGGCCACATCAAGGTGCGAGTCATCGCCCGCGTCCGGCGTACGCGCAAGTATGATAAACGTGAGCTTGTCCTCGTCGACCTGCCATTTTTCTATTCTCCCAGGTTATCAATGTGTTGAAGACGGGGAAGGGGATCCGAGGCACTTACGTTGCATATCGTATTCGGCTTCGATGCACAGGGGTTCGCTGGCGGTCAACTCCTGCAAAGTCGGATCCTTCATCCATTCGTGGTATTTCTGAGCAGAAATGCGTGAGGTTTGCTTAACACTCAAGAAGGCAGACCGATGAACGGGATGCTGAGATATGTACACTCACCGGGACATGTTTTCTCTGGTAAGGAACTAGAACTACGCTGCGACCGACCAGCGCGGTGTGTTCGTTGGCTCTCATGTTGATTATCTGCTGATGGAGAGACACTACAGCGTGTTGGGCCCCTGAGTAGGAGGAGGGGGGGTCGAAGCTTGCACGCTCGATGGTTCTGTTCAGGTTCTAGTTCGACTGGCCGCGCCGCGGCACGGCGCCATGTGAGAAGCACGTGCAGCCACGCGACGCATAAAGAGTTCAACTTCGAAGCGTGGGGCTTTTAGCGCAAACCATCAACTTGCTGGGATAGCATGATGTCGAACACCCTCGTTGACTTCGTCACTGCTTCCATGACCCCTTCCTCCTCTAGGCAACGTAGTCAACCACCCTGGACTTGACTCAGGACTGGCAGATGGATCGAAGTCATGACTCCCATGGAGTCACGACAGATGCTCGGTTCAGACGACTCCAAGCTTTCTCGTCTCCGTCGCCCTCGGCTAGCCTGAACTCGACGTGACCCAGTTTAGCTGGTGGAGGTGTTAAAAGGGCGGGGCAATAGACCGGTAACGTCACGACTCGTCTCCCTTCCAGCTCTCCTCCAACCACCATGTTCGAGGACCGCATCCCTTTCGACAGAGGAGTCGCCCTGAGATGGCTCCTTCCCATGTATGCGGTGACATACTTTCAGGCTGTCCTCGTACAACTGCCGCGCACTCGCATGCTGCGCCTTGCGTTGCTGCCGATAGGCCTTTACATCATGTACACATGCGCTCATATCGACTATACGGCGCATCTGGACGCAGAGTTGCGCCAGAGGATCTTGTTCCTCAATCTGCAGGCTGCGGTACGTTTGCTCTGGCTTTTGTCTTCTGTGACTACTGGCTGACGCCCGCAGACGAACACGTTCGCCGTGGCTATGGTCTTCACCTGCTTTGCCGTCGCAAGCAGGCCCTACAGGCCCCTGGATCGCCCGAAATCCACCCTGACACGAGAGCCCAAGCTTGAATATCGCACCTTCATCAACGCAGTGGATCTTTGCACCAATGCACGAGGAATTGGCTGGGATTGGGACGTGACCGCGCGTCACACTGAAGGAAGGTGGCAAATGATCAAGAAGTCTGTCGTCTCCTTCCTAATCCACACCATGCTCGTCGACCCCACTATCATCATCATGCACACTCTCAACCCAGCGTTGAAGGATCCCTCAGGCGCCTCGATGTATATGCCAGCTGCCGACGGCCTTCTTTCGTCTATCATTGCGCACTTTTCGCCCGCTATTATCACTATCTGCATGGGCCTCAACATCTACGCCGGCTCCGTGTACGTGTACGACTTCGTTCGCATACTCGCGCTACTCGCCGGTGATGATCCCACGCGATGGCCACCCTTATTCGATGAACCATGGAGGGCGACGTCGCTGCACGATCTGTGGGCCAAGCGGTGGCATCAATGGTTCCGGCATAGCTTCTTGGTTCTTGGAGCGACGCCAGCACAGGCCGTAGGTAACAGGCTAGGCGGAAGGACTGCTGGCCGCCTCGCAGGGCTGTTGGGCGGCTTCGCAGTATCCGTCATCCTGCATACCGTTGGGCTATGGGGAATGGGACGCGGGGGTGACCCATACCGCGTAGGGGTGTTCTTCATGATGATGGCAGTGGGTATGATCATCGAAGAGCTCTACCGGATGGGTACTGGACGGCGCGTGAGCGGCTCAGTGGGGTGGTTGTGCACCTGGGCATGGATAATCGGGTGGGGGCAATTTCTTGTGGAGGCATATGCTCGCAAGGGCTTGATTGGACAGCAGTGGTTCCGGCTATGGACTCCCATTCTGCAGGACCTGGGTTGGCTGTAGTATTGCATGCAGACATATGCCGGATCTCGTTGATGTCCTTCTGCAGAGGCGGTAGTTATTTTGCCGCTTGCCATTATAGGCCCTTATCAAGGCATGATAAGCAATGTAGGTCCGAAGATTCGGCCATCACCGCTCAGTCCGCCGCTCGCAGGGGCCAACGGGCTGACGCAAGAGTCCCTTCGCCGCGGACGACCACCATCCAACGTCAAATTTCGCCCCTATGCAGCGAGCAGGCCGGGAAGCTCGTTTTTATTGACACAAAATTCCTCTTCCCAAACCCTCACGGCGACCTCGCATCGATGTACGTATCTCCTATTTCCTCTGCCATTCAGCCATATACTGAGTGGGTTTTCCCCTGTTGTCAGACTGCCACCCCCAGACCAGTGTCTTCATGATGGAGGACGACCTTTGCAGGACCGTCAGAGGTCGCGCCGCCCGGCTGATACCGCTCCTGCACGACACAGCGGAGGGCTACACGCATGGGGAGATGGAGCACTCGCAGGCTATGGTCAATCTCAACGAAGGTCAGCTCGTCCGAGCGCACCTGGCGGCGCACATCGCAGAGCTCACGCGCACGCTCGATGCGCTCGACCTTGGCATCGCCACCTGCCGTACAGCGGTCGTGCCCGTCAACAAGCTTCCGCCTGAGATTCTCGGCGAGGTCTTCGCTTGCGTGATACACGAGGCGGCGTGCGCGACGGACGTGCGGCGAGGGCCGTGGCTGCTGTCCCACGTCTGTCACCGGTGGCGCGCGCTCATCCGCGACATGCCCGCACTGTGGACCGTCGTGGACGTGGGGGACCATGCATTCTCGAGGCGCAACGCACATAACCTCGTCAAAACATACCTGAAGAGGTCCGGAAAGTTGCTCGTGACCTGCAGCTTATCCGCCTCGCCTTCGCAGCCGGTTGCCGCGGTAGAGACCTTGTTCAACGTGCTCCTCCTCTACAGCGCTCGGTGGCGGAGTGCGTGCTTCGCTCTGGACGCGATATGCTTCGACCGCCTTATGCCGCCGCCCAAGCCGGGATTTGCGGCGTTGGAGAGCGTCGAACTCCATCTCACGGGTAAGCCCGATTCCGCTGGTGCGCCTCCACTCGGAAATCCCCTCTTCGCAGCGGCGCCGCGCCTTCGCAGGGCGCTCGTGTCGGGCACCCAGCATCGCGCCTTTTCCTTTCCCTGGAAACAGCTGGAGTACTACGTCGGCCAGGTCGTGACGTATGATGGCCGCTGTGTTCTTCCCGAGATGCGTGCTCTACAACGTTGTAGTCCCTCCGTGCACGCTACCCGACCCATTCCACAGCCACCGACACCCCACCTGCTGCCTTCTCTCACGAAGCTATGTGCGAATCATGGGACGATCATCGACGCGATTTCTACGCCTATGCTCGCCGAGTGCGCTTTCGGTAGCGGCCCTCGGCTCGAGCAGATCTCATCTCTAGTCCAGCGCTCGGCATGTTCTCTACGCGTCCTGCGTCTCATCGACAACCCGATCCCTCTCGACGGCGTATTAAACTTGCTTCAGCTCTGCCCGGACTTACGCGAACTTGCCATCGGCTGCATGCTGCGTGCGGACGTAGAGATATACTGCGTCCTCACTGCACTGATGCCGCGCCAGGGCGGAAGTTCGCTAGTCCCCGCCCTGGAGCGTCTTTCCTTCAGCCCTTTCCAACATAGCTTTGACTGTACCCCATTCGTAGAGCTCGCTCGAAGTAGATCTCCCGCTGCCGGTGGACGATTACTCAGTATCAGCATCCTCTTGAGTCAATGTACGTTGGACAACGCGGACTTGTACGATACACTGCGAAGGGACGCACCCGAACTTGGTATACAGGAGGTCATATTGATGGAGGACTTCAGTGTCAGCGACGATATAGTCAACTCGTGGCTGGATGTATAATAGTCTTTCTGGACTATAGAGGCAGGCTTTCTAGTGTGTTATCTATTTGGAAAGCACCACCTCATCGTCGGCCACCTACCACCTGACCCTTCTGAATCACAGACTCAAAGTTCAGATACCTCCCACCGCCAGCTTACGCATTCCGGAAATGCTGCGCTAACCCGCGCATGACGGGGACAATTTCATGTACCTCTGCTCCTTGCACCCGTCCAGTCTGCGTTCCCTGAGATTCTGCGCGAAGATGCCGTGTACTCCCACCCGCCTCGCTGGTCCGACGATTCGATCGGCGCGCGTGTATGGTCCTTCCCCCAACTGTGACACACCCCTCGTCTTCATCGCAGCCCGACACGTCGAAAACATCAGTCCTCAAGATTCGAGAAGCTGAACAGAGTTGACCAGGGAACACGGAGTGCCATTGTTTTCTTAGCATAATCCATTGCCATAGCGTAACTCGACAGGCTTGATAGAAGAGCCCTGTACACTACCCACCTCTCCTACTCCAATTCGTCCAGTCAAACTGCCTCTCCGGCTTTGGCGGATCCTTGTCTTTTGTCCCTTTCGCCTCCCCCTTCTCTTTGACCTTCCCCTTTTGCTCACCCTTCCCTTTTGTCGCCTTCGCTGCCTCCCTCAGGCTCTTCGCGATTTCGTCTGGCGGGAACTCTGGTCGAGGGAGAGCCGATATGGGTACCAGAGGTTTTGGCGGAGAGGCATTTGGACGTTTGGGTGGAGATGAGGTCCTGGACCCCTGCGGAGAGATATGCGAGGAGGATGGAGACGAGGTTTTGGGGCGCGATGAAGGTGAGGCCCCGAGGCGCGACGAGAAGCCCCCGCGCTTAGCAGCGAACGGGTTCGCCTTCTTGGTGGCCGGCGTCGACGACGTCGCTTTAGCACTCTGTTTGGGCATCGCAGAGCCCTGAGCCGACGCCGGAGATCCACCAGCCGCAGCCGCTCGTCCCTTTTGCACATCCGCTTGACCCCCTACCACCGCCGCTTGTTCCCCAGCCACAGCCGCTTGTCCCCCTACTTGTCCCCCTGCCATAGACGTCGGCATCCCCCAGGCCACCCCCGCGTCCAGCTTGGGTCGCTTGCGCGAGACGAGGAAGGCATGCGCCGCTTTGCTCACGGCGTCCTTGTTGGATGAGATCAGGGCGGGGTCAAGGCGCGTCAGGGCAGGGTCAAGGCGCGATCCCTTGCTGGACGGAGTGATAGCCTTGCTGGACGAAGTGATGGAGTGTTTCTGGCGCCGCTCTCCCAGTTTAGGCAGCGAGGAGTAGGGTGGCGGGGGCCTATAGAGCGTAAACCGTGGGTCCTCTATCTCTAGGCGGGGTTTGGCAGATGCCTCCAGTCGGTATTTGGTGAAGGGACGGTTTGAAGAACGATGGAGCGATACGGTCGAAGGCGAGTGGCGCGACAGACGAGCTTCGGGAACGCCGTAGAACTGCCGCGCGTTCAGGCGGGACGCGAACTCGCGGGAGTCCTCAGCGACCTCGGGTGCATCAAGAAGGCTAGCGATATCATCGCTAGTCGGCCCTATCTGGTCTTTTTCGACAGTCGTCGCAGGCCGACATGGGGGATATAGCAGTTGGTCCGTAGCTTCAGGCGCATCTCCTTCTCCCGCGGAAGCGATCCTCGAGTTCCTTGCATCAAAGCCGACGTCGTGCAACTCGTCATCAGTGCGCAACCGTTGAAGAGCTGGATATCGTTCCTGCGCGACGGAAAGCGTGTAGACAGTCGTCGAAGAATGCAGCTCGGGCTGCTCCGTCTGCAAGTTTGCGAGGATGAGGTCATGCGGCGTAGGGTGGAATAGCCTTGCGTTATCGCACGGGCTGAAAGGGAATCCACCGTTGCTGGGTAATCTTCCGGAGCATGCTGTATCGCGAATATCTGCTCGACCTTTGTTATGACCTGTTCCAGCCAGAATATAAAGATCCGTACCTATAGCGCTCAGGAGAGGAAAGAGCAGAAGATACTCAAGCACCTCGTCCTTGACCGCTTTACACCCGCGAAGAGACAGAACACGCAGTGCTCGTGGACCCTCGTGTCCGTCCGGCGCGCCAGTACGCGGCCGAAGCAGCTTAACACCGAGCGCGGATACCCTAGTCTTGCTGATGTCCAGCGCAGCCAGATGGCGCAGCTCGAACAACTTGTGAATGGTCTCATCTCTGAGATTAGAACTCCCAGACAAATCCAATACAACGATAAGACTGAAGCGCTTCGTGCACTCGACGCGCTGCAGGAGCGGCAGATACTTGTCGCTGAGCGCGAGAGAGTACGTAGAGAAACAGGACGGCAGTCCAGTGAAGACCTGCACGATGACCGCCCAGAGTCGGGGTTCGAGCGCATTGTAGTCGAGCGTGTTGTCGAAGTACGAGTAGGATGGGATTAGGGTGCGGAGGATGTCCGGATCGCCTTCTGTTTCTGGTGGCACGTATGGTAGAGAGACGCGTCCTGCGTACTCTGGATAGTCGACGAGTCGGCGAATGCAGAAGTAAGCAAGACTGGGCACATGGGTCCAGGGAAGCGTCTGAGCGCGTTCGTATGGCCCAGGAGTGGCGCAACTTGAGGGAATTGTGGGAACGCCATCATGAGAGTGCGAGTGTAATATGATGGGTGCCATGCAACGGACCAGCACCAGGGCGTCGCAGAGACAATGGTGGTCCGGGAGAAGGCGCGGGCGTGGGATAATCATCACCTGCCCTCCGCATGTTGAACTTGACACGTGACCGTATTCCGTTTGTGGCGTGGCACCTTGCACCTCAGTATTACTGCTTGAATTCGCACATAAATCTACTTGCGCGTGCAGAGTAGAGTTGTTGGCGTACATTCTATCCAGTGTGTATTTCATCCTGTAAAAGGGTGTGTACATGCTGTGAGGCACCAGTGCCACAATATCCCAGACTATGCTATCCTTACTATACGTCTTCTCCCGAGCCCAGGCTCACTCCTTCCTTCGTGACTGACCACCCTGACCCTACCTCCCCGCCTGACTCAACACATCGATCACCACCTCCTCCTGCTGCGCTAGCCACAGACCAAACGCCGGCGTCTTCAGCCACCTCTCGTAGAACTCCACCCGCTTCCCGCTCGACCGGAACGGCAGCGTCGTCCCGTGGGCTTTCAGCGAGGCGAAGAAATGCGTGGTGTTGAAGGGCTTTAGGCGGAGGGGCGGGGGTGGGTTGTGACTCGGGCTCCTTGCATGATTATCTACGCTTGGGGGTCGGAAGGTTTGCGAGGTAAGCACGGGGTCGGAGGGTATGGGCGTGTATGATGGGTGCGGATTTGACGATGTAGACGACGCCGAGGATGCATGCCCGCTCGAAGGTGTGCTCCACCCCGACTGCGCGCTGGCAACCTCGGCAGGTGTAGGGATGAGGGTGTTGAGGTATCGGGAGAGGGGGAGCAGCAACTCGGTCGTGCGCGTGCAGAAGTGGCGGCGGAGTAGCAAGGAGGCTTGGAGTACTGGATGGGAAGATTAGCACGGAGGCGGGCGAGTGGGCAAAGTGTAAGGGATAGGCGTACAGTTGACCTCCCCTCCCTTCTCACAGGCAGTCTCGAGCTGCTTCAATAACGACCGGTCTTTAGAGACGTAGCGCTTATGCGTCTTCGTCTTCCAACCCGGTCGAGGTCCAGCTGTGGCTTGTGCTATTCCCGCAGAGCCACCTCTTGACGGGTGCAATGCTATGGAGTTACGCTCAGAGACTCGCTTCCTGGGAGTGCATTAGACGGTATAGCACGGACGGGGATGACTATCGCATACCCTAAACTGAGTATATGGGGCCAGTGCGCGCACGAACGTTCGAAGAATGGGTTCGTGACACCGAGAAGTAGGCCCGATTTCGGAGGAAGCTTGTTCACCAGGGCAAGGTGGTCGCGGTCGTGTATCGTAAAGTATGGTCGTATGTCCCCAGCTAATGGTATCTGATGTCCCAATCAGTACTTGACGCAGTCCGAGAGCAAATAACACTCACCGGCCTCATCAAGTCCCTTAGCCACCATACTGCCTGGCTCGTCTCCGCAGGTGACGCGCCGAACAGCAGTATTGGCTCGTTGAGCACAAGGCACTCCCATATCGACCAAATATGCGGCAACGACGCTTCGAACAGCAATATCGCAGGCGGCAATAACGACGCGGCCGTCGCGGGTATCATAGTCTGCAACGACGCGTTCACAAGCCGTTCCGCGACGGAGGGATCGAGGGCCTGCTGCTCGTCGATGGTGCGAGGTATTTGGGCAGTGACGACGTTCCCGAGGAAGCCAAGCTCGACAGTCGAGCCCGGTGTTGGTGGAGGCCATGTTGCAATGTTGTGGCACGCGCTCTCGAGCATGGGGACGCCATGCTCTTCGTAGAGGGGTCCTAATAGAGACATAACGGCGGCGAAGAGGGCAGGGTATTGGTGGTGGGTGAGGATGACGACGGATCGCTGTGGCGCGTCAGCCGAGGTCAATGACGCAGCGAACGGACACGCACCTGCTGATACCCTCGCTTTATGCTCGCATCCTTTCGTTGACTGAAGTGCGCGAAGCCGTAGATGAACCCATCGATGGTGGGCGGCCGCTTCTCGTTGCCTATCGCCTCGTCCTCGCGTATGCGGAAGGAGTGCGCTTGCGCGCCCTGCTCGAATTGCGCCGAGTCCGGGAAGGAGGAGAACGCGCTAAGGAGGACTGAGCGACTTCAGACGACATCCGAGGGCGGGGAAGCACAGACTAACATGTTTTCGATTTCGTCCGGGTAGAGGAAGAGCGGCGGGTAGATGCCATCGACGACGGGGCCGTGGTCGATGTCGAAGTTGACTGCATGGAGGGAGCGAGGTCAGCAAAGGACAATGCATGGAAGGAAGGTATCAATGGTACGCACCGACAGCAATGCCAAGTATCCACCTGCGTATCTTGTCCGCGACCGTTGTATCCACAGAAAGCGAGTCCAAGATCGACGGTCGCCGGGACCGCACCGACGCCGTCCTCGGCAGCGTCTGCGATCGCGACAGGGACGACTTCCGTGCCCCCAACAACAAACTCGGCGATGACGGGGACCCCCACCCCAAGCTCGCTCGCTTCGAATGTTGTTGCCTTGCGCCCTTCACCGGCGTGGCGTCCGGCACAAGCGCGGACGCGACGTTCGTAAGGGAGAAGCTTGTGCGGACGGTGCCCACGTCGATCTCGTCGTCGTCCCAGATATCATCAAGGCGGAGGTCGGGCTTGGACTTGGGCATGGCAGGGAGGTGGTGGGATGAGGAGAGGAGGGCGAGGGGGCCGCCTCCTGGTCGCCCGTCGCCTGGTTCCGGGCATTTGGAAGGCACGAGGGTCAGGCGCTTCTTTCGCAGGTTCTCACGCGATGTCTAGATCGGCGCGACGCGTCCCGCCGAGGTCGCGTCTGAAGTTTGAAGAGCGAAAGTGGTCAGATGAAGTTATTGGCAAGTACTACATGTCGACCTAAATGCGATCTAGAGAAAGAACACAAGTCCAAGAAGCGTCTACACCGCCTCTGAATCTAGTCGATCAACTTCAATGCGCCCGCTCCCACTGCACCTCCGGCCACCGGTCGTGTAAGTCTATTCTCACCAGCCTTGACCGAGAAGTTCGCGCTCGCAAAAGCATCGAAGTTCGCGTAGCCTACGTACTGTAAGCCACACGTCAATGCGTAGCGCGAACAACTCACTGATATTCCGCATCGCATAGTACGTCGCATTCATCCACTCAGGCGAGATCGTCAGTGCGAAGAATCCGCGATAGTACCCCTCGCTCCACTGCAGAGGAGCATTGGCTGCGACAAGGGCGGCAGAGCGATTGTCAGCGGCGGCAGGCGCGAGAGATCCGAAGGATGATCCAGAAGTGACAGCAGTGCCAGCGAATTCGACGCCTAGGGCGCCAGTCCCCGTCACTGGATCGTAGCTAGCGCAGATGTCAGTCTATGTGAGGATTGAAGTTGTTATTGACGTCCACCTGGTGTCATTGGGGTCTATATGGAAAGGTCAAGGTCAGCATACCGGGAAACGAAACGTGACGAGACGTACAAGCAATATCGGACACCCAATTTGCGTGGCTGTCCCCGGAAAGCACGATGGTGTTGTCGATACCGTTCTTCGTGATATGATTCAAGATGCGCGCGCGATTAGCAGTGTAGCCATCCCAAGCATCCTGTACAGGGGGGATCAGCAAACCAGCGAAGGACCAAGAAGGTAGAACGAGAGCGCACGTAGTTGTCTACACGAGGGGAGTGGCGTCAGTCAGCAGCTTGAGGTTCAGGCGCATGGATCGAGGAACACTCACATGAACCTTCATTGTCGAGTTGCGTGAAGACGATCTGTTGCCTGCGACACGTCAGCTCCGACAAAAACAATGGCGCATACTACGCACCCGACGACCTTCCACACAGCTCCTCGATTCTGAGACTGCGAAAGAGAGTCGGCGAACCCTGAGCATGATCAATTGCTGTCGGTAAAGTACAGCAAGCCTACGACTCACATTGCTCTTGCTCTGCACCCATCAGCGACCTGTTCGCGTAGTTCGCTAGACCGGCGACAACTGAAAAAGATGTCAGTAACTTCAAAACGGAACAAGGACGCACTCACAATCCGTATTGTAGTACACCTGTATGGCGTGAGCCTCCATGACTTCCGTAGAGTGGTTGTGAGAGAACCTACATCCGTTATGTCCCTGTCATACTCTGCAATCCGGCATCGCCGTCAGCATGCCTGCTCTCGAGCCAAAACGATACCCTACTCACGCCTCGTATCCAACATGATCAAATCTAACAATTGCCCAACCTGGAACCCCCTCCAAATCCTTAACTTGTCATCCGCCGTTACCTGCCTCACCGGCAGCCACTCATGATACGCCCTCACCCCAGCAAGCTTCCGGTCCGTAAAGCACGCGCCAGAGGGAGAGAACGTACACCCCGACGCGTTATCGCCCAAAGCGACAGTGGAATCGTTGCTGTCGGCCGTGCCGGCTTTCCAGGCGTTGTCCGCGATCTCGTGATCGTCCCAGACGGTGATCCAGGGGTGATTCTGGTGCGCGGCGACGAGGCTGGGGTCGGTGCGGTACTGGGCGAGGCGCTCGCGGTAGTCGGCGAGGGTGGCAAGTTCGCGGCCGGTGACCGCGCGACCGATTTTGTCGCTGGATGGTCGTGAGTGATAAGAAGGAGTGAGTCAGACTCTGCTCACCCATTGCCAATGGATTCGTAGATCTACAAAGCTTGTTAGTGATCATCTCCCGCGCTGGACAGGAAGGACCAACGTAGTCTCCCAGATGGACGAAGAAGTCGGCGCTTGTGTTATAGGTGCCGACGCCATAAGCATTGAAGTAGCCTGTAAGGGCATGTTCAATGCATGTCATGACGCCTCAAAATTTGGGCGCACCGTTCTGATACTGGGAGCATGAATATACGGCCAGGGTCAAGGGATCGCCGCCGTTGACGCTATCCGCAGGCTCTGTCCAATCGCGTCAATGTCATCCTTCTGCTCTCTAGCGCAACGCACTTACCATCCGGACTCGGCAACGTCCTCGTTCTACCCAACGGGCTCACGCTCCCCTCATCCGTACAGTCAGCGAACTGATAGTACAGCACGGTGTCCTGCGGCAAGCCCGTCGCTTCGACCTTAACTGTGAAGTCGACGTCGTAGTTAGTGAAGGCCGAGCCGGAGTCGAGGGGAGAAGAGAGGTCCGGGGAAGCGGAAATGGTGTACGAGACGCAGATGGGGACGCTCTGGTCGGGCTGGGTGGCGGAGTCCGAGGAGGGCGCTGCACGAGTCCAGAGGAGGACGGAGGTGTCGTAGGGATCGCCCTAGCCGGAGTGTTAAGCTAGAACCAGGCCAATATAGTGTGCATACGTACACTCGCAACTACAGTCAGAGTATGGTCAGTGAAATATTCGCAAGAAGGGGAAATACGCACCAGAATGAGTAAAGTTAATGCCCCCATTCCAGACGTATGGGCTCTGCAGAGATGTTGAGACATGGGCGATCGCAGCTGTATCAAGGCAGCTCACATTGCTGAAGTCACCGCCGTAGAAGGTAGGGTAGTGATCGTCCTCGAAGGGCGAAGCGTCCTGCATCTGCCTCTTGGCAAAGTGGGCATGACGTTTCTCGATTGCTTCAGTGTCACGGGCAAGCTGCAATGACCAGGTCAGTTCAGCCTCATATCTTGTGAGCGGATACTCACCTTAGGTATGTCCACAAGGGGGGAGCGGTACACCATGTTACGATCCAGGAGCGAGGCCGCCGCAAGCGCGGTATGCGCACCGAGTAGCGCGTAGACCCAAACCATGTTGTACGGTGGGTATAGCTTTCACTGCCTGCACTTCTGCAGTCCTCACACTCACTTAAGTAGCAGCCAGAATGAGCACCCCATCCTTCAGCTGATCTGCAATTGGAGACACGTTCGTCGCTCCGAGCGCGTGCACCGCGGCGATCAGCATCTCGCGGGCTGCTCAAAGGGTGGGTTTGCCGTAATCAGGGTATTCATCGTTCGCAGAGCAGAGGGAACGTTCGAGGGCGAGCGAATCAGGTTCATCGAATTTCAAGGATGCAGCATGAGACCATGACGGTTGGGACAAGCCCGACCCGCGGGTCAGAGAACAATGGACGCGCCGGATTGCCATTGTTTACTCGCTACTTCGACTCGGCCGCCATCGTCTTCGTGTTGTACAGCGATGCTGACTGACTTTTGCGCATACCTTGCCAGTGAATCATCGTCTTGAAGTGGCCTCGAACTCTTGACCCTCGGGCGCGTAGGCCAGAGGGCCTGATGGCGACATGACTGGCGTGCTTATCGGTATCGCCGTCGCCCGTATGCCGCCCCATTTGTCAGGCTCAGCGACCCGGAGCCTCTTCCCCTTTCCCCCGAGGCACCCTAGCGGTCGTAGCTGTCCTTGACCTCCATTCTCTTAGCCTACCATGGCCTTCGGAACGGTGACGCTGAACGACGGGCATGCGGTTCGTCTACAGCCACCTTTGGAGACATACATCCCCTCATTTGGTTGATACGGATTCCCAGATTCCTGCAATTGCCTACGGCACCGGCTCCAAGTGGAAGCAGAAGAGCGTTGTCGAATATGTCGCTACGGCAATCGACACCGGCTTTAGCCACATCGACACGGCCCAACGTGCGTTGTCCCCAACCTCATTTCATTCCCAAGTTGCTTATATTTCATCAGAATACTCCACCGAACCGGACGTCGGTCAAGCTATCCGTGAATCCGGTCTTGCTCGGTCGGACTTCTTCGTGACCACCAAGTTCGGCGGCGGAGAGGTACAGGAAGAGTTCAATAAGAGCTTGAACAACGTGCGTATTCAACGCATGCCTCTCTGTCATCTGCTAAATCTCGTATGATAGCTGGGCCTCAAGCAAGTCGATCTGTACCTCATCCACTTCCCCACTCCGCGCATTGTGGGCGAGAAAGGCGTTGCGGGAACATGGCTCGAACTGGAGAAGATCAGGAACAGCGGCAGGGCGAAGTGCGATTGCCTACTGCCTATCATCACCCTTGTCGTACTTACAGAAGCTGCTAGATCCATCGGTGTTAGCAACTTCCAGGTCAGCCACCTGGAGTCCGTCGCCGAGGTGTCCACCATCACACCTGCAGTCAACCAGGTCCGTTCGGCCACTTCATACCTACAACGTAGGCGGGCTCATATTTGCCATCCCAGATCCATCTGCATCCCTATAACTATGCAGAGATGAAGCCCGTGCTACAGTACTGTGCGGCCCACGGGATCGTCGTTGAAGCGTACAGCAGCCTCGAGTACGTGGATACCTTGTCGTCAGTATCGTTTTCTTATGTGTCTCCTCGCAGCCCCATAACGAAGTTCCCGGGTGGCCCCGTCGATGCACCGCTTGTTGCCGCTGCCTCCCGACGCGGCGCTACGCCGGTGCAGGCCCTCTTTCTCTGGGTGCGCGCCAAGGGCGTAGTCATCGTCACGTATGTACTTCATCCTCCATGAGACGATTGCCCTCAACTTGCATGCAGCACCAGCTCAACGAAGGCGCACATGGAGGAGTATCTCGCTGTCGGCGACCTTGGTCAGTACCGCCTATTGCCCGACTCACGTCGGACAGCATGCGTCGCGTCATTCAGTAACTAACGCCGGGCCTCACAGAACCGCTAACGCCCGAAGAAGTAGCCGCCATCGACGAGGCTGGGAAGGACGGCCCGCCTCCTGTCACCGCCGTTATGCTAGCACGCCGTCAGTTGACCGCCCTTGCGCTGTGGCGCGTTGTGATACATATGATTCTCGCAGTGATTATGCTGACCTTGGGGTGGAAAACTGGCTGGCTGCTGGTGAAGGGCTAGATAGAGGGACGCTCCGGAGATCATCGTGATTGTATAGGGGGAATTTGGTGTCGTACTTCGACTGCCCTTGTGAAGCTTGTTGCGCCTGATTCTGTTGTGTCTGCTCCTTCTCCAGCGACTTGGTCATTGGGGGAAACGGCAAGTCCCGAGGTTGTGGGTCCTCATCGGCTCAATCACGTGCGCCTTTGGCGAGCGCCTGGTCATCGAATTCGCATCTTGCTCTGCACCTTGTCGATACCCAGAGCCGGTCGTGCGCGGCGCCTCCTCTGCAGCCTATAACGATATCTCGCCATGACACGCCTAAGCCCTACGCTCCAGTTTCAGATCGTCGCCCTCGAGCTTATGGGCCCATGTCCGCTGGACTGCGATCTTGTCGAGGTCAGACGTTCGCAAATCAGGAAAGCCGAAGCCCTCCTTCCGCGCACACGACCTTTCTCGGCTCTCAGCAAAGGCCCCCCTCCGCGAAACCCTGGCGACCCTCCTCTTCGCGTTCCGTGGCCTACCCTCAGTCCTGTGATCCTCGCGCTTCTTCACTTCGGCACGCTCAGCCTGCACTTACATTTTGCGTACAAGTCATCCTGCGACACATGGAAGCACCTAGCACCTCACATACCTGCTGTCGTCGACTGGCTCGACCTTATACTCCCGACGAACGGCAACATAGCAGTGACCTCGACTACGGGCGTCTACCTCGCTCCCAACATCGTCTTAGTGGCCCTCAGGGGGTTGTGTAAATCTGGCCTTCACGGCGAGGACATCCCCGGCGAGAAGACGTGGCAGTTCATGGCTCGAACGCCTGTTCTATCCTGGCTGCTCGATCTCTGGCTGAACTTCTTCGACTCCAGTATATACGACGGGGCTATTATGGACGACTGCGCTCATCAGACTATTGTCCAGCTGTACAGGTTCTCTTGCGGGGAGTATCATGCGCCATCGGACTCTTCTTCGTCCTCAGGCCGGCGGCAGAAGGGGCAACTTCCGTACGAACTCATCTCTCTGCTACGCGACAAGTCCAGTCGCCGCAATCTCTGCCATATCTCTGCGCGATGGGCTTCGGCGCTTCAGGAACGGGCAGAGAGCGACAGCAATGCTATCGATTTCTTTCGCCTTGGATGCGCTCTGTTGACCGTTCCCGAGCTATCGCCCGAGGTGTATCCCAAGAACGCCCTCAGGCGCCTTCTGCAGTGCCTTGAGCGGCACGCAACTCTCGGTCACCACGATACACTAGCTGAAGGGCTGCGCTACCTTGAAACCATTTGGCTCGTTACGGCGGACCACAGGACCCTTCAGTGGTCTATAATGGAGGGCGTCTTCACGATCATCCTGCGGGTCGTGGGCGGTGAATTGTCATCAGCTCTCGCCGAAGCAGTCACTCGCCTCACCCGTACCCTTCGACAATCTCTGGTCTTCTGGCGGGTCTTGGACAGCTTCCGGCGAAGGCATGACTCCGAGATGTCGCGACTGCGCCGCCTTGCTCAGGACCATCCTATCATCGCCGATGTCCTCACTGCGTACGACGCTCGGATTGAGCAGTTTCACATAGTGGAGAAGGAAGTTGTGGAACGGAAGAGACGATGCGCGCACGATGAGGTAGACTTCATTCCGACTCAGATCGCTCAGGCCTCTTCGCTGACCAATTTGCAGTGCCCGTCGCCGGAGTCAGATAACACCAATGAGCGGATGCGCGCTTGCGCATGTAGGAGCGTTTGGTATTGCTCTGTCGACTGTCAGAGGCAACACTGGACGAGCGAGCATCACGAGAAATGTGTATCTGGACACAAGAAACGGGGTATGTGTGTCGCGCAGCCCATCTTTTCTCGAGCGTGCCATTGAAGTTCTCCGTAGGGCAGACCGCCTCCCGCGACATACATTTTATTGTTGAGCTTGTCCTCGACTATTGGAAGAAAAATGAGCGACGCATCTTGGACGACGCTCTCGCCATTGACCCTCTTCGCACCCATCAGCTCGAAGTGTACATCGACCTTCGTCCTGCCGTTATCGACCATACGATCAGGCTTATGGGACAGAGGCCCTGCGAGGACACGGCGTGGGCAACAGAGCTATTCGCGGTATGGCTGGACCACGGGTATACCAATGTGAGCTGCGGTGTTTTCGAGATGCCGGGAGAGCATGAGGAAGCCGTACAGGATGAAATCGAGGACGAAGCGTCGTAAATCTGTTAAGAACATTTTATCTATCTGGATTCTAGCGATACCTTCGAAGTAATACCTATCCCTCTTCGATACTTGCCATGCCGAGTTGCCTAGACATTTTCTGAAATACTTGTCTCCCACATTACGCCAGCATACCGAAGCGAACCTGTCGCGCAGTATCATCTCGAAATGCCTGAGGGCGCTAAAGACTAAAGGTAAGGGTCCCAAGAGTACAAGTCGTAACCTCCGTCTATCAATTCCATCCTATCCACGCCTCCCTCACGCCAGCACGTCGAGACTAGCCCGCGCCACATAGTGTCGGACGGGTTTTTCGGTCCACCAATGACTACTCTATGCTGCAATACGGCTGGTCGAAGGTCGATGTCAAGCAGAATAACGTGTTGGCGATGTGGGTCCAGCACTAGTGCATCCGAGGTGATGCGTATTTGATTCGCATATAGATATTCGTAGGCAAGCGCGACGCCGAAGTGCACGTCACGCATGGTTGTCTGCCCTGCAAAAGCTGGTCAGAGGCGTGTGGTGGTTGACGGGCGAGAAGGCTTACTCTCGTCTGCGTAAAGGCATTGCTGGCGGTGCTCTTTCCAATGTGCACGCTGACACTCGGCCGAGCAGTACCAAGCTCCTCGACATGCACACGCACGCATGCGAGGTCTGCGCGTATTCGACACGTTCGGGCACTATACATATGGTCAATGAGCGCCTCTGCCGATGTACAGAGCATACAATGCGACTGACCGAGTGCTCTAGCGAGCATCGCTTCTTCCGTGCCCTCCAGTCCTCTCCCGCTGTCCGATGCACAGTGATGCGAGCGTCGTAAGCGGTCAAGATACCGGCCATCGCAGGATGCGAGTCCGCAACACGACGCAACTCGGGAATCAAGTGTGCGTTGTTGCGCTCAAACGCATCTAGGACGCGCCAAAACGCAAAGCCGTCCTGCAGACTCTTTCCCGCAGGATCCAGGGTCAGGATGGTTCCCGTCTTGCTCGCCAAGATCCGGAAGAACATGAGAAAGACGCCGTCGTTGAGGGACCACACGAGGGCTTTCTGCGTCCTTGATTTTGTCCATATGTCCGCGAGGTACATAAGGCAGAGGCCCGCGGCGCCGGAGTTCGGGTTATTGGCGTAGCCCTGCAAGGCAGTGACGAGGGCTCGGACGACGCTTCTGGGACAGGAAAGCGGCGCGAGTCCGGGTATAGAGCTGAGGCTGCTTGCGAAGCGGAAGAGCTCGAGCGCTACCTCTTCCTGCACTGGTCCTTCAAATAGTGTGGCGTAACGGGCGATGAGGCGGCACATGCGACGCGGCTGGTTCTGCAGTTTCTGCCGTATCGCATAGGCAATGTCGTCGGCGATGTGTATGCGGGGCTTCTTCTCGCTGGCGAAGCCATCATACGCGAACTTGTAGAGCAGCTTGACGGTCAGAGCCGCGGTGGATATTGACGGGCGTTTAGCGTAACGAAAGAGGTTGGTCCATAGATCCGTCACGTAGAGAAGAACGTGCGTAGAGAGCAGGTACTCGCGCATCTTCTCGACGCCGCCGTAGAGTTGTGGCGTGCACAAGCCGGTCAAGGTGATGATGATGGGGTAGCAGATAGTTAAATGTTCCATTGGCACGTCCTCCTCATCCCTCTTTACATTCCCGTTCATGGGATGCACGAAGTCGAGCCACTGTAGGACGACAGGAACGTAGGAAAGCAGGTGCTGGAAGACGACTGTCGGGTCTGCAGGAGGCTGAAAATTGTCCAGGTCCATGCAGAGCGCGCCGAAGTACAACGCGAGCGAGCGGATGACGTTCGCGATCTCAGGATCCTGCGGATGGAGGGGTTCGTCTGAGGGATTGCGCAAGGGAGGTTTGCCGTCGAGGTCGATGAAGGGGCGGCCGCGTCGGAAGAGACCGTCAAGCTTGTTCAACAGCACGCGTTGGTGGGCAGGATCTCGGTTCTCATTTGAGCGAGTGCTATTGTTGATTGCAGCCGTGAGTTGGGTTATCTGCTTCCTAGATTCTGCTATGCCGATAGCGCGCGCCATGCCGCTGTAGAGAGAGATGTCTTGACGCTAGATGGAGGCGAGAGACAAGCGAGCGATCCTTTCGCAGGCAGCCGAAATGTGGCGCGAAGCATATGTCATCACCGTGACCGCCTTCCCCCAGGAGTTCTCCGTTCTCAGTCAGTTTTCCGAACTTCACGCCCATGCTTCCGAGAACCGCGATCATATTTCTAGCAAGTACATGTCCAGTACCTAAGGAGGCCAACCGAAGAGTATAGATATATCGTAAGCGTTCGTCAAGCAGCAAGGGGGAGGGGTTAGCGCGTGCGGGGTCAACGATGCCAACAAGGGAGTCCTTCCACGATTCAGTCGTAAGTATCGGGTGTAGAGTAAGAGAAAGTAAGGGCAAAACACTGCAGTGGGCGGGGCGGAGGCGACGAAGCATGCACAAGGAACGAACACGTCGTAAGGAATGAATGAACGCGCCGTCCTCCACACACCCGGGCAATGCGTCGCACAGGCTAGCTGAGCGAGAGGGGGTAGAAAAGAAAGTAAGTAAAAAGTACAACGACCGCGGATTCAGGATCATAATCATAACATTGGCAAGCCACAGCCGCCGCTTACTCGCCCCACCAGCGCTGGGGAGGGCGCGAGGGTGGTGCGCGTCCGCGGGTAGGGGGAACGGCAGCATAGTACTCCTCCTCCTCCTCGATGACTTCGTCCTCGGGATGATGTGTGTACTCCTCGTGGATGATGTCGACACTGGTGGTCTTGGGTGCAGAACCGGTCTGCATTTGCACCGGTGATTCGGGGGCGGGGAAGGCGACTTTGCGGGTGCCAGCGGGCGGCGGAAGAGTGACGGTCTGGGTGGCGGTGGCGGTTACGGTCTGATACTGAATCTCGGTCTCCGATACGACGACTGGTGGTGGAAGTTCATGTTGAACCTGCTGCTGGATAATCTGGAGAAGCAGTCAGTACAACGTTGCAAAGATGACGAGGGAGGAAGGAGAAAAGAAATATGGCAGCTCCTCAAACACCACGCGCCGACGGGCCGTCAGTCGCAGACGCGTCGGTCACAAATCACGAGCAGGCGGGACAGCGTTACAACGCGATCGGACTCCGCGATCTAATGCTTCCGCGGAACGCGGTCACGCCCTGTCGCGACGCGTGGTATCTGTAGAGGAGCGAGGGGACGAGGGGGACAATAGAAGCGAAAGACACCGTAAAGTCCCCCAAGCCCGGACTGAGGGAGGCGAGTAACGCAATGGGAGTTTACGGACTGGAGTTCATTGACATCGCGTACCCCCCTCGTCTCAAAGCTCTGAACGGCGCTGGAGTGGTGGCGCTACCTTGGGTCTCCGCTTGCCCTGCGGCTCATAGAAGTACTCTTCCTCGACGGTCTCCGCGGGCTCGCCAGCGTTCCCGAGACGACTGAAAAGACCATCAGACGCGTGGAAGTATGAGTGTGGGAAGCTTACGTACATGAGTTGCTCTGTGATCCAGCTCTCGCGACGGGAAGCATCGTGTTCCCGACGGTTGACAACCTCCTCACGCTTGGAAATGTCCCTCTCGCGCTCGGCGACCTTGAGTTCACGGTCGATGATGTCGTCGATGCGCGGGCTATGCCAGCCAGGTGGGGTGAGCGAGTCCTCTTTGATGACCTCCTTGACCACGGTCTGCGCCGGGAGGGGAACGGTCTCGTACACGGTCGTCGGCACGCAAGGTGCGCAGGCCTGAGGAACAACACCACCGGGGGCACCGACGAGGAGCTCCGCCTCGCGGCGGGCAACCTCTGCCTCACGCTGAGCGACAGTGTGCTCGCGGGCGATGAGCTGCTGAGCACGCTTCGGGTTGAGGTAGCTCAGGACGCTGGTCGTTTGCTTTTCTTCGCCGGTAGCGCCACCACCAGTGAGTGGTGAGCTGCCGCCCGGCAAAGAGAGCATGACGGCCAGGACCGCAAGGATGAGAGAGAGGACGAGGAGGAGAGTCGTCGACGAGATGGTGCGATGGTGGTGGTGGGAGTGCGAGGAGCGCTCGCGCGACCGGTGTCGGTCACTGTGGTGGGATGTGGAAGGGTGGGCCATCCTGACGCTGCTGTAGTTCGTCAGTGTCTGGGGAAGTACGTGTCGATGCGAGACGTACCTAACCGATGAGCTGGGCGACAGAGAAGTGGCGGGGTTTCTGTGGGGGCGTAGGATAGACGTGGTGGAGGAGGGGAGAGGCGTGTCTGGCGTCAGGGACGTTATCTTCGGTCGTTTTTTCGCGTGAGGTCGTCAAAAATCGGGTTCGGTGTGTCGCGGTGGTGGTGGGGTGGAGGAAGGACGGAACGGGAAAACGAACCAAGTTTTTATCGTTTATCGGCCTCGTGTTTACGTCACAGCCACCGTGACTTATGTACACGTGGGTGTGACCGGTGCGCGGACACGTGTCACACTCGCCCATTGTTCTCCTCGGCCGCGATCGGTGCCGCGTCTTTGTTCTCACCACGATGTCGCTTCGGAGGCACCTCGCGTACAAGAGCCAGGGAAATGCAGCACACCTGGACGACGACGACGAGTCGCCTGCCGCAAGCCCATCGCGCAGCAGAATGAACGGCCCACCGGTCACCCCAGCGCGCAGTGCTCGCCCGTCCATAGGCCTGTACAGGTCGCCCGCATCGACACCCTCTATCGCGTCGTCTATCCCCTTTGACTGGGAAGCCGCGCGCTCACACAAGCCTGCCCCCTATGGCACGCCACTGCGCAAGAAGACCTCCGGTGTAGGTGGCGGCGCACCACGCAAAGCAATTGTTCGCAAAAAATCATTGTATACGAGGTGCGTTTACAAGCCACTAACTTCGTTAAGTGGCTCACAAGTAACAGGATAAGGGACATTCCCAGCCGCATCGCGTTTGAGTTTACGCAGTTCCCCAACAATGTCCCACTCCCCTCGCACCAAACCTCCGCCCGCATCCTCGGCGGTCTGCTGCACTTCCTCCACCTATGCGTCCGCGTCAGCCAGGGCCGCGCCGTTCCCGACTCTGAGCTTGGTTGGGAAGACATGTATGCCGAGGACACCGGCGCAAGCTGGTTCAGCTGGACCGTGCCCCTCACGCTCCTCCTCCTCGGCGCGGCCATCCTCAACGCCATGTACCTCTTCACGCGCGTCAGGATCTACCGCCTGCACCGGCGGCAAGACCCCGTGAGCTCGCCGAATGCAAAGTACGTGTCCGAGGAGCTCGACTTTGAGCCACTCGAGGCGCCCTCGATCAAGGAGCAGCTTTGGGGCGCGTTCACGAAGAGCTTCCGCTGGCTGCTCGGGATGAAGCCGAAGGCAGCGGCGAAGACGAGGACGGCGACGAGGATACTGCAGATGGAAGTCTGGACCCCGGGGGATGTGGAGACATCGTTGTTCTGCGTGTACTCGCCGGTGCATGCGCTGTTGTGGATGCAGACGGGCTCTTCGAACTGGATCATGATGTTCGCCATCATGGCCTTGGTCGGCTTCCAGGTACGTTTCTCCTCTTCTGCTTATGACACCTTATTGACATGATCATCCAGCTTCACGCCCTCTGCCACTCATTCAAGGCCCTCGTCAAGGACAAAGAAATTATCGCCGCCGAGGTCATGCATGAGTACAACGAAGGGGTACGTCCTTTCCTTTCCTCTTTAGTCCGCACTCTTGCCCCTTATCCCCTTGTACTCACCCCGCTAACACCCCAAGCAGTTCGTCTACCCTCGCGTCAACCCCATACGCAAAGACGCCGCCGTCATGACCCACCAATCGGAGATGGTCGACCCCTGGGAGGATTACTATTGATCGACTTCGCCGTGTTGAAATCCCGTTCATGGTCTGACATGATCGCTCGGCCAGCAATCATGCACGCGCTCCACGAATGCTCACGCAAGCTCAAGCGATGCCATGCCTCCGACGAACAAACGCCTATGCATGGGACGATTGCCCAACCCATACTTACCCTGATATGACTCCAGCGACACCTCTATCCCATCTGCATGCCCCGACCCCGACCACATACTGTACAGTACGTCCACAATGCTCACCATGCCTCTAATGCACATCACATTGCTTTTTCTGTACACCCCGCGTGCTCGGCTGGACTTCCCTCATGTCGCACCGAACGTCCTCATGCTGCTCTTTGCGCACGCCCCGTGTTGCGCTTGACATGCTCATCTCCGTAGGCGTGCTTCTCTTCGTGCATGTCACGAACAACCGCAAGTGCGTGGCCAACCTGTCCCTCGCAATCTAACCCTTGCTCTCACGCTACAGGAGGATCCGCCAACATGAGGGCTGATAACCTTTCGACATGGAGGAATTCTAGTAAGCTTTTGACCCCTTGACCGGAGCATTCTATGGGGAATGCGATGAATCCTTACTCCGTCGGGCCGTCGCTGGCAGAGCGGGGCGCGTGGTGACCTTGCGTCTTTCCTCCCTCCTGCGCTCACTTCACCGCTATCTGTAGCTGCGACGCGCATACACTGGTGAGTCCAACCTCGACTTCGTTTTTCAAAGCCTTGCTCACGCATCTTTTTCCAGCTGAACTGAAGCCCTTGACGTGATCCGATGGACGACCTAGCCCCAGACGCGCCACCCGTCGCGCACAAGCGGAAGCCTCTTCCACAGGAGGGTAACGATGAAGGAAGATCGCCCCGGAAGCGGCCCGCGCCGTGGAAGCCCCCAATTGACAGTGGCTGGCCACGGAGAGGGCGCGGTGGTGATGGTGGTTCGCCTGCAAGGCATAGCGGTGACTTACAGAGCGGAGGACTCGTAACGGAAAGGGGCGGACGGCGAGGAGATGGTTTGATGGGTCGACACGGAGACGGTCGAACTGGCCGACACGGCGATGGACGCAGCGATGCCGCTGGTGGATCACGCACGTCCAGCGTAGCTTGGGGATATGGCATGAATGTCGACCAGCCTGCGCCACCTACCCCTCAGCAACAGTCCCCTAGCACCGCGTCTAGTGGCAGCACCCAACCTCGGTTGCATACTCCTTCCTTTGCGGCGCCGTACACGCCGAGCAGGAGCGCGTCTGCAAGCCACGCATCGGTCGACGCAAGCATCAACTCCAGCAATGTGGGCATGCTCGATGTTACCGACGCCATGATCGCGCGTATGTGCAGCCCTCCTGGTGCGCCGCCTGCCGACCAGACCTTCCTCGACCACCTTACTGAGTACGTCGTCACCTTCTCTCGAGATGCACGAGCTGACCGAGCCGTCCAGCCTCCTCACCCGTGCCGTACGCTTGTCCGACCGGATACATCGTCTGGAGGACGAACTCTCACTCCGGAATCAGCTGCAGTTGCGGATCTCCGCCGATGCTAGAGCGGAAGACGGGGAAGAGGGAGAGATAGAGACGAGTCCGACGCCACCATCCATGCAGCAATCGCATACCGAGCAGGTGCTTCAGCAGCTCAAGGAACGGTACACCGTGGTTCTTGAACAGCTGGCTTCCTACCCTGTCACCCTTGCGTGTGCGGACGTCGACGCGGTAGCGAGAGAGGGTTTCAAGCAGTATGCAGAAGGGCTGCTTGCGACGGCAAAGGATGTGTTTGAGCGATACCAGCAGTACCTTCGACAACAGGAAGCCCAAGAGGCACGACAGGAAGCGCGACGCATACGACAAGAGATAGACCGCGAGGTGCAGGCTACCCAACACGAGTTCGATTCGGCTATGCGCGCGGTGAGCGTCTTCTCAGAATGACCCACGGTCCCAAGACACTGTTGCTGACACTCGTATATCAGTTGCTAGAGGACGACAAGCACACTGCACCTCTGACGAGTGCTCTTGACGCCCTCGACATGAGGCAGCGAAGCATACGCCGCCGACTGCCAATCCAGCGAAGCCGTCAGGTGGACGATGTGTTAGCGATATGCGTCGACCGCGCGTTGAAAACTTCGGGCGTCCCGCAACGTGTGGATGGGTGGGCTACGAAGACCAGGGCTGAGCTTTGCGAGACAAGGAAATCTGTCGAAGATCAGCTCAACCTGCGCCTGCGTGTTATCCTCGACCAGGCGGTTTTTGGTAAAGCGGATAGATAAAATACATACTACATCTATGATCTAAGCGCACTTGAGGTGTACGGAGAACGACAGTTGTCGTGAACGTAGGTGAATGGGGTCAATGAGAATAAGGATCGGTGTGGCATGCCACCCATGCGCGCAATTGATGCTAGATGGGGATAATCACATTGTTCTTGCCTCCGTGACATACGACCGCATTTTGTCCCGAACTCTGATAGGCTCTACCTCTCTCCATGGACCTCAATAGGAAAAGACCGATTCGCTGTCGCGCAAGTATTCAGACGACCCCCGAAAAGACCGCAGACTCACACCGTCAGTAGTATTTCCATCCGGATGGTACCCCCAAGGGCGAGGGATGCGGCAAGGGCACCCTCTGTGGCTTTCAGCATCCGAATGACCCGGGCTGGGCAGACGCGTATCTCGCGCGCCCCTTTGTGTCAAAGTCCCGAAATTACGCCTCTGAGGGCTGGGGGAACAGCGAACGACGAAGACCTTCACCACCCAGACGGTCGTCCCCACCACGAAGATCCTCGCCGCCTCCATACAAGTCTGCACGACCCCGCTCGTCCTCACCACCCTCAGGCGCGCGGCCACGGTCTCGCATCCCCTCCGCATCCAGTCGCCGGGACGACTCGCCACCCCCGCGTCGCCGATCGCGCGACCGTGACATGGATGTGCGCATAGGTCAGAAGCGCCCACGCAACGCGTCTTGGAGTCGCGAACGCAGCTCAAGCCCGCGCAGAGGCCCTCGTTACGATGACGGTCGATCGCGCGAAGGTCGGCGGAGAAGCGGGAGCAGAGGGAGGGAGAGAAGTCGCGAGAGGACCCGGACGCGTACGGACGAGCGGGAGAGGAGCAGAGAGTCGCGACGAAGGGAGGAAAGTGGAGGCCATCCCGGCGCTCGACCGCGAGATAGGACGCCAAAACGCGAACCAGGGCCCGAGCCATTGCTCAGGCGCACGCCGCTAGCACCGGCCGCGATGCGGAAGGCTAGCTGGGGTACAAGGTCCCCAACACCTCTTTCACGACGAAGCTCCTTCGCTACCCCAGGCGCGGCTTCTTCCTCTCATCGACTGGACACCGCTGAACGCCAAGCCCCATCCTACCCTCCCTCTGCCACCTCCATCGCGTTGCCACCTCGCGAGAAGCTCCCCTTGCTCCCTGATCATCAGCTACTTATCCAAGTTCTCGAGGAAGAAAGGGAGAAAGGAAGGACACGACCCCTTCTTTCCAGTATCGCAGTGCGACTGCTTCATCGCGAACCTGACTTGTACCGTCGGACGAAGACCAAGGATTTCGCAGAGTACATCGCTCGGGCGATCTCAGCGGGCATAATCACTCGGAATGGGCTTAACATCTCCCTTTCGGACAGGCCTGATCTCCCTCCAGCATCAGCTTTACGGACTTCAACATCTGGAACACCAGCAACTGCTGTACCGCCAGCCCCTTCAACTATGCCTCCTCCGCCACCTCCCACATTGGCACCCCCGCCACCACCTACTTCCCAGCCACCATCTTTTCCCGCGTCCATACCGCTTGTAGCACCTTCTTCCGCTTCCGCTGTTCAGGACCAGCATGCTTCACCTCCTTCCTCATCTGCGCCGTTGTTTAGTGCACCTCTTTCATCACCGAACAATGAAATAGAGAGGACTCGTCAGGCAAACACCATCTCCCTAGACTCCATCCCTCCGCCGCCGCCGCCGAACCTCTTGTCTACCTTGGCTTCTGAGTCAGTAACCACCAATCTTGACGCCCAAACGTGGGATGATCGAATACAGTGAGTCTATCTTCTTGCACGGCATCGCAGGACCTAATGAGTATCCAGGCGCATATCGGAGTACTTGCGCGCGTCGACTGCATACACTAGAGTCGACAATGACATAGTCGCCTCTCGAATGTATCGGACACCGGGCACCTCTGACCCACGCTCACCCGGTAACATGGCCCAGTTGCAGAAACACAAGGCAGAGCTCTTCAGTAACCGCGACAAGGCCTTGTCTGCCGTCGCCGATCAACGCATATGGCCTATCGACCCACGAATGGGCCCCTCGGAAGCGCAAGAGAAGCAACGCGCCGAGGCCCTTGACGAACTCGCTGCCTTCGCGAAAGCAGTCTCTGACCTGTACGAGCTCATGACGGACGTCTTCGCGCGCCATAAGAAGCAGCAGGAGCAGGAGCTCGAGGACGCGAAAGCGGAGGAAGAGGCCTCGCGCAAGCGCTCGCGCGAGGACGAGGAGGCGCCCGCGGGGCCGGAGCAGGAGATGGCAGACATATTGTCGAGGCTGGAGCTCGAAACGCGCGAGATGAAGGCCAGTTTCGCGGACCAGGAGGCTGAGATCCACGAGGACGTGGACAACCAGGTGCTCGAGCTCTGCGATGCGCTCGGGGCGCCCGAGACCATCGACGTCGACGAGCCCGAGGACGACGAGGACCTGCCGACCCCGGAAGAGCGTACCGAGGAGCAGACGCGCGACATGGAGCGGCTCGGCCGGAACGTCGTCGACGTCGCGCAGACGCTCGCCTCCAACGAGGGCGCGCACCAGGTGGTCATCAGGCAGCGCGACGAGATCGCGAAGCTGCGCGCGGAGGTCGCAGAGTTCGATCAGGAGGCGCCGCAGCTGCAGAAGGAGCTTGAGGAGCTCACGGCGCGGCAGGCGAAGCTGGAGGAGGAGCTAAGTGCGCTGATCCTGGCGTTCGAGGCGCACGTCGCGCGGCACCCACCCACGCCGCCTCGGTCGCCCATGCACCAGCCGATGTCGCTGTTGGAGGTCCCGGGGTATCTATCGCTGGAGCGGACGGAGGAGGGCGCGCCTGCACCGATCGAAGAGGACATTGCGCAGGAAGTGCGCGCCCGGTTGATGCCGATGCTGATGAATGCGCGGGACGAGGTCGGGCGGGCTTTCGCCACCGAGGGCGTGGAGTTGGTGGGCACGATCAAGCCGCAGCTGGCGAAGGTCGTGCGCGCGATGGAGGTGATGGCGCAGGTGGAGGCCGCGTCCGTCCGCCCTGTGCCTACTGCCCCGATGGGTGTCTGGGGTGCCCGTCCGGCATAGTGTGCTACCCTTTTGCGTGCCAGTCACATTATTATCCTTGCTTTCTTGCTCACCCTTTGCTGCCTGTTCTTGCTTTGACATCACTCGCTTCTTGTCCCTGCATTCTCACATGTTCTAATAATACGACCATCTCATCCACCATTTCTTGACTGTCACATAACATGTAACGATAGACATAGTAATAGAATCTAATCAATGGTAGTTGTACTTCAGAGCACGTGAACGTGAGAATACTCGAAGAATGTCGCACGTGCAGATCGGTGGCATCACGGCAAAGCTCTTTCCTGGTTCGGACCCTCATCACCCCGCCAAAACCCTGCCTTCAAACCCTTTAAGGCAACGTTGTCCATTCTGAGTAAATCATAGGCTTTTCTGTCTATCCAAGCAGTGCAAGGACACCAACGTAGCATTTGTGTGGCATTTGTTTGCGCCTTCGAGTTGGTCATAGAGGCATAGCTGGCTGTATTGCAGTCGTAATCAGGCCCTCAGCCTTTCCCTCCGACCTGTTCAAACCATTTTGCCTCCGTGAGCTATACAGTATGTCTGACCCAGCTGCTTCGGATACAAGGCAATGGGACCTTCATCCCGAGACGGAGTATCGCTTCGAGCTCGATCCTGGTACCACTGTAGCCATCAAGGTATGTGCACACTCCTCCACTTATGTGCACCTCAGTCCTCTAACTTCTACAGCTCCTGCGCGGCCAAGCCGAAATCTACGGCTGCGAGCTCGCGGAAGGCAAGAGCTACCTCTTCGGCGAGGAGTGCAAGGCAGCCGTCTTCACCTGGAGGGGCGCCTCGATCGAGATGAGTGTTCTGTTTATGCATAGCTAGACTGCAGCCGGCTGAACAAAAGGAAAGAACACGTCATAGGCCGCCCTTCGGTCGAATATACGTCAGACGAGACGCCCATGGCCGTATATGCCAACCTCCACATCGCGCTTGAGCAGATGCGCGTGAGGGCGCTGGCGAATATACGCGGGTCGCCGATTCCTGAGGGTCAGTGTATATGAACTTCGTGCGTGAATGGCTAAGACTGATCCCTGCATACGCAGACGAAGGCGACCCCGACGCTACCTCTGAGCCGCCGCGCGTCCTCATCCTCGGCCCCGAAAACTCGGGGAAGACCTCGCTTTGTAAGATGCTCGTCAACTACGCGAGCCGCGTGGCGCAAGGGTGGGCGCCTGTGGTAGCGAACTTGGACCCAGCGGAGGTGAGTGGGCGACTTAGCTAGCCTGGACTATGTTGTCTACCTATATCATCAACGAGCACGAGCCTAACCCACGCTTTGCAGGGCGCCTTTGCGCTTCCCGGTGCCATATCTGCCGCGGCGATTCCGGCTGCGATTCCGACTTGCACGCCTGCTGCGACGCTGGGGCTGAGTGCTTCGAGCGCTCCTATGGCGATGGCTGCGAACGCGCTGGTCCCGCTTGTGTATTGGTGGGCAGTGTCATTTTTTTCATTGCAGGCTGGCTGACAGGAAATCCGTAGGTACGGACACCCAGACGCGAAGCGCAATCCTCGCCTCCTGGAGCGGTTGGTTCGGAACCTTGGAATGGGGGTAAGCGACCGGGAGGATGCGGCGCGTAATAACGTGAAGGACAGCGCCAGTGGTCAGTCTTTGAGATGGTCAGATGATGGCATGCCTGACGTGTGCGAGTATAGCATATGCGTCTGGGTTCATTGTTGATACGCCTTCGTCCTTCGCATCCAGCACAACAGGTTTCAACGAGCACAGGCAAAGGCTCATCAAAGCTGCCGTAGAGGCCTTCCGAAGTAGGTCTTTCCTTTGCTATGATGGGATCTCAAGTTGAACTCCCTTCAGTCAACGTGATTCTCGTACTCGGCCACGAGAAGCTCAGCATCGAGATGCAACGCACTTACGGCTCGAAGCTCACAGTGGTCAAGATACCCAAAAGTGGCGGCGTAATACTACATTTTCCTACCCGTCGTATTCTAATCTGACACCTCGCCCAGGTTGTCGAACTCGACGCCGCATACAGGGAGCGGATACACGAATACCAGATGCACACGTATTTCTACGGCCACGTCCTCCACCCTCCACCCGGTGTATCTAACGCGCTCCTCGGAGGCGAGGCGGCTGCCGATCTGGTGCTCTCGCCATCTTCCACCGTCATAGGGTTCGGCGACCTCAGCATATATCGGATTGGGGCGGGTGAGTCTTTTTCTTTGTACGGTGTATGCACGCTAACTCCGCACAGAATCCATGGCGCCCACAAGCGCGCTGTCCATAGGCGCCGTGCGCCTCATCTCCGAGATGCAGCCGGTCCAAGTGGATCCTGCCGCTCCCGGCTCTGGCCTCTTGAACGCCTTACTGGCCGTCCTTGCTCCTCTGAACCCAGATGAGAACGAGCGATACGACGAAGAGCTCCTGGATCTGACGGTGTCCGGATTCATTGCTGTGTAAGTCCTTGCGGTCATCTACGCGATGTCAAACGGGCTGAACGCCTTACAGAACCAACATCGATGTAGCGAACAAGCAAATGACGGTGCTATGCCCCAATCAAGGGTCGGTGGTGGGCAGGACCGCTCTGATGGGGTCCTTCGAATGGCAAGAGCAGTAGTGGCGCATTATTGCAGCTACTGCAAAAAGATCTTGCGGATGTACATATTTTGGAGTGTACATGACATATATGGTGGCCACAAGCCACGGGTTGCTCGCTTAGACCAAGCGAGCAACACTGATCACACTCGTCTCCACCGGCTTCTCCTTCATTGAACAGCTATTATAGTCAGACTGCGTATTCAAAGTCTGTACAGTGGCCCTACAATCAATGTTTCTGCCTTGTTCTCACAGACGTAGGCACTCAGGCGGACACTCGAGCGTCGCGGGGAAATGGGTCATTCTTGATGGCGCTAGCGCTGTCATTCCCTAAGACGGGAATGCGTTGTCGAAGACTACAAGAGGACGGGGCGGCTGAAGAATATTGGGTACCTAGGTCGCTTTATTGGACCAGAAAGTACAAGTCTTTTGAAACACCTAATGAGGCCAAAACTCACAGCACGCAGCAGCGAAGGGCCAGCGCGCCCCGCTGCCCCGCTGCAGCATGTGACGTCACGCGGCGGTTGACGGTAATTGCCGTCATTTTCCCATACGCTTCCCGTGAAAACAGCCCTAATCTCGTGTGTTAGTCAGTGTTTCTCGCTCCGCTTTCTCCTCCCTCGCAATCTCTGAGGCTCCCTTGAGCGTCACTCGCCATTAGGCAGCGAGAGAAAGCGATACATGAGTTATCGTTGTTCAACTTGCGCGTGACCGGTGTCGGGACCGTCACGTGGTGTGACGAGCGCGCGTGACTCACGCCTTGTTCTCAACCACGACCTTCATATCACGGAAGAAGGCTCGCGCACGACTCGCGTATAATCTATATAATCTTGCCGCTTCTCTACGCAATATATGCCTCCCAAAAAGAAGTCACGGAAGTGTCTCGCTCAACGACAGCCGACGACGGCAGCTGTCGGCCCACCGACAAAGGCGCGCGTGGTTGCTAATGGCAAGTTGAAGCTCCTCGTTGAGATGCCTCTGGATGTACTATACGAGGTAGGCTCGACGGTCGTCACATAACTGGAAGGAGCTGAACGCGTCATATTTCAGATCTTCGGTCATTTAGACCCTCAGTCTTTGTTGCATGTTTCCTACACCTCCAAGGCGCTGCGGGCAATCCTGATTACGAGAAACTCTCGCTCTGTGTGGAGGAAGTGCATTGCCGCAGACCACGACTTCCCCCCTAAGCCGGACAACCTGAACGAGCCTCAATGGATTGAGGTGCTATTGGGTAACACATGTTCCGTAAGTCGTCAAGCTCACGGGTTAGGCCTACGCAAGTGCTTACGCGTACAACAGTACTGCAGTCAACCCTCGACCTGCGCACTTTGGCCTTTCAGCGTGCGCACGTGCGACCGCTGCCTGGGACAAAGGTTTGTGGCGTGATTTACGGTGACAGAAGCTATATATCGACCTCATCCATCTCTGTTGATAGGTTCTTTGACGAAGCGGGCATCGTAAGGGCTATCAAGCAGCCGGCAGAACAGTGCCGTCTACATCTACATATCCATGCGTATGCTCACTGTACGTTCTGGCCTTCATAACGGTCCCAGCATTCGGTTCACAATCATCAGACCGGAGGGTCTACAACCTTACAGACGTCAAAGCACAAATTGAGGTGTTCAAGGGTGTCGATCAGGCAGACACCGACGCCGTCAAGGCGGTTCAGTCTTCGCTTCTCGAGAGGCAGATGGCTGCCGAGATGGTACGCCTAGGAAAACCTCCATAACTGGCCAAGTCAAATGCTCACGAGAATTGCAGCATGCAAGAAAGTGCGAGAACTATGTTCATGTCGTTCTACCACGAAGGCAGAGAGAAGAGGAGAAGAGGTTTCTGAAAGCGCGCCTTGCGCAGTGAGTCGGATATCTACTGATGCTTTCATACCGAAGTAACCATGGCTTAGGATCGAGACACGCTTACGCGCTCTGGGGTTCTCCGAAGAGATTGACTGGATACACTCCGTCCAATCCAAGCTACTGGAAGACCACCCGCTGGTCAAGTCGTTCGACGAGATCACGGACAGCTGTACGCAAACAGTTCACTTGTCATCGTCGCTCACTGCCAACCCCTTCTCAGCATGGAAACAGATCTCCCGCCCTCTTTCCAAACTCCTTCACGACATCCGCGACGACATGCTCGAGAAGAAACGCAAGAAACTCCTCAAAGACAGGATGCAAATCGTGATTGACGCATTGAAGGCATATGTATCCTCAAAACCAGTCCCCTCGGCTATCGACGACGCCGACCAAATCTACCCGAGCGCCCTCGACATCATCACCCTCCCGAGCATCCACCGCATGATGTTCGCCGAGGTCAGGTCCTACGTGACCGACGTCGAGCCCGACCTGACGCGCCTCAAGTCCTCTCTCTCCCCCTCCGCCCTCGACGCCCTCTGCGAGGAGTGGCGCACCCTCAAAGGCCGCGAGCTCGTCGCCCTGCTCCCCGCCTCGCACCGCCACCTTGAGGACGAGGCGGACGACGAGCTGTACTCGCTCCGCTTCGCCCGCGTGTTCTTCCGCTGCGCGGGCTGCAGCGAGCCCGTGAACTTCCCGCGCGTGCTGGCGCACGCCTGCGCGCGCGCGGCGCGCCTCGGCTTTCGGAACCTCGCGGGCGAGGAGGCGTGGCTGTGGAAGCGGCTCGACGCGCTGCCGTGGAACCACGACGGCGCGCGGTTCGAGTGGGATGGGGCGGTCGCGCGGGCGGCGGGGGCGGTCATCAGGGCGTGCGGGTGCGACGCGCGGATCGTGGACCAGGGCGACATGGACGAGGAGGGTGCGTGGCTGGCTTGTGCGACGTGTGAGGGGCAGACGGGGGGCAAGGAGCGCGAGGTGTTTGGGTGGCGGCGGGCGGTATGGCGTTCTCGCTCATGGCAGGTGGTAGATGTTGCTGATGCCAATGGCCACCCAGATTGTGCACTACCTCGGTCACCTGAACCGAGGGGAGGATGACCCCAGCTGGATCCACTTGCGCGACGAGGAAGATATCCGACTCGCCAAGCGCGCGGAGGCCCACTGTCGCAGCCGCAACGACATCGAGGCCAGGACTGACGCGCCGTTGGACTACGCTTGTGTGCACTGCCGCGAGCGCATGTCCTTGAGCGTGGTCAAGCATCACTTCTTGCACATGTGAGCAAATTGCATTCCGTCTTGTCATGCCTGCGTACTCATATTCCACAAAGACACAACAAGCCCACGCCGGTAGAAGGCGATGATTACAGGTTGCACGTTGACGCATCCATGCGAGGTCTTCGTCTGCACTTCATGATTCCTCGCAGAGACTGTAAAACTGGTAGGCCGACGGCGACGAAGGGGAAGCGCAAGGGCAAAGCAAGAGCGCGGGCGGCGGAGGTTATCGATCTCTCGGAGGACTAATCGCATTATTAGCTTGTGTATCACTATACGCACTGTTACAGGTTGTGAGACGGACAAGAGTGGGCAGATATACGAAGTAGCTATTGCAAAAATCACGGGAGCTCCGCTTCCCGTCCCGCCTCCAGGATTTTCAAGCAGTCGAAGATATAAGCAAGAACGACGAGGCCGAAGCTCTTCGCACCCCAATCTTCGTAATGCGCAACACTGAGCTTCCAGGCCTGGATGGCGCGGTTTAGCGTATGAAGCTGGGCGGTATGGTCCCGGGGATCGCCTCGGCGAAGGCCATGTTCGACGGTGACGACCAACTGGCTCATGTGCTGGGTCATCCTGCTAATCCTATCCCTGCGCCACCTAGTCTGCGAGCACTTGGCGAGGATGGTCCCGACCACGACCTCCTCCTCGATGAGCTCGACGCCGGGCGTGTTCGAGACCGTGTGCGTCGTGCAGATGTAGCGCAGCTCCTCGGCGTACCGCTTGAAAAGCTGCACGAGGTCGTTCTCGAAGGGCAGCGAGTCGTCCAGGTAGTCCTCCGCGCGACGCTCGATCGCCTTCGTGATGGCGTTGACGCCGGTCGTGGACGCTGCCTCTTCCTCGGAGAGAGCTTCCACCTCGCGAATCTGGATGTTGCGGTACAGTCGTCCGAGCGCCTTGTCGGAGCGGTAGTAGTCGTTGTCCCGCGGACGAATGACTTCGGCGGCGTGCCAATCGGGCTGTCGAGGTATTTCATTCCTATTCTGCCCAAGCTGTGCAGCGTAATCACCTTTTGCCTCATCAGCGGACGCGGCAAGTTGCCATTCTCTAGATCCACCGGTATGCCTTGCTTCGGGTAATCGACCGCCTAGGGGCCATCAGAATACAGGCGTGGCTCACTGCAACGACCTGACCTGTGAACAAAGTTTGGCGATCTTGACGCAGTCCTCGTCGAAGATACCGTTCTGAAAGGCCGTCAGTACGGGAAATGAACTTCGTCCTTTTCACTGACCTTGGACTGATCAGCGATGACCAGTAGGCGATCAGACAACAGGCCCTACGGAGGAGAGGGTAAGGCATATACCGGGATGAGAGGAAGAAAATGCATACCACGACGTCCGAGTTGATGTACTCGACGATGAAGTTGCAAATGTCGTCGACGGTTGCTGGTCGGTTGAGCTGGAAGGTCTCGCCGGGGTCGAAATCGAGAGGCTTCTCTTGCTGAGAGTACAGAAGGTCTTCACACATGATGATGTCGTACAAATCGCTGCAATAGAATTCAGCATAAACTCGAGTTATTTGCGCGATGTATCCTCACCCGTCGAGATCTCCTCCACTGAGCATGGAGCATAGAGAGCGGTCACCTCACAATCAGTTAGCACGACGAACGATGGCTTGCGAGAGTCACACACCTACGGACGGGAGCACTACCAGGTTCTTCAGCTTTCCAAAGGAGGATAGCATGTCTGCAGGAGGCCTGCCGATGGCATGCACTCGCTGTACTTCGATCAAGGTCAGCCAGGCAGTCCTCATAGCCATGCTGCCTCTTACCATCTCCTACGTGCGTGACAGGACTGCGAGAGATGATACAGTTCCCTTCCAGCCATACGGGGTCCTCACCCTCCGTTCGCTGCACACAAGCTTCCGGCAGAGGTCAATCACCGCACACATGAAATCGCTCTAACCCACCATAGATCTCCCTATCCCCCAGGCAGTACACGTTCTCCTTGCCCGCCTTGATATACGCCGGCCCCTCATCGGCAATCCCAACTAGCTTGTAGCTGTCCGGGATCCCGAACCGCGCATCGTGCTTGATATCCCGCAATATCGCCATCCTCGCCACCTCCCGTATCTTCTTGAAGAACGGGCTGTCGAAGCCGGGCAGAGGAGCGCGGCGTGGCCTGCTGGGCGTGCCCTTCATCTCGAGGCCCATGGCGACGAAGTTGTCGAGGATGTGCGCGAGGCGGAAGGTGCGGCAGAGATTGTTGGAGCGCAGGACGTCGCGCCAGGCGTCGATGTCGTCGTGGATGCGCTCGACGCTGGCGACCGCACTCTGCTGCAGCTTCTCGAACTGGTCGCACCCGACGCCGAGGTTTTCGAGCACGGTCACCAGGGCTCTGCGGGGTAGGTCGTGAGTTGGGTGCAAGGTTTGGCGGGCCTGTGCCGGGCTTACTTGTTCGTGAACATGTTGTTTGGGTAGGCGAAATGGCGGGCGATCTCGATGTCGGCTTCCCACATGTCTTCCTCCTTGCTGTCGAACTTGCGCATCGAGGGCCGGAGGCGCATGTGAATGCCCGTGTTGTCCTTGTCCATCTCCTCGTCGACAGCGACCATACCCTTATATCCCAGGAAGCGTATCTGGTACTAGGTATAGAAGTCGTATCAGTAAGTGTGTGCGCATACGCGCCCGGATATGGACCCACAGCGTCCGGCCGCAACCGCTTGGTGAGATCCCCGCCCCGCTCGCTGATGAGCTTACCCCAGATACGATCTCCCAGCGAGCGCGAAATCGTCCCCACCCCATCCGTAAACAAGTACGGCGACACCCTCTTCCCAGGCGGCGGCGGGGGGCTCAAATCCTCCATCTCCTCCCACTCATCCCTTCTAATCTTCACCGACGGCTCCGTCGCCGTGAACGCCTGCGCCAGCCGCGCCGCGTACTTCGACGGCTGGCGCACCAGCTTCGAGTCCTCCGGGAAGTGCCCGATGGAGTCGCGGATGTAGTCCGCGGTGATCCAGTACCCCAGCTCCTCGTGGTAGAACTCGTTGAGGTACCAGACGGAGTGCTCGCGGAGGGCGGAGGTGCTGTAGGCGAGGAAGACGAAGGAGCGGCCGCCGAGCTTGAAGCCGTTGGCGAGGATGCCACCGACACGCTCGCGCACGAATTGGGAGCCGTCGACGGTGCGGTCCCAGCGGTATGCTAATCTGTCCTCGTCTCGGAATCTATAAAAGAGGTCAGCATGAGGAATGAGAAGCAAGCGTAGCACTCACTCAACCCGAATGAAATGATGCTCGTAGCCGGGATACCTTCGAATGATACGATTGCTTTGAACAGGATACGGCCCCTCGAGCACCGTCCGCGTCGGCGTAAAGATGATATGGCAGCATTGAAAGTACCCTGGCGTAATATGCAGCTCAGCAAACTCGAACAGCTTCATGATGCGATCGAAGCAGGCCCTGGGACTCTCAGTCGCCGGCCTCTTGCCCAGCTCGAAGTTGAACTTGCGCAGCAGATCGCCGACGCGCGCGCAGTCGTGCTCCGGGTACGTCTCGCACAGGGCGCGTATCGCGTTCAGGCTGCTCTCGATCTCGCCGGTGGTGATGCGCCCGTTCCGCAGGAGCGCCTCGAGCTGGAAGGCCACGGGCCACGGGAACTTGGCGAAGTCACGAGTGAGGCGCTCGATGCGCTTCCTCTCGAAGAACTTGTGCCCGTTGGCATCGATCTGGTGCCACTTCACCTGCCTATTGGGCCCTACGGTCTTCATCTGTACCAGCAGATTGTCGATGCCCGCCTTCTTACAGAGGTCGCAAAAGGCGAGACCGAGGTCTGTATAGTCCTTGTCGGTCAGCTCGATGCGGAGCTGCCATGCGTATGGCGATACGGCCAGGTGTGCGCCGTTGAGATGTCCGATGCGTAACTTAGATTTACGGTCATCATCGGGGTGCCGATGGAACTGGATCTGCTCCAGCACGGGTGGCGTGAGCAACTCGAAGACGACATCTATGAGATTACAGGTCACTATAACTGCCGCCACATATAGCGAAGGACGTACGGGGCTTTCCCTGGTAGCCTAGCGCCATGCGAATGATGTTGATGAAGCTGATAGCGATACTAGATCCTGTCATCTCGGTCGTGGCGTCTCCCAGCTACAGATATTGAGCAGGCATTGTCGGTCGCAAAGCAAGTCGCTACTTACGGTGATGCGGATGAGTTTGTGGTCGTATTCAAATTTCAACCATGCAACACCTTCAGTCGTGTACTGTTTTGACCACTCCACAGAGAACTCGCGCGAGACCGGGTAGACATACGTCGGGCGGAAAAGCACCCCAAATTGCACAAGATCGACGCGCAAGCTAGTGTTCAGGCTCTCAACGATACGTTCGTGGGTTTCCTCGATCTCCGGGTCCATGAAGGGCGTCTTGCCCAGCAGGCTAGCGATACCTGAAGGAGCGGGGCTACGCTTCCAAAAGTTTATCTTTCGTTTGTCGATTTTGATAGGATTGCCCTTGACGTGAGCTAGGAATCTCCTCCCTATCTTGTCAGTGGGAACGGTTAGGATGCCTGATCCATCGTTTCGTGCACTGCCTACAGATGGGTTAGATATTCGGTCAAAGCCGGCTCATAGAATCAGTACCTTGCATGCTACGATTGAGCTTCACCCTGAAGTTCACTCTGTTGTCGGTGGGAGACTGTGTCGGGAGGTCCTCATCTCCAGAGTCATCCTCGGCAGGCATAAACGCCTCCGAGTGGAGGACTTTCGCGACGAGTTTGATGACATCGTACTCGTTGAGGTTTGGCGGCAGGCCTTTGATCTGGATATCCATGGTGGCGGGAAGGAGGAAGGATATCGATCAAGCTCAACGTGTCTAGGTCGTGCGTGGGCGCCTGATTCTAGTAAAGGGCGTTTATAGAGCGGACTTCACGCGCAGCGGCTGACTAGCAGGTCTTCTCGTCAGATATCATAGAAGTCAATGTCCAGATGTAAGTGAGCCTCGACAACTCGATTGTGGCGACGGGGAAGACGAGGTGGACAAGGAGCAGTCGCGGTCACGAGACCAATTTACTTCCGCCGCGATCAATTGTGACGCGCGTGACGGTTCGTGTTCTCCTCGAGTCGTACCTCCTCCTCCCGTCTACGTTCAGTTTCTAAAGCTCCATTTCGTGCAGCACAATGAACCCCTCACTTTACCTCGACTTCAGATCTCTCAGCGCTGCACTGACTTCTCATGCACTTCACGCTGCTATGGAGAAGGGCGAAATACTGAAATCACAAGCCCAACTTGTACTGGAAAGAAATCGCCAGTACGCCAAGCTCGCTTCTTGTCTCGCTGTTCTCCTCGTCTTTGCCTGTATCAAATTCCTTTCTCGACCAAGCAGGAAATCTAAACGCTCTGCTCTCACTCTCGCCGACCTTTCTCCATGTATGCGCGCCCTCATGCTCCTCATCGTGCCCACCCGCGTCGCCTGGCCTCCACACTACAGCCGCGCCGCCCGAGCCGCAGTCCTCTCCCACAGCAAGACAATTACTCTTGATTTACACGTTCTCCTCGCCGACATCTCCTCTGGAAAAATCGAACTCCGGCATCCCGAGGACCTCGTCGACCTTCTCAGCGGACTCCGCGTAGATGGCTGGATAATTGCACTGCGCGTTGACCCGGGCTGGTCTCGGAAAATCCAGCGCGGGATCGCGATGAAGCCGCTGAAGGTGCGTGTGTGCGATTTCGGAGGACCCGGTTCGTCCATTGACGCGCATACACCCAGTCGCTTCTCACCCTCATAGGTAAGGCACCCCGCCACCCGACGGTATCTGTAAATTGAAGTGCTCATTGCACTTATTATGTGCTTCTGCAGATCGCGAAGAAGCGGGAAATAGCGATCACCCTCAGCCAGGAAAAATCGAACGCCCCACGCTCGTGCTGGACAACGTCGCACCGAGCCTAGCCGAACCGCGCTTGGCTGCCTTCCTGCGGGCCCACTACGCCTGCGCCGTCGAGTTCACCGCCGTCTCCGGGAGTATCTCCGCCTGGAGTACGCCCTGGATCCTGGCCGCCTTGCCTTTCTGTCCCCATCGCCACAAAGCCGCCTGTATCCGCACCGAACCTCAGACCACGCCTCTCTTCGCGACTCTGCACGGGACCCTGGACCTGCTCGCTCGCGCGGACGCCCTCGCAGCTCCAGACGAATCGGCAGCCCCAGATACCCTGGCATCTCCCGACGGACTGGACCAACCGCGCAAGACCATCCTTGCCGTGCACAACATCTCCGTCAATTACGCGGCGGACCTGCTGGAGCTTCGCGAGCGCCTGCACTCGGACGCGACCATGCGCTCCTCGTACGTCGCCCGATACGGAGTTGATTGCTGGAGGGAGCGGCGGGTGATGCTGGCGTGGGAGGCGGCCCTGCTACGCGCTGGGATGCTCGTTAGGTGGTCCGTCGAACTCCGCGGCTAAGGCCTGGTAAAGGATGGCGAGGGAGGTCAACAATCAGAGGGAATATTCCATGCACACGATCTACCACATACACGTACCCACAGGCGGCTTCCTCGACCGCGGGCGCGGGAGGGAGAGATCTTGCACGCAAGTCCCTCGTATGCACGCTATCACTCGTACGCGAAGACGTCCTTCGAAATGCTTATCGTTCCATTGCAATGCGGTTGTTGTACATACAGATGTTGCGTGCCAATGCGGCGAATAAACAGAGAGATGCAGGGTCTAGTAAGACAGCGTGTCAACGATTGTGTCCAGGATGCGAAGTGCGTCCGGGATGTGGAACTTCTCGTACTGCAGAGGTACAGGTGTACTGCGGGATTGTCAGCGACGAATGCGCAGATCGGGTAGAGGGACACTCGCTCCCATCCTGTCACCCTCCTGACGGGTGCCTCGAGCTTGAGGAAACACCGTTTCTGTACCTCGGCACCGATGTCAGAGCTGACACCTCCAGTGGCGCCGGCCTCATGCACGATGACTAGCCGCCCGGTCTTGTTCACGCTGTCAACGACAGTCTGAACGTCCCAGGGCAAGATCGTCCGCAAGTCAATGAGCTCGATCTTGGCGCCACGAAGGCGTTGCGGGACGTGAGGCGCGAGTTCGGGTGGTGGGTGCTGGAGCATGTGCAGCGCGGTCTCGCAGTGGTACAGTGGCGTCCCCCAGCTGAGCAGCGTGAGGTCAGTGCCCTGGTGCAAGACTTCGGCGACGCCGAGAGGGAGCTCGTAGTCGTCGATGGGGACGTGCTCCACGGCTGAGCGGTAGAGGATCTTGGGTTCCATAAATACAACGGGGTTGGGGTCGCGAACAGATCCGAGCAGCAGTCCCTTGGCTTGAATGGGCGACCGGGGTATGACGATCTGCGCGACGTGATAGGTATGCTACGCCCGACGCAGGCGGAGAACACAGCGTACCTTGAGACCTGCTGCGCCCATGAAGAAGCCCTCTGGGGACTGCGAGTGATAGAGGCCGCCGTGGCCGACGGACATGGAGGGCGTGCGGATGGTGAGGCGCCCACAGTCGTACTGGCCGCCCGAGCGGTAGCGCAGCTTGGCGGCCTCGTTGACGATCTGGTCGAAGGCGGGGAAGATGTAGTCGGCGAACTGGATCTCGGCGATGGCGGTGTGGCCCATGGCGGCCATGCCGATCCCGAAGCCCGCTATGCCCTGAGCGGAGATGAGCGGGAGACGGAGGGGAGGAGGTAGAGCGCACCTGTTCGGTGAGGGGGGTGTTGAAGACGCGTTCGCGGCCTGGAACGATGAGCAAGGGATGGGCGACGATGGCGAGCACCCACCGAACTCCTCGGCGAGCCCCATGGTGCAGCGAAAGACGCCACCGAACGCGACGTCCTCGCCAAAGACTGCGCGCGTTCAGCGAGAAGAACATGTGTGAGAACCGGCCAGCTCACCTACAGCGGTGTCATCCTTGGTCAGCGCGACACTGGGTAGGCGTCATAAGCACCTCTCTGCATCGTACAACTCGGTGGCGCACCTCATCGCGTCTCGGACAGCCTGGTAGACGTTCATCTTACGCGTCTCGCGCCCGCCGACCGCGTCCTGCTCGAGTTCATCGCGCCAAATGAGGCCTCTGGACCTCAATGCAGCGTCCCTCGTCGTGCGTAACAGCGATGATGTCGCCACAGAAGGCAGTTGACCGCTGGCAGGTGGTGGCTGCTCGACGGCGCCGCCGCTGGCATAACGTCGCTGCTGCTTCACCCGCGGCCTCCTCAGGTGCAGGCGAGCCACCCGTGGTCGTGGTTTAGGAGAAAACATCGCTGTGAAGATCCGGGCATCTGTGGCGGAGAGTAACGAGACTTTATTGACGGAGTAGCGGACGCGTGATGGAAAGGAGGAGATGTTGAGATCCGTGATCATCGTCAGCTGAGCGCCTCCGCTGCCGCCGCCGGCGTGCTTCTCAAGTTCGTCCATGGAAAACGACTCGACGTTCGTGGCCCCGGAAGGCGTATATACCGTCACAGAGGACCACAAGCCTGCTATCATCGCCAACCAACCCCCAGCGACATATCCTACGAAGGTTCGCTCGATCGTCGTGCGCTTCCCGGGCGCAAAGCAGGGCGCAGCACCGTTTGCACAGCTACTAGGCAACTCGAAGAAGGATGCGAAGAGAGCAGACTATCCGTCAACAAGCCCTCGCGAAGACGGGGTCAGCTTATCGAGCAGCGACACCGACGATGAACCTTCGAGCTCGCCCCCGGACGCTGTCGCTGGCAGTCCCAACATCACCTCCCATGAACCTCGACACCTATTCTCCCCTGGGCGCACCACATCGAAGAAGAAGCAGGCATCTCGACCAAAGCACAACATGCGCACCACGTCGAGCACCTTCGTCACCCGTATGCAGGGTGCCGAGAGCTTGACGAAGGCCTTGCAGTCGAAGCAAGGGGAAGTAACTTTCCTGTTCTACAACCACTCGAAGACATTCGTCTGGCTGGAGGCGGGGGCGAAGTCCAAGGTGCGTGCCCCGCAGCTCCAGCATCACCTCATGCTCAAGTGCTGGCGCAGGAACCCTTAGCGAAGATCACCTTCTCCGCATACCCTACCTGCCATGATGTGAACGCGTTCACAGCGTCCCCAGAACACCTCGATATCGTCATTGGCTTCAACACCGGGGATCTCGTCTGGCTGGGTGTGTACTCTTCTCTTTACGTCGCCGCGCTTCACTGATAGACGCCCGCAGATCCCATTACATCCCGCTATGCGCGACTCAACAAGGGGGTGCGTGCTCGCTACCTCGCTCTCCGCCGCCCCGGCTTACACTTCCCAGGGGTTCATCACCAACTCGCCGTGCACGGCAGTCCGTTGGGTGCCCTCCTCCCCCACCCTATTTCTCGTCTCGCATGCCGATGGCACCATCATCGTGTACGACAAGGAGCGCGAGGATGGCAGCTTCTCGCCGCAGGACCCCGCACGGCGCGTTTCCCCACCACCTTCCGATGGAAGCTCGAGCAGCGGCGGCTCCTGGGACCCCATGGGCGACATATTCGTCTCCATGCCGCCTTGGCACCCGGTGTCTGCAAGCCCTGCCGCGGCGACACCGAGGCTAGACAAGGAAAAGGAGAAGGAGAAGGCCGCGAAGAACCCGGTCAGCCACTGGCGAGTTTCACGGCGAGCAGTCGTCGACTTCGTCTTCGCGCCGGACGTCAAGTACGTTGCGGTAGTCTCGGAGGATGGCTGCTTGCGGATTATCGACGCGATCTCGGAGCAATTAGTTGATTGCTATGCTTCCTACTTTGGCGCATTAACTTCCGTAGCCTGGTCTCCAGACGGCCGGTTCATCATTGTGAGTACTCTGTACCAGAATATAAGTTCTTTCTGACCTCTGGCGTGCAGACAGGTGGTCAAGATGATCTGTTGACTATCTTTTCCCCATGGGAGCAGCGCGTAATAGCACGCTGCCAAGGCCATTCCTCCTTTGTCTCTGCCGTTGCTTTTGATGAGCTGCGCTGCGATGGGCGAACGTACCGCTTTGGTTCGGTTGGAGAAGACAACAAATTGATACTGGTATAAGGCGGCTTGCTGTCGTTATACTGTGCTCTACTCACGTTGTCTTAGTGGGATTTCTCGAGTGGCGCGCTACATCGACCGAAGTTTCAGGCGACACATCATCAACGAATGTCAATGTCCTCTACCGTGTCTTTAGGCTTACGGCGAGACAAGTCCGCTCTATATTTACCATCACTTGGCTCCACAGGAGTCGACGGCAGCCCGTCCCCTCGATACCATCCAGCGCCAGCGAGAAACGACGTCGCCGTCGTGCAGCCTGTTCTGGTAGGTTATCCGTCGATGCCGGTGGACTGTGTAATAGTCCTCACCCTTCACGCAGGTGAAACATCTCGAGGGCGACCTCCTGGGACACATCTCCTTCATCCCCCGCTGCATCCTCACCTCGACTCGCTCCGGGCACATCAGGCTCTGGATTCGACCTCTAGCGCTACGGCCACGCCACACGCGAACCGGACACATGCGAGCTGTGACCACAGATGTCGAGGACTTGCTATAGCTGTGGCGGCACTTCTTCGTTGAGTCAAAGTCGCGCGCTCAATCTTGTATATTTGCAGGTGTATCGATCTAGCCATTGTAGTCAACTTCTTATTTGCTTCCATTCACCAGCGATTTCCTACTTACTTTATTGACTTTTGTGTATCATTCGCTCACTCTTCGAACTTTGACTGTCCTGGGCTGTGATATTTGCTTTGGTCAAGAGCAATACCAGTTTGCCATATCATCTTCCACTGAACCTGGCGAGACAAGACGTGCGTCAATCGTTCCTCGACGTGGCCTTAGTAGGCCTCCACATTGTCACTTGGCTGGCTGCATCCGGAAATTACTACGCGGGGGCGTGCTGGAGGATTATGTCTCAGCTGCGCGGGGTAGTCGAGAGACGCAAAAGGATATGGTAGTCTACTGGATTATCTTCGGTAGTACTGTAAGTGTACGATGCAGTAATTAGGTCTATGATAAGTAATGTAACGGTTGATTCATTCCACATTCAACACGTTCCCCCAACTTCACAAGAGAGGACAAGATATTCCCGGTCATTACTGATAGCACAGTCTGTCGTGACAGCGACCATCCAAACCTCCATCCTTCGGCAACACGCTGGTTCGTGCGCCCCCTCGCCCGACTGCAGGAATCTGGTCTTCAAGACCTGCCGCATGCCCCGAACATCGCTGGCGTCCGTAGCGTGAAGCTTGAGGTCCGTAAGATGCGGTATGTACTTGAACTTGCGGTCGTCCCCTTCCTCCCGCTCCAAGAGCAAGTCGAAGAAACACCTCACGAAGTCCCCCGTGATGTCGAGGGTCGTTAGATGGGGCGCGAACTTGAACAGAAGGCCGAAAGCATCGTTGATCTCCACGTAGCCCTCTGCGTTGAGGACGAGCTTGGTCAGCGGCGCGCTGGAACGCCAGAGGAGGGCGCTGGAGAAGATGGTGAACTCAAGAAGCTGTTCCTGGTCGGATATGGTCGTGGACAGTTCCTTGAGGGATGGTGTGGTCAAGGAGTGCAAGAGGCCACAGGGGTACTCGTCGGCTGGCGCCGTGACTATTTCGAGGCTCCGAAGGTGGCAAAGAGTAATCTTCTCCGTTGGCAGCTCGTCCCCGGGCTGATCCAGTATGGAGTACTCCGTGTAGAATTTGAACTCCTCCAGGTTGCGACAATGAGAAAGTTGCTGCAGAAGCGTGCCATACGAAGCATAGGCGTCGGCATCGTGCAAGACCTTCAGCTGCTGCCACGGCACGCAGATGCTCAGATCCGACGGTAGCCGCCCTATACGCAACCCCCTCAGTTTTGGGGCGTTGCACAGATTGATGCAACCGTCGCCGTGTGTCAATACGTCCCTCGATCCTTCTATGCCAAAGAACTCCAACTGGGGAAAGTTGCCATGGACTACGTGCCACGAGCCGCACCATCGGGGTAGGACGATAGTGATATTCCGCCACCGGGGCGCCTGGGCTTGCAAAGCTTGCAACGCATTAGCGTATACCTGGGCATGGCAGGTCGTAGCGTCCAGATCGAGGTCGAGAGGATGGTCGTGACTGTGGGACAGCGCCTTTCGGAAGAGCTGGTGTTGCCAGGCGACAAACGGGGAGTCGAAACGAGCGCATCGAAGGCGGACACGGAGAATCCTCCAAAGGTGGGACGAATGGCGAGCGACGATAACGCGCCAGCGGTGACAGACCTGACCAAGCGTCCAGGGGCAGAGACTGGTATCGAGGAAATTGTGGTCAGTCGGAAGATCGGCGATACATAATGCGAAGACATCCGCAAGGATCTCTGCGGGAAGGGTATCGATGCTGCTCGCTTGGACCGCAACGTATGCCGAGTGCTTCGGTGGCTGCGGCGTCATGGTGAGGACAGACTGAGCGAGCATTGGCTCTTGCTGAAAGGCACTGAGGTCATTGACAGGCCGTTGACATGCGAAGGTGAAGTTGCGCCGCATTGTCGAAGCTACGCCTTTGTCGTCTTCAATCTGCGTGTCGCAGACACCGAATAGAAACATGGTGAATGAGAGACCAGGTAATGTGGGGAGAGAGAGGGGGGAAGAGCAAAGGGCGTACCCGCTTATATATGCAGCGTGCTTTTATATAGAGGAACAACAATCCCACATGAATGTTAGCCGTGACACACGCTGCTCGGACGGCGCTGCGGCATGGCCACAGCTGTGTTGCGATATAGAGTCGTCCATTCATGAGCCGGGCCTTTGTCCTGCGTTATTGTGACTCAGGCTATCTCGATCCAGGTCGTCATCTGTATCAACCTTCGAAGCGCTGGCATGCAGATCGAAGTTGGCCTTCGTGTGAACTGATCACCGCGCTGGACGGCAAACGCCGCTGGCCACAAAATATTCCATAGGCCTCTTGTCTGCTTGTATTGGCCAGAAAGCACGCTGGTTCGAGAGTTAGATGGGCGCCGGAAGCAAGCCTGTGTGAAGGGTGGGAAGCGGCGACATGATGGTCGGGAGCAAAGTGCCAATTAGGCAATTGGGGAAATCCCCGCCGGTGATATCCCCAAAACCAAATCCCGACCGAATCTTCACATCTTCTTGCTTCCTTCCTCCACCATCGCCATCCCGCCTTGCTGTATACCAGCCAACTATCCTAGTCGCTCATTTCTATTCACCCGCACATTCCTTACTATGTTGAACCACTCTATCCCGCCGGCCTCCCAGGTCCAGCACACGAGCTCTGGCGTTCCGTTCTCGGCGCTCACGCGAGCCTCGCTCTACTTTTCTGACGGCAACATCATACTCGTCGCTGGCAACGCGCTCTTCAAGGTCCATCGAGGGCAACTCGCTCGGCATTCTGAGGTTTTCCAGGGTCTGTTCACGCTGCCGACACCGCCGCAAGAACAACTCTACGATGGCTGCCAATGGATCGAGCTCTTCGATTCTCCGAAGGACGTCTTCTACTGGCTTGCGTCGCTGTATGATGGCCTGTGAGTAGCATAGGTCCTGGCCGTCTTTGCGCGATACTGATCGGTGCGGCTAGCTACTTTCCTTCTCCTCGCGCTCTGCAGTTCCCGGCCTTGGCTTCCACGCTACGCCTCTCCGGCAAATACTTCTCCACTACGCTACAAGGGATCTGTGCTCAGCGACTCGCCCTCGACTGGCCCAACACCCTCGAAGGCTGGGATCGCCGCGAAGCCGAAGCCACGTTGCCCTCCGAATCCGGCCCCCGCTACTGCCCGCGCGACTTCGCCCCGCACCCCGTCTCCGTCATCTTTGCCGCCCTCGAGCTCGACCTCCCCGAGCTCCTCCCCTCCGCCATGTACGACCTCTCGCGCTACGGGCCCAGCCGCGTCCTCGCCGGCGCGATCGTCCCGCACGGGCCCTACTCGGACGAGCCCGCGCACCGCGCCATGGGCCACGGCCCGCACGAGGTGCAGTCGCTTCCGCGCGAGCTGCTCGTGCGCGTGTTGCGCGGGCGGGAGAACGGCCAGCGCTACATCTCGACGTTCATCACCAGAGAGCTGCAAGACCGCGCCCCGAGCCAGCGGTGCTTCTACATGGCGCTGCAGCACACGGCGCCGTCGCCGTGCCAGGAGTCGTTCTACTTCATCACGCTCAACATCCTGCGCTCGGTTGGTGGGATCGCGTCTGGCCGCGATGGGGACCCGCTCTTTACGCTGCTGCATGCGAAAGAGATGATGGACAGGACGGATTTTGAGGACGGGCAGGGTGATGGGCCGAAGGCGCTCCGCATCTGCGGCGAGTGTCGGCGCGAGCTGGGCAAGTCCATTGAGGACGCGAGGGAAGAGGTCTGGAGCTCATTGCCGCAGTGGTATGGGTTGGAGAGGGAGGAGGGCGAGGTGGGGTTGGAGGACAGCTTCGAGTGCAACGTTACGATCTAGTTCATGACTTGTGATGACCCGGCATTTCTATACTTCATGACCCAGCATACCTATACGATCCGATCCGATACGATTACGATACTACACAATGCAGACGTGAGCTAAAAACAAAAGAGAAACAAAGCAAAGGGACCTGAGGGGCATACATACAAAAGTCCAAGTCCAAAGTGTATTTCGTTATAAAAGCCCATGTCAGTCAGTTAGGGTGCACAGGGCATGAACTATCGGTCTACAGGACTGCGACATCATAAGCACTCCGGAAAGAAGTGAAAGATTACGTCAGCGTACCTTGCAAGAAGGACATCCTGAAGAACAGCTGCAGGAACATGAGCACCAACACAACAGCAGCAATAGCATTCCGCATCGTGAACTGTGCCCGAACGCGCTTGCTCCAGGTGAGGGCGGGCGGCCCCTTGCCACCAGCCTCGTCGATGGCGGCGACTTCTTCTGCGGTGAGGGGTTCTGAGTGGTAGTGAGTATATGCGCGGTCCAATTGAGAGGTGCGTAGGCTTACCCAACTCGCTGATAGCCAGATACTCTTCCATATGGCTACGAGTCGAGCTCGTCCTATGCAGCGGTGAGTGAAGCACTGTAGCATATGCGAGGAACACAAACGTACGTGACGATGACGACGCCCTTCGCGCGGACCCAGAGGAAGAGAGCTTGCACCGGCGTCGCATTGCGCTTTGCGGCTGCGGCTGCGAGCGGCGCGTCGACGGGGCCGCCCGGGTACTTGGTTATGGGGCTATGGGCGCCTGTTAGTATGTGCACTTTTCGCGAGGGGGAGGAGAGGGGGATATATAACGGGCAGGAAATATTGAGGGCAACACTCATGGAGAGAAAGACTCACTCGAGACTGCTATACGCCTCCACGACAATCTTGTGCTGCGCGCAAAAGTCGAGCACAGGCTTCGACTCGGCGTAGTTGTAGGGGTGGAGGTGGATCTGGGTGTAAGTAGAGAGTAAGCAAGGGGCTTTGAGTGAGGAGGGGAAGAAGGGGACGGGGTGAAGAGAGGTACAATATAGAGAAGATGGGGTGGAATAAGGGTCGCGCACCTGGTTGACGGCGGGGATGATTCGTGCGACGGAGAAGATGGTCTTGAAGTGCTCGACCTCGAAGTTGCTGACGCCGATGGATCTGGATGAGGATGGAGGGGTCAGGAGTGTGGGGGATAAGGGAAGGGTCACAGACGTGCCTTGCCGTCCCATCCCATCTGAATTTCTCGAGCTGCTGCCATACGCGGGGTAGGAGCTTGTCACCAATGATGCGCGGGTTGTGAATGAGGTATAGGTCGACGTGCTTCAATCCGAGCTGTGCGTGCATCGCGTCAGTATGTTGTGCATAGGGAGTTCACCAGACATGCGTACCTTTTGCAAGCTGGCCTTGAACGCGACCTGAACCGGCACACCCCCGGAGTACTTCGTCGTGACGAAGAACTCGTCCCGCGCTAGACCAGACTCGCGAATAGCTTGCCCCACGTCCTCTTCCGTCTGGTAGACTGAGGTGATGGGGATGCATGTGTCAGCGATAAGGTGAGCTTGGTTCGAGGAAGCAGGATTACGCACATTGCGCCGTGTCAAGGTGGCTGAAGCCCACGTCGATCGCGGTCTGCACGTACTCGACGACGCTCTTTCCCTTCCACTTGGAGCCTGTCCCGTAGGCTATGGCGGGCATCTGCATTACGTCTCGTAAGTTGGGGACCGGGGGTTACAGTTTCCTGAACGCCACGGACCTTGTACCCATCATTGAGCGTAACATCCTCGAAAGTCATGGCTGGTGGTGAGGCCGTCAGATCCAAAAGGACTGCAAGCGGAGCACGCCGCGAATGACGAAGAGGTGCCCGTGAGTGGGAAAGCCAGATTTCGAGCACGACGCCATTCGCGGTGAGATGGCGGAAACGGGTGCTACGGCCCGGCTTCAGACGCACTCACGCACGCGACGCGAAACGGCTTTCAACCTACCCTCATCTCGTCTCTAAAAGCGCCAGTCCTCGTTACAGACAAGCCGGAAATGCTCTGCTCATCGTCGTCGGAGAGTGCGCAACATCGCCATCGAAGCCCTCGATCCAATACAACTTCAAGCTCCCGAAGAGCACGTGCTGCATCGCCGCCTTGCCTCCGCTCTGGCATACGCGCTTACGGCTCGCAAATTCTCGCTCTTTCCTCCGACCATGCCTGACGATACCGCCTTACCTGGATTCACTCCCCCGCCAATCTCATCCTGGAGTCAGGGGCGGCTTGGCGCCCTCATAGAACAGCTCCTGAACCTCTCAATGCCGGACCAGCAATGGGACCGTAGCCGTCGAAGAGCGACATTAATCGAGATGGACAGGCTTTTCCGCATCGGACGCCCACTGCGCGAGATTGAGGGCGCGCCTCCTACGCGAAACAAGGGCGACGCCGTCCTACTACCAGAATGCCCCGTCATCTCCGCGGCCATGACTTCGCTAGGACAGTTCGGTATCGCCTGCATAAACCTACGCGAGATTGTTGAGAGCGATCAGTATACGGCCAAGGCGTGGCAGCATCTCGGTACCCACGTCCCCAGAGTCCTAGACTGGATCACATTTCTTCACCCGATGAATGGAAACGTGCTTCCAGCCGCCGACACCCAGGATCACGCTGTGCTCTGCAGCTCCGTCATAGTCGCTCTGAAGGGCGTGTGCACTCCTGCGCTCTTCGGCGGTGCTGACGAGATGCGAGAATATCTTCTTGCCACCCCTACTCTTCTCCTCGTGGTCGATTTCTGGGTCAACATTTTCCGCTACACTCGCCATTTTGGTCCGGAAGATGCGACCGTGCTGTACTCACTCGAGACTTCCTTTCAATTCGCATTCGAAGGAATCCTGCCGTCGGAGGGCGACGCGCGACTCATGCCCAATCTCTTCGCTCACACGTTGCAGACAAGGGTCGATCTCGATGTCCGTGGTCTCTACCGTACCATCGCCCGCTACGCCGCGTTGGTCTCGACCGCCGACAACATGCCACGCAGCGACAAAGCCCGACCCTACAATTACCGCACTGGCGACATCTATATACTCTGTGAGAGCTTTCTGGATTATCCTGGACTACAGCCGATGGTGTGCCCGAGAGAGGTTGTACGGTCCTTGGTGCGAACCATCAAAGAACAGTCCGACGAGCATGTTTGGAGAGCGAGCGGGTCTGGCATCGTATATTTAGCAGATCTCTGGAGCCATACGGGCGACAACAGAATCATAGCCTGGTCCTTCAACGACGGATTTTTCGATGCATTCCTGCGCCACATTGTAGACGCGCCTTCACACATCGAGCGCGCGCTGCGATTAGCGGGTCACTCGATTCGAGATGCCTTCGTCTGTTGGCGCGCACTGCACGCCTTCCATCGGGCCGTTGCTTCCAGACTGCCGCTTTTGCGTGTTATGGCCCAGGACAAACCCATATCGGCCGCTATCTTGGCAGCATACGACGCTCGGATCGCCGTACATCGGCGGGCTCGCGAGGAATGGAAAGCTCGGAAGAGCCTGTGCTCGAACGATCAGGCATGTTCAATTTCCTAGAAAACATCATGTGTGTCCTAACGATGCCTGACAGTGTCCCAGACCGGCGGATTTGTCGGCGAAGCAAGGGATGCGAGCGTGTGCCTGCGGAGACGCTTGGTACTGCTCTGTTGCGTGTCAAACGAAGCATTGGGCGGCGGGTCACTGCGAGGAGTGTCTGCCACCAGATATCAGTGAGCTTCTATTACGCGGCGCATTGCTATCTAACTCTGACCCGCCCTCGCAGGATCACTCTCACCGCGCGATCAGCACTACATTGCGCTGCTTGCGCAAACATACGTGGACGAAAACAGATCGTCCATCGACGCGGACGTGCGCAAGGCGGGTACGGACGTAGCCAAGACCGACCTCGAATGCAAATATTGCTTCTCCGTGGTCATCGACCTGCGGCCACCGGTTATTTCGCACAAGGTATGGAAGGTCGAGGGGTCTGCCACCGACAGTGAGACTTCGGGGGCTGTCTACGCCTGCTGGATAGATCGAAGGAAGGCCAGGCAGGAGCGCGTTCAGGCGCTGGTGGGGTCCCGTGGTATGGAGTATGTGATTGGGTCAAGCGAGGGCTAAGCTGAAGGAGTTTCGTCACTGCATCCGAAGTCGTCTTTGTTCTGAATGGAGAGGAACAGTGGTGGGAAACATAAGGCGCTGAGCACGTACTCATGTTCTCGATGAGAAAGCGGAAATTACGGGTCGGCTTCATGCGCGGTCACGTACTATGTAGCTTGTCGCGTTCCTACATGTTTCCTCAAGCGACGCGTCGAAACATGCGCAATGCACTTTGGCAGGCACGTGCCATGTCGCCGCCTTGTCCCCTCGCTCCGATGAGTCGCAAATTTCCACCTCTTGCTTCCCTCCACATTCGACGTCGAAATCATGCCCAGTACACGTATCAATCTCTCCTATACTCAGAGCCAGTTCCAGATCCTCATAGAGCAACTGCATGTCCTCTCTCTGCCCGACCAGCAGACAGCGGACAATCGCAGGAAGGCTACTGAAACGATGGTCCAGCTTGACGCTCTGTTCCGTCGTAACCACCTTTTCGCGAGATCGAGAGGCCTCCCGCTGCGCGACAGAGCGGTGACCCCCTTCTACACCCGGACGATCCTTCCATCACTGGGGCGTGGGCGTCCCTTGGACAGTTCGGGACCCTCTGCATCAACTTGCGGGAGTTCGTCTGCGACGATAACACGGCAAAGCTGTGGCGGCATATATTCTCTTATGTCCCTGCCATCTTAGCCTGGCTTGAGCTCCTGCATCCCATGAACGGACACCTAGTCCCGCTCACGGACAGTCCGAACGACTTGTTGTACTGCAATACCATCATCACAGTCCTGCAAGGTATGGGCACATGGTATATGTACGACAGCTTCGACAGCATGATGGCCTACATCTGCTCGACACCCGTCATCCTGTACGCCGTCGACTTGTGGGTCAACCTCGCCCGATATTCCAAGCAGCCGAACCCGACGCTCGTATGGCTTTCCGTCCAACTCGTACACACATTCGCCTTCTGCGGTGTACGGTATCCCGAGCCCGACGCAAGGATATCTCACCGGATCGGCCACATCGTGCAAGAACGTCTACATGGCGACTCGCGCGGCCTCTGTCGTACCATTGCAGACCATGCCGCTGTGGTGGCGAATACGGAGGACAGCGAGACGACAGCATACGTCTACCAACTCGGCATTGGGCTCCTTAGGGACATCCCTAATCTCACACCAAGAGTCTGCTCGAGGGGTTCGGTCAAGACCGTTTTAAGCACCATGCAGACGCATCAAGCCAAGTGCGACTGGCGAGCCCTCGGAGCGGCCTTCACCTACCTGTTGTATCTCTGGGAGCACACTGTCGACTACAGGCCGATCGAGTGGTCTCTTAACGACGGTGTTCTCGACGTCATCTTGCGCACAATATCGGCGGGCCATCCTGAGATTGTCGCGGCGCCGTGTCGAGCGCTGCAGGCGGCTTTCATGTGCTGGCGTGTGCTGCATGCCTTCCATCGCATCGAGGCTGGTAGCAGGAAGAAGTTGCGCTTATTCACGCGGCAAAGCCCCGAGATGAACCTTCTTATGGCGAGCTACGACACTCGGATTACGGTCCATCAGCGCGCCCGCGAAGATTGGAGACTGCGGAAGAGTCGCTGCTCATACCAACATGTAAGTAGCTGACCTCTCGACGGATGGATACTTCTGTATTGATGATTTACAACAGTGTCTCGCTCTGAAGGACTCGGCCGTGCATCAGACGATTCGGTCGTGCATTTGCAGAGGCGCCTGGTATTGCTCTGCCGAATGCCAGAAGAAACATTGGCGCGCGGAGCACCGCAAGGTATGTCTACCACCAGATGTAGCTGGTAAGCCTCTCCTCTTCGGATCCCCAGTCAATAGTATCTGACGCGGTATCGCAGGGTCCCCCTCGCCGCGCGACTTACAGTATATCGACTTGCTGGCTCAAGACTACATACTTGCAAACCAACAGCGCATCGCCCAGGACGCGTTCACTGCCGATTCGAAGCAACAACATCGCTTCGCCCTCGTCGTCGATATGTGGAAACCAAAATTGTCGCACGAAGTTACGAGGCTGGACAAGCTACCATTGATTGACGGCGTATGGAAAGGTGTCCTGTTTGCGCTGTGGCTCGATAGGGGGAGAATCAGGAAGGAGCAGATGGCGTCGACCGTAGAATACACGATCGAATAGTGCTATGTAATAAGAAGACGGTCTTTTCGGATTGGTACTCAAGAACCCAAGCACAGCGACATTCGTACGTTAACTTCAACGTTGAGCGTAGCTGCCTAATTTGGTAATGATGCAAGCTGTGGGCGCCCAAGGCAAGGAAGTTCGGCAAATGCCGCACAACTGTATAGGTGTCCCGAGATACATTCTATCGACTCATGGCCCTTTTTTCTCCGTCCCACCATGACAGCAAGTTCATCGGCCAGAGTGGCTTCGTGCCCTGGTGTCTCTTCGCGCGTCTACGAACGCGTACGATACGTGCGAGCCAATGACAGGCGCGTGCCATAGACCACCGTCGCTTCTGGACTTGTCGACGGGCGTTAAGCCTGTCGCCAAGCCATGATTGCGCTCGGTCCCTATGGCACGCGTCAGCTCGAAGAACGCGTATATCTCAAGGCCCGGCACGCGGGCTTAAGGACCATCTATGGGCGAGAGCCCACGGTGGTCCTCATGCTCGCCTCTGCTGGATGGGTCCCAGCCCAAATTCTTCGCCAGGCTCGGTGCACTGGCTTCATGGTGGCCTTCCCATCTCACGATGGGCCCGAGCCTCTGGTGAAGAGCTTGTGGGATCCGCGCCTATCTCGATGATGCAACCATCATCGAGGATCGTCGACCTACGATAATACTTTGGCCCGGTCTGCGCGACGGGTCGCTGGGAATACATGAACATTCAATCCGAATGTCCGGGGCGCAGGGTCCGGCCTGTCAGTGCAGAGCAGGACCGGACCGAGCTGCGCGTTGTCGAGCACTGGCTTGTGATCAGTCGCCTGAGGAGAGGAACCTGGTGTCTTCGACGAGGCTCTGAGCGCAGCTCGTTGCATACCGAAGCGCCGTTGCAAGACGTTCAAGACGTACGACGAAAGCGGGGTCTCTTCTCACATATCGAAGTGTCTACTGGTCGTATGGTATCACCCCGCGACTTAGTATCTCACGACGATCGGTGAGGAGGGGCTACGCATGGCGGATGGAGAATGTAGGCTGGACAACCCTGTATGCGGCTGGTCTGATCCAAGCCGACTTGGTGCACGCCAGGCGCCCTGTTGGCCGCGTCCTCCCGGATGCGTCAGACCTGAGAACGACGCGCATGCCGGCCCCAGCTGGCAGACTCCCCGCCCCGAAGCACAACAAATAAACCGTGGTCGGTCGCACGAAGGGGGACGCAAGGGCGTCCCGTGGCTTCGTGGACTGCGCTGACTCGTTCGAGCTCATTACCCGAGGTGTACGAGGCCATCGTCATGATGTACTGCCGGGCACCTTCCACTCGGTGGGACAGAGCTTCTGAGCGGTTGGCAGGCCACAGGGCGCTAAAGAGAACTGACTTCGGTCAGCGACTGTGAGGCACCGTGTGGTCGACGGAAATAACGTTCTCCGGATCCGAGCAAGGCAGTACCAACGTACTCATCTCTTCCTGGCGTTTTCATGTCGACTCCCTCGACTAGTACGGTCTCGTCAACGGGGTACGCACGCACACGCCGTCGACGGGATCCACCCATGTCTGCTGGGCAGGCAGCGGGTTGCGGCTCAGCCAGTGGAGAGCATTCGCACGAGTTCGAGCGTTCATCGGCTCTGCTGATGGGCCGGAACGAGTGCGAAGGCAGACTGATGTCGGCGAGAGTCCTCGGGCTTTCGCCGTATCCGTACAATCTTTTGCTCCCCCCTCTCCTTCTGGAGATGTTTCTCTCGGCACCGTTGGACACGGGTGTTGTCCAAGAGCGGACTCGCCCATGGTGTGATAAAGTTGGTCATAGTTGTCATATTGTCAGTCTAAATGTCAAACTGGTTTTAGAACTACCCATTCGTCTTGGACTGCGCCTAAGAAACCGGAGGATAGCTCGAAAAAGAATGCAATTCCACGACGTGTACATAAGACACGCCGCGGAGTGAGATGTAGGGCGAGGAGGAAAATCGATAGCCTCGCACACCATTGCCATAATATATACCACCACCATCCGCACATAAAACCCTGTCTGCGCGATGGTCAGAATCGAGGGCGCTATGAGCAGAACTTCACTGACCACCCCATTCAAAACTGCACCTCCCCCGCAATCCCATGCTTCAAGTAACTGATCGCTCCCCTGTGTTGGCTAACGGCGAGCACGATGAACAGATGCCAAATGCAGTGCGAGCCGCCGCCAATGCAGTCCAGGCGCTGCGTCCACTTTGGCGACATCCACCGCTCGGGAATGTGCGTGGCGTAGAAGACTAGTCCGGCGACGTAGGATAGCAAGGATGGGATGATTGGACCTACAACAACGTTCGTCATCAGCGACGCACGGGTGAGCAAGGGTGTGAGACACATACTGATGAATCCCATCATAGCGCCAAATGAGTACAGATTTGCCAGCATAGCCAGCGGCGCCAAGGAAGAGAAAGCCAGCGTCAAGAAGAAGAGTATACGGTAGCCCTGAGAGACATGTGAGTGAAGACGCAAGGCGGTCACCGAAGGGACGTACCCTGTATTTGTACTCGTTGAACCAGTTCATAAACGGGAAGACATTGCCCGCAAGCCCCGTGCAGAAGCAAAGCGTGAGGAAACCGTTGCGAAGGTAATGATATTGAGGATCTTGGAAGCCATAGTATACAACAGTTCCGACGCTGGCGCTGATCAACCTAAGGAGATGTGAGCTTTTGGCTACGCGTGATGACTGGACCGGGAGGGAAGGGGACAGGGACTGCGCTCACCATCCGATGCCAACGTAGTCTATTCGAGCGCAGAATTCCATGCTCGCAAAATGAGCACAACCGGACATCGTGTGCCAAACCGCACTGCTGAATAAGCAGAGAAGAGCAAAGGACATGAAGATGCGTTCGGGGAGGTCAGGAAGATCCGCTTTAAGGAAGGGTAGCGAATTGACACCCCAGAGCACAAAGGGGATGAGGTGAGTATGAATATTGACTGTCCTGGGCGTTAGCACGAGCTTCGTCGGGGTATAGGGCTCGCACGTACGAGTTTCGTTATGGAACGCGAACAGCGATAACACAATCAAGTGCCATCTTTCTAGGGGTATAAATCGATAGCCATGGGTAACGAAGGGATTGCTCCTCCAGCGCTCTGGGAGGTCGGAGTACTGGATAAGGCGCATGCCCTCCAACGAGCGAGTGACTGCTTTGCGAACCTCCCGGGTCGCGTAGTCGACCATGTCCTCCACCCGCTCCTCCTCTTCCTCGGCCATGCGGATGAGCGTGGCGACGACCTCGGACGAGCGCAGCGCGTCTAGCAGGTCGTATAGCACGGCGATCGGCGCGGGAATGCCGGCACGCCGCTGGATGTCCGCCAAGTGCGCTTGGAGATCCTGGATACGGCTCGGAAGCGTGGGGAGAAAGCTGCTCGGCTGCGAGAGGTCGATGTCCTGCAGCGCGGCGCGCACGTCGTCGAACTTCGAGTACAGCCGCTGCGACAGGTCGTCTGAGTCGGGCAGGTGGCTCCGCACGTCGTCGAGCGAGGGCAGGTCGGGCAGATGGAACTCGGGGAGGGCGGCGGATACGTCTTGGCGGATGGACTCCAGCTTGTCGAGCGCCGTGCGCGCCCAGTCGCGCATCTCGTCGAACGTGCCGCCGCCCAGTGCGATCAGGTCGGGGGACTCGTACTCGGCCAGGCGCGCCTCGAGATCGGCGAGGTAGGTGAGGATGAGAACGCGGAGGGAGGCGAGGGACTGGGTGGGCGAATTCGAGGACAGGTCGAGCGCCTCGAGCGAGTGCGGCAGCGGGTGCCGCAACTGCACTCGCGGCGACCTTCCCACCGCGGAGGTCGACATGCGCCGCAACCGTTTGCGCGGCCGTGCGCGTCGCGGGCCCGTGTCGCTGAGGGCGCGGTGGGGGACCGGTTTACTGCTCGCTGTCAAAGTGGCCATGGGGGAAGAGAACAAAAGAACGTGCGTAGCTGCTGGCTAGCAAGCGCAGGGCATGAACAGATCGTGGCGTTGATTTGGAGTATTTCAAAAAGTACGTACTTTCATGTGCATCCGCATCGGAACAATTTGCAGCGTGGCGGCCAGGTGGGAACTGGTCTGGGGGCGATGTCCAGGCCTTTGGGCAGCTCACGGGCGATTTACAAGACGCAGAGACAAGTATAACGTCGAGCGAGATGACGGTCAGAAGCAGGTTTTTTTTCGGCCAAAGAATACAAGTCGAAGTTTATCGAAGTCCCGTGGCAGTGATTACCAAACTAAAGCATATAAGACTGGACCTACAACCCTTCCCACCCCTCGATTGCCTCAAGAAGGAAGCGCGAAAACGTTATCAACCGCTCCAGCTGAGCAACAGGTGTCAGCAATACATCTCAAGAGCGTTTCCTGTCACACTTACACCGCAGGACCCGGGATCGGGTAGTCGAGGCTATCATCTAGCGTCGTCGCTTAGCATGGGTGGCACAGGTTGAATCCACCATACTACGCACCGTACGCATCGAACACAATGCCCGGAGTGTCCGCCGTGTAAGCGCCAGGGAAGGAGACAAAGTCCGTGGGAAGCGCGCTTCCTGAGCCGGTCACTTCGACCTGAATGCAGGACGGGTAGACCTGCGCGCCAGGGTACTCCCAAGCGCCATGGAGGGCGATGCTGTAGGGTACGTGAGCAAGTGTGCGAGTGGGTAAGAGGAAGGACGATGAGTCGATCTTGCAAGGTGAGCGCAACGTACATCTCATGACGAACAATATACTGGCCGGCTTTCAGGCTTGCGGGAATCGTGAAGGTGTAGATGCTGTTGTTCTCGGAGAGGATATCTGTTGCAGCCCACTTGCCGTCCGATGTCTTGCCGAGCTCGTCGACCTTGAACTGTGAAGGGTACAAGTTAGCTTCGGGCTTCTGAAGTGCAAGCGAGACGTACCCAAACAGCGTCAGTGCCAGGCTCCCAGGCAGTGATGTCGCTGGGCGCGCGGGCCTGCACGAAGTTGGTGAATATGAACTTGCTGATAATGCCGGGAAGGACGGACCATGTAGGTGATAATTGGCCCCATGTGGGACTCTGGCCACTGCAAAACATAGGTTATCAACTGAGCTTTAGACAGCACAAAGCCAGCGCACCGTCGTCCAGTTCACTGTTGAACGTCAGCTCGTCAGTCATGTTTGAAACAGAGGAGGGCACGTACGGTGAAGCTCGGAGCCCGACTCGACGGTCGCGTAAATTGGCGCCGGAGCAGAGCCCGCTTGGCCACCCTCAGTGTAGCCGTTGCACTGAACGCTGAAAAGTTCGTTTAGACTCCTTGTTCCATGTTTGATTGCATGAGACCATACTCACTCGATGAGCGACAGATCCGTGACGGGACCTACAAAGTCATGCAAGTTAGCGATGAGATAGGTTGCAGCACAATTGCCTCACCATTGCCCGGAATCTTGCGAACGATGCGCTCCGGCGTAGGGTTCATGTACGGGTCCTGGTACTAGAGAAACAATGTCAGTGGCTAGACCCCCACCCGCAACGTCATCCCACTCACCGGAAGATATCCAGTGTAGACCGTCCCCGCCGAGTCGACGATCTCTTGCACGTAGCCGTGCGCGGCGACGGATGCGGCGGCAGCCAGGAGGGTAAGGGAATGAGAGAGCATCTTCAGCTTTACCTGAGACTCTCTGGTCCAGCTCGGCGAGGCTTATATACTCTAGCGACGCCTTGCATCCCTCCCCATGCCCAACCGCGGGCCGCTAGACCCACAGGCACCCTGCGCACGGCGACGAAGTGTCAGAGGGCGACAATGAAGATCGACAGGAAGGGCGCGAAGATGAGCCGCGGGGGAAGCAGTGACCACCCATCCGAAGCAGCGGACGGCCACAAGAGGCAAAGAGACGATGTTTCTGGGACAAGAAATTATGGTTCTCGACGAAGAGACGTCATTTCTGCACGCTCAGACGCGTAGGATGCACATGGAAGACGGAACACCGCCATTCAGTGGGGCGTATACCTCGGAAAAAGAGGCGAGAGACATGGGTCGGAACCGCGGGTCTATGTAGCCTCGTTGATTGCGGCCGTTGAGTGAGTTGGTGAGGTGCCTTAGGGAAGAGACTGAAAGAGTACATGTAGGAGACTCGTGATAAAGCTTGAAGAGGAAGTACAAGTGGCTCACGGAGGGTGACTGCGTAAGTGGTCCACCTGCGCGCAAGAAGCGATGACCGAGTCCAGTTCAATCCCTTCGAGAGGAGTACTGAGCCGTGCCGAAAAGGCGTGAACGACGTTGTCGTCTCCGTCTGGTGAAGAAGACAAAATGGTCGCCACTTTGATCGACCTTCAAATGTCAAGAGGAATTCAAGTCCCAAGAACTCGCATGAGAATGCAAGAATCGACACCCGTTGCGTTGAATTCGATTAACGATATGCCATTTGCTTGTAAATCCAGCGCGGTTATGCAACACGAATCGCTCATCGCCGTCGAGTTCAAGCAGGATCGGGGTTTGCCGACTCCACCGGGAACGGGTCATTGTTGCTCGCGTGGCAGCCACGCGCGTCCGAGTATTCGATCGCGGTTCCAAGAGGTGGCGCCTGCTTACTTTCGTACATCCACCACGCCTTCGAGCTCGTCGTCCGCCATGTCCACCGCCGTCGAGCGCCCAGCACCTATACAGCACGACTATCTCACTCAGCGAGCCCCTACCGAAGTCATAGACGTCGACCTCCTTGACGACAATGACGTCCACGCCGCCCGCCGGAACGCGGCCCGCAGCGAGGTCATTACCATCGACGACGACGATGATGTGGTCGTCGTGCCGGACGATGATGAGATCGAGTTTGTGGGCATGAGCCGCGCGCACTCGCCAGCTGGTGAGCTCAATCATTCATCGCCCTCCCTCTTTCCCACGCTGACGCCTGCATGTCTCTCCTCCTGAAGCGCGCCCCACCCGCCGGCTGCGATCCCCGCCGCTCAGGAGAGAACCATCGGAGGTTCCCCCAGTGCCTCCCTTCCCGAGAGCGTATGCCCATTGGCGGCCATTACCCCCGCGCAGATCCCAGTACGGCGCCTTCGCACCCACAGAACCGCGCGATGCAGGCGTCGTACGGCCCCATGATGGCCCCCTGCCCTTCGAGATGTCTGCCGAGCCTGGCCCGTCATGGAGGCGACTTCCCCCTCCACGCTTACCACCTCCACAAGCCGCCCCTCCCGCGCACGCGACCCCGGACCATCCCCGCATGGGCTTCGGCGGCGCCCTACTGTCTGAGAACCGTCGCCGCAATCCGCGCAGTGGGGGCGGAATCCTTCAGCTAATACACACACTTGCCCCAGGGCTTGGGATAGCCGAGGAAGAGGACAGCGCCGCCGACCGGTTCCTCGCCTTCTCCATAGCCTTCGAGGGAGCCGGTGCAGCCCCATACCGCCTCTTCCCCAGCAGTCGCCCCGATGAGCCTATGTACAAGCCCGAGTACACGCATCCGGAATCACCAGAAGCAGGCTTCACGAACGACTTCGGTTTCGGCGAGAGCGACGCGGACCCCACCGGTACCTCGTCCAGCAGCTCCCCCGCGCAGACGGAGAATGTCCTCCAGTGCACACACTGCATGCGCCCGCTGCTTCTCGGCGACAACCTCAGCGCACTGGGTCCCGAAGAGGAGCGCCTGCACAAGCTCTGGGGCTTGCGGTGCGGGCACATGATCGACGGGTACTGCTTCGAGGCTGTCAGCCGCCCCGCGCCAGAGGACGAGGTGCCGGCGAAGGGCAAGGGCAAGGGCCGGGCGAGGACACGGAATAACGGCCTTTACATGCCCATTGTCGAGGAAGACGCACCTGCTACCTCCAACGCCGACTCGACTCCGACCTCCATGCGCTCACGACTACGCACCCGCTCTAGTCCTCGCAAGCGGAAGCGGAAGGGCGGCCCGCCTATAGTTGAAGCGGAGTACGAGTGGGCGTGTCCGGTGGAAAACTGCGAACACGTTCATAAGAGCTTGAAGATAGACGGGCAGTGGATACAGCACAAGGATGCGGGGGCTGTGGCGATCTTCGTTTAGGCGTCGATGGCGATGGCGGTCCGAGTATCTTCTCCCACTCATCAGCATCGGTTTGCCCCTTCTTGCGCATCTTCCCATTCACGACAGTCCTGTATAACAGCAGCATGGGCATAATATTATCCCCGGCATCATCTTGCATCACCTTCAGAAACGGCCGAGATCTTGCAACAACGAACGGTGCGTCAAAGCTCCTCAGATCCTTTCGCTGACTGCAATAGGTAAGCTATCGCGAGCAATCCACCAGCGATTGCCTCCATCATCCTCATCTTCTCCAAGGTTCTTTACCATAAGTCTTTCACACTTCTGTCCTCACAGTGCTCCAGGTAATAAATATCCGCCCGTTGTGTATGCGCGCAATTACAGATAGGTAGTCTGATAGTAAAGGATAGTACAGCGAAACGAGCGTCGTCTATGGTCGAGCTCCGGAACAATCCAAGTGCACCGGCGGGACAGCGTAGCAGCAGACTATGGCCTTGCCGCATCCACCCAGCTGCCGCTCGGACTCCCCGACGCCGACCGCGATGTCCCTGCGCGTGACGCCTCAAGCCCCTCAGGCTCATCCCTATACCTCGTTGGCGGTTCGTGCTCATCCTCATCCAAGAATCCTTGGTGCAAACCCTCCTCCCCATGCGGATCGCCCCTCAGACGCGTCTGCTCGTCCGCATCCTCATCCTCATCATCCGACACCTCCCCAAACGCATCGTACAGCTCCTTCGTGCGCGACGCGCCCCCGCTGCCACCCGACCCATCTAATGCGCTCATCTGCACGCCGCCCGCGGTGTCGTCCCCGGGCAGCGCCGCGTACCGCTCGCGCGTGCGCACGACGCGGCGGCGCCAGAGGAAGACGCCGGCGCCGACGCCGAAGAGCACGACGGCGCCCATCGCGCCGAAGAACCACTTCTGTGTCGAGACAAGGTTCGCCATGTCGGAAAACCAGCCCTCGTCGGCGGTGGGGGTGGTGCTGGGCGAGGCGGAGGCAGAGTCGGTGGGCGCGGAGGCGATGTCGTCTTGTATGCTGGAGGTGAAGGCGGGTGCGGTGTTCTCGCCTTCGACGGTGTGGTGATCGCTATCGAGGCCGTTGGTGGGCTTGGTGAGCTGCTTAGTGGCGGAGGGAGTGATGGTGAGGGAGGGAGGCTCGACATGCTGAGGCGGGAAGACGACATTGTCGACAGGAGCATCGTACAGCACGGCCTGCGACTCGTCGATAGTGGTGCCCCAAAGGACCATATTCCAGCCGAGGAAGGTGCCGTTTCGTTCGTCGGGCACACCTTGATCGGATACCTTGATGGTCCAGGTGCCGACGCCATCCTCGCCCCAGTGCTTGACGCTCATGAACATCCATCCAGGGAAACCCTCCGTGTCATCGTCGTTCTTCCGTGCAGCGGCGAGGACGCTCTTCACCCCGCGTGGGCTGACAAGCTCGACCTCGACATCGCCCCGGCGAGCGTGGTTGATCCAGACCTTGATGTTGACGTGCTCGAGCGTCTCCAGATTCGACGCCGCCATCATCTCCTGCGTGACCTCCAGCGTGCTCGTAACGCCCCCGGGAACGATGAACTCGCCACCCGAGTACTCGCCCGTCTCCGTCATCGTGCCGTTCCCAAGCACGACAGGATCCGTGACAAGGCGCGACTGGGGCTTGACAAGCTGCCAGCCCTGCGCGGCCTTCACGAAGGCCTCCGCGTCGAGCGCGCCGAAGCCGTACTTGTAGCTATATGGCTTGCCAGAGAAGGTGTTCTCCCAGTCAGGATCATCCGGATTGACTTGGCGGGTGGTCTGCACGCAGAGGTACTGGATGTCACGCCATGTCAGATCGGGACGGGCTTCAAGAGCGAGGGCGAAGACGCCGGCCGCGTTAGGCGCGGCAGCAGAGGTTCCGCCATGCGAGGAAGAGCACTTGTCCTCCCCACGATCGGTCGTCACCTGCACATGCCGGTCAGCGATAGCTCGCACTGTCAATACGTCTACCCACGATCTGCTTCCCGCTGCCAGAGCTGTATGCAACGACGAGGTTCGCAGCACAAGGCTCAGAGTAGTACGGGTGGAGACCCTTATGGTCGATCGCCGATACAGTCACTGAATAGATGCTGTTCGTATAGCCGTCGAAGTTGCACTGATCGCCCGAGCCCGCGCCATTGCCGCTGGCAAAGACGAAGATCGAGCCAAGCCCATCGCGTCCGTAGTTGATGCCATTATGAACCGCCTTCTTTATGAGATGACCGGGGCCTTCCATGGAGCGGCCGTTGTCTGGCGGCCCCCAGCTGCAGCTGTAGATCGAGACGTTCTGATAGCCGTAGTTGAGTGCAGCGGCTTCGTCGACGTCGGAGATGGGGCCGGAGAGGATGCGCACGCCGGCGACTTTGGACTCGTATGCGATGCCAAGGCCGCAGGCGCTGTTCTTGCCCGCGGCGACCTGACCGGCGCAGCGGGTACCGTGATGATCGTCGGAGAGTTTGGGGGTGGGGAGGTCTTCGTGGTCGTTGAAGTCGTACGAGTCGTCTGCGTCCTGACGAGAGTGTCAGCGAGGTACTTCGAATAGGACCTTTTGCACGCACGAAGTTCTCCTTCAAGTCAAGACTAGTATAGTCCAGTCCATCGTCAACGAAGGAGGTGATGATGCCCTTCCCCGTGTATCCCATGTCCCAGACTGGCACGACGTTCATCATGTGCTCCGGGAACTCGTCGTTGACGAGGTGCCATTGCTGCGTGAAGAGCGGGTCCTCGATACCCAGGCGGTCCGCTGTCGTGCGCGAGGCGGATATGGGGGCGGGTTGTGGGGGAGCTGGTGCGCGCTTGTGTCGCTGGCGCAGCGTCTGCCGCTCAAGGTGCTTGATCGATGATAGTACATCGCGAGCGTGTCGCTCCTCTGAGCGGCGCCATAGAGAGGTGTCCGCCGCACGCTCCTTGAGTTCCGCATAGCGCGCCATCACTGGGTCCTCCGGAGCAGCGTCGCGCGCGGAGAGCTCGGACAGCGACTTCTCTACGGATACCAGCCAGTGGTTCGGGAGCTCGCCGGCCTTCTCCAGGACGCTGACACCGAGTGCGCGAGCGACGTCGGCGAGGGGGACGCCTGCGGCGTCGGAGTGCTCTAGGACATAGTAGTGATGTGTGTCGTGATTCCGCTTCGTGCGCGCCGCCGAGGATAATTCAAGGAGTGTCAATAGGAGCAGCAGCAGCGGTCGCGGCAGCTGCATTTTGGAGGAGGGATGCCGCGTTGGCGGAAGGAAGAAACGTAGACTTGGCAGAAGAAGCCTGCGACAACGGCGGCTGCGGCAGCGCCACGTGCGCTAGATCCCTTCACATCTCACCTGCTCAGAAAACGCTGCAGGACATGTTGAAAGCCATGGCGAAGCGCATAGATTACTAGATAATGTATATGGTTAGATGTGGTAAGATAGAGTATTGTCCATGTAATTAGCCGGCGTCTATGAGCGCCTCAACATGTAATCGACGAGGCAATACGTCTCGTTCTCCTTGCTCAGAAGCACAACATCCGCGAGCGGCGTATCGGCCGTCTGCACCTTCGAGAGGTCGTCGCCAGTCAGCGGCCTCAGCCACTCCTCAAAGACACGCTCCGGTTGTGACGAAGCTTTGACCTCGGTGTGCAGGGAAGGACGCTATGCAAACAGTCAGCTCGACAACGACGAAAAGTAGATTAGGACGTACCAATTTGCTCATGACCGCCACTCGCTCAGTATCCCCGGTCGTGTCGGTGAGCTCGAGCAGAAGTCGCGCGTCGCTCACTTGCACGAATTCATGATCCGTGTCGTTGCAATCCAAGCATGCTCGACGTATGCGTGGTATCCTTCTCGCTGGTCAGCACGCCACCCAACAGTCCCGGCACGTCCGACTCACTCCTTCTGACACTGCGCACACATCCGAACAATGCAGTCATCCCAGGACTTGCAGTCAACTGCGAGTGTCGCGCGAGCTACGACGGTGTAGATCTTGGACTTCGGTTTGTCGCGCAACTCGGCAAAAGTTAGGCCCACAGCACCGGCTGCTTTGGCAGGAGGTTTCGACGACGACGTAGAGGACTTGCGTGGTCCGAAGAACGTCCCGACCGGACGTTTCCCTTCGTTGGTCGGCGTCTCTCCCTTTGCGGGCAAATGCTCACCGTCCGGCTGTCGAGCGTGGACATTCTCCCATTGCTTCTTGCGGCTGAATAGAAGAATCAGCAAGCGATCACACGCATTAGAACCGTCGCAGAACGTACTTCAACAGTTCCTTGAAGCCGCGGTCTGCCAATGCAGGATTGACACGAAAGATGCGCTTCCTCTCATTCCCCCCAAGCTTCCCAATCGTCTCGCCCTTCACCGCACTATGCACGATACGCAAGTTGGTGATCCGGCAGAAGTTGCCCCTCGAAAGCCCCTGCGCGACCTTCGTCTGCACCTGCTCGGTGCATATCTTGAGCACGAGCCCATCGAGGCCCGCCGCCCAGGCAGGGTCGTAACGCAGATCCTGGAGATCTGGATGCGCGGAATAATCGGTGACATAGAGGTCGGCGCCTTCAACGTGAAGAACCTGCGCAGAGTTTAGGAAGGGGAGTGCGGCGCAGCGAGTCGACGTACCTCTACCACCGTGTCAAAAAAATCATTGAGCGCGACTTCGCCTATGGCGCGAGACTCAGGTTCCGGCGCCGGAGCGGCATTCTTGGTGGTCTCCCACTTTCGCTTCCTCCTACAGATATGTTAGGCACGACACAGTGGTTCACGCAAATGCAGACGTACTCCAACAGCTCCTTCAGCATGGGATCGCTCTCCGCGTCCGCCTCGTTCAGCTTCCTGAACTTGGCCTCCTGCTGGCGGCCCTCATAGTAACCCAGACTGTCTTCTTTGAGTCGACAATTTGAGATCGTGTAATAGTCTGCTGGGTACAGCTTTTCCGCTGCTGCCCTCGAAGCATCCCACATCTCGATCTTGAAGCAAAGTTTATCGAAGCGTTCTGGGACCCAAGCGCCCGTCGGCGTCCTCAAGTGGCCGTTGCTCGAGTAGTCGGTCACATATACGTTAGGCGGGTGCTTGTCTGAGAAGACGGCGACGATCTGGACGAACGTAAGCACACGGAAGAGGCGATCGGGAAGAGCATTCACCTCAACAGTACAGTCGAAGAAATGCAGACTATTACACCGCTCGAAGGAAAGATCTGCGATGCGAAGGAGCGGCCTTCCTGTGTGGTATTGTCTCTGAGTGGGATTGCTGACTGGCGTCTCGATCTGGATAATGCGGCCCGACGCCAAACCAGCTTGATCCTCCTGATTCTTCTCCTGCCTCATCTCCTGCCACCACTGGTGCAGATACGCGCAATACTGAGTTTCCTGTTCGTCCGCATGCCAGAATGGCGAAAACGACACAAATTCGCCCTTTAAGATGGCGCTCTGCGCAACCTCGTCGCCTATGGTGCCGTGGGTCATAGACCGCGTATCAGGATCGTAAATTGCCCATTGCAAGCGGTTGCCGTAGCCAATATTCTGTCGGTCGGTCCTCTGGACTGCCGTCAGCCGCGTATCGCTTCATATGAGAGGTGCCTACCTTGATGTTACGGAGTATGATGACCTGATCCTGCTTGGGTTGTGGCGCCCACTCTCGGTGTTGCTTCGAATAGCCCATGATACAGACTGAGGACGGGTGCTTGGATTCCTTATCGAAGACGCTGGGGTCAAATACTTTGATATAAGAATGCCAATCTAAGATCGGTTCAGTAATGGTCTGGACGCCTAGTGCGACGACTCGCCTCCCATTTTGGTCTGCTTGACATCCTTCGCGAACTCGACTATCCCGATGACGGACCAGAGCTCGCCTGCAGGCTTGTTTTCGACTGTGTTGAGAGCTATGTATCTCTCCTATATGTTGGTCAATATCAGAGTCCTCAGGCGAGGGAAGTGGAGACATACTCCTCGCCCAGTAGTAAGCACAGTCGAGCCCTCCTCCTCACCCGGTGCGGTGAGTTGGATGATCTGACCACCAGGCGGGGGCCAGGTAGCAGGTGTCGCAGGTGGAGCTGGGGTTGGTGTAGCTGGACCAGCAGATACAGACTGCACCGGCTGTATGGTCGGCGTAGCTACCGTTACCGGCTTCGGTGACGGTTCCGCGGTCGCTGGAGCAGAGCCCTGATTTGGTGATTCTGCCGCGATTCTTTGCTTTTTCCGTTTTTCCTGTCTCTTCTTCTTCTGGCCCTTGCTGAGTTTCTCAACACCTTCGTGCGGCTCCTCGGCCGGTGGCGCTGGCTTCGGCTTCTTCTGCTTGGACTTGGCTTTCGACCCGGCGGTCCCCTGCTTACTGTCTCGTTGAGGGGCATGCTCAAGCTGTTCACTGGCGACAGGTTCGGGTTCAGGTTCGGCACGCAGAACGGAGGGTGCGTTGACGGGGCTTGAACCGCATACGGTATTTGGCGGTGTCGGCATGGATTTAGTGGTATTCGACCGCGTCGGAGTGCGCGCCGACAATGACTCTTCGTGGCTAGGTGCAGCAGGTGCTAATGTTGTCCGGTCGTCGGCGACCTCATCGACATCCATATCATCGGACTCGAGGGATTGCGATGAGGCGAACTTGTTGAACCAGTCCGCTATTGGAGATAATGAGTACCAAGACACCACACATGTGGCCTATAGACACACCGGTGTTAACGACCTTCCCACAAAGCCGCTGGTCAGCACAACTCCTGTACTGGTAGATCACGTTGGTGTGGTACTGCAGCACCGGTGAGTCGTCGGACTCGAACTTCGCTCGGCGAGCATCCTTGAGGGACAGGTATATCTCGTCTTGCGGTTTTATCGTTATGTCTCGCTCGCGGAGGGATGCCAAGCAGGCAGCGTCGAAGTAGACATATATAGAAAGATGTCGCTTCTGTCCAGCGACGACCTCAGTGCTGATCGCCTTGAGCTCAATCTTTCTTTCGAGGTCCCTATCGCGCACTCGGACGACGCGCAGAGCATAGTACTTCTTGCTGTCCTCTGAGGTACAGATCAGCTTGCAATATGAGCTGTATATGACTGTCACGCACTTGGCTCGTCGAAAAATCTGTTCACAGACGCCTGATTGGCTGCGTCTTTGAAGAAGGCTGGCCAATCTACGGTCGAGACGTCCAATTTCGGTAGCTTGGCGTCGCGGGAGCCGTCCGGACAATCATTTTGGCGCTTGCGACCCGTAGTCGACATGACGGGACAGGACAAGATACGCGTCCTGTCACAGCGTGACACATTAAGCAAAGCCAATCACCTGACCGTTGCGCGCTTGTTTTCGAACCACCACCATGACATGAGGAAGCCCTGCGCTTGAGCCCAAATTCTACCCACTTTTCTCGCTACAAAGGCCTATTGACGAACACAAGATGTCTGCTGCGTCTCCCACTTTGCTTCCCCGGGAATCTCGGTTTCCCTTGGTGTTGCCACACCTCAATCAGCCATACATAAAGCCTTTGCCGCGTAAAGTACAGGTCTATGGGCGGCTCAATGCATACCGAAATCTGGAGCAAGAAATTGCGGACCTAGAGGATGAAGAGACATCGCTCGATACTGCGGTTAGTTGCGGCAGTCGTCTCTTGACCGCCTTCATTCTGACCGCCTGTAGATGCGCAATATACGCGACAGAGGCTTCAATTTCCTCGTTCCTATCGGCCGGAATCTCACTCAGCAAGAAGAGAAGAATGATGTACGGGCCTTCCTTGCCGCCACTTGCAATCATTGCTGACAGCCACACAGGAAGATGACGGCGAAGACGACGATGTTGACGACTCTGGGTCCGAGGAAGGCGCATCACAACCAAGCACGCAACAGACGGACGCTTCTGAGGAAGATGAGGACGAGGACGAGGAGGAAGAGGAAGAAGACCTTGATGCAAGTATGGAAGACCGTGACGAGGACGATGAGGAAGATGAGGACGAGGAAGAAGAGGATTAGTGAACTTGGGTGGCAGATATTACATGCGCAATATATCTCATCAACTTCCCGCGTGCAGACATTCTGAGGCAAAAGAAATCATCAAACGTACAGTCATCATCGGTACCCCTCGTGAATACATGAGTATCGTGTACAACAACCGTGACATCAACCCAACTCTCCCCGTCTACTTAGTACTACCCTCACGCCACATACTCCGCCTTCTCCCCCGTCGGCGTCGCCGGCTTCTCCTGCGGCGCGCTCTCGTCCGCTAATCGCACAACCTCGAACGTCTCCACGCCGATCTTGCGGATGACGATCCAGGCGAAAGGTAGTGAGAACACGATAAGCCCGATGTTCAGGCCGATGGACAGCCAGTCGGTGGTGTCGCTCGACTTGATGCCGTATGCGACGGCCTGGCCCGCGCACTCGATGCCGCGGAGCGTGCCCGTCATGTAGGATAGGGTGATGAAGTCGTCAGACACTGGAGAGTAAGTCCATCAGTCCGTGGTCGAGATTGCAACAGAGACAGACGTACTCTGACTCAAAATCCAGTACAACGTCGTCTGCGTCGCCATCGTCGCCATATCGAACAAGAAGAACAGCGTGAAGGTCTTCCCAAACCACGAGCTGTCCGTCCAGTCGATCGTCGGTTGATGGTCAATCAACTGCTTCGTTACGATCGCCGTCCAGAGCCACAGCAACAAGTTGAAGGCCATCAGTCCGATGAAGGCCCACCGCGCGCGCTGCTTTATGGAGAGCCGCTGCTGGTCGAGGAACCAGCCAATGCCGAAGCCGCCCATGATGTCGGCAAAGTTGATGACGAAGGCGCAGAGCGAGCGCGAGCGGACGTTGTAGAACTGCGTTTGGAGCGTGCCAATGTACGACCCGTAGAACCATGAGGTGAAGAAAAGCGGGCAAAGGAGGAGGATCTGGAGGGAAGCTTAGATGTGCGGTATACGACGCAGGACGAAGTAGATACGTACATTGGGTGACGAGACGACCTGGAACCACTCCTTGAAGGTCTGCATCCAGCCGGTCTTGCGGAAGTGGATGGGCTTCCCGTCACGGCGTTGCACCTTGTCGGGGCTCGAGATGAGGAGCGAGATGAAGGGGCCGGCACACATGATGCCAATCAAGACGAGGTATGTGACGAGGGAAACGGCTCCCGCTGAGTCCTCCTTGATGTTGAGGCCAAAGATGATCGCGCCTCCGACAACGGGAGCCGCTGTTAGATGGTCGCCTGAGCGGGGAATTGCATAGAAAAAATGGTCAAGCTACGAACCTGACCGCATGAAAACCCAAAGGCCTAGCATTTTGCCTCGGGATGCGGATTCGGGATATGCTATGCGAGGGTAAGGGAGCGCTTCTTGAAGAGATAAGACGAAGACGTACATGTGATGATGGGCCCTTCGACGGCGTACATGAGGCCGTCAGTCATGCCCGAGAGTATAGAACCTAGATAAACCTCGTCAGTCGGGACTGCATATGCAAACCAGAATAGCACTCACCCAGCATTAAGAACCACTGGGTCCCATTTTTGGAGTTTAGATATAAACTCCCAGCGTATCTGTGGCGGAATGAGAAATTGGGGAGGGGCGAGAAGTTGATCACACAAACATGATGTCGCCAGTGCTAGAGATCTGCAGGAGGATTAGCATGGGTTTAGAAGGTGGCACAGATCTGTTGAGCGCACCAGAAGCGAAAGACGGACGCCAATCTTGCTGACGATGACACCGCCGATGATGCACATGAAGGCCATGAAGACTGTACAGTGTCAGCTGAGCCGAATGGCGATAACGGTGGGGACGGACCATAGCCTGCGGCGGATGTCGCATTGGCATACCATGGGGTAGCCAGACCTCCCGCACCGAGGTTGCTGAGCGCATTGTACATGCCCGGTGCGCAGAAGAAAACCTAGTCGGACATTCATTCTTGTCCTTGTGAAGCAACATAGGAAGTACGAACCATCCCTGCCCAAAGGTGAGCCTCATCCCGCTAACACAAAAATCGCCACTCACCAACTACGATCACCTGGAAGATCGTACTGCGGAACCAGTGGACCTTGTAATACTGGCCATCTTGGGAGCCCTCAGACTCGGCAGTTGCATCCTTGGGGAGGGCGGGGACAGAGGTCGCGTCCGCCATGGTGCACGCAGTGAAGAGGAAGGATGGGGAGGGGAGATAGAATGACTCTTGCCGTCTATATACCTCTGTTATCGGGCGCTCCAGTCACTCGCGGCACATGTATCAACTCTGTGCTCTATCGGGCCATGGCGAAGCTCCAGCGTGCGGGGACACCGGCGCCAGAGATAAGGTACGCGCCGCACGTCCGAGTCAATAGCCTGCCGCACTGTCATCGGTGGCTTACGGGGCGGTTTCTGAGCTTTTCTGAGCGGCGGAGACGCTTTAAAAAGGAAGAATGCGTGGGTTTCCTGCCATCATGGACGTCGAAGACAACCAAGAGGATCGCCAAGAAAGTTCAACAAAGGCGTGCTATCGCTGACCGTGAGCTCGCCCTTAGGGGCGAGTGATCGGAATGATCCGGTTCTGGTTCCGCTCACACGCCCCGGACGATCGGTCCGGACGCATCTTGACCTCCTCGACGTTCGTTCCACGATCGACCAAGTCATTCATTCAAGTTTTCGCTGAAGATCCGAGGGTAGTTCTGACTCGCGCATCGCAGGAAGACATGACAGCCTCGCTGGAAAGACCCTCGCCGGCGCAGGAATGTCCCGAGGACGTACTTCATGAAATATTGAAGTGGGTGGACGCTCTAGGCGCGGCTGCTTGCGCGGTCGTCTGCAGAAATTGGTACCTCGCAAGCCGGATGCGTCTCTATTCTTCAATCAAGCTGGATACCTCGGACGTTGAGCGCATGTCGTCTCTCCTCTGGACACTTGTGGAGGCCGCCCCAAAGACATCCCTCGCCTTCGTGCGCGATGTGTACATTCTGTACGAACGGAATCTTGACAAAGTCCCGCGAGCAGGTCTCTTCAGCTTCCTGTACCGTCTTCCATCTATACACAATCTTCTCTCCCTCAGGATCTGGCTCATGACTTATGATTTCGACTTCGCGGAGGCAGCTTTCGCTCCCATCTCTGCCCTTCGCTCCCTCAAATCCATTACGCTCGAAGGGAAATTCCTGGACCTAGCGCAGGCGCCCAATCGAAACATCTTCACTCTAATATCCTCCCCAAGCCTTCGTCGTGCACACCTAGAATTTGGCGCACCCTCGCAGTTCAACGCCGAATGCGATGTGCCAACCAACATAACCTGGCTCACAGTCGAACCCAATAGCTTCCTCGGCTGGTTCAGAAGGCTAGCTAACCCTTCCCTTACCAAGTCGCTCACGCGCCTCGACATCATCATGTCGGTCATCGTGAATAAGAAGAACGTCACCGTCGAGCCCCTCCGCCTCTTCACCCGCCTCACGCATCTCGTAATCAAGACGGACGTCGGTGGCCAGCCGCTGCTGCACGAGGTTGTCGGGCATATGCCAGCCCTGCGCGCACTGTACGCTGGCTGGGGTACGTGGAACGAGAGGCTGTACGACGTGCTTCCGCCCGCGCTTCACAGTCTCTGGCTCGACGTTGGCAACGATAGCCATAGTCCGCGCCTCAGCAATCTGCCCATTGAACGATTCGCGCAACACGGCCTGCGCGCGCTCGCGATCGTATGCACGGGCCAAGACGCCCCCGAGGTTTCCGAAGAAACTGCCAGTGCTTTGGATGCAGGGCTGATTTTTCGAGTGTACAAAGGCGCCCCGCCCGACGTACTCGACGAACGGCTGCTCATGTAGGTTTCCGCCCTACAAGAAAGGTTTTACCACTGACCTGCATCGCAGGCAGCCCGACGGCGAACCTATCGGCGTATCGCCTGAGCACATACCGCAATAGGTCCCGTCTCCACTGCAAGCGTCGGCCTCTCAAAGGCGCATAGATACGAAGGATCGCACGGGAGCTGCGCAAGTGGTTTGCAGAGGGCTCTCACTCGCATCCAACGTCAGTGATTTTCCGGTGCAACCAAGGCGTGATGAGGACACTATCTTGACTATCGCTACAGGTTATATTGTGGCAACTACATTCCAAAGAAATCGGCCTTGCCGTTCTCTGTTCATGCCCCCCGCCTCCAAACCCCTACCCTTTGACTTCATCTACCTTCTAACAAACATCCTCCGTTCCAACCCCTCTCAAGAACTTCCACAGCGCGTCTGGGTCCTTATAGTCGTGGTGCACGATGCTCACCAACCAACGAGTGTCGCGCACGTTCTCGAGGAGCTTGCGCTCCTCTGACCCGGGGCGGTAAAAGCCGGCCCAGTCGGACCAAATGTCGAAGGCTTCCTCCTGCAGACGGAGCGACGGTCAGCGTCATATCGCGATAGACAAAAACTTCATTGCCACAAAAGGCGACAAGAATCGCCAACGCACCTTCCAAGAGCAGAACGACTCGCGCTCAATAATCGTCGTCTGCACGATCTCTTGTCCGGGGAAGACACCCCACGTCACCGCGTTTCTGCCACCTTCGGGGACGTTTCCTCGCAGGTCACCCTGCAATCAGGATCAGATGCTGCCACCTACGTGCTCTCGACCCTACGCACCTGGTAGTTTCCCGCGAACCAGTCCACCCAACCATACCCATTCGCCTCCACCGCGCGCGACACTTGTTCCACGTCCGCCTCCTCGCAGAAGAACTCCACGAAGCACTTCTGGAACACGTATCCTGCCCGCGGACCCCATCCCACGACCTCGTCCGCCGAGCTCACGCCATCCACGGCAGGTTGCGAGCCTACCGTCCACCACCCTCTCGCCGTCAGCTCCCTCAGCTCCGGCAAGATGATCTTCGACTCCGGCGACAGCGCCGTGGGCGAGAACGGCGTCGTCGGAATCTTGCCCTCGAGGTAGTCCACGAAGATCTTGGTAAGCTCGTCGAGCGTAGTCGGATTACCTGCGCTAGTCGATGACAGCGCGTTTGTGTATGCCTGCCCAAAGCTCCCCCAGGGCCCCAGCTCGCCGTAAGCGGGACTCTTCACATCTCCAAAGCGCCCGTTCGGGAAGTCGTCCCACGACGCCGCGTTGTTCAGCTCGCCGCTGCCCGCGGGCGCGCCCACGGCCGGGATGTCCTTCAGCCCGTGCGTCGCCTTGTCCGTCGCGGCGCCTGGTGTAAGGACGAGGTCGGCGGCGTCGAGCTGTGGGGGCGGGTGCACAACGGTGGAGGCGGGGCCGTCGGCGATGAGGCTGTTGTGGCCAGTGATGGAGGGTTGGGCAGAGGCAGCAGCAGCGGCGTGTGCCGGTGTCCATTTCAGGATCTCGAGCACGCGTGTCACGCTCTTCTCGAGGTTGAGCGTGCAGAGGTGGATGCCGGGGATGCCTGCTTCTGTCGTGATGCGGCGCACCATTTCGACGGCGAGCTCGACGCCGTAGTCTTTGACTAAGCGGTCGTCACTCTGGGTCGATATCAGTTTGTGGTGCGAGGGATGTGGGTTATGGATATACCTTGATAGGCTCGAGGGCGGTCATGATGGATTCGGGAACGCGCGAGCCGCAGAGCTTGGTCAGACGAATGAAGGTGGCATACGTTTGGATAGGCATAACAGAAGGGATGATGGGGACCGAGATACCTTCGAGACGTTAGGCGCATGTCAAAGGCTGATTGTGGTACAACTCACCGGCTTCCCTAACCTTCTTGACCCATCGTACGAAGTTGTCGACGTCGTAAAAGAGCTGCGTGATAATGAAATCGGCACCAGCGTCAACCGACTGCTTCAAAAAGCCGATTTCCGTGTCTTCGTCGTTCAGTCGCTCCGTATGCCCATCAGGGTACGCTGAAGCGAAATGAGTCGATTGCACAGGGAAGTGGGTTCAGCGCCGTTACCTGCAACGCCCACAGAGAATGTCTGCGCGTATGGCGAGCTGCGGATGTACTTCACAAGGTCAATCCCGTGCTGGAACCGCGGGTCGATGGGCGTCCACTCTTCTTGCCCCCTTGGAGGATCTGCGCGTGAGCTCGCAATCGTTCGGCCGAACTAATCATCCGGGACGTACCGCCGCGCAGCGCGAGGATGCTCTCAATGCCGCGTTCTTTGGCTGCCTTGCGCGTATTCAGCATGTGTTCCGGGTACAAGCGCAGAGTAAGACTGGAACGGAGAGGACACTCACCGCAAGCGCCTCATCCACCATGCCGACCTTCATGTTCGTGCAGGTGAGGTGCATGACAGTGTCAAGGCCATTCTGCTCCTGCGTGACACCAGCAAGCTCCAGTGTGCGCTCCTTGGTAGACCCCCCTGCTCCCCAGGTGATGCTGATCGCGAGCGGATCCAGCTCGGCCAGGCGACATATTCGGGGCACCAAGTTCTCAAAACCCTTGGGACGCGATCAGTATTCCTGGCGCCTCAGATGGGTAGGTTAGCGCACTTGGTCCGTCCTCGGAGGGAAGAACTCGAAGGTGAAGAACGGGTGCGGCCCCTTGTGCTGCTTGATTTTGTCCGCGAGCTTCATGATGGGCGGGAACAAGGGGAACAACCACTTTGGCTTGCGCCGGGAGGACGGCTATCCGGCCCGGCGGGATCGCCATTCGCACGGTGCGGCACGCTTGCCTCCTCTCCCGCTCGTCGCGCCGCCGCCGTCTCGCCTCGTGCTCCTTACCTCCCGCTCTCTACGCCCTCCGCGATGGACTCGCCTGCGACTGCCGACTTCTCCTCCTCCCCGCCAAAGCGCACGAAGATCGTGCTTCTCGGCGACCAGAGCGTCGGGAAGACGAGCTTGATTACTAGGTATGTATGCAGCCCGGGATGCGTGATGGAGGGCGACTGACAGACATGGCGCAAGGTTTATGTACGACACGTTCGACAACACGTACCAGGCGACCATCGGCATAGACTTTTTGAGCAAGACTATGTATCTGGAGGACCGAACCGTACGATTGCAGCTATGGGATACTGCAGGCCAGGTGCGTTGCCATTGTGCGGTTGGGTGCGTGTACTTACGAACTTGCGGCGTTTAGGAACGATTCCGGTCGCTCATCCCATCCTACATACGTGATTCCTCTGTCGCCATAGTCGTGTTTGACATCACAAGTGCGCTCGACCCATCGTCCGCTTGCATGGCACCATGCTCATGAGACGCTGTTCAGATCGCCAATCCTTCCTGTCCACGTCAAAATGGATAGACGATGTACGGTCAGAGCGAGGGAACGACGTGATTATCGTCCTTGTTGGCAATAAGGCCGACCTTTCCGACAAGCGGTATGTGTCCAAGCATTCCTGTTGCGTACGAAGGCTTAGGCCGTGCCAGACAAGTCACGCTGGAGGAGGCGACCGCGAAGGCGCAGCAGCTGAACATTATGTTCATGGAGACATCGGCGAAGGCGGGGCACAACGTGAAGAGCTTGTTCAAGAAGATCGCCATGTCCTTGCCTGGAATGGACAAGGAAGGCCAATCAGACGCAAACACCAGTGCGTACCTACCATCTCCGCCACCATCACGGTGTGCTGACTGCTCCTAGAGATCGATGTGTCGACAGCCCAGACGGGGGAAGTACCGGAAGCGTCGCAATGCCAGTGCTGAGCTTTAGTAGTCTCGGTGTCGGCGTGTACTCCCCTTCTTCTCTGTGGATACCTTTCTTCTTTTGCTTTGCATCCGGAGTTCACCTTCTCGTTAATACATTCATTTGCTCCTCTCACCTCGCTGCTCACAAGCAACGCGTCTCTGCTTGTTCAGTGCCTGCTTCGTCTAAGCAGCTCGGCTGATGCCGCTTTCGGCGCGACGGGCCGTGATCCGTGCTGAGCGGCCATAAACTTGTCAGCTGACAGCGGTGGCGAAGTCACGCCGCTGAAGCAAGTTGAACTTTACCGTTTCGATTCCGGTTCGACGCGCTGAAAGACCCTGCGTTCAGCGCATTGCTTTGCTAAACGATGCTCTGAGCCCCGCAGAAAGCACAGGATGCTTGTTCACCTGGACAGACCCTTCGCTACGAAATAAGGTACGTCACCGCGCTGCGGTTGTGAATGTCATCCTTCTGCAAGTTACGGGAGCGGTGGACAGATAATCGGGTGCCACTCGCACACATCGCCTCAACAACGTGTTCGTCAACCATTCCAGGCGTTCATCGAGCCTGCGAATTGACGTCGAGTCGCTCCAAAGTCAACCTCGTAAGCAAATTCGGCTCTAAATATACTGTCTTCCGCCCGTACCCGCGATCGAGGATGGCCTGGAGGCTAGCGCCGCCTATGCAGGCTCAGCTTTGTGGGCGCGAACGTCCTGAGCGCCTGTGGCACACAGCCATCATTACGTTGACCTCTTAGCGCCCGAAGAGAGGTCGTCGTGGGACACCAAAATGGTACACATCGCCTCGGTTCATTGAAACGACGCGGTCGCCTACCCCCGCATGCCATTTGAAATCTCACCCATCGCACTCTTTTCTTAACCCTCATCTTCCTGCCTGCGCCCCTGCTCCTCGCAGGCCTGCTCCGCTCCTTCATCGTCGTTGCCTAGCTCTCTTTCCCCGGCAGCGCGCAACTATGCGGTACTCTTCCCTCCTGCCCCTCGCGGTCGCGGCTGGCGCGTCTGCGTCGCCGTCTGTTCACTCCTTCCAGTCCCGTGCCAACATCGTCTCCGACGACAGCAAGCTCGCTGACTCGTACGACTTCGTCATCGCCGGGGGAGGTCTTGCAGGTGCGTTCTGGCGCGGTCAGGTGGCGATCATCACGCTGAACGCGCGCCCAAAGGCCTCGTTCTCGCTTCTCGCCTCTCTGAGGACTCAAACACCACGGTGCTCGTTTTGGAGGCCGGGGCTACTGGCGATGATGTGGCAGATCAGATCAGTAAGCTCCTCCTTCCCCACACATGTCGGAGTGCGTCAGTGTTGACTTGGTGATCACCAGACAAGCCCGCAAACGCGTACTACGACTCCCTCACCGGCTCGAGCTATGACTGGGCATACAACACCGCGAAGCAGGGTTATGCGAACGACCGGGCCATGTCCTGGCCGCGCGGCAAGGTGCTGGGCGGCAGCAGCGCTATCAATGGCATGTACATGGTGCGCAGCCTCATCCGCTCGCTGTGGCTGCGCCCTCTGACGGTCTATTTTCATCGTTCCCCAAAAATCGTTCCGCATTCCAGGTCCGGCCCAACAAAGCCGAGCTCGATGCGTGGTCAGGGTTGCTCGACGGCGACAGCGACGCGGGCAACTGGAACTGGGATAGCCTGTACGCGGCGATGAAGAAGTCGGAGACGTTCAATGCTCCTTCTTCGGACGTGCAGAAGCAGGCGAACATCCAGTATGACGATTCGGTTCACGGCTCGGACGGCCCTGTGCACTCGAGCTACCCGGGCATGTAAGCACCGCCTGTCTAGCGCGCAGTCTCGGAGCTATGCTTACTGACATGCCCCTAGTACTTTCGACTTGGTCGGCGATTGGACGGACACCTTCAACGCGGTCGGTGTCCCGACTGTGGAGGACTCTGGCGCTGGTTCCAACTCGGGTGTCTTCGTCGCGCCTTCTGCGATCAACCCGAGCAACTGGACGCGCTCGTACTCGCGCTCCGGGTACATCGACCCGCTTCCCCCACGCGACAACCTTGCGATCCTTGCCAACGCGATGGCCACGGAGATCGTCTGGAAGGATCAGAACGACGGCAACAACAAGGTTGCGTCCGGTGTGAAGTTTGCGGCGTATGCCGGTGCGGAGAGCAAGACGGTCAATGTCAACCGCGAGGTCATTCTCGCCGGTGGCGCTGTCGGCAGCCCGCAATTGTTGATGCTCAGCGGTGTCGGCCCGAAGGACACCCTGCAGAACGTAGGCATCGACGTTCAAATCGAGCTTCCTGGTGTTGGGCAGAACCTCCAGGACCACATTGTAGGTGGCTTATATCCATTCCAATCTCCTATCTAATGCATTGCTATCATCAGTCGTCGTCCGTCACCTACTCAAGCAATGCGGACACCATGGGCAACCTGTACAAGAGCGGCGGCACGAGTGATATCGATCTGTCCTTCATCAACTCTGCCACCGCCTACATCAACTTGACGGCGCTGATGGGCGCGGATGCTGCCGATGCTTTGAAGTCCTCCGCTTCCAGCGGCCTTGACAACTACCTCAACAGCGTGCCCAGCAGCTCCGACCAGGTCAAGGCGGGCTACAAAGCCATTGCCTCGGTCGTCACCGACCAGTTCTACGGCAGCGACGTTGGCCAGGTCGAGGTGCTTCTGAGTATCACCGGCGAGAACAGCGTCACCATCCAGGTCGCGCAGCAGCACCCTCTCTCTGTCGGGCGCCTGTACATCACCTCGCAGTCCGCCTTCGATGCGCCGACCATCGATCCGGGCTACCTCTCCAACTCGGCTGACCTTGAGATCATGCGCGCGGGCATCAAGTACGTGCGCGAGATCGCGACCACGCAGCCGTTGGCGGGCCAGCTTGGTGATGAGGCGTGGCCGGGCAAGGACGTGACGTCCGACGACGACATCGACAACTACGTCCGCAACTCGATCGGCACGGAGTACCACCCCACGGGTTCCTGCGCGATGCTGCCCCAGGACAAGGGCGGTGTCGTTGATGCGAAGTTGAAGGTCTACGGAACTTGTGAGTTCTGGGTGATAATGGAGTACGACACAGTACTGACACTCTTCCTCAGCTAACGTCCGTGTGGCCGACTCCTCCGTCTACCCCATCGAGTTCTCGTGCCATGTACGTTTCAGCGACTCAAGTCTGCGATTCATAGCTGATCATGATCTTTCAGTTGGGCGCCGCCACCTACGGTCTCGCCGAGCAGGCCGCTGACATGATCCGCAAGCAATACAACATTCCCGAGTCGACCGCGACCTCATCGGGGTCCTCGTCGACATCGTCTAGCGGCGGCAACAACGCGGCCGACAACAACAATGGCGCGCTCCTTTCCAGCCCATCCACCCTATGGACTGTTCTGGCTTTATCCGCCTCCGCTGTCCTTACCATGCTCTGAACGTGAACAATCGACTCGAGGACTGGACCTGGCTGCACTTGCATGTAGCGCGCACCGCCTACACTAACCCACGTATTTAAACGGACTGTCCCTACTTACACCATCGTAATGTTCACTTGCGAACGGACTATTGACTGTTGTTTCTTTATTGGCCCGAGGCCACCCACCCAGCGGTCGCTGTCACGACATGTGTATGTACCGAATATCTCCCACACGCTACTAGCTAGTTACTAGACGCTGTACATACATTTGCATTCTACACCACTAATGCGCTGGACTGACGACTGTACACGGCCTCACGTCCTCTCCATGTCTACGTACGACGTCTACGGTCACAGACTATCCCCGATTCATGGTGTTGCCGGCCCCGCGGGCATGCGTATCCGTATACTGCGCCCAATTTTCGTCCTTGAGACGTTTCTCTTCGGCCCTGCGCTCGCTCTCCGCGGTGCCATCCATCTCTGCGTCCAGGGCGAGTTGCTCGGATTCGGTGAGCGCGCTCTCCGATGCCTTTCTGATGTTGGAGTCAGTAAGCGGTCGGCAAGTGTCAAGTGCGTGGACGAACCCTCCGCCCGAGATGAACTTGCCCCGCTCTTTCTCGATCTGCAGGTACTCGTCGACGGTCATAGTAGGTAGATTGTGACCAGGTCCGAAGACTTGGTTTTGCAAGCGCGCTCGATCTGCGGCTCCGGCTGGAAGGATCGTAAAGGGACGAAGAGGCTAGGGAGACTGGTCAGGGGAGGCACATCATCTACAGCGATGTCACTAACCTTGCCATCCGGGTCTAGGAGAGGACCATTCGCATCCGACCCCTGCGGCACGTCAATACGCCACATCGCGTCCTGCTCCTGGCGCTGCCTGGATCTAGGATCTAACGCGTCTGCAGGCGTGCGCGATGGCTCTTGTGGCGCGCTCTTCAGCAGATCGAGCTCCTGGTTGATGCTCCCCAGCTCAGCTTGCGCTTTGGCATAGCAAAGCCTTAGCAATATGAGCGTCGTCTCCCGCAGGATCTCGTCGGTTTCCGCGTCCTCCTCCTGATCAGAGGTCGTTGTAGCGGCGGGAAGTAATGATCCAATGAGATCAAAATCGTTGGGGGTGTCGTTTTCCTCGGCTGCACGCTGATTTCTGCGCTTGCGCAGAGCCTAGGATAATCAGAATGGCGGAAGGAGCGAGGGACGTGCTAGCATACCTCTACTCGGCCCTTCAGTTCTTTCTCTTTCTGGAATTGCTTGATCTTTGTCTCCCTTCGCCGCGCGGGGTCGGGGATTGAAGCAGTCCCCCGCTCGTGCAGCTTGCGCTCGTCTTCGGGAACGATGTTATAGTGTTCCAAGGTGAAGATGAACGTCTTCAGCTTTGACTGGAAGGAATTCAGCGTCAAAGACGCGTATAGAAAGCTGGGGACGCACTTCAGCCTGCTGCAGCAAGCGCATTCTGTCATCACGCTCCAGAGCCTTGACTCTCCCCAGCACCTCCGCGATCACATACGGCACGAAGAGGTACACAAGATCAGGCGTTGTGATATCCTCTAGCGTCTCATTTGGGCTGAAGAGTGAGAGATCTAGGACGCGCGCATTGACGTTCTGAAGGTCCGCGAGGCTGGTCCTGATGAGATCCTGGAGGGGTGTCAATGCCAGTTAGGCAGAGAACCGCTAAGTGGCGACCTGCGTAGCGTCGTCAGCAGTCGGGAGATCGTAAGCCTTTGAGGCTGCCGATAATGCTTTGCTGAACACTCCTGAGAGGGGGGCGGACATGATGGTCGAGGTGCAAGATGATGTCTGTCGACAAGTCACAATGAACTCGATGTGACGATGCTCACTTCCATAACTTTCCACTTGCCACCAGAACGCGAACCAAAGCTTCTTGAGTAACCTTGCGCGAGTCAGCTAAGTCAGCACTGCAGGCCCAAGCTCAGTGGGATAGTCATCTATTGGAACCAAGGAGTATTACAGGCCGCCTTGTAAGACGCGCCGAAGGTAGACTGAGGTGCGCGTACTACGAAACCCAGATACAAAACGACATAAATACAGCGTAGCAAGGGATAGAACAGAGCTCATAGGATGTATCTGAAGTCCTTGTTCTGCTTGTCGGTCAGGTCGAGGAAAGCCTGGAGATCATTGCATCAGTTTCGGCCTTCCTTGCTCATTCGTCGAGGTAACTCACCTTGTCGACCTTTGCCTCGCGGACAGCTCCACTCTCGTCCTTTTGTTCGACGTATACTTCGTCTAGACTGTCTGTCTCTTGTGCTGAAGCGTCTCGGCGCTTGTTTTCGGATGCCAACACGTATCGGAGGGCGAGCAGCAACAAGCCAGACACAAAAGAGCAGCATGCAATGACCGTCCATGGGACGTGGTTTCTGGATCACTGATTCAGCTTTGTTCATGTTCAAGATACGAATACAACGCACCGAGGCTGATACTTCTTCTTCCACATCTGTGGGAGGGGAATTCAGTGAGCAACTTAGTCAACCATTAGTACGGAAGTGAACGTACGAAAGGTCCTACTGCATTCCCGATTCCATAGAATATCATTACGATAGCGTTTGTTGTCGTGCCTATACCGAGCATGAGTATGAGGAATGTTAAGCACTGGAAGAATACGCACGTTTCGTATGCCCCGCCGTCAATGCCGGCACCCAGCCCAAGAAAATCGCGAACGGACAGATACTGAAGACTGGAGGTAATTTAGCCAGGTGCAATGACGGGCACTCAAGCACGTACTAGATACCCAATACGAGAATAGTAGACCAATCTTGTTGTCGGATGGTAGGGTGTTTACCAAGATGGCACCAAGTATCCCCGGAACGTACATGAGGCTACCGGCGTAGCCTCGACCAATGAATCGGGCAAGAAGGATCCCAAGAAGGATGCAGGAGACCTCGACCACTGCGAAGGGGTTATGAGATCAGAGGGCGACGTATAGAATTTACGGATGGTCACTCACGTCCATCCACGCATCCCATCAAGGTCGTGATAATTGGGGTAAACCCGAACTGGCTGACTATGAGCTGCCTCTGGTTGCTTAGCTGCAAGTGGATGTCAGAAAGGGCTGTAGATAGTAGGAATGCCACATACGGAGTTGAAAACGTTCCTGCAGAGATGATCAGCGACTAGCGGGAAGCAAGCCAATAAACGACAACGTACGAGAACCCGGCGTACAGCGCCATAACCCATACTTTGGGATCCTTGAGTGTCTCGATGAATCTATCGCGTATGTGAGATCCGAGGCGCTAGCGCTTGCGTATCGATGATCAACACGCACTGCTCCTTCTTCCACGTCTTATTTTCCACGCCGGCCTGGTTCACCTTGATCCGCTCAACGACCAGTACGCGCTCCTCCGGTGTTAGGAACCACGCGTTCGTAGGCGAGTCGGGGAAGAAGAACCTGCGCGGCTATGTTAGCGTCTACTTCTCGTGTCGACGCTAGAGGCAAAGCGCCCCGTCGGCAGTGCAGAAACGTCGCGCGTCCAGACATATGAAGACGCGGACTCACCAGAAGGTTATAGCGGTGATGAGGGTAATGAGCCCAGTGATGATCATGAGCCACTGCCAGGGCATGAAGCCGCCAGTCTGCGCGATGCTGTTAGCCTACGTGGCGTCAGGGACATGAGCAGTACGACGCACATGCGTGTGCAACAGGCCGAAGGAGACGAAGCCCAAGAATATAATGGCGAAGCCGTTCATGAGGACTGCCGGTGGGAATAAGTGCCTCGTCTTGTACTTTCGAAGCCACCCCACTCACACCAGTATCCCACGCGCCTGGTCTGTTCCTCGCGCGTGTAGAACATGGACGTGACCTGTCGGTCCCAGCCCGGGTTAGCTGCGCAGCCAGACATATGAGAAGGCCGCCTTACGATCATGAAGCCAGGCGTGATCGCGCCTTCGCAGACACCGAGAATGAACCGCACCGCGAAGAGCGCGCCGAAGCTATGGCAAGCGGCATGACATAGCAGAGCGACTGCCCACACGAAGATGTTCACGCTCATCCACTTGCCGACGGGGAAGTATTGGAGGGCACGGTTTTGTGGGAGCTGGAGAGGGAGGGTCAGCACACGAGGGGCGGGTCAGTAGTGTGCCACCCACCTCGAAGGCGAGATAGCTAAGATAAAAGATCGTCCCGAGCCAGTTAAACTGGTTCTGCGTGAGATGTGCCCCTGGCAGGATGCCTAGGACCGCGCTCTGGCCTAGCGTGGTCTTGTCCGCAAAGGTCATACTACTCGTCATGAGCTCAGGCTGTCATAGCGATATGCATGCCACCACATACAGGTACATCACTGCAAAACAATCAGCTCCTCGCCTGGTGGCAGACGGACATGAACGTACAACAGAACAGCGGCATAATGTGCCAGTCAATTTTCCGGCTGTTGGAACGGTCGTCAACATCAGACACAAGCTGAAAGACCTCGCGAAAAGCACGAAATCACATACCGTAGTCGAGCAGCCGTCTCGGGGTCCAGCTTCACGTCCGTACGCCCCGCCACCAGCTCCGCCGCCGTGTCGACGTCCCTCTTGGATAGCGTAACATGATGCCCGCCACTGCGCACCTCAGTGAGCGAAGACTTGGTCTCGTTCTCCGCGCTCGACCTGTCGCCCATCTTGCCGGGGGTAAGAAAGCCTGGTACCGTGGGCTCAGAACCCTCCTACATACCTTATATACGCGCCTGCGCTCCCACCGCTGCATGCTGAGCAACCGCTGATCCCATCGCCGCCCGCGAAACTCGGGTGCCGTCATGATCAGGTCGGGGGAGCTTCTTGTGGGAACAATACCATGGGGGGCCTCATAGACGCCGTGCATGCAGCGCCGACTGTACTCGGAGCCAGGGGATCGACGACTCTATGTGGGAGCGCTGCGTGGAAGTAAGCGCAACTGAATGGGCCGGGCGTGGGTGAGCTCGAGACGCTCCGTGGGCGGCGCGTATCATCCGCGGCCGGAAAGGTGCAGTGGCCAGAGAAGCGAGAGGCTTTTGGATGTATTCCAAGGAAGGCTTCCAGAGGTTCAGAGAGGTTGGATAGGATGTGAGCTAACCATATACACAAGCGACGTCGGTGGACGGCAGCGGGCAACACCGGCGGGCGGATCGTGGTACACCGGCAGGAGCAAGTTCAACCGTTCACATGCCTTCAGCGCATAGAAATGCTATATCTGCAGTCAGACTCGAGCTCTTTTGCGGCCTGCGGGGAGTGCATCTTGACAGTAGTCCAAAGGGTAGAAGACGGCAGACGCCGAGACCTGCAAACTGAGTCCAAGCCGCGTCAGTGAGTCGGAGCTCAAACTGGCGCCCGAGGAAGACTTCCGTACAGCCGCACGCGTACGCCACCGTGCCTCTCCATCTAGCTGCACTGCAACTAGCATTACCATCTAGACTTTAGAATCCTCACACCCGCAATACCTTCGCATCCGTAACACTCGCGAATCAGGCCCCACATCACTAATACAACATAGCTTCATTGTTCTCAAAAAGGACAGTAGAGGCACAAAAGAATGGCGAGGTAATCTAGCTTGGTCGCTAACCTCGAGCAGCGACATTATACGCGAGTGTAGTACAGTGCTGGTGTGGGACCTTCGGTCTGGCAGGCGGCTACAGCGACTCTCGTCGGCTACAGCGAGTCGAGGCGATACAGCGATATCGATGCGAAGCGGCTACAGCAATCTGGAGCGGCTACAGTGTCTCTGTGCGATACAGCGTCTCTGGGCGGGCGGGAGCCATATTATGGACACGGCGGATCGTCCGTACGCGGGCGGGCGGCAGGCGGCAGGAAGACCGGACGGGAAGGAAGAGGATAACGTCGTGCAACTCGGCGGGAGGCTAATGCTGCACGAAGAGCATAACGTTGGGCAACGCGTGAGGATCCAGCGGGCGGGTCGGGCTAGTGAGGAGCGAAGACGGCAATGCAGACGATGAAGGGGACGTAGGTGAAGAGGGAGACGACGGCCATTATCCGACATCGAGTGCGCCAGGTGCGTGCATCTGTCAAAATCGTGAACACAATATAGTATCTGAACAAGAAGGATACGAACCATGCTCGACTTGCGGGTCGTCCAGGACGACGGAATCGTCCCTGGAGTGCGTCCCTGCTTCCGGCATCTTCCCCTTCTCGAGGTCCGCGGTGTCGCCTATGCGCCGCGTCTTCGGGACCTTGAGCACAAAGCCGCCAACCCACCACAATGGGAACAGCACGAAGGACACGAAGAATATCCACGCCTGGATCGGGCTCGCCCCCTCCCCCTTCCACGGCTGCCACCTCGGGTACTCGTCGTCCCCAGGTGAGGGCAAGGAGAGCGACCACGGCGTCGAGTGCACGCGCGGCGGCCGGTGCGGATCCCGCATATGGAAGTGCCGGCTCTGCGACGCGATGGACACGGACGGCGCCCTCGGCGCGACGAGCGCGGATATCGGGATGGAGGACCCCGAGATCATGCTGCTGCGCGAGATGCGTGACGGCGCGCGGTGCACGCTGGGTACGTGCCGGCGGACGGAGGACGGCGCGCGGGAGGGCGGGCGGGTGGCGCGCGAAGGCGGGCGCAGGCTCGCTTCCTGCGGCGGCTCGAAGATGGCGGCGAAGGGCATGGTGCCCCCTGGGCCGGTGCTGCGTCGGCTGCCGCGGCTGGCGGTCGAGTCGTGGCGGCCGTGGGAGGAGTGCTGGCGGTGGACGTGCGCGCGGGGGGAGGGCGAAGGAGAGGATTGGTGCTGGTGTTGGCGGTGCCCGGGGCTGCGTTCGGCCCGTGGGCGCAAGCGAGCGTCGGGGGATGATGCATTGGACAGTCGTGCTCGCTTGCGCGTGTAGGATGAAGGAGCTGTAGAGGCAGTGGCAGACGTCCCGCTTTGTCTGTGCGCTATGGGTACGCTGTCAGCGCGCGACCTAGCGAAGTGCGGGACGCGACGCGCCACTGAGTGATCACTCACGTCGGTTGTCCGCTGCAAAGGTGGTTTTGTGTTCCTTCTTGTCCGGGGGTGTGCCCGAGTCCACCTCGTCCGCCTTCCGCTTCCCCGTCGTGCTCCCCTCCGACACCGTCCGCGCTATCGCACCCTCTGCCCGTGGTCGTGGCGTCTGTGGCTGCAGTTGCTGGTCATGACTGTCTCCGTGTCGATCTTGAGTGGTGGGGAACTGGTTCGAGCTGCGAGAGGGCTGCATAGATACGCTGGTTGTCTAATCGGATTCGAAGAGGTCTGCGCGTCGCTGTCTTCTATGTTTGAGGTAGATATGTAGGGGGTATGGTGGAGATACAGCCTAGATGATAACAATTTGTTCACTGTCAAAGGGGAACGGTATCAGTCGATCTGCTTTTTTGCGCGTCGGTGCGTAGAGCTGACCTTGAGGGAGTCGCGCCGCCCGAAGCACGACCGAAGCGAGGTAGGAAGGAGCACAAGAGCACTGTAGAGGAAAGAGATGTATTTTGTTTAATGCATACTTCTTTGAAACGGTAGCGAGATCAACGAGGCGGACAACGAGGCGACGACACGGCTAGCACGAGGCACACCGCACGACGCGCTCGTCGGCGGCGACAAACCCTAACCCTAGAATTCACGTGGCCGTGATCAACTCGAACCGTGACCGTCACGCAAAGCAATCCGGCGAATACTTGTATTCATGATAAAGTCAATAGCAACAGAGTCCATATCGGTAGCATAAGGAGATTAGGGAGCCATAGCGTACGATAATGCATAGAAAAGAGCGACGCAGGTCAGATATATATCAACAGAGCGAAGGAGGTCAGTCCAGTAGGGTTCATGCTAAGCGCCTCGCTTAAAGGCTGATGCTAATGGGAACACAGCCGATGTTGATGAGGCCGTTCTGTAGAAGAGGTGAGTGAGAGATGAGAAGGGAACGGTCGGAGTGCGACGCACGTAGGTGTTGTTGCTACAGCAGGCGACCTGGCTCGAGCAAGAGTTACCACCGACGCCGATGACGGACAAAGGGCTGCATTGGACGCCCACAAGGCTGTCGAGATTGAGACCACCGATGGCGAGCAGCCCGGCAATAAGTCCAGCGGAGCCAACATCCTTGACCTGAGACGCTGTTCAGTGCTTATGGTCCATACATGCCAATCCTTGCATACCTTCTTCACTGAGTTGCAGCACTTGACCGTGCCCGAGTTGCACTGGCCGCCACCATTACCCTGGACAGAGCGTCAGTACGCCAATGCAGGAAAATAACGCAGACTTACCGGGTCGGTAGGCTTCGTGGGCTCGCTTGTCCAGGTAGTGCTCCCGGTGTCCTTTGAGGTCGACGACGACGACGGCACCGAGCTGGATCCAGTACCCCAGGTCGCCGACGTCGTATCGGTCTTGCTCGTGCCCCAGGTCGACGTGTTGACGCTGCTGTGGGACGTCGTCGAGGTCTTGGAGGTGGGGTCCTCGGTCTCTGTAAGGAGATTGATATTGGCTCAGCTCGAGCGATGGAAAGAAACACGTACTGGACGTCCAAGTGGGCGTGCCGGTTGGGCCCCAAGTAGGGACAGAGCTCGAGCTGGTGTGCTCGTCCGACTCTGCAAACCCGTCAGCTAAGGTAGCGCACATAAATTGCAGAGAGGCTCACTGGAAGTCGACGACGAGTGCACGCTGGAGCTGCTGGAGCTAGGAACGCCCCAGGTGCTGCTCGAAGTCGGCACACCCCAAGTGCTGCTGGAGGTAGGCACACCCCAAGTGCCGCTCCCGGTGACGGTCACCGTCTGCGTAACCGTCGGGCACTCGCCGGGGACAGTGACGGTGACCGTCGCCCCACCGCCACCGCCGCCACCACCACCAAGGATGCCACCGAGCACGGGCAGACCACGACCGTGCGGCTGCGCCGCAACGAGCATCGCAACAGAAACAATGGTGAAGATACGGGCGAACATGTCTGCTGGGCAAAGGAAAGAACTGAGGTCGGAGGAGGAAGAAGTGAAGAGCTCGAAGTAAGTCGACTGTGGGTAGTAGACTGGCTGAATATGTGGCCACCAGCCTGCCTTTATACTTTCCGCGAACGTATACCCACCAAGCTCCGACTGAATACCTTGTCCAACTTATGCGGACTCTTCGCGATACTCGGCAGCGCTCCAAGTACTCGCGACGGATCGCGACTGTGCGCCCTGGCCGGTGACACGCCCTGCCCGTCACTCACCGCGGAAGCAGGCGCAAAGCTGGCCGCAGTGCGCGCATTCAGGCGGCGCTGCCACCGGGAGGCGAACACCCACGTTCCTCGGGGCGATCTCGCGCGCCACAAGGGTTTCATTGGCGCGCGAGCCTGTTAGGCGTTTATTGACTCCAAGGCATCTGGACGGCATATTGTAGCGGCCGTGCGTCCGACACCAGCGAGGGGCTGCTGCGCTGCCAAAGTGAGTTGCACTGTCAGAAAATTCAGCTTGCCTTCCGGACCCGACATGGGCATGATAGAGAGGACGTACATTGAGTCGTGACGCTGATGGGTGGAGCTATGGCCGGGGAAAGCGGGGGAGCGACGCACAAATGGATCCGCGAGCCAAAGCGAATAAGCATTGAAGGCAGTGTTACACGAACAAATACATGCAAAGCGAGATTATCCATGGGCCATACATCCGTGCCAGCGCAGCGAGCAGCGGCGCAACGCAATCTATGGCAAGAACGCCGACACCTTCGTCGGACGCCGCACAGCAGCAGAGTTCCCCTCCGCATACTTGAAGCTCACCCGGTAGTTCTTCTCCACATTGCGGCGCACCGCAGCCTTGCTCTGCGTCGCCGTCACCTTCGTTATCGGGCGCCCGAAAAAGTCCACAGCAACCTATGCGATCGCCCCGTATCAGCGACAATGAACACAGAGCCTGGTCAAAGGATAAAACCCACCTTCTCCTTCTCCACTGGCGCGACCACGTCTTTCTTCGCGCGCTTGTTGGGATGTTCGGGCGCGGCGCCGTTCGTCTGGGCGGAAGACCTACAGTTGATAGATAGATAGAGTATGTTAGCATGCGCCACCGGACGAGAGGGATTGACTTCGAGACTAACTTTACGCTGGGATTGAACACGCTAGCCTTTCCCGTAGCATCCTTTTGCACAACCTCCGCCTGGCGCGTGATAGCAAGTTCGATCTGTAGCAGTTCGCGTCAGTTATGTCCTATTCTGAGGGCCGATACCCCAACTAACCTCGGCAGCCACCATTTGCCGCACCGCGTAACGCGAAGCTGGTATATCCGCCGCACGCTTGCCGTCGTAGGTGATGAAGACGTCAATGGGTCTGTTGAAGCAATTAGACCTGAGTGAACTTCCGCTGAGCGAAACTGCGATACTCACGGCTCAAGACGATAGGACAGCTGCCCATCCTCCCCTCGTTCAGGCAAAAAGCGGAACTCCATCGCGGCCATCAGGCTGACCAGTCGCGCCATGACAGCACGTTCAGCGGGTTTGATAATTTGCTTGTTGACCTACGCATATCAGAAGTAAGTGACAAGTGGCAGGAGTCAACAATATCAATGTCGAACGCACCGGGCGCAAGTGGGGTGAGATTATACGATTGATGAAGGGTGCTGCCTCGAGCTGCAGCGCCGGCTGGATAGCCAGGTGTCGGAACGCGCCACCATGTCTACTCCCCGCCACACGCAAGCACTGCGAGAAGGTCTTGTAAATCTCCTCATTCGCGCGCGTCATTTGCAGAGCCTGCGCCACAAATGTCAGCACCATCGTTTGTAAATCACTATAACCCAAGCTCACCTCCCAATCATCACTACTGCGCTCTACCTTTGGCGCGCCGCGCTCCTGGAAAAGAGGGTAGAAGGCGACTAGGGTGTAGGGCAGGTACGGCGCCAGCGCAAATTCGCCGTCGCCCCACATCGCCGCAGAGAACGCGTCGAAGGCGGCTAGCCAGTCGTTGGCCTTCTCGAATCGGTCCAGTGTGGCGTCATGTTGCCGAAGCGATGCGTAGTGCGCGAAGCATCCTAACAATTAGTGTCAGCACACGGAGTCCTGCGGCACCCATAATCCCACAGCGGGAAATGAATGCCACCCACCGACAGCAACCCCACTCTCCCTCCCACTGGCGTCAACTTCGTGACTGAGGCGTGCGACATATTTGGCCTCCTCCGCCTCCGTCAGCCCGAGCTCCTTCACCCGCCTCTTCGACATCGGCGCAAAAAGGCTATTGAGCACAGACTGCACGCTCGTCTCCGCCTGCTTCATCCCCACCGTCGCCGACCTTACCATCGCCAAATTCACCTCCGCGCTCCTCGCCTTGATGAACTGGAGCGTATTCAAACACCCCCGCATATCCCCCCTCGCCACCGCCACCAGCGCACTCAGCGCCTGCGAGTCCGCGCGCAGGGCCTCGAGCTCGCAGATCTGGCGCAGCCGCTTCACGATATGCGCGTCCGCGGGGCGCTGGAGGCGGACATGGAGCGCTTGCGGGCGGAGCTTGGCGAGCGCGGACGCGTTGGGGTCGTTGCAGATGCAGATGATGGGGCGGAGGATGGGGCGGGCGGTCTTGGGGTCGCGCTTCTGGCCGGGGCGGCCTAGGGAGGGCGTGAGTTGGGGAGGTAGATGGAGTGCGGGAAGGAGAGAAGGAGGGAAATGAAGAGAACATACGTTTCTTGGAAGGCTCGTCCTTTGTCAGTTGGACGAGTTTGTGGATGAAGGAGCTGGACTGGACAATTGCCATCAGCTTCTAGACACCCCAAAGGAAAGGAAGTCATCCAACATTGTCTGCGCTTGTCGCGCCGTCGATCTCATCTATAACCAGGAGCACGGGCTTCTTGCTGCCCACCGCCGAACCAGATTCGAGCGCGGGTCGTATACGGTCCTCGACTTCGGTGCCAGAGCGAGCGTCACTATCAATCCGGTCGATCAGCATACCTCTCACCACCCACTGCACTTCCCCATACCTCGCATTAATCTCCATAACCTCATACCCCGCATGCCGCGCCACCACATGCGCCAGCGTCGTCTTCCCCAGCCCCGGCGGGCCCGACATAAGGAGCAGCTTCTCCTGCGGTCGATGATACTCGTCCATCCCCTCCTGGTTCTCCTCCCGCGGCCGTTTCTTGCCCTTGCGGTGCCCGAAGACGCACCAGTCCCACTGCTTGACCCATGCCATGACGTCTCGCGCACTGCGCTCGTTCCCAATGAGCTCGGTGAAGCGCGTGGGGCGGTAGCGGTCAACCCAGAGGGTTTCTTCTTGTGGTTGTGTGGGCGTTGGGGCAGTGGAGACGGAGGTGCGGTTGAAGATGGATGCGGTCGGGCGGGAAGAGGAAGAGCGAGAGGTGGAAGCAGAGGCGGTGGCGGCGGTGGCAGCGATGAAGTTCTCACTGGGGGGAGAGGAAGGTTATCGATGAAGAAGAGCGAGCGACGGACAGAAGACGCACTGTGCTTGTAGGCGGGTAGCGGTGTCTAGGGAGATCTGGTCCCGTAGTCGGTGCAGGGGCATGTCGAGGAGGTTATTGATGTCGCCGGAGTGACCATTAAGTTGTCGCTGCAGGGGGTTAGGTATAAGTAAGGCCGTCGAGTAAGCAGGGGGCTCGAGGTGCGAGCAAGGATCTCATATAGAGAGGGTGCATGATTACAGGGCCAGGGAAATACGACGCACCTCGCGTGCTTCGTGGTTTACCTTGACGCGCTTGCGAATGTAGACGCTCTTGCCATTGAAGGTGGTGGCGCGGACGTTGTATTTGGGATTGGGCACGTAGGGTGTAGATGAGGTCTTCGCTACGGCAGGTCGGGGGGAAGAGAGTAGGGAAGATGTGCCAAAGACGGGCGAGGGAGGTGAGGGAGAGGGACGACATTCTTCTGCTTACGAACGATCGTGAGATCGACACAAGGACTGCAGGGAACACGACGCACCTGAGAAGGCATCTCCTCCAGACAGCAAGCCATTTTCCTCGAAGCCTCCGAAAGCTAGTCGATCATGTCAATCGTTACTGAGATAACCAGGACACGGCGACGTACCAGACTTTGTCGAAGTCGATGGACCTGCCTCTTGGTCATCTTGAGCTTGCTCCTTTCCTAGCAACGTGTTTCTGTCCTCGTCGCGTGGTGGGGGAGCATCATCAAGCAAGCCTGGCTGGCCGAACATAGATCCAGACGTCGAGGCTTCAGGTTGCTCATCGAGCAGCGACGCGTCGCCGAAGAGGCTCGAGTTCGACGCAAACGGGTCGGCCGGTGCCAAGAGGCCGTTAGAGGCGAAGAGGGACATGGCGGCTGTTGGCAAGCACGTTCGCTGTCCACTGAGTTGTCGATGGGCGCGAATACGAGTTCGCGATGCCGGTCCGGTGCAAGCGGTGTACGGGGAGACGCCGTCACGGTACGCGCTCCGTCACACATCACGTGAGACCCACGAGTTCAACATTAGCGTGACTCGTCTCGTTAATTGACTGGCCTCAGTTAGGCGGCACGCTGTTGTTAGCCACGACGACTCTTTCAGGCTGCTCACGCACTTTATCACACCTGCCAGCAAGTAAGATTCAGAGGACCCTACCAAATGGCGAAGTATCGCATGCAACGACTGCAGAACAGCCAGCGTCTATCAGGCCGCTGTGCGCACCTTCAATTGATCAAATGATTGAAGTATGACGGTGTACACTGCTATCATCAATGTCCGCATCTTGCGGTAGGCTTCAGAGGGCATTTCCCGTCGACCAGCTTGGAGTCTCGTAAGAAGTAGAGCCCCGGCTTCAATCGAGGGCGTCTCTATCGACTAGCTGCAAGCCAACTCTCATCACCCAGAAGGTATGAGAGCTATCCAGACAAGCGGATGATTCGAAGATTTTGGGACCTCTTGCACACGTCTGCAGCCTCCTTGCATAATTTGTAGACACGAATTCTCTCCATTGGCCCGGACGAGTTACCCGGTTTACTTCGGCGTAAGGTTGAGCGGCGGTCCCTGGCGAAGTGCTTGAAGCTCGTCTGCGCAACGTGTCTGTAGGACATCCCAAGAGCACGGTCAACAACCGTGGGGTGAAGGAAGGCCACCGCTTCCGGCACTAAACGTGGCACCACTTTCGGCGCCGCGGCGGCTGATTCTCAAAAATCATTGAGCGCGCGCAAAAGCTCGCGGAAAAGCCAACCCGGTCCCTCCGGGAGATGTACTTCTTCTGCCTCGTTATGCGTGCCGATGTCAAGCGCAAGGAGAGAACGTGGACCAACAGGGATCCACGTTGCGGTTTCGAGAAACGCAGATGCCGTCACGTCACATGCCGGACGAACCCGGAGGGGGCGTGGGAAAGAATTATTTGTACCAAGTCGGATTGCGGACGACGTCTCGCCAGCTTCTTGACCTTTTCCATCATCGACCATGCTCACCTCCCGCGGTGCCGTCTCTCGCCTCTCGAGGAGGGCGTTCAACAGCGCAAAAAAGACGAACGCGTTCTTCTCCACCGCCGCGGTTGCCAGCAGGGCGTCCATTCCCTCCGCTCTCCCGCAGCGCCCCGCCGCGCGTCCGACTCGCGCTGCCCCCGCGTCTGGTACGTGCCGGCCCTCTCTAGCCTTGCATTTTCACTCACAACCGCTCCAGTCCGCAACTACGCTACTGAGGCCAAGGGCAATGTCGGCTCCGTCAAGACCGTCATTGGTGCCGTCGTCGACGTCCAGTTTGACACGGACAACCTCCCGCCCATCTTGAACGCCCTCGAGGTCCAGGACTTCTCTGGCGGCCGCCTCGTTCTCGAGGTCGCGTCGCATCTCGGTGAGAACTCGGTCCGCACCATTGCCATGGACGGTACCGAGGGTCTCGTCCGTGGGCAGAAGGTCGTCGACACCGGTGCCCCCATCCAGATTCCTGTCGGCAAGGCCACCCTCGGCCGTATCATGAACGTCATCGGCGAGCCCATTGACGAGCGTGGTCCCATCAAGGGCGACAAGCTTCTCCCCATCCACGCCGACCCGCCCGCGTTCGTCGACCAGTCGACCACCGCTGAGGTCCTGGAGACCGGTATCAAGGTCGTCGACCTCCTCGCCCCGTACGCCCGTGGTGGCAAGATCGGTCTCTTCGGAGGTGCCGGTGTCGGCAAGACGGTGTTGATTCAGGAGCTCATCAACAACGTCGCGAAGGCGCACGGTGGTTTCTCCATTTTCTGCGGTATGTGTACTACGCGTACTTCCTCGTACTTCCGCTTACGCCCGACCAGGTGTCGGCGAGCGTACCCGTGAGGGTAACGACTTGTACCATGAAATGATTGAGACCGGTGTCATCAACCTCGAGGGTGACTCCAAGGTCGCTCTGGTCTTCGGCCAGATGAACGAGCCCCCTGGTGCCCGTGCCCGTGTTGCTCTCACCGGCTTGACGATCGCCGAGTACTTCCGTGACGTCGAGGGCCAGGATGTGTTGCTCTTCATTGACAACATTTTCCGCTTCACCCAGGCCGGTTCTGAGGTGTCTGCCTTGCTCGGTCGTATCCCCTCTGCCGTCGGTTACCAGCCGACCTTGTCCACGGACATGGGTGGCATGTACGTCCTCCCCAACAATTTTCCCCGTGTCGCGTGTCTAACCCATCCATAATAGGCAGGAGCGTATTACCACGACCAAGAAGGGCTCCATTACGTCCGTGCAGGCCGTCTACGTCCCTGCCGATGATTTGACGGATCCTGCCCCGGCTACCACCTTCGCTCACTTGGACGCCACCACTGTGTTGTCCCGTGGTATTGCTGAGCTCGGTATCTACCCCGCTGTCGACCCGCTCGACTCCAAGTCACGTATGCTCGACCCGCGTATCGTAAGTCTCAGCGCATACAGCCAGCTCCAGCAGCCCCTTACGCCTTGTTACAGGTCGGCCAGGAGCACTACGCAATCGCCACCGCCGTCCAGAAGATCCTTCAGGACTACAAGTCCCTCCAGGATATCATTGCCATTCTCGGTATGGACGAGTTGTCTGAGGAGGACAAGCTCACTGTGCGTTGCCTTTCATAACCTCTACCTTTATATACTCACGCGTCCCCTCAGGTCGAGCGCGCGCGTAAGATCCAGCGTTTCATGTCGCAGCCCTTCCAGGTCGCGCAGGTCTTCACTGGCTACGAGGGCAAGCTCGTGTCCCTCAAGGACACCGTCCGCTCCTTCAAGGAGATCCTCTCTGGCGCGCACGACTCTCTGCCCGAGTCTGCCTTCTACATGGCGGGCACGATCGAGGACGTGAAGGCGAAGGCGGAGCAGCTCGCGAAGGAGATCGGCAACTAATCGTATAGCTTTTGGGGCCCAAAATGTCTTTACCGTTCTTTGCTGCGCACTGGCGTGGAAGCTGTCAGGTTTAGAGCATGGAATAAAACATACCTTACTGCATCTGCTATTCTCTGTGTGTCATAATTGTGAGTGCAAGCCCGTGCTAGTGAGGATGGGTGTTGCTGTACCTTCGAGGTAGGTGCAAATGAATACCCCGCCTAACCCCACACTGATGTCTACGTTGCAGTCATGGTTGTCTATAGAGTAGGAGTCGGACGTTGCGCGAGAGACTGCCGCCTGACAGTGCCATCCTGCTGACTACGTGGATGAGATATCGAGGCGCCGGTTGATTGCTCGGCAGGTTCTGTCCTCGTTTAGGCGAACCTGGTCGAGAATCCTGACCAACCACACATGCTATTTCCCAACAAGAACTATACGACGACATTTTGGCGCCCGGCGCTTGCTCTCGATAGCATATCCAGGCTCGCAATACTGGTTCCCGCAGTTATATCAAGGCCTACGATAAGGATGACTGTCAATGGACTCCCCCTCGACGCCATTGCATTGACGGACGCGCCGCTCTGCCAGCGACGCGCAGGCGGTCAGTGGGCGCAATCTCGACGACAGCTTCGCGATTCACTTCGCCTTGATTCTCATCTGCACGTGTGGACGGCGCCTTGCTCGCGCTGAAAAAGCGCTGGCGCAGTCCTGAGCCCTAACTCCTACCCCGCCCACCATGTTCAAGAAGAACTTTGGGCGACGAGCGACGACGGCGAGCGGCGGGAGCCAAGCCTTGACGCCTGCATCAGCGCCATCTTCTTCACAGGCTGACGGGGCAGGACGCGCTGCTTCAAGCGGCTCGAGCACCTTCCCGGACTACGACTCGGCTGTGAGTGCTTTCCGCCATAGTTCATCATGGTGCTCACGGGCATGACCCGCAGATGTCAAACACGTCGTCCGATGGAGGCGATGGGGACATCAACAGCAGCGCCTACGCGAAGAAGTGGCGGGCGCTTATGGATCTGCATAATGCGCTGAATGATCTTGGGTGCGCGGAGACGCTTAGTGAACCCTGGCTGATCACCGACGGGACCCCATAGCGCCGAAGCCTTCTTCCCTCTTCCCCGTATTACAGTCATTGGCGGGCAGTCAGGTGCGTAGGACTCCCTATCGCTCTTTCGCCTGCTCTCACTCAGCGTATATCCAGCTGGCAAGAGCTCCCTAGTTGAGGCCGTCAGCGGAGTGAGTATAACGGTCCTCACCGCTCGCATCTCATTAATGAGTGGTGTGTTCAGTTGAATGTCCCTCGCGATGCGGGAGTTTGCACTAGGTACGCCGACGACGTCGAAAGAGGAACCGCAGACACTGACGTTACTTCAGGTGCCCGATGGAGTGCATCATGAAGAAGACGTCCGGTCCTTGGTCTTGCAAGATAACTATTCGTGAGGTGGTCGCATCCCGCGCCTATGAGGCCACCGAGGAACCCGCACCCCGTGAGAGCGTCGCGTCGAACGTGGAGTATACTGCCCAGCCGTGGTCCGTCAACTTCGGCCCCGGCATCACGCGCAAGGAGGACGTGGACATCTGGCTCCGCCGCGCCCAGGCAGCCGTCCTGAGTCCGCATCGGTCTCCGGAGTACTTCCATAATCTGTCTGCGGACCAGCTGAAGGAGCCGGACCCCAAGCGCCTGGCGTTCACGCGCAACACGGTGGTCGTCAATCTAGAGGACTCGGACCTGACGAATATGTCTTTCGTGGACCTTCCAGGTGGGTGAACCGGTGCTCGCGCTCGGTAGTGGAGGTTGACATCGCCGACACATAGGCTTGATCTCGAACGCCGAGCAGCACTTTATCGACTTGGTGGGCAACCTTGTCAAGGATCGTATCAGCGGCGAGAACACCATTGTACTGGTGACAGTCCCAATGACAGGTTCGGACAAGGCTCTTTCGCGGCGGCAAGCTTTCTGATCCGCTGTAGACGACGTCGAGACCGTCGCCGCGCTCAAGCTCGCCCGTGAGGCGGACCCCGAGGGCCAGCGTACCATCGGCAAGTCACATTGTGCGCAATGTCAGAGGGGACGCTCACTCTTTCCTGCAGCCGTACTCACCAAGCCTGATCTCGTGCGCACGGGCGCTACGAACTCGCGCGAGCGCTGGCGCAAGATAATGGAAGGCGGAGAGGCCAAGCACAAGCTGCATCACGGCTACTTTGGCGTGCTCCTTCCCAATGACGACGATCGCTCGGCCAGTATACCAAGAGAGGCCATACGTACGCGCTCGCACGCGTTCTTCAGCACCGAGGCGCCGTGGAAACATATGGACCCGCAGCGCTTCGGCGTGGCCAATCTGGTCAGCTACGTAGGGAGCCTGCTGGTGCGTCTCATAGAGAAGTCGTGCGTGGCCAGCTCATTTTCGAAGTATGAGGACGTCGGCTGACCCCATACCAGGATCCCAGGCCTGCGCGAGGCAATCACAAAGGCGCTTCGCGAGTGCGAGGCCGACCTCGCCACGCTGCCAGTCGAGCGCACCTTCGACACGGAGTCGGATGTCAACACCTACATCGTCATCCAGGTCACCAAGTTTTGCGAGACCTTCGGCCACGCCGTCATGGGCGAGCCATCGAGCCCGCACAAAGACCTCGTACAGGCGAATCGACAGCACTATCTGCGCTTCGAGCAGGCTATCGGGCGCACGCGTCCGGACTTTAGGCCCTTCCAGAGCAAGGCTGAGTACAGGAGCCCTGGGTTTGGCGTAGGAGAGGGGACTGGGCCGATGGATTTGGCGGACGTTCGGGAAATTATTGACAAGTATGCCGCTTGCATTGGCCTGGGCTTTCAAGAGCTCACATACCACCCAGGTCCATTGCCTGGGAGCTACCGCGCCATATTCCCTACGAGGCTACGAAGATTCTCATCACGCGGATTACCGCTCACTGGAGAGAGCCCGCGCTGAAGTGCGCTGCTGATGTCGTTGAGGCGACCAACGCCAAGCTGGAGGCCCTCATCAATGCCTACTTCGGTCAATTTGATGCACTGGAAGACCATGTTCGGTACGTTGTTCCTTCACGCGCTGTGCTCACTCCTTGAAGCTGACTTGACCTCCAGGTCGATTGTAGATGCCCAGCTAACGGAGAGTTCTGAGCACATGGAAGCGTCTTTGTCGAAAGCCCTCAAGCTCGAGACTGGCTTGCCACTGTTCACGCAGAACACGCACTACCTTGAGACGGAAGAAAGCAAGTGGTTGCAGCAGTATGCCAGCGCGCGCTTTCACAGTGACCGCTATCGCACCTATCAGCCGCAGCCTGGATATACAGAGATCTTATCAAGCAGCAGGTCGGTCATTGAGATAGGCAGGCGCACACCGTCGCCCGTCAGACGTACGCGTACGGATGAAGAACTGGACGTCATGGCGAAGGTTCATGCTTATGTGCAAGTCGCTTACAAGGTGCGAGCGCCGCAGACTTTGGTCCTGTCTAGACTTATCGGCTCCCAGCGCATCATCGACCACGTCCCCCTCCTCGTCGAGCACGATTTCAACCAGAGGCTCGCGGAGGGCTTGCTGGAGAGACTTCTGCGCAGCTTCAACGCCATCTCGGTAGATGCCAAACGCGCGATGCTCGCCGAGGACCAGGGGGTGGCGGAGAGGCGCGCCGCGCTTAAGGCGAAGCGCGAGCGGCTGATGGCTATACAGAGGAGATTGAATGACTGGGAGAAGGAATTATAAGTCTTTTCATCCCAGCATGTATGCCTGGATACGGTATTCCATATCGTTTAGTATTCATCTGTCTCGCGGCTAGCTCTGAGAACTGTCAAGCCAGTCGCCACATGAAGCTCTCTGCCCAACGAAGGCAAGTCCAAAAAACGTCGAACATATGTGCCTCGCGATGTAGAGACAGTCGTGCACATATCGACCATTGCTGTTATTACAACTCAGGGTTATGTTGCGGAGAAACTTTTCGGTACTGTTGGTCCTGGAAAGACTATATCCTACTAGTCAGAGCCGGTCATTGTTCAATGACGTTCATCTATGTCAGTAATGCCAGCACCATACCTGATGGTGCGAATAGGACGAGGTCATTGACTGAATTTTAATGACCAGCCGGTCCCGAGGGCTTGCCTTTGCTGAGTCCAAACCATGCTTCATCTCAGTCTGTGTCTACAAGCTTCCTATCGATTTTGAAACTGCCAGAGAAAACCTGTAGGTAAGGACGAGTGAAGGAAACATCCGGAGGCGAACTTCAACTCGATGTCACGGTGTCATCACGAGGAATCACGAGGACGACCGTCATGATCACCGACTCCGAGGCTGACCATCTCGCGCCAACGGCCTGCACCGTCAGCAAAATGTCATACTCTCCTTGTTCTCTCACCTTGACCTTCACCCACCGTGAATGCGACCGTCAACGTTGAGAGCGATGGCAGCACACAAATACCTAATATCCGGCCTGCCGCTACCACTAAACAGCCACCAGCTCATTAAGAACCTAACGCCAGATGCGCAAACACCCTCTGTCGCAGCATTCCGCAATGAAGTCCTTCCCAAGACGCCCAGTCTGCAGCGACGTGCCAGAATCATTGCCCCGCAGTCGCACTTCTCCTTCGTCAATCCATTCCCGTCGCCATTCCCCTACGACATTCGACCATCGAAGGAAGAGGAGGAAAGCGAGGAGGGCGTGAACAAGATCGCGCTGATCGAGCAATGGCTATCCGCGCGGGAAGCGACGCACTTGAAGGCAGTCGATGCATCGGACGCAAGCCGCCTGAGGGTATACCATCCCCAAATCCGTGACGAGAGGCGACAGCTCTTGGGTCTTTCGGAGACAGGATTACGGGACTGCTACCCACAGCTAGATGTGGGGGACGCGTTCCAGATCCTGGGGACCCCTTCCCTTAAGGTAGATGGACCTGAGCAAACTGGGGAATCGGCGAGCGAAGAGGCGATCGCAGCGCGACAGGAATTGGTGGATGTGCTCGGCGGGCACGCCGTCCTCGGCAATGACGACTTTGCGCCGTGGTCGATGCGCTATAGCGGTCACCAGTTCGGGACCTGGGCAGGTCAATTGGGCGATGGGCGTGCTATCAGTATTCGTGCGTGATCTGCTCCCCTCTTCGACGCAGTGATACTGATGTTTTACAGATTCCGTACCCCATCCAAGCGATCCCGACGCCACGTACGAGATGCAATTGAAGGGCGCAGGAAGGACCCCATTCTCTCGCTCCGCCGACGGCCTAGCCGTCGTTCGATCCTCCATTCGAGAATACCTTGCTAGCGAGGGTACGTCTCCTCCATCCACCAAGGTGACATCCCTAACATCTCCCTTAGCCATGCAAGCCCTCGGCATCCCCACCACCCGCGCGCTCGCGCTCGTCTCCGTCCCCTCCATTCCCGTCGCCCGCGAGCGCATCGAGCGCGCCTGCATCCTCACCCGCATGGCCCCCTCCTTCATCCGTATCGGGAATTTCGAGGCCGTAAACCCGCCTCACGGGAACATGATGTTCTTCGGCGGCGGGCAGCAGCGCGCGGACTTTGAGGCCCTGCGCATTATGGGCGAGTGGGTGCAGAAGCGCGTGCTGAGGCTGGGCGTGGCGGATGGGGAGGCGTGGGGAGAGAAGCTTGTGCTAGAGGCGACCAGGAGGAATGCGAGGATGGTGGCTGGGTGGCAGGCGTATGGGTTCATGCATGGGGTGATCAACACGGATAAGTGAGTGCTGGTCTGGCTCGCGTGCGAGAAGGGAAGTGTTGACCTTGCTTGCAGTGTCTCCATCTTGGGCCTCACCATTGACTATGGTCCTTACGCTTTCATGGACGTCTTCGACACCATGCATATATGCAACCACACTGACGACGGTGGTCGCTATGCATACAAGTTCCAGCCTGACATGATGTACGTCTATCTATCCCTCTCCTAAATAAGCCTTCCCGCTTACGATTGTACAGCCTATATGCACTTCGCTCCCTTCTGAACTCACTCGCGCCGCTCATCGGTGCCGAGAAGGAGCTCGGCGGGAAGGCTGTATCCCACGAGTGGGCGGAGAACAAGCCCGAGGATGAGATGAAGAAGTGGAAGGAGTCGGGCCTTGAGTTGCAGCCCGAGCTCGAGCGCATCTTCCAGGAAGAGTATACGGCCAAGTACGCGGACCTCATGCGCAAGGTGGGCTGATCACTGTAACTGTCAGTTCATCGTATCATGGCTTGACCTTCCTTCAGCGCCTCGGTCTTCGCAAGGCAGTCGCCTCAGACGAGTCCGCGTTGATTCGCCCGCTGTTGTCATTGATGGAGAACCACGGCTTCGACTTCCACCTCACGTTCCGCGCGCTCTGCGGCTTCTCGCCTGAGCTCGCGCCATCGGCGGAAAGCGAACCTAACCAGGAGCTCACCGCCTTCATTGAGACTCACCTCCTGCCTCTCACCCCCGAGCCCGAGCGCCTGGATCATGCGGGTGCTACGCGCGATTGGGCCGCCTGGCTAGGCAAGTACGCTGCCCGAGTGCGCGACGAGGGTGTGGACAGTGGGGCAGACGACCGTGCGGCGGCGATGCGCGCGGCGAACCCGCGCTTCGTACTCCGGCAGTGGGTGCTGGAGGAGTTGATCCAGCGGGTGGAGGCGGATGAGGAAAATGGGCGAAGGGCGCTGGCGAAGGCGATGAAGGTGCGTGGTAGTTGCGCTTATTTATGAGTATCACTTTCTCAATGGCTGCCGCAGATGGCGACGTCACCCTTCGAAGGCTGGGGAGCAGAGAGCGAGGAGAGGGAGCTGAGTGTGGAGGAACAAGAGGAGCGCCGCTTTTGTGGCATGGGGCCGCGAAGGATGCTGGGCTTCCAGTGCAGTTGCTCGAGTTAAGCCGGTACAGGAAGCGCGCAGCTCCAATGGTTGCGTTTCCGCTTGATGTGACGACAAAAGCATCCGTTTGAAGGCACAAGAAAGTGAAAGTATGACCTAGTATGACTAACAACAAAATTGTCACTTTCGAAAGTTACCTAGTTCGGCCTTGCTTCTTTCCGCTTTGGGAACAAAGGCTGTTTGTACATGGAAATCTACATGGATGGGGTTGGTTGCAACTCCGCAGGATGTCTGGTCATGGCTCACTTCGCTGTACGCGAGTACCTGACTAGCGAAGGTACGTATAGACCTGACCCGTTCTGGTTCGAGCCAATCGTAATATTCACAAGTATGCATGCCAATCCACAACCCGCGCACTTATACTACTATCCTTGTAAGATTTGCACGCGAGCCCACGAGTGAGCCTGCAGCCCCGCCCTCATGTTGCTCGCTCGTATCCAAAGTGGCAGCTTTATGGTCGACTCCGGGCCGCTTCAGGGTGACACCCAATGGATACTGAAGGGGCGATGGTGCAGATGAAGGGAACAGGAATTGCGCGCTGACGAAGATGAAGGACTAAAATCCTTCCCGTCTGTAGACCACAGGTCATCGTTGTTTCTACTCGAACCTTTTGCAATACCAACATGGTCAGTCTATCGATTATTTGGACTGTGGGAAACCCTCTGGGTGGATTTTTATTCCAAATTTCGGTCAATGACCTCGTGCATTCCCATGCGATTAGCGTGTGCCGGGGTCACAATGTGGCAGCCGCTTACGCGGAAGCTACTCACACTGTCAAACCGGGACACGGTCTATACCTCCAGAGAAGTCCCTCCCCTCGTTCTGGCATGGACAACCTGCGCCCGAAATGCGCACAGGCGCAGGTTGTCCATGTGAGAGCGAGGTCCAATATGTTTTGTCTGGCTTCCTAGTGACTTTCTATTTATCGCTCAAATTGCGCAACTTGCGAAGGTGATATGCCAACGACCTCGATACTTTGGCCCAGGACTGTTTCATGTAGATGGAATTGCTAACGCAGCCAGAAGACTGTAGTCTGTGGCTCATGGAGACGTATGGAAGCTGGCAGTGCCCGATGCCGTGACTTGTCCTATCCGCAATATGCGCCCAACCTAGCTCTCCGATAACTTTGAAAGGGCCACCCGACTGGTGTCAAGACACCATCCTTCGTCAACACTATTTGAAGCGCGCTTGGAGAATGTAGTCGTGACTGGGGCGTGTGGATCTATCTGCTGCTCGCCCTCACGAGCTGCATCAAAGCGGGGTGTAGATGGTGGCCTGAGCTTGGTCTGAACAAGTTCTGCGGTCATCGCACAAGGGTTGAAGAACATCAGAGTTCGAATATTGGGCAGTTCTCAGGCATGTCAAGCATAGCTGGTGTCAAGGGCATAGTAACATACATGAAATGTGCATATACATAAGACAGAACAGCATCACATCTTCGGTTTGACGACACCCATTCCACTGAAGGTGCCACAAAGCATAGCCTTCAGAAGACCCCCATAGAACGCCCTATTCGAGATCCTACCCTGCCTGTCCATGACCCACTGGAAGGTGCTGTAGGCGCTCCCCTCGCAACTGATCTTGCCAATCAGATGCTTGGGTACCTCGACTGGCGCATCGGCCCCCGACTTCTTGACAGCGTCGTCGAGGGCCTGAAGCATAGCCTCGAGTTGAGGACCGGTGGCGGCTTCCTCGCCGAGCTGGGCCCTGACGCACTGGCGAACATCCACGACAAAGTCGGGCGTCAAAGCAGCCGAGGGTGCAGACAACGCGGTGCAAGTCGCGCCACTCCCGACTGTGGGCACGGTAGTGGATGCTAGTGTCGAGGCCGCAGCAGAGGTGACAGACGGGAGGGTCGAACAACTGGTGGCAAGAACCGATCCACCGTCGTGCAGTGCAGTACACATGTCCTGCAAAGCAGTCGTCGCAGGCGCGCTCATCGGCACTGTCGGGCAGGTCGAGGCCAAAGCGGAACCGCCGTCATGAAGGACGGTGCAGACATCCCGCGCTACGGTTGCGGTAGCGAGGTTGGTGACGTTCAGGACATCGGGAGCCAAAGCGGAGCTCTCTACGCTGGGTGTTCCATTGAAAAACAGCGATATGATTCCCTTGGGGAACACGGCATTGAACTTCGCCAGCCAGTCGGGGTTGGAGATGACCTATACACTGTCCTTTAGCATATAATCACTCGAAGGGACACAACAACGAACCGCGCATCCCAGGCAAAATGCGAACGCGACCATGAGCCTGTGCTTTCTGATCCAAGGAAGGATGGTCATCTGGAAAAAAAATCAGTGATCGGTCGCAATTAACTGCCTGCGAACAACAGTCGTACTCTAAGCTTCGCGAGCTCGACGGCGGTGGCGCTAGCGGAAGACGACACAGTAGCCAGTACCGCATTAACGAGGCGTCCAACACCGTTGTGCTCGCTGTAGAACGCATTCCTCTGTCGTTGAAGTTCGAGCTGGGCACACACATTCAGCAGTTTGTCGCCATCTTCGTGGGATACACGTACCTGCAAGCCCAGAGGGATTCTGTCAAGCTCGATTGGTTTGTTCGCCGATGAGCCGCGTGAGCCACCGACACCGTCGGAAGATGAGGAAGGAGCGGGAGTATCCACATCTGTACGCGGGAGAAGGCCAACAACAGATTTTGATCGCAGTTGAGCAAGGTATACGACAAACACATAAATCGGAACGCACCTTCTGGGCCAGTCACGGACTTCGTCTTCTGCCTCCTGGAGGGACGCTCGATGCTCTCCTCCCCGGTATCTTTAAGCCCTGAGGGCCCAACTTCAGCGCCGGGCAGACGGCGCTTGCGCACGAAGTCTCCGCAGACATCCTCGTGGTTCTCTTGGGGCAGGACGACCGTCTGAGACTTGCATGACCTGTTGATGACATTGAGCTCATGATAACATTGGAAGGAGGGTTGAACGCACCGGCGTACTGCCAACTCCACCAAGGGCGTGAAGATGGTACGAATAGTCTCCGCAAATTGGGCGCGGTCCGTGATGTGCAGGTTATACGCAGCTATGCAAAAGGTGTCTCTGAGAGGGGCGAACTGCCCAGTCCTGAGCTTTCCCCTGCCATCGTCCGCCCAGCGGAAGGTGATGTGGGCAAGGACGATCGGCGCAAGTAACTCGTGCAGCGCCTAGATGTACATCAATTATGTGGGCAGGCGACTGGAAGATAGGACACACCTCTTCAGGCACCTTTTGAGAGCTGCGCTCATCTATCTCCTTGATATATTCCCCCACGACGTACTTGACCAGCTCAAAGCCGCTGTTGGGCGCCAGCGCGATCAGCATAGGGTCGTCTTCGATGTCGCCGGTGTTCTTCAGGACGACGTTCCTGGACGCGCCCCGCATGCTGGCGAAAAGGCCACTTGACGCGCAGGGGCTGTCGATGACTCCGCGGAGGAAGGGGCCGTAGACTCGGGAGGTCATAATGAGAGAGTGAGGGAGTAGTTGTTGGTTTCGGCGGCGATCCTTTCAGTCTTTTATAGGCGAGGTCCTGAGGCCTGCGCCTGATAAATGACCCGAATACCGAGCGCTGGCGGCGGAAATTCACGCATGTCGAACAAAAGGATGGCAAGAAAGGAAGGAGCACACTTCCTTTTCCGGCGGAGTGGTCCGTCCTATCAGAGAAGACCCGGCTAAGTCCCGCCGCAAGCGACCGGTCCGGATGCAAGGAAGGACTGCTGGAGGGCGACTCGGTCTAGCTATACATTGCTCCTATAACCAGAGGTGACCTATTAGCAGTAGTGAGCCTGAGCACGATGTCGGGCGAGACCATTGGGAGGACTCACCTGAAAAGGGCGTCCACCTTGTGTGACTATCCATCACGTCAATGCGGCGCGGAAACTCTCCGGTGCCGCCTTCGTCGAGGTGCAATGCGTATCAGCGCACCTGACCTGCACAAATGCTGGACATTCGCGAAGAATCACCCGCGTCTTGACACGAGTAACCGTCCGGACGGTCCCCCCTCCTAGGCGACCCAAATGGGGCAATTTATTGTTGTACGTATGTTCACAAGAGATGGGACTTCAGGGACCAGACAATAAGGCGTGCGAAGCGGTGTTAGTTAGTCCAACATCTACACTGTGCTCACCATATGGTGGAAAGTTGGGACTCATGGCACCGCTTGAGGAGGACCCTAGACACCTCTGGAAGTCGAGAAGAATGGAAGGAGCGTGCGCTGGCGTGCAGAGAATGTCGGGGCATCAGTGGCGGAGGAATTGATCCTGTACATCAAAGCATTTTCGAATAGACGATGATGGTACTTGCTGTCGGATAGAACTTTGCTAACGTCTGTCATGGGAGACTAGAACTTTGCATCCCGGGCATCTATGAAGTAGCAAGGGAATTATTATTTCGATTGCAAGAAGTCTGGGCTGGAGGAACGCTCGTCATCAAGATCCTGACAGCCGTAGGTATCAAGCTTACCGATGGATAAAGCAAGCTGATTTTGACAGTGTTAAGTACTTGATGCAGCATTGCACGATCAAGTCGACCTTATAATGGAGTTGCAAAGGAGACGGTACACGTCAAGTGGCAGAGTTGTCTTGACGAGGCTGAGTCGCTTTTTCAGGTATTCCATAAGCGAAGGAGAATCTAGCGATATCGAAAGGAAGCGCTAATCAGTCTAGGTGACGGCGGAAGACAAGAGGTCCAGCTGGAAGAAAACGGACTCAATGCTTGCCCGAATAGGTAATTTTCCATTCAAGGCTCGACTGTGACGAATGTGACGTGCCGTTCGTCTTCCGCTGGACAATGTTCGAACCGGGCTCCAGTACGAAGGTTTGACATGTATACCGCTGATCGAGGACGTGAGCCGGGGGAGGACATGAGAATCCAGAGATGGTGTTGTAAGCAGTCATACATTTTGTGTAGATATTCGTATGCTACAGGGGTGAATACAGCGTCGTTGAAAGGTGGCTAGTGCCCATTGAGGACCGGCTTTGTGACCAGATCCAGCCTGCTCGCCGCGCTCAGGACCGCCTTGATACCTGACGCCGTGATATCCGTATCGTTCGCTACACCCCACGCCGACCGCTTCTTCTGGCCAGGTGCCTCGTACACCAGCTCGACGTACGACGCAGCGGACACATCCGTGCCCTCCCCAACCGAGTGCTCCGAGTACTCCCTAATCGACAGCGTACCCTCGATCTGCTTGTGCAGCGTCGCCAGCGCCGCGGACAGAGGCCCATTGCCCTCGCCGCTGACCGAGCGCGAGTGGCCCTTCACCACAAACTGCCCATGCAGCCGCCGGCGATTGCCCTCGCCGATGTTCTCCAACGTGAACGACTTCACGCCCAACGCGGGCGCCGCGTCCGGCAGCTCATACCCGTACGTCGTCTTGAACAGGTTTGTGAGCGCATCGAACGTGATCTCCCCGCCCGTGTCGCGCGCGTGCCGCTGCACGACCTCGAAGAAGTCGCCCGAGAAGCGGCGCGGGAGCTCGAGGCCGAGGCTGTTGACGATCACGCTCCCGACGTCGTCCTGGCTCGAGCGCGAGGTGACACCGAGGGAGAGCTTGAGCTCGGGCAGCGGGCGGTCGCCGATCGCGCTGTTCGCGGCGCTGAGCAGCGCGCGCAGGCCGGAGCCGGCGATGTCAGAATCGATGCCGACACCCCACCAGGACTGCGCGGACTTGCGGTCGCCCGCGGGGACGAGCTCAACGTAGGAGGCCGCCTTCGCGTCGCCGCCCTCGCCGATTGTGTGCTCCGAGTACTCGCGCACGGTGAGGTCGATGTCCAGGTGCGTGCGGAGGGCGTCGAGCAGGGCAGACAGCGGCCCATTTCCGTCGCCGCGAATGACGCGCAAGACACCGTCGACGGAGAGCGTGCCGTCAAACCTCCTGCGCTCGTCCTCGTCGCCCGAGTTGTCTGTCGGGTCCGCGAGGGGCTCGCCGGAGATCTTGAAGTTGCGCAGCGTCAGGCGACCGCGGTACGCAGGCCCGCCAAAGTTGTACGTCTTGCGGAAGGCGGTGGTGATGTCGTCGACGGTCATTTCGCGCGCCTCGCGATCCGAGATCGCCTGTACGACCTGATAGAACGCGACCTGCATCTTGCGCGGCAAGTCGAGGTTGAGGTGCTGCTTGATGAGGTATGCGATTCCGCCCTTCCCGGACTGCGAGTTGACGCGGATGACGGCCTCGTAGTTCTGCCCGAGGTCAGCGGGGTCGATGGGGAGGTAGGGCATGCTCCATATTTGTGGCTCGCCCTTCGCGGCGGCCTCCGCGTGCTTCTTCTTCTGTACCTCGAAGCCCTTCTTGATGGCGTCCTGGTGAGAGCCGGAGAACGCTGTGAAGACGAGCTCGCCAGCGTAGGGATGCCGAGGGTGAACGGGAAGGTCGTTGCACTGTGTAACGACGTCGATCGTCTCCTGGATATCACTGAAGTCCAACCCGGGTGAGATTCCTTGGGTATATAGGTTGAGGGCAAGGTTAACGAGATCGACGTTGCCGGTGCGCTCGCCATTGCCGAACAGACAGCCCTCGATACGATCGCCGCCAGCAAGAACACCGAGCTCTGCAGCTGCGATGCCAGTGCCTGCGTGATCGTGAGTATGCACTACATCGTCTCAACGTCATACATACCACGATCGTTATGTGGGTGCAGACTGATGATGACCTTCTCCCGCTCGCTGATCTTGCGGCTGAAGTTCTCAATCTACAGGCCGATAAGTACTTATCTGGATGAATAGACTGGATGCCTACCTGATCCGCGTAGTGATTGGGTGGCGCGATCTCAACTGTGGCGGGGAGGTTGAAGATGATCCGCTCCTCACCCGTCCCTGCCTTTCCCCAAGCAGCCTTGACCGCCTCGCAGATTTCGATGGCAAAGTCCGGTTCTGTCTGTGTGAAAGTTTCCGGACTGTATTCATACTTGAACTTGGTTCCGTGCTTCGCGGTGCACTCCTCGGTCAGCTGGCGCACAATTTTGGTATGGCGCACGGCGAGGTCGATGGTCTGCTCCTTCGAGTTGCGGAAAACGACGTCGCGGAAGAGGGGGGAGGTGGCGTTGTACATGTGGAGGATCGCCTGCTTGCAGCCCGCCACAGCGTCGATCGTTCGCTTGATCAGGTCTTCGCGAGCTGGCGTCAAGACCTAGTCCCACTACACCTTCAGCGCGGGGTCGATCACAGAGCAGTACTACGCACCTGTATCCACACATCGTCCGGAACCTCTCCCTTCTCGATCAGCCCGCGCACGAAGCTGAAGTCGGTGTCGCTCGCTGCGGGGTAGGCGACCTCGATCTCCTTCACGCCCGTCTTGACGAGCTGCTTGAAGAAGACAGTCTTTTGCTCAATCGTCATGGGATTTGCGAGGGCCTGGTTCCCATCGCGCAGGTCAGTCGACAGCCATATAGGCGCCTTGGTGTGCGTCTTGGAGGGCCATTGGCGATCGGGGATATTAAGAGGGGTGTAAGGGCGGTACTTTTGGGAGGGGTCCGCGCTGTACATCGTCAGCAAGGTCTCCGTAAGTTGCTCTCAGTATACTCACAGCATAGGCATGATGGGAGTCAGGAGCAAGGCGTCGAGTCAAGGGACGTAAATAAATAGCAGGTGCATCGGATGGCAGACCCATGATTCAAAGGCAAGTGACTCGGTCGACTCGGCCCGATCCCCGAGGCAAGCCCGATCGGACTGGAGGTCCGATGCGGGGAAGCGCCAGCCACTCGCGAGCCTCATCTTTGTCGTCGATGGCGAGGGCAGCGTACGGTTCAAGGAAAGCTCTATAGCACGAGAACAGCGATAAATACAGGACACCTAATGTACAAGTAGCCAACTCTTAAAGTACAGTGAATTGAAGACGAAGACGAAACCAAGCAAACCACCCTCGCTCTACGCCTGCTCTCCTGCCCAGTTCTCATCTACTTTCAGCTGCGTCAGCCACACCAAGCTCGGGCACCTGAAGATCCGCTCGACCACCAGACCCGCCCTCTTCGCCAGAACCGCCAACTCCTCCGCCGTTCGCTCCCGCCCATTGAACATCGTCATCATGTTCAAGTCCAGCATATGCGAAAACCGCGTCGCGTACCCGTAGTTCGCCGGCAGCGGTTTCGGCGCCGAGTCCACTAGATCGCACCCGTACGTAGTGTTCATCACCTGGTCGCAGATGAGGAGACGCGAGCGCGGGTTCGCGAGGAGGGCGGGGCGAAGCGCTTGGAGGATGCGCACGGCGCGTTCGTCGTCCCAGTCATGAAGGATGTAGCGCATGTGGTAGATGTCCGCGCCCTTGACGGGCTGCTCGTTGAAGAAGTCGTGCTCCATGAACTGCACGCGGCCGCTTTCTATAGCGCCGGGCAGTTCCTTGTTCCAGACAGGAGGCGCTGATTGAACGACGGGCAACAAGTCTTGGACGATGAACTTGAGCTTAGGGAAGCGCTTTGCAGAGTCGAGACACATAGAGCCTTAGGGATGGTTAGCGGGAATCATCAGAGTTGAGCCGACCGCTCTTACCAATTCCACCGCCGACGTCGACAACCGTAGCTTCTCCGAGGGACTCCCAAGGGTATTCTGGAGCAGGATTAGTCCGACGGCAGCAATCGTTGTACTCAATGGCCGACCTAAGTGGACAGCGCCGTGGGCGCGACCAGTTCCAAGCATAGCAAGACCGTAAATCTCCAGCTCCGTCTTAGAGGTAGGCGAGCGGCGCGTCGTCGCGCCGTACTTCTTCAACCATGCCCACCACGGCAGGTCGGTCTTCATATCCTCCTGGAAAGCCGTCTCCACATTGGACTCTGACTGTCCCCGGACGGGGTCAAAAAGGACGGCCGGCAGGCTGGCAGAGGTCTTGTACCGGATGCCACCCCTTCATGCTCAGTCAGCACCACGATTCCAGATAGCCAGTCAAGATCTTACATGGAGAGGATCATCGACTGCAGCCCCTCGTTCCCAACGAGGGCTTGGCTTGTGTGATTATTCGCAAACACCCCGGGCTTCACCTCCGCAAACACGTGTATCGAGCACAACGCGCGCAGGATCCTCCCTGCAGGGTGGGGCGCCCAACGTAAGTTCACCTCCTTCTAGGCCCCCCGCAAAACGCAGCCTCTCACCAAGCTTGTGCGCCTTCACCCCGGTCCGCGCCGCGAGATCGTCGAGCGGAAGGCCGTGGGGCGCCGTGGCGAGGATGTCCGCCACATTCTTCTCAACGGCGATGTGCAGCGCGCGCGCCTCATAGTACTGCGAGCCGAGCTCGAGGATGCGAATCTGGGGGTCCTGTACAAGGTCGACGAGCATGGCGCCGGCGCTGACGACGACTTGGCGCGCCTCGTAGAGGTCGAGGGGCGGGAAGGTACGGGCAGTAGTGTCCGCCGTTTGCGCAGCAGCCTCGGCCTCCCAGCCAGAGATGACGCGCTCCGAGGCCTCCGTGATGAGCTTGACGAGCGAGCGCAGCTGCTGGACGCGGTCTGAGGACGACGCAGAGGCGGATGCCGCGCCATTCAGCGCGGGCTTGTTGACCGGATGCGCCGGGACATTGGGTTCGGGAATAGTCACCGTCATAGTTTCTGCAAGCACGTTGAAGTGCGCGGTAGGTTCGTATCGCAGGTCGGGGAAGACAGGGACCGCATCCCTTCGCGCAGGGTTATATACCCCGGAGCCGCGCAGCTCGGTCGGTGATAGGGCTCGGATTGGTTTGATACAAAGAACCCTATTGTGTGGTGCGACGCTGTCTCACGCAGACAAGGCCCATTCCCGTTGGCAGGGTGCATCAGCGGGGCGCGTATGTAACAACAACACGGTGCTGATCACGGAGCGCCCAGCGAGATCGTGCACAAAGAGGGAGAATAAGACGATCTGCTGGCGAGTCGTCGAGACAAATCGGGACGGACATAAGGGCGCGGCGGTCCGAGAAGACAATAAGGCGAAGGCTGAAGGGCGGGTCTCGAGACTTGGAGGGAAACAATTGTGGGGAGGGGCGGGGTGTTGTAGGTGAACCCTGACGCTGGGTGGGGAGCGCGTAATGAACTGGGCTGCACGCTAAAGGCTAGACTTGCGGTGGAGTTGCGGCCATTGATCAACGTCGACTATCGATGTCTACCGGCGACTGAGCCAATGTGCGGCGCTAGCATGGAGGCAGGTACTCCCGGCACTGTATGTCGATAAGGAGGAGGGCGGGTGGGATACGGTGGGACGCAAATGGCGGCAGATACTCTGCTCATTGGCAAGTACGCGGGGTAATACAACACTAGAGCTGCGGTAGACGGGCTTGCGGACGCGCCGGGCATCCCAAATGAGCGATTAGCCGTTCCGCGGTCGTGAGGGCAGATGAAGAGCAAGGGGATCTATGAGGAGCATCGGGGATGTCGGTGAGATTCACGACTGGCAGGTGCCAGCGCGAGCGTGGCCAAAGCGGCGGCAACATCCGTAAGAGGTTCACGGTCACCTGATCAAGTTCAACACGCAACCCTGAGCCTGGCGGTGACATTCACAAGTTAGGTTGCCAGCGCTGCAGGTGAGCGAGGAGTATGGCGTGTATTCCGCCGAAAAAATAATCACGGTCGCGTTTCCGCGTCGCGCCATCGCGGTTCGCCTGAGGGGGGCTGCATTCATCGGAGATGGTGCAAAGGCATCCAACCCACCGCTCTGAACACTTTGATGGCCTTGGATTTGACGAGGAGGGACAGAAAGAACCGCCGATGCTGTTCGGCCATTGTCGACAAGGGCGGCAAGTCGGTCCGAGATCGCCGCCTCGTTCGCTGCCCGTCTCTCTTCTAGTCCTCTCATCGTCGCACACGGACCGGGCACTGTAGAGGCAGTAGGGACACAATTCTACCATTACTCTGGAATTGGTGCTTGCTTTTTATGTGTCGGAAACCTTAAACCGCCCGAAGGTAGCGAGCATGGTAACTCAAGTAAGGCAGGATCAACGAGGATGAACGGGTGGGTCATGTAACTTCCTGGGATTTATAAGTACGTCGAGGTGGTCCATCTATATCAGCGCCATCTGAGTGCGAATAGGAAGCCTAGAAGAGGAACAAAGACGGGCGGCGATCTCGGATCGCCCTTGTCGGCAATGGCCGAACAGCGTCGGCGGTCCTTTCTGTCCCTCCTCGCCAATTCCAAGGCCATTGAAGTGTTCAGAGCGGTGGGTAGGATGCCTCTACACCATCTCCGATGACTGCAGCCCCCCTTAGGCGAATCGCGATGGCGCGACGCGGAAACGCGACCGTGATTATTTTTTCGGCGGAATACACGCCATAGAGGAGAAGTACAGTAGAAGAAACACAAAATAGCATTGTCTTATCCAGCGACAACAGATGCGATAGTAATACACAGCGAGAAAGCACAGGTATACAGGACACGAGAGCGGGAGAAACAACAGCTAGTAGCACCACGATTCCTTAGTACGCAATTCAGAAGTACATTCGCAAGCGGGAGAGAGGACGAGGAAGAGGAAGGGAGATAGAGACGAGACATATTCAGGAGATGAGAGAAGAGCAATGGGTATGATAGTAATGTTGTGTCACTTGCACGACCGTGAACACATCCAGCTCGACTTACAGCGAGCGTTCTTCCTAAAGAGCTTTACGCCTCAGCAGCCATCGTAAGGCGCGACGGACCCGCCTCAGCACTTGCGTCCACATCCTTCGGCGCAGACGGCGCCGCGACAAGGCTCGCCTGATAAGTCGCCAGCACCTCCAGCCTCGCCTTCTGCTCCGCCGCCTGGCTCACATCGTACGTGTGCGCCGCAGGCTTCTTCACCTGCGCGCCCTTCTTCCTGCGCATCGACGCTGGCTGCATGCTCAGCACATTCACCTTGGCCGCCGCCTCCTGCGCGGCCGCTATGACCTCCTGGCGGCGCAGCTCCTCCTGGCGACGTCGCTCGAGGTGCTTCTCGAGCTGGCGGAAGCGGACGATCTGGGGCATCGGACCGCGCGCGGTCCCAAAGTAGTACTGCTGGTCGAAGTAGCGGCGGCGGTATTCTGAGGGAGAGTGGGCGGTCGGCGACAAGTAGACGAGGAAGAGCTTAGTAAGGAAGACATACTAGCATTGCGCTTGCGGATGTAGTGCTTGGTGCGCTTCGTGGGCTTGCGTTTCAGCACGTCGGCGAGCTGAGTGAATCCATGTTTGGTAACTTTGATCCTGACAGACTTCTGGACGACCTTGTTGAGCGCTTCTCCCTTAAGATCCGGATGTTCGATGGGGCCCTGGCGCGAGGGTGAGAGGAAGCCGATGAGTCCAGGTAGGAAACATACAAGCCAACTGAAGGCGCAATGCGGGCAGGCGAGCGAGTGCAGGGGGTTGCGGTAGTTCAGGAACTCCGCTATTTCCATCGCACCCTTGACCACTAGAGCAGCGTATAAGCCACAAAAAACTCACAACACACCGCATGACTTACTAGATTTGAAGCAGTCCTTGTGCAGAGCCTTCTTGCAGGCCTCGCAATATCTGAGCTCGCTCTTGGGGAAGTCGGGCGTCGGAGGCTCCCAGCATATCGCGCAGAGGTCGTTGAAGTCGGGCTTGCTGACGTTCTGGTCGTCGACGCGGAGGGCCCAGTGGTAGGCAGCAAGTTCCCGGAATGAAGCATCGAAGCGTTTCTCCGGCTCGTTGGCGAAAGCGTCGCAGAGTTCGCGCCGCGTGAGGCCGCTGGGAGGGGGACATGAGTATACGTGCGGGTGATGGAAGAGCGGGATGTGCAAGCTCACCGTTGATACCAGATATAAGAGGACACAGGGAGGTTGAGGAATTTGATGAAGACATAGATCTAGAAGGACGTAAGAAACGATCATCAGACAGTGATGGCAGTGTACTCACGATGTGCTTGCAGTGGTTGCCCAGAAAGAAGTTAGGGCCTGCGAACAGCGTCAGAGGCAGTGTTGGGATGCGTGGACTGGTGACATACAGTTGCAGTGGGGCCTCTTGCCGATATGCGTGGTGTAGACCTGAGGGGAGATCAGCCGCGCCACAAAGCCGACACGACGAACGCACCTTGCCGGACTGGCCTAGGACGTGGTAGTCCCTGGCAAAGATAGTGCCCTCGGGGGTCCAGGAGTCCAGAACGCAGATCCTGTCGACGATGAGCATGTATTAAGAGCCACAAGCGCCATCACGACGCACTCATGGGCATCTCTGAGCATTGTCTCGTAGGCGCGGTAAACGGAAGGCGGGCAGTGTGCCTTGAAGGGCGCACGGCGCTCCTCTTTCCGGAACTCGGCGTACTTCTTCACGCCGTTCTTCAATTTGTAAGGCACGGGCTTCAATGGCTTCGTACGCCAGTCGACGACCTTGGGCTTGCGGACTGGGGCGAGGGAATCGAGACGGGGTTTCTTGACAGGAGATTCCTGATCCTCGGTGTTGAGCACGGTAGAGTTGGAGGATTCGTCGGAGACGGCCTGCTCATCATCAAAGATTATGGGCTCGTCCACGGGCTCGGCTTCAACGATGGGAGGGTCCTCGAGAGGTACGATTTCGGCCTCGGTCTGAGGCTCAGGCTCGGGCTCGCGCGGGCGCTTTCCCAGCATAGAGCCGATCGTCGACGTGCCGAGGGAGACCATTCTGCGCAACATGGCTGGCTAGTGGGGGAATGAGAGATGGGGGGAACAATAGAGGGATAAGCCCGCCCATCAACGGAAGCTGAATATATATGGGCACAGCACAATTAGCACGTGCCAGTCGTCTGCGGAGGCAGAGATGCCATCAGCACGCGACCTCGGTGGCTATCCCCGGAGGGGCGACCTGGCGTGCGATTCCCATTCACCACCAATCGAGCAACAGCGTCGTCGAATTTGAAGATGCTGAGCCGGGCATTGGGCTGGCTGAAAGCGAAGGTCGATGACTATGTGCAGAGGATTGTCATCCGGATATTGGCAGCGGGGCCGGTCCCGAAGCATGTCGCGTTCGTGATGGATGGGAATCGTCGGTACGCGCGCTCGAGGCATATGAGGGTGCAGGAAGGACACTCGGATGGCTTCGTTGCGCTGCGGAGGGTGCGTGTCAATATATGCAGGATACTTCCCCATACTGATCCACACACTTAGCTGCTGGGCATCTGCCTTCGACTGAACGTCCGCTGTGTCTCCGTGTACGCCTTCGCGATCGACAACTTCAAGCGTCCACCTGAAGAGGTGGACGCGCTGATGACGCTCGCGGAGACCAAGCTGACAGAACTTTGCCGACATGGGGACCTGCTTCAGCAGTACGGGGTACGACTGAACGTGGTGGGAAGGAAGGACATGCTGCCGGAGTCAGTACGCGAGGCCGTGCGTGTCGCCGAAGAAATGACGCGAAACAATCACCGGTGCGTCACTACTTCACAAGCAGGAAGTCATAGATCTCACTCAAGAGTGCAGTGCAATCCTTAATCTCTGCATGCCCTATGCTTCGCGCGACGAGATGACCCATGCGGTTCAAGCTGCAGCCCAGGAGAAGGCAGACAGTGTGGGCTACCCGTACGTGCATCTACTTCCCTCGACGAACGCTTCACTGACTAGCTACTCTCGCAGGCTGGTCGATGAGAAAGACATCGAGAAGCATCTCATGACGAGCACTGCAGGCTCCCCGCCGCTTGACATACTCGTCCGGACCAGCGGCGTACAGCGACTGAGCGACTATATGCTGTGGCAGGTATGTCTCAAGCCATGTTGCGGAATGACCGTGGACTGACGTTCCTTGTTTCTTTGCGCTTCTCCCTCTCGTGACCTTTGCCGTATGGACTAGTCCTGCGAAAAGGCACAACTGCACTTCAGTACCACCTACTGGCCCGAGTTTGGGCTATCTGACTTCCTACCTATAATCCTCGACTATCAGAGGAAACAATGGACTTTGTAGGTGTAATCCGAGGACTTCAGACTGCTTCTGTACTTCTGCTGTAAACTACTTCCTCGCGCCGACTAATAACACGTTCTTTCGCGTCTCTATCACCAGGCTGGTTCGAGATCGAATGTCCACTTCACCCAGAGCCTCTCCACTAGGATAGCCTGCAGCTCCGAGCCCCAGCGAAGCAAGACCAGCTCCCTTTAAGTAGCCATGAGTGGGCTTGAGTGAACTCGACGGTCGGGGATATGCTCGCGTGCTCGGAGCCGGATCACGAGACGCTGGGCGCCTGAAGGGGGCTGACGCAGGCCACCACGGGGCATCGAGCATAACAACACCACCGAGCCCGTCCAGGCCTCGATATCGGGACTTGTCTCCCACCACCACCATCGCCGCCGCCATGGCCGACAGCAAACCCAACCGCGCAGCCCGCCCGCTCTCTGGCTCCCGCTCCTTCGCCGCGTCCCAGTCGCTCTTCCCCCAGGGTACAGCCATGTCGACCTCGCGCCCATTTCTTAACATGCTCAATCCCATGGGCAGGACGTACCAGGGATACATGATGGCGAACCAGTCGCCCGTGGAGGAGGCGGAGGAGGAGGAGGCGCTCGCGCAGCGCAACGATCTCGAGGCCGGTGGCGCCGCGCACACGCGGCGGGTGTCCTGGGATGCGGGGGCGGAGCTGGACGCTGTGCGGCCGAATGCGCGCGGCTCAGAGAGGGAGGAGAGCGAGGACGACGAGGTGCCGCAGAGCTTCATGATCGAGGACGCCACGCGCCAGCGTGCGGGGAAGCAGAAGGGCAAGGCGCGCGAGGTCCCCCGCGGCCAGCCATTGTACTCTGCTGGGAGTGGTCGCAGTCCGCCGCCAGTGCTTCCCCTCCACAATGTCTCTGTCCCACCCCGACCATCAGAGGTCGACGTCGAAGAGGCGCGAGCGCCTAGCAGTTCGCATGACGAGGAACAAACAACGCGTATGCGTCCACAGATGCGGGGTTTAGACGCATACGAGAAGGCGCTGTGGAATTGGGTCAACGTCTACAACCTGGATGGGTTCTTGCAAGATGTGTACAACTACTACGAGGGGAAGGGGATCTATTGCATCGCGCTCTCAAGGGGGCTGAATCTACTGTGCGTGATGAGTTCTTTGTTTATGGCCAGCTATTGACTCTCATTCAGGACCGTCGGCTTCGTTATTGCCTTCTCCTCATTCCTCATCGGCTGCGTCGATTACTCGAGAATCAAGCCCGAGAAGTCAACGCGCCTGTCCGACGTCGTAGTGCACCAATGCGTATCGAAGTAAGTTCCTAATACCATGTTCTATGCTCTCATTAACGCGCCACAGATTCTCGGGCTTCACGCTGCTATTCTTCATGCTCTTTACTGCATTCTATGTCTGGCAGATAGTCATGTTCGTGCTCGGTGTCAGGCGACTCGTCGACATGTATCACTTCTATACCCATCTACTCAAGATACCAGACGTATGTGCGGCGCTATCACACAATTCTATGACAACTGAGTTTCCCCCAGTCCGACATCCAAACCATCCCCTGGTCCGAAGTCGTCCGCCGCATCGGCGCCATCCGCGAAGAAAACCCCCTCACCGCCATCTCCTCCAAGAACTCACGAAACACGAACGACACCACCACCGCCAAGCTCGACGCGCACGACGTCGCGAACCGCATCCTCCGACAGGAGAACTACCTCATCGCGCTCTTCAACAAGGAGCTCCTCGACCTGCGTGTGCCGCTGCCCAGGTTGCTCAAGCGCTTCGTGCCGGAGGAGCGGGGGAAGGGGAAGATGCTGACGAAGGCTTTGGAGTGGAATTTGCGGTTCTGCCTGATGGAGTACCTGTTTGACCGGCATGGGCGCGTGCGGAAGGTCTTTCTAAAATCGCGGAACCGCGCGCCTCTTATTGAGGGGTGAGTGGGTTGGTGCTTTATGGAGTGGATGTTCTGACTGATTGACAGCCTCCGGCGCCGATTTATCTTTATGGGTATTCTTAATGCGGTCTTTGCACCATTCATTGTATCATTCATTCTCATGTATTCATTCTTTCGGTACTTCGAGGTCAGTGACCTTGGTATCCCCAACCTGAGCCTATCATTGACGACTCAACCTGCAGGAGTATCACAAAGACCCATCTACAATCGGAGGCCGGCAGTACACACTATACGCGCAGTGGAAGTTCCGCGAGTTCAACGAGCTGCCACACTTCTTCAAGCGCAGACTGCACGAGAGCTATCCAGTCGCGACCAGCTACATCGGCCAGTTTCCGAACGAGAAGATGAAGCTCATCATGAGGTATGTCTCTTCCAACCTTGTACCCTCTTCCCCCTTTAATTCGACTAACACCATCCACAGATTCGTCGCCTTCGTCGCGGGCTCCTTCACCGCCGTGCTCGTGCTCGCCTCCATCGCCGACCCCGACCTCGTCGTGCATTTTGAGATCACGCCGCATGGCACGGTGCTTTTCTGGATATCCGTGTTCGGTGGTATTCTCGCCACGGCGCGGGGCATGATCCCGGACGACCATGATGTGTTCGACCCGGAGCAGTTGATGATGGAGGTTATCACGCATACGCATTATATGCCGGACGAGTGGAAGGGGGAGTTGCACAGCAAGAAGGTGTGTAAGCTCGCTCGTGCCTCGCCAACGCATGATTGACCCCTTGCCCTTCAGACTCACGCCCAGTTCGGCGAGCTCTTCCAGATGAAGATCCTCATCTTCGTGCAGGAGATCTTGTCGGTCTTGCTCACGCCATTTGTGTTGTGGTATTCGCTGCCGCCATGCGCGCCTGCGATCATCGACTTCTTCCGCGAGTTCAGCGTGCATGTCGAGGGTCGTGGCTACGTCTGTAGCTTTGCGGAATTCAACTTCGAGCGGCACGGGAATGTCAAGGTGTGTAGGACGATTGATGATGTAGGGTAAAGATGACTGACGATCGTCTAGTTCGGCGCGCCGAAGAAGGTGCGGGACAAGCGTATGGTGTCGAACGAGGGCAAGATGGAGAAGAGCTTCTTGAACTTCAAGGTAAGGCCGAACTACTCGCACCCGAGACCTCCATGCTAACTCATTCCACAGGCAGCGAACCCCGACTGGAACCCCTCAGACCCAACCGGCTCGCTCTACCTCAGCAAGATGGCCGACATCACGGCACACCAGCACCCTTCGACCGCTCGCCGGCGCTCCGCGCACCTCGATCACAGCACCTTCATTACCCCGCCCGACGCGTCAACAATGACTGAGCGCGCCCAGGAGTACGATCGCGCGCTCCTGCAGAGCCAACACGCTGCCCGTCGGCGACATGGTGCGGGGAGTGTCCTCGGCATGTCTACTCTACAACCACCGGGCGGGATGGCTTCGTCGGTGTACACGGGCCCTGGGATGGCACAGACGGCAGTGCTGGGCGACTCGCAGGGGAGCGTGATGCTGCAGGGACGGCCAGAAGGAGGCCACGGGCAGATCTCCGAGGACGATCTCGCGGCGGATGGAGGCGTCGCGAGCGGGTTGGAGGGCTCGTATGTAGATGGCGCGAGGCGGGCGCGGCCATATGGGGACGGGCAGGAGGAGGAAGAGGAGGAGGAAGATGGCGGTGTGCTGGGGTTGTTGGCGCAGATCTATGGGGGGCGGCAGGGGCCCACGCGTGTTCTGTGAGAGCGAGAGGGTGTCGTGATGTAGACGGACATGTCCTAGAGTGAACCACGTTCGTTGACCTGTACATACTACACGAGCATCTGAGATGAGACTACATTCTGACTCGTTGGCGTGGTGTCCGTGTAAGTGGCTCGACAGGTGTATGAGTGAAGTGAGATACAACAAACAAGAAGGGGTATTACACTAGATGAGCACGATATATAGATTGCAGTCCAGGTCCGGGGCTACAGTTCGGGGCTGCCTTGCCGCTCCTCCTCCCGCCAGCGCTTGACCAGGGCCGCGCCGATGCTCTGACCCAACTTCTTTGCCAGCTCAATGGGTACAGCATTCCCGCCGATACGACAGAAGTCATTGACAGCCGTTTCGGGGTTTTTTGAATGCTTCGAATCGAACTCAAAGTCGTCCGGAAACGACTGCGACCTGGCGCATTCGCGCACGGTGTAGGTCCGCTTTTGCTAGAAAGAAATTAGTAGGGGATGGCGAAGAACTAAGTACAACGAGTCATACCGTAGGATGCAGCAGCCAAGTGCCCTTCGAGCTTGGGTTTGGTTGGGTCATCACGGTGGCGAAGAAGCCTTTTAGGCCACAGCGCCCAAAGCTTCCTCTCCTTTTCTCCCGCTGGCCGCCTGGCTGCAAGATCTCGGGAAGACCTGTAGGGTGCATCGTGAGTTTGCAGGAACCACGCAGCAGTCGTGTCACGTACGACGGAAGTCAGCGTCTGGCTCTAGCGGCACAGTCACAACACTACAGTCTGGGTCAACAGATGTGAGATCTACAAAGGAGAACGCGGCGCACCGTTCGACGAGAGACGATCTGTATGTGCGCGTGTACATGTTCAGAACCCCTCCTGGGGAGTTGCGCCGCATCTGAAGTTGATAACGGTTTTGAGGAGGGCAGTGATATTCCGACGGTCTCGGAAAGCCCACGAGACCGGTCGAAGTCGGGGTTGCGACCAGCTGCTTGATGCCAGCATCTTCTCTAGCCTTGCATTCGTTTCTGTCCTTGGTGCTTGATGGAAAAATCTCGTGCGGATTGACCCTGGAGGAGATGAGCACGAATTAGCCAGCATGATTCTGCGCTCGTACCAGTCGAAGGGTGGCTGAGATATATGCGGTCAGTATCGGACAACGTGCGGGACAATACACTCACAAGATCTCCAATAGCATCTTCTATCGTGACAGGTGGCAAAGGCGCGTATATGTAGCCTTTCTCTCCGTTAGGGGCTCGCGGAAGTGGCACGAGGGTAGTGCCATCAGCAAGGTTGGCGGTGTTAGGTACTTTCGGGAAAGCGTGCGTCGGTACAGGATGGACGGGCATTGGGAGTCCGAGCTTTGCACCGAGGAAAATAACGCGTTCACGCGCCTGAGGGACACCAAACTGGCCCGCCTGCAGAACTCGTACGCTGGCCTGATATCTGAACAGGCCGATTCAATTCAATAAAGTCAACATCAAGACTGAAGGCACCCACCCCAGCGCTATAAGGGTCCGTAGGATGATCTTGACCATACTGTTCTTGATACACTCGTTGGCGTCTTGCATACCTCGAGTCGTGGTCCCCAGACGGAAGTCCAGAAGGCCACGGACGTTCTCGAGCAGGAAGTAGTCCGGCTTGTAGGCCTCAACGAAGCTCAGCATATTGAGAGGGAGGAAAGATCTGATGACCAGTCAGCATAGACGAACAAGTTAGACCGAAAGCAATCTTACCTGATGTCGTTTGGATCCTGTAGATACGAGTGAGCTGAGAAGGGAATCATTGTACAGGTGGCGGACCTTGTAGTGATTAGCCTTGCTGAAAGATTGGCATGGCGGTCCTTTAGGGGTGTGAGACAGCATTGGACAAGCAATCACATAGCATACCACCGAACACGAAGTCAATGGAGCTTGATTTGTCGGCAGTGCAAGGCTTCGGCAAAGGGGGGAATGGTTGGTTGTATTCGTCCTTGACAGACTTGTCGCCTCGTACGGCCTTCAGCACCTTGTTCGAATCTGCGCAAAGGACGGTAGTGTACGGATGGTTCTTCCTGCGAATGAAGTCAGTCAAGTTGCAAGTGACGCTTGCAGTGGTCGTACTTGTAGGTGTCCACCGCGGCAGGTTCGTAGTCAACAGCCAAAGCCGTATCGACGAAGCCGGACATTTCCATGCCCTTACCAAGGCCACCTCCTCCAGCGAACAGCTCCAGCCCGCGAAGTTTGCCGTTCACGCCGTGCCTGTCTTGTAGACGGCGGATGTCGGCGAGGTCATCCTCCCGCAGCTTCATGCATTCGGCACAGGCATGGAACTGGGAGGGACCAAGGCGTACGAGCTTCCCGTTTCGGAGGCGATACCCAACGTAAAAGTGATCGTCTTCTTCAACCCATTCGTCGACGGCGGATTGTGTATGTAGGACCTTGACGTAGCACTTGCCATGGACGACTAGCGTCTTCTGGCCGATGGTGGCAATGACAACTTCATCATCCCTATCCCCAATGATGAGGCAGCGCTAGAATTTGGGTGAGCAATGGCGAGTCATCATGTTTTCAAGAGACTCACATTGTCATTTTGCAAGCCACTCGCTGAAATGTGGGATGGCAGCTGGGTTTGCTGGCAGTGCCGTGCGAAAATCTGCAGGGATACGGACAGAGTCTGACCTTTACCTCTGATCGCCGTGATCAGCCCAATGCGATAGAAATTGTCGTACTGCCGAACGGGAGCGAGGTACACAGTATCGCCGACATGGTAGTCCTCGTCGTAATGAGAGAAATACGTTGCGCCATCGCTTTTCAGCGTCTCCCTCTCTGTATCACGCTCTTTCAAGCAGCACGAAGGACACCGCATACCGGCCGGATAAGCTTCGTAGAGTTGCGCAAGGTCCTTCTCCGAAGGTGCGGTGGTGAACGAGGTCTTTTCCGGGTCGAAGACGTGGCTAAGCAATGTTTATGAGAATGGTATTCGAGCTAAGAGCTAATGAGCACTTACGCGCAGTGGTAATGTTGTCCATCGGGTGCCTTATCGTCTGCCCTTTCCTCGCCACGGGCCCCAAAATCGACTTCGACCTTCTGCTTGATGGTCGGTGCCAGAATATCATCACAGTGTTCCAGCAAGAATAGACCTCGCGAGTGGGCTAACTCCTGCAGTATCATCTTCGACCCGTGAGTAAACCACTGGACGTGGACCTGGTACTCTCCGCCCGGTTCGTCCTTGCGGATGGCACGGATTATACCGAACCTACGAACGTTGAGCAGAAGTTAACACCCGAAGTGGAGTTAAGGAGGAACACGTACCACGAATCATTTGCGAGCCGATTGGGAGACTGGGAAGCTATCGAGGCAGCGTTCTGCTCGCGGACCTTGTCTTCGTCGGCGCCGGGAGCGATCGCGACGCAATCGCCAACCTAATCCCGTGATTAACATATTAGGACCTCTGGAGGACGCGGTACGCACCGAATACCTGGCACGGTCCATGTAGATAGACTGGAAGAACCGTCGGCCGCGTTCATCCGTCATCAATAAACGCCCATTCTTGATCTCGTGCGGATCGGTGTTGTGGATGGGGTACTGCGTCGCGTCGTGCTTATCCTTTTGCTCGATGTTTGAGGCGGTGTGCTCTGTAACAGAGATCTCGCGGTCGATGTATTCCTGCGCGACGCGCTTGACAATGGGCTCGACGTGGATGTCGGTCATCCTGGCGGGCTTGCCCTTCTTCCGTACGTTGGGCGCACTGTCGTCGCTGTCGGGGGGTTCAGGGGACTCCGAAGCGCTGACGGTCCTTCGCCGAGCCACCGGCTGCGAAGCGGACGGCGCTACTTTGGTCTTCTTCGTCGCTGAAGCCGGCGCGTAGGTCTTCGAGGCTGCTTCTGCGGGAACCGTCGGAACCATAGGCGCTGGCGCCTGCTCGAGTAATTTTTTGATCACAGGGACGCGTTGAACGCGAAGGCCGCGAGCACACTTGGTGAGGAATTTTTGAAAATGCGCCACCTAAGAGTCGCCGGTGAGCTTGTACTTAAGTCGCAGGAAATCAGTCCTTACAATGACTGGATCGTCCAGATCCTCGCTACTGACTTGCGGCGCGTCTCCGTCGTCCTCTATCTCATCCAAGAGTGTTTTAAAGCCTTCAAGCGTAAGACGAGCTTCCTTCTGGGCCTCCCTAAGGAGCGTGTGTAATATTCGGTGCTGCCTAGCGAATTCCTGGAAGTGCTTGCGATAAGAGGCCGCCGGCGAGTCCAACTTGTACCAGGCGTGCTTCGTTAGCAAATATATATTCCTGAGGATTCGGATGAATAAGAAATGTAGGCCTAGGTAAAAGAAGGAAAACTCACTCGTTATAACGATACTCGACGGGGCGCTCTGGCTCGGCGAAGCTCTTCGTAAAACAGTGGTGCACATCGACCTCGAGAATGTCGGATAGACGGATGCGCTGAGTCTGCGGCGCTTCGTGCATCGACTCCGAGTCGGCTGAATCACTACCCTCTTCATCGCTGTCCTCGTCCACGCATGCTTCGACTAGGCCCGTTGCGCTGTATTGAGCAAGTTCTTCTTCGGGTTCATCCACTAGCTGGTCGAATGGGACAGGTTCCTTTGGCGTATTCTGCTTGAAGATGCGAAAGTCACGCAGTACCCGCATCGGCACTTCGTCGTCATCGTCGCCGTCGTCTTCGCTGTCGGAGTCCTCCCCGTAGACCTTGAGGTTCTCTGTCTCTAGGACTTCTGCTTCCGTATCGTCGCCTGAAGTAGAGTCAGACCATACAGCTGCTGCGGCAAACGCAACGAGTTACCTGGGGCTGCATCTGTCATGATGATATCTGAGGCTCGACGGGTACGGTGCGACGGCCCTGCGATAGGCTGGACGGCGGTGCGTGTGCGACGCGAGGTGCTGTCGACGACAACTGCGGTGCTATTCTCTTCGTCCAAGGGGCGACCATCTTTAGCAGGATGCGGCTCCTTCCTCCTCGATAATGGGCCCGCCTTTGAGCCGCGTACTGTGTTAGGTCGTGTAGCCTGTGGAGGTTGTGCCGGCTTCGTCATGTCAATGGCCATGGCCTGCTTGCGTCTCGTGTTGTTCTTGGGCTGAGGGATTTCGTCGTCGCTATCTGACAGGCCAGTAAGGTCTATGACATCGCTGACGGCGGGGACCTGCAGAAGACGCTGCATGTGAATCGTTTGCCGAGTACATCCAGCTTTTCTCACCTTCTGCGACGATGGGGTCCCTTTTGAAAGATACTTGTTCATCGTAGGGGCGATCGCTTGAGATGCGGATTTCTACTGTCTGCGTTAGACCGCTGAGGCGTGCACTGAACAACTCGACTTCACATTCTTAGGTGTTGTTTTCGGTGTCGAAATGTTCAGTTTTCTTGATGTAGACGTCGCGAGCTAGGGAAAAATTATGAACTTTTCCCGAAGACTTTGCTCAGATTTCCTACGTCGTTGAGGTCGGAGGGGGACACCCTTGGCTTTTTTATGGGAGAAGGGGACTCAAGGGGCATCCCGGAAGTCTGCGTGCGCTTCATTTTCAGGTGTGCAGACCAGGGCTATGTCTTTCTCTGTGCCAGAAGACAAACGCGCGACAAACGCCTGCCACGGAATGCAGACAACAAATAGGCGCCCGTGATGGTCAAGAGCAAGAAAGGTTTCCGCTTTCGGTCATCGCGTTGTTCTCCTCCCGCCACCATGTCTGCAGGGTCGCTGCCCGTCATTAACCTCAATATCGACTATGACGCCGAGAAGGGTGAGCTAGCCACACTATACACGGGAAGACGCGTGAATAACAGTTCGCAGAGGCAATACGCGGGTTCTTGTCCGGGTTCAAGGGGGAGCTGAGTGACCTCGAAGCGAACCTGGAGAACATGTCCCTCGGCGACAACGACACTACCTTCCCCGAGAGCATGATGGATCTGAAGTATATGAAGCAGCTGGTGCGTGTCTCGTCGCGTTTGGCGCGTGTTCGACGCGGTCTGACGCGCTATGTAGCAAAGGATAGCAAATCGCGACCAGGCCAAGCTGGTGGTCGAACTGGAGGATATCCTGCAGGTGCGTGCTCGCAGTAACACATCGACATGATAGATTTGCTCATACTGTGCTCTATTCAAGATGCCAGACGGCAAAACGCTCGTGAACAACATCAAGGGGAACACCTTGCGATATGTTACGCTCTTCAGCGAGGTCGTGGATAGCCTTATGCCAATCGCCACCAAGGATATTGGCGACAGCGACGAGGTTATCGATGTTATCCTACACCAGCGTAAGGAGCGCAACATGGCGATCGAGGGAGGCTCAGAGGAGGGCTTCCCCGATCACCTTCTGCGACGATAGTGCGTGGCCTTTAAATCATGTTCAACATCTATCTAACGCGTCCCCAGTAACCTCTACTTCAAGCCACTGGAAAGCGATGTCAGCTACGCTGTCCGTGACGTGCGTGGCTCGCACTTGGGCAAGCTCATCACAGTTCGCGGCATCGTCACACGTGTGTCGGAAGTCAAGCCTCTGCTGCTCGTCAACGCGTATACATGCGATGTCTGCGGCGCAGAGACGTTTCAGGATGTCACCACGAAGACCTTCTCTCCATTGACCGACTGTGAGAACGTGAATGAGTGCAAGAAGAACGGCATTCGAGGCTCGCTGCATATGCAGACGCGTGCTTGTCGCTTCAGTCCCTTCCAGGAAGTGAAAGTGCAAGAGATGGTGCGTGTGTTCGTATTACAACTCATGCTTGAGACTAGACTGATTGATTTCTCCTAGGCGGACCAAGTGCCGATTGGCCACATCCCGCGCTCCATGACAATCCATGTCAACGGCCAACTTACGCGCCTCATGAACCCCGGTGATGAAGTCGACATTGGCGGCATCTTCCTCCCCACTCCCTACACCGGCTTTCAGGCCATCCGCGCCGGCCTTCTTACGGACACCTACCTGGAAGCGCACCACATCCACCAGCAAAAGAAACAATACCACGACATCGTCATTTCGCAGGAGATGGAGGCCAAGATCGGCGAGCTCATGGTCGACCCAGCTTTATACAACAAGCTCGCAGCGAGTATCGCGCCGGAAATCTATGGGCACACGGACGTGAAGAAGGCGCTGCTCTTGTTGCTGGTCGGTGGTGTGACGAAGGTTACGGGAGACGGCATGAAGATCCGCGGAGACATCAATGTTTGCCTTATGGGTGATCCTGGTGTGGCCAAGTCGCAGCTGCTGAAGTATATCTCGAAGGTCGCGCCTCGTGGTGTATACACCACGGGCAAGGGTTCGTCAGGCGTTGGTCTCACTGCTGCAGTTATGCGCGACCCGGTAACGGACGAGATGGTGTTGGGTATGTGCTTCTCACCTTTGCCTTTACCACTGACGTCGCTGACATTGTCGTAGAGGGTGGCGCGCTCGTGCTCGCGGACAATGGCATCTGCTGCATTGATGAATTCGACAAAATGGAGGAGGCCGACCGTACGGCCATTCACGAAGTCATGGAACAGCAGACCATCTCGATATCGAAGGCTGGTATCTCAACCACCCTCAACGCACGAACATCCATCCTCGCCGCCGCCAACCCGCTCTATGGTCGCTATAACACCAAGGTATCCCCTGTGGAGAACATCAACCTGCCGGCGGCCTTGCTGTCTCGTTTCGACTTGCTGTTTCTCATTCTGGACAAGCCCTCACGAGAAGACGACGAGCGTCTCGCGGAGCACGTCACCTATGTTCACATGTATAATGAGCACCCGCCTCTGGATTATGAGCCCGTAGACCCTGAGGTTATGAGGTATGCATCCCTATACCTGATTGCCGTCGTGGTCGCTCACCTGTATATCGCAGGAGCTACATCTCCATGGCTCGCCAAAAACGACCGACAGTCCCCCACGCCGTTTCTCAGCATGTCGTTAATACATACGTCAAGATGCGCAGGGACGCGCAGGAAGATGAGAAGGCGCACACCTACACCTCCGCTCGTACTCTCCTCGGCATCCTCCGCCTTGCGCAGGCGCTGGCCCGCCTGCGGCTCGCCGACATCGTCGAAGTTGGCGACGTCGACGAGGCCGTGCGGCTCATGGAGCAGAGCAAGGCGAGCTTGCTCGACGAGGAGCAGGAAGATGACGCGGTGGGTGATCGGTCCGTCAAGAGCAAGGTCTTCCGCATCATCAAAGACCTTCTTGGCGCGGGCGGCGCGCAGGCCATGAAGAAGCGGTCGACGAAGAAGAAGAGATTAGGGAAGGGCCCGGGCGGCGAGCGCGACATGGATGTGGACGAGGATGAGTATGAGGACGAGGCGGAGCTGAGCATGATCACGATCCGCGAGCGCGTCTTGACGGCGGGGTACTCGGAGCACGACTTGATGGAGACAATAACTGCCGTGAGTAGCAGTTCGGTTGTGCGATTTGGGAGGTTCACTAACGTGTTTTTCTAGTACGAGGATATGGATATCTTGATGAGAACAGCAGGAGGGTCGAAGTTAAGATTCATCAGCGTCCCATAGTTGTTACCTTGCGTTCACGCTATACCCGCTGTCCTTTTGCTTTCCGTCGTGTATCTCTATGTGTTGTCTGCTATGTTATTGTTGTTCCTCACTCAGAAGCCGGTTGCTGCAGAGGGAAGCTTTGAGGTCATTAGAATCGGAGAGGGAACCCTAACTCAGCATGTCGTCACATCTTGCTCTCAACTTTCACTTTGCTGCTCGCAATCATGATCTTGAACCTTCCGACTGAGCTGGCCTTGCATACGCTTCTCTTCGTCGATCTCCCAACCATCTACAGCCTACAGCTAGTTTGCAAACCCTGGGCTGAATTCATCCGCGTCAACGAGTCGACCGTCTACCACAATGTCGTGGCCAGCCAGAACCTGATCCCCTCCCCATCGACTCTGCTCGAGGACCTTCCGCGTTGGTATTCCTCAAGGTCCCTTGAGGGCGTGGCCAGCTGGAAAGCCTTCTGTAACTCGCACTTCGCCTTCACGCGAAGGCAGTGCTAACGGGTCGCCAGGCCGCAGGCGCGTCGACATCATACGCAGTTGGCGGGGAAGAGCACCTGCGAACACCGCGGTCTATAAAGCGACGGGAACGCGCGTTCATCGCATCAAGGTGGACGAGCTGTATGGATATGTGATCACGACCTCCGCCGATGGTGGGCTGCAGGTCACCGATATAGTGGAGGATGAAGTGTTGTGGGCTCTGCCTAAGGTGCGCCGCACTGGGCCCTGGACGGGCTTGCTGTGTGCTGACTAGTCCTCCTAGACGTACGTCCGCGGTTGGGCTCACGTCGAATACGCGGACGGCTTCATCATCTTCGATCGCCGGGACGGACACAAGGAAATCTGGCGACGCGCCTCGGACGCGCAAGATTCTACGGACAGAGTTGTGGAGGAATCCGCCCCAGACGAGCGCCAGCTTGTTGCATCCAAGAACGCTGCCGAGCAGTACAGATCAACCTCGAACCGTGGCCACTTCGTCGCCTGGGCGCTTATAAGCCCCGGGGGAATCACCACCGCTTTCCGTGCTGTCTATCCTGTCCTGCTAACCGCCTCTGACCACCAAGCCTTCGTCTTCGACGTCCGTACCGGCGCTCGACTGCACAAACTCACAAACCCGCAGGCGCCAACGGACCCCGACATGGGCCACCTGAACTACGTCGAAATCAGCGACCGTCATGTCTTCACTTGTGATTCGAATGTGCTTCGCGTCTACGCCCGTGCGGACGGTCGCTGCGTCTTCGAGATATTCTCGAACAAGGAGTACTATGGGCAATGGTTATTCGCGATCTCGCGTACTCCGCCGCAGGAGCAAGTCGAGGGCGCACTCGTCGTGCATCCTGTGCACGCGTTCGAACGCCATGCACCCGGTACCTCTTTACTCTTGGAAGAGTTCTACGCAGGTGCGAAGAGTACTTTGCCTCACCAATTTGCGATCCTGACAATCGGGCAGCGCACGTATCGAAATGCGGGCGACACCTTGTTGGCGCCTTGTCGACCGCACGAATAGTCGTCGTCTACAACTTCGAGCGCGCCCTTCGCGGCGAGGCACAATTGTTCGATCTTGCCTTCGAAGTGCAGCTCGGCTCGGGAAGGACGAATACCAAATACCTGGCCTTCGAGGACGACCGTATCTGTGTCGCAACGGTAAGCCGAGCGCGATTTTGTGCGTGAACTCGTCTAACGATGTATGCCTACAGGGTCGTGGCATCTTCGTCGTGCACGTCCTTGAACCGCCCACCGACTCGACCACACGCCCGCGCATCATCGTTACACGAGTCCCGTGGTTCAACGATCCTCATCGCCTCAACGCCATCAGCTGCTTGCAGATGTCCGACACGGGCATCTGGTTCAACTGGCAGAGTCGTCCAGAAGAGGACAGTCCCGAGATGCTTGAGGAGCACGAAATCGAGTTCTATACGTCAGCGGAGAACTCAGCGTATCGAACTCGTGAGTCGCAGAGCCTCCTCGCCTCGAGATATATGAGTAATCGCACCGGTAGGACTTCCTGGAGGACATATCATGGTGCTTGCTGCTGAAGGTATGCTTGCTTCGATGAGAACGTTGCGCAATGTTCATTTTTTCTTTAGAAATGGGACCCACCGACCTCGTCTTGTCGACAGTGCACAGCGTGAACTTTGGCATTCCGTCGTAGAGCATCTATCTGTACTACGCACTTGGGCCCATAAAAGTACTATCTATGCTAAGTCACCCGTGTATGACTTATCGAGTCCAGCGACGCTGGCTTAAGTGATCAGAGAGACGGGTTTGACGATTGAGCAAGGATCCACGACCCATTCTATGATTTGCGTGTAGTCCAACATCACGAATGCGCTTCTGTTCGCCATAACATAGAAAGCCTCGATCCACGACATTGAGATATACAAAAGACGCTGTACCAAGTCAGGAAGTTGAAAGGCATATTCGCACTAGAGAACAGGGCCAGTGCGACTATGTCGTGATTCGGACACGTTTCATACCGCCAGAAGTGCAGGCGTTGCGGAGGCTACAGAAACGTAAACGAGAAGTGACGAATCGGCAACTTGACAGCACCATTGTAGAAGGGGGGTGCAAAATGCGAGTTAACGTACAAGATATCTCAAGGGGGATCCGTCATCGAGCTGGCCTGATAAACGGGAAAGCATCATCCATCGTTTTCCGACGTCGTCGGACGTCCAGTCTGCGCATGGAATGAGCTGGGCAAAACCCACGCATAACAGGAGGCCTCCACGACACGAGGAACCGCCGCAATGGATCGGAGTGAACGAAATCCGTGTGCGACGAACGATAGCGCGTAGGCGAGATGGTGGCGGCCGTCCGGCTGATCTTCATAGGTCTTCTGACAATAAGAATGTCGCCAGAGATCAGAAGTATGCAGAATTCTGACCCAGAAGTCGTCCTGGACGCAGCAGATCGCGGACTCCTTGCGCATGGCGGGGCGACGGGGAACGTTGTAGAAGACGTCCAATGGGGTTATGGAAACGGGGTGGCAAGCGTCAGGCGATCTGTTCCTCGTGAGTCGCGACACAGGTGGACCGGCAGCACTAATTTTTTCCCAGAGGCCACAGCTGCCCGGCATTGGAGCCATAATCCGATCGATGTAGGCGACGACGAGAGGGGCCGTGGCTAGCCATCGTGGTGGGTTACGCAGCCCATATATGGGCAAGACGTGTTGTGAGGACTTGATGCGAAGCGGGCGCTCAGCGCTGAGTTGGCGCTGGCGCGGAGTCCCGACGGCACGACACGCGCAGCGTGAGCGGAATGGCAGCGCGGAATTTATCCGAAAACGAAAGCGGTAAGTACACGGTTGAAGTTCTGGCGCAGAACGTGAGTCTACGAGAGGAGGTCAAGGTCTGGCACGCACCTGCATTGCCGAACTGCAGCTCGTATATATCCCGGACTGTATTGATGGTTATGCGTACATTGTGTCGCCATTGAAGAGTCATTGGAGCTCGGAAGTGTAAGCCGAGCAAACCGGGACTTGCAAAGCAGGCGTGCAACGGTGAGGCCGGAAAGCGACAGATTTACAGGAGAGGCGACGAGAAAATACGTCGTCCCGCCATCTGCGTGCTGGTCTCGAGCGATTGTAGGGTCAAGTACATCGGCGAGATAGTCCCCTGCAGGCGAAGGTGAATCCTGTCTAGGGGCGAAAAATGTGATGAAGCAGTGAAGATGAGCGTTGGGAGCAAGACGTGGCAGTTGCCAAATAGAGATCTCAATGGCTGGGAAGAGTGACGCCGTACCATTCAAGATTACTCGCGCTGCGCGTCTTCCTCAAGCGCTTGCTATCGGCGACCAGCATCTCAGAGGAACATACATCCATATCAAGTCGGAGCGTCCGGACTGCGGAGTGGAAGGATGCGGACAAAGGCGCCTGAAGTACGACGGGACCAACAAGCCCGCTATGGAATGCAAGCTCGCAGAAAGATTCCCTCTGGATATCGGTACGCCTTCAGAATGCTGTGACTCAGAAGGGAGAAGGGCTCACTATTGTCCTGCGTCTCAAGATACACCCGAAATTGAAAGTATCCGTGAAGTGCGAGGTTGATCCCCGCTCGCACGAAGGAGCGCCGCGGTACCTCTGGGTCCATAAAGCCCACTGACAGTGGATGCTGGCGTCTCACAAAGCAATTAAAGGCCTCATACGTTCGGGCCCTTCGTCCAGTCCACCAGCCTAGTCTCGTTGACCAGCCTCTTTACTGTACGCCGCCAGCCAGCCTCGAGTGTTAGTTGGTGCCATCGGTGTGTGACGGCTGATCAGCCCCTCAAACCAAACCACAAGTGACTGATTCGTAGCGATCGTCAGCATCCCGAGGCATTACAAGACCATCGCTAGGGGCGGCGGTCTAGCATGGTCATCAACGTAGTTGGACAACTTGCGATGTCCAAGACGCCGTCTAATAGAGTCGTAGGCGTCCAAAGGACGACACTCCAATGACTGCCCGACCTGCGTATAACAAGCGCTTTGAGGGCGATCTGAGCGTTACGTCGTTCGGCGGTGAAGGGTTATCTCGAAGCGCAGGATTGGCCGTCTTCGAGCTCAGTTCAGTATCGTCGCGCAAGTCACAGATTGTGAGTGATGAGTCCTTCGGGGGAGCATCTAGCTAAAGGCAACAGGATCCAGTCGAAACTTCTCGTGGTCGTAACATCTCAGCAAGCCTGGAGAGTTCACGAGGATGCCGGGCAGCGCAGGATCACAGCACGTCGTCTCGTCACTTCGTGTGGGAGTAGGTCAGTATTTCAAGTGCACAGTTCACATACTATTCACGCGCGCCCAGTCAGCACCTCAATGTGATTCTCGTTCTGTTGTCCATTGTGCGGAAACGCTCGTCCGAAGCCCAATGATCGCAGTGAGACCAGAATTCGACCCGCGAGCGTCGTGAGTGTAGGCTAGCAGAGTGACGTCGACGGTGGGGTAGAGGGACCGATGGCAAGGAAGACCTGGGACGTGGTCTCTTCCTCGTCCAATCATCGACAGCGACTTCGAGCGAGCAGTCGACCTGAAATGGGCCCCTGGGGCGCCCACCCATTCTGCAAGGACCCAGTGGTGTCGTCAGTCGGCGTCGTACCACTGCCGGAACAGCAACTCACCACCTTCAAGGTAGCTCTTTCCTTCCGGTGCGCGGACTCATTGCAATGTTCGCAGGGTGTATCGCCGACAACACCTACCAAATCGACGCACAAAGGAATCAACGCATGGCCGTTGCCAGATGGTCACCAATTCCCGAAGGTTTTCGTCCGCGTGCGCTCCCTGAACGACATCGCCTCCGTGCAGAAGACGTGGGATAGAGGCGGCTACCGGGGTGAGCTCGGTGCGACATATCCTGGAAAGGATGTGAGCGGTCGGAGAACTCCGTCCGGTGGCGCCTAGCTGTTCAGTGATGGCAGGCGCCGGGTTTCTCACATTTGAGGAACTCCCATCATGGGTGCAGCGTCGTTCCCCAAGAGCGTCCGCTTTATCCTCCTCGACACCGCCGCCCATACGCTTCACTTTCTCCATCACGATGTCACTGTCGTTGTGTGACCTCTGCCAGAAAGAGAGTAGTGGCATCATCGACATGTAGTCCTGCAAGAAGGGTCGTGCGTACATTCGTCGTCCTTGCCAGTGCAGGCGCAAAGCTCACCGTGCTAACCAGTCTCATTCAAGGACGAGCTCTCTGTAGCGGCTGCTTTGATAAACTGAACAAGACAGCCGGTGACAAGTGCTGGTGCCCGATGTGTGCCCATGTTCTCCGAATCGAACCCTTCCTCCGAGATCGTGCGTGTAGTCCTCGCATCCCAGCCCATTGCTCAGCGCTCATCAGGATTGTCAGGGGAGGATTTCGACCGCTTCGTCGTCGTGGTGAGGGAGGGTACGAACGCGAGGACAACGCGTCGAGCGCTCTTCGTCTACAACTTCATCTGCTTCTGCGCGTGGGCCTGGTTGTCATTCATTGTGACTGTCATTACCCTCCTGCAGACCGCGCACTTCTGGTGGCCGTTTTTCAGCAGTTCTTCTGATATGTAGACTGATGGACGTGTATTTAACGAATGCTGTCTTCGCAGTCCTGTACAATTGACATGGCTTCAGTCGTTCGTACTAGTTTATGATGGAACAAGGGATATCTCGCGAGAATTAGTAAGGTTAACGTTTTCGCAACCAGCTAAGCTCCGGGGCGGCCTCTCATTCAAAGCGCGCGTACTTAGACGGTAGGCTCAATGCGCACGGCATGTTCAGGGTCCAGGGGAGATTTACCAGCTCAGATGACAGGTCATTAACCTCGCGCGCAAGACACGCAAGAGAGAGCAAGACATGACGGACACTGTAGCCGCCCCACGGGTACCCATTGACCACTTGACAATCTTTAGCTCGAAGCAGGGGTGCAGCGCGCTGTGGTAGATCCAGAGGTACCCACACGAGCCAGCATTCTTAGTCTCTCTTATCGTCTAGATATATCATTGACTTCTGCCCGCAATTGCGCACGAAAAGAACCTTGAATTGCTGTAGCCCCGCATTCAGCACAGCATCATAAATTCCGCATAAAGCAACTACTCAAACATGGACAACAACGAGCATATAAGTATGTACAGGCATAGCAGAGTTCATAAAAGGACGCCGGCGTCCAGACAGCAACGTGAAAGACATGGAGAGCGTAGCGACGTAAAGGAGTCGTAAAAAAACAAGGATTGGCGTACTCAGTGATAGAAAATGATCTTCGAGAAATCGCTAGCCACTCAGGGCAGCGGCTTCACGATCCTGAACGTAGTGAAGGCACCGCAAAGCGCAGCCTTACCCAGGCCCGTGTAGAACTCAGAGTGGGGAAGCGCACCCTGCAGGTTTGCGTAGAAGTTGAAGGCAGAGGACGCGGAACCCTGGCAGCGGATGGACCCAATCATGTGCTGGACATCGTCGAGGTTGAGGTTCGCCTCTTCAGCGGTGGCGTTCAGCGCCTGGATGAGCTTCTCGTCTTGGGCCGCGTCGCACAGGCCCCAAGATGACGCGGTGTTGCGCGCCATTTCGTTCAGCTGAGGCGGCAGTGCGATGCTTTCTTGGAGCATCGCCACCCACTCCGGGTGCGCACGGTATACCTTGGAACATGGAGTTGTCAGTACTCGAAGAAGCAATCATTTCACGGAAGGTGCTCACAGCGATTCCGAGGCAAATGATGACCGCAGCGATGAAGGCACGCTTCGACGCGAAGGGAAGGACATACTTCTGTACGAACATCAGCACTGGGAGGCGACATCAAGACGTATCATGGACCTTCAGCTTCGCGCCCCACGTCGCGCGACCATTGGGCGCCGTCGGGAGGTCCGGGTCGGCGAGAAAAGCGTTGACCACCTGGGTGGTTCCGGGATGTTCAACGTGAATGCGCTGAAGCACCCGCTGGCCCTCTTCCTGCGCAGAATTGAGAACTACATCGAGCGATATGGCTTACCCACTTACATCGTGAACGGGCGGCGCCCCAACGTCAAATACATGCTCCGCGTCTGCGACGGACGGATGAGTGGATACTCGGCTAGAAGATTGAAGCAACGTACCAGACAAAGGCGCACGATGTCCGGTGTTGAGGCGCTTCTGCTGAAGGCCGGGCTGCGCAGGGCCGACTTCATCCATGTGCTCGATGTCCTCCTCTTCATCCAGAGTGCGTTTGTTGGACGTCGCAGCTCGACTTGGGCCGGCAGATGGCACGATCACACGGGGTGCAGCGAGGGCAGAGGCCGCGTCGGTGATAGGGGATGTGCCGATGGCCAAGCCTGTGCCTATGGTGCAGGGTATGTCGGTGGCGGGCTGTGTGTCGGTGGCGGGGGGTGTATCGGCGGAGATTCTGTCGGCGACATGGGGACTTTTCAGCCTGCGTCATTTCATCAATTGTGGCCGAGGCAGACGGAAATCCATGCGACTCAACAGTTCCACGATATAGAGCTCCAGCAGTGGTGTGAAGACGATGCTGACCATCTCATCGCACTTCTGAGGGCTATCCGCATGGAGATTCCGAGCAAAGATCCGGAAATCCTCAGCATAACGTTCACGAAGTCCCAAAGGTAGGTCGTTCGACTCCCTGTCTATAAAATGGACGATGTGGGCAAGGGTGTGCGTGCTGAGTAATCGGGGAGCTATGAGATACACCTGCAATGACGCTTAGCCCACAAGCATCGCCCAAGAGTGCGACGCGTACCTTGTCCCCGAGCGCTCGCTCCCACTCGCTCCCCTCAGCCATACGCCACACGAGATCGCTCAGCGACGAATGCAAGACGCGCCTGCCCCTGAAGATGGCCGACAAGGTGACCGCATCTGACGCTTGGTCTGACGCGACCCCATGCCCTACTGGAACGAGGTCAAGGCGAGCGCGCTCGAGTTCAGAGATCAGGCCCGCCGCACTGAGTGCCTCGAACAGCCGCTCAGCAGCCTCCTCGATCAGCGCAGAAGAAGGGATGGGGATGAAGGTTGACATGTTGGTGAGGACGATGCGTGAGGACGATGGGTTATTGGTTGGCCCTGGCTGTCTTCTTGACTGGCCTTTATATGCGCGCCCGCATCATGATTCCCAGTCGGATGACCTAACCATCACCATCCCCGTATAGGCGATACTTGCCATTTCGTCTACTTGTTTCCCGCTAGGGTACTGTGGGATGAGAAGACAAAAGAGTAGTCGGACCGCTCGTGTTCCGGAGGATGATGATGCGCCGGCTCTCGCCTCGGTCCAGTCCGCAGGCAACTGATCCACACCTGACCGCAATTGATGCATGATGCATGATAACCAGTGGACCCCCTAGAACGCTAGCGCTCTTTTCGACGGAAACTCACATGTGGGTCTCACGAGGAATCACGACGCCATGTCACGGCCCTGGTCCACCGTCCAGATGTACGTCTTACATACTAGAGGAAGCCCCGGCTTTGCCGGATGCATACCTTGCTTGCACCTCGCGCGTGAGTCTGAATCCTGCTATCGTTGGCAGAGCTCGAACAGGACGTGTGGACGAAGGTGTCTGCGCGTTTGCCGATGTTGTCTTCGGAACGTGCTACGCACATGGGGTCATTTTTGATGGGGTCAATAAGACACGGGAAAGACCTTGCAAGCAAGGTGACAGGACGTCGCTTGCCCTGTGACAAAGCGCACCGTATCGACTAGGGCTGCGAGAAACTGAGTGTTGCACGAACATATATTTGCCCAGAGGTCAATGGCAATGCGGTCTCCTGCGATGCGCTTGCACCCTCCCAGCACGCCCTTGTACAGGGCCAGCACGTGTGTCGTTGGAAGACGACTGTTTCCGCTCCTCTTCGAGTGCCGCGTCGCTCTGTAAGGTCAACGCAGATGGCCCAGCTGAGATGGAAAACAAAGACTGTAACATGATGAGCCGAATTCTTGGTGAACCTTGCACTAATAATGTGTGAGACGGACTAGGCGAAAGGCGCGCTATAGATCAACGCGCGGACCGCGCGATGTAACGAGAACGAGCAAACAAATGGACGCGCGACCTGCCGTTTCGTGGACAACGTAGGCTCTCGTCGTGCAATGCATGTAAGCAAACAAGGACTTTTGAAAGGACAGGATAACACACGGTGTTGACCTTCACCAGAGAAAGGTAGGTATTTTCTCGTCTCTTGATAACGTCGATGGTACCATCATCAGGCAGGTGGTTCAGAGGCGGCATGATAGCGTGCTCGTGATAGCTTCTGTACTGTGCCGGATCTAAGGTGATCGTCAAGCTGAGATCGTGAGCGTTGACGAGACGCAACAAAGTTGGCAGAGTAAGTCCATGATGGCCAATGCTTACCAGTCGAGGACCTGCAGTGAAGACTGAAAGATCCGTAAAGGATTCTAAGACTTTCCACGAAAGAGTTGTGACCGCTGAGTCACAGCAAATTCACACGGATGCCCACCCCCCTCTCTTTCATCTGTTCCATGCCTTGGTCTCATGGACTCATCTGCCAAAATTACACAAGACTTGACCTCAGTAAGAATAGTACTTGCCTAGGTCAGGTGTCAAACTCTTGCAAATCCTGTGGATGGTAGCCACCAAGGCGGATACCCTCGGGCTCAAATTAAATGCCAAAATTCGGTCAATGACCTCCGCCGTCCCTGAACGATGTGTACGGGTGGGAAAACACATATGTCGAGTACCACCTTGCGGGTGGGTCGTCCCTATTGGCCTTCGGCAGGCCGCCGTTAGCGCTGACGGTAACACATATGTTTTGCTTCGATGACCTATGACTTTGTTCACCAATCTCGCGGGGGCGATACTATGCACAGTGCACACATAATTGGAACATTCGTTTACACCGCCAGAAAGTTGTTACTCTAACGCCGTAACTTTTTCCGAGTCTCAGCTTGTCGGTCCTTCGGAACGCCCAAAGGGTACTGTAGTCCACCAGAGCCTGAAGGCGGTCCTATGTAGCACCAAGCAAGCACCCGCGACTCTCGAGCATGACTATGACCAGCTTGCCTCTAATCCTTGACCGACGCTTGTATACGTAACGGACGAGTCAACCTTGCCATTCTAACCTACAAAACCTTTCATGTCATTCTACAATACATTATCCGGTGAAAGGGAGTCGAGGAGAATGATATACTGCCTGGAGGCCTGCTTTCACTGAAGACGCCAGGCTACGCTGTACTCGTACACAACTTTGACCTCCACGAGAACAAAAACGACGAGCACCACAAAAGCCGATAACCAACATCCGACCCGGCGAAGGACCTTGAAGATAGCCAGCGCCGGATCCAACTCAAGTGAGTAGAGCTCCTCTTGCTCGCGATTATTCTTTCTCTGCAGAGCGCCAACGCGAAGTCGCCGCACAGAGACCAGGGTCTGGACCTGCTCGTTGCGAGCGCTCAGCTCCTCCCTTGTGGCATTTTTGCGCTTAAGCATGGAGCGGGCCCTCGCGTACTCCTCGCAAATTTCTCGCAGGCGCTCGAAGGTGTTGTCCTGCAACTCCTGGAGGGCTGCATCCTTCGCGTCCGCTTGCGCGGTGACTCGGGCGAGCTCCTCGCGGTAGACGCCAACCTTGGCCTGCTCCACCTTAGCCTTGGACTCAAGCTCGCGGACAAGGACGATCGCCCGGCTGTACTTCTCCAGGGCGTTGGCGATGGCGGCGTCGAGCTTTGCAATGGTCTCAGGCGAGTCGGGCAACCGCAGTTGTTCTGCATGCGATGCCTTGAGCGACGCCAGCTTGGCATCCATCATGTCGAAAAGCGCCGCCCAGTCGGGCCTTGCGTCTAGGATTCGACGCTCCGACCGCTCGTAGGCTACGAGGGCCTCCTCGCGGTCCCGCGGCTTCTCCTCGTCAATGTTCTCCAGCGGGGATACGATGCGATGGAAGTCCAACTCTGATGGGGATGGTGAGTGCTCGGGAGAGGAAAGAGAAGTACAATCACGCACTGCTGTGGATTAGGCGGCATGTCGGACAGGTGAAGCGGTCGTTGTCTCGCTTGGAGAACTCGTCGAGACAGGCGCCACAGAAGACCTTGTCTGAGCAAGGTGCGGGTCCGCGAGGTCAGCCCTGAGGATCATGGCGGGAAGCGAAGGAGACGCACGGCACTTCCTGCTAACATACATCTCGGTGATGCCCTCCATGTTCTTCAAACAGACGGTGCAAGACGGCATGGCGAATGCGAGTCGTCCGAGCGGTGGTGACAGTAGCAACAGGAGAGTTCCAAGCAGAGCGCGGATTGGGGAGTGAGGTAGCACACATAGCTGTGAACGTTCAGTTTATGTGAGAATTCGCCATCAATTGACCGGCTGGGTGCCAATTGTTCTGCCTGATCGAACGCGGAAAGGGGGCCTCCCCAGCCCGCATCTTTTCCAGGATATGTCGCACCAAGCTCACTTCGTGAGCCGACTCTCCCACGTCGTCTGGGCGGAAGCGATGCCGTCAAGCGAGCGCATGCAGAAGAAAGCCCTGCGGGGGCGTTTGGCAACGGCCACGCGTTGATTCCTTTGTGCGTCGATTTGGCAGGTCTTGTCGGCGATACGTCCTGTGAACATTGCAACCGGAGTACGAACTAGAAGCAAAGAAAACCCTGGAAAGTGGTGAGTCGATGTTCCGGCAGGATTGCAGCCGACTGATGATGCTCACGGACTTTGCAGGATGGACGAAGCACCCCCTCGGGCCTTTCCAACTGCTGGGAACTTCGGCGGGCTTTGTAGCGACGAGTAGCCGGCACTCATTCCGCCATTTGCCTGGACCTACACCGACGCGTCCTTGTCTTCTTCGCCTCGTGCCCCTCGCTGGCTGAACTCTACTCTGTCGCTGTGGACACCATGTTTCTGACGAGACCTCGCGCGAGAGTTGTCGCTGCGAAGGTAACGCTGAATCTCTGAGATACGCGACAGGTGAGTAGACCCTATGAACACTGACCTATCCAGCGCTCAGTCGCGGACACAGACGGCCCAGTGCGATATTGCAGACTGTCTTTGCGAAGCACCCGGCAGTCGCGACTCTTGCGCTCGCACTCGGGAGCAAAGTCGCTCTAGACTGCTCTGAAGACGGCTCTCAATCAGCTCGTTGCATATGAACGGCTGAACACTTACTGTCTGTGGCACGAACGATGGCTCCGGGCCATAAGGGGTGCTCGTTGGAAAGGCGAATTTGCACTCTAACCTCCTTGCTCGTCGTCCGGCAGCGTAGCCCTCAGATTAGGCCATGTCGCAATTCAATCGATAGGAGGGATCTGGTGCAGCAATGTGAAGTGCCGTCAGCGCCGTCTCTCACTGCAACATCTCGCAACGCGCTCGACCGCCTCTACGACCACTGTCCCTCGCTTCGTCATATTGTTCTCAGGAGACTGGTGACTACGGCGTCCGAGTTGTATGATGTCTTGCGAAGGGTGAACCGCACGCACGCACCAGGAGGTGTTCCGACATGGTTCCGATGGCCTTGTCTTGCTGTCACCAGCGTCTCGTTACACCCTAGTGTCCTCCGTCCCAGGACTGTTGACTTTATTCAAGGTTCCCGAAGTGTTCATACGCAGCTGGTGACCCTTTCGCGACGGCAGAATCTCCGCTTTATAGCTCGGCTCGATGCTAAGCATATCATGGGTCCTGCGCCTTGAGTGAGCCCATCCGATCCTCCACAACGAATGTACGGAGACGTACATGTATCCGTATGCAGCAAGCTGTACTAGCAATGCCGTTGGGAACCGCAGGATTTCGGCGATCTCGTCCTTCAGGCGTGCGTCTTGTTCCCATTGTTTTCCATACCTTCGCCTCCTTCTCGTCCTTCTGATTCTATCGTTCAGAGTCGACTGAGATATTGTATGTCGCTGGCTGAGGGTGGCAAGTAACTGTGGAGGATGAGCTGCGCCAGAGCGGCGCGGATATTTTTCTTTTGAATGGTACGGCGTCACTCTTCCCAGCCATTGAGATCTCGGTTTGGCATCTGCCACGTCTTGCTTCCGACGCTCATCATCCCCTTCTCATATTCTCCCCCTCTGCAGAGAGAATCTGTGATCATATGCTAGGGGCTCTTCCACCACATTGTGCTTCACCGAACGGTCGCGCAAGTTCAGGCGGACAATTCGCAGGACGCGCCGATTTTCTTTTCACCTTGTATCCAATTTTAATGCGTCGTATCTCGTCCTCTTCATCGCGCATCCGTCTTTAAAGCCTCAATCCTTGCTCGCTTTACACTTCGAGTCTTGCGATGACTTCTTGACATCGCGGCACACAAGGGACGCAAACTCATCAATTGCTGTATCAGGGTCCTATGCGAATTTTAGCAGGGCAACGCAGGTGCGTGCTTGACAATGTTCTCCTCCCGTGGACTTACGCCGTATGCCAGAACTTCAGCTGAATCCTTACTGCTTTTGCCATCGGGTGAACCAGGCCGCGTTCCGCTTACGCCGTTGTCGCGCGTGTCGCACCGTCGGACCAGGACCCCTTTCGCAGAGCGATGGGCGCCCGTCAAACTTCGCAACAAATCCGCATAACACGCCTTGCCCATATATGGGCCGCGTAACCCACCACGATGGTCAGCTACGGCCCCTCTCGTCGTCGCCCACATCGATCGGATAATGGTGCAAACGCCGGTCAGCTGCGGCCCCTGGGAGTATCATGATTGTCGGCTCACCTGTGTCGCGAGGAACAGATCGCCTGGCGCTGGTCACCCCATTTCCCCATCCCCATTCAATGCGCTTCTGCAACGTTCCCCGTCACCGCGCCATGCGTGAAGGGGCTCGCCACTTGCGGCGTTCTGGGCGGCTTCTGGGTTGGAATTCTGCGTACTTCTGATCTCAGTCGACATTCTTATTGTCAGAAGACCTTCAGCGATCAGACATGCTCGTCCGCCACCATCTCGCCTACGCGCTATCGCTCGCCGCGCACGACATGCGTACAAATTCGCCCACTCAGGTCCATTGCGGTGGTCCCTCGTGCCATGTTGGCGCCCGGTATTGCGTGGATATTGCCCAGATATTTCCCTCGAGCGGAGATGTGGACCACTGCTCGTCCGACGGCGTCGGATGAGGCTGGACGGTAATTCTCCTTATGACAGGTCAGCAGCATGCTGCTACTGCTGGTTCTCCTTTCGGCACCCTGAACGTTGTGTCCTATCTGGGACAACGACTTAATTGTTGTCTCATTGCTGCAATGTCAACTCATTGTGCCCTTTTGCGGACGTCCTTATTGTCTTTCACTCTCGGAATCCCATGCTATAAATTTGAGGAGCGGCGGCCTTCTGTCGCAACATCATCGTTTTCCGCAGACCGTCCCACTCGATCTCAAGCCCAGTTTGTCACATCTCGGACCATGAAGTGCATCTCGACGACGTGCAAGACAGTCATTGACTGGAAAGGTTTCCGTGCAGCGAACTGCCGTGAGTGACAGTGCCTAGTTGACCAACACCGACTGATGTATACCTCATAGCGCATATATTCTGCGAAGGCTGTTATCTTGAGCTGGTCAGGCAGACGAAGCTCGAGAACCAGAGCGTGCACTGTCCGGAGTGCTCCGAAGAGCTCGTGCTGTTTGGTGCGCATATCCTCTCGTAGTTTTGACAGCTCGCTCATAATGCGCATGCAGGCACGATCGACTTAGCCGTCGTGCACTTCGCCCTCACGAAGAAGCACCCTGTCGCCGCCGATCTCGGCTACAACGAACTTGTCGAGAGGCGGCCCCATCTCGAGAGCTTGAACGCCTTGATTTTCGAGCAGCAACAACAGCCCGAGATCGACGAGCTCCCGCATTGGCTGCGCGAGAGGCACGCGGAGTTCAATGCGAGTGCGGAACTGCATTCGCACTCGATTATCGAGGTTGCTCTCCCCGCTGTCGCTCAGGTGAAGCTGTGGCGGCAGCGCGTAAGGAAGCAGGCGACTCTTCCCGAGACTGCTGCTCGTCGTCGCCAGCAGCTTTCCGTCCTTCAAGCTCAGCTGAAGTCCATCAATCGGAAGGTCGCTGCTGCTCGCAAGGACTGTGCGAAGCTGTCTACCGAGAGCCAATCTCTGTTCCAGCGCCTTAACGAAGTGACACAACGCCTTCGCAAGTTGCGGCACGCCGCCCACTGCGTGCGTTCTCGCGTCATCGACTCCTCGGCCGACCGAGACGATCCCTCCAGCTACGCGTTGCAGATTGTCTCGTGGGACCGTAGAATCCAAGAGGAAGAGAACCGAGTCCAAATTGTTCGTTCTCTGGGGCACCGGGAGGACGAGGCGACCGCGAAGTTACGCGAGTCACTCGCGGCGGGAGAACGCGAACTCGTACACCTGCAAGCCGTGGAGGTGCCCGAGCAGGCCCGGGCAACGGTCATAAAGCGCAAGCTAGCTACCACGCGCAGACATCTGCGCACTCTTGGGACCGTGGCCATGCTTCCGGTGATCTGCGTATCGTTTTTGGCGTTCGCCGTGGCTGTCCCTCAGCAGTACGGGTTTTCCGTCATTCGCGTCTATCGTCATTTTACCTCTTGAAGTTCTGGTCCATGTGCATCTTTCTCTCCTCTACGTTCTCTCAGTCGGTATGATCCTTCATGCATCTCCACATTCCCTACTGTATCATACGTATGCTTCATGTATCCCATACCCATCGTCTATGCTGCAATCGAAATATCTATTCAAATCTTTTGAATTGCATGGTACAGCATGTCTCTCGCACGGATAACATCTTTCCCGCGACGCTGCAGCGCCGGGCTAGGTTGCAAGGGCGCATAGTGCGCGACAACACGAGGGTGCACGCATTCGATGAGGGAAGGAGCAGCGTCACTCCAGTGTCATTGAACATATTTTGGGCATGGTTTAATGCATAGCGTCGGGGCAGCGGGGGCGGGGAATTAGGGAGGTATAGGTACATGGTCTATGATACTTGGAAAGCGATGAGAATCGTACAGCGGATGGGATGAAGGAAGACGAGCACTGGGTGAATAATATACGAGGATAAGTCAGGGTGGCGAGGACTCAGCGAATGCGTTGGATGGAGGAGCAAGGGAACAGGTAGTAAGCCAAGATGCAAGGGAGTAAAGAGGGGAAGACAGTCTAGCCCGCTTGCTGAAGTTCCTCGAACTTGGCTCTTGCCATGCGAATATTCAGCTTTACAGCTGCAGTTTCTGCGGCGTGTGTCAGCAACTGAATAGCGGACGTGAAGGTCGAGTGAACTCACCAACACCCGTGCCATGACAGATCACCAGCACGTACGTATTCCGCGTCATCTCGTCCAGCACGGCGGTGAACTCGGCCAGGTCGAGCTCGAGGGAGCAGAACTCGGAGCGGACGCGCGAGAGGGAGTGCTTGAAGTGCTTGATGAGCGCGGAGGTCTGCTCGTAGCGCGTGCCGGGCATGGAGTCTGGGCTGGGTGCGGAGGGGTGGGGGGCGGTGGAGGTGGCGATAACGAGGAAGGTGGTGCGCTCGAAGAGGACAACCTCGGTGGCGCTGCAGGCGCGGGCGAAGGTGGTGAGGTGCTTGGAAAGGGTGGGCGCGTTAGGGATGAGGGTGTGTACAATGCTGGACCAGGCCTAGAAGGGGGGTGAGTTAGCATGTAGGACGACGGTACTGATAAGCGCCCACACACCTTATACAGGCTCTCGTCGTAGATGCTGGTCCCAAACACCTCCGCCTCCCCCTCGCGCCACCCCATATCCGCCGCTTTCCCCACGAGCTCCGACCGGCGCTTCCCCAACACCTCCTCCCGCTCATGCTCCTTCCCCACCAGGTCCATCTTGTGCACGAGCAAGAACACCCGCGCGTCCGCCGAGAACGTCTTCACGCTCTCCATGCAGTCCTCCCAGTACAGCAGGTCCTTCTCCCGCTCGCGCGACTCGACGTCGAAGACGTAGATGAGCACGCCGACGGAGGAGAAGATCGTCGCCTTCTGCGTGGAGAGATACGAGTCCATGAAGGCGTCCTGCCCGCCGCAATCCCAGAGGTTGAGGATGAGGTCGTTGAGGAAGCGGACGTGGTTCTGCTCGACGTCGATAGTCGCGCCAAGCCGAGAGGTCATGGAGGCGGGATTATTGGAGCTGGCAGGGGTTGTCAGGGCAGATTCGCGACCGCGGCGAGCAACGCACAAGATGAGGGAACGCATCGAGGTCTTGCCCGACCCGGACGCGCCCATGAGCAACACCTGCGCTAGTCAGTGAACCTCCTTGACGGCCCAACATGAGGCCTAACCTTCTTCTTCATGTCGTATTATGTTTTGGATGTGTTCAAGCACGACCGGCGAGGGAACACATACGCGAAGTGATGGTCGGTGACAAGGACGGTGCGGGCCGCGCTGCCGGTCGAACCGTGAGTCACTCTCTTCGTCACGGCGACGGTGGTGGAAGGAAATTAGCGCCTCACTGGCGTCTCCGCGGATGTCAGGTTCAGTTCAAGCAAGGGAGGTCAGAGCCTCAGGAAGAGGCACAAAGCCAAAAAGTGAGTTTTGCATGGCCAGAACACCACATATATTGAGCGCACTCCGACATGTGACTACTGATACAAACAGACGATCCGCCAGTGCGCTGGCCATAATGTCTACGCGCCTGGACGACATAGCCGCATGTACTGGATAATACAACAGTGAGGGACTGGCGAGGCTTTTGGTGGCTAGGGGATGGGCTAATCAGAGGCCAAGATGGCGACTGAGAGGAAGACTGATCAAGACCCATAAACGCTAGGCGTAGCTAGTGCAAAACGCGACATAAGGTGTGAGGCAGGTAGCTGCGCGATGGGATGGCCGGAGGGAAATAGTAGATAGTAGGAAGATAAAAAGGATAGCCTGGATCTATTATGCAGCGGGAGCGACGGAACGGGTATGGGTCACTGGGCTACAGGACGATGATAGAAAGGTTCGAGCGTGGAGCGCGAGGGAGGGGACGCGTGGGGTAGGGGTAGACGGGCAGAGAGGGTAGGAGGAGGGCGAGAATAGACGGGAAGGGTGGCTTGGGTCGACGACTTAGCCTGGGGGGTAACGCTATCAATCGACGTAGGTTGCCAGCAGCGTAGGATGGTGTAACCATTTATGACACCCAGACTATATATGACAGTCAGCTTCGCTACGCAGCGCTGGGATGTTGTACTCACAGGAGAGCGCGATAACGATGTAGAGGGTCAACAACATGAGACCCTCCATGTAGTTCGACTTGCCGTCCCTGGAGAACAGTTAGTCAATCCTTCCACTTGCCTAAGGAGGTATAGACGCACTGAATCAGTGTGTTGACCAAGAAGACCGACACGAAGAAGATGATCGTCTGCCGAGGTCGTGAGCTTCTACCCCAGATCAAGTCGATCACAAAGCGCACCTCGTAGTTCTCGAAGTACAACGTCAACTCGTGTCCAGAGCTGCAGCCAGGTCAGGCTGATAATCATGTACCTACTGCCCGACCACTCACATCCAACCAACAATGACCATAAGGGGCACAACGAAGGTCGCAATTTGCTAGCAAAGGCGTCAGCACTCTAGCTCTATTCTGCAGGCAACGCAAGATCGACGCACAATCGAACTCCCAACACAAATCCCGATCGAGACCTCCATCTTGCCCTTGAGCGCCATCCAGATAGACGTGACATGCTCCGCAGCGTTAGCCTGTGGATGATCGGTTAGCGATTGTTTTGAATGCGGAGGGGCAGTGCTGCTTCGAAGCGATAGTGCTGCTTCGAAGCGATAGTGCTGCATCCAAGCGATAGTGCCGCATTTGACGAGCAGTGTTGCATGATGCATTAAAGCCACGTAGACTACTCACTACGATAGGGAGCAGGATAAGGCCGATGAATGGCTTGGGGATGTGGTACCGCTCGGCGGTCTCCTCGATGGAGGCGACGACTGGGGGCGCGTTAGCATAGATCGGACAGAATAGCTAACGCATGGAACACTGGCGGCGTCGCACGTACGGTAGTCAGCGCAGAATGCTGTGACGACCGTGGTGAGGAGGAGGCTATTGGATTAGGTGAGTGCCTGGTCGAACGCATCGAGAGGTGAAGGAGACTTACGCAGAAGACGCCGCAACGACGCTCATGGCCGGCTCTTCCTCCTCAACGGTCTCCTCCGCCTCGAAGAGGTGCGCGTGCGACTTGAGCTGAAAGGTACGTGAGTTTGCGTTCCATCATACCGTTGAAGCAATCGACAAGTCGCCAGAGCAATGTCCAACGAATCTCACCTGGAAGTATAGATACGCCACATACACGCCGAGTAGCAAAATCGCCGTCCCGCGCGAGATAATCAAAATCCCGTTCTGGGTCTCGGAGTCTAGGCCGGACTGCGACTTGACGCTGTGGTACGCGGCGGGGATGACGAGGGCTGCGAGGGTAAGGTTAACGACGCGACCCGCAACGTGAATGGGGCGCAGAAGGGCGAATGAGGCGCAGGAGGGTGTCAGGCGCGCGAGGGGTGACATGAAGGCGATGTGGGTAAGGAGAGGTACGTACTAATGCCGGCCAGCGTCATCAACTGGTCATGAAAATGAGCAAAGTTGAGCAGAGAGATGAAAGGGGGAGGCATACCGAGCTTGAACTGTGGGAAGGGGGAGATTAGCGAGGGCAGGCTATGCAAGGGGCAAGGGTAACGTACGCTTGAGCAGCGGTGACCTGGAAGTTGCTTTCGGGCCACTTGAAACCGGCTAAAGAAAAAGATTAGGGGAGGGAGCCGTTGTAAGACGTCCAGTACGTACCAGCAAGGAAGGTACACCCAAGTACGAGGAGAATGTTTGACAAGATGGAACCCAGCATCTGCGGGACGCGTGAACAAGGCAAAAAGGGGGAAGGTCTTTGTGGTCGCGTACGGAAGTTTGAACGATGCGGAGCTCGCCTGCAATACTTGTCAATGAATTCAAAGGTCCTGGGAGCCACAAACGTACCCTGGAGCAGGGCAGCGATGCCGACAATGATCTCAACTGCGTTGCCAAAGGACGCATTCAGCAAGCCGGCCAGGGTCTGCCCCAGCTGCGAGGACATCTGGTCCGTCGCATCCCCCAGCAGCTACACAAGCGCGCGTCAGTCACTACGAAAGGGGGAACCGATAAGCGCGCGCCACGCACCTTCGCCAGCGGAACAATGGCGATGAAGCTGAACACAAAGCGCAGCGCCGCGTCCCAGTTCAGGTGGTGCGAAATGAAGCTCAGGGGGATAAAGATGAGGAGGACGTTGAGCCAGGAGCCCAGGAGGAAGTGCTTGTAGGACGCGATCCACCCGGGCTCGCCCTCGGCCTTGAAGAACGCGGTGGCCTTCTGCGCGAAGGAGCGCGCGGGGGGCGCGGGCTGCTCGCTCCCATTGGGGAGCAGGGGGCTTCGTTCGGACGGCGGGGGCGACATCGAAGGAAAAGGTGGTGGTGGTAGAGAAGAAAGGAGTGACGGAGGTGAGGTCAACGGAGGGTTTAGAATGAAATGGGTAGGCGCTTTGGCTGTGCGCGGTTATGATGTCGCGTTGCACGTGTGCTTTGATGATTGTCGAATTGATGGCCTTGGCGGGCCGATGTTCAACTTCGTCTCAACTTGCAACCCCGGCATTGTTCTGAGGTTTCCGCAGAGAACACTGCAAGCTACAGGCGTGGCTGAATAGATCCAGAAGGTTTTCTGGGACGACAACGTTGCTCAGCTTCCCCGAGGCGCCCGATGACCCCCGTGATATTGTTCTGTTCTTGGAAGCTGTAGAGTTTCTTGCTCGGCGCGCAAATCTATGATGGCTGATTTCAACGAGAATTCGAAGTCACCGGCATTCGAACCTGGTCCTTACTCATGCACGTGGCCAATGCAATGGTCGTTAGTCCGTACTCCTGAAGGCGTCATGATATTCGACATCGCCCCTCTCATAAAAATGACCGTCACGATTCTTTCTGGGGTCCCTCTCAATCGTATTCCCTGATATTGGGTAGCGTGAGCAGCCTGCAAGAGACTATTCGGGAAGGGACCTACATGCACAAACAATGGTCAACAGGTGAGTTTTGTTTCGTGTATATCGGGTTCGCTGAGCCTCTTGAGGCGCAAAAAAGCCACGAGTAGGCATATTAAGAACGCTCCGTATATGTAACATTATACGGAGGGTCTTGACGCGTTATCCGGGCGCAAGGGATCAGCATGAACAAGATCTCGCGGAAATTGCCGGCTATCGAAGGGGGTTCCGCTTCTCAACCCCTTCGTTGTTCAATGAATAGAGGATTCATTTCATTCTGGAGGCGTTACTGCAATAGAGCTCCTGGAAGACAGCGACATCGACTCGAGCCGCCTACCGCCTTCGGACTCGGAGTACCGACTAAGGAGCTCGAACGCACGTGACGTACTAGTCACGGCACCCGACGAAGACAACTTCGGTCTTCGGCATCTGCGAGACTATGAACCTCGCCAACCCGACTAAAGCGGCCGATTTTACGATGAAATAAAACGTCATACAAATCTCATACGCGCTGTTAGGCGACCGCAGCGCTCCTCACAACCCTCTACTCCTATGCCGAGGTACGTGTTCTACACAGCTACCGTACAGCAACTCCGAAATTCCTCCCATCTGTCCGCCTGAACTTGCGCGATCGTTCCGTCAAGCACAACTGAGAAGAGCCTCCTGCATGTGGTAACAAGATCTTTCTGTAACCATAACTCTCCAACCAACCGACTTGCGAGCATGACCAGATCTGGAGATCACGTTCCTCGACGACGAGCGACGAGTTTACAGCGCCGAATTGCCTTTCATCGGTTACCCCTGCCTGACCTAGAGCCGTCGCGCGTGTCACAGACCGTAAGTAAGCGTTCAGCCGTTCACATAGGCAACGAACTGATTCAGGGTCACTTGTAGAGATATATAAGAGCAGTCTTAAGCAACTCTGCTGGCGAGCGCCAGAGTCAAGACGTCGGTATGCTTCGCAGAGACAGTTGACAAATCTCATTGGGTCGTCTGCGACTTAGCCTTGCCAGTGGTCAGTACCTTATTCACAGGGTCTACTCACCTTGACGTTTATCCAGAGGTTCAGCCCGCCCACTTTCCCGTGAGGTCTCGTCAGAACCATGGTATCCACAGGGATAGAGCAGCGAGGATCACGATGGAAGACAGACAAAGACAGGTCTAGACAAATGCTAGGATGCACGCCGGCCACTTCATCGCCCGCAACTCCCCGAAGTCGTTAGCAGCTGAAGAGGCCCGGGGTACTCCTTCCATCCTGCAAAGTCCCTGAGCATCGACAGTCGGCTGGACTCCAGCCAGAACATCGACTCACCAATTTCAGGTTCTTCTTCGCTTCTAACGCGTGCATCCGTTACAATGCTCACGGGACGTATCGCCGACAACACCTACCAATTCGACACACAAAGGACTCAACGCGTGGTCGTGCCAGGCGTCACCGCAGAACAAGGGTTTTCGTTCGCATGCGCTCGCTTGACAGCATCGTTCGCGCAGACGACGTGGGAGAGTCGGCTAGCGAAGTATGCCTGGTCTGACATGTCATGAACTGGATGCGGGCGGTTGGGGAGATTACCCTGCTGGGCATGCTTTTGCGTTCGAAAGCACCGACAAGGAGACTCGAATCGCGAAGTCACGATGCGCCTTAACAACATTCTGGCGATGCAAAAGAAGTCTGCGCCCTTCCAGTCATGTAAGTCAGTGTCTATCAGCATCTCCCCTGCGGCTCTTCGCAAACGGTAAACAAGGTCATTGGTCATTGGTCATCGAAGCAAAACATGAGTGTTACCGTCAGCGCTAACGGTGGCCTGCAGAAGGCCAGTAGGGATAACCCATCCGCAAGGTGGTACTCGACATGTGTGTTTTCCCACCCGTACTGGGTATACGGCTATGGCGGAGGTCATTGACCGAATTTTGGCGTTTAATTTGAGCCCGAGGGTAACAGTAGACTCAATCCCTCACCAACTCGTCCGCATTGCTCTGCAGGACCTCTACGCCTTCCGCTCTATCGAGGTGGGCCGTATCCGCATAGCGCGTTACAACACCGCGTATCTTCCCATCAGCCGCTCTACCGACCTCCACGGTGGTAATGGACGCGTTTAGCGCGCGCTTGTCGGTGGTGATGCCAGGGGCCATAGACGCCCTACCGTTGTTGCTCAGCGTCTTGATCAGGGTGCCGATGAAGCCACCGTGCGATACGAGCAGGACCGCGATAGGTTGGCCATCCCAGCCTTGCGACTTTGCGGGTGCCACAATATGCCGATCCCACCAGGCTAGTGCGCGTTGTCCGAGCTTCTCGTGGCTCTCCAGTAGCGGGTCGTTCGGGGCATATCGTGTTCCGACCGGCTTGCCCTGCAGATCTCCAAGGTGCTGATACCAGAGATCAGCGTAGGACGCTAGGGTACAGTTGTACCTGGCTTACTCTTTCTCTCAGCGCCTTATCTTCAACGAGCTGTACGCTCGGATGGTGTGAAAGGATTGCCTTGGCAGTCTTACTTCCTCTTCAGTACTGCGTATTCATACAGCTATTATGCCATACCTCTCGAGCTCTACTAAGATCGCTGCTGTACGCTTTGTCGAAGGCAACCTCGCGCAACGCGTCCGCCACCAGCTTGGCTTGCTCTTTGCCTGTCTCGTTCAGCTGTGTATCCAATTGGCCTTGCATGATCATCTTCAGATTTTCCTCCGTCTCCCCATGGCGTACGATGTATGCAATAGTCAATGGCGGCATTAAGCAAGGAGGACTTCAACTTGTAGCCCATCGATTGTATCGGGATCCATACTGGTAAATACGCGCACACAAAGCACTTTATGGCCATAGCCAGTCAAGTAAATTTCCTTTTCTAACTGATTGTCGAAGAAAATGTTCCAATTTCGCTTTTCAACGCTTCAAAAGCTTCGTGGACGATCTGAGAGGCTCACAGCTCACGAAAACACCCGAAGTACGCAGCACGTGGCTTAGAACAAAACGTCACACGGCCGTGACAATTGAACCGTCACGAGACCATCCCGCTTAAAAGCCCTGCTGACGGTACGCTCCAACCGCAGCTCAACGCGAGTTAGCTCAGCGCCACCACTAGTAAGTCGGCGCTTGGCATAAAAACACGTCTTCTGACAGAGTCACAGGCCCTCACCCGGTGTACGATGCAAAGCCATGGGCGCGCATCCGCGGTGCACCATCGAGCAGGATCTGCCTACGCTCTCTGAGGCGAAGAAGCCCTTACCGAATCTCGGGAGGGAGCCTACGCCCTTCATGTACCACCCCATTGACCTCGCGCCCCTCCGCGTGCCAGAATATACGGACCAGGATGTGATCACCCCGGTCCACCTCCGCGTCCTCCGCGCCGCAGACGCGAATCATTGGTGGCTCGACTGGCCTGTAGGTGTGCGCCACAACTACCATCGTGCGCGCCGGGGCGACGCGGTGAAGCGCCTGCAGATCGTGCAAGAGCGCGGGCACGCGCATCTCACCAATTGGGGCGCGCTGACGGTCATCGCGAGCGAGCGGTCAACATGCGCGGGGTGGGCGTTTCTGCTGGGCGACCTCACCTTGGCACAGCGTCGGAAGCTGGAGGGCATCGCGGCGGTGGAGCCCGTGTGGGCGCCGGACGGTGAGTGGAACTGTCAGGATTGGGTGGTCAGCGTGATGCGGAAGGCCGTGCACGCGGGCGTAATGGACAATGGGATCGTGGACGACGCGATAGAAGAGGCACTGGCTGTGCCTCCTGCGTGCAGGTTGGCATATTACGGGTAGCTGGGGACTTTGTTGGGCTTGTAAACAGGGCTTTGGGCATCTACGAACATTCATACGTACAGGGCATTCGGTTTGCATACATGGGGAATGGCGACATACATGGGATGGGTGATATACATGGGATATAGCACTGGGATACCCGCAGATACATTCATTGCAATCACAGCGTCGGCACTGCGAGCGCCTGCATGACGGCGTCGTCTACGGCAGCACGATCCAAAAATCCGGCGTCTACAGCTTTCTGCAACACACTGATGGTCCAGTTCTGGCAGTTCCACTCGCCATTCGGCACCAACACTGGCTCTGTGACCGCGATGCGTTCAAGCGCCTGCCTCTGGACAAGGTCCATGATCCCCAGAAGGATCGCACATCCCGGTCCGACCGACTGCAAGTCGTCGGTCGAGATCACCGTGATTCCACCCCAGTTCGTGAGATGTTCGTGGCAGCGCTCCTGCACAACCTGCAGTCGGCGGACGGGGTCGTTGACGCGGGAGACATGGTGACTTTCGCAAGTGCCCACTGGCCATTCGAGCCACCAGTGGTTGGCTAGGTCGTTGCGTAGGACACGAAGGTGGAGGGGAGACACGACATCATGGTCGCTGTACTGAGGGACGCGCAAGGTACCCAGATCAATGGGCTTGTGCATGTGAGGTGGTGGTTCTTGCCCAAAGTTGGAAAGAACACCACTGCCGGACTGTATGGCGGACTCGAGGGAGCAGGTCGGAGGAGCGGCCATATTCTCTAGAGCAGTGTATTAGCGGGATGCGCCTTTGGCGCCAGGGATCACTTACCTTACTAGTGGGCAGCCCGGCGCCTAACAGATGGTGGATAGATGAAAGAATCGAGTCGAGCCAGCCTGGGAAGGATACAACGTGACTCCAGATCGCCAACAAGGCTGGTAAGTTGAGGGCATTATACACGGTAAAAGTACAGTCGAGAGACAGGCAAAGGTGATCTGCGTTCAATTGAGTGATCATCGTTCTACCGAAGCGGCTCTGCCATCCGAGCAAGAGGGTAACGAGCGAGCATACGAGAGGGAACCAATTGCCCTGAAGACGCTGCAATCCAGGTATAAGTAGACGTCTTGCACAAGAAGGATAAAATTACCAAGTCAACATCATGGCGGTAGCGTTAGGCAGTCGCTCTTATGAAGGGTCTGACATGCTATCACGGTGTCACCGCCCACTAGGACGTTATACCGCTCCCTATCAGCGCGGTGATGCGCTGGTCAAAGCCATCGCTTCGTATAGGCATTTCGGGGGTATGGAAGGGATTCTTCATGACCGTGTCGCCGTAGGCTTCGTACGCCTTCTGGAGTATCGAGTCCGCGGAGGTTTCCGCCAGAGACGTTAACAGTACAAATTTAGTGCCTTGTACGAAGGTGAGCAAGGATTCAGAGAACGAGAGCAGAGTAGTAGCGCACCCGTCTGAGTGAGGAATATGTTCATCTTGAACGATTCCCCCTCGATCACTTGCGCGCCCGAGCTCGACCCCATGGGCGACAACCGACTAGTGATAGCGTGTATACCGTGCAAAGTACCAGCCAGCACGAGATACTCGTTTGACGTGAGCTGCGCTAGTCCATCTGGGCAGGGAGCGCGTGTAAGAGTTCGTCGTCGCCCGTGCGCTGCCGTAAGCTAAGAACCTGCGAAGTTCCTCTGGTAAACGAGGCCGCCGGCTTTGTTGATGACCTGGGTGGGCATGAGGAACGTGAGAGAGGAAGAAGCAGGGGATGTACCCAGAGGCCGTAGATGGCCATGGTGGTAGGAAGCGAGAGCGGCGATGCCTTGGCATCAAACGTCTAGGACCACTCTGCTTTTACCGTCACCCACGACGGCGACGACCACCTGATATGCGGTTATGGTCGTCTTCCCCCTGCTGGGGTAATGGTAGATGGCTCGGAGCCTCCTTCGTCACTGTTCTCTCGGCAGGGATCGCGGTGGCGGCAGGCAGCCGTCAGCTCGTCGAACTCACGGCGACTGACATTGAGACCCTCGTCTCCGCTAAGGACCCCCTCAAGCAGATGGACCCATCCGACTCGTCCTCGCATGTGTCCAAGATCCTCATTCCTCGCGTCGGTGAGTAGTACACGTTCAGCAGGTATGCGCCACGTCTCACGCTCAGTGCAGTCGATACTGAGGGCAACACCCAGGTCCGGAAGTACATCGTTGACACCATGAAGGCGTTGAATTGGGAGGTTGAGGAGGACGAGTTCGAGGACGACACACCGATGGGGAGGAAACACTTCACAAACGTGATTGCCACGAAGGATCCGAAGGCCGCGCGACGCGTCGTAGTTGCTGCTCATTTCGACAGCAAATATTTTGAGAATGGGGAGGTGAGTGGGGATCGAGATGAAGACTTGCGTGCGCTGAGTTCATGCAGTTCTTGGGCGCGACGGACTCGGCAGCACCGTGCGCCATGATGCTAGACCTCGCGGAAACTCTGAACCCCATGCTCGACGCACGCGCCGCCCGCTTCGACAATGGCGAAGAGGACGATGATGACGTCGCAGATACGACCTTGCAACTCATATTCTTCGACGGGGAAGAGGCCTTCGTGAGGTGGACAGATACAGACTCCATCTACGGCGCAAGGTATATACCGTCTTCTCGTTTGCTGCCCTACACGCGCTAATTTGTGATCACAGACATCTTGCCGACAAGTGGGAAAGCGAATACATCCAGTCCAACCAGAAACGCCGACTCATGGCACCTCAATCAACCGAGCTCTCCACGATTGAGAACTTCATACTGCTCGACCTTCTGGGCGCCCCTAACCCAAGCATGCGGTCCTTCTTCTTGGACACCGCATGGCTCTACGACGAGTTCATCTACGCAGAAAAGCGTCTAGGCGAGAGCGGCGCGTTGGCGTACGACGATGAGCAGGACATGGCGCCGGGGCAGTGGCGCAGCTGGTTCGCGCCGCGCTCGGAGCACCAGAAGAATATGGGAGGCATGGGGGACGATCATGTACCGTTCCTCGCGCGAGGTGTCAGCATCCTGCATCTCATACCATTGCCGTTCCCCGGCGTATGGCATAAACTATCGGTGCGTCTCAAATTTCACCACAGCGACTTAGCTGACGATACGTTCAGGACGATGCATCCGCTCTGCATCTCCCAACCATGCGACGATGGAACCTCATCCTGCGCGTCGTCATGTCGGAATACCTCAATCTTCGCCCATCAGACCTCGTCGCTCGGGACGGAGGATCGTTCGTCAGGTCGAACGCGGAGCTCGTGCGTAGTCTACCTCCGGACTTGTATCAGAACTCGAGCATGTTTGTTAGTAGGGCTGAAGTGTACGCATCGTGACGAGGGCGGGCGGACAACTGGAAAAGGACTTTGGCGGGATGTACGCTACCGTGTCGCAATGCTATTATTTAACGACAGCCAGCTCGTTACTATGCTCTCTCCGTCACCGGCTTGTGTGGAACGGCCGAATTTGAGGTGCGTCTGGCTTTTCTACATTACATGGAGACGCTACTACGCAGGTACTCGACGATCTTTCGTATTGTTTAGTCCCGCTCGCGCTTGCTCAGCCTGAACAACATGTCGAACACTCCCTTGGGATCTTGTCGTACCGCGGAATGGAAATGCTGGTTGGTGATCCATTGCTCAACATTTGGCACGGCCGCAACAACTTCCTGCACGAGGTCGAAAGGCACATACCTGTCAGAGCAAAGGTCAGTACAGTAAGAAAGCGAGCAAATCCACCACTGACATGTCCGTGAAGTAGCTACGCCATGCAGATCGTCAGTCAAGGCCACAAGGACGCAACTTTTGATACGCACGTCGCCGAGGTCACCTTGACTTTATTCTTTGAAAGACGCTCACGATCATAGAGCGCTGGCCAGTCCGCTTTCTCTGCGAGGAGATGCGCAGCGCCCTTTAGTGGACGCAGGTTCACGAAGTCGTCCAACATTTCCGGGAAGATCTATCGGAAGTGAAGAACCTGGCGCACGTCTCTCAGTTGGAAGCGCGCTCTTACCATTTCACCCGTGAAGTACACCGGCTGGTCTTCCTTGTCCTTCTGCTCGGCCCACAGGAATTGCGGCTTGTTCTTCAGAACGCGCGAGGCTGCCCACTGCGCGGGTTTCCTGCAAATATCCAGTCAGGTCTGCAAGATCTCCGCTGGCGCGACTTACCCTGAGCAATATATGGGCTCGTGCAAGATGAAGTAAATTGGGTTCTGGTCGAATGAGTGGCCCGCTTCGACGCGGCTTAAAAGGTGATAGGTGAGTATGCCATGGATTTCGAGGTCATTCGTCGCTCTCAGCACCAGTTCTACAGCCATTGAGGAAATTGCCGGATTACAGCGGATGACGCTCACGATGGATAGTGTCGATGCCATCTGTAGGACGTCAGAAATTTTTGAACAAACCTGCTCGTAAGCGCAACTAACTCTTCGCTCCAAAAGCTATGCCCAGGGCCTGGAAGCGCTGGACAGATAGCCTCCCGCCGCTGGGAAGTGTGATGTTGTTCGCCTCCAGGTAACGCAGGATCTGCCGTACCTGTGCCCTCTTCAGATATGCTAATCTCAGTGATTTTCAGCGGCCATGCTTACCCTCTTAATATCTTGCGGATACTTCTCGTAGTAAATCTTGTTCCTCTCGGCGACCTGCTCTGGAGCGGAGTCAGCTCATGCATCACAGTCAGAATTTCCCACCCAACTGGCAGTCGCCTCATAATTGGCGACAGGATCGTCGAGCAGCAGGGGCGGTATACCTCCCGTAGTGAAAACCTCCTTCAGGCTATCCGGGAAGAACGAAAGGTATGTGAATGCGCAGAATCCGCCGAAGCTTTGACCGAGTATCGTCCATTTGCGTTGCTCCGGATCGTCCTTGTGTCCGATGAGAGCCTCGCGGATGGCTTCGCAGTCGCGAACTGATGCGGTTCCTCAGTGCTCGTGGCGAAGAAGTGGAAGAGACGGACGCACCTATATTGTCTGCGCGGAAGTGCTTGCAATACTCTGCAATCTCCTTGTCGCTTTTCCCTTGCAGAACCTCTGCAGACAGCGGCGTGCTCAAGCCAGTCCCGCGCTGGTCCAACCAGAGCGTCTACCTAGAGTGTGAATAATCGATGGAACGGTAAGTGTTTTGACCTCTGACCTGATAGCCGCGGCTATGGAGCTGTATAGATATCGTCAGCAATTGAGGGTGTACTTCCGCCGTACATACCTCCGACGCCATCCCAGACACGGTAAGCACATCGCATTCGAACCCAGGACCTCCTTGGAGGTAGACCACTGCATAGGCTGTTCGAGCAGACGATAGGTACCGATGCAGTGTACGTACAGTAAGGGAGCGCAGCTTGCTCCTCCGGAGTCTTTGCTTGGTCAATTGAGAACAAGTTCCGCGCGAATACTCGTATCTTCAATCCCTCCGGATTCCCATAATCAAGTGGCAAGGTGAAGAATCGCTCAATGACCTTCAACCCATCTGGCGTACGTATCTATCAGATCGCTATAATTAACCTCGGAAGTCAGTAGACCCACCAGTGATGATGTACGATTCGGCGTCCTCATCACGTAGGGGGTAGAAAGCAGCGGGAGGCATGGTGGGTGGAATGCGAATGAGAAGAGCGTTATCTGCATAGGGCGGCCTTCTCGCCGTTATATATATCGTGGCGCATGCCACAACGGTCCGAAGGAGACCGCGCCTCTAACTGAAATCGGCGCGCATGGTCGACGATGGTCCGAGTGGTATCCGGGCTGGCGAAGGTGAAGGTCGGACGTTATCATACTAAGAGAGCGAACTGATGACTGCGATTCAAGTCAGCGCATACAGCTACGTACACAAGCCATTATACAAGTACAATGAACGGACAACCGGGCGAGTCCTTGTCCTACGCGTGTCCGAATGTACCGTACATGTCCTAGTGTTGCACTTATCCAAGCAACGGGGCGCGCAAACAAACTGTAGTAGCGAGTAGAACGAGCAAGACAACACAAATATGGTGTACGTAGTCAGCGCACGCACGCGAGAAATAGGATGGTGGAGAACAAATATTCAGGAGGCGGGGAAGGGGACAGATAGTGATAGCATAGATGAAGGGAACACAGCGTAAGGAAAGAGGGGGTCGGCGTTACATCGACGAGGGGCGATGCAAGTACAAGATCGTAACGTATTATTCCACAATTCTGCTGCATTAGACGAAGCGTGCGGGGGTCTAGACGGCGGGGGAGAAGATAAACAGATATGAGCTTGAACTTGCATACAATTGGCGGTCGGCAGTACACTTCTTGGACTTCGATTGCCTTTCTTCTTCTTTGACTTCGACGAGGCGAGGGCGCTCAGAACGTCGGCATACCCATGAAGTTCTGTCCGCCACCCTGCGGCCCAGGACTCGGGTTGCGCATGACGCTCTGCTGCATGGCTTGGTTCTGCGGCATGCCGAACTGCGGGGAGCCAAGGCCCATGCCGTTCATGCCCATGCCCATGTTGTTCATCTGCTGCATTTGCATCTGCATCTGCAGCATTGGGTTCATCGCGGGCAGTTGGTAGGGGCTCTGCATGAATAGGTTCGGCGAGGCTTGCTGCTGGGCAAGATTCGGTGACGTGCTTCCGAGCTGAGGGCTGGCGAGCTGCGCGGGCGTGGCGATGGGCGAGACGGCAGCGCTGCCCTGCGTCGAGTTGTTGTTGCTCTGCTGGGCCTGAATTTTCTGCATCGACTGCAGCTCGTAGAAGGCGAAGTCCTGCAGCAGAGATGTCCGTGCGGGATGCGTAGCGAAAATACGCAGCATCTCAAGACCCGCATCGGACAACAGCTCTTGCGTATCGCGCGAGTTGGTCACGGGCTTACGCTCCTGCGTGTTGCTACAACGAACGTCAGCGTCCATGATGAAACAAGGCAGGTAGGTCATACTTGAGCTTGATGTGGCGCAGGCTGACGTTCGGAATATCGCGAACGAAGATCCAGCGGACCTTGAACACGCCCTTCCACTTGTCCGAAGCCCAGACAGTGCTGCTTCGCGTGTAGTCCACCGGCGTCAGCATCTCGGCCATACCGCAGAAGTGACCGCTGCCAACTGCATTAATTGCCTGACAGACGAAACACGATGTTTGCATACCTAGCGTTAACACTAAAGAACAGGTAGATGGGCCCGCGGCCAGCCGTCTCCTTGAAAGCCTTGTCCAAGCGCTTATTGCCCGGATCAGTCGAGCTCCAAATCTCGTACTTGAGTGACTTGTGGACATCATCCTCGGTATAGGACTTGATGACGAAGTACCGCGCCTATGAAATGTGAGCTAACATTTACCTAACAGTGACTTAAGAGCAACGCACAAATTGAGGCCGGATGTCGAAGTTGGACGGATTGTAGCCCTTGGCAGCGATAAGCGAGGGAACATCGATGGGCGCATTAACGAAGCCCTGCAGGGACGGCGCCGGTCCGGGCTGGCCGCCAACTGGCGAGGTCGCACCACCAGTGTTATTCATCCCGAGACGAGGCTGGCCACCCGTGTTGTTCTGCTGCAAATACTGAGCAGGAATGGGCGGCACGCTCGGGATGTCGTTGCTCTTGAACTGCAGGTTCGGGTTCGACCGCCTTGGCGTGATGCTGCGCTCGCGTGGTTGCTGCTCCCAACCCTGGCCGCCGTAGTTGCCAGAGCCCGTCGGCGTCTTGCGACCGTTGAAGTCACTGCCGTGGCCCCTACCGTTGCCTGGGATGGGGTTGCGCATGCCGGGCTGCTGCTGGGGCGGCGGGTGCGCAGGGTTGAAGCGGGGCGGATGGACGCTCTGGCCGGCACCCTGGAAGGCGTTGCCACCCTGGGCGTAGCTGTTGTTGCTGATCTCGAGTGCTGAGAGCGCGCGCTGAACATCGTCGATAGCTCCGCTGCCAGTAGACGAAATGGAGCCGCCCGGAGTGCGCCATTCGTTGTTCCCATTGTTTCCCCAGGGCGAGGAGCGGCCGATGGGGCTCATGGGACCATATGGTTTGTACTCTTCGTCGTAAATTCCTGGTTCTTCCGCGGCGTACGCATACTCTTCCTCGGGCTCCTGACTTTCCGGCGCAGAAGGCGTCTGCGGGGCCGCCGCACCATGCGGGAGGGGAGTCTGCAGCGTGCCTGAGCGCTTGAGGCCGGTAAGGGGCTGCTGCTTGTTGCGCTGCACCCCGTACGTCATGGACTGATGGCGTCGCACACCGGACGCAGCGGGGGGAGGAGAGGGCACCTGTGGTGGGTTGCCGTACGCGGTGGGCGACAAGGGCGAGCCCGCAGCCTGCGGATCCTCCTGCGGCTGCTCCTGCGCGAGCTTCTAGGTTCAAGTCAGGAGCTGCTTCACTCTATGGCGGGAGGGGCAATCACCTCATCATCGTGCGCGTTATACGCCCCGATCGCGCGCTGGAGTTCCCAGTCTTCCTCGTCGCCTTCGTGACCCGCGATGGCCGACAGACTGTTCAGCTTGCTAGGGGTCATCGTGCCCGACTTGGGGGCCTTGCCTTGGAAAGCTGCAGTAATGATGAGCCTCACGCATAATTGTGACCGACCTTGACCAGCCCACGATCCTCGATCGACGAGGGCTAGACAATAGGAAGGGTATCAAGACGCTTGCTCACCACGATGGTAACGAGTAGGGAGCGACGCCTGCCTGTGCAGGGAGCTCTTCTCGCCGACAGCACCAACGCCACCGACCCAGCCCTCGCCCACGACTTCGTCTTCGTTCCAGTTCTCTCCTTCCTCATACTCCGAGATCGTGTCCTTCGCACCCGCCCTCGCCGCCCGCGACGATGAGGAGATCGTGTGATGTCGCCTGACGCCGCCCGATGCAGGCGGCGACGACGGGGAGCCGGGCACCGCGTTGTTCGACATCAGATGGTGCGCTTAGGAGAGGTTCGTGTAGCTGAGGGTTGGCAATGATCCGGGGCTCAGCTTTGCATGAAAGGAGGAAGCGTGCTCGTCGTCGCTGTCGACAGCGACAAAGGTGAGAAATCCAGAACGGAAAGAGGAGAAGAAAACGTTTCGGTCGGGATCGTGCGTGGGAGTTCCCGAGATCGCATCAACCGTTGCCTCCAGCTGGCATGCCAGTTGCCCCGATATTCTTCCCCTTTTCTCGATTGGAATACGCAGAAATCTCTACAGAAGCTGGTACTCAAGAGTCTCATCTAGCTGTGCTGTGTTTTCTGCAGAGAGATGCCCCTTTCCGAGACACTGACAAGGCCTTACACTCGTGTATGATTACCATCGATGCAGGTCTCGACACAAATGAACATCGCGGCCTGGCCCTCTCTTGTTGACGACCGAGCCACTTCCTCGCAGTGGATGAGGTGTACCAACGATACCCGATGGGCGACAGCGGTGGTCGGTCGGCAAGCACGCTTGACTGCAAGCATCGCGCCGTAACAGCCTTCTGAATGCATAATTTCCCTCTAATAACGACAGGCGTGTGTGAGTGATATAACGACAGCAATATGCGATGGGTACATGCGGGGAAGCATAGTCCCCGAGGACGAGGGTATAATGGCAGACGTACGACAAATGAGCCGAGTTCGAGCCAACTAGCTCAGTATAGGCCGCGGTTTTGTCCTCGGCGGAGGTGGAGGGGGACGCAGACGCGTGCCGGACGAGAGCGTCGACTTGCGCATTTGCGCTCTTCGCAACTCCTCGTCGATGCGCCACATCCCCCTCACGAACGCATCTCGATCTAGCGAACCTCTTTGAATGGCATCGACCTCATTCCTGCTCACAGAGTAAGCGCCCCATGTCGAACATGACAATGAAAAGTCCACGTACCATATCTGCGCGAGCTTGTGCTTCTCCAACCTTGACCGCTGCCATATGAGGCGCACGACACGACCATCCAGCCTGTCCTCGTCCGTGACCGCCTGATCCACCTCTATATCGTTACTGTCGTTCAACGGATGGCCGTCCTCCCCCGTGATCAAGTCGACGGACAGTCCGCGCCACCCTGCTGCCTGCCTGGTCTTCCGAGCTGCGGATGGACTCAATAGCGTAGGCTTCTTCTGCGCAGCCTTCCTGCTTTGTACGACGTTCCCATTGAACACGGTTTCATACCGCGCGCGCGCTGCCGGCGGCACCGGCGTCGGCCGCGAGAGCACAAGTTTGGATGGCCCGGCACTGCGGTTATTGTGCGTAGAGCTGGAGGTCTGAGAGGTCGCAGTGCTGAGGATAGAGGAGCGATCGGAGGTAGAGGAACGGGAGGGGGGTGCAGGTGGAGGAGCTCTGCGGCCGATAGCGGTCACAACGCTGGAAGTGGACGCGGGGGAGATCACATAGGGCGAGGATGGGCTAGAAGTAGACGGTGACGTCGAGGCTGACGATCGTACCGGGGGAGGAGACGGCATCTTGAGAGATGGCAGGCGTGGGGTGGACGCAGAAGCGGCTGCAGCAGCTGCAGCAGCGGCACTGGCAGCCGCCGAAGGGCGCTGGGGTAGCTTTGGAGGAGCCGATTTCTGCATGGCACGCGCTTTATCCCAGTCGCGCGCAATCAGAGCGGCGGACGTGGGGCTGCCGTACGATGAAGCAGCAACGTCCTCGAACGACTCGCCTCCAAGGCTCGCGGAGTCCGCCTCGCTGCCGGCTAGATCGACGGGGTACGTCGCGATGTACTGCGAGGAGCTGCTGGGGCTGGGCGACGAGGCGAGGTCGGTGTCCTCGGAGAGAGAGACGGAGTGGAAGGAGGAGACAGACGAGGTGGGCGCGTGTCCTGAGCTCTTTTGCGGGACATCGAGCTTGCCGGGGGGATATGTGTGCTCCGCGGGCGCGCCCTGTGCGGGTTTTGCGGACGAGACCGAGGAGACTGATTTGAGAGATGCGAAGGAGGGTTTGCGTGGAGGGAGAGGGGGCGCCTTCCCGTTCGTCGTGCTCGTCGGGGACTCGAGGTTGATGAGGAGACCAGATTTTGGTGGCGCCTTCTTTGGCTCGTAAACTTTGTACGTCTGCGCCGGCGATGGTGAAGGGAGTCCGTCGTCTAGGACCCAGTCTTTCAGGTCTAAGAGGGACGCTTTCCTGTCTACACCTAGTGGCGAGCCCGACTGTGACCTCGGTATTTCAGAAAGCATCCCATTCAAGTTGGGCTTCGCGGGTACTTGAGGCCGAGCGGGCGACTTTGAGATGTTTTCAAACGCATTTATGCGCGACTGAAGGGAAGTTGAGGGCATCCAGATGTGAGCTCGTCGGGATCAAGAACAATGGGTGTCCAAGCGCGATGTCGTGCGCGCCGATGACGGCGACACCACGCTTGGACATCCCATTGTTCTTCTTGCCACCATGTCCGACCTCTACGCCGTCGCCGTCAGCCACAAAGCTCTCCCCTCCAATCATACTGTACTGATATATGCCAGGACTTCTGTCTCATTCCCATGGGAATCGGCGAACCTTCGGTGCGTCGACCAACTATGTAGCTCGCCCAATCGTATTCACATCTTCCTCAGGTAGCAAAGTATATCGCAGAGTGCCAGCGTGTCTTAGAGAAGGCTGGAGTCCACTACAAGGTATGTATAACGTCGATGATACCTCGGTCTTCCTCACTCGTCTACAGATGCAGTAAGCTTGTTATGTCCTTTCTCACCATCAGCTCTGTAAAGCATGATCACTAGTGGCTATGGTACCAACATAGGTATGAGACCCCTTCTCTGGACTGGCAATAATCACCGATTTCCGAGTAGAGGGCCCCTGGTCTGCAGTCATGCAGGCTATCCACGACTGTCATGCTGCAGTCCACGCCAAGGGCGCGCCGCGCATCGCGACTGACATCCGCATCGGCACCCGGACGGACAAGGAAACCGTCCCCGGTACGGGTAACGAAGGAAAGGTCAAGCGCGTCGAGGACATCCTCGCTCAAGACAAAGCATAGGGATCATAATCCGAATGTGCGTGTTCTGCCCTTCGTCTTTCTACGCTAATCTGCTGTCTTTAGGTTATTCGTATCTAACAGGGAATATAGACCATGTACCATGTACACTACTTATGTAGCGCCACTTCGACGGTCCTGCTTTCATTTCTTCGGTGTTGTAGGTCCTCCCTCGGAGATCTCCGGATTCGGCCGCGGCATCATGTTGAAGAAGTCCAACAATATCTCTCGGCTGCATATCTCGGTCTGCATATCACAGCGATCTTCGGTCCTGTCGGGCTGTCGTGCTTCTCGTACCCCGTCGGCGCATGTCATTGCTATCAGCACACTCGTCCAGAGATATCTTTCGGAGCGCAGCTCCCGCCTTTGCCCCGCCCAACCTCCCACGCGCCTGGAATCAGGCCCATCCCTCGTCCTCCCCGATACCAGGCGTCAAACAAGAATCCGAGCCCGCGTTATCAGCTTTTCCACGGACAACACCCCTCTGTGCCTCCATTCAGCGGCATCACGAGCAGGTCACTCCTGCGATGGCGTATTCTATACGCGTGCGCGAGATAAGCGCTGCTCCGCACGCCCGTGTACTATATATCTGGCTGGCATCACGGAGGTTGAGCGCTTCTGGCGGTCACAGATCCCCCTCGCCTCTTGCCTTAGCGCATCATCGTCGCGATGAGCAGTTCAAGCCCGTACGACGACACGAAAAGCCTGTCGACTAGCGAGAAGAAGGACGACCACCATGTGGAGGTCTCCGTCGCGCAGGTCGACACTGCGGCTGCGCTCGTCGCGGGGTCAGAGCACCCACTCGATCCAGCTGAGGCGGCAAGGATTCGGTACGCCTGCCCTCACTCTGCGGCAGCGCAAACAGCTGAGCGTGATCTTCAGCAAGAAAATTGACGTGCATATCCTTCCCCTCATGATGGGTACGTCTGTCCCCTGGCCTTATACTCTAAGTGCTAACGATATCTGCAGTTCTGTACTGGTACGCCACCGTCGCAGGGGCCTAAAGCATCGAGCTCATTACGTTCCTTTGTAGGGTCCAATTCATGGACAAGACGACGCTTGGTAGCTCCGCTATACTCGGTATCCGCGAGGATGCCCACCTTTCCACCAGCCAGTACGCCTAACTCCCGTTTGCTCCCGTTCGCCACCCGCTGACTTCTCTGCTAGATATAATTGGTACGCTTTCACTCACACTCAGTCCCGTGATGATCGGGGCTGAACCGTTCAATCAGGCTGGGGACGATATTCTACCTGAGCTACCTAGTCTTTGAGTTCCCGCAGAACTTGTGCCTGCAGCGCTTCCCTGTCGGAAAGTGGATGAGGTGAACTTCGAACCCATCGTCCTGTCCGGAGACTCACCTCGCCCCCAGCATCAACATCTTCGTGTGGGCCATCGCCATCTGCTGCCATGCGGCTTGCAAGAACTTCGCCGGCCTCTTCGTCGTCCGCATCCTGCTCGGAATGTGTGAAGGTGCGGGTCCTGCGTTTGCGCTGTTGATGGTGGGACTGACGAGGTGGACTTGTGAATAGGTTCAATTACCGCGGGGTTTATGATTGTATGCTGGGTCTATCATTGTCTTTCGTATTGAGATACTGATGCATCTAGGTCACGTCCATGTTCTACACTCGCGAGGAGCAGACATTGCGCGTCGGGTACTGGTGTACGTCAGATATTCTTTGTTACTCCGGAGCTGGTCCTGACAGCATGTGTAGTCCTGATGAACGGTACCGCGCAGATTATCAGCGGCTTCATCGCGTTCGGCAGTCTTCATATCCAAACGCACGGCTTCGCACCGTGGCAATGGTGCGTCTACCTCGCTACTGCTCCCTCTGTACGCCTTCTCACAGCCTTCAAAGGCTCATGATCATCACGGGTATCATCACCCTGATTACAGCAGTGTCCTTCTGGTGCGCATATTCACTTGTATAGAGCGTGTAACCGTGCTCTAACCCGTCGTAGGTTCTTGTTCCCAGACTCGCCGACTACGGCATGGTTCTTGACCCAGCAGGAACGCGCGAACGCAGTCCTCCGTATCAAGGTAAGTTGCGCCTCGGTGTTGTCGGTGTTGAGACGGTAGCTAATGCAATTCCTTTAGGACAACCAAACCGGTGTCGAGAACAAACACTTCAAGAAGGAGCAGTACGTATTCTCATTGAGCCTACCCGTCTGCAGCTCATTGCTATTGCGACGTAGGTTGATTGAGGCCCTTACCGACCCGAAGACGTGGCTCTTCGCGCTGCTCGCCGCGATGAACAACATTCCCAACTCGCTCACGAATCAGCGGTCGATCATCGTGGCCTCGTTTGGGTTCACGACCTTGCAGACTACACTTCTAGGCTGTAAGTTTTGAGCGGACTTGGTCACGGAGAATTAGGCTGATCATTGTCTTCCAGGTGTCGATGGCCTCGTCGAAATAGGTTAGTTGATCATCACGCACATCGCGTCAAGCTTGCTGACCGTGGCCACAGTCACGATCTGGACGGGTGTGACCATCGCAGCCAAGATTCCGAATAGTAGAGCCTACGTCGGGAGCATATACCTGATCCCGAATATCCTCGGTGTCTTCCTCATCAACTTTCTTCCCTGGAGCAATAAGGTCGGCCTCTTGTTCTCCGTCTGGATCACTGGTGTCGGCACTACTGGGTTCGGTGCGTATGCTTGCCAAATCATCATCTTAAACGATATTCATGGCAGCCTAGTCCTTGCCCTTGGCTGGATTGGCGCGGTGACGGCCGGTCACACCAAGAAGGTGACAACGAATGCTATGGTGCTGTCCGCGTACTGCATCGGCAATGCCGCGGGACCTTTCATGTGGGAGGAGAGGTACAAGCCTCGGTATGTTCGCTCGGTCTCCCGTACTGTGTTCGTTCTTACCGATCGTGTGTAGCAACCACATCCCATGGATCATCATTGGCATCTGCTACGCCTGCTGCATCGTGATCATGCTCTCCATCCGCCTACTGTTGTCGCGCGAGAACAAGCGTCGCGACCTTGAGCCGCGGGACACAACTTACGACGATGTCTACATCGAGCGCGTCATTGACGGGAAGGTCATGCAGGTCAAGGTTGAGAAGGTGCGGGATTCCATATTACTTCTCGTCGCTGTTGAACTTACGTTGTCCTTCAGGAATTCCTCGACCTCACAGACAAGCAGAACAGGGAGTATAGATATGTTTTGTAAACCGCATTCGGCAATTGTAAAGGTAGATGGGAGATGATAACGATCATGCATCTCGATCACGTGGCCTCGCTTCGCCGACGCGACTATCAGGGTGTCATATCTTCAGCCACAGGATTGCATTCTTGTTGTCTTCTCGGGCGCGCCATGGGTTCCGAAGCACCTCGCGGTACCGAAGCCGATGCTTAAGTTTCCCTCTCATGCAGACGCCGTGGGAGCACCTGTGGGCGAGTGGATAAGGCTGGAGGGCAATACAGCTCAAGGAGGCGCATGCGCATCGGCAATGAGCTGGCACCCACGATTCAACCTTATTCGTGACGTGACGTGCTCATCACGATTGTCGCCAGCAAGATGGAACAACAGCGACCCTGCACAACAGCCCCGAAGGAGGACAAGAAGGGAGGCCGATCAATGATTCGACACGCCGCATGTTTGCATACGCATTGAGGCGCTGATGCTTTCACCCGCGCGCAGACGTATATAAAGGTTGAGCGCGCTTCTGCTACGCACGCCCCTCCCCTATCCTTGTTGCCCCGCCGCTTGACCCAGCATGTCCCCCGCCAAGGCTTGCTGCAGCGCTGACTCCGAGATTACGGTGTTGTTTGTGCGGGTAAGTATACTCGCTTTTACTTCCTGAGATGCGTACTGACACCTCAAGCCAGTCAAAAAAGCGGTGGCAACCGACCGACTTCATTCACCAGGTCTGCAAGGCGAGCGACCTCAAGTACCTACGCCATGCAGACGTCAACTTGCGCGATGCCCAGTCGCCTCGGAGTGAGTTCGCGTTTGATGCAAGCGCGCCTACCTCCGCTTACTCTCTCCACTCTACCGTAGAGATCAAGTGTTACACGGAGTACACAGCCCTCCCACGCATCCAGCGTCTGCTCCCGCAACTAGAGCAGGGTGAATTCCATGCGCTTGTCTTCGAGGGCGTCGCGGCGGTCGATTACTGCCAGGATCTATGCGATGAGCCGCCTTCACGGCTATGCGAACGCTACGACTTCCTCGGCTCTAGTCCCTCTGAGTTTGATGCGCTGGAGGATATCTTCATGTGAGTGGGGGGAACTCTGATAGTCATGTTCGCCTTGCTTATGAATCTGAATAGCTTCTTCAACTCGGTGGTTTCCCAGCCGGATTGTCCTCTGTGGATCCTTAAGTTATATTGCAAGCACCGGCCAGAGGACCTACCTCCGTCGCGTCGTACAACGGAGCTGAAGTAGTGAGTTGAATCGACTTCGCTGTTCGTGTGCTTATTCTGATCTTATGCTTCAGTGGCATGCGTGAACATGAGCTTCTCTCGACCATGCCATCGCTCGGCTATCGTCCCAACAAGCGTGGCTCTCTGCAGCGGGCGTCCTCGTACAAGCGCAAAAGCATGATGATGCTCGGGACAATCAGCGGCCTCTTGACCAAGCGCCGAAGCACCATAGTCGAAATCGAGCCTCCGAGTCCCGTATCGGAAGGTGACTATTGCGACTGAGCCGATGCTTCCCCCCCAATTTTCCGTCTCCCCCTCCTCGATCCTTCCCGGATTTGGTTCTGTACTCCCCGCATGTGTATCATTATCACTCGCCTTGCCTCGTATTGCCTCCCATGAACGGATGGAATACCCCTGCCACTCTTTACACTGCCTATTTATTTGTACCGCTAGAAGTTCGCTTGCGGGCTTCTGTAGATAGATGTACTGCATTGATCAGTACCTAGTAGTTAGACCTCCTTCGCGACGACCTATATCCTCGATGACAGTCATGTTGCTTCCCTGCCTCTTGTCCGATCTTCAGAGCGTCAACCGATCTAGGATCTCCCAACTCTCCACCGGACCATCACACTTGGCGATCCAGATCTCCTTCACATCGAACCCATCGACCCATCCCCCATCTTCCCCACACTGTATACCTACCCTATCTCCCTCCTCCCGTATCACGCCCTCATCCTTCAGCGCCTGCAGGTAGGCCTCCCGCTCCTCCGCGTCCTCATCCACAATATACGCCAACGACACATGGGGGTACTTGGGCGTGCGCGGGGGCAGGTCGAGCGCGTCGTGCACCCGCTTGTGCAGCTCGAGCAGCTCCGCGGTGGACTTGATCGCTGTATACACGGAGCGGAAGAAGTGGTCGCCGACCTCGATCGAGGCGAAGGTGGCGCGGGTGGGTGGGGTGTCCTTTGGGATCGCCGTGCGAAGCCGCTCAAGAGGGATGGAGGTGTTGGGTCCGAGGGCAGCGAGGGTGATGTGGGGTGTGAAGTGAGGGTAGGTAGAGGGGTTGAGCGGGCGCTTAGAGGGTGGGCGGATGGTCATGATGCGTTTCTCGAGCGCCTCACGAATGGGCTTGGGTGGGACAATCCAGATCGTTACGCCTGAGAGTGATGAGACATACGGCACTGCGAGGTAAGCACAACGCACCCATGATGACGGTGGAGGAAGAGGTGCTTGGGGGACGAACGTTGTTCACGACTTGCTGAATATATGCGCTCTTGCCACCGGTTCGTGCGTGCATGATTGCACTTCTTGCTCATACGTATACGCTGTTATACACTGATATATACAGTTACTTCTACACAGTACCTACTAAAGGTCAAGCAAGCAGGAGGAAAAGATTCTGTACGTGAATACATAGTCCTGAGAGGGGATCCAAGGTGTGAAGAGATGGGGTTTCATGACTGCGCGTCAAGGTCTACAACCGCTGAGGGTACATGCGAAAAAGCATTCAAGCATCTCCGTGCGACGTATTCAAGCTGATCCAGCTGTGGTCGACGCTCGACGCATCGCCAGTATTGTTGCTCTCCACATCCGCGTCCGAGCCTGTTTCCGACCGCTCGTTGCCGCTGCTCTCGTCGTTCTCGCTCGTCGTCTGTTTGTGTGCGCCAGCCGCCGGTGCGGCGGGCAGCGGAAGTTCCTCCACGTTGGATGGCGGGATGACGAAGGGTTGCGCAGGGAGGAGTGCGTTGCGGACGGCGATGAGGTAGTAGGGGAAGTTGAGGAGTGTGTCTAGGAGGCTTGTGGGAAGGTGGGAGGCGAGACGGTATGTCGTGGCTAAACGCAGAGTCAGCAAAAGGCTTAGCACAAAAGAAACTGGGTGCTCACATCCTGCGCCTATGGAGAACTGGTCTCCCCGGTACCAGTTGAGCAAGTAGCCAAGCCCAATGTTGAACCCGAATACTGTGGGCCCATAACGTCCGCCAGTGACAGCACCAACGACGCGCTCGACAAGCGCAGCTACATCAGAGGGCTTGCGCCTCATGCGGACCGCCGCCGCAGTGGAGTGCGATAGCCCAATGAACCCAGGGCCGTAAACCAGCTTCTCCGACGCTGTCCAGGCCTCCAGCGTTTTGTACGTCTCTGCTGGAGATGGCTCTACCTCAGCCAACGCCCCTACATCGAATTGCCCCACTTCCGCCGTTACGACGCGGATGTTCGCCATCGCATCCGCCTTGCCAGTGAGCGCCGCGATGCGCACCTCCCGTCTCAGGATATCGACCGCGCGGTGCGTGCTTGACACGATCAAGCCCTGCACAGACGAGAAAGGCAGGCCTACGCGCGCGTCGATAGCAGGCAGACAGACAACAATAGACTTCTTCGTCCGCGAGGACGGACCGTCACGCATGAGCGGCAGGAGGGCCTGGATAATCTCGAGGGGGACCATCTGAGCAGCACTTAGGCGCTGGAGGTACTCGCCGCGAAGGTCGACATGCTCCAAGGGTGCGTGGATGGGGGAGGCAGGGATGGTGAGCAGGGAGATGACGGATTGAACGTAGGGCTGGGAGGTGCTGCGGGCGAAGGGATCGCCGTGAGCGGTGATGGGGAAGCGACGGGTGAGAGTAGAGGAGAGAGAACGCAGGAATACTGGGACGGTCGCGGGCTGGAATAATAGTTAGCGACGAAACTGCGAAGATAGATATGCACGCACGTCTGAAGGATCCAGCACTAATCCGCGCACGTAGCCAGCGTACTTGCGAGTGAGCGCGTCCGCTGCTTCAGCAGTAGATGTGCTGGCAATGACGATGAAGTTCTTGCTGTTCAGCTCCTGCACGAGTGGCTGGCCGTATGGCGTGTCCGCGCCAAGCACAACTGAATTTGTGGTCAATATATGGCACCTCTCCAGAAACACGCTCTACACGCACCAACGACCTGTCGCCTCTCCTGCGTCTCTTCCCTTCTCCTCGCCGCCCTCAACGACCTCGCATACGCTGGCCCATATCCCACAATCAAACCACCAGCCGCAACCGCCACCACGGCGCCTGCGGCCCCATACGGGTGCTTCTCTACCCATCCCACCGCCCTCTCCGACCAGGCAGGCGGAGGTGGGGGTGGCGGAGGCGGCGCAGGAACCTCAAAGTCCCCCAGCCCCGGCACCCTCACATTCTTGGGCAATTGCGGCCCGTACCGCGACACGTCCTGCCAAAGCCGGTCGAGCGCATCGCGCACATCGGGGAGATCGCTCCACGCGCTGTGCAGCTTAACCTCGACGTACTGCAGATATTCTTCGACTTTGTCGAGGGAGTCCATGGTGGGGGGAAGAAGCAAGGGAGCGCTGCAAATGGAGGGAGGAGGATAAGGACGGAGGTGAGGGATGTAAGCGGCGTGATGACGATTTCATTGATTCAGAACGCGCGGCGCGCCGCCGGGCCGCGTCTGCAAACAAAACGGACAAACAAAAGCGGCCTATCGCTTGCGCCTAATTTTGCTGGGGCAGAACATGATATCTGCATGCCCGAATCTATTCGAAAAGCTCAAAATCACACCAGCGGCTGAGGCATATAGCGCTGTGGCTCATAGTGCATAGTACTACATAACATAAACAGCTCGAGAACAGGGAAAAGAACAAGACCAGGCGGACATTATTGCCATCCACCTAGCCCTCCGGCGAGATGCACGATGACACCTCGCCGGCACGACGACCACATCAGCTCCCAATCAGTTCCCTCCCCTAGAACTGTTGGTCCAAGCGTGCGGGGCTTCATGTTGTGCATTGCAGCCGTCGCGGCCCTTCCTCCCGTTCTCCTCCTCCCCAGCACCCCCGTCCAAACCATAGGTTCATCAAGGTGCACAACGCCTAGAACAAGCGGACGGGCTTGCCCATGGTCGTCTTGATGTGCAGCGACTTGACGTTTTGCCAGTTCTTCTTGAGCAGGGAGACCAAGAAGTTGATGCCTGAACGAAGGCAGATGACGTTTAGTGACGACTCAACGGTGTCAACGAAGCTGAACGCACTCAGCATGATGTTACCGAGGACCTGGTCCTCAGTCATCTGGACGTGGCCGACGGCGACACCGAGGCAGAGAACCTTCTTCAGCTGGAACTTGATGGTCGAGCGGACCTCAGTGAGCTTGTTGCTCAAGTCCTCGGCGTGCGAGACGGGGGTAGGGAACTTGCCGGCTGAGGGGAGGAATTGTATTAGCTTGATAAACACGGGAGGGAACGCTTCGAACGTACCCTTCGACAGACCCGGGCCGAGGAGACGCGGGATCTGCTTGATGAGAGCCTCAGAGGCCAGGAAAGCGTCGTACTTCTTGGCGAGCTTCTTAACAAGCTTCTTGTTCTTGTTAAGCCTGATAAATCTCCTGTTAGCATCTATCTCCAACTACATAAAGACGATAACGCACTTCTTCAAATCGTCAACGGACATGTACTCGAGCTCGATCTGCTTCGCGCGATCGATGTCGGCGGCATCGGCCAGGATGCACAGCGACATGCGCGGGCGAGGGACATGGGGGAGCCTGAACGCAAGAGGTAGAGGGTCAGCACCAACGTATGCTATTCGCGAGATGTGATGCGCACTTGACGGTACCCGAGAAACGCTTGTCGCGCTGCGGGTCGTAGTTCTTGAGACCGATCTGGAGCTCGACCGTCTCCACGAAGTTGCGGCGCTTCTCGCCGTTCGCGTCGGCGAGTAGCTCCCGGACGGAGCCCCGCACGCTTGCCACTGAGAGCTTGCTTCCGCTATAGGGCGCGATTTATGTCGATCGAGATGGGTTGAAGAGTGATTTGAGGAGTGAATCGGCGAAGAGGTAGGGGGAACCGTCAGCTACGCACATAGTTCATCAAGACATTACAACGCACCTCATGCTTGATTTTCTTGACGGTCTTGAGGGAGATCGGTCGTCGCTGAACTTTGCGTTGGGCGCGCTGCTGCGACGTCTGGGAGCACGGGCCGAGCGCTGCCGGTGGACTGTACAGTTTGTGTCATGTGACACGATAAGTAGTCGGCCTGCGGTCCGTCTTCCGCCCCTGCGCCTCGTTTCCTGCTTCGATCCTGCCTCTTCCTGCTCTTCCTGCTTCAATGCCGTCCTCGATCTCCCTCGTTGCTTTCTATCACACATTGCAATAGGGTTATCAATGTCAAGATCCATTTTCAGCGAGCGCTCATATACCCTTGCAAGTGCATATGCACATCGCGTCTCCTGCCTGCGCACCTCTACCGCTTTACAACCGGTCGATGTTTGGTGAAGGTGAGTATGAAGTATCCTTCTTCTCCATCACCCGTTATTCCCCTGTACAAGATGACACAAACTTTCATTCGCGTTTTGTAAGACTATCCGGGCTCCTTACATGGCTTTGGACATGGTTATAACGCTTTCAACCCCATCTGAATCGACAATCCTTCTCTTCTTCTTGCACGCATGGCTGACTCTCCTGTCATAGTATCCGAGTTCTGCACCCTTTGTTTGCTTCCTGCTCTCGAAGCTTTCCTGTCATCAGCATCAAGACTTGAAGAGTCGCGCCCTCAATCGACGATAATGCTGCCTTTTTCATTGTGTCCAATGAATGACCTTATCGGCAAGACCTGTTTGCGCTGTCAACGCCGTCCTCCATAGCCGTATGCGAGCCAAGCGTATGGTGTATGGCAGGTTGCCGACTTCGCCACGAGGTACTTTTGACACAAGATCAACATCCTACTCGAGGTCGCTTGCCCATTGCACTACACTCGAATTCATCCTTCCCTCAATCATAAGCTGTCCAAACCCTACGTGTAGCCGTCATTTAGATAGACTAATCCATATTATCTGCTCTCATTGATTTGTGTGCGCGAGACGTTGCTTCCTGTGCATCTACTCAAGCTATTCGATGTTCGCTGCCGTATGTATGCCACACGTCGGTGTAGGTTTAGCAATACCCTGCGCATGCCGTGTCCGCCTCGATCTCAGATGGGCGCGTCGCGCGGCAGAGACCTGATGTGCAAACACGTGCATACGATTGTATTCCCCAACATCAACCTTCGTGTTCAAACTCGCCGTTCGTCTGCTCTTGCCACTGCTGGAGACCTCGTAGTGGACGTCGACCATGTCGCTGCTGTCGGACAGGCAGAAGGATGACTTGTGCGTCGTCAAGGCGCGGGTGAAGGCGGACGCTGAAGCATCTGCACCCATCACAGGCACAACGCGATGCTCGATTATCTGCACGCCAACAACTATACCGAGGCGTACAACGCGCTGCAGTCCGAGACGGGCATAACGTACAACCCAGATCCCAAGTCCAAGTACGCGGGCCTGCTCGAGAAGAAATGGACGAGCGTTATCCGGCTGCAGAAGAAGGTCTGTGGCGGGCATCGCGACCAGGTCCAGTCCGCGCCTGACCGACAGACCAGATCATGGATCTCGAGAATCGCAACGCTGCGATGAAGGAGGAGCTCGCAGTCGCGCCCTCCAAGCGCTCAGCAGCGCAGTCCGACTGGTTGCCCCGCTCCCCCGCCGCGCATGTCCTCCAGGGCCACCGAGGCGAGGTGTCGCGCGTCGCCTTCCACCCGCTCTACTCCATTCTTGCCTCCGCGAGCGACGACACGACTATCAAGATATGGGACTGGGAGACCGGGGACTTTGAGAGGACGCTGAAGGGTCATACGCGCATGGTGACCGACTTGGACTTTGATCATAAGGGTCAGCTCCTCGGTACGTACGTCTTCTGACCTGGGTATATGCGCTCTAACTCGCCGCAGTGTCCTGCTCGCATGATATGTTCATCAAGATCTGGGACTCGCAACAAGAGTGGAAGAACACAAAGACGTTCCCTGGTCACGAACATGTTGTCTCCTCCGTCCGCTTCATGCCTGGCGACCAGCACATTGTTAGTGCAGGCCGTGATAAGACAATCAGAATATTCGACGTTGCTTCTACGTGCGTAATGGTACGCTGCTATGCTACTGTTGCTGACAGCACTGCAGACATCTTGTACGAACAATCGTCGGCCATTCCGATTGGGTCAGATGCGTCACACCATCTGACGACGGGCGGTTGCTAGCAAGCTGCTCGCAAGACCATGTTGGTACCGCCCAAGTCATGTCGGAACCGTACTGATACCTGCGCAGACTGCCCGCATCTGGGATCCAACGAACGGCGAATGCAAGATGGAGTTGAGAGATCACGATCACGTCGTTGAAGTCATCGTCTTTGCTCCCATAGCTGCATATGCGACAATACGGGAGCTTGCGAAGATACCGGTATGGCTGTAACTCCTCGTTGTGGCACTCGATGCTCACCTCACTCTAGCCAACTGACCGTTCAAAACGGCCAGGTGCATACGCCGTGACCGGTGGTCGTGACAAGCTCATCAAGCTATGGGACATAGCAAGCGGGCAGATGCTTCGGAATTTCGTACGTCCAGGCGCACTACCCTTGCTATATGTTCCCAAACTGACCACGCTACAGGCCGGTCATGATAACTGGATCCGGGCTCTCGTCTTCCACCCCTCAGGCAAATACCTCCTCTCCGCCTCCGATGACAAGACGATCCGCATCTGGGAGCTCGCCACCGGTCGCTGTATGCGCACCATCGACGCACACCTCCAGTTCGTCACCACCATGCAGTGGGGCAGGCAGCGCATCGGGGGCGCGCAGCCCGAGGGCGATGCGTCGAAGGCGAACGGCGTGAACGGGGACAAGGCGAGCGATGAGCCGGAGAAGGTGGTGAATGTACTGGCGACGGGATGCACGGATCACTCGATTAAGATATGGTTGCCGTGAGGCGGGGAGTGGGAGAGACAGGCAGGCGAGTGTTCTGCCGGTGGGAGCGGCGGCGCGTCCCGGTGGGCGGCTATCCAAATGACCGCGTCTGGGCTAGAGGAACATTCGGTTTTGTTTCTGGTCAGTCGGTGTGCAGTGCAGACCCTTTTGCGTGTCTGATATGAACCCTGCAGGTGACTAAGATGATGAAGTGCGCGACGCGCTGCTTTTCCTCCATACATCGCGCAGCTCTATCTGGCGCGGTCCTTAGCGGGTATCCCTCATGCAAGTACACCTATTCGGTTTCGTTCTTTACTGCTGTCCATTGTCGTCGGTCACTATCTGTTCTGTCGTAAGTATTACTTATGGATACCCGCTCATTAATTTCATGTGTATCAATATGACAATATACGCGAGGAAGTCAACTAGAAGCAAAAGCGCTAGACGTCAGGCCTGTGCAGCTGGACATTTCCTTTCGTGATACTGGTCTGGACTCCGGGCTTCTGCGACATCGATTGTGTGAGCTTGGGAATGTTCACGTCTACATTCAACATTGGCGCTACAATGGCCTAATCCATTGTATTCGCACCCACTGCCGATCCTCGTTCAGGCCTATCTGACTTTTCGAGAATCCCCCTGTTGAATCGCATCCCTCCTTACCGACGGTCGCAGCCCTGCTCGCCACTCTCGATTGCACCAGCCCGTTGCTGTCCCACGTCTGGTCAGCGTCGTAGTCCGTCGGGTCGTCCATCCATGTTGTGCGTCCATCGTAGCGGTCGACCGCCCTCGTGGGTTCCACATAAGAGCACAAGATCAGCTCTCCCCTCTTCGCATCGACCACGGAGCCTGGCACTTGTGCCGCCCAGCTATGGATGTCGTCTTCGAGCCCGGTAACGATCACGCTGGGCACGGCGTATCGCCCGCGCGCGACGATTTCTACGCGAGCGCGTTTGCTCCGGGCACCAGCCTCCGCGGCGCTGATGCTTGATCCTTGGGCACTAGCACCTTCGCTGTGATCAACAGTGTGGTCACCACTCTGGCCGCTCGTGGCACGAAGGACTCCTCTTTCCGACAGCAGCAGCCTGCGCAACCCGACGCACTCCGTAGACAGATAGTCGAAGGAAACCAGGAAGCGGTTGTCGACTAGGAAGTGCTTGTTGAGGTTCATGAAGCCATCCGTGATATCCTGCCTCTCCGGGACCGACGAAGGGTGACCTCTCTTTCGCATTGGCGGCAGCCGAGAGGCAACCCATACTTCCTCGGCCGTCCCGTCTTCGATGAGCGCGCTTGCGCGTTCAGCAGGAATGTTGAGCTTTAGAGAGCCGGTGACCATGCCCTCCGAGTGCGCGATCCCCGCGACCTTCTTGCGGTTTCGGACGAAAAGAGCAGGCGTCCACAGCACGTCCGCGCCGGCTGAGAATGAGGCTAGCCGAGGAGCGGTCGAATCGGTAGAGCTGTCGGATTTGAACCCAAACAGAGCCTTTCTGATCCTCTCCAGACTTGCAGTTTGCCGGTTCGCCTCGGCCTGAAGGGTGCCCCAGGGGTGCGGTGAGGCGTACCGAAGGACGCGCGTGATGAGGTTGCGCTGGACGAGGGGAAGGATGTTGTCCTCTTTCATGATAGCGAGGCCGGATAGTTTGCGCAACCTTTTGGTAAACAAGGTGAGGGCGCCCGCGGGTGAGGTGTCACTGCAGCTCTTGAGAGCGATAGTCGCTAGCAAACTCAGGTGAGATGGCGCGGGTGTGGCTTGCTAGGGGGAGGGCACGTACTTGCTTCTTCTACACGCTGTGCTCTGCGGCCAATTTCTTGCACAGCACCACGCAGAGCCGGCGCGCCTTTGCTTATGTCAAGCGGTATATCGAGCCCAGTCAATCGGTCCTCGATGGCAGACTTGGTCAGCGATGGGTCGAAGCGCTGTATCTACGAACAAGGTGAGCCAAAGTGTAGAAGAGACGAAGCCAGAGACAAATACCGGACCCACGTCCCTCTCCTCCACGGCGTTCCGAATAGCATTCCGCAGCGTGAGCTCGGGCTGGAAATTCGTGGAATCCACGACGTACTCTAGCTTATGCTCATCGCAGGTCGCTAGGATTCTGTCCTATGCAAGTTAGCTTCCCATCTTTCACCGACACAGACGCATTCGACCCATACCTTGCTCACTGGCAAAAGCGGCCTCACGATCCACTTTCGCAAGCCTTCATGCCCCAGCTCGCCCCGCGCACCCATCCCGAAGCGCCTGCATGACTTCATGCCCGCGAGACCCAGCTCCGAGGAGCCCTTTAGTGCGCGCAGGATTGCCGTCTCGACCTGATCGTCAGCATGGTGCCCGAACGCAGCCACCTCCGCGCCGGCGCTGCGCAGCGCGTCGTAGAGTAGCGCGTACCGCACCTCGCGCGCCGCGAGCTCGAGCTTGCCTTTGCCCCCGGAAGTGGGCTTCGGGGGGAAGCCGCCGTCGCCCCAGGCTATTTGTGCAGAGAGGTGCCGGATGTTCAAGCGGGCGGCGAAGCGAGCGGTGTGGGACATCCATTGGGCGGAGGAGGGCTGGAGGTTGTGGTCGACGGACCAAGACAGGATGCGGTGGGACTGGGACTCGGGTAAAGAGCGAGCCCAGCGGTGGAGGAGGAAGAGAAGGCAAGTGGAGTCGGGCCCCCCGGAGTTGGCGACCACTAGGCAAGACGTGAGGGTGCAGGCGGGACGAGTGGTCGATGGAACGCACCTATGGCTCTGGCCTTCGTTCGGGGAAGGCAGGCGTGTATGTACCTCGCAAATTCATCTCTGGAGATGGGTAGGACGCGCTTGCTTGGGCGCATCGTCTCGACGAAAGCACCCAAGTCGATCAAGAGGCCATGATGGCAAGAACACAGGGCGTCCTGTTCCGGAAGTCTTTGTTCGTATCCCGCAGTGAGTCACATCGTCGTTCGATGTCTATCGCATCGTGATGGTGCTACAACGTATACAGTACATTGTTGTCTTTCCCTTTCCCTAGTCCCATATCCATCTACAAGAACTTGCCCTCCTTCCAGTTCCGCGCCTGCACCGCCATCTCCAGCGCTGCCTGCCCCCAGTCGTCGCCATGGTTGTGCACATGCGCGTCCGGTGCGTCCTTGGGCTGGATCCCCGCGCGCGCCTCTGCTTGCGCGTCGCTCAGCGCGGTAAGCACGCCGAAGATGACAGGCACGCCCGTCTCGAGCTGCACGCGCATGAGCCCGTGGCTGACGGCGTCGCTGATGTACTCGAAGTGCATCGTCGAGCCCTTGATCAGCACGCCGATCGCGATGACCGCGTCGAAGGGCTGCTTGAAGGGCGCGGCGGAGACGGACTGGGCGGAGGCGGAGGGAACGGGCGTGCCGGAGCGGCTGCCGCCGAAGGAGAGGCCGCCGAGGAGATCGACGCTGGTCGCGTTCGACGCGGCTTGGACGTGCGAGCCTTGAATGACTCTGGGGAATGTCAGCGATGTGGACGCGTAAATGGGTGATGAGACTCGCCTGCTGCACGCGAGGGGAAGCTCAAAGCTCCCCGGCACGCTCTGCACGATGATATTCTGCTCCTTCACGCCCGCCGCCTTCAGCTTGTTCACTGCGCCCTCTAGCAAGTTCGCAATAATCTCCGCGTTCCAGCGCGCGTGCACGATCGCGATGCGCAGCGTTGCCGCCGCCTCGGGCGACACGGTCAGCGCTTCTGGGAGGGCCTTCGCAGTGGGTGCCATGCTGTGTTGTGGTGGTGATGGGCGTGCGGGATCAGGAAGTACAATGCCTGCCCCGTGGGAAAGTGATGCGGAGACAAAGCATACCGGATCGGGGGACACAGATGTGATCGAGCCGACTTTTCCATCACAAGCGCCGAGCAGCGACATGGCCGACCACGATCTCGCGGGTATGTATGAATCTGTGCGTGAAGATGGTGTCAAGCTGACGATGCTATAGCGACGTATGCACTTGTACTCGCATTCCTGAAGAAGCGCTCGCACGACAAGACCGTCAAGGCGCTCGAGAAGGAGGCGGGCGACCTTCTCAAGGCGTCGTCCGGCACCACGGTGGGCGCCGACCTGCACGATGCACTACTGGAGTGGAGGAATCTGAAGGGTAGCGGAAGCGCGAAGAGCAACGGGAGCGCAAAGTATGTATAACCCTCCATCACCTTTGACGCGATCGACTGACCGACGGACCCTCCCTGGCAGGCCTACTGACGGTTCGTTGAATGAACACCGAGTCTTCCGCGACGCTGATAGCAAGGCAGACACCTCGGACTCGGATTCTTCTGAAGACTCGGACTCCAGCTCAGACTCGGACGCGGAGGACGCGCCGAAGAAGACAGAACCCACCAAGGCGGCGAACGCTGCCTCATCCTCTTCCGATTCATCAGACTCGGACTCCGGTGCGTATCTGCTCGCTACCCTCCATTGTTCCCATTCCCCCCTTCCAACTACGATCTTTCAAAACCCTACATCTACCTCATCCACGCAACACCCTCCTACAATTCACTCACCGCCTTGCCTTCAGACTCCTCCGACGATGAGAAGGCTACGCCTACTCCCCAGTCAAAAGATGCTGCGAAGCCTACCGCACGCTCATTTTTGAAGTCTTCCTCCTCTACTACAAAGACCTCGAAGGGCGACCGGGACTCCAGCAAGACGCTCTCCTCCACCGCACCCACGCCTTCTTCCCCATCCTCGTCAGACTCCCCCGACTCGTCCGACAGCAGCGACTCGGACAGCGATGACGAGAAGATGGACGTGGATAAACCGGCAAAGGGAGACGCGAAGAAAGCAGTGAAGGACACGAAGAAGGCGGCGGTGAAGGCGAAGAAGACGGACTCCAGCTCGGACTCCTCGTCGTCGGACTCGTCTGAAAGCGACTCGGAGGACGAGAAACCCGCTACGAAGGCGGCGAAGGTGGCCACAGCCGCAAAGAAGGCTATCTCACCGACCAAGAAGCCCTTGCCCTCGTCCTCGTCTTCCTCCTCCGACTCCTCCGACTCGGACTCGGATTCGGATGACGAGAAGCCCACGAAGACTGCACCTGCAAAAGCAGCTACCACACCCGCCAAGCCTACGACTCCCGCAAAAACCATTGGCAAGCGCAAGAGTGCTGCCTCCTCATCCTCCTCATCTTCTTCATCCTCTTCGGACTCTTCATCCGACTCTTCTGATTCGTCAGACTCCGATTCCGACGCCGACACCAAAAAGTCCAAAAAGCCAGCCGCGAAGAAGGCGAAGCTCGAGGCCGCGTCCGCTGCGACGTCCGTGCCGGCCACTGCATCCACATCCGCTGTCACCTCTACCTCTGCATCCACCTCGACCTCGGCAGCTGCATCCGCATCTGCTTCTCCTGCCCCCAACGGCGCACCCACCAAGGATAACAAGGACAAGGTCGCGAAGGGCAAGCGCACGACGAACACGCCCTTCCAGCGGATCGACCCCACCAAGATTTCGGGGTTGGTGGCGGATAATCGGTTTGAGTCGAGGGTACGTTATCTCATCACTGTCTTATGGTTTACCTATCTTTTCTCTTCTATCCTTATGCCCTTCATCCTATCCGTGTCTCTTCATCCTCATGCTGCATCCGCCTCTTCCGCATCCTTTCACCTACTCACCACCCTTGCAGGGCGCCAGCATGAGCGACTACGGCGCACGCGCGCACCAGGATCTGATCGTCACGCGTGGCGCGGGCTTCAGGAAAGAGAAGAACAAGAAGAAACGGGGAAGCTATCGGGGTGGAGACATCACGGCGAGTGGCGGAGAGAGACGGTGCACGATCAGGACGCTGACGCGCTTGATAGATGGAGTCCCACAGCATCAAGTTCACTTGAGTAACACTGAAGCTCATACGAACGATGGAGATGGGCGATCGTGGTAGGAGCACAGACCGTTCGAGTTGGGTAGGACTCGGGGGGTACCTACTTTCGCAGTCAGGCAGGATCTAGTGGTGTACGATCTAAAATATGGAGACTCTGTGGTACCGAAGGTGTTGCCATTTGCGTTGAGTTCGCGAGAGGATCCGCTCGGAGTCAAAACCACGCGAGCACGCGACGTTTGCCTCCGCGTCAATCTTTCCATTGTTCCTCGAGCGCCGTAATAAGCGCCCAAACTATGTCACTGCGCCGCGGCTAAATTACGTTGAATAGCTCTTGTCTTCTACTCTCATCGTGCGCGCGGTCTTCAGGTCGTGAACACCAACCGACAACGCAAAACGCGTCGCCTTCCTGTGCTGACGCGACATCATGAGGGCCTCCTACGCCTACTACGTCAATCCTGAGGCCGAGTTACTCGCTATGGGCGACCCAGAAGACGAGGGTGGCTCTTCTAGTTGGGCGTCTTCCTCTTTTGCCTGGGCTGCGCTGTCTTCTTTGCTTGGGCAGCTGCTGGGTGGGCCCGGGAACGCGCTCGACACCCGCGCCATCCATTTCTTCGTGCTGGGTCTTCTGATAGAGCTGGGCCGGCGGGTGGCAAGGTTTGCGCTGGCGCGCTTTCAATTCAGTACGTGGCACTATCCGCGTCAAGTGTAGTAACCTTACTCGGCCTGCAGAGCTTCATACGACAGCAACCTTCGAGGAGGGAGATCCCACATACGAATGGATCGCACAGTTCTTGGTGTGTGGCACCTATCCGCGATATACCACACTGCACTCACACTGCCACACCCTTGCAGAGCCAACAAGACATGACCTGGCGGCGCTCCCCCACCTTCCGCATCGCGTGCAAATCGGCGACGCGCCACTGGAGCGTCAACATCCTCGGACCGCGTGCGGACACGGTCAAGACAGCCACGTCTGGCCCGCTACTAGACGACAAGAATGTAGAGTATATCCCCACGTTCGACCAGCCGCGCCTGTTCAGGTGGCGCGGATACTGGATGGAGGTGAAGAGCAACGCACATTCGCCTGCAGCGATGCAGCGGTTCATGGTCCGCAATGGCAATGACCATGGGTCGGGCTCGATTACCATCACGTATGTGTACCAACCTTCACATTCGCTAGCACTTCACTGACAGCACACTCCAAAGTCTCTACACCCGCAATCTCCGCGTCCTCTCCGAGCTCGTCGAAGCGGCGCGGCAGAGCTACAGCGAGGTCAGCCTCCCGCACGTCATCATTCACGTCGCCGAGTCCATGAATCCCGACTACCCGTGGATGAGCACGAAGCGCAAGGTGCGGCGCGCGCTGGATACGATCATCCTGCCGGACGGCCTACTGTCGTCGCTCGTGCGGGAGGTACAGGACTTTATGGACGAGGAGACGGAGAGGTGGTTCACCTCCGTCGGCATCCCCTATAGGCGCGGCATCCTGCTCCATGGCCCGCCGGGGACAGGAAAGAGTAAGTTCATTGTCCTTGGTATATGTTCGGCGACGCTGACATAAAGCTACAGCGTCCACCATCTATGCCTTGGCTGGCGAGTTGAACCTGGAGATCTACTCATTGTCCTTGTCCAACAACTTGTAGGTGTAGCTCCGGCCCATGCTGGTAGACCCCTGCTAACCTTTGACAGCGTGAACGACTCGTTCTTGCAGCGCGCAGCATCATCCGTTCCCAAGCACTCTATTCTTCTCATCGAGGACATCGACTGCGCTTTCTCTCGCGAGGAGCAAGGGTCATCAGGCACGCAAAACCAAGCGTCACCACCCATCATGACGCTGTACGGCATGGCTGGTTCAGGACAGTCGCAAGTGACGCTCTCCGGCTTGCTGAACGTGATCGACGGTGTCGGGAGCGAAGAAGGGCGCTTGTTCTTCTGCACGGTGAGAATTCCTTTTTGTGCAGCCCGTGCGCATTCCACTGACGTGCGTTCCAGACGAATCATATCGATCGCCTTGACCCTGCGCTCCTCCGCCCTGGGCGCATCGACCGCAAGATCGAGTACGGTTTGTCGACTCGCGCGCAGACTGAAGCCCTCTTCCACCGCTTCTTCCCCGCCACTCGGTTTCCCGAGCTTGCGGACACGCCAGTTGCCGACGAAAAGGCCACATCGTCATCCAGTTCCATGCTGCCTACCTCTGACTCGACTTGTCCCGCCCCTCCGCCACCTGGTTCCCGGCTTGCCTCACTCGCATCGCGCTTCGCCGCTCTTGTGCCCGAGGCGGAGTTCTCGACGGCGGAGCTGCAGGGCTTCTTGCTGTCGTGCAAGACGGACCCGGAGCGCGCGGCGGCGGACGTGGGCGCCTGGGTGGCAGAGGAGATGCGCGTGCGGACCGCGAAGAGGCAGCAGGATATGCAGAAGAGGCAGCAAAAGGATATCCAAGCGAACGCAGCGCAGCAACAGAACGATAACAGGGCCATGCATCAACAGTTCGGGCAGCCCGACTCCCCAGAGTCATCCTCGGTGTGGCCAATGCACGGGATGTTACCGCTCGTTGGCCCGGGTATAGCCCCAATGTTTGGCTTCCCACAAAATATGGATCCTTCGACTTTCCAGTTCCCCAGAGGAACGGGTATCCCCGCGCACAACGGCCATACCCATATGCTACAAGATGAGGACGACATTGAAGAGCCAGGATTGGACGGCAATGGTTTCACAGCGCCCCCTCCCATCCCCGCTGTTACTCTTTCCGTCCCAGCCGAAGATGCAGAGGACACGCCCACCGCGACGTCGCCGCCCTCCCTGCATGCTCCTGCTCCGAAGGTGATCCCGAGTGTGAACACGCTGGGAGCGCTGCCTGGCGTGGAACAGGTAGGTCATGCCGTTGAGCCTCCTCCGTTTCCGTTCGCTGTAGTGCATCCTCCCAGTACGATGGCGAATTTTGAGAGCGGACCTCATGTGGACTTCCAATAAAAAAGGATGGACGCATAGGACACCAAGGACTGTAAACTTACACACGTACACTGGCATCTTAGAGATGCCATGCTTCTCCTGTTCATGCTGAACGGTCTACTGTCTTGCTATACTCTACTGTTTTGTTTGCTGTGTTGAATACCATTAAGTTGCTGCAGTACTAGCGCAGGACCTGCTTATACCTGCTGGTAGTTGCCGGTAAGGTTAAATTACGGAGAAGGCCGATAGCACGTGGTGACGTTACGCTTTGACTTCAACTTCGCTTCCTTCTTACTGCCATCGCTGACATTTGAGGCCTACTCAGCCAACTTTTCTTCGCACGGGGTAAAGCAGAAAACATGGTGTGCTCACCATTTCACGCCCTTGATGGTGACTAACTTCGAGACAGAGTTTAGTATTCCTTGAAGCGCGCTCTGCAACCGAAAGTTAGTCCTAACTCGCGCTCACAATGTTAGAAAAATCACTGACATTATACCGTATGCAGAACATCATGACTCTGTCTGGGGTCTCTCATGGACAGCCCAAGATACAGTAATCAGCATCTCTGCTGATGGCGCAATCCGTCAATGGGCCTCAGCGACAGGCCAGCCTTACCCGCCGAACGCACCGCCTCCGAAGCCGCATACACTGGGGCTGACCTCCCTTTCTGTGTCGCGAGATGGTAGGAAGGCGCTGTACAACAGCATCGAGGGGACGACGCGTCTTTGGGACGTTGCTGGCAGCGGCGAGATTGTAGGGACCTTCGAGAGCTTTGCGAAGTCAGATGATGCGCAGAGCGGGCCTTGTAAGTCTAGTTTTGCGCTCACAATTCCATTGGATCGCATGTCTAACACGTTGATAGCGTGGTCTGTCTCCCTGCACCCAGAGGGAGAGACGTACGCGTCGACCGGCAGCTCTGGCAACGTGACTTTGCATGACGCGCGTCCGGGCGCAGACTTTGGACGACGTCTGTCGAGCATCTCGTCCGGGAGGAACAAATTCGGGCTGTCTTGCGTATTCGTGAGTAAGATACCATGTCTTCTTCGGTTCTCGTCCTTGCTAACGTGGTATACGAGGCACCCGATGGCAAGCGCGTGGCCATGGGCTCGGAGACGGGGCAGATCTACTTATTCGACGTGGAGTCCGGCATGCTGGCGAACACGTACACATCGCATGCGATGGGTGTCCGCTCTCTGGCGTGGTCCGCTGATTCGCAGGTAAAGAAATCACATTGGTACCATGGAAGCGGAGGATTTTGACCATCGTTCGTAGCTACTTCTCAGCGCGTCCGAGGACAAGCGAATGGTCCTTCACGACGTCAGAAAATCCGAACATGGTGGGAGTGTAACTACTTTCACCGGGCACTCTTCTTGGGTCCTCAGTGCAGATATATCGGTCGATGGTCGCTACGTGCTCTCTGGGTCAGTCGCTTCCGTTTCACGAGTTCGTCGATCAACAAGTTGACCTACAAATTCACCCACAGCTCCGCCGATAGGACGGTCAAGGTGTGGGATATGCAGACTCGCGCGGCTGTCTCGACTATCGCGCAGGACGGGGGCGAAGTCTGGAGTGTCGCGTGGAATAAGGCGGGCAGCGCGAATGGTGCTTTCGTGTCTGGAAGCGATGACGGGTCCGTGAAGTGGTACCGCGTACCCGGTGCTGGCGATGAACAATGAGCGTTTTGAACGCTTTCTTGCTAATGTAATTGGACTTATGTGAAGCTCAAAGTCGAAGTCCACAATCCGTGCAGGTGGCGGCCCACCTCCGGACCGGTGCTTGTGCGCGATTGTAGGCGACTACCTGTCTCTTGATGCTTTCTGCAACTGTGAAATTAGTTCAGACGGCGAAAGGTGCCGCGCAATGCAACACCGCAGTATAAACCCCCTTCCCCTTGCTTGCCTGGCATGCAAATACAGCATGCTGCATTCATGGCACCCGTCTATTTCTACGCTGTTCGGAAGTCTGGTAGTTCAGGGAGAAAACGAGACATATTCCCGGCAACAGCCGAAGACTGTTGTATCGGTGGCTGTCGCGCAACAACTACCTAAGGCCGTCGATGCTGGTGAATCCTTTAAAAGGACCGCAGGGAACAGTTTTGCCAATTCGTATGAAGATCTAAGCCGAAAAAACCGAGAGAATGCCACAGTACCCGAAGTGATACCTCGGCCGTTCCTATGAAGAAAAAGATGCTGGGTGTATAGAGAAAAAGTAGAACGCACTGGACTCGCTGGGAATTGAACCCAGGACCTTTCGCACAAGCAGGAATGCTAAGCGAACGTGCTACCACTGTACCACGAGCCCGCACGATGCTGAACATTGTGAAACACTACATCGCCCTCGTCTGAGCATTCACGACTCTGCTTGATTTCAACAGCTTCAACATGGTAGCACTGAGGCTGCATACGTATCGGACACTGCTACTGCTATGTAAATGGAGGACTTCAAGCGTAAAAACGCCGGTCCAGTAACGAAGACCTGGGTCCATAGCACTCTGGGGCCGGCCCCTCTCAGTCGTGCGCTCTGGCCGGAGATCGCCGAACTGAGTTTGAACCTTATCCAGGCCCTCTTGATCGGTCCACAGAATTTCTGTTCCTCCCAACAAGACCTCGTCAACGAGAGCGGAAGAAGACCTGGTCCTTCTACTTTGATTCTAAAGACAAAAGTGCGCGTCCCCCTCATGATACACACCGAAGCGAGCTAACGAGAACGCCCAGGACCATGTCTGACGCTGGAGACGAAATTCAAGTCGATGCCCCGGAGGTCGAGGTCTCCCAGGAGGCCCCGAAGGGCAAGATGTCCGTTGAGGACGCCCTCAAGGTATGTTTCTTGCCATCCATAGCGCGATCGCCGCGTTTGCTAACACCATCACAGCAAGTCCTCAAAAACGCGTTGATCCACGATGGGTTGGCTCGCGGTCTCCGCGAGTGCGCCAAGGCGCTCGACAAGCGCCAGGCCCATCTGTGCGTGCTCGTCGAGACCTGCACGGAGGCCGAGTACCTCAAGCTCATTGAGGCGCTCTGCGCTGAGCACAAGATCAACCTGATCAAGGTGCGTACTTTCAGTGATCGCGTATGGCTCAGACTGACCTCCCTTCTCCAGGTCGGTGACGCCAAGGTGCTCGGTACCTGGGCCGGTCTTTGCAAGATCGACCGTGAGGGCAACCCCCGTAAGGTCGTCGGCTGCACCTGCGTTGTCGTCAAGGACTACGGTGTCGAGAGCGAGGGTCTCCACGTCCTCCTCGACTACTTCAAGAACCGCTAAGCTATTCGGTAAGTCTTCAATCTGATACCTCCTCTGCGCTTAGCGTGCTTCTCTGGCATTCCTTGATGACAAAAAAGACTCCCTCTTCCGAGCTATGCTTTGAGGATATCGTCTATCCGGAATCATTATATTTTGTCTGACACGGATCTCTCTCTTCCCTAATATTCACTCCTGGCTTGTCTGCTAACTTGACGCTCAGATGCCTGTAGCATAGCCGTATTGTAGCCCAATCACAAACATCTGTGTGACACTCGCTCCTGCCTGATGACTCTTGTTTTTGGCTGAACAAGCTGCAAGATCGTTGTGCCAAATGTTTGACACTATTTAGACTGCTCTCGGCCAGCCACGCGCCACTCACGGTCCTCGGCCTGTCTGTCTCGGATCGACGAGCGAATCGCATTTCTTCAATTGACCAGCCCAGGCACTTGGCCCAATATTCCTCCTCATGCCCTTGCCGCTGCCTCGCACAAGCCTCCACGATTCCGGATAGGGCCTGTGGACAAGCCGACGCGATCCCTCTTGCCATGGGGCCAACCCCATGATAGCGTGTCTTGCATCGTCGGTCAGTGCACTGTTGACCGTACGTGCAACAGATGCAATGGACTCAGGAGGACAATAAGGTGGTCGTCATGTTACAGGTCGTCTTGTGTTTCCGTCTTCTCTGCTCGTTCCATCGCTTTTGTGGCCTTCGCGTTGTATTCCGCTTTTGGCAACTGAACGTCACAGGACCTCCCTTCACTCGACTGAATGTCTCGCATGGGATTTCATCCGCTCGGCCGGCCCACTGCGACGGCGTTAGGCTCTCCGCCACCTCTCAGACAAATGCGGAAGAATAGGTTTTCGCCGTGGAGAGTGCGGAGAAACCCTCGCGCTTATATACGACGGCGCAGTTTTTCGACGGCCCTTCCTTTCAGATCATCTTTCACTGCACACGACACCTGCAGTCGACACCATAACCATGCCAGCCCCTACCGCGCACCTCTTCGGCGCACACAGGGAGGGATACGATCTGGCGCTGCTCATGGATCCGACGTACTCGCCCGAGTCGCAGAATATCTCAACGATCACCCCCTTCATTGGGGCGGACGGCGAGATGCACGATCCGGGGTACCGACACTTCAAGCTCCCGGCGCCGCAAGCGATCCAGGAAGCTAGGAAGAGCAGCCTCGTCGAGTACGAGGAGCAGCTGGAGGCGGAGAGGCAAAGCTGGCCGATCAGCGGTACCGCCACCTCCCCCCTCCGCCCGTTCACGCAGACGAGGAAGAGCACCTTCCCGCCCGCACTCTACCCCTCCACCCCCTCGTCCTCGCGACCATCGACCGGGTCGTCGATGGCAAGCACCTCGAGCGCTGGGCGCCGGCTGGGCCGGCTCATCCGCGTCTCATACCGGTCAGACCACTCGGCTCCCTCGATCACGGATGACGAAGACTACTCGCCCGACGACCCCGACCTCGTACCATCGCCAACCTACACATTTCCACCGCCTACCACCACATCACGCGATGACGGGCCGGACGCGCGAGAACGCAGCTGCTGGGACGAGTTCGAGGATGATGGGGAGACATCAACCGCGTCGGGGAAGGGGGCAGGAGAGAGCTTGCGGCAGAAGGTCCTCGCGGCGCAGCTGGGTCTGCAGTTCACGATGATCAGGACGGAACGGCGAGTGAAGAAGATGCTGGGGAAGTCGAAGAAGGAGCGAAGATCGACGCGCTAATCGAAGGCGGGGTAGTCGCTGTCTTGTTCCGTCCGAACGTCCTGTATCACCCAACTGTAGCATAGACTTGCTTTGTTCGCGTTCGTTGTAGTATAGAATATTTATCGTTGGCACCACATTTAGAAAACCAGGCCGCCACCTAGAACAGCCATGCATTAGACAATTAGATGTACCAGCCACATAGACGCTAGACGTACCATCCACCACAATATCAGCCCCGTTGATATACCTTCCAGCCAGACTCGTCAATAGTATGCCGGCGCCAACGATCTCACTGGGATCCCCCATCCTGCCCATCGGATTCCGCGCGTACCAGACTCGCCGGCACTCTTCCAGGCCGTCGCCCTCGTTGAGGATGGTGTCCATGTAGCCCGGGCTGATGCTGTTAACCCGGATGCCATAGCGCGCCCACTCTGCGGCGAGGCTGTCTTTGATGTGCAGGACGGCGGCTTTGGAGGTGTTGTATGCAACCTGCGGTTGCGGGAAGTTGACCGAGTGCCCGGAGATGGAGGCGATGAAGATGATGCTGCCGCCAGTTTGCTGCTTGATCATTTGTCTGGTGGGTGTTAGCACAAGGGTGGGGATGGGGACGGAGATACTTACTTGCCAACGGCCTGCGCGCAAAGCCAAGTACCCGTCGTGTTGACGTCCAAAACTCTTTGCCAATCGCGCACTGAGTGGTCGGTGGCATGCGCAGTGCAGACGATTCCAGCACAGCAGACCAGGAAGTCAACACTGCCGAGCTCAGCAGCAGCCTTGGAGACGCCGGCTTCGACGGTGTCATTGTCAGCAACATTCACGACCGCCGTCACAATTTTTCTGTCCAGGAAATCTGTCCTGAGCTTCTCGATCTGCGCCTGCGACTGCGCGAACGATGGCTCAAGGTCGAACAGGCAAACACCGCGTGCACCGTGCTCCAACAGCCCTCGTGCGAACTCCAGACCAAGGGCGCCAGATCCGCCAGCAACTGGGGTGCGAGGCGTGAGCGCGGGTAGAAGCGGCGAAGGGCGTCACCCACTGATGCCGTTCCCAGAGATCGCGAAGCGGAGGGCTGCACGTTCAGCGGGATTGGTTACGGTGTCGGGTATCTTCTTCACGGCCGTCAAGGGGTTCTCGCGAGTCGAAAGGGTTATCTGCGGGATGACCCGACTGGTGAGCTGATCGCGTTCGGCGGCCATGATCTATAGCACACGGGTGGGCAAAGTTGGGGGACGGAGGATGGTGAACAAATGAAATGGGAGGACGAAGTACTTATATGCTGAGATCGATATGTCCGAAGCATTTGAGGGTGCAAGCATCGCGCCGGAGGTGGAGAAGGACCATGGAGTTTTCATTCGTGCGGCTAGATTACACAAGTGGTGGAGGTGATGCTGGTCAGGCGACAACCTCGGGGTGATTATCTCTACAGGAGCTCTCGGGGCCGGGCAGCGTCCGAAGAAAGACGCCACGACAAGATAGGCGTCAGGTGTATACAATGCAGGAGATCGGGGATAAGGTCGAAGCAGGAGGAGCGCTTGCAGAACGAGGATTAGTGTTCAGTTCGTATGCGAGAACCATGTTTACGCACCTAACCCTCCATCATCCCTCCTTGCGGTCTCCTCTCGCGCGTCTGACGCTCGTGCGCTGTGAACGGATCAGTGGGCTGGCCAAATATACGGACAAGCGCGCGTACGGTTGTAGTGCAGCAACTTCTCAATCAAATCGACATGGGTGAGGACCATACGCCGGCAGCAGTATCGTCTGAGGTTCAACTGGTCCAGAGCATCACTGAAGGCTGTATGTGAGTAACCTGGCATGTCACGACAGCCAAGACGCGCACCCTTCAGAGACGTTCTCCGCCAGTAAGCGCATGTACGTCGCCCACTTGTCCCCCACAACCTTGCCGCACGAGAAACAGCGCACTGGGATGATCTAACATATGTATCTTCAGTAGATGTAAAGCGCCTCAGGGCTGGGCTCAATTACCATGATGAGCGCACAAAGGGAACGACGGCAGCTGCGAAAAGAGAACAAGAAATTTTGTGGCGTTAGCAAGCGGCAAATCAGAGGGTGACCAGCGCTGAGTCACACTCTCATCCATACGGGGATGTGATTGATATCGCCGAGAAATCACATCTTGGACCCACAACGTCCTCTTTGCTCGCGCGCCCGCTGCGTTATGGCCGATGTGGTTAACCACGCTGGCGCTTCCGGACGTCCATAGACTAGCCCGCTCCTGAAATTGCGCAACCCTCGGGGTAGAATTTAACCCAAGATTCTGGCAATGTCCTGATGCGTCCCTTAAGCTCTAGCAACGGTCCCCTGTATACCGCGGGGTGACTTGCCGTATAACGCGATGCGCCCTGTATAACGCGGGGTAAGGGCAGTATAACGCTGCCAGACGAGTATAGCGCTCGTTCCTGGGACATTTTTGCTGGCCCATTCGCGTTCATGGTGGTTGCCGCCCAGTCAAAGGGGAGGGTGCGTTCGCCAGGCCTTGGCCATTAGCTTGGTTTGATTTACTTCCGCTGAGCTTAGCGTTTCCTTCAACTTCATCTTGCCCTGGCAGAGCGCAACGTCAGCGTCAACCACATCGACCTACCTTCGACTTCAAAGTAAGTCAAGCACCCAGCGTTGCTTGTCGTGGACCTTATGCACCGTGCAGGGCGCCCAGTGAACCGAGAAAAGTTGGTCATGACACAAAGGAAAGAATAAAGCATAAAGTGCTGCATATACAACATAATAGTCTGATCTCGAACGAAGGACGCGGCACGACCGATACGAGGTCGTGCACACGCCACCGCCTCGCCAACTGGCAGTCGTGAAAGGAAAGGATTAGTACCCTCTCCTCAGCCTCTCATTCTCCTCCCTCAACCGCTTGTTCTCCTCCCTCAGCTCGCTCAAATCCCCCACATACTCATCCATCAACGACCGCAGCTCCGCCTTCCACGACCGGCCCATCTTCACCAGGTCGAGGTGCAGCCCCATCATCTCCTGCCGCGTCTCCATCTGGTAGTCGAACATCACGTCGCGCACGATCCCGCGCAAGAAGTCCTGCGCCGTCGCGGAACTGCCTGGCGAGCTCGGCATCATGGGCGCATTCGCCGGCTGCGGGCCCATGGAGCGCCGCAGGGGCGAGGGCTGCCAGGGGCTGTGGGTGATCCCGCTGGTCGCGCGCCGCGCGGGGGAGACCTGCATAGAGAGGTTGCGCTCGCGCTCGGCGGCGGCGGCCAGGCGCTTGTGCTCGAGCGAGATCTCCTCAATCTCGTCCTCCTCATCGCTGTCGTCCTCGAAGTCGACGGCTTTGCCCTTGCCCTTGGGCTCGGTTTCCTCGACGAGGGGAGCGGCCCAGTTCGGCGAGCCGAGGCCGATGTTGGCGAAGGTGGCGCGCTTGGATTTGGGCAGAGGGGTGACCGGATCCAGGCCCATGTCGGGGAGCTCAGGAGAGGGAGTACGGCGTGAAAGGGCGGACGGCGGACGCGAGCTGGCTGCAGAGGGACGCGCAGACGCGGCGGGCTTCTCCCTGGTATCCCTTGTGGTTCGCGAAGAGGCGGAAGAAACGGCACGGTCCCGTGTCCGAGCACCTGGGGCAAGCCTCCCAGCGGTCGAGATAGACTCGACGGCCGAAGCTGCCGATGCCCTGCGAGGACGTCCTGCATCCGCCGACGGACGACCGCTGGACGTGACCCTCGCGCGCGCACGGGCAGTGGCATCCGAAACGACGCTCTTCGGCGATGTACTCGAGGTAGCGCGCACCCTGCTTGACGCAACGGACGTCGGACGGTCAATGGCTGACTTTGGCGGGGAGCGCATCGCAGGAGAACGCGTGGGTGGCGACCGCGGCGAAGAGAAGGACGTGCGGATAGGCCTCACAGGGGCCTTGCCCGGACTCGGTCCTTTGGCAGGCGGCTTGCGAGTTCCAGCCAACGTCTCGATGTCAACTATGATTATAGTCGGCAATTTTTCTGAAAAAGCAATGTATCGTGTACGTACTGGAGATGTTATCGGAATCCTTCGTTGAGTTGCCCAGCGGGTCCCTCACAGGGGAGAAAACTTTCTTCGGGTCTGTCGGGCGAGTGGCAGGGCTACTGGTCGGCTTTGGAACGACACTCTTGCGAGTAGGTGTAGTCGCCGTCGCGCTAGTTGAGGATCGGGGAGGAGGCCGCAGACGCGTCGGCGAAGGCTTGGTCGGGCCAGTGGCTCGGGTACTGGCCGCCCGCTTGGCCTCTGCGCTAGAGGCAGAGGGCTTCGCCGCAGATGGTGGGCTCTTGACCTTTTTCTAGGAGGGTCGTCAGCCTCAGTTCCTGTATAAGGGCGGTTATATTTACCTGCACACATAGGGCTTCAATACGACAGCCAGTCTCGCTGATGATGATGGGCTTGGGTGGCTTGTCGAGGGCACGGAGATCGAGCAGCAGCAGCTTGCCGTTCTCGGTGCCTAGGTATATAGCGGCCCCTTCGGGAGAGAAAGCTACGCTTGTAAGAGGTACTTTCATATGAAGGGTACGGAAGAGCCTGTGCAGTATATATCAGTCAATACTCCGTGTCCTGCATGTCACTACGCACCCCTTCTCTTTGTCCAGATCGACTAGACCGACAGTGCCTCCCGTAGTGGCAACAGCGACCAAGGTCTTGCTGAATGGACTGCATGCCACGGCACAGATGTCGCCGCCAGCGGCGTCACTGAGGGTGATCGTCTTCGTCGGTGTCGAGGGTTTCGTAATGTCGTATATAATGAGGCTCCGGGCGATGGCAAGGAGCAAGCGGGTCCGTGCGTGGGGATGGAAGACGCAAGCCGAGATATGCTGGCCTTCATACGAGGTCAGGCCCCTCAGCGTCGTATGCGATCCCATGGTCAAATTGTCGATGTGGACTGCATTGGCAGCCGTGGAGGCCAAGAGGGAGTTGTCGTTTGAGAGGGCAATGTGTTCAACGGGTGCGGTGTGCGCACTGAGGGTCTGTGCGATCCTTGGCGACGCCAGTATCCCGTCGATGACAATGACGCTCCCCCCGGAGGCGACGACAAGCGCCCCCTTGTCCTTGGCCGCAAGCCCCCGCAGGTCGACTTCATCCTCCGTCTCGTATATGTCGTCAATCGAATTCGTTGCCGGATCGTAACGCTGCAACTTCCGGCCGGATGCAAGGTAAAGGTGCGCATTGTCGATTGCCCAGCATGCTGCGGACGGCGGGGAGGTGAAGGAGAAGCACGTCGAGAGCGACGACGGCGCCTTCTTGAGCGCGGCGGGGTCTGCGAGGCAGAGGGCGTCGGTGGCGGCGACCCCGAGCATGTTGATGGTGGAAAAGCGGAAACGGGCGGCAACGCCGACACGCGTCAACAGAACCGTCGCGATCACATGCCAGCTCCACGTGATCGTGCTCGCTCTAATTGGGACAGCCCAAGGCAGCGCGTCGTCCTTCTTGCTCCCTCCCGTCATGCAGGCTACGAAGCAGAAGGTGAAGACGCAGACCGTCACCGCGACGCAAAGCTTGGAGGCCGTCAAGACGCTCGTCGCAGCTGGGCTGGGATGCATAGCCTTCCTGAGGTACGCAATATGCATCGCTCCTCGGGACCCATGCTCACGCATATACCAGGGACCTCTTGCCGGAGGACAACTTTACGAAGAGTGCGCTATTCGAAGGGCGTTTTGACCTGCTTTGACCTTTATGCAGCTTCATTCTCCGCCTTCGATGATTCCTTTGGGATGTCGACCGACGGGAGGACGCCAACGCCTGCCAGCTCGCAGAAACCAGGCGGCTTCAAAGTCATGGTAAGCAAACTGCCTATCCACCCCCTATTCCCACTAACATCCCACTCTAGACTATAACACGGAACTCCACCGAGGAAGCTGACCGTCTGTTGAACTACGTGGTGCGCAAAGCCCATCATTTTGCGATTGCTATGGGCCAATGACTTGTAGGAAAACGGCATATTCGATGCTTTGCAGAAGCAGTACCTCGAAAGCTTTATCTTTGGCATATATCTGGTAGCACCCTCCATATTCAAGTCGTCCGTCGCTCATCCATAATCAACCAGGACAAGGACAAGCCCAACGAGTGAGCGCATATATCTGCTCTTGCACCCTCCTTCTCATCGTGCTTTGCAGTGTCGTCGAAGCGTACACTTTCAACTTCGAGGTGGGCGACTTTCGAACTCCTTGTATGCGTCCTCATGGACGCGTCACAGTACCACCAAGTACCCGGCACGGACGTCGTGATACCTATCATGGCGACGATCAGAAAGACGCTGGGCAACCTGTCTTTAGGTGCCGGCGACGATTCGCTGCAGCGAGCACGCAGTACTGGCGATGACCCGCTTCAGCAAGCACTCAATCAGGGAAAGGCCCCGACCTTCGGGGACGTAAAGGCCAGAGTAAAAGTCCGTGTAGTCAGCATTTACGCTCGCGACATTGATCTTACGGTAACTCCAGGCTCTTCTGAAGCAAGTCATCTCCTGTACGACGCCGATGGAGCCTCTGCCCAGTACGTAGACGTCGCTCTTCTCAGTTCTCAAAGCTCACGGGGAACAGAGAAGCGATATGCCAACTTCAAGGTCTTCTACAATGCGTCAACTCCGATTGACTACGAGGCGCCGGGCTTCAAGCCTGGCGATGTCGACAAGGATCGCTGGTACATCATGACCCATGCGATTGACGAGATCCCGGAAAGGTATACAATGGGCAAGCTTGACACAGGTCATCACCGGTACGCATACATCCCGACTTATAGACGTAGTTGATCGATTTGGGATTCAGAGTGAAGCTGAGCGTTACTTCGATTGCGGGCTTTCTCCCGGGTTCGACAGAACACGATGACTCGCCGTTCGCAGGCCCTTCGACGCGCTCTCATGGTGTTCCGGCCCTCACGCCCGCGCAAGAATTTGCTCTGCGCGCTCAGCAGAGTGCAAAGCAAGCGGAGGACGCCGCGCTGCGTAACGTCGCGTGGGCGCTCGACGCCGCCGATGCTATCGACCCTGATGCAGACGGCGAGGTCGACGAGGAGTACGACGCGGCGGCGGGAGGTCTGCCGAGATTGAAGTCCTTCAACGATTCCGGGATCGATATCAATATGGTGCCAGTTGGCATTCGCAACGACCAGGGTATCATCGAGCCCATCCCGGCTAAGTCACTGCCCGTACACTTCGGCGGCTCCTTGGACACACCACGTCATCTGAAAATGGTGCGCACTCTTGTTCATCGCAGATTACAGCTTGGTCTGACGCTAATGCAGAACGTCGATGCTCCGAGCGACCAAGATCTGTCTAGCACCCAGTTGATGATGACGCCCACCCAGACGTTTCCCGTCACCCCCATGAATCGGCAGACGAGGTCGACAGTCTTGCAATCTTCCGGCCAAACACAGTCGATGGGCACGCTCGACCTGCCGAGCTCGGCAGACTTCGATACGCAAATGCTGCAGGACATGAACCTGGATATGAACGGAGACACCATGGCCATTGACGAAACGGAGATCCTTAGTGAGTCCGAAGGAAACTCTTCGAGGACGATCTAATGTCTTGGCGAAGATCTCGAGACGCAACTGCCGGAGGAAGATACCTACGAAGACCCTATCCAGTCTTTCGCGTCTAGGAGCGCTTCAGAGGCGCCGCCCGTTCAGAAGACCCCCATTGTCGACAATGGCCTGAAGTGCGAATGCGGCATACAGGTGATGTACTTGACAAGCTTCCTAGCGTCCCCCTCGCTGATAGATGATCGAAGGTCGAAGATGATGATCGCGTGCACTGCGAGGGCCCCTGCGGCCACTGGTTCCACGCCTGGTGCATGGGGTACGTTGGCGACACGGTCCTGTCTCTCCAGCTTTTGACTTTTCTCATGATCAGATACCACTCGAAGAAGGACAAGCGGCTTCCGAAGTACTTTATTTGCTTCGATTGTGTCGCGCGTTCGGAAGATACATGGGAGCTGATCAAGAATACGATGTACCCGCAGATGCGCGGCAGGCTTCAGGACTTGGCTAGGTTTAGGTGAGGGCTTTGCTCAGCCATTGTTATAGCTGAAGGGCTCATCGTCATCCATAAAGGCGAGCCATCAAGAAGGCGGAAACGATGGGCCAGAACACCACCGCCCAGACGTTCGGCAAGGTCGTCCGCTGCGACCAAAGTATCGGGAAGACACTATTCGCGAGGCTGGAGGGCGAAGGTAACAGCGGCGCATTGTTGACTCGCACGCACACTGATCCTTGTAGGCTTCATCTCGCAACAAGTCGTCGAAGTCGATGGGCTGGGCGTCCAGCATTCGCGGGCGGCGGCGGCGAAGGGGAAGGGGAAGGCACCCGCGAAGCCTCGCAAGAATGCCAAACGCCGCTGGGTGTTCAATTACACGATGAAGGAGGGCCAAGCGTATAAGGACTACTTCGACCCAAACCCGGAGGTGGTAAGAAGGATTCTGAAGGTTCCGGAGTTGGTGCGTGCTTCGCTTCGCCTGTTGTCTGGTTGTTCGTTTGGCCAACTGCCATGACTGACGCGCCGACGATTTTTGCAGGAGAAGAGCGTGAAGGCGCACAAGAGTCCGTTCCTTGAGAGCACGAACTACGCGCGCGGCGACGTGGAAGAGACGCAGACGCAGGAGGATACACAGATGTGGGACGGCACGGCGGCGAGGAAGCGTGACGATCGTAGCGACCAGTCGGAGCGCCCCAGGAAGAAGACGAGGATGTCGCTGGCGTCTGCTGTGGACTTGGCGGAGTAGTAGGACTCTCGTTTGACTCCTGGATGCTTTCTCGGCGGACTTGACCTCGCTTTCTTTTCTCTTCGGCTGTCGTGCTGTCGTGCTCTCTTCTTTCGCTATGGATCTCCTCGGCTGGTTCTCCCGTTTCCGCTGTCATGCATCTTGCTCTGGACTCGCTGTGGCTTTGCTCTCGTCTTGTGCTCGTCCAATGACCTTCGCTCTCTACCGTCTACGTTGCGCTCGCTCGACTTACGGATGACCTATACTTGCACTGCTCTCTCGTTCTTTCGTTATATTTTTCCCTTCTCAACCGCTCTAGCATGCTGTGGTTACTAACTTACTCGTCTGTATCGTCCATCACCCGATTCTGTGCCGTTGTCGAAGTCGAGATCAGCTTGCCCTCAAGCAGGCAGTATAAAGCGCCGGAAATGGCAATTTTCTCAGCATCCCCTTGCGATCTTCTATGTCGGCGGCTGCATCGTTCGGCCGTCGTCCGCATCGCGAGGACCTCGCAGGAGAGTAAAACGGGTGCAAGGCATAGACTACGCACCTCCGTATCTCCCTGGCGCCGCTTTTACGACGTCGGGGCTCGTTAGAGTGGTGTACATTCGTTGCAATATAGATGGATATTTTCAGTACAATGGATTGTGAAGCGGGAAGGACAGATATGAGATAGTGCTTGGATGACGAAGATGATGAATGAAGCATCGACGTGAGTATGAGGCAGGTCGGAGTGCCGACGGATCGAGAAGGCGCGACGCGTCGACCGAAGAAAGGATTACTAGTATAGGTCTCCCTCTGCCATCATGGTCTACAAGCTCTCTGCATCGTTAGAGGCACACTCGTCCGATGTTCGTATTTCCCAAGTACCTGTGAGACTTCCCGCTGAACGCACCCATCGCAGGTGCGCGCGCTCAAGGCGCCGTTGAACGACCTCATCCTCTCCGCATCGCGCGACACGACCGCGATCGCCTGGACGCGCGACGCCTCTGGCCCCGCGTTCAACCCCGACAGCGTCTTCCACCCCGGATCCGCGTATGTGAACTCCCTGGCGTACATCCCGCCTACAAACGACGCGCCGAAAGGTGAGCGAGCACGCAGACGCGTCGGTGGCGCGCGCTGACGCGGCCGAGGCTACCTCGTCACGGGCGGCCAGGATAAGCTGATCAACGTCTTCCGGCTCGGCGCGGGCGCGGAGGAGCCAGAATTCAGGCTGGTGGGGCACAGCGGGAACGTCTGTGCGCTGGATGTGTCCGCGGGAGGGGCTATAGTGTCGGGATCTTGGGATGCGTACGTGGTTGCGCCATATTTGTGTGCTCGATGGCTCACGATTACATAGTACAGCAAGGGTATGGCGGAACTTCCAGCTTGCGTACGAGTTGAAAGGGCACGAGAGCTCTGTGCTGGCTGTACTCGCGGTGGATGAGGACAAGGTCCTGACAGGTGCGTGTGCATACCCCATCCCCCTTGCAATCTCTCTAACTCCAAGTAGGCTCCGCAGACAAGACAATCAAGCTCTGGCAGAATGGCAAGGTCATCCAGACCTTCACTGGTCATACCGACGCTGTTCGCGGCCTCGCACTGGTTCCGGACATCGGCTTCGCCTCTTGCTCGAACGACACGCATGCCCCCCTTCTTTACCTACATCATACTCGGCTAATGCAGCGACAGTGAAATACGCGTATGGACCTTTGGCGGCGATCTACTCTACACGCTGTCTGGACATACCGCCTTCGTCTACAGCCTCTCGATACTTCCAAATGGCGGGATCGTCTCCGGAGGCGAGGATCGTTCCGCACGCGTCTGGAAGGGTCAGCACCTCCTCAGTCGTCCCACTACTTCCGCTCAATAGTGTCGCTTGCAGACGGCGAGTGCTCGCAGGTCCTCACTCACCCCGCAATCTCTGTATGGGTAGTCACAACGATGCCCAACGGCGATATCGTGACTGGCGCGAGCGATGGTATTATCCGCATTTTCAGCGAATCGCAGGATAGGTGGGCATCTGCGGCCGACCTTCAGGCGTACGAAGAGACCATCGCGCGGCAGGCTTTGCCTTCTCAGCAGATGGAAGGGCTGAACACGAACGACTTGCCCGGTATTGAGGCTCTCGCTACGCCAGGTTGGTACCCTTATCATTGACTTCAGTGTTCCTGCTTACAGTCGCATAGGTACCAGGTCAGGTCAACAGAAGCTGGTGAAGAATGGCAGCGTCGTCGAAGCACATCAGGTTCGTGCCTTCCGGTATGTTTGGGCCTGTTCACTTACAATTGCAGTGGGATTCTCTAGCTGGGCAATGGCAAAAGATTGGCGACGTCGTCGGCGCTGTCGGAAACAATAAGCGCCAACTATATAATGGCAAGGAGTACGACTACGTTTTCGACGTCGCCATCCAGGATAGCGCGCCGTCTCTGAAGCTTCCTTACAACGCCAACGGTACGTCTGACCCTTGTGCACGATGCAGTCCCATTGATGCACTCGCAGAGAATCCGTACACCGCCGCTCAGCGCTTCCTCGCCGCCAATGACCTACCGATGCACCACCTCGACGAGGTTGCGCAGTTCATACAGCAAAACGCTTCAGGCGTCACGCTGGGAGCAAGCAGCGAATACGTAGATCCCTTTACGGGCGCAACGAGCTATCGAGCTGGCGGTGGATCTAGCTCGGCGGCAGCGCCTTCAGGCAACTACGTCGACCCCTTCACTGGCTCAAGTCGGTATACAGGAGCACCTGCACCGTCAGCTGAGGGCGCTTCGACATACCAAGACCCCTTCACGGGGGCGTCAAGGTATCAGTCGAACCCACCGCCAGCACCAGCGAAGCCGAAGATTATACCAGCTGTAAGCCTCATGCATACTGTCCCTTGCAAAGGTTTAACTGATATGCTCCCAGCCCGCCGCGGTGACTTTCAAGCAGGCAAATGTAGCAGCCATGCAGGGAAAGCTCAATCAGTTCAACGAGGCTCTGACGAACGAGATTGTGAGTGTCATGTCGGCCTATAGACATCGAATACTCACTCCGATCATTCTAGTCCACCTCCTCGCTAGCAATGTATCCGGAAGAACTCGCCGCCATAGACGACGCCTTCGCTGTCCTCTCACAACCGACACCTGAAGGAAAACTGCTCGGGGACGCCCAAGCCGAGGCGGTGATCTCGATACTCGAGCGTTGGCCTACAGCCCAGCTCTTCCCCGTTATCGACCTCACGCGGTTACTCGCTGGTCACGCCCTGCACATATTCCATTCCTCTGCGCAGAAGGAGCGTCTATTCGCCGCGTTGTTCAAAGCCGCGGAGTGGGGCGCTTCGTGGAATCCGCCGATTCCGAAGGCGCGGGAGACGAACGTATTGCTCGTACTAAGGACGGCGGCGAATGTGTTGCAAGAGGGGACGTCGTTAGGAGCAGAACCGTGGTTGGTGAAGGTGAGTGGTTTGTACTTTGGTTTGGAATATGAGGTTGACAGGATGCAAAGCTACTTGAGGGACTGTCGGCCGTGCCCTATGCGTCTTTGAACAAGAACCAGCGGGTCGTGTTCGCCACCGTCTTATTCAAGTACGTTCTACTCTGCCTAACACGCAATCCCTGCTTATGCCAATTATCTAGCGCGTCTTGTGTGGCATTGAAGGTTCCCATCGACCCTGCTATCTGCGGCCAGGTCGTTACGCTCATCCTCCAGGTATGTATTCGCACGTCGCTGGCGCAGGCCTATGCTGAGAGACTTCGCAGCTACTGCAAACGGAGACCGTTGACTCGGAGGCGAGCTACAGAGCCCTGGTAGCGCTGGGTAATCTGGTGAGCTACCGCGTCTGGCCTATTTGTCGCGCAAACATCTAACCTGCTCGTCAAGGCCCATGCGCGCAAGGCGCAAATTGATCCATCTTTGCGTGGGTCCGCTGTCGAGCTTCTCAGTGGTTTGCCTCGCATCTTCAATGAGGATCGTGTACGGAATGGGGCAGCAGAGGTCGCATCGCTCTTGAAGTGATCAGAGCATGTTGAAGGAAGAGAAGCGATACTTAGACGTGGGCATTCACCGCAATGGCACTGACGGATCATCCTCATAAGTGTTCTGGATCTTGTGTATGTAGAATAGGTGTATACATGACCTACTGGAAAACGCATTGGAATATGAACAGATGAATTGTTCACAAAGGAGATCAGGGGTTATTTGAAGGTCGACAGTTGCGCGCCACTATCAAGCCTTTGGCCTGCTTCCGCGGGATCTATAGCGAATATAGCCTTTGATGGTGATCAAAAAATGCATCTTCCGAGTTGTGCATCGTCCTCACTCGTTTTTCGACCGTTCTTTGCGTTCCCTGGACCGTTCGGAGGCTGGAAAAAAGTAGAGGGTGCTGTAACCCCTGGCGGGACTCGAACCCGCAACCTCCAGATGCCACCAAGCTCCGAATTTCAAAGGAAAAGCAGAGAAGTAGAAGTCTGACGTCATAAACCATTAGACAACAGGGGCCTAAAGCGAACTCGAGCCTAGTGATATACAATGTCATGTCCATAGTGGGATTGCATTGAGGGCCCCGCAACCTCTCACCCTGGAGTAATATAAGTGACACAGGAATTTCAGGCGCTGTACTCCACCAAAGAGATTGGCCTACAGTCTTTTGGCCCTCCTTGTCACGCGGTGGTCACACAACTTGAACTTCAACCACCATGAGCGCAGCACCTGCAAATACTGCAGATTACGTCTGGCGACCACCGCAATACGCATTTGATTGCGCGCCGACCCTACAGACTACTGCATCTGTAACTCAGGCGGACGCAGGAAATAGCAACTTTGTCAGGACAGCGAAATGGTAGGTTCGCCACGACCTCTGAACTGTCCTCTCGTAGATCCCTCATAAAACTGCAAACTGCTGCCATCATGCTCCAAGCAATTTTTCTAAAAATTTCATTTACGATGTGGCACAGGTGTCCCGACGGCTCCTCGCTTCTCATGCATTGCGAGAACAGAACGTTTGAACTGCTACCCACGTACGCTCACGTTCTGTTCCTGCCTCACGCCTCTTGACGTGCGGTATCAAGGCCCTCGTACTCTGCCGGACTGTCAGATCAAGAGTCAATAGCCGCTCATGCCACAACATCGCTGCACGGACCCAGCATCGTTCTCCCCCAACCGGCGCCAATCCTCGATTTTGCGTGGTATCCGGGCGCTACCGCGCATAGCCCAGCAACGCATTGCTTCGTTGCTTCTGTGAGAGAGTGCCCTGTCAAGCTGCTCGATGCGAGTAGTGGTCGAGTGAGTTCCAGTTCATTTCATGGTCGTACCATCATTGTACCACCTCCCATTGTCGTTGGCCATTCAGTCCCATCCTATTTGGCATTGTATACTGCCTTCAGCCTCTCTTACTTATCACCAGCTTCGCGCTTCATACAAAATTGTCGACCATCGCGAACGGCAAATCGCCCCGCACAGCCTCGCTTTCAACTTATCTGCTCAGAGGTGCGAATAGGTTGCCCAGTAGTAGGATATTCGCTGAACACGCACATTCTCTATCTATGCATCTTGCATCTTGCTCTATAGGATCTACTGCGGCTTTGAGGACGCCATCGAGGTCTTCGACGTTATGGTTCCGGGCGAAGGCACCCGCCTACCCACCACACCATCCAAAAAGAGCAAAGACGGGCTCAAGGGTACATTGCACTCGCTCTCTGATCCATCCATTCCTCCTTGCATCCCACACAATCTTCGTCCTCGGCCCTCGCCATTACCTGCTAGCAGGTGCTGACCACCGACTAGGCATCATCTCCGCCCTCGCCTTCTGCCCCTCCTACGCTTCTGACGTCTTTGCCGCGGGCACCCTCTCCCCACACGAAGGTAACATCGCCCTCTTCCGCGAATCAGACGGAGAAATTCCCCTCGCTTTTCTTGGGGGCGGGCTTCGGGCGGGCGTTACGCAGGTAAGCTGTACTCCTTTCCCGCCCATCCTCATACCACGGCGCTCACAGAGATCACCACTCTTTCCCCTTTGCAGCTTCACTTCAACCCCATGCAGCCACACCTCCTCTACGCTGCCTACCGCCGCCGCCCTGAGATTCTGTGCTGGGACCTTCGCTCAGGCATGACTGCCCCGCTCGCTACCTTTGTCGACCCAACTGCCCCGAATCCGAACACATTGACGAACCAGGTAATCTACTCTCCGACGCGCTTGCTCTGGATACGCTCGCAGAAGTATCCCCACAACTGACCGACGAATCAGAAAATGCGCTTCGACATCGACATCACCGGTCGCTGGCTCAGCACTGGAGATCAGGCGGGGCACCTCCTGGTGTTCGACTTGACGAAAGCCAGCGGGCCTACGGAGCCACAGCACGAAGTCGAGACGATCGAGATAGGGCCTGCGTGCAAGGTCGAGGCGCATGGAGGTACGTGGCACTCGTTTATTTCTTGTTACTCTCCCTCATTACGCTCCAATCCTTTGTCCCCCTGGCACGAGTGCACAGACTGAAGTAGCCTTCCTATGCAGATGCAATTGGCTCCGTGGCTTTTCAACCACTGCAACCCATCGTTGCGACAGCATCAGGGAGCCGTTATTTCGACGTAGACGAGACCAGTAGTAGTGACTCGGACTCATCGGACGAAGACGCAGACTCATCGGAGGACGATGCTGCCCCGCAAGCCACTGCACGGAGGGTAGGAAGTGGCAAGGCAGTCGGTGTCGGGCCAAAGACACGAGATGCCTCAATCAAGTTCTGGTACGCAGGTGGCAGCGCGGCGCACACTAACGTCGGTGAAGGCGAGAGATGACACCGGGCGAGCAACACTGTCCGGGAGACATGTCGTGATTATACGTATAGTAGGCGAGATACATACATAGTCGGAATGACAAGGGCATGAGGGGAGTGATGAAGACTGTTGGTGGAAAAATGTCAATATCTACTCCCGCTCGTTGGCACGCTCGAGCTGCTGCCGCTTGCGCGCACCACCACTGAGGAATATAACACATCAGTACCCGAAAAAACGCGGAAAGGAAAATGGACGTACGCCTCCGTGTCCAACCCTCGCTTCTTCCCTGTCTTTGCCTCATCCAAGAATTGGTTCAAGCCGAACACATCGCCCGTGTCCTTCTCGAACTGCACCGGCCCCTCCCTCACCTCCTGCTCGTTCGCGCCCTCGAAGCCCACGCGCGTCGGCCCCAGGCCGAACCGGTCCGCCTCCAGCGCCTTCCCAATCCCCTCTTCCGTCCCGCCGCCGAACTGCTCCGCGTCCTCCCCGCCAATATTCGCCCGCGCCTTGTAGATCGCCGCCGCGGCCGTCGACCCATGGAAAAGCGGTCTATCGTACAAGCTGTAGCTCTCCTCGTCCCCGAAGCTTCCTGGCAAGCTCTCCTGGTTGAAGAGCCGGCTGTCGAGCATGGATTCCTTAGAGAGCGTGGGCTTGGCGATCCCGAGCGCGACCTTCTCCGAGATGTCGCGGTTCTGCTGGCGTGCGAGCATCTTTGCGCGCTGCTCCGCGCCCATGTTGTTCATACGCATCTCACGCTCGCGCTCCCGGCGCTTCTCCTTGCGCATCTCGTCGCGGATGCGCGCGGCCTCCTCGTCCTCGCCGCTGTCCTCCGCCGCGGACTCGCGGTCGCTCTCGGACTCGGAGTCGCTGCCGTAGGCGCCGAGGGAGGCTTTGGCGGCAGCGGTGGCCTGGGCGGTGGCTGCAGCACGCGGGGCGCCGCCGCGCTCTTCGCGGGCGCGCTGCGCCATCATGCGCAAGTTTTCCTCCTTGGCGGCCTTCTCCTTTGCCGCAAGCTTTTGCTGCATGATGGCACGCTGCCGTACCTCCTCACGGGCGTGTCGGTCGGCCACGAAGAGGGCTTCGGAGAATTTGGCAAAGTTGTCGTTGATTGTGACCTGTGCAGGGGTAAGCTTCTGTTGGCAAGAATATAAGGGTCATACGCACATCTTGCAATCCACGACCATCGGCGGCGAGACGCTTGTCAAGCGGGATCGTGAAACCCTTGTTGTTCTTCCAGTTCGAGATGCATGGTGGTATCATCCACTCCTTCTGCTCCGCCGCCGTCGCCTTCCTCGGCGGGCTACGCAGCACCGGTGGCGGCGGACTCGGCGGTCCCCTCGGAATCTTCTTGTGCTTATACCGCGGCGGCTCCAGCGGGTCCTCCACCACCTCGGACATCTTAATGATGCGCTGCTTCAAGCCGGCCGCGCCATTCTGCTGACCGGGCGTATAGCGGATGTAAGAGGTCTTGCCCTGGCCACTAGCGACGTTCTTCGGCTGGGCGGCCTTGATCTTGCCGTTGACGAGCTTCTCGAGCGCAGCGCGCGTCTTGTCGGTCGTCGCCTGGACCTCGTCCTCGGAGGGGCGCTCCATGGCACGCGCCTCGTCGTCGAGATCTTGGCGGTGCAGCATGGGGACAAGGTCCTTGAACTGGGACTGCACGGTTTTGCCCTCGCGCTGACCCTGGGTGGCGATGGCGTCGTAGCGGACATTGCCCTCGCTGTCGACTTGGAGGGCGATAGTGTTTCCCGCGGCGGTCTGCGCAAAGGGTCAATATACAAGAGAGGAGAGTCAATTGCCTACGCACCTTCTTCTTGCCCATGTCCAGGGGATATTGCGCTACATGGCATTCAGGGTACGCACCGCCGTCCCCTGAAAACACGGTTAGCTATGTCGGGAACCATCTTTTGACACGCACCGAAGTCTGCCTGACTCGTAGGCCTCCATCCCTTGCGCTGTCCGTAAGGTGGAATAGGTGCCCGCGTAATGATAGTCGTCGATGTTGACGCCTGCCTGAAATCCTCCTCGTGATCGGACTCCACGCCCGAGTTGATGGGTTGCGGGAGTGCTCTGCGTTTCTTTTGAGCAGCAGTATGGCGGATGAACAAAGGAAACTCACGCTGCGAGGGACGCCATCGCCGTCGACGTCGATGGCAAGAACAATGCGGAGCTCAGCGGCACAGCCACCGCATGCTGACATGCGTCGGTGTTTCGGCCCGGCCCCCGGCTTACGCCAATGGCCACCTCTCCACCACCTCCGACAGACTAGTAGCTATATTATGCGTGTATATGGGAAGGATCTATCTGCTAGTGTACAGAACCGTATACTATACTTACCGCAGGGCCCCATTACCAGTTCTCGACTGGACAAGCGAACTTCCTCCTCTCGCCATCTCGTCGCAAGGAATTGCGATTGTACCCGTCCGGTCCCTCAATCATGTCCACCACTCTTCTGTCAATTCTCCTAACGCTCCTCCCCTTCCTCCTCCTCATCCCTCAAAAATATCGGCCTATCCCCATCAAAAGACTTGGGCGACAATAACGGCGCCTCCTCATCGAAGTCCTCAATCGCACGCGCCGCGCGCTCGTCAACGTCCGCCGGCAGACCATCCAAATGCCGGATGTGCCCGGTGACGGCCGTGTACACGGCGTAGGAGGCGAGGGCGGCGAGGATGATGCCGCCGGCGATGAGCGCGGCGTTGATGGCTTTGGTTTCTGGGGGTGGGGTCAGGCAGGGTGAAGGGGAGGGGAGGGGAGGAGCGAGAGGTTAAGGGATCGGGTGAAACTCACGAGGATCCATGTGGCTACGCTGGTCCCCGTCTGCGAGAGCTGCCATGCGTGAACCGATGAAGGTGTGCAGGAGCAGCTTGGGGAAGACGAAGATGGTGGCGAACAGGAACTGCCACAGCTTAACGGGTTCTATGGACTGGGGCGTGCAGTGTCAACGAGCCGCCAGGTGCAGTGCCAGAGGGGAAGTACGCACAGCGAACAAGGTATTCGAGTACACCCAAGGCGGGAAGGGCGAAACACGGATGAGAACGATGAGCGGGAGGCCCTTGGCGCGCTAGAATGACACGACGCGGTCGTTCTCAGCAGACAACAAAGCTTGTGGTCGCATTCACTCACCACAACCGACTCCAGCGCCTGCCACTTCTCATTCTGCGATGCCCACGCCTTCAACCGGCGACTGAACAGCAAGCGCAGTGCGACGAAGACGAGTGCAGAGCCCACCAGCGATCCGACCGCCGAGATGAAGAAGCCCTTCATGCCATAGGCGAAGCCGCAGAGCGTGGTGATCGTCGTGTGCCCGATGAGTGGGGGGAAGGAGACAGCAACTGGGGGTGGTGTGAGATTCAGATGGTGTGAGGTTTGGGAGGGAAGTATTGAGGGGTGAGAGGCAAGATGGGGTGAAGGGAGCGTACCCATGAGCGCTCCGATGGCCAGCCATCCGAGGCGGAGCTGCGCGAGGTCGGTGCCGCGGTCATAGAACCACTGCGCGATGCGGCTCGGTTTGAGGATGATGAAGGTCGCGACTGACCATAACCGTTCAGTCCCAACGTGCATTAGACCGGATGTAGGGCACGCACTTATCGCAGCATAGAATAACATAAGCAGCCATAGGAACAACTAGTAACCATCCCTGCGTGAGCCATAGCATCCGCGCAGTCCAAGGATGCGCGCCACCTTGCTCCAGATATTCAAGTGCTTGTACTTCCGCCAGGCCCATCGTGCAAGACGTTTCGGCACATCGAGGAGAGACTGTCGGTCGTCAGAGGAAGCCATGGAGGCGGGAGGGAAGGAGCGTCTTGCGGCGGCCTGTGCAGTTGTCAGCGCGGTGCGTCAGTGCGCGGCTAGGTGCCGGCCGATAAGATTAGATTACGCTGCAGGTCACGCGCCTCCCACGCATCAGTTGAACTTCAGCTTGGGTTTCGCAACGACAACGCAATCCATGTCTTTGGCCACACACTACCTTTCGAATCTCGTTGCCGTCTGAATCGCCTGATATTAGGGTCTCAGGTGACTGAGCAAACAAATCAGATAGTACAATGGCATGGGAGACTTCTGAGCGATCTGCACGCGCAGCTCTGGCGCGGTACCTAAGAAGACCATTGTGTAATTCCGGTCCGCATGCAGGACTGGGTCATCAATATATAGAGAGAAAGAGTGTAGACCAAACTAGATAGCCAAGATGCGATGTTTACACACAGATGGTTGATCTCGAGAAAGGAGGGAGCGTCGGGATTGTGCAGGTATAATACTTCGGACTCAGGCTCTGCTTCCTTACTTGTACGGAATCCCATTTTGCAACTGAAAAACAAGGTAATCAGCGCCCAACGTCGCCATCCCCATCATAAGGACGTTACTCACCCTCTGGAACTCATCATACGCCGTACTCCTCATATTCTCATGCGCGTTCTTGATGATGCCCATCATGAAGTCCGCCGCCTGCCTTTCGTTCAGCCCCAGAGCAAACCGATCGCGCAACCTCCGAATCGTCGGCTCGCCCTTAAACGACGGCAGACTGGTGTCCAGCATCAGGCGCACGGTGCTGATGAGCTGCTCGGCGTGCGGGCGGATGGCGAGGAAGGCCTTGACGGTAAGCAGCTGGAAGAGCTGATAGCCTTGCGAGTAGCGGCCGCCCATGAGCACGACCATCTCGTGGTTCAGCTTGAAGGAGTTGGGCTCAAATTTGACGCCCTAGAGACGGGTCAGCAACCGATGGCATGGGATGAGGGCAGACTTACACCAGGCCCGATGTCGAAGAGGAAACCGAAGTCGATGTGGACGATGTGTCCCTCGCCGTCAATCATGATGTTTCCGTTGTGCCGGTCCTTGATCTGGAGGATGTAGCATGCGACGGAGTAGGCGGCCATAGATTGAATGAAGTTGAGGCGCGCGCGCTGGAAGGCGACCGTGTCCTGCCCACCATACTTGGCGATGAAGAAGTCAAGCAAGTCGTTGACTTTGGCGCGACCCATCTCGTCCCGAGACGTTGCGTTCGGTACGACGTCAATGACACCACACCCAGGACCCGTCGCGGTAACACGGTACGGGTAGAGGTAGAGCGTGAGGCCGATGCTCGTATAGATGTTCTTGAACATGGCGATGACCTGCAGCGCGAGCACGTCCTGCCGACAGTCGTCGCCGACCTTGAAAATGGCCTGCTGCCAAACCTCGTACTCTCGCTTCTGCTCATGGCCTGCACCGTCGCTGTCTAGCAAAGAGTCCGGGTCCTCGTTGATGACCACCCCTTCCTTGCGAACCTTGAAGGTGGCCATGAACGGAGCCTGAAATGGAGCGTTAGGCAAGGTATACCGGGACACCTATAGAGGGTAAACCTTGGCATGGCTCTGCAAGGGTCGCCCAGACTTCTTGTCGATATCAACGACAACACCATCCGGATTACTAGGAAGATAGACGCCAACATCGACCACAATCTTCGCCATTTCCTCGTCGATCTTAGCCTGGTTTGTCGTCAGCACAAGCATTGCGACGCAGGCATGGACCATACCTTCTTCTCCGGCTTCGTCTTCTTGATGTATGGCTTCAGCTTGCCCGAAATCGACGTGACCTCGTTGAAGAACCCGAACTCGCGGTCGTAAAAGTCGCGAGCCTCGCCAGACAAAGATGCAACGATCTTGTTGACCATGCGGTCCAATACAGGCTTCAAGGGATCCTCCTGCATGCGAACATCAACAGCTGCTCGCCATACATGTAGGAACACACGCACTAGTTCGCCGAGATCGTCTTTGTAGCAGTTTGCCTTCATGTTCCAGATGATCTGGTGGCAGAAGAGCTGCGAGATCTTCGCTGTTTCGAAGATGAATTGCTCGACGTAACCTGAGAAGGGTATCAGAAGATGGCTTTGGAGGGTATACGCAGCCTTTACCGAGATCATCGTAGCGAAGTGCTTGGACGAGTTGCGGGACAAAGAAGAATGTCAGGTCGACCGGGTGCCCTTCCAGAACGCGATGCGCATATTGCAGGATAATCGCGTCGTTCTTGAAGCGTCGCTCGAAGAACGTGTTTGCGATAATTGCGGACACAGGTGCCCAGAGCAGGAGGTACTAAATGGAATGGTGAGACAGGTCTGACAAGCCCTTTCAGGGTTCACTCACCCTGAGATCACGGCGTGCGTTGGTGACGTCCAGGTTGTCACCGATGAGGTACGGTACGGCCTCCGCAACGTCCAATACATCGCGAGTACTCGAGCGCACAAGCCTTACGACCTCATTGCGTACAGCAGGTTGCTTGAACCGCTCCGCCATGAAGACCGCAATTGCTGGGTCGACCTGCCATGCCGTCCTCACCAGGGTTTGCCAATTCGCCTGCGATAGTCAGTCGTTGTAGCGAGGTAATATTGTAGTGCAACATACGTCGTACAAAGTGCGCTCCGTTGCACTGACATGGTCTTGTCCCCGCTTGGGATCGTTCGTGGAATTTGCCCACACAGTCAAGCGGAATAGCTCGTTCTCGACCAGCAGCTTCAAAGGTGCGCTGAGGCTAGCCAACCTCTTCTTATAGTCTGGCGGACGTAAGTATAGGTCTGCGAACATATATAGGAAACTCACAAGACGCACGAGACGCCAGCTGTGAAGTCGCCAGACTGGTCACAGCCGATGCGGGGCTGACGATATCGCGCTGCAGATATGACAGGAACTCCGAGAGGACTTTGACGTCGGCATCTAGCTGTACACGGTTGGCACCATACGACCATCTACAACGACCATTAACACAGTTCGGATGTAGCACAAACTCAACTCACTGAGGCCGCACCGCAAACCAGGAATAAGCGAAAGAGTACAGGTTCTCTCTCAATATGTTCTCGCAGTACGAGTCAAGGTGCGAGCTCTTCAGCGTCTCGAAGCCAAAGAGCAAAAACGAGAATCGTGCTTCCCGAGCCAATGGATGGGTGCTGACGACAATGAGCGGAATGTCACTGATGGATTAGACGAACTCACCTCATCTCCGAAAAGGCCTTCGCGGTCCGCAACACGAGGTGCTGGATGATGAACATGACCTCGGGCTTCCGGTAGCGCGCGGCTTGCAAACGACTGAACAGCATCTCCAGTACCAACGCATGAGGCACCGTCAGACGGCGTGCTGCAGTTGAGGCACGGTCAATGAGCTCCTTGTCCGTTGGCGCATAGTCGACGGGGTGGAAGAAGGGGTCTTCGTAGCTGTACTACTGTTAGCTCATAGCTTCAAATGATCAAAGAGGCTATCCTGACTTGAGCGTCTTCGAGAAAAGACCCTTCTCTTGCTTGATCGTATCTGTCCAGGCCTCCAGAATTTCCGAGGCAAGAGCAACCTCGATGTTCGGCTTCGACGCGATCAGCCATGTCCACACTTCGATACCGGCACCAATGGAAGATGGCGTCGCGACCTCGAACGGCAGCACTACAATGTGATGCAAAAGAATATAGTCGTTCTGGACCTTGGTCAGTATAGCAATTGGAAAATCTGATTCGAGACTACCTGTGGCATTGCAAGAAGTGTCGCTGCAGCGCGGAAGAGAAGGCGCTTGAGGTTCTGCACAGTAAGGCCGCTGTGCTTATTCCTGATGTCCTCGAGGCTCTGCGCTAGCTTGGCCTTGAGCGCATGCAGCTCGTCTAAAGGTGCAGACGTAGGAGGCAGCTTGTCCAGTTCGCCTGAGTCTATGCGAAGGATCAGGAAACTGCATACATCAATTGAAGCAAGTAGCACACCTTGACGACTTGCCAACCGCACACCAGCCGCCTCGCCGGCAAAGTAAGACTTGTTGGCGAGCTGACTGGCCAGGCTCTTCGCGCCATCGGTACGACAGTTGGACAAGGCGGACAGTGATGCTGGAGGGGCGTCAAGTCTGTGTAAGTTAGTATAGCACGTGCGACTCACTCAGCTGTCGTTGCACGGGGCCAACCATCTTGCCATAGTGCTCAGCGACCGAAGCACCAAGATCTGCAGACTCGAGATCGAAGCCGGAAGACTGGTTAGTGGCAAGGTAGCGCTGAGGAATGTCAGAGACTTGCATTGCACTGAGGAAATATGTTTACCTGCAGCGTCGCCTTCAGTTCCATTGGCGCACGAGCCAAGGCCAGATCAAGCCAGTTATTTGCGTTCCTGTGCAGCTTCTCCAGTATTTCGTTTCGGACGACGTAGCTGTCCGTCAACTCCAGCGTCACGTCCGAACGCTCGGAGTGGAACTCGTAGACTGGATTATGCTACAGAGCAGTCAGCGCGGGTTTCAAGCAAGCACTTCGTGAATGAGACGCACCTCATCCGTGAACTCGTTCTCGCACCCGCGCCTCAACAGCGTCAACACATCCAAAATCGCAAACACCAACGGTGGATCGCACATCAACGACGGGAACGACGTCAACAGCCGGTTCAAGTATCTTGACGCAATATCCCGCGCCTTCGCCACTCGGTGCGTACTCGCCACCAACAGGAAGCGCAGCTCGCCCGAAAGGCGCTCCGGCAGCGCTTGCCTGCCCGCGAGCACATTAAGGTCGCTGACGCACCCGCGGACGATATTCTCTGCGATGGCGTCCATGCAGGCGCTGAGCTCGGGGTGTCGGTTGAGGCTGTCGTTGATGAAGTAGGAGACGAGAGGTGAGACGAGGCCGACGGCGGCGCGCATGCTTTCCATGTCGTGCATCATGAGGAGGAAGATGACCTGCCCGGAGGAGAGCGAGCGGATCTCGTGCGCGCGCAGGCCGATGTAGTGCGTCAAGAGGTTGCGATGGAGGTTGATGACCGTATGCGCGTACTCCTGGCGAATGACCGAGTTGTACTCGACGTCGCTCGCGACCGAATCATGCGATTCCTCGATGACAAGGGCCGGCGTCTTCGCTGCTATGCGCGCAAGCGCCGGCCTCAACCACTGCATCGCCGTGTTGTCGTCGCCCTCCAGCTTAGTGAACTGGAACAGGATGCAGAGGAACCACATGTGCCGGAAGAGAGACAAGACGCTGGGTGTCGTGTTCTTCTCCGGGTGGAAGTCTTCGTGCGACATCACGGCCTCAATGGGAAGGAGCAGCGATGCTAATTGCTCTATCATGTCGTCGATCTGTGCGGTGGTCAGTCCGACCGAGCAAAATTGGGGATGGCAGATACAGACCTTCACATGACGATTAGATATCTGTGCGTTCTGGATGGCGACACCTTTGTCGGAGAACAAGGTCAAGAGCTCAATGAGATATGTCTCGTAAAGCTCTGGTCTGTGGTGCAGCTCCTGCGCAAGGCGCGTCTGTGCGGCCAAAACCTATAGAATTTGTCAGTCTCTCGCTACGCTGTAGGACCTTTTCAACGCACCATATTGTTCGAAAACCTCGGATCGTCCGGATTCGCCGCACTATTGATGACCGAAAATGCCCGTATAATATCTACAAACGAGCTCTGCGGCGCCGCCAACGCCAGATCCACCAGATTATACGCAATCGCCGCCTCCACCGTCGGTTCCGCCGACCTCAACCTCTGAAGCAACATCGAAATAGTCAGCTTCGTCACCTCCTCCATCTTGAACTCCAGCGCCAGGCGCGTCACCACGCTGATTGTGCTGATGCCGACGAGGCGTTTTTCCTCGTCAGTGAGGCCGCGGAGGCCCGTCTCGACGGACTTGATGGTGGCCTCGCCTTGGGGTTGGTAGAGGGGGTTGTCGAGCATCTGGGAGTTGTTGGCAGAGCCGTAGATTTCTTTGCTGGTGGCGGCGATGTAGTTAAGCAGGGAGTACATGCTCGACATGATGAGGTCGTCGCCCGGGGCCAGCTTGATGCAAAGCGCTAGACACTTCGCGGCAGCGGAGAGCGGGAGCGACGCATGAGTATCCGACATGAACTCCAACTCGAAGATGGGCAGAGGAGAGGTGACAAAGCGACGCAGATGCGGCACCATATTGCCAGCGATCTCGGGGAAGCTAGCCAAGGTCAGGCAAGAGGTCAGAGCAACAAGGAACTAACATACCTCTGCACAAGCACTGTCGTAGCCTTGAGGGCAGCCTCCTGCACCAGGTGATCCGAGATAGGCGACTCATCGCTGAGCAGCAAGAGCAAACGAGCGTAAAGCTTGTCGTCCAGGTCCTTCAGAGCGACTGAACAAACCGATGCGAGTTTCTGCACAGCCGTTAGAATAAGGTTTCATATCATGCAATACTCCGCGTACCAAGCTCTCCGACATCGTCTCCCAAGCATACGTGTCAATCGACGGCTCAGACTCCATCTCCTCAATTTGCACAAGCAGCCCCGTAAAGCACTTCATCGCATACTTGATCGTCTTCTTCATAAACGCGCGGATCTCCTCATCCTCGACCTCCACATCCGCCGGCGCCTGCCGCATGAGCGCCAGCCACGCCTTATTCGCGGCAGCGGCCTCATGCGGGCGGCCTGGCGAGGGACTTTGCGGGGCGAGCACCTGCGCCAGGACCGTCCACTCGATCTCGAGGACGCAGCAGACGACGAAGTAGCCGCTGAGGGGCCGCCCGCGCGAGAGGTAGCGCCCGAGGAAGGTGTGGAGGAAGCGTAGGATGTGCTCGTCGGGGCCGTCCCTCTGCATAATGTCGGCGAGGAGGTTGTTGAGGCGGTCGACGACGGACGGGGCGCAGATGGTGGCGAACTGGGCGGAGAGGGCATGCCAGTGGTTGTAGGTCCATGGGAAGGAAGTGGTGGTGACAGCGCGGTAGAAACCATGCAGTGCGGGGATGATCTGGGTGAGGATGTCGAGGGCTGGAAAGAAGGTAAGCTTCATGTGGGTCAGCGGGGCGAGTAAGTAGACATACAGCTCTCGCGATCTATCCTCGAGCGCAGGTCGGTCACTAGCGAGATGATCGCCTCCGTAGCAGGTGTTACAGCCTCTGGATGCGCGGCAGCAACACGAAGCAACGCAGACACCGTTGAGTAGGTAAGTTGGTCCGGGAGAGACCATTCTACCTTGTGCATCAGCTCGCTGTACGCAATATCGTGGATGTCTACGCACCCTGCCAGTACAAGGACTTATCGAAGTCGACGCGGGGTATTTCCTTCACAATTCCGATTAGGGTGGGTAGTATAGTATCAATCGAGGAGGCAATCCTGCTATCTGGGAAGTTGATGACGAGTTCTCCGAAGCCGATGTTGCAGTGGACGCGGGTAGCCGGCTACCATGAACAGTAAGACGTCGTGTTGTAGTTCCTGCCCAACCGGCTACATACCATAAACACCCTCTCCTGGTGGGCAAGTTCTGCACCATTGGCATCTCCGTTCGACTTGGCCTCACTGCCCACCTCGGCAGACTCGACCTCAGCTTCCAGTAGCTTGCTGGAGATCGTCTCCTGCGCGTAGTCGCATTCCTCCTCTCCTTCGTCCGCAGCGAGCGCTGCGATCTCAGACAAGATCTTCTGGTGTATGTTGAGCTCCAAGCTACCATTCCATTCAGTACATGGCTGCCGTCCGTCCGAAAAGACGCACCAATCCATGTTGAAGCTCGGCGGACGGAGGCAAGGTACGAAGTGATCATGACCGCATCGTCGGCATGATGGCGGCGCCACGAACGCCAATCATGAGCAAATAACGCGCCTGTTGTTCTCTCCCCTCATCTCATTAGCACTCGCACGCAGTTCGATATGGCCAAGACACCCTGTAAGTCGGTATATATGCGCATACATACACCATGACCTAACAGAGGCCCCCGAAGCCAAATCCAGTCTACGCGCCTCGTCTCGCCCGCCTTCTAGGAAGTCGGCCCCGGTGCATTTCGCCGAGGACAGCGACGATGGCATGAAGGTCGATAGCGACATTGATCAAAGTGAAGACGAGGACAACGATGACGCGTGAGTGTGTATCCCGTTGTCCGTATCTCTGCCCATATCCTATCCTCCAGAGACGACCTGCGCAATATCTTCGAGGCCCTTCAGAGTAGGTACCATGAGGGAGATGGATCTGCATGTGACTGACAGCGTATCTGCAGAGCGGCAGCAGAAGAAGGCCTCTGCGCGTACTGCAGCGTTCCAAAGCCAGAAGAAAGCCCTCTATAACAATGGCCGGAAGAAAGTGCAGGACCTCGTTCGCGATGGGATAGAGCTTGCGTATGCACACATCCTCTCTATTCCCCTGTATATCGAGATTGTGACTTCTCACAGAAACAATCTGCGCGCCCAAATAGCCGAGCTTGAAGCGCAAGAAGTCTCCTACGAGCAGCAGAAAGAGCAGTTCGCTTCGCTGCTCAAGGCAATGGATGTACGTCTTTTCACCCAGTCACCCTATTTAACTGGAATGAACCCGCATATAGCAAGAGACGAATGCCCTCCTCGGTGCTGCCCGGGTCATCGAAGACCTCAACGCCCGCCGGGTCACCATCATCGACGCTTGCAGCAACCACGGTAAGCGTCGTCGATCTTGCAGTATGCTGCCTTCGTCCTCAAATTGCATTGGTAGTCGAAGAACGCCCCGCGCAGCGCGAGCGGACTCTGCAGAGCTTCCTCGTCAAGGCTCGGGACCAGGTCGAGCGCAGTCGGGCGGAGCAGAAGGTCTGGCTTTCTGAGCGTAAGGCAGGACGCAGACTTACAGTGTCGACTTTGCAGAGCGCCACGGACGCAAAAGCACTCATCAAGCAATACAAGAATATCCTTCGCGCAGCAGGCAACGAATGAATGGTTCCCTTGAGGCTTGCTCTCACGCGTTGCCTATCCGCTATGCTTACTCTGTCATTGTCCACTATCGCCCATTCTCGTACCTTGCTGTCTCGCTATCTCGCTCTGCCTCGCTGACTGCTATCCGCCGTTGCTCTGTCATGCTTTCACCCGCACTCCTGGTCTCTGCTGCAATCGTATCAACCGCTATTTGTCTCTACCTTGGCGCCAGCATCTGGACCTTCGCTCTTCAATCCAACCTCATTCGCTCCTTCTGCAGTTCTTGGCGTCACCGCACCCTTGCCCTTCGGTGTGTTCGCACCCTTGCTCTTCCCCTTCGGTGTCGAAGTTCCGCTCGAAGGCTGGTCTACGTACTCAAACTTGCGCGAGTCGATAGTGAATGTGACTGGACCCTTTGCATATGCGTTAGCCTTTGAAGATTCCTCCGGAGAATACACCGTACCTCGTTGCACAGGCTGACGCTCATCATCGCGCCGAATTTGCCGTCCTTGATCTTATCCGGCTTGTACGCTTTTCCTAAGCTTTCGAGGAAAGAGCTGTAGAATACGCGGCTGGCTTCAGAAGGCTACGATCCCTCAGCACTCAGCACCGCGGCCTATAAGGATGGAGGGGACATTGCGACCTCACCTCCACTTACCATCGCCTTGTGAAAATCCGGTTTGTTCCCCTTCGTCGTGTTGCCGAGCAGTGTAAATTGGGAGACGCAGAGGATGTCGCCGTCTATATCCTTGACGCTCGACTTCCACATCTTGACATCGTCTGCGGGGTCATTGAAGACGCGGAGGTTGAGACTGGGAGGCGGCACTTATGAGCACCGAAAATGAGATGAAGAGGATCTGTAGTACTGATTAATCACATTTTGTTGATGATGGTGGCAGCGTCTGCTGGACTATCATCTGTGCAGATGTGAGGCCCTCTAACATGCATAATTTGCGTTTGATTTACCGGTGCCGATGCCGACAAGCACCATCAAGCCTTTAGAGATTCGCGAGACGACTTCGTTGTCCACTGACTTTACAATTAGCCCCTACAGCTGAAAGTAATCTACGGAGACGATCCCACCTGTTACTGAAGCAGAGGAAACCCTCTGAATGATGGCGCGCATCGTCTGCAGTGAGTGTTCCCGTCAAGCAGGCCACCGTGCGAAAAGTTGAAGTTGATGCCGAGCACGTGATGTGATCCCACGACGCGTCGTCCAAATATAGCAGCGCGTCTCCTTCGCATCAACGACGACAAGCGCTGACGATTCACGTACTCCCTAGGCGCGATGTCCGGGCGCGGCATCTTTACCAAGGACGATGGAAGGCCTGTTGTTTTTTTCCTGCACAAGACAATCAAGGGGGATAAGAGGATCCTTCTGAGGGAGGAAATTCAGGTGCGTTGGCCAGTTGTTGATGCGGTGAAGCGCGCTGACCTCCTCCCTTTACCCTCCCAGAAACACGGAGGCCAAGTGACAGACGACGATGACGAAGCAGAGACTGTGCTCATGGATGACTACACCCTCAAACCCACCGTCCTGCAACTACGCTATGCTATGCGCCCCATCAACTCGCGGGTGCACGACTTCTGGGTCGAGCCACTCACGTTCGTGCGCAAGTGCGTGAATTGGGGCGTCTATAGCCACGAGGCGCGTAAGGTGGGCATGCCAGGGAGGCCGGGGAATGAGGAGGGGCTGTTGTAAGTTGCAGTATGAGTGCTGCACGCGGGGCGCCTAGTCTAATCCTCTCCGTTAGCCGTGTGAACTTCACCGACAGCGACGACGAGCACCTCGTTCAGTTTCTTGCCACCCATCTGCCCGACAAGTCGGCAGGTGGACGGACGGGTCTAGAGCCGTATAAGCGCCTAGTGGCTTTGGTGTGTTTCCACCGGTCACCATTGCACATCATGCTGACCGTGATCTGACAGTACGACAAAGACGATCCTGATACTTGGGGATTCGAATGGGTCAGGCGCCATACCTACCAATCATGGCACGAGCGCTACAGGAAGAATCAAGCGCGTCTGGACCCCCTCATCGATGCCATTGCTGCACGCGAAGACCCACCAGACACTGTCACGTACGAGCGGAATCGGATGTACCGGCAGGGCAATCCCAAGCATATCTATGTTCAGGAAGAAGAGGAGGAAGAGGAGGGCGAAGAGGAAGAGCAACCCCAGCAGGAACAAGATTATGAAGAGGAAGATGAGATCAGGGAATTCAGCCCCACGCAGGTGGAATACCAGACGGCGCCGGATAAGACGATGGAAGAGGACCAAGACGAGGAGGGTCAGCTGGAAGAGGACCAGTATGAGTACGAGTACGAACAGCCTGCGTCGCGAGTCGCAGGGCAGAAGCGGCGCCACTCAGATGGAGATGCTTTGATTGCACAGCGGCAAAGGTGGGACAAGCGCCCTCGCCTGACGGGCTCGCAGATCAAGGGTAAACAACGAGCTGTCGAGCCCGTGGAAGAGGTATACGAGGAGGAACCTCGGTAAGTCTGCGCAACCGCCTTTGGAAGCTTTGCTGAATCTCAGCAGTCCACCCAGCCCCACCCTGGTCGACCGACGGCAGTCCCAGATATACCCGCCACTCCCGGAAGATACGCCAGAAGCTTCACCTCGCGAGTCCGCCTCGCCTGCATCTATAGCCAGTCGCTACACGCCATCGCCATCTACCCAACCGCTACCTTCAATCAGCAAGCGACTCGCCGCCTCTCGCCAGCAATCACCGCCTACACGAAACTTAGCTGCTGCCAGACCATCACGGCCTCTGGTTCCTGTCTCCACCGCATCCCAGAGCCAGCCGCCCGCTTCTCAAAGCCAGACTATCGCTGCTCGAACCCGGACCGCCGCTCCACGGAACCAGTCCGCAGCCCGCACACGCATCAAGCCTCGCCGTGCTCCAGTCATCCCCGCCGCCGAGGACGCCCCCGCGGGCAGCACCCGCGCACGCTCGCGAGGGCTTTCCACCGAGCCCTCGCCGCCACGAACCCAGAAATCGCCTCGACCGAATCGGAAGCAGCGAGAGCGGCGGCATGTTCCCGGGTCGTCTCAATCGGAAGACGAAGAGTATATGCAGGCTGTTCGTGAGGAGGAGGGGCTGGAGAATCCATTTGTCCAGGATGGAGACGAGGATGGGCAACCTCCGGTGGAGGTGGAAGAAGATGACAGCAGGGATGAAGACGAGCTCAGGCAGGACGAAGACGATCAGCCGCCGGCCGAGACACTGGAAGACGAGGACGCGGTCGTGCATCAGTTGATGGATAACAGCGCATTGTCAGCGGGTGGGATCGAAGCGGAGACGTACGATGAGGATGCGGAGAATCGGGACCCGCGCTTGGAGCGACAGGAGAGCGACGAAGGGAGTGACGAGGAGGAGGAAGTGGACGACGACGCGGATGCAAGGGAGGGATACAGTGACGAGCTCAGCTCCGACGACGCACAAACGCGAGAGCATATATCCTTCCAGGCTCCTGCGTCTCCTATTTCTGCCCCTCCTGCCAGGAGAGCCAACGTCTTCTTGCCCAAGGTGCCCCCGCAAGTGCGCCGCCTAGCCCGCGGCACACAACGTAAGCTTCCTCCGCTTCAACTCCTCCCAATGCTCACTAACCCTAGCCCTCTAGCCGCCTCCCAAAGCCTCCCCTTGCCTCAGACTCCGGCTCCGGGAAACACGTCGCGCTCATTGCGAACGTCCCTGGCCGCCGACCTGCTCTCGCTCTCCATGCAACGCTCGCCTCCACGGCATCGCGGCCTTTCTAGCGAGTCCAGCGTCGAGAGCTACCCCTTACCAAATACGCGCGCGAGTACGGAGAAGCAGAGATTGACGCAGGAGCAGATGCAAAGTCCGTATGTGCCGGCACAAGGGACGAGAGCTGCGCGGCTTTTGCGATCGCGGCTCAGAGCACAGGAGGCAGTCTGAAGGGAACGTTTGCTCATGTAACATATTTGTACCATACATACTTCGGGATGTGGCATACCTTGTGCTTTGCAGGACGGAATTTTTTGATGCGTCTTTCGTGGCACATGAGCATTATCATCCATTACAATAAGCAAGTGAGGTGAGGTCAGTAGTGTAGTCTAGCGGATATCCATCATACTTTTGTCTCCGGCTCCTTCGTCTCCTCCGGGTCGACATAGACACTCAACAAGCCCCGCAACCGCTCGTCGAAGAACACCTTCTGCGCCGGCTTAATGATCTCCCACCCGTCCACCCTATTCCGCCACACCTTCTCCTTGTTCATGCGCTCCTGCCTCAACTCGACCTCCGTCGGCGGCGGGTGCGCCGCCTCCTCCTTCGTCGGCTCCCTCACTCCCCTCGCAAGCTCGCGCGCCACCTGCAGCCTCGCAGGCAGCTCCGCGTAGTACTTCTCGCGCGACTTGGCCGTCTCCGCAGGGATCTCCGCGCTCGAGCTCTTGAAGAACGCCTCCTTGTCCTTGTCGAACGCGAGGTCGCTCGGCGAGGTGGGGGTGGCGACCTCGCGGAAGGGCCGCGTCTGGCGCATGACGAGGCGGTAGGCGGCCTCCGCGCCCGCGCGCACGCGCTCGCGCTGGTTGAACCAGTCCCAGAGCATGTAGGGGATCTGGCCGAAGCCGATGTAATCAACGAAGGAGACGAGGAGGAGAGGAGGGATGGGCGGGATGGTGGCGGGCGGCGCGACGTCCGTGCCGGGGGTGGGGGTGATTGGTGGGGGCGTGTATTGGGTGACGGGCTTGGGAGTGTGAGCTACGCCCTCCTCGGGTTCGTCGAAGTGACCGTCGTCCGCGAGAGCGTTGGCCAGTGCCTCGTCGCGGTCGACGGGTTGCAAGCCCTCCGTCCAGCCGCGCGCGAGGCCGAGCATGAACTCCTTGAAGGCCGGGCGCCCGATGATGACAGCACCGTCTTCGACCGCGCGCTTCTCCAAGACTTCTGGGGGCACATATGTGGGGGTCGCCAGCAGGTGAATCGGTGGGCTGTCAAGGCCTGCTTCCACCCTTCTCCGCGCGCGAATCTCGTCCGCAATCTTCTGCGCGAGCTCTCCACTCTTGTTGCCGTTCACGATGTCGTAGTCGATGCCTGCAGCAACAAGAATGGGCTGAAAAGTGTCAGTGCAGTTATGGTACACCGAAACCCGTCACGCACCTTGATATACCGCCGGAAGTACTTGATGCTCGCGTTGTAGTCCTCGTCGCCCGGCCACTTGCATCCATACACCCGGACCTTCCGTGGCGGCTCCAGGATACCTAGCGGTCGTTCCGCAAGATGACTGACCCGGTCCACATACGCCTGCCGTATGCGCTTGCACTCGCGGCGATCGTACACATAGTAGCCGGTCACCGTGCTCGTCACCGTCCAGAAGATGAGCCAGTTCCGCGAGGGGAGCTTGGGGCGGTAGTCAAGCCAAGAGGGGGGGATGCCCGTGTACTGGAGCACGGCCTTCACTCCCGAGGGCGCCTTCGACTTGTTCTCGCCGCCCATGCGCGCAGAGACTGAGTGCCGCGCCGCGCGAGCCGGTGCGAAAACTGCCGCCCGTGCACGTGATGCGCGCCTGCAAGCGCGCATGGGACTCGAAGTTCAACTTTGCCGGTGTAACAAGGTGTTCGTGGCCGGAACGTGAGGTAGCATTGCAAGAGCGTAATGCACGTGAGGGATACAGGTATGGTACATTGTCTTCTTTATGTGTTTTGTTCACTATGGTCCGTATGTAAGGTACTAAATGTCACAAGAGCGAGCGAACAGCCGGAGACGGGGTCGAGGGTAATAATGTCTGCAAGCGAGACGAATAGTGATAGTCCAAGAGATTCGAGGGTCCGTGAGGGCAATACGATGACCTGGCGGCAGTTCAGGTTCAGCACCAGTCGCACTTCGTCCAGAGGTCAAAGTTTTGGTGGTCGATCCCGGCGCAGGGTGCGAGGAAGTTGGCGTCCTTCGCATCCTTTGCGATCTCGACGCACTGTCCGTTCGTTACGGATGTGATGTTGCAACCGTACGAGAACTGGCCCTGCATGGAGGAGTCGGCGTTGCAGTAGTCGCACTGCACCGACCAGTGCTGCGACCTGTGAATGAATGTCAATCGCCGGCAAGGACGGAGAACGGAGGGGCTGCATACTCGTCATCGTCGGCTGCATCGGCGAGCGTCAGATTCCCGCTCTCGGTGATCGCGACAGCGAGGTGCTTCTTGCCTGCCGGGCTGTGCGATGGCATGTCCGTCAGTACGCCACATACGTTCCGAAAACACTGGAACGCACCTGATGGTGAACAGCGAATCATCGTCCCCCTCGATCGGGTGGAAGAAGAAGTCAACCTTGGCGAGCATACTTGCGTTGTTCGGGTTGGAGGACTCGCTGGTGACGGACGCGTTGGCCGCGGGCGGCTGCTTCACACCCCACTCTCGCGCCGAGTTGGTTACGGAGACGCCAACGCCGTTGAAAGGGGGAACACACGGCCCATCGGACTCTGCTCGCCGCGAATGGAACATAGCCGGGGGTGCAGCGAAGGAGGGAGCCGCTGCCGCGAAGGGGACCGCGGCGGAAAGGATGAGCGCGACGAGCATCGGGGACGCAGTGAACAGAGCGAAGATCGTGAAGAACATCGTGGCTGTCGTTTGGATCTGGCTCGGACGCGTACTTGTCTTCGTCGTCGTCGTTCGAGAGGGCGGACGTGTGGTCACGGTGGTCGCCTTCAAGGGCCGGTCGCCTTCTCGGCCTTATATGTAAAGTCAACCAACCTCTCAACTCGGTGATTGACGTAATTCCCGCGCCGCTACCTCAGGGTCACCGGTTCGTTGTTCTCTTGCTTCTGGGCGTGAAGGCAACACCGCCCTCGACTTCCAGCCCTGTTTGCGCTGGGTGAGTTCTTCCGAGGTATCCATTCTGAGTCCTGCTACGTGGGCGAATGGCGTACATCGCCTGCAGAACGACGCGAGGCGAAAGGCGAGCAAGATGAGGTTAGTGCGAGGATGCCGGGGTCGAGGCGGGGGCAGAGAACGCCAAGCCTGATCCGCAGGTGGAGCGGATCAGCGGCGCGTGGTCATAATTACTACTTTTGGACCTTCCCACGCCCTTGTCTTCACAACTTGCCTTTTACGACCATCATGTTGCCCACCCTTTCGTGTCCAAAAGCAGTAACTCTGAAGTATTCAATGGCTGAAACGACTGAGAGGTGTCACATGACAAATTCTGCACTTCATATCAGTCCTTTGTAGGGCCAAAGCATCCTTTACGAAGTACAGGTGTGCAGACTGTGTCAGCCAGCGAGGTGAACGGCCAAATCCAGCTCGAACGAAACCGCATGCAGCATGAAATCCAAGAACGACTACAACAATGAAGGTTGCATACTACAGGCTGTCCTTTAGCATCGCCCTCCTTGTCGCATCTCTACCGGCCTTCAGCAATGCGGACACTTCGCTCCCACCAGTGCCCTTCGATCGACCCCCGGACGGCCCCTTCTTCTCCATCGCTCTGGCCATGGCGGACAGTGGGCAACCAGGCGGCAATGACCTGCCCGCCGAAACGACATACAGCACCGCTATGCGCATATGGTTATCGCGCAGGCGCTTCAAAGCCGCCACCGCATCGTCATACGCATCCCTCAACACTGGAGTCTCCTCAGCGAGGTCCCGCACACGGAAAGGAGCCTGCTCGAGGTGCTCCAGGAAGTCTCGGTGCGCCCCGGGCATGTAGCGCCACATGCGCCGCATGAAGCCCGTGTCCGCTTTGCGGTTTTCGGCGGTGGGTGCGGGGGTGCGTGAGTAGCGCAGCTCGTGGTCGATGCTGAGGAAGACGTCGATGGCGTGCATGAGCGAGCTCTGGCCGCCAGAGGGACCAAGAAGGTCGTCGCCGGCGTCTGCGCCCTCGAAGACCCAGGGATGCTCTTCGCTGCTACCAACGAACCATGGCCGAATTTGCCAGTAGAAGACATGCGGGTCGCACGTCGGGCGAATGCCCTTCATGACCTCGGTGAGCTCGTCAATATCTCCCGACAGCCGCCGAAGGGCGCCCTCCACCTCCGCTACCATCGCCGCGTCCCTCGCGCGCAAGGGCGGCAGGTTCGCAATGTCGGCCATGATGCCCAGCAGCTCGGCGCCACGCAGTTCGCAGCGGACCTGGGACATGTAGAACGCGGACTCGTCCTCTGTGCCCGAGAATAGAGTCTCGGTGCGCAGGTTGTCCATCGTCAGCGGGCCGTCCTCGTTGATTTTCTCCACGTTCCAGAGTATGGTGTCGGCATAGGTGAGGACCGGCGCCATCCTCAGGTGTTGCGCCACGGCCGTAATCGGAGCGGCGAGGGGCCGGGGGATGGTAATGGGCGCGCCAGGCTCAAGCTCGCCGTCCGGGATAGAGTGCACATAGAAGTGGATGAGGTAGGCCAGCACGTAGTGCGCGCGCTGCAGGAGACGGAGGTCGCACGTGAGCTCGTCCACGTCGAGTACGGGGAGCTGAGAAAACTGTGAGTCGGTGTAACTGCCTTCGCCGCACCAACGCCAAGCTTACCTGCTCGATAGCCTTCCTCCACCTGCTTCCCTGCGGGTGCTTCTGTGCAGCTTCTTCACTCTCATCCGAGCCGAGGACGAGCGTCTCCGTTGCGCTGCGAAGTGCGGCCTCCCACAGGTCGAATTTACCTCGTAATTTCGGGAGCGGGCGTCGAGGCATGAAGCCGGTGTTTGCGTCGACGTCAAAGTCAGAGAGAGGGCGTGGTGGCAAAGCTCGTCGACGACAGCTCAAAAGCCATCCCGACGCCCGCAGCAACATAGAGAAGAGGCGCGCAAGCAACGAGCAGAGTCTTTGAAGGAAGCCCATGATGAAGATAAATGCTTCGGAGAGTATGTATGATCACTGTGGAGTGGTAGAGGTATGTGGGTTTGCATCCCCCACCCTCGCCACCCTGGCCTTTATATACTCTGCAGCCCGTGGGTCAACGCTGCACTCATTCGCATTCCATAGAACTTTGACTGCACTCGGATTGACGTCTTCATCAGCACCCCGCGAAGACGAGATCTACACGGAGCCCTGCGAAGCATGAACCTGGAATGGCAATGCCCATCGCACCGCTCTGAACTCTCCCTCGCGTGCTGTTTACAGGCACCCCCGCGCGAGACTTCTCGCTTCTCCCTTGTCTGCTGGATTTCCCCTCGGGCAACGCAGCCAGCCCGTGACGGCAAGCTGGAAGCGGGAAGAACTTGGTGGCGCGCGCTGAGAAGAGCAGTCAGGTTTTGGCTGACCGTCAACCGACAGAGTGATGCTGTGGATTGTCCTGATAAGAGTAGCTTGACAGAGCGGCGATGAGCAGCGTACCGCGGTCTGCGTGCGGCAGCCCAACCCCCGATCGCCGCATCCCTGTACTAGTACACGCCCTGCATTCCCTTTCTCGGGCGGGCGGAGATGACAATCAGGCAAGCGTCGATCTCTGCAAGTGCCTCTGCTTACACCTAAGGAAAAGTATGGGTGGCTTGATCATCGTTCAATGCTAGTTTGCAGTCAGCACTAGCACTGATTGACTGCAAAGGGTCACTGCAAATCGGAGATTGACCCACAATTGCCTGCATATCGGAGAGACACTGCTGAAAAAACGAGACCATCCGACTCCAAATCCAGCAGCCCCGAGACACCGCTTCCAGGCGCATAGCGCACTTCGCAAAGTTCAACATGTTTAGCTTCCGCGCTTCCACGTGAGCTTTATCCCCGCAGGGCAGGCATTGTCGGTTACACGTGTCGAGACGGACCTTGCGCAGAACCCAGTTGTGAGCGCCGTAGCGACGAGATGAGATCCTAACGAAGCGGAGGAATATTCCATGTGAACTCAAAAGACGTCGGTGGCTGAGAATTTGCATTTTCATCGCCTTCGTCTGCGAACCCTGTCCTTTATGGCCGCAAGTGTTTGCCTGGATGCTCGAGAACCAGTCGAGTCCGCTTCATCCGCAGGAAGCAATCAGATCGAGTGGAGATTATACCGATACAACATCTACCGCAGGCGTACTGCTACCCACCCGCCGCCTCAATTCCACACGAGGAACCCGTCCTTGTCTTCCGTGCACCGCCGCGACAGCACCTCCTCCACCTTCTCCTTCACGCCCATCTTGTGCTCCCGCAGGCGGTCAAAGTTCGCGATGACCTCCTTCCGCTTAAGCGCGTTGCCGCCGCTCTCCTTGTGCGAACCCTTGACCATCGCCGCGATCTCGTCCTCGACGGGTAGCGCGTATAGGTAGGGGAAGGGGAGCGGCTTCTTCGCGAGGTCGGCGGGGATGTCGAAGGATTGGCCCTTGGTATCGACGAAAGGGGACTTCTTGTCGACGAAGCGGGCGATGATATCGTTGGTGACCCCCTGGAGGTTGTCCGGCTGCCATTTTGTGGGCTCCTTTGACTTCGTAAGGAGCACGTTGGTGATACCGGCGACGAAGTCAGGCGAAGCTTGATTCTGTGGGGAGGGTGAGCGCGATGACAAGGCGATATGCCAGAAGCACTTACGCAGAAGGCAGTCGCTAGCTGATGCTCCATCCTCAGAGCGTCGATCAAGTTCAAGTTTTTGCCCTGGCGTATGGCATAGAGTGCCAACTTCAGGCTTGTCGGGCTCCGGACCTTCAACGTGGACAGCGTCTGAGATGCCCATTGCCTGACAGCCTCACTGCTGTCCTTCTCCGCCATGACCTCAAGCTCCTCCACGATCTGCTCGACGGTGTCATGCCTGAAGGCAGTGTCGAGTGCGACGCGAACTTCCCCAGTCAAGTGGAAAGGGCCCTCCTCAGGCTGCCGCTCGCAAGACAACTCCTCGATTGTGCGGTCAACGAGGGTCAAATTAGACTCCTCGACGCTGGCGAGGCGCTCCAGAAGGGACGGTACCCTTCGGGATGGGATGTAGTGTGTTGCAAAGCCTGCCTCACTAAACACACCTGAGATTAGCGGACTGAGAGCACTAGGTATGTCATGTGCTCACAAGACGTCGCGTCCTCGCAAAGTTGTGCCCGTGAGACAGAGATAAGTGCCGAGCTGGCCGTCCAGCCTGGACATGTAGTAGCTTGCGCCAACGTCTGGCACGTAGCCGATGTTGGTCTCCGGCATCGCGAACACCGTGTTCTCGGTCGCCACTCTGAATGGCGCAGGTGCGGAAAGGCCGACACCTCCTCCCACTGTGTGAACGACATTAGCAAGCGTGTGATGAGGGATTAGGAAGACGCACTCGTGATGCCATCCATAACCACGACGTAGGGCTTGTTGAGGGAGGCAAGAATGTAGTCGAGCTCGAACCTGAGAATGGCTTAGCGACAGGTCGGGCATCGAGAGGAGTACATACTCGCGCTTGAAGAAGCGGATGGCTGTGGGGCGCTTGCCCTCATCTTGAGAATCCAGCGCAATTTCTGAGGGAAGTGAGTGATGATCGAGCCGGTCTCATGACGGGACGTACGTGCAACGTCTCCCCCCGCGCAGAACGCACGGCCAGTGCCAGTTCCCACAATTGTCGAGGCAATGTCCGATCTGTTCCACTCCTGCGCAATAATGAGAATTGCCTCCCCTGACGTATGAGAGACGTCCAACCTCGATCTTCGGTCGCAGCTGCTCAAGCATCTCCGTGTTCAGCGAGTTGAGCTTTGCTGGCCGGTTCAGCACATAGTTGCGCATGGAGAGCACAGACTCAAGCTTAACCAGCGGCTGAGGACATATGAGGACCTGAGAGAGTATGTTCTGCATATGTTCGCACCTCTGCAGCCGGTGCGGCTGATGCGTCTGTCGACATTCTGGAAAGGTGTTGAGCGATGGCGGCAGTCCTCCTGCTTGCGTTGCTGTTGCGGGTCATGGCCCGAAGAAAGAAGGGGGCGGCGGTGGAGCGCTGCATTTGCGCTTTAAGGTGCACGGGGACGAAGGCAAGCGCTAACACACTAATTCGCGACGCGCCACGGCTTTTTCCGGCCCGGTGTGACGCTCAGCGGGGTCACACTCTCACGGACTCAAGTTCAACGCGCTCACTCATCAGCGTCTTTATTCCGACATGGATCTTCCAGCCAATGGGACTAGAATATCTCATTCTGGACACATTGGAACAGTCCGTTTTGTGGGACCTGTAGATGGCACTCAAGGCACATGGATCGGCGTTGAGTGGGATGATCCCTCGCGAGGTAAACACAGCGGAACGAAGGATGGAGTGTCCTACTTTACGTGCAAGTCAGTGAAATTCATAACGTTGACCTGCTGATCCTTACGGTCACACAGCGTTCCCAACTCTGGAACCTTCATTCGACCTTCGAATAAGATATCTTATGGCACTTCTTTCCTCGACGCTCTCAAATCCAAGTACATCGAAGCGTACCACGGAAAGCAGGAGACCATAATCCTTGGTTCTTCAAACGGCGCCATCGAAGTCGAGGCAGTCAACCTTGACAAAATTCGTGGCAAATTCGCAGATCTCACACGCCTCCGGGAGGTAAGCCTCGACAACGAGCTTGTCGCCACCTGCGACTCTCCCCCGGGTACGATCCGCCAAGCATGCCCTAGTGTGTAGCTTTCCGCCTCCCATAGATCCCGTCCCCAACGACCTCACCCTCTAGATATACGCGGGCTCGACTTATCCAAGTGCCTCGTCCCCTCGTGGGACGTGGTGGCGGACATCGCAGCCGAATTGCCCAACCTGCAGCGCCTGGCGCTTAAGTAAGTTCGCCGCTGACCCTGCTTCTGCGCCACTGACCGTGGCGATTGCCCCGTCCGCGTGTCTAGTTACACTCGCCTGGAGATGCCTCGGGACCCCGCGCGGCTGGCCGCTGCCTTCCCTCGCCTGACGGAGCTACTCCTCAATGCCACACTCACTCCGTGGGCGCATATGCAGGAGATAACCGCGCCCATGCCGCGCCTCGAGGCCATTGAGATGGGGTACAATCACCTCACCGACCTTGCGCCTTCGGCGCAGTGTGCAGCGCACCCTGGGATCCGCGCAATCAACCTGGAAGGCAATGAGTGCGCCGACTGGGCGGTGGTGTGTGAGCGACTGCAAGAATACCACTCGCAAGTTGGGCTCCTCTGCTTGCTTGAATATTTGCGTGACAATAATCTGCAGACTGCAACGCCTAACGCTTGCGGGGAATGGAATTCAGAGCATACCACCATGCCGGGATCCATCGCGCGCGCTGAAGAGCATGCAACATCTGTCGTTGGCCACAAATGAGATTAACTCATGGTCTGACATCGATGCACTACATGGCTGGTGTCCGGCATTAGCAAGCCTGTCCCTTGCAGATAATCCAATTATTGCTGGTCAGTCCATCGTCAAGACGCTCTACTTATCGCTCAGCCTTCTACAGACGCAAAACAAGCCCTACACGCCCGGTTATTTGTCATTGCCAGAATATCCACCCTCACTCAACTAGACGGCTCTGGTGTCAGGCTTTTATAATATTCGTCTGTTCACCGTGCTCACCACTCGAGTAGATCTCTCCCAAAGAGCGAACGGACAGCGAGCTCTTCTACATCTCCCACATTTCCGCCCAAACTTATTCCTCTGCTGCCGTTCGCGATTTAGAGCACCCTCAATATCGCAGGCTATGCGAGAGTATGTGTTCTCTTCCTCGCCCTAGTCCTCACATTAATAATCACCTTTGCGACCAGAATATGGCACTGCGCCCGACGTTGCAGATCGTCCAGTAACAAAGGACCACCAAAACCTGCGCGACCGTCTGATAGGTACGGCTGATCCTCAAATCCTCACCACCCTCCGCCTACTCATCCCACCCTCAAGAACTTAAACTCTACCCCCTCGACTCGTCCCCAACCTCCATCAGCCCCATCGACGCCGCACACATCCAATCCACCCATGAACCCCACGCCCTGCGCGTACTGCCCACCCTACCATTGAAAGCACTCAAGCAGCGTATTGCCAAAGCAATGAAGCGGCGTACAGGCGTTCGAGTATGGCTGCTGATGCACGATGGCGCGGCCGAACTTACGGACGAGAAGGAGGATCTGGCGTGGTTGGGGTTGGAAGACAATTCTGTTCTATTCTTCTGTTGTACATAGATACAGGAAGAGACTACAGACTACTACGCAAAAGAGGATCATGCCTTGATGCCGAACTTCATCCCATGTTGGGCAAGAGCCCTCCCGGAACCTTCCTCCGATTTAATCCCTCGTTGGTCCGTGGAATGCAATGGCTGCCGACAGTCAGCAACTTGATGTTGCGCGAGTAACCGAAGGCTTGCGACTGTTGTTGCCGACCTCAGGTAACCCGACGTTCCCAGGGAAGGGTATGGCATGAGCCGCACAACCGCCGCGCGTGCGAACCACCGTCCTGGAGGTCGATGAAGCCGTTACCGTCATCGACCGAACCTTCGAAGCGCCTCCTCGAGGAATTACCCGGTCCACTGAACGAAAGGCCTTGCCCGTTCCACTGAATAAGGCCTTGCCCGTCGCGCAATTATATAGAGGATCCGATTTCAGGGCCACGCGTATCGACCAAGGAAGGAGTACAAGGCAAGGCGGAATACACCATTGAGCGGGATACACCATCCGCTCCATACGAACAAGCATTTTGGGCGAGCACATCTACGACCGTCTTTTTGAAGGCGCGCCAGAAAGAGAAAAAACCTGGAATCCGCGGGGACCTGATCCTCACCTCTTCGTCGTCCGTCCATTCGTCCCGTCCCCGGGCACCTCGCGCCTATTCCCGAACCTAGACCAAATCACCAACGGCTGCTGTCACGGTCCCTGTCGCCCCCGCTGCTCCTGCTCGGCCGGTCCTCCACTTTGTCGTCACGCCGGCGATCGCGATCGTCGGGTCTACGACGTTCATATGGATAATCATAATCATAGCGAGAATAACCGTCGTACCCTGAGGGTTTCCGGTCGTCGAGGTCTCGCCTGGGCGGGGGAGAGCGCGCACGGCGGTCGTCGTAGCGGTCGCGCCGGGGCGACCTGGACCTACCACCACGGTAGCCGCGGTCATCGCGACGATCATAGTCACGACGGTCATAGTCGCGGCGATCGTCGCGGTCGTAGCGGCTGTCCCGACGATAGTTATCGGCGCCGCCACGCTGGTATTCCGTTAGCAGATTTCTGGGGCATATTAACCTGTGCACGTACAGAATCATCAAGAGTCACGTTAACCGGGTGTCCACGAAGGTCACGGCGGTCGAGATAGCGGACAGCATGGTCCGCATCGTCGCGCGACATGTACTCGAGGACACTGGAAAGTTGTTAGATGCGCGTCCGATTGACAGACTTTTTCACTCACCCTTGTCCGGGAACGTCCCGGTCAATGTCGGCAAAGGTTACGCTACCGGCCTCACGTCCAAAGTCCTTGAGGTCCTACGAGGAGGGAAAGACAGGCATTAGGGTCCAGGGCTCCACCATATTCGCAGGGAAGGCCACAGCCGGGGAGGATATGATCGGCGCCATGGGTTAAATTGCTCGTGCGAGGCCAGGATGGTTTTTGGGATTGCAGCCGCGAATGCTCCAAGGAGGTCCGTAACCGGGGAAAGTCCGTACCTGCCAGCTAGTGTCGCGAGAGACGCCCGTAACGAGAACACGGAAACCGCCGGGGCGGCGGCGGGGAGCACTGGCAAAGGTCAGCAGTGTGCCCGGGGCACTGTCAGTTTCTTTGTTCCCATACCCGTATTCTCGGTCACGCTCGTACGGCTCGCGGCGCGGGCGATTCTCGCGGGCAAACTCGACGGCAATGCTGGGGGAGGGGCATGAGTGCGAGAACGCGACACGAGGCGAAGTGACGCGTACCTGTTGCCATTGAAAGTCTTGCCGTTCATCTCGTTGACGGCGTCCTCAGCATCCTTGCTGGACTCGTACTCGATGAAGCCAAATCCTGCGAGGGTGAGTGCCTGTTCGGAGGGGGGACCCGCTCGCGCGTACCAGTCATGACCCTGCAGTCGACGACCGTGCCATAGGCACCGAACGTCTTCTTGACATCCTCCGGGGCGGTGTCGGGGGGAAGCTCTGCGACTCCATCAGCACCCTGTAGACCTCGGAAGACGCCGCTCCCGCTCACTTCCAAGGTAAAGACGGCGACCCATGGTAGCAGAAGAAGACATTGAACACGAGGAAGACGCGCGGAGTTCAACCGACATCAGCAATTTGCCCAAGCTTGCCCGCTTCAGGAGGAAATTCGCACGGTGGTCCGTGCGCTCATTGAGTGTCCTTACTCCCTTTTCGGGACGCAAACTTGAAGTCACTGAGCTTGGACTTGGAACTTGAGCTTGATGGCTGGTAAGGTAGCAGGGTGCACATCCAGCTAAATCCTGATACCAACTACTACGAATAGAATACTAGATAGGGGAATACAGTACATATACGTTGAAGGAGAACTCAGCCTAATGCTGGGACTGCGACCAGTCGATGGTGTTGATGTCGATACCCTCCTGCACCATCTCCCAAAGCGGGCTCATCTCGCGGAGCCTGTTGACGGTGCCGACGATGTGCTTGACGACGAAGTCGACCTCGGCCTCGGTGGTGAAGCGGCCGAGTCCGAAGCGAAGGGAGGAGTGCGCCATGTCCTCGGCGGCACCGAGCGCGCGCAAGACGTATGAGGGCTCCAGGGACGCCGATGTGCAGGCGCTGCCGGACGACAAAGCGATATCCTGCGACGTGTTAGCCAAAGCAATTGTGGATGCAAGATGGTCAGGAATTACCTTGAGCGCCATAAGCAGGGACTCGCCCTCGACGTACGCGAAGCTCAAGTTCACGCAGCCAGGGTAGCCGTTGGGGTCGCCGTTCCGGACAACGTGCTCGACTTGCGAGGTTATGCCATTGATGAGACGGTTCGCGAGCTCCGTTACGCGAGCGTGATCCCTCTGGAAAGGAAAGTCAGCATGCAGATCGTATTTACGCAGTCGGCACGGGAGGCCTCAGTACCCCTGCACGAAGTTCATGGAGGAGCTGGTCTGTCAGATAGAGCTGCCACTCCTCTCCCAAAAATGCATTGTGCAAGGTTTCATCACAGGCCGCCCAAAAACTTGACTCACCTTCATCTCCAGCCTGGCAATCCTCGCCGCCTCGCCCATACCCACAATCAACGGCGTCGGCAGCGTACCACTCCTCAGACCACGCTCCTGCCCACCACCGCTGATGATCGGTTCCAGCCGCACCCTCGGGCGCCGTCGCACATACGCCACACCGACGCCCTTCGGCCCATAGATCTTGTGCCCACTCATACTAAGCAGGTCAATGTTCATCTCGTTCACGTCAATCGGGATCTTCCCTGCCGCCTGCGCGGCGTCGGTGTGGAAGTACACGCCGCGGTGCTTGCGCACGAGCGCGCCTATCTCGCGGATGGGCTGGATCACGCCCGTCTCGTTGTTGACCGTCATGATGGAGACGAGCGCGGTGTCCGGTCGGATGGCGGCCTCGAGAACGTCGAGGTCGACGATGCCATCTTTGCGAACGGGGAGATAGGTGATTTCGAAGCCCTCCTCGGACAGCTTGCGGCAGGAGTCGAGTACGCACTTGTGCTCCTGGACGATGGTCAGTAGGTCGAATATATGAGAAGAAATGATACGGACAGTCTGAGTGGTAATGATGTGCCTCTTCTTCTCCTTGTGGAAGCGCGCAACACCCTTGATAGCCATGTTGTTCGTCTCAGTCGCTCCAGAGGTGAAGATGATGTCCTTTGGATCAGCGCCAATGAGGTCGGCAATGTTCTATACAATTCGTTAGCCACTTCCAGCCAAATAGCCTGAGTTTCGCGCACCTTTCGCGATTCCTCAACCGCCTTCTCCGCCTCCCAGCCATACGCATGAGTGCGACTATGGGGATTGCCGTACTGGTCCGTCATATACGGCAACATCGCATCCAGGACACGCGGGTCCACCGGTGTCGTAGCCTGATCCAGCTGTCAGTCACCGGATTCGACTCCCCTCCCTGCTTGCAAAGCATACCTGCATATCGAGGTAAATGGGCCTCGTTTTTTCCTTCAGCGATCCCTCCCGCTTGGGGACCTCCAAGTTGAAGCCCAACATATCTATGGTTCATCAGCTTCCCTCCTTCGCTACCACTCACTCTCCCACTCACCGCTCTGCGGCGTAAAGTGCGTCTCGTCTTTGTACGTCGCGGGGAGGTCGACGACGCTCGCGCGCTCCGCGCCCGAGGGCTGTACGATGCCGCGGCGGGCACCCTGGGCGCAGACGCAGCGCGCGACGGACGGAGCGCGGGCGGCGTGCTTGGATAATCTGGCCAACATGACGGGGAGAGACAAGGAGGTGCTGGGCGAAGGCGGGGGTGCGACCGACGTCAACCGGGCGATTATGAAAACATGAGATAAGATTAGTGATGCCGCGTGATCCGGCGTGCCGGCTGCCGAGCGCGTCACGTTCCTCAATCCGACTTGGCGGACGCCGTCATCTGCGCTTCTGGTGCTCTCTGCGGACGACATTCGGGCTGCTTGACCGGTTTCTCTGGCTTTTTCTGTATTAAAGAAATCTACTCAAGGCCCAGGACTGACCATCTCCAGAGCTCTCCTCACCAGCGGCCGATTATCTGATAGCTCGCTGCGCCTCAATCTCCCCTTGGCCGGCGACACACGTACCTCTCGCGGCTCAAATCCGATTGGGCATCCATCCTGGTCCGCGTTTCCTCCTTGCCTCATCCACTCCTCGAAGCGCCGCATCTCTGAACTGTATCGACTCCATACAGTGGCCGGCGCTGACGCGGACGCTCAGCTGGGCGGCAGTCATCTTGATCACGTCGATAGACTACGAGCTGACCCAATCTTGCCGACTGGAAACGGCTCGCTTGTTCAGACCAGTGGCTGAAAGTAGACTAAGCTCTCCGCGAAAGGTCGTATACTAGGTGGTCCTGTACGCAGCCGCGGGATCAGTCAGGCTGCAAGAGTGCAAGGCAACCATTATGGAGGCGGTGATTCTCGATTATCTCGGGGACCCTTATGCCAGATCGAAGCACAAAAGGCTCTCGTCGTCTATCCTGTTTCGAGCGCACTTCGTTCAATGTGTTTGATGTGTCCCTCCCATCTGGACTTGCCACATCGCCAACGACAGCGCAGTGAGGCAGCAGCGAGCCCGTGTCCTTCCACCACTTAGCGCACGATCAAAGCAGATATCACAGTTCCCTGAGGTAGTCGCCGTGCATCGTGATTGCCTATGACGAAGGTCAACGTGTCTACTGACCATACAGCATAGGCTGCGCTCTGTTCTCACTGACTTCATCTCACTACTCCATATCATGACTGAACTGTGGCGTAGAAGAGGGAAACATCCTCGCTTCGTGTTGCATATGTATGATTTACTACAGAGGGTGGGGACCTCAGAATGCAAGAAAGATGAGCTCTGCATCGACGGAAGATCTGCAGAAGGCGCTAAGCGACATCAGAACAATAGCAGTACCAAAAGCGGTGCGAAGATCACTCGGACGGCACGGTCCGTGACGGAATGACAATCACGTCGAAAAGTGTGCAACTTGGCATCCCCCATCTCATGGAGCGTCGGTCTCCTCTGTTTCCCTCCTTCTTCCTGCCTTGACCTTTGAACTTCACTTTCCTGTCTGTACATCTTCACCAGCATGGCTGGTTTCCTTCGCAAAAAGTCCAAGCCAGAGCAGGTCAAGCCCTCGCCTGTTTCCGCCAACAATGGCGCCTCCACGACTTCTGGGTCCTCTGCGCCTCTCTTCGCTCGTTTCGCATCAAACCAGGCGCAGCCCCCAGCCCCCGCACCGAAGATCGTGTCCGGCCCCATGCTTCTGCAAAGTAATAGCCGACGCGACCCCACGCCGAGGTCAGCGCCGCGCTCGCAGGAGGCCGACGCCTACCCGACCCGCAGAGCACCATACGCGGAGCCCCAGCCTAGGCAGACGACCGCGAACCGTCCATCGGACCCAGATGCGCGCGGGACGCGTCAGGCAGGACGGATGCCGTCGAACCCTTCTGCTCGGGAAATGGCCCCGCAGAGTAATGGGCGAGGGCCCGCGCCCCAGGCGCGCCGCACATCGCACTACGAGGTCGACAAGCCGCTCCCCCCTCCCGCGCCCGAGATGCCCTCCTCACCGCCCGTCAGTCGTCAAGCATCGGCGCCACAGTACCCGACGTCAGATCCCGCGCGACGGAGACAGATGAACGGACATGGATCGGCGCCCCCCTCAGCCCGCCCGCAGCGATCAGACGGCAGCGATGTGCCCAGGCGCGAGATGAATAACGGCAACGGTCGCGCGCCAGAACCCGTCGTCCGCCGCGCGAGCCGGCAGCTCCCTTCCCCTCCCACACAGCAATCCCCGACATCGTCCAGGCAGCAACATGCCCCCGTTGCACCCTCCGCATACTACCAGTCGCGTGCCCCACAGCAGCGTACACCCTCCACGTCTTCCTCTGGTCACGGTGTATACGGGTCGCGTAATGCGAACGGTTCGCGCGATTCCTTCATGTCGCAAGGCTTCTATGGAGGTGACGATTCGGCTAATTCTCCTTACATGCTCGGTAGTCGGGATCCTGGCAGGGTAAGTCCGCCATCTGTCTACCTACGCTGCGTCTACCAGACACCGGATTTGACGCGTAATGACGCGGTCACGCACTGTCATGGCCTGCCTGCGCATAATAAGCCGCTAATATACTCCACAGCATCCTTCCTTGAGTTCCCAATCCCTTGTCTCGCAAGAAGAGACGCGCCGGCAGGCAGCTGAACCGCCTGCGAACATGGTGCATCTTACGTCGACACTGTATTGTCGCCTATTGACATTACTCATAGATTGCCCCACCCATGCCCCAGAGCAACGTCCCTCGCATATTCCAAGCGACTGGCATGAACGGCCCGCCTGCACTTGCTCCAGTACAGCGAGGGAAACCTCGGATCTTCGCTGCCACCGAGGAGCAAAAACCCACACCGCCCGTTGACATGGCAGCCAAATCCTACCCCTCCCCTCCCGCCGAGTATTCACCTCCACCGCCCAAGCGCATGTCGGTCCACTTGCCGCCTCCGCCTACGACTTTGCCCGTCAGTAACGGCCTTCCGAGGAGTCAAAGTCCCACCAAATCTATTGCAGCTAGCATCAAGGACCATAAGGATCCGCGCGTAATTCCCGGAAGGGAAGGATCTGGCGCCGACGCCCCGTCTACCCGACGCGCTCCCTCAGACGCGGCTCGCACAAGCCCCGAGACGCACCACAAGCTTAAGCACAAGCCCAAGAGACCACCGACGGTAGCCGCCTCGCCCGCTATGCCGGTCGGCGAGATCCCGGACGCGGATATAGGTCTGTTGGACGACGATCCGTTCGCCCGCGTCGAGGGCGTGCAGCTCATGCGCTCGCCGTCGCGCGCGTCGAATGCGAGCAAGGTGCCCGGGATGCAGGATATGGATGCGATTCCATCGTTGCCGCCGTCTAGGGATGGTCCGCCGCCTACGGGGCCGATGCTCAGGCCGAAGAAATCGAAGGAGAGCTTTAGGAAGCCAAGGTCGAGGGAGGGGTTGTCGATGCACGAGGCGAACGGGAAGCCGTCTTCGAGAGATGGGAAACCGTCATCGCGAGATGGCAAGCCGCCTTCAAGAGGGGGCTCGCGAGGAATGGTGTCGCCGCCGCCGTCGAGGGAAGGACCGCATGGACATAGGATGTCTACGGCGGAGTCGGAGGATAACTTTGAGGATGCCGCCACATCCTTTGAGCCGCCTTCGGTGGCCCCAATCGCGGAGGAGCCAACAACGCCAATGATACCTGACGAGGACTTACCGCCTGTGACGCCGCCGAAGCCCCGTCGGGTACAGCAGCCACTGTCGCCCGTATCTCCTGAGGACTACAAAGCTGCGCGCACTGGCCGGCGTGGGGCAGGTCTCGAGCGGCGGCCACCATCCTTCATTGGCGAAGTCGAGGTTAAGGAGACGCGCATCCCGGGGCCGTTCCCATTGCACCGCTTCCTGACCTCCGACCCCGCACTTCTTGGCGCCTTCCTCCAATATCAAACCTTCTTCGAATGGTGCACGCTCTCTCGCATCAGCAAAGCGACCATGTCCACGATCGCGCGCTCCCGCCCGCTTCGCGAGGAGATCCTCGAGCGCTACCTGCACACCGTCGGCTATAGGCGCTGGGCCTGGGGTGACGCCGACCCGCTCTCGCTCTCCCTGCGCGACCTGAACGACTACATGCGCGGTGTGACGCTCCCGACGTACGAGTACGCAAGACACGCGGAGGCGTTCAATCAGCAGCTGAAGGTACCGGCGGAGGAGCGTGATCTTGTGCTGGCGGAGACTATTGCGGCCCTGAGGGCGGCGACGAGGGCGTATAATCGTGTGGTGTTGAGGCTGCGTGCGCAGGCTGAGCGTCAGGCCCGCGAGCCGCTGCCACAGAGTCGCGCGCCGTCGCCCTCGGCGATGTCCCATGGGCACTCGACGATGTCGCATGCGTCCAGTCGGGGCTCGCCTGTGCGAGGCTCTTCTGGCTTCCGCTCCCCGTTGTTCACGCTGCGCCGGGCGCCGCTATTGCGCGTGTTCGTGCCGTCTCCTGAAGGCGACTGGTTGTCGGATGCGAGCATATTGGAGTGCGAGGCTGAGCTGAGGCGTGCAGGGGCGATGCAGCATATGCGGTTGGGCGACGTGGCATGGGATATTGCAGTAGGGGACGAGGGGAATGCCGGTAGACTGATTTGGGATGGGAGTTATCTCATTGTAAGTCCGGGCATCTTTGTTGTATCCGAAGCTGACCTTTACACAGGACCTTGACTACACCTACTCACCGGTGGGCGACACCCCGCGGTACATTCCCTCGTTGGCCTTCCCGCCCTCCTACTTCCACCGCGTCATCCGCACGGGCTCCTCCTCCCAGAACCCAATCGTCCGCCTCAACATCATGCCCTGGGGCGAAGAGATTGCCGCGAACCTTCAGCTCCTCCAGGACCGCGCGCGCACCGAAACGCCGCAGGGCTCCTACCACAACGTAGTGCGCTGGGTGCACCGCTCGTCCTTCATTTTGCGCCCGCGAAGGAGCGCGGGGAGCAGCAGCGTTGGACATGGTTCGAGTAGCTCACGTCCGCCCAGCTCAAGGATCCCGATCTATGGGCATGAAGGGCTGTTCGTGGACCCGACGTGGTACGGGACGATTGTTGTGGAGACGGAGGGGACGAATGAGGCGTTGGCGGATTTGCAGGAGCGGTGTGGTCCTGGGGCGTTCCCGCCGCGGGCCGGCCCGCCCGTCAAGCGCGAGGTGGACAATCGGGAGGTCTTTAGAATCATGCGGGAGCGCAGGTGCGTATATCACTATTTCCGTAGCAGGACTCGCAGGCTGAAGATTCCCCTCGCAGCCGTCCCGGTGAGATTTGGCTGCGGACTGTCAGCACGAAGGAGCGTATCATATGAAGGGGAGCAATTTGGACTCGTCTGTCGGTGAAGAGAAACTGAAGTCCCCCGTTATCGCTATCGTCCCGCTTTCGCTTTCGTTCGATTGGGCACACTGAAGCATAGAACAATAAGTATTGTAACATTATTTTAGACAAGCCGAACGCTGGGTAATCGTTCCTTGGGCTTTCCTGTGTAGGGGATACTCTATGTAGCAACCAATGGTATAATTTATACCTTACTTTGAGCGTTTGAAGTCGCATGAGCGAGTTGATGGGACGGCGAGACGGATTCGAGTCTCGAAGGTTCATGCAGGTTTAGTATACAGCGAAGTTTACAGCGACAGACGATCAGACAAAGAAACAACAGGCAATGAAAATCTTAGATCTCCGCACCCCACTCCGACTGCAGCTTGTCGCGCATGTATTGCGCCTCCTTCACAAAGTCCACAGGCTCAACCTTCGTGATGCCGTACCGAACGCGAGTCTCGTCCTGGATTCAAGTGAGCAAACGAAGACACACCAAATGAGGGAGAAGAAGCACGGAAAATACTGCAGACACTCACGTTCCATGTGTCGGCCTTTGCGCGGCAGTTGAAGTTGAAGGCTTGATAGTTCGCTTGTGCGAAGGCGCGGAGGAAGCCGTCGTCATCGCCCGACTCCTACGATGGTGTTGATACAATGATAAAAGAGAAAACCCAGGAAGAACGCACCTTCATCTGCATGATCTCGTTCGCCGACCTATTGAAGATGACCTGACCGGCATCGTTGAAGCCCTGGAACCATGCTTGGCCGTGCAGATCCGCGACGGCGAGCTGCAGCATAAAGCTAAGACGTACGATCAGCATGTATCGCCTTCGCATCTTCCTGCAAGACTGACCGATAGTCTGGCGACGAATGCGACACGTTGCACTTCTCGCAGCGCCATTCACCGGGCCCATTCTCTACGACCTTCTTGTTGCAGTCTGGGCTCCTGCATGCCGGATACGCAAAGTTATTGTCCTTGATGTGCATGATGGTCGCCCTCGACGAGAAGTAGTCCGGCTGGTCGCCCATCCCCAGATTCGCATTCTTGATCTCCATCAACGTGCGCTGGTCGTCGCGGTCAAAGCCGCGCCCGGTACCCGCGCCACCGCCGCTCGTGTGCGACGAAAACTGCAGCGTCTTGCCATCGTCGTCGAACCAGCCGCGGAGGTGGAAGGCCTCGGTGGTGTCCGGGTTGACGAACATCATGGACGACATGAGCATGGAGAGGGAGCGGCCGCCGAAATCGCCGACTTTGACGCCCTTGAAAGCGATGACGGGGTGTCCTTCCTCCTCGTACTTTTCGGCGGTGTTGCCCCAGAGGGTGACGCGGACGGAGTAGCCGGTGTCGTCGACCAGCGTTAGTTCGCGCTTCTTCATCGTACGGTTGGTCGTCTTCGTCGTGATCTCGGACAGCTCGCCGACCTCCTTCACGACGCCAATAACATCTGTGCAATGTCAAAAGAGCACAGCGAGCGAGCAAACATCATATATACCACAGTTGGAATCCTTGGGGACCTCTTGCAGAGCGTCAAGCTTGACGAAGTTGTACTTGATAGTCGGCACATCGGCAGCCTCCAAGCACTGAGACATTGTTTGTCAGAGAATGCCAGTTCGCAAGACTGTTATACGCACAGGCTCGACCTCCGTGCTACGCTCCAGACTAAGCTCATAGTCGTTGTTGACGTTCGAGAACTTCTTCTTGGCGAGGTTGACGCGTGCCTTCGATACATAGTACACCTTCCCCTCCTCGAACTTATCGTATAACTCGTCCACAGCCTGATTGAAACCGGTGGCGCGGATCTCGCCCGTGTCGTCCATCAAGGTGACATTGAACAAGCGGCCCTCTCCGCGCTGGTTCGACCACCTGCGGATGTCGGACTTCTGCGTAACACGCGCCTTGATCGTCCAGTTGTTCTGGTAGGGGCTAAGACCCTCGATGGGGTAGATGGATCGACCGTTAGGCGCCGTGTTCTTGCTGTCGCGGTGGGGCTGAGCGGGCAGCTGAGGTGTCGCAGTGCGGGGGACGGTAGATGTGCTAGGCGCCGCGGCGGGCTTCGATTGAGGGGCTGGTGACTGGCCGTTCTCTCCGTCCGGCTTGACTTTGAGATACTCGGACGGTAGGGTATACGGTTGTTTCTCATCATTGGGATCCCTCCTCAGCTTCTCGTCGCAATGCTGGACTATTTCCAGGCCAAGAACAATGACAAGCCTGTAAAGCACATCAGAGAGTTCAGAGATCTCAGTAAAGTGGACACACCTCCTGTTCTGCACTATATTACGCGACGCGCGTGATATACGCACGATCGAGTTCTTCTCGATTCCGACATCGTTCAGCTGCGTGGCAAGCATGGCTTGCATGAACCATTCGCCGTCCGACAGGATAATGCGAAGGCGCTCAGGCTGACCCGACTTGGGTGCAGGCTTTTCCCCCTGCTTGCCTTCCTTGCCCTCGTTGATGCTTTTGACCGACAGGGCTTGCAGAACGACACCGGAGTTGAAGAGGTCGTCATCGTCGTCACAAGTAGCGAGCCTCATAATAGCGCCCTCGGTGAGCAAACCTACTGACATGATTGCGGATGTTCCTCGTGTTGCAGGGACGATATGGAGGTGAGAGGCAGGCGCGAATGGTCACGGTGTGACTGAGCGCGTCAGATGAGTGAGACGCGCACGTGCCCTGTGACTTGTCGTATCTAATCGAGATTGGGACCAAGGGTCAAGGTGAACTTGAAGCCGCAAGGGGCCTCCATAGTCTGACACAACACCTGGACCCTTTGCCACAAATGTAGTTCTTTCGCACAATTCAGTGGCCTTCCATTGTAATCGCACACGCCATATAATGGGCAAGACAGTATAGCACTCAGAACAGGACGTCTCATAACGCTTCATCCACGAGTACGACAAAGATTGTGGTCGAAATATTCAATAATGAGACGCTGCTGAGAGCCGCGACAGCCAGCAATCCACAGCCTCGCGAGCATGTCAATGAGCAGTGTGACATCAACAATCACAGTAACGCCCGTGCATCCAAACGGAGATAATGCCGGTCAGCGCATGATCAACTTCGATTCTGCAACGCAGACACAGCGACGGCCGACGCATCTTTAAATACGTCCGATTTGTGTCCTCTGGCTTTGCGCCCCTTCCCCCTCCCTCTGCCACCGAGCGCCACTCCCCCTCGGCACTTCAGCGCGAACACCGCCATTTTCCCCTCCGCGACGCGTGCAGCGACGATTAGGCAAGCTCCGAATTGAGACGACCGACGCGTCGAACGCACGCGTTTCTGGCGACCGGCGGCATCCAGCGCGTGTCTCGTTGAAGAGGGACCCCCGACAGTGCCAGCAACTGTTGAACTTGTACCACCACTCGTCCTGTAGCCTTAGCACAGAACCACCATGTCCCGCCTTGATACACCGACCACCACGCCCTCGCGGTACTCCAGCCTCTCGCGCACAACACGCACATCGAGCCCTTCAATATCTCACAGCAGCTATGCGCCAACACTGACGCCAGGCGGCATGCAGTTCCACAAGCTGAAAGTAGCCACCAGCCTCGCGTTGGAGGGCAAAGCTAAGAAGGGCCTGGATGGCGCGAACGTAAAGATGTACCTCAAGATATCGTTTCCCCGGGACTCTGTTACCCCGGGCATGACAATACCGATCTGCCCAGGTGAGTTGACGCGCTTTTGCGCAGTGGGCGCTTACTGACGATTTCCAGAGGAAAACATCCGGATTTTGAGCTCCCAAGTACATCCCCTCAACGCACAATTTTCCCCTTACAAGTATTTACCCGCTGCGTCCCCAATGCTGCACAAGGCTGCACGCGCGCTCAGGCTCCAACCTCCATTGGACATCACCTACCAGGACGCGCACAAGCTCGAGTCCACCCATAGCCCATCCATTGCGTCCTCCAGTCGGTCACGTATACGCGAAACGGCTAGCGATATATTACCCGTCGATGAGCGCTACACAGGCAGCATCATCGTTACCGCCTACCATATATCCTACGTGGTGCCGAAGAGCTTTCCCTCGCGGCCTCCGGTAGAGCATTCAAACGAGGACTTGCGCTCGGGCACCTCTTCCAAGGTCAGGCGCGCCTCAATAGGAGAGAAAACCACTATCAACTTTATGGCGGCCATCGACATGTTTGTGCCATATCTCGGACGTCCGCCAAGGTCTCCATACCTGGTGAGTGACCTGTTCTGCTGGCCTTGCTGATGCTGACGCGCCCCAGCTCTCGATTCCCATCCCACGTTGCCTGCAAAACCAAATCAAGCTCCGGATATTCCCTCCAAACAGCACCTCTTCTTCTCTCGCGTCCCTGTCCTCCGGCGACGAGGAGGGCAGTGCTTGGGACATGAGCTCAGATCCCCCAGTCAACCCTGACACGTCGCGTAGCTCTCGCCACGCCGCATATGATGACCTTGCCGATGATGAGTCTAGCGATTCTTCCCGAGGAGGCTTCGCAGATGGGTGCGGGATTCAAGGGAGTTTTCCTAGCTCAGACAGAATCCGAGTGCGGTGGGCGAAGCCCTTCAGAATGCTTGGTCCCGATTCCGAGGCAGCAAGGCGGAAGGTTGCAGTCAAGACTGTTAAGGCGGAGATGGCCTGCATCGTCAAGGGCAAAATGCCTCACCCTCAGAAGCCAGACGTGGAGGGCATCGTCATGGACGTCGAATATCGTGCGACGTGCAGTGGCTTGTGGCACGCAGGGGTGGCGACTCTGCTTGGCTTGGATGTGGCGCTGTACAAAGGGTCCAATGTTGATTGGGCCCCGGGATATCCGCCGGGTTGGGAGGTGACGGGTAGCGCGGGGTACGTTGGCTGCGGCGAGGACAAAGAGAAACCCAAGGGCTCTCAACAAGGCTCCGCGGACGATGCCAGCCCATCTAGCCTTGTCTCGCTATCCTCCACTGCGCACCTCGCCTTCCCAACAACACCTTCGAGGCAAAGCTCCACATCGTCGACGTCTTCATTGTTAAGGCAGACGCTTCCCGCAGTTCCCAATGTCGGCGATTACTCCTTCGAGAACTCCTCTCTATTGTCCTCGGAAACCTCCCTACCCCAAGGCAGCTCCGTCTCCTCCATGTCATCCCTAGCAACAACCGCCACCGGCGACTCCGACTCCGTTCGCCCACCCAACGCTACCGTCACCCTCAAGATCAACATCAACGAGTTCGTCCCGCCCTCCAAGAGGACCGACTTCACCTTCAAGATCGCCGGCACTATTGTCGTGTACCCGCGCTCTATCAGGCGTCCCGGCCGCTCGTTCAATTCGGCGAACTCGAGCGAGGAGGACAGCGATCACTCGGAAACGCGGCCGACGATGTTGCCGCGGTTCGAGGTGCATGCTGCGCAGGACGAGGATGTGCATATTCTCGTGCAGCACGATGCGGAAGCTGCGTCGCAGGTGATCGTGGTCAGCCCGGGCGATGACTATGAGGATCCGAGCGCGCCGAAGAACGTGCTCAAACGAGGCGCATCGAGTCGTTGCAAGGATGGAAGCGCGGTCGTGCTGCATTATCCGCCGCCGCTGCCGCCTCCTTCGCCTGACCCGCCGCGTGCGGACGTGTCGGATACTTCTGGCGCGCTCACCCCTCCTCGTGCTCGCACGCCTGCGACAACAGGCTCGCCTGGTCCCGTCCGCAGACTGTCCGGCGGGCCCCTCAGGCTGTCGCGCCTCAAGCGCGACGGGAAGCTCATGATCCCGCATGTCACCGTCAAGGTCACGCCTCTAGCGTCCGCCGGGTCCGCGCTGCCAGATTCGTACGCCGTGCGCGCGACGTTCCCCGTTCCTTCCGACTCTGGAAGTGATTGGGTGGAGTTCTGGTTGACGCAGCCAAACAATGGCCGGTTGTTGGGAGATGGGATTGCCGAAGAAGTGCTGCGTACGCCCCCGCGCGTGGCAGTGGTCTCGGCCAGCGTCGACGGCGTACCGGTCCGGTACGAGATGTATGCTGGTGCAGCGCCACAACGAGGCGGTAGCTGGGGAAACGAGAAGGGCAAGCAGGCGGAAGACGGCCAACTGACGTTCATGGAGATGAGCGGGAAACAGTGGGCGAGTTGGGTGAAGGTCCACGCAGGGAATGGTGGAGGGACGGTCGTTGTGGATTATTATATGCCGCCGCCAAGGGAGGAGGGCAAGGCGAAGCAACGGACGGTGGACTCGCTCTTGCACGTGTTGATTCCGGCTTTCCAGCTGCAAGTAGGGAGGTTGGAGGTCAGGATCGACAGTCTCCGAGGTACGCATGTCAAGGTAGAGTGTCCTTCTCTTGCTGACAATCTTTGCAGATGTCACCATCGCGGAGCTACATTCCAACCTCGAGTTCCAGTTGCAAACGCGCGAGGGTCCTCGGTTCCTGCACCACTGTTCCGAAGACTTCTTCTACCCCCAGCTTTCCATCATCTTCATGTCGTCCAAGCCCGTTGTCACCAACACGCTCATGAAGTGGACGCTGGCGGGCGTGATCTTCCTCCTGCTCATGTGCTTCGGCTTCATCTACCGCTTGTCGGGCGAGACGCAACAGCTGCAGCAATCCATACGCGGGCTATCCTTCGTCGTCGGCTCGGATTGGACGCATGCGATCGACGTCGAGCCGATCACCGTCACAGAGACCGTCTACAACAACAAGTGGTGGTACGCGGAGACGTCGACTGAGACCTCGTCATCTGCCACTGTCGAGCCTGTCGTCCCATCCGCGAGCACGTCAACAGAACCACCGGCCTCCTCATCGACGGCAATCCTCCACCATGGCGAACCAGCGTCTCCTGAATCCTCGGCGCCTGCGCGACCAATCACGCCACCCCGAAAGCCGCCATCGAGAGCATCCGCCCCTACCGGCACCTCTGTCGTGCCACAACACATGTCCTTCGCCGCGCTTTTCCCCACGCTGAACTTCACCCCACCCGAAGACACCTGGGACGTTGTTCGCAAGATCGGTGACGGCGTGTGGCAGATCATGCGCCGCATATATCACTATCCATTGGATCCTCCTTGATTACTCCTACTGTGCTCTGTTTTCCTTCCCTTCCCATCTCTTCTTCTCTCATGACGGTTTACCTATGCTCGTATGCTATATCTACATGCTACATCGCGGATTGTTATGTACGGGTTTTGTAGTATGAATTGATTGACGATCACTAAGTACTTATACGGTTTGTTTACGATTGTTCCTGTCACGGTAATGTCCATAGTCTATCCTCTATGTGGTGTAGTAATGCATGTATGATGGCTGTTTGCGTACTATTGGCAGAAACACTTCTCTGAGACCACTCGAGTAGGTGTGACAATGCCAGCCATGAGCAGGAGATTCAAGATCTCGTCCTTCCATCGAAGCGAGCATGCTGCTTCCGTCACCTTGCCTATATCCAGGGCTGGTCGTGGAAAGCCCACCGTCATGAGGTCGAAGCCAAGAGGGATTCCAGTAGCCGACTGGCTGTGACTGTTCGCCATCGTTCTGCGTTGAATCCTGCACTCTCTTGACTGACTCTAGCTCGTCCTGAATGCCACCTCAAAAGACTCTGGGAATACCTACAAGCTTTTAGCCTGAGCTTCGGTCTGGATAGACTAACCATGGTCAGGCGGCAATGTTAAGGAACTTGCGACCGACGAGAGGAAGGCTTGCCAGAGTTGAGCGGCCAGGCGCTGGTTTTCCAATCAGAGTTGAGTTCTGTCTGAGTTCTGTCATACTCAAGGATGTCTCGCTCGACTTCGAGGTCCTCCTTTTCCATAGCAAGACTTGTTGTTGATGCGTGTCAGACATATTATGTGCAATGGATGTCAGTGCAAGGGGGCGGACAGGACTGTCAGGACCTAGTAGTGAACCGTGACCAAAACCGGACGAGCATCAGTCACGGTTCACGTGGCAATCTGGCAATGCCCGGGGTCAAAATCCTTGAATCTGGCGGGGAAGGCGCCCACATTGCGGGGTGTCTGACCACTTTATCGGATGCCACGCATATGGGCACTAGTAATTGACTGGTGACTATCCTCCGAATTGCGGCAGGGGCTTCTGTTACCTGTATCCGGGCGCGGGTCGGATTGCAAGCGATAACGTCAACGTGCCCATAAATTGCTCCCTGCATCTGCGATATATCGAGCTCCTGGTTCTGCACCTTCCCCCACGGGCACATCGCAGCGAAACACGCTCACCGCCAAGTTGAACAACGTCTGAGCGGGTTCTCAAAGAAGCTCGGGAATTGCCGAAAGAACAATGACGACTGGCGAGGTGCGCTGTCTTTGCGGACTTTGATGTTGAACGCCAGGGCCATTGTCTCGCATCGGCCCCTTCGGCAAGGCCCTGGTCTTCTCCGCTATCTCTCTTCCTTCTCCCCCACATCAACAATACACCGACGATACTCCCAGATGACCGTCGAGCAGCCGGACTGGCGCCGTGTCGCTGCGCGCGACGGTGTACCTGCTTACAACATGTTTACAAGGTCGATCGTGCGCTCGCAGCAAGACGACCGCGAATACCGCGTCATCAAGCTCGACAATGGCGTCGAAGCGATGCTAGTGCACGATGCGAAGGCGGACAAGGCTGCAGCGAGCTTGGATGTCGCGGTGGGCCACTTGTACGACCCCGTACGTGCTCTCGACGTGCAGCCTTTGTATCCGGCTGACGAAAGTGCAGGATGATATGCCAGGTCTGGCGCACTTCTGCGAGCATCTGCTCTTCATGGTGCGTAGCTGCGCTGCCTTCGCACATCTTGCTCACTGACCGCACGCGACAGGGTACCGAGACGTACCCCAAGGAAAACGAGTATTCCGAGGTGCGTGTCAATTCGAACGCATTGCCCCGTCCCTTCCTGACCTCCTCCCCCAGTACTTGGCTAAAAACAACGGTCACTCCAATGCGTATACGTCCACGGCAAACACGAACTACTACTTCAACGTCGGAACGCACGCACTCCCCGGTGCTCTCGCTCGCTTCTCCGCCTTCTTCCACTGCCCCCTCTTCGCTCCCTCCTGCACGACCCGCGAACTCAACGCGGTTGACTCCGAGCACAAGAAGAACCACCAGGCGGACCTCTGGCGCATATTCCAGCTAAACAAGCACCTGACAAAGCCTGGTCACCCGTGGAAGAAGTTCGGAAGCGGCAACAAGGACAGCTTATCTCGCGCGGCAAAGGAACTCAAGGCTCAAGGCAAACTTGCGGAGACGACCCCGTCTCCCTCGGTGAACGGCTCGCTTGCACCTACCCCGGCTTCATCCAGGCTCGGATCGCCCACCCCGTCTTCGACTAGCGAAGTCGAAGCCGATGGTGGCGCTGTCGGTCGCGAAACTAGGCGTAGGGTAGTTGAATGGTGGCAGAAGGAATACTGCGCTAGCCGCATGCGCGTCTGCGTCCTTGGCAAGGGTATGTATGCCGATTGACCTGCTCTGCCGTTCATTGATCAGACCGATACAGAATCTCTCGATGAGCTCTCCGACCTGGTATCTACGAACTTCTCGCCCATTCCCAATCGGGGACGCGACCCTCTGCCCACTATACCCGACCACCCCTTTGGCACCGATGAGAAAGGCGTACGTCCTCTCTTACCCTTTGATCTGCACTGAACGTTTATCGTCTTTCCAGACCCTTGTCTCGGTTAAGACGATTATGTCCTTCCACGCACTGGAGATCTCTTTCCCTCTGGAAGATCAGGCCGACCTGTGGAAATACAAGCCTGCCAACTTCTTGTCACACTTCCTCGGTCACGAAGGTCCTGGTTCCTTGTACTCCTACTTGAAGAACAAGGGTTGGGCGACGTCCCTCGGCAGCGGTCCGCAGAACCTTGCGCGCGGCTTCGCGATGTTCAAGGTCACGGTTTACTTGACCTCGGAAGGCTTTCGTGCGTACAAATCCAACTTGATTCGGTCAACAACCGGGCTCAATGACATCCTTCACAGTGAACTACCAGGAGGTCATCTCCTCGACGTTCAAGTACATCTCGCTCCTCCGGTCGTCGGCTTTCGAGCCCTACCACCAAGAGGAACAATCTCAGATGTCCGAGATACGCTTCCGCTTCGCCGAGAAGAGGCAGCCTGACTCCTACGCCACCTGGATCGCCGAAACCATGGCGCGCCCTCTGCCTCGCGATCAACTGCTCTCCGCGCCCTCCCTCGTCCAGCCGTGGCAAGGCGACGAGCCTGGGACAGAGAAGACCATCCGGAAGTACCTCGACTCGTTCACGATGGACAACTGCCGCGTAGTACTGATGGCACAGGGAGAGGAGCATGCGAAATTGGTACCAGAGGCAACGTGGGAGAAGGAGCCATGGTATGGGACAGAGTACAGGGTCGAGCGCTTCAAGGAGGAGCAGGTGAAGGAGGCGACGGCGGCGAATGATATTGAGGACCTGTTCTTGCCCGGCCGTAACGAGTTCATCCCGACCAACTTGGACGTACAGAAGAAGGATGTGGCCGAGGTATGTTGTCGTCGTGTGTGCTTTTAGGAGTAGTGCTGATCACTCGGCAGCCCGCAAAGCGGCCGTTCCTCATCAGGCAAAGCAAGCTCTCGGAGCTTTGGCATAAGAAGGACGACCAGTTCTGGGTGCCCAAGGCACAGGTCATCATCGATATCCGCAGCCCTGCCAGCAACGCCTCGCCTGCTACTGCCGTCGCTACTCGGTACGCCTGCAAAGATCATCCTTCGAGGTGTTGATCTGATTCTTTGCAGCCTGTTCGCCGACCTCGTCAACGACAGCTTGTCCGAGTTCTCGTACGACGCCGACCTCGCTGGCCTATCGTACAACCTCACGTCGTACACGACTGGTCTTTACGTCCTGGTCAGCGGGTACAACGACAAGGTCGCCATCTTGCTCGAGCATATCATGGACAGGATCAAGAACCTCGAGGTCAAGGCCGATCGTCTGGCTATCATGAAGGAGCAAGCCAAACGCGACTGGGAAAATACCCTGCTCGGGCAATCCTACAGCCTGTCGGACTACTTCGGTCGCTACGCCCTGACCGAGAAGCTGTGGACGTTTCAGGAGAAGCTCGCTGTGGTTCCTTGTGAGAGCATTGTTTGCAGTCGTTGATACGTGTGCTGACAGGCGTCCAGCAATCACGGTCGAGGACATCCAGAAGCAGGCGCAGGCTATCCTCAGCTCGGTCTACATGCGCATGCTCGTGGCTGGCAACGTATTTAAGGACGAGGCTATCCGGATGGCCGAGATTGCGGAGGAGGGCCTTGGCGCGACCGAGTTGAAGTCGACGGAGCTGGATGACCAGGCGCTGGCTTTGCCGGAAAGTGAGTCGTTCTATGACCCTCAGCTATACGTGATCGTTGATGGCCTACGTCAGACTGCAACTACGGCTGGTTCATGGACGTGCCAAACCCGAACCAGGCCAACTCTGCCTTAACCTACTACGTCCAGTTCGGTCCCATCACCGACGAGTCCCTTCGCGTCACCTCCTCCCTCCTCGTGCAGATCATGCGCGAGCCCTCCTTCAACGTTCTCCGCACGCAAGAACAGCTTGGCTACATTGTGCACTGCTCCGCGTGGCTTCTCCCGGGCGGTACGCTCAAGGGCGTGCGCATCGTCGTGCAGAGCGAGAAGCCGCCGAGCTACCTCGAGGAGCGCGTGGAAGCCTTCCTCGTGGGTATGCAGAAGACGATCGAGGAGATGACGCCGGAGGTATTTGAGGAGCAGAAGGATGGGCTGAAGCGGAAGTGGCTGGAGGCGGACAAGAACTTAGCGGAGGAGACGGCAAGGTACAACACGCATATTACGACGGGGCAGTATGACTTCCTGAGGTGTAAGTGGTGGTGGCTGTCTTGTGGGTTGGCGAGTTGCTGATGAATTCGTAGATGAGCGAAACGCAGAGCTGTTGGACAGCGTTACGAAGGACCAAGTGATGTCGCTCTTCATGGAGCGCGTCCATCCTTCGTCGACGACCAGGAGCAAGCTGTCTGTGCACGCGCGGTCGAAAAAGCCAAAGCCCCAACCCATCAGCCTGGCAGCAGCTGAGGCGTTCGAAAACGTCGTTCGTGGTGCAGACCTCGGCGTGGATGCTTCGGCATGGAGGGACGCGGTCGGTGGGGAGGATACCATCTCGCTCCATGACTTCGGCAAGCACTGGGTGGGTGTCCTCGGCCAAAAGGAGGGCGGCAAGGCCCTGTTGGCGAAGATCCCCGAGTTGATGAAGGCCCATCCCGCGGAGGTCCCCAGCGAAGAGAGGAAACTAGACCACGTCAAGTTCATCGACGACCTCAAGGCGTTCAAGAGCACCTTGCAGGTCGCGCCCAACCCAGGACCCATGGTCCAGTGGGGCGACTTACCTACTCCTAACTTATGATGTTCTTGTTTTCAGCGGAATCGTAGTGTACATCTAGATAGCATAGTGACGGTCTATATTGGCGAGCTAATCACATCAATACGGCGGTGAGATAGAAAGAAACAGAGTGCAGACATGTCTGGAGGTCGACATGGGTGCGGGGAGTCGGATTGCAGTACAACATCGTGACATTTGCAGGGGAAAGCGGCGGTCGGTACGTTTACATTTGGCTAACCCAAAGAACCGATAAGTAAGGAGTCCGGGGGACGGACGTACGGAAAGCACGTCGGGTGAGGCGTCTCGTGAGTGGTGAAAAGCGCCGCAGATGGTGGCGGCGGGGTGGACACCCATCGATCACTTCCTCGACGCCTTCGCCTGGGTGTACTTGCCCACTGCGGGCGCGGGGGGATGAGAGGGGGCCACATAATCCTTTCGCCGGCGGAAAAGTAGCACGTGGGGCTCAGGTGCTTGAAAGAAGATGGTTAAGCATTTGACTACGAGGCCTCGTGTGCGCACTCACCATGCACTTCGTAGTGCTCCCAACCAAGACTCTGCGTGATGCCGATCCCTCGCCACTCCTGCTCGCTAAGGAGGCGCAAGACGCCACTGTCGTCGGGACTGAAGAAGGACTTGGGTATCATCTTGAGGAGCTGCTTGGGGAGAATGACATGGCGGTACTCATAGACGTCGTCCGAGTATCGATCGGAGTAGTGAATTCTGGGTCATTTTCAGCGGAGTATGAGGGCGAAATGTGTGTGTGTCCGCACCTATCAATGTACTCCTCGAGCCGGCTACGCTCTTCGGTCTTCTGCGCCATGGACGCCACTCGGTATGGTTGCACGAAAGCTTGAGAGCAAGGTCTGCACGCTGATCCGGAACGCGTGCCGTCACACAACAGTCAGATCACGGGATGGTGACGGTGACGTATGATCTGGCTCCGCGGCCATTGTTCTCGACTGCCATTGTTCTTCTTGGGCGCCCATCATGCGTCGCTTCTTCGAGCCGCGGCAGCAGCAGCAATATGCGCCGGCCCAGTATCAGCAACAAAATATTGATAGCTATGATTGCGATGAGTACAGCGATAGCGCCGGCTATTACGACATGAACTATGCAGACTGCCTGGATTCGATGGACGATGATATGGGTGCATATATGCGCCGTATACGCGCTTTTGTACATCTGACAATCCTTTAGTGAACACGTCGCCATGCCCCCCTCAACGTAATGCACCGCACAGGCCTCAATATCGGCAGCAGCAGCAGTCAATGCATCCCGAGGAGATCGCTGAATTCCCCGAAGAACCCCTCGAAGAAGAGTACATTGAGTACTATCCGTCGCAACAGGACGGCTACGAAACATACGGATCTGACCCTCAATATGGTAGGCGTGTGTTCTATCCAGCTAGGGATTCCCTGACCCTCTTGCATAGCTCCATCCCATAATGATCAGGTGCAATACGACGGTTACGAGGATCCCACCCAGTTACAACCACATAATCAGAAGCCTACTCGTGCGCAGGGCTACTCATACTACCCCGACGACGAGCATGCAGCTCCGTCACAGCACGACCCCGGCGTCCCCGATCGAATTAGACTTAGACCAGTGTCCGAATTGCGTGCGTTCTCCTACTTACGGCCTCACTGCATCATTTTCTTATGACGCTACTCCCAGCCGATGTCTACCGAACGATGTTCAAGTTTGGGGTCTTCAACGCCGTCCAGTCCACATGCATCGACCCTGTACGTGCGGTCTATCCACCCTTCAGCCAGAGCTAAAGACATCACCAGATCATGACCACCGACGAGAATATGGTCATCAGCGGTATGACGAGATCGTCGGGCGCGCCAGACATTTATTCTTACTCCGTCCTTACAGCGCCTACCGGAAGTGGCAAGACCGTATTGTTTGAGCTTGCCATCATCAAGATGCTCAACGACATGCGGAGCAATGGCAGCAGCCTCAAGTGCGTCTACATGGCGCCGACCAAGGTAAGCGGCTCATCCGCTCGATCTATGCCCTCTTACCGTTCTCCTGCAGGCTCTTTGCTCTGAGCGTCAACGAGATTGGTCGGCGAAGTTCGACCCTTTGGGGATCAAGTGTACGTTTCCTCTACGTCGTCGTCAAGTTTGTCCGCTTAATCTCCAAGCCCAGGCTGCGAGTTGACTGGAGACACCGTCCTGTTCGGCAAGGGTGCTTGGGGTGATGCTAAGCATGCAACTATCATGTATGTGGTCCTTCAACGCCCCATGTTTGTTTGCTCATGATTGATGCAGTATCACAACGGTGCGAGGCACATTTGGGTTTAGACATTCAAGACCCATCTGACCACCCTACAGGGAGAGAAATGGGATAGCCTGACTCGCAATTGGTTTGTCTTTCTTCATCACCAATTTGTCGCCTTCGACTAATTTGTTCAAAGGAGCGAACACGGCCAGGTCCTTTCGCAAATCCAACTTTTCCTCGTCGACGAAGTCCACATCCTCAACGAGTCGCGCGGCAGTACGCTCGAGGTCGTTATTTCGCGCATGAAAACGCGCGGAACGTCTGTGCGGTTCGTGATGGTGTCCGCGACGGTGCCGAATATCCAGGACATCGCGAACTGGGTCGGGAGTGCGAGGAACAGGGAGAAGCCGGCGAAGGTGTATGAGGTGCGACGTTGCGTCCAACGAAGGGTCAGCATGGGACTAACATGTTGCGACAGTTTGGCGAGGAATACCGCCCTTGCAAGTTGACACGCCACGTCGTGAGCGTGCCGCGTCAGAAGAATAGTAACGACTTTCAGTTCGCCAAGATCTTGGATTACAAGCTGTTCGAGACGCTGCAATTATACTCGTCAGGTCAGTATATGCGTTCTCCTTTGTTCGACAACATGCTCAATTCCGTGTAGGGAAGCCGATCCTTGTGTTTGTGGCGACGAGAAAAGGTGCTTATGGCAGCATGAGGCTCGGTGTTGCCGTTAACGAGTACAACAGGCGTCTTTGGCACTGCGGACCAGCTCAAAAAGGATTATGACGAGGCGATGAAGAAGAAGCAGACTTTACCGTGGTCGAAGCCGCCGAGGTCAAATTACGCGTTTAATGACAAGCGCCTGGAAGGTGCGGTATTCTTGGGCGTTCATACATCCGATCTTAATATGTCTACAGAACTCGCGTTGTACGGCATTGGCGTGCATCACGCTGGCCTGGGGATGGACGACCGGCGGGCAACGGAGGAGCTGTACCTGAATAGGAAACTGCGGATAGTGATTGCGACGTCGGTGAGTGCCGTGAGATGTGCATTTATGTGCTGCTTGTTGACATTTGGTACCAGACACTCGCTGTTGGTGTCAATCTGCGTAGGTCGAGTGAGTTCGGACTCGAGCTGAGAGCTGATGTGAACCACATCAGCCGCCCACACGGTGGTCATTAAGGGCGTGCATATGTTCCAGAACAACATGATGATAGAATATAGCGACCTGGACATCGTGCAGATGCTAGGACGAGCGGGTCGCCCTCAGTTCGGTGAGAAACGACGCCTCAGCTAGTCCGAGCAAGCTTACACACCTAACCCTAGACAAAGAAGGCGTCGCCATCATCCTCTGCGAGGAACAGCTCGAGGCGAAGTATCGCGCCCTCGTCCAAGGCCGCACCATCCTCGAAAGCTCCCTTCACCTCAACCTCTCTGAACACCTTAACTCTGAAATCGGCCTCGGCACGATCACCAACCTTGACTCCGCGAAGGGCTGGCTGCGCAACTCCTTCCTCTTCCAGCGCATCCAGCGCAACCCAAACCACTACGCGCTAGGGAAGAGCGAGGAGCAGACGTGGGAAGAGCGGATGGATGATCTGGTAATTCAAAGTATCGTGAAGCTGAAGGAGTCGGAGCTTGTTAGCTATGAGGGGGAGGCGCCCGCCATTGGGCATTTGCAGTCGACGGAATATGGGGATATTATGAGCAAGGTGGGCTCGGTCGCCAGGATGCCCCCCGCTTGCTGATGAGTTGCAGTTCTACATTCGTCAGTCGACGGTCAGTTTCTGCGAATATGTTGCCGTCCATTTTCTCACCATCTTCCGCAGATGTGCTTGATTCTAGCCATGCCCGAGAAGCCAACGTTGCGTGAAGTGGTGAGTCATCCCGGAAATCCCTCTCTTTCCCTCTCTCACTAATACCCCACCAGCTAGAGACTATCTCTCAGGCGGACGAGCAAGTGACACGATACAGTAGCGCAGAACATGTGCTAAGATTGTATCTTTACTCAGGTGCGGGGATAGCAAAATGCGAACGTCCGAGAAGACGGTGCGTGCATACTGCCGCCAGCTTGTCTCCTTTGCTCATTGCCTTACAGCTTCTGGGCAAGATCAACCGCCATAACGACTTGCGCTTCACCATCAAGAAAGTGGAGAAGACTGCCGACAAGGCTTTCCTTCTGATTCAGGTGCGCATACACGCTCGTTCTTACACGTCCGAGTCACCTACCGATGTATGGGACTTCACAGGCTGTACTCGGGGGGTTGCCGCTGAATAGCCCAGAGTTCAAGAGCGCGGATAGCCAACCTCAGCTAGAGGCGTTCGGCATTTTCAAGCATATAGGCAGGATCGCGAAAGCCGTTGTCGAGGTTGCTATCGCAAGGCAGCGTGGTGCTCAGCTGAAGTATGGGCTGGAGTTGTGAGTTATCGAGGTCACCGTCGTCGTGAGGCTTCGACTCACGGCCTCGCAGGAGTCGGTGCTTCAATGCCAAGGCATGGGAAGACCGTCCCATTGTTCTGCGCCAGATCGCCAAGATTGGCGAGAAGTCGTACGTATCATGCTCAGACTTCCAGAACGCCACTGATCTTGTTCCAGGATCAGCGTATGGTCGTCTTCGCTGCCACAGTCAAACGTTGCTTACTGAGACCCACTAGGTCCTCGCTGAGCACGGCATAACGACTGTGCCTAAGCTTCGCATGCAGAACCCTATTCGCATCGAGGCGGTTAGTATCATGCTTTTGGGCATATCGGTGCCGCTGACATGCTCGATTAGCTGCTCAACCGTCGACCGCCGTTCGGGCACGAAGTCCTGGCCTTCGTCCACGAGATGCCCCAGTACAGTCTCAACATCAAGGAACTTCAGGTGCATCCAGGAGGAGGCGACAGACCAGCGGCGGTGGAGGTTCTCGTTGAATGCGGCGTCATCGAGCCCCCGCAAACTAGCAGCAGCAACAAGAAGGCAAAACTGAAGGGCGGCACTTTCACTTCGGTTCTTACTATGACTTCGAACGACGACTTCGTTGACTTCCGCCGGATTCCGTGCGTAACTCGGCTCTCTCTATCGACGCACCACGTGAATCATTGACGATGCGCCCGAGCAGTACGAAGTCGATCGGCAGTTGCAAGTCGTTCGAGGTCACGGCGGAGCTGATGAAGCCCAGTCAGAGCGTTGTTGTCTACATCAGTTCGGTACGTATTGAGATTGGCGTGTACCCTTTCCGAAGTAATATCTTTGCAGGAAACGTACGCTGGCATCACGGTGACCCAATCGTACAAGCCACGCTTGCCCCCGACGGCATTCCCCACCCTAGTGACCCGTCCGGGGACAGAGATCGTACGGCATCTTCTTGGGCGCTATAACCTTCCCATTGACCTTCCGCCTAGGACCAAATGGTGGAGGACCTGGAAGCTAACCCGGACTTCTGGGATATGATGGACGACGAAGCACCCACAAGCGACGAAAAGCCGTTCCCTCAGAGCGCTCCCGCCAATCATCGCACTGGCAAGACGAACGAGAATAAGCCGCCTCCCGCCCCGAAGGCAGCGAAAGCTCGCCCTCAGGCGCCCGCCCCTTCGACAGACTCTGCGTTCGAGGAAAGGGTCAGAAGACGTCCAGATGGCAAATACGAGTACGACCTTCGCTGTTGATCCTGACGGGGACTGACAGTGGCCTAGCTGCAACCACAATTGCAAGGACAAGACGAAGTGTCGTCATCTCTGGTATGTGTTAATACCCACGCAACGTTGGCCAGGCTCGCTGCAATGTCTCTCAGCTGCCGCGATGGGCTTCCCGCTCCACCCCTCGGACTGAGAAAGAGACCGTCAACCGGTAACGCTGATCCCAAGTCGCCGGCGCCGACTCAAGCGAAGATGCTCAAGAAGAAGACGCCGGTCAAAAAGAGCCCAGCGAAGCCAAGGGCAAAGCCTGACCGCCGCCTGCACGACCTCGACGAGCTACATAGAAACGCGAAGGTATCTGAGAACCTCGGCATCGGCAACGGCAAGAGAATCAAGATCGACACGACACCGCTGAAGCTCTCCTCGCCTCAGAAGATCAAGCCCGAACACGGTGGACGATCCCCGCTGCTCGAGTTCAAGGAGCTTGAAGACGATGACGACGACGATCTCCCGGATCCTCTCGATATCCTGCGAACTGTGCTGTCTAAGCAGGAATCGTCGGATGACTACTCGGACTCTGAGCTCGATGCCCTGATGCTAAAGATACCCTCCGACGAGATACCTACCTCCAGCGCACCTCCCGTTCGAGGCTCTTCATCAAAGAAACGACCAAGTACTCCGGTTAGCCGCAACAACGTGAAGCGCGCGAAGGTGGAAAGAAAATCCTTGTCTCCTGGTCCTTATCACAACAAGGTAACTTTGCCACGAGTGACTCGATCTTGAGCTAATCCAGAACTAGGTCGATGTGGAGCCATTATTCCTGGACGTACCTTCGTCTGAAGAGGACAAACCCATCATCGCGGATCCTGTGCCTGCTTCCAAGAGGCGTCCTAATTGCTCGCCCACCCCATCGCCTACAACCGATGCCCGAACCTATGCTCCCACTGCTCAAAATCCTGCTGGTGTTCCTTACAACGACTCACGTGCTACTTACGACGACATTGCGACCTACGACGACGCCACTGCGTACGATGACTCTGGATACTTCGAATCCCTCGCTATGCCTCCTTCGCCGATATCCCTCTGCGACGTCGACAAGCCCATGGATTGCTCCTCCGTCATCACAGCTGCGAGCGGACTCTCGCCCACTCCGTCGCGGAAGGCAGAGGAGACTTTAGCGATGCAAGTGGATGAGATGGATGAATTCGATGCGTGGCTGAATAGCGGTGCAGTCGAAATTGTATAGTTGATTCTGTCACTGCCAAATGCCTACTCATTCTACTGTATGCGGGGCTATTGAGATGTCTTCTTGAGAGGACCTGAACGTTTAACAATCAAACCCTCTCGGCCTCGGCGCAGCTGACGTAAGCCAGGCTCGGGAACAATCAGTCACGTGTTTTCCCATATCTGGTAACCAAACAGGGAGATATCCCCTTTTCAGCTTCCATCATCATACCCACACCAACAAGGCACGCTTGAGCCTCGCCCATCACATTCGTGAAAATGTGGATAGTAGATGAGAAGGCAGTGCAGCATGTCAAGGTGAGGACACGGCCTTTCTATGTACGACAATTTGAATGACAGCAACGCGAAGGCATTCTTCCCCGAAATTGCGCTGTTGGGCGAGTTATGCGCCCAAAACCCGCATTGGATATTTGATTCGTGCCGATACATCTACTCGAAATTGGCTCAGACCTCTGCATTGCGCCTCCTATGGCAGCCCACCCGCGATACTGCCAGAAGCGTGGCCGTCTACGCGATGCATGTCTCACAGATATTCGAAGGTCTCCGTAGCATCGTCGATGCCATCTTCTTAGCGATATCCTCAGGCGACGGCGCCGCCATTGAACCGCAAGTCGACAGCATCGCTGACGCTGCGTCTGTCCTTCTCACGCGCATAGACGATGGATTACACGCCTTCGATGTCGCCGACGGCAACATATTCGAATATGTGCAAATCGTCAACAGGCAATTCGCTCCCAGCCAGCCCGCCAAGTTCTTCCTACCTGTGGTCGACTTGCGAACGGACGAAGATATACTTCGCGATAACGCGCGCCGCGACATTCTGCGCGAGCTACGAACCGCGCACACGAGCATGGTCTCTGTTTCGTCAGTTCTGGAACAGATCAGAATATCCGTCGACTTCATGATCAATCGCTTTTTCGGGAACAAGCTCGCCGACCTACGTCGACTCCCTGAAGACGAACGTCGTCGCGTGTCAATGGGCATGCAGCAGATGATTTCCTGCCTGGCGTGCGATGCGAAAACTTGTCGCTCGGCGGTACAGCATATCTCGAACCTGGAAGAGGAATATTGGAGAGTATGTTCTCAACTATTTCAGCCTTTGCGTCTAATCAAAAGGTGTGCAGCTCCTCCAGTCGGAGCTCAAATCTGCGTCGGAGATAGAGGAAGACAAATTGTTTTCGTAACAGGCAATGTTTGACAAGACCATTGAGTATGTGTACCAAGTGACTGCAATTGTATCGCGCTTTTCCATCACAAGCATTCTTTCGGCACGTCTGCGCGGGTTCGTAGTGATTGCCCTTCACATAACGGTGCATCCCCATCCGCTATTTCTTCTCTGCGCTTCCTCCCGTTGGCGTTGCTCGATCTCGAGTCTCTGAGCCTCCATCTGCCACTGCCTGTTTATATACGCCTCCCTCTGGTACTGTGCTGCCTCTGTCTGCCGAGCCTGCCGGTTTCTCTCTTCTATAGTCCTTCGCTGCGCCACCTCCCGCCTTTGTGCGATGTCCCGAAGGATGCGGTGCTGCTCCATGACATCGACCGCGTCATATTCGAATTCTCGCGGACGTGGCGGCACAGGATACTGCGGTGGTGGTGCCCTCTGAGGCGCCTGCGCGGGACGAACGTCTTCGTATATCCCGCCGTGTGCTTCCGTCATATGATTGTAGATCTCGTCGCGGGGGAACACTCGAGTGCACCTCCAGCAGAAGTGTGCACCGCAGCGACATGAGATGTGGTTGCAGCCTTCTGTCTTTTCCACGAGGACCTGACAACTCGGGCAGCGCTTGAAATTCTGTTCGGCGATGAGCGCGTCGTTCAATTTCTCGTCGTGCTTCCGCTGGACGTCGCGCGCGTTCTCCCTGCACGTCCTGCCAACATGTGCGCCTTCGTTGCAGCCCGTGCAGACGGTGGCGAAGCACGACGGACAAGACAAGAATTGCTGTTCACCATCGGTAGCATACACCTGCTCGCACGCCGCAGTCCGGCAGTACTTCAGCCTGTCCGGGTTCCTTTCGATGTGCGCCGTGAACGCAGCGTCGAAAAGCTTTGTCACCGCATCCTCGGCCAGGAACTTGCGGATCGTCGGGATGGGAATTGGCACCCCGCAAGTGGCATCCTCCCCGATGCACAGGAGAGGAAAGGTCTTGTTCTCCGTCGCGCTGGAAAGCAGGTGCTTGGCGCAGGCCGTGCAGTAAATGTGGCCGCACCCCAGACGGAACGGAGCGGACGGCTCCATATAACAGACCGGGCACGTCGCATCCACGGCTGCAGAGGGGCGATACGTCGCAGAGTCGATGATATGGCGCTCCACCGCGCGTCGCGCTGCTTCACCACCGCGGACGACGACATGGCACCGCGCACGAGGGCCGTCGAGCTTCACGTTCTCCTCGCCGAGTTCCTCCTTTAGGGCGGGAATGCCTTGGCGCAGGAAGTATGCCACCACCGCTGGCTTGACCGGAATCGATATCTCTAGCGCTGCCAAGCGGTCCTCCTCCTCCTGGATCTGCTCGCGAGCTGCGAGCACCGCGGCCGGCTCGCCGAACGCCTTAAGCGCGCGGGTGCGCGCATCGCGGAGGATGAACGTCCCTGTGCGCTCGGCCACGCCATCCAAAAACCGCTCAGTGAGGCCTACTGCCCATGCCGCAAGGACCTGCCCTCGCGCAAGGTCCTCGGCGCGAACCTTGAGCTGGCCCACGGCCTCCTTCTCCTTCCCCGAGATCTGAATGAAGACATGGGGCCGACCTGGGTGCCGCGGGGCGTCGATCCGCAGGGACGCGGCCGCCCCGCTGCCAGCGAGCTCGTCCCACTGTCGCTTCTGGACGTTGTACTGCCGTACCGGGATGGAGAGTTTGTACTGTACGGGCTCGTCCAGACGGGTATACAGCGGCCAGTTGCCATTCCAGGAGAACCTCCTCTGGCCATCGAGGCTGATGCGCGCACGCTCTGCTGCGTCGCCATCGTCGAAGGCCACGCGCACCTGGACCATTTTCTCGTTGGGACGCGTGGCGTTTGTGACCTGCGCCACCGGTGAGTACAGTCTGATGTGGTGGCCCAGCTGAGCGACTGCTTCGTCGACGTTGTAGTCCTTTGCCGGCTGCCGCAATACATCAGTGTTGCCAGTGAAGCGGGAGACGTCGTTGGTCGAGACAGAGAGAGGCAGACCATCCAATATAATCGAGGTCGAGGGCGAAGCATCGAAATAACGACCCGCATTCCGAGGCCTTCGGACGAACACATTAACGCGCCGTCCAGATAGTATACGGCCATTCAGTTCACGAGCCTTGGCTTCAGCTAAGTCCGTCGAACGGTACGTAGCCACGTAGCTGACCGACGGCGCCCTCCACCATATGGCGAGCACGTAGGTCGAATTCCCCGTCACTCCGCCGCCATCGATCAGGGTCGCGCTAAGGCGATTGCTACCCATCTCGGCGTCATCGATTGCCTCCACCAAACGCTCAACCTCACTGCGCTTGACGAGGACCTCGCCTTCGCGCTTGTATTGGTTATGCGAAACGATGTGGAAGTCCCCCGAAGAGAGATCCTGACCGAGGATCAGGAGCGAGAGGGTGTTGATCGTCGTGTTTGCCGGAAGCCCAGTGACTCGGACGATAGACGTGTGGAAGCCAGTAACAAGAGACTGGATGGTGGCGCCTGCGCTGAAGGTGACAATGGAGCCGCCGATCAGCTTCGTGTACGTCTGGTCGGCTTCTTCTCGGACGATGCGTGCAAGGCGGGCTTCAGTTTCTGCTTCCCTTGCTGCAGCTCGTTCCGCACGATCCTGTTGCTTCGTTTGACCAGACGAGCTCGAGGAAGCAATTGGTGGTGTAGACTCTTCAAGGATAGGTACTTGAGGTAAGGTCGAGCCGGAGGGAAGCTGCACATACGTTACCGTAAGTCGCAAGATGTCACCGAGCACTGCGATTGCGCACCTCCGTGTCATGGCTGAATCGGCAGTTATCGCCTCGGTTGCACTTTCCTCTGCTGTAGTATGTACACCTCTGCACGCCATTACCATGTCCTTCTTTTTCCGATCGCAAGGCGCCTAAGAACACATCAGCACATGCAATATTACCGTGGATCACACTGACCGCTAGCGGAAGGGCGTACCCTGCCACGGCCACGAAACGCACCGCGTCTCTGTTGATTGTTCGACTGCTGAGAGGTTGATCAGTCAATGTCTACCATGCGAAGTAGCTAGGACGAATCAAAGCGTGCTCACCGCATTTGGTGTCGTCGGGCTACAGACGTTAACATCATGACTGAATCGACAGTCCTCCCGTCTACAGTTTCCGGCTTGATGAAATCGACAAGCTGGTCGGGGATTCGACGGCTGCCTGTTGCTCTGCATCGTTCGTCGTCTTGGAGGAGAGGAGGAAGAACCGGCATTCGACAACAAGCGCCCGTCCTTCTTAAGCCCGCAGGCCAGGGCGTGGGTTCCTGGCCAGCATTAGCGGTACTAGGATGACGTTTGGTCACCGCTTCGTCCCCAGTGAGGCCGAAGGAGTCGGGGCCAGTACTTCGGAATCCCAGGACCCATGAGTATGACTATGAGCTCTCCATAGTATACACGATGGTATCGCTTCAGCGACCAGACTTTTCTCTGCCAGTGAATGGCAATCGTTGCACATTCTCTCTGGCATGTACCTTCAGTATGGACCTTGCGTCGTGGAAGCGTCGCTGTACCTATCGTCGTACCAAGGAACCTCCAAGAACAGGTCCACGGCGAGTGCACGTGGCGCACGTGATCCTTTTCTCGGGAGCCAAATGTGAGACTATCCCCTTTTTAGTTCCCTCATCTCTTTCACACCGGCAGACCGCCACTCAACACTCTTCTCTGCTCGGAACATTATGCCGCTGCACCCGTTGCTTGTCCAGCAAAAAGTCCAGGTAAAGTCCGAAGCTGCTCAAATACGGTAGACTAACAGTCACGACCAGGCACTTTTTCCCGAGATCGCGCTGTTGAACAAATCCCTGTGCTTTCCACTCAAAATGTGGATGCCGTGCGGTGACATTTACTACTATCTATATCTGTCTTCTGCACTGCCTCTGCTGCTGCAGCCAACCCACAAGGCGTTCTGCAGTGTGGCCGCATATGCGAACCATATGTCACGGATTTGTAGAGGTCTTCGTGATGTCGTGGTTGCGATCCTCCAGGCGATAACTTCGAAGTCCGATCCTTTACCAGAATCACTCGTCACTCGCATCGCGGACACATCGGCCCTTCTCATCTCGCGCATAGACGAGTGCTCACTTGCTTGCGACATCGCGGTCGGAACCCTATTCACCTACGGGAAAGCCGTCGACGGACGACTCTCTCACAACCGCGTCGTCGAGTTTCTCCTCCCTCTGATTGACTTTTTTGACCTGCGAACTCGGGAGGAGAGGCTGCGCGATCACGCACGCGTTGAGATCCTATGCGAACTTCGACGCCTGCACCAGGACATGACCTCCAACTCACGGCTCTTCAGAAAGGTCAGAGATTCCGTCAATCTGATAAAGGAACGGTACTCCGACACGAAGTGCGCCGAGATACGCCAATTACCGGAGGATGAACGACGTTCTATAGAGGCTGTCATGCGGCAGACAATTCACAAGCTCGCTGCCTGGGAGGACGATTGGCGCATGGCAGAGGAGTTGATTATGGGCAAGGCAGAAGATGTGGACGTGAGTACTCATTTTTTCACCGACGGCCTGTTTGACCTCCATGTCCTATCCAGCGTAGACTCGTCCAGTCGCAGGCGAGCCATAGCCCAAACGATTTCAAGGCTTTGACTGAATCGAGAGGATGGCAAACAAGCCGATAACCGGGCTTTCTTGGTTTCGAAATGGGAGCGAGGGAGCGGGCGAGTTACGTGCGAAGCGGACGTTCGAGCCTACATCCAGCGTTCTATCCATCCCGGGAAGAGAGATTTATCATCGTTTTTGTGATAAGTCGCTCAGTCCTTAGCTATAGGCTTGATTACCATCGACTGTCTTGTGTCCTGTTCAAGTGCGAAGCAGTGTACTTAGTCTGTATCTCAGTAGACTAATATATATGATCATCGAGGTCATCCAAACCCGTAAGCGCGACCACATGGCGTCGACCCAAGATGAGATCCCGAACGCACTCACTCGCGGGTTGTCGAGGATTCTGAATTAGAATCTGAGGGCCGTGCGTGTTTTGTGGCCCATGAAAAGTCCATAAACTGACTTCTCAAGCAGACCTGTCAGATCAGCGACAAAGCTGTGCAGCCTGAAGCCATGTTCACAGACCGTTACGGTACCGTGCAAAAGTTGGCCAGTTCTGGAATCGCGGACATGGCGTAGGTTGCGGGAAAATCGCATGCAAGTTGTACAAAAAGTAGTCAATCTCACGATGGACGAATCACGCCCGCTACCCCCGATCCCAGCCATGGACCCGGGACCGTATTGTCCTCGGGTATCGAGAGATTTGAGTATCCCCAAAATTGAGACCTGAGGTGTATGCAATGCGCGCTTGCCATATCTCCCATCGGATCATCCACAATGCGCGGTCTTTGCTGCTCAGTTGGCGCAGTAGATGACACCAATAGTGTACAGGCCCTCGTCACAAGGATAAGATCAAACATTTACGTCTCCAGCTTCCCGACGCTGTGCGCGACGAAGTGGAAGGTGTTCAAGGAGGAGATCTCTGTGAGCATAGTCAGCATCTTGGTAGAGTGTCATGGGGTATTTCACGCACCCGTCTTCGCGGCAGTCGCTGTAGCGGGCTTTGGCTTCACGGGCTTGAAGACCTTGCTGGCCTCATCGTACGCCCACCCACGGGCTTGCGCAGCTAGCGATCCTGTCAGCGAACGAGCGCAATGCTGATAGAGCATAACCAAACCTGGTATAATCTGCTCCGCTGGCAAGCCCAGGTACGTCGCTACCAAGTTGAGCGGAACCTCCGTGTACGCGCGCGACAGCAGCTGGAACGTTCGCTCGCGGAAGGAATCTATGGGTAGTTTGAATGGATATTGGGACACAACCAACCATCCACACTCACCGAGAAACTGTCTGAGCAGCGCGTGAAGGACCTGGGTGATTGGCTCCTCGAAGTCGTTCGCGACGTTGACGAGTGTTTCCACTCGGGAGTAGACTTGATCGTACCGACGCTGCCAGGTGAGCGCAACGAGGCTATTCAGGCCCTGCACGATCGGCAGTCCGTGTAGTTGCTCGGGAAGGCGCGAGAGCGCGAAGCGTGCGGGAGTTCTGTGCGTGCGCGTAGTTTCGTGTGACAGGATGCGAGCGGAGGGATATACGGGGCAGACAGGTGGGAGAGAATGGTCGACGATCGAACGTGAATGAAGGACGAGCGCAGCAGTGGGGAATTCATGATCAGTACAAGCGCCACCCGACCAAACGCGTCCTGTACGCACAAGTCATCCACGATCAGATACGCCAACACCATCGGCGCAATAACCAGCAGACGTGCCGGCGAGTTAGAGTCACCCTTCGTAAGGCAGATGGTCAGCAAACGATTTCCAAGTCACAGATCGCCCCAGGCGCTTACGATGAGGTCCGCACGCTCTGCGAGCGCGACGACATCCGCATACTGTCCCTGCGCGACGGTGGCGCTGATTCCAGCAAATGCAGAGCGGAACACTGTGTCGTCGGGTGCGCGTTCGGGAGCCTTGTTCTTGCTCGAGGAGGAGGAAGAGGCGGAGAGGCCTGGGGCAGATGCCGTGGTGGCTGGAGGCGCGGGGTCGGTGGACATCTCGCTACTAGCTGCTGCGGCAGCCGCAGCGGCGGCCTCTGCCTTGGCCTGGTCCTCGATCTCGATGGAGCTCGTGGGGGGCGGTGTGGGTGGGGCGCGAACGGACATGACGGTGGGAGACAAAGGGTGCTGGTCACGACTTCACTTCACTCGAGTTACGTTCACACCTACACCCATCAGACTGATATTCGGATGGACGTGCGGCTGCTACTGTGGGATTCTGTATGAATACACTATACTATGACGCATTTACTAGACTGACATTTCCCCTAAGCAGGCCTCCACTCGTAATGATGAGCCCCCTTCCTCGTCTTCCCCGGATCCTCCCCGTTCACCCCAACTCTATCATACCCATGAGCGCCAAAGAAGTCCATCTGTGCCTCCTGAAATTGCGTAGGCAGTTCCGTATTCCCAGCATACTTCACATATTCCAGGCTCGCGCTCAGCGCCGGGATCACCGCGTCCCATTCGACGCCCTTCGTCACTACGGTCTTCAGAGGCGCGTACGTTTCCCGAATATCCCTTGCGACCTCGTCGATGAGCTTGCTGTTGAAGATGGGTGCGGTGGAGGAGACAAAAACCGGCTGAAGGAGGTCTGCGATGTGCCCGGCGCGTATGATGCAGCCGGCGCGCCAGATCTGCAGACAGTCGGCGATGCTGACATCCCACTCTTCGTCCCGGGACGCGCGCGCAATAAGCTGGAGACCCTGCGTGAAGGACGCTAGGAAGCCTGCATACACCGCGAGGCGTAAATCCTCGATGAACGTGTCCTTCTTCCTCAGCGTCTCCGTTCTGCCTTGCGCACACCGGGCGGCTTGAGCTTGTCTGCCACCTTAACTCTCTGCGCTCGATTGCCGCTGGCGATACGGAGCGCATGTCCGGCTGCGACGGCAGGCGCGGCGACGTGGCGCAGAGCCGTCTCTGCGACGGTCCAATACCCCGTCCCTTCCGTGCCGTCGTCGTCCTGCACGACCTTGTCGAGCACGTCGTCGAGGACGTACCCAAAATCACCCTTTCCCTCGCCATTCTGGTCGCCCTCGGGTGTCTTCTGCCGCTGGCAAATCTCAGCGCCGATTTCGAGGAGGAAGCAGTCGCGGAGCTCGCCCGAGGCGTTCCAGGCGGCGAGGATTGTGCCGATCTCTGCGTTGGAGAGCCCAAGAGATTTGCGAAGGAGGCCCCAAGCTTCGCAGACCAAGGAGAGCATGCCATGTTCGATTCCTGGGAAGGGGTATTGACTACTCATGTAGAAACAGAGGAGAGGGGAAATGTATACCATTGTGAACCATCTTGACGTAGTGTCCGGAGCCGCCAGGACCTATGTAGGTGACGCACGGCTTCCCTGACAGTGGTTCTCTGGCGGCAAAGGCTTCGAGGACGGGCAGAGCGGCTGATACTGCATCCTTGTCTCCGCCGGGTGATAAACTAGGACCATGTCTGCAAAAGATAAGCAGCTGGTTGGAGGGCCAACAGCGTATAGCTAACCTAGCTGACTGGTAGCCTCCAGAGACGCCCATCCCCACCCATCGCACGCCCTTTTCTGCGCACTTGCGCTGGCGCCGCTCAGTAGTGCGATAGTGCTCGTTCCCTCCATCCAGTATGATATCGCCCTCATTCAGCTCGTCCCAGATCTTCTCGAGCACCGAGTCCGCCGGGGAGCCATGGGTGATAGAGAACACGAACAACTTCGTCCGCTCGCCAGATAGACTATTCATGAAGTCCTTGACATCGTGAAAGGCGTCGACCTTGCCCCGTAGGGTAAGCGTCTGCCTGGCCATCTCTTGAGCAGCGTCGACATTCTGCGTCTTAACGTCCCAAATGCTGATATCCAGTCCTTTCTCGGCGAGGCCTAGAGCCATCATGGCGCCCATGTTACCTGCGCCGACGATGCCAATGCGAGAGAATTGATCAATTGCCATGGTCGTTGCTATAGCTCAGCGCGTCTTCAGGTAACGATGTTCGTGGTAGATTGCAAGAGCAGAGAGTTGCACAGTAGCAGGCATATCGGAACGGAGGATATGCAGTCATCTCGAGGTCACTGTTGACGTTGACGTTGGCGATTCAGGACAAGTTGCGCACGCTACCGAAGCGCCCGAGGGCAATATGTGGCGTCGCTGCGCTCATTGTTCTCGCCGTCATGTCGGCGACTTCAGTCAAGATGTAAGCCTTTCTGCGTTCTCTGAGAACTGAATACTCAACGATACTTGATAGACTGACCGTTGGATCCGCTGCTGGGTCTATACGCGACCTGTTCGCCAAAATCAAGGCCATTAACGCCAAGCATGGGAAGTTCGACTTCGTGCTCTGCGTGGGGGACTTCTTCGGCGGCCCCAGGGCATTGACGGACGAGAACACGAGCGAAAATGATGAAGTATCGCAACTGCTCGCAGGGGAACTGGAAGGTGCGTGCAAAATGCAAAGGGGAACGAGGTTACGCTGACGATCACTAGCCCCGCTGGAATGCTATATAATGCAGGGGGACGTGCCGCTCCCAGAGACGGTGGTAGCTAAGTTCGCCACCACGGGCGGAGAACTCTGCAAGAATGTCTTCCTTCTCAGTGAGTAATACACCATCTCCCTATCACTCATACCAATTTCCTCTGCAGGCAAGTCGGCCGTCCTTACCACTGCGCATGGCCTGCGGCTCGCTTGCCTCGGCGGCGCGTACGACCCCGCCACATATCACACCGCCGAGACTGCCCCCGGCTTCCTCTCTCCCCTTTTTGCCGCCCAAACCGTCGACCGCCTACTCTCCAACTCCCTCGCCCAGTCCTCAGCCAAGCAGGACTACCGCTCCCTCGCCGCTGTACAGACCAACTCTACTTCCACGCAGCTAGTTGACATCCTCCTCACCAACTCTTGGCCCTCGGCGATCACGCGGCTATCGAACGCGCCTCTACCCAGGCCTGAGTTGGCGGGCATCGGCGCACCCCCACTGGACGAAGTGGTGAAACACCTAAAGCCCAGATATCACTTCGCGGCGTGTGGGGGAAGTCCGCCGGTCTTCTGGGAGAGGGAGCCGTATGCGTGGGCGGAGCCGGCGGACCGAGTGTCGCGATTTGTGAGCTTGGGCGCGTTTGGAGGGCCACCTACGGAGGGAAAGAAGCAGAGAGTGCGTGCGCGCGTGAATGCAGATTTCAAAACTTGCTGACTTGGGCGCATAGTGGTTCTACGCATTTTCCATTGCACCCTTAACACCTGCCGGAGCGGCGGCCCCAAAACCAGCAAACTTGACGAAGAACCCATTCACTGACGCGCCATCGCTGCCGACGAAACGACCATTCGAGCCCAACGATGATACCGGGGCAAATTACATTTGGGGCAATGTCGCTCAGCCCAATAAGCGCACGCGCGTAGGTATGTACTTGTACGCACTGTTGTCAAACTGCCTCTGACATGAGTTAAAAGAACCCCAAGGTGAGCCTGGGATGCCACCACCGGGGTATAGGTGTCATCGGTGCGATTCTACAACGGTAGGATATCTCAGGGTGCTCTACGCGCTTTCTTCTCACTCGCCTCCAGCACTTCATCCAAGATTGCCCTGAACGTCCGATACCCAAAGAGGGCTTCATCTGCAAACTGTGCAATGAGGTGCGCTTTCATTCCCCTGGAGATCTAGCCGCTCAACTGCTCCCAGCCCGGTCACTTTGTCCGCGATTGTCCCACTAAGCATGCCGTTGGGGACACCGGGGGCCGGAAGCCCAAGCCCGGATACGTGTGCCGCGCCTGCGGTAGCGAAGACCACTACATCGAGGACTGTCCCTCGGGGAGGGGCGGTCCAAGACATGGCGGCGGAGGCGGGACAAGGGGAAGAGGCAAAGGTCCTCCGAAAGAAATCACGAGTGAGCGATATAGTGTCGGCCGCATCAGAACGGATACACTGACCATCTACCCCCAGCCGACGAATGCTGGTTCTGCCTGTCCAACCCAAACATCGCAAAGCACCTCATCGTCGCCATCGGCACCGAGTGCTACGTCAGCCTGCCCAAAGGCCAACTCATCCCCACCCACCCGATCGGCGACGAGCCGCGCGACGCCGTCGTCGACGTCCCCGGCGGCGGCCACGTCCTCATCATCCCCATCACCCACTACCCGACCTTCCACACCATCCCCGCGGACCTCGCGCCCGCCATCCTCGACGAGACGGAGAAGTACAAGTACGCGCTCCGCTCCCTGTATGCGAAGCACGGCGCCGCGGGTGTATTCTTCGAGGTCGCGCGCCTCGGGCGGAAGGGCGGGCACGCGCACGTGCAGTGCGTGCCCGTGCCGAGGCGGTTGGGAGGGGGTGGCGCGGATACCTCGCTGGAAGCCCTCTCCAAATTCGTCGAAACCGCATTCAAGGACGAGGGCGCGCACCAGGGCCTCACCTTCGAGGAGGACGCGGACGCGGCGCTCGAGGCGTGCGCGGGCGGCGCGGGCGGGTACTTCCGCGTCGACCTGCCTGACGGGCGGAAGATGGTGTATCTGATCCGGGACCACGTACCGTTCGGGGTGCAGTTTGGGCGGCAGGTGATGGCAAATTTGCTGGGGAGGCCAGAGCGGATGGAGTGGCAGGCTTGTGTGTTGTCGGATGACGAGGATACGGCGGACGCGAAGGCATTTAGGGAAGCTTTTGCGCCGTTCAATCCGGTTTCGTAGATGCGTGTCGCAGGCCTCGCTGCTATCGTACTGGAGCGTTCAATCTGGTGTATGGAACTCTCATTCGAGCCCAATGCATGTATGTGTTGGCGACAAACGAGTCAATGAAATTGGCAATCAACTCTAGCGAGCTAAGTAATGTGAGCTGGATACGAGCATAGGAAACGACATGTTTGGGGCAAGTGGCATATGGACAACGGGCAGTAGAGCTACAGACGGAGTGGGCTGGACATAAGTACGAAGCCGGAGTATGCTACAAGATGGAGGCGAGTTCAAAGCGAATCTGGGGTTTTGGGACAATTGGTGAAGGTCAGAAGGGATGATTAGTGGGGCAAAGGTCGAGGACAGAGCAAATAAAAAAGGCAGTCCGTGAAAAGGTGAATCAGGACAACAGTTAAGAAAGAGCATGGAACACGCTGACTACCCTCACGCCCCATAAACCTGATAATCGTACTCCACCTCCTTCCCCCAGAACCCTGGGTCGCACGCCCCCACCTCGATCGCACCCGTCCCACCAAGATTCAACGGCTTCACGTCCCCCGTCCCCGCCTTCCCCCACTTCGCGTACCCACCCGCATTGGGCTTCCCGCCCGACACGAACGCCTTGTACCGCGCCTGCACTTCCTTCGTCAGCGCGGACTGCGCGGAACTGGGGTTCGGCGTCGTCCCGAAGACGATGTAGATGTCGTCCTCGTGGCAGACGAGGCCGCCCGAGGCGCACTGCGTGACGCCGGAGTTGCTGGGGTACGTCGCGCCGAGGGTGTAGACGCCCACGTAGGCATTCGCCCCCGCGCCGGCCCACAGCCTCGCGAGCGACCACGCGGGGCAGCGCCAGACCGAGTCCGTGCCGAGCTTCTCGAGCACGGGGCGGATGTCGCTGACGCCCTCCGTCGAGTAGTACGTCGAGTTCTCGAGCGTCTCCGTGCGGTCGTCGCCGTAGCTGGCAGCTGCGATATTGAAGAAGTACTCCGCGCCCAGGGCGGGCATGTTGCCGTAGATCGTGGGCGCGGCCTCGTTCGCGACGGTGGTGAGGAGGAGCGGCTTGGAGACGGCGGGGAAGGGCGAGGACGTGAGGTCGAGCGCGGAGGTGATGAGCGCGCCGTCGTGCACGGGGCGCATGGGGGCGAACTGGGTCGCGGAGGGGTCGAGGTTGTGCGCGTCCGCGAAGAGGGAGGACGAGGCGTCGAGGATGGCGGAGAGGGAGAGGGCGGAGGTGCAGGAGTCGGAGCCGTCGGCGCAGTTGATGAGGCCGTTGAAGTGGGATTGGAGGGTGGATTGGGTGCTTGGAGTGAGGAAGCCGTAGTCCTGGCAACGGAAGTAAGCACGAAGGCAATAACGTGGGAGAGCGAGACCGAGCACTCACAATTGTGTCGCTTTGCAGGATTGCCGACTCGAACAGGCTGTCTGCAGACGGCGTGGCGAGCAGCGCGCGAATCATGTTCGCCCCACTGCTCTGGCCGGCGATCGTGATCTTCGAGTTGCCGCCGAACGAAGAGACAACGTCCTGTACGAACTTCATGGCGTTCATGACATCCTGCACGGCGAGGTTGGTGCTACCATCAGGCGCCATAAACCCGAGGGCACCGAGACGGTACTGGACGACTGCGACGATAGAGCCGGTTGCAATGGCAAGCTTGGACCCGTCGAGGCCGTCGTTGCTCGCTGAGCCAACGTAGAAGGAGCCGCCGTGAACCCTAAGAGATGATCAGTCGACAGACGTAGCAGGGCGAGAGGGGGGACATACCACATAAGCGTCGATACACCGCCCCAGACCGAGAGGTTAGGGGGCACGTAGAGGATCATGGACAGACAGTCTTCAGAGTACTCGGATTCGTCCATGTTTGGCTGCGGACAAGCTTTGGGTATAGCTGTCGCATCGTCCGCGCCGTATATCGCATCAGCATATGTGGCGGACATGAACGATCGAGGACGTACGGGAGCTCCCAGTTGTCCACCACGCTCGATGTCTTCCACCTATCCGCGTTCGCGTACTTGACGGGGAAGCGATACGCCCCATCGCTCGTGAGGCTGCCCACAGCAGTCCCAAGCGAAGTCACGATGGTCAGGGGGTCCGCACGAGTCTGCTCGCAGCCATACGAGAAGAACGGGATGCCGCAGAGGAACCCGGACTTGCTCGACCGCGCGATCGGCGATGCCGCGACGAGGGGGGCGAGCAGCGCAACGAGCAGGAGGAGGGGGGACATCATCGCTGTACGAGCAGCGGGCATACGCAGGCCCGCAGTCGTCTACGGCGCGCGAGTGGGAATCTGAGAGGCGGAGTCGCATGGACGTTCCGCCAAATAGAGCCGCCCCATTGTTCCCCAATCGCCCGCGGTGGCTTGAGGTAGGTGGTCGATGTAGACTGCAGTCGGTCTCGCATCTCGATTTGCTTCCGGACGTGCTCACTCCCCCAAAGAAGGACGAAGGACCGCGCCCGCCGCGTTGTCGCCGCCGCGTGATGGTGTCACGGGGTGGGTCACGGTTCGACTTTGGGTGCGCGGGTGCGCGGGTGCGATGGCGGGTGTCGCTGGGCTTCGCGCGCGCTCCGACCTCGAATCGTCGCAAGCAGAGGTGGATGCAAGCCGTCTGCGCGAGTCTGGGCGAAAAACGTGGGCGACGGTATTGGAGCGTTACGCAAGTTGATCTAGATAGTCGTTTTCCTGTGAGATATATCGAACCCAGCTCTCTAATCCTTTGTGGGCGGGTGCGCGCACTGGAAATTTGGGTGGACGGGTTTGGAGGCGCTCTCGACCAGGCTGTCTGCTTTTTGGGGCCTCAGTCATCGGCAGCAATCCGCTACAAGCCCTCCCTCAACTCGAACTTGCCCAGCGGCAAAGCCCGGCGGTGGAGCCCGCAGTAGCAGACTTGCTGGCACCACCTTCGATTACGTCCAACTACAAGTTGGGGGTTTCAGGTCAGCCTCAGGCTTCGAGTTGTGGTACGAGATTGGATTTTCAGGAAAATAGAGCAGTTGATTGCCAGGGACTACAGCTACAAGCTACAGACTACTGCACTACAGGCCTCGAAATACAGAAAGCACTGATCAGCTCGCGAGAGAGGCGAGAGAGAGCAGGTTGGAGGGAGCAGATTGAGAGGGGGAGCGAGTCTAGAGACGAGAGGCGGAAAGAGGTCAATCCAAGACGGGAGTGAACAGCGGGACGAGGTATAAAGAAGCTGGTCCGAGCGAGAGGAGCTGAATGAGAAGCAGTTAGTAGACGAAGCACATCGAAGCAAGCAGGCTATTTACCTCGAGTCAGGCTTGAGGACGAGCGCGCGTCGTCGCACGCAGAGCCGGGACCTTGAGCGTCGTCGGCGGACGGCTAAATCCGAACGGAAATCGAAATCGGCGTTCGAGGGCTTAAAGTCGCCATCGAAGCCCTGAGCTCGTTGTCGAAGTCCTGAGCTCGTCGTCCTGAGCTCGAACCCGTTGCCCAAAGGCCCAAAGTCGCCGAGGTCTTCGTGCGAAGGCTTGAAGCCGGGCTTGGAGCTGCACGTCGAAAGCAAGAAGGCCGTCTTGGGGGTAGTCGGCGGAACGCAAAATCCGGAGAGAAAATGTTTTTGCCGCGTTTGGGCGTGAAGTCGGGCGGAGTCGGAGGCGTAAGGCGCAGAGTCGGATGTAAGAGCACGTCGGGGAGGCCTCTCGCGCATCGTCAAGGTCCCCCACGCGCTCCGAAGCTACTATCCGAGCTGAAAGGGTCAGCTCATTCCTATGACCCTAGGCTGCTCGGCGGAAGGCCGAATCCGAGGAGAAACTGAATTCTTCGTTCGAGGGCTCGTAGTCGGGTTTGGGGAGGTCGTGAGGGATTGGCGGACGCGTATACCACTTGTAAAAGCCGTTGGTGTGCTCTCAGAGTCTTCGGCGCGGTCGAAAGCGATGTCGGACATCAAAGTCGGGGTCGCAGGCAGCTGGACTCGATGCTAGGGCCTCCTGTGTTCTCAGATCGTGCGTCGCTCGTTTCCAGCGCGGTGGGTGGTAGTCGGCGGACGCCCAAATCCGGGGAGAAGAGATAGAAAGCAGAAAAAAAGTAATGGGAGGCGAAGGAGCCACACCTCGACCTCGGTTTCCCGAGATCGAGAATTGCAAGGAACCGGGGCGCGACAGCAGCGAGCGTGAACGTGATGGCGGTGGGAAGCAACCGCCACGCCGCCCGCCTCGGGGATATCACTTCCTCGCGTGCCATCATCACATTCCCACCGTAGGTTCCCCTTCCCCCTCACCTCCCCCCGCCCATCGTCCTCGACAAAACGCTCGGATGGGTGAGGTAATGGCTTCCCCAGACTCGGCGACCCCGAAAATACCTTATCCTGGACTTTCCCCGTGGGAAACGGCCAGAATCTGCGCTTTCTCGTTCTCTGCCTCCTCCTGCTCGCGTCCCCCGCCACCTCAACGGACGCCAACGCCAGACCAGCCGTCTCCCGCCCTCAGGAACTCTATAGAAGACCTCTCCGGCTACCCATAACCGCAATCTACCCTCTCTGATCCCTTACCTACCCGCATATAATCTCCTCCCCTCTGTTCCGCCTCTCCCGCTCGCTCCAATCTTCCAGCTCTTCTTGAGCTCGTTCTCGCCCCAGAAACGCCGTCAAACAGGGGCTGTGGAGCTCCACGTGTTTGATACGCGAGCTGCGCACCCGGTCGGCCAATGGTAGGTCGGATATTCGCCCGTTTTTACGGCTTTTACGCCGCGCCCCGTTACTGACTGTGGGGCTTCGAAAGTGAATATAAGCCAGGTGAGTTTTGACTAGAGAGCATCAGTCCCCACCCATCTCTTCTCCTATGCACTCCACTCTCCAGTTCCCTCCCTCCCCGCCTTTCTATTCCCTTCATTCTCTTCACTCCATTCCTATCCTTTTCATTCATCTCTTCGCATCCTATCCAATCGAGTCGTACCCAATATATAACTCTTCCCCGACCTCTTACTGTACTAATCCTGTCCGAGGCAGAATCGAGCCAGTGATCACACTAGAGCGACAGCAAACGAGTCAGATTCACAAGTAGCGAGATACAACGCATAACTACGCACCTAGAGCGACAGCAAACGAGTCAGGAAGAGAAAAGACTCGGATGCGCCGCTCTAGGCAGGAGGGCACGGCAAATGCCGAGGAAATATGTGGCGCTCGGCAATAAGGCGCGAGCGCACAAGTAAGACTGTAGGTAAGCGTACAGTACCGGGAAAAAGTCCGAAAAATCACAGAAAAATACCATAGGCGCTAGAGAGCGCGTAGACACCGATTCCAACACACCCCCTTGATCGAGCACGTCCTAGCGCCCAACTCCAAGGCCAGATAGCGTCGCCATGTGCTGCAGTTTGACCCGGCCCAAGGCCTTGGTCATCATGTCAGCCGGCATGTCCGCTGTCTGCAGATGGACAAGACGGATGCTGCCGCGATGCACCTCATCGCGCAGCCAGTAGAAGCGCAGGTCCAGGTGCTTCATGCGCCCATGATGCTCCGGGTTCTTGGCCACCTGCAGCGCCGAGTTGTTGTCGATGTAGAGGGTGGAGGGCGCGCTCTTGACCGAGTAGCCACACTCGGTCAGGAAGTTGCGCATCCACAGGATCTCCTGGCCGGCAGAGCACGCCGCAACGTACTCTGCCTCGGTAGTCGAAAGCGCGACTATAGTCTGCAGCTTGGACGACCAGGAGACCGCTCCACCTGCCATCATGACAATCTGGCCGCTGGTAGACCGCCCGTTGTCCGGGTTGCCGCCGTGGTCCGCGTCGGTGTAGGTGTAGAAGAGCTCGGAGCGCGCGTTCACTGTCTTGCCGTCGTAGGTCAGCTTGTAGTCAAGCGTGCCCTTGAGATAGCGGAAGAGGTGCTTGAGCGCGTTCCAGTGTGGGCGGCCGGGGTTGCCGGTGAAGCGAGCGAGGACGGAGACCGGGTAGGCGAGGTCAGGACGAGTGGCGAGGGCGAGCCAGGCAATGGCGCCAACGGCAGAGGCGTACTCCTTGGCGCGGGTGGACATGAACTCGATGTCCTCCGGCGTGACAGGAGCATCGGCGGCGCTGAGCTTGTGCGAGGGGTTGAGCGGAGTGGTGACCGGGCTGCACTCGGCCATGCCAAACCGCTCGAGGACATCCGTGGCGTACTGGCGCTGCGAAAGAGACAGCGTGCGCTGGCTGCGCTCGCGCTCAATGGCAACGCCCAGCAGCCAGGTGGTAGGACCCAAATCGCGCAGCTTGAAGTGCTTCTTCAGCTCGCCAATGATGCCGAGGGCCTGCGCGTCAGTCTTGCACCCAATCGTCATGTCGTCCACAAAGACGGGCACGAGGATGCGCGCGTCACCGCGGCCATACACCCACACGCTGTGGTCGCAGAGGATGCGCGTGAAGCCCATCTCTACAAGCACCCTGTTCAGCGTCTCGTGCCAGACATGACTCGCCTGCTTCAGCCCATAGAGCGACTTCTTCAAGCGCCAGACATAGTCCTTGTCAGGATCAATGCCGAGCTTGAAGCCGGGCGGTTGGCGCATGTAGATCTCCTCGGCCAGGTCGCCGTTCAAGAACGCGTTGCTGATGTCGATGGAGTAGAGCACGAGGTCGTCCATGGCGGCGAGGGCGAGAATGGCGCGGATGGCGGCCCACTTCGGCGTAGGGGCGAACGTCTCGGTGTACTCGAAGCCGGGGCGCTGCGAGAAACCCTGCGCGACGCAGCGCGCCTTGTACCGCTCGATAGACCCATCAGCATTGCGCTTGACCTTGAACACCCACCGGCTGCCAATAGCGCGCTTGCCTGGCGGCAGCTCGACCACCTCGAACGTGCCGTTGTCGACCAGCGCCTGCACCTCGTCGAATGCGGCCTCGATCCACTTCGCCTTGTCCGGGCGAAGCAGCGCTTCAGCAAACGTCTTGGGCTCGCCTTGCTGCGCGTCGGACGCGACTGTGGTCGAAAGGGCGAAGTTGAGGGCTTGTTCTACCGACCAGTCCTCCTCAGTGATGCCGCTGAAGACGTAGTCGAGGCCGGCCTGCATAACGTGTGCTCCTGGGATAGGCGTGCTGTCAGTCAAAGCAAGCTCATCATCACTCCCAGCCCAGTCCATCATTTCCTTCCTTGCCCGCTCTCTGTCCTGCGCCTCCTCATCCTGCGCCTGCTCCCTGCGCTCCTCTTGCGCACTCTGCTCCTCCTGCTCCTCCTCCTCCTCGTCCACCTCCTCAATCTGGCCGGATAACGGCGCAAACCGGTTAGGGGACGTCACCTGCGGCTGGGGCGCGGGTGTAGACGGTGTAGCGCGGCCTGTAGAAGGCGGCGCAGGCTGCTTTTGCCAAGCGCGGGTCGTCAATTCGCGCTCGGATAAGCTATGGGTCGGCTTGGTTGCCCGAGGCAGACGCGACGGTGGCGGTCCGCTCGAGGTTGATGGCCGAACTGTCTGCCAAGCAGGGGACGGACTGCGCTCTGCGCGCGGCGCTGGCTGCTGCTCCTGCGCGCGCTCCTGCCTGCCTCTCAGCGCGGCCTTGCTAGGCGGCGCAGTGCGAGGGGGACGGGGCGCAGAGGGCGGCGGCGGACGCGCACTAGGCGGCGTGGTAGGCCCAGCTGGCTGCTGAAGCGGCGTGGATGGCTGCTCAGGCGTGGTGGGGGCGCGCGGCGGCGATGTAGGCGGCGGCGTCTGTAGCTGCGGACCAGCGGGAGCGGGCTGTCCGGACGGGGGAGGTGGCTGATCATCATAAGAGACGACATCATCGTCATCTGCGCTATGACGATGACTAGGAGGCGACGGCACATCACCCCCTTGATCAGCAACATCCCCAAAGTCCGGAGGGCCTTCACCTCGGTCTATAATCTCCGCAGTGATGAGATTGAGGCTCTTGAGCGACGTACCCGGCATGTAGCGCTCGTCAAAGACCGCATGCGACGAGATGACCGTCTTCTTGGTGGCCGGGTTGTAGAACAACCAGGCCTTGGTTCCGGGAGGGTACCCCAAGAAGATGCACTTCTGGGAGTGCGGCTCGAGCGCGCGCCGGTGCTTGTCCTTCACCAGGACATACGCCAGACACCCAAAGACGCGGAAGTAGCCAACATCCGGCGTCTTGCCAGTCCAGGCGATGTGGGGGGTGGTGTCGCCAGGCAGAGCGGAGGTAGGAGCGCGGTTGGCGACGTGGTTGTAGGCGGCTATAGCGTAGGCCCAGAACGAAGGCGGCAGCTTCGCTTCATAGAGCATCGAGCTAGCGCCATTGGCAAGGGTTAGATTAGCACGCTCAGCAACGCCGTTCTGATGCGGCTCATCTGGCTCTGTGATCTCCAACCGCCACCCCTCCTTCAGCGCCGCGTCCTTCATGACGTTGGAGATGTACTCGCCACCCCCATCGCAGCGCAGTACCTCCAAACGCTGACCGCTCTCCACCTCAGCAGCCGCCTTGAACTGCTGGATAGCAGCCCAAGCGTCGCTCTTGCGCTTCAAGTACGCCACCCAGCGCCGCCGCGTCTTGTCGTCTATGAAGGTGATCCAGTAGAGGTTCGCCCCCTCTCTGGATGCGACCGGCATAGGACCCTTCAAGTCGGTGTGAACCAACTCAAGGGGACGCGTTGCGCGCTCTCCCGGACCGCGCGGTACCACCTTGCGCGTCTGCTTGCCCATGATGCATGGCTCGCAGATCGGGTCCGGCGCCTCCCTGCTGTCAAACCGCATGCCCCTCACCAGCTTGCGCTGCCGCAGCTTCGCAATGTCCCCATGGTTGACGTGCGCAAAGCGGCGGTGCCAGAGCGCGGCGTCGAGCGGGAGCGTGGTAGAGGCGGCGCGCTGCGCGCTGTGCGCAGGAGGAACGACGACGTAGCCGTCCAGATAGCCCGTGTTCGAGTCGTCCACAGTAGCGGTGCAGACGAGCGCCCCAGCGCGATAGAAGGCGACGTGCTTGTCCTTGATGCTGACCTCGTACCCCTTGTGCGCAGTGAGGTGGTAGATGGATAGTAGATTCGAGGTAAGCAAAGGAACATGAAGGACGTCAAAGAACACGATAGGCGTAAGCAACTTCTCCCCCTCCACCGGCTGGTACTCCACCGACCCGATGCCCGCCGAGTAGACGATCGCGCCGTTCGCTAGGCGAACAGGAACACGATGCAGCGAGTAGGTGACGAACCAATCTCGCCGCGGCGTCATGTGTAGAGACGCACCTGTGTCGGTGTTGAAGTTAGCCGCAGCCTTGGACTGGAGCCACTCCTTGAGAGCGGGGGAGGAAGTGAAAGCGCTTGCCTGGCCAGCGGACTCGACGCGCGCAGCAGCGGCGGAGGTGGACGGCGTCGACGACGACGCCTCGGAGGGGCCGGAGGAGGGCGCAGAGGACGCGCCAGACGCGTTGGCGCCGCCCTTGTTCTTCTTCTTCTGCTGGCGCTTCGAAGTCGAAGCGGCGGCGGCGGCCTCCTCCTCCTTCTTCCAGTCCGGCTTGAACTTGGGGCAGTCGCGGATGAGGTGCGGGCCCTTGCAGTTGTAGCACTCGGGCGTGTACCCGGCGCGGTTGGCTGCGAGGGGCGTGCCGTCCGCCGTCATCCGGTGCGAGGCGAACTCGCGCGCGATCATGTCCTTGACCGTCTCGTAGGTGAGCGCCTTGTCGAGCAGGAGGGACGTGTACATGTTGGCGTGCTGCGGGTTGGGGGAGGCGGCGAGCGCGCGCATGGTGACCATCGCCTTCAGCTCGAGGTCCATCGTGGCCAGGTCATAGCCGGTCGAGGGGCGCAGGGACTGGACGCGCGTCATGGCCTCGTCGACGCGCGAGAGGAGGTCAGTGAGGGCGGTGGTGGCCTCGGTGTTGTCGCCCAGGTCGACGTCGAAGAAGTCCGAGAGCGCAGCAAAGCGTGTGCCGGCCTCCTGGATGTTGAAGGCGGTCTTCATCGCGTCATAGAGGTCCTTGGGCGTGCTGCGCTTGTCCTTGAACTGCGGACGAAGCGGCTCCTCCATGGCGAGCCAAAGCTCGCCAGCAGCCTTCTCCAAGCGCTGCTCATACTCCTCCTGAGTGCGGTACTCCGCATCAGTGACCGCGCTCGCGTCCTTGGGCTTGGGCTTGGTGACAGTGCCCTTGGCATAGCGCCAGAGGCCCTTGGAGGACAGCCAGGGCTGGATCTCGCTGTCCCACCAGCTCCAGTTGAAGCGGGTGAGGATGGGGCGGCCGTCTGAGTCACGCTTCGACATGGCGCAAAGAGACGGTTGTTGGGGACGATCGAACCGGCGAAAGTGGACGAGACTGGGGTCGACGTGTAGGGGAGAAGGGCGCGGAGGGACTAGAAGTTGTTTGGAGAGGAACGGACGCGAACTGCGTGCGCGACGGCGAATATGAGGGAGGGTGAAAATTTGCGGTGATCGGAGGTGCTGGACTTCGCACGGCGATAGCGGCGGTACTGGCAATTTTCGCGGAGCGCGGCTCGGGCACAAGGTAGGGGAGGGTCTTGCGCGTCGAATGCCGCTCGAGCGGAGGGAATCGCAGCTGGTACGCGCGCACAACGGCGAGTTTGAGTCGGGGTGTTGATTTGGCTGATTGGGGCAGCTAGAGCGCGGGGCTCATAACCTGTCCGAGGCAGAATCGAGCCAGTGATCACACTAGAGCGACAGCAAACGAGTCAGATTCACAAGTAGCGAGATACAACGCATAACTACGCACCTAGAGCGACAGCAAACGAGTCAGGAAGAGAAAAGACTCGGATGCGCCGCTCTAGGCAGGAGGGCACGGCAAATGCCGAGGAAATATGTGGCGCTCGGCAATAAGGCGCGAGCGCACAAGTAAGACTGTAGGTAAGCGTACAGTACCGGGAAAAAGTCCGAAAAATCACAGAAAAATACCATAGGCGCTAGAGAGCGCGTAGACACCGATTCCAACAAATCCACCCCATTCTATGCCTCACTCGCAGATTCCAATCGTTTGCTGTCTATCCACTGACCTCGCTTTTCCAGCCCTTTCCCGCGATTCCAAGCGGTTTACATGACGGGGTAAGCCCCATGCTCAATGCTTTCTCACCTTTACTGACGTCGTACTACAGACGTCCGCCATCTTCGCCTGTCCCACCGCTCAAACCGCTGCTCGACGTCGATTTCAGGTTCGGCATCCTACCGAATGGTGAGCAGTACGACTCAGTTTGCTACTGCGCTTTACTAATTTTCACCTTCCTAACAGCGGGCTCGACATCCCTGAGCGCCTCACCGGTTAACATTAGCATTCGCGTACTCGCTGCATCCATTCAGGTGCGCGTGGCTTCATTTCGGTCCAATCGACTCGTCTCACGAATTTCCAGCCCACTACTTGTGTCTCCTACCGCCGCGAGCACCCGACTACTGGACCAGGTAAGCATCGCAGTATCCGTCTATCTACGATACTGACCCTTTCCCCCACGACAGCCTTGCCCGCGTCCTCCGACTGTCGATGCGGTCACGACCTCGTATACGAGGTGAGTAACTACAATCTCCATGACCCCCAGCCCCTTCTCTGACCTCGCATCCAGCCTGCCCGTCCACCACGTTCCTCGACGACCTCGGGACGCGTCGCCAAACGCGGCGGCGGCGACCTCGGCACGATTTCATCGCGCCTCGTGCTGCGACCAGCTTTGATCTCGCCGCGACGCGTGCCCCCACCACGCGAGCTCGGGACCGTCGTCCACGCGCTCGGAGTGTTCCGCCACCGCTCGTGTACTCGGCGACTGCCGTCGCGGCTAGCGAGCGCGCCGTTGATAATGGTGAGCACGAGCATCTCGACGTCGAGGAAATCGACTGACCCCGACTTCAGAAACGTGCCCCTCGACGAGCAGAGCGTCGGGGAATGATGTCGCGACCTACGCCAGTGCGCGGCGCATCACACGACCGACGCGTGAAACCCATAGGCGGTGAGTACACGCCCATCCGTTGAATTTTCACCGGCTGACCCGTTGCTTGCGATGCATAGGGACTCCCCACAACGCCGGGAACGTGCGCCGGCCGATGGGGCCTTGTCGACGACGACCCACGGCACCCGCCGTCGCTGTCGCTGCGGCACGCCGGCCCTAATTCCCCCCACAAAGTCAGCAACTCTACCATACCCATGCTTGGAATTCGACGTGCCCGACCTCAGGAGATCCCTCGATGATTTCCTCGACCGAGCCAGCTCGATCGCGAACTGCCGCGAGGCAATACAAGCGTGAGTGCATCGTCATCTCCCTGTATTTGTACAGTCATGCTCACTGTCGGCACATTTCTTAGCCCACTCGGCTCGTCTCGAGCTCGCAGAGAGGAGGGAATCATCAGGAATGTCCTGAAAGTTTCCCCTCTGCTGCTGTTGGCCTCACTAGGTCAGTCCAATCCATTGATTTTCGCATATCCTACGACTTATACGCTCCTAGAATCAATTGAGAGCGCGGTATACGCTCCCTCGCCTCTATGCCGGTAAGTTTACGCGTAGCTGTCCCGGTCAAACTCAATGACCGCTTGTATGAAGCCCGAGACGAGCAGCGCGAAGCGCTGCTCATGATAGCGCTGTCCAGACGAAATGGTGAGTTCAACATGTCCGTGACCTCTTCGAGATGCTGACCGGATTGTAGGACACATTTGTGACGCCTTTGACGCCCCAAGAAGCTCTATGTGGGACAATGTGAAGGTGAGGCAAGCTCGTCGTGCACTACATGACTTACTAACCTGTCAATTTCGTTTAGGACGCGCTCGAAGTCGCAGAGACGAGCAGAGGCATACTTGACGACGCAGGGAGTCATTGACGACCTTAGGGGAACCTATGCGCGCGCGGGATACGCCTGAAAGGTGCCGGGCGGGTGCGACGAAATTTTGAATTCAGGTGTGCTTGCTTCATGATCTCGCCGTAAATTGCCACTGACCCTCGGTTTGTTCTAGCTCAATTGGACTTACACGAGCGCTTACGACACCCTTGACCACATTCCAAGGCGTCGGGAAGGTGGGACTCGAGATAGAACAAGGAGATTCTTGTTGAAGGTACGATTTGCTGCTGCAATTTTCGACCAAAATTATCGCTGACCTTCTTTCGAAGCGGCCGCGACTTTGCACCTCCACCCTCGCTACGACCTCTAGCTTACGCGTCGGCCCCCCACGCCTCTGAGGTAAGGGGAAACCATGCCCAAATGCGACCAGACCCACCACTAACCCTAAGCCTAGATCATGGACTCATTCGACGAGTTTTCGACTGGATTCCCTGTTGGTGAGTTTTCTGTTTATGGGATGGCGATTTAGGGCTAAATCAACGCTCAATATAAGGAACGCATGCGCAGGGATGAGCAGAAGGCAGCGTGAAGCGCTGCCCTTTGTTCAAACTCGACCGAGTAAGTCCTTAACTTTTCGCTCGTCTCGGCCTTCACTAACTCCTTTACAGGCGGTGTCTACGACTTCCTATGTCGCAGCGGCTCGCCAATGCGTTTGAGCACCACCCCCAGGCGCGGGGGAGGCGCTGCCAGTCCATCTGAAGGGTCGATATCGAAATTGAGGTGAGTTGGGCGCTTAGAACTCGCTCTGATGGATCGCTCACCTTGATCTGTAGCTTGTCCATGACGCGGATGCGCACGAATATGCATTCCGCACGTCGAAGAGGTCTAGCTCAGCCAGAGAGAGCGCGGGGAGGGGTCTTTGAATGCGATCTCGTCGCTCTCAAGGTGAGTTTGCTCATTTTCCCTTACTGCCGATGCTTACTCGTATCTCTGGGTATTCCAGCGATCCAGCTCGTCTCAAGGATGCTAGCAAACGTTTGCGATGCGCGCTGGGAAGCACCGATGCGTTCTCAAAGGTGAGTGCGCTTGTAAGGTGAGGAGGAGAGCGTTCGCTCGTCGCCTCCTCCCCAGCTTCTCAAGCGCGCCAGTGTCCCTCATTTGCACTATTCTATTCCATGTTAACTAGGGTAAGGTGCGCGCATGCCCTCCGACGCGGGAGGGGTGGTTTCTAGGCGCTTGTTTCGTTTGTTTGCTCGTGAGCTGACTTTCCTGTGCTTATGCGCCAATTCTGGCTGCCACAAGGTCAGAATCCGCGCCCTTTTGGGATCTACGACGACCTAACATCCTTCCAGTGCCATCTCTGCGCGGAGGACTCGCCTGCTACGATGCGCGCTTCGAGGTGAGCTACAACTCATGATGGGTTGAACTCTGCCAAATTCGGCGCTTCTGCGCGTATTTCTCCGCGCCCGACGCTGCGTTTTCGAGGTGAGTACTGCAATCTGAATGTTAAGCACATCGCCCAACGACGTACCTCAATGCCCGCTCCTTCATTCTCGAGCTCGACACAAGTAGGATGAGCAATTGAGTAGATTCCTTGTGTAGTTTCGCTCGTATGTACTTGTATTAGGTAGATTCGTGAATAGAATGTGTTGCACGATGTCCCGAGTGTGTGAGTGAGTCGGCAGAGCGCGAGGCTTCGTCCAAAAAGCGGTACGAGTTGGTGAGGTCAAGCTCTTCTTGCTCGTCCCAAAGAATCCCCCCACCCCCTTCTACCAATGACTATGCTGATCAGGTGGAGGTAAATAGCAGCAGTATACATTGACTACGGCGCCCTCCGCAGCGGCATCTGTTGAGAAATCGGAGTGCGAGTTTGATTTCATCATTTGTCGAGCTCGTGCCCTCCCCCCTCCTCCCCCCCTACTCCACTCTCCCGCCGCTCAGACCGCGGGTTGGCTCAGCGAAACGACTTTCAATTACTATGAATACCTACAATGGGACTTTACGCGATGCTATCTATTGAACGACGGCGTATATTCACCGTAAACATCCCCCCACCCTCCCCCCTCCCCGTCGCGCTACCCTCCGCAACGACGGCTCGCCCCCACCGTCTCCCAACTTCGTCGTTCCGCTTCACAACTCTGTATCGAGCGCCGCACATTCAAAAAGGGGCAATGAACTGTTCACTAAGATTGCAGTAAAGCTACAGAAGGGGTGGGGGGGACATAAGTACGAAGCCAGCGTATGCTACAGGATGGGGGCGAGTCTGGGGGTTGGGAGAGGCAATGAAGCGACAATTGGTGGGCCGAGGGTCAACGGCAGAGCGAATGAAAAGGCAGTCCGTGTAGCCAGAAGTAACACCCCCTCACGCCCCATAAACCTGGTAATCATACTCGACCTCCTTCCCCCAAAACCCTGGATCGCACGCCCCCACCTCAATCGCACCCGTCCCGCCCAAGTTCAGCGGCTTCACGTCCCCCGTCCCCGCCTTCCCCCACTTCGCGTACCCGCCCGCATTGGGCTTCCCGCCCGACATGAACGCCGTGTACCGCGCCTGCACCTCCTTCGTCAGCGCGGACTGCGTGGAACTGGGGCTCGGCGTCGTCCCGAAGACGATGTAGATGTCGTCCTCGTGGCAGACGAGGCCGCCCGAGGCGCACTGGGTGACGCCGGAGTTGCTGGGGTACGTCGCGCCGCGCGTGTAGACGCCCACGTACGCATTCGCCCCCGCGCCGGCCCACAGCCTCGCGAGCGACCACGCGGGGCAGCGCCAGACCGAGTCCGTGCCGAGCTTCTCGAGCACGGGGCGGATATCGCTGACGCCCTCCGTCGAGTAGTACGTCGAGTTTTCGAGCGTCTCCGTGCGGTCGTCGCCGTAGCTGGCAGCCGCGATGTTGAAGAAGTACTCCGCGCCCAGGGCGGGCATGTTGCCGTAGATCGTGGGCGCGGCCTCGTTCGCGACGGTGGTGAGGAGGAGCGGCTTGGAGACGGCGGGGAAGGGCGAGGACGTGAGGTCGAGCGCGGAGGTGATGAGCGCGCCGTCGTGCACGGGGCGCATGGGGGCGAACTGGGTCGCCGAGGGGTCGAGGTTGTACGCGTCAGAGAAGAGGGAGGCGGAGGCGTCGAGGATGGCGGAGAGGGAGAGGGCGGAGGTGCACGATTCGGAGCCGTCGGCGCAGTTGATGAGGCCGTTGAAGTGCGACTGCAGGGTGGATTGGGTGCTGGGGGTGAGGAAGCCGTAGTCCTGGCAACGGAGGTGAGTACAGAGACAATAACGTGGGAGAGCGAGACCGAGCACTCACAATTGTGTCGCTCTGCAGAATGGCCGACTCGAACAGGCTGTCTGCAGACGGCGTGGCGAGCAGCGCGCGAATCATGTTCGCTCCGCTGCTTTGGCCGGCGAGCGTGATCTTCGAGCTGCCGCCGAAAGAGGATACGACGCTCTGCACGAACTTCATGGCGTTCATGACATCCTGCACGGCGAGGTTGGTGCTTCCATCAGGCGCCATAAACCCGAGGGCACCGAGACGATATTGGACGACTGCGACGATAGAGCCGGTTGCAATGGCAAGCTTGGACCCGTCGAGGCCGTCGTTGCTCGCCGAGCCAACGTAGAAGGAGCCGCCGTGAACCCTAAGAAATGATTAGTCGACAGATGTAGAAGGGCGAGAGGGGGGCGCCGGCCATACCACATAAGCGTCGGTACACCGCCCCAGATAGAGAGGTTAGGGGGCACGTAGAGGATCATGGACAGACAGTCTTCAGAGTACTCGGATTCGTCCATGTTGGGCTGCGGACACGCCTTGGGTGTAGCTGTCGCATCGTCCGCGCCATTCCTGTATCGCATCAGCATATGTGGCGGACGAGGACGATCGAAGACGTACGGGAGCTCCCACTTGTCTACCACGCTCGATGTCTTCCACCTATCCGCATTCGCGTACTTGACGGGGAAGCGGTACGCCCCGTCGCTCGTGAGGCTGCCCACAGCAGTCCCAAGCGAAGTCACGATGGTCAGGGGGTCCGCACGAGTCTGCTCGCAGCCATACGAGAAGAACGGGATGCCGCAGAGGAACCCGGACTTGCTCGACCGCGCGATCGGCGATGCCGCGACGAGGGGGGCGAGCAGCGCAACGAGCAGGAGGAGGGGGGACATCATCGCTGTACGAGCAGCGGGCATACGCAGGCCCGCAGTCGTCTACGGCGCGCGAGTGGGAATCTGAGAGGCGGAGTCGCATGGACGTTCCGCCAAATAGAGCCGCCCCATTGTTCCCCAATCGCCCGCGGTGGCTTGAGGTAGGTGGTCGATGTAGACTGCAGTCGGTCTCGCATCTCGATTTGCTTCCGGACGTGCTCACTCCCCCAAAGAAGGACGAAGGACCGCGCCCGCCGCGTTGTCGCCGCCGCGTGATGGTGTCACGGGGGCGGGTCACGGTTCGACTTTGGGTGCGCGGGTGCGCGGGTGCGATGGCGGGTGTCGCTGGGCTCTGCGCGCGCTCCGACCTCGAATCGTCGCAAGCAGAGGTGGATGCGAGCCGTCTGCGCGAGTCTGGGCGAAAAACGTGCCCGACGGTATTGGAGCGTTACGCAAGTTGATCTACATAGTCGTTTTGCTATGAGATATATCGAACCCGGCTCTCTAATCCTTTGTGAGCGGGTGCGCGCGCTGTGAATTTGGGTGGACGGGTTTGGAGGGGCTCTCGACCAGGCTGTCTGCTTTTTGGGGCCTCAGTCAGCGGCAGCAATCCGCTACAAGCCCTCCCTCAACTCGAACTCGCCCAGCGGCAAAGTCCGGCGGTGGAGCCCGCAGTAGCAGACTTGCTGAGCATTCACTGGCACCACCTTCGATTACGTTCAACTACAAGTTGGGGGTTTCAGGTCAGCCTCAGGCTTCGAGTTGTGGTACGAGATTGCATGCCAAGGTAAAGTGACTGGAAAGGCATTCATTTCAAAGCACGGAGAATACGAGCTACAGACTACTACACTACAGAACTTGTATGCGGGGAAGGCCTCGAAATACAGAAAGCACTGATCAGCTCGCGGTAGAGGCGAGAGAAAGCAGGTTGGAGCGAGCAGACTGAGAGGGGGAGCGAGTCTAGAGACGAGAGGCAGAAAGAGCTCAATTCAAGGCGGGAGTGAACAGCGGGACGAGGTATAAAGAAGCTGGTCCGAGCGAGAGGAGCTGGATGAGAAGCAGTTAGTAGACGAAGCACATCGAAGCAAGCACAAGCTACACACTTCGAGTCAGGCTTGAGGACGAGCGCGCGTTGTCGCACACGGAGCCGGGACCCCGAGCGTCGTCGGCGGACGCCCGAATTCGAAGAGAAACAGATGTGGGCGGTCGCCGTCGAAGCCCTGAGATTGAGCTCGTCGTCCTGAGCTCCAACCCGTCGCCCAAAGGCCCAAAGTCGCCGAGGTCTTCGTGCGAAGGCTTCAAGTCAGGCTTGGAGCTGCACGTCGAAAGCAAGAAGGCCGTCTTGGCGGTAGTCGGCGGAACGCAAAATCCGGAGAGAAAATGTTTTTGCCGCGTTTGGGCGTGAAGTCGGGCGGAGTCGGAGGCGTAAGGCGCAGAGTCGGATGTAAGAGCACGTCGGGGAGGCCTCTCGCGCATCGTCAAGGTCCCCCACGCGCTCCGAAGCTACTATCCGAGCTGAAAGGGTCAGCTCATTCCTATGACCCTAGGCTGCTCGGCGGAAGGCCGAATCCGAGGAGAAACTGAATTCTTCGTTCGAGGGCTCGTAGTCGGGTTTGGGGAGGTCGTGAGGGATTGGCGGACGCGTATACCACTTGTAAAAGCCGTTGGTGTGCTCTCAGAGTCTTCGGCGCGGTCGAAAGCGATGTCGGACATCAAAGTCGGGGTCGCAGGCAGCTGGACTCGATGCTAGGGCCTCCTGTGTTCTCAGATCGTGCGTCGCTCGTTTCCAGCGCGGTGGGTGGTAGTCGGCGGACGCCCAAATCCGGGGAGAAGAGATAGAAAGCAGAAAAAAAGTAATGGGAGGCGAAGGAGCCACACCTCGACCTCGGTTTCCCGAGATCGAGAATTGCAAGGAACCGGGGCGCGACAGCAGCGAGCGTGAACGTGATGGCGGTGGGAAGCAACCGCCACGCCGCCCGCCTCGGGGATATCACTTCCTCGCGTGCCATCATCACATTCCCACCGTAGGTTCCCCTTCCCCCTCACCTCCCCCCGCCCATCGTCCTCGACAAAACGCTCGGATGGGTGAGGTAATGGCTTCCCCAGACTCGGCGACCCCGAAAATACCTTATCCTGGACTTTCCCCGTGGGAAACGGCCAGAATCTGCGCTTTCTCGTTCTCTGCCTCCTCCTGCTCGCGTCCCCCGCCACCTCAACGGACGCCAACGCCAGACCAGCCGTCTCCCGCCCTCAGGAACTCTATAGAAGACCTCTCCGGCTACCCATAACCGCAATCTACCCTCTCTGATCCCTTACCTACCCGCATATAATCTCCTCCCCTCTGTTCCGCCTCTCCCGCTCGCTCCAATCTTCCAGCTCTTCTTGAGCTCGTTCTCGCCCCAGAAACGCCGTCAAACAGGGGCTGTGGAGCTCCACGTGTTTGATACGCGAGCTGCGCACCCGGTCGGCCAATGGTAGGTCGGATATTCGCCCGTTTTTACGGCTTTTACGCCGCGCCCCGTTACTGACTGTGGGGCTTCGAAAGTGAATATAAGCCAGGTGAGTTTTGACTAGAGAGCATCAGTCCCCACCCATCTCTTCTCCTATGCACTCCACTCTCCAGTTCCCTCCCTCCCCGCCTTTCTATTCCCTTCATTCTCTTCACTCCATTCCTATCCTTTTCATTCATCTCTTCGCATCCTATCCAATCGAGTCGTACCCAATATATAACTCTTCCCCGACCTCTTACTGTACTAATCCACCCCATTCTATGCCTCACTCGCAGATTCCAATCGTTTGCTGTCTATCCACTGACCTCGCTTTTCCAGCCCTTTCCCGCGATTCCAAGCGGTTTACATGACGGGGTAAGCCCCATGCTCAATGCTTTCTCACCTTTACTGACGTCGTACTACAGACGTCCGCCATCTTCGCCTGTCCCACCGCTCAAACCGCTGCTCGACGTCGATTTCAGGTTCGGCATCCTACCGAATGGTGAGCAGTACGACTCAGTTTGCTACTGCGCTTTACTAATTTTCACCTTCCTAACAGCGGGCTCGACATCCCTGAGCGCCTCACCGGTTAACATTAGCATTCGCGTACTCGCTGCATCCATTCAGGTGCGCGTGGCTTCATTTCGGTCCAATCGACTCGTCTCACGAATTTCCAGCCCACTACTTGTGTCTCCTACCGCCGCGAGCACCCGACTACTGGACCAGGTAAGCATCGCAGTATCCGTCTATCTACGATACTGACCCTTTCCCCCACGACAGCCTTGCCCGCGTCCTCCGACTGTCGATGCGGTCACGACCTCGTATACGAGGTGAGTAACTACAATCTCCATGACCCCCAGCCCCTTCTCTGACCTCGCATCCAGCCTGCCCGTCCACCACGTTCCTCGACGACCTCGGGACGCGTCGCCAAACGCGGCGGCGGCGACCTCGGCACGATTTCATCGCGCCTCGTGCTGCGACCAGCTTTGATCTCGCCGCGACGCGTGCCCCCACCACGCGAGCTCGGGACCGTCGTCCACGCGCTCGGAGTGTTCCGCCACCGCTCGTGTACTCGGCGACTGCCGTCGCGGCTAGCGAGCGCGCCGTTGATAATGGTGAGCACGAGCATCTCGACGTCGAGGAAATCGACTGACCCCGACTTCAGAAACGTGCCCCTCGACGAGCAGAGCGTCGGGGAATGATGTCGCGACCTACGCCAGTGCGCGGCGCATCACACGACCGACGCGTGAAACCCATAGGCGGTGAGTACACGCCCATCCGTTGAATTTTCACCGGCTGACCCGTTGCTTGCGATGCATAGGGACTCCCCACAACGCCGGGAACGTGCGCCGGCCGATGGGGCCTTGTCGACGACGACCCACGGCACCCGCCGTCGCTGTCGCTGCGGCACGCCGGCCCTAATTCCCCCCACAAAGTCAGCAACTCTACCATACCCATGCTTGGAATTCGACGTGCCCGACCTCAGGAGATCCCTCGATGATTTCCTCGACCGAGCCAGCTCGATCGCGAACTGCCGCGAGGCAATACAAGCGTGAGTGCATCGTCATCTCCCTGTATTTGTACAGTCATGCTCACTGTCGGCACATTTCTTAGCCCACTCGGCTCGTCTCGAGCTCGCAGAGAGGAGGGAATCATCAGGAATGTCCTGAAAGTTTCCCCTCTGCTGCTGTTGGCCTCACTAGGTCAGTCCAATCCATTGATTTTCGCATATCCTACGACTTATACGCTCCTAGAATCAATTGAGAGCGCGGTATACGCTCCCTCGCCTCTATGCCGGTAAGTTTACGCGTAGCTGTCCCGGTCAAACTCAATGACCGCTTGTATGAAGCCCGAGACGAGCAGCGCGAAGCGCTGCTCATGATAGCGCTGTCCAGACGAAATGGTGAGTTCAACATGTCCGTGACCTCTTCGAGATGCTGACCGGATTGTAGGACACATTTGTGACGCCTTTGACGCCCCAAGAAGCTCTATGTGGGACAATGTGAAGGTGAGGCAAGCTCGTCGTGCACTACATGACTTACTAACCTGTCAATTTCGTTTAGGACGCGCTCGAAGTCGCAGAGACGAGCAGAGGCATACTTGACGACGCAGGGAGTCATTGACGACCTTAGGGGAACCTATGCGCGCGCGGGATACGCCTGAAAGGTGCCGGGCGGGTGCGACGAAATTTTGAATTCAGGTGTGCTTGCTTCATGATCTCGCCGTAAATTGCCACTGACCCTCGGTTTGTTCTAGCTCAATTGGACTTACACGAGCGCTTACGACACCCTTGACCACATTCCAAGGCGTCGGGAAGGTGGGACTCGAGATAGAACAAGGAGATTCTTGTTGAAGGTACGATTTGCTGCTGCAATTTTCGACCAAAATTATCGCTGACCTTCTTTCGAAGCGGCCGCGACTTTGCACCTCCACCCTCGCTACGACCTCTAGCTTACGCGTCGGCCCCCCACGCCTCTGAGGTAAGGGGAAACCATGCCCAAATGCGACCAGACCCACCACTAACCCTAAGCCTAGATCATGGACTCATTCGACGAGTTTTCGACTGGATTCCCTGTTGGTGAGTTTTCTGTTTATGGGATGGCGATTTAGGGCTAAATCAACGCTCAATATAAGGAACGCATGCGCAGGGATGAGCAGAAGGCAGCGTGAAGCGCTGCCCTTTGTTCAAACTCGACCGAGTAAGTCCTTAACTTTTCGCTCGTCTCGGCCTTCACTAACTCCTTTACAGGCGGTGTCTACGACTTCCTATGTCGCAGCGGCTCGCCAATGCGTTTGAGCACCACCCCCAGGCGCGGGGGAGGCGCTGCCAGTCCATCTGAAGGGTCGATATCGAAATTGAGGTGAGTTGGGCGCTTAGAACTCGCTCTGATGGATCGCTCACCTTGATCTGTAGCTTGTCCATGACGCGGATGCGCACGAATATGCATTCCGCACGTCGAAGAGGTCTAGCTCAGCCAGAGAGAGCGCGGGGAGGGGTCTTTGAATGCGATCTCGTCGCTCTCAAGGTGAGTTTGCTCATTTTCCCTTACTGCCGATGCTTACTCGTATCTCTGGGTATTCCAGCGATCCAGCTCGTCTCAAGGATGCTAGCAAACGTTTGCGATGCGCGCTGGGAAGCACCGATGCGTTCTCAAAGGTGAGTGCGCTTGTAAGGTGAGGAGGAGAGCGTTCGCTCGTCGCCTCCTCCCCAGCTTCTCAAGCGCGCCAGTGTCCCTCATTTGCACTATTCTATTCCATGTTAACTAGGGTAAGGTGCGCGCATGCCCTCCGACGCGGGAGGGGTGGTTTCTAGGCGCTTGTTTCGTTTGTTTGCTCGTGAGCTGACTTTCCTGTGCTTATGCGCCAATTCTGGCTGCCACAAGGTCAGAATCCGCGCCCTTTTGGGATCTACGACGACCTAACATCCTTCCAGTGCCATCTCTGCGCGGAGGACTCGCCTGCTACGATGCGCGCTTCGAGGTGAGCTACAACTCATGATGGGTTGAACTCTGCCAAATTCGGCGCTTCTGCGCGTATTTCTCCGCGCCCGACGCTGCGTTTTCGAGGTGAGTACTGCAATCTGAATGTTAAGCACATCGCCCAACGACGTACCTCAATGCCCGCTCCTTCATTCTCGAGCTCGACACAAGTAGGATGAGCAATTGAGTAGATTCCTTGTGTAGTTTCGCTCGTATGTACTTGTATTAGGTAGATTCGTGAATAGAATGTGTTGCACGATGTCCCGAGTGTGTGAGTGAGTCGGCAGAGCGCGAGGCTTCGTCCAAAAAGCGGTACGAGTTGGTGAGGTCAAGCTCTTCTTGCTCGTCCCAAAGAATCCCCCCACCCCCTTCTACCAATGACTATGCTGATCAGGTGGAGGTAAATAGCAGCAGTATACATTGACTACGGCGCCCTCCGCAGCGGCATCTGTTGAGAAATCGGAGTGCGAGTTTGATTTCATCATTTGTCGAGCTCGTGCCCTCCCCCCTCCTCCCCCCCTACTCCACTCTCCCGCCGCTCAGACCGCGGGTTGGCTCAGCGAAACGACTTTCAATTACTATGAATACCTACAATGGGACTTTACGCGATGCTATCTATTGAACGACGGCGTATATTCACCGTAAACATCCCCCCACCCTCCCCCCTCCCCGTCGCGCTACCCTCCGCAACGACGGCTCGCCCCCACCGTCTCCCAACTTCGTCGTTCCGCTTCACAACTCTGTATCGAGCGCCGCACATTCAAAAAGGGGCAATGAACTGTTCACTAAGATTGCAGTAAAGCTACAGAAGGGGTGGGGGGGACATAAGTACGAAGCCAGCGTATGCTACAGGATGGGGGCGAGTCTGGGGGTTGGGAGAGGCAATGAAGCGACAATTGGTGGGCCGAGGGTCAACGGCAGAGCGAATGAAAAGGCAGTCCGTGTAGCCAGAAGTAACACCCCCTCACGCCCCATAAACCTGGTAATCATACTCGACCTCCTTCCCCCAAAACCCTGGATCGCACGCCCCCACCTCAATCGCACCCGTCCCGCCCAAGTTCAGCGGCTTCACGTCCCCCGTCCCCGCCTTCCCCCACTTCGCGTACCCGCCCGCATTGGGCTTCCCGCCCGACATGAACGCCGTGTACCGCGCCTGCACCTCCTTCGTCAGCGCGGACTGCGTGGAACTGGGGCTCGGCGTCGTCCCGAAGACGATGTAGATGTCGTCCTCGTGGCAGACGAGGCCGCCCGAGGCGCACTGGGTGACGCCGGAGTTGCTGGGGTACGTCGCGCCGCGCGTGTAGACGCCCACGTACGCATTCGCCCCCGCGCCGGCCCACAGCCTCGCGAGCGACCACGCGGGGCAGCGCCAGACCGAGTCCGTGCCGAGCTTCTCGAGCACGGGGCGGATATCGCTGACGCCCTCCGTCGAGTAGTACGTCGAGTTTTCGAGCGTCTCCGTGCGGTCGTCGCCGTAGCTGGCAGCCGCGATGTTGAAGAAGTACTCCGCGCCCAGGGCGGGCATGTTGCCGTAGATCGTGGGCGCGGCCTCGTTCGCGACGGTGGTGAGGAGGAGCGGCTTGGAGACGGCGGGGAAGGGCGAGGACGTGAGGTCGAGCGCGGAGGTGATGAGCGCGCCGTCGTGCACGGGGCGCATGGGGGCGAACTGGGTCGCCGAGGGGTCGAGGTTGTACGCGTCAGAGAAGAGGGAGGCGGAGGCGTCGAGGATGGCGGAGAGGGAGAGGGCGGAGGTGCACGATTCGGAGCCGTCGGCGCAGTTGATGAGGCCGTTGAAGTGCGACTGCAGGGTGGATTGGGTGCTGGGGGTGAGGAAGCCGTAGTCCTGGCAACGGAGGTGAGTACAGAGACAATAACGTGGGAGAGCGAGACCGAGCACTCACAATTGTGTCGCTCTGCAGAATGGCCGACTCGAACAGGCTGTCTGCAGACGGCGTGGCGAGCAGCGCGCGAATCATGTTCGCTCCGCTGCTTTGGCCGGCGAGCGTGATCTTCGAGCTGCCGCCGAAAGAGGATACGACGCTCTGCACGAACTTCATGGCGTTCATGACATCCTGCACGGCGAGGTTGGTGCTTCCATCAGGCGCCATAAACCCGAGGGCACCGAGACGATATTGGACGACTGCGACGATAGAGCCGGTTGCAATGGCAAGCTTGGACCCGTCGAGGCCGTCGTTGCTCGCCGAGCCAACGTAGAAGGAGCCGCCGTGAACCCTAAGAAATGATTAGTCGACAGATGTAGAAGGGCGAGAGGGGGGCGCCGGCCATACCACATAAGCGTCGGTACACCGCCCCAGATAGAGAGGTTAGGGGGCACGTAGAGGATCATGGACAGACAGTCTTCAGAGTACTCGGATTCGTCCATGTTGGGCTGCGGACACGCCTTGGGTGTAGCTGTCGCATCGTCCGCGCCATTCCTGTATCGCATCAGCATATGTGGCGGACGAGGACGATCGAAGACGTACGGGAGCTCCCACTTGTCTACCACGCTCGATGTCTTCCACCTATCCGCATTCGCGTACTTGACGGGGAAGCGGTACGCCCCGTCGCTCGTGAGGCTGCCCACAGCAGTCCCAAGCGAAGTCACGATGGTCAGGGGGTCCGCACGAGTCTGCTCGCAGCCATACGAGAAGAACGGGATGCCGCAGAGGAACCCGGACTTGCTCGACCGCGCGATCGGCGATGCCGCGACGAGGGGGGCGAGCAGCGCAACGAGCAGGAGGAGGGGGGACATCATCGCTGTACGAGCAGCGGGCATACGCAGGCCCGCAGTCGTCTACGGCGCGCGAGTGGGAATCTGAGAGGCGGAGTCGCATGGACGTTCCGCCAAATAGAGCCGCCCCATTGTTCCCCAATCGCCCGCGGTGGCTTGAGGTAGGTGGTCGATGTAGACTGCAGTCGGTCTCGCATCTCGATTTGCTTCCGGACGTGCTCACTCCCCCAAAGAAGGACGAAGGACCGCGCCCGCCGCGTTGTCGCCGCCGCGTGATGGTGTCACGGGGGCGGGTCACGGTTCGACTTTGGGTGCGCGGGTGCGCGGGTGCGATGGCGGGTGTCGCTGGGCTCTGCGCGCGCTCCGACCTCGAATCGTCGCAAGCAGAGGTGGATGCGAGCCGTCTGCGCGAGTCTGGGCGAAAAACGTGCCCGACGGTATTGGAGCGTTACGCAAGTTGATCTACATAGTCGTTTTGCTATGAGATATATCGAACCCGGCTCTCTAATCCTTTGTGAGCGGGTGCGCGCGCTGTGAATTTGGGTGGACGGGTTTGGAGGGGCTCTCGACCAGGCTGTCTGCTTTTTGGGGCCTCAGTCAGCGGCAGCAATCCGCTACAAGCCCTCCCTCAACTCGAACTCGCCCAGCGGCAAAGTCCGGCGGTGGAGCCCGCAGTAGCAGACTTGCTGAGCATTCACTGGCACCACCTTCGATTACGTTCAACTACAAGTTGGGGGTTTCAGGTCAGCCTCAGGCTTCGAGTTGTGGTACGAGATTGCATGCCAAGGTAAAGTGACTGGAAAGGCATTCATTTCAAAGCACGGAGAATACGAGCTACAGACTACTACACTACAGAACTTGTATGCGGGGAAGGCCTCGAAATACAGAAAGCACTGATCAGCTCGCGGTAGAGGCGAGAGAAAGCAGGTTGGAGCGAGCAGACTGAGAGGGGGAGCGAGTCTAGAGACGAGAGGCAGAAAGAGCTCAATTCAAGGCGGGAGTGAACAGCGGGACGAGGTATGAAGAAGCTGGTCCGAGCGAGGGGAGCCGGATGAGAAGCAATTAGTAGACGAAGCACATCAAAGCAAGCAGGCTACTCACCTCGAGTCAGGCTTGGGGACGAGCGCGTGTCGTCGCACACGGAGCCGGGACCTTGAGCGTCGTCGGCGGACGGCTAAGTCCGAAGGGAAATCGAAATCGGCGTTCGAGGGCTTAAAGTCGCCGTCGAAGCCCTGAGCTCGTTGTCGAAGTCCTGAGCTCGTTGTCGAAGTTCTGAGCTCGTCGTCCTAAGCTCGAACCAGTCGCCCAAAGGCCCAAAGTCGCCGAGGTCTTCGTGCGAAGGCTTCAAGTCGGGCTTGGAGCTGCACGTCGAAAGCAAGAAGGCCGTCTTGGGGGTGGTCGGCGGAACGCGAAATCCGGAGAGAAAATGTTTTTGCCGCGTTTGGGCGTGAAGTCGGGCGGAGTCGGAGGCGTAAGGCGCAAAGTCGGATGTAAGAGCATGTCGGGGAGGTTTTCCGTGCGACGGGGAGGTTGTCAGCGCGTCGTCAAGGTCCCTCGCCCGCTCTGAAGCTGTTGGTCGAGCTGAAACAGTACGCCCATTCCTACTACCTCACGCTGTTCGGCGGACGGCCAAATCCGAAGAGAAACTGAGTTCCTCGCTTGAGGGCTCGTAGTCGGGTTTGGGGAGGTCGTGAGGGATTGGCGGACGCGTATACCACTTGTAAAAGTCGTTGGTGTGCTCTCAGAGTCTTCGGCGCGCTCGAAAGTCGGCGGTCGAAAGCGATGTCGGACGTCAAAGTCGGGGTCGCAGGCAACTGGACTCGATGCTAGGGCCTCCTGTGTCTTCAGATCGTGCGTCGCTCGTTTCCAGCGCGGTGGGTGGTAGTCGGCGGACGCCCAAATCCGGGGAGAAAAGATAGAAAGCAGAAAAAAGAAGTGAGAGGCGAAGGATGCCCCAGCGCTGCTGCCACACCTCGACCTCGGTTTCCCGGGCTCGAGAATCGCAAGGGGCCGGGGCGCGACAGCAGCGAGCGTAAACGTGATGGCGGTGGGAAGCAACCGCCACGCCGCCCGCCTCGGGGATATCACTCTTTCGCGTGCCATCATCACATTCCCACCGTAGGTTCCCCTTCCCCCTCATCTCCCCCCGCCCATCGTCCTCGACAAAACGCTCGGATGGGTGAGGTAATGGCTTCCCCAGACTCGGCGAAACCGAAAATACCTTATCCTGGACTTTCCCCGTGGGAAACGGCCAGAATCTGTGCTTTCTCGTTCTCTGCCTCCTCCTGCTCGCGTCCCCCGCCGCCTCAACGGACACCAACGCCAGAACAGCCGTCGCCCGCCTTCAGGACATCTATAGACGACCTCTGAGGCTACCCCTAACCGCACTCTACCCTCTGTAATCCCTTACCTACCCGCATATACTCTCCTCCCCTCTGTTCCGCCTCTCCCGCTCGCTCCAATCTTCCAGCTCCTCTTGAGCTCGTTCTCGCCCCAGAAACGCCGTCAAACAGGGGCTGTGGAGCACCACGTGTCTGATACGCGAGCTGCGCACCCGGTCGGCCAATGGTAGGTCGGATATTCGCCCGTTTTTACGGCTTTTACGCCGCGCCCCGTTACTGACTGTGGGGCATTGAAAGTGAATATAAGCCAGGTGAGTTTGGACTAGAGAGCATCAGTCCCCACCCATCTCTTCTCCTATGCACTCCACTCTCCAGTTCCTTCCCTCCCCGCCTTTCTATTCCCTTCATTCTCTTCACTCCATTCCTATCCTTTTCATTCATCTCGTCGCATCCTGTCTAATCGAGTCGTACCCGATATATATCTCTTCCCCGACCTCTTACTGTACTAATCCACCCCATTCTATGCCTGAATAAGGTGCGCACTCGCTGTTTCCAATCACTTGCTATCTAACCACTGACCTCGCTTTTCCAGCCCTTTCCCGCGATTCCAAGCGGTTTACATGACGGGGTAAGCCCCATCTTCAATGATTTCTCACCTTTACTGACGTCGTACTACAGACGTCCGCCATCTTCGCCTGTCCCACCACTCATTACGCTGGTCGACGTCAATTTCGGATTCGCCATCCTGCTGAATGGTGAGCGGTACGACTCGTACTGCTACTGCGCTTTACTAAATTTCAGCTTCTTTACCTCAGGCTCGACATCCCTGAGCCTCTCGCTGGTCAGCATTAGCATTCGCGTCCTCGCTGCATCCATTCAGGTGCGTGGGGCTTCATTTCGGTCCAACTGACTCGTCTCACGAATTTTCAGATCACTACTTTTTGTCTCCTACCGCCGCGACCACCCGACTACTGGACCAGGTAAGCATCGCAGTATCCGTCTATCTACGATACTGACCCTTTCCCCCACGACAGCCTTGCCCCGCGTCCTCCGACTGTCGATGCAGTCAGTCCCGACTTGGTACTCGAGGTGGATTGCCACGATTTCTACGGCCCCCAACCCCTTCTCTGACCTCACACCCAGCCTGCCCGTCCAGCACGTTCCTCGACGACCTCGGGACGCGTCGCCAAACGCGGCGGCGACCTCGGCACGGTTTCATCGCGCCTCGTGCTGCGACCAGCTTTGATCTCGCCGCGACGCGTGCCCCGCCACGCGAGCTCGGGACCGTCGTCCACGCGCTCGGAGTGTTCCGCCACCGCTCGTGTACTCGGCGACTGCCGTCGCGGCTAGCGAGCGCGCTGTTGACATTGGTGAGCACGAGCATCTCGACGTCGAGGAAATCGACTGACCCCGACTTCAGAAACGTGCCCCTCGACGAGCAGAGCGTCAGGGAATGATGTCGCGACCTACGCCACACGACCGACGCGTGAAACCCATAGGCGGTGAGTACACGTCCATTCGTTGGATTTTCACCGGCTGACCCGTTGCATGCGATGCATAGGGACTCCCCACGATGCCGGGAACGTGCGCCGGCCGATGGGGCCTTGTCGACGATGACCCGCGGCACCCGCCGTCACTGTCGCTGCGGCACGCCGGCCCTAACTCCCCCCACAAAGTCAGCAACCCTACCGCACCCATGCTCTGAATTCGATGTGCCCGACCTCGGGAGATCCCTCGATGATTGCCTCGACCGAGCCAGCTCGATTGCGAACTGCCGCGAGGCAATACAAGCGTGAGCACATCGTCATCTCCCTGTATTTGTACAGTCATGCTCACTGTCGGCACATTTCCTAGTTCACTCGGCTCGTCTCGAGCTCGCAGAGAGGAGGGAATCATCAGGCATGACCTGAAAGTTTCTCCTCTGCTGCTGTTGGCTTCACTAGGTCAGTCCAATCCAGTGATTTTCGCATATCCTACGACTTATACGTTCCCAGAATCAATTGAGAGCGCGGTATACGCTCCCTCGCCTCTATATCGGTGAGTCTATGCGTGAGTGGCTCGATCAGACTTACTGACCATTTGTGTGAAGCCCGAGACGCTGCCTGGATGAAATGGTGAGTTCAACATGTCCGTGACCTCGTTGAGATGCTGACCGGATTGTAGGACACATATATGACGCCTTTGACGCGCCATGAAGGTCTATGCGGGACTGTACAAAGGTGAGGCAAGCTCGTCGTGCACTACATGAGTTACTAACCTGTCAATTTCATTCAGGACGCGCTCGAAGTCGCTGAGACGAGCGGAAGATAACTGGACGACGCGGGGAGTCATTGACGACTATAGGGGAACCTATGCGCGCGCGGGATACGCCTGAAAGGTGCCGGGCGGGTGCGACGAAATTTTGTATTCAGGTGCGCTTGCTTCATGATCTCGCTGTGAATTGCCACTGACCCTCGCTTTGTTCTAGCTCGATTGGACTTACACGAGCGCTTACGACACCCTTGACCACATTCCAAGGCGCCGGGAAGGTGGGACTCGAGATAGAACAAGGAGATTCTTGTTGAAGGTACGATTTGCTGCAATTTTCGACCAAAATTATCGCTGACCTTCTTTCGAAGCAGCCGCGACATTGCTCCTCCACCCTCGCTACGACCTCTGGCTTACGCGTCGGCCCCCCACGCCTCTGAGGTAAGGGGAAACCATGCCCAAATGCGACCAGACCCACCACTAACCCTAAGCCTAGATCACACACTCATTCGACAAGTTTTTGACTAGGTTCCTTGTTGGTGAGTTCTATGTTCATGGGATGGCGATGTATGGCTAATTCAACGCTTGATATAAGGAGTGCATGCGCAGGGATGACCAGAAGGCAGCGTGAAGCGCTGCCCCTTTGTTCAACTCGACCGAGTAAGTCCTTAACTTTTCGCTCGTCTCGGCCTTCACTAACTCCTTTACAGGCGGTATCTACGACTTTCTATGTCGCAGCGGCTCGCCAATGCGTTTGAGCACCACCCCCAGGCGCGGGGGAGGCGCTGACAGTCCATCTGAAGGGTGGATATCGAGATTGAGGTGAGTTAGGCGCTTAGAACTCGCTCTGATGGATCGCTCACCTTGATCTGTAGCTTGTCCATGACGCGGATGCGCACGAATATGCATTCCGCACATCGTAGAGGTCTAGCTCAGCCAGAGAGAGCGTGGGGAGGGGTCTTTGAATGCGATCTCGTTGTTCTCAGGGTGAGTTTGCTCATTTTCCCTTACTGTCGATGCTCACTCGTATCTCTGGGTATTCCAGCGATCCAGCTCGTCTTAAGGACGCTAGCAAACGTTTGCGATGCGCGCCGGGAAGCGCCGATGCGTTCGCGATGGTGAGTGCGTTTGTAAGGTGAGGAGGGGAACGTTCGCTCGTCGCCTCCTCCCCAGCTTCTCAAGCGCGCGAGTGTCCCTCATTTGCGTTATGCTATTTCATGTTAACTAGGGCAAGGTGCGCGCATGTCCTCCGACGCGGGAGGGGTGGTTTTTAGGCGCTTGTTTCGTTGTTTTGCTCGTGAGCTGACTTTCCTGTGCTTATGCGCCAATTCTGGCTGCCACAAGGTCAGAATCAGCGCTCTTTTGTGATCTACGACGACCTAACATCCTTCTAGTGCTATCCCTGTGTGGAGGACTCGCCTGCTACGATGCATGCTTCGAGGTGAGCTTCAACTCATGATGGGCTGAACTGAGCCAAATTCGGCGCTTCTGCGCGTATTTCTCCGCGCCCGACGCTGCGTTTCCGAGGTGAGTACTGCAATCTGAATTTTAAGCACATCGCCTAACGACGTACCTCAATTCCCGCTCCTTCATTCTCGAGCTCGACACAAGTTGGATGAGCAATTGAGTAGCTTCTTTGTGTACATTCGCTCGTATGTACTTGTATTAGGTAGATTTGTGAATGGAATGTCTTGCACGATGTCCCGAGTGTGTGAGTGAGTCGGCAGAGCGCGAGGCTTTGTCCAAAAAGCGGTACGAGTTGGTGAGGTCAAGCTCTTCTTGCTCGTCCCAAAGAATCCCCCCACCCCCCCTTCTACCAATGACTATGCTGATGAAGCGGGGGTATATAACAGCAGTATACGTTGACTACGGCGCCCTCCGCAGCGGCATCTGTTGAGAAATCGGAGTGCGAGTTTGTTTTTATTATTTGTCGAGCTCGTGCCCTCCCCCCTACTCCCCCCCTACTCCACTCCCCCGCCGCTCAGACCGCGGTTTGGCTCAGCGAAACAACTTTCAATTGCTCTGAATACCTACTACAGGACTATACGCGACGCTATCTAATTAACAACGGCGGCTATTCGCTGTAAACATCCCCCCACCCTCCCCCCCTCCCCGTCGCGCTACCCTCCGCCTCCACACGCCGATGGCTCGCCCCCACCCTCTCTCAGCTCCCTCGTTCCACCTCTCATCTCTCTATCGAGCGCCGCACATTCACAATAGAGCAATGAACAATTCACTGAGATTGCAGTAAAGCTACAGAAGGGGTGGGAGGGACATAAGTACGAAGCCGGCGTATGCTACAAGATGGGGGCGAGTCTGGGGGTTGGGAGAGGCAATGAAGCGACAATGAGTGGGCCGAGGGTCAACGGCAGAGCGAATGAAAAGGCAGTCCGTGTAGACAGAAATAACACCCCCTCACGCCCCATAAACCTGGTAATCATACTCCACCTCCTTCCCCCAAAACCCTGGATCGCACGCCCCCACCTCAATCGCACTCGTCCCGCCCAAGTTCAGCGGCTTCACGTCCCCCGTACCCGCCTTCCCCCACTTCGCGTACCCACCCGCATTGGGCTTCCCGCCCGACATGAACGCCTTGTACCGCGCCTGCACCTCCCTCGTCAGCGCGGACTGCGCGGAACTGGGGTTCGGCGTCGTCCCGAAGACGATGTAGATGTCGTCCTCGTGGCAGACGAGGCCGCCCGAGGCGCACTGCGAGACGCCGGAGTTGCTGGGGTACGTCGCGCCGTGGGTGTAGACGCCCACGTAGGCGCTCGCCCCCGCGCCGGCCCACAGCCTCGCGAGCGACCACGCGGGGCAGCGCCAGATCGAGTCCGTGCCGAGCGTCTCGAGCACGGGGCGGATATCGCTGACGCCGTCCGTCGAGTAGTACGTCGAGTTCTCGAGCGTCTCCGTGCGGTCGTCGCCGTAGCTCGCAGCCGCGATGTTGAAGAAGTACTCCGCGCCCAGGGCGGGCATGTTGCCGTAGATCGTGGGCGCGGCCTCGTTGGCGACGGTGGTCAGTAGAATGGGCTTGGAGACGGCGGGGAAGGGCGAGGATGTAAGGTCGAGCGCGGAGGTGATGAGGGCGCCATCGCGGACGGGGCGCATGGGGGCGAACTGGGTTGCGGAAGGGTCGAGGCTGTACGCGTCGGCGAAGAGGGAGGACGAGGCGTCGAGGATGGTCGAGAGGGAGAGGGCGGAGGTGCACGATTCGGAGCCGTCGGCGCAGTTGATGAGGCCGTTGAAGTGCGACTGCAGGGTGGATTGGGTGCTGGGGGTGAGGAAGCCGTAGTCCTAGCAACGGAGGTGAGTACAGAGACAATAACGTGGGAGAGCGAGACTGAGCACTCACAATTGTGTCGCTCTGAAGAATGGCTGACTCGAATAGGTCGTCTGCAGACGGTGTGGCGAGCAGTGCGCGAATCATGTTCGCCCCGCTGCTCTGGCCGGAGAGCGTGATCTTCGAGTTGCCGCCGAAGGAAGAGACGACGCCCTGTACGAACTTCATGGCGTTCATGACATCCTGCACGGCGAGGTTGGTGCTATCATCAGGCGCCATAAACCCGAGGGCACCGAGACGGTACTGCACGACTGCGACGATAGAGCCAGTTGCAATGGCAAGCTTGGACCCGTCGAGGCCGTCGTTGCTCGCCGAGCCAACGTAGAAGGAGCCGCCGTGAACCCTACGAAATGATTAGTCGACAGATGTAGAAGGGCGAGAGGGGGGCCATACCACATAAGCGTCGGTACACCGCCCCAGACCGAGAGGTTAGGGGGCACGTAGAGGATCATGGACAGACAGTCTTCAGAGTACTCGGAGTCGTCCATGTTGGGCTGCGGACACGCCTTGGGTGTGGCCGTCGCATCGTCCGCGCCGTTCCTATATCGCATCAGCATATGTGGCGGACATGAACGATCGAGGACGTACGGGAGCTCCCAGTTGTCCACCACGCTCGATGTCTTCCACCTATCCGCATTCGCGTACTTGACGGGGAAGCGATACGCCCCATCGCTCGTCAGACTACCCACAGCAGTCCCCAGCGAAGTCACGATGGTCAGGGGGTCCGCACGAGTCTGCTCGCAGCCGTACGAGAAGAACGGGATGCCGCAGAGGAATCCGGACTTGTTCGACCGCGCGATCGGCGATGCTGCGACGAGGGGGGCGAGCAGCGCAACGAGCAGGAGGAGGGGGAACATGGTTGCTGTACGAGCAGCGGGAATACGCAGGCCCGCAGTTATATACGGCGCACGGCCGGAGTCAATCAAGGAACCGGGATGGGCGATTTCGGGACCAGGACCGGAGAGAAGCAGAGTTCGAAGCAGGGCGATAATGAGTGGAAGGAGAAGCGAGTGGGAATCTCAGAGGCGGAGTCGCATGGACGTTCCGGCCAACATGCAGAAAATAGCGCCAAATACAGCCGTCCCATTGTTCCCCAATTGCACGCGGTGCCTCGAGGTGCCCCGTGGCTGGCAATCTCCGCGGGCCTGATCTGATAGCACGAGGCGCGGCGCCTCAATCCCCTCGAGCAGACGAGCAGTAGGAAGCAGATTCCGGGGCGGACGATGGTGCCAAGAACATGTTAGGAGCCACGGAACACTGCTGCATAACTTCCCACCTTATTGTCCAGCGCTTATTGTCAAGACAAGTATCCAGGAGACGAAGAGCCCGTGCATAAGTTACGGTGAGTATCCACCGTGTGGTGTCGCACTCGCCATGTAAAAGCAGGGACGGGGTAATTCAATATTGATATATGGAGGCGAGAAGCCTTGTCTGCCTCCAATCAGTCCCAACAAAAGGCCATCTCGATATGGCTCCCGGAATGATATGCCGCTCAAGAAGAGGATGTTGGTCACCCACGGATACTGGGGCCCGTGAAGGCTCGCGAATCCGCAGAGCGAGCGCAATTCCTTTCGAAACGCGAGGCACCCCCTGGCACCCCTTAGCGAACAAGGATGCCCAAATCGGGAGCAAGTACGCGGAACCAAACCATATCTCGCGTGCGTCAGGCGTGCACTCAACGTGCCTCAACATGCGTATCTGACTTCTCGTATTCTTGTTCCGTCCCATTTGGGCGCGTACCTCAGCGGTACTCAGTCTGCCCTTCCGCCGCCTTCGAAGTGCCCCTCGACAACCATCCGAATGTCACTCGGTAGCCATCCGAGGGTTCTCAGCCGCCCAATTACCCTCGCCGGTCCTCTGTGCCCCTCTATAGCCTTCTATGTCCCTCGGACTCCCTTCGGCACCCTTCGTATAGCGATCTCCACGCGCGACGCCTACGAAAGAACCAGGCATGGGCGGCTCTTACGGCCCTTGCCTTGTGGTAGATCTCCCGCCGGCACTTCCATCCCTTAGGTCCCTTTTCGGCGCCCCAGAGATCGCGTCGGTACCTCTCAACAACCCCGGCGGCGTCCCTCGCGGGTGCCACAAACCCATCGGACGCGTTCATTGTGCCGAATCGAGCACCTCCGTCGGTCGTGGGTACTCTTTTTGGGCGTAAACTGCAAATTCTACGAAGGGCTAGCCTTGCCGGTTACAACTTTGAGGACGAGGGAGCCCCGTCAATCCCCTCAAAGATATCGAAGTTCCTTTCTAGTCGGATGCGGGTCGTGTTCTGTGAGGGCGTCGTTCGTCAGCATTCTCTGCCTATCCCTCTTTCGTCCCAACCAGATTCCAAACCAGAAAAAGAATGAAGAAGTATCACACTCACCCCACCCTTCGCAAACCTCACCACGGCCCGATGCCGCCTGCCTCTCGGCCCGCCCCGCGCCTCGTCGCCCTCGTAGGTGAGGACGGTCTCTCCCTCTTCCACACTACTTTTCGGATGAGAGGCGTCGTTTGCATTCAACCGCCGGGGATTGATAGCCATACGGCCGAAGGGGCCGCGGGCGAGGCGTTCGATTTTGGATCGAGCGTCGACGGCTTGGGCTATCCTGATGTCAGCAGGAGTCCCTTGAATAGGAACTGGTGTTATGCTCACCATCGCCCCCACCGAATATCCCCGCCAATGTTGTCAGGATATAAAACTGCGGCGGCATGAACGAGATCCTCCCCGCCTCAAACTCAGCGAGCGCGTCCGCGGGGCGCACGAAGCGCGCGGAGATGACTTCTTGGCCGCCGTCGGGCGTCGGAATCTGCTCTTGTTTGTCGCCGGCGGTGAAGGTCGTCGATGATGAGACGGAGGGGAGGAAGGCGAGGAAGAACTTGGTGCGGAAGCGTCTGCGGGGACAGGTGTGAGTTCTCCTTGGTCGTGGTATTTTTCCCGCTTCTTCCTGCCGCAATGCTCCTTGCAGCGCTGCATGATGTGCTCGCCTTCGATCGACCTGGCCGCACTTCAACTCACCTCGGCTGCTCCACCGGGGTCACCCACTCCGTGAACGGTAACAGCGCGTCTACGTCCGCTCGCAATCCCTCTTTAGCGAGGAAGTCGGAGAAGCTGGTCCGCTGGGCGTGAATGGCGCGGCGGGCTTCTTCCAAAACAGACGCCGGAGGTGATGTACTGGGGCCTGACGGTGCAGAGTTTGTCCTCTCGTCCTCGAAGGAGGAGCAAAGGGCGTACTAGTGGACGGAGATGCGAGCAGGAGACCAGACTCCTCAAAGGTTTCTCGGATCGCAGTCATGGCGAGCGAGTCGCCGTCCTGCGCGGGGTCGAGGTTGCCTCCGGGGAAGACCTGTAGGAGAAAGATGAGAAAGTGTAGGGAGGTTACAGCAAATCAGGGGGTAGTTGTGGTCGAGATGTAGAAAAGGGAGGGTCAAGGGATACGAGCACATTTATTCAGATTGTTTAATCGAAGTTACCCAGCACTGAGGATGGTCGGACTTACATGCACCCCAGCGAAGGATCTCGTCTTGGGATTGCGCTGAACAAGCAGTACTTCATTGCGCGCATTAATCACAGCGATGCTTGCTGAGGGGCGAGGCTCTGCAGGTTCACGACCAGGACGAGGCATGTCGGTTGAGTAGAGACGACGTGAGTGACGGCCGAAGTAGGCTGCAGGATTGGGGTAGTGGTAGACGATATAACGGTCTGCGAGCCGCGCGAGGCTAGTCTGCCGTGGTGAGAGGAGAATTCCAAGACGAGGAGGTACTATTCGTAGCATGTGTATAGAGCAAAGCAGAGACCGGGCTCTGTTAACCCGGATTACCGTGCAACAGAGCGGGAACGCGAGCACGGGACCAGATATGAGACTGAATGCCTATCGAGACGCGCTTTAAGTTGGTCGAGTGAATCGAGCGATCTGCGCGAGGTTGACGCGGGAGAACCTGGACTGGACCAAGAGCATAAAGGCAAGAGACGCTTGGGCGCTAGTAACGAACGCATGACCGCCCAGGACAACACGCGGTGGCGCGGGGTCCGGGCCGCAAACGGGCGCCTCTTGCATCCCACCCCCATCGTCATTCATCTACTTGCATCTTTACCTTTTCCTACTCAATAAACCTCCCCACCATGTCCTACATAGCGAGCACGTCGAACGTGTCGGGCTCGGCGAGCTTGACGGTGCCGGACGCAGCGAGCGCCTCGACGAGCGTCGCGCCCGAAAGCCTGCCTGCCAACATGATCTCGCTCCCATTCACTTGGTCCGGCAAGCCCTTCGCGGTGGAGGTGGCTGAGAATGATCGGTGTGTGGGGTACCGTAGCTGCTGCTTTGGTTGAGAAGACTGACATGGGACTCGTTTGGCCAGAGTCATCGACCTGCAGTACGCGCTCCAGAAGCTGACGCGCGTGCCGCCCGCGAGGCAGAAGCTCCTGGGGCTTGTGAAGGGCAAGCTGCCGCCTAGAGACGCGTTCATGTGCGTGTTGGCACGGTGTCGGGTGTGCTCTGAGTCGTTGACCTTGGCGTCACCATAGCAAGGACCTTAAGCTCGCAAAGAAGTTCACCTTGGTCGGTACCGTCGAAGGCGAAGAGCTCTCCGCCCCTCCAGGTGCGTGTGGCTTCCCCAACTCTTTATGTGGCACCGACTCACATCTCCTACCTACCCCCCTTTCATTGTTCACCACTCTTGCACCCCCATGCCGATCCTCCTATCTATCTGTATTGCTCCCTCAACAGAGGAATCCGACCAAAAGGACTCCGAAAGCGACGTCGACCTCGCCGACCTCATCAAGAACAACGACCTCGTCACCGCGCTCGTGAACGACATTGCGAACCGGCAGAACGTCGAGAACGCGACGAAGAACCTGAGCGTGAACGTCATCCATCCGCTTAGGGAGGGGAAGAAGTTGTTGGTGTTGGATATTGATTATAGTGAGCGTTCATGGGCGCGTTGGTATACTGCAGCAAAATTGATTGCCTTGCAAGCCATTGTCGACACTAAGCCCCTCACTTCCGGCAGCTTACCACCAGAGGAGTGCGCGAGACCGGGTCTACATGCCTTTCTGGAGGCCGTGTATCCGTATTATGACAGTGAGTCTGAGAGACGACCTTACCGTGGCCCCGGAGGGTATGCTAATGCTCGAGTATAGTCTGCATATGGTCGCAAACCAGCTGGATCTGGCTAGAAACCAAACTCGTCGAATTGGGCATGGTCGGCGGGCATCGAAATTACCAGGTACGAAGTTTCTTCTGTTGTCTGCATTCTCAACCACCTCACTGATTGTTGCTTTTCTTGCCCTTCTCATCCTCTCTTTTCCTCGTCCGTTTGTTACACCCACTGTCCAGATCTCATTCGGTGACCTCCTGCCCCTCTATCAACTTCCTTTCACTCGCTAACCTCGCCCTCTACAAAGTCCTTGACAAGACGTGTATGTTTACCGTGAAGAGTGTGCGTGACAACAAGCCCTGGGAGCACTCGGTGAAGGCACTGCAGATCATCTGGAATCACTTCCCGCAATTGTAAGTCCTCGACTTGGTTTTCATTGCGAGAACAGATGCTGACTGTATTTTTGAAGTAATGCATCGAACACCGTGCATGTTGATGATTTGGTGTGTATTCCCTTTACGCGCATTCCTTCTCCATTTCACCGTCGTCTCATCGGTCTCATGCTCACTTCACCCCAAAGAGCCGTAACTTTGCCCTCAACCCAAAGGAAGGTATCAAAATACGTGCCTTCAAGCACGCCGCATCGCAAGAAGCGCGACAAGATACAGAACTCTTCAAGCTCGCCGCTTACTTGGTACATGTGGGGCAGGCGCCGGACTTGAGAGCGTTCAGTCACAAGGTGCGTTGTGGATATTCTGTCCTTGCGGCGACTCCGGTGAACGGCCAGTGTGGCTAACACGAGGCGTGCAGGACTGGAAAGTGACGGCGAAGCGGTTGAGGACGAGGTCTTGATATGAGACAAGGGACCGTACAGACACTGCAGACATGGGCTATACACAGCGCTCGGGTGTAACGGCTGCAGTTGGAGTGGGGGTTTGATGATGACGATGAGCACGACCTTCCGCCTTTCTTCTTTTTTACATGTAACGGTGGCTGAGGACCCGCCGACACGGAATATAGAGACCGCCTCGAACGTCGAGCTTGGTGCTTCGTGCCCCCTGCAGGCGCTGTGCCGGCCGCGGGCTACAACTCTATACACTCGCGCGCGACCGGCGTCGCGCCACTGGTGCTTCCGGCGCTCCTCGTGTCGAGGAGGGGCAGCGCGCGTCATGCGCTTATTGGCTGCGAATTCTAAGAATGGCCCGTGCCTATAAATACGCCCTTGCTATATAGCGCGCGTCACTCGAAAGCGGGACGGTGTTGGCAGATAGCCTGCTCTGACACCTTTTCCTCGTCCCTTTCGTGAACGTGAAGTAGTTTGGACATGTCGACGCCAGCTGGAGAGAGGTTCAAGAATATCGTGCGTGGCCATCTACGTTAAGGGACGCGGGAAGGGTGTGCTGACGCGCTGTTGTGCAGGTCCGCGATGCAATGAAGCAGTGGAAGAGCGAGAAGGAGTCGGAGGCTCATCGGGTACGTCGAACGAGTTGTCTCAAGCAGTTGGAAGACGCAGTGCTCATTTCCCTCGCCCGCAGATCTTCCGATCCTCCGCGGGACACCAAGCCAGGAGCATCCTCCCCCAGACCGTGAACCCGGTACTTTCTCCCCACACCTACACACCCTTTCTTGCCTTAACATCGCCCTAGGATGAAGAAACCGTTCCAGGCATCGTTCACCCTGGCAGCACGGGCGTCATCTACTGCTCCGACCGTGCCATGGCGAACGGCTTCAGTTACGCCGCGCAGCACGAGTGGGCGAATTTGGGGCAGGGCGCGCCCGAGGTCGGCCCCATCCCCGGCGCGCGCGACCGTCCGACCGAGATCAGCGTGCCGCTGGACTCCCTCGAGTACGCGCCCACCACTGGTGTCAAGGGTGCGTTGTTTCGACTTTCATCGCCACTTTCCCCCACCCATCGCGGACCTGCCTAAATCCATCGCGATCAGTTGGAGTCGCAACTGAGGTCCCCTGCTTCTCACGTGATCGTATACTGAATTGTATTCGCTCGCAGATCTGCGCACGGCGGTGGCGAACCTGTACAACGAGACGTACAGGAAGGGCAAGGCGAGCCAGTACACGCACGAGAATGTGTGCATCGTCCCCGGTGGGCGTGCGGGCCTGTCGCGCGTGGCGAGCGTGGTCGGCGACGTGTACTGCGTGAGTTGAGAGCGATTGACGTGCGAGGTGATAACGAGGCTTATATGCCATGTCCAGTCTTACCAAGTCCCGGACTACACGGCGTATGATCAGGTCCTGGCGGCCTTCCGTCGTTTGGTGCCGATTCCTACAATGTGCGTCTTCCCTTCGAATTTCTGGAGCTACTCAGACTTACATGAGTCCACAGCTTGGATCCGAACGTAGGTCACGACCATTTGCGATCGGTACTCGATGCTGACTGTAGGTCAGAACAAATACGAGTTCGACACTCTCCACACTAGGGTAGGTATAGCGAACTGCAATGGATAGGTCGAGGCTGACACCGATCACAGAAAGACGTCGAGCACCAGGGCGTTGCCGTCGTGCTCCTATCCAATCCGCGCAACCCTACTGGTCAGGTCATCAAGTACGTTTTTCATAAATCATCACTCTAGAGGCTGACTGACGGATCGTAGGGGCGACAAGCTGAAAGAGCTCGTAAGCCTCAGCCGTGAGGGAAGCACGCTCATCCTTGATGAGGTAGATAAATTTCACGAGGACTGTGGTTATCACTCACGCAGGTGTCATCAGTTCTACTCCTGGTACATCTACCCTGAAGAGGGTGAAGAATTTGGCCAGTCAGTTTCGTCTGCAGAGGTAAGCAATGGGCACTTTGGTAGGCCTGAGTCTCGTCTAATAGTTCTTTCAGTACATCGAAGACGTCAACGAGGACTCCGTGATCATCATCGACGGCCTGACGAAGGTGCGTACGAACGCCCGCTTGCATTTAATCACTAAAGTTGCGTGCAGAACTGGCGCCTCCCGGGCTGGCGTGTCTGCTGGGTTGTGGGCCCCAAGAACCTCATTACTGCCCTATCGCAGTCCGGTCGGTAGTCTATCAATCGTCTCCTGCGCGAAGCTCACTCTTGACACAGGTTCCTTCCTTGACGGTGGCGCGAACCACCCGTATGTCCAATCCACGCACCATGGCAGAGTCCACCTCTGACCCCACTCTAGCCTCCAACTCGCCGCCATCCCCATGCTTGAGCCCAGCCGCGTCCGCGAAGAAAAGATCGCCCTCCAAAAGCACTTCAAAGCCAAGCGCGACCACGTCCTCGCCCGGCTCACCGACCTCGGGCTCACCGTCCGCGTCCCTCCCACCTCCACCTTCTACATCTGGCTCGACCTGACGAATCTGCCGCCGCCCCTGAACAACGGGCTGACGTTCTTCGAGGAACTGCTGAAGGAGAAGACGATTGTGATCCCGGGGATATTCTTCGATATCAATCCGGCGCATAGGAGGAATTTGTTCAAGAGTCCGTGTCATGAGTTTGTGAGGATTTCGTTTGGGCCGCCGATTGAGGATTTGGATATGGGTGAGTGGATTTTTTGGGGGGAGAGGTGGTGCAGCGAAGGGGATATAATGGCTGATTTGTGGCACAGGGCTGGACGCGATGGCGAGGGTGTTAGAGAAGGCGAAGAAGCAGGGCATGAGCGGCTTTGGCGAGGGCTACAAGCAGGTGAGCATTTTCAATGATTGTTCCGCGAGTGATGTTGCTCACGAGCGTGACAGAGCCCGGAGGCGCCAGTGGATGACCACATCTAAGGAGTTGCTTGACGAATGAGATACGAATTTACGAGTTATACCCACGAGCACAGTGAAGAATAGATAAATGTATGATCTTGTGCTACCGACCATGCGACCCCATGAACCTCCGAGAAAGCAAAAGAGACGCTTGCGGATGGCCTGGGTGATGCAGCAGCCCAAGCCGAACGGAAAACATACGAAGAGACGACGAGATTATTTATACATTGTGTGCCCTCTAGGGACGACAGAAGACAGCGGCTGACTACGATACAAGGATAGTACAAAGCTACATAGGTCAATTCTTAGTCCCATAATCAGAAGAGGGGGAAACGTCTACAAAAGCGTCTCTCCTGTACGGGTGGTTAGAGGTAGAAGGTAGAAAAGGTAGTGGAAGAACAAACCAAGCGCAGCACGCGCGAGCGAGCACCCAACGGCGACAGTCGCCTTCACACCCTCGGGGTCCGCGAGAGACGGGTTCACCTCCTGTCGAGGCATGAGAACTGTCGCAGGAGTATGAGATTGAAAGCCTACCATGATATCCAGCGCGACAAGCAGGCCAGTCTCATAAACCGCCTCGCAAATGTAGTGCCCCTCGCGGAAAGTCAACCCCCCACGCACCGGCGTACCCGTCGACGGCGTCACAGTCGGGTCCAGCGCGTCCACGTCGAAGCTCAAATGGATAGGCCGATCCCGGCTCGGGTTGACGTGGTCGAGCGCCATCTCGACGACCTTGCCGATGCCGTACTTGTCGACCTCGTGCATGGAGAAGGCTTTGATGTTGTTGTCCTTGAGGATCTTCTTCTCGCCGGCGTCGACGTCGCGGAGGCCGATGTACACGAGGCGGTTGGCTTTGAGGAGGGGCTTGACCCAGGCGAATTCGGGGACCTTGCTGCCGATGCCGAGGAGGAAGGAGACGGGCATGCCGTGGATGTTGCCTGAGAGAAGTCAAGCGTGGGCAGGTGTGCTTATGGGGGATAACATACCAGAGTCGGTGGTGTCCGGGGTGTTGATGTCTGCATGGGCGTCTATCCAGACGACGCAGGCATCTGGGTGGGTGCTGGATGGATGGTCAGTAAATGTTCACAGCTTGTGCACGGGCTGCTAACCTCAAAGTGCCTGAGATGGTGCCCATAGCCTGCACATGCTGTTAGTCAATGTGCTTCGCTGGCTAGTAGCACGCGCACCAAGCTGTGGTCGCCTCCGAGAGTCACGGGAAGCTCGCCCGCCTTGACGTGTTCGCCGACGACCTTGGCCACGGACTCGCAGACACGCGACACAAGACGCGGGTTCTTGAGCTTGCCGATGGGCGGATCGCTGGCAGCGTTGATGCTCTCAAACTGGTGGTGGCCATCGAACTTGACCTTCCATCCCAACTCAGTGAGCTGATCTATGAGGCCTGCTTCGACGAGATGAATGGGTCCCTTGTCCACACCGGGCTTGCCCTAGGCGAGTGTGAGGAGATTAGATCTCATAGAAGCGCAGGATGGCGCACCTGGCCGCCCATGAAGGGGCATCCGACGATCTAGGGACGCGCGCATCGTCAGCAGGACAGACGCGATCGAGAGTGGACGGGCGCTTACGGCCGCGGTCTTGGGGTTCGGGATGAAGCGAGACTGGGACGCAGACATTTCTTCGTGTAATTGCAAGGTCGAGGTGGGAGAAGGAAGGAAGAGACGAAAATAAGCGCTGGCCGGGCGCCTATAAGTATAAATCAGATGGGCAAGCGCACACAGGAGCGTCCGGTGGCGCCGCGGGTAGGCGGGCCCACGTGCTCCATCGGACCCGCGTCGGACTTCGTGCGCGTGCAAATTTGTCACCAAGTTCAACTTGCCCTCGAACCGTCACGCCGCGGCCTCTGCTCTGCGTCAGGATGGCTCTCCCTCCCATACTGTACCACCACTTCCGGGTGCCCCTCCCATATGCTCAGACGCTCGCCCTGCAGGAGAGGATACACCAAATACAGCTAGCGGCTCGGCGCACCGGATCTCACAAGGATATCCTCCTCCTCCTGCAGCACCGTCCCGTGTACACGGCCGGCCGAAGACAAACAGAGGATGCTGTGGCCGCAGAGCGCCGCCGGCTAACCGACATGGGGGCTGACTTCGTTACCACACAACGAGGGGGACAATTGACGTACCACGGGCCTGGCCAAATTGTTGGCTACCCTCTCATCGACACTGGGAGGTGGTCTCCTGCTATGGGCGTGCGGGATTACGTCTGTCGTATGCAGAAGTTTATTGGCCTGCACCTTCGCGAGGCGCATGGTCTACAACCCTCTCCATCCGACAACACGGGCGTCTTCCTCAGTCCCACCGAGAAGATCGCGAGCATAGGTGTGCAGGTCCGCCATCGATTGACGTCGCATGGATTTGCGATGAACGTCACGCGCGAACCGCTGGCGTGGTTTGACCAAGTCGTCGCGTGCGGTCTGGAGGACGTCAAGGCGGTCAGCATCTCGACTGCGACTGGCAAGGAGGTCAGCGTCGACGAGGAAATCTCCGGCCTGGTCTCTCGCTTCGGACAGCTATATGAGAGGGATATGGTCGCCCTCGACGCGCCCAAAGAGGGCGAGATAGGAGAGGCTATATTAGCGTTAGAACAAGAAGCGCACTCTCTTGGATCTTGGGCGACTGCCCCGCGCATGTGAGCCGTACTCATCATTAATTCCAGTCACAAACCCTATGTAAGAGTTTCGCCTACTCTCACCCTTTCTTTCTGACTCACGCTCACAGAATATCATATACATTGCATTAATCCAGCACAAATAGCATGTTCACGGATAGCTTTGGATCAAGCGGACCTCTAGCCATATTATTCACAGATTGGACTACCTCACGGACCACCTGAACATGTCTGCTTGAAAAATGTTAGGTTCTCGCAAATGCGCTCACAAGGTTCGAGAATCAGAGATAGTCGTACGGCTTGGCGGTTCTCCAACTTTACAGGCGCGAGGACGACCGTTGTTGGGGTCTGCTCGCTTACGCGGACTCAACTGCGCTTCCTTCGTTCTATCCTGTGATGGCTTCTCTGTTGTCTTCTGATCAGCTTAGGTGGCAGGCTATTGCAGCGCAAGCATCTCTGTCGCCTCAGAGCCTTTCTAGTCTTCTCTTTCCAAAGCTGCTCTATTCGCCCATGCATTGACAATGCATTCGCTCGCGTGAACCAATTGGCGGTAGCCTGCCGTTCACTTGGGTGTCTGTCCAATGCTCGGCACCGGTCGTCTTGGAAACATCCACCTCTGCGCACGCTGGTTATAGTGCTTGCCGGACTGTAAGCATCTTGCTGGTTGGCTATTGCCGGAGGTTCGTTGCTCAGCCCAGGTTCAGTGAACGGCACAGAAGGGCGGGAAGTAGCAGTAACTGCCTGTAGCATACGCATATAGCCACTCTTTCTATGTCACTATACGTGCGATCTCGATAGACTACGCATTGTTAGTCGGTTGATAGACCAGGAACAATGCGAGTGCCACCAACAAGCTCGCCATGCGAGGGCAAGATCACAGAAATCAACATTTGTCAGAAAATCATTTGATGGGGATTGCTCGGGCGTTGCCGACGGTTCACCTGTACTTTCTCCCAACGGTCATGGCGCCCTCGCCGTCGTCGTCGGCGACGACTTCGGTCCAAGTCGGTGCGTGAACTGAGCCTTGTGTAGCGAGCTACCTGCTGATTGTATTGAAGCCCTGCGAATTCGACCGACGACCAATCAAGACGCCACCTCAATCCCATCCCGGTTCCAGCGGCCAGTCATCCACGCCATATCCTCTAATGCCGTCTCGGTCGATGCGGTGACCGCAAACCCTCAAGGAGGGCCCTCCCCGGCGAGCGCAGCAGGCGCGGCGGCGAAGAAGCAAGTCTTCGCCTTCGACCAGGTTCATGGCCCAGGGACTACGCAGCACACCATGTTCACCTCAACCGCGCAACCCCTCATCTCGCGCTTTGTGGAAGGCTTCAACTGCACCATCCTCGCGTACGGGCAGACCAGCTCCGGCAAGACGCACACCATGACCGGCGTGGACCTCGATGCGGACCCCACGGACCCCAACAACGGCATGGGCATCATCCCGCGCGCGGTGTCCATGATCTTCGCCCGCTGCCGCCAAGTCAAGGAGGAGCGCGCGGGGACGTGGAACTTCAACCTCAAGGGCTCGTTCGTCGAGCTGTACAACGAAGACCTCATCGACCTGCTTGGCGCCGACGATACCGGAGGCGCCCGTCGCGAGGTGCAGATACGGGAGGACAAAGATGGGCACATCATCTGGGGCGGCCTTCGCGAAGTCAGCGTGAAGAACGCGAACGAGGTCATGGGGTGCGTTGCCGCGTTGCTGCCCGCCGCCTGCCCTGCTGACGCACGACCAGCCTTATCCGCAAGGGCACGTCAATACGGCGCACCAATGAGACCGACATGAACGCGCAGTCGTCGCGCTCGCATGCCATATTCTCGCTCACTCTCACTCAGAAGAAGTATACTGGCAACGGCGAGCCGCCGCGCTCCTCGACACCATCACTACCGGGCGGCAGATCGCCTTCACGGCTCGCCCGCCCAGGCTCTGTCATGGGCACTTCTCGCGTAGCGTCTCCGACTTTCGGCCATAACTCGTCTAACAGCTTTGCGCAGGCGATGGGACGGGGCGGCTTGCGCCCATCTAGCGCGCTAGGCCACGCCGGAGATAGGCAACTACAGAATGGCGGTGACGACGGCGAATGGGTTACAATCGTTTCCAAATTCCACTTCGTTGATCTGGCTGGTTCCGAACGCGTACGTATCGCCGCTTTTGCAGAGCGACGACAGGGCACTCATTCCCGCACAGTTGAAGCGCACGGCAGCGGCCGGCGAGCGGGTCAAGGAAGGCATTTCCATCAACAGCGGTCTTCTGGCCTTGGGCAATGTCATCTCTGCCCTCGGCGACCCCGCCCGCGCGAAGTCGCACACCGCGACACACATTCCTTACCGAGACTCAAAGCTCACCCGCCTGCTGCAAGACTCGCTCGGCGGCAATGCGCATACACTTATGATTGCGTGTGTCAGCGCGGCTGAGTGGAACGCGGCGGAGACGGTCAATACCCTCAAGTATGCCAACCGGGCGCGGAACATCAAGAATCGTGCCGTTGTCAATGAGAAGGAGGACGGCTGGGACGATGTCGAGTGGCTCCGTGGCACCGTCACCCGACTCCGCAAGGAGGTGAAGACACTGAAGGAGGGCGGCGCTATACCGTCGTCCGGCGCGCCCGAGGTCGAGGTCGAGGGCGCGAGCAAGAAGGTCCTCACCCAGATGACGGAGCTGCAGAACAACTACGAGGACCTCCGCGAGAAGTTCGTCGAACGCACGGAGGAGCTTACGCGCCTTCGGCGAGAGCTTGGCGAGAAGGCTCGCGGCAGCACGGGCGGTGCGGTCACCGGGACAGCGAAGTACGAAGAGATTGTTGGACCTGTCATCGAGGAGTACGAGAAGACGATCTCGGCGATGGAGGCAGAGCTTTCGCTTAATCGCGCTGCGCTTCGTCATACCAACGAGCTTGTCGAGGAGAAGGAAGAGGAACTGTCTGCCCTTACCGAAAGGCACGGCGCGACTGAGCTCTACGTGGAAGAGCTGAGGTCACGAGTGTCCAAGCTACAAGAGCGCGAAGCTTCCACGGAGGTGAGATCCCTCACGGTCTGTACCGATACATGCTAACAGTTTGACAGGCGTACGTGCGCGATCTCGAGGAGAAGCTCAGATCAGTCGACGAGAGCAACATGTCATCCTCGGAGTCCATGTCCGACCTCAAGCGCGAGCTCGCACGCTTCAAAGACACCGAGACTTACTCGACGAAGTATATCGCTGATTTGGAGGCACGGCTCGCGCGCTCGGACGAGTCCGTCATCGCACTGCAGCAGACTGTCGAGAGGTTGGAAGCGGAATGCGAAACACGCCGCGAGGAAGCGGAATCCCTGCAGGCCCGTCTCGAGGCCCTTCGCAAGGACGGCGAGAATTGGCGCAATGATCTGGAGGCGCGCGAAGCCCGCGTGCGCGAGCTTGAGCTCAAGATGCAGGAGTGGGAGAGGAAGCGCCTGGAAGCGAACGAGACTCGCGAGCGTTTGAACAAGGTCGTCGACAATGTCGTTGACGAAGTCGAGGGCGCCAGGAACAAGCTCGAGGTCGACCTATCTGATGCCGGCTCGGTCATCTCGCGCAAGCCGTCGACCGTGCACCTGGAGAACCTCGAGAACGTCGCAAACGATGGCACCGCTCAGAAGGCGCTTTTCGACCTGCAGCAGACTCACCAGGCTACCCTCGCGGATTTGTCGTCCGTGACCGCCAAATATCGCGATGCTTTGCGCGAGATCTCGGACCTCGCTGCGCAGATACAGGAGGCAAAATTCGGCGCCTCCAGCGTTGCTGAGTCTCGCTCGGAGTCACCTACCACGGATCGCCCTCTCGAGGTGCCTTCACATCGGCGTAGCCCCACCGGCGGTGGACGGAGAAGTCGCGACCCCAGCGAACAACCCGGCAGCAAACGTCTTTTTTTCCGACAAGCGGCCTCGGTCGAGTCGCTCCGCGCGAGGTACGTCTGCTCGTCCTAGTTTGGCTCCGTGAAACTAACACTATCCACAGGTCGCTTTCACAATCCTTATCGCTTTCACAGGAGCTTTCCTCGGCACACTCGCGCAAAACTTCCTTTTCAAGTCAAGGGACGAGTAGTGCACACTCCCCGTCCAACTCCCAGTCTATGACATATGGATCCGGCAATCACTCCCGCCCGAACCTTTCTATCTCCCTGTCGTCCAATGGGGAGCGCTCGGTGTCTAGCCTGGAGAAGGAGATTATGCGCCTCCAGGAGGTGCTAAGGGAGCGCGAGACGGAGATATCCGCCCTCGAGGAATCGCTCAAGGAAGCCCACGATAAGAGCGACACGGCGACTTCGGAGACCTCTGAGCGCGGACCCGGCAAGATTGACGTCGACCTCCCAATCCTCGTCAACGGAGCCAGCCATGAGAAGGCGGACAGCGCGCATTTGTCTCCGAAGACGCTCGGGCAGTTCGACTCGATTCGGAAGAGCATGGAGATACGGGATGGGTTCTCTATTCCAGACGGCGATTCCGATGGTGCGAACGCCGCTATGATCGCAGAGAGGGATGAGAGTCTCGCACGGTTGAATGAGCTCATGCTGTAAGTCCTTCTCACCGCGCAAGTGAAGGTTTCTGATCATCATGTAGTTCCATGGCGCAGAAGGAGTCGCAGCATCGCGAAGTTGTGGATGATCTGTCCGAGCAACTGACCACCGTAAGGCGGCAGCTTGACGATCTCAGGACACTCAGCAGGGATCAGGTATGTACTCGAGACGTTGCGCGCGGCATCGCATGCTTACTGTCAATGATCAGGCCCTCAACATGTCCGGCGAGATCGACGCCATGCAGCGGAAATACGTCGCCGACCTCGCTACTCTCGAGGAGACGCAGAAGCGCGAGGCCGAACTCGTCGAGTCTTTGAAGAAGGCTGACGAGGAGCATTCGGTGACCGTCGCACAACTGCGCGCCGAGCACGAAGCAGCTATGAACGAGAAAGCAGCCGAGGTTGACGAGCTTGTTTCTCGCCTCAAGGCCGAGCACGATGCCGCCCTCAGCAGTGTTCGTGAAGAGCTTGTTGCCGCGACTGCCTCTCTCGAGCAGTCCCGTGCGGACCACGAAAAGTCTTTCGGCGAGCTGGAGGCCAAACACGCTGCCGAGCTTGAGCGTCACTTGCAGGAGGCGAACGAGGTTTTGGCACGTACTCGGGAGGAGCACGAGGCCGCACTTGCCAAGCTCGCGGCTGAGCATGCGGAAGTCCTGCGCAAGAAGGAGGACGAGTCGAATGCGGTTCTTCACAAGACCGAGGAGGACTACTACAACGTCCTGACCAAGCTTCGCAGCGACCACGCCGAAACCCTCGAGCGCCAGAAGGCCGAGACCGAAGCGGCGTTGGAGCGCCTCCGCGACGAGCACGCCGCCCAGATGCGTATGGCTACCATCGCGCAGGAGGGATCTCTTTCGGAGTCGGAGTCGGCTCGCAACCTGGCCCTCAAGGAGCTACAGGAGGAACATGCTGCTGCCGTCCTTCGTAAGGACACTTCCTTCGCCGAGGAACTTGAGCGCGTCAAGAGTGAGCATGCGCGTGCACTGGCCACCAAGGACGAGGACTTCAACATCCAGCTCGAGAAGACCCGCGCCGAGCATGAAGGCGTCCTCTCGCGCATGAAGGAGACCTGGCGCGACGAGGCTGAGCGGCTGAACGGCTTGCTGGAGGCTGCGAAGCAGGAGTCCGCCGCGTCTGCTGCTCAATCGCAGAAGGCGTTCGACGAGGCTACGCAGGCTCTAAAGGAGGAGCATGATGCGCTATTGGCCGAAGTCACGAAGGGCCACGAGGAACAGCTGTCCCAGTTGCGCAGTGAGCACGACGCCGTCCTTCGCGAATCATCGGAGAAGCTCGAGGCCGAACGCCAGGAGCTCCTCAAGTCGCATGTCGAGGAGGTCACGAAGCTGAAGGCCGAGCATCAGCAGGCTGTTGCCGAGCTCAACGAGACTTTGGTCGCACTGCAGGCTGAACGTCAGGATGCTCTGGAGAATGCCAGGCAAGCGGCCGAGCGCTCATTCACCGAGGAGCAGGAGCGCCTGCACGCGACTCTGGAGGACCTGAAGGCTCAGCACGCGCAGGAGGTGGAGACCTGGACGAAGGACCGTGCACTCCTTGTTCAGGAGCTCGAAGCCGAGAAGGCGGCCGCCGACAAGCTTGCCGCGTCGCAGCAAGCACTCGAGCAAACCCATCGCCAGGCTCTCGACGAGAAGGATGCTGCCTTCGAGGCCCTCAAGGACGACCTAACCTCCGTTACCAGCCAGCGCGACGAATTTCAGTCGGAGGTCGAGGACCTTCGCTCGGAGTTGGCTCAGCACCGCGAGGAACAGTCTCGCCTTCTCGAGGAAGCTCGCACAGAGAAGACGACCGCTGTTGAGCAGCTCACCCAGGAGCTAGCATCGACCTCAGACCAGCGAGACGACTTGGAGGCTGAGGTCGCCACCCTCAGGGCTGAGTTGGACAAGACGCGTAAGGAGCAGTCCAAGCTTGTGCAGGAGGCATCCAAGCGAGATTCTCTGGTCGACGAGCTCGAACGGCACCGCTCGATGATTGCGGAGATGCAGGACGCACTTCAGAAGGTCAAGGACGAGAAGGACACCCTGCAGACCGAGAAAACTCGCTCGGATACCATGCTGCGCGACTTGCAAGCGCAACTCGTTCGCAGCTCCTCGCCACCGACTGTCCGCTCGCCAGTGGAGCGCAACCGATCAAATCTGCCACCCATGAAACTCCCACCACCGACACCGCCTCCCTCCGTTCCTCCTCCGCCGGCTCCGCGACACATGAACGGCGACGCCAACGGCAGCGTCTCATCCGCCGCCTCTAGCGCTCCGAGTGCGCTCGCATCCTCCACCTCTTCACGCGATTCCACGCTCGACTCGCCTGCGACGTCAGTAGCCACGCCAACCATCAACGGACCGGACCCTAAGATGGTCGCGAAGATGGAGGAGCAGGCGAAGCATATCGACGAGCAGGAGGCAATGATCAAGACGTTGAACAAGCAATTGTCCCACTGCGAGAGCGATTTGCAGACGCACATGGACCTTGTCTCCACGCTCGAGACGTCTTTGGGTGACTCGGAGAAGAACCGTACGTTCTTATCTTTTGTCTCTCGCGTCCTTCGTACTTACCGCCGCATTAGTCCGCAAAGCTCGTATGCACGCAACCGAGCTCGCAAGGGAGCGGGACACGTTGAATACGAAGATGGAGGCCTTGCGGAGGGAGCTTGAAGAGGCCAAGCGCGAAGTCACGAATGTGCGCCGGTCTATCGTCGAGGAGAAGCAGTCTTTGGAACAGCGTCTCGACGAGGAGCGCCGGGCCAAAGAGCGGGCGCGGCAGCAGTTGGACTCGCGTATGGAAGAGCTCCAAAAGCGCAAGTCCAAGTTCGCCTGTCTCTGATCGCCTCTGCTCCGTCTGCGTCGGGTCTTTTTATTCTCTTATTTCGCCTGCACTTTTCGCTTGCCGGGTTTGGATCGTTCGCTCTGTTGTTTACTCATCTCTTCCTCTCTGTTTTCGCCGTATATATCGGCTTGCACGCTCTTTGCCGGCGCGACCTCTCCGCACCATTATACACTACTTGCTTGGCATACCCCCTCCATCTATGGCTACCCTTCCTGTTACCTCTATGTTCCCCTTAGTAGAATATACCAGCTATGCAACGCAGGGCGCGAAGCACCAATGACCAAGCTCGTTCACACCCGATGTTCTACACCCGCCGAGGGGTGGCGGCGTGGGCGCAATGTGGGTCCGGCCAGAGGCCGGGGTCGCCCCGTGGCACAATGCGGCACGAGAAACGGGTATCTTTTTCCCGCGGGGTAAAAAAATATAGGACGTAACGTCAACCGCCTCCTCTTCGTCTCAACCGCCATCTCCGCCGCCCTCCCTTCTCTTCCTTCCCTCTACCTAGATTATTATAATTGTCCGTCATGTCGCCGGCGACTGTTGCTGCCGGCCGTCTCGCGCTTCGTAGCGCCCCGCACAGACTCGCGCTCGCCCCTCGCGCATCGTCGGTCGTGGCGCGTTCGAATGCGCGACTGTTTTCTCAGACGGCTGCGGCTCGCGTACCCTCTCTGCCTCAGTTCTCTATGCAGGGAAAGGTGTGTAGGAGAGGATGGTGAGGGGGCGACAAGCACTCTAAACACATTGCTCAGGTGTGCATGGTCACTGGTGCCGCGCGGGGTTTGGGCAACGAGTTCTGCAAGGCCTTTGTTGACTCGTACGTCGGAACTTGCTGATAGGACCTTGACGCGTACTTACGAGTGAACGATAGCGGTTGCACGTCTCTAGCCATCGTCGATCTCAAGCAGGAGGAGGCGGAAGCCGCGGCATCCGAACTGGCCAACTACGCGTGCGGTCAGTCAATTTTCCTAGAGCCTGTGGTATTGACCAGTGACTGAACACTTTGAAAGTGAACAGCGACCTGAAGCCCGAGGACGTGAAGATCATCGGTGTCGAGTGTGATGTTTCGTCCGAGCGTTCCGTTCAGAAGGCGTTCGCAACCGTCACGTCCATGTTCGGCCGGGTAGACAGTGTCGTCGCGTCTGCTGGTGAGTTATCTTGCCTATCTCCCCCTGCATGTCCACTCATGACGTCGCAGGTATCGTCGAGAACTACTCCGCCTTCGAGTATGTATTGATTGCATGCTTCTCGCGCGTGGAGCATCCGTCTCATGTCTTCCCAGCTACCCCTTCGACCGGATAAAGCGCTTGTACGACATCAACGTTCACGGCGCCTTCTTCACCGCCCGTGAAGCCGCCCGGAACATGATCCCCCAGGGTGGTGGCGCGATTGTTCTGGTGGCTAGCATGAGTGCCAACGTCAGTCACTTGACTGTTCTACCTCGGTGGCTATCGTACTGACCCGTGCTCTCATAGATCGTCAACATCCCGCAGGTTCGTCGCATGACAGGTCTTGCGCGTACTCATCTGTTCAACTTGTCTTTTTACAGCCGCAAACTCCCTACAACGCCTCCAAGGCTGGTGAGTGACGATACCTGGTTTCATTGCCCTTGTACTGATGATGCTGCAGCCGTAAGGCACATGGCGTCGTCCTTGGGTGTCGAGTGGGCTAAGAAGGGTGTCCGGGTCAACGTCCTCAGCCCGGGTTACATGTTGACCAAGCTCACGCGGACAATCTTGGCGCACGACCAGGAGCTCAAGAAGACCTGGGAGAGCCTGACGCCTATGGGTCGCGTACGTTGCATTCCTCCTATCTTCTGATTGGCGTTGCTGACGTCCACGTAGATGGGCGAGCCTGAAGATCTTGCAGTGGGTATTCTAGGTTCACCTCACGACCATCTGCTGACATTCTGCTAGGGCGCCATCGTCTTCCTTGCCTCTGATGCCTCTCGTTTCATGACCGGTACTGAGATCCGCGTGGACGGCGGTTACACGATCATCTAAACCATTCTTTATTCTTACTTTTGCTGGGTGCGGGTTCCTCGACAGCGCGGATGACTACACCACCGACTGAGGACTCAATTGTCACCCATGGAACGGGCGGACGAATCTGACTACACCATATACATAGAGGTACACTACGCCAATGACCTGAATCTAGTCCTTTGCTGTTTGTTGCTTTGCTGTATCCATCTGTGTGCTCTTGTCGTTCTCGGGTCTCAAGGGGCTGCTCACTGTTTTCTACAAGGTTTTCTATAGGGAATTTATGTGCTGAGGGAATGCGCCGGCGTGCATGGGAAGTGTTTGTTATCGACGGGGCAGGCGCTTCCTTATTTGGCAATCATTGTTGTTTCGGGATCCGGCCGGCGTGATGCCGGAGGCCGACGCGTGCGATCGTGGAGCGCGTCGTCCCCTTAATATTCACTTGCTTCCGACGACCATGTCTACAGTCCACGGCCGCTACCCCCCTCCGCTGCCTCGGACGTCGTCGGGCTCGAATACTTCCCAGCTCTTTGAATTTACAAAGCGGAAACGTTGGGCCGACCTACTTGTCACTGAGCTTGCGGACGCTATCATCTTGGTCTTGGGTGTCCCTAATCCAAAGATCCTATACTGCGGTGCGGCCGTCGAAGAGCTACTAGGATGGAGGGATACGGATGTTATTGACCTCGACCTCACCGAACTCATGAACCGTGCGTAGAACGCTTTCTCACACGTGCGGACCCTAATTCGCTTCCCTCCCAGAGGACGACCAGCACGTCTTCCAGACGGCTTTTCACGACAGCGTCAATACTGAGCAGGAGCTATTGTCTTATGTCCGGTTGAAATGCAACAACACTAAGGACGCGTCGCACACAACGACTGCAGCGTATCATCATCAGCAAATGCATGGCCAAATCCCCCAACAGCCAGCGCAGGAAGTCTTGTTCGAGATCAAGGGTTATCCGCATTATCACCCCGACAGGTCTAAATGCTGGTGCTTTTTTGCCACGGCGAGGCCGTATCCGAGCAGGAACACCGCAATGTGAGCGGGAAGCTCACCGAGGTTCACAGGGACGCCGAACTCACCTTGATACTTCCCCAGGCTGAACACGTTCTTCGACCTGAAGATCGAGAACGAGCGCTTGCAACAACGCCTCGTTGAGCTCCGGAGTCAACAGCCCGCTCCTGGTGCCTCAAATGGTGTGCCCTCCGCATCCCCTATAACAGCAACTGCTGCAAACTCCTTCACGAGTTCGTCGTCTTATCCTGCCACGACCTCATCGTACGCCGCCAGCTCCTCGGCGTATCCTCATGGTCCAGCCGCTCAAAGTTCCTTCTACGGCGACGTCACTAGTCCAGTAACAAGAACGAGTTACGACCCGAACTCAATGTATGGTGGAACCTCCTTCGGTGCCCCTGCGCATGCGTCTGCCCCTGAAGAAGATGACGACGGCTCCAGCAAGAAGAAGAGGGTATGTGTTCGTCCTATTTTCTCGTGAAGTCGTCGCTCATCGTCCTTCAAAGAAAAAGTCGCACGCTGGCGAGCAGTACGTTTGCATAACATGCGGAAGGACGGACTCCCCCGAATGGAGAAAGGTATGCCTCGCAATTTCCCTGTTCTATGTTGTGTATCGACGCCTATTTAGGGTCCTTTGGGTCCGAAGACCCTCTGCAACGCATGCGGTCTGCGCTGGGCGAAGCAGCAGCGCAAGACGGACGATCAGCCAGCCGAAGGTCCCGGCTCGGGTCCCGGTCCTGGCCCCAGTAACGCCTGATTGAACACATTGTACCCTTGCATTTCTGCCGTTTTTCGTTATTTGGTCTCCCCGCTGTCCTGCATACTGGTTATCATGATCCCCTGATTTCCCGTCATCCCTCCCCGCGCTACCTGCCTCCCACGTTTTTGTCATCCCGCCCTGCTATCGCTGTGGTCTATATATTAGTTCTGTCGCCCTTGTCATGCTCTACGCATCAGTACATTAGGTTCATTTTATTCGACGCCATTTTCTAGATGTTCGGTAATTGCCCGGCGTGCTTTCTCGTATGCTTCCCATCGCGCCTTGAATCGTAGGTGTAGCGCTCTTCAAGAGGCATCGAAGGTGAGTTCGTCAATCAATGTATTCGATAGCTCCGCCCCAACTCATGCCTTCGCTTATGCAGGGATGGTCATGACATGAGTATGCAGTCGAAAAACCCTTCTCTAGCTTTTGGGAATGCGAAGGTTAGGGTGCGTAAGGTCAACAGTACTAACCAGACGCCATCATAGTACTGCCGAATATTGGCGTAGCATGATGCTCGTGTTGTTGGCATTAGAGAGGACGCTTGGTATTTCTGACTGCCTTGCTTCCTACAGTCCCCTCATCTTCGCACTCGCAATGCAGCACGATCGGCAATCATCGCACGCGCCCATAATCCCTTGTCGATTGCACATAGCCGGGAAGCGTGCAACAGAGAACTGTCGCTTCTGTGGATAGTATCTTTGTCTGCGAATATATGTAGTGTTTACGATTCCAGCCATAGAGCAAAGTGCTGCGATTGCCACACGGGACAAAATGCACCGTCAAACATTTGTTCTTGTTTTCTCCTATGGGTGCTTCATTCGGAACACGGCATTTGCCGCTATCGTTATCCTTCATTCCTTCCTATTCCCTCGGCTTTGCAAGCTGGTCTGCCTTCTTTCAGAGTCTCTTTGCTCCAAAGAAGATCCTTTCTCTGCTGATATGCGAAGGATCGTCTATCAAAGGAACGAAGCTCGGCTAGTACAAAGGCCGAAGACATGTCACTCGGGTGCTCGTCGATTGCGAGGATGGGCGGCGAGAAGCGCGTCTTCCTCTCCCTCTCCCTTCATTCACAGCCAGCATGCATCACAACATACCTTCACCGAGACGACCGCGCCCTCCATGCCGTTTGTACCTGGCAGGAAAATGCACGAAGGCGGACTGCCGGCTAAGCCACGATGGGCGACCAACAGGGCATAAAACCCCAATTGCGGTGGGCGCCCTTTGTATGCATCTGACTTAGCGCTGACGATATGTTGACATCGTTAGGTATCCAGGGGTCGTCTGCCAGGCAATAGCAAGTCTGACGCAGCGCGGAGCGGACCTCCTATACACAAACTTCGGTCCAACATCAGCGCGGACCCCTCGAGCGACCCGCCGACAACCAAGACAGGCGAGGAGGCGGGGGAAGCAGCGAAGGAGGCCCGGCTCGTGCTCGCCACTCAGGACGACGCCACACACACCTTCACGATGCTGATTGCGGGATCCATCGTTACCTTCGGCGCGGGCGCCATCATCCAGTCCCTGGTCGCCGGCTTTGATACTTCCATCGTCACCATGACTGGCATCCCCCTAGATGCAACCATCGCATCGCTCTCCAAATTCCTGGCGAACACCAACATCGACCACCGCACCTTCTACATCGTTTCGCACGACAAGCAGAAGCGCCACTGCAAGATCCTCGTCGACCGACGAAGCGCCACTCAGCTTGTCGACGCGATTGGCCAAGTCGAGATGGGTGGCTGCCGGCTCAGCGCGTCTTTAGTCGATGCTGGCGGCGGCGACGTCCTCAGTGTGGACTACTTCTTGAACCTGTGGTGGAGGGCGCCGTCCGCGCGGTACGTCGCGACCTACGGCTCCCCGGCCGTCGCAGAGGCGAAGGCACGCGAGCTGAACGGTAGCATGCTGCACGGACGACGCGTCAGTGCCCATACGTACAAAGCCTCGTCTGACATCGTCATCGACGGCCTTCCCGCTTCGGTCACGGCCAAAGAGGTGGCGCATTTTGCGAAGACCCTCTCTGCTATCCGACAGCACTCGAAGAGCCACGATACCAAGGCGGCGCTCTGTGGGATACAGGACACCCTCAGGGCGATATTTGGAACTGTTGAGATGGCGATGGAGGACGTGTCGCGCCCAAGGGAAAGCTCGACGACGAAGATTCGCCTGCGCCTCGACAGCCTGGACCGCGCCCTACAAGCCCACAACGCCTTCAATAGGAAGAAGTTCTCGTGGAATGGCAATTCGCCAATCCACGCATTCGTCGACGAGCCCGTGCAGTTCAAGCTTACAATTCCGTTCAGGGAATATAGGGCACAGCGCAAGCAATGGAGCGAGCTCGAGGCGAGCCATTCGCCTGCGCAGCCCGGCCGCCACGACTGCTTCCTCGAGCTCAAAGGGCTGATGTGGAGCGGAACTTCCGTCGACGTGACGATCTCGGGCTGGCAGAAAGAGGCGGTGGGGAGATTGAAGGTTCGCGTCGAGAATCTTGCCCGTGGTGAGACGCTTGTGGGCGGGATCCCAGGCTTGAGCGACCGCTTCCTCGATGAGGTCGAGCTATTGACGAACGCGTTGATCATTCGCGATCGACGCACACGTGCCCTGAGGGGCATTGGCGAGCCAGAGGCTTTGGCTCGGGCAAGAAGCCACCTTCAGGATGAGGCGGAGCGCCTGGCCTCGCTGGAGATCACTTTCTTCCTGAAGCCGAACGTGGCGCCGTACTTCCTGCGTTTGGGCATCCCGGCTTTGAAGGAGGAACTTGGCGAGGGATGCGTGAGATTGCGGGGCCGAAGCTCGCTTGTCGTCCGAGGAGGCGAAGTGGCGCGGCGCGCGGTCGAGCGCCATATGGCGGAGGCAGAGACGTGTCGCTTCGCCGATCGGGCGACTGGTTCTACATGTCCTGTCTGCTATATGGAGCCTGTGTCGCCCTTCCGTCTGGGTTGTGGACACGAATATTGCGCGGCGTGCGCCAAGCTTCTGCTCTCGAGCGCGACGGACAACAAGACGTTCCCATTGCTTTGCGTCGGGGATAACGCGACGTGTGGCGTACCGATACCCATTCCTACGATCCGCAAGTTCCTGACCGACGAGGGGATGAACAGACTCTTCGACGCCGCCTTCGCAGCTCATGTCGAGCGCAACCCGGACAAGGTGAAGTACTGCCGGACGGCGGGATGCGAGCAGGTGTACGCTGTCACCGCGGAGCAACAATTTGCGCCTTGCCCGTCGTGCTTCGCTGGCGTCTGCACCGCTTGCAACGAGGATGCGCATACTGACAGAACTTGCGATGAAGTACGACGAGCGAAGGACGAGGAGCGGCTCAACAACAAGCTCTGCACCGACCAGAACTACAAACGCTGCCCGAACTGCAATATCCTGGTCGAGAAAACCGCAGGATGCAACCACATGTCGTGCAGATGTGGCACGCACTTCTGCTGGTTGTGCATGCAGGCATTCCCGAGCGGCAAGGAGACGTATGACCACATGAGCCAGGTGCATGGAGGCTTCTATGCCGGGCCCGTACCCGCAGAGATGGTCGAGTTCGTTCCGGTGCAAGGTCGCGATGCAGAGCGACTTCGCGTCTGGTTGAGGAACGAGGCTGTCCGCCAGGTAGAGGGTCCAAATGGTATACCGGTATATCTCATCCCGGATGAGGTGATAGAGCAGGCGCGGGAGGAGATGGCGCAGGAGAACAACGCTCAGGAAGGTCAAGGTGGGAACAGAAACTGCACTGTGATGTGAGTGTAGACAGGCTATACAACCGTCAATTTTTTTAGATCTCGAGGTCCATTCTCTACACCTTTTACTTTCTGCCCAGAGGCTGAGATGATGATGGCAGGAGCGGACAGAACACAACGATAGTCGGATTATTCGAGAAGGCACGTGCGTGTTTGGTCTTGTTGCTGTTGTCGGACCGTCGACCGATTCTTCGTCACACGGGATCGACGTGATGGCACAAACCCTTTCTTTCACCGCAACCACCACCATCGTCGGACGAAGGTCGTTGCTGTTCGCGAGTGAAAGCCTCAATAAAAGCACACGACCGCCTCCCGACCGCCCCACCGACCGAGCCCCTCTACTACCAAAAATGGCGTTCAACCAGCCCTTCCCTGTCGCCAGCCCTCTCATGCAGAAGCCGCCTCCGCCGCCGTCTTATGGCCCCGACTTGGCGGTTCGCTTGATCTGTCCGGAATGCCGCGAGGCGACCCCGGATATTCGAGAGGAATTTGGTAGTGGAGACCTCGTCTGTGGGGCGTGTGGCCTGGTTTTGGGTGACAGGATCATCGACACGCGTAGCGAGTGGCGTGTAAGTTTTCTCTCCATTTCCCGCCTTGCTGATCAAGCACGATGTTGAACCTCATCTGACTAGACCTTCGCAAACGACGAAGGCGACGACCCCTCGCGTGTCGGAGCAGCTACCGACCCCCTCCTCGAGGGCATCGAGCAGCTCGACACGGTCATCAGCTTCCGAGATGGCGGCTCTGGCGTGGCAAGGGAACTGCAGCGCGCAGCCACCCGCGCCCAAGGATCGCGTTCAGAGCGCAACATTCTTACCGCCTTCCGCGACATCTCGACGCGCTGCGACCAATTTGCACTTCCTAAGACGATCAGCGATATCGCGAAGCAGCTGTACAAGCGAGTACACGACGAGGGCGTCTTGAAGGGCAAGCCGCAGGAAGCCATCACCGCCGCCTGCATCTTCATCGCCTGCCGACAAGCCCACGTACCGCGGACATTCCGCGAGTTCTGTGATCTCACGCATGTGTCGAAGAAGCTGTTGGGATTCTGCTGCCGGACGATCAGCTTGACGTTCAACTTGGCGCCCGGCGCCTCCACCAACCCCTCCGCCGGCCCCGAAAACATCCTCCCCCGCTACTTCAACCAGCTTGACCTCCCCACTTACGTCCAGTCCATCTGCCACGACATCATCGTCGAAGCGCGGAATCACGGCATCGCGGATGGAAGGAGTCCAGTGTCGATTGCTGGCGGGGCGATCTACTTCACTTGCCACCTACTCGGCAAGCCGAAGTCGCTGCGGGAGATTAGCTCGGCGGCGAGCGTTAGCGAAGGGACGATTAAGCTCGTGTACAAGCTGTATTACGATGCGAAGGAGAAGCTGGTGAAGGAGAAGTGGATTCAGGAAGGTAAGGCGCGATTGGACCGCCTCCCATTCGACGGGAAATAAGGGCGTCGACGGGAATTGAGCGATGGACGCTGCCAACCTTCCTACCGTATTTATGTATATCCCTTCTATAAGGAAGAAGGGACTTTTACTGAATGGGCGATCCGCTTTGACAAAACCTCTGAACCTCACCATTGGACGACGCTCGGACTATACCTTTCTGGCTCTGACTCGGAGAACCCGCGTGCCCTTCTCCTTTCAGCCTGCGCGTCATGCGCAACTGTATGGGTCCCGTGCAGGGCTCGCGCTGGCGAGCGCCACTTAGGTCAAAGTCACATTTTCTTCCTTATTCTGAGCGTGCAGTAAAAGCCGACTTTACGCGACGCAGACGCGGTGTAATACCATTTCTCCTTAATAGAGATCAGCTGAAGAAGCACTCAAAATGCGTAAAATTGTGCTGAAGTTCAACAAGGAAGAGCATAGTGGGTTGACATGAGACGTGCGCATCGGAGAACGATGTAAGGGGGACGGGGATCGGAATATCGATGGCGAGCCTTGGCGAGAGAATGGGATGGAAATATAATGGAAAGGCCTTGAAGGTTGTACACAGATAGATGAGCGGAGAGCCGTGACTCAGGACGGGCCATAGCTCGACTCGCACTGATTGCTCTAGGTGGAAGTACCTCTCAATCAACGAAGACGACGTACCTACTGTCCAGCAACCAGTTCGCTTTGACAGAGCTCACTTTCCCTTGGGAAACATCGCACGGGTCCATCCCGCTAGTTCTGCTATAAGCCGCGGCAGGCTTAGCATATTCATGTACTACTCCGTGTTAGCGCTGTATAAAGAGTTCTTCCTCCGTTGAAAAGACAACTTTTGCAAGAAGTGAACGAGTGTGGCCGCTTGTGAACCCCGTCCACGTGGGACCTTGCGTGACGAGCGCAAGTGCGTCTTTGTTCTCCTGCAACCACCCACTCGCCACGAAGTCTCGTTCAGCGATGAACTCACCTCCCGAGCCCGCATCTCCCATCCACTCCGGGGCCTCGACCGAAGATGAGATAGAGGAGATGGAGATCATCACCACCAAGATGCCCCAATCCTCAGGCGGACCGTCCTCCCTGGCCTCGTCCTCCAAGCGACGCTTCGCGGGCGGCCACTCATACGGTGGAAGCTCGATGCGGGATGCGAAGACCCGCCGAAGGGAGGACCCCATGCGGCGCGGGCACCACGAGGGGAAGGAGGGAAAGAAGGACAAGGAGGATATGGTGGACAATGACTTTTTGGACGGATTGAGGAAGGGTGCGTGGGGCGGTTGTGGCGGGCAGGAAGCCATGCTGACTCGGGTGTTATTCTCTATAGACATCGGCGACCCGTTCGCGGCGATCGCGTCCATCAAGCGGGACGCGCAGTGATCGTGTCGCGCTCGTGTTAGCCTGCTTTGTTCTTCTGGTCTTGTCCTTGTGCTAAATCGTGAGTACGCGGCCCTAGGCCTATCCTCTTGTCGTTCTTGAGCAGTAACGGGCTCACCTCATCTCCTCCACAGGCTTTCTCCGCTGTTCTCGCGCCCTAGGCCTCTTGTCGATGTATGATGTATCTATAGCCCTGCAACGTGAATGGATTCGCACCGCATCCTGCAAAGTCCGCGACTAGCTTGCCTTGTCAGGCTGGGGTGCCATGCTGGGCGTTTGAGGCATGGCGGCACGCCAGCGAGGCAAGGTTGAGCGGCTCGCCAGGCAGGGTGGCGCGCTACGCAGGGTGGTAAGGTGCGGCCGGGTCTTGCTTTGTTCAACCCTTCGTCAAGAACGGCATCTGGACTTCTCCGTCTGCGTCAGGTTCACGCTCGCGCCACTCCGCGCGAGGCCGTCTTTGTGGCCCTGCGACGTGCTCTCAGCCAAGATCTGCTTGCTTTCTTCATTCTTACCGCGGGTCGAGGGAACTGAAAGACCAGACCGACGTCTGTCTGGCTAACACGTACGAAGATGCATGGTGACGTTCCCTCTGCCTTGTTCCCTCCGCCCGCGCTGCCTGATCCTCTGACAGTTGTGCCTACCCCGATGGCCCATCAGCACTATTGTCTCCACCCGCGCCTCCGCCTCGCTCTTGCAAGTCACGACTTGCCGCCCATCGATGTGTGGTAGGCTACCAGCTATGGCAGCTCTCAAAGTCGTGGAAGATCAGCGTGTACAGACCGCAGCCGACCTTATTGTCCTCGACCTAAAGCCTACCACGCATTGATACTTTGCTGATTAGCACGTCCGCCAGCGCCTATCGATCCTCGTATACTCCCGAGCAACACCCGAGGGGCAACCGGGCCCATGTTCGACTGGCTGAGGAAGCTGTATCGGGACATGTCCTACGTTGTGGCTCGCGGGGCAAACCACACGGATGCATTCCAGTCCACCGTCGGTATTCTCGCAGGTGACTCGGCATCTCCGGGTCTCTGGAATATCTACTTCTCGGACATCACCATCCCCTCGCTCCCAGACGTGGTCCGGCTTAACGGGGTCGGGATATCTCATGTTGAACAGGCCGACGACGTCGCCCTCCTCGCTAAAAGCCTCGCCGCTCTGCAGCTCATTGTCGATGCGTTCGTCAAGTGGTGCTCTGACAACTTCATGACTATTAACGCCGGGAAAACAAAGGCAATGATCTTCGGGCCTATTCCACGGCCGCTCAGCCGCATTGTCGTTGATGGGGTGGGCATCGACTTCGTGGATGAGTACAAGTACGTCGGCACGATTTTCTGCTCGACGGAGAGGAACATATTCGAACGCAATTATCACTCAAAGGAGCTGAAAGCACGCGCGATGACGGGGGCAATGTTTGGAGTGGAGGACATGGTAGGCACGGTGCCCGTGTCTGTAGGCACAAAGCTCTACATGATGCGGATTGACCCCCACCTTGTCTTCGGCTGCGAAGTCGTCCTTGACGTGGATGACAGGCTCGTGGATGAACTGCAGCGCGTACAGCAACGCTTCCTGCGCAGGCTCATCGGCGTCAATCCTTCCAGCATCTGCGGTGTGCTCTTCACAGAAACCGGACTCATGCCACTGCGTGTACGGCGTGTGCTGCTCGCGCTGCGTTACTTGGGCTACCTCCTCGCGCTACCAGACGACCACTTCGCGAAATTGGCCCTTGACGAGTCCTTTCGGCTCGCACGAGGCGGCTGGCCATCATGGGTCTCCGATCTCAGGCATGTACTCCGCCGGTACCTCCCTCTCCACCTCCACTCTTACGATCGTCTGCATGACGCGAGCGCGCTGGCGGGAATTCAGACGGAGCTCGTGAAGGCGGCAGATAACGCTCTCTTGACAGAGCTTCGCGGAATGTCCCGCCTGGATCTCTGGAACGCGCGTGTGGGTGGGAAGGTCAGACAGATGCGTCGATATCTCGCCACAACCGTGCCCGCACACCGAAAAGCGCTCACTCGCCTGATTCTGAGCGACCACATACTGGCAGTGGAGACCCTCAGACGGCCGGCTCGGTACAGGCGTGCTGTCGCGCGGGAGGACCGCCTTTGTCGGTTATGCAGGACGCAGGTGGAGGACGAGGTTCACGCGCTCTTGGACTGTCGCGGGCGGGTGGACCTGATCTGCATGCGGCAGACACTCTACGAGGATTTGCACCGTATGAATGTCCGGCCACCCGCGTTCGACGGGGAGAACTGGGGGCGGAGCTTGCTGTGCTGGCTGACCGAACATAAGCGGGAGGACGTACGTGCTGCTTGGGCGCACTACGTCTACCGAGCGCTTGCCGTGTTCGAGGCGGTTCCCATCTATGTCATGGACCAGTACCGGATACGTAGTACTACACGCTGACATTGACTTACGCGGCATGTGTTCCCCTTTCTGCGTGCTGAGGCTTGATCTCGTGAGGCGATGGGTGATACTTACGATGTATTGGTTCGTACTTACACACCGATACGCTACAGCGATAAGGGCCAAGGTGCTCCGTCGCACTGTCCTGCTCCTGGACTGTGTAGGGCGGATAGGGCCGTTCCTCTTTAGGGACCTCCCCCGAATAATAAACTTCCTTCCTTCCTTCCTTCCCGCCTATGATGAACACGCGCAGGCGGACGTTGCCAGGCTTTTGATCCCCACCCCAGGACCCTGCCCTGTTGCCCCCCTCTCCTTATTGTTCTCTCGCAGCGCGTGTTCGTGTACCACAAGGGACATTGTTTCCAGACTTTACATTTCCAGAGTCTATACGACCCGGGTAACTAGCGTGCCGGATATACTACCAGTACAGGCGTGTAAAATTCGTTTGGTAGGTAGGAGGGAGCTCGAATAAAGGGTGTGCTACGGCGCACGTATTAGAAAGTCGAAGGGGGGTACTAAACTAGGCAGAGTCTGGGTCGCCGGGGGAAGGAGTGTCGCGCAGCGCAACGGCGAACGATAAGTATACAAAATAGAAGGTCAATGAAGATTAATAATGATAGCAATGAGGAGGGTTCATCGTGCGGGGATGGACGGAGGGCGAAGGGGGCAGGCGGTCCTCCCTAATCGAATTTGGGCAGGGACGATACGTCGATGGCGGAGGCGGAGACGGGGCGCACGGCCCTCGTCCGGCCGCGCAGATGGGCCTTCTCTGCGGCGATGTCTGCGTCCGTAGCGGCGGCTTCAAGCTGGAGCTTGGCCATGCCGTCGCCGAGCACCTTGTCCGTGGCGTCTGCGTCGTCGCTGTTGATGACCGTGTCCGCCATCGACTCGTCGTCGGACGCCAGTTCGCTCTCCATGTCCGCCTCCGGGCGGAGCCACTCGCTGTACCAGCGGCCCAGGAAGATCTTGATGTCCGCGGTCAAGCCGAGGTACTCGACGTTCCGCGCGAGGCCCTCCCACTGGACGATGCCCTGCACGAGGCACTCCTCGATGAAGTGCGTGTGGCCAAAGTACATCCAGTGGACGAGCAGGTGGAAGGACGTCGGGTCCGGGATTGGGAGGAAGAGCACGGGATGGTCAGGCGGGGACGGCATTAGGCGGGGGAGACGGTTCACGGGGACGCTGAGCTGGCCCGATGAGCATGCACCACTAGAGTAGACAGGGAGCTCTTCGGGTGTGGTCGTGATGAGGTCCAGCGGGGATGCGCCACTGAAGAGGCCGCGCAGGAAGCTTGAGTGGGCTGACAGGTAATCGATGTGCAGCTAGGGCGGCGTCAGCGGCGACAGATGGGTGGAGTGATGGGGGATGCGTACCTTCAGCGATATGCGCGGCGCGAACTGGAGCGTGGGCTCGCTCGCTCGCCGCCCCAACCCGGAGGGGTTGTACGTGGTTGCGGACGCGGGCATTATATCAAAGGGCGAGCAGGGGGTTGCGTCGCCGAGAAAGTTCGCAGGGTTGAGGTATGGTACAGGGACAACTGGTGTGCGTCAGCATCGGGAGGGATGGGGAATGTGAGTGGGGGAACTCACTTATGGTACAGTCCGCCGTGTCAGGCTGGTCCCAATACTGGGGGGCCAGGGTGTGAAGTTGGTCCATGATGTATTCGAGGGGAACATCCGCGAGGGACGGCGGGGGGAACGGACGCGGGACGAAGGGCGCTCCAGTGCGCGCGCGCTGCGCCGCACCGGAAGTCTCGGGGGCAGAGTCCATCGTATCGTGTGAGAAGGGGGAAGAAAGGGCCCTAGGGCTTTTAGAAAGAGAGACGAGAAGAGTTAAAGCTGTGGGCGGCGTAGCGTAGGACGTTCGTCGGTGGGGCGTAAGAGAGGGGCTGTTCCGGGCGCGCTGTGCTTATATCCCGGTGCGGCGGTACATCAGATCTCGCAAGGGACGGTCGCCCATCAGTGATTGTTCCAGTTGGCAATCCATCCTTATTGTCTTTCGCCTCGCGTCGCCACCGTGACGTGAGCGCGCTCGGTCTTCCCCGCACGCGCATGCCGAATCCAGGCCGTGCCGATCCCTCCGGGCCTACACCTGCGTCAACACGCGCGCGACGAGAACAAGGCGGGCGGCTGCGCGAACAAGGGGCGCGCAAATCTTCCCTCAGATCGCTGCCCATCAGCTGCTCCATCCGGCAGGCTATGACCCACGCGCGCCCTCGTCATCGCCTGCGACGCCCCCATCAGACGCATCGTGCCCCCCAACGCACGCTGGCCGGCGCGCGGTCGGCACCAAAGCCGCCCAGCGGCACCCGCCCAGCTGGCATGTCTCAACCCCCCGCGGACACGAGATCCCGCCCGCAAGAAAAATCTCGGGAGAACGCGCCCATAGATTGGCTAGTCATCATGAAGACCTGCCTTTTGCGGCGCGAAGACAAGGGGAGCTGTGGCGCACCCGCCATCAACGCAATGTGCGAGCGCAAGGCCCGATGAGTAGGATGCCGACGCTGCGCGCGTGGTCGCTATTCAGCAAAATTGCTTCCACTACAGCTTCTTCCACTACAGTTGACATTGTCGGAGGCAGCCGTCGTTCGTGCCGACTGCGGCGCCCAGACGCAGAAAATTGACCTTGAGGGTATGTGCGTGCCCACCTGCTCAATGGAGAAGTAACGTACACCGTGGTGATTTCATTTGCACGACCGTATGGCCAAGAATTGAAACTTTAGCGGACGCCGTGAGAAGGACCCTTCACGACAAGGTTTTCGGGGGAGGGGATGAACTCGTTGCGGTGGTGGGACGTAAAGTCGAGGCGCAGGCGAGTTTGCGTCAGTGAAGGCGCATGGACACGGTGAGTGCAGTCGGCGCGGGGAATGGAGAGCTCCCTAAGCTGCCGAGGGGGGTGCGTAGGACGTAAAGCTTGAAGAGGCGAGAATGTAGGGCACAGAGGGCGGAAGGGTTCCCGAATGCAGTCCTCTTCTGGTAGGCCCGATCCTTCAGGACGATCATGCATGTTTGTTGAGTCTTCATTGACCAGGGTCACAAGGCCATTTCGCGTACAACCCAATTCGTAACTTGCTTGCAAAAGTTCCTGTCGAACCATGCCACAGCGAAGAGACAAGGGCTTTGCTGGTCTTCTAGTGCGGCGAAGACAGGTTCAGCAAGCTGGACAAGAGCGCAAGAATAGATGGTGTCGTGCAGTTGCGACTGAGAGCTCGACGAGCGTCTGTCTAAGTCATCTGTGCGGCGATTGAATAGTACGAACAGGCTCCTCTGCCGTGTAAGACGTAGGCTGGCAGATGAGTGCGGTGGCACAGAGGAGAGAATCTGAGCTCGGGATCAGTTCATCGGAGGGTCAGGCCTTGTTCAAGAGCTTCGTCAGCAAGTTCCAGTTTCCCTTCGCGTAGACAAGACCTCCGGAGCTCTAGTCAGCATTTCGCGAGCGGGAAGAAAGCGACGGAGTAATGGGAGAGGGCAAGAGAGCTCGGCACCATGCGATGTCGGCCCAAGTTCCGATCAACGATCACTCGCCTTGTTCTCCCTAATTTGGAAGTAAAACCCCTGTCTAGATTTTCTTCAATTGTGATCACCGACAACCATGTTACGGACAGTGTGCGTATACTCCCTCCCATAGGCCGATAAGCACAAGGACTGAGAGGATCTGATGCATCTTACAGAAAACCCAAAAATGCCCGCTCGAAACGCGCGCTTGAAGCGCGGGCACCAAAGCCGGTGGAAGATGCGCGGACCGCTGTCTTCGTGAAGGGAACGCACACGGGAGAGGTTCTCAACCATGCGATGAAGGACCTGGTACGTCCCTCAGTCTTTTTGGTTGCTTCTGAGGCTCATCATGGCATAGATGGCACTGAAGCGTCCGGACGCTGTGTCGTTCTCGAAAAAGAACGTAGTACACCCCTTCGAGCCACAAGGCACTCAATCGCTCGAGTTTTGGGCGCAGAAGAACGACGCGAGTGTCTTCTTGGTCGGTCAGACGTCGAAGAAGCGGCCAAATAACCTGACTTTCGTGCGGATGTACGATTACCGGGTACTCGATGTGATCGAGGTCGGTGTGGACAAGTTCGTGCCGATGAGCGACTTCAAGGTGCGTCCCCTCTCATTGTTCTGTCATATAGTACACCGAACTCATCCCCTTTCTCTGAAAGACCCCGAAATCCACTCCTGGCCATAAGCCACTGATGCACTTTGCCTCCGAGCTTTTCGATACCCACCCGCGGTTCGTGCAGCTGAAGTCCATGCTCATGGATTTCTTCAACGGCGAGGAGATCGAGTCCATCTGCCTCAAGGGCCTCGAGCACGTCATCAGCGTCTCCTGCGCCCCCACACCGCCCGGCCTCAACACCACCTCCCCCACCGATCCCTCTACCTCCTCCGCCACCGCCCCCGAAGCCCTCCCCAAAGTCCACCTCCGCGTCTTCACCACCAAGCTGCTCAACTCCGGGACCCGCGTCCCGCGCGTCGAGCTCGTGCCGATGGGGCCCTCGCTCGATCTGAGTCTGCGCAGGCACCAGCCGCCGGATGCGGAGCTGATGAAGCAGGCGCTGAAGCGGCCGAAATTGAAGCAGCAGGATGTGGAGAAGGGGCTGGGGAAGAAGCGGAAGAACATGGAAGTGGACGAGATGGGCGACTTGAGGGGAAGACTGCATGTGGGGAAGCAGGATCTCAACAAGTTGCAGACGAGGAAGATGAAGGGGTTGAAGGAGGGCCCGGCGGAGAAGAGGCAGAGGATGGAGGAGGACGAGGAGTGATCTGTGTTTCCTGTTGCTGTATATCTGTCTTTTCTAGTGTTGTTTGCTATGTATTCATGCACCGCGTTGCGTTTGCAAAGATGAAAGCTATGGCTGGCCATAACAGCGTGTTACGCGCAGGCGTGACGTTCGTCATAGCCGTGCGCAGTTACTTGATCTCCTACCCTCATCCCCTCGAGGTAGTCGACTGCTAGTCCTACCACAAGTCCCTCAAATCTCCAACTGCAACACTCAGAATGGCCCCCGAAGTCTACAACATCGCGCAGACGCCTATCACGGCGCACGCGTTCAATGCGGACCGTTCTCGTGCGTGATCTGCCAATCTCCATGAACGTAGTCGTCTAATCGCGTCTTATGTCCAGAGGTCGCCGTATCCCTAAACTCTAACAGCGCGCAGATCCTTCAGCGCGGGGGGCCTGATGGCTGGACGCCCATTGAGCAGCTGTCCGAGCACGACAAGCTGATCACCTCAATCGACTGGGCGCCCAACTCGAACCGCATCGTCACCGCGTCCCAGGACCGCAACGCCTACGTCTGGCAGGAGACCCCCGACCCCGAAACAGGCCGCCTCGTCTGGAAGCCGACGCTCGTGCTCCTGCGCATCAATCGCGCGGCGACGGTCGTGCGCTGGAGCCCCAAGGAGGACAAGTTCGCGGTCGGCAGCGGCGCGCGCGCGATCGCGATCTGCTCCTTCGACCCCGAGAACAACTGGTGGGTGTCGAAGCTGCTCAAGAAGCCGATCCGCTCGACCGTGCTTTCCGTCGACTGGCACCCGAACAATGTGCTGCTCGCGGCGGGCAGCGCGGACATGAAGGCGCGCGTCTTCTCTGCGTACATCAAGGAGGTCGACGAGAAGCCGGCGCCGACGGTGTGGGGGAGCAAGCTACCATTCAACACCGTGTGCGGCGAGTACGCGTCACCCGCGGGCGGATGGGTGCACGGTGTGTCGTTCTCGCCTTCCGGCGATGTCCTGGCATTCGTCTCGCACGATTCGTCCGTGTCGGTCGTCTACCCGGCGACGAACGCGATCTTCAACGTGCGCATCTCGTCGCTACCGTTCGTCACGCTCGCCTGGACGTCGGAGAACAGCGTCGTCGCGGCGGGGCATGACTGCCACCCCGTTGTCTTCCAGGGTGACGAGTCGCAGGGCTGGGCGGGCGCCGGCACGCTCGACGATATGAAGAGCGTCGGGGCGGCGAAGGCTCAGACCGTCGGTCGTCTCAACTCGGGCGCCTTCAACGTGTTCAAGAGCGCGGACTCGCGTGGCCAGGCCGCCGCTGCGGGCTCGCAGGGCCTCACGAAGCTGCCCACCGTGCACCAGAACACGATCACGAGTGTGCGCCTGTACGACTACAACGGGACGCAGGTCAGCACGACGGGCGTCGATGGCAACCTCGTTATCTGGGACGCGACGAATGTGACGGTGCTGGAGAAGCAGATGGCGGGGATGCATGTATAGAAGAAGGGTATAATGTACTATCGATACAAGACGAAGACGAGCACGATGATGATACAATTCCTCAAGGGCCTCCAGCTGCTGCCCTCTCGTTGATGACGCCCCAAGCGGATGCACGGAACTGAAGACGCGTCAAAGACCACATCGCGAGGGGGCACGCGCGGGACGTACCAGTGTCATGACGAACCCCATCTTCTTCTCTAGTACGCGCAATTGCCCGATGAGTGCCGCCTGGTCTTGCTCATGGGTGAGATCCTTCATGATTTCTGTGATCTTTGCAACTGTGAAATTGGCTAACGACTATATCGCTAGCTACGCACCTCTTTCATTCTCCGCGCGAGCTTTGCATACTCCCACAGCACTTCTGATTCGGTGGGCGTCAAGCTCGGGTGGTTCGCATATGGATTTGTGGTATACACATCCCGCGACTCTTCCTCCGAGGACGAGGAGAGCCCTGATGGCGAGGGGGGCGAGGACATGAGGAGGACAAGGTGCGAGTGCTAACGCCACAAAACGGCAGATCCCGATCGCGATCCGGGGCGGCGCCCGAAGCGCCCGTTGCTCGCCTCTTCCGCCCACTTTCACCTCCTTTCCCTCATTCCGACCCTTAAACCATGTTCACCGTCGAAGCTCAGGATATGAGAGCTCCAGGCTTCTGCTCTGTAGTCCTTGCAAGTCGGAAAGCTTGGATATGTGATACGCCGCTCAGGACGGAGGGCTGAGTGGTGCGTGACAAACCCCATGTTCCACCCTGTCCTGACCAAAGTACAGCGTTTGCTGCTCGATAACCTGAACAAGGGCACGTATGCATTCCTCCTTGTGCCATAGCCAGTGTCTTTGCTGCACATTCGCCAGCGCAGTCGGACGGTGGGGCGTAGCGCTCATAGCGCTCCGCGATCGGTGGGCGGGCCGCGCCCCCGCGCGGCATGTCGGCATCTCACCTGACCTCGTTTGTAGCGCGACGGTTGTTGATTTGTTTGGCAACACCCTTATCTCAAACCGTCATGTCGTCCGCCTGGAATATTTCACGACCGCGCAGAACGTCCATGGCGACTTCAGACGGGCTCTCGTCCCCGCCGTCGGTGTGGTCCGACAACTTCCACAGCCGCTCGACATATTTTTCCTCCCCACCGCGCTCGTCGTCGCCCCCGACGTCCCCCATGACTTCATATTCGCGCTGCGACTCGGTACACATCCAGTCTAGCCCCCTCGCGCCCGACCACAAATCCCTCGGGCGCGCGAATCGACCGACGCGCAGGGATGTCTCGCCTACAAGGAAGCCGTCGGCTGGCAAGATCACCCTCCCCTCCTTCCGCACTATGTTCGGCGGCGACGACCTTCCTCCTTTGACGTCGAGCTCGACCTCGTCGGGGTACTACGCGGATGACAGCACGATGAGCGCGGACGATGCCCCGGAAGACGATGAGGGCCCCGGGTACGACTCCGTGTTTTTCTCCGATGAAGAAGTGGAGAGCGAAGGGGAGGACGTATACGAGGACGAAATCACAGGGCTGTCCTACAGGCGGACATCGTATTTCCAGACATCCGCTGAGCGCGGCCGTTGGAAGTACGAACCCGTCGTGCCCCGGTCCTCTCATCAGCCTCGCAAGTCCGAACCGTCAATCACCATGGCAGACATTTCCACCTCATCGACTTTCGCTCGCCCCGCTTCGGAGCCAGCACCCATCACCGTTGCACCATCTCCGTTCATGACGCCCCCGGAGGCAGCACCTGCACCGGAAGCAGACTCGTCACCCGAATCACCTCCATCACCCGCCGCAGAGGATTCTCCCATAGCCTCTACACCACCTCTGGATACTAGCCCCGAACGCCCCGACGAGATCGATGATCCCATGCCACCATCGTCCCCTCTACTTCCCCCGACTTCGCCATTATCGGAGGACGAAAATGCACCGGTCTCGCCGCTATCGCTATCGCATCAAACCACCCCAGCATCTATCACGGTGGAAGCTTCCTGTGTAGTGGCCATGGTGGTGGATTCGGAAGTCAGGGCGATCGTTGAGCCATCTGCCGCTATGGTGAGTGCGTCTGGCCCACCTCGCGGCGCGACTAACAGCGATTCGCTCACAGGACGAGTCACTTGACCCGCCTACGAATGTTCAAGTTGAAGCAGTACCCGAGGTCACCCCTACCGAACAAGACAGCCCGAATGATACACCAATCAAGCAAGACGTAGTCCCCGCGCAGCAGCCCTTACGTCCCTCCGCCTCGTGTCAAATGTCGTCTGCTCAGCCGAAATCGAACGCCGACGTACTTCCCAAAGTCCTCGCTGGCGACAAGGAGAATCACGTCCACGATGTGCTCCCGTGTCCCGCAAAGCGTACGAAGTCGCGGTCACCGATGCTTCCTTGCGAGCCGAGCACCCCGTCTCGAGCGCCGACACCACCTTCAGCGGAGCGACAGGAGCATGTGCCGGAGCCTGCGCCTGTCGCGAAAGCCGATGCTCGGATTACGGAAGAGCCCACCAATGACACGGGCTCGTCATCCGAGAAGCGCAAGACAGATGACGCGGACCCTGGTCCTGCTCGCAAGCGCTCGCGACAGACACTCTCGCCAGAGCCTGAGAGGGCTTCCTCGCCGTTGTCGGAGGAGGAGGAAGAAGAAAGTGAAGGGGAGGTACGACCGCCTCCCAAGAAGTCGACGAAGGCGCGCTCGAAGAAACGGTCGACGAAGTCCGTACGCGGAGATAGCATGGCTGCGACGTCCGACGGAGAGACGGACGAGCCTGCGCCCAAGCCCCAGCGGCCGACGCGCAAACGGCGCACGACGCTGGAGAAGCTATCCGACACCACCTTCGCCGACCAGCCGTCCTTACCGCCCTCGACATATAGGCGCGCGAAGCCGCAGCCGCCTCCCGAGCCTACAGGTCCCAGCCCCGACGACGAGGTTCGCGGCATGCTGATCCAGAGCATGGCCGCATCGCGTGCCTCGTCACAAACTCTCACCACGCTTTGTCGCGCTGTGCTCGAGGCGTACCCGCATCTTCTTGAGAAGCAGGCCGAGGATTTGTGGCACACCGAGTTCGCCGGCGTGCTTGAGCGGGGCGCGGAGCAGGCAGGCTTGTTCGGCAAGGTGGAGAGCAGCTATCAGGTGCGTTTGATGACGCAGTTTGTAAGGATTGTATGCTGATGGTCTTTCAGGGCGACGGCGTTGAGGCGCAGTGGTTCTACGTCCCTGAGCGCGATCCGGACCAGGAGCGTGCCTCCCTGATCAAGATGATGTTCCCGCGGTTGGCCAAGCGCAGCGAGACGAAGAAGTACAAGCAGTACTATTACGCACCGCTCGCGCGCATCAACAAGTGGGATCCGGAGGATGCGCTGTAATTTTCGCCTTCGTCTGGTCGCCTTCGCATTGACTCGTCGCTCCGATCGCGTTCAACAACCCATAATACCGAATTGTACCGCCGTATGTATCGAATCCCCTGTCACTTTCGTTCTTCGGATCTCGTCTCTGCATCGAGCATGACCTGTCGCATCGAGCACCGTCCTTTGTTCCTCCTCGTCGACCTTCTCGCCTCTTGGTTCTCCATACGTACCATTCTGCCTGTCCCTTGACTCGAAAGACTTTGTCGATTGATCGCAATCGCTCTGTACGCGTCTTCAGTACCGTTTCGTATGTTTTGCCAGACTCGAATTATTATGGCTAATATATAATCGTTCCCCAAGGTCAATGTACGATGCGTAGGGTGTGCTACAAGGTCGTTTGTCCGTGGTGTGATAGTGAATGTAAAGATACAGGGCATAGTGAGTGTGCAAATGACCGTAAACAGTTCCGGGAATAGTCGTGCGCGCGAGGCTGTCCAGCAGCTCAATGTATCGTTCACATCACCATGCAGCCGTAGCCTGGTTCTCCGAGGTCGTCGTTGTCGTCCATTGGTTGCTGTCGGTTGACACGGCGAGTAGGTCGAGGTTTAGCGTGAAGGAAGCCTTGAACGCCCCAATACAGCTCTTCTTCGTCTTCTTCCTCGTCCTCGTCGTCCTTCTCCAGCTCATCTACCTTGTCCTCTCCATCTTCCTCTTCCTCCTTGTTGTCCTGGATCGCCTCTCGTGCGACGTTGCGCGCAGTCGCAGCTCTTTCGGTGCCTCCACGTCGTGGACTGACCGCTCCGGCATGCTCCTCTACGGCCTCGGCGTCCTCGCGTGCGTCTCGGAAGGCTTCCCCGTCCTCTGCCTCTTCCTCAACTGGTTCTGCCTTCACACCGGCAGCCGCATCTTTGTTGTCGATACCTCTCTTAACTTCCGCGAGTTGCGCTTGGGGCGCTGCAGTTGCATCGACCGCGGCGTCTACTCGCGCCACACGTGCAGGTACAGCGGCGACCTGATGAGCTTCAGCATGGGCAACATGAGATAGTCTCGGCTCGACCTTTACCTCTTCTGTCTGCACCGCTGCGTCCTGGTACCTGCGCTCGACAAACCGCTGCACGGGCCGCACACGAACAAGTAACTGACGACGAGCGTCCACCACCTGCTGTCCAGGTGGAGAGATCACAAAAGCCCGCACTGAGACATGCGGATCCTGCCTTTCACCCGGGATTGGATGCGGGGCAAGCTCCTGCTCGCTATCGAGGAGTAGGCGGCGTAGCTGCACGATCTGCGCTATTGTCAGCTCGTGTAATTGAATGCCGTCAGCGTCCGCGCGCGGAGCTGGGGGGTTTGCGACGTTGGCTGCCGCAGCCGCAGGAGCGTCAGGGGCAGGCCGCTGGGGAGGAGCGGGCTGCTGCTGAGGAGCGGGCTGTGGTGGGCGGGCAGGCTGCTGGGGTTGCGCAGGCTGTTGCGGTGGAGCATGCTGCTGTTGGGGGACAGGCTGTGCTGGCCGAACAGGCTGCGGTGGGCGAACAGGCTGTTGAGGCGGGGCAGGTTGCTGCTGAGGAGCAGCCAGCGGTGCAGCGATAGGCCGTTGAGCTTGAACCGGTTGCTGCTGAGGTGCGGGCTGTGGCTGAGGGGCAGCCTGAGGTAAAGGGACCGGTTGTTGAGGAGCAGGCTGCGGCGGACGAACAGACTGCTGAGCTGGGATCGGTTGCTGGGGAGGCGCGGGCTGTTGGGGAGGAATAATAGGCTGTCGTGGACGGACGGGCTGCTGCTGAGGAGCAGGCGCTCTTGGCTGCACCCGAGGCTGGATCAGTGGCGCTTGTGCTTGAGCAGGAGCTTGGGCGGGCTGGGCGTGCGGCGCGGCCGGCTCCCTCGGTTGAGCCTGCGGTTGGGCTGGCGCTGGCGGCGCCGGTGGACCTTGTTGTCGAACCTGCGGTTGGGCTGCTGGCGCCGCCGCCGGTGGAGCCTGTTGTCGTACCGGTTGCCTGTGTTGGGCTTGCGGCTGAGCAGGTGCTTGCGCCGGTCGAGCTTGAGGGTGGGCGGGTGCTTGAGCCGGTGCTTGAGCTTGCTGCGCCAGTGGCTGAGCTGGCGCTTGAGCGGGTTGAGCCGGTGGACGGGCTGGTGCCGGTGCAGCTGGGACCTGTACCGGCCGAGCAGGCGCTCGAGCAGGTTGGACCTGCGGCTGAGCAGGCGCTGGCGCGGGTGCAGTCCGTGGTTGGACGGGGTGCGGTTGAGCCTGCGGCTGCGCAGCCGCTGGTGCCGGTCGAGCTTGGGGCTGGATCGGGCGCGGTTGAGCTTGTAGCTGGGCTGGTGCCGGAGCTGGTACAGCCTGTGGTTGGGCTGGGCGTGGTTGAGCAGGCACTGGTGCCGGTGCCGGTCGAGCTTGTGGTTGGGCGGGCGCTTGCGCCGGCTGAGCGACCTGAGCCTGAGCTCGAGCGGGCTGAGCCGGTGCTTGGGCTTGTGGTCTTGGCTGCGCTGGCGCCTGAGCTTGCGCTTGTACCGGCGCCGGCTGCCTCTGCGCCTGCTGTTGGGCCGGCGCTGGTTGCTGAACCTGCGCGGGCGGCGCCTGTTGCTGAACCCGCGCAGGAGGCGCTTGCTGGCGGACGGGCGCTGGCGCTTGTTGCTGGACGGGCGCCTGTTGCTGAGCTTGGGCAGGCGGCACGACCCGCGCAGGAGCTCGCGCCTGATCCCTCTGCGCCCGAAACTGCTCCAACAAAACACGCTGCTCCTCCATCTCCGCCTCATTGACCCTCACCGGCACCGCCTCCTGCGCCGCCGCATGCACCTCCGCCGGCACGTCCTCGCCCATCCCGATATTCCCGTGCGCATCCCGCATATGCTGGTAGATCGCCGCCCTTGAGAACACCTTCACGCAGCGCCAGCAGAAGTTTACGCCACATCGGCACACGATGCGATTGCAGCCGACCATCTTCTCGACGAGGATCTGGCAATTAGGGCACCGCTTGTAGTGCTTCTGGTCGATGAGCGCTTGGTTGAGCTTGTCCTCCTTCTTGCGCCGGGCTTCCTGGGTTTCCCGGGCATGCTGTGCGCAGGTCTTGCCGGGGTGCGATTCCTCGTGGCAGGAGGTGCAGATGGTGACGAAGCAGGAAGGGCAAGCGAAGGTCCCTTCAACGTCGCCGGTGGCAGCGTAAATCTGCTCGCAAGCGACCGTTGGGCAGTACCGCCACTGATTCGGCTTCCTTTCTATATGCGAAGCGAGGGCGGCCTCGAAGACCCTGTCCATGGTCTCGTCGGTGAGGAACTTCCGGATGGTCGACAGGGGAATGAGCACGCCGCATCTGGCCTCGTTACCGACGCAGACCAGAGGGAATGCCTTGTTCTCCACCGCGCTCGTAAGCATGTGCTTCACGCAGCCAGAGCAGTAGACGTGGGTGCAGTCGAAGCGGAAGGGCACCGATGCCTCCGTGTAGCAGACGGAGCAAGTGGTGTCGAGAGTGGTCGCAGCCGCGCGATCCTTCGCAGCCTCTTCGACATGACGCTGGACAGCGAGCTTCACAGCGTCTCCATTGGGAACAATGATCACGCAACGGGCCTTAGGGCCGTTGAGATAGAGATTGTCCACTCCCAGCTCCTCTCTGAGCCCGGCGAGCCCTTCCCGAAGGAAGTATGGGACCACCGCCGGTTGTAGTCGAATATACGTGGCGACGGACAGTATGCGGTCCAGATGTTTCGTGATGTGAGCCCGGGCGAGCGCTACAGCAGCGGGGTTCCCAAACACCGTCAGGACACGACTGAACTTGTCATGCACCAACAGCACCCCCTTTCGTGACCTAGCTATGGCGAAGAAGCTGTCGGGGAGCCCCGCCGGCATCCGTGCAACGATTGTCTGCCCTCGAGCAAGCTCCTCCACGCGAACCTTGAGATGGCCCACCGCCGACTTGTTCGTTCCCGAAATATGTATAGTTACGACGCGCGAAGTCGGCGAGCTCTTGATTTTCATCACGCAAGCCTTCCGGCTGTCTGCGAGCGCGTCCCATTGCTGTCGCTGAATGTTATACTGCTCCGCAGGCACCGACAACTTGTATTGGAAGGTCTTCTCCAGACGCGTATAGACCACGGTGCGACGATCCCAGTGTAACGCCCGGCCGTGGAGGTAGTAACGCGCGCGCTTAGTGACAAGCTGGTCATCAAAGCATATTCGGACTTTGACGTAATTATCGGTGGGCTGAGTAACGTCCTCTGCCTGCAACGCCGTGAAGCCGTGCTGGTCCATATATGCGAGCAATCGTTCCAAGGCCGCGTCCACGTCGTCCTCTTTCACGCGTAGTCTCGTAACGTCCGTAACTCCAACGAAGGCGGCAACTTGCTCTGCGGTGATCGAGCGGGGGACGTTTTCCACGATAATCCGCGGCGAAGGGTGTGGCAGCTTGACGCTGACCGGGGAGCCGCCCAGGGGCTTGCCGTTGAGCTCCTTCGCCTTCGATAGCGCAACAGCGAGAGAGGGGAGAGTTGCCGAGTAGCCGACATTGGGTTTGCTCCACCAAGCGAGCAGCGGAAATCCGTGAGGTAGCGTATTGACCATGCTACCTGGTCGCTCGTCGGTTATCGACACATCAAGATACCGACTGTCGCCAAAGGAAGCCTCTAAGACTTGCGCAAGTCGGCCAGCACCCAACGCATCAGTGCGAATGTCATATGCGACCTTGGATGGATTAGGCGAGGTTATGTAGTAGCGACCAGGCGCGATATTGTGGCGTGAAATGAATTCAGAGAGGGAAGCATAGGTTGTGTTGGAAGGAAGTCCGCTGATCCTGACCGTGGTCGTCTGGAAGCCGGGGATCATAGATTTGACGACGACACCAGCGCCGAATGTGACGATGCAATCCGTGATTAACTTCGTGCAGATTCGTTCAGCCTCCTGGCGCACAGCGGTTGCCTGGGCGGTGACGGAGGGCTGACGGGAATCCGCTCAGCGTAAAGAGCAACAAACGGATAAATCACAGACTTACCTTCGCAACCTGTGGCTCGCCAATACCCTGAGCGCCACCATTTCCTTGTCGTACCGGACCTGATTGGGTCGTGTCAGTCTTTCTCAGCGAGACTGTACCTCTTTCTAACGCACCTTGCCTGCCCATTGGCGTGGCTCCCGCTTTGCGTGGTGTCTTAGGCACTGCTGGAAGGTTGCCGATGTCGCCAAGAGCCTGACGGCGCTGGGAAAGCGGTTAGGCAGACTGGACTTGACGAACGGGCGTCACGCTTACCTGCGCCGGCGGCGGGGTCGCGCGTTGCATCGCAAAGACGATGGGGGCAGGAAGGAAGATGCAGATCTGGCGCCTCCTGTTGAGCTCGTCAACGAAGCACGAGCCTGATGTGGACCTGTTCCGGAAATGTCAATAACCTGTCAATGTCATGATTACCTTTCCTCGCGTGGTCGTTCGTCCAGCAGGCGTCAAGATTCCGAGGCTGCATCCATTATTTCCATTACGCATCAGTAGAGAATAGCACTGTATCTATACAACCAATCAAGAATAGAGCACAAACGCACACTCAGAACATCCCTTCCCCGAAGCGCGGGACGCATCTTGGCTGGGGCCTGATGCAGTCCGGGTCGTCTGGGACTGGCGGACCTTGGTGATATCGGTCGGAATCCTTGAAGTCCTTTGGTCCTCCGGGACCACCGGGACCTTTGGGCCCGTTAGGATCGCTAGGCCCACCAGGCCCTCGAGGACCACCTGGACCCTTCCCGCGACCCATGAAGAAAGGCCAGGTCGGAAGGTAGCAGATCTCCTACGCGGTCGTCAGCAAGTTATCCGAGATGTTCAGCAGGGGATAACTCACCTCAAACGAGCACCCGGGCTTGCACTTTACCCACACGCTCCAGTCAAGCCAGTTCATCAAGCGCTGCGTCTCCGCGGCCCAGGACTTCTTGAGGGACCTGAGCTTAGCTTCGTCGATATCATCCTCATGGATCAGCTCCTCGTCGATACCAGCGAGCACTCCCTGCGCCCACATCCGGGTGACAGTACGGCAGATCTCCTTGGTCGTCTGCTCAATGCCATCGAGGATGAGCCGCTCCGAATCCGAGAGCGTCGCCAAAACAGCAGGGTTCGACGAGATATATGCCGTATGGGCCGTGCTGCACAGCTCGTACGCCGGCGCCGCCCACGACAGATCTGTCGATGCAATACTCGGCGGCACGACCGTCTTCAGCAAGTACGGCGTAAGCATGATGCGCGTGTGCGCCTGCGCCTCCTTCGCCCACCGGATGAGCGCGTTCTCATCGTCGGTGACGGTCTTGTTGAGGGCATACTCGAGAATTTCCAACCGGTCGGCGAAGCGGTTGACGATGACATGGATCAGCGTCCGCCAGTCGATGTCGCTGCGGGATGGCGCGGCCTTCAACTGCGCGTCTAAGACCTGCTCGTAAGTCTTCTTGTCCGCCTCGCTAATGCCCATGAGGCGGTGGTCCCAACGCTCCTTGCCGTATCGTGCGTCGACGAGGCTGGGGAAGGTTGCAGTGTCGTAGAAGGAGACAAGCCGCGAGACGTCGAGCTCGATACGCTGGTCCCCTGGGTAGAAATTACTCCACGATCCCGAGAGGACTGACTGAAAACCGGTGAATGCTGAGGCGAGCGCGGGTGCTCCGTGCGGAGGAGGGTAGCCAGAAAAATCAGGCCCGGCAATGTCGTGTTGGTGTGCGTGCGAGGTTGGTCCAGGAGGTCCACGGGGCATCTCCCGACCGCCAGCGAGGTTCAGGAAGGACACAACCTCGACGCCATCCGTGAAGTCGCAATACATAATCTCGCTGCAAACCCATCAGCACTCTGCCCACACACAGGCCCAACACCACTCACAAATCCATCTCCATCCTCACAAACCCATCGATATCATACTTCCTCCCCCACGTACACAGATCATCGATCCTCTGCCTCTCCCTTCGCATCGACCACGAGTCATTGAGCTGCCCCCAAGCAGTAAGGTCCTGCGTATCCAGCGACCCTCCGGGCATCTTCGCCGCGCTGCTCCCGTCGAAATAGAGCACGTTCAGCGGGCGGGTGGCCACCAGCGTGAGGTGCCAGCAGCCCGCGCCGCCGGGGCCGCGGCAGAACATGTACGAGTGCTCGGGGTCCATGGCGAGCCATTCGGGGACTTGGGGCACCTCGTTCTTGTACGTGCCGTGGTAGAGGAGAGTGCCAGGGCGGACGATGCCGGGGACGAGGTTGTGGCCTGGGGGAAGGGGGAGGGTTAGTGAATGATCGGTGATGCTGGCAAGGTGGACGCACCATTGCGCATTCGCGTGTTCGGCCAGTGCTGCAGCAGCGAGCCTACGGTCTCGAAGATGAGGTGCCCCGTCGCATTCTCGTTGGGTGTGGCTTCGAGGTCCCAATCTATGGCCGGAGGTGCACTGGTCGCGGGCGTATCAAGAGGCTCTTGCGTATCGAGCGCTGGGATCGAGCTGGCGATACCCAGCAAAGCCAGGGAGGCGACAAAAGCAGCCCTCATCTTCAACCAGAGGAGGGGGGTAGCGAGCAGCAGCGCCCCCGTGAAGGAGAAAGAAAAGAGAGTGCGCGGCTGCGCATGGTGACTGCGGTATCCGGTCTGGCGCGCGAACGGGGCAAGGGGGTGGCGAGCGGCGCTCGATCAATGGCAAGGCACAATTCTTTGAAACGGTATCCGATAAGATAAATTTGGAGGAAGTGTCATGGTGAGTCATACGGTAGCGCTGGCGTGAATACGACCAAGTGGAGGTCTATCGACATGGAGGGGGTGGACTGAAGGAGAGGCGAGATAGCAGTACGGTGGGGGGCAGATTGACTGTCGCTGCGCTACGCACTATGACAGTGATGCAGGAAAAGAGTATTGAAAAAGTCATTGAATTGCTTCCAGTTACATTAGACCCAGAGATGAAGAGCGCTGCACATAGAAGAATTTACGACGCACCCAGCTCCGCAAGGGTGGCATCGACCCTCTCGAGGCTGATAGACAGTCCGACCAGAGACATGATGTCGTGGTCTGGGAAGCAGCGTAAGCCAGAGGAATTGCGCCTGCGAACCATAACTCACCATGCTCCTCTTCACCACCCTCATCCATCCACTCTGCGAGCCTCCTTCTCAGAGGCTTCAAGATATTCGCCTCCAGGGCTCGGAGCGTATCCTTGTCGCGGATTCCGGTCTGTGTGCGATGAGTCGACAGGAAACTATATTACTACAGGGTGTTCGCACCTTATTCTCTACATCCCTATTCAGGAGCACATAGACCAAGCTCAAAATCTCCGTCAATCGCCTCGGCTCTACACTCTCCAAGAACTTCTCCTGCTCCACCCCCTCTAGCACATCTGGAGGATTCGTCCTTAGCACAGTACCGCCTAGCTCCTGCAGTGCCCTCCTCGAGGCGAACACATCCGCGTCTCCATTGTTGAGTCCATCCAGAAACGCCTCCTTCACCAACCCGATCGCCGCGACCATCATTTGTGGCAACCCTTCATCCGCTGTGAGCTCCTTCAGAATATCCAACCGCACATGCGAGGGCGCGGCGCGAAGCAGAAGAGATAAGATACGGAAGCTGATGTGCCGGGTGGTGGGGTCAGGGTGCATGCTTGCGACGGTGGGGAGGAGGGTTGAAAGAGGAAAGAGAAGGTCAGGTGAGAGGGTGACGGTAGGCTGGCTGAGAACGCGGAGGAGGAGGGCGAGGGATTCGTCGAGGGCGACATTGGTTTGAAGGGAGGTGAGTAGGGCAGGCATGGCGGAGGATAGGGTGGTAGCCGTCGGAGTTTCTGTCGAGTGGCTAGATAGAATGAGGGAGCCTATTGACGCGGTCGACGAGCTCGTCGAGCCGTTCAAGGCTTCGTGAGATGTCTATGTAATCAAATCAGCAGTGGAAACCCCATGGAAAGTATATACATACCCCTGCACTTCTGACTGCATTTGCGCCTTCTTCCCAGCCCTCAGGCAGAGGTCCGGACATACGAGCGAGCCGGGGGTATAGCTCGTTGAACGTACGCTGTGATAGCGCTGATTGTATACTTCCTGAGCATGACGACACTGCATCCTCCAATGCGCGCGACATCCTTCGCTGCATGAACGCTTCAGTTGTCAGTTGCTTTTGTAGGTGACGAGCGTACCTTCGCTTCGTCTGCTGCTGCGCGGTCAATATCAAGGCCGTCAATCCAGCGCGATGTGCTGCTGGCAAGCCTTGCAATTGCTGAAAGTACTTCCCTGCCATCTTCGCGTGCACAATTCATGCTCGCAAGGTTGACTACACGCGTGATTTCTTGAAGCAGGGGATCGATAGTCTCGGCGGCCGTCTTCCGTCGCAACTTCAGTCGTGGGATAGCTAGGCGGCGTTGTTAGCAGTGATCCCTCAAACAGATATTATGTCTACCTGCAGTGTACAAGTCAATGATTTGAACGAGACTCTTCGCAAGGCTACGCTGCGCATCCTCATCTGCATCGTCGTCGTACTGAGACGCGACATGTTCCAGTGCTTCCTGAAGCGCTATCACGACCTCTCGTGCAGGACTGTACTCGGCCATGAGCGCCAACAAATCCGCTGCGCCGACATTCTTGCTGGAAACTAGCGCAGACACTAAAGAAAGCGGCTCCTTCATCGATGTCGAACACGGACATCATGAGCAAAAATAAGAAGCTTACCAGTCTATCTTCATGTCCACCGGATACCACTCCACTATGCAGATCTTTCAGGGAAACACGCGGGTTCGCGTCAAGCGCTGAACCAGTGATTGAGGCGGTTAGAGCTTCGCTCAAAGCCTGAGCTTATGAGAAAGTTATTTGGGAGTGCAAGGGCGTGTATACCTGATCGTCTGATCCTTCAGGCACTTCAAGCAGTTCCCGCAACGTCTCGGTGGTCATAAATTGTGGCCTTCAAATGGGTGACGGTTTGAGAACAAGGTGCGGCACCCGGGCCGGGGAGTTCCCACGCATGGGGTTCGCGCGCGTCGATGGTTTGATTGCCGGACCCCCTTCTCCTTGTACTCCCACGTTGGCATCAACATCACACCTGAGCTTAACACTACCGCCGGCAAGCTATGTGAACGCATTCATGGACGGGGAGGCAGGCTCGCCCTCGTCAAGCTTTCAGGAGCCCGAACCGCCGTCGAGCTCGCTGCCTACGAGCAGCCAGTCGTTGGGCAGCGCGGGCGAGTTGAAATTGGTGGAATGCGCGGTCATGTGGGAAGGTGAGGAATGCACGTACTTCCCAGTTTCCCCTTCTGAATCGCGCGCGTAGATATGATTGACGAGGTCGACGAGCGTCACAGGGATATGATGTCTATCGAAGAATACAGTTGGCTTCGCTTCTACTACAACTCAACCAGTACGTCCGGGACACCTGTATAGTGCACGGAGTCTCATCTCGATCTTCAGGACAAGCGCAACAAGTCTTTTGTGCACTCCTGAGTCTGCCCAATACGTGGCACAGGATTGAGGAAGTCGAACATGAAGTAACACTTGATCCCGCCAAACCCCATAACACCGTCGCAGCAGCATTCAAGGACCTTGCGCGACCCCGGCCAATCGAACCTCCACACGAGCTCACCCTTAGCCAACTGAGCCAATTGAGCGAGAGTCAAGCGAGCCAACAAAGTCAAGATTGCCAGCCGAGCCAGCAGACCACGCAGCCAAGTCAACAAAGCCAGCTAAGTCAGTCGACTCAGCAGGACAGCACTCAACCCGTCAAGGACGAGCCCGTCGATACACCCCTCCCCCCACAACCGCAACCTAGCACCATCAGTCGGCGCCCCCTTGCTTCGTTGACCAATTTTGCCGCTGTTGCACCTAGCGTCAAGGACGAGGATTACGGCGACTCCGTCGATTGTTCATCTTTGGCCTTTGGCTTCAGATACACTGAGCGCAAAGTCAAGCTTGAGGCTCTCACTACTGAGCAGCTGAAGGATGTCTACAGGCAGATCCTTGGCAAGCGAAAGGTTCGCGGTGCTTTCAAGCTCACCAGGCCTTCACTCACCCTGCCTGCAGATCAAGACGCGGGAGCAGATGATCGACGACCTGGAGAAGACGTCGAGGCAGTCGACACTGCCTTTCACTTCCATTAAGAAGGAGGATGCCGAGCCCAGTACGCAAACCACGAAGCGCGTCACGCAGTTCGACAGGATGATGTTGCTAGTTGACAAATATGTTGAGGGTGAGTAGACACTTGGGCTGCGCGAGCGTTGCTCACCATCTCTTCGTCACTTTGCGTTAGATGTCCCCTGCATCAAGATTAAGCCAGAAGTCTACGAATTCTTCCGCCTCGTCAACGTACTGGCCTACAGGAGGTAACGCGTAGTCCAAAGGGGGTCCAATGCACTTGCTAACCGTCTGCTCAGGACCACCTACCCCGACTTCAGCTCCCCAGAAAGTCCGTTGCACGATTACACGGTCGTGAAGCAGACCACGTTCTGCCAAAGGGACCATCGTATATGGCCCTCGCGTGAGGAATTGGACCAGTACTACGACGCTCTGGTTCTCAAAGCGCGCGTAGAGGGCAAGCTGCCGTGGCCTGCCACGAAGGCATTGCGACCGCAACCGAAGGGCGGCAAGCCGAAGTTCTCCGCGAAGTTCTTGAAGCCGGAGGACAGCGAACAGTACCGCACTGCGGCGCAGTGCCACCTTGCCCTCGTGAAGGAGGCCATGGAGGGCGTCAAGTCGGAGCTCGATCGACTAAGTGCGAGTTCTGAGTGGCCGGACGACGAACCGCCGCGATTGATAGGTTTGAGGCGGTTCGAGCAAGGTGTGCGGCGCCACTTTGATGTTGCTGCATGTGACTGACAGACGGGGGAAGGATACATCCTCACCCGCGTACTATGGGCAGGCGCACAGGCCTTGGCGAAATCGAGAGTAGACAAGGACAAGACGCTCGCCGTCGAACTCTACGAATACGTCCTCAAGCAGGATCGCTGGTGCTTGGGCGACTCTGGTGCAATATATGCCGGGTACATCAAACTGTTGCTCGACGTAGCGGCGAAGGCGCCCAAAGGTGAAGTATGTTCTGTATGCGCTGAATCATTTCTGTGATGCCTGACTTGACTGGTCACAGGCTTGTACATTACGTGAGCGTGCCATAGCGGCAGTGGTTATAGCGCTCGATTGCCATGACGTTGGAATCAGTCATCGGCCTCGTCTTCATCGCCACCGCGTGACGCTGGCGAAGTCGATGGGGCATCTCGACGGCGTCTCAGCAGTCCCTCCGAGCATCAAGCCCGAGACCATCCACCTTGTGAAGCACGTGGCGGACGTCGAAGACAGTTGCGCTTCGCAGGGCCCCAAAGGTCGGGACGGTGTCCTACGCCTCTGGTCAAGCGCGGATATGGCCGACGAGCCAGCCAGCGCTCTTGAATGTGTCGCAAGACGCTACGAGGCCCAAGGCTATACGGTGTGAGTGCAGGATACGGTGTCTCCGTACGGCGGACTGACTTCCGTTCGCCATGCAGCATACGCAACAAGCAGATCCTCACATCCATCTTCGCCCTTCTGTTCTGGGATATCCTTTGGGATCAGGACGTTCCGGGCGCATTCGAGTACTGCTATCAAGACGGACCACTGGACCTGTATGAGCCAGGCGTCTTTCTACGCAGTCGAGAGCGGCAAATCTGCGCGCTGCTTGAGAGGATTGGGAACGACGATGGCGCGGTAATCGTCGACGAGACACTGCGTGGACCCGGAGATTTTTCCGCGAAGCCCATGACAGTGGGATGGGACCATGTCAACTTTGGTCTTGATGATCCGGCTACTCTCACGAAAGTTGTTCAGGTACGTGGGGGTTGATATGTCGTCGTTGACCGTACTAAGAAATCCCCCTCAGGAAATACCAGCAGGCGTGCTTGTCACTATTGGCACGCTGTTTTGCGAGGACTACGCTGCCAGGCGCGACTCAGCTCCCGATCTAGTCGTACACGACGACAACGACGGCGAAGTCAAGTTCGTGTATGTTACGGACGGGAAGGCCCTGACGCCCGCCCAGCAGGTGCGAGGGACGCCCTTGTTGAGTATAGGTACAAGGCTGACTCAACGCAGGTATGGCTTGATACGCTCTTGTCTGCGAGCGCGCAAGTCGTGTACTGCAAGGTAGTGGAAGAACCTCAATCTCCGCGCAGGCTGATCAAGAAGCGCAAGCGGCAAGCGTCAAAACCTCATGTGGCCGCAACCTCCGACGCAGAAGAGAATGAGGTGGCCCAGCCCGAACAAGCGTCTGACGTGGAGGGCTCGTATGAGTCCGGTCCAGCAGACTTAGCAGGACCAAGCTCGCAACTACGACGGACTAGTCGCCCTCGAGTTGCGAAGAGGCGACGGTCGGAAGAACATGAAGATATGTAAATGTTGCTTGTGTATCTGTTCCCTCGGATTGTTGTACACCGCTCTGCTCTCGGATACCCCTGCCATATATCTCTTAGTGTACGGTATCTGCCTATTTTTCCTTATCATCTTCGTATATCTTGATACCTTTCTCCTACCTTATTTCCTTACGTCCCTCTGTATCTAGCCTCACTTCCAACACGGCTGTTGCTCAACGCAGGGCTCTAGAACGTCCAGCATGGAAGGAGGCGTGCGCGCGGAAGTCACTAATTACCAAAAGCGGCTAGCGTGCCCCTGTCGCGTTACTGTTTGCGCGTATTTTCTCGGCCCAGTATTCGCCTGGCATTCGCACTCACGAAAAACGCTGTCGTCTTCGTGTCCTCGTCGTCGCCAACGTCCCCCACCCACATAAGCCATGGCCGAGGAAATCATTGCGGACTCCTACGTCGGTTTCGACTCCATTACGCAGCAGATTGAGCACAAGCTCTTGAAGCGCGGGTTCCAGTTCAATGTTATCCTCGTCGGTGCGTGGGGTGCATAAGAGGGTGAAGGAACGTACTGACAGGTTCTTTGCGATACAGGCCAGACCGGGTTGGGAAAGTCTACGCTCATTAACACCATTTTCGCGTCGCATTTGGTAGACTCGAAGGGACGCTTCACGTCTGACGAGCCCGTGCGCCAGACGACCGAAATCCAGGCAGTGTCGCATGGTACGTGCATAAAACGGAGTTTAAATGGAACAGACGCTGATACGACGCGTAGTCATTGTCGAGAATGGGGTCAAGCTGCGCCTTAACATCGTCGACACGCCTGGATACGGGGACCAGGTCAACAACGAGAACTGGTGCGTCACGTCTGTACTTCCCCAGCTTCTTCGCGTGCTCAAACACGTTATCTCTCAGCTGGGACCCGATTGTCAAGTACATCAAGGACCAGCACAGCGCGTACCTGCGCAAGGAGCTCACGGCCAAGCGCGACCGCTACATCCAAGACACCCGCATCCACTGCTGTCTCTACTTCATCAACCCGACCGGGCACTCGCTCCGCCCCATCGACGTGATTGTGATGAAGAAGCTCAGCGAGGTTGTCAATGTCGTCCCCGTCATCGCCAAGTCGGACAGCCTGACTATCGAGGAGCGCGAGAAGTTCAAGATCCAGGTGCGTGGATTATGTCTGCGCGTGAAGGAATAATAAGCTGATGAGCTTCATAGATCAGGGAAGAGCTCGTGTTCCACAACATCCGCTTGTACCCCTTCGACACCGAGGATGACGATGAGGAGGAGAAGCAGCTGAACGAGAGCATTAGGGTATGCTCACTCTCCCCACGCAGAGGTCTAGCCCTCTAACACCACATAGGACATCATTCCCTTCGCGATCGTTGGCTCCGAGCGCCCCGTTCTCGTTGACGGCAAGCCGGTGCGCGGACGTAAGAACCGCTGGGGTGTGGTCAATGTTGAGGACCCGACTCACTGCGAGTTCGTCCACTTGCGCAACTTCCTTACGAGGTAAGCGGTCACGGTTGTTGCACGTGAAACCCGCTCACTGTTCCGCAGGACCCACTTGCAGGACCTCATCGAGACGACGGCGAACATTCACTACGAGGCGTTCCGCTCGAAACAGCTCCTCGCGCTCAAGGATGCCAACCAGCGTCCCGCCGGCCAGTAGATGCGCATTCGTTGATATCGCTTTGCCTTTTGCCCTTGTTCCCGAGATGGATGGTGACAAAAAGTGATACCCTGGTCATGCTCGCGCGCCGTCCCTCGCTCACCTCGCTCTTTACGGATACTGTTTCTATTGGATACATAATACTTTTCGTGCTCTCTCCTTCCCGTGTTGTTGTTTTCTTGTCGGTGCCGTATCTCCGTTGGCAGTATTCATCCGGTACTTCAGATGTGGCCTTGGCGTCCCCCCGCGCGCCTGTCCTGTCAGCACCTGTAGGTCAAGCCGAATTTCCGAGGGACTTGTGCGTCCGCTGTCATTCGCCCTTTCCCTCCGATGGAGCAGATGAGCCTTGAGCCCGATGCAGGCCAAGGGCCGACGCGGCCAGACGGCTGACGCGGAACTTGTTCGTAATCCGGGGCGCCACCGTCAGGAGCCTTCATGAACAACCAAGTCCAGTCAGCTCTTCCTTCTCGTCGTGATGTTCGTTTGATTCGTTTCCTCGCTCTTCCCCCATCGCGCAACTCCTCCTCCGCGTCCATCTTGCTGTCTTTCGGCTCCAGGCGAGCAAGCTCATTCGGCGTACATGGGGAAACCTCCGGGCTTCGGGTCGCGCGTCTCGGGGTGGTATACGAAGGTCAGCGACTTCAACGTCGAGTCGCTTTTCTCGCGCAAGCGGGAACCGGGCCCTAAGCGCTCGGTGTATGTGAACCAGCCGCTGCCGGACGACTACCGGGATCACAAGGGGCGTATTAAGAAGGAGCACACATACGCGACGAACCAGGTCATCTCGTCTAAATACACCATCATCACCTTCTTGCCGCGCAATCTACTGGAGCAGTTTAGGAGGGTAGCCAATGTGTGCGTGCTCGAACGTTGGCGCTATGTGCGGGATGCTGACCACCACGCAGCTTCTTCCTGGCTATCGCCATTCTCCAGTTCTTCTCCATCTTCTCAACCATCTCCCCCGGTCTTGTCATCCTCCCCCTGCTCATCGTGCTCGGCATCACCGCGGTCAAGGACGGATACGAAGATGTGAAGCGCCACCAGTCCGATCGGCAGGTCAACCACTCACCCGTGCTCATGCTCGATGACGCAGAGTGGGAGAACCCGAACGCAATGCAAGCGAAGGAGAGCTCGCTCGTCCATAGCCTGCCAAGCTTTTCCTCCCTCTTTCGCCTCCCACGCTGGACGAAGCCGCTGTCGTCCGATCCCGAGGAGGATGAGAAGGCGCCGCCACCTGCCCCTTCCCGCCGCGACTCGCTGCGCTCTATATTCAGCCGCACCCAGGGCCGAGCGTCACACTGGGTTGAGGGCGTATGGGAAGATATCCGCGTTGGTGACTTTGTCCTCATCCGCGACAACGAAGCCGTCCCCGCCGACGTGCTCATCTGCGCCACCTCCGAGGACGAGAACGTAGCCTACGTTGAGACGAAGAATCTGGACGGCGAGACAAATCTCAAGTCTCGCCACGCCGTGCCCTCACTCACGCACCTGCGCACTGCTGAAGACTGCATCAGCAAGGCGAATAGCTTCCGCGTCGACTGCGATCGTCCGGAGACGAACATGTATCGCTTCAACGCTGCTGTCGTAACCGAGAGCGGGACCACTGCGGTCGATCTGCAGATGACTCTGCTGCGTGGCACGGTCTTGCGAAATACACGATGGGTCATCGGCTTGGTGGTCTTCACTGGCGAGGACACGAAGATCGTACTGAACTCGGGCGGCACGCCGAGTAAGCGGTCAAAGGTCGAGCGTCAGATGAACCCGCAGGTCCTGATGAACTTGGCCCTGCTCGCCGCCATGGCCGTCGCGTGTGCAATCGCGGACGCGCTCATTGAGCAGGACCTGTATCCGAAGGGCGCGCCTTGGCTTTACGGTGCCAACAAGAGCGACGATAATCCCAGGATCAATGGGCTAATCACTTGGGCGTTCGCGTTGATCACGTATGTTCAACTCTGACTACTCCACAACGATTCTTTAACGCCTTTTTCTAGGTTCCAGAACATCGTACCGATTTCGCTGTACATCTCCATCGAGTTCGTTCGCACATGTCAGGCCGCCTTCATCTACTTTGATGCCGAAATGGTCTACAAGAAGACCGGTCAAGCGACGCTAGCGCGCAGTTGGAACCTATCCGACGACCTTGGCCAGATCCAGTACATCTTCTCGGACAAGACCGGTACTCTGACGCAGGTTTGTAGCTTCATCATACGGACATTTGCATGTGCTTACTAGCTTTCAGAACTCTATGATCTTCCGGCAATGCTCGATAGGCGGCAAGGCATACTACGGGGATCCTGACCCAGACGCCGATGAAGAGGAAGAGGTGACGTCTGCACCGCCGGCGACCGATGGCGAGGAGAAGCAGGCCACCTCGTCGGAGAAGCATGACCAGCGGCCTAACAGCGGCGGTTCCTCCACCATGTCGCCGGCGTCCCATACGGACGAGGACCTCAAGGTCCCGAATCCGGCCAAGGCTCCCGGAGTCAAGCTCGCCGGCAACGTCCTTCACCACTTCCGTGATGAAGAGCTTGCCCGCGACTTGCATTCTGCCGTCGATTCGGAGAAGGATCCAATTCACGCTCGCGCATTGAATGGCTTCTTCTCCGTCTTGGCGCTCTGCCACACTGTCCTCACCGCTACCGACCCGGAGACTGGCGCCATCGAGTACAAGGCACAGTCTCCCGATGAAGCCGCACTTGTCCAGGCCGCAGCCGATATGGGATACATATTCCGCGGCCGCGACAAGGAGATTCTGTCGCTGCAGACCCCGTTCAGCGATGAGTACGAGCGCTACGAGCTTCTGAATATCCTTGAGTTCACCAGTGCTCGGAAGCGTATGAGTGTTGTTGTGCGGAAGCTGGACGAGGAGGACCATCGGCTGCTTTTGTTGACGAAGGGCGCGGACAACATCATCTTCGATCGTCTGAAGCCAGGGAACGACGAGCTCAAGAAGCAGACGGAGAAACATCTGGACGAGTTTGCGAGTCATGGGCTGCGGACGCTGACCTTGGCGTACAAGATCCTGCGAGGTACTATTGCATAGTGATCTGATCCGCGTATTTTCTGACTACGGTCCACAGAGGACGAGTACGAAGCTTGGAGCGAACTGTACAACGAAGCTACCGCCTCCCTCGATGACCGCGAAGAGAAGACCGAGGCCGCCTGCGAGAAGCTCGAGCGCGACCTTCGCCTCCTCGGCGCCACTGCCATCGAGGACAAGCTCCAGGACGGCGTCCCCGAGTGCATCGCTGACCTTAAGCTCGCGGGGATCAAGATCTGGGTCGCCACGGGCGACAAGCTCGAGACCGCGATCGCCATCGGGCACAGCACGAACCTCATCTCGCCCGAGTCAAACATCATCATCGTGCGCGGGAGCAGCGGGGACGGCAGCCGGCCAGTGCACCAGCAGATGATTGCGGCGGTTGAGGAGTTCTTCCCGGATAGTGGGGTCTTGGACGAGTTCGAGGAGTTCCGTGAGTTCAGGCAGGCAAGGGAGAAGGAGGGGACGGCGCCGCATCCGCTGCACCGTGTCAATACTGGGGTGTCGAGCATCGTTGGTCCGGATAACGGCGAGAGACCTGGCGGATTTGTGCTGGTAATCGATGGCTCTGCGCTCACTGATGTACCTCTCCATGTTCTCTCTCCTGCGACGGGACTTTGCTGACCCTCCGTCAGGCCTTCGCGGATGACTCAAACAAGACTCTGCTCTTACGCCTGGCCATGCAATGCGAAGGCGTCATTTGCTGTCGCGTCTCGCCTTTGCAGAAAGCGCTCGTGGTCAAGATGGTCAAGAATGGACTGCACACGATGACGCTTGCCATCGGCGACGGCGCCAACGACGTGTCTATGATTCAGGCCGCGGACGTTGGTGTGGGCATTTCCGGCGAGGAGGGCTTGCAGGCTGTCAACTCGGCCGACTATGCGATCGCGCAGTTCCGCTTCCTCAAGCGGTTGTTGCTCGTTCATGGTCATTGGTCGTATGCACGAAATGGGAATATGTGAGTCGACGGGAAGGTGTTTCGTAAGACTTGGATTACTGACGCGCTCGTCAGGATCGTCAACTTCTTCTACAAGAATATTATCTGTATCGGCGTGCTGTGGTGGTATCAGATCTATTGTGGCTGGAGTTCGGCATAGTAAGTTCGGGATGCTCTCATGACCCTCTGCGTCTAACAATGCTGCACAGTGCTTTTGAATACACATATCTGCTGTGGTGGAACGCGTTCTTCACAATCGGTGCGTCTGAGGAGTCCGCTGTCGTACATGCCCGCGCTGACGAGGTCACAGCTCCTGTCATCGCGATCGGATTGTTCGATCGTATAGCAGACGACCATGTCATGATGGCCCTCCCCGAACTGTACCGACATGGTCGAGAAGGCAAATGGTTCAACCACCCGCTGTTCTTCATCTACATGTTCGAGGGAGTCTTGCAGGTGCGTCTATGCTCCTATTGCCGGTCCCTCTCGTCTGACCATACTTCAGTCCGTCATCATATTCTTCTTCATCTACTATGCGTACGGGAAGTCGCCTACCGCGCGTTCTGACGGGTGGGCAAACTTCCAATACGAGTTCACAACGGTAAGCTTCTTGCAAATCTACTGTGCAGCGGATTGCTCATGAGTAAATCAGACTATGGCCGTGGCCGCTGTCATGGTGGCCAATCTCTACAACGGTTTGAACACCAAAGTGTGGACTGGTTGGGTGTTCTTCGCTGTCCTGATAGGCATTGTTCTGGTCTGGGGCTATACTGTAAGTATTATGCCCTTCCAGTTTCACGACAACCTGCTCAACTAAGAAACAGGCAATCTACACCACGATCGCGCCCGGCTGGTTCTACACGCCCGTCTACGGCAACTACAGGTTCCTCTTCGAGTCGCCGTACTTCTGGTTCGGAGTCCTTCTTACCACCCTACTCTGCCTTCTTCCTCGCTACATCTACCAAGCCGTCAAGTTCGGATACTTCCCCGACGACTTCGACATCGTGCAGTACATGCAGAAGGTCGACCCCAACCGGAATTACGAAGACTGTCGGCAGCCGCCTAGTCATCTCGCACACCTTCGGCGGACTACCTCCCGTGCATCCCAGGCATCGAGGGCCGGGAGTGTCGCGTCGGCTGTTCGGCCACCGATGGACCCCCGGGTCAGCAGTCGCACGGACATGGCGACTGGCATGCGCTCTGTCCATCGCGGTTTCGACTTCGCTACGGAGGAGAACGGGGTGGCGATGCGGCGCATACAGACCAATCTGTCCGAGCATCGGGCGGCGAGCCGCCACCATCTCCCTCGACTGCACAAACCCAACCGGGACTCGACCCTTTCGCAAGTCTTCTCACTTCGTGGAAGGTTCAGGAAACGGCCGACGTCGGGGGACAAGACGGAGACTTCATGATGACCTGCTCCCGCGAGGGGCTTACGCCCATGACTTGGATCGGATTGGATTGCCTTTGATTATGGACCCACGACCAGCTTAGATCCGCTGCTGCTCCTGTACGCATACGATACGACACTGCCACACGCTGTCCCCAGCATCCCTCGATCTTGCCTCGCATGCTTTCTCGTTGTCTGCTCCATCTGTATTACTATCGGTCCAAGGGACTCTTGCCTTATGTTACGACTCTGTTATTGCTTTATCACCTACTTGCGTTATTAGGGTTAACGCGCCACCTATTATTCGATCTCGCTTTGTGCACGATATTAGTATCACGACCTGACTGCTCGAGATGCAAATTGGCTCCTTCGACTTCGTTACCTCCGGCGTCGAGCGGGACGGGTGGACATGAATGGCTCGGACTTCTGTATCTCGGTGCATGAGTTGCTCCTGGTCTCGGTCGTTACATTGAGATAGCAGAGGTCAAAGATGTTAATGCACGTCTGATACACGGAAAACCCAATGGTGATCTTCAACGCAAGCGTCGAAATATCTACTCAAGGCCCTCGCCAGCTTGGACCCCCGCTTCCAGTAATATGGATGGTTAGGACTAATGCACACAAGTCCACTCGACTTCAGGCCTTCGGCCTTCCTGAAGAGGTCAAGATACGCCTCCTGATCGTAAGAGAACTTCTCCCCGCAGGAGGTAGCATAATACACTGCGAGGTGCGTCAACGCGCCAATGCGGAGCGACCGCAAAAGGTTCGTCAGCCAGGCCTCGTTGTGGTGTATGGACAACGTCTCCAATTGCTGGACTTTTATCTCGGGAAATTTACGCCCGCTGTCGTCGCCCAGGACGTGCCAGAAGTGCACCTCCCTGAGGCTGTGAGCGTTGTAGAAGATGAGCCAGCAGTCAAGGAGGTTGACTGGCATCAGAACGTTGATGTGCTCCGAGCGAGCACCCTGCCACTTGGGGTCGCGAGCGATGCCTTTTTCCGGGAGGACGGGGAGCATATCGCGGGTGTATATGTTGAAGGCTGCCTTGGACTGCTTGGCAGCACTCGTCGCGTATGTCCTTCCGCCCGGTGCTAGCGTCTTCGTGTGCAAGGGAGCCGGAGCTGGCGATGCTACAGGCTGAGGAAGGTAGGGAGATACAGAAGTGCCTTGCGCAGGTGCGACGAAGGGACCTTCCCCAGGCATCGCCGCATGGTATAAAGGCGGAGGTACGAGGTACGGAGTGCTGCCAGCGATCGGTGTGTCGACATGGAGTCGTACATGGCCACCCAGAGCTGGTGTCGACAGCCGAGGAGGCCGATACACTGGACTACCCACGGGTGTCCCACCCTGCGAGATGGTGCCGATAGAGGGAGTGGGGGACAGATAGAGTATCTGACCTGGAGGTGAGCGGAAAGTGACATTGCGTTTGTCCGGGTTCGGTTTGTGCTTGCGCGTGAACCGTCCGCTGCCGGGAGATGCTCTTGAAAGGGCTTCTTCACAGTGCGCTCTTCTGCGAGCCTTCATCTCGTGGAGCTGTCGGTTATATTCGTGTGCATCTTCCATGATCCTGTTGCGCCGTAAGTACAGTGCGAAGAGACGAATTCCCCAACCCACGCCGTTTGTCAATATGGGGTGGGATTGACTGGCTGGCCCTGCGATCGTCGGGGCGACGGCTGATGATGGCTGTGAATAGGCTGCAAGCTGCTTATAACGTGTAATAGTGCGGGAATGTGGGCGTCCAGCACAGGCCTGCGGCCCCAGCCCTACTCCGGGGGCCAGCACGTTGACAGATCAGATAGCTTTGTGGGTGCGTTTTGAGTTCCAGAGCGTCATGTGTCGTCAGTTCATCAAGCCCGTGGACTCGCAAAGGAAGTGCAGAGAGTGCAGCATTCTGAGGATACACGAAACGACGCGAATAGATACAAATCAGGGTATACCACTTACAGTCCTCGACAAACCTTCTACATTCCCTCATCGACGCACGTCCTAAAGTCCTTCACATTCGCGTACGCCTCCACGATCTCCTGATCCAGCTTCTCCCATTTCCTCAGCCGCTTCATACTCTTCGGGTCCAGGTCAATCACCGTCACCCGCGACGGGTCGACCGGCGCGGGCTGCTGCTCCCCGCCCAGCAAATCCATGCGCACGATGATTGAGCAGTCCTTGAACGTCGCAGAGAGCAGGTAGGCGAGGAGATAGAACCGCAAATCTTCCGGGACCGGTGCGGCGTGGTCGATCTGGATGAAGGGGGAGAGGTAGGTATCGAGGAAGGAGCTCCAGTCGTCGATTGTCGGCTCGGGCTCCTGGAGATATTGCGAGCTCACGCCCAAGGGCGAGGTTGGCGGATCTGTTGGACGGCGACGGAAGTCTGAAGGCATAGAAGGGGTACGCATTCCAGGTGACATGGGACTCGAGGGAGACAGCGGCGTTGAGGGTTCGGGATGCGGGTATGAGCCTGGCATGGAGATACTGTAGTCTTCTTCATCTTCGGGCGGGACGAAGAATTGCGCGAACTGTGTTCGGTACGCGGGTGCCATCATCTCCGTGTACTGCCAAAGTCGCGAGAGGCCCTCGATGTCGAGTACGTCGAGGGTGCGCTGGAGCTTGGACAGGGTCCTAAGGACCGGCGTCTCGGTTAGCAGCGGCAGAATGGCGTCGGCAAATGCCTCGCGGGCGTCTCCGTGCGCGCCAGGTGCGAAGATTTTGTCTTGCTGGACGGACGATAAGTATCGCGCACCTAAACTGAAAGCGGTGGAAGGGCGAACCTCGTTAGGGCGAATCGTCTTCCCATGTACAAAAATCTTGAGGTTGTTGACGGTAGCGTTGCTCTCAACCCACGCGTCCCACAGGGTGAGGATCGCATGCCGTACGCGCGCCTTATTCCCCGAGAACAAGTCGAGGGGGCAGTAGCCATTCGAGACCTTCTCCCCTTGCATGCGCTTCATATGCGCGTGCATGCAGAATCGGCAGGTCCGCGTCTTGATCCCCCTCGTTGCCTCAGATAGATGCTTTGGGGATGGCAAGAACGCCCACTTTGGCTGTATGCTCATCGTCAGTTCCGTGGCACACGTAATCAACCTCTCAGCGCACCTTGATCTCGACCGCAATCGTGTCTCCGCCGACAAGGTCCGTAGCGAGCACGCCCTTGCGGCGCGTCACGTCGATCTGGTCCTTCGCCCGGCGCTCAGGCGGGCGCTCGCCGTCCTTCAGATCCCTCAAACGCTGCAACCACCCGCGCTCGACGCGCACGCTCTCCATCCTCGGCAGGTGAACCTTCGGGATCAAGCGCTCCATGCAGCGCGCTTGATACTCGATCATCGGATCGTCTGGCTCCTCGAGCTCTTCCGCGGTGATGATAGCGGGGGAGGTGGGGTCCTGCGGGGTTATGGGCGCAGGTTCCTCCTGGATGACGGCGTCCTGGATAGAGGACGCGCGATGCAGCATGGGCGCGGGGCATTTGCGCAGGCGGAGGACGGTGCCGTCGAATTGAGGATTGGAGGGGCCGGCGTAGGAAAAGACGATTGTGGCGCCGCCTTCAGATACGTACTTCCAGTCGCTGGGGGAGGTGACGGTCACGTCTGCCTTGCAGGGGATCGCGGAGGGGGGCTTGTCGGACGTGAAGGGAGCAGCCATGGTGAGGGATTGGGGGATGGGGGGAAGACAGCAGCGCTCAAGCAAGTTGTAGTGGACCCGAAACAGCGGATCATTCTGGGTAGCTGTGCTAGGGGTGATTCTTATGCAGAGCGCTGAGGACCACGATGAGCAGCGCAGGAGCTGTGGATTGACTGCAGAGTACAAGAGCAACGACGAGATGAAGCCAAGAAGAAACAATTGATCGCAGCCGACGGACATCAGCGACGCGCAGAAAGTGGCTTGGCGGAACTTCATCACCAACTATCACCACGACTTTCGCGTCGTGCTCGTCTCGCTTTCTTCTTGCTTCTGACTGGCTTGTCTCTTAACCTGGATCATCCCTAAACTCTCGCGACCTCCCCGTGAGGTCCATAATATTCCTCTGAACGCCCTATCTCGCCACTAGCCACCGAGGACGTCCGCAGCCACCCAACCCTCACCACCATGTCCGCGCTCCCAGACGACCCCGAAGATAGCCCCATGCGCGTAGACAAGGGCAAGGCCCGCGCCGCCTTGCCCTCTGAACGCACCCCTCTCCTCCGCGACGCCCACACCCCCTCCTCATCCGAAGACTACCCCGAACTCGAGCAGGCATACCCCCGGAGACCACCCTGGCGCCACATCCTCTCCCGCTTCGCCTACTTTCTCGGCCTCACGCTCCTCTTCTTCGGCCTCGCCCTCGCGATCCTTGCTGCGGTCGCTTGGTCGTATGCGGCGCGCGCACAGCGCGTGTCGCCCGATGACGTGCAGCGTGCGCTCGTGTTCCGGGGGCCGCATAGGGTAGACGTGCTCAACGTGACAGACGCGGGGGCGATATATGTGGACGTCGAGCTCGATGTGGGTGTGGATGCGGGTACTGTGATGGATGTGAACAGCGATCGCGACGACAACGTCCTCGACCGCGCCTGGAAATCTCTGGGTCGCTGGGGCGTCAAACGCCTCGATAGGGTATCTGTAGACCTTGGCGCCCTCCGCCTAGTAGATGGGGATACTCTCCTTGCCTCCCTCAGCATTCCCCCCATCGAACTCCCCCTTACCACGAACCCGCCGCGCGGGACATCGTGGCTAACGACCATGACGACACACGTGCTCCTCCACCCTACGAACCGAACAATGGACCTCGTGCACTTCGCCCGCAAGTCCTGGAAAGATGGATACATCAACTTGCGCGTCGACGTCGATCGTGTGCGCGTATCGGGCGGTGCGCTTGGGGACAGCAGCTGGCGGCGACGCATCAGCCAGGAGCTGCACGACGTCTCCGCGGACGTCAAGGTCGAAGGTGCGCTCGTCAGTGCGGCGCTTGCGGAGCATTGGACTGAGGCGCTCGTTCAGTTCCCGCTGTTCCTGGCCTCCCAAATCCCGGCCACCATTTTCCGCCTGTTTCTCAGTTGATCACGCTCAAGGACTTTAGGGTCGCCTCCTCGAGGGCGGGGCTGCTGCTTTCTGCAGAGGCGACGATTGTGGACCCAGCACCGGACACGTTCAATATTACTACGCCTGAGCTTCCGTTTTTTGTTTCGCTACCGACATCGGATGGTCCTCCCTTCCAGATTGCCTCGATATCGACTGCGCCATTTACCCTCACGCATCCGAATATAACGCTGCATATCTCTGGCCAGGTCCTTCCGCTCACACCCAACGCAACTCATGGCGTGCTCTCCGACTTCATCAGCCGCTATCTTTCCGCTCAGCCTAATCCCATCTTGCTGTCCACGCCATACCTGCTGAACTACACTCTGGACGCCGTCTTTCCTGCGCCCAGTCCTCGCCCGCGCGTACTGCGCGACGTCACTATCCGAGACATGCACATTAAACCGGTCGGGACGACGTTTTATGCCAGTGGCACGGTTTACGCGCGCGTTGTCCTGCCCCGGGGCATGGATATTGACCTGAATGTGTCGCGCGTATTACCGGACGTCATTGTCTTCGATGGCGAGGTCCCGGACGATGTCGACCCAGAGCACGGACTGCCTGACCCACTCCCGGAGCGCGCGTTTGGGCGGCTGCAGCCGGAGGAATGGATTCCTGCGGACAGCGTACCGGATGACCACGAAGGCGACGAGGGTAGCGCGCTCGCGGTGCGCGCAGACATTGTCGATGTGCCGCTCGAAGTGCTGCCCGGTAGGCAGAAGGAGTTTAGCAACTTTGTGAGCAAGGTTATCTTTGGTCACGATGGGGCGACGGCTGGCATCCTCGGTACCACTGCTGTCGGGGTGTCTGTCCGTGGGCTGCCAGTCCTGGACGATGGGAAACCGAGCGAGATGGACCTCCGCGGACTTCCGTTCAAGGGGAACGTGAAGGTGGGCAAGAAGTGAGGAGCAGGAGAGACGGATTCATGTGAGTAAGTAGGAGACAGATCTACTAGACGGAGCGACGATGTAACACTGTACCATAGACCGCGCATTATTGTTCACCATGTCTGCCAGAGTCAGCGCTCGCCACCTTGTCTGCAGGAAGAAGAGCTCTCCCGCGAAGGCCCGAAACAGCCCGAAACGGGGCGATTTACGCTCTATGACGGACAGGAGCCCGGGCAAATCGGGCAACAGCGATGGTCTCGCACGATCGAGGCGAGGGGCATTTCCCTTTTAGGAAGTCCTTGTTGCCCCGAAAAGGCGAAATTGCCGTCAGCGGAGGCAAAGATCCCCAATCGTCGATCACGAAAGTCAACCTGTCTAACCAATGACATTTCAGTTTTTTAGCGTCAGGGGCAAGGGCGTATATTATGCCACTGCGCAGAGCAGGCTGGAGCGCGCACAACAACAGCTGAACTATCCTTTTTCCCTCCCACCACCATGTTCTCCTCGAGCTATGCAGCGGACAACGGGCATGTGGGCGTCGACGCGCAGCCGCTGGTCGGAGGCGCGCACGCAGCCCAGGACTTTGAGGCTGCCGTCGCGGCGATGATGGCACATTCAAGGCAGGCACCGAGCGCACACCCGCAGTGGGCCTTCGCACCCGCATACACCCAGCAACTTCAGTCCCACAACACCATTGCACCCAGCAGCACTATAACTCCCGGCTCTGCTTCCAGGAAGAACTCCAATGGCCTTGCCGATTTCCTCATGGCTGCCCCCGAAGTACAGGGCAATAGGCAGCGCACTGCGCACGCCTGCGAGAAATGCCGCGAGCGCAAAGCGAGTGAGTCTTGCCTCTTGTCTCTCGGTGTTCCCAATACCGACCACCCTTGACTCAGAGTGTTCTGGCGAGCGTCCCACCTGCGAGCGCTGTACGAAGCGCGGACTCATCTGCCAGTACGCGGCCCCGACCGGTAGAAAGGGCGGCCCCAGTCTGCAAATCGACATGCCAGTGAGCCACAAGCGTCGAGGCTCGGCAGACGTACTGGGCAGTCCGCAAAAGAGCCGCCGCAACGCCCAATCGTCTTCTCGCCCCCGTCATCAGCTCGAGCGGTCGTTCTCGCATTCGCAGCCCTGCTCGCCTGTTCGTGAAGCCGCCGTCTTCTCTTGGATGCCGGCAGACTACGATCCCGACTCTCCGATGCCCCAGCAGACGGGCAGCTACTACGCCGCGATGGAGGCGCAGCAGGCATGGCGCGCGGCGGGGAAACACTCGTATCTGGCTGGGACTTTAGAGGGGACGCGGGGCCTCGACAATGTGATGCACAACGCTGCCGCCTTTCAGCCTGGCTACCCAGCGCTGCCGCAAGTATCCCAACCGCTGTCGCAGGGAATACTCGACGGCAGTATGATGCACGATCAGCGCGTGTATGGTCTTCAACAACCCCAGCGGGAGCGCTGGAGCTTCTCCGACGGTAGTGACGGCGAATGGGCTGAGTACGTTAAATCCTCTCTCTGGAGGAGGTGCAGAGGCTCATCAGTTTACCAGGTTTTCCGAGCCACCTTCTGCGACGCGCTCGGAGTTCAGCCTCGCTTCAGACATGGAGCCGCACTCACGGCCGTGGTCTACATCCGAGGCGGCGTCCATGAACACTCTCGCGCCGGCTTTCGAGGCCTTCCAGTTCGCCGATTCACCGACGTCGCAGGAGGGCGCCGGCGCCGCTGACGCCTGGTATAGCTACCCTACGCTTGCGTCTCAGGAGCAGCAGTATCGAGTGGAGGCCGAGCGGGACGTGCCACTCATGTACCCGAAGCCCAGCCTGCCCATTGGCGTCTCTGACTTGGTGGACCGGGCTGGCGATGAGCTCGCGGCGGCGCCGGAGGGCGGGTATTTCGGCTACATGGGAGCGAGTGAGGAGGAGGGAGACTTGACGGGCGTGGTGGTGTGATGGCGAAAGGAGGTGGTGTAATGGGCGAGGGGTAATGCATGCGGTCTGGTAGGGTATGGTACTATCGATACATATACTAGAGCACGGGTTAATTTGGGCGCATTGTATATACTATAGTTTATGGCCACATAAAAGGGGTTCATTGGTACGCATCCGCTCGGTAGTTGTCTGCTGCAGATATTATATACACGACGAGTCGGTGAATTTTGCAAGAAACTAATGTTACACGGGTACAAGATAGCGAGTGATAGTACACAGAACAAGAAAGCAGATACAAGCATAGTCCCAAGCAATCGCCTTGCCTAGCAAGGTCTCTCGCCACCCTTGATTGAATCTCGACTTTCTGCAGCTCAGAACTCCCATCACCATAGGGAAGAGCAAGGTCAGTTCAACTTCGACTTCAACTTCCAAAAGTCGTGCTGAAGTCACGCCTGGTCGCGGACGCGTGACTCCGAAAGCCCAGCGCAAGATCCGAGCCCGCGTGCGCCGTCCCCCCTCGATCTCCTCCGCCAGGCGCCGCAGACGCAATGTGGGGGACTTGTGCGGGGTTCATTTTGGTTCCGTCCGGGGTGCGGCGGAGGGGGGCGGGTTGAGCTTCTTGTCCTTCGACGACCACGTCTCAGGGCGGCTTTACGTGCGACGGCGAGGACGACATAAACGCTTGCGATACCGCACTACGGTCATCTCTCATCCTCATTCCTCTTTTCGCTTCAAGGACTAGAGACTCCTGAATCGCTAGCATGCTTCGTTGCACGCGTAGTTTGGTACAGCGGTCGGCTACGCTGGGGATGAGAGCAGCACGTCCTGGTCCCTCTCGCATCGCCCCAGCTATTCGCATCGCGAGACGAGGTGTATCCACGTACAACACGGACATCGCGGGGCTCACGTCGGATGAGGAAGAGGTGCGTCCGCTCATAGCTTGCTCTGTGCTAAACCCCGATCGCTCACCGTACTCCTTCCTTTATAGTTCCGCAACGTCGTCTGGGACTTCGCGCAGAAGGAGATCGCGCCCCGGGCGGAGGAGATCGACAGGACGAACACGTCGCCTATGGTGCGATGAACGTCTTCTACCCACACATCTGCTGGTGCTGACTCCTCTTCCCTCTCCCTCAGGACGTCTGGGAGAAGCTCGGGGACATGGGCTTACTCGGAGTCACTGTCTCCTCGGAGTACGGCGGCGTCGAGCTCGGCTATTTCCAGCACACGCTTGCGATGGAGGCCATCTCCGAGGCTTCCGGGTCCGTAGCGTTGTCGTATGGGGGTGCGTATCGTGTGCATCCCTTCACCACCTCTCTTTTACAAGCGCCCCTCCTGAACCCATCAGCTGAGCTGGCACTCATCTAACCATCTCATAGCTCACTCGAACCTCTGCGTGAATCAAATCCACCGGCATGGCACGGACGCGCAGAAGGCGAAGTACTTGCCTGATCTGATCTCTGGGAAGAAGGTCGGTAGTCTCGCGATGAGCGAGACGGGAAGCGGGAGCGATGTCGTAAGCATGCGGACGAGGGCGGACAAGGTGAAGGGAGGGTACAAGCTGAATGGGAATAAGTTCTGGTGAGTGGTCGGATTCACGAACATCTCCACAATGGCCACTCGCGCGAAGAGGGTTGACACAGCGGCCATCGGCGGTGCAAAGTATTGACGGAGGGTTGCCAGGATAACGAACGGCCCAATAGCTTCGACGTTCGTCGTGTACGCGAAGACGGAGCCCGAGAAGGGGTCCAAGGGTATTACAGCGTTCATCGTGGAGAAGGGCACGCCGGGATTCTCTACCCACCAGAAGCTGGACAAGTTTGGCATGCGCGGGAGCGATACGTGCGAGTTGGTGTTCGAGGATTGTGTTGTGCCGGAAGGTGCGCAGTATTCTTGCTGCCTTGTCTGCTTTGCGGGATGTTGATCTTCGCCAGAGAACGTGTTGGGGCAGGTAAACCGCGGCGCCGCGGTTTTGATGTCTGGTCTCGATCTTGAGCGACTGGTGCTTAGCGGTGGTCCACTCGGGTATGCGATTTCTCTCTTCGCCGTATGATTCCTGGTATCTGACCCGCATGCAGCCTCATGCAGTCCGCCTTCGACATGGCAGTCGAGTACGTACATGACAGGAAGCAGTTTGGGCAGCCCGTTGGCGAGTTCCAGTTGATGCAGGGTAAGTGGACTTCACGTTCTCAGGTCCAGGAAGAAGCTGACCTTGTGGTTGCATTTACAGCCAAGATTGCGGACATGTATACGAAGCTGAATGCGAGTCGGTCGTATGTGTACGCGGTGGCGCGCGCATGCGATAAGGGAAGGATCAGTCGCAGGGTGAGTTGATGGGGGGTGCAGACGTCGGGGAATCATGAGCTGATCTGTTTGCTCAGGATTGTGCTGGAGCCATCCTGTACTCCACTGAGAAGGCCATCGAGGTCTGTATTGAGGCACAGCAGTGCTTTGGGGGGAACGGCTACATCAATGGTGGGTTGCAGGCCTAGACTTTACTTATGAAGCTTTCGAGTACTGACGTCCTCTTTTAGACTACCCCATTGGTCGCTTAGTTCGCGACTCGCGTCTGTACGCGGTCGGGGCTGGCACGCAGGAGATTCGGCGGATGCTCATTGGCAGGGAGTTCAACCAGCAGTTCAAGGCTTGAGGTGGACCTTATTTTCGTCAGCGCTCCAGCACACTGTATCATAGAAACACAATTCTGTGTCTGCAAACAGCCTGTAGGGCCTTGCAAGTGCTCGGAGAGTAAACGAACCGTGACCGTTGAATTTGTTGGCATCAGACGCGTCGGTCACGTCCTCGTGATCGTTCGCTGCACGCGCCCCGGACCGGAGCTCCGTTAAATTACTCGACGCGGTTTGACTCTTGTTCTCTTGTTCACTTCAACGTTGGCGGCTCAACCTGTTCCTCCTCGACGACAATCTGCTCGCTTCATGTCTCTCCTCTGAACTATACACTCTTTGATTATCTGCAATACTTGAATATGCCCCTACGCGTCACCTGGCAAGCCATCTTCGGCGAGGGGTACACCACCATCGAGAACAACGAGGAAGTGCTTGAAGGTCTTGACGATGCACAGCGACCAGACGTCGAGGAGGGGCCCCGGTCCAGTAACGACCATCCCTCACTTTATGTGCACGCATTTGAGAGTGCGTAGCAGTGCCAGTAGCGCCGAGGTGTCGAAGCTGACAGTCCGCTACCCCATAGCGATGATGAAGGCCATATTAGCGCATGAGGCGCATCTGCTAAGTGAGGGGGAGCTGGAGTGTATACAGAACTTTGTGCACCTTCCATGTGCGTGGTCCGATCGCGCTGCATACGCATAGGCGCTGATAGTCTTTCTCAGACCCCGCCCGCTACACGCTTGTCCGTCTCGTTCTGAGGAAGCCTGGCGCGTGGCACCCGATGAGCAGTATGCAGACCTTTATACGCGAAGTCGGAGAAGAGGGAGTTCTCATGGCGCTGGACGAGCTATGCAAACCACTGCCCGCGACTGAACGCTCGTTCTCCACTTCGTCTACTTCCTCTAGTTCAACTCTCGTTGACAGTGATGGTGACACTACATTACACGACTGGCAGCCTACGCCAACACCAACATCACACACTCCCTCTGCGACACCATCCTCCTCCAAGATTCCTGCCGACGCTGAGATCATCGACCTTACCCTGGGCGACGATGAAGAGGAAGACATCGGCGGCCCCTGCGGGCAAGCCGCCGACCCCGCACACCTTGACCTTAGCTACTTCTGCCGCAACGAAGAGCACATGGACCTCGACGACATCCTCAACCGACTGCAGACCGCCCAGCTCAAAGTCCTCATGAAGCAAATGAAAGCCAAGGACCAGGTGACGAGGAAGGAGGATATGATTGCCTCCCTACGGCGTGCGGCATGCAATCAGAAGTTATTGAACTTCGCCCCCGTGTTTGCGAAGTCACAAAAAACTCAGCAGAAGCCGTCAAATGCGCTGAAGACGCAAGAGGGCGTGCTGAAGAAGCACGCGCTGAAGGAGCTGGGGAGGTGCTTGCAGGTCAACATGGATTTCGTACGTTTTGTGCGAAGGATGCATATAATCTTCTACCGAAGGTGGGCTCTTTGCTATACATTCCTCTGCTATGACTCGCTGACCAGTAGACAGTACCGAACTGCCGACACGCCTTCTGCTCCCCGCCCTCCTCTCCAGCTTCCGCATACGATCCTACCCTGACATAGGGCCCATCACCCGCGACGGCAATATCTGGACATCGCGCGAGGACTTCCTCGAGTACGAGGATGCACTTCTACTCCAGGCGGAGTACGAGCAACTCATGGGCGACACCGAGGGCTCCCCACTCGACACGAATAATCGCTTCGTCTCCGAGGGCTCCAACGTCCTCGAACGAGCGACACCGGCTCCGAGATCCTCGAGGTCAAGAGCCACGCCAGCGCCAAAGCGGAAGAGGGACGCATCCGTCGCGGACGAGCCGCCAGAGCCGCCAATATCGCTGAAGCGGGCGAGGCATATCGAGGAGGTCTTCGACAACTCGGTATACCGCAAGTGGAAGAAGCTGGTCAAGCGGAAGCGCAAGTCGACGGAGGTGCGGGCGCCGGGATTGGAGAGGTTCGAGGCTGGCTACATCTTCACGCGGCTCGTCTACAAAGCCGCGCACGCCTTCGGGATGCTCAAGATGTATGACAAGGAGCTCGAGGTGCTCGACGCGCTCCTCAAGCAGCGCTTCTGGCGTCGGGGCAAGGTCGCGGACTGGTATGCGCGGCAGGCGTTGATCCAGATGAACCACTTGTGTTGCGAGTCGGACGATAAGACGGAGAGGGCGGCGCATAAGGACGAGATGCGGGAATGTGCGCGGGCGACGCTGTTAGCGGCGCTTGATGACGAGGATGTGGGGGCTGGTGAGGAAGCTTGCTTGTTTTTTTTTTTTTTGAGGGCAAGTGGGTTGATGATCATTCAGTGTACCGCCCAGGATTGCTACATCGACTCCAGCGGCTGGAGAAGATGCTGAAGATCAATTCGAGTGTCTCGGAGCCGCTGGGCAAACCGAACGAGGTTTGGGTAGTGGCGGAAAGGATACACAAGATGGAGGGCGAGGGTGACGGGTGGTCACCAGGGAAGGAAAATCGGGACAACACGCTGACACAAATGTGGCGGGATCCGGATGAGTTAGTCCTGATACAGGATGTGAGTGCAAGATGGTGAGGTGGGGGCGAGGAAAAGCTGATATCGTTGGTAGCCCAAGTACAATATGCGGAAAGCGATGGGGAAGTCGATATGGAAGGGTCGGGACGATCAGCAGGTCAATGTGGAGACGGTTGCGCTACAGCACTATGAGGCCCTAGGCTACAAGGGGTACGTCCTGCAATATCTGGCCGGCATTCAAGAGTGCTGATGCTATCGCAGCTTCCACGCGGAGACCCGGATATTGACGACTTTGTTCGCGCTCCTGTTCTGGGATGTGCTTTTCGCGCGCGTACCGAGCGTCTTCGTTACCGAGTTTCAGACAGCCCCGCTGGATCTGGCAGAGGACACGTTCTACAGTGCTAGGAAGGAGCTTATCGAGAAGCGATTGGCGGAGCTCTTGGAGGAGGGCAAAGCGTTGGAAATCTTGCGGCGGAACGACAAGTTCTATCGCGAGACCAAGACCTTTTGCATCGGCCTCTCTTGGACGAACTGCAGCGCGGAGGATCTGGAAGAGATCGTAGAGGTACGGGCAAGGTGGATACCGAAATGAAAAGCGATGAGGCTGACGGGTGTGATAGTGCATGGGAGGACATGCTCTGCGACATATTTGCCTGCTTTTCTGCCAGGACTACGCCGGGCGGTGCGGTGGCGTACCGGATTTGATTGTTTGGAAGATGACAGGAGAGGAGCGGTGCAAGTTCGTCGAGGTCAAGGGGCCGGGTGATCGGGCCTCTGACGCGCAGAAGGTATGTAGCAGCAACGAAATGGTCGAGAAAGTTGCTCATCGCTCCGTAGCTCTGGTTCGATTCGTTGCTGAGGGCGCAGGTGCCTGTCGATCTGTGCCATGTTGCGGACTCGAAGGAACCGCCTACGTCGGGCGTCAAGCGCAAGCGATCGAAGAAGGAGAAGGACGTCGTAGTGGGAGACGACGACCGCCCGTCGACGCCGAAGCGAACCGCGAGCAGGTGAGGTCGCCGGTACGCGTCGGCACCGCGCACATACCGCCGGCCGGTTGCGCGGCTCATCCTGTGTCGGCTAAGTTCGTTTCCGATTTCTATCAGAGTTACTCGTGGATTTATTCTGTATGGTCTACCTGGAGTTTGTGCTGTGTACGCTAGGTTTTACTCGGTTTGATAGACTGAGTCGTTGGGGGCGCCGTTGAGACAGAGCGAAGAGGGAAAGTCCGAGTCTGTATGCTCACCGGTGCTTCACACGAACAAAGTAGTACAAATAATCACCAGACCAGGTAAGTGTGCTCGTTGACTTCTTCCTCACAACGTCCACTCTCTCCTCCCCTTCGCGAAGAGGCTGCACTGGGCTCGAGCTGCCCATGCTCTGCGCAAGAAAGTGAAACGGAAAGAGTTAAACCCGGGCCGTGCACGTGTGAATCAGTAGGTGACACATAGGCCGTTACCCTATTAGCGCCGTTCGGCGGAGGTTCATGTTATTCATCAGGTTTACGGCTTGATCCCCACCCTCATCTCGAGCGCACGCTGCACACCGAACGCCGTCCAGCGCTGGCGACGTCCCCTACCCCAGCTCAGCGATGAGCAAACAGTCCATGAACACCCTAGCCAAATGGTCCGCGCGCTTCTCCATCGAGCGCCTCTTCTCCCCGAAGCAGAGGCACGTCGGCCCGCGCACGGTGTTCGTGCACGAAGAGCTCCCCAAGGACTACTATGACCATCGCGAACACGTCCTCAAGGACCACGTCTACCACCCGAACCAGATCATCTCCAGCAAGTACACCCTCTTCACATTCCTACCGCGCAACCTATTGGAGCAGTTTAGGCGAATCGCGAACATGTACGCCCCCTTGCACTTTGTCTCGGAGCCCCCCTGACCGCCCTTCCTCCTCTAGCTTCTTCCTGGGTATCGCTATCATCCAGTTCTTCCCCGAGTTCCACACCATCTCTCCCGGTGTCGCGATCCTGCCCCTCATTATCATCATCGTTGTGACCGGAATCAAGGATGGCTACGAGGACTACAAGCGCCATGTCTCGGACAGGAACGTAAACCAGAGCAAGGTCGACGTGATAGCCGGCGACGGGTGGCACAACCCGAACGCCATGAAGGGGAAGCAGAAGACGTTCGTCCGCCGCCTCATTCCCAAGCAGTTGCCCGGCGTGAAGCATCGCGACATGGAGGGCGGGAAAGTGGTTCCAGACTCGCACGCGCCGCATTGGAAGACAGAGCTGTGGGAAGACCTGCGCGTTGGCGACTTCGTCAAGATCACCGACGGCGAAGCCATACCAGCTGACATTCTCATATGCTCGACCTCCGAGGACGCGAACGTCGCGTTTGTCGAGACCAAGAACCTGGACGGCGAGACGAACCTGAAGTCGCGTAGCGCGGTTCCCGCTCTGACGCACATACGGACACCCGAGGACTGCGTGAACCCGGAGAACAAGTTTAGCATCGACTGTGACCGGCCGGACATGAACATGTACAGAATCAACGCGGCAGTCTCTGTGGCGGGTATGAAGTCCTCGGTCGACCTTGTCAACGTTTTGCTTCGCGGGACTATACTCAGGAACACCAAATGGGTCGTTGGCGTTGTAATGTTCACTGGTGTCGACACCAAGATCGTGCTCAACGGAGGTTTGACCCCAAGTAAGCGGACCAAGATTGAGCGCCAGATGAACGGTCAAGTGTACGTCCGTCGTTCCCGGGACCAGTGACTACATGCTGACCGTCAGACAGGCTCTGGAACCTTGCCCTGCTTGCCGTCATGACCGTGGTCTGCGGTATAGTCGACTCAGTGCTGGAACAGAAGTACTACCCTCTTGGTGCGCCGTGGCTATACGGTGATAACCAGGACGACGATAACCCAAGCATCAACGGTCTGATTACCTGGGCGTTCTCCCTCCTGACGTGAGTCTCATCCCTTCCGCCACCTGAGTCTTCATTCACGCTGTCGCAGCTTCCAAATCATCATCCCCATCTCCTTATACATCTCGCTCGAAGTCGTGCGGACCCTCCAGGCCGCATCCATCTACTTTGACGATGATCTCAAGTACCAGAAGACCGGTCAGCGCACCGTCGCGCGCAGCTGGAACTTGGCGGATGATCTCGGTCAGATTGAGTACATCTTCTCGGACAAGACGGGTACTCTCACGCAGGTGCGGCTGCTTTCCGTGGTGCTGGTTGGTACACGTGCTAATTATAAGTAGAACGTCATGGTCTTCCGACAATGCTCCATCGGTGGACGCTCGTACACGGGAGACGAAGAGGCTGAAGCGGAGGAGGTCATCGTCGCGAAGCAGTCCTCGTCGTCGGAGGCGCTACCTAAGTTCAAGACGGCCATCCCGCACTTCAAGGACGCTGCGCTGCAAGCCGACCTCGACGCGGCGTTGTCTGAGAAGTCTGACCCCGCGGACGCCGCTCATGCGCGTTTGCTCAACGGTTTCCTATCCTGCCTCGCCCTTTGCCACACCGTTCTCGCCTCGCATGACACCGAAACCGACCAGATCGAGTACAAGGCACAGTCTCCGGACGAGGCCGCGCTTGTGCAGGCCGCCGCTGACATCGGGTACATCTTCCTTGGGCAGGACAAGGAGGTGCTGACGCTGCAGACGCCGTCGTCGATCGAGCGCTACGAGCTGCTGAACGTGCTCGAGTTCACGAGCGCGCGTAAGCGGATGAGCGTCGTGCTGCGCAAGCTTGACGATGAGGATGGTCGGCTGTTCTTGTTCACGAAGGGCGCCGATAACGTCATTTTCGAACGCCTCCGGGCAGGCTCTGACGACCTGAAGGCCGCGACGGAGGAGCACCTGTCGGAGTTTGCGCGCCACGGTCTGCGGACTTTGACTTTGGCGTACAAAGTCATCCGAGGTATGTAACTGTGGTTAATTCCTCTTGACAAGTTGCTAACGACAGCGCAGAGGAGGACTACGTAGCTTGGAGCGACCGCTATCATGAGGCATCGATTGCTATGGAGGAGCGCGAGGAGAAGATCGAGGCCGTCTGCGAGGAGCTCGAGACTGACCTTCGCCTTCTTGGTGCTACGGCCGTCGAGGATCGTCTTCAGGACGAGGTGCCGGAGACCATCGCCGACCTCAAGCGCGGTGGTATCAAGATCTGGGTCGCCACTGGCGACAAGCTCGAGACTGCTATTGGTATGTGTATACGCTTAGATAATTAGTTGCATACTCACGTTATCTCAGCCATCGGTCGTAGCACGAACCTCATCGGCGAGGACTCGAACATCATCGTCGTTCGCGGTGGTAACCCGTCTGGACGTCCCGTTCGGCAGCAGATGCATGCAGCCATCGAGACGTTCTTCCCCGAACATGTCAATCAGGATGAGATGCTCGAGCTGGAGAAGACTGGTGCACCACCATCACCGGGAGGGAACCAGCTTCGCCGTGTCAACACTGGGGTATCTTCCATCGTTGGGCCCGAGAACGGTGACAGGCCAGGAGGCTTCGTCCTTGTCATCGACGGTGCTGCGCTGCACGACGTATGTATCCCTTAGGTTCGCGTTTGTACCACAGCTGACATCTCACGTAGGCCTTCGACGACGATGAGAACCGCGCTACGCTTCTGCGCCTCGCCATTCTTTGCGAGGGTGTCATCTGCTGTCGTGTATCCCCCAAGCAGAAGGCGCAGATCGTCCACCTCGTCAAGGACGGCCTCCGCGTCATGTGCCTCGCCATCGGCGACGGTGCCAACGACGTCTCCATGATCCAGGCCGCCGACATCGGTGTCGGTATCTCTGGTGAAGAGGGCCGGCAGGCGGTGAACTCGTCCGACTACGCTATCGCGCAGTTCCGCTTCCTCAAGAAGTTGCTGCTGGTTCACGGGCATTGGTCGTATGCGCGCATCTCCAAGATGATCCTGACGTTCTTCTATAAAAACATCGTGCCTGTTGGGGTGCTTTGGTGGTTCCAGATCTATAGCGCATGGAGTGGTTACTAGTGAGTGTCTTCGCTGCTTCTTGGTGATCTCCTACTGATCGTCTTTTCCAGCGTCTTCGATTACATCTACGTGCTTTTCTATAACTCTATCTGGACCGTGCTCTCTTGCCCTGCTATCGGTCTCTTCGATCGTATAGCTCGTGAGTAGCCCCCCAACTTCCCTCGTTCGCCGTGCTTACAAGCGATAGATGATCGTGACCTGATGGACCTTCCGGAGCTCTACAAGTACGGACGTCTCGGGACGTGGTTCGCCTACAAGAACTTCTTCATCTACATGATCGACGGCGTCTACCAGTCCGTTATCGTCTTCTTCTTCATCTTGTACGCGTATAGGACGGACTCGGCGAGAGGGGATGGCTACGACACTGGCATGTACGAGATGTCCACGGTGCGTTTCGGCTCTTGTGCTTTGAAGTATAAGTCGTTGACCTTTTCCCTCAGACAATGATCATGGCGATCGTTCTGATTGCCAACTTGTACATTGGCTTCGCTGCTCATGCTTGGACGTGGTGGTTGCTCTTCGGCACGCAAGTCGGCACCCTCATCGTCTGGGTTTACACGGTATGTTAGCCATTCATCTTCGCGAGGATGTCGCTCATCTTGGACCTCAGGCTATCTACTCCTCGCTTGACCCCGCCAGCACAGGTGCCGTGAACCTCGCCGGCAACGACTACTACCTCTTCCATTCGCCCATTTTCTGGTTCTGCCTCGTCATCACCTTCTGCCTGAGCTTCGCGCCTCGTTACCTAGCGCGGGCCTACAACACCGGCTTCGGCAAGTTGGACGATCTCGACATGGTCAACATCATACGCAAGCGCGACCCGCACCGCAGTCTCAAGATGGGCCCGGCCTCTGACGAGCAGGACAGCACTGACATCGAGATGGCGCGCCTCAAGCGTCGACAGTCGCGGCCTATGTCCGTGATGTCCGGCGTGTCGTCCGTGTCGCGTGTCTCGAGACCTGCGACTGCCATGGCAAGTCGCACCGACATGTCCACGGGCATCGTCAGCGTCGACCGTGGATTCGACTTCGCAACGGAGGAACCAGGTCCGGCTATGCGTCGGATACAGACTAACCTCTCCGAGCGTCGGACAGCAAGTCGGTTAGCCTTGCACGAAATCGACGAGCGACATCCACACCACAAAGCCTCCCTCAAGAACGGTCTATCCCACCTTGCGAGAGGGCTCACGAGGAAGAAGGGGTCTCATTAGAGTGATTACAGACTATTCCCCTCGTACCTACTTCCTGTACTATTGCTGTTCAGCGCCACCCCCCACCGTACTATCTATACTTTTACCTGTTCATATCCTGTATTATCTAGTGAACCCACCCACTACGCTCGCTACGTTACCTGGATTCAGTCGGTGTCATCCGGTGCTTTACGACCTTCAACGCACGCAGTAGATACCTCGTTATTTATCCGTAATCAACAGTGGACGCGAAACCTCCTCGCCGAAAAGTAATAGAATTTGCGGACTGTCCATCTGATCCGAAGTGAAAGCCAGAGGAGGCTGATGTCGAGAAAGGACATCGACTAATTGCGCAGTCAAGGGGAACCCAGCCAATTAGTGGTACAACATCAAGTTCGTGATTCAGTGAGCACCAGAGCAAGTACAGTAGGTTATACACATACAGTACAGGCGCTAGTACTACCCTTGTCCGTGTCAATATTCCACAAAATGCGTCAGTCCGTGAAGTCCGTTATAGTCCATTGTACATCATTCATTGTTCACCCGTCGCGATGCATATGGTCAGCCATCGCGAGGGGCATTCAGTCATCGCGGGGCAGAGCGTCCGTGTCAACCACTCTAGCCACCGTTGGCCTATGATGATTCAGGCCATTGGCATCTGCCTGGTGATTTAGGCCGCCTTAATCGTGAATTCCTCGCTGATGTTGCCAGAGTCGCCGAAGACTAGCTTGGGTGTGAGCAAGCGGAAAACATCAGAGACAAGTGACACGCACGAGTGATGCTGTAGTCGTTGCCGGGCTCAAGGTCCTCGGGGACGGTCACCTCGACATAGCCGGCGCGCAAGTCGAAGTCCTGCGCGAGCCAACCGATCGCTGCATAGCGCATCAGCAACTGTTGACTTGTTCCATGGACGATGCGACTCACGGGTGCCCTTCCTCAGCTGAACGGCAGCGCCGTTGCTGATTTGCTCAGGCGCGTCAGAGGTGTCCCTTCAAGTGGCATGAGAAACGTTCTATGCTGACAACTAGTATTCACATACCAGGTAACGTTGGCCGGCTCGCCGATGGTCCAGACGGTCTCCGCGTTGGGGGTCAGGATATGCGGGACCCAGACGTCGAGGGCAGCGCGAGCCACAGGCGCGACAGGGATGGCCTGGACGGCGAGGGCGAGGGTGGCAATGAAGGAGACGAAGAAGAACATGGTCGTGATTCGTGAGATCGTAGGCGTGTACTGCAGAGCGCTCAATGAACGGAACTGAAGATGGGGGAGCAAACCAAGAATGCGCAAGCTTATATAGAGGGCTACGGGATATGACAAAAATACACTGAGATCCTGAGATCGGCTGCCGCCTGCGGTGGGATGACTTCACTGCACCGCGCGGGCTGCCTGGACCGCTGAGTTTGCCGTGCTGACCCCACTTCCGGCTGAAAACATACGCCGCGAGTTGAACGAGCTGCTGTGCTTGTATGGCGAAGGAAGCGAGATCGCGCCTCGGGCATCTTCGCCGCTGGTCATGAGAGGCGCATACACATCGCAAAGATCGGTCCAAGAGCGGTCTCGTGGACGGACAGAGGTAAAGAAGGTGATCACCGTATGTGTCGACCACGTGGCGTGATCAAGCATATGGCAAGCCGAGCGTGAACGCAGTAAACAACTGGACAGCCAAGATGTGGCGAGGCATGCACGACGCCTGCGCGAGAACCTCCTAGAAAGACAGCGCCTTAGCTATGTTGGGACGATACGGCTCAGGAACTGCACCGACCTCGAAACATACCCTTGGGCACTAGAATCTACGCGAAGTGGACCCTTCGCTTCTTCGACGGTGGCGGACTCGAGGGTAACTTCACAGTCTTGTGCACAAGCACGGCATCGTCCGCGCGTTCGTCGGCTATGCGTACCCTCTTCATCGGGGAGGATACACCGGTGGAAGACGGTGGTGGTCGAATAGTCAATGCACTGGACTCCGATTCGCCAGAAGATTCGTCTGGCCCTCGGCGCACGGTGAGGAGCGGGACATTCAAGGGACTGGTGAGGGTAGGGGACTCGGTAATGAATGAGGGATGCTATGTCATAGAAGAAGGTTAGCTCGGTGCTTGGTAGAGTGATCGACCTTTCTGTACGCACAGCGATGTAGTGTCGAATCCCAGCCTCGTCTAGCACTTTCGGCATCTTAGCGAGGTGTTTTCCTTCGAGCTCGAGGCGGCGAGACAGCATGTTCTCCTCGGCTGTTCCTCGTATAATGAGGGTCTTCACTGCACCCGGATCGTCACCATGAATGCCTTTCATGAGAACGGATGGTGACAGCTCACCGTTAACCTCGCTTCGCTTTTGTCCGATTCGGTGGACTCGCTGAATGAACTCTAGGTCAGGTCGGATCCAACATGGTGAGGTAGGGATAGCCACCTTGATAGCTTGACTCTCTACGTCCGCTTGCCAGACCGGCTCGCAGAAGATCACCCGGGAAGCGGAAACGAGGTTGCTGCGACATGGTCAGCGCCACCATCCACGAGCACAGTCAAGCGGGCCTTACAGTCCTCGGGCACCGTACTTGAGCTCCATCAAGAACACACGGTAGACGTCGGAGGTCTCGAATGTCATCACCATCTGTTCTCGCTGCCTTGGCTTCGCCTCCGTCGTGAACCGCATGTATCTGACCTCGAGCAGTTGCAGAGCTTCTTCGATGTACGCCAGCGTCAGCGGCGACTCGGAGAAGATTAGAAACTTCTCGTCTCCGGAATACCGCAAGACCTAGAAAGCAAGGTGAGTCCCTGCACAACTCATAGGCACCGGAAGTGTTTTATCTCACCTCGTTCATGACGTAGTTCAGCTTCGAAGACGTCGAAGAGAGTATACGCACGCCCGCGAGGGGCGACTCGCCGAAGAACTTCCTGGCTCCAGAGACCGTTCTGCGTTGCAAGCTCTCCTGCACCTTGAGCGCTTTCCGTAGCTCTGTCTGCATCCCTTCGAGCACCTCCTTCGGCGGAGCAGGCTGCTGCGGTCCCTGCGCCTTGCTCCCCTCTCCATTCTTCCTTCGCCACGCCTTCGAACGCCGCTCGTACGCGTCATTGAATCTGCGCTGCTTCACATCGACGTCGTCGTACGCATGTCCGAGGCGCACGAGCTCGTCGACGTCAGTGAATGGATCCCGCTGCACCTCGTTCTTCAGCGCCAGGAGTCGCGTGGCGTGGATGTACCCGCTGGTGTCTGTGGCTGGTACGATCCCAGGCACTCTTGTGACTGTCCACGCATTGAGGACGCGGCGTGGCATGCCTTCAACGCGGAAGACGACATCTTCTCTCGTCTGCATGTCCCTCCAGAGTTGGTCTTGGCTGGCTACACGTCTGAATGGCAATCAGCTATGCAAGGGTAAGCCATGGAGGGGAAGGATACGAACACGATACGTTCGTATGCCTCATTGAGAGCTCGTATGTCGTCCTCTGGAGAGCCTCGTTCTATGGCCTTTGCTATACTCGCTTCCTCCGTCTTCTCCAGCTCTTCCGCGTTGTAGAACCTGTCGTCGACCTTCCAGAACATCAACCTAGGGCGGCAGTGAGTCTGGAGGTCCTGGATATGCCAGCTCATACTCACTGCGACATATTGCGTACGGTAGCTTGCAGATACTCCGTGTTCTGTGGGAAATTGTAAGCGACCGATGGGTGGAATAGCTGGTAAGTCCGCGCACCCTGGGGTGGAACATGTAGTCCTATATGAATCGTCAGCGTCTCCATTACACCCTGAGATCGAAATCCTACCATATCTTCCCGCTGAGACTGCACCGCGTTCACTGTAATAACCCCCTGCAGTGCATTATACGACTTAATCGCATACGGGTCCATATCCAGCAACACATGCTCCCTCGCCACCTTGGGCAGCACCACGTCCTTCTCCACATCCTCGATCCGATGCCGCAGCATGCAGCTTGCCATGACCTGCGTGAGCACCTGGATCGCACCAGGCCGCGGCCCGCGCTTGTCGAGCAGCGGTGCCTTGACGTGCGAGGCGAAGAGCCCCGAGGCGCGCGCGAGCCGGGGGACGCCGACAAAGTGGGCAAGCATGTTCCCGAGCTTGCACAGGTCTTTGGCGTCGTAGCGCGTCCAGATGCGCGGGGCGGCGGGGGGTGAGGTGTCCGTGGAATCCAGATCGTGTTCAGGCTCCGAGTCGTCTTCAGGAGCAGCTGCGTCCTCTGCCTCGGAGGCGGTGTGGTCGCCGAAGCTGAGTCCGAGGAGGTTGGTGGTTGGTGTGCCGGTGACCACCCTGAAGACAGATGAGCAGGTGTTTCGAAAGAACTGTGTGTCCAAGTTCACCATTTCCTCTCGACGCTCAGCAACTTGGTTAAGGGAACGAGGTTGGAGTCGAGTGAGGCAGAGACGTGACCCTCGTCAATAACAAGGCGCTTCCATCGTATCTGAAGTAGAGGCGAGACCCTCGCTACCTGGCAGCGACAGTTCGGCACCCGCGTCCTCGACAGCTCCGCGCACAAGCAGACATCCCAAACATGCAGTCGCTCAACATCCGTGCGGTTCGCCTCGTCTGAGAAACGAGGGTATGTCATGAGGATGATCTGTGCTCTTGTCAATTCCAATGTGTTCTCAACAGAAAGTGACCTACGTCGTAGTCGTTGGCCAGCGCGATAACGTTCGGAATCTCATCGCGCCCCGCCAGCGTAAGAACTCTTGGTTGCTCTTCGCAGTGTTTCACGATCTCTTGCGTCCATTGCTGCAACAGCATCGGCGGCACGACGATGAGCGTAGCTGGCGAGAGGTACATTCGTCGCGGTCCCTCATCGGCTTTGAACCGTTGCGGTCGTTCAGCGGCGATGTCGCTGTCTCGATAGGCATGATAGAATGGCGTATTTGCACGAAGGACCTTGTCGAGCTGCAAGCTCTGCATCTGCTCGAGCAAGGTTGCGCGCTTCTCCGACATGCCGGCAGGGCATGAGAGGTCGTCCGTGCCGAGGGCGGCGGGATGGGTGCGAGCCTTGTGCAGCAGGAGCTCGACGAGGGAGGGCACACTGTGTGCTACTTTGGCTTTCTTGTTGCCGGTAGAGCGCTTCCGGGCAAGGATATTGTCGGCATCGGGAAAATGGCGCAGTGAGAGGGGCGTAAGTACGGGACGCGTGTCCATGACAGTGGGCTCCGGATCAGGAAGTTCGTGGAGGGTGGCGAGAATGAGGGATATGATCATGACAGTCTTTCCGGTACCTGAATGTGTGTAAGGAGAGTGTCTCAGGATGAAAGACTCCATAATGCGCACCAAGTTCCTCGCAAAGTATGCCCCCACGCGTCGATTCTGTTATGGGCCTGTCGCGCAAGAATTCGAAGGTCCCAGGCTGGTGCCATAGTTGTGATGCTCCATCGACGCTGGCGAAGGACGTGTAGAGTGGATCGGAGATGAATGCGGGTGTGCCCTCGCGCTGTATCATCGCAGCAACAGTTTCTCGTTGATACTTGTAAAGGTCACTTCGAAGGTTTAGGCTAGATGATGTGTAGTTCTCAGATAGTAACCAGCTGTCGACGCCAGAGCGATCGGTAGACGGGAGTGGGGAGGGCAAGTCGCTGTATATTTCTGATAGTGTACGTATATCCTGGGGGAGAGTTTCAGCAAATGCAGATGCTCGGAGTGTAGGGACACGCACGAATGTTGTAGGCACTTCCGTCACCATGCCCCCATCCCAACTTCGTGGGTCCCGATCTATCCTGAGCAGAACATTGCACAGCTGCTTCCTCGCCGCATTTACTATGTCAGGATGTCTGTTCCTCAAGCGCCCTTCCATCTTCGGTAAATCCCATGGCACCAGGTATGTCCTGAAGTACACTGTTGACCCAACAACGCGGTAGGTGATCGACAGGAAGAGGTGGTAAACCAAGTGATGTAGACCGCGTAGAAGCTCATCGTCACGAGGCGTCATCGCAAGGCTGAGCACCTTACTCAGATCCGAGAAGGGGAAGGGATGCCAGCTATCGTCGGCGTGTGCGTGTTCGCAGAAAGCGGCCAGCGCTTCAGGGCGTGCAGTGATCGTGATGATTCCAGCTGGCAAGAATTGCGCGAGATTGAAGCGGTCATGGTCTAGAGTAGATATGGGGATAGTCTTGGGTACATTCTGGGCGCACGAGGAGCAGCAGGATGAGCAAGTCATTGCGCGTCGCGTCGGGCGCTTGGGCGTCGGAGTGAAAGTCGATTTGCACGGCGGCCCGTCTCTCCGGCCAATGTTCAAATGCTCACATGGCATTTTGCGTGAGTCATCGTGACAATTGCGCGCTACAGGATATACTGCTTGGGGAGCAAAAGAGGAGATAGTATCTACGTGAGATACAAATACAGATACAGTGGAAAGAGCAGAGAGAGATCAACGGCCGAAATCCATCAACTCTTCGCTCGCAGCCGTCATCCGCTCGATGCGCTGGCGCAATTCCTCCCTCTTCATCGCAACCTGCGGACTCTCCTCCGCGAGCTCCTTGCATATTCTCTCTCCATTCGGACCGTGGATATGTAGCCCTGTGAGCATTACGTATGGAAGGCGGCGTTCGATACCGCGCACGAGCTCCTGGTCGATGGCGAGGGGGATGTTGTCCGCAAAGCGTTTGTAGGCAACTACAGAGGGGTGTTAGCAGTATCATGAGATGCTGATGGGTAGACGCACTTTGAAAGTAGGCTCGAACGTCAGCCATAATATGCAACGCGGGCTCCATAGCATCGGGAGCCAGAAGCCGGGCCACATCCTCTGCCTTGGTGCCCGTGATGCCGACCTCGACCGCGCCAGCGAGGACCTTCTCGATGCCCGTGGGAGCATCATACCCCGGACTCTGTGCGAAAGGCTGGCGCTGTCGCGCAGGAGGAAACAGAGATGACGCGGAAGGCTTCGCATGCTCGCGTATTTTCGCCATGAGACCCTCGTTTGACTGGGACTGGCGGGCGCTTTTGTAATAGGACATAAATTTGTCCGTGTAGTCTTGCAGATAGTGCGTGTTGAGCGTGAACGGCGCCTGCTCCAGCTCGACAAGCCAATCGATGCGTTCCTTGGTCCGCTCCTGCAGCTGCTTAAGGCGCTCCTGCAAGATCACCCTGCAAGTCCATTGGCATCAGCGTCATAGTCGTACTAAGCATAGTCAAAGACACATACTTGACACGATGCTCCAGCGTTCCCTGCCCGTAGCTACCAAAATGTCTCGAGGCGAGCTGATCGACCTGCAATCTGATTCGAGAGAAAACAGTGTCGCAGAGAGCCTGAGCTGGTCCTGCCCACTTGCTCGTGAAGTCGGAGATGTACTCCTCCTGTATGATGAAGGGGTAATTTCCTGGTAATTCGCGAGATCGCGCACTGTGCGGTGGTCAGCGTCATCTTACGGAACGTGATCAAGAATGACCGACTTCTTCGCCCGCTTCATGACCTCGTCGATATAGATCGTGCGCGCAGTCTCGGGAATATTTGGGGAACTGGACGAGGAAGACCCGTCATCCGACTGCGAATCCGAGTCGCTACCACCGTCGTCGTCCGATTCTTCGTCGTCCCCATCTTCGTTTTTCAAGAATGTCGGCTTGCTGAACGCACGCTTGCCTCGGTGTCGCCTCTCGTACGGGCGGAAGTCCGGCGCCGTCTGTCGAATCGCCTTGCGGAACCTGTCCTGCGAGGGACGGACCGTCTGGTGCAGCCCGTCTCGCTTGGGCACACCGCGCACGGCCTTGCCGACGTCCATTGCGAAGGCGTGTAGGATCGTCGTGATGTCCGTGATGGGGTCCTTCGACGGTTCCTTGGGCAGTTGGGATAGACTCTCGCGCGCACTCTCCACGCCCCTCTGCACCTCCTCGTATATCTCCGGAAGCCTGTAACACAATGACCCCATCAGCAACCTCGCCAAGCTCTCTCAAAAGCCACCACCACTCACCTCTTCGAAATCAAGTCTGAAAGTATATTACTCAGGCGCTCGACCAGATTTGGAGTGCGGAGGTAGCGCTGGTACACCGCCTCCAGATCCGTCCACGGGGGCGTCGACGAGAAGAACTCGTCCTCTCGTACGCGCGCCTGCTTGTACGAGATGCCCTGCTTGAGGTCCTGGGAGCTCGGCTGCTTGACGCAGAACCAATTGTTGTCGAGAGGCTCGACGATGTTCTTTATGAAGGAGAGCCATCGGGTCTCCTCGCCGGTGGGGATGCGGTCGGGCTTGGTGAGGACGCCTTGAATGGACGAAGGGTGAGCGCGCGGAAGGCGGAGAGTTGGGAAAGGTGACACATACCGACGGTGCGCTTGCCGTCTCTGTCGTACTGTTTCGCAAGGCCATACGCAGGCTGATTCTCGAAATCGGCTGTGTGTCTGTCAGCGTCACAGTAGAGGTTGTGCTCAGATATGCGTACTTTCGCAGGTGACAGTAAGGAGGATAACGCAGCTGGGCTTCTCAATATAGGACTTGACTAGGGCTTCGACCAGCTGGATATCGCTGGTGTTCCCGGTGCGGCTGACGCTCGCAATGAGACCTGAAACCCATCAGCATCGTCCTCGCAGGCTTAGCAATCCAATCACGCACCAGGCAGGTCAATAAACGATAGATCCGCCACATCAGGACCACTGATCTTCAGCTCGATGCAGTTCCGCGAGAACGTCAGCTGGGTGTCACTGGCAGGCTCGTCCGCGTCGTAGTCATCGGCAAGGAAGTGGTCGACCGGGACACTGGGGTTGAGAATGGCCCGCTGCGCGCGCCGGATGCGTTCCTCGACCAGGTGCCGCTCCGTGATGGCGGTGCCGAAGGTGACGCTACGGGGCATGGCGAGCGCCTGACCTCTGGCATCCGTCCAGAATCGGAGGGTGACGATGCATTGCCAGGGCGTTGAGGAATGCGAGAGTAGGCACTCGGTGGGGCAGCTGGACTATGGTCATTGGTTGTCCAGTTGCAATATCTGGAGGTAATTACCGAGTACATGTACCGGCTGCGCGAGGCAGTGTGATGCCCGATATGGCCTCAATGAGTGACGACTTGCCCGCGCTCTGCGAGCCGATGACGGCGATCTGGGGCAGATCTAGTTGGCGCTTGGGTCAGCGACTTGTCGAAGTGGCCGATGCGAATGCTCACCTATCTCGGCGCGTATCCTGAAAGTATGGATGAGTGCCAGCGCGAATCACAAAGCTACAGCAACGGACGTACCCAATGGCGTGCAACTTGTTGACAAGGTCGAGCATAGCCCGACTCCTGCTGGATATCTGAGGATTTGAGAGACCCACGCCATCGTCTCCGCTCGAGGAATGCATAGCAGGAGAGCTAGGAATCGACATGCTATCCATAGAGGTCGGTGAGGAGGGATCGCTCATGGAGGAGCGAAAGACGCCGCCTCCGAGGCGCGAAACCTCTTTTGAAGGTGCCTTCAGCAGCGTGTAGGCCACGCTCTAGGTACATCTTCGATGTCCATCGATGGAACGAGCGTTACGGCTAGAAGGGGGGACAGAGCGGGAATGCCGAGAAGTGCGTGGTAAACTCCGCAGATAGGCGCCGCGATAGTATTGCATGGTCTACTAGTATTCAGAAGTTGCTGTGCATCGGATTGGGGCAGGTAGAAAGGCGAGAGAGAGGATATACGGGGGAAAAATGACGTAGAATTGCTTTCCTCTCGTCGGGACGTCGAGACCGACGTGGGATATATGGTCACGGCCAGAGACACCTAGCTTCCTGAATACAAAGGGGTACGCTTTGTAGATGGCGAGTCGACCCCGTGGCAGGGGACGAACCATCATGGGAGCTGCAGGGTGTCCTTTCAAGTTAGACTTTGCTTCCGCGGTGATCGACAAAATTGATCGGACGTTGGTTTTGATCGCAACCTTCAATTCCGTGGCAATCGTCTTTAATCCACAAAGTTGGAATTCCCAGGTTATACACGGAACTCCAGCGGTTTAGGCCATTTAGGGACCACCAAGTTACCTGGCAATTCTGGGTAGTGCTCAGCGCTATCCCCCAACCAAGCGGTGGCAACACAGGGGCTTCCCGGATAGTCGACTCCCAAACGATAGCAGTTGCATCTGCATTGCTCCCTCTTGAGAGGACAGAGACGCAGGTCGTGTTCATTCTTGTGAGCTACCTTCGTTGCCATCCGTCCTTCACCTTGGGATCGGAGGATGGTCCTCACTGTAGGGCATGTAGCTTTTCCCGACGCTTGACGTGAGAGGGGTGAATCCGGGTTGCTCTGCAGTTTCCTACCATTCCCGAGAAAGGAGGCAGAGATCCTCTGCAGAGCCACAGTGCCCGCATTTCGACCAACTCTAGCTCAGCTCTAGTCCTCATTCCAGATCGCAATGCGCCCATCGTGGCCTGCGGACCCCGGAATTTGATACGGGGTATGCTTGGGGCACGCATCGATCCCCATACCACCAATTTACCACCACGACCACGACGCTCATTCCATCCAACTGTATCTTCTTGTATCGTATACCCAGTACATCCTATAATTCCCTATGCGCGAGAATGTCGCGCCAGTAGCAGGAGAGAAGGCAACATCCAAGCGTGCACGTGCGAGCGACGGCATCAACGTTGAGTCGCGTCTCAACACATCTTCGTTCTTTTCCACACTCGGCCGTCGCATTCGCCACTCCCTACCTGCCAGCTGGAGCAGCAGTCCATGCATTGCTATGACCGCAATTGAGGCGCCGTGGCGCGTGAAGAGTGCGTTTACCGCGTCGTAATCCGCGAACTTGAACTAATTGCATCCGACAGCCCGGCCGTGCCCATTCTACCAGCAAGGCAAATGCCTCTTCGCCGAGTCGTGCAACTTCTTGCATAATGTCCAAATCAAGGTCCCCGGCGGCCCTACTGTCATACATGCGAGCCCTCCCAGCGAAGTGGACGTTCGGCGTACGCCCGAGGGCCCAGCGGTTATTGTCGACTCCCCACACTCGTACCGCTCCCCGCCGCGGTCTCCGCGTATGAACAACCTCCTCGACGCCCTCAAGGGTGTTATTAGAGAGGATGAGGACGTGGACGACGCGGATGACTCGGAGGAGCGACCAGCGCCAGCAGAAGACGTACGACCGACCCCGGAGGCGGAACCACCTACCGAGCCGGACCGTGCGGTACCCGACGCGCCACAACCTACCAACGACGCGCCCCATGACCCCACCACCCCTGCCCAAGGCAACGTCGTCGGGCTGCACCAGGACCGCGAGCAATCACCGGAATGCGAAGAGGACTCGCCACATTCGACCAACTCTGCACCCACTCCCGATATCCTATCTCCCGTCGAGCTCTCGCACCTGCGGCTCTCTGGCCTGGACCAGCTCTCACATGCTAAGGGCAACAACTCGTTCGATTCTGGCTACGCCGAGCAATGGCAGAGCCCGCGCCCGTTCGCCCTCTCGCCCCCGCGGAGTCCCTCGGTCGTCTCCACCTTTGGGTTGCTCTCCTCCCCCTTCGGCTCTCCCTCCGAGCGCGTGTTTGGTTCTCCACTCACGCAACGGTTTTCCAACATACCTCCGTCGCCGCTGCTGACGGCGTCCCTCGCACAAAATGGCGACGGCGATGCACATGATGACGCGGACGTCGCGAATCTGGAGGACGATTTAGACTCGCCGAACGCTTACCGTGCATCGGTAGCGAGCAGTATGACTATGGAGGCTGCTACGGACGTCACGGAAGATCTGAGCTTTGAGGCCGGGGAGGGTTCTGGTGTGACGGATCTGTGGGACACGTTCGGGCAACCAACGGCCATGTATTCAGATCCTCAAGCTAGTCCAGAGGCGCCAGAAGAAGAGGAGGATGTCGTAGACGCGTACGGGCAATCTCCCGCCATGCATATAGGGCCCGAGCACGGTGATGAAGTGTTATTCGAGGGTGATGCCTCAATGGACTCGTCGTTTGACTCGATAACCGCGAAGCGCATCTCGTTCAGCGATGTCGACGCGCAGTCGACCTTCCACGGCCCCATACCGCAACGAAGTCCGCTACCTTCGCATGAGGAGCCAGACAACGAGTCTTGGGTAGCGCAGGAGGAGCCAGCTACGCCGATGCCCGAGGAACACGACATCATCACGGACTACGAGCACATGGAATCCGACGAGGGTGATCTGTCCGATGATACTATCGACTTGCACGCCGAGGGCGATACTACAGAGTACACTGCAGTCGACGACACAATATCCTCCTTCGGACAAGCAGCACCGGGATCGGAAGTGGACGATACGATATCCTCCTTTGGTCAAGCCGCGGAGCCACCAGCAGAGGACGCCACATGGTCCTCGTTTGGGCACACGGGGCATATGTCGGACGACACGGCGGAGCTGGCGTATGATGTCTCAAGGTCGCCCAGTCCGACGGTCCGTCCTGGGGAGAACGATACGCTGCAGAACCTCTACGACCATTATTCTGTGGCGTCTTCCCCGGAGGCGGATGCTATCAAGCGCTCCTCGCTCGACGACATCCCCGAGACCTCGCATACGGCTCTCGATGACGGTGAAGGTGCTGAGGAAAACGAGGGCGCCGTGCACCTCGCCGAGCAATCTCCCGCGCTCACGGCGCGATCTCCTGCGTTGACGGAGCGCAATATCGAGCATGCTGCGCCCAGTCCCTCCCCGCCTCAAGATGCCGATGGCTTCACGATTGACGACTACGCTGTTGAACCACCTTCTCCTGCGACCGAACTGGACGAGCTCATGGCGGACGTGGCCCATGTAAACCAGGCTACTCCCCCAACTCCGCGCGACGCTGGCATATCGCCTCCAGCCGCAGGTACGTCTTCGGTCGGATCCCCTCCCAAGACACATAACTCACCGCATCATAGCTCCCGGTCCCTCTCCGCACGCCAGCTTGCACAGCATCGAATACGTCGCTGATGCGCTGACGCCCGAGTCGCTGCATTCGCGGGAAGTGGAGACTCCGCCTTACGACGATTATTATGACCTTATGTCGCCGGAGGCGTCGGACCCGCCGCAGCCGCTAGTACAGGATGATGCTCAACATACGCCTGCAGCTGAGGATGTCCAGCATACGCCAATGATCGAAGCGGCTCAGCACTCGCCCGTGACAGAGGACGCACAGCACGCCCCGGTGTTTGAGGCCGCTTGGCAGATACCTGCGGTAGAGGCTAACCAGTCTTGGCCAGTGGCGGATACGGCTCACCGCTCGCCAGACATCGTCCAGCACACGCCCGTGCTAGACACTGTCCAGCACTCGCCTGTGGTCGAGATCGACGAGCGCTCGTCAGTGGCTATTGATGCTCAGCAGGCGCCAGTCGTCGATGAACACGGACCCGTGTCGCCTGTGACCGAAGCCCAGTCGCCGCCTCAGGCAGTTGATCTGCAGCAAACGCCCGTCATGGAGGTCGCTTCCTTCATGCTGTCGGCCGAGGATCCTTTCGCAGCGGAGCCGGTGCTGGATGTGCAGTCCAAGGCGTCGGAAGACGTTCAGTCGACACCTCAAGTGGAGGACGTGCAATTGGTGTCAGGAGACAGGTCTGCCCCGCTAGCTTCGATTAGCGAGAGTGCGAAGTCTCCACCCGTCAGTGGGGACGCACGTCTAACGGCAACTCTTGATGATGCGCCGTCCATGCCCTCGGCCCCGGTTGATCAGCCCGCGACATTCATTGGGGAAGAACAGGCAACACCCTCAGTCCTGGATGCGCAATCGTCTGGGAATTACTTGGATGCCGAGCCGCAGGGACATTCGATCGCAGGTGTTCAGTCACCCCCGGCTGACGAGGTCATGCCGTTGTCACCATCCGATGAGGACGCGCACCTAACACGGCCTCATTCTGTCGACGCTGAAGCTGATCAAGGACCTTCCCCTGATATGGTTGAACATTTCGCAAGCTTGACGCCAATATCGCCCCACGAAGCTCTTGCTCAAACTGCCGAATCAACGCCGCCTTTGTCCGTCTTCGATGCCCCCAGCCCTTCGACGCATGGCCCATCTGACTCGATCGCATCATCAATCCCTCGGGACGTCGTCGACAATTTCGCTCAGCAGACGTCTGCAAGTGATATTCATGGTATTCAGTCGCCTTCTCTCGATGCCGAGACTACGCTGCACGAAGCCGTCGAAGACGAGGACTACCTGCCACCGCCGCCTCATGTCGAACAGCACGTCGAGCAAGCACCATCCCATACACATGATGATGGCGCTGCGCTATCTAGCGCAACATGTGAGGATGGAGCTTCACCTGAAGTACTCTTTGCCAAGGCTCTCGAAGACATGGCGCGGTCGACGCCGCAAGAAATGGACGGAGGGGCTGCTGGTCCTGGTCTGCATGAAGAAGTTAGTGCACGTTCGCCTGAGCGTAGGTACTCGGAAGACGTCGCTGTGCTCGCTCCATCGAGAAGATCGACTCTTACGAGTGTCGCTAGCCGCGAAGTACCCGATGATTCTGCTCGACCACCTTCCACCGAGTCACCTACCTCGCCCTCGGCTCACTCTCCTCTTGTGCGGGATACGCTTGTGCGGAATACATCGTCACCCGTGTCGAGCTCGTCTTCTGCGACACACGCGATGGCGGTCCAAAGCACTCAGGACGAGGGCCCTCGCAAGGTCGACCCACAGGATTTGCCAAAGCCTGCCCCACGCGAGCCACCGAAGTCGCCCATTGCAGCTCGACGAGCGTCGGGGCGTACTTGGGGAACCTCATCATCAGGCCGGGCGTCGCCTGCGTTGTCTCTGGGCCGGCGATCGTCGGTGCAAGCCTCTGAGATTGCATCATCGTCTCGTCCTTCACCGACAGTCTCAACTGGACGTCAGTCGATAGGAACACCCAGTGCACCTTCACATCTCGATGCATTCAGGCAGCGTACAGCTGGCGAGACTTCCCAGTCGGCGTCCCCTATCAGCAGGCCTTCCTCACGAGCAATGCCGATGAGCAGACCAGCGTCGAGGGCAGCGTCAATTCGGAACGTGCCTGCTTCTACGCCAGGATCACCCTTCACTAAGCCAGATTCCCGACCAGCGTCGCCTTTCAGTCGTCCTGCATCTCGAGCGACGTCGCCATTCAGCAGGCCAGCCTCTCGGGCGAAGTCACCGTTTAGCAGACCTGCATCTCGGGCATCGTCGCCTCCGCGCCGACCTGTTTTCACGCCGCCACCGCTGATAACGAGGGGTCGTTCTGGCACGATCAAGCCTGCCTCGAGGGAGTCGTCTTTTGGCGCGGTCGCCAATAAAATAGAGGACGAAGGTGGCGAGGAGACCATCCATGCGCATGGGGACGGGGGCATGTTTTTCCCTAGCTCTTCTCGTCAGTCTTCCATGGACGAAGGCAAGGGAGGCACGTCGAACAGCCCAATCTCGCCCGACAGAAGCTCGGACAACATGCCTCAACAGCATACGTCTCAGTCTGCGTCTCCTCACATCGCCAATGACTTCTCCCTCGATATGGCGACCTTCCCATCTGAGCCGTTGACTGAAGCAGCCCTTCGGCGCATGTCTGCGGATATTGCTGCTTTGGTCTCAGCGAGGGGTGGCCTACATGCTGTAAATGACGAAACGGACTCTCCTCGATTGTCTGCGTACGACGCCAGTGTTCCGCCCAGTCCGCATGTCATCGCGTTGAACAGTCCCATGTCGCCCACTGCGGGCTCGTCCGCAAAGGCATCTTCTAGTCGACAGAAGCCCTTCGTCTTGGTGAGTTATGATTTACAACGCCTGGCCGTGCGCAACAGAATCCTAATCATACATGACAGGGCTCGGCAAGGGATTCCTCCCTGTTGCTCAACAGGGCTGCGGGCAAATCACCGGCGACTTCTCCTCAAGGCTCGAACGTGTCTATGTCAATGGACGATAGCTTCGACGGCCAGCTCATTGAAGAGTTCCCTGCACCTCCGAGTACGAGGCCCAGTAGTTTGAAACCTTTGCGTTTGGTAAGTGGCTTGGTTTACGCTTCCTATGCCCTTCTGATTGTCTGTCAGTCCATGATTCTTCAGTCTAAGTCTTATTCGTCATCTCCTTCATCTTCACCTCGTACATCTAGTATACCGGAATCTCCTGCTGGTGAGCACATTTCCGCCATGCTCATAAGCTTATGCTCAATCCGACAAGGTCATTCGCGTCGCTCCTCCGGTGCTTCATATGTATCATCAAGTAATTCTCCATCTGACAACTTCTTGGTATGTTTTTCTGTGAGTACCTGCCACTCCATTCGACTGACATACTCCAGCTTTCGTCCGCACGCTCATCGTTGATACCCGGAAATGCGCAATCTATGCTTATTACTAACGACACCCACTCTGGGTTCCCTGACGACATTCACGCCACACCAATTCCTCGCTCTGCGCCAGCATCTCGCACGTCATTGTCTCGGAGGACGTCGAGCCAAGGCATACGCTCTGCTGGACAATCCCCCATCGACTCCCCTCGCGTCCCCATCTTCTCGCGGCAGTCTCGCTCGTTCTCCCGTCCCGTCTCGGTCCAGTCTCGTCCGGCGTCTCGCCCGGTATCAGTGCTCTCGATGCATTCGGTGCATGATCCCATCGAGGAAGAAACCGACAACACGATACGCCGTCCATTGTCCAGAGCTTCCAACGCCATGCCGTCACCAGCACCATCGCATGCAATCGCAACCCCCCGTCCGACGCTCATATTCGCAATCGCCAGTGACGACGTTGACGAAGTCCGCCGTGTGCTAGAGAGTGGCGAAGCTGGGCCTAACGATGCTGTGGGACCACAGAGCGCGTTAGCCTTTACGCTCTCCAATGATGAGCTGCAGAACAAGCTGGGGATCGTTAAGGCCCTACTCGAACACGGCGCCGATCCTGCGGGTCTCACGGCTACGCCAACCCAAAAGCACAAGCGACGTATCTCTTCCTCGGGCGAACCTCCGCTACCAGCTGTTGTATTGGAGTCGCTCGATCCTGCTACGAAGTAAGCCTGCTGTCTTTCTCTTTGCACACTGTCTGACTAGACGATGTAGGTACTACATCGAACGCGCCGACGACCCAGTGACGCGCAAGGCGACTGGCTTGTTGAACCGCTCGTTCTTCAGGCCACTTGCACGTGGGCTTAACTATCAGTTGATAGGCCAAGATCGTGCCCTCGAGCAACTGTACCGCGTGTTGAGTATTCACTCTCACCAACCGAATGCCCCGCCGATGGTCGTCATGTTGTGTGGTAAGTACGTACATTGCGCGTCGCGACATACCGCTAACACGGCTATAGGTCCCAGTGGGCTCGGCAAGAGCTTCTTGGCGGACAAGTGTATGTTGGCTTTACTTACCGGTCCCGAGGTCCTAGCTCATCCTCTCATACAGTTGGAGCACTCCTCGACGTTCCGACTCATACCGTGAACATGACCGCTATCAATACACCCCGCGATCTATGGCAGTCGTATTCGCTCTCGTCGCAGCAGGAGGTCAGCAACCCGCTCTATTGTAATGATCCCCTGACCTGACGGCCGCGAATAGGAGAATTCAGACAAGACGCTGGCTCAATTCCTCGTCGCGAACGAGAAGAAGCGTTGCGTCGTCGTCCTCGACGTAGGTGGTTCTGTCAAGTTCTCCCGCACTTGTGGCTCACGTTCGGGCCGTAGGAGATCGAGAAGGTACAAGACGAGAAGACGCTATGGTCTCTGTTGATGCCTTGGGAACTTGGTGAGCGGGAATACAACCGCGCGGCCCTTCAAACTGATTTGGCCTCAGGTCGATGCTCGTTCGATGCCGGGGGTCGCACGGTCGATACGAGGAACGTGGTCTGGATTGGGACCTCCAACCTGGGGCATGATCTCGTCTTCGAGCATCATGATGCCCGGGACAACACCCAGAAAACGATGTCTCGAGAGGAATACATGGCGCTCATGGCCCTGCTCAGACCACGCATATCTGACCGTCTCGGGGTGCGCCGGCCAGTTCCCTTGTCTCGCACATACACTGACCACCCCCGATAGGCATCATTAGTCTCGCGCATCTCGGCGCTGCTGCCCTTCGTGCCGTTCACGGACGACGAAAAGCGGGCGCTCGCGGCCGAATCTTTGTACACCATCATGGGCGAGGGCGCGGGCACGCTGGAACCATCGGTCGTAAATTCTATCATTAACGGGGCGCTGGGCGACTACTCCATCTTGGAGGGCGCCAGGTCCCTGTACAGATCTGTCTCGTATCAGCTAGTAGATGCCATTTGATGCGAACGCTACAGGAACTCGGTTGAATCGTGAGGGGAGGCCCGATGTAGGGGCGGCTGTCGGCGATATCGCTCGTGTGGGTATGTATGGGTGGCGGTCGTTGAGCGGCTCTGCGACATCCATATCTATGATGTCTCCCTGTCCACCACGCAGTGCCAACCTGTCTCTACTCACCGCCAACTGTAGCCTTTCTTTATCTATTTATCTTGCCTTTCATCCGCCATGGAATTTACGAACATGAGGCTCTTCATTGTAGCCGCGTTCGGCGCATCTCTTCTACTGGTCGTAGGTGCGTGAACATTGCAATCGAGTGCCTTTTTTGACATGGAGCCCGCCAGCGCTTATGATCCTTGGATGCTACGAGCTCAGGAAGCGCGCACGACGCACAAGGCGGCGCAGTAACTCGGACGACGTGGAAAGGGACAAGGACGATCTCCCCGACTTCAGCAAAGTCGCAGTCCACCTGCCAGAAAGCCCCCGAAGCACGTTCAGCATCAGCTCGGACCCCTTCCGACGCAGCCTGCGCAGCGCCTTCTCATGGGACAGGTCGGTGACGCCGCAGCCTCTGCGTTTGGAACCGGACGCGCGGAAGCCTGCGAGCCCTTCGAAGGTGCTGCATAAGAAGCCGCCGCCTGTCTCGACCTCTGTACGCACTGGGCCTATAGCAGCCCCGTTACCTTCGCCATCCTACCGCTCGCCGCTGTCGCAGCGGCCACAGCAAGGGTCTAGCTGATGCCTCCCAGAACACGTAGGTAAGCTGGTCCTTACCGGGAAATGCCGCATTCAGAGTTGTCATGCCCTTTCTATCCAGACCGGCGTATGTATCTGCCTGCTCTGTTGAAGGGAGAGCTGGATTCTCGCCTTCTCCAGGACAATATGTGCTTCGTATGACACGGGGATGTATGCGATGCTACTATTCGAGAGCTTGTATTACTGGGGGAACGGCCATAAGTTCCGCCTCCGACTGACCAAACTCGAGTTTTTTTACTGCTTCGCATGACAGCTATCGTCAGGCTCGTAGTTAGCTACTTTCTTTGGGAGCAGCGGTGATTTTTGTTTCACCTACAAACAGAGCTGATAGCGCGCGGCGTAGGTATGGATGGTGGGCCATAGTCATTTCTCTCTTTTGCTCGTCCTTCCAGTGGTGCTGGAGGCCGCAGAAAGGTGAGATCGCGCATTCATGGGGCCCCTCCCGCCAGGAAGGACATTCAGGAACCCAGGAGCCCTGACTTCCGAGCCCCGCCTTCTTTTGTTTGTAGGTGCTCCGACTGAACAAAAACCAAGACCGCTCCACGAGCGTAAGGGTGACTACGAGCCTGACGATTGCTGGAATAATTCGCGAGCCAGCGAATGTGCCCTACTGCATCTTCCATCCTCCGAGCAAGATGAAGGACGGACAACAACAAAGGTAGCCCATATTTAATGGTGAGCCCGACCCGCATCTCTGACCTCCGAAGAGCGAGCAATGCAGTTGATCTGGCTCTCACAAAATGAGAACGTGCGCGTGAGGAGTACGTATACGGCGCCGTCCAGAGTGTCAGAGAGCGGGTTCATTGCAATGCCCTATCTGGGGAAGGGACGTGTCAGAATTATCACGCAACCGGACCCATTTGAAGGCTATAAGGGAGCGATGTGCGCGCGTCGACGAGGCTATATAGACCTCCTGCGTTCGGGTGCATGGACAGAGAAACTGTAAGGATGACAGCAAGGCAGTAGGCCGCCCTAGGCATCTGGGACCCTGTTTCGCTGTATTCCTGATCGCACCTATATACACGGCGGCTAGTTCGCTTGGGCAACATGCATATGCACTGCGAGAGAGAGAGATGGACACAGATATTCCTGCGACAGATGCGAACGATGAAAGACTTCTAGGGCCAGCCTGTGGCCGCCCTATTACGCTCCTGCAGAAGCATGTCCGACGCGTTGAGAGAATCAGAAACGAGGAGAAAGCGAGCGAACGATGAGCGGGAGAAGAGTGTACGTCTTGAACGAGGGTCCAGCACAATGAGCAGGCAATGTCGTCGACGCAGATAGCAGCGAAGGGTCTTCATGACCGCCGTTCCCTGCGCGGAGACGAGCAAAAAGCAGCGATGGTGACGGCAAGGAACAAGGAGCGGTGGCATTGCGTCATAAGCGGGTCGTGATTATTGAGCCCGATTAGGAAGGCACGTGCAGCACGTGCAAGTTGAACTTCGCGAACCACCGGGCCGGAAAACACGCTCTCGCTTGCTCTCCTTCCTCGACGTTCCCCGAACGCCTTCCCCGACTGCGCGCTCGGGCTCATGGTAGACATGCCCCGTCTCACTGGCCTTCCTTCCGCCTCGAATATTCGAACTTCCGCCCGCGCCCGACCTCGCACCTTTGAAATCGAGCGTCCTGTCGCGCTACGTCATACATGGCTCTCCGAAAGACGCGCTGCTCATCATCGAGCTTAGGACCGGCTTGGGTGATATGGAGCCCCACGGAGGGCGACCCACAAAGCCAAAAGCTGTGCGGGAGTGTGGGCACTTACGCAGGGGCTGGCGCTAGCACAATGGCCGAGATGGAGCAGGCGTAAAAGCTGCGGAACGACCTTCACGCAACGCGGCGCGGGGCGTTGGTGCACTTCACCGCTCCCCGCATTATATCACCGCTTTGTCCGTGTTTGCCCGCGCCATATTAGAAGGCTGGAGAAGCCATTCGACCGACGCAATCGTCTTCTCTTCTTCCCCACTCTTCCATAACTTGAACTTTACCACCATGCCCAACAACAAGAACATCACCATCCGCGTGTTCCAGTCTCCGGCCAAGTATGTCCAGGGACCTACGGCTATCCAGGACGCGCCCCGCTACCTCAAGAACTTGGGCAAGCGCGCTGTCCTCATCACGGACGACCTCGTTCAGAAGATTGGTGCGTACGCCCCTCCATCTTACTATTCTTGGCTAACCTCCGTGCAGCGGGAGAAAGCTTACTCCAGTCGCTTCATGACTTCGAAGTCAATCGTGTGCAGTTTGGTGGGAAAGCCACGGTGGAGGAAGTCGAACGCATCAAAGCAATCTGCGTCGAGTACAAGACCGATTTCGTCATCGCATTAGGAGGTGGACAGACGATCGACGTTGGCAAGGTGCGCAAGTAGTTCGCATCGCACTGTCCTCATACTGACCCTGCGCCCGTAGACTGTATCCGATGGCCTCGGAATCGAGTGCGCCGTCATGCCCACCACGGCTTCCACCGACGCACCCTGTTCCGCCAACGCCGTCCTCTACCGCCCCGACGGCGAGTTCGACAAGTACGCCTTCTTCAAGAAGAACCCCACCCTCGTCATCGTCGACACCTCGATCGTCGCCCGCGCGCCCGCGCGGCTGCTCGCCGCAGGCATGGGCGACGCGCTCGCGACGAACGTCGAGGCGAAGCGCGCGCGCAACTCGCCCAATTTCGGCGGGGGGATGCCCGCGCTGATCTCGACCGCGATCTGCCAGAAGTGCGAGGAGATTTTGTTCAAGCACGGCAAGCAGGCGTACGAGGCATGCAAGGTGAACGCGATGACGCCCGCGCTCGAGGCCGTCGTTGAGGCGAACACCTTGCATTCCGGCTTGGGCTTCGAGTCCGGTGGGTTAGCAGCGGCGCATGCGGTACGTTTTGCCCTCCTCCCCTCCTCCGTCACCCCCATCTAACTCACCTCCCAGATCCACGACGGCCTCACCTCCCTCGCCGGCCTGCACCACCTCCTGCACGGCGAGAAGGTCGCCTTCGGCATCGTCTGCCAGCTCGTCCTCGACAACGCCGAGACTGCCGAGCTCGACAAGTACATCGGCTTCCTCCTCTCCATCGACCTCCCCGTCACCTTCGACATGATGGGCATCCCGGACGTCACCGAGCCCGAACTGCGCCGCGTCGCGGACATCGCGTGCGCGCCGGGGGAGACAATCTGGAATATGGAGTCTGTGATTACGCCGGATGTAGTGTACCAGGCGATTTTGGGCGCGGATGCGGCGGGGAGGGAGTATTGCGCAAGGGCTGGGTTCAAGCGAATTTCGAGGAGTACGTACTCTCGAGGTTCATACGTTGACCTGGATGCTGATTGCCACCTTCAGACGTCGAGACCCGCCCCGCAGTATCGCGCTCGGGCACCGTGAACCTGATCAAGGATCTCAACCAGTTGAAGCTCTCGCAAGCCAACAAGTCATGAGGTGTTCACCTTGGATGAGACCCTCGCGCGGACTTGGAACCATACACGCAAACTGTACTTGTAGCTATAAGATACCACCCATGCTATTGTAGAGTAGGACATGTCTTATATCACAGTGCAAGAAACTAATTATTTTCCCGCATTCGTGTGCCATCGACCTCGAGCATTAAATCGGTGTCTGCCGACAGCTTGATGCCTCGGAATAACAAGAACAAATAAGGCAATCGAGGCGCGTGCTTGTCTCTGTTGACTCAGGTCCCAATTCATTGTTACGCCATCACCTGTCTCAATATACCGCCTTGTTCGCGCCGCTTTGGGCTCAATGTACTCCGACGTGCCCGACCTGTGAGTAGGAGCTCCAGATGAAGTGTTATGAAGGATTATAAGGGCCGATGCTCTCACGGACGACGGGTACAGATCTTTGGCTAAAGGGCGCCGTCGCACGGGGCCAGGGCACCTCCTTCTCGGCCTCCTACCCAAAGGCTCCCATCAAATCCAATCAGAGGCGCAAGCAAGCATGTCCACCTGCGACGAAGAGCTCTTTCCTCACCCCTGCATCGACTGGTACCGCGCTCGTGATTTGCTCAAGCCCGATGACCCGAGGATACGTGCGCTGTTCAGTCCGCTGTTTAGTGCCCCGCCATGGGAGCCCAGGCAGTCGAGTCCGCCGTGTGTGGCGAGGGCGCCGCGAGCAGTGAGTGGGTTCGAGTGGACATATATCGGCAGGGTTCTGACATGAAGCGTATAGGTCGCGGAATTGAAGATGTATGCGCTCTCCGCTGCCTGGAGAGAGAGGCCAGAGTGGTGGCGGAAAGTCAAGGATCCGGTCATTCGAGAGCAGTGGCTCAAGGAGGCGAAGGCGGAACAAGAGAACGAGATTCCACGATGGCGTCTGACTGACAGGATGGTACGGCTCGTCCAGCATTTTGAAAAAAGTGCGCCGACCGCTTAGTAGATCAACCATACCCTCATCGAACTAGAGGCCTACGCTAAGCTTCGGGACGAGAATACCGGCATCGAGGTACGCGCCATATACCCACACCTGCGCGAAGGTTTGCTCATATACTCAATCCCGTCAGTGCGGTCCCTACGATTGCATATGGCAATCGGACAAGCTCGTCACAGATGATTTACGCCTCAGTCTACGAGACGCCATCAAACCCTTGGAGGACGAGCAAGCAAATTGTCCGGCTCAGTCCAACGCGCAAGCCCTCGACCTTATTGACCCGAATCTATACCCGCTTGTCTACGGGCAGACCTACGGCAAGCAACCTGACGGCTTCCTCGGCACCTTCGATCCCCCAAGTCTCGACAAACACGACATCCTCCCGGAATTCAACCCCCAACGATCCCAGTGGATACCTTCGGACTTCCGTGTTAAAGAGGACGGCCGCGTGTCGCTGATTTCGCCCTATGTGAACGGCGTACCACCAGCGTACCACGACGCCCTCGTACCCGTCCTGGAGCAGATTGTGGCACGCGCCGTTCCGCTGTGGGAGCGCGTGTTGCACGGGGTGCTTGCAGAGATGCCTGTTCGGTTAGGCCCTGTGGTGAAAGACGAAGGGGGAGGGGAGGGATTCGAGTGCATTTGGGAGGATGATCTGCATATGCCGAAAGAGAGAACTCGTGGAACTCGCGATGACGACCTCTCGCGTCGGCCTTTGAGGCTTCCTGACTGCAGACCCGAGTACGACGGGCGCCTCGCCGCCTGCGCGGGAGGGCGCTACAACCTCAGTGGACGAACACTGCAAACAATTACCAAAATCACCAACATCAACCTGACGCCAGAAGACCCAATATATACCGGCGAATACTGGCACTTCGACGGTATGGGTCGACGTGGCATCAGGGTCCTCGTCCTGGATTTACTGACCTTCTCACTCAGGCCTCTGGAACGAGGGGATTGTATCGACATTCGTGTATTATCACGACCTGGTGAACGTCCGCGAAGCCCGAATTTCGTTCAGAGAAGGGACCGCGGAGCCAGCCTATCACAGCAAAGATGACCATCTCAGCATGGAGACGCTGTACGGGATCGAGGACGGCGAGCCATGCGTGCAGGGGGTCGGCAGTATCGCCTTGAAATCTGGCTGCTGCATCGCATATCCGAATTTCTATCAGCACAAGGTATGAGGTCGTTCTGTCTTGAGAGATGACCAAGCTGGACGAATCCCCCACCAGATGTCGCCTCTCAAGCTTGAAGACCAGACGAAACCCGGCACCTGCAAAATGCTCACCCTCTTCCTCGTCGACCCTAACCGCCGGATACCCTCTGGGACCGAAGTGCCCCCGCAGCAAGCGGACGCAGTGCGCGAGGCCCTGCTCAAAGCCGGAAGCGACAGCCTCTTCTCGAAGCTGCCGCCCGAGCTCATCGATACGATCGTGGCTCACGTCGATGGACTTGTGAGCGAGGAAGAGGCGTTTAAGCTACGGCAAGAGATGGTGGATGAGCGCGCTGCGAGGGCCCAGTCTGCGGCGGGCCGCGACCTCTTCACTCATGTGCGTAAATTGTTCAGGTGATGTCCCTTCATCCAGCTAACAGACACTGACTTCAGGTCTTCCATATGTGTTGACGGGAGCTTGGGTGCGGTAATTAGGCGCCCTCTGGACTTAGTGCACGCTAAGGAAAGCCTATGGACGACTATCAAGTTGCTCTTTGGCTGGCCTGTATAGATGTAGGTGAAGTCAAGACGAGTCGATCTCGCCCAGGGCCTATAGCAATCAGCTCGCACCGAAGTTGCCATAATTTCATCACCTCATTCCCCCTCCTTGTACTTGCCATCGCGTAATTCGAGGCTTGATCCTTCCATGAGACAAGGGGACGTGCGTCCGTCCTTCTTTCTAGCTCCCTGTAGCCTAGATACCCCTCCTTGTACCACTAGCGATGCGCCCGTACCAGCTTGCTCGTGGGAGAAGTTCCGTTGTGAAAGCAACCCATTGTATGCGCATTGTCCTTGGCTTCTACTCCGAAGGAGCTTCTGTGCGAATCGTTTCATGGACTAGCGACGGACGGGTTGAATGGAACGTACCAGAGCCAGAGGGCGCCGCTGACCTGAAGTACAAGGGGACCGATGAAAGGGGTTACGCCCAATGTAGAAGACTCGGCCGAGGTGGATTCCGGGGATACTTCCACTTTGGTTATAAACGTCCAAAAGGGTTAGGTGATTTTCGAGGGCGCGTTCATGGCAGCCACGCGTTTGCCAGTTCGACAATTACCTGCTCGTTTTCCGTCGTTCTTGGGCCCATAGACGACGCAAGGATGCGCAAGTGCACCCGAAGTTGAACGGAGATGAACGACACAGAAATGAGCGCTCCGTTGGACGAGCAAGTTACAGGGTCGGATGGCGCTCCGGAGTCTCGTGCGCTGGTTTACGCTGGACGCTGATGCTTTCCCATGGCGGTCCGTCCCCCCTTATAATGCGAGGGTAATCTCCGTCCTCACATTGTCCGCCCTTTTCATCCCCCTTCCCCGTCCGCACGCGCCGACTGCCCATTGTCCCCCTGCCCTCGTGTCCCGCCTCCTGCTCACGACCTACTATACGCTCCCCATTGTCCAGCATTGACATGTCGGCTCCGGACATGCAGCAGCCGCAACAGCAGCAGCAACAACAGTTCGAAGTACAATTCGCGCAGAACGTCACCCCGACGTCGTACGCGACCGAAGTCGCGACCGGGGGCCCGGTGCCTCCCGTGAACGACTTCCAAACCGATACTTTCCTCTTCGCGCCCGACGAGGCGAGCGAGCCTGAGCAAGGCGGGAAGAAGCGCCGCCGCCGCCCTCGCGACGCGGACCACATCCCCCGCCCACCCAACGCGTTCATGCTCTTCCGCGCCGACTTCGTCAACAAGGGCCGCGTCCCCCCGTCCATCGAGACCGTGCACGGCAACCTCAGCAAGATCATCGGTGCGTGCACCGCTTTCCTTCTGATTATCTTCATGCTGATCATCGTGCTTATCACAGGCGCCGTCTGGCGCAACCTCCCCCCTCACGAGGCGCAGTTCTGGCAGATCAAGGCCGCGAAGGCCAAGCAGGAGCACGCGCGCCTGCACCCCGAATACAAGTACCGCCCCAACCACCCACGCAGCAAGGCCGCGCAGGACGCGAAGCCCCAGCAGATTCGCGCCGCCGCGCGCGCAGCGCTTGCGGAGGCACGTGGATCAAACTTCGTCGATGGTGCGCCTCATGCCCTTGTTCCGTGTATGGGAACTGACCGCCTCGTGGCAGTCGAAGGTGCCCTGGTTGATGTCGGACCTGGCGCCAACCCGCACACCACGCCGTATCTCGCGTCGTTGGGCAACGAGCCGACTACCGCCCAGACCGCACACGACGAGCGCCGCTTCAACGTCGTGGCCAAGTACATGCTCAGCGGTATGCGCGACGAGGAGCTCGAGATTGCCATCAAGGAGTGGGAGAAGGCGCACGACTGCGAGACTGAGTGCCAGGCTGCGTACTCGCCGCCGTCGAAGAAGAGGAAGGTCGCAAGCAAGGCGAAGGGATCCGCACGCTCTGCTGCCGCTCGCAAGCGCAAGGCAGGCTCCCCAGCTTCCTCCCGCGAGTCGTCCGTCCCCAGCTCCGACGGCGACTTCGAGTACCAATTCAGCTTCGACTCCCGCTCCTTTCAGGAGTCGTCGGGCAGCAGCAGTGGGCCGATCACTCCGTCGCCTCCTTCATCATACTGCAGCTCCGACTCGCGTTCGCCCTCGCCGTACTCTGCCATCTCTTCGTCGTCATCGTCGCAGATGCCCTACCAGCACGGGTACTACCAGGAGCCGATGCACCCTTCGTTCACCGGCTCCTACGTTGGCATCCACCACAGCTTTTACCCGTCCCCGCCGCCTTATGAGCAGGTGCCGCAGCAGCAGGACCTTCCCCGCCGCCGCTCCTCCAGCGTGCCCCCGCCCACCGTCACCGCCGCGAACTTCCAGCAGTTCCAGCAGCCGCAGCAGTTCCAGCAATCCGCGCCGTCCGCCATGCATGACACCGCGCCCGTCTTCATCAACCCCTTCGCCCCGCGGGGCGAGAATGAGGCGCCGGAGCTACTCATGGGTGGCCCGAGCGACCAGGACGCGGTCCAGTTCGCAGGCGGCTACACGGACGCGTTCGGGCGGCGGATGTCGGCGACACGGACGGACGCAATTATCGGGGCGCACCGGCGCGCGTCGAGCGCGTTCGGGTACCACCCGGAGCCGTACGCGTACGGGGGGATGCAGAACTTCTTCGACCCGGCGTACACGATGGAGCAAGGGTACGACCCGACGGCGGTGGATACGATGCACTCGCCCGCGGAGTACTTTGAGCCGCAGGAGTACCCATCGCTGGTCGCGCCGACGCCCATGCGTGCCAGCCCGCCCATGCTGAACGCGACTCCAGCGGCTGAGGATAACTATTCCTCGCTCGAGTCGTCCTACCGCCCTGCCTCTGCGCCCGCGCCCGAATCGTACACCCCGGCCAAGCAGCCCTCGTTCTCCCTAGAGAGCTTCGTCGACTTCTCTGCCTGCACCGACGAATCCGATGCCAAATCCGAAGGCAACTAGACTTCGAAGACCATAACGACCTTCACGATATAAAGTTCTCCTCTCTGCCTCCCCTCTCACCTCGCTTTCGCATTCGAAACTGCAAAGTATACTTACAGCCATCTAATCGTCTGTCTCCCGGCCTCTCTCCAATGTCTTTCTGTCTGTCTCCCTGTTCATCTTCCTATCTACCTGTTTTAATACCTGCCTTCCCATTGCGCCGTGTTGCTTGCTTGACTTATACATACTTACGATGGCCTCCCTACGATGAGTCCCTTTGACTTACGATGGTCCTCTTGACTTTTTTGCTCGCGTCTTTTGCACACACTGTAGCCTTCTCATACCCCCTTGTTCTCGGCTCGTGCGTCTCGTTGCTTCCGTTGCCTCTTGTAGCCAAAATGTAGCATATTTCTGAATCAAAGGAATCCCGGGTTGAATCCGGCTATCTCTGCTATACTGTTGTGTGGTGCAGCGTTCGACAATTGAAAGCCAGCACTGCGAGGTCGAAGTCAGTTGAGTTCAGCATGTTCTCGGGTTATGCCGAGTGTGACCTAGTTCGTGCGTCCAGACCGTCATCTTCGACGGGCAAAGACTCCAGCGCAAGCGCTCATGTGCTCATGAGTAGGGCATACCCATCTATCTCTCAAATTGGAGTAAGCCTATCCCTTCAGACCGTGGTCCCTAAACTGAACGCCAGCAGCTGCCTCATCCTCATTAAAAATGGCTGAGCGCGTGAACAGCAGCTCTTTGCCGCCATCCTTGTCAAAGTTGCCGACAGAACTACTACAGAATATATTCAGGGAATACCATAAGGCCGTCTTTCTTCCTCTAGCGTTCCTAGCCGGCAACGACCATCCGTTTTCCGACCGCTTTCCTGCGATCCTGCTCAGCTCAATCTGCAGCGCTTGGCGCGATGTGGCGATATCCACTCCAGACATTTGGAACAAGATCCCGATATCCGTGTCGACAAAGATGCTGCCGTCGTACACGGGCGCGCAGGATGCTCAGCTGGCTCTCGTCACGCTCTGCCTGCAGCGCACCCTGGGATATCCCGCCCTGCACATACACCTGACGGGCATGTACTCGCGCGCAGACGAGACGGATACCCGTGTTCTCTCCGCGGCGATGGAGCATGCGCATCGATGGGCGTCTCTGCACATCGATGTAGCAGAACACGTTCTCTCCTTCCTCGACGGCCTGCGAGGCCACCTATCTTCTCTCGTCTCGCTCACGCTCGAGAAGAGCCTGAAGCCTGCGGGTGCGTCGCAGATATTTGTGCAGGCACAGGCGCTGCGTGCGTTTGCATTTGACCACCGCGCGCCGCGCTTCTTTCTGCCGTACGCCCAGCTCAGTGTCCTCACCGCCAACACCGTATACCTGCCCGACCTTCCCTCGGTCCTGACGCAGTGCCATTCTCTTCGCACATTGAACATCATCGGCAACATCGAAGGTCCATTCCCCTACCGCGGCAATCCGAAGGAGAGCAGCGATATACGGCTGCCTAATCTCGAGCGCCTGGTCGTTAATATTCAGGGCAGACGCACGGACGTATACCTTTTGGCACGACTTTTTGGCATGCTCACGCTACCTGCGTTGCGGGACGTCCAGCTCATGCAGGATGAGACGTCGGCGAAGGGCACATGGGCAGCTTGCGATGAATTCATCAAGATGCTGCAGAGGTCGGGGAGAGAGGATGCATCTGAGGAAGTACCCTTGCAGCAGCTTGCGCTGATGAACGTGTCGATTCCTGCTTCCGAGCTGGTACCCTGCCTGCGAGAAGCTCCTCACCTGCGGGATCTATGGATCGATGTGCGGACGAATAGCACCTTGACGAACGAGTTGTTGGAGAATCTGAGACTGGACGAACGTGAGCTAGTTTCGGTACGACTCCTTGAAACGGTGACTTATCACATCATTTTGCAGGTTCAGAAACCACTGCAGATGTGTCGGAAGACGACAGTGGGCCATCCAGCGGCACCACTGCACAAATTACGGAAGAGCGCGGCAAGCGGCTTGTTCCAGAGCTTGAGCGCCTTCATGTCTCTTGCCCTGCCACATTCTCTGCCGACACCCTGATGAACATGGTGCGCTCCCGCACCGCTCCTCAGCGCAAAACACAGCCGGCATACGAGGACGCGGCGCGCACCGTCAATGATGCATCTCGCGAGACCGCGGCAGCATCGTCTGAGCCCGCGTCTCCTTTGCGCTACATCAACATCCACTGCACGGATCCGGCGCTGCGTGTTGAGCCACAGATCGTGGCCCGTCTGCGTATCATGGCTGCGGCGGGAATCAAGCTGTTCTTCCGCGTCGGTGACCGCGATGTTGTTCACGATGGTCGCTAGTATTTCTCCTATTTACGATCCTCCTACCCATCTCTACTCATTTCCCCATATTCTTCCTACCCATGCATTCACTGTAGCGTTAGATTGGTTCACGAGCGCGTTGATGCCGTTGCGTCTTGTAGTCCACGATATGTCACTGAGTTACTTTGCAACCTTGTGAGGAAGGTTGCTCATCTCCGTCCGTCTTCATGAGCACTGAGCGCTGACGACGACCGAAAGAGGTTGTGGCAGATCTTGTGAGTGACCCCGATGTGGTTCCCCAGAGAATTCAGGAACCGAGGATTCTGATCATCACGGGCGGGTTCATTTCATCACACTCAGCCGGTTGTCTTTATACCGTCATGAGCGTCCCACTTGCCTCCCCCTCTCCGCCGACACCCGTCTTCGAGAAAGACGCCATGCTCGTCGCAGAGGACCAGCTGAGCAAGAACATGGCTGATGTTCGACTCGGCACGAGCACCCCGACAACACCGTCGACGCCGACTGCCTCCGCTCCCTCATACCAGTCCGCGTTCCACGGCCCCCCTCCCGTTCCTTTCCCCTACAAACCCGAGAAAGCCATAGACGACATACCTGGCGTAGCCTATGCCCTGGAGCTCTTCCTCGCATCGCATATGCACGAGTCGGAGGAGTTCTGCGACGTAAATGACAAGAAAAAGGAGAGAATGTACTTTGCGACGGGATACGGGCTCATACAATGCATCAAAGGGCTCATGTCGTATGAGGATGAGGTGCGTGGTTGAGAACATAACGTATATATAGGCGCTAACTTGCACCAGGACTTGCTCGCAGGTCTCACCCATACGAAGCGCGGGATCGCCATCGCTTCGTCCCATCGCAAGAAGGCCCCCGCAGTCACGACCCGGTTGGCCGGTTACATCGTCCCCTCTTTAAGCACCTCAAGCGTTGCGTGGGTCAAGAGCATGACGGCGGTCGAACGGCACGCCGAACTCACCTACACCGAGACACTGTACGAGAAGTCCATTCTCGGCATCGTCTATTCGGGGGATTGGCTGGCGTTCATCCGCGAGATGTGAGGTGTTCTCGGATACTACCCGGTCGCATGCTTACGGCCTATCCGAAGCCTCAACATGCGCACGATCATGAATTCCTACCGCCAGCTCGCTAAATTCATCGAAGCCATGGACGAGGAGGGGCGCGCCGACGAAGTCGACAAGCACTTCCGCTCAGGCGTCTACCTCGGCATTGGCGCTTCCAACCTCATTCTCTCCCTCGTACGCCCCATTCACCTCCCTGTCGCCACCCGTGTGCCTGACGTATCCCGTGCGTAGATGCCCGCACGATTGCTAACAATAGTGGAGCTTTTCGGCTACAAGGGAGACCGAAAGTTCGGCCTTGAGATGCTCCAGAAAGCTGGCGGCTGGACAGCGGATAGCAAAGAGCCGCTCATCAGCGCAAGTACGTGTTGAGCTTTTGCAATGCCCACGAGACGATGTTTACGCGCCAGCATCCTTCATCAGAGGACGAAGGCCTGCGCCGGTCAATCAGCGACATGGTGTTGCTCATGTTCCATCTGGTCCTCTCTGGATTCACTTTCGATTGCGTCGACTTGAGCATGGCGGAGAAGGTATTAGAATGGAATTTGAAGCGCTACCCAGATGGTCTGTGACCGTCTGCATATCAGCACTGGCGAGTGACTGACGCGACGATATTATAGGCGTCTTCTTCCAGTTCGGTGCCGGTCGGCTTGCATTAGTGCGCTCACAGCCAAAAGTGGCCATCAAGTACTACAGAAGGGCAATGGAGGTGCAGACGCAGTACAAGTGAGTTGTTGCTCTGTTTCCCTTCGCTCGTGAGTTGACGATCAGCAGGAACCTGCATCACATCTCGTATTGGGAAATTGCGTTGGCGAATCTGTCTCTTTGGGATGTCAGAGCAAGCATGGAATGCTACAAAGTGCTCGAGGCAGAGGCATCGGTAAGCATTCCCCTTGAGCAAGTATGTCTCGTATTGATTAAGCGCAACAGTGGTCGAAGGCCATTTACTCTTATGGTCTTGCTGTCACTTTGCTTGACAGTGCCGCACCAGGACCCGAAGGCGACGCCGACAGAAAAGCTGCCGCCGCTATACTGGCCAAGGTTCCAGAGCTACGCCAACGCATCGCGGGCAAGTCAATACCGTTAGAGGTATGTCGGTGAATTCCGCATCCTTGTCACCGCTGACTTTCGGCAGAAATTCGTCGCCCGCAAAGCACGCAAATTCGAGATGCAGAAAGGCCGCTTGGCGCTCTCTGCTCTCGAGGCCGCGTACATCTGGTTGTGCATATCCCATGCTCCGCGGCACATACTCACGGAGCGCATGCTACCCAATGTCTGGGCTCAGCTCGATAAGCTGGGCGTGTCGCGCGTAGGACAGGGTCAGAAAAAGCCGAGCGACGAGCGCGCGAAGGCGTACGGCACGGGCTACTGGGACGACTTCGCGCTGTCGAGGTTCCTAGAAGGCGTTTGTTTGCGGTATGTCGCGTACCCGGTGCGTTCGGTTTTCTTCGTACGAATCAGGGTTTGCGTCTGATGATGTTGTTTTTTCAGGATCCCGATGCAATCCCAGATCCAGAAGATCCGACCGGTCCAGCGATGCCCGACGCAGGGGCGCAGGCGGCGGCAGCCTTCCAGCAGATCTTTGAGTACGGTCCGAAGATTGAGCTGGACCATCACATCGTGTACCATGCTCGTGAGTGTACAATAATCTGTAGTGTCTGACGATCGCTCACTCGGCTTCAGATTACGAGTATGGTCGCCTCCTCGCCTGTCAAGGGGACAAGACGGCGGCGCAAGCGCAATTCGACTTGGTGCTCAGCGGGAAGCCACTGGAAGTCAATGCGGCAGGGAGGAAGGTGAGAGTTGCATCTCTTGACATCGTTATAACGGTTGGATTGACATATACATCGCAGGGTAAGTACAGCCTGGAGAACGCGCTCATGATGCGAACGCACGCTGCCATAGAGGCGTTGCCTTTCAACCGGCTGTAGACGGACACGACTTCGGTTCGGCTCACCACGACTTTACGTTGCTCCCTAATCCCTCACGCCGGTTCTCATGATGCAGCTCACGCAGATAGATCGCCCTTTGCATGAGTAGAACGAACCATCTACGCAGCTCTATCTAAGTGTACACGCAGCAACTAATCATCTAATCTCCCTCGTGTACCACTCATTCGGTTTGTATATCAGTCGCTATCGTATCCTTATTATAAATGGGCCTAACGGGCATATTTTACTGGACCAGTCAGAGTGTGGCTGTCGATGCATCATGACCGCAAGGTCTTCAGCCTGGCTTATAACTTTTAGTACCACGTTCTGCCGGCGTGAAGGGGACAAGGCTATCGTCTTACATTTTCATAAGCATGCTCAGAAGTTCAGTCTTAGGCTCTCCACAGGTGCACTTTGGAAAGTTCAACTGGTGTCACGTGCATTTTCGGTTGTTTCCGACGGTTCGGAAGCCCGTGCCGGCAGCATTGTATTCTGCACTTCACCATCATGGACCCCAATGCACAAGCTTCGACTTCGCAGCCAGCGGCCCCCGCTGCGGGATCATCAACATCTGCAGCCCCAGTACCACATGCACCGATGAACCCTGTCGATCTATACCAAGAACTGTATGAGAAGCTGAAGAGCAATCCTGGTCAGCAGAGCGTGCAGGTCATCCAAGAGATGGCGACGCTGCTGAAGACGGGGAAGCTGCGGCCGGAGCAGATTGCGCAGGTATGAGCTCTGTCTGCATAACAGGCGAGCGACATTTGAACGCACTCGTGCAGTTCAAAAGCCTGGCGGAGATGCTCGTCAAACAGCACAAGGCTTCCGATGGTGCGGCGCAGGTCTGTTCATCGCCCTCCCGTATCCTATGCACAATCACTGATTCTGGACACCTCGTCCTAGGCCTCACAAACTCCCCAACCTGCTCAGACGCAACCTGTCGCCCCCATTTCCCACCCTACCACCCCTGCTCCCCAGCCAATGCTTGGCGATCCGCCAGCATCCAGCGCCGGCTACCCCATAAGCGCCACTGTCAGTGCCACGGACCCCGGCCCTGTCCAATGGCAGACCGCGCGCTCGACGATCACTGGTGGCTACGCCGCGGGTCGCGTCGCGGGCACGCCCGCGCAGATCAGAATGTCAGGCGAGGACTCGTTGAGCTTGGACGAGAATCGGAGGAAGAGGAACACGCCGGGGGATCAAAGCATGAGGCGGTCAATACAGGACCTGGTGGCCAGTGTGGACCCGAATGTCAAGATCGAGCCGGAGGTGGAGGATGTGAGTGCTTTTGAGGCAGGTGCTCAGGGTACACAATGTTAATGGTCATGTAGCTGCTACTAAATATTGCTGACGAATTCATCGACTCTGTCACTAATTTCTCTTGCCGTCTCGCCAGGCATCGCGGGGGTGACACGCTCGAGGTGAAGGACTTGCAATTGCATCTAGGTTCGTGCTACGAACTCCGCTTAGTCGACCTTTTCATCTAATGCCTGCCTTCAGAACGCAACCACAATATTCGTATTCCCGGCTTCTCTGACGAGACGCGTGTCTCCCTTCCGCAGTCCAACTCGACCGCAGGCGCTGCCGGTGGGCTCAAGAAGGGCATGCAAGGTGGTGGCATGTCGCTCAGGGCACAGCGGCTCGCGCAGGTGCAAGCGGCGAAGAGGGAGAACAAGTTGATGTGAGGGTGGCTCGTCACGCGTGTGTAGTTGTGTTCCTGTAATCATATTTCTTGGACTGTCTTATGTATCGCTATCGCATCTGAGCTCACACTGCTCTTGGTCACGTCCATCTAACGGTGCTATAGAATAACTCGAGGCAGGACTCTCAGTCCCCGCCCTCGAGAACAAGGCCGGAAAATCCGGACCGTGCGTTGACGGCAGCATTTGGGAATATGTGGCGCTGATCGCTTTTTTCCTACTTCACTCCTGCCATGGATGTTTCCAACTTGCTCGCTGCCGAGGCAGCCAAATTGTATGCGCCGACGTGGTGAACAGGGGGAGGATGCTGACATTTCGATAGCGCATCCGTCAATGTCGAAAAAGAGGTGCCCTTGGAGGTCGACGCCGGTCTTTTGACCGTCACGGACTTGAATCTGATCGACGAGGAGGCATACAAGTGCGTTCCTTGTCCATACACAAATTCATCTCCCTAATCATGTTCCCAGTGAGAACCTCGAAGAGCATCTTCAATCCCTAGCTCGCGACGGTGTCCAGGTCCTCATCCAATCTCTCTTCTCCCTCCCCACCCAGTCCTCGCCAGATGGCCCGATCGCCCAGCTTCCCCCTCCCGTTACCCAACTCCCCCGCGCGAAGCCTCTTCCCAAGCCCAAGGCACCGACAAAGTGGGAAGCCTTTGCAGCTGCAAAGGGCATACAGAAGCGCCGGAAGGAGAAGAAGGTGTGGGACGAGGAGCGGCAAGAATGGGTCAACTCCTGGGGTCGGGACGGGAAGAACAGACAGGTCGAGGATCAATGGATACACGAAGTGCCGGCCAATGCTCGTGCGTGCTCTCATGTTTGAGGGTCTTGATCGGTACTGACTGACCACCCCCCAGCCGTCGACTTCGACCCGCGCAAGGCCGCCCGCGACGAGCGCAAGGAGCGCATCGCCAAGAACGAAAAACAGCGCCTCGCCAACACCGCCCGCGATCAGGGCACCTCCCGCAAGGCCGAGCTCGACAAGACGCTCGCGACGACGCGCCTCAGCACTGCGTCCATGGGCAAGTTCGACAAGACGCTCGACGGCGAGAAGAAGCTGCGCGGAATCAAGCGCAAGTTCGCGCCGAACGAGATGGGCGCGGAGAGCGAGAAGAAGGGCGCGCTCGCACTGCTGTCGCGGATGGAGAGTGATGGGAAGAAGATGCGGAGGGAGCCGCCGAGCGCGGACGAGGGAGTCTTGAATGCGAGGAAGGCTGTGCGATTCGCGAGCAAGGGGAAGGGTGGCGTGGCGTTGGCGAGGGAGAAGGCTGGTGGGAAGGGTCCTGCAGGGAGGAATTCGAAGGGAAAGTCGAAGGGGAAGCGATGAGCGTCTGCTTCAGACATCCTTTCGTGCGCCTCTTCTCTTCGCTCGCTGTTTTCCGCGTACTTGTTGTACTGATCAATGTTTGTATGCTCATGCGTGTTCATCTGGACCTACGATCATCAATGGCCTGCACATGTGGCGGACACGCCCTTCCACTCATGGCGGATCATCAAGCGTTGGAATCTCCCGAAACGAGGTGGCCGTCCACCTGATCGATGCCACTCTTTATTGCCCTCCCTATAGCGACTCCCACCTGCTCCAATGACGGGAGTCGGAGGGAGTTGGGCGTATAGGCCGTTCTGTGAACTGACGTCGCAGCGCACAGCATGCGAGGTGTTTCACCTGCAGCAAAATGTATATAACCATCGCCGCGACGTCCAGCAGTGTTTTCTCCCCTCTCTGCTTCACAACAGCGCAATTGGGATACATTGATGACGTTTGCCACTTGAACGTTCTTGTTGAATTCACTAATCTATCTTCACGACTTGAACTCGTCCTTTCGGCGCACCATGCCCTCCTCTCTCACCTTCACGAAGAAAGACATTCTCAATAGCCTTATCCTTGGCGACCATGGAGGCATCATATACACCACGCAGAGCCTCAAAGGCTTCCGTGGGCGCAAGGTCACTTCGCTAATCGGCGGTGGTGCATTGAGTGGTTAGTATCATCCATCCAGAACTTAGCATACTGTGATCCATCCATTTTGAACAGGCTCGTCCACTGCTCATACTACACCTCCCGCTTCCATCCAGTGGCGCAAACGCCTTGTCGACATCAACGGGCAGGTCAAGCATGTTGAGATGCTCAAGCGCCGCTCTCGCGGTTGGTTCAGCAGTGCACGACTATGGCAGTGGGGCGATATGTCATATGAACTGCATTTCTCGAGTGGGGAATGGACGGTGAGTTTATCTGGAACCTCTTGCAATGGTATCAGTGGCAGTTGGCCGATGACGACATGGACCCCGACCATTGTTCTCTTTTGGGCACTGCCCTCTTGAGGTCGTCATTCCTCCTTATCCTACTCTGCATCTCCCTCTTCGATTGCAGCTTTCTTGCTCAAACAATACGTAGGCGCGCTCCTCTGACGGCAATACTGTGGCTACGTTCTTTCCTTACCAACCCCGCCTCTTCCACAAGAGCGAGCAAGCGCAGATATTTCTCCTACGCGATCTGTCACCTACAGAAACAGCCTTTCTGATTGTGGTGTTTATCTACATGGAGCTTAGGAGGCAGGATAAGCAGGTGCGAAACGCGAGTCGAACACAGCCTAAATTGCTTACGAGTCTTCGTAGCGTTCGTCCAGCGCCGCGAGTGCGGGGGCTGCCGCGGGTGCAGGCGGGGGCGGAGGAGGTGGCGGGTGCTAGGGCTGCTCCTCTCCGCCCCGACAGTGGAATAGCGATAATCGTGAGCTTGAATGTAGCCTTCCAGATGCAAATGCGTGTTGCAAGATCCGAGTGCCAGCACACCCAGCAGTCACTGCACGTCAGCTGCTGTTCTCCTCGTCGCACACCAAAGTCATCAATCAACGCCTCGGGGTCATTGATGCATCCCCGATCGCCCACATTACGATGAAACGAACGTTTCCCCGTTGCCTCTCCTGTCTGTCAGCTTCGCCCCGCACACAGCAGTACGTGCTGTGCGCCTCTCCTAGATTGCTACTTGCAGCATGTGCTGTGTAGCAAGCCTTTATAGGACAGCGCGAACTACCATGTAGGTATATCTCACCTTATCACCCACTCACTCGCCATCGCAGAATGCGGAAAGTATACTCCTTCTCTACCCCAGACATCCTCAACGGCAAGCTCCTCGATGAAGGGCGACCCATCTTTCACAGCAACACGACCAAGGCCGGGATATTCAGACGCGAACTAAAGATCACCACTCTTCGCGCCGAGGATGGGTCCGGCGTGTCTGCGTTCTTGGACTGGCGTGCACGTCAATTGAGGATAAATGGGAAACTCCTCGACATCAACTGGGACGTGATCAATCGGCAAGGAACCCTGGTCTGGAAGTGGGAGGACATTCGGTATGAGGTCAGCTTTCAGGGCACCCAGTGGATGGTAAGAGGTTTTCTGTGAACTCGACCGCACGGGTTGACTGACGCCTTGCGGAGGCGAAGGGCGTCCGGGCCGTCGATAAGGTGGTAGCCCGCCTGGACTTACCCCTCGATGGCGACCCAAAGCTGATCCAGGAGCTCGAGCTATCGCCGGCGAACCTGGCTTGCTTCCTGCTCATATTATTGTACTCGGAGACGCGTGGTAGGTGCGCATATGCATATGAACGGACAGGATGACTGACCATCTCCCAGTGGAGAAGTACCCGCGGAAAATCACGGGCTGGCGCACCAACTATGGCGGAAGCGGTGGCGGCAGCAGCAGCAGCAACAACTGGCAGAGTAACGGGGGAAGTACATGGGGCAATGATGGCGGCGTGAGCTGGAGCTATGGCGCAGGCGGCGGTGATTGCGATGGCGGCGGTCATAGAGGCGGTGGAGGCGACAGCGGTGGAGGATATGGTGGCGGGGGCGACAGTGGTGGGGGAAGCAGCAGTGGCGGTGGAGGCGGAGGAGACGGTGGTGGTGGTGGGGGTGGCGGCGGCGGCGATGGGGGTTGTAGCTGAGAGGGAAGCGGTTGAATCAATTGAGGGAAGACGGAAATGTATTTGGTATCAAAGGTACGCATGGGCCTTTGAAGCTCTGGCGTTTGGTCATACTGACGATGCGGCGGTCAACAGCTTTCAGAAGTCGTCGGTGGACAGCCTCCAGGACGCGCCCGTGGCTGAACTTGGTCATCGCTTGATCATGCATATGGATTCTTCTCAACACCAGCTGTACTTTATACTCGAATCGCCATTGGCATCACTCATGTGCGCCGTCGAGATGAACTCAAGATCATCATACGCAATCTGGGACGTTTGGGTAATTCACCAAGGCAGCGATGTCCCCGGGACCGTCTACACCATTGAGTCCTCGTCGAGGCAGTGCGATGGGCTTATCTGGAGGTAAATGGTATAAAGCAAGGTCTTTCTCTTCCCTCCTTCACAGCCTACTGCACGCATGCCGCAGACTCTCTCCTTCACGGGAAAGGACATCCTCAACGGTCAGCTCGTCGACGGCGAACATGCCGTATACGACGTCGCCACTACAGGTGGACTCCTTGGTCGCAAGGTAACCACCCTACAGGCGGCTGGCGGGTCTCTGTTGGCGACACTACACTGGCGCAAGCGTTGCCTGGATGTTAGAGGGCAGATTCTGTCCATCGACGATCATGTGAGGCCGCACGAGAAGGCCAGGTTATGGCAATGGAACAACGCAACATACGAGGTGCAGTTCATGCCTGGCGAGTGGACAGTAAGAGACGAGATCATATCCCCGCAGCTACGTCTAACGCTTCTCCTAGGTTAAGGCTCCTTCGGGCGATGTCCTCGCGCGCTTTCGCCCTACCCACATACCCGGCAAGAAGCAGCCTCACATCGTTTGGGAGCGGGAGCTCTCGGCAGCGGACGCCGCTTTCCTCATTCTTGCACTCTTGTACTCGGAGAAGAAGTGGAAGGCAAGTCGATATAACTATACTGCCAAAGGAAGTACTGAAGCTCGCTCTAGCCGTTCCTGCAATATACAGAACCAGAATCTGGAGCGAATGCAAATGCGGATGGCCAGGTCTACTTCGCTGCTACATACGATCAGAACCCATCTCGCGGTGTCTATGGTGGGTATATAGGCGGCTCGGAGAGTAACAACGAGAATGCGGGCTTTGCTGGGTAACGCTACGGTTTGTGTAACTGGCAATGTTGACCCACTCGTCGGGTGCCAGTGGCTTCATCGAGAAATCCGCTATTTCTTGGTTCTCAGATTTTCCCGGTAGCGTAAGGAAGACATGCGCTGGCACAGGAAGGCCTTGGCTCGCCAGTAGGTTTCCAAGCGTCGCCCTTCGAGGCTCGGACGACAGTTACAGTTGAACTTCCGTCTTCACGTGGGCGCGGACAGATTTCCGTGAGTGCTGATCCGTCGGTTGATCCGCGGACAGAAATTTGATGGCCGGCTTTGGCAGATCGCAGTCAGGCTCGCCAGGGCTTGAAACTCAACTGCGTTGACCCTGCAAGACGCCTGATTATTTCCATCCTCTGAGCGCCTCGCTTCCCTGATATTATGCCTCAGCTTGCCGAGCCCTTCGATTCTCTAGGGCTCCCGATATTCCAGCGTGCTCGTCCCTGCTTCTGGCTCACGAGAAAGCTCAGCCAAGTGCGGTGACCGCAAGAAACTGCGTGCAAGCTTGTCAACTCTGGGAAGCGCAGTTCTCCCGCTGTATCCTTGCTCCACCGTCAAAATGGCCAGCTCCACGAAGCCATCAACGAAGGTGCACCCTTCCTGGTAGCACTCGCGACCATCAAACGTGACTTTCGGCGTGCGTATAAAGTCGTGCAGCGTTCAAGCGAGAATCGGTTTCCGACCTCCCTCCGACCACCCCACAGGAAACGTTCTTGCTCTTCAACAAGGACACCTCACACTCCCTCCCTCACTCCTTCCTTTGAACGACTTGACTACCCCTCTTAATCGTTATCATGCAGTTCGCTCTGTTCTCCTCTGTTGTTCTGTCTGCTCTCGCTGCTGTCAGCGCTGTCCCCATCAACGCTGCTGACGGCAACTCTCTCGTTGTCTGGTCGCCGAAGATCACGTCTCCCACCGCTGATACCACCTGGACCGCTGGTCAGGTACGTGGCAGGACTTACATTAGTGATTACTTCTTGCTGACATTATTCTCAGCAATACAACGTTACCTGGTCCACTGACGACGCTCCCGACGACATCTCTAACGGCGGCTCTGTCGTGCTCGGCCAAAAGGAGACTCTCCTCAACGACCGTTAGTCGCCCGCATTTCTTATACCCGTCACCCACTCACTCCCCTTCAGAGAAGCTCGCTGACGGCGTCGACCTTCGCGCCGGCTTCGTCACCGTCACTGCCCCCGACGTCAAGACCGGCAAGTACTTCGTTGACTGTAAGCGCCCTACACCTTCCTCTTCTCAACCCCTTTCTCATCTCACTCCCAGTGTTCGGCGACTCCGGCAACTGGAGCCCCGAGTTCAAGATCGACAACAAGGACAAGCCCGCCGGTCCCTTCGACTGGCTCTTCGGCTCTGCGTAAGCGCAACTGTCCTTCGCGTAAACACAGCTACACTCCGCGTACACCTTGCCAGCGGAAACTCACTGTACACTCGCGTACATTAATCCTCGGACATTGTGCACCTGTCATGACGACCCAGCATCCCGATATCTCTTGTTCTACCGTGTTACCCATGCGAACTTCCTGTGGACATTACTACTTTGACTGTTGTGGAGGGTAGTGTAGCGTCAGTGTGCTGAATGCCATGCCTTCTTCGGATCTGCATTGTTCTGTGCGATGTCCGCTTGTGCTCAAGCTTGTCTCCGTCTCGTCTCGTTCGATAGACGCCTGGAAGGGCTCGATATCCTCAAAGAGAAGATTATGTGGGTGGGCCCGCTACCATGTATCTCTGCATACCTCTCGCCACAACTGAGTGCCCTCGTCGAAAAGGTAGCCACAAACAATAAACTCGACGTTCAACGTCAATCTATTGTCGTACTGTACCAGTACCAGTGCGTGTAAGTAGGTCAAAAGCAACAAGGTATTCACTCGAGCGAAGTAGGACAGGAACACCAGCCAGCTCGGGTGAGCAACGTATCTACGTGAACAGATGATCGTAAATGGCCTAGAAATACAGCTGATAGGTGGTGAGGCAAGAGTACAGTGGGTCGTAAGAAGTCCAGAAGTCTAGCGTAGCATCGCTATGGCTAGCAAGAGCGAGCCGGGCATTACCGAGACAGAGCCAAGCGAGAGTATCACCGTGTGTGGCGAGAGTGACCGAGAGCAGTGAGAGAATAACCAAGTCCAACCAAGAAATTACCGAGAGATGTACGTTACGAGTCCGAGGTTGTCATGAGAGGAAAGGCGGCGCGAGAGGGAAGCTGCAGGATAGGTTAGTGTCATGGCAGATGTGCGAGTGGTAAACCGAACGTACCGTGGCTGATCATGCCATGTTCGGCGTGTAGCTGGCGTACATGCTGCTCACGCGCTGCGACTTATGCCTCTCCGCCGCAGTCTGGTAGTCCCCCTGCGGCGCCGACCACCAGCTCCTCCCCTCCAAGCACTCAATGGGCACCATCCCCTTCTTCCCCGCCGCATTGACGCACTCGCACCATCCGTCGTCGAACTCGCGCACGACCTTCAACTTGTCGCCGACAGTCACCCCCAACTCATCCGGCATCGACGGCGTGTACGTCGAGGACACTGTCGCCATCATACCGGACTGCCTCTGCTTGTGCTCCGCGGCGATGTTCCCGTACGTGACCGTCGTCTGCGGGGTCACCGGCGGGGGCGGCGCGGGGCGCTCGGGGTTCAGCAGGAAGGGGCGCAGGGAGGCGGGCCGCCCGCTCGCGCTGGTGCTGAGCTCGGGGAGCGGCGCAGAGATCCAGAGCGAGTCGGCGCTGCGGTGGCGGCGCTTGAGGGCCCGCTTGCGGATGATGTACATGACGAGGAAGCCGAGGAAGAAGAAGGCGGCGATGGCGGCTATGGTGATGCCGGCAATGGCACCAGAAGAGAGGCCCTGGTTGTCGTCGGTAGTGCCGACCGCGGAAGCGGGTGCGGAAGACGAGGCAGTGGCGGAGGAAGAGGTGGGGGTGGATGAAGTGGCTGGGTGGGTGGTAAAGGTAGGTGAGGACGAGGGCGAGGACGTCGTCGCCGCGGAGGTGGTAGGGATGGCCGAGGATGACTCAGTGGTGAGGACCTCGGACGAGGAGCTGGTCGTATCAACCGGGTTGGTCGATGTCGTAAACGGGGTCTCTGACGACTCGGTGGTCGCAGGGGGAGCGGACTCAGTGGTCGGTGCCTCGGTGGAGGTTGCTGGGGCCTGCGTCTCCGTCGGGGACGTCTCTTGAGTAGTGGTTACTTGAGTAGTTTCCTGCGCTGGGCTATGTGATAGTCAGAAGATGCGTTGGCACCGACGGGTATTTACCACACACCTGGACGTCGTCTCTGCCACCGCCGTCGTTGACGGGTGAATGGTGAGGAACGTCGTGATCGTGGTCGCGCGGGCGGCCAGCCGCTGCGCGTCGTCAAGGCTCTGGAGCTGAGCCCGCTCAGCAAGGGCGTGCCGTGCGTGGATAGGGATGCGCATGGTGGCTAGCGAACGTGTGGGTGGGAGCGGTTGGGTGGAGAGGGCGTAAGAAAACGTGAGGGTTCGTTGTAAAGAGAGAGAGCAAGAAAGCAAAGCGAGAAAATCGTGCAACGGCCTCCAGGACCGTGCGGTACGTAAACAAAAGACCAGGCAGTGGTCGACAAAAACGGAGCGCAGGACAATAGGCGCGGAACGGAGCGTCACGCTGTGACAGGCGCGTGTTGTCCCGATTTGGCGAACAATGGACGATCCAAAATGGAACAATGACACCTTGGACGGTGTTCCTGGCGCACGCTATCGCAGATCTCACACATGCCGGCGACTCAGAGGTGCGCTAGAGCCTAGAGGATGAATGCAAAATGATACAAAGTTCACGGTCAAGTCAATTTGGCGCTCTTTTACATAACATCAACGATTGAATAGATGGTTTCAACAAAAACACAGACGAAGTACAAGTCACAGGAAAGATATGAACGACATGTCTCTCGGCTTCGGGCGTTGTAATGCCATGGTGCCGCGTGTGGCACAGCGGAAAAGGCCATATCGAAGTTCAATATCCCGCTACCCACCAACAAGGGTAGTTGATGCAGTGTCCTCGCAACCATGTATCCATACCGCACCCTCAATTTCCCTGCAAGCACGATAAGATATACTTAGAAGCCGTTTCGATATGCAGTCAACAACCAGAACTTCGAAGTCTTTCAAGCTGGGCAGGTCGTAGCACCGATCGAGTGTGCGTATTTCGTGCGAGTCGTAGCTGCAGATGCAGAACTAGATGCAGCTCCGGTCTATATGTAGGAAACGCCTTACAAATTGTTACAGACCCAGTATGAGGCCTTCAAGACTAGTCTACCTTGGGCCAGCCTCCCTGAGTGGCCATAAATTCCCTGACGCGGCCAGGGCTGGCGCGGAGAACGTGGTAGAAACTTGTGGAAGAGCGCAAATAGACGCCGATATCCTTATTCTCCTCCCCGACGCGCCTCATCGATCTTTCACTTCTTTACCCTCCTGTAACTTCCTCACTTCGTCTAATTTGCGAACTCTTCGTGTCTATACTGCCAGTATACTCACGGTTTGCGAACGCATCATTCCACAAGACCACGACCAGCTTCACTTTAGCCTCTTCCACCACTACATCCGCCCATCATGTCTTCGATGCCGCTTTCGACTGCCAACTGGCACTGGAAGAACAAGAATGTGACGCGCTGGGGGAAGGAGTGGTTCGAGCACGAGCTCGCGACGATCGCCGTGCAAGGGGATGGGGAGCAGTCGGTGAAGGTGGATAGCGTGTCGGAGGTGGATGGGGACGTGGAGCTTGGGCAGAGGAAATCCAAGTGAGTGTCAAGATTCTGCATGCAGTACGAAGCGTGTGGAGGGGGAGGAATGTAGGGAATGGGGTTCGGCGGGAGGGGATGGAGGGAAGGACGGCGCACGTCGGCGCGAACATGTACCATTCCCTCTCCATACCTCCCCTCCCTAGTCCGATCAACGCATTCATACGTTGCTAACCTTCCACCCAGGCTCATCACCATCTACGACTGCAAGCTCACCATCCAGTGGTCCGGCAAGACCACCGCCGGCGAAGACGTCAAGGGCCGCGTCGTCATCCCCGAGGTCTCGCACGAGAACACGCTCGACGGGCACTCCGACGTCGTCTACGAGTGGTCCCTCACCACCGCCTCCTCCCCCGACGTCGACGCCGTGTTCAGGCTCGCGAAAGCGCGCCTGCCCGCCGCGCTCGAGGCCAAGTTCGCCGAGTTCCCCGTCGCGCTCGTGCAGACGCACGGGAAGGATATTCAGGTTGGCACGCCTTCCGCCTCTGGCACGTCGACCCCGGCCACTGGGGGTGCGACGTCGGCGAACGGCGCGGCGAAGGCAGAGGCAACAAAGCCGGTGCAGGCGACGAAGCCTGCTGCGAAGACGCTGAACTACTCGACGGTGGAGACGGAGGCGAGCTTCATGGCGTCGGCGGCGGACCTGTTCAGCCTGTTGACCGATGAGGCGCGGATACCGGCGTGGACGAGGGCGCCGGCGCAGTCCAAGCCGCAAGAGGGCACTGAGTTCTCGCTGTTTGGCGGTGGCGTGAAGGGCAAGTTCGTGTCGCTGAAGCCGCCGACGGAGGTGGTGCAGACGTGGGCATTGCAGAGCCCGACGTGGCCGGCAGGTGAGCAGCTGCTCGACATGCTCAGTGGCCAAAGGGACGATACTGAACATCACCGCCTTCAGGTCACTTCGCCACCTTGACCATGAAGTTCGACCAGGCGAGCGACTCGACGAAGCTCACCCTCACACTCGACGGTGTCCCGAAGGGCATGGAGGACGAGATCCGCACGAATCTCGAGGGCTACTAGTGAGTATACCTCTTCCTCATGCACCTCACAGATACTTATTCCTTTCCAGCATCCACGGTCTCAAGTCCATCGGGTACGTACCATTCCAGATCGAGCATGCACACGTCCGTCCCTCTTCGTACAAGAAGAAGACCATCGTGAAGAGGCAGCCAGCAAAGAGCAGCCCCTCCACCTCCTCGTACTTCACCGTCGCGTTCTTCAGTACATTGGTCGTGGTAGCTGCTTTCGGTATTCCCTGGTATACTTCCTCCAAGTGATCTTCTCTCGCCGTCGGGGACACTGATCGCGCTGGCTGCATCTGTCGCTCTTTTTATCGCACTCTCTTCGTATCCCCACTCTTTCGGAATAGATCATTGACTTTCATCGCCAGGTTGGGCACGGTGCTGTAGCCCGTCGATACACATCGAGAATAGGGAGACGGTGCAGGGGTTTTCGGGTGTCCATGGACATGTACACAAGCCATTGTATATCAGAATAGAATGTAAACTGTTGCCCATCCACCTCCTTTCCTTTGCCTGCGAAAGTCTGAACCACGTGCGCTGCGTCGCGTGATCGCGTTGGCTGCTCGGCTAATGCCGGCGCAAGCCTTTGTTCGTTTCCTTCACCATGAAGGGCGAGAAAGGCAGGGCATCCCTGCTTGCAACGGCTTTCTCGAGCACCGCTGTGAACATCCTTTGCTCTGCCTTATGGCTCTGTGGTCTGAAAATGGGCTACTACCTCTAGGTCTTGCTCGAAATTGTCTGCGTCAACTGGCCGTACTTCCTTCTCGGACGAACATCCAACCCTTCGTGCTATCTTCTCATGCTACTACCTCGAAGATCCAGCCCTCTTTCGTCTCTACCGCAAGCCACGCGAGCTGCCTGCCAATCTCAGTAATTTCCTTTTCGCTCCCTAACCCCATCCGCGGCGCCTCGTTGCAAAACCTCTGTCTGAAGCAATCCGGCATGTCCTTTTGATGGCTCTCGGCAGAAAATTACCACCTTTGGCAGGTGTTATACGTGACTGGACCCACTAAGGGGCGCTCGGGCGACCCTATGGCTCCTCAGAGCGCTCTCTGGCGTCCTCTGCAGCCCCTCCAATTTCCCTGCGATTTCTCCCGGCTCTTTGAGCACTTTTCCTGCCCCTTCCCTTTCGAACTTCACGCCACGCATCATCAGTCACGGTGGGCGCCTATCCACTATGATTATGGCCGCGTGTATGCTGATATGATTATCTTCCTTGCCCACTCAATCCCCGTGATGCTGCGTGTCGTCTCTCCCTCTGTAATTTATATTCGATTTCCCCTTCTCTGTCTTTCTACAACCTCCCCTGCCGTCATGCTGTTTCATGTAGATGTCAAATGGCTTTCACGGGTACCCTCAAGTCGACCGGCGCAATGTCCAAATACTCGTACATTTTATCGCTTACAGGGCGAAGCGTCTACTCATTGTCCTGCTAGGCCGCGCAGATATACGGTAACGGTGGTCCCTCTCGTGGTAATGCCTTGACTCCTCAGGGTATGTTGGTTTCTATCTCATTCGATGTGTCCACTCACTCATGCAACTTTTCCTGTATAGCGGCACGCTTCGCAGCAAGCAACTCTCGTACAGGACACGCTTCTCGTGACCCCGTGACCGACAGGGCGCTTGACGCCCTCAACGAGCAATATTTACGTCGTAGGCTTCGTTCCCTGGGTGTAGACGGGCCCATTAGCCTCTGGAGTCTCCCCGACTATCCCCCAGATGTCAAGCCTTCCATTGAACATTCGGTTCTTGTTATGGTTGCGCTTTACGCGGCGCCCACCAAGAAGCTGTGCTTGCAGGACATTTTGGACGCTATTATGGAGCGTTATCCATACTTCCGGACGGTCAAACCGTCGTGGCAGGTGCGTCGAGCTTTGCATATCCACGTTGATTATGATAAGCATGCTAACGGCGTTCGCAGAATTCTATACGTCACTCACTGTCCCTCAAGATACAATTTCACCACCTCGATCGTCCTGTTAGCGATCCAGGCCGGGGTGGGTACTGGTATCTGGACCTTACACATGGTGAAGGGGACTGCCTCGAGCGAAAGCGGAAGCCAGCGAAGGCGTCGTCTTTCGATTCCGTATGCGATGATGCATGCAGCGAGCATGCGTGGGTCTGAGCACTCCTTTATCTTTCTTTATTTGTACTGCTTCACACACCCCTGACATGGGTACAATCCCTGCACTGTATCTTCGAGTTCATCGTATCTGTACACCTACCAATGTCTGACTGTAGCTTTCTTTAATCTTTCTGTTACCCTTGCTTATCTCTCGTATATCATAAAGCTGCATAGTCTCTTCACCCGTCCACATGTTTGATCGAGCTTGCCATAAAAGTCAGGAAACAAGGACTTCCTGGTAAGGCGAACAATGGGCGCGTACTGCCGGGTCGGGCCTGAGATCCGATTGCGGCTGTGCCGCTTTGTCATCACCACAATAGCAGCGCTAAGTTGGACGGGTTCTTATTCCCAGCGCTCATCCCCCCACGAACCCTCATGGAGTCCTTCGAAAATTTCCAGTACGAAAACGCGTCGTCGTACGGCGGCGCACTCAGCGTTGTGGACGACAATTCGTCCGTCTACACAGCAAACACCCAGGATACGGCATCCTCATCGGTCGATCTCTCCAGCCTCTCGATTTCCGGCTCCTCGTCCGTGTACGGGGGGCCCTCCAACGGCCATGCGCACGCGCAGCACGATGCGCGCTCGGGAGGCTCTGAGGATGATTTTGACGGCGTCCTCGACGATCTCAAAGATGAGTCCGCCGTCGCACTCCCTCCGCACGCCTGCAGGTACGTCCTAGTACGCCGACACACTTCGTGGCGCAACTCACTCCACTCCCTAGCTATTGTGGCATCCACTCCCCTGCATCTGTCGTCAAGTGCCTCATCTGCCAGAAGTGGTTCTGCAACTCGCGCGGGAATACGTCCGCCTCGCACATCGTCAACCATCTCGTGCGCGCTAAGCACAAGGAGGTCATCTTGCACGCGGAGTCCCCGCTCGGAGAAACGACACCCGAGTGCTACAACTGTGGCAGCAAGAACGTGTTCATGCTGGGCTTCATCCCCGCGAAGAGCGACACCGTCGTCGTACTTCTCTGCCGGTGCGTGATCGAGCCGAGTGCGGTACATGACAGATTCTGACGTGTCTTTAGGCAACCGTGTGCGGCGATCTCGAAGGAGATATCGTGGAATGCGGCACTGTGGGCGCCGCTCATTGATGATCGGTCCTTCCTGTCCTGGCTGGTCAAGCCGCCGAGCGAGACCGAGCAGCTTCGCTCCCGCCAGATCTCCTTCCAGCAGATCAACAGGCTTGAAGACCTGTGGCGTGAGAATGCCAATGCCACACTCGAGGACCTCGAGAAGCCCGGTGTTGACGACGAGCCGCAGCCGGTCATCCTGCGCTACGAGGATGCGTACCAGTACCAAAACATCTTCGGCCCCCTCGTCAAGATCGAGGCCGACTATGACAAGCGCCTCAAGGAGAGTCAGACCCAGACGGACATTGCTGTTCGTTGGGACATCGGTCTCAACCAGAAGCGCGTGGCGTGGTTCTGTCTCCCAAAGCTCGAGAGTGGCGAAGTTCGTCTCGCTGTCGGCGACGAGCTGCGGCTCAGGTACTGTGGCGAGTTGCACAAGCCGTGGGAGGGTGTCGGACATGTCATCAAGATCCCCAACAGTGCGTTACCTATAGCATACATCCACTCCCCTCGCTGACCTCCTTCCAGACGTATCCGACGAGATTGGCCTCGAGCTTCGCCGGACTGAGGGCGTACCTACGGACTGCACTCACAACTTCGCTGCTGATTTCGTCTGGAAGTCGACCAGCTTCGATCGTATGCAACTCGCCATGAAGACGTTTGCAGTGGAGGAGAAGAGTGTCAGCGGCTATATCGTGCGTGATGTTCTGCCAACTCTTCGCAAGACACTACTAACTTCTCGCAGTACCACAAGCTTCTCGGTCACGAGCTTGAGCCGCAGAGCCTCCGCACATCTATGCCCAAGCGCTTCTCTGCTCCTGGTCTCCCTGAACTCAACCATTCCCAAATGTATGCGGTCAAGAACGTCCTACAAAAGCCCCTCTCCCTCATCCAAGGCCCACCTGGCACGGGCAAGACCGTCACGTCGGCCTCCATCGTCTACCACCTGGCCAAAATGAACCCAGGCCAAGTTCTTGTTTGCGCCCCATCCAACGTCGCTGTCGACCAGCTCACTGAGAAGATCCACATGACTGGACTCAAGGTCGTGCGCCTGACGGCCAAGTCGCGCGAAGCCCTCGACTCGAGCGTGTCTTTCCTGACGCTGCATCGCCAAGTGGAGAACAGCTCGACGCACGTGGAGCTGCAGAAGCTCATCATGCTGAAGAACGAACAGGGCGAGCTGAGCAGCAACGATGAGCGGAAGTACAAGACGCTTATCAAGCAGTGCGAGAAGGAGATTCTGAGCAAGGCGGATGTGATCTGCTGCACTTGTGTGGGTGCGGGCGACCCGCGTTTGAGCAAGCTCAAGTTCAGGACCGTGCTCATTGATGAGGCGACGCAAGCCGCTGAGCCTGGTAAGTTGTTATTTGCCCAACACGCGCATATATGCTGACATCTTCGCGCAGAATGTATGATCCCCCTCGTCCTCGGCTGTAAGCAGGTCGTCCTCGTCGGCGATCACCAGCAGCTTGGTCCCGTCATCATGAACAAGAAAGCCGCTCGCGCCGGCCTCACCCAATCCCTTTTTGAGCGTCTTGTTATCCTTGGCAACCGGCCCATCCGGCTGCAGGTGCAGTACCGCATGCACCCCTGCCTCTCGGAGTTCCCGTCGAATATGTTCTACGAGGGGACGCTGCAGAATGGTGTGACGGCGCCGGAGCGGCTGAGAAAGAATGTGGACTTCCCATGGCCGGTGCCGGATACGCCCATGTTCTTCTACCAGAATTTGGGTCAGGAGGAGATCTCGAGCAGTGGGACGTCGTTCTTGAACAGGTGTGTGGAACTGCGAGGTAGTCAAGTGTGCGTGCTGACGACTGTTCAGGACTGAGGCGTCGAACGTCGAGAAGATCGTCACCAAGTTCTTCAAGTCGGGCGTCATGCCGAACCAGATCGGTGTCGTCACTCCATACGAAGGCCAGCGCTCGTACATTGTCAACTACATGCAGTTCAATGGCTCGCTGAAGAAGGATCTGTATAAGGAGATTGAGGTTGCCAGCGTCGACGCCTTCCAGGGTCGCGAGAAGGACTACATTATCCTGAGCTGCGTGCGCAGCAACGAGCACCAGGGCATCGGTTTCTTGAACGATCCGCGCCGTCTCAACGTGGCGCTCACCCGTGCGAAGTACGGTGTGGTCATCTTGGGCAACCCGAAGGTTTTGAGCAAGGTAAGCCTGGTCCGTCTGACATACAAACATCTTGCTGACAGTCACACAGCACCCCTTGTGGCACTACCTTCTAACGCACTACAAGGAGAAGGACTGTCTCGTCGAAGGCCCGTTGAGCAACTTGCAGCCCAGCATGATACAGTTCAGCAAGCCGAGGCGCACGCTGGCGAGCTCGATGGACCAATTCCGTCGTCATGAGACCACGGCGAGGGACTACCTCAGTGGCGCTCCTGCTACCGCCGTCGGTGCAACTCCCAATCGCTCGGGCACGCCCAGTCGCTTCGATACGAGCTTCTACAGAAGCCACGACGCCCTTGGGTACATCCCTTCCGATATCCAGTCCTTGCGCTCGCAGGCAACGTACTCTTCTGGTCTCCCCTCCTTCACCGCTGCCGGTCCCTTCGGTGCCGTTCGCGGTGCCAACGGCGCGAAGCGCAGCAACTACAGCTACGCCTCCTCCATAATCTCTCAGGACGCTGGCCCCAGCACTACGGACGGCAGCAGCGTCGTCGGCAGCAGCATCGGCAACCCGAGCATGGCGTACTCGCAGAGCGACCGCCTCCGCCGGCGCGGCTCCTTTGGCTCGTCGTCCGTTACGGGCACGTCCGACCTCGGCAGCCTCTCGCAGTACGACTACAAGAGCCAGGACGACGGGGCAGACCTGGACGACGTGAAGTCGCAGTACACGGGCACGCAGTCTGGCGTTACAGTGTTCTAGCGCCGCGCGCGCACCGACCTCCGAATCCGTCAATTGTAGGGCGTTGCTCTGACTTTGCTGCGCTTCGCCTGTCTCTCTGGACACGCGAGCGGTGCATCAGCAGATGCTGCTTGACGGACGGAGGGTGACTCTCCGCTCCATGCCAATGCTATCATCGAGGTCACGGCCTCAGCCAGCTCCATAGCTAGCTGGCAAGCCGCCTCGAGGGACGGATGCTCATTGCATCCTCCCGACTCACGACGACACACTCTACCTCATACGTGGTCGCGCACGCAGGTCAAGGACGATGGGCCTGCTTGACCTGATGGTCGACGACAAGCTGACAGGGCACGAACTTGCTCCATGTCCTTAGGCCATATCTGGCCTTTCAAGCTCTTCGGGCGACTCGGACGCGCAGGCACCGATCATGTACAACTCATCTCATAGCTTCCGTGTCGATATAGCTCACTTTCCAATGCAACTGTCTTTCGTGTCGCGTCGGCCTGCGGTGTCGCATTCAGATCCTCCACGAGCGGTGTGAGGTATGTTCGTCTCATTGGTATAGCTGTTAGCCCAGGACGGTATTAGAGCTATGTCCTGCACGGTGCTGGTGTACATTTACGGTCTGGTAAATAGGTCTCACTCAGCAAAACGCGCCGGCCGGCGCCACCGCTAGCAGACCCCTTCTGTTGTCGCCCTGCGCAGGCCTTGAGCATACGGATAGAGGCAAGTATGAACGTATGAGCCGCTCGAACAACACTCACCAGCACCTCCAGCCGGCGCCACTCTGAGTAAATGAGCGCCAATAACAAGAACGCGAACCCTTCCGACGAAACGTCAGGCTTGACTATCAATTGTGCAGGCTCGGTCTTGTGCAAAAGATGCGTACGCGCAGAGCGCAAGTACGCGACTGTAGTGTCTGGGTGCGAGGACAGGACGTCTTTGACCTGGGCTGCCTCAGCACGAAGCACACGAACAGAGTTGACCATGTAACCCACCGTCCACCCTCCTTCCGCATAATCCACTTCATACTCGAATTTACTCCACCGCCAAGCTCGCGCGCTTGTGTATCTTCCTTTCACCCATACATCATGCTCCAGGCTCTTAACAGGCAGCGACTCGCTGCCCATAACGAAGTAGTGCTCGTTCCAGTATATTGACGCGGCGGGCGAGGTGCCGCTCACAATTGTGATCTTCTCGCCGCTCCTAGACCGCACCGTCTCAATGGCGTACGGATGCTCGCCCTCGTCGTTGGGAACGAGGGTAGTATTCAGGACATCGCGGTTGGTAAAGGTGAGCGTGCGCATGATGGTGAGGGGTGGAGAGGACCCCCTGCATCATCGTCTCCCGCTTTATACACTAGCAGTGCACAGCTTGCACCGAATTTCTTCACTGCTGTCACGAGGCGTAGTACAGTCCCACGAAGTGTATCACGAGCATGAGTCAGTCGTCGCCCTATCAGCGAAAACCACTAGCATCAAGTATGCGATGGGGCAAGACCCAGGATGATCTCCGCGGCTCGCAGCCGCAGTTCTTCACGAGGGAACTTCGATATGTGTGCGGCGCAGACCGCTTGTCGAATGTCCATCCCATAATTTTCACCTCGTCGTGCACGCACGACACCTTATGCTGCACGAGACCAAACGCTGGTCCCAGATATCGGTCAATCGTCAAAAAATCCGTTGTATATCCCTGGGTTCTGGAAGCACGTTAGTTCAGAGACTTTTAGCTCGTCGAGAGAACTTACAGAGCTACAGACGTTCGAGGGTCACCCCTGCAGCTGGATACACCAGTTTCCCGTCTTCGAAGTATAGCAGATCAAGGGGAGCCCCACGGCTTTGGTACCCGTATAGGTCTAAGCTGACCCAGTAAGGCTCGCAGCCAGATATGGGAACATCGTTCAGCTCTGCCCGACCGATGCCCAACCTGGGTGAAGGGGACGATCAGACACTTCCAGCGCTGTTTGCCCCAAATCACTACACACACCTGAACTCATCCTTCCGGCCCGTACTCCAGAGCGCGACAGGTCGACCAGCGCCAGCTCCTGCCGCCGCCAGCACGTCAACGCCCCGCACCACCAACGTGTCCACAAACAGCATCTCGTGCTGTACCGACACCACCGCCAGCGCGCGCTCGCCGTGAAACACGCCTGCATATGCTTTCGCCACCGCTTCAACCTGCAGCGCGGCGAACGCTGGCGCGAAGCGCGAGACGGCGGCGTCGGTGAGGGAGACCGTGTCCGCGTACTCGCCGGTGACGAGGACGATGACGCCGAAGGCCTGCTCAGGGATGAGGGCGAATTGGGAATGGTAGCCGGGGAGGTTGCCGCCTGAGGAAGGGGTCAGTGGGGAGGAGTAGAGAGGGGCAAGTGACGTACCCTTCGAATATAAGCGCAGCTCGTTCGAGAGCTTGCGGATTTCCCAGGGGGCGCCGACCTCGTTCATGCCGTCGCGCCATGCGTGGAGGGGGCGTAGCCATTCGCGTACGACGGTGGGCGAGACGAGGCCGCCTTCGACAGTGGGCGACAAGAAAGTCTTCAGGAGCGTCGTGAGATCGCGCAAGGAGCTGAACTGGCCTCCAGCGGGGTCGTCCGTGTCACCGAATACAAAGTCCTGCACGACGGTGAGGCAGTGTACGAAGGTCTGTTCGCATCATGAACTCACAGCCCACTCAGCGTCTTTCCTAGGCACGGCTTTGTGAGCCTCCAACTCCTCGTCGGGGACGACGTAGAAGCTGCTGTTGAGACCGAGCGGCTCGAAGATATCCCTCTTGATGAGGTCCTTGTGTGACTGAGGTTCATCGTCAGGGGAGTCTGACGCTAGCTTGTTTGCCTCGACATTTGCGATACCCAGCACGTCCATTCCCACGTTCGAGTAGACCGGATACTCGTACTGTGGGACGATGAGAGAAGCTCGGCGATGGCTTTGAATACCTCTTCGCGAGGGCGCTGGCGGATCGTGGTCCCTCCGGGCTTGTTGATGGGCCAATCATGTACGTCCTGGACAGGGTAGTCGCGCCCGAGGCCTAACGGATTGTCGGAAAAGAAGTATAGAGTACAGTGAAGCAGCTTACCTGACAAATGGGAAGCAAGTTGACGCAGCGTTATCTTGTCCTTTGACTGAGCAGATGCAGCGCCTGCCAGGTGCTCTGGCCACGATGCGCTCGGATAGGTGAAGTTGGGCAGGAACTTGGTTACTGGGTCGTCCCTGCGAGCATCAGTACTCGCGTTCAACAAGCTGTTAACTACGCATACCAGTTCAGAGCGCCTCGCTCCCTCAGTATGAGCGTCTCGAGTACGGTGAACATCTTCGTGATGCTCGCGATGCGGTAGATGGAGTCGCTGTCTACCGCGCCATACTTGTCCGGCTCGGACTCATTGGCGCGCAGAGTGCCGTACGCGCGCTCAAAGACAGTGCCAGATGGGGTCACTACAGCGACCGCAAGGCTATCGATGTCTGGGTAGGCGGCGCGATGGGTGAAGTAGCCGTCCAGAAGGAGGGAAGCCTCCTGCAGAAGCGCTTCATTCCCGGTTGGGGGATCGTACGCGAGAAGGTTCGGGAGCGGAACCTTGCACGAAGGGCCCGTAAAACGGCTGCGATAAGGGGTGTCGAGGCGAAGGATCCCTGTCCAGAATGCCGGAATAAGAGCGGCACAGAATACCAGGAAAGAGGCGACGAAAGCTCGATTGAACGAGCGCGGTGGTTCCGGTAGCTTTGCAAAGCCTTGCGGTTGGCACACCTTCTCAGCCATGGTGGCGAAGGTTCAAAGACGGCTGCGGATGCCGACGATAGCGTAGGCGCCTGATAGGCGCGCAGGCACGCCATGTGATGGTAGAACGTGGCAAAGTTCAACATGTAGATGTGCTCGCATGTTCTTTGTTCGGAGTTCTGAATATTATCATCACTACAATCCAGGTGCTATGCTGTTGGTCCCGCAAATTCACGAATCTATGCGCTGCAAGTCAGGATATCGTCAATTGCTACTGTTGTCAGAATCCCACGAGCGAGACAGACGCCCGCGCAGTCAAGGCAGACACCCGCGCGACCGAGAAATAACTCCGCGTGAGCAAGACGAGGAGTATGAGCAGCGCAGGGTCAGCAGACCGACGCTTAGCTATCAGCGCCACACTAGACCACCGACAACCTCCGTCATCGTGCATCTCCCACGCAAACGCCGATTGAAGCAGGAGATGGATTCAATGGCAGTGAATCCCGCGTACGTGCTTGTATCCTGTACGAGGAAGCTCTGGACTTATTGAGCGGTCTCGCACGGACTACAGCACGAAGGCGTCGATCCCGCGTCTGTATAGAGGTCGGTTCGTGTCCGAAGAGATCATCGATACATCACTGGCAGGTAGCCACACATAACAGAAGGCAGTTGAAGGGAGTACCACCTGCGCTTCGCAGACCTCGTAGCAGCCTCGTAAGTCACGCCGCTCCACCTGCGAGGCCTTGACACACGCAAGAGCTAGTGATACCTAGTTGCACAACTAGTCATAGTCGGTATGGTGTTTCTTCTGGTAATGTGGCTGTCTTTTGACCTATCCTCTTGCAGTACATGACCACGTCGAATCCAGCGCTGGAGCTGAGGAGCGTGAGCGCAGGACAAGTTATATACTTGCTGAACGAGCTTCAGTGCTTCCACCGCGTCGTGAGAGATCGACATCAAGCCCGGCTTCGAGAATCCCGCGCAGAATAGAGTAGACACGTTGCGAACACGCGCCTTCAGGCCGGACGCCGCACTCCTTATCAGATCAGAGGAGCGTAGCTAGAGGGGAAAAAGAGTTCACGGTACAGAGATTGTCGTCGCGGAAGGCTCAGTAAAGTCGAGAAAGCAGGCCCATGCAGGTTGCATGTTGGCAGGAGACAAAAGAGGATGGCCGAAAGAGGCAGTAAATCAACAACGGTCCGATTCCCGGAGTCCGGCCCGCAGATCCGAGGGGCAGCTTATAACGGCGGAGGTCTGTTCGTTCCCACCCTGTCGTCTCTCGTCCTGAACCAACTGACCCCCACCCATGAGCATCGTGCCTGCCCTCTCGCAAGCTGGGGATCGCGACGGCCTGTGGCTACGCGCGATCTCTGGCTGAGAGCAGGGCGAGCACGGTGTTTGTGGCGGGCAGGTCGCCGTCGCTGTCGGGGTCGTCGGGTCGATGGCCTCGTTGGTGGCGGTGAGATCTGTAGCGTCAGTCCGGTTGCTGGCGTCGCTAGCCCTCAGGATCTCAGTGATAGTCTGCGTGCGGTGACTCTGTTGCCACAAGCAGCCTTGAGGGATCTCGGGCGGCCACCGGCGTTGGTGATCGGCGGGGCGATCGGAGCGCAGGTGCGCGGCGTCGACGACGCTGCCGCTCGACCTTCCCCCCGAGGTCGACGGTGGCCAAGGACGCGTCGCTCATCTGTTCTCAGCCGTTGGCGTGCTGCCTTCGTCGCGGTCCGCCCACATTGTGGCGGATCGCGGAGGCGGCGATCGCCACGCGGCGTTCGTGGCGCGTGTTGTGGCGAGCGTGACCGCGTCCTAGTAAGTGGGGTCGCCATCGACCTCACCGAGCGGATGCACCCATGCTCTCCCTCGCCCGCCGCACGAGGGGCCGGCGACCCTTACACTCCCCTCGCCCGTCCGACCATCTCGTCCAACCGATCGCCACGACGCGCCAGGCTGGTCCTAAAGGCACGAATGCATACACCCCACCCCCCACTGTGGCCCTTGAGGGGCCACCCACCGCACGGGCGACCGCCAGGCATTGCAAGCTGCCTCGTGTATGCATTCGCGAAGCGTGCCGGTTTTTGAGTTTTAATAGGACGACCCAGCGGCGCTGCGTGGCGGGCGGGTCGCCACTGCCGGCGTTGGCGCGGTCGTCGGGTAGGCGGCCTCCCCAGCGCCCGGCGAGACCTGCCAGCTTCGGGCCTGTCGGTGTCATCACTTAGCCCTTCTGAACCCGGTGATGGGTTGCGCATATGTTGGTACCGAGTTCGGGCGCATATTTCGCAATCCTGAGGGATGTCGTCTGTGCTGGTGGTGGCATGCGATGGGTGGACAGATCGTCAATTGAGGTGGCGCGCGACGCGAGTCGTGCTTCCTCCTCTCTAAGACGGGTAAATCTTTGGAACCTTTTCAGGTCCTTCGCGGCCTTGCGTTTTGGCTGTAGATTGGTGACATGGCTACTGTACTGGCCTCTATCATGTAGTAGATACTCGCCTTGCAAATTATTATGGCCCTTGGAACTACTGCCAAACTCACGTTCGGTAACAGTGAATTGCAGACGTGAAGGGCCGGGTCAGTAATTGCTATAACTAACAGGAATAGATAGGGTAGTATATCGTGCAGAACGAACGAAGTGAATGCATGCGATTAGTATAGCTTGTGGTGGTGGGGTGAATACGATCCAGAAAGATGGGTGAGGAGTCAGCGTGGCAAGTGGGTGTGTGGTGGGGGTTTTGAGAACGGTGATGAGGGGTATGAGTAGGTAGCGGGGAGTGTTGAGGAGGAAGTGACGGGAGGCGGTAAAGGATGGCGAGGGGATGTAGAGGAGCATGATGGGGAGAATCTGGATGAGCGTATTGGGAGGCGTCTGAGTGACTAATGTGGGTTGTCCGTGTCGTATCGTATCGTACACCGGGCCGGCGAACCTATATGCAGATCCTAGCAGTAACAAACCGTCCGTTTATCGACGCTTGTGTGTTGACATGTCCGTGGGGCGTGAGGCTTCGAGCTCGTGAAGCGCGGGGACGTGCACTCTCGCGCCTGGGGTTGTGCTCTTAAGCCTAGGGTTGCGGGACCTCGAGCGCAAGCCGCACTTCGCCGAGCATTACGCCCGCGGCTGCGACTCACTCCCGCCATTGGCGACGTGCAGCGGGGGCAGGTGCTCGTCGGGCAGATGGATCGAGCTGCTCTCGCTCGCGCGGTGCCCGGGCGTGAACGCCTGCACCTGAGGTGCGAGGTTGCCCTGAGGCTGGGCCGGGTAGTTGGCCTGCGCCTGCGGTGCGTAGTTGCCCTGCTGCTGAGGCGCGTAGCCGCCCTGCGCTTGATGCTGCTGCTGAGGCGGGAAGTAGCCTTGCGGCGGCGGATGCGACGCGCTCCACGGGCTCGGCGGCGCGTTCATCGGGGGCTGCGACAGACTCGGGGTGGGCGAGTGGCCGGAGGCGGACATGTTGAAGTTCGCGGAGCGCGGCGTGCTCGGGTGCGAGCCGTAGCCGGCGGGTACGAGACCAGGGCTGGGCGGCGGCTGCATCATCATCGGCGGCGGCATCGAAAAGCTGCCAGAGGGCGAGTGGCCTCGAGGGGGCATGTTGCCTGCAGGGGACATATGGCCAGAGGGGGACATGTTGCCAGGCGGTGGCATATTGTAGCCAGGCGAGCGCGGCGTGCCCGGGCGCGAGCCGTACGGTCCGGGTGCGAGCTGCTGCCCGGACATCGACATCGGCCTGTGGTGCCCGTGCGCGCTGCTCGGCGTCGCCGGGCGGGCGAAGGGGTCCGCGGCCATGGGCGGGTAGCCGCCGGGTGCGCTCGTCTGCCCCACCAGCCCGTACTGATACGCCTTCGGCTCGACGCTGCTGTTGAGGGAGCGCTCGTACTCGGAGACGGCCTTCGCGGCGCCCTTGGAGATGATCTCCTGCTCGGTCTTCTCGTAGAAGAGGTCCTCGTAGCGCGTGCGGCGTTTTCTGGACGAGGAGGGGTTGTTAGATCGCGCTTCGGAGTTGGGGGGAGGGGGCTATACGTACATCCACCACCAAGCGAGGAAGGCGACGATGGCGACGAACGCGACACCGCCCACTGTACCGCCGATGATCGCACCGAGGTTCGCAGGTGCCTTCGTGCCGCCTGCCGCGTCCACCGCGCGCGTCTGCGCCGCCTCGGTCTCAAAGACGACCGGACTGGCGGAGCCCGTGGACGTGACAGTGACCTCGATGACGGTCACCGCGCCATCTTCTTGTGTGGATGAGGACTGGGTGGTCATAGTGGTGGGGGGTGGGGTCGAGTAGGAGGTGGTGGTGATGCGCTCGGTGGTGACGATCGTGCTCTGCTCCTTGGTCGTCGACTGGTCAGTCGTAGTGGGCTTGGACGAGTCCCCATCCGTGGTCTTGCTATCGCCATCGTCGGTCGAGCACTCTCCATCGTACAGCGTAGTCGTCACATCCGCCGTGGTTGTGACCATGGACGTGAACGGGATGGATGTGGTCGCGCCATCGCCTACGCGAGCGCTCAACTTCTGGGCAGCAAAGAGTACTTGGCTACACACACCTTTCAACGTCGATGTCTCCGTCGTCGTATCGCACATCATGTTCCCGAGTTTACACGACGTCGACACGATCGTGGTCACCACATCGTCGCCGTCTATCACCGTGGTCGAATAGCCCACCGACGCCGTCTCCGTCGTCACCTGCGTCGTCTTCGTCGCCGTCGGCGTGCCCGTGCACTTTGACATCGTCCGACTCGTGCAAGACTGCTATGGTCGGGTGCGTGGTGTAAACGAGAGCGCGGACTTCCGAAGAGTGAGGCGGAAGCAGAAAGCTCTAGAAATGACAGAACTAAACAAGAGAAGGAGGACAAAACACAGCGAGCGGCGCCCAGAGCCCGATAGCGTGCGAGTGGGCGGCCTGGGGTCTAATTGAGGTGAAGCGGGGGCAAGGATCAACAAAGAAAACGAGGCAGACCCGAGGCGCGTATCAAGACAGGGGCTACTCAATTTACGTCCCGGTCAGGTGATCGGGCAGTTCAACTTCCGCGCTGCCGGCAACTTGCGAGGGAGGCAAATGTTCTTTTGCTTCCGGGAGGATGGCTTCAGGAAGGTAGGCAAAATTTAGAGGGAAGTAGGAAAGAGGTATAGAGCAAAAGCTCTGATCGAAAAATATCTCTTCGACAGCAGGAGCACCCCTCCAGCGCACTACCGGCTTCCGCAGCCTACGCTAGCTGCGCTGCATGTCCGACTCGGACACCGCCTTGCCACCACTGTCATACGCCGCGCTACGGTCATTGAGGGCATTCTGACGAGCCGTCTAGGGCTGTCCATCCATGGCCTCTTACTCCCGTATGGGTGTGAGGAAGAGAGCGGCGTCCATCCGGAATTTCGATTGTTCCACATGCCGCAGCCGCATTTTCAAGACCGAGGCGACTCGCTCTGAATGTAGAGGGGTCAGCGGGCCGAGGAGGGTGGAAGCGGCAGACTTGGCGCTTTGCGAGGCGGGTATTGACCCCGAGGAAGTGTAGTCAATGGTGATCACGATAGATGGTCGGGAACAAACTACGGCCGTCACTGGGCGGATTCAGCGCGAGTGTAGAAGAGCAGCGAACTGTGCGAGCCACCAAAGCAATACCTGTGTTACGTTCCTGTTCGAAGGCCAGAGACAAGTGCCACTCGAGTGCTGACATTCATCAGACAGAAATTGTTCTCTATGATAGCGACAAGGCGCTCACCTGCACAGGATTTTGATACCAATACTTAAGCCGGAAGGAGGAATGGGCTTGTAAAGCAAAAAGATCCTGTCCAATAGGCAGAAAGCCAGTCGTAAGGGTCAACTGAGTTGCAGCCCTAGTAACGTTGGGGCAAAGACGGCACGGCGAGGCTGCCTCGAAAGGGCCCTAATATCGATGGGATGACCTACAGGATCCCGAGGCGTACGACAGAGGATCGGAGAGCGGAGAGCGTGTCGCTTCAAGACGGCAGAAACCCGGAACACGCCAGAAAACAGGTAGAACGGAGAGGCTTGCCGCTGCAAATGGACTGGGGGTATGTGCTGTTCTTCTGTCGGACACGTGTATACCCTCGAGGCACATACGCCCGTCCCTCGCAACAGCCTTCCGTGAAGTTTTGCATCGTGTTCAGGCGGAAGCAAGGTTGGCAAAGCCCAAACATGGTTGCCCTTGTCGCCGCAAAAGGAAGAGGCGACCAAAGAGGGCAAGAACACGTGCGCGAACCATTCCATTGTGTCACAGCGTCACAATGGTCACGGCGTTTGCGGCATTGATTGCCGGGTCTTATTGTTCTCTTTTGGGTGGACAATGCGCAAATGGCGGCGACGCCGGGTCCCCCGTTACGTGTCTGTGTGGGCGCGTGTTCGTACAAAAGCCGACGGAGCGTAATTGAGGACAGGCCTTCTTCCTTGCTTCCCGCCACCACACGACTGTCTTTTTTTCTCGCCCTTCTCTTCACTCACGACGGTGCCGGCACCAGCTCTGACCCTTACGACCCTGTTATCACGACACTTCCCCTCCCTCTAGACGACTCCCTCCACTGCTAGACGCTACTTACAGACATGTCTGCCTTCCGTTCTTGTGAGTTTTGCGACGCGATCGGGGAGGGTTCAGGCTAATTGGCCACTGCAGACATCTTCTACGGCCTGAACGTCGTCCGCGCGCTCAGCATCATCTCGCTGCTGCTCGTATTCATCAGCTGCATCATCACGATCGTGAACAATGTCAAGGCGGTCAACTACTACATGGCCCACCGGACAAAGGAGGACGAGCAGGTGGATTGCGACTACATCGAGTGCGTAGCCACTGTGATTGACCCTGGCCACTGTACTGACGATGCCACAGGAATAGCACTGTGCCTAACCAGGCCGCTGGTGTCTTCTGGGCTGTCGTCTCTTCCCTCCTGATCCTCTTCCAGAGTGTTGTCCTCATGAGTGCGTGAACCTCCCTTCTTTCTCACCCCGCCACTGACAGGTCCTTGCAGTGTCCGAGCTCAGCTGGCCCATGACCTTCTTCGACACCTACTTCCCCGTCCTTGGCTCCAACTTTGGCACCGGCGCGCTCGGCATCTTCCAGTGCTTCATCGGCGCGCAGATCCTCAGCCACCACGTCGACGACTTCACGCTCGTCGCCGCCTTCTTCCTCTTCTCCGTCTCCTGCCTGAACATGATCCTCGGCCTCATCTTCCGCGCCTCCGGCAAGCACCAGCGCTCCATCCGCGCCTACCGCAACCAGGAGCCGGACCCCTTCGCCGACCCCAAGGACCCGCGCCCGCCCTTCACCATGGCGTCCCCCTCGTACGTGAAGAGCATGTTCACGGGCTCGACCGCGGTCGCGCCGGAGAAGGAGGAGAAGAAGATGGAGTTCGGCGAGAAGGCCGGGTTCGGGTTCGGCCGCCAGGGCGAGAAGAAGGCGGGGCTCAAGGGCTTCCTGCTCTCGCGCCCCGAGGAGACGCTCCCGCGCTACGCGAGCCCCGTCCCGGCGTCCGCGCCGCGCATCATCGGCTTCCCGACGCAGGGCCGCACGCTCAGCCCGCCGCGCAAGGGATCCATCCAGACGACGTCGAGCTTCTGCTCCCCGGGCACGCGCCCGTCGAGCACCGCGTCGTCCCTTGGGCCCGAGCCGACGGGCGCCGAGCGCGACAGCCAGGCGTACTCCTCGCCCTCGCGCTACTCCCGCTCTGTGTACTCCCGCGCGCCGTCGCCTGGTCCGGACCCGCGCACGTACGAGCCGTTCCCTGCGGACCTGCGCGTACCGCCGCACTTCAAGTCCAGCAACCAGGCTATCTGAGACCTCTTTGAGAGAGGGCTTTTTGCATGTCTGTTACGCTTCCGCGTCACGCCGTCTACGAATCACACGCCGCGCCCCGTAGCTAGCCTACGGTGGCCCCTGGACAGTGCTATCACATCCTATCCTACCAGACACCGCCGTGTATGATCTGGACTATCTCGGCGCATTGTAGCACTAGTCTTTATTCGCCTTCGGGTGGCACTTATCTGGTCTCTCACGACCTGTATTGTATCCCTAAGTAATGGTTTCCGAGTCAATGAAGAGATCAAAAGAGATCCATGGGTCATGACTCCTTGTGAAGGAGTACTGCCAGTGTTGAAGTTCGAGTCGAGACAAAAGGCCGAGATTGTGGCATGGGACGGTCAGTGGTATAGCTATTACAGTGCGATGGGGATACAATTAGTGCTCAAACTATCGGTACAATACAAGGCTTGTAGAATCTACATAAACGTACACTTCACCCATCGCCAGGCCGCCTCACGAAGGGAGTAGAAGCTGACACTCTCATTCACAGACGTTATGAATGGGCGCGTGCCCTTCGTGTCGCCTCTTTTGGCCCTGTCGAACTCGGCCTTGTCGACGGTGCGCCCGAAGTCGATGAGCCTGAAGCTTGGGGTAGAGCGGTGGCGCTGGGCGGGTGGGACGTTGAGCGGACCTGCTTGCATGAGAACGTTGCGGGGGAACTCGGAGTTCTGCACGAAACCGACTTCGTGCATGCGCAGGAAGAGGCTGGCGGTAGTCTGCCTGAGTCAGTGTCAGCACGTTCAATTACGCGGAACGAAAAACGGACAACGCACTTTTCGAGCCTGTTCAAGCTCCTCCCCCAGACAGGCGTTCCGCACGACTCCACGAGCATAATCGGACTCAGATACTTACCACCCTTGGGCTTCTCCACCGATACATAGTACCCAAAGAACTGCGGGATGACAGCACCGAGGGGCATCTCGTAGTCGAGCTCCTTGAGGTGCGTGGTCCCCTTGCGATGCTGCGCCAGCTCGGGCGGAAAACGCGTGTACATGAGAGCCTCGTGCGCAAGATGCTCGTCGCCGCGGATGGAAAGCTTCGCGGCGACGCAGACGCGCGCGATGGGCGGCTCGAGGCCGGGGACGCCCGCAAATTCGGGGTCCCGAAGGGGCAAGGTAGCGGCGAGAGTCTCTTGCTGGGCATCGGTCACGATAGAGGGAGTGCTGGACTCAGGGCGATAGCCGGGCAGCAGCGTGCGTGCGACGTCGAGCTCAGCCTGGTATACGAAGGAATGATGTCCCGTACCGTGCTTCTTGTCCTTTGCGAGGTACAAGTGCGCCACGCGCTCTTCAGCGGATGCCTTTCCAGCATCACCGATGTGCAGGCGATAGACATGAAGGACATCGTCTTCGTCGACCCAGTCGTATTTGGATGTCCAGCTATCGACGATCTCATGCCGACTTGCAGGGAGAACGTTCGATGGATCGTGGACGACGAGCGTGGTCGGAAAGGCGCGAAGGGGCGCTTCGAGGTTGGGGTGTGATGCAGCGGAGTCGAAGGGCAGAAGTGGGTGCGTGGGCGGAAGGCGACTGGGGTGGAAGAGCGAGTCGCTAGCCTGCGTAACCTTGGTCAACAATGGATCAACTGAAGACGGCGAGACATACCCATTCGTAATGCTCAAGCTCGTCGACCATGGCGAAGAGCTTGTCCCGAGGCATCGACTCGCCCGTGTCCTGTAGAAGAGGGACGATGTCGCAGACCGGGACAACACTGTCGAGCAGTCCAGGCTCTTCCTCGACAGATGTGGCTGGGGTGATGGCCCGCTCCGTGCCGTGTTGCTCGCTGTCACTGTCGCTGGCGGAGGTCTCATCGTCAGATGATCCTGCGCTTCCGGTTGGTGTGCGTTCAATCTGCTCTCGTGTTGGGGTGCCGACGACGATCTCAGGCTCTCCATTGTGTGCAGGAGGCGCTACCGCGTGTTTCGTTGGAGCGCACGAGTCGACCTTAACAGCGGCGTCAGCATCCACGCCAGAAGAATGTGTCGTTAGATCAGTCTCCTTGGGCGGTTCATTGGCTCCGGAATGCGCGGCGCCTATCAGATTGAGGACGGTCGTGCATTCGACTGGCCGGCCCTTTGTAGCCACACTGTCGCCTGCGACAGACACTTGATTGCCACGGCCGTCATCGGCACGAGCATCGACGGCGAGGACTTGAATAGCAGACATGGCGGATTGCAGTGAGATGCGAAGTGACGACTGAGGTGCACGCCGATTACGGAGTCACGCTTCGTCGAGCAGAGTCGAGGGGAGCTGGAGAGAGGGCAATTGGGTAAAGGCAGGGGCCTCTATACCCGAGCAAGCGCTCTTATAAGCTTTGTGACCATGGCCATGATCGGCGCCTAACAGATACATATCCGCAGTTATTGGCCCCATTGTTCGCCAGGCGACATACGCGTGTGCACCGCTACTGCATGGTCAGTGTTCATAAATGAGTGGCAGTGGTGGCCACCGTATAAGAGTTGCGGATCGTGCCGGTAGAATCGCCGCGGAGTCATCGAGGCCAGCCACGGAACGGCGATTGCCTATGGGACATTGCATCGATTGTGGCAACGTTGAAAACGCATGCGCGAGTTCGACCTTGGGAGAGTCATGAGTCACCTCCTTGTAAGGATGGTCATCGGCACCGAGATAGAGATGAACAGGATGAAATCTGGCTGCAGGCGCAAAGAGATAGTGGAAGTCAAAACAAAGGAAGCCTCACGGACTGATCCTGATCACGTTGTCGACACATGGCATATATAGTAATCGTGATCCGAACCCCGCACGATCATGGGCTTTTCGTGATTCAATCTGGGATGTATACCGTTGACCCCGTAGGCTGCGAGAATGGAACTGGTAAGTATTTAGACAGGTGCTTCCCCTTTCCGGGTGCTTTGGTCATCTAATTATCTGAGCCGATATCCACGCAACCTCCATGGATATCGGGCAGTAGGCCGTTCTACCTCCTCCGGCTACGTCAAGTTCTACACCATTGACCCCAACTGACTCACGCCCAAGTCTCAACTGTCACTCAGGTATAGCTACGCCGACGGGAATCCTCCGCGCGAGGCTGTCCAACATCATTCATAAGGCCGCGACGCGGTCAAGACACCACTCCCGACCTGAACCTAACCTCTTACAATGCGCACCTTCACCTTCAGCAGCCTCGACATCCTCAACAGTAGCATCGTACCCGAAGGCAGCGACTTCTCTGAATACACAGTCGAGACCACCGGCGGCAAGGGCTCTGCGCGCGGCGTGACCACGCTGAGCGGCGCGTTCGACGCGTCCATCAACTGGAGCGAGAAGTATTTCGACATCGCCGGCCAGACCCTGCCATTCAATGAATTGGATAAGAAGATGGTCGTCGATGGGAGGCAGAGGTCCGGCAGGCTTTGGCAGTGGGGCAACGCGCAGTATGAACTGAAGTGCAGGGATCGGGCGTGGACTGTGAGTGGATGTACCGCGACGGATGCGCACCCTTTTAACTGTTCACCATGCAGGTCACAGACTTGCTGACAGACACCGTCGTCGCGCATCTCCGCACGGCTGAGAAGCATACCTTCCAGAGGAGCAAGCCAGCTCGACTCGCCCTCGAGCGCGACATACCTCCAGCCGAGCTTGCTTTCCTCATCCTTGCCCTGCTGGCCTCCGAAGCGCGCTGGCTGGATATCATGGTGAGCGATCTCCCGAGACATTCCCCGTGTCGACGCTGGGTCAGATGCCAAAGATGTACGTGAGCTAAACGACTCGCATGCTCATTAGAAACCGGGCTTCAACTTCTGGGATTCGGCCCCGAGTCAGGCATACACAAGCGCGGGGTGGATAGGGCACAGGGCGGGTATGCGGCCTTATTGATGACAGCGCTAGCGCGACATAGGACAAGCTGTAGAGCCTTGGATGAAGTGGATATAGCAAGAAACCTGTATCAAGTCGAGTCATGCATGCCCTGCGCGAGGACCGCTCTCGCCAAGGTAGACCTGCCAGAAGAGATGATACTGCTCAGGGCGGAGCCTGAGGTAGACGGACAGACGTGTTTGATACGTGGAGCGGGCATACATTCCTCATAAACCTGGAGGTCATCCGACAACAAAGTTCAGTGGCGGAGGAGATACATCGAGGATCCTTACCTGTACATATATAAGGACGACGATTCGAGAGAGAGTGTTGAAAGGACCCATCGCCCATAATGCACGCCGTTCGCGCGATCATCGCCGCATTGGCCCTCGCAAGCCCGGCAGTACTCGGTCAGTCGTGCTATAGCAATCAGGGCACATGCAAGTACACATCCGCCTGTAAGGGACCGATGTACTACTCAAAGCCAGGTCAGTGTGCGTTCGAAGGCGCCAGCACGGACACTCGCTGATTCTGCTTTTTCTTCTTCCCGCAGGGTATTGTCCCGGCCCTAGAGATTATCAGTGCTGCATTCCAACCGGCTGCGTTGTATGCAGTGGGGACGGTAAAGAGACGGCGGGTCTAGAGGCCCGTCGGCCGTGCTGCTGAGGCTGAGGTCAGGAGGTGGAGGCAAAGGCGAAGCGCGTCGAGGACAACGAGAGGGGGAGACCAGCATGTCCAGAAAGCAGGTTTGGAGGAGGGCAGGTTCAATCGTGACTGTTATCGAGAAGCAGAAGATAATGCCATACACGAATAAGAATAATTCGACCATGTATTTGCAGAACATTGAGGCCATGAGCGTCAAGAACAGAATCGTAGTGAACAAACAAACGTGGTATTGCACCTTCCGGCAATGGCCTATGGAGCACCATCCGTACAAAAAATAGCCGCGGTGCCGCAGCCGCGTTTCAAATAGCGCGTTTGCTTATATCTAAGTTCTGAGCGCCGGAAAGCATACCTAGGGTACTTTCTCATATGTTGTGGCCCCCACAAAGGCAGAACAGCGTTGTCGTGCCCGTGAACGGCAAGAACAATCCTGCCGAAGACGTTCGGCACTTGCCGAGCAAGGGCCGCCACGGTGGACTTGACTTCTGCTTCGACTCCATAGAGTCCATCCGGTTCTCGCCCAACAAAATGAACTCTGTGCCGTCTCTCGAAGCCTGGAGGAGACATTTTCGAACCAAGGTAGGTGTTACCCCCAGTATAGTTTGCGAATTGTTGGGCCTTGTGGCTTTTAAGCAATCTCAACGGGAGGCAGATGATGATGTTTTACAATCTATGTGAGGGTGTAGAAGTATTTTGGACATGTTCGTATTGTCCCGGCGGCGATGAAGGTCAGTGGGAAATCGGGGAACGCGCGCGGGGCTTCGGAGCGAAGTCCGGAGCCTCTCCGGCATATGCCGAACAGCTTAGAACGCCCTTTACGCTGACTTCCTACCTTTGTCCGCCGATTTTATACCTAGAGCATATGCGGACGCATCTAACATCCATGCCCCGACGCTCAGAACTCAAATACAAGCAAACGCGCTTCTGCAAACGCGGCTGCGGCACCGCGGCTATTTTTTGTCCAGATGGTGCTCCATAATGGCCGTCTTAGTTGCCACGGTCACGCGCTAATGTACTCGAGTAGTTGGACTTCGACACGCGCTCCCACGCTCATCCCCTCACTCGACAGCAAATCTGTGTACAACAATATGCATTGCTACAACAACATTCTACAGTGCGTATACAACACATAGTCCCCAGGGTCCGTCAGTGCATCACCGGTCATCGCTGCATTCGTTAATGGGCGGGGCGTTGTCGCCGTCTCCATCCGTCGCCACCCATCTTCCATTCGTCTTCCGCAATCTCTCGTCCAAGTCCCACCACTCTTCCATGGTCCTCCCGGCCCGCTACCCTCATCCCCACCTTCCTTCGTGTGGGTCTTTATCGACATCGGCCGAATGTCGTGGTGGTCAAGCGCACTAGACGCGCTATCTCGTCCGAGCTTTCCCCAGCATTCCGCCTCGTTGGCATCCACTCTCACTCTTCTCCAAATTTCGACGTGCCTATCCATTGACGCTGGCATCCACTCGCGCCCTATCATCCGAGAGCGAGGCGTCCTGATTAGCCAAAGACCCGCTTCCGGATCTCAGCCCATGCCCGCTCGCGCTCGTGCGCGGCGCCGCCCTGAGAGATAGCGCTCAGCGTTCGTTCTCCATGCAGCTCCACATCACTGTCGTGACAACGAAGACGGCTCAAGGGATATACAACTCACCTGCCCGAACAACATGCTCTTGTTCTCGATCGCGCGGCGGCCAAGGTAGGGCAGGACTTCGCTGAGGGCGCCGTAGGGTACGTATCTGGAGGGGGTGGGTTAGAAGGGGGGGTGGATTAGCAAGGGGGGTGGATTAGCAAGGGGGGTGGATTAGCAAGGGGGGTGGTTAGCAAGGGGGGTGTTAGCAAGGGGGTGGGTGAGCACGATGGTCGGTAGAAGACAACGATTTGGATATGGAATCGAGCGGAGGAATCGTACGCACTTGATCACAAACGGCTCCCCGCTCCGCACGCGCGCCGCGACGCTCTCCGTCAGGTCGTCGCTCATGCCGTAGAGCTGGCCGATCGTGACACGGCCGGTGACCTCCCTATCCAGAACTAACGGACCATCTGCACTTTCTCCCTGCCCCCTCGGAACCGTCTCCCGCTTCCCGAGCCCCCTCTCCTCCAGCGCGCTCAGGATCCCCGCGCAGCTCGCCCAGTTGTGCGTGCCGAAGAGGACGCCGATGCGCGGTTGGGGGGAAGTTGGTGCAACTGATTTCGGGGGCGTCAGGTCGGTGGCAGGCAGGTCGGCAGAAGAGGTCGGCGGTGAAGCTGCTAGCACAATCTGACGTTGAGCTAGGGCGTGATGGCTTAAATTTACTCTGCGTACCGTCACCCTTCCCCCATCCCAGGCTGTACCACTTGCGCTTGACGCCTGCTACTGGGGCCGCGATGGAGGAAGAGATAGGTGAAGAGGCAGAGGTGGCGGTCTTGACATCGTCGGCGACCAGGTCGACGAGCATGGACACGCAGCGGTCGTAGCAGGCGTCGGTTTCGGGCTACAGATCGATGAGTGAGCTCATTATGTTGACAGGGTACAGAGAACATCATGTCGACAGAGAGTACAGAGCACAGCAGTCAGGAGAACACTCACCTTCGTACTCCACACGGGCGGGTGCTCGGCGGCGGGGACGAGCGTCATGCGGGCAACGGGGTTGGCTTCCGGGTTCTGGGCGTTGCTGATCGCGTCGTGGGCGGCTGGATGGTGGTAATCAGAACACGGTTAAAACTATCGAAGCAGGAACACAGGGACGAGTAAGCGCGAAAGCGATTGAAGGGAAATCCTCGTTGCGACGGGTGCCACAAATGTTTCCACGCAAGGTGCCCCAAATGTTCCCACCCGAGGTGCCACCACAGATACGGTAACAATGATGGAAGAATCAGAATCGGACTCACCCTTCCAAGCGCCGACTTCGTGAGGGTGGTACGCGCCACGGACGAGCTTGACACCGAGGGAGTAGCCGCCAGCATGGGCGTCGGCAGCGGCGCGGGCGATGTGCGCAGGGGTGCTGAAGGCAGGTGTTCAGATCAATGGAGGGTCGATGACTACTTGCGAAAATGCTTACCGTCTCAAGTATGCCTGGTATGTGCCGTATACGAGAGGCTGGACCTTGGTGGGGTCTGGGGAAGAGGGAGTTGTTATTCGGGGATTGCGCGATGTGAACCCGAGACGTACCATCTTCCAAGACGTTGAACTTCCGGCTGAGGGCATGGGTGAGGGCGTCGATGGCAGGTTGGTACCAGCTGAGGGGCGGATTAGTAGGGTGGCAAGTCAGATATCGATGTACACGCACCTGTACTCGGCGTCGATGATGATCCTGACCCCGCGCTCCCTTGCCCGCGTGCATATCCTGCAGAGGTCCGAGTAGAGCTGCGCCAGCGCCGCCGCATCGGCTTGCGTCAATGGCGCTGGTATGCTCTCCCCCTTCGACTTCAGCACGACGTCGAGGTCGTTGTCGTGCGGCGCGCCGGGAAACTCGACATCGGCGAGCCGAGGACGCCCCGGGGGATCCCGGTACCCCTTGCGCGCCTCGAGGATGTGCGCGGACAGGTTCCAGAGCGCGTGTGCGTCGGGGAGCAGCGCGGTAAGCTTGACAGCGACCCAGGTCTTGCGCGCGGTGGGAGGTGTTCCCGGCGGGGCGAGCTCGTCCTCAAAGTCGGCGGCGACGTCAATGGAGTGCACCATCTCGTTCACGATGCGAGCGTGGGGCGAGTTGGCGGGGTCGTGGCCGGCGCCCATGGCGGTACCCTCGTCGACCTCGACGGAGTAGGCGAAGAGGGCGCCCATGTTGCGCGCGCGGAGGCGGCGGAGGAGGGGCACGCAGGCCTCTGCGGTGTCGCCGCCGACGAACTGGTTGAAGAAGGTGGCGCGTACGGCGGCCTCGGTGACGGTGCGTACGCCGGGGACGGCGGTGAGCCAGGAGAGGAGCTGGGTGGGGTGAATCAGGGGCGAGCGCGGGGAGGAGGGTGTGGGTGCGCACCTTGGGGCTGGCATCGACGACGAAGGGGACGCTGCAGAGCGAGTAGACGATGTAGGTGCGGACGTACGCGGAGAGCGGCTCGCTCGGGGAGACCGCGGCTGGCGGCGCGTCCGCGTGGACGATGTGCGTCGCGCCGAGCGCGCCCGCGGCGAACGCGGCGCCGAGGAGCGGGCGGCGGAGTGCGTACGAGCGCGCAAAGAGCCGGGAGGCCATCGTCGTCGCGGCGGACGAGTGCGAGCCGGGTCTTAAGTGGTCGATCCAGGTGTGTTATCGGGAGTCGGGGCGCGTGCCTAGACTCGCAAGCCAGTCCACGCTCCGGAGCCGAAAGCAAGCTGACACTTGCCGGATCAGAACCCCGGAGCAGGGACTGGAGGATCTCGAGCATCCGTTGGCGTATGAGAAAATATTCCCACGCTTTTATGCGACTTAGTGAAATTTCGGTTGAGCTCCGCACCTGCTAGGAGCCGCATCCATGTCGCCCGTCCCCTTGAACGCTCCCCGCATTGAATTACTCGAACAAACCCTATGCCAGACCTTCAATATATCCTCTGTCTATTCATTTCAGCGACAGACCGGTCAGAATTCGCTTCAAGGGCGGTCAACCGTGCTGAACGTACCCACCGGCGGCGGCAAGACGATCGCGTTCTTCTACGCGTTGTTCTACCACTGGTTCGTAGGGAACACGAGACCCGATGACCAGAAGATTGTCCTGGTAGTGAGCCCGCTCATAGCGCTCATGGAATCTCAGGTGCGTGGCTTGTTAAGGGTGGCGCGACTGAGCTGATCTTCCTCAGGCGGACGACCTCACCGCCCGCGGGGTACCCGCCATAGCTCTTTCGGCGAAGCGGATGAAGGATGGGAACATCTTCAAGGTGCGTGCCACTTGACTTCCATGTCTCGCTCTACTGAACAAGTGGCCAGAAATGTGCAGCAGGCGACTACAGAGTCGTGCTCGCTTCCCCGGAGCTTGCGCTCTCCCCGGACTTTCAGCGCACCGTCCTCATGTCCCCCACGTTCCGTAACAACATCATGCAGCTTGTCATTGACGAAGCACATGCGATATCGGAGTGGGGGACCGACGACTTCCGTCCAGACTATCGTCGACTGGGTACCCTGCGGGGTCTACTCCCCAAAGGCACTCCCATTGTATGCACATCAGCAACGCTACCTACCGAGGTGCTGGACGACATCTGCGCGACCCTCAATCTACCGCCGGATTGCGATCGCATCCTCTTCTCGAACAGCAAGCCCAACATCACACTCTCGGTCCACCAACTACAGCATCCAGACAGCAGCTTCGCCGACCTCGTCACCCTTATCCCAGATAACGCGACATGCGCGGAGGACATCCCTATGACTCTCATCTACGCCAGCAGCCGTCTAGAAGTCGAGGACATGCAAGACTTCCTCCGTCGGCACCTGCCTGTTGGGATCCCGAAGACGGCCGTCGAGTTCTACCACCGCCACATCGAGGATGGCCGCAAGGACATTGTCCTGCAGAAGCTTCGTGCTGGCGAGATTCGCATCTGCGCATGCACTGATGTTCTAAGCTGGGTGAGCCTCTTGTCCATGCACGCATCGCTCGCCACTGATGGCTTACCAGGGCATCGACCTTCGTAACATCCAGCGTGTCGGCATCTGGAAGAAGCCTTTAACGTTCAACTCCCTTGTGCAGAAGTACGGTCGCTGCGTTAGGAACCCGCTCGAAATCGGGATTTGTATACTATACATTTCGAAGGCGGTTTACAAGCTCTGCGAGAAGGGTCTTGCGCCGCTGCCTGAGGCTGTTGCAGCACGAGTAGATACTGAAGCCGGACTCGGTGTGCAGGACACGGATGTAACCGAAGGTGTACGAGTTGAGACCAGCACCGACTACGACGTTGCTCTGCCTTCTGCCTCCAGCCGAAAAGGACCTCGCAAGAAGAACTGTGCCACCCGTGACGGGCAATTTCTCACGAAGTACATTGGAACGAAAGGCTGTCGCCGCGCAGTCTGGGACGAGTTCTTCGAGAACGCGACGAAACGTATGTCAAAGCCCGAAGGTGTATTCTCAGTACTGACCCATCTATGTAGATCAACTCATTACTTCACCACCGCCATCTATCCGGTGCTGCGATAACTGTGATCCCATCCCTACAGACATCGTGGCACTTGATGACCCTCGCCAGCTACAGCGGGGCAGGCGCCAGCGTGCGCCCGAAGAAGTCGAGGAAGCGGTCCGTGAAGACTGGTATAGAGCCGACTATCCCTCAAACCACTTCCTAAGCGGCTCATACCTCCTGTCGGACACCCTCGTCTCAACCATCTCGGGTGCGGCAACCTCTTTCGATAGTCTTGCCGATTTCGACAAGAGATTTCGATGGCACTGGTCTGCGCGTTATGGCACCCGCCTCGTCGACGCTGTTCTATCTGAGCGGCGGCGCTTTCAGGTCGTCCCCGAGCCAACGACTGGCGTGGCTTCTACATCGACACTTTCAGCAGAGATCGTGGCCGGTTCGACTGATCCAAGTGCTATCCCGTCGATTGAGCCCCCGCCGAAGCGCCATCGAGGCACTGCCAAGTCAATCGCTGCATATAAGGCGTACCAGGACGTCTTCGCCTCATGTCGTCGTGACATCGAAACACACGAAGAGCCAGCCGGCCATGTCATAGCGAAGCGCTTCCGAGCGCTACCTCGAAGGACTGGGGTATGTACTTCATATTGACGGTGCACAAGAGGACTTATCCTGCTCGTAGACGACTGCTGCATACTACACAACGTGCACCACTCCTGTGGCCATCTCGACCATCAAGCAGAAGGAGACCAAGCGCGAGTACGCCACGCTTACCGACTACGCCGCCGACTGGCACCTCCTTGCTCGTAACACGCGACGCTTCTACGGGCCTGGCTCAGATGCGTACCATGACTCACTCATATTAGATCGCATCGTAGATGAAGCAATCTGGAAGCACGGCCGTAGTAGCAATCTTTCCGGCGCTGAAGGTCTGTCTTTCTGCTCGCGTGTACCTGATATGCTCACCACCGAATTGCTGAAGGTCTTACTGATCCCGCTGCAAACACCAATTACTCGTCAATGGATACAATATCAGTGCCCGAGGTAAGTATGTCGTCCGCCATCATCATGCTGTGCGCTAAGATCGTCTGCGCAAATTCGCAGAACTCCTCGTCATCGTCTACAACATCCTCGAACGATGGACCTGCCGCCTGAATATCAGTATAGTCCTCCCGCTCTTCAACCTCTGCGACACCATCGTCGACTACATCATCACCCTGACCCTCAACCGCAACGTCTTCGTCGTCCTTCTCAACCGGTTGCTGCTCCACAGGACCAAGGTTCGTCGCCGATCTGTTGTCGGCACGAAAGTTCTGATACGCATTGGCTGTGTCCAGGTATGCTGCTCCGACTTTCAGCAAGTCGCGCACGGGTTCGACTTGGCGGTTTCCTGGACGATCGGCAACGTACGACTGGAGCTTCTCTTGCTCAAGCAGGGCGGCAAGGAGCATGACCTCCTTCGTCATGTCAGGAGTTGTATGCCGATCCCCGTAGTCGGTAATATTGAATGCGCTTTGTACCATTCGCATCGTGTCACGGAGGACGAAGCACCAGTAGCAGGGGCCACAAGGCATGTGCCCCTGGCACTAGCCGCAGGGTCCCCATTTATTTCGCCCGGCTCTAGCCGCTGGAGGCTACTGCCACTGCCCGCCAGGTATAGTCAGCTGAGCCAATCCGGGCTGCTCTGCCTAGGTTGGCTGCCGTTCAGTGTAGCTCATTTGATTTCTTCAGACTGGGTAGGCTGAGCCGAACCAGAGCCTAGCTGAGTTCAGTTTGAGTTCAGTGACATCAGATTGGACAATAGTATGTACACAGGGATCATGCTATGCTACTGCAGACTATGAGGCTTAAACTATGTATTGGAAGAACACTCGTCGTCGCTGATCCCACCCTCCAGTAGCGCTGTCTTGCCTGAGCCAGACGACCATGTCACGTGAAAGCTGGCTCGCAAGCGGCGCGCAAGGTAGGCCTGACGTAACGCATATGCGCGCACGCCCGCACGACCTGCTGGGTCAAGAGCTGCCTCGAAGAGGGCACGGTGGTCCCACCAATCAGCACGCCACTGGAGGAAGCGAAGGACGCGGCGCATCTCCTCCTTGAGTATGTTGACCTCTTCAGTCCATCGCTCGGAGCGCGCGCGGGCCTTCGCCCATTCAACCCGTACAGCTGCAAATAGTTAGAATGATGATGAAGTAAGTGGTTAACACACGTACCGTCGTGTACCTGCGCCTCAGTGTCCTCCTCCGGCCCCCCAAGCGCAGTCCAAATCCAGGAAGTGAGGTTGCGCCGCGAATCGGCACCCCGCACGACAGCAATGGCTCGGTCACGAGCCGACAGCGCAGTGCTGTCAGTCTTGCGCGCCGTGCCGACTACACGGCTGCTTCGTTGGCCTTGTGCATTGAGACGCTCTGTGCTTGCGCCATCAGCCTCGCGGTCGTCGTCGATTACGAGATCATTGTCTTTGAGTTCACGGAAGGCGGGATAGGCGTCCGCTGACGAGAGCCGAAGGAGTGCAGAGCGCGCCGAACGATATTTGTTCGCCAGTCGTGCGATCCGGTCATCAAGCCGAGCAATGACATTTCGCGAGCGGGTCGAGTCTCGCTGGCCGTAGCCATGTGCGTTGCGCTCGTTGACGAGGAAGCGCCGTGCATGTAGCCGGCTGCGGGTGTCCTTCAAGGCATCAGTACACTGCGCCACATGGAGGCGTACCTCGACCTCCCCAAGCCCCTCTACACAGCCCTCCTCGCGCTCCTGGCGGGTCAGGTCTGACGGGAGCCATAACTTGACATGCTCCGCTTCTGGGGGAAGCGCGTCCGAGTTCCGCGACTGCTCATCTGCAAGGGCCTTGGCAGCTGCGGCTGGCATGAAATGCTCTTGAAGCGCCCGGTAGCGAGCAAGTCGCTTGAACCATGCAATTCGTTGCTCTTGGACTTGACGGTCACGGTCGAGAGCGGCAATGGAGATGTCTTGAGCCATTGCTGCGATATGGGACCTATAGCCTCATGAGCAACGTGATAAGATAGGGATACGCAAACGTACTGTGACTCTTCCAATTGAAGGCCGAGGACAATGAACGTGGCTTTTGCGGTCGCGCGCACCGGGGTTCGGCCCATTCGTACATCATCAGCCTCGTCGCGTACAAGCTGCGCGCGCACACGTTGTTCGGAGGGTTCATCTGTAGTAGGGTTAGTAGGTACGGGCTCACAGCAGCAAAGGACTCACCCGATACGTGAGGTAGGAACGGATTGGGGAGTTGATCATTGCCCTCGTAGTCATCAAACATCTTGCGCCACGCAGACAACGTGGGGGTGTCGAGCGCGTCCTCGATGTCTTTCAGCTCCTCCTTACGCTGCTGGCTTTGCACAGAAGCGAGCTGAAGCCGGCGTTCGAGCCCAACCCCTGTGAAGAGCCTGAGTAGACGAGAGGCATCAAAGGGACGGGACTCACGCTGCCCGACGTTCTTCTGCAAGTTGTGATGCGCCGACCATCCCTCGATTACCCCATCACGCACACCCTCGCCCATCTCCTTCGTCGCCGTAGCCAGGGTGTTCATTGAGGCCCAGATGCGCTCCGGGCCTTCGCCGTCTGGTTTCCCCGCTCCGCGCGCATAGCGTACGGAGTTCGCACTGCGGCAGGCGATGTCGTGCACGTTGCCGTGCCAGACAGGGAGCCGAACCTCAATGTCGAGGCACGGCCGGCCATCGTCCGTGTGAGGCTGAAGGAGCGGGGGAAGTTTGTTGAGGCGATCCCATAGCGTCTTCTTCCACTGGCAACCGATGTCGTATGTGAGCAGGACCTTGGCGACGTTCTCATTCTTGATGGCAGACCAAAAGATGAAGTCCATGTTGGCGTATCTGAAGAACGTGAGCATTGTACGTCAATGAGCATGTAAGGAGGAGTACGCACCGTTCTCCTTTCTGTAAGTCACCCAGCCCATTAGGGCGTAGCGTCTCGTGGCGTGTGCACGAGCAGGCGCCGCATCCGGACACGCGGCAGCCGACCGTGTTCTTCGTATCCTTCTCCATGAGTGCTGCGAAGGATATACAAGAGCTCACCTAGGGAGTGTCAGTAAACTGCACAGCAGAACGAGTGAATAACCTACATCCTCCTCATTGACGTACCCTCGGAGGTGCTCCTTGTACAGCGGCGACTCGACGAAGCAACCCGATCCGCCACCTAGAGGAGCGTCGGGTCGGGCGTTCTTCCGGAAGCGGTTCTTCAGGCGGAAGTTGGCGTCCATGGAGAGGAATAGGCTGTGGACATATCTGCGAGCGATTAGCTTGGCCATAAACTTCGGCAAGATACGTACTGCAGATCGTCGTTGCGCCAACCAACGGGCATGTTCACCCCGTCCTGAGGGCAAGCCCAGCACCGAACCACAGCCTCGCCTGGCCTGGTTCCCGCGATTCCTCGCTCATCATGAGCGCGACCTGCTCGTTTCATGCGATGTAGGAAGGTCCATTGGCGCGACATCCCACCGAAGGCGCGATAGCATTCCTGCAAGTGATTCAGTACAGTGCATAGAAAGCTCAAGGTACGACTCACTGCAAGCGGTATCATGCGCAGCGCATTCCCTGAGAGCTGCAGCGACGAGATGAAGTCGCGTACATTCGTCGTAGCGACCGTGGTGAGCAGCGCGAAGTGATCGAGGGCGGTGAACGTGGCGCAGGTAGCGGGCTCGATGACAGTGGCAGGGTACCACCCTTCCCGGAGTAGTTGCTGGACATGAGTTGCGCGATCGCCCCGCGAACACGCGCAGTATCGAATCTTAAGACGGCAGATGTGGGTGGGAGCGATGACGGTCATCGAGTACACCGTGCTTTGAGGTGCGGGGCACGCGTGTCCTCCGTGCCCCACTTGATACACCAAGCCCAACTCTGTAAGAGACGTATGCTTATCCCAAAAGTCGCCCGTCCAGCGCTGCTTCAGCGTGAGATCATGACAGACTTCAATGTGGCGAGAGCAACGCACCATGACGCGATGCAGTGGGAGTGCATGGTGTCGTTCCAAGCAGCACTCCTGGCAGAGGAGGAAGGTGCCACAGTCTTCACATTTGTACAACGACGCGTCATTGGACAGCGGGCGGGCGCAGGTCGTGCACTGAGGGTGGTGATGGTCGTTGCCGAGAGCTTCGTGGCGCAAGAGTTCGTGAAGAAATTCGGCTGCGTGAGGGCGCCAACAGCTCATTGGATCGTCCTAGATTGCGCATGAGTAACTCGAATGTGCCTAGTGTTTAGGAACTCACCGACGCGTATCTCTTACGTTTGCCCGACCGCTCATCGACCAAATCAATGACTTGGTCTTCGCAGCTGACACCTTCCCCCATGAAGAACATCGGAATGTAGTCCTCAAAGGGGTCCGTGGATGGGGCAGCAACTGTCGGCTCCCAGCGCGAAAGCTCGTCGTTGGAGTGAATGCGCCGGCGCTTTGGAACGGGAACGACGACGTTGTGGTGATGAGCAAGGCCTCCTGCGGCGAAATTGGTACCCCGGAAGGTAGCCTCAGCCATGGATGGCGACAACGCGCTCGCTCTATGCGAATACGATCCGGAATATAGCCCATTGCCGCGCGCACGCCTGGACCGGCTACTGGACCCTCGGTTGCTCATGGAATGCAGAAAGACTGTGTTGTAAGCGAGTGAAAGGGTAACGAGTGATATGGACAAGGATTTGCGATGTCGACGAGGAGGTAGCGGACGAGGTTTGTTGAGTGAGGCTGTGCCGTTTGTTTGCGGTTGTTCACGCGTATTCCCCCTTTAGTCCGCGGCATTGTTTTATTTCTGGCAGTAGTACGATAGATCGTGCGTCGTATTAAAGTACTAATACTGGGCCTTCTTCTTTACATACATCCTATCCAGCATACCAGACAAATCGCGCACCGCCAATTGCCACTCCTGATCCAGCTCGGGGTGGATGATAGAGTCACTGCCCGCGACAGGACTGTCCACGCCCTCCTTCACCCACTTCAAGAGAACAATCAGATTATACACACCATTGATCCCGGTAGTCTCCAGCTTGCCCATATCGAATTGTGCGACGTTGTCCTGGAGTGGCTCCAGAACGTCGCCCTCCTGCGTAGCCTGTCTCCAACTGGGCATGAGACACCGGTACCAAGCCCACCAGCCACGGAGTATGCGCCGCGCAAAGCTACGATCCTTGGGATTCGGCTCGCCGCTGTTTCCCCGCGTCCATCGCGCATTCGCAATCCACGTCGCTACCTCCTTTGGACGCCTGTTCAACATTGGAAGTGGCTTCCGCGCGTTGGTGTACCCGTTCACCTCTTCCCATTGAGCGTAACGGGACAGAAGCGTCCCCCAAGCCGTGCCGAAGTCCTGGGCGATATAGCGCCAGGCGTCCACGAACCACGCAGCCTGAGGCTTATTCAACGCACTGGCAGGGACAGCGAGTGATGAAGCGGGCTTGGGAAGAAGGGGTGACGCCATCGGTGAAGTGGAAGGTCGAGGTGGCGGTGTGGAAAGCGTCGACGCCGTGGGACGGGATGCTGAATGCGCGGATGAAGGGGATGCGGGACGAGACAGAGTCAACGACTGAGCACGCGACAGCTGCGCCTGCGAGTCGTGGGGCGAGGGCGTTGCAAGACGCGGTGGTGCCTGCGCGGGCGAGAAGACGGCGGGACGGGGAGGGGTCGACTGAACAGGCGAGGGCTGTGACTGCTGCTCAGGAGGCACTGGTGTCGCGCGGTGCGATGACGTCTGCGCCATTGACGGAGACGCGGGACGAGGTGCTAGCGGCAAAGCAGTACGAGGCAATGGCGAGTCTGACGGGGAGTGGTGCGGCGCGATAGGAGTTGCTTGTGCCACGTAGAGACCTGTAGCGGTATCGACGTAGTGAGTTGCACGCCACGACTGCATGAGCTGCTCGTAGCGTTGCTTCTCCTGAGGACCCTTCCACGAAAGGCGAACGATGCTGCGGTCGAACTTCTCCAGCTCCCAGGCGAAGCGCGCTGCGCCCAATTCAATCGGCGGCGGATTGTCGTCCGTGAAAGTCTGCTGCGAGCGCTCCATGTCGAAAGGCTGCGACGTTGAAAGGCCCGGACGGGCTTCGGCATGGTCGCCCACGCTCGAGCCGCCGCTCCCGGAAGCGTTGCGAGCGCTCGATTGAGGCGCATCTAGCAGGCCGTAGAATACGCCGCTGCTCACATCGACGTAGTGTCGATCCTTCCACTCCAGGAGCAGCTGCTCGTACTGGCGCCTCTGCGACTCGCCCTGCCAGGACATTGCTCGGATGGTACGAGTGAACTTCTCGAGCTCCCAAGCGTAGCGGGCATGCCCTTGCTCCGTAGGAGGCGCGTTGTCGTCCGCGAACGTTCGGTAAGCACGTTGAGGGTCGAACGTCGCACTCGTCATTGACGGCGGGGCGAGCACGTGCTTGTTGCTGGACGACCCGGCGGCGGCAGTGCGACGCATGCGCTTCCTGCGTGGCCGTGGCGTGTCGCGCTGGTCGTTGTGGTCGTCGTCGTCGGTTGATGACCCGCTGGAGTCATCAGAGTCATCGTCGCTGGAGCTGTCCGACACCTCCTCCTCGGTGAAGCGCGTACACCCGAGCGGTCCAGAATGCTCGTCGGCAGCAGCGACGGGCTCCGTGGGCTCATCATCGGGTGGCATTGCCGCGGCCGCACATTCATCATCCGCTGCGTAGGAGGTGAGCAAGAACGAACCAAGATTGAGACGAGGGTACTTACACCAGACGGTATCGAGATACTCGCCGAAGAATCCGAGCACGTCCTTCTGGAATCTCGGCTCGTCGAAAAGGGCGAAGGGAAGGTGCATCTTGTTCTTCCCAATCGTAAAGCTAATCCGAAGCCGTCATCAGTAAGACGCAGGAGGCTGGGAGAATTCGACGTACTGCCGCGCGAGAGGGTTTCCGTTTTCCAAGGGATTCCGAGCCCCCACCAGCACGAGAACGTTGGCGTCCATATGTGCAACGAGCCCACGGAGAATGGGCTCAAGGAAACCCTCCAAGCAATCCCAAGCTCTGTTCGTTGCTGCTCAGTACAGGTGCGAGGCTGGAGGTGGTGAACTCACTGCAGGATGGACTTCGGGTCGCGCTTTGGCGCCGACTTGAAGGCGTTATCCCACCGCTCCTTCTCCGCCTTAGCAAAAGCGCGCGCGCGCTCCCCGTAAGCCTTCTTCTCATCCGCGGGCAACGGGTCAAACGTCTTCTTCAGCTCCTTCATGAGGTAGTTGATAGGGCGCTTGGTGTAGCTTTTCTTGTCTATAATGACAGAGCCGCCGCCCCGAGCCTTCTCTTCTTCGAACGCGCTGTTCGCGGCGGCGACGAGTTCCGGGTGCTCGACGGAGTACTGCTGGATAGGCTGGAGCGCCTTCTTTGCGCCTTTGGCGCTCAAGCCAGTGAGCTCGACCATCAAGCGGTCGTATGGGTTGTTCGGGCTAGCGCGGTAGCGATGGCGATAGCCAGGCAATTTCTTGGCCCGCCAGTGGATCCAGCGATGGATGGCCTGCGTGGGGTCAGCACGGCACCGAGAATATTAGGCAAGAAGTACGCACGGCGTTGCGCTGCGTCAAAATCGCTGACCGCGTCTTCTCCTCCTCAGCGCTCAACGGCGGCATCACGGGGGGATTCTTGGGGTCGTAGTCCGGCAGCGGCTCGTCAGGATCGTCGTCGTCGGATAGCCACCAGGGGAACAGCGCGTGGTACTCCGCGCAGGCAGCATGGATGACCGCCTGCGCCGCCTCCCAGGATTGGGCAAGCGCGTCGACGTACAGCGGGACGTACTTCTGGAGAATTTCCTTGCGCACGCCCTCCGCCCAGTTTTTGCGACTGTTACGCTCTTTTTTCGGCTTTGCGCGACTTTTGCGCTTCCTCTTGCGTCGTGAGCCTGGCGGTGGTGGTGACGGCTGCGGCTGGCGCCGAGGAAGAGGGGGTCGTGAGGCGTTGGCGGGTGGCGGATGCGCCGGCGGCGTCGTCGATGAGGTCGCCGACTTTTCGTGAGGCTGACCCGGGTGCGACCGGGAGGGGGGCGTAGCGGCCCCAGGCGTCGGCGACGACGTCGTAGGCCGTTGCGAAGGCGGAGGTTCCAGCGGCGCAGACGACATGGGCGAGATTTGGGCGAGAGGCGGCGGGAGACCAGGTGAGAGGCAAGACGCGGGCACTCTCCTGAAAAGAGAGGGTAAGGGAGCGAGACAGCCGTAAATTTGTCTCTACGGCCAACCACGGCACCGCCCGCCGCTTCATGATATCAGCAGGCAGCCATAGCGGGAGCAGATCCAACTGAAGATCAAGGGGGACCCCCCCGAACGGAAGCTTTCTTGCCCCGCGCGTACGGCTGGCCATAATCGAGTTGAGCGCCCAAGGGTATAAGGGAGGAATAGGACGTGTACGTACCTGCAGATGGCGATAAACCAACGTTGAGCTGGCGGCAGAGCTGGTAGGCAGGTTGGTGAGCGTGCACGCGTCAAGTGTACCAGCAACGTACCTTGCATGAACTCCCGATGTTCGTAGTAGAGCTGCAATGTGCACATCCCAAGTTTGACAGTTATGGGCGACCATAAGGCCGCCAGAACTGCCAGCGTATGCGAGGGTGAGCGTGTCAGAGCCTGTTGAACCTTCGTCGATAGCGATGGGCGCAGATTGAACCTTTCATTACGTTTGGAGCTCTGCGCATGCATGGTGGTCAGCGCGAAAGGACAGGAATAAGAACGCAATCGGAGTCGGGCTATGACAACTTGAGAAATCTCACCAATGCTGGAATTGCACGAGTAAGGCGATCAAGACTGTTCTTTTACTCGTATATAGATAAGGTCGAGAGTCCTGTAAGCGTTGATGGTGGTAGCGTGCGTTTGAATGTGACCATCCTTGACGGCTTGCGAAAACTTGAGCGAGTCGGGTTTTCTCTGACCGTAAGGAGATGTGGGCCACTTCAAAAGGTCGATCTTCCGTGATTGTGAGGTGAAGAAAACCTAGAGAAGTACACAGGTGGGCATAGCAGTTGATTCGCGCGACGGAGTTATGCTCGAATCGTATAAGTACTTCGCTTCAAGAAGTAGACGAGCGTACTCGTGGGCTCAAGGTCGCACCTACACAGTGAGCGTCACAAGTAGCTGACGGCAAGCAAAAGCATGCCCACCCTGAACGCAGGGTCGGATTGTACAGGACTTCAGTGGATCATGGTAGGAGGATCAAAGCCCGCATGAGATGCGTGAGACCATTACTTCGACATCTGCGTGACGCACACGGTCGCGCACTGCATTTAAGTCTACACGGGCTTGAGTCAATTAGCCAATGCTATATCTCCGCTCACTATATTGCCAAGCCAGTATATGTTCACGGTTTGCTTTGTCGAACTGGGAGATGCGGCACTGATGAACTTCGGTAAGATGGGTTGCATTATTTCGTGTTTATGCGCACATTCAGGGTCCTAGTTAACACAGTACATGTACTATGGGTACAAGCATGAAAAGGTGTATTGAAGACCTACATATCGTGCACCCTGAGGGAGATGGACGACCCTTCTGGCGGCCTTGTGCAATGCGGCGGCAAAGTCCGCATCGAGTTCGGACTTCGTGATATCCGACATCAGTTTCCGTCTACTTACATGGCCATACCCGCTGCATACAAGACATGCTCACTACGTGTTTTGCTTGACGACAGAGCCTACATATCCAATGTTTGGCCTTCGCGGTGCAAACAAAACGCATAAAATGATAACTACATACAGGCAAGTACGCGACTACATATCACCCTCATTTTCCAGGTCAGTGAGGTCCGACGCACTGCTGTCCTCGAGATCAGTCAAGTCAGACAATTCAGAGGCTTCATCAGCGGTGCCACTACGTGCAGCCAGCGAGCGCAGCTCCGACAACGTCGAGAACATAGCGAGGCCTTCACGGTACCGCCCCGCCGCCCTCGTCTCCTGTTGCTGGCGCTCCTGCGGGCTGAGCGTAGCCACGAAGGCCTCCTTCGTGCGGAACCCCTGGTCGACCCACCGCATGAGCCCCCCAGCCGTATACTGGGTAACCGAATAACGGCGTTCATTACGCCCGACCGCCACGTTGGAGTGCGTGAGCACGCTGGAGGGGATGATAATCGTGGCGCCCGGTGGGAACTCGATAACGAGTTTGAGCTCCCAGATGATGAGGTGGCCACCGCGTCGCGGGTCGTAGCGGCCGAGGGCAGTGATGGGGCACCAGCCCCAAGGAACGTTAGCGAAGTCGCGGTGAGGGAGCGTGATGGTGCGTGGCCCGTAGTTGATGGTAAGGGCAGCCCAAACGCCATGGCGGAAGTTGCGCTTGAGGTGGGGGTATCTGGAGCGGACGGCCTTGCCGTACTGCCGGTAGAACCTGACCAGCTTAGGTGCCCACCCAGTAGCCACGCCGGTGGAGTACCCAGCGATGCGCTTCATCCCGCGATGTTGTAGCAGCTTGCGAAAGAGTGGCACGTTAGCCGGCTTCTCCACAATGTTCATGGGCTCCTTGCGACCGCCGCCATAGGCATGCCCGTGGGCGGTGGCGGGGAATACGCCGCGACGATGACGGCGCTGATGGGTGGTCAGGGACAGCTGCGGGGCGGTTTCCTCGATGAGGTCGGCGAGGTCGTCCAAGTCCGCGTCGTAACTATTTGCCTCCGTTGCGCCGCCCTCCGGGGGCGCCGGACGCCCCGCAAGGATCATGAAGACGCGCTCATCACCGGGTGTGACGTACGGCACGGTCTTGCTGCTCAAGGGTGAGCCCAGGGCCTAGCATACATGGCGGCGCACGTACCGCCCTTCCCACCGCACCAAGTCGAACTTGTACATCGAGTCCGGCCCCACCATGTCCTCCAGCCTGTATGTGCGATGCTGCGCCCGCCCCCGCTGAGGCTCGCGCTTGGCCGTATACCCCGTCTTGGTGACGGGGAGGTGTTCCAGCGCGGCGGGTCGCGCAATTGGTTCCGCGGCGCCCACATGTTTGCGGCGCGTCGCCTGCCGGACTTCGGGATCCGCGTCTATCGCGTCCAGCGCCTCCTGAGCTAACTTGCGCTTGCGCTGGCGAACGGCCTTGCTGCGCTTGTTCGCGTGATGTTTTTGCCCACTACGATGCGCCGATGGAGGGATAGGGGGTGGGGGAGGGGGAGGGGCGGACGAGGATACGTCCTCCGCGTCGCTGTCTTCGCCCTCTATGAGGTCGTAGTCGTTGTCTTCATCGTCTGTCCACTCCTCGCGTTCCTCCTCTACGCTCCTCTGGACAAGCGCGGGGAAGTTGAAGTTCGGGTCCTTCACGCGATACACGGTGCCGTCCCATGAGCTGAATGATGCGCCGGAGCGCAGCACGCGGTCCATGCCCTGGAACTGCGCGGTCAGGAGGGCTATCGCGGAAGCAAACTTCAAGGGGGTGCGCATTTTCAAAGGTGTTCGAAGATATCCAATGAGTTGCCGCGCCTCGACCCCGGTTTCCCAGGCCTGAGAATCGCGTGTAGTCTTGGCAAGGCAGCTCAAAGGTAGGAAGGAGGAGAAGGAGGAGCGAAATGGGACGCTGCACTCACCGAGATGGTTGGGAACAAGACGCGATGAGAGCCGAACGCGACCCACGTGAACCAACAAAGCGATCGGCGTCACACTATCATCATGTGACCGATGTTGAACTTGTGGGGGTTCGACATTTGATTTCAAGGCAAGAGATATAACGCCGGACCGCGGCTATGGACGAACTCGCGCCATGGCCCCTCGACTTGCCTACAAAACCACGAACACCGATGGACATACCTGCTACTGGTATTACAAGCGTCAGCCGCCGTATAAGCGACCTCAGCGCACGCCCGAGGACCGTCAACAGCTCTTGGTATGTGCGCCGTTGAGCTTCCCCACCCGGTTGACTCACGTATATTCCAGGATTTGCTCTTTCCGATGCCGCCGGCACTCGATTCTGACTGGCGCGCCTCGTGCCGCCACGATGAATCCGAGTATGAACGTTGCGAAGCTATTGAGCAACTGCGGCACCAACTCAAGCGACGTGTGTATACAGCTTGCTTCTCCGCGCCTTCCGGTCGCCCAGAGGACGATCCTTGCGATCCCATCCTCGACTACACGTACCTGAAGCGTGCGTAAGTATTGCATCTGCCTGCGATCAGCAGCTAACGCACCTCTAGGCAAGCTGGATCTCGTGAGCCTTTACATGTCGCGCGGTGGTCGCCACTGCCCTGGCGATTATATCTGGGAGAGCCTTCCCCCGTTCACTTGGGCCGCCGAAGACGCCCTGCATGCCCAACTCGCACAGCAGGATGTTCACATGCAGAATTTCGTGGCTCAGGGAGGCGATCCCCAGCCAGAGGTCTATCTGGGCTGGGTAGATGACGACGAGGGTGTCGAGGAGGCGACGTAATTAGATATTCATACCTGCTGAGAGTACTACAGCGCTCGAAATCACCAGTCACATGCTTGTACACCTCATATTATCATTGGGAAGGCAACATACAGCGAAGCGTACGGGGTAGAGGACAAAGCGGGGTCGGTACGCGGCCCTGACGGTCAGGTACAGCACCTAGGATGGGGCGGCTGCCCTGTGATAAGGGATAGCGATAGCGCGACGCACAGGAAAGCCACGGCCACCACACAGTAGACTAACAGAGAGAAACAAAATACAAGTCAGTATGCGAGACTAGAGGGCATGCGGCGAAGACACACACCTTGGACTTCGTGTTTCCCGCCAGGCCTTTGGCTGAAGACCTGCCTAGTTTGGACGCGCTTTGACCTTCCTTTTCGGGAGCGATAGGCCGGAGACCCTGCTGGAGGTTGAGGACACAGAAGGATTAGCGGGAGAGGGTGGTGTCAAGCGTAGTATCACCGGCCGAGTAGAGGGTGGACGAATGACCAGGAGCATGGGACACGCGGCAGCTTCGAGGGCGCGCGTCGCCTGAGCAGTGGAGAGGACCAGCGCGCCTGCTGGCCGTTTTTTGAAAGGCGCAAGTAACCGAACAGACGCGTGCGAAGGGGGAAGTACGCCCGCTGCGACGGGATAGTGAGCAAGATCCTCGATGGTATTCGGACGAGCACGCACCTTAGCGATACCTGGCAATACCAAAAGCGCCTCCGATGTACGCGAGCGCAGCCGCCAGGAGGGTGCATGAGCATATCTGCGCAGCAATGTGAGCAGCACTCGACGCGCAGAACACGTACAATACATACGCACCAGCACATATACGATAAGTCCCGCGCAATGGCGGTGTTGGCGCGATGAGGACTTGACGCGCCTTGGAAAGGATGCGGCTCGATCGAGGGGGCTAGCTCCATGCGACGTGGTACTTGTTTCGTTTCGTGGAGCGCTCCGTGCTGTCGGCGAGGGGGATAAAGCGACTAAGCGCCAAATGTCGCGGAGGCCAGGATGTCTGCTGGATGCTGGGAGCCGAATGCGTGTCACGCCTTTACGATGTAATGGTGAGGGCTGCCCAGCATGCAGATCTGTCTTCCAAGGAAAGAAGTCCTTAGAGCAACTAGATGGCGGCGCGAAAATGAGACGTCAGAGATTTGTCGTCGTGCAGAGATATCAGGACGCACCAGGAGATACCCAAGCTCCCGCTGAAGCTGCCGCCCAATGACCGTTGTAAATCAAAGACGATCTTTGGGCTCGCAGGAGACTCAAATGCGCCAGGACATGGGAAGATTAAAACACGTCTGGGCTGGTCACTGAAGGGTGGCGAGATGGCGGAGGCAGCGAGAACACAGGAAGAAAACTCCCACGGGTGAGCAAACATGTTGATCTCAAGAGACAATGGAGTCCTACGATATTGTTGACAGACACAATGTATATAGACATCGGGAGAGAAGTAGATAGCAACGTACAGCGACTTATGAATATACAGGGTTCAGAGTACAATGGGAAAGGGAGGCGCAGCAGAACGGACCAGCGGCGGCTCGGAGGGTTCTTGATGGGTTTCGTCTCCGACAGCGACATAAAGCCTGTCGTGAGCCTCGTTAGACCACCACACAGTGATCAAGAAAAGGCCGCGCACCTGGGAGGCTGCGGTACGTCCGAGAATGCACAGACTGTTTTATTTCTCACTAGCCAGACCTCCAAGTCATTTCTTGCTGCGTAAGATGCTTCGTGGGCTCACTGAAGCCAGTCCGAGACAGATGGTTGGCAAATATGAAGGAGGCATCTATTGACGAGCGCTAGGCAAGTGGTAAGCCGGCAGCCTAGGCGCGGAGAGCAAGTGATCGGGAGCGCACGTGCAGGGCCTGCTACGCGCGAGCCACCCTATCCTGACCTACGAGCGAACCGTCCGGCAGTGCTGCCGAGGGCCTGTGATCCCAGTACGAACCAGGCAGCCCGCGCTGACCCAGCTAAATAAGGTAAGGGTGTTGAGAGTGGCTACAGCCCCCAGCGGCTAGTGCCGGGTCAAATATATGGGGTGCCTGCGGCTAGTGCCAGGACCATTTGTCTCGGATCTCCTGCTACGGCTCGACGAAGATGCATACAGTGACCATCGCGAGCCAATCCCAGCTTTTGTTCACCCCCTTCGCAGTGTAGACGCATTTCGCCCAGAGGTTCTGATGCTCCTGCATCATGTCGACACCCTTGAAGCCGCCTGGTTTGCCGCTGAGGTTGACGAGCCAGTTGTGAAGGAATAATTGACGAAGACGAGGCGGGTACCGGCGCAAGCGGCCCAGAGTTTCAAATATGACATCCGCGTACTTCGGCATTGCACCCACTCCTCGCATCATGAGTCCCCACACTCGCAACATGTTCACGACACGCCCAATATCGCCATGCTTAACAGCATGAGTGAACTCGACGTAGAACAGCGCGTCGCGATTAAACAGCAGTACGTTCTCGTGTGCGTGGTCTCGCAGGGCATCTGGTTGCTGACGAAGGGCATCGACGACCGGCGTTCCGAACAGCTTCTGGAGGACGGTACGTGCGACACGATCGAAGTCGGCGACGGACGCTTCCGATGCCCACGTCTTGAGCGGGAGTGGCGCGCAGTGAATGCGGAATGCGTCCCTCACATGCGCAGGAAGCGTGATGTTGATGAGCTCGTGCGACTGCTTCCACGGCGTCGCCTTCCGTCCCTTCCATCCCGCTGCCATGCTTTTTCGACCCAGCACCGTATTCGACCACCACAGGCTGCCTGGCCACTCGGAGTTCGGCTTGCCCCAGTGCTCGTTCACGACCATCCTTCCCGCAGCCATCTGACAGTGAAAGATCCCGAAGCGCTGGATCAAGAAGCGCAGGGCATCCACGTCGTCCTCGCTGTTGCGCCTCGCGGTCTGGAGCTTGTCGACAAGGAGCATGGATAGGAGATCGCCATCGACGAAGAGCAGCCCGTGCTTCTTCCAGTCTTCGTTCGTCATGCCGAGGTTCTCGAAGATGGTGAGCAGTACTTTCATTGTACCATCGATGCACGACTCATCGAGCTTCATAGCTGGGAGTGGGTGCTGCTCGGTCTTATGGACCGCGATCTGGTCGACTTCGGGGCAGCCTCCAACATCGTTCCGAAGGCGAGCCAGCTCGGGGATGTGATCCATCGCGATGCGCTTCAGCTGCCAGAGGCAGCACTCGGAAACAGTCTCCGCCTCCTTTGCGGAGGGAAAGAGATCCTCTGGTGCGTAGGGGATGTCAAGCTTACGCGTCATGCGGGGTTCATCCATGTCGAAGGGAAGGGTGCCGTGGGGCACAGATGCCGCCGTCGTAGGATCGAAGAGCGGCACTACAGTAGCAGTGGTGCCGTTGTCGAAGTGGTCAGTCGAACCCATGCGCTGTGCATCCTTCCGAAATGCAATGTTCAAGTTGTCCCAGCAAATGATGCACGCTCTGTCTTTGATGAGGGCATTGTAGCGGTCTGTCGCCTCAGCCGAGAGCTTCTTGACGTGGTCGAGAATGGTGCTATACGACGTACAGATGCCCGCGTGCGAGAGGACCTCGATTTCGCGCTTCGCAGATCCAGACGCCAGGAGGAAGAGCCCAAGAGTCGTCTGGTAGTCGTTCGCGCGCTGCGACTGCAAGATGCCCATCATCGCGCACATCGTAGTGAAGACCTATCGTTTGTATGGTCAGTTCTCATGATATCACAAGGGTTCAGATCGCTTACAACTTTAGGATCGCGCTGGGTGCGAGGGGCTTCCTCCGTTGCGTCCAAGGTCCCGGAAGCAGTGCAGAGCAAAGACCAGAGCAGCGGCGCTTCGGCCTGCAGATCATCGCTTAGTCTCTCGAGCGAGAAAGTGCTAATCAGGTGCGTAAGCGAGGTGCTGCGTGAGCGCGACATGATGTCTTTTATCGCAGCACCCTCCTTCCGGATTGTCGGCAGCAGCTTCTCCATCATCCAGGAGTCGGCGACATCTGGCGCGCGAGTGTGAACCTGATCCATGAGCTCCTCCCCGTGCGCCTGACAGAATTTGGACCATGCCGAGGACAACAGCGGGTTCTTCGACGACCAAACGGCAGACATGAACCTGTAGAACGTCCCGAACCCGTACCCACCCTCCTTGGCGTCCGCTCGCAAGGCCTGAAATGCCGTCCAGACCCGTGAATCTTCATCGGCTTGTTCTTGCTCAAGCGCTGATGCGCGAGCACGAATCTTCTCGGCCTCCGCCTCTGCTTTTTTCTGGGCGCTGACCGCTTCCTTCTGCAGGAGACGGTCCGCCTTCCGTCTCTCCTTCGTCTTCTTCCTCTCCTCTCCCGTTGGTTTTCTGATAGTGGGTCTGCCACGTCGCTTAGGTGTAGGGTCCATCTCACTGAGCTGTGATGACGGCAAGGGTGCAGATGCCGACCGACGGCGTGTGAGCCCTCCGGACGGAGTCCGAGGCAGGATGGTTGAGACGCTTGTATGCGCGGCAGCAGGACTGCGAGGGGAAGTAGGAGTGAATTGGACAATGCGACGTCGCTTCTCGGGCTCGGAGATGATATCAGAATCATCGCGGGTGCGCTTGGTAGACATAGCTGCGTTGAACAATGGAGGTTCAGACTGATAGCGTTGTTCGGGTCGCGAGCTTTCATCGAAATTTCTCTAAGTCACACAAAATCGTGGGAATAATTTCTCGTACGCCAACGAGTAATTGAGATCCTCCAGTCCCCGCGCTGGGTGTTCCCTTACCTCTGACTTGCTCGGTCCGATCCTTCCGACCGGCACCGAAGGTGTCCCTCCCGCCTCCCGCCTCTGCCTTCTGCCTTCTGGGTCCTGCACCCAGCGCGGTAGGACTGGTCTCGAGTCTAGCGCGTGCCCGACGCGCGCACGATTACCTCCGCGGCTTATCCGATGCGATCGCCGCTGCAGACCGCCTCCCTCGCCTGGACGCACGTCCCTACCTCGATAAGCCCCCCATCGCATGCAGCCGCCGGCAAGTCCGGGCGCGCGTTGACGCTGCGGTCCGCGTCCTTCCCATCCCCCGATCGCGAATCGCCCATCCCATCACCCGCGGCCATCATCACCTCGACGCGTCTCTGCTTCCGCCCTCATGACGCGCTTCGAAACTTCCTCTGTCAAGCAGCCTCTCCCCGGCTCGGTCATTCGGGACGCGAAGTACGCGACGCGTCTGCGCCTCGTCATGCTCTCGCACGAGATCGTCGCGTCCCCTGCTGACGCCTCTTCTGACGTCAGGCGCGCCGCCCACCCTGCTACTTAAGCTTTCTGTCGCTCTCTCTACTCTCCCACTTTTGTGTATGACGACCATGATCATCCGCACACTCACCGCCAGCGCCCTCCGCGCGCGCCCAGCCTCCTCATTCACCCCCCTCAACATCGGCCTCCGCGCCGCACTCGTACGCCCCATCACCACCTCATCCCCCCGCCCCGTCGCCTCCTCCATCTCCAACAAGCCCGGCTCGCAGTCCCTCGACCAAGCCGCACTCAACGCGAAAGAGGAGCTCGGGAACGTCGGCGGCGACGTCGCCAAGACCATCGCCGGCGCCAACTACGCAAAGGACTCCGTCGCCGCCCCCGGCCCCGACGCGTCCTTCCTCGCCACCACCGCGCGCGTCGCCGGCCAGGTCCCCAAGCCCGTCCTCGTCTTCGGCCTCGCGGGCGGCATCCCCTACGTCGGCGCCTCCGTCGCCACCGCCTACCTCGCGCGCCAGGCCGGCCTCGCCGCCTCGGGCGCCGCCGCCGGCATGGACCCCGGCCTCGCCATCACCATCCTCCACCAGGCGCTCGACGTGCAGGTCACCTACGGCGCCGTCCTCCTCTCCTTCCTCGGCGCGCTCCACTGGGGCATGGAGTTTGCCGAGTTTGGCGGCAAGAAGGGCTACGCGCGCCTCGCGCTCGGCGCCGCCCCCGTCCTCTACGCCTGGCCGACGCTCGCGCTCGACCCCGTCATGGCGCTCCTCGTGCAGTGGTTCGGCTTCACGGGTATGTGGTACGCCGACTGGCGCGCGACCTGGCACGGGTGGAGTGAGTATATGCGCGTATATATTCAGATGGCGTCGTCTCGCTGACCTCACCCCCTCTCCCCAGCCCCCAAATGGTACTCCCAGTACCGCTTCTACCTCTCCCTCCTCGTCGGCACCTGCATCATCGGCTCCGTCGCCGCCACCTCCTGGTGGGGCCCCGTCGGCGGCCACGGCCTCGTCAGCCACGAGCTCGACGAGCTCAAGCAGCAGCGCAAGGAGCTCCTCCAAAAGGCGGGAAACTCGGAAGGTGTCCGCCCCCTGCCCTCTGACGCGCCCATCACCACTGTCCCTGCAGACGACGCGGGCGGCAGCGATGAGGCCTTCGTCGTGCTGAAGAAGCGCAACCTGGAGGAGGATAGCGGAGGCGAGGAGCCGGCCGAGCACGACTCGGGGAGCAAGCAGGAGCAGCATGGCGAGGTTGAGAATTCGAAGGAGTAGATTGGGACCAGAAATTTGAGAAGCACACGGACAGAACAATCTTGTACTCTATAGCTTACCATTGTACAACACCTATTAGCATATGTTCAAACAAGAATGTAGCATTACCTTCACCACCCAGTCCCTGGACCATTCTCAAGTGAAGGATCTCCCAAGTCTTCCAAAGTCTCGAATACATGAGTCTGCTGGCAGCTGACTTCGGCTGGGTGACTCGGGCGAACCTCACTTCCGCTGCTGCCGCGCCGTCTGGCTGTCTTTCTTCCACCTCACCCCACGCATACCCAAATCCAAAGCATGATACTATATACAATAACACACGACGTAAATAAGAGACGTAGATACAGGAGCCAGTGTACGTGTCGTGACATGGGAGCAAGAAACGGTGCCTTCCGCGAACTATGAGACAATGTGAGGGTTTCCCCAACGCTGGAACGGCGGCCAAGGGAGACTGCGGGCGTTGGCCACGGAGGCAGGATGCGGAGTGAGAGATTACAGCGAACGAGAGGGAGTGCGGGACGTCAACGAGAGGAAGTGAAGATACCTATCCGTCTATATAGCATGCTGGAAGCGTTCGATAGCGATATGCATGGGGGACCCATCCTTCACCCTTCCCGGATCCGTCCAAGGATTTCACCCGCCGTGCCTATTTGCTCAGTCCTCCTCGTGTCCGCTCAGAAAAACCCCGACCCGGGGAAGAACTGCGACCCAGGCTCGTCATCGACGGACGCATCGCTCATCGACGCCCGGCTCGCGGACATCTTCTGCTGCGCGCTGCTGGTGAGGTGGCCGCTGCCAGATTCACGCCGGCTCGCGTCCACCCCAAATCGCCCACTCCCCGACGCCCGCCGACTAGCGTCAAAGTCCGAGCGCCGGCTCGCCTCCACCGTCGACTGCCCGCTCCCCACACCGCCCAACCCGCTCTCGTCCTCCATCTCCCCCGGCAGCTCGTCATGTAAGGAGTTGTGGAACGGGTCGATATCCTCCTCGGACTCCGGCGCCGGTTTCTCGCTCGCACCGCCGTGGGGACGCCCCTCGCCCCGCCCCGTGTCCCGCAGATCGTACCCCGACGCCGGCTCCATCTCCTCGTCGTCCACCGACGGCGAGCGCGCGCGCGCCTGCCTCCCGCTCGCCCGCCTCTCGTTCCTCGGGCTCCGATCCACAGGGAACTCGCTGCCCTCCAACGGCAGCGGCGCACGCCCCGCGGACCCCTGCGACGGATGCGAGGGATGCGTCCTCGTTTCCTGCCCTACCGTCTCCTGCCCACGACCTCCAAACAGCTGCTCCTCCTGCCCTTCCTGCATCGGGTCGAACAGCTGCTGCTCTTGTCTTGACGGGCGAGCAGGACGGCCGGAAGAGGGCTGGCTGGGTTGCCCGCCGAGGAAGAGCTGAGCTTCCTCTGGCCGTTGACGGGCGGGCGCGTCGGGTCGCGGCTCGCGTTCGAGTGATTCGAAGAGGGCGAAGACCTCGGGTCGGCGCTTCTGCCCCGCGTCCTTGTCGATGCAGTAGCAAAGGTAGAGCGTGTCGGCACTGAAAACGCGAAAGGGATAAGTGACATACAAATTGGACAGCCAAATACGACTCACCAGTCCACGACAACACCGATGGAGAACCGACCGACGAGACCTGCTACGCTGCCGACGAGGATGGCCGCGCCGAAGGCTTCGTTGGGCGCGCCGAGCGTGTGCGCGGTGAACATGTACGCGCCCAGCGCGAAGGGTAGGCACAGCGTCAATGGTGCGAGAGTAAGGAGAGCAAGAGGCGCTGTATAACAGGCCGTTAGCAAACCCCCTTGATGAACGACGACAAATACTCACCATCACCGAACCCATTGCGCCTCTGCCTCCTCGCCCACCCCCAACCGCGCTCCTGCAACGGCTGCCCACCTGACGGCCCCGTCGTGCTCCCCACCGGCCCCGCCAACGCCGCACTCCTCCCCGCCGCCTTCCAAAACGGTTCCCCCGTCAACCCCGCATACACCAGCGCATCACCGCCAACACCCTCTCCAACAGTCTCCAGCCACCGCACCGCCCACGCGATACCCGAGGCCGCCATCAGCGCGACGGGTTTGAGCATGTTGGCGACCGGGTGCGTAGACATAGCGCCGAGGGTGAGCCATGGTGGTAAGCGGGAGAGGAGCGCGGAAATGAGGGCGAGGGCGCGGAGGGAGGAGAGGATGGCGCCGGCAAGGCAGACGGTGCCGAGGGAAGTCTGCGTGGCACGGAAGAGGGCGGCGTGGATGGTGTGTGTATCGGTAGGACGATGGCGGGGTGCTTCCGCGCTGCAGATCATCAGTGGGAGAATAGATTGTAAGATAACGCAGACAACTCACCCCGCAAAGTACCATGCCCCCACGACACCTGCCGCAGTCATACGCAGGATACCTCGCGCTACAGCCCACGTCCATAGCCATGTCGCAATTGCACCGACCAGCGCCCATCGAGCCCATCCTTTGACGTTCCACGCATAACCAGAGTCCTCCTTCTTGAAGTATCCCACGAGCAGCAGTCGGAACACAACAGTGGCGAAGGGAATGCTCGCAAGGAGTGCGGCGAGAAGGAGAGCCGGGGACAGAGCCAAGAGGTACGGCTCTCCGCCGGCCACGAATGGTCGCGCAAGCTCGCCGAATAGCACATCGGTGACGAGTGACAGAGTTGCGGATGCGGCGTGTAGGCGGCGCGGCAGACCGCGCAGCAGCCGCCTGCCAGTGATGACTGCGAAAACAAGGGGGATGAGAGCGAACAGACGAAGGCTGTCAAGGTGGTAAGCATGCGCGCCGACTTGTTGAGATTAGGACTCACCCAACAGTCTCTCCCCAAGTTGGCTCGACACCGTCCTCGGTCACAAAGCTCCCAGCGAACGCCCAGATCGAGCAGATGGTGAGTGCGGCAGGTACGAATGCTTCGGTGGCGGCGAGTACAGGACGGACTGCGTATCGTAACGCGAGTACATGAACGTACGTCAGCACTGCCGCCACGACAGCAGAAACGCAGACGAGGGGGACTGTGCGCAGTAGTGTCGCATACGGCAGTTTCGATGAAGAGCCGTTTGGTGGTCGCGTAGTATGTGCGAGGATGAGAAGTAGGAAGGCGCCTAACACGCAGGCCGATACCGCGAAGAGGTACGCAGAGAGCCATGGTGCATCGTTGTACTTTCGCCGTCCGCGGGGTAGATGGCGGGGGTCTGGCAGATGGAACGTGCCAGGGGCTGGTCGGGGAAGGAGGCTGGCGGTAAGGGAGAGAGAGCGTGGATGCTCAGGTTGTGCTTCGACATCGGGCTGCGCGAAGGCATCGTCCTCTTCCTCTTCGTCATCCTCGTCGTCCCCCTCATCCAGACTAGGCGCCCGAAGTGGTGATATGTGATGAGCGAGCCAGCCGCCGATGCCTGCGTCCGAATCTGCTACGCGGCGTGACTGAGCGATCAATGGGGCACGTACGCCCGCGGGCTTCGTCCCTTCATCCAGTCGCAAATAGGGCCCGTCGTCGTCTTCGTCCTCGTCGCTGACAGGCTCCTCGCTGCGACTGTGACGGCCCGCCTCCCCACTCCGATCATGGCGCGTACTTGACCCCGCACCACGCAAGTGGGGGTCGTCCAAATCATCCAGTTCGCCGCCACCGTCGGTGGTGAAGGAGAAGAAGAGCGGCTGAGAGGACGCCATACTGGCTTGCTGGGGCTGGCGAGTAAGGAACTGCGAAGCGTACGCGGCGAAGGAGGCGGTCATCGTGTGGGGGGCCGTCCGGCAGTCTGAGGAGGGGGCAAATCTAGTGGATCCGGTGCAAGCAGCGCACAGAACGCTCTCTCCAGCCTCCCTCGATCGAGTGCAGCGTGTTCAGAAAAATCCTAGTAGGCACGGGCGCTACGCGTAACCAGACTGTATGCGTGCGGGCCAAGTGAGCGACCTGACGTAAGGCTGCCCAATCGAGCGCCTCCGGCTTTTGTGGCGCCCTCCCACGGCCTCAGGCGGGCGAGCTTGACTCTCGCCACGATGTCTGGGTGACGCTACGAGCCGTGTCTGCAAGTATTCCGTCACTTTCACTCTCTTCATGAAGCAAATTGCCTCCCCCCTCTCATGCGCTTCAGATGAGCAGGAAGGGACTCAGCGTGGCCCTCAGCGCAGCGAAGACGTTGAGATGAGTGTCAATGTATCGATAGGGTCATGGCGAGGTGGTTTGTCGTGCGTTCTCTTTTATTGTTACACGGCTCGACTCGCAGAGTCCTTGATGAAGGAGAGAGGCAGGAAGGTCCTGAGGCAGACAAAAGGCCAGGACCGGCATATATACCAGCCCGAGCATGATAGACCGCTATTGACAGCGAAGCGAATACACGTGCAAACAGCGGATGCCTTCTGGCGAATCATCCGCACGGAAGGAAAGCTTCAGGTACGGTCCTTCTCGGAGGTCGCCCGACTAGGAAGCCTTTTAGTTATCCCAGTATGGAAGGTCGCTCGACCAAAGCCAGACTCGCAATGGAGGATCGAAGCAGACGTGCCTTCCCTGTAGGACCACCAGGTCTTTGCGTCTATCACACTGGCTGATTATAAGACGGGGCGTGTTCCGGGACAACGAGAGCTACGACAACCATGAGCTTCCCACCACAAGCTAGCGATTACGATTGGGTACGCCGCAAGCCCGCTGAGAAGAATTGCGCTGACGCAACCCCCTAGCTTGAGTCACTGGGTTGGTTCTCCTGTGATAGTTTAATAGATGATGGCTAAAGCGTGCCCACAGGCCAGGGCACGTTCGGGACTGTATACAAGGTGTGCTGCCTCGGCACGCACGGGGAAGCTCGCTAAACACGCGCAGGGCCGCTGCAGACGCACGGGCCAAACTGTGGCGCTCAAGGTTTCACGCCGCCAAGGCGACACGAGCGTTCTCCGCGAGATGAATATCTTACAGAGATTTCTGCACGACAACGTCGTTCGCCTTTGCGATATCATTGACCCCGAGAATAAGCCTACCCTCGTTCTTGAGTTCTGCGCCAGTGACCTCCGGAAGTACATGCGTCAATACGGAAAGCAGGGCGCGCTCGATCAGGACGCTGCTCTCGCGGTCATGCATCAGCTTTTAGGGGGAACCGCTTTTTGCCACAGAAACGGGATCATGCACCGAGATCTCAAGCCAGAAAACCTGCTCGTGGATTCAGAGGGCACAGTCAAGTTGGCTGACTTCGGCTCCGCGCGCAAGATCGGTGGTCCTGGGACTATGTATACGCCCGTCGTGAGTTAATTTGCTTTGTGGCACGACGATCGAGAGATACTGAATCCGTAGGGCACAACGCTGTGGTATCGTGCGCCGGAGATACTGCTAGGAGCACAGACGCACAACGAGCTGGTGGATGAATGGTCCTGTGGGTGCATCTTTGCGGAAATGATTCAGGGACATGCATTATTCCGAGGGCAAGACGATGAAGATCAGATGATTTGCATCATGCGTGACTTCGGGACCCCGATGCCAGAACAGCTGCAGGAGATGCGAGTGGTCTCGGTGCGTAGACCATAGGCTTTCGTACTTTTGTCTAACCGCATAACAGCCCGAAATTCGCGAGCAGTCAGTATCATCTACTGCTTACCGGGGACGCCCCCTGGGGCAAATCGTGCCCAAGGCAAAGCCGCAATGTGCGCTTTTATCTTCCCTCTTTCATACATCCATCACCCTCACCTTCAACTGAACTCAGCAATCGATCTTCTCAACCGCCTCCTCATGTGCAACCCGGCCAAGCGCATCACCGCCGAAAAGGCGCTCTGGCTCACCGGTGTGCATCTATTCAAACAATTCATGGTGGCGCCGTCGGCCTACGTACAGTCGCAGGCAAGACCTCGGGTCCGGTTTGGAGCCGCGTATGGAGACTGGCAAAACGAGGCCAATCTGTATCGACCGCCAGCCTGGGGTTGACCTTATCAGGTCAGAGCGCATTCCGCTGGAGATGCTGTATGTCTAAGTGACACTGCGATGCTGAAGGTGCGGTAGGACTTGTGAACGCAGGCAGTTTATATCTAAGTCGCAAGATACGGCGAAACAGGACTTCCCAGTTCTCTTTCCACTCTTTCACGACCCGCTTTCCTGATGTATCACGATCGCTGTATTTGGACGTACATGTAGAAATAACAATCTCTTTCTTGAACTCTGCCTTCTATAAGGGACTGAAAGGCGCCAACCTACGCCACGAGCCAGGAATGCGAACATCACGTGACCGTGCGTCCAGCCCATTGCCGGGTTGCACCGACCTTGGATGTGCGCTCATCCCGCGTTTTGCATTCGAAGCAGTTACCTTGTCAGAGACTGGTATAGCGCGACATCACTTGGACTCTCCATTCCCTGCCGCTCTCTAAATCAATGTTTGGTAATATATGGCTAGCACTTCGTGACACGGCGCTCGTCGCGCTCGACGCATCGACCTCATGGCGTCGCGGTGAATCATCCGTTTTCCCATAGCCTTTCGCTAGAGTGGTCTATACCAGCGCAAGCATGATGGACAGTTGCTGACAGCGAAGCAAGTATATGTCCAAATAACGGGTACCTTCTGGCGAATTATCTGCACGGAAGGAAAGCTTCAGGGACTTCCCGGAGGATACCCAAATAGGAAGCCTTTGAGTTATCCCAATCCGGAACGTATCCTCGTCGCTCGCCCGATCCGACAATCGCATACAGCGAAGAATCGAAGCAGCCAGGACGTCTTCTCATGGACTGCCAGGTCTTTGCACATATCCTGGATGCTTATAAGGTGAGTTGCATTGGGAAACACGCAGAGCTCTGGCAGCGATGCAGTCAAGTTTGCCATCAGTAGAAAGGAATTACATTTGGGTACGTCACAAGCTCACTCGAGATATATTCGCTGATCTAACATATCTCAGCTCGAGCAACTGGGTTAGTCCCTCTGCGGCTTGTCGGCCAGATGATGATTAAAGCACGCCTTCAGGCCAGGGCTCGTTCGGCGATGTATACAAGGTACGTGGTCGTGCACGCAGGAGGAGTCGACTAAAGCCCCGCAGGCTAGGTCCCGATATACTGGCCAGATTGTGGCGCTCAAGGTGACGCGGTCCGGCGCCGACACAGCGGTTTACCGCGAGATCGCTTTCCTGAAGAAGCTCGTGCACGTCAACGTTATTCGACTTCACGACGTAGTGCGCACCGCCATGAAGCCTACGCTCGTTCTCGAGTTTTGTGGCAGTGACCTCTGGCAGTACATGCAGCAGCATGGAAATCACGGCGCGCTTCGACCAGACGAAGTTCGATCGTTCATGTTCCAGCTTCTTCAGGGGACCGCCTTTTGCCACAGTAGCTGGATTGCCCACTGCGATATCAAGCCAAGTAACCTCCTCATTGATTCGAAGAAGGTTCTCAAGCTGGCCGATTTCGGTTGCGCGTGCGAATGTTGGCCAGGATCTGATGAAAGCTCGAGCCTTCCATACGTGAGTCGAACCAGTTTGATGGTACGCCAGATATTGACTACTCAGTACGGGACATTGTGGTACCGTGCGCCGGAGCAGCTGCCGTCGGCGTCGAAGGGATATGGCGCGTCGGGCGATGTTTGGTCTTGTGGTTGCGTCTTTGCGGAAATGATTCGGGGAACGCCGCTGTGTCAAGGGCGAGACGAGGCACACCAGCTTCATTGCATCATGCGTGTCATCGGCACGCCAGCGACAAGGACTCTGCAAAGGATGATGAAAGATTCAGTGCGTGGATTCCGTCCGCCTATCAGCACGGACTCACCTCAGCGCTGGCCCCAGTTCCGAACCCTCCCTCGCTATCCCAGGTCCTTGCGCCAATTTGTGCCGAGAGCAACTTCAGAAGGTACTATCTCCCTTCCTTCGTCATCCCGTTCTCACCCTTGTATTTAAACCTAACTTCAGCCTCCGAGCTGCTTCGATACCTTTTGAAGTTCAACCCGGCTAAACGCGTCACCGCCGACAACGCCCTCCGACACCCATACTTCACACCTGCGCGCGCTCCTCCAAATACGCCACTGCGTATCGGAGGGCACCGTCTCAAAGCATGCCCACGTACCGGAGGTCGCAAGCTCAATACACGCCCGCGCACGCCAGGGCACCTCCTCAATACGTGCCCGCGTACCCAAGGGCGCCTGCCCAGCACATGCGCGCGCCTTCGAGGGCTCCGCCAGCCTACGCGGACCGGTCTCCATATGTTCAAGTATGGTCTCAGGTGCAGTGCTGGGACGGTCATCGGTACTGGCAGGCGCAGCAGTATCAGCGATACGGCTGCGGTTAATTTCAACAATCTAGGCGGTGAGACTGGTTGGTGGGGACATTCGTCAAGGTAGTGCGGCAATTCCTGGGGTGCGCCAGCAGCTGCGCTACTTACAGCATTTTGCGAAAACCTTGTCTGGTGCTCGCCGCGGAAGAAGATAAAGTTTGCTTGACTTAGCCGTAGACGACACTGGCCAGCACATCCGCCAACCGTGACATCACTTGGCGCGGGGCAACGCTTCGCCTACTTGAACGGCACTCATGCAGTTTGAAGCGGCTTCTCGCAAGTGCTATGACGGTGTACATGCTCTCTGGAGACACCACAAAGACCCTGATTTGGTCTGGCAAGGATTGGGGCAGCAGAATGGGTCAACTTTGCGCGACGCATCACGCGCCAGGCTGCGCGGCAAAGTCCGGATGCGCGTCTCGCGGCTAAGTCAAGCAAACTCTTTCTTCTTTCCTTTGACGCGGACCAGACAAGGTTTATGCAAAATGCTGTAAGTGGTCTCCAATCGTGTGACTTCTGTCGGACTCGAACCGGAATTTTGTACCTTTCAAGTGCATGCTCCTTTACGATCTCAATATAATGACCGTCATGACCCTCTGATCCCGCCATTTGAGAACTGTACGCTACTATCAAGTCTTCGCCTTCATGATCCGTAAGTTCCAGACTCTCGCATTCAAGCTCGAAAGGGAGTGAGCGCCGCGCCAGTAACTTGAACATCACGTGGTCGTGTATATCTGGCACTCCGGTACCGGAGCAGCAATTACCGGCCGGGCCATACCGAACTTGCACCGAATTCTCATCTCGCGCCTTGCATCCGAGGGAGTCGCCTTGTCAGTGACTTTTGTAGCGCGACACTACCTAGTCTTTCCACTTTCTATCGCACTCTAAACCAACGTCTTGCAATACACAGCCTTCATTTTGCAGCACGGTGCTCGACGCATTGACCTCAAGGGAACACAATGGCGTCGCCAGGAATCATTCGCTTTCCCACCGCTCTTCGCTAGATCGGCTTAGCTTATGACTTGCATGCAACTTTAGGATTACTGGGATGGCTGATGAACACAGTCTCAATGACGCGGATTTCGCTAGCAATTTCCTCGAGCCAGGTCGGATGCTTTGACTCGCGTCGGCATCCGCACAACACCCTCCGAGTCCTCATTGTTGTGTTCGTGCGGAACAGGTATGCAGATCCGCATGGTCACGAAGTCCTTCGCAATGACCTTTGGGGGTATGTTGTGCTTGATCCTCCTTTATAAGCCGTGGCATCGAAGAGGCAGTCAACATTGAACATGGCAGCCGCGCAACGCCCCCAGCCGACACGGAATGCACCCATCAGCCATTACCTCAGGGTGCGTCGGCGCGCCGTCATATAGGATATTCTTTACTCACTGGCCATGTCTAGCTCGAGAAACTAGGTGCGTCACCAATTCCTATCGGGGGGTGGACTAGAGCTCATGAGTTTTCGTTAGGGCAAGGCGTGTATGCCACCGTATACAAGGTACCACTGTGGACCCCAGACCGGGTTACAGTCACTGGTGCCTTCACCCAATAACATGGTCGTGTCCCAAATTCACCCACTGCGACGGTTAAAACATGGTTGAGCAGGGTAAAAACAGGGTGAATTAGGTATTGCAATAATATTGTGGGTTATCGCCTATAGAATGTCGCGAGGCTGAGGGATTCGTGATTGCGGTACAACTACTCGCTGCTGATAAGTACGAATACCAGCTTTTTGCTGTGTCATCGCCATAACATGAGGCTTGCTTCTGGCTTCGGTGCTTTCAGTCTTACCGTGGCTAGCAATCAAGAGACTATAGTCCAAGTATACAAAATAAGTACGCGCGCACCAGTAGAAAGGATGTCACGCGCGAGGAAGGCCGTTCACGGCTGCTACAAGCTCACTTGTGATCATAGGCTAGACGCGACGAAATCTCTAAGTCCGTCTGTCACGTGCTCCAAAAATGATGACGCCACGTCCAGCGGTCAAAGCGGTGCGTTCGTTGCCTCCTTCCACCACTCCCCTGGCCCATGATCCCTCCCTTTCCGACGTGCACCGTGCCCTCGGAGAGACAGCGAGAGCCGAAGGACGTGACATAATAGGGAAGAGGTGCGGGAAGGCGCGAAAGACAGGCCGTAGGCCCGCGTCATAGCCTCAGCGCGGTGCAGCTAAGGTGCGTGCTCAGCTACGTGCGCCCGTCATACGTACTGACACCATCGCAGATATGTGCCCTACATACCAGTCATGTGAAGGCATCGCGCGCCAGGTCGCGTATGCCTAGCCCGTCATTACTCTCTGGTGTCCACACGCCCTCGGCAATGCTTCACTTCCCGCACATCCCTATGTACGACCCCTGGGTTTCAATAGTTCTTACTGCTCGCCCTCTAAACATTCCGTATACTCACTCGTTGCTCTTGCCAATTGAATGCCCTGTAAGCAGCAAAACGGCCTGACGGACCATCTAACCCGGTTTTGTCGTAATTCACCCAACCAGCGGGTTCTAACCGGGCTCTTTTCACTCATTACTTCACTCCGCTTTCAGGGTGCTTTCACCTACTTAAGTCACCATGTTGTATGGTTAAAATACCTTGACTTCACTCGATTTACCGGTTTCTTTAACTGCTTTTATCGGGTGAAAAGTCGGGTGACTACAACCCGGTTTTGGGTCCACAGTGCGGTGTGTCGCGCGCCACGCTGAAAAGCAAGGTCAACTGAACAGGCGCTACTAGGGCCGCTCTCTGGTCACGAACGAGCTCGTGGCGTTTAAGGAGACCACCCTCGACGAAGAGCACGGGATTCCCTACACCGCCATGCGCGAAGTGACTCTCCTCAGAGATCTCAAGCACCCCAACGTCATCCGCCTTCGTGAGATGATGATCACCGAGTCTTTGCTCACGCTCGTCTTCGACTTCTGCGACTGCGATCTCAAGAATTACATGCGGACGCACGGGAACTGCGGCGCGCTGGCACCCGGCGTCGCTCGCTCGTTCATGAAGCAGCTCCTCGAGGGCACCGCCTATTGCCACAATAGCAACGTCATACACCGCGACCTCAAGCCGGAGAACGTCTTCGTCAATTCAAAAGGCGAGCTCAAGCTGGGTGATTTCGGTCTATCACGCCCGATAGGCCTTCCTGAAAAGAGATACGGCAATGAGGTGTGCTCGCCTGGTACTTCGTGGCGCTCGCTATTTCTAACCCCTTTAGGTCGTGACAATGTGGTATCGTGGGCCAGAATTACTGCTTGGATCGACTTCGTACAGCCCAGCTATCGATGTTTGGTCCTGCGGATGCATCCTCGCGGAGATGATCCGGGGTGCACCACTGTTTATGGGAAAAGATATCCAAACCCAGCTCAATGCCATTTCGCGCATCATTGGGGTTCCGCCGAAGGAGCAGTTGGAGAAGATGAAGGAGGATGCAGTGCGTATTGTGTATCTCCTTTTCGTTCTTTGCTAACAACGGTGATAGCCCGAGCTCGATGTTGACGACTCGAGGTTCCCCACAAAAACCTACAAGCTTCCTCTGAGCTATTTCGTGAACAAGGCGACGCCGGAATGCAAGTGCTGCCGTTTTGATACGTCAATCGTGCTAACTTCCCTCTAGCGATCGACCTCCTGCAGCGCCTTCTGAAATTCGACCCCGCTGAGCGGGTCACCGCTGCCGACGCCCTCCAGGACCCTTATCTCACTAACGCGCAGGGACCAAACCTGGGGGAACACGACGTTCAAATGGACACCTCTTGAAGAGATTGTATCGCTGCCATGATCCACGTCTCCTGACATTGGCCTCTCCTCTCGGCACTCTTGTTTCGTGGCTTGTAATCCCGTTCGTTGCGTATCTTTGGTTACTACCAGTATCATAGTTATTCTCCCCTAATGATGACTGTATGTCTCCTTGCATGCCCTCCACTCTGCGCTTATTATACCGCCCACCATAATCTAGAGACTTTGCGGGAGGAAGTCGAACTTTCCGTCACATGATCGTGTCAGTTCGATGTTCGGCTCGGGCCGTTCCGGACCCCTATCGCATCGTCCGTCGCGACGTGGGAGGTACACCCACTAACTACTGTCTCTGAAGACTAACGAACGAGTTTCTGACCTTCTGTTACTCACTCGCGCGGCTGCACATGCGTTGCGCATGACGAACTTATTCGCCTGCGTCCTGAAGATGTTGCCGGCCACTTTGCTCTCGGTCCTCGCCAAATGTCAGGTCTGCTTGTCGCCCATTTATCCTCCCAATGGTCGTTCTGTGATGATTATATGGCGCCCTCCGTCTGCAATCTACAAGGAGCTACCGCGTATGCTCTGCAATCTGGACTCGTCTCTGCGGTCCTACGTCTTCGCGTGCTCCCCCTCGCCGCGCCCTTCCAGTCTGCAACACCGGACGTCACCTGCTTATTCCGGCCTAAGGCCCAACGCACGACCCTATCGATATCAATCATCGTAGTCTACCATGGCAGACCAATCATCGTACCGTTGCGTCCGGTAATGATCCCCTCGCTTGCGCCCAGTCATCAAATAGGGCGCTAAAGTGCCGAAGTCCACTGCTGCTGTGAGTGCGTCTTCGTCCTGGTCCGTCTGGCGGGCCTGGACTCGTGCGCGTTCGTCACTGATTTCGGCAAACAGACGTTGACAATGGTTCTGTGCTGTGTGGACAGTGGGCTTGTGCTGCGTGCCGTCCGAGATGAGACCGGCGAGGAAGCGATCCATACGGTGATGAAGCAAATCAAGCGATTCATTGACCATCGCCGAAGCGGCTCATCGTGCGAGATGATGCTCCCACCCTCCCTGGCACATGGCGAGATTTTGCTCGCATCGTGTCCATTTCGAAGATTTATGCTCAATATATCCACTTCATCAACATGCAAGCGCAGGGTCATTGGTGGGCGCATCACAGGGAGAGAGTGTCTCGTCACAGGGAGGGGACGTCTCTCGAGGACGCGGGAGAGCCTCTCACGCCTCTTCATCATAATTGTGCAATGCCCATGGAGATTCGTGCGACGTGCGCCAGAAGGTCTCCTCTATATTCGGTTGGACGTCGGTGAGTAAGGCCGTAGGCCGTGAGTATCAAGGCTGTAAGTCCTTTCGACTCCAACAACGTATGGGATGTCACTCATTCTGATTCGTTGCAGGAGGCGTTAGTCCAGCAACTGCCCAGTTCGCACGTCAAGCAGATGCTCCTCGTACGTCCTCCCTCGTCGGCTGTTTCTGTCGGCCGCCCGTCAGCTCGAGACGAGGAAGAGGGAATGCATTCATTCTGCGTGTTATTGGAGCTGGAAGGCTTTCACATCTCGCGCTAGGTTTGGCGTAGCTCGGCCGGTATGCTGAGCTCATCTCAGAATGTTTACTGAGCGAGCTGGTCATTCGCTCATACAGCTGACTTCCACTTCAGGCTTTGCGTTACGGACTACGCCAAGCTTCTCTCCGCGCAATGAACATCATCTGTGCTCACTTATGAGGATCAGAAGAGCGCCAGAGCGCGAACGCTGCACACGATCTGATATCAGGTGAGGGTCTACGAGCCAAATTGCCGGCTACTTAGTGACGGCAGGTTGGACTAGCAGCAAATCCACGGGGCCTTCCGTGAATGTGATCTCCATTTCGCACTTCTCGCCCGAGCCGACGCGTCGACTGTCAACAGATGACGACCCCGCACTCTAACGCGCCATCAGCATTGAGTGGGAGAAGGTTGGGGGGAGGGCGGAACACATACGACGCAATGGAAGAGGGCATGTGCGGCCACTCAATGGACATCAATTCCTCGCCTGTCCCTGCTCATACGACGTGGTCATGTTACGGCGCTGTGGACGTCCGTCGCTCCGCGTGAGCTGCCGCGGTGTCGTCCCGCGCGCGCTTCGTTCTGCACTGAGAACGGGTCGTTTGCCGACTGTACGGTACACATGTCTTTGCGGACAACGGCATGCGAAGTTCTTCTCCTGCTCGCCATCGTTTCCCGAGGGACCACTGTCACGCATGCTCACCGCGCGCCCCGAGGATTCGGGCATGGACTGACTGTGCGCAGTCTCCCGCGCAAAGTATCCTTGAGCGCCAATGACATCGACATGAACACTCAAGCCACGCGACTCGGAGGCAAAGGCTAACGGGGAGTTCCGCAGGACCCTTCCGCGGCGAGGCAGCCGTTGCACTTGTCGCCGCGGTCGACGATCACAGACAACGGTCGCATGCAGTTCATTTCCGGCGCTGTTGCCGTGGCAGTGGAAGGGGCGCTGGCAGGTGCCGCAGGAATTTTCGGCGCCATCGTCGAGACCCGGGGATTGCCGGCCCCAGAACCGGGGGATGCCGCGCCACCCTGGCGTTCTCGTTGGCCGAAGTTTCCATATCGGATGCATCCACGCAAGCATTCCGGCGTCTCGTGCGCCCCCTGGACATCTCCGAGCCATGATGGCTTCCCGCACTTATGGCCGTCCTCCTGCCGGCATAGACGCCGGCCCATACAGCCCCGCACGCCCCTCGACGAGCTCGACGAGAACCTAGCGGACCGTAGCGCACCGGGCGAGCACCGAGCGCAGGGAAATTTAAACCTTGGAAGAAACCGCGCGCGCCACAGTTCAGAGTCGTGCACGCACACGCGCCACGGACGGCGCCGTGTTCATCTTTCGCGGCGATCACCGCGGGTGCCTGCGACAGCGCGACGCGCTGCCTCCGACCGGCGATGGCTGATCGTGCAAGTTGCGATGCGAGCCTCCCGGCCGCCTGGGACCCGGCGCCGTAATGGTATAAGTACAAAGAAGCTGCATTGACCTCGACGCCTTTCCCTCCCTCCCTCGACCCTTAGTGCGCCACATTCCGACCCGCGTCAACCCGCAACTTGGAACACACCATCGGGTGCGGTGGCAGCCACTCCTTCGCCCCAGCGAGACGCGGTCTGCATGGCGCGTCAATCCCCCGCGCGCGATCCTGCTCCGTACGCGTACTGCTTCTCCCTGCCTCTCGCCCATGTCCCACGTCAGGGCGACGCGCCACGCGATGTTTGGGCCAATTCAACGTCGTACGTGCATCGCTTTGACTTGTAGCTTGTTCCAACTGATGGTTCGTTAGTGCACCGTCCCCGCCGCTTAATGCAGACACGCTGCCACCGCATCCGGCGACTCGCATGTGGGCGACGACGGACGGACGCCCGCCCATGGCGTTCCTCGAGCCACCGCCACCGTCGGATGCAGTCACCCACAGCGCAGAACTGTTCAGTCGACTGGCTGAGCTTGAGAAGAGCCGGGTGTCCTCGCCAGCGTCGGCGGAGGAAGAGGTGGCGGAAGGTAACAGCAGCCCTCAACCTCCCCTCGCGCAGCCTGTGGCAGAGCGGGTTCCCAGCCCACGCGTTGAAGACCCGCCGCCGCCGGATCCATCCGCCCACCCAGGGTTTAGCTCATTGCCGTTCTGGGTGCCCCCGCGCGATTCGCCAGCATCCATTTACTACGAACCTAAGGCGGCTGCGCCCCCGCGGTCGCAAGAGCCTACGCGAGATCAGCCTACCGCACCTGCTGATGGTGGGAGGCACACGGAAGGCCGGGTGGCACACCCGCGCTCGGAGGCCCCGTGAGTGTCGGCTTGAATCTGGCTGTTCTTGCAAGGGCTGAGGCGAGTTCAGAAGCAGCGTTCGCGTGAAGCGCGAGCCCGAGGAGCAATGTTTGAGCTCTTTGCTATCTCCGATGTCAGCGTGAGTCCCCTGGTATGGTCCTGCCGAGATGAACGCTTACGGACTGCACAATAGTGGCGAGGTGGCGATAGTAAAGTCTGAGCCTAGAGAAGGAAATTCATTGCCATTACCAAGGTATACAATTCTGAATAGTAATTGCCTTTCCGATGTTGAGTATCGTCGCAGACCTCAAACAAAGCGTAGGCGCGGTGAGGAGGAGGTTGATGTCCTTCCCTCATCACCCTCGCAACCGTCGAACGCCTTCCCTTCCCGGAGTCCGAAGCGTAGGCGTATTGTTCCCTCGCTGGTGCGTCCGCCAACGGTTGCTCTGCAGAACGCTCGTTATGTGACGTCCTCCGCGCCCTCGCCTCCGCCGCCGCCAGCGCACCTTCTCGGGCCTCGCGTGCCGCCCCCGCTTCCTACCTCCGTCCGTCCGCGTCCGTGCATCATACCCTTTTCGCATCACCTTCTGACATCACGCGCATCGTCGCAGACGCCGGACGCTGGGTGCGCGCTACCGCTGACCGCGGACATTTCTGTCCCGCCAACGCGGGAGTCGACCATCGCGCCGCCGCCGCCGCCGACTAGGGACTGCACGTCGCCCCCGACGTCGCGGGGTGTATCCTTGCCACCCATTGCGGCGCTCGACCTCCCTCCGAGCTTGCCGCCATCCTTTCTGCCGATGGTGAGCCGGGCGGGCGAGTGGCCGGGCGCCGGAGTTCTGGTCGCGCCGTCTCCGCGCGTGGTCTTTCCGACGCCTTTGGCGGCGTTGCAGACGGCAAGGGGCCCTTTGGTGCATGGGCCGCCGTCCGTGGCCGCACCAACCTCTCCTAGACCGCTTCCGCGGCCGGTGAGCAGGCATCGCAAGCTGTCGTCGCCTGTGGGAGGTCGAGCGCTGTCGTCGCCCATGGGAAGCCGAGCGTTGTCACCGCCTGTTGGTCAGGTTCTGGGGCCGATGAGGTTGCTTCTGTAAGTGAATGTTAGAGGTTACAGTATATCACGAAGTTTTCTTGCATGGTCGGACTATACGCATCTCCTAATCGAAGTAAATAGTAAACAGTGTACAGCGTCGCCGGGAAAGAGCAGTAATCAATTGTCATTCTTGTGTACTTACTTGCGAGGGTAGTGACTTACCTTATTTTGCGGCAATTTGTGAGGCCTGAGGCATCATGAAGACGTCTCCGGGAGACCGTGTCAGTCTTTTCCTTTTGCCTCAAAATCAGCATTTATAGCCCTGGGTCTGGGCGCACGACGTGCATTACTAGTATTCAGAGAGGTTTGAAGAGCTCAAGGTCTTCCATTCATGTTTCAGCAGTCCGCGTTGCTCGACGAGAGGTGGTTCGTGCCCTCCATTATCAGTGTAGACATCCGCATTACTCGACGTGGCCAGTGCAAGTAAGCTACCGTAAGTAGAGTAAGTAAGCCATCATCGCTTCTTCCCGAATTGGCGAGACAGCTGGTCGAGGACGGACATCGCGCTGTTCTTCTCCTTCGTGTTCTGCTCCAGCGGGCGAGCGCCCAGGAAGCCAGCGGTCGACCACGACTGGCTCGGGGTGCGGGGCGCCGGTGACGCGCCGGCCGTCGGGAAAGCGCGCGGCACCCAGTCACCCTCGTCCACATCCTCCACATCCTCCTCCGCCTCGAAGAGCTCCTCCACTGGCTCCGCGACCGTCTCCTCCTGCTCGAGGAACTCCCGCAGCATCGTGCGCACCCGCGCCTCCGCGTCCTTCGTCAACATCCCCTCACTCTCCACCGGCGCCTCCTCGACCAGCGCGTGCATCGACTTGACGAGCCCGGCGCCGGTCTCCTTGCCCTCGAGCACAGCGGCGACGAGCGCGGGCGTGTACATCTCCGAGAGCTCGGCGAGGATAGCCTGCGCGAGCACACCGGCGAACTCGGGCGAGGCCGCGGCCTGCTCCTCTGCCGACTGCACCGACTCAGCGACCTCCGCCAGCTCCGCGACGCCGTTGGAATCGAGGGAGGGGATCAGGGTGTCCAGCTCGTACTCGGCGACCCGCTGCGCGCGGTCTATCGAGCGGGCCGCACCCTCCTCGCCGAGGAGGACGAGCGCGCGCTCGAGCGGGTTCTCCGCTTCCGCGAGTGACTCGGCCAGCTCGAGCCACTGCTCGACGTTCAGCTTGCGCGTCGCGGTCTGGTTCGGCACCAGCGGGTTTTCCATGTACTCAAAGTCCCCAATGCGCGACACCTCCCGACCCTCATCGCGGCTAACGAAATCGATGCTGGCGTGGCGGGCAGCGATCTCCGCCTGCAAGTCCTCCGCCGCACCGCGCGCGGCGACGTACGCAGGTGAACCCGGCGTGTTCGAGTTCCCGACCCTGAACTCGCGCGCGGGGTCCACGTTCGCGGTGACGACGGCCTGGAGGTCGACGCCCTGCTCGATGTCCTGCGTGGTCTTGCCGACGACGCGCGGCGGGCGGGAGAGGCGGACCGCGCCGGGGATGATGCGCATGAGCGACATGGACTGCGCGAGCTGCGCGCGGTCGAGGACGGGCTGCAGCGTGCGGTCGTAGCGCGAGGCCTGGCGCAGGAGGGGCTGCTTCCCAGGCGCGTTTGTGCTGCGCAGCTGCGCGGTCATGCCCGCGAAGCCGGCGATGTAGTTGGCGGCGAGGCCCTCCGCGGCGTTGCTGCCCTGCTTGGAGCTCTGGGGCTGGAGGATGAAGCCAGGGCGGGGGCGGGTGTAGGCGAGCGTCTCCAACGGCGTCGGGTGCGCGTAGTTGAGACCGGCGACGCGGTGGGGCTGCTGCTCGATCTTGTGCTGCGATTTGTCCTCGAACTCAGCGCGCGTGCGCTCACCTAGGAAGCGCGCACGGTGGTCAAGCGCGGGGTTCTGCGCGAGCCCGAGCAGGGGCTGCTGCGACGCGTCCCGGTAGCGGTCGAGGAAGTCGATCTCGGAATTGGTGAGCTTCTCCCCCTCATCGCGCTTCTTCTGCAACTTCTCGTACCGCTCCCGGGGTGCGTCGGCGAGTTGGTTCATGTACTCGCGGAACTCGGGACGGGCATCGCGCAAGCGCTTGACGAAGGTGCGGAATTGGCGGGGCTTCATGGCGGTGAGATTGGGGACAGAGATAGCCGTGTGCTCGACTGGTTCGGAGCGGGAGGCGCCATACCGTCCGCCTTTGCCGGGGGTGTCGGGTTCTGGGGGAGGACCGTAGGACAGGCCCTCGCCGGGGGAGGACTCGGAGTCAATGAGCCAGTGCAACTGGTTCTGTGTGCCAATGTAGTTCGCCCAAGGCTTGCTCGGTGCCGGCCTCGGGTTCACGTGCAGCTCGTCAAACTGGCGGATGAAGCGCGCATTGGACTCTGCCGGCGTCCAGTTCGTGTACGACGCGCGCTCATCGAAGCTCTTCAAGCTGATCGCCGAGTTCTTCTGCGTTAGGTTGATAGAGCGCTTGAGACCATAGTTGCCGCGCTGGGCGTAGCTCTGGGGCGCGACGTATGTCTGGCGGACGTAAGGGTCGAAGGAGGCGAAGCGCGACCGCCGCAGAAGCTCGGAGAACGGCGAGGACGCTGAGGCGACCGCCTTCACGGACGATGGCGAGACAGCATTGGCCATCGTTCGCGACGTCGGCAAGCTTGTTTTTGGAGGGCGTGCTCAATCCCGAGCGGAGGTCGTCGTCCCGTGGCGATCGGCTGAGTCAGCCGGTCTGTCGGTCCGCAACGACGCCACCCGAGCTGCCGGGATTTGCCGGGGCGCGTACCCATGAATTTTTCGCGACGCGTCGCCTCTTCTTTACCATAATCCTCGGCGTCAAATTGCTGTCTTTCCTCCGCGTCTCGTACGCACTCCAAGGAAGATCAGTCCAGACAAACGTCGTAGAGCGACTGGATTCTGTAAAACAATCTTTGCTGATGGTCCTCCCTCTGGTTGAGGACTGAGGACGCAGGATCACCTAAGACATCCGACATCCCTCCTCTCTCCACCTCTCCTCCTCAACCTTGCTTGCTTCCTTACATCTTGTTTTGCCGCAATCCCACGTCCATCCCACCCTCGCGTCGTTGTCGGTCCAGTACTGCGTGCTATCTGTATGGCGCGCGCTCCACCTCCAGGTAAGTTTAGTGACCATTCATCCTTCCCTCTCCCTTGACATCGTGGCCGACGAAGAAAACCCTGGTAAATTCACACACCCCGTCCTTCGGGATCCCTCTATCGAAGGGCACTTGCTCTCATCGCGTATGCGTTGGTCGAGCTCGATGGCGGGTGGGGATGTAGAGATAAAGGCGAGGCTGAGGCTGCCATGATTAACGATCGCTTCTCGTGCCTGCGTGCTTTATGGCTTCGTACTGACAGTATTCATTGCAGCTATACTGCCTCTCCACACGCCTTATGTCCGCAAAAGGCGCGGTCAGAACACTATCTATCCCTCCGAAGCCGTAAATTACCCGCGTTGTAATGACTGTAGTCCATTGATCTTCGCCCTATGCAAACTGTCAGACGCGTTGGTACCCTGTATCGAGGACACCGTTTACCGGTGGTATTCGTGTGAAAGGTAGACTGCACCCGCAAAAGCTGGGACTGGGCGGTTTCTGGTCTACCTGATGCTCTTTTACCGCTCTCGCTTGAGCAGATACGGAGACGGGCAGCGCTGGGCTTCTTCTACTTGAAGCATCTGTTTGACATCGCCTCAAAATCGCATCCGTGATGTAAGTCGCGTGGGAAATTCCGTTGAGCGCAGCAGCGCGAATCGGTGATGGCTTCCTGCGCTTCTTGTCATTTCGCCTCACGCGTTCTCTGAGGAAAAAGGCCAGAGAAAGGCCACAGGTGCCCCTTCCCCCCGCCCAAGCCTGCCTTATAAGCCCCCGCGCCACCTCTTCCGCAGGCCGCCCGATTTGCAGGTGTGCGCCGACCCCAGCGCGCGCGACACCCGAGTTGCAACACCCGTTCCCGCTGTTACGCCCGCTCGCGAACGTCCACCCGGCGCCCGCGGACAAGCAGACATACCAGCCCGACACGCAGTCGCAATGTACCACAGACCGCAGCCCATGGCGCGCGCGTCCTCCAGCAATCTGAGCATCGCGCCTCAGTCCGGCCCCTCCCCGATCCTGGTCACGCCGCCGACGCCTTCATACTCGGGGGGCGCAAAGGCGTATGCGGGGGACTCGAAGGAGCTGCCCGTGGCGACCTCCTCTCCGTCCTCGGACGGCCCGTCAATATTCGGCATGCCGCTGAAATACGTCTCGTGAGTTGTCACTATGTCGCGCCACGCCGCCCATCCTGAACACCTCCAGCCTGGTCACCCTAGCCGTGCAAAATGCCGCCTTGTCCATCGTCATGCACTACTCCCGTGTCTCTACCCCGGCGTCACAATCCTACTCCCCCGCGTCCGCCGTGCTGTTGAACGAACTGCTCAAGGGCTCTATATCCTTCGTCATCGCCCTCGTCCGCGTTCAGCGCCAGCGCAGCGAGCGCGACGGCACGCCCTACTCGCGCAGGAGTCCGTGGGACACCGCCTGGGGCGCGTCGCTCGCGCAGGTCTGCGGTGAGATCTTCAGCCCCGACTGCTGGAAGCTCTCCATACCCGCCATCCTCTATGTCATACAGAACTCCCTCCAGTTCGTCGCCATCAGCAACCTGCCCGTCGCCACCTTCCAGGTCACCTACCAGATGAAGATCCTCACCACCGCCGCGTTCTCCGTCGTGCTCCTGCGCAAGCGGCTCGGCACGACGAAGTGGTTATCTCTGTTCTTCCTCGCCATTGGTGTCGCCATCGTGCAGATACAGTCGCAGACAACCGCAGGCGCCGGGCACGTCCCTTCGCACGCGCCGCCGCCCAAGGTGGGCAGCGCGCACGACCAGGCACCGCTACACATCCATGTCATGTCGCCACTGAAGGGCTTCGGCGCGGTAACCGCCGCATGCTTCACCTCCGGCCTCGCGGGCGTCTACTTCGAGATGGTTCTGAAGAATTCCAAAGCAGACCTCTGGGTGCGGAACGTGCAGCTCTCGCTGTTCTCGCTCGTGCCGGCACTGCTGCCCGTGCTCTTCCACCCCACGCCGGCGAGCTCGCGAGGCTTCCTGAGCGGCGTGTTTGCGCACTTCGGCGGATGGGCGTGGGCGACGGTGCTCGTGCAGGTGTTCGGCGGGCTCGTCACGGCGATCGTGATCAAGTACTCGGACAACATCCTCAAGGGCTTCGCGACCAGCTTGTCCATCGTGCTCTCGTTCCTCGCCTCCGTAGCGTTGTTCAACTTTAGGATAACGCCCTCGTTCTGCATCGGTGCGACGACAGTATTGGCGGCGACCGCGATGTATAACCAGCCGGAGGGTGCGCGGGCGCCCGTCGCCATCGTGCTCACCGGTACGAGCAGCCCAAGAGGTGACAGGAAAAACAACTTTCCGGGATCTCCTATTGGCTCAGACGCACCCATCATAGGCGAGCCCCCGCGGCGTCCATCACCGTTCAGCAGTCCAAAGGCAATGGCGAGCGCACTCGGGTTGACGGGGCTAAGCAACCTGGGACGCGCACCGTCATCGGATACGCTCAGTGCTGGTGGTATCTCGCGGCATGGCGCGTTTGGTGGAACGTTGGACACGCCGAAGTACACTGCTTCGCCGTACGGGTCGCCATGGCCGTCTCGCACGCCCACTCCGGTTCCGTCACCGCCGTACAGCAGCAGGGAGTCCGAGGAGGATGTACGGCCGTATCGGTCCTGACGAGGATCCATCCAGACGTCGCAGTAGGGGTCGAGAGTGGTAAAGAGGAATCTTAGAACGAACGCACCATTGCTGCCTGCACACATGCTATAGAAACGCACAGATGGACACCTTGGGTGATGGATACCGATATCCTTATGATTTATGTGGTACGCGCGGCGGGCGCCAAACCTGCCTACTTGCCTTGCTGCCCGCTTGCTAGTCTGCGCCTACTAGTCCGCTACCCCCTCTTCAATCCGACCACTTCTCCGTCGCTCGTTTGTACTTGATCTAGAATGTATTGATCGTTGTGGGGGCTTGGCTGTCTTCCGTCCCTCGACTCTGTGCTGCTTTCATGGGCCTTCTGTCTTGCGTGCACATATACCTTTTTTGCCCTTGGCAGACCATTTTTCGGCTACTTACAGTACGCACCTACCTACCTACCCTCCACGACCGGCTGTTTGTAGCTTTGCCCTCTTGCTTATGTCGAGTAGATTTATACGTTAGGCGCTTGTTGATGTAATTCGACGATTTTTCGTTTACGAAAGCCTGGAAAGTCGCCGTGTGCCACAAAGTACGATTGCGCGTGCGCGCTGGCACCAAGCAGAACCTGGTTTGGAAACACTCATTCTGCCCTCAACTACCTCATCAGCGCGAAGAGGAACATGTTCTACCTTACTTCGAGCCCACTTGCCTGGTATGAGTGGATGGGGGCTACCCAGGATTGCCACAAAACTCTGCAGATCCCATTGAATCGCTGGAGTTCCGTGGTAATCCGCGGAATTCCAACTTCCGATCACTTTTGACGATTGCAGAGGATTACCACGGAACTCATTGCAAACGCTGTTCTCAACTGCAAACTCAGAGACATGCGTGGTGCGCAGGCGCGTACCCCTGCACTTGGATATAAGGAATCATGCTCAGCCCCTCTGGAGGGTTGGTAGAAATCTCAGTTTGTGAATCGTATCTGGGATGTGCCTCGCCTCCCTAGTGCAGCGCACATTCATTTCTACTGAGGGTTCCAGTGAATATCTACCCATCATCGGAACCAAGGCTTGGTACGAGCAGGTTAGGGGGCGACAGGAGGAGGTCCCGCACCACGTGTAATAACCAAGTCCGCCTCCCGTGCGGGGAAATTTGCAAAGATGCAGGCGTTGACTGTCGGCCTTTAGTCAGCTCTCTTCACACTCGTCACTCGCACCTGAGGTTCTTCGTGTACTTTCGGGCTCTCCTTGCAGCGGAAGAGGGTCTTTCTGACTGTGTGGAAGCGTAAGGACACCCCAATCAACCCGGGTGGCAGAGCACGCGATCGGCAGGGGTTGTCTCCTACTCCCATCTCCCCATCGCTACTGCCGCACACCCGCTTACACTAATACCAAGCGTGGAATAGGCTCCGCAGGATTTGCATAGCGTCTTGCGCGTCCAGCGAAGAGCGTGGTCATACGCCCAGGGGGATTTCTTGGTTGTGAGCCCCTTGTCCTCGTTCTCCATACCAGACCACCGACTGATTCACTTTTGGTAGTTGCGACAGCTACCCACCCGATCGCGCTCCCCAGCCGCCTTTACACATCCCACCACCATGTCGTCCCGCGAGATGCATCCACCCCCCTCCCCCCTCGATCCCGCGCTCTCCATGTACGCTGCACACCCGACCACATTCCACTCGTCCGCGTCGTCTGCCCCCCTTCCCCAACGACTGCCCAGGAACTATCACCCCAATGGTGGCAGCGAAGCAACCTCGCCAGTCGACGGCAACTACGGCAACGGCTACGCGAACGGGTCCGGGTCCTCCAACATGAACGGCAAGCGCCCCGCGTCGGGCTCGTCCATGATGGACAGCAGGAAGAAGGCCCGCCAAGATGCAGATGCAGAGTCCGTCAAGTGCGCGTGCTAATCCCTCCAATGACTGCGCAAGACTGACCGAAGACACCAGCTCTGTATCCTCCTCCTCGGCGCGCTCGCCCACTGCCGATCCAGGGGCGTCCGACGCTCCCAAAACGAAGGCGACGCGCGGGAGCCGCGCCTGTACCGTGTGCCGACGCCTTAAGATGAAGTGCGTCGGCGCCGAGCAAGGCCCACCGTGCAAGCGCTGTCAGACCGGTGGCCACGAGTGCATCTTCGAGGAGAGCAACCGGGGGAAGCGATCCTCTAAGTACGTCGGAGAGGTGCAACGGGATTCAGATCTCCTCGCTCATGGCCCACACTCCAGGAAGCATGAGATTCTTACACGGTCGCTGCGCAAGATGGAGCGCACACTGGACACGGTGTTGAGGAGTATCGGCAACCCATCCCTCGCGTCGGGCATGATTTCTCGTTCGCCGTCGCCGACACAGACAGCGACCACGCAGGCTCTCATCGGTGACCATAATGACCCCCATAACTCCGACCAAGAACACCACCATATGAACCACCACAATACGGATGGGCAGTACCACCAGCTTCACCACAATGGGCACCATATGCACACTCCGTCCGATCACTACGCGACACCCTCTTCCCCGAAACTACATTCCCTACCCGACAATTCCCTCAACCCTCTTGGTTTATTGGCGGAAGCAAGTCTTGCCAATCGACGAGCTCAGCAGAATGTTCCGCCTATGGGCTCCGCTGGACAAGTAGGCGTGGCGAGCGCAAACTACTTCAAGCCCGGCCCGATATCCATACTACCCCTTCGACGACTATATATCGAGCGGCAAGTGCAACCCGAGATGCTAAGCTTTGTGCGAACAGAGGAGGTCGTAGCGTTATTCAAGATGTACGTTTGATCCTGTGCATGCAAGATGGTACTAACGCCATGCTGCAGCTTCTTCGAGCGAATGAATGTACGAGGCACAGCATTCAAATATCGGGCTTTGTTGACACCGATGGCAGATGTGCGCACACGTCCTAGATCCGGAATTCCACACACCGTCATTAGTGTGCTCGCGGTCGCCCTTCCTCCTCACGACGAGTAGGTCATCCTTTTGACCATTTCTCTTCAAAACTAAAGGCAAAAAATCATTTAGTTTGCGCCGTCGCCTCCAAATACTACGACGCCAATCCGGAATTGCATCCCAGGCTATCTGAGCTCTCGCAGAAGCTTGCGTTTAGCGTTCCCGCGAAGGTGCGTTCATGATTCCCGACGTCAACGCACCGTCGTTGCAGCCATTTTCATACTTCTTGTACCTTCATCTTCCCCGCAATCCGATCCTTCATATCGTCGAATCCTCCTTTCCCCACATTTACATTGACGCCTGCACTCCATTGCAGTCATACTGTCTGTCTCTTCCGTACTAATCCTCGTATATACAGGGCTACAAGTCTGTCGAGATCGTCCAGGCGTATTTGCTCCTGTCCCTGTGGGGCAGCGGCGCGGTCGAGCGGTACGAGCAGGATAAGACGTGGCTACTGTTGGGGATGGCGATCCGGTGAGTATGATTACTTAATATATACAGTGGATGTTGCGTCAGCCCAGGGTGCTGGTATGCTAGCCTTGGCTGTAAAGAACCGCTGTATTGGTGCTGGAGGCACCCAGGCGCGTGTTAGGTGGCGGGGTGCGCCTTTTGACAGCGTTCGAGCCTTGATTAACGCCCTTCGTTTGCTTGCTTACCGGTTAAGCCTTTACTGAACCCTCCATCAGCATGGCCACGGACCTTAATCTGCATCGCAAGACGGCGGTCAACAGCGAGGAGACGCAGGAGGGTCGCGCGCGTGACTACGAGGTGCACAATCGCGAGCGGACGTGGATCATGTGTTTCGTGCTCGACCGCAGCTTCAGCGCGCAGCTCGGGAAGCCGTACTCGATTAAGGAGGAGTGCGTATCTGCTCATCTCAACTTGCATGAGGATGTCATTGTTGACTGGCCCCTGTTCGCTGTAGTAATATCGTGCGGAACGTGACGTCGTGGTGTAGGTCGCCGATAGCAAATGTGGGCGATGGCGCGTTGGCGGGGTATGCGGTGAGTTTGCGAAGCAAATCCTATGGGTAATGGTAGAGGCTAACGTACTTTCAATACAGGAGCTACAACGCTTGATGTCGCGGAGTCTGGACTTCCTGTACTCAGCGACGGACAGTCGGTCGGGGCTGCATATGGACATCGACTACATGCTCGTCATTAGGTCCTTCGAGTCGCAGCTGACGGCTTGGAAGGAGCAGTGGATTGCCATACCGCCTGGTTGGTATATTGGCTGCGCCCTTTAAGGTGTTCAATAGCTGAGATAACCTTCCAGGTCCGCCCTCGCGCTGGATGTTGTACACCAAGTCGATTGCTCAATTCTACTTCAACTACTCGCTCCTCGTACTCAATGGCTTCGGCCTGCAGAACGCGCTGGAGCGGAATCCCGTAGACATGGGCCACTTCTTTGGACGGTGCCACTCCGCAGCGACGACGTGTGCGCTCATTGTGCGAGACGAGCTCGCGGCGAACGACTTTCTTCGCCATTCGCCCGACTCGCATTGCGTGCTCATCTCTTACGCGGTTCTCACGTTGTTGAAGGTGAGGGGATCGTCGGTGGTGCACGAAGCGCGCAGGACTAACAACATAGCAGCTCCTCCGCCCCGAATTTCAGCCCTTCATAGAAACGGAGCAGCGCACACTGCAGCTGGTCAAGGACGTCGCGGACGTGTTGAATGCCGCAGCGGCGCACCCGCTGCACACGCCAGCCCTGTACGCAGGCTTCCTGCATGCGCTCATCGCTGCCAAGCTCGAGCCGCACCAGCCGTCGGGCGCCGACGCAACCTCACCCAACGACCACAACATGAACGGCGGCGGCCCGACGCTCTCGCACAATGGCCATAATCAGCATAATGGCATGAACCACGGGGAGCCGTTCATGATGAACGAGTTCGCGTTCGACAGCGAGATGGGGCCGGGCGCGGCGGATATCTCGACGTTCCCGCCGACGATGGGGCCTGCGCCCACAGAGGAGGGCACGGATCCGGGGTTGAACATGGATAGCATCCTGAATGGGTTCTGGGAGAGCGTGCTGGTGCCGGGTGCGTGATTCTTCCATGCACAAAGTGTGCGATTTACTGACATCGAGCGCAGGCTACAACTCGTCGGACGTGATGAGCGGCGGGTTCGTGTTTGGACCTGGTGGGAGTGGGCTGATTACGCCCCGCCTGGGCTTGACGCCGGCGCATTCGGGGCATAATACGCCCTCGCGTGGGGCGGGGATGCAGGGACCGCCGGTGCACCACGACTTGTCGAGCAAGATTCATGCAGCGTTTGATGGGTCCAGCCAGCAGAGTGGGTAGGCGGTGACGATTCACCCGTGACGAGATCAGTTTAGAGGATGGTGGTGGGAGGAGAGGAGGAAGAGAATCTAGGCTGCGTGTAATTGCTATCAATGTGCTTGCTTTATCGCTCTCATCATTGTCGAGCTTCTTGTATATTATGGGTACTGGCTGCGAGCGGCAAGCCCAATTTTTGCTTCCAGTGACATGCCGGACGTGTGGCGCAAACTTCGACTGCTAATTCGACTGGCACGTCCGCAATCCTGTCGCCATTCTCGAGGAAAACTTGTTTGTCGTAGCTGGTCTGTAGAGGCGTGTGGCCATAAATTGCCTATTCGAGCACAATGCATGTAAGGTCTCGATGCCACACAGTTCCCCGTTGCGAAGTGTGGCGTCGAGCCACTTGTTCGCTTATTTTCGAAGGAGTTTAGGAGTGCATAGGCCGATAGGTCTATTGCGATGACTGTGACGTCGCGCTTGCTGTTTGAGCCAATGCCAGCGCGTTGCTGAACCATCGACCACGACATGCAGAGCGCCAGCCAATTACTCTTCGCCCAAAAATTCGTCTTCGAACACAGTAGGCGATAGGATATCTTTCCGCGAGAGAAGAGAAAGACCTAGGCCGAGTGTAATACTAATAGCTGTGTTTATCGCCTTCATCATCGCCCAAGTTCTTGTGAATTATGTAGTCGGCCGACCCGCTTTTCATCCGCCGTTCATGTTGAGCGTGTGCGGGTGGGTCGTGATATGTTCTGGATATGGCGGAAGTTGGTCTGTTTGCGTACTCGGGGACGTACGTACGTAAACCCGCCGTAGGTCCTTGAAGGGCGGGAGGCACGGGACGCTGACGAGCGGGATGTTGAACTCGCTGTGATGGCATCAGCCTGGTGGCCGCAAACCTGTCCGTCCCACTCAGCACGCCGTCGTTTTGTCGTCGCCTTTCCTCGCAACGCTCGCGACTACGAGACATGGCGGCGACGGGGGCGGGACGTACGTCTTACCCCGCACTCATCTCCGCCCCAGCGTCGGCCGATGCGCGCGCCCTCGAGCCGCACTACGGACAATGGAATACGGCGCCTGACATGCTGGTGCGCCTCCGCGCCGTCGCATGGCTGACCCCGAATGCAGTAGCCTTTGCGGGGACTCGTACTCTTTGCGCTACCCCGTAAGGGAGGCTTCTATTCACCTGTGACCGACCTTCGTGTTCGGCGGGACGGACCTGCCTCGAGGACAACACGCGTTGATCTTATCCAACCCGGGCCTTGCAGGCCCTTGCCTCCTGATAAAACCTGAGGCGGATCCGAGGCAGATCGCCTCCACCTACACGTACCCATGGGCCCTCTCCACTGAGCCTTGTCGCCCCGCAGCCGACACCACCCACAGCCTCCGCACTTTGTCTCCATCTCCGACGAATCCACTCCTCCCTCAAAGCGCGCGCTAAGCTCCCCGTCTTTGTCCCTTTACCCCTTCATTACGCGCTGTGATGACAGAGTACGATCCGTCTCCGGAGGCCATTGAGGAGTACTACAACTCCCGCTCGCGCACTGCGGCGTGGATACATCGACTTGAGGTAGAGTCGCTCCGCGCCCCCTCTGAATGCCCCACGCGCGTCGACGACGCACTCCTCCCCTCGCGCCCGCCCTCCGAGGCGGGTAGCTCCCGATCCGTCCCGCCCAAGATGCTCTTACGCTTCAACGACGGCAGGCCGGACGTACCAATACCCGTGTCCGGACACTCCTCCATGAAGAGGACCTCTCATCGACACCATGACCGCACAGAATCCATGTCACGTCCGCGAACACTACCCCATCCTCCCAGTCACCATTCCCGACCTTCGCTCCCCGAGGCTTTCGATGCCGCATGGGAAGGCTCGCAGCCACATTCTCGCCATCGCAAGCGCAGCGACAAGTCGGCGAAGGACAAGACGGACGGCTCGCGCACCCCCCGCGATGAGCACAGCGTGCACACCGCGCCGAAGCACTCACGCTCGAAGTCCCTCCCTCAGGACAAGGAGCTCCGAGCTGCGAATCGCAGTAGCGGACACGCAGGAAGCAGCTCCTCACGACCTCACCACCCTCCCCCCACGCCTCCAATGCCCATCCCTTCGTCCAGGCCTTCGTCACATGGCCATCGCTCTGTGGTGCCTAACATGCAGCTAGCGATGGTCCCGGCCTCGCCCTGGCACCAGCCATCTGTCCGCGCTCCGTCATCGTCCCGCCATCAGCAGCAGCGCACTTCGCATTCTCCGCCAGCTATCGTCTACGCGCCCAGTCACCATTCGCAGGCCAACTACTCGCCGCCCGCGATGTATCCCCATCCTCCCGCGCGCAGCCCTCGGCACACCATGGTCAGCCGCTCGAGCCCGGAGCGAGGCATGCCGGCATCCTATCCCCCCACATCCTCGCCGCCGTTGTCGGACCAAAGCAGGCGGCCCAAACGGCCAAGGAAGCGAGAGGGCGACCCTCCGAAGCGGACGCGACAACAGCGATCGCATTCGGTACCGCTCAATGGCGAGAAACCGCGGCGCGCGCCTCGCTCGCCCTCGCGTTCGTCGCGGACGCCTAGCGAGCATTCCGGCAGCACCTACTACGTGATCCCTAATGCGGGTCAGAAGGTGCATGTCATTGTAAGTGAAGTGCTTGACCTGCGGACGGTTTGCTGAGGTGGCACGTACAGAACCCGGACGCATCTACGACAATATACACTGCTACGAGCACCACACAACGTTCTCCCACATCGCCACGCTCGCTGAAGAGCCTGAAGATGTCGTTCTTCCAACGCTTAATCAACATGTCGCCCAGATTTCAATCGCGCTCTGGCGAATCCAAAGCCTCCGCTAAAAGCTCTACTAGCACCGCCCGCAAACTCACGAACAAGCTGCTGCGCAGACATTCGTTGAGTGGTGGCTCTCAGGCTAGTTCCTGAGGCACCATAGGCAGGGCAGTGGCTTGGTGCGTGCTGCGCTTGAATGGTACGGGGCCTTCCGCTAGACGGTTCGCCCCTTTCCCATTTTTCGTTCTTTCCCTCCTGTATAGACTCTATCCCAAAAGCACGTCGGGCGTCAGACAACCCTGCTAATTGTGTACTTACTGATCAACGTGTACCATCTTGTATCTCGCTTGCTCTCTCTCGTCTTGCGCAGCCCTGTAAATTATATACCCAGTCAGCTGTCCTCATCCGCTCTCCCTCGCTCATTCATTGACATGTGTATACGTCTTCTCATGCAGGCATCATGACCACTCTGTACAGTTTCTTCGCGTACTGCAGCATCCACCCCCACGACTTACGCCTAATGATCAACTCTGATAAACGCCTTCCACCCCTCCGCGCTGGCTGCGAACCGTCCCCGAAAACCACGACATACAGTCGTTCACCTAGGTAAACGCCGAGGACCTGCCAGCAGCGCAGGCTTCCCTCCCGTGACGTGTTCTCGTCATCCAGATGTCAGTGTCGCGCGCACGACCGTGCGTAATGCTCGCGCCCGGCGTATCAACAACACGAGGCTCCGGCGTGGCCGAAGCACTAGAGCACCAGGGACGACGGCGTCTCAAGAGCTCATGTTCGCCTTCGCTCATGCGCAGTTAGAGTCGGGCGCGCGCGATCGTCATCAGATAGCAGATAGCCGTGCGAGCGCAGACAATGGGCGAACCCGAGCCGCACCTGCGTCGTGCGCAGCCGCGATCTTGGGGGACAATGGCAGGCGCCTAATTCGTCCTGCGGAGGGGTAGCCGGAGAGATGGGGGCCAAGGAGGGACACGCGAGGATCCGGCGCCGCTCGAATCGGCCGCAGACGGTGCTGGAAGAGGTACATTGTGCATTGCAGAGCTAGTCCCATTGTTGTAGACGTGCAGTCATTAGTCCGTGGTATGCAAGGTCATTAGAGTAATAAGTTACCGCCGCCCGCGATCCTGCCCTCGATCCCAAGAGCTGAGGTCACCCGGCCTCTCCGTCACCTCACAAGAGGCGGTCCGCGCCTACAGAGTCCTGCGGGACACGGTCAGCCGCGGGGGCAGGGGTGACGAAAGACACGGACTTACCAAAGCAGCGCGCCGAGATTGCAGCGCGCGTACCCCGTGGACAGTGCTATCGCGCAACGGAGCACCTTCAGCGTGGCTAGCCGCTGGTGAGTAGGCACCCGGTTGATTCAGCAGCCCATCTGCCGCCCCTTTCGCGGCGTGCTATGGCAGCCCAGTGAAGGGTATGTCGATCCCACCATACTCCTTCTCGCTTGTCAATCGTCGCGTGCAAGGCCCGGCAGATGCGCGCTGCTATTGACCCGCGAGAGCTGCCCAGATGCACGCGCTGCGCTAGCCACGCTTAACTGGGAGCCATTGCGGGCTGATAGCGAGGACGGCGCGAGACCATTTGGCTGGCCGTTATTTTCGGCGGCCTCTAGGTGAGGAGGCACTGGTGTAGGCGAACGCGATATGGACGGTCGCGAGTGCGCACTGGTCACGGCGGTGAACGCATCACTGGGCATGGAGAAGGAGCGGACGGGGGATATACGAGGAGCCATCCCGATGGGAGAGTTCGGGCCTGACGAGCCGTTGCGTGAGGGTATCGAGATTGGAAGCACGCGACGAAGCCACTTCTTGGGTAATGGCGAGGCAGGTGTTCGCGGCATACGACCTTCCTCCATAAGTCGGTATGAGTTCCGCTTGTTCAGATAGCGAATGAATGAGCGCAGCCTGAACCGCAAGGGGTATACGACGATGAAGAAGGTCATGATGAGGACGACGTAGAAGAGGAAGACTACAGGGGAGAAGCCGAGGGAGGAGCGCTGCAACGACGACGGCAGATGCGGTGTTATCCTGTCCTCTATGGCGTCGAGGTCAAAGAAGGGCGGTCGTATTGGTTGTATCGGCGAGTTGGCAGTGTCAGGGATATCGTCGACGGGGTCCTGCAATGGCCGGTCTGCCGCCGTCTTCAGTGGGACCTCCTTGCTGGCCTCCAATACCATCTTGCCGAGGGTCCAGCTGATAGCAATATCCCCAACGGTATCAACGGACTGGAACGTCGGTCGCCCGAGCCCCTTTATGGCCGCCTGTGCCTCGACCTTCTTCGCCTCTGTCGTCTTGTTTCCGTCCGGGTCGACGATTCGTGGCATCCCAAGGCCGTCGTGCAGCACGTTGACGATCCAAGCCGCCTTGAAGCACTGCATCTCCAGACGGGATATCTCCACGTTCTCTCCCCACTTCCCTACAGCGACAACCTCTCCATTCTCGATGACTTCGCCGTCACCACCGGGTCGATTTCGCTGGCGCGCGTGGTCGTCGACGATGTCCTGCCAGTTGCGCGAGCAGAATTCGCCCGCGGCGCGCTCATACTGCACGAAGTCGTACGCGCCGCCCAAACCGAAGACATGGTCAGAGGAATACCAGTATTCTGATACACCTATGAAGTGGGACACCGAGAAGTCTATAGGAGGGACGTGAACGCCGTCCATGAGACAGGGTGTGGCAGAGCAAGGCGCGTCCTTGTTCAGAAGCTTGTATGTCTGCTTCATGCACTGTTCGAAGGACCCTGTTCCGCGTAGTTTGTGGACCTTCTGTGAGTGCGGAGACGCGTCGCCGCTATGTATTGGCTTCTCGGTGAGGATTAGATCCTTTGGCAGACACGGGTCCGGAATGATGTCCTCGTCCGGAGGGGGGTCGGAGCCGTCTATGAGAGCGCGTTCATAGTCTCGGATGGTTTGCCCAACGTAGCGTTCGCGCGCCTGATTCGTCCCGTATCCTAGCCAAGTCGTTACGAAGACCTTATGTCGGATCTCCTCGCCAGTGAGCAGTCGAAGACGGACTTCGACGAGGCTGTTGTCATCCTCCGCTACGTGTGCTTCGCCAGGCTCGAAGGCTATCTGCGTAGACGCGCCACCCATGTCCAAGAAGCCGTACGTCGTGCGTATGTCGCTCGAGCCGATGAACCCGTCCATCAGGTAGTTCACCGCGATCCATCCGAACAGTCCTTCTTCCTCGCCCGTTATGATGCGTACGCTGCTTCCGCACGGTCCTGCCGCCGAGGGCCCATCAATCTTGAAGTTTGAGTGTAGCGCGAGGAAGCGACACGTCTCTTGCAAGACCTCCGCTTGTTGAGTCGGCGTGAGCAGGCGCATGCCAGCGGTGGCCAGCAAGAACAAGGGAGTTTCGTGGTGGAGGGATGGAGGTATATGGTTCCGAGCGTGATCCAGAAGAGGCCTGAGATAGGCAGGAATCCCTTCTACATTGTCCGCGAAAGATGAGAGCCCTGCAAGTGTGTACGATCAGTGCTTGTCAGAGTCCGACGCGTACAGTTGACGCACCAGGCTCCATCTTCGTTACCCAGTCCTCCCCGCTTTGGGAGCCTTTCTCGACCTTGGGTAGCATAGGGGGAACATTGTCGCCCGCCTCCAGTATGACGGCCTGGGGGTCCTTCCAGCTGTATATCAAGAGACGTGAGCCGGAAGAACCAGCGTCGATGACAATTCCGAAGTGTCTCCCTGCTAGCCATGCATCTCCAGCGGTAGGCGGTGGCATATCCTCGCTCTGTCGCTTGCTGGCGAACAAGAACAAGATACACGATTGACAATGAAGTCGTCGGGGAGAGCGTCTAAAATTAGGATCTGGCGGTGATCACGACTTCAACCATGCACGTGACAGGAGAAATTCGACTCTGAATCTGATTTCTATTCAATACTTCGCCAGCAGCTTGCGATTCTGTCTGAACAGTACATTGGGGAGTGTATGGAGGAAAATAATTACATACTTAAGTGGGTACCCGGCAGCTGGCTTTCCTCATAGCCACATAGTTCGACTCACAAGACGCCTCTCAATATGCTCTCCCACCACATCTCACAATTCAATGGCGGCATCATCGCTTATACGGCCTGTTCCATGTACCATGGGTCCTCAACGAAAGATGGAGCCGCTTCTGCTACCTCGCCAGCGCGTCTCGCAATGGGAACAGATTGTTCTTTGGGAATGTCGATGGCGCGCTTGCCGGTCGCCCGAATGTTTTGCACCGAATCACAGTCGATCTCGGTCTATACAAACTATCAATCACATACAAGCGTATTATCAGACATAATTCACCTCGAAGCCTGTGTTTTGTTGATTCGCTGGCTCTTCTGAGAAAGTAGAGCCAGTAATGTTCTCGATTGGGTGAGGCTGGGTTTGAAGCGTCAGCATCCAACATAAATTAGTGGCAAGCGTATTCACCTGTAAATTGTCCGTAGCAGTTCGGTCCGAGTCTGAAGTTGTCTGCGTCTCTCGCCTTGCTTCCATCTCATGGCCCTCTTGACGCTCTTCCGTAGAATTGAGCAAGCCTTCGAGGGTGACCTTGACCTCGAGAAACTCGTCCATGTCGAAGTTCTCTGGCTCCCAGGTCGGTGGTACGACCTGCGGGATCTCGAGAACTCGCGCGTGAATCAGAAGGAATAGGTCGTAAACAGGCGTGAAATGAGGGTGCTCGACAAGTCTTGAGCCTGAAGGATCGGACCGCCACAAATGTGCTGCCAGCTCGACCGCAATCTGTGCCGACCAGATAATACGCGATTTGTATTCGCTCCACTCATGGTCGCGCATGGGCCGCGGGTACCTGCCCAGCCACTCTCGGACTTCGTTGCTGAGGTCCAAACACATAGTGTCTCGCACGGCGCGGTCGCCTAGAGTATCGGTTCCGCCGCGACAGAGGTGCGCAACGATGGCATGCACCAAGGGAAAAGGGGCATTGTCAGTCTGCTCGTCATGGCTACTTCGCAAGATATCCCGAGCGACGAAAAACAGCTGCGAGCGCAGCTCTAGGATATATCAGCCAGTGATAAAAGGTGCGAGGCAAACTGGACTCGCCTGTGCTTAAGGGAGTCTTAGACAGGTCACTGAGCGCATTGTTCATGAAAGTGAAGATCATGGGTGTGATGCGAGTCTCGCGCCGACCACACCGACGAAGGGTGTTGAACATACGAATCGTATGTTCGAGGCGGGTCGCAGCTCGAGGAGATCCATGGCCCGTCACCAGAAGGATGTGCATAGCGAGTTCGGCCATGGTTTGCGAAGCAACGCGAGGGGAGTCCAACGCTCTTGCGATGCTGTGCATCAGGCCGTCCTCAGGGGAGGTCAGGTCCAAGTGGGACTTTGGACCCCGCCGGAAGCACTGGAGAACGTAAATCGCATCCCTTGCGTTGTCACGCATGTGCCACAGACAATTCCAGATCCAGTCGCGCAAGTGCGCGTGCTCGAAGTTGACTTCCATGAAGCCAAAGCACCGTGCTATAGAGGAAGGCTCGTTGTACCAAGTCGCGGCGGCGTCTCGTCGGCTCGTCCAGTCAAGATCTAACTGCGTCCAAGAAGGATAGATGCGGTACGGCGCCACACGTTCGTCGCAATCCATACGTCTCCTGGTTAAGGAGATCGCAGAGGCAAAGATGCGAGCGAAGAAGTTGAGTGTCCTCACGAGGGCTTTCAAGAAAAACCAGGATTGAGGTGACTTGAAAGGGAACTGGTTGACTGCGTGGAGTCGGCGCCTGCGGTGATACACAACATATTGTATCCCCGGCAGGACCGTCGTCACCACGAAGAAGACGCCAAGCGCCGAAACGAGCGCGGTGATCAGAGCTGCGACGGCCGGCTGGATGTGCCAGAGCAGGTCGACAACTCCGGCAAGGAACATGAAAAGCGCCGTCTGCAGGAGCAAGGGTATGGAAGAAATGATGGTGCTAACATACCATCTCTCAAGTCCTTCGAACTTGACTTGCCGAACAGCGAGATTGGTCCTGTGACCATGCCCGGTCTCTATGAGGTACTCCCTCAGCCATTGTTTGGAGACAATGCCGACGAGGGCAGACGCAAGGCTGAGGGTGAGGCTGCCGAACCAAAGGGCATTGATAACAATGGCGACCTTGTCCGGGAGTGCAGGGCGTCCCGTAGACGTAGGGACTTCCGATAGTTCGACTTTCATCAGAGTAGCGAGAATCCGGCGAAGATACTCTGTCGACACGTCTTCGGGCTCCTCGGGCAACCACTTGTATGATTCGGCGACGAAAGATGTCAGGACAGCAGAGAAGAGTCCGGCCTTGCAGACGAGTTGTGAATCACCACACAGCAGCTAGATTGCGTGACTCACAAAGACAAGAAGGCTGTCTATACCCTCGCCATTGGTGCGGGACCAGGTTATATCGTGCTTTGCAACGATGGATTCGCATTTCTCCCAGGCATCAGCATCACCAGGAGGTTTATTGTCAAACTCGTCGCTTTCGATTTGCCAGTAATCGTCATCTTCCTGCTTCTGCACAAGCCTTGAGTGCGCATTCACTACAGATCGTAGGATACGCACTGTGTTTGACCTCACGCGATCTCCAAAGGTTGGTCGACGAGTATCCTTAGGGCGCGACATGTTGGCCTACACAATGTTTATTCGAAGAATGTGGCTGGGCGCTAACAGTGTGCTCACCTCGGAAGGCGTGAAGCGTGCGGCAAACTCCCCTTGATCTAACTGTGGATAGATCAGAGACTCGCAAGGGCGTCATGTCGAACGATGCACGGACTGGATTATCGCCTCTAGGCGCAGAAGGACGGTCACGGTCTGCGGGCCATTTCTGAAGTTGCGCTAAGCGCGCGAATTGTGGCGGCAATGATACTTACGCCCACAGTTGATGAGCGCTTCGAATAGAACATCGGTAAGAGGTACACAGGAAGTGTGCGGAGGTTTATAGGCATGACAGTCGGTCTGGAAGGGCAGAGGAATGGGGCGACGTCGACGTCGATGGGGACAAGCTGTGCCAGGAAGGGCGTGCATGCGCTCTATGCATGTTTTCCGCTTCGACGCACGCGCAGGACGTTGGAACATCAAAAGTTGACATGAAAAAGGAAGGAAGGAACCTAAACGGCATCTGCCGGAGACATGCATCCGGGTCCAGGCCTTTTGAGCTGGTCTACCTATGCCACAAATCATTCCTAGTGAATCGTGCTTCAGATCGCTATACACAAGTCCGGAGGTGAAGGTAACTTCCAGGGGGAACATAAGCAAGATGTCAGTGACTCCGTTTGCGATTATAACCCTGCACGACATTACGTTCATGCATCATAGACGTGACCACCGTCCACAAAGGCTTCTGAACGGCAACACAGTACGGACGCGTCCACTCCTTCAGGACCTCCGGCTGCTCCCACTGATTCATCTTTCCATCGGAAACACCTTGATCAAGGCTGAATCGGAAGTATGAGCGATCCAGTTCGGGGTTTTGCTGCTGAAATGCCTGTGCTGTGGCGTCGCAGCAGTTCGCGAGATGCTGCATGGCAGCTAGACAGGACAGAGCCAATCTAGGCTGATGAAGGAAGCCTCGAGATGGGCTGGAATCGATGGTACTCGCTCGTCCTGCGCCAATGCTGAGTAGATAGGAGATTCGTCGTGACGGATAAAGCGATCGAGCTTCTTCCAAGAGATCAAAGACGGGATTACAGTGTGCGTCGCCAGCATCAAGAAGGGTAGAGACCGCGCCTGAGTCTGAAGTGATTGTGATGGGTTTGAAGAACAGCGTGTTACCCATAGTCGCTCTGGTGGCTTCAATAAACGTAGTCTGGAAGGGGGGCTCCGACGGGTGGACATATGTACGAAGCTTTCGCAGCTGGATAGTTCCAGACTGGTCATCCTCCCTGACGCAGACGAACCTGGAAGACGTCAGCGATTGAATTATCGAACTGTACCCGAGATTACTGACGTTTTACACAGCGAACCAGAGCTGGTGATGAGCTGACTATCATCTCCATCACCAAAACGGTTGGATATCTCCTTCAACACCTCCTCGAACGGCGTGACCCTGAACGTGCCATCGGCCTTCGTCCGAAAGAAAACCCGGTCCACTATTCTCGTGTAGCATTCGATCGCATGTTCAACTGACATACGGAAACGGCCAAGCAAGAGAGCAATCAAGCTGAGTGCGAGGCATCAGCCGGGCTCAGAGACAAGGTGAAGCAGCTTACCCTCCCGTGCCGCTACCGGCAATTATGTCGAAGTAATCGCACGGCTTGACTGCCTTGCGCGAAACATATTCAATGGATTGTGTGAGATTGCCCAGAAGGAGAAGAGTCGACAGTCCGCGTGCCCCTCCATCGTCTGAGTATGTACATTGTGAGTTGATGCAGACCTAGTGGACGACGCCAGCTAACCGAGGGATAACAAGCGCAAGCCAGGCTCCGGGGGAATGAGGCCTTTCAGCTCGTTGTAAAGGACCGCCTTTCTTTCCGACCGAGCTTGTTCATCATAGGAGGAGCTGGTCCCAGTAGGACGCTACCTATATAGTCAGACAGATCCACTGCATTGCGTGCACGACACATACCGTAGCCATGCGTAGATTAGGTTCTCAAGTTGCGGACACTGCGCAAGTCAAGGTGGTTCCCAGCAGTATTGGTCTTCCCTGACAGTATTACTACAGTCGGCCGGCAAGGGCTCGTATGCTCAGTGGTAGTGGCGGAGGACAAGTGCCGGGATCAATTCAGAATGCAAGTTCGCGTGGATCGATGTCATTATGCTCCCGCCGGCCCGAAGTCCCCGGGGTCTTTGTAACCAGAATAGGAATGTGCTCCGAAATCGAGATCGCGGATGGCGCAAGGCTTTCGGATTATGCAAGCGCAAGAGAACTTTGCACAGTAGATAACCTACGCGGTATAGTTCAACCAAGTCTCTATGCTTTGGCTTTTGCGACATACCGCGCCACGGAGTACTAGGGAGTACTGGTAGAGAATTGCCTCCGTTTGACTTGCCTTTTTCCTCCGTACAAATGCGTTACTTTTTCCATGAACATTGCAAGTATACAGATGATATGTGACAAGCCTATATGCACCACTCTTCCTAACCTCCCCCTCTCACAACCGGAACGACTGCCCCTTCGTAACCTGCCTCTTCGGCCTCCCCGACGCGGAAAACAACGGCTCCTCCGCGATAGATTGCCTCCGTTTTGGTGCCGCTGCCTTCCCCTTCGGGGTCGCTTGCACCCTGCTAGCAAACTTCCTAAACTCGAGGATGGAGACGACCCAGTCCTGCTCTTTACTCTTCTCGACGCCGAGCTTGTAGAGGCGAGCTTCCTCTTCGGGTGAGAGGAGCGCGGTTGAGCGGCGGTCGCCGGAGCGCCAGATGAGGAGTTGTTGTACGGCGGCGGGTAGGAGGATGTTCATGCAGTACTGATGCGAGGATGAGCGAGACGTTGAACGGACTGATGGTCAAATGTACCTCGAGCTTTTCCAGCGGCGAGAGCAGCTCGTATGCCTCTGAACCTCGCTGAGGCGGTGGTCGGGTATGTCGTTCTGAGGAATCCATTTCCGTATCTGCATTGGACAAGGCGCTTGCGGGTCTCTAAGCCTGAAGTCAGTCGGGTGTTGATCCATCGGAAGACATCACTCACCGTGTCGTCTCCGGGGTCGCTGGGTGCCGTAGAAGAAGGTGGCGGCTGCGTTGAGGAAGGCCTCGAAACGGCGTCCTCCTCGAGCTGCGACGGTGGCGGTGGTCCAGCTTCAGACTGTACTTCCGCCTTCGCAACCTCTTCCAAAGCAGCGTCAATCGCCTCGTCCTCTATCCGCGTCGCGTGCTTCGCGTCCCGGAGGCACCACTCCAGTATGTAGTCGCGTAAGCGGACAATCTCCTTCGGTGTCAACGTGCCGCGCGCGCTCGCCTTCTCCGTAAGCTTCTTCCTGCCAGTGTCGGAAGCAAAGAAGGTGAAATTTTGCTCTTTGGCGGGCGCGTACTCGTCTCGAAGGATAGCCTGCAAGACGGGCTTGGCGTACACCCATTGTTCACGCAGATCGAGGTCGCAGAAATCGTTGGCGGCTGGTGGAGGGTCCTGCGGCTCGGGACTACCTGACCGCTCCGCGTCGAGAGCTGACGTGCGTAATGTCTCGTCGTCGGGCTCCTCCTGACCGCTGTCAATATCCCCCATCTGCGAGAAGTACATCAGGATGTCGGTGCGAGAGGCGCGCTGGAACTTTGCTTACCTTGCAAGTGAGAAATTCGGGATCCGTCTGGTCATAGAACTGCTTCTTCGTCACCGTCCGCTGTGACCGGTCGCAGAACTCGATGCGGAACCGGACAGCTCGTTGATTGCCTTCAGGCATAAACATATCGAGCACTCTTGCCGGCCAGAAGTATCCCTTGTCCTGCGCCAGGATAGGCTCGTTACCGAGTCGGTACTCGTAATTCTCAGTAGTCTCCTTTGGCTTCAGCTGCGACGGGCCCGGAGCGTCTAGCTCGTCCTCGGAGATGCTGCCGATGTGTATCGAGCGCTGGTAGAGCTCGTGCGACACGAGAGACGGCGGGGGGAAGCCGTCACACTCGTTCTCGAGGTAGTGCTTGAGGGCGGTGGCAGCGGCGTCGTACCATGCATTCTGTACGTCATCGTGATTGAGGTTCGTTTTACGCCGCTTGCGCGGTGAGATGGGGAGGGCTGGTGCAGAGCTGATAATCCAGGGGAAGCCCGTGAAGGGGATGGTCTGGAGGTCGCTGAGGAAGGACATGATGTTTTCGGGGGAGGGGGAGCGGATCGTGATTTGGTGTTCGCGGTGGTGATCACCGTAAAGGTGGGCCGTGAGAGGGGCGCGGTAGACGATCTGCGGGCGGGTAAGCGTCGGGTGCAGGAAGTGGGAAGTGATGCACAGACCTTGGCAGGCCACCAGATACTGCGGTCGTGGGTGAGCGGCTCCCCATCGACTGGGTGGCCGTCCATGTCGATGAGGACCCATGCATCTTGCCTGATCGCGTCGAGACTCCAAGGAGCTTTCGAGCGCATCATCTTCCCAGGCGTGAAGGTCGAGTGCGGGGAGGACGAGAGAGAGGTCATGTCCGCGTCTGAACCTACGTCCGTGAGGGAGGACGCGTCGGGGGACCGCCCACGCTTCGCGCCTGATCTTGGCGCGCGTGCTGGACGGCGTGCGGAGGCAGACTTGGGAGGTAGAGCGGGGCGCGACGCGACGAGAGAAGAGCTGCTCGCGCTCACATCTGCGAGGGACTTGCGGCGTGCGTGTCCCTTCCCCTTCGTCTGGCTCTTCGGTGGGGGCTTCCGCGGGAGCTCATCCTCTTCGGTGTCCGAGTCTGAGTCCGCCTGAGCGGCGATGTTGACCTGGGCGCGCTGTGCTGCGGCGCGCCGGGAAGACATGGTGGGGGTAGGTGTCCAGGGGTGCACTGACCGTTGACACCGAACGTGAACACGAGTAAGAAGATCCCACGCGATTTGGTTCGAGCGCAAGACGCGACGGACCGCGCTATACTGATCCGGGGATCATGTCCTCGGCAGTCCCCGCAGTTCCGGATACCCGGGCCGGTGTCTAAAATGTCCAGTGGCGCATTGGATAAGTGAACGGGCGCTTGTTTCTTGCCAGATCCTCGCCCACCATGGTGCAGAAGACGGTGGTAGATGGTGCTTATACCCTCAGCAGATAACCCCCCTCACTTTTGACTGACTTGGTATGGCTAGGTCCCTCCCAGGCCGAGCAGCTGCTCCGCGTTACTTCTGGCATTGCAGCGGAACTCATCAAGGCGCACGATGCCAACGAGACTGTCTCGCTGAATGAGATTCGGCTGAAGATCAGCAAGAGATATGGATATGGCGGAGTCCCCCGTCTAGTCGACATCATCAGCGCGATCCCAGACGACTACAAGAAGGCCCTGCTGCCGAAACTCAAGGCGCGGCCGATCAGGACTGCGAGTGGGGTGCGTTCACAGTCAAGGTGCAGGGGAGTAGACGATGTTGACGCCCAGTAGATTGCTGTGGTGGCAGTTATGTGCAAGCCCCATCGGTGTCCTCATATTGCGATGACAGGAAATATCTGCGTGTGCGTTCTACCATACCTTGTCGAGAGATCGCGATTGACGGAAAAATAGGTACTGCCCGGGAGGACCGGACTCGGACTTCGACTACAGCACACAGAGCTATACTGGCTATGAGCCGACAAGTATGCGAGCCATCCGCGCGCGGTACGACCCGTACGAGCAGACGCGAGGGCGAGTGGAGCAGCTGAAGGCTTTGGGGCATAGTGTGGACAAGGTGCGAGGTCCGACTCACGGGCAGAAAGTTTTGCTGACCATATACAGGTCGAGTTCATCATCATGGGTGGTACCTTTATGAGCATGCCGGAGGACTACCGGAGCAAGTTCGTTGCACAATTGCACAATGCGCTCTCTGGGTTTACCGGCACCGATGTCGATGAAGCTGTCCGGTGCGTCGACTGAGATACCATCTCTGTACGCTCATCTCAACGGTGTGTTCTACAGATACTCTGAACAGAGCAAGTCAAAAGCAATCGGTATCACCATCGAGACTCGACCAGACTATTGCTTGAGGCCTCACCTTAGGTGCGCAAGCCTTCCTCCGCAGGTCCTTCATCTCTAAGACGTTCACCAGCCAAATGCTCCGCTATGGTTGCACACGCCTCGAGATCGGCGTCCAGTCCGTCTATGAGGACGTTGCCCGCGACACCAACCGCGGCCACACCGTCCGCGCAGTCTCCGAATCCTTCCACCTTGCCAAAGACGCCGGTTTCAAGGTCGTCGCGCACATGATGCCTGACCTCCCCAACGTCGGCGTAGAGCGTGACCTCGAGCAGTTCAAGGAGTACTTCGAGAACCCCGCGTTCCGAAGCGACGGCCTGAAGATCTATCCCACCCTCGTCATCCGCGGCACGGGGCTGTACGAGCTCTGGCGGACGGGGCGGTACAAGAACTACACGCCGAACGTGCTAGTGGATGTGGTGGCAAGGATTCTGGCGCTGGTGCCGCCTTGGACGAGGGTCTATCGCGTGCAGAGGGACATTCCCCTGCCTTTGGTCACCAGCGGCTGCGACAACTCGGGCAACCTTCGCGAGTTGGCGCTCAACCGGATGAAGGACTTTGGCGCGGAGTGCCGGGACGTGCGCTTCCGCGAGGTCGGGATCCACGAGATCCACCACAAAGTGCGGCCAGAGTCCGTCGAGCTCATCCGGCGGGACTACACGGCAAATGGCGGGTGGGAGACGTTTTTGTCGTATGAGGATCCGGAGAAGGACATCCTTGTCGGTCTTCTGCGCTTGCGCAAGTGCTCGGAGGAGGGCACGTTCAGGCCAGAACTCATGCCGACCGAGGAGGGTGGCTGCAGCATCGTGCGCGAGCTGCATGTATACGGGACTGCGGTGCCCGTGCACGGGCGCGACCCGACGAAGTTCCAGCATCAGGGCTTTGGGACGCTGCTCATGGAGGAGGCGGAGCGGATAGCGCGCGAGGAGCACGGTAGCATCAAGCTTGCGGTCATCTCTGGTGTCGGCACCCGCGACTACTACAGGAAGCTCGGCTACGAGCTCGACGGGCCGTACATGAGCAAGATGCTGTTGTGATTGTGTAGTTGGGGTATCCTGTATGTATCGTAGTTGTTGTGGCAGTAGTGTACGATAGTAGCAGCTCACTATGTAGACGTGGACTATCCGTCCCCCATGACGAGGGTATGGAAATTCGGGAATACGAGCTCCTCCTCGACCGTCTTGCGGATCATATCCTGAATGAACTTCTCCACGCGCGTCACGTTCCGCAGGACGTGCTTGTCCGCCTGGCCAATCTCGCTCTCGATGACGATGGAGGGAAGAAGACGCTGGCCGACGGGCTTGGGCTTCGCGCGCGAGTAGGCACCGGACTGAATGCCTGCGGTCGACGCGCTCGCAGCAGCGAGGACGGAGGGCGTGATGGGCTCACTCTCGTCCATGAGCAGCTCTGGGGGTGTCGGGTCTCTGCGCTTCGCGGTTGCGGGGCCGTAGGGATCGAGGTCGTCGAGGATGCATAAGTGTATACGCCGTCGCTCGCCTTCGTACGCGACCGCAACCTCTCCGTTGAACACAAGTCCGGTAACGGAGAGCTTGATGGGGAGCGACATGAACGAGGGGGAGGGGTAGTTAATGAGCAGGGACGTTGTGAGCGTTATACGTAGGTCGGAATTCCAGGTCACGTAGAGGTGCAACTGCAGGTTGGGCTGCGCGGCAGGTTGTGGTGGCTCTGGCGGGGAAGTGTCGGGTCTGGTGTCAAGCGACTCGGTCGAAGATGACCTGCGTATTGGTGGCTCTTCCTTGGGTGGTGTGGGAGGAGATGGAGCGGTGGATAGACTGGTGCGATGGAGGGGAGTGCGGGGGAATGGGCTGCCGCCATACGCGTACGCGGCGGCGCGAAAGTCGTTCAAGTGCGGCACGCTCATCCCCGCGTTCCACAGGTCCATCGCCGGGTTCATGAGCGACGGCATCGACGCTGACATGTCCGGGCGCCCGAACTGTCCGTAGCGCATGTGCGCGGGGAGGTGCTGGTACGCGAAGCCATCCGCCTGGCGCGCAGCACGGCGGGAGACCCATTCGTAGCCGTCCTCGTCGTCGATGGGGTCGGTCTCGGTTACTTTGACGTCCTTGTCATCGGGAGTGTCCTCGTCATCTTCGAGGAAGTCGCGGTATATGTCTCGGAGGTCGACGAGCTCAACGTCTGGAGCTGCAGAGCCGAAGTCGAGGGAGCATACTTGGACAGGGCCGATGAAGGAGGGGGTTTCTGTGCTTGCCAGCTGTCTGTTCAAAACGTCGACAAGATGTTGGGCCAGCCCTCGATTGAGTTTTTCCCAGTCCAGGTCAATGGACATTGCAGATGGAGACGGAGGTGGTGGCGGGAAGAGGCTTCGAAGTTGACAACTTCCATGCCCGGCATCAGCCTTGCTTCCTGCGCCCATCACCAGTGTCCCCTTCGCTCACGGGCCCGATCTTCTCTAACATACGCTCCAATGCAATCTCTGTGAAGTTCTCATAGCTTCTACCCTGACCATGTCCTCTCGAGCCGAATCCCAAGTTTCGCAGTATGGCCGCCGTCGTTCCAATACAGCGACCTCGATTCTGAGGCCCTCCTCCACCGTATCAGCACCTGCGCCACCCTTGGAAGTAGGGCAGAGTACCACACTGAACTCATGGGTCCACGACCCGCGCGAACTAGACACCGTGATCCTCAATCATGTCCGGTGGCCTGGCGTGTCTGAAGGCGACATTCTACGCGTCGTAAGCGCGGAGCAAGCCAGTCAGGACGACATGGAGCTCAAGGAGGAGTCAGAGGATAGTAGGAAGAAGATGGAGAGCAAGGCAAAGGCGGGCGTACTGTTCATCGTGGGCAAGCATGACCCCGATCTCAAGCATCAGCTGCAGGTGAGTTTGACGCGTTTTATCCCAACGTTCTTGTTGACGAATGCCCAAGTCCCCTAGATCTCCCTTCCCAAGCCGATCGCGGATGCGTTTGGCGTGAGGAATAACAGCGAAGTCATCGTCACGAAGGTGCGCTTGCCAGCCCACGCCCTGTCTTCGGAGCTCTAATCGCCCTGATAGGTTGACGGCGAACGCTGCAATGCTGACTACGTCGAGTTCTACTTCCAAGATCAGTACTTGGGACGAAACGACATGTGGAGGCTGGGGCGCCAGGTGCGTTCTATTCTCTAGGGCGTATGCCCCTTGCTCACATCTACCAGCTTACGGGCAAATGCATCTATGCCGGACAAGAGGTCACCTTCGTCGGTAGCGCAGCTGCCAGAATCCAACACATCTACATCGGCGGCAAGCGAGTGTCCTCTGCCATCATGACGCCCTCAACCAAGTCCGTCTATCGCAGCTTGTCCGCCAAGGTCACGATCTTCATCACCGTGTGCCGTGAGCTGTGGTACTTCGCCGGTGACGGCGAGCGCTACAACGAGAAGATCGTGCACGCGTGCCTCCCAACACTATTCAATAGCTGGCGCGCCGCGGGGACGAACCACACGGTCACGATAGTCCTCATTTGCCGCGTCTTCTACGACCAGTCTGAGGTTGACTACGCCGCGGGTCCGCTCCTGCGCGACGACCGGGGAAACTGGTACAAGGACTTCTACAAGGTTATCACCGACCTGGAAGTGATTCATGAATGGCGGCCAACGCTCGTGACGCTCAAAACGTCTTTCTACGACTTCCAGCGCGATGTACTCTTGACACACCATTATCATATGCATGCCAACTCGACCGAGCCAGTACGTCTGGTCGGCAAGCTCTCATACGCGCACGACGCGCCCGTACTTGAAGCATTGAATCTGGCTCTCAATCCGACCGAGACGCACTACATCGACCGGTCGCTGTCGAACACAGGCGCGACATCCATCCTCATAACTCCTGGGACAGGCTACTTCCGCGTCAACAAGCGCCTCCTCCGGCTAACCACGATGCGCATCCTCGACCAGGGACACGGCTTCGACTTGATTTCGCTGGCCAAGCCGCCATTGCACCAGACCCCGATGTTCAGCTTCCTGAGCGCGGATCCGGAGATAAAGAGCGAGAAGGGGGACAAAGACGCGTACGCTGACCCGCGGTCGTATGATCCTCTGTGGGTTGGCGAGGACACGGAGGATGGAAGTCCGAAGTCAACGTTTTGGTGGGAGCCGTTCTGGATCTCTATCTCGTTCTGGGACAAGCAATTGGATCTGCCTTTCAGAGCGGACCGGTTAGTGGACTTCATCTATGAAAGTGCGCTGGCTAATGACTATAGCTTCGTTGCACGGGCGAAGATGCATGAGATTCAAATGCTGGGTCTGCTTGAGCACGACGTGACGAGTAGCATTGAGGTGCCTTTCCTTCCTGAAAACATCATGATGGACGGCTACGACAAGCCACTCTCGAAGGAGGCCGCTGATCAATTCGACCTCGACGTCTTTGCACTGTCGCCTCGCGAAGAGAGGTACACTGATGACGAAGGAGGTCCGCGGAGAAAGCGCTTGTCAACATTGTCGAATGACAGTGGCACAAGCTCTTCATCCGTTGCTCTCAGCTCCTCCATCGTTCCACGCACCAACCCACCAACGCCCCAACGGTCTGCGCCTACGACACCGACTGTCGAAAAGCGTTTGTCAGTGCGCGGCTCCCTTCTACAGCCACGCGAGCCACCGATCGAGGAGAGCCCACGGCATGCCAACTTGGAGCTCCCCGACAGTGGAAGTATCCGCGGCTTGAGCAAGTCGCCCTCGCAATCATCGACACTGTCGGCACGCTCCTCGGGCTCGAGAAAATCGCGCGCGACGTCAAAATCCTCGGAACACAGTGGCCAAGGGAAAAGCACCTTAGCCTCTCGACTGGCGCCTACTTGGCTACTCAATCCGTTCAATCGTAGCGGACCAAGTGAGCCGCAGACGACGACGGTGTCCGCGTCTGCATCGGGGACGAACATGTCATCTTCCAGCAGCACCTCCACGAAACGCGATCCGGAGAAGCGACAATCAAGTACGCCAGAGAGGCCGGCACGTCCAGTGCCATTGCCATCTTCGTCTACGGTGCCAACCCTATCGGCAAGAGTGCCAATACCTACACCGTTTCCGACCTCATCTTCCAACACGGATAGATTGTCCTCGCATAGTGCTTCAAGTCGGAGGGGCACTGACGATGACACTGTCGTCCCCGGGCTGTCTTCCTTTCTCCGTCGTTCACCCATGAATACGCCCCCTCGCGATGGTGCCGCCGCTCTCTTCCGTCGACGGAGCACCGCTACCGTCATCGGCACTTCCTCATCCCCCTCCTTCTCCCACATCCCGCGCACCAATCCTTCCCGCCCGCAGACCACCATTTCGCATTCTCAATACGGTCTCGCGTCCCGTTGGCAGCATGTCTTTCCTCGACCGCTGCTCAAGACCGAGATCAAGTGGGACAGCTTCGTCACTCCAGCTTGTCTTCCGCTCACGGTCGAATACTTCCCCGCGGCGGCGGAGCTCGAGCAAAACTACGACATGTTCTCGTACGACTTCGTCGTCGACCCGACAGAGATGAAGTCGTTCTTGGTGAAACCTCCGGAGACGAAGGACATCAAGTTGGTCGGCCGGGCGGCTGAGGAGGAGATCCGCAGGCGGTGGGCGCTCGTGGTGATGCGGGGCATGGCAGCTGTCAGATTGGCGCAGGGCTTCCAGTTCATCCTCAAGCCATCTCGAGCATCGGCGCTCAACGACATCCAGAAGCCGCCAGCGGAAGACAGGGAGAAGACGGCGTCATTCCGGAGGCATACGACGAGGACGTTCGTTGCGGAAGAGGACTCAGTACCGCGATTTTCTGGCGCGTCGGAGATCCTGAACACAACGACGGAGCCGGTTTACTTGAGCATGAGCAACGAGATACATCGGATCTCGTATACGGGGGATATGATTCAGGTCAAGCGATGGGTACGACGGTTGCCTGGGGCAAAGCCATACGAGTATCGCTTCTTGAGTTGGCCGAAGCTGGGCGAGGGTTATACGGAGATGTCCACCAAATTCTCGTCAAGAGGCTTGGAGAGCTATGGCTGGAACCGGTGTGTGATATTTTTGACCGCTCTACCCTTTGCTGACTCTTCGCAGATTGGACATGTTGGTTGCTGGGTACGAGCAGCAGTTCAACGAATCCTTGCGATACTGGCGTACTCGCTTTATCGTCATACCTACCGCAGAACCGCCGCCCGAAAACGTCGGGCCCCAAGGCGAGCTGCTGAATGAGGAGGAGATGCGCATCCTCGGCATTGAGAAGCTTGCGGAGCAGTTTACCAAGCTGCGTTGGGTTCCACCGGACGACAAGACGGTGCATCCTGCCGTGCGCTTCCTACCGACAACCCTCAATCCTGCGGCCTCCGTGCTCGACGACAGTCTTATGGAGCAGCTCGACCAGATTCACGCCGCAGGACCGCTTAAGAAGAAGATGAAGAGTGAGCGAGAGATTGGTGACATGTCGCTGCAAGCCATCGCGAAGGCCATGCGCGAGGATGACGGTGTGCCGATAAAGCACAATCGTTGGCATCATAGCCAGTATCCGAACTCGTTCACCGGCTTCGACTTCGTGTCCTGGGTGGTCAGGGAGTTTGGCGACGTCTCTTCAAGGCAGCAAGGGGCAGAATGGGGTGTCAGGATGCTGGAGCAAGGCCTCTTTGAGCACGTCAGAGGTTCACACAAATTCCTCGATGGGTGAGCATCACTGTCGCCGAAGAGAAGTACATGCGCTGATGGGCCTTTAGACATTACTTCTATCAACTACGCGGAGACTTCGCCGTGCAAATGACGCCGAAGGGATGGTTTAGGACGCGCATTGCCTCTGACGAGCTGCGACCTCGTGTTTCGGGCAGAAGTCCAACGGCCAAGAGGCGCAAGCGGCTGATCCTGAGTCAAAGTATGCCCATAGACATCGATCCTCAGAAGGTGAGTACATTCCTCCCAGTCGCGTACAGCGTGTTCATCTTGACCTAGAAAAGTGACCAAGCCGAGTGTGTCGTGCTTCATCACGACATCATTCACAACCCTGCTACGGTCTTCCACTTTGAGCTGCAATGGATCGGCACAACTGCGCGCTGCATCGAGGAGCAACTACGCCAGTGGAGTCGGCTAATAGAGCGGTATGGTCTCAAGCTCGTCGAGGCCTACGTTACGCAGATCAGCGAGGTTCGGGACCGCAATGCGTTCCAGTCCTGCTTTCCTCTTCCTCTTGCGCTTCCTCCGCCTGACGTACCCGACCTCGAAAAGCGGATACCGGATGGGTCTAGTCCGACTCACTATTTCGAGTACGCGCTGCTGCGTCGCTTCGGCTTCATTCTGGACGTCGAAGCTGGCAGCCTCTATCCGGAAGGTGTCGATGTTGTCTACTCCTACCGTAGGGCGCCCTTCAAGTACTCCCAGTTTGTTCATAGGTCGGGCGTGGCCTTCGTCCAGGTCCTCGGCGGCAAGCAAGGCTTCCTCTACCTGACCAACCGCTTGATGATGGCCGGCCGGATCCACTCCAACCTTGGTTCCTCTGTCCGCGCGCGCGAGAAGCCCGCTGCAGAAGCGGAGATCTTGAGGAAGCAGATGCAGGAGTTCTGCGAGAGCGAACACGCGTTGCAGCAATTCTATGCAGACGAGATCGCACAGTTACCCTCCGAGCCGGAAGACCCTCCACCATTAGCTATATAATCACGCTACATTGTACATTAACATTTTGATTCCAAAAGTCCAGCGCGAGATAGCAAGACAGCAATATACATAGAATGCATGGATGAGAGGGGATCTCATCAGCGACGCAAAGGCTACGTCTCAGGGCTGCTCATGACTTGACAGCGGCGCCCTCCAATGATATGTCGAAGAAGCCGTCCTTGAAGACCAGCCCGTCCACAGTCATGCATTCGAACTGAAGGTGTACAGTCAGCTATGACCAAGGTGGCAGATCCAGCGATGCACTCACCCTATCTCGCCTCAACGCAAGCTCACGAGGTCCATGCACGATGATGAACCTGCGGTACTCATACAAGATAGGAGGTTGCACTTGGACCGCCGCGAAGTCGTCCTGTAGCTCATCGAGAATGAAGTTGTCGAGATCCCTATCGCTCTTTCCTACTCTATCATCATATGCTTTAAGCGCGTATTCCAATATTTCTTGACCGTCCAGCAGAGCGAGAATGTCGAGTTGCTCGTCGTGCCATCTGTCTCGAAGCATTTGAAGCGCTTGACTTGCATGAGGCTGTCCGATTGGTGCATCAAGAGGTGCATCGGGGCTCCTATACGACGGCGGAGCGGTCGTGAAACCACATCGTCCCTCGTCGATGGCCTCAAGAATACGGGAGAACGCGAAAGTTTCGGGTTCACTAGGGATCATCAGCATAGAGCTTCAAGTCTGAGGCAATGGAGTACTTGCCGGTTGTAGACCGCGACAGGATTGTCGTCTTTGTAGTAGAGACGCACTGCCATGCCCAAGACGTACGGCGGAATATAGCAACACCAAGCAGGATGTTCGTGCAGCTGGGTCATCAGAGAGGCGGTCCAAAATGGGTCGTTGAGCAAAGAACGCGGCGTGAAGGTGACGGCACCGCCTAAGCAATAATTAGTATGCGATGAAGGCACGGTGAGCGAATGGCTATACCGTAAGTAAAGAGGGTATGAATGCCCCACATCTGCCTGGGCACAGACTCATGCGTTCCGTACGAGTAGAAGTTGATGTCATGAGCACCCAGTCGTTCGACCAGCTTGGGAATATTGCCAATGTCGTGCAAAGCGCCAACGTGTATCCAAACAGTCCTCTCCAGAGGGGCAGGCGCTGGAGGCTTCCTTTCGCCCTCGATGGGCCCACGTCGAAGTACAGTCTGCAGCAAGCGCGTTTCGTAACCGACGACCTCTTCAGCTGCCCGACCCTTAAGCTCTCTCCCCTGCAGGTCAAAGGGGCAAAACTCGTCGCTTGGTCGGTGGATGTAGAAGGTTCGTTCCTGTTTCGAGATGAATTCAAGCACCTCTTTGGGGAATTGCAAGACATGCAAGGCCTCTTGGTACCGCCCCTTCATCACGGTCCATCGGCTCGAGAGGTCCGTCTTCATGTCGCTTGACATTTGTACCGGCGGTACGGGCTGCGAGCGGAGCGAAGGTGTGGCCTCGTTGAATTGGTACATCGAGACATGCTCGTCGGGCTTCGCGGAGACCGGCACGATCCTCCACGGTACGAGCGCAGCAAAGAGTATGTCGTCCCGCTGGTAGTACGCCGGGCACTCAAATAGCTCCCTGATCCTGACCGCCGCACTCGGGAACAAGATGATGTTCCCGATCCACTCCTCGAAGACGAAGAAGCGGATGATGGCGACCTGGTCCATGCTATTGAGGTATTCGCGGACCATGGCGAAGCCTGAGCGGTCGGCTACAGTGGCAGCCTCAACCATGGCCAATTGCGAGACCGGCTTGCACGCTTGAAGCAATAGTGGAAGGTCCGTGTAATCGTGGAAACGTCCCAGAACGACGCGGTCGAGGGGCGCGAGACCGACCTTGAATGGCACGGCGGTGTCGTTTCGGCGGACGGTGAGATTGAAGAAGTGCATATCGCAGACGTGCTGTGGCTCGTCGCTGGCTCCGAAAATCAAGTCGACCGGCTTCGTGCATTCGAAGGAGTCTAGCTCGGCTGGTGGGAGCGGTGCTGCCTGCTTTAGTCGCGGTGGAGGTACAGGCTCATGATCAACTTCCATAGGCGCGACCTCCGGTTCATCGAAGTCCATCAGTCTGAAACAGAATGAGCGACTTGTACAAGATCTTTCCGAGCATAACATACCCAGAGAAATCGCGTTCTTGCACCAACTGATTCAAGAACTGCGCTGCAGCTTCCGTATTTCTCGGTGTAGGCGGGGCGGCCCTAGTGAAGGTCAATGTCATTCAATCGCAATAACTAAGAACGCACGCAGGTTCGGGTCGTTGGTCGACATCCATGTCCAGCTGAGGCGTAGGCGGCGCGGAAATCGAGCCGCTGCCCTTTCGGTTCGGCAGTGGCACCTTTCTCTTAGGCAACGGGGCCGGCTTCGACGGACCAGCAGACGATGGTCCCGCTGCTGCCTGATTCGTTCCCCCAGTCGCAGGTCCAGCAGACGGAGGGCCAGCTCCTGCTGGCGTACTAGCTGATTCAGCTTCCTTCTGCTGCTTCGATTTCTTCGTAAAGCTCGGTAATGACGCGCCCTGCGCGGGTTTCGCCTGGGCTAGCTTGGCCTTCGTTGACAGCCCGCTCGTACTTGTGTACTCGTCCCGCATAAATTGGACTCCGCGCCTCTCGTAGCTGCGCTTGGTGGTGCCGGTGGCGGGAGAGATGCCAGATGGCGTAGCCGCGGACGTAGAGGCAGACATAGCTTGCGAGCCACTGTTCGAGGGGATGGCGATTGGAGGCGGTTTAGGTTTTCTAGTTGCTGTTTGATAGATTAGCGATAAGTTCTATGAGCCAGCGATGTGTTGACACGGTAGTTGCAGCGTGTATTGCTTGCGTTGGCTGATGCTCAGGCGATAAAGAGAATACTCACAAGGTTGTGAAGCAGCTTGTTGGACCTCCGTCTCGTCGTCCGAGAACAGCGCCTCGACAACTTTCTTTGCCTCCGTCTACAACCAGTCTATCAGTCGAGGGTCCAAGTCAAAGCCGCTCAGTCTCACCTTCTTTTTCTTCGGTGGCGAGTGATGACTCAATGGGACCTGCAAGTGGACGATCAGCTAGCCCAACCATGACGGGTAAGCAAAGAGAACGCACATCATCCTCGCTCCCGCTCGAAGACGCCTCGACGCGCTTGCGCTTCTTCTTCTCCTAGTACCAACAGATTGTCAGCACCCAAGAACTGGACTGTCATAGGAAAGCCCTACCTCCTCCGACTTCTGATACGTCTTCTTGGTCTTGCGGGGAGGTGGAGACTGTCATCGTGAGCATGAGCGTAGGCGAGCTACGCGAAGATAGCATTGCTTACTTCTTCCACCTCTTCCACCTCGTCATCCGAGTCTATGACCATGCGCTTCTTGCCCTTGGAAACACTCGTAGATCGCCTCTACGACAGACGAAGATTGTCAGTGCCATGGAAGGAATTGTCAGAGTTAAGATACGCACCTCCTTCGTCTCCTGAGCTCCCTTCTTCTTGGGGCGAGCGCTGAGAGGCTGCGAAAGTGTGTTATAAGCCAGCTACAGACAGGCGCCATCCGCCTTACCGTATTATCTCCATCGTCGCTGCTGTCGGATTCTCGTCTGCTCGCGGATCTTCGTCTCCTCTCTGTCTTGACGGGCTTCTCTTTCTTGACGGTAGAGCTCTTTCGCTTGCGCGTTCCGGTCTGCCATATAGCGTCAATCTTGAGGGGTTCTTGGAGGTACGACAGATGCAGCACGCACGTCATCGTAGTCTATAACTGAGTCCTTCGCTTTCTTGCTCTATGGTACAATCAGGCGATCATTTGCAGTGAGCTTGAGAGACGCCCACTTACGCTGGATCCAGCCCGTTTATGCGTCGCTGCCTTATTCGCCTCCTTCTGAAATAGTCAGTTAGTGTCGGGTTGCAACTAGCTTGTTCAGAAGACTCCTTTCCGCCAAGAAGAAACACAAATAACGTCGTGCCCATTCTACGATGAAGGACCGACGCAAGCAAGATGCCTTACCTTCCGTCTCTTCTCTTCCATCTCGCCGCGTGATATCTTGATTTGACGCTCTGGATAGCTATTCAGCACACCTATGTCACTGCAGCGTGGCTCGTGCAAGCTCACTCAACCACTTCTTCGAGGGCTCCAGGATCTGGCCAGGTTGGTAGTCGTGGTTGTCCAAGCCGACGTCAGCCCAGAAGCTGTCTATCAAAAGCTGCGCGCCGGACATGTCTCCTTCTTCCACGTAGCTGAGGCGAAGATGAGTACACGCCGAACGCTTCAAAGACGAGAGAGACGCGTGCTGAGAGATGCAGGCGTCTATTATTGACGTTCGACACACCTGTTCTCTTCATCGGGGTAGCCGGCCCACTACATGGGAGGATCCAAGACATTAGCCCTATAGCAATAGGCTTTAACGATTCAAGAGGCGTGCCTTGATTAGATATTCCTGCAGAGCCGTCAGTCGCGATACATGGTGAAGGGTAAGCTGACGATGGGTTGAATGCGCGCAGCAAAGGTACTAACCCATCCTTTGCCCTCATCGGTAACCCGCGCATGTATTATCGTCTCTGACAAAGAGAGCCTCCGTTCAGCGCGCTGCAAATGGGACGGCGCTCGATGCCGGTCATGAATCCAGGTCCCTCACCAATCTCATAGTCGCCTTCCTCCTCCTCTTCCTCGGGCATTTGGGGCTCGACGGGCTCGGACTTGACATTCTTGCCCATACTATCCGTTTAAGTAACACTCGCGGCGTTGGGGACGGCTAGAGGTGCACGGTGGTCGAGGTCAAGATGCAACAATGGGCTCGGGCGCGGCGATCAGAGCCACCCGGCCCGGGCGCCTGATCGCGAGTTGCATCTGTCCCCCATGTCCCGCTCGACAAACGGCCGACCTGAGCCAGAGGTCATCGTTCAGGTGCGTATCCAGAGGTACCTCGAAAGAGATCGTCTGGAGCTGAGCACCTTTCTGCTCAGTACCTCGATGGCTTCGCGTACAACAAAGTGAAGATGGAGGAGGCTTTCCTCCCCGGCGGCTTCCTCGCGGAAAAGGTCGCGCAAAAGCCCCACACGCCAGCGAAGGATCCGAATGTGAAGAAGGAGGACGTGGATCTGATTGTGCGTGCCTACTTCGTCTGACTAGGCATGCGCTTTCTGCTGACCGGGTTGCGCAGATCCATGAATTTGAGATTCCTCGTGCGAAGGCGGAGAAAGTGCTGCAACAACATGGTGGTGATATCAGCAAGGCATTGCGGAGCCTCGTCGGACTGTCGACATGATCTCAGCCTCAGTACACCTGCGCGATTCAACATGCGCAGGGAATGCGCCGACGTCCGATCGAACGCCGCGCAAGTTGCTGCCCGGTGCCTGTGACTTGGACGACTATCGGCGCACCCCTTCTAATATTCGACGATCTCAGGCCCAAGGGTCTGTCAGGAAGAGACCCGCTACAACCACCTCCTTGTGGCTGCCGAACTCCTGGTCGTTCACACATCTATCCCTCGATGTAGCATACTTAGCAGTGAATGCACGGCGTGTTTGTAGCTTTATATTCGTTTTGCATGGATCATCAACTTTCGATGCTTGACTTAGCTCGCGTTACAGATTTCCATACTCGGCGATCACCTTGTGAGCACAAGCTCCGTTTGTCTCGAACCATTACCACCGCAGATGGGTGAACCTGCCGGTTTTGAGTTCTCAATCTTCATTGCCGCCCGAGTGGTACTCTCGTCCATCACTCGTCGGCGACTTTGAAATACAACCGCAAGACCAAGACCGCTCGACGCTCGTTCAACGTTCAGCCACTATGGCAGCAAAGGTGAGTATTCAGTAGCTGCGACAATGAAATCAAGTCTAAGGGATACAGACACAGGCAAAAAAGCTCTATATATCAGTCGGCATCGAGCGCCGCTGGTCACGTCTCCTTACCCATACGACTCTCTTGTGGTGAGGACTGCCGGATTCCGTTCGTACATGGCGTGCCCTTCTTTCGACTAGAAGCGAAATGCCTGTCCGACCATCTCCCATGTCGGGGAACAAGCTCAGTTGACCCATTGAAGCGGTTTCCGCCCCCCAGTCGCGTTTGCCCTCTTCAAATTGATGCCCTCCGTATACGCCTACCAATCCCTCCCCATATCGGTCGTGCCCATTGGGTGGGACGGTTGGGACGGAATTCGTTCAGCGCGGAACCAAATCGTTGCGGTGCATAGAAGACACGGTCGTGGGCCACGACTCGCTCTGGGACCTTCAACGAGGCGCTTATAGGTACGGTTTGTGGCGCTCGGAATTCCCTTGGCGAAACGTCTGGCTTTGCGGTGCGTGTCGTCTGGTCTCTATCGTGCCCTGAAGGAGCGTTGATAACGATAGGCCGGCTGAAGTCGGTTGTATACGGTGAGGGCGAGTACTAATCATCAGGTGAGCAAGCCGCGTGATGAAGACATAGCTATCCGTACGTCTTCCGAGGGTTCTTCGACAGTGATTACACCTCCCCAGTGAACTCCACGGCCGTGCTACAGTGCCCCAAGCTGTCAGCCAGTGATGCAAGCGCAATATGCTATAAAGACTTGCCGAGAATCCATCGCTGGTGGAGGTCACCGATGGTGTCCGCGAACGCTCTTCTCTCTCCGAACGCACATCTGCACCTTGCGAAGGTGAGCTGTCGTGATCAGAGCCTGCTTCGACCGCGTCCTCCAGCAGGCCCTTCACTCGGGTGAACTCCTCGATGTCCATATCTGCCTCGTCCGACTGCCACGTTGGCAGAGTACCCGGTGGTATCATGCGAGCGCTGAGGTCCACGGTCGCAAATAGGGCACACATCGCTGGTAGCCGAGGATGCCAGGCCGGTCGTCTATCCGAATGAGTGAAACGGGCGATGCGCCGGGCTAGAAAGACAGCACTTTGGGTGGCCCATAAAACGCGCGACTTGAAGGCTCGCCAGTTACGGCCTGGTTCAGGATAGCGGCTCAGCCAGTTCATGATCTCCGGCGCAAGGGCCAAGCTGAGATTGCGGGTGTACGCGCTGATCACGTATCCCTGCTCTACTTCCCCGCGCCCGAGATGAGTGATGATGGTGGTAAGAAGTTGTAAGCAGCGACCGGGATTCACTTCTGTGTGCTGATTTCTCCGCAGTATATCGCGGGCGACATAGAAGAGTTGTAAGCGGGTGTCTGAAAGCGATGTGAGCTTCTTCGCATGCCTCCTGGAAGGTGGAAAAATCGGGACACACCATTACTAGAAGCGTGACCCGGTATCCCGCTGAGAGTGATGCGTAACGAGTCGTACAAAATTCTAGGCACTCCGTCCGAATCGATGCCGCAGTCGACCAGACTATTATAAACGCGAATGATGTGCTCAACGCGCGTTTCCGACGAGGAAGGAAGTAGGGTGTGTAGAACCATCTCTGTCGTGGCCTGGGACGCCAATTTCGGGCCCAAAAGCGGCAGCACTGTGCTCGCTAGACCATCCTCGGGGGACGGGAAGTCTGACTTCTCGCCTGAGATGGCGCTCCTAGCGCACTGAAGCACATATTTAGCGCTGGCCGCTTTGTCTTGTAAACTCCAGAGGCAGTTCCAGATCCAGTCGCGCAGGTGCGCGTGCTCGAAGTTCAGCTCTATGAAGCCGAGACAGAGAGCGACGGACGATGGCTGATCGTGCGCGCGAGCACTCTTGTCGCGACGTCGAGTCCAGTCCAGATCGAGTTGCGACCATGCTTGGTTCGTCATGTAAGGGGCTACGAAAGTGTCGCCGTAGCGAAATCGCATGGTGGTGACGAAGGTGTGACGAATCCATGCGCCGAAGTTGATCGTGAGGAGCGCTATCTGCAGGAAAATCCATGCCTGAGCCGACTTAAAGGGAATTTGCGATGCATTATGCCGCTGTAGATGGAACATGCGGTAGATAATGAACTGCCCGGCGGGCAGGATTGTGGTTAGGATGAAGAACGACGCAATGAGGCCAACAAGACCGCTGACGAGACCGGCCACTACGGGTTGCAGATGCCAGAGGAGGTAGATGATGCCAACTAGGAAAAGGAACAATGCGGCTTGAAGCAGGACTGGGATGAGGGCGATGATGACGCCGACGTACCAGCGCCGCAACCCGTCGTACTTCACTTGGCGAACAGAGAGGTTCGTGATGTGCGATCGTCCTGCGTCATGGATGTATTCTCTCAGCCATTGCTTTGACACGATGCCCACCAAAGCGGAAGAGAGGCTCAGAACGAGGCTGTTGAACCACAAACCGTTGATCAAAGCCACGATGTCATTGGGTAGGGAGGGTCGCCCGGAGGAGACAGCTCCTTGAGGGAATGAGGTGTTCGTTGTGTTCGTTAGGACGACCAGTATCTGCCGCAGGTAGTCCACAGCGAGGTCGTCGGGCTGTTCCATCATCCACTTGTACGACTCGATGATGAACGCCGTACACACCCCAGAGAAGAGACCAGCCTGTACGGTGATGGTTATCAGTGAATTGGGCCCACACCTGCTTGCGTACGTACGAAGACTAGCAAGCTGTCTATCTCCTCTCGAGAATCTTGAGACAACGTGGTGTCATGGTTATTGACCAGTTCGGTGCATTTATCCCAAGCATCTTCACGACCGGTTGGCATGTTGAAGAACTTCTGACCACCTATACGCCATTGGGCCTATGCGATAAACTTAGCATTGCGCGCCTATAAGAAATCGTGACGGCTTACGCCCTGATGGGGAGGATCACCGCCGTCTTTCGACATGCTTGGGCGCGCACTTTCTGTCGCCTGATGCACGTGAATAATCGACGAGGAAGTCGAGGAATATTTGCCAACCTTTTCGCCGAGGCTGTCCTAGAAGTAGTGTGTCAGAGTAAAATCGTCGATGTGTGGCGCGTTTCCTGATTAGGGTTGAATGCCTTACATCCTGCCCCGCTATATCCTGGTGAGACTTTGAAAGGGTATGAGATGCGTTTTCCCCTCGCGAATTCAGCGACGTACCATGACCCCCATCCAATGCAGCCCGTGGGAGTGTAATGTAGAGCGAAACGGCGCTTTGCAGACTCTTTTCACTTTGTCACGAAAAGAACGCCTTGAGCTCGGATCCGCCATAGCAGTAGTAGAGAGGTATGCGATGTGCGATGAAGGAAAAGTACAAGAGAGAAACTCGCGAACGACGCGTGCCCCCAACACATGGCGAGATCTTGATGAAATCTGCATGAGAAATCAGTAAGGGATCGGAGAAGCGCCCACAAACTAACACACTATCCTTACCGGTGACGAGGAAAGATGACAGCGCCAGACGTACCTTGCAGAGATACACGTAAATGAAGTTCAGACCTTTTTTGACGGGTGATGCATACGTGCTCGAATACATATCTGGTCACCTGGTGCATGCATACATACGCTACGACAAGGCCGTGTCAACGCCAGTCTCGAAATTGCCTGTTGAATTTCTTGCGACTGCTAGCCGTTATTAGATCCCTTTCCTCCATCATCGCAATAGCCACCGTTTCGATCTGATTGTAAACGCTTTCGACGTACGGAGCCACGAAGGCCTCCAAGGGGTCGACCTGCTCCCACCGTATCCGGCCGTCATAAGAAGGATGCGCGGGCGTCAGTCGGAAATATTTATCGTCGAACTCGGCGCCGTGCTGGGCCTCAAAAGCGGACGCGATAGTGTCGCAGCGTTCTGCGAGATGGCGAAGGGCAACGAGTGTCGCCGGCGGCAGCCTTGGCTGGTTTATGAACCTGCGAGGGCCGTTCTCGCCGACCGTATTGGCCTTTCCTGCTCCGAGACTCAAGCAGTAGGCCATATGACGCGAAGGATAGAGCAATCGTGTTTCCTCGAGTATGTCGAAGACGGGATTATAATGATCGTATCCGGCATCCAAGTAAGTGATCGAAGCATCGCCCTTGCCGATCGACAAAGGTTTGAAGAACAAGGCCTGGCCCATGGTGGCGCGTACAGCTTCGACGACAGTGCACTGAAAGGCGGTCTCGCCAGGATGCAGATATGTTCGCAGCCTGCGGTGGGTAACGTGTCCCGTAGCGTCCTGTTCCCTGGTACAGACGAACCTGTGTGGAATGAGTTGGGTAAAAGGACGGGAAACCGACGTCACATACGCTTTGCACGGGGCAGGGATGTCATCCAGGATCGACATCTCCTCTGATTCGCCAAAGCGGTGGCAAAGTTCTCGCATCACTTTCTCGAGGGAGGTGGCTTTGAAGCTTCCGTCTGATTTGATCTGCGTGAATACCTGGGTAACGAGGCGCGCGTAGCATTCAATCGCTTCCTCGATGGTGACGCGTAGCCGTCCGAGAAGGAGTGCAATGAAGCTGACGTTTGTCTGAGCCACTTTCTTTCCGCTTGAGAGAGCCACTTACCCGCCTGTTCCACTTCCGGCAATGATATCGAAGTATTCGTATGGCGCGGGTAGACTGGGAAGCCCTGAACCTTGTTGGACTCGGAGCAAGATCTTGCGAAGTAGCAGCAGCTCAGACAGTCCTCGTATGCCGCCGTCATCTGACACAACACGCTTTAGTCGATCCTGAGCTCGTATGATCCATGCTCACCAAAAGTCAAAAGCCGGATCCCAGGGCCTGGTACAGCGAGCGAGGCGTGAATGTCGTGAAGAGGGACATCTGGCACAGGACCGTTGCCAGATTTGAATGATGATGTCGGCGAGAGGCCTCGCTATCATTCCATGAGGATACGTTGTCAACGTGCAGATAGTGCCACAACATACCGCTGCCATGCAGTCTGCCAGATTAGTCGGTGTGAACGGATGCGCCAAGAAAGCAAATCATCAAAAGGGATAGATCAGGCGAAAGGGAAAGGAAAAATATATATCTCAGAAAACAAAGCAACACTGTTGAGGTGTTGTTGTGGCTGAGATGGATGCTCAGGACAAGGAGTTGAAGTTAGTCGTTTGAGGCTTGGGTCAGTGACGCGACATCGGTCCGTCCGACCGGGCTTAGTTACTAAACGTGGAAGAAGCCCCGGTGCGGACCGCGAGCTCAGGATTTTGGAAGAAACCCACCGTCCCAACTACTGAGGAGCACACAAAGAGGGGCTAGCAATATGAGAGCACTAGAGCCACCAATAGATGATAGCTTGACTTCCAGGATGGGCAAACGTAAGCGACCCTTGCTTCATCGTGATTGCCCAAGGATTAGTACACCATCTTCCATCGTCAAGCGTAACACAAGTATGCATATTGAATCTTTGTTCGAGCAAGTTTAAGGCCGAACGCTGCTATCGATGTCGCGCTCCTTGTCCTTGAAGAACAAAGGTTGCCACTTAAAGACATCTCTCTCCGGCCGGGCCGCTTTGTTTGTTTGGCTCCACGGCCATCAACATCGAGCTCGCGGCGGCGTACGACTTGGAAGCTACCTTCTCGCCGCCACCAGCGATGAATCCTCCGCGACCGCACCTCGTGCTGGAGCCCTCCGTCTCGACCACAAGGTACGTCTTTCTTGTCTATTGTCGATGTGGATGCTGATATTACGCGCAGAGTGGTCACGACGACAACTACGACCACGACATACGCGCCCATCCCGCTGCCTCCACTACCCGCGCCATCATCTCCCAAAGATCCCAAGAACTACCCTCTCCTCCATGCGAAGCTCCCCAACTCCCTTAGAAGTTTCCCTTTGGTCTTCCCAGGCGGCGCACGCGCGACTTTCCGCGATGGTGATGTCGGTGACGAGGACATGCAGGACGACGAAGAGCTCGCGTCCGGCACGGGGTGGCGCATGCTCCGACGCGATGAGGATCCAAACACGACACCAGTCGTTGATCTGGTGGAGGCCGTCGAACGCTATGGCCGAAAACGCTCCCTCGGCACCGAGTCCACGATGGAGGGTGTCGAGATGATCCCCGAGGTCGACGCCGCCACACCTGCCCCGCCGCGAAAGAAGGCGCGCGCGACACCCCAGACACAGTCAGGCCAGACGCAGTTCTCGGCTGCCCCGCCATCGCCGCTACCCTCGCCACGCGGCTCCCCGCCCCCGCCCCGACAAGATCTGGCCATCCGCGCCGCCCTCGGGCGCGTCTTCGCCGCAGCCGCAAGCCCCCGCTGCAGCCTGACGCCGCCATGACCACCCTGATTGCGCTCCCCAGCCTCGTCGCGCACTTTAACACCCTCCCGCCAGCCTTGCAATCCCACTTCCTTCTCACCCTCCTTCGGCACTCGCCATTGCCAGTCCTGCGCACATTGCACTCTGTGCTGACCCCGACCCTCGCGCGCGACTTCCTCACCATCCTCCCGCCAGAGCTCGTTTCCCACATCCTGAGCTACCTTCCATTCTCGACTCTCGCCCGCGCGTCGCGGGTGTCGAAATCCTGGCGTGCCATCATTGATTCGGACGGGGCGCTGTGGCGTGACCTATTGAAGAATACAAAGATATGGTTCGGCGGCGAATCCGAAACTGCGTTCGCCAACTACATCAACGCCAAACGTGCTCTCGAACCGAGCCCATCAGATGGCCTTCCCCTTCCTCACCCCTACAAACTACTCTTCAAGAGCCGCCATCTCACCCGGACGCGCTGGGTGAACAACACCGACCCCATGCACATCTCCTTCCCCGCGCACGGCTCGTCCGTCGTGACGTGTCTCCTCTTCTCCCACGGGCGTATCATCTCCGCCTCCGACGACCACTCCATCCATGTATACTCGCCTCTAACCGGCGAGCTCGTCATGGCGCTTGATGGTCACGAAGGCGGCGTGTGGGCACTGGCAGCCAGCAAGGACACCTTGGTCAGCGGCTCGACGGATCGCACGGTCCGCATATGGGACCTCAAGACCGGGCGCTGCACCCACGTATTCGGCGGACATACGAGCACGGTGCGATGTCTGGCGATCGTTAAGCCGGAGATGGTCGACGTGGAGCACGAGCCGGGCGTCATTACTAGAGAGAAGTGGCCGAAGAGGCCGCTTATCGTGACGGGGAGTCGGGACCACTCGCTTCGGGTGTGGACGTTGCCACGACCAGGAGACCCCGAGTTCAAGTGCTACGGTGATGAGGCAGACGGTGACTTGCCTGATACTTGCGTACGTGGCCTTCCAATAGAGCACGACCTTTGTACTAACGTACGTCTAGGACGCGGAGGAGAATCCCTACCACCGCCTGCATTTGGAGGGTCACGAGCATGCCGTAAGGGCTCTCGCCGCGAGGGGTCGCACTCTCGTATCAGGAAGCTACGACTGCTCCGTCCGCGTCTGGGACATCATCACTGGTCAGCAAAAGTGGGTCCTGCAGGGGCATACGCAGAAAGGTGCGTCAGCCGACTCTTCAGCGTGATCTTGTGCTGACTTCGATGCAGTGTACAGTGTGGTGCTCGATCCGCAGCGCAATATCGCCTGCTCGGGTTCCATGGACGGCACGGTTCGCGTATGGAACCTCCAGAACGGCCAATGCCAACACACGCTCACCGGTCACACATCCCTCGTCGGCCTTCTCGGCCTCTCTCCCTCCTACCTTGTATCTGCCGCCGCCGACTCTACCCTCCGCATATGGGACCCCGACTCCGGGGCTCTCCAACACACCCTCGCCGCGCACACCGGGGCGATCACCTGCTTCCAGCACGATGAGTTCAAGGTGCTGTCCGGCTCGGACGGTACGCTCAAGATGTGGAACATCCGCGACGGCACCGTCGTCCGCGACTTGCTCACCGGCATCAGCGGCGTTTGGCAGGTCGTGTTCGAGGGTCGCTGGTGCGTCGCAGCGAGCAACCGCAATGACGCTACCGTGCTCGACGTCTGGGACTTTGGCGGTCCGTCAGACGGGGAGTGGATCGGGGAGCCGCCTGGCGGGATGTACGATCTCGAGGACGACTGGGGTAGCGATGAGGAGGTCGAGGACGAGCCCGGCCCGCAGCCCACGGAGGGCGATGATGCCATGGAGATGGACGGTCCTACGGGGAGCGAGGCGGGCTTCGGCGAGGAGGATCAGGACATGGAGCCGGAGGGCGAGGTTGAGAGGAGCACGACGGAGGAGCGGATGTCGGAGGCGGAGAGCATGGACGTGTCGGAGGTCGCGGGGCCGTCGTCGGGAAGGACGACGACAGGCAGGCGGTCGACGAGGACGAGTCGGGCGGCGGGGTCTTCGACGAAGCCTCCGTCATCCAGAGATGATGGACCGGCACGACCAAGGAGGCATGGGGCGTCGCGCAAGAAGTGGTGATGAGCTCCATGCCGTAGAGTGCCTCGCATTACAGGCTCGACATACTTTCCGGACTGCTAGACGCTCGGTCCTCCTCTCCTTCGATTTGACATTCATGCCCCGGTCACGACGTTGGAATGCCCATACTTTTTCAACATTTGAAACCCACCTCGACATTCGCCATTGGAACGTTCGGCTCTTGTACTTAACCTGCATCTATTGTGTATATGTTACCATCGTCGTCTCTGAATGCATCTTCGTTCCTGTATAGCTATATCAGTTCGTTGGACGATGTTGTCTGCGTGCGGTCGAAACCATGAGGCTTTCCCTCAAGATTGTGGCTATAGCTCAGGACTGACGCCTGAATTATCGCATATCTAGCTGCCTCGCTTACGTCTGGCGGACATTGTTAATGTACATATACAACCAGCCAACAGCGACTGTGAACTTTGGCTCCGTTTTGGTTCCGCCGGAGCTCTGTCCTGATTCGGCGACAAAGATTCCGGCCCTCCGGCCCGCTGTCACGTCATTGATTTTGGGGTCGAAACGGCGAAGTTCAACTCCTTGCTTCGAGCACCCATCTCAGCTCCGGCAACACCTGGACTAGGTGCATTGTGTGCTGAGATACAGCTCTGATCCTCGTCTCCTCTCTGATCCTTGCTTGTTTCATGGATATCGCCTTGTATCTGTAACGATAATTACTTGCATGGCCGCGGTACGGGTTCAAGGCGTGTTCTTCCAGGCGGATTTTGACATGGGCTACAGCGCGCTGTATCCCAGACTTCGTCCTTTGGCTCAAACTCCAAACCATCCCGAAGTTCTGTACCGCAAGATGTGGTATATGCCTCGCCATCAGAAATTGGTCTACGATTATTGACCTTCGGTTAGTTCTATTCGGTGCTCGCATGAGTCGAACCTTGACCCTCGCCCTCAGATGACGGTGGAATCCGCGGCCTATCTATGTTGCTCCTACTTCGCATAATACTGCACAGGGTTCAACGATTGTCTTGCCTACCAGCACTCCCTCTACCATGCGACTATTTCGATTTCATCGCAGGAAGTGGCACGGGAGGGTACGTCCTCGTGATTCGTCGGGGATGAGATGCTGACCGTGATACAGTCTCATAGCTATACTACTCGGGCGTCTCCAGCTCTCCGTCGACCACGCTATCGAATGCTACTTGCGCGTTGTCAATCACGTCTTCGTGCAATACAAACAAGATGGCAGTCTCAAGACTACGGCGCTGGAGAAGGTGCTGAAGGAGATAGTTAATCGCTTTGGCACCGGAGACGGTATGCTGCTGTACGACTCGCAGCCATCTCCGTGTAAAACGTACGTTTTGCGACATCTCTGCTGTTGAGGTATACTTATCAGCGACAGCTTCGTCTGCGCGAGAGAACACAACGGCGAAACCATGTCTGTTCGGAAACTACGATCCTACACTCGCCATAGGGATACGGAGTCACAATGCACGGTCGTGGAAGCCATTCGCGCGACGATGGCGCATTCCATGTTCTTCAAGCCTGTGTCGATCCCCCGGGGCAATACCAATGTCTCGTTCGTGGACGCGGGAAACGACCATTACAACCCCGTTTTCGATCTCTTCGAGGAAGTATCATTGCTATATCCCTCTCGTCACATCGCATACTACCTCAGTATCGGCTCTGGGACAGCGGCAACAGTGGGCGACAATCCCTCTCGCTGGTTCGCCAATCGATCTCGCCTGCCGCCGCCCCTCCTCAACAAACTTCGACATCTGGCAGATCGCTGCGAGGACATAGCCTCTGCCTTCGAGAGAGAGCATGGGAACCTGGAGGGAAAGTATTTTCGTCTATCGCCCTCACTGTCTGTCTACGACGGCAAGATTCGGTGGGAGGAGGAAGAGGCACTGGACGAGATTGTGACACCGTACATTGCGGCCATCCAAAACCAGATCCAGATATTGGAACTCTTGATGATTGATGAGAGGGAGTCGATAACTGCTCGTAGCTTTCGCACTTACGAAAGTCAGCTTCGGAGGTGGCCGTAATAGGGATAGGTTTTGGTAATGTCGCATCGAATATGCAGAGTATCGGTCGATGTCCTCGAATGGAGTCTGACAGTGCAACGCCTGTCGAGCGCTCCCAAACGCATGCACAAAGCTTACGCGCGTCTGGCAGCTGATTGCAGAGAGTCAGAGAGACCACTGACCCGCACGGACGGCATCTTGTGATCCGATTGCAACTTTCCCAGCATCAGCATTCCGCATGAGGTTGGGGCGTGTCGCAAGAATGCGAATTCCTCCTTGTCTGCTACTTCCTCGACATGTCCTCTGCCGAGACATATAGACGCTCTATGTCCGAAAAGATTGTGCGGGTTCTTACAGCACCCTTCACCACTACTCGCTTTGTACGCGATCAGTGGGGGAATGATATTGAGAATGTTAGTTTGTGTCGTCTCCAGTTCGCCATGGCTGGAACTGATTCCTTTGACCTCAGGGACCAGATACAGAGAATCGGAATGTGAGTTATCCAGGCCAGAGGCCTGTTCAGCTGCTCATGACAAGGACTTTCGATTAGACGCCACGATATACAAGCGAGCGCCAATCCCGCGACACCCCAACGGATGGTTCGACAAGCGCGAGGAGCAGCATTTCGATAGACGCTGCGGATCCCGTGCCACAGGTACGTCGCAGTTGGCCAGTCGCTCATGTCACGCATGTAAAGCGCATCGCAGGCTTATTGGGATGTCAAAGACCGCGACTTTCGAAACAAATCGGCAGAGGAGGAGCAAGCGTGGCAAGGTTGCACGAACGTGGTCGGAAAATATGATACAACGGACTGTCAGGTTCAGTGCGAGCAGATAGATACGCTCCTTGTCTTCGTGCGTGTCCCGTTGACCGATTTTCTTCGGGTCTTATTTGTCTAACTATAGGCTGGTCTCTTCTCTGGTGTCGCGACCGCGTTCATCATGGAGGGCTATAAGTGGATGATAGAAGAACCCGAAGATGTGTCTGCGGAATACCTTAGGCAGATTCTCGCTCTGCTATCCAACACAGCCGTTCCATCCATCACTCGCTCCGGCGGACGACCCCCCATTCCAGACGACATCGTCGACTTCATCAATGGCCTATGGTTCAGCAGCCTGACGCTGAGTTTGTCATCTGCCCTCATCGGCATCGTATCCAAACAATGGCTTCGCGAATATCTACGCGACGCCGGACGTTCTCACCAGACCAACCTCGCTGTCCGTCAAGTCAAGTTTCAAGGTTTGACGCGGTGGTGCGTGCATGCCGTGATTACGTCCATACCGTTGCTCCTTCAGGTCGCACTCTTCTTATTCCTTGCTGGTGTCGTCTACCTGCTCTGGCATATACAGCAAAGGATTGCCCTCGTCATTACCATCCTCGGCGCGCTCATCATCCTCTTCTTCATCATCACCACTGTTATGCCCGCATTGCAATTCGTAGCTTGTCATGTAGGGTGGCTGCGTCTACACACAAGCAGTCAGGTGCCGTTCAAGTCCGCGCAGGCTTGGCTTTTCCTGCGCATCGTTTTGTTTCTCTTCAACTCTGCGGCCTGGGTCTTCCATATCTTGACAAACGGTATCAAGCACGACCGTATCTTCGTACCACCCTTTCCGACACATGCTGCATGGCCGCAGTTTGACCTCGATTGGACTCAACGTCGAGACGAGAGCGCCCGATGGAGCAAAGAACCAACGTCTGTTGCACTGTGCCTCGGCTTCATTGAGCTCAACTTCGAGCATCCATCTCTGCGCAAATGGATCTGGGGTTGCCTATGGAGTATGCGAGACAATGTGATTGATGCAAAGTATGTGCTTCAATGCATCAGACGCATTCCGGAGGTCAAGTCCAACTTCCCCGCACCCAAATCAGACTCCTTGGCGAGCGCGGTCCTTGCCTTATCCCATCCAAATACGGTAACGAAAACCACCTTTGAGTTGGTACTGCATGCGATATTGGAATCGGATGAAGGCACATCGGGCACGAGCGTCGAGCATCTTATCCGGATATTCAACGACATCATGCACCGGGGTGTCGAGGTCCCCGATGCCGTCTACACCACTTTGCGTATCACGCTCTCCAAGATATCGGGAGCATCTTCCTCACTTGGTACGCTACGATGATCTCCTTGCAGTCATATTCCTCATGCCTATTGCTACTGCAGATACACGCTCTCAACTGTTCTATGTAGTACAGAACACGTTGAGGAGAAGTCAACACACCGAAATCCTATGTGCACCGTTTACAAAACTGATCACCACCATTATCATGCACCTCAGTCAAGGCGAGATCCAGGAAAACCATACGTACGTCGGCCGCGAGCTCAGCTTGGACGTTGCTGCCGACGTCTCGGAATGGCTCGAGCGGTACCCGGAACCGATCTCCAACTGGGCAGCCTATAAGACGCGTGTTATATGGTCCGCCCAGACAGCTTCTCTTCTTGCTCGTCGACTTGCCTCGTATAAGCCGCTGGAGGCCGCGAACATCCCGAAGTGGCACCCTCGCTTCCCCACTATATGCGCACTCGTCCAGCTCGTCTTCGCCAAAGCCAGCCTGATTCCGACCGAGACGTGGCCTTCGTGGACGTCGTCAGAAAAGGACGATATGGAGAACCTCCAACAGGTGAAAGCCGCCCTCGACGCGGCGCGCGAAGAGGCTATCACTACAGATAACGAGGCGCCCTTGGGGGCTCCTTACCCCGCGGCGCGGCCCATGCCTTGGATGGTGGGCGTATCAAGGAACGGAAGGAGCTCGGTGAGCACTCCCGTCGCTTCTCTGGCCCTCATTACTGATTTTATGGAAAAGAACACGGCCAGGCCGCAGCAAGATGGGGTACATTTTGACCAGGACCACGAGCCGAACGAGTCTAGCGCAATGGTGAGCTGTCCGCAATCTGTGTAGTGATTGCAATACCTATATGCGTCCATCATAGGATGCATCCATGCATGCCTCAGGATTGGACAGTCTCAACCAAGGCGCGCGTGATGCGGGCCAGGTATCATCTACCCACTCCCGGATAACTGCGGTCGAGCAGGACTCCAAACAGCCTGCGAACAACGGCGACGCAGACCAGACGGTTGCCGACCACCTTCCCTCTCGAACGGCAGCCAGACAGGACTCGCAGCAGACGGCCGTTAGTCAGGATTCTGATCAGACCATGTTCAGCTACGCTTCCCGTCGGACGTCGCCGAGTCCCGACTTGACTCGCGGGTCAACCAGTCAGGACACCATTCGAAAGTCATTCGGTACCACGCGAAGTCTGTCGCTGTCGCCGGAGGGCACGATTCTCGAGCAGGACGAACCGCCGTCGGCTAGTACTGTGAAGGACTTCTCGCAGGAGCTGGACGACATGCCGTCCCGGCTTGAGGGCGACATCAGGCGACGACCTTCACGAGAGACCGACACTCTTCGGCCGCAAGGGCAAGCCTCGTCGCCATCGCCTTCGAATCAATCTGCGTCACCGCCAGCGAAAGCCATCCCGCCCTCTCGAGCCAACGGCAATATGCCGTCGCGGGGCGGTCGCACCCGTCCCGAAGAGAACATGGACTCATCACCTTTGGTGGGCGCTCCGCCGACGCCCTCAGAGACCAGCACCGCCCCGCAAGGAAGCGAAGGCCGGTCTCTTCCCTCGCGAGGGACCGACGTCCCTCAAGGAGGGCTGGGAGGCGACGTTCTACCTCGAAATGATTCGAAGCCTCGCTGGCGCATATGAGCCTTCGCCCCCACCACAAAGCGGCAAGCGGAGCTAGACTATGATACAGATAATCCGGATAGTGGAAGAAGAGTTGGTGTTGGAGGCGGCGGTCATTCATGTCGCAACGTGGAGGGATCGCCAGGGAAGTGCCACATAGAAATAAGCCTGTAGACGTCCTGTTGTACTTTTACTCATTATTGTGTTATCGTCTTGCGCGCTTTTGTTTTAGATGGTCGCTCAACTGGGATCAAAAGGTCCATTAGCAGATAGCATACAGAAGCAAGCGTACAGAATTATAAGGAAACCCTAGAGAATAGTCATGAAGACCGTGCGCCACACATTATTGGATGCTAGCGCCCGTCATGCTCACCCATAGCGATTGCAGAGAACTGAGGTCGCTCACTGTCGAGGTAGACGAAGCTACTGCGGCGCGCTCGCGCTCTCCCCCGCCGGCTGTGTATGGCGCTTCTTCGTCTTGACCCCCTTCGGCCGGGCATGAGGGCGCTTGGCGGGCTAGCCGAATTGCGGGGAGCCTGGACGCTTGACGCTACTGAGGCGTCGCTGGGTGAGGTACCTATGGCTGTAAGCTCAATTGTACAGAGGCAGAAACTGTCGACGAGGGAGAAGAAGACGGCGAAGCAGGTATATGACGGAGGGTAGGGAAAGGTGCCAAAGAGGCGACGAACGTAAGACAGGCAAACAAAGACTTGGGAAGAACAAACAAGCGTCCACTCACTGGGAAGTCCTTTCGTCTATCGTACCCTCTAGGTTCGGCAGCGGTGCTTGCCCCTACTCGGCGCGTATGGCGTCAACTTCACGCTCGGCGGTATCGTATTCGCACAAAGTGGGCGCAGCAATATGCTGGCGGAGCGTAGTGCATCTAGGGGGTGAAAACAGGATGTAAGATCTCAGGATGTAGAGCTTGGCAGGAGCGTCTGGATATATTGAGCTCCATGGGTTCGGCCTGCGTGCAGGCTGGACTCGATGAATGATGGAGGGATGTACGGACAGTCGGACCTGGTCTCTGTCTTCGTCAACCTGGAGTGAAGGTAAGCACGTATGGGAGCATGAGACGAAGGCAGCACGCACCTCCCGCAAGCAGGTTAAGAAGCGATCGCGCTCGCTCTCCGACCTGCCCGTCGTCAGCTTCGAGTAAAGAGCTGTGTCGCTATACCACGCACCTATTCCCCCGTTCCTTCCCTCCAGATCCTGATTATCTTCGACGTCTGCACCAACGACGCATGCGCGCTCAGGATACGCGTCGTGTGTATCTACAACGTCAGAGCATGGCGCCTGCGCATGTTTTCAGCCTTTCGCCTCTCTCCGCCTTACGCAATCACGCACCTGAACCCTGTTGTTGTTCCATGACGGACGGAGCTGAGGAGGATTGATGATCGGGGCGGCAGGCGTCACGGCTACACCTACTTACGACCACGACATAAACGACATACGCGTCAATCCCTCTACCTCCTCTACCCCCCCCCTCGTCTCCAGAATGTCCTAGGAACCCTCATCCCCTCCATACGAAGCTCCCCACCGGCCTTATGTAGAGGTTTACCTTTGGCCATTCCAGGCAGCGCACGCGCGACTTTCCGCGATGATGAGAAGGTTGTCGAGTGTATTTGTTAACCGTCTCGTTCCTGTATAGCTACTTGTCTGGTGTAGTCTGCCTTGCATCTCGGCGTACATTGGCGTCTTCTGCTCAAGATTGAAACTATGTAGAACAGTAAAGACGATTGGGACAGGCCGCACCAGCTGAGTATCTGTGAATTATTGTCCGTTTTTGGCGACAAAGAGCTCGGAACTCGGGCCGATTTCCCCTCTGCGTCACGAGGCGACTGATTTGGGGCCATGTTCAACTGCTTGTTCTGAACGCTCATCTCGGCCTCAGGAACGCCCCCTCCAGGCGTTTGGCACGCTGGGTATCGCTGCACGCCCTTTTACTCTGTCTGATCTGCTATCTGTACATGAGCTCTACTGTAAACTGTGGACTGTAAGGACTAATCCTTGTATGGCCGTGGTATGTGTTATGAAGCTGTTCCAGGCGTTCGTTCATCGTCCACGACAGCGTGCTCTATCTCAAGACTCGTCTTTCGGATCGGACTCTAGCAAAACCCAAGCTCTTACGCCTCAGCGCGTGTATATATCGCTCTCTGGCCCCGGACCTGGCGTTCGAGTGCTAACTTTCGGTTGAGTATTAAGCTTGCGCGTTGGACCACCGACTGAATCTTTCGGCTAGACGATGGTGGCACTCGCGGTCTCTCGATGCTACTGCTACTGCGCAAGATTATGCACAGAATTCAATTCGCATCCTGTCTGTCTGCTTTGCCTCCACCATGCGAGTATTTCGACATAATTGCCGGTAGTGGGACTGGAGGGTATGTGATCACACAATTATGCTACACGCAGCTCACAAGCCGACAGTTTGATAGCGCTTCTGCTTGGCCGGCTTCGCTTATCGATAGAGCATGCCATCGAATGCTATACGAGGGTCGTTAGCCACGTATTTACGCAGATCAAGACAGACGGGAGCCTCAGGACAACACCCTTGGAGAAAGTGCTTAAAGAGATCTCTCGTCGCTTCGGTAATGGGGAGAACACACCTGTGTTCGAGACGCTGCCTGCGCAGTGCAAGACGTGAGTGACGATTGCCTCTCGCATTGTCACTGAATTAATGGGCCATTAGGTTTGTATGTATAAGGGAGGACAATGGTTCCGGCAACGTCGTATCCCGTAGGATACGCTCCTACGCTCATCCGACGGAACCCGCTACGCAATTCACGCTCGTTGAGGCTATACGAGCTACTATGGGTCATCCAGCTCTCTTTAAGCCTCTGTCGTCCACCAAAGGCAGGACCTTCCTGGATGCTGGTGACGACCACTACAACCCTGCGTTCGATATCATGCAGGAACTTGAGGCCATCTATCCTACGCGACACCTCGCATACTACCTCAGCATCGGCGCAGGAACGACGCAGACAGTCGGGGAAAACCCGCAGCGCAGGTTTGTCAATCAACCTAGGCTACCCTCATCGATCCTTCGGACTATTCGCACCTTGGCGGAACGCTGCGATGCTATCGCGTCCGCTTTTCAGCGCGAGCATAGGGATCTCGAGGGGAAGTACTTCCGTATGACGCCGTCTCACGTCCCCTCCGATGGAAAGATTCGATGGGAGGAAGCCGAAGCGCTAGAAGAATTGGTGGGTCCTTACTTCGTCGATGTCCAAGATCAGGTTCGGCTTCTGGTCGTCGCCATGATGCACCAGACAGACATGATAAAGTCGCGCGGCCTTACCAGCTAGGATAATCTACGTTCGATGGACTAGTACCAATATATGTATCCAACTTGGATAGTTCTGGGTCAACAGCGACGTGGCTAACACCCCTGACGCGTCGTTGGAGTTCGCCCGCTTTTGCGCTGAGGATCAGCGCGGACTCGGGTGCTTGTAGTCGTGTTGACGGTAATATGTTGCTCGTACTGGGGTTATCGCGCGCATGTACACTTGAACCCAGCGCGCAGGTATGAACGTCTCGTCTCCCTCCAGTATCACGTAATGATATGTTTGTCAAACTTCCCATGCATCGTGTGTCGCGCGCGCTCTACACAAGCCGCCTACCCTTTCTCCTCTTCCGTCCTGACGCTATGGCCTCATCGCCTCCGACAGCATCGCTGAGCAACAAGCTCATACGAATCCTCCAATCCCCCTTTAGCAATCGCCTCAGACCCGGACGGCGCACAACTACCGATGACTTGGAATCTGTACGCCAGCGCTATGCACTGCGCCCACAAGGGCTTGTCTGATTATTGATGTACAGGGTGACGGAGAGAGCGCGAATATCGAACGAGGGGTGCGTTCTACACTTTTGCTTGGGCGCTACTCTCTGACTGGGGTCTTCACAGCATAATGTGGCGATAGGCGACGATAATGTGGGATTCCTTACCATGCATGCCAAGGACGGTGTCCTCATACCCTCACAGGGAGACTCAACTGCACCCCGAGCAAGGACAGGCTTGTCAAGAGACCCAGCTACCCCTGCCGCGGACGTGCGTTTGGGGACTGTTTCCTCACAGGAACCCTGGCGCGTCGGTGATCGCAAGTTCCGAAATATGCCAGTAGACGAGGACGAAGCCTGGACTTGCATGGCGACGCTGGTCTACAAGGACGACTCGACGACATGCCAGATATATCGCGAGGAGATAGACACCCTTATGGTCTTTGTGCGTCCCGTCCTCGACACATGTATGCATGCTCAACGACTTATAGGCTGGTCTCTTCTCGGGCGTCGTCACTGCGTTTATTATCGAGTCGTATAAGTGGCTCTTGGAAGAGCCAGAGGATCTCTCCGCGGAGTACCTGAGGCAAATCCTTGCTCTCCTCGCGAACACAACGGTACCGACCATTGTTCAGGCGAGTGGGCGGCCAACCCTGCCGGACAACATTGTGTCGATCATCAACGGCTTCTGGTTCACCAGCTTGACGCTAAGTCTCTCCTCCGCCCTCATCGGCATCGTGTCAAAGCAATGGCTTCGCGAATACTTGCGTGACCCTGGGCTCTCTAACCAGACCAACCTTGGGGTTCGTCAGGTTAAACACGAAGGTCTGTCCAAGTGGTATGTCAATGCCGTCATCACCTCGATTCCCCTTCTGCTGCAAATCGCGTTGTTTGTCTTCCTCGCCGGCGTCAACTATCTCCTTTGGCATCTGCAATCAAAAGTGGCCGGCGCGATAAGCGCCTTCAGCCTGATCATCTTGGTTTTCTTCATTACTACCACGGTTCTTCCTGCGGTGCAGTACATCCTGGCATGGTTCGGACGCTTGCAGCTGCACAAGACGAGCCAAGTCCCTTTCAAATCTGCGCAGTCTTTGCTATTCCTGCAGATGACCGTCCTCATCATGAACTGCGGGGCATGGGCGTATCAGACCTTCATCACTTTGAAGGGCTTTCAGCCTGATTGGACTTTTGTGGCACCCTTTCAGTCGTACGCTACTTGGTCGCAATTGGACCTTGACTGGACTCGTCGTCGTGACGAGGCTGCGCGATGGAACGACGAGCCAACGTCCGTTGGCCTGTGTGTAGGATTTGTGGAGCTGAACTTCGAGCATCGGCTCCTGCGTGATTGGATTTGGTGCTGCCTCTGGACTTTGAAGGATTATGCTGTCAACACCAAATATGTTCTCCAGTGCGTCAGGCGTATCCCGACGATTAAGTCCAATTTCCCTTCGCCAGACCAAGATCCCCTTGCTGCCGAGGTTTTCCCTCTCTTGAACTCGAGCGTCGTCTCGCAAGGCACCTCGGAGTTGGTGCTCCATATGTTGCTGGACTCGACCAGTGCAGCATATGTCGAGCATATCATTCGCATATACAATAGCTTGGGACACCTCGGATTGGAGGACATCCCTATCCTGCTCTACGACAAGTTGCGTAACACCTTGCAAGCCATGCCTGGAGAGGCCACCAACGCAGGTGAGCCTCATCAGTCTCCGAACCCGATGAGCATGTACTGAATCGGCCTTTCAGAAACTCGCTTGCAGCTATTCTATGTCGCGCAGGATATATTGCGACGGAGTCGCCACACAGAGCGCCTTTATGGTCCCTTCCTCAAGCTCATCACGGCTATCATCGTCCATCTGAGCGAAGGCGAAGTCCGGAATGTAACGCCTGCGCTGTACTCTTCCCGTGATCTCAGCTTGGATTTCAGCGTCGACATCTTGGAATGGCTGGAGCGGTACCCCAATGCCGGCGAGAATTGGGGAGAATATAAGTCGCGTGTCATTTGGTCAGCGCAGGCCGCCGTCTTGCTCGCGCGCCGAATTGCGTCTTTCAAACCGCTCGTTGATCCTGACAACATACCGACATATCATGCTCGCTTCCCATGCGTCTATGCTCTGGTGCAACGCGTATATACAGAGCTGCGCTCTATACCTGCCGAGACTCAGTCGACATGGGAGCCAGATAAGCCGACCACGGAGATAGAATTCGTTCAGGTTAAGTTGGCTCTGGACGTTGCCCGTGAGGAAGCGGACGCCCAATCATCTCAAGCAGCTGCTACAGTAAGCTTGAGACCGACCGCGACAGTGGTAGAGAGGGCAGCAACTCCTACGAACGAGAGTAGGATGTCACCGGTGTGTAGGACGTACTCCCCCCCACCAAAAAAACTCGCCGGTCCAACCTTGCGAGTTTGACTTGCTGTTAACCGTACGCGGCGTGTTCCCGCTCGTCAAGTTATGCCTGTGTATACTACCCCTTATCATCTACGTTACCCTAACTGGCCAATGATAATACCTGCTGGGATCATAGAAAAAATGTGACTTGAATCAGGTGACCTACCGGCGAGCTTTTCCAAGTTGATTTCTTGTGTCGAGGAGGAGCCTTCGCATCTCAAATGCAATGTATAAGGAAGATGGTATAGTATAGATCACGCCTGCATTGCTTTCATCTTCTCATTGAGTATCATGCCTCAATGAAAGCGTGTTAGTTGAGCACCTCCACCCGTCCTCTCAGTGGTTCTTACCCGCAGTTTACTGGGCTGCTGCTTGCACACATATGTATACGGGGCCTGTATGTGCCTACATGTGTAGACATTGCAATTCAGTGCTTCCCCGAAGCGGAGGAAATTGGGTGGGAATGCTTATCAGGCTCGCTTGAAGCAGCCTTCATTCTTTTCGGAAATTTATACCATTAGAGGGAAGACAGTTCCTCGTCCGCAGGAACAGTTGTTCAATAGCAGGATATGCCTGGTATTTTATGTCGGGCTTGGCATCGGTCAGTCTGTTGATCCTCGAGCGGCAGGGCGTCGGCAACACCCGAAGTTCAACCGTGAGAAATCATGTCAGCGTGCGTTGTCACGTGCACCGGAGCTCTCGCTGTCCACTACGCTGAATTACTTAGAAGGTAGTCTATACACATACCATATTACTCTGATCTCAGCCCTCACTATACGGGAGAAAACAAGGAACTTCTGGTCGACTCCGGACCGGCGAGTTTTTTTGGTGGGGGGGAGTACTCTCCAAAGGAATCGATCCTGAGGTGTATATGGCAGGATCATACCAGGCAGCGCGGCGTACACTGGAACGAGGAGCTCCTTCGAGATGATGTTACTGCAGTAAGCCCCTACTCTGCAAGCCATGTCGACCTACTAAAAGTACCTTTCAGGACTTTTCCGTTGAGGCCACACCCTCAGAACCCTCTCCGATCGACGGAACCAGAACGTTTCGACAACCTTCAATCAGCCAAGACCCCGAACCATTGACCCGCGGTAGCGCCGTACCAAGTACAGCTGGGCGAAGCTCTGACGATGCGCCGCCCGCCATGAGGTTCGTGTCGAGTGGTCAGCAATAATCTCGTTGCAATGACTTACCAAGGGTTCTAGACATACTATAGCGAGTCGCGACCACGCTCAGACGACAGCGAGACAGGACTCAGGCAGCCTGACGGCTGTCAGCTACGACTCTGGTCAGAGCAAGGCGAGCCAGAATGACGCACAGGCCGGAGCGTTCGCAAACCAGGAGTCCTTTTCAACGATGTCTTACCCTTCCCGAAGCGTCTCAAAATCCCCGGAGGGCATAGTCGTCGACCGGGATGCGCTGCCGTTAGCTGGTAGCGCGAAGGATACGCATTCGCGAGAACGCGAGTCTTCAGCGCCGTCGGGAACGAAGATCGCTTCGCCTTTGCGAGCGAGCAGTTCGGCACCTAGAATTGAAGGAGGTACTTGGCCTCCGCGTGTGAACGACCCGGTCATTCTTCCCGAGTCCTCGCAAGAAGCGGAGCCTCTGCAGCACGAGAGTGATGCCATGATTTCGGAGATCAACGAAACTCTACCATGGAAAGTCAACTTCGCCGACTTGGAGGGGAGTACTGCTTCTTCTCTTGGAAGACGTACCTCGCATGCACGGAACGGCTGCATCGAGCCTTCACTGGAAAGCGACGGACCTCCATCCCCCGTTGACCAAGCAGGGATGTCGACCGATCCGCGTCCGCCTGCGAGTGATACGACATCCCGAGTGAGAACCAATCCCCGAGACGTAGTGGTCGGCCAGCTGCTCGACGCGAGAGTTACCTCTCGTCTAGACGAAGGCAGGGATAGAGGCAATACGTCGATCCGGAAGGGTCACTGTGCGCCTTCAGTTACGGAAGACGACCCGACGCTACTCTCCAAGGAGACGTCGATCTCTCACCGAGACGGCACACTGCCTGCGAACAGGAGGACTTCACAATCGAGAACCAGCGTATGCCTCCCATCACCCGACACCACATCCCCGAGCTCCTTCTCCCGAGAGGAGCCCACACCGCCATCCCCAAAGCGCGCTATCCCGTCCCCGCAAGGCAGCGACTCCCCGCTCGAGCGAGTGAGCACCCCCCAGCCTGGCGCAGGAAATGACCTTCCGCCAAGCCAACAGAGCAATCTTCCGCCTGCCTGGACTGGCTCAAAACCACGCTGGCGGCTATGAGCGGACACTATTCGACAGTAGAGTCGAAGTGTTGGAAAGTAGGAACGGCTTGGCGGCAAAGGGCCGGTCCTTAAATGGATGATGCCGGTGAAGCAAAAGCTTAGATGCGAAGAAGCTTGTAGACGCCTGTTGTACTATTATTGTTGTTTTATCGTCTTGCGGATTCTCGACTCGTACGGTCGCTCGACTGGATCGAAAAGCCTATCAGCGAATGACATACAAGAGCAGGTGTACAGAGATACAAGGGAATCGACGGCAATATGCGGACTGTCACGCAGCGCATGCCCGTTGCGTACCCATAGTGGCTTGCAAACGGATGATGCTGCTCGATGTCGAAGAAGACGAAGCTACTGCGGCGCGCTCGCGCTCTCCCCTGCCGGCTGCGTATGGTGCTTCTTCGTCTTGCTCCCCTTTGGCCGGCCGCGAGGGCGCTTGGCGGGCTGGCCCGGTTGCGGGGAGCCCGGGCGCTTGACACCGCTAAGGCGTCGTTGTGTGAGGTATCTGGGATGGTTGTGAGTCGATAATATGGTAAAATGGGTTTGTGCTGAGAGAGGAAAAAGGGTGGGGTAGAAGTAGGGATGCGTCCAGAGCAGTTCTGATGGGTCTCAACGAAAGCAGATGCAGGCACTCACTGCGACGTCTTCTCGTCTATCGTATTCTGCAGGGTTGGTAGTGGTGCTTGCCCCAGCTCGGCGCGTATGGCGTCCACTTCGCGCTTTGCGTTGGCGTACTCGCCTTCGGTGAGTGCGGCTATTTGCTGGCGTAGGGTAGTACATCTGAGAGGGGACGACCAGGGGTGAGTGATCTGGATGAAGGAAGGGGGGAGGCAAGCGTACTCGGCGTCCATGTTGAGTTCCATGAGTTCGGCCTGCCAGAAGGTCAGACTCGATAGATGGTGAAGGGATGCAGGGGAAAGCGGACCTTGTCTCGGTCTTCGTTGACCTAAAGTGACGGCGGCGGCGATAAGCATGGAGGGGAGTATGGGACGGAGGTGACACGCACCTCCCGCAAGCAGTTCAGCAAGCGATTGCGCTCGCTCTCGAGCCTGCCTTTGATCAGATTTCAAGGTCGTAGCAAAAGCAACTGCACTACGCACTTGTTCTTCTGCTCCTTCAGATCCTGAATCATCTTCGACTTCTGTTCCAGCGATGCATGCGCGCTCAGAATATGCGCCGTATGCATCTGCAACGTCAATGCATGGCGTCTATAACTATTCAGCCCCCCTCCATCCCCCATTCTTGAGTACACGCACTTCAGCTCTGCCGTCTTCGCCAGCTGCACCAGATCCCTCGCCCACTCGCTCGAGTTTGCCGGTATAGGGTGCTGCGACGTGCTCGCTTGCAACTGATGTGGCTGAGCGGGGGGTTGCATTTGAGGGGGCTGGGCCTGTTGAGCCTGCTGGGACGACTCGGCATGCTGTTCCTGGTTAGGAGGCTTGTACTGAATGTACTGTGGCTGTTGGGACGCCATGGTGGACGGAGCTGAGGGAGTTACAGGATTGATGATCGGGTGGGGAGGCGCGCTCAGACTCTAATCGTTGATGTGCGCCCGGTTCGAATCTGGCTCCCCCAGACTCAGCAGGCTACTGATAACAGTTCACTATGCACCATAGCATTGCCATGTACATCTTCGGGGACCGCTATGCCAAGAAAACATCATAAGCAGGTCGTAAGTAGGTTTCCGCCGCAGCGAAGTAAGTAAGTGGTTTTCCGCTACCGCGCGGTGGCTAAGCAGCGTACGTAGTAGGGCACACATCGAACAGCGAACGTTAAGGTTGATAATACACATGTTGTCCCTCGGCCGAATGAGTATGAGTATGATATACAGTGGGAATACTAGATGCTCCATGACTATTAGAATAGGTAAGTAGATAGGCGCTACTCATCAGAACAATCATGTAGCTTTTGATTTTCTCAGCGTCGGGTGCAGGAGCTGCTCGTGCAGCGCCTTCCCTGCGGGGACCTGGGTGAGAGGTGAGTATACACGTCTTAAGCCGCATGAGAGGGATGTTGGCGTACCATGGGGAAGACGTGCTCGTTCTTCTCGACCACGCACTCCATCAACACGGGCTTGTCGCCGTCGAACTCCAGGAACTCCTTCATCTTCGCAGGCAGCTCGGCGTTGTTGGTGCAGCGAATCGCGTGAACACCCATCGCCTCCGCAAGCAGACAGAAGTCAGGGTTCGTCATGCGTGTGTGCGAGTAGCGGTTCTCGTAGAAGAGGTCTGCGGTGAGACGTCAGCAAAAGAGCGGTGGACGCGCAGCGGAGTAGAGGTGACTAGGACGCTAGAAGAGATACGCACCCTGCCATTGCAACACCATACCCTGGAACTCGTTGTTGAGCACGAGAACCTTGACGCCGATGCCAAACTGCGACGCGGTGGCGAGCTCCATCGCCGTCATGCTGAACGACGCGTCGCCGTCGATATCAATAACCGTCTTCTCCGGCGCCGCGACCTTCGCGCCAATCGACGCGGGCAAGCCGAAGCCCATCGTGCCCAGCCCGCCGGAAGTGACCATCTGCTGCGGGTTCGTCCACCTGAAGTGCTGCGCTGCCCACATCTGGTGCTGGCCCACACCTGTGCTGATCACGACGTCGCTCTTCTTGTGCGCCACCTGGCGGTCAAGCTCCTCGATCACCTCCTGCGGCTTCATGTGCCCAACTTCGCTGTCGCCCTTGACGTAGGTGAATGGGTACTCGGACTTCCAGGAGGCAATCTGCGCATGCCACTCCGGACGTGACTTCTTCTCGATCATGGGCACCATCGCGCCAAGGTTGGTGATGACATCCCCGACAACAGGAATGTTGGCCTCGACGACTTTGTTGATATTCTTGGGCTGGACCTCGAAGTGTATAATCCCACCGCGACCTTGAATAGAGGCGGCCTTCGCAGCAGGGGCGAAAGTATCGACCTTGCCAGTGACACGGTCGTCAAAGCGCGCCCCAAGCGCGATGATGACGTCCGCGGACTGCATAGCGAGGTTGGCATACGCAGATCCGTGCATACCAAGCATGTGCAGACTCCGCTCGTTGGTCTCGTCAAAAGCGCCGAGTCCGAGGAGAGTCGTCGTCACTGGTATATCGCCGAGTTCGGAGAGCTGCGCGAGGAGCTTGGGACCCAGCGGCGATGAGAGAACACCGTTACCGGCGTAGACCACGGGCCTCTGCGCCTGGTTGATGAGAGCAGCAGCCTGACGGATCATCTCCGTGTCAGTTGGTGGGTCCAAGACGGCCAGAGGGTTTGACGGAAGTTCGAGGTTCGAGCCGGGAGTTGTCGCCTTGAATGGCAGAGGCGTGCGCAGGATGGCCGCCGTGACATCCTTCGGAAGGTCCACTAGCACGGGACCCGGCCGCCCTGACGTCGCGATCTTGAATGCCTCGTTTATCCGCCGAGGGAGCTCCGCGACATCCTTGACCATGACGTTCCACTTTGTGCAGCTGCGCGAGATGCCCACAATGTCCGCCTCCTGGAAGGCGTCCGAGCCGATGGCCGAGGTGGCGACCTGACCGGTGAAGACGACAAGCGGAATACCATCGCTGAGTGCGTCCTGCATCGGCGTGACCACGTTGGTCGCGCCAGGCCCCGAAGTGACGAGCACGACACCAGGCTTCCCCGAGACACGCGCGTAGCCCTCCGCCATGTGACCGGCGCCCTGCTCGTGGCGGGGAAGGACGAAGTCGAAGTGGGGGGAATTGTAGATGGCATCGAAGACGGGAAGGATGGCGCCGCCTGGATAGCCGAAGACATGCTTGACTCCGTGTCTCCGCATCATTTCGTGAAAAATCTGGCCGCCAGAAAGGCCAGTGAAGGTGCGATCGAGGGGGGAATTGGGGGTGGGGCCGGGGCCGGAGGTGGGCAGGTCGATGTTTTTGGTGGGAGGGACCTGCTGGAATGCGGGGGCAGGCGCGGGGCGGCTGGGGTATGGTGAGTAGGTGCTTGCGAGCGACGGAGATGAATGTACGCACACCGCTGCAGTAGCGTTCTTCGCTGACGAGCGCGATATATTCCGCGCATGCTCGCGCACGCGCAACTTGGCATCCACGACCGAGCCAGACGCCGCCGCGGTCGAGCGACATCTTGAGAAGGAAAGGGAGGCGTTTGCAGACGGCGCTGCGCGTATTCTTGCTGCTGGTCTGGTCAGCATTTTGGCCGGCGAAAAGGAATGGTCGCTGTGAACGTCGCCGTCGTGGAAGAGGAACGAGTCAAGGACAAGTGCAGCGGTGACTTAAGTAAGGGGCGCACGCACTCCATTTTCCTGACTCCAGTCGATCGGCCGAGCCGATCAGACATCATCGGACTTGGCGGCCGCCGGGGAAGCAGCGAAGTTGAACTTCACTGTTGGACGAGGGCGTGAATATTTTCCTGCCTGGCGAGAGACAACATGCGCTGGACATGGAAGTGGGAAGCAAGGGAAGCAGACATCATACACCAGGAATTACCTGGTTATATATGGGAGCCCTAGAGGCTAATTGACTGAAGGGGATAACACGCGCAAGCAGACGCAAACAAATGTCCAGCGCATCACCTGCTTGTCACCTGCTATAGAGTCTCAACGAATCAGGAGGCCGGCAAATGGCAGGCCGCCAGGAAATGACTCGCTTCAAAGTCGAAGATGCTGCCGGAGGGCCACTTTCCCCGCACCCCGCACTTCTTGAATTGAAGGCTTAGTGAACCGTTCCCGAGTGAGGCTAGACCCGGCCAATGCTCTTTCATGAAAAGCATTATGTCGAACGTCGAACGTTGAGCATCGAGGGTTAACCATGCACTCTAGTCTTTACACATCCTCCGGGCCCATCTAGAATTGCCGCTGAAGTCGCTACCAGATGAACAGGGGAGATAGCTCCGAAAGGCAGGTTTTGACAACCGTTACCGGATAGCAAGTCGTATGAACTATGTAACCCTCATTCCGAAGTGTGCAATATGCACTGAATTCACTGCGCACTGTTTGAGTAGGCAAAGAGAATGTAGCCAAAGCTAGGTATCGCTGTCGAGCGGTACCCATGCACCGCTGTAGAAGTCGAACCGCCGCACGTGGCCGTGACATCACGATCACCGAGCGCGCCTCCTTCCCGCTCGATTCCCGTCAGACTTGTTCCGTGTTCTCATCGTCTTCACGCTCTCGCTCGTGGTTCGGAGATACTCTAGACCGTCATCCCGCTTTCTGCGTCCAGAAGAGGCGACTACATACTGAGCAGGGCGCGCCAGTGTCGCTGCCGGACGTTAGGCGCAATGGAGGTGCGTTGTGTCCGATTCCCATCGTCATACCGTTCCTTAAACAGAACGATGCGCAGGGTGCACAAAATCTAGCATCAGGATCCCGCCTACGAGGGGGAGGATACAACATCACGCTCGGCTCCATCACCAGCAGTCTCCTCTCCGTCCCCTCCCGCATGCTCGCCCGTATGCGGCGCGCCGACGAGATCCTCCATAAGGAAGCCATGGCGAAGCGCGCGGCAGCGGCGGCGGCGGAAGCAGCAGCGAAGAGGGCCTCCACGGCGGGGGGCGGGCCGCCCGGGCTGCGCTGGTGGGGGTTCTTTACATCGGGATACATGCTTGGGATCATCATCGTCGCCGTGCTGGTGCACCGGATTCAGAATGTCGTCGTGCCGTCGCGCGTGCAACCCGTGTACCGACGAAGGAACCAGGGGATTGTGCAGCGAGTGTACAATTCCTTCCTCCCGATCGACTTGGACAAGGCCACGACCCGCTTCGCCCTTCACTCCGTCTCGCTCTACCTCATCCTGCGAATGCTCGTCATCTGGGGGGTCGTCGTTCTGCAGACCTCGCAACTCTACCCTGAGGAGCCGCATACGGCTTGGATTCAGAGACTGGGCGAATATGTGGTACACCTGCCTATGGGTCGCATCTGCTGGGATACCTTCGTCGCCATTTGTGCCGTCACTTGTGCCCAGGCATTCACGAGGGGGCTTGATGGGCTGGGTAATACTCTTTTGACATCTCATGGACCCTCTTCACCGATCAACTTGGTATGTGACGCCTTACATGTACGCAACGAGAGACTGACTACTTTGCAGGTTAGCTATGCCTTCATGCTGCATATATATTCGTCGCCATTAGCGCACACATTCCATCCTTCCGGGTTACCCAGCCGGCCTGATAAGCATGTCTGCATCGCTTTGACGCTCCCCGTAATCCAAGTACGTCCTTACAATTGCAAGGAGGAACATTTTCTGATCGACTTCTCAGATTGCCATGCAACACATCATATCCATCCGCAAGCGCTGGGCGACACATCGGTTCTGGCCCTCCGCCATCCGCTCCCTGCTCTCCCTGGCGCACTTTTGGCTCACCATCATTTCCTATACGCGATACATCGAATACGTGCCCTATCTCCCGCAGATCGTCGCCCAGTCGAACAGGAACGTACCTGGCCACGCCGGCTTCCCCCAGGTCCAGCTCATGCCAAACGTGTTCGAGAGCTTCATGATCTTCACGACGGTCTTGACGATCGCGCTCAACACCGTGACGCAGCTTCTGCTGACCGGGAGAGTGGACAAGCCGCTTTTGGGGCTGGGTCTATCGACAGGTGAGGCTGACATCTTTCTCATTGATCTTCCGAGCTGACAACGTATAGCAGGCGATGGGAGGTCCATCTACATCCCCTACGACGAGGATTTCACCTTCTTCCTTAGCCGCGTCGGCACCGCTAGCCTCGAAGCCACCGGCCTCCGCGGTTGGGGCAACGAGGTCGGCGCCGTCAATGCGCTAGCCACCCCGCCCCGACACCAAGGCCTCATCCAACTCTCCGGCTCCGGCGTCATCCGTGTCGTTCCCGGCACATCGAAGACGGGCAAACCCCTCAAGGGCCTGCACAACGAGGTGCAGGACGTCGATCTGGGCGCGACGCCGCAGAGCGGGTTCTTCACCAACTTGGCGTCGTTGCCGTTGGTGGACTGGGGCTGGATGTGGGCGCTGTGGGGGTTCGGGAAGGCGGTGGTGGGAGCGGGGAGGGGGTTACTTGCCTTTGTGTGGGCGGCGATGAAGGGGGATACGAGGGTGCTGTCATGGAAGAGACCGGTGCTCCGTGGACCTGATATACCGGCCGTGAGGAGACCGGAGGAAGAGGAGGGGGCGGAGGATCAGGAGGACGAGCTCTATCGGCGATTTTTGGTGGGCGATAGCCTCAGCGATGCCGACGATGACGAGCCCGCGCAGTGGGAGAGTGACGAGGCGGGCGACGAGGATACGACGGACGGCAGTGATGGGGAAGAGTCGGAGCCGGACGCTGAAGCTCTCGCGCTGTTCATGGACCTGCAACGTTCGCGGGCGCGGAGTAGGACGCCCACGCCCGAGGCATCGTCGTCGTCCGCCGCGCCGTTGTTTATGGCGCATATGGTGCGAGAGGGGAGCTCGCCGTTGACGAGGAGGCAGTACCTCGCCTTAACAACAGGAAAGGCTGGAGGTGGCGAGGTCGAGCAGGCGAGGGGTAAGTCGAGCTACTCGCGAGCAGGGTATGGAAGACTGACCTGGATGACAGCACGCTCGTCCATGTCGACAGACGACGACGAGGTGAGGCGCATGTGCGTAATCTGTACGTGCGAGTTGAGGGAGATCATCTGCTGGCCTTGTCGGTGCGTTCTGCTCGCCCTGTCTCTTTGTGCATTCCGCTCATCCTAAGCCTAGCTGCCTCTCGATGTGCAACTCCTGCCGCGAGAGTTTGGCGGCGCAGTCCGGCTCGTCAAAACACAGATGCCCGTGCTGCCGACGAAAGTGAGTATGCTCCTTATGACTCGGACGATTTTTTGGATGGGGTAAGGGGCAGAATACTGACATCGCTGTACAGGGTCGAAGGCTACTCGAAGATCTTCATTCCTTGAGGTTGAGGGAGATGGCTGTGTACTATGTATTGTCGGATGGAATTGCTGTATCAGAGCTTGTGTACTTATATAGCGTTGCAATGTTGTTGTCTTCCTCAGTGGTCAAGTTTGCGCCCTACAGAAATCGACTTGAGGCTCGTGGGAAGATATGTCCAAACAATGGTCCCATACGTAAATGCAGATATTCTTGCCTTTTCCGGAGGCGCTCCTTGTTCTCAACCATCATTGTTTGACTGACCTTTTCTTATTCCTGCCCTTGCTTTCCTGGTCCTCTTGTACAATCATGGAGTCCGTCGTACTGGAAACTAGTCTCGGTGATGTTCAGCTGGAACTTTACTGGGACCATGCTCCGAAGGTGACGCGCGTTTGCGAAGCCCTCATACGATTTTGAGGCGTCGATAATGGACCGGGCGACTAACATTGGTTCTTATCCTGGCAGACCTGTAAAAACTTTGCAGAGCTGGCCAGGAGAGGGTACTACAACGGTGTCATCTTCCACCGAATCATTGCAGTAAGTTTGCGTGGCCTGTGACCAGATTGACGATGGACTAAACGCCTTGCGCAGGACTTCATGATACAGACGGGTGACCCGGTATGTTGTCGGCCCTACAGGGACCCGTCAATATGATGCTGACTACATCTGAAGACCGGAACTGGTCGTGGCGGCACGAGCATTTACGGCCAAAAATTGTTTGTTCGCATTTGCTAACCTATTGAATCGTCATGCTCACGCGTCCACCACTTAGCGAGGATGAAATACACCCCGACCTACGCTTTACCGGCGCAGGGATCCTGGCAATGGCCAACTCTGGGCCGAACACCAACGGTACGAAGCTCATCGCAGAACTCAGGATCGTCGAGTTGACTCTGCATCCCCTCAGGCTCGCAATTCTTCATCACTCTGGCTCCGACGCCATACCTTGACAAGAAGCACACCATCTTTGGGCGAGTGAGCTCGGGTATGCGAGTCGTGCAGCGCTTGGGAGCTGTCGCGGTCGATGCGCAAGACAAGTGAAGCACATTAACGAGTGCGGTGACATTGTACTAACGCCATTTTTGCAGGCCTAGGGAGGATGTGAAGATACACAAAGGTCGCGTAGTGTAGTATAGCGCAACGACAAATGCATTGGTCCCGAACGATGTGCAAGCTTGGGAGCCCGCATAGTCCCAGACCAGTGATGTTAGTGCTTCACTGTCACTCCTTTGCAAGTCGGATATGGTGTAACGGCTAACATTGCCGCCTCTCACGCGGCAGCTCGGGGTTCGATTCCCCGTATCCGAATGCATTTTTATTTGCCTCTCCATTCTTTTGATGTTCAGCGCATTCCAGAGCAGAATCCTATCATTATATCAGTGAATGTCGAAGAGGTATCATCAACCTTCAGTTCTGTCAAAGAAACGTGCAAAGCCAGCTAAATTATGACACTAATGTACAGTGGTAAGTACATCTCAAAGTAACGGCAGCACAGAAGAAGCCCTAGATGCGAGTTGCGCGGCAATTTGCCAGTTCATCGCGGTATATTAGATACGTAAACACAGAACAAGGAAACATTCTATGGCGTAGCCTCCTGTAGGGCCTCTGTATCCAGGAGAATTTGCGCGCGCTGAAGCGCCGAGTCCTCGAGGTCGTCATCCCACCATCCGACCCCCGTGCCGAAGCGTATATCCGAGTTCAGCTTGTGCTCTTGCACAATTTGCACTGGCGCGATGGAGTAAAAGTTCACTGTGAAACGGCGTCAACGAAGATATCCAGACAACAAGGCAAAGAAAACGCACAGATCTTCTCGTTGATCAAGATCTTATATGCCTGATCGAGCGCGCGCGAGTACGCGAAGGACGGCGAGCGTAGTAGAGAGACCAGGCGCCGCGCGCCTCGCCGGGACACAATGTAACCATGATTGCACAGCGGATCGTCCGAGCGCCTCAACCGCGGATAACCCGGTACTGGTTTGTGCTTCGTCTCCGTCGAATCACAGTACCCCGGAAGCAGCACATCCCAATCTGCCGGTAGCCCCTGCATCGCGTGCCTCAGCGTGCGCTCAAAATCGAACTCGATATCCACGTCGTCTTCGAGGATGAGCAGCGTGTCGTCCGGCGCGCCGGACGCGGCGGCGAAGGTGCGCAGGAGGGAGTAGTGCGCGTGGTAGCATGCGGCGACGGCACCGTTTATGAAGTCGTGGAAGGGGATGCCCGAGTCCTGGATCCACCAGCGCGTGCGCTCGAGGGTGTCCATAATCTGCGGGACGTCGGGGCGCGTGTTGGGGGTGGGGATGGGTGGGAGGGGAGGCTGGGGCGCGCGAGGGTCGTTGGGTGGTAAAACCCAGAGGTCGGCGCCTGCAGGCTCGGAAACGTCGGGGTATGCTTCGAGGGGGCCATCGAAAGGGTAGTGTGGTAGGTCTTGTGGGGCGGGCTCGTCAGGTCCCCGCCGTCCTGCGTCAGAGGTAGGTTGGAGGAGGACGCCTTCGCGCTCGCGCTGAACGCGCACGTGCTCTACAATACGCGTTATCTCGTCGGCGGTTGAAAGCGTGCCGTCGAAGAAGCCAAAGTCAGCGTCGAGCGCGTTCGCAAGTAGCGACATGCGCGCTCGACGATCTGTTCTATGTGGCAGTGAGATCTATCCTGCCATGAGTACTGTTATCACTCTAAAGAGCACAGGTTACGCACCACCATAATTTGCGTGAGGCCCAGCGTCCGCGAGTGGGGCAGGTGATCGAGTGGTCTGACATTGGCCAGCCGGTCGCGGAACGATGGTCTCGCGTCCCCTATTGGACCCTGCGCAGGTCTGTCGCTGCCAGCAGACTGCTCCGTGTCTGAGAACGTCCCGAAATCCGCGGGGAACAGGAAGAAAGACAGTGACACGAAGATCGAGAGCGTCAGGCAAGCGACGAGCAGATCGCGACTCCTAGTCATGGTGGGGGATGGCGCCGGTCAGTGGGGACGGTGGTCAGTGTGGAGGGGAAGAAGAAGGATAAGCACGATCTTCCATTCCGCTCGTCGAGCATGCAGGAGCCCCTATGGGCCTTGTTGATAAAACCATTTTTCTTCGTGCACCTTCCCCGCGGAAGCAGATGAACTTCCGCCCCGCCTGCGCGCGCCCTGCACAATTTTGACGGGCGTCGTGCATGAGCGCCACTGGCGGGTGTACCTGATGAAGGCACGCTCGGAGTCCGCCTCCTCCTGGGCCCAGGCGCTTGCAATCATCGCTGCTATCCAGCGTATAGGACATCGGAGAACAATGAGACCGGTTCTTATGTTCGGGCATAAATTGACATCGGCCGAGCGTGTGGACTTGGTTCTGGCTGGATACTGCTGCGTCAATTCAGCTGCGAAATAGCTAGGTAGCGCATCAAAATCGAGCAAGGGCAGGATCATCGTCAATGGCGGCCAGAATCAGTATATGTGCAGAACGGCCGCGATACAGTATGCGATCCTCTTGCCTTGCAGCATATGAAGTGCAGAGCTCAGCAGCGCTTATCCTGGCGTACTTTGTTGATTCATCGCGTCTTCTCGGAACATATGGTTTGAGGAATTGTTGAGGACTAGATGATACCTGGTATCCATGCTCAGGCCTGTACTGTCTGCGAAAGCGCGCCAGACGACAATGCCATGATGGAGAAGGACAAGAGGTGAGCCGTGGGAAGGCGCACACGCGAGCAAAATCTCGTGGCGAGTGAGATCATCACACTGGCGATCACATTCACGACTTCAGCACCGACCATCTCCTCGTCGTACCTCCAAAATGAGCGCACTTAGATCATTTCGTGCCACTGACATGTTCAAGTTCAACAACATGTGTGTATCCCATCTGATTTGCTGTCTTGCAGCTTCACTAAACGCGATCACGCCAGAAATCTTGACATCTGGACCGAAACCGTGAGGGAGAACTGCGCGCCTCGAACTCCCTATCGATAACGCGACCCCCAGTACAACATCGGCTTCTACTTGAGCTATCTTTCCCGCTGGCCAGACCTATGCTGCGTCCAGGAAGCGCCGAGCGGGCGCATGATGGGTTATGGTGCGCGCCTAACTCCCTTCTCGCCCTCCCGTCTGATTCCCCACCCCACTAGTGATCGGCAAAGCAGAGGGCTCTGGGGTAGAATGGCACGGCCACGTCACCGCACTCACCGTCGCACCAGAATACCGCAGACTCGGCCTCGGGAAGAAGATGATGGACCTACTCGAGCTCGTGTCAGACGAGATCTACAAGGGCTGGTTCGTCGACCTATACGTGCGCTGCACAAACAACGTCGCCGTGGGGATGTATGAGAAGCTTGGGTATACCGTGTACCGGAGAGTCCGCGAATACTATGGGAGCTTGGGCACGGGCGTCAAACGTAATCGCGACGAGGAGGACGCGTTTGGTGCGTGGCCTACATGCTCTTGATCTGCGGGATGCTGATAGTGGTATAGATATGCGAAAACCCTTGTCACGAGACGTGGGCCGCCGATCTATACGAGCAAACGGACGCGACATTATCGTTGGCGCGCAAGACGTGTCGTAGAGCCATGGACTTATCATCACCTACATCTGTCAGTGAATCCGATCTACTTGTATCATATCCAGCCGAGGAGATCTACCACGTTTGAGGCGCAAGTTCTCTTCAGTAACGAGAGCGAAACAGGCGCATAGGTTTCGTCCTGACGCCCATGCCATCAAGCAATGATATGGCAGATCGTAAGTCGCGTCTACCCCCTCTACTTCCCGCAGGTCCTCTCCTCTTACCATCGATGCCGCAACGGACGCCTATCTCTGCCGAGCCTTGCGTTCCTTTGGTATAGCATGGTATCCAGGCCGCTGAGGCGAGACGGCACCTCTCATGTACCTGTTCCTGCACGGTGGCTGTAGGATTCGAACAGACTTGTCCTACTTTTACCAAAAGTAGAGCGGGGAAAAGGTACGCCTACTGAAATAGGCTTCAACACACATGAACTGAATCAGTCTCTGCCTGCACAGCTCACGCATGCAATGTCCGGTCCGGACATTATTGTACTCGCCCTCGGATACGCCCGACGTTTTGTCGGTCTACCTCTCCTGTATCCATTACACTCATCCTACCTTCTCGCCCGTCTGACAGTGCTAAATTGCAGCCTACTCACTCCGCGGACCGGCTTCCCGCCACCCCGGTGGCAGCTTCATTCATCATTCTGCAACACTCGCGTCGCGCCGGTCCTACACCCGACGAGTGCGTGCTCAAGTCCCCCAGAAGGCGCGCGCCTGACACCCGCCTTTCAAGTACCGCCCCGCAGTTCTTCCCGCCCGTCGCTCTCGCAATCCCTCCCGCCTCGCGCGCCATCAGCATCAATTCCGTTCTGCTCGCAGGCGATCTTTGCCGTGTTTGCTATCACTTCTGGCGAGCTTGTCAGTGAATGCAATCAATGGCGCTGCACTCGTAATCGCTTCGTATTCTATTCCCCGAGTGCCTATACCGACATAATGCCTGTCACGGCGCACGCTAAGCACGATCGCGTTCCCCCCGGAGACCGCTCGGCTCGGTGCGGGTGTTCCCGTGCTCTGTGGAAAGTACAAAGAAGGCTGCTACGCATCTTAGGCCTACCTCTCAATCAACATCATATCGTCCAGGAAGCTTCGATAATTCATTGCTCCCATGCACAATACACTGACCCCTCGCCACGAATCGCGGACGCCGCTCAGGAGCCTGAGCAAGCCGGGCAGGCTACCGATCCCAGCCTACTGCATGTAGCAGCCACCGACTGCGCGCCTTCCTGATTCTCGCGCCGGGACTTGCCAGTGCCAGACGCGATAATGCACCTGATGCGCCTTCTCTGTGTCGGTAGTGCCTTCCTGCTGCCATTAGCGCCTTCCCTCTGCCCGCCGCCGCCACTCGTGATAGCTATCCGTAACCAGACGCGCGACGGGACGCGCCACAATCGCAATCGCGCTACCTGCGCCCCAGAACCCAGGCGTGGGCGCCGATATCGCTCTTGTATCTGAATCGTGTCGTGCTGCGCTGCAGGGCGCAGTCTCTAGCCTTCATTCCTGCGCATCGAAGCTCCGGGGGCTGAGGATGAGGCTGAGGCTGAGGCTGGGGGTGCCCGCCTCTTGGGCCGAGTGTCGGATGTTGAGGGAGTTGCCACCGAATCCGCCGCCGAGAGTCTCCTGAGGTCACCAGACGCGCCCGAAGCACTTCATCTAGCTCTGAACATTGGCGCGTCTCCCACTGCGCGTCGGCGCCCCGAGAGGTCCGGTGCGGGGGGTATACGGGGTGCGGGATGTATACGGGGCGCAAGCGCCGCGCGCCAAGTGCCGATTCAGAGGGGCGCGTGTGCTGATTCTACGACGACGCGCCAAGTGCCGATCCTGAGAGGCGCGTCGCGCTTAGCTCCTTCCTTTACCTCTATTGCGTGCTGGCAGGGGCATGTCCCGCCGAAGATCAGTCAGTCAGACCCTTGAAGTAAAGTCAGTCCCTTGGAAGTAAAGTCAGGCGCTTTGAAGTAAAGTCAGGCATGGCCCGCAGAAGATAGGTCAGTCCCCCTTCGCCAGTTGCCACGTCCTGGCGTAGAGCGTGATGGGGTCCCTTCGCATCGTGGGGGCATCAGGCCAGCGGGAATGGGGGCATCAGCAGGGCGGGGCGCCAGGTAACAGAGGGACAAAGGGGCGCGCGGGTGACCGCCTGCGCGAGGATCGATCGTACACAGTCGTCTTCGCGCTGGCAGGCCCTTTACGAATCGGATGCGGGGATGCGTGCGCGTATCTCATCTCACGGAGGGCGCGCCAATACGAATGGTACGTGGAGGGACTCGCCCCCTCGATGCGTAGCAGGGTTCCAGTCGCGGGTGGGAAGCCATCTTCATCTGAGGGTGCCACGGTCATCTCCAGGGTGTCAGGCGCCGCCATAGATCACAGCCGTCCGCCGCCATGGATCACAGCCGTACGCCGCGATAGATCTGAATCGCTGGCATGTCAGACGTCAAGCTGGCTGCTGTTCCTCGGGAGCGGACCCAGCGAAGATGTAATGCTACCTGAGTGCGACAGCGAACAACGAATACTGTTGTAGTTGATGACCACGTCGAACGGCAGATGCAGTCGTACGAGTTCATGATGAACAATCAGCACAGTGATATTGGGCGCAGAAGTACACGTCGGGTAGCTATGGACAGCGGTGAGAAGCTACGTAGCTAGCGAGTAGAGGGAGAGCAGAGTAGAGGAGAAATATGGGGAGCAGGAGAGATGGGGAGAGGCCGGAGCACGGTCAACAGTGGAATTATGTACTATGTACGTCGAATTCGAATGTGTGTCCTCGTACCCCAGCGGGTCAGGGTGTACCCTGTGAGTGTCGAGTACTCCAAGAGGTGGATGAGAAGCGAATGGGCGTAAGCGAGCGCCTTGCGTGTGTGTGGGATGAGTAAACGAAGAAAATAAGTCAAATGGATGGGTCGGTGAGTGAAAGACGAAACGGAACCGATGATGCAGAGGATGTCGATGATTGTTGGCTGGCTGGAGATGATTGTTGGCCATGATGTGGACGCGGACGGATGCAAGAATGAAAGGTGTGTGATGCGGTCGAGGCGATGCGAGTATGTACCGAATAAATGGAATATATAGATAAAATGATGGATGGCGGGGAGAGCAGAACAATGCAGGATGGGGAAGCGATGAGTGTCGAAAACGTCAATGCGAGCGAGAAGGAGAGTGGAGGCGAGCCGAGGGCGGCTTAGGCGTGTATGCGCGCGGCGCGACGTGGGGGCACTGCCGTGCGCAGCGGGCGCGAGCGCGTATTCGAGGGGACCGGGAAGGACCGCAGCAGATCCAGGGTGGTTTGTCGCACGACCGGCGCCGCTTTCGTCGGCTGGCCGTAGCGGTGATGGGTGCGGGGGCGTGTCTGGGGCACCGGCGAAGGCGGTGTGAGCGGCGACATGGACCGCATGGAGGAGGACGAGTCGGGGGAGGAGGACATGTCGAGCTCGGGCATGTCGTAGGGGTAGGCGAAGTCTTCCGGCGCAGCATGGTGCGCGGCCGGGATGACGTCGCGGCACGGGTAGGGGTAATAGGGGGACTTGGGTGGGAGGACGACCGCGGAGAGACCCTCGTAGTGGGCCATGAGGTCCTGGTCGGAGATTCCCAGTTGGAAGTCGAGGACGTCGAGGTATTCACGCTCGACGCGGCCGACGTCGCGCTTGCCGAAGACCCCAGTGCAGATAGACCAGTGCACGTTCTTGAGAGTGGAATCATTGAGGTACTGGGTCAAAGTGATAAGTCGACAATCGATGGTGATAGCGCAAAAGACGTACCTTGCTGGCAACAATGAGGGCGCCGAGGAACACCCGTTCGTGGGCCCACTGCTCCACTGCAACTTGCAGGAACGGCCGGGCACGATCGACGTACACAAGGGTAGCCTGATAGTGTAGACGTAAGTAAGGCTGAGGGGGGAACAACTTTGCGGCTACTCACGAGTATCACGGGCATGGTGGTCTCTGCGCGGGTGAGGACATTGGTCACAAAGGTGGTGAAGGGGGCGAGCGAGGCACGGCGGCGGTACACGTGAGTGCGGGAGGAGGACGTTGGGCGGTGCATCGCGTACTCCACGGTGTCCGCCACACAGTCGACGACGTAATCTGGCGGGGGGATGAGGGGGAGGAGGGGGCGATCGGGCGCGGGGGACGTACCAATGACAGCCGTGCTGAGGGGGGCGTCGAGGAGCTCGAGGAGCGCGGGGGGATGGCGTGCGGCGTCGACCATGCTCGCAGGGTGAAGGGGGGAGGCGGGCTTCATACCTCAGAGTCGGCGAACGGTGGCTAGCTGGCTGGATGCAGGCGGGACTCGGCGGCGTCGGTGGGTGCGACGTCGGGGGAGGAGGTGGGGCGTTGGTCTGACATGGGTGTATATATACGTGCGATTAACCTCAATAGAGCCGAAAAGGGCGATAGCAGGCTGCGAGGCAAATTGCGCGCTCGTCGGCTCACGGAGCTGTGACTCGCTTTGACATCAGATCAGGACTTCCCCATTTGGACTCGTGCCATCATCCCTCCATCACCACTATTTCCGGTTTACGGCCCACCGCCCGTCTTAGGCGCCCCGCCCAAGCCCAATCTTAGCTCCCGCGCGAGATGCAGGCGCAATGTCAAGCCGCCAGTAGCCGCCCCTCCAGCGCACTAGCCAGCGCAAGCTCTTGCATTCTTCCCCCCCCCTCCGGCCCTGTCCTCGGCCAACACGCTTCCATGACGCGCCGCGCCAAGTCACCCGGCACTCCGCCCATCGATATATTACCATTGTCATCGCACAATCAACGCAATTTTCCGCCGTCATCCGGTTTATTATTCGAATCCGCCAGTCTCGGTACGCCGCACACACCGCCGTGTATTCCGGACCAAAGATATAGGCAACCCAGCTGATCCATGCCCTTCGATTCGTATTGTCCGCTTCCCGCTTCCATGGACAAGCACCCCTCCATATTCCTCGCGTCCGCTGGCTGGACTCATCAGAAGGCCCACTGAAGACGTACACGTCGCGTACACGCAGCCAATGACTCAGAAACCACGCCTGCACCGATAACCGCACTCATTGTCCATTTATTGGACCCACGCCACGCTGCCATCCGACATCGCTCGCATCCTAATCGATGCGACGATGCCCGTGCCCCCCTCGGCATGTTGCGCAACGGACGATGAAAACTGGTCAAAAACAGCAGCCCTGACCGGACGAAACACGGATCGCCGTCACAGTCGCGCCCCAAGCATACATCCTCGGGCGCCTAACATACCGTAGCGCCGGTGCGACGCGCCATAAAACTGCAGGCATGCACAGGTCCGAGGACTTCGAGGTACACTCTTCTCTACACCAGCTCGGTGTCCAACAATGCATGGCAACGCGTCGAGCACCGCCCCATGATCAGGCGCGCATGTCCGGCGCGCGATTGGCGTCCCCAGCAACAACCCCAAGCATCGTGTCGGCCTCAACAGAGTCGCCCTGATGCCGATTTTCGCTGCATGATCCTCGATGGATGAGGTGCACAGCCCTTGCGAGATTCGCGTTCCCGCCGATACTTTTGGCCACCGGCTACCCACAGCCTGTTTCATTCCTCCCCTCAGCGTCGTTGACCCCTCCTGGCCGCGCCGGCCTCGCGCCCGGCATACACCTTTGTGCGCAAGCGTGCCCGCAACGGTCGGCAGAGGCGTGGTACCGACGTGGCGGCGGCGGGGTCAGCCCACAATTGTGGTCCCGGTCAGCGCGTTCCCCGACCCTCTGACACGACCACGACTGGCCACGTCGCGTCTGGTGTGGCCAAGGCAAAAGTGCGCGGGGCCCCCACAGTCACGCTCACGAGTCTGCTTCCGGCTGCCCGTGCCTGCGCGAGTACAATGGAGCACAGCCACGGACGGAGTGCCTGGAAGTACCGGCGGTACGCACGTGGCTTTCATTCTCCGTTCCGAGGTCCCCGCGACGTCATGCCTCCCTCCTTCCTACTCTGCGCTGGCTATATAGAGCGCTGCTGGCCGTCGTATCTCGTTCCTCTTGCGTTGGGATCGCCTCCTTCTGCGCTGTGATTGATACGGGCGATGGTGGCTCGCGCACCGCACCCGACTGCCTCTATCTGCCAAGATTGTCTCGGTTGGCCTTGTCCTCTATCGGACACATCCCCCCGCGCCTATCGATCCTGCCACTCCGCCCCCATTCCTCGGGTTCCCGCAGGCCTTACGTCCAGTCTTCGTCATCTCCTCCCTCCTGCTACTCGACCAAGGTCCGGGACCCACACCCAGCTGCGCAAGCCCCGCGTATCCACTCTTCACGAACCAGGCCTATTCTTCACGAAGCAAGGCCTATGTTTATCGCGCGCCATGACACGCCTTAGCTACGCAAGCTGCGAAGATAGACGTCCAATCCGTATGTCTAAATCTCGCTACTCTCCTCCACCTTGTCCCTAAAACATGCACAGACGTCATATCGCGTTCATCCACGACCGTGCGTAGCGTCGCGCGATGGTGATCGCAAGAACGGGGATTAGGATCGCGAGAAATGAGGAGCGAGTCGAACGTCGCGACCGGGACCAGTAGCCGGAGATTTGGTCGAATAGACGACGCGCGAGACGATGACGCCGGTCGTTGATCCTCGCCGAGTCCAGGAGGGCGGTCAACTTTCAAGCGCGTCAGGTCAGATCGCGGTCACGAGCGTCAGGTCAGATGCGTGTCAACTCTTGTCCTGGACTACCATCTCGCTGGCGACATCGTTCCATCCGCCGCAACGCTCAACCCACCGCAGCGACCGCAGACTCCAAAGCCCAGACCGACGCCGCCGTCATCTCCCTCCTCGCCCTGGAATCCTACGCGACAGATAGCTCGCTGGCGGCGCCTTCTACTCACGATTTACGGCTTCTGCTCATGATTTACGGGAGCAGTAGGAATTATACGAGAAGCAGTGAGTTATCGCCAAAAGCGCAGTTATTTATCGTCTACTTTAGCGCCACAGCCAACGAATGAGGCATGTTTCTACTCTTTCCGGTACGTCTGCCCATCAACTACTGCATCACTCCACCAACTTCAAGCAGGCTTCTGACGAAATAGACCTCTTTCACTGATTATGGAACAACTTACATCCTAATAGGTGCGCGCCCGCTGTCCTCGCCACCGACCATCAGTCGCCGACGTCGTTCGCTGCCTCCGGTCCGGTTATGTTGAGTATTGATTTTGACCACGTATCGTGGCGCCTTCCGTCGCAACGCGTGCGCCCGTATGGCTCGGGAGGGCCCGTACGGAGGGTGCCTATGTGCGCTGGCGCTAGGGCGATGCTAGACGACCACTTGCCAGCAAACGTCGACTGTGACCGGCGGTTAGCGAACGTCAACGACAGGAGAATAGGCGCGCCCTCGCTCGGACCGGACAACCCGACTCCGGTACTTCCTGTACTACTGTGGCTGCACATTAGCAGTATGTGGCGGCGTTTTCCCTCGTGCTCTCCTGTGCGGCGTAGTCCTCAAGTTCTCCCTCATGTGCGACGTGTTCCTCTAGGGCACATGTGTGGCGGTTCTCTCGCGCTCTCACGCGTCTTCTTCTGGCCGTCACCCCTTTGCGATGCTCTCCGGCCGCCACGGGACCCGGGAACTACTCGCGCATGCTCCTCGTGCTGGCGCCAGGTTGTCGTGCGTACATCGCGCAAGTTCGTCGTGCGCCCAGCGACCAGAACAATCTATTCGACGGGGATATCCCGATTTACCGGACGCGAGTTCCCAGCCCATCGCATGCAGAAGCCCCGAGTTCGCGGAGGCGAACACAGCTGCTTAGGCCACACATTGGGTAAACCAGGGTACGACTTCCAGTAAACCCGGGTTTGGCTTGCATGGCTGCCAACTAGTCGTTGCTAAGAATATGCCTTTTGGAAGACGTGCGCGCATGCTCGACTTGTCGACGCCGCTTATTCGATTTTTCGACGACACTCTTCTGCGCATGTTTTCTAGGATATGTACGACCGATGTACGTGTATCTGTCAAATTCATATGGTTGTCGCATGTTCTGGGCAATTATGTTAGGACCATAGCGCAGGTTCGAGTCCCGTGGAATGTCCTGTCCGGTAAGGAGACCCTCATTATCCGGATTCATCGTAGCGCGACCTCACCGTGAACCTTGGAAAGCTGAGAATCGCTTGCACTTCACGAACCTTTTGAGCATGAGGTCCACTTAGGATGCTCGACGCGAGCGACGGAATTGTTGGCCACTCGGATCGAATTGCGTGCCATATACCTTCCTGTACATTTTGCTATTGTATTACACGTCTGAACTGCACGTACGTACGAAGTCATGCCTTCAGCCTCGCGAATCGCGGTGATCACGAAGAACAATAGGCAGCTGCATATTGTACTCCTTGCTTCCTGCGCGCGAGGCCGCGGGCGGATCCTCGTGTCCTCCACGAGCATTATTATCTACTCGTGCATGCTCAAGACAGGGAAGTCCCACCCTCCCCTTTCCCTCACCAAACTCGGGTTTGAGCACATGGGGCTGCGCCGCACACGTCGGGCATATGAAAGTGCATTGTTCGACGCATTAGGCAGTCTTTATGGCAGCGGCGCCACCTCGGATCTAGATGAACTCTGTTCAGTTGTGATTATCTCTGATCTCTGATCCCGCTTCGAGCGATAAGATAACGCGTATCGTGCCTCGCCACGTCAGCATCCTGACCTGAACCTCCTCGGTCACCCACGTTCGCTGCCTGGACCCTGGCCGAAAATTTCCTCCCCAAGTCCGTTCCGTTTCCCCAGGATGCAGCTGATTGATTCCGCGCGTGCGTTTCCGTCCTCCGTATCGGGGGTCCGGGATGCAGATGCGTTGGGGCCCATGACTATCGTACTCATCGCGGGAACGAGCCGTGGGCGGATAGAGCCGCAGGGCGACGTCGGTCGGTCTGAATGAGGAGAGAGTCTGGGGAAGTATAGCCGATGGATGGATTCTGAGTGTAGCAAAAATGGGCGAGGGGAGCTATCGAGGAATCCGCCTTGTGACCGAGGTGGGGAGGTGGGAGGGCGGATGCCGCCCGATTAGCCGTACGAGGGCAGCACGACATGCAACGGCCAGCTGACTGTATTCAACAGCTCTTGGGTCGTACAGCTGGCGCATCTCGTGTCACTTGTCCCCAGGGCCGTTGCGCTCAGTACAGCTGGTGTCGCTCTTCTGGAGTTCTTTGCGGGCAGAGACTTCCGACAACGACGCTTCTCTTCTACGAATCAGGCCCTCTACTACCCCTCCCTTGGCCCAGGCTGTTCAGGCGCAGCTTGATCTGCGCTTTAGCTGCGCGCCTTCTCGGAGGGCTCTCCGTATCCCTCAATCGCCTGCTGTGGTCAGCCCGTATTTCCGGACGCGTCCTCCAATCACCGCGACCTGCATCTGCTGTGGCGCACAGTGATTGTCGGTCGCGCCGGCACTCCGCAGGGACTTTGCACGGCTGCGCTTATGCGCCCCTACGCCCCCTCTCAATTACGCCTCGTGATGCGGTTGCCTGCATCTGCTGTGTCGACCTACCCTGCCTCAAGGCCCGAACTCCTGAACTCCTCCTCACCGAGCTCCCCAAGCCTTCCAGTATCCAGCCAAGAACTTCCTCTCTCGCGACCTCGGCAGCTGATACGGGGCGCTTACCTCTGCTTAGGCGCCGAGCTGATTCTCCGTCGTTGTCGTCCGATGGAACCTTGGCCGTCGACCTCGGGATCTCTGCGTCGTCTTCGGGAGCTTGCGAAGGAGCGCACCACTTGGCGCGCGCACCGTGCTCTGCGGGTGAAGGCTGCCCCAAGGGCCGCATTAGGGACTGTCAACACGCGGAGCCCTCTACTGAGTGCGGTCGTCCGCTCTATGCGATGGATGGCTTTATCCGAGGTAAGCTACTGGCCTGGGCTGACTCTGTCCCTGCCAATGATGAAGGCAGAGCGGCCGCTTCCTTTCATGAAACTTTTGGAGCGCTTCTCTTACCTACCGTCCCTTTACACCGTAATTCCAGCTGCTCTCGATACGCATGACTGCGAATTCTTTGCCATTGCCTGAGTAATACGACACGCGAACGTTCCCAATCCACTTGGCGGTCAAGGTGCCACCTACCCGCGACGCGTGCTAAACTCCGTGAACGCGTCGGCGTCGTGATTAGTGTTCGCTCAGTCATCCACCACTGAGCTGCTTATCCGAGCCCGCGATTTCGGGAGTCGAATGAGGCATGTCAGGTAGCGTACCAGCCTTGTCACGATAGCGTCAGACCGAGCGCAAAGACCACGCACCACATCTGAGCGCGTACGCGCCATGACCGACTTACGCACCGTGATCGACTCCCGCGGTCATAAACACGATCTGTCACCAAGACAATGCCTCCCATATCGGGACAAAGGCCCACGATATCCCGATTCGGAATCCAATGACGTGACACTGGGTTTCTCCCGGGTGCTCTCCCGATTCAAGCGCCCATCCCAAAGTCTTTCGTCGGCCGGGTCTGAGAGGCGGACGGGGGACAGCCGCGCGGTGGGGCGTGGAACTTAGCGGCGTCACCGCCAGTGGCAGATCGCACGTACGGTGACGACGACGTCCGCGAACCGTTACCGTGACCGCTTGCAGTCGGGCCTCGGCGGTGACATGATGCGGCTGACAGGCAGCGGCGAGCGACGGATGCCGGGCGCGCCGCGCAATTTTCAGGAATCGGCAGACGGCGCGCCGTACGAGAGTGCTGCATAGTGAGATTCCGGAACGTCGGTGAAAGGGGGAGAAGACCGGTGAGACGGGTAGAAAACCGACATGAGGAGCAGAAAATTTGGGGAGGATGGAGGAAGAAATGGATGAGTCAGGGAGGGACGTGACCTTCATTTTGCGTGGGCACGTTCGATTTGTTGGGTTGGGGAGTTGCTTACTTGTGGTGGCACGAGCTTGCTGACTCTGGAAGACCGGAAATCACGCTTGCGCTTTGTGGTCGTTTCTAGTCTTTTTGCATTGCGGATCCTAGTGATCGTTTTACGGGATAGACCAGTTGAGTGTCTACGGTATGCGAAATATGCGTAGCGATGAAGCGGCGAGTGCTATATGGGACACAAGATATGAGAGAGAAATAGTCGTGGTCGTGAAATGTAGAGTTGAATAGATAGATAGAGTGAATGTGAACGAATGCAATAAAGTAGCGTCGTATGTGCAATGGGTCTATATGAACAAGAGAGGGGAAGGACTATGAGCACTTACACCCGTATGGGTGCGGGCTGATGCGACACGGTATGTGCGCGGGGGAATGGGAGGGAGATAGACCGGAGGATGTCGAGGGCAGGATGCCGGTTGTGCGTCTTCGCGGGTGGCGGAGACTCGACGAGGGTGGAGGGTGTCTGCGGCACAGGCGAGCAGGATGATGCTGACGAGCCTGATGACGACGAATCAACCTCCATCTCGTCCACATCCACCTCCATGGCCGCCTCCGGCAGGCGGTGGTGGTGGCGATGGTGGTGGTGGACGTGGTGGGTGTGGTGATGATGATGATGGTGGGCACGGTGGCTGTTGAGGGACATGATCGCCTCATGGTGTGCCATGATGTCCGCCTCGGAGATCGCGAGCTCGAAGTTGAGGACCTCGAGGAACTCGCGCTCGATGCGGCCCACGTCGCGCTTGCCGAACACGCCGGTACAAAGCGCCCAGTGGACGTTCTTCAGTGTAGAGTCGTTAGTGTACTGTAGAGATGGTCAGCGACTGATTTCGATCGAAAGGGGGCAGGGGGAACTGACCTTGCTCGCCACCATGAGAGCACCAAGGAAGACACGCTCATGCGCCCACTCTTCCAGGGCGATGGAGATATGGGGCCGTGCACGATCGATGTAGACGAGGGTCGCGAGGATCGTGGGCATGGTCACTTCGGCACGGGTGATGACCGTGTTGACGAAGGACGTGAAGGACTGGTACTGCTTCGTCAAGGAGCGGCCCCGCTCGTGGGGGCGGCCCAATGCGAAGTCGACAGTCTCGGCGGTCTGCTCGACGAGGTAATCTGGGGATCAGGTCAGCTTCATTGTTTTCATTGTAGAGGCAGGCACACATACCGATGACCTGTCTGGAGACCTTGGTCTCGACGAGCTCCAAGACGCTCGGTGAGTGGTGGGAGACATCGACGAGCGAGGCTGGGTGTATCCTCGAGCTGGTAGAGGCTGCGCTGGAGGTGGAAGCAGGCGAATAAGACATGACTGCTGGTGGAGAAGGGGGCGGGCTGTGGACTGACCGGGCTGGGGTTCTGTGCTATTTATTGGAGCGTGAAATCGTGGCGATCGGAGGAGAGTCAAGGCTGACGCAGATCGCATGAGTAACCTGAGTTTTCTCGAGTCACGGCATCAATCGCTGTTTCCGAGCCGCGGCATGACCGGCAGCGTACCTTTCCTCTGCCTGCCGGCGACGTCAGCCGATGCCCCGCGCCGACTCGTCATCATGTCCGACCCGACCCACTGCCAGCGGGCCTGCGCCTCGGTGCCCTCCACTGACACCCGCAGCCGTACACCTCTACGGCAGTGCAGGCTGTTGAACTACCCCCACCCGCGGGCGTAAGCCTCCCAAAACGTGACCCCCGATAACCGTAGCGGTTCACACCCGCCCGAATGCTTCATTGCTGCCACTACTGACTAAGCTCACAGTTATTCAGCGCCCCCCGCCCCGCGCGCTCGGTCCAAACGTCGCGATGACCAAGGCGCCGACAGACTGACTCAGTCCTTCTGGCTTTCGCCATCCTCGCGCCCTCTTCTCCTGGCTTCCGACACTTTCATATTCTGGCGTACTCCCCGGTGCAACCTCGCTGTCTCGCGCGCGCCATCGCCGGGCCGCAGGACCAGTCGGCGCGCCCCCTTCCGAATCGGGAAGGTTTTTGAGCGACGTGGCTGTGTTTTGATGCGCCCCTCCCTAATTCGGATTGTCGCCTTTGTTTCATTCCGTTTCGCCACGCGCGCCGCTCGTTGTGACGAGAAAACCCGCCGCTCGGTTCAATTTACGAGCTCTTATCGCCACTCGACACCGTGTTCTCCCTGTTGCTGCCGGTCGCAAGACGCGCACATCGGCGGAATTCGACGGACGCATCCTGTCAACGACAAGCGCCCAGCGACGCGTCTTCTCCGACCACGGCGCGCTGATGGGTTTCACGCTAGGCGCCCATCCGAATCGCCAATCCTTCCTGACGCTGAGTCTTCGCTGAATCAGCCCGCTCTGTGCTATCTCCACCAGATTCTCCTGGAAGGAGGACGCTGGCTATCTGCTGGCCATCTCGTCCGGATAGCGATGCGTGCACGGATGTCGATATCCGTGCGCCAGGCTGGCTGCCTTCGCCCCCCGAAGGCGTGTCTTCTCGCACCCGAACGTGCGCGCGGGCAGGCTGGGCCACCGCTCACCTATCTCGTCCAATCCTGGGCAGCATCTGCATCAATCGCGAAGGCCTGCGCGGTTGGCCTCCGCGTTCATTCGTGGGCCTCGCTCGCGGTGCGATGGAATCTCCCTGTGGTGCGATGGGTCTCGCTCGCGACGCGATTGGCTCGCAGAACGCGAGCAGCGGGCGTTGTCCGTCGCGCACACCGTGTGCGATCCCGAGTCCGCGTTCGCTCGGCCGGCACACCATTAATGGCCAGCGTGCGGTGACCGGCGCGGGCGTCCCGGGCTGATCCCAAATACGGCAGCTTTTGACCCCGCCGTGTCCCGCCGTCGTGTCACGCGACACCCTCCGATGGTCATAAACCGCGGGATCTTTCGGCCCCGCCTCTCCAACTCCTCCGATGCTCGACGCCACTCCGACCTCTTCCTTCCGGTGTGATTCTGCCCTTCGTCAACTCCGACGTCGTCGATCCGATGGTGTGCAACCTCTTCTTCCCTGCGCCGATATGAGCTCTCGGCCTGTGATGCGGATTTCAGAGAACTGCCGAACGGCATGTCGAACTCACAATTTTTCTCGCAGCAAAATCTGCTCATGACATATTGGCCGCATGCGCTCGGAGATTGGCTCGTTGAGTCCGGACAGTGGCTCGCACGGTCCACTATTGGCTCATACGCCTGGACGACGGCCGGTGCGCTCGATTATTGGCTCGCTCTCGCTAGGTTCTATTGGTTGCCTTCTCGATGCTCCTTATAACGGTCTCGTCGATCCCGAGACGCTCTCTCACTGTTCTATCGTCACTGGTACTGCCGTATTTCACGTTCTGGAAGTCTATCGCGCTCCCGCTCGTCGTTCGACGCGTTCTCGTTGCCGTCGTCTGCGTTCTCGCTCCTGTTCCCTCGCGACGGACGACTTAGGGCTTCGCTCATAACGGCCTAGAGCTTCGATAGACGACTCTGCTGCACTGCTCCTCGCTCACCAGAATGAAGAGCGTGCACTCTCCCGCGAGACGTCTGCACTGAGCCCGCCTTCTGATGGCCGCCACCGAGTTCGACCTTCTATCTGTTTCTGCCGACCTCAGTCCGGCTGTTGCTGTTCGAATGGGCGCACTATCCTCCTCGGCATCAAAAAATGGCAGCTGTGGTAGCCCTACGTACTTTCTTCGCGAAACGCTGCTCTGCATCAAGTCATATTTTTTTCTTTCTTTGTGCGACGATCTCCGCGTCGAAAAGTGACTTGACGAAAGTTCAGCGTAATCGCCGCCGTCCCTGCTTCATTTTCGATTTTTCCTGTGTTTCCTGCGCTCATTTTTTAGTTTCCCTGCTTCATTTAGGAGGTTTCCGCGTTCATTCGTGCTTGCAGGGTCCTCCGCCGCGCGATCGGCAACCCTCCTAGTCAATCAGCATCTCTTTTTTTCCATCACCGTCTTCCCTGCGTGTACATTTCCCGTCAGCCCTGCATGTACATTCCCCGCCATCCACGCGTCGCCACTCCATTGTTCCATGCCGTCTGTTTCTCGATCGTCGTTTGCCCTGTCAATGGTTTTCCGGCTGTCCTACTCCAAATTTCTGCGCATATTCACTGTACGTTCCCCGTCTTTCCTGTGTATTCCCCGTCTTTGCTACGTGTTTCCCGTCTTCCATGCACGTTTCCCGTCTACCCTGCGCTCATTCCACGCCCTCCATTGTTCAATATCCGTTCCATCACGTCGTTCCATCCTTCGCAGGAATGTGGGCAGGAATACTTGTTATTACGTGCCGCCGCGCGGGATAGGGTGATTTCGCATGGGTGGCAGACACGACGTGTGTGCTGAAGAGAGAGTCGCGTGCTCATTCGCGTGGCATGCAACTGATACTGCTGGTGGTGAGAGTCTGTCGATGCAATACTCGGGATCAGCATTGAGGGCATAACACCGCACCGTGCGTATTCGGAATCGACTGTTGCCTGCATTCACTGACGCTGTCAACGGGAGAAGATTCTAGGATCTCAGGCGTTTGCCCTGGCCGTATCCGACCCCGGTCGTACTCGCTGGCTACCATCTACCCGGTGTGTGGCGTATGTGGGCGTCGCACCGCGGCACGGCACAAGATTTCCCGCGGTGATTGTTGTGTACGTCCCGTGGTTGGCGACCTTCGGCTGAAGGTTTGCTTGACTCGCGGTTGAAGGGGTGGACATCCCGCGATCAAGAGTGCGTATTCATCATGGTCAAGGCTACGTGTGTCGCGCGGTGCGAGGTGCGTACCCCGGTAGAAGGCACCCTTGATACTCCGTTCCTTTATCGATGAATATTCACTGTGGGTCCACTGATGTTCTGTAGCAGTTATCGAGCGACGGGTGCGACCACATCACTGTCACGCCAGCCTGAGCACGCTCAGTCGTTCCAATTTCTCGGAGACCGGTGTCCTTTGTGCCTGTACGCTTGCTGTCATAGATGCGTGTCGGAGGTACTGCACTCTGTCTGGACAATGCATGGACTTCGTTTGTCATCCTCTCGGATTGGAAGGGAGCTTGCAGGTGTACCACCGACTCCATGACCGCCGAAAAGGGTGCGCCTTGGAGGGATCTTCGACTCTGAGGGGAAAGCGAAGAACAACTGATAATTCACCTTGATTGATGTTGAAAATAGTGAATATGTACTGGTATAGCTGTCTTCCTTAACCTTAGACCGCTGGTCTTTGGTGAAAGGAAGATACAAAATAGCGTTACAAGGACCAACAAAGGCCGGACCTCGGTCCGCGGCTTTGTTGATGCTGATCGCGGGATGGCACGTGGCGGAGGCAGCGCCAAATTATTGTGATTGCCTGCGGTCCTCCTTGACCTCGACATTCCATGACTTGAAGTGACTTCGACGTTGTCCTCGACGATCACCACAAGTCTTATACCTCCCAAGCACAGGCTACTCTACCCCACGACATGGTATCCACCATCCCCTCTCCACCCGATACATCCTCGCGAGAGCCAGCGAGCAAGCGCCGCCGCCTCGACCACAAATCACGCTCGAGATCGAACTCGCCCAATGCGCAGAAGGCGGACACCACATTTCAGGCCAATGATGAGTATATCTCGCTGGTAGACGACGATGTGCCGGGGCTGGGCAGGGCGGAGGACTTGAAGGGGAAGGCCCGCGCATCAGACTCGAAGGACACGAGAGGCCGCTACGAGCGCGAGAGGGACTGGGATCGGGGGAAGAAGCGCCAGCGGAGCAGGAGTCGCAGCCGGGACCGTAATGGTGACCGTGACCGCGAGCGTGGACGGGATCGCCGAGGGGGCGATGGCCGACCTAAGCGGGACTACAACTATCTGCTGGACCAGCGGCCCATGATCGAAGAGCGTGCGCCATGGATCAGTGGACTGAACTTCGGGTCATGCAAGGATGCTGCTCAGCTGTGAGTGGCCGTGGCCACATTGTGGCGCGGGCGCGGGTGGCTAACATGAGTATTTCAGGCTACACACCGAGATCAAGGCGTTCGATAGCTGGATATCCCCCACACCCGCTGAAGACGAGGTCCGAAGTATGATAGTTCTGCTCATCGCAAGGATCATCCAGGACAAGTTCCCCGACGCGGAGGTCAGGCCTTTCGGCAGCTATGGAACGAAGCTATACCTCCCTCATGGGTGAGTGCGCCGCAAACCATGCCACCCAACCCATTCTTACCCTCTCTCAGCGATATCGACCTTGTCGTCCAATCCAATACCCTCGAGCAGAACAACAAGAAGACCGTGCTCCAGCGCCTCGCCGACCTCATCCGCTCTGCGCGCCTCAGCTCAGGCAAAGTCCAAGTGATTGGCGCACGCGTGCCCATCATCAAGTTCATCACAGCAGCCGAATACGGACGCTTTCAGATCGATATCTCCGTCAACCAGTTCTCTGGTCTCGTCTCTAGCGACATCATCAATGGCTTCCAGCGTGGCATGCAGTGCCCGATCGCTATACGCTCGCTGGTGCTCATCCTCAAGCTCTACCTCAGCCAGCGCGGCATGAACGAGGTGTACACCGGTGGCCTGGGCAGCTACAGCATCGTCTGCCTCGTCCTCAGCTTCCTGCAGATGCATCCGAAGATACGCAACGGGGAGATTGACCCGGAGCGGAATCTGGGCGTGCTATTGCTCGAGTTCTTCGAGCTGTATGGGAAGTATCACAATTACGAAGAAGTTGGTGTTTCTCTGCGGCACGGCGGGCAGTACTTTAGCAAACGCGTGCGCGGGTGGTACAACTACACGCGGCCGCGGTCTTTGTCGATCGAGGACCCCAGCGATCCCGAGAACGACGTAGCTAGCGGCTCGTACAACTACTTCAAGGTCCGACAGACGATGGCGGGCGCGCACGATCTCCTCACCTCGGCGGCGTACATCAAGACGACGTTGCTCAAAGCGCGGCACGATAATAGCTATATATCCTTTCGAAAGGGGCACACGCACCCTGCCGACTTCAGCATGTTGTCGAGTATCGTGCATGTTTCGCAAGAGGTGAGCAGTTCGTGTAGCGCGATGCGGGACGAGGCGCTAATGATTACAGGTCATCAACCATCGTCGCCTCGTCCAGGAGATCTATGACGACGGCCACCTGCATCGTATGCTCGGCCTCGCACCGCCGAAGGTTCTTACTACCGCCACCGCTCACAACCTGAAGGAGACTGCTCCTTCCGAGCCCACTACCGCCCCCGTTCACCCTCCCTCGCGTACGAATTCCCAAGCCGGTGAACATTGGCGTCCCGCAGACGGCATGGACACGGACTCCGATATCGTCGAGGTCGAGCCGCCGCGCGGCAAGAAGCGGCGGGCAGATGAAGAAGACGAGGAAGACGAGGGTGGACGATATGGTATTAAGAAGCCTCGCGGTCCAGCGAAGGTCGCCGCGATCTACGTATCCGACGACGAGGATTCGGACGGCGGTCCGCGCGGCGCGCACGATGATGCGGATGTCGTTCTGAACCTTGAAGAGTCCAAGGACGGTGAGGCGCCGCGATCCAGGTCAAGTCGACCGCCTCTCGAGCGCCAGGCATCGAGGGAGAAGACGGAGCGCAAGCGGGCGTATTGGAGCTCGTTGGCGGCGAGTACGGCAGATATGGACGAGGAGCACCCATGATCATGACCTGAGATGGTGTTTTCGAGTCACTTGTTGTATGTTCATGTATCTGATGTGTAATGGATGCGGCGCATTGCGCTATTGTATCAATGCTAGTGGTGGGTGGCTATGGTACAGTGCCGTTGTAAAGGTAAGGGAAGTGCAAAGATTTAGATGGTGAAGATGTAGGATATCATTACTCGTCCTCGTCAGAGACGATAGCTTGTACCCTGCGAGGTGCGCGCTTTATGACGGTGTCCGACTCGCTGCCGTTAGGCTCGGCGACGTTGGTAGTGGTGCCAGCAACATCAGAGCCCTCCCCATCGGTCACAGCTGGCGTCGCCGCCTTTCGAGTGGGCTTCGGACGAGGCTTGGGCCGTGGCCGCGGTGGCGGCGCCGGTGCAGGACTCTCCTCAAAATCATCCTCCGCGTCAGACTGGTTGTCGTCCGACTTGTCGCTGTCAGACAAATCCACCGCCACCTGTTCCTCGTCAACATTCACAATCTCCTCATCCGCCGCGCCCTTCCGCTTCTTCGTCGCCCGCTCCCCCTTCTCCCCCCTCCTTCTCCGCTTCTTCGTCCCCGTCGCGCGCATGGTCCCGATCCCCAAGTTCGAGTTCACCGCCCTCGCTTCCGTCCTCTTCCTCAGCTCCTTCTCGTGCTCGAGGAAGGCCTCGAGCGCGCCCTCCTCGAGATCGCTGTCCTCGATGAACTGCGCGGACTTGTACTGCTCCTGCTCCCGCTTGCGCTTCTCCGCGCGCTTGCGCTCGCGCCGTTCAGCTTTGTCCTGATCCTCGCCCTCCTTGGACTTGCCCTTGTCCCGCTTCTTGCGCTTGCGGCGTTCCTTCTTCTCGCCGGTGCCACCGCCCTCGCCTTGGTAGTCCGCGTCGCCGTCGGCTTCGCTGAGTGGCGAGGGTGAGCGCAGTTTGCGACGCGGCCGGCGCTTCTTGGAGATGAAGTCAGTGGCCTTCTTGCCGTCCTCGGGTTCGTAGGGCTGCTCGAGGAACTGCTTGATGACTGTCTCAAATCGAGCGAGCTCGGCAGGCATGATTGTCTTCGGAATATACCACTCGAGCTCGTCACCGGAAGGATCTGTGTTCGTCGTAAGCATATACCTTCGCTCCATGCACGGATGCTTACCTTCTTCCAGTACAAAGAACTTGCATAGGCGGAAGAGCAGCTTCAGGTGCGGATTCTTCGTCGCCGCCTGAGCCTTCTCATCGTCCAAGGTAGGAATAGCTGCGTGCGTGCGTCAGGTCAACGCCCAGACATACAGCTACGCATACTCACGGAAATCGCCCATCTCCTCCATGGCCTCCGCGGAAGGTTGATGCTCGAGAGGTAACGGCTCGGGAGCATCGTTATCATCATCGTCTTCGCCCTCCGGTTTCTTGGATCCGTCAACCTTGGCGATGATACCACGCCAAGTAGCGATAGCGAGACCGAGGATCTAGAAGAGCGTTTTAGCTGGTATAGCGATGGTCTTTTTATACCCTTGACACATACCTCCACCGTCCACTCCACAAGATCCTTATGCCCTTCCTCGAGCAACGCGCCAACAGCAATCCCCAGCTCCTCGCTCCATGAAAAGCCCTTCTGCACGACCACGTCCGGCGGCCAGCGGGTCTCCACAACCGACGCCTGTGCACGACCCTTCCGCTCCGGCTCCTGATAGCTTGAGTACTGCTTCCATTGACTGCGGTTCTTGGGGAAGAAGGCCTGCACGAAGTACGACAAATGAGTGATGGGCATCGTCACGAGTGAACAAGGAACGCACCTCAACCGCAAGGAATGTATTCTCGCTCAGAGCCTTGAAGAACTGGCGTAGGATGAAGTTGATGAGGTTCACGAGGTCCTTGTAGGGTTGCTCGCGTGGCAAAGAGCGCTGGTCATTGAGGATGCGCTGGAAGAGGCTGAGGGTGGAGACCTAGGTGATATGTGAGCATTCAAGGAGCAGCGATGCGTAAGGGAGGCGAGCTCACCTTGAAGAAGAGGCCCTCGGCCTTCACGCGTACGGCTTGCCGGTGCAGGAGGTTCGTGACACGCTTCATTTGCTCTGACGAAGTGAACTCCTTGTATCGCGATAGGTAGGTCAGAAGTGTATGGGTGATCTCCGCGTGCGCTAATCTCTAAACGAGGATGGTCAGTATCAAGCATGCAGTTCAGATCAGGGCCTCACCATCTCAAACGCCTCAAAGGTGAAGATGGCCTCCTGAATAGTGTCATTGTCAGACACTTCCACCTCCTCTTCCTCAACGTCGGCGATGCCGTCCTCTTCAGTGTTAACTGCCGAGCAGTGATCAGCTCACATCCCTAACCCCCAAACCCACGCCCACATACCCGCTCGCTTCTTCCTTCTCCGCACCTTCTTCTTCTTGCGCACATACACATCCTTCCCACCCGACTGCTTCCCCCAGCGCTCGAGCATCTTCAGCAGAGAATAGCCCAGATGCACGCTCGCATCAAGGTAGGTCAACGACTGCGTGCCCTGCTTGTAGTTCCGCATGCTCTCAAACGCGATGTCGAGGATCTCGCCATTGTAGATGATCTGTTGCTGCAGCGTCTCGGCGGTTTCGGTGTACGCCGTGTCCGCAGAGGAGCAGAGGCCGTCGATGACGAGTAGGAGTTGAGTGAGGCACTCGATGCCCGCCTGGAGCTCGGTCCATTGCTTGGGCTGCACGGTCGTCAGTATGCCTTTGTAGCCGTCAAAGCATGTGCAGCGACCTTGTCTTCAGACGCTTGCCGCATACGCTTGAGAACCCAAACGATCCAGTCGCGCTCCGTGATCTCGGCAATGAGCCTGAAGTTCCATCGCTCGTCGCCGGCCTTTGCGGTCGTGCTCGTCTTCTCCTTCGCCCGGGAGAGCAGGAAGAACTCGATGAACCACTTGGCAACGTACAGTAGGAGCAGATTGTCCTTCTCAGTGATCTTGGGCCGCTCCATCCGGATGTCCTTGATCAGCGTGGAGAGGAAAGCTGGCCGTATGTGAGTTTGGTCGAGACAACACGTGGAAATACTCACGATTGAAGCAGTTCTCGACAAACTCCGCCGCGAACTTCTGCAGGATATTGCGCGCCTCGACGCTCAGATTCTCCTCCCTCGCGAGCTCGTCGACCGTCATCCCCTTCTTCTTCGCCTTCTTCTTCATGTCGAGGATGGATGAGGCATTCTTATGCAATGCCTGCTGTTGGTGGAGGACGAAGTGGGAAGACCCGGCAGGTTTCTTGGATGACGAGCCCTCTTCGCCGTCGGCGGCTGGTGCTGCCTTCTTGGGGTTGAGCTTGACGGTGATGGTGGTGCCGAAGCGCGAGTGGCGAGAGGAGGCTTTGCGAGAGACGTCTTGTCTGATCTTTCGCTCGGTTTCGAGGAGGCGGTGGAGGTTCTTAGATGTTTGCTAGGCGGTCTGTGAGCATACGGCGAAATAACGTAAGCATGCACGCCGCTCACCTTCGTTTGGTCCATAGCCAGCGACGACGGCTTGACGCCTCGGTAGAGCAAGTAGAAGATCTCGAGAACGAGAGTGTTCCACTGGTTGAAGAGCGGATCATTGTTGTCGTTCACGGCGATGGTAAGCAAGAGTTCCATAGCATGAGTCTCGGACAAGGCGCGGATGAGCTTTGACTGGAGGGAAGAGAATTCGGCCTGGTCAGAGCTATGGTAGATGTTGGCAGGAAGGTCCTTGATGAAGGCCAGGTTGCGGATGAGGTTCAGAACGACGGTCATGACCTGCTTGTCGCGCTCCGTGCGCTCCTTCACAGGCTTAGCGAGAGGGGGGATCATGATGCTGAGCAGCGCCTTCATGACGTCGGGCTTGAGGAGAGCAGCTTTGTAGTGAAGGTGGCTCTGCTGGAGGACAGTGTAGTCCGCGCCTCGATCGAGCTCGTCGTCCAGCTCCTTCAGCTCCTCCGCCATGTCGATCGGCCAGGTCATTGCCGTCATCAGGTCCGCGCACGCCACGGCACGCTTGTCTTCGACCATGCCCTTGCCGGCGGTCGCGAGCAGAATGGGTATGAGGTCGTTGTGCAGCAGGCGCTTCTCCCAGTAGATGCGCGCGACCGTGCGCTCGTCGTCGGTGTCGTCTTTGCGCCAAAGTCGTTTCAGGTCCTTTAAGCATCCGTTCACCTCGTCTCCCATCCGATAGGTCTTGCCCTCGAAACCGCCGAGCGCGTCGACGACATTGCTGATGACGGGTTCCAGGAGCCTGCGTCGAAATTCCTGTTCTGTCTCCGGTCGGCCTTCTTGCACCTCTATGCCGTCGTCCGCGTCCGAGGCGGGCTTCTCGACGGTCTTGACTGCATCGTCGTCGTCGTCGCTGATATCGATTATGTCGACGCGTTTCTTCGACATGATGAGACGCGACGAGCAACAATTGCTGTCACGCTCGCGTCGCGTCACTGGGTCAGGTCACGCCGAAAGCGCCTTCACGCTAAGCGCTAAGTTCTAGCCAAGCTGAAATCAGGCAACGGGTGCAGAGAGAACTACTACAACGAGAGAAGATAGCTAGGATACTACTGCATACAGACATGTACGTACAAGTCCATATATGCGTGTCCAAACGTCAGTTCGAAGTCCAAAATGCGCACGAGTACCATACGACGTGCATACATACAAAGTCCCACTCCTTCAGCCACTGATGCAGAGTCTGTTGCAGGCTCTTCCAAGATGACAGAAATGCATACACGACCTCAAAGCGACTTCGTCTCCGCTGCCTTGCTTTCCTCTGCAACCTGCGCCGCCCAAGTATTCATCTCATGCAGGTACTCGTCGGCGTTCCTGCGTGAGTCCTTCCACGCCTTGGTGATCTTGGCGATCTGGAGGTCAATGATGTGCCGGTCCCTTGGGGTGACAACGTCGGGCGGTGGGAGGGGAATGTCGTCCAACGACATAGGCACGTATGGATGCAGCGTCGCGATAGGTCTACCATGCCAGGCGGCATAGGAATTCGAAGCCTGAGACGCCTCGAGCTCTGAGGGGGCGGGAGCAGTAGCGACGCTGGATGCCGTAGATGGTGCTACTTTCTTATTTGCATCCTCTCGAGTCCGGACGGCGTCGAGATTGGCTTTAGTAGTGGACATGACAGGGTGAGACTCGAAGGTGCGGAGACATAGGGCGGTGAAGCAGCAGATACGAGGCGGGATCCGTGTGGTATTTGTGCTTCTCCAAGCGTTGTCTGAGACTGGCGGACGAAGAAAGCGCAAGAGTGGGCAATACTATAGTCAGTACAATGAAGGATATCAGACGGCCATCGCACAGAGAGAGCGTGAGGGGGGTTGCGTAATATGCACCTAGTTTAGAAGCGGGGTTTTTGCAGTGTACACGCCAGAGACAGCCGCCCAGGAGGTCGCTGAAATGGTTGTCCAGACGATCGAGATGAAGGTAGAGACTAAGTTGGAGATCGCCATTGCCAGATTCGATAACCTGACGCGACTTGCCGAAGCCACGTGGGATCTGATCGCGGTGCTTCCAACCTTCAGATGGTCCTCCAGAGCTCGTTTCTGCACCGTTTTCGACGGGGAAAAGACCTAGGGGAAGCTGAAGATGCAAGGAAGAAGCAAAACGACACCAGCAGGATTTGAACCTGCGCCCTTGATCTATACCGCCTGTTCAAGTCCTGGCGACCCGGCCGGCGAGCATTCTTGAGCATTCTTTCGCGGAAGCGATATCCCAAATCCTGCACACTCGTCCGCAACCTCCGTGTCGTCCCCGACGGTATAAAAGGGCGAGGGGGCGGGGGCGGGCGGGCGGGCGGACGACCATGGACCTCCCCTACGACCACAAGCGCTTCCTGCACCGGCTCCGCAAGCTGACCGAGATGGAACTCCCGCCGCTGGCGTCGCGCAAGCAGGCGACCCAGTTCCAGCGCGAGTCCAAGGCCAGGATGGCCGCGCTCAAAGCGCACATCAAGCCACACGCCAACGTCATCGGTCGAGCGCCACGCGCGGGCAAAAAGGCAGCGGCGGCGGCGGAAGCGGCAGGCGGCACCCATCAATCAGGTGATCGCGACCCGCCGCCGGACCGTCTGGCCGCCATCCTCGCCCGACCCCGGGACGAACGCTCGGTCGAGGACGTCTGGCGGATCGCCGTCGACCCTCCCGAGCCACTATCCCGCGCAGAGACCGAGGATGGCGCCCTCCACCGTCTCCTCTGCGGCATCGAGCAGCACTCATCCAAGGTCTGGCACTCGAGCTCGCCCGCAGACGAGGTCACGCAGTCAATGGCCGCGTACAACGCCGTCGACGCACACGGAGATGATGGGGTGCTGCTCGTTCAGCTCCACAACGTGCGTGTTGACGACTTGCTCTCCAGCTCCCGGCCCCCTCATCATCCCTCAGCGCATTCACACCTCCGAGGTCTCCCGCGATCTCGTCGGCCTCCGCCGCCACCTCCAGATCCAGGCAGACACCATAGAGTTTGGCCTCCGCTGGCTGACGCTCGGCGGCCAAGGTGGCCGCTCCGTCCAAAAGGAAGAGTTCTTCAAGTCCGTCTGGTTCTCGCAGTATCCCCAGGTGTACGTGACAGCGCTCGACAAGGCCGGCGTCGAACAGGATCCCGACTTTGTACGATGGAAGCAGAACGTCATGCGCCCCATCGTCACGGGCAGGAACAGACTTGTCCAAGTGTACAAGAAGGTGCGTCCGACAGAGACACTCCCGACACACCCACATCACTCACACACACACACCCAGTTCGGACTCCTCGTCCTTCTCGATCCTTTCTGGACAGTAAAGTCGCTCCAGCCGAACAGTCGGACCCGCGAGTTCACCGCGATCCTCAACGCCTTTTTGCAACTCCAAGAGGCCGACCGCGACTTTGACCACGCTGTCATCGCCTTTCTCAAAGGCTTCCAGAGTCGATCCGTGGCGGAGCGGCTGTTTGAAGTGGAAAACGAAGAGGAGGAGACGGAGATGCCCGCTGACACGTCCACCGACGAACAGTAGACTTTTTGACGTCCCATTGTAATATAGAAGATAGGTTGACATGGCAAGTGTTTTCCACACGCCAAACCAACTCACCTGCGCGCGCGGATCCCTTGTCGCGTATATAGGCCAAGGGTAATCATCCCCACCCCACCCCCCCATGTCGTCGAACCCTCTCCACCCCGGTGTCCATCCCAGCCGTCAGTTTCGTGCTCAGCTCGCAGCAGACAATCCGACGGCAGACGCGCTCGCTCGCGGCGCACGCCGGTCCACCGCACTCTTGCACACCCCGTTTCAAGCCCAGCCGTACATGTCCACCCTCGAGTCCAACGTCGCCGCCAGCCGCCGCCAGGTGGAGGAGGATCCCATCGACCATGACCCGACGGCGTCCATCATGCCCGCGCTCCCCGCCTGCCTCCAGCCGCTGACGGAGAGACCGCTGGACGCGAACGCGGACGCCATCCCGACGCCTAGCGCGACCCTGGCGCCGTACGTGCCCCGGTCGATGAACGAGATCCCGCTCCCGAAACGCGTCCTCGTCGATCCCCGCGACCAGCACACCGTCGACCTCCAGATCTCCAAGCTCGTCCAGGCGTTCAAGGAGTCTGGAAGGGATATCGACCAGTACTCGGCCGAGCTCCAGGCCTGGTCGGAGCAGGTAGAGTCATCCGAGGCCGACAAGACGCGAAGAGCCCGCTCGCGGATGTTCGGCCGCTGGATAGGCTGGATTCGCCTCAAGGCGCCCAACTGGCCAGAGTCCGCCGCTTGGAACGGGGACTGTATCCTCGAGTATGGCCCCTCCTTTCTTCGCTTTCTCGTATGTGCCCCCCCCCCCCTCTCTCTCTCTGCCTGCTCGCCTCGCCCACTGACCACACCCCTGACGGCAGCTCGACCACGTCAAGCGTCCGGATGGGAAAGCCCTCAAGTCTCGCACGCTCGCCTGCTGGTTCGGCCTCTTTGTGCAGTGCATCATCCGATACGCTGTCGACGCCAAGACGGGCAAGCCGTGTGGCACGGTCATCCTCGCCCAGCACGAACTCTTCAATGTCCTTCGGGACCAGGTCTTTGCGTGTCAGTCGCCCGCCCTTTCCTCCCTCTCCTCCGCTCACAATCACACAGTGACCAGAGTGTACGGCCTCGACCGCCGGTACAGCAACCGGATCTACTACGGCCCCGGCGACCTCATGGTCATCCTCGAGGACCTGCTCTCCGAACCGTACAAGGACTGGCAGGTCGTCCTCCAGCACTGCCAGCAGCTCATCTTCCCCTTCTATTTCGGTGTCCGCGCATCCACCCTCGGCCCCGTCAGCCAGAAGCACGAGGACAACGGGGCAAAGGTGACGTTCAGGGACGTGTCCGTGCTCAAGTTGGACGAGTACCGATGGCGGATCCAGTTGCGGTTCCACAATTTCAAGGTAAACCGCTCTCATCACACACACATGCACGTACAACACTCACGCTTTCGCGCAGGGCTACTTTACAGCATTTTGCGAAAACCTTGTCTGGTGCTCGCCGCGGAAGAAGATAAAGTTTGCTTGACTTAGCCGTAGACGACACTGGCCAGCACATCCGCCAACCGTGACATCACTTGGCGCGGGGCAACGCTTCGCCTACTTGAACGGCACTCATGCAGTTTGAAGCGGCTTCTCGCAAGTGCTATGACGGTGTACATGCTCTCTGGAGACACCACAAAGACCCTGATTTGGTCTGGCAAGGATTGGGGCAGCAGAATGGGTCAACTTTGCGCGACGCATCACGCGCCAGGCTGCGCGGCAAAGTCCGGATGCGCGTCTCGCGGCTAAGTCAAGCAAACTCTTTCTTCTTTCCTTTGACGCGGACCAGACAAGGTTTATGCAAAATGCTGTAATCGTCCGTACGACAAGGAGCAGACGTACAACTTGGACTCGGTCGAGGCCATGGAGTACGCCCTCCTCGACGGCCCCACGTACTGTCTCCCGGCTTGGTATGCGCGCGGTCTCTTTTGTCGGAAGAAGTACCCGGTCAGTTCGGTCTCCCCCCCTTTTCGCGCCTGCTTTCGCTGACCCTCGCCAGACGTTCCTCATCTTTCTCACGCACAGCGACCCTGTGCGTGAGATCGTCCCCGAAGCCTTGGACTGGCACATGTCCGTCCACTCTCGCCCCTCTCCGCCGTCCGCCACTCACGCCCTCCGCAGCTTCCGCGCCGTCAAGCCGGGTGGATCGGGCTTTGTGAACCCTCCCAAGGCAGCCAGCTCTCGCGCGTTCTCGAACCTGACGGCCAGCCGGACCAAGATCTCTGGCATACCCTCCACCGGCGTCGGCGGCTGGCGACGCGGCGCGGGTGAACAGGTAAGCGCTTGCGACCCCTCTGTCATGCATCCCGCTCAACCCCCCACCCCCCCCCCCCTCCTCGCAGGTAGCGATGAACTATGGGCTCGAGATGGGCCGAGCACTGCTTGCGCAGGCACCGGACAGAGCGTACAAGGTCCTGCTCGAGCATTACACTCACGAAAACGCCAACCACCCGTTCGTCGGCATGCGCCTGTGTACGATAGACCCCACCGCCAGCCCCGAGATGGCGCGCCGGTACCGTGAACAGCAAGAGCTCACGGCCGTCGTCCTGGACGCCGTCGTCCGCCGCACCCGTGCCCAGGTCGCTACTCAGGCCAGAACAGCAGACGGCGTGTCAGAGAGCGCGAGTATCGCCCGCCTGGAGGTCGAGTCCTCGGCAGCGTTGAGGGCAGAGGCCAAACGGCTTGCAGCCGAGGTATGCCCGTCGCGACCGTCCTCGTACCGCGCACATCTGAGCGCACCTCACAGGAACCGCTGTCTATCGAGTACGAGGCCGAGCTCGAACGCGTGTTCGCCGAGTTCAAGTCGCTCTTCAACAACCTCACCCTCGGCAGTCGTCCGTCCTCGGTGAAACTGGCCATCGAGCGCGCAGACAATGCCGCGGACGAACTGACGTACAAGACGCTGCCCACGCGCGACCTCGCTCAGACTAGGCTGCGTGCTGTCCAGGTTCGTCCCTCGCCCGCCGTCTTCTCCCGCGCTCGCTCACATACACACACACACACTCGTTGGCCAGCTCCAGCAAGAGGTGGCCGTTGCCAGGCAGAGGGCGAGTTTGTGGCACATCCAACGCGTTCGTGCGCATTTTGATCGCCTCTGCCGCGAGGAGCTAGGGGCCAGACGCGATGCGCCCCCGGTCGGCACCCTTCAGGAGCGCGCGGATGCGATCAAGCGCCTCAAGGGCATCTCGTACACCCAACGCGCGCTCGTCGAGGACGGCCAGCGCATGTTCGGCACGGACGGGCTCGCGAGCGCGAGCACGAGCACGGGCCCCGATAGCACCGCCCCCGCGTCCCTTCCCCGCGAACCCGTCGCGTCCACGTCCGCCCATCCCTCCTCGACCCATCGCCCATCGGCCACCGCTCCCGCGCTCGTCGGTCTGTCAAAGACCGTGCCGCTTGTGCCAGAGGACGACAGTGGACTGCTCGCGCTCGATGACGAGGTCGATGCTCGGGTGCTGAACCAGTCCATCGACTCGTCCGTCATCTACCAGCTCAAGAAGCACGCAGGCACGACGGGCCTGGACGAGGACGAGCTCGTCGCGGACGAGTTCTTGCCCCCAACGACCATACCACTCGACGGTGTCTCGGAGTCGACTCGCGCCATCATACCCTCGCTCGGGCCCACCCTGCGCATCCTCACTCGCCGCCTATACCTCCCGTTGGAGAACAGCATATACAAGGCAATCGAGGCCACTGTCGACGGAGTGCTCAAGTATCACTGCCAGCTATGCTTGCTCGTGGACGCTCACCTCGCGGACGAGCGATTTACGGTCCAGAGAGGCGACAAGCGCGAGTTCCTGACCATCGGCGAGTATAACAAGCATCTGTCAGTCCCTCTCTCTCTTTCTCTCTCTCTCTCTCGTGCCCGATCTCGCCGTTGCTCACCAGGTCCGCAGTCTTCTCCAGCATTCGTTCTGGCGGCAGTTGATCATGAAGATCTTCCGCGACGGCAACAAGGGTCTGAAGTGCCCTGCCTGCGACCATCAGTACGCATGTGTCTTCCGTCGTCAGTCTCCCTGGGCTGACCTGTTTTGTCATTCACAGCGCGCCTGACTACCAGACCCTCACCGACGATCACATGCTTGTGGACTGCGTCGACACTCTCACCTTCTCGCAAGTCCAAGACATGCACAAGCAAGCCTGGATCAAGGCCACCGGCAAGAGACCCGCACGCGCGACGGCGCCGGATAACGCGCAGGCCAACGCGCCCCACTCAGGGTCAGCCACCGGACGCAAGAGGGCAGCGTCTCCAAAGGAGAAGGCATCAGGCACCGCACGCGACTCGGTCGCGCAAGGGCTCGCGATTTTGGAAGAGGTAAGTAGAAGCTCGTGGACTGGCGTCTTTGCGTGCCGTCCTGATCACGTCCGCGCAGCACGCGTCAGATGATCCAGCCGTCGCAGATGTCATCGACAGTGCGCAGCGACTGCTCGATTGGCTGGACGACGAGACTGAGGGGGACCTGCCGGCGGTTGACTTTTGGCCGTCGTACGAGGACTTGAGCACATGGACTTTGGCCGAAGCGGAGATCGCGCTCGAGGAGGTACGTGTACCACGATCTGCGCGCGACTCGCACTCATGCCACCTTCAGCTTCAGCAGTCACACCCTGACGACGAAGTCACCCTCGCCATGGAGCGCGCGGTCGAGCACCTGAGTCAGTCTCATCGTGAGCTTACTCTCGACGAGTATTATGATGCGTGGTTAGACGCCTGCTTGTAGTTGTAATACACGTGTTTCATTCATTCATTCAGTATGAGAAATGACAGGAAGCGTAGTGTGACGACGGTGGTGAGGAAGGTAAGGTAGTCGTGTGCAGAAACGAGAAGTTCATTGAAATGCGGTGGAGTTCAAGTCTCGTAGGCGTTCTGCGGGCCCCCGTAGGCCATCTGAACGTCTGCGGGCGACGGTCAAACAAGTGACTTGTGCGAAACCAGACGCTTCGCACTCACCTCCCGCCATGTTGCTGCCACCGGCGACGCCGGGCCACGCACCCACGCCACTCGGCCCCTCACCTCCCATCCCGCCCGCCATGTTGCTCCCACCAGCGACGCCGGACCACGCGCTTGCGCCACTCGGTCCGCTGCCCCACCCAACACCGAACTCGTCCCCCATCGCAGGTGCGGGAGCGAGGCCGTTGAAGCCCGTGCTATAGGCTTGCGGTTGCGGGTACGCGGCAAAGTCGGAACAGGCGCTCTCGTTCAAACCGAAGGCTGGATCATTATGAGCCACGCGGCGAGAGGTAAGAAAGGGGAATATATGCGCACTTGAACAAAGCCTACGGTACTTCTCGACCGACGCAGTCAGCCTCAAGATCTCCTTGTTTGCGTCCGCCAGCGCCTGCCGTGACTCCTTGCGCTCCTCGTCCAAGCGCTCCTGACGTTTTACAGCGTATGAAAGAGCGATGGTCTTGGCCGCGGCATCCGACGTGTCGACTCGCTGGCGAGTCGCTCTCGCCTTTTTCGCTTGCGGCACCGCAGGAGCTGGCGCCCCTTCGACAGACGCCTCCTCGACGGCTGGAGCCTTTCCCTTGCCCTTGTCCGCCGCGGGTGCGGGCGCCTTCTTCTTCCGCTGCTGCTGGGCAGGTGCAGGCGGATCGGTCTTGCGCGGTCTGCCCCTTCTTTTGACTGTGATGGCAGCCGGGGATGACGCGGGCATGGGAGCGGAGTCGATAGATGCAGAGACAACAGAGGCAGAGTGAGCGGGAGCGGAGGCAGCCGGGGGATCGCGAGCGGTAGCGACCTTGTCGAGAGACGGTTTGACGTCGACCATAACATTGTCAATGATCATCGGCTCGTCATCAGAGTCCGAGAGCTCAGTGTAGGCAGTACTGGCGGGATTGAACTTGCGGGGGACGGCGGAGGCGGCGGGTGTACAAGCAGTCGCAGCGTTGGAGGCGAGTAGGTCATGCATCGTTTTGGATGTGATCGTCGAGTCGGGGGCAGGCGAGGAAGAGGCGTAGGAAGCGAGAGCAGTGAGTTCGTGTGTCGATTCGGTAGCAGCGAGTTCGGGCATCGTTTCGGACGCAGGCATCTCATTCTTGATTTCGGGTGCAGGCGAGGAGGAGACGTAGATGACTTCAGACGGAGGGGAGCGAGTCGGGCCATTAGCGGAGGAATAAGCAGCGGGGGCAGGCGTAATCGGCACTCGGATGACAGGGCTCGGAGCGGCAACCGTAGTCGACGCCGTGGACTGGGTGGCTGTGCCGGTTCTCGCGAGGCGCATATATGCGCCCGGATCGACGGCGCTTGAACGGATGATCGGCGGTGCGGGATCTACGCGTGCTGGGCGCGTATTGCCCAGCTGAATGGGCGCGCTGAGGCGCATGCGAGGCAAGGCAGGCTGGTACAAGAGCTGACGTTGTGACATGATGGAGGTCAGAACCAAGAACAGTTGGGCGCGAGTCGGGTGGGCGTCCGCGCTTTTGATGACCATTGTTGTTGCCAAACAAGACCAGACACCGTCAATCATTGTACTTTTCCATGACGTTTGCAATGACAGGTAGCGTCACTTGCACAAATTTGGCATGTGGAAAGCACACACCAAAGTCGACTTTGTGACGAGAGATACGGTAAGTCTGAGAAGAGATTTCTGGTCTCACGCGTTAACTACTCCGTCTTAGTGCCCTGGGGAGGTATTTCAAAAGAGGTCCCTCAGCGCCGGGCGAGGGCTATGGTCTGTCTTAGATGTTGATACATCCTCCAGGAAGGTCTGTTTCTTTGTTCGACTGGATGATATATGTTCGAATGCAGAGATATGGAGTACGAACAATTATACATCTGATGATACAGTCGAGAGTGTTCAGTCAAATTGTCAATTCACCCCAACCCTTCCCCACTCTACTCGTCGTCGTCTTCAGGAACAGATATCGAGATGAGAACATTCGAGTCTGTCGCGTTAACCACTCCGCCATAGTGCCTTACATCACTGAGCTTTGTTAGTGAGTAGTACCTGCTTTGGTGTGATGAGCATCGCAGTTGCGTGTGGACATGTTGGAGAGGTTCAGGAGGAGGACTGGTCCCAGCAGCACCAGGTCTTCAGGCGCTCTGCACATTGCAGTGCCAAGTTCAACACGGAAGTAGAACGGAAGCACAAGTTTTCTGAGCAGCGTCTGCCAGCCGGCGATCAAAGCTTTGACGCGCCAAAGTCCGATCGTGGCTTGACGCGTTCATTTGCCTCCTTGACCACAACTATCACCTTCACCCCCTCCTGCGCCATGTTCTCACTCAAGGTCATTGGTGGAAGCTGTCAGCGACTGGCTACCTGTGCGAAAACATCCTCGTCGTCGTTGCGATCTGGCAGCCGGGCATACGCTGTACTCTCCTCCACTCGGTCCCCCCGCCTCGTAGCTCAGCACACGGCAGGGCGTAGAAGAAACGATAGAAATACCTCCTCAAGGTGCTTGACAGGTCCTAGGTCGCTCTCTGGTACCTGCTTGCGTAGAGTTGCTCTGTCGAAGCTTGACCTCGAAGGGTATCAGTCTGCTATAGTGCGTCCATCATCATCACTTTGGACTACGGTTGGCTAACTCCCCGCAAAGTCAGACGCAGTGGGCGTACACCTCGTCAATCAGTTCAACCTCGACTTCCCCGGTCCCGCCAACCTCCCAGAAGGCTGGATCAGCGGGAGCGGAGGCAAGCTTCCTCCAGACCTCCCTGCTTCTGAAGCCTTCTCCGCGTATGGTATTGAGCAGCGCGACCCCTTCTTCCACCGTGTCTACGCAAATGATACGCGCCCACCACGACAACCCACCGAGTCCGAAGACAAGGACTCAGCGAAACCCACCGGCCCCCCTCGCATCCCCGGCAACTGGGCCCGCTTCCCCTACTTCATGACCTACATCCCCCCATCCCCTTACTACCTCATGCTCCCTCAACTCCAGATGGTCGTCAACATCAAGTACGGCCTCAAGGGCGCCGTCGTACCGCAGATGTACGACCCCAAGCACGAGGCGCTCGTCTTCGCGATGCGGCGGTGGGACGAGGGCGACGTTGAGGCTGCCGCACCGCGCTACTACTGGCTGCACTGCCCGACCGGCGAGGTCAGCGAGTTCTTGCTGCCGGATATGTCGGGCGCGGAGGAGAGTCTGGCCGCGAGATGGGAGAGCGCGGAGGAGAGTTTGACGGAGCTGCTGGGTGCGGTCAGCGTGAAGGAGGCGCCGCAGATGCCTCTCGAGGCTGATCCGAAAGGACTCGCAATCATTGAGCGCATCATGAACCGCGACCCGACTGTCATCGACGTGCTGGAGAAGGAATACTTTGGTTTTAAGATCTCGCCGACGACGGAGGAGCAGGAAGCTCAGCTGTTCGACCCTCGTCCACTTCAGGTGGCCGACGAACTTGAGAAGCGCTTCGTCGAAGAGGGCGTTGCGGACCCAGCTGGTAATCCTGGTATGTGACCGCAGTCAAGTGCTTCGTCGTCGTGCTCATTTCCTCGCAGAAGAGGCCAAGATCGACATCAACGTTATAAAGGAGTGGATGCGGTTGTACGGGATGCCAGGCCAGGAGGTGAACATCGAGAAAGTCGCAGAGGACTATGCTGGGCCCGAGGAAGAGGTTGTGGAGGAGCCCACGGACCGCTTCGACGAGCATGGCCGTCGCATCTTGGAAGAGGTTGAGGACAGAAGAGCGCCATGAGCCTGCCAAGCATACCACTCACGTACATTACCTGCGGAACTGCCATAATCACATCTCACACAACGGGGAAATGACGGTGCGATGAGAACTAGCCTTGAGAATAGTATAAAGGAACAGTGAGTAGAAAAACAAACGGTGAGCTATGCACACCTCAGAACGAGGAAGAACCCAATACGGAAACGTATAGACTAACCTATACCTATACTGTATGCCACAGGAATAACGTAAAATGCAAGTGAAAGAGCGAACGGATGAGTTGTCCCCGGGAGAAGAAACACCGGAACGTATCATTGAAGGTCATAATCCTCGTCTGTTCTGTGCCGCGAAACGCTGGGGATCCGAAACTTCCTCGTCCCACACCGCGCCTTCCGTCTCGCCTGGCGCGCGCTCAAACCTGGGGTCCGCGTGCGGATCGGGGTGCTCGTCATCGTCCGCGGGTTTGGGGCCAGGACTGGGCGGCGGGGGAGGCATGAGAAGCTTCTGCCCCGGCCTAGGCAGTGGTGGCGGCTTCGGCGGTGCGCTACGCTCTTGCCGGAGCTCCTTGTTCGACGCCTTTCGGAAGAGGTGCTTCCGCGCGCCCTTCACGATCCTGCCGATCGTGACGACGGGCACCGTCTCCTCGTCCTCCGTGTCGCTGCTCTCGTACCCCGCGTACCGCCTGTTCTTCCGCGCCTCATGCTCGGCGACGACCTGTTCGATGAAGCGCGGCGCGTTCGCGAGGTCTTCGCGCGTCCAGCACTTCTCCTCGTCGGGCTGCGAGCGGGTCTTGCCCTTCCCGCGCTTGCTGTTCGTGTCGGCTGGGGGCGGGCGGTAGACGTGGACAATCGTGTGGCTCGTGGAGTCGGGGTGGTCGTCCGCTTCGGGGTCAGCGCCCGCGGCGATGAGCTTGCGCCGCCGCATAAGCTGACCGCGCGTGGCGATGCCGAGAGGTGGGTGCCGACGCGGGGTCGTGCGTTGGGGTTCCGGGAGTGGTGCGAACTTAATGCTGGGCTGAGACCGCAGGCGAGGGATAGAGGAGGGTGCGGTGCATGTTCCGTCTGATGGGTTGGTGATCGTAGAGGGTAGGGTAGTGGTAGAGGACTCCGGTGAAGGCGGTTGGGAGGAATGTCGAGAGGAGGTCGAAGCGGTAGAGTTTGTCGATCCATTATCCTCTTCGTGTCGCGGCGCCAGAAGGTCCGCGGTGTCCTTGCGGATGAGAGGGGGGTGTTCGGTGGTTTCTGGAGGTGGTGGGTCTGCTGTCGCCATCGCTCGTGGGAGGGGGACCCGGTGTAGCTGGTGGATCGCGCGACCGTGCGCTGGCGGCTCGGGCTTTTGGGTAGTCCCTGCGGAGAGCCGCTAGGCTGATATACGTCCGAGCAGTCAGCACACGAACCGAAGTGCCGTAAACGATACACTCACCCAGTGTCAAAAGAAGGGAGAAGGCTAAACGAAGGGCGAGATGTAACGGGGATAGGTACACGCGACAGGAACAGGCCGTCCTTCCGTCCACGGGATAATTTATCCAAAAACCCAAGGGGAGACTGGCAGGCGGGGGGTTCCAAGCCCAGGAGGAGGAGGAGGCAGCAGGAGCGCTAGGGTAGCAAACCAAAAGCGGAGCCAGCACCGTCTGGCCGCAAGCACTTGGCCAGAAAAGGCGATGGCAACTTGATGGCAACCGGCCTCGGGACCTGGTCATCCGGCCCGAGGCTGGACCCACAGGAAGGAACAGAAAAAGATTGTCGCGTCTAAAGTCTCTTCTATCCGGCCTACGGAGACTAGAGCAGGAAAACAATACTCTACCTCTTCTTCTCTGGAACATGTAGGGCTTCAAGGAATTTTTTTCACCTTGCGGAAGCGGCCAACTCATGAAGGTTCAATACGCCGTAAAGCGGGTATGTGAAGGAAGGGGACGGGAAAATCGCTAGTGCTACGATGCTGTGTACGTGATAGTCCCGCAACCAAGTACTCTCCGTTCATCGCCGTGATAGATGACGGCGACCTGCCCCAGCGAGACATCCCGCATGGGCTCATCAAGCAGGATCTGCACGCCTTGCCCTTGTCTAGTCACCGTCAGCAGCTGCATGCTAATCAAGAGCTAGCGAAACTAACCTGCGCACAGTGCATCTCGTTGGCGACATCCGATAGATGAATTTGACAAACGCCTTCAGACCATCTAGGCTGTCGATGTCTTCAGGCGGTGCGTCTTTCCATATCCAGTCGAAGTGGTCCACGGACGTGGAGCGCTTGAAAAGGGCAGGGTGATCACTGAAAAGATGATCAAAAAGTTGCATCCGCATACACGTTGAGTGTCACGTACGGTCCAGGAACGACATAGACGATGTTATTTTCCGTGTCCTTGTCGGCCACATACCACCTCTGCAGCATGTTCGGGATGCGCGCACGCTCGCCGACGGTGTAATTCCACAGACCCTCGTGCCCACCAATCTCCTCGCCAGTCTCCAAGCTTCGTATTGACCCGGCCTTGCCTTCGAGGTACTTAGCTAGCAATGTTGGCGTCAGCACCTTTGTGTGATCAGACGCTCGATTCGCGCGCTTACATAGGAATTCCTTGAATTTCCCCTTCTGACCGACGAAGCATATCCCCATGCTCTCCTTGCGGTCAGCAACGGGTAGCTTGAACTCGCGGGCGAGCCGTTTGACCTCTGACTTATGCAGTGTTCCAAGAGGGAAGAGGGCTGGTCGGAGATTGGACTCGCAGATGCTGGCGAGGTAGTAGGACTGATCTTTGACCGGGTCAAGGCCCGCTAGCAAGGTCGGCCGCCCGTTTGACCAAGATTTGCGAGCATAGTGCCCTGAAAAAGGTCAGTGACAATATTACGAATATGGGGCTTGAGATCACCTGTCGCAAACCAAGTATCCTCTGCAGCTAGCAGACCCATGTGCTCGTGAAGGGCCCCGAACTTCACATGCCTGTCAATGTAGGTCCAGCATGTAGAGGTAATGTAGGATCACCAACCTGTTGCATAGAACGTCGGGATTGGGCGTCACACCACTGGCCCAAGCGTCCAAAGACGGCTGGAAAACTCGATTCCAATATTCCTTCGACAAATCGACCTGGATGCCGTTAGCGAGATGTGGCGAAGAGATAGAAATGGGCTACCATTTTACACGGTATGCTGAGAATATCGCATACTCGTTGGACATCGTTCCAGTCCTTTTTCCATTCGCAGCCTTCGTCGGTGCCGGACTCGTCTCGGGTGTCCCAATTGCGCATGTAAATTCCGGAGACATCGTAGCCCTAGGGTAAAATACATGGGAGAGCGACGGAGGCGTAAAAGAAGAGCTGCTGACCTGGTCTAGCATGAGCTTTGCCGTCACGGATGAGTCGACTCCGCCGGACATGCCCACGACCACTTCCGCCTTGAGTCAGAAAATGCGGCACCGAGCACAGACAACCCTACCTCTATCGCCCTTCTTCGGTTGTGTATGTACTTGGGAAGCGCCAGAGTACCATCTGGACTTTCCCGAGATATACGCCTTCACGGCAGACCGTGCACATCCCGAGCGAGCCAGCATGAGCGGAAAAGGCAGGATCCAAGTTGGACGAGCACGTGCCTGCGCGCGTCGCGTGACAAACGCGTTGAGTCGTCACGCTCCCACGCCCGATATTTGTTTGCCGCCGCCATCATCAAGACCTGCCACCAACAAGACAAGCCTACGCATCCCCTCAAGAAATGCCGCAGACGCCCCGGCGGAGCAGCATCACGTCCGCGTCGCTGCGCCTGGCCCGGCCGCACAGACCGTTCAACAACGACCCGAATGTGGGACGCAAGACGGGGCGGCCCTTCCGCGAGGTCGCGCGGGATGAGGATGGGTTCGAGCCGTTCGAGCACGTCGTGTCGCAGGGGGACAAGTTTACGCCGCCGAGGGTGGAGCCGCAGCCGGTGGCGCATAGGAAGAAGAGGCGCAAGTCGTCGATGCCGGCGAATGATGAGGACAGCGACGATGACTATGGGATGCAGAGCATGGAGATTGATAGTGCGTGCGCTGATAGTGCGGATGGGGTACCGCTTCTGACCTGATTTCAGGTCCACTGGCGAGCGCGGCGCAGCCTATCTCTCCTGCGCGTCCTAGGAAGAGCGTGTCGTCACGCACGCTCAGGTACTCCGACACATACTACGATGAGATTCCATCTGCGACCACGAGTGGGAGTGCGCGTTCCCGCCCCTCCCTCCCCAATCGCTCTCGTGTCTCCGACGCTACGACCCGGACCTCCTATGCAACCACCTACGACGACGATGACTCTTCTGACGGTGACAATAATGCGTTCGATATGGGCGCAGGCTATGACCCTCCCGACGACTCTGCTGACGAGATGCCGCCCCCTCCCGTTCCCCGTCGAAAAAGCTTCTCACAGATGAACCAAGATGATGACGACGAGGAGTCGGAGGAGGAACAGCCGGCCCCGCCACCGCCACCCACCAAGAAGAAGGGCAAGGAAAAGGCAGCCCCTGAGCCTGAGCCTGAGTCCGAACCCGAACCCGAACCTGATCAGGATATGGAGCAGGACATCGCGAATGGGATGGATGATGTCGAGATGGAGGGTCCGCGCTCGGATGACGAACCGGAAGAGCCACAGCAGTCACAGAAATCCCAGAAGCGCAAGAAGAATAGCGACGCGGTCAGCGCGAAATCCTCTCGGTCGAAGAAGGAAAACAGACCAAGTGTGTACCCCGATTCTCGACGCATGCCCGTCGCTGATCTATCCCCTCCAGTCGTCGAAGGCGTTCGCCGTAGCTCTCGTCCCCATATCAAGCCCCTGGAGTATTGGCGGGGCGAGAAATACGTTTATGGGCGCACTGAGTCCGCCGCGCCTGTCCTCACTGCACCCATCAAGGAGATCCGGCGCGTCGCGCCCGAGCCAGTGCAACCCTTGGGTCAGAGACGCAAGCGCGGTATCTCAGCGAAGCCGCGTAGCAAGAGCGCGGTAGCGAAGGGCTCAGCTTCGGCGGTCTCGACGGGTCCTGGCGCTGCTGGCAACCCTGAGGAAGGCTGGGACGACGAGACGGATCCGTTCGGACTGATCAACGATGTGGACCTAGGCGAGGAAGTCAAGCGACGTGCGTATATACGATCATTAGTGTTAGGCAGGGGCTAATGAAGGCGCATATAGGCATCGTATATACGGCCAAGATGGTGCAGACGACTCCGTCCGCTAACGGAGAGTGGGCGTTCGACCGCATCTTCTCGGACGCCAACTTCATGGCCGCGGGTATGATTACTCTCATTCCGAATGGGCGGAAGTCCACGAAGCCGACGAAGGACAATACCTATGTACGTTGCTTGGCTCTACTCCCTTGTTACCATCTCTGACATCCCGAGTAGATTTTCTACGTACTGGAAGGCGCTGTCAATGTTCGCATTCACGTTCAGAGTGCGATCGTTGCCTCCGGTGGCATGTTTATGGTCCCTCGAGGTACGCATCGCGTCTGTCACGGCTATCAATCTTCCGACTAAACTCTGAACCTCACAGGCAATACCTACTTCATCGAGAACATCGCCGACCGCGAGACGAAGCTCTTCTTCGTCCAGGCGCGCAAGAACGTCGACCCTGGCGAGTCTATTGTCGTTCAGGAGGGCTCCGGGGTGTCGAGGCGGTCGTCGCAGGGCGTGATCAGTGGGACGACAGATCGATCGAGCGGAGTGGGGAGGAGAGTTGCGGCAAGCTAAACATGTCGCTGCATCAATCATTCACTGCTACGGTCGGTCGACTATCCGTGCCCCTCATCTTCGTCGACGGTCCCAATACCATTCTCCACATCTCCTTATGCCCTCTTGCGAATATACCGGCCTCTCCGACGAGACTGGACAGCCTATATCGCGACCACTCAGTATGTCATTCTTGTATCTTATTTTGTATCACCGCACTCTATGTTTTGGTGGATTTATGCATCCTAGTATCTTGTCCTTTGCTGTGCGATGTTGTCCCTCCCCAACTCCGTTTGGCTCGGTGAGTTCATTCCAGAGTATGGCCGTACCGAGCCAAGGCCTAATAGTACTAGGGTCACTTCCCCTCAATGACTTGGCCTTACTAGTTCCTTCGTACGCGTCGAACTCAGTGTGTTGCGTTGCTTTGCGGAGGGCCTGGATCAGCCGCCGTTCCTGTCTTTTGCCCAGCGCACGACACGCATGTCGATGCTGGGCGTGTCTCGGGCGCGCTTGCTGGTTCGCTGACGCGCCTTCGCACGGCGGCGCCCAAGCTCGCACGCCTGGCGATCACCTTGTCTTCTCCCTTCCCCATCCCCACTCAAGCGCCTTGTCGCCCGGCCGGCTTGCTTGGCCCTCGCACGATGAAGGGCCCAAGAATAACTTGTGTGCGCGCTATGTGTGGCCGGCGCGCAGAACGAAGCGCCTTGGCTTTGGCTTGGCATCGAGCTGATCTTGACTTTTCGCTCGGCGAGCTTGTCATGCGTATAAAACCAAAACGGCGGCTGTGGTCCCGCTCCACACCGCCCCTCGACGCTGAACACCATGGCCGACGATGAGGAGAGGTGAGAGTGGTCATAATGTATCCAAGACGTAGCTGACGGGTCTGCAGCTCGCAGGAACATATCGGCGCTTCGTGGGAGATTGCGATGATCGTGGTCTTTGGTGTGTGGCACGGTCGAGCCAATAGGCGCCCTTGACTGACGATCTTGCGCAGTACTGGTCTTTGGTGGACTCGTGGGCACGGTCTACTGGGCTCGTCGACGTCGCCAAAGGAGACGGGATCTTGAAGCGGCGAACAACGCGCGGGAGCCGTCTGTCCGCGAACGGTCCTCCCATCGCGGCAGCTCTACCATTCGTGGCGACTCCTCTACTCGCGAGAAGTCGTCGATGCACCACAAGTCCTCCGTCTCTGTCACCGAGAAGTCCCCCTCCTACCATGAGAAGCGCATGTCTCAGGAGCCCATCGCCAAGGTACGCTCGGTGAAACGTCTCTCCTCGTAGTTATCCTAATTGACGTGGTCCCCCAGCCCCCTCGCGTTGCGACCTCCTCCCGGCCCTCCTCCGTCGACTTCAAGCCCCCAGCACGCTACTACTGGGACCAGCGCTAGCGCCCGACCCTGTCGATCACCGCCACACTGTCGATCACGGATTCCACGGCAATTATGAACCCCAGGCTTCGTCCCCTTCCCCCTCTACCCCTCCCCGCGCTTCGCTTTAGACGCCCCCAGTCCTTCGCTGCGGCCTCACCGCATCCAACACCCTACGAAGTCTAGCGCGCGCTTGGCGAAGGGGGCTGGCGCCAAGCCGGGTCGCAGTTGAATTCCCGCGCGGGGCGGCGGTGGGTGGACTTGGCGCAGGGGGTCGTCATGCTGTTGCCCGGCGGCTGGCTTTGGCGCGCCGGGCTCTGGCGCGGCTGTACGCCCACAGTCTCAGGACACTGCGGCCTTCCCGCGTTACGTTGGCTGGTATTCCTGGGTCTGGTGACAGCTGTGGCCTGATAGGTGGAGGCTTCGCCGCTCGTCCACGGAGGAAGGCCACGGGTATAGTCAGCCGGGCGCGTCATTGACTATACGCCACCTCGATGCGGCTAACCGGCCGGACTCTTGCTCGTGGGTCGACCGTGGGCGGCTCTCGCATCTTCATCGCGAATGGTGGCACTCTCATCGTAGAACTTGGATATCCCCGCACACTGGCATGATGCATCAGTCTGAACTACTTCCAAGACACTATCCCACACACAACCTAACATAGTGTACCATACCTGCTGTACTTTACTACTCTATCTAGCCTCGATATAGAGCTCCGACCTCGGCACTTGTGCTATCGCTGTCGGGCAGGTACCTTCCGGTGAGTTCCCTCATTCAGTCGCGGGCGAGCCGCACGTCTTTCGCACTTTGGGAGGTCGTCCACCGCGCTGTTGTGTGCTTCGTCTCGCCGACGTACCGTGCGAGCCACAGAGGATCTCTGTCAAATGCGAGCGGCGAATACAAGGCTGAGGTTAGAAGTTGAACATTGAACATAAGTTCACGTGGATGCATTCATCGGTACCGCACTGAATTTGTAGTATCGCTCTGCTTGTCCTGTGCTTTCATCATCTGCCAAGCGCACGCCATCTGAGGCCTCTCTGATTGATCTTTCCCGTATCCACCACACCGCCCATACTACTCCTCTGAAGTGACCTGTCTAAAGGCTCGCAGAATGACCGCCACTCTTAGAACTCGCGAAAAGCACGAGATCTCAGATGCAAGACGTAGGATCAGCCAAGTCGAACCAGCCGAGCAATGGTGGGTCGACCACAGATCGTGGCTCGAAAACAGAGGCTACCTACTTCGCCCTCGCTTTACGCCTGGATGGAGTCCCTCGTGGCACGACCCTAAAGTCAACTCAGAAGATGCCGAAGATCGATTCCCTGCTGATGTACGTCCTTCCCTCCGTGTATGCTCACGTCCACCTCGGACTCACCTTCTCAAGAAGCCAAACGTACTCGACGCGACTAAGCTTCCCTTCGGAGAACCCGTAATGCTGAAGCGCGTCAACAAGCTGCAATCCAAAGAAGTCGAAATTACTGCTATGCTCTCGTCTCCTGCGCTGTTGAAGGACCCGCGCAACCATTGCATACCCGTCTACGACGTCCTTGAGATACCGGACGACGATAACCTGCGGATTCTTGTTCTGCCTTTGCTACGGAAGTACGACGACCCGCCATTCGACACGGTGGGCGAAGTCGTCGACTGCTTGCGGCAGGTTCTGGAGGTGGGTTGCTGCCAGATTATCTGTGTCTACGACCAGCTCACTTCGTTCTTGTGACAGTGCGTTCATTTCCTCCACGAACACAACATTGTTCACGGGTGAGTGCGACGTTGCTCTTGCTCATGCCCTCTGACAACATGATCAGAAATATCGAGGCGCGCCATATCATGATGCATGCCGCTCCGCTGTATGATGCGCCTTTCCATCCGGTCGAACAAAATATGCGCTTCGACTGGCGAGGAAGGATAGCTCCCTCGCGCACTCGCACGGAAGATCCAGTCGAGTATCATATCCTCGATTTCAGTCGGGCCAGCGTGCACGACCCGCACGCTTCGGAAGCGTCTGCGTCTGACAAAGGACTCGGTGCCGCCGACGACGACGTCGACGACCCTTTCGCCCACGATGTCTACAGTCTTGGAACTTGGATACGAGACGATTTCCTGAAGGTGCGCCGCCAGGCTTTGAGGGTGTGAACTCTACCTAATCATCGAACGCCAACAGGGGACCAGGCGCTATAAACACCTCGATGTTCTTGACCCACTGGTTGACGAGATGACTCGAGACGATCCTGTAAAGCGGCCGACCATGAAGGAGGTCATGAGCAGGTTTGAGGGCGCTATAGGTCTACTCTCTTCCTGGAAGCTGCGCTCTCGCGCGATGGAGCAGGTATATGGATTGCAAAACCATAATCACCACGGTTCACACTGGGCTCGTCGTCTCAAGCTAATCGCTATGAGTCGGCCAGCCGCACCATCCGTCCAGAACGACCACCGATAGTAGAATGCATTTATTCAGTCATTCCGATCCCTCTAGCCTGAACGTAGCGCAAGCACCTCATGATTAGCAGAGGCACAGCCACGCGCAAGGACTCCTAGAAGACCTAGCAAGACGACCCATAACGCGACTGATCAACGCATTCAGTAAAGCTGCAGACGAGCGATGAAAGATCCGAAGACTCATGAGCGTCGGGATTAAGCTGCGCGGAAGTGAATGGGAGCGGCCCGGACTCCGGACCGGAGCAACAGTTGCCACTTTGGGCGGCCGCGATTCTGCCGTTCACCATCATGCAGCGCCGTACTTGTTCCCAACCGCCGTGTACACTGGGCTCTGGACGACTCGAGGCATACAGCGCATGAACTGGATATTGCTGTAGCATGGGTGACATCTCTGAAAGGGCGAGGATCAACCGAGCACGACTTGCGGAGGTTTTCGACAGCCCTGGCCAGAGCGAGAGCGTGATCTGGGATACCGAGGAATGGTGGATTGAGCGTCAACCGTGGCTGGAAAGCCTTGGGTACCTGCTTCGTCCTCGTTTCCGGCCTGGTTGGAAGCCGTCCTGGCACACGACCAAAGATAAACATGCCCACTGGTGGCGCGCAGAGGATCGTGTTACCTTAGGTGTAAGTCACCGTCATCAGGATGTATATTCTGGACTAAACACTTCGCAAGTACCCCTTTTTACTTGACGCTACTCGCATGTCGGACGGGACCGTGGTCATGTTCAAGCGCGTGGATAAGACGCGCCATCCCCAGGAAGTTGAACTAACGTCGATGCTTTCGTCCCCGCCTTTCACCTCCGATCCGCGCAACCATTGCGTACCTGTTTATGAGGTGATTCAGGATCTGAAGGACGAGAAGTACCAGTTGATGGTCTTGCCTGTATTGCGCCGCTATGCAGATCCGCGGTTCGATACTGTTGGAGAGGCCGTCGACTGCTTTCGTCAAATCATCCAGGTACATCCAATATTTCTGTCTTGATCGTCGTGAAACTCACTTGTTCTTAGTGCCTTCACTTCCTACACGAGAACAAAATTGTTCATCGGTAAGTCTCATTGAAAATGCACGGTAATCACCTCTCATCGTGCACTGTAGGGACTTCCACAGGCTAAACATTATGATGGATGCTTCGCCGCTCTTCCCTGTCCCCTTCCATCCCCTTCGCCAGACCATGCGACGAGATTTCAAAGGGACAGCCGAAGCTGCGTATACCCGCACCGAGCGTCCCGTGAAGTACTACATCATCGACTTCGGACTCTCCATCCGCTATAATTCTGTCGACCCGCCACCGTCGGAAGTCCCCGTTCTCGGAGGCGATAAGTCTGTCCCAGAGTTCAAGGGCGACGACCCGTCTAAGAGGTATGGTGGCCTGTCGAAGCCGTATAATCCCTTCCCCACCGACGTATATTGTCTGGGGAACTGGATACGCGAGGATTTTCTCGACGTGAGCTCGTCTATGGCTTCACGATCTCCCTCAGTACCTGACGTCGAAACAGGGCTTTTACAACGAGAAGACTGGTGAAGTCATTCGGTCCAAGAAACTCGGCTTCGAGTTCCTCCGCCCGCTCGTCGACGACATGACGCAGGCAGACCCGTCCAAACGCCCGAATATGGACCAAGTCGCGGAGCGCTTTGAGAGCATCGTGTCCTCTCTTTCGTCGTCCAAGCTGCGTTCGCGTGTGGCGAAGGCGAATGATCATCCTCTGTACAACATGTACTGGGCGACGAAGCATTGGGCACGTCGTATCAAGCTTGTGGCGCTCAGGCGCCCAGCGCTGCCCTCGCCAGACCCATAGTCTTTGCGTATGCAGTAAACAACTGTTCTTGGATAGCCCGTCCATACCTGGACATTGGTACGTTCGACATGCACAGAATATCACTCTCCTTCACCGAGTCCATTGATATTGCAAAATGTCGTTGCTCATCTCTGCCTCGATTGAAGCGTCTGTCAGTATCTACCACCTGCCAGCTACAGCCTCGCGGAGGCGATGCGTATGCATTCTCATTTTGGGTGACAAGGACTCCCTAAAGGGGATGCCAGCGGAGGCACGGAAAACTCCGAGATTGATCGGCCGCTCTTGCTTCCTACTTCCATGCGCTTTCCTTCCCATCTTGTGGTAATTCCCTATAATCGGCCTGGGTGCTAATGTTACGACCGGCCGGCCATGGCCGGGTTGTGTGAATGTGGCGAGAGTATCCTTCGTGACCCGACAAGATGACATCCGGGCTTCCATCTCTTCCATTTCTATTGAGCTGCTGCCCTTCAAAGACGTCTTCGCAGAACACAACACCATCGACCTGTGAACATGTCCGTCGACGTCTTGGACAATAACGAACGATGGTGGGCTGCCCACCAACAATGGCTTCCAGAGCCAAGGATACATGCTCCGCCGACGATATCGGCCGGGCTGGAAACCGTCCTGGCACGGCAGACAAGTTATGAGCTTTGAGGTCGAGGACGGTCAAACCCCGTCCGTGCGTAATTCGCTCTTCACGTCCTCTCAATGATTAACCCGTACAACAGTGGCGTTTGGTGCTGGACGCAGTTCGCATCGCTGATCGTATACCAGTCATGCTCAAGGGCGTAGAGAAGTCAGTCTGTCCGCACGAAGTGGAGATTACGACCATGCTCGGCTCGCCCCCTCTGTCGTCTGATCCTCGAAATCACTGCCCCGCTGTTTTCGAGGTTCTGCAAGTGCCCGACGACGACGACATACAAATCATGGTTATGCCGCTCTTGCGTCGCCATAATACCCCACGCTTCGAGACGGTTGGCGAGGCACTAGCTTGTATACATCAAATTGCTGAGGTGCGTCCCTTCCCGTCGCCATCGAACGTCGCCAACCGTTCCTCAGTGCGTCCAGTTCTTGCACGAAAGCAAAATTGCCCATCGGTGCGTCTCTATTCTACTGCACCATAGCCACGCTCGCTCAACGCACAGAGATATCCACGTGCTTAATATCATGATGGACGCTGCTCCCATAAGCGATGTCCTTTTCCATCCTCTCGATCAGCGCATACGGCGGGACTTCAGAGGCAGATGGCATGCCTCCTGCACGCGCACTGAACAGCCTGTCAAGTACTTCCTTATCGACTTTGGCTCGGCCGTACGTTACGATTCTGTTGATCCACCTCCTATGGAGATGCCTCTCCTTGGAGGCGACCGATCCGTCCCAGAGTTCGTTGGTGACGACCCGTCTCAGCCGTTTTCGGGTCTGAGCAAAAGACACAATCCTTTCCCCACCGACGTCTACTGCCTGGGCAATTGGATGCGCGAGGAATTTCTGGATGTACGTTCGACCCGCAGCAACGACATTTCCGGCTTGCTAACCCTCTGCGATCCAGGGCATGAGGATGCCAATCAGCGGTGGTTCTGTTATACAATCAAGACGGATAGGCATGGAGTTTCTTCGCCCACTCATTGACGACATGATTCAGGCAGACCCGTCCAAGCGACCGTCTATGGACCAGGTCGTCGAACGACTCAAGTCCATCACTGGGTCGCTTTCTTCGTGGAAGCTGCGATCTCGGCTGGCGAAGGCGGGAGACCATCCCCTGCACCGTCTCTACCTTTCTCTGACTCATTGGATCCGCTGTGTTCGGCTTGTGACCTTGAAGCGGCCGGCCATTCCTTTGTATGCCCAGAAGTCGGAATGAATAGGATACCTCTAATCAACCTACTGGACATTCCCTGTCTGTCCCTGTCTGGCGCCCTGTACCCTGTGTTTGGTAGATCTGCACCATGTCGGTCTCGTACAATAACATTTTTTGTGGCTCAACAACAGCTGAAGGTTTGGCTGGGGTGGGTTGTGGCTACGACTGTGGGTTCCACGACGCGTTGGCTGACTCGGATATCGTCGCTCTAGCGACAGTACCAGCGGCTCACTGAGATGCTCGAGATGATGCACATCAGCCCCGCCGATGCGGCGGCGCTGCGCGCGTTCCGCGGGCAGGTGAAGGAGCGACTGTATAGATTCAACTTCGTGAGGCCTTTTCTTTCGAAGCGGAGTCGTACGAGATTATTGCACCAGATGGTGTTGGCGCCGCGCGTCCCTTCTGCACTATCCCCTTTCCTGCATCCATCCATTCTTCTGATTTCCCTTCACTTGCTGACAGGCATTCGCAGGAGGTCTTGGCGCAGTCGGAGAAGCTGGAGGAGACGTTCCAAAATGTACAAGAGAACTACAGGCGGTTGATAGCGAAGGTTCGGTGGCAATGAATGTGTGTTGGGATGCGACGCCGGGCAGATGTATCGGTGCAGTGGCGTCAAGGTGGCGTAGGACGCGGGCGCAGCGAGTTCACCGTCAACAGCGACCAGCAGAGGGGAGACTGACTCGCGATGAGAGTCGGGGAGTGGAGCAGTCGCGGCGGCCGGCGATCGTGTGCTGGCTTGCGGGGAGAGTGAGTAGAAGTGCGCGTCGAGATACTAACGGCAAGGCGATTGTCAAGAGAGCTCGGACATCGGCCTGTTGACAACCACGACAACCACGCGCACGACTTGTACGAATTCCTGAGCTTCGCGTTGGTGCAGGAATGCGGCGAGGAGCGGATGGGCTGGAAAGATGGTGAGGGGACGGCGGCCGAGCGTTGGGCGCGGGCGGCGGCGCACGTCGCTGAGCTCGACTGAAAGCGAGGAAGAGTGAGTGTTTGAAAGTCATTTTGCAAGGACTCGGAGTGTGCTTACGCCTGTTCTTCCAGGGGAATCGGCGAGGGCAACGCAGCTGTGTCGACGGAGGCTAGGACTGCGTATTCTTCCCCGAGTGGATACATTCCTGAGGTCCTTGCCGCGAGTGTTGACGTGCTATGCAGCTTCATGCAACTTCGATTATATGGCGGGGGTGGACGAACGCGAGGAAAGCTACAACGCCGGTTCCACGCAGTCTCGAAAAGTGCTTCCCCAAGAGCGGCGGGCGCGAAAGCAGATCAGCATGACCTCTGAAATCCTCGAGATGTGCAGCTGAGCTAGCTTCGGAGGGACCGATCCAACGCAGGAGATTGACGAGCGCACCTCCCAGTCTGGAGCATATTGCGGTGTGCGGAAGTGCGGCCAATGTCGGCCATTGAACTTCGAGAGTGGAGCCCGAAGAGCCATAAAAATATTTTTTTCCGACAATGGATATTGACGAGAAGTTTCCCAGATGAGGCACACTCTTCGTATCGTAAAGCTTGACGACGGTCGAGTCGGATGCATGGGGACGGCGCCGCGACGTGAGGAAGCGCCTCTGACAGTCAACTGATAGGGGAGGAAAGAGCATTGACGTCGATAGACCGACTCCCGGGCGACGCTAGCCCCATCAATGCCAATGATAGAACCGGCATTTGCCGGACTCCATTGATCCCAATTTGGCAATGTGCGCTTTCCCCACTTTCTTTCCATTCAACGTGAACTCACGCGTCCAAACTCGTTTGGAGCTATAGCTGAGTGAGAGGAGTAGGTACTCCTAATCCTTGACGGAGTGGTCTGGTTACATTCATACCTCTTGATGCCATTATCGCCGAATTATGGGTTACGACTGCACCGCCACCTGAAAGTCAATAAACAAACAAAGTCGTGTTCACGTGATCCAACCCGGTGGACAGCCACCGCCGGGAAGTATATAGACCAACGCCTCTTGCCTTCTTACTTCGTGGAAACCGTGCGTACAGGATCTCCGTGGAGAGCGACCCGCCTGTTACATACAGCGGCGCTCGAGGCGGCGTCGAGAAAGCCGGGGGCTAAGGTGGCACGGATATCTCTCGGGTCCGGCGGAGGTTGGGGTTCGCCTCAGTCCGTTGTCCGTTGGGATCCGGTTTCTGCATGCCCTGGGGTGCTCGACGAGAGCGCTTAGCCTGCAAATCTGGGCGGGCGCGATGGATCTAGCGGCTGAGAGGCGAGCCCTGGGTGGCCGCCCTGCTGCGCTCGGCGTAGGAATCCTGAACTTGTCCGCCCGCTCGCCTTTGGCGATAGCGTGCGAATGACTGGGGAGGAGGAGGGCACCGCTTGGGAGGGGCTCGCCTGGTTCGTGTCGTCGTCCTTCGCCCATCGAGTGATACTCACGCCAATTTCTAGATCGCCGAGCATCAAGATCCTCGATATTCCGCTGGCACGTCGCCTTTCGCCACGGAACTCGCCCAGCGCGGGCACTTTGGTACGTCTTCTTCCTGTCGGTTGTTGGATTCCGCTCATCGGCTCCCGCGTGCAGGACCTTGTCCTCGTCGTCGCCGTTCTCGCCTTGGCCGCTCTTCTGCTCGCTGTCGTCTACTGATCCTGGTGTATCAAACCTTTCTGTCTATTATCTCTTTGCTCTTGCGTGTACAATGGATACGCCTTCATACGCTCTCGCCCTTTCCCGCGTCCGATCACGATTTTGCGCTCCCGTTTTCATCCTCGAGCTCATCGTCGTCTTGATGAGCACGTCGACAGGCGTCCGGTATGAGTCGGCGAGAAGAGCTGTATCTCCTTTAAGGATTTCGTACCCACCGTCCGCGGCGACGCTAACATTCGAGGAGGCAACGGCACCACCGCCTCCTCCCTCCCCGGGGCACCCAAGCTGTCGTTTTTGTTAGCACCTCTCACTATGTTCACCAATGGAAAAGTGAGTAAGATACTCACGTTCGTCCTTGACGATATCCTCGCTCGGCGTTCCCGTCGAGGAAGCACGTAAGTGTCTTGGTTCTGCATGGGTTCCTCGCGATAAAGGGATGCCGTCGCCGGGGCTCGTCTCCCGGTAGACTCAGCGCGCCAGCACGGATTCAATGAAAGACCACCTGAGCACTTGAAAGGGCCTCGGACACCAACGCCCAACTTGGACTGCACTTGCGGGAGGCGCGAAATGGAGAGAATGATGTTCAGGATCGCGGAGCCGGTCGCACCCCATTGCAACATGAGAGCTAGTCCCGATGCGACGACGATGGGGGTCCACACTCCCGGAACCCAATGCAGAGCTGAAGGTCGCTTGCCACAGTACTGTATGCCACGGCATCACCGCGAGTTCCCTCTTGGTTCTCTGAAGCCGACGTGATGATGGGGCCTCCCAAAGAGTAATTTGAGCGAACGGCCCGATCCGGTCCGCAGCGTTGCCCTTGAGAATCGACGTCCATCCTCCACACAAACCTATACATAACAGACAAGGACATGGCGGCTCCAGCCCTTCTCTGCTCGCTCCCTACTTCTCTCCCCTTCTCCATCCCACTTGGACCCCTCCGCAATGTCAACCACTGCCGACACGAGCGAGGAAGCGCTTGGTCGCATACTCAGCAACTTATCCCCCGAGGAGCGTTGGTGGGTTGAACACCAGCCCTGGCTCGAGAGCAGCGGGTATCTGCTCCGACCACGGTTCCAGCCCGGATGGGAGCCATCATGGCACGATCCCAAGGTCGATTTACTCGATGCCGAAGACCAGTACCCTGCCTTGGTGAGTGGTAATATCCCCTTCGAAAATGAGATTGTGACGAGGTCGAGATAGCACCCAGATGTTCTAGATGCGACCCGCCTGTCGGACGGTGTGTCGGTCATGTTGAAACGAGTCGATATGCTACAACACCCCACCGAAGTCGAGATCACCACCCTCCTCTCATCCCCGCCTCTATCCTCCGACCCGCGCAATCACTGCATCCCCTTGTTCGAAGTTCTGGAAGTCCCCGACAACGCGCACATGCGCATTATGGTGCTCCCATTACTGCGTCGCTGCGCTGATCCCCGTTTTGACACCGTTGGCGAAGTCGTCGATTGCTTGCAGCAAGTCCTCGAGGTGAGTGTGAGTCGCAACCGTTGTAGTACGCGTAGCTGATGATGACCCTAGTGTATGCAGTTTCTGCATGAGAGCAAGATCACGCATAGGTGAGCCCAGCATCGACTCCGCGCCTCATTTGCTCATTGCTATTCAGGGACTTCCACCTTCAGAACGTCATGATGAATGCCAACCCCTTATACACCGTCCCTTTTCACCCGGTCAGCAAGAACAGACGCCGCGACTGGAAGGGCTTCGTGCGCCCTTCTTATACGCGCACGGAGCGGCCAGTTCAGTACCATATCATCGATTTCGGACTGTCCATCAAGTACGACTCTGTTGACCCGCCGCCTATGGAGATACCCATCCTCGGAGGCGAGAAGAGCCTTCCCGAGTTCGTCGGCGATGACCCCGTCGTCCCTTTCAGCGGCCTCCTGAAGCCTTACAATCCGTTCCCCGCCGATGTTTACTGCGTCGGAAACTGGATACGGGGCGAGTTTCTAGTGGTGCGTCGATGATTTTCATAGTGCCTATACACTTCGAACTGACCAGCCACACGTTACAGGGAAATGTGCGCTCTAGACTTCTCGGTCTTGACTTTCTGTGGCCACTGGTCAACGAGATGACTCAGAAGGACCCGCAAAAGCGGCCGACTATGGATCAAGTCATGCACCGCTACAAGGACATAGTGAGCTCCCTATCCGCTTGGAAGCTCCGTTCTCGCGTTGCGAAGGCGCGAGACAATTCGCTGCATAGTCTTCACCTTTCGGTGACGCATTGGGCTCGTCGACTGCGATTTGTGGCCGCGAAGCGGCCAGCGATCCCTTCGTACCTTCGGGATGAATGATAACGGTGTCCTTTTCAATACGTCCGCTTGTACTCGCTCGTCTTGATGACAATCTCACATAATTATGCATCACTCGGACTACACCTTCGTCGCAGGACCGCAAGTCACATTAAGTCCTTTGCACACACTGATCATCTAGCATGGGCTGGAACAGGACTTCGTCCTCCGCGGACCTGACTGACGTTGTCATTCGTGGTGCCGCTTTCGGTAGGTCTTGATGCCGTTTCTGGACACGGTAACTTCGACGAAGTTATGTACTGACTACCTCCGCAGGCTCAATCACTCCCACTTCGCTTTGCTCCCACCTCGCGACGGACCTCCTCACTAGCTCGCACACCAGGACACCGGATAGAACTTCTCGGCGGCACGCTATTCAACCCAGAGGCTTCCATGACGGACCAACCGTCTTCAGGCTCGCGATTACAACAAGCAAGATGGTTCATGCTCACGGTCGTGGTATGTGACGTTGACCACGACCTTCGCTCTTTCGTGACTGAATGAAATGCGTCAGGCCTCCGAGGGCAGGTGGTCGCTGCTTCAAGCCCTAGGTCCCGGCAGACCGCATCTTTGATTTCGGAGCTCCTCTCACTAGAAGTCCCTGGCGCGTCCAATCTCACGGTACCTGTGGTCAACCATATAATCCAGGACCCTCGTTACTACTCGAGTTCGCGAAGCCGGTGTCGGGGAAGGCTTGTTAGCTCCATTGGGGAACAATAGGCGGCGGCAGCGGCGTCCGGGCCGGTCCATGGAATCAAGGTCTCGGTCGACCATCATGATGCTTCGCAGTGTGCGAATGTGGCACCGTAATTTACACCTGCGCCGCTTATACAGCCTTCCTCCGTAGAAGACGCACGCCTCAACTTGCTCTCTCTTCCCTTCATCAACCATACAGGCAGGCGCGATGGACCCGAACTCCAAACGCGACGCTATCCAGTTACCGTTCAAGCGACCGAAGCAGAACTTCAGCCAGATCTGGGAGGGCGAAAAGTGGTGGGTCGAACACCAACCATGGTTGGAACAGTGCGGCTACATGCTCCGCCCGCGATACCGTCCTGGCTGGAAGCCTTCTTGGTACACATCCAAGAAGAACATGCGTGATGCGGAGGATCATGAACCATCGTCGGTTCGTATCTCGCTCGCGTCCAGAAAGACGATCGTAATTTGACGCCCTCTCCAGTATCCTTTCATGCTTGATGCGACTCGCATGTCTGATGGAACCTTCGTCATGCTCAAGCGAGTGGATGAGCGGCGACACCCTGCCGAAGTTGAGATCTCCGCTGCACTCAGCTCTCCACCCTTCTCTACCGATCCGCGCAATCACTGCGTTCCCGTTCTTGAGGTGCTTCAGGATCCAGACGACAGCTTCTACAAGCTCCTTGTCCTTCCGCTCCTGCGGAAGTACGCTGATCCTCGTTTCGATACGGTTGGAGAGGCCGTTGAGTGCTTTCGCCAGATAATCTATGTAAGTCATGGCATCAATCATATAACAAAGTGCTGACGGTCCCTCAGGGCCTGCTATTTCTGCACGAAAACAAAATCGCCCATCGGTATGTACCACTGTTCCACATCTCGCAACGCAACTAATAGTGTATCAGCGATATGCATTCCCTCAACGTGATGATGGACGCATCTCCGCTGTACACCATCCCTTTCCACCCGGTGATGCAAGATATGCGGCGCGATTACAAGGGCGACTCATGCCCGTCCTACACTCGTACCGAGAGGCCCGTGAGGTATATCATCATCGACTTCGGCCTTTCCGCTCGCTACGAGACGGTCGATCCGCCCCCTTTGGAGATGCCGGTCCTCGGCGGAGACAAGACGGTCCCCGAGTTCGTCGGGAACGACCCTTCTCACCCATACGACGGTCTCGACAGGCTGCATGATCCCTTTCCAACCGACGTGTATTGCCTCGGTAATTTCATCCGCCAGGAATTCCTGGAGGTGAGTGACACTGACCAGCTTTTCGTTCGGATGAACTGCTGAATGGCATGACAGGGCGTCAAGTTCCAGCTCTCGGATGAGATCATCCAGTCGCGACGACTGGGCCTTGAGTTTATGCGGCCACTGGTCAACAAGATGACTCGGGCTGACCCTGCAAAGAGACCCGCCATGGATGAAGTTGCCAAGGACTTCGAGGCCATTGTCTCGTCGCTGTCGACTTGTATGTTGCGCTCACGCGTGGCCAAGGAGCAAGACCACCCACTGCATAGTTTGTATCTTTCCGGAAAGCACTGGGTGCGGCGCGTACGATTCGTACTGTCGCGACGGCCGGCTATACCTTCCCCTCCCTCGTAGTCAGACGTGACAGGCAGCTCGTCGGCGGCTTCCATGTTGTTATGTTCTTGCTGTATCCGGAGCCTGACACGTTAATGTGATTTGCCATGCAGGTGATTCGTGGCGTGGCAAAATCTTTCCTGGTCGAGTACTGGCTTGAGATGCTTATGCCGGTGCGTGTGCTGTGCTCCCGGTACGTCGCCCTCACCTTGCCGTGTATCGACAGGGCCTCAAACCCACGCAGTAGTGTGAACGCCGTCGCCATTCGCCTCGGCCTCTCACATCGCTTGCAACGAACTTTACGAACTGTGATAGCACCGAATCTTCTGAATACTGAGCTGTGGCAGAAGTTACGTGATTTATCAATGGCGAACCCAACCCCGACTTCGTACTGGCCACATTTGTACTGATATTTGCATAGGAAGCGCAAGAGCAAAGGCCAGAGCCATACGATGGCAAACATAGAAGATCCGGACGGAAACCGGACCGACGCCGGTGAGAACTCAACTCACTCTCGCGCAGCCATCGCGTTGGATGGCGGACCGACGGCGAAGGATGCGCTTGCTATATCCCACATCCTAGCGTTCCCATCCCCCACTTCACTCTCTACATGGCTACTACGTCGCAAACCGCAGAGCGTCCACATACTACGACCGCCCGACGTTTTAACCTCCCGGAGGAGCGCTTCAGCGTGGCCTGGGACTTCGAGAGATGGTGGGTCGACCATCAACCATGGCTCGAAGGTCACGGATACATGCTGCGCCCACGCTATCGACCTGGTTGGACTCCGTCCTGGTATGCGGATGGCATGGGTGAGACGAAGTGGAATGCTGAAGACTGCATAATCATGTCGGTGAGTGGGTGCTTTCCGATTCGTTCTCACCGCTGTGTAGTGGATACTGACCAGCCTCGCCAGTATGCCTTCATACTTGACGCTACACGCATATCTGATGGGGCCTTCGTGGTCCTCAAACGAGTGGACAAGCGTCGTCACCCAATGGAGGTGGAAATTACCTCCACGCTCTGCTCTTCACCCTATTCGTCCGACCCTCGCAATCACTGCATCCCCGTCATTGAGGTGCTCCAAGATCCAGAGGATGAGAATTTCCAGTTGATGGTGTTGCCGTTGCTGCGCCATTACGCTAACCCACGGTTCGACACCGTCGGCGAAGCCGTGGTCTGTTTCCGCCAAATTATCCAAGTAAGCTTTCCCGTTGATAGATCATTACACCGTCTCATGGCTCGCCAGTGCGTTCGCTTTTTGCACGCGAACAAGGTAGCCCATCGGTACGTTCTACGACTATGTTTTGCCCACCCGTCTTGATCATTTCATAGGGATATTCACCCACTGAATATTATGATGGACGCATCCCCTCTCTACACGATCCCGTTCCATCCCATGCGCCCGGACATGCGACGTGACTACAAGGGCGATTCGGAGCCGACATGCACCCGTACTGAGCGACCTGTGAAGTACTACCTTATCGACCTTGGTCTGGCTGTTCAGTACGATACCATCGATCCGCCCCCGCTTGAGATCCCTGTACTTGGAGGGGACAAAACCGTCCCCGAATTCCTCGCAAATGGAATGTCAAAACCGTACAACCCTTTCCCTACGGACGTGTACTATCTCGGTAATTGGATACGTCAAGATTTTTTGGAGGTAAGCTCCCTTCCGCGACGCTGCATGTAGACCGCGCTGATGTTCTCTTCACGCAGGGGCATCGTTCCGTGACTGGTGGCGTGTTGAGCTCCAAGCGCTTGGGCCTTGAGTTTCTTCGTCCGCTCGTCGACGACATGACGCAGGCCGATCCTTCCAAGCGGCCGAACATGGTCGAAGTGGAAGAAAGGTTGGAGGGTCTTGTTGCCTCGCTTTCATCTTGGAAGCTACGCTCGCGCGTGGCCAAAGAGCACGACAACCCGTTCCACAGTATGTACCTCTCGACCACGCACTGGTTGCGTCGGGTCAAACTCGTGGCCTTGCGACGAGCTGCTGTCCCGTCTCCTACGAAATGAGTATCCAATCGAGTTGACAACTATGTCTGTTTGTGGCGACAGGGCGCTCCGTGACGTTTTGAGAAGGTTAGCAGGTCAGTGAGAATTTCTCCAAATTCCCTCAATGCGACGAACATGACTCGGTTTGCCTCATAACGCGTATCCGGCTGCTGCCCTCTTTGGCGTGATTCGGTCGCACAGTATTGTGTATAACACAACCACTTTTCCACATAAATATATGCATATCGTAGCCCAGGGATACTATTATCTGCAGAAATCATACACGGACACTCGCAGCATCTGATACATAGCATTAAAACCGTACGAATTGTCAATGAATCATGGAAGGCGAGCCTCGGAGCAGGAACGCGCCCGAATGGTCGAGGCGCAATACCAAGGAACGCCCAAGGCTGGCCAGACTAGGGCGGAAAATAGAGTAGCACTTATGCTCAAAGAGGGTGGGTGATGGGCGCAGCCCAATCGTGCAAGTCAACGAGTGAAAAATTCTAGCGCACGCAAAATCGTCGCAGGTCGGGCACAGCCCGACAACCAGTTCACGTACGCTGCCTCAACCGGGCCGAAGCAAAGGCGCTTCAAGCAAGGAGGGAGTCCTGGCCGTCAAATGGGACGTCAGAGTCAGCGGCAGGATCCTCGGTACCAGAGGCAGATTCCGCGGAGCCAGTGGACATCGAAACTGGATGATCATCAGTGATCCGTACGATGGCACGGAGGCGGCGGCAACGCACCTAAGGACATCGTCGTCATCTGGCGCAGCAGGCAACGCGCGGGCTGGCTCAGTCCAGCTTCTGAGAATTGCTCTGCGCGGCAAGTCAATGGAGGGACAGTGAACATGGCGAGACGAAATACCGGCGCAGGGGGATCCTTGTACCAAGGCGGTCAATTGGGGACCTGTAAAAGCTGCGCCGTCGGTAAGCTCCTCGACATGGCCATCCTAGATCGCGCTATGAGCAAGTAGGCCATGCCGAAGGAGAACATACGTACGATGACCATAAAGCTGCTGACGCTCCACGCGTTGTCGAAGATCAAGCCCATGCCGTCGTTCATGACCTGCTCCCTCAAGCATCTCACGACATGCCAGCGCTGTAAACAGTGAGGGATCATAGCAAACAGCGCCATTCGAGAGACCTACCTGTCTCGCGGATCCTAAGCAAGTCTCAGCAATGAACACCGTCTTGCAAGGATAATTTACTCACTAGCATTGTCCCCAACAGCGTTACTGCCGCTAGATGATGGACCGGCGACCTGCTCTCGCCCAGCGTGACCATCGCGGCGACGGTGGGGGGCAGCCACATGGATCAGCATCGGAGGAATGGGGAGGGGCGATGTCTGGACACTTGGCTGCGGGAGGTATTGTAAGCGACCACACCGTTCATTTTCTGATGCAAAACCTCGTCAGCGCACCGTCGTTGAACCATCTATGAATGGATGAAGTCAGCACTGAGTCCACTCATAGTAGGCAAAAACATACCATGACCGTCCGCTGGCTCGTTGAACCACATGATAAAGTCGTCGACATCGTCGCTGTTCGTACCATCAGAGACTTGGGAAGCCTGCACTGAGTTCTGGGAACGTGCTGTCGGTTCGGGCTCAGGGTCAACGAGCGTCGAGCTCGCATCGGCTGGCGAGTAATTTGGTTAGCCACGAAAAATACAATTGCGGTTACGCGAGACGTACAACTACCTGAGCCTGTCCTTGTTATAAGAAGGGATACCTCGGTACGCCTGTGACTGCCGTCGATTACCCGCCGAATCTTGAGCTCGATTGCTTCATTAGAGGCACGCTGGGATGCAAGTCAGACGAGCGAAGGGAAGGTTAGCCTCTGACTCACATGACATTGTTGGAGGACCCGCTTGCAGCGCTTCGTGACTTGGCGCGCGGTCATCATGTTGGACGGATTCCAGTTCCTGCTGAATTTTCCTGAGAGCGGTACCAGCATATCGCATTGCTGTCGCGATCTGCCAAGGAGTGAGCAGGGGACGATATCTGTGTGCAAAGGTCTTACCGGTCGGCTGCGTTTAATATCTTGTCTAGTTCTTCTGGAACAATGTCCTCTCCGTGCTCATCTAAGAGTTTGTAGATGTCGTTGATCAGCGCGAGGTCCTTCTTCAGTTGGGACTTCACGGATCGTCGGCGAACGGCCTGGCAGACGGGACCGAAGACTCTTGCGATAGTGAAGCCCGCCGCGACACTCTCAAGAACAACAGTGGGCATGGTGCGAGCGAGGGAGCTGGCCTGAGTCTGAAATGAGCTGGATGGGTTCGGGAAGCTTGATGACGACCTGACATCAGCGCTGTGAGCTTTAAGAGGGCTTGCGAGAGAATAATTCTGCGAGAGCTTGAGAGACCCGAAGCCGCTAGTGGGAATGCAACTCAGTGCAGAAGTCGTCCGTTGCAAGCCACCGAGTGCCTAGACCTGACGTCCTTTTTGTTGCGAAGCACACGAGCGGTATCCATTCACACGATGCCCTTTCAGAGGCGTCGTGCATCACGCAGCGCAGAAAGACGAACAAAAGAGTCGAAGCAGAGTCAGGCGCTATGCCAACGAGCCAGCGGTATTGACTTGCGGCACTGGTTCACAGTCGGCGTCGTTGAAGCGGACTCTCTACAGTCTGTTGAGTGTATGTTTCGTAAGTCCGCAGCAGGTGTGAGACCGAACTCAAATTGGCTGAGAGACAGAAGACGCGGTACGTCTGTGAACGCAAGAGGCAGGCCCAACCAATAGCGATTCCAAGTCCGGCGGAACAATAGCAGCCGGCTATGCGGGCCGACAACCCCGGGTACCGCAACAGATTCGACGTCGAAACGGCCCGCCTATGTGTGAACTTACCCATGTCGCCCTCGTCGTACAACCTCTTGTTCTCAAACATCGTGGTGGCGACCACATCTACATCTTGCAACACCCTGAACGGCCTACGCTGACATGACCTCGGCCGTGCCCCCTGTGCAGGCGACTTCGGCACGCGAGAGGCTTGCTCAGCGTCTCAGCGCCCCTCCCCGAACCGTCAGCAGGATCTGGGACTCTGAGAGATGGTGGATCGACCACCAGCCATGGCTAGAGAGTTGCGGCTACATGCTTCGACCCCGTTATCGACCAGGCTGGGAGCCATCTTGGCATTCGAAGAAGGACAAGCGTGATCGGGAACAGGCAGAGGACAGCGTGCCCATGGGTGTAAGAGTCCAGCACGTTGTCAGAATTCACGCTGACATCACCAAGTACCCGTTTCTAATGGACGCGACCCGTAGAACTGACGGCGTTGTGGTCATGTTGAAGCGTGTAGATACAACGCGCCATCCTACGGAAGTGGAGATGACTGCAAGGCTCTCGTCTCCACCCCTTTCTTCCGATCCTCGCAACCACTGCATTCCTGTCTACGACGTTCTGCAGGATCCAGAGGACGACAAGTACCAGCTCATGGTTCTCCCCCTTCTTCGTTGCTATGCAAGCCCTCGTTTCGATACTATTGGAGAAGCAGTCGACTGCTTTCGTCAAATCATACAGGTTCGTGAAGTATACCTATCCGCGAGCTTGAGGTACGCGCTTACCACGCCTCAGGGTCTCTGTTTCTTACACGAAAACAAGATTGCCCATCGGTGAGTGTTGTCTGATTCGCTTGCTCTTTAAAGTCCCTGAATTGCTTCGTAGCGATATCCATCCGCTGAACATCATGATGGACGCTTCGCCATTGTACACGACCCCGTACCATCCTATTGAGCAGACTAAGCGGCGCGACTTCAAGGGCTTGGTTACTGCCTCCTATACCCGCACGCAGCGTCCAGTCAGATACTACATAATTGACTTTGGTCTCTCCGTTCGTTACGATACCCTCGACCCGCCGCCTATGGAGATTCCCGTCCTCGGCGGCGACAAGACGGTGCCCGAGTTCAAGGGCAACGACCCATCCAAGCGTTACGGCGGCCTCTCCAACCTGTACAATCCTTTTCCTACCGATGTTTACTGTCTCGGTAACTGGATACGCGAGGATTTTCTGGAAGTGAGTACGCCGATCATACTTGGATCTACGTGTTCTCATACCTCATCCAAGGGAACGAAAAACGAGAGGCTCAACGAAGTGCTTACGTCTAAGCGACTCGGCTTCGAGTTCCTTCGCCCGCTCGTCGAGAGCATGACACAGGCAGATCCCTCCAAACGCCCGACGATGGACGAGGTGGCAGAGAGATATGAATCTCTGGTCGCGACTCTTTCGTCGTGGAAGCTACGCTCGCGCGTTGCCAAGGAGAACGACAACCCATTTTACAGTATGTACCTCTCGACCACGCACTGGTTGCGTAGGGTCCAACTCGTGGTTTTGCGACGACCTGCTGTACCGTCTCCTACTCAGTGAATGTTGATTCGGATTGGCATTGGTATCTGTTTGTGGCGGACGCTACACGAAGCTCCAGAGGATTGTTGGGTCGGTGTGAGTACTTCTCCGAATCCCTTCAACGCGCCACCGACCTGTGAACTCTAGGCCGATGAGACTGTGACGCGCTCGCCACAAAGATGGCTTGACGCGCGTCAACGGACTTGGCTCCCTTCTCAGGGCGTTCTCGCTCCGACAATTGCTTTCGTCCCACACAAACGGTGAGCTGCTGGACTCCAGCCCCTCGTTACTGCCCGAATCCGCGAAGCCAGCACGTAACGGCGACACATCCATGCAATAGGTAACTATTGTCTTGAAATTATCCTGCAGGAAGTGGGCTTGCTATTGTCCTGCGAATGACCCATGGGCCGTCCAGGGCGCTTCTCAGAACAACTACAATGGGAACCCGCGCACGCAAGCTTCGTATGCGCGTGCTTGGAAGCTGGCAGCGTCTAGTGGGCCCCTTGATCCCAGGTGCGTGAGTCTTGTCACCATGGTAATATTGCTTGACGGGGAAGCGCGAGAAGGACATGGGGCATCTTGCCGAGCCAGTTCCGCGCCTTGTCCCCTTTTGGTAAGTCTTCAGACCGGATTTGGCCACAATGGCGCTCGACCTCCGAGTGTCACGTACCGAATACCTACCTTTCAGATTGAGCCTCAATCGCCGCCGCACAGCGCTCGAAGTGCGAGTTTCTCTCCACGACGTCCGCGTGTTTGCTGGGCTGAGTCTATAGACTGTCGTACTTCTCTGTCTTCTCGTGTTCCTGCCGCCGTCCACTGGCTTCTGGGAGGACAATAAGATGGATGTTTTCATTCCACGCTCGTAGTAACTTCCGCCTCCCAGCTAATAAGACCTCTTCTAGAGTGACTGTGGTTGTTATCCTATTCTCGTGTGTCGTACCACAAAGTTATGTATTTCCCAGACAGTGTGGATATAGCAATTCGCTACTTAGTCAGACTATACAGCGCTGAGAGCGTACGAGGCTTGCGCGCCAAGGGTACATGAAGGACAAGAGCGGCCGAAGTGACGAAGTTGCAAAGTTCAACTTGCGAGCGTGATCTCGGTGATTGCCGGGAATTTAGATTCAAGGTTCGAAGAGGGAGTACTCTTTCTTCCAACTTTCTTCCCTCTTTTTCATCGCGCTTTCGAAGGACTTTTGCACAGGCCAGGTCTCACTCCGTGCCAATGCGCCGCTGCTTCTTTTGCGCCTGTATTTTGCTGCTGCCCTGCAGTGCTCCAAGACCACAAGCTGTCGACCGAGTCTCAGCGGGCGATGCTTGATCTGCCTGTCTCGCTTTGCGAGGAAATGGACAACTTATCAGGCTAGTTTTCATGATTCTTATAATGCCTCATGCATAAGCGACGCTAGAACCAAGCTATGGACCTGCACTCCGAGGGTGTAAAGACTCCAGAAACCTCTCAGTGGGCGCAAAGGTACATGCGTACGCCATCCCCTCTCGACGAGTGGCGCGCCGTCTACTGGTTCTTCACCTCAATTGCACTCCCTCGTGCTATATTGCAGCTCGTCGCCTTCTAGGTCTATCTGGCCGCGTACGGGAAATCCTGATTGCTCTGCTATGTTACAAACTCGCCGACCCGTTTCGGTCTGCGTCAGTGCTTGCAGTTTAGCAGACCGGCTTTCCAATAGATCTACAAGATCGTACCGATTGCGATGACCGTCAAGCTCCCTGGCGGTCTGATGTGGAGGGCTTAATCGTGCGTCGAGAGCTTCATCCTGCTATCTCATCTCGCTTATTACATCTTCATCATCCTCAGTGGGTTCCCAAGAAGGTAAATACACTGTCAGCGGTCTACATTGCCTTTCCCATAGTCAGAATATGCTCGCTTGGCCATAAACGTCCAACTCTGATCAGGTAATTGATCATGTCCTCGTCGTTGAATTCGATGGACGTTGTGTCTCCGCGGAGAGCTTATAGGGCTTCGTCTCTACCATCAGTGAGGCGTTGGACTTGAGTGTAAGCGCTGGCCACAGACGGTGCGGTTGTGCTGTGTTCCCGTCTGATAACCTCGTCGCTGCGCTGCCCGGACTGTGAGGTCAACTCCATCCATGTTTTGATGTCCCGTGCCTGACTTCTTCAAACCAACCTTGTTCTCGAGGAGGCTCACCAGCATTGCAATTTCATCCGAGTGGTCTACGAGGCTTCGACTGTATGATAGCAGGCAATCCATTATGTAAATGAAGACCGTTCATGTTGAAGGTTAACAAGGACGAGTGATCTCCAAAAGGAAAGCGTGCGAGTCGCGTGAAGCTGTCGGTAAACAAGAGTCGTGTAGCGCCCACTGACAACTCCGGCGCTTGTTCAGCTCTCTCATCTTCGCGCGGAGGGTCCATGTTCTGGAGGTGCCTTCATATCCCTGGGCATCCAGGAAATCTTGAGGTCAACTCAACGTGCATTACGCAGATTTGGCTTCCACAATGCGTCGTCCATTGACAGCCTCCTCGACAAGGACGACGTCGCGCTCGAGGCGCTTCTGGACGAGGACGACCTCCTGCAGGAGTGCAAGGCGCAGAACACGCGCTTGATAGACTACTTCCAGCGACAAGACGTGCTGAAGCAGCTGTTCGGTTATGTCACTGGACAGATCGAACCAGAGGAGGGCAAGAGATTCAAGTGCGTGCTGTTCCCCCTCGCGTGAATCATCTGCTAAGCATCGCGAACGCTCGCCAGATACCCATACGTCGCCACAGAAGTGCTTTGTAGCGACATATGGTCGATAGTCGAGACATGCACGAACAACAAGGACACCCTCCTCCTCCCCTTCTGGGAATCAGTCCTGGAACGCACACCAGACGACATGAAGACGAACATGGTCCTCGCCGCAAACTTTGCCAAAATCAACTCCGTCTTCCTCAACAAGAAACCCGCAGAGGTGAATCCATCCACTACATCGCATCACATCCTATCCTGAACCTTGACGCGCAGATGGTCGCCTTCATACAATCCCAGCCAGACGTGATCGACCGCATCATACGACTCATCGAGACTCCGGCGTTCGTGGACCTCCTAGTCCGCATCATACAGCTGGATGAACCCGACGGTTGCGATAACATACTAGAGGTACGTCGCGCTTCCCCGCACCGGACACTTCACGGCGCCTCGCTTACGCCATAGCCCAGTGGCTTTCGCAAGAGCGCCTCATCCCGCGCTTGGTGGAACTACTATCCCCTTTTCACTCGCCTGACAAGCATGCCGTAGTCGCCGACCTGCTCAAGAGCATCACGGCTATGGCAAACCCTTCCCCGGGTGCCGCGCTGGCCGAGAACCTGCACACCGGGCCTTCGTCGAATCGCTTCGCGCGGGAGCTGGTCAAGCCGGACATCATCACTCAGCTCCTGGGCTACATCATCGCAGACTTTGGCCCACAAACCACCGCAAGCGGGCTGGTCACGGATCCACCACCAGATCCCGAGAAGGGCAAGGACAACATGTCGTGGTCCATCTCGAGCCAGCCGCCGTTGCCGACTTTAGAGTCGCACACTTCGTCTGTGGTCAGCTCGATTGCGGTCATCGTGGAGGTAATTCGGAAGAATAACTCGGACTACTTCGAGCCATACCTCTTCCATGTCTTGCGGAATCGCCTCATGCAGGTACGCGCAAGTTACCGAGTTCTTGCCTTCGATTTGGCTGACGACATCGGGCAGGTGCAACAGCAGATGGACTTCTCCGAGGGAGACTTCCGACAAGCGCTCGAACCCACGATGCAGACCACGGTTGAGAAGTTCGGCGTTGTGCACTTCGGCCCTTTGTTGGAGGTCATGATCAAGCATATGGAGCAATTGCAAGGCTTCATGAAGCAACCGCGCTCTCTGGTAGGCGTTAAGTTTCAAAAGACGAGTAGACGGCCGTACTGATTGTCTGCCCTCAGACAGGTCCGGTGCACACGACTGTCGGCACCATCAGACCACTGACACTCGAGCGCTACCGAGTCATCGAGCTTTTCGCCGAGCTTTTGCATTGTTCAAACATGACGCTGTTGAATCGGTCTCCCAGCTTCACTGACATGTACGACGCAGACGGTCGTTTACAAGGCGGCCTCGCCGGCATGGAGCGCCTCGGCCAGGTCATCGCACCTGCTCAGCGGCGCGATGACGACGATAACATGGACGATGTCGAGCCCGCCATGGAGCTTCCCATATCATCCGCCTCTCAGCACTCGCCCTCCAACTTCGACTCCGACGACGACATGGGCTCAGAACCCGGCAGCTCGGACGACGAGGCTATGGAGGAGATCGTGATGGCAGAGGAGTCGCCTGCAAGCCAGCGCGCGCCATTGACGGACTCCCCGCAGACGAGCGTGCTGTCGTGCTCGCCGCACTCGAGTAATTTCTCGACGTCGCCGAATACGAGTACGCTGTCGAGTTCGCCGGAGACGTCGACGACGATGGCGAGTCTGGCGCAGAGTACGGAGTCGGTGGGTTCGTCAGCGGGCTCGACTGCCGGGGCGAGGTCAAGATCGCGCAAGGGTTCGCGCCGCAGGACGACGATGGATGAGAGCGTCACTGCAAGTCAGCTCGTGCCAATCGGCGAACAGCTCAAGCGAAGATGGTTAGACCTGGACATCCTCTCGACGATGATGGTACTTTGTTCTTAGCATTTGCGCGCTCGTTGCTCACAATATTCCCTTAGGACCTCTTTTTCGAGTTCCCCTGGAACAACTTCTTGCATAGCGCTGTCTACGACATCATTCATCAAATATTCACCGGTCCAGCCGAAAGCCCTTTGAATCGCGAACTTGCGCTGTCCCTCTTTCGGGACGCCAAGCTGATGCACCGCATAGTCGAAGGGCAAAAGCGTAACGACGAGGCCACGGCGCAACCCAAGGGTGTCCGCCTCGGCTACATGGGCCACCTCACCCTCATCGCGGAAGACGTGATCAACTGGCTTGAGCAGCTCCCGTCGGATGCGCGCGTAGCCGTCTTGCAGTTCGCCCCGGACCCCGCATGGGAGGAGTATGTGAACGGGCGCTTCAACGAGACGAAGGCGCGGGACACGGCGCTGCTAGGTGGTGGGAAGCCGGATGTCACACGCGGGGCTGGGGGTGCGTCGAGATGGAAGGTAGACGAAGAGGATGCGAAGGGTGTTGCAGCGAAGGCGCAGATGGAGGAGAGCGGGGAGGCGCTGAAGGGGGAGTTCAAAAGGTCGACGAGTGCGCATCCGAGACGCGAGGGCAGTGCTGACTTTGGGCCGGCGCCAATGTTGGAGGACGATGATGATGATGAGGATAATGAACAGGGTGGGCGGAGAACGGAGCCAGTGAGTGTTGCTTCCTGTAGTGGTGCAGCTCGCTGACCGCCATATAGTTCGCTCGTTACCTAGCCCAGGAGATCGGCACGACTGCTCACTTCGAGAACTCGTCTGAAGAGTCGGACGAGGACGAGGATGACGGTGGTTGGCTGTCACAGGGTCAATTCATGCGCGCTCCTGTGTCAAGTCAGCAGCGACCTCCAGAACGGAGACCTCTGAGTGATGGCTTTGGGGACACTTTCGACCCCGGGCCATCGAAATCGCCTGGCGCCGTGCACTCGAACCCTTTCGAGACGGACGAGGTAGGGGCAGGCTCAAACATCCTCAACGCCCAAGACTGACCACGAGCGATCCTAGGACACCTTCGGTGCCTTCACCACTGCTACTAACGGCAGCGGAGTGAGCGACTCTGACCCATTCACCTTCCCGTCGTCCTTCCCTTCTGGAGATGGTGCCGGAGACCTGTCAGCATCCGCCTTCGACGACGACTTTGGGGACTTCGGCGACTTCCAGAGCGCGGGGACGGACGAGCCTGAGGATGGGGAGTTGACGCCGACCACGGGTAGCTGGACGTTCGCGAGCTCAACATCGTCCGCGCAGTCGGATGACGAGGGGAAGGCCGACAGCGGGAGCGCGTCGGACGAGAGGCGGGGTGGCGCGTGAGGCAAGCTTTCTGCTCGTTCAGCGGCGTGCGTATAGAGCAGTGGATTCGAATGTGCTATGGATACCCGCTAGGACTGTAGGTAGTCGTGCTGTCGTTGGTGTGTAGAGTTTGCCTGTTATTCTCATCTGCTTTCTGGACATGATCTTCGACTTGAAGTCGCGACCAATGTCTCGTCTAACCATCACCTACGCAAGTGCTCTTCCTTGAGTTCTGTTCATCGCGGGGCGTCCCTTGCCAGATACCCCGCGTAGAGATTGACAAATGACTTCCGGGAATTGGACTTGGTGAACGGACAATTGGTCACTCCTTTCCTTCCTCCGCCATGGCTACCTCCTTCGCGCGCACCGGCAAGAAGGTCAATAGCGCCTTATTGAGCTAGCGAATACAAGACTCAAGCCTCCCAGATCGTCGCCATTGGGCGCAACTACGCCGAGCACATCAAAGAGCTGAACAACGCGGCGCCCAAGGAGCCGTTCTTCTTCCTGAAGCCGACGTCGAGCTACATCAGCTCCGGCGGCAAGCTCGAGATTCCCAGGGGGGTCATTGCGCATCATGAGGGTGTGTGATAGTGTGTATGGTACCCGAGGCTCTCGCTGACGCGCTGCAGTCGAGCTCGGGCTGGTGATCGGGCAGCGCGCGCGGGACGTGAAGCAGGCGGACGCGCACTCTGTGATTGCGGGCTATGGTGCGTGCTCGTAGTGTTGCTTACTGCATTGGTGCTGAGGGGGATGCTACAGCTCTAGCCGTGGACATGACGGCGCGCAACGTGCAGGACGCGGTCAAGAAGAAGGGTCTGCCGTGGTCGACTGCGAAGGGCTTCGATACCTTCACGCCTGTCGGGTCAGTCTCTCCGAGGGCTCATACTGCTCCAGGCTGATACTTCGCAGCGACTTTATTGCCAAGTCAGCAGTGGCGAATCCGGACGACCTGCGCCTGTGGCTGAAGGTGCGTTAAGTCCCCCATTCCCATCCGACTTCCCCCTCGGACCCCGCGTATATCGAAGACTGTATTCGCATTACTCATGCGTGTACTCTACAGATCAACGGGGCATTCAAGCAAAATGGCACGACGGCGGACATGATCTTCAAGATCCCGCGGCTCATCGAGCACATCACATCTATCATGACTCTCGAGGTAAGCGCCTTCATACCATTCATCATCTCAGACAGCTCACAATTATACAGGAAGGCGACCTCGTCCTCACGGGTACCCCTTCTGGTGTCGGTCCAGTCAGCCCCGGCGACAAGATCGAGTGCGGGCTGACCACGGCGTCCGGAGACGAGCTCGCTGCGCTGAACTTCGATGCCGTCCAGCGGCAAGGAGGTTACAGCTTCCAGGCGGAGTAGTATGGCAACTATTTTGTCCAAAAACCCTTTTTTGAGGCTTGAAGGGACACTTTACGCTGGCGGTACATTATCGTTGCCACGGTCCTTGGGACATTACCATCGGCGGGACACTGCGCGGTTGGGAGGTGCCTCGCGGCACTCTCGAGACGCTAGGATGCTTGGAGGGGTCATTAATTGGCTCTCCTATACGTGCTTAGAGTGCTTAATGCAGTAAGCCAGCAGATTATTCATGCAACATGTCTTCTGCATTTGACGGCGTGTTGCTTGCAGTCATCCTCGGGTACTGAAAAATGGTCTGCTGCCCAAAATCTGTTTCAAGTTGGTGTTTATCTCGTTGACAGGGTTACTTGGATTGCAGCCTAACAAACTTGACGCCGGTGTGATCGAGAAACAGATTTACGCTTGATTGAGTAAGTTGTACTTGGAGGCTGGCCTACTCTCCGTATCATCCGATGCCCGATATCGTTGCGCTTGCAATCTGCGTCAACTAGCTTGACATATATACAGGGAGATGAGGAAAACGAGTTCCCGGCTACCTTGATTCTCGTGGCATGGATCCGTCGGTATGTGTGCAGAGTAGAAGACATGAATTTCGCAAGTCGAACCGTGTCGCGGAAAATGCCGCGAAGTCCCCGGGCCACCGGCAAGGACGGCAAATCCCGAAAGCGTGCTGTTACCCGCCTCATCGTGGGCTCTGCCTTTAGGGGACCCCGCACACGTCCCATCCGTAGATTCATTCTACAGTGTCCCATGAGTGCTCACCAGAGGAAGTGTCCTTACGAATGTACTGTTGTCAGTGCCCTCGGATCAGCGTACTACAAAAGCATGCTCACCGCACAATCCTTCACGTTGGTGAAGGTCTCGTGGGAGGGGAAAACATTGGCAAATGCCAGGTTTAGGGACTCGTAGCAATGTGATGTCCCATCATAGACTCAGATCGCTAGCGACAATGTCAATTGTAAGTGTCCTGTCTCCCGCTCAAGTGTCCCACCTTAATTTTTGGACAAAATAGTTGCCATAGAGTAGATCGTGACTCGGGGCGTAGCTACATTGAGCGGTGCTTGCGCCCTATGCCAGCCTGCTCGGTCTCAACTGTCTTCAACGACATACTGTTCCGGTCGAACGACATCTCTAGTTGTCACAAGACATGTATTCCTTGCGACAAGTGCGCTGTTGCAGGCAGAAATGCATTGCACCTTCCCAAGCGCACGCGGCGCTAAAGAGAAAGACAAGCGATGCATACATACGCTATCCCACGCCACCATGATATAGCACTGACGTTCGCGATCATGGTCTTCCACGCACATACCTTTCAACCACCTCTATAGGCTCGGCCTCAGGAAGGACTACGAAACAGCATTAGCGCCGTCAGGCTGAACAACATCATCACATGCACTGATGTCGACCTTCAACTTCAGGTCTAGGCGCCCTTTAGTTTCGTAGGCGCCCGTCTGTTGAAGGGCTGGGCCTGCACAATTGCCGCGGGGACCGTCCCGCGAGACGAAGAAGCGAGATCTCGGAGAAGGCCCGATTGCGGGGGAGGGGCTCGGGGGAAGACGCGAAGGACGAGGGAGTACGCGAGAGAAGTCGAGGGTGCGCGGAACGGGGCGGGTTGTCGACATGGAGTGAACTCACCAGGGCAGGGTATTCGCAGCCAACCAGATGCCGTCGATTATCACAGAAGGTGGAACGTCGATGTTGACGAGGAGATGGAGCTTGTTGTGCGCCACGACACTGAGGCAAATTTGCGCGCCCTGCGCCTCCTATTGGGCTCGTTGCTAGTCCATAGTAACTCCATGACCGCGCATAGTTCTCATTAGCATTAGCGAGAATATACAGTCTACTTGACGACAAAAGAACGTTGAGGGCGGCAGACGCGTGCGCGCCGCCGCCCGAGTGGGGTGCCGCGTCCGTTTGACGACCAGAAAAAACAGATGCCATTTGCTCCGCGCGTGCTGTTTTACAGGGTCTATTACTTGGACGGCAGAGACACGAAGCCCTTGCCGGTGTAGCCTTCGGAGGCGATACCTGGGAGGGAGGGTGAGCGTCTGCTCGCGGGGGCGAGGGTGAAGGCGCGCCGCACCGGTTATGGGGTTGATCTTGAGCTCCTTTGCGCGCTCCGTCTCGGCCTCCTGCCACTCTTTCGTCATCGTCTTCGGCGCCTCGGGGGCTGCGGGGACGCGTCAGGATGCGATCGAGGGGAGTGTGAGACACAGACTCACCCATTGAGCGCACGCCCAGGAAGATCAGGACACCGGCACCGACAGCGGCGCTGGACGCGAGGAAGATCTTGAGCGTGTCCCCGGGGGCAAAGACCGGCTTGCGGGGGCCATGCGGGCCGAACGCGACGTAGTACGCTGTGCGCGGCGCGTGAGTTGGGTGGGTTGCGCGCGGGCCGCACGAGATACGCACCAGCCTTCTGCTCGTCAACGGAGAGCGTCTTCCAGTCCCTCTTTTGGAGCTCGGCGAGCTGGGCGTGGACGGCGACCTTGTCCTCCTCGGGCATCTTCTCCCACTGGGCCTCGATGTTGGAGAGGGGGATGACGGAGGCCTTGGAGGAGGATGCGGCGGCGGGGCTGACGTCGGCGTGGTGGGCGGCGGCGGTGGCGAGCGCGCGGCGGGCGACGGGTGCGCGGGCGGCGGAGTGCCGTGCGAGGCGGAGGGCAGCGGCGGCGTGCATGGCTGGCTGGCTGGCGCTGGCGCTGGAGGAGGTGAAGGAAGCTAAACTGCAGCGAAAATGCGCAAGAACAAATTCAATAAATGTCGGCGGCGGAATTCGGGTCGCCGCAACTGGGCCGCAAACTGCCGGGCACGGCATCATATCTCATTCCGAATTATCAACACATCATTGGGCGAGGGCGGTCTCGATGCATCCGCGGGGAGGGCAGAGCTCAGGGTTACCAGCGGCGGGGCCCCACGAAGGACTACACACGAAACGAGGCATTTTTTCAACAGCGTGGTGGGAAGTACAGACACAATCGGTGAGTACAGACATCATCAAGAGATATACAACATCAGTCGAGCACTGGAACTAGTACACGTCGCTCAGGCAGCAGCGACAGCGCCGGGGCAGTCACGCGAGATGTGGCTGGAAGTACGTTAGCAGCAGCCTCGTAACCCACGGAAAGAACTTACCTCTCCGAGCCACAGCTGTAGCACGCCTTCTTCTGGGGGTTAGGGCAGTCGCGGGAGATGTGGCCCTACGGACGAATCAGCAAGAATGCGACATCGTGCAAGCGTACTCACCGTCTCGGAGCAGTTGTAGCAACGCTGGCCCTGTACACAGTCCTTGGACAAATGGCCTACGCCGCCACAGGTGTAGCTAGAACAATTTTAGCCGATGTATAGTGGAATTAAACATCTCGCAAGCAGCCTCTCTTGTCTGACGCTCAAGATGCGATTTAGGCGCCCAAAGACGCAAAAATGCCTCTCAAGCGATCTCGACACCAGGGAATCGCTGAACGCGGACACCCTGCAAATCGTGCTCACCAAGACTTCTGGCTCTGGAAGCCACCGCCGTAGCCGTAGCTGCCTCCGCCACCGTAGCTGGCGTTGCCTCCCGGAGCAGGTTCAGGGCATGCACGCGCCATGTGGCCCGCCTTGCCGCAGCGGTAGCACTCGCCACCGCGCGCGCCTCCACCGAAGCCTCCACCGCTGTAGCCGCCAGCGCCGCCCGCGTCCGCGCTAGAACAATCACGAGACTGGCCTCATCATCAGCACAGTGTCCGCTCTCCAGGAAGTAAACCCCCACGCACGATGTGTCCCTCGCCGCCGCACTTGTAGCACGTCTTGGGCTTCGCCTCCTGCGAGCAGTCGCGCGAGACGTGGCCTTCCATGCCGCCTGCGAGCCCCCGTCAGCCCCCACCGCGCGCGATAAGCAAGCACCGAAGGTCACGACGTACAGTTGTAGCTGCCGATCGCGTGTCGCGTCAGGAGGGGGAGCCAGATAAGATCAGCAGGTTGTATTCACCAAGTAGGGGTGCCGGCCTTGGGGCACTGCGCCGCCTGGTGGCCGACTGCACGTCGCGGGCGCGGGATCGGGATCGGGGTTCACGAAAGTGAGAGATGTTGCGTTGAGGGCGTTGAGGGGTAGGGCGATCGGGGAGGAGAGGGGAGCGCAGGGTGCAAAAAAATCGCGTTTGTATTCGATCGCGCACGATGACCACGAGGGATATAACAAAAAAGCCCGTCAGCACCGTCCACCGCGCACGCATTGTGGTATATAAGATCAGGTAAGGAGCAGCCGCCACACGCACATCCACCGCAGTTAAAGCATCCACGCGCGCCAGCCATTGTTTTTCGTCGATGGGAGATCGGGGAGGGTAAGTGTTAAAAGTCTGCATCGCGCGTCGTCAGAATCCGTGGGGGGAAGACCCTGAGAGTCCACGGGGCGATACGCACTGAGGGAAACTCGTAGGGGAGTCGAAGATGAGCGTCAAGAGCAAGGAGCGCAGAACGGAGCGCGATTCCCACGCTGCTAATTTTTATGGCTGACTCAGACTTGCCCTGGACTTGCCTATCGCGCGGACTTCGCAATAAGATCCGCACGGGGGACGTTATACCGTAGGCATGCAGGCCTCCCCATGTCCGGACCATGTTCTGGAGTGTATACTGACATACAAAGACATGCTCGGAGACGCGCATCGTGCCCACCCTCAGACTGCCCCCCTCGGGCAAGTCGGGCAATCTCCATACCTGTTCCACACCCCACTCACAGGTGACTAGCGGTCTATGACAGACGTGCATAAGGTCCCTGCACGGGCCATCCAAATGATACAATGCCATTGAGCTTACAAGGATCATGAGGTCTTGCTGCCCTTCGTCTCCTTCCCGTCCTTCGTCTCCTTCTCCTTCTCCTCCTTGTCCTTCTTCGCATCCCCCTTCAACACTTTCTTCTCCTCCGCCCCGCTCTCCTCCAACTCCACTCGCCCAATCGTCGCCTTATTATCGACGAGCGCATGCAATGCGATCACAGCGCGCAACAAGCTGCTGAGGTACACCACCAGCAACTCGTCGTTCGTGCTGCTCACGAAGCTCTGCGTCGTTGTCGGGTCGCTAAGATCCGGCAGCAAGTTGAGCGCGTCCTGCAGGTGGTATACGATCTGGTGGTTGAGGGGCATCTTGCCTGTCGAGATGTCGACGAGGTATTTCTGTATGTCGGTTAACCGTGCTTGGAGGCCGCGGAGCGAGGCGAGCTGCTCCTCGACGCGGGTGGCGAGGGTGGTAGTAGTGGAGTCCTTGATGTCGCGGAGCAGGTGCTCGACGCCGATTTCTTCTGCCTCTTCCGCCTCGATGGCAGAGGGGACGTGGAAGAAGGTCTTGCGCGTCTCGGTGCCGTCCTATATGCCATCGTGAGCAAGTAGCAGACGAAGATGAAGAGTGCACGTACATCCTTGATCTCCTCTACCGCAAAGTAGGCGTCGGTGGGGATCCCGACGGTGTTCGGTCGTACATCGACGATGACCATGACTGGTCTTGGGATGAAGCGCTTGAACAGCTCGTTGATCTCCATGTCGGACGCGCGTAGCTTAGGGCCAGAGTGATACCAGCCAATCATGCGTTCGCGGGCTAAAGAGGGTCAGTATATGGTGGCGCGCCTGGCGGATGCGGACGTACCGTTGACCTTCTTGAACATGTCATACATGCCCTCGATGTAGTTGTGATCGAGGAACCATGTCTTCGGGTCCTTCTCATCCTCCTCGAAAGGGATACCGAAGGAGTTCGCGACATTGACACTAAGAAGATGAAGCGCGTGAATGAGGCGAGTTGAAGTGCGATGGGCGAGGACAGAGAAACGTTGAGGAGTTGGTCAGCGTCAAGCTTGTAAACATATGCACGGCACGTACGTCTTGCCATTATCCTGCCCTAGCAGCACGCCCACAACGCGCTTGTTTGATGTGCGTGATACAGACCGTGCGTGGTGGTCGGTAACGGACAGCAGGACGAGAGGGTGGACGACTGGAGGATGGGCGCAAGATGGCGAGTAGATATGAGAAAGTGGCAAACACAGGGAAGTATCCAGGAATGAACAAGGGAAAAGACGCGTCGATTAGGATTGGTCTGCAGGATCAGGATTTGAAGACGTACTGACGGTGGTCCCGGATAGCTGGAGGTCTGGTCAGTATCACCCTGAGCCTGTATATGTACTACGCACATGGTCAGTTGAAGTCGCGACCATAATGGCGGGAGAATGGGTGTGTGAGCGGAGGAGGAAGGTCTAGGTGTATTGAATGTGCACGACGGGATCGAGGACGCGTCTGTGACGCGCGTCCTGGACCAATAGCCACAAACACGGCGCCACAAATGTTCTTCCCAATTCGGATGCGCCTTTATGTTGAACTTTTGGCGCGTTATGTCCTACGCCCACTCGTAAGTTATAGACCATCTGGGTCCGTCAGGTGCTCAGGTATCTACTATAGACCGCGCTGCCTGAGTGTGCTGGTTCTCTCATGCAAGTTTGATTAGGGTGTGCTGCTCCGAGTCTGTGATCAGGGTGATCAAATCAGGCCTGTAAAAATCATGCAACAGTCCTCCTGGGTTATCTCATATGTTTCTGACCCTCTTCATCTCTCAAGGTACGCAGAGGGTGCTACTCTAGACAGAAACGCAAACCACGGCTTGAGCGCGGGAAAGCTTCAACTCACGTGCCAATCTCGTGGCTGTGCACCTTCCATAATTTGCTCCGAACGATAACGCTTTGTCCGTCAAAGCTGTCGCGCCGAGGCTGAGCTGCCTTAAATACCCACCCTCCTGCTGCTGTAGCAGCCTCAAACCAACCAATATACACGAAGGGCGCGCAAGTAACCACTATGCCAAAAGCCACCCAAAAATTTGTACGTTTTTCTGATTTTTGCCACCCCTCCGACGGTGTTCAACTCGCTCTTCTCACGCAGTCCAAGCAAATCGGCCCCGTCACCTACGATAATGGCAATTGCAGCAAGTGCGGTCGTTACATCTCGCGCTCGTCAGACTTCGCCCGCCATGCTATCACGCATATGGAGCTCGGCGACAAGGATGCGTCGTGAGTGGTGTGCTCATCCGACACGGTCTTGCTGGCTGACGAGCTGATCAGCATGTACTACTGTCCGCATGAGGGATGCGCGTACAAGACCCTCCAGAAGTCCAACCTAGAGTCCCACTTCAATGTGCAGTGCGTGGCTCTTCGGCCCCCCCCCTCCCGTGTGTCTTACTAATCCTCCCCTGCAGTACTGGGGAGAAGCCATACGCATGTCCCGAATGTCCCTTCTCATCCGCCAACCCCTCCTCGCTATGCCGCCACCGCCAAAGGCTACACGGCTATGTACCGTCGGCACGACGAACACGACCGGGATCAGGTCCTGCTACCTTCAGTCGGCCGCGCGTACCACAAGAAGACGGTCCGGTCATGAACGGCACGCCTACAGCCACGGTACCCCGCCGCACCGGTCGCGCGTCTAAGAACCAGAACAACCCGGTCGACAACAGCCAATCCGACCACGACGCACAGGGTCAGCCTTCCCAGCACCCACCACCAGATCAGCAACAGCACCCACCACCGCCCCCTCCCCCTCCCCAGCCCCTCACCTTCATCAACCACGCACCCCCACCACCCGACGGCATGATCAACGGCCCCATCCCCATGGGCCCGCCCATGCCACACATGATGTTCCCGCCCCACTTCGCGCACTTCGTCCCCATGCAAGGCGGCCCGCCGCCCATGGGTCCCCCGCCCAGTGGCCCCCCGCCGATGGGGCATATCCAGCACGTACATATGGGCCCGCTCCCGCCTGTACCGCCGCCGCTGGGTATGCCGCCGCCGCCTGGGATGCTCCCGCAGGGGATGCCGCAGGCGCCGCCGCCGCCGCCGTTGGTACCGCAGGCTCCTGCGCCGCCGGAGGCTGAGCGGTCCGCGCCGTCGCCTCCACGGGCGCCTGGGGAGGTAGAGGAGAAGCCGAAAATTGAGAAGCGCTCACCTTCACCTTCACCGGCGAAGGCTGCCAGCCCGACATCAGTTTCGCGCTCACCTTCACCGAAGGCTACGTCGAATGTGCGGGAGGTATCCGATTTGCGCACGCCTGTGGTATAGCGCGCTGCGGCTTCTTTGGGACCCTGTGTGTAAAAACGAACCCCCTGCTCTGCCGTTATCTCCCGTGGATGTTGTCTATAGTATGAGTTATTGCTGTCTATTATGCCTAATGGGGTCTTCGCTAAGTAGCGTTGACCGCCAAATAATCACATGAATGTCTCTGTACTCTACGTCTCGTATTACTATTCTTTGGTCCATCCGCTGCAGGCCACAACTATCGCCTTCAAGACTTAACGTCTCTCGATGCGGACATGATTTGAGGCGCAAGAAGGTGGTCCTTGTTTGGCCTTGTGTACGCGTGATTCGCACTTTGTCTCCGTCTGCCAACTGCCGAACGTCATGTTGGGTTCGTTCTCCCTGCTTCCTATCCCACTGCCCTCTGACGCCTTCTCTCGCAGTTGTCGGTCTCACCGGCGGCATCGCTACCGGCAAGTCCACCGTCTCCAAACTACTCAGAGATGCGGACATTCCCATTGTCGACGCCGATGTCCTCGCGCGCCAGGTCGTCGAGCCCGGCACGCCTGCGCTGAAGCGCATCGTCAAAGCCTTCGGGCCGCAGATCCTTCTCGAGGATGGCTCTCTGAATCGCAAAGCACTTGGCGAGATCATCTTCAACGACGCGGAGAAAAGGAAGGTGCTGAATGGTATTGTTCACCCTGCGGTCCGGTGGGCGATGGTGCGGGCTATCGCGAGGGCGTGGCTGACGGGAAAGCGGGTGTGCGTGACGGACGTGCCGTTACTCATTGAGAGCGGTATCTGGCGATTCGTGGGCCAGACGGTGGTGGTGTCGTGGTCAGTGCCTTCGTCCATATTGTGGTGTTAGTGTGCTCACTTCTCAACAGCCCATTCGACGTTCAGCTCGAGCGCCTCATGCTGCGCGACCAGTCAACGGAGGAGGCCGCGAGGGCGAGGATCAACGCGCAGATGAGCATGGCGGAGAAGGTCGCGTATGCGGACGTCGTGCTGGATAATTCGACAACTCCAGAAGCGCTGCGTGCGCAGGTCGAGGAGCTTCTGCAGCAATGGCGAAAGCAGACTCGGTATACTTGGCTACTCGAGTGGCTGGTGCCTCCTGTGGGTCTGCTGGTCGCTGCTGTGACCCTGGCGTATAGGAATTGGAGATACGCAGCTCGTCGACGCTCAATCTCCAAGGACGCATAGCATAGGTGCGACGGTTAACTGACCTCTCCGGCCTTCTTCTGACGAAGAGTTTGCAGATCACTTACGACTGCAGAAGCCATACATTTGACAGTCAGCCTGGACTCACTTTTTCTCTGTTACGAGAGCTGGAAAGGATTCGTGTCTACGACATCACCGGAGTTCTCCGCCCGAGTTCAGCGTCTCGTGCGGGTCACCAGCAGCCTGCATAAATACCGGAAAATATTAGACGAAGGTGGCGTGCTCATGTCGGTCGTACTAGGTACCATGACGATGTGCTCGTGTATTCACCGTTAACAGCGGTGTGGTATCTCACCGGCTTATCTGGGACATTGGGCATAACGCAGAGGAATCACAAACTAGTGTACGTCCAAGCAGCGGCTGAGTGTGTATGTACGAGACAGGAATACCCACGTTTGGACCGCCTATCTGCATGTCAATCAGGTGGCGTCAAAGGAAAATGAGCGCTGCCGCTGCACCCAGGCATACATCGAGAAAGTGGTTTCGCTTCTTCTTTCAGAGCTCGAAGTACGACCGTAGCCTCCCATAAACCACCCTCCCGGTTCCGCCTTGCTCTCTCGCAGACCACCTATTCATCCCTACGGGGAAAGAATTCTGGATCCTGAGCACATAATTCTCATTGCCCTCCTCAGGACGTCGGGAAAATCGCCCTCATCAGGGACAAGGATGGGACTCGGATGGCGGAAGCAAAGTCACTCGGGCCCAGCAAACGGGAACGTCAGGCGCGTCAGGCCCAGAACAGTGGATGGTTGGTGCATATCCAAAATAAAGGAACATCATTGACAGGGGCTGCGCGGCAACCCGGATGCTCGGGTCCGCGGCGGGCGGACCCACAACGTTCGACTTTACACGTGAATTGCTGAGGAGACCTGACCCACAGGCAGGGCAAGGGTCGACCCACCAGCGGAGAAGACCCTTCGCCTTCGTCAATGGAGAGAGAACGAGGTTTAGAGCCTCTTATAGCGTCGCCCTGAATATAGGAGGCCAATAAAAGGCTACGCATCAGCAGATTCACTGAGAGGACTACGCATCAAGAGATGCAAGACATACGCGTCAGTACGTATCTGTGGCGTGCGAGAAGACCATGATTGTGGCCACAATCGCAGGGGAAGGGGAGATGGGAGATTGGAGGCGGTCAGACATGGCGCCAGAGGTGGCTGTAATTGCGAGAGCCGGCGAGATCCCAGAGGGTTCGGGCCGTGAACTGAGAAGACGCGCACCGAGAGCGTAGAGGATCCAGACGTGAATTCAGAAGACGCGAAACTGTATTTCGGAGGTCGATCGTCAGCTCAGAAGGCTCGCACTTGCATTCAGGAAGGCTCGTATTGACAGAACTGCGTGCTCGGAAGATTCAGAGCGGTGTGCAGTCGGGGATTCGGAAGCAGGTCTATTGAGATGGGTGGGGCACGTTGGTGGCCAGAGGTGGTCAGGAGGACATATGTCGATCCAGAAGAACAGAGTTCTTGGCTGTTCGGACCGGATGTGTATGGAGGGGTCGTCAATGGAGGGTTCGCAGAGAGGCGAGGGGCCGAGGAGATAGCGCAGTCATGGGCGAAAGGGTTGGGGGTCGGGGCGAGGGACGCGAAGGACAGAGTACAAATGCGAGCCATAGAGAGTTCACGTCGGACCCGAAGCGGAGCGCACCCATCTCGAGCTGCAGGTCGAGGCTCGGACAGTGGCGAGCCATGGACAGTGGCAAGCAAGGCACGACCAAGCGCCTAGAAAGCCGCCCGCCAAGGCATTTCGAACCAGATTTTGCGTCCGCGGGGGATGAGTCAAAGGCTAGGACTGTAGGTAGGTAGGTAGGTAGGTAGATGACTTCTCAGGCGAGGGCCCTGAACAGAGCCAGCCCTATCCGCCCTAGTAGACTGCGAGCCAATGTCTACCTGGCAGAACACCACGATCGACATGTTGGCTTCAATCGACAGACACCTGCATTTCAGCAGACGGGACGCGTGCATTTCGGCAGACGAGACGCGTACATTTCGACGAGACATGGGTGATATCATAGCGAGACACAATCCATCGTGTCAAGACAGGGCCGGACTTCCATACCCTCGAGAGGAATGCGTACCTGCCATGCCGGAGAGCGAGACCGGACCCGGAGAGCGCAAGACGAAGATGTCACCCAGAAAGAATGGAGGAAACGTCATAAGATTGTAGATTTGTAGTACCACCGTCGACCAGCGTGCAGCGAAATCGAAGAACGCGTCGGACGGCGGGCAGAAGAATCGGAAGAACGCGTCGGACGGCGTGCAGCGAGATGGAAGAACGCGTCGCAGGGGTGCAAAAAATCGAAGAACGTTGCCGGGACCGAGAGAGGAGGAGAGCTATCACCGAACGTCCGTGTAAATCAACGGAGGGAACGCAGATCTGTCATCAAAGAGAGCGAAGATCTGTCATCGAAGAGAACGAAAATCTGTCATAGAAGAGAACGAGAACCAAGGAAGAGAGCGACGATTTGCCATCGGAGAACGCGCCCGCGCGATGGGAGAAAATGGCCGAATATTGAGGAAGAGCGTACCGCGTGCAAGGACGCCAACGGGGATGGGCCAAGGGCGCCGACGGACTGGAAGACGGGCAGTCGACGGGTTGAACAGCGTGGCCAACGGGCGGAAAAGCGTGGTCGACGGGCGGAAAAGCAGTTGCTGCGGGGCGTGCACCGCGCAGAAAATATATCGAGAGCCGCGCAATAGGTGTGGCTTGCGTCGAGCGCGTACGCCTACGGCGTGCTGTTGAGGTGAAAAGAACCCACTCGTGAAGCGCGAAAGGGGCAAGGCCGTCTCGAGACAAGCGCACGTGATTATGAGCGAGCGAGAACGAGGGACACACCCCGAGGACGAGAAATGGTGGGGGCCCTTGGCAGGTCGAGCAGGCGCGGTGGCAGGGTCGAGAGCGGTGGCGGAGTCAAGAAAGCCAACGAGCTTAGGCGCGGCGAAGATGGCGCCAGCGACGAATTACAGACGCGCCAGCAACCGGTTCCAGTGGCGCGGGCGGGACCCCGGGCGCCTGCTTGCAAAACGGAGGAAAAACACAATGGAAGACATCCGAGGAAACGACGCGTCGGGGCGGGCGAGGCGAGCAGTCGGCCGCCAATGATTGCAGCAAGGGGGCGGTTTCCCTGATGTTCCCGTCGTACCGATGCGCGTGCGATAGAACTTGGGAGAAGTCGAGCTGGTGGTGAACACGCTATGCGAGTGACTAAGGCCGCGGGATGAGCAGCGTGATGCGCGGGGGCGAGGGAAGATACGGCCTCGAAGAGTACGAAGGTAGCGGCCAAGTCCGAGGGGATGGAATGCAAGGGCTGGCTCGGGGGGCTGCGGGTGGCACGTAGAGATGACGAAGGACACGTACCAGGGCTCTCGGCAGGGTATGAATGCGAGTGCCCTTGCCGAGGGGGGAGTGACTAGGTTTGTTGAGTCAGTGTCTGCGCAGTGGTTTCGGCAGTCGACTGACCTGGGGGGCGAAGGTCATCCTCCCCGCCACCGACATGGGCTAAAGTCTCACGAGGAGACGGCTGGGAGGCGGCGATGGTACGCTGATGTTGATCATGATTGCAGCGGTCCCAAGGCCAGCCACGCGCGCAAAGGGAACAGATCGTCGAGAGGAAGGCGAAATGTGTCAAGGAATACAAATGGGACGGTCACAGAGAGGAGAGGGGACGGGGCTTACCAGATAATGTGGAGGGAGGCTACGGTGAAGAGAGTTCTCCTGGAGCATCTGGAGCATGTTCGCTGTGTATGTAGACCCCCGGCAGTGCCGACGGTGGGCTGAAGGCAGGTGCGGGCAGGGTGGAAGGCGCGGGGGGCCAAGATGAGCCGCTTACGTCAAGGTCACGTCGGCCGTGCGTTGGCATCCGGAACAGGAAATACAATTTGATGGTGTTTGTTCGCGCGTCGGACGGAGAGATCAATCGGCTGTGGCGAACTTGACCTCCCCCACCACCGTCGACGGACTCGTGCAACATACAAAGTCCCCAACAACCTGCTGCGTCGCACCCCCCTCCTTTCACGAGCATGCCCAATGCAACGCCCAGCAACCAAGTCGCGCTCGCCAACCGCAATCGGGTCGCGACCACAAATGCCCGCAACAATCGCCAAGTAGTCCCCGCCTTCCTCCAGAAGCTCCATGAGTGCGTGGCCGTCCACACCTCCCGAATAATCACTGACAAGCCGCAGAATGGTCAACGATCCCAAAAACGAAGCCCTCATTCGCTGGTCGGACTCGGGCGACTCGTTCTTCGTCCTCGACCACGAACGTTTCGCCCGCGAAGTCCTCGGCCGATGGTTCAAACACCAGAACTTCTCCTCCTTCGTCCGCCAGCTGAACATGTACGGCTTCCACAAGGTCCAGCACCTCCAGCAGGGCACCCTGCGCTCCTCGGAGACCGACGGCAACGAGTTCTGGAACTTCGCCCACCCTAACTTCCTCCGCGGCCGCAGCGACCTCCTCGCCCTCATCCAGCGCAAGAAACAGGCGCAGAACTCGGATGGGGAGGGCGCAGGCCAGGAGGTCGGCACCTCAGGCGCCAACGGTCAGCAGGTACAGCTCGATATCAGCGGTATCGTCGCCGGCCTCGCTGCTATCAAACGGCATCAAGACATGATTTCGAGCGAGCTCACGCACCTTCGCGAGAACAACAACTTGCTCTGGCAGGAGGCGATGGAGGCGCGCGCCCGGGCCAAGAAGCAGCAGGACACGATCAATCGCATCGTCAAGTTCCTCGCTGGTATCTTCGGCAACCACAACGCGCGCTCCAAGCACGAAGAGGAGGAAGCTGAAGGGGGCGCCGGCGGCTCGCGAGATGGAGGGCCGGGCGCCATTGTTCCTCACTCGGTGATGTCTCACATGAACGCTACGGTCCCGCAAATGCAGCGCTTGATGATCGAAGATACTCGTCCGTACAATAGCGTTGACATTGAAGAGGTCGAGGACGACGAGCAGCATTCGTCGTCGAAGGGGAAGCAGAGGGAGTACACGACAGGTCAGCCGCCGCCGACCCACTTAAATACGTTTGCTGAACCAGAAGATTCCACAGGCTACAGGGTAGAAACTCCACCGGCTTCGTCCGCTTCAGTAGCGCCTGTCAGCCCCGCTGCCACCGAAGGTTCACCTTTCTTCCAATACTCCTCCGGACCGAGCCCAGCTCCATCGAGCTCGACCTCGTCCGCCAACACCGCCGCCGTCGCTGCCAACTCCCCGTCACCTGTTCTTTCCTCCCGTCATGCGACACCTCCCGCCGCCTCCTCTCCGTCCGTTGAGAAACAACAACAGCACCGCCAGCAGCTTGTGTCGTCGGCACGCACACCCCCATATCACCCCTCGGCGTCGCCGGGCCCGCCCAATGCGGCGATCAACCCAGACGACTTCCAAACCCTCTTCAACAATCTGTCCCCCGCCCAAATCAACTCTTTCATGACCAACCTCCCGAACGTCTTTGGGGCAGGCTCGACGTCACCTGGGCCATCCTTCTCAGGGTCGGCGGCGGACTTCAACCGCACAGGCGCTGACGGGATGCCGTCCTATCCGACAGGGCATGGCTCGTTCGGCAACGACGCGACCATGAACGGCATGGGAGGGGTGGAAGGCCTTCTCTCTTTCGACCCCTCGTCACCAGGCGGGTACGGAGATGGGATGGACTATGATACGTATCACGCGGGCTACGGCTACGGTGCCAGCGGGTTCGCAGATTCCTCCCAACCCACCGCGTTTATTAACGAGCCGAGCGCCTTCATCAGCGGTCCTGAGCAAGCGACCGGGCAATCGCAGCACGCTGTCGCACAGGGTGGCCCGCCCTTGCCCAACTGGCAGGCTGCTGAAGACATCGAGCGCGATGTGTCGGCGTTGAATGCGAAGATCAACACATTGATTGAGAAGTTCGGCTTCGACCCAGAGAAGTTAACACAGTACTCATCGCCGAGTGACAGCACTTCGCCTTCTGTCACGCACGCTCAACCCATCGCGCAAGCGATAGCCCCGCCGTGGTCAGCAAATGCCCAGCTGCCGTCGCGGCCGCCCCTCTCGACATCCTCGGACAAGCCGGCGTCGATGGGCAGGGCTAGCCACCCCGTCCTGCCTCCCTCTGCGATGGCGACGGAGCCTCTCCCGGCCCCGCTGGACGCCCTCACGCCCAACCTCAATGCTCCGGCGGACTTCGATTTCACCGAGTTCCTGAGCAAGTACGTCTCGGGCGTCGAAGGCGCCCAGGACAACAACGCGCTCATGGACGAGGTCATGTCCAACGCCGGCGACTCGACGGGCCAGCCGGCGCACATGGAGGACCAGTCGACGAGCGCGCCGCGCGGAAATGGGAGGAAGCGCAAGTCTGACGCGATGCCGCCGATGCCCGACCTCACGGAGCCGCCAAAGAAGGGTGGAAAGCGGCGCAGGGGAGGCGCCTAGGTAGATGAACATCAGGACGACGTCGCGATTGAATCCACCCGACATGCTCTTCCCGTGCACTGCATCATTCACCAATGAACTATGTTAAGGCTCGAGCGAAGTCGCCATCGCCATCTAGTCGCAGACACGAGTTCACTCCTTCTCCAGCGTGCGCCTTTTGTTTTTCGTTTGTTCATGCCTTCTGCCTTGCCCTCGTCCTTGTCCCCCGTATGCCTCTTACTGCGTTCCGCGTCCATCGCGGTTCGTGACCGCTGCCTTGATCCCCATTCCATCGCTATGCTATGAACAACCTATTGCTACTCACCCTTTCGCCTTTCTTGGTGGAACCGCGTTTGTGCTTGGGATTTCCCCTCGTTCCGAGTACCTTTACTTATGCCTTCAAGGGTAGTCTCCAGCCTATGTATCACGTCCGCTCTACGACTACACGGCCTACGTACCGTGCTTCGAATCTGTGTATTTCTACGGGATATCGTCTATTGTTCTCGCTTGTCTATTCGTTATTACTGACTTGAAAATGTACCCTGTACTGCCTCGGTAGATGTCGAATCATGCTTTCGGACGCCTCTCTCGGACTTTCGAAGACCTGGCTAGCGGTGGCGCCTGGGAGGATTGGTGAGCGCGCTCCCATGACTCGAGCCATCGCTCCGTCAATACCGCAAAAATAGAAGACTTATAGGTCCGAAACATCATCGCGGGTTAAGGATAAGCAGAGGCGCGCTTAGCGAGCCCCCGCGCTCGCTGCTCGCCAGCCCCCTCCCTCTCTCTTGCCGACCACCACCACGCCCGGCAGCATGTTGCCCAGCAGTGCCGATGCGAAGGATGCCAAGTCCGCCGACGTGACTGAGGCGGAGGTCCCGGTGGCGCAGACCCCGCGCCCAGAGACGAACATGGAGGGCCTGGCGGTGAGGTCCGTCGAGGAGATTCACGAACCGATGGACCCGCGTTTCCACCTGACGTCCGAGCTTGACCTGCCCGCGCACAACTTTCCCCATCACCACCACCATGGTCATGGCCACGACCACCGGGAGGCGAGCGAGGAGACGGCGGAGAAGACGTCAGGCGCCACCACCTCGACTCGCAGCGGGACCAAGGATCTCGAGGGCTTTGAGGAACCCCTGTACGTGAGTGCTTGGTCTGCACGCGGTTTCCGTGTCCCGCAGGTGCCTTATTCTATCCTTCAGGTCGACTGGGAGGACGGCGACCCTCGCAATCCAGTCAACTTCTCGAGGTGGGTTTGGCTTTCGCATCCCGCAAATGACCCGAGCGCCGGTGGTACTGACGACTCACACGTTTCCCAGGCGCAAGAAGTGGTTAATCACCGCGATGGGCGCCTTCTTTACCTTGTCCTCTGGTAAGTGGGCCGCGTTGTCCGCTTTTGGGGCGCTAATTGAGGAGTATGAACAGCTGCGACGGCGGGCTCGTATAATATGGGCTTTGGCTCGATGTTGCGAGACATTAAGGCCACTCAGCTGGAGGCCACGACGGGCCTGAGCCTATACGCCCTCGGATTTGGCGTAACGCCGCTCCTTACGTCGTCATTCAGCGAGGAGCTCGGTCGGCGTCCGTTGTACATCGGCAGTGGCATCATCTACACCTTGATGTACCTCATGGTCGCTGAGTGAGCCTCTTCTGTTCATGAACCCGCCGACAAATATTCAATTATTCCTGCAGGGCGAAAAATATAGAGACGGTTCTCATCGCTCGCTTCCTGCAAGGCGCAGCTGGATCTACCGGTTCGGTGATTATTCTGCGATTCGAACGGCAAGGAGTGGAACCTTACATGTTTTCTTCAACAGACGATGGTCGGGGGTACGATTGCTGATATCTGGCCCGCCGCAGAGTAGGTCTCGACATCCAGTGTGCCATTCGAATTCTAATTTCAGTTGACAGGCGTGGCATCCCAATGGCCCTCTTTTCCATCGCAGCCATCGGCGGTACAGGCCTTGGTCCCGTGGCCTCTGGCTGGATAGAGATGAACCCGCACCTCGGGTGGCGATGGATTCAGTGGATACAGATGATGTACGCCGTTGTTCAGGTGGTTTCCTTTGTTTTAGCCTGCTGACATAAATTGCAGCATCTCTGGTGTGTTTTTCTGCATCGTACCTTTCGTGATGTCGGAAACGCGCAGCCCTGTCCTTCTTACGCGGCTGGCCAAGAAGCTGAGGAGGGAGACGGGAGACAGGCGCTATCGAGCCCGTATAGAGGACGAGCGTGCGAGCCTGCGCCAGCTCATCTATATTTCTTGCACGCGGCCAATTTGTGAGTGTTAAAAAGCGCTTTCGATGAGGACATGACTGATTCTTGTACAGATCTCCTGCTTACTGAGCCTATCGTCATCGCGTTTAGCGTGCGCCTTCGATCTGCGTTCTCAGGATCCATCTGATATTTTCTGACAGGCATGGGTTGGTTTCGCCTGGGGAATCCTCTATTGCTTGATTGAGTAGGTTCAAGCACATTTGTGGCAACATGCAGTCGACTCACCTTCACACTCAGATCTATCTCGGGCGTCTTTAGAGATGTGCATGGATTTACGGTCGGCCAAGTCGGCACCGTCTTCGCTGCCATGCCCATAGGTGCGACGATTGGATGGGCGATCAATCTTTACCAGGAGCGACTGTACAGGTGAGCATGGCGCACCCTCATCCGGGCCGACTTTCTGACTGCGATCTCACAGGAAGTACTTCCCTGTGCGAGGCGCAGATGCTAGACTATATTCTGCATGCGGCGCAGCGGTTCTTCTGCCGATAGCCATGTTCATCTACGCGTGGTGCGCCTACCCGACGATAACGTGGGTTGCGCAGGCAATTGGGATCGTGCTGTTCACGACTGCCGCCTTCGTGATCTACAACGGTGTCTTCTCGTATCTCGCCGATTGGTCGGTCTCCTTGACGTCGTGCCATATTTTTCTTGCTGACCCTAAGCCTAGTTATGGCCCGTTCGCGTCGTCGGCGCTTGCAGGCCAAAGTCTTGCGAGTATGTCCCTACAAAACTTCGCGAAGGCGCTGAATGCTGATTGCTAGCAGGAAACCTCATGGGCTTCGCCTTCCCATTGTTCACGACACAAATGTTTGACGCCCTCGGGTACCGTTGGGGGAACACACTCTTCGCCCTTGTTGCGGTCGTTCTGATGCCGATCCCTTTTGTGAGTACAAGTGCCGATACACGATACATCCTGGTTGACAGACCTTCCCATAGATACTACTATTCTGGGGCCCTAAAATCCGCAGGAGCAGCAAGTTCTCGCGGATGGTATTGGAGCAACAAGCTGCTGGGAAGTAGGCGTATTACACCACTTACATCATCTCGACGACGCAGATTTACGGAGGGAGGAACTTAGACACCATGTACATTGCTTTAGATACGTCTCAACGCCAGCCTACGACTATTGAGGACCAGTTTCCTGCCAGCATGAGCGATAAGTCCGAAAGTTGAACAAGGACCGTGCGTTTGCCGAATATCGGAATTCATTCCCACGCCTTCCTGCCTCTTACCGTCACCGCGAATTCACCGGTCAACTCGTCATGGTCGCCCAACCCGACGTCGAGTCCGCCCCCAACGGCGTTAATGGCGTCAATGGCGCGGCGAAGCCTAAAATCAAGTCCAAGAACCAGCTCAGGCGGCTGAAGGCGAAGCAGAAGAAAACGGAGACTCAAAGCGCGCCTGTGCGTTCCCTTCAGTTCTGAGCGGTGCACGGGCTTACTACAATGGTAATTTCTTTAGGCCACCAATGGCAAGGGCGATGCTCATGAGCACGAAGACAAGGATGTCAAGATGGAGGACGCGACGCAGCCGGATAACGCCAATGTTGAGTACGTGTCTGAGCAGCTGGATAGCAGCGTCCTCGGGGCATTCTCCGACGTTTTTGCCAAGTTCCGTCCCCCACCTGAAGCGGAGACAACGGTGCGTGGCTACCACCTTTACATGTAGCGCGTCTAATCCTCCTTAGGCTACATCGACAGAACCGACGAAAGGCGAAGTCATCTATTCCGATGATGACATGGCCTCGGAGGGGGACTCGGACGCGGAGGAGAAGAAGCCGTTATCGAAGAAGAAACAGCGCAAGATGAACCGGCTGACCGTCGCGGAGCTCAAGCAGGTCGTGAAGAAGCCCGAAGTCGTCGAATGGACGGACGTCACGGCAGCAGACCCCCGGCTATTGTTGCACATGAAGAGCTACCGGAATACTGTCCCCATCCCCGTGCACTGGAGTGCTAAGCGTGATTACCTCCAGGGTAAGCGCGGTATCGAGAAGCCTCCTTTCCAGCTCCCCTCGTACATCGCGGACACCGGTATTGCGACCATGCGTGACGCGGTCAAGGAGAAGGAGGCGAATATGTCGTTGAAGGCGAAGACACGCGAGCGCGTGCAACCCAAGATGGGCAAGATCGACATCGACTACCAAAAGTTACACGATGCTTTCTTCAAGTTCCAGACGAAGCCGCCAGTGACGGGCTTCGGTGAAATGTGCGTGATCTTTTGCGCGCTTGACTACTCTTTCTGACTCACCTGCGTCAGGTATTACGAGGGCAAAGAATTCGAGACCTCATTGAAGGAGAAGCGGCCAGGAGATCTATCACCTGAGCTCGTCGAAGCACTCTCAATACCTCCATTAGCACCCCCGCCATGGCTTATCAGCATGCAGCGGTTCGGTCCTCCTCCCAGCTACCCTACCCTCCGTATACCTGGTCTCAACGCACCGATCCCCGAAGGGTAAGTCATGCTACGAGAGCCACCGATCTCATCGCTCATGCCTTTGACAGCGCACAATGGGGCTTCCATCCTGGTGGATGGGGAAAGCCGCCTTTGGACGAGTACAACCGTCCCTTATATGGCGATGTCTTCGGCGTATTGCCGAAGGTCAATGACAGCGCGGTACGCAGTCTGCATTTCTTCAGGTGATTGTGCGCTCATATTCGTTCAGGGCGGGGAGCCAGTGGACAAAGAGCCATGGGGAGAACTGGAGCCCGAAGAGGGTAAGTTGAAACTGAAGCCGTCGGTCGTTTGCTGCTCACCTAGTTTACAGAAGACGAAGAGGAGGAAGAGGACGAATCCGAGGAAGAAGAAGAGGAGGAGGAAGCTGCTGCGCCCATGGACGGTATACAGACTCCGTCGGGATTGGAGACACCGTCTGGTATGGCGAGCGTTGTGTCGTCCGTCCCCGGCGGTCTGGAGACGCCCGACTTCTTGGAGCTGCGCAAGAACACCGGAAGGCCAACAGTGGCCGATGCCGTCGAGACGGGCCCGCGGTCATTGTACCAGGTCGTGCCGGAGAAGCAGACCAATGTTCGCGGTCTCATGGGCAGCGAACGGGGATACGATGTCAGCGCAGTCGCCGGTGCCGCAATACCAGTGCTCGGCGACGAGCGTGGACAGAAGGTATTCCTGGACTATGGCTAGCTCATGCGCTGGTACTGATGATTCTTGCAGCGCAAGAACGGCGTCGACGTCTCGATCGATGCCGAACAACTGGAAGGCATGTCGACGGAGGATCTCCAGCGCAAGTACAACGAGCACTCTCGCGGCGGTGTTCATGTACCAGGCGCGGGCCGCAGCGAGGACTTCTCCGACATGGTCGCGAAGGAGTCGGCCAAGAGGAAGCAAAAGGCGGAGACCGACAGAGACAGGAAGAAGGGCAAGGAGTTCAAGTTCTAGGTCGGGACATTCACCGGTGTTGCCCTTTTCGTCACTTTGTTCTGCTATTTTGTGCTTTCTTATTGTACATCTCCCGACAGCAGGGACACACCACTTTGCTGGTAATGCTACCGCACCCATCTTGTGAATGCGCCCACTTCGGAGCAAGTGCTGCTACATGTTCAAGAGCAAAGTGCTGGACTAAAGTAGGTCGACTGCAAAGGTCATTCTGATCCCACCACAGCCTAATCTCATAGCTCGTCCCAAGTGGATTGCGATTGTTGTCATCGACTGGGTACCGGGTGAGCGAACGCGCCGCTGGCTCACCTCGTTCTGCGCTTGCTGAAGGGATGTACGTTACAGACGCAGGTCGTTCCTGCACACCTGTCGACGAAGGCCGCCAGACTGCGACACTGCCGGTGGCCGTCGTACGGCCGTTGCCAAGCAGCGCGGGGGTCAAGGTGCATACCAGTCCAGTCCTATATTGTTCACTGCAGGTAGGCCCTCCGCCTAGCAAGGTGCCTTACTCAGCGGCCTCGCCGAACACGTTTCGCTCCTCGAGGGCGTTTATTTGGGAGGCGTAGGCCACGGTGGCGCGGGTGTTAGGCGCGCGGAGGGGGAAGTATAAAGGATCCCTGAGGGCGTTGTCAGTCTTCACTATCCGCCTTACGTTCTCTCGGCAGCGTTTGCTGTATATCCCTCCGCTCCCTTCGTCAACTCTCCTTCGCTTTCTCGACGATGTTGTTCACCAAGGCGCTCTTCACGTTCTTCAGCTTTGCCCTCGCTGTGACGGCGCTCCCCACCTCTGATATGGGGGATGAAGGTATGGTGTACAATTCTCCACTATGACCATAAACAAAAGGCTCACCATCGCTCAGTCGCAGTCAACAACTCTACGCTCGTCGACACGGACAACCTTCACGAGCTCGCCACGGCCGCGATCAAGGGCAAAGGTGCGCTTACGTCCTACCCTCCAAGTACATCTAGATGTGCTCATCATCACTCAATCTGTCACCCTTAGCTACGTTTTACGACCCTAACGGCGGATACGGCGCGTGTGGCAAGAAGCTGAACAACAACGACATGATCGTGGCCCTCTCGTCCGATCGATACCAGAATGGCTCGCATTGTACGTTGACCCTTGCGCTTGCGTCCTTGCGCCATCGCTGACTATCTACTTCGTGCAGGTCACAAGAAGCTCTGGGTGCGATGTAAGCGGCGCCCTCATCCGTTCTCTTGACACTTGCTCATCGTGCTGTAGACAACGGCAAGAAGATCGCGGTCACGGTCGAGGACCTTTGCCCCGGCTGCCAGAAGAGCAGCCTCGACCTCTCCCGCGGCGCCTTCTCCAAGATCGCTAACCTCGACCTTGGCATCATTGACGTCGAGTGGTGGTTCGACTAGACGCGTTCTCAATACGCCTGCGGCTCCTCAGGCCACTCTTCTTGGTTTGTACGATTATCGCATATCTATTGGGGTGGACCGGCTGTGAGATAAAAGGGAAGGATATTTATTCGGAACGTCCTGTTGTATACCCGCTGCACTTGTACTTCTGGAAATACATGTGCGCGCCAGCTTTGCAGCATACCTATTGATGGTGTGAGCAGGGTACTGAAGATCATACAAATATCTGAGGATATAGGTACCATGTTCGGGCATCTAGAGACCTCCCTCTGTGCTCTTTGTTACCAGCAAGGAGCTCGTAAGCTGGAGCCAATGATGTTGAGGGCAAAGTTCGACCTCGAAGTCTGAATCCGGCCATCAGACGCGTGCCCATTGTTTTCCAAACATGCACCGGCTTCACTCAGCCGCCTCGTTTCGCCTCTTCGCCACGACTCCCATCGTCCCTTTTGACCTCCCGCGAAATAATCACGGCTAGGACGAACTTCAGAACCTGAGTGATACTGAGATCCTGGGATCTGGAGCTTGCATACGATACCCAGCAGTGTTGTCATCGTTGAGCAATACGCGACTCGGGACCTCAGAGCAGATACTATGTTCTTGTAGATCCTGGCCTCTACTCTTCTTACAGTGATATACTGGTGCGTGCTGCTCTGTTCTGCCTGTAGATCGTGCGCTGAGATCTCGAAGCATTTCCAGCCGACTTGAGATCAATAGACCTCCACACGATATCATGGCCTCTGTAGCACCGACGGGTTCACAGGGTGGTGCTTGGGATGATGAAGCTGCATTCGACAAGTTTGCGACGCTGTTCTCGCCAGCCACACCTCGCGCATCACCAACACCCGAAGGGAAGGCCGCGATGAACGCGCCGCCAGTCGCCCAGCGAAGACCTCCCCCGATTGCCACGTCCGACTCCGAGTTCGGCTCGTTCGTCACCGTGTCAGCCAACGAGGATCCGCTCTCCTTCATGTCCGCCTCGCCGAGCGTGAGCGCGCTCCCGCCACCCATCCAACCATCCGTCACGCCCAGGACACCTCAGGTGGCGGCTCATCCGGCAACTACCACAGGGAATGTCAAGCCAAATCATACCCGTGCAAATCCAAGTCTTGATTTCTTCGATGCTTTTGGTCGGGAGGCGAAAGAAGCGTCTGAGCGGAACAAACGACAGGTCCTCGACGAACTCCTGCTGCACGACTCAGATCCATTATCCTTCCTCTCCTCGAAGCAAGATGAAGTGTCATTTCGACAAACCACATCGCCAGGACAGCCCTTCACCGACGCACCCTCTACCACATCTCCCGGGGTGGATGCAGACGAGGAGTTCGGCGAGCTGCAGTCTAGCGCGCCACCGTGCAGCAGTGTAACGTCCTTCGGCCCCTCCTTAATTGACTTCGATCCTCTTGCCGAGCCCGAGAAGCCGCCAACACTCGCGGACGATGCTGCGTCCACCTCCACTGGCCCACACCACCATCACCATCATCACCACCATGTAGGCTCGCCGACAAGGCAGTCAACGCTCACACCTTCCACGCTTGCTCCGCCCTTAACTTCGTCGAGCTCTGTCTCGTCTAAACCGGCGACTCCGGCCATCGAGCATTCCCCAGAGTTCCCATTTCCCTCGAGTAGCCCGCCGCCGAGATCACAGTCTATGCAGACGCTCTCCGGGCTTTCGTCCTCATGGCTCTCTACCATCCGCGAACGCGGCCTTTCCTCTATCCTCCCCGCCACGCACACCCGTCAGGCGACAGACCCCGGACGCATACTACCTGGCCACCCCAATCCCCACCCGCACGCCCCCGGCCACACCCCCGCCCAGCCCGTCACCATCACCCACAACACGCCCTTCACACCCACAGGGCCCGCGCACTCCCCCTTCGCTGCGCACGTCTACATCCCGCCTAGCGGGGCGCCCGGCTTTCGCGGAGAAGCATACGACTGGGACAAGGGGTACTCCGTTGAGCTGGAGCGCGAGCTCCAGGCGTCGGGGGCATCGTCGTCGAGAGGTGTTAGTCGGTCGCCGCCGGGTACTGCGTCGAGCACGTCGTCGAGGGCGCCGGCGTCGGTGAGGGGCGTGTCCCCGAAACCGCAGGAGCCGCCGGGCGAGGTGAAGCCGGCGACGGTGGACGATGTGATCCAGAAGAAGCTGGGCGGGGTGTTACTGACGGGGCGGAATCCGAATACGGAGGTCGTACTGACGAACGAGACGGCGGATTCGGTGAGTTTACTAGTTGTTAACGGCGCTCTAGTACTGAACGTGTCACGCAGATCCGACCCTACCTTCCCGCGCTCGCGCGACTGCCTCGCACTTGGTCTTTGCTGTACTCCCTCGACCAGCACGGTATCTCGCTCGCGACGCTTTACCGCAAATGCGAAGCCGCCCTTGACGCCCGAAGAACGTCGGGCAACAACACTGGTGCTTTGGTCGTCATCAAGGATGGCTCGGGGACCGTCTTCGGCGCTTGGGTCGGCGATGGGATACACCCGAGCAAGGGCCAGGGCTTTTATGGAAGTGGGGAATCGTGAGTCGCTGGCTGAATGTATACGTGCTCGATGAGCTGACGAGCCCATAGTTTCTTATGGAAGAAGGTGGAAGGCGGCAAGTGTCGCGTGTACAAGTGGACGGGGAAGAATAACTACGTGACCCTTTGCGAGCCCGAGTACATATCATTTGGCGGAGGGTGCGTGGCCTCACTTCAGTCTTCTCTCGATTTCCGCGTCGCTCACACGGCGGTACTCAGAGACGGCCAGTACGGCATATACCTCGACGAATCGCTGTTCGACGGCTCCTCCGCGCGATGTCCGACGTTTGATAATGATCCGCTATGCTCGCCGGGCGCGCGTAAAGGCCGTGCGGTCCAGTTCGAGTGTGTGGGACTGGAGGTGTGGGGAGTGGGGGCTTGAAGCGGAGTGCGGATTAAGTAGCTGGACGGGAACTGGATGAGGTGAACTCTTGCGTGCTCATGGCTGTATTCTATGCATCTGTAACTTATTTCCTCGTTCTCCTTTCACCTGCACTCGATCACCTCATAGTATACAATTTGGAGTTGGTCAATGGTTAAGACTGCTAGTCGGGGCACACATATGATCACAGCTTCGCCTTGCTGCTCCTCTGCAGGTCGATGACAATCTTCCCAAACTGCCCGCCGCGCTTGATGAGGTCGAAGCCTTGCTCGACGGCGTCCAATCCGTCTAGAACATCGGAGACAACAGGCACGATCTTGTGCTTTGCCATGAAGGCCGTCGCGTCCTCGAGGTCCTTGCGGGATCCCATGGTCGAACCTGGAGAGTGGGTGAGCCGCCGAGAGGAGGCTTTGTGAAAAGACGCGCACCTATGAGTTTCTGATTCCGCAGAACGGCAGGCATGGTCATGGGGATCACGGGAGCTGCAGTTCTGCACAAGGATATGTGAGTGAGAGACCCGATTTGACGCGCAAGACAAGGCTGAGCGTACGTTCCGTATACCACCACCCGCCCGCCGTGCTTCAGTATGGAGCTCGTCTGTGTCAAGATATTCCCGCCGCTACCGTCAATGACGGAGTTTAGCACTCCGTTTTCCTTCTTCAGGGTGGCACCAAGTTGTTTGGCCCAGTCCTCTAGCCAGATTAGGTCAGATCGTCAGTCGGGCAGCGCGCAGAAGGTATTGCGCTCACCGTCCCTATAGTTGAAGCCTGCCTTTGCGCCGAGTCCGAGGGCACGGTTGATTTTGTCTGGGCTCGAGCTGGTCACGTAGACGATGACACCCTGCAAGAGTGGTGAAATAATTTAGCATAAAAGGTATGGGAATGTTACTTGCTGCTCACCTGAGCCAAGCAGATCTGCAGCGCCGTGATGGCGACACCGCCGCCAATCCCAGTTATCAGGACTCGGTGTCCAGGCTGGACGTTGGCGTTGACGATTGCGGCCCTATACACAAATCAGTGAGTCCTCTGTCGTTGCAGCTGAGATGAACGACATACCTCCAAGCCGTCAAACCCGCGAGCGGCCACGCTGCTGCATGAACATCGTCAAGGTGGGACGGGCTTGAAATCACCTCGTCCCTCTCGACGACGACGTATTCAGAAAATGTGCCGATGGGAGGAACTTTCCCGCCGCCGAGGATGGCGAATCTGTGAAAATGAGGTCAGAATGTGACCATCTCAAGTTGGGTAGCGCAAAATAGCAGACTTACTTTCCCTCAGGCGCTTCTGGGTCAGATTCCCAGCCGCGCATCGGAGTTAGGAAGACGCGCTTCTCCAGCAGTGAGTCCTTGGGGTCGTGCGCTGCGACGACGACGCCTGAATCGTCTTAGCGACCAGCGAACAAGACGCAGATTTGCAAGCAATTTTACCAGCCCCATCCGCGCCAAAGGTGGCCCCGAAATGGATCCCAGGGTACAGGCCTGAGACATAGGTAAGCCAGATTAGCTATCTGTCGTCGGCTGCAGAGTTTTACTTACCCTTCCTCTGCCAATGCTGGGCGCGGCGTGCGTTAGCTACCTACCGGAGGTCATTGGAAAGATGCAGGATCCACACTCACCTCCCGATGATTATACGCAGCAGCGGACATCCTCACGAGGACCTCACCACGCTGAAGTGCAGGAATCTCCCGCTCGACAATCACAGCGTCATGGTAAACAGGCTTCTTTGCGCTCGCCTGCTCCTGGATGATGACCGAGCGCGTCGTCCGGGGGATTTGGCGAGAAGCCATGTCCTGCGAGTCCTAATTTTGTCCTGCGATGCGTGATTATGTCGTGAAGGTCAAGAGCGAGAGCAAGGAGAATGTCAGAAGAACACCGCGAGAGTCAGTACGCTCGCGCAACGTCAGCAGCGAGAGCACTCCGTGGAGGTCAGAAGCAAGAGCACCTAATGACCCACCCCGAAGTCGAACTTCGACATAAGCAACATCGGCGACGCCGTGAGACCGAACCGGTAGGCTCATGACCGACCGCCGATGTATAGCACAATAATTTATGGGACCAGCCCCATGACCTATCCGCGTACAGATACCTGCGAGTACTTACATGTCCAGCACATAGTGTTCTGCACGGTGAGTACTACTACGGTGACCTGCACAGTGAGTACTACAGCGACCAGCAGCGCACTACAGTACTGGTGACCCGCACACACTACAGCGACTAGTGCCTAGCACAATGCGTAATACGGTGTCCAGCACCAGCACTCACTGCGGGCTCCAATCTGCATTAACTAGCGTCCATCCGCCCACCCAGCCTGTCCAGCAGGGCCCTATTCTTCCGGATCCGCGCGTCCAGCACGTCCCCCACAGCGCGGCTGCGGACCTCGAGCCCCTTCAGCCTCTCTGCGATGGAGTCCATCATGCGCTCGCGCGCGGCAACGACGCCGCCCGGCGGGGCCGCCAGCGCAAGTGGTTTCTTCACCGGCCCGCGCGGATGGGATGGCAAGTCGGCGGCGAGGGCGGCGTGCCCCGAGTCAACAGCGACATGCCCAGGATCGACCGTATGTTCGGGCGGGGTGACGAGGTCGCAAGAGCTGCTCGCGGCGCTCGAGGGACTTCCATTCGACGAGCTCGACTCGCCGATGACGAAGACGCCTGGCGCGACGTCGAGGCATATGTCGACCAGCGGTGACCCGAACCGTGCGAGGGCTTCGAGACGTCTTCGAGCCGAGCGGAGGGCAGGGCTGCGCACGCCAACAGGAGTGCCAGCTCCGGCGTTGTCTCCACCCCCTCCCTGCCTTCCCAGCTCCATCTCCGGCTTGAAAAACGTCTCCACTCCCACCACTCTTCCCCTCAACTCCTCCAACCCCAACCGCTTCGCCGGATCCGCCTCAAAGACACCCTTAACGATCTCGCTCACAGCCCGGCTGACGGGGAGCGCGTCGTAGATCCAGTCGGGGTCCGCGACGAAGGCGGCGTAGCAGGGATCGCGGAGGACGGCCTTGTGCCAGGGGCGGCGCATCGTGAGCATGTTGATGAGGATGACGCCAAGCGCCCACATGTCGTTCGCGGTGTTGAGGTACATCTTCGCGGGAGAGTCTTCGCCGATGCATTCTGCGAAGATAGAATCAGCCGTGAATGGTGTGCCAGACAGGTATGAACGACTAACCAGGACTCATATAATGGCTAGTCCCACATCCTCGACTGTGCGAGAATCTCTCATGCGTACTGAGGCCAAAGTCTGCCAGGTAAACCTGCCCTGTAGATTGTGAGTATAAAATGTTCTCCGGCTTCAGATCGCGGTGGAAGACGTCGTGGTCGTGACAGAACTTGAGCGCGTCCAGCAGCTGCAGGTATATCTTCATGACCAGATCGTCTTTCTGATGAAAGCCACCGCCCTCTATTGCCGTGAAGAGCTCGCCGCCGTCGCAGAGATCGAGAACCATGAAGACGTAGGGACCGGCCCGGACGACGTCGTGCAGGGTGACGATGTTCGGGTGCGAGCTGACGCGAGCGTGGAGATCGACTTCGCGCTCGAAGGACTCGGAGTCGCGAGAGCCTGGTTCGGGAGCGAGCATGCACTTGATGGCGTAGCGCGCGGAGTCCTTCGCGAGAGAGGTGTCGACGCAGCTGTAGACGCAGCCAAAGCTGCCTTTGCCTAGCCTTTCCAGAAGACGGAAGCGGTCTATAGTTCTGCCGGAGAAGTCGGGGAGGAGATCGGAGGGACGTGTCGAGGGCATAACAGATCGTCAGAACGAGTAGCGTAGGTTTAGGACGACAGAAGGGAGTGCGAAGCGGGATAAGGTCGAGTCGCAGTTCGATAGAATATTGAGATAGTGAAATAGTTTGCAGATACGAAGGAGTGGCGGAGTAGTCGTTCTAAGGGGAGAGGTAAGCAGAAGCCGTGAGGGAAACGCATGCAGGACATACCTGCGATCAGATACTATTGCGACACGAGGTCAGCGCACGACTTCAAGTCATGATACGTACACTCACGAGAATAAGCTGATAAAGGACCAGCCCGACGTCGAACCGAGAATGAGATGAGGGACGGGAGAAAGAGGCAAAGATAGGAGCTTGCGCAAACGCGTCCGGCAACAAACACACGCACATATGCGGCTAAGCACGTGGCCGCGTATCGAGATCCGTTTCCCACGATTGCTTTACTTCCGCCACCATCTCCTCCTGGCTCGCGGCCTTCGCAAGCAGCTTGACTGTTCGCGTCAGTCTAGTCTATGGGCAGTCAACATGGCTGAATAACTGCGCAAACCGCGTTGGGAAGGTAAGGGCTTATTCTCGACGGTTCCATTGTCCGATAATTCCCGGTCAATCCTTATGGACTTGTCTGTGATCGTCTCGATAACGGGACAGCAACTGCTCTGGTCCCCTTGATTCAGGCATGAGAAGCGTCAACGATGATAGGCAGTAGCCGTCTTCACTTGGTGTTGCGAAAAGCAGCGAAATCTTCACGAAATATCCCATTCCACGCTTGGACTGAGCGCTGACCCTTTTCATGGTCAACAAACGAAGAGACAGACGTCTTCAGCAACTTCGTGAAGCTTGCTCTATCTGAGCCTCAAGGCGTCCAAGTTGCTGTTTCATTACGGACTTTCGTTTTGACGATCAAGGCAAGAAAGCAACGGACTCCCGCAGAACGTTCTCGAAAACCGCGCACCGCGAACGAGCTACCCACCTTCGACCCTATTGAGGAGCCTGTCTGACTGAATATAGTGGCGCTGGATGAGCTCTAGCGGTCTTGATACGCCTTTGACGCTCTCTCGAGCCCATCTTTGGGTCTGATCCCATTTTGCATCCCGCAGATCTCGCATACGACCACCTTTTGTCTCCCGATAAAGCAACCCTTCCATGGGAATCTCAGATCATCTAGTCAAATACAAATACCCCTTTCCCCTCACGCCCGCCCGCACATAAAAGGCAGCCGGTCCTTCCAGCCATTCCCCAGTACCCCACAGGTATTTCGAGCGCCTCTTCCCCGTCGCACTCATCTCATCTTAGCCTGCTTATATGGCGCTCCTCCCTGAACCGAAGCCCGCCCTTGACAATACACTCGAGGCCTCCCTGCCGCCGGACTCTGCGCTCGAGCATGTCGAGCAGACGGTCGACGACCCCGTCGCATTCCTCGTCAACAACCCCCAATCCCTATCCGTAGCGTATGGCGCTTCAAGTACGTGTGTGCTCCCCGCGTTGCTGTACCCTTGCTCACGCCTCGATTCCAGGTCTGAAGGCCGTCTTTGAAAATAAGGCGGCCCTGCTGTGCGCAGTCATGGCGTCGTTCGGCGGGCTCACCTTCGGCTATGACCAGGGTGTCATCAGTGTCACCCTCGTCATGGACCACTTCCTGAAGGTATGCATTGTTTTTATCCACCGTAATGCCTTCCATCTCACCCCCACTCGCAGACCGTACCCGAGATCGACTCTGGTCACTCCGGCGCGAGCTTCAACAAGGGGTTGTTGACTGCAATTCTCGAACTTGGTGCCATGCTAGGTCCGTCCTCCTATCGTTCACGCTACCTTCACCGGCGCTGACCCGTCACCTAGGCGCCATGCAAACGGGCCTGCTCGCGGATAGGTTCTCTCGTAAGCGCGCGCTTATGATTGGTTCCGTGTGGTTCGTCGTCGGTTCGGTCCTGCAGACTGCGACGTATTCGTACTCGCAATTGATTGTGGGCAGATTATTGGGCGGTGTTGGTATCGGCATGCTTAGCTGTAGGTCACTCTCTTCTTTGAGCATCCGTGCATGTCCTCACGGGTTCTTCTCAGCGACTGCCCCTCTGTACATCTCGGAGATCTCGCCACCTCACGTCCGCGGTGCGCTCCTTGTATGGGAGCAAGTTATGATCGTCATCGGTGTCGTACGTCTCCTTCACCTCCCTCTCATCGCCTTGCAGTCGTACTGACTACCATCAAGGTCATCGCCTACTGGCTCACCTTTGGCACCCGCTACATCGACTCGAGCCTGTCCTGGCGCCTGCCCTTCGGCCTCCAGCTCATCCCCGGCGTCATCCTCTTCTTCGGCGCTTGGTTCCTCCCCTACTCCCCTCGCTGGCTCGCCATGCAGAAGCGCTACGACGAGTGCCTCGCCTCCCTCGCCCGCCTGCGATCCCTCCCCGAGCACGACCCGCGCGTCCAAGCCGAACACCTCACCATCCTCGCCGAGGTCGCCGTGAATAAGGAGGTCGCCGCGCTGCGCCACCCGAGCTTGGATAGTGATCAGCCGGGGAGCAGCCCGAGCATGTGGCAGGCGTTTGTGAAGGAGACGAAGGAGTGGCGGGACGCGTTCAGCAAGCGGTATATCAAGCGGACGATTGTGGGCGCGGGGGTGGCGGGCTTCCAGCAGTTTACGGGTATCAATGCGCTCATTTACTAGTACGTCCTACGTTTTCGCGATCACTGAGCATTGCTAACGATGTTCATAGCGCGCCCACCCTCTTCGCCTCGCTCGGCCTCAACGACGACACCTCCATCCTCATGTCGGGCATCATGTGCGCACCTTCCCAGCCCCCACCCCCACCCTCACTAACTCCTCCCCAGGAACACCCTCCAACTCGTCGGCTGCCTCCCCACTATCGCCCTCCTCGACCAAGCCGGCCGCCGCCGTCTCCTCCTCATCGGCTCCACCCTCCTCGTCCTCTGCCACACCGCCGTCGCCGCCATCATCGGGCGCTGCTACCAGGACTGGTCCGCGCACCACGGCGCGGGGTGGGCCGGCGTCGCCCTCGTCTTCACCTTCATGCTCAGCTACGGCGCGACGTGGGGCCCGGTGAGCTGGGCGCTCCCGCCCGAGGTCTTCCCCTCGTCGATCCGCGCGAAGGGCGTGGCTATCAGCGTGGCGACGCTGTGGTTCTGCAACTTCATTGTGAGTGGTAGATGGTCAATGCACGTGCATGGGCGGTGCTGACGCGACTACTGGCCAGGTCGGGCTCATCACGCCTCCTCTCAACTCTGCGAAGCCGTATGCGGCCTTTGCGTTCTACGCGTGCTTTGCGCTCATCAGTCTCGCGTGGATCTACTGTGAGTGGCGTCAAATGGTCTACGGTCGGGCTTACTGACAAGAACTCTTCAGTCTGTGTGCCGGAGACGAAGGGACGCTCACTCGAGGACATGGACGCCGTCTTCCACGACTCCTCGGCTCACGATGAGGCCGAGCGCCGCAAGAAGGTCTTGCAGACTCTCCTCGATGCGCGCTCGATCAATCTCAAGCCCGTCGACACGCCTTGAACGACCTCTTCGGTATCATGCGCGTGCGGCTCCCTTCGCGCGGCGTGATCCTTCCCACCTTTACGTTCAATCTAACGCCCTTCACGATCTCCGCACGTTCATCACGCCTTGCTCTGTGCCATGATGTTTTCTTCGTTATCGTGTTCATCAAGTTCATCACTGTACAATAGCTACGCATATCTACCTTATTCCTCGTGTATAGTAATCATAGGGCACAATAAATCGGGCATTCGAGGCTAACAGGCAGACCAACCTCGCGAACACACTTCAAACCACGCGCTTCTTGAACATCACCTTCGCCTTCGTGTCCGGACACGAAAACTCGTCGGTCCATTCGTTCTCTGGCCTGACGCGCGAGCCTCCTTCGAGCTGGACATCGTAGTGCAGGACGAGGTGCGCGAGCATTGCCTTGAGCTCGTTCGCGGCGAAGATGCTACGAGGCGTGTCAGCCAGCTGCTTTAGCTACGTGACGATGCAAGGATAGTCAGCTAGGAGGAGCTCACCGCCCAGGACATGCATGATGGCCGTGCCCGAAATGCAAGTAGTCGAAGTCGGTGGTGTGCACCTGGTATTTCGCTGGGTCCTTCTCGCGGAGGCGGGAGAAGCGGAAGCCATCGAAGACCTCTGGGTTTGGGTAGACGTCTAGAAAGATAGCAAGTTAGCGATCTTCGGGTAAGCTCGCCTGAACTAACCTGGATTCATGTGCGCGGCATGCAGCGACGCCGAGACGTAGGTGCCCTTCGGAAGAGTGACGCCATTAGAAAAGGTGAAGCCGCCCTCCTTCATGACCCGACGACTGAGTGAGACTACCGAAGGTGTTAGCTGGGGAAAGATGCGACACATATAGTTCACTCACGACAATTGGACTGGGAGGTTCGCCCAACCTCACGTAGAAAGCTATCAACTTTGTGCATGTCCCGTAGGCTGGCCCTCGTCCATCCCTGACGAGCGATGACTTCTTCTACTTCTTCGCGCAGGGGCGCGATGTACTCTGGCTGCGAAGCGAGGAAGAAGAGCGCATGCGTGAGCATCTGAAATGCAGGTCAGCTGATGACTGGCTTGTGTGTGCATATTCACGAACGTTGGTAGAAGTATGCACGGCTACGAAGTTGATCAGCATAATTCGCATGATAGTAGCTTCTAGGCGGTCGTCCAGGCTTTCGTGCTTCAGCATCCACGTTATAGCATCGTTCTGTGCTAGGATAAGCCTTTGGACTTTAGTTACTAGACGCGAACGCAAAACTTACGGGCACGTCCGGCCTGTCCGAGCCAAGCAATTCATCCTCACGCAGGCGATGGGCTACAAGCGACCCTAGATGTGCAGAAAGATCTGGGTAGTGCTCCCGGAATGGTGAAAGGATGTGCCCAACCAACCTGATACACCTTAAGTCATCGGTTGCAGCACATGGTGGAAGACCTACGGTTGGAGGAACGTCGGCCATTTCTTGATCCTGCCAGCGGACTGCGATACCTTTCTGGCAAATTGACTGACAGAGTCCAAGTAGTCTTGATTGCGACCTATCAGTTTGACTGTGAGCAGGAAGATAGTTAGGACGACGTGGTATACTCACATAAAGGCAAGCCGACGAAGTAGCGATTGCTCGTGCGAGTTACGATAGACAGGGCCGTCGTATATGCGGGGACTGTACACCACTCTGGGAATTGACGTTGGCGGTGTGTAGTCAGGCGATATAAAGGCGGACGCACCTTCCCCGCAAGCGAACGTTATGTTGCCCTTGAACGCGGCACATATCTCGTCATAGATATCATCGAAGCGTACGGCGATATTGCGTGTCAGCTCTCCTCGAATAACATCCTTATGGACGTGGCCTCTCGATAGACTGGCGGTTGGTCCGAGGGTATGCTTGGTCTGCATGGCCTGGTGAGCGCATAAGTGTACTGAACACGTCAGTGTGCCCGCGCTTGTACATACCTCCGACACGGAATGGAAGAATGAGAGCTCATCGGCGGGCGCTGAACTCAGCTCGTTTATCAGCTGTCGGCCGCTGACAATAACGGTCCACCCAAGACGCGCGACACGGAACATGCCGGACGGGTACTTCTCGACGCCTTCTCGTATCATCTCATTGGCATGCTCGCTGAAGACTTTCTTGCCGCGGTACGAGGCGAACCAGCCGGAAGGCCCGACGATAGGAATACCGGTCAGCTTTCGATGCGGTCAGCTCGAGAAATAATCGTCCGTGGAGAGTACGCACACTGGGAACGCTGAGATAGGTGTACGCGACGTACAGGGCTATCGCCGTCAGACACCCGACGAGTGTCCTACAGTCATCCATGTCGGGGGCCAGATCGATGCCCATGGCAAAAAGAGGAGGTGGTTAAAGGACGATCACAGGAGGGGTTCACCTCACATGCTGGAAGAGGCTTTATAAGTGAACCAGAGAGAAGGTCCGAGACGGTCAGAGGGTGCGTATAACGCATGAACGCCGCATGCTGTGTCCGCGAGTGACAGCAGCATAGTGGACATGGGGTGATCCTCGACCAGGCTATTATGAGCTGTACAACCATCGGAGCGACTGTGGATTTCTAGACCGGGATTGGGTACCGGACTTGTTTGGTTGCACCCGGGTACGGTCCTTGCGCCTTCGGAAGTGCAGAGACCGGGAAGAGGACCAGGAGGAGGACTCTCCGGCGGACCTTTTCGCTCTTCGGGCCTGTTTTTCGGATTATCAGCCGTAATTCAAGGCGAATCGTAAGCTACCATGCACACCATTTCAGACCCGCGAAGGTCTACAGCCGACTATCTGCGCATACTACCTAGCGCCGGAGTGTTTACCGGTCATATTGTAGTCATAGAAAAGCATCGCAGAAGCAGCAATGGACCAGCGGTCGACTTCCGCCGCCACCCCGCCGCGCTGACGAAGGCTGGCAGCTTGAAGGCGACAAGCCGAGAGAGATGTTAAAGCGCAACTTTACATTTTGAGGCATTTTTCACAGACATTCCTGATTATACGCCCTCTCGGCGCGAGCAGATGAAGGACAAGCGCAACAGCAGACGGCGAGGGGTGGGAAACCGTCCACGTGGGCTGAGCTGTCACACTTTGTCACGTGCCAAGTTCAACTCTGCAAATGACATCCGTACGAGCGCATCCTCAGCCTAAAATGCGGGATTTATCTGAGGAAGAAACTACTCTTGGCTATATATTGCACTGTACAACTCTCTATAGCTTTCCTCCCATTGCTGTAAATCCCTCAGCTGCCAGCTGCAAGTAGTCCGGATGCGAGGCTTATCCGCCTCGTCGTGAGTAGCAATCAGAGTCCCTACCCAAGAAGCCAGACATAACACCGACAGTGCATACGCGCTCTCAGGCGGAGGAGGCCACCAGGCGGTGAGCCTGATCCACTCGCCACTTGAACCAGCCAGGCCTGAGATACGCACAGCCACATCGGGGGATCGGGGACGGAAGCATTGACACAGCCACATCGCGACTTCCAATCTGAGGCGATTGCCTCCGTCCGGCGATGGCGGGCCTCTGTTCATTGTCTCCTCGTCCTTGTGTCGGCCGTCCTACTCGGGCTTCAAGGTTTTGGATGAGCTCTCCAGGTACCCTAGGTACTTGGAGCGGTGGCGCGCCTCCTCGTGAGATTCGCGAGCATGTCCTGAACCATCGGAAGACGACGAGCACCGACGCGGACGAGGAAGTAGCCCGATGTGCGCATAGTTGTGTTTCCCGAGGAAGTTCTGCTCGACAGAGCAGACCACTCATTGGTCAGATCGAGAACTCTATCCAGTGGATACCCTGTGCACTCGTAAGCAAGCCATAATGAACTCTGATCCGTCCGAGAGCGCCTATCCTTTTGAAAGAACTAGTGCTGGGGGCGGGAGGTACAAGCATCTCCGGCCTTTGCATCGCTGCGCGCGCCCGCCTTCCCAGCCACTCACATCGCGCCCCGACTCAAGGAACGGCGCTTCTCTAAATTGTTACATGCGCTTCTCCACTATCGCCCGCCCGCCGCGGCTTTGTTAGACGCTGAGGAGGAGGTGGTGGCGCCTATCCCATGATAGTCGTGGGTAAGGGCGCCTGTGCACTGTATGCATCGACGAATGCACTGTATGTATCGACGAGTGCACTCTATGCATCGGCGCTTGCAGTCTACGAATCGACGATCCTGCTGATCAGCACGCGCGCGCTCAGAAGGTGACGATGTCCTCATAATTACATCGACCCCATTGAGTTGTTCAATCGGCCACATCGACCTCGCGCTACTTCGCGCTTCTCGCAGCCAGAGTCCGATGTATCTAGCGCCGAGGAAGAGCTAGCGGTGCTTGCCATCGCCCGCGTAGTTCTTGCTCTCATGCTGGCTTGCCCTTGTCAGTCCGTCTGCACAGATGGCAAACAGTGGCTCGTCAGAAGCAGAGGGCGAACCGGAAGTCCATTCGAGTCGTCCATCTTGAACCGGGTTCTCGTAAATGGACCAAGCTCGCACAATGTAAAGAGAGAGCAAGGCCGTATATTGGAGAAAGCTAGGCTGTCACGAGACTTGAGACTCGATGCGCTTCGAAATTGGAGGATACGAAAAGAGTTTCGGCCAGCCAGGTTCGGGTTGATGACGCACTGTTGATTTGCGAGGAAGATATGTCGATCCTCCTGGGGGCAGTGGGACTGCTCGACTTTCGGGCGAATTGAGCAGTCAGCCAGCGGACGCAGAGCGTGAGTGGGTGACCCTGCGCTCCATATGACGCGCGGGAAAGCGGTGCAAATGGCGCTCTTCGGCAGGCTTTCAGGTCGACTCGAGAGGATAGAGCCGACAAAGGCGAGCTGGATCCGTCCGGTACAGAGAGGACGAGAGTTCGGCGCAGGGCAGGAGCGCTTTCGCGCACGATGACCACGGCGTTGCGTCGACAAAGTTATGCCCAAAAGAGGTCGGAACGAAAGCCTACTCGTAGTACTTGAGATGGTGCGAGCACGGCGTGGTGGTTGAACATTGAGCACGGTCCGTAAAGCTGTCGTCTAGAGCGACCGAAGACCCCGCGAACGTTGTGAGAGGCTCTGAGAGTTTGCGTCCACAGCGCAGACCCGGCGAGGCGAAGGCGGACAGACCGAGATGCATACGGCCGACGCGTCCGAGTGGCATCGGAGGCCGCCCCATCCTCAAGTGCGCCCTCGAGGCAATGTCCAAGGTCAAGACCGTATGACTCTCGCATGGGGCATGTCCGTCGTCTACGGCAGCATGGCAGTCTCCTCCGTAGACCGCAGCATGCCCACAAACAAGCGAGCTGCTCGCAATCAGCATGCCAGCGCCCCGCCATGCAACGAGGGCCGCCGCGCGGCGCCGCCACTGGCCTTCTCTCAATGGACGCACCCTCCTCGTCGGCTTTCGCGCGCGCAAAGCGACGACATCGGTTACTCTGGACCCGAGCGTGCTTGCACCTGGCGTAGACGGACGACGGTCGGATAGTTGACGAGGGGGCGCATATGGCATATTCAGGCACTTGCCCTCCCTGTCGATGCGCGCTGTCGCTGCCGTCGTCGCCCTCTATGGTATTATTGACGAGCCGCAAGGACCACCCGTGCGCTGCCCCCAGAAAGCAAAGCCGCGCTGCATGTCTTACGGCACCCCGTTAGCGTTGACGACCTTGGGACCGTGAGGAGTCGTAGCCACGAGCCGGTCGAGAAGAGCGGAAGTGTGACGAGATACGAAGGCGCGGGGGTAGAGAAGGCGCGCGTGGCCGTAGAAAAGGCAAGCGTGGTCGTAGAGAAGCAGGCATGTTCGTAGAAAACGCACGGAGAAGGCGTAGAGCCCGGCAGCGTGGAGATTGTAGCTCAACGTGGAGATGCAGCTCGCGGGCCAGGCCCGACGGCGCCGCCGCGGCGTTCAGGAGGAGCATACGAACATATTTTTGACCCAGTGTGGCGGCCGCTGGGGACAACGGAGACCAACGCAGTGCAAAGAAGAGAGGGAACGTGGTGACGAGAAGGAGGAGCGTGACCATGTCGAGATGGGAATGGGAAGCGTGAGAAGCGCTCATTGTGGCGCAAGCCAGACGTACGCGGTCGACACGAACGGGCGCAAACCGGGAAACCAAAGGACGCAAGCCATCAGCAAAAGATGCAAACCGTCAGCAAAGAGAAATCAGGTAGCCCAAAAGAACCTGCGCGCGTTTGTTGTGGTCTCGGGAGACCGGCTGATCGACCTGGCGAAGGGCGGGGTAAGGTGACAAGAAAGTCGGACGGAGCTGTGGACCCAGGATATTCTTTGTTCTCACGCTCACATGATCAGACGGTGTTCGTTTTGGCGGATCTATTCGTGGCGCGTTTCCTGCAAGTTCGACCTCCGCAGAGAACCTGCACTCATGGCAGGTCTGGTAGACAATTCTAGGATACTCGTGTCCTGCCTCGCGCATCGTCCACTAGCACCCTCATTCAAAAATCGTACGAGCCCGTATACCACCTCGAGGCGCGATAGATTCGCGCACGCGCCCCCAGGCGCTGATTATCTTCGACACGAGGCTCCCTGGCCGTGCGGGGAACGCGGCGGGGCACACTGTGGCGCGAGGCACTGCTCCTGAGGAGAGACATCACAGCACAGTACACGACCAGACGCTACTAAGGGCGAGAGGCACAGCACAGCAGAATATAGAGGGCGTTCTGTGGAGCCCCCGCGTTTGAACTTACGAGGGCGGGAGAAGCGGTGCGGTCAATGTCTGTTTCCTGAACTCAGCGCGTTCACTGCAGTCACGGTTGTCGGTTGTCGGTTTCATACATGACCGGACTGTGGGCGTCCGAAGGCATACTCGTAGTACATGCATGGGCGCGCCGAGGACCGGGAGCCTAAGACGATGGACCGTGCATTCTGTATACTCGTATGCTGTAGTTGTGGGCACCGTCTCCATGAAGGGCAGGGTGCGCGCATGAAAGTCGGGTGGCGCGGCGACATCGTTGGTGCTGTGCGCGCAGACAAGAAGACGAGAGCTGTGTGTCAGAGGGAGTCACTGCGCCATACCAAGGAGTCAAGCGCGCGAGCCATTACACCAGAAGAGGAAGCTCGAGCACAGCAGGGGCGCCTCACAGAGGGAGCGGCAGCACAGAGGGTCCACACGAGCGCGGCGGATGCAGACACGAGTCGGAATGGCCGTGAGTCACGACCGCCGAGAGGACGCACGGCGCGCCGCCGCGGGGGAGTGCACGTACGGTGGCTCGACTCAGAAGGCGCGGGCGAATCAGGACAAAGGCAATGCGAGTTGGGAGACAAGGGCGCGCACGCGTCGAGACAAAAGCATGCACGAGTCGGGTCGTAGCGCCGACGCAAGGCAGCGCCGTGCCAGCAGACCAGGGCGTAAGCGGCAATTCCGAGGCGACCCAGGCAGCGCATTAAGCGAGACGCGCGGCGATGAACCGTAATAACGTCGAACCAGTGATTAGACAAGACACACGCGAGTGCAGGGTGATTAGACATGAAGGTTGCATTGAGGTGATGATTAGACAACATGAGTAGCGGCGGCTGCAGAAGGAAGGGCTGCTGATTAGACATGCAGCTTGGGATCGCATGATTGACGGTGCAGCGAGGCGCCTGATTGCGATGGTCAGGCAGAAAGTATGGCGATTGATTAGACATGGACTTGCCTCGCGATTATCTCGCGTGAGGCACATAGGGTGAGCTCAGGCGTCGTGGCAGTCCAGTGAGGTCATGGTAGACAAAGATATCCGGCTCACCTCCTGCGAGCGCGTCCCATCGGCATCGATACTTCCTATGCGCGATGGTAAGCGATTGACAACCTATGCTCATTGACGGTCGTCGCGTCCTCCGCGTCCCCTTTGTTTGGTCTTGTCGTCGCAGCTGTCAATGTCACTTATGCTCTCTGGCGAACAGTGAATGTACGATCGCAGGTTGCCCACTTACTCTATGGACGCTTCTCTTCTCCTCGACACGCCTCGTTTCTCGGTGAAGCGCGGTTTCAGCGGTAGATGGGCCTGATGATCCCTGCTAGATGGCGGCATCGCAGACGCTTCAATCGGATACAAGACGCTTCAATCTAGGACAATCACCTTCCATGACTGTACAGCTCTACGCGGACCACAGCCGGAGGGCAACAACATCGATACCTTGACTGCACGGGCGGGCCATCCCTATCTGGGACCATCCAGGGAGGCTGGCGTGCACGAGGCGGTCCGGGGTGTGCACGGCGGGGGCTCGTGGGCGCGCGCCTGCGATTAGATGACAACCATGAACATATGCGACCAGCGTGGACGGCGAAGCAGGTGACGCTGCGCGGGAAGCGCGGAGGGGGAGGACGCGAGTGTTCGCGGCGCACCACGGAAAGCAAGCGGGAAGACCTCCCGCGCGCAGGGCGGACCCCGGGGCCCGTATGCGTCCGACGGTGCACGTGAGCGTCCACGGTAGAGGGTGCGCTGGTGCAGCTGCTGACTGAGCATGGCAGGACGCTGAGCAGCTTCGAGCGCCATCTACGGCCTGCTGACGGTCTGTGCGATTCGGGAGGGCAGCCGCGGTGCGTCATCCAGAGAGCGACGCCAACGTCAACGGAGGGCGGCTCGAATTCGAAGGCGGCTCAACTCGGTGGGTCGGCTCGGCTCGGGGGATCGGCTCGGTCGATGGCTCGGCTCGCCAAGTTCAGCCGATGCTACCGCAATCGGATGGATGACTCAAAGGGGCAGGCGTGCTGGAGGGTTGATATAAGAGGCCGGGCTGTTCATAGGCGGCAAGTCCCCGCCCCAGGCGCCCTGCGATGACCATCAACCCGTTCGACGACGCCATGTCCGTTCCCCGCAGGGCCTCCCGCCACCGCCCCCGCTCGCCAACCAAGCGCCATCGCGCCTACTCACCCTCCACCCGCGCAGACGACATCTCCCGCCTGCTCGATCCCGCCTACGCCTCACCTACTTCCTCCTCCCGCCGCGCAGAAGGTGTCTATGTCGACCACCGCGGCGAGCTGCACGATCCAGACTTCAAGCTCTTCCCGCCGCTGCCCAAGCCCAAGGCTCCGCGCTGGGAACGCGAGGAGAGCGTAGATGACCTCGACGCGCTTGACGACGACGACGAGCCGCGCGAGACGCGTCGGTACACCCCCTCCCCATCATACACCCCCACCTACTCCGCACCCTCATCCTACACGCGCGTGTCGCAGTACCCAACCGTGCTCCCCGCGTCGTACGACTCGGAGGACACCGTGCTCGGCAGTATCGCGCCTTCCTTCGACGATGAGAAGCATCCCAAGAGCCGCCGCTCGGCGCTCAAGCTGCGCATGCGCCGCCGCCGGCGCGATACGGACGCGACTGCGGTTACTGTTGAGGAGGAGGAGCCCAGTCCCGCCGACACGCCATCGCCGCAAACGCCACCGTCGCTCCTGACGCCCGAGTTGCCGCGATCACTGTACCCACAACATCCGCCCTCTCCGCGCCGTGCCCGCCGCGCGTCGATTGAGGAGATGTCCCCGCCGGTATACGATGAAGAGGAGGATATCGAGGAGGAAGTCGATGAGGAGGAAGAGGAGGAGCCCGCGCCACATTCCCCCGATACGGAGGAGACGCCCAGCTGCACCAAGGCGCTGCGCCTCCAGTGGCAGACGTTCACCCTGCGCATGCGGTTCAGCGCGTTTCGGGTCGAACGGAAGGTCAAGCGGCGTCTCGGGCGGCGGAAGGAGAAGACGTAGTACAGACTGCGCCCCCACACCGCGACACCTGCTCCTCGTTGAGCCTCCCACTCTGGCCCACCTGTCGGCTATCCCAACTCGGCATCCACGCCTCGCGCCACGTCGGCGGCGACGGCTTCATCGCCTGACCCTCCTTCGTAGTCGAGGGGCGCCGCGCCACTGCATGCACATATCCATGCGCGCATGTACATAGAGGCGCGCGCTGCCCGCTCTTCGTGCTTCCTGTGCATCTGTTCCCCATCTGTGCATCCTCATCCACCCCATACATAGATGTTTCGCTCTGCCCCATTCCACACATCCGCCATCCCGCTCTCTGAGCGGCGTCTGCGCCGATGGCGCCTCATCCGTCCCCCTCCGTCCGTCTCGTCTCACACACGATTCTCAATGCACTTTTGACCCACGCACGATATTCATGCATCACTACAGTATACATATCATGTCCTTTCTTTCTTCATGCGGCCACGGTCGCTGTACATTATGGGGCTACGCCATTCATATGCTTTTCGAAGACGTACCTACGATTCTTACGCGGCCGATAGGGCCTCCAGTCTGGATAGTGCAGACTATTATTCTCCTTAGCACATTGTTATTCACGTACGCGATTACGGACGCGATGGAAATGGAATGGAACACGAATTTGAACGAAACCGTCCTTTTTGTCTGAGCCTGGGAGGTGATTGTGCTGATTGAGCGTGCGCGTGATGTCTCTTGTCCATCTCAATCCATCACTCGTGGGGAAGCCTTTGAGATGCATCTTCCTGATAATCGACGTCCCTTGCTACCCCAGAGGGAGATTATCGGTCGCTCGGGGCTGCCCGCCTGCTGATAATCTCGAACTCGCGCGCCGCCGTTTGCGAGTGGGGACTCGAGGGAATGCGGCTTCAGTTGAGGTCATTACACGCTCCTTGCCTTTCATTTAGCACTTCTGCGGGCTCAGTGACCTTCTATCAGCCGGTCTATCTCAAGCGAAGGCTAACGGTGGGCTGACTTCATCGCGACGTGACCGTGAAGTTCGACGGTCAACAAAGTCACCTGAGCATGTTGAAGTTTGCTCTGCGGTCGAGCGTCATCGCCTCGTCTTGCTCCTTCTGACTCCTCTTCGTCCCTTGCATTCCGACGGCATTCCGCGATGTACCGGTCGTCTCTGCGATGTTCGCCCGCGTTGGGCTCCCTGCTACTCATCTGACGCTCCCTGATCTTGAAATTTCTGGAGTTTTCGCAGTTGACAGCTCCTCTTTCCTTTCCACCACCCTGCGGTCATGATCACGGCCAGATAGCTACCCCTGCAGATCACTGATATCTTTCTCCTGACCGGAGACTTCCTCCAGAGCTCGTGAAAATCGAGGATGGACGCCGGGGGAGGGCAAGTCCTCTGATTCTGCGGGGTATCGGGCCGGAAATGACCCGCTCGGCTCACGCGAGAAAACGTGGCTCGCTCCGGGGCGCTTAGACCCGGTTCACCACCGCGGAACGTGCAATGCAGGCCGGCTTGGCTTGCTGGCCGTGAAATGACCGGCCTCGTTCCGCGTACCTGGCGCATGCGGCCATGACGCCTACCACCGACCACTGACAGCGCAGCCTCTCCGCCGGTCGCACAACCGTGGCCTTGTCCTGCCAGCCAGCGTTCGGCTGTCCTTGTCTGCGGTGGGGCGCTCAGGCATGGTAACGGGGGGCGTGCGGAGAGCGGGGCTTGGTATTCCTGGTCAGCGGGCTGGTGACCTGTTGTCTGTCGCCCAGCGGGCTTTGTCTGGCGTGTTTCTGTCCATCGGCGGGTCTCAGGACTGGGAAAACCGAAGTAGGCCTCGGAGGAGGTGCCTGCGTGGTGCCAGTGCCAGGTGAGAACCTCAGCTATTGTGCTCTTGCAGGTGATACGTGTGTGGCATGCGTGCTGAAGAGCGACAATAGGGCGAATACTCGGCGGTCCCGCGCTACGTCTCAGGCTGGGACAGCCTGTTCAGTCGATCTTGTGCTGTCCACCTTGCCTTCGGGGTAGCTTCGCCTCGTCTTGTCACCGTCGGGTGGGATCCTTGCGAGTCTTGGTTCACTCCGCTATCCTGCATAGCCTGCTTTCGGCTTGCGAAGTCCAACACCTCGCTGCGTTCACGATCTCTCCCCTGCGCTACTCGCGTTCAACGTCTAGGCCAACGGAGGCGGCATTCCATCGTTATTATGCGTGCGGAATCCTTCGCGAGTCCTCAGCGTAAGCCAATCCTACGACGAATAGGGCAAACAAAGGGTTCTGGATTCGGACAACAAGGCCGTACATTGTATTCTTGCTGCCCAATCACAACATCACCTCCCATCACATCGACCTCTCGCGCCGCACATGACCCTCCCGCCGTCGCGGTCAGTCGTCGCCATCACGCGCCCCGCCCCGTCCGGGCGCTCACAACTTTCCTTCACCCAATCCTCGAACATCGTACACGATCGCGTGCTCGTGCGGCCTTCGATGCGCGGTCTATCTCGAGCAGGATCCCTCCGTACGGCCTCCCACAAGACTATTCATGCTCTTGCTGCGTCGCCTCCCTCCGAGGCTCGACCGCGGTTGAGAGCCGCGCGCTTGCGCAGGTGCAGCCTCTCTCCGCCCAAAGCCGCCCGCACACCAGCTGCTCTCGTCCCCCGATACAGCGACTCTCGGGACGAGCTGGCTCATCTCTGTCCGTTGCTTGCCCGACCACCAGCGGAGGGTTGCACGCGCTCTCTCAGGTCCCTCCGCGCTCGCGCATTTGGCCCCGTTGCCTTGTCTTTCGTTGCTCGCCGTGCCTTGTGCTTGTATCCCTCCATGCCAGGTCAGCGCCGTGTGGTCACGATCCCCTTGTTGTCGAGGTACTTTCCCTCGAGGCTGCGTTGTACGTCTTTGCCAGATATCTTCCATTCCCTCAACCCACACGATGTTATCTGATCTCCGTCTGGCTCTCGAGGTCTTCACAAAGCTCGGGCTGACCCAAGGCTGATCATGGCGCTTACTGAGCAGTTGAAGTTTTCTCTCTGACGAAGACGAAGATCGGACTGACTCATACAAAATTTCCATCTGTGCGCATTTCAAGACGAACTTCTTCAACCATCACCCGATGCTTTCAAGCCTTCTCCGATCCCGATGCGCCTCGGAGATGCTCAATTCTCACCTACCTGGATATCAGCTGCGCCATTGGACGCTCTCACATACGTCCTCCTCCGTCTACGACGCGCACCCCCGTGCCGCTCCGAGCTCGGACGGCAGTCTACCGGGTACTCTTCCCCCGCGAACGGCGGGCTTGTCGAATTCGGATTACCGTGGCTCTATAGGAATCGCAAGGAAGCTCCAACGCTGCTATACTTAAGTACTAACCGAGCACCTATCTCCTCTATCTTTGGTCAGCGCACCTTATGCTCTCTTATGCCTATCCATCTTAGCGTCGACTGCGCGATACTATATATTGGAAGTTGAAGTCGACGAAAGCTCAGTTCAACCGTGGATTCCCACGCTCACACCCTCTGTTCCGGGGCCGAGGAGCCGCCGAGGCGGGCGCAACTTCAGCGCGGTCCAAAAATCTTAGAGGCCGTCCCGCCTGCTCGAAAACTCTCCTGCATATGCTCGACGTCGATCTCATCCAGCTCGGGAAAATTTCTACTAGATCGCAGAAGAGCCTGGAAGGCAATTTTCAGGTGAACCTGTGAAGTCATAGAGCTATAGATGCTTGCCGTTGTCGGTTCATATCGGTGCACTGGCTCGTTAGCACGAGATTTGCTTCAGGCTCGCTCTGCATCATAGTTGAGTGATCGTTCGAAGAGAATCGTCACGAAAGGTACAATACGTCGAGCAAGGCAAGGCAAAACAAGCAACGACAGATGGCAAGGCCCGTTAGCCATTTTAGGACAATAAGGCTTTCCAAATATGGTATGTTCCGAGTACATCCCATCAATTCGAACTTCCGAGGATACAGACGCTCTTCCGGGCCAAATGCGCTGACATATGGTGATAGAGCATGCTCCGAAGCCAGAAAATTTATCTGTAGATGCATCATTTGACCCGATAAGGCCTTCAGGCTCATGGAGGCTCGTTGTCCTGTGAGCGCGCTGCACGCCCAAAGCCCCAAGACGCTTGTCAAGAAGTTTGCGGCCGTATCTGCTGAGCCTTACTGGGTCAGCAGCAGGTCAAGAGAGAGACGAGCTTGGTAGGCGACCGCCACTGACGACAGGGATGACGTCCTTGCCCGAGAAGGGGAAGGTGGCGATGGGACTCGAGAGCGGCAGACATATCGGTAGCGTACCGCATGCGACCGCTGAGCACAAGGCGTGCAAGTATTGAGGTACGTACTGCGAAGGTTGGTATAGTATGCCAAGTAAAGATTGTCTGAAGCTCTATGCAGTGTGATCTGGAGTAGCGCTAGAGCCTCAAGCGCACTGACGCGTATTCGCCAGCGAAAATTCTGAGCTCGAAGGCTGGCCGCGAGTCGGTATCAGTGCGGATCTGTAGTACCTTGAGGGTTAGCTCAGCATCGATAGTCGGATGATTCGAAGGGATTCAACAGAGTCTTCGCGGCTATGACTTCGCATAGCAGGAAAGAGCCTCGCAGTGCTCACTAAACTGTGTATTGTGGGCGATGCCATCTCTGGCATGATTGCTGTGGGCAGACGGCGTAGAGGGGTTCAAAACATTGCCATATCCAGCGACTAACATGTGTAGTCCGACGACGTGCTCTCGCAGACCCTGGCACTTACCCAGTTCATGTCACTGCCTGGTAGCATGAGTATACGGTGCGGCAAAGGCAAGGGACGGACGTACCCCCCGCTCTTAAGCGATAACGAGCCGAGCTGGGTCAACATATGTCGCCGCCACCAAGCGGCGCTCCAGACGGCGCGCACGACACACCAACGTGCGTACCCTGCAGCACGCAAAAGTTGCTACCCAGCGCAGGGCGCTGTCAGCTGTCCCGACATGCACTGAGCGAGAGGCGAACCAAAATGATACGATTTCGTACAATTTACGGCCACGAGGCGGTCCACTTTTGGCCCGCTCGCGCCTCGGGGAGCGAGAGGACGTACTACAGCGCGAGGACATGCGTATTTTGCGGTCGGAGGTGCGGGAGAGGGCCGTCCAAGAAGGCTTCCTCAGGCGGAACAATGGGGCCTAGGCGCGGAGGGGGCGGCCGTGTAGGTGCCGCGGAGTCGGAGGGAGAAGGGTCCTTGCTCCATGGTCGGCAGTCAAGCGTGAGGCGAGAGGGGTATGGGGACAGGAGATTGGGTAATGGTTATGTCGCTGAAGTGAGAGAGCCCATGGCCCAGTAATCGGAAACAGATTCGATAAGGGTGAGAAGTACAGAGGTATGTCAGGAGCGGCGCTCTCCGGTACTTGACTGAGGGGTATGACTGGAGTAAAAGTTTCAGATCAGCACGCCAGCCAGCACCTCTCCAGCCTGCGCTCCGCTCGGTGCCACAAAAGAGCTTGGGAAAGTGGCCATGGGAGGGAGGTGGAAGAAGATCTGAAAATGAAAGGCACCCGATCCGACACGTGGATGATATTCGCGCTTAGACGCCGGTCATCAAACCCTGCCGGCGGTTCGGCGACCTCGATCTTGGGACTTCATGGCCGCGAACTTGAAGGTCACTCTCTTCAGCGGGCCAAACAACGCTACAACCGCACGTCAACAGGCTCTTCATCGTGTAATAAGGCGCTCTCCACTCGATCTATCTCTCCAATATCGGACCTGATCAGCAGCAAACAGGCGGTGAGCACGCAGCGCACCCATCTTGAAAGACAAAAGGATTCATAGGATGCGCCTTCGATTGTCTTGTGCCACGCTCTAGCCTTACAATCAGATCGGAAACAGGTAGCGTCGATACATATCGCCCAGGGCCCTCATATCGATACCAAGGGAAAGGAAGGGCCGAACTCTCTTCGATGACGAGTAGGTAGGAAACCTGTGTCCCATCTCCCTCATGCGCTTGCTGGTTCGACGCGCCACAGTTCATTCCCGAGGTTGTACAGTCAGCACCCGAGGTCGCCGTCTCTCTCATGACGCGGACGATGATGCCCCACGATGCCCGACGATAGACCTATCACCTGACCGCGCCTCACGACTTCAACGACTTCATGAAGGCGAAGAACCTACCCTAGTTGACTACGCGGCGTGCCCTCTAACGCTGCCCGATGTGGGAAGATGAAAGGCTTGTCCTCGGCTGGGATAACATATCGCGGCGCGAGCTGGCTCGCTTCGCCCATCCTGGTAACTGCGGCGCTTGGCGGGAAGAAGCTGGATTTATGGAACTTTGAGAAGTTCCTCGAGCAGTGAATGGCACTTGTGTGGCGTGCATGGACACGGTTGCAGTGCAGGCAGGACGACGTACCTCACGGTAACAGGACGCAGATGAGATACTGGTGAGCCTAGGAGAGGCATTGAGTGCGCCCGATGTGTGCCGATGGGATCGATCCAGCGCTGTTGCCGATAGGCGCCTTAGCAGTGTCTCTAGCGTGAAGAGCATGAGGACGAACACAATTGCAGTCAGAGCCGCCACACTTACGCATGAGTCAGCCGCTGGGCGTCTAGCTGTACTGGGCGCCTAGAGAAGCGGAAGGGCGGGACGACGCATGCGTCTGGTGCCGGGTTGGCGGCGTGCAGGCCAAGGTAGCTGTATAGAAGCAGACAGGTACAACCTGAGGCGAGGTGAACTGTAAAGACGGATCGTTCGCAGGAGTGTGTGCTGTGTTCACGGCAACTTGTGGTCGGGGCATGCGGTCGGTCTGGTCCTTCGCAAGCTTCAATTTCGCTGGCGGAAGAGTGCCTTGCTGTGAGTAGGCTATGTTCCATGCTCGTGCTGCTGACTGTCAGCAATGCGGACCATAGTCGGTGGCTCACTAGCACTATCGGCTCGTGACATGCCAGGCAAAAGCGTGCGCTTGGGAGCAGCTATCACTCAAGCCTGTCGGTGGTTATAAGGCCGGTAGATTGCCGGAGGCTTAAGGGGGGTTGATGAAGATAGACGTCTGTATCGGCCTTGTGAAATGCACAGGAATACAAGAGAATTCTTGACGACCGAAGGTTCCCCAGTGTCTTTGCAGCTCGAATGCTTGTGAGATATCTCGAGTGAGCGTAGCATGTGTTACAAAGGGAGGGAAGGACATAACGCCAGATTCCAGCGACGCAGAGACCACTTGAAGATCGCAGAATGTTGAAGATGAAGATGAAGAGATGCTGGCGCATCAGGACGCGATCGAACTTGTCCCGCGCGTCCATATTCGCGCGACTTTGCTCTGTCCGACATGTCACGCTCGCTGCGGCCGAGGACCTCACGGCCGAGCTACACTTTCGCTGCTTTAGACGACGAAGGCGACGCGCAGACGTCAGGAGCGGGGCCATCGCGCCGAAGAGCGGTCGACGATGATGACAGCGAAAGCGAATTCGAGCTCCCTCCCAAAACTGACGACAAGGCTGGAGGCGGCGATGATGACGACGAAGACGACTTCATGGAGGACGAGGGGGATGTTGAAGGGGACGACGACCTCGATGGCGGCGTTGGAGAATCGGCCTCCGCCGTCGCGAAATCTGCGCGTGCAGCTGCAAAACCTCGCAAGCGGAGCAAGACCGTCAATCCCACGTATACGGCCCCCTCGACGTCCATGAAGTCTGTGGGGAGCGTCGGTCTGTCTCGCGTCTCTCGCCGCCAAATGTACTCGCTGCCAACCCCGAGCGTGAAGCACCGACATCGCGCGATCCCCCTTTACACGCACGAAGGACGCGTCGAGCGCCTGACGAAAGAGCCCTCTCTGTTCGGCCCGTCATCCATCTCAGCATGCAATAACTTCACCTTCAACAAGAAGGTGATTGATCGCGCGTCGAAGGCCTGGGGCTTCAACGTCGGTGCGGGCCCCGTGTGGGACATGGTGGAAGATCGGTCGTGGTTCAAGGAGGGAGCGCCCTTCATGACCCAGCCTTACTTGTCTGAGGGTGCGAGGCGTCCCGTCGTACACCAGCATATCCGTGTCAAGCCTGACTACAAAGTCATAAGCGCCAGGTGCGCACGCATATACCTCGAAGCCCACTCCCGTACTGACGTTATCTCAGCGACGCTCAAGCATACCTACCAAGGGAAGTTGGATCAGATGGCAGCTTCCAATCCCCTCCCCCCATCCATTGCTCTTTTGGTAAAATCGGCTCCCAAACTCGTGTCGAGACGAAGATGTTCGACGCCGTACCGATTTGTAAGTCCCTCACATCTCACTCTTCGTCTCGCTAATGATCTCAGTGACTTAGCGCAATTTCTGCCCGATAGCAAAAGTCATGTCTTCAATGCCGGCGCCCCTGTTTGGGGCCTCGATTGGTGTCCTATACACCCTGACGAACGTGAAGGTGTGTCTCGCGTCACACGTCCCGCCCGGATGCTTAACGTATGGGATAGCCCGGTCGTATACGCAATATCTCGCCGTCGCGCCCTTCCCTTCGAAGTCCCATTCGCCAGACTTCGGCGTCAAGACACCACGACCATCGCCCGCTTGCGTTCAAATATGGTCGCTCGCACCGGCCAACGGTCGCGCGAGCGATGCGGGAAAGATGAAATGCGAAATGGTGCTCTGCGTCAACAGCGGGCCTGCTCACGAGCTGAAGTGGTGTCCGCTTCCAACGCATGACTCGGTCAGTACAATTTGACCCCGTCGCTCGTTGCAAACTGAACTTGTTTTGCCAGATATCGGACTCGATGGACAACAGCTCGACGCCTCGAAAACTGGGCATCCTCGCTGGTGTCTTTGAGGATGGCTCCGTTTCATTCTACGTCGTGCCGGAGCCGCAGGATGTCAAGCACGAGGATCACAACGACGATGAGCCCGTCTTCGGTGGGTCTTTGTATCCATGTTCTAGCATATAGAATATCTAATCGGGGTGTAGTCGAACTTCCTGAGCCGGTCATTCGTATTGAGCTCGAAGAAGCTGCTATCACGTCGATAGATTGGGCCAACAGCGACTGCTTAGCGGTAGGCACCGCGCACGGTACATCCTGTTGCTTCCACCTTATTTGGTGAATTCTCACGCAATAAACAGGTACCATCGCCGTGTACAAGCTTGCCAACGCCTTAAAAGCCTGCAACGGACCTGGTGCGTTGCTCTGGCCTCACAAAGAGGCGTCGAATTGATTATTCGCGTAGACCCCATCCAACCTATCGACCTCTTCCCTACGCACTACATCACTGTGCATCAGTCTGCAATCCGTGCTTTATCATGGATTCGCGCACCAACTGCTTATGCGTCCGGCGAGCTGAATTTGACCGACGACCCTACTGTCATCGCGAGCGGCGGTTACGACGGTGTCGAGTGCTTTACGGACATCAGGGAGGGGCATGGATGTGCAATGAACAGGACGAGAGGTGCATTCGTCGTCTGCCTCGTACGTCTGGGCATTGTGCTGACGCTGACCTACGCAGATGTGATCTTGACGATGGCTTACGCGGCATACGGCGCCGGCGTCATGACTATCGACCACGACAATATCATCAAGCTGTATTCCGTCTCTCCTAGCATGCTTGGGCGAGGACATATGTTGTTCGAGCCTCAGGGACCTGTCTGGGTGAGGGAACATGGCAGCTGAACTCGCAACAGTCCACTCACATCTCCCAGTCTGTGGCGGCGTCGGACTACCACCCGCAAATGGCCGTTGCATCCGCGGATGGTTCATGTTCGACGACGAACATGCTGCGCGGCACCAGGAAGGGCGGTTCTGTGGTATGTGCATCGTCCTTATGACTGATGATTTGGCTAACGACTATCAAGCCCTTCTTCGTCCACAAAATATATCAGCTCGACTACAGTCGCAAAACAGGAGAGTATAGGATGTTAGAACGCTTCGTCCCGCAGGTTAGTACCTTTCCGTCCGCGCCACCCGCAAGTCTCACGCGAGTTATCGTAAGGAATTGCAAGACCGTCCCACGTACAGTCGACTGAAGAGGGGAGGGAAAGTCCCCCAAAGGCGTTCCACTCCTGCTGGAACCGGTGCTTGGCCGCCCGAGGTCGGTGTGCACAAGGTGGCGTGGAATCAAGGGAATGGCCTCGCGCGGTCGAGCATGCTAGCCAGCGCGACGGCGGCGGGACTTTGTCGCATCGACGTGCTCTGGGGAAGGTGGATGAAGGACAAGGTGCCCTACCAGGGCGTTGACCAAATCCGAATGGAGGACGGTGTGATGGACGTGGAGTCAGATGGGTCCGACGACTGAGTGTCGCGCTTTCTGAAGCATTCGAAGTTCTTGGTGCGTGTTTGTTGCCTCGATCTTGTTCACTCGCTAATGTGGTATCCAGAAACCCATGTTGTAATTGATATATCTAATCCTGCAGGTATACAATCCAAAATCCCAAAGACGTGCGGTCAATGATACAATGTGTCTATGAAGGTGCATGCGAGGTAAGCGAGTCATATGTGTGGGTATCATGATGCATAGGAGAATGAGGCGAAAGAAGAGAAAGCAGAGAGAGAGATGCATAGTTCAGAATGCCGCATCAAGCGAACGACGGCCGGCAATGAAGGCGTCCGTTGGTCTTCCTCCAGCAGTGCGCTGGGAGAGGCTGGCGAGGCGCTTTTGAATCTTGCGCTCGGCGCGGAAGAGCCCGAGGCGCACCGGGAGGGAGGCCGCCACCCACTGCTCGCGCATGTGGTCGGACATGGAAGGGCGCGCCTTGTCCTGCGCAGCCTTCGTAAGAACCGCCGAAGCAGAACCAGACCTGAAGCGGCGGAGTTTGCTAGAGCCTGGCGAGGAAGCGTCATCACTGCACAAGGTGTGGTCGCTGCTGTGCTCCGAGTCGCTCGCAGTGTCCTTGTCGGTGACGAGAGTGGTGTCGCCTCCTTCGCTCTCCTCAGCGACGGTGGCGTCGGCAATTGGCTCAGAGGTAGGGTGCGAATGCGAGCTGCTCGAGTGGGAGGACCTTTCAGACTTGCGCGAGAAGACCGAGGAGATACTCGACTTGCGCTCCGTCTTTGTCACAGGCGCGGCGAAAGTGATGGGAGGCTGAGGAGCCGCGCTCGGGGCCGGAGAGCGGCGCGCCGCGTATGGGCAAACGGAGCGCGGGCAGTCGCAGGGGCGGGAGCACGGGTAAGGGTGCTTGCACCCGCACGGGCGCTCGTTGCTGAGGAACATCTCGTCCTCCTCCTCGCTCGCGATCCGCACACGGCCCGGGTTGCGCAGCATGTGGTGCGCGCGGTTGTGCTCCAGGTCGTAGAGGTGGGTAAGGCTGGGGAACTCGCGGAAGGACGGGTCGTGCAGCTCGCCGGTGCTGTCGACGTACACGCCGTCGTAGCGGCGCGCCTTCGCGACGACGGAGTCGGACGCGTAGCCCGAGTCGAGGATGCGCTCGATGTCCTGCTTGGGCGTCGCGGGCCTGTAGCGGGTCGAGGTGCGCTTGAGGGAGCCGATGCTGCTAGTGGGGGAATACATGATAACCGCGGGACTGGGGGTGATAATCGGGTGGCCGAGGATAGCGAGATGCGACGAAGCGTCTTTGGGTTGCAGGGTACGGACTTCAATGTCCCAGAGTGCGCTCCTTTGGTGGGTGCGGGGGCGCCTTTGGGTGGGCTGGTGGATGAGCCAGACGGCAGCGGGGTCGCCCATTATAAGGGTCCCGCCTCTGATCACAAAGGCTTCATCGATGGTCAACAACGGGTCTTTGACCCATGTATGCATGTTGTGTATGTTGCTGTGGCTGTCAGGCGCGCAGGACAAAGCGGGCGCGTGTGTGCTGGTTTGTGATACCGTGGGGCATTTATGAACTCGACACGTGTCCGCGCCTTTGACCTGCGCCGCGTGCGCGAGCCACACCTCCTTTTAAGTGGCTTCTTATGGCAACGTTGCGCTGAGGTAGGTGATCCGATGTGAAGAGGAAGAGGGGCGCCGGGCGTTCTGTGGTCATACAGTGGGTATGCGTGGGGGGATGGTGTGGCTGTTGTGTGGCATGACCTACAGAACCTCGAGCAGCGAGGATCCCATCCTCGGAAGCTGGAATACAACACAACAAAAGGTGTTATCGTCATGGATACCGCACTGCCCAGATTCTCAGCAACAGTAACAAAATGTTGTCTTGTGAACCATGCGAATAGATGAATGCCACAAAGAACAAGGACATGCGGCAGTGCAGCAAAAATCGATCGCATCGATGCACCAGAGCAGCATGCGTTCCTGCCTTTCGCTTAACCAACCATCACATCTATGCACATCCGTGCATCACATACGCAAGTCCAAACGAGGAGACAGATGCGCTTCGTCTGTCTTTGATGCAACAAAGCTTTCCTTAATAGGAGATTATGGACATGTACGTCATCGTAACTCAACTCGGTGACCGTAATCACGTCGAGTTCCCCAATGTTTGCATTGGAGGGGTCCGAGTTACAGCTCCATCAGGTAGAGCGGATGACCAGGGGCAAATACCAAGAGCCTGCGACAAAAGTTTCCTGATCGGGAACAATGACAACTGAATTGCGTGCCATTGCAGCTCCCTCAGTCTATCTCCGAGTGCAAGTGGGGCGTCAGTGCGTACTCTGTCCTGTCGCACCGCCTTGGCGAGCCCTCGACGGGAAGTTGAGGGGCCGCTGACAGTGCAGTCGCATTTCCCGCTGGTGGCGGAAATCGCACGGTCTCCAGGATAGGGGCAAACTGTTCGTCGGAAAATATGAGCATAGCTTATTATACGAGCTGGACAATGTGGGTCTAGCGGACAGGCCTTATAATCTTCCACAACTCGCACCTCTTGTCTCCATCAGCCCCCACAACCGCCAGCCACCACCACCGCCAGCCACCACCAGCAGTACCACCTACGAAAGATGACCCGCCTTCTCATTCTCGGATCCACTGGGCCTTCGGGTCTCGAGCTTGTACGCACTGCGCTCAACGACATTCCTGACGTGCAACTGGTGCTCTACGTTCGGTCGCCTCAGAAGCTGCCGGAGGAGATCAAGTCGAATCCCGCTGTCACCGTCGTCGAGGGCACGTTGGAGGACACCGCCGCGCTTGAGCGCGCCCTCGAGGGCGTCGACGCCATTCTGTCCGCCCTCGGAGCCACCGGCCCCTCCCATCCGAAGAACACGCCGATCGCCAAGTTCTACAGCAGGCTGATGAAGCTGATGCGCGAGCGGGGCATCAAGCGCTTCCTCGTACTCGCGACGCCATCCGCGCCCGACCCGGAGAACGACCGCTTCAGCTTCGGGTACAAGGCGATGGTGCTGTCCATCTACCTGCTCATCAACCCGGCTTACAAGGAGTGCCACACGCTGGGCGAGATGCTCCGTGGGCCGGAGGGGAAGGACATCGAGTGGACGATGGTCAGGGTGCCGTATCTGTCGCACGAGGATAGGACGGACACGGTTGCGGGATATGTTGGGGATAGAAGACTTGGCTTGAAGTTGTCGAGGAAGGGCTTTGCGCAGTTCATGGTGGACGAGCTGAAGAATAGGCAATGGGTTCGCAAGATGCCGGTGGTCTCGAATGCATAGCTCGTTGTGTCTGTATGTTCTCTTGTGTTTTCCTTGTACCTTTTGGCCGCACAAAGTAATGTTCAGGTTCTCGGAGCCTTTCAACCATGCAGCGAGGTTTGACGCGAAGAAATGCCGCCCGCAAGTTGTCGCCGTAAGTTGCAAGTGTCATGTCGAAGTCCGTAAATTGCCCGTAGGCTAAAGATGGAAAGCGGTGGCGCCTTCCGTCTCCACACGTGACGAAGTTGAACTTCCCGTTCCCCATGGAAGCCCAACTCTAAATCGTTCTTGGTCCTGACGACCACTCATATATCCAGCTCATCCGCCAGCGCACTCTTCCTGCCCTCTCTATACAAGGAGGGCCTCACAGAGCAGCAGGATTCTGCACGTGGCCGGGTGTCTCCATCATTCGGCTGCGCTGATCCGAGGTCGCCGTAATCTCACACCGGATTTGCTACCCTTTTCCTGCAACGCAGCATCATTTGCGTCTCTTGACTCTTTCCTAACCCCAGCGCTCCTCTTTACGACAAGCTGCGGCCCTTTTCAGCCCACTTTTGGCGTTTTCCTGCCGTTACAAGACGCTGGACGGTTGTAACCTGGCCATAGTCGCTCCTTACCTTGACTCCCAATGTGCGTAGCCTGTACGATCCGCAGGATTAGCACTGACGGGGCGCAGGACGACTTATGCCCAGCGCAATCAACCCACGAGCCTCAAGGAACGAATTGCCGCCCTCAATGCAGGCGCTGCGACCCAGTCGCGCGCTGTCTCCCCGACGCCAGGGATACCTGTCAACCCACAGGGCTCTTTGAGATCGAAGGTCGCCCAGTTCGAGCAGAAGGGCCCCGTTCCAGCGCCCAAGACGTCCTTCGGCAGCGCAGCGCCTATCCCTGGAGGCCCTTTGGAACCACAGCTGACAGGCAAGAGCGCGGCGCCCGGCCTCGGACCCCCGCCGCGCGGTGCGAAGGGTACTCGCAGTGTTTCGGCACCCTTCGCGAGCGAGCCTGAGGTGCCCAAGCCGCCGCCTCCGCCCTCGTCCACGTCCACGTCCACGTCTATATCCCCGGCACCGTCCCCGCCCGAGACGCCTCCCAAGCTCGCGAAGGACCTGCGGCAACGGAGTACGTCCTTCGCCGCCGCGCTCGATCGTGCCCGGCATGCGGAGCAGAAGGCCAAGCAGCGCGAGGCGCGCGAGCGCTCGCGCGTCACGCCGAACCACACGGGCACCTCGCAGGGAATCGCGCCACAGCATACGGGGTCGAGCGGGCCGATGCTGACGCCCATGCACACAGGCGGGAGCACGATCAGCTGGCTCGTGCCCATGAACACGGGCGGGAATACAGGCAGTATGCTCTCCCCGCACGTCACCGGCGGCTCGAGCTTCTCCCATCCCGAGGGCGCAATAACAGAAGACCCAGAGGAGATGCACCAGCAACCGGTGAAGCCGCCCCTCACGATTGGCGGCGATCAAGCGCCCGAGGGCGCGACGCCCGCGTCACCGAAGGCGAATGGTATTCTGCCCTCGCTATCCACTGCTGAGCTTCCTATACCCACCTCTACCTCATCCCCTGCGGACGACACATCCTCGCCGAAAGTCCCTAATCCTCCTCCTCCCGATACCCGTACTGCTCCCACGTCCCGCCAGGAGAAACGAGAGTCCCAGACCCAGTACATTCAAGTCATGCCCCCGCGGCCGCCGGCTGACGTCCCATACACGCCGAATTCTTCATTCAACATGGACGAGGAGGAAGAAGCGCCGCACACGCCTACTCGCGCTTCATACGCGCGCTCGCGACCGATGAGCATGCTTGAGTTCGATACCCCTCGATCTCTTCTGGGTAGCCCGGGCGTTGTCCAGACGGCCGAGCGCGCCACTGCGTCCAAACCCCTCACCGTGCAGCCGCCGCCTCCGCCTGTACACGTTCGCGGAGCCAGCCAGGATACGCCTACCACGCCTACGCACCGCGTCGGGCGGTCAATCACGCTCTCGCATACGCCTAACTTCCGTGCACAGACCGGCGAGCGGGGCTTCCGTGCTGTCGTGCATGCTCGTGTGCGGGAGCAGTCGAAGTGTACACCTCCGCCGCCGGAACCGCCGAAACCGAAGGCGGCACCGGCGACTACGATCGTGAGCGAGGAGGTACCTTCGACGCCCGGTCTTGGCGACCTTGCATCGTTGTTGGGGCAGGCGGCGATGTTGGAGGAGCAGCTCAGTGCGGGTGTGCTTCCGGACGAGACTCCAGTGCCCAAACCTGAGCCCGAGCAGGCGCATAAGGAAGAGGAGGCCGTCATGTCCGCAGTGAGTTTGTGTACGCGAAAGTCTTACGCTATACTGACTGTCGCATACAGCCCAGCGAAAGCGAGGCAGAGCCCGAAATGGTCCTACCCGTCGGCGCGAGCATCGGTGGGCGGACGAAGCGGAAACGGACGTTCAAGAACCCGCTCGCGAAGGTCGGTGTGCGGAGGAGCCGGACGACGGGGAGTATCTCGTCGGTGACGACGGAGGAGCCTGTTCCTCCTTTGCCCACCGTCACTCCTGCGCCAGAAGTTACGACGACGCCCTCGCCAGAGCCCAAGCTCGTCGCACCGAGGCCCGTAGCTGCGAACGCTGCATCGTCTTCGGACACATTGCAACCACCACCAGGCCCGGGGTCGGCGCCCCCGACCCCGCCACCTAAGGTGCCGAATTCGACCCTCGGTCGCGCGAAGACGTCCGCCTCGACGCCTCCTTCAGCGATGCCCGCGATCGATGCCGATGGTCATCGCCAGCGCTTCTCCACCTTCCGGAGCCTGTCCACCCGCAGCTCGTCCGCGTTTTCCGCAATCCGGCACAGCATGTACGTCGGGCCCTCGGACACGTCCGACAACGCCTCCATGATGTCCGCGAACAAGAGCGCCGAGTTCGACGGCAGCGCGGAGGGCAGCGACCTCGGCGTCGCGTTCCCGCGCAAGAGCACGAGCCGCGCGCCGAGCGTGAAGAGCCACGGGAGCGGGAGCGTGCGCAGGCGGTTCGCGGACAAGATCTGGCCGGGGAGCCGCAGCCGCGTGAAGAGCAACGTGAGCCGCGCGGGCGAGGAGAGCGTGCGGGCGACGCCGAGCATCGACATCGTGCCGCCGAAGTGGGAGGAGGGCGACATGCCGAGCTTCGATGCGAGCGATATGCCGAGCTTTGCGGTGGAGGATTTGGTGACGAGCACGCCACCGCGGGCGAGGCGGGGGTCGGGCGAGTCGACGGCGACGACGAAGGCGAGGGAGCAGCCGAAGCGGATGGAGGTGCCGCCTGTGGCTGCCCCGGCGACGCAACAAGGTCAGACCTTGCACCTGGCTCAGCCGGATACGCCCCAGCGGCGGCAGTCGTGGGCGTCGTGGTCCTCAACGACAACCTCGCCGTCCTCGGTGTCGTTCGACCCCGCGCTCGTCGACCAGTTCCCCTCCGTGCCACAAAGCATGCCCGAAGGCCAGCGAACCAGCGAGGATCCCGCCTCGGTCGGGACCCTCGGCCTGCTCTGAGCTAAGCGATGCTCATTCGGATGCGGCTCTCCACGCGTATACGACGCCCACACGACGGCGACGACACACGTCCACCCGTGTATCATAGGTACGCGATAATTTATACGCCGGCGCGCGCGCAATAGTCGCGCGGGTTGCGACTCTCGCGGTGCAAGATCCTTGGGTACAGCCAAGCCTGTCAACGCTTTTGCTGCGCCCGGTCCTGTCTGTACACATTCGATATTCCACCGCTACGCGCGCTGCACTCCGGCTTCTCTCATCTTACTTACTCCTACTCGTACTGATCTTCTGCGCTCGTGGCGCATCTTTCGACTTATCTTACATTTTGCGCCGTTCCGGTGCGGCTTTTTGCATACTCACGTCTATCTCAGTACGGATCTACTCTCGTTTTAGTGTGCTTGTCCTGAATATCTGGAGGGGCTTGTTCTGTTGTGCATATATAGAATCTCCTTGCATCGGCAGGCTGGAACAAAACATCCTGGTAGACTTCCGCCCGGCACAGGTAGGACCGCTTTGGGAAGGCATTGAGAACTGAATTGGGTGATCAGTTTACCGGCTACTGCCATAGCCGAAGCCGGTTTAGCGCCCTAAGTGTCACGATCGGCGCGTCATTGGCGACTCGCGAGCGGACTCCTTGGCTTTCACCTGCATCGTCTTCCTTCTTCAGCCTTCCGTTTCTTCTTTCCTGGAGACCGTAGAGCATATTCATCTCCGGCAACCACATCTCTCCCGACTTCGTGCAAGTTTCGGCTGGTTGCTTGAACGCAGGTTGGAACCGAGCAGCACGCGAACATCTTAACGCGTGCGGCGTTCGAACATCATTCTTTACCTGCGGCGTCTCGTGTCCCGTCTTCCTTCTGCACGAACGACCATGGGGATCTCCTGGAGCAGCGCGTCTACCGCGACGACGATCCACTACGCGGAGAAGCCTGCGCTCATACCCGTACGCGAAGAGGGAGATGCGGCACAGGGCGAGGGGGAACTCGATCTGCGCACCCTCGTCGAGAAGCGCTGTCCAAGTCTGCACAAACCGTTCGTGCCCGCATGGTGGTTGCCAAAGTGCGTGTTTGGTCTGTCGTGTTTGGGACGCAATGCTGACCTTGCTATCGCCATCGCTAGTGGACATGCGCAGACGCTTTACTGCGTACTGGGTGACTTTACCAAGTCGGACAAGATGCGGTATCGACGGTGCGTGTCCTAGTTCACAGTCATGATGCTCATTACTGATCGTCGAGTAGTGAGTTCATCCGCATGAAGGAAGGCGGCACGGTGTACGCAGCTCGCTACTTCTCGTCCACATTCCCCCATTCATTGACGCGTCGTATGATAGCGCACTTGACTGGGCACCTATAGATCAAGATTCCCTTCCCGCCGACACACCCATCATCGTGGTCAAGCATGGCTTGACGGGAGGTGAGCGCTCCTTCGGTTGTGCGTGCTATCCCCGCTGACTCTTTACCCAGGATCCTACGAGGCCTACGTGCGCTCTATACTCTACACTGCTACCAAGCCCAAATCAGAGGGTGCGAAATTCACCGTACGCGTTGGATCGAACTAATTATCGTGCAGGAGGCTTGGGCTATCGCGCCGTCGTCTGCAATTTCCGAGGATGCGCAGGAACGCCTGTCACTTCATCACAGCTCTACTCTGCGGGCTACACAGATGACTTGAGGTATTTCTGCCTTCCGTTTTGCGCTGCTACGCGGCTTATGCGGCGGCAGCAACGCCTGCGTCAAGAATGATTGCAGACGATGAACTAACGCGCTATATAGGCAAGAAGTCATGTACATCCGACACCTCTACCCGCATGCACCACTACTTGGCATAGGTTTCAGCCTTGGTGCAAACGTCCTCACGCGCTACCTCGCTCAGGATGGGGAGCACAGTCGTCTTGTGTCTGGATGTGCGCTTGCTTGCGTACGTGCGATCCATGCGTAGCTGGTATAGTCCTCTGACCACATTCTGCAGCCATGGGACCTCGCATCGAATAGCGACGGCCTGGTCTCAACATTCCTGGGCACCAACGTCTACTCTAAGGGCATGGCACGCAACCTCCTCCGCCTCGTTGCCCGGCATCGTGAAGCTCTGAAGAAGGACCCGAACCACCCCGCCGCCCAGCTCGTCGACCAAGTCCTCGCCCTCCGCCACCCCACGCTCGAGGGGTTCGACGAGGTGATAACCAGCAAGATCGGCGGCCCGCCCCCCGAATGGCCCTTCCCCAGCGCGCGCGCCTACTACACGCACTGCTCCTCGCACCACGTCGTCAAGGACATCCGCGTGCCCTTCCTCGCGATCAACGCCGCGGACGACCCGGTGGTGACGCGCGTGCCGATGGACGGGGGGGGGAATGGGATGGTTGTGATGGCGCTGACGCCGTATGGGGGGCATCTGGGCTGGTTTGAGGGCGTTGGGGCGCTGCCTGGGCAGACGACGCGGTGGGTAAGGGAGCCGGTACTGGAGTGGATGAGGATGTGTGGGGAGGGGGTGGTGCATGAGAAGCTGACGAGGAAGGAGCGGAGGGTGTACGTGGATGAGGAGGGGTGGGTGAGGGAGGAAGGGAGCGAGCACCTCGGGTGTAGGAGGATTGAGGGTGGGGGGATCATAGACGGGAGTAAGCAGCAAAACGTTGGGGAGGAGGGTATGTTGCAGGGACTTTAGACATTCTTGACAACAAGTAGACCTTGTAAATACAGAGGTACATAATCTAGACTGTAGATTCGCGCGTTGGCGGCTGCACGTAGAGGTCAAGAATTCGTAATGAATGAATGAATGATCTTCAAGTTAGATCAAGTCGAACCGCGTGACCGTGAGAAATGACATTGCCCCTCCCGGGCCGAAGCCATTTCTATCCTTGCCTTCTGCCAGCACCACCACCGTTGAACGTGAACCTTTCCTCAAAATGCTCGTGATCAATGCATATTTTTGATCATCCTCGCGCCCTGCGTCCACACTGTGCCACCAAGAACAATGCCAAACAGCCCAGCTGCAGCACGCTACTGGCTCAGACGTCAGGCACGCTTGTCCACACAGCGAGATTTGAGGAAGACACTCCAATGAATGCGAAGCCGAGGTCGAAACAGCGTGCAACGGCCGCTGCATATCTACAAGCAAGCCAACTTCCAGAGTTGTCGGACAGGCTTGTCCGTAATCTATTCATGCCGTGCATCGCATTCATTGAAGGACGCTTGATCCTCGCTGGGATGTCATCGCCGAGCTGATTCTCCGTCGTGCATCTCTCTGCGGGCAACGACTTGGCCACAAACCATCCGCGGCCTCCGGATCCAGGTGAGCCCTCGCGTCGCGCTCTCCTCGGTCACCTCGTCGATCATGACGCACGATGTTCACTCTCTTGCAGGAACGGGGATTGCGGGAAGGAACATAATTGCGGACGAATGCGGCAAGGGACGACTTCATGCGGGAGGGTTGCGTCCGCACGTCGGGCCGCGTCGAGGACGTCTTTTGCGCTGTTCGTGTTCCTGGCGTGGCATGGCGGTCGAGGTGCATACCGACCTTCGAGGATTTTCTCGGGGCATAGGAGGCTCGCTGGAATCGGGGTGCCCGCTCGTTGCGCTGTGCGTGCCCGTACGAGCGAGCGGGTGTCCCGTGCGTAACTATGCGAACGGTGGCAGCGCTGGGAGGGTATATAAGACGGTACGGGAGGCGGGAGACAGCAAGCCAGCAGCTCTACTTCCCTCCCCAACTTCAGCCGAACTTCTAACGATGGTCTCCCGCGTTGCGTCTGCGCTCGCCCTCGCTGCCACCGTTTCGGCGCGCAAGATGACGGTGAGTGCCATGCGCGATTCGTAGGCTAAGTGGCGAGTGCTGAATGGTGCCTAGGTGTACAACAACTGCCCGTTCACGATCTGGCCGGGCATGTTCACGAACCCGCAGCTGAACACTGAGTTCCCGGACCACCCCAACGGCTGGGAGGCGCCTGCATACTCCTCGGTCACCTTCAACGTGCCCGACCACTGGACCTCTGGCCGTATCTGGGTAAGCCAATCCATCCCTTGCTCACGTCTGGAAGCTCATCTCGATTAGGGCCGCCGCGACTGCGACTTCTCCTCCGGGTCGACCGAGCCCTCGACCTGCGTCTCCGGCGGCTGCCTCGGCGGCCTCGTCTGCGACAGCAACGCCGGCACGGGCGTCCCGCCCGCCACCGTCGCCGAGTGGACGCTCGGCGACGTCCAGGGCCTCGACAACTACGACGTCTCCCTCGTCGACGGCTACAACCTCCCCATGCGCATCGACAACTCCGGCGGCTGCGGCGTGCCCGACTGCCCCGTCGACCTCGGCCCGAACTGCCCGGACAACCTGAAGGGGCCGTTCAATGCGGACGGCTTCCCGGTCGGGTGCAAGAGCGCGTGTCTGGTGGACCCGAACCCGTCGAACTCGCCCGCGTGCTGCTCGGGTCAGTGGGCGGGTGGCCCGCAGGACTGCCCGTCTTCGGGCTCCTCGTCGTACGACTACTTCAAGAGCAACTGCCCGAACTCGTATGCGTACGCGTACGATGAGCCGTCCGGCACCGCGCTCTGGTACTGCGATGCCTCCAAGGCTGTCGGTGAGTGTCTTCGTTTCTGCATCTTCGAAGAACATGGTTGATCAGTACCGCAGACTGGACTCTCACCTTCTGCCCCTAAATCAACATCAACGAACTTCACGACCCGGGACTCACTGAAGGGTACAAAAGGACGGTCTATAATGCACTTATTTAAATAATGGGCTCTTGTGGATGACTTGTGGATGAATGGCAATTATTGCTTATTATATGGACACAGTGCGATCGTCTGCAACAACAAGCCCGGATCACGGACTACAAAGAACAAGAAAAGGATGCTAAAGCGTACTACACCTACAAATCAGACCTTGAACGCGCTCGCCGCGAACGCGACCGCGTCGGTGTTGAACGCGTGAACGCGCGGGAAGGTGTCGAAGGTGAAACGCTTCAGCCCCGCCAGCTCTATCCACTCCTCGAGCTCCGAGCTCGCGAAGCCGTGCTTATGTACGATGGTCGTCTTCGCCTTCTCCAGGAGCTCGTCGCTCATCGGCAGCTGATTCTGAGTGTGACCGTGGTGCTTGTGGTGGTGGCCGTGCGAGGATTGGTCGCCCTCTGGCTGCCCGTGCTGTTGCATGAGCGCTTCGTGGCCGCCGCTGACGAAGTCGGTGACGATGAGCTGGCCGCCATCCTTGAGGAGCTTGCCGAGCGAGACGGTCATGTCCTTCGGGGAGTCGAAATGGTGGTAGGCCGCGCAGCACTGCAAAATAGCGCCGTTAGCGTGCGGCCTAATTTGAATGTTACAAAGGAAACATACGAAAATTACGTCGAATTTATGGCCGTCGAACTGGGTCTCCGGCGGGATCGTCCCATCGATGAGTTTGGAGGTCATGTTGGGCGCCTTCAGCTTCTCGAACTCGCTCAGCATGCCCTTGCTAATATCGGCGCCGACAATGCTCTTGCAAAGGGGCGAAACCTCGAGGGAGACGATACCTGCAGTATCATTAAGTTTACTATGACCGTTGAAAAAACAATTAGCATACCCGCGCCACAGGCATAATCAAGGACCTCCGTAGTATTGGGGTCAAGGGTAGCAGCCCTGATGATGGCGAAGGCATTACTAGGTATAGGGCGTCAGAATATGGATCTGCGAGCACCGAATCCGAACCCAGAATCAGGGACGTACAACTTCGTCAACAGCATCAAATCCCGCTTGAAAGCAGGATTCTTATAGAACTGGACCGCCTTGTCATTGTAGTACTCCGTGTTGGCTTCAAGTGCGCTGGTGGCTATATTTCCTTGAGCGAGATGCCTAGGTAGACTGAAGAAGAGGGGCTTGCGAGATGCGATGGTGGTGTTTGTTCTGGTGCTTTTTATGAGGCATGGCTGCAGAGCTATATATACAGAGAAGCTGAGCCGGCAAGGTGCTCAGCGACCAGACGGTCGAGAGGTACGAGTAGTTGTTGACGCTGTCGTGCTGACGGCTGAGAACAGAGATAGGCGCCCAACTGAACAGAGGCGTGACCGCCGGGTCCTCGCGATCAGCGCGTGACGACTGTGCGGGTTCCCCGGCATCTTCCGTTCTGCCATCTCTGCTTTTGTCGCAGTTCAGAGACATTGTTCTCAAGGTACACAATGGCGAGGCTTACCAGAGCCAAATCCCGGGAAAGGACAGCTGCTAAGTCAGTTCGGCGCTCGTTGATCGCTGTTTACGTTGCGGTCGGTCGAGTTTCATGTGACGATATCGGTGTATAGCCTTGAAGCCCACGCCTTGCCTTCTTCTATCACCGGCTGCGAGTGACTATCGCTTCTTTGTTGGCAGGCAGAGATCCATCTATACTCTGCAGGTCTGCCACAAAATTAGCTTCGCGCCAAGCCGAATGATACTCCGCCAACACCACAATGACCAACGAATCCCCTCCTGATAGGACACCAGAGCGCGTAGGTACCCAAAGCACGTCAGTTCCTCAAGGCGAAGAAACAAGTTCTCCAGGTGCTGCAAGGAGGACCGTCTTCGGGATCAGGCAAAAACCTCGCCAGCGACCTGGTACGCAATGGGGGCTTTCCTTCGAACAGTCACATCCTGATCGTGTCTGCATAGCGACTTCTTATGATTACGAAGAGAAGTACGGCGAGGATGCGTATGGAGAAGAGCTAGGTCCTAACGCGCGATTCTGGCATGTTTCGCTCGACGAAGGGCGCGTGTATGATGCGGATATGGTGGAGGGTTGGCGCGACACGCTGGACGTACTTCTTGTCTTCGTCGGTGTCGTCTCGTTTGTTCGCTCCCTCAAGTACTTACGAGATCCCACAGGCTGGTCTCTTCTCTTCGGTTGTGACCACCTTCGTCGTACAGTCATCTCAGGCATTGCAGACCGACTACGCGCAAATCTCGGTGACCCTACTGTCGGAGATGATCGCTATACAGAGAGCGTGGGCGGAGGGCTCGCCAGTGAAAGACGTGGCCCGCTCGCACATCTCGCTCAGCGCCGTGTCTGCGAGCAAACTCGACTACTGGTGCAACGGCTTGTGGTACATGAGCCTTTCTCTCAGCCTCTCCGTTGCCCTGATGACCGTGCTTGTCAAACAGTGGCTGCAGGTAGGCCTAGCGCTCGCACGAGCTATTTCGCGACTGACACGTTCTCCAGGTCTACCAAGGTCACGTCTCCGGCACGCCCAAGCATCAGGCGCTCATCCGCCAATTTAGGCTCATTGGCGTGGAGCGGTGGAACGTCCCGCTCATCGTCGGTCTTCTGCCCATGCTCCTTCATGCATCGCTACTGCTCTTCTTCGTCGGCTTGTCGCTCTACACATTCTCCCTCGACACCACGATCGCGTACGTCGTCATCGCGCTCGCTGGCTCCGCCTACTCGCTCTATATCGTCGCGAACGTCCTGCCGATGTTCGACCCGCAGTGCCCATACAAGACCCCGCTATCGAATTATGGATCACACCTCTTATGGGGCGCGCTCACTGGCGTACACGGATGGGTACGCCGCCTCGAGCAGGACATACTGCCCGGACCGGGCGCTACTGGTGCGCCCCCGAATTTGGAATCAGCATCTTGTGTCCGCCGCTATATGACGTTCGCCAGAACGCGAGCTCTATCCCGCCTGAAGAAGCTCGCACGCCTCCTCCCACTGTCAACTCAGTGGACGCCCCGGACCCGCGAAGCTATCGCCGCAGCCCGCGATGAGACTTCGCTCATGATCGACTGCCTATCCTGGGTGCACGCAACGACCTCGGACCCGAGCGCCGTCAACATCACCGTCCAAGCCGTATCCGGGCTACCTTCAAGCGTCGCGGACGAGCCCATATCGCACGGGGGCATGCTCGACGAGATCCTCTCTCGCTTGGAGATTCTGGCGGAGAGCCGCATTGCGGAGGATGAGCAGTATAGTGTCAGGGAGCGCCTGGCGCGCAGCTTGTTATTCTTTGCGATTCCGGATGACGCGCGGACGAGGCGGAGGATTGGCGAGGCTGTCTTCTGTTTGGACGCTGCCGTCGTGCTGCATGGGATGGGGCGTGATACGGCAGAACTGCAGGGCGCCGTCCTCGCGCTGGCCGCGAGCGATTGCTTCGACGGATGTCTCAGTCTGCTCGCCACGGACACCATCGACAGGCTGCCCTTCCTCTATGCGTCGCCGCCTTCCTCGCTCCGCCTCCGGCCCATCGTATGGAAGCGCGCGCTGCAGCTCTTCGCTCAAGGGGCTGAGATTTCGCCCACGAACGCCGTGCATCTGGCGCTCTTCCTGTGGCGTCGTGCCGAGGGGAACTGTAGCACGAAGTTGTCGAGGCTGCTTTCGGACGACGATCTCGTTCAGGCTATGTCGGATGCGCGCGGGCGAGGGGAGGGGTTGGACGCCCTTCGCGCCAGCTACGCGCTTCTGTGTGGTCACAAGTGCTCGGAACTGGATCTTGCTCAGGTACATCAATGTTGCTGATGCTTGTGGGAGCTCCTTTGCTGACTTTTCATCCAGGACCCTATATTGCACGAGGGCCTACTCCCGCACCTGCTCCGAGTGGCATTCGAGCGACTCGCGAACGCGGCGGAGGAGTTCAACCAGCAGCGGATAGCACGCAGCGAGAGGCAGTTCTACGTCGACCTCCACCACGACGAGCTCCAGTTCCTTTCGTCCATCGCCAAGGCTGCGCTGTCGGACGAGCAGGCGTGGGACTTGTTCGGGACGATCACGAGGCTGGTCAAGCTGCCGCTGTGGCGACTCGAAGCCCGGGCGGACTTGCTCGACGTGTACCAGCGGCAAGAGAGCACGCCGTCGTGGGCGGCGAGGCCGCTTTTGCAGAACCTCGTTCAGTTGCTCTCGAGTCCACCAAGTGCGGATCGAGCGCATGTCAGAGGCGTAAAGTCTGCACTGCGCCAGATTGCCACGATCTTTGAGCGATGTCCGGACGAGGCGCTGGTGGCGACGATTGAGGACGATATGAGGACGATATCCTTCTCGCGCTCAGGCCGTACTCGCGACTCGACGTGCAGGAAGACAACAAATCCCCGGCGTACGTCGACGCGACCGAGATATTGGCCGACATCCTTTCGGCGTACTTCGTGGGCATCTTCAACGCTTGCGGCGACGACGACGAAAGGACCATCGATGTGCGCGCTCACCTCGACTACTTGACGCGCTGCGACGACTACGGCAACGGCCAAAACCGCTTGACGGGGTGTTTGGGCATCGACCTCCTCGTGGTGGCCAGCTCAGATGGCGAGGAAGTCCATCAGTTGCATCAAGCCTGCCTGCGATTGGCAGAGCAGACATCGGAATCTTACGCTGTGGGCTGGACTGGCGCTCTTGCTGCCATAGCCTTGCAAGGGGAGCTGGCTACGACTCCCCTGGGACGCGCCCTTCGTAGCGTGCACGGGACCCGGGCGTATCGCGACTTGCTGAACGCGACATCTTCCAGTGTAGTCGTCGCGGGCCTCCAGTCGCCGATGGAGAACGACATTGTGAAGCTTGCAAGTCTCGCAGATACGCAGCCGGATCGTATTGTGGACGAGTCGGAGGGCATGTCAGTTGATAAGCAGCACGAAGAGGAAGGAGAGGATGATGAGCGGACGTTGTGCCAGGAGTTTCATGACGACGATGATTCCGAGCGAGACGCTTGACAGCAGATGGTCAGGGTCTTTGTCGGTGTTCAAAGTAGCTTGATAGGTCCATGTTTGGCAATGTTGTTGTTGATGAAACCGGCGCGCTGCGCCTCCCTGCCTGCCATCACTGCAACATCACTGTGCAAAACATCAGGCACATGCTTTGCTCTCGACCTCGAAACGCTTTTTCCTCAGCAATCCTGACTCTCTGCCCTCATCGACATCTGTTGCAGGACAGAGGCAAAGTTAGCCGAACACAGCCAGCCAGTTTTTCGAACTAAGCTTATTCGTCTATAGGCACTAGATATTCGAGACGGCACGATCATTCATGCCTGCCATACTGGGTTCCAATCTCTCGACTCAGACGGACAGTCCAGCTGCGGATGCTTTCAATGAAGAGACGGAAAATCGCTCAAACAGGCCTAAAGAAGGATCTGCTGGCCGGCAGAGAGGCCGTAAACAAGCAAAAGCCGGTGAATATTCTTTCACTTCCAGGGGAAGTTGCGCGCGCTCACCTGGAATAAGCCAACCCATACGACTACGAGCAGAAATACGAAGAGGACGCCTACGGAGAGGAACTAGGATCAAACGCGCGTTTTTGGCATGTTCTCTTGGACGAAGGGCAAGTTTACGATGCGGAGCTGGTCGATGGTTGGCGAGATACCCTGGACGTGCTCCTGGTTTTCGTAGGTCCTCATTCGAGCTGATGGTTGCTGCGCTCATACAGCCCTAGGCCGGTTTGTTCTCTGCTGTAGTCACCACGTTCGTCGTTCAGTCGTCGCAAGCGTTACAGCCTGACTATGCGCAAATATCGGTCTCGCTTCTGGCCGAAATGCTTGCGATGCAACGCGCTTGGGCAGCAGGCTCCTCTGTCGATGATGTCCCACGATCTAGCTTGGCGCTGGACGCCGTGAGCGCGTCTGCCCTCGACTACTGGTGCAATGGGCTGTGGTACATCAGCTTGTCGCTTAGCATGTCTGCAGCGCTTATGGCCGTGCTCGTCAAGCAATGGATTCTGGTAGGTGGAGCTTATATCGAGTTATCAACACAAACTGACGTGCCTCGTAGGCGTACAACAGCAACGTATCCGGGACTCCAAAACAGCAGGCCCTCGCTCGTCAGTTCCGCCTCATCGGCGTAGAGCGCTGGAACGTCCCGCTTATCGTGGGCCTCCTGCCCATGCTGCTGCACATATCCCTGCTCCTCTTCTTCGTCGGGCTATCCCTCTACGTCTTCACGCTCGACTCGGCTATAGCGTGGATCATCGTCGCGCTCGCCATCGCCGTGTACCTGCTTTATGTAGTCGCCAACATCTTGCCGATGTTCGACAGCCAATGCCCGTACAAGACGCCCCTCTCTCACTATGGATATATTGGCCTACGTTATACGCTCAACGGCCTGTTTGGATGGGTGGGTCGGATTGACCCGGACGACCTTCCTGGCCCGTCCACCTCCACGCGGTCCTTGTCTCCAATCGCACGCGTGCGCCGCTGGGGTTCGCTCGCCCTCAGATCCGGCGCGTCCCTTATTGCGCCTCTCGCACGGCTGCTATCGCTCTCAACCGCGTCGACGCCCCGAACTCGGGAAGCCCTCGCCATATCTCGCAACGAGACACCTCTGCTTATCGAGTGTTTGACTTGGGTCCACGCGACGTCCTCCAACCCCAGCGCGGTTAGCATCACCGTGCAGGCCATATCCGGCTTACCCGCAGATGTCGCCGCTACCCGGCTGGTGCACAATGAGATGTTCAGGGAAGTTCTTCAGCGCCTCGAGACTGTCATCCGTACGCCGGACAACGAGGAGATGTGGACAACTTGCGAGAGGCTTCTGCGTAGCCTCCTCTTTCTTGTGGTGCCCAACCGAGACGAGGTGCGGCTCTTCATGGTGACTCGCAGTTGCCTTGCGCTCGTGCAGCACCGACGAGCCTCGGCGCAGCTGCAGGGCGCAGTCCTAGCGTTCGCTACCGACGCGGACGACCTCCACCGTATCACTGGAGCCTCCGCAAACGACGTGCTGCCACTGCCGTTCATCCACGTCGCTGCACCGGAGGACCTGCGGCTACATCGCGCGGTTTGGGACCGGGTACTGCCTTACCTGTCCCAGAACGCAGACCTCTCGCGCACCGACGCCGTCCATCTTGCCATCTATATCTGGCAGCATGCGGAATCGCATCTCGAGACGAACGTGAAGAGCCTGCTGTGGGCTAGCGACGTAAGCAAGCGGGTAGCAGATGCGCCGCCTCAGGATGTTCGACTGGACTTTGTCTTCGCGATACATGGACTACTGTGCGGAAAGGACTGCACGGAGGGTTCGACTTCTGAGGTACGTGAAACTCTGTTGCTACCGGCATGCTGATGTATATTTCAGTTTCAGATCGAAGAAATCGTCCAAGAGTTATTGCCACATCTGCTACGAGTCGCCTTAGAATGTCTTGCAACTGCCGCGAAGAAGATAGACACGGACACAGCAGAGCCTCCACGCTGGGAGTTCCATGCCGAACTCCATCGCAAGGAGCTCAACTTCCTGCACGATATCTCAGTGGGCCTTTCGGCGACCTCATCCGACGCCCAAGTGGAGCAATTCGTCGAGACGATCTCCAAGCTCGTGAAGGTGTCTTTCTGGCCTCTCGACTGCCGCGCAGGATTGCTCGACTTCTTCTCGACTCCACCTTACCCTGCAGTCCGGCCTCTGATGCGCGACCTCGTGTACCTTCTGAACGCCTCCTTGAACGAGCGAGAATGGCGCACGGAACGCGTGTTCCGTCAGTTGTTCAATATCGTGGCAAGTCGACCGGATGAGGCGGTCGATGTGCTTCTCGAAGACGACATAATTGCTGCGCTCTGGCCACAACTCAAGCTAGTCATACTAGCTTATAACAGGAGAGAGCCAGGGTCGAATCGATTCGATGGATTCGTAAGAATCCTATCGACGTATATGTGGTACATCGTTACCGTCCTTCCCGACGAAGACGTTGCACACTACTTCGACTACTTAGCGCGCTCTGATGACCTGGCGGAACCTGACGAGGCGCCTCGCAATCACCTAACTTGGTGTATATTGCTTGACATCCTCGCCCCGTCCGATCCGAATGACGGACGTTCGTTCCACGCCGCCCTATCCGAACTAGCTCGCCGGATGGCCAAATCGCATGCGGCAGATTGGGCTGGAGCTCTGTCGTCTGTCGCCCTCCACTGGCGCTTCGCTATGCCCTCCATACAGAACAGCATTGCCACGGAATCTGGGAGACGAAGGTATCACGAACTGTCGAACGAACTGGATATATCTGGTAATTTCGCAGCTGCGGAGATCAGGCTGCCGCAATGGGACGAGCAGATGGACGAAGCAGAAGCCACTCGTATAGAAGGACACGAGACTCAGTAGCATGAAAAGGTTATGACGAGGATGTAGTAGGTATCAATCAACTTCGTCCGTCAAGGCTGTTGATACGGCAGCGCGTTAGCAATCTACGGCTCAGTCTTCGCCTTCGCCTTCGACTTCGTTATTTCTTCCGCATTGCCCTTACTCTTCGAGCCGCTCTTGACCTGTGAGGCCTTTTTAGCCCCTACCCCTTGCCCTCCACCCGAAGCGCCCCTTTTTGTGCTCTCGGGCATGGTCTCCTCTGGCGCAGCCTCCGTTACGTCCTTGACAACTCTCGGGGAAGACGATCCTGCAGGCTTCCCTACGTCGTTCGCACTTGTTGGTTTCGGTGTTTCCTTCGTATCTGCCCCGGCCGCGTCCTCAACTTCATCGTCAACGATAAGGCTGGGCATGCGAAGGCCTGCAGCCTCCATACCAGGCGCGAGCACCTGCCTGAGCTCGCGGTACCTCCGTCTCCCTTCCTCCGTCTGTAGGCGCTGTCGCAGTCTAGGGAACGTGGACAGCCAGTGCGATGAAATGGACCAAAAGGCGTTGAACCATCCGTGTGCATGCTTGGACCACGTCGCTTTGGCAAAGTCCATGACGCACGGATGCATCCAAGTGACATTTTTAACGGTCGAGAAGGCCAGGTCGAAGATGAGCATCCACGCCAAGTAGCTCGTAGGCGGTGTGGTATCGTCGTCGGTGTGGTACATGATGTAGTGGACGTTGGTCCTCCGGTTTCCCGCTTTCACAGTAGATGTGAGCGCCCTGATGTACGAGCGAAACGGGTCGACCATATGCGACCACAGCTGAAGCCCTGCGTCGTAAGCGCCAGCTTCCAACCAGCTGCTCATGTATGGCCGAATGTAGGCGAGAGCGTCCTCTTCGGGTACAACAGTGCGAATGAGGTCGGGGCATTCGGCAGTGACGTTGTACATTTCTTGAAGGATATCATTCAGCCGTACTTGCGATTCCTTTGATACGGGATGACGCAACGCGGAGACGACGAGCTGGGACAAGAAGCGTAGAAGCCGTCGAAGAACCGCCTCCGTGGGTGTACGAGTCCGGCCAGCATAGCTGTAGAGTATGTCTTCTTGGGCCTCCGTCGAGGTCAAGGATAACCCCGCGAACCTGGACATAGTATCCAGGTAATCCCAAGCCTGATCGTTGTCTAACCGAACCTTGACGAGGCGCGCAAGGAAGCTGATCTCTTCGCTGTATACGGAAGCGCGAGATTCCATGTCGCGACTGGGCTGTGCGCTTAGCAGAGTCCTGTCAAATTTCTCGGCATCAGCCAGTAGAAGCTCCAGCGCACGAGCGAGTAGCTGTCGAGATGGTGAGCGTGAATGAAAGTTTTCTGATAGAAGCAGTTACTTACCTTGTGAGAGTCTGAAGAGGAATCGAGACGCAAGAGGCGACTTATTGCGATCCGGGTATCCGTTGCGAGAGCGTGCGTGGTTGCTGCTTGCACCGGTCTCTTATATTTCTTATCAGCTATGTCTCCAGAAGTCGGAGCGGATTCGCAGTCTAAGGCTGCCTCCGCACGACGCCATATGAAGACAGCTAGATGGAGGCGGTTCGCCGGGTCCTCGAAGTGCCACTCCTGATAAGACCCGATTGCTAGGAAGCGAATGAACCGGTCCCAGACAGATGATTGCAGCGGAAGGGATGATGGGCGAGCAGAACAAATGAAAGGCAGGTAGCCCATGACGTCTGGACTGAATATGGCGCGACCCAGCCGGTCTCTGGCGACAGCGACGCTCGTGCAATTCTGGCGTATGAGATCTTCCAGAACTGGATGATAAGGCGTGGCGCGTAGAGTCTCGATCGAGTCCTCCAACCGCTCTCGCAGACTGTTGTCGTCGTTTACGGTGAAGAAACGGACACTGCGTGCGAGGCAGTCACGCGTCAGATGGACGGGTATGTCGAGCGCGCCGGGTATACGTTGCTCGAGCGGGACCATTTGATCGAGGCATACGAGGATCTCCTCGAGCATGTCATTGTGTGTGATGCGCCTCTCCGCGTCTGCGGGCAAGCCTGACACGGCCTCCAGAACGACGCGCTTGGCGCTAGGATTCGAGGAAGTATCGTACACCCATGTGAGAGCTTCAATCATCAACTGTGACTCGACGAGCGACATCGCATGAGCTTCGCGACCGCGTGGCGTCCTATTAAGTCGAGGATGACTTTGAAGCTCATGGGAGGGTAGCAGAAAACGCAGCCTTCGTGCGAAGTGTGTTCGATCGACGAGAGTCGACAAGGGACCAGCGGAACTTGCAGGCAGCGGGAGCTCCGGGCGTGACGCGTCTCGAGACCGGCTAGACATGGGTACGTCCTCACTCCTAGGTGTACTGCGAGGGGGTCTCAGCCAGCCCACGTCCACACCAAAGAGCCCAGAAGCAAGCATATATCCGTAATGCGATAAAGGTGTTCTGTAGGGGCATTGGGGGTCTAGCATTGGTAGCACGTTGGCCACGAGATAGAGGGAGTAGACGAGAAGAGCGACCGCTGTGACTGTCCATGCTATCGCAGTGGCGAACGTGAAGAGGTACAGAGAAAGGCCGATGAAGAACAGCAGGAGGGACACGTGGAGCAGCATAGGCAGGAGGCCGATGATGAAGGGGACGTTCCAACGCTGAACACCGATCAGTCTGAACTGCCGCGAAAGAGCTTGGTCCCGAGGTGTTCCAGATACGTTGCTATGATAAGCCTGTAAAGTCGTCAGCGAGAGCGAAAGATACAGTTCGATTTGGCATACTTGGATCCATTGCTTGACAAGGACGGCCATAAGAGCCGTCGACAGACTGAGAGCCAGGCTGATGTACCACAGAGTGTTGCACCAGTAATCAAATCTCGTCGAGGTGACGGAATCGAGAGTAATTGTCGACGGAGGCACATCGTTAATGGAGCCACCGCTAGCCCATGCTCGCTGCAGGGCTATCATCTCGATCAGAAGTGACGCCGCGACTTGGCCATAATCAGGCATTAACGCTTGTGACGACTGAACGACAAATGTTGTCACAACGGCCGAGAAGAGACCGGCCTAAGACGAGCGATGAGCAGGAGAGCATAGATCGAAGAGACTTCGTCACGCACAAACACAAGGAGTACGTCCAGGGTATCACGCCAGCCTTCCACCATGTCATGATCGTACACGCGTGCTTCATCAAGCAACACGCGCCAAAAGCGTGCGTGAGGGCCTAGCTCTTCGCCGTATTCGTCTGCTTCGTACTTTTGCTCATAATCGTAAGCGTTGACTGCAAGGACGTCAGTGCATCGCATGCACACAACACGCGTTTCGACGTACCAGCTTTTCCTCGATAATTCGCGTCATGCCCTAGCCCAAAGATCTTCTTAGGCGCTTCCCGGGTGCCGCCGTTGATTGGTGCATCAGGTCGCGCAGGAGCGGCGCCGATTGCTGGTGTATCTGCCATCGATTTAGCTGGAACGACGGTCAGTCGACTGAGCGCCCAAGAGGAAGATGAGTCTGCTGCACCGCTCAGTGGTCCTGCTCGATTATATAGCGCGTCTGTTTAGTGAGTGCAGGATGCGATGAGGTAGCTGCGGAAGGCGATGCAGATGAAAGCGAAAGGTTGGGACAGTACTAGTAGGACTCTCGCGACACTGGAACTGTCACGCGTACCGTGAGGTGTACTAGGATTACGATGATCGTTCACACGATAAGGGACATGAGGTTGCTTGACTGCCGAAGAGAGGCTCGAAAAGGAGTGAAGCGGGAGAAGAACGATGTCAACGAAGTAGGAACCTTGGAGGGCAGGGCAAAGCATGCGGCCAATCCCCCTGGCAAGCCCACTAGGAATTAGGCTTGCCGTCGGATACAATCACGCACGAACCAGAGCTCGTCCATGCATCCTGTCATTTCAATCCAGCCATACAGAACCAGCACAGCAAGCAGTGCCAGTGATACTGAAGTTGATGTGCGTCAGTATCATCTATCAAATGCAGGGCAAACTCCCACCCACTTTACTCGATCCAACAGCTGAAGCGTGCCGCCATCCGTCAGATTATACAACGCGACAAAGCCCGTATCCTGATCGGTCAGGATCAGCATGTTCTTGCTCGCGTCGTCCCACGGGCTCGTCGTCAAGATATTCGACGTTCCGCCTGCCTCGGGGGTCGGCACGACGAATAGGTCACGGTCGATATCGCCGTCCTCGGTCAGCAACCAGCCCGAGATAAACCCAGGTTGCGTCGCGTCACGCGAGCGCGTCGAGGTGTAGAGCACGCTGCCGGAGGATGAGAGAGCGATCTCGTCGCCCCAGTACTCGGACGCGTTCGCCGGACTCAGTCCTGCGGGGAAGGAGGATCAGTCGAGGATAATGAAGGGCACGAGGGAGCATGCGGACCGAAGGGCGTGACAGCGAGCGTCTTGTTCGTAATCGTGAGCTCAGCGGTTGTGGTATTGAGCATGAACTGGTCGACGCGGAGCCCTTCCTCGTCGATGACATACATGAAGTTGCCCGATGGATGGATGACGGCGTGTCGCGGGCCAGCACCGTCGATACTTGGGGAAGTTGTACCGATCTCGGTGACGGTCCCATTGGTCCCATCGATTCGGAAGGTGTGCACGACGTTGCCGCCCAGATCCTGCCATTTGGACTGCCAGTTAGAAGCGCGTCGCAGTAGCAACGCACGAATTCTCACCATGACATACATATACTGTAGGTCGGCCGTGTCGGCAAAGCCGTGCAGAGTCGCGCCTTCCTCGAAGGCGACGGTCTGGATGTTCTCGTTGAACGCGCCATTGTCCTTGACCGACCATACGTCCCCGCAAGGGTTCACGAAGTCGACGCCGTAGAATACGCCACTCCCGATTTGCGGGAGAAATTGGTTGGCGATTGGCTTTGTGCCGCAAGAAGGCACGGTATTGAGGAGCAAAGGCGTAAAGTCGTCCTGGATGGCGTATGCTGAATAGGTGCGATGCCCGCCAATAGGGTTCGACCATCCTGATGCGTAGAGGACGCGTCGGTTGCTCTGGCAGATGACCAGTGTTAGCACCTTCCCTTCGGCACCACAAGGGTCGGAAACTCACATCATACGAGAGCCACGGATGCGCCGACGCGGCCGACGTCGAGTTGAGCAGCTGAAGAGTACCGCGGTCCGCGTCTACCGCGAGCGTATACAAGTAGCCGTCGCCGACGTGTTGTGTCCCATCAAGCATGAGAGTCACATTGTAGTTCGTACCGAAGTTGCCGACGAGGACATGGTGGACGTGCGCGGATGACCTGGCTATCGACGCAATTGCAGCAACGCATGCCAGGGCGGAAGGCTTGAAAGCGTAGGATCGCATGAGGAAGAAACCCTCGAGAGAGTTGCTGTATTGATCTTCGGGACCCCTCTGATATACTGCTGGCTGCTGGCGGTAAGAGACAGCGATGGACGGTCACAAGGATTTATATTTTTGGTGCAGGCGGGTCAGCTGGTCTGAGGATACGGCTGCTTGTCCCTGATTGAGTAACGGAGTTCAAAAAATCATGCGATCGAGGTGGGCGCGCGTTGCGGGCGTTCTGAGCGCGATATGCAAGCGGGTCCAAGTTGCAGTCTGAAGGCGTGAGATGTTCATCACGCGCGTCCTTGGACAATTTCTCGAAGACTGAGAAAAAGACAGCGCGAGTTCAACTGGATACTGTGCTTGAGAAACGTGACTACGTCAACGATATATCTTGAGACGGTCATGGTGGTGAAAGGCAAGACCAAAAACCTCCGCCTTCGACCACACGCGTCGTTCGGGAACTTCCGACCGGAATACTGCGGCCCGGAATGGCACGCGATCATTGACTTCAGCATCTCTCCCTCCTCCGTCATTCCCATCGGCCTCCCGAAGGTCGGGACTCGGTCCTGTCACTCCCATGGGCTATATCATTCAGCAATGTCGATTCAGATGTGTCAGTGGAGAAGTCGATCTGCCTGACCCAACTAGAACGCTGCGAAGGTAATGACTTGCATCGGCCCCGTGAACCAGTGATCTGTGAGAAAGTATCGGTACTTCGGGCCTGTGGAGTACGAGCGAAGCTGCGTCTACCTCTACTTCTGGGTATAGTCAAGAAGGTTGGGTCCTAGGCTACAGCGACGCGTGGAGTCTTCGGTCCGAGCAGGCGATGGACGAACCTTTGAAGCTTCAGCGAGCAAAAGACTCAGACTAGTACTGGGGTGAGTAATTCCTATACCGGCTTCAATATCAATCCTCAATCCCTGAGCCTCAGTTTACAAGCAATCGCGCTGCCATCTGAACAGCGAGTCAAATACATAGGCAAACGCCAGAACGAATTCTCCTCTGCGACTTGGTCACGCCAACTCGTACTACGCGGTTCTTCGTGTGGAATCTGCGAGACGCACCCCGCTTCCCCAGCTCCTACCCCGCGCTCGTGCTGGAACCTCCACCTCTTGGCTCAGGTGAACATGTTCTGCAGGCGTTCCGCTCTTCAGGATTCGGAGGTCGGTCCTACCCTCCGTTGCGTATAAGAGGCCACGCAGACGAGGGCACTTCGTCGAGATACAGCTCGTCTACCCAAGATGATTCCAGCAGAGAAAGCCGCAGACGTCAAGGAGGCTGCGTGCTCTACACCCGCGGACGAGGTGTTCATCGAGAGCGTCGAGAAGAGTGTCGACAAGGAAGGCGTGGCCTATCTCGTCCGCAATCCCCACGCGCTAGCGAAGGCGTATGGTCCAGCGGGTATGCATGATACTCTAGTCCCCACTTCACCAGTACTCATATCCTGCACAGGCGTTGGAGCCGTCCTGAAGAACAAGAGCATGCTATTATGTGCAATCACCGCTGCATTTGGTGGTCTTACCTTCGGCTATGACCAGGGCGTGATCAGTGTCACGCTGGTCATGGACCACTTTCTGAAGGTAAGTTTTTAGTTGCTCGCCTCGCAACCAGAAAGCTGACCATACATAGACCGTTCCCGAGATCGCCGAAGGCTACCCCGGCGCGGGCTTCAACAAAGGCCTGCTAACGGCTATCTTGGAGCTTGGCGCAATGATAGGTTCGTCTTGATGCTCTCCAGGATCTGTTTGTCCCCGAGCTTACACGGCTTGGTAGGCGCTGCCCAGACCGGCTTTCTCGCAGACCGCTTCTCCCGCAAGCGTGCTCTGACCATCGGCACAATCTGGTTCATGGTCGGCTCGGCGATCCAGACGGCGACGTACTCGTACACTCAGCTAGTAGTCGGCCGCTTCGTAGGCGGTGTTGGGATAGGCTTGCTGAGCTGTGGGTCGTCTGCACTGCGTGCGTAGAGGGGAAGAGGATGTTGACTGGTCTGCCTAGGTGCGGCACCTCTGTATATCTCAGAGATCGCGCCGCCGAATATTCGCGGAGGCCTCTTGGCTTTGGAGGAGGTCATGATCATCACCGGTATCGTATGTGATCTCCTGACGATGATTTTTCATGAGGTGACGAGCTTGTGGGTCCTGCAGATCGTCGCATACTGGCTCACCTTCGGCACGCGCTACATCGACTCGGACCTTTCGTGGCGCCTGCCCTTCGGTCTGCAGATCCTGCCTGGCCTCGTCCTCTTCACGGGCCTATTCTTCCTGCCCAACTCCCCGCGCTGGCTCGGTATGCAGGGAAGAAGCGACGACTGCCTGAGCACCATCGCGAAGTTGCGCAACCTCCCGGAGGACGACGCTCGTGTACAGGCCGAGTACATTGGGATCGTCACGGAGGTGGGCGTTATGCGGGAGGCGGCGGCACGTAGGCATCCCAAGTTGCACGTTAAGGAGGCGGTTGGAAAGCGGAGCTTGTGGGCGATGTGAAGCTAGAGGTGGCAGGGTGGCGGGACGCATTGGATAGGCGGTACATCAAGCGCACGAATGTGGGCTGTGGGGTGGTATTCTTCCAGCAGTTTGTGGGCATCAATGCGTTGATTTACTAGTGGGTCCACCAGTGCGGCGTCCTCATGAGACGATACTGACGTATTCGACAGCTCACCGAGCCTCTTCTCCTCGCTGGGCTTGACCTTGGACATGTCGCTGCTCATGTCCGGCGTCATGTACGATAAATTCCCTTGCGCCTTTCCCCACCCACTAGTAACTCACATCCAGGAACGTCCTTCAGCTCGTCGGCTGCCTCCCCACCACCCTCGTTCTCGACAGACTCGGCCGGCGCACCATGCTCCTCTGGGGCTCCCTTATCTGCCTCCTCTCCCACGTCATCATCGCCTCTCTCGTCGGCGCCTTCCACACGAACTGGCCCGCGCACCCCGCGGGCGGATGGGCTGGCGTGGCGTTCATCTCCGTGTACATGGTCGCTTTCGGGACGAGCTGGGGACCGATCGCGTGGGCGATGCCGTCAGAGGTGTTCCCGGGGTCGATTCGGGCGAAGGGAGTGGCGGTGAGCGCGACGGTGAATTGGTTGTCGAACTTTTTGGTAGGTGGCGGGGTGGTCGATGAAAGGAGAATGATGCTTATGGATGAATCTAGGTCGGCCTTATTACTCCGCCTCTGAACGATGCAACGCCGTATGGGTCCTTTGTATTTTATGCGGTCATGACGCTGCTTGGATTGCTGTGGACGTATCGTGAGTGGCAGAAATCACGGAGATATTTTCGTACTGACTGTTTCGTGGCAGTGTTTGTACCGGAGACCAAGGGCCGATCGCTGGAGGATATGGATGCTGTCTTTGGGGATTCGATAGCTGGCGAAGAGAACGAAAGTCGAGAAAGGATTGTCAGAGCTCTGCTAAATGAGGACACCGGCAAGGTCGCTGAGGTAGCGTGAGCATAGAGCTCAATTGAATGTACGATGTACCATATGAAAGCAATCCTCTGAGACGGGCTCTCGGTGTGCCGCCTGCTTCCGTGGTCGAACGAACAAACAAGGGTGAACAAACAAGCTGACTGCGGCTTGCCGGCCCGATTCGTGTCCGGAACCATCACATCACCCTCCGCACCGTCCTCCTCGCCGTCTTGACCAGAGTCCTATGATATCTGTACGTTCTCTGATACCTTCGTGAAGGGGAGCAAGGCCTTACAGAGGTGCAGGCATTCTTCATCTTCAACCAGAAGGGCGAGGTGCGTTCTGGTTACGCTTTCCCCAATGTATATAAGCTTATGCGCGCAGGTTCTAATCTCAAGATTATATCGGACGGACTTCAAGTGCGTGGCGGCATGAATGCGCGGTAGAACTAGACTGACAATACTAGGCGGTCAATCGCAGACGTATTCCGGATACAGGTCGTCTCGAATAGCGATGTGCGGTCCCCCATCATAACCCTCGGCTCGACGAGCTTCTTCCATGTGCGGATAAACAACCTATATGTGGTGGCGGTCACCAAGTGCGTGCCATTACTCGACATATCGACTACTCTGACCAGACCTCTCTCCAGGACCAATGCGAACGCGGCACTGGTGTTCGAGTACTGCTACCGCTTCATCAACATTGCACGTTCGTACTTCGGCAAGATTGACGAGGAGGCCATCAAGAACAACTTCGTGCTCATCTACGAGTTGATCGACGGTACGTGGTGCTGCTGTACACCGAGAGCAATGTGCTGACGTGCGCGCAACAGAGATATGCGACTTCGGCTTCCCTCAGAACAGCGAGATCGACACCCTCAAGTCGTACATCACAACCGAGAGCGTCATGTCCTCCGGCATAGCTGCGGTGTGTGCCCATACCCACTCCCTCTTACACCAACTGACAGTGCGCCACAGGAAGAGTCTTCCAAGATAACCGCACAAGCGACCGGCGCAACGAGCTGGAGGAGAGGGGACGTTCGTTACAAGAAGAACGAGGCCTTCGTGGACGTCATCGAGGAGGTCAACCTGAGCATGAGCGCAAAGGGTGCGTCCTAGTGTATCCCCTTCATATACCACACTGACAGATACCCCAGGTACCGTCCTCCGCGCCGACGTCGATGGCCACATCCAAATGCGCGCCTACCTCTCCGGCACCCCCGAGTGCAAGTTCGGCCTCAACGACAAGCTCGTCATCGACAAATCCGACCGCGGCATGATCGACGCCGTCGAGCTCGACGACTGCCGCTTCCACCAGTGCGTGCGGCTGCACGACTTCGACGCGACGCGCACGATCTCGTTCATTCCCCCGGACGGCGAGTTCGAGCTGATGAAGTACCGGTGCACGACAAACGTGAAGCTGCCGCTGCGGATTATCCCGACGGTGACGGAGATCGGGAAGACGCAGGTGTCGTACAATGTGACGGTGAAGACGAACTTCAACAATAAGCTGTCGGCGACGAATATCGTGGTTCGTATCCCGACTCCGTTGAATACGACAACGGTCGACTGTCAGGTGTTGAATGGGAAGGCCAAGTATACACCAGCGGAGAATGCGGTGGTGTGGAAGTACGTATCGTATCCCTCAATTCATAGGATGCATGGTTGACCTTGCATCACAGGATCCCGCGATTACAAGGAGGGCAGGAATGCACGCTGTCTGCCACCGCCGAGCGCACCAGTACCACCAGCCAACAAGCATGGACACGACCGCCCATCGACGTCGACTTCCAGGTCCTCATGTTCACTGCGTCCGGCCTCATCGTCCGCTTCCTCAAGGTGTTCGAGAAGAGCAACTACAGCAGCGTGAAGTGGGTGCGGTACTTGACGAAGGCCAATGGCTCGTATCAAGTCAGGGTATGTCGTTTAATAGCGTTCGTGTTGCTGATCATGCTGACGATTGCTGTAGTTCTGAGCCCGAGGGGATCTACTACGACATATACCTATAGCCTACGACGACGACTAATCAATTGTTGTAAACATCATGCATATCCCTCCCAGCAGACGACGCGTACATGGCGAAGATGTCAGCGCCTGCTACATCAACGGGGTCCCTCGCTCTCAAGCAGGGCAGAAGACAACTCTTGGATTTCAGTCGGTGCCGATGATCGGTGAAATCTATCTCACCTGTGAATGGCTGATTGCCGGCCTTGCACCCTTTGACAGGCGAGTCGTTGCCGCATCCTGACATGTCCTAGGACGTGATATAGAATGGTGAGCAATCATTGAGCTTCGATCGCCTATATTTCGCTCACCCCGACAGGATACGCCTGCTTGCAAGGGCACGACTTCGACCTGCACGTCGCGGTCTCACAACCAGCAGATTTGATCCGAATCGACTGCGTGAAGCCCTGGATGTTCGAGATATCGTACGCCTGGGGCGTATACTTGTCCCCAGTGTCTAGAGGGGCGACGGAAGACCAGCTCAGTCGCGGAAGCACGGCTTTTGTTGCTCAGGGACTCACCCAGGCTGAACTCGGTCACCGTGCAGCTCTCGCCCTTCGCGCCACATTTGGCAGTCTTGTTGAAGATGCGGCCGACCCACTGGCGCATAGGATAGGAACGCTCGTCAAGCACGCACAATCTCCCCTCAATCGCAGCCGCACGTACCCGGGATGGAATGGTCACCTTCGTCGACTTGCCGACCGCTAGCTTCGCCGGCTGCGCGCCCTTGAAGTCCGTGGCGTCTCCGCATCCTGAGGGTATGGAGTAAGCCGCAGGTTACCCTCATCTCTGAGTATAGAATGCTTACGAGGGCTATAGCCACAGCGGGTGTTGGCGATATGGGGCTGAACGGCGTGCTTGCAGTGGTTTACTAGGGTGAACTGACAACAGGGTGTTAGCGTCGCCGTCCTCAGCGGTTCATTTTGGGATCACGTACGACGTGGCCACTTCGTTTTTCGAGCTATGAAGGAGACATGAGCTCGGGTGGCTCTTCTGTCGAGGGTCTCATACCTCGAACTCCCCAGTGGCGCTTGCGAAGCTGCTGGCCGCCAAAGCGGCGACTATGCCCGCTTGTAAGCAGAAGAAGAGGAACTGCATGCTGCTGCCTCCATTTTCTTGCTGCTTTTCGGTTTTTATGGCGTCTACCCCGATCTCATACACCCAACAGCTGTTAAGCTTGCGGGCGAGCTATGTCCGCGTAGGGCGGGAAACGCTCAACAATCGTATAGCACGATCCATAACGCCGCAGGTGAGGGGATGTGGTAGCTTCCTCCTGTGCCTCGCACTAATGGTATGCCATAGGTATTACTCAATAACGGCCCAAGGAGTGTCAATGCATCTGCTGTTCCCAGATAGCCTCATCGCGAGGGCTCAAAACAGGCCCGCCACCGGGTGTTTTGACAACGCAACAGCTCATGTGCAGCATAGTTACCTGTCCGACTACTGACTGATCTGTCGCGCCCTGGACTGGGCTGGCGGTATCGCGTTTCGCGGTCGGGCGCTTGAGCATACCCGTTGGACGCTTGGGCTTACTCATGAGTGGGGATGTGATGCTTGCCGATGGCCAGAGCACCCTCTGTATCCCATGTACCGCATGGGGTGTTCATTTGTGGGCGGGAGCTTCGTCTTCATCCGCCGTTAGCGGTTCGTAGATGCTTGCGCAAGTCTTGACGTGTCTCCCAATGTCTTGTATAGGTCGCGCGAATGGAGAACTGGTATAAAGGACGGGAGGGTGAGGTCTTCCGGTCCTCAGTCAAGCCTACGGATCACTCTTTGTGAGAAATTTCTATCGATTTCTCTCCTCGAGAACTCTAGCCAGTACGATGTTCTCCAAGGCCACCTTCGCCATCTTTGCCCTCGCCCTCGTCGCAACCGCAGCACCAGCGACCGAAATCGAAGGTCGCGCTGCGGAGATCAGTGGTCGGGGTGCGTCCTTTTCAGCCTTCCTAGCATTTCTAGCGCCTGACCGAGCGATACCTTCTAGCTACCTACTACCTCCCCGAGAACAACTACGGCGCCTGCGGGACCAGGATCAAGAACACGGACTACGCCGTTGCGCTCTCGAGCGACCAGTATGGGGGCGGATCGCACTGTAGGCCTTTTCATATCGCCGACCTGTGGGGTTTGTGCTGACGAGGCCGCTCACACTAGGTGGCAAGAAGCTGAAGGCTAGTTGTACGTATATTTCTTTGTGGCTCGTCCTCCATCCTTGTTCCTCGTCCGACCTCGATCCTTGTGACCCGTCCGACCTCGATCCTTTGTGGCTCGACCCCACTCCATTCCCCCCTACCCTCCCTTCACGTTCCATCTTCCCCAACATCTTCCCATGATCACTCATCAGCCCCTCCCCACCCAGACAACGGCCACTCCGTCACCGTCACCGTGCGCGACCTCTGCCCCGGCTGCGCAGCGAACAGCCTCGACCTCACGTCCTCGGCGTTCCAGCAACTCGCAGCGCTGAGCGTGGGGAATATCCCGGTCACTTGGAACTGGGTGTAGGCGGCGCACTTTGAAGTTAGAGTTGTTGTTATGCCAGTGGGTGGGAGCGCTAGCTGCGGGTAGGTGGTGGGAGCTAGGAGCTGGGGATAGGTGTCTGGTGGGCCGGACAGCTTGGCGCGTGGCGCAGGAGAAGTATGCAGGCGACGGAGCTACGCCGTGCTAGTAGCTCGCGGATGGAAGAGGGGCCATAGAGAAAGGCCCCCCGTATCTATTTGGATATAGAAGGGAATGCCCACTATTTATCTGACCGTTATGTACTGTATCTGACCCGTTGTATGTACGATTATGGAGTGTTGTAGTATTGCGAGTATCTATGTCTATTCACAAGCAAAGTTGTATGCTAGGAAAATATTCGTTAGTACACTGGGAAAATACACGTTATGCTAGGAAGATATCCGTTATGCTAGGATAATAGTCTTCGTTCTCCGAGGCGCAGCGCTCGCCGGGCGGGCACCAAGGGCTTCTGCTAGGTCTCCACGGGTGACAACGATCCATCCATTCCAAGGAAGTATCCAACGAGGTATCCAACGAAAGTAAGAGCTATAGCAAATTCCCCAGAGCCGGTTCTACACGATATCTATGCTGCAAGTGAGCGAGAAGGAAACGAAGGTGAGAAAACAAGCGAACACGAAGGCCTATCTATCTAGCGAGGGTATTCTAATGGAAGGTATGTATATCTAATGACCAGGGTGAATATCTACTGACCTAGTCGGGAAAATCTACTCAGATTGACCCAGCTTCCGCCCGTGATCCAAAAAGCCCACACTCGGCGTGATCCCCCTCTCCCTCAACCGCGGCCACCCATACTCCACCTTCTTCTCAATTGGCACCGCCTCCCCTCCCAACGTCCTATCATCCCCCACAATGATCACTTCGCGCAGCCTCTGCAGATGCGGCGCGGCAATGGCCGCGTCCAACAACGCAAAATACTCCGGCGCGCGCGCGGGGTCGTAGGGCCGCCAGTGGACGTGCACGGCGATGGTGGTGAGCGCGTTGTCCGAGGGCAGCGTGTCGAGGACGTGCCGGAGCCAGTCGACGCCGTGGTGGGGGAGGAGGGGCATGTCGATGAGGCCGACCTTCAGGCCCCAGAGGGCGCGGAGGGAGCGGAGGGAGATGGCGCGCGCTTCGGCGGAGAAGGGGAGGATGTAGACTGCGCAGGGGGGATGGGCTATATGCGCGATGGAGGCATAACGTGGGACGTACCTTCGAAGGGCGGCATGAGGGAGAGTTGGGCGAGTGAGGGCGCCGCGGTGGTGAATACGCTGTGAAGGGTGTCCTGCGCCTCGTCCGTCCACCGAGGGCAGATCACGTCCATTCGTCGGAGGGTCGTAAGATCGGCAGCTTCTAAGAGGTAACGCAGCAGTGCGATGAAGGCCGCATCGTCGCGTGTATGCAGCTCGAGATGTCGCAGCTGGGGCGCGCCAGGGAGCACAGTCTGGCCCGGCGTCGGCGGTCGCGGGTACCCTTGAGGGTCGACGTCGATGATACGCAGCTTGTTCACCGCGGGGCCCAGCGGTATGAGGCGGATAGGTATGCGCGCGAGGAAGCCGAGGGACACCTCGGTCATGTTACCGATGGCCAGCAGCTTGACGAGGGCGGCAGCGAGCGCGGGAGGTATGCTCTCGCACGAGACTACCCCGCGCCCGCTCAGCGAGAACACGCGCAGATTCGGGGTCATCGCGCGCAGGACGAGGGGGAGCGTGGGGGACTCGATCAGCGCGTCGCCGCCATGCGTGTCCGCGGCGATGCGGAGCGCACGTATGTAGCCTGCGACGTTGGGGGACGCTGCGAAGACTTCCAGGAGGCGGTCGCACTGCTTCGCGCTCTTGAGTTCGACGTCGGCGAAGAGGTGCTTGCGGGAGGGCACGAGGATGTCTGACGAGACGAGGGCGAGGGCGCCGAGGGTGCGTTTGTCGTCGCGGTAGTGAGCGACGACGGCTTCGAGGACGTCGAAGGGGAGCGTCGGCGCCCTCGTCTCGTAGCAGAGCATGATGGCGGTCGGAAGCAGGGGAGATTGCGAACGGAGATTCCTGACTGGCTCGTGAACCCCATACTGATGGCCGCCGTCCGCAAAGGGTGATGTGATGGCAGCCGCCACGTGCCGCGTGATCCCAAAATGCCTCCGGATTCGCCGCGTCCAAAAGCGGATAGCTCTTTGTTCTTTGCTTCCCGCCGTCATCATGTCCTATCCCCGCATGAAGGCCACTCCCGCCGTCGAGCGCAGTGACTTGCCAGCCCCCGACAAATCAACATGTATGACTTGTGGCTCTAAGCCGGAGAAGCTCCTGCGATGTGCAGCCTGCCGCCTTGTACCATACTGCTCAAGAGATTGGCAAGTGTTATGCTTACAATGAAGGTGTGGCATGTTCTGAACATGTGTCATTAGTCAGAAAGCAGACTGGAAGAAGCATAAGAGACTATGGTGGGATATCTCCCGCTCAATCTGTCGTAGAAGGCAGGAGTCGATGTCCCATTCTTCAGCGACGAATATTATAGAAACAGTATCCTCGATGATAAGAGGACGACCTTCGGCGAACCCAAACCCAAAGGAAAGATAGCAAGAGCCAGACGCAGCAAGTAAGTGTGCCTCTAGCTAGCGCTCTGGATTTCGCTAGACCATATTACCTCTCAGAGGCGAAGTCAGCAACGACCTCCGCAAACACGTCCTGGAGCACAATGGGTACTGCTCTCTTTACCTATGCTCGTTACAAGCCTGATGCATCCTCCAGCGACACCTACACTATCTGCGCTTGGCTCGCCCTCGACCTCGCCAACCACCCCGAGCGCGCCACAACTCACTTCCTCGGCATCACTCTCCGCCGGAACCTTAAAAGCACGAACCCACGCGCCTTGTACACCCTCGTCGACGCGGAGGTGCTGCCCCTGTCCGTCTTGCAGGATACGTTCGAGGGCCGCTGGGCGATGGACGGGTCGTACCCCGTTAGCCCGATCCTGGCGCTCGAGCACGATGCGAGGGGGCGGAAGATAAACGATGGGGCGCTAGGGTCGGTGATGGTGTTCTCGGTAGAGCTGCAGGAGGACGAGGAGAAGACGGTCGAGCAGGCTGTGCGGACGGTGAGCCTCGACCTATTGTCCAACCTCGCCTGTAAGCCCAACAGCCATACAGACGTTGATACCCATGATGTCGCCGCTGGGGCTATTTCAAGTGCATCAGCGCAAGTTTTCTACCTTCGTGCGTCATGATAAGTCATCGCCCGGAAAGCAAGTAGTGCTGACGATGAGACACATCAGCCTATGAACCAGTTGAACGGCCAGAAGGGCCTCTGGAGCCGATGCCTCGCAAACGGCCTCAAGGGTGGCGCTTTCTCCCTAAACTACACGCCATACCACGGTTAAATAACCCCCTAACCCGTCGACTCTCCTCTTCGTTGCAGTCTCTGAGAACGTGCACAGCATCCTATTCCCCCGTGAATACCATAAGCTAACACTGGAAAGGGATCCACATATCCCGCTCCAGCCGGATTTCCTCGCATTAGATCTCTACTGATGTATCATATAGTGTACTCTATGGCTAGTGACTTATGCATGCATGCACATCTACCTTCGCGTGTGTGTTTTCACGCTCGCGCATCTAGAATATGAATCCCCCCACCCCCTCACGCCCCATGCGCGTATCGACTAACGCTGTCTACGAGCGGTTTCCGCCTCTTGGACGTATCGAACACCTGCGCGTGGTCCAGTCCTCGATAAAAGAGCACCTCCAGATCGCCCTCGTCGGCACCTCCCTGCCGCAACCACCTCGACCGCGGCCGCTCCTCCTTCGTCAAGTACCGCCTCACCGCCTCCGCGTTCACGATCTGGTCCTCGCCGGAGAGCACAACCGTGAAGTTCCGTCTGTCCTTCCATTCTCTATCCCTGTCATTCTTGATGCCACCCTCCCCCTCCCCCCGACAGAACGCGTGCACGTCTTCCTCCCACAGCACATTCTCAGCCCAAAAGAACGCGCGCCCGATCGTGCGCGCGATATCCGGGTCGCGCCCTGCAAAGTACCACAACTGCCACTCATTCGCGCGCCCCTCCTTCGGCTCGCGATAGTGGAAATTGTGCGCGACGTCCGGGAGGTGGAGCAGAAAGGGGATGGGGTCGATTAAGGCGACTGCGGAGACGTGCGAGCGGAGCGGTGAGCGCAAGATGTGCGCGGCAAGGACGGTGCCGTAGGAGTGCGCGGCGAGGACGACGCGGGGGAGGCGGTGCGCGCGGAGGAGGGCGCGAAGGGCGGCGAGGGAGGTGTCGCGCGGGGGGAGCGGGTGCGTGATGTGCATGCTGATGGGGAGGAGCTCGAGGAGGAGGATGGGCTGGGAAGGGTCGCGGGCGATGAGGTCGGCGATGAATGGGAGGTAGGGGTACAGGCCGATCTAGGGGAAGGTCAGTTGGGTGGGGGTTGGTGAAGGATACGGTACGCACCCCAATTCCGTGGATGAAGAGGATGGGGAGGGCGGTGGAGGACTTGCTACCTGGTCGGTACCAGTAGGAGTAGGGGGCGGCGGCTGACGGCTTGGAGAAGGGCGTCCACAGGCGCGGCGGGAACATGTCGAAGGCTCGCGCGGGAGCGTAGTGCTCGAAACCCATGTACCACAATCTTGCCGCCGTCGAGTGGTCCACTCCCGCGACGATCTGGGGCGCACGTCATCAGCAACACCGAGCCGCCAGCTAGCAACCCCACTCACCCCATACCATATCAACGGCCGATAGACCGTCGGCACCGTGTCCATCGTCACGCGCATCCCGCGCGACGTCGCCACCATCTCCCTATCCAGCGGTCGCCCCGTGTACTCCTCGACCGCGGCGAGGTATTCATCGATCTCCTCCGTCCAGTCGTCGCGCGCTTCGTGCACCTCGGCATGGAAGAAGGCCCAGAGGAGCCACTCGCGCACACTCTCGTAGCTCAGAGTGGCTGGGGCGGGATTGGTTTGGCTTGGGGTTGGGGATGACTTACCGTTGGTGGGGATGGGGAGAAACCAGCCCGAGGGGTACGCGGTGCTGTCAGCGGCGGTGTGGACGCAGCGTTGGAAGAGTTCCTGTCGGGCTTGACGATCTAGTCGTCGTGGAAAGTGTATGTGCTGAGGTGCGCGTTAGCGGTGCTCGGCGGGCGATCGTGCATGACTACGCACCTTTTGCAGCGACTTCTTCCTCGGTAGGTATACGCAGAGAAAAAATAGCGTCTCCGCAAGAGCAACAAGGCATACGAGACGCGAGAAGGTGACCCTGCGTAAGACGAGGCATAGAGCAAGGTACGCGATGCTAAGTGGCGCGACAGCGCGCAGGAGCACGATGCAAACACGAATGAAGATATACTCAGGTCTTGAGTTGCCGAGCATGGCTGCTCGTGGTGATGTCGTGAGCGTCCGGGAAGAGGGCAAGATATGTCTGTATCAGTTGACCAATTTACACTTGGTGAAAGCCTGACGTATGTCCGCGCAGCGGTAGCGAATCGGGGCACTGGTAGGTGCGGTATAGATATCTGGTTTGCGACTGATCCTCAGTATACGGGTCCGGTGAGTGGGAGACGGGTATTCGGGGTGATCGTTCAAGACAGGCTTGAGCGCGGGCGTATTTGCCTGTGGCCACGGGATCGAGAATTACCAGATAAGGGTTATGACATCATGCGTTATGGGTGGACCTACAAAGGCAGTACCAGCACGAGCAAACAACGAAGATTCTTGGGCTCAGGCTCAAGTCTCGTAACGCCATGGTAACTATACTCCTTTGACGAGGTGACATGACTCCGGCAGCGAATGCAAACGCTCTGAGAGCGTCGGCTTGACACAGGCCAGAGGATTTGAACGCCGACATGCAGAGAGCGCCCACCTAACCCAGGCAAAATCTAGTCACACCCTCAAATGTATGTTGTTCAAGAGCACGAACTTTTGCCTCTGAGTTCGGAGGTTGCGTAAGAGTTGCGCGTAACCTATGTGACACATGATACAACGAGCGCAAAAGAAAGAGGTCTGCTCGAGCTCAAGTCGGGAACGACCCCAGCTTAAAGAGCGTCTGCTTCTGCTTCCCCTTCCCCTTCTTCTTCCCACCCCCACCACTCGCACCTCCCTCCTCCTGCGTACCATCCTCCGGCTCAACAGCCGGCGTCGCAGTACCACTTCCAGGGGTGCTATCTTCGCCTCCTCCTGCGCTCCACGCCGACACCGCCGGGGCACTCGTCTGACCCAAGATGTTCTTCAGCGACTGATTCCCGCTCACGGGCGGTTTCGCCGCCTTCCCGCTACCCGAGCCCTTGAGCTCGGGAAATCCCTCTTTCGAGAGCTTCGGCCCAGCGTTCCCGTTGGCGCGCCGAGAGGTAGGGATGTGTGCGCCGGGGCCCGGGACCGAGCGTACCTGCTCCGTCGGGGGAGCACGAACCTTGCCAGCGGCAGAGGGGGACCAGGGCGTCGGGCGGATGCCGTTGTTGCCAGCACGGGAAGGTCCAGCTCCGGTGGTCTGCTGCAGCGAAGGGAAGCTCTCAGCGGCAGGGCGAGGAGCAGAACCCGGCACTTGACGCGGTGGCGGCGCTGCTCCAGGTACATATCGCTGCTGAACACCCCTCGGCGGCGGCGCCCTCGGCCCCGACGAACTGGCCGCCTGCGCAACGCGGTCCAGCACCTGTCTCGAATTGACCTGCGCCGCCGTCGAATGCTTCGCATTCAGCACCCTCCCCGACGACACAGCCGCGTATCCCTCGCCCACCGCGCTCGGCACCAAATCAGGGAACTGCCGCTTCTGCTCGACCTCGAAGCCCTTCCAGGAGGTGAGCAGATCCTGCCGCTTCTCCTCGTCGTCGAGGATATCGACGAAGCCGCTGATGATGCTCGCGGTGTGCTCGAGGTGGTTGTCGAGCACATTCCAGACGGTGGAGATGAGGTCGCGCGCGCTGGATTCGTTGGCGCGGTAGCTTCTGATGGCAAACTTGACCGCGGGGACGGCGTGCGAGGGGTTTGCGGCGTAGGCGTTGATGCGGTTCATGAGCTCTTGGTGTCGTCTGAGCGAGAAAGGGCAGGTTAGTACGAAGTCCGCTACCCTCGGAAAACTGTGGACGTACGCCAACGTCGCCGGATCTATGTCCGTACGCGGAGGTGTCGCAGGACGCTGCACTGGCGTGGGTGTAGGGTTGTTTGGCGTGTTGTTTGGAGTGGTGCCGTCAGCTGTGAGGCTACCGCCGAACCCTTGCCGGCGATTGGGGCGCGAAGGCCCCGCTGCAGGCTGCTGCTGTTGTGGCGGAGGTTCGCGGGCTCTGTTGCCGTCACGTTGACCTCGCCGTCGCCCGCCTGCTCCTGGTACTTCCTCGAAGTCGAAGCCGGTCGTCACTCTGCGCGCATCTTTAATATCCCTGGCACTCATCGTGGAGCCGTGCTCGTCGACCATATGAGCTTGCAAATCCAGGGCGGACCCGAAGACTACGAATTTGCGAGCTTGGCATTCCGACTGGTGACAAGGGTAGTGGTCGTCGTTAAAGTGCTTCTCCTAGAAAAGCGTAAGCAATCAGATATACGAGACGGAAGAAGAGAGGCGCACCAAGGCTTCATAGTTTTTGAAGCTGCGTAGCTGTCATAAGCGAGATCCGCACTTAATGCAGACGTGCTACTCACTATTGGTGCTGGATCTCGTTGCGCTTGCAGACGAAGCACTCTTCGTGGTTTTGCCGCATGTGTTGGTACAGCTCGTCGTCGCTGAAGAAGCACTCGCGGCAGAACTCGCACATGGGATGCACGCCGCCCTCAATCTGCTCCTTCGGCATCGCGCGCTGATTGATCTTGTGGTACATGGACGGCAGGTGAAGAGGGAGTACGTTGGGCGGATAGAGAACATGTTCGTGCGAGAAGACCTTCTTTGAGCGGATGCACAGATCACTGAGAATGCGTGAGACGAAGCGAGCGTAGCAGAGAGGGGAAGTACAAACCACATAAGCTTCCCATGGGTCGCACGAACGTGCAACTTCAGATCAGCCCATCCCTTTCCGATGTAGTCGCAGGTATCGTCCGGGCAGTTGAAGCGGAGCAGGATAAGCGACTCCTCCAGCATCTCCTGCGTCTCGCAGCTGATCGCGAGCCTCGCATCCTTGTACGGAATGTCTTCTGGCTTGAACGCGAGGAAGGGGGCATCCGGCGAGGTCGTGAAGATCACAGATGGCTGGGGGTCCTGCAAGGGCGATGAGCATCATCGTGGCTCGCCTAGAGTACGGGACGCACCTTGCAAAACGTACAGTCCGTCCTCTTGTACAGCGCGCGCAATCGCAGGGAGCAGACATGGCACGTCCGATGATTGCACGCTGACACAGCGTAGTACTTGACTGGCTCCGCGCAGATGAAGCAGACCGGTACGTCCTGGTCAGGCTCCTCCGCGCCCGCGGCAGGTGAACTCGTGGCCTGAGCATTGTCCTCCGCCGGCTGTTCGTCCTTCGCAGGAGCATCGGAGGGAGCTTGCTTGTTCTGCTTGTTTCGCGAGGCGCCACCGCGCCTGTTGCGCTTGCTGCCTTGTTTCGCGCCAGCAGCGTTGGCGTTCGCCTGGGTCTGAGTCTGCGTCGTCGACATGGTGGTAGGTGCGAAAAAGCGGGTGGGGGATGTATATTTCGCGGGCGCCTGGCGACGATAAAACAATCTCAGCGTCAGCGTCAGCCAGACTCATCCGGCTCCGGCCCGACAACCCTATATTGGTCAGGTGATCAGCCGAGATGTCGCCCACAAGCGTCTACAACAACGCATGGTTGAACTAACAAGGCTTACTCTGGCAAGTAAAGACGATGAGATCAGCAAAAAAAGTAAATAAAGATAAGTATAGTATCCAAACATGATCCTCACTCCGCCATGTCTTGGAGAACGAGACCGCGCGAGTTGAGAGGACGTTGGAGGGTGAGAACACGGTCATGCAGAGCTCTGTCGATGTGTATCTCATGAGGTAGCATTCATAAATAATGGTTACAGATAATTTGTCTCGTGTCACAGCATTCTTTGTAGAATCAGCCCCGTCGCGGAGTATAGAGGCCAGGCATATGCGCCCAATGTTGGGAGGTGTTGAGGCGCACAGGGCGCGAGAGAAAGGGGCGAACGTAATGGTAGGATGACTGAGAGGAGGCCGAGCTGTGTCGGCATTGAGTCTTTCGAGCGGCGGTTTGTCGAGCAAGGGGAAGGTCTGAGTCGACGTTGAAGCGGCGCGCTACGGTTTGCGAGGGGCCGGCAAAGATATGCTATAGCAGAAGTACGCCCAGTCGTTACTGGAGAATCCTCGCGTCGGATACTGGCCGTTGCGCGTCGCCCACGCCGGCGGGCTCTCGTAGGGATCTTCATCCTCAGGGCAAGGCCACGGCGCCTTGCGTACTGGAGATTCTGGCCTGTGGTAGTAGGCCTGCTTCGGTCTTTGATACGGTTTGGCGCGCTCAGCAATCCGCACAGAGCGGCGGACCGGTATGGGTTCGCGGAGGATCGGCGGTTGCTCCTCGGGCTGGGAGTTTCGATCCACCTGCTCTGCCCAGGCCGATACTTTGGCCTGCAGCGCTTCCTGCCCCTCGTATACGGTGCGAGGGCGGCCGTTTCCGTCTTGGCTTCGCCTGGAGATGGTGTATCCCGCCCCTTCCGCGCTTGTGACAGTGATGTCGTCTTCATCCATCCCAGGCATGTCGATGAACCACCGGGGTACGTCGCGTTCCTTGGAGACGCTCCATTGTCTTGTTATGTTCAACGTGCAGAGCGACCACTGCGCGGTAACTCGTGTCGCCCAGTCGTCGTAATAATTGAAGGCGTGCTCGGCGAGGGTGCTGACACAGTACGGATGAGCAAAACATTCGACGACAGTGAAAGTTTCGGTCCCTTCATGCAATGGCCTTTTTGATCTCGGATCCAGTCCGCCGTTCAGGTCCTCTTCCGTCTGTGGCGGGAGGTTCAGTTCCTTCTGCAATTGGCGAGCAGCATCTGTCATAGGAATGAAGACGTATCGGTAGAAACCGCTTGGGGGCGTGAGCTACGGATGCGCGTAAGCGCCAGATATACGTAAACATTATCCCACGTACCGCGGTCAAAGGACGACGAGGCGATATATCATCGTCAGCGCGACACAATATGCCAGCCCGTTGGTTGAAGTCTACTATGTCAAGAAATGTCTTGAAAGTAGGGGCCAGAATAAACTGGAAGCTCGCGTAGAGATGTGCAATGTCCCTACGAACTGCAGAGGATCAGAAAATAACACGCGGTATGATCTCGACGTCGGGACCACCTACAGAACAATGAATTATGAGCGTTCGCAAGATGATACTGCAGGCCGCCTCTCTTGAGACCCCAGAACCACTCCGTACAGGCTATCTATGGCATGGTAAGAGCAGCGCCTCAGAATGTCAACCTGGACGTAACTTAAGCTCATCCGCGTTGTCGTCTAGTTCTGGGATTAGCTTGATTCTGAGTAGGTTATGAGGGTCCGTCTCTCCGGACAATGGACATCTCAGCCAAGGCTTTGACACCATTCTGGTTGACGAGCGACAAGAGAAATTGCGGAGGATGGTGGTGGGAAGCAAGGGCAAGGGAAAATGCACTGACATTGTTTCGAAGGTCCAAGCCGACGTGCTGGTCCGACCACTTTCATACGTCATCTCCTCGTGGCATGCTATTGTTCCTTTTGAGGCATCTCAGATCGCGGACGACGTGTGGAGATCTGGGCAGAGTGTTTATGCTGAAGGTGCTACACGAGCTATATGTACTGTCACAGTAAAGTAATGTAGACGTTGATAGGCGTAATCGCCCCAAATTGTAGCGCGCTATTAGTCCCGAGCGTGTTCACAAATTGGGGGGACGTCGACTCCCGGCCGGGTATGGATGTGGGCGAGTGCGCGGAGGAGAGAGGAGGGGTAGGGAGAGAGGGAGGGATGGGGATGGTTACACTCCGCCCTCTGTCCGTCCTTCGTAAACGCGTCGGAGGGAGCTCGTTTGCTCTGATCGCTTCGCCCGGCGCCAGGTCGCCTAATGCGCTAGTCGTCTTGTTTCGCGTCAGCAGCATTGGCGTCCGCTTGGCTCTGAGTCTGCGTCGACACCGTGGCGAGTGCGAGAAAGCGAGCGAGGGTGCGCAATTTCCTCAGGCGCCCGGCGCGAGCGCCGCAGGAATGTTCCAGCGGCAGCGGTCGACAACGAAGATTTCTCCCCAGGACATAATACGGAGCCGCCTCAGCCACGCGCATCGTGGTGCAGCCTACGAGTCAGAAGCTGTAGATGCGCCGCAATGTACAGCGCGTGTGATCCAGGCGCAGCGAGTCCTGGGCTGCAAAGCAATGGCGGGCGACGCTGACGGCGTCGGCATCGAGGCGCTCAAGTGGCAGCGCGTCGGGCAAGGCGCAAGGGAGCGATGTGCTAGGATTTTCGAGGAGCCGGGAGAGAGACGCTGTAATGGAAGTATGCCCAGTCGTTGCTCGAGAACCTTCGTGTCGGGTACTGGCCGTTGCGCGTTGCCCACGCGGGCGGGGTCGCGTAGGGATCTTCATCCTCAGGGCAGGGCCACGGCGCCTTGCGTGCAGGTGATTCCGGTCTGTAGTAGTAGGCCTGCCCTGGCCGTTTATACGGGTTAGCGCGCTCGGCAATCCGCACTGAGCGGCGGACCGGGATGGGCTCGCGAGGGACCGGCGCTTGCTCCTCGGGTTTGGAATTAGGATCCACTCCCTCTGCCCAAGTCGATACCTTGGTTTCCAGCGCTTCCTGCCCCTCGTATACGGTGCGGGGGCGACCGTCTCCGTCTTGGCTTCTCCTGGAGATGGTATATCCATCCGCTTCCGCGCTGTTGACCGTGATGTCGTCGACGTCCATCCCAGGCGAGTCGATGAACCATCGGGGCACGTCGCGTGCCTTAGAGACACTCCATTGTCTGATTATTCTCAGGGTGCAAAGTGACCATTGGGTGGTGACTGGCGTCGCCCAGTCGTCGTAATAATCGAAGGCGTGCTCGGCCAGGGTGCTGACAGAGTAAGGGTGCCCGTAGCATTCGACCACAGGGAAATCTTCGGTTCCTTCGATCCATGGTTCCTTTGTTATCGGATCCAGGCCGCCGTTCAGGTCTTCTTGCGTTTGTGGCTGGAGATTGAATTCCTTCTGCAGTTGGCGGGCAGCGTCTGTCATCGGAATGAAGACGTATCGGTAGACCCCGCTTGAGGGTGTGAGCTATCAATACATTCAAACGTCAGAACTATGCAAGGAGGTATGTACAAGCGACGTACCGCTGTCAGGGGACGGCGACGTGATCTGTCTTTCTCTTTGCGATTCTTTACGCCAGCCCAGTTACCAAATTCCATGACGTCAAGAAAAGTTTTGAAGGTTGGGGCTAAGATGAACTGGAAGCTCGCATAGAGATGAGCGATATCCTCCCGAACTAGGGGCAATTAGTAGGCGGTCGATGAAACCACGGTATCGACACGGATACTCACAAAACAAGAAGTTATGTGCCGTCGCAAGATGATAAGAAAGGCCACCCCTCTGAAGACCCCAGAACCACTCCGTACATGCCACCTATGGCGATGATCAAAATTAGAACATGAAGGCATTACCTAGACATACCTTCATCTCGTCCTCGTCGTCAGCTAGTTCTGGGATTAACAGGATTCTGCGCAAGTTCTCAGGTTTCGTCTCTCCTGATATTGGACATTTCAACCAAGGCTGGTAGACCATCTTCAATGACAGGCGCCGAGGCGTACAATGCGAAGAGTGAATACGAGAGATGAAAGTGATGCCACGCGAGAAGGATTGATCGCATCATCGGAACTATCCGTGCATCAGTACGGACCGGTCGCCGGTCGACCATTCATGCCTCATCAGGACTTGGACCCGACATGCACAACAACAAACCTCCAGAACAATGGGATGTTTCACAGACAATAGATGCCACGGAACCGCAGCGCGTGGCTGTCCAACGGGTCTTTGCTTACTTCGAGTACATATATAACGCCGACAACCTCTGTTCTTCGAGCCCCATCACCCTCTGCCTACTCCGCCCCCTCACCGCGCGACATGTCCTCGTCCGCGCCGGCACCCGAGAGAGGTGCTGGCGAGGATGAATCTGGCGACAGCGAACCTCCGCTTCCGCGAACGCCGAAGCGGCGACGCCCTCCGAACGATCCTGCGCTAGCGACGACACCGAAGCTCATGACGAAGGAAAGGCCTCCTGCAATCAAGAAGAAGATCGAAGCTATGATAGGAATGAAGGCTTGTCTCCTCACGGGCATAAGACACAAGTTTAACGTGGTCACGGCACATTGGTTGCGAAGAGAGCTTGCTATCAGCCACCCAGCAATGGTTAGTAGGTCTTCATTGTGTCTCCACTGGTTACTAATCTCTGTATAGTTCAACCGTCTGCAAGACAAGATTGGATCCATCATCAAATTGGACGATGGTCGCCTTGTACGACTATTGAGGCTCGATTCTTCTGACAATCAGGATCTTCGTAAGTTCATTTCCATCATCTTTACAACTTACTGAATATTGTATACAGTGAGCAGCGACCCCCACGGATCCTTCGATGGATTTTCTTTGGGCGAGGGGCAATGGTGTCTTATACCAATCGATTGGAAAGCCGGCTTGAGAAGGATCAGCAATAATCCGCACATGAGCGCACGCCAAGTACGTCTCTTCTTCTACCACCAGACCTCATGTTAACGGTGCTTTTTTACAGTGGTTCCCAGAACGGACGTGGCTGTACAAGGTACACGTCTTCGCGGGAGAAGGCCCTCTTGCGTTGATTCGTCACGGACCCAATATCCGAGCCTACGGTCCACAGTACATCTCGCAAGAACAACTGGAAAGAGACGAGTTGGTGCTTGCCGCGGAAGCCTGTCGTCCCGTCTTTACAATGCACTCCGACAACCCCAACGACGTCCAGACTATGTGGTGCGTTGATCCTGACAAGAGGCAGCCCGAGTCCGGATCCTGGATCGTGCGGTCGCATCTCAACCGTGCCAATGTCTACGCCGACACGATCATCAAGCTGCGCTATCGCTGGATGAAATGCAAGAAGGAGGGGAAGGAAATGCCTGAAGCGGACGCCGATTACTACAAGCGAATGTGGTCGGACCTCCAGTATTGGTTCCAAGACGTTCCGCCGTTGTGCCCCGCTGAACAGATCGCCATGCCTGTTCCAGACGAAGTATACGACAAGCGTCAGACCCTGGCTTACGACAAATCACGGACGGAGCCCGCGATACACTCTACCCCCGAAGTTTCCGTCAAGCCGCGACCAGTCGCCGGCAGCGCACCACCAGTTCGTGTACCGTCCTCAGGATTCCTCGCCCAGCCGGACTCTCCGCCTCCATCTCCGTCGCCATTGCGCCCCTTGTCGCCATCTCTGCCTGTGCCTCCGCCAACTACTCAAGGAGTGTGTCCTGCGGCAGTCAAGCGAAAACGCTCCGTCAAGGAAACTCCGACGGCCTACTCCAAGCCATCTCGTGGCGACACGCCGTCCGAACCCGACGCGGACTCGGAGCACAGCAAGAAGAAGAAGCGCAGAATGGCTCTCAACTACTAAGCCCAATGGTACACCGCGTACAATTATACAGCGGGTAACGGCTGCGCCCGATATCGTTGGCAGTGTCACGTCCTAGAGAGCTCGAGCCTATCGCGATGGCATCTCCTCGCTTCGACCATGTTTATCTTTCTTCTTATTCTGTATCTATTCCCATCCCATCTCCGCCGCTTCTGGTATGGCGATCTTGTATGCTTTATGTCTGTACGTGTATGTCAATATGTATTGAGCAAGCGAATAATCCGCGAGTCGAATCTTGGCGAGCCTTAGAGTTAGGGCGCCTGACCAGACTGTTCTCGTCGGCGTGGACTCATCAGTACACCTATATCTGGCGGCCAAGCCCGGGCACAATGCCAAAAGGACGTGATCGCGCGCAGATCGCCATCGCGTTCGACGGCACGACAAGTACTGGCTCAATGCCGCCTTGCAACGACGGGTCACAGTGCAATCTTGAGTTCTGAGGCTCATTCACGATACGTCAACCGCTGGGACTGACCAGTCCACGTACTGCAATGATATACGCCCATCACATGCATTGCTAGTCAGACAGACATCTCGAATACAGGAACAAGCCCCTCCAGTCGATCCGGCGCATCGTCCTCTAACCCAGGGCGTCCCAGAACCTTGACGGCCTCAAGCTTGAGGACCTGCAGAGGACACCCTGCCGCCATCCTTGCTTTGGCTAGGTTCACCAAATCCCCGCCCCGGAAGGCCACAAATCCTCCTAGCTCCAAACGCTCTAGACGAGGGAAGAGCTCAAGAGTAGTGAGCTTGGCGACGAAGTCCACCGGCACCGGTAGATCTTCCACTGCGTACCAGCGGAAATTGGTGACGTCGCGCTGAGATGCGAGCACTGCATAATCGAGAGACGATGGACGGTGCAACGTGAGATTGCGAAGCGCACACGAAGAGCGCGATAGGAAAGCTGGAAGCGAGTCCGACAGAGTGCTGTTCGACTGATGATGGCCTTCCCAGCGGAATGTGAAGTTATGCAGTGCCGGTGCCGTGATATGCGCGAGCGTATCGTAGCTGTTTGTCGCGTTAGTGTCCAAGCGGATGTTGACGAGGTTGGGCAGGTTGACGACGCCGTCGCCGATAGGGGCGTGCCCTTGCGTCTCAACTTTGAGACCGATCGTGCGTAGATTTGGGCACTGTCGGAGGATCTCCAAGACGTACATGATGGTGACTTCGTTCATAGCCAAAATTTGTATCTGATTCCATGGTAGGCCAGGTATGATTTGGGTGTGATTCGGATCCAATAACATAACAACTCGTAGGCGAGGGAAGTCGCGGAAGACGCCGCTGTCGACCGCAAGCTGGAGATGACGGGCATCGCCACTGAGCGCATGTAGTGGAGGAACCGGTTTGCCCTTTAGAACGGCGAAGTCTTGGGGGTGCTGAACGGAAAATGACGAGTTGATGATCTGCAAATGCTGCCATCGTTGCGTATGGTGAAGCAAGACGTCCAGGAACCATGCATTCGGCGGCTTCAGAAGATACGACTGATGCTCGTATTTGATGGGCTGCACCAAGGGAAGGTTGCCGGAGCGCGCGAGGAAGATCTCGAGTCGAGGGATGATCATGCTTAGTTTGCTGGTCTCTGGCCATACGCTACCCAGCAGATCTTCATCGTCAGGCGTTGACCACGTCGTCCACAGCTTTGGGCACGCGAGCGCTATAGCTATCGCACAATATTGTCAATTCGGATAGGCAACCATGCAATATTTCAACGCACCTCTCCAGGTCTTGCAAACGGCGGCCAATGCCAATGGAGCACAGAGAGGTGCACTCAAGTCTACATCGTCCCCACATGCCCATTCCATGATCTCCGAGAGGATCTCCTGCGGCAAGCGACGGATGGGCGCCATATAGCTCCTCTGCACATCCAGCACGTTCTTCAACACGTTCCTCGATCCCTTCAAGAGGTCGAGCAGGCGCTCCTGCTGGTCGATCACCGCCTCAATCTGGCTCCAGTATCCTTGCGTTCGTTCGAGGGCAGACAACATCGACTGAGCTTCCATCTCCGACGGAACATAGCCTTAGCGCAGAGCAGAGTTGTACGGAGGCGGAGGCGGAATTATGCAGGTGAAGTGGAATGTGTAGCCACAGTTATCGCAGAGGCGGTGTTCAAAGTCTTCCGAGTGGTAGAAGTCGGTGGGCAGCTCCATAGCGCAGCGTTGTTCGTACTCAAGGTCGTGGTAGACGCCAACTTGCATTCCGATCGTGCGAGGCGCGACACGCGCGCCGCATGCGTCAGCGACCTCAACCACCTTCTCGCCTGACCCAATCGCGCCTTATTCATTGCAGAGGATGAAATTGCCTTCCATGATATATAGATCGAAACAGGATATAGTGAGCGTACCAGTGAGAACGAGTAAAAGACAAAGTAAAGAACATACGAGTGATAGACTATCGGTACTACTGTACAGAAAAAGAGAAAAAGCGAGCAAGCGCGAAGACCAAACGAATGTGTCGCCGTCTCTGCCTAGCAGAGCGGCCAGCGTGATGTGTGTGGTTGTGAACAGCTCCGGGAATAATAGTAGGCGGTGCATAGGAATGCGCAATGCGAGGCCTGGATAGCAATAAATAAGAGCAACCAAAATGAGCACCTTCGTAGATGTGGATAGATGGCAAGCTCAAGGACCCAGGTGTCCGCGAGGGTTGAGCGAGGAGTATGGCGTGAAGACGTCTTCTGACGCTAGCACCGACTTGACGCGCAAGTCTTCTTCCTGAGTCTCCTGGATATATTCCTTCGGCGGCTTGGGCGCAAGCGGTGGTGGCGACGCGACGGGGACCGGCATCGGCGGCGACGGTGAGTGTCCATTTATGCCGTTGATGCCATTCGGGGCATAGCCACTGGCGCCGTTGGCAGGATAGCCGTTGCTGGCAGCGTAGCCATTTACACCACTCGCCCCGCTGCTCCCACCAGCCGCCGCATCTTCCGCTGCGTACCGCGCCTGCATCATCGCCTTCTCTTCTGCCGCGCTCAGCATCCGCGGACCACTCGCAGTCGGAAGTGGCGGTCGGGCACCCGGGCTCGCCGTGGTCTTCCTCGGCGGAGGGGACGGTGTCACCGCGGCCGCGGCCGCCGCATCCTGCGCCTCCCATCTCCGCTTCATCGCCTCCTTCTCTGCCATCGCGCTGCTCATGCCCGACGGTGGTGCTGGCATGGGCGCCGAGGCAGACGACGCGGTCACGGCCTCGAAGGAAGGCGGGAGGTCCTGCGCCGCCTCTTGTGCTCGACGATCGTTCTCCTCCCACTGGCGCGCTAGTTGCTGCTTCTCTTGCAAAGCCGTGAGCGCATTCTTGGGCTGCTGAGGGGGCGGGCTGGTCGCATGCTCAAATGATGGCGGTGCGTGATCAAAGGTCGGAGATACAGCTGCGACTGGCGGGGGCGCCTGCGAAGAGGACGATCCGCCGGCAGGGTACAGGGTCTCATAGGGCGCCGGAGACTGGATGTCTTGCTGTGTGCGCTGCACAGCTGCCTGCGCGGTCTGATACAGACGCTCCTTCTCCTGCTCCGCGGTGAGGAAGGGGCGAGGGGCAGACGAAGCACCTTGATGACCGTTGGGGAAACCGTTCCCATTGGGATGGGGCGCCGGTGCAGGTGCAGAGAAGCCCAGACCTGGAGAAGAGATGCCCTGGGTACGCATTGCCTTGTTCTTGGCCTCGTTGAACAGTCGCTCTTTCTCCTCTTCCGCGGACGGCCATGGGGTGCTGCTTCCCTGACCGCGTTGCGGCTGCGGCATCTGGATGTTGTTCGGTGGTGATGGACTTGGGGTTATCTGCAAGCGAAGTCAGCAAGCCCCTGATAGTATCTGAACCTACACTCACCGGATTCGGCGACGTCGCCAGCGCCCCCTGCACCCTCTCCACCTTCGCCCGCGCGCTCTCGAACAACTTCGCCTTCTCATCCTCCGCGCTCGGCCAGTTCGGCTTCGGCGACGTCGACACCGCGCGCGGCGTCACCGTCTGCACGGGCGGCGCCATCCCCTGCACCGGCGGCGGCGACGCGCCCTTGCCCTGCACGCGCTCGACCTGCGCCCGCGCCTGCGAGTACAGCTTTGCCTTCTCGTCCTCCGCGCTCGGCCACACCTTCTTCGGCGGAGTCTGCACGACGACTGGGGCGGCCTTGGGCGACGGTGTGCGCACGGGCGCGGGTGGGAGAGGCGGTTCGGGTTCGGGCTCCGGGGTGGGTATTTCGGACGGGAGGGCGTTCATGATGGTGAAGCGGTTGCCTGCGTTGGATCCCGAGCGTGCGGATTGCGGACGACGGCCGGAGGGCGCTGGGGTGACAGTGCTGCTGCCGGGACCATTCGCGCTGCCGGGACGTGAGGAGGCGTTGTTCGCACGGGAATTACCCGCATAGGTCGCGGGCTTCGCAGCGGTGCCCGCGTAGCCGAACTCGTCTGCCCGGACTCTGTTGGACGCTGATGGGGCTGTGCCATAAGCGCTGTGGTCATTCGATAGGCTCGTGCGCGGGTTGTTCGCAGGCGAAATGTCGAGCGTCGAGATGCTCTGCGATGGCTGGTGGCCGCCGAACGTCTGCTGCGCAGGTTGTGGTATTTGCTGCTGCAGGGAGAGACTGGGCACGGGCCCGATCCTCCTCAGCGCCTCATAGGACACATTCCGCTGCCAGTTCGACACCACAATGGGCAGGGGCATCGTGATATGCGTCCCCGTCCCCATGAGCGCCCGCACAATCAGCAAGTACGTGATGTCGATATGCCGCGCCGCATTCAGCGACGTCGTCGTATGATTCGGGCTGATCGCGCAGGTTAGCTCGCCCATGTGTTGCTGCCCGCCGTACAGCGTCGCGTTCACGGCGAACTTGTTCTCGCTGATGATGGCCTTCCGCGTGATGGGCTCCGCGCGCTTGCCATGCGTGCCAGGGCGGAAGATGGTCGTCTCCTCGAGCGCGAGCTCGAAGCCGCGGAGGATGACGGTGGAGAGGGAGTCGGACTTGAGGGTGGCGAGGACGCTGATGCGGTCGCCCGGGCCGTAGCAGGTGCGGTTCCGCTCGACGACTAGAGTTACGCCGGCGCCTGGCATCGTGCGACTTTCGGGTTGGCAGTAAACGGGCCAGGTAGAGTGTATCTCGTGCTTGTCGATGATGACGGACGCCATCTCGGACACCGTCACGGACTTCTTGCGGCGGAGGAAACCCCTAGGTGGTGGGTTAGTACGTGGCGGATGAGGGAGGAGTCGCAGCGCACTTTTTGCCCTGGACGCATAGTGTGGCGACAAGTTCGTATCGTATGCCGGCTAAGGGTGAATGAGTACGTGTATTTGCTCGCTTGCTAGAAACACACCTCGATCGCCGAGCTGGATTGAAGGGGGTATAGACTCTGGTATCCGGATGGCAAACGGAAAGTCCCCCTGCGCAGTGTCAGTAGTGTCTAGGGTAGCCGAGGTATCACGCACCGATCTGAGGGTGCCGTATTCATCGTCGCTCTGCCATAGTGTGACGGGGCTTGGTCCTACAAAGTCGAAGAACGTATTGCTCTGACCGCCTCCGGGAAGCGTCTCGACCTTGCGCAGCTCGATACGGATCCATTTGGCCTTGATGACCTGCCCCTGCGCCTGGGGGCGGACCTCGATAGCCTGCCTTGGGGTAAGTACATCTCACGGACGGAGGAAGTAGATCGCACATACGCCCTTGACGGCTGCCTGTGGCCGTGAGGGACCGGGTGGAATGCCCGGGTAGCCTGCATTCCTGTAAATTTCTGTTCGTCTTCACGCTCGACGCACTCACCGTCTACGAAGTCGACATTGGGGGGCGGGCGAAGATACCTGGGGCGGGATCAGCTGTACAGCACATGGCGCAAGGCACGCCAGACTAACAACTTGACGGAGGCCATAACGTCACTCTCAAGCGGCGGTCGACGCGCTCGTCGTTGTCGCGCTTGTGTTGGGTGTCGCCGGCGTCGTCGCGGTCAACGAACAAGAGAGGTATTTGCGACTGACACAGATCAATTGCGCCTGCTAGCGCCTGAGCACACGTGTGAATTACCCCTTGCGTCGCGGGCACCTGAAACGACCAGGCGGCGGCTTCGTCGGGACCGTCCCTCGTCGAACTTCCACGACGACTCGTAGAGGGAGGTGTGAGGGGGGTGGAGGAGCAGGGGAGAGGCGAAAGTGTAGGCCTCAAACACAGTGCAAACTTTTATGAGGACTTATACTGAGCAAGGATTCCTCAATACTTGGACTCTCCTCCCGCCTCCATTTGTTGTCAAATGGACCTGATATATATCCCTCTGGCCTCCTGTCGTTCATGTCAAATGTGCTGTTGCTGCTGATGAATGGCGCTGGGTCAGTCCGGCCAGTCAGCGAGCTCCGAGGACTTCGCGTTTCTAGTTGACGCTGCTCATCATCGTCAAGTGATGCTGTAAGAGCTTTATCTCATCCTGCGATGGCAGAATCAGCGATGAAGGTCCTCATTTGGGCTGATCTCGCTCCATGTATTAGCTGCAGATCCTGCGTTCAAGTTGAATGCATACCCTTGTGGGTCCAACAAGGCCTTCCTTTTCGGGCGATCTTTCGGGCAACGTGACGTCGTCGGGGCGGACAATCCGCGGATCCATCATCACTCTTCCGTAGACCACCACCTCTGCTCGCTGTTCCCGCCGTTCTCGACGCCTTTAACAACTCAGTCTCGGTACTATGTCCGGGAGCAACTGGCACTACGTCCTCAAGTTCATCATCACCGGTGCGTGACCCGCGTGTCGCGGTGGCGACAAGACTGATGCGCGCGGTGACCCTCAGGCGACGCTTCGGTCGGCAAGTCCTCCCTTCTCGTCCGTCTCACGGACCAACGGTTTCTCTCGAATCCAGACCCGACAGTACGTACATCTGGGTGTGCATGAGGCCGCTATTCATCCACTTACAAGCCTCCCTTTGACAGCTAGGTGTCGAGTTTGGGTCCAAGCTGATCACCATCCCCGAGGAGAATAAGATCGTGAAGCTGCAATGTGCGTGGCTATGTGCGACTAAGAGCATTGGGCTGACCATGCTGCAGGCTGGGACACGGCGGGCACCGAGTCCTTCCGGTCAATAACACGTTCCTACTACCGAGGCGCGGCAGGCTGCTTGCTGGTCTACGATGTTACATCCCGGCGAAGTGCGTCCTCTAGACCCTCCGCCTCCTCAACTCTCTTACAAACACACCCTACAGGCTTCGACAATCTCCCCACATGGCTCGCCGACGTCCGCGAACACGCTGATCCCCACCTCACTTGTATCCTCGTTGGCAACAAAGTCGATCTCTGCGAAGACAACGACGGCGCCACCGCCACGAAGCGCGACCGCCAGGTCTCGACAGACGAGGGCGAGATCTTCGCGAAGGAGAACAACCTGCTCTTTGTCGAGGCGTCCGCGAAGTCCGGCCAAAATGTCGAGCTCGCTTTCGAACAGGCGACGCGCGATATCTTGGACAAGGTCAGGAGAGGAGTGTTCGATGACGATCGGGTGCGTGGACCCTCCTCCTGAATCTGAGCCGGCGCTTATGCTGCTTTCGCAGTCACCCGGCGTCAAACTCTCCAAGCCAGCGAACACCAATTTAGCTCTGGAGGGTCAGCCATCTCACGGGACAACATGCTGCTCCTAGATCACCTCCTTCCCCCTTCCCTCTCTTATATCTGCCTATCACGACATACCCCGGCCGAGTCGAGGACATGCCGACTACTATCATACGCGCTACCGCACCGTGGAGAAACCAGGACGTTACAGTGCAAGACCTGCGAAGCACTCTAGCTCTGTACGATGTATCATCATATCTGTAAATTTATCGGGTGTAATGCTAACCGGAATATTGGACGTTGCGTTAAGTGGAGTCTATACTGCTATGGTGCGCTCTTCGTGTGTTCTCTCTGGGTTTGGGCCTTGACACACGGTCGGGAGGTAAGTACAGTTCAGCGCGTCGCAGGAGGAATAGTGCTAACGCCATGTTAGATGGGCTTCTTGGGCATTGTTGGGTTGTGAGCGGCCCTCCGTATCATCGCCGAGAGGCTAAAGGCATTCGATGAGACCGCCGGCCACTAAAAGATGCTCTTCCAGTGTTTGACTCGAGCAGTTCTAGCGCTCGCTGCTTACTTTGCACTCGCTTATATAGCGAGCCCTCTGCAGCGTTGCCATCGACAGCCATCGACCTTCCTCCCCGTCCGCTCCTTCAATTCCCCAATGTTCACCCTTTTCGAGTTCCTCTTAGCCCTTAGTGCCATCTTGGCGGTCTACGCAGCGCCGAAGATCTCGCCTGCTGCGCGTGAGTCCGCTACTGCCGAGCTCGACGCCTGCATACTTACCATACTCACAGCATCCGAGCGCCGCGCATCCGACCAGTCGTACGACGCGATGGGTGAGTACATCGTGATCGTCGATTCTTCCCCTACCATGCTAACCTGTAAACGCGGCCCTTAGCCACCTACTACGACCCCAACGGGGCCACGAGCGAGTGCGGGCAGAAGCTCCTGGACACGGACTCGTTCGCCGCTATCGCGGTCAATATCTTCAACAAGGATCTCTGTGAGGATTCTCTCTATTGCGCTGTCTCTCACTGAATGCCTGCTCGTCCATCAGGCGGCAAGACCATCGTCGTCACCCGTGAGTTGCGCCAACTTTCCCCGCGCTACATTGCGCCAGCACACTGCTAACTTATCACACCCCTTAGATGACGACAAGCAGATCGAGGTCCCCATCGAGGAAATGTGCGCCGCGTGCGATAACAATGGGCTCGCACTGTCCCCGACGGCGTACAAGCAGCTCGCGAGCCTGGAAGAAAGGACGATTTCGGTCCAGTGGGATTTCTCGGCGTAGTAACTGAGGAACGTCGGTGAACGAATTCGGCAGACTGCTAGGTGGCTACGGTCGGATCTGATTGTAACGAGGGATTAGAGATATTTATGCGTGATCTCAGGGAAGGGTAGGATGTCCGGCTTCGAGCGCGCACTTGCATTCTCGGCTCTATAGCTTCCCAGGTAAACCTGTACTGGATTGTGAAGCTGCGCTTCGTCCATACGCAGGACTCAATGTAACCGGTCATGGCGTTGACGAATCTTGCCAGGTCCTGCCACTTTCCCACGACTGCGCTAGGGCCTGCTATTGTCTTGCAACTTGTCTTTTACCACCAACACCTCCTCTCTCCCTCCTGTCAGTGATTACCATCGTCGGGATGGTGAAGCAGCCGTGGCACAAATGCCCCTTCTCCGGAGAAACAGAACATTTGTGGAGGATCTCGCTTATTCCTACTCCACCTGACGATGCAGACGAGGCCATTGAGAAAAAAGTAGGCAACTTTGGGCCGAGTTTATGTGGTTCTTCTTCTGATGTATATAGGTTGCCCTTACCGAATGGGTATGGGGGCTAAGGCGCGGCGGACTCCATTACTATCTTGCCTCGAGTCACAACACGCTGTTCTGTGCGTTTTCATTCATTTAGGCCCTTTTCATGGTGAATTGATGATGTTCAGTCCGCAAGGATATAGCGGACCTCTACGCATCATTTCAGTTTCTATTAGTGCCCACCTTCAACTTGATCAAGAAGATTGACGACTTTGCGAAGAGTACTGGTGTCTTGAATCGCGACGAGAAGGATAAATCCCGTCGTCGTCCCTTGACCGCGGTGCGCAACGTCTGACACAACTGCATTCTGCTCCTTACAAGATGATACACAGTTAAGACCTCCAAGCGGAGTGTATCGATACGTCTTCATCCCGTTTACAGACGCCGCTCGCAAGCTGCAAACGGAGTTCGACCTGCAGCCGCAGACTGCAGAAGACTTGACGGGTTGGGTGCATCCGCTCTTCGGTAACTCGGCCTTGCACGGAACCGCCGCCTTTCCCGTCGTCGAATGCCACGCGCATCCCTATTCCATCTGCTCTCTCGCCGAATCCGCGTTCAAGTACCGCAAATTCGGCACGACGATCACGGCTCAGTATTCCATCGCAGCGTTGGACGTCCTGGATCTCTGGAACGTTGATGAATCACAAGCGCGAGTTCCTCAGTGGTTCATCGACTTGCCGGAGATGTATGAGGACGATATCACGGTGATGAGCTCGGAGGCGAAAGGATATACCATAACTTCGCAAGCCGATGGCCAAGGGAACCGCATCGAAACGATTCACGAGGATGACGATCTCCTACAAGCGCGTGTGACCGAGTGGGCGGGGGCAGTCGATCCCAATTCGGTACTCGAGGAGCAGCCACCGATCCTACGTTCGCCTCTCCAGCTTCGTCGCTCGCCGCGAATTCAGCAAATGTCACAAACGTGCGGAAAATCGTCGCTTCTCCGGTCAAACTCCCCTGTACGCGAAGCGCCATGGCCTCTGCCAGAAAATGCCGACTTGTACCGGCACCCGCCTGCGTGGACGAAGCGCACTGGTCGGTTTCCGACACGCGAGTTCTCGAGTAACGACTGGGCGTATTTTTGCTACAACGTGGTTCTCGCGACGTCTAGGGGAAGGTAGTCATCTGGGCACACCCATCTCACGCGGCAACTGCTTGACGCTCAGACGCCAGTCGAGTTGCACGGTTGAGCCACCTCCCGCTGGCGGAAAGACAAACCAGTGCGCCAAGCCTCAGTCAGACGCGAGTTTCGACCCGCCTTGGTAGCCTATGGTCCTCTCGTACGCACAAAATTCTGGCGACGTACCGGTAGCGACGCTCCCACTGCGCGACCAGGAACATTCGGCGTCGCTGAGTAACTCACAGCTTCGTACGTGGCACCTTGAATTTCAGACCGACGTGCACGACACAAGGCAGAAAATTCCATCGAGACAAATAGATTCGTCGGCATACTCGTACAACAGCATATAATAGAGAATAATGGTAGAAGCGACGCATGCACCAGCACATGCGATGAAGGAGCGTTGAGGGATAGATAGAGGGATGCAGTTCCAAAGTCCAGGTAAAGCGGTCAGCGTGGGCGATAGCGGCGGCGGACAATCGATAGAAGTGCGTGTTGAGGAGTGGAAGCCCGAGACAGACGATCCGGACTGACGCGTCGAGCCTTAGAGGCGAGCGAGGCAAGACAGAGAGAGCGAGAAGGCACAGGCGTGCAGAACCTGGCGGTATTGGATCAAGCGCTCTTCTGGAGCTTGCGCTTCTTCCTGCTGGGCGCCGCGGTGTCTGGGACAGCGGCCTTCGTGGTGGTCTTGGGGTCGCGACGAGTGGAGGGCTTGGACTTTGAGCCAGGCGTGCGCTGGCGCGGGGACTTCGAGGACGAAGCGCCAGATATTTGCGCGAAGCCGCGCTTGCCAGTCGTCGCGGGCGGGTCGAGTACTGTGGGAGCACTCCGAATGACATCGCGCTTCTTGACGCTGAAGCTCGTCGCCTTGGACCGCGGGCGGCGTGCAGTCTGGGCTTTCTGGATGCGCTCAGACCTGATGACGTCTGGTTTATCGTCGGGGACAGGCATGCGAGGTTTTTTGTCTGTGCATAGTGACTTGGCCTTTGGGTTTATCCAGTATTCGGTGACCGGATAGATCTGTTCAAAAAGCCTCTCGTCCTGGTAGCTCGGAAGTGGCGTGTTAGGCTTCTTGCGATACAGCAACTTCGTCGTCGTTTCGGCGAGTACGTTGGCAGGGTTCAAGTGCGAGCGCACGATGACCTTTCCAGCCGAGGGCGGCACCTTGGGGTCAAGCTTGAACGTTGTAGTGAGGTCTGCTGGATCGTCGGAGGGTCCCGATACAGTGCTGAGAGGGCGGCCAAGGGCGGCAATCACTTGCGCGTCGGCGTCGATCTGTGCTTGGGTCGTGGTGGGCAGGTGTTCGTAAGTCCGAGGGAAGGGCCCGATGTGATAGACGCCGATAGGCTCTTCGTCGTAGAATATATGGATGTAGTAAAGATAGGTCGGTTCGGGGAACCACTGTGGGGCGGCGTGTAAGTGATATAAAGCACGAAGTCAAGGATGAGGGCAGACCTGACGAGCGCTCATGTGAGGGTTGTCTCTGATTCGTCGAAGACAAACTGCCAGCTCCAGGGGCACGAGGCACCATGAGCCGCTCCCTATGCCATGTCTGCCGTCGAACAACACATGTGCAGTGGCGCACACTGCGGCAGACGAATCAGCAAAGGATAATCAGGGCCCAGGAGAGCGACGACAACGCACATTGGTCCTGGTTGTCAGTCGAGTCGAGATGAAGCTCTCGAACTAGTGTGTGGTCCGGCAGTTCTATAATGTTGCCAATAGCGTTCTCGATACTGTAGAACTGAGGGAAAGGTCAGCATCAAGCACATGTCAATCACTTGGACAGTAGCGCGCACCAAATCCGGGTCCATCGACTTGAGCTCTCTGCGAAGACAGTGCGCATTCTCTATCGATTCAGGCGGTTGCATCCCCATAAGAAGGCAAGTCCTGGATGGGCCAACCAGATAATCCAGTCTGGATTTCATCGTCAACGGCGGGTTGGCGGGGACGTGCGTAGGCGTCCGGGTTCCCCAGGGATCATGATGGCGCGAGGCAGACCATAAAAGTACTGGCTCATCACCGCCTCCCCCGGCGCCCTTATTGACGGCGGGCCCGCCGGGTGGCGTTGTGCGTGGCATGAAGAGAGAAGAGGAGGGGCGAGGACCGTCAGGCGCAAGCCTACGCACTATATATACGGATTCCTGGACGGGTCTTTGATTGAGGTGCTACATTACTGCCTTGTGTTTTACGCGAGACATTTCATTGGTTTGTGACCTCGATATCGCCGGTTGGAGCGATGCATGGTCAAAGCAGGTCGGTGGCGGGGACAAGTCCAAATATGGCAAGTGATAACAAGGGCGGCATAATCGGACCGATTCCGGCGTTGATGCGATCAATTGTTGGAAAGCGTATTGTCTCCCGTCTTTCCCTCTCCGTCAGCCCCTTCCCTCCTCCCCTCGCGTATATTTTCATAAATATGGTCAAGCACGCTTTCTACAAATGCCCCTTCTCTGGGGAAACTGAAGAGCTCTCGAGGGTCCAACTTATTCCCGACTTAACCGACGACGCAGACGAAACGGAGGTGTGCTGTCTTACGCAGGAGCTATGTACTTCTGCTCATGGTTATAGGTGGCTTGCATCGAGTGGATCTGGGGCTTGAAGCGGGGCGGACTTCAATACTATCTTGCTACAGCCCATAATTCGCTGTATCGTGCGTCGTTCGATCAATATGTCTGCCGCGAGAGCTAACAGTTGCTGTCGAAGTGCGCAGAGACATCGCACACCTCTACGCAACCTTCCAATTCATTCTCGTGCCTACCTTCAAGGACCATTGCAACATAATGAACTTCATGAGTCGCGCCCATGTCCTCGATCGAGATGACAGAGATAAATCTCGTCGTCGCCCTTTGACCGCTGTGCGTACTTTGTATGCTCTCTCCATTCTATATCTGATCAGACATAGATGAGACCTTCGAAAGGCTTATATCGATACGTCTTCATCCCATTCACTGACGCCGCGCGCAAACTGCAAGCGGAATTCAATTTGCAGCCGCAGGCCGAAGAAGACCTCGCTGGTTGGATTGACCCGGTGCTAGACCAGCCATTGCTGAAAGGATCTGATGCTTTCCCTATCGTCGAATGCTATCCCCACCCGTACTCAGTATGCTCGCTGGCCGGTGATGCCTTTCAATATCACAACTTCGGCACTCCAGTCACGGCGCAGTATTCCATCTCTGTGATGCACATAACCGCTCAATGGGATCTCATCAAGAAAACGGCACATATTCCCCAGTGGTTTATCGACTCGCCCGGCATGGAAGAAGACGATATCACAGTATCGAGCCGGGAGGGGGACGGCTACACGGTGACCTCGCAGAGCAAGAACGCGAACGACGGCGTCAAAGTCGTCTACGACGACGAGGAGGAACTGCAGGCTCGCGTTTCTGACTGGGCGAATGTCGTCGACCCCGACTCAATACCCGAGGAGCAGCCGCCTATCCTCCCCGAGCCAATCGAAGTACGCCGCTCCGAGCGACTACGGCGGCGCTACAACCCGTACGGGAAGCCGGAGCCCGTCTACAGGCCGGACCCCATACGCGAAGCGCCGTGGCCCACGCCGGAAGACGCGGACCCATACCGGTACCCGCCCGCATGGACTAAGCGCTCGAGTCGCTTCCGGACGCGCAAGTTCTCGAGCAACGACTGGGCGTTCTTCTGCTTCAACGTGGGCCTCGCGACGCCGATAACGCGCTAACCCCGGTGGCGCGCTGCACACTGTCCTGATTGGTGTGCCGCGCAGGATCAACCCTTCGCTGCGGGCTCTCTGGTGTCGTCGCCACGACGCCTTCGATACGGTCCGCATGACCCCCCTCCTCGCCTACGCGACGACGAGGGTCGACGTCGATCCGACCGCCGCCTTTCAGGCCTCAATGACGGACACGCAATCACTAGAGCAGCACCTAGCTGCGCTGCAGCTCTTCCGCTCGCTCTTCCAGGAGGCTACGGATCAGACGCACCGCCTACTTGCGCTCGTAATGCCACCCTACAGACGCGTCCAGTCTCAATACTATGCCCAGCAAACTCCCCATGGTGGCGAGGTTCAAATACGTGGCGACTACAATCGATGCCGCCGACTCGCCCTCCTGTTCCTACGCCCTCTTCGTGCGGCATGGCGCGTCAATCGGTGCTGGCAGGCCCAGGCGTTTGTTACCATATTCGTACAATAGACAACACAACTATTGCCTCCGCTGATGCCATCAGCGTAGGCTGGACGGTCCAAGCGCGTTGTCTTCCTTCGTTCTTTCCCGTCACTAGTCCCAAGTTGTATTGAGCGTATCCGTTCCGAACATGCGCAAGCATCCTTGGAAGAAGTGTCCCTTCTCAGGCATGACGGACGATTTGTGGCTGGTTAAGCCTATTCCCGACTTAGCAGATGATGCGGACGAAATGCAGGTGGGCGGTTTTGCGGCCCCAAACCTTCTTATCTGAGCTCATGTTCTCAGGTAGCCTGCACTGAGTGGGTATGGGGGCTCAAGCGTGGTGGTCTTCCATATTTTCTCGTCGAAGCTCATAACTCACTTTACGGTACGTCACATCAGTGGCATGTACGGATAGAAGTACTGAACCTTGCTCAGCGCGCCATGACATCGCCGACCTCTACTCAAGCTACCAATTTGTCCTTGCTCCGACCTTCGAACTTGTCAAAGAGATCATGGATTTCGTGGAGCACGCGCGCGTTTTACGTCGAGACGAGAAAGATAGATCACCTCGCCGTCCTCTAACAGCGGTACGCGACTTGTATACTCCCCGTTTCCCCCTCTGACACGGTACGCGTAGTTGAAGCCTCCCAGCGGACTGTACCGCTATGTCTTTATTCCGTTCACCGACGATGCTAGTGCACTACAACAGGAGTTCGCCCTACAACCGCAGACCACTGACGATCTAACCGGCTGGGTGAACACGCTCTTGGGACCAGGATTCGAGGAAGGCTGCGAAGTCTTTCCCAGTCGAGTGCTACATGCACCCATACGCTGCTTGCTATTACGCCGAAAAGGCATTCGATTACATGGGCGTGCGCACTTTGGAGATGGCACAATACGCAACCGCTGCCTCGGCTGTCCTCGAACAGTGGAAACTCAGCACAACACCGGCACGTGTTCCTCAGTGGTTCATCGACTGTCCGGGTATGGAAGATGATGATATCACCATAACGAGCTCGCGAGCGCATGGCTACACGATCACCTCGCGAGGCAACAACGACGAAGACCGCGTCAAGATCATCTATGAGGGCGACGATGTACTACGAGCTCGTGTATCAGAATGGGCCCACGGCGTCGATCCTGAGTCCTCACCCGAGGAGCATCAGCCACCTATCCTCTCCGAACCGACTGAAGTTCGCCGCTCCGAGCGAATACGCAGGCGGTACAACCCGTCCGGAAAGCTGGGTCCCAGCACCTGCATGCCAGATCCAGTGCGCGAGGCGCCATGGCCAACCCCGGAAGACGCAGACCCATTCAAGTTCCCGCCAGGATGGACCAGGCGCTCGTGCCGCTTCCCAACGCGCACATTCTCGAGCAACGATTGGGCGTTCTTCTGCTACGATGTGGGTCTCGCAACGCCTGTCACCCAAAGCACTAGCCCTGCCCACGACGCGTCTAGCTCACTTCTGACTAGCTTGCCGCGCATCGATTGACCTTCTTGTGTGGGCTTCCCAGTTCTTTTGTCTGCAGGGTCCTTTCGCACATGCGACGGCGAGCCTTGACGCAGGAACCGTTGACTGGCTCGGACGGCCCAGCAATGTACGCAGCATTACTGAGATGTACTTCACCCGCCGTCCCAGGATATGTATTTTGAAGTAGGAACACGCCGTGGACTTAAACACACCCTAGGCACGTCCGGCGGTTCATCTGTATTAACTAGCAGCTCGCGATGTTCACACGGCAATGAAACCCTGCGCGGCAAGGATTGATACCGCCTGCTGCTTGCAGGTCTTCGATTCCCTGCAGCACATCAGCTCAATGGACACGGACTGATCCCCATCAGAATAGTACAAGTATTGCCATATTTGGAACAAAAGCGATGTCTTTGTCTCCGCTGATGCGATCAAGCGCAAGTAGGATGGTCTAAGCGCCTTGTCTTCCTTTCTCCCTTCCCACCGTCCTTCGCAGAGCATATCCGTACTGAGTATGAGCAAGCATCCATGGCAGAAGTGCCCTTTCTCAGGCATCACCGAAGACCTGTACAGGGTCAAGCCTATCCCAGAATTAGCAGATGACGCAGATGAAATGCAGGTGCGCCGGCTTACGCCAAGACCTATGCGTCTAGCTCATTCACGCAGGTAGCCTGTACAGAGTGGGTCTGGGGACTAAAGCGAGGCCAACTCCCATACCATATCGCCACGGCTCATAACTCGTTGTATCGTGCGTGACGTGGTAGCTTGCGTTTTCAGGTATACTGAATGCGGTTCAGTGCGCAAGGACATTGCGGACCTCGTCGCGTCCTACCAAGTCATTCTCGCTCCGACTTTCAGAATGGTCAAAGAGATCATGGACTTCTTAGATCATTCGCGTATTCTGCGTCGAGACGAGCACGACAAATCCCCTCGTCGTCCCTTGACAGCCGTACGCAAACCTTCTTACTCACTTCGTCGCGAATTTTGACACGAGGCGCTCAGCTGAAACCATCAAGCGGATTATATCGATACGTCTTCATTCCATTCACTGATGCTGCCCGCGAACTGCAAACTGAGTTCAGCTTGCAGCCGCAGACCGCGGACGACCTGTCCGGCTGGGTGAACCCAATCGTGGGCCCAGGATTTATGAGAGGCTGCGATGCGTTTCCTATCGTCGAATGCTACGCCCATCCTTACTACGTCTGCACTTTCGCCGAACAAGCATTGGAACATCGTAGACTGGGCACAATGGTCACGGCCCAGTATGCGACCGCTGCATCACAGGTCGTTGAACTATGGAAAATGACCACGACACGAGCGCGCATTCCTCAGTGGTTCATCGACTCCCCGAGCATGGAAGATGACGACATCACCATAGCGAGCTCGCAAGCAAGTGGCTACACGATAACCTCGCGAGGCAATGGTCAGGATGACCGCGATGAAGTCTTCTCCGAGGGCGACGACGTCTTGCATGCTCGTGTATATGAGTGGGCCCAAGCCGTCGATCCCGAGCTCATACCAGAGGAACAGCTACCAATCCCTTCCGTTGCGATAGAAGTCCGGCGGTCCGAGCGAATACGCAGGCGCTACAACCCCTACGGCAAGCCGGAGCCCGTATATAGGCAGGATCCCATACGCGAAGCGCCGTGGCCGACTCCGGAAGGCGCAGACCCATACAAATACCCGCCGATGTGGACCGAGCGCTCGAGCCGCTTTCCAACGCGCAGATTCTCGAGCAACGATTGGGCCTTCTTTTGCTACAACATCGCTCTCGCCCTGCCTGAGAAGAGCTAGCTACTTCCCTCATCATCCACGCTGGCACGTATCTCGCCTGACGCTGATACGCCCTGCGGCTGAAAAACGCGGAAAAACATACATAAACAAGCGATATATAGTCGACTTGGTCTAGATTGTATGGGCGGATCCGTATATACTGCACCGACGTCGCGACCGTACAACGGGCGCGTCGGGGGTATTTTATGACATAGAAAACCAGGAGCGCCACGCTTCCTAACCTTCAATACAACTAGTCCGCAGCATTATCCGTCTGCAATGACTGACCAAGGATAGCAGCGAGCTCTTCGGCGCCTGATCACGAGTCTGCGCGTCGTCGATGACATCCTGCGAGTCCTTTGGCGGGCCCTACTTAATCAAGTAGCCGCGCTATACGCGCTTCAAGCCTTCAGTCCTCTTGCCCCGCTGTGTCAAGAGAATCTAGATTATTGTTGGGGCTCGGACAAGCCTTCCTGCTGCTCGCCGTCATGCGGAGACACGCAGAGCACCGCGCAAGCGGAACTCGAACCATCAACGTGACTACACGTGACTTCGGGTCCGAGACCGGAACTTCGGGTCCGAGCTCGTGATCTCGGACATCGCCGAGTTGAACTCCGAACCGAGCGTCGGCGCCGCCAAGCGCTGTCCGCCCCGGCAAGGGCTTCACTCCCCGCGTATCGACAGTCTAGGCTGTACGCTCCCCGCCGCGCAGGCCTCTGAGCCGCGTCGCGCACAAGGGAACCGGTGGAAACCAGGCCGGCCTTGCCTTGGTAAACATCAACAAGTGTGGAATCGCGCCCGGCATCGCGGCGCAGGAGGATACCCGACCAGTCAACCGCTCTACCGCCAGGAACCGCAGTCATTGCGCGATTATTCGGACAGGAGAACGCGCGGATAGGCGTTATAGTTGGATTTTGACTCAGAGATAGGCATTGTGTGTTGCCGCGCGGTCTGGACGGCCGAGACGACGCGTTCAAGTTATATACCGAGACCTACATACGATTCGGGGACTTTTCCCGCCCCGCGCAGAGAAGCCCTAGTACCTACACACCACACCAAATAAACACAACCGCGTTAAACCGCACTTTACACATCATAAAAAGCCTGAACTTCCGAGCGCATTAAACCGCCTTGTGAACTTCAATCAAACCCGAAAGCGCTCGTAAGAACGCCGAGACGTCCGATTGCCCCACTCGACTTCTCGCTTCAGTCCAGCTCGTCTGGAACTGGCATAAACAACACAATCTATCCCCTAGTAATATAAATACTCGGACTCGCCCGCTCTCGTAGCGCCTCCAGTCTAGCGTGTTCATTGCTATCGTGGTTGTTGGTGTTTGGTTGTGTGGATCGTCTAGCTAGACTGTACTTCGCGTCTTTCGTGAGCGTACGATCCCATCATCTGGAGCCCACCGCGAGGGGATATTTCTGTGTCAGCCAGCAAATTACTAGCTGCTGAGCGAACTTCGAGAGTCATATTAAGGCCCTCTCCAATTCTACTTGTGCTTTCGGGTACCGTCACGACGGCTCCTGGACAAAAATCCAGCCTCTCGGCTCTAAGACCGGACTGGGATAGCTCTACATCCGAGCGATCCAAGAGAAAGGCCAAAGAGCGAGCGCGTCTAGCGGAACAAGCCAGTCGCCCATCGCGATCAGCATCACCCCGGAAATCCGTTACCCAACGTCCGGTAGAAACATCCAAAGCGGACGACACCTTACCAGGTGCTTTCCCTGAGGACACAGAACCGAACCCTCCTTCTCCTACTTCTCTCTCGGTCGCCAACGACCTCTCTGCTTCATTCTCTCGTCTTTCTATCGAGCCCGAACCGGCCGCGACACAGGGTCCACGCGCTTCATCCCCCTTGAGCTCTCTGTCCGACGATTCGACTCCGTCTCTCTCTGAATTATTTCCGACTCGCGACCGTACCGAACCAGCCTCGACCGAAGAACCGACTCCGACTCCAGCTTCCAGAATCATTCCGACTCCGAATCCGACTCTTATATCCCGTCCCGTTCCTTCTATTCCGACTTCGACTTCTACTTCTATTCCCAGACCAATGTCTACCGCTCGCTACTCTCATACGGCGTCTGACGCCCCTCGTTTCGACGAGGATGATATGAGCGGCTTGCCCTTGTTCCTACGAGATCTTGAGACATACCTCAAAGATCACGGGATCACGTCCGACGCGGACAAAATCGCTAAGGCGCCTCTCCACGCTAAAAAGACAGCTACGCGCATCTTGTGGGAGGAGCTGGCGCTCGCATTCAAAAACAAACCATGGGACGACTTTGTTAAGGCGATCCTGGAACAGTACCCTGAAATATCGGGTCAGCAGTCCGGAACGCTTGCAGAGCTCAGCCAAATCTGTAGCGAGTTCCGCGGACTTGGCGAGCAGGATGGGACTCGTGGAAACGTGTTCCTCCGTCGCTTTGCACCGTGTATTCTCAAACTCGGCCGTAGCAACTACAAGATCTCGAATTTTGAAGTCTGCTCGCGCCTCGCCGCTGTCTGCACGCCTCAGTTCCTTGCGACCCTCGACATGATGTTGGTCGGCAAGTCGAGCAGTCTTGAGGTACCCGGCAAGGAAAACGCAAATCCTCCGGAACGGCCGACCAACACATCCATCGTCGAAGGAGGTTACCGGTGGGAAGATATTGTTGCCACTATGCGCGAAGTCTGGCGCCGCGGTTTCACTGCAGCTCAGAACGCCATTGGCGACGCTTATCCCGTCGCGTCTATCCAGACCTCCGCGGCCTCCGCCTCGCACGCTGTATCCTACTCGGGCGACAGTGAATCTCGCTTAGTTAAACTCGAGCAGGATTTCCACGAATTTGCTGAGCGCGCTAGCCAAGGCGAAAAGGAAACTAAGACCGCTATACGTAGTCTACAGTCCGAAGTTCATACCGAGCTCGCTCAAGGACGTACCAAGTCCGATCAGAACTTCGCGATGATACAAGAGACGATTCAGCGCCTCACCAACCAGCTGTCGCTCAACACGAACAGCGCCGCCCCGCAAGGCGGTGGGTTCCGACCCAACTACCCTGGATCGTTCAACCGACCCCAGAATAATTATGGTGGTGGACAGCGTGGTCCCCCTCGACCTCAATACACTTGCAACTGGTGTGGCGAGGTCGGCCACTTCATGAACAATTGCCCTGATTGTCAGAATGCGATTAAATCCGGCGAGATCGTACCCGATAACGCTGGAGGCTTCCGCACTAAGACAGGCGAAATTATACCGCGTCGCAATGGTCCGCTTGACCTGCCGATGCGCACTAAGTGGCAGCAAATGAAGGCGGCTGTTAACCAATATGTGGTCGCTCCTTTCATGAACTACATTGGTCAATATACCAACTCAGGCATGTGGGGCATCCCGCAACAACCGCCGAGTGTCATACTGGACTCAGGCTTGGACGTTCCTCCCGGTTGGGACGAGTTCACCGAGCAGCTCTCCCCGGAGCAGATCGCGCATTACAACAACCCGCCTGTCGGCGAGATGGCTCAGCCACCGTCGGTCCAGGAGGGGTCGTCTCAGGGTTTTTGATGGGTTCAGGGATTCACGCCCAATACCTTGATAAACGCTGGGGGCGTGATGAGAGCCAGTTAAAACCAGCAGCTAGTTCGTTGCCACAAAATCCAAACAAGTCCGTGTACGCGACGCCTGCGAAGGCGCCCAACGCTAAGACTACGAATTCGCAGCCCGGCCCTGTACCGCAGGCCGGTCCTGCTCATCCATATCGCTCCGTGCCCGAGACGCGATTTATACCCATCGACCAACGCCCTTCGGCGCTACCTGTTAAGCCCGGTGCAGTGCCAGGTGAAGCAAGTCGCGCGAAGCCCGCGGCGAAGGTCCAGGCTCCTATACAAACCTCTGTAGACTCGGAAGATGTCTTAGAGAAATTACTGTCGACCAAGTGCCCGATGACCGGAATTACGCTGCGCGAATTTCTGGGAGTCAGTCCTACTCTACAAGACCTTCTAAGGAAATTGTTGACTAGGAAGCGCGAGATCGACGACAATTTTGGCAAAGTCCTGCGTGTAGCTTTGCTCACTGAAGCTTACCAACGCAAAGAATTGGGTTACGCTCAAGGACAGCGCCCCAATCTCGGCCGAGGTAGCGAGTCCGACGATCCAGTTCAGGTGAATTGGGCCGCGCTCGAGAACGAGGTCATTACCACGACGGTCGAGCTACCGTCGTGTGCCCACACTAAGGTACCCATCGGGTCCTATGTGCAGATTGACGCCCGACTCGAGGTATACCAGAGTCTGCCTGAACGCGGTCGCTCCGATGTTATCTTCGCGGGCGAACCTTCGGCGACACTGCGTACCGTCTGGCCGAATATCAACAACAATGGTCCGGATGAAAGTATCTTGGATAGTGGTTCACAAATCGTATCCATGTCTAAGGATTGCGCACGAGACCGCGGCGCTTCCTACGACCCGACTGTTACCATACGCATGCAAAGCGCCAATAACCAGGTCAACTCGACCTTGGGCCTAGCGAGGAATATTCCCTTTGACTTCGCTGGGATCACGGTGTACTTGCAGTGCCACATATCGGACACCGGCGCCTTCCGAGTATTATTAGGGAGACCTTTTGATACTCTGTGCGAGTCCGTATATACCAATGACCGCGACGGCAACCAGGAGGTGACCATTACTTGCCCTAACACTGGCAATAAGGTTACTATGCACACGTACGCCCGAGGCGTAATTCCTGAGCACATCCGCTCCTGCCATTTGACATCGCTGAAGCGACTTGGCTCATTGACTATCCCCTGCGCACACTTACGCGCGAGGAGTTGATTGGGTACCGGGCCCGAGCCTTAGCAAAACATCATGCGGAAGTAGGCCTTGTCCGCTCTCGAATAGAGAAGGAAAAGCTCGAGCGTCTTCATCGCTATGAACGCGAATACGGACATGTTATTAAGTTGCTCGACTTTAAACCAGGCAGCTTGGTGCTAGTCCGGAATACTCGCATAGAGAAATCACACAGTGACAAGATGCTACCGCGTTACCACGG